ACCTAACCTAACCTAACCTAACCCTAACCCTAACCCTAACCCTAACCCTAACCCTAACCCTAACCCTAACCCTAACCCTAACCCTAACCCCTAACCCTAACCCTAACCCTAACCCTAACCCCTAACCCTAACCCTAACCCTAACCCTAACCCTAACCCTAACCCTAACCCCTAACCCTAACCCTAACCCTAACCCCCTAACCCTAACCCTAACCCTAACCCCTAACCCTAACACATTGATTACAATCACCCCAATACACTAACACGTTGATGTATATATCAATGTAGTAATTGGGAATCGAACTCCTGACCTGTTAGGATTGAATCTGGAAAAGTTAAGTTACTATGAGATAGTAGTAACTCTTGGTACTTTTATCAAAGAGAATAGTACTTTTAAGTAATTATTTTAATGAAATTAGTATAATAATGTGTATATCTATCGTAAATATCAGGAGTTATGTTTTAATTTGAAGTTCTAAAATTTAATTTTTGTGCGGAAAATACTTGATACTTAGAAATATTTTGATGATTTTTGAAGAATTATAATCCTTTGGATTTACTTCAAACTCTTAAAATAGTATGTTAATATGGTTTATTACTCTATTATAAACTTATTTTGTCATAAAATCATTATAATAAAATTTTGGACCTGGACCTAGACCTATGAATTGCTTATAGAACCCTCACACATTGATTACAATCACCCCAATACACTAACACGTTGATATATATATCATGTAGTAACTGGGAATCGTACTCCCGACCAGTTAGGATTGAATCTGGAATACTCGAGTTACTATGAGACATTGGTAACTATTGGTACTTTTATAGAAGAGAATAGTACTTTTAAGTAATTCTTTTAATGAAAGTAGTATAATAATGTGTATATCTATCGTAAATATCAGGATTTAACTTAAAATTTAAAGTTATAAAATTGAAAGTTTATGAGGAAAATACTTGGTACTTAGAAATATTTTGATGATTTTGGAATATTAATAATCCTTTGGATTTACTTCAAACTTTCAAAATAGTATGTTATTATTGTTTTTTACTCAATAATAAACTTATTTTGCATTAAAATTAACATTTCTACAACCCCTACCCCTCTCACTAAGTTGATTAATATATCTTATAAAGTTACATAAAACTATTTGGCATCGAAAAATAGGTAACGGCGAGTGTTTTGTATAACATATTTAAAATTGGGCAACAATCAATGAAAAATAAGAAAGTTATTAAAATTCCAACTTTTATGGAAAAAAAACAAAAAAAGCAAAAATTTTAATATTTTTTTTTGAGAACATGTATAATTTTTTTAAACCTATTCAATATTTTTATATTTTAAACATTATATATTTTCTAATTCTATTCTTTGATTCATCTAAAAAAAGTAAAAACTTTGTAAAAACGTGCCAACTTTTGCCCTATTTTGAACTTTTTTTAATTTTGGATCGACTCATGCCATGACCACTTTTTTTTTTAAAAATAAGTTCGTGAATGACAATTTTTTTTTTCATAATAATAGACAATAGAGGCTATTATACAATAATATTATATATTAAAAATATTTATATTTATATTTTTGTTTTCATTTTTTAAAAAATCGATTGTTTAAAAATAGTATATTTGCATATTTCCAACAAAATTAATGTGTGAGCGTATTGTTTAAAAAATTTTAAACTCAAATTTGACAAAGATAGAAATTTTACCTTCAAAGAATTAATATTTTTTCGAATGAATTTTGTTTAATCTTTTAATTAAATGATACAATAATGTTTGAAATAATAATATATAGATAATATCAAACTTTCATATCAATTGAGTTAAATTAAAAGTTTTTGAACAATTATATCAAAATTGTAATAAAAACTTTAAAATTTGAGAAAAAGGTTATTTTGTGGAATTATTTTGATTTCATATCATTTAATAATAATTTTAAAAATAGAATTTAAAGTTTCAAGTCAAATGAGTGAAATTATAATACTTGGAAATGTTTTTAAAAAAATTACGAAATACCAAGAGGACACACATAAAATATTGAAAAAGCCTTTTTACAAAAATTAAAATGATTCAATTGGTTACCAAAACAATGTTCAATGGTGAATATCAAAGTTTTAAGTTAATTGGGCTAAACTATAAAAATTTGAAAATCTAAAACCAAACAATCAAATTAAGAAGTTTTTAATTTAAATTGATAGTTTTTTTACCTAGTTTGATGTTTGCACAAAATTCAGATCATTTCTTATGATATTGTAAATGTTTCAAGTCAAGAGAGCTAAACTATAAAATTCAGACTTGATCCAATTGCAAAAAAAAAAAACCAGTAACCCTCTTGGGCTCCAATAAATATGTGATAAACGTAGTTTTTTTTAATTCTTTTTTTACCACAAAAAAATGATAATATCTATGTATAATGGAATAGTGAAATATTTAAATCAAAAGAGTTGAACTATTGGATTTGGATCAATTTGTCACCCAATTTTAACAAAATTAATTTCAAGCCAAACCCCATATTTTTGTATCAAAGATCAGTTTTGTTCAATTCTTGAATGTAGAATAGTGTTAATAATTATTTCAAGTCGTATAATCAATGTTTCTAATCAAAAAAAAGTGTAAAAAAATATAAAAAACATTTAATTTTGAATAAAACAAAATAGATGATAGACAACATCAATTTATTGTGATTAAAACCGTTTTTATTTGTTTCTTGGTATTTTTTATTATTTAATTAATTATCTTTTTTGTACTACAATATATTTATAATATTACATTTCTAAATGAGAATCAAACCACCTAATTTTTAAATTTGATTTATGATGACATATCCATCATCGCTCCAATTGCAATTCTATTGGGTTAGAAAATAGGAAATATTAGCTGACATAATTTCTATTATTGTTGCTTCAATTAATTGTGCTTACGATTTATTCTCTGGTGAGAAAGAAATAGAGTATGAGGGATCATCGTGACCATTTATCTCTGCTACTTGTTGTGTTGTCGAGGTTGAATAGTTTGATATTGAATTGTAAATCACCTTGTTTGTCTCTTCGTGGATAACCACAATCTGGTGTGGATCCTGTTGCAAAAGCAATCATCTAAAGGTATAGTTAAATATAGATTTGTGAATTAATAAATCATCGATGACAGACTTGTATCACTGTTCTTACAGGAGGAGTAGTAGATGATATCGTTGCATCGTTGATCCTGCGACCAATATCAAATGAGCGAATGAGCCTCCAAGTATTGTTTTCATACAATATGGTGGTACAATTGGAGCCAATCACAAACATGCTTTGATCACTGGTCCATGAGATCTTGCCATTCAATATTGAACCAATGACATGAATAGAATGTACCAATTCTCTCGTGTCTACATCAAAGATATCAACTCTACTACCAACGTTTGCCAAAATATACTTGTTCGATGGTGACCAGGTAACACAACCATATAAGTCATATTCTATGATCGGCAAAGTAAACAAAGGTGTCACTATATTTTAATTATATAAGGTAGAAGTAAATGTTAACAAAGTTCTCTTGTTTCTCTAATTGGGTATAGTACATTTCTTTTGGTTATCTGGATTAAAAGAGTACACTTTGATCATTGATTGAATTTTGACATTGCGATACGAGAATACAATATGTGTATCTCTGTGAGAGAACTCAACACATTTCAGATAGGTACCGTATCCAAAGTCGATACTCTCTAACAATTCGCCAGAGATTGTATTCCACAAAGACAGTGTGCCAGGGATAGCTGAAACTAAATACCTATAGAGTCTTGAGTGATACTGATTGAATTGACTCTCTTGGGATGTATAAATTTGTTGATGAGTACACCAGTAGAGGTATCCCACTGAGACACGTTATCATCATGTGATGCAACGAATAGTCTGTCACCTTGTCTATTATATTTCAAATCTGTGACTCTCACTCGATGGAAATCTAATATCATCGTTGATTGGTATGTAAATTTTACAAACAATATCCTAATAAACATAGAAAGTTGAATCAACTCTGCAAAAAAAGTATTATTATTATTGAAATTTATTTTTAATGTTTTTGGATACGAGCAATTTCAACAAGAGTACGTACTGGCTTACCAGTCATACCTTTACCAAGGTATGGACCATCTTCGGTTGAATACATTACACCAGCAATGTCGAGATGGGCCCAACGGTTAATTTGAACAAACTCTTTCAAGAACATGGCAGCAGAGCAAGCACCACCAGAACGACCGGCACTGTTTACAATATCTGCAATCTTGCTGTCCAATTGCTTTCTGTACTCTTGAAGAAGTGGCATTCTCCATACACGTTCACCAGTGATTTGGGAACTCTTGTTGATTTCATCCCAAAGTTCATCAGATGCAGCAAATACACCAGCATAATGTTGACCAAGAGCAACATCGATGGCACCAGTAAGAGTGGCAATATCGATGATGGTTGATGGATTAAAGGTATGAGCATAGTGAAGTGCATCTCCCAAAATGAGTCTACCCTCGGCATCTGTGTTGTCTACTTCGACGGTCTTTCCGTTGCTGGCAGTCAAAACATCACCTGGCTTGGTAGCGTGACCAGATGGCATGTTTTCGCAGAGTGGAGTAAGAGAAATTACATTGACTGGAAGCTTGAGTGAGGCAATGGCAAAAAGAGATGATACTGCAGTGGCAGCACCCTCCATATCACCTCTCATGAGACCCATAGAGGCAGATGGCTTAATGCTGATACCTCCACTGTCAAAAGTGACACCCTTTCCAACGAAAATGAGTGGCTGAGCATCTTGATTTGCAGCACCCTTGTAGTGAAGTTCAAGGAAACGTGGTGGTTCGTCAGATCCCTTGGTGACACCCAAAAACATTCCCATCTTTTGTTCAGTTGCCCATTTTTCGTCACGTACGTGCATCTTTACAGTTCCATCTTGAATTAACTTTTCAAATTGCTTGGTCACACGTTCAACAAAAATTGATGGTGTCATAAGATTGGATGGAGTGTCAGCCAACTCTCTTGCAAAGTTTTGTGATTGTGCCAACAATTGTCCTTCCTCCCAGAGGGATTGATGATTTGAATCAAATGGTGTAATTTGGATGGGAGTGTTTTTGGTAGAGTTTGCACCACCGCTAGTCTTTAAGTCATACTTGAAAATACCAAGGTTGGCACCTTCAGCACATGATCTAATGTCACCCAAAGAACAATCGACTTGAATGTTTGTAGCACCCTTTGATTTTAGAGCCTTTACTCCAGATCCAGTAGCTTTACGTGCATTTTCATTCTTTTCAAACAATGAAAGATCACTGCCACCAGTGTTTTGTTTACCCAAACCTACGATAGCAACTCTTGGGTGCTCTGGTGTTACATTATAGAGAACCAATGAGTCACCTACCTTTCCTTTGTTGTCTGCCAATTTGAATGACTTTGAAAGTAAATTATCAGACTTTGAATTGATTAAATTTCCTAATTCTGACCATGCCTAAAAAAAAAAGAAGAATAAATAATAATAATCATAAAATGTATTAGATGATTTGATTCATAATAGTTTGAGTTTGTTTTACATACTTCTAATCCTTCATAGCATCCAACTACTACGCCACTATTATTAATTTCTCCTTCCATTTTATTAGCTCTTGTTGAATAATAAAGATTATTGTTTCTAATTGATGATGTTGATAGTGATGATGTTAAATATGACGTTATTCTTGTCAATCTGTTCATCCCTACTAATTAAATTTCAAAACAACCCTTCACTTTTGTAAAGCAAACTGTAAATGGGTCCCCATTGATGATCATGAAAAAAAAAATTAAAAAAAATAAAAAAAAATAATCATGCAACCCCCTTTTTGTTTTGATATTATTTTAATATACTAGTCATCGATCTTGTCAAAGAATGAGCTTTAGTAATGCAAGTCTTTGCGATGAAGTAGATAGTATGTGTATTATAATTACTACAATAGACGACGATTACTAATGTATGGTATCACCTTTTCTCTATAGAAAAACTTATAGTCGTACTTCGTGATGGTAAAAAGTTTATTGGAGTAATGAGAACATTTGATCAATTTGGTATGCAAAAAAAGATTGATTCTTTCTTTTTGTTCTTGTACTGATCATCTTTTCTCTTCTTCTTCTTCTTCTTCTTCTTCTTATACTTTAGCAAACATTATACTTCAAGATACTGTTGAAAGAATTTATGTGGGAAATTGTTATAGTGATAAATATTTGGGTGTATTTTTTATAAGAGGTGATAATGTTGTAATATTAGGTGAAATTGTATGTCTAGAATATGAATCAATTGGTTAAAATGAATGTATTAATAAGATTTTTCAATTGATTTATAGGACCCAGAAAAAGAGATAAAAGAAAAGAACTTGAAATTAGTGACATGGGAAGAAATTCAAATACAACAACAATCAGAAAAGGAAAGAAAGGAACATGAAGAACTAACAAAGAGAAAGGTTATGACTGATAGCGGACTCACAATTGACTCAATATTAAATTTAGACGATTTTTAAAAGCATTGCTGCTGCTGCTGCTGGTGGTTTATTTCTTTTTTTTCTTATTGGTAACATTTTTAGTATATTTGGTACTTGTACCCTTTTGATGTTCTTGTCTATCGAGTAAAGATAAATGATCCCAATCGAATAGATCCTCTTCTACTCCCTCTTCTTCTTTTTGAATTTGATCGTTAATGTCAAAAATTTCATATGCATCTTCAAATGAAGATGGTATTGATGTCTCCTCTTCAATACTATCATCCTGTTCTTCTTGAATCTCTAAATGTTCAATGGCAGCTTGTAATGATCCTCCAAATTCATTTATAATATCATTTCCATGATTCATCTCTATGATTGTTTCCAATTCTTGGTTTGACACTTTTTGTAAAATGTCATTAAACAACTCGTTGTAATCATCAAGATTTTGTTTGTTATTTTGTTGTACTTTTTCTACTTTGTTTTGATTGATTTGATTAAATAAATGATTTAAAAAATCTTTTAAAATTAAAATGTTGAGTTTCTTTTTTGGGATGACCTTAAAACGCCATGATTGTAATACCTCTCCATTTGTTTTTCCAAATATAGTTGTAAAGAGTTGATAGGGAGAGTTGTTGTAAAGCTTTAATAGATGAAATCCTCTGTTTGTTTTGATATCCTTTGTTGTGACTTGATACCATTGCTCTGGTGATGTGATATTTAGAGTCTGAGCCAACCAATCGACAAAAGCACGTTGATTTTCGATGCTGTCATAAAAGTATGATGGATGAAAACGTTCAAATAACCAAGGCTTCCAAGAATGTTCTGGATAAATATCGGCGAGTGCAGTTGGTATATCACCATAGGTATCAATAAAGAATGAACCGAAATTTCTCTTGAAATCGAGGTCGGTTAGGTAGTGCCATTCATCGATGGATTGATTCTTTCCAACAATATTTGCCATCCACTTTATATATTCTCTCTTGTTTTCGATTGATCTCCAAAATGATGACTTTAATGTTGAAAACTTCCACATGTACCATCGTTCATTTGGATGGTTATCGACAACAGCCTTGATATGATCATCTTGGTAGTGCAAAAGGAATTCACTCCCATGGTTTTGAAGAAAATTCATTCTTTTTACCTTGTACCAATCGGTTGGTACCCTATATCTTTGACGATTACCTAACCATTTAATATACTTGGCATGGTTTGATTGATTGGCAAAGAATGACTTGCTATCATTGATTAATTCCTGTTCAATCTTATGATCACTCTCTAATTTTGCCTTTGTTTGTTTTGATTGATCTGTAAATTTCAACATTCCTTTTGGAGCAATGGGTGACATTGTCGATGATGTAATACCAAAAGGTTCATTTTCTTGTGTAGTAGTAGTAGTATTGTCTTGAATAAATAATGTCTCTTTTCTAAATTTACTATTTGTTGCTGTTGTTGATCTTTTATTTGTATATTTCATTTCAGATGTTGCATAATTATTATTATTATTATTATTGTTGTTATTGTACACATTTTTGTTATTATTATTATTTCTATTTGTTTTTGTATAACTTGTAGAGAAAAGAGGTTCAAGTTGTGTAGATCTACTACTAGCTAAAAGATATGATAAAGTTTGTTTTTGAAAAAATGTTCCTCTACATAACATAAAAGATGTCATAGTTATCTATTATTATTATTATTTATTACTCTTTGAACAACAACTAAATATAATCACGTGAAGCACTGACACGTTCAAATATGTTTTATTTTATTTATTTTTTTATGCCTCTTGGGGAACCAGTTTCAGTTGAAGAAGCATACTTTATAAAATGTATTTTGTCAGAGATCTAATTATGATATGATACATATGATATTCAAAACTAATAGAGAGAGATATATACCTTTTTAATAATCCATTGTAATGAAGTATAACCTTTGTTGATCAGAAATTCTACATCTTGAGGATCGGTATCATTTCTATGACCCTCAAAATGTTCTCTTGTAAATGTCCAATAATAAGTTTGTGATTGAGGAGGTAACTTTCTATTTATAGCTCTAACTATATCTCTATATAGTCCAATTGATGTTTTCATTGTACTCATTGAACGATACAGATAAATAGATATTATCTCTCTGTCTCTTTTATAAAAAATAAAATAAAAAAAAATGGTCGACCACCAAAGTGTTTATTGTTTCTCTCTCTCTTTCTTTCTCTCTCTCTCTCATTGAGGATAAAAAAAGAGTTGATAAGTAATAGCAACATCTACGATTAATTGGAAAGCACCACAAATAATAAATTGAACTGGTGCACCACTAAAGTAAAAGTAAAGAGTCTTTGCAAAGTCACCAACAAACCATGATGCAATCAATACAAAACTTAATCCTTTGACGTTGTGTTTTTTATAGTTTTGTAACAATTGTGGAAGTCCAAGTGTGGCTTCAATTGTCAGTGATAATGATCCTAATAGTTCAAAGTATTCTGGTACATATAAAAAGTAATAACTTGTCATAAAAAAGATGAATGTGTATCCTCCTAAAAATAATACTAAAAAATAAAAAATATATATTTATATGTTAAAACCTAAATAGTCTCTAATATATATATATAAATATATATATATATATAATATATATACACATACAATATGGAAAGATTGAATCCCAATCCCAGAAATCTTGATTTGTAAAACTAGATGTTAAAGTAGATTTTCTAGACTTTGTATTAACTAGTTGATCTTGAGACTTTAAAGACACACAAAGATTTAACATTACCAATTGAGCTACAATCATTACCAACGATTGATAAAGAAGTGTAATATCAAATTGTTTGCCCATCCAAAAGAAACATCTTAGAATATTTGATAGAAAGAGAATCAATGATACCTTGAGACTAAACCCTTCTGTGTTTCTTGTTTTCTCTATTGTTTTGTACTGTGATACATATCCCAAAACTGGTCCAAACACCATAAATATTCCTACTAAAAAGTTGATCATTCTCTAATTGATTGATCAAAGTATATAAATAAAAATTATGTGCGACTCACCTCACTTCACTTGGAAAAAAAAAAAAAAAAAAAAAAAAAAAAAGAAAAAAAAAAAAAAGAAAAAAAAAAAAATCTTTATTTAAAAAAAAAAGATCCTCTTATAATTACATCTTAAAAAAAAAAAGCTCAAATAGAATATTCTAGTTCTTCTTGATTGAAAAAATAATTATATTTTAATTAAAATCTCGTTTCCCAGGGATCGAAAAAAAACAGCTTATGAAAAAAAAAAAAAAAAAAAAATCAAATTACAAACAAGAAAGAAAGAGATAATTTTATACAAAGAGAGGAGAGATAAGAGAACTTGTCTATATACCTTTTTTAAAGAATGGATGAAGGTATTTCATTGTCAATTTCATCATCATCATCATTACAATTTCTTATTAACATTATTCTTCTCCTCTACTTGTCATCTAAAAGATAATCCTTCAAACGATCCAAAATACAAACAATTTAACGAAGAACTTACACATGTATTGGGACAATTCACAAAGAGTACAGAATGGCAAGATCTAATCAAACATCTTGGCAAGTTGGGCAAGACATTTGAAAAGTTTAACAAATCGACATGTATACAATCATCTGTCAAATTAATGATATCAAAACGTTTGTCTCAATGTCTCAATGCCTCATTACCAAGTGGATGTCAATTAAAAGCATTAGAGACATATGAAATCATTTTTAATAGAATAGGTGTATGTTGTCAAACATAGATTCTTCTTCTTCTTCTTCCTTTTCTTCTTACTTTTCTTATCTTATTTTCTTATTTTCTTATTTTATTTATAGCAAGATAAATTAGCAAAAGATATTTCAATCTATGCAACGGGATTATTCCCATTATTTCATTTAGCAAGTACTGATGTTAGATTCAAGATTATAACATTGTATGAAAAGTACTTTTTACCACTCAACACTAAACTTTCATCATGCCTCAATGGTATCGTATCTTCACTCCTTCCTGGACTCGAGGAAGGACAAGGAGAAATATACGAAGCAATTCACAAGTTATTGGACCAATTTTGTAGAGCAACCTCAACTACAATGTTCTTTCAAGCAATTTGGAAATCAATGGTAACAACCCCTTACAATAGACAAGCTGCTATCAATTTCCTTTTAACTCGTTTACCAAAAGATTTTAAAGATGATTCAAATCAAGGTAAAAAAAACAAAAAAAAAACCCCCCAAAATCAAAGCAAAACTATTTATTTACTTTTATTTACCTATTTCTTTAGTTGTATATTTACCAGAAAAAGATCTTCTTGTTGCACAAGCACTTTCAGATTCATTGTGTGATCATAATATTTTAGTTCAAAGAAATATTTTAGAAGTTATTTCACTTCATTTTCCAATTTCTCTAAAGTATGTAAAAAACAATCTTTTTCTTTTTTCTTTTTTCTTTTTATTTATTCTTTTTATTTTTTTAGAATATTTTCAAATGAAGCAATTGAAAATATAATTGGTTCAGCATTACGAGTAGTTGTAATCAAAGACATGTCGTTAAATAGAAGACTTTATTCTTGGTTATTAGGACCACAAGATAAATCATCAATGGTTGATATTAATTATTTCCTAAATCATTCAAAACAATCAACAATATCATCTATAAAGGTAATAATAATATATATATATATATTTCTTTATTTTTATTAATTTATTTTATTTTATTTTTTTTTGTAGAAATTATTACAAGTTAATAATCAAGATTTATTAATAGCATTTAAAATTTTAACCTATCTATTTCAAAAAGAGGAATTTCAAGTGATTATTGGAGACATCTTTTATGACATTTTAAAGATTATCTACCAATACAAAGATGGGTATACTTTTTCAAAAGACATTATTAGACATTTGGATGATCTCTTGGACACTATCAATGATCAACAAGTCATTTGGGACTATCTAATTCAATTGATTAGTAATATTGGAGATCGCGATCAACAAGAAAATATCGACAATGTAAAACTAGTAGAATGCTTTCTCGATATTATGACATTGTCGGTCGAGGAGGTACAAAATAAGCATCTACCACTCCTCTTGCTATCAATGATAAAGACAATGAAAAGTGATATCTTGTCCAAAAACAATAATGGTCTAATATTACACTATACTCAATTGTCTCTAAAAATCATTGGTAAAATCATTATAAACGACAACAACAATATCAATAATAATAATAATAATAATGCTAATAATTATACATATCAATCGATTGAAACATATCAATCCTATTTTGTCGATCTGTATGACTATTTGGATAGAAATTTATCACTATTACAACCACCGACCAATCATATAATCAATAATCCAATTTCACTTTCATCAACCAACAACAATACACTATCAAATCCTCTTACTTTTACTCCCATATCATCATTTGCCTATATAACCTCCACCGATTTGTTTATTATACTTGATCTTTCACTTCAAGTATTGGTTGGTCTATTTCAACAATTCAAAACTTCTCCAACAAGTCCCATCACATCTCCAATATTGGAATCTTCTTCACCTCCTAAATGGTTTAGTCCAATTTATAAATTTTGTTTGGTAAATATTAAAAACAACAAAAAAACAAAAAAACAAAAAGATAATGATTCTAATTTTTTTTTTATTTATTTTTTTTATTTATTTAGAGTGAAAATCCATTTATATCATGTTTAACAATTAAATCATTTATAAATTTAACAAATAGACATGGTAGTAGTGGTGGTCTTGGTAAAAGTTTACAAAATATTATAACGATTCAACATTTAACAGAGTTGTCAAAAAAGCTTTGGAGTTTGTTGGATCCAAACAATTGTGCTGTACATTATAAAGTGGCTACATTATTCCTTTCTCTTCGAGAGATTAATGAATCTGCCTGTGCAAAAGTAATTGCAGAGGCAATGTCAGATAGCAATCTCAATACTCGTATAGAGGGATATCAAAAGTTTGCATTATTTTGGCGTTTGACTGGTGAACTTGGTACCAATACATTACCATTCTCAAATACACTCTTTCTTATGCTAGATAGTTTGAATCATGAACAACCAATCATTCGATTGACAGGTCATACATGGTTGGCCGATAGTATTAGCAAAGCAGAACGTATTTTGGATCCACTACTCAAAATCCTACTCGACAAATCGACTGTTAGATTTAATAACTTTTACCAATCGTTTTATGATACCAGAAGAGTTATTTATGCATTCAAGATTTTCAAATCAATCATTGAATGCGATTTTAAACTCTTTATCCAACATGTCATTGAAAAGCCAATCTCTAAAGATATTCTTCAACTCAATGAACTACAAACACTATCGTATAGAGAATCACCAAAGTCATATAGCAGTGTAAATCCTCACAACAATGATGATTTATTATCAAGCCCATCTCCATTGGGAGGTGATAATACCTATCTTTCATTTTCATCAGTTCACCCACCTGCCCAATCAATTTCCGCCGCCGCCACCACCACTGAAACATCGTCAGATTTTCTATTCATTCCAACCAATTATTATATTGATTTGTTGGTTGTAGTTGCATTAAGATTTATTCAAGGACAAGTATCAACAACCTTTGACAAGTCAACACCAGATGGAGAATCTTTTGTTTCGCAAAATGACACTGTACAAATTTGTGCAGCCGAATTTCTTCAATATCTACTTTCACAGACTTCAATGCAACACAGCAAAGCATTGGAAATTGCAAACAACATTCAAGAACCAATCCTCCAAACTCTTGCCCAAGCAGTATCTTCATCAAATATGGTATTACAAGTTCATCTTTTATCTCTTTTGAGATCAATCGTTTTGATTGATAGTTCTTCTTCATTACAACAACAGCAACAACAACAACAACATACTCCATCAATGTTACAACAATCAAATTATTCATCTGGTGGTTCTTCACCTCTTCCACAACCATCACCATATCTTGACAATAATGGATTTGGAAGTACATCATTGTCTTCAATTACTCAATCTCCAATGTTCTTGCAGACAACTGTTGTGGGTCTTATTCAACCATCGACAAGATTTAATATTAGATTCTATTGGTTGGATTTTATCACTTTTTGTCTCCCTAGAATGGTTCATTCAGCTCAACTACCAAATGCTGTCATTACCATTGTAAATTGTCTAAGAGATCTCATATCCTCTTTTGACCCAAGATCACTTTATGATAGTCTAACATCTAGAGATATTATCGTTTTATTGAAAAGTTTGACATTTATTTTTAAATTTTCAATTTTAGAACCTCTTACTCCATTTGATAAAATGTAAAAAAAAAAATATCAAAAAAAAAATAGAAATAGAAAACAACTAATTAATTTTCCTTTTTTTTTTAATTTTTTTAGAAACCAAGAAGAACAACAAATTAATAGAGGAGGAGCATTGGGAGGTGTTAGAATACTTACAGATTTTGTAAAAGATGTATTTACAAGTGAAATTGACCAATCCATATCCCTTACACCAATTGGAAAAGTTAGAGATGACATTTTTCATGATTTACCTGCCATTATCTCGCCTCTATTAAAAATATGGGGTCCTCCAAAATCAACTTTATCAAAAATTGTATGTAAATCAATAATCAATGTCAAATTTATTTATTAACTTTATATTTTATTTTTTAGTCAATATCAACTGATGTATCATCAGATACACATAACAAATATGCGATTCAAGATTTGGTTATTCATATTTTAGACCCATTAATGTCAAAATACCCAACACAATTTATTGGAGCGATTGTAGAGTTGTGGCAAAGATCATTAAATTCGTCCATGTCGTCATCATTCCCTTCGATGGAGGACCAAGGAATAATGACTCGTAAAGTAATCATGGAGATTGTATTTAGTTTGGAATCGGTACGAGAGGAAACTCTATTGGGTGCCTCTTCTCATATCCTTGCAAGTCTTCATGCTCAAGAAAGAATGAAACCACACAAATCAATCATTCACAAGATTACCATGAAAGAGAGTGCTCTGTATGACTTTATCTATAGATATATTGAAGAGTATTCATCGACATTTGAGATGATCTCGTCACACTTTTTGGCCGTTGTTAGAGAATCTACTCATTCCTCAAATCCAATGTCATTTGTATCACAACTTCAAATATTAAACATCTACACTAAAAAGACATTGCCCGAAGAGAAATCCAAAAATAGTTTCAAGTATCGCAACAACAAGAGAGACTTGCAAGATATTATACCAAAGATTGTAGAGGCTTGTTTTATGATTTCTGGAAAATCATTCAACGATATCTCTGCAATGTATATACCTCCTGCCATTAATGGAAATCAACAATCCACTCCTCAGGAATCCTATGTATCTACTACTCCAACTTCTTCAAGACCAACATCAATGGATATGAGATCAATTAGTATCTCTTCTGGTAGTAGTGGTGGTGGTGGTGGTAGTAATACGAATGAATATACATATGCCTCTACAACTATTAGTGAAGAAAATAATCAACAACAACAACAACAACAATCACAATCCCAACAATTAACACCACAACAACTAACACCACAATCACAAAAGATTAGAACTTTGTCATCAGGTGAAGATGGAGCTATTCCTCGTTTTGGTAATCTTAAAAAAGAAGCAAGTAGACTAAAGACTCAAGTTAGTCTTAAATCATTGGTACATTTATCAACAACACTTGCCTCACTCTTGGATTCAATCTTTGATGATAAAGAAAGAATTGCCACTTTACTTGCCAATACTCTTCATAATGTTGTTCCCTATATTAAATCTAAAATGTATGAAAAGAAAAAGAAATAATTTATATTTTTTTTATTAATATTAATATATTTTTTTAAATAGTGATATAAATAGAGAGAATACATATTATGCAATTTGTTTATTCTCTTCATTGGCTGAATTTTCATACAATATAAAGTCGATTAGAAAGGATGCATTGGAACTCTTTAATGACCATGATTTCTTTAAAGCAGATATAAAGACTTTGGAACAAACTGGAAAAATTATTAATCAAGTAATGGTTCATGATAAAACTGCTTTATCTGATTTTATGAGTAAGAGAAAATATTTATAATTTATTATTATTATTTCTAACAATGGATTTTTTTTTTTTTGTTTCTATAGAAAATATAGGTAAATCATGGACTGCAGTTTCAACCATGTTTGTCAATAGGGAAACTGAAAATATGAATAGATCCAAACAATTGAAAAGATTATCGTATATCATTTGGTGTGGTAGTGAAAATCAATATCTATCGATTATGCCAGCAATTCAAGAAAAAATTGTTGAGTCTTTGAGAATACCAAACTCTACTGTACTCCATTTACAAGTATTCCTTCTCCTCAGAGTACTTTTACTTAGAATATCTCATCAAAACCTTAGATCTTTTTGGCCAATCATTTTATCAGAATTGGTAAATATACAGAGAAAACGAGTTGTAATTTTTATTCTTTTTTTTATTCATTCCTTTTTCTATATAGATTGATATTTTATCGCATCCAAGTGACAATGGAGAACTTGTATTGTCGGCATGTAAATTTTTAGATTTGGCATTAACCATTCCCACCATTACCGAGCAGTTTAACCTCTTTGAATGGGTTTTTATCAAGGATTGTTTTGTATCAAATCAAAATGATGCCCCTTTTAAACCACTTGTGGACCAAATCTCTTCACATACAGCAATGGTCGATCATGAAATCCTAGACACCACTTGTTCCAAAATTCCAATCCTCACGTCGTCTGGAATCGTCGAAATTGACTATCATCCTCATCAGTTGCCTACACCATCACCGTTATTACAACCCTCAAGACATTCTGTAAACGCGGTTGGTGGATTAGCCAATAGCAGCAATAGTAGTTTTACCAACTCAAATTTCAACTCTTCTTTGCTCAGACCTTGTATTATGATTAAATCCATTCAAGACCTACCAAATGGATACTCTGACTTTAAATTGTTCCTCTCTAGATTCTCATCATCAATCTACAAGAGACACATGAGATCGTCACAGATTGATTATCAATTCATAAATGAAATGATATGTCTCGATTTTTGTGAAATTGATTCAAACAAATTAACTTCAATTCTACTTTCATCAACTTCAATCAATGATTTTGGTTCAATACTTTTATCTATTCATCAACAACAACAACAATTACAACAATTACAACAACAACAATTACAACAACAACAACAACAACAAAATGAAACAGCCGCCTCGACAACGTGGACAAGAGGTAACGGAAATCAACAACAACAACAACAACAACAAAACCAATCTGGTGGAAACAATGGTGGCAACAAATCACCATCATTTCTATCAACAAGAAGAATAACCAATTCCAATTCACAACAACAATCAATTATTGATGATATTCCAACAACCACCACTGCCACTACTGTATCAACTCCAACAAAAAGCTCTATTACTACTACTGATCCTAGCATTAATGAAAATGCTACCAACAACAACAATAATGATCATGATGATGGTGAAGTAGATGATGAAGAAATTGAGCATTTATTATTAAGTGCCACCATCGATGATACCAATCAATAAAATATTATCTATCTCCTTAAACACACTACCATGCATCATCGATAATAACAAACAATAAATATTATCATAAAAGTAATAATAATAAGAAGTAGTAGTAATGATGTCATTTATTTTAAATCATAGATAGACATTGAGAGAGAAAGAGAGAAAATGGATATAAAATCTGTACTCTGTAATAATAGTAATAATAATAGTAGTAATAACAACATTCTCAATAGTGATATACAACAACTTGTGGACAATGATGATAATGAAGATCTTTTAACAAATTAACCCATTGAATTAATACTTTATATCATATCAATGTGTAATCCATTTGATATTATCAATTCAAGAGTATCTAGGTTACTCTATAGATGTAGTAGAAATAATTCATTGTGGAAGATGATTGCATTGAATCATATGATCCCTGATCAAATGAATAAAATCCCTATACCAAACTATTCCAATAAGTACAGCATATTGGATGATATCAGCAAATATATAATCTATAGACACCTCAGCAGTTTAGATTATTTAATTTTTAACAATTGCTTTACTAAATAATATATTATAACAATATACAATATAGGGGCCTGTGGCGATACTGATGGATCATTGATCGTAATCCCTACTTACAACAATACAAAGTAAGTAGTTTCTACCATTGTAATACCATCGATATGTACAAAGGATGGTGGATCTAGTCAACAAGAGGTTCAATGTTTTACACCAACTGTATGATCAGGTCCGTGACGCCACATGCAATCCATGTGCCACTGCAACCTTCATAGGTACTCCAACCTTGGCTGCCGTGACCGAGCCCATCAATGTCGATGAGAGCTACCTCGAGATGATTGAATATATCGAGGACCAATTCGAGAATCTCGAAATTATTTGCACTCTCGAGCTTGATCTCGAGGACAAATAATTATACTCTCCTCTAATACTCACATACTAAAGTCTAATCTGATTATCTGTCTATTTATTCAATAAAACAAATATATCTTTGAAAAAGTGACAACTTGCACTCTTTGGGTAATAAAAACGTTACACTCAAACTGGGGTGAGTTTTTTTTTTTTTTTTCTTTTTTTTTGACGACAATGACCATACAGGCCAAATCATATGATGATGGCAAAGAGAGGTGATCATTCTTGAAGAGAGATTATTAATTACTCACCACATTCAACAACAGCGGTAGGAATTAGAATTCAACCTACAATAAGATCAATTATAATTAGAGAGTAGTGATTTTATAATATTTACAACACAATGTCAAATATCTCAAAGTTGTTGTCTTGTACCCAAAAATTGGTATGTAATCAACAATGAGAAAACTTTTCTATAGCTACAGTGCACTATAGACTATAAACACTAGTAAATCAACAACAGCAACAACAAAGGGATGATATATATATATATATATATATATAATTTAGTGATGATAATAGATTAAATGAGATATGCAATGCATCATCACCATCATCGTCACCACTATATCTATTCATCATTTTCTGCAACAAAAAACCTTTTTTTTTTCTACTCTAACACAACACATTCTATCATTATCATATATTTACACATTTTATAGGGAGTACGTAGCTATTCATCAGAGGCAGTTAAATTATTTGCCAACAGAGATTTCTTGGTCCAAAACCCAGAAACCAAGATTACCACACTTCCAAATGGTATCCGTGTTGCCACTGAACAATCATTTGGTGAGACTGCCAGTATTGGTGTTTGGGTTGACAGCGGTAGTGTCTATGAAAACGAAAAGAACAACGGTGTTGCTCATTTCCTCGAACATATGATCTTCAAGGGCACTGAAAAGCGTCCATCACCAAACTTTATCGAAACTGAAGTCGAAAATATGGGTGGCAATCTCAATGCCTTTACTTCTCGTGAACACAGTGCCTACTATATGAAGGTACTCAAAGAGAATATCCCAAATGCCGTAGATATCCTTTCTGATATTCTTCAAAACTCAAAGTTTGAGTAAGTAAAATAATATTATTTTTATTCAGCAGGCAGTACTCTCAAATGTTCATAGGTCTTACACTTTTTTTTTTTTTTTTTTTGTTTATTTTTTTATAGTCAAAAATTAATTGATGATGAACGTCATACCATCCTCAGTGAAATGCAATATATTCAATCTCAAGAAAACGAATTAGTTTTTGATCAATTGCATGCAACTGCATTCCAAGGATCTCCATTGGGCCGTACCATTCTTGGTCCAGTCGAAAATATAAACAGCATCACCCGTAATGATATTAAAAAGTTTATGGAAGACAATTACACTGGTCAACGTTTGGTTATTGCTGCATCTGGCGCCGTCAACCACGAACAACTCGTTCAACAAGTAAAGGAAAAGTTTGGTTCCATCAAGGCTGGTGATGCTGCACCACGTCAATTAATCACCAATGAATTTGTTGGTTCTGAATTGCGTGTTCGTGACGACTCTATTCCATTGGTCCACTTTGCCGTTGCTGTAAAGGGTCTCTCTTGGAGCAGTCCAGATTATTTTGTTTTGGAACTCATCCAAACCATGATTGGTAACTGGAGTCGTTCTATCGCCGCTGGTCGTAACGTTTCATCCAACCTCGGTGAAGTTGTTGCCACTGAAGGTCTTGCTGAAAGCTATTCAACCTTTTTCTCTTGCTACAATGACACTGGTCTCTTTGGTAACTTTGGTGTCGCTCAACCAGGTCGTGTTGACGATCTTGTTTGCGAAATGCTCAAGGAATGGCAACGTATTGCCAACGCTTGTACCGATGCTGAAGTACAACGTGCAAAGCAAAGTCTTATTGCCTCTTCACTCATGCAATATGATGGAACCTCAAAGATTTGCGAATCAATCGGTCGTCAAGTCCTCACTCTTGGTCGTCGTATCACTCCAGCTGAACTCTACCTCCGTATCGCTGAAATCTCTGTCTCTGACGTTCGTCGTGTTGCTAGAGAGCTATTGGTCGATGTTTCTCCTGCAGTAACTGCAATCGGCAGTGTAGAAAACTTTCCCGATTACAACTTTGTTAGGGGATGGTCATATTGGAATCGTCTCTAAATTGCAATTTTTAGTACTAAATTCAATAAATAATGATAATAAACACTCTACTCTTCTTGTTAATATACAAATAATAAACACTGTGAAAATTTAATAATAATTACTAGTAATTGGAAAAAAATGATTAAGAATAAAAAAAAAAAAAAGTGAAAAAAAAAAAGATTCTCATTGTTCAAAGTTCATTTTTAATTAACAAATCATATATATTTTATACATTATATATATATATACACATAATGGCAACAACACAATCAAATCAAATGAATGTGATTCATGCCATCAGAGAATACATCAACAAGATGTTGGAAAAGATTGATGGTATGAAAGTATTGGTATTAGATCAAGAGACTGTATGTGTTTATATATTGTTGTTTGATTATCATTAGATCGATCTATATATCTATATATTAACATAACATTATAAATATAAATTCATTCATACATCTTTCACATTTCATTCTAACATTTTAGGCTGGTATAGTTAGTATGGTATATACACAATCAGAGATTCTTCAAAAAGAAGTATTCTTGTTTGAAAAGATAGATAGTGGATCTGCAGAAAAGATGACACATATGAAAGCTGTTTACTTTGTTAGACCAACACAACATAATGTCTCTAAAATTGCAGATGAATTAAGAAACCCAAAATACTCTGATTATCATCTATGTATGATTGACTCTCAAATATTTAAATCAATCATTCAACAACAAATATATTAATACTTTTATTATTAGTCTTTTCAAATGTTATAGGTAGTGGATTTATTGATGAAATTGCAAAGGCAGATGACAAGGATCTAGTAAAAGAAGTACAAGAATTCTATGCTGATTTTTATGCAGTTAATCAAGACAGTTTTAATTTGAATATCAATGGTGCTTTGACCAAGAATACATTGGCATGGAAATCTGATATTAATCGTATTGTTGAAGGTGTATTTTCAAGTTTATTGGCACTAAAGAGAAAACCAACCATTCGATACTCTGAAAAGTCTGAAGCATCTAAATTTTTGGCTGCTACTCTAAATGTAATCCATCATCATCAATCATTTAATCATATCTTCATTTGTTCAAAATAACTAATAATAATTCATTTATCTTAGGATAAAATTTTAAAAGAAAGAGATTTATTTACATTTAAACAACAATCATCATTGTTGTTGATTTTGGATAGAAAGGATGACCCAGTAACACCTTTGCTTCATCAATGGACCTATCAAGCAATGGTTCATGAATTGTTGGGAATTCATAATAATGTCGTCAATCTCACAGGTTCCAAATTTGATCCAACCAAAAAAGATCACACTCCAACTGCTCCAGGCCAAAAAAAGGAGAGCAAAGATGTCATTTTATCAACAGAACAAGATGCATTCTTTAAAGATAACCTTTACCTAAACTATGGTGATCTTGGTGCTAGCATTAAAAACCTTGTTGATACATACCAAGAAAAAATGCATACAAATGCAAATATTCAAACTATTGGTAAGAAGATAAAGAAAGATAAGGTATTTTTTTTTTTTTCTAACATTCTCTTTTATTTTTAGATGATATGAAAAAGTTTATTGAAAATTATCCAAATTTCCAAAAGTTTAGTACAACTGTTTCAAAACATGTTAGTTTAATGGAGGAATTGAGCAAGAGAATTAGTGAAGACTTTTTGATGGATATTTCAGAGATTCAACAAGAATTGGCATGCAATCACGAACACAACACCGCCTATTCGACAATGGTTGAAGTATTGGAGAATCGTAAATACAACTTGCAAGATAAATTGGTATTGGTACTATTATACAGTCTTCGTTATGAGGATGGTAGAATTTGGGAGTTAAAGGAATTGTTGGCCAAGTCTGGTCTTTCCAATGATGAGATCTCACTCATCTCTACTTTGCATGATTATGCAGGTGCCAACAAGCGCGAAGGTGATCTCTTTGAAAATAAGAATCTCTTTAGATTCGTCAAACAAATGGCCACTCGTGGTCTAAATGGTGTCTCTAATATTTATACTCAACACAAACCTTTAATTCACGACATTTTGCATCACATTCAAAATGATAAATTATCAATTCAATCTTATCCATTTATTTCTCCTCAAACTACCAGAGAAAAGTAAGTCAAGTTTTTTCAAAGTAGTACTTTTCAAAACTAATATGATGATTATTTTATTTATTTATTTATTTATTTAGACCAACAGATATTATTATTTTTGTAGTTGGAGGTATCACATTTGAAGAATGTTACAATGTATTTACTTTCAACTCTATGAACAAGGGATCTGGTAAAGTAGTTTTAGGTGGCACCAACATTCTCAATTGTAAACAATTCCTAGATGATTTACGTGGCCTAAGAGTTTTAGGAAAATAATTTTTTATATCTAGATATCAAAACAATCTTTTTTAAATAAATAATTAATATTAGCGTTGGAACAAAAAGATTCTCAGAATGTTGTCGTTTTTTTTTGATTTTTTTGAATTTTTTTTTTTATTTTTTACAAAAAAACCGATGCCTCTTCAATTCCTCCAATTTGTGGCCTTGGCCTCCGCACTAATTTCATAGAACTTTTAGACTAGTAGTAATAGTAGTAGTATTAGTATCGTTTGCTGTGCACGTTATGACATCTACTGTTAGTAATTCATTGGCTTCCGATAAGGAATCTTTAGTTTTAAGAACATGGAAGGTAAAATATTATTATTATTATTATCCGAATATATTCATCATCATCATCATCATCATATGACTTATATATATCTATCTATATATCTATCTATCTATATCAATATATTTTTAGGCTAAAGGAAATACAATTGCAACTGTTACATTTATTCATGGACTTGGAGAACATTCAGGTCGTTATGAACATGTATTTAGTAAATTTGCTGATGAAGGTATCACTGTCAATGCATACGATCAAAGAGGTCATGGTACCTCATCTGGTCCAAGAGGTCATTCTCCATCATTGGAACAGTCACTCAAGGATGTTACATTGATTGCATCAAATGCCGAGGCAAACCTTCCACATTTTATCTATGGTCATAGTTTTGGTGGTTGTTTGGCTCTTCACTACACTCTCAAAAAGAAGGAACAAGCTCCAACTGGTTGTATCGTTACTTCACCACTCATTAAACCAGCTACCAAGGTATCTTCTGCAAAGATCTTCTTTGGTAATCTCTTTGGAAAGATTATGCCAACTACCACTGTCACCAACAGTGTCAACGCAAGTCACATCTCAAAGGATGAACAAGTTGTAAAGGCCTATTTGGAAGATGAACACGTTCACAACAAGATCTCTCTTGGTATGGGTAAATGGTTACTACAAAAGTGTGATCAACTCATCACTCTTGCCCCACAATTTGAAGCTCCACTCCTCCTCATTCATGCTGCTGACGATAAGATTACTTGTCCAAAGGCATCTGAAACTTTCTTTGATAGAGTTGCTTCACAAGACAAGACCCTCAAGTTATGGGAAGATATGTATCACGAAGTTCACAATGAAAAAGATAAGGACCAAGTTATTGCTTTTATTTTGAGTTGGATCAAGGAGAGACTCAATAGCTCTGCTGTCATCCCACCAACTGCTGTCGAGGTTGTCGTTGTTCAACAAGAAGAAAACAAGGAAGATCCTACTTCAACCACCATCTTGGTTTCTACTGAACAAAAGAAAGAGGAATCAGCTCCAGTAGTAGTCGTTGAGGAAAAGAAGGAGGAATCGGCTCCAGTAGTCGCTGAAGAAAAGAAAGAAGAATCAGCTCCAGTAGTTGAAGAAAAGAAGGAGGAATCGGCTCCAGTAGTCACAATCGATGAAGTTAACCGTATCGCCAAGGAAAAGGCCGACCAAGAGGAAGCTGACCGTATCGCTGCTCAAGAAACCGCTCGTATCGCCAAGGAAAAGTCCGATCAAGAAGAAGCTGATCGTATCGCTGCCCAAGAAACCGCTCGTATTGCCAAGGAAAAGGCTGACCAAGAGGAAGCTGATCGTATCGCCAAGGAAAAGGCTGATCAAGAAGAAGCTGACCGTATCGCCAAGGAAAAGGCCGATCAAGAAGAAGCTGATCGTATCGCTGCCCAAGAAACCGCTCGTATCGCCAAGGAAAAGGCTGACCAAGAGGAAGCTGATCGTATTGCCAAGGAAAAGGCCGACCAAGAAGAAGCTGATCGTATCGCTGCCCAAGAAACCGCTCGTATCGCCAAGGAAAAGGCCGACCAAGAAGAAGCTGATCGTATCGCCAAGGAAAAGGCTGATCAAGAAGAAGCTGATCGTATCGCCAAGGAAAAGGCTGATCAAGAAGAGGCTGATCGTATCGCTGCTCAAGAAGCCTCTCGTATCGCCAAGGAAAAGGCCGATCAAGAAGAAGCTGATCGTATCGCCAAGGAAAAGGCTGATCAAGAGGAAGCTGATCGTATCGCCAAGGAAAAGGCTGACCAAGAAGAAGCTGATCGTATTGCCAAGGAAAAGGCTGATCAAGAAGAAGCTGATCGTATCGCCAAGGAAAAGGCCGATCAAGAAGAAGCTGATCGTATCGCCAAGGAAAAGGCTGATCAAGAAGAAGCTGATCGTATCGCTGCTCAAGAAGCCGAACGTATCGCCAAGGAAAAGGCCGATCAAGAAGAAGCCGCTCGTATCGCCAAGGAAAAGGCTGATCAAGAAGAAGCTGATCGTATCGCCAAGGAAAAGGCCGATCAAGAAGAGGCTGAACGTATCGCCAAGGAAAAGGCCGATCAAGAAGAAGCTGATCGTATCGCTGCTCAAGAAGCCGCTCGTATCGCCAAGGAAAAGGCTGATCAAGAAGAAGCTGATCGTATCGCCAAGGAAAAGGCCGACCAAGAAGAAGCTGATCGTATTGCCAAGGAAAAGGCCGACCAAGAAGAAGCTGATCGTATCGCTGCTCAAGAAGCCGAACGTATCGCCAAGGAAAAGGCTGACCAAGAAGAGGCTGAACGTATCGCCAAGGAAAAGGCTGACCAAGAAGAAGCTGATCGTATCGCCAACGTAGAAGAGACTCCATCAACTGAAGAAAAGAAGGTAGAAGAAACCCCATCAACTGAGGAAAAGAAAGTAGAAGAAACCCCATCAACTGAAGAAAAGAAGGACGAAGAAAATAAGGATTCATCATCATCGTCATCATCTGATGAAGAAGAGGAAAAGAAGAGTGAAGAAGCAACCCAACCAAAGCAACCACAACCAGCTCAAGCCAAGGGTAACAAGAATAACAAAAAGAATAACAAAAAGAAGAATAACAAGAAGAAATAAACTTATTCATCCACTTAATACGCCTGTTAATTTTTAAAAGCCCAAATTTCCAACCTTTGAAGTTTCAACTGGTCCATGAGTCATGCAACCTCACTTTTTTCTCATTCATTCTAAAACTTTTTTAAATTAAAGAGAGAGATAAAAGAAGATGACAAGTAAATTAATTGAATGTGTACCAAACTTTTCAGAAGGTAGAGATCAAACAGTAATCGATGCAATTAGCAAAGCCATATCATCAGTTCAAGGATGTACACTATTGAATGTTGATCCTGGTAAATCAACAAATAGAACAGTGTATACATTTGTTGGTACACCAGAAGCAGTAGTTGATGCAGCTGTTGCAGCCACTCATGTCGCACACAAACTCATCGATATGAGACAACACAAAGGTGAACATCCCCGTATGGGAGCACTTGATGTATGTCCATTTGTGCCTATTCGTAATGCAACAATGGATGACTGTGTTGAATGCTCCAAGAAATTCGCTGAACGTGTATCTAGTGAATTAGCCATCCCAATCTATCTCTACGAATATGCATCAGATCAATCAAAACCATATCGCAAGCAACTCCGTCAAATCAGAGAAGGTGAATATGAAGGTCTCTCTGAAAAGATTGTAAAACCAGAATGGAAGCCAGACTTTGGACCAGCCACATTTGTCCCAACCTATGGTGCCACCGTAACCGGTGCTAGAAAGTTTTTGATTGCCTACAATGTCAACATTCTTGGTACCAAAGAACAAGCTCATCGTATTGCACTCAACGTTCGTGAAGCAGGTCGTAGCGAAAAAGAACCAGGAACTCTCCCAGCTGTCAAGGGAATCGGTTGGTACGTCGAAGAATTCAACATGGCTCAAGTCTCTATGAATTTGGACGATTACACAATCACTGCCATTCATACTGCCTTTGAAGAGGTAAAAAAAGAGGCCAGTCTTCTTAACCTAGCTGTTGCAGGTTCAGAGATTGTTGGAATGCTCCCATTGGATGCTATTCTCAAGGCTGCAGACTATTACATTGAAAAAGAGAACCTCTTTATCATTGATGAACAACAAAAGGTACGTCTTGCCATTGAGCGTCTCGGTTTGAGCTCTTGCAGTCGTTTCGAGCCATCAAAGTACATTATCGACTATATGATCAAGGAAGATGCTTCTGTAGCTGCACCACTCGTCAACATGACTGTAAAGGGCTTTACAGAACTCTTGGGATCACGTACTGCCGCACCAGGTGGTGGTAGTGCATCTGCTTTGATTGCTGCATTGGGTGCTGGTTTGGGTGCAATGGTTGGTTGGATGACCTATGGCAAGAGAAAGTTTGAATCTCTTGATGGAAAGATGCGTCAACTCATCAAACCACTCGATGAGATTATGCGTGAATTAATCCCACTCATTGACGAAGATACAAAGGCTTTCAATGACTTTATGGCTGCGCTTGGTGCCAAGGAAAACAAACAACAAAAAATCGAACAAGCTACCAGACAAATCATGTTGGTACCACTTAAAACGATGCAAGTCTCTAACAAATGTTGGATCCATCTCATTGAAATGGCAAAGTATGGAAACTTTGCTTCAAAGTCTGACCTCGAAGTAGGTGCCAAGGCTCTTGAAGCTGGTATCTGGGGTGCTTCTCGTAACGTTTTCATCAATGCCAAAGATTGCAAGGACAAAGCTTTTGTTGATCCAATCCTCAAACAAGCAAATGATATTTTAAAGAATAGTGAACAATCTTTTAAACAAGTATTGGATGTTTTAGACTCAAGAAATGAATAAATCAAAATAAATTAAAATATTTGATGTTTGGGAAATAGGGGTTTTTTTTTTATTGTTTTGTTTCAAATTGCAGTAGTTTAACAAAGATTATGACAATGTACAAAGAGAGAAATGGAGGTATCAATTAGAATAGCACAGAACAATGAAAACGATAATGATATAAACAATGACAATTTAGCATCAGAAGTTGATCCTATCAATCCAAACAATCATATCAATAATAATGATATATCATCAAACAATGACAACATAAACAACAATAACAACAACAACAGTAGTAGTAGTAGTAGTAGTGTCGGAACTAATATAACAAACAACTTACAAACACTATTTGGAAGTCAAACATCATCCTCTGGAGGTTCATTTCCTTCATTAAACTCTTTGATATCTTCATTTCATAATAACAATGGGTTAAACAATAACAATAGCAATAACAATAATAATAGCAATAATAATAATAATAATAGTAATGTAAATATTCAAACTTTAAGACAACTTTTAAGTAATCGTGGAAGAAACTTACTTAACCAACAACCAACTGATATTGATTTTAATAACAATCATAATAATAATAATATTTCAATGGATGATAACTCTGATATTGCAATCAATATAAATAATCTTCATCAAAACAGACAAACAAATGTAGATGACGACTCAACCAATAATGTAAACGACCCAAACAATAATACAACAAATAATCCAACAACCACAACTACGACCACAACCACAACTAGATTGGATCTACCTTCACTGATGAAATGGCTAGAACAAAGCTTTCCTTTTATCACTATACTATTTATAGTATTCCTCTATAAACATCGACATTCTATTCTTGTCTTTATTTGGCAACAAATCATATTTATTCAATCCAATCAAACTCTTAAAACCCAAGTAGCTCTAAAGGTATATAATCCATATAAAGTGATTCTGTGACACAACAAGTACTAACATGTTTGAAAATCCTACATATATATATATAGGATAAAAGAAATTTGGGTGTATTATTTTGGTTGGTTTTATTATTATCTGGTAATATATTGATGACCTACCTATTCTATTCTTCAAGTGAATTATGGAAAGTATTGATCCTATTATCACCAACAATCAATATCGATATTTACAATGCATTTTGGGTTACCATTTTAAATGGTAAGTAAATGATATTTAAGAATCCTACGATTGCTCATATTTACATACCATTTTTCTTTCTTTAGATTTTATTGCTAGATTTATTACAATGATATTAAAATCTATATGTATTATGTTGGTTGGACAAAGACCACCATTTAAACGAAGAGCGCAGTTGTACACTGTAATTGAAGTTACATCGCACCTTTACAGAACTTTACTTCCCATTGGTATTTGGTTCAAATATTTGAATTCATTGCATTCTGAAGGGGAGAGTATATTTGGGTCATTGATGGTAGGACTTTATTTTACATTCAAGTTGACATCTGTCGTCGAAAAGAGTAAACAATGGTTCCAAACAGCAAAGGCTTATATCCTCCGAGAGGTAGTTTATGGACGTATTGCAACTTCTGCACAGATGTTGGCAGCAGGCGATCTTTGTTCCATTTGCCAAGAAACAATGGATTCACCAATTGTACTCTGTTGTGATCATATATTTTGCGAAGAATGTATATCACAGTGGCTGGATTCTCAAAGAACATGCCCTCTTTGTCGTTCTGCCATTCCTGGTCCAAAGACTTGCCATTCCGATGGAACAACAAGTTTACTATTACAAATTTTTTAATAATAAAATTTTGAAATTTATTAAAAGAATGATATAAAAACTTTGATTATTCTACTTGTTCAGATTCACACACACGCATATATATATAATAATAATAATGATTTTCAATTTATATATATTTAACAAGAGCGGTATTTGTATATACTATGAAGATTGGAATAAAAAGAAACCATTTGGATCGAATCTACAAGAAGAACATAAACTATTATTCGGTTTACTTCATTCTTTAAAACCTTTTCTCTCTAAATCATCACCTAAACCTTTGTATGTGTTGTTGTTGAATACATGTATTCAAGTTGAATGCACTCTACTTACAATGATCATTCATCATTCATTCATTCATTTATACACACTCTTTAGGGCTGACGCAAGAACAGCATTTCATTGTTTAAAGACATCAACATATAAATTACATTACTATGAGACATTAACTAGTTTAATGTTTGTTGTAATGACTGATCCCAATTGCCCAGATCTTAGAGAAGAGCTAAAGAAAATCTATAGTAATATATTTATTGAATATGTAATTAAAAATCCCTTGTACAAACCCAACTCTATTGTCAAATGTGAATCATTTACCTTGCAATTGAACCAATTCATCAAACAAATACCTTATTTTAATTAACACTAAAAATAATAATAATAATAAACCCATTTTTTTTGTATAATTAATTGATTTTTATTGTTGTGTATAGTTTGGTATTATTAGATGTGATCTATATCTGGTTTCTGGTTAATTTGAGTTTTCTAATAATAATGAAATTAAATTATATTCTATTGGATAACGTTGTTGGATTGACTGTTGAAGTTCTAGTAATTCTTTCTTTTTGCCATGGTGGCAATAGTGAAGTGCCAATTCTTGATAGGCGGCATGCGGATCAAGAGTGGTGGCAATCTTGAAAGCACGTTGGGAGCACTCAATGTCATTTTTGCTTTGACAGAGATGACCAATGTCGATACATTTCCTGGCCAAATACGATAGACTATTATCTTCTGGTGGTATGTTGTCAGTGGTCGAAAGTGTTTGGTGAGATCGATAGGTATCGGCAAGTAATTGAACCAACTCGAGTGATGATTCATAGGCTTCGTTATTAATACAGATGAGGAATTTGAGATAGTTGGAGATGCCGCCCAAGGTCAAACACTCTTGTGGGTGTCCTCGTACAGTGAGGAATTTGGCCATCAAATAGTGATACTTTGGGTCGACCATACTGGCACACTTGACAGCACTTTCAATCATCTCTTGTTGCACCAACATAAAGAATTTTAAGAGGTAGTGAGTCAATGGGAAGCTGTAGAACCGATAGTTTGGATCGACAGCAATAAGTGCCTCATTACTAATACCGACCAATGCAATTGATCCAAATGGACGATATTGTGGCAACAATGAAAAGGTTTGATTTGGCTTATAGTTGGCAAGTGATCCAGATGAATTATCATAAAGGTCCTCTGGGAATGTTACTCCACTTGAACTTGATAATATTAATGGTGCACTTTCATGTTTATGTGGGAAAACTAAAAAAAAAAAAAAAAAAACAAAAATTAGACCCATTACAAATCCTAATTATGATTTTTTGTTTTTTTGTTTTACTTACGACATTGAATATCATTTGGTGTTGTAAAAAATAAAGTATTATTATGCCATAGAGCACTGGTAAGAGTGATTGGCCAACGACTCAATAGATGAATCGATGGACGTAATTTAAATACACAGAAATAATGGGTATATGCAAATACGCAATGAGTTTGATTAAGATCCCAGTAAACCTTGAGTGGTGGTGGCAAAGAATCACCGATTGGTTGGAGGGTCCACCAATCGTAGAGTTGGAATGATTTTGATTCAACCTCTTCGGCAGTTGGTTGGATTGGCGTTTCTTGAGAGACACTTGTAGAGGAGCCAGTTGGAGAAGACGATGACGACGAAGAGGTCGATGTAGATCCCGAACCAGCGCCATCTTTACACTCTCTACTGTATATTCCGAGCAAGAGACCGCTCATCATTCTATCGTCATTGGTGTGGAGTAGGAGTTCTTGTGAAATGTTGGTCGAAAATTCCTTTGTCTTTAGTAGTATTTTAGAGGCTGTTTCAACTTCTTTTGGTTTTTTAACACTAAGACTAAGCAATTTCTTCTTTTTTACTGGATCTGCTGCTTCAAAGATTCTCTCTAGACGTCCAAATTTTTCTGATCCATCTTTTCCGCGACCACTCCAAGCAATATCAAGTGATGAACCCTTTTCTATTTGTTTGAATGTTCCAATTTCATATACTACATAAGTCCCACTAAACAGGGAAAATATAGATAGATACTTTCCATGGGTACTGATTTCGATTCTATAGGGCTCATTTGTTGGTAATGCTACTTGTTTAATAATTGTCTTTTCACTTGTTACAATGTTTGAAAGTGGTAATGAATTTAAAAATCCTTGATTTGGGAAATATACCATCGACTAAAAAAAAAGATAATATATGTATATGTATAAATTAGCAACACAAAAAATTTTCTAATAAATTAAATTTTTTTTTTTTTTTTGTTTCTACTTACATTATCAATTGAATTGGTTGCAGCAAAATTTGGGATTGAAGTTGCCATTGTTGAGATTAAATAAACATTTCTATTTACCCAACAAAAGTGAAGATGTGGTAGTACAGGATGTTGAATTACTTTGTAGAGCTTCATCTTTTCTTTTTTCGAACCAATTAGTTGATCAAAGTCGATGAGATGTTCTTTGGCTCCTGTTGAGGGAGTGCGACTCATGAAAACAATTTGAGCAGGGCTCTTTGAAGAGAGCAAGAGATCGGTATGTTGGAATCTTGGATGGTAACTGATATCTATACTTTGGAAATCACGTTTGCCACAAGAAATACGTGCTACCTCTCTGAGAGTAGCAAAGTCATATTGTACAATCATACGATCTTGTCCGGTGAGTGCCAATAGATGATTATTAAAGTGGTCGTATGCTAAATCTATAATATCATGTAGTTTGGGGAATTGAGCGGCAATGGTACCAGTACGAATATTCCAAATACAAGTGACACCATCACTACCAGAACTTGCCAAAAAGTCACCCTCCAACTCGATGGCACGCATGCGAACGATTGATGCATTGGTTTTTTGGTGACCTCCAACCAATGGTCTTTCTAGTTCCCATTTATCAACATTCCATAGTCTAACTGTGGCATCGCTTCCACCAAAGGCAACAAGAGGTGAGTTTGAAAAAAATTCAATCGATGTTGGTGGCTTAAAATCAAATATTGGTATCTTTACATCTCTTAATCTTTGTGAATGATAATTTAAAAATACTATTCTATTATCTGCTACAATTACAATATAATCATCCAATCCAATATTTGATCCTTTTTGATTATTACTTTGTAAATTTAATTTTCCTAATGATGTTTTCTTTTAAAACGAAAAAAAAGAAAAAGAAAAATTATTAGTCATAACTCTATTTAATATAATAATTATTTATATTTACTGGTTTTCTATCTTTAACTTGTCGTGTATATCTATCATAAAATTGAAGGAATCTAATTTGACCCAATTTTTCAAACTTTTCAATGTCACTGGCCTCTCCGATTGTAGCCGATCGACCACTAGTATCTATATTTGGTCTTCCAAGTGTATTGTTTGGTGATCTGTGCATGGTTTGACTTTGTCCAATATTTGGTGATAAAGTATTAAAGTTTGTAGCAACTAGAGGAGAGGTTGGTGAATTTGAAGTTGGTGAACCTCCAGAGGAAGCAACACTACCAGTACCCGATGTTGGAGATGCAGTCGATGCACCACTACCATTTACATTTGAGAGACTACCACTCTGATTACTGCTAGTGGTAGAGGTGAGAGCAAATGGATTTGGAAGAGATGCAAGAGTTGGTATACGCTTTTGGAGTGTCTGTTGTTCTCTTCTCTCTTCTTCGTGTTGAGTTATCGAAAAGTTTAATATCTTTTGTCCATCTACATAGTTTTGTATAATGATATTATTATCACTATCTGTATACAATAACCAAGGATGAACAGGATGAATATCCATAGGGGCAAAGTTACCACTGTTTTGATTAACCTTTCCCTTGAATACTATATAACTTTGTGCATCTGATCTACTACTACTACTATTGATTGTTGAAGAGGTTGATAAAGATGATGATGATGAAGAGGTGGTGTTACTAATAGAAGAGGATGAAGATGTTGTTGTTCCATTTGACATTTTTTAAAACTTTATCAACAACCCAATCTTACAATTTCTCTCTCTCTCTCTATCTCTATAGGTATATAAATTACTTTTGGGTTGAATTTAGATAGAGTGAATAGATGACAGTGGCTATAATAAGTTTGTTTTAATGATACAGTTAACAGTAAATAAATTGATGATAAATTTGATGAAACTCAACTTGTTTGAGATTTAAACCCTTTTTTTTTGAAAAAAAAAATTTTCCCAAAAAAAAAAAAAAAAAAAAAAAAAAAAAAAAAAAAAAAAAGAAGAAACAAGAGACAAATTAAAAAATCGATTAAAGTTATATATATATATAAATATTATGGATAAAATAGTAAAGACTTCATTAATAACTGTAGGTCTTACAGCAGCAGCATTAACAGCAATACTTGTATACCTCAATCAAGATGACAGCTCTGGTGAACGACAGGAAATTAGAGGAGGTGCTAGCAGTAGTGGCAGTGATGAATATACTTCATCTTCAAATAGTCATGAATTGTCATCTGACACTTCTGAAGAAGGTATGAATTGTAGTAGTAGTAGTAGTAGTAGTAAGTGTTAATAATAAACATTTCGTTTCATTTCAATTTCTAGAGGGAACAGTATCATCACCAAGGAATATACATGATTATCTTAGAATGTTGAGATACGATGATTTCAGTGATAGTTATATCAACAAAAAATTAGAAGCTGCTCAAGTATTATTATCAATAAGTGCCTATTGTATGTAGTATGATGAAACAGTAGAACGATAACAAGTGGTGTGCACTATACCTAACAATCTTTGCTCTCCCTTTTTCTCAATTTCAGCTGAGAGTTTTCCAATGCTCGAAGAATTGGATGTAATTAGTAATATATTGGAAAATATGAACTATATACTATCACTAGATGTAACAAGTCCCGTTCAAGATGTATTATTGATAAAATTGGGCTTATTTTTAGGAAACCTTTTAGCCTCAAAGAACAGTCAGTTGAGAGTGATCGATAATCGTTTTGTTCCAACTCTATGTAATTTAATCAACGATAAAAATTTCGAAAGATCTGACTTTTCTTTGTTATGTTTACAGAATTTATCATTAAATGGTAATATATTAAAAAAAAAAAAAAAACTGTATAATGATTAATTTATTGATATACTAATAATTTTAATTTATAGAAGAAGGAGGTGTAGAGATTATAATATCACATGGAATTGATTCTTTTATTCGACTATTGGAAAGTTCAAAACCAATCAATCTAAAAAAACAAGCATTACACACAATTTTAAATATGTCATTAAATAGAAAAGTAAAGGTCATGATTGACAACAATGAAGGTTTATTAAGAGCCTTGAGCCATTATGCTACATCTGGTTCTAATCAGGATTTGGTTAATATTACAACTAGGACTTTATCATTGTTGACATCAAATGAAGAATAATAAAAAACAATATAGAGGTATATACAGTATCCTGTTTGGATTGGTTTTAATCTTGTTGGTAAGAGCAATTAGACCAGAGATAATGGAACCCGATAAGAGAGAGAGAGTAGTCAATTGAATCATCCATCCCCATCTTTCTTGAAACCATAAATCTGAACATCTAAAGATTCGCCATGAATGATTTGAAAAACATGAGAGATATCTTTTTTTAATTAATTAAAATTAAATAAATTTATTTTAATTAGGTTTTTGTGTTGATGTTCGATAATGTAGTTAATTAAAGGGTATAATTAACATGTGATTGATTTCGACGGGATGTTAGTATTACAATTAGGGGAGTTTTGACATTTGTTGAATGGTTATTATTATTAATATTTTAATTTTTTTAGAATATTCCTCTACCCCAGATTCTTGCTGGATTGGTTTTAATCTTGTTGGTAAGAGCTGTTAGACCAGAGATGATGGCACCTTGATTAGTAAATGGGAAAAAATGATCAGTTCCAAATGGAATAGCAACAGAGTTGGTAGAGAGTGAGGCCATAAATAGTTGACGGTCGATCCAGTCTTGGTCAAAGATGGTTTCATAGATGTTGACATATGGGAGATCCTTGAGTGGGTTTGGACCCTTGACGGCATAGGTAAAGTTGAGTACGGCAGAAGAGATTACCATGATGTTGAACTCTTGTACGGCAGTCTTGAGGAACTTGTTGGACAACCAAATTTGTTGGGACGATGAGACAGAGTTTGGAGTGAAACCAAGGGCAACAGTTCCGTTGGGGAAGTAACCAAATCCGAGAGCGACATTACCATCGTTGGCATAGGATTGAAGAGTACCCATATTGTTCATGCTCATGTAGTTCATATAGGTGTTGGTGTAGGTAATGATCGATTGTTGATTGGCAGAGATGAATCCCCACTTACTATCGGTACCGTCAATGGTCATAATTCCTGAAACCTCCTTGGGGTAAGTGAGAGAGAAGACCTGGGTAAAGATGGAGCCCCATGACCAACCTACGAGAATGTATTTTCCGGTTAAACCAGCGACTTGGAGTGAACCACGGAGACGCAAGACATAGTCTTGGGTGGTGATGGGGTATGGGGCAGAGTCACTCCAACCGTAGCCGTAACGATCGATAAAGCAAGCTTTGCTAATGTTCCACGATGGCATTTTTTGGAGAACCGATGGAATGATGGAAACCCAGGCTGTTGAGAAAAATGGAAGACCGGCATCAAATAGTGCAATTGGACCTTTTTGATTGGCAGAGGTGACGTTTGAATAACAACGAATGTGCATCTTTAATCCAAGGTATGATGGATAGTGTGAAACACCTGGATCGCCAGCACCGAGAAACGATGTAGATACATCTGGGAGTGTTTGTTGTGATGTTACAATTGCAAAAAAGCAAATAAATAATAATAAACAAGTTGATAATTTAAACATTTTTTATGGATAGATCAAAATTTGGATTGTTGGATAAAGGATATTGATAAAATTAAATGATTACTTTTGTTGTTGGTGGTGGTGGTGGTGGTGGTGGTGGTGGTGGTGGTGGTGGTGGTGGTGGTGGTGGTGGTGGTGGTGGTGGTGGTACAATGAAGATAATATTACAAAGGGATGGTGGTAGTAGTACAAAATATCTTGTTTAGAGATATTATATGAATAGGTTGTATTTGTTTTACAAGTAGAGTGAATTGAAGAAAACAAACATGAGGCCTTGTTGATTTATAGTTTGTTGTTTCTCATCATCATGAATCTCTCGAGAAACGGTTACAAAGAAAAGAAGAAAGGAAGAACATGTGCAGCTACGCTAATCATAAATAGTTCCGATAACACTACTACACAAAATTGTCTTTGGTGATCTTTTTTTAGAGCCTCTATAGATTTTGATAAGCCATCCTCACATTATAAAACTAGTCGATAGATGTTCATCATCGGTTTCAAGGTTTTGTATTGTGCAAAGCAAGAATCCTTTGAGACAAGAAGCTGGGCTCACTCGGTTCTCCCGTTGCACATTTTAAAGAGATTAAATGGAGATTATTTTTTTCTAATCGAAAAATCAAATTAAGCCCATAGTCCCCATTCAGTATGGAGCATGGTTCCTACGATTTGATGGGTTGACTTGGTCTCGAAATAACAATATGAGATGAAAATCTGCCAGAGAGATTGTAATCCCGAAAGACATTATCTGATTTTTTGATATCAACCATAACAAAAGAATGATGATTTTTTTATCTGTTGCAATAAACAAATACGTATTTATTGTTTCTCATCATAGTTGTACGATTTACAAACTCCCTCGGGTGCATGACGATGATCGGACTTATGATGATGATGATGATGATGATGATGATGGATAAATACAGCCCAATATAGATCTAGATGAGGCACCAGTAACCGATGGAAGGTTCGAAGGTAGATTATTCATTGTTCTAAATGCCATCCACGCAAATGCCAATGCCTCCATATTTTGTGAAGAAACACCTTGTCGATCGGTTGCTTCGACAATGACAACAGAGTTTTGATAATTGTCATTGTTTATCATCTGTCTGATTAACTCTACCAAACCAATATTCCTTGAACCTCCACCACATAATAGTAATCGATCTAATCTATCGACTCTGTTATTTCCAGCCATCACCTTTTTAATTTGAGATGTAATAGTATAAGCTGTTAATTGTAATAGAGTTCGTTGTACATCTTCACTTTTTAATGGTTGATTTGTTTCCTTTTCCGTATCCTCTAAAATTGATTGTAACCATTTCAAATTATATAACTCTCTTCCTGTACTCTTGGGAGGTTGACGATCAAGATAGTCCAATGTGTTGGTTATCAATCGATCAAACAAACATTGGTTTACCTTTCCAGATAGAGCCCATTCTCCATTATTGTCATATTGACACCCTTTGCATTTATTTATCCAGCCATCCATCAACACATTACCAGGTCCTGTATCAAATCCAATAATTCCCTCTTTTTGATCATTGTTGTTTGTTGTTGTTGGAAGAATTGTAATGTTTGCAATACCACCAATATTTAAAACAGCTCTTGTTTCTATTGGGTCAGATAAAAGTAAATGATGAAATGCTGGTAGCAGAGGTGCTCCTTGACCACCTAGTGCCATATCCCTTTATAAACAAAATAGAAAGTTGTTAGCATAAACACAATGATTATGTGTGTTTAAAGGACAATTATAAGAGACACTGTACTATATACCTTTGTCTAAATTGACCAACAACAGTTATATTAAGCTTTGAAACGATTCTATGATTATCACCCAATTGCATAGTAAACAAAGGTGTAGTGTTTGGTGAATGCCAAACTGTTTGACCATGATTACCTATGGCTACTATTCTCTTTTTATCAATGTTTGTTGGTAATCTATTCAGTAAATATTGAATAGCATCTGTATAAAGATCACCCAATCTTGCATCTAAAAGACCTATCTGACCTATACTAGTTGGGTTAGATGTTGATAAATCGATTACTTGATTCTTTATATCTAGTGGTATAGGATATTCAATTGAATAGATCTCTTTTATAACTAGTTTCGATGATGATGATGATGGTTGCTGCTTGATTGATGCTAAAACTACATCAACACCATCCAATGATGTACCACTCATTACACCAATATAAAGTGGTGTTTGATCATCATCATCATCATTATTATTATTATTATTATTATTATTCATTATTCTCTCCTCCTCAAAATAGAAATCAAACAATATATCTTTAAAGATTAGATAAAATATGGTCAATTTGTTGTTTTTTTAAATTAAAACAATAATGGTGATAAGATTTTGTATTTATATTTGTTGTTGTGTAAATTTACATCTTTTTTAAATAATTCATTAAATCTGCATATTCTTGTTGTTCATTTTTATCCATTTCCTCTTCTTGATTGTCATCGTCATCTTGATCATCATCTGCATGTATGTAACCATCATCTTGATCATCGTCGTCGTCTTGATCATAATCATAATCACCATCCTCATGATTAGATGGCGATGATTTCTTTGTTTGTTGTTTTTCCTTTTTGAAATCATAGACGACCTTGGAACCCTTTGATTCATCCAAGTCTCTTTTTAATTTATCCCATTGTCTTGTTTGTTTCTCCAAAGTTTCTTTTTCCTTTTCTTTTTTGTTTGTCTCTAACTCTGTCTTGTAATACTTAAAGTAATCTTCAGATGCCTTGTCGACTACTTCAAAAAATTCAGAAATACCTGTACCATCTACTGCTGATACTCCTACTGTCTAAATTAATAAATATAAAATTAAATAAATATAAATAAATAAATCAATAAATCATTGTTGATTATGAATGCATCGAATTCTATTTATAATTTACCTTTAAAGTTGAATAGAATTCATCCAATACTAAACTCATTGAACGAGTAAGAGAACTCATATAGGTTTGATCACCAGTGAGAGCATCTTGAAGTGAATCGAAATCACTCATCCATTGTTCAGCAAAATGATGACTAGTAACGTCGACCTTGTTAAATGCTACGACCATTGGTAATTTACTCTTGTACATGATAGAGCAGGCATACAACATATTTGACATAAAAGTTGTTGGATCTATGGTACGTGGTGTATCGATGACATAGACCAATACAGTTGGAAAGGAACTAGCCATCAATTCGGTGATAATGCTACCAGATGCAGACCATGTAAACACTTCTATTTGACCTGGTGTATCCATGATGATGTATTCTAGTTGTGGTGCACGCTTTTCGACAATCTCTAATACCTTGTCAAATTTAGTAGAGAATAGATTGAGAGATGTAACGATTGCACCGTTTGGTCCCAATCCATATTGTTTCATTACTTCTTTGTAGTTTACAGTGTCTCTAATATCAATGTTGGCAGTATATGGTAACTTTGCAACTGCTGGATCTAGATTAATGATATAGGTTGCAATCTTGTTTTGATATACATGTGCTCTCAATCTTTGTAACAATGTAGTCTTTCCACTACCTGCCATTCCCAATATAATCATATTAATTGGTTGTTTTTGTTTTGTTGAATCATTATTATTATTATTATTATTATTTATATCACCTGCTGCTGCTGCTGCTTCTGCTGTATTTGATGTTGATGTTGTTGTAGTATTGTTATTATCTGTCATTGTTTTATCGTATTGTATCGTATCTTGTATCGTATCGTATTCTCTTTTCACTCTTATTTAAACAAAAGAGTATGAATGAGATGAATATTGGTTCGTCATCTTCAACTTCTACTTCGTTTTTATAATATTTTCGCTCAATTTTCCCTTGACCGACAAAAAAACAATACTAGTCGATAGTCGATTTAAATCTATTATTGCTCATCTTTTAACAGACAGATAGAACAAGAAAAGAATGAGCAAAAGCAATAGTACCACTACTTCAACTTCAACTTGTACAAAAGAAGAGGTAGATGAATTGCAAGAACAAACAAATAACCTAGAGATTAATCAACAACAACAACAACAACAACAACAACAACAACAACAACAACAACAAGATGATGATATTAAATATATTGATAACAAATGGTTAAAGTCATTAAAGTTATCACCCTCTGAACACTTGCTTCAATTAGATCGTGTACATTGTCCATCATGTGGAAAAAAGAGAAAGTACTTTTGCTATGATTGTTTTATTCCTTTTGGTGATATCAATTTAGCACCAAAATTAAATTTACCAATCACTTGTGATATGTAGGTTAAATATATAGATCGTGTAATGGATTATTATTATTATCATCATCGTCATCATCATCATCATCATCATAATTACTCATATACATAATCTATATTTCCAAATCTTTTAGTTTACATTATCCAACAGAATTATTATCAAAAAGTACAGCAATACATGCAAAAGTTATTGCCAATCAAGATGTTACCATTCATGAACACCCAAATATTCCAGAGTATGAAAATTTGGATGAAATAGTATTACTATTCCCCTCAAAGGACAGTTCATTTGTCAGCGACTATAGTGAGGCCGATATGAGTAAAATTAAAAAGGTTGTTTTTATTGACAGTCAATGGCACACTGCAAATCGTATACTCAAACTTGCACAGGTAAAGAAAATTAAATGCATCAAGATACATTCTCACAAGACTCTTTTTTGGAGACACCAAAGACATGGAGATGAATTCCTTGCCACCATCGAAGCCATCTATTACTTTTATAAAGAATATCATCTACGTATGAATAATGGTCAATACAATGGAGAATATGATAACTTGCTATACTATTATGTACTATTTTATAATTTAATTCAAAATACCTATAAACAATCACAATTGGGTTTCAAAAGAAAAGATAACTATATTCAACCTGATGACATTGATAATCAAAATAATCAAAATAATAATAATAATAATAATAATAATGAAAATAGTAAAAAGCAAGATCAAGAGTAATAAATTATATAATTTATTGTCTCTTATTTATTCAATCCAACCAATATATATATTCTAGTATTTAGAACCAAACCATTTAAACATGATAGAATTTAATGCCTCATTTCCCATGATAAATAGGCAATCTATCACTTTTAAATATTTCTTTACTCCAGTTTCTTCGTTGGCCTCTTCCATCCTTTGCATTACAGCGGTAAATGCTTTTTTGGTTCTTTGGCCTTCCCTATCTTCTACAGGTGGATTTGTTGGTGTTGTATTCTTTGTACTGTTGGTGACGGTGGTTGAACTATTATGATTGGTTTGATTTGAATGATTAGAGGTAGTGGTACTATTTGTAATACTACTATTGGTATGATTTAAATTAATAGAACTAGTACCATTAATGATGGTTGCATTATGATTTGTACTAGTATTGTTCTTGTTTAGTGTATTATTTTTTTCTTGCTCAGTTTGTATATTATTTTGATTATCCTCTTTTAGGTATTTGATAAAATAAATATTAATATTAAAAATAACTTGAAATCAAGTATCCTACAAATAAATTTATAAATACCATTAAAATTAAATTCTTGGTCCAAGACTAATTCTTCAGATAAAGGTGGTGAAATATCTAAATAATCTCTTTCTATATCCTTTAATATTGGACCTAAATCATTTCCATGATCATCATGTAAAGATGGTATAACTGGATATCCAGGATATATTTCAGCTCTTACTATTGTAGTTGTAGTAGTGATTGTTAATAGTAAAAGGAAAATAATTGATAAAATGAATGAAATCATTGATAAATTATGGGGAATATTGATGATATTTAGAATGATTAGAATGATAAATTATACCTAGTACAAGTAAACAACAAATCGATTCCTAGAGAAATTAATTTATTATTATTATTTTCACCAATCAATGCTTATCATAATATTAAATTAGTATTTTGATTCAACGAGAGAGAGAGAGAGTTAACCCCCAATAAAACATCGTTAAAACGATCGTTTGATGCATCACTTTGGATTACAATCTACAAACTCTTCTTACCAACCACACAAGTATGTAAATATTTAAAAAGTGTTTAAACGAACTTCATATTTATTTATATATTTTACATATTTTATTGTCGACAAAACAAATGGTTTACTCTTTTTCATTAATAGTTGTACTAACAACAACAACATAACAATAATGGAGGTTGAACAACAACAACAAGAACAACAAGAAGAGACTATATATCAACTCGAAAATGTACAACTAGTCATAGATACAACGTCATTGGGTAGTGGTTCATTGATTATTACCAATAGGTAGATATTTACAGATACAAATAAGTTATATAATACGACTACAACTATTTTATTGATTCAACTTTCTCTCTTGCTGCTTTTAGATTCGTAAAATGGAATAATTCAACACAATACTATCGATTCAGTTACTTTGATCTTGGTTTGAACGCAATTCTTTCTGCAACGCAAGATACTCCTGCTTGTATATACAGTCAATACGATCAAATCATACAATTACATCATGATACTAAAAATAACAACACAAATGGAAAAGACGACAATCAAGAAGATGAAGAGGAGGATGAAGAAGAAGAAGCTTCACAATATACAGAACTTAAATTTATTCCATTCGATACCACAAAAAGTATGTTTACATAACAACAACAACAACAACAACGATAGTATCAATTGACTAACACAATCAATAATATCATAGTTCAAGAAATATACGATGCCATTTGTAAAGGTGAATTATTAAATCCTGATCCAGAAGAACAAGGTGAAGGAAATTTCTATTATGGACAACCATTGTCTGATGATGATGATGATGATGAAGACCAAGAAGAAGAAGAATATGATGACCAAGAAATGGAACAAGATCAATCTCAATACAAAAATGATAATGGTGATGACGATCAATAAATTGGAAATAACCAGCTCTTCTCTCGATACAACATTTAATTAGATTAATTGATTAATTTTTATTTATTTATTTATTTATTCCAAGCATAAGTTGCTCTCATACAACTTTTTTTTTCTTTTTTTCTACTCAATATAAAGATTCAAAAGTAGTGATAATATCATCAAAAGTCTTTCTATAGGTTGAAATTAATTTGTTTCTAATTTCTTCGTATTGGAATCTTGAGACAGACTTGCTCGATTGATCCTTGTTGGAACGTTGCTTGGCTTCGTGATCAGCAATTTGAGATTGGATTTGTTGAAGTTGAGTAGACTTTTCGAGGAGATCCTTCAAGTGAGTGGAAAATACTGGATCCAAAGCAGAGACTGTGCTAACAATCTTGTTGGCAGTGGAAGAGAGTGATTCCTTGTACTTTTGTTCGAGTGTTTGTTTGGCGACTTGGAATTCTTGAGCGGTACCAGTACGGGCAAAAGTGTTGATGGCATCTTCCATGTCTTGGTGATATTGTACACGACCGTCAAAGAGTTGCTTGAATTGTTGAGCATTCTTTTCAACCTCTGGTGTACGAGCAACCTTGTTTGATGAACGCTTCAAGAGCGAGAGATCGATACGGGTAAAGACAATGACAAAGAGACACAAGCAAAATACGGCACCGATGGCAAGGAGTGGTTCGTGGAAGATGGCCAATGGTGAAAGATTGTAAGAGATGACGATTGGTTCATAGTTTTCAAACGAGGTGTATTCAGTCTTGATTTCAAAAACTGGACGACCAACGGTATCAAAGAAAGTCTTACGAATGTCAAAGCTTTCTTCAACCTTTGAGGCACCACCAAATGGAGTACGGACAACCTTGATATCGGTAGCACCCTCTGGAAGGATAAAACGAAGAGTATGGTCTTGGACGAAAATGTTTTCAATGGAAACACCAGCACCTACAGTGAGTTGGAAACGACCAGTATCGGTATCTTTTTGGAGGAATGGAGCAGTTGGAAGGTTGTATCCAGTGTAGAATTCATTCTTCCATCCACCTACCAATGGGAAACGTGGTTGAATCTTGAAAGCAGTCTCGGTCTGCTTGGGATAGTATTGAGAGGAAGAGATGTTTCCAATTTCGTCACGGTAGTAAAAGTCGGCAGATTCTCTTGGAACGATTTCAGTAATCTCTGTGATGTGAGATGGAGCAGAACCAGCTGGATTACGTTGAAAGTCGAGACGTGAAAAGGAGCCAGTCCACTTGGCACCTCCATGGAGGATCCAGTAAAAGGTTTCGACGGCAATGTTGCCCCAGTGTGATACTTCATACTCTTTGATGAGATTGGTGAGACGAAGGAATGGTTGATTGTTTTCATAGTGAACAGTGACCGATGAGAATGCAAGTGGAGCAACATTACGGAATGGTCCATAGACTACTTGTTGTCCCTTTTGTGTGGCTGTTTGACCATCGATGACAGATTGAGTGTACGATTCTACCTTGCTTGACGATAATTTAAACGTTGACTTTTGGCTCTCTGTTTCATAGGGTGATGTAAAGTAGGCATTGTCTGTGAATCTAACCAATTGGTTTTGTCCTTGTGATATCGTTGGTGGATAGGCTACTACTTGATTCATTGAAATAATCTTTACCTTTAATATTAATGTACTATCCTTTGAATAGGATTTATCCAATTCAATATCATATAAATTAAATCTAATTAAATAATAATAATAATAATAATAATAATAATAATAATAATAATAATAATAATAATAATATGGTGGGTAAAAAAAAATATTAAGTATAAAGATTGGTGGTTTGATTGATTGATTGATTTTTTCTTACTCTTGATTTTCATTTGATTTAGTAGTGTATGATTGAAGAATGTTTAATGATTTCTTTTCACTATCACCAATAAAGGCTTGAATTTGTTGATGACCATCTACAAAGGTTGGAATGGCAACTGTATAGATGTTGGTACTTTGTGTTCCTTGATTCTTTGCCTTGATTTGAATGGTTTGTTTGGCAATTTGAGTTGAAAGGTCAATGGTTCTAGTTACATCATTGTTGATCCAATTGGTCTTTACAATGTTGCTAGATGCTGCTGCTGATGATGATGTACATAACAATAGAGCAATGACACTGATTAACAATGTGACGAATAGTTGAATTCTCATTCTCTTCTCTCTCTCTCTCTCTCTCTCTCTCTCTTTACTCCTAACAACAAAGATTGATAGTAATTAACTTCAAAAAGGATCCTACATGTGTGCACAGCAATCAAGTTCACCAAAGGTTGAAGTGTCATCAAAAAAAAAAAAAAAAAAAAAAAAAAAACAAAAATAAAAAAGGTGGGCCCACACAAAAAAACAAATAAAAAAAAAGTCAAGGAGGATCCTTTGATTTCTTTATTTATAAAGTATAATAGGGTTTTTTTTATAAAAGATACAAATTAATTAAAAACCTTTAAAAATATTGAAATCTCTCGCTCTCTCTCTTTAGTTTTCTGGTTTTCTTCCACACGCTTCTTGAGTACTCAACAACATCCAACCGACAAGCTGAACCAATTAAATTTATTTTTTTTTTTTAATTTTTGGTCAATTTTATTTTTTTGGTCGCCGCAACAGACAAAACGAACGAAAAAACATTTGAATATTTGTTCGAATTCAAACCCTCCCAATTTATTTCTCTTATAAATACATATAATATTAAAGAATGTCAGACGAAAGTAATTATCTCCCATCCTCCTTACAGTAGCAGCTGCAGCAGCAGTAAAAGTTAAAAGATGATGAAAACCTAACAATATTGTTTTTCTTTTTTTTTTCTCTCTTTTATTTACTCTTTTCTCTCTCTCTTTTTCTTTCTCTATCTCTCTCTTTCTTTCTATCTTTCTCTTTTATTAGTGGAAATTTCTTTAGATGCCATCACATCAACTCAAGTCTTAAACAGAGTCAATGCTTTGGTCAAGCTCCAAGTATGTTTGAACCATTTATTTTTTGTTTGCTGTTTATCTCTAACACTTTTTTTTATTTATTTATTTATTTATTTATTTATTTATTTTTATTTATGTTACTCCTCCTCCTCCTCCTCCTCCTCCTCTATAGGATCAACATGATGACCTCAACCTTGAAATGGAAAAGGAAATCAAGGCTATTGAAGCCAAGTACCGTGTTTTATACACTCCATTATATGAAAAGAGATCTCAAATCGTCAGTGGTGCTGTTGAACCATCTGGTGATGAGATTGCTCCAAAGGAACCAATTGAAGTACCAGATCTCAAGTCTGGTGCCGAAAAGGGTATCCCACAATTCTGGTGGACTGCCATGAAGAACCACCAACTCATTGGTGAAGCCTCTGCCGATTCAGAGCATGACGATGATATCTTTGCTTTCGTTAGCAACGTTAGCACTCAAGAGCCTGAAGGAGGTGATGAATTCTCTGTCACCTTTACCTTTGCTGACAATCAATTCTTTAGCAACAAGGATCTTACCATTACCGTCAACATTAACCAAGAAGAAATGGATCTCGATAGTATCGATGTTACACCAATTCAATGGAAGGACGGTAAGAACTTTACCGTAAAGAAAGTTGAAAAGACCGTAAAGAAGAAGGGTCCAAAGGGTAAGGCTGCCAGTGTCTCTACCAAGACCATCGAAGAAAAGGTACCATCTCTCTTTGCTTCTCTTTTCCTCAAGCACGAATTGCCATCTGCAGAGACTATGGAAGTTGAGGACGATCAAGATGCTTCTGAAATCCAAACTCAATACCAATGTGCTGTCATTCTCAAGGAAACCATCATTCCAAACGCTGTTGAATGGTTCTTGGGTCGTGCTTCCGATGATGATGATGGATTCGGTGGTCAAGAAGGTTATGATTTCGATGAAGATATGGACGAAGATTTTGATGACGAAGAAGATGATATCCCACAAATCAAGCCAAAGTCCTCTAAAAATTCTGCTGCTGCCCCACAACCAAATAACCCAGAATGCAAGCAACAATAAACAACACACATCAGTAATATAGGTCATACATTTATAAAAAGTTATCTTTTTATTATTTTTCCATCCATCCATCCATCTCTCTAACAATATAACACAAATAAACTAATACTTTTAAAAATAACAATTATTATTATTATTATTATTATTATTTGTTTTGTTGGATTTCTCCGTCGAGATTCCAATTATATTAATATATTATTATTATTATTATTATTATTATTATTATTATTATTATTATTATTATTATTATTATTATTATTATTATTATTATTATTATATTGCCTTTTTGTTTAAAATATCATCAACTTTTGTTTCAATGTACATGAATAGATGAATCAATAACCACAAATCCAAGATAACCAACTACCAGTGAAATGAGGAGTGTTGATTTCTTTAATTTTGAATTGTGAAGTAATTCCGGTAGAATTTCACATGTTGTTATAAAAATAAATGTACCTGCTCCAAAACCCAAAATAAATGAAATTGTAGAGGATTGAATGATTCCATTAAATAGAAATGAGGAAACAAATGATCCAATTGGTGTCATACATGCTATAAATATCATTGATGCAAATGGATGATATCCCTTTAAATTGATGGTGAGAGAGAGAGAACTGGTTAATGGATGAATGATATATCAGGTCGGTTTGACTAATACATACAAATATTTTTTGATTCTTTGACAACAATATGGAAGACATTACAAATCCATCTGGTAGTTTATGGATAACAATGGCAAGAGCAACTCTTGCACCAATTGATGGTGATGCACTATAGGCACCTGATATTACCATTCCATCGACAAATGAATGTATGGCCAATGCTATTAATGTAGTCAATGATAGGGTTGATGTTTTTGATTGTGTTTGAATGTTTGTTGAAAGAGTACTACTACTACTACTACTACTATTATTGTTGTTGTTGTTGTTGTTGTTGTTGTTGTTGTTGTTTTTTATAATGATATCATTGTCAGACAATGGCCTATTTGGAGTTGATGAATTTGAGGATGGATCATCTTGATCGTTATCATCCTTTTTGTTTGAGTTGACCATCAAAGGTGATCCAAGTTCAAATGAATCTTCAAGGTGATCTTCTTGTGGTACCAAGAGATTCGTACTATTATAACTATTATTATTATGATGATGATGATGATGTTTAATATCTACAGAATGGTGGTGATCATTATCTTTACTAGAAATAATTGGATTTGAATGACTGTGACCATGTACTCCACCATTTGGATCGGAAAAGAGTAAATCTAGAATAATCAACAAGATGAACCCCGATGCAACACCATACATTGGTATTCGTAAAGATGATTCATTATCTCCTTGATCATCGTCGTCGTGATTATGTTTGGTTTCACTGGTCTGAGGAGGAGGAGGAGAAGAAGAAGGTTGTGTAGATGTTGATTGGATAGCCAGACCAATAGCTTCTGGTAATAATTCCAATGTAGCAACTGAAAATAGTAAACCAGCTGATAGAGCTAATAAAATATTGTATTGATTAGATGATCCAACACTTGTACTATGATTACTATTACTACTACTACTACTATCTTTTTTATTTTGTTGTTGTCGTCTTTGAAGATAAAAGAAAAAGAGAGGTAATGATGATGACAGGATCGGTGCAATACCTGCAAGTATAGAGTAAACAAATAAAGACATGAATGAAAATGATAAGAAGAATGAAAAAACAATGAGTTTCTTGAGCTATTAATTTGTTTTAATAATTCACACCCAAAAAAGGTGATTTTTGAGAGATGATCCAATTTACCAAAGCATCCTGGTTCTCAGGGCGGGTAATTAGATAGAGTATGAGTCACTCTGGTTTTATTACAATTTATAAAAGACTTTTACAACAACTAAATTATTGTTTTGGTTGTTGTGGTGGTTGTTGTTGTTGTTGTTGTTGTGGAATGGAGTAATAGTATGGAATTGGATAATATTGTTGTTGTTGTTGTTGTTGTTGTTGTTGTGATTGTTGTTGTTGCATTTGTTGTGGGAATGGATTATTAAATGGTACAAAGTATTGTTGTTGTGGTGGATAAGCTCCTCCAAATGAGTTCATTGGTTGTAATTGTGGATAGAAAACGTTGTTGTTGTTGTTATTTGGAACAACTGAACCGTTTTGTTTGTAGACAAAGGTTGGATTGATGGATGGGGCAATGGTGGTTGGTTGTCTGACGTTGTTGTTGTTGTTGGTGGCGACTGAACAGATGGCAGACTTTTTAAAGAGGCATGTTGATTCACCATTCTTTTGTTGAGCAGAGAGATACTTGATGTATCTGGCGTGGTATCTCATACAGACAGAGGTAATGAGAAGGTAGACGATCGATGAGATGGAAGAGGCAAATGAGTATCTGAGTGGGGAATAGTAAGAAATGATAAAGGTGAGAACACAGGCCCAGAAAGCAGAAGCAAAGAATAAAATGACAGATAAACTAAAAGAGGCAATGTGTATAGCTTTGGAGCGACTCAACAAGGCAAGTACTCCCAATACAATTGGTGCAATGAATAAATATTTGATTGGTGAATAATTGAAAATAATGATTCCTAATCCCTAAAATAATAAATGATAATAAGAATAATGTGTCAATAATAATAGTAATCATTCCAATCTATTTGTTGATAACATACGTTTTGTAAAATCAAATTCAAGATGATAAGACTAATCATCAAGCAAATGTTTGATTTCTTGATAACTGGTACTGGACGAGCTGGTAGAACATATTGAACATTGGGACTGTTAACGTTGACGGGGACATCGATTGGGATTGATGATGCTGATGTTGGTGGTGCAATCAATGGTGATGACTCTGATTGTGAGATGTTTTTGTTTTGTTGATCATCTTGTTGATCATAGATTTCTTCATCTATTTGAACTCCCATTCTCTTTTACTATTTATTTATTTATTTATCTATTTATTGATTGATTATTTTGTATTAGTTGATTGCGAAGATGATCTCTTTAAAGTCTTTGCTTGGAAGAGCAAAAATCGAATTTAATTTAATTTTTTTTTTTTTGACTAACTCTCTTGCGTTCTTGGGTCGACCAATTCCTTTGTTTTGAAGAAACCTATTTTCTAGCCAAAGCAAGGTTCACAATTGTTGCTTATCCAAGGAAATTAAAAGTTAATTTATTCATAATTTTTAGTTTATTTATTTATTTATTTAAACTCCAGTAATAGAAGAATATTTCATAAAGTTTGAAACGATTTGAGTGAATAGTTGAGGTGATTCTGCGTGTATCCAATGACCAGTGTTTGGTACCATTTCAATGGTGGCATTGGGGAAATATTTCTTTATAAGTGAATGATCTGATGGTCTGATATAGTTGGAGTTGCCACCACCTACAAATAATGTATCTCCAAAGAATTGTGGTGATGTTTTACTGGATATGGCTGTTGGTGATTGATCGGCTGGGAATTTTGATAGTTCTCCTAGATTAGATAGTATTGAATCAACATTGATCCTCCATTTATATCCGCTACCATCATTTGATGTCGTCAAATTGGTCAATAAAAATCTTCTAACAATTGTATTCTAAAGACAATCATAGATCATAATTAGAATAACTTATTTAATCTTTCATCATTATTATTATTATTATTATTATTATTTAACAACATACACTTTCAATTGGAAGGAAATAATCTTCAGCTTCTTTTCTTGATTTTAAAGTATTTAGATCGAGTGATTGCATTGCCTTTAAATATTTTGTAAAGTCTTGTAAAGTAGATTGTGTAAGAGTATTTGGTGATATGTCTACAATGATTAGTTTATCGATTGTATTTGGATAGAAAAGAGAGTAAAGCATTGCAACCTTTCCTCCCATACTATGACCTACCAATGATAGATTCTTGATTGAATGCTTTTCAACCAACGCTTTGATATCTTCTACCATTGCTATTAAATTGAATTCATCTGTATGTTGACTAGATCCATGACTTTTTGTTGTTGGTGATGGGTGGTGGAACATAAAAGTATTAGATATTTAGGTTACATATATATATATATATATATATTCTCTTGATAGAAGACAGTACTGCACATAATAACCTACTTTCTTTGATCTACCTGATAAACATTACAATTAGCTTCTTGTGCAATTTTAGGTGATATCGATCTCCAATTGGAAGCAGCACCAAATAAACCATGAAGAATGATAATATTGTGTGCACTATTATTATTATTATTATTATTGGTTGGTGCATTGATCAATGAGAAGTTGAGATCAATTGCTTTGTTGTTGTTGTTGTTGTTGTTGTTGTGATGAGATGTATTATTAGAGGTAGAGAATGTTGCTAGATTACTACTACTACTACTACTACTACTATAATAAACTTGATTGTTATTGTTATTGTTGTAACTAGAGGTATTATTATTGTGTTGTTGTTGTTGTTGGTGGTGGTGGTATGTAATGCTTGTTGTTGTTGTGTTGGTCGACAACGAAGAGAGGGTGCAGCCACTAGCAGCACCAGCACCAGACAATGATATTATTGGTCTAAGAAGAGAAGATGTAATACATCTATTTATATAACAATTCAACATGTTGTTGTTGTTGTTGTTGTTGTTGTTGTTGTTGTTGTTGTTGTTGTATGTTGTATGAATTAATCTACAAAAAAGATCAGTCTTCTTTGTCGTCGTTATCATTCATTACTGGACGAGATCTTAATAAAACAATCTGCGGGACCACTAAAATTTTCAAATAATTTGGTGTTGGAGGCAAACCAAAGAAAGAAGAAAGTCGTATTGATGGGGTTTCCGCGCTAGTATTACAGTGGTACAGAGAGAGAGTGACAGATATCTCTATAGACAACAACAACAACTTATCTAGTAGTTTAATATATCTAAATAATAATAACAACAAAAGAGAGAGAGAGAGAGAGAGAGAGAGAGAGATAGATAGAGAGTAGACTATAACAAGATATCTTATATCTCTATATATATATATATAGATAGATAAGATAGATAGATAGATATAGATGAATTATTGTGCACTATTTGATCCACAACTGTGGAGACAAGAAAAGTGTAGACATTGTTTTAAATCAGAGTCTGAACACAGATACTCTAGGTAGATATCTAATACTATTTACTGCTACCACCTCCACTAGTGAGTATGCACACCTATATTAACATTATTTTTTCCGCCGTTTATACACACATAGAACACAATCACAACTCGAACTTAATTTTAATAATGATACGACGAGCAACACTAAAAACAAACAACAACAACCAACCACCAAACAACAACAACCACCTCCACCAAAACCTAATCTTCCCTCCACTCCATCATCATCTTCAAAATCAACATCCTCATCAGGTGATGGTACACCCAGTAATCATGGATCCAATAATAATAATAATAATATTAGTAGTAAGAGTGGTGGTGGTGGTGGTGGTGGCTCTGGAGGATTAAATAAATCAAAAGGAAATATAATGAATACTACTCCATCGGTTGATAGAGCACCACTATCAATCAGAAGAACTCTAACACCTCAAGCAATTGAAACATTCTCAAAAAGAATATTCCAAGGTTCTTCTCCTTCTTCCTCTCCAAACAACAAACAACAAGCTGTTGTAGGATCACCTACTCTTAACAATCCATCAACGACGACTACGTCTTTGTTACCACCAACGTCACCCTATTCATCACCAAGACCTGCCGCACCTATACCAATCAGTCGAAAGGATCAATCTCCAACTAGTCCAAAACCATCATCTGCAACTGCTGCATCATCTGCCTTGTCATCTAGTCCATCTACTCCTTCATCGGGTAATACAAACAAGATGATTAAACTATTTAATAGTGGTGGTAGTGGAGGTACCTCGGCTGTTGAACAATCAACCACCACTGTCATTCCATTTAAATTACAACAAGAACAATCGTCAAATTTGTCATATTCTGACTCTTCATCATCTCAAGTTGATCTAGAAAATGAGGAACAAGACGAGTTGGAAGACAATCAAACATCACCTTCAAATTCGTCTTTGATTCATCTTGTTGAAACAAGACAATCTAGATCTCAATCTGATATACCTCATTCTTCAACTTCAAAGGATTTATTAGATACTAGTACTGTACCATCACTTAAAACACCTTCAACACCGATTCCACCATCAATCAGGAAACCATCTCATCATCATCACCATCCACAAAATGATTCATTATTGTCGATCATTTATCAACAAAAACATGTGAGACAAAACGATTTATCGCCACCATTATTGGGATCATCGCCAGCTAAACAATCACCATTGTCTTCACTCAATTCAATGTCTTCACTCTCTTCTTCATCGACAACAATATCATCTTCCAGTTCTTCATCCTCCTCCTCCTCTACTTCGCCTTCATTTTCAAGTTTACCATATACACCTTTATCTTCTAGTTCTTCTTTAAATAATTATTTAAATCAACAACAACAACCACAACAACAAAAAGAAGCACAACAATTAAAAGAACCTCAGCAACAACAACATCCAACACCAAATAGAAAATATACAATTGCCAAAGGTTTAATGAAATTAAAAAAGAATAATGGAGATTTTAAGAAATCATCAGCCAACAATACACTAAAGAGAAGTAATATTGCCAATTGGGTTGATACCAATAATGATATGTTTAAAATATTTAATGCAATACAATCAACATTGATTTCATTGCCAGGTATATCACCAAACGTAGTAATGAACATTATGGATATTCTATACAATCAACAATTGGATCTATCATTTTACACTGGTGTCAATCCTACCTATTTGGATGGTATAAGAAATGCAATAGATACCCTACAAACATGGAAAACTGCACAAATCTATGTAAAGGATGTCGTAAAGGTTCAGAGTTGTGTTCGTCGATTCCTTGCCAAACGTAGGGTTGATTGGTTGGCTTCAACATACTCTAAATCATTGTTGCGTGAAAGAAATATAGCTTTTAGACAGTTGATATACGAAGAAAGAAGATACAATAATAATCTAAAGATTATTCTAGAGCATTATTACAACAAACTCAATGCTGCACCAAGTCATATCATTACCGATGATGACTTTAATGCAATCTTTTCATCGATTGACGAAATATTTTTGGTTCATCAAAGAATATTGGAACAATTTGAACAACTTCACAACAAATGGCCTTGTGTAGAAGGATTGGGTGATATCTTTTTACGTATTGCTCCAGAGTTAAAGGTCTATGGAAACTATGTAAAGAATTTTAAAAATGCAATCGATACTTTGGAACGTTGTAGAAAGGAGAATGTTAAATTTGCAGCATTCATTGATGAATGTTGCCAAAATACTCCAGGACAAGTATATGATTTGATGGCACTCATTGCAACACCACTCAACCATTTGTCAATGTATCAACGTCAACTCTTTGCCATTGCCAACCATACACCTTCCCATTGGCCAGATTATGTAAATATTATAAACTCTGAAAAAATGATGAAAGAAGTTGAACAATTGGTTCAAGATAATCTTGCTCAAGCTCAAAATGCTGCTTCTCTCTTGAATATTTATAGAAAGGTTAATAATAAAAAATTATTAGATCCTGTAAGTAAAAAAGAAAAAAAAAAAAAAGAAAAAAAGAAAAAAGAAAAAAGTAAAGAAAACAATATATTAATTTATATTTGTATTTATTTAGTTTGTAATACCAGGTAGAATTTATTTACATGAAGGAAAATTAGTTAAATTTGAAACAAAAAAGCAAGATCAAGTTTATTTTTACTTTCTTTGTAATGATATTATACTCTTTACAAAAAAACAACGTGGAGGTGGAGATTTATTGAAATTTAAATATCTATTCCACTTGAATGATATCATTGTTTCTGATCAACCTGATAATAATCGTATGTTTCGAAAACATAGTTACCATTTATTATATAAAAACTAAACCATTCTCTCTCTCTCTCGCTCTCTATTTAGTTCATAAATATATTATTAGTATTAGTAAAAAAGGAACAAATGATACTGCTGCTGCTGGAAATAATATTAGTATATCATTTTCAGTAGAAGATGGAGAAGAAAAAAGAGGATTACTAAAACAATTTAGTCATCTAACTACTGTAAACAATTCAACAAAGAGTAAGAAATTAGATTAATTATAAATGGTGGTTGAAATTATTATTTATTTATTTATTTATTTATTAATATTATTTCTATTTAGTATTTGGAGTATCTATTGTTGATCTAGTTAGTAGAGAAGCTGAAAAAACATTTGTACCAAATTTCATTTTAAAAGCTTCAAATGTATTATTAAATCGTATGTGTCTCAACTATAAATATATATATATATATCTATAGATTACAATGTCTAAATAATATTTGTCATTCTTATTCCTTTTTTCTATAGATATAAATGTAGAAGGATTATTTAGAGTATCACCTAATCAATTAGAGGTAGATACATTAAAGGAAACGATAAACAAGAGTCAATCATCACAATTGGAAGGTATTTTGCAAAAAGCAGGACCACATCATGTTGCATCGGTATTCAAAGCATTCTTTAGAGAGATGATACCACCACTATTTACCTATGAATTGTATGATAGAATCATTGAAATTGGTGACAGTCGTGGTGTAGAGGCACATGAACAAATGAGACGTGTCAAAACACTATTACAATCGATACCACAATGCAACCAAGTTACATTACAAGTTATTCTTCTTCTTCTTGGAACGATTGCCTCTAGTAGTGATAGGAATAAGATGACCAATTCAAATTTGGCCATTGTTCTTGCACCAAATCTAATTAAACCTTCCTATCAAACCATTGAAACTTCACTACAAATTCCAATCATCAACAATCTAATCAGTCTCATGTTGGACAATTATCAACTTTTATATAAAGATAAATCAGTATCTATTGTAGATAATAAATTTATTATTACTACTACTGATTAATCAAATAAATCTTAATAATAATAATAATAATAATAATAGTTGTTGATATATGTATAAATAATTAAATAAATAAATAAATAAAGTAAATAGTAAATAATAGTCTATAATTTCACAAACCAGCAAAATGGGTCAATTTCATTGATTGGTTATTGCTTCAAACAATAACAACAACTCAAATTTAAAGATGTTAAGAGGAACAGCAAATCTTATGCATAACACTGTTACATCATCAACAACATCAATGTCACTATGGGAGATGATACAAAAGGTATCAGAGAGAGCTACACGTATTGGTGCAATAGAAAAAATAGAATCTCATCCTGTATTCATTAAAGAATCAAATGTCAATGTAAATGATTAAAGCTATCTATATATATATAGATATAGATATAGATATAATGCAGTCTGTTATATATACATATATCTATAAATTATAAATGATAATGTCAACTGATCATCATCTATTCTATCTATCATCATCATCGTCAAACTGTAGTTTATGTTGAGTGTTGCTGGTGCATTGGCAAAGAGACCTTTTAATTTTGATAAATCATCATCAACTTCTTGTTCAACATCACCATCACCATCACCTTGTATTAATAACAATCAAAATAATCAAAATAATAACGATAATAATAATAATAATAATACTATACTACAAAAAAAGAAACAATTTATTGATCCATTTTTACCATGTGATAAAGATCTATTAGTTTGTGATCTATTTGGAACACATAATTTGGTATTAAATAAGTTTAATGTTTCTAATCATCATTGTATCATTGCAACTACTGATTATCAAGATCAAATTGAACCTTTAAATAGAAATGATTTCAAAGCAATGTATGTATAAAAAGGACTTTACTTTTACTTAGATTAATATTATTTATTATTTTCTTTATCAAATATAGTTGGGAATGTGTAGACAAATGTGATATGTTATGCTTCTTTAATTGCGGTGCACAAAGTGGGGCAAGCCAACCGCACAAACATGTACAACTACTTAGAACACCTTATTTTGAAAATGAACAAAACCTTAAATGTCCTATCGAATCTGTCATTAAAAAGCATCTAAAAGGACCTGATGTCATTGTCAATGTAGATTCACTTGGATTTCACAGTGCTGCTGTTCAACTAGATAAATCAAAACTTTCAGATGACTCGTCCTCATTGGATCAAAGAGCACAATATTTTGAATCAAACTATATAGATCTTTTGAATCATTTAAAACTAGTGGTACATGATAATAATAATAATAATAATAACAAAGATGATAATGATGATACTATTCAAAAGAAATATAATACAGGTGGTAATAGTTATAATTTTATAATGACCAATGAATGGATGTTTGTTGTACCTCGAAAATGTTATCAATCAAATGGAATATCAATTAATAGTGTAGGATTCACTGGTAGTATATTGGTACGTAGTGAAAGGGAAATGGAAACAATCAAACAACATGGAATCGTTAATATTTTGAACGAAGTTTCCTATTCACCACCCAAATACTGATAAATAATATTAATAAAATAAATACAACCTACTTTTTATTTATTATTTATTATTATTATTATTATTATTATTTTGATTGTTGTAAAACACCTTTTATCATTGGTAATTGAAATGAACTTGAATTGGTATTAACAGAGTGTGTAACTCTAATGTGTCTAGGTGTAAATTGAATAATCAATCTATCTCTAAAAGTAGTTTCAACATAAACCAAATCTAATAAAAGTGTACGACCATCAATCCATTTGCTTGTAGAGGCAACACAAGAAGGTGTCAAAGATTCATATTCATGATGTAGTTGTGATCGATTAAATCTAGTTACACTATCTATAAATATACCTCTCTGTCCAATTGGAATAGTATGTTTACCTTGGCTGTCTCTTAGTGTGAAAAGAATAGATTCCTTTTCAAAACTAAACATCATCATTTTAATGTCGGGGGCCGATGCACGTTTTACTGGATTACCATTGTCATCAACTTCACTGTCGACAACAAAATCTACAAATTTTTTAGCATGTACCAACTTTATGGTTGGATCTGGTGAATCTTGTACCAATTCAAGTGTTGATAACCGTTTTCTGAGTTTGAGCAGAGATTCTGGGTCAGCTGGTATTTCATTGTTATCGGCTGAAAATGCCTTTGGGAAATAATTCCAAATAAAATCGTTTACAAAGTTACTTTGAGGTGGTACTCCAGCAAAGATTGACAATGTTGCATTGTGGCTAGGAAATACAACATTCAATTGACCAAACAGGCCATTCATATAGTAAGCACCATTTGGTCCAAGCCACCATTGATAGCCGTATCTTGTTTCATCATCATCTTGATGGTTTTGTTGAATCTTTTCTACCCAATCTGCTGGTATCAGTTGCTCTCCTTTCCACACACCCTTGTTGACAAATAAAAGTGCCAACTTGGCCATATCTTGTAATTTACAAGAGAGACCGTTGGCTCCTGGTGATACATCTGCATCTGTTGTTGAATCTGGCCATTCATATTTAATTCCAAGTGGTCTGAACAATCTTTCATTGAGAAATTGTGATGCTGACACAATTGTTGTTGGTGTTGATGTGATTTGTTGTTGTTGTTGTTGTTGTTTTAGTACAGCAGTGATGATGGCAGACAACATGTATGTAGAAGCAGAGGTGTAGAGAAAGGTTGTTCCTGGTTGATTGACAACTTTGATTTTATAAAACTCATCGATCCAACTAGTCTTGATCGGTCTCCACACAGATCCAGATACTTCCTTTTCGTGACCAGTACGCATAGTCATCAAATGACCTACAGTCATATCTTTTAGTTTTGAGTAGTAATCTTGTTTTTGAATGTCAATCGATGGTGGATAGAATGATACGACTTTTTGGTCTAATTCTAGTTTGCCCTCTGATATGAGTAATACGGCAGCGCACACCAAAACACTCTTTGTCATTGAATGAGTCATGTGAACACGATCAGCACTATAAGGTCTTGCGTATCCTTCAGCAACTACCTTGTTGTTTCTCGTCAAAAGAAATGCATGAATTTCAAATGCTCTTGACTCTAAATCATCAAACATTGATAAAAGTATTCTACTTGATACTCCTTGTTCCTCTGGTGTATTTTCTAATTTCGTTGTTATAGTCATTATTATTATTATTATTATTTATTATTTATTATTATTTACAAACTAACTAAAAGTTAACAACAATAATAAGAGTAGTAGTTGGTATGGTTCCGTTGAAACAGGGAACCTTCTAAAAAGCTCAATTATCAGAACGCCTTTGTTTTTTTTTTTTTGGACAAGGTTTGTCCGGATGAAACCTTGTCACTTGCAACAACAAATAGAGAGGTACCAACATCAATCTCGATTGTCATTATTTATTTATTTATTTATTATCACTTTGCACAGTTATTATACCATCACCACCAGATACAATTCACACGCACACACACGCACACACTTAGGTTTCAGATAATAAAAATTGGATCATAATTAATAATTAATATTATTATTATTCATTCACCATCATCAAACAACTTTTTACAACTAATAGTTTTTTAAACACCCACCTCCCCTCTCTCTTGGTATTAATACTAGTCTGCAGCAGTAGAGAGACAGAATAAGATAAATAAATAGATAGATAGTACTGTCAAAGAGAGATCGATTGGTGTGTTGTGTGGTGCATATGTACATCTCATCATCTACTAATTATTAATAATACAACAACTCTGTTAATCCGCTGTCTGATAACAATACACCCTCCTCTTCTCTTGATATTATCATCATCATCATTAATTAATTAATTTAATCAATTGACCTACTATTGAATAGTTGTAATCAAGTAAGTATAATACTCTTCATCATCTTCCCATCCCATCCCATCCATCCATCCAAACAGTTTACTGCTGCTGCTGCTCTTACCTATCTATCTATTTCTATTATTCTATTATTCTATTCATTTACTGACCAACCAATTTTATCTATCTCTCTCTTTGTATTAGCAGCAACAACAGGAACAGCTGATTGTTAGAGTAGTACTAGTAACAAAAAATGATAAGCAGACAACAATCAGTGATGATGTTAAGCAATAACAGCAATGGAAGACAGAGCAGCAGAATGTCAACAATGAGTTCTGCATCAGGCGACAGCAGCAGCAGCAGTAGGTCATCGATGTTGAGACCAAAACCGATAAAACAAGAAAAGTATGTTTTTATCACCACCAAACAAACAAACAAAAAATCAAACCAAACACAGCTTCGGCATCACCACCCCCTATGTCGATCGTCGATCTGACTGAAACTGTTTAGTTTTTTTTTGTTTTTCTTATTTCTCTTATAACTTTCAGGAACGATTGCGATTGATGTGGAGGTTATACTTGGCAGGAGGAGCAACAGCTGTTCATTAATATCATCAGCTGCTGAAAACAAAAAGGATAGATCATTAACCATCATCTCATATTTTTCACACAATTTGTAAATATATTCATATAAATATATATATATATATTTTCTATATAGAAATAACATTGTATCAAAGAATAGTCATAAGATTTGGTGTATTATAAAGGTTCAGAGCATTGTTCGTAGATGGTTAGCAATGAGAAAATTCAAAAGATTGTTATTGGATTATAGAAAAGAGAATAATGGTACCATTGCTGCCGATAGTGTAGATATAGCTAATCATAATCAATCAAATATTGATCAAAACAACAACAACAACAATAGTAATAGCAATGATGAATCACAATCTTCATCGTCTTCATCTATATTAGATGATGAATTGATAGAAATTGAAAGTGTAAAGAATAATGAAACTGATTTGGCAGCGGCATATAATAATAGTAGTTATGGTAGTCTTCATCATCATAATAATCATCATCATATTGCGAGTGAAGAAATTGTAGATAAATTAAAATTAATATCACTAAACAACAGCAACACTGTCGAACAGACAACAACAATGACAACAACAACGACGACAACAAGCACGCCGATTTCTAGTAGATCATCTTCAATGTCTAGTTGTATATCATCATCATCATCAATTACATCACATAATCATCAACATCAACCATCCTCCAACTCCACTAATAATAATAATAATAATAATAATAATAATAATAATAATAACCAAACAAACAACATTTCATTGTCAGTATCAGCACCTCTGAGCACATTTAACAACAATTGTGCAAGAATAGCAAATAGTACAAATACTAGTTCAAGTAGTCTAAACAGTGAAATATTATCACTGTCATTAACATCATCACAGAGAACAGCATCACCTGTCACTACTGGACTATCGGCACGTAAAAGAATTATAAACGAGCTCTTAAAAGTGGAACGTGGTTATGTGTCTGACATGAATACTTTTATCGATGTATTTTATGCACCGATTAAAGAGTTTTCTCTTCTCACTGCCGATTACCTTTTCATGTTGTTTTGCAATATCGAAGAGATTAGAAATACGCACATTAAACTTTTGGAAGAGTTGGAAAAATGTCATCTTAATTGGTCAGATGATTCAACTATTGGAAATATATTTATGCCTTTTGTATGTAATCAATATTATTGAATAATAATATTAAAGATTATACTAGTATGAATTACTAATCATCAATGATTTCTTTCCCTTTTTATATAGATGGGAGAATTTCAAAAATTATATGAAATCTATATAAACAACTATGAAAAGGCATTTGCAATGACTAAATTTATACAAACTAGTACAAGTTATTCGGCATTGCATAAAATGATATTGGGTTGGGAGAATGACGCGAGATGTAGAAATTTAGATTTTGGTAGTTTTTTGGTGCTTCCCGTACAACGTATGCCACGTTATACATTGTTACTCAAAGAGATTGAAAGGCATACACCACATGACCATCCAGACTTTAATTATACTGCTCTATCTCTTTGTCAATTACACGATCTCACTCTCTATCTCAACGAGTCCAAGCGTACTGCTACCAACACTGAAAAGGTACAAGAAGTACTGACTACCATCAAACAAAAGGGTTCAGATCAACCACTCTTTCACGAAGCAAACAACGCAAAATTCATTCAAGAAGGTCAATTATCTCTATTAAAGGGAATAGTTGCATCTACAAAGAAAGATCTCCATGTATATTTATTTAAAGAATGTTTAATCTGTACTGAAATTGATAATAGTAGCAATAGTGGCAGCAGTAGCAGTCTTGGAGGTAGCGTCAATCATCATCATCATCGTCAAAACAAGACACTACCACATCAACCAACCAACATATCACCTGTATCTACACTTCAACATCATCAATCAACTCTATCACTCATGACACCACCCTCTCCATCATCATCATCATCATCATCATCAACATCGACTACACTTTTATCTGCACCAAATAGCAATCAATATCGAAAAACACTATTTAAATGTATTAAATTCTCTGATATCAAAGCTATTTCAATTTTAAAAAGTATGTAAAAAACAATTAAGAAAGGCGACAAATATCAAAACTCACTCGGTCATATTAATTAATATTGAACGTTTAATTAAGATTTTAAGGATTCATTCCAAGTTGTAACATCAAAAAAGGTATATACATTTGTCGCCAACACAACAGAACAAAGAGATAAATGGATAGCAGTAATGACAGAATGTATGAACGAATTGCAAACACCAAAAACACCACAATCACCTTCACCAAAATTAAATCACCGAAAATCAATGCAAATATCATCATCTACGACCAACGATAGTAATTCACCAACTACTACACCTTTTTCACCATCAAACAAAGATAATCAACAACAACAACAACAACAACAACAACAACAACAACGACCTCTTTCTCCTACGATTAATGGTGAAAGTAGTAATAGTAATAGTAATAGTACAGGTAGTTCCCCATCATTTGGATCATTAAGAAAGAAATATCGAAACAGTGTACAATTGTTTTCGTCTGGACTTATGAGCCCAAATAAATAATTATTAATTAATTTAATTTAATTAATAATAATAATAATAATCCACATGTTATGGAATATGTACAAAAAAAAAACAACTATATTTTTTAATATATCTCTTTTTTGTCGTCTTTTTTTTTATCTATCTATTTTTATCGATTGATCATTCTTTTTATTCATTCTCTTTTTCTCTTTTTTTTGTACAATACTAAAAGAGAAAGATAGAAACCATGGTACAAGATAAATCATCTAAACAACAACAACAACAACAACAACAGCAACAACAACAAAAGATAACTATCAATCTTGAAGATCAAGATGAACATCCAACTATACTCAGACAAAGTATATTAAAGTTATCAAATACGATCATAGAGTTAAAGTCATCAGGTGCTGGTAGTTCTCAACAATACAATCATCAACTTCAGTCACTTGTAGATCTATTATTATGTTCAAAGAGATTATTAACTACAAATACTACTATCAATGCTACTTCAAATATACCTTTGATACTTGAAACTATTCTAGATTGTGTATGTAAATCATCGATCGATCGTTATGTATCAATTATATTTTATTGACTTTTATATAAATTCCTCTACTTTACACATTTATTTTAGATTAAAAGATGTGGTGAAACCAATAGAGTAGTTGATCAATTAGTTAATTGTTTATCATCATCTTCATCGGTATCACCAATTTTATTATCAAACTATGATCATCTATTAATAGGTGCACTGGTAGATTTGATTATATTACCAGATTACATGTCATCACTGCTCACCACCTCCTCAAAAACTAAACAATCAATATCACCATTGGTATCGATTATAAAGTCAACAATCACATCAAAAGATCATTTTGATAGTATGTTGTCATCTATCATCTATCACATGGAAGGTGTATTATCATCTGCCGTACCACCATCATTGATCGAACAAAGATATCGTATCATTTTTGTACCATTTATCAACTTTATCTTATCGTCTGCTTTGTCTTTACAAACCATTTCACCATCGTTCCTCTTTAATAGTATTACAAGATTGGCTCACAATATTGATGCTCTCTATTACCCAATATTGGATACTCTTACATTGATACTTTATTCTATTCCATATGGACTATCCTCTTCTTCTTCATCTGCATCACTTGCCATAATAATCAATTACTTGCGTGATCTTATCGATTTGATTAGATTCCCAAAATCGTCAACTACCACCACCGCCAACAACAACAATGATATAGTTTCAATGACTATTTTCAAATCAAGAGTATTGTATTATATGGTACAGTTAATAGTACAAGATAGTATTGGATTTGATAGAAATAGTAATAGTGGTATTGGATTGGTATCACAATCAAGTAATCTATTAATCTATATCAATGATCTCATCTCTTTGGATGATTCACTTTTATGGTCTACCTCTTCTTTTTCCTCCCCCTCCTCCTCATCCTCTTCTTCTGACAATGTACCATTGATCGTTGTATTAATGTACCAAGTGAGACAAACAATAACAAAAAACCAAAATATGATCATTTCAATTTTAAAACAATCAATAACATCGATTAAAAATACAGCAACCAGCCGACAAAGACATGCTCTTAGATTATGCATCAATCCACTACTCTTACTTGACTCTGCCTCTATCGATAGTAAAGAAAAAGAATCAATTAAATCATTGATTAAATCAATAGAATCAATTGTTTTTAATAATCAAAACAGCACTACTACTACTACTACTACTACCACTATTGTTGACAATCAAACAACAACGATTAATCTCAATATTAAATTATCAGAATCAATGATACTATTAAATATTATTTGGAATTGGTATCATCAAAATTGTGAAATCAATATTTCAAACATCATCTCTTCTGATGATGGAAACAACAATAGATTGTACAATATGGTTCAATTAATTCAAAGTCAATATGAAACCTTTTCTTTGACCTCTGAACAACCAGTTACGACATGCTTTGAAATATTATTTTATTTCTTATCATCATTCTTGCAACAAACAAATGTATTGTCTTGCTCGATTACAACTCCATCACCATCAATGGTAGAGAATAGTGATCAATTTATCAGTTGTGTTTTGGATTTACTTTGTAGTTTGGCCATTCAAGGTGATAATACAGCCTATCATGCAGTTGATCTATTACCAATTATTATGAATAGATTACAAAACGAAGAATCACCATCAATCATTCTCCATCTATACTCTTTATTGGCTAGACTCTCCAAGAATAGAAAATGTTATCCAATTGTGTCAAGAGCTCTCCAATCACTCTCATCTTCTCCTGCAAGATCTCCATTGGCTACAAGACTTTGGTTTACAGTATGGAAGGAATCTTGGCGTGGATTTACTCATATTCAACAACTTATTGCAAATAGTTGTACTTCTTCTCAATCAACCAAAGACTCTACTGCTGCTGCTACTACTATTAGTTTAGAAGCAAGATTGGCAGCATCTGCAACCATTCTAGATGTTTGCAAAGAGGATGGAGGATCTGGACAAGAATTGATTCAACCACTATCTCTATTGTTGTGTCGTGATACTAATCCAAATGTATTGGCCATATCTTTGGATGCTCTTGCTGAATTGTGTAATCAAGAAGTATTGTCATTTGCAAGTGCATGGCAAGTTGTTAGAAAGAATCTGGGACAAGAACAAGGCTTGGAGGATGGAGTACGCAACCCACTCGTATTGGTCCATTTATTGCAATTTTTCGCATGTGGTGTTGCAGAATTTAGACAACAACCTCTTATCAACATGGAAGAAAAGTTGTTAACTACTATGCGAGATATTATCAGGCGTTGTTGGGATTTATCAAAACACCAAGACAAGAGAGTACGTACAGCCGCTTTTGGTACATTGGCAGAATATGCTTCACTCGATACTGCAATCATCGTAGAACCAGAGAATATCCCCTCCTTAATCAATATATTAAAGAATGCAAACTATTTGGAAGCACAATCGGCTGGAGGTCTAGAAAACATTGACAATCTATTGTACAATATATTATCATTTGAATTAAATGAAAAGCGTACATTAAAGAGTATACATTTGACATTGAAGCAGACAAAGGCTGTTAGATTGGGTGATTCAATTGTACAAGTAGGTGATTTGTTGCTCAAAGACTTTCAAGAGGATCAACGTGTTGGTATAAAACAAGGTTTACTTGGTGGTTTGCTCTGGGTGATGGGCAATAAAAAGGATGAACAAGAAAATACAGACTCTGAAGCTCTAGACGAAGATCAAGAAACTAAAAAGAAACAACATCAACAAGAGAGTAGAAAAGAAATTGCCTTGAAATACAAAGCAATGTCGAATCTATTATCAGATGCTCTCGAAGAGTTTGATACAAGCAGAGACACTATTTTAGAACTCATGTCTGTAGGATCATGGAACAGATTTATGATTTCATGTTTCTCTTATCAAGTCAAAAATGAAATGGTTAGAGCTTCACTCAAACATCAACAACAACAACCACAACAATCCTTGAATAATTTTATTCTAGAAAAAGAGGTTATGGAAAAGGTGTATGGTGATTTATACAAACAACTAGAAACCATCATATTAAATAGTAACTCGACACCTTTCCAAGTTGACAATGCCGTCGGTGTATTGGTAGGACTTGGTAGACAATTACCACAAACCTGTTATATTCTAATTGAACAGTTGGCAAATCAACTCTATCAATGGGCATCAAGTAGTAGTAGTAGTAGTGTCAACACAAATGTACAAAAAGCATCTATTCGTGCTATTGGATCATTGTTGCCTCTTTTATTGGATGATAGTCCTATTTTCAAAGATTGTGTCCAACTTTTGGTGTATGGTCTAAATAATTTATCTAAAGACGGTCAAAAAACAATCAATAGTTCCTATATCATTGCTAGTGGCTTGTCATTGATGATTATTTCATCTCAAGTAGACTATAAACAACTATCACAGACACGTAATCAACTTTACAAAGAATTGTTTGATAGTTTAGTAGAGGCCTACTCCAACTATAAACAACAACAACAACAACAAGATGAAATATTGTATAGTTTTATCTTGTCACTTTGTTACTCTACAAGATCAATGGAACAATTTGGACAAAAGACTATGATTCTAGAACTCTATGAAAAGGTGAATCAAATTTCATCAAGAGATGCAAATGATGACAATTGGCAATTAATTGGTATTTCACTCTTGGCCAAACCTACATTGCTAGGAAGCATGTTGAGAATGAATTTAGTTGGAACCAAAGAAATATCTGGCGAAACCCTTGTTGCCCAACTTTTGGAACAATATTCCTCCAAATTTGAACCTGCCTATAGATCACACAAACATCTCTCCATTATGGTGGCAGCTGCAAGAGGATCCATCGTTCAACTATTGACAAACTACATTTCTATTGATGTAGTAGAGTCTATGTTGCAAGAATGTTCCAACAATCTAAAGTCAACCTCTTCATCGGTTGAAAAGGTATCAGCAACAACACTCTCTGCAGTATTACTCGGATCACCACTCTTTGGCTTGAATATAGACTCTGTCATTAGAACCAAATTGAACTCAGCCACTCTAGAGATTATCAATTCTCATCCTTCAAAGAGAAAAGAATGTCAATCCAACATTAATCTACTATTGACAAGAATGATCGAAATCTATAAAACAGATCAAGATAGTAGAGTTGTCAGAACTATTGCCTGGTGTCTTGGATCAATGACTGGTTACTCTGGTTCTTCCTCCTCTTCATCCTCATCCTCTTCTTCTTCTTCTTCTTCATCTGATAATGTACCAGATAATTTAGATCACTTAAAAGATGATTTATTAATTAAACACTTGTTTAGTGTATTATTACAACAACCCAACAAACCAAATCAACCACAACTAATGTCAATAGTATTATCAGTACTATCAAAGGTTGATGGTACAAAGCTTCCAATTGTCAATTGGGGATCGCTCATCAAACGTATCTTTTCAAATACCAATGATTGTCAACTACGCAAACAATGCATTCACTTTACTGCAACAAATATTACCTTGTCCACCAATGCAATCAATATGGTAGAATGGTTAAATGTAACACACTTTCAATCACTCGATAGTTCTATTGTCAAAAAGGCACTAGTAAAGGCTATACCCAATGTAATTGCTTTTATGCCAGTTTCAAGAGTACCACTTATTATTGGTGATCTTTTAGTGTCATTGGCCAACAATACCTTGTCCATCTACCAATCATCAGACAAACACAAACAAACTATTTTAGTTTGGGAAACATTTGGTCGTCTATGTAATACCAAGTCATCAAACGTTTCTTTGGATTTAATCAATAGAATTTACAGTCAAACCATTCAATTGATCGATAGTTTACCAATTCCCTATCAATTCAATCAACATTTTGACATTCTTATTAAATCAGCTATTGATACATTGGTTCAACTACCATTTATTCAACTTGATAAGGTATTGGCAGCTCCATTGACTGCATCTACCAATCATCCAGATCTATTGGCAAAAGAATGTCGCAATAACATTATTTATGCATCTGTTATAAAATATCAACAACAACAACAACAACAACAACAAAACAACAATTTAGCAATATTGACAAAAGAACTAAATAGAATTAAATCATGGTGCTTCTCTATTACAGACAATCGATCAATGAATATGATTTCAAAATATTTGGATGCAATGATTGTAGAACCATTAATTGTAATGAATCAATCATCGATTGCATCAGTCGTTTTGGATTTATTAGACTCTATCATTTTATCTCAAAATTTGGAATTGGGACTTGAATTGATATCACAAATTATCATTAAATCATTGTTGAATAATAATAATAATAATCTATTGAAACCAATAACATTGGATTTATCATTATTATTATCTTTTTCAATTGTCAATGTATGTATAGAAGAGAGAGAGAGATAATTTAAATAATGAACAAATATATAAGGGATTTACTCATAATTTTAAATTATTTTTAGAACAATGATACAACAATAACAACAGCAACAGATAATAATAATGGATTTAAAATAATATTACCAATCTATCTTGAATACTTTTTACAACAACAATCATCACAACAACGCCAAGATATTATCCAAAAAATTGGTAATATTTCAAATCAAAATCATCCCATCATTAAAAGAATAATAAATCTATAAAACAATATCTTATTCTTTTTATTAAATTAAAAAAAATTAAAAAAATTAAAAAATTAAAAAGATACACTTTCTTTTTTTTTTTTTTTTTTTTTACATTTCATTTGAACTTGAATTATTAGTAAATAGATAAATATAGATAGATAGTAGATAGCGATATAGAAAGAATAGAATAGAATAGAATAGAATAGAATAGAATAGAATAGAATAGAATAGAATAGAATAGAATAGAATAGAAAAATAAGAGATAAGAAATGTTGGGAGGGTTTAGGAAATATTCAGCTCCTTCATTTGATAACAACAACAATAATAATAATAATAATAATAACAATAATGATAATATCTTGAACAACAATCAACAACAGAATAACATTAACAAAGGACCTATAAGGAATGTTCTATCACCATCACAGGGTAAACCACCTATATTACCTGATCAATCTCATTATCAATTTAAAATCTATAGACCTTGGTATCCCGACCAATCATTCAATGATACAATCGGTAGTATATCAACAACCTCAACAACATCAACAACATCAACAACAACAACAGATCCATTTAGTGACTTGGGTGATAATTTGTCAAGAAAATTGTATAATATGGATGTTCATAACTTTGGTTTACCAAACTATCAGCTACCAAACAACAGACAAAAGATGGAGGAACAAGAAGATCTTCCAAACCTTGATAAAATGGAACTTGGTTTCTTGAAAACAATGTTTCCAGAGATTGATGATGAGACACTAGAGTTTATGCTTCACGAGTGTAATGGTGATTTACAAAAGATTGTAGATACTTTGTTAGAGCCATTAAACTTTGTTGAAGCTGAACAACAAACAGACGGTGGTGATGATTTCAACATTAAAATGATGGATCACATTGATATTCAAGATAATTTTGAAAAGTATCCATATACTACAGCAACAACTACATCAACAACGACAACAACAAATACAAATAAGAAACCAAAGAAACCAAATCATAATAATAATAATAATAATAATAATAATAATAATAATAATAATAATAATAATAATAATAATGCCAAACTACAAGTTAAACCTCCTCCTGTTCACAAACCACAACCACAACAACCTCCAAAACAACAACAAAAACAACCACAACAACAACAACAAGTCAACAAACAAAAACAACCATCAACTACTACAAGTCCTATATTGGCAATTCCAACGACCCCAGAAAAACCAATAAGTAACAAACAAAAACAAAGTATAGCTCAACAAAATGAAAGTTATAGAGAATTGTTATCTACTTTACAGGATATGTTTGGTCATATTTCAAGACCAAATTTGGCAATGGTATTGGATCAAAATAACTTTGACTTGGAGAAATCGATTGAACAACTTTTGTCGTTTGATGAAGAATCATACAAAGAACAAATCCATCTCCAACAACCAGCAATCATCAATGAAAGTAGTCTCGATGATGTCATCAAAGAACAAGAAAAGGAAGCACGAGAAAACCCATCCCCAGTGTACAAATATGTTTCAACCAAATCGGCCCCCATTCCAGTTTCCGTTTCTTTTGCTTCACTCGAAAATAATGAGCACAACTTTGATGAATTGAATGCTGCCATTATCATTGACAAAAAATACAAGAAGCCAGATCAAGTAAAATTAAACAAACTTTATGCAAGATTCAACTCTATGACCTCCAAGGAAATTATCGAAGATGTTTACGAGCAATCGGGAAGAAATCTTCAAGGTACTTGGAAAATATTAACAGAAATGTTCCCAGTGGACACTAGATCATTGGCTAGTAAGATTAGAAATAATAAGCAACAACAACAAGAACAAGAACAAGAACAAAAACAACAACAACAACAACAAAAGTCACAAACCTCTGCAGAAATATTAAAACAGACTCATTCACCAGGCGATTCTTCGCCAGCATTTGACGATCCAGAAAGATTAAATATCCTTCCATCTTCGCCAAATAATGTAGCCATTTTTGATATTCAAAAAGATTTGGATCGTAAACAAATTACTGTTGGTTCTGATAACAAAAAGAAAACTCCTAAAATCAAATCTCATGAACTTAATTGTAAGATGAAAAAACAAATATGTCAGATAGAGATGAATTTATTTATTTATTTTTATTTATTTTTAGCCAAGGATTATGGTGAATATAGAAGAGAAGCAAATAAATATGCAATGTTGAGAAATACCTATTTCCAACAAGCATCCCAAGCATATATGAAAGGAAATAGTGCAGAAGCCAGAAATCTTGCAGCTCAAGTAATTATCCAAACAAAAAGAAAGACACTCTATTCTTTTTTATTTATTTATTTATTTTTTTTTTTTTAGGGACAATACTATGCAAAATTACTCAAAGAATCCAATGAAAATGCAGCCAATCAAATTTTCTTGTCTAGTAATTCTAGAATTAACGATACATTGAAGCTAGATTTACATGGTCTTCATGTTAAAGAAGCACTGGAAATGGTCAGTGAGGTATTGGATATCCATACAAGAGGTCAATATCAAGGTGACACTGGATCTGGACCAAAGAAAATCGAGCTCATCACTGGTATTGGAAATCATAGTCATGGTGGTGTAGCTAAAATCAAACCAGCTCTTGTTTCATTTTTAAGAGAATGTAGGTTGCCATTTGATGATTGTGGCGGCCTATTGACCGTTTATATCAATCAATAAGGCAAACTGTACAACTCAAAAATAATAAAAAAGGCCCAAATATTTGTAATATACTTTAAATTGTTTTCCTTTTTTTTTTTTTTTTTTATTATTATTATTTACATTTTTTTACCAATATCTAACCATTGTTTTAAATTCTACTACATCTTTTAATAATGCTGCCAAAAATCCAGTGATTACCCAGTCTCTGTAAACAAAAATAGCATTATACTTTCCAAGACTGATGAGTACAGGTTTAGAGAATGATCTATATTTCTTCATTGACTGTTCCTTGTGATTATCGAGAGCCTTGATATTATGAACGACGATAGCTGCAGTGACCTCTGCCAATTGAGCAAGTTTCTCTTCACGAATATTTAAAACATCTCCTGCAACAAATACATTACGGAACGGGGTAGTACCAACCATTTGAAGATGTTCGTTTGTCTTTATGTAACCAAACTCTGAGATTACGTCTGGATAGGATGCTCTTACAAAGTCGGAATTTGGAACGATACCAGTGCAAAGGAATGCTTGATCGGCAATGATTTCACTACCTTGATCTGTTACAAAAATGCTGCCCTTGTGAGCAATGACACGTTCATTGTGGATGATTCTTACGCCATGCTTGCAGAGATAATCCTCTGCATCCTTGATAGCCTTTTTGGGGAATCTGTTCATGAGTTTGGCCTGAGAATGTACGATGATAACCTCCTTGTCTGGGAAGGAACTAACAATCTCGGCAGCCAACTCGACTCCAACGATACCTCCACCAATGATGAGTATCTTTCTGAGTTTACGAATGTGATAGTAGTTTTCACGCAACGTGTTGGCACGTGCCGATAGTACTACACTCGATTCTTTGAATGGTGAGTTGTAACTACTGCCAGAATTGATTACCAAATAGTCAAATGGTACTGAACGGTCGTCAAGAATTACTTCTCTTGCGCCAACAGCTCTACATTCCTTTTGAATGACATTGGTATGTTTGAGATAGTGAGAATGTAATACTTGAATGGACTTTATGTGTTGTGGTTCGACAATAGTTCTCAATATACTTGGAGTGAATTCAAAGTAATCTTTGGTATCGATTAATGTAACTTGAAAATCATTCTCTAATTTCTGTGCAACCATACTCCCAGAAAATCCTCCTCCTACAATAACTACTCTTTTTCTATCTTCTACTGGTACCTAAGAGAGAAAAATAATAAATATATATGTATTTATATATATATATAGTTGTAACATACTCTGTTGAATATCTTTGACTTTGATTCTAAACAAAATCTCCATAGATGTAATAAAACTCTTAGACCACTAAATGCAAATATCAATAGATATTGATGAAGAGCAAATAGAAACCAATATATAAATTGTGGCATTATTATTATTTATTTATCTAATCTATCTATCTATCTATATATCTAATTTATAACAGTATAATGTATTGTTTGTTGTTTTACTATGAGAGGAGGGAAAAAATTTAGAGTAGTATACCACACTGGTGGTATTAATATTAATGTCTGTGTGTTTGTTTGTGTGTGTGTGTGTAAAGAGAAAAGAGGGATAGTACTATGTACACGCGCTACCGAATCTGAATGAAACGTTCATTCAACTATAATAATATAATATTTATGTGAAACTTCGATGATGAATTCGTCCTACTCTTTTTTTTTTTCCACAGATCTTTAAAGATGGTGAACTTTGATTTGATCTTTTATCATAACAACAAACAAATAAAAATATCTTCTTGTTTGTTTATTCATAATATACTATTATATTATTTATTTATAACAATCGCGTTAATGAAAAAAAATATAAATATAAAAAAATGATTATGAAGAGATGGTGGCCATTCTCTCGATCCATGATCTTCAGTTTTTGTTTAAAATTTTAGTTTATTACAAGAGATAATAATCAAAAAAGATATAAGATGAGTTATCCCAATCACTACGATGGTGGTAGTGGAGGACAACAACATCAACATCAACATCATCAACAACAACAACAACAACAATATCAACATCCATATAGTAGTAACATTCAACAAAGAGCTGCTACAACTGCTGCAACCACTAGTAATGGTCATCAATACACAACTACACAACCAAACTTTAATCAGACCATTGATCAACAACAACAACATCAACATCAACCACAACAACAACAGTATTATAATAATCCAAATAACAACTATTATAATAATAATGATTCTATTACATTTGAAACTAATTTATCATTTGGTCATTTGTATGATAATTTGATGAGAGATGAATCTGCAAAGAGATTGGCAATGTGGATAGCTGTGATGCTCTGTTTTACTCTTTACGAAATCTTTTATGGTGCATATCTCGAGTCGCTTGGTTTGGTAAGTGATGGCTTTCATCAACTGTTTGACTGCATTGGCTTTGTCATTAGTCTCTTGTCAATGTTGGTCTCAAAAAAAGGAACCAATAGAGAATATACCTATGGTTACGATCGTTATGAAATTCTTGGTGTATTTTCAAATGGTTGTTTCCTTTTGTTTGTTTCATTCTTTTTACTTTTGGAATCAGTTGAACGTATCCTTGAACCTCCTCATATGCACAAGTATGAAAGAATAAGAAGAAGAATAATAAGAAAAAGAAATCCTTAGTATTAATTATATCTCTATTTATTTTAGTCATGGAAGAGTTATTAGTGTTGCATTATTTAGTTTGGTTATAAATGTTGTTGGAATATTATTCTTTAGACAACACTCTCTTAAACACTCTAACAACAAAAAGAGTGATGATATTGGCAACAATAGCAATAACTACCGTAATATGATTTATAACGATAGAATTAGACAAGACAACTTTGTAACAATATTCACACATATCATCGTCGATAGTTGTACAAGTCTTGGTGTAATATTATCTACTTTATTATCACAATTGTTGTATGTATAAAGAAATAGTTGGATTTATAAACAAAAACTCATCTTCTTCTTCTTACTTTTTCTTTCTTTCTTTTTTTTTAATAGTGGTTTTGATTTATCAGATTCTTTAATCTCAATCATTATTGCATTTATAATTATTTATCAAGTTATTCCTATTTGTAAAAGAACTGCATTTGTTCTATTACAAACAACACCCGATGCAATTGCACCACAAATTAAATCAGCCAACCTCAAAGTATCGACGATGCATGGTGTTGTCAAGATTGGTGATTCCCATTTCTGGACACAATCACAAGGAAATACAGTTGGTAGCATGGTTGTTTATGTCAAAGATGACAAGGTCAACCAACAAGCACTATTAAAGGAAATTAGAACTCTTTATACATCCTTTGTCAATGATATTACTATCCAAATTCAAGTAGAACACAAAGGCCATGGTGATCACGGACATAAAAAGAATCATGATGAACACAAAAATCATCCTGGTCACTCTCATAGTAATACATCTTCAGTTGATCATGGACATGGACATGATCACGGACATGATGATCATGGACATGACGATCATGGACATGGTCACTCCCACAATCATGGTCAACACGGACACTCACACTAAAAATAAATTGATTTAATTGGACAATTTATTTTGTTTATTAAATTGGGTGTTATTATTATTATTTATTTTTCTTCTTTTTAACAAATATTTAGTGATCGATGATTGATAATAATGAGTATAGTAAGTGGCAAACCTTTGATGATTAGACAGAGATTTCAGCATAGGAAGAATCAGATTCCTTTCTAGAGTTGATATACTTGATAGTATTTTGGAGGTAGATGGATGAAGATTCACCATCCTTGCAGTGAGTGGTTCTAATTAATTCAACCAAATCGCTAATGAATTTACCTGGAATAGCAGATGATTTTTGGTCAAAATAGTAAAGACATTCATTCAAAATGTCAACGAAAACACTTAAACCTGGATTAGATTCATTGGAAATAATTAAAAGTGATTTTCTAAGTGCTTGAAGAACTTGTTCTGGTTCTTTGTGTTGTCTCTAAATTAAACAGAATAGAATAGAATAGAGTAAAATAGATTTGTTAATATATTTATCTTTTCTTTTTTTTTTTATCTCTTTTTTATCTCTCTTACATTCTTATGAGAAACCCAGAACAAATGAGAGCAAAGTGAAATAACCTTTGCTTGATCTTGAGCAGTCAATAAACGAGAAGCTTGTTTAATAGTTTGACCTGCAAGAGTTTCATAGAGATCGGTATCTGGAAGTGTGAGAGAGTTGAGGGTAGAGATGAGAAGAGTCAAAGCATTTACTTGGGCCTTGAAATCGGCGATATCTTCTTGGAAGATTTGGAGGGCCTTGATAGAGAACTCTTTGGTGATTTTTTGGAGACTGCACTTGTCGGCGGTTTGGACAGCTTGGAGATAGAGACGGAAAGAGAGTTCGGCAAGCTTAATGTCTACGAGTGCCTTGATAGTTTCCATAACAAATGTGAAAATTTTGGTACCAATACCAGTCCATTGTTGTTCGTCGAGTTGAATGACACCCTCGTCGACTTGCTTCTTGAGGTTGGTGACAAACTTGAGAGATCTGAATACAAGTGGTACAAGAGTGTGTTTGATTCTTTGTGCACCACCCTTTCCAAAGTGACTACGGGCGACAATGTAGATTTTGAACAATTTCTCTGGATCCTCTGATTGGAACAAGTGAATGAGAGAGGAAACCTTGTTTTGTTCTTCGACAAAGTCTTCCTTGTCGATTTCATCGGCAGATGGTTGGTCTTCTTCGTCCTTGATAAGGGTTTGAATGGTTTCGAGAAGAATGTTGACTTCTTCTGGCTCTTCAATGATGGTAGAGTTTTTGAGTGTGCTGTTGACAATGTCCAAAGATACCTTTTTACGATTGTTGTAAGAGAGTTGCTTGATGAGTGGTTGGTAGGCAGTAAGCTTGAGAACAGCCAAGACATTCTTGAAAACCTCGAGTGGGATTTGCAAGAGTTGAACAATTTGCTTGACGCAACTTGGCTTGTTGATTTCTTCCTTGCTCTTGGTGGCCAAAATACTTTGACATAATCCCAATACTTCATTGGCATTTTCTCTCTTTTCTGGATAACATTTAAGTGTAAGATTTAATAATGATACATGTAATCCAAGAATATCTTGTAATTCCATATTTGGTCTTGCCTAAATAAGAAATAGGGGAAAAAAACTTGAATAAGTGAAATGAAAAGAAGGGAATATTGTTTTTTTACATACCTTGATAACTTCCTTGACATTGCTAAAGAAGATGGAAAAGATATCAATATCATCTGGAATTGAATTACGAGAAGCATAATTGGCCAATCTATCAATCAAAGAAGCAATGATGGTCTTTACATCAACACCTGGTTGTAATTGTGAACAAGTTGAAATAATGGTATCCAATGTTGCTAAATGGAATTCATCTGGGAATACCTAAAATAAAAAATAGAAAAAATAGATTAAGTAAAGGTTTTTCTTTCTATTTCTTTTTTTTTTTGACATACTTGAATAAGAATTTCCATAAGATATTGTTGAGCAATTTTATCTTTACAATTGATAATTTGTTCAACAACCTTTGGAAGTACGGTTTGAGAATAAACCTTTACATCAACACCGTCCAATTGTGATAAACGAGACAAGTTCTTTCCGACCAAAACACGGAGATCTAATCTTTCATTTTCTCTTCTATCCTTGTCACGGTTTGGAGCTTGGTGTTGCATTCTAACCCATAGCTTGTTGGTTTCAGTAAAGTTTTGAATAATAAATTCAATTGAATCATAAACTGATCCTCTAAAAAATATAAAAAATAAAAAATAGACTATAATGTCAATATTATTGAAAACTAATATCCAATATATATATATATATATATATATTCACTTACCCAACATCATCAGACTCTGCATCTGGTAATTTATCCTTGGTAACTTCACTGAGATAATATCTCAAAAAGAGACCTCTAGTTGGGTGTTGAACACCTCTACACATTTCAATAAGATCCATGAGTACATCCTTTGCTGGTGCTTGTTTAGTTTTAATATAAACTGATCCAACTGTAATTAAAAGATATCTAAAATCAATGAATATGAATAAGAAAAGTTTAGTTTGAGAAAGTACTATCTACTATATATAATATATATATATATATTTTAGTTGTGACTTACAATCTTGGTAAAACATTACCAGCATGTTGAACGATTTCATAGAGTTCAATCATTTTCTTTCCATGCTTTTCCTCGAATAGGTAGGTATTGAGATGTTGAAGATAATCAAAGGCAACCATGTAGAGAGCATAGTAAGACTTTGGTGACAACAAAGAGGTACGAAGCTCGTTGATAATGTTTGATGCATACTTTAGTGCATCCATAAGTTTGGCATTGTCCAAACTTACCTTCATGTGATGACCTTGAACCATAACATTGTTCTTGGCTTCTTCAAGGTATCTCTTTTGTTCCTCTAAGAACTTCTTTTGTTCTTCCTCTGGTGTGAGTTGAATTGGTTGAGCTGTTTTACTCATCCTCTTGCTTGTTGTCTAAAGTAAGTATTAATATAATAGTACTATTAAACTCTCTCTCTCTCTTTATATATTTGCAAGATAGATAAGTTGTTTAGTGTTGGAAGAGTGGTGAAGAAAAGAGAAGATAATTTGCTACAAAAAAAAAAATCAAAATAAAAAAAAAAAAAAAAAAAAGGAAAAATCAGGGGAAGGCTCAACATGTATCAGAGGTTTATTAAAAGTATATATTTTGGATGTGATGGTAAAATAACATAGTAATAATAATAATAATTATAATAATAAACCCGTTTGCAATAAGATACGATATTGAGTGATTTGATTTGAACGTTTTAGGGTATGGTATGTGTGATCGTCGTCGTCGTTGTTGTTGTTGTTGTTGTTAAAACTCTGCAATAGTTTTGCGTAATAGAATCTCTTTGACGGCTTTGAAAACATAGTCAATGTTTTGAGTATCAATGGCTATGGTATAATGTACATAGATGCTTTTAGAGGTAGACTTTACAACGGTTTTGAATTTTTGTGCAATATGCTCTGATACATCTTTAAATGAGTTGTCACCTAAGATGGTAGTAGTTTTGGAAAAAAATTGATGATGATGGAAATAAATATAAATATTAGATACCAATCTCTAAATACTATCTATCAAATACTATTGATCAATAGTGATAACACTATTTGATTGTAGATTACATACCACGATAATTATTGTCATATTGATTATAACCAACTCTTTTTAATTTTTCAATAAATAAATCCTTTTTGTTTAAAAAGAGAATGATTGGTGTTTCAACAAACCATTCACTATTTGCAATCTCTGAAAAAAGACTAATCGATTCATCTAATCTATTTTCTTTTACTTCACTATAAATTATATAATTATATATTAAGAAATAATTAATAATTAATTCTCTATTTCTATTTCCATTTTCTATTTTCTATTTTCTATATATATACATACCGACACATTTGATCATATTCACTTAAAGCAGCAACAAAAATGACGGCAGAAACACCATCAAAACAATGAATCCATTTTCTTCTTTGACTTCTTTGACCACCGACATCTATAATTTTCATATTGATTCCATCGAAACATACTTCAGCTTCGACTATACCCTTTGTCATTACTCTTGATCTGAGTGCGTCTTGTGGTGTTGGTATATATTTAGAGTCTGATATTCTGAGCAGATTGTCGAAAAAGTATTTGGCAGAGTCGTTGAGTTGGAAATCTTTGTCTCTTCTTTCGTAGACCTGCTGAATGCCTGGATCCAACCATAGCTTGAATGCGTCATCTGCTGTTTGATCGGTCCATTCATCGATGAGTGGTTGCATTTTCTTTATTCTCTCTGCAGCCTCTGTATGCTCTGGCAAGAGTGCAATATTTAATTCAGATGCAGCACTAGCCAACACTGCCAGTTGAGATGTTATATTTATATAGATTGAGTTTCTAAACTCTAATAGTTCGTGATCTTGCCATTTACCATTGTCTTGTAGGATTTTTAATTGTTTAAAGATAGTACTCTTTCCACATTCACCTGCACCCAATAACAATATTTGAATATCTCTTTTCATACGTTTCTCTTCATGTCTTAATTCCTTATCAATCTCTCCCGAGATCTTTGTTTCCTCTGTTTTTGGTTTTGATATACAACTCATTATTGTAGATGGTGGTGGATGGCTATGATGATGATGATGATGATTGATGCTGATGCTGGTTGATGGTGGTGGTGATCGACGATACTGTATTTTTTTTTTTTTTGTTTTTAAAAAAAGGAACTGTTGTGAAATAAATACAATGGTAGGTTTGGTGTGTGTGATAGTTATACTAAGATAATAATAATAAGATTTTGTTTAGTATATATATATATATATGAAATGAATATAGGTGATCCTTTGATCCTACTACTACTACTATCAAATACTTACACAAACGAGTGAGGACTGATGAATCAAATAAATCTATTTATATATAAAAAAAAAAAAGGAAAATATATATATATTACAAAAAAGGTGGGTGGGGGGGATTGCGCTAATCTTTCTTTCTCTTAAAAACTTGAAACAATTGATCAAGTGTGTCAACAAAAACTATGATATTATGATGTGATTATTATCTATTCTATTCTATTTTTACTAACTATAAATATTTACATAAACAAAAAAACAATAAACAAATCAACAATAAAAAAATGAGGGGGGGGATTGTGATGAGAGGACTATTAAGATAATGATTCAATTGTAATAGGTGAATTAATTGGATGAAAAAAAAACCTCAAACTACTTCGCGATGTTTTTCCCAACAAAAAAAAACAGCGGTTTTCATTCACAATGACACCCCCCCATCGATCAGCGTTGGGTGGGTATCTGTTTTGTGATCGGGGCAACATTCTTTTGGAACTTGAACTAGATTGATTTTTCTAGATCCCCGCTCTCACTTGTCGTCACTAATTGGCTATCGATCACCCGTCGTAGGTATGGGTTATTGTTCTTTAGGTGGATCCACACATACCAGGTACTCCAAAGAAGAGTATTCTATCTATCCCCACAAAAAAACACACAAAGTATGTGGGTTTCTGAGAGACATGGGATCTAACTTTTGGCTTTAAAATATATATATAGGTACTGATATTTAGATATATATTATAGATACATATATACATATATATATATATTGATAGATATACTATTATTATATTATTATATTATTATATTATTATTATTTTATTTTTTAAAAGTTTAGTGCTTTGTTCCGGTTGACAAAAAGGTGGTAACACCAGCAGCCAAAGCAATTGAAGCAATGTAGTTGTAGACAAGAGCAACATTCTTAAAGATGATAAAGGAGAAAACCAAAACACTGACCAAATAGAGGGCATTGTTGTACATGATTGATTGAGCAATGGCTTCATGTGAAGTAACAAGAGATTGAGCCTCCTTCTTGGCAGTAAAGATGGCCTTTTTGTCGGTTGTTTGGGCCTTGGTCTTGTTCAATGTGATAATGTGATCACGTTGAGCAGAGAGTTTAAGTCTCTTCATTCTAAAGATATTGTTGTATGCAAATGTAAGAACGATGGCACTGAACAATGTAACTGCACCATAAACGATAAAGTATTGTTCAAATGATAAGAAAAAGATGGCGTGATATAAATCTACAAGATAGAAGAATTCGATTAATTGAGTTGATTGAATTGTTTGTGGTATTAAGGATAGATTAATTATTATTAGTATATATATATATAATCATCATCATATTATATTATACATACAAACTGGAACCAATGATACGATGAGAGCATTGATAAAGTAGAGAACACGTTGTTCAGATGATACAGCTGATTCACTTTGGAAGGCAGCGTATTGTTGTTCGAATTCTTCGTCTCTTGCCATTTTACAACTACTATTGTTGATTATATATACAAGTATATGAAATGTGTGATAAAATATATATTTATACAGAAAAAAAAAGAAATTGATGATGTTGACCCTTTGATCATGCACTGCAGTGCCAACTTCAAAAAAACAAAAGAAATGGTTGTTGACCCTAAAAAAGTCAAATGACCTTGCCAATTTTTTTTAAAATCTCGAACTTCAAAAAATATGGAACAAGGAAACTTAAAAAAGAAGAAGTAGTTGTTTTAGAAAATGAAAGACAATTTACGATTCTCTAAATTTTATTAAATTATTATTATATTTAGCATATAATGATTAATATCATTATTTGCTTTATTATTATTATTAATTAATTATTATTATTATTTTGGTTTGGTGATATTAAATATTTCGGTCATGCACCAATTGGTTGATGTTGTTATATGAAGGGTCGGTAGGTAGAGATAGATAGAGAGAGAGAGAAAGAGGGAGGGGGGAGAGGGTTGAGAGAAAAATAAAGAAATAAGATATTTGATGTGAAATGGTAAAAAGTTATCAATCGATTGATCCAATCTAATCTACTGTGTTTGTTTTTTTTTTGTTTTTTTTTTTCTTATTCATTATTTTGGAGAAGATTTCAATTGTTTGATAAAGTTTTTAAAAAACTCTTGGAAATCCTTGTTTGGTGTTGTTGGTGGCAAAAGGCGAGAGAATTGTGAAAGAATTTGTTCAGAGGCGGATTTGTTGATGATGGTGCTGTAGAGTGGGAGGTATTTTTGAGATAGATAGGTGATGACAATCTCGTGGCCATATTTTGCTCCAATCAATTTGAGTGTCTTGATAATCTCTTGGAGTTCGAGCATATTGTAGTTTGGTTGGAGTGGTACTTGGAAACAAACTGGTAACACGCTTTCATAGACAAATGTGCCAAACCCTTCGATAGGTTTGTTGCCTGATTGTCCAAATTCTTCGGTCATCTTTCTGACAATGGTAAACGATGTCTTTTGCAAGGCGTCGTTTGCATTTGTGCATCCGTTGATAACACTGGTGAGGATGGCCGGGAGCATTGGAAGGTTAGAAGATGTGGTAAAAACAGCAGACAGCGATGATGAGAGAACTGTCACCAAAAAGGTGTAGTAGGTCTTTTGCAGTTCGGCAATGGCTCTTTCTTCATCACTATTGGGTTCTGGTGGTGAAACGGCTGATTGTTCAATCGGTTTGTAGACACGCATAATAATCGGTGACAACAGTTCATTCATGATTGACGAGATTGAATCTTTGAATCTATTCATCAATTGGTTGATAAAAAGTATAAATTCGCTAATGTTTTCAATCTTTTGACTACTATGATTTAATAATGTTGGTAAAATCGTTGTCAACATTGGTTTTAAATCATTTCCTAAACAATCTACCATTCTATGTAAATAAAAATATGTCTAAAAAGAAAATAATAAATAATGTTAATATTGTGTTTTTTTTTTGTTTTTGTTTTTTTACATACTCTTGATTTAATATCTTCATTTAAAGGTAATAAATTAGGTAATTGAATGATTAATTGTAAAGATTTTGTAAAGTAGATTTTATAGGGACATGGTTCTGGTTTTGGTTGGTTGGTTGAAAAATTAAAAGGAGAGAAACCTTTACTAAAAGTACCAATGACAGAGATCAATTGGTAGAGTTGCGTAGAGTGGTATGGTAATTCCTTTGTATCGGTTTGTAAAGTTCCCTCGAGATGATCTCTTCCATTCTTTTGTAGGGATGCGACAAGATCTTTTCGACATAGTTTTGTTCGTCTTGTGGTGGGAGGTTTGCACTGCCTATAAGATAGCCAAGTGATTCATAAAAGTTTAGTTGCTCTTCAAACGGTACTTCCTTTTGAATGTCATATGATATGATCAAATGGTTCTTGAGTGATTCGATTATATTGTTGATAAAGGGGAAAAGTTGTATCTTTAATTGTTTGACCAATTTGTTTAAAAGATTACCTGCTCGACTTCTGACGATTGGGTTTCGACTATGAACTCCTCTTCCATCTAAAAATGATGCCAATATCATTGTAAGATTTTCTGTTGTAGATGGTATATTCTTGGCATATCTAACTACTGTATCAAAATATGTTAATGATACTATTTGATGAATTTCTGTTCTTGCTATTTCTATAAAATAAAAATAATAAAGGTTAAATAAATAAATAAATAAATATTATAATATTTTAGATTTGTTTTTGTTTACATACTACTAGAAGCCAAAAATACAACCATTTGACCAAAGAATTTTTCAAATGCTTTCATTGTTTCTTCAGAGGTATGAGATATTCCTTCACCCATTTGATACAAGAGATGAATTGATACTTCAATATCAGAGAATGAAAATCGTTCGAGATTTGGAATGACATTATTTAAAAGAGTGTCAACAAATGATCCCACCATCTCAGGACAAAGACGAAAGATATTTCTAAACTGTGAAGCAAGACTCGATCGAAGTTCAAGGAATTGCTGTTCACTCTCGCCTTCAGAATTCTGGAAATTATAATCAGCTGGATATCTCATCTTGTTTCGAATAATTTGTACCAACATGGTTATATGTTCTACTTGCTTTTCGTTTAATGGTTTAATATTTTTTAACTAAATAAAAAATGAGGAGGAAAAGGAAAAAGAGGTTAGAATGGACTGAATGAGAATTTAAATTATAATTTAATTTTGAATTTTTTTTTACAATACATTTAAAGTACATACTCGTGTTATATACAAAGCAGAGAAACCAAGAACAGTTGATGATACTTCATTATTTTCATTGTTTAAAAATTCAAACAATAATCCCAACATTTCATCGAGCAATTGTTCACCCTGTGGATCGACAATGGGTGATGACACCTTTTTGGTGGTCGCAGTGTCGGGTGTTCCATTTGATTTTGAATGGTTTCCATTGGTTTGTTGTGCAGAGGCAGCAGTAGCACTGGTGGTTGTTGTTGATTGAGATTCCAAACTTCTCAATACCTCCATACCCGTTAGATTGACGAGATTACCAATTTTAACAATGAAATCGACATCGTCCAATACTACAAATTTTACTATATTTTTGATTTGTAATTGTTGAATCAACAACATCTTTGCCTTTGAATCCATACCCTTGTTTATAATCTCTTTAAAACATTCACATATCTCTTCACGTAAAGCATTAGAGTTTAATAATTGACAAAATAATGGTATAAATTTATCATTTACTATTAAATTAATATCAATCCATCCTAAAATAAAATAAAAAAGAAACAAAAAAGATTTGTTAACAATTTGATTATTATCTTTTTCTTGGTTTTTTTTTTTTATATATTTTAACTCTTACCAACATAATATTTAATATTTTGTAATGCCAATTTTGCAAGTTGTGGCATTGTTTTATGATAAACCATTAATATATCATACCATGATTTTACGATATCTTTTATTGCTCCTTCTCTCATTGAATCTTTCTAAAAAAAACGGTAAAAAAAAGAAAAGAAAAGAAAAGTTAGATTAATGATTCAATATATATATTTATATCATGTGTGATTTTTACAATTTGAGTATTTTGAGCCAATTCTGTAGTTGATCTGTGTACATTAAAAGAAACTACTTCTTCATCGATTGCCTTTAATATTCTGAGAAAGATATCAATAGCGGGGACACCTCCTACTTGCAAGAGTGATAAATATTCATTAAAAAAGTTTGGCCATTGTTCAGGATACTCTTGTTTAAATAATAGTACAACGATCTGTGCATACTTATTTTTAATTGCTAAAATAAATATATATATAAGAAATGATGAGTTAATAATCAAAGAGAGAGAGAGAGAGAGAAAGGAGATAGGATCACTAGTGATTGACAGTGTTGTCTACATACCAAGTTCTTCTGTATTTTTTGTTAAATGTATTTTTACCCAATCAATCAAAGTTGATTTGAGTTTTGTTCTTTCAAACTCTGAAAGTGATGCATGTTTGTGTAATATTAAATCTTGAAATACGTGGAAACAAAAGAACTTAACATGAACAGAGTTTGTTTTGAATAATCGTTCAAGACAAAACTTCCATCCTTCTGGTGATTCCTTTACGTTGTTTGTGTATTGCAATGCCTTTTGTTTTAGGTCCTCTTCAATTAATGGGTCGAAACTATAGGTCACTGCAGTTTCAAATTCATCCATTTCTTATATTGTATATATTATATTGTTCTTTTTTCTATCTCTCTCTGCTTTCTCTATGTTCTTTTGTTATTGTTATTGTTGGTAGTTAAAAATGATAATAGTAAGTAACTAATGTGCATTGAATAGTATTATTAAAGAGTAAAAGGTAAATGTGATTGAACTTTTTTAGAGGTAGGTTGGGATATTGTTTATAAAACAAGAAGAAGAAAAAGAAGAAGCTCTTGAGGATCGTCGTGATGTAGATTAAAAAATTAAAAAAAAAAGAAAGAGAGGTGAATTGTGGGAATGTGGAGAGTAGAGTTGGGGAAAATTTAAAATAGATTGTTTGTTGTATTTGTACAATTCACCTACCTTTTTTGAGTTTTATACTTTTCAATGTGATGAATGAATGAATGAATGATGATCTCTCTCTATTCCAGTCTCATAACTCTTCCTGCTGTAATGAATGTTGTTGCTACTACTTTTTTGTCAAAATGATCAATGCTGGTCTTTGTCGTCGTCGTCTGTTTGTTGAAATGATAACTTGTGTTTGTGGTGGGTTGTACTATTGCTTCTATGTTTAAAACACTTGAAGTTGGTTGAGGGGTAGTAGTAGTAGTAGTAGAGTAAAGAGTAGGAGTAGTAGGAAGGTATTCCAGAGAGTGAGATATATTAACAAAAAGAAAGAAAGAGAATAGACACAAACAAAGTAAACGACGATCGTCAGGAGCCTGTCCCCTTTCGGTGTGACGTCCAATGCTTGTTTGTCCAAAAAAAAAAAAAACCTCAAAAAAAAAAAATCAAAGTAAGTTCATTGTTGACTGCATGAGTACTACAAGAAGAATGCATTCATCAATATAAAATTAACCAATACAATGAACCGACACAACAACAATCAGCGATCACTATTTATACTATTGATAACAATATTATTATTGTTTATCAATAATGATCAACATATGGTAGATGCATTAAGAACAGGTGATTTAATAAGATTCTCAAAAAAGAGTATTCATGATATGGTATGACTACAACAACAACCAAACAACTATAGTAACTGATATGGAACCATATATATATATCTATCTAGAAATCAACAGAATGGACAGATATAAAGGCAAAGTTTTCACCTAGATTCAAGATTGATAAAACCATTACCCTTTCATCACTTACCTCTGTCGATTTGACTAAAGATTCTTTATACAAAATGTAACAAAACTAGATCTCTCTATATCCTCCCCTTTTCATCTTCTACTTCATCTTTACTTACATTTAATGAATTTAGGAGTTTTTCCTTTTTCGATAAGTTTACTACGACATGGATCACAGTGGCTGATGGAAATGGAACATTTTTAAATCATATCGAATTTAATCTATACTATGCAAACGATGATTTAATAGATGTTAAATTTACTTTGGATTGTAGGTTTTTTTTAAAAAAAACAGAGTAGAATATTTCTCCAAAGAGACAACTATATTGATACCTTTAACTTTAACTTTAGATAATGATGAAGAGATTCATAGAGGAATGAAACCAGATCATTTCTATCTTATTTATAAATGGCATCAAATGAATGAGCATGATATTCCAACAAGTCTATTTGTATTATTTTTTGTTGGAATATTAATTAGTGGTTCATTATTTACTTATTATGCCCTAGAGTTACAAATTAAATTATCGTCCTCAAGGAAAAGGTAACCAAAAAGAAAGAACGTTATAAATTGTAAATACTTATTTATTAATATTTTTGATTTATTTTTTAGACAAGAAAATAAATCACTTCCATTGTATCAAAATAATAATAATAATAATAATAATAATAATAATAATAATAATAATAATAATAATAATATAGTTAAAAATAATAGTCAACAATCACCTCAAACAATGACACCAACTAGGGTAATAAATAGAAATCAAAATATTAGTACTTCACCAAACTATAATATTTCAGGATTCGATATGATTAATGAAAATGATATTGAAGGATTTATCAATGAATAAATTTGAAGGCACGTGTTTTTTTATACGATACTATAATATTATATTATATTCGTCCGATGTCATCGGGATCATCGTCTTTGCATATAATTATTTCCTCTTGCGTTCACAGTTCGATGCCCAACCCATTTTTTTTTTGTCTGGCTTGGTGTGGTGTTCAAAAAAAAATAGTGGAAAGAATTTATTATTGTAAATTTTTCATTTTTTTTTTTTGAATAAATATCCTTTGGGTTAGCTTTTCACTGCTTCACACACTCTCTTCATTATTATCTGCTTGCTTTGGTAAATATATTTATATTACAGCTGCTGCGATCAGTTTTTGTAACATTACTAATACACAATAACTACTACTACTACTACTACTACTACTACTACTACTACTATTACTAGTATTTTTAAATAGTCAACTTCAAAACCTACTACTTTATATTTTTTTTATTATTTGTATTATTTGTAACATATCAAAAAAATGAATCAATTAGAATCAACTTTGGACACCCTCTTAAAGAGATTGGATACTGCCACTCAACGTCTTGAAACTGTTGAAAAGGCTTTGGCTTCTGGTGCTGCTGCTGGTTCTGCTCCAGCTGCTGCCGCCGGTTCTGCTCCATCTGCCGCTGCCGTCACTGAATTCCAAAATTTGGTTGATCAACACATCGTTCCATTTGTTGCTCTTTCAAAGCAATTGGCTCCAGAACTCGCTCAACAAGTATGTTGAAAACAAATTGGTCAAAAATGATAAATATATACAACAACAACAATATTAATTCTCTCTCTCTCTCTCTCTCTCTACCTATTCCTTTATATTTTAGGTTGATGAATTAATTGCAGCACTTGAATCAGAGAAACAATTGATTGCACTTGCTTCAAACTCAAAGAAGCCAACTCAAGATGCACTCGTTCAATTGATTCAACCAATCAACTTGCATGCTCAAAAGATCGAAGCTCTTCGTAACGCCAACAGATCATCAAAGGTCTTTAATAACCTTTCAGCCATCTCTGAGAGTATTGGATTCCTCAGCTGGGTTCTTGTTGAACCAACACCAGCTCCACACGTTGCCGAGATGAAGGCATCTGCTGAATTCTACACCAACAGAATCTTAAAGGAATTCAAGGGTGTCAACCAACAACAAGTTGATTGGGTTCAACAATACAACGCCTTTTTGGGTGATCTCCAAAAGTACATCAAGCAATACCACACCACCGGTCTTACATGGAATCCAAAGGGTGGCAATGCCCCATCATCTGTTCCAGCATCCTCTGCTCCATCAGCCGGTGCTCCACCAGCCCCAACTGGTGCTCCAGCCCCACCACCTCCACCACCAGCTGGCTACCTCGACGACAACAAGCCAAAGAAACCAGCTGCCGATATGTCTGCCGTTTTCAGTCAACTTGGAAAGGGTGAAGGTGTCACCTCTGGTTTGAAAAAGGTTACCGATGACATGAAGTCAAAGAACAACCCAAACAAGTCATCTGTCGTCAAGGCTGATGATCTCAAGACTACTACCACCACCACCACCGCCAAGGCTGCCGCCGCCCCAGCCAAGCCACCCAAATTTGCTCTCGAATCCAACAAGTGGTGTGTCGAGTTCCAAAAGGGTAACAAGAACATTGTCATTGCCGACACTGATCCACGTCAAACCGTCTACATCTACCAATGCCAAGACTCTGTCATTCAAATCAAAGGAAAGGTCAATGCCATCACCGTCGACAATTGCAAAAAGACAGCCATCGTCTTTGAAAATGCCATCTCTTCCTGTGAACTCGTCAACTGTATCTCTGTTGAAGTACAAGTGACCGGTAAGGTACCATCAGTCTCTATCGACAAGACCTCTGGTTGTCAACTCTATCTCTCACAAGAATCTTTGGCCACTGAAATCGTCACCTCCAAGTCATCTGAAATGAACGTACTCATCCCAGGTGCCACTCCAAATGATGATCTCGTTGAAATTGCCGTACCAGAACAATACAAGACTCTTGTCAAGGGTAACAGATTGATCACTGAATCAATGTCTCACGTTTAAAAACAGTAAAATAAACACACACACAAACAACTAATTATATATAACCCCAAATCGGTAATGATGAAAGATGAAATTTCGGCCAAATGCGGCTATTCTGTTTTAAAAAAAAAAACAAAATTAAAAACAAATTGATGATTCATCATCATCTTTAAGAATGATCAATATTAATGAAACGAACTAAACTAACAGTTCATTATCAACTTTCCTTTATAAACATATTATATTCAATAACATGTCAGCTGCTACTACTACAACAAACGTTGATCCAAAAATAATAGATGGTAGAATCATATCGGCCGATATTAAAAAAGATATAAAGATTCAAGTTGAAAAGCTGATAGCTCAAGGTAAACGTGCTCCTTGTTTGGTTGTTATTCTTGTTGGTGATAGACCTGATTCTCATGTAAGTAAGAAATATATATATATCAATATACTTACTTACTTACTTACTTACTTACTTACTTACTCTCTATTTCTAGACCTATGTTAGAAATAAAAAGAAAACAGCATCAGATTTAGGATTTGAATCAATTGATTGTTTATTACCAGGAACTACAACACAACAAGAGGTAATAGATATTGTAAAGAAATATAATCAAGATGAAGCTGTAGATGGTATTCTTGTTCAACTACCATTACCATCACATATCAACGAGGCATCGGTATTGAACGAGATTGATATTAGTAAAGATGTTGATGGTTTCAATCCAATTAATATTGGATCACTTGGTATGCGTGGAAGAAATGCAACATTTCAACCATGTACACCACGTGGTTGCATAGAGATGTTGGATAGAAGTGGTGTAGAGATTGCTGGTAAAAAGGCTGTAGTATTGGGTAGATCTAATATTGTTGGTCTTCCAGTGGCCCTAATGTTGATGAATCGTGATGCTACCGTCACTATTTGTCACTCTAAAACACCAGATATACCATCACAAGTAAAACAAGCAGATATTGTCATTGCAGCGATTGGTCAAGCTCGTTTTGTCAAAAAGGAATGGATCAAGGAGGGAGCAGTTGTCATTGATGTTGGTATGAACTCTGTCGATGGTAAGCTGTGTGGTGATGTAGATTATGTCAATGTAAAAGAGGTTGCTAGTAAAATTACACCAGTTCCAGGTGGTGTTGGTCCAATGACCATCGTTATGTTACTTTCAAATACTTTGGAAAGTTCAAAAAAAAGACAAAATGTTATTAATCTCTAAAAAAAAAAGAAATAATAAACAAACCAAAACAACAATAATATTTATTTTAAAAAAATGACTCATTTGTGTTTATTATACTAGTATTTCCCGACTTGGGAATCGAAAGATTGCATTGACCAAAAAAAACAAAAGATCTCTTTTTAATTTTTTAATTTTTTTATAAAATTTTATACACAATCTTTGTTCAAGAAGTTCATCACATGATCATTGTTAAAATTTTTTATAGTACTATCTATCTATCTATATATCTATAATGACACATACAACATTTAGTTCTAGTTCAAATCAAAAATGGGATCAAGAGATTGTTGATATAGCAGATTATGTATTAAACTATAAACCAACAACAGATGAATCATTTAGTACTGCAAAGGCAACTTTGTTTGATGCTATTGGTTGTGGTTTGTTGGCATTAAAGTACAAGGAATGTACAAAGTTGATGGGTCCAACTGTTGAAGGAACTGTTGTACCAAATGGTTGTCATGTACCAGGTACAGACTATGTATTGGATCCAGTACAAGCTGCCTTTAATATTGGTTGTATGAATAGATGGCTAGATTTCAATGACACTTGGTTGGGTCGTGAATGGGGTCATCCTTCTGACAATCTTGCTTCCATCTTGGCTGTGGCCGAGTACAAGTCTAGAGAAAACATCAAGGTTGGTCTACCACCTTTGACCATGAACGATGTATTGGTTGCATTGATCAAGGCCTATGAAATTCAAGGTGTATTGGCTCTCGAAAACAGTTTCAATCGTGTCGGTCTTGACCATGTCGTTTTGGTCAAGGTCGCTAGTACTGCCGTCGTTGCTCAATTACTCGGTGGCACACGTGATCAAGTACTCAATGCCGTATCAAATGCCTGGGTCGATGGTCAAAGTCTCCGTACCTACCGTCATTTCCCAAACACTGGTTCTAGAAAGAGTTGGGCTGCTGGTGATGCTGCCAGCCGTGCTGTTCATCTCTCACTCTTTGCACTCAAGGGTGAGATGGGTTATCCAACTGCCTTGTCTGCCAAGATTTGGGGATTCTATGACGTTCACTTTAAGGGAAACACATTCAAGTTCCAACGTCCATACGGAAGCTATGTCATGGAGAATGTACTCTTCAAGGTCAGTTACCCAGCCGAGTATCATGCTCAAACCGCTGTTGAATGTTCCATTCGTTTGCATCCACTCTACAAGCAAAAGGGAGGTGTCGATGCCATCGAAAAGATTGTCATCACCACTCACGAGTCTGCCATTCGTATCATTGACAAAAAGGGACCACTCAACAACCCAGCCGATCGTGACCATTGCATTCAATACATGTCTGCTATAGGTATGATCTATGGTGATCTCAATGCCGACCACTACGAGGACAAGGTTGCCATTGGCGATACATCGATCGATCAATTGCGTGACAAGATGGTCTGTGTCGAAAACACTCAATACTCTGCCGATTATCTCGACCCAGAGAAACGTTCCATTGCCAATCGTATCCAAATATTCTTCAAGGACGGTACCACCAGTGATGATGTAGAGGTTGAATATCCAATCGGTCATCGTCGTCGTCGTCAAGAAGCTCTCCCATTGATCGAATCAAAATTCTTTAATGCTCTCAAGGATAGTCCAGTTCCACAACAATCCCTATCTGCCATTCAAGATTTATTCAAAACTACCGATAAATTCAATCAAACTTCTGTTTTGGATTTTGTTAATTTGTTCAAGTGTTAAAATAAAAATGAATGAAATTGTTGATTATTTCTTTCCAAGTACACAAGTACTTAGTCTGAATCCTCTCTATTCTTTTATGATTTTTTAATTTCATTTATGATGACATATCCATCACTGCCACCAATTGCAATTCTATATAACCAGAGAATAGGAAATATTAGCATCCTACTCTATTAATTTTAATTATTTTTATTATTATTATTATTATTATTACTATTATATACTTACGATTTATTATCTGGTGAGAAAGAAATAGAGGATGAGGCATGTGTATTGTCAAGGTTGAATAGTCTGATATTGAATTGTTAATCACCTTGTTTATCTCTTCTTGAACTATATTTAAATTGTATTGTTATAGATTCAATAAAGGATATTATTATTATATTATTGTTGTTATATTGTCATTAACATTACCACACTACAGTTATTATATTATTATTATTATTAATTATTATTGTAGATAGCGCAGTTGGTAGAGCGATAGAAGAGGAATAGAATGAGAGAAAGACAACAGTGAATATTATTATTATTATTATTACTATTATATACTTACGATTTATTATCTGGTGAGAAAGAAATAGAGTATGATGGATCATTATGACCCTTTATCTCTGCTACTTGTTGTGTGTTGTCAAGGTTGAATAGTCGGATATTGAATTGTAAATCATCTTGTTTGTCTCTTCTTGAATAAGAATAATCTGGTGTGTCTCCCACTGCAAAAGCAATCATCTAAAGGTCGAGTTAAATAGATTTGTGAATTAATAATACATTGTATTGTTGTTGATGACAGATACTTGTGTGGTCAATATAGCTCACTTACGGGAGGAGTAGTAGATGATGTCGTTGTATCGTTGACGCTGCAACCAATACTAAATGAACGAATGAGCTTCCAAGTATTGTTTTCACACAATCTGACGATACCACCGCGGGTTACAACCATACTTTGGTCTCTGGTCCATTTGATTCTGCCACACACACCTCCCTCGACAATCAAGTGAACCAATTCTCTCGTTTCTACATCAAAGATATTAATTCTGCCATTACAATGACCCAATATATACTTGTTCAAAGGCGACCAGCTAACACAAGTATATTGGGGTGGTGAATGTCCTGGGCCTCTGTTAAAGTAAACAAAGGTGTCACTATATTTAAATTACAAGGTAGGAGGTAAATGTTTACAAAGATTCTGTTGTAGTTGCAATCGCTCCAATTGGGTATATAATTACATTTCTTTTCATTATCTGGATCAAAAGAGCACAGAGTATCTTGTAGCCGATTACTCTTTGTTATATGTGAGAAGTCAACTATGATATTAGATTTTCATCAAGCAAGAATCACAGATTTAAAATATAATAGACAAGGTGATAGACTATTCGTTGCATCACATGATGAGAACGTGTCTCAATGGGATACCTCGAATGGTTTACTCGTCAACAAGTTTACTCACCCCGATTCAGTCGGATCAATCAGTATCACTCAAGACTCTAGGTATATGGTTTCAACTTCAAGATACTCAGTGTATTTATGGGGTACGGCAGTCTCTGGTGAGTTATTAGAGGTTATCGATTGTGAGCCCAATACCTTTATTAATTGTGTTGAGTTCTCTCACGGAGATACACATATCGCATTCTCGTATCGCAGTGTCGGCTAAATTCAATCAAAGATCAAAGTGTGCTCTTTTGATCCAGATAATGAAAAGAAATGTAATTATCTACTATACCCAATTGCAACTACAACAGAATCTTTGTAAACATTTACTTCCTCCCTTGTAATTTAAATATAGTGACACCTTTGTTTACTTTAACAGAGAACCAGGCCCCAGGACATGCACCACCCCAATATACTTGTGTTAGCTGGTCACCATCGAACAAGTATATATTGGGTCATTGTAATGGCAGAATTCATATCTTTGATGTAGACAAGAGAGAATTGGTCACTTGATTGTCGAGGGAAGTGCGTGTGGCAGAATCAAATGGACCAGAGACCAAAGTATGGTTGTAACCCGCGGTGGTATCGTCAGATTGTATGAAAACAATACTTGGAGGTTCATTCGTTCATTTAGCATTGGTCGCAGTGTCAACGATACGACTACATCATCTACTACTCCTCCCGTAAGTGAGCTATATTGACCACACAAGTATCTGTCATCAATAATGCAATGTATTAATTCACAAATCTATTTAACTCGACCTTTAGATGATTGCTTTTGCAACAGGAACCACACCAGATTATTCTTATTCAAGAAGAGACAAACAAGATGATTTACAATTCAATATCCGACTATTCAACCTTGACAACACACAACAAGTAGCAGAGATAAAGGGTCATGATGATCCCTCATACTCTATTTCTTTCTCTCCAGATAATAAATCGTAAGTTCAATCTAATAGAACTCACAGTTGAATAATAAGAAATGTACTAACATTTTCAATTCCTCTTTGATCCAATAGAATTGCAATTGGTGGCAATGATGGATATGTTATCATAAATCAAATTTAAATAATAATAATAATAATAATAATAATAATAATAAAAAGTAATAAAATAATATTTTCGATAATGGAAAAATTTACATTTTTTACCAATTTATTCTTTTTTTTTTTTTAACCATTTGAGGGGCTAAAGCCACCTGAAGGATAAGAGATTGGACAATAATTATCATAACAGTCAGTTGTTGCATACAAATGTGTCGGAGAATCATCAATGATACCGCCCAAATCATCCAACTTTCTCTTTTTGGTGGTTGAAAGTGGAGCATTGATGATTTCCATTATCATTCCAATGTCAAAATTTTGACCTACCATATGATGATCATTTAATTCTGGTGAAGAGACTGAAGATGAAAGTGATATAGTATCTCCATTTAAAATATGAGATTGTGTAAAATCTGTAGAAGTAGAATTGTCGGGTTGTTGTATAATGTGAAAATGTTCAGTTGTTGTCGTTGTTGTTGTACTACTATCTACAAGGTGGTTGGTGTTCATAGTATCATATGATTGATCTATATTTGGTGTATTATTTGAAGAAGAATCGGTTGAAATGGTTGAATCATAATTATATATTGCCTCATTATCGTTTGATAAAATTGTTGTAGGCGGTGGAATATAATGATCAAAATTAATTTCCAGTGGCTGAAATTGATATTCAATTGTTGGTATTTGTTGTTGCGATTGAATAGGTTGTTGAATAGGTTGTTGTTGAGGTTGTTGTTGGTGCTGTGGTGGTTGATGTTTAACATATTGTTGGTGCTCTTGGATTGGTAAAGTTTGTTGTTGAATTGGTAAAGGTTGTTGTTGTTGTTGTTGAGTGTGTGGAGAAGGTGGAGAGGAAACATCTGACGAAGGAGATGGTTGGCTTTGATAATAAATACTCTGTGGTTTTGAAGTAGATGTTTGTTGGTGTGTAATTGGCAAAACAGGTGGAGCAACAATAGTTTGATGAGAAGTATTTAATGTTGGAACTGTTGTTGTCTGTAATTTAGGTGGTGGTGTTATTGTTGTTGTTGTTGTACTAGTAGTAGAGGAAGAAGAAGAAGAAGTCAACTTGTTTTGAGTTGGAGCTTTTGGAGTCTTTGGAATTTGAACTGGAGTTTGAATTTGAATTGGAATAGGTGTTGTAATAGGTTGTGGAGGAGGAGGTTGGTGATGTTGTTGAAATGTTTGTTGTATAGTATGTTGGATTGATGGTTGATGAGTTTGATATAAATTATTATTGTATTGAAGAGGTATTGATGCAGATGTATCATTTGCATATTTATAACCCACTTGACTTGCAGAAGGAAAATCTACATTGTTTGATAGCACTTGGAGTAAATATTGATATTGAGCATCATTTAATAATCCATTCTTCCAATCCATTTTATCTTGTGGTGATTTTGATTCATGATCCTTGTTCATTTGATCCAATTTTAATCTTTCTGTTATCTTTTTGAAAGGAAATAGAGAAAGATAATTATTATCAATTGATCAAATTCTAATATATAGATAGAAACATACTCTGGTAGCTTTTTGATTTGTTGCAACTCTTCTTAGAGCATCTAAAATTAAACGACCCCAAGTGGGATTTGATTTTGATGATGGTTCATCATGTAGAATGGGAAGGTCCAAAATATATTCCAAGCTCATTGGTACATCACTGCCACGATTGTTTTCGACAATGTTTACATTTGGTGCAGGTATACAATGGTAGAGTCTTGGTGATGCTTCTGTTTTTAGATATTTTCCATCAACCACTGAAAGATTATTATAGTTTATCGCTACTATATTTTTAGTTGCTACTGGTCTTTCAATTGACGAAACAACAGCAGCAGCAGTAGCAGTAGCAGTAGCCGCTAATGGTTTTGATTTTGTTGAATTGGTTTGAGGATTTTGATAAAGTGAGGAAGGAGGGGGAGGTGGAGGAGTATAAACATTTGGAACAGCTGGCATCGATTTTGATAAACTTTGTTGTTGTTGTATATAATGAGATGATTGTGTCGATGGTGGGATGATAGGCTTATTATTTGGTACTATTGATGTTGGTGGTAAAGGGGGTGCTCTATTGACCATGTTGTTATTACTATTGTTGTTTGGGATTGATTTATAACTATAGGCAGTATTATTTCCTACAGGTGAACTCATTGTTGTTGGTTTTGAATAAGGAGGGGGAGGAGAAGAGACCGACTGTCTTGCAATTGTATTTGGTGGTCTATAGGGTGACACTGATGAATAAGTGGTCGATTGTCCATTTAGAGGTCTCGGTCCAACACAACACTTTCCAGTACATGGAGTGGATACAGTTCTCGGAGCCGTTGATGTTGTTGTTGTTGGTACACCCATAGGTTTAGAGGAGTTCATTATCATTGTGTTGGTCGTCGGTTTTGTCAGAGTACTTGACGACAGTGATGGTGGAATAGTTGGTCTAAGTTGAGAACTTGCATACATTGGTCTTGTTACTATTGTCGATGGTGGTGGTGGTTGTGGTATATATACTGTATTGATCATTGGTGATGGATTTACATTTGCTCTTTGTGTTGGTTTGGTTGTTGTACTCTGTCTTGTCATATTGGTTATTGTTGTTGCTGCTCCTGTGGTAGTCTTATTATTATTATTAGATGATGATGGAGGTTCATCAGTACTACTACTATTTGCTATATTTGACTTTGAAGAAGCGGAAGAAGTGGTTGACATTGTTTTTGGGTTTGTATCTGATACATTCTTTGATGACATATAATGGTTCAAACTCTTTTTAAAGAGTATAGATTGGTAATATAGAGGGGGTGAGGGTGTTGTGATGTGAGTAAACTAAACTATACTTTCATGTCTTTGAAGATTCGCTCTTTCGTTTGATTATTAAAAAATTTCTATTTTTTTTCGTTACCCTTTCATATACAAAAATTCGTTTTGATTGTGAATTTCACACAACCTAACCTTTGGTCTTTATTTATTTATTTTAAAATTATTTTTAAAGCTGAAAGTATAGGATGAGTATAATATTCTTTAGCCAAGATATGGGGTTGAGATTCTATTTTTAATTTAATTGGTAGCAAGACTTTTCTAACAATCTCGGCGATAGAGGTATGATTTGGGTCCAATTGAAAGATACTCTCCTTGATCCATTTCAATTTGAGGTCGGTTTCATTGTTGAGGTCAAATGATAGTTGTTGGATCAATGAAATGATGGTTGGGTTTTGAAGGTTCTTGCGTCCATACACCTCGGTTGGATCCAATACTGAACAGAGGTCAACTACCATGGTCAAGTTTGATGCATTCAATGCAAAGTTAAAGGCACTCGAATAATCTCCAGATTCAATAAATATTTTCAATTCTGGATAAATTAATGATGATACTGGTTTGATGGTTGGTGAAAATGTTTGTTGAGGTTGTTGAGGTTGTTGTTGTTGAAATCCTAAATGTTGAGGAAACATTGATGCATTTGGTTGTTGTTGTTGTTGTTGACCTGGACTATTATAAAGATTCATCATATTTTGATGTGGTGATGACATATTATTATTATTGGTAGAAGTTGGGAATACTGATGGTGCACTTGTTTGATGTTGTTGTTGTTGTAATTGATGTTGTTGGAATTGAATAATATTCATCAGTTGTTTCATATCGGTTTGCATTTGTTGTTGTTGTTGCAATAGACCATTCAAAATGAGATCGGTTGATTCCTTTTGTTGTTTGAGTTGTTCAGTGAGAGCTACTTGACTGGCAAGTTGTTGGGCTTGTAGTGAAAGTTGGAATTGCTGACTACTTTCGACAAGTCCACGTTCAAACACAACCGAGATGTGCTTAAACATGGTCATACAAGACTTTTCAAATCCTGGTACCAAAACTTGTCCAAAATATTCTAAAAATACAGCTTCAATCTGTTGCTTGATCGTAGATTCGATGGCTTCAGTGACGGTTGATGTTTTGAGCTGAGAATTCAATCCATCCAAACTAGTCTTTAGAATAGATTCAGACTTTGTTCCAATCTTTTTAACAGATTCTTGTACAATCTTTCCAACCAATTGTTCAAAAGTTACACCCAATGACTTTTCAAGACTATATAGTACTGGTACAACTTCCTTTTTTACCATCTTTTCAAGATTACTTTTAATTGTAGTTTGAATTAAATTTGTAATCATTTGTTCATCAATTGAAGAAGTTGAAGTTGACTTTGATGATGATGATGATGATACAATTGGATCTACTATAGTAGTAGTTGATTGTTGTGGTGGAGGAGGAGTACTTGTAATAATTGGAGAAGCTTGAAGAGTTGGACTTGGTTGTTGATTTGTTGATTGAATTGTTGGTTGAATCGGTTGTACTGTTGTTGGTAGAATTGATTGATTAGAAAGACTAAGACTACTACCACCACTACTACTTGGCGGGTTAACAGTTGGAATTTGAAGTGGTGTTGGTCTAATCGATGGTGTTTTTGATTTTGGTTTAACAGAAACTGGTGGTGATGTTGTTGTAGTTGTAGTAGTTGCTGATGTCAATTCCTTTTCCTTTTTAATTGGTTGTGGTGATGAAGTACCGTTATTATTTTTTTTTGTGATTGTTGGAGAAGTAGTTTGATTAACCAAACTAGCAGGACTAAGTAATTGATCAACAGATGTCAAGTCTGATTCTGAAATACTTGGAGAGACTGATGATTTTGGTGAAGGTAACAATTCACTTGATGGATGCTGTTTGGTTAATTGAGATTTTGGTACCTTTTTCTTTTTGTTGGACGAGGAGGATGGTGATGGTATCGATTTTTCATCACCATTTTCTGGAGAAATATTAACTTCAACATGAGACTTTAGCGATGAAACATTTGTTGTAGTAGAGGATAATAAATCTTTCAAATCTTTGGTTGGATCTGGAAGTGATACTGGTGGTGGAGATGAAGGAATATTTACAAGTAATTTTCCTGGTGTGAGCAATTCCAATATATCTTGTTCGGTTGTTGCTGGTGGTAATGGTGGAGATGAAACAGCGACAGAGGTGGCAGCGGTTAATTTTTGACCAATAGTTTGACCATCTCTATCATTATAAATATCAGATTCCAAATAGGCTTGAGATAGTTGGATACTGTGAAAGAGGATAGCATGACCTTGAACAGAATAGATTGTAAATTTCTTTTCCTTTCTCTCTTCACGCATTGAAGTACGGGCGACTGGAGTCGATGTGATTGATTTTACAGTGTAACTAAGTACTGGCTTTTTAACATCAAACTCTGTAATATAATCAAAGTGTGGAGTTGTCTCGGAGGTCGATTGTTGTTGTTCTAATTGTTGATCAAAATGTAAAACATAACCTCTTGAACAACCAGTATGAATGACAAATAGGTATTGATCTACTGAATTTAATAGACATGGTTGGTCACCTCCATTTTGGATGGTAACCTTTTGTACAACTTTCCAACCGTCAATCTTGACCACTGATATGTCACGATTACCACGACTTGCTACAATCAAATGATCTCCTTGTCCAATAAACGATACAAAGTGAATCTCTTCTGTTGACAATGATGTTGTGCTACTCTTTAGCGAGGTGGCATTGAGGTCGATCAATCCAACCGATCCATTTGCACCACCGTATGCGAGAATAGAGTTGGATGGATTGTATGCAAGAGCATTGATATTGGCACCGGCTTGTACGGCGATCGAGAGGATGGATGGTTGTTGTTGTGATGTTGAAAAGTCAACTATACTGAGAGCAGCCACTCCACTTCCTCCAATGGCAATTCGTGTTGGACCACACCAACATACCTTGGGCAACATTTGTGGGTTAACATCGGCAGAGACTGCAGTCGTAGAAAAGAGACACAGTTGAGTAGAGATGGCACCGGCAGTTGATGGATTTGATTCAATGTCATAGACATAGAGTGCTCCACTATCAGTGACACAGGCCAATAGATTGGACTGGTCGTTAAAGAATTGCATGTCAGTGATTGTACCAACGATATCTTTAATCAGTGCCTTTTGTGAACTCGATCTTTCAAGTACACGTATCTTTTCACCCTTGACAGCATAGCAAATGTAATTATTGTTGACCGATATCAATCTTCCCCAAAGATATTTTAATGACGATGGAATAATGGTTATCGTTTGACTCTCCAAATCTGAAATATATTTCATTGCTATTGATTGATCAATTGTAATTTCATTTCCATTTAAATAAACTCCATTATGACTTGTTGTAATATTATTTGATTGTTCAAAACTTAAACTAAAGTAAAAAAAAAAAAAGAAGTAAAAAGTAAATAAAATGAAAAGAATAAAGAGTTGTAAGAGTTTGGGTTTACATACTTTGGTAATACACCTCCTCCAATTGATGATTTTAATGGTTTCTTTGATGGTGTTAACATTTCTTGTTGTTGTTGTTGTTGTTCAATAGGTGGTGATGGTTGTTGTGTATTTGTTGTTGTTGTTGTTGGATTAGTTGTTGGTGGTGTCAACTTGTTAAAGAATCTCATTACATTATTCTCATCTTCATTTGTAGTTGTAGTTGTTGTAGTAGATGTAGATGTCTCTTGTTGCTGTTGTTCACCATCTTGTTGTTGTTGATTTTGGTTATTGATATTCATAACTGATTGAAATAATTTATGTAATCCGTTATTCATTTTCTTCTTCTTATTATTTATTATTATTCTATTATCTAATCTCTGTTTTATATATTATTTCTTTATCATAATTCTATTATTGAATTGAATTGAATGAATATTAATAATCATTAATGTCACATGATCATATGTGACATGTGTATTTTATTGTCTGACTTTTATATATATATATTATATTTATATGACCTACATTATGATTGATTGATTGATAGATAGATTATATTAAACTTGGTTGATTGTATATTTAATCTACCTTGTTGATTGATTGATGTCTTGTGTATGAATGTATATAATATAATATTGAACATCAAAAGCCCTCTAAACTCACCATCAAAACCCATTCAAATTTTTTGAAAAGACCAAAAATGAATTTATAAAAAAAAAAAAAAACAACCAAACCTGAACTTCAAAATCGATCTTTGAAGATCCATGGATCTGGACCTTTTGAAAAAATCAATTAATTTTTTAATATCCATTAATTCATTCAATCATTACTTTACCGTATTAATTAATTAATGATTTTATTATATTTTGTTAAGTGTAAAAAAAACAGTAAAGTGTAAAGAGGTTTTTAAAAAAAAAAAAAAAAAAAAACAAAAAGTCTTACAATTTTATAATTATTTTATGATTTAAATCTATGTATCTATCGATGTTCAAAGGATGATTATTGGATGATAATTTAACAAAAGAAAGAAAATGAAAGATTCAAGTTCAACTGCTGGGTTGAATCTGATGTTTGACGATATCAAGCGCATGGATCTGCCTAAAAAAACAAAAACTTTTTAAATCTCAAAAACTATGGTTTCCCTAAAAAGTCAAACATGGCAATAAGAATCTTGACATTAATCTTAAAAAAGTAAAACGTTTCTTCATGTTTCCTGTCGGCTTTTTCAATTTTATAAAATGCAATTGGTTGTTGCAAAAAATAGGTGACTATTATTGTTGTTGTTGAACATTGTGAGGTGGAACCAACTGATTTAAATATACAAGGTTGATGCGGATCATTTTTCAATTCATTCATACACAACAACAACCACAACAACAAAGTAGTAAATTCAAAACCACCAACCATTCTCTTTTATTTATTCTTTTCAAAACCAATAAATTAGATACTTTTTTTGTATCATCCGACATCATCCTTTTTTTTTTCTTTTCCCTATAAAGGACCAACGACACACACAACTTTGCACATTTTTTGTTTTTTTTTCCTTTTCCTACTTTCGTATCACAGTCTGTTCACATATAACCAAAAAAAAAACAATATCAATCTTTTGTTTTTTTTAATTAAATAATTATGTATTTTTGTATCATTTTAAAATAAGAAATATAACAAATATTTGATTATCTATTTCTTTCTCTCTTCTCTTTCTTTATATTATTTATTTATTTATTTTAAAATGAAAATTTATTGTGCTCCTCTTGACAAGACCATTTTAATTGATTGCAAGGTAGATAATACTACCATCTTTCAATTAAAAGGTTTAATCCAAAAAAGACTTGGTGCTCCTCCTACTTCTCAAATTGTAAAAAAATCAACAAAAAAAAACAATCAAACAAATTAATTTGAATAGATTATTAAATTTTTTCCTTTTTATTAGATTCATATCAAACATAAAGGATTATCACCAAAATATGATAAAAGAATATTATCAACTTTAAAATTAACCAATGATTCAAAGGTAAAAAAATTAAAAAAAACAAAGAAAAAAAAAATACAAAATCTCTCTAACCAATTATATCTTTCTCTCTCTATTAAATTTTATATAGGTTGAAATGTTTTATAATATTGATGGAGGATGTGGAGGATGTGATATTTGTGGAACTGGATGTATTATAATGTAAATTAATTTGTATAAAAAAATATTCCAACCTCCCCTCATCAATCAATCAACCAAATATTCATTTTTATATAGAACTCTTCTAATCCCCATTCAAAAACAAAAAGAGATTTCTTTTAAATAAGAAATCATTTCAAAATTGAATGGACCAACTTTCAAACAAGGCAAAAAAAGGCATTTTTATTTCCTCTTTTCCATTTTTTTATTTGGGAAACAACTCTTTTTATAGACTTTACACAAAATTGATAAAGGTATTATCAATTAAACAAAGAAATATTTTGTGATCAAATAAATTTATAATAAAAATTATTTGATTTATTTTACTTTAACCCTTTTCTCTTTAAAGTTGACTTATAAAATTATTAATATTAAATTCTTCTTGATATTGTTTTTCATCCCAAAGTTCACCAAGACTATCCAAAACACTTTGTAAACCACCTTGTTTGGTAGATGATTTTTTCTTTTGTCCAGCTTGATTTGTAATTTCACCTGTCAAACTATCAATACCTGCACCATCTTGTTGCTGTTGTTGTTGTTGTTCTTGTTCATTGTAATCGAAAAGATTAAGTAATTCATTGGTAGACATTGTTTGAAGTGATTGATTCTCTTGATTGACGATGGTATTGGCAATGTTTAATTTGAATTTTTGAAGACCCATAATCTTTTCTTCCAAGGTGCCTTGAGTGATAAGACGATATACATTGACAACCTTTTTTTGTCCGATACGATGAGCTCTGTCCATGGCTTGAAGATCCTTCATTGGATTCCAATCGTGTTCTAAAAAGATAACAGTATCGGCACCTGTCAAATTGAGACCCAAACCACCAACTGTAGTGGTGAGTAACAATAGGTCAATGGTGGGATCGGCATTGAATCGATTGACAATGGTTTGTCTTTTCATTTGCTCAGTACCACCATCCATTCTGAGATAGGTAACCGATGGTAATATTTTCTTTAACAAATCAGATTCGACACAATCCAACATTGCCTTGGTCTGTGCAAAGATTAGACATCGATGTTGAGTTGAAATTTCCAAATTCTCTAATGAATCTTTTTCCTTTTTAACCAAACCATTTTCCTTGTCATCGTCTTTTCCAATACCACACTCCCACAAGAGTTCTCTTAGTGAAGTGAGTTTTGGTGCATTTTCAATTGAATGAACGTCGATTGGTAAACGTTTTTGTACCATCTCGTCTACAATCTTTTGATATTGTGGATGATTTGCATTGAATACAAATTTGGGATGACTACATAGTTTACGAAGATACTGTAAAGCTTGGAAAATGTGATTAGCAGACTTTCCACTTTTCTTTTTAGATTTTCCTTCATCATCGCCATCATCACCATCTTGTAGATCATTTGATATTTCATCTCTATTTGAACTATGTGAAAAGGAAGAATAAAGTCTTTGTTGAAGCCAACTTAATTTACAATAACGATCTTGAATAATCTTTGGTGGTAGATCTGCCAATACATTTTCTTTTAGACGACGCAATAGGAAAGGTAAAACTTGACGATGAAGAGCTTCCATTGCCAATGCACCAGCTTCTTGATCTTTGGCTGTACATTTTGGATCTTTGCTCGCTAGGATTGGTTTAGAGTAGAGTTCTTCAAATTGACGTTCGGTACCCAAAAAACCTGGCATTAAAAAGTCAAAGAGTGACCACAACTCTAGTACATTATTTTGAATAGGTGTACCAGATAGGATAAGACGATGGTTTGCATTGATTTGTTTAACTGCTTTGGTCATTTTGGTTTTTGTATTTTTGATAATGTGACCTTCGTCGAGGATACAATAGTTGAATGTAAGTGCTGCCAAGTGTTCAATGTCGTTACGAACCACTTCATACGACATGATGAGAACATTGTGTTTGTGGAATTGTTGGCGAAGAGCTGCACGATCGTTTGGTGGACCATAATAGGCAAGTGGTCGCATTTGTTCATTGTCTGTAAACTTTTTGATTTCACTCACCCAATGACCAACCAAAGTACTTGGACAAATGACCAACGATGGTAATGGTTGAAAGTTTGGTGTACCATGAAGTTTAAATTGTTGAGCACGATCATAATCATCACCTGCCACAATACAAATGGTTTGCAGTGTTTTACCAAGACCCATATCATCACACAATATACCATGTAATTGATACTTGTTGAGAAATGCCAACCAATTGACACCATCTTGTTGATATTTTCTGAGTTCTGTATTGATACGCATTGGCAATGGATAACTTTCCACTTTGCTTCCATCCAATAATTGTTCCAAAAACTTTCTTTCCTTTTTTTTCTTTTCTACCAATACTGGATCTAGACCTTCTGGATCTGGTACACCACTTTCAAGTGGCATAAGTTTTACAAGTCTAGCAAAACAAAGGGATGCTTGTTTTCTAAGATTGAGGTCAGGATCACTCATACAACCTAGGATTGGAATGGTCAAGAATACAATATACGGTACCACCTCCATATTCATCTCTCGAAGTACTTGAACGAGTGCTTGAATGGCACCAAAACGATTCTTTAGCGATTTGGTATCACCAAGCAGTGGAAGTGTGGTGGATATGAGCATTTGCATTGAATCTAGAGTCATTGACTTGCAATAGGTGGCAATACAAGAAGAGGTTGTATATTGAAGAGGAGTATTTGGGAATTGAACAAGATAAAATACTGCTGGCATTAATTGACGGAGATGATCACTAATTTCCTTGTCAATGTGTGGCAACACAGTACGAAGTAATGAAAGAGAATCTATAACTGATTGAATTCTATCATAATCTGTTACCAATTGATCCATAAATGTACCACTACCTTGTGTCTCTTGATAAACTTGTAATATTGGTTGACTAATCAATTCATACAATATTGGAACCGATTCAAATAGAGACGATTTGAATTGATTACATAGTGATTTGAAAAATTCTACTGCTCCTCGTTTACCAAGTCGAAGTAATTTAATTTCATCTTGATCCATTAATTGTTGATTACCAAATATTTGTTGTTCCAATGTTTCATCCAAATTGTTTGATTTGTTTGGTAATAGGGCAAGAGGAGTATCAGTACGATCATCACAAAGAATAGAAAATAGAGATTTAATAATCTTATCATTTGGACAAGGTTTACGAGCAACCGAAAGTAATGTAAGACTAGCCAATGCAGATGAAGCTCTTTGTTGATAGGTAAAATCTTCTTGATTTCGAATTGAATGAAGTAATGATCGAATGACTGGTGTAATCTTTGTTGGAATGGAACGAGAAGCAATTAAAAGTTCAGACATTGCACCTTGAACCATTGTATGATATTCCTTTTGTAACTTGTCAATATAACCAAGTGTAACCATGGTTGTTTTTCTTCTTGCCTCTAATTGATCCAAAATAGATGCCAATTTTGGTAATTGTTGTGGTGGGAATGAAACTTTAATCGATTCAATTGCATAGGTATGTACTTCTGATACCAATGATAGTGATTGTGGCAATATAGTCTCTGATGATATTAAAAGATTATTATTATTTTCATCAATCCATTGTTGAATATGTTGAACTTGAGTAAAATCAACAACTCCAACTCCTTGATAACTCTTTGCCAAAATCTTTGAATCTGCCAACAATTTTGCTCTAATCACAGAATCTGATTCATAATAATAAAAATTTGGTTCTGCCAATTCTAATGATTCAAATAAATATGTTTCAATTGATTGATTTAATAATCCAAATGAAGAAGTAGAAGAAGAATTATTATTATTATTGTTGTTGTAATAAGATTCAGACATTATTAGACAAGCAAGATGTTTTTGGATGGCACCAGTAGATTTTATCATTTGACCAAACATTTCTTGAATTTCTCCAAGACAATCAATTGGCCAACATCTTATCAATGATCCAATTGATTTAATACCAATAATTTTGTTTCTAGTCGATAAATGATAGTCCTTGTTGATTGGTGTTGTAGAAGAAGATGAAGAATCTACTGATTCTTCCTGTTGTTGTTGTTTTGCAGTTCTTTTCCTAAGTTGATTTGGAGTTGTAACTTCTAATTTACTACGCAACGATGGAGTTGATAGTAAGAGATCGATATTTAAAGGTGATGAAGGATTGGTAGCCAATAGAGTAATCCATTGACCAAGAAAAGTTAGAGTAGCACCTCTAATGACTGAACTATTAAAACTTGAAATCAATTCAGACCAAGTTAAAAGTGACAAGTCAACAATATCATCTCGATCCTCTAGTAGAATATTTTGAAATATATAACGCAACAATTGTTCCAATATTGAAAGTAACCAATGTGTTTTGGTTTCTGGTGATGATGACATGATGAGTCGATGTACAGTCTTTACAGCACTCTGTCTAACAGTATAAAGATTATGTCTAAAGAATGGGTATAGTCTAGGTACCAAATGAGCCAATACACTTGAATTTTGAGTTCCAATATTGGAAGAATTTGCTGCAATCGTTGGTAGAATCTCTGGGAATGAATAGATATCCGAAAGGAGATTTAATACAGATGCAGTAGATACTGCCAAATCATCCAATTCTAAAAGAATATCCCATAGAATATTTAAAAGTGATGGAAGACGACCAATATATTTTGGTGCAACAAGATGACGAGCCAAAGGTTGGAATGTTTCAGATGCTGTTGCACGAACATCATCATCACGATCCATTAAACCCAATGTAATGGCATCCAATACAAGTGGTAATATGGTATCAACTAGATCCAATCTAACGACAACTACATATTTAATTCCTTGTAATGCTCCATGTCTAACTTCCCATTGTTTACTTTCATTCAATTGTAATAATACTTGTAATACTTTTACTACACTTGTTTCATTCATATATTTTACCACCAATCCTAATACTTGTGCACATGTTTCTCTTACTGGTGCTACAATCTAAAAAATAAAAAAGAGGAATAAATAAAAAAGAGGAAAATAAATAATATTTATATTTTTTTTTTTTCTACTTACTTGATCAGAACCATAATCACAAAATCTATCTAGAGCAATAACACATAATAATCTAATAGCAAAATCTTCCAACCAAAGAGTATTTTGAATTTCCATTTTTTCATTTGGTGTATAAATCGTTATACCTCCTCCTCCACCATGTTTTCTACAAATTTCTCTTAATCCTACAGCTGATCCATGTCTAATTTCCCAATTTGGACTAAATATGAAAAGAAAAAGAAAAAATATTAATATTATTATTATTCTTTTTTTTTTTTTCTATTTTTCTATTCGCTTACTTGAATAAATCTAAAATTAAATCTTGATATAAAGAAGAAAAAGGCCACTCATCTTGATTATAAGCCTTTTCGACATCCAAAACAGATTCCATAACGATTTTATCAGAATTTTGAGCTTGTTCTGTTATATGTTGTTTTGTATTTGCAGTGGTTCCAGCCTTTTCTTTTCCATTTACTTGTTTAAATCTTTTGTTTCCATCTTGTTGTTTTTCTTTTTGTTGATTTCTAGCTTTACGTTTTTCTAGATTTCTTTCTCGTTTGCTCATACCACTTGTATCCAATACATCACTAATATTATCTTTTTTTTCTTGTTGTTGGGTTGATTCCTTTTTTACAATTAGATCATCTACATCTAATAATTCATCTGGTGCAAATCCCATACTGATTGGCATTTCTTCTAGACCCAACTTTTTTCTCATTCTCTTTCTTTGACGTTCCAATAATTCCTTTGGATCTAGATTCATATCCTTTTCCTTTAACTCTTCATCATATTCTGATCCACCAGAACTTAATAAAGGTGCACCATTCTTTAATACCTTGTTAATGTCAAATGAATCAAATTGAAGATCAAATTCCTCTGGTGTTGCTATATTTTGTATATTTTGTTGATAATATTGTTGTATCTTTTTTTGTAATGCATCAGTTGCCATTTCTTCTTCAATCTTTACTTCAACTTTAAATCCAAATATTTCTGAAGATGATGAATTATCAATTGTTGAAATATCATTATTATTATTATTATTATTATCTTTTTCATCTTTTAAAGTTGTTGTATGTTCTTGTTTTAATTCTTGTTTCCATTCTTGTTCTTTTTCAAGTAATACAGCTTTAGCATCCCATAGAGGTACATTTGAAGCTATAGCTTCAATTGCTTGACCAGCAGCAATACGTGTATCCCATTTGTTAGATGCCAAATATTTCTGTAAATTGTCTAGTAGTGATTGAAGATCATGTGGAAATAATCTTTGTACTTCACCAATCTGTTGTGCTGCTGCTTTTCTAACTGATGTATTTGATCCTGTCTCTAATAATGTAAATAATCTTTCAAGTCGAGACATCTTGAACTATTACAAATGTATTAAAAAAAAAAAAAGAAAGATAAATAGAAAGAAAAAAAGGCTGATGAACCTCATCACAACTACTAGTTGACTAGAATGCAAGTTTAATTTGAAGTGAGTTTTTATGGGACAACTACTTTTTTTTAAAAATTTATTTAATTCTTTTGTTTTAATCTATTTAATCTTTCAGTTAATTCATCAGTTTCAACTTGTTGAACCTTTTCAGAAGGGACAGAACCCATTTGCATTCCAAGAGCAAGTCCATGTTCGTCGGCGACTTGAGATATGAGTAGATCGACTTGATCGGCAGGAGTAGAAAGGGTGGTAGTTTGATTCATTGCATTTTCGACATAGACCGATTGAACGTCCAAGTCTTCAAACTGACGTTCAAACTGATCCATAACTTGAGTTATTTTTTCTAGATCCATTGATCGCATCGATCTCTCCATTGACTTTACGATATTTGCCATTGAACCAGTGACCGACTTCATTCTAATGGCAGTTTCGACACGTGAAGCAACAGCATCAATACGTGATGCCAAACGTAGATAATTTAAACTTTGATTCTTTTCTCTGATTGCATTCTGTGCATAGATACGTGCTCCATCCATATTTCCTTGTTCTATAGCTTTTTTCAATTTAAGTTTCTGTGCCTTTTCACTCTGTTCTGATTTTTTAGATTGTCTCTCTAATTGTTTACTTGTGAATTTTAATTGAAATAATTGATCTAAAATGACAGAAAGAGAGAGAATAAGAAAGATTGAAAAAAAAAGAAAAAGAATTGATATAGTTTGTTGTTTTACTTACTTTCCATTTTGTTGTAATGTTATTTATATATGTCTAAAAAGATAAAAAGATTATGTAAAGAAAAGATAGATGAGAGACTTGTAAGAGTGAGAAGAGAGAGTTTTATTATTACAACTATATATACAAATAAAATAAAAATATGATTTTAATTAAAAAAAGTAAAACCTCAAAAAGTGTACAGTAAAGAAAGGGTATTGGTCGACTTGAAGAATAAAGAAAAGTTTGAAAAAAATGAATTAAAAAAAAAAGGTTGTCTCAAAAAGGAGGGGGTCATTAAATTTTATTGAACAACTATAACTATTACTTTTCTTTGAGCAAAAGAGAAGAGAGAGACAATCAAAAATACTATAGAATATCATTTGATATAGTATTTACAAGATCTTTATTTTCGAACAAACAACCGATTTCTTTCTTTCCTTTTGGACAAAACCAATGACTCATCAGACAATCGAACGAAGTTGACTTTTCACTAAAAGAAGAAAAATAGACAAAAAATAAAAAAAAATGAAATTTTTTCAAAATGGAACAACGAATGAAGCTTCAAAATCAAGTTGATCGTCGTCTATTTTTCTTTAGTTTCACAAAGCTAGTCAAAGGTAATGTTCACACAAAGTGATATAAATAATTATATTATCTCTCTCTTTTCTCAGTAGTACTACAAGTCAGATAGTTAATAATGATGATTAGTAAAACAAGCAAGATGACTCATCATCAACAACAACAACAAAATTTTTTCTTTTTCTTCTTCTTCTTCTTCTTCTTCTTTTTCCAATGTACATTGGACATATGATGTTGCAATACACTTCTCTTCATACGAAAAAAAAAGTAAAAAAAAACGAGGTGAATGGTGATTTGACGACATTATTAGTAAAAAATACAAAACACACACATTTAATGACACCAACAATAGATATACACCACCCCATCCTATAGGATACCCCTATCCTCTCTCTCTCTCTCTTCTCTTTTGTTGCAGCAGAGAGACCCCCTATTTATTTTTTTTATCAAATTTAATTTGAGGAGGGTCCTTTTGGAACATGCTTACTTTTTTTTCATTCATTTTTAAAACAATAACAACAAGTAATTGTCAATTTTTTTTTTTCTTATTTCTATATATAATCACCGATCCACAAATTGGTAAGATAGATATACTACATACCTCTACCATCCCTATGATCGGGATCTCGAATTTTTTCAACCATTACATTTTTCAAATATAAATATGACCTTTTTTTTTTCAAATTACTAACATTCAATTCAAAACTCTCTCTCTCTCAATTACTACTTTACAACTTAGTTATTTAAAAAAATGTCACAAGAAAAGAAGCTTCCATACAAGGTTAAAGATATTTCCCTCGCTGAATGGGGTCGTAAGGAAATCGAATTGGCCGAAAATGAAATGCCAGGTCTTATGGCTCTCCGTAAAAAGTACGGCCCAGCCCAAATCTTAAAGGGTGCCCGTGTTGCTGGTTGTCTCCACATGACCATCCAAACTGCCGTCTTGATCGAAACTTTGACTGCTTTGGGTGCTGAAGTCCAATGGTCTAGCTGCAACATTTTCTCCACTCAAGATCACGCTGCTGCCGCCATCGCTGCCACTGGCGTCCCAGTCTATGCCTGGAAGGGTTTGACTGAAGCCGAATACAACTGGTGCATTGAGCAAACCCTCATCTTCCAAGACGGTAAGCCATTGAACATGATTTTGGACGACGGAGGTGATTTGACCAACCTCATCCACGCTTCATACCCACAACTCCTCGGTGGTATCAAGGGTATCTCTGAAGAAACCACCACTGGTGTCCACAACCTCCACCGTATGCACAAGGAAGGACGTCTCAAGGTTCCAGCCATCAACGTCAACGACTCTGTCACCAAGTCCAAGTTTGACAATCTCTATGGTTGTCGTGAATCTCTCATCGATGGTATCAAGCGTGCTACTGATGTCATGATTGCAGGAAAAATCTCCGTGGTAGCTGGTTATGGAGACGTCGGAAAGGGATGTGCTCAATCACTCTCCAAGATGGGTTCCCGTGTCCTCATCACTGAAATCGATCCAATCAACGCTCTCCAAGCTTGTATGGACGGTTACCAAATTGTCACCATGGAAGAGGCTGCCTCACAAGCCAACATCTTCGTTACCACCACTGGTTGTCGTGATATCATCACTGCTCGTCACTTCGAAGAGATGAAGGAAGACGCCATCGTCTGCAACATTGGTCATTTCGATATCGAAATCGACGTTGCTTGGTTGAATGCCAACGCCACCAAGATCAACATCAAGCCACAAGTTGATCGTTACACCATGAAGAATGGTCGTCACATCCTCCTCCTCGCTGAAGGTCGTCTCGTCAACCTTGGTTGTGCTACTGGTCATCCATCTTTCGTCATGTCCAACTCCTTCTCTAACCAAACCCTCGCCCAAATTGCCCTCTGGACCGAAACCTCCAAGTACTCTGTTGGTGTCCATCTCCTCCCAAAGATCCTCGACGAAGAAGTTGCCCGTCTCCATCTCGGTATCCTCGGTGCCAAGCTTACCACCCTCACCTCTGCTCAAGCTGAATACCTCGATATCGCCGTTGCTGGTCCATTTAAGCCAGAAGGTTACAGATACTAAACAAATCTTAAAAATAAATTATATAGATATAAAAAATCTAATGATTAATTAATATTATATTAGTAGTACATTGATTACACAGGACAAAGGAGGAGCAAGATATGATATCTCTCTTGTCATGAGAGGCATCTTGAAGGTGAAACAGCTGAATGTTGGATGGATGAGTTGCAGAATGGTGAGCAGGAGTAGGTAGTAATCAGAGTCAAGTCAATGTCAGGGATGATGAATGGTGAGGGTATCATGCCAGAGGCATCTCCTCCAGCCAAGACGCTACACTCACAGGAGACGACAGATGTCTGCTGAACAGAACCACAAACATGCTTTCCAGTTGTACCACTAGCATTGGCTAGACACCACCCTCACCCCTGCTCAAGCTGAATACCTCGATGGCCAGAAGGTTACAGATATTAAACAATATTAAATAATTATTATACAGATATATAGATCTATTAATCATCTAGACACCAATAAACTATACTGATCCCTCGATTGTACACTATCTCTCTCTATGAGAGGTACCTCCTCCCTTGTTACAAAATACCCAAATATTTGCAAAAAAATCGAGGTGCACGAGTTTCATCAATTGGTTGCAGCACCAATGACATGTATCAAACAATAAACCTAGAAGAATGGTGATTCCTCTAGAGACTCTAACATCTATCAAGTAATCAAACCAACACTGCATGGTTAAGCCCTATCTTATCAAGTGGTTGCAACAACAATGACATATATCAAACAATAAACCTCGAAGAATGGTGATAAATAATTATGGAAACAACAATAACGATAATAGTAATAGCCCCTATCAAGGTATGTACACTAGTTCTATATTACACAAACAACGTGTAAACTTATATATATATATATAAATTATGTATTCTATAGTTAGAGTAACAAATAGATTAGCCAAAGTATACAAAACCACTGCATTCAAGAGATTACCTGGAGAGGAAAACTCTGTAGATGAGAAAGAGAGATGGGCAACATATTATTATAATACATTAACAGATATATTACTCAAATCAGAACAATCAAGGATCCTCCGCCAAGACCTATTACCCAAGCTCCACTAGAGCTCGTCAATGTGTCAACAACAACCTCGTCCACTTCTGGTTCTAGCTCGAGTCGTACTCTAGATCTAGACAGAGATGGAGACTATAATATGGATAATGGTGATAAATATTCTGCTAGCACCTCGAATATTCATTCTTCACATCTGTCCTCATCGACCTCATTTACTTCGAGTCGTCCTTCATTGATCATCCCCTCTTCCTCTTCTTAGCATAGCGACCATTCCTCTAATAGTTCTTCCTTGTCCAATGTATCTGGGTCAACATCGACCTCGTCAACCTCTGGTCGTTCCTTGACTAATGCACTTGGGTCAACATCGACCTCGTCTACCACCCCATCTTCCAACCAAGAAGATAATAGACCACCATTAACGATTGAATCAAAGGACATTGACCATTGCCACTTGCTTGGATATCTGTTTGCAAAACATGCACTTCCAAGTGCGTCCACCACATATTCACCTCCCGTGGACATGGATGTCCCTCAACTCGCAACTGTAACTGTAGAACTTGGTGAAGAAAATAGTCCAGAAGAAAATGGTAAGCTATAGAATAGAATAGAATAGAATAGAATAGAATAGAATAGAATAAATAGATACAGACTCTAACAAATTTCTACCTATATATAGAATCATTATTATGGATGCCATCAACAAATATAGAGTCATATTCAATGGACAGCCATTTAACCTGGTAATGACTGGTATTGATCGTGCCATACGTGATGAAAGAATATTGGAAAGAGTACGATTATGCCAAATCAGTGAAATGCCAATTTATTACTCTATTCCCACCAAGTGAGCTTATTGTCGAGTTGGCGCGTCGAAAACTATTGTTAGCACATCTATTACATGATGCCAACTTGATGCGAGTACATTGTGGGTTGGAGCCTCATCCAATTTCTTTCCTAAAAGATCATCCTCTTGTATTCGAGGACTACATCGAATATCTTAAAGCCTCCATCAGAGACATTCCAGAGAAAATCGATCGTCTCATCGAGGAGGAGATGACATTCAACAAATTCTCTCCATTGTTCTGGCTTCCAACCGTCGTTACTGATAAGAACCTCGCTGTATTCCTCGAAAGTGCCAAGCGTGCTCGACTCTTTCGTTATTTCATAAAGTACGTGTTTTCCAAGGAACCTGAATCTCGGGTCATCTCGAAACTCAAGAACAAGAGAAAGTATCTTGAAGCCAACATCAACACCAACACCAACACCAACACCAACACCAACACCAACACCAACACCAACACCAACACCAACACCATCAACGATTATGCCTATCCCATAGGTCCCGTCACTGAGGAAATGGCCGGAATTCTCCAGAACAACAAGGAATCCAAGCCTTCTTGGACTACAAGTGAGCCTGCTGGTGATATCATAAGAAAGCTTGCCAATCGTATCAAGTTTAATGACGTCATTCTACCAGATGGTTCCTCGATTCTAGAAAATGCTATTCATCGTGTCGAGTATGAGTATCATGACAAGACGATAAATAGCAACTCTAATTGCACTGTCTTCAGAAATGACAGAATACGGGTTAACGGGTAAATATAAATATAAATATATATATATATATATATATATAAAAGCACATATATGACAGCCAACTAATTAATTCTTCAAGCATCCAAATACTTCACAGGGTCGAACCATTCAGTGTAGAGGGCAAGTATATATATGTTCTTATCTCTACCATCCGATGACAACATCAACGATGACGATGACGTTGATCAAAACAACAACAACAACAAACAACAACAACAACAACTACAACGACAACGACAACGATGACGATGACAACAATGACAACAACAATAACAATAATAATAACAAACGTAAAGTTGCACCAACCAGACGAGTCGCGAAAAAGCCACCAACCAAAAAAGATGTACTAGAAAAGAGAAAGAGAGTCTGGAAGAAATCTGGTCCTGTATACTGCCAATACGTATACCCAGACGGGACGGAATGTGGAAAAAAAGTATCCAATATTGATAAGGTATTGTTTGGGAGTCCCGAAGATGCTCCTTATTGCAGTGTCGCTTGTATCTTTCGTTCCCAAGAATTGAAATATTTGCGCAAAAATACATGCAAAGCAACGACCACCAACGGAGAATTATGTGGTGAAGGCATTGCCACATATGCACGCAACAAGACCAAATGCCATTTCCATCACTTGGAAAAGATCAGACGAAAGCGACTCTACCGGAAGAAGGCGGTCAAACCTACACTTGAGCCATTGGCTAACAATTCTCGCACCAATAATCAGTCACAAGTTGAAGAAGAAGATTATGATGATAATGATTATGGGTGTGATAATGGTGACTATGATGAAGACGACTAACATAAATAAATAAATAAATAAATATATAAATAAATATATATTGTACATACAAATTTAATTAATAAAAATGGAATTTCACATACAAAAATTTCATGAATTTGTTCTGCTTATCAATGCTTCATTTGCAAAGTGATAAACAACAAGAAATAATAATCAGAGGAATATAGAGGATTGACATTGAACATGCCTGTTGGCAATTGAATACCAAAGATCAATCAACAATTGGTATTCAGGAATTATTGGACTATTTCTTCAAGATCGGCAATAATAATCAATATAAATATATCTATCTATCTATCTATCTATCTACAACCAAGATTTATTAAATTTAATTAATAAAAATTCCAAGAATTCACCAAATACAAAAATTTAGAGTCTCTGTCGTTTCATTCATGTCAATGTGATAATGATAAACAAACAAGAAATAATAATAATCAGTGACGATGATGATGATATAAAAGATGATAAAAAGAGAAAGAGAAAACAACAATCTGTCATTAATCTAGATGACGATGGCGATGATATCAAATCTATTCTAACAAAACTAAAAAACCAAACAAATGATATGATTATGTTATCAAATAATACTCTGACTCTTCCTACTACAACAACTAAAACAACTAAAACAACAACAAAAGATATAGAGGTAAAAAAATATGATAAACCTTCATCACCATCTTTGCCATCACCAATATATATAATTGATCAAGATGAAATGACAAGTATAATAGAACAAAGAGACTTTCCACATTATTGGTTATTACCACAAAAAGAACCAACTAGAGTTGTACAATGTGAAAAGGGAACAACCGAATATTATGAAATTGCCACTCATTTCAAAGAAACGCTACCTGGCAATACCATAGAAAAAGTAGAGAGAATTCAAAACAAAAGACTATGGAGGTTCTACAAGGCCAAAGCCGATATGTTGGCCAAAAAGTATAATGTATGGAACCCTTCCATCTTGGAGAATCAATTATATCATGGATGCAAACAAGTAGTACCATCGGTCATTTACGACTCTGATATTGGATTTGATGTCAAATTCTCTGCCATTGGCTCTTATGGCAAGGGTCTCTATTTTGCTCAAAATGCCTCCTATAGTCATGGTGGCTATGTTCATCACGTCCCAACAACTGGTAAATTACAATTATTCTATTGTCGTGTATTGGTTGGTCATAGTTCAAATAATCAAGCTCTATCCAATATAGATTTATTAAATACCTATGATAGTTGTAAAGGTGGTGGTGGTCAAATGTTTATTGTTTATGAGAATGTAAGAAAAATAGAAACCAAAATTAGAAATTATATATATAGATTATTAATATTAAGGATTATTATTTATTAGGGTAGAGCTTATCCAGAATATTTAATTACTTATGTATAAAAAAAAAAAAAAAAAGAAAAAATAAAATAAAAATGTAGATATGTAAAAAAAACGATCAAGACGAGTAATCATTTACTTTTCAGAATGGAATCTTTATCTTTACCATTATTTGCACAAACAGGAAGAGATGTAACAATTAAAGATATATCATTTGATTCAACAAATCAATTATCATTCTTGTATGATATTGATAGTTTAGAAGAAAGCAATCCAAACAAGAGTTGGTTCATTCACAATGACATTGTAAAACAAAGATTTACACTCTTTACTATAGATCAATCAATAGAATCAACAGATCAATCAATAGATTATAGTCAATCAATTACAAATGAATCAATCAATGATAAAGATACTTTATTTACAATAATCAATACAGATATTGATCAATATTATTATAATATATTAAAATTAAATGGTAAAAAAAAATATATTTATAAAAATTAATACAAAAAAGTATACTAATATACTCTTTTTTCTATATATATTTAGAAAAAAAATTAAATTTAAAAAAGACTATTGGATTTAAATGTATTGATGGAGCAAAAAGATCAACATTTATATTAAATTGTAATTATATAACAATGATTCAACAAATTGAAAGAGAAATTCAAGTATCTCTTTATTCTTTGGAAAGTAATAATGATAAAATGTTGGCTATTTGTAGATTTACAAGAATATTAAATGAAGAATATTTATTGGTCTATCCTCATTTAAAATCAAATCAACTGATTCTACATACTTATTTGCGAGGTAGAAATTTGATTTCCATTCGACCATTAAAAGATAATAATAATAATAATAATAATAATAATAATAATAATAATAATAATAATAATAATGATGATGAATCATTACCATTGGCAAATGAAATTGGACAAGTATTTCCATTTTCTTGCAAAGTCTATCAAGTATTGGTTGATGATGAGTATTTAATCATTTATACTGAAAATTCAATTATCGTTCAATCTCTCGGTTCACAAGACAAGTGGTCACTTGATTTCTCTCTAGATCCAATAAAGATTAAAGGATTTGTAAAGAGATTAGGATCTATTCTAGTTCATTATGTCATTAATCAAGAAGAGGATGAAAACACAGTAGTTGCAATGATGGATTTCTATTGTATCAAAACTGGTACCTATCTAAAGACATCAATCGATCAAATTAAATCAAATGATGATATTCCAATTTCTATAGATTCAAATTTAATTGGTAATCAACTTTATTTATATTATCCTACATCTAAAAGATTCCTTTTAATTAATTATAAATAAATTAGAAAAAAAATTTAAAAAAAAAACGAAAAAAGAGATCAATGTTTTCGTTGTTGATCAAATTTGGTAGTTGTTATCTATTCCTCCTCTCTCAGAGTATGTATCTCTCATTGGTACAAACAATTGCATATTTTAACTCTTTTATATATAGATTGAACATTATGATGATGATGATGATGTTTGATATTTAGGCCTCATCTCTGTAACCTTTTGAATCTATGGTCAAACCTCCTTTATCGAGACGAGGTGATCGTCTGGTTTTAGATTATAACCGTGGTGTCTATGATGTAGTTGCAGAGAAGAGAATGGCTGGTAACACTCACCTCATCAGACAATACAGTGATGCTTATGTGGACACTATCTATTTAACAGTGGACCCTTCGACAAGGTCGCTGTTCTGTTTAACCTACAACTTGTCACGTACTGGTAAACGTGCCGCAGAGTCTATCGATGTTGGTGCCAAAGTTGCTTCAATCGGTGCTATCCAACATGTCGAATCGGAAATCATTGAAGCACTCAAAAAAAAGATCAAAACTGGTTCACGTTTTAGAACATAGTTATGCACCTGCCGGTTTTACATTGGCCAAACTTAAAGGTCGTGATCAAACCATCGTCAACACATTCATCTCTATGGCCGACAAGTGTAATTTCGATCTCTACCTAGCTGTCGTACATATCAAAGAAGAGGGTATGTTGTATCAAGACAGAGCTAGAGCTACCGATATCCCAAAGACTGGTTTTGGAGAAGCTGGTAAACAATCGTACGATGAACCATACTACAAGGTCAAGTTGGATAGTATCACAGCGTTGGTTAAAAAGCTTGGAGGTGACTTTAACCCAAAGGTTGAAACTGGTGAATTATTCCCCAAAGGTTCGCTTGGTACTGTAATGAGAATGGACCTTTTTTACAAAATCCCAATTCTCACGCACCTACAAACGAGCAACAGCTCTCATCATTCATTATTATTACATTTTATATAACACTATACAATCTATAAGACTAACCATAGTTTATATAAGATCTTGATTATTACTATCCTAGTACTATCTATATCGTAGGGCCCTCGACAAGATAGAGCATAGTTTAGTAAAGTACATACTGGCAACAAACTGGCAACAAAGATGGCCCAAAGGAGATTCGAACTCCTGACCTTCGGTTTACAAGACCGACGCTCTGCCGCTAGAGCTATTGGGCCTTGAATTTGCGGTTTTTTGCCCTGTTTTGACCCTAATTTAACCCTAGGGGCATGGTTTTCACTATGGAGGAGCGAAAAGATCAACGCAAAAGGTCATATAATCACTTTTTGATGCATTATCTCAATATCCTTCGGTTTACAAGACCGACGCTATGCCGCTAGAGCTATTGGGCCTTGAATTTGCGGTTTTTTGCCCTGTTTTGACCCTAATTTTTTCTTGGCCAAAAATTCCCCCGATGGAATCATGAATAGAAGTTTGGTTCATTTGGCTACTATTTTAATAGGAGCCTCCTCAATTTCAATTTTTTTTAAATTGTACATTCAAATATCAACCCTGTTCATTTGAATGTCTCAGTACGGAGACTTGTGATGGCGATCCCCACTTCCGCGCCGTTGCATAATTAATTAAATTTTTTCAGTGCACAGATTTCCAATTTAAGTATATTAAGTCCCTCAATTTTGATCGGTATTTATCATTATTCAATATTAAATAAAGCTTTGTTTGATTATTTGTTTATTGTAGGATGAGAAAAAGTATCAAAAAGAAAATGAGAGATTAGAAGGAAACGACATGATGACAACACCAACACCAACAAATATCATGATAAATAATAATATTAACGTCAACAAAAGTAAGAAAATAGATTTCATCCTTTCCTACAACCCTGCTACCTACACTTTAAAATCCTGCAAATGGAGTCATGAAGTTTGGATGGAAAAGATAAACAAGAAGAAAAGATAGTTTTTGATAATCAATAGATCTAAATCTTAGGTACTTTCAGATAGAACTTGAAAAAAGGTCGACATATAATTTGGTGAGTGGGTGGCTAAGAGCAGAACAAAGTATTTAGTTTACAAATATCAAAGACAAAAGATATTCAATCATGTTGTGAGGAAGAGATAAACAATATTGATTGATGTGAGAATAATATGAGAAAAAAGGAAAGGATATTGTAAAGTTAACGAGGTGGTGTCTGCAGCTATGATATACTATCTAGTATATTCATTTATAATTGATAATGACGTTTGTTATTTTTATTCATTGATTGACTTTTAGCCTAACAATTTATATATCTTTCAAATAGTTTATACTTATGCTCAACCTCATCTCAACACCAAACTGAATATCCTATTCACCATAGTACACCAACATGTTGTAATATCTATTGCAATGATTTGTCAAGGTTCAAAACCAAACTTTCATATCACCAACACAACATCCTCCTCTTACCTGCAATCATTGATTCACCTGTTGGCACATTGGATAGGTTGGATGTATGAATTTTGGATAGCATGACCAGAGACTGATGGAAGTTGGGATAGATTCTCTAAAGAAAATAAAATTGGAAAGAAGAAGAGAGATGGAATTGAAAGAGAGAAATGTTAGTACTATACATAGATGGATTGTAGAGTGTTGGATGGATGACAATGATTTTGTCGACAACATACTGAATAACATATTATTTAATTATAGGTAAATAGATTGATTTGAATAATATTTTTTGATAAACTGACTACTACTTTATAGTTTTAAAGCAACCATTATTACTCTAAAAATCAAATCAAAAATCCAAAACCATATTAAATATTCCTATTTTAGAATTGGGTATTAGGTAATCATTTTAGAATAATACTTGGGATTTTAGATTGATTTTAAAAATTGGCTTTAGAACATTTAGAAACTATAAATACTCTACTTTTTACTTTCTTTTAAATTCATCAATTCAACTAAAGTATACAAATAATATTATTACTATTAAAAAAAAAAAACATTTTATTCTTTTCAATTCTAATATGATTGGTATGTATACAATGAACAAGTACGATTATATAATTAATATATTTACATTTATTAACCTTTTCTCATTTCTTTTCTCTTTTCATTTCTTTAGAAAACCCATCACCAACTTGCGATAATGATGGATCCAATCAAAATGTGACCATGGAAAGTTGTTCAGATGCTCCTCAGGCACCACCAGGTCCATTTGCCAACAGAACTTGAATGTGATTGCAAAAAACAAAAGGCACAATGTCAAGTCTGCAAGTAAGATCTTTGATTATATTAAATAATTAATAATTAAAATCACTTTATTACTTTTACTAAGCTTTTTTTTTTTTTTTTTTTCTCTCTACAGATTAGTATATCAATTCAACAGAAGAGTTGATACTCTACACAAATCTCTCGTTATTGATAGTTCTCGTCGTGATATGCACTCCAAGATTGGAGATCATGAGATCGATGTTGTTGATCTAAACAACATTCGAGAAAAGGAGAAGGGGCTTTGCGCTGTCTCTAGTGCCTACATGGTAGACGAACCACTCTCTGACTGCCAGTCCAGCTTGGACCGTTTTCGCGACAGCACAAATTACCTACAGGATAACATCCGTCTGGTATGTCGCGAATTCAACACCAATGTCAAGTGGTCCACTAACCTACTTAGATCAATTGGTTTCGAAAGTGAATTCAACCAGTCTCTAGCCGACCCCTCTTTTGACGAACTCAAAGAATTGTTTATCTCCAACAAGGTGGAGAGTTATCTCAATACGCGTTTGAGACGTGCCAAGGAAAATAATGACAAACGTAATGGTCTACGAACAAGAGATCTGGACAATCCAATGGGATTTGACATTACCGTACCCTTTCTCACTCGTCTCTGGCTCTTTTTAAAGGCAAGATGTTACTATTCTGGCATCGATTTTGAATACACGCCTCATGTGATTATCGATAAAGTATCCAAAGTCATCAAGCCCCAACCTGTCCAACCAATGGCCGAGTCTCAACCAGTGGCCAAGATCCAAGCCATCAACTATGATGACCTCCTTGACGAAGAGATATCTGACGACCAAGACCTCTCTGACCTCTCTGATGACGAGGACCTTTCTGACCACGCCGCCGCCAATCGATCTACCTCTAATGGTCAATCCACCTCCAACGGTCAATCCAAGGATGAGGTAATCACCAGAGTGAAATCCCCAAATCCTTACAAGCTGTCAATTGAACGACTTGATCCCACACTGGGATATCTTCAATCCAACACGGTTCTCATTCTATATTGCTTCCAATCAGGTGTGACCACCAGTTACCACAAGAACAATTTGGTCAAGCAACAACTCAAAGCTGCCCAAGACCACTTGGATTCATTGCTCAAGCAACCGTTGGACTCGCAAGATCCGTTGGAGATTAAAAGATTGCAAGATATTGTTACCAGACTTGGTAAATATCGTGGTTTTTTTGGTAATTGGTCCAAGATGAAGCTCTCGTACTTTTTGGCTTGTGACAAGTTGGCCCAGGAGAATCGACACAGTGAAATTGTTTCATTTGAATGTTATCAATCTCAAGTTTCATCTGAGCATTTTGACCAACTTGACAAGCAGAGATTGGATTGGTTGGAAACCGTGAGACACCTCTCTCGACCCATTCTTTATCCACTAGAAAGAATGTTGGAGCTTAGAGAGGAGCGTTATTAAGATAAGAAGCATCTGCTTCCACTCGTCGAACAACCCAAACCAGTGGTACTTGGAAAAGATCTATGGCCTGAATTGTATTCCACCAAACCATTACCAAAGTTCAACCCACAGGACTTGTATGACTCTCTTCCAGCAAGCATTCGCAATGAACTATTTTCAAATGATGATGATGAAATGACTGATGTTTAAGTTCATTTCAACTTGTAAATCTACTACTTTCACCTTTAATTTTTTTAAATTAATAATTGTTTTAATAAAATGTTAAATAAAAATCACAAAAAAATATAATTTGTTTGTGGCGACCACAATTATCATAAACAGGTGATTTCTATACCCTCCAACTTTTCAATTGAAATAAATAAAACCAGAATAAATATTTATTTATTTATTTAAAAATTTCAATTTTTTTTTTTTTTTTTGTTGGAAATTAAAACAATAAAACTATGATAATTAAAGCAATTATAAATGTAATGGTACAAGATAAAGAAGAAGAAGAAGAAGAAGAGGTGATTGCCAAAGTTTGTTGTGGTTTCAAAACTAAATATGGAAAAAAAATAAAATTAATATTAATATTTTGAAATATTTTTTTATTTTTTTCATACCTTTTAAAATAGTAGTATTCAATGTAATTGTTTGTTGATCAATTGAATCTGGAAGTGATGTAACTTTTTAACGAATAGTATATTGAGAGATCAATGTTTCTTTGGTCAAACCAACAAAACATGGTTTTGGAGTTGTATCTTGTTGACAATAGATTGTATCATTGACAAGGACAGTGTAGAATGTTTGACTGTTGTTGTTTTGTCGTGAAGCATATTCAATGACAAATTGAGAATTATCATATTGATATGCTTTTAGGCCGGTGATGTTGACATTATTGGGTGTAAAATTGAAATAGGATGAATATAATGTTTTATATCCATTGATACCAAATACTTTGACCATGTAAAATGTGTTGGGTTGGAGTTGAACATTGGATCTATTACACTTTTCATGTGAAAGAGGTCATATAATCATCTCCTACAACATCAACCAATTCCAATAAAGCTGATCTTGATCCAATACCAACAACTCTAACATTAAATTTTAATTCTTTACAAATAGAAAAAAAGAAAAAGATAGAATAGTTATTAATAAAATTATTCTTTTTGATATTTAAATTTACAAACCTTGATAAATATGAAAATTTAAACCAAGAGGTAGTTTTCGAGATAGGAAACCATCACAATCAGCAACTAAATTAAACTTTCGAGTATAGTTACTGAAACCTGCCAACGTATGATCAATGAAGACTGGTAGTACTAGTATTTGAAACAACTCGTTTATCATCAATATATAAATCATAGGATGTCAATATTGGATTTCCTATTAAATGTATAATAAATATATATTAATATTAATATATATGAGAATTATAATATATTATATCATACCTCCTTTAATTGACCAACTAGCATAGACTGTAGATAAATTGATTCTTTCTATTTTTATAGAAAGCTCGGGAACAACCGGTTCTGCCAAAGTTGTTATCCAAAGATGAGAATAATCAGTGTCATTGGACATTTGGTGACCAAATAATAGGAATAAGACCAATACATCTTAATGTGTTGTTTGTTGTGGCCACTGGTGTGCAGTCAATCTTTTCATCTGCATAATAATCTTTTACCAATGGTATTATGATTCCCCCACCTAAACAATTTGTAGAGTATGAAACATACGCTGAACAAACTCCAATCACTACCTTTGTCACTTTGGTTTTATCCATAGAAGACATTGATTCAATCACAAACAGTGAAAGTATTACAAATATTATTATTATTACTTGTTGACAATTATTATTATAAATCATTATCTTTGCTTATTATGTTGTAACAAAAATAAAGTTGTCCTTTTATAGTTTTCCAAGAGGGGAAGTTTGTATTATTTCTCTCTCGGTACCGATATATATATATATATACCTACTTAAAAATAATTGTGATGGGGAAGAGATAAAAATAATGAAATATGTCGTAATCTCTGGAAAAAAAATTTCTTTTTTTTTTTTATTTTATTTATTTCTTTAAATAAAAGTTTTATTTAATAAAAATAATAATAAATTAATATTTAATTTAAAGAAATCAGTTTCATAATCCAATTGATGGTTGGCTTGTAATTCCAAAAGTTCGTCTAGATGTAATTTAATTTCCGATACAGATGTAGTACGATAGATGAGGGTAACATCATAGATGCCAGGGGAAGCCGAACAAAAGCTAAAGTAGATATTTGAACGACGGTCTTCTGGTACCTCACTCTCGAGGATGATACCGTCCTTTTCCAATTGTGAATAGCTAAACTTGAATGGACCACGTTTCTTTAGCTTTTCGCCCGACTTGTCCTTGCTCTTTTTGTCGCTCTTGTCTTTTTTGTTTTTCTTGTCGTTGGCGGGTCCACAGTTTTCACGTACATTGACCAAGTACTTTTCATAAGAATCGAGTTGTTGTTGCAAAAATTGATTGTGATCCATGATTGCTTGACGTACTTGGCGTAGTTTGTCGAGTTCAACACCTGTACGACCAATGTGAGATTCATAGTTTAACATTTCTGCGACAATATCTTTACGCAGTTGAGAGTAATTGTCCTCTTCAGAGAGGTAGCCTTCAGATGATAGTTTTTTAAAGTTGAACAATATCTTTTTGATAGAATCTACAATATCTTGATTCTTGTTGGTGGCAGCATGTTTGGCAACTTCGGCAAGTGTAGCTCCCATATTGTCTCCCATAGATCCACTATCCTTGTGTGATGCAAGACTACGAAGAACTGTAAACAAGAGATATTTGGTCTCATTATACATTTGTTCGGGTTTGATACTGAGTGACTCGTTGAGTTCGAAGCGATTGGCAAGTTTGAGTTCGACATTTGCATTTTCTGTTCGTGGTAATTGAGCAGGTGCGGGACCTAGATCAGCCAAGATGATACGTAATGGGTCAACGGGATCTGGAGCCAAAGTGTGGATATGCTGCTCGAGCAGACTATGGATAAAGTACATTTCATTGAGTGTAATGTTGATTGAAATCGAATCACCAACACGTCCCAGAGCAATATACTTGTCAAGTGACAAGTGATCATTGAGATTGTCGACATTGGTGAGTTGTTCCAAAAAGTCATTGAGACGTTCCTTGTTGCGATCGAGGAATGTGTTGAGTGGAGCCATGAAAAACTCCTTGACACCACCAAATTCTATATTGTTGGCAAGGTTTTGCATCATCTTTGCTGGATAGGTCAAATTCTTTTTCGTATTGTTTGAGAGCTTGGCATCGACCAACATGAAAGCTTGTGGTGATACTACAGCAGGGTTAATGTAACGAAGTAGGAAAAAACCACCAATCAAACCACAGGTTTGAGCTCGAGTCGCTTGTGGGAATTTGGTCTTTACCAATTCTCGAATCTGACGACAAATCCAACGAATACCATAGGGAACCGAGTCGATCGATCCGATAATCGATTCTATAAAAGTGTCACCAATCTCTATCAACTTTTGAACACGAGGTTGTAAAATACCTTGTACCTCGGGGTTGCTAGCACACTCTTCGGGTGGCACTTTACGTTTGAGGGTAGAGATTTTACCAGTCTTGGTTTCATACTCGTTGATATAGTTTTCATAGACTGTCGATGGGTTAATCTCTAGATTGAGATCCTTGTGATTGGTGATGAGCTCGAGTGGCTTTGTAAGTGACTGTTTGAGGTATTGTTGTCCTGGACCACGACGTGTATACGTAGTCATCATACGTGTCAGAGCAGTATTGGCACGAAGTAAACTACCAATACTAGTTGCCTCTTTAAACTCTTCCATCAACACCTTTTGAAACATTGACAATAAAAGATGTTCTTCATTCTCTTCGTATTGATTACCATAAAGTGTAAACATGACTGTTTGTAAAAGATTATCAATCTCTCCAACCTTTACCAATTTAGCCAAACTTGCCATATAGGCTGTATTGTTTTGCAGTAAATAAAACAATTGACCATAATGTTCTCTTGCCGATGTATCTTTAATTGTAATCGTACGATTTTGTAACTCTAAAATATCACCACTTGATCTCATTACTTCATCCAATGTAATTCTATTCTTGATCAACAATGCAATCTTTTTATCTAAATTTCTAATATCTCTTTCCAATGTAAAATTCTTTTTACTTGATAATGATATTTCTCTTTTTAATTCAAATAATGATTTTTGATCTTATAAAAAAGTAAAAAGTAAATAAATAAAGTAAAGAAATGGAATATATATATATATTACATACTCTTTGCAAGTAAATCACTTTTAATATGATCTTGTTTTCCAATAACATCTAATAAATTGACACTCATGATTCTAGAGTTTGATCCATGTGTTGGTAATGTTGGTTGACCATTGTTATTGTCGACACCATAGTTTCTTTGTGTTGTACTACTTGTTGAAGTAGTAGATGTTGTTGAACTAGTACTAGTTGAACTCGGTGATGATGTATTCCTATTCATTATACAAAAAAAACTTTATGATATTACAATATATAGAAAAAGAAAAAGAAGAAGAAAAAGAAGAAACTACTATAATACAAAAAAAAAAAAAGGGGGAAATAAATGAATAAATGAATGAATCTATATAGTACTGTTAAAAACACAGACTTGTGTTATATATATATATCTCAATGAACTTTGATTATATATAATATATGTATAAGTATAGGTATATAATAAAAACTACTAGAGCTCTCCTATCTGATGAAGAGTGTGGGAAAAGAAAAAAAAAAAAAAAAAAAAAAAAAAGGGGTAGTTGGAGAAGATTTTTTTATTTTATTTTTTCAAAATTTTTTTTTTTTGACGTTTTTTGCACGATCCAGATTCAGCGGTTCCATTCTCCTCTCTTGCTACAAAAAAAAAGATATTTTTCTATCTTTTCTATCTATTTTTTTTTAATTTGTTAATTGTCTTTTAACAAGATTATAATAAATACCATTTTCATTTTGAATTAATTCATGATGAGTACCACGTTCTTCAATTCTACCTTGATTAATGACAAGTACAGTGTTGGCATTGACAACAGTCGATAGACGATGAGCTATAATTAATACTGTTCTATTGGTCATTAATCTATCTATAGCTTCTTTGACTAGATGTTCTGATTCCGCATCAAGGCTGCTAGTTGCTTCATCGGCTAATAATATTTTTGGATTTAAGAGTAGTGCTCTGGCAATGGTGATTCTTTGTTTTTGACCACCTGATAATCTAACACCACGTTCTCCAACCATCGTATCATACCCAGTATCAAATTGTGTAATAAATTGATGTGCATTTGCTTTGGTTGCTGCATCTATAATCTCTTGCATCGTTGCACTCTCCGATCCAAATGCTATATTCTCCCTGATCGTTCCAGCAAATAATAAAGGTTCTTGACTAACATAACCAAGTATTGAACGGTACCAACTTGGATCCAACTTTTTAATATCAACTCCATCCAATGTAATTGATCCATTATCGGTATCATAGAATCTTTCAATAAGAGCTACAATCGTTGATTTACCACCACCACTACCACCAACCAATGCAGTCATTGTACCTGGTTGCAATGTCAATGTAATATCGTGTAATACCTGAGCTGCTCTAGTGGGATAGGTAAAATTGACATTCTTTAGCTCAATCACACCCACTGCATTTTCTATTCTCTCTCCTCCTTTGATTGGTATAGTTGGTATCTTGTCCATCAATTCAAAGATACGATCAGATGCTCCAATAGCTTGCATAAAATCTGTAAACAATGATGAAAGGAATGCCAAACTCATTGCCACTGTCAATGTATATAATAAAAATGTTGTCAATTGTCCTGTTGTTGTTTTACCATTTAATACTTGTTGTGCTCCAATATATACAATCTAAAAAATAAAAGAGAGAGAGAGAGAAAATTAAAATTAATAAAAAAATAATATAATATATTTATATTTTCTTTTTTGTTGTTTTGTTAATATATTACAAGTAAAATAGCAATTTGAGCAATAATTGAAACAACACCAGCAAAAACACCATTTGCTAAAGCCAAAGTTTTACCAATTAAATAACTACCATGAACATCTTTTGAATAAATATTTATAAATTTTTCTTCTCTTGAAAATGCCTTTACAGTTCGAATGTTTGAAATGACTTCTTCACCAGTGGTTGAACTTTTTGCCAATTCATCTTGAAATTGTTTACCAAGTAATCTAACTTTTTTACCATAAAATACTGCTCCAATTGCTAAAATTGGTATTATACTTAACATTACTAATGTTAATTTCCAACTAATGAAAAAAAAAATAAAAATAAAAAAAGTATTAGTTATTTGTTTTGAATTTCTTTTTTTTTTGTTTTTTCTTATTTTTCTCTTACTTTGTAATAAATAATAAAATAATACAACCAATAACTTGAATTGAATATCTAACAGCCATTGAAATATTGATGGTGACAGTGTTTTGTAAAACTTGAGTATCGGAAGCCAAACGATTAACTAGTTCACCAGTTCTACTTTGATCGAAAAAAGCAATATCTTGTTTAACAATGGCAGCAAAGAGTTCACGACGCATACGAGCAACAAACTTTTGACCTGCCAAATAAAATAACCATGATCTTACAAGAGTGGCAATACCACCAAGTATGAAAATGATTAGCAGTGAAATGGTTGAATTGTTTAGTGTTGCCATACTACGTGTAGTCGATACAACTTCAACAATTTGTCCAAAAAAGGCAGGGATTGCCAATGAAGAGATGGACGATATGATGAGTGCTACCATGGCTGCCAAAATAAGTGGTAATTCTGGTTTGGACAATGAAGCTAGACGTTTGGCATTGGAATTTTTAATTTCAGTCGATCTTTTAACCTTGTTGGCAGAGGTTTCTTGTGATTCTGCCAATTTTAATTTACGAGCTTGTTCTATTTGTTCTCTACGGTGTTTACGATATGCCACACGTAGTGTATAAAGATTAAGTACTATAAATAGTATCGTCATACCAATTGCATTGGCAATACAGATTAGAGTCAATTCTCTCTTTTCACTACTCGACGCCAAAGGTGATTGTGGTGGTAATTGTTCGGGTGTATAACTACCCTTTTCCAACATTGGAATGGCAAATGAAGATTTAATCACCAAATAGATTAAACCAATCATTGTAAATATATATGATACCAAATGATATAAAAATCCATCTGTAAATATTGGTATCAACCAAAATATACATGATGTCCAACAAAGCAATAATACATCAAACGATGAAAATAAGAAAAAATAATTCATATCAAATTGTGGTATTATAGTTGAATTTGATGAAGAGGATGATGAATCAGATGAAGTGCTATTATTATTATTATTTGGATTAAGAAAGATGATATGACCACCAGTAAAGAATAAAGTATTTGTTACAATTAGATAACCAACCATTAAAACAATAGTCATAATCTTGATGATGGTTAGAATGGTACGTTGTCTTAAATTATCATCATCATATAATTCCTTTTTATCCAATAATATTGTTCTCGATTGTTCTTTTGTTAATAATAGTGATTCTCCTTCTTCCATATCTTCATCATTTCTATTAATTATTTTATCTTTCATTCTTGAGAGATAAATTATATATATAAAAACTAAACAAACTAACTAACTGATAAGAAGGAAAGAGGTATTTGTGTTTTTATAATATAATATTGTTTTCGTGTACAATGATGATGATGATGATATTAGGTGGTTAGATAATAATTTTTGTTATATTTGTTGTGTGTTACATAAACATGAGGAGGTACCTAATATAATGACACCTATTAAAGTAGAAGGTCGGAGCATCATCTAAAAAGTAAGACATTGATGAAAAGTATGGTGAATCATTGATAGGGCTCACAAATAATAATGACGATTTTTTGATGTCATCGTCGGAATTGCTCGTTTTACAAAAAAAAAAGGTTAATCGGAAATCCGATTTGGTCAAGAAATCGAGAGCTCTCAAATAAATTAATTAATAATTTTTATAAAATTTCTATAATCTTTAAAATCATTTCTATTTATCTATTTATTTACTCTATTATTATTTAAAGCATTTATAATTTTTTGGGGTGAGGGGGTATAGATTCAACACTGTTTTTTTGAATAGATTCATTACTAATAATCAAATGATATATGAGTAAATATATCATCATCATAACTACCATTTTTATATATTTAGGGGGGGGGGGGGGGGGGGTGTTTAAATCACTAGTGTTACTAATAAAGTGGGCGTTGAAAATGATGCGATTTTTGATGGATTTACATTTTTTTTGAATATATTATATGTATTGGTTGGTAGCAACTTACCTAGCCTGGTTTAATGATTTATATGTATGTATTTAAACATACACACCACTATGGAATTTATATATTGTCTCCAATTATCATAATTTCATTTCTTATCTACTATTCTTTTTAATTATTATTATTATTAATTTAATCATCATTATTAACTTTAACCATCATCATTGATTAACCTATTTTACCTAATCAAAACACAAATATTCATCTTATCCCAAGAATCTAATCTAATAATTACCAATTAATTATAGTTTAACCTTTTTTTTTCATACACCTAACAATCCAATATTACACTACTATTTCATTCAAATTAAATACCCTTTTTTTTAATTCATTCCACTATCTAGTCTCTAATCTATATTATACCGACCCCATCATCAATTTAATCATCAAAATTGTTTTTTTTATTGTATTTAATTTCAATTACAAACTTTTTTTTTTTACTTTATCCAAATTCCTCTTTCATCAATCAAATTTAAAAAGACAATAATATTATTTATTTATTTCATAATCAATCAATATTTATTTATTAAAAAAAAAAAGTAAATATTTATTTATAATCCTTTTTATTTAATTTCAAATTTATTAATTTTTTTTTCATTTAGAAATGAGTTTAACAAAAAAAACAATTAATGAACAATTAATTAAAGATTTCCTTGGAAATGAATTATTTCAATCAGTATTAATTTTAGGATTGGATGGTAAAGTTTATGCTTATAATAAATCACCAGAACCAGGAGAGATCGATCAAATTGTCAAAGGATTCAAGAGTATCAAAAAAATGGAATCATTTTCTCTTATTGGTGAAAAATTTATAATCTGTATAAAGGATGAAAAACCAACGTCCAAAGTATACGCTCAAAATGATAGACTTGGTTGTATTGTCATCCAAAGTAAAAAGGCTTTCATCATTGGAATGTTTCCAAAAAAATTAGAAGTACATCCAAGAATTTGTTATCTTGACAATTATTGTAAACAATTTGATGCTCAAGATTATTCTTATTTAAATAATCAAAATATTAAAATTGTCATGTAAAGAAAGAGAAAATAAAGGCAAAATACTACTACTATTTATTTAAATTTTTAATAATAAATTATTATTTTTATTACTATTACACAGATTTGTTTATTATTATTATTATTATTATTATTATTATTATTATTATTATTATTATTATTATTATTATTATTTGATATTATTAATTTTGTTTTTTGTTGTTTGTTTTGTTTTGTTTTGTTATTATTCCATTTGAAATAATTGAGAATAATTTTCAATTAAATAAGTAATTACTTGACTACTAGTATCCAACATGATTGACATTTCATTTTCATCTGGTGCTTTCATCATTGTTGGACCAAACATGAGTCCAAGGTTGTGTGCATGCATCATATTGATTGTGCTATGTTTGGTTACCAATGCTAAAAATTTAATCACTTGATTTACAATTCTTTGATTATAATCTGGTAATTCTAATATTAATTTTTTTAATGATTGTAATCTTTCATAATCATTTGTTATTTCTAAAGAAAAAAAAATAAAAATAAAAAGAATTAATAAATAAATATTATTATTATTATTATTTGTTTTTTACTTACTAAATCTATTAATAAATTCATGATGATATTTAAATGTAAATACTGGTACTTGAAGTTGACGAAGGAATTTTTTAAGTGTACTAGCAACAACATGAACACAACAACCTGTTGGTATATCATATCCATGTTGAAGTAAAGATTTCATTAAAGTTTCAACTTCTGATTGATTTCCTGCTACTCTAAATAATCCTTCAGTTTTTAATGCTTAAAATAAAAAATAAAATATAAATTAATTAATTTCTCTCTCTCTATTTCTATTATTATTTTTTCATTTTTCAATTTCTTACCTGATTCAATTGATAAATATTCTATACATTTTGTAACAAGAAGTGGAACTTTTTTATTTCCACCATCTCTATTATTTTCTCTTGTTATTACAGATTCCAAAGTCATTCCAGATAATGGTTTGTTAATCATTGAACTAACTTCTGGTGGTTGACTAAAACTTCTATTTCTTTTTCCTTTTCCTTTAAATTTTTAAGTGATGAAACAGGTAGTTGTTTGGTAGACCCAAGTTGAAAAGTAATTGGACTGTTTCGATGTGTTGTCAATTCTAATATATAATTTTTGATCAAATCTGATTTATATTTATCCACATTTTCGTGAATGGCTGTTGTTTTTTCTTCTATAAATTGTTTATAAAATTTTGATTTCATTAATGTTCCAGATGATGGATGGAATGGTTCAAGATCTAAAAAAATAAATAGAAAAAAAAAAAGTTAATAAATAGTATGTATTATCTTTTGATTTGTTATTTTACTTGCCCTCTTTTGTAAAAAATTTAGATTTTCTTTGTTTTAATTTCTCTGCTCTAAATTCATCTGGATTATCCAACATTTTCTTGTATTCTGAAGAGATTGCCTCTTTGAATTGATTGGCACGATCATTTTGTTTGACAGTGACTGGTGAAGATGCTCCTTGATTATAAACCAAGTGAGAGTTATGATTATTGTTGTTGATTGGAGATAATACAGGTGAAGTGGTTGATGATGGTGGAGTAGAGGGAGGAGTGAGATTATTGATTAGACTAGTCATACTACCAGTACTACTAGTAGTGACGGTTACTGATACTTTGGATGGTGTACGATTGAGTGCAGTGGTTGTTGTGAGTCCTTTGATTGGTTGTGATTCTACACCTGGATGTATAATGGTACTCTCGGAACGTTCGTGACGTGTAGGAGAAGGTGCATATCCGCTGACAGAGTGACTATAATTTCTACCAATTGGCGGTGATGACTTTACAATTGCAATTTCTTCTTCTTCCATACTTTCACTACCTGCGTCATCTGTATCGTCTGTATCATCTGTATAATCATCTTCTCCTCCTCTGTCGCCATAGTATAAAGAGTATTCTTCAGAGTCTACATCTTTAATGACGACTTCACCATCAAATTCATAGTCTCCCAATGCATCCTTTAATTGTTCAAATGAAGTCTTTACTTGTTCATTGTTACTATACTTTTGCATTGCAGGGTTAATTGGTTTGACACCTTTTGCAATGACTGGTGGTGACAATGGAGATAATGGTGATTGCATATTTGGTGTAGCCGATGCACTTGATGGGTCTCCTCCACTCAAAGCATTGATTGGTGGAGATGATGATGACCTCTGATGTTTTATACCCAATGATAAATGATTCATTTGATTCTTTATATTATTTGATGTCATTTATGAAAATGATATCTAGCTAGATAGATTCTTCTTATTTGACCTATTTAAATCTTTTAATAAATAATATTATAAACAATAAAAAGTAGTAGTAGTAGTAGTAGAAGTAGTAGTAGTTACTACTAGTATGTATATTATGTGTGTGTGTGTGGTGTAGGTTAAAAGAAGAAGAAGAAAAACAACACAGATATTTCGGTTGATAGATGTTATATGAAATGAATAGAGAGAATAATAGGTAATGTTAATAAACTGTGAACAAAAATGTTAAAAAGAGTATATATGTGAAAAAAGATTATTTAAAACTTGGGAATGAAGACACACAAACAAACAAAAGACAAACTTTGCTATGAAGAAGTGCCAATAATAAAAAAAAAAAGTAAAATTCAAGTAAAGTAGGTTTTTAATCGAGATGTTTAGTATTTTTCAAACTATAGTTTATTCATAAAAACTTCATTGCACCTCATATTAATATTATATATTAGTAATAGTATACTAGTATTTGTTTGTTAGAGAAGAGTTTTATTAGAAAATAAAAAAAAAAAAAAAAAAACCCCCAAAACCAAAAGAAGGTTTGTAAATCGAACTCAATGATGAGAGACTACCTTTCTTTATTTAGGCCTTGTCTCTTTCAAAATAAATAAAAGTAAAAGTATTATTATGTATAAAAATTCCCCTCCTCTTTTTTTTTATCGAGCTCAAAAAAAAAAAAAAAATTAAAGTGTATAAACGTAACGGTATTGTGGAGTCGGGTCACTTCATCTACTTGACTTTAAAGTTTTCAAGAAGCATATTATATCTATATATCTATATATTATATTATATTATAATATTAAAACAGATCTTATCTTTTATCTTTCTTTTTTACTTTTTTTTAAATTTTTTTCTTAAGAATGAATGATAGTGATTTATATGCAGATGATTTATCAGTATTAGAGACACAATTAAAATCTATTCAAGCGAGTGGAAACTTTTGTGTTGATGGAAACTAAGCTATTACACTATCAGCCCCCATTGAAGTCAAAAAAAATAACCCCAATCAATTTCCCAATCACTGACGAGTGTGTCCAAAAGTTGGTAGAAGGTGCTGCTCGAGCTCCCTATGGCAAGGGAACAGAGACCATTGTCGATGAAAAGATTAGAAAGGTATGCCAAATTGAGGGCAAACAAGTTAAAATGCCCTAATGGATGGATGTGGCCGTTCAATCAATCGTCGAAAAGTTGGGTCCAGAATTGGGTTTGTCTGGTGAAAAGATTAAAGCTACGCTCTACAAGATGCTCATCTATGACAAGGGCGCTTTCTTTCTGACTCACAAGGATTCGGAAAAAGAGGAAAAAATGTTTGGTACACTTGTCATTTCATTGCCATGTGCTCACAAGGGCGGTGACCTTGTAGTACGTCACTCTGGTATTGAAAAGGTTGTCTCGTTGGAATCTGACCCGGCCGCAAACTCGTTACGTTGGTCTGCTTTTTATGCAGATTGTGATCACGAAACTGGTGAATTATTCCCCAAAGATTCGCTCTTTGGTGCAAAGGCCGATAAAAAGTTGGTCACTGAAGTAACTGGTAATGAAGGTTCAACATACAACAAACTTTATCATCGTGCTAGTGTTGTTTTGGTTGATCGTCCTCCAAGAAATATAGATGTCGTTAATCCTGTTGAAGTAGTAGACACTACATCAACCACTTCAACTACTACCACTACCGCCCCTCAAGTTCCAGATACTACTTTTACAACTGAACAAACATCATCCACCACCTCTACTGCAACCAATTAAATTTAAAACATAGAGAAAATCCAATTGTACAGATAATTGATATTTATTTAAAAAAGAAAAAGAAAAAAGGAATAAAAATTAAAAATTAAACAATCAAAAAAGTATTATTATCATTATTAGTAAAAGGTTTATTTTATTTTTGTAATATCTGAACTAATATCCAAAATGGCTAAAATAATTAAATAAATTGTGTTATTAATAATAATTATAATATATTTGTTTTGTATAAACTTACTTAGAGAACTTGATGAACGTTCATCATATTCACTCCAATCCCTAAAAAAAAAAAAGAAAAAGATGTAATTAATAAATATATATTTATAGACTACTTTCATTTCCATACTCATCCAAATCAACATCTTTATATGTTTTTCCAGAGGTTGAAATAACCATCCAAGCATCTCTTGGATCAAATTCTTCCAATTCAAGACCTCTACAATCGAATCTAGCCATTTCAATCTTTTGTCCACTTTCAATTTCTCTGTCTTGAATAGATAATGCTGGTTCAATCGTTACACTATTTTCTCTTGTACACGATTTACATTTCACTAATAAAACATGTAAAAAAGTTATAAATATTTGTGATCTTTGATTCGTTCAATATATTTCAGACGATATAAACATACTTGATAAATTAACTGTTGATTTACCAATTTCTATTTGTTCCTTTTAAACAATCAACTGTTAATAATCATCATTATCATGTATATAAGAGTTTGAATAATACATACAGCAGGATCAATACCAATAAACTTATCAGATACAGTTAGACAATTTGAACATTTAATCTTAAAGAACCATACTTTATCACTGCATGGGAATATGTTTTTAATCTCTTCAGTCTCTGCTGTTAATGAAAGTGATAATCTAACCATCTTCTCTTGTATAGGTAGTTATTTATAAATCAGTTTAAAATGCAAAGACGATGATCGATCAAAAATACTTTTTTTTGTTTTTCAATATTAATTTATTTATTTAAATAATGATAAAAATAATAGAAACCAAAAAGATAGATAAAGATACTATTTGAGTTGATGAAGCATCAGAAGTTGATGAACTACAAGCAACAAAAGCATTGAGATTGGAATCAATACATTCTCCACAAGTTGAATTGAATAAAAGTGGACTGGCAGAGGTACAGGCGGAATCTGAATAGAGTGCAACAGAATATGGACTTTCTGATCCTGGTTGATACCCTAAAACTCCATATCCAAGTTGTTCACCTGCTTCATTACCACAGATACGTGAGAATAATAAACATTGACCAGTTATGTAGGTTTGACATTGACTAGATCCTGTACATGTTTCTTGACAATATCCACATATACTAACTTCAATATGGGAAGATGTTGTTGATGAAGATGAAGATGTTGATGATGTAGATGAAGAGGATGTTGATGTTGATGTTGGAACAGATGTGGAGGAAGAGGAAGAAGAGGTTACTGAGCCAGATGTGGTATCAGTGGTTGATGACTCTGTAAATGATGCAGATGAACCTGAACTAGTAGAAGTTCCAGATGTTCCCATTGAGCACATTGGACAAGGATTTCCATCACATGTACACATTCCATTGTCAAAACCCATATTGTTTCCTGGACAATAGTAACAATTTTCATTCATACAAGAATGGTTGGGCTCATCATTACATGATGGTAATGATTCGATATTGGAAATCAACTGATTTTCAACTAACACTACATCTGAATAACCTTGACTTTGAATTGTAGAAATTAAAGTAATGAGTAATGATAATATTAAAAAAATAAATTTCATTTTAGAAATAATAATAGATATATAAATTATTGTGCAATTTTGATTCCAACACAAGATTATAAGGAAACGAACTTTGTTGTAGGGAAAAAAAAACACAAAAGAAAAAAGAAAATAATCAAATGAGCCGAATGATCAAATAGATATTATTTCGACTTGTTGCCCAAACGGCAAAAAGACAATGATGTCTACCAATTGATGTCGGACACCCAATCGCTCTATGAATGTGACATGAATTGGTGGTGACCACATCGCTTCCTCTAAAGGAAAAGGTCTCGTTCTAAAAAAAAAAAAAAAACTACCTAGTTTTTGAGAATTTATTCGTTCTGATATTTTTGTATTGTACAAACTTGAATGAAACAAGTTTAGATAAACATTATAAATATATTCAGTGAATATATTTATAAACAAAGGAGATATGGTATTCGTTGTGAAAAGAAAAAAAATATTAATATTTTGAATATTTTTTTTAGGTAATTTTTGAAATTAAATATTCATTTTCTCCAACAATCGTAATTAGAATTATGGTTTGTCTACCAAATGAATATTTATCTACTTGGTATATATGTCCATCACCAGTCTGATACAGATATGATATGGAATAGTTTTATTCATTAAGTATCAACAAGAAAATTTTTGGTCGTTTGCATCCACGAGTGCGATTAGCGATAGGATCAACATAGCGATAGGCGGACCCATCTTTCCACAGATCAACGCATCTTCCCCCCTCCCCCCTCCCCCCAGCTATGTTCCCCTTTAAATTGTAAAACCTATGGGTCTCTTTTATAATCATACAAAAATGTGTGTTATTTTATTTATAATGATGGAATGCTGGAAACCTTTGGAGTAGCCCAGACACAATCCAATTCAATACCAAGATTATCATAAAAGTTACCTTGAACGATTCTGAACTGTAAGAAGAAGATTAGATAAAAAAATAGTGGTGTTAATAAAAATATATAAATGAATAGTTTCTCAAGTTGATATTTACGAATCCAGATTCACCAAAATAAGAGCCCCAAGAATTACGAACAATCCAGTAAGAGACGTCATTCTCGACACCCCAACCAACGATGCTGACGATATGGTTTGGAATTGGAGCAGCGACAAATTCCTTGAAAATTCCACCGGTGTAAGCTTCCAATTGAGAAGTAGCATCGATCGAGCAAGCAACAGGTCCTCTTGCGTAGACTTCAGCCATGATATCCTTGGCAAATGGTGCAATCTTGCCAACCTCGTCAACAAAGATATTGGTGTAGTTTGTTATAGTGTGACATGATCCATTTGGATCACATGTCTTGCATGCTGGTGTGCAAGCCAAACCATTTTCAGCTTGATATGGTTGACATGTTTCATCAACAATACCCTTAATATAATTGATTGATTAGTACATCAAGTAAATAATGATGTCATGCATCCACCTTGTTTGGTTACTTACCTTTTCAGCCATAAACTCATAAGCAGCTCTTGGATCACCACCATCACAGGTACCTCCACCATCACTAAAGACAATAGATAATGATTAATAATTATTTGGTCGGTCAATTACCCTCTACATGTAATTATAGTTACCAATTGATGAGATGCTGGGGAGATGCGTTAATCTGTGGAAAGATGGGACCGCCTCTCACTATGTTGATCCTATCGCTAATCGCACTCGTGGATGCAAACGACCAACAACCCCCACAGTCTAATCAAATAAAATAGGTTAGTCAATCAAATACGTCTATGTGTCCAGGCAAAAATAAAAAAATAAAAAAAGCCCGTTTTTTTTGATAATAATTATTCTATCATATTATGATTGTATCATACATTGTGGAATATGTTGATTACGATTCATGGTCAGATAGTTGACACCTGATACGTTTCTCCAACTGTAAAAGAGAGCGCGGGAATAGTTTGTATTAATAAGCAAATATTTGTTTTTGTCTGTTTTGGTCTATTCTCTTTTTTGTTTATGACATACTCGTAAGATTGTGGAAGAGCATCTAGATCCAAGTAGTCTCTAGGTAGAGGAGACTTTATACGATCAGCATATTCAATGCTAGACTTTTTGTAACAAGTCTTGTGTTTTCTTTCTGGTGTGTCGGGTCTAAGAATCTTTGGCTGATGAGCATTACCCGATACCAAGGCAATAGCCAATGTAATAAAGAGTGCAATATATAAAATGATTCTCATTCTATTCTTTCTCTCTAAATATATTTGAAACAATTGAAACAGATAACATGTAATGTGATGCGTTTTCTGTGTGATTGAAAAATTTCTACCACAAGATTTTTATTTTTTTTTTTAATTTTTTAACAAATCGCTGGAGTTTTCCATCGCTTTGGCCCTTACTCTTATCGGCCCTTCCAATTTAATTAATGTGTTGCTGCCTCGGGAGCGTGGACATTCCATTTTGGAAGGCGAACACTCTTTAAAATCAATCGATTGATTTGAACAATCAATCAAAACAACAATCAATAGTTTTTCTTTTTCAAGTTATCTCTTCATGACTCCTGATTTTCTACAAATAACTGGGATCTAACCTAACCTTTAACGACAACGATAATTTACATATCGACAAAGAAAAGGAAGTGGAAGGTTATCTTGTTTGGCTCGTGACATCATCACACATATAATGGATGCATGGAATGTCATTCGAACCCATCCATCTATACAATGTTTTCGAGTCAAGACGAGGGAGGAGATATCAATTTACGATTTTTTCTTTTTTTTTTTTTTCTATAAAAGATCTTTCTCTAGGATTCAATTTCACAAATCATTGTTATTAATCAGACGACTGTCATTCTCTCTCTCAACAAATAATAATTTCAACAACCTTTTTAGAAATGAAAATAATATTATCACTTTGTATCAGTTTTATTATCATATCACTTGTTAAAGCATCGAGTTATGTTTTTATTCAATCACATCAACATGCTGGATGTACAGACACACCATACACACAAATATATGCCATGTCTGATGTCTGTATAAATGGTATAACCTATGGTTGTGAAGGAAAGAATGTAGTCATTACTGGATTCAATAACTTTGGTGCCTGTCATGGAAACAACCCAATCAAACCAATTACCATTCCACAAGGCAAGTGTACTCCAGTCCGCTCAGTTGGTGTAGTTGTTGGAAACAGTGTCGTTGCTGAATGCGTAGACGAATATGACCTTCCAACCAATGCATTGACCACTGTCATTTACAATTCAACCGATTGTGAAACCAACTGGGAAGATTATCCAGTCCTGGTCGTTGAAACTACCTTTGTGAACGTTTGCATCAATCCAGGAGGTGATGTTGCCTCTAACAAAGTTTCTTCTTGCAACCAAAAGGGTTGGACTTTGGCTGAATATGGAAACAGTGATTGTGTTGGTAAACCTGGTCAATCTGTTTTTAATCCATACCAACAATGTGATACTTCAAATTATCCAAGTATTACTCTTTGTAAATAAATAAATATTTAAATAACTTATATATTAAAGAAAACCATCGCTTTTATCTATGGGATTTAGCTGTACGTTCAAGTGCGTCCTTTTGCTTGATCAATTATTTATTTGATTTTTAATAGGCAATGAAAGAACCATAACTATTATCTATTTGATTAACTCTGTAGGTAGATACGAGACTTTGGGTGGTAGTGTCATAGGTGTAGATGTAAGAGTAGTTTGTAGCACCTCCGTTGCCTTGACAGACAAAGACAATGTAGTCACCGACGACTGAAAAGGTAAAGGTGTTTAATGATCCGTATGGTGAAGTCCAGATCAACTGAGGTTGACCATCAACCATGTTGTACAACAAGAACTTTGAGTTACTATATCCATTGTCAATGAGATAGACTTGCTTGTTGATGGCGATACAGGCAATGACCTCACCCATTGGCTGCTCTGGCACAAAAGTGTAAAAACTGCTTTGTTTGGTAGACTCTTGGTAGCTGAGTACTACATGTTCAGTGACAGACGATTGAAAGTGAGTGTGAGTAATACCAGTGCTTACATCAATTGCTATCGATGGATACGTAGCAGGTACCCAATCTCCTAATGATGTATTTGTACTAAGTAAGAAAGAAGAAGAAGAAGAAGGTTAGTATTTATACTATTAATTTTTCTTTTGATTCTTTACTAAATTTTGTTATTATAATCCCAAGAGAAAAGACAAAGATTTTGAGTGTAATAGTCTTTGGCGGAAAAATAGGCGATTTGGTTGGTGTAGTCAAATGAAATAAAGTAACCATAACTAGGGCTGACGAGTGGTCCAAACGAGTCTTGAACAGTGACTATTTGGTTGGATGCACTGTTGTATTCGGCAAAAAAGTTACCATGGGGACCCCATCCAAACATGAGAATGTTTCCATTTGGCAACTTGCCAAGAGGTTGGGCGTTGTACATGCTCAACAAGAATCTCTGGTGTGCCACCTGAGCATTGGGTTGTGTAAAGTTGATTTGATAGGTATCAAAAATCGAATAGGTTGATGCATCAAAACTAAATGATTGAAGTGTTAATGGTGTTGGTTGTGGTTGTGAGCTAACGATTCCAACAATCAATGCCTAAACAAAAAAAAAAAAAAAAATTAATACAAAAAAATAAAGGTACTTTTTAAATTTACATACTAAACAAATAAATATTAATGATTTATACATTTTTTATCTGCTACTACTGTTGTATCTATTTGAAAGATGATGATAATGAAGGTATGATGTCACAGGACCCTGTACCCTTTTAATGTTTTTTGAAAAATTAAAAAATATATAAATATCTAGCTAAAAAAGGCTCGACCCTCATATCCATCAATGTTGATCTTTATGGATATTTAATTCAAGGAGAGGAAGTTCCCAAAATTCGGAAAACTTGCACCTTCATTGTGAGGATAAATCCAAAAAAGGGATCCCTTTGAATTAAATATCAATTAAAAGAAATAAAATCAAAATAAAATATTTTAAAATCTAATCTAAATAATTTATGGTCTCCATATCAAGATATCAAAATAAATCCATTAAATTTTCATTCTATCTCATGACATTTTTGTAGAAAGATGAGTTATTTATTGACAAATACATAGTTGGTACCTGAATCTGAAGCAATAACGAAAACATCGTTTTTATCTATGTACGTCAAGTGCATCCTTTAAATCAAGCATGCTTGATTGCATAACTAAACATTAGTCTCTTTATGGCAACGTAGGTGGAGTGGGTATTGGATTGATCGGCATTGAGTGAAGAGAGATGTTTGAGACGATGGTTGAGACGAGAGATTCTCTCTATGGCATTCGAGGTGGTGAGGTTAATCTTCTTGGTGATAAACTTGACTGTCAAGGGGAGGTAGGTGTAAACAAGACGGTAGAGTCGGTTGAGCAACTCGTCATCATTGGAGAGGATGGTCACCACCTTGGCCGAGTTGAGGATGGCACAATAGGCACGCAAGTCGGCCTCGACGACATTAAATGCACCAAACTGAGCTTCAAATGTTTCAATGCCAGGAACGAGTTGGTTTCTGATTACACTGTTTTGTGGGAACTTTTTCAACAAGAGAAATCTGATCCAAGTTGCTCAATTCTTTCTCTAAGTCGTTCTCTTTCTCTTGATCCATTTTGTCTGATTTCTCTTGCTCTTTCCATTTGTTCTCTTGTTCTCTAATTGTTCTTGAGAGTTCTTCAATCTTTTTTCCTATCTATTAACTTGAGTTCGAATTCTTTCTCGGACTTGTCTATCTTTTTGTCTGTTTGATCGAGTTGTTCGCATTGTTTGTGAATTGCTTCACTAGTTCTGGTATAGCAGCTTGTTTCATGCTCAAGATCATCAAACTTTCTGACATGATATCCTGTTGCCCTTCCTTCCATTCTTTCTTGCCAACTTTGTTGTTTTGGGTGTTGTATTTTGTTGTTATTGTTGTTGTTGTTGTTGTTGTTGTTGTTGTTGTTGTTGTTGTTGTTGTTGTTGTTGTTGTTGTTGTTGTTGTTGTTGTTGTTGTTGTTGTTGTTGTTGTTGTTGTTGTTGTAAATAAAATGATTGTTTCGAAACAAGTTGAAACACAAGTTATTCCAAATGTACTGTCAAAAAGATTTGACTAGGAACTTGACTCCAAGTTCCTAGTGTATTCCATCTAGTGTTGGGATGGCTTGTCTTTGAAATGGTTGACAAAATCCATGATATCCACCTACTTCTATTGCCAAACCTAGTAAACGATCAAATATATAGTAAATGTCATTCCTTTCATCCTTTTCGTTGACATTGAACCACTTATCAAAGATATATCTACCAATAATAATAATAATAATAAATGAAATATTATTGTTGTGTTGATTAATAATTATAATGTTGTATTTTGATCATCAAGATAGGTATATCATACATTTCGTTGAATAGTTGGTTCCCATCATTATAAGTAATATAAAAAGTATTACTTGGTGTTGTTGCAAGTGATCTCTTATTATTTTATCACTTATCATCGTTTACTTGTGTTTCTTTGACCCAGAATTCTATAATGAACATTATTATATATTCTATTGATGTATCTGTGCACTATTCATATATAACACTTATTCTGTTAAAATACAGGTGAGAGATAATTAGAAAACTATAATACTATAAAAGATTGTTTGGATAATGTAGAAAGATGAGTTATTTATTGACAAATACATAGTTGGTACTTGAATCTGAAGCAATAACGAAAAACATCGTTTTTATCTATGGGATTTAGCGGTACGTTCAAGTGCATCCTTTTGCTTGATTGCATAACTATTGGGCGAGTTTTTGCTGGCGTTGATAAGTTCGTCTGACAAACACTCAGCAACGGTCTTGATGTTACGGAAAGAGGCAGCACGGACACCTTGGGTGATCAAGTAGATGGCGTGATTGACACGTCTCATTGGGGAGACATCGACGGCTTGACGACGGACGGTACCAGCGGAACCGATACGGGTAGAGTCTTCACGTGGACCAGAGTTGGCGATGGCATCGACCAAAACTTGGAGTGGGTTCTTGTCGGTCAACAAGTAGATGAGTTCGAAGGCCTTTTCGATGATACGGACGGCCATCAACTTCTTACCGGCATTACGACCAAACATCATCATTGAACAAGCGAGACGCTCAACGATTGGGCATTGAGACTTTCTGAATCTAACCTTAGTCCAACGACCAGCGCTGTGTGGCAAGAAAGTTTGCTTCTTAATGCAAATGTAATCTTGCAAGGAGATATCTTGACATTGGACGTCACTGAACGACCTGTAAATATATTAAATTATGTAGTGATGGATGTGTATCTGTTAGTTTCCGCTATGTTCCTCTCTATACTATCTCTCTCATCTCTATCACACGTACCATTTTCCGAACAATTGAACCTCAGCCATGGTATGTGTTATCTTATCTGCGGATAGGGAAAGGATCGATATTGATGTCTATGAGACCTAGATGATTGCATGCGTCTCTCGTAAAAAAAACTTTTCAAAAATCGAAATAATGAAAAAACATTTTTCACCAGCACAAAATGTTTGCCCGCGACTCTATACAGCGAGTGTCTGATCAGATGATCTACTACTTTTATTATTTGTTAACTCTGCAAATTGAATATCAAGTAAAGTGGATACATATTACCCTATACCCGTTTATTGCTGCGATATTAGATCTATCTATCTATCACCAACAAATCAATCAAAGCTAATCAAATAGAATACAACTCTTGTTGTATGATTATTATTTCTTTCTTTGTTATTATTACAATTGCAAATGTTGTAAATTAAGCCGTGATATTTTACAAAGATAATGTGTTTGTGATGACTTTGATGATGGATGAACTTAATCTAAAATGTTCTAGTTCCATTTGGAAGTGGAAGGGGGGATGGTGATGGATTTATAAAAGGCGATTGATTATTCCGATTTTTATTTTCAGCACACTTTTCCTTTGCCAACCCGCTCTCTCTCTCTCTCTGTAGTGTCAGTCTAGTTTGACTGTTTTATCGAGTTTCAATTTGTTTAATTATATAGATATATATAAACATATAAACAAAAGAGAGATGAGAATCATTCTTTTTATTGCCTTATTCATTGCATTTGCTGCTGCACATGAATCATGTGTTCAAAGAGTAGAAAACAAGCAAGACTATACTAGAGTAAAGACTCCTCAACCACATCAATACCTTTCACCAGAGGATGTTCCTGCTGCTTGGGAGTAAGAATCTATATCGCGATATAGTATACTAGTACACTAAAACTAATCAATCTTTTTCATCATTTCCTTACCAACCAAACCACATCAATTTGATCAAATTCATATGATTTACTTTACTTTAGTTGGAGATCAGCTACTTTAGAAGATGGTATTACTAGAAACTATTTGGGTGCTACCAGAAATCAACATCTGTAAGTGTGGAGATTTACGACTATAGTGAGAAACAAATCAACGAATTGTTTGACTTACTAGTATTGAATCGTACGATTATATTTATTATTTAGCCCACAATACTGTGGATCATGTTGGGCAATGTCGGTCACAAGTCAAGTTTCCTCGAGACTCAAGATTGGTCGTTTGGGATCTTTCCCAGAGGTCGACCTCGCCGCACAGGTTCTTTTAAATTGTATGGGCAATTATAACTTTTCATGTGCCAATGGTGGTGATCCAACTATTGCCCTTGAATATATTGCTACTCAAGGTATCACTGATGAAACGTATGTATAATGTATATAGGCCAGTCAAAAGATATTCATTGCCTTAAACCATATTCTCTCTCTCTCTCTCTCTCAATATTATTAGATGTGCACCATATGAAGCTATTGATTTGGAATGTACTGCTGAAAACGTTTGCAAGAATTGCAATTTCGATCTTTCAAACCCAACTGCCAAATGTTTTGCTCAACCAACCTACACGACCTACTATGTCGAAGAACATGGTCTCGTCAATGGAACTGATAATATGAAGGCTGAAATCTTTGCTAGAGGACCAATTTCCTGTGGCATGTGTGTGACTGATGCCTTTGAGGCTTATCAAGGAGGTATCTTTAGTGACAATACTGGAAATGGAGAAATCAATCACGAAATTCTCATCGTTGGATGGGGTAGTGAAGGAGGTGTAGATTACTGGATTGGCTTGAATTCCTGGGGCTCTTTTTGGGGTGAGCTCGCCACATTTAGAATTCTTATGGGTTCTAATATCCTCAACATCGAGTCTGATTGTGATTGGGCTGTACCAAGACAATAATTGGGAAAATAAATTAATATTAAATATTATTTTTGTAACAATTGATATATTGTAATGAATTTTCAACGAGTTGGCAACATTTAGAATCCTTATTGTCCACTCTGATCGTTTACCAAGTCCAAATTAAATCAAGAGAGAGGCCACTTTGAGGACAACTTGATAGAATGTGACTTGGAAGAGCCACCATAAGAATCCATTACTATTTCTCATAATGAGGAAATGTGTTGACCTAGGTGGACCATCGGATTGTGGACATCAGAGCAATTGCTCATGAGAATGTATGTCATATGAGACATATTGAACAGTTTATATATACTTTGTTGAGCCCCTGAGGGTTATTCTATTTGTTGAAAGGTGTTGGTATTCATGCTATAAAAGGTGATTGTAAATAATACTTTCATTACTTGTAACTCTCGCTTTATCTCTATGTATGTATTTTCTTTTTTCTCCTTTTTACCAAAACAATGAATTGTTGGAATTTAAATTCTTTATAATCATCGATTTGATTTAAATACATTATAATGTAAGCATTTTATTTTATAAAAGAGTGAATAACAACCATAGTAGTCAATTTAGAAACCATACTTGGCCTTAAAGGTTTGAACCAATTGGACGTACTTTTCCATGGCTTGGTCCTTTGAGAGACCCTTAACATTGGTCCAGGCGTCATGCTTGGCACGGGCTTCAAGTTGAACAGCCCATGGTTGAGCTAAAAATAATAATAATAAAAGAAATTGTGGTCAATTATAAAGAGCTATAAACATTTGAACATCAAAAATGTATCACACATACCAGTAGTGTTGTCACCTTCGTTGGCTTGCTTGTAGAGACCATACAACTCTAACTTTTCATCGTTGGTTGGTTCAGCCTTGATTTTCTTGACGTCGGTGACGGCGGTAGCAAATTGTTCCTGTATATTTTAATCAATATGTTTAACATTTTTATGTGTTTAAATTGTCTCTCTCTCTCTCTCTCTCTCTCTTCTCTTTGCTCTCTACTTTAAAGGTCTACATACAGCAAGTGACATTTTTAATAGTATATTTTAAAGTGATTTATAACAATAAAACAAGTTTTGAACAGACTGTTTTTGAACACTCTGAGAGAAAAGTCAAGGTGGACAAAAAAATTAAAAAAAAATATCTTTTTTGGGTGTGTTAATTGAAAAGTGTAGTGTGACCCTATTTTGGCATTCCGTATCGTAATGTGGACAGGAAATTAAATTCAATCATAATGACTCACTCAATATATACCCGAGATATTATTCACATATTATTCATGAAATTAATTATTTCCCCAAATTACATTGATTTAATAAATAGTAGTATTGTATTAGGTCTTTGTTTATTAAGAGCAAGTTTTTTTCTTTCTTTATCCAACTATAATATTATTATTTTTGGTTGAAATTAAATTAAGGAGTATTAATATGATGACAATGATGAATAAATTAATATTTAATTTTAGACATACAATTTGTTTTACTCTTTCCAGTGAATGTGAGCTAGTACCAGAACAATTTTCTACATTATAGGGACTATCTATTGTAATGTCATTCAATACAATAATATTCTTTCCTTTCCAATGACATGGTAATCTAAATATTACAAATATTAATTATTTTTGTTTTTAAATTAATTGTGATTTCCATGTTATATATATATAACATACGTCTTTGAAAGTGCATAAAATATTTCTTGAGCTTCTGCGGTGACACCGATACCAATCTTGCTTGCTTGATTCTCAGCCTGTTTGAGGGCCTTTTCTTGTCTTTTATTAATATTTTGGATGTTTAATGGTGGCAATTCGTTAAAGTGGTTGGATGGGCCACCAATGACATTGGCTTCAGCAATGCTTGTTTCTAATAATACTCTTACAATTCTTTTTCCTCCCATATTCATTGTACCATCATCACAAACTGTAAAGTAAAAAGTAGAAAAAAGATAGTATTAGAGATGATAAATGATCTTTGCACTTTGTCTGAATCTGTGCTGCTGTTGACATCTATACAGATCTGGTCCTCTGTAGTACTAGACGGTTTGATAGATTAGATTTTAAACTTACTCAAAGTTAGACAAGTTGTAGATGGATCATAATTGAAAATCTCTCCTTCAAATTGTTCATTGAGAGTTGTCTTTACTCTAAGCTTCAAACCAATAGACCATGCAAACTTTTCATTAGTGTGATCCATTCTCTCTCTTTCTCTTTATATCTCTCTTTATATTCCTTTCTCTATCTAATATATTGGTTGTTTTGTTATATAGTATTTGTTTTGTTTGCTCTTTTGTTTATCAGATCTATGTTGTATCTCTTGTCTATCAATCTATTCTTCTTTAATCTACTCTTCTTCTTTTGATCTGACAACTTCTTGTTCCTCTTACTCTCTCTTCTTTCTATAGTTCCTCTTTCTTTTGCTTATATTGATTGATGTATATATATATCTGAGTCGTGTATTATTAAAATGACATGTCTTTGATGATCACACTTTGAAAAAAAAATAAAAAAATAAATTATTAGACTATTTTTTTTTGGATTAGAGGAACTCAACTAGTACTCATTACATTATAATGATCCGTAATATAATATATAAATAATTATCATCATTTAAAATGATTAAAAAATTATAAAAAGTAGAAAAAAAAAAAGATCTTTTATCAATCACAAAAGGATAGTATTTCATCTATATATTATTATTGTTTATTGATATAAATAAAATATCATATGATCAATTTTGATATCTTTTCTTTAAAAGGTGGGTTCCAAAATAAAAGTTCAAATCAGAAGTTCAAGCTCGATGGGAAAAAGAAAACAAAAAAAAAAAACATATCATCACAAAGAAGAGTCATCATGATTGGACACATGTTCATTGTTTTCAAAGTTAACCTATCAATCAATCAATCAATCAATCAATCAATCAATCTTTTAATCTCCTTTAGTTAAACCAATCACCAAACAAAAAAAAGAAAAAGGTAGGTAATAATAGTAGTAGTAGTAGTAGTAGTAGTCATAGCATAACAAGTAGCAGTATATATACAAAGTTCCTTTCAATTTATTGCTTGTGAGGATGAATTGAACGAACGGTGGTGGTAGTAGTAGTAGCAGTGTTTTTAGCGTAGACTATTTATTCCCACTCTCTCTCTTCCATGATGTATTGTTATTATGAGGAACAAGCAGAGAAGAAGAAGAAGAATAAGTGTGGAGTGGTTATTTTTTTCATGTCTCGAGAGACGATTCATTCATTCATTCATTCATTCATTCAATTTAGACAACAATTATACTTGTTTGTTTGTTGACAATCAAACGAATAATCAACCTTTTCACTCAAAAGAGTAGGGATTAATAACTATTAGTTTTCTGGAGAAAGGATAGATCTTGGATTTGTGAGAGGAGGAAGAAGCAACAGCATATGCAGTTTTTGTTTTTGTTTTTTTTTTTTTGCATAAACCTTTATTTTTGGAACTTACTAACCTTTGGTTTCATCATATTTATCATAGATATATCTAGATATATAAGAATATTCTATTTATAGATAAACAGTACTCGGATACACAGAGAAAAGGGAATAATATGGACAATGGAGAATTAAACTTTGATTCTTCACCAGCAGCTACTGACCAAGTAGGTGACGAAGATTTCTTTAATTCCTTTTCAACTTCTCAACAAGAACAACAACAACCAGCAACAGCAGCAGTACCACAAGAGGTAGCTCCTCCTATTGTTGCACAAGAACAAGATGTTGTTGTTGTTGACGAACAACCAAAACAAGAGGAACCAGTAGTAGTAGTACAAGAACAACCACTTGCACCTCCTCCACAACAACAAGAAGAACAACCAATATTAACCGATAGTAATAATGTTCAAGAAGCAACGATTCAAAAGATTCAAGAGGATGATGTATCATCTCAAGCATCATTGTCATTATCTTCATTATCATTGAATACTGCTGCCCAAACCAATTCAACCAATGGTGAGACTATTATTCAAGAACCAGCAGCTGTTGTCGTTCATGATGATGATGTACCAGAAACAAATGGAAAACAAGAAGAGCAAGTAAATCAACAACAACAACAAAGAGAAGAAGAGGAAGAAGATGAATTTTCATTCTTTAACAACAAATCTTCAAAAAAGAATGTAACAATAGAAGAACCACAACAACCAGAACAACCTATAATTGATAACAGTAATAATACCATAATTGAAAACAAACAAGAAGATGATTTCTTTTCCAATTTATCAAATAATAGGACCACGACCACTGAGGAAAACATTATCGAGCCTACTCCTACTTCACCTCCCGTTGACTTTTACAACATTGCAAACAACGACAATAATAATTCCAATGTGAATGATATGAGCAACCATTTTGACAATGGTAGTCAATCGGACCAATTTTTCGATACCATCAGTTCAACTTCACAGGAATCATCACCACCATCTGTTGATACAGTGATAGAGCAATCACAACAACCTTTGGTTGTTGAACAAACAACAGTCGCCCCAACAACAACATCCACCCCAACCTATGCATCGATTGTTCAACAACAATTGCATCAAGAACCAGTTGTCGAACCAGTTGCAGTTGCCGAGCCAGTTGCAGTTCAAGAGGAAAAAGATGTATCATCATTATTTGGTGGTGGAGACGAACAAGTTTCACAAGATTCACCATTCTCTGAACAATCATTCACCTCTGCTTCTTCACTTCCAATTGTTCAACAACCTGAGCCAGTTCAACAAGTTCAACAAGTTCAACAAGTTCAACCAGTTCAACAACAAGAAAAAGACATGTCATCACTCTTTGGTAGTGGCGAGCCATCAAAGGACATTTCATCATTTTTCGGGAGCAATGAGACTGTTGATACTTTTGGAAACGATCCATTTGGTGGTGGCCAGTCTGATGACTTTTTCTCGACATTGAGCAAGCAACAACAAGAGCAAGAACAAAGAGAAAGAGAACACCAAGAACAATTGAGAAAGCAACAAGAGCAGTTAAAACAACAACAAGAGTACGCTAAACAACAAGAATTATTACAACAACAACAACAACAATTACAACAACAGCAACTATTACAACAACAACAGGCAGCAGCAGCAGCTGCACAACAACAACAACAGACAGTTGCACCAGTTGCTTCACAACAACAACAACCAGTTGCTACACAACAACAACTCCAACAACAATATCAAGAATATTATACCCAATATTGTCAATATTACCAATACTATAGCGCAAATGGACAACAGATTCCACAACAAATCCAAGATTATTATAACCAAATATTCCAACAATATGCATACTATCAACAAACAGCTCAAACACAAGCACCAGCTGCCGCCGTGCCTGTTGCTCAACCAGTTGTTCAACCAGTTGCTCAACCAGTTACCCAACAACCATATCAAGCATCATCACCAGTTGCATCGGTTACTGCTGCTCCTCCAGTTCAACCAGCTCAACAACAAACTTCCCCAGAACCAGTTGTTGTTCAGCCATATCAAACATCATTGCCAGTTGCAGTTCCATCGGTGGTTCGACCAGCTCAACAACAATATCAAGCATCACCAGTTTCATCATATCAAACTTCATCACCAGTTTCATCTGTTACTGCTGTACCACCAACCCAACCGTACCAAACCTCTTCACCAGTTCAACCAGCAGCAACTCAACAACAATCATATCAAACATCATCACCAGTTGTTACTCAAGGTTTCCAAACATCTTCACCAGTTGCATCACCATACCATACTACATCACCAACACCAGTAGCATCAGCAGTTCAACAACAACCATACCAAACCACATCACCAGTTGCTGTTCCTGTCCAAGCACCAGTGGTTCAACCAGATCATTCATCATCATCATCATCGTTTACAAAGTCATCAATATATAATACTAGTAATCCAAATGATTCGATCAATAGTGCAGGTGGTTTACCAAGTTCAGTTTCATCAAATGGTTCAGGTTCCTCTGGATCTCTTCAACAACAACCTTTTATTCCACTTTCACAATCTGGAGGATCAATTCACTATCAACAACAACAACCACAACAATTACAACATTCAAGAAATAATTCATCAAGTGATCAATTTTCAAGTATGTTAAAGACACAAGCCAATCAACCATATTCAACTTCGGCACCTCAATCTATTCCACAACAACATCAACAACAAACATCAGCCTACCAACAACCATATGCAAATTCACCATCATCACCATATTCTCAATCAGCATATCAACAACCATATGGCAACTCACCATACAATAATAACCATAATATGCCAATCATGTCAAATGATCCATCAAACCCATCTGTTCAACGTAACTTGTCAGTTCCTGATTTTGGTAATCAATATCAACAACAAGTAGCAGGACAATCATTCTATCAACAACAACAACAAGGAGCAGGCCCATATTCTCAACAACAACCATACCAAAATCAATACAACATGTATGATCAACAACAACAACAAGGACAAATTCATCAACATCAAAGATCAACATCATGGAATGGTAGTGATGCACATCAAAGAGGTGTACCATTTTATTCACGTCGTCATCCAGTTTTTGCATTTGGTTTTGGTGGAAAGATTGCTATACTCAAATCAAATACAACTAGTGGTGTTGAAAACTCTATTCAAATCACTGGTATAAAGTCGATTATTGGTCAATCTACATTTTACAACAATGTATCTACATTCCCAGGCCCTCTGTCCAACAGTTCAAAGGATCAAGTAAACAAGTGGATTTCAGAGCGAGTTGGTGACATTGCACAAGGTCGTATGGACCCATTGTGCTCTAGTGACGCTGAAGCTAGTCATATTCTTTGGGAGGTATTAAAGGTGATGAATAATAACCATGGACAGATCATTGACGGTGAAAAGAATGTTGACAAGGCCATTCTCGGTCTATTACTTGACAACAAGTCCAATATGACTAAATTCCAAATTGCCCCAGCCAAAAACGAACAAGAGATGCAAATATTGTTAAATGAACTTCAAAGAATGTTGATTCATGGTGATTTACAAGGTGCACATCGCTTTACAATCGATAATCAATTGTGGTCACATGCTCTTGCTATTGCTCACTACTTGGGTGCAGAGGTGTATGGTCGTACATTATCAATTGTCACCAATGCCTCTTTCCCAGTTGGTTCACCTATAAAGACAGTCTATAGTCTCTTTTCAAACAATACTCGTGAATTATTCAAGGATTTGACCACTGGCAATAGTGGAAATAATTCAGTATTCCTCGATTCATGGAAAGAAAACATTGCATCATTGCTTTTCAACAGAGGTAATGGTCAAAAGGTGATTGGAGAGATTGGTGATCATATCTGGGCCATCCAAAAGAGAGCCGAAGCTGCCCACGTATGTTATCTCTTGGCAGACTATCAATTTGGAACATTGGATAATCCAAATTCAAGAATTGTACTTTTAGGTGGTGACCACAAAATTACCAAACACTATATCACATCAGAATCGCTCCAACGTTCGGAAATTTATGAATTCTCCAAATCTCTTGGTAATTCTCAATATTCTTTACCAATCATTTTGGTTTATAAATTTATTTATGCTACTTTATTATGTGATCTTGGTTTAATTGAATCTGCTTCAAAGTAATTAGAAAAAAAAAAAAAAAAAAACATAATATTTATTAATTCATTTTTAAATTTTAATTTAGATATTTACATTCAATTAAACAATCATTAAAAAATCATCAAATCACAAATCCCAATTTCATTTATCAATTGGATACTTTTTCTGAAAGATTAGTAAATTATTCTTCTTCAAACAAGTATGAAAAAAAAAAAAAAAAAAAAAAAAAAGAAATTCCTTAATTAATTTATTTTTATTTTTTAGATTACAATCAAGTGGATCATGGTTACCAAATTTATTATCATTTAAAGGATTTGGATTTACTTCAAAGAAATCAAATACTGCACCAACTCCAGTCAATGTTGGTAATATTAGTGGTGGAGTACAACAGACAATGTCAACATCTTCATCAAACATGTCAAATCTACTTGTACAACAACCACCACCAACTACAACCACATCAATGCCAATTGCAACCTCTCAGGTACCTGTACCATCAAAGATTAATAATAGTAAATTTGATGATGATGAAGAAGATTTATATAGTTCATTCTCTACAAACAAAAAGGTACCAGCTAAAAATACTTCTGCGACGGCTACAGCTGCTTCCAACAATAATAGTGATTTAATGAATAATGATGATTTGGCCAAATCAGGTTCGGCATCATCTACTGCCGATCCAAAATCAGGTGACAAGGAAAAAGACGAGAAAGCATCTGGTTCTGGATTCTGGGGATTCTTTAAAAAGAAATCAGGAACAGGAGGTGGAAAACAAATGTTGTTGGAAGATGAAAACAAATTTGTCTACAATGAAGAATTGGGAACTTGGCTTGAAAAGGGTAAACCACTTCCACAAAAGGAAGCACCACTCGCTCCACCACCTATCGATCCACCTCAATTGCACCACGGCACACCAGGTACCAGTAGTCCACCAGCTGGCCTTACTTCACCTCCTTCTGCTGGTGGCGAGGCTATGAGCGGTATCAACAAGTACAGCCTTTCCTCTCCAACTGCTGGAGGTATGGTAGGTGGCAAGAGAAGACCAAGATATCTCGATACTATGAATCAAACTATTCATGGTGGTGTCACATCGACAGCAGCACCTGGAGGAGGACCATCACTCTCACATTCCAACAGTGGAATGTCTGCAACCATGCCAACATTTGAGGCATCTGCCCCCATGCCAATTGCACCATCCACTCCTAACCAAGGTAATTCATACATGATGGCTTCTTCACCTTCTCCATTTGCAATGACCCCTTCCCAACCAATGACCCCCTCCATGCCAATGACTCCTTCAATGCCTACTTCTATGAATCCAGTTATGCCATCTTATGACAATATTAATCAAGGTCCTCCTCAATAATTAATTAAATAAATAAAAATATCAAAAATATATTATCAAAAATAAGATTGATTTGTAAATTTATTTTTTTATCAGTTTAAAACAACCTAGCTTGAGGGGGAATAGACCAAAGGACTTTCTGTGGAACCTAATTCAATGAGGATCTATTTAATTTGAAATGAACCAACCATTGTGTACACTTATTCAACTATTGGTTCAATTCAAATTAAATTGTCCCCATCAAATGAAATAAGGCCAAGTATTTTTATACTTTGTTAAATTCATATTCACCAAACTTTACATAAATACATACCCTCCTGATGTTCTACAGTTCATTTGTTTGATCACTGTATTGGAAAGAAAACACCAATGAATTAAAATATTAAAATAAATTATTATTTTAGTTTCATTCTTTTTGGGGGGGCCACCATTTCAAAAAGATATGTTACTTCATTTTTTTTATCTATATACAACTACTATGAATAAATTTATATTATTAAAAAGATTACCATTAATGGTAGAGAATCAAATCTTGATGATGTTGATTGGTAGAGAAGAAACCATTATAGACAAGAAATACAAGACATTTAATATAGCATTGTACAACCTAGCAATGGTTTGTAAAGGTTGGTTTGATTTGGTATCATCCAATATAACACATGCATCATTCTATAAAAACTATAGTAACAGTCATCAGGAGAGTTGTATAGAGTCGGCAGTAGCATTGATATTGGGTCAACAATCGAGACAATACTCTATCATTAAACAACTCTTGTCTGCAACATTTCAAAGCAGAATTCATCCAGATGATGAATTCTCTGATAGATTATTACAATCTCTTATTGATCGACAAGAGATAAATATAGATAAGCCATCATCATCTACATTGGAACATATACTCTATATTGATAGTAGAACAGATCACAAGTTTGCTTTAAAACTAAGAAATGCAATTGTTGCAAATCCTCAAATCACCTCGTTACACTCTGTTTCCATTAGATCAAATTTTCATACCAAACAGACAAGTCAGAGCGTACCATATAATATGACAGGAACATTCATTGGATGGTTAAGAAATTTTCCAAACATTAAAACGATAGCATGTTATTATCGACCAAGTGATCACCAAAGAAACGAAATATTACACAATGCCTCAATCAATACAAATGTTACCAAACTATTATTGGATGTTGGAGCTTCCATCACTACCCAAACACTCGAAAATATATTTCGTCAAGAATCCAACGTAGAGTATTTTAAAGGATCAACAACCAACACTGAATCTGCCGGTAGATTAGCATCCGTGGTTGTGTCGTTGGCTAAGAAGGTCGTTGATCTCTTTTTTAATAATATATGAAATCATCTCGGTGAGAATCAAACTCTTCATACTAGGAATATTGACTTGTTGACGAAGAATACCAAGATATCTGATGGGAATGTTATTGTCTTGGATACGAGCCATCAGTCGTGAAAAAGTTGCCGTAATCTCCTTTGTATTGATCTTTCTAGCAAAACTAGGAATGATTTGAGAGAGTACTATACTACCCTCGTCTGATATAATTTGTTCATTCTCTCCAATAATATTCATATCACCACATAATATTAATCCAATTGATTTCTTTTGTCCATTTCCACCACCATTACCGTTATTACTGTTATTACTACTATTATTATTATTATTATTATTCTTGTTTTGTTGATTATTATAAAGTTCAGTTGAAATGAAATCACGAATGGATTGAAGTTGAAGAGTTCTAACGGTTTGAGCCTTTTTCAATTTATCGTCACCCGATACCATTTGCCAAGCCACCGAACCTTCGATTGGATTTGATTGAAGGTGTGCATTGAATACATAGAGTATCGAGTTTTCCTTGATGGATGAAGTATCTAGTTTAACAGCTTGAATACCCTTGCTCGAGTGTACATCCAATCCAATACCCTCGTTAAATAGTCTAAAATCACTCCATGGGGTGGGGAATGTACTAGCAAAATACAATCCACTGTCTTCGCCAGACTTGTCAATGATATAACTATAGCACGACCTAAGTATCTTTGTAAACTTTTCCTTGGCCTGTTGATTAAATACCTCTTGCAAACAGATAATGTCATACTTTTCAGACATATTGATCAACATATTGGCAACATTGGTTACACGATCCTCCAAACTATAATTGGTAGAATTGATCAATAGTCCAAGGTTGAGTGATATCATTCTAAATGTGTTTTGTGGTGGTGGTGCACTATTTTGTTGATAATCACGTATAATTAAACTATTTGATAAATTATTATTATTATTATTACTATTTTGTGGTTGAGACTGTAATTGTTGTTGTTGCTGTGATTGCTGTTGTTGATGTTGTTGTTGATTTTGATCGGTGATAACAAAAACGACGGTTGAAGTGGTACCAGGGATCGCATGTTTTTCAATAGTGTATTGAGGAGGACAATGCGAAGAGAATGTGTTTTCGCCAATGAATGGGTTATTAAATGTCAGCTTGATATCACCCTTGAGCCCATTTGAATAATAATTTACACTTCCATTTGTGCCTGTACAAATACCACTAGCAGCGGTACCAAATTCAATGGTTGCTCCTGGAGGAATACCCTCGGGTGGCAGCTCGTACCAATTACCATGCTCCAACGAGTAATCTCTACGTATCCAAAGTCTCGTAGTACGGTTGATCACCGTCACTGTCCTCTAGTACCACGTCGTACAGCATGTTTCCAACTGTCCTTTGACGCACCACTATCTGAATTGTTCCATGGGAATGGGAATGAATCCTTTCCACCTGTAATCGATTCACCTCGAATCGGTGAATTTGACAATGATGAAAAGAATGACAATGTAGAACTAAGTGATACCAATGATGATGGTGAAGTTGGTGTTGTCGTTGATGTTGTAGAATTCGATCCCAATGATGATGTTGAATTTTTAATACTATTATTACCATTATTATTGTTGTTTGATCCTGGTGTTGTTGTTGTATTGTTTGATGTTGATGATGGAGAAGATGTTGAATCACGTTTACTATTTATAGTTTTTGGTGATGTTGGTGTATTGGGTGCAACAGAAGGAGAAGGAGATGATGAATTGGGACCTCCAGGAGGATGTTGATGATGAATGATGATTAGGTCCACCAGGAGTCGATCCAGAGGATGATGATGAAGAAGGTTGAGGATGATTCAATAATACAATTTGTTTTTGGTTTAATTTAAAGTTGATGTTGTTACTCTTGATGGTAGTCTTTACCTCAGAGTGTATTTGACGATTGATCTCTTCGTGTGACAGATAGTATTTGGTTTCGATGATGTTGTGTGGCGACGCTGATATCGAGCAGCTGTGTGTCGTCCAATACGGGTTTGACCATTCGACAGTGACGTACAAGAATGGCTCCCACAACTTCATTCCAATCAGATTTGACAATGATTGTATACTACTAGAGTGCAACGGTGCAATCGAGGGAGGCAGCAACAAATAGATTACACTACCCTTTGTACCTGTTACAAATGCATTACTCTCTGATGCAAATTCTATTTTACTATTTGGTGCAATGATTTCTTTGAGTCAAATAGATAGATAGATAGATATAGAGAGTAGAGTTAGTTTATCTATCTATACCACCTATCATCATCTACATTCAAACCAAATTAAACTACTACCTACCAGGAGGAAATATTCGCAATAGACCTTGTTGTAATTTAACATAGACTCGTTGTAATATATAGTCAGTGTCGTTTGATATGTTGATGATGGTTGTTCTCGATGCTTTGTACAACTCTTTCTTCCAATCGTTGTTGAGTGACATTGTTGTTGTTGTTACTCTGTTGTAAGTAGTCTCTCTAACAACCAAAAGTACTACTCCTTAACTAAATACTATCACCCATTTGATTTATGATTATCCCTCTCTGGTTCTAGATCTATTCTAAACAAACAAACATTAAACAATCATTTATTATTATCTCTTTGGTGATCAAAGAATAGTTCAAATTAAAATGGATACACCTTTGAAAAGAATTGCAATTGTATGTTTGTTTACCTTTTTTGAGGGAGGAGGAGGAGGAGGTTACAAAAACAATTAAAACTAATCTTTCTTTTTCTCTACTACTGTAATATAGACAATTCAACATTTAAAGAATGAAATAACAGGTAGTAGTTAATTACAGGTCCAAGTTTTAACATTAATGTTACTCAATGTACAAAATTACAATCATTGTATGTTATAATAATAATAATAATAATAATAATAATAATAATAATAATAATAATAATAATAATAATAATAATAATAATAATAATAATAATAATAATAATTAATCATAATCATAGGAGTATTTATTAATCCTTTTTTTTAAAAAAAAAATAATAATTTAGATGGATTCAATCAGCTGGATATAATGTAGATTTTAAGAGTTTTTATAATCTACCACCAACAATGACTTCATTGTAATGTATTATATTCATGTTTATTCATTTATAAATATTAATTAATATTTTTTTTTTTTAGACGTTTAATTAATGTATTTGCATCAACAGCAAATAAAACATTACCACTTTATAAAGAGTTGTCTGGATGGAATAATTTGGCTACATTGGAATTACAAGGATTAGGTTTAGTAGGTCCACTTGATGAACAATATTTTAAAATCCCTTATTTATCAATTTTGTATGTATACCTACCATATGGTAAAAGTAGGATTTAAATTGTATTAATCTAACTCTTTTTTATTCTATTTTTTAGAAATTTAAATTATAATTCATTGATATCATTAACATTACCTATTTGAATACAAGTCAATTGACATCGATTAGATTTAGTGGTACAGGATTGTCTGGTTCAATTCCTGCCAATATTCTTGATAATCTGATTATGGACATTGTCGATGTTTCCTATACTTCGATTACAGGTAACCTTCCAAGTGTATTTTTATGTGCATTCCATGGACTCTTTTCAACCAACTACTTTATCTCTGGACTGGTATTCAACAATTACAATGGATCGATATACCAGCGAACCCAACAGACGAGCTAGATTTACGAAACAAAGCAATGATATTGACAAGAATATCAATAGCAGGAAGAGGTGATGACATTAAAAAGATCATAAATATAGATGGAGAAGAAATCAAAAGACTCGAAAGAGAAGAAGATGGAAAAGAGTTCCTTCGCATTCAAGTTCACAAACCAAAAGAAAGCGATAAAGATGTAGAAAGAAGATTATATGTCACTTAGACACTCTTCTATCATCACTCATACTGCATGGTGCATGTATGCCATGATGTTACTGGTTATTGTCGTCTATCGTCGCTGGCAGCGGCTCATTGGTGTTGCCTACTCTGCTCATTGGTGTTGCCTACTGGATGTGAAATAATAATATTATTTATGATGTGGACAATTGACATTGGAACGGATTAAACCAATCCCAAATCAAAACTTGTTAATTAATAAATAAATATAAATAAATAAACCTAGGTTGATCCCACTTTATTTTCCCGCCTTTTTTATTTTTGAGTTATCTGTATTTGACCCCACACCAGAAAAAGTAAAAGCTTCTGGTTCCTAATCTACATAATGATAATAATATTCTTCAGTTTATTTAAATCGATCGATAGAAGTATCTTGTGAGATGGTGATATAAATTGTTGTCGATACATGTATTAAAAAAGTTGGAAAAATTCAACTTTATCAATAGTCTTGATATGTTTGCCCAAATTATTTGAGGTGAGGTAATATTGGAATCTGTGGGAGGTATATTGAGAATAGGCGACATACTTAGCTCCATCTACAAGTTCAGTTTCTTTCAGAAACAAATTGACTTCTTTAAAGGTGTCATCAATACCTCTTCCAATGTCGCCATTTTCTGGGTTGAAACGGATGATCATTACCTTTGTTCCAACATCTAGAAAATAATGTGAGAGTTGGTAAGTTATATAAATATTTATAGATCAAGTTTTTCGATTCGTCATACGTTTAAATGCAAATGGATAAATAATATTCATTCTGGAAATGTGATCATCGGCCGATTCCGAACTGTGTTGAAACTCGTCGGTCTCAAATACAATACCGATTCCATTTGAACATTCGATGATTAGATCTGGAAACTTGGGGCATCCTGGTAAGGTCTTGGATTCTCTTACATAAGACTGATCTTTCATAATAGATCTAATTCTGCTTGAACTTAATTTCTCTTTAACTAAATGATTGCTTTCGTTTCTATTTCTCTCATACGATAAATAATAATATCTGTTTTGGTGTTGAACAATTGGTTAGTGGTGATTGGAATCAATATAAAATATAAATAATATTTATCATGCCTTTTTTTTAATAAACCAAGGATTCATTAAGAACTAGGGAGAGTTTTAACAACTTGGCTTGATCTCCTTCGGTTTCAAGGATCTTGTTGTCAAATGGCATTTCGATATTTGAATAAGATGGATCAAATTTGCGAAAGCTAATAAAGGAAAAAAATAAGATAATATATAATGCAATGTATTCTCTCTCTCTTTCTATACATACTATACAAAGCAAGCTAACTTCATTCTTTGGGGGATGCCTAATTTTTTCAAGAGAGTTGGAATTGCAGCACTACCCATTGAACCAGACGTACGGCGTAAAGAACTGATATCTTCGACCAACTTTTTAAGGAGGATGGGCTCGTGACTTCTAATGAGGTCGTCCACTCCATACTTGGAGTAGAATTTTCGCTTCACTTGGTATGCCGAACGCTTTACATTAACCAACTTTAAATCTTTCGATAAATCATTGAATGACGGCACTTGGTTTTGATTCATATTTTCAACCATATTTTCCAACTTGGCCTCTTCTTCTTCGCTCCAATCTCGAAAAGGATAGAGGTAGAGATGATACCATCTAGCAATACTTTGTGGGTTGAGATATATAACATTAAATCTCTGCGCAAAAAGATCTGATATCAGTTGAAAATCATCACCACCATGAATATCAAACAATTCGTGCAAGTATTCTTTTTGTTCAATCATGTTTTTGAAATTGATATCACACGGAAAGACGACTGATTTTCTAAAAGAGAAATAAAAGATGTTAATTGTTTGTTGGGTGATTCAAAAAATAAACGATTTGTCTTACACCAATCTTTTTACCGGATCATCCGGTACATGTGTTAATGACACGAATTCCTCACGGAGAGATTGAAAGAAAGAAACCCAGTTCTTTACTGGAGTTGCTTTGTCATATAATTTTAATAGTTTGTCCTTGTCTCCAGACTGATTAATAAATCTCTGAAGGACTGGCACTGATCTAAATCTATAAAAAAAAACAAAAATGTATTAGTACAAAGTAGTTAAAATAAAAAAAAACAGTTTTTGTTATTTACCTTGACCTCAATTGGGAGACCGACTTTTTACCAGTTAAAATTGATTCATCGTGATGAGTATACTTTGCGACAATTTGAATCCAGTTTCCACCAGTACTTTTGAATAATTCTACAAGTTGTTCGTCATCATCTTCATTGTATTCACTGGGGTTGGTCGATATTCTGCTCAACTTCGTTGTTATTTGACAAGGAGTTAAACCTTGCATTGCTGGATGATTCTTTATATTTTCCATTTTGAGACCTTTAAAATGAGAATCATTAAAAACGTCCAGCTGTTCGCGAGTCCATTTCCTGGTGGAACTGCCAACGACACTCCTCCCAGAGTGCTTAACTTTTTGATGTTTTTATAGTTGCCAGGGGCAAACATGTTTGGGAAATCAGTAGTTGTCAACAATCTTATTAAAAGACCTTGTTGCTCCTCGGTAAGATGTTTGGTGCGCTCCCAAAAGCGAAGATTGTGCTCGTAATATTCAATGTCAAGTTTAATATGTACATGACTTGTTGGAGATGTGGATGTAGTTGAAGAGGTAGATAAGGTGGTAGATGTCGTAGTTGTAGAGGTTGATGTGGTTGAAGTATACTCATCGTCAGGAGCCAAGATATTGGATCCTGTAAACTTGACATCATTGCCAAACGAAGATTGGTTTGTAATGAATGTACTGTTATTGGATGTGCTTGTTGACGAGGCGGATGTGGTTGGAGTAGGAGGTTTTTGGAATTGGAGTTGGTGTTGTTTGTATTGTGATGTTTGTACAGGTATTTGTTGGTTGATTGAATTAAGAGTACTATTATTATCTACAAATACTTGAGGTATCATTATCGATGAAGACAAAGATAATGTAGGTATGGAAGAGGTTGATGCAGGTGTATTTGGTGAAGATGTTCCATTTGGGACTGGTTTGACTGTGAAATAACTTTCAATGGAGGATTGTGTCATTGTGATGGCACTGGTCTTTGATTTATTGTTCTTGTGAACAACCTTCATGGGAGTAGGAGGGGCTGGTACTGGTTTATTGGTAACATTGGTTGGAGAGGTGGTTGTTGGGGATGTGGTTGTTGGAGAGGCTCCATTTGGTGTCCCTGTCACAAAAGAACTAATAATGGTTTGTTTCATTTCTTTTTTAGGAGTCTCTTCCAAACTATGCTGACTGTCCTTTCTTTTTAAGTTTTTTTTCCTCATTTTTTACCTGATGTTGGAATTTCTATATAGAAGTGGTAGGTCACAATAATTAATTAAACGAATGTAGATGGATGGTGTGTAATATGGTCCATAATCAAAACCTCAGTTCTCTTCATTTATTCCCATCTTAAACATAAAGTAATTACTATTGTAAGAGAGTAATTATAGTTTCCATCAAGAATGGTGTGATTTTGAAAAAAGGCTAAAAGTTGAAATGCTCTCTCTCTCTCTCTCATATTGTCATTGTTTATCGATCAAACAAATATGTGATAATTGGCAAATTTGCACAAAAGGTAGGATTAAATGGTAGTCTATACACAATGAACAATCAATATGATCCATTACGGCAGTACAATCAATTGTATCAATGCTGAGATAACCCTTGACAACTGTTAAGCTGTGTCAACTTTAGACGCGTCGTGTATGTGATAAATGAGATTAGACCCAATAAGCAGGGTACAACATACACATTCCAACCCTGACAATACATAAATCGTGAATGGTGTAATCAAAAGATTGGTTGATTGGATAATATACATAGTGCTACTGCAGTCGATCGAGTGATTAACTTGTTGAAGAAAAGTAATGTTGGTTTAGAATAACACAAACAGTGACAGAGAATTGAACAAATAGACAAAATATAATACTTGAGAGAGAGAGAGAGAAAGAGAGAAAGAGAGATAGAATTGGTATGTGAGAGTGAAAACAAAAGATTGAGTCCTTACCAATCAAATAGAAGCAAGAGAATATGTACACTGACTCTTTAGGTATCAAAGGATAGAGATAATAGATAAAAGTTGAACAAAAATGTAAAGATGAAGAGAGTTTCTCTTGTTTTTGATATTTACATTACCAAGGGGAAAAAAATGTTATTTTTGTTTTTGAATGACTTTACAGCTACATCAGCGACCTCTTAAAGATTAGATAGAGATATCGAGTAATGATGCATTTATGTTCATACTTCTTGTAAGTGATCAAATGCATGTCTCTACTATACAATGATCTTTTCGGCAGCACAATTGGTCTTGAAGATGTAATGGCACTGGGATGGCATTGTACAATGTAGTTGAAAAGAAGAGTATATTGTCAATAGATGTAGTTATTGGTTTCGATTGATTGGGTGGACAATGATGATGATCTTGCTCTTGTTGTTGATATGGTGATTGGTTGTAACTATTATGAATATGTCAGGGGTGAGCGTTCAATTTGGATGAGAGCTAAAAGGCAGGCATAGGTCATTTCTTTGTTTGTGAATGGTTGAATAAAGTATCTGCATAACACCACCTTTGTTATACTTTTGTTGAGACCTTTTGTTGAGGGTTCGAGTTGATAAGGCAGCTGTGCTGATGGTGGTGATTGGATATGAAATTGGCATAAGGAGAGGATCCATTGTCGATGGGTCAGGTTTGATGAATATGTAAAACTATGAACATTGGACGCTGACAGCATGAAATCAATAACCATACGATTTGCATTGGTGTCTTGTTTTGCAGATATACCTATTTTAAAGATGAAGGAATTGGCAATGCAATCGACACCCACAACCAAAAGCCTTTGGAGGCAGCCAGTTGATAAACTTGTTGGAGAAGATGATAATGCCAACCACCTGAAAGATACTTTACAAATTATTCCATTCTTCGATTAATAATGTAAACAAGCCATGAAATCGAACCTACTAAAAGTAATCAACACCTTCAACAATCACAGATGCCAAAGTAAAGAAGTGAATCCAATGTGGCTCAATCGATTGGCTATTTAAAAGATAAATTGTCAATATCGGTATACGGACAAAAAGTGATACTGCCCCAAATTGAGTGTTGTACTTACTCTGAAGATGCAATTTGATTAAAGAGGTAAGGAAAGGAGAGAGGAACTAGGACTTGGGATGTTTGTGTTCTTGTGGAACTGCACAAGATGATCAGTAAAGGTCACAAATCAAAAGTGGTTAGTAATCTTGAAAGGATTTGATTGATTCAATCTTTTTTTGGTACATACATTTATCCTACATGTATTTTTTTCTTTTGTTTTTTGGCCCAAAACATGACCCTGCTGAGTGAAGGTGTCGGCGATAGCCCCACTCCTTGCTTTGAGCTTCAGCATCATCAGTTCCTTGTGGTTGACTATGTAGTTGATTTACACTAACTATTATTTACACTTGTTGAGGTTGAGGTGAACTTGATGATTTAGATGATCCACTTTTTTAGGTTGGTGGACCTCCCAAAGATAATATGCCTCTTCAAAAGTCATCTAGATACTCCATATCATCGACATCATCTGACCCAAAAAGATGTAGACCGTGATCATAAAGATACATATCTCCTCGATCAGCTGAACCTACAAATCTGTCAGCTACTAGCTCCACATCAACTAAGCGATGTGGTCACACTTTGATTAAGTCTAAATATGATACATCTGAAGGTGAAGTAGAGAGACAGAACAAGCGTTAATGACGAAATGATGGTGGAAGTTTGTAGTAAAGAAACTGCAAAACTACTTTTAGCTGTCCCGGTTTAAAATACGAGATATATAAATAAATAATATAGTGATTATTCAGCTGATATAACATGTATCACATGATAAAACCGGTGGAGCTGAGTAAAAAGCGAGTTTGAAACGCCGGCTAAAAAAATAAGAAATAAAAAAATTACTCAAAAGTTGTTTGACCATCTTTTTTTTTAAATGGTAAATAAGGAGCAACATAATATCTAATACCAAATCCAACCATCCACTGCAAAGTGAGCAAAGCGATGCACAATTTCTCTCTGAGGAGCACTAGGTTGATAACAACTATTATTTTGAATAATTTATTTATGTATAATGATATGATGTTTTATGTGTAGGAGTCAATCAAAAAATTTACGATAAACAATAGTTGTTGTTGGGTGTTGAACAAAACATTTACGGTCGACCTTCGAAAGACCTGCCAACCAAAACCAACACAGGTAGTGATGATCATCTTAGATCATCTTATTGCTTATGAAAATTTAAGTGGACCCATGGAAGAGGTAATGAGCGCGATCAATTCTCTATACTTTGACAAAAGAGTAAATATATGTAACATAAGATGAGCAAACGGATAGTAGTACTTACCACTAGAGGTGCAATGTTCCACCAATTTAGATTCTCAAAAAGGTGTAAATGAAGAAGCAGCAGAGGACCAAGACTATATTGACATTGAACTGATGTTTCTGTCCGACTATATGTGCTTTAAAAGGTTGAAATGTGTTTACCATCCATCCTCTTTCTACAAATGCGCTTGGTTTGGTGTCTTTGCACAAAAAAGGAAATCAACAATTTCGATCTTGGCTTGAGGAAATGGAGATCCGATGAAATCAAAGAAATACAAATTACAGAGGAAGTCGGCAGCCAGTACTACCTCGACAGCAAGTACGACCTCGCCAACCAGTACTACTCGTACGACAAAGAAAGCTGCAAAGCAAGTCCTTCCTTATGGGCAATTAGGTCAGTGTGGAAGCACACTACATGATGTTCATTACATCTTGTAATGAACAATACCAGTATACCAAATATTGAAGCACTCTTCTACATATTTCTTTCCACCATGCATCGGCAATTTGTACAAGTCAAAGATATTATTAGCTACTTTAACCAAAGTGGAGAAAAGTACAACTCTTTAAAGACGATTGAAAAGTCATACCAAGCTGCAAAGAATAGTAATAAAAAACAAACCAAAGTTGTTAATAACACGTATGGAGTCAGTATAGTTCATAGTGCACCTCTCTAAAGCGTCAATCGCTGACTCCACTAGATCTTAACCCGCAACCCCACCACTAATCCTGTCGACGATATATAAAGGTGAACTTACATCTATGACCCAATTGCAAGCATAAAGGAAAACAATAAGAGTATGTTGATGGTGACACCGACAAGAAGACGTTCGATACGTTTAGCTGTATTGTTGACGCTGATCCTAGAATCTATCTATCTATATACTTGATACTCTCCAATCTATTAGCTTTGTATCTAAACATCCTCGACTACCGTAAATAGGATAACATGACCTGAGCCAATAATAAAGATTTACGGTCAACTACATATATTTTTGAGGGGGAGCAATATTGTGTTTAAAAAAATTAATTAATTAAAAATAAAAAAAACCTTTAACTAAAACCAAGGTTCAAACAAAAATTAGAAATAATATCTAAAAACCACAATTCTAACTGTATCATGAATGGATAAAGTATAAAAATTGAATTCGATTTAATTAAATGTATTTTTTATTTATTTATTTATCTAGATAATAGTTAATTGGTTATGTCACCTTCTACAAATAAGTTCTGAGAGTCATCATAGCAGACATTCTTGGAGGTATCAGAATTCAACTCCCTTGAATGCACCACGGACAGAGTTTTCAACAATTGGTTCATAATCATTTTTACACTGCGATGAAACAATGGTCATTATCAAACAAGCAATTAAAATAATGAGCTTTTACTCCTTTGAAATAACCTTTTTGTACAAAAATAATTAAATAATTAAATAATTAAATTAAATAATTAAATTAAATAAAAAAATATTAGTGACGAGGCCATGCCCCAACCGACATGAAAATGCCCAACCACAAACCACCAATCTGCATGGCAATCGATGAGAATTGTCCGTCTTGCCAACTGAGCCAGTCTTGGCTGGCCTGGACCAACAATGGCAATAGATAGGTGACGATTGTGATGATCAGTACGGTGATGACACCCAATGGATAGTTTTTGGCCGGGTTTTTAACCTCTCCAGCCAACTGTCCAATTGCATCAAAACCAGAGAATGACCAAACGATCGTAGCAATCAGCGTGCCAAGATCGACATTGCGCCACGCATTGGCTACTACCATCTTGTTTGAGTAGAGATGTCTCTACATTACCAGATCCACCATTATTGACATGTGCAATACCTGGGTGACGAGTGAACCATTCGACATCGTATACTGTCAACAATGACCATCTGAGATCACCAATGACTCCAGTAGACTCATTCAACCCGACTGGGCTGGCCAATGTGATGGGTGCGATAGTGCATTCATCGGGTGTCATATCAATCGAGAATTTAAATTGGACACTATCATCAGACCCACCTTCCAAAGTATAGTTGATGGCATAGGTATAACTATTCGAAGGAAATGTCAAGTACGATCCACCAAACAGGGCACTACCTCCATCTTGATTGGGAATGATTGAAACGGTCACAATCTTTGCTCCACTAGTCCACTCGTATTGATGAGTGGATGAATTGGCCAACAAGGTGTATTTCCAAGATGGAATGATAATCTCTGCTCCATTCTCAACCACCGATATCAATTTAGCTGTCAATACTGTCTTTTCATTAAATGATGGTGTTATTTCTAATATTGGTTCCAATGTTGAAAATACTGCATTATTATCATATGATTCTAAAAATAAATAAAAAAGAAATTAAATTAATAAATTATTATTTATCTTTTTTTCTGTTCTATTTTTTTTTTTACCTTGTTCACAAGAAGGACCAAATAAAGTATTATTAGTATTTGTAATTGAATTACAAACACAAAAACCAATTGCAACATCACAAATACCATTATTATTACAATACTTTGGACAAACGGTTTCATCAAGATATTCAAACAATTTGTTTGGTGCCGATGTTTGTCCATTGACAGTGACCTTGATATTCTTTCTTCCAGTGGTGTATGGTGAAGCTGGGAAATCACATACAAAGTAACTGTGGTTGGCATAGGTGACTGGACATGGGATGGGAGTAGTGTCTTCAATGACCACTGAAATAAGAGAGACATCATTCCAAAAGTCAGATCCTGTAATGGTGAGTTGAGTAGCTTCATTTGGTTTGGTAGCAAATGAAGAAACGACATTTGGTGGTAGATATCTGAAATAGGCATCGTTACTAGCATTGTTGTACAACCCACTCACTTGAATTGAAATGGGTACGTTGGATGTAATACCAGCAGCGTATTCACAACTAACGGCACGGTACGATGCCAATACTTGATAGTTTGTACAAGGTCTACCATAAATACTAATTCCAGTATCTTTCTTTCTAACTGCATTAGCCATTAAATCATATCCATATAATGTAATTCTACCTCCCAATGTTGGACATGGAGTTGATTGTAAAATGGATGGTCCTAAAAAAATAATTAAAAATAAAAATATTAATAAATGATTGATTTATCCTTTCCTTCCATCCTTCTTTTTTCAATTACTTACTTTGATAAGTGAAATTTGAATTAATGATTGTATATTGTAAATTGACTAGGACATAGACTTGTAGTTTACCAAAACCAAGTGTCAAGGGATTAGTACATTCAAGACGATAGTTGGGGATAGTAAATCCACAACTGGTTTGAATAGCGTCACCCATGGTATTGGTCAAAGCAAGGAATAGGTATGGTGCCTTTGGACCCAAATCATTACCATTGATAACAATACTACTATTGGTTGAGAATGGTTCAATCTGTGAAATAGTGGGATTACAATCACGTTGGAAAACAGATCCATTGTAATTGCTAAATACCAATCCAGAGATAAAATAGTTGGTTGAAAATAGTCCATGGAATGCACATAAAAATACTCTTGGCAATTCACCTGTAATCGAAGTCTGAGAAACATCAACAATATCCATTAACAAATTATCAAGAATATTGGCAGGAATTGAACCAGACAATCCACAACCACTAAATCTAATTACTGTCAATTGACTAGTATTTAGATAATTTGGTAATGTAAATGTTAATAATGAATTATAATTTAAATTCCTAAAAAATAAAATAATAATAAAGAATATTAATATTATTGCAATTAAAGATAACTACTACTAGTACTATATAAATATATACATACAATACAGATAAATAAGGGATTTTAAAATATTGTTCATCAAGTGGACCTGTCAATTGTAATCCTTGTAATTCCAACGTAACTAAATTATCCCAGCCAGTCAACTCTTTATAAAGTGGTATTGTTCTATTTGCTGTTGATGCAAATACATTAATTAATCGTCTAAAAAAATTTTTGTTTAAAATTATTTGTAAATTAATTAATTAATATATTATTATTATATTATATATATGTATTATACATACAATGAAGTTAATACTGGTGGTAGATTATAGAAACTCTTAAAATCAACATTATATCCAGCCGATTGGATTTGTCTAAAAAACAAAAAAAGATTAAATTGATGCAATATTGATCATATAAATAATAATAAATACATACAATGATTGTAATTTTGTACATTGAGCAATACTAATATTAAAAGCTGGACCTTGAAGTAAGTAATTAAATGTATTTAATTCACTATTATTATAGTTGTTTCAAAAAAAAGGAATTAATATCTCAGTTGCACAGATATATAATATTATATATATATATATATGGATTAACATACTAAACCAATAATTCAGGAGTAAACAAATTTGTATGAATGGCAGCAGCTGAGAATTGTCTCAATGATTGTTGTGATGGTGCACTAATATGAACAAAGGTAACAGAAGGTGGTAATATTGGAAGTGTTCCCCACATACCATCAATATAACTATTATCAATCAATAAATAATAAATAATAATTTGTTAGTCTTTTATATAAATATAATATAATAATTATTATTATTTACTTACACTTTTTCTAAACTAGTCATTCCAGTCCAATTAGATCTTGTAACATCTACATACATACCTTGAGTGCTATCTTGTACAGGAGTAAGATAGATTAACTCAAAGGTAGTGATATTCTTGTGTGTTAATAGTGTTGCTGGGAAGAGAACAGGTGTCGATGTGTAAAAGGTAAGACTCTTTAAATAGGGAACAACTGAGAAATCAATCATATCAATATTCAAATTTAATAATTGTGTTTCAATAGTTCTAAATAAATAAAGATCAAAGATTGATTAGTTTATGTATAAATAAATCAATGATTAAGATGATGATATCAGATCAGATGATACTTACAAACCAGTAATTTGAGTATTCTCAGGATTACACATAACCAAACTTCTTACTTGTAGACCTGTACTTCCACAACCTGGAGTACTACCAATTGGCATCCAATAAGTTAATGCATAGTTGTTGAGTTGTTTGAGAAGTGTAACTATATATTTAAAAAAGATAGATGATGAGTAAGTATTATATTCTTCTTGTCAAACAAACACAAACAACCAACCAAATGTGTTAAACATTAACATACCTTGTTCAGCTGGTAATTGAGCTTGAACTAAACCATTGTTGTTAACATCATTAATTAGAACAAATCAACAACACAACAAGATTGTTGTTTTATAGTTACTAAAAATGAACTTCATCTGAAATGATGATAGTGATAATCTTGAGAAGACGAAACCTGGGGGTTGTTTTTTTTTTTTTTTTTTTTTTACTGCCTGGTTGTGTGTGTGTGTTTATCACAAGATAAGATTTATAAGTAAGTTATTTATATTAGATAGATATTATAAAGTCTTTATGTTTATAAATAGATAATTGATTGATTGATTGGGTAAAAAGATAAAAATAAAGTGATGATGATGTTGTTTCTAAAAAACAAGACAGGTCTTTTTCTTATCTTACAACGAGTGAGAGTTGTTTTGGAAATATCTGAATGGACTAAGATGTCACGGAAGGAAGGGTACCCGGCATTTTGCATTGAAATTTCGAAAGACTACTACTACTACTACTACTTACTTCAGGATCACTCTATCGAGTTAATGTAAGGATGGAACCTTATAATAATTTATATTTTTTTTTTCGCAAGAGAAGAATAAAAAAAAGATGATGATGATGTCAGTTTATGTCTATGCATAGATCATTCCAAAACATATTCGATGCTATTCAAAGGGTGTGAGAAAGGGAAGGGAAGGAGCCTTCTGCAAAAAAAAAAACCAAGAAAACTATTTTTCAACCTGGGTCTCTTTGTTTGTTTGGTTGTTGTTTTTTTGTTTGTCTACATACTTTTTAGGAATTTTAAATGCAGATGCAATGTCTAAAGAATAGGGAGTGAGTTCATAGCATACATGTATTGACATCAGTGTCTTTGGTCAATGACTGTATCTTTTCTAAAAAGAATTTGTGAACGAATCGATCCACATTGGCTCTTGCCAATTTCAATGTCAATGTCAGATTTTCATTCCATAATCTATACCATTCAACTGAATTAATTTTAATATTATTCTTTGTTGAATACATTATATTATATAACTAAATAAATAGAAATAGAAATAGTAAGTAAATAAATTTAATAATTTTTAAACTTATTTTTGTCGGTACCTTTTCAATTAATAAATATTCTCTTTTTTGAAATGCCAATTGTTGATATGTGAATTGTTTAAGGTGACTAAAGGGGATTGGTTTTTTGTTGGTATGATAATCATATTGTTTGATATTATTAATATATGATAATTCACCTGTGAATTGTTGGTTGTTGTTGTTGTAATATCTTGAAGTTGTGCAAGGAGGAATTTACTGGTTTGTTGACAGAGGATGGTGTTGTCACCTTCTCCAGTGAGTCCGACCTCTAGGTGGTTTCTGAGGACTGGTACACGTGCTGACAGACGGAACCCTTGCCCTCCCATACACTCTCTAGCCAACTGTGTGGCACTGAAACAGTCCCATGCGCCAACCGCCTTGAGACCCGACGAATAGCTGTGCTTGAGATCCATCGTATTGGTCAATATAACAAGTTTATGTGCAAAGTCGAGTGCAAAGCATCTTGCCAAGTTGGGAAGCAGACGGCGTTGTTGAGTGGTGTGGTGGATGATGGGTTGCTCGGGTTTACCAGGCTCACCAAACTGCTTGCGATTGTGTGAGTAGCTCAACCCGATAGAGACGGCTGTTTTGGCAGCTGCAAGACACAACACTGATATACAGAGACGACCGATATAAAATACAGACATCATAGCTCCAAAATGACGGTTTGGTGCAATCGTCGATTCATACTCTCCCGATTCAGTGACACGACTGAATCTATCCAACATATTGTCCAATGGAATACGTACTTGTTTAAACAACAGTCCTCCATTATCAATACCGTTGAATGATGATTTCAATCCAATATCTCTAATCTCGACACCGGGCATTGGCAGGCCATATGGGTGTCCCGACAAAGGAGGTGTTCGAATAGGCACCACAAATGCATGTACACCATGATCACGACCCTTTAATATCAACCTAGCAAACACTGTACAAAACTGACCGTGTGTAGCTATATTTCCAGGCCAATATTTTTGTGATGTCCAAGTTGGTGAATTTACAATAAACTCTTTTCTATCTTGATCAATTGTTGCTGTTGTCTCTAACCCATTTACATTACTTCCATGACTAAACAATAAATTTAATTAAATAAATAAATAAGTAAATATTATTATTATTATATTTAATTACCCTAATTCAGTTAAACCAAATGCACCAAGTTTAGTACAATCTTGAATACCAGATAAATACTTTGAATGATGTTTCTCTGTTCCAAGGAATAGTATAGTTCCACCCCATAGATTGTACTGGACTGCAAACTTGAGACTGACGCTCAGATCAGCATAAGAAATGGTTTCAAACCATGCCAAGAATTTATCAGGTCTATTCTTCATATCTTCCAATGTAACAATCTCTTGATCTGCAATCAATTTTGATGCAATTAATGTTCTAAAAAGAAAGAGTAAAGTTAAATTAAAAATTTATACAATATTATTATTATTATGATTATTTATACCTTTCTCTATGTTTATAATTAGTGTAACCAGGTTCAGTTAAGAATGGTTCATCAAACTCTTCATTGTTTTGGAATAATCTATAAAGATGATCTCTGTCTTGTTTAAAGTCACCGTCCAATAGAGATGTTAAATACTCTACATTGGGACTACCTCCCAAAGGTGTAGAAGTAATATCATCGTAGATGTTACAATGCCCTTCATTATGTTGATGATGAACACCTGTTATTTCATTCTTTAAATGTTGAATCGTCTATTATATATAAATATAAAATCAATTGTATATAGAGAGAGAGAGGGAGATAAAGATAATGATTTTAGTTAGTTTGAAAAAAGTTATAACAACAAACACAACATACGACAGCAATTCTTTTAAAGGTGTATCCATTTTTTTTATATTATTATTATTATTTGTATGTGATCAAAAAAAGAGATAATAATAATAAATATTAATAATGAATGATGATTGATTAAAGTGTGTGTCGTGTTGCTAACTTTAAACAACTTAAAACAGAAAAATATCTTTTTTAAAATTTTATTCTCGAAAATCTTAATACAAAGGAACTTCGTTTTGTTCATTCAATTAATCAATGGTTTTCAAATATCTTGTCTTGTGAAACAACTAAATCCCTTTGGGAAAGGACACAATATTGCTGGCAGTTCCATTTGATCAATCCCTAATGTCAATGAATAACCAGGTTGTCGTGTCTGCTAGTCTTTTATATTATCTTTATAAAGTTAATATGTACACGACACGTGATCAAGTAAATTAATAACAATTGCTTAATAAGGATACATCTAAGTATAATAATAATAGTATTTAATTAAAAAAAAAAAAAAGAAAAAACAAAAAAAATATTTTTTTCCCAATCCAGCTCTCTATAATTTTAAAAAAGTATTAATTTATTTATTTTGAAAAAAGAAAAATAAATGATCAATTATTTTTTTCTTTTTAGATATTTGTATGTACAGGATAATATAGCGATCAGGATGGGAGTTTCTCTGTGATATTATTATTATTATTATTATTATTTGGCAACTCTATCACATCAAACAAAAAGTTAAAGTATCTAGATATAAAACAACAAACTGGTGCATTCTATGGTGATCCTACATTATTTCAACAAAATAGAAAAGGTTTTACAGATGCCTTTGCAAGTAATACTTTTATCAAAACTTTAAAAACAAATTATACATTCTTTCAATTAGATTCCGTATCAACAAATATATTTAGTCAATCACTTGAAAAATTGGAAATTATTCAATTTAGTTGGTATCCTTTTGATTGTAAGAAAATATAAAAATAATGAATTATAAATAATTAATAATTAATTAATAATTTTCTATTTTAATTTTTTAGATTGTCAATTAACAATTGAATCATTATTAGAAATGATTAGAACAAATAGTCATAAAAATCTTAAAAAATTATCTCTAACATGGGTAGGAAAGAACAAGGATTTGGAAAATAGTTTTATCAATGCAATGACTCTAAACACTACCATTGATAAATTATGTTTAAAAGAATCCAATTCATCATTTATCAAACCAATATTTAAATTTATTCGTGGTAAAGGATGGTTATCAATTAATCCAAATGATTGTAGACCATTACATACATTATAAAAAATATAAAATAATATTTTTATTTATTTTATTATTTTTTTAAATTATAACCAGATTTTAAAGAATCTAATTTAATTGAAATAAATTTTAAATTTGAAAATGGTTTCATAAATGATTTAGGATTATGATAAAATGTATCAACAAGAACATTTAATAGGGGGGTTGGATTTTGAGCAAGTTTTTCAACACCATAAATATCACCAAGAGGGATAGGAATTTTTTTTGGTTTTCTATTTCTTTCCAATTCCATCATTGTTTCGTACATTTTTAATGTACCATCCAGATATTTTTTGAAAATGAATGAATCAGGGGCCATTGATTGATCTTCCAATACAGTTCCAATGGCCGTTTTGATAAAATAGAAATATTCAGAATTTGGTTTGTTTTCTTTTATATTTTCTTGCATGACTCGTAATAATGGATCCACAATGTAAACTTGAAATTGATCACTGGTATACCTACTACTTGCCATTACAAATGGGTTGGCATAATTTTCATCCGCTACCAATAATTGTAAAAGTCGGTGTTGATTGGATAAAATGAGGGCTTGTATCATGGTTGGAGTGAGTGTACCATATTTTAATCGACCTCTATTAAACATGACCTCTAAAATTTTAAAATTCCTACTTGAGCATGCCATTTCAAATATGGTTCTATAGTCTAGTGATGAGAAAATACCGCCCATTTCCTCTCCTTTAACCAAAAGACTATCGAGTAGTATATCATCATGATTGACAGCACAACATTTGACCAAAAATTCTACCACATCTTTTACCAACTTTTCTCGATTTTCAAAGTACAAATAAAGGATTCTTGATTGTTCGCTCCCTACAGTACCGAGTCGAGGTAAAATTTTGGGACTGATCGATATGACTGATTGTTGATTTTGTTTTAATTCAATATTTGTTGTTTGAATGATGTATTGAATAGTCTCTTGATCATAATGTAATTCCAATGCAATATCCAATTCCAATCTTTGAGAATAAGCTAAACGTTCAATGATTCCTGCAACGAAAAAGTCATGAACCATGATAGCTTTACCATAGACATTGTTTAGTCCGCTTTCCTGATATATCTTGTTTAATAGATATCCAGTTATTTTTTGTTTTTTTTGTTTCACTATTTCTTTTTGAATGTAGGAATAGTCGTCCACCAAGATATTGATCAATATTTGTTCATATTCTACAGCAATATGATTAAAACTTGAAATAGTTTCCAATATTTCTATAGAGATTGTATTAAAATTTATATTATCTACGATACATCTATTGTTTATGTTTGAAGAAACCAATATTCCAATGAGAAAATTGACGCAATCTGAATCCCAGTGACACATTGCTATTCCAAAAATTTTACTATTGACAAGATAACTAGTCTCGTCTTGATCGACAAGATACTTTAAGAAATCAATTCCAACAAGTTGTATTGATCCAAGTAGTTTAGAAGAGTTTGCTTCCAAATTCCATTTTTCAAAATAAGCAACCGTTTTTAATAATTCGTGTACATGGTTTGGCGACAATGATGATTCAACCTTGAGAGATGGTGGGTTTATAAAATTTCCAATCTTTTTCTTTTGGCTTGTTGAATCTATTTCTTCTAAGAGTTGTTGATCTTTGTAAAATAGTTCAACCAAATTCATAAACTTTGCATTATTTCTAATATTGTACTTTAGTGTTTCCAAAAAGAGATCAACTACATTGTAATTACATTTTTCCAATAAGAATTTTATAATATCCAACAATGAGTCTTTTTCTCCTCTGTTTTGACTATCGTCAAACAATAGAGCCATTGATACTTGAGAAATCTGTAAAACCTTATCTTTTCTGAAAATGTTTGCTTGTAATTGTTTCAAATCTCTATTCTCGATCAATTTGATCAACAATAGATTGATTGAAACAAAATCAAACAATTCCTTTTCTACAGCTACTTTTAAAATCTCTACTGCCATTTCATAGGTACCAACATTGTGACAATCAATCTTTATCATGTATGATAATTTACTTCCACGGTCAATAAAATTTGTTTGAATCATCTCTACCACATGTTTAAATGCTCTTATATTATTATATTGAATGATTTGATGAAATATTGAATTAAATATATCCTATTAGAAAAAAGAAAAAAGAAAAAAAAGATATAAATATAAGGAATCAAAAGAGATATACAACTATAGTTTTGTTATACATACAATTTTTGATAGATATATTTGATTAGAAGTTTCAATTTCTACAGATTTAAAGTAATCATTATTTGCACATTCAAGGAATAGATCGATTCGATTGTAATGCAAGTAATCTTTAAAACAACATAGTTGTGATTGTTTTCTTGATTGTAGATTAAGATATCGATGTATATTGTTTACTTGATCAAATACATTTGTTCTAAGATATAGATTATTAACTATTTGTTGAAATGACATTTGATAACAAACTAAAAATAGAAAATAAAGAGATGAGATCGCATTTGTGTCGGTCTTTTGAAAAGAAAATACTGTATCCTTTTCTTATTTATTTATTTATTTTTCAAATTTGATAATAATAAATCTATAGCATGAGCACCTGGATCCATTGTACCACGAGCTCTATCACCTAGATAGGCAGCTCTACCAACTTTAGCTACCATTTCAATTGTAGACAATGAACCAGTATGTGCTGCATCGCTAGCAATATTAATGAGTTGTGTTAGAGGTGTTGATGTCAATTGTTGATGGTCTAATTTGTAAAGAGAATCAATGGCAGGAACAAGAGCATCAAGCATTGTACAATCACCAACTTTACCACCACCAAGTTGTTGAATTGAACCACATCCATCTTTTAATGCTTGAATCCAATTTAATCGAGTTGGTTGTGACGTCGACGATGATTGTAATTGGTCAAAAAGACTAGTAGATAGTTTAAGGAAAAATATCCCATAAAATGGTCCACTACTACCTCCTAGATTAGATACTAGTATCTTTGATAATTCACCAAATGCAAAACAAGGTCTAGTGAAATCCAATGATTCTAAATTTGCCAATACACTCTTTGATGCACGATCTAAAGTAATACCCAAATCACCATCCCCAACTTTACTATCCAATTCTGTCAATACATCTGAATTATCCATCAATGTTTGACAACTAGTTTCAATCATTGTTTTAATTAAATCTGCATCCACCTTTTCAATTGTAATCGATTTTTTAAATTCATCTTCATTTCCTTCTTGAATCTCTTTATAATCAAATATATTATTATCATTTAAAGATAGAGGTGTAAATACACTATTTACAGGCCATCCCATTGCCAATGTTTTAAAATCTATTCTAAATTTAAAAAAAAAAAAAATTAATAAAGATGAATGAAATAAATAATATTATACAATCTTTATACATACAAATCTAATAAAATATTTTGATTTATATTATCAGGAATTGATAATAAAGTTAAACTAATACCAGACATTTCTAAAGCAGTCATTAGAGTACCACTTATGAATCTAATGACTGAGTATTTTTTGTTATTATCATTATTTAAATATTCTAATACTTGTTTGGTAAAGATTGATAGTTCCATGTTGGTTGTTGATCCAAGGTTATTGAGAAGTACGATAAATGTATTTGATGTTGTGTAGGGTAGTAGACGGTCGAGTATTGTTTTTGCCATTGTTTTGGCATCAACCATCTCTTGTCTTTTGATACCTTGTTCACCATGTATACCTAATCCAATTTCAATTTCACTTTCACCTAGTTGAAAGCTTGGATGTCCAACTCGAGGTATTGTACATGATGACAATCCAACACCAAGTGTCGATATACACTTGCACAACTGTTTGGCCATTGCTTCAATTTCGTCCAATGGTTTACACTGTTCTGCCATTGCACCTAGTATCTTGTGCAATAATACAGTTCCAGCTACACCACGTCTCTTTGTATCATCATTTGAACCAAGTTCAAGAGATGAAATGTCGTCTCCCACAATCACAATCCTTACTTTGAATCCTTGACTATTAGCAGTCTCTGCTGCAATACCAAAGTTTAGTCGATCACCTGTATAATTCTTGACGATCAACAAACATCCTTGACGACCTGTAACAGCATGTATAGCAGCTACTATATGACTAGGAGACGGACTTGTAAAGACATCACCGAGGACTGCAGCACTCAACATACCCATCCCAACAAAACCAGCATGACTTGGTTCATGTCCTGATCCACCTCCACTAATCAATGCTACTCTATCTTTTAATGTTGATCTAACTTGACAAATGTATGTGGTAAGTAAACAAAGTCCTATCTTCCTTTTAATATGTAGTATGATATATGTATAACATACTGTTGTGTATCAGCTCTTACTATTACATTATGATTAAGTAATTTTTTGATTAATGGATTAGACATGATCATCCCATCAATCATATCATTCACTACATTATTAGCATCATTTATGATTTTCTTCATTCTTTAATTAATTAATTTAATGAGTACGTGTGTTGATATTAAAAAATAATAAATTAAAAACTTTGATGTTCAACTCCACAGATAAAATAATATTAGTTATAAAATATTAATGATTTATTATTTTTTTTTTTTTATACAAGAGGACCAATAATAATTGCATTTAGAGATGATCCTTTTTCAAGGTAACCTTCTTTTTGAGGAATGACTAAAAGAGCATTGGCACGTTTCATGCTGAGTAGACGACATGAAGCTTGAGAACCAGTGCTGTTGGCGATAAAGCAGTGTTGATCCATGTCAAACTTGATCATGCAACGATGGTATTCTGGTCTTTCTGGATCCATTCTGATACGATCATCCAACTTTGCTTGGACGAGTGGCAGACGGTGGTTAGAGTGTCCGCAGAGCTTACGTAATGCTGGTACGACAAATAGGTAGAATGTGACCATAGTACTGACAGGGTTACCGGGCAAAGCAAAGACAAGTGTCTTTTTGCCATTGTCACGTTCAATGGTTGCAAATGTGAGGGGTTTACCAGGCTTCATATTGACACGTCCAAAGTGAACAGTACCAAGCTTGCCGAGAAGTGGCTTGACTAGATCCAACTGACCCATTGAGACACCACCACTAGTGATGATGACTTCAGACGTGGCAGCACTATCAACGAGTGCACGTTCCAAATCTTCGAGACGGTCAGGAACAATACCATACTGCTTGACATTGGAAGCAGTACCACTACGACCAAAGTTTTGTGATACTTCTTCAACGACCGATGCAAGTGTTGGTGAATTTGAATCTCTAATGTGACCATTCTTGATATCCTTTTCCTCGGTATCAAATTGTGTCAATTCATCACCGGTCGATATGATTGTGATACGTGGTTGACCATACACCTTGATATGTGTGTGTCCAAGTGTTGCGAGTAATCCAATCTCTGCACTACCAATCTTTTCACCCTTTTTAATAACAACTGCTCCTTTTTTAATGTCACTACCAATTGGGCGAATATCACATCCCACTGGTACTGATACCTCAATATTTACTCTTTCCTCTTTCGAACCCTCTGCCGTAGATTTGATTAATTCTGTATCTTCAACCATGACAACAGCATCATATCCATCCGGTATCATTGCACCTGTTGTAATTCTAATACATTTCTTTTGATTGTCATTGTTGTTGTTGTCTGGTTGTAATTTATGAGCATCACCACCACCAGCAAGACTACTAGCAATAATGATATATTCTCCAGCTCCATCCTTTGATCTGATTGCATAACCATCTTTGATGGATGCACGGAATGGTGGAAAGTCAATCTGTGATTGAATATCTTCTGCTACGATCATCCCAACCGATTCCATGATTGCCTTTGATTCATACTTTTCATTTTCATTTTTATATACATCATCACATTGTTTTAATATAATATCAATTGCTATATCAACATCAATCTAAATAATTAAATAAATAAAATAAAGAATTAATTATATATATTATAAAGTAGATTCTAAATACATACCATTGGAAATGTTGATCCTCTTTTATGATTTCCTCCACATGATGATCTATGTTGTTGTTGTTGTTGTTGCTGATTATTTACATTATGTCCATGACTGTGATGATGACCTCCACATCCACTATGACTCTGAGTTATTGATGGAGATGAAGAAGAAGAAGAAAAATTGGTTGATTGATGAGGAGATGAAGTATTACTAATTGATGATGGATTATAATCTTTTGATCTATGACTTTCAGGTAAAGAAGCAGATGAATAGGATGAGAGTAATGAAAGTGCATGTGGAAGAGCAGGTAATAGTGCAGTAAAGTTTTCTCTGACAGCCTTTGCACTACCTGGGAAGGTGACGACCAATGTCGAGTCGATCATACCAGCCACTGGACGACTGAGCATGGCGTGGGGAGTGACCGATAGACTAGTGTTGATCATTGCAATGACCATACCTGGTGCCTTTTTGTGGAGAAGAGGTTTGATAGCTTCTGGTGTCACATCTCTTTCACTAAAGCCTGTTCCACCAGTAGTCATGATCATTCTAAAACCTTGTGATGCCCATTGACTGACATAGGCACGAATACCATTCACATCGTCAGCGACTACCTTGTAAGTGGTTTGTATCTTGGGTGCTGTGATGTTGGTTGCAGCAGCCAATAGACTGAGCTGTTCTTTTATCAAGTTTATCAACTCTGGACCACTATGATCGATTGCTTGTCCACGTGAAACACGATCACTAATAGTCAATACTCCTATATTCCATATATTACTTTCGACTATATGTTGTTGATTATCATGAGTGCTAGTGTTGATAGTTGTTGAAGCTGATGGTGTTGATGGTGTAGTTGTATCTGTACTGCTTGAAGCAGTATTGGTTGTTATTGTTGTTGTAGGTGCAGCTGATGAAAATATATTCATAAACGATGACATACTGTTATTAAACATAGGTCAAAAGATATCTTTTGACCGACTAACTAACTAACTATAAACTATGACAATGACTATTAATTTCTTTTTCATTAACGAACAAACACCTTTGTTTTTTTTTTAATTAATTTTTTAATTTATTTTTGATTTTAATAAAAACGTAGGGCAATAAAGTACCAAATCAGAAATAAATAAAGATGGTACTGAAATTTGGTACTTATAATCTACTCTAAAAGATATTGCAACCATATCACTTAGCGTTTCGATTAGGAATTGATTAAAATGTTGGATTTGATATTGTTCATCGGGTGGTGGTTCTGGTATAAATTGATTGATTAATTTATACATATCATTAACAATAGGTTCTTGATTGTTTTCGTAAATCAATATAAGCATTTTCCAAAAAGAGTAGGCATAGGGTCTTGATTTTCTCCATTCCATGATAACGCAAGTCTTGGTCATATGAAAAAAATATTGTATGCACACTGGAATGAGTTGTTTATAGTATTGTAATAGTACATACATTCCACCACCATGATTTGATTCAAATAAATATTCCCATTGTGCATGAACCAATGGTAAAATGGTAAAGGAGGTTTCTTGGTTTTTATGTGTCTGTTGTAATAGACTTGTCAGTGAAGAATGTGTTTTGGTAAATACCTGTGGCAACAACTCTGTATTGATGGAAGCAAGTTGAGTTGACAACAAAAAGGCGTTGAATAGGGTCTTACTGTAAACTATAACCAATTGATTGTCTACAAATCTAACCTTTGTTTTCCACATTGTATACACTCTATTCTCCTCGCCTATACAATACTCCAAGATAACCTGCGTCTCTTTGGTAGGGATGATTGATATTCCACCTCCTCTTGCTTTCATAATCTCTATCATTTCAATTACTTGAGATAGGTTTGGTGGTGGGTACTTGGCAAGTATCTTTGATTCTCCACACTCTAACTGCACCAGTTCAAGAAAGAGTTGTTCAGTCTCTTGTGTAATACCTTGTTTGGCAACCTTTGATCTTAGGATTTCAGTCAACATAGTTGATGACTCCAACGATAAAGGAACAATCTGAAACAAAGGTCCAAGTAAAAAGGTATAGTATGATGGTGCGTTCTTGGCTAGTATAGGTAGGATAGAATGTACTCCATGTCCTTCTGATTGTATCATTCTAACTATATGTTTCATTATTATACAATTATAAATCTTTATGTCTTGACCGCCACCACAACCACTACCATGTTTTGAACATTGTAAAAGAAGAAGAAGAGATTGTAATGATCTCAATATAATACAGAGTATTCGTAATGGTGGTGGTGGGTATTGTGATTTATAATATTCCATCAATTTAAATAGATGTTTGTTAAACCTTTTAAATCCAATATGTTTTCCAATATCCATAAAATAGGCAACTACCTTGGCAAGGTGGTCACCATCACTTATCAGTTTTATTCTATTCATTGATTTTAAAAGTAATCTATTTGATATCTAAAAAAAAAAAATTAAATTAATAAATTATTAAATAAATAAATATTAATAATAAAGATAATATTTACATTAATTGGTGAAATCAAAGGAATGACAGTTGACAAAATTGATTGAGACCCAAGAATGAATGAATTAGTTTCGATACCATACTCTAATCTCTGTAGTACCTGTTCTTCGACGTTGTATTGGTTGGTTGTGATTAGATCAAATAATCGTGATCGTATTTCGAGGTTTGTATCCATCAAATATCTACTCAACAGAGATAGAAATGCATCTCTATCGATATGTTCAAGTGCCACCTTACATCTTTCAATAGTATCAACAACAATTAATTTGGCATGATAACTTTGTTCACAATCCAACATTGTATAAAATGTTTTGTATGTTTCTACAATTGGAAATTAAAAGCAAAAGTAATTAGTTTGTGTTGGTATGAATGATGATCATCGATGGTATTATTTAAATGTTATATATATATAGTATACCTTTTGGTAATGAATACATTGTCATTAAAGAACAAAGTATAGAATAAATCTTTTCATTCATTACTGATGGTCTATCAGTACAATCGAGTCTATTGAACCAATGAACAAGTAATTCATTATCTTGGAAATACTCTTCTTTCTCTATGTCTTTGTTAAAACCAAGTCTCTTTCTTAAAGCTTTCTCTAATAAATAAATTGATTGATTTCGTAGCTACAATACAATGAACGATTAGTAACTATGAATGATCTAGAGAGGCAATTCCGGCATCGTGATAGATAGATATTTTACAGTTGGGTATTGACATATGTAGATAAGATAAAGTAGCCATGGTACTAATACTGATGATCTTTGTAAAGTATCAGTATCACGTTGTTCAATGTTGTTGAAGTACTGTCTGTATTGAAGTTTAGCTTTTGATGTTGAAATCTTTTCTTTCTTGTTGATAGGTGTTGGATATAAACCCTTTTTATCCAATTCTCTTGCTTCTCTTTCTATAGATAACTGACATACTATCTCTATAAAATGAAGTGATGGTTGTTGATGATAGTCATCACTTTTATGTGTGTAATGAATTATTTGTTCCATCCCCACGGGTACTCAAATGATATAGTTTTTTAATTTATTTTTTTAAATATACTTTGGGAAAATGAGATATTATATAGAATATAATATCTAATTTATTCTTCTTAATTAGAAAGAATTATTATTTATTTAATTATTTAATTAAGACCATAATTAAAAGTATAAAATTTAAGCAATGATGGTACAATTAAAAGAATAAAAGACAGTTTGATTTTCAGAGGGTCCACCAGCTGCTCCAGAATTTCCAACCATACGAACAGTATCACAGTCCGGTACTGATGCTAAATTACAAGTGATTGGAGAAAATCCACCATTAAAGAAACAAGATGGTCTAATATTTGTTTTAATACCATTTTTAATGAGACCAACTTCACTCCATGCAAATATCATTGGCATATGGCCAATTTTAATTTGTTTTCCTGTTTGTGTACACACTTGAAACACACAAACAGGAAAACAAACAACACTTGAAACTAAAAAGGTTTAAAATTAATAATAAAAAAAAGAGAATTAAATTATAGACAAATGTCAATCAAAGAGATGATGATGACATACTTGAAGCAGCATTACCAATAGTTGTGGCAAATAAAACGATATAAATAGTAACAATAATAATTGATTTGAACATGATTAAAAAAAAAGAGATATAAGTTGATTGAACTGAAATGTTGATTAAACTGTATTTGATTGATTTGTATTTGATTGATGATTTTCAAATGTCAAAGACATCGATCGACCTTTTATAGTTTCTGCAACAATCATTGGTTTACTCTTTTGACAACCGTCATAGATTAAAAAGGAATTGGGGTGAGAGTGAGATAGAGTTGATTAATTAAAAAAGGAAATCTAAATTAAAGGATTGGGGTGCGATGAAGCCACATAGAAACTTTGAGCAACGTTGTCAATCATTTTAGGCTTTTTTTAAAAGTTGAATCTGGATTTTAGATCTTATTGGATGATTGGATTCAATGGATGATCTTCCAGTATGATAGAGATATAGTATCACTTGTCGATTTAAAAATGCTATAGGTGATTTGGTTCTTCACATCTAGTGTTGATTCAGTTGGCACAAGGCACTTTAGGTACCATGGGATTCAAAGAAACCAAGAAAGGAAGGTATTTAATGAATGGGTCCTAATATTTACTCACTTTAGTGTAACATTGACAGTGGAGTGAACAAATAAACAAAAATACTGTACAGTACTTTTTCCAAAAAATGAACCTCTTTAAATTTTGATCGGCCCACAATTGAAAATTGATGTAACTTTTTTTTTTGATTCTAATAAATAAACAGATTTATTTTATTTATTTTTTTATTTGTGATTGATTTGGATTTTAATTTTAAGCAACGACGGTACAATTAAAAGAATAAAGCATTTGAAGATTAGTAGCACCGATACCAGCAGAACCATAGAGACGAATAGTATCACAATCTGGAACAGATGGCAAGTTGCAAATTAATGGTGACCATCCATACATGGCCTTGCAATATGACTTGATGTTGGTAACTACTCCATCGTTGATAAGTTGATTGTCAAACCAAATCATTGTCATTGGTGAATAGTTGATAGTTAATTTCTTGCCTTCTTGAACAACACTGGTAACTATTGAAAAGGAAGAAGAAAAGAATAAGAAGAAAAAATAATATTAATTGATTTTAGAAACGAAATCTATCTATGATCAGGTATAAACACATACTAGCAGCATTGGAAACAACGGCAGCACAAAGAATAATGGCAAAAACAGCAAATATATTTGATGGTTTGAACATTTTGGAAGATTTGATAGTTTTGGATTTGAGAATGATTAAAGTTGATTGATTGATTGGTTGATTTGATGATTTAAAATGATTGGAACTATCATTCTTTTATATTTTTTGTGTTGGGACCAATCGTCGACGAATTAATAGTGATGATAAATTACATCTCAAAGATTGAAATATGTTAAGTTCGACCTTGAAATATGTGAAGTTCGAACATGTGTCTATCAAGACAAAAGAAAAAAAAAATAAAAACAAAGAAATGAAACCTTTTTTTTTTTTTTATGAAGACAGAGACAGGCAATGCCAATGTCATTAATAAGTCGACAAACTAGTAATAGAAAGATAGATAGTTAAAAGGAAGTGCTCCTAATACTATTAGATTACTATTTTAAACAACAAACAACTAACAACTTCACAAGTTAATAGATTAGATGTGATAGAGAGAGAGAGAGACCAATCAACATAATGAGTTCATCAATAGCATCGACAGCAGCAACAACACTGACAAGACACAGTGGTGTACAGAAACAAGTATTATCACTATACCGTAACTTTATCAGACAATCTAAACACAACTCTGAAGTAGTTTCTCAAGAATCTTCTGTATCATCACCATCAGACAACCAAATCACAAACTATATCAAAGATCAATTTAGAACAAAATCAAAGTCAATATCAAAGAGAGACATTACAAAGATTGAAGCATTGATATCAAGAGGCAAGAGACAATTAGAAACATTAAAGAATACAAGTGGATTTAGTGTAGTTTCAACAACAACATCGACATCTCGATCAGCATCTACAACATCCAACTAATCATAACGACTATGTTTGTTTAAAGAAGATAACAACAGGATAACAACAATAATAAATAAACAAACTGATATTGTTTGATCATCCATTCATTGTAATGATCAATCATTTAAAATGACTTCGGATTGAGTCTATATATCTGATTAAATCAGGGGATCGATTTTCTCATAATTCTTGGTGGGGATGGTTTGAAAACAAACTTGCCTTTTCTTTTTCATTCTAATCGAGCGGTTAGAACATACATACATACAGATATATTCATTATCATATCCATTATTTATTTATATATTTATATATTATACAACATATACATACGTCAAAAGAAGGGATTGAATCTGTGAATGAATTTCAATATATTTAACAGCAACAACTATAATAATAACAAACTTGAAAAGAATATTAACAACAACAATGAAAACATTGTAAACAACAACAAATATCATAAACATGCTTATAACGATGATGAAGATGATGAAGAAGAAGAAGAATTGATGTGCGGTTGTTGGGGATTCAATAATCTACCAGATGAATTGGTACATATGGTATTTTCACATCTTACATCATTCAATCTAGTGTCATTGTCATTTGTTTGTAAACGATTAAACAGACTGTCAAATGATGGTATACTGTGGAAACAACTGTATCTACAATTCAAGACACTTCATCAATCAAAAGATTTCAACAAACCAACCTACTCTGAATATCTTAATAATGAACCGCCTTCACTTTACAACAACAACAACAATGGTAACAACAAACAACCAATACAAACTACACCAAATTATAAAAGATTATATAAAGAAAGATTAGATATTATGGCTGTATGTAATTAATTAGATTATTGAATAGAATACTGTTAATTAATTATTTGATTTATTTTGACTTTAGCCAATAAGATGGGAAGAATTCTATAATATCTATTATATAGCAGTATTGGTAAAGAATAAGGTTACAAGAACTAAATTATTTAAAATGTTCTTTAACAATCAATTGGTGGTTTGGTATGGTGCCATCTATGACATTTCAATTGACATGGATACCGGTATCACCAATTTAATCATTTCAATGCCATATTTAATCGATACCAATACTTCTTCTTCTTCTTCTTCTTCATCATCAACACCTACCAATTCATTATCAATTATTGATAGTGATGGTAATTTTATTCAACAACCTCCAGAAAGTTTACTAGTACAACATTTAAAAACAACAGATATACTCATGCCACAAATATTATTAAAATTACCCAAATCCTATACAAGAATGACTGATACACTTGACATTAGAAAAGATAGAATCATTAAATTCTTTGCTACTTTGGAATCTGGTTCGAAAGTGGCTATACCAAACCCAACTGATTTTATTTATAAATATAATAATAATAGAAGTAATAATCCGACAACTACAACGACAACGACAAATCATCAAAAGGAAAATAATCAAATACAACCAAATATTGGTACTAATACTAGTAATGGTTATTCATCATTTATTTCAAATATTCCAACTATTATTCCAACGATTATTAATTACTTGTATAATACATGTATTAATACAATTAATTATTTTTGGTCATGGAATAACAATAATAGCAATAATAATAGTGAAACCAATCTTTTGGTTGATGATATAAACTCGAATAATAATAATAATGATTTATCTAGAAATAATAATCCACACGATACTGTAAATAATGACATTAATAATAATAATAATAATAATTTAAAACCCGAACCAATTCAATTGAATACCAAAGAACATTTACATACATTATATTGTTTTGATTTACAATTAATGGAATAAATAGATATATAGAAATATAGAAATATAGATTATACTTTTTGGCAATTTCAAAAAATATATTTGAAGAATTGCAATCGGTTTTGTTTATTAATAGTATCAATTGGAGTTAGTTTAGAGTTGGAGTGGAGGGATTATTTTTAAATTGATTTGTGGTTATACGGTGGGAGGGGAATATGTGGTATGACAACTCTTTTTTTTCTAGAACAATAATAATATTATTATTCAAAAAAAAGAAAATAAATAAATTATTAAATAAATATTATATTTTGTTTTGGATGGGTGAGGAGGATGTATGTTTGGATGTTTGTATATATATTGATTATTTTACAATGAATAATATGAGATGTATTTGGTGAGTTTGGTTAATTTGCTTGCCATGTTAATGGCAAATAAGGTACAATTAATTCAAGGTGAGATTTTATCTTCTCCTTAATTTCATGTGAAGTATTGAATAAATTTTCTTCTAAAATCTAAAAAATAACAAAAATAACAAATACAATATTAATATTAATTGTTGAAAAGAAAGAAATCTTTTACTTTTAGACTAACATACCAATTGATCTTTAATTCTTTTATATAAATCTAAAGCAGTTGCAGGACTTTTTCCTTTTAATAAAGTTTGAACATCGGCCTCAAGGATAGCTTTACGGTAGAGTATATTTAAATGACGGATTGCTTCCTTTCGCTTATTTTCCAACCAATTTTCAAAATTACTAGATTCTAAAAACTTTTTATACAATTCAATTTCTTTAGTCTTGCTATCGATTACATAGGTTTCATCATCACCTTCCAATTTGTTTAAAAATTCTTCTTGATCAAAATCTTTTAATCTTGGTGGTCTTTGAAATACTGATATAGTCCTAAAATAAATAAAATATTAATATTAATTAATTTTGTTTAGAGTTTGTTGGTTTGTTGGTTATAATTACTTTGCAAGTGGTAATAAAGAAGCAAAATATCTTTCCAATGGGATTAGGAAATTTAAAGTTAATTGAAGAAAATGTTTACGAAGAGATTCATTGTTGTTGTTGTTTTCCAAATCTCCTGATGATATTTTCTTGAGGATTGTTTTGTCGGGTGATGTCAATGGTTTGTACTCTGAAACGACACGTTCTTTGGCATCAGAGTCTCTGGAAAAGGAGAGTGTCTTTTTCATACTACTTGCGCTACTCTCTACACTCTTTCCAAATCGTTGTGTCGGTCCGATAATAACTGTAGTTGGCCAATGTCCAAGTGCCTTTAAAAAGAATGGATTGGTCACTCCCAATATAGTCGATGGTGTTCCATTTATATTATTATGTAATTCTGCACAATCCACTTCTTCAGATGATGATGAAGTTGTATTATTATTATTATTACTACTTGAATGTTTATGAAAAGTACTATTGGTTGCTGTGAATTTTTGGAAATCGGGATCGTGGATGGTGAAATAGGGACGATAATCACCAGTATAGTTGAGAGGAGATATGAGTGAGATGAGCGCCAACACACAATCCGAAGAGATGGGAGGTGACGGTGACATGACAATGATGGGGTGATTGAGCAACACCATCTCCCAAAGCATCCATAATTTAGTTGATAGATTTTTAAAGCAGCAGTACAAGTCAATTGACTTGAGGTTGGATACTGATACGAGTGGTGGAGATAGACCAGTGCTAGCATTACCATTACCACCACCACCAGCTCCACCACTACCCATTACACTACTTTGAAAGTTTGTATTATTACTATACTTTAGAATAGGATCGATAATATGAGGTGCACCAATAGTATAGGGAACATGGAATGTAAAGATACTACCGAGTATTGGGAGTTCGTATGATTGACCCAATTTCAGTTCTGGCCAATTTGACATGTTTTGAAACGCCACCTCCAACAGAGTCTCACCAAATTGAAAGTAGAGTGGTCCAACCACTTCAATCACCTTTTTGTACAATCCAACAAATGGTTCATCGCTCAACAATACCACTGACCTCTGCAAATAGCCACGTTCAATACGATCATTTTTCTCTTGTCTAAAGAAAACATAACCATATTGATAGTCGTATAGTCTTGTCTCTTGATTCCAATATTTTAATTTAAAACAATATATTATATCACCTTGTAAATGTGAATTTGAATCAGGAAATGATAAAAAACATCTAAACCAATCAAAAGTAAACAAAGTTAATAAATTATTAATCTAGATATTATTTGATTCATCATCTTACAAATTAACAATTTCCTCTTCTTTTAAATTTAATTTTGGTGGAAAACTATAATCTAAAGCTATTTTTAGAATAAAATTGAAATGAAAAAGTATATAAGTATGAATATTGTGTATATCTCTGATATGATTATTTTTACATACTTTGACCAATTTCAAGATCAAAGTTTACTATACAAAAAGCATTCATCCATTTCTTTTTAGTGATTAATGAACGATCATTGATTTCAATTGTTTTGATATTATCATTCATGCCAACGTGTATACTTGGATGATGCAAGTGAATAGTTGCAATAGACTCTAATTTTCTTTCCTCTTCTGCGAATATCTTGGCATGATTGACTTGAGTAGACCTTTTCTGTTCCTCTACCTCTTTTTCTTTTTCAAGTATCTTGTTTTGTTTCTCTTCTTCTTCTGCTGCCAATATTGATAGAGGATCCATCATCATCATTATTAATGACTAACTAACTACTAACTACTAACTACTATATCGCTGATCTGACCTACAATCCTATGAATGATGTACTCTTGTATCTATCTATATTCTATTGTTGCAAGATGATAATGATTATAAATCGTAAATAAATAGACTTTGAATGTATGAATGAATGATTGGGAGAATAAATAATTGATTGATGAGAGTGAGTGAGTGAAAGATTGGTTGGTTGGTGCTTGTGTCTGTCTGTGTTTGTGTTTGTTTGTTGTTTGTTTGGTTGAAAACGAATAAAAACTGATGCTTTGTTAGTTTGTTTGGCTTGCTGCGTGTTGGTGAATTCCGATGTTTTTTTTTTTGTTCTTCTATGAATTTTGGTTGTTGATTAATTAATTTAGAGAGAGTAAAATTGGAACATGTAGAATATATAAATAAACACTTATTTTCCTATTGTCTCTCTCTCTCTCTCTAATAAAAACTAATTACACTAAAGTTTTTAGTTAAACAGTTCTCTAACTAACCCTACAACACTAATGTTTAAAAAAACAAAGAATAATAATTTTGTTTTGTTGTACCCAAACACAACAACAATCCAGAGAGGGTGTGGTTGTTTTGTTTTGTTTTAAACACACACCCATTCAATCTCCGATACAGTATTTCAAGATTAAAGGGTTGGATTATAATTATAATTACATGTTTTAATTCTATTTACAAATCTGTCTGTCATCTTCTTTTTATTATTAGTTCATTAGTTGGTTTGATAGTTTAGTTTAGCTAAGTTGTAAAATTAAATGAATCGATGCCATTAAGATCACCACATGCAATAAATGGTACTATAAATTCATTGACTTGTGATAATGATTGTTTAGATAATTCTAAAAAAGTAAAGTATAAGTAAAGAAGAATGAGATGTTATTTATATATTTATATATTACATACCTTTATAACTATCAATGACAGGATCAATCATTGTTGGTTTAAAATCAGTTGGAGGATAGTAATGTTGACAAAGGACAAATGCTTCGAGTGAAGAGTTACGACTACTCTTTGGTTTGACAAATTGAACACTACGGAAAAAGACTCGTAGTTGATTGTACATGAGTGTCATATCATTACCTTTAAACATCTTGGCAACAAAGCAACCACCAGGTCGGAGGATATGAGTTGTGATATTTAGTGCTGCCAAGATGAGTTGACTCTGACCATAGAAATCGATATCGTGTAGACCTGTGACATCGGGTGCACCATCAGACACTACAAGATCTGCTTGTTTACCGTCAAATTGGTTGGTGATCTCTAGTGCTGTCTCTAGTTTAGTGATATCACCTCTTATTTGAACTACTCCTTTGAGAGGTGCCATCTCTTGAATGTCTACTGCTACAATCTTGACATCTGGGTCACTACCATCACCGTATATCTTTCTACTGAGTGCTTGACTCCATGATCCAGGTGCTGCACACAAATCAACCACTCTTTTAACACCTTCAAATATATTATAGTCGTCGTCAATCTGAAGCAATTTGAATGCTGATCTTGCTCTATATCCTTCTTCTTTTGCTTTACGATAATATATATCTCTTTTATCTTTTGATGATTTTCCCATCTTGAAATACTTCTAATAATATATAAATATAATATATAATAAATAATATTTGTATTTTTTGAAAGGTCGCAGATTTGAATGATGAAAAACGAACGAGAATTATATTTTTTTTAATATTTATTCTTTTTGCACAGACACAAAGTAGAGATATATACTTTGTTATCTATTTATTTATTAAAAGAGATATATATATATATTTATATATAGAGGATGGAACCACCAATCAATCCATCAACATTAACAGCAGATGAAGATGAAAGTATCTATGGAGATGATATGATTGAAGAGATTGAAGACGATGATGAAGAGATGTTTGAAGACGATGACGATGAAGAGTTTGCTATTGAAGAAGGATACGTTCCTCATCCATATGGTGTTAAACCACAAGGAAACTATTATTTCGATTCTTTTAAAGATGATTTTGTATGTAACATAGACAAAGATATATATGTATATGAGAAGTAGGTCATTTAGGATGATTTGTATTAATACTTTTTGTTTTGTTGTTTGTTTACATAGACAAATACAAGATATAATGGATTAGGATTATTTAGTGGATTTGAAGATCATATGATATTAGATTGGATGGATTTATTGACACCAAAAGAATTGTCTGTGATGGCACAGGTTAGCAAAGCATTCTATCTTTTTGTACAGGAAGAAGAGCAATGGAAGTTGTTGACTATTCGTGACTTTGCTAAAACATTTAAATATAGTCATTCTTGGCAATACACTTATAAATGTGCTGCTACTGCTGGTAATGTAGATGGAAAGACAATTGTCGTGCCAAGTCCACTTAAAGTAGAGTATTTCTACTCTGACTATTTATTCCATATTTGGCGTTGTTCATCGATTGATGTAGAGCGTTGGGTTGAAGGAGAAACCATTGACCGTCGTTCCAATATGACTATCGGCCAATTTAGACAAGAATATCTTATTCCAAACAAACCGGTGATTCTTACCGACGCTATGGACGCTTGGAAGGCAAAGGAATGGACACGAGAGTCATTGGCCGAGTTTAGCGGTGACACACCATTCTATATCAACTCGGGTGTGTTTATGACAATGAAAGAGTACTTTGCATACGCTGCACAGACTACTGAAGAGAATCCAATGTATCTATTCGACCATTACTATGGAGAGAATAGACCAGAGATGTTGGACATGTACTCTCAGGAAAAGTACTTTGACGAGGACTTTTTCAATGTGCTTGGTGATAAGCGTCCGAGTTATCGTTGGTTGTTGGCCGGTCCCAAGCGATCAGGTGCCACCTTTCACAAGGACCCCAATCACACGAGTGCGTGGAATGGTGTCATCACGGGCCGCAAAAAGTGGGTCATGTATCCACCCCATGTCGTGCCACCCGGCGTACACCCCTCTGACGACGGTCTAGAGGTCACCACCCCTCACTCGATTGTCGAGTGGTTCATCAACTATTACGACACTGACGTTAAAAGCGTGTTGAATCAAGATAAAAAGGATCGTCGTCAACAACAACAACAACAACTTCTAAGTATCAACGGTCCAAACAAAAAGGTTGAAAGATTAAACAAAAACTCTAAAAAGAATAGAATTGGAGGTGGCAGTAATAGAGTTGGTCCTCAACAAAAATCAAAACAACAACAACAAACAGAGTCAACGACAACAATAGATGGATCAGATTATAAACCATTAGAGTGTATATTAAATCCAGGTGAATTAATATTTGTACCATGTGGATGGTGGCATTGTGTATTAAACATGGAGGAATCGATTGCCATTACACACAACTTTATCAATTCAAACAATATTCTCAAGGTCATTGACTTTATGGCCACTAAAAAGAGCAAGGATCTTCACAACACATTTATTCAAAAGTTTGAAGATGCTCATCCTGGCAAATTACAACAAATTAAAAATGAACAAATAGAAAGAGAATTGAAAAAGAAAAAGGTTTCAATTTGGGATAAAATTGATCCAAATAATAATAATGATATTGAAAAGGAATCAAAAATTGAAAATAATAATAATAATAATAATAATAGTAATAGTGATACTACAACTACACCAACACCAAAGAAAACAGGTGGATTTTCATTTAATTTCTCTATTTCAAGTGATTAGGTTGAATAATATTTTTCCATGGAATTAATAAATAAATAAATAGTATTAGTATTAGTATTAGTATTAAATATTTAATATATAAATACTTTAAGCTTTTTATTTATTAATTAAAGACATTTATCTCTTCATCGATAACATCATAGCCATTATCCAAAACAGCACCATCATTACTACGGTCATCTATATAGATATCTGCAGTGATGCCTGCTTTCTTGGCCGCGCTTCTTGTAAAGGGTTTAGATCCGGTTTGAGTATGAGGGGCTAAAGTTTGAGTGGTATCTTTTTTTGTAATCGTTTTAGGTTTTTTTGTAGATTTAGGATTAGGGGTAGGAATTCCACTATCTTTTTTGCGTTTAGAACCGACTTTGGGGGTTTTTTTTTCAGCCAGTGGGTACATCAGAGATGGCAATGATCTTTCTGCGGTATTGATCCTATTAACGAAAACTGGTAGTGTTTCTGGTAAAACATCTTGAATTTCATTGGTATCAGGAAGCAAGAGATTTCCTTCTAAATCGAAAATATAACTATTCGATACATCCACCCTTTCCATCATCAGATAAAGCTTATCTGCCAGTGCTTGGCTATCAAAACAGATCTAAAAAAAATATAAAATGAATAAATAAATAAATAAATAAATAAATAGATCGATATATGTTTATCTTTTATATATATTACATACATAAATTCCAGCATAAAGAGTATGAACCAAATTTCTATTTGCATCACCAATACAAACGCGTCCATTTGATTGTGAGAACGATAACTTCTCGTGTCTGTGTTGACGAATTTCACCATCATACTCCCAACCTCTGAGGCTAAAGATTCCCCAATTCCTATCAGACATATAAATAGATGGAACATCAACACGACGAGGTTGTGACTATAGTGTAATATAGAAAATAGAAAAAAAATATTAATAATGAAGACAACCTAATCAATAATCGTGCATTGGTATTACATACATAGGTTGAGACATAGTAAATACCAGGATTGTTCATTGCAATGTATGTGAATGGATCTATTCCAAGTTCAACAACTGATAACATCTCCCCAAAATCCTTTCTAATATCGCTGTCAAGCATAGCAGCCCTGTGAGTATCCAAGCCTGGGTTAAAAAGTTCGCCTGGTTTTGCCCTAATATCTATGTATATATAGGAAATTAAATTAGGTCAGTAGACTGATTCAAGTTTCAAAAGAAAAATAATACTTACCAAAACCATAAATAGTCATTCCGGGGGCTAGTATCATGGTAGAAATACATGTATTTGGGGGGAAATTAGCCAACACTGGATTACGAATAAAAGTGGCTTGTCTTTCCCTTTGGGTTGCTCCTTGTTCAATGTCTAGTGCAACAACATCATCATCACCATCACCATCAATGTCGACATTACCTCCCACAAATTCCGCGTAATAACCTGTGCATTGGGTATTTCGAACATTTTTCTGATTCTCCTCTCCAGCTGCTGCCGCAATTCTAGCTTGAATATTGTATTGGTGACCAGGTAGAAGAGTGTTCCCTGCTTCGTCGATAAAGTTTGTTCTAGTTAGTCTTGGATTTCCCCTCCCAATTATAGTCATTAGTTCTTGAAATTGAGCTGATATAACGTTTGAATAGAATAATAAGTAGGTTAATAATGGTTTTTGAAGAAATTCAATTGGTAGTGAAACATACTAGATTGAAAATTTGTACAAAAACTGTGATGTGACATGACAAATTTGCCATCGGAACCACCGACTGGCGTTGGGTGAGGGTTTCCTGGATTTTGACCGAAAAGTGCATACTCTTCAAACCATTGAATACCTGTTCCAACCGGTGTAGCAGGAATGTTGAGTGAATGGTCGATAATATATCCATTTCCAGTCTGAGTGTCTACAGATATTAGATACTAGGAATAGAATAGAATAGAATAGAATAAATAAATAAAAGAATGAATATTATTTCAATATTAATACATACCTTTGCATGTGCGTGTCTAAAGCCTGTGGTTTCCTCTTGGTCATTAATATCATCGTGGTCACTATCTTCGGCGGTTTGAGTTGGTCCACCTCTACCCAATATATCATGGTACCATGCTTGTGCTTCTATGCGTACATTGTTTTGGCAAGCTTGCTCGTCGGTATTAATCAATCCATCAGCATTTGTTTGTTGATTGCCTCCCGTGACGCACTGCTCATAGACATCTTCATTGTTTGCGTATGCTCTATTTATATGTCTCTCCCAAAATATTTTGATACTGAGTTGGGGACTTGGTGTAACGGGTACATCCTATACAATAGAAATGAAATGAAATCAAATTAGGTAAATGATAAATTTGTTATAATCCTCATCTCTCTCTCTCTATACATACATGAAGTGTACCAAAAGAATCCATATAAATGAATCCTCCACCATTTGTGTTATCATCTGATTGCTTTGAAAATAGGAACCACCACTGAGGTGTCGTGACAGCGTTGGTTGTCAGGTCTGCTGGTAGACCAAGACATTGTGGAGTTGTTGAAAAAACTGCATTGACGACCTGGGTGCAAAAACATATCAAGCAAATAATTAGGATTACTTGAGGCATGTATATGTAGGTGTAAATATATTTGTTTGTTTTTTAGCACATATGAATATTCAAAGGCCATGCGCACTAAACACGTGATAGGTTTTTTAAAGAACGAGTAAAAACGAAAAAAAATCCTAGGATTTGTTTAATTAATTTTGATCGATTAAATTTGAATATTATATAATCAATAAATAATAAAATTAATTAAATATATGGTTATTAATATGGTTATAAACTATGTTTATTTTAGAATTGATTTTAAGCAACAACAGTACAATTAAAAGAATAAAGCATTTGAAGATTAATGGTACCGATACCTGGGGTGCCATAGAGACGAATAGTATCACAATCTGGAACGGTTGGCAAGTTGCAAACTAATGGTGACCATCCATACATGGCCTTGCAGTATGGTTTGATGTTGGTAACTACTCCATCGTTGATAAGTTGATTATCAAACCAAAGCATTGTCATTGGTGAATAGTTGATTGTAAGTTTCTTGCCGTCTTGAACTACACTATCAACTATTGAGTGAAAAGAGAGAGATACGAAAAGAATAAAATTAATTAATAATTGATTTAAATTAATCTAGATATAAACACATACTAGCAGCATTGGCAACAACGGCAGCACAAAGAATAATGGCAAACACAGCAAAGATGGTTGATGATTTGTACATTTTGGATAAAGTTTGGAGTTTGATAGTTTTAGATTGGATTAGAGAGAATGATTAAAATCGATTGATTGGTTGATTGATTTGATGATTTAAAATGATTGGAACTATCATTCTTTTATATTTTTTGTGTTTGGACCAATCGTTGACGAATTAATTATGATGATTTCTAACCTATAGGGTTTGAGAATATCATTTTGAAGAGTGTTGTGTCGACAATCACTAATAAATGATCGATCATCCTATCCATGTGCTACAAATCTTTTTCTTTCACCACATCAAATCTATTTTTTTTTTTTGAAAGCGTCACACTTGACAGAGCAAATTAATAGATCAGATTTCTTCAAGATCATTCTCGTTATGTATTTTGTTTAATGATAATTTTGATTTTGATCTGATACTTGCTTGGCCAACTACTAATGTATAATAATATACATACCTATTGTTCATAGAGCACCATCATCATCACCAGGCCAAGCAGAGGTAATTTACATAAACACAGATAGGTATCAGAGGAGTTGATATAATTTGCCTCTGCTTGGCCTCGATCAATCTTGACTTGAGCAATGACTTTATGGTACAAAGGGTTATGTCTGGTATCGCTCACCAACGCCCTTCCAAACCCAAATACAACAATATGTGGTGCCCATTACAAGTATTTGACCACATCCGTGATCAACATGCTGACTCAACCCAATTGAGTACTAAGCAATTACTAGCCAAGTCTATTGTGCTCATTAAGCTGTTTTGTCTAACTCGAGCATCGGTCAAAGTTGTCCGTATACCAAATTTCAAAACTATATAATGATTGTAGAATCTGATTTTATCCTCTAAATGTACAACTATATATTCGATATAGAAGAATAGATACTTGATATTAAAGTGTGCTTTTACTGCCTATTATAGTTTTGTTATATATAAACTCAAATACATGTGACTTGATTTATAATTACGTTATGAGAGTCAATTGGCTTACTTTTCCATCGTATTAATCATAAATGGGGTGAGTGATAATAATTATCTGTCGAATCAATCGCCTCCTTTCAAAGCGTGTTATCTCTCTAAAAGTTTGGAGCTTGGTTTCGCTCTCTTTTTTTAAAAAAACACCAACAAACTGATCAAATTAATTGTCCATTTATTCATTCTAGACAGAAACCAACAAATGTATAATAATAGTAATAATGACCACTAGATCAAAGAGTATGTTTATTAGAAAGTACAAAGTTACAAATTGTTGTCAAACATATTCAAAAAACATCGATACTAATCATCATCTGATCATCTTTTCCAAAGAAAATGCTATAGCAGATACCTTATCATCTACTACTGGTACAGTCGTTATGAGAAGATCTAGGAGTGAACCAAATTTAGGTCAGTCGTTTAACATCAATGTTGTTGCTGCTGCTGCTGCTGCTGCTAAACCACCTAAACCTCCAACAAAAAAAGAATTACTACATAAAAAAAAACAAGTAGAGGAAGAAGATATTGATGATATTGTTGTTGTTATTCCTGCTATTTCAACTGACATCAAGCCAAAACCACCACCAAAGGTATCATCATCTTCATCTACTACTAATGTTGGAGATACGATCCTTGAAACGAAACCAATAAAACCATCATCATCAACATCACCATCACCATCATCTGATATCAACAAGTCAAATGATACCAAACCTAAAGCACCACCAACAAAGAAACAATCTGGACAACTAACAACAACAGTATCAACTTCTACTATCAGTAGTAGTACTACTAGTTCAACTTCAACTGTTAAACATGTTGTATCAACAACATCACCAAAAAAGAAAAAGAATAATAACAACACTAAAAAGGTTAAATTAGAGGTGACTAGTGATAATGGTAGCGACTGTAGTGATGATGACGAGGTATTCACAGATACTGAAGAAGAAGAAGAAGTTGAACCTGTTCAAGTACAACTTGCCACCAAACCAAAGGCACCACCAAAGAAAAAGTTGTCATTAGACTCTGCAATATCTCAAATCAAACAAGAGGTGGATCAACAATTACAACAGGTTACAAGTAGTAGTAGTGCAGGTAACACTACAAATAGATCAAAATTAACTAGATCTGCTTCAACTATTGGCACTTCAACCAATGGTACTGTAAAAAAAGAAAAAGAAGAAGCTGTAACATCATCAGTGGAAACCAAGCCAAAGAAACCAGCACCAAAAAGAAAGAGTAAAGAATCAAACTTGGATGGTAATAATAGTGATGCTTTGGATGAAAAGGAAACAACAAAAAAGACAACATTAAAGAAATCAAAATCAACAAAATTGACTAGTAGTAGTATGGTGGTTGGAGAACAAGATACTTCTTCAAAGGAATCAGGGTCTAGGAAAAAATCAGGATCTATTGGTAAAAAAGATAGTGTTTATTTAAATGGTGCAACTGTATCGACTCAGTCATCATCATCTTCTTCTTCAACTGTGTCGTCACAGTCTGGTATAGTCAAAGAATCATCAAAGATATTGGAAGAGTGTAACAAGATTATTAAATCATTGCATCCTTCTTACAATGGCCCTACAACGGTGATGAACACATTGGTGCAACTCGCAACACTACTTAGTAAAGAGTCTGGACAAATGTCATTGATTCTTAGATCACATAATCTCATGCTACCATTAAATGATAATTTACAAAGGTTGGCAAATATTTGTTTGTCAACTTCTGAGAATAATAATAATAATAACAATAATAATCATATACCATCCACACCACCAACATCTGCAAGTAGTAGTAATACACCAACTTCTTCATTGTCACCAGCTGCCAGTATACTTTTAAACTCTTTTTCTCCATCAACTTCTTCATTTGGTGGTCTAAAACGCTCAGTTGGTACACTTGAAGGAGAAGATCTTTTGAAACAGTTTTTAGCTGCTACCACCTCATCCACTTCAAACAATTTATTTGCAGACGACTCTATACTAAATGATAGTATTATGATGGATAGATTCGATAATCTAACAACAACCACAACAACTACCACCACCACATCTACAACATCCACTTCTTCTCCGAGCAATACTTTACCAATCGACAATGATTTTGAAGATAAACCAACAACAACAAAGAAGCGATCATCATCTTCATCATCATCATCAACGACAACTCAATCACCTTTAAAATTGAAAAAATCAACAAGTAGTCTAAACCATCATGGATTAGAATCTATAGGAAATGAATGTACATTTACAATTCCAGAGAAAAAGGTTAGTTTTAAAAAAAGTAATTTTAATTAATTATTATTTTTATTTACATTTATTTTATTTTTAGGGAATTATTTTATCAATTTGTTTTATTTATTATTTATTATCAAATCAAAATTCCAATATTGATCAATTTAATAGAGAAGTAATAGAATTTATTGTTAACCAGGCAACAACCATTCCAGACAATTATCAAACGGAATATTTTTCTTCTCCATCAAAATTACCCAAATCACCAAAAACATCTACCTCTCGTAAACCAACAATGATTGTATGTAACAACTTATTAAACCAAATATTTGGTTCTACAACCATCAAGATTTATACTTACTTTTTTAATTTTTTTAGACATTATCAATTAATAATTTATTTCAACAAATTGTACCAGATACAGGTAGAATATCATCAACAGCTTCATCGTTGTCATTGAATGTGTTATGTAATCTCGTAATACAATCATCACAAATGAACAATACCACTATTAAATCAAAGTATCGAGAATATAAAGTGATTGATAATCTAATTAATCTACTTTCAAAATATACTCTTTATCTAAATCCTTTAATTGAAGTATGTAAATTTAAATAGAAAAGAAGATATATAGTAATGGAATATTAATACATTGTTTTAGAGTACAACAATATCACCAAAATTAATAGGAAATATTGAAAAGGTTACTAAAATATTGGATGAATGTGTCATTCAAGATAAATTAAATAGAGATATTATTGTTAATGATAGAAATCTCACAATTCTAATCACTTTATTATCTTTTATTCAAAGTATGTAAACAATACTAAATAATAATCAATTATGTAAATTAATTTATTTTCTTTTTATTTAGATATAATTTTTAAAAATAAGGAAAGATTATCAGGAATTGATATTAAACTTGGTGGAACTGAATCGATTATATCAATATTAAATATATTATTGAATGTTACTCATTCAAATAGAGAAGCGTCATCTATTATTGGTTCAATTCAAACTCCCTATCAATATCAATCAAATGTATTCAAACCAATAGCAACAACAGTATTAAATAATAATAACAGTCTAGTTGATCCAACTGATCAATTAGAACAACATTTAAAACAAACTAAAATGACACCAAGAAAAGTAAAGTATTTGGAGAGTGTCGAGAAATGTTCACAGTTTGGTATACAGACGTTGATTAATCTGTTGCATATTGAAGTACCAGAGAAATATGATATTGGACAATTATCGATATCATTGTTGGTTAATCTTGTGGAAAGCGACCCCGAGAATAGAACACGATTCAGATCAACACGTGGAGCAATCGATGCTATCCTCAGACAATACCTATATCGTACGTCTGATCGTATTCTGACACGTTTCACATCGAAAACACAGGAAAAGGTTGCATCATCCTACCTGGTCATTCTTATTGGTTTCTTGATCAAAGAGAATTTAGAGAATCGTCAAATCGTAGTAAACCAACTCAACGGCAAACAAACAGTCTTTACAGACATGGTCAAACTACTAAAAGATTTTATTGGCTTCCAAGGTCCTCAACGTATCCTCTCTAAAGATATTTATAGAATATGCGATAATTTAATTTGTAGTGTATTTTTATTACCAATACCAAATAACAAAGAAAAGGAAAAGGAAAAGGAAAAGGAAGAAGAATACAAACAACTGATTAAAAAGGAAAAACAAGATTATATTCAATTCAAATCAGAGTTTGAATCAAAATATCATTATAGATCTGGTGATACTAAAGATGATGAAAGTGATAATGAACAAGATGAAAGTGATGATGATGACGAAAAATAATAATAATCAACTAATAATAATAACAACGTGACCTTAATCGAAAAATCGTTGTTACAACTTTTAATAATAATAAACATAATTAATAATAATAATATTAAACAACTATTAATAATAACAATGATTGTCAAAATTAGATTCTACTATAAAGGAAGATCGCGATATTACCACAAGTCGAGTGGTTAAAATCTCCAACTTGGGAGAAATAGTTTTCCATTTTAGAATCATTAAAACAGAGATCACATGTTTATTCAAACTAGTTTAAAGGTTGACATCACAACGATGGAACCAGACCGAACCAAACTAGTCAATACGTAAATGTTAAAGATGACAAAAAGTCAAGATATAAAAGAGGGCCAAAAAAATGATTCATCAAACCATTCACTACTACTATTTACTTTAAATCTAAACAAAAAAAACTAGTTTCAATCCTTATATTAAAAAATGTTTAAATCTTCATCTTTATTTGTACTTGCCATCATTCTTTTGGTTGCCATCTCTTTTTCCAATGCTGAAAGTAAGTCTATCTAAAAAACTAAAATATTTAAAAAGACCCAGCCACTAATCATTATTTGTGTGTTTAATCATTTATTTATTTTTTACTTTACTAGTAACTGGTGTAACTCAAGAAGGAAAGAAATTAACTATTACATTCTTGCCATCAGTCATGCTTTGGTTTGAAAACCACCTTGTTCTCAATGGGTTAAAGACCAACATCAAACCATATTGTGTGGCCAAGTATGGATTCTCACCATTAGTTTGTAATTTGCCAACCGTTCCAGCTTGTGACACTATTCGTCTCTATGGTACCCCAGGTATTGGTACTGTTAATCTTCAAATGCTTTATTCTTTTAATTGTACTGTCGTTGCTTAAAATTAAATTCATGCACAATTATGCATGGATCCCATCTAATATTAAATCATCAATCAAATCATTAAACTTAAAAATAAATAAATAAATATCATCACTTCATTTTTGTTTAAATTAATTTAAAGTTGTAGGTTGAAAGACACCCTCCTCCCTCTCCCTCCCTCCCCCTATCCTAGAGTAGTAATATTTGATAAAAATACAAAACTACTCTATTTTTGATTTCGAGTTTCTATCCATGTGATATTATCTCCCGTTTTGGCAAAAGTGTAATAAACGAAAAGACAACTCTACCCATAAAGAATAAATAGACCATATATTCAATGTCAAAGTCATTTCATTTTAAAATTTATTTATTTCTTTATTTATTTATTTATTAAACATGTTCAAACTATTAACCATTATCGCTGTAATCTTTATGACTTTTACTTTTGCAAGTGCTGGAAGTAAGGAAGGAATATATAGATATATTTATTATTATAATAATATTAACCATCTATCTACCTACCTACCTATGATCTCGTAATATTTAGTTACTAGTGTTGTTCAAACTGGCAAACAAATTGTAGTAACCTATTCTCCAGGTTCCATTTATTGGGTTGAACAATCACTTGTCTTACAAGGAGTCAAGACCAATATCAAGCCATACTGTACCAATGGATTCAACAGTCCAGTCACTTGCACATTGCCATCTGTTCCAGCATGTGATTCTATTCGTTTCATGGGTTTCAGTGGAATTGGAGGTCCAACCTTTGATTTTGGGTTTCCAATTCAATGTACTGTTGTTGCTTAAATTAATTAATTAATTTAATTTCCTAAAATAAAATTATGCCTTACACATATAGATTATTATTCTGTCAATATATATATATATGCCAATTTGGTATTTATCTTGTTTGGTTAGGTCTCGCCACTTTTTTGTTTAAAGTCCACCCCCACGAGATTGAAACCACACCCCTCTAGGAACTATTACGAGTTATTGTTGACACCATATATCTATATATACTATAATCGGTATCGATGATAAATGATGATTACCAAAAGAGAAAATATAAAAGAATGATAGTTCCAATCATTTTAAATCATCAAATCAACCAATCAATCAATCGATTTTAATCATTCTCTCTAACCCCAAACAATCAAATTCAAACTTTATCCAAAATGTTCAAATCATCAACTATGTTTGCTATCTTTGCCATTATTCTTTGTGCTGCCGTTGTTGCCAATGCTGCTAGTATGTGTTTATACCTGATCATAGATAGATTTCATTTCTAAAATCAATAAATTAATTCATATTATTCTTTTTTCTTATCTCTTCTTCTTCCTTTTCAATAGTTACCAGTGTTGTTCAAGAAGGCAAGAAATTAACTATCAACTATTCACCAATGACAATGATTTGGTTTGATAATCAACTTATCAACGATGGAGTAACCTATGATGTCAAGTCATACTGCAAGGCCATGTATGGATGGTCACCATTAGTTTGCAACTTGCCATCTGTTCCAGATTGTGATACTATTCGTCTCTATGGTTCTGCTGGTATTGGTGCTACTAATCTTCAAATGCTTTATTCTTTTAATTGTACCGTCGTTGCTTAAATTAAAAAAATGTACACATCGATCTTTATACACCTCAAAAAAAATTAAATAAAATTATTATTATTGAAGTTCACATTTAATATTTATTATTGAAATTATTTGTGTTGTTCTCGTTTGAAGAGAGAATAATGAAACCCTTTGAAGGGATTTGAGAATTGGTTGTATCTTTATCCTGTTTGTCGCGATGACGCCAACCTGTATAACAACACCAGTTGTTATGAAACAAAGTGTCTCAATTTCGACGAGCTTTCTTGTTTCACACTGGCCCACTAGTCAAAAGTCGAATCTAGTCTTTGATAGACTTTCCAAAGTCAAATCAACTGCAAAGATATTGTAATCATCATGATGATGATTCAAGTACTAAAGTTGTAATCAAATTTTCTAGAATCTTTGCTTGCTGGTAAAAAAGGAAAAGGGAATGATGGGCTCATCATAGTTTAGATATTTTCGTTTCAAACCACGTCTGCCGAACGATCATTATCCCCAAAACGAGGTTCAATCATTATGAAACTCACTCGTTTCAAAATAGAATTTGAATACCAGCATTGCAATTTTAAATTATTTTTATTTTATTTTTATTGTTTTTTTTAGATATCTAGAATGCAATTATTTATAAATAGACATCAATTGTTTGGCATTCATTTATTCAATTCATTCATTCATAGTTGACTCTTATCTTAAGATATCTATAATCTCTCTCTCTCTCTCTCTCTCTCTCTCTCTCTCTCTCTCTTTTAAACATGTTCAAACTTTTAGCCATTATCTCTGTTATCCTTATTGCTTTTACCTTTGCCAACGCTGAAAGTATGGAATACCTAATATCTTCTCTCTCCTAACCCTAACCCATTTTATTCCAATTATTAACTATCTACCTACCTATTTTCGTAAATAAATATTATTTAGTTACAAGTGTTGTTCAAACTGGCAAACAAATTGTAGTAACTTATACCCCAGGTACCATTTCTTGGATTGAACAATCACTTGTCCTCCAAGGAGCCAAGACCAATATAAAGCCATATTGTACCAATAATGGTAGCAGTCCAGTCACTTGCACATTGCCATCTGTTCCAGCATGTGATTCTGTCCGTTTCTTGGGTTTCAGTGGAATTGGCGGTCCAACCTTTGATTTTGTCTTCCCAATTCAATGTACTGTTGTTGCTTAAATTAATTTCCTAAAATAAAATTAAAAAATTGATATATTTATTTCAATATTAGTATATGTCAATTTCGTTATATTGGTGCATTCCTTCTAACGACATACCGAGTAGATGATGATAGTGACACATGTGTAAGACATGTGTAAGACTCTTGGGGGGTGCATTTTAGAGATTTTTGAGCTCCTAATCACAATTTTTATCGGAGGCATCGAAACCACACCACCATCTTTCAACATGATATATCTATATATACTATAATCGGTACCGATGATAAATGAAAGAAAACATATAAAAGAATGATAGTTCCAATCATTTTTAAATCATCAAATCAACCAATCAATCAATCGATTTTAATCATTCTCTTAACCAAACCAATCAAATTCAAACTTTATCCAAAATGTTTAAATCATCAACCATCTTTGCTGTTTTTGCCATTATTCTTTGTGCTGCCGTTGTTGCCAATGCTGCTAGTATGTGTTTATATCTGATCATAGATAGATTTCATTTCTAAAATCAATTAATTAATATTATTCTTTTTTCTTATCTCTTCTTCTTTCTTTTTAGTTACCAGTGTTGTTCAAGAAGGCAAGAAATTAACTATCAATTACTCACCAATGACAATGATTTGGTTTGATAATCAACTTATCAACGATGGAGTAACCTATGATGTCAAGTCATACTGCAAGGCAATGTATGGATGGTCACCATTAGTTTGCAACTTGCCATCTGTTCCAGATTGTGATACTATTCGTCTCTATGGTTCTGCTGGTATCGGTGCTACTAATCTTCAAATGCTTTATTCTTTTAATTGTACTGTCGTTGCTTAAAATTAATAATGTACATCGACAACTCATCATCGATCTTTATACACCTCAAAAAAAATTAAATAAAATTATTATTGAAGCTCGCATCTGCTCTTTCTCTAAGTGTTTTAAAACAAATTAATCAAAGTGTTAACAAACACATACACACAACATGTTCAACAAATAGAATTTTACACCAACAATAACAACCAACCGTACAACTACAGCGCTAATCTTAGTTCCTAATCAGATGATAGGTTATACCCTATCAACTCGTGGGTGGGTGTGGATATCATTATTATTCAAGACAAGTGTACAAACACAGTGATGATCATTATGAGGGTCACGTGTGAGAAGGGTGTTTTATAAACTTAGACCCTTTGGAAGATGTTAACCTCACACAGTAAAGGTGGAAGCAGTAAAAAGGAGTGTAGTGTAGACTCAACCATTAATAATAATAGGTATGTATCAATTAATGTTTGTGTAACACATGCGCCAATGAAAAAAATAAAAGAGTCTTTCTAACAAATGATCATCGTTTATTATAGAGTTGTCTATTCATTCTATCAATCGTTGACGTCACTATCCATTGGTTGAAGTGGTTGTTCATCCGATATCCATCGGGTTGCACACAGAGTTGATCTCTTTTTTTTTTTTTTTCATTGGTCCAAGATATGGCTATGACAGACTGCGGACACCAACCTATAAATACTCGTCGTTCAAAGTTTATTATTCAAATCAACAACAAATACAATAACAACAAACAAATAATAATTAATCAATAATAATGAATTCAATATCAATCATCACTATTTTAATAATTTTAATTAATTCAACAATAATAATTCAAGGTATACCAGATGTATCCAATTCATTCCTTGGAGTTGATGATCCAGGTGTTTCACATTTCCCTTTATATCTTGGATTAAAGATGCATATTCGATGCTACACCAATGTGACACGTGCCAATCAGTATGGACCTATTGCTCTGTTTGATTCTGGCGTTCCATTCTACTCGACTGCTTGGGTATCAATCATTCCGTCGGTCCTCTTAAACATGCCGTCTTGGAATATTAGTAAAGCATGTTTTATCGATCGTTATGGATACGGATGGTCAGATTCTGCTCCATTGCCAGTCACCACTCAAGACTATGTCGGTCGTCTTCGTGAATCACTCTTGGTGGCTGGACTATTTACTGGTAAATACATTCTCGTTGGGTGGTCTTGGGGATCCATCTTTGTTCAAACCTACTCGATGACTTATCCAGATGAAGTTGTGGGTATACTCAGCATCGATGGAACTGATAGTCAATGGGGATTCATCCCATCCAACCAGCAAGTGGTTATCAACTTTACCAACACGGTCGCATACCTTACCAACAGCAACTCTCTCTCCGAGTTTGTAAATGCTGACGAATCATACTCTCGTTCCTATGGATGGTTTCCAAATACACTAAGAGAAGGCCTAGGAGGATTCACCAATTGTTCAATCGATGCATCTCAACAAATCTTTATGACCAACAAATTCCTAAAGACAGCCGTTCAAGAACTCAACATTATGGTCATCTCTTCAGCCATTCTCAACTTTACCTATACTCTCAAAGCATCACCAACACCACTTGGGGATCTTCCCTATGTCAATATCTACAGTTCCTACCACAATGATCCTGATTGGACCAATCGCCAAATCCACATGGCATCACTCTCTTCCAACTCTATCGCCATGCAGTTTTCAACTGGTCATTTCTATACATTTGACAATCCAACTGCTATTGTATCGGCCATCTCTGCTCTTTCCAACAAGATTGCAATCAAATTACAATCAACTGGGTGCTAAAAAAAACTACTTTTAAATAAAATTCACAACCATTTTGTACAATTGATCAATAACTAATAACTATTTTTTTATTCTTAATTTGTTGATTTCCATTTAAATTCAAATGGGGAATTATTAATTTTATCATTAAATAAATAGGAGCATAATTTAATTTAAATTTAAGCAACTACAGTACAATTAAAAGTAGATAACATTTCAAGGTTGGTGGCACCAATACCAGCAGAACCATAGAGACGTATACCATCACATGTTGGGACGATTGGTAAAGTACAAATTAAAGGTGACCATCCATACAATGCCTTGCAGTATGTCTTGATATTAGTTTTTAATCCATTATTAACTAATTGATTATCAAACCAAATCATTGTCATTGGTGAATAATTAATTGTAAGTTTCTTTCCTTCTTGTACTACACTTGTAACTATAAGATTAAAAAAAAGAATATAATTAATAAAATAATAGAATATATTAATAAAATAATAGAATAATAAAATTAATTAATAATTTTAATCAATCAATAATCTAGATATAAACACATACTAGCAGCATTGGAAACAACGGCAGCACAAAGAATAATGGCAAAAACAGCAAACATAGTTGATGATTTAAACATTTTTTTAAATTGTTGGATTTTAATAGTTTTGGGGTTAGAGAGAATAATTAAAATTGATTGATTGATTGGTTGATTTGATTTGATTTGATTTGATGATTTAAAATGAGGAAACATCATTCCTTTTATATCTTTCTTTTTTGATGATAGAGAGTAGAGAATTGGCCTTGGCAGATATTTTAAAAAGAAGTGTAAGAGAGAGAGAGAGATAATATTCTTTTTTGCCTCGATGAGGATTTCTTTTTAGTTGAACCATCAAAGTTGCAAGAAAGGAATTGTTGTCTCTCACTCTTTGTATCTCTTTAAGTATCACCCGTCGATAGTAGACTTTAAGTTGACTCATCTACCCTGATGAAATTCCTTGACACTCTAGAGTTTAATTAAAAAGGAAATATTAATCAATCCCAATGTCATGAAATGTGTTGTTTGGAAACCAGATTATTGTCGACTCGGCACAAAAGTGCCAATCTCTATCGTTTGTGCTTTGCAATTTTGTGGGCAAAGCAAGATATCGATGATATTTTTGTTTGTTGTTGTTTGTTGATTATGATCGTTGGTGAGTACTCTTTGAAGTATTTGAGAATGAATGTTTTTGTGTTTTCTCTCTCTCTCTATTTGAATAAACTACCATTTTTAATCAAAGATTCAAACATGATGATCGTTGATGACAACAAAAGTATCTTTTGATTACCTTTTAGAGACTAACACTCTAATATTTATGCTTGCATGATTCGAAAGTTGGGTGTTAACCTTTTGGTTTGGTGTACATGTTCATCATCTTCTTCTTCACAACATGTTAACAATCACCATTGCCTTCGTGACAGCAAGTAAATGCATAAACTAACGACTTGTAATAATAATAACAATCTTTTTTTAAATTTTTTTTGAATTTTCATTAGCTTTTTTGACCTTTTGGGAAGAAACTGGTGAGTCGATCTCACCTTCACTCGTATTCGTCGTGGTATATGCGCTGCAGAGAAATATCTACGGTCGAGCCCCGACCTTTTTAAAAAGATTACTTCGTGGAAAATAAGGTTTGTGCTTTTAAACTATGTATTTTGAAAACGACACATGAATACAATATCGCAAAACAGTTAATTAGTCATACAATATAATGGGAAATAACATCAATAAAACATGGATCATTGAACAAGACAATATTACGATCAGATACGAGAAGGGGCCACACCCCAACCCGCTCATCACTGTTAACAATGTGATGATACCTTACTTTATAGAGAATGGTCAAAGAAGAATCAATCAAACCTTTGTGTTTATAGTTGACAATCAAACCTACAGGATTACATATTCAAAATCTGTTATGCATATGGTATGTTGGTTGTTAATAATAATAATCATAAGATGATTTGAATGATTAAATAAGTCATACTTACTTAATGTCAATATATAATTAGGGATTCAATCAAAGATTGATAAGAAATAATATAGATGTAGAATCAAGAGAAGAATTTAAAGAGGATAATTTGGCGTTAAGAAGTTGTAAGTTGTTTGGTGTATCAATACTTTGGATGTTGCTTATACCTGCAATCATTCATTTAGTTTTAATTTATACAGTTTCTAATGGTAAGACTGTCGTTATCCCAGCCAACAAACCATTTCCTCCCACTTATATTACCACAGCAGCCACACCAACTACTCCTTTACATGCTACTTATTACCAACCTCCACAACTTATTTATCAAGCACCATATCCACAACAACAACAAAAACAACAACAACCTTATCAATATGAACCTCTCTCACAACAACCACCACCTTACCAATCGTCATCATCATCATATCAACTGTCCCAACCATCATCAAACCACTCAATGGTTATTGATGATTAAAATAAACTAAATCAAATAAAATAGGGTTCCCATTCGAGGAACAATTGTATATCTATCTTTTAAATTCTTATAATTATCATTATTTGATATTTTGGAAAAAATCTTTTGGTAAATATCAAAAATCGAATTTCCATCAAAGATTTATAGAATAGAGTTCTGTCTGTCTTTTTCATTTTCAATCTGCAAACAGATACTATTGTTGTAACTACAAATAAAATAGTCTACAAGAAGAATGACAACCTCAAACTTTTTAAAGATAACACTTTCTTTATTCATAGTTTTACTTTTTAGTTCGTATCTATGTTCTGCTTTTGGTATTGTAACACAAAGAGTATGTCTATCAAACATATGTGACGTCATTCAAAAACTAAATGTTATTAATTTACTTTTTTTATATTTTTAGTATTTTAAAGATGATGATTGTCCAAATGGAGACTATACAACTACAACTTATATAATTGGAACATGTACAAATAATCATCACAGTATCTTTGGATGTGATGTTCAAAATAATACAGTCACCGAGAAATACTTTTTCCAAAACCCTACTACTTGTCAAGGTGGTTATTTTCTATTAAACTATACAATTGGCGAATGTGTTAAAGATGTTCTCTACAATTGTCATACTATCCTTTAAAAATAAATAAAATAATATATAATATATAATATATTATAAATAATCTTTTTTTTTTTTTTTTTTTAAAAGCTAAAAGTACTGGGTTTTGATTTATTAATTTAATTTAATTATGTTTCTTTTCAATCTATTTATTATTATTTTTTATAGCTAGCCAAAAGATTGGTAACCAAAACAAACAATTTTCTTGATACAACTGGCCATCCAACAACGAGGAACAAGACTGAAAAGGCACTGAACCATGACATACGCTTGCTCGAATTGTGTAATTGGTTCAAACGCTCTTCTAGTTCCTTGGCCTTTGCCTCGAGTTGTTTTTGGTGTTCCTTTGATTTGTATTCTTCTTCTTGATGGTTCTTGACCAATTCCTCGAGGTTGGCAACATATGATGATAACTTGATACCGTTGATCATTGCCGAAGAGGTATGTGATAATTGATGGGTATGGTTGTCTGCAGCTGCTGTTGTTGGAGAGGAAGACGACTTGCCATTGACAGATGGTGAAGATGTGGAGGTGGTGGTGGTGTTGGAAGAGGAAGAGGTAGCTCGCGACAATTGGAGTTGTGAAAAGGCTGTTTCCAAGCCAAGTAATCTAGTATGGTTCACCTCGACAATACTCTTCATCGAGTTGAGTTCATTGACCAATTGCACCATATAATTTTTCAAGTCGCCATTGTGTTGGAGTTGATCATTCGAGTCAAAGAACTGGTCTTCTCCACTCTCACCCTCTAACTCGTCTTCATAGTCATATTCGCTTGCTTCATTTAAAAAGTCTTCATTGATGGCTGGTGGATTAGAGAATTCCGACATATTATCATCATCGCTATTATTGTCTTCAGAGTCACTATCTCCCCATCCTCCATTGATGTTATTGTTTCTGTGGTTATGGTTGTGGTTGTGATTGTGAAGATGATTGAGATGATTCTTTAAGTTATTTCCATGATTTTCATCTACAATGTTTATCATTTTCTTTTGAACTGGTGATGGTGATACAACATCAAATCCATCTGGGTCTTGGTTATGATTACCACCACGACGTTTGTTGCTGTGTTTACCATTCATTGTTGGTTGTGGGGTAGCAACAGCGACACCAGAAGCAGCAGCAGCAGAAGAAGAAACCATTGGTGTGGCAACAGTTTGTTGTTGTTGTGGTTGTGGTTGTGGTTGTTTGACTGGGGTTGGAGCAGCACGCTTGAGCTTCTCGCTTTGCTCATACTCTTCGACTTGTTGACCTACTAGACTGAGCCATTGCTTAAACGATGCTTCAGTAGTCTCGTGCACCCAATTCTCCAACACACTCTTAAACATGGTTCCATTATAATTATTCTTTACATCGATGGTCACTCTACATCCAGTAGACTTTGTTGTCGATGGTATAACATTCCATTCCGTCTCTGCTTGAAAACTCTTTCCAATTGATGATCCTTCAAAGAATGTTTCAGACGATACATTTAATATGCTAAAATAAACAAAAAAGAAAACTAAGTAAGTACATTCATCTTTCAATACTATACAATATACTTCTACTTGTACATACCTTTCACCTTGAAATATGTATTTTTGTACTTCTCTAACTTTTGCTTTATCACCAACCAACCTGTTGATGACTGGATTGTTTGATATGAATGAACAGAAACAAACTTCTCTTGTGTATCCTCCTGTTGTCAATGGTGTCCATGGTTTAACTTCAATTGCTGTATCTCCCTATAAATATAATGAATTATAGAATGAAATCAAATCAAATGTTAGCTATAAATACTTCCCCTTTATCTAAAAAAGTCTATTGATAATGATGATCCTTACTCTAGAGGTATGATATCTTTGTTTAAAACCTGAACCTTCAAAAAAGAATGCAAAGAAGGTATCAACCGATATATTAAACTCTTCTTCTAAATGTAAGAGTTTCATTTTTGTTGTTCTTCTTGTTGTTGTTGTTGTTTATCCTTATCTGTCTCTAACAAACTACAAAACTACTATTGATGATGATGATGAACTTTAAAGTTGTTGTTTTACAAGTATATAGTTTCTATTATTCTCTCTACAGTCAATATCTATCTATCTATCTTTGAACAACTACTGTGTCTCTATCTATCTTTGACCGAGTGTTTTCTTTGTAAACCTTTCACTGTGGTCGATTGGTGATGATGTAATTGGTAGTCCCAAAACTGAGTGAATTTTTTTTTTAACTGCAAAAAAATAAGGTTGGTTTTGGGGTGGATTGTTTTAAATTTTATTGACCATGGATATTATGGTTAAATTTATATGTATATATATATAGAATGTTAACTAAATGGTATCAAATCACCAAATAAATTATTATTACTATTATCTTGATTTTCATTGTTGTTGTTATTGTTGTTATTGTTGGTTGACAATGATGAAAGAGGATCGATTGATTTCTCCCAATTTGGAACATAGAAAAATGCAGCACTGTATCTTGATTGTGTTGATGTTGATGGATTATTTACTACTCGATGTAGTGTACTTGGGAATACTCCTTCTGTTAATTTTTCAATAATATCACCTTTATATAAATAAATAAATTAATAAATATATAAACATTTAAATCAAATAAGAATAATTTTAATATTTACCAGTATTAACTAAAAAACAATCATCAATCAGTGGAGCTGGTATCCAAGTATTTGAATCATTGTCATATAATTCTAATCCATCTACTCGTTTGTTTTGTAATAATAATGTTAAGCAACTTAGATCTTTGTGTTCATTCATTCTTATGTATTGTCGTTGTGGTTGTTGCTCTTGTTGAGATAATATTGATTTTAAAGGTGGATAATGTTTTAATTCCAAGGTATGATCATTTTTAGAGAATAAATGGTCAAGATCATTCTTTTTGTATCCTAAAGACATAGATATTAATTGAACGATTGATAATGATATAGATGAACATTGATCAAAATATTTTAAAATAGTTGATTTAAATAATTGATCTCTATTATTCATCAAAGTTGATTGTTGATCATTATCGTTATTATTAATACTATTTTTTGAATGTACTCTTTGAAATCCACTATTATTATTATTATTGATAGTTGAAGATGGCCATTGATTGAATTGACAATCAGAGTATTGTGACCATACCTTTTTAGGTATACCTCTTGCTTGAAAATACTCTGATTTTAATTGACTTGCTCTTTCATTACCAATCAAGAATGCTTCGATACTATCATCATCTTGATTATTATTATTATAATCATCATGATGATTTGATTCACCATAACCAATACCTTCAAACTTGTAATAACCTCTTCTATTATGATAGGATGATGCAATTTGTGATTTCATATCGATTGTAGCTTGTTGAAATAACCATTTCGACTGTTCAACCATTTCATTCCTCATTTCATTGACAAGAGGATGCTTAACATACATAAACCCTGTCTTTCTTGCATCTTTAATCTAAAACATTTGAGTCTATTAAGTTAAGTAGTGTTGTGCGATCATGATCTAATCATACCCACGCCACTTACACTTTGTAGTAATCTTTGATCTCTCTCTTGGTTACTAATACCAGACACTAAATCAATAATAGGTATACATGAAGACAAAGATCTAATGGTGGAGGCGTTGTTGTTGTTGTTGGCTATCGAACAAAAGCTGATAGTAGGTTGCATCGATGTATATATATATAAATAATGTTGTTTAATGTATCTATTATTATCAAAGTGTTCAGGTTATCTCTGCAGAGATATCCTCAACATAATTATCTCTTTGAATTCAAACAAAGAAATGGTAATAGTGTGGAGTGCGCTGCATGTCCTCCACTTGTTATCCCATTTTTTTTTCATCCATTTCTATTTTCTTTCTATTTACATATTAGATCATGATGGTACCCTTGTACAGTGAGAGATTAGTATGAGAGCCAGCAATCAACTCTGAATTGATTCTACTTATACTACTATTATTTATAGAGATATAAATACACTTCTATTATTTTTATTTAAAATCTAACTTTACTTCTATATTATTATTATTTAATGACTCCACAATTCGAGAATGGTACTAGATTTCAACCAGGAGATATCGTCTTTGGCATAAGATACCTATTCGGCTTGCTTGTATATTATCATGCTGGTGTGGTTTTAGAAACTGACAGTCAGGGCAGAATAATTAGAGCAATACATTGGGACCCTGCCTTTGATCAACAGCAGGGAGTGTTGACTATTGACCGATATATCTTTGGTTATGATGCTCCACCTGTAATGTTGGAAACTGTCGAAGCTGTAGAGAGGATTTTTCAACCAGGACACACCAGAATTGGAAAAAGAAGAGGAGGAGACCCTATTGATATTGCCCAACTTTTACTAAGAGCTGAACAAGCCATCATCGATGGCAACAGAACATACATATTGTTTTTTAATAATTGCCAACATTTTGCCCATTATTTGGTTTACCAAGGTATCTATCTATCTATCATACTTTATTCATAATTTAATTTATTAATATTTACTTTATTTTCTTATAGAACACCATTCACCCGATGCAGAAAAGGGTATAGAATCAATTCGGAAAGGGTTTCAAATTGCAACAAGAGTAACTGGCTATGTTCTTGACGATCTTGTTCCTAGTATTAAAGTCCAACCTTTTGGAAATTTCATTGTTCGAGCTTTCATTCTTCTCCTCATAAATCTTATTCTCGTCGATGGTTTTCGTAGCATCATTCGCTGGTGCAGGCCTGTTGGACTTCCTTCTTAAGAATGAACCATTGAATTATAATTCACACAAACCTAGTAGTCTTGGTTCTTGTAAATAAACAAATTATTAATATCCTTTTTTTGTATCAATGTACTACCCGAGTCGTAAGAGTATTTATTTGATGTATCTATCTATCTATCTATCTATATGTTTAAAGAATAAAGAATCTTTTTGTTGATTGGGAATACTCCTTCTGTTAATCTTTCAATAATATCACCTAAATAAATAAATAAATATTTAAATATATAAGCATTATTAATTAATTAAAATATTTACCAGTATTAGAACTAAAAAGCGATCATCAATTAATGGAGCTGGTAATAATAATAATAATAATGTTAAACAACTTAAATCTTTTGTTCATTCATTCTTATGTATTGTTGTTGTGGTTGTTGTTGACTATGATGAGGAGGAGATAATATTGATTTTAAAGGTGGATAATGTTTTAATTCCAAAGTATGATCATTTTTAGAGAATAAATGGTCAAGATCATTCTTTTTGTATCCTAAAGACATAGATATTAATTGAACGATTGATAATGATATTGATGAACATTGATCAAAATATTTTAAAATAGTTGATTTAAATAATTGATCATATCAAGTTGTTGCAAATAACCATTTTGACTGTTCAACCATTTCATTCCTCATTTCTTGTGACAAGGGCATACAAGAGGATGTTTAACATACATAAACCGTGTTTTTCTTGCATCTTTAATCTAAAATATTTTAGTCTATTAATTTAAGTAGTGTTGTGCGATGATCATGATGATTTGATAAATATTATTACTATTTTATTTATTTATTTATTTATTTAAATTTGAGTTTGATTAGATCTATCTATCTACTTTTTGTTAGAGTTATTGGTATTCTTTTTTTGCATTCCATTTAATTCAGTGTATTCTCTGATGGCATGTTCAATGTCTGGTGTTTGTCCCTTTGAATCCTTTTTGTGGAAACATTTGAGAGCTTCCTTGACATCAGCCTTCTTTTGACCAATATCAAGAAGGACTGGTAACAATTTGACAAGAGTGGTATCCTTTTGATTTGGATGGAATCTACCAACATTGATGACATTGTCGTGATCGTATGCTGGTGTACTGTCAAGGAGAATAACCTTGCTTGGATCTCTATTCAACATTTCTACATGCTTTGAATATCTTCCTCTTTCCTTTAATCCACAATCTCCATGTAATTGTCCAGTGAAATATGCATGTTGTGGATCTAATTTAAAGTTGATTTGTTCGGTTTTCTATAGAAGAAATAGAAAGAAAGAGAAATAGAGAGAAAGATTAATATAAAATTTAATATAATATATAGTTTATATTCTATTATTAAACATACAGGTCCTTGCATTTGATTAGTATATAAGATGACTTCATAATGTTGAGCAAGGTTGGTTAAAAAGTAATCGTAACCGGCTCTCTTGTAGATGGCAGGGTATTTATCACGTTGAGAGATTTCAGAGAGAGCATCGATATCAATGACAATGGTGTATTCACGTCCGAGACCCTTTGGAAGTGGAGCAGGGAGAATGTGATGAATCTCGGCTGGACCAAACAATTGGTCAAAGAGTTCGTATTTTCTGAGATTGTTAAAGAGGTTGTCAAAGAACTCTCTGAATGGTACGGCAAACTCGCTCAATACAACACTTTGGAACTTTGTCAATTCGTATTTTTCTTCATCTGAAATATCCTTTTTGTATTGGTATACTACAATTATAAATAAATCATCCCTTTTTTGGTTAGATAAATTCATCACATGTATATATGTTTAGTTGTTGTTGTTATTACTTACACATAAAACCAGCAGTAGCTGAAAAGATTACACCAGTAAAGAAACTAGCTGATGCAATTGAAAGAACAGTCTTGGCTCTTGATGTCTTGTCATCTGTTTTGTTGTTATTTTCATTGGTCTTGTCATTGTTGTTGTTATTTTCATTGGTCTTGTCTTTAGTGTTGTTGTTTTCCTTCTTTTCTTCTTTGGTCTCTGTATTTTTGTTGTTCTTGTTGTTGGTGTTGTTGTTTGAAGTAGAATAAAAGAGTTGAGCTTCTAAATGATCAATTAATTGCAATATAGTTAGATTTGTAATCAACTACTACGACTACGACTACTACGTATATATATACATACTGCTCATAGAATATATGCCACTATTTAAATGACTGTATCTTGGAGTTGCTCCATTTGTAATGAATTTAACTATTTGTATGTATAACAACAAAAGGAATGATTAGTTAAAAACTCTAATGTCTTTGACTCATTTATCTTGATATCTTTTCCTCTTTTTCTTTTTACACTACATACCTGTTGATCTAAACATTATATAATGATGATAAAGAAAGATATATCTATCTATTTATCGACAATAGTAGTAAAGTAGCCCTGATGATGTCTAATTTAAATTGGCCTTTGACTCAATCACACATCACCATTCGCTTCTCTCGTTTTTTTTTTTTTTTTTTTACTTTATTTTTTTGGGGGACTTCGTCTCTCTTCAACAAAGCTTAGATTGATAGTTTTAAAGATAATTAATAATAAATAAATAAAAACAATAATCATAATAATAATAAACAGTATTGGGTAGAATGATTCTTCTTCTTCTTCTTCTTTGTATTTTGTTATTTGATTGTAGTTTTTTAATAATATTATAATATGGTATAGTAAAAGTATAGATGGGTTTATATGTATATATTGTACGCATTTAAACTTCAAAGTTGTTCAAATAGTGAGTTCCTGTTCTATTTGATTTGGTGAAACCATCGTATCTTCTAATATGATCACAGTATCCAATGTGATAGTCCTTCATTTGGAGATAGACATCTGATCCCATACCCGATAATTCAAACATGGTTGTGCAATCCTTTCCAGCTCCCTAATTATTATTAAATATTATATAATATTATAAGATTGATTATAACCAATTGTAATTGTAAGTGTAATATTCATCGTTTATCCAAAAAGTAATGTATATATGTATGTATCATATGATGATACCAATTGCAATTGATGATGATAAATGAAAAAGATACAATGATTAGAAGATATGATACAGATAGATATATTGTATAGATTGATTGATTGATTGATACATACAGCCAAAATGATATCACCTCCTGGGTGCTCTTCAATAAAGGATGAAACGTTATATACCTTTCCGTTGATAAGTAACCAACAATCGTCTCTCTTGTTGTGTTTAGCGATAACTTCGAGTGTAAAGACTGGTAATGTTTCGTCTCTCAACTTTGAGTATGGGAAACCTGGGTCTGTTTAGTTTCATCAATGTAAAGACATGTTAGTATCCAATATGTCATGTTGTATAGTAGTAGCAGTAATGCTGTCTATAATGTGATGATGATGATGATGAATTACTACTACATACGATCGTATCTAAGAATATTGGTATCTGGGTTTTCCAACAACCATTCGGATGGTTGAGTTTCATCTACTTCGTGATGATGATCATCATAGACACCGTCACCAGAGAATGGGTCCTTTGGGTCAACAGCGCCGTGGTGGTGATCACCGTGATGATCGTTATGTTTGGGCTTGTTAGAGTCGCTAGAATACAATCTATATAATGATGGTGTTGATGTTGATTTTATGCTGCTAATGATGCTGCTGTTGTTGTTTATGCATACTGTATTAAGTACAAGTTTGCTATTGTTATTTTTAGAGATGATCTATATATCATTGTGTATGTAATAGGTAATAGTGATGAGATGATTGAATTAGAAAACTATATCATCTCTTTCATATCATTGTTATTCAATATTGCATATAACCTACATTTAAACCACCATTCAATAATCTTGAAACTGATCTTAATGAAGCTGCCATCTCTCTCTTCTCTTTTGTTACAGTTGCTCTGATCTCTTTGAGTAGTCCAAGCTTAAGTGCAATCAATCGTGCACCTACAGTGTGGTGTCGATCATTGCCTCCTCTGCAACTTTTTTTGAATTTTTTTTTTTTTATTTTTTTCATACTAAATGTTCATATGCTTCATTGTCGTTTCTTAACCAAACAAGCGGTAGAACCTATTCCAGAGTATCAAAGTGGAAATATTAATACTTCAGAGATAGAGAGCATGATTTAATAAAAATAAAAATCATAAAATAGTAATAAATTTGGATTGGCTCTAAATTTTGGATCATCATACGATTGAGAGTTGAACCATTAGGATTTGTTTGGGATGACACCAGGCAATTAATTAATTCCCATCAGAATCTATTTACAATCAATTTAGATCATGAGATTTTTCAAAGCCCCGTGTCGGAGCGAGTATCTCAGCCCAAATTTTTTTATTTTATTATTCCATCACAACAACAAATATACATACAGACATGCATACACATACATAAATAAGCTAGGATTCTATTTATCTGTAGCAAGAGACTACCTCAGATCGATCATCAATGAACATATAATCAAATTGTTGTTGAACAATTTTGGTCGAGTACTTGACCTTCACTTTACTTCACTTCACTCCCTTGCACACAGTTTGGTGATGAGGTCAAACAACAACAAGCAAACGTTTTCGAAGAGCAAGAGAGCCCAAGCCCTTCCAACAGAACCCCTAACTATTCGGATGGTGTCGTTTGTGACAAAAATTCCACAACGGTGACCTGGGGGTTGGGACGATGATCAGTGGATCTGAATTTCTATAAAGGGTATAGGCACTTCTTATCGACTAAAAAAACTCTACGGATTAAATGAATTCACACAAATCATCACCAACAACCAGCATTCAACGAAAAAACATCGAACAAACCAACAACACATCTTACATATCAGATTTTTACATCACTTTTTTTGTTTTGCCTAAATTAGGTCTTTTTCATTCACCGCCAACCCAAAACAAAACGCCTAATTAATTTTATTTTAAAACCAACTACCTTTTTTACATTAAATATATTAGTATTAGTATATTTTTTTTAAATACAACTATTTATTTTTTTTTTTTACCATGCAAGCAAAAAATGTATGGATACATCTCACTCAAAAAAAAAAAAAAAAAAATAAGAATTACTAATATTTATTTTCTCTTGACATATGTAGGATCTACGTGACCACCTCTACTCTGTACAATATACCTTCCCAGCCAAGAAGGAATTTGTTATTGACAAATCTGGATCAATCAAGTTCTCTCAGATCCAAGGTATAAAAGGTGGTGTCACAATCCACAGTCCTTCTAATGGCATGATTATATCATATGAAATCGAGCCACACGGATCAGTCTCTAAATTAGACTTAAAGTATGTATTTATTTATTTATTTATTCTTTTCCCAAAGGCGTTGTTGACATTTTTTTTTATCCTTACCCCCTCTATAGACAATTACCAAAGCGTCTCCTCACACCACAGGTCATCAAAAAAATCGTACAGGTGATCGTCCATCTGTAGAGCAAGAGCATGAGAAAGAGAGAGAGGAGCACTGGATGCCAAGGATAGATCGATTGGAGGTGCCTTGGGTGTAGGCTCACCTTGGGCAAGATGCCAGTGGTCGCACCCCAAAAATCAAAAAAAGGTGGTCAGGAAGGTCCTTATCATCACCAACCTTTTGCCACATTGTATGTTAACACTACAATGCTCACATGTGGTGGTCTATCAGTATCCAATAAAATATTATTTAATATTTTAAAGGTTGCCTGAAACGAAAATGGTTTATTTTTTATGTTAACATAATAATATATGTTTATGTGCATATTATTGGCGAGGTATACATGACAGGCTAGGTAGTCTTAGGGACCTAGGTAGGCAGGCAGGGTTCAACACTTTTAACGCCACTTTTTAATGTATTCAGTGACAATGTCAAAGACAAAAGGAGTGAGGGCAGCTATTTTGCTTCCCCAGTACAACACCCTAAAAAGGAACAAAGAAAAATATAAAGAAATTAATATTCACACAAATGGTGTATTTCCTGCCAATTGCGATTATACTTGTCACCAAAGGTAGGAGGACCAAAAAAGTATACACTAACGGTCACTTTTCTGGATCGTTTAACTAGGTCTATAACCACTCTATGGGCACCTTTTGGGCATTGGACCAAGTGAGGCTCTTTAAAACCAGGTAATGGAACTACAATAGTGGCTCTGCGTTCAGGATCCAAGTAACAGCAAAGGGAAAGATCAATGTCAGCTCGGAGAGACATTTCCTCACCTTGTTTATCTTTTTCCTGCTCTGTTTGGTTTTGGTCATTTTCAGATCCTTCAGAGTTCGATTCCTTAAGAATATCTGGATAGATACCTGTTACATCGACCTATATATTTATAAAAAAGAGGTTGGGTGATTATATATTTTTAAAAAACATTGATTAGCTTTGCAAAGAAAAAAAAACAACAACAAAATGACACTCACAAATTTACCACTTTTATTATCTTTGAATTTGTAGAACATGATGGTAATTTATTTATATAAATGTAAGTAATGTTTCTTCTACCGTACGGATAAATAAATAAATAAATAAATAAATAAATAAATAAATAAATAAATAAATAAAATTTTAATTTATAATGAAACAAATAATTTTGTATCACTATCTAGAGAGAATCAATGATGAGGCAGAAGATATAATAATGATCAATAGACCGCATAGTGATTCATTAAATGGGCTTTGCAAGCCCAATAAATTAAATTAAAATCAAAAAAAATAAATTTGTTTCTCTGCACCAATAAATGTATCCCCGATGCACTACAGACGATAAATATTCAACAATGATCATCATCGTACATTGAAGCCTCCCACGTCACTCATAACATCATCATTTATAATGAAATTAAATCGAATCGAGTTGGGGCCAGCTAAAACTTCTAGAAATCCTGCTTTCAATGCAGGATGAGAAATCAACAACAAGTTAACTTCAGACCACCATCCGCAGCCCCCAAACCACTCTTTCATCACCGAAAAAACTTTAAATTAAACTTTAGTGCCCCTTTCCTTTTTAGGGTTCCTGCTTAGCTGATCATTCGGGTATCCTCATTTTTTTGTTCATTTCATTTCATAGTACATGCACACAACAACAAGTTAGATGATAGAGTTATCAAAATATCTACAAGCACATATATTATCATTTATCGATTACCCAACATCGATATACAGTTACTTGCGATACAATAGACCATGTGACGACGTACTATCATTGGCACTGGTGAGCAAGATGTGGTTTGAAGTAGTTCAGAGAGAGGCTTCGAAATCACTAACTTATAACTATTGCGACGACGAGATTATGTTTAAGATTCATGATGACTCTTTATTTGGGTTTACATTCCCAATCGAAACATTTGCATTTGATAATAATATCATATCGCCATCAAAGACGCACACACTAATGTTATCATCAATCGATCATGAAGCAGACAATACATTTGGTAGAGTGCTTGGTGAATGGTTCACATCGGTGCACCACATCAACATATTGTGTGACTTGGAAGAGTATACACGGTGCCAACAATCGATCCTATCGAGTATCGAAGGTCAGACAGATATCACAGTTGATATTTGTCTGTTGCTTGAAGGACTCGACACGGAAGAAGACCTCTTGGTGCCAACCGATCAACACGTATTTGCAATCCCAATCAAGAGACTAGATTTGCAAAACGGACAAGAGGATGAAGAGGCACGACTGTTCCTGTCGATGGTCCAAAAGATCAAGCCTACCGAGTTGATCATTGATTTGATCGGATCGCCCGAGAATAAAGAGTACCATTATCAGTATGACAAGATATTGGCTGTGAAAAGCTTGCGTATGGTCAATATTGGCGGAGACCACGTAGAGTTTATGGACCTTAACAATGCGTTGGATCCATCGAGTAACATCACCTCTCTATCTTGTCAAGTTCTCAGTCACATGTGTTGGTTCAAGGATGGTCTCCCCGACGACGACCTAGTACCATGTAACAATACATTTCACTCAATACGATCACTATCCACCATTGAATCAAGTATTGAAACATTTTGCAATCTATTGCTTACAAATACTACATTGACCGATTTTACAATGTATAATATTTGTGAAGATGAAAATAATAATAGTAATAATAATAATCATATGCCAAGTCCACAATTGGTAGAATGTTTTAATCATTTATTGGTTATAAACAAAACAATCAAACATCTAGGAGTCAAAGGTGATTTTATCACCAAGGAATTCCTTCAATCAATTGAACAATCAACAACATTGCAATCTTTGGAAGTTGGATTAAAACAATGGACCGATTCATTATTCGATCAATTATTACATTCATTATCGATCAATCATACCATTAGAGATTTGGTTATTTTAGATTTACACAATCCATCAACAATTCAATTAGATAGATTAAAATCAATTTCAATTTTAAATAATATTAATATTTCAATCATTTTAAATACAAAAACTATTAAATTATAAACAGATAAATTATAATAAACAATTTATTTTTTAGATTTAATCATCATAACAACAATGACGAATTTTTGAATTTGATTTCTTTTTAAAAATATATTTCTTGGTGTATACATTATTACAAGGATTACGAATACAAGCATAATATTCAAATGGATGATCTTGTGATAGTTTGGGTTTAAATGTTTGTAGAGGTGGTGATACAATTGGAATTTGATAGTCGCTGTAAAAGGTGGCGATTAGAGTTTGGAGGTTTGATTTGTAGGGTGTTTCACTGATTGATTCCAAACAGTTTTGAAGTGTGCTACCAGATTGATAGACACGTTTGATTGTTTTAATAGATGGACTGTTGAGAAGAATATGATTGACAGTGTAATTGTAGACTAGGTTCTTTGGAAAGACTAGTTTTTCAACATTGGATGGGAATGGTGGTACCCTGCTTCTCCAGTACAACATGTACACTGTTTTCAATAGAGCAAATTTACCCAAGACATTGGTTTGACTATCTAAACCAGTGCTATCGTGTGTCCATGATACAGTTACTAGACGGTTTTGAAGTGTAGAAGGGATACGATCGTAAAGATCAATATTGTTGGGATGAAAAAGTAGCTTTTTTAAATGTGGAAAGGAAGAATCAATTAGGGATGGTGGAAATTCTGGTGTCATGTTGATTTTTGAACCAGATAGGTTGAGTGAGGTGACGAGTGTGAATTGAAAGAATGAAGGTGTCAAATAGGTTGCAATACTCTCTTCGATTTTCATATGAGTGAGTGGTGGTGGTACAATTTTTGTGTTGTTGATGTCTTTGATAAAGGGAAAGTTTGATCCTTTAAAATGGGTGACTCGATCCATCAAATGATGAAACATTTTTTGAAGATATGATGATGGAATCGAATAGTTGTTGTTAAATCGGACATTTAACCCAGTGATATTATTGATAAACGAGTCTTTGCCTACGAGGGCAACCAACTTGTCAATTGGTGAATTCTCGTACAATGTAATAGAGTGTGTAACATTGGCCTTGTACAACAAGTATGATCGGATTTGATGATTAATCAAACCCAACTCGAGTTGTGTCTTTTTAATCTTTGATGCGTCAATGTGATTGTATCGATGTTCTGGACAATTTCTACACTGACTATTGTATTCTCCAAGAATGCCAAGGAATGATAGATTTCTTTCTTGTTCACCCCAATCCAACTCTCTTCTACAAGTACATATTCTAACTGATAACAACTCCCAACATTCTTTAATTATTTTATAAATTATTGTATTTGGTAATATTCTACTGTATGTTGAATTATTATTATTATTATGACTATTATTTCTTTTAAAAATGATTCTTTTTTTGTTTGTGATTTTGAATAAGTTGAATAATATTCTAATCCTATTGATTGAAATTTTGGATAATCTTTCCAAATAAAATCTTGATGTGTATCAATGATCAATGTATTTATATTACCCAATTCTAATTCAATTGGAATAAAATAGTCAATCGAGTCGAGTGATTTGATTCGAACCACTTGGATATTTGGATTATTTGATAACCACTTGTTTGGTATTGGTTGACAACCATTGAGACAAAATGTTACTCTTTTAATGGTGGCCGTCGGGAGTAATAGACTACTACTATTGCAATCCTTTTTACCAACAAATACAAAGACATGCTCGAGACTTGCAAACTTTTCCAATTTGTTCATTTGAGGTAGAGTGATGACTTTTAATGACTGCTTGACAGAATCTTGGAGATCATGAATACAATTGACATGTGATGCTGGCAAGAGTAGTTTTCGTAGTCTCCCAAGAGACTTGATCCAACTCGAGATTACAGAGTCACTTTCGACCTTATTTACACCGAGCAAGTTGATCGATGTTAAATGGGTAAACGATCGAGTCAATGCAATCAGTTCAGTGTTGACACCAACAGTACCAGAGAATACGAGACGAGTCACTTTGTTGTTGAGCATGGTGGTGATGTGTGTCTTTGGTATCGATGGTTTGGACTCTTCGATGAGGATGAGTTTATCGACCTTTTGGAGCAATGTCGATGGGAAACAAGGTATCTTTTGTTTGGTACGTTTGGCAGTTTCGTATGGAATCCCAAACACTCTATTAAACTCTTGAATCGACCGCATTGTGAGTGAACTTATGTGACTGAGTGCACAATAGTTGCTTCTCAGATGATCTTGAATGGTCTTGTCTTCAGTGGCAGCCATAAAACTAACACGTGTCAATAGATTCGATTGAATAAAAGCAAACACTTGTTTAGAGGTAGTACCTAATTCTAATCTCCATCTTGCCTTGTCACGATGTACTCCAAAGTAAGAATAGAAATCATCGATATGATTGTTGTATCGAAGTATCTTTTCTCTATTCAAATCACTACGATAGTTGTAGTAATAGGCGTCACTGTAGAGACTGTGTAATGGACATGTCACACGATACTGTTTCTCTTGATTCACTACATGTATTCTAGTGTATGGATCATTATAATCATGATCACTACTTGTACAACTAAAAGAGGTACTTTTACTCTTATTCTTATTCTTTTCTTTGTTTGTTGTTGTGGAGAGTGATAGTGAACTAGGAGTAGGTGTATTAAAGGTTGGAAGTATACATGTACAATAATCAATACTATTCCATGATAACTCTATTATTTTGTTGATTATTTCATCTGGAAGTAGCTGTTGTTGGTTTGTTTCTAGTTCTACCTCTTCTTTATTTATAAACATTGATAATTATTACAAAATTGCACTTCCTCACGATCAAGTGAGGATCGAATCGAAAAAAAATAAAGAATGAATTCTTTGAGATATTCCAATGATTAATTATTTATTTATTTAATTATTATATTTAAGATATCTGCAATCATAAAGTGGAGAATAGAATAAAACGAGGTCAAATGGCACGATGTGGCCTGCACCACGAAACACAACTTGAGTTAAGTTTTGGTAATGTCTGATGTAACCGGCAACATCGATGGTATCTGTCGGTTGGAATGTACCAGATGACTCTATCGGTTTGGATAAACGAACCTATACTCGACCATGGGATAGTGCGAATAAAGGTTTCGGTAGTGAATACGATACACCAACAACAATGAAATCTAATTAACCATTTGAAAAATCATCTTGAATGAACAAGGATCATCCCATTTAAATTACCCTATGATTTTTATATTTCAGGGTTACCAAGAATCGTTGTACTAATTGGGCTGTAATGAATGATTGGAAAATAGAATCCAATAATACTGAAACAAGCTTTTTGCTGCACCCATGAAATTCATTACAGCCAATTTCAAACGTTCTTGGTATTCCTGAAACATAAAAATCTCCCAAATGATCTATCTTGATTGCATTTGGGCCAGGAGATTCTTGAAATGAAGATCAACCCATTCAACTACTCTTTGCATTTAAATTGAATCCCAGTTGTTTCTGTTTCTTCAACCAAGTAATCATATTTGGAAATAAAATAGATCGAGAGCAATATTCAAGTTTTCCATCAGAGAATTTTGTATCTAGCGGGAGTACATTATAAAGTATATCATAAAAAATGAAAAAAACTATTAAAATAAAGGGTATTAATAAAAGATTTTTAATGCTTTCCAAATATACAAACAATTTTTTTTTTTGTAGATTTTCCACATTTATCAAAACAATGATTGCAAAAAATAGTAAATTTTATCATTATTACAATAAATAAACTAAAAAATCAATATTAATATTAATCAAAGGTTGAAATCAAGATTTTACTTACGGTTGGTAAAATTTGTTTGTAAAACAATACGTATTAATATTAAACTATTATTATTTGATGATGAGGTGCTATTGAATGCATTCATAAATAGAGTAGAGCCAACTACATATCTTGTTTATTCAACTACTAACTAATCTGTTGTTCAGATCGAAATCAGGCTCTCACATGAAAACACCTATCCTTTGTCAAAGTTCAATGATTTTTTTTTTATTTTTTGAATTATGATTTAATATTGATTGATAGAGTTATCTATATACCAAGGTTTGAATTCCAATGCCTGATAAACTTCAACACCAAGTTGTCGACAACTTTCATCCTCTCGATCATCTCTCTCTCTCTCTCTCTCTCTCTCTCTCTCTCTCTCTCTCTCTCTCTCTCTCTCTCTCTCTCTCTCTCTCTCTCTCTCTCTCTCTCTCTCTCTCTCTCTCTCTCTCTTTTGTCTGTAAGATACACATGATGTCATTAATGATTGACTCTATGAGTTCTTCATCACTCCTGTCTATCTTACAACTCCATATTTTTGTATATCTCTCTCTCGATACACCACAAGCTAGAACAAGTTATATTGAATTAATTTTTTTTATTATTATCAGAGCTCAGGGGTTTTTGGCGACATCATTTTCTTTTCTTTCATTGCGTCTCTGCAGAGTGAGAGAAAAAGTGAGCGCAGCAACAGGACAACAACCGAATGAACAGATAGAACAGATTCATTATAAGGGTCTTGTCAGCGACACTCAAAGCCTTATCTGATAGCAATCAAGAGTTCTTATAATCAAAAGTTAGTAAGATCACGATCATGAGAGAATTTTAATATTAACTCATCAAGATTTTTAGGTTACATCAACATTTGTCTTTTATGAATTTATTTATCACATCTTTATTATTATTATGATGCAGCAAGGATTACATGTGCAAGCTGACAACTTGTTGACTACTGAGCAAAACATTTATTTTTTTGCTCGTTCCCAATCACGCAGCGCTGTGGACTCGTGCATGCAAATTTTTATGGATTCATAGTTTCATAAGTAATTATAAAATCATTATTATTATGTATATACAATATATCTCTCTACTACAGGTCATTATCGTTTTCTTATTTTGCACTTGGAGTGGTGTAGAGGAGTTTGCGGTCAATGCTTTTACAAGTCCACGATGTATTGGTATGCCAGCAGACTGGAAAGTATCAACTCCACCTACCAACCCCGATTGGTGGTTCCTTTTATCAAAGCAATCAAAAGATAACGTAAACGGTGGAGGTTTCATTTACACGGATTCTTTCGGTGTATATCTTGTATGTATTAAATGAATAATAATTTGGTTATTGTTGAATATTATTATTATCTACGATCATGATTACTGACGTTATAATATACATTTTTTTTTTTACTGTAAAGAACATCGACGATACAGGAAATGATATGGTTGGTGCCGACAAACTCACGGTCAAAAAGTTTTGGGAGAGACATACAGAAAGTGCCTATGAAAACAACAAGGAGATTTATGGTCAATGTGTCAAAAGGGATAGTGACCGAACAAAGCCGACATTGGTTAATACTAGGAAAGCCGTGTGTAAAAATGTAAGGATAGAGGCACAGGTTTGGTATCATGACACTTTGGGTCTACCGCCAGCAAAAAAACCCAAACCTCAAGCCCAAGATAGTGATGCTGAAGATCTCAATAACGGGGAGCAACAAGTTACGGTTGAGGCCAGAAGTGCACATGCAAAGGTATGTATGATGATAAACTGCTGGTACATCAAAACTATCACTCGATTAACCAAAAAATATAAATAATATATATTTCTATAGTATCTAATATCTGTAGACACCAAGACTGGGAATGGATATTTTATTGACCATTCAATCAACATTCCATCTATCCCGGTTGATACAGGCGCTGAATGGTTTAATCCCTATCTTCTATTTGGTTTAAATGTTGGTGGTACAGAGGCCAAGTTTAAAATGTCTCATCACAGTTTTTGTTCAAATTTTCAACAAAGTATGTATCCAACAAAAAAAGAACTTCCAAATAGGTCTATTAATAACACCTCTTCCTCCTCTAAAATTTTTCAGATGAATTTGATGATCTAATGGGAGTTATTGGCAGAGGAAAACCTCACCTAACCAGAACAAACTATATAGATACAAAAGGAGGATCACTTTTACCGATCGATCATCCCTACAATATCAAAGAGAGAGTTGTTGCAGAATTGGCCGAAAGTCAACTACCAAATGATATTTGTTTGAATTTTTACAGTACTTTTGAAGATGACGATCTCCAAGGCTCTGACCATGATGTTGAGGAAACAACGCAAGGAACAACCGAAAGGGAGAGAATAGGTGCTTTTATTCGCCACAATAACAATGACCCAGTCGATCTTTGTCTTACTGAAATAACTACCGGTCCCCTTCAATTTTTAAGGACCATCTATGGTTTTGGTGAGTTGTTACAACCTTCCTATTAAAGATATTACTAACCAATTGTTCAATTTTATTTAGATATTAGAATGAAACCAGTTGAATTTGTAAACCCTGGATTGTCCATCGTCAGGACTCGTTGGCTTGACGATACTCCCCGAAAGGAAGTAGGGGACATGAAAACATATATTCAACTTGGATTGGATCCATTCACATACATTGCAAAGGCCAATCCTTCTGTCTACTATGTCTCAACCTATGTAGGTATTCAACACTTTTTTTTTCTTTTCAACCAATCCGATTAATAATTCATTTTTCAACCTCTCTTATTATTATTATTATTATTATTATTATTATTAAAATAGTCACAACCTAATCGTGTTGATGTTCCATCTATTCATATGGTCGACCAGGAATGGGGTATTTTTAACATTAGGGAATGGAAATACGACAATAAAATTCAAAGAGATAGACACGAGAAATTGTCATTCTCAACAGCAAATGGACGAGTCTGTGTTGGTGATGCAAATAGAAATTTGGTACACACTCATTATGCTGGAATCTATGTATGTATTACTATTGTTGGATACCAACGCCGGTGATAGTTGAACAAACTTTTATTAATACTCTTATTCCTATATAAATCTGTACAGATATGTTTCACAAGTCAAAGACTAGCAAACGAGCTCTATGCATTGATAAACCTGGTTGATGTATCGAATAGTTATTTTTATGACAACCAAGGGAATCTATTATCAACAGCCACCAATGATATCCAGGATAGTTTACCAACACCATTCCCAAAGTGGACTAATAGGGTCGATGCTAAAAAAAGATCATTGCCATCTCTGATGTACCCACTCGTTGCCAGAGTCACATACAGTGATAGACCAAAAAGAAATAATTTTATTGGCGATGATGGTCAACTAATTGCAATGGATGACCGTCCAACTAAAAAGGCAAAATTCCAACACAATGAAGATGAGGATGAAGATGAAGGTTATGATAATGATGATGACGATGACCAACTTGATGGTGGAGAGGAGACCAATGGATATTCTGATGAAGAAGAAGATGTCGATATCATGGGATAAAAAATAAAATCAAATAACAATTAATAAACCCATATTTTTATTAGAGTACACCAATGATCAGAGGTTTCTCTAATTTATCTCATTGTTTTTGTATTTATGTACAGATAAATGCATATCGAGCAAATTTTTAATTTGAAATGAGGCCATCGCTCGTTCTCTTTTAAAAAAATAAATGTTTTTTGTTTTTCCAAACAGAAACGTGGTGGTGCTGTTTCGTTTTTTCTTCAGCATCTGCTACTGATCAGATCACAAGCAAACACACACACAATAACACACAGACAGAGACACACACAAACAAATATGAAAAAGTTTGGAGGAGGAGTGTTATTGGTGCTCAATGCATTGCTTGCAATGATCATCATATTTGCTCCATCACAAATCTTATCACTTGCAACTACAAGTAAGTTTTACAAATACTACGAGCATGACCATTTGGAAATCTAACCAACTCTTTCTTTTTTATTTAATATTTATCACCTTACAGATGTATTATATGTTGATCCATCAAATGTCAACGCATGTACGATTAAAGTAACGGATTGTGGTACATCAGTCAAACCATTTACGACGATAGGTGATGCAATCGCAGCTGCCATGCAAGGTAGTACCTCTGAGCTATCGACCAACTATAACTGGGTTGTATTGGTCAATCCGGTACAATCGTATGTTGGAACTCAAAACATTGGAATCAACGTCCAACTCGCCAAAGGGTCGTCCATCGAACTACGTTCTATGACTGCAACCACTGTTACCATCGATTGTCAAGGTTCCGGATACTTTATGAATATTCGTTCGACCTCTCACTTTAAGATGAACAATTTCCTCGTCAAGAATTGTAATGCCAATATTGGTGGTGCCATGTCTATCGTCCAGTCATCGGCCACTCTCACCAATTGTAACTTTTTAAATAATGTAGCATCAATCGGTGGTGCCATTTACATTGATAGTTGCAAGTCGGTTATTATCTCTGCCACCAAGTTTGACAGCAACCAAGCCAGTGAACGTGGAGCTGCCTTTGATGTTATCAACTCGCCAACCGTCGAACTCTTCAATGTAGAATTTGCCAATGTGGATAAAACATTTTCGTGTCGTCAATCGTCGGTTGTTGCAGATACCATTGTTTCCAAAACAACAGCCACAGCTATGTGTGATGATCAATGTTCATTCTCAAAAGGAAGAACTGTCATTTGCCATCGTACCTTTGATAACATCATTGGAGACACACCCATTGAGTCTCCATTTTGTCTCCCGTCCAGAAACTCTGCACAGTGCGGAACAAGTTGCCAATCAACTACCGATAGTTGTCTATCATGTGACGCATGTCCTTGTTTCATGTCTGGAGCATTCGTGACCACCGCCGTTGGAAGTTGTACCAAGTCAAGATTAGTTACACCAACCATAAACTTTGATGATTTGTTGTCAGGTTTTACAGACAAGGTCACCATTGATATTGTCGCCTATGTTAAAGTGCCAAAGTCTGGATATTACAGCTATTCCACTCATAGTACTCATCTTGGTCTGTCCCTTCAAATGGACTCTCGTACAATGCTCATTTCCACCTATCAAAGAGAACTATGGTCATCCAATCGTACGATTTACCTCGAACAGAAACATCCCCATGCTCTCTCATTCCGACTCACCTCACCAGCTACATTTGTAGCTCTCAAAAGATCGTTTTCATTTTCATTTGACAATGGACAAGGAATTGAAATGTTCTACAGTCGATCGATCTGTGGAGATGGTATATTCCATAAAGATATGACTGATTGTGATCATGATAAACATAGTATGTATTAAAATAATTTAAATCTCTTCGGATTCAAGAGACTAATTTTTTTAATTCTTTTTTTAGTTGTACCAGCAAGCGGAAATATAGTATGTGGTGATAATATTTGCAATGAAGATAATCCAAACGATTGTTTCCAAGATTGTTATTCACACATTACACCTATTTGTGATGCCCGTAAAGTACCAAAGAACCACATTGCTCCAGGTTTTATTACACAAGATGATACTCTTGGTGCCATTATCGACAACCAAATGATTTGGCATCTTCCAGGATCGGAACACATGACGACAGCCATTGATATTGTCTCTGGAGAACATGCTCAAAAACCAATATTCTACTTTGGATATTGTTCAGACAGCGATATTAATCTTGTTCAAGATGTGTATCGTGGATCAGTCTATGAATTACCAAAGGAATTAGCTGGGAAAATGCTTCCTCAATGTTCATTTGATACATCGACAACCACTCATTCAAGTGTCACAGAGATGAAAGAATCAAAGACAAAGAAATCAAGTATGTAGTAATAATAATATATTTTATACACCAACCAAATTTGGAACTATAAATTAACAAAAAGATATCTATTAAATTTTTAGTGTCATCTTATAGTGGATCTATTGGAGGATCATATGATGGGGTTGGAGCCGAAGTAAATGCAGCCTACTCAAAAGATCAATCAATCACTCAAACCAACTCGAAATCAGATTCTTCAACTTCGACCATCTTTGTCACCGAGATAGCCTGTAACGTGTCAACTGTCGAGTTGGTAGAGATTGTCTTCCACCCAACCTTTTTAAAAGATGTCAAGAAATGTAAATCTGTGAATGACATGGTCGGTGTGATCGAGAAGTACGGTACACACTATATCAAAAGTGGAGTGTTGGGAGGAAAACTCACTCAATCGACCATCACCTCTGAAGTGATGACAAGCTCGGAACAAGAGGCTGACTGGAGTGAAAGCAGTAAAAGATCGATGGGTGCATCCATAAAGACACCCGTACTCCAAGGAGGAGCATCCAACTCTGATACCTCAGACTCTACTCTTTCTGGGAAACAACAGGACGAGAAGATGGCAAAATCCGAGAGAACATCGATCGTCACACTTGGTGGATCGCCAGGATCGTATGCACCAGGAAGTTCGTCACAAGGAGAAATGTTCCAAAAGTGGGCATCGTCAATTGATCTCAATCCAGCCGTTATTTCACAGGATCTCTATCCCATTCGTGATATTATCCCATCGACATGGATGACTTCTGTTGTTGGAAAGAATGTTCAATCATTATGGAAGGATGCAGAGACAATTTACTATGACAGGAATTCGTTCACTGAAAATCCAGGAAGACAAGAATTCCAGTACATGCTGTTGATGCATACTGCTTCGTCCACTACCAAATTCCTTCCACCCACAATCACGATCAAATGGACCGACGTTAAAAACAAGCCAAAAGAATCAAAGATAGACCTATACTATCAGCGAAGAGATGAAGAAGACACTTTGTCCCCTCCCTACATGATGGACTTTAATTATGTTGTCCCAGCCACCGAATCCGCCAAAGACACGTGTTGGAATATTGAAACAAACTTTGGACATGAAAAAATAGCAGATACCTACCAGCGATATTGCCAGTATAGTCGTAAATCCATCCTATCACCGCTTCGATTTGACTTTGTGTTGGATGCCGACTTTTTAACGAGTACCACCAGACCCGTTATCACAGTCACCGGGATTCCTTCAACCATGGATCCAGCATTCTCCATTGTCAGATTTGAATCGTCGGAAGGTATCGTATTTGACAAGAACGGCGGATACAAACCATTCGCCACCACCTATGTCACCACGGCGATACACCACCTTTTTGGTCCCAGTGTCGAGAATGCCGTAACATTCCAATTGACCAAATATGCGACGGGTACCAAGACCTACCTCAGAAACGTTATTTCGGATTTGTACACACCCCAAGAATACTCGACAATCACAGACAGGCTCTATATCAAGTATACCAATCCTTCGGGGACAGAGACAGCGTTGGGCCATCACTCTTTCAATTGGGAAGTTAATAAGGAACAAAAATTCGTTTACGGCTATTTCTCGCATCCCTATACCACCGGTACACCTACCTATCGTTACTCGATCCAATACCAAATTGGCAGTACGACTAGAGTCGACTGGGCACTCTCCATGGAGCCCCAACCATCCATTTCCTCGTGGAAGCGAAAGGCCCTTTACCATCACACTGCAATGAACCATTACCAATCCCTCCCACCCCTTTCACTTACGACTAGCCACTTGAATATGAAAATGGAACCGATGGACCCAACCAGATTTGATTGGCTGTACACTAGAAACTACGTCAGTGAATCAGTGAATGGTCCGGCAATCTGAACAAAATAAATCTTAATTCCCTTTTTTATTCAACAACCTCCCTCTCTCATCAAGATATATACAACTTGCAAATCAAAAGATAAATTTATCTTATTTATTTAAGTTATTTGTTTATTCATTTGAGTTTTTTTTGAAACTAGCTATAAATATTTTTAGATAGAGGAAGAATGTCATGTTTTGTCAGGCTAACAGTTGTAACTTGTGTATTTGGCAAGACGATATCGCTATGGAATGTGCCATAGATGGTTGAGTACTTTTTATCGATGGGCATGCTAGCAGGAATCGTACACATTCCCTCTCCACTTCTAACTCCAGGAGCGTTGGGACAATACTGAACGACGTTGAATGTCTCGAGAGTGTAGGTATAGGTGATGTCCTCATCTACGAATGCAATGATGGGCTCGAGCAACACATATTCCAGATCACCAAGATATTGGCCAAAGTAATGAGTTGCAAAGACTGTAGGGTTGTAAAACATCGTATGGGTGCCAAGAGAGCCTTTCAGTGTGATTCGTACGGTTGGAGAGACAGTGCAAGTGGCACAATCAGACGTGGTGAATTGAGAACGAATGCTAAAGGCATTGTTGGTTATTTGGCTCCAGGCAGCAAAAAAATCCGAGTACACAAAATTGTAGAGACGAGTGTGTAGCACATCGTAGATATCAAAAGTTAAATAGCTTTCTGGATAACCATTAACCGATTGTATCTCACCGAATGGTAAAACAAACAATTCTCCTGCCAACAAATATTTGTGTTCACTTATGATTTGTCCATTTGGCTTTTTAATGGTAAATGTAATGGAATTTTGATTATCTAGAGTTGCGGGAGAGTTCAAATAATAAATCGATTCATCTGGTTTTAATGCTATTGTGATAGAATAGAAGAGTAGTAGTGATGGGTAAGTGTTAATCATTGTAAATAACTTGGCGATGACATTGGGGTGAGGACATACATTCAATTTTGTCAAAATTGACTTTGCTTGCAAAACGTTTGTAAAGGTGAGCGATTTCAGCTTTACTCCACATCGATTGGATGGTTTCGATTGAACCTTTGACGCGCCAGTTTTCGGGGATCAAGTCAGCAATAAATCCATACTCTTTCTTGATGGGTACGGGCAAGAGATCGACACCTTTTGCCCATTCACCAAAGTTGTTGTTGGCTCCCTTGGTATCGGGTCCAAATGAACCTGGTGGACCACCTTTGGTCATGATTGTCGTTGATGCACTGTCATCTTCAAACTTGTTTTGTTGTTCGTTTGTGATTGAGTTGTCGGTACCTTTCTTGTAGTTGGCACTGACCTTGAGTACTGGCGACGACACCTTGGCAGACAGAGAAAGTTGAGTATTTTTTGCAATATCAGAAGATACCTTTCCTTCAAAGCTCGAATGAGATACGACGGTAATGTGTGTCAATGAACCACCCATCACAGCACTTTTGAGGTACAGTGAACCGTACTTGGCGACAACCAATTCCATTTTGGCTATAGTGTCTGCTTGTGCAACATCCCTCACGAAATTGGGATGGAATGTCATATTCTCGGCGGTGATGTGGACACGAGTAGTCTCACATAGAACAGTGTCAACCATGATCTGACCAGATACCTTCTTTTCGAGATCACTTGCCGATTTGGTAGAAGAGGATTGAGAGAATGCAACACTGGCTTGAATTGATACTCCCCAATATGCTGCACCAAGATTGGCTGAATCAGCCACACTAATGTCGTCTGCCTTTTCTTGAGAGACTTGAGAAGATGACGAATAGCTTTTGGTTGAGGCTGAATATGAGCATTTTGGTGTCGGGATTGCATGTATTCCTTTGGGTACTGTGTACACTAGACCACGATACAAGTCATGGACTGTAGAGTATGATGAATTGTCACAATATCCAAAATGGAATACAGGTGCATTTGTATATTCATCAGTCACAATGTCGATACCGTGAGACAAGAGTTGGATACCTGGCAACGTGTACATGTATTGGTTGTTGAGGGCTGTTCCGACAAAATCCATCTTGGAATAGGTTGGATCGAGACGGTGAGGTGTGGCTTGTTCTGGACACATATCGGCGATAACATGGTAGCAATCAACAAGACAATCTTCTGGTATCTCACTACAAATTCCATCACCACAAGTATCTTTGGATAGATCTAATGCCTTTGCTTGATCAGCAACACATTTATAGGCTGGTAATTTCTCTCTATCATCCAAAATACCATCATTACAAACTAAAAATTAAATTAAATAAATTAAATATGTTAGTGATAAATATATTTTAAAAACAGCACAAAAAATGGGTTCTTACTATTTTTGGAATAGAATGGATCAAGTAATACGAATTGTTCACCATCGGCTTTTCTTCTCCAATAGATCTCGAGTTGGGAACCAGTGTTTGGAGATACTCCTTTGGCGATGGCGATACGAAGATGATGTACATTGGTGGCTGTCAGTCTAACTGATCTCGTTGTATCAACGTTGGAAAGGGAAGCGGCACTATAGACAATGTCATTTCCATCGACTGAAAAGACCAGACCACAATTACTACCGACGAATTTGAATTCATAGGTAGCATGCTTATTAATCTTGAGGTAGGCATTCATAACGGCATAGGAATAGCCAAGGGTGACAATACTTGATGACAATTGAATAATGTCAGCTGCAACTGTGATTGGAAGAGAAGGAATAGTCTTGAATATTTCAATCTTCCATCCAGAGGCAACACAAGAACAATCCGATGGGCAATAAAGGCATGATTCTCCATCGTCACATACATTATTGTTGTTACAACTCTCAGTATAGGTATTAAATGTTTTAAATATATATGCCCAAGATACTAAAGATAAATAAATAAAATAAATATGTTAGTCTATGAGATCTAAAGATAGAGTTTTGATTACTTAATACCATACCTGTTGGTGGAGTGGGACATGTACGATCGAGAACAGTGACGATACCAGTGGGTAAGGATATAGTAGATAGATCACCTGCTATTTTGAGACCTTCCATAGTTGTGGTACTGTCCATCGAGAGGTATGATGAATCGAGTTTAATCGATACCGAACCTCCAGTAGAATACATATCACATGGCTTTTGATTGGTCATTGATAGGCCGACGACAGACGACGATGCATAGATATCGTATCCTTGTGTAACAGCTCGATTGTCCATAAAGAGACAACGAGTGAAATCAATGTTTGAATTGGACAATGAGACTGCACCTCCGTTGAGAGCTTGATTACCGACAAACGTAACGGCACCAACGACAACCGATGAGTTTACAATCGAGAGAGCGCCTCCTGATGAACCGACACAACGATGAATACCAATGTTTGATAGCTTAAAGAGAGTGACATTCTTGACTGTAATGGCATTACCTACATTCTCACAATCAATGATTACTTGTGCATCGTTGAATTTAACTGAAACGTAGGTTGTTTGTTTGGGTGGTGATTGAGCTCTGTTCAAAAAATAAATGACAATAAATATAAAATAAAATAAATAGAAAAGAATTATGATTAATTAATAAAACCATCTTCACATGATCATCACATCCAATATTTCCATTATTATTATTATTTTTTTTTAAATTATTTTTTAATTTTCTTTTTCTTTTTTTTTTATCTCTATCTCTATGTTTTTATGTACATACATAATATGCAAAGGAAAATTGATATCTAAACCTTTGTTTTTAGATCCACGATAAATACCATCTTTGACAATGATGGTAGTCAAGTCTTGTTGTTGGTGGTGGCTGTTTTGAAGAAGCCAATCGATGTTGACAGCCGACGACGACCTGTTACTACGCAAGGCGGTGATGTGTTGGATAGCATCGACAAAGTTGGAAAAGGGTGACATCTCAGTACCACAGTCGACTAGGCACAATGAGTTTTTGTCAACATACACTACCTGTGGTTGCTCATTGGTGTCTCTGTTACTACTCTGTACTTTGACCACTGCCAAACAGACAACAATTAAAAAGAGAATGATAACCTTATTATCTCTAGTCATCTTATCATATGACTCTAGTTTAGTGATGCTCTTTTCTATTGGGCCAGCAAATCGTCAAAACTCAGGCAAATTTGAAATGAGGCCATCGCTCGTTCTCTTTTAAAAAAATAAATGTTTTTTGTTTTAAACAGAAACGTGGTGGTGCTGTTTCGTTTTTTCGTTAGCATCTGCTACTGATCAGATCACAAGCAAACACACACAATAACACACAGACAGAGACACACACAAACAAATATGAAAAAGTTTGGAGGAGGAGTGTTATTGGTGCTCAATGCATTGCTTGCAATGATCATCATATTTGCTCCATCACAAATCTTATCTCTTGCAACTACAAGTATGTACACCATAATTATTTATTCATCTGGAATTCTTCTAACTCTTTTTTTTTTTTTATTTATTTTTTTATCACCCTCAAAGATGTATTATATGTTGATCCATCAAATGTCAACGCATGTACGATTAAAGTAACGGATTGTGGTACATCAGTCAAACCATTTACGACGATAGGTGATGCAATCGCAGCTGCCATGCAAGGTAGTACCTCTGAGCTATCGACCAACTACAACTGGGTTGTATTGGTCAATCCAGTGCAATCGTATGTTGGAACTCAAAACATTGGAATCAACGTCCAACTCGCCAAAGGGTCGTCCATCGAACTACGTTCAATGACTGCAACCACTGTTACCATCGATTGTCAAGGTTCCGGATACTTTATGAATATTCGTTCGACCTCTCACTTTAAGATGAACAATTTCCTGGTCAAGAATTGTAATGCCAATATTGGTGGTGCCATGTCTATCGTCCAGTCATCGGCCACTCTTACCAATTGTAACTTTTTTAACAATCAAGCAGCGATTGGAGGTGCTCTTTACATTGATAGTTGCAAGTCGGTTATTATCTCTGCCACCAAGTTTGACAAAAACATAGCCTATGAACGTGGATCTGCCTTTGATGTTAACAACTCGCCAGAAGTCGAACTCTTCAATGTCGAGTTTGCCGGCAAAACATTTTCGTGTCGTCAATCGTCGGTTGTTGCAGATACCATTATCTCAGCAGAAAATGCCGGTGTCAAATGTGATGATCAATGTTCATTCTCAAAAGGAGGTACTGTCATTTGCCATCGTACCGTTGATAACATCATTGGTGACATTCTCATCCAGTATCCATTTTGTCTCCCGTCCAGAAACTCTTTGAATTGTGAAACACGTTGCCAATCAACTACCGATAGTTGTCTATCATGTGACGCATGTCCTTGTTTCATGTCCGGAGCATTCGTGACCACCGCCGTTGGAAGTTGTACCAAATCAAGATTCGTTACACCGACCATCAACTTGGACGATTTATTGCCAGGTATAACCGACAAGGTCACCATTGATATTGTCGCCTATGTCAAAGTGCCAAAGTCTGGATATTACAGCTACTCTACCCATAGTACTCATCTCGGTATCTCACTTCAAATGGACTCGCGTACAATGCTCTTGTCAGCCTACCAAAGAGAATTATGGTCATCCAATCGTACGATTTACCTCGAACAGAAACATCCACATGCTCTCTCATTCCGACTCACCTCACCAGCTACATTTGTAGCTCTCAAAAGATCGTTTTCATTTTCATTTGACAATGGACAAGGAATTGAAATGTTCTACAGTCGATCGATCTGTGGAGATGGTATATTCCATAAAGATATGACTGATTGTGATCATGATAAACATAGTATGTATTAAAATAATTTAAATCTTGTCGACAGCATTTTTGATGGGAAACTAATTTATTTTTTTAATTCTTTTTTTAGTTGTACCAGCAAGCGGAAATATAGTATGTGGTGATAATATTTGCAATGAAGATAATCCAAACGATTGTTTCCAAGATTGTTATTCACACATTACACCGATTTGTGATGCCCGTAAAGTACCAAAGAACCACATTGCTCCAGGTTTTATTACACAAGATGATACTCTTGGTGCCATTATCGACAACCAAATGATTTGGCATCTTCCAGGATCGGAACACATGACGACAGCCATTGATATTGTCTCTGGAGAACATGCTCAAAAACCAATATTCTACTTTGGATATTGTTCAGACAGCGATATTAATCTTGTTCAAGATGTGTATCGTGGATCAGTCTATGAATTACCAAAGGAATTGGCCGGGAAAATGCTTCCTCAATGTTCATTTGATACATCGACAACCACTCATTCAAGTGTCACAGAGATGAAAGAATCAAAGACAAAGAAATCAAGTATGTATAATATTATTAGATTTTTTTTAAAACTCAAACACTACTAACAATTCATATTTTTAGTGTCATCTTATAGTGGATCTATTGGAGGATCATATGATGGGGTTGGAGCCGAAGTAAATGCAGCCTACTCAAAAGATCAATCAATCACTCAAACCAACTCGAAATCAGATTCTTCTACTTCGACCATCTTTGTCACCGAAGTAGCCTGTAACGTGTCAACTGTCGAGTTGGTAGAGATTGTCTTCCACCCAACCTTTTTAAAAGATGTCAAGAAATGTAAATCTGTGAATGACATGGTCGGTGTGATCGAGAAGTACGGTACACACTATATCAAAAGTGGAGTGTTGGGAGGAAAACTCACTCAATCGACCATCACCTCTGAAGTGATGACAAGCTCGGAACAAGAGGCTGACTGGAGTGAAAGCAGTAAAAGATCGATGGGTGCATCCATAAAGACACCCGTACTCCAAGGAGGAGCATCCAACTCTGATACCTCAGACTCTACTCTTTCTGGGAAACAACAGGACGAGAAGATGGCAAAATCCGAGAGAACATCGATCGTCACACTTGGTGGATCGCCAGGATCGTATGCACCAGGAAGTTCGTCACAAGGAGAAATGTTCCAAAAGTGGGCATCGTCAATTGATCTCAATCCAGCCGTTATTTCACAGGATCTCTATCCCATTCGTGATATTATCCCATCGACATGGATGACTTCGGTTGTTGGAAAGAATGTTCAATCATTATGGAAGGATGCAGAGACAATTTACTATGACAGGAATTTGTTCAATGACAGATCACTCGCTAAAAAACAAGAAATCAAGTACATGATGTTGATATATACGACGCCATACACTGCCGAATACCTTCCCCAAATCACGATCAAATGGACCGACGTTAAAAACAAGCCAAAAGAATCAAAGATCGATCCATACTTTAAAAGAAGAAAAGACGCCAACTCTTGGTATCCCTCCTATGTCATGGACTTGAATTATGTCGTCCCCTCTGCCAATGATAAATGCTGGACGATTCCAACAGCGTTCCCTTCTTACTACAAGTTAACAGACACCTCTCAACAATATTGCCAGTATAGTCGTAAATCCATCCTATCACCGCTTCGATTTGACTTTGTGTTGGATGCCGACTTTTTAACGAGTATCACCAGACCCGTTATCACAGTCACCGATGTTCCTTTAGCCATCGATCCAACGTTTTCGATTGTCAGATTTGAATCGTCGGAAGGTATCATATTTGACAAGAACGGCGGATACAAACCATTCGCCAAAACCTATGTCACCACGGCAGTATCGCACCTTTTTGGACCTCATCTTGTTGGACCATTGGATACCTACTTGCGCACGCCTTCAACCCCTGCATCTGCTCTCAGAAACGGGCTTGCAAATTTTTACAAACCCCAAGAATACTCTACAATCAAAGACACTATCCAAATCTTGTATACCAATCCATCAGCGACAGAAGCAACATTGGGTGAACACCAATTCGTTTGGGAGGTTAATAATGAACACAGATACACCTACGGCTATTTCTCGCATCCCTACACCACCGGCACACCTACCTATCGTTACAAGAACATCTATCAAATCGGAAGCACTGCTCGAGTCGACTGGGCACTCTCCATGGAACCCCAACCATCCATTTCCTCGTGGAAGCGAAAGGCCCGTTACCATCACACTGCAATGAACTTTTATGCTGAATTCACTCCAACTATTAGTGGCAGCTCCATGAACATGAAAATCGAATCGATGGACCCAAATAGATTTGAATGGCTGTACACTAGAAACTATGTTAGGGAAAGAGAGATTATGTATGATTAAATAATCACTTTCACAGTGGCAAAATAAAATTAAACTTTATTTGACTACGTACATATAAATATATTTATATATCATATATTTATATTTATTATTATACATATATATTAGTGGTATTGAAACAGATGAACAACAAGTTATAAGAGAATAAAGTTGTTTTATTATAATTTTTAAATATTGATTGAAAGAGGAAGAATGTCGTGTTTTATAATGCTAACAGTTGTAACTTTTGAGGTTGACAAGTCGAATGTCCTTGGTAAGGTGCCATAGATGGTCGAGTACTTTGTCTCAAAGGGCATGCGAGCAGGAATCGTACACATTCCCTCTCCACTTCTCACTCCAGGAGCATTGGGACAATACTGAACGATGTTGAATGCATTGATTGTGTAGCTAAAGGTGATACCCTCATTTTCAAATGACGTAATGGGCTCAACCGACAATAATTGAAGATCACCAAGATATGGGCCCGTGTAGTGAATTGCATTAGTCGCAGTAGGGTTGTAATCCACCGTATAGCTGCCAAGAGTACCTTTCTGGGTGATTCGTATGATTGGATAGAGAGTGCAAGTGGTACAATCACCAATTTTGGTCATTTGAATACGGAAGCTAAATGTTTTGGTGAGCAATTGATTCCAGATATTACCATAGTAGACAAAGTTGTAGAAGCGACCAGTGACCACATCATAGACATCGAATGAGGTTTTGCTGGTTGGATATCCAGCGACAGCTATTATCTCACCGATCGGTAAAACAAATAGTGCTCCCGAGTCTAAAGAGCTGGCTGGTGGTGTTCTGATTATTCCATCTGCCGTTTTAATAGTAAACGAAAGTAGATACGGTGTACCAACAGATTGGGGAGTATTCAAATAAAAAATCGATTCATCTGTTTTTAATGCTATTATTATTTTTGGTTATTGATATTAATATTAAAGATAGGTGGTAAGTGTTGGTCATATCGAGAGCAATATGGTAGGAGGGTTGTGTGTGGAATAAACATACATTCAATTTGTTTAAATTCGAGTTTGCTTGCAAAATGTTTGTAAAGGTGAGCGATTTCAGCTTTGTTCCACATCGATTGGATGGTTTCGATTGAACCTTTGACGCGCCAGTTTTCGGGGATCAAGTCAACAATGAATCCATACTCTTTCTTGATGGGTACGGGCAATAGATCGACACCTTTTGCCCATTCACCAAAGTTGTTGTTGGCTCCCTTGGTGTCTGGACCAAATGAACCTGGTGGACCACCTTTGGTCATGATTGTCGTTGATGCACTGTCATCTTCAAACTTGTTTTGTTGTTCGTTTGTGATTGAGTTGTCGGTACCTTTCTTGTAGTTGGCACTGACCTTGAGTACTGGCGACGACACCTTGGCAGACAGAGAAAGTTGAGTATTTTTTGCAATATCAGAAGATACCTTTCCTTCAAAGCTCGAATGAGATACGACGGTAATGTGTGTCAATGAACCACCCATCACAGCACTTTTGAGGTACAGTGAACCGTACTTGGCGACAACCAATTCCATTTTGGCTATAGTGTCTGCTTGTGCAACATCCCTCACGAAATTGGGATGGAATGTCATATTCTCGGCGGTGATGTGGACACGAGTAGTCTCACATAGAACAGTGTCAACCATGATCTGACCAGATACCTTCTTTTCGAGATCACTTGCCGATTTGGTAGAAGAGGATTGAGAGAATGCAACACTGGCTTGAATTGATACTCCCCAATATGCTGCACCAAGATTGGCTGAATCAGCCACACTAATGTCGTCTGCCTTTTCTTGAGAGACTTGAGAAGATGACGAATAGCTTTTGGTTGAGGCTGAATATGAGCATTTTGGTGTCGGGATTGCATGTATTCCTTTGGGTACTGTGTACACTAGACCACGATACAAGTCATGGACTGTAGAGTATGATGAATTGTCACAATATCCAAAATGGAATACAGGTGCATTTGTATATTCATCAGTCACAATGTCGATACCGTGAGACAAGAGTTGGATACCTGGCAACGTGTACATGTATTGGTTGTTGAGGGCTGTTCCGACAAAATCCATCTTGGAATAGGTTGGATCGAGACGGTGAGGTGTGGCTTGTTCTGGACACATATCGGAGATAATATGATAACAATCTGCGAGACAATCTTCTGGTATCTCACTACAAATTCCATCACCACAAGTATCTTTGGATGGATCCAAAGTCTTTTGATCAGCAACACATTTATAGGCTGGTAATTTCTCTCTATCATCCAAAATACCATCATTACAAACTAAAAATTAAATTTAAATATAATTAATTAAATTTGTTTGTGATATAAATATATAATTTTAAACAGCTTAAAAAATGGTACTTACTATTTTTGGAATAGAATGGATCAAGTAATACGAATTGTTCACCATCGGCTTTTCTTCTCCAATAGATCTTGAGGTTGGCACCAAAGGGGTAGTTAAAATAGGGTACAGCCTTGGTGATGGACAAACGAAGATGGTGTACATTGGTGGCTGTCAGTCTAACTGATCTCGTTGTATCGACTTTGGAAAGGGAAGCGGCACTATAGACAATGTCATTTCCATCGACTGAAAATACAAAACCGGAATTACTACCGACGAATTTGAATTCATAGGTAGCATGCTTATTAATCTTGAGGTAGGCATTCATAACAGCATATGAATGGCCAAGGGTGACAATACTTGGTGACAATTGAATAATGTCAGCTGCAACTGTGATTGGAAGTGCAGGCATATTCTTGAATATTTCAATCTTCCATCCAGAGGCAACACAAGAACAATCCGATGGGCAATAAAGGCATGATTCTCCATCGTCACATACATTATTGTTGTTACAACTCTCAGTATAGGTACTAAATACTTTAAATATATATGCCCAGGATACTAAAGGTAAAGATAATTATGTTAGTATTTGATTAATTGAATAATTGATAGATATCATCATACCTGTTGGTGGAGTGGGACATGTACGATCGAGAACAGTGACGATACCAGTGGGTAATGATATAGTAGATAGATCACCTGCTATTTTGAGACCTTCCATAGTTGTGGTACTGTCCATCGAGAGGTATGATGAATCGAGTTTAATCGATACCGAACCTCCAGTAGAATACATATCACATGGCTTTTGATTGGTCATTGATAGGCCGACGACAGACGACGATGCATAGATATCGTATCCTTGTGTAACAGCTCGATTGTCCATAAAGAGACAACGAGTGAAATCAATGTTTGAATTGGACAATGAGACTGCACCTCCGTTGAGAGCTTGATTACCGACAAACGTAACGGCACCAACGACAACCGATGAGTTTACAATCGAGAGAGCACCTCCTGATGAACCGACGCAACGATGAATACCAATGTTTGATAGCTTAAAGAGAGTGACATTCTTGACTGTAATGGCATTACCTACATTCTCACAATCAATGATTACTTGTGCATCGTTGAATTTAACTGAAACGTAGGTTGTTTGTTTGGGTGGTGATTGAGCTCTGTTCAAAAAATAAATGACAATAAATATAAAATAAAATAAATAGAAAAGAATTATGATTAATTAATAAAACCATCTTCACATGATCATCACATCCAATATTTCCATTATTATTATTATTTTTTTTTAAATTATTTTTTAATTTTCTTTTTCTTTTTTTTTTATCTCTATCTCTATGTTTTTATGTACATACATAATATGCAAAGGAAAATTGATATCTAAACCTTTGTTTTTAGATCCACGATAAATACCATCTTTGACAATGATGGTAGTCAAGTCTTGTTGTTGGTGGTGGCTGTTTTGAAGAAGCCAATCGATGTTGACAGCCGACGACGACCTGTTACTACGCAAGGCGGTGATGTGTTGGATAGCATCGACAAAGTTGGAAAAGGGTGACATCTCAGTACCACAGTCGACTAGGCACAATGAGTTTTTGTCAACATACACTACCTGTGGTTGCTCATTGGTGTCTCTGTTACTACTCTGTACTTTGACCACTGCCAAACAGACAACAATTAAAAAGAGAATGATAACCTTATTATCTCTAGCTGTCATCTTATTTGTCATATGGCTATTGTTTAATGAGTATCGCTCGTTTCTCTTTTCTGTTGGCCTTGACATGATCATGACTGTCATCTTTTAAAAACGAAAATATTTTCTTCAAACGAAAACTCGAATCGATCAACTTTGTGTTCAGATTCTCGAGATATAGACGACGATGCAAAAGCAGGAATTCTAACACTAAACATCATTCTTGGTAAAAAGAATTCTATAAGATTTATATTTTTCTTATTATTTTGGTAAGAGTATCTCGAGACCTATCTATTTATATATCTTACAAGTCACCAATCGCGTCTAACCCAAATATTTCTATTCTATTCTATCTAATCTATCTAGTTATCATGCATTGATTGTTATTCTATCATTGTATTTTAATAACCATCTCATGTTGGTATCTATTGTATCCTTACCAAAAGTATATAGTCTCTACAAAGATGTGTTGGCAGGTGACACCAAGACGATTCATCTCAAGACTCTCTATGCTCTCACTCCCAGCTATCTCTTATACTGTGCTTCTATTATTATTCATGGTCCTATATAACATTTACATAAATAAACAAATATGTATGGTAGTTGAAACAATGGTGAAGTCCTGGCATTATCACCTAGTAGTAGTATTAGTAGTACTACGACATCTTCGGCTACAAGTAATCAACTTCAGAAAGCACAACAACAACAACAACAACAGAATAATAATAATAATACAAATGATGAACATGAATATGGTACTCGATTACACCAACCAAGAGTATCTCTTGCTCTGGATGTTGGCCTGTTCAAACAATAGTCAACAATATTATCTAAATACTTGTAATCCATCGGCATTTAATCTATCATTTATTTCAAAATCTCCAAATATCTCTCCACTCTTGACTGTTTTAAATGAAGTAAGAAAAAAGAAATGAAATATCAATATTTAATTATTTCCATTTATTTATTAATTTAATTATTTATTTTTGAAAAAGATTATTAAAAAATTAGAAATTTATAAAAGAGTATCAATTATAAGAAGAAAAGATATTAAAGCTTATAAAACATTATTAAATGTTGCACCGACAGTACAACAATATATCCGAGAATTCTAACCAAAAAGCCAATCGCATCGAGTTGGCATGCATCGGCATACCTCATGACAGCGTACTGCGTGGCAACCTTTTTCATACCCTCTCCCAAGATGTTTGACCGCATATCGGGAACACCACCATTCTTTTTCGAGACAATGATGCTCATCAACTTTGACTATTGTTTCCCCAAGTCGTCAGGTACTATCGCATCTATGAAGACTACCAATCCGATTACGCACTGATGAGTGACCCCGTCGAGCGACTCGAGTCTCTCAACCGTCTCTGGGACGACTGCTTTAATTTGGGTGGTGTGTTATTCTGCAGTTCCGAAAAGATTTTTAGGCAACCAACAGGACATTTAAATTATTTATTGTAATGGTAGTACTCAAGTATGGTTGGCTGGTGGTTGTCCATTTAATGCATTGGATAGAAAGTGGATTGGTTGGTTGGAACGATACAAATATTTTTGTGATATCAGACGATTGGTGAGCAAGTTTGCATTGCCAATGATGCATCCTGTGATCTGGTACTTGATTGGTCGATGTTGTTGCTGTGGTGTGGTCGAGTTTGATGGTACCAATGCTGCACCATTTGATGGTCTGGTACTTGATTGGTTGATTGGTGTAGAAAAGTTGGTTGTTGTTTGTTGCTGTGGTGTGATCGAGTTTGGTGGTACCAATGCTGCACCATTTGATTCCCTTTGGACCTCTGACTTGCATGACTCTTTACTTTTCGACAGTCCTCCTCTTAATTCCATGGTCAATGTAACCTAATGCTCTTGGTTTGCAGATTTGATTCATATTGATATTCCAAATACATAGTGAATCTTTCAAATAATCATCCTTGTGCACCTAAAGATAGATAAGGTCCACCACTACCGCATCTGGATGTATCCTACACCGCACAAACGTTCATAGCTGCTACAAAGGGGAGGATGGGGAGGATTTTTAATAAAAGTATGATGGTTTGATAATTAATTATCTCTATTGTATTGCAACAATGAACTATCCCAATTAAAATTCATAGTGTGTTTGGTTTTTGGGCAAAAAAAAAAAAAAAACAAATAAATTAATTAATTAATCAATTAGCTGAGACATATGGGGTTGACCAGCTTTTGTAGTAGTCATATGTAAAGAATGACATCTGCTCTATCTACATAAACTTGATTAAAGCAACAATCATTCAGTAATCAATTTTGATTTAAAAGGGGATGTTTAGTAATAAAAAAAAAAATGAATATTTATTTATTAATTATTTAGTTAGTTAATAATTATTATATTAGTTGGTCCATGGTTCATTGTTTACGAATCTTGTAATCATATCGTATGCGCGTGCGCTTTGGTCAAATGGCACAATGTGGCCTGCACCACGAACAACAACTTGAGTTAAGTTTTGGTAATGTCTGACGTAACCGGCAACATCGATAGTATCGGTTGGAATGTACCAAATGACTCTATCGGTTTGGATAAACGAACCTATACCCGACCACGGGATAGTACGAATAAAGGTTTCGGTAGTGGATACACCAACGATGAAATCAAATTGACCATTGTAAAACATAACCTTGATATTCTCGATGAGTGTTGGGATCAATGGTTTGACAGACTTGGGGATATCCTCTTGTAATGCCAAATACACTTCATTGTTATCTTGGAAGTAATGGTTACCAACATGTAACAAATTACGAATAGATGATTGATTTACAAATAATTCAAAGTTTCCTCCATAACTTGGTCTAAATAAATTAAAATTTAAAAAAATAATGGTATTAATATTAATATATATGTGGACATGGATATATAGATGAATGTGTGTATGTTATGTTGTTATGTTGTTATGTTGTTATGATGTTTCTATTTATACATACTCGACAGTACGACGAATATCATAGTAGTCAGGTTCACCAGTAATATTTTGGAAATAGTCAGGTGGACCGTTGATGAGGTCGGTAAAGAGGTCGTTGGCAATACCCCATTCTTGTTGGTTGATAGCTTCAACAATCTTGTCTTGGTACATCATCATAGTCTCTTGTTGGACGATATCAGCCAAACCAGTGTAATAGGCAAGGTTGGCATATTGAGTGACTTGGGTGACTGGATCACACAAACCATCACCAATGGCAACACCAGCCAAATTAATCTTTACAGATAGATTTGGATTTTGTTGTAAAATGTAATAAGCAAATGCTGGAATATATTTACCTGCATAACTTTCACCTGTAATATATAATCTAAACGAGAGAGAGAGATAAGTAATCTTTGTCAAAGATTGATGTAAACTAATTAGTTTAACTTACTCATTATCAACATATTGTGGGAATACTTGATAGAATTGAATTAACAATTGATGAAGATTGTAAGCAATTTGGTCTTGATTGCTTGAGCAACCGGCAACCTCACTACTGTAACTGAAACCAGTATTAACAGGGTTATCAATATAGATCATATGATAATCAGTATTCCATGTAATATTTCTTGGTACCATTGTTAAATTATTTAAAATGGCAAATGGACCCTAAAATCAAATTCAAACAAAAATCATAATTAATATATTTCCAACAAATAAGAAATAATCCAATTAATACTTACATTTTCAGAGAACAAACCAAATAAACTAGATCCACCAGGTCCACCTATAAACAAACAAATATTAGTTAACTTCATTCAAAATAAATAATAATAATATTTTGTCTAATTTTACCTTGGAGCCAAATTAAAATGGGAGCATTTTGTTTACCAGATTGAGCTTCAAAGAACCAGTAAAAGAGGTTTTGGTCATAGGTTTGATTGACGGTGAAATAACCTGAATAGGTGAATGGAGTGACATCGTTGATTGGATCATTGACATTATCCAACATTGAACAACGACCAAAAGGTGCCATATTGATATCAACACATGACTTTCTTCTAGCAAGTTCTGGTGTATCCAAATAATCACTTAGAATTAATGGTTCTCCTGCATCTGATCTGATGATGACGATGATGATGATGATGATTTGAAATGAATAAGTGAGTTGAGTGTCAGGTGTCAAGACAATTGTCTACTACTACTACTACTACTACTACTACTACTACTACTACTACTACTACTACTACTACTACTACTACATACTCTGAATCATAATTATTTAAAACATGTGATGGTACATGATCAAACTTTAAGTTGTTTTCAAAGAATGGTGATATTCTTTTCGATGTTGCAATTGCAACAAAGATTGCAAGTAATACTGCTAATATTATTCTCATCTTTCTTATCTCTCTCTCTCTAACCAAATTATTTGTTTTGATATATGATAGAAATCTAATGAACTAGAGGAGAGTTATTCAATTCAACTTTTAACACACCATAGTCATCGGCGAAGATCATCATGTCCCCCCCTACAATAATTTATTTAAATTTTTTAAACGGCGGATGATGATAGGTGTGTTCGTTAAAAGGAAAAGTTGTTTGAACTATTACAATGATTCTTTTATTCCATCACAAGACCGCATGTGTATTTTGTTAGTTATATAACTCTCGTATTTTTAAAGTTATTATTTGATCAAAACTATTTGATCAAAACAAATAAAGATAGATCGATCTATTGCGATTGATGTGTATATTATAATTCTAGGTTCAGCTCGTCTGAGACCACAAGTCATTTGGAGGTCGCGAGAAATATCCTGTGAAAGGGAATTGTTTTGTGAAAAATTGTTATTATTATTGGTCGACATCATCATCCATCCCTACAACCCACCCTCTTCTTTGTTCTGTTTTATAGATTGAATTTGAAAAGAGATAGATAATATATATCAAGAGAGAGGAGAAGGAGAGGGAGAAAGAGAAAAAGAAGAATATAATAATATTATTATTGTTATCTCTTTTTCAAAAAAAAAACAACAGTACTACTATCAACATTATTATATAGTTATATAGTTATATAACAGTCTACTCTACTCTACTCAAGGTATACTTTTACCTACTTTTCGAGATGTCAGAATTTCAAGGGAAACTGTTTGTAACAGTTATACAAGCACAAAATTTAAACATTAAAAAGGAAGAGTCATCGTCGGCAGCAGGTCAATTTGTAGGTGCTCTGTCCAACAATATGTTGCAGGGTATTGAAAAGATACAGTCCTTTTCTTCGACACACGTCAAAAAGTTGGAATCTATCTTTACAGTACCCGGACAATTCGTTCAAGGTATAGGCAGTCTTTTGACTGGACAAGATCAATCGGCTGCTGCTGCTGCTGCTGCTGCTGCATCACCTATAGTAGAGACAGGACCAAAAGATATACCACAAGTTGGAGCAATCTGTGCAGTTACAGTACCAGCAGCAAAAGATGATACACCACAAGTATTTAAAACGGTGCGTGCATCAAGTTTGGTGGAACCAGTTTGGAACGAATCCTATTCATTCAATGTATTTGATCCATGTTCACGTATCGATTTTCAAGTGAAATTGGATTCAAACGATGGTGATGATTTCTTGATTGGTAAAGCTTCGATTCAACTAGACGACGAGTTACATCTTTTCGGTCAGAAACCAGCAGCCAAATGGATCTATATTCGTAAACGTGTAAAGAATGGAGAGATTGCCGACGACGACGACGTCGACAATTATCGTGAAGATGAAGTGGTCGGTCGTATCGAAGTTCAAATGCAATACAAGTTTAGAAAGGTTTGGGAATGCGTCTATCACGGTAAAATGCTCTACATTGAAAAAAACTATACCGATGCTTTGGAACAATTGGCTGAAGCAATTGAAAAAGTACCTGCAAATCCTAAAATTTATTCTGTCATTGTTGATTGTAAGAGAGAAAGAGAAAAGAAACTAAACTTCAAGTTGTATTTATATATTAATATATACTCTTTTCATTTCTATAGGTTACTTGGGATTAAAAAATAATTTAAAGGCAATTGAAAATTGTGCAAATATTATTAAATATGATCATAATGGTACAAAGGGTAATTTAACGATTGCAAAGGTATTAATGGCAGCTGGACAATTAGAAAAGGCACAAGCTTTTATTGACAAGGCTAAAAGATCATCACCAAAGAGTGAAAGAGTACAAAATGCTCAATTGGAACTAAGTCATTTGGTTGAAGTTGATAAAATTAACAAATTAATGGATAATGCTTTTGGTGAATTTTCAAGGTAACCTAAAGTAGAAAAAAAAAGAAAAGAAATAATAATATTAATAATAATAATTTATTTATGAATTTTCTTTTTTCATTATTTTATTTGTTAGAAACGAATTTCCACAAGCAATTGAAACATTTAATAAGTGTATAGAAATTAATTCACATAGTCCAGTACTTTATGAATTAAGAGCATTGTGTCATATGGCATCAAAGAATAATGCAGCAGCTATTGAAGATAGTAATAAGATATTAGAGATTGATCATAATTGGCCACGTAAAGAGACTGTCTTGTCTGGTTTTATGAACAAAGACGGTCAAATCAATGTGATGGCAAAAAAGAGATGGTTTGTGCTGAAATCACACTTTTTATTCTATTTCAAAGACCAAAATGACTTGCAACCACAGGGTGTCGTTTGTTTGACCGATTTTGGGTGTGCTCCAAAACCTGGTCAAAAGTCAAAGTTCCAGGTAAAGACTCGTGATAGAGAGTATTATCTAAAGGTAGACACACCGGAAGATTTTGACAAATGGGTCAATCAACTCACTAAAATGTCTCGTACAAAGTTAAAGCTGCCATTGCTAAAGACTTGTCAAGACCAGATTGTATGGCGTAACATTTATCTTGTAAAGGATGAATTAGAGGGCAAGACTGGACAGTACAACGTAGCCGATGTATTGATGCTTCCCGAAACCTTGTTTGTCGAGAGTGGCAGATTTGCCTTTTCGATTGGTGACAAGATTAAAGCAAAGTTCCACTCGATTGTGCAGGCCGAGTGCTCGCGTGTTGGTTGGCTCTACAAGATTGGTCAAGTTAACAAGGAATGGCAAAAGCGTTACTTTATGATTCACAAGGATACACTATACTATGTCAATATCAAAGATGGTGATGAAAAGGCTCTTTCCATCACACCAACTGGTATCTTACCATTGACTGGTGCAAAGGTTGATCTTCATCCAGAGGGTGTTGCCAAAGCACACTCATTCTCTATCAACACTGCCCTACGTAGAAACTTTATCATTGCAGCCGACGACCAAGAGTCAAAGGACAAATGGGTTAGAGCTGTTCATGTAGCTGCAGGTACTGTTCAAGATAATACTAATGATAAAAAGGATGGAAGCGGTAGTGGTAGCAGTACAACAACAACAACAAGTGGAACAGGAACAGGAACAGGCAAGACTACTGATGAAAATCAAGAGGATGCACCAGTCCCATCATCAGAAACTATCTTTGCCAATCGTTCACGTCGTATTAAATCTTTACGTGCTGTTCCATCAGACATTGAAATCCAACTTAAAAAGGAACAAGAAGAATCTAGATTCACATCACCCAAAGAACAGAAAAAGATTGGGTTCAATGAAATGTCTGCATCCGAGAGTAAATACTTTAGCAAATTTAATCTTCCAATCGATCATCAAAACGCAGCTCCAGTAATCATATCAAGTAAACAAAATATTGATCAATCAAATTCAAATTTAAATTCAAGTACATCTGGTACAAACAATAATAATCAAAATAGTAGTAGTAATAATAATATAAATTCATCATACAGTCCACAATTAACAAGTTCAACACAAATTACATCGGTCAATACTGGTAGTTCAAGTCCACACAATTTAAATAGTATGGTAGAAGATGAAACCACCATTGAAGAGGATGATGTTGGTTTGGTTAGTGGAAAGAAAAAGAAAAATATTAATGATTCAAATGAAATTGATGATGATGACAAAAAAAGATGTTGTAAATGTGTAATCCAATAAATTAAATAACAAAAATAAAATAAATTATAATTATAAATAATAATAATATTTAATATTTAACAAAGAATACACCAAAGTAAAGTAAATCCAAGACCCAAGAAAAAAAAAAAAAGTGGATTTTGATTTTTTGGAAACCCAAAAATTCCAAGGGTTTGGAATTAATTAATAATTGGGTATTTATCAAACTTGATTTTAAGAAAGGTTTAAATAAGAGATTTTTCTAATCTTTATCTTTCATTATTATTTTTATATTTAAAGAAATGGAAAAAAAAATACTTTACAATTCAAAAATAACAAAAACAGATTATTTACTTTTAATTGGAATATCAATTACAGTTATTTTATCGCTATCTATATTATATTATAGATTTGTATTAAGAAAAAGTCAACTTTTAAAGAATCTAGTTAGATTGATTTATCTGTTGGCAACGATATGGTATTTGGATCAATTATTTTCAGTGCCTGTACCTGTTTGGTTGTCTCATCATTCTCCATATGACCGAGTTACATTTAACACTGGGCAAATCATCACTCTTAATCAAACGACCAAGAAAGCAGAGGATATAGTTGGAACGCTTTCACCATCAAAGTCATTCCCATTGATTAGAATGGAACATGGTCATCACTATTTAATGCAATTGGATAGCGAGTCTATCAAAAATGGTGTTCAACTTTTCAATACTCATCATCCAGATGTTTTGCCATGTTCCTACCACGATATTCTCTGCCAACCTGGTGTTAAAGGTAGAATCGAAAGAGCTGTCTTGAAAAAGCAAGTACTTCCAGAATATGTGCTTGTCTATTCTCAATCGCCCAACCCAGTCAATTATACAATCCATTATCGAATGTGGGAGAATAGTGCCTTTGAAGAAAGAGATATTGTCACTTGGATTCACTACCTATTGTTTTTTGTTAGTTTACCATTTTTATTAATTCCAATGTATGCTGAATTATACAATGTAATTGTTTATAGTTTAAAACAAAAAACAAAATGTGAATAAACCTAAAAGTAATAAATAAATAATTACTCTTTTAAAATTACATATATATATTTCTTCTAATCGCTATCTTCTTCGTCTTCTTCGTCTTCTTCATCTTCTTCATCGTCTTCATCTTCATCATCTTCTTCATAGTCTTCGTCATCTTCATCTTCGTCATCTTCTTCTTCATCTTCTTCTTCATCATCGTCAAAATAATATTCTTCGTCATCTTCATCATCATCTTCTTCATCTTCATCTTCTTCATTATCATTTGAATCACCTTTTGGTAAAGGTCTTGAGACTAGAATTGAGATTAAATCTTGAATTTGTTGTTGTGGTAGTTCTCTATTTTCGACTGGGACGATTACATTTGAAGGATTTGGATTATTATACAAATCTTGTTTGACAACCGATACTATTGGACTACCATCATCCAACAATTGAAATGTAATAGCTCCACCAACTTTCATTCCCAAGTAAAGTGCAAATCCTCCACATGGTTGTCCAGCCGATACATGATTAAACATTTTCGAATCACAATCAGTCTCTTCACAAAATGTTTGCATACATTTTATACAAATCGTTCCAATTTCTCCTTTACATTTTTGACAAACATTATTTAATTTAATTTCTTCATTTATCTTTTCCTAAAATAAATAAATAAATAAATAAATAAATATAAATATTAATAATTATAATATTTTTTTTTTCTGTTTTCTTTACTTACAAGATGATTATTATTTAAATGAATAATTGGTCTATTAATTTGTTGAGGTGGTGGTACAATACCATAAGGTTTATGAGTAGAGATTGAAAGATATTGATCAATTGATTGATTAAAATCAGTTGATTGAATATGATCTATCAATTTGTTACTACCAAGTGTAAGAGCGTCGAGTAACCAAGAACTATTATTAAATTGGTCAATTGAAAATGTATTGGGTAGAGATTGGAGTATTGATTGTGCAGTATCTAGAGCAGCGGTATTTGTTTTAATTTTCATTAACCAATCCAATAAAAATAATTTCTTTAAAAATACAGTTAATTGATTATCCAATTCTTGTAGTGTCGCATTATTTTCTTCTTTTCCGATTGAATTGATAAAATCAATGATTGATTGTTTGGTTGGAGGTGTAGAGGGAGTTGAATGGTGGACATAATGATGATGAATTAAAATATTGGTGATACATTGTTGGAATGATTGCTTCTTGTAATCATTGACAAAGTTTGATCCAAATGTTGACAAAGCAGCTGCTACAAATGAATCCATCATGAATAACAGTGGTGACGTCGATCGATTGGCCAACGTTGACAATGGTAACTCTTCATCTGGTCTTTGATAATTATCACCATTCATCTTTATACAATGAAATAATAATCCCAATGTTTTCATTTCCATTATTAATTCTTCTTGGTTTATATAATGTTGTTGTTGTTGTTGTTGATTATTATTATTATTATTAATATTAATATTAATATTATTTAGTTGAATTGATCTTGAACGTAATTCTAAAGCTTCAATATTTTGAATAATATATTTAGACATGTAGGTTTGCATTGGGACTGGTTTGTTGGAAGAGGAGAATATCTTCATCATTGGGTCTTTATTAACACCAAGATTCTCGTAAAAGTGGACAAAACCACCTTGAGTAATGATATCGATTTTAATGGGTACCAGAATATTACTGTAAGAGTGACAAGAGGGACATGTAAACACAGTATCAAATTGAAAACCTTCTTTCAAGATACATTGAGTGTGAACATAATGATGACACGAGGTCAGGTAGGTCGATGGTGCCTTTAACAATCCTTTGGTTGCCATGTACTCTAGTTGTTTGTTTTTTTGTACTTTTTTGTCTTTGGTCATTGAAGTGGTGCTTCCCAACTCTTCATACACAGCTTTGCAATATTGACCGTATGCATCACATGATTTCGATTGTTCCATGATATCTCTAAATCTCTCTGATTTAACCAAGTCATAAGGTCTCATCGTACCTATTGCAAAGGCTGATCCTTTTCCTTTACATAAACAACATTCATCATCCATTTTGATAAATACAAATAAATAAATAAAAAGTACAAATAAATAAATAATATAGATAATGGGGTATGAATGATGATGAAGATGCAATGATCATCATACTATGAAAAAAATTAAATAAAAAAAAATGAATTTGAAGTATCTTGGGTTTTAATCAGATCTTTAAGTCGTGTGATGTCAGTGTCCTATTTTGACAAAATAGAATTATAATGAATAATAATACAGATAATCATAATACAGATAATATATTTATTATAAAAAAGAGTTTATTATTTAAATCTATATTTAATCAACCTTATCTACGGTTGATTATATTTAAAAAGGTTCATGAAATCAATAGACAAACACAAACAAATGCAAAGAAGAGGTCTGCAATGAATAGTCTCTACCACTTTTGTAAATACGGTCAAACTGATCTATTCATTAAACACTTTGATACTGTATATCATCATATTCAATCATTATCTGATCATTCTTATCTTGTATGTAAAGAGAAGAGAAAAGAGAAAAATAGAGATATCTTTTTTTTTTGAAATATTTGTGTATTAACTGATTTCTTCTATTTCTTTAAGAATGACTTTGATAGATTATCAGTAGTATTACACATAGCGGTATTTACACAAGTAGAATTAAGATTTATGATTACAAAGATTAAAGAAAGATTTGAATGGTTGACCAATGAATACAGTGGTGCTGTTAAACCATTGTTTATGCATTTTGCCAATGGATATGATTCCAAACCAATCCCACTATCAAGTACAAAGGTATTGGTGGACTGTGACATGTCCATTAAAAGTCATATAGAGTTGCATTCAATGATGGTGTCGACACTGGTGGCAACTCCAATTGACCAAAGTACACTGTGTCGCATCGTTGACAATTACCCGTGTACGCCAGGTTTCATCAAGTATTCTGTACTATTGCCAATGTTTAAACATGTAAAGCGACCGGGTGGAGCCGTGCAAGTCATCGATACATTGACCTATTTAAAGAAAAAGAAATTAATCTTTGAAAAGGAATGGCGTCTCATCTTTATTGAAGCATTGGTCAAGCAAAGTGCAGAGATTGTTAGGTTCATATTAGATGACCAAGTGTCATCTAAAAAGTTGTTCCTACCCAAGGACCAATTCACATTTGACCGGTCGACCTTTCCAACCAATGATTTTGATATGATCAAAGCATTAAAATATCTCAATGTATCATTTTCAAATATTCGTCCCGAAGAAGAGTTTATCAACATTACACTCAATTATGGAAATATAGAGTATCTACAATACTTGTACGACACAAAAGACTATGTAGAATTGTTTGACAAGAATGCCTTACCATTTGCATTGTCGAATGGGTATGCAGATTGTGCGAGATTCTTACTCGACAAACTACATATAGTCAGTCAACAACAAGACATACTCGGCATAATCAAAGCTATGGGTATAATAACAGAGTTACCACATTGGCAAGTAGAACATGTACGTCGTAATGTATTGACTGTCGAGTTTCTAGAGTATTTACTTGGATTCAATGACGTGTTGGTTAAATGCAACTTGTACAGTTTTCTACCTTTGGCTGTCGTGTCCAACAAGACTGATGTAATCGAGTATCTGCTCGAGTACGAGGACAAGCATCACACCACCGTACATCTCGATCACATTGGGTCGTTTAGCAGTGCACTAGAGTCAAATATAGAGTCTCTCCAGACACTATTCAAGTATTGGCATAGTGTCAAGCAAATGTACTATATTGACAGGATAGGCAATAACATCAAACTTGATAATTTGCAACTTGCATTTTCATCGATGACTCAACCCGCCAAAATGGTAGTCGTCACACAAAACTTTACAGACCTACGACCAAAAGTATTAAGACTATTGGTCAATCACAACTATATTCAATTGGACAAATTGACTCTAAGTCAAACTGTCAATTTGATTGAAAACTGTATATCGGAACGTGACTTTGAAATGCTGCAACTATTGTTTGTTGATCATTTATACTACTTTTTCGATGGATTATTGGATGTAGATAGAGAAGATGAAAGGTTGGAAGAAATGGATGCAACCAATCTTTGTAGATTGGCCGTTAAATTGTGTAAAGATGAATCACTGTTTAGCGATTACACTGTCAAGTTTTTAGAGATGACTAGAATCGAATTCAAATCAAATCGATATGAACAAACTCGACTCAATATGCTTACAGAGTTAATAGTCAATCATCACATAAATGACAATCCAATACGAATGCAACTCATCGACACTATCATGAAATCATGTATCCAAAAGGATAACCAGTTTGTTTGGATATTTTGTGATTCGAATATTCACAAGTATATGTTAAAGTATCTATGGAATCAAACAGATTTAAAACAAAAAACCAATCACCTTCTCGTAATGAAAATTGTCGATAAATTAATGACACAACCAGAATATTCCAACAATGCAAACAACACTCAACTCCAAGTCGAACAAATCATTCGATACTATGGTAAATTATATAATAACAATGTTGATGGTATTAGACTCAAGTATGAAATGAAACCATTGATATCTCCTATCATCCGTTTCCCATCTTGTTTAAATCATCTAAGATATATTGTAGATTTATTTTATTGTCAACCTAAATCTAAATGTTTATCATCATCCTCATCTTCAACTTCAACGAAACAATTAAAATATGATCATGTTGAAACTTGGAAAATTGATTGGTATCAATCTATTATCAATAGTGCTCTATGTTATGGTTGGATTGATGAAAGTTTTAAAGAAATTAACTTAAATAAATAAATTAAATAAATTAATTATTTTAGCAGCGAACCTATGACCTTTTTTTTTTTTGAATAGCCATTGATTCATTGTAGTTTGTCTCTCTCTATCTCTCTCTACTCAATGATGACAAATATAGATAAATTATTTCAAAGTGTTATAGGTAATCTATTCATTAGATCATTGATATATGGTCACGTGACTTTAATTCACAAAAAATTATGTATTGGAGTAAGAAAAGAACAAGATTTGTTATGTTTGTATGATTTTATAAAGTATGGTAGATCTGATCTATTCATTAAACACTTTGATACTGTCTATAACAATATACTACAATTTAATTATACCTATAATAATGGAAAAGAGTTTGAAGTATGTAAAGTAAAGAATCTAGATTGGATTGTACCTAGACCTATAATATATTATATTATTGATTCATTTCTTTTTTTTTGTAGAATTCTATCTATTATTATTTATCAATTTTAATAAGATTTATATTGCAAAAAAATGATGATAGATCATTAAAACATATGTTACAAGTGATAAAAGATAGTATACCTAATCTTCAAGTCAAACATCAAGATGAATTAAAGGAGTCATTTATGGTACTGACAAATGAAAAGTTTGGTTTGAATTTGGAGGTTGGTAGCAGTGGAATGTATGTTAAAGAATGGAACCTTTCAAATGAAATGATCAATGTACTAGAACGTTATTTGACTCTAGAGAATGACATTGTTATCGAAAAGATCTTTACATCATCGATTAGATCATTAAACATTGATGCAATCAAAAAGTATGGTCCTCGTCTACCAACCAGAAACATTACACCTTTTATTTTATTTAAACAATTTAAAAGTAATAATAATAATGATCAAGACGACATTGATCATGTAGTCACTAGACAAAAGGTACAAGATATGATAGTAGTTGTAAAAGAACTTGGATTGATTAAAAATATGGATGAACTATTTATACTATCATTAAAACATGGTTGTTTGGATATAGTAAAGATAATAATAGATGAAACCCTCGTGTCTATTGATACCTATCAGTTTATTGCAGAGTTTGTAAAGACCGAGGAATTATTCAAATTAATTGGATTCGATTTCAATCGTTCCTATTCAAAGACAGTATTTACATCAAGATGTGCTAAATTTGGAAATATTGTCTACTTTAAAATGATTATAGATAGTTTCAAGAGACATGTAGATAGTCTTGATGAATCTCAAATCAACACATTCCAAGAACGGTTCTACCAAGACGTCATCTATGAGAGTTGTTATGGGCTCTTGTCTAATGGATATTTGGATTTATTTAATCTACTATTGGAAACATCCGAAATGGATGTATTCCTATCTCAAAGGAACAACCCCATCCAAATCACTAGTAATATCAATCCATCTATTTACACACCAGAATTGGTACATAGACTACTCGACCTTAAACAATCAAATCGTATTACATTTAGCTATGCAGGTCTATTTGCATCGGTTTTACGAGTTGGAACCGATCAACCAACGGTCATGTGGATGCTCAATAACCAAGAGTCGTCTGACCAAATCGATTATAAAGTAGCACTTGAACTATCACTTGCTTTAGACAACAAAGAGGTATTACAATTTATAGTAAATCAAATCAATGACAGTCCATCATTAGACTATCCATCACTCAATATTGACTCTAAATGCAATTTTGGAAATGTGTCTATTGAAACACAAACATTCTTTTTTACAACACTCAAACCTCACAAAGTTTGTATCTCTGGTATCAAACCCCGGTCGCTGCCATTACAAACGATCAGGTTGATGTATGACACTGGCCATCTCTCCAAGACACTGTTCATTTCAAACCTTATCGTCGATTGTGTGTTTTATGGTGATATGGACCTGGCAAGACAATTAGTTACCAATGTATTTGAAAAAAATCATTCAATCAGAACACATGAATTGTCATTTGATGATTATATCAAACCAGTGATACAAAAATGTTCACTCCAAGATTTATTGTATCTTTGCAAGGTGGGTGTCATAAAGAGTGATAGTATTGTATCATTCCAAAAAACACTCATTTGTGATAATTGCAGTCTTGAAACGTGTCACAACTGCACATTTTCAGAGCACTCTATTGACAAGGCGTTGGGAATTGCCAAGGCGTTACATGATGATATTGTATTTTCTTGTCATCAAGTATTGGATGTAGTATTGGCACCTTTTAAACTATTTCAACATGTATTTGACCGACCTCAACCTCTCTATCGACTAAAGGATGCCACCTCTTATTCCCCAATCAACGATCGAAAAGTGGTCACTGATAGTATCATCCGCCTCTTTACACTACCTTCTCCAACCCCTCATCCATGCTCCCATATTATCAATTGTATTGAAAGATTGATTGGTCTACTCAAGATAGATGACACCACTAAAATCATATTGACCGATACTTTGCACTCCCAAAATCGATTGGGACCAATACTTGTCCATCTCTTGACCCATTTCAAAATCAATACCGACCAATCCCCATTCCTTCCATTGACAGGTAAAATCAACCAAAGGTTATGTCAAATGCATTATTATTATGGATTCATGAATCATAATCCCTTTAGCATGGATGAATAAAACAAATTTTTAAATTTTTTATTGGTCCAAGTCATGTTTATAACAAAAACTTTGGTAGGGATAAAAAAATTTGTAATATTATTATTTATTGTCATAATAGTGTGGACATTTTTTATCGCATCGTGCTCTTTCTTTTAGATATGCATCTCTACAAGTTTTTTCAGAATGTCTCAAGCCCCAACAATTTTCTTGATTGACACCAGCATAGTAGAAACATTCTTCACAATCTTCGGCAATAATGACATTGACCACGAGCATGGCAATCAACATTAGGACCGTTAATTTGTTCATTTTGAAAGTTGTAGGTGTAGATTATATAATTGATCTTCTTTTTGATTAAGGAATTGTCTATTTAGGAACTATATTGAACAATTGTTATATATTATATCTATCTATCTATCTATTTATATGTATTCAATCAAAGAGGAACCATTTTAATTTAATTTTTTAGTCTAATTTTTGTAAATATTAATTTTTAATTTAATCCAAGAATTCACTTATTAATAATATTAAAAAGTAGTATTAGTAGTAGAATATTAATAAAAATTTAGTATTAGTACATTGATTTATATTCCTCCAATTGAAAGTTTGTGTTTTTTTTTAACCAAATTTGGTTATATGTTCACCACTTGGAGTTTTAATTTATTTTGTAGTGCGTCATACATACACTCAAGACACAAATACGATCATCATGAAACGTGTTTATCAAGATATTGATAGACAACCGTTATCATTCGTCGATGATGATGTTGATGAACCATTAGAATACAACAACAACAACAACACTTGTAATAATGATCATAGTAGTATTATTAATGATACAGATACATCAGTGTTGGCGGTAGATGGAGATAATAATGATGGTGATGATGAGAATGACAAACAATGTAATGGTGATGATGATATTATTATGATACCGAGTAAAGAGTTTATAGAGTTGGTAGAATCATGGGTAAAAGAAACACAAGAAAATCGTGATGATGAATATGACCATTTACTGATTATAAGAGATCACTTGCAAGAACACCCAAACCAAGTAATACTGAACTTGCTTTATATCGCATGTAACAATAACGATGAGAACCAATTATTCAACCACAACAATATATGTTATAACGACAATGTAAGTACAATATCAATCTTGGACCATAATATATTATATTTAATTATAATATTATTTATTTATGATTATTATTATTATTATTGGTGGTAGATATCTTTGATGTGTTTGGATTGGTTGGTGGATAGTATATGGATATGTGAAGGTAGTGACTACGATTCAATTTTAAATCTTTTAACCAATCAAACAAAGATTCAAATACGATCTTTTGTACTTGACTGTTTCGAAAATCATCCTACCCCATGGGAAGACGATTGGCCTTTATTATTTCAACGTCTACAAAAAATAGTAAATGCAATCTTGACCTATCAATGTAAGTTTGGATAAAGAATAAAAAGAAGAAGAAGAAGAAGAAGAAGAAGAAAAATACTCATTCATTTTTTGCAATAGATTATAATGATGATGGTGATGGTGGTGATGATAATGACCAGAGTATATTTAAAATTGAAACTTTCAAGTGGTTCAATCAATATAATGAAAGGGAATATGGTTCTCTTGTCAGTGTCAAAAAAAGTTTGACTATTGTTGACCAAGTATTGTTTGGAATCTTAAACACAACATCATCAGCATACTCTGAGACTGTAGTCGAAACTTTGGGTACTATTTGGAGACTTGAAAAAGCAAAAGGAAAAAAAAAGAAACAATCAAAGAAAGAGAATGACCTAAAGTATTTACCAATATTTGAACATCACCTCTTGCTAGAAGGACAACTCAAAAATGAAATGACATATGCCATATTTAATTGTCTACAGGATTTAACACAACGCGACGTAAGGTCAAAAATGATAGATTTTCTACCATTTCTAGAACAAGCCATCCCAACACTTTATCCACAACCATTCCTATGATGATCCACTTCTAATACCTTCACTATATGTTTCATGTGAAGAGTACATAGATCGTAGGGACAAATTTCCTTGTATCGAAACTTTCCAATCTTTGTCATCGACATTTGAAATAACTAGTGAAATAGTATTTCAATGTGTTCTCGAAAACATCATTTTATATTTACACCAAAATACAATAACAAGTTGGCAAGAAAGATTAACTATTTTAAAATTATTAAATTTTTGCATTCCACTAAAACAATACACTAAATATCCAGAAGACCAGATAATATTCGATCCTGTAGACAATATGTATGTATTTAATATAAAATATATTTATTTATTTATTTGTTTATTTATTTACTTTATTTATTACATATGATATTTAGAATTTTGACAATTTTAAGGAATACTGATCCCACCGCAGTTCAATTTGAATATTTAACATTTATATCAAAAGTAGTTGATCGATTCCAACCAAATGATCTCGATCCTATTAAAGAAGGTTATTTGTGTTTAATTAACCAACAGAACCCATTGGAACCTATTATATTATATCATTTATGTATCAACTTCGAAATGATGGTCAATATGAACACTCACACTCCTTTTCTAGACATTTTCACAGTTGCTTGTGAACAATCATTGCAATCAAAAAATATTGATATTGTTTGCATTGCATCAAAGTTGGTTACTGGTTTTATTCGTCCTTCTATTGTATGTTATTAAAATTAATTTATTATCACAAATATTAATTAACCAATTAATTTTATATATTTTAAGGACTGTCCAAGTTCAAACCATTTTCTCACTTCACTATTGGACGCATGTCGGAAGAATAGAAAAATTGTACAAAATCTGATTAAACATTATTACAAGTCAGTATATGAAGACCAACAACATACCTACCTAAAGGAAATCATCGATCTATTGCTAGAACACAGTGTTAAAGATAAATATGTTTTAAAATATCTTTTGGATTTTCGTATCCCCGAAACCATCAGAAAAGAACTATTACTGTATCTACCAATGATGATAAAACATATCACTGAAGAACCACAACTTTTAAAATTGATAAAGACCTTTCAAGATAGACTGTATCCCTACATTCATCATTTAATTTCTAGAGCCAAAGAATTTGAATTGCAAAAAAGAATAAGAAATTTAAATCAATATGGAAGAATACATAGCTATCGGCCTGAATTTGGGGGTGAAGATACCCCACTATTATCTTTACTTTTAATTGCACTGAGTGCAAATAGTAGAGAACACAAAAAAGAAGAAGAAATATCGAGTATCCTTCAAGACATGGTCGTCACTTTTATTGATAATGGTAACTTGCATTCACTCCAAACGTTAGTTTACATGACAACGTTCGTTGACATCTCTGGACACATAGAATTCACAACCGACCAAATATCACAAATCATCCGTTTTGTCAAAGATTCTATTTCCAATATTGTCACAATCAACGACGACTATGAAGTAGTAGGTTTTGAAGAAACCATTCAAGAAATTGCATATTTGTTAAGAGCACTAGTCATTTCATACTTTAAACAACAACAACAACATCCATCGAAAGATATTATCGAATTGCTTTCCTTTTTTACCGTATCAATCAACGATTTGGTTTCCAAGCTAAAACAACTACAACTACAACAACGACACCCCACCTTGTGTAATATCTTGGACCAATTTAACAATCCAATAGAAGAAATATATTCTGATGTAATGGTAGATTACCTATACTACTACTACGAACAGTAAAGGTAGAAATCTAGATCAATCTATCATTTTATTAATTAATAAACAATTTATAAATATAATGCCAACAACAATAATAATAATAGTAATAATAGTAGTAACAATACCACTCCATCGTCATCGGCTACTACGCCAACGACAGCATCGCCTGCCAACTCATCGCCAAGCACTAATAGCAACAACAACAATAGCAGATTTGATTTTTTTTTTTGAACACAAACTCTCATCATACATACACAAACTCAAGATACAAATACTATCATCATGAAACGTGTTTATCAAGAGATTGATAGACAACCGTTATCATTCGTCGATGATAATGATGATCATGATAATCATGTTGTTAATGATGATAAATCGATACTAGAGAACAACAACAACAACAAAACTTGTAATAACAGTAGTAATACAGATACAGATACATCAGTGTCGGCGGTAGATAGAGATAATGATGATGATAAAAATGACAAACAATGTAGTGATGATGATATTAGTATGATACCGAGTAAAGAGTTTATAGAGTTGGTAGAATCATGGGTCAAAGAAACACAAGAAAATCGTGGTGATAAAATATTAAGAGATCACTTGCAAGAACACCCAAATCAAGTAATACTAAACTTGCTTTATATCGCATGTAACAATAACGATGAGAACCAATTATTCGATGACAACAATATATGTTATAACGACAATGTAAGTACAATATCAATCTTGATGATAATGATGATGATCATGCAACATTTATAATTATTAATCATTATTTTGATTATTATTATTATTGGTGGTAGATATCTTTGATGTGTTTGAATTGGTTGGTGGAAAACGTTTGGACAGATCCAAAAACCGTGTATGGTGATGGCTTTGCTGGAGATGAAGTCAGTATAGTCGACGACTCAATATTAAATCTTTTAACCAACAAAACAAAGATTCAAATACGATCGTTTATACTTGACTGTTTGGAGAATCATGTTACACCCATTGACCCCAATACTTGTACTTTATTATTTCAACGTCTACATAAAATAGTATTCTACATCTTGACCAAACAATGTAAGTTTTACATACTGGTTGACAGATTTCTTAACAACAAACTTGGACAAGCAAACCAATTAATATTATAATAATCATTCATTTTTTACTTACTTACTTACTTACTTTCTTTTAAAAAGATAATAGTGATGATGATGTTAATCTATTTAGAATTGAAACATTCAAGTGGTTCAATCAATTCAATGTCAATGAGAAAGATCTTGATGGTGAAGATAGTGTGGCCACCAAAAAAAGGTTGACCATCATTGACAATGTATTGATTGAAATTGTCAAAACAACATCATCTGATCATTCAGAGATTGTCATTGAAACGTTGGGTACTATTTGGAGACTTTATCAACAAAATGATGTATTAAAGTATTTACCAATCTTTGAACATCACCTCTTGCCAGAAGGACAACTCAAAAATGAAATGGCATATGCCATATTTAATTGTCTACAGGATTTAACACAACGTGGTCGTTTCCTACGTCCCTTTCAAACTTATGAAATGGAGGAGGATATCATGTATTCTCTACCATTTCTAAGAAAAGCTATCCCAACACTCATCCACATCCATTATCTTCCACCACCACCACCACCACCTCCACCAAGTTATACCCCAGATGGAGTGTACTTGAAAACTTGGAGTCAAGTTCCTAGAGTCAAATCTTTTTCAATCCCAAAGGCCATAACTTGTGAAACTGTATTTCAACTTGTTCTCGAAAGTGTCATTTTATATTTACAACAACAACAACAACAACAACAACAACAACAACAAAATACAACAACAACAACAACATGTTGGCAAGAAAGATTAACAATTTTCAAATTATTAAATCTAAGTGCTCTACAACCACAAAACCCTTGGAATACTGAACGTCCAGATCCCCAAATACTCAATATTTTAGATAATAGGTATATATTATTATATATATATATATTATTATTATTATTATTATTATTATTATTATTATTATTATTATTTATTTAGTTATTTATTTATTAACTTTTTATGATATTTAAGAATTTTTTCCATTTTACAGAATGATGATCACCCTGATGTTCAATTTGAATATTTAACATTTATATCAAAAGTAGTTGATCGATTCCAACCAAATGATCTCGATCCTATTAAAGAAGGTTATTCACGTATAATCAACCAACAGAAACCATTGGAACCTGAAATATTATATCATCTATGTACCAATTTCGAACTGATGCTCGAAAATAAACTTCACACACCCTTTTTGGACATTTTCACAGTTGCTTGTGAAAAAGCATTGGCATCAAACAACATCAACGTAGTTTCCATGGCATCAATATCTTTTTTGGGTTATACTCGATACCAACAACAAACCTCTCTTGTATGTGCTCTACAAATATTAATATATATAATCACACAAGTTTTTTTGACATGATTACTTACTTTATTATTTTTTAAATTTGATTTCTACTACTACTAGGTTCCTCCAACTCTAAATCCTATAATTATTACTTTGTTGGATCGATTTAGAGGTAATACATTTATTGTAAAAAGAGTGATTGAACATTTCTACAAGGCACCAAATAACGAAAATATAAAGTACTTAAAGGTTATTATTAATCGAGTGCTACACGGAAAAGATTATGACCATCAATTCATTGATCAACATTTAATAAGACATCTCTCTAAATGGTGTACACCGGAAACAACAAGAAAAGAGTTATCTATCTATCTACCATTGATTATAAAACTCATCAATTGTACAGACGAAACACAACTTTTGGATTTAATCGAGGTGTTTCAAGGTAGATTGTATCCATACATCAATCAGTTAATTTCTCTTGCCAAAGAAATTGAATTACAGAGAAGAGGTGGTCAATTTGGGTATCGTCGAAAGGCAAGGAAGACACCACTATTGGTCTTACTTTCCCATAGCATCGCCCGTCAACACAAAGACGCACCACGATACCTTCAAGAGACAATCGACACTTTTATTGCCACCGATGACCTACACTCACTCAAACTATTGATTTACTTGACATACCTTGGAAATATAGAAATCCCAAACACCCAAAAATCACAAATCATCCGGTTCCTCAAACAAGATATGATTCCCAAAATGTTCAGTGTCCAAGCCGATCTCCAATTCCAGAGTTTTCATTACGCTGAAATTCAAGAAATTGCTGACTTGGTAGGTGCACTAGTACTATCATACTTTGACGAAGAAGAAGACCCAGCTGATGATCTTGTCGACCTAGTTTCTTTTTTGGTCATATCTGCCAATGATTTGGTCAAGCACAAACAACAACAACAACAACAACAACAACAACAACAACAACAACAACAACAACATGATACCCACAATGACTATTTACTCTCCATTTTATCAACCATTATTACCAATTTTACCAACCCAATATCAAGTATATGGTGTGACTCTGGTATGATAGGTTATATACTATGGTGTAGGGAAATTAGCCAAGAAATGGATAAAGAAGGAGAAGAAGAAGAAGAAGAAGATGGAAGAGAAGAAGCACCAACAACGACAATGGCATTAGAAGAGTAAAGAAAGATCTTTTGAACTTCAAAAAAATAAATTAAATTAAATTTCATTCAGACTCTGAAACACACGAAAGAATATTGACACACATACATAATTAGTGTGTGTTGTGTTTTGTATGTATGCATTGCGTTGCATTGTTTTAATTGTTTAAAGTAAACAAAAAATAATATATTGAAAAGAAGATATATATATATATATATAGAGAGAGAGAGAGAGATAGATATATATATATATAAAACATGACAACAACAATTAAACTTGAACAAACATCAAAAGGATGGGATCAATCAGCTGAAGGATATATGGATATGATGCAAAAGACAGGTTTTACAAGATCATTTGCCCAAGACTTACTCAATGACACTATACCATTGGATGGAAAGATTAAACAAGGTGTAAAGGTTTTAGATATTGCAACGGGTGCTGGTGCAATGTCAATCATTACAGCCAATAGAATAAAGTCGGTTGGTGGACATGTACTAGCAACTGACTTTTCATCAGAGATGTTAAAGTGTTTGGAAAAGGAGATTCAAAAAGAAGGAGGTATCAACAACATTACAGCACAAGAGATGGATGGTCAAAACCTAACACTCTCAGACAACTCATTTGACTTTGTTTACATTGTCTTTGGTCTAATGTTCTTTCCCGATAAAATACGTGGTATCACTGAAATGTTTCGTGTTTTAAAGTCAGGTGGCACATGTGGTATTGCTACTTGGTCAATGACTAATCCAACTGCTGCCGTTCTCATTGGAACGATTGCCAAACTAGACCCTTCTCGTCCACCAAGTGGACCATCTCCAGTCAACAGTCTTGCCGATCCAGTCGGTATTGAACAACTATTCAAACAAGCTGGTTTTGTCAATATCAAGGTCACACCCAAAGAGCACAGTATGGAATGCTCACTTGATGAATTTTTAGTATTCATCAATGGTAATCCAGTGTTTGCAAGTGCCAAAGAATCACTTCCCATTGCCAACCAACACCTCTTTGAACAAACCATTAAAGAAATTGCTCTTGAAATTTATCCAACCGGTCAATTAAAATTAAATTCTCTTGCTTATCTTACAACTGCTCAAAAGCCATAAATCAATCAAATACAAAGTATAAATGTTTGATTAGAAAAAAAAAATTAAATAAATAAATTTATTCCCTTGGAATATTTGTAAAGAATAGAAGAATGAATGTTAATAAACAACATTATTTATATTTAAATATATTATTATTATTATTATTACTATTAATATTAAATAATCATACCCTATACTATTATTAAATATTCTTATTATTATTATTATTATTATAATATTTCTTATTTCTTTGGAGTTTTCTTTTTCAAAGGATTCCAACTCTTTTTGTGATGAATACGAAGTGGTCTTGGTAGTTTCCAACCATGTTCAACGGCTTCTTGGGCACGTTCAGACATGACGATGGGAAGGATTTTACCTTTGATCTTACGCATCATAACCTTTCTTCCTTGATCGTCGAGGAAAATCTTCTTCTTGGCATCTACCACTTCTCTGATACTATTTGCTTGAACGATATTGGTTGATCTCTTTTTTCTCTTTTTACCTTTCTTTTCACCATCATTCTTTTTCTTGTTATCTCCATTATTCTCTCCGTCTTCTTCTTCATCTTCATCATCATCATCACCACTTCCATCTTGTCCTTCTTCTTCTTCTTCACCATCACTATTAAATGATAGTGGAGTGACAATGGTTGTAATTACTGATGATTCGTTTTCATATTCCTTTGTCTTTTTTTGTATGATTCCTTTTCCACTATTGATTTCATCTCCATTTTCATCTACCTTTTCTTCTTCCTCTGATGCTCCAAGTTTAACTCTTTTAGTTTCTTGTTCATCATCTTCACTTTCACTACTCTCACTTTCCTCTTGTTCATCATCAGATCCTGTTAAACTTTGACCAAGACCAGCGAGATAGTTATTATATAAAGCTTCTTCTTGTACCTTTTTCAATCTCTTTTGTTCTTTGATATCATCCTTTTCCTTTTTAATAGCTTGTTGTTTGGCAACCTCTCTTCTATCATCTTTTCTTCTATGAAATCCTGTTATGAAATCCCTAAGATAGATAGATAGATTAAGATATTAGATACCTATCATATCTGATTCAAGTGTATAGTGGGTGTACATACTTTCTCTTATGAGCATCGAATTTGATTTCTTTAATTTTATCGTCTGATACTGGTTTGAAAGCAACAACCTTTTTCTTTTTAAAGCCTGATTTTTCACCAAATGCCATGTTTCTATATTATATTATATTTAGTATAAATAAGTATGTATGTATGTATAAGTGTATATGTATTTACAAATAAGTTTAGAGGTAATAACAATAATTGAAAAAAATAATAATAAATTCAATCGTTCGCGTTATTTCACTTTCGGTCGTTTTTTTGGACCTCTCAACCTGAGTACTTTTAAATTTGTACAACAATCGATAGGTCATTTTAGGGCAATCTCTTCATAGTTATTAATAATAATAATAAGAATAATCATTCATTCACATATATAGAGTCGTACGACAACGCACCTATTACACAATACTGTAAATAGAAAAGAATGAGTTTCAATATAGGCAAAAAGAATAACAACAACAACAATAAAAACAATAATAAACAACAACAATCTGAACAAAAGATTAAATTAGAAAATGATAGTATAGATAATAATGATAGTAACAATAATAATGAAAATATAGATAATAATACAAATACAAAAACAAAAGTTAAAAAAGAAAATGATGAACAACAATACACAAAAGAAAGAACAGGTGCAAAGTTATCATTCACCCCAAAAGAAAAAGTAAAGAAAGAACCTATTGAAAAGGCTACTGCAGAGATTAAAAAGTATACTAGAGGTGATTTTGCAAATCCAAATGTATGTACATTACCATCATTCATTATTATCATTCATCTTTAGATTGATTCCTAATCCATTTGTTTGTGTTTGTTTATATTTCTAGAATATTAAAAACCCTGTACTTCAACAAAGATTAAAGAAATATGAAAAGAATAGAAAGGAAGCTGCAAAGAAGAATCTTCAATCTGAATTAATGCTTGCTGAAGGTAGTTCTGGGTATGTTATATGTTAGAGTAGTGGATAATTAGAATTGATCAATTATTAAACTTATTTTGATTTGTTTTGATTTGTACAGATTTATTGAAGCAGATAAAGGAGAGAAAACATATAAATATAAACAACATCAAATCGAAGAACATGTAGATTTACAAACATCGGCCAAGATGTTTGAATTGGTATTGACACCAAACGGACCATTTGAATTTGACTTTACTCGTAATGGAAAGCATTTATTGATAGCTGGTGAATCTGGTTACGTTGCAACCGTCGAATGGAAAAGAGGAAAGAAATTCTTTGAGAAACATTTACAAGATTCAATTAGAGATGCTTGGTATGTTTAAATATATATATATATATATATATATAATAACAAACACACACATTATATTATTTATTTATATTTATATTTATATTTATATTTATATTAATATTTATCATTTCTTTAGTTTCTTACATAATGAGACAATGTTTGCATTAGCACAAAAGAATTTTGTTTATATTTATGATAATCAAGGAACACAGTTACATCAATTAAAGAGTCATCCTGATCCTGGACACGTAGCATTTTTGCCGTACCACTTTTTACTCTTGTCCACTTCGTTGAATCCTCATCGATCGTTTATTACTTATGAGGATGTGTCGATTGGATCGGTCGTTGCTAAACACGAGATGAAGAGTGTGGCAACGGCGGTGACTGTCAATGTCGCCAATGGAGTCGTGCATTCGGGTGATGCGGCCGGTGTCGTCTCATTGTGGACTCCCAACACCCCCAACCCCGTTGTCAAGATTCTTGCACACAGTGGCAATGTCACGGGTGTTGCAACATCGCTCTCTGGTAATTATATGGTGACTGCAGGCCACGAAGGTGTCGTCAAGGTATTCGACCTCAGAAACTCGTTCCAAGAGATGCATTCGTACAAGCTAAAGGGACGTCCTACCTCTATCTCGCTATCTGATACCAATGTATTGGCAGTTGCCAATGGGACACATACAGTCATGTGGAAGAACCCCTTTGACACGGCTGTCGTCGAACCATACCTCAATCACCGTCATTACGCCAACTCGACCGCCAAACGTGTCCGTTTCTGTCCCTTTGAAGATTTCCTCGGTGTCAGTCATGAACATGGCTACAGCAGCTGGGTCGTGCCAGGCTCTGCCACGGCCAACTTTGACTCCAAGGAAGCCGACATTTACGAAACCACCAAGGCCCGTAACGAACGTGAGGTTCGCCAACTCTTGGAAAAGATTCCACACGATATGATCCATCTCAACCAAGATTACCTCGGCAAGGTCGATCAAAAGATCTCGACCGAAGAAAAGAAATTCAAGAGAGAAATCAAGGCTCAACCAGACGCTCGTCGTATGAAATTCGATCAATCCAAGCGTGACCGTATCACTGAAACTCGTTTGGCTGCAAAACATGCTCGTGAAGATGCTATCCTAAATCCAACTGAACAAGTTGATGCTCTTTCAAGATTTACAAAGAAAAGAAAATAAATAAATAAATACAAAAATTAAATAATAATATCTTAATTTATTTTAAAATAAATTAACCGTTTCCTCCTTTTACAAATCACTATTTTGTGTTTTTTTTTATAATCTAGATCTCCGGGATGTGTTTCAAAGATTCGATAATGACAACAACAACAACAATAACACCATTGTTACCAATACAAGGAAATATACGTTATATTATTTATCAGTCGAACTGATCTTAACAACTAAAGATAAACAAGTTAAATGACACATTTTCCACACCTGACATTCGTCAATGAACCAATGAATTTCATTGGTCGGGGATCAGGCCTAAAAATCTCCCCTACACCCCATTGCCATCGTGATCCTTTTTCTTTAAAGAAGAAGCGAGGAAGGGGGAACAACCAACCACAAGACTACTAGCAAAGGTTTAGTCATTCTGCAAAGACAACAGTAGATATCTTTTGACACTCAAGAGATATTCCCTCATTCAAAGTAAAAAAAAGGGTATGCCACCACCACCACCTCGGGTATAGACTAAAAGGATAAATAATAAAATCTCGGCTCATTGTTCATCCCCCACCCACTTAATTAATTAATTGGAAAGCGTGTGTTGGCCTCACGAGCACACTCTCAACTAGTTTGTGATCGATGCAAGAAGAAGGGTGGGTTGGGGTTTGTTGACGGATTTCTTTCTTTTTCATCAAAAACTTTTGACAGGGAAAAGGGCATGCGTCTGATGGATTGGGGGGTGTGCCAAAACCCATCGATTCACTTCAACATCGATATCGATGGATTGGATGGATGCCCTTTCTCTCAAGTCACACAACCTGACAAGAGAGAGCTTGGAGGATTTTAGAAAAAAAAAAAACAATAAAAATTCGTTGTGGTTTTTTTTATTTTTTTGAATGAGGCCGTCTTGCCAAGGGGCTCAAAGTAGTCTGAGTGGGTGTCTCAAAAGACAGAAAAAATATATCTTCTTGCCAGCTTGATTGATAAAACAAACAACTCAATTCAACTCTAACTTCCCTTTTTGTGTTTTTTTTATCCCCCTCTTTGAGACAGGTCAGAATTCTTTTTCTCATCGAGCTTTGCCTAACCAACCACCACACTATTTGTTTTGTTCACAATTAGAGAGAAAATATACGATTACTTTTTGTTTTTTTTGCAAAGCAAAGATAGATATTTTACAGACTAACCCACTCCACTCTGCCACTTCAACAACATCTATTTTTATTATTAGAATTTATAGTATAGTTATATTCTATTTAGAGATAGATAGATAGACAGAACATCGCATTGCAACACACTAAAGTAAGAAAGTAAAGTAGACAAACAATAATAACCCACACCCAAGTTTCTCTCTATCGTAGAGAGTTTTTTTTATTTTCTATTTTTTTTTCGTTCTTACACACACCATCGACGACGACGACGACAACGACGACGTTTCTTTCTAGAACAGATACAGATACAAGACAGTATTATCGATCGAGAATTGAATCAATCAAATATATATATATATATATCTATTATATCTATACTATATGATATGATAATAATAGATTATAAAACTAAAGGACAATAACAACAATACCACACGGTTACTATCAAGATCTACTTTTAACAATGAGGTATAATAATAATAATAACGATGACAAGTTAGTTGGTTTATATATGTATTGGTTCCAAGATTGACGACATTCGATATACCTTTAAAAGGAGAAAAGAATACTTTACATTCCTGGACAAAAGGAGAAGAAAGGGAAAAGAAGAGAAGGGGGTGCTAAAAGAATGAAAACATTAAAGTAGTAATCAAAACAGATATAAATATAGCATATCATTCTAAAATCGGCGATCAAAAACTACACTTTCAAACATATGATGGTACCACGCACACACTACCTACTACTACTACTACTACTACTACTACTACTGTTATCTTATCCATTAGCCGACATTGATCAATCAAACAATGTCTGTTAGGGGTTAGTAGAGGGAGGGGGAATGTGCAACCCCCCCCACCATGTGAATATGGACCATATTCGTCCAGATGACGATGGCAATCACAATCAACACACTAGTACTAGCATTTGTTAACACTTCTTTTCACCCCCAACCCCCATCCATTAACCATTATTATTGATATATAATATTCTTATCATCAACACGACGGTTGCCCCCAATGTACATATACCACACATCTCACTTCGTGTTCAATCATCCAATATCCATCATCTCATCAATCAAATCCAGCTAGATTGGTAGCTTTTATTTTTGTGAACACAAACGATGGCGACAAAATTGTAGGAGGAGGAGAGGAGCTCTTACAGTGAGTTTGTATCGGATGTATTTAGTTTGATCTTCTAAGCTTGCTACAACACTACTCTACAATGCGCCCATACTACTCCAAGACAATCTCACACTCAATCTTTCATACTATATATATATATATTATTATTCAAAGTAGCCAGCCAGCCAGCCAGCTAGCCACACCAATTGATTTTAATAATAATAATAATAATATTATATTATGATTATTATTATTATTGTCGACAACTTGATTCTCTCCTTCCTCCAATACAATAATCGGCTTTAGTCGGTGTCAACAAACACTTTGACTTTTTGGCTAGACAACAACAACAACAACAAACAGATCATCATTTTCCAATCAACCTACAAATAACCATCATTATCATTGTTGTTGTCATTGTTTTATTTTATTTGTTTATTCCAAAATTATAACATATATATTCAGTAATAATAATAATAATAATAATTTCAAAAATATTAATAATTTTATTATTAGTAGTAATAGGTTATAAGAAAATAGAAATAATAACAGAAAGTGTATAAAACCAAAAGTAATTATAAGTTAGTACTACCCACCTATCCTACCACACCCCCCCAAATCGATCAATCTCATATCTTGATCTTTTTTTTTTAAACTTTTTTTTTTCTGTTCTGTAATTCAAACAAACAAAAAAACAAACTTTTACCAAAGAAGAAGAAGAAGAATAGGAAGAAATATTATAATTGAAAATACAACCATGGCCTGTGTCATGTCATGTCATGATGTATTGTGTTTGTATGAATTTATAATATTATAATATTATAAATTGCCATAATTCCACCTTTTTCCACGCAGTTTTTAAAAATGGTTGACCGTTTTATATATATCAACACACCATCATCACCAATCATCACCAACCATCATCATCACTTATTTATTTAAAAATATACCCTTGGCTAAAGGGTAGGAAAAACGACGAAAGTAAAAGTATTTATTGGACAACAACAACAACAATAATACACATCATGTACGACCACGCACTTGGTATTATTATTATTATTATACTCTATGCTTGAAATACCGACGATTCCCATCCGTCATCAATTTCGATTGAGTTGAACAAGAATGGATGGATGGATGGATGGATGGAGGATTGAATGGATTGGATGGATGGACGGACAAACAGAGATTTATCTCTTTGTATTCCAAACTTTTCTACCATTCCCAAAAAAACACAACCTTCACCCTCCCTCCCCTAACCCAATCAATCCATACACTACCCCCCAATATTATCTATCCGTTTGAAATTGTAATAATAACAATAATCAATAACAATCAATAATAATAATAATAATAACATTGGGTGGGTTGGATGATGATGATGATGATGTGTCATCCAAAAACACTGATGATGATGATGATAATCAATACCAATAATAGAGTTTAGTAGTAAACGGTGATTGCCAAATACAGAGAGAGAGGGAGGATCAAAATATATATTGTGTACAACAATAATCAAATGGTGGTTGTTTTTGTGGTGATTGATTGATTGATTGTGTTGATATAGTTTTTTTTTTTTTCATCACCACTAACACTACCACCACCAACTACACTATTGTACGTCTGTCTGCTTGCTTGTTACCAGCCAAGCCATTAGGATGATTTAAATATCTTTTGGTAAATTCATCTAAATCAAATCAAACATGTTTGTTATAAAGAGAGGGTTTCCCCCCCCCTTCCCCACCCTCTCTCTCTCTCCTCTTCCTACTACTACTACTCCTTCTGCTTGGTTGGTGGATCCATCCAATTCCGTATCATGTTTCCAGACACAACAACGTTTCATTATTTAAATTATCCTTTCCTTTCATTTTCTAATCATTTTATTGTTATTGTGTATTATAAAGTTAGATATATATATATTTATATATAAAAATAATATTTGTTGTTATAAAATATATAATATAATCAAGATAGAACCATATCAGAAATAGTTATAGTAGTGGTAGCTTTTACTTTTTGTACCTCTTAAAATTCCAATCAGTCAGTCAGTTAGTCAGTCATTCATTCACTACCATACCACCCATCATTGTAAGAGACCTTGGAATGTCGTTTCAAATCACCATCGTCACTCACACTCACTCACTCACACTAACCAACCCGACCGAAATCGATTCATTCATTCAATTAAATCCACCCGTCCGTTGTTGATTAACTTTACTTACTAATTCCTTTCCCATTTATCTTTTACCAACCAAACAGACAGTCATTCAATCAATCAATCAAGCCTCTCCTCACTGTACGGTATCCATTTTTTAGAAAAAAAACAAAAAGGTAAATATTGTTTGTAAAATAGTTGAGTTGTTGTTGTTGTTGTTGTTGTTGTCGGCACCCCATCACTGGCGCCCAGTCCATCATGTCTCCTTTATCGCCCAACAGACAGACAGACAGACAGAGAGACAGACAAACTAAACTAAACTAATCTTGGGAATAATGAATCTCGAAATGATTCCAACAATCACCATGTCCCACTGACCACCAACCACCCGGTCGGCAATCATCATTCGATTCCGAATTGATATTTCCTCAATTAATTACCGAACCCGTCCCACGGGAAAATCAATTGATTCATCCATTCCAACAGACACTCTATATATATATACCAACCACCCCCCTATATCTCTGACGTCTTGTTGGCCCATACCAGCCACCGTGTTGCACCAGCTTGTGTTGTTTGGATTATTGGTGTCCCGGCAATCTCGTCGCTTCTTTATGTTTATCCAAGCGATATTGTCCAATGGTACCCTCACTTGTCGCACCCAAAATCCTTGTTCATTCCTCCATTCTCGCCTCCTCCTCTTTTTGTTTTTTTTTTTTTTTTTTTTTTTTCCCGTTTTTCATTCCTTTTTGTTTTCTTTCTTTTTATTGTGTGTGTGTGTGACTGGAAACCAAGTTTGATGCCCGCGCGCGTCTACACTCTTATCACTCTCATCATCATCATCGTCGTCATCAATCAATCAATCAATCAATCAAACCAAACCAAACCAAACATAATAACCCCCACCAAATTCCAACCCCTAAATTATTATTATTATTATTATTATTTCTTGTATTTTATAATTGTACATCCCCTTTGTAATTGTTGTTTCCTCCTCTTCTTCCTTTCCTACTCCATCCACCTACTCTACCTACTCTACTGCCTTTTGGATTAATTGATCAATCATTTTTTATTCTTTTATTTTCCTTTTCCATTTTGGATTTATATTATTTTTGGTTATTGATCAGAAATAACCAAAGCAAAAAAACAAAAAAAAAAAAAAAAAGAGTAAATATAGCATTTCCTTTTTTGATCAAATTATATAGAGATAGATTATACACCTATATACCTACAGGCATGCACTCTACTTCATTCATTCACAGTCAGTCATTATCATCAGAGATATATATATTTTATTTTTTCTTTTCGAAAAGAAAGAGATAACTATATAGTTTAGTTTGTCTTTTTAAAAATAGAAAAATAATAATAATAATAATAATAGTAGTAGTAGTAGTAGTTTACATCCAATCAATTAATCATCTATATGATTCAATCAATACACATTTCCATTTTAGAAAGTTCGAACCAACATCAGGAGAGGGACCCTCCTTTTCTTTTTTGGAAATTTCCTTTTTTAAAAAATATCCCCAACTGGCATTCATTTATTTATAAATTTGGGATCAAATATTTAAATTTAGAGCAGTGCAGTACTTTAAAGCATTATCATCCCCCACCCGAACAACGACACCACACAATACCCACACAGACACGGCCTTTTAAAGGTGCCACTTCCTTATATCGTCATTTCACCCAATATCGATATTCAAAGTCATCCCGAACACTTTGTTGTAGTTTTTCTAAACAATTGTGGTCAACAATAGGGAGGTGACTATAAATTTGCGTCGAAATGCTAACAAAAGGATCACCTCACCTACATACAAACACACCCATCACCCAATCCATCACATTTGTGTAAAATCGGGCGAGATGTCAATCATGATCTTACAAACTAGTTCAATCAAGAACAATGACAACCAATGGCATACCCAGTGGCAGCGGGGTTGTTTTTTTTTTGTTTTGTTTTTTGGATGGGTCGATCCACCCCCACCACACACAAGGTGCCCCCAATCATCAAAAATAGTGTTTTTCGACACCTTTGGAATGTACATGACATCTCGGTGAACAACATTGTGTAGTGTGCAGTGTGTGAAACAAAAGTCAGTTTTCATCAACAGGATCACAACCCTCCCTATCCACATTTCTCAACACACTAGTGTCAGCCAGGCGATCCATGGCACACCCATCATCCAGCCATTATTGTATATTATTGTGGTGTTTAATCATTACCCCCTCTTACACAATCAATCGTTGATAAGCTCTCATCCCTTGTTTGTTTGATGTTTTTTCATAGAGTAAAAAACACAACAATCAGACAGAGAGTGACATAGACAAAGAGAGAGAGTACAATAGGAACTATTAATCATTTAAAAACCTTGACGGTCAACCAAGTAAACAACAAACAACAACCATTCACAATTATATCATCAAATAATTCTTCTTTTTAACCACCAAACATACATACATACATACAAATCAAATCCTTTAACTGTCTGTCTGCCAACCACCCAAAGAGTACTCCCACAAAAAAAAAAAAATTCAACTCTCTCAACTTGTTGGTTTTATCTTTTGTGAAAGGGTAAGGTAGAATAGGATAGGATAGATAGGGGTTTTTAAATTAAAACAAAAAGGGACACCTCCACCTTCACCTCTCATTCTTCTTTATGTATAATTAGATTTATCCTCCTCCACGTTTTTTTGTCAAACGTTGTCAATATGGTGAGGTGGTCTACAGGTAGTCCGTTGGGTTATACATGTGGAGGTGCTTGGTTGATCACTGTCCCCACATTGTTGGACAGACAGACAGACAGACAGTCATTTGGTCATTCCATTGTCAAACAGACATTTTATTATTATTATTATTATTATTGTTGATTGTTGTTGTTCGAGTATAGTATCAAAATCTTTTACTATAGTGAATGTGTGTTTAATTAGTGTTTCTTTCCATCCCTGTTTTTCCACTCACTCACCCTCCTCCTCCTTCTCTTCGGCCATACCCACCCTACAAAATCCACCCATCCACATAACCATAATTCATATATATCCGCGGTGTATATATATAAAAATACATTCTGGAAAATATATTTAAATTATCAAGATATATCAATCAATCAATCATCATCATCATCATTAGCCATTGTTAACATTTTTTTTTATTTATTGATCATTGTCATCCAATCCACATAATCTTCTTCTTCTTCTTCTTGTTACAATCTTATTAACTCAATATTTATTTATTATATTAGGTATTTTAAAAAAAAAAATATAATCTAAATTTAAAGATAGAGTAAAAAAAAAAAACAAAATCAAAACTTTTTTAAAAACAAAAATGACTATGCCACAAACCACAGCCACAATTGGCTTTGAGCAATTGTCCAAATATTTTCATCTACCCATCAATGATGTTGCCAAAGAGCTTGGCATCTGTGCCACCATGCTCAAGAAGATTTGTCGTCGAAACGGCATCCCACGTTGGCCACACAGAAAGATCAAGAGTATAAACAAAATGATCGAGAACCTCGAGTCGACCCTCCAGAGCGGGCAGGGTGAGGCCGAGGAATGTGTCAAGCAGGAAATCGCCATTCTCAAAAACAAAAAGTCACTCATCATGAAAAACCCTGCCATCCTCGCCAACTCTAGTACCACCAAGCGTTCCGCTAATAATGCCAACAATAATAATAATAGTAGTAATAATAGTAGTAACAATACCACTCCATCGTCATCGGCTACTACGCCAACGACAGCATCGCCTGCCAACTCATCGCCAAGCACTAATAGCAACAACAACAACAACAACAATATCAGTAGTAATGACGCCATCATCGAAAAGGTTGTAAAGAAAATAAAGCAAGAGGTGGTCGATATTCACCATCACCATGGCAGCTCGTCGTCGTCGTCACCTCAACAACTCCAACAAATCCAACAACATCAACAACAACAACAACAACAACAGATGCAACAACAACAACAACAACATCATCAACATCAATTGCTTCAACACCATCCTGGTCAACACCAACATATTACTTATCAAAATATTAGTATACCACCTCCACAACAACAACAGCATATACAGGCACTTGGCCAACAACCCACTCACCATACCTACCAAATGCACCATAACGCATCGTCCAACGCACCAGGCAACTCGTCCAGTGCCGGTTCCCACGAGATCATCTCGTCGTCGAGTAATGGTGGTGGCAAGGTCATCCAATTCTCGAATCACTCGCCGCAACAAAGTAACGCCAACTTTTCCATCAACCAACTTTTGACCTCGAGCAGCACCTTTTCTGCTCCTCTTACCAGCTACTTGCTTGGCGACGAAGATGATATGGGATCACACGAACAATACATACACACTCAACACAGTATCCCATACGGACAGCCACACGGTCACTCTCCCAACCACAACCATAACCATGGACCACGCGAGATTGAGTTGCAGGCCCCACCTCCACCTCCCAATACTTGGTATGCCACCACTGCACCTCCACCCAGTGTGCAGACCTATATGACCACACCCATGTACTCTTCTCCCATCTCTACTCACGAATACCCACCTTCCTTCACACTCCCTAAACTGGCCACTATCCCAGACATCTCGCAACAGATGATCCAACAAGGTCCACCCACTGCCACATATATCACCACCACCCAAGCACCTCCCCACCAATACCAATCCCATCCATCGCAGCCTGGTAAGGTCGTCTACCGCTACCCCACCACTACCACCATCCTCTCACACCAAGTTCCAACTCAACAACATCTTCGTTGGGTTATGGAACATGATAAAAATGCTCATCGTAAATAATCCAAAAATCAAATAGTAGTAGTATAGTAGTAGTAGTAGGATATATCGTAGCAGTAGTAGTAATAGTAAAGTAGTAATAGTAGTCAATCAAACCAACCACCCCAACAACCCAAATCATACAATAACAAAAAGTTTAAACAATATATACACCAACACATACAAAAAAACCCATTGATCATAATTTTGATAGATAACTAAATTTATGGTTAAACCAAAAACAACAGAAAAAAAATATTCCAAAACTCTTAAAACATGTTTGGAAAGCAAAAAAAAAAAAAATATCAATATATCCAACTCCTCCTCCTCCTCCAAATCACATTATATATGTTTAAACTTTTACACACACAAGAGATAGAATCATCATAGACTGTGGATTAATCACCTTTTTCTTCTTTCCAAAGACAATTGGAAAGAAACAAAAAAACCAATTTTAATTATTTATTATTTATTATTTATTATTTTTCAATAGAATAATAATAAGAAATCACTTTCAATCATCATCTTCTTCATCCTTTACCACATAACATTCACATTTCAATTTGAACAAACTTTCAAATTTTAAAACTCCCCCCAACAACCAACCAACCAACCAACCAACAATGACAATAACCAAAAACCAACCCAACCCAAACCAAACTTACCAAACCAATTCACATTTGATCCAAATTAATAATAATTCCACACCACCACAACACCTCCCTCCCTCCCCTCCCCCTCCCTTACACATCCATAACAATACTTGTATATATAGTTAGCCAAACACTTAGCAAAATAAATAATAAATTGGAAAAGATTTGTTATTTTTATCCAACACCAAAATAAAATTAAAAATATATCAAAAAAAAAAAACAAAAAAAAAACAAAAAAAAAAATAGAAAATAATAAATTCCATTCCCTTTGTACTTCTTTTCTCTTGATTCCCCTCTCTCCCCCTCCAAAACCAAGAAAACCCCCCTAAAACCCTATTTTAGAAAAAGTATTATACTACTCTTCTAAAAAAAAAAAAAAAACTTTCTTTTCTATTTTTCTCTATTTTCTCTTTTTTATTTACAAAATGTTTTGGATGATCAAAAAGTAAGTCAAGTCTGGCTGGCCATCAATGATTTAATTGATTTGATAAATATGATAAATATTGTCCAAGATTATTTGAACTTGATTGAATATTTGGTAACTATAAATTAATTAATTAATTAATCATGTCATGTTAGTAGGTTAATCAACTATATTGAATAATTATTCTTTCATACTTTTGAAATTGGAATTTCTTGACCATTTTTATGAACTGATAATAATTGAACCAAAGAATTTGGATGAAGTGGATAATCAATATCCATTTGTACAGAACATGAATGTCTTGATGGAAAATCGGTATGTAAAAGAGTGTGCATACTATCCTTTCTAGTAATTTGTAATTTCAAAGTTGCCACTTCAATTTCCCTATCACGACGATGATAATTATTAAGTGTAAATGAAATCTCTTGTAATAATTCACCAAATTCTTTTTCTTTTTGTTTTTGTTTTTGTTGATCATTATTATTATTATTATTATTATTATTACTATTATTATTTTGAGTATAATCTTGAACCAATTCATCTAAATATTCAACCAATTCTTTACATGGTTGAGGTTTTAATTGAATCCCAATTAAATTTCCATTATTATTATTATTATTATTATTACTATTGGTTTCATTTGTAAATTTTAATAAAACTTGATAAATAATAGTTGATAATCCCCCAATACCACCAATTGTCAATTCACATGTAATATTATTATTATTATTATCTGATGATCCTTGTTGAATAACCTTGCAACCATTTAATTTTTCTAACACTCTAGTGTATTGTGATACCCAATCTATTTTTGATATTAATTTGTCATTGACTGATAACAATGAAAGTTCTTTTGACATCATTTCACTGACCTTTTCATTCATACCAAACAATGAATTAATTTGTGATTTTGATCCAATTAATAAATCAATAATATTATCTTTATCTTTTTGTAATTTTGAATCGGCTAAATCAAAATAATAATAATAAATGAATAAATTAATAATTATTAATATCAATGTTCCCAGCTCTTTTGGATTTCTTTAAAATCCTTTTACATTACCATCAATAATATCATTTATAATTTTAATGATTTCATTTATCAACTTTGTATTGTTTTCTTTGATTTCTTTAAATTCCTTTTTTCCCTTTGATATTTGAGTTTCTTGTTGATTGATTAATTCTTGTGACGGTGAACCAGCTTGCTGATCATTTTGGAAATCAGTATTCAAGATGGATTGAATAAACATTTGTTTACTTCCAATCTCTGTAAAATTATATTTCATTTGTGTAAAACAATCCTAAAATGAAATATTAGAATATAATGACAGTGCATTACTAACTACTCACTACTACTTACTTGAATGATATCCAATTCCTTTTCTAAATGACCAAGATTCTTTTGTTCCAAATTATTTGAAATCAAGTAATGATAAATATCTTTGTTTGCATTTTCAACAATACTACGGTCCCGTATCGTATATAATTAGAATCTTTTGAGTTAGTTTACTATGTTTGTTTGTTTGCTTCTCTATTTTGACAGACAAAACATACGTTGTATATTTCTCTACATTAAATCCAATCTTTTCAGCGTATTCCTTTACATCTGGTGAATAGTGAATGGATTGTTGATGTTGTTGTGATGATGATACCATCTCTTTTATATATCTATGTATTCTTAGGATACCTTTTGTAGTCTAAATGAAAGTATACTTCATCATACACAACAAACCAAGTTTCCCTCCAAAAATTAATTTTTGCAAGTTCATTTTTCAAAATATGAAATAAGCGATAAAATTAGGCGCCAATAAAACAACACTTCATTCCACTTGTGTGATTCAATCTGCAACAAAGCACACCCTCTGCTCTACGCTGCTCTACCTATTGTGCGCCTCTACTCATTTTTATTCCTCCTATGCATCATCATCATTCATTATTCTAATAATCCATTCAAAATAATAATAATAATTATATAACCGTTATCAACAACAGTAATATTACTACGCTACTACTACTACTACTACTACTACTCTCTCTACTTAAAGTACATTCATTCATTTATTACGATCGCAATCACAACAATCACATAGAAAGATAAAGATAAAGATATTCAAGATTTAACAAAAAGATAGAAAGAAGATCATGGAGCCAACAATAACCTCCTCCTCCTCACATGGAGGTGAAACAGAAAGAAAAGAAATAATTGTAAAGAATAGAAAGAGAATGTCTATTTTAAAATTAAAGTATGCAACTACTACAACTAAAACTCATTGTGGTCGATTGATCGATTGATTGATTGATTGATCAACATGGAAAATCAACCAACTCACACCTTTTTTTTGTTTCTATATAATATTTATTTTAGAGAAATAACCGATGCAAAGAGTAAATCACGTAATCCATTGAATACATCAACCACTAAATTTGACGAGTATCGTCCAACTGGTACAAAGATTAATAAGCATATTATGGCTGCTGCAACTGCTTCTCTCAAGACACTACCTCCAAGACCACCAACAACAGCGACGACGGCAAAAGCTTCCAATGTTAAACCAGATTTTGACAAGATTCATCAAAAACAATTCCAAAAATTAGAATCTATTCAAGACTTTCAATCAAAGAGAAAGGATCTATGGGCAAGTCTAGGTTTCACTACTATTCCTCCATTTGTAAATAATCAACAACAACAAGAAGAAGAGATTCAACAACAACAACAACAACAACAACAACAACAACAACAACAACAACAACAACAACAACAAGATGAATCAAACAAGAAATTGGAAGTGGAAGATGAAGATGAAGAAGAGGAAAAGAATGAAAATAATAATAGTTGTCAGATGATGGATAGTATTGATGAAAAGGATTGTTATCGACATCCATCATCTCATCGTCCACATAGACCAATGTCTATTAAAATAGGTATTGATCAAGACTGTAGTGTTAGTAGTGATAATGACAGCCATCACGAACCAATGGAAATTGAAGCAACCGAGAAAATGATATCATTAAAAATACAAGATACTCCACCAAAGATCAGTAAATCATCCAACATCAACAAAATAATGACACCAACTAAAACACCAACCAAGTCGTCATTTAATACGAATAACAACTCAAGTCAAAGTCTTAGAAAGACACCAACTAAAACACCAACCAAGACACCTACAAAGACACCAACTAAATTCACTTCATCCACTTTACCAAGACCAACTAGTAGTCGACTACCAACAGGAACTACTCCAGTTAAATCAGCAACTGCTCATCTAACCATGACACCATCTAAACTAAAACAACCGATTTCTTCTTTTTCATCAACCTCGGCATCCTCTGGGACTGCTACGACTGCTACGACCACTAAAATATTACCAACTCCATCTTCACTTACCACTACTACTAAACTACCACCAACCATTGCACCAATGGTTGATACCAATACCGCTGCCACTAACAATGTTGTGCCAACATCAGCACCAACATCAGTGGTTTCTGGAATTCCAAAGTTTTCAGCATCGACGGTTGCATTAACCAAATCACAAGAAACACCAAACAAAACAACAAAATCTACTCCATTTAATTTATCATCTTCATCAAGTAAGACTATTAAACCAACAGCAACAACTACCACGGCAACTGCTACAACCACAACCACAACAACTAAACCGGTCAAAAAGAATGCAACAGCTAAAAAATCAATATCATCAGCTATCCTTAAACCATTCCTAAGCTTTGCAAGATCGAAATCTAAAGATACCGCTACAACTGAAGAACCAGCAGCAGTGGCAGCAACACCAACAATAATTACCCCACCAGCTCCATCTACTTCCACTTCTTTATTTTCGTCATCATCAACAACATCAACTGCCAATTCCAACTGTAAAAACTCTAATCCATTTTCATTATCTTCTTCATCATCATCTAAAACCAAGAAATCAACAGACTCTTCATCATTGTCATCTTCATCATCAATTTTAAAAAATAATAATAATACAGTAAATAGTAGTAATACCACCACGGCAGCTGCAGCTCCTTCAACAACAACAACCAAGAAATCATTCTTGTCTTCAACATTAAAATCATCGTCTTCATCTTCATCTTCGTCGTCATCATCATCAACTTTGACATCTTCACAAAAGAAGAGTACTTTGAAACCATGGAAATAATAAACAACCAATTTAAAAATAATAATAACCAAAAACTTAAAAAGAAAAAGAAAAAGAAATAAAAGGAAATAATTAATTCATTTTAATTATATTTGATATTATAAATATTAGAGGATAACCCTAATTGTTTATTTAACAATTGGTATAATTTCAAGAGGTACTTTTCCAATTGAACTATTTAAATAAACTTTAAATTCTTCTTCTTGATTGGTATCGGTATCATTGTCGTCGGTTGATGATGCAGCATCTCCATTTTCGATAATAATATTATTTTTCTTTAAAATGTATGCATAATGACATTCATTCATTTGAGCGTTTTCATGAGTACCCAACATACGCATTTCAATGGACCAATTGTAATCGGCAACTTGAAAGAGTGGCATTCTACCCTCTGGTGCACCATATGTCATCACAACAAAATAACCACCTGGTTTAAGTACTCTTGCCACCTCTGCCACCATTTTAACAGCATTTTGATTATCACTATCACTACACATAACAGCATCAATTGTACCTTTATCAAATATTGAATCAAAATATTCATTTGGAAATTCCATATTTCTTCCATCCATTGTTAAATATTCCTAATAAACATAATAATATAAAATATATATAATTAATTTAATTTCCAGTTTTTTTAAATATATATTTATATTTATATTTAATTGTCTCGAGACTTACAAGACCAACTCTTCCTTTAGTTCTTTCAATCATATCTTGTATTATTACACTTGAAAAATCTATATTAACTATATCTAAGTAATGGTCAAGATTCATGTCTTCACCAAGTGCACTATTACCACAACCCAACATCATAATCTTGTCTTGTCGTTTAAAGAATTTTTGGAGGAATGGTTTAAGTGTCTTGTATCCATGGTACCAATCAAAATGTGGTCTCTTTACAATATCCTTTACATATCTTTCATCCCAATAGTCTTTTTCTCCATAGTCTATTTATAATATATTAAAGAGAGAGAGTAAGCTAGTTAGTTAATTTATCATCATTCCCCTACTATCTATTTGTTCAACCACTTGATAGTGATTGAATTGAATTCAATTTCATTTCCAAATCGAAAAGACGTCAAGTCAGTCAATTCACTCCACTTTGCACGCGTAACCATCCACACTAGATCGCGATTATATCATATCGATCTGGGTATGATGTCATTGTAAGTTGATTCATTATTTTAATCTCTCTATTTCTCTATCTCTATCTCTCCCTCACCTTACCAATAGTATTGTGTGACATCTTTGTGCTTATTATTTATGTGATTGGTTGTCGTAATCGTACTTTTTTAAAAAGTGATACGTAGTTGATGAGATAAGTACTAATACTACTATTACAATAGTTGTTTGTTATTACAAATATATAAATGTATATATATATGATAGTCTGTTTTAAATATCTTATCTTTGAACACTGCTAATACAATTAATTAATCGGTCGAAACATTGGTGGTAGTGGTGGTAGTGTGACGAGTGAATTAATTTATTTTTGTTTTATTGTTGTACAACATTACTGGGGGGTTACTAATACCCACCCCCTCTTCTTCTTCTCAACATTATTAATGTTTGTTGTTGTTGTTTACAATCAATCAATCACCCCCAATGATACGAATCAACTACAGTAGCAATATGATATGAATGTTGTGTGTCGGGTGGTAGTCGATTCCATTGTAAATACAACCAACATGTTCAAATTTAGTTGCTACAATCAGATTAGATTGTTGTGTTCATTCACTCTACCTACCTACCCACTGCTAGCATAGACTGCTGACCCTACCTTCCAAATATTGTTGTAAACTAGACATCATCAATATCATTATCATTATTAAAAACACATGTGCATATGTATACATATTTACGTACGATGTAATGATCATTCATATGATGATGGTGGATGAAAGCTCAAAGATTAAGAATCTGTGTTTGTCTCTCTTCCTTTTTCTTTCTTTCTTTTACCAACAATCATTTAATCAAATAATAATTATTCATTTATATATATATATATAAATCAAGATGACAAGGCAAAGATCTTTTACCATTATTATTATTACTCTTATCATTTGTATAAGCAACATTTTAGCACAACCAACAACTCCTCCTCCTCCTCCTCCAACTCCAACTCCAACTCCAACTCCACCTCCCAGGAAACCACTTGTTCTACATATTGTTCCTCATACTCATGATGATTCTGGTTGGTTAGAAACTTTTGATGTTTGTATTATACCTATCCCAATCCAATCAACTCAATCATATTAATGAATTATTATTATTATTATTATTATTATTATTATTAATTTTAGGAATATTATAATTCAGATGTTAGATCTATTTTAAATACTGTCACTTATTCATTACAAAATGATCCATTAAAGACATTTGTTTGGTGTGAAATGTATGTTTTGTTGTTGTTTAACTATACACCACAGTACATATAATGGTTTAGCTTGATATATTAATTATGTTTATTCTCTCTCTCTTTTAGAGGATTTCTTGAAAAATGGTTTGGTGATATGATAGTACCACAAAGTTCAAAGGATGCATTTAAAAGTTTTGTTCAAAACAAGAGAATAGAATTTGTTGGTGGAGGATATGTACAACATGATGAGGCATGTCCAAATGCAGATTCAATCCTACTCCAAATGACACAGGGTTTTGAATTTATCACCAAACAATTTGGTAGTCAGTATCTACCAGAGACTGCTTGGCAAATAGATCCATTTGGGTATAGTGCTGCTTCATCATCGTTGTTTTCTCAACTTGGATTCAAACAAGTGGTCATCAATCGAATCAAAGCATCTAAAAAGGCATTGATGAAGAGTTTTTCTGAACTGCAATTTGTGTGGCGTGGTAATCCCAATCTTAAAGAATCCTCTGATATCTTTACTCATGTATTGGATGATCATTATGGACCACCCCAACAATTCAAAGATCTTACCATCGAGTATCCTGGTGGACCCAACGACACACTCACTCCATTCCAACTATACCAACTCACAAGTTTCTTGGATTCAATTGGACGTAGACAATCTGGTTACTATGAATCACCTCATTTTATGTTATTAATTGGTGATGATTTTACTTATTCAAATCCAAGTTTATTTAACAAAGTTGATAAATTAAAAGGTAAAGTGTAAACAAACAAAAACAAAACAAACATGATATTAATATTTTATTTTTATTTTAATTGTTTATTTAGAAATATTATCAATATATTATCCACTTGTTCAAGTAAAGTATAGTACACCATCAGAATATTTTAAAGAATTGTCGGAATGGGCCAAAAAAAAGGGATTGGTATACAAGATGTATGATGGTGATTTCTATACTTATGGAGATCCAAATGATTGGTGGACTGGATATTATACTTCTAGAATGGTGTTAAAGGGATTGGCTAGAAAGGCAATGAATGAATTTAGAGTGTCCCAATATTTGTCATCGACACTTGTCAACCATTCACAAGACTTTAATGGTGATTTGCAAAAGGCTAGCGCGGATATATCAATTGTCCAACACCATGATGGTATTACTGGTACTTCTGTCGTCCATGTTGTAAACGATTACCTCACTCGACTGCTGACATCAATGAAAATCACAACGTCGGTTAGTACCGCAGCACTTTCAGAGCGATACAATTTCTCAACCCTAGAGATGTCAGATCATCGTCCAATCATTGATTTTGGAGATTCCAATGTTGTGCCAGTCGTGTTGTACAATCCATTGGGTTGGAAACGAAACGCACCACACTCTATCTATGTTAAATTGCCATACAACTCGGTTGCTATAAACTGTCCAGTATCGGTATGGAGTGGGGACGATCAGCAACAAGATTGCGACTGTCTATTTGAAGAAGGATTTGCAGGATCAATGGTACTGAGAATCGACTGGATGGTGGAAATGCCTGCATCGGGTATATCTACCTATTTCATCAAGAATCAAGAGCCAAGTGCATGGTCAAAAACCAATCCAACAGGAGACGCTAGACCAATCATTTTGCCAGTAGTGTATGACCGATATGACAATCCCAATGTTCTCGAAAACTCAATGGTTCGTGTCAATTTTAATCCAGTCACTCAAATGGCCCATACCTTTGATCTCATCAAGGACAATATGTCAATGTTGGTCGATCAGGATATTGCACAATACGATGGTGTTGGAGGATCATACATTTTCAAAACATTTGGACCAAGCAAGTCAATCACCAATCCAAACATCACCAAATATCTAATTGGTAGATTTAGAAAGGATGTGGTTACTAGTCACTCGAATCCCAATCATCCCGAACCCGGGTTTAGCACTGTCGTGACTACTCGTCTCATTGAAGGTAGTAGTCACGTTTTCTTTGACTATAGAGTCCGTGGTTCTCCCAACAAAGATATCATTGTCCGTTTCAACACCAATTTCCCAAACCCTAAACTCTACACTGACGATGGTATAAACTCAATCAATAGACATATTCAATATAGAAATTTGGATATTGCAGAAGATTATTACCCTTCCATTTCATTTGCCTATCTTGAACAAGATAATATTAATTTTATTGTTTGTATCAAAAGAAACAAAAAGAAAAAAATATTTTGTAAATTGGAATCTTATTTTAATTCATCATTTTTTATTTCTATTTTAGTGTACAAATGATAGAAGTAGAGGAGTATCATCAACATTAAGGGGTGGAATTGAATTTATGTTGCATCGAAGTTGTTTACAAGATGATGGTAAAGGTATGAGAGAACCAATGATTGATGACTCTACCATTCTCACTCAAACCCAAGTCTATTTTGACTCTTCATCCGAGTTGGCTCGTCATCATGCATTGTTGTTGGAAAACCCAATTAAAACTTTCCTTGCCAATATTCATGAAATTGGAAATAATCAAGTACCAAATTTTAATATTCGTGAATCTTTATCTTCAGGTAAAGTATAAAAAAAAAGAAATAATACGCAAAATAATTTAATCTAATATCTTTTCTATCTTTTTTTAGAATTATCACCAAATTTATATATGATGACATTAAAAAAAATGAATGGTACTTGTTTGTTTATTAGATTAATGAATATTAATCCAAATCAAGCATTGACCGTATCAGTTGATAATTTAGTACCTGGTTTTGCACCCACTCATGCTCAGGAAACTGATTTATCTGGATTTAGAGAACCAAGTATAGGATCAAAGATTCAATTCAAATACGACAGCAATCTATATTTCCAAAGCGCTTTCCAAACTGAAAAAAGATCAATCAGTGCCCCTTCTCTTAAAGTTCAATCTTTTAAAAAGAATCAAGCAACCAAAGGTACTGACTTCCAACTACAAATATTACCTTTGGAAATTAAAGCTTTTTATTTATTTAAATAAAACAAAATATGGTTGACAACATAAAGAAAAGAAGGGGTTATTTTTTTTAATAATTTACATTTATTTACAGTAAAGTTTCTGGACCACTTGAGAAGAAATTGATAGAGAACAACACCAGGTGGGGGTAGGAAGTTGGTAGACCAATATTGGTGGTGTAATAATATTCCTCGGATATTAATATTTAATTATAATAGTAGAAGAAATACAATTAATATTGGATTTTAAAATAATATCCTCATCAACAGTAGAGGGTCTTTATTTAAATGAATTGGTTTCCTCTTTTGGTAAAGTTTGTAGAGTTTTCAACTGGATGAGGTGATGTGGTTGTCAATGAAAGGAGGTGAGAGGGGTTGACCATTACAAGTGAATAGAAGGAGGGGGTTAACCTTATAATAATATTATTTTTAATTCATTTTGATCCATCATTTTTGTTGTTGTTTTTTTGGAAAAAATATATTTAGTTTAGTTTAGTTTATTTTAACACCATTTTCATCATACAACCATTTAGGGAAAACACGTTTATAGAGGGACATGCAAATAGTATCTTGTTGATGCATGGTACCGTCAAATGTACATTTCATGTAACCGTGAGTACCGAGAGATTCACGGATATGACCGACACGACCCATCTTTGTAAAGAGTTCAACCTTTTTGAACCAATCGATATCTTCTGGGAAGTAAAACATATCACGAACGACGGCAAACTTTCTCGAGATGGCCTTGGCTATACGACCAGTCAAGAGAATACGCTTGGCAATGATACGATCGGGGTTGACCGAGACGAGACGACCAGTGGCGACCAACTCTGAGCACGACGAGTCGCTAAAGACGACGAGGGGGGCGGGTACAAAGGTAATTGGGGCATAGATGGTGGCCATGGCATTACGGCCTGGTAAAAGGAACTTTTCGAATTTTTGTTTATCGCAGTTTGGTGCAGAGAGCGAGTAGATGGGACGAGTAGAGTATTTTCTAAAACCAACGTGGAAGACAACCTCTTCCTTGCTCTTGACGGGTGGTTCGTAGAGACGATGTTTCTCGAGTGAAAAGTGGAGGACTGATACCTTGTTTTCGTATCTCAAGAGACCAGTGGCGATAATGGGGGCTTGCTTGGTGGTTTGACGAGCCTTGATCTCTTGGACGGTGGGGAGGATGGTGGCTTGTGGGCCTTGTCCTTGGACGAGTGTGATGCGGACCAAAGTGCCATACTTGACGGGTGATGCATTTTGCACTTCGATGGAACGACGCATCGATTGGTTGTATGAGTGGAATTGGGAAATACGGGCATAGTCAATGGGCAAGTTCTCTCTTGCGTCCCATGGCGATGTACGGAATGACTTTAGACCTCTGTATTTGGAAAAACGGATTCTGCATGGGAAATCCTCTGGACTTTCGATTTCGTCTGGGAAATGCATTTCGTTTTGTTCGTCGGAACGTTCTCTTTCATCGTCCATCTCCAACTCTTCCTTTTCCTTTAACATCTTTTTGTAGTCGTCCTTGGTGACACCCTTCCACTTGTCTTGAATGATATTCAAGTCTTCAAATTCCTCTTCCTCACCAGCGCCGGCGAGTTGTCCTTCGATTGGGTGATCGTCAACATCGTCATCATTCATCTCTTGGTTCATCATTTCATCTTGACGATTTAAATCTTCGTTCATTTCTTGATCGTATACTTGTTCTTCGTCTTCATCATCCTCTTCTGCTTCTTCTTGTAAACCTCCATCTTCATCCAAATACCAATGAGCTTGATACTCTGAAGTTCCCTTTGGTACTCTGATTTTCTTTTGAGCCATTTCAATTTCCTCGTTGGATGGCATGGTTTGTTCTTGTTCATTCAAATCTGGAACATTGACACAATCAATCGATTCTCTTTCCTCCAATGTACTTGAATCCAAAAGTACCAATTCATCTGATTGATTCTTGTGTTGATTCTTTACATTATTATCTTTTAATTTTTCAATCTAAAAAACAAACAAATAAATATATTAATATATTAATTTTTCTATTTCTTTTTTCTTTTTTCTTTTTTCTTATTTACCTTTTCAATTTGGAAATCACCAATTTCAGGAATATAAATTAATTGTTTTGCATTTAAATGATTACCTCTTAGGTAACCTTCGATAGCAACCGAACCCTTTCTAATGTCGATCATATTTTCAATCATAATGTATGGACGCATGTGACGCCAGAGGATTTCATTGACATGCATAGTCTCGAGGAAACGGAGTACCATTTGAGCATCTTCCTCTGAATCGATGGGGAGAACCTTTGGTTCACCTGGGAACTGGAAGTGGTAGGTGGCAGTGATGACCTTTTTGACGTCGTTACGTCTCTTGACGGGTACTTGTTCGAATCCTTGCATGAGGAGCATCGACGATGGCACACCTTGTGCTTTGATGACTGATAATAAACGTTCGGCTTGATTGTCCAATTTGAATTCAGCAAATTGTTGTTGTTGTACTTGTTGTGAGCATCCAGATACATCGACTGCAAACAATATAATATCCGATACCTTTGCAAACTCAACCATCTCTGATACCTCTCTACTGTTGCAAACAAGTAATGTTATTCTAGTCTTTCCATTTGATCCCAAACATAATGTTGTATATGATGACGATGATTGGTCAACCATTACATTTGATTGATCCATTCCATATTTTGTCATAATTAATGTCTTTATGTTTTCAATATTAACATTATCTGTTAATGGTATAATTGACTAAATATATAGATACGATTTAAATGATATTATATACATTATTAATAAGTAAAACAAAATATATCTTTGATTGATTATTTTATCTCTCAAACATACAACTATTCTTGGTTCAGCCAAATCAGGTAAACCTAATCTCTTTCTTTCGATAGCATCAGCCTTTTTAGATGAGTTCATTTTTGAAGCCTTTTGACGAAGGATCTCTTGACGATTGGGTACGACGGCCAATGACTTTATACTCTTTCTCGTTTCGACTTTACCTTCGGTTCTACGCTTGATTGCACCTTTGCTATCATGCTTACCACTTTTGAATGGTTTATTTTGTTGTTTAAATGTACCTGATCTATGTCTATGTTCCTCCATCCTACTAACTCTTTACTAATTAAACTAGATAGATATAATATAGACTATTAAACTAAACAAACAAATGATAATAATGTAATAATCAACCCTTTCACGTTACCCTCAATCGGTCGTTCGTTTTTTTCAAACCTTTTTTTTTTTTTTTTTTTTCTTAATTTCGCTCTGATACCTCAAGTACTTGTGCACATACTTGATAGAATCAATAAAATGATGAGAATATCAAGTACTCTCTCTAAGAATATTTGCTAAAATGATAGATTTTTAAAATATACCAGAGCAAGATGAGTAAGAGTGCACAATCCCTACAGGTATCAATTCATCAAAGAATATGGGTAAATAGGAGCTATACATGTTGGTTGCTACTTTCATGTTATATATAACTCCAATTACAATGACGCATTCCGATAAACTGGAAACTATGAATATCCAAGAAATACAAAACATATTGCATTGATCCCCATCACTAGGTTACCAATAGTTACATGACCGAGGTTAGTTAGGAGAATTGATATCAATGGTTTTAAGTTTTGCAATTGTAAAGTACTTGTTAATCATTATTATCAATTCTCTTAATTACTACCAACTGTACCATCAATTATTATTACATATCAAGAGATGCATGTATAAACTTTAGAGTTGTTATCAATAACTGACCAATTATTATTTCATCTAATCTCCTTTTCATTGGAATATAAAGTTTAATTTAGATCGATCATGACAATGGTTCCAGATTTCACAGATGGAGGCAGGATGGTAACACAATGAATGGATGGATAGATGGATGGGTGCTCGAGATACTTTGCTGTTATACGAATTATTATTATTATTATTATTGTCACGATGAAAAAAGAAAAGATACTACCCGAAACGAAACGCCTCGCTTTGTCGTTTCAAACAAACCCCTATGAATGTAAAAAACAGAACTCCTAAAATAGCCTCTGAAATAGGAGCCAAGTGTCAAGCAAACACACCAATTTTTCATATGAAAAACACATAAAGGTGGGTTTGATGGTTAATGGGTAGGGGCCCTCCCTCCCTCCCCTCATCTGATGGATGACGTTTGGGTGGTAAGTGTTCTGTCTGCAATCAAGGGTGTGGGTGTGGTTTCATCGATGCATGTGCATGATGATTGATGATGATGATGATGATGACAGTAATTCTCTCTCAGTGGAGATAACATACAAATAACCAACCCACCCATTCACATTCACTGCATCTGCAATAGCAAACTCTACAGTTGGAGTTGGACCTAAAATCTTATCTCGGCGTGTCAACACACTCTCCAATCTCTCTATTTCAACAACAACAATAAACGAATCATCACAATTTGGATAATATATATTTTAATTATATAATTGGTTGCGTGGATGGTTTGAGAAACCTTTAAATAGAGGGTTCCTCTATTGCAGCAGTGAAACCATCTACATTTCATTGTTATTACTCATATTACTTTACTTGTAATATATATCAAATCTTGTATTAATATTCATATTGTATCTCTACCATTATTATACCATACCATTATACCTCTGTAACATAATGAACAAATCCATTATTATTACCCTTTTTACCATTGCTTTACTATTTACTATTCCATTTGTAAATTGTGATAGTATGTTATATAGATTTATATAAAAATATTATTAAATCATTTCAATTTGGCAACTAATTTGTTCTCTCTCTCTCTCTCTCTTTCCTTCTCTTTTCTTTCCTTCTCTTTCTTTTCTTTCCTTCTCTTTTCTTTTCTTATAGTTACCAATGTATCACAAAATGGTAAACAATTAACTATTTCACTTACAAGCTCACCAGTTGGATGGTTCCAAATCCAATTATTTAATAACCAAGAATTTGTAGATATCTTTGACTATTGCACATCGACCATGAACTCGATTACATGTTCTCTTCCAAGTGTTGGTAGTTGTAATTCAGTCAGTCTTTGGGGCAGCATTGGTATTGGAGGTCCAACCGTTCAAAAGACATCCCAATTCTCTTGTACCGTAGTTGCTGCTTAATAGGATTTAGCATAAACACATTTATTTGATCAAACCTGTTCTTTTAGATAATATAACACAATAAATACATGTACATAATGATCGTATAAACCAAAAATGAATGAATCAATGGATCGTGAATGATTGTCTTCATCCTCGTCATCGTAGCTTCGAAAAATGAAATTAAATTATATATTGGGTTTAAAAGGAGATCATATTTTAGTTTAATCATTTTAATATACCTTTCAGCAGTTGTGTATAAATATAAAATGGTAAGATGTATATAGATAAGACTCTCTATACTCAATTACAGTAGTATAATAATACTAACATTAGATTGTTTGTTCATCACCCTCATTCATTTATGTACCGACTGCGATAATAAAAGGATTTCGAAGGTCAAAAATTAGCTGAAAAGTTGTATCAATATATAATCATACTCTTTGGTGTATGTACAGTAATAGATATAGATATAGATAGATAGATAAAGATATAAAGTAGTAATCTAACAATCATATATATAATCATTTATTGTTTTGTTTTAGATTATTGGATGGATAGCAGGATTCATTAAACAAAGTTTCCAAATTACTGTATACTCTGTTGCATTGGGAACCTTGATAGCTTTAATTGTAAATGTCACTAACATGGTCGAACCTACTCACAAGAGGAGGACTGATTGTCATTTGATTGAGTATATTATATTAACACAGTTTCATTTGTTTTATAACTTGTATAGGTTTGTTTACCAAATTATTCATTCTTTAACAAACATCAATTGAAATGGTTACAACCAAAACAACAACCAACAACAACAACACCAACAACAACATCACCGACTGCTACTAAATAAGTTAAATACTAAAATATAAGATATAGATATATAAACATTGTATACATAAAAGAAAAGAATGAATAGGGTATGGTCTAGGAGGATTAAAATGGATTAATGATTGATATACTACTTTTCAAAAAAGTAATCATTTTTATTATTAAGTTATCAACAATTATATTATAATTGATATATTTATTATTGGCGTCAAGAATGAATGAACGGATGTAAGGAGGAAGGTTTGGTTTGATTAGGTTAGGATTATAATTAATTATTATTATTATTATTAATTTACACAAATATCTTAATTTTGGATGGATATTGAATGTTCTGGAAAATAGGATTATTATTATTAAGATTATTATTTTATCAGTTGGATTTGGAAAAGTTGACGATATATAACAATTATGGTGTTTTGGTATATGATGATGATTATTAGGGTTAGGGGATTTGATTACATTTGGCTTAAAGAGTGTATTTACAAATTGGATTGTTGTTGGTTTGGAAAAAAAATTGGATTATTATTATTATTATTATTATGTCTTTAATGAATATTGTTTTTTGTTTAAGAGGTAGTTGGTGGTGAATTGGCAATTGGGGGTGGAGGGATGGAGGAGGATTGCGTTGGTGGTGGGAGATCCAACATGTTATTGTCATTATTGTCATCTATGCAAGAACAGAAACATCCACAAGAGCAAGAGACGAGTGAGATGACCTTGTCGGTGATATAGGCTTTGAGGTCGGGTGAGACATGAGTGATCCAATTCTCCGAGTCTTTGATACGTGTCCAGTTACGAACGACAAAGTTGGCAGTGACATTACGCAGCTGCCAGCATCCGTGACTATCGGCGACAGAGAGGATAATGGGTGCATTCTCGACATCGATGTAATGCCATAAAAAGAATTCACAACGACTCTTGAGACCAGACAATGAGAAAAAGTCACCCCATTGCAAGAGCTCACAAGCATTCTCCCAGGTGATAGTAGCCACACCGCAATAGATGTACTCGAGTACACCGTACATGGAGGTGTAGGGTATGTGAGGCAGATGGATTTCCTGTTCCTTGGATTCGCGACCCCACGAAAACATGGCGCGTAACTGCTCGCAACGCGACGCACAAATAGCCTTGTGAGCATACAATTTCTTGTCTTCGCAGACAAAGCAGACGTCGGAAAAGTCTGGGTTGTTAAACATCTTCATCAAGTCGTTTCCAATCTTGGTCGTGTTGACCGTCACCGACGGCTCCTCAATCTGCAGCTGATCGGCAATCTTTCGAGCCAACTCTACCACCTTTGGATGTGTACTATGCAACAATACAAAAATAGATTGTACTCCATTATTTACACTTAATCCTTTCCATACTTCTACTTTATATTGATCTAAAAGTAAAAAGTAAACAATATTAATATATATATATTTGTTTGGTTTGTTTCTGTCTCTGCTGTGTCGCGACCGCGGTCTTACCATTTCTCATTAAATTATATAAACAATATAAAGCAAATAATTGAACTTGAGGATACTTTGAATGAAGTAATGGGATGTGTGGTTGAAGTGTGATCCAATGACAAACGAGATCCATTTGGAGACTATTGTTGACGACAAAGGTTTCAATGACATCGAAAGCTTTGTTTTTGTCTAGGATGGGATGGTTCTCTTCATTCATTGATAGATTGGCAATAGTGAGGGTGGTGAGGAATTGTACACGACGGTCGGTACTCTTGCTACGAGGAATCAAGAATAACTCTACAATGCCTTCGTTGACAATTTTGACTTGGTTTGGGTTAATCTCTCCACGATCGAATCTATACTCTGTGATGTTTTGTAAGATGGCCGACGACGCCAATTGCACTTCACCTTTGTGTACTCCATTTGCTCTATTATCCACTTCATCCTTTGTCAATAAATAATCACTTGATTGTATTTGTTTTAATCTATCCAATACTCCTTCTTCATATAATAATACTTTCAAGTCGGCTAAACAAGTAAGAGTAAATAAACAATAATGTATTAATAAATATTATAGTACTTTCTTTTCTATTGTTTCCTTTTATACCTTGAGCAGATAAATGCCAAACTAATCTAAGAGCAGAGGTTTGAATCTTTTTAGTTTCGGATAGACATAGATCGAGTAGAGATTGAATGGTACTCTTTCTCTTTTTGGTGTACTTGTCTAGATCAATATCGGTGTATTTGGTGTTGGGTGATACTTGATTACATGGATCGACGGGTGAAGAGGTGGGTGATGATGCTGGAGAGGATTGAGTCGATGAGGGTGGTGATACGGGTGATCGACCGTGATTGGGACTCATATGTATATGTGTTTGCTTGTGGTTTGGATGCCTCTTGACGTGATAGTAAAACGATGGATTCTTGAATAGATCTACTACATGAACCGTTGTACACAGCATCAACCCTTTTAATCCTTGGTATTGTGCATCAACATTATTTTGTAATATTTTTTCGATAAATCTAAAATATAATAATAGTAAAAGTAAAAGTAAAAGTAAAGTAAAGTTTCAAAAGTATTAATATAAATATAAATATAAATATATTATTATTAAATATTAATTAATTAATTACCCAACTGCCTCTGAAATTGGATCAGCTTCTTCAATTCCTTCTGACATCATTTTTGTTGTTGTTGTTGTTGTTGTTGTTGTTGTTGTTGTTGTTGTTGTTGTTGTTGTTGGAATGAATATATTCTAATTCTTATTATTATTATTATTATTATTTCTTGACTAATTTGTTTGTTTTGTCTTGTATTGTTTGTTTGTTAAAATCTAATAGAAAACTAACTATAGAATTATATTATTGTATTGATAAATGATAAAGGTATTAGTAATTCATCCTTCATTACGAATATTATTAATATTATGATATCTGTATGAAAAATCCCGATTCGTGTTTAAAACAATAATAATATTGTATTGTACAATTTGATGTTTTTTAAACTATAATATTACCCCACCCAACTTATAAAGTAATAAACAAATAACAATAACAAATAATAATAATAATAATAATAATAATTTATCACTTTTGGTTTAAATGATCCAACAATCGCGTGATGCTCTCTGGAAAAAAACAATCAATACTTGATCCAAGTTTTTTTCTATTCTACAACTTTTAAAACGGTATGACTGACTTATTATTATTATGATTATTGTAGTACTACTACTGATATAAATAAGAATCTTATGATTGTTTGTAATGATGATGTAAAAAGTACTGACTGAAGATAGATAGATAGATAGATAGAATAACGGTTCCTACCTAATGTTTGAGATTTGTTCTTTTCAAAAACTCTAAATGAATGATAATAATAATAATAATAATAATCGTCCCTGCTGTTATGATGAGGATGCTTTGTTTGTTTGTTTGTTGATATGGATATTATTATTATTATGATTAAATATTGTAATTTGATCAATCAGTCAATAAACCAAAATATTATTATTATTTGATTTCATTCATCATCTTTCCTTGTTCCCATTTCATCAAGTCGATTAATTGTATTGGTCACAATTGTAGAGGAAGGATAGGATAGATGATGATACTACTAGTACTACTAGTACTACCACTACTCCTGCTTGCTGATGATGATGATCGTTATATCTTTCAGATGATCTTCCTGTTTGTTACAATATCCCTCCTCTACCTACTACACATACATTCATACATACAACATAAAAAAAAAATAGAGTGAACATATAATGAATGCAACACTACTCTGTTCACATCGCACTCTCTCTGAGTGGTGTTGTGTTTGTCGATTGGGGGTAGGTAGTGAGTGTGGTTGTTTTGCTCGTTGTTGTTGTCGTTACTCGTGTATTACAGTTTTGGTACTCATCATATGCCTGTATACACGCCACATGTAAAGTAAACAGTTGTTATTACTTCCAAGTGGATGTTGTTGTTGTTGTTGTTGTTGTTTTTGATTCTAAAATTACTTTTCAAGTGGTGGAGGTGGTACCAACCCAATAATATCATTCTTCATGATTTACATTTCTTTATATGGTGTAATGTAAACAAGAAGAAGAAGAAAGAAGAAAGAAGAATCTATCACATGTTTGATTTGATATGTTATGTGACATTTGACTTGTAATGTCCAACAATAAAACAAGGAGCAAAACAATGCTGCAATGTTTGTTGTTGTTGTGTGTTGTTCCAAAAACAAAAATATTAAAAAGCTTTTTTTTTGGAAGGATAAAAATAGAATTGAATGCTGGAGAATGGAATGGATGAAGGAGGAAAATAAAGTAATATATATATAGTAGTAGTATCCTTACATTATTTATAAATGATTGTTGTTGTTATGATTAAATAATATTATTATTCTTATTGTCTTACTGTCTCTTTTTAATCTGAATTTTGATATATATATAAAATAATAATAATAATAATAATAAGTATTATGATAATGGTGGGATTGAATGAAAATAGTATAGTATAATATAATATTTAATATATATATTTTAAAAAACAAATGAAAAATCAGAAACAAATTTATTTATCTCTCTCTTGTCCCTCTTGCCTTTTTTTATCTCTCTCTCTCTCTCTATGTCTTTTTATCGCCTTTATGTTTTCTCTGTGTGTGTGTGTGTGTGTTTGTTTTCTCTTTATCTCTATTTCCTTATCAAATACTTGTTGTTTTTAAGTAAATGTGTTTTAAAAATCGATTGTAAAAAGCAAGATGGAACTTGTACAATTATTATTATTTTGGGTTAAACATGAATGAATGAATGAATTAAACGAGAAAATGGAGGGTGATAATGAATAGGATTGAACTCTCTCCCACACAGACACCATTGTGTTTTAGTGCGATTTCTCGATTCCCTTTAAAAAACCACTACCAACCACTAGCTCTTATTGTTTGGATGTGGGTGTGGGTATTTTTTACTTAAAAGGCGCGACAATCGAATGTATGTGAGTGTGTGTATGAGACATAGAGACAATGGACAAAGGAATATATAAATTATTCTTAGCTTACATTTTAACTCTTTTTTACTTTCTCTTTCTTTTAGTTTTGATTTTTTGTTTTTTAGGTATATTTATTAGTTTTACTAAGTAGTTTGTTGTAATTGTTGTTGGGGTTGTATATAAGATGTTCATTTTACGCCCTCATTTGTGTAAAAGAGTAGTATTGTGATGATTTAAATCTATTAAAAATAATAATAATTAAATAAATTCAATTTCAAAAAAAAAAGTGTAGAGCAACAGATCCAGAGAAAGAAATGGAAAATAATATTTGTTTTTTTTAGTTTTCAATTCTCTTCATCTTTTAAAAAATCTACTACTACTACTTCTTTAAAAATTCTAAATATAAGTGTTTCGTGATACAAAAGATATTGATAATTGTTTTTTTTTTTTTTTTACTATTTATTTTTTTGTATTTATTTATTAATTATTTGCCAACCCATGTTGTTGTTTTTCTAAAAGGATTGTGAATAAATTCTTTCTTTGCAATGAGTTGACGAACAACATGCATTAGGTTTCTGGTTCGTTCGATAGTGTAGAGCCCTTCACCACAAATTACAGGAGCAAATGATATGTAATGTTCAACGAACGCCATTATTCTTTCGATGATCATTATCATCTCGTCTGAATAGGTACAGCCGGAAAATTCTGGATCTACAAAATTCATAAGATCCACCATTATGGATCGAGCATGTTCTATCTTGAACCAATCCTTGTCCAATCGTATCTTAAAAACTTTACATTTCTTGAAGATATATAAAATAGAACCACCAAAGACTGCCAATTTTGGATAAAAACTCTCTGAGTGTTTCCCATTCTTTGCTTTTTGTAAGTCACTGACTAATTTCGTTATTATTTTTGGTAACGAGGGTAATTCGTCGTGTAATACTCGAATTCCATCGAGTTGCATTATTTTGAAGATTAGGTGGCAAATGCTGCTCCAGGCTCCAAGATACTCAATCCTTGCAAAATATTGGATCTCTTTGGTGGGATTTTTGCGCTTGAAATAAGCCTGTTGTAAATCCGCAAACATTGAAAGCGATTCATCCAAACAATAGAATAGTGGGTGATCACCCATTACGCCTCCTCCCACCGAGTCAATTAGGTGATGGAAAGTTGATATTATTTCGATATAGGAGGGGACGCGTACATCTTCATTGCGAAAATTAAACGGAGCAATATGATTGAGATTCATTGATATAAAGAACTGGTCAAAGATGTCCAAGATAACATTTTGTTTATCATTCACCATTTCTTGAATCGTTTCTTTGTGGCACACCGACGAAAATAGATGTGGGATGATTAATGACGATGTCCTGTTTTGGTATTTGGTAAGAGATTTGGCCAACACCAGTGCATAGGGATAAATATTCGACAATGAAACCACTTTGACAATCTCGTTTAACAATAAAAGATTGTTTCGAATTTCCACTTGATCTTCTCCCACTACTAGCTCTTCTTCTTCTTCATCATCACCATCTTCTTCTTCTTCTTCTTCTTCATCTTCATCTTCATATTCTTCTTCCACCTCTTCATCTTCTCCATCTTTGGGGTCACCTTTTTCATCATCCTTTATCTTGTATATTGTATCATCTTTGTCAATGTCCAATTTAACATAAATATGCTTTAGAAATTGTGAAAGGTAGACTGGCATGACATCTCTTGAGAATCGAATCACATTCTTCAAGTCCAAGAGATTGAAAACTTGATCCTCTTTGGCGGTGATTGTATATTTGAATAATTGGTGAATGGATCTTGAAACAAGTTTCTTGGGAATATTTGGATAAATGAGACAGAGTATATCTATGACTATTCTATATTCATCTGTTCCAACGATATGAGGAGGTTTGAATAGTTGAACAAGAGGCATGACTAATCTTGAACAATCCTTTTTGAAAGAGAAAATGAAATGAGTATCGCGAGAATGAGATTTAATTCAGTGGTTATCTTTAAATACATACCAATTTTGGAATAATTGATCTTATCTTTTTTAATGTATCTGATAGTGATCCAATTGATTTTGAATCAAATGTAGCCAATATGATATCGAATAATTCTTCTTTGTGATCCACGAATCTACGTTGGTTGCGATATGCTGTGCGTCTTGATGAATCGTGGAAATACAAAAGGAAATGTGAAATGAACACTTGACACATACTTTCTCTTTCTTCTCGAATCGATAATGATGATGCAATGGTTTTTATAGCATCACCAACAAATAAATAATCTTTGAAACATTCTGATATTACCTCACGTATAGGTTCACTATCCAACTTTAAACCTTCGACAACAGCCAACTTGATATCAATCTTTCCCTTTACCATCTCTTTTTTTATAAATTGAAACATCAACATGAAGGAAATATCTCTAAGATTCTTATTGTCATGTTTCATTGCATTGTTTATAAATTCAATCAATTCATCCCATTCTAACTTCTCTTTTTGATAGATACAATTAATTAATTAATGATCTTGATATATCAGTGATATATTTTTGTTCAACAGCAACATACCGCCATAATTTTTCATTGACCTTGCGATCCTTATAATTGCATCGGTCTTGCGAGTAATTGAATGATCGTCGTCATCATCATCATCATAGCTAATGGTTTGTTTCTTTAAATATTCCAAGACAACTTGCTTTACTCTTTGTTTAAGTTGTGACGATGTATTATTGAAGGTTATCGTCCAACTCAGTGTATGGATTGCTTCATTTTCAATGATTGGGTGAGCGTTAGGCTTTGAGGCAGTGCTATCAAGTTTCCTTTTCTTTTTAGAATTGATTGTTAGTATAGATGATGATGATGATGATGATTAAGATCAAGTCAAACACACTTTGCATACATGTATACATACATTGGGATTGTAGGTTGGAGGCATACCATTTGAAACAAGATAGAGCAACCATGGTATCACTTTTTGTTTTGTTGTTTCACTCTTTATGTATTTGTCTATACCACCACCACAATATTTAAATTTAATGACAGCACATATAAACTGATCGGTTGGTTCTTCTTCTTCCATAAAGATCATTATAAATCTTTTTATGTTATTGGGAGTGCACACTAAAAGATAATATATGGTCGCCTCATAAGATATACAAAAAAAAAAAAGGTAAAAAAAATTAATTCTTTCACTTTTTAATTTTTTTGTTTTTTTCACCATAAATATCTTATAGAAAATGTACACTTTTTTTTCATGTTTTTCTTCTTGTATTCATCATCATGCTAAAATTAATATTATTCTTTGTATTTCTCAGCGCTTGTTACGCTGAGTTAAGTTGCATCAATCCTAAAGGGGTAAAAGTAAGTTGGTGGATATATCTTGCTGATCGTACTTTAGAACCAACGAATGGGATGTATGGACAAGGTTTATATTATGATTCAATCATAATGGAAGCTGACAGTGGTAAATATTGATATCAATTGTTTTTCACACAATTACCATCTAATAACTTTATTCGCATATCTCTAGAACCCGTTATGGAATCCCAACAAACCGCAACAGGTACTAGGATCAGAACTGAGTTTTTTGAAAAGCTCATGTTACAACATCTGGCGACGGTACCACAGGGGCTCGTCCCACAATCGGAATGTAAAGATTCAATTTCAATTGAATGGTTTCACGACCAAGGGGAAGCCCCCGAATCCATTAAATTCGATGATAACAATTATTCTTTCCATAATGCTCACATAAAGGTATTATTAAAAAAAGATGACCAAAAAAAAACTAAAAAAATTAACTCTAAATTTTTTTTATTAGGCTCTGTTCGTGCACGACCGAAGCAACAAGAAGGGGTTTTTTATTTCACATACTATGAGAATGCCCTACATGCAGGATGGGAAGGATTCTAGAAAGTTTGATAATGACCCTAGCCCTTATCGTAGACTCTTCAATATTCCAGTTGCTAGCAACCCCGGCACCCAACCAACCCAACATGCTTTTTGTAACAGTTTATCAAACGAAAAAGATATTGGAACGTTTATCAACATGTTATTCAAAGCCAAAGCTAATCTGGTCGCCACAAACTTTGAAGATGAAGAAGACTGCAATTCTTTTAAGAGTTTGCTTCCATTAAAACCCGCCATCAATGATATCTCTGTTAAATGTACCCAAAATTGGAAGAATTCTCAAAAAAAACTAAAATTACGTCGTCGTAATGGTCTCCGAATGGTGGCCAATTTACTAAAAAGTTCTGAATCATACGAAACCACAAAAAGTTGCGTGGAAAATGGAAGTGAGGACACTGACCAGTGGTCGCCCCCAAAACTTGGTGAATTTGAAGTATTTTCTTTTTGTATGTTATGTCAATGTATAATTATTTAATTTTTTACTCACAAATGAATCTTTCTAAGTTGGAACCCCGACAAAGGATAATGACAGGAAACTAAAGACATTGGTCACTCAAATTAAACGATGAATACTACCAAACTCAGAGTTTCTGTTTCAAAGAAAATTTTGGTAAAACAAGAACAAAGGTCCAACAAGTTCAAAAAGTTAAAAAAGGTAAAAAAGTTCACAAAAGTCCGAAGAGCCCAAATCCAATGTTAATAAGGAAGAGTACTTTGGGTAAAAAATATTGTAAATCAAACACTTTTAAAGTGTCTGATTTTCAATGCCATCAAGAGCTAGCTATCTCTAGTTATAATGAATGGGGGATGGAACCATGGCTATTTGTTGCACATCATTATCAAACTTGGTTTTATATTAGCACCTGGGTAAGTTATTTAATACAATTTCCTGAATAATATTTTGACCTTTATTTTTACTAGAATTACTATTTACCATCCATTTCAGGTGATAAATGGGGCCTGTTCAACATTAATGGATGGACAAGTGAGTTTAGTAGTCTTTTGCCAGCAGACAAGAAAATTACAAACACCCATGAAAAACTAGCCATTTCCGCCATCCCGAGCTCTAATCTTCTTTGTCTTGGAGATTCAAATCGAACGCCCTCACAGATCAATCATGCAGGAAATATTGTAAGTCTAATTAATTGATTCCAATACATATCGTCGCTGACTCTGATTTTTATTCAAGTATTGCATAAAAGTTAAAGAAAAAATGTTAAATAGATTGAAAGAAAAGTTCGTTGGTTATGATGTATACAGAAAGCTGGAATTGGGACCACAGGCTTGGTGGGATACTAAAAAGCGCCAGGAATGTCAAACAAGTGCAGTTGGAGTTTTTACACCAAACATGGACAGTGTTAAACTTTTCTTTGAGAATAGAGTGGCATCTGAGGAGGAAGCCTCATCTGAGGAGGAAGCCTCATCTGAGGAGGAAGCCTCAACTCAAGCAAATACATCAAAAAAAAAAAATTTAGACAGCAGGTACATGAGAGGTGTTAAATTATTGGCAGGTAAGAAGAGGATTTCTATTCCAACGTATGGTAGTGCCACCCCCAAATTTCCTGGTTCAGATTCCGAAGAGTCAGATTCCGAAGAGGAATTGGATACGGATGAGGAATGGTATTCGGGTGATGATTAAAACAATTAACCAATTGTTATTGTCATTAAATCAAACAATGAATATAGAACAATAAATTAAAATATTGATTTTAGATATTGGATTATAAATTCATAATTTTAACTTTATAATTTCCAATATTTATAATTCTTCAATTCCTACTCTCATTCTTTACTGGGAATGTATTGACATTGAATGAGAGATTAATCCCAGATACAAAATGAAATATTAAATGATCATTTGATTTCTATTTATGAATTTATCAAAAGTAAACATGTTTTAAAAGGGTTGGGTATCGAAGAAATAACAAGAATGGCTTTGTATCAATTATATAAAGAATATTGTAATAATAATATCAAAACAATAATTCCAAAGAATGAAGCTTACAAGCGTTTAGAAGAAATTGGTATAAACTCTCAAAAAGGAAGACAAAATAATGTTGTATATCAATATAGCAAAGAACAATTATTGTCAATTTATAAAAGCAAAAGTTTATAACAAAGAATGATGATATTTTTAATGATGAAACTGATGATGAAATAGAAGATAAAATTGGTGTTGATCATATTGAAATGCAAAAGATAATAAAACAACTTGAAGATGACAAAATTGAAGCACAAAAGTTCCATGATAAAGAGATTAAAAAGTTGAAAAATAAAATAAAAGAATTAGAGGAACAACAAAAGACCATTGATATTCCAAAAGAACCAAAAATAAAAGAACCAATTGAACCAAAACCAAACCCAAAACCAAATAGAAATGAAAAAATGATTGACTTGCCATGGATATTATAAAGAATACTCTTTTACAAAATCATTTGTAGCTGTTAGATTGTTTCTTGGGACCATTTCTATTAAATCATTTGGTAAAATTTGATCAACCATTATTGGTTGTTGCTGTTCTGTTTGTTTTGCTTGATTTACTTGATTTGCTTGAATCGTTCTTTCCAATTCCAAAAGATTCTTTTCTTTCATTTCATGTTCAGTCTATAATTGATGTAATTGTTCATCTATTTGTCTTGTATTTTCATACTTGCCTTCCAAATCTTGTATTCTCTTTTCTGTCAACTTTTGATTGTAAAGTATTTCCATTCATACAATAGAGCATTTGGTTGATTCTCTTGTATTAAATTAAATTCTAAACCCAATTGTTTTGCAAAACCTAAATCATAATGAGTATAATGATTTCTTTCGTTAATTTTAAAACATTTATGATTACCATTTACAATAGCTTTATAAATACCTGGAGGAATAAATGATAAATCATTCAACTCTTGTGTTGTCATTGTTTTGATGAGCCACGTTTGATTGGAATCAAAATGCACGATATTTCATAATGGCACCATACATCTTTCTAATGTCATATTTGTACAATGGTCCTTGATAACCATGATCTGACCAAACCAATACACCACTTGAGCATGCACTAATCCTAATTCTCCTTCATCTTGCTCAATATAATCTGGATGAATGGTTGGGTTGTATTCTAAAAATAATTGATAAGCTGATTTGGTTATTGCTCCTCCTGTCTTGTAAAAATTTACTTTATAATGAGTTAGAGCGTTTAATTTATCTGCTGTTTGGATAAACTTACAATAAGTCTAAATTTAATCCACCAAACAATTTGATATATGTATTTGGACACAGGTAATAGTATTTCTTCGATTTACCTCGAATTCTGTTTTTGTACAATTGCTATATTCAATTCCATTAAATAACTTTACAGTACCATCATCCAAATACTGATATACTATTGGTTTCTTTTCCTTAGATGCTACTCCATGAACCTTGTAATCTCTTTTTTTTATCTACAGAGTAATGAGCTTTTGTTAGTTTGATTCTTATTTCTTTGGTAGCATTTTCTCTTTTTGATGTATACGTACATCCTTGATTACCACTAATTACAATCTTGAATCTTGAGGGTAGTCTTGATTCTATTTCATGAATCTTGTCCAAAGGAACTAGATCCGTTCTATCCAAACCAATTGCCTCTTTAAGTGACTCTGGTGTTGAGAAAACGGATCTAGTTGTCTTGGGACAAATGAGCATCATTGCTTCCCACAAACAATCATTCTCTTTACCATTACAACCTCCTGCTTTTACTACTACATCTGTTGGTATGAGGTATAAAAGAAAAGTATTAAAGTATGGTGGTTCATCAACATTGTATTCTGTAGGATTGAATAAACTAACAGGCTCTCCTACGTTTGTAAGTTTACCTGTTTTCCAATCATTCTCCATAAAAGGTAACAATACATGAACTGTACCTCTTTGATAAAAGTCATCTGACAGTTGCTGTGCTTCTCTGATTACATCATCTCTTGTCATTCTACCTATTTTAATCTGAATACATCTACTACCTTTTCTTGCTACATTTAGCTCTGATACTTCTGATTTGTTGCCATCTTATCTCTCTTTATATATCTATATGAAATAAAATATTTAATTAAAAAAATATAACTCAACAATTGATCGATCTGCAAGTTGTGATCTTTTTGCTAATTGATTCATGTTATCTCTATGAATCTTTCTTTTTAAATGTTTATATTTATTTATTTATTCACTCTTGATGCCATAACACCACATTCACATTCTATTTTATGTGTATTGTATTCTAATACTCTTTTTCTAAACTCTGGATCTTGATAGTATTCTACCATTTTTTTAATTTCTATATTTATTTATATAATTATCTTTAAAAAGAGATGACAACAAATAACAAGAGATATTACAAGACATTTGGATTAGAAAAAGCAGATAAAGAGTATTTATTAAAACAAGAATTGTATAATTTATACAAGACACCTAAAAGAGATTCATTTACTAATATGCCTCATATTCAAGAATATACAGACAACTTTAAACAACAAGCAGATTTATTATTTTTACCAGATGACAATGGATTCAAGTATGCATTGGTAGTTGTAGATTTGGCAAGTAGATTGACAGATGCAGAACCATTACAAAATAAAACAGCAAAAGAAACAAGACATTGGGTAGTATATTACACAAAAGAATGATGGCACAAGAGATATTAACTGGCCAACAATCAAAAGAATGGGTAGAAGACTTGCCTGTTATCATTAAAGCAATGAGCAAGAAATTCAAGAGATTAAAAAAAGACAGGAAACAAAGGTTTGTCAGACATGCCACTATGTCAAGGTGACTCTTGTGAATTATTGGATCTAGGAACAAAGGTACGTATAAAATTGGATGAGCCTATAGATTATAATACTGACCAAAGATTATATGGTAATTTTAGATCAAGTGACATCAAATGGAATCCAGAAATTAAAACCATTCAAGACTTGATGTTGAAGCCATCTTTTCCTCCTCTTTATAAAGTTAATGATTCAGATATATGGTATACCAAGAATCAAATTCAAGTTGTAGACAAAGATGAACAAAAACCATCAAGTATTGTTGTCAGAGGAAAACCAACAACATACAAAGTTTTACAAATACATCAAAAAGATAAATCAAGTGGCAAAGTATATTATCGTGTTGAATGGGTTGGTTATCCAGAAAAAAAAGTTGGACATGGGAATCTAGAATCAAGTTGATTGAAGATGTTCCTGATATGGTTAAAAGGTATGAGTCATTGAACAAATAAATATAATAATTATTTTATTTATTTTTTATTCTTTTTAGGATTTAAATTCAACAATGACCTCTACTAAGCTATCTACAAATTTAGGAAATGAATTAAAGAAATGGTAAAGAATCAAAGAATTAGTGTGATCATTGATTTAATTGTATCATATGCTCAAGATTTAAAAAAAAAACAAAAGATTGGTAGTGGAAGATCAAACAAAGGTCTTTATGATAGCGAGATTGAAAGAATAATGAAACCATATCATAGAAAGGGGTTTGAAAGAGTAATAGCAAGTGATCAATTAAATTTATTGGAACCAAAAGACAAGATGTCATTTATAATGAATTTGGATCCACACAACAAACCAGGTGAGTGTTGCTTTAAAAATATTAAAATCAAAGCAGTGGGGTAAGTGTTGTATTAAAAATATTGAAATCAAAGCAATGAGGATATTGGAAACAATGGACGGAGAATATTTGATGGTTGCGTTTTCATTGTATCCTTCAAATGATATATTCCCAATATCATTACCCAATTTTACATTGTCAAGGTTTGCTCTTTCTTTTTGTTGAAATGATAATTCTTTAAGGAATCCATCAGTGTGTACTCTTTTGATGTGTTCTATATTTGGCAACATGATAGTACCAATCATTGATCGACCCCTTGAAATAATAAAAGGGACGATTCTTGCCCAATGGGTATCATACATACATTTTGTATTTTGGAATTTGATTTGTATTATTGATTGGTTTGGTCGATGCAACATAATCAATCCTCTGGATAGTCAAAAAAACTTACTTCTCGTTTCAAACCACCATCGTGTTGTGTGCTACTGACGTGTTTACCATTTATATTTCTTTTCTTGTGTACTCTTTTACCCATAAATCCCAAAAGCTTTTGATATAATCCTTTGACCAACATTTGTATTTCTTTATCTTGATTTTTACTTGCATCCATTTCATTACTTGTTCAATATAATTTTGAAATAAAGTACGACCATTTATTTTTTTATCTCCATGATCTATCATCTTTTTCTTGTCTTCTCTTTAATTTCTCTCATTGCAACCTCATTTGGATTAGACCCTGTACAGGGCTGCTTTCTTTATAGAGTTTCTGTTGCTGTTTTTTCTCATCCTCTAATGCTTCTCTAATCAACTTTCTAATCTATTTTTTATCATTCTACTCCATGTTGTATGTATCGTCCTCTTTTATCTTTTTTTAATCTTAATGGTATCTGTTTTTGCTTCTTACCTCCAATCATCATCTTGTATTATTATACAATATAATTATGTTTTTTTAATAATCAAAAGTTACTTCAAAAAATTGATTTTATGCTGTTTTCTTTATTTTTCCTCAATCAATGACCCCATTTCGTACGATTTTTTATATGTGGAACTGGGAGATTTTTCGAAATTAAAAAAACAAATAATATGACCGCTACTGAGAGGACGGTGGGCAGTTTGCGGAGTGTCGATCAGATCTTTTTTTTTTTTAATATTTTCATTTTTTTTTTCATCTCGAACAACTCACAGAAACCAAATTTTGAGAATGTATATTAAACTATTAAATAAATAAACAAATAATATGAACGCGCGAGGAAGGGGGGCCTTAGTAACGCTGCACGTCCCCGACGGCAGTTATAGAGTGTTGAAAGGTACCCACCGTTACTATGGGTTGAATTTAATTTTATTTGTTTTTAATTTTTGTTGATCTGACGATCTGCCGATCTGTTACGGTGAACGGTTTACTGTTGACTATATCTCTTCAGTTGGAAAAGAATTAAATGAAGATGATCAATCAACTATTATTTCTATTCCTTTTGGTAATTATTCAAGAAAATCATTGCAAAACACATTGGAAAGCAATTGAATGCATTGTCACCAAACAATGTCAAATATGCAATAAGTTGGCCAACATCACAACAACCAAATAGTGGATATCTTCAGGCTTTGCAGCCAATGCAGCATTAAATCTAAATGTAACCATCCCATTCAACGAATTATACTAATCCATTTTATCATTGGACAAGGATATTATGTTGAATGAAACATTATTGGTTAGATTTGTTTGGTCAGAACTACCAAATATTGGTTTTGGTGCAGATGCCTCTCTTACTCCTCAAACAAACCCAGTTGCTTTCTCTTTACTTATTCCTTATTGTTATACTACAACAGCATCACTTACAGGTACAAATCAGCCAGTATCATTAAGATTAAATAGACTAAATGGTATTACTTTGGAAAGAATTTATCATAGTTTATTTATGTGGCTTCAACAAATTTGGAACATTTTTACACCAATATTAATAATACAAGGAGAATGCAATACGATTATTACCCAGGTTTAAATGATGACTTTAAAGCATTGCGAGGCAAATTGATAGATTCAACTATTCAAACACCAAATATTCACAACTATAATTGGTGTTGGTTGGATAGATTTGATGATGGATCATTTGGTTTGTTAGATGAAAATATTGTTTCTGGAATTGATTTAAATCTAGGTGAGGTTAAATGGGATTTTATTGCATTTTTAAGTGTTGCAACCAATCTTACTCATCAATTACTTCAAATGGATTGATATTAATGTAAATATTATTTATTCATTATTAAATAATATAGGAAAATGAAATTCAACAAACAATTATTAAAACAATCCCAATTGGTGGTATCATTCCTGGTGGTTATGGAAGGTTGATGGTTCAAATGAATTTGGATTTTGTTCCAGATCTTATTACATTAAAACTCTATAGTTTAGATGGAACACTTCATATTGGGGATGTGTACACAATTAGAACTTCATTGATTAGTGACAACAACCTTTTTTCCTTTTCAAAAATATCCACCACAAATTGAAATTTACATTTTACAAACAAAGTGGAGCCTTTATACAAGGAGCTTATTATTTTGAATGAGTGGATCAAAACAACAATTATTTGGAAAATGAATTGGAATTTGCAGCTGTATTTCAATTTACCAAATTTTAAATCAACATATATATAAAATGATAAAGATAATAATGTCATTGTGGAACCAATCAAACTACGACAACCACCAAAAAATGTCAAAGGATCAGAATTATTTAATCAAGTAAATGCAAAAATATTGGTATGTGCTCCAAAAAATAGTGGCAAGACTGTTGTTATAAAAAAGATTATAGATGAATGTACTAACAAACAAACAAATGTTTCAATTTTTTGTGCAACAGTTCACAATGATCATAGTTGGTTGGAAATTCAAAAGGATTTGGATAAAAGAGGAATAACATTTATGACATTTACAAATTTATGATGATGACAAGGCAAATGTATCGGAAGCATTTATTAAAAGTTTACAAGTAAAACCAAATGAAAATAGTAGATCATTGATATTGACCAATAATTCTGTGGTAGAGAAATCATCAAAAAAAGAAGTGGCACCAGATTATTTAATTATTTTTGATGATTTATCCAATGAATTAAAAGATCCAAGTATTACCAAACTCATGAAGATTCATTTTAACCAAGATTATTATTAGTACTCAGGTGGAAAGACACCTCATCACACATTAGAAAAGGTATTTATGTTTTGCTATTTAAAAATATACCAACAGAAACATTAAATCATTTATGAAGAACTATCACTGACAATTCCAGAGATTTATTCATTTGAGGTAACAACCCAAACCGTCACAAATCTATTAGGTTTAGTTCTCGTTAACTAAACAATGTGAAGGAATGCATTAGTCATTCTTCAGTTAGTCATTCTTATATATATATTTACACAATAAATTAGACAGTATATTCAGTGCCCACCAGAGGGCCATCCCACCGACTTACACTACACTTATTCTGATACCATACTACACCAACCAACAGTATAACACCATCAGATGACAACGGTACGATGATACAACTTGGGCACAGTAAGAGTGTCTAAGTGATCGATCATTGAACTATTCAAAAGAATTAAAATTGTTAGTTTTTACAAATAAATAGATTCTGAGGCGGAACACCCAACCAAAAATTTTCAATCGAGGGAATTTAAATATTAATTTATTTATTAAATGATCCACTCATTGGGAATGGTTCTTCCAAAATACTCCCACATTTTAGTCGCGTCCATTGGCGTGTCTTGTGAAGTAGGCCCGTGTTTCTTTTCGACGTAATAATAAGTCATGTGAGCAGCATCACATTTTTCAAACATGGACAGGGGAAAGAATTTGCTCGAGGGCAATTGGAATGCGAATTGTTGCCAATAATCATCGTCCAAAACAAAGTCTCTTTCAGTCATAATCATTTGTTGATCATAGTTTCTAAGTACGGACCAGTCTTGGAATGCTGGGGTTGGGAAGGAGTCACTTAGAGGGGATTGTGAACTTGGGATAGAGAGTGCGATATATTGATATGTATCGTCTTTAATAAAAAGCACTCCATTTTCTGAGGAATCAATGTTGGATGGGGGGTCGGTGGTGAAATCCAAACTAGTGGCCACCATGATCTGTGCGATTTGTGAATTGCTGAGGGTCACAAGTTTGGTGACTCCATTTGGAGTTGGGTTGGTGATGACGTATTCAAAGGATTTTTTTTTTCCTATGTGGATAGTGATGGTTACAACTTGGTAGGAAGTTTGATAGGCAGGAATTCGAAGGTATCCCGGGTATTCAGAGTTTTGGACGAGCATTGATGATGAGTCAAAAAAGTTGAAGGTCCAGACCGGAATGGGCATAGGGTGTCTACAGAAACTGCTATCCCACATGAAAACTCTTGGCAGTGTAAAGGTATTTCCTGAGCTAATAACGACGTTTCTAACTACATTGATGCCTGGAAGGCTTGGGTGTGGGGAAACTATGGTTGGAAAGTTTACGACAGCTGGTCCTCCAACTTGGAAAGTACTAAAGTACACCTTGTTATGTCTTGGATCGAGATTCAGACCAAAAGGGGGTTGAATATTGATCTCTGAAGAGAAACAACCAGAAGTAGACGAATTCTTTTCACACGAATAGAAATTGTCAAGAACATTGTCAATGAGTGGGATCGCTCCCAACTCGATAGATGTCATGAAATACTGTTTTCCGTTTCTTCCATATGGATTAACATTGATTTTGGTATCCCATGTGGCGTTTCGTGAAAGAGGATTTGGAGCATGTGGAAACCAATACAAGATGTAATTTTCCTTTTGTAATTCTGTTTCTAGGTCAAACATATTAGAACGGGTCATAAACTTGTAGTAAAAGCTCTCCGCTGTGGTCCATATTTCTTTGATTGATGTTCCATTTTGAGTCTTCCACAATGACGGAATTAGGGATCTGATTGGGAGTAATTGATAGTTTACTGGTACTCTGAAAAAATAGAAAAAATATACTATTAGAAAACTCTTACCCGTGAATTTCAAACCATTTCCGTTGGTCATCTTTATGAAATACTTACGGTAATAGATCAACTGATCCAGTCCAAGAACCATAGTTTGCGTTGGTTCCAGGTGCAAAGCATCCAGGTCGCCCACCAGATCTATATTGCATGTAAAAAAATAATTTTTGGTTAGTTTTTGAGGAATACGGTAGGCACCTATATGTTACTGGCACACTTACATTAACAGAGTTGATCTTTCAGTTTCACTTAGGAATCGGTTCCTTTCTTCATTTGATTCTTCGCTTTCGTATTCTTGACCGTAGGCAGCATTGCTGTCGAGTACTGGCGATGAAACTGCAATATTAAACGATGAGCTGAATTCCTTTGATGTGTCCACTTCAGTCTCGGATATTGATGTTGTTGTAGATGTGAATTGCTTGAGTGTACCTCCAAGTGTGGCCGAAGCATAAAAATGAGTACCATACTTTCGGATCATTTGGTAGGCATCGTTAGTGGAGTTAACCCCGAGTACATCGGCAATGAAATTGGGATGGAGTGGATGTTGAGTCAGTGTTATCCTTGAAATTTCACACGTGACAGAAGATTCCACGATCTTTCCTGAATTGGACTTTCTCAGTGTGCTACTTCTTTTGTAGGAACTGTCTTGGGAGTATTCTGCATTGACTTGGGCAGGCAATTTGCTAAAGCTTGCAGAGATTGAACCTGAATACAGAGTTTTCGAGGCCATGTCCCTTTTAATTTCTTCAGAGTTGTTCCACACCTTGTTTGTTTGAGTAAAACTGCATTGGGGCATGAAAACAACCTTCATTTCTTTGGGAATCTGGTACTGGGCACCACGATAGGTATCTTCAACGACATTGGTTTCTTTTTGGCTGCAAAAGTCAAACAAAAAGATTGGTGTTGCCTGCTGCTCGCCAGTGACAAGGTCAAATCCAAAACTGAGGTGTTGGTAGCCGGGCAGTCTCCAGTCAAAGGTGTTGTAGAGCAAATCACCAACTGTGTCAGACTCTACGTACATTGGAATGTTCCTTCCCTTTCTTGTAGTGATTGGTGGACAAACTTGGGTGATGTATCGGAAGCAGTCTTGGATACAATCATTTGGATCCAGTTCATCGCATCGGCCATTTCCACAGACCACATCATCGTTTTGGTTCCAATAACGATAAGACTTGGCATCAGACTCGCATTGCTCGTTTGGGTCGTAAATGCCATCGCCGCAAACATATTGAGAGTAAAAAACCAAATCTCCAAGGGGAGAGAAATCGTCATCTGTCGATAGCCTGTACTCCATAGTCATTTGTCTTTGGCCGACAACTGCCTTGGACAATGATGAATAACTTATTGTCAACTTGTGAATGGGGTTTTTGATGAGATAGACATTCGTTTCGATGACGGTGCCGGTTTGCGAGGATGGATCGGATCTAAACTTTGTTAATTCCTTGCCGTTGACATTAATGGTGAGGCCGAGATTGTCCAAGGTGAACCTTAAATACACGAAAGTGTCAAAGGGAACTGTAAAATAACCGACCAGTTTTCCTTTAATGGGGCCGTCTTGATGATTTAAAACCGGGAATGGAGATTGGTATTGATAGGTACTTTGGAAGGGGGCACATGAACTCTCTTCCGAGCAAAGATAGTCTGCTCGAAAGAACCCTTTGAAAAAAGAGGTGCATTGAATACTGGACTGTTGGCAACCGAAAAGTTCCGATGGAGAGGTGTAGGCTGGAGCAACAGAGCACCTCGACGTGGAGGTTGATTTGTCCGAAACGGTAGAGTTTGAGCCCAAACACAAGGCCAACAAACTGACTGTTGGATCTACGGTTGCCATGGCACCATCGACAGTAATGTCGAACAGGACATATTGGTCTTGGTCATCAACAACGGACAGTTGCTTGTTATCAGAAAACGTCGAGCCTGGAGCAATTTCTATTTTTGAGTTTTGGGTAGCATAGATGGCTGCTCCGTAGGTCATGGCAGTGTTGCTGTTAAACGCAGAGTTAGAAACAACAAGGTTGGATTGAGAGACGTAAATTGATCCGAAATCGCTTCTTGAAGATAAGATTTGTACTTTATCCAAAATCACTGATGACTTTTGAGAGATTGAAATAGAAGAACCTTTAGAAGAAGAGCAATTGATGATCTTGATTCCATTCAGAGTTACAACACTCTGCTTTTCTATGACAAATGCTTGTCCGACACTTTGGCAATCAATGGTCACTATGGCATTTTCATTTTCCGCACTATTTTTAAAGAAGAAGAAGATAATAAGGTATTAATACTGATTTTGATCATTAAGCTGTTTTTTATATTTACCTTATGACGAGATTTGAAGAAGAGACTAAAATATTGATGTTATTGATTCCTGTATAGGTACCAGTTTTGATGAAAATGAATTTAATCCTTCCTGACCGGTCAGGACCACTAGCCAATGCTTCTTTGATCGAGCCGAATGGATCGAAAGAAGTGCCTTCGCAATGCAAACCACACCCTTGGTTCTGTCCTACATAAATGGGTGCTGAGAGAGATACTCCCAATAGAACTGATAGAACTATTAACAATTTGAGATATCTCATATTATGTATTGAATATAATGAAAGTATCTTTGTCTTTGTCTTTGAATATGTTGAAGATCAAAAAAAACGAAAAAAAAAAAATTGCTTTTTTGATGGTTCTTTTTGTTTTAAAAAAGATTAAATTTAAATTTTTTTTTATTTTTTTTTCGTTTTTTTTTGATCTTCAAAAAGTACAAGAACCGTCTTAAGCAAATCTTTTTTCCAATTATAAGATATGAAGCTACTACACATATTTTTTTTTGTTTTGTTGGGTTTAACAGTCCAATCAGTAGTAACATCTAAAACTGTGTATGTGGATTGGAGAGCTACAGTGTCCGAAGAGAGTTGTGGAGATAGTTCAAACCCTTGTCAGAGTATCAAACAAGCAATTGGTGTAGTGGACCCCAATGAATCGAATATCTTAATATTCAGCCCCGGTGTCTATGACGGGCCTTTAAACAGAGAACTCAATATTTCAAACTTTGTAGAACTAGAATTTAGGTATGTTTTAAAAAAATATCAAAGACTCTTTTCTTGCTAAATATTGACCCAACTTTACTCATAGAAACCAAGGAGATGACCAATTGATCCAGATCGATTGTCAACATGTTTCATATGGCCTTTACGTTCGAAACTCGACCCTTAGAATCTCATCGTTTGTTTTTACGTATTGTTATGGCATCAATGGAGGTTCAATATCGTCTCAGTACTCGTTTCTCGAGCTTACCAATACCAAGTTCTACTTTTCCAAAGCCCATAGAGGTGCTGGCTTGTATCTTACTGCCAACCCCCCTGTTAGTGGCACTCCTCAAAGTACTCTTATTTGCTACGGGTGCTACTTTTCAGGAAACTACCCCATCATCGAGGGAGGTGCGCTTTATTTGAACTCATCAAGCGCAACACTTGCAAACTCCACTTTTGAATGCAACAGTCCATCAGTTGGAAGCATCTTTGACTTTGCCATTTACTCATCGGATATTCTTTTCAAGTCATCAAATACAACCACGTCAGGATTTTCATGCTCAGCCGACTCCTCAGCCTATACCGTGAACGATGGCCAAATGAATTCTTTTCATTGTATGAACATAATTTCTACATGTGATGTGTCAAGGGCAAGTAGTTATGAGCCACAAGTACCCATTGAACAATCGTGCAACAACAATAACATTTGCGAACAAGGTGAAACTTGTTTGAATTGCCCATCTGATTGTATCGATTGCCTGTTCAGTGGAACCAAATTTCAACTTTTTTCTCTATGTGACAACTCCTCCAATTTACCTACTTGTTTAGAACCTGGCTACCCAATTTCATTAAACAACTTTAGTATGTATAACTTATATAATAGATTTTGAACCATATAATGATAATTATTTATTAACTATTTTTTTTATCCTGTAGGTATAAATCATTTATACACCTCCAAGCGATCCATTGGAGTTATCTCTGGTTATTTCACAATCAATAAGGATGGAATATACACCATATTGGCAAGTGGTCTCAACCTCGGAGTGGATATCAAGTTAAATGGTCTTTATATAATTCAATCCAGTTTTATACAAACCAATTTCTCTCAATCTTTTCCAATCAAAATCCAAGGAGGAATTTCAAATTATATGACACTGACATTTTACACCCCGGGATATAGTTCACATGCCGAACTTAGTCTTGAGATTTTAGACAACAGTGGAAATAATGTTTTGGTGCCATATTTTTCACAGGTCACAACTAAAAGTATGTATATATCCCTACAACAGCCAATTTGTATTGTTATTAACTCTACTTTCAAAGTTTGTCACAATACCTCAATTCCCCAAGGTAGTTCAGGTGATTCCTCTACAGAAGAAGAAACTTGTGAAATGGTTGTAATTCAACATCAAGCAGTATGTGGTGATTCCATATGTAATGAGACCCCAGAAGGATGTTTAATCGATTGCTACAAGTCATTGGGAACCTTTTGTCAATCTCAACTTCCACCAATCCCATCGCCAGTTCCTCAAAAGGATACCATTGGATACCTTATAAACAACCAAAGGCTTTTTAGTTTACCAGGTCTCAACAATTTGGCACACGGTATTGACTTTCTTCTCGGAGAAATCCTCACCACTCTAATTTTTGACAATGGCTTTTGTGACAATAATACATTTGAAATTATTCAAGATTTCTATCGAGAAACAGTCTACACCCTCCCTCCAGAGTACAACGCCGACATAAGCCCAGTTTGTTCGTTCGAATCCACATCAAAGATGTACGAATCCTCGCAAGAGTATCAAAAAGAAAAATCTAGCCAAACCAAACTAAGCATATCAGCCTCTGCTTCCGGCTCCTATTCCTTTGTGTCTGCCTCTTTTTCAGCTGCCTTCAGCATGAGCGAATCCGTCTCTGTTGCAAGTAGCATGGAGAAAGAGCTCGGTGGCAAGACAGTATCTACCTCCTCCAAATGTACCACCTCGTCGGTTACTAGAAATTCTCTCCGTTTCCACCAAGATTTTGTCAAAGATATTTCTCCAACAAGATCTGCCGAGGCAATGGCAGACTTTATTGTTAAATATGGTGCTTTGTACTACAAATCAGCTGTCTTGGGAGGGACACTCGAAACTATTACAAATGTCGAAACCTCAAAGTTAAAGTCCAGTAACTCTAAAACAATCGAAAGTAGTTCACAACTATCTTTCTCTGCCAGCGTTTCTGCCCCTGTTGGTCTAGCCTCTGGTTATTACTCAAAATCCCAAGATACAAGTGTTGGAGTTGAGGCGCAAACAGAGTTTATGGCCTCTTCAACCACCAGCAATGTAATCGTCAAAGGAGGACGTGTTGGTAGTTTCGGTCCAGATTATAGCACCCCAAATAATTTTGGTATGTACCCTTTCAAATCTGAAAATGTGGTTCTGATTCTAACTTTCCTATTTTATTTTTCTCAGAGGATTGGGCTGGAAGTGTCTCCCTGAGACCTGTTCCTATCGAGTACAATTTAGGATTTGTTGGTGATATTATACCCGATACTTGGAAAACCCCAGATGGAAACAGCATGAAGGATCTGTGGTTTGAAGGCTTCAAGAACTACTTGGTTTTGGATGCACCAAAAGTACAGAGTACTCTAAAGATATTCATTATGTACAAGAATGTGCCAAAAGGAGTCACCGCCAAAGATTCTGAAATCCTCAAGTCCATGTGGTTCACCTTTTCGAGTCCCGATGATAAGTTTCAAAAAAGATTTTGGGTTCAGACCGATCCAACCTGTTTAAACGATACATTACAGAGTTGCTTCACAGAGAGAAAGTATGACATAGATTTCACTTGGGAGATCGCATCCTTGGGAGTCCACTACAAAACCAACAACCAAACACTCCTATTTGACAATCTCTACCGTTATGTGGACCAAGTAATTGTGCAAACCACCAATGACAAAGGTCGCGGGTACATCTTTAAACCTCAAAGAGTTCGCGTTCCTGGAACGACTATGATTGGTGACATTTCATGTGTACCGGCTCAACCCATAAATCTTTTGGGTTGCACACCTCTAGCAGAGACAATTTCAATTGTTGGAGACGAAGTTCGGGATGGGTATATTTCCTGTACTATTGATACATTCCAAATCATGTCACGTCTTTACCAAAACGGAAAAAACGATTCTTTAACCATTGTTTCCCCCATGGGACCAATTGACTGCGGTTACATTTTGGAGGGTGATGCAACCTTGCAACCAATCCCCCCAAACTATGACTCTACTGATGGAGGTCTCTTAGTTTACTCCGAATATAGTCTACCTGTTGCCGCCAAGGACCTCCTCGACACAGATCTCTTCGTGACCCTGTCTGGCAGCATTGGATCGTATACAATCAAATCATCAGTCAAAACCGCAGAGTTAAAAAATCAAACCGATCAAATCATCCGAACCTTCAAGCTATCCACTGACAACATTGTTGGCCAAGTCCAAGGGTTCCAAATAAGACAAAATCCTCATATTTTGGCCAACACATCTGGAGGAACCGATCTTTTCCCCTATAATAATAATATTCCATCATGGGGACCAGTCGTACCATCAAAAAAAATCGTGTCCTATACCTTTACTCGACCAGTTCTCATTCTGTGGATCTGCCCCAAGCATGGTGATGTCACATATGGCATCTGTATCCAAGGTGAGGGCGATCCTCACCTGGGATATATTCATATGTACGTTGGTGCGACACACAAAACGATTGGTGATGATACTATTGTCTCATTTTCCATTGAGCCGAGCCTCAAAACTGAAAGCGATGGCAGTATAATCAATATCAGATCTCAGTTCTACCAAGATGTTACCAAATAAAAATTGTAACAAATTCACAACTATATTCATCCTTTCCGATCTATTCTCAATTAATAATTAAATCTTTGAATATATATAATAATTTGTTTAATTGAATTGTTTTTAATATTATGGTTGTAATGTGATGGATCCATATGGTCATAATAATAGTCCGTCGGTCATGGGTGAGGGACTGAGAACACAAGGCCAGTCGTCGGGACTGGGTCAGTGTTGTTTGAGTCCAGTTGGAGATGATGAAGCATCAGCTAGTCGAACAGTTGTGGTGGTTGTTGTAACAATACTGTTGTTGGGCTGAACGGGTCAGTTGATGTTGTAGTAGAAGCCGACGCACTTCCAGTAGCTTTTAGTGCACCGTGTGAGATGAACCAGTAGATGGTGCAGTAGTAGTACCACTTGTCTAGCAGAAGTGTTGTTGGCGTGGATGAATCAGTCGAGGATATTGGTTGACAATTGAACTTGTAGAAGTTTGACTTGATGTGTAAACTCTGGTCTTATACCTTTACGCGTAGTAACCCCACCAATTGCGTATCTGATGCTGCTCGGGTTGGGCTAACTTCCAGTGGTTGTTGGTGGATGAATCGGTCAAAGATGATTTTCCAGTTGTAGTTGGAGGTGGATGATGCTGTAGTTGAGTTGTGCTGGCTGAAGGTGTGGGATCTCCAGTTGTAGTAGCTAAAGCTGCTCCTGTAGTTGCTGATGATCAGTTGGAAAAGATTATTTAATAACTTGCTGCTGTTTTTCTTGTTATTAAATAATCTTGGTGATCATGGTAGTAGTTGCTGTTTTGATCAAGAGGTGGTGACAGCCTGCAAGACGGTGATGAGTGCAAGTGCTGGAGTCAACGACTGCACCTTTTTGATAGTTGTTGGGTAAGAAGAATGGTGGTGCGGGTTTATAAAGGAAGAAGTATAAACCTATAGGAAAGGAATGGAGAAGCAATGATTGATAGGGTATAGAAAGATTGATTAGAACTTGAACGTACTACCGAGAGGTTCACTGCAAAATTAGCTAAACAATCTTACTTAATTATAACTGTAACCTCTTAAAGATTATTAACTACCACTACTACTACTCCTCCTCCTCTTCTATTTAGTCAACATAAGGATGAAGAATAACATCAAGAGAGGTGTCAATGATAGCTTGAATAACTTATTTTAATTTAAAAAACACATAAATTAATTAAATAAATGTGATCATCTTGAACACAGTGATCAGAACTCATTTTAAAATTATTATTATTAATATATATATATATATGTTGTAGTCCAGATATTTATATCAATGGGAAGGTAGAGGGTTAGACCCAAACCATGATCAGTCTATTGAAAGAGTTTGATAGCATTTATTATTATTATTAATATTAATTTACATCTTTCTTTTGGTACTCCAATCAATACAGATTTGTCTGTTTGAACCTATTCCTTTATATTATCATTTACACCTTGAGGTGTAGTAATCCTTCCAAAAGACTGTGTGTCGCCGACATTGATGCCCAAAGTCTGCAAGAATGTCATGAGTACGATTGGTATACCAACACCAATGACTGAGTGAGATGTCTTCATCAACTCGATGGCGTTGGAGTTGCGACCATTGCCAGTCCTGATGTGACACACGGCGCCAACACTATTGTTGACCTCTGAGGTCCACTACAAGACGATGTGACGTACAAACTCCTTCTGGTTAATCACCAATTATCGACCATCATTAAAACTGACGGTAGTGTTTGTAAACAGGCTTTATATATTCCCAAGCTACCAAGAGATTGTATGTCGACTATAAAATGGAAACTATGCTATTTAATGATTAGAATATGAAAGATATTGATATTAGTCAATAATTATTGATACTTTGAACGTATCTGAATTACTGCAATAAAATCTTACCTTGATTATTATTATTATTATTATTGTTGTTGATTTTATTCAATCCTCTTTGTTTCGAGCAGTTGTTTAGATAACATGATATCATAAAGAGAACCTTTCATCCCTCCACCACACGTGCATTGATTCTTGACCAAACCGATTCTTTACGACTCCATAATACTTGAATCAACATTGGCATTGTGCAGCTTGATCATCAAGTGATCTTCTGATAAACAACATTACCAACCAACCAAAAAGATTGAAAATGAGTAGTAAAGGTACGGATGATGATATGTAATTGGTGATCATGAAGTTGTTGTTGGTGTTGCACTCCAAACTGTTGAGGATGCTGTATGGTCTTTTAGTTGATGGCTCAAGCAGATGTAGTAGTTAGGACGAAGAGGACTTGATGAACCGAACGAAAAAAGAACAAAACAAATTAAAATTTAATCTAATTAATTTTATTTCTAAATATAATTTATTCTTCGGCACTTTGGCTCTCTGTTGTGTTTGACTTGGACATGCTGTCACTGATTGGTTCTGTTGTGTTTGACTTGGACGTGCTGTCACTGATTGGCTCTGTTGTGTTTGACTTGGACATGCTGTCACTGATTGGTTCTGTTGTGTTTGACTTCAAACTAGACATGCTATCACTGATTGTAATCTTTGGATCAGTTGGGGTGTACAGTATTACCGTCGATGTGGTAGATGTCCTACTAAAGGTAGGAGACTGATAGGTATCTGACTTCATAATTGCTATCGAGTAGGATGGATCTGTTTGAGAGTAAATGTTGGGAACTAATAAAAAAAAAATTAGAAAGACTATTGCAAGACACGTCTATCATATGGGAGGGCTTACCTGTTCCGTTTACGAGATTCATAGAGTAGTTTACATAATCAAAGATACAACTTTCCTTGCCTTTAGAATCTATGCGATATAGCATACAACCACGCCCAACGGAAGGAAGAGTGGCCTTTTGTTTGCAGACACGAATAAACAGTTGGTTTCCTTTCTGTGGATCTGAAATGGAAAATACGCTTTCAGAAAATGACGTCCAAAATGAATAAGTATATGTTTTTTGAACAGCCGTATACACGTATTCACAGTCTTCATCTCCGCATGCATAAGTGGAATGGAGAGATATGTTGTTATTACATCCATCGTCCCTCATTGAAAAAGTATTTGATAGTCTTCGGCAATAAACTTGGAAATTCATCCCACAACTACTTCCTGGCATAGGATAGGCAGCTTTTATAGATCGATCTGTTAAAGAAAAATTAATATCGATGTTGATAAAACGCATGATCATTTTTTAATATTACCAAGTGATGTGGCCCAACTGACCGCAGTTAAAGGGGATCCCTTTACCCATTGTCCATTTGAGTATTTGCATGATTGTAATAACGGGCTTTGTCCAAATACGAAAGCGCAGACGCTAGGAACAGAACAAATTCCAAAAAACGTTGTATTCTATTATTGAAAAGTGTTAGAATGCTTTGTAGGTTTTCAAATATTAATCTTTAAATCATACTTGGGTAGATGTATTCTGTAAATAATATGAAGAGGATCTATGAGAGGAAAGGTAAGTTGTTGGAATCGATTTTCTTTTTTACAACTTTTAACTTACAATGCCAACGGAGCCAGGGAGTATTCACCCTCCGCAGTTACGGAACCACATTGAGCAGTTGAATTTTGAGATTCGGTAAAGAAGCTTGAACAGTTTGGAAATGAAATTGAAAACCAGTATTGACACATGGGATCTTCTGTGGCAGTCATTGCTATGCTACTGCCACTACACAAGATTTGAACATTTAGTTTTCTTTTTATTGACCCAGTACAAACACCTGATGATGAATAATTTGCACTAAAACCAAAACCTTTAAATATCAACGTAGATTAGTAATTTATGAGGACCATGATCAGAATAGAACATACCGGAAGCGCCTACGGTCACATTCCAATCTCCAATCACCGATTCACCAAGAGAATAATAGGCAGTATCAGTCTTTTGGCATGCAAAGGAATTGGGAAAACCATTTGCAATACAAGTTTTAGATGGCTGACCAAGCGAAAAATAAAAATTTCTATATTGTGTTGTAAAATTCAGCTCTGTTGATCTAGATGATTTGTGTAAATTAGGTTGGTGAGTTTAAAAGAAAGTTGTATCTTGTCTATCTTACTTTAGTGTATTAAACACAGATAGGGTAGCTGGATTCCCCGAAAATACTCTGTCACCTAGAAAGAGAATCGCGAATAGAATCAATGGTTTTAAAATAGACATGTTGGCTACCTATCAAATGAAGTTGTAACTTTGAAGGTACTCTCAGGGTTCAAAAAATGGCAAGACGAAAAAAAATATATTTTTTTTTTATTAACTTGCAAAATGAATTCGGTACACATAGTTCATTCGTAGTGGTCCACACTTTTTCTTCATGTTAAAATATATTTTGTTTCGTTTAAATTCAATCAATTTCATTCCATTCTCCATCCTCTTTGATACATATAATATTATTAGTATATGTTGTATTGTGATTATTTTAACCTAATTGAATTTATACTGTCATCATCTTTGGTTTGTTTCTTTAAATATTCCAAACAAACTCCTTCTGGTTAATCACCAATTATCGACCATCATTAAAACTGATGGTAGTTTGTAAACAGGCTTGATATATTCCCAAGAGATTGTATGTCGACTATACTTGCAACCATTAACTGTATCAACTGTAAGAGTGGTGTGGAGGGAATGTAGATAGGATTAGAATAGTACTAGCTTATGACTATAGATCATCTAAATAATCTTACTCATAACTAAATATTTGGTTTAAAGTCACGCATGATAAAGATGCATAAAAACTATTCCCTGTTGTGGTCCACTACTACTATAGTATACTACTCCTCCTCTTCCTCCTCCTCCTCTTGTTTAGTCAACATAAAGCCTTCTTCTTACTTTGATGGCTGATTGTCATTTGATTGATTGATTATTTTCGACAATTACTCGTATTGTTGGTCTTTTCTTCTTCTTGTTGATTATTGATGGGTGCAAAAGATAGACATAGTTTAACAAATTCGAATATGGTTTCCAAATCATCTGTCATTACCAGTGTTACGCAAGATGTCATTCTATTAATATCCTCCAATATATTATGAATGCATCACCATTTGCTCTATTATCCACTTCATCCTTTGTCAATAAATAATCACTTGATTGTATTTGTTTTAATCTATCCAATACTCCTTCTTCATATAATAATACTTTCAAGTCGGCTAAACAAGTAAGAGTAAATAAACAATAATGTATTAATAAATATTATAGTACTTTCTTTTCTATTGTTTCCTTTTATACCTTGAGCAGATAAATGCCAAACTAATCTAAGAGCAGAGGTTTGAATCTTTTTAGTTTCGGATAGACATAGATCGAGTAGAGATTGAATGGTACTCTTTCTCTTTTTGGTGTACTTGTCTAGATCAATATCGGTGTATTTGGTGTTGGGTGATACTTGATTACATGGATCGACGGGTGAAGAGGTGGGTGATGATGCTGGAGAGGATTGAGTCGATGAGGGTGGTGATACGGGTGATCGACCGTGATTGGGACTCATATGTATATGTGTTTGCTTGTGGTTTGGATGCCTCTTGACGTGATAGTAAAACGATGGATTCTTGAATAGATCTACTACATGAACCGTTGTACACAGCATCAACCCTTTTAATCCTTGGTATTGTGCATCAACATTATTTTGTAATATTTTTTCGATAAATCTAAAATATAATAATAGTAAAAGTAAAAGTAAAAGTAAAGTAAAGTAAAGTTTCAAAAGTATTAATATAAATATAAATATAAATATAAATATATTATTATTAAATATTCATTAATTAATTACCCAACTGCCTCTGAAATTGGATCAGCTTCTTCAATTCCTTCTGACATCATTTTTGTTGTTGTTGTTGTTGTTGTTGGAATGAATATATTCTAATTCTTAATATTATTATTATTATTTCTTCTTGACTAATTTGTTTGTTTGTCTTGTATTGTTTGTTTGTTAAAATCTAATAGAAAACTAACTATAATTAATAGTATTGTATGATAAATGATAAAGGTATTAGTAATTCATCCTTCATTACGAATATTATTAATATTATGATATCTGTATGAAAAATCCCGATTCGTGTTTATAACAATAATAATATTGTATTGTACAATTTGATGTTTTTTTTAAACTATAATATCACCCCACCCAACTTATAAAGTAATAAACAAATAACAATAACAAATAATAATAATAGTAATAGTAATTTATAAATCACTTTTGGTTTAAATGATCCAACAATCGCGCGTTGCTCTCTGGAAAAAAACAATCAATACTTGATCCAAGTTTTTTCTATTCTACAACTTTTAAAACGGTATGACTGACTTTATGATTATTATTATTATTATGATTATTGTAGTACTACTACTGATATAAATAAGAATCTTATGATTGTTTGTAATGATGATGTAAAAAGTACTGACTGAAGATAGATAGATAGATAGATAGAATAACGGTTCCTACCTAATGTTTGAGATTTGCTCTTTTCAAAAACTCTAAATGAATGATAATAATAATAATAATAATAATCGTCCCTGCTGTTATGATGAGGATGCTTTGTTTGTTTGTTTGTTTGTTTGATATGGATATTATTATTATTATGATTAAATATTGTAATTTGATCAATCAGTCAATAAACCAAAATATTATTATTATTTGATTTCATTCATCATCTTTCCTTGTTCCCATTTCATCAAGTCGATTAATTGTATTGGTCACAATTGTAGAGGAAGGATAGATGATGATACTACTAGTACAACTAGTACTACCACTACTCCTGCTTGCTGATGATGATGATCGTTATATCTTTCATCTTCCTGTTGTTTGTTACAATACCCCTACTACACATACATACAACATAAAAAAAAATAGAGTGAACATATAATGAATGCAACACTACTCTACTCTGTTCACATCGCACTCTCTCTGAGTGGTGTTGTGTTTGTCGATTGGGGGTAGGTAGTGAGTGTGGTTGTTTTGCTCGTTGTTGTTGTTGTTGTTGTCGTTACTCGTGTATTACAGTTTTGGTACTCATCATATGCCTGTATACACGCCACAAGGAAAGTAAACAGTTGTTATGACTTCCAAGTGGATGTTGTTGTTGTTGTTGTTGTTGTTTTTGATTCTAAAATTACTTTTCAAGTGGTGGAGGTGGTACCAACCCAATATCATTCTTCATGATTTACATTTCTTTATATGGTGTAATGTAAACAAGAAGAAGAAGAATGAAGAAGAAAGAAGAAGAATCTATCACATGTTTGATTTGATATGTTATGTGACATTTGACTTGTAATGTCCAACAATAAAACAAGGAGCAAAACAATGCTGCAATGTTTGTTGTTGTTGTGTGTTGTTCCAAAAATATTTATAAGCTTTTTTTTTTGGAAGGATAAAAATAGAATTGAATGCTGGAGAATGGAATGGATGAAGGAGGAAAATAAAGTAATATATATATATATATATATATATATAGTAGTAGTATCCTTACATTATTTATAAATGATTGTTGTTGTTGTTTTTGTGATTAAATAATATTATTATTCTTATTGTCTGTCTCTTTTTAATCTGAATTTTGATATATATAAAATAATAATAATAATAATAATAATAATAAGTATTATGATAATGGTGGGATTGAATGAAAATAGTATAGTATAATATAATATTTAATATATATATTTTAAAAAACAAATGAAAAATCAGAAACAAATTTATTTATCTCTATCCCTCTTGCCTTATTTTTATCTCTCTCTCTCTCTCTCTCTATGTATTTTTATCGCCTTTATGTTTTCTCTCTCTCTGTGTGTGTGTGTTTGTTTTCTCTTTATCTCTATTTCCTTATCAAATAATTGTTGTTTTTTAAGTAAATGTGTTTTAAAAATCGATTGTAAAAAGCAAGATGGAACTTGTACAATTATTATTATTTTGGTTAAACATGAATGAATGAATGAATTAAACGAGAGAATGGAGGGTGATAATGAATAGGATTGAACTCTCTCTCTCTCTCTCTCTCACAGACACCATTGTGTTTTAGTGCGATTTCTCGATTCCCTTTAAAAAACCACTACCAACCACTAGCTCTTATTGTTTGGATGTGGGTGTGGGTATTTTTTACTTAAAAGGCGCGACAATCGAATGTATGTGAGCGTGTGTATGAGACATAGAGACAATGGACAAAGGAATATATAAATTATTCTTAGTTATTATTATTATTCTTACATTTTTTTAATAAAAGTTTTAACTCTTTTTTACTTTCTCTTTCTTTTAGTTTTTTAGGTATATTTATTAGTTTTACAAAGTAGTTTGTTGTATTTGTTGTTGGGGTTGTATATAAGATATTCATTTTACACCATCATTTGTGTAAAAGAGTAGTATTGTGATGATTTAAATCTATTAAAAAATATAATAATTAAAATAAATTCAATTTCAAAAAAAAAAAAGTGTAGAGCAATAGATCCAGAGAAAGAAATGGAAAATAATAATTGTTTTTTTTAGTTTGGTTTTCAATTCTCTTCATCTTTTAAAAATCTATTACTACTACTACTTCTTTAAATATTCTAGTTTAGTGATACAAAAGATATTGATAATTGTTTTTTTTTTTTTTTTTAATATTTATTAATTAATTTTTGTATTTATTTATTAATTATTTGCCAACCCATGTTGTTGTTTTTCTAAAAGGATTGTGAATAAATTCTTTCTTTGCAATGAGTTGACGAACATCATGCATTAGGTCTCTGGTTCGTTCGATAGTGTAGAGCCCTTCACCACAAATTACCGGAGCAAATGATATGTAATGTTCAACGAACGCCATTATTCTTTCGATGATCATTATCATCTCGTCTGAATAGGTACAGCCGGAAAATTCTGGATCTACAAAATCCGCAAGATCCACAATTACGGATCGAGCATGTTCTATCTTGAACCAATCCTTGTCCAATCGTATCTTAAAAACTTTACATTTCTTGAAGATATATAAAATAGAACCACCAAAGACTGCCAATTTTGGATAAAAACTCTCTGAATGTCTCCCATTCTTTGCTTTTTGTAAGTCACTGACTAATTTCGTTATTATTTCTGGTAACGAGGGCAAATCGTCGTATAATACTCGAATTCCATCGAGTTGCATTATTTTGAAGATTAGGTGGCAAGTGCTGCTCCAGGCTCCAAGATACTCGATCCTTGCAAAATATTGGATCTCTTTGGTGGGATTTTTGCGCTTGAAATAAGCCTGTTGTAAATCCGCAAACATTGAAAGCGATTCATCCAAAACATAGAATAGTTGGCTATCGCCCATTACGCGTTTTCCCACCGAGTCAATTAGGTGATGGAGAGTTGATGTCATTTCGATATAGGAGGGGACGCGTACATCTTCATTGTGAAAATTAAACCGAGCAATATGATTGTGATGCATTGGTATAAAGAACCGGTCAAAGATGCCCAAGATAACATTTTGTTTATCATCCACCATTTCTTGAATCGTTTCTTTGTGGCACACCGACGAAAATAGATGTGGGATGATTAATGACGATGTCCTGTTTTGGTATTTGGTAAGAGATTTGGCCAACACCAGTGCATAGGGATAAATATTCGACAATGAAACCACTTTGACAATCTCGTTTAACAATAAAAGATTGTTTCGAATTTCCACTTGGTCTTCTCCCACTACTAGCTCCTCTTCTTCTTCTTCTTCATATTCATCTCCATCATATTCATATTCATATTCATCTTCTTCTTCATCTTCATCTTCATCTTCATCTTCATCTTCATCTTCATATTCTTCTTCCACCTCTTCATCTTCTCCATCTTTGGGGTCACCTTTTTCATCATCCTTTATCTTGTATATTGTATCATCTTTGTCAATGTCCAATTTAACATAAATATGCTTTAGAAATTGTGAAAGGTAGACTGGCATGACATCTCTTGAGAATCGAATCACATTCTTCAAGTCCAAGAGATTGAAAACTTGATCCTCTTTGGCGGTGATTGTATATTTGAATAATTGGTGAATGGATCTTGAAACAAGTTTCTTGGGAATATTTGGATAAATGAGACAGAGTATATCTATGACTATTCTATATTCGTCTGTTCCAACGATATGAGGAGGTTTGAATAGTTGAACAAGAGGCATGACTAATCTTGAACAATCCTTTTTGAAAGAGAAAATGAAATGAGTATCGCGAGAATGAGATTTGATTCAGTGGTTATCTTTAAATACATACCAATTTGGGAATAATTGATCTTATCTTTTTTAATGTATCTGATAGTGATCCAATTGATTTTGAATCAAATGTAGCCAATATAATATCGAATAATTCTTCTTTGTGATCCACGAATCTACGTTGGTTGCGATATGCTGTGCGTCTTGATGAATCGTGGAAATACAAAAGGAAATGTGAAATGAACACTTGACACATACTTTCTCTTTCTTCTCGTATCGATAATGATGATGCAATGGTTTTTATAGCATCACCAACAAATAAATAATCTTTGAAACATTCTGATATTACCTCACGTATAGGTTCACTATCCAACTTTAAACCTTCGACAACAGCCAACTTGATATCAATCTTTCCCTTTACCATCCGTTTTTTTATAAATTGAAACATCAACATGAAGGAAATATCTCTAAGATTCTTATTGTCATGTTTCATTGCATTGTTTATAAATTCAATCAATTCATCCCATTCTAACTTCTCTTTTTGATAGATACAATTAATTAATTAATGATCTTGATATATCAGTGATATTTTTTTGTTCAACAGCAACATACCGCCATAATTTTTCATTGACCTTGCGATCCTTATAATTGCATCGGTCTTGCGAGTAATTGAATGATCGTCGTCATCATCATCATAGCTAATGGTTTGTTTCTTTAAATATTCCAAGACAACTTGCTTTACTCTTTGTGACGATGTATTATTGAAGGTTATCGTCCAACTCAGTGTATGGATTGCTGCATTTTCAATGATTGGGTGAGAGTTAGGCTTGGGGGCAGTGCTATCAAGTTTCCTTTTCTTTTTAGAATTGATTGTTAGTATAGATGATGATGATGATGATTAAGATCAAGTCAAACACACTTTGCATATATGTATACATACATTGGGATTGTAGGTTGGAGGCATACCATTTGAAACAAGATAGAGCAACCATGGTATCACTTTTTGTTTTGTTGTTTCACTCCTATGTATTTGTCTATACCACCACCACACCACCATGTTTAATTTATTAATGACAGCACATATAAACTGATCGGTTGGTCCTTCTTCTTCATGGTCTTATATTGGGAGTGCACGCACACTAAAACATACAAATTGTCAAATAATATGGTCGCACCGCCTCATACGAAAAAAAATAAGTCAAAAAAACAATTATTCTTTCACTTTTTTTTTTTCACAATAATCTTGCAAAGAAAAGATCTTCATCTCTCTTGCGCTTTTTTTCATGAACATGTTTTTCTTTTATGCGCATCATGCTAAAATTAATATTATTCTTTGTATTTCTCAGTGCTTGTTACGCTCAGTTAAGTTGCATCAATCCTAAAGGGGATAAAGTAAGTTGGTGGATATATCTTGCTGATCGTACTCTACAACCAACAAATGGGATGTATGGAAAAGGGTTATATTATGATTCAATCATAATGGACACTGACAGTGGTAAATATTAATAGCAATTGTTTTTCACACAATTACCATCTAATAACTTTATTCGTATATTCGCATATCTCTAGAACCCGTTATGGAATCCCAACAAACCGCAACAGGTACTAGGATCAGAACTGAGTTTTTTGAAAAGTTCATGTTAAAACATCTGGCGATGGTACCACAGGGGCTCGTCCCACAATCGAAATGTAAAGATTCAATTTCAATTGAATGGTTTCACGACCAAGGGGGAGCCCCCGAATCCATTCAATTCGATGATGACAATTCTTTCCATAAAGCTCACATTAAGGTATTATTAAAAAAAGATGACCAAAAAAAAACTAAAAAAATTAACTCTAAATTTTTTTTATTAGGCTCTGTTCGTGCACGACCGAAGCAACAAGAAGGGGTTTTTTATTTCACATACTATGAGAATGCCCTACTTGCAGGATGGGATGGATTCTAGAATGTTTGATAATGACCCTAGGCCTTATCGTAGACTCTTCAATATTCCAACTGCTGGCAACCCCGGCACCCAACCAACCCAACATGCTTTTTGTAACAGTTTATCAAACGAAAAAGATATTGGAACGTTTATCAACATGTTATTCAAAGCCAAAGCTAATCTGGTCGCCACAAACTTTGAAGATGAAGATAACTGCAATTCTTTTAAGAGTTTGCTTCCATTAAAAACCCACATCAATCGTATCTCTGTTAAATGTACCCAAGATTGGAAGAAATTGCAAAAAAAACTAAAATTACGTCGTCGTAATGGTCTCCGAATGGTGGCCAATTTACTAAAAAGTTCTGAATCATACGAAACCACAAAAAGTTGCGTGGAAAATGGAAGTGAGGACACTGACCAGTGGTCGCCCCCAAAACTTGGTGAATTTGAAGTATTTTCTTTTTGTATGTTATGTCAATGTATAATTATTTAATTTTTTTACTCACAAATGAATCTTTCTAAGTTGGAACCCCGACAAAGGATAATGACAGGAAACTAAAGACATTGGTCAACTCAAAATTAAACGATGAATACTACCAAACTCAGAGTTTCTGTTTCAAAGAAAATTTTGGTAAAACAAGAACAAAGGTCCAACAAGTTCAAAAAGGTAAAAAAGGTAAAAAAGTTCACAAAAGTCCGAAGAGCCCAAATCCAATGTTAATAGGGAAGAGTACTTTGGGTAAAAAATATTGTAAATCAAACACTTTTAAAGTGTCTGATTTTCAATGCCATCAAGAGCTAGCTATCTCTAGTTATAATGAATGGGGGATGGAGCCATGGCTATTTGTTGCACATCATTATCAAACTTGGTTTTATATTAGCACCTGGGTAAGTATTTAATACAATTGCCTGAATAATATTTTGACCTTTATTTTTACTAGAATTACTATTTACCATCCATTTCAGGTGATAAATGGGGCCTGTTCAACATTAATGGATGGACAAGTGAGTTTAGTAGTCTTTTGCCAGCAGACAAGAAAATTACAAACACCCATGAAAAACTAGCCATTTCCGCCATCCCGAGCTCTAATCTTCTTTGTCTTGGAGATTCAAATCGATCGCCCTCACAGATCGATCATGCAGGAAATATTGTAAGTCTAAATACTTGATTCCAATACATATCGTCGCTGACTCTGATTTTTCTTCTAGTATTGCATAAAAGTTAAAGAAAAATTGTTAAATAGATTGAAAGAAAAGTTCGTTGGTTATGATGTATACAGAAAGCTGGAATTGGGACCACAGGCTTGGTGGGATACTAAAAAGAGCCAGGAATGTCAAACAAGTTCAGTTGGGGTTTTCACACCAAACGACAGTGTTAAACTTTTCTTTGAGAATAGAGTGGCCTCATCTGAGGAGGAAGCCTCAGAAGAAGAAACTTCAGATCGCCAAGCCTCAACAACTCATGCAAAAAAAAAACAAAAAGTAGATCACCCAAGCAGGTACATGAGAGGTGTTAAATCTGTGGAAAATACGAAGAGGATTTCTATACCAACGCATGGTAGTGCGACCCCCAAATTTCCTGGTTCAGATTCCGAAGAGGAGTTGGATACGGATGAGGAATTGGATACGGATGAGGAATGGTATTCGGGTGATGATTAAAACAATTAACCAATTTTGTTATTGTCATTCAATCAAACAAGACAATGAATACAGAACCAATAAATTAAAATATTTTCTAAACTAAAGGATCGACAGGCGACAAGTTTACCAAACAAATCAAAATTATTTGTTTTATGAGTAATCACAAATAATTTTGTGTGTTGCAACGACAATCCAAGAAATCAAAAATCATCACACCCCAGACAAAGCTCTAGAAGAGATCGTACAACATTTAAAGAAACAAACCAAACCTAGTGATGAAGAAGACGATGATTTAATTAGCAATAGTTTAAATTTTGATTGCTCAATCATTGCTCAAAGACAATAGTGGTATGTTGTTATAATTACATAGCTTTATAATCACAGTTAACACTAATTATTATTCCATCCCAAGAGGATGTAGAATGGAATGAATTGGTTGAATTTATAAACAATGCAATGAAACATATGATAATATCACTAGTGATAAGAATATTCGATACTTTGCTTTCATGTCATTTCTTGTTGTTGTTGTTGTTGTTGTTGTTAAATGTAATATCTAAAAATGTCTACAATAGTGTTTTTGTATGTAAAAACTGATGTCAGCACACCACGTCAATTGTCAACCAAATGTTTAAAGAGTGGATTAAAAGAAGAGGATGAAGATGATAATGATGAAGATAGGAATCGTGGCAAATGTATATTGATGTTGGCATTGTCATAATGCTGTTCGTCGCAGTCGACTGAGCTAGCCACTGATGCTTCTTCAGTCACTGTTATTCTTCCAATTGCTGATTGGATCCATTGAAACATGACACTATAATCATTCGATGAACTGTGACCAATATCGTTTACTAGTGATAATAATGTCTTTCAATAAAATGATAATGTTGAATGTGGTGCAATCTCTAAATATATTATTGATTATTATTATTATTTGTGAAACTGATTATATATATTAATTGCTTGTTGAAATATAACCGGGTGTCTGAGACTATAAAAAATATTGGGTATGGTTGGCTTATCACATAATATTTGATATTAATATTATTGGACTGATTATCCAATAATATATTAATATTGATTATTATTATTAAGTAACCAATAATTATTGGTTGAGGCGAGTAGAACAATCCCAACATGTGATTATCGAAACGATCGTCATCAAGTGCATGAAAAATGGTGTTGGTCTCAACGTATAACACATCTTCTTACTAATAATAATAATAATAATATAAATGAATAATTAGTTTTTCTTTTCTTTTTTTATATAAAATATATGTTTATATAATTAATTAATATTTTTATATATAATATATAATTAATTAATTTTTTTTTTAATATTATTAGAAGATGATCCTGACTCTTTTTGGTGACTTGGAACCATTACAAACGATGGTTATTCGACAACTGCAGCAATTCAAAATTCATATAATTCATCATTTCTACTTCTATACGGTCGACATCAAAACACAAATAAAATTAATAATTTCTTTTCTTTTCTTTTCTTTTCTAAAACATTATTATAAAATTTCTATAATTTACTATTGCTCTAAAAAAAGTGATTTGCTGTAGATATTTGGTCTCTATATAAAGTAGTGAAAAAGTATTATAAAAGTAGTGTAAAAATAGTAATATAATAAATGACTCTATATATAAAGAGAATGGATCAAGATATAAAAAAAGATAAAAGATCAGTTTACATCTGCTCTAAATCTAAAAAAAGCATGTGATACTAGAAAAAATCAATTTATATATATGATAGTGATTCTGATTCTGATAGAGATACTGTAAAAAAGAAAAGAATAGTAATAGATAATAACAAAAAAATGGAATCTCTATTTGACGTTCAAGTACCCCGTGAGCGGTAATGCAAAGTCTAATTTGTATATTTCAATTGGTGGTATATATGTTTGAAATTTATAGTATCACTCACGATGTAACTAACTATTTATATTTACAATATACATCTTTAAAGGAAATATATTTGCTTCATGTGAGCCTGGGAAGCACTTTAAAGATGCAGATGCAGTCAACAAAATGCGTGCTATCTTCGAAGAGGCTCAAAGATCGGCCAACATCTCTGGTAATCAAGATCCACTCTCTGCCATGCCTTGCTACTATGGTGTTGGAAAAAGGGATTTTTGCTCTCAGAGAGTCGGTACTACGATCAGTATATACAATCCAACCCTTACTTCCAAGGTTCATTACTATTTTTGTTCTATTTCTTGTCTGCTTAAACAACTAGAGAAAACATCGACAACAACATGGACAAATCTACTTAAACCGGCACCGGTTCCCGCGTACGTGGCTCCAGCCTCTCAACAGTCGCCAGCCTCTCAACAGTCGTCAGCCTCTCAACAGTCGCCAGCCTCTCAACAGTCGCCAGCCTCTCAACAGTCGTCAGCCTCTCAAACCCTTCCTTCTACTGAACCAAATGGTATGGATGACAATGACAATCAATCTGCACCACTACAACCACCTCCTGTTACACCTAAACCTCGAGGTAGGCCAAAAGCTAGTGCACGTCGCATGGAACAAACACAACAACCAATTATTAATTAATACACTATTTTAAAGATCCAATCGATCACTTTTTGATTCACGGAAGAGATTGTTTTCATCGAACAGTTGGAATTGATTTTGAGGATTGTCAATCACTCTGGAATCTAATTGTACCACTCTATAGAAAAACAGATATATATGGATCTGTCACTATAGAGAGACGTGGATCAAGTAGATCATTCATTGGAGATTATAGGTTGGTCGTTATAACTCTTATCAAATTACGTTCCAACTGGTCTTTTCAATTTTTATCATACTTTGCCGGATTAACTGAACCTACATGCCGTCGTATATTTCTTTTGATTAAAACACTTCTTCTAACAACTTTTAGATCATTGAATATTATCAATTTTTTAACACCGGAAGAAAGACTCAAACGTGGTCAATGGTTGTTCGAAAAAACTCTTCGCGTCACTGCTGTTATTGATGGAAATCTGACACCGACAAGTTCTGCCCCAAGCAAACACCAGAGGATCCAAATGCACAGTGGAAAAGATGGAAAAGAATGTTTCACCATATTGGGAATAGTAGATGGGTGTGGAAAGTTCATTTGGAAATCTTCATCATATAGTGGAAATGTCACAGATCAGGTCTTTGCAACTTTTATGGAGGTGGAGAACATATTCAAGAGATTTGGACCATCAGAGATCATTTTGGGCGATGCAGCTTTTCATCAATTGAGGAGCCATAACACCAATGTACTTATCCCAGACATGGATAAACAACCAGACTCAAAGGCATTAAATGAAGAGATATCAAAGATTCGTGCATTGATTGAAATAGCTTGGGGTAAGGTGGAGCAGTGGAAATTTATCTGCAAGCTTGTTATCAAATGGAAAAAAAACCAAGATATCAGCGAAATGTCAAAACTTCATAATGAAATTATGGAAATATTGATGTGTTTACATAACCTATGATGCCCCTCTCATGGCGTATGACACCACGACCGGTGCGTATCATCGAAAGTTCGGCAAGCCGACCCTCGACTACAAACAAATTTTCAAAATAAATTAATTTTTACTACTTTTGTGGGTTGCGGTTTTTTGTGACCCCCATCAACCACCATCAGTTTCCTGACAATAGCCAAGTGAAGCACCCACCTTCGCCATCAACAAAAAAATAATTTAATTATGAAGTTGTAGAGAAAGATAAAACAACAACCTATAAATAGTATTAAAGAATCAGATATTATAAAGAATAAAATGATTATGAAGTTTTAAATATAATTATTAAGATTAAACAAAAGATAGAAGAGGACGGTACATACAACATGGAGTAGATAGAGTACATTAGATCAAAAGAATGATAAAAAATTGATTAGAAAGTTGATTAGAGAAGCATTAGCAGCAACAACAACAACAGAAACTCTCTAAAGAAAGCAGCCCTGTATTGGCTTGGTCTAATCCAAATGAAGTAACCATGATCAAATCAATACAGGATGCCAACTTTAGAGAGTCTGTACTCAAGAATCAACAAGAATTGGATAAAGAAACAAAGAAAAAGATCATTGATCTTATAAATGATGGTCAAACATGAGATACCAATACTAAAAAAAGAAAATGATAGGTTGGATCAATTGCAATGAAAAGAAGATGCTTGAAGAAAAGGAAGAGAAGGTATGAAAAGACAAGAGATCAATGGAGATACTATACAATCAAAAGTTGACAGAAAAGAGTATACAAGAGTTGGAAGGCAAGTATGAAAATACAAGACATATAGATGAACAATTACAATCAATTATAGACATGCAAAATGAAATGAAACTCTTTGGAGTGGAGTTGGAAAGAACAATTCAAGCCAATCAAGTAAAACAAGAACCACATCACGGCGTGGACGTCTAGTTGGCATGATGAATTCTTTAAGAAATCAACTTTAAATTGGATTGGCAGATATAGACCATAATAGAATGTGCAAAATCCAGATATGGGATATTTATTGCATATGTACCAGAATAACAACAAATAATGGTTGATCAAATTTTACCATATGAATTAATAGAAATGGTTCCAAGAAACAATCTAACAGTTACAAATGATTTGTAAAAGAGTATTTAAATTCAACAATGTCCTCTACTAAACTATCCACAAATTTAGGAATGAATTAAAATAAATGGTAAAGACTGGCTGATTGTCATTTGATTGATTGATTATTTTCGACAATTACTCGTATTGTTGGTCTTTTCTTCTTCTTGTTGATTATTGATGGGTGCAAAAGATAGACATGGTTTAACAAATTCGAATATGGTTTCCAAATCATCTGTCATTACCAGTGTTACGCACGATGTCATTCTATTAATATCCTCCAATATATTATGAATGCATCACCATTTTTTTTTTTTTTTTACTATTTATTAATTAATTTTTGTATTTATTTATTAATTATTTGCCAACCCATGTTGTTGTTTTTCTAAAAGGATTGTGAATAGTTTTTTTCTTTGCAATGAGTTGACGAACAACATGCATTAGGTTTCTGGTTTGTTGTGTAGAGCCCTTCACCACAAATTACAGGAGCAAATGATATGTAATGTTCAACGAACGCCATTATTCTTTCGATGATCATTATCATCTCGTCTGAATAGGTACAGCCCGAATTTTGTGGATCTACAAAATCCGCAAGATCCACCATTATGGATCGAGCATGTTCTATCTTGAACCAATCCTTGTCCAATCGTATCTTAAAAACTTTACATTTCTTGAAGATATATAAAATAGAACCACCAAAGACTGCCAATTTTGGATAAAAACTCTCTGAGTGTTTCCCATTCTTTGCTTTTTGTAAGTCACTGACTAATTTCGTTATTATTTCTGGTAACGAGGGTAAATCGTCGTATAATACTCGAATTCCATCGAGTTGCATTATTTTGAAGATTAGGTGGCAAGTGCTGCTCCAGGCTCCAAGATACTCGATCGTTTCAAAATATTGGTTCCCTTTGGTGGGATTTTTGCGCTTGAAATAAGCCTGTTGTAAATCCGCAAACATTGAAAGCGATTCATCCAAAACATAGAATAGTTGGCTATCGCCCATTACGCGTTTTCCCACCGAGTCAATTAGGTGATGGAGAGTTGATGTCATTTCGATATAGGAGGGGACGCGTACATCTTCATTGTGAAAATTAAACGGAGCAATATGATTGTGATGCATTGGTCTAAAGAACCGGTCAAAGATGCCCAAGATAACATTTTGTTTATCATCCACCATTTCGTGAATCGTTTCTTTGTGGCACACCGACGAAAATAGATGTGGGATGATTAATGACGATGTCCTGTTTTGGTATTTGGTAAGAGATTTGGCCAACACCAGTGCATAGGGATAAATATTCGACAATGAAACCACTTTGACAATCTCGTTTAACAATAAAAGATTGTTTCGAATTTCCACTTGATCTTCTCCCACTACTAGCTCTTCTTCTTCTTCATCATCATCATCTTCTTCTTCATCATCACAATCGCCATTATCATCTTCATATTCATCTTCATCTTCATATTCATTTTCATATTCATCTTCATCTTCATCTTCATCTTCATATTCTTCTTCATCTTCTCCATCTTTGTAGTCACCTTTTTCATCATCCTTTATCTTGTATATTGTATCATCTTTGTCAATGTCCAATTTAACATAAATATGCTTTAGAAATTGTGAAAGGTAGACTGGCATGACATCTCTTGAGAATCGAATCACATTCTTCAAGTCCAAGAGATTGAAAACTTGATCCTCTTTGGCGGTGATTGTATATTTGAATAATTGGTGAATGGATCTTGAAACAAGTTTCTTGGGAATATTTGGATAAATGAGACAGAGTATATCTATTACTATTCTATATTCATCTGTTCCAACGATATGAGGAGGTTTGAATAGTTGAACAAGAGGCATGACTAATCTTGAACAATCCTTTTTGAAAGAGAATAAAAGAGAATATGAAATGAGTATCGCGAGAATGAGATTTAATTCAGTGTTTATCTTTAAATACATACCAATTTGGGAATAATTGATCTTATCTTTTTTAATGTATCTGATAGTGATCCAATTGATTTTGAATCAAATGTAGCCAATATGATATCGAATAATTCTTCTTTGTGATCCTCGAATATATGTTGGTTGCAATATGCTGTGCGTCTTGATGAATCGTGGAAATACAAAAGGAAATGCGAAATGAACACTTGACACATACTTTCTCTTTCTTCTCGTATCGATAATGATGATGCAATGGTTTTTATAGCATCACCAACAAATAAATAGTCTTTGAAACATTTTGATATTACCTCACGAATAGGTTCACGATCCAACTTTAAACCTTCGACAACAGCCAACTTGATATCAATCTTTCCCTTTACCATCTCTTTTTTTATAAATTGAAACATCAACATGAAGGAAATATCTCTAAGATTCTTATTGTCATGTTTCATTGCATTGTTTATAAATTCAATCAATTCATCCCATTCTAACTTCTCTTTTTGATAGATATAATGAATTAATTAATGATCTTGATATATATTTTTGTTCAACAGCAACATACTGCCATAATTTTGCATTGAACTTGCGATCCTTATAATTGCATCGGTCTTGCGAGTAATTGAATAATCGTCGTCATCATCATCATCATAGCTAATGGTTTGTTTCTTTAAATATTCCAAGACAACTTGCTTTACTCTTTGTTTAAGTTGTGACGATGTATTATTGAAGGTTATCGTCCAACTCAGTGTATGGATTGCTTCATTTTCAATGATTGGGTGAGCGTTAGGCTTTGAGGCAGTGCTATCAAGTTTCCTTTTCTTTTTAGAATTGATTGTTAGTATAGATGATGATGATGATGATGATTAAGATCAAGTCAAACACACTTTGCATACATGTATACATACATTGGGATTGTAGGTTGGAGGCATACCATTTGAAACAAGATAGAGCAACCATGGTATCACTTTTTGTTTTGTTGTTTCACTCTCTATGTATTTGTTTATACCACCACCACCATGTTTAAATTTAATGACAGCACATATAAACTGATCGGTTGGTTCTTCTTCTTCCATAAAGATCATTATAAATCTTTTTATGTTATTGGGAGCGCAAGCACACTAAAACATAACCTTTTGTCTGTAAAACATAAGAGATGTCGAATCCCTTATTTTTTTGTTTTAAATTTCTCTTTAAAAAATCACTACCACTAGCTCTTATCTTACATCTTTTAAAAAATCGACTACTACTTCATTAAAAATGTTAATTACTAATTTTTTAGTGATACAAAGGATATTATTTTTAACTATTTATTGTGTTGTGTTTGGGGATAATTTGTTTTTTTTTTTTTTAATATTTGGTTTTTTTATAGAGTTGAATAAGAAGTACCTTCAAGGTATTGACCAGTACTATCGACAAGGACCATTTCAGGCATTGAAGCAACTAGAACGAAACGATTACCCTTGAATGGTTTAGAGAGACCATAGACAAGACCATCCCATTCACCTGGAGCACAATCATTGGCATTATCAGAGTAGATAACTTCAAAGATATGGTTAGACTCCAACCATCCCTTTCTACATCTCTTCTTTCCAACTGGAGATCTGTTGAGTACAGTGTTTGTCTTTAAACTGGTGAGGGTGTACTGAGTTGGTGTAAATGAGGCATACAAGAATGAAGTACCCATAAAGTCATTGGTCAATTCATAAGGATACAATGAATAATTGTCATATAGACGGGCTACGTTGAATATACCCCAAATGACAGATCCAGTAGCTGTACGATAAACTATTGCATTTTCTTCTGCTGGTAAATCATGTGATGCTGGTGGAGGAATTTGGAAGTATCTAAAGAAAAAAAACAAAAAATAAATAAAATAAAGAGTATTTGTAAATAAATAATAAATTAACAAATAAATAAATAAATAATGTTTGATATAATAAATATTTACCTTAAATTTGGATAATTTTTGTTATTACCACCACCACCAAGACAATTGACTAGATAGACATTTTGAGGTTCATTGGCATATTGTCCAGCCACACAAGCCCCATTTTCAAAGAGTCGGTATGTGATGGTTGAAAAAGCGGCAGTAGTGACATCTTCACGCCAGTGAGTTTTGACAGTTGCAGAGTGTGGACTTTCAGTGGTGTAGTAGGTGGTCATGACATTGGCAGCCGATTGGTATACATAGATGTAGTCTCTACCATTAGTGATGAATTGACCAGACTTTAGTTGGAAATTGTTTGGATCCAACATATCGAGGAAACTACCTGGAATGAGAGCGATACGGTTGGATTGAGCTTGACCGAATCTACCCCATACCATCTTGCCTGCTGGGTTGGTAATGACAATACCCCATTCTCTACCATATGCACCTGGTTGAAGTAGGTTGACCATAGTTCCACCAAGACCTTGAGTGTAGGTACAGTATGTTGGAGTAACGGAACCAGAAGCAAGAGTGACACACAGATTACCATCGGCTTGAATAGCAGCCTTGTAAGGAGTGCTACTTGTAACTGGAATGTCGGTATTTGAATTCCATACCCATCCCATATCAGAACGTGCAACCTTTAGACTACCCTTATTGATGAATAAACCAGAGCTAATACCACTACCACGCATATCCAATGGGAAGTAATTGGTAGCACCAGAAGAGTAAATGGTAGATGGTCCAAATACCTCATTGACATCCATCACAGCGCCAAGAACAAATCCTATTGACTTGTCAGTGTAGGTAGCGTAACCTTGTGGTGCGACACCCCATAGATGTTTAGTGTCGGCACTGTTACAGACAACATAGACGAGATCGGTGTTGACATCGGTTGGTGAAGCAAGACAAAGACCAGTTGCAGAGTTTTGAATCATGAATTGGTTGGTTCCAAGTACCTTGTAATAGAAAATAGAAGCCAATGAGAAATCATGGGCTGGGGCAGAGAGAGCAGCAGTATTGGTGTATGTCTTGGAGAGGACCAACTTGGTGAGAGTGTTGGTAAGTGGACGACCGAAATTGTTTTGTACAAATCTCCATACTTGTAGACCGTTGGATGAGTCACATGTCTTTAACGATGGTTTACCAGTGGTGGCACTAGCAGACAGACAGAGGTTGTTGGCAACGTTTTTGAGTTGTTTAAAGGCAATATCTTGTGGACCGACGATAAGAGTATTGGCATTGATGGTGGTAATATTGCTATACCAAGCGATACCGAGGTTAATGTAGCCTGGAATAAACGACTCTGATGTTAAAACTTGGTAATGACCAACCGATGAAGCGTGACGGAAGATGGGAGCAGTACCAGCAACAGCAGTGGTATAAACATTGAATGCAGGATAGTCATAGGTGAAGATGGAAGCGTCAAGACCTTCAGCAGCACCAATATGGTATTGGTAAGACGACTTTCCATCGGACCCTTGGGTATGGTATTGGTGAACGGTAGCAGTGGCAGTGTTGGTCGTGTTGTAGGTGAATGCACCATACACAGCACCTTCATTTACCCAATTGGCCATTTGAATGTTACTCTGTGTACTATAGTGGTACCCCATACCCATTAAAGAGGAAGTGTCGTGGTAACGATAGACAAGGGCTGGAATGATTGGTTTGGAGATGACTGGAACCGATGAGAAAAGGTAGATGATCGAGCTGGCAGTTTGACTTGCCGATGCAGCTGCAGTAGTCTGACCCAAAAACACTGAAGTGATACAAGCACCAGATAAGTAATACCCACTGCCATATGAAATGGTTACGGTATTGCCACCATGTTGAGTGTCTCCAAAAGCAGGACTGACGACACCCTTGGTAGTGTTGAATGCGATACGATCAATATAGTTACCATACTCGGTAGTGATAGCATTGATATAATCGGGTCTTGTGGTAGTGACTGTTCCAGCGAGTTTAACTGGATACGAGGATTCATCATACCCTGTCAAAACTGAAATAGGTGGTGCAGTCGAAGTGAATTTCAAACCTGGAACTCCATCAATATAGTCTCTACTACCAGAATTCCATTCGTGTTCAACATATACATTGATTTGACTTGGATTAATTGGACGTGTACATGGAGCAACATTGGATTTTAATGGATTGGGAAAGTTCATTCCTGAGGGTAAAAGTTTGTGTTCTAAAAATAAAAGAGAGAGCGAGAGAGAGAGAGATTAATATCAAATAATGTACAAACAAAAAACAATTGATAATAATAATAATAATAGACTATAGACATACGTTCTTAATATGAAGAATAAAAACCATAACCTTGGAGTTGACCGACGAGTGGGGAATACATGGTTCTGGTAGGTCTGGGAGGCGCACCGTATGGGTAGGTGATTGGATCGAGGTATGCCCAATAATAGACTTGATCGTGAACACCCAGAGACATCATATTGACAAACTCGGCCATCTGATTGTAGTCATCGGCCAGGAGAACATCGGAATTGTCAATAGTGGCTACATAACGATTGTAGACGTCGTTGGCAAAGATGGCAGCACCGCTAGCATATTCGGCCAATTCACTACGCATAATCGAGATGGATGTTTCGGTCCAGTTGACATTATAGACATTGGCGATATTATCACGGAGTACTCCAAGATACAAATTAGAGTATTGAACAAACAATGGGAGCGTGGCAACCTTGAGATTCAACGATCGACCTTCATCACTAGCTTGATAAAAGAAATCTTTACGGTATGCGGCAAGAGCGATTTTGAATGAAGTTCCCAACTGAGCTCTATCGTATTCAGTACAACGACCTTGCATTTCGTCCAGTGGTGCCTCGATACATTTGAGATAAACCTCGAACGAGTCGACTGCCTTTTCAAGTGACTCTCTTGCATCGGTGATTTCATTGCATTCGATGGCAAAAGTAATCGTTGCTTTGACATACTTGGCCAAGTACTTGGTCGTGTCTTCCTTGACATACATCTTGGCCAATCTACCTCCAATAGCACTAGCAATGGCACCACCAGCTCCACCAGTTAAAAATCCAACTGCACTTCCAAGTGCACTTGTAGTTGAATCAACAAGTTTATTAAATGCTCTAAAATAAAAAAAAAGAAACAGAAAAAAAAACAAATTAAATGTTAATTAAATCTAAGAGTGATTCAACTATATTTAGTTTATATTTATCCTGCTGGAATATATAAATAATTGGATAATGAATCTTTGAAATAAATATAAATAAATAACTTACACTCCAGCATTATACTTGTCAAGTAAACTAGATGCATCTGCATAACAAGGACTTTGTTGGCCAATGACGGCAGCAACCGATAACAATAAAACAAAGAGTAAAGTGGATAATAGGATTATCCTCTTCATTCTTCTTCTTCTTTTGCAATGATATTAATTAATTATAGTATTACAACAAAATTGAGTGTGTGTTTAATATTACAAGTAAGATATATATATAATTATATAACAAAATGATTGGACCGATAATAAAAGAGTGAAACTTGGTCCTTTAAATACTTGTTTCTATTTTGATAGGTTGATGATTACGGATTTAAATACAACGGATATTCGTTATATTCGTCAAAAAAAGGGATGGAGGGTATCAGGTATCGCCTGTTTGAAGTTGAAAGGTCGGTGCTGGGCCATCTAGCCCATACAGCCCTTCAATCAGTTGTTGTACTTTGTTGTTGTATACTTTGTTGGTATTGTTGTATCCTCCCATTCCAACTACCGTAGTACTCGATCTAGCCGTGTATATTTGGTGACTTGCATAGCTCTATTTTCTAAATTACAAGCTATCAGATTGATAGCTATAGCGACACAAGATCTCCTATGATGCATATACAAATGTAACATTATTTCGGCCTTGAGGGGGTGGTTGCATGACTCCAAAGAAGATTCGAAAGAATCTTAAGATTGAAATGCAAGTGGAGAATCGGGGTTGACAAAAGGTACGACAGTTGACTTTTTGATATGACATATATGTCATCATCGACACCCACGTTGCAAGCTAATACCAAATGAAACCATTTGATTGGATGAAAGCAAAACCCTTTTCGATTTTCGTTTTTTACTTGTGCACAACTTTGAACTTTGAAAACAATTAAAAACAATTAAATCATTATTTCCAGATTTCTTTTCTTTCTCCAACACCATCCAAAAAAAAAAATAATATTATCTATTTCTTAAAAATAAAAAAAAAATAATAAATAAATAAAATAAATAAATAAATAATAGATAATAGATACTTTGTTTGATTTTTCATTTCACTTTTTTTTTTCTTTTTTTTTTTCTTTTTTTGTTTTCTTTATTTACTTTATTTTTTTGAATATTTCTGTAACCATTTGTTAACATGTTATTTTCTAAAAAATACAATTGATTGATAAATATTGTCTGCAAGTGGGAAAGAACCTTGATATTGGAAATGATTCTTTTCAAAGGAAGAGACAAATTTTGTAAATTGAGCGGGGTCCATGCGACAGACCAAAAGAGAGATTCGTTGGAGTGTTGGTACGAGGACCAATGGTCGGAGACTTGGAATGGCAGAGTTGTACAGACGCAGTTTGATAGAGGTGATGGTTGGGTAGGTAAGGAGCACGGGTGCATAGTCAAATGTGGTCCATTGGAGTTGACTTGATATCTTGGTGAGTGTGGTTGGAAGACCACCATTCTTGGCATTGGCAATAAGACTACCTTTATAGTTGGTCGGACCACCAACAAACACGATATGGTTGAGTGATGGGAACTTGACGAGATGCGTGTCAAAGTCTGAGTGTATGTCGGCTGACACTACCCTCAACGATTGATGTGCAATTGGTGCAAGTGCCGTAGCGGTCAGTTCAAGAGTGTCTTTTCGATTACCACCAGACATTGTCGTGACTGACGGCAACACCAGTTTAACGAGTGGCCAATCAATACCCTTTAAAAAGGTTTCAATCACTGCTGGGTGAATGGAAAGGATACGTGATATATCGATACGTGTCACTCGTTTAACAAGAGATTGGGGACCTCCAATAAGTGTATAGATATTGTCCAATTCGTATCCCTTGTATGTCTCTAGATTGACCAGTTGGTTGAATGTTGGGTAATCAAGATTACAATAGTTTTTCGAGAATGTTTTCATCTTTCTAATCGACCCGTTCAATCTCATCAATCGATTGATTGAATCGAGTGTTGTGATACTCGAAATATTCGGGTATCTTTCAGTTGTGTAGATGTCTGGTCTTCCATCTCCATAAATACTAGCCTGTGAAGGTGCATTTCTCGGCGTGTACAGAGCATCTCTAACCAATCCACCAACCAATACATTATAATGTCTCGATATCAATTGCAGTTGACATCTTTGCTCGGCCAAATCAACAAGAGACAATGTAGCAATCACTGCCGGTCTAAATGCCACAATACCACCACTATTAATACTATTATGCAGCGGACATTGACCAACTGACAACTCGAAACTATCCAACCATTCCTTTCCAGACGACTCTGTTGGTATTTCAAATTGACATGTACATCTATCCAATCCATTCCATGCCATCTTTATAATACCATCTATTATTTCAGTTGGTAATTCAATATTATTATTATTATTATTATTCTTCTTCTTTTCCAATTCTTTTTCTTTTTCTTTTTCTTTTTCTTTTTCTTTTTCTTTTTCTTGTACTTTTTCTTTTTGTTTTAGGAATAATAATTTAAAATTTCTTAATGAATTAAAATTCAAACCGAAAGGTTTAAATGTATTGGCATGATTGATAGTAAGACTATGATGATATTCTACTGTCAAAGAGTCAAGACTAGTTAGAGTCGATACCAATGGAACTAGTAATTCTAGTGGAGGTGATCCAACCACCTTGAGTGATTTGATTTGGTCTCTGTTGGCAGTGAGTAATGGGACGATGGATGAAATACGAGAATAAGAATGGGTTTGATCGATTGTAATCTTTTCGACGGTACTTGGTAATTGGAGATCATCCCAATCAATCGATTCACAATCCTTTAGATGAATGTGAATGTGTACAAGGTTGGGGAATGGATTCTCATTCGAACGAAAGAGATTGACAAGACTGTCAGTGATACGAATTGTCTTGATCAACTTGACATAAGATTCCAACTCCATTTTACCTCCGTTGAAACAATCCTCGATAAACTGTGTCATGTGACTGTCACCAAGTATGAGTTTAGTAAGTGGACATGTATAATCGATGATACTCTCATCATAGGGTTCATAGTCGGGGATTTTGATTGACTGGAGGTCTGGAAACTGTTCACCAATCTTTTTGAGTAGTTTGGTGTCTTGATTCTCCCGGCCAACTCTGATTGATTTGAGAAGTGGAGCTACCTCTGCTAGCTTGGCCATATCTTTGGATGATAGATGGTCAATCTTGATTTTTGTCACTTGTTTAAACAACTCTTTGATATTCTCTCCATTTTTTGCACCTCCATTGACTAACAAATCGCTTAAATCAGTACTACCAAAATCGATAGTTATTGGTGACTTGAATGCAAAGTATCTATATCCAATAACCTTTTGCCAAAGTTTTGGTTGTAGTCCTGAAAGCGCATTCAAGTCTTTACAAAGATTGGCAGTGATAAAGTTGAATGTACGCTTGTTGATTAATAACAATGACTTTTTGATTAGCTGACCTTCAGTCTTGTATTTCGGGTCGTCTGTGAATCCATAGGGTTGACCAAAAAAGGCTTTATCCAAATAATTACTCGTAGTCGTGCTTGGGGATGGAAATACAACATTAATCTCTTGTTCAGTAAAATGTCTTGGACATGATTGATGAGCCGATCCATTGACACGATTATAAACATTTCTAATCTCTTTTAGAATACTTTGTTTCTCTTGAAGATGTGATGGACGGTCTTGGTTTGGGTCGATTTTTGATAATGATATCATTGCCAAATTCAATGCATAGATTTGGTTTTGATGTATACATGTACAATACTGTATATCATTCCATGCCAATGAAATAATCTTTTGAATTACCAATGTTGGTAAGATCGAAGATGTTGAATCATCAATATCTTCAAATACTTTCTTCTTCATCCCCTCTCTCTCTCTACTATCTCTCTACTATCTCTATCTTTATTGATATAAATATACAACAATGAATGAAACAATGAGTGTGTGCAAATGAAGTGACGATCGTCTCTTTGTAAAAGGGATCGCCGTTATAAACAAACTGTTTGTTCGACCAAGATCTTTTTTGACGCGCGTTTTCAAAAAAAATTTGAAAAAAATATCTCTTTAGAAAAAATCAGATTAAAAAGGATGAACAAGAATATTTACCTCGAAAAGATCTTTACTTGCAAAGAGTGTACTTTAGTTTAAAAGATTAGTTCTAACATGATGTGTGAATGTTCCTGGTTGATTGGATTTTCTTTCTTGATTTTATTCTTTTTCAAAAATTAGCAATGAAGGGGAATTCTTGTAGTTGTTGAAATTGAATTAAGAGTTGATTGATCGATATAAGTTACAGTTTTACGGATGATGGTGATGGTGGTTGGAATGGGATGAGTGAGTGGTGATTTGGTGAGATGAGGTTGTTTGAATTCACGTCCAAACTCGATTGATCGAATGGTTGGGGGAAGTTGATCGATCCAAACCTGTTGACAAAACTTGTTACCAAATTTGAGGTGTTGCAGTGATGATGGGAGTAGACCCAACACCAGCTTGTTGAAATGATTGCCAAACTCGAGATGGGTGATCGAGTTGGGTAGGGAGGATGGGGCGATGACTTGATTAAAGTGGTGTCCAAATTCGAGGTGTGTGAGTGTCGAGGGTAGCGATCCGACCTGGAACGGCTGATTAAAGTAGAACCCAAACTTGAGGTGTTTCAGCGTTTTGGGTAGGCTGCCTGGGAGAATGGGCTCGTTGAAAGAACTGCCAAATGCAAGACTGGTCAGAGTGGCGGGCAGCGCAAGATGGGAGATACTTTTTTGGAGTGTGTTGAGGGAGAGGTGTTGGATGGACTCGGGGAGCGTGTTGGAGAGGATGGGGTGACGGAACTTGTCGCCAACTTCGAGGTGGACGAGTGTGGAGGGCAGCGACCCGACTTGGAACGGCTGGTTGTACTCGTTGCCCAGGACGAGGTGGGTGAGCGACGCGGGCAGGCTGTGTGGCGCGATGGGCTGGTTGAACTTATTGCCAAAGGTGAGGTGGGTGACGGTACGTGGCAGGCAGTCTGCAAACAGCGGCTGGTTGAAATTCGAGTTGGGGTCAAACTGGAGATGGGTGAGCGAGTCGGGCAGCGTGCCGGGTGCAATCGGCTGGTTGAACCAATGCCCCAGACTGAGATGCTTGAGTGTCGACGGCAGACATCCCGCAAGGATCGGCTGGTTGTAAAAGTAGCCGACCGACAGCTTGACGATCGCAGCAGGCAACGAGTTGGGGATGATCGGTTGATTGTACGCGTCACCCAGTACCAACGCCTGCAACGAGTCGGGTAGAGAACGCGGAGTAATCAACTCGTTGAAATGGTCGCCGATAACAAGTGTCGTCACGGTTGGTGGGAGTCGACGCAACTGGGACAGGTATAAAGGCGATGTTTCAAAGTCACGTATAATCAACTCTTTTAAAATGCTGTGTGGCAGGGCCGACACATGTGCCAAGTTCTTTAGATCGACACGCAACTTGGCAACACGGTCTATAAAGTGGTGATGGTTGAACCGCTCCAACTTGATAAACGAGTTGCTCAACACGATCAACTTTTTCTGGCCCAATCTTTTACATGTATGATACAAACAAATACGATCCAAATCATCATCCAAATAATTATAAATCTCTTTTAATATTGTAAATGGTAAATCCAATATTGAAAGATTACTACCATTATTTCTTTTCTTTTTCTTTTGATTTAATCTAATTAAATTATTATGATGATTTCTTATTCTCTTTTGTTCATTATCTTCCTCATCATCTTCATCTTCATCATCATCATCTTCTTCTTCTTCTTCATCTTTACTACTACTATTTGTACTTGTATTATTATCACTTTCACTATTGATTTCTGAATATTCTTCATCTTCATCTTCATCTTCAATTACTTCATGTTCATCATCTTCTTCATCATGATGCTGTTGAAGATTATTTCTATTTCTAGATATTTCTTGTTGTTGTTTTAATTTTAATATATCTTCATTCTTGATATTACTATTAGTATTGTTATTATTGTTATTAATAGTCAACATGTTTCTATTTATCTATCTGTCTATTTATCTATCTATCTATCTATTACTGTATCTTTTGCAATAAACAACTAAACTAAAGTGTAACCTTCACATGATATTTTAATATTGTTAGGGCTCCTTCCTTCCTCCAAGCAAAGCGTCAGACTCCTGTGGAATGGTTCGAAAAAAAAAAGAACATTGGAGAATCTTTTTTTTATTCCAAAAATATCTTTGGTATCATGACGAGATAACTTTCAAGAGTCAAACGAGTTTTCATTGAGTTTGGTAATCATTATTATTTGTTTGTTGTATTTATTATTTATTATTTATATTTATTTTATTCATTAAAGATATTTGAAGATTTATCTAATGATTGAGTCAAGATTGACATTAAAACAAACTCACCTTCATAGATGATATAACCAAGTGAAGTGAGATGATCGATTTGTTTCTTATCGAATCCCTTGTCGTTGCCACCAATGATGATTTTCTTTCCATCGGATTTGGTGGTAGGTGCCTTGGTGAGAATCTTGCCACCGGCATGTGGAATGAGTTGTTCTAAAAAGGCAAGAGGTGGCTTGGCACCTGGTACAACATAAAATGATAATCCACCAAAGAGTGGGTCATTGTCTTTGTTTCGCTCTCTGGCTCTGGCAAGAGCATCGTCCAATTTAAAGTGAAAGTTGTCTTCTTGTACCTTGTCTTGTAGTCGGTACTTATCCTCTCTAAGGAAATACCCACGTGCCTTTGAATCTGATATCCATTGACTCGTAACTATAATCTTTCCTGCTATAATCGATTGCAATACTTTGGCAGATCTCTTCATTTCATCGCATATTAAATGTGTATATGGTTGATCTGCACTTACTGCAATAGTTCCTCCACAATTCTTTATAACTGTTTTTAATTCCTATAAAACAAATAAATAAAATAATTAAATATAAATAAGATAAATATTCTTTTCCAAGTTATTGATATCATACATTTATCATATCATCTGATAATAAAGAGAATAAAATCTTTGGTTTTTTGGTTGAACATTTTTCATCTTCTGGATCTTGTGATGGATTTGATAAAACTGATTGTTTTTGACTTGGATCTTCTTGTGATTGTTGTTGTTGTGATTGTTTCTTTGCTTTTGTTGGAGTTGCTGCAGCTGCCTTTTTACCTTTGGCTCCTTTTTTTGTTGGTTGAGGTGGTGGTGATGGTTCATCTTTCTCTTCTTCCTCTTCTTCCTTTTCTTCTAGTTCCTTTTCCTCTTTCTCTTTTTCTGCTGCTGCTTTCTTTCCTTTGGATCCTTTTTTAGTTGGTGGAGGAGGTGGTGGTGATGGTTCATCTTTTTCTTCTTCTTCTTGTTCCTTTTCTTCTTTCTCTTTTTCCACTTGTTTTTGTTTCTTGCACCTTTTTTAGTTGGTGGAGGTGGTGGTGATGGTTCATCTTTTTCCTCTTCTTCTTGTTCCTTTTCTTCCTCTTTTGCCAATTTCTTTCTACCTCTTGTCTTTGGTTGTTCTTTTTCCTTATCCTCTTCTTCCTCTTCTTTCTCTTTTTCTTCTTCAGCCACTTTCTTTTTGCCTCTTGTCTTTGGTTGCTCTTCAGTTTTCTCCTCTTCATTTTCTTGTGGGGATTGGCTCTTTTGTTTTGATTCCTTTTGGGATGGTTCCTCCTCTTTTTGGGATGATTCCTTTTGAGATGGTTTTTTTGGAGATGAAGGGACAATCGTTTCCTCTTGAATATTATCATTATTACTACTATTTACATTATTGCTATTATTATTATTATTATTATTATCTACATCCATTTCATTATTATTATTATTGGTATTATTATGGTTTGAAAAGATTGGTGATGGTTCATTTGGAGTTGATTCTTTTTGTGATGGTTCCTTATCTTTTTCTTTTTCTTTCTCTTTCTCTTGTTCGACAACCATCTTTGTTTCTTCTTCTTCTTCTTCTTCTTTTTGTTGTATTTCTTTTTCTTCAACTACCATTGGTTCTTCTCCTTCTTGTTGTTGTTGTTCTTTATCTACAACATCTTTTGGTGGTTCTTGTGATATTGCTTTATGATTTTGTGAAGATATCTTTTCTTTTTCTTTTTCCAATTCTTCATTTGATTTATCCTCTACCATCATATTTGTATTTTCTTCGTTTGAAGAAGGATCCATCATATCAACGGGTGGAGCAAGAGGTGGTGGAGGAAGAGGTTGTTCATGAACAACAGGTGGTACGGTTGGTTTGTCATCTGGTTTTCTTCTTTTAACAGTTGTAGCAGAGAATGGTGATAATTGATCTTGTTCAACTATAGTTTGTCGGTGTTGATCTTGTTCCTCTTCTTCCAAATCCATTTCTCTTCCACCTCTTTTTTTACTTGGTTTAACAATAGCTTCATCTTCATCATCTCCATTTGATACACTTGATTTGATTGTTGTTTGTTGTTTCTGTCCGACATCCTTTTCTTGTTGTTCTGGTTCCTTTTCTTTTGGTGGAGGAGGATGATCAATATTTGAAATCATTTCATCTAAATCTATATTACCAATATCATCATTTCCACCACCTATCGGTGATAAACTTGAATGTGCAGTTGTTGTAGTTGTCGTTGTCGTCTTATCAGTTGATTGACTATCATTATTATTATTATTATTATTATTTGTACGTGATTGTGGAGGTGGTAATTGTTGGTCATTACCTTGACTACTATTATGATGATGAGTTGGTACAGTTGGTTGAGAACTACTTTTAGTTTGTTCTTGTATTGGAGGCGAAGTTGATTTCGATGATGATGATGATTTAGTTGGTGCACTTGGTTGTGATCCAGTCGTGTTTGAGTTGGCAGTACTATTACTATTACTAGCACTTTGATACATATGATATGAATCAGCAGAAATGGTAGAATAGGTAATTTGACAAGCTGTGTTACCCAAGATGATCTTTGATCCCGAACAGAGATCAAACTTTTGATTGGGAGGGATGTAGATTTGCTGACCACCCGGTTGGTAGAGTAACTGTGTCTTGTTGCGACTGTTGAGATCGGTGAGTGTAATCTTGTCTTTGGCACACTCGATCAATGCATGAAAGTTTGATACACTCTGTTCATTGCGTAGATGTACATGGTTCGATGCAGCTCTGCCTATTTTATTCTCGCCTTCTTGTAATTTGAACGTAGTGATTTCACTCAAAGTGGCAGGTGACGTTGACTTTACTTTGAGTATCGGATCCACTATGATCATCTGTTGTAGATTACCACTCATCCCTAAATCTATCTCTATCCTATATATCTCTCTCTCACTATCTTTGAAATGATTTGAAGTTACAAACCTGACAGAAATTAATTAAAAAATTAAAATTTCTTGTAAATTTTTGGCGCCACAATAATACTATGCACTCTGTATTCATCTTTCTGTGCTGTAGGGAGACAGAGATAGATTTGTTTCATCGGGTCAAGTATACTCTATGAATCACAACCATACGGTGTCGAAAATGTAAGTGATATAAGAAACGACGAATTTCATCAAGAATCAGAGATAAACCATTCAACTCTAAGCTCTGAGTTTGGCGTACCAAGTAGTCTCAAAGCTCACAGTTTATCACTCTACATTTCGGTCCTCGCGGTGACGACAATGTCATCATTGTTATCATCCTTTACTTTACCACTAGGAATAGTATTATAATAATGACATTGTCGTCGCCAACCTGCTGTTGCACCTCCTTTATTCAATTTAAATTAAATGTATGTAGTATGTATCATTAAATGTATGTCAGTATACCTTATCCTCATCCTTTCTCTCATCTTATTCTCCTCTCTTCCTCCTCTCACATAGATTTAGTATCTCTTTTTCGATAGAGACTAGGGATACGACCTTGGTTTTGATGAGACGTGGCCCTATTTAAAAAGATATTTTTCAAAAGGTTTCTTTGTTTGTTGTTGTTGGGTAAATTAATCTTATTCAACCAACCCACCCTCCTCCTCTTTCCCCAATACTCCCAATCTCAACTGCTATTCAATGAACCGTCACCAACAATCAACAATCAACTCATTTAATTTTAAATGGTTAACTTACTTTTTCGAAAATATAAATATAAACACCTACCACAACCACAATGGTTGAAATATCGCAATCACTCGCGCATTTATTCTTAGTTTAACAAATAATAATCATAATAGATAGATATTATTACAACAAACAAACAAAACAAACAAAAAATGATTATTATTAATTTAATATTTCTATTAAAATTATTATTTATATTTCTAGCAAGTTATATAATCATTTCATTTATTATTAAAAACAAAAGAATTCATCCAAATGAACCCAAATCAATTGGGGTTGCTCTACCATTGATTGGACACTTGTACAAGGTTGGAAAGGATGATCCACACAAATTCTTTCTATCAGCAGTCCAACAACATGGCAAGGTGTTTAGTGTTTGGATGGGAGACAGACGATCAGTATTTATCTGTGACTCAGTGCTAGTGAGAGAGGTACTAGTCCGTCAATTCCACGTCTTTACCAACAAACCACGTGACCCAATCATTAGTATATTCTCTAGTGGCTACAAAAACCTGGCTCATGGTCGTGACAAGGAATGGTCTCAACTACGAGACACATTATCATCTGCCTTTAGTAACTGTAAAATCCGTCAAATCAGTGATCTTGTTCAAGAAGAAACCGACTCTCTCATCAATGTATTAACTGATTTATCTAATTCTGGTCAAGTTGTAAGTATAACCATTTAATAATCAAATTGATTCAAAACAATCATCTAAATATATATAACAATTTATAATTATATTTTATAGTTTAATCCACAAAGATATCTTCGAGTTTATGCAATGAATGTTGTTTGTAAATATGTATTTTCTTTGTCATCATCATATTCTGAACGCTCAGAGGATGAAACAACAAAAAAGATTATGAAAGAGATTGGAAGTATGGTTTCTTTACTCAAGAAACCATACCGATTTATGTATGGACTGTCGTGGTTACACTACCAGTATGCCAAGAGATTCAATAATCCAATTACAACCACCAAGAAGCTAATCAATGAAATTCTCAAACAACATGTTGAAACTCTTGATCCAGAGAAACCACGTGATTTATTTGATCATCTAATCACAACAGTTGGTATGGAAAATGAAACTAATATTACAAGTATGTAAACAACATGTTTGGAGAAGAATGGAAAAAAAAGATAACATTAATCAATTCTATTATTTATTTATTTTTTAAAAGGAATAATACATTGTGGAATAGATTTTATATTAGCAGGTATGGAAACTACAAGTGCTACCACAGAATGGGTCATTCTTTATTTAACCAATCATCAACAACACCAACAAAAGATTTATGATGAGATTGTTAAATCACAACAACAACAACAACAAGAGAATGTTCAAGAACCAAAGAAACGTGGAGATACACCATTATTGGATGCATTTATTAAAGAGGTGATGAGACTACGATTCATTGTACCGATTTCATCAATGAGAGAATGTGGTGAGGATATTATGCTTGGTGATTATTTCATTCAAAAAGGAACAGAAGTGTATCCATTTACCTATGGTTTGATGCATTCACCAGATTATTGGAAGAATCCAGATGAATTCCAACCAGAAAGATTCATTGGTCAAAATCACAGTGATCATTTCACACCATTTGGGCTTGGACCAAGAGCATGTCTTGGAATGAATCTTGCTCAATCTGAAATACATAATTTAATCACCAATATCTTATTGAAATTTAAGTTATCATCTATTGATAATCAAAAGATTAATGATAATTCAAGTATGTACAATTATTATAATACATACTACAAATGCTTAAACAAAATTAATTAATTAATATTTATATGTTTATTTCTATATCCATTCCGAATGACAGAATTTACTCATGTATTTAGACCAACTCCATTCAACATTAATTTAACTCTTAGATAATGTTTGTTGGACAAACAATTAAAGAAGATTACATGTATTATATATTATTTACCTAAAAAAACAAATTAAAAGTTTTATATATTTTTTATTGATATGGCAAAATTAATTTCCTTTTGTAATATTATTATTTGGATTGAATGAATGGAGAAAGGTTTAAAGGTTAGTTGTCAAATGATTTGGTATTGGATGATTGATTGAAATGATTGTTTAAAGGGGGGAAAAAAAAACATATATTATTATTATTATTTATATTATATTATAGTATATATTATTAATTAAAAAGGCGTGTGAGTTGGGGTTGATTAATTTAGTAGTCGTTACGTTGCTTCTTGAAGCCACCACCACCATAACCACCTCCACCACGACCACCTCCACCGTAACCACCACCATTACCACCACGGCCTCCACCGAAACCACCACGACTGCCACCACGGCCTCCACCACGGCCTCCACCGAACCCTCCACCACGACCACCGCCGTAGCCACCTCCACCTCCACCACGACCACCGAAGCCTCCACCACGGCCTCCACCGAAACCACCACGACCACCACGGCCTCCACGACCACCACCGTTTCTGTTGCCAGTGTTGGCTTCGACAGAGATGTTTCCATCACCAAACTCGGCACCGTTGAGCTTGTTGATAGCCTTGGTTGGTTGGGAAGCGTCACCAAAGGTAATAAAGGCGATGGTTCCGTTGGAGGTGTTGACGAGCTTGCAGGCCTCGACGTTTCCAATCTCGTTGTTAAAGTATTCGTTGACTTGTTGTTCAGAGACACCTTCGAGGTTTCTGACGATGATTTCACGGGCGTGCTTGTCGTTGCCACCTTGGGAACGGTCTGGCTTGTTGGCGTTGGAGTCGACACGGATGGTGCTACCGTTAAAGTCAGTGTTGTTCCACTCGAGAGCCTTGGTGGCCTCTTGCTCGGATCCAAACTCGACGAAAGCGGCGACACGGCCTCCCTTGTCCATGACCTTGACGTTGGCAACGGTACCGGCTTCCTCAAACAACGAGAAGATCTCGTCCTTGGAGGTGCCTTGTGGAAGATTGCCGACAAAGACTTCCAACGACTTGTTGAATTCCTTTTGTGGGGCGGCACGTTCTCCCTTTTGCTTGTTGTTCAATTCGGCCTTGATCTTGTAACCTTCAATCTCGGCTCCGTGGAGGGCTTCGACGGCTTGGTTGGCCATGTCAGAGTCGACGTAGCCGACAAAGGCAATACCGGCTCTTCCGAGACGCTTGAACGAGCTGACACCCTTGGTGTTGCTGTTGACATAGTCAGAGACTTGGTCGTCTTCGAGGTTTTGGTTGATATCACGCAAAACAATCTCGACGATACCACCAGATGATGAACCAGCATTGTCAGACTTACGACCAGTCTTGTCTACAACATATGAATCTTCAAAATCCTCTTGTTCTTCTTCTTCAGCTTGCTTTCTCTTATGTTCTAATTTTAATGGAAAGAAAAAAAAAAAAAAAAAACGACAAAAAAAAATATGTTTTCGTTTTTTTTGTAAAAAACAATAATAATAGTTTTTTTAAAAGGAATACATAGGTATGATAATAATTTATATATAGAGAGTATATATATAGTATAATATAAAGAATGAATGTGTGAAATGGAAAATAAAAACAAAACAAAGTTTTTGATTTTGATTTTTATATAATGATAATATTAGAATATATTTTTTCTCTCTCTCAAAAACAATAATAGTTTATGTGATCATGATTATTTGTTATTTGTTATTATTATCTATTCCTATTCCTCTCCTTATCCGCCTTTTTTTTTTTTTCTTTTTTTTTAAGCATGCCTAGTCTCGGTTTGTTGTAAGAAGTTAACGACAGTGATCTCACCTATCACTCGTTTAAATCTTTGTACAAACAAACCTTTCCATTCCATTCCTTTTTTTTTAAACCTTATTCCGTGGTTTTATAATTATATCCTATATTTGTGTGTTATGATTTCAAAGTACCTTTTGCCATTTTATATGTTTGTTTGTTTTAGTTTTGTAAAAAAAAAAAAAGATATAGATAAAGGGGATAGATATAGATAGATAATAACAAAAAGTTAATTGTTATTTGAAGACCGATAAAAATAATGAGACTTGTGCAACACACGAATCAAGTTAGCTCGCGAAAGAAACCAACGATCGAAAGTCGACAAAATTTGAAAAAATGATTTTTTTAAAATTTGTTTTTTTTCAACAATGAAACAAACGACCGAAAGTACCATGCTTGACCCTCCAAAGTACTCGTTCAACGTTCTACTCGTATCCCACAATTCGAACGTTGGGCTTTCAATTGTAGCCGTTCCAACCAACTACCCAAATTAAATTAAATAATTAATTAATTTGATATGATATAAATAAATAAATAAATATTTAAATAATTTATTTGTTTGTTCTTTTTGGGGGGTTAAAGATAAATCTTTCTCAACTCTGAATGAGTTGTGATGACTTTACATTGAGGACACCATTTCTTGACACTCAATGTGTTTAGCCAGCATTGTTCGCAATGGACATGCCAACATTTGATCGATGTGAGGGGTGCCTTGTACGGTTCCAAACAAACCAAACAACTTGGAATACTTTTAAGTTGTTCATCTTGTTCCTTGATTCTTTCTTTTAATGCTTCCATTATAAAATTGTTATTATTATTATTGTTGTTATTGTTTGATCCAACCATTGAATTTGAATTATCCTTTTTTAAATTATTTACATTATTATTATTATTATTATTATTATTTACATTATTATTATTATTATTCGTTGTTATAGCTTCTTGTTTAATTGTTGTATCTTTTGTATCTTGGTTAATAGTATTACGTTTTTTAATATCATCTTCAGTATATTGAGTTGCACCAAATACAACGGTATCATCTTGTTCAACATCCAATTCATCGTCTTCATCTTGTTGGTAACAACGTGCAGCTTCACCCTTGTCAAAGTAGATACCTTCATAGGATTGATTTGGAAGTAACGAGACTGTGCGTATTCTAGTTACACCAGCAATCGTATAAGTCTCTACATCGCTTGGGAAATCGTGGTCTTGAATAGGTTCATCATCACTACTAGCCCAACGTGAATCATCTTCATCTTCAATTGCAAATCCATTAATAATAGTACCGACTGTATCAATATTATTGTTGGAGTTGGATGATATTGTCATTGGTTGTTGTTGATGTTGTGGTTGTGGTTGTTGTTGTAGATTGATGGGTAAAATATTTTTCTTTGGTGGTCTACCTCTTCTCTTTGGTGTTGTCGTAGTTGAACTGGTAGATGTAGATGATGTAGATGTCGTCGTAGTTGAAGAGGAAGAAGAAGTCATAATAGTTGAAGCAGCACCTTGAGTATTTAAACATTGCTCAACATGTAATTGAAAATTTAAAAATGATCCACCAATGTAATTGTTACAAACTACACATTGCTGTTGTTGAGATGGTTGTTGTGAAATAGATGACGACGACGATGATAATAAAGGGGATGGGGAGGAAGATAAAGAAGGTTGTTGTCTCATGACACCTTGTGAATTTCTTGTTGGTGTCAAATTTGATCTGGATGACGATGATAATGACAATCTATTTGATCTTTTAGATCTAATATTATTAATTGATTGAAGTATACTATCATGAACATTTGGTTGTTGTTGTTGTTGAATTGATTCTGTTATATTATTATTATTATTATTATTTTGATTTTGATGATTATTTTGATTATTTTGATTATTACCAGTAGTTGCAATTGTTTTCATTGCACTAATTGAAGAAGCTCTCTTTGGTCTCATAAATAATAGACTTGGTGATGATAATAAATCACCACATTCAAACAATGGAGTTGTCTCTTCTTCAACTTGTTCTTCTTCCTCATCATCATCTGGTACAATACCGCCATTGTAATTTGACTCCATTCGAAGTAACTCCCAATCATAATGGTCTTGGAATTTATCGGCTTCATAGTAACTTTTACAGATACGACATTGGATACCTCCCTTGTTGATGATTTGTTTTTGTTGTTCTTGCACGTCTGCATCGACCGCTGCAAATAATTGACTTGTCGATGATGATAGTGTTGGGAGTACCATATTGTTGGAAGAGTGTTGCATTGGTGTCAATAAAGGACTGACACCAGTACTACTACTACTACTATTGAGTAACTTTTTTTGTTGTTTTGGTTGTCTTGGTTGTTGTTGTTTATCAGCAGATCTTAATAATCTCTCTGCTTTAAGTAGTTTCTTTTGTTCATGTAGTTCTGGGTTTTTGGCTGCGATTATAGTATAGTATAGTACAAAGAGTGTTAGTAGTTCATTCATCTCTCTTTACTTTCTCTCGCTCTCTCTCTCTTTCTATTTATGATACATACGAGGTCTACCTCTTTTTCTAACAGGTGTTAATTGTTGTTGTTGAGATGTTGCTGGTGTAGACATTGAAGCAGTTGAACTGGTACTACTCGTCAGACTAGTCGTAGCAGGAGTAGGTAATACAAATGTAGTAGTTGCAGTGGTGGAGGTGATAGTAGGAGTGGTAGTTGCAGAAGCAGGAGGAGTAGTAATAGTAGAATCTATTTGGTGTTGGTGTTGAGCAGCTACATCAACTGTACTTTTACTAAAAGTCATATGATTTATATTATTATTATCATTCATATGACTATGACTATATTGTTGTTGTTGTTGTACATTATTACTATTATTAATTGTACTATTACTACTACTATTATTAGTACCGTTAATTTTACTAGTATTATCTCTCTGCGTATTAATACGATTTAACAAGTCATTTAAAATGGAAGATACAGTCACCTCTTCATGGTTTGTATTGTTCATATGAATATCATTGTTGCTGTCACTACTATCGTTATTAATTGTACTACTATTATTGTTGTTTGTACCGTTGCTATTGTTTGAAGAAGAGTGGTGGTGGTGGTCATAAGATACATCCATTTTCAGAGTGATTCAAAATTGAGGGTATCAGATCCCTTTAGATTGATTCAAAAAGAGAATTAGAAAGGATTAAAGAAAGATCCCTTTATATTTATGAGCTGTCGTCTTGATAGCCCACAACGCACCTCCAGCGTTCGGTCCCTTTTCAATTTTAAAAATAAATAATTATTTTTGTATTTTTTATTTTCTTTTTCTTTTTTTTTTTTGAAGTTTATTTTGGAACAAGACTGGATATCTGTATTATTAATAATATTAATAATGAATCATATAAATGATATATTTATTGATTGGGAGTAGAATGAATGAATGTTTGGATGGATATATTTTGAGGGAGATTTAAAAATTAATTTAATAATGTATATTTTTGTTGTTGTTGTTGGGGACGACGGTGCAAGAAGAATAATTTCTCTAAATTGACACATGGTTTCTCTACAAAGAGATGAACGATGAATGCACAGAAAAAGGAGAATACGAGTGATGAGATGATATAGGCGGCAACATTTGAGTTGGAGTAGTGGAATGGGGTGACACGACTATACGCCATACACCAAATGACTATGGGGTGGATGAGGTAGGTTGAGTAGGTGAGTTTGGACAGATTCTTGAATATGGGACGTTCAAATATCCATGCGACCAGACCACCATGACCGGCAAATGCAGTGAGTAGGAATAGAGCTGCTCCAATCACAAACCCAGTATGACCACATGCATTGAAGAATGCATTGGACATTGTACTCCATCCACCTGGATGAGTATAGGAATTGTAAGAGATGAATGTAAAGAAAGAGGTCAAAGCAGCTGCAATGGTATAATAGACGAGTCGAACTGACAGATGTGTCTTGATGACACGTAGCATACCCTGGTGCTCGACAATCATGGCCATCACAAGACCGACCGCATATGCTCCGACACGAGTCCAAGGTTTTTGGTAAATGTCAGTGATAAATGTAGCGTCTATAATAGACTGTATACCAAACTCGAAAAATGTACCAAGATCATATTTTAGAGTGATCCAGAAATTGGTTATAAAGTTGAGTGCGAGTAAAAAGATGATATATAATATACCAAGTTTTTGGGATCGTTTGTATAATATTATGGCGACAGGTGCGACAAATATATAGTATAACATATCGTCACCTAAATACCAGCTCCAACCGAAACACTCAGTTAGCATAGTAGGAGGATACAACGTGTTGATATACAAAAGGTTTGTCCACCAATTAGCATCACATGATTTGGTGATAGCATCGTAGCCAAAGAAAAACGGTCCGCTTCCAAACTGTGGAGACAGTTGCCAAAACACAAACAATACAAAGTAGTAGAGTGGTGACAATCGGATGAATCGATGTAACAGGTATTTCATCCAAAATAAGAGTTTTCCACAACAACTCTCCTCCTCTGCGTACTCTGGTTTATCTAGTTGTTGTAAAAGTGCGTGTCCAACCAAGAAACCAGACAACATAAAGAATACATCGACACTAAACTCTCCAGCCGTTATAATTTGGAATGCAGCAGTTGGTAGTACGCTATTCATAACATAGGCAAAGTTATCATATCCTAGTTGACTGTTGAATGCAATAGTGTGTCCCATGACAACCCAACATGTACTCATAAACCTTACACCATCCAATACATTGAAATGTTTCTTTTCAGATGACGATGTTGTAAAGTTGTGGTAGTTTTGTATCAATGAAAATGACATCAATATTTGTAATCCCAAACTTGATTCTTTTATCCATTCATTTGATGAATCTTGAATTTGTTTCTTTTCATCAAATTGGAATATTCCATCAATTGCTCCATTTGGTGATGTAAATACATTATTATTATTATCTTTCTTTTCATCTTTGATTTTAAATACAATGTATTCAATCAATGTACCAGCGATGACCAATGCAATGATGATTGAACATACAATGATCATAATGATGGGGCCGGTTGTCAAGGGTGGTCTGATGGTTGTGTGGTCACCTGAATAACAGTGGATAGTAAATTGACCTTGATAACCCATCGGGCCTAGTTTACTAGCCATACCAGTCAGATTGACAGCTGTCTGTAATGCCAAGTTGATATCTTGTTCAGAACAACTTACTGGTACACACAAACCACCCATACCAGTCACCATCCCAACCGACACTGAACAATATTGTGATACATTGCTTGGTAAACTCAAACAATTATCATAATTACCAAGATCAAAGAATGATTTACCACTTGCTTCAATAACTAAAAAAAAGAAAAAGAAATTAATAATCATAATCTTTATTTTTGTGTATATATATATATATTTATCTCAAACAACATACTTTGAAATGAATCTGGATACTTTAATTTTGATAAATCATATAGGTCACTTTGACATTGACCAGAGATTACATCTGATGATGACGATTCTAATTGTTGTTCTAATAATGGTTTGATATTAACATATTGAGCAGGTGGTGAAGTATGACTACTACTACTACTACTACTACTATTCTTATTTAATAGTGCAAATATACCAAACGATGGTGATGATAATGATGTCAATGATGATGATGGCGACGAAGACGATGATTGATAATCAAGTAATTGATTAATGTGATAAAGATTTGGAGTAGCACGATAATGATTTGATACTTGTTGAATACGATGACCTTCAACCACTACACCAATATCAATCAATGATGATAAACATGTTACTAAAACTACAATAAATGTAACAAAGAAATGATTTGTTTTCATTTCTTGCAAGTATTTCTTTTCAAAAAAAAAAAAAAAAAAAGAAGTATTAAAAATATAATTAAAGTTAATTAATTGTATTAATGATTATACAATGAATTGATTCATATATATAGTTGATTAAACTTAACTTAACTTACCCTGGTAACCCTTTTGAAATTATATATATAAAATATATATAGGGGTTATATATGATTGATTAAAATGTGAATGTGAAGAAGAACGTAAATAGATAAGTAGGGTCATATGATAATATATCTGAGAGAGACAGAGTATGACTAATGATTATCATCATTATCATTCCTGTTAACCAAAGACAGAAGTATTGATAAAAAAAGTAATGAACCCCTAAACCCTACCTACCCTCACACCATACTTGGCTTCCATTTTTATTGATATGGAAGGTATATGGGTAAGTAACCACCAGTCCCGACGGAAATCATTTTTTATCACTGTCCAATCATCAAAGAGTAGATGGGAATGCAACCCCCTATTTCCAACCACAAAACTAACAAAACTAACAAAACTAACTAATTGTCATTAATATCAAGATACATAAATACACCAAATAAATCAAAAGGTGAGTGTGAATAGATAATATTATTATTTTCATCATATGGTATCATTTTTAAAGAGCGTCATATATTGAATCATATGACATGTTCAATCGAATACAAGATATTTTACTATAATATCATATAATATTCTTTTTCTTTTAGTAGTAGTAGGTTAGTAGAAATAAAAATAATTAATAATTCTAAAAGATTTTGTTGTTGTTGTTGTTGTGATATGATGTGATGTGATTTTGATTTGATTTGATTTGAATATTGATAAATAATAATAATAGTACTATTATTATTATTCTTTTTATTCAATTTCACTCAAAGAGAATGAAAGAGTTGGACAAGAATGAAATATTTGGTGTAACCTACTCCTACTCCTACTACTACTACTTTTAGTAGGATTATCCAATATGAATGATATTCTAGCAATAGTTTGATGATACACATTTTGAAAGTGTGGAGTGTTTGCATAAAGCATTGATGTTTTATAGGAATGACTTTTAGCCTGTTCTACAAGTACCGTACCAAACTTTGAATGTAGTAATTGTATAGCCAAGTATTTCTTACCGTCCAACCAATATATAAATGCCAATCTATAGAAATAGGTTAATAGTACATCTATAGAGGAATGATATGTTGTATCCTCTAGACGGTCGTCCTTTGTATTGATGATAGTTGGGAATGGTAGTTTAGAAAACCAATATTGAACTTGGTCAAGTGGACAATACTGAATGTATTTAATGATTATGAGTAACCCTAAATACCTTTGTTTTAAAGGAGATACATCAAATGTAATGTTATTGGCTAACCATTCCAACATTTCTAATTGACCACTTTTATAGAGTGAATCCATTTCTTTGGCAACTAGATTAATCGAGTTGGTGTCTAGTAGACTAGAAATGTATTTTGATTTGATACCATTTTGTCGTAGACATATCTCTATTACCTGTTTTTGTAATAGTCGGTTTGCTAGCGGACATATATCACACACTTTATATGTTGAGCTGTAAATGAATGTATCGGTACGAACCGATCCAAAACTTCCAAATGTACCTTTCATCTTGGTCACGATGAGATCTAGGTATTGTCGTGGTGACGAGTCGGTCTTGGCCATAAACTTTAAGAATACATCAATTGAAATAGAATCTTTGGTGGTGGGTGGTAGGTAAGAGGAGGCAGTCTCTATAAACACTTTAAAGTATTGAAAAGAGAATAGAGGTTGTGCAGTAAACTCAATGTCTATGCAATGAGAGAGCAGTCTCTTTTTACAGGCCATGTTCATTGTCTCTTGGTCGTGAATGAGTCGATAGACTGCCATTGGTGAGGTGGCTGCGAATCTAGCACTGATACTGTTTGATTGGGGTTGTTGTCTTGAAAAGGTGGTCTGGTCAATGGTGGCATGATTGAGGTGAGGGTTGATACATTTGATGATCTCTTTTAATAGTCGTGGTGATATGAAATGATAGCACTGCAGTAATGGTCGTGTTTGTATCAACTCGAGTAGACCTTTGAACGAGTAGCAGTATGATGGTGGAGCTTTCAATTTATCTCTGTGTATCGCCTTGACGCATCTGAATATATATTTAAATAAATAGATGTTGTGTAGCACTGATTTAATTAACCTTGTTTTAATATGATGATCGTCGTTATCATCATAACCTTTCATTGTTTCTTTGTAATATCATCAATATCAACATCTTATTATTAAGGCACAAGACAAAAAAAAGAACCCAGGGCTTATTAATTATTTTTAATGAGTTTAATTTGGATATATTATCTGCTAGGTAGTGTGGTAGGATTTCCTTTCCTTTTAAATTCTGCAAGGCCTGCTCCTTGTGGGACACCCAAATTTCCTACAATGACTCGTTTAGTTTAACTTTTAAGGAATAGGGGGTGATTTCAAATCATACTACCATGATCCCCAACCCTCACACCCATATTCCTGCCCCCATATGATATAAATAAAGATAGGTCAAACTATTTTTATTTTTTTCAATCAACAACAAATAATCAAATCAATCATCAAATTTGTTAGTATTGTGAAAAAATAAACCAATACGTTGTCTCGTACCTCCTCTTTTTTTTCGCTCTTCTTTTGTAAAATTGCCTATTTCTAGAAAAACCAAAATTTACTTTGTCAGTATGGACCACATTCGAAATTGCACTCCAGGTCAGAAGATTGGAGTGAGCTATTCTCAGCCAGATGTATCTAAATCATTCCTAGGAATTGGCGATACTGGGGTATCATATTTTCCAGAATTCCAAGGTCTAAAGATTCATATTCGATGCTATTACAATCCCACTTCTGCCAATCAAAATGGTCCAATCATATTGTTTGATTCTGGTCTCCCATTCTTCTCAACAGCATGGGTACCAATCATTCCATCAGTACTTGCCAATATGTCCTCTTGGAAGATTAGTAAAGCTTGCTTCGTTGATCGATACGGATATGGTTGGTCAAGCCCGTCACCAGTGCCAATCACCACTCAAGAATATGTAAGACGTCTTCGTGGTTCACTCAAAGTAGCTGGACTGACAGGAAAGTATATCCTCGTTGGATGGTCTTGGGGATCGATATTTGTTCAAACCTACTCATTGACCTATCCAGACGAAGTAGTTGGAATACTCAGCATCGATGGAACAGATAGTAAATGGGGATTGATTCCTTCCAACCAAGAAGCAGTCATCAAACTAACAGAAGTAGTAACAAAGTACATCCAAATGAACAGCAAAGGTGATCTGAGAGAATTAGCAAACAAAGGAGAAATCCCAAACTTCTATGGATGGTTATCATCTCAATTAATATTGGAAGGATTCCCACAAGATTCACTCACAGCATCACAAGACATATTTTTGGATAGTTCCAACAAATTCCTCAATACGGCGATTCAAGAATACAGCATTATGATCACTTCTACGACCGTCCTAAATATTATTCTAACCCTTAAATCTTCACCAACACCATTCAAGGATCTCCCCTATGTAAATATCTACAGTATCGACAAAGATCCAGAATGGGCAGAGCGTCAACAATACATGACCTCTCTCTCATCCAACTCTGAATGTATCGAATATTCAACAGGCCATTTTTTTCCACTCAACAATCCAACAGCCATCATATCAGGAATTGATAGACTTGTCAAAAAGATAAAAACAAATCCTGTTCGCTTATTGAATCTCGAAAAAATTAATAATAATAATAATAATAATAATAATAATAATAATAATAATAATAATAATAATAATAATAATAATAATAATAATAATAATTTTATTATCTCTCCTCGTAGAAGACAATAATTTCTTCAATTCTTTTTTTTAAAAAATAAATTAAAAAAAAGTCAATATTACTTTGACCACAACCAACAAGTGTGAAGTGAGGAGTCATCAGCAGTAGAGTTCATTAGTGTTTGATTTTTTGTTATTATTATTATCTAGTTGTATATTATATAATAATAGTATCTAGACAAACAACATGGGAAGAAATAGAAAACAACAAAAGAAAAAAGATGAAGATGAAGAGAACAATGAACAAGTAGATGAAGTTCAAAGTAGTGATGATCATCAGAAAGAGGAACAATCATCATCTAAAGAGGAAATTGAAGAACCTACACCAACAACAACAGTGGTAGAACAAGTAAAGGAAAAGGAAGAAGAAGTACCTATTGCAAAAGAAGAGGAGGAGGAAGAAACTAAAAAAGAAACCAAACAACCAACACCAACTAAAAAGAAATCAACAACAAACAAATCAAAGATTGTAAAGGAAAAGGTTGAAGAACAAATTGAAGAGAAAGAGGAAGAAGAAAAAGAAGAGCAAGAAGAAGAGAAACCAAAATTGGTAAAGAAGAAATCAACTATGACTAAAAAGGAAGAACCAAAGATTGAACAAGAAGATGAAGAGGAAGAGAAACCAAAACCAAAACCAGTTCAATCCAAACCAGTAGTAAATAAACCAGCTCCACAACAACAACCACAACAACAACAATCGAGTGGAGGTTGGGGAGGATGGTTCTCTAGTATTTCAACTGCAGTTTCATCAACTATTAGTTCAATCACTCAAGTCGATGAGGATGAAGTTGATCCAGAACCATATGTACCACCACCACCAAAAGAACAACCAAAAAAGAAAGAAAGAAAAGTTGTACAAGATGACGACGATGAAACAACTACAACAAGTGATGACGAAGGAAATACCACTCAAGAAGAAGGTGATGAAGATGATGTTGAAGGATTATTAAATGTAGTCGATAAAGGTGTATTCAAAGCTGCCGATATGATTGCTGATTCTTTTATGTTTGCAAGTAGTTTATTATCTGTAAGTTATTAAACAAATAGATTAAATATTATTATATACACATTTATATTAATATTTATTTATTTATTTTTAGACTGGATATAAAAAAGTACAAGAGAATGCAAATTTGGACAATGTAAATAAATTGGCAAACATGTCACTTGAATCAACAAAGAAGGCAACCAATAGTGAGATTTATGGAAAAGGATCAAAGATTGCTACACAAACGATGGATTCTGCAGTTGAACGTCTCGAGTCGGTTGGTGCCAGCGCATATTCAATGTTTTCAAGTGCAAAGAAAAACATCAAGGAATCAATTGTTGAAAATCAAAACTTGATGAAAGAGATTGAACAACAGCAACAACAGGTATCACCAAATGGATCTACCCCATCAACTTCAAACAACTCTTCACCATCCAATTCAAATTCAAATATTCCTCCACCATCATCTTCAATGTCATCTTCATATAACAAGAGACCAAAGATCAATATTGAAGAAGAACAAGTAATATTTAAAGACAATGAATTTGATGCAGCCAAATGTTCATCACATTTCAATATTCCACATTTTGTTCAAGAGTTGGAAAGAATCTCTGTTGAATCAACCATGAAGATTCATCAATTCAATAGAAAGACACCAAAGGATATTAAAATTAAAGTTGAACAAGCTTTTAATGAATTAAAGGATTTATTAGAAAATGAATCACCTGAATTCTCTGATAATATACCAAAAAATTTAACCAATGCAAGTATAATAATAATAACAAAGAAATTAAAAAATTAATACTAATTTATTTATTTATTTAATTTTTTAGGACTCTGAATCATTTGAATTGGAAAAATATTATAATCAATATTTTGAATTATTACAAGATTATTTACCAACATTGGCCAATCAATCACAACCAACTGCCCTTTGTAGAGGACTTGAAAAATTATTCCGTTTTGCTTCTATTGGTATGGAATTGTTGGCATCGGTTGCTCAACACTCTTTGGATGAAAAACCAACCGATGAAGAATCATCCTCAATGGGTGACGTCGAAGGAGTCATGAAATGGACTCTTTCAAAAGCAAATATTTATTCTTATTTAATTTTTAAGATTATTCATGTATGTCATAGAAACAAAATAATAATTAATGAATATTTTTAATATTTACATTTTCTTTTTATTTTATTTATTTTTTATAGGATATTAAGAGTATTTCTTCAATTTTAATTGAAATTATTAAAGCAAAACAAAATCCACAGACGAGAAAATATTTAAATACCATTTCAATGGAAACTAATAATCTTACAGCCAATATTAATGATTCAAGAGCATGCTTTATTTCTTCATGTTCAATTATTTTTATTCAGCAAGTAAAGAGTAAACCATTTGGTGTTCCACCATCTCCAGCAAAATAAAATACACAGATAGATATAATTAACAATAATAATAATAATATTTATTTATTTAATTAAATCTTTCTAATTTAGCTTTCATGTCTCTATTATAATTTTTAGTTTTAATCTTCTTTTTAACCAACAAGACAGAAGCAGTAATGATGGCAACAGCACCAACTACTCCAACGACAGCACCAACAATGATTCTCCAATTATTATTATTGTCCGAGCATTCATCACTCTTGCTCTTGTCAATTAGTAATGGTGCGAAATCAGGATCCAATATACATTGAGTACATTGTGGTGTACTGATCCCAATCAAAATAATAGATTGACTATCATCTCCTGTGTTGGTGGTTCTGTTGATGAGTGATGTTTTTGAAAATGTTGGTCTACCATCTGATAATACATAATCAACAAATCGACCTGTGAATTGAATATTATCTTTGACAACTCTGAGATATTGAATGTTGTTTGAGAGTTGGTCATACGTCAATGTATCGATATTGACATCTTGACAATCATATTCAATTGATTGATCATTGTTGATTGTTGTTTTAAATACAACTCGGAGTGTTGATAAAAATGAGTCGTATGTCCAATCGCTGATGTTGACTGACAATTTAATAGAGTTGGCTGTGATGGAAAGTTGTTGGTTTCCAAATTGAATGTCTCTTGCTTGTGATGAGAATGATATTGTGGCTATTACTTGTGATGTTGTCATACGGTTGTTGAGTTGATAGTTGACCGTTGTTGTTTGTGTTTGAGTGTCATTGATAATTGTTGAATTCCATTGGTTGGTTAATACTTCTTTGATAATGTTATCATCACTATCGAGTTCGTGTATGGCAACCATTTCAAATTGGAAATCGATTCCATCAACATTAAATGATGTTGTTGGTGATGTTGTATTTGGTGTGTTGGTGTGATTACTTTCTTTGGTGAGACAATTATCAATTGGATTGTATCCAATATCACATTGACATTTACCATTCATACATCTTCCATGACCAAAACAATTATTGGGACATGATTGAGAGTCTGGTGATTGTGGTGGTCTGAAATAAATATAATTATTTCTGTTGGCGTTTGTTGATTTATCAACAGTTAATTGAACCGATGCCAAACCATCACTTGGTTCTGTTGCCAATGTACAATTGATTTCTGTTTGTGATTTTGATGTGACCGAACAATTCAATGTATTATTAAGTGTAATTGAAACCTCCAATTGGCCATATGGACCAAAATCACCATGAATATTAATCAAACTTCTATTATTTAAATCATATTCACTTGACTTTAAAATAGGATATCCTGTGTCAACATAAAAAATATTAATATTTTAAATCAATAAACCATTTTGTATTTTTATATACATACCAACAGTACAATTTTCAGAATAATAACCAATATCACATACACAATTTCCATTTTCATTACATGATCCATGAGTACCACATTTGTTGGTATCTGTACAATCCATTTGTTGTGAGACGATTTCTTGTATAATGGTGGCTGGGAATCCATCTACAGTGATTGTAAAATTTGTTCTTCCACCAGAATAAATATCGGTTTGAGCGCAAGCTATTTGAGTCGATAGATAGTTTGTTACAGTACACAAGGATGAATTACCATTGATATAAACCTTGACTTGATTAAATGAAGTCGTTCCAAAACTTCCTGAGAAGAGGTAATTGGAGCCAACTTTGACTGGTTGATCCAAATACATCATAGCAAGACTGTGAGGATATAGTTCTAAAATAAAATAATTAATAATTTAATAATTTGTTATCTTGGTTTTGTTATTGTTAATATTAATATTTACCTTCAATGGGAACAAATTTGGTTACATTGACATAAGAATTTGAAATAAAGTATTTCACAGTGTCACCCTTTTTGAATGGATAGGTTGTATTGCAAGTTAAAATGGTTTTAGAAAGAATGGGTGCAGTAAGGGTACAGTCAATAGTGTCATTTAGCTTGACGGTGTGTCCGAGGTAATTGTTGGCACTATCAACATAACCAGAAAATTGAATAATCCCTGTTGGCTTTTGTCGAATGGATACACCAGTCATCAATATACCAACCTCGAGTAGGGTGAAAACAGTATCATACTCTGGGTAATTAGTATCAATCTTTAAAGTTATATCAGTTGGTGGTCCACTTTGAGGAAGAGAATCTGTTAACCTAATAAATAAACAAAATATTAAATTAATAATCTAGTAATAGATATGTTTCCTCGTGATGATTGATTTTACTTTAAATATTTGTTTGGTACTACAACACCAAGATGAAATCTGTTTGCAGGGCCTGAATAAACGTTACCGACTCCAATATTTGTACCATTGATAAAGGCTTGTCCAAGTTGAGTATAAATAAATTTTGAATTAAAAGTAATATCTTTAAAAAAATAATAGGTTAGAAAATAAATCCTTTAAAAAGTGAGAATGAATTGTTATTTTACATACTGCAATTAAAACCAGCAGCTGGAACAATATCTGTTGAAATGAGATTAGTATTTTTTGTATAACAAAGAAAACATTCTGGAAGAACGGTTATACCAGTGCATCCAAGGATATTTAATCTGTTGTTACAAAATGATAAAGGAACCTGTGTTACGAGTCCAGGATTACCATTTACTACCAAATAGAAATTATTTGCACCTTGGAATTGGTTCCATGGAATTTCACCTTGAAGCGCACTATTTGGAATGTTAATTTCAAGGAGATTTTTAATTGGGAGATTTGGAAATTGTGTCAGTTGAGATTGAGACAATCCCAAATAATTTAATGAGTCTGGATATTCATCAAGTTGAAGTGTAGTATTTGGATAGAGTGAATAATACCTATATATATATATATTGAATTCACAATAAAAGGAGTTGTTAATAAATATATGTATATATATTTTCTATCTCTTTTTTTTTTGATTTGATTATCATACAAATAAGTTAAATTTTTAAATCCATTTAATGAAGGTGAAATAGTTGTTTCTTCTCCTGATAAAGTACTAAAAACAAGTAGATAAAAAGTTAATAAAGCATAATATAATAAATTGTAGCAAAATATATTCCACATACAGAGATGAAATATTTTCAGTTGCGTTCACAAACACACTAATTGGTCGAAGAGACGATGATACAACTCTATAGACATTTAAATAAATAATATTAATATTAGTGTGAAGGCATTTTTTATGTTTTCTCTGTAATGGTTGACTTACATTTTTTTAAGCTGTGGAATATTACCAATATAAAGGTTCACCTTTTGTGATAATAATCCTATCGTAGTGAGAGTAAACTCTTTTAATTGTGGAAAAGACTGATTTGACAAATTCCAAGTCAATTCTACTGTTGGTCTCAATTGATTAAATGTCAATACCGACAATTTTGGATACTGCGATGTGTTTTGGTCCAATACAAATGAGTGTAGAGTCGTTGACGATATTGACATTATTTCCAAGGATTGTGATCCAGTGAAAAAGGGTGAAATGGTTTGAGGTGTAAGACTTTCAAATTCAACCTTGATCAACCTTGGTAAACCATCAAATATATTTGTTGGTATAGTAGCAACTGATGAATCTGATCGAATACTAAAATTATAAGAGATAGATGGAGAGAGAGAGAGAACAAGGTTAGTGAAACCAATCAATCAATCAATCAATTAATCAATGATTGTCATCATGTTTATCATTACGTTAAAGTCTTTAATTTTGGTAAGCCATTTTTAATAAAATTTAATATATTCTTTGATGAATCACCATAATATCCATATGGTTTAATGGTTAGATCTGTAATCTCTGGGAAATCAAATTGAGTAATAGTTGGTGGCAATCCCAATGATACAGTACTACTAGGTGCTAAATTACTATTAAATTTAATAGATGAAAGTGTCAAGAGTGATTAGTACTCTTTCTCTTTCACATTAATTATTAACAAACATACATTGTTTTAACATGTCTAGGGGTACCAGCAGTACATGTTACCTGTCCTCCCGGTGAATTACATATCGATGTTGTATCTTGGGGTATATTAATACCATATTGAATAAGTATCCATTGAATTGATGTAACTTTAATGTAATGTAAAATGAAACATTAGAGAATGAACAAAACAATAATGAAAATTTTTAAATGATCATCACACAAACACAACATAAAAATATTTAAATTAGTACTTCTTTCAGATTATTTTGTTTACTATAATATTATCAACTTACGTTCTGAAGGTGGGAAATCTTGTGATAATACTACCACACTCTTGAAGAGAAAGAAAATTAAAAGTACAAGAGTTATTTTCATCATATCTCTTCTTTATCTGTCTCTATCTCTTTGTTGTTTAAACTCTAGAATGGTTTGGTAACAATAATGGAACCTTGGACCTAGGATATTGTTATCGGGTGTGTTTGTAAGTTGATATATATAAATATCATAAATATCTATCTTTGAATCAAGATATCTTATCTTTTTATTGAAAAGTAGAGAAGATATTTATATCTTTGTTTGTTGTAATTGATTGATCAATTTAATAAAGGAAACCACCAACTGAAGAAGCATGTCTTGGACCAAGTGGAAGGAAACCAAGTGGATGAATCTTGGAAAGTGGTTGAGAGAGACCGGATGCATTGACAGAGAGTTGGTCTGGGTGTTGGGCAATACTAAAGGCACGGAGACCTGGGGCTTGCTCGGGTTGTGGAACGTTTCCATCGGGATGATCAGCCTCTTCGATGGTGCCCCACTTTTCACGCAACTCGATACGTTTGTCAGAGAGACCGTTGTGTTCGAGGATTTGGTCAACGGCACGGTATGCCGAGCTGAGACTACCAATAACCCAACCGTGGTGGACAGAGGCACCCTCACCACTGAGATGGAACAGTCCGTTAGCCTCGGGCTTGACAAGCGAGGGAAAGAGCGATGAGAACTGGCCTGGGCCGTAAAGGGCAAAGGCACCCATGCTGTCGCCGTCATCGTACCAGTCCCATGCCTGAACAGCTTGGTCTTTGGACATGCCACCGAGCTGAGAGACGAGGAACTCCTCGGTGAGGTTGTGGATCTCGGCCAAGTTGGCAAAAACGAGGTCGATCAACTGTGCCTTGTTGTCGGGGAGGAAGGCACCGATTCTAGCAGCGTCTTGGGCCCATGTGTACGAGGCAATGAGCACACCGGGGGCATTGGGGTCGTTGACACCGTACGATGGGTAGACGACGGTACGCAATGGCAGATCAGTGGATGACTTGCCACCCTTGAACGACTTGCCCTTCATAACGACATCGTCTTGCCACCATCTCTTGGCGAAACGCACGGCGATCTTGCAAGATTGGTCATAGTGGAGTGTACGGATGGCAACACGTTTCTTGTGCGAGAGATGCAATTCTTTGAGATCCATCTTTCGGAGACAGGAGAGTGGCACGGTCGAGATGACGTGGTCGTAGGTGATGGAGCCTGGGTCTCCAGCAACCTTGACCGTCAACTGTGTCTTGTCGGCAGTGGGTGCCACTCTGGTGACTCGCTTACCCTTGTAGACGGGTCCCTTGATCACCTTGAGCATGGCGTCGACCATGGCGACTGATCCACCGTCAATGCACTTCCACGACTGGCCAGAAAAGTCAAAGTAGTCAATGATTGACTCTGAGAAGGCTTGGTCGTAGAGACCAGATGCCGAATCCATCGTTTCACACCACGAAATGACAGACTCTGGGTATCCCTTGCTCACCTCACCCTTGATGTGGAGATGTTCGGGTGCGTCGAACGTGCCAAGGTAGCTACGAGTCGAATGCTTGTCGGCCTCCATCAACTTTTGGAAACCAGCGTCAAAGTCCTCTTCCAAGTCCTTGGCGAATTTATCATAGACCAAGTATAACCAGTCTGAGTATGGCTGCTCGGCAAACACGTCGGGTACTGCTGTGCCATGTCCTCCGTTGTTCTTGTCCGAGAAAAAGAGTGGATCCTTGTCCAATGTATCTTGAGAGTAGATTCGCTTGTTGTTGAAATAGACAATGTTATTGTCCGATGACAAATGGTATGGTTCAGTCTTTAACTCTTGTCCCTTTTGTTTCAACTTGTTAAACAAACTCCAATGTTGTTTTCCAATTACACGATCCATAATTGGTATTTCTGGGTATCTAAAAATAATAATAAAAAGATTTAAATAAATAAAGTATTAATACTCTGTGTGTAAGAATATTCTTATTCTATCTCATTCATCTTCTTACCTCATAGCACCAAAATCAACATAATCCCACGGTTTATCAGAATATTTATAAGTGTAGATTCTACCACCAATTCTGGTTGGATTACTTTCAAGAATTTGATACTTGATTCCAAGTTCATCGAGGATCATGCCAGTGTAGAGACCAGACATACCTGCACCGATGACACCAATGTTGAGGTCAGATGCCTTCTTTTGACAATGTTGTGGTTTTACCTTTGGTGGAGCCTGGAGATTCAACTTGGCTAGTGCATCCTTGGCAGCTTGTTTGGCAGCTTTCTTTACAGCCTTTTCCTTTCCAAAAAGTCGATTGGCATAGTAACCACGCATGGAAAAGACTTGTGGTTCCAAGTGTTGTGCTGAAGCAACTCTTCCTGGTGCTCTAAACAATTGAGTAAGGATTGGATTTACAACACTAGTTACACTTGGTTGTGGTGGTGATGTTACATTATTTGTTGTACTAGTAGTAGTAGCAGTAGTAGTATTGGTAGTATTGGTAGTATTGGTAGTATTGGTAGTATTTTCTCCTCGTCCCTTACCACCAATATTAATGTTTAACAAATTTGACATTTTTTTTTTAATATCTATAGTTTAATATAAATATAAATATAAATATAGGTAAGATATTGATTATTAATAATGGTGTTGAATAAGAGTACTACACACATATATATATAAACTTACAATTAATAAATTATCTGTTGGGTTAACAGTTGACAACTAACAATAATAATAATAATTACCATTACAATCTGTAATGGTTTTTAAAGGTATTGATCCCCATCCATCCATCAATGCCAGTGGCACACATGTGGTTAGCAAAGGGGTTTGTTGATTTGATTTATAAATATATCTTTTTAAACCAAACAGCTGACACCAATGATCATTTTTGACTGTCAACTTACAATGGTCGTGCTGAAATTTCCTTTTTTTATCCAATGGCGGGTGTTGTCAGTGTATCTGTGGTAGGAAGAAGTTGAGCTGAACTTGTAAACTGAACTCTATGGTTGTTGTGACAAATCGTGGTGGCTTTGAAGATATATATGATCACCAAATGATTTGAATATGCACCAACGTGCATGATGTGGGCATGAGATGCAAAAGATGGGTTGATGTCAGCTGAATATAATATTGTGCTAAAAGTAGTGTGAAACAAAGATATATATAATCTGCAACTAGTGTAAATCTTTTGTCAGTATAGCTATACTAATATCTTATTTGATTGAATCACATAAGTTATATTAGATTTAGTTACACTCTATCCTATAACTATTATGTCATAATTATGAGACAAATATAAAGTATATATATATATATATATATATGTAGACAGAAGAAAGGTTTGTTAGGTTGTCAATGAAGATTATTATCGATCTTCACAACAACATTTTATTTTATTTTTTTATTAGTACGCATGATGTTCACACATTCATACTTGTTTATCATATTATTATTATTATTATAACAACTGTAGATAATGTAGATCATGTCGATCATATACCCTAAATATTTAAGAATGAGAATGCCCATGAAGGAGCATTTAAAGGTACATGTGTAGATAGATAGTAAACAAGTAATTACTTCTACTTGTTGCAACACATTTTATATTGTATTTATATACAATTATATTTCTTTCTCTATGACTATTAATAATACCAATAATAATACTACTACTACTACTACCACTACTACTAACGGTAACAAGGATGAACCAATATCTATTAAAAATGTATTTAATAGAATATTGTGTACATGTCAATGTGGACAACCAGTGTCCATTCAAAATCTTAGTCATATAGTTGGATGTGCTATTCAAAGTACCGAAGGAATGCCATACACTCTTCCAATTACATTTACCATTGACGAAAAGGAAAAGGATGAAGCAAATCATAAATACTTTATTCCAAAGTCATTCTATCCAATCGTTGATGACATGTTTCAAACCATTTATAAGAAGGATCTAGAGGAAAAGGAAGATGAAGAAGATGAAGATGATGAAAAAAAGGATAAAGTAGATGAAAATGAAGCAGAGGTAGAGGAAAGACATCCAAAGAAATACAAGCAGCAAAAAAAGGAAAAGAGAATCAAGAAAAATAAGTGGGATAGAAATAATAAGCAATGGGAATATAATTAATCTTTATTAATAATCAATGTGGTTGTCATCATCAAAATATGATTTAGAATTCATAATAGCAACATAAATTTTAATTTATTTATCCATAGTTGATAATTGAAACAAATATATATATTTTTAGAATAATAAATAGAGTATTGTTATTATAGTGTAATAACATTATAAAAGAATAAAGCATATAAATGTTATTTACAAATCGATTTATCTTTGTTCAACTTTTAAACCAAATAATTTTGGATGAATGGTAAGACCAAATACATCGGTATCATCAATAGGTTGACCATTGGAGCTTGAGAATTTAAAGTTTGATATTAGGTTGGCACATGCTGAAAATATTGATGTATTTGCAAGATCCTTTCCAACACAATTACGAGCACCAAGTGAAAATGGAATATAATATTCTGTATGATTCTGATCCAAGAATCTCTCTGGCATAAACGTTGATGGATTACCCCAATAACTTTCATCATGATGTAATGAATAAATATTTTGAATTAATTGTGTCTAAAAAATTAAAATAAATTAAAATGAATTGAATTGAATTGAATTGATTAGATACTGATATTGATTTAATATAAAGATATCTTTATCTATATATCTATTTTACATACACCTTTTGGAATAAATAAATCATCAATTTGAATTGATTCTTTTGCAATTCGAGGTAATCCCATGGGAGCAATTGGCTTGATACGAAGTACTTCCTTGATGACAGCATTGAGGTATGGAGTTTGCATTTGATGGTCAATACCAACAACTTTGTTTCCTTGACCAATAACAGATTCCAATTCATTGAATACCTTTTGTTGAATAGTTGGATTGTTGGCCATAAATAACATAAACCATTCAATCGACGAGGCTGATGTATCCGTTCCAGCCAAGATAAAGTCAATGCAAATAATACAAATTTGTGATTTATATTTTTGTTTTGTTGACAAGTCAACTAATAATGTATCTAATAAATCTTTTGGACTACGAAAGAAAAAAAGAGTTGGTCAATAAGTTATTATTATTATTATTCAATTTGATTAAATAAATAGAGTAAGTACATACTTTTGAGGATCTAATTTATCTAAATGATCTTGATAAATAACTTCAGTGAATTTAACCAATTCATCAACCTCGGTACCAAATAAAGAGACATAGGCAAAATAAAAGGGTACCAAGAGATCAACAAAATCCACTGGGTTTGCAGATGCCAATCTTTTAAATATTTTTTCAATTGGTACAATTAATCTACCAAGTGTTCCTTCGCCTGTACTCTCGTCATATGGAATTTGCATATTAAACAAAATATTAAATATAATATTCATTGAATACTTTTTACAATATGATCTTGGCATAAACTAAATCAAAATTAAAAAAGAAATAGAAATTAATATTAATATAATATATTATATATTATATATATATATATTATATATTATATGATTTCTCTTACGATTTCACCAGACTTTGAAAACTCTTGAATTTTTTGAATTAATTGATTTGTTTGTTCGGTTACTAAATGATTGGTAGAAGATTTCTTTAATTTTGTTTTAGTAAAATGACCAGATACAATTGGACGGACAATAGACCATGTTTCTTCATCAGAGGCAGCCAAGTTTGTAAAGTTTTTAGAGATGATATTGAATGTTGGAGTCTTTGGACGATTGATAAAGTTGGAGTTGTTTTTAACCCATACTTCTCGAAGTAGTTTTGGATCACTAACAACAATTGAAAAGTAATCACCCATCCAAATTCTATAAACATTTCCATACTTTTGAGCCAATCTTTGTAACCCTATATGTGGCAAATCTCCAAGATTATGTAAATTACCCAATAATGGTAATGCCAATGGTCCATTCAATCCATTCTTTTTAATTAAATTCTTATTAACCTATAAGAATAAATAAATAAAGCAAAGAAAAGTATAAATTCATTATTATAAATTATAATAATTATTATGTTCTTTTATACAACTTACAAAAGATAATAAAAGGTATAAAGCAAATATAAATAAAATAAAGTATATCATTTTTTAAAAAATGTAATTTTGATTGTTTGTTGTTGTATGTTGGGTTAATGTAAATAAAGTAGCAACCGAATACTTATTTATAACAAACTATATATGAATGAGATCATTTTTGTTATGTAATATTAGCAGATTTACGTCTCTTTTGTTATATCTGTCAAAGTGGTTGTTGTTTGTGACTTCATCGAAAGTTTGAAGTAGTTGAGCAGACAATGATTGGTTCACAGTGTGAATTGGTTGTGGGGAGAAAAGAGAATGAATCTATCGATTGTGATGTGATGTGTATAGATTGACCTGTCATTGTGCGTTGTTAAACTAGAGTAGGAGTTGAGCAGACTCTGATTGTGAAATTCCTTTAAATTTATGACCAATAGGAGAGTTTAAAAGTGTTTGTTTCAAACGCTCGTTATGAAACTATTCACAGAGAGAGATGAACGAATCTTTTCACACTTTGGTTGAGAATCAAGTTGGTGGTTTACTCAAAATGTGAGAAGTTTTCACTGATTGGTGTCCATTTCCTTTTTTTTTTTTACCCTTTTTAATATCCTTTCAAATTACCAACTACCTACCTAATTTAATCTAAACTAACTCTAGAGAGTTTATTTATTTATTTATTTAAAATTCTTTGTTGAAGATTTGTTAATGCTTTTTTTGGAGTTGGAGCACATGGATCACGACATAGATCGGTAGCTCTATCTTGTATTTCTATTTGAATGGTTGTATGATCGATATTATGTTCTTGTTTTAAGAGTCGGTTGGCTGATTTGAGAACATCGTCACCGACAACACCAAGACCGACGGTCAAGTGAACAGAGAGGGCTGGTTTGCCAAGGGTGATGGACCAAATGTGAAGATCGTGTACTTCAAAGACACCCTCCAACGCCTCGAGATCGTGTTGTACCTCGGCTACGCTAATGTCGGCAGGTACACCCTCCATCAACACTCCCAAACTCTGTCTCAGTAATCTAATAGTGGTAAAGAGTACAATGATAGAAAAGATAAAGGTGGTAATGGGATCAGCTATTTTCCAATGTGGTTTGATCCAAATAATAGCTGCTGCTATCATTACACCAATCGATTGGAAACAATCTCCAATTACATGAATATATGTTGAATATACATTAATATCCATTTTAATTTTTGATTCTTTTTCTAAATAGTAAAAAAATAAAAGTAAATTAATAAAAGGATAAGAGTTTGTTATAATACTAGTATTATTATTATTACATACTTGGTGCACCTGTTCTACTATTAATAGTTAGACCTTTTTCAATATCAATTTCTTCAATTTCATGACCATGACCATGACTACTATGTGAATGACCATGTTTCTTTTTCTTTTTAGATGCATCTCCGTGGTTATGTCCACCACCGCCACCATGACTATGTCCATGATTAATGCCACCGTGACTGTGACCATGACCCCCAGCACCAAAGTGAAGGATAAGAGCATCAATGACATTGATAGCAAGTCCACAAGTCGCAATGATAAACATAATCTTTCCATCGACTACATCGGGTGGATGAAGAATACGTTGAATAGCTTCGTACATCAATACTCCAGTCAATGCCCAAATCATTAACACACTGACCAGTGCTCCCAAGATTTCAGCTCTATGAAATCCAAATGATAATTTTGATGTTGGTGGTTGTGATGATATCCACATTGCAAATAAACTAAAATTAAATAGATAGAGTTAAAATATATTCTATATTATATATATTGATTTAATTAATTCGATTTACCTTAAAAACATTGCACCAATATCAGTCAAGAGATGAGCAGCATCAGTCATGATGGCCAATGAATTTGCAATGTATCCACCAACAATTTCACCAATCATGAATATAGTAGTCAATACGAGACACACCATGAGAGATAATCTCGCTCTCCTCTTTTTCTGAATCTCTTGAAGTGATTTGGACTCATCGAGTGGAGTTTCCTCTGCCTCGTCTGAATCCAATGACGACGACCCTAGTGAATGTGCTACACCTCCAATATGTTCAATACTTGTACTAGAATTATAAATATCTTCATCTTCATCGTCGTCATGGTCGTCATGGTTATGATTATGATTATGATGATGATGTTCATCTTCATCCTCTTGATGATTGTGCAAGTGACTATGTCCTCCTTTCTTTTCTTTATGTCCTCCATGACTATGACCATGTCCACCGTCATTACCATGACTATGACCATGTTTCTTTTTCTTTTTATCTCCATTATTATTATTATTATTATTATTATTGAATACTAATCTTTCATTATCACCTTGATTGATGTCCTCATCTTCTTGTTCTTTATTATTATTCATTATATTAATATCCATTAGTAATAATAACAATATTATCACAACAACAATATTATTATTATTAAATTATTATTCTTATTATTTATAATGTTGAATGAATGTGTAATTATAAATAGTAAATAGATATCTATCTATCTATCTATATCCTTTCTTCCTTTCTTCCTTTCCTTATTTATCTACTTTTGAATTTAATTTTAATTTCAAAAATTGTTTTTCTTTTTTTTAAATATTCCTTCTTTATGTATCTCTATCTCTATATCTATCTCTTTTATCTATCTATCTATCTATGTGTTTGTTTGTTTCAAATGATCAACAACAACAAAGTTAAATAAGAGAAAGTAAAGAGGATCTGTGTTGTGTGTTGAGGAATTTTAAATTAAATTAAAATAAATTGATAATGAAAAGGGGGGTGAGAGCAGAGGAGAGAGTGTGGTTCTTGTTCACAAAGAAAGATGGCTCTCTTCACCTTGTTCCCTCCCTTTCCTCTCTCTCTTTGCATTCTATTCCATCACATGTTTGCTCTTTGCCCGTGAAAAAAAGAAATCTATTGCCTGTTCATTCTTCTTCTTATTTCCCGAGAGAGTGTTTGTCCACACAATGATGATGTTGATGATAAATCAAAAGTTTGAAAAGTCATTAAACTTTTCCCATGTTATAAACTCTTTATCTGTATGATTATCTGTCTCTTCTATACATATCTATAGTCAAGATACAACTTAAACAATGAAACAATCACAGCTACACCTCTGCACTAGAGTTAGTTCAAAATCATCACTCCGTTACACCACGCCACTCCTCCTTTTACACTCCGTCGTCGATTTGTGGGCTGTGCAGAGAGAGAGCAGTTTTTTTTGTTTTTTGAAGTTCGCTCATCAGTTTTTATTTCCTTTTACTCTGATGAGAAAGATAGAGATAGATAGATAGAGATAATCAAATTGTCACCAATATCAACAACAAACAATATGAATACATTCCAAATGATATTAAGGAGTGTTTACATTAGGAAAAAGATATTTGAAGAGGTTCATTCGATACACAAACAATTGGGTATAAAAGTTATAAAGACATCGTCTCTTCATACTTTAAATGATTACATAAAGTGTAGAATGACTAGTATAGTCATGAAACACATTGATTCATATTGAAGATTAATATTTGTTGATTCTGATGGCATCTATAGAAATAATCATGTATGTATATTAAATATAAAGTATAATATTGTGTACAACAAAAAAGATTAATCTTTTTTTTTATTTAATTTTTTTTTAGACTATGGGAAGAATGATTTGTTATGCTATTAAATATGATAATCATATAGTTTTGAAATATCTATTAGATAGAATTAAAATGGAAAAGGGACCTTTTCAATTGACTGTATTACTCCCAACCATTCCATCTGAAGAAAGACAAGGAGAGGAGGAAGAAGAAGTCTATTTTTTCAAAAGAAAGAATTGTTTCTCAATAGAGGTATTTCATTTACTCAATGACGACGAAATATTGATTGAATCAAAAGAGATATTAAAAATCATGACAAGAACTGCAATATTGGTGTCAAGAGATATTGAAATCATTCGTAATCTATTAAAGAGATACAAACTCAAAATAGATACAAATGATCAATCATGGGATTTCAAAGATTTGGTCAAGGAATGTAATGAAGGGGAATTGGTAGAATTATTCTCATTGATGAAAAAGGAAGAGAAAAGTTATCTTGCATTTTGTCGATTGTTTCCCGAGACATTGGTAGAGGATAAAATTAAAGTCATTCAGTCTTTGATGACCATGGCCGCCACAGTCAAAACAACAAAAAAAAAAAGATGTCTTTACATCGTCACCACAATTATACTCGCCATTTATAACAAAAAGAATCAGACTGCTTGAACGCAAGAAAGCTCTGTACCAGCTCGCAGTTGATTACCATGGTGGACTGTTGAAGAGGAGTTATCGTGGAATAGATATGATGTTTTATAGATACATGGTAGAAACATTGGCCGACGATTCTGAAAAGACTGACTTTATCGATCGTTGGAATTATGATAATTCTATTGCAAACGGGGTCGAGGAGTGTTTGGAAATATCTCTCAAGGAAAATGGACATGTCATCGCCCATAACATCAAGTTTGTACACCCATCGTTTGTAGATAAACTAGATGATTATCTTTTGGACGAGATTGGTCACTACAGTCGTACAAACATTTATGATTTGTTAAGAGTATTTGTCAAAAAACAATCAGCAGAACCATCTGACACCACTTGTGATTTAGAAAGTTGTTTAATTCTAAATTCTGTCAATGTATGATATTTGACTATGTCAGTGTCATTGTTTGTATATTGGATTTGGAAAAACATGACTTGTTGGAACAAGTAATTTCATTTGTTCAAAACTATCCACAGAGATGTGTATTTTCAATGGCACGGATTTGTCAATACACCCAAGATGACGGCCAATATCATGCAAAAGAACAATTCATATCGGTCATGGAAAGGATTATTGATTTATTTATCAATTCATTCCCCGAACATTTTCAACAACAGTTTAGGTTCGTGATGCCAAATCGATTTACATTGGGTGAGATTTTATTCCCAACTCTCCTCGTCCATCCTCGTTTACTCGCCAAATTATACAATCAAAGAATCTATGGTGAATACGAAGGATCACACTGTCTCTTATTCTCTGCAGCAATGCCATGTGATATAACATTATTTCGTAATGTATATAATTACTTTGCCACAGGAATTGAAGAGTATGAGATCCTTCGGGTTTTGTCAAGGGTCATCGATGCAGGAAACTATCAATTTTTAGCAAAGATGATGATAGATGTTCCATTAAATATTAGGTATAAACAGCTCGTACCTGGAGATAGACAAGAAGTTATAGACAGAGTATTCAAAATATATTTTCAACTACGGTTAAAGGAAAAAGATGAAAATTTACAAGACTGTAAACAATTTGCAGATTTATTTTTAAATATTATTCCAAGCGAACATCAATCTCAAATTCTCTATTATTCATCTAGTTTGGATGATGTCCAATTTGATCAATTGTGGAACCAATTTATGATTGGATGGAGACTTGTTTGGTTGTTTGAATCACGTACGACCAGTTTGGAGTACGATTCTCAATTCTTTGCCAATTTAGAGAGAATTTTCGATAAATTAAAATCGATGCAATTGAAATGTTTTGGAAAGATAGAAACCAGAATATCTCCACCTCCTCTAGCTAGAAGATATGTAGGAATGTTAAAACATTGCCTTGAAAAATATTATTATCAACCATTCTCTCAAGAACATTCAATAGTCGACCATTATTCAAAATTACAAGTTGAATCTTTTTTAAAATATATTTATATTCCAAGATAATTTAAAGAAAGAATAGAAAAAGGTTACATGCAGTAGTAAATCCAAAGTTAAAATAAAAAATTAATAAATTAATAAAAAGTAATTTTAATTTGTTTTTTTTTTGAAGTTCATCTGATGAATTTAATTTGTTAGTTTGTTGTTTTATTATTAGTAGAAATAAAAAAAGAGAAAAGAAAAGAAGTTTATCATGATCATTTTCTCTTGTCTATTCTCATTCATTATATGTATGATCAGAGATAGAGATAGATAGATAGAGATAGAGAAAATGGAGATAAAGAAAATCAAACTGTCGCAACCTATTGCATCGACAACAAACAACAACAACAACAACAACATGAATTCATTTCAAATGATATTAAGGAGTGTTTACATTAGGAAAAAGATATTTGAAGGAGTTCATTTAATACACAAACAATTGGGTATAAAAGTTATAAAGACATCGTCTCTTCATACTTTCAATGATTACATAAAGTATAGAATGACTACTGTGGTCATGCAACATATTGATTCATATTGGAGATTAATATTTGTTGATTCTGATGGCATCTATAGAAATAATCATGTATGTATTATAAAAAAAAAAGTATAATATTGTGTACAACAAAAAAGATTAATCTTTTTAATTTATTTTATTATTCTTTTTTTTTTAGACAATGGGAAGAATGATTTGTTATGCTATTAAATATGATAATCATATAGTTTTGAAATATCTATTAGATAGAATTAAAATGGAAAAGGGACCTTTTCAATTGACTGTATTACTCCCAACCATTCCATCTGAAGAAAGACAAGGAGAGGAGGAAGAAGAAGTCTATTTTTTCAAAAGAAAGAATTGTTTCTCAATAGAGGTATTTCATTTACTCAATGACGACGAAATATTGATTGAATCAAAAGAGATATTAAAAATCATGACAAGAACTGCAATATTGGTGTCAAGAGATATTGAAATCATTCGTAATCTATTAAAGAGATACAAACTCAAAATAGATACAAATGATCAATCATGGGATTTCAAAGATTTGGTCAATGAATGCAGTGAAGAGGAATTGGTAGAATTATTCTCATTGATCAAAAAGGAAAAGAAAAGTTATCTTGCATTTTGTCGATTGTTTCCCGAGACATTGGTAGAGGATAAAATTAAAGTCATTCAGTGTTTGATGACCGTTAAAACAACAGTAACTGAAGTCTTTACAACATCACCACAATTATACTCGCCATTTATAACAAAAAGTACCAGACTGCTTGAACGCAAGAAAGCTCTGTACCAGCTCACAGACAGATACTCACGTAACCATGGTGGCCTGTTGAACAGTAGTCATAGCGGAATAGATATGGTGTTTTATAGATACATGGTGGTAACGTTGGCTGATGGTTCAGAGAAGACTTGTTTTATCGATAGTTGGAATTATTGCAATTCTATTGCAAACGGGGTGGAGGAGTGCATAGCCACCTCTATCAAGGAAAATGGACACGTCCTCACCCACAGTACCAAGTATGTACACCCATCGTTTGTAGATAAACTAGAAGATTATCTTTTGGACAATGTCGGTTATCAATTATGTAAACATTTATGATTTGTTAAGAGTATTTGTCAAAAAACAATCAGCAGAACCATCTGACACCACTTGCAATCTAGAAAAGCTGTTTAATTCTAAATTTTGTCAATGCATGGTGTTTGATTATGCCAGTGTCATTGCTTGTATCTTGGATTTGGACAAACATGACTTGTTGGAACAAGTAATTTCATTTGTTAAAAAACAACCCAAGAGATGTGTATTTTCAATTGCACGGATTTGTCAATACGCCCAAGATGACGGCCAACATCATGCAAAAGAACAATTCATATCGGTCATGGAAAGGATTATTGATTTATTTATCAATTCATTCCCTAAACATTTTCAACAACATGTCTACTTGTTTAAAAAAATAATAAATAACTATTGTTAATTTGAAAATAATAAACATAGTCTGCTAAATTGAACATGATGTAAACAATGACTCGGATTTTAATTCAATTATGCATTAATCCTTACGTCCTGTGACACACTGGTGCGAGTGTAGAGTAGCATGTGATCGATTTTTTATTATTTAATTATCTTTTTTGACCTACAATATATTTATAATCAGAATCAACCACCTAATTTTTAAATTTGATTTATGATGACATATCCATCATCGCCGCCAATTGCAATTCTATTGGATCAAAGAGGAATTGAAAATGTTAGTACATTTCTTGTTATTCAACGGGAGTTCTATTAGATTGTACTTACGATTTATTATCTGGAGAGAAAGAAATAGAGTATGAGGGATCATCGTGACCCTTTATCTCTGCTACTTGTTGTGTATTGTCAAGGTTGAATAGTCGGATATTGAATTGTAAATCACCTTGTTTATCTCTTCTTGGATAACCACAATCTGGTGTGGATCCTGTTGCAAATGCAATCATCTAAAGGTATAGTTAAATAGATATGTGAATTAATAAATCATCGATGACAGACTTGTATCACAGATCTTACAGGAGGAGTAGTAGATGATATCGTTGCATCGCTGATCCTGCGACCAATATCAAATGAGCGAATGAGCCTCCAAGTATTGTTTTCATACAATATGGTGGTACAATTGGAGCCAATCACAAACATGCTTTGATCACTGGTCCATGAGATCTTACCATTCAATATTGAACCAATGACATGAATAGAATGTACCAATTCTCTCGTGTCTACATCAAAGATATCAACTCTACTACCAACGTTTGCCAATATATACTTGTTCGATGGTGACCAGGTAACACAACCATATAAGTCATATTCTATGATCGGCAAAGTAAACAAATGTGTCACTATATTTTAATTATAAGGTAGAAGTAAATGTTAACAAAGTTCTCTTGTTTCTCTAATCGGGTATAGTAGATAATTACATTTCTTTTGGTTATCTGGATTAAAAGAGTACACTTTGATCATTGATTGAATTTTGACATTGCGATATGAGAATACAATATGTGTATCTCCGTGAGAGAACTCAACACATTTCAGATAGGTACCGTATCCAAAATCGATAGTCTCTAACAATTCACCAGAGATTGTATTCCACAAAGACAGTGCGCCAGGTATAGCTGAAACTAAATACCTAGAGTCTTGAGTGATACTGATTGAATTGACTCTCTTGGGATGTATAAATTTGTTGATGAGTACACCATTAGAGGTATCCCACTGAGACACGTTATCATCATGTGATGCAACGAATAGTCTGTCACCTTGTCTATTATATTTCAAATCTGTGATTCTAGCTTTATGAAAATCTAATATCATAGTTGATTACTCTTTGTTATTAATAATTTAAGTTTATTTCAAATCAATATGATGATATTTTCGAAACACTCATTATTCATCCTCGTTTACTCGCCAAATTATACAATCAAAGAATCTATGGTGAATTCGAATGTCTCTTATTCTCTGCGGCAATGTCATGTGATTTAACATTATTTAACAATGTAAAGAACCATCTTTCATCTCAAATGGAAGAGCAGCAGATCATCACAGTTTTGTCAAGGGTCATTGAAGCAGGAAATTATCAATTTGTAGCAAAGATTATGATGGAGTCTCCATTAAGTATCGAGTTTAAACAATTCAGACCTTTTGCTAGAGAAGAGATTTCAGAAGCAATATTTAAAGTATATTTTCAATTGCGCTCAAAAGAAAAGGAAGAAAAGGATTGTAAACAACTTGCAGATTTATTTTTAAATATTATTCCAAAGGAACATCAATCTCCAATTATCTATTATTCATCTAGTTTGGATGATGTCGAATTTTATGAATTGTGGTATGGATTATTTGGTGACTGGAATCCTTATTGGTTGTACCAGACACATACTGTAGGTTTAGAATTCAATTCACAATTCTTTACTCATCTAGAGAGAATTTTTGATCTCTTCAAATCAATGCAATTGAAATATAATGGCAAGATAGTAAACAGATTACCCCCTCCTCCATTGACTCAAAGATATGTAGGAATGTTAAAACAATGCCTCGAAAAATATTATTATCAAACATTCTCTGAAGAGCATTCTATAGTCAAACATTATTCAAAATTACAAGTTGAATCTTTTTTATCTAAATTTTATATTCCAAGATCTAATTTAAAATAGGTTACATATTGTGATCAATCATTCCATATTTAGAATAAAAAAGAGCTAGATCCTACATAGAACCCCCAAAAATAAAAAATATCCTGGTTGGCTATTTTTTATTAACCTCCCCTCTAATCTACCTTCTTGATCGTTTACAACATAATGGTGATGATTCGATTGTTGACAACATTTCGAAATGAACGGTCTTCTTTTTCAAAAAAATAAAGGAGTTGAAAAATGACAATAAAATAAAAAAATTAATTTTAATTGTTTTTTTTTGAAAACAGTACCCAGATCTACTCGAGCTACAATGAAATTTCAAAAAAAATACGATTGCATGTTTTTCAGATGTGGCCTCGTATTCCTCTTTTGGAAGGTTTCAATTGAAATTGGTTCGAGAAGGGCCATTGTAGCCCTATGGTGTTGCAATGAACCCGACCGATAACTGAGTGGTAATCTTTCCTCCTGGGAAGATATTTTTGACATGTCCGAGGACTCTACTATGAATCCACCTATACCAATGCAGTCGGGAGAGATATTTACGGGTACTTGGTAATATGGTTTTTCTGAAACTCGTAGGCCCCTGGACTGGTTCGGTTGACCAAGAGTTGAGATGATAATTGGTCAAAAAAGTACATTAGCATCGTCGCCCATTCAATTTCATTCATTCATTTAAAACTCTAATCGCAATTCTTTGCACTAATATATACATAAATAACTTTATCTCTCGTGTACTATCACCGTGTCTCTCTGTACAACATTTTTTTTTACCTATAATTAAAACCTATACACTTTCACCCCAACCCTCCCAACATCATCCACATCCTATTCTATTTATAAAAAATGGTTAATATTAGCAAAACAAATCTCATCACCTTTGCATTTACCCTTTGTTGTATTGCTCTTTATGCAGCTGCCTTTTCAAGTATGTTGTTAAATTATTAATAAGATGATTTACCTTGATATGGTAATAATAATGATTTAATTTAAAATTATACTTACTCTATTATTTTCTTTTTAGCATATTGGGTAAAGATGAAAATCCATTTAGTTGGAGTATCTACACCAACTCAACCAGAAGGTACTACTATCCTTTATGAGAAATGGGATAAAAATAAGCTTACCGTGTATCCAGCTGCTGGAGGTGAAATCAAGATGACAGTCGATGTTGAACAAACCGATGCCAACAAGAATGCACAAAACATTTTCAAGACCTCTTTTGCATTTGCCATCATTGCCTTTGCCTTTTCAGTCTTTTCCGCTCTTATGATTAGCACCTACATGTTCTTTAAGAGAATGCCATTCCATAGCATCATTGTCAAAGTCTTGCTCGTCATGATGGCTGTCTGTGGTCTCATCTCTGCCTTGACATTCCTCGGTCTTCCCAAAGCCATGCACAAGGATTGCACCAACAATGGATTGGCCAACTGTGAACAACTCAACTACTACCACAAGGTTATCGGCTCGCAAGTCATCGAATACAATCCAACTGGAACCGTCTACATTGAATACAAATGGGGTCCAACCTATGGATGGGCTCTTGTTCTATGTGGTGCAGGTCTCTCTGTCATTGCTATGAGTTTCAACTTTGCTCGTGGTAAATTTGATGAAGAAACTGCTCATTAAAAATAGCAACCAATAATAATAATATATATATACTAACTTCACATAAATATTAAAATATTTAAATAATATTAATTAATAAATAATTTATCTCTTGTACATTTTATAAAATAACAAACAAACTCTTTGAGCACATACAGTTTCGAACATCAACAATGAGCTCATTTTATTTTTTAAAAGCTATGAACAAACTATATTTTAGTAGTATGTGTAAGTTTCAAATAATAACAAAAGTCAGACCACAGACTCTACTTACATATCTTGTTATTTTATTATTAAATTTTATTTTATTATAGGAAACCCTAACCCTAACCTGAACATCATATGATGATGATGAGAGAAAAGTTAGTTCATTCATTCATTCGTTATGAAGTAGTATTCATAATGATGGTGATGGAATATATAGATATATAGAAAGGTAGATTTAAAGATATATATAATTCAATCAATTATGAAATTAATTAAAATTAGAGTATGGCAAGATGTGGTAGATGCATTCTATTTGATTGGGTCAATGATTGCAATATTTGGATTGTTTATGACTATTATCCTCCCATTCTATATCATTCAATCACAACAAAAGTTTACAGTTTTAAAGGGTAATGGAGGAAATAGTGTCTCTATGAAGATTGATGAGTCATTGTCATCGTCATCCTTGTCAAAGATACAAATACCAAATTATAATACATCAATCAATGTTACATTGGAACCAAACGATAAAGATGATACGTTGGTTACGCATACTAGGACCATTTCATTCTCTTATGCATCATTCAAATCAAATGAAATGGCTCAATATGACAACAAATCATACACCAATGAGACCAACCTTTGGTTTGACCAGATGCTAGCTGCCAATAGTGTTCGTATGGCAATGGTGTCGTGTCTCTCGGTAGCTGTCATTCTCCACTCTTTCTATCTGTGTTGTGGTATCTTTGAACGTGACTGGCACTACAACTACAAAGAGTTGAAATGGATAACACTCGAATTGATGGGGTCGGCTCTCATCTTGGGTATCTATATTGCCTCTATTCTCAAGATTATGTCTCTTCCCTATGCCCTTCGTCTAGACATGGTCCTCTATCCAGAGTGTTTTCGTAACGGACAATTCTACCATTTTTGTACTACTCCTATTCAAGGTCTAGATAGAAATTATTCAGGTGTATGTTTGAAACAGGTAATAGATTTAATCACACGACTCACTCACTCTTTCTTTCTTTTTATATAGTTTGTATTTGTCAGTTGGAGACTTGGAGGATGTTGGTATTATCAATTGGCATTGACCCTCATTCAAATGGTTCATGTATTGATGCTTATTTATCATTTTATTAAATGGTCAATCATAGAATCTGTCAACAAATATAGATTAAAAAAACATCCTCCTCCAAGACTACCACCTCCACCACAAATAGATAATGATAACGATAGTATTAATATTAATAACATGGATTTGGATATGAATATGCATATGAATATGAATATGAATATGGGTATAAATATAGATATGAATGAATTGAATAATAATAATAATAATCAATTAGATCATGGTGAAGATGTTATAAATCAAAACAATAATAATATCAATAATCCAGACAACGAAAATGGAAACGAAAATGGAAATGAAAATGGAAATGAAATCATACCACCATCTCCACCTCTGCAACCTTCACAACCACAATTACCAATATAGTTCAAGTTACTATAAATATTTAAATATTTTAATAATAACAAATAATAATAATATATATATATATAATATTTATAAATACCACTATTTTTTATCTATTATTCTTCGTACAAAGAATGCTATTCGATCGTATATCTATATCTCAATACAAAAACCAACACATGTTCCACAGTTCTACTAACTTTTTTTTTTTTCCTCCAACACACCACCACTAGTTTTGATCTTTTTCGTTAAAGTGTTACGTTATTCAACGTTGTTATTTATAACTTTTGATGTTTGTTATCTATTATCTATCTACTACTAATTTAAAGACGTTACACGTTTATATTCATATTTATATTTTTAATATATATCTTCATCACCAATTAATTAATAATTACAATTAGTATTTTTTAAATCAATCTAATTTTTATTTATTTATTTATTTAATTCTTTTTAAAAAATGAAGGAAGGAATATCATCATCTCCTTCTCCATTGGACAAATTTACTAGAAAAATATCAATTGGATTATTAGTAGTAATATTAATTGAATGGGCTGGTTTATTAATTTGCCATAACTTTACGAACCAACATTTGTCCATTTGGCAAACCTTTGGACAAAATATACAGTCCAATGACAAGAATGTATTTGTTCCACCACTCCCTATTCGTAGTCCACACCTCTACGATGAAATGATCAGCATTGGAATGACACAAAACAATCAATCCTCCACCACTCCCATCATCAACCAAGACATTTGGTACTACCAAACATACCAGTTCTTCCCATACAGCTTTTCATCCAAATACATCTTTTCAACCATTGAATACCAACAAAAGTACAGTGACGCCATTGAATATAAAACTGATTATATCGGTCCTGATATGCCAAGATTTAATGCTCTAAGAATTTCATCTTATGGTAAATACATTAAAAAAAAAGAAAAATTAACAATCAAAACTAAAAATAATTAATTAATCTAATATTTCTTTCTTTCTTTATTTAATTTCTATAGTTGGATGGGTATTGGCTACATTCTTTATTGCATTGTATACATTGGTTCTATTTTATGATATTCGTCAAAGAAAGTTGGGAGTTGAAGGTAAAATCTACAAAACCAAAATAACATTGGTATTGGTATTGATTCCAGTCATTCTCTTTACCATTTTGGTATTGTGTACTACTGTTGGCACCATTTCAGCTCTACGTGGTGATTTATCTCATCACCCAATTTGCAAACGTAATGGAAAATATCATAATTTCTGTCGTAGTCTATGTGGTGAAAATAATGATTATAAAGGTGTATGTATAAAAAAAAAATAGAATAGCTATAAAGTATTATATAGTATAGTAGTATGATTATCTAAATTAATTAATTAATTATTATGTATTTTCCTTTAGTTCCTTTCAATCTCATGGAATTTTAGTAATTTTGCAATCTTCCATATCTTATTATTATTGGTACATATTGTTTATTTCTTAATTCATTGTTTAGTAATGCGTGCCTATAAACGTAGAGATGGCGGTCTCATCATCCCTAATCTATCACCATTTAGCAAGGCTGATGAACTTGAAAAACAAGAAAAGGAAAAGATCGAAAAGGAATCAAATAATCAAAATAATCAAAATAATAATAACAATAACAATAATAATAATGTAGAATGTAGTATAGAAATTGATGACCAACATGTTGGTGATGGTGCAAACTAAATTTAAATTAAAATTATAATAAATCAAATTAAATCAATTAATTTATTTTTGTAAAAACACCCTATGTTTGAAGAAGTAGATCTACTTCTTTAACACCATCCACACACACACACATACACACAATTGCAATCAATACGTTGTATAAACGATGTGACGACTCGTAAAACGGATCAATCTTTTGATTCACACATAATAATATTATTATAATCAGTATTATTTGTTTATATCAATAATCATAGCTTCTATATTTATATATAAATATTGATTCATTTAAACAATAGATAGACATGTATTTTACAACAAGCTACCCACTTACTCCTTACCCTTACCCTTATACAGTCTTACCGACGTAATGCGTATGCGTGTGTGTACGCATTACTCCATCCTCCATCCACCTCTCATTGATTGATGTGTTGGATGATCTTAAGATCATGCCGATATCTATCCAATGAACAACTATTTATAAATAGTTCACATCGTCAATAATTTCATTTATTTACTATCTATCTATCGAGAGATTTAAATAATAATAGTAATCATAGTAATATTTATATATTTATTTATATTTATTTATATGTTGCACAAAGATGAAAATAATATTAATGCAAGATAATAGATACCAAAAAGCCATCAATTTATTGGGAACAGTAGTAATGGTGTTAGGAGCATTTGAAGTACTATCCTATCTGGTACCTATTCTATTACCTTTATATTCGATATCAATCAAACAATCTATTTATCAGAATTTATTATCCAATAATCAAAATCAAACAAATATTAGTAATAATAATAATAATAATAATTTTAATAGTACAACTTTTACATTTACACCATTATTACCAGTATCATCTGAATTAAATTATACAAATTTAATTAATAGTTTAAACTATACACCAAATAATGCATCAACTGGAAATAATAATACAATTACAACCAATTCAACGTCAACCAATATATTGAATTCAACTACTGTATACCATCAAGATCCAATTTATTCACAACATTTAAAGATATATTATACAAGTGTAATATGTAGTGAAGAGTATCAACAAAAGTATAACGAGTCGACTGTTAAAGTCAATGGCAAGTCATTACCGATGATAAAGTATTTACCAAGTATCAATCTACTCAGGATTGTCATGTTGGTCACGTTTTCAGTGGGTGGTCTATTAGCTGCCATCAAGTTTTGTTGTTTGAGTATCGAAACTAAAAGAGACCGTGATTCAAGTGCCAAAGAGAATCTACTCTTTTACAGACTATCACTTGTCAACTCTGTATTGGTATTCCTTCTATTCAGTACATCCACAATGTTGGCTGTCATGTTTATACCGGCTCTTCAAAAGGATCTATCAAAGTACCCTTTATGTTTCAATCATCATGAAGGTGGTAGTGGTGTTGGTCACTTTATCAATTTTTGTAAACATATTAATGGTGTCAATCGTCATTATCCAGGTGTATGTATACATCCATCCATAAATATTTATAAATATAATATAATATTAATAATCTTTATATTTATTTATTTATAGGTACAATTAATTAAATGGGGTCTAAGTGCAACTGTTTACTATCAAATTGGAGTAACACTATTACAATTGATTAATATAACAAGACTTTATTTAAAGATTGAAATGACAAAAATACAAATATCAATGGAACTCTCTGACAATGATGACCAAGAAAAGGGGAAAGGAAAAGGGTCAAAAGATAAAGATAAAGATAGCAAAGTCTGGAAAAAAGATCAAGAAAAGAAAACTATAGTTCATCAAAGTGAAAGTGAAAGTGATAGTGAAGAGGATGATGATGATGAAGAATATATTAACTATAATAATCATAATAATGATAATATAAATAATAGTCTAAGTGTTATAGATCATTTTAGTAATTCAAATTCCAACTCTCCTCTAAGATCATCACTTGAATGTATGTTACCTCCACCACCAGGATCATCGATATTGAATCATTCAAGTATGAGTAATATTGGAATGATTGGTTCGAGTATGAATGGTATTGGTGGTATGACCCCTCTTCCTATTTCTAGTTTATCGGCCAGTTGTAGTTGTATTGGGTCACCATCATCAACAAGTCTAACGAATAGTCCAAGAGTCACTGCCAAAACAATGCATATGACACATATTCGTAGAAATAGTAATAATAGTCTATATTCTCAAAATTTGATTAATCAAATTGATATTGGCTCATCCCCATTACCACCATTATCTCCATCTCCAACACCTCCATCTCTATCAAAATCCAGTCACCATGTTCGTCGTCACAGTAATAATAATAGTTTATACTCTCAAAACTTAATTACAACCAGTACCAATTCACTGTTACCAACTCCAACAACAATAACTACTACAACTACAACTACAGCTCTTCCCACTCCTACACCTCTATCTAAATCAAAATCTCAACATATACGTAGACACAGTAATAATCATAATCATAGTTTAATCTCTCACATGAGTAATACCAATAATACATTACCTCTAACACCATCACCATTATCATCACCATCTCCTACAACATCTACACCTAAATCTAAATCAAATCATATTCGTAGACACAGTAATACCAATCAAAATACAAATAATAGTTATAGTTTCTATACTCATGGACCATTATCATTATCATTATCTCCCGACCCATTTTCAGCTCAAAAAAGGTGGTCTCAACAATAAAATTAAAATTAAAAATAAAAGCTCAAATAGTAAACTATACTAAATTTTTTAATTTAATTTATAAATCAAAAGGCACTAGGCTTGTGAATAATAAATTTTAATTTTTTTATTATAAAACCAAAAGTAAATTTGTTTAGTTTCATAACAAACTCCAAACAAGAGGGAGAGAGCCAAATAGATCATTATCATAATATTTGTATCAGTGTCCTATAAATAAAATAATACAAATAATATTAATTTTAATATTTTATTTCGAGGATGAAACTAAGAAATTTATTTGTTGGAGCAACCATAGTTTATTTATTTGCATGTTTTGTTATTTTTTTATTTGGTATTGGTCTATTTTTCCAACCATATTATAGAATCACAAAAAAAACAACCGTCTTTTCATTGGATGGTGAAGATATAGAAGCGCAATCATGGGAACATACAGACTTGGAACTTAAATATGTGACAAGATCAACAAGATATGAAACAGGTGACATGGCACGGACCTCTGTCTACTATTTCGATTCCTATCATATCCCACATCTCTATAAGATTACAAATATTCATTTGGCGTTTTTCTTTGTTACTTGGATCTTTCTTTTACCGGTAGTTTTTACTACCCTTCAGTTTATGGAAGAAGGATCAATGGTTTCTGTATGGTGGCTACTAGGTACATCACTGGTACTTACTATAATGTATTTGGTACCAGTTTTGATGATTCTAAAAGTACCAAAAGCCAATGCAAAAGATTTTAAAATGGAATATGAATGTTTTCATGATAATCAATATTATCATTATTGTTCATCCATTCAAGGACATGTTTCAAATTTTCAAGTAACTCCTGAAAAGGTATATACTACAAATTGTATTTAGCTCTTGAAAATTAACTCGGAAATCTTTCTAAAAAATATAGATTGTAGAAATTACATGGGGAATAGAATTAGGATGGTATTTTACTCTTTTGGGTCTTCTTGTTCAAGCTATATATGCCATCCTTCTAATAGTGATTGCATCTTTCAATATAATCCATGATTGTATGCAAAAGAGACAACGAAAAACTTCTAGACCATCCATCCAAATGGTTGAACCAAATTACATTGTCAATTTATCAAAAGATACTCCTACCCCTACTTCTCCTTCAAATATATTTAATATTTCAAGATCAGATCAATAATTAATTAAATTAATTCTAAAAAACTCTTATTGTCAAAAAATTTAATTTTAAAAACTTTGATCTCTTGAAGCTTCAGTGTAAAGATAATATTAATCAAGAGATAAATTAAACGACCAAGACTATAGTTGTTTGATAGATTTTAATAGAAAAATGGTAGAGTTAAATAATATTATTATTAAAAGAGACAGAGATGAATAAATAAGAAGACTAACATTGTTGATTGACTATCGTGATGATTAATGTGTAGAGTAGTAAAGATTTAAATAGTAGTAGTAGTTCTACTCCTACTACAACTAAAGAGAAAAAGGATAAATCAAAAGATAAACAAAAAGAAAAAGAAAAGAACAAGATGAAGACACTACATAAACGATCGTTAAAGAAATGGTTGACAAAGAGTAAGAGTAAACATATGCTCTTTGACAAGGACGCTGTATTTGGTGGAATAGACGATTCAACAAAGACTGGTATAGAGAATAAAGATCAAAAGAAATCAAATGATAGTGACGATAGTGATAACTCTGATAGTGAAGAATACGATATCGATGATGACAAATTAGATTCAATGATTAAAACACAGTATGCACAAACACAAAGAGATAAATATATATCATCAAACATTATTTATTGATTTATTTATTTATAGAGATTCACATCCACTTACACCAAAGGAAGTTGGAGACATGCATATTAAAAGAATGAAAGAAAGATTCCAAATTGAAATTCAATTCAAATCATTGGAAGATGTTTTGGAAATAGCTCAAGAGGATAATAATCGTATTATATTTATGATTCATTGTGTAGATTGGTTTAATTTATCAAGATTAACGTATGTATTACACATTTAAGGAATATAATATTGGACTGAACCAAATCAATAATATATGTTAATTATTAATAATTATATTTATTTTAGAATTGAAAACTTTAAAAATATATTATCAAAAGAAAAAGATGTATTATATTTCTTTATAAATCAATCATCACCAGAATATAACAAAGATAATCCAATGGATATTGGTATGTTTTGAAATTAATTAAATAGTTTTTAAAAAACAAATAGTATTAATAATCATCGTTTATTCATTTATTTATTTATTTATTATTCTAGCTGGAATACCATTTACAAAAATATTTTATAAACAAAATCCAATTAAAATACAACGATATGGAATAGAATATGATTGGGGTTTAGACGATAAGATTAGAGGACATTTAACTCTAACTCAAATTAAAACAATACTAGAGGAATGTAGAGAATGTAAACAATCAGTAGACAGTGATTTACAATCTTACAACTCTGATAATCCTCCACCTTTGGAAATTAAATTGGAATTTTAAAAAACAAATCAATTAAATTCAAAACCAACTTCTACTACAACTATAGAGTAGTAGTAGTAGTAGTAGCATATATTGTATCAACAACAATCCTTCTTCTTCTTCTTCTTCTTCTTCTTTGTTTTTAAAATCAAAAAGGTTTATTTATATATATAAGTATTTTTGTTTGGATCTTGGAGTTTTTTTGATCACTTCTTTTATTTAAAGAATACCCCATTGCTTTTCAAAAACAGTAGTTAATTTAAAACAAGCACCGGCAGCTGATAGGGGATAATTGGAAAAAGCGATTTCATCGTGATTGTAATCAATGTTGACGGAACCGGTTGACAAGGCACCAATGACAATGGCGACGGTTTGGAGACCATTGAGTTGGTCGTTGGTAGTTTTCTTTTGTTTCTTTAATTCCTCAACGTTGATAATGTGTTGACTCTTTTTACGTTTCTTTCCTTCCTCTAATGCTGGTTCTTCGTATTCAGCACCTTCGATATAACTTTCAGCTGCACTTCTAACTTCCTCTGCAGTTGGTTTGTTGTCTTCCTTTGCTTCATTTGTAACTGGCTTAACTGGTAATGGATCATATCCAAATACTTGTGGACACCAATCAAACAAATCAACACATTTACTTGCAGAGAATGATGTCACTAAAGTTAATTAATTACCAAACAAAACAATAATAATAATAACCAAATGCGAATATCAACCATATTGATGAGCAAATAATAACTGTGTTAATATATATATATATATATGTTATAATCTTAATAGTACTTACAAAATATCTTACATCCAGGTGGAAGATGATCTGTGATTGGGTTCTTGATAACCTTGAACAATTTTTCTGGACCATTGGTAGCTCTGATACTTAATTTATTTAACAATTGAACCATGAGACCTGCAAATCTATGAAAGGTTCTTGGGATTCTAGTTTGTGGATTGATTTCGATTAATACATTCTTGGTGGTTCTAATAAATACTTGAAGATGTCCTGCTTTGTTTAATGGACTATCAAATAATGCAAGTAAACACTATATAGAGAGATAAAACATAATGTAAGTATTTGATTAGAGTTAACAACAACAATTGTATGTTTGTTTGGTTACATACTTGATGAAGAATATCTGGACGAGCTTCAGAAGCTTCTCTCTTATATTTCTTTAAAAACTCTACATGATCATCACAATTGAGTAATTGATAACTATCTCTAACCTTGACAGTCTCCAATGTAGCATGCTCCAAGATAACAATCAATTTCTTGACGTCTTTAGCTGGTAAATTCTTTTGGTTGTGTGTTGGTGCGCTCATTCCTATCTATCTAGTATCTATTATATCTATTGTCTTGAGTACAAAAGATATATGTATTAAAGTATAAGGTAAAGGTGGTGAGAGGGGATAGATATAAATATTAAAATTAAATAAGAGAAATCTCAAAGAGATAGAGAGAGAGAATGTCTCGTTCGTTTTTTCGCTCTTTTTTTTTTTTTTTTAATTAAAGTTGCAGAGAGAGAAAGCAAAATCAGTATTATAATATAATGGACAGTTATAATTGTTATAATGTATAACTTTACTTTTAAAAATACATTATCTCACTTTATAAAATGTAGTAGTAATACTAAATCATCGATAGTTAGTAATAGTACTGGTAGAAATTATACTTCAACAAGCTCATATGGTACATCATCATTGAATAATGAGGATGGTATCTCTCAAAGAGAACACCCAATATCAATTTATATACATTGGCCATACTGTAGCAAGATATGTGGTTATTGTTCATTCAACAAGTATTTAGATGGTCCACATGTAGATCACTCTAGAATGAAACAATCGATGATCACTGAATTGTCTAATTTAATTAAATTGTATTATCCTTCATCTTCTTCTATAAATAATAACATACAATATAAATTAAAATCAATTTATTTTGGTGGAGGTACACCATCTTTGGCAACTATTGATACATTATCATCGATTGTTGAAACTGTCTATCAATACTTTCCGACAACAACCAACCGAAAGGATTTAGAAATCAATTTAGAGGCAAATCCAGATGCAATGGACAAGAATTATTTAAAAGATTTAAAAGATATTGTTGGTGTAAATAGATTATCACTTGGTGTTCAAGTATGTAATGAAATGTAAAAGTATAAGATTTAGACACACTTTACAATTACTAATAACCATTATTTATTTGTTTTAGGCATTAAATGATGAAGATTTAAAGTTTTTAGGAAGAACGCATAATACAAAACAAGCAATTGAATCAATTGAAATTTGTAATTCTATATTTGATCGTGTATCATTTGATATGATTTATGCAAGACGTGGTCAACACTCCGTTGAACAATGGAGACAAGAATTAAAACTAGCTGTTCAACTTTCAAAAGGTCATTTATCACTCTACAATTTAACTTTTGAAGATGGTACAGCCTTTTTTAAAAGATTAAGAAAGCATAGAAGTAATCATAGTATGTGTAAAAGAAAAAAAGAAAAAGAAAATATATAATTAATATTAATTACTTTCTACTAGTTATTAAACCAACAAATGATCAATGTTCATTACATTATATGGCAGCAATAGAGGAGACTGAAAAGGTTGGAATGAATCAATACGAGATTAGTAACTTTTCAATCCCAGGTCATCATTCACAACACAATTTAAATTATTGGAGAGGTGGAGATTATATTGGTATTGGCCCAGGTGCATGTTCAAGAGTTAGTGTTTTCAACAACAACAATCAACAAGACAACACTAACTTGAAACCTGAAAAGGTAGCACTTAAAACGATTATTCATCCAAAAACATGGATGGATAGAGTTGAAGCAAATGGTCATGGTTTGTTTGAAGCAGAGACAACCACCCTCTCGTTTAAAGATCGTATCAATGAATTATTATTGATGGGGTTGAGAACTAAAGAGGGTGTATCAAGATCGACATTTAGATATTTATCGCATGGTCTCGATTTTGAACAAGTGTTGGATCCAATAGTACTATCACGTTTACAATCAATTGGTATGATCGTTTTAGATGAAAATGGATTACGTGTTACTACCAATGAAGCATTTATGATCCTTGATACATTATTACTTGATATTTGTCTCTAAAATAAATAAATATCGATATAATCCTATATTTTATCCATCCATTTGCATATATGTTATTTACAAATTTGTCTATATTATATTTTATATATTACTATTATTATTAAATGATTAATCTGTAGTTGTTATCCTTCAGGTTCTTGAGTATCATCGAATGCTCTCTTGGCAACCTTTAATTCTTCATTCATTTTAAGTAGTTCAATGACACGACTATATTTCTTTGGATCCTTTCTAACGAGGAATACCAAATCCTCTGTTTGAAATCGTCCACGTTTTGTCGATACTTGTGCAGCTTTAAGTGTCATCTCTTGAATATATTCAAATACAATCTCTTCCATTAAATCAACTGTTTCAGGTAATGGTTCTCTTACATCACTAAAAGTAATAGAAGTGTTAATAATTAATGATTGTTTGTTGTTTCTCTCTTTTGACATACCCAAATCCAAACATCATATGTTTTACTATAATAAAAGATTGAAAGTATTAGTAAACCGATATTCATCATCATAATCAATTGTTCAACACTAGAGATCTTACATTCTTTATTAAATATTCTTTTTCTTTGTTTTTGTACTGTTGTTGTATGAATGGTAGGTATAGATGGCGATGCAGCTGCTGCTGCAGCAGCAGTTGTAGTATTTGGTGAATTTGATGAAGTTGATGAAGGAGATAAAGGTTCGCGTGATGTATTTGTTGTAGATGTAGTAGATGTAGTACCACCGCCATTAGGTGATGTTAAAGGTGATGGTACAGATGAAGCTATTAAAGATGATGAGGGAGGAGGTGGATCTCCAGCATTCCCTGTTTTACTATTACTACTACTACTACTACTGCTCTCAGACATTCTCTATTCTATTGTGTAGTATTAATATTACGAATAGGTCGTAGTCTTTAGTTTGTAATACAACTAAAGTTAGACTTTGAAATTCGATGAGCTCAGATTCTAATTTTGGATAGAATAATATTCAATTTAATTTTACATAAATTAAAGGATGGTAAAAGGGTGTTAAAGAGAAGGATGGATAGAGGAGAGGAGAGGAGAGAGTCAAAAGTTATTAAAATCTGTATTCTTTATTTTATTTTCTAATTATTCTAAAAAAAGATTCAAGTCCTCGATCACTCTGGAATAGGATAGAGGGGTTTAAAAATCTTAATTGTTTGAGGGTGGTCAGAACAGTACCAACAGCAACGAGGACTGTCGATAGTGGTAACTTTGAGATTTTTGACTTCAATGATTCAGATATATACCATCGTTTTATTTAAAGCTACAACTATTCAATCACCCTTTAGCTAATGGTCAACCACAGGGTAAATTAGATGGTGATTCGTTAACGAGTAATCCCCCTATTCCTTAAAAGTTAAACTAGACTAAACGAGACGAGTCAGCTCTATATTTAACACTCGGTTGATTTCAATCTAGATTCAATTTATAATCGAGATGATGGAAAAACAGACAATCCAATTAAATGGATTCAGGCTATAATGTGATTTTGATTGGTTTAAGAGATTAATGAATTTAACATGTTAAACATCAACTATTTAAAGAGTCCACTTAATTACTCTATTTCAAATCATCAAAACAAAATCAAATATATCATCAAAACTATAAATAATATAAACGCAAATATTATTTTTACTATTTATTAAATAACTCTAAATATTCAAACTACTAAAAATGAACAAATTATCAATTCTCTCTTCAATTTTAATTATCATTATTTTAATCAATGTTTCTCATGCTGGAAGTAAGATCATATTAATATTATTTTTCAAGGTTTAAAAATAGTTTTTCTAATTATTCTTTTTTTTTTTGTTTTTTTCCAGTTACAAGTGTAATCCAAGATGGAAAGAAATTAACAATTAATTATTCACCAATGACAATGATTTGGTTTGATAATCAATTGGTAAATAGTGGATTGAGAACTAATATCAAGTCATACTGCAAGGCATTGTATGGATGGTCTCCATTGGTATGCAATTTACCAACTGTTCCATCATGTGATAGTATCCGTCTCTATGGTTCTGCTGGTATTGGTGCCACAAACCTTGAAATGCTCTATACTTTTAATTGTACTGTCGTTGCTTAAACCAAACAACATACATGTATTTTTTTTTTAAAACTTTTCAACCAACTAACAATCAATTAGATTTTAACCTATTATTTATAATATAAATAAATGCTGCGCAACATTTAAGTTTTTTTAAACTTTTTTTAAACAAACAAACAAACAAACAAATAATAATAATAATAATAATAATAATAATAATTTCTTTAACATAAATCTTTTTTATGTGTGGTTATTTTTTGAAGTTCAAAAAAATCCAAAAAAGGATATAATTATTTTTACTTTCTTACCGTCTATAGATTTTAAAACACTAATAATATTCCATTTTCTAAAAATAAATTATTCATAGAAACAATAATCCCCTAAGGACAATATTGAGTTGATTTATTTGGTTTTTTTTTTTCTTTATTCTATTTTTAAATAATATTGCACAAAGAAAGAGAGAAAGAATGACAGACCCAGAGAACCAAAGAGAACATAAACATCATTTATTCCATCACCATAGTCACCAAGATGAATGTGAAAAGGTTCCAGATTACGTAACAGTACGTGGAACCGATCCAAGAGATACATACACCATGACATTTAATTTGGCATCACGAGTCGACTATGGAGTGGATATTGATCCAAAGACACATAACGATTTAATGACCATTCTAGATGATCAGTTTGTCGATCTTCCCAAAAACGTAGACTATGGAATGGATCCTCATGGTGGTCCCTTTCAATACAGAGCAGAATTTCATAATCCAGATAAAATCATTTCATGGAACAGTCATTCAAAACCACCCATTATTTGTCAATACCTTCAAACTTTGGTTGATAAAAATATTCACTAAATAATAATTAATAAATCATTCATTAAAAATTAATTGTATCAACTTGAAAATAATTTCATTCTTTACAAAGTTTTAAAATATATCTATTATGTGATAGATAGATAGATAGATTGTTTGAAGAGAGAGAGAGAGAAAGAGAAGATGTTAATAGATGAACAATTTAAACATATATTGTTCGAGAATGTATATTTATCTAAAAAGATAATATCATTGATACCAAGACTTAATAGACAAAAGAATGAATACAGTTATAAATTCTTTGACTTGTTTATTATACTAAAAGATGTCAATCCGAGAAAAGCAAACATCTTTACACCTTCACTAGTTCGAATGATGTTTGAATATATCAATCCGAAATACGACATATCCACAGATATTGACTTTAACGAGCATAAGAGATCAGATTATGTATTGCCACAATACGCTTCACAATATATAGTTGATCATCTTGCCTCTGTTGATCAAGAGACAATGTTATTGGGATGCAAGAAAAAGATATTCAACTATTGTGTCGATCCAATACTCGTCTGGCACCCAAACTTTCCTCATCAAGTCATTAGTCTCTACTTGACACAAAAGAGAGTGGATAGAATTAGTTTGTCACTCTTTACAATGTTTCTCGATCACCACCGTGATCTAGATACATTTGCAACACTGGTAGAACGTAAAATCGATGTCTACTATTTGACAGAGGTCGACTTTTGTCAATTAGAGTCTACTAGACAATTGGTTGGTTGTTCACGGATCTACTCCCAAGTCGATAAATCCAAATACAATGCATTGCTCGAGACACTCGATCGATTGGGAAAGGACAGACGATTCGATCTATTTAACATTTGCATTACGTCAATCTATATACAACGTAGTGAAATAGCTCAATTGGTTCATACCATCATTGTATTAAAATATATTGTCATCATTGTCCAAATGTTCAATATATTTTAAAGTCAAAAAAAAATAAAAAACAATTCCGCATTTGGTAATAGCTCAGCAATCTATAGTAGTGGGTGGTAGAAATAACATAATATTTTAATTTTTTTTATCTATTTATATTTTAACATATCTTCATATAATATGTGTACGCTCAACATTATTTATCTATTATATGTTTCTTTATTGCAAAAATACGAGTATTTACAGATAAATCATCAACAGCATCAGCAGCAGCAGCAGCAGCAACTATGTTTGAAAGTTTGAAGAAAGGTGTAGCATTGTTTCGAAGCATATACAAAGGAGGGATCGAAGCCGAGTATGATGATAATAATCAACATGATGACAATCATCTACTTGATGATAATCCTTTACTTGATGGTAATGCTATACTTGACGATGAAGATCTAGAAGATGATGCATTTGTTGAACCAGAATATCAAAGATCACATACACCTGTACCAGAAAAAGAAGTAGAGTATTCACAACAACAACCACCACTAAAACCACGTACCAACTACAAAGAAGATGATTTACAAGAGGAATTTGAATGGTTCAAAGAGACTTTCGATGCCCACATGGAGTTATTCAAGAAGTTTGAAGCAAAAGAATCTATTGAAGCCATTGAATCACCTGAAGAGTTGGAAATCCACCAGAAGTTCAATAGATTTCTTCAAACAAGATTGATTTATGTCCACAAGTTGAATAACAAGAAGAAAAAACAACCAGAAAGTGTCGGTCGTATCCCATTATTCAATAACCTAACGGACTTGGACAAACGTGCATCCAAGTCTTACTATTTTGTTCAAGACACAACCATTTTTGAATGTAAATGCGCTAACAAGGGGAATTGTACTGCTTGCAAATGCAAGTTATATAATAATGGTTGTACTTCTCAATGTAAATGCCCATGTCGTATGTATATAAATAGATAGATAGATGATTCACCAACAACTTGCTAACAAATTAGAACAATTATCACATTTATAGGGGATCTATTCAAAGAGAAATGGACTATTTTAAATAATACAAACTCAGAAGAATTGTCGAATCGAATAACCTATGAAATGGATAGCAGCAATGCATCAGCACGTAGCAAAAACATCGATCAACCATTAACTCCTAGTCAAGTAATAAGCTTGATAATCGACGAATCAGTCATCAACCACATACTCGAGGAATCGAATTTGTATCTCATCCATCGAAGCAAATATGCAAGGGATTATAAATACATCAAGCAACATTACCAACAAATAAGACTTTTTCTCACGAATAAGTCAAAGGAATCACAGCCGCCTCCATCATCATCATCAACAACAACAACTACATATTCAACTTCTAGAAGAAGATACAATGAAGAAGAAGATGATGATAATGATGAAGAAAAAGAGGCTGATACACCAAGGAGAAAAAAGAAACAAAAGAAAAATCAAAGAAAGAGCCAGCCAGTTACAATAATTGATGAAGATAACGAACAATTCCAACATCCTATTCTTTCTAATACATCTTCATCAACAACTCCCACCACCGCCACCACTTCCTCTTCAAGCTTTGGATCCAGTCTGCTTCGTTTGTTCACACCCTCCCACTCGCAAACATCGACCACATCATCATCATCATCATCATCATCATCATCATCATCATCATCGACAACATCTACCACATCTACCTCAAATCAAACCAATGCAGTAGAAACTGAGTACAATCAAATTGTTGGAAGAATGGTTGATTTTGAGACTTGGAAGCGTGGGTTTCTATCAACAATGCCACAAGGATTATCTCCACAAGATAGGCTTAGCTTTATTCAAGAACAGTTAGAACAAGAGGAAATACAGTTGGTTGACAACACCAAGTTGTTTACCTATAAACAATTGGAGAATTTCTTTTATATTGCCTTTTTTATGGGTCTTGTCAAACTCCCACGGGCGGAAGACCATTGGAATAGAAAGAGCCCTTTCCATCCTCCATCTGTTATCCGCCCATTAATGTCAAGAAAAAGATTTAAGTCCATCCTCAAATTCCTTCACTATGACGAAGATTCCGTCATTCAAATGATTGAAAAAAATTCAAACAACCACTATATCCCATCATTACGTTTATCAATCGATGAATATATGGCCCCTTATAAAGGCTTGGTAAGGTTCAAGCAGTATGAACCAGATAAACCACACAAATTTGGATTAAAGTATTTCGTTTTATCTGACTCAAATGGTTTTATATTGACCCAATGGCTTTACAGAGGTAGTGATGAATCTACAACAAAATCTGTAACAATAGGTATGTTGTTTTATAACAATTTACAAATATCATCATTATCATCATATGTCTAATCATTATTATTGTCTTATTTAGATCCATCTGTGGTTAGTTCTTTTCCACCAAATAGTCCTCTTAAAATCCCAATCGAATTTGCAGAGTGGGTCAGACAAAAAGTAGCTACAGATGATAGACCATTGAGTCACTATTTGTTTGCAATGGATAACTATTACACATCATTACAAGTTGCCACTGTATTATCAAACTTTAGTCAAAACATCAATTCCAACAACGACGATAACAATCCCAACAATAAGATTCATTATGTAATGACTGTAAGGTCCATTAGACCAACGTACCTTTTCAAAGATGGTTTAGGACGCATGGTACAAAAGGACAACAAGAAAAAGTTGGCTGCTATAGCATTTCCAAAAGAAGACTCTGGTATTCCCCAGGACATTTGTGCCACCGCCATCAATGACAGCAAAGTAACATATTTTTTATCAAATTCCTGTAATCCATATACATTAAAAGAAGGAAAACTCACAAAGCTCGATGTGCAGACTCAATACAATGCAACTACCCACGGAGTCGATCTGTCAGGACAACTATCATCAAATTGTCGGTCATATCCCCATCGAAAAAGCAAATACACACATGTTAACATATTTGCGCAGTTGGATCGTGCAATGGTGAATGCATATTGCATCTTCAAATCCCTTGAAGGCAATAGCACATACCGATTTTGTGATTTCACTCAAAACGTGGTAAGAGAAAAGCTTGGCTTGCAGGAGCCTATTCAAAAACAATTGGAACACTTGAATCCAATTACATCAAAAGTATTCCAGGATCAAAGAGATAGGATTAAACAACTGGAACAAGAATTGGCTACACAATCCACATACGTAACCAGTGGAAATGGAGGCCAATATGCTCCCACTTCTGCTGCTGCTCCTCAAACTGTAGTCCACGCATTGGTTCAAGGTGATCTAAATCCTTGTCAGTATTGCAAAGTCCTTGATGTAAAGCGTAGAACAAGAACCACCAAGACTTGTTGCCAATGTAAAGTTAACTTTCACGATGAATGCTATCTTATAGCACATCTCCCAGAAAACAAACTGCTTCTATCGGCAATAGACATCAACATCAACAACAACGACAAGGATAACTCCGTTCATTCCATCCATCCATCCATTCATCCATCCATCCACCAATAAATAGTTATAAATAAAACCAAAAAAGAAGATAAAAAAAAAGGTATATCTATACTATAGTAACATGCAGCTAGCTAGTGCGATAAGAGACACAGGTCAGGTAGTTGAGTGTAAATGGACCAATGCTATGATCGATAATCGTGGCAGATTTAAACATACAAAGACGCAACTGCGGCAATATCTTTAAACAATGATAATTTACTTGAACTGCAACTTAGCTCTGTATCTCTCTGCATCAAGAGTGGATTGGAGGAGCAAATAAGTACAAGTAACTCGTGAATGTTATAACAGCAATAGACTTGGTGTTGATTCAGTACTTGACAATATTGTGAACTCTTATTCCTTATCCTTTCTTGTGCATTTGGCACTAACGAGCCACAAAATACAATGATATATCTATATATATAACTATATACTATATGTTCTAACTATACTATGTTCTATCTCTTCATTTATCTTATACTTTATCTCTTTTATTGACTCATAATAAACTTACTGTGGCTTGGTTGGTGTTCTAAAGTCTGCCAACCGACAATTCCTAAAATGGAAATTCATTTTTTTTTTATTTTTTTACTACCCAATTGGGATAGCTGCTGAACGACGCACCTAGCACCCACTGCGCACTGCCATCGACTTGACACACCCTCTATTCAAAGTGTTAATCAAAAAATTATTTGGACAATTATTAAAACGTTTGGAATATACATTTACAAATCAACCAAACAAGGATCAAATGAATTTACTTGGGATGATATATAGGGATGCATTGTTAAGATGGTTCCAACAAAAAAAGTGGAATTTATTAAAACAACTAGTAGCCGACGACACATTATTCCATAAAATATTGACTCTTCGAGTATTGGTATCTGCCAATATGCACCCAATCGAAAGAGACAGGTATCCTAGGTGTAGATAGCGCAAGTGGTAGAGAGAGATAGAGTGTATCAAGATGATAAGACAACAACAAGACAGAGCAAATATGAGGGGAGAGATATGAGATAATATACGTATGTAGTAAGTAGATTATCGAATATGAGTGTTTAATCTCATATTTATAGACAACACGTGACGGAGTGACTACGTCGTGTTGTGGTAGTTAGTTCCCCTGATACTAACTACTCTTGTTTATTTAAGAATGATAAAAGGTTGGATATCATACATTGATACTTTCCTATATATTTGGTTACTTGAATGGATAATACTCTGGAATCTTCTATCTATGATCGTTGCTCGATATAGCATAGACTACAGGTTCTACACTAGGTGCTATAATGATTGTCCGGAATTTTATAGAATTTATTATTTGGTGATCAATTCATTAAAGAAACAACATAACACCAACAATCTATTTATTAAATTACCGACTAGCGCCAACATTTCTTTCAGCCTTTTATTTAGTGATGAATTCAATCTAAATTAAAATAAGAATAAACAATATTTAAATAGATCAACTATTTTTTTTTTTTATCATTTATTAAAAATCTGCCATATAGCCGTTTGTTTTAGGAAAAATATCATTATCCTCTGGTAGTGGAGTGATGTTTTCCAATGGTTTTTGATCAGATTTATCATGAACGATAAATTCAACAAACAATACTCTTTCAGCATAGAATTTGGATCTAAGATAGTATCCAGAGAATGCAAGTTCCAAACTTTCAGTGTGCATCAATTGACTCCATGCCATTCCACTGTTTTTGTAAGTATTGTCCACAACTCCAAGTACATCACTGATAGTTCTATTCATTCTATTTTTTCTCGCTTCAACCGACTTTTCACTGTAGGCTTTATAGATAGCTTCTTGGTCATCTCCTTCTTTGAATTCAGGGAATGGTACTTTAGTTGTGTCACGACAGTTTAATGTGGTTTTGGTCAATGAAGTGGTAGTCAAAACACGAACCTGGATCTTTCTCTTGCCACCCTTGATAGTGACTGGAAGATTGGATCCTGGAGTTGGATATAACCCATAGCATCCAGATACTGGTTCAATACTCCCTGGGAATTTACGGTATCCCTCCATGTAATCTTGTTTCTGGCCTGGGTAGAAATAGGCAGCATCGACACGATAGATGTAGGCACGTTCATGATCCGGAAGTTCGAGTGGGCTGCAATAAAAGGTTCTATTTTCAAATGATGTATTAACAGGTCTCTTTTGTTCTGGATGAATTAAAAGTTTGACTGGGTACCACCATGCATCATTCTTTAACAAGAGGTGTCCGTTTTGGTAGAAATCTGGAATGTCATCTGCATTGGCTTGCAATGCACCAGCTGCAATATCATTAATACCCTTTTGTAAAGTGATATGCATTCTCTCTCTCAATGATTTAACTTCACCTCCATTTGCATTGGCAACCTTTCCACTGATAAAATATTCATCAACTTCTAATTGATACCACCATGTCTAAAATAAAAAAAAATAAAAAATTATTAATAATTATTTTAAATTTGTATTTATATAACAACATACATTTAATACATTCATTACTGAAAGGTACATGAATAAACTGTCTTGATAAATCTTGATAGTATCCTTACGGAATCCCTTTGATCCACAGAAATGGATGATTGTCTTCAGTTGAACTCTTTGAAGTTCCAATGCTTCTCTGACATAGGTTTTGAGTGTAGGATTTGCCTTTCCATCTTCTGCTAAACGATGTTTGAGTGTATTAATCTTGTCTTGAAGGATGGGAGCAGAACTAACAATTCCATTAAAGAATGCTTCACAAATGTTTTTCCATCTTTTTAAAACAAGTAAAATAAAAATAAATTAGTATTGATTTGATTAATTTTATTTTGATATACATACGTTTTAACTTCACTATCTGCAATCTTTTTATCCATGATACCAATCATTTCAGTTTTAAATTCTTCTAATCTCTTGTCCAATTCTTCTTGGGTGACTGGTTTCTTCTTTGGATCAGCAGGCCAAAATAATGAGAATACACTTGCTAAAATTGGACCTACTCCTGGTACACATTCACTATGGAATAATTAATAAAAAAGTCTAGAAATAGTCCCTATTTTTGACTTGAATCAAAAACATACAGAGCAGTAGAGATACAAGAACCAATGAATTCAGGATCAGTCAATGTCTCTTCCAATACACCAAGTGGATCTTGAACAAAATTGACAACGATACTAACATCAATCACAGCAAGAGGATTCTCTTTTAATTGATCTTGGAAATCTTTGGCCTTTTCTTCCATGTTGTCTTTGGTCTTGTCACCCAAGGCTTTTGCCATTTTACCAAATTTGCTAACTTTTGGCATGATTAAATCTTTTTAAAAAATAATAATGTATATTTGTTAAAAGTATGTTTCAATCAATGAAAAAATTTTTGATTAAATAGTTACCTCTTGTAAACTCTCACACTTTTTTAACCATGAAAACAAAACATTAGTAGTTTGCCAATTTGTAGTTTGGAACCCCACTGCTCTTAAAAAAGGTCTGAAACCCCACCGCTCCTAAAAAAGGTCTGAAACCCCTCCCCTCTTAATTCATATTTTTTAAAATTACAATTAAATTGTAGTTTACCTCTTTTGTAAGTTGACCATCTTAACTTGACCTTTAAAAAATGTAATATTAGTCAAACCTACATTTAATACAGAGATGTACAAGAATAAATTGTCTTGATAGAATTTGGCGCCATCCTTTAAGGAATTCTTTTGATGCACAAAATTGGATGAGCTTTTGGAATAAACAACAATTTTTTCTTTTTTATTTATTTTGAAGGTAGATAGATATAGTCTATTAATAGCCATGGAGGGGTTCCCAAGCTGGTTGATCAAAATCATCGTTGTCAGCGGGTAGTGGAGTGATGTTGGACCAATGGTTTTTGGTCAGACTTGTCATGAACGATAAATTCAACAAACAATACTCTCTCGGCATAATTTTTGTTTCTAGTGAGCATGTAAGCTCCGAATCCAAGATCAAAGGAGTTAGTGTGCATCAGTTGACTCCAAGCAAATCCACTGTATTTTGTGTATTGAGAATCGACGACTCCAAGAGGATCACAAATAGTTCTGTTCATCGTTATTTGTGGACCTTCCTGTTCATCATTTTCGTAGTCTTCAGGGATTTCACAGTACAGGGTGGTTTTGGGCAAAGAACTGGTCGTCAAAATACGAACTTGCACCTTTCTCTTGCCACCTTTGATAGTGACTGGAAGAGAGGATCCTGGAGTTGGATAGAGACCGTAGCATCCAGATACTGGCTCGATACTTGGTGGGAAATTACGGTATCCCTCCATGTAATCTTGTTTCTGGCCTGGGTAGAAAAAGGCGGCATCGACACGATAGATGTAAGCATTCTCGAGGTCTGGAAGTTCGAGTGGGTTGCAATAAAAGGTTCTATTGTCAAATGATGTGTCAACAGGTCTCTTTTGTTCTGGATGAATTAAAAGTTTGACTGGGTACCACCATGCATCATTCTTTAACAAGAGGTGTCCGTTTTGGTAGAAATCCTTGATACTATCAGCACTAGTTTGTCTGGCACCAGCAGCAATATTGGAAATACCTTTTTGTAAAGTAATATGCATTCTTTCTCTCAATGATTTGACCTCACCTGCATTCTCATTTGCAGCCTTTCCACTGATAAAGTATGGATCGACATCCAATTGATACCACCATGTCTAAAAGAAAAAATAATAAAGAATAAATTAATAAATTATTTATATTTTTTCAAACTATTCATTAAAAATGAATAGTCTATCGGCATTAAACATATAACAACATACATTTAATACATTCATGACAGAGATGTACATGAATAAACTGTCTTGATAGAATTTGACAGTATCCTTTTGGAACTCTTTGGATGCACAGAATTGGATGATTGTTTTGATTTGTACTCTTTGAAGTTCCAATGCTTCTCTGACATAGGTTTTGAGTGAAGAGTCAGCCTTTCCATCCTCTGCTAAACGATGTTTGAGTGTATTGATCTTGTCTTGAAGGATGGGAGCAGAACTAACAATTCCATTAAAGAATGCTTCACAAATGTTTTTCCATCTTTTTAAAAAACAAATACATAATATTATATAGTTAACAATTGTTAATTTACTGACTATTAAAGTTAATGTATTATATACATACGTTTTAACTTCACTATCTGCAATCTTTTTATCCATGATACCAATCATTTCAGTTTTGAATTCTTCTAATCTCTTGTCCAATTCCTCTTGAGTGATTGGTTGTTTGGCAGGATCGGCAGGCCAAAACATTGAGAATACACTTGCTAAAATGGGACCTACTCCTGGAACACATTCACTATTATATTCATATATAAAATGATTAATGATATCAAAAGAGAGGAGAATATTTAAGATTTTGATTTTGTATGTACATACAGAGCAGTAGAGATACACGATCCAATGAATTCAGGATCAGTCAATGTTTCTTCCAATACACCAAGTGGATCCTGAATAAAGTTGACAACAACACTAACATCAATAATAGAAAGAGGATCCTCTTTTAATTGATTTGCAAACTCCTCTGCCTTTTCTTTCATGTTCTCCTTTGTATTGTTGCCCACTGCCTTTGCAAATTTACCTACTTTCACCATCGCTTTGTTGTCTTATCTAACTTGTTGATTTATCTATATTATCTCTATATATTGAGTAAAAGTTATTAAAACTAACTGCTGCTCTTGTTAACAAAAGGACCAGGAGGTGCATACAAGTTGTAGTTTGGTCAATGAGAAGTGCTTTCAGCTGTCGTACAATTGACACCAACCAACCCACTCGTGCACCACTTGGGTTGAGGATCGGGGTGGTTCATTAATTAATTAATTAAGTTAATTAATTTACTATGAATCGAATTATTGGTGATGTCGATCTTGATTGATGGTGTGGGAGATATAGAAACAAAGATACTTTGCTTTCAAGTTCGAAACGACAAAAGTCAATGAACGAACACCCGCGAAAAAAATGGTTGGGGAAGTTATATATTTTAAATTAAATTAATCATCTAATTGGGTTATATATATATATATAAACCCAACTCACATCCAAAATAAACAGAAAGGAAAGGAAAGGAAAGGAAAGGAAAGGAAATGGGGTGGGTGGTTTTGGTGAAGTTGCCAAAGAGATATCACCTCTCTCTCTCTCTGATATATCTTGATTGTAAATGTCATTCAAATTTTATATAATTATTATTGATAGTAAGTCATTTAAAAAATGAATTTTTCATTGTCTTCTGGGAGTGGAGTGACATTAGTTAATGGTGATTGATCAGACTTGTCATGAACGATGATTTCAACAAACAATACTCTTTCCTCAAAGAATTTGGGTGAAGATGGTGATTTGAAGCCACTGAATTGGAGTGATACATTGTTGGTAAACATCATCTGACTCCATGCAAATCCACTGGTATTGTAGTGGTTATAATTGCTGTTTTGGTCGACTACTTGAAGTGGATCACTGATCTCTCTGATCATGGCCGATCGATGACCCAATCCAGAAATATTTGGACGTGGGGGACTGTAATTATCGTCGTCAGTGTCAAAGACGGTCAGAGTGGTCTTGGTATAGTTGGTGGTTGTCAACACACGTACTTGCACCTTTCTCTTGACACCACCTGGAATAGTGATGGGGAGGTTGGATCCCATAGTTGGGAACAACCCGTAGCATCCAGATATTGGCTCGATGCTATCAGGGAAAGTACGACCTCCTTCCATGTAATCTTGGTTCTGACCGGGGTAGAAATAGGCAGCATCGACACGATAGATGTAAGCATTCTCGAGGTCTGGAAGTACGAGTGGTTCACATCTAAAGCTTCTATGTCCAAATGATGTGTCAACAGGTCTCTTTTGTTCTGGATGAATTAAAAGTTTGACTGGGTACCACCACGAATCATTCTTTAACAATAAATGTCCATTTGCATAGAATTCCTTAATATGATCTGCATTGGCTTGCAATGTCATTAATACCCTTTTGTAAAGTAATATGAATTCTTTCTCTCAATGATTTAACTTCACCTGCATTCTCATTGGCAGCCTTTCCACTGATAAAGTATGGATCAACATCCAATTGATACCACCATGTCTTTTTAAAAAAAAAAAAAAAAGAATAAATTAATTATTTATATTTTTTCAAACTATAGTTCAAAAATGAAAACAACATACATTTAATACATTCATTACTGAAAGGTACATGAATAAACTGTCTTGATAGAATTTGACGGTATCCTTTTGGAACTCTTTGGATGCACAGAATTGGATGATTGTCTTGATTTGTACTCTTTGAAGTTCCAATGCTTCTCTGACATAGGTTTTGAGTGAAGAGTCAGCCTTTCCATCTTCTGCTAAACGATGTTTGAGTGTATTGATCTTGTCTTGAAGGATGGGAGCAGAACTAACAATTCCATTAAAGAATGCTTCACAAATGTTTTTCCATCTATTTAATTTAAAAAAAAAAATTAATATTAATGGACGGATTGATGATATTATAATAGATGACATACGTTTTAACTTCACTATCTGCAATCTTTGAATCCATGATACCAATCATTTCAGTTTTGAATTCTTCTAATCTCTTGTCCAATTCCTCTTGAGTGATTGGTTGTTTGGCAGGATCAGCAGGCCAAAACATAGAGAATACACTTGCCAAGATTGGACCGACACCTGGAACACATTCACTATTATAATATTCATATTTATTATATTGTTATATAAAAGAATAAAGATGATTAATATCAATATATGTAAATAAAAGAGAGAATAATATTTATATTGAGTACACATACAGAGCAGTAGTAATGCAAGCACCAATGAATTCAGGATCAGTCAATGTCTCTTCCAATACACCAAGTGGAATTTAATTGATTACCAAACTCTTCAGCCTTTTCTTGAATGTTGTCTTTGGTACTGTTACCCAGTGCCTTTGCTAATTTACCTACTTTAACCATCTTTGATGCTATCTATCTTGTTGATTTATCTCTATAGAGTAAAAGTAATACTTGTTTAAAAAGACAAGAGAGAGAGAGAGAGAGACGATAGCTGCTAACAGTTTGGAAAACAACAATTTAACAAACTTGTAGTTTGGTCATGAGACTTTGTGACAATTCATCTGTCGGGTTGTTGGCAACCTACTCTCGGTGCGCCACATGTTGTTTGAGTTGAGGGATCGGGGTGATTAATTAATTGAAGCCTAAGCAATGAGCCAATTCAGATATGTATGTGCTGCAACCATTCATTGCTTTACAGTGATCGTATTCGCAAATATCCTATACGTTGGTGGTATCGAGCTCCTCCTCAATTGATTGTGGAGCAAGGATATTTTAAAAGAACAAAAAAAAGTAAACATAATCTTGAACTTCGCAAAGATGCTCTTCTCCAACTTTTCTTTTATTTTTATTTATATATATTTTTTGCAGATGCGAACCTCTCTAACTAGGGTCTACTTCTAATAATAATAAATAATGTTATATTACAATTATAAATTTATAAGAGGATGAAGAGTAATAATAATGATAGATTGGATGGATTATTAAGATTAGTATTGATTCAACACAGGTATCTTGTAAAGACTGTGTTTGATTGGGTACGTAGAATACATAGAAAACATGCAAAGATAGACCCAACCTATTGCTACAGCTTCGATGATGTGATGGGACTGGTCAAATACCAAAACTTGAATCTCTATCCTCGACTGTACTCTGTGCAGTTGATGCGTGATATAGTACGTGCCATCAACCCGCAATTCAATCGGGTCGAGATTGACAAGTGTGTCTTTGCGCCAAAAGAGTATAAGCCTAAAACAGACTATCACGTATTCAAAACATCGGCCGAGTTTATGGGTGCGCGTATCACAGACACCGAGACAATGGATATAGCCTGTAAAAAGGGTCTGTTGAACGGTGTCTTTACTATTGATTTCGCATCATCTCATCCCAACGTGTCACTAGACTACTTTGCACTGTATATAAGGAATAAATGGATCAAGTGGGAGTCCATGACTTTGACACGTCTGGTACAAATACTAGATAGCAAGGGAACGGACGCTGCATTGTTTGTACAAACGTTGTTCAAGGAGGGGTCGCACTTTGCTCGATTTGGATCGACTGTGTTTAATATAGAGCATATCAAACAGCTGCCACATATATGTCCGTACTCGGGTGACGATAACCCACAGTATATAACCGATGCCATACTGGCGGATAACGACACTTTCTACTTTCACCATGTTCTCAATACCGATGTTGTGGAACAGGTTGCGAAGGCATTAGACCGTGTTGGTAAAAAGGGACATGTGCACGTGCTCGAGTGGCTAGCCAACAACATTGCCTATAACCTTGCAACGGGCGAGTACCTCGGTCTACTCATCTACATCAAGTACCTAGAGTACAGTCCTCGCGGCAACAGTGACCATACCAAACACCTCTTTGCCAAATTACCATTCCCAAAACAAAAGGTTGATTTCATGCTCACCTTTTTCTATCGTCTTGCCTTTACCTATTGGCTCAATGGTAAACGATACGACCTCCTCGCAATGCTCCATCAAAAGTATGGTCCCGAATTACTCTCACATACACTTGTCCCAAAAATCAAGAAAACACCAATCTTTGGAAACGACCCAGCTTTCCAAAGAATTTATAAACAAACGATCAATCAATTACAATCACAAAACAAAAAGACAAAGACAAAAGAAGAAAGAGAACTCATTATCAAACAATTTAATCAAATCGATCATAACAAGAATAATAATAGTAACAAGAATAATTATTTTAATAATGGATTAGATGAAATATTTAATTTTTCAACAAATAATAATAATAATAATAATAATAATCAAACTTCTTCTTCTTCATCATACCCATTATCTTTAACATTTACTTTAAAAAAAGCTTAACATTTTGTATTATATTTGTAATAGATATTTGTAAAATAATAATAAACAAATTAAATTGATTAATTAATATATCTCTGACCAAACAAAATTAAAGAGAAAACTTTAAAGAGAGAGAGAGAGATATATTATTATTATTGAATATTTTTACTTATTTATTGAGTGAAATAGGTAATTTAATAATCTTCTTCTTCTTCTTCTGGAGCAGCAGAAAAAAAAACTTCATTATCAGCGGGAAGTGGAACGTCGGTCAATGGGCTTTGATCAGACTTATCATGAACGATGAATTCAACAAAAAATACTCTTTCTGGATAGTATTTGAATTGAGGGAAGAATCCAGAGAATCCAAGTTCCAAGGAGTTAGTGTGCATCAATTGACTCCATGCCAATCCACTGTTAAGATAGGTAGTCTCGACAACTCCAAGTGGATCTACGATAGATCTGTTGAACTTATTCTTTCTTGTTTCATAATCATAGGATTGAGTGTCACAGCAGTGCAATGTAGTTTTGGTCAAAGAAGAGGAGGTCAAAATACGAACTTGCACCTTTCTCTTGCCACCATTGATCTTGATTGGAAGAGAGGATCCAGGTGTTGGGTAGAGACCGTAGCATCCAGATACTGGCTCGATACTTGGTGGAAAATTACGTCTACCTTCCATGTAATCTTGTTTCTGGCCTGGGTAGAAATAGGCGGCATCGACACGATAGATGTAGGCATTCTCGAGGTCTGGAAGTACGAGTGGGTCGCAATAAAAGGTTCTATTTGCAAACGAGGTGTCAACAGGTCTCTTTTGTTCTGGATGGATTAAAAGTTTGACTGGGTACCACCATGCATCATTCTTTAACAAGAGATGGCCATTGTTGAAGAAATCTGGAATCTCATCTGCTTTGGCTTGTCTGGCACCAGCTGCAATATCGGTAATACCCTTTTGTAAAGTAATATGAATTCTTTCTCTCAATGATTTAACTTCACCTGCATTTTCATTTGCAGCCTTTCCACTGATAAAGTATGGATCGACATCCAATTGATACCACCATGTCTTTTTAAAAAAAAAAAACAAGAATAAATTAATTATTTATATTTTTTCAAGCTATAGTTCAAAAATGAAACAACATACATTTAATACATTCATTACTGAAAGGTACATGAATAAACTGTCTTGATAAAATTTGACAGTATCCTTTTGGAACTCTTTGGATGCACAGAATTGGATGATTGTCTTGATTTGGACTCTTTGAAGTTCCAATGCTTCTCTGACATAGGTTTTGAGTGAAGAGTCAGCCTTTCCATCCTCTGCTAAACGATGTTTGAGTGTATTGATCTTGTCTTGAAGGATGGGAGCAGAACTAACAATTCCATTAAAGAATGCTTCACAAATGTTTTTCCATCTATTTAAATATAATAAAAAATAAATTAATTAATATTGATTGATATGATATGATATATCTTGTACATGATAGACATACGTTTTAACTTCACTATCTGCAATCTTTTTATCCATGATACCAATCATTTCAGTTTTAAATTCTTCTAGTCTCTTGTCCAATTCTTCTTGAGTGATTGGTTGTTTGGCAGGATCGGCAGGCCAAAACATTGAGAATACACTTGCTAAAATGGGACCTACTCCTGGAACACATTCACTATTATATTGGAATTATTGATTAATAAATAGAGCATTCACTGCCTATTATTTAACTATTGAGTACACATACAGAGCAGTAGAGATACAAGAACCAATGAATTCAGGATCAGTCAATGTCTCTTCCAATACACCAAGTGGATCTTGAACAAAATTGACAACGATACTAACATCAATCACAGCAAGAGGGTTTTCTTTTAATTGATTACCAAACTCTTCAGCCTTTTCTTGAATGTTGTCTTTTGTACTGTTACCCAATGCCTTTGCTAATTTACCTACTTTAACCATGTCTTTGTTTAGAAACTTCTATTTGTTTTGATTTATCTATTGAGAATGTAATAACTAAAATGTATGCTTCAACTTGACTCTTTTAAATCAATAAAGAAGACATTGGTTGGGCCAAACTACAACTAACCAAAATGTTAAGTTTCGGTTTTGGTTAGTTCTAGTTTGGTCAGGAGACTTTATGCTCCACATTTGAGAGATTGGGGTGTGTGTTTGTAAATTGACCATGATCTTCAAAAATGAAATTAATTGTGAGCATACTTTGGAGATATTTTCAAACAAAAAAAAAAAAAGAAAGGAGCTATGAATCCAACTAATAATACTCTTTCGGATTACTGAGTACCTCTCATGAGCGTGGATCCAATGAAACCAATTTCAAGCGTGTATCAATTGAATTCATTCCAAGCATATCCACTAGCCAAGGATTTGGAATTTAAGAAACCAATTTCTATCGTCTTGCCTTTACCTACTGGATCAATGGTAATCAATACGACCTCCTTGCAATGCTCCATCAAAGGTATTGTCCCGAATTACTCTCACATACACTTGTCCCAAAAATCAAGAAAACACCAATCTTTGGAAACGACCCTTCTTTCCAAAGAATTTATAAACAAAAATAATAATAATAATAATAATCAACCTTCTTCTTCTTCTTCTTCTTCTTCATCATACCCATTATCTTTAACATTTACTTTAAAAAAAACTTAATAATAAACAAACAAATTAAATTGATTAATTAATTTATCTCTGACCAAACAAAATTTTATTCGAATGATCTTGAGATATTTCTTTTGCAATAGAATCAAATTAAAGGTCTGACATACTATGAATGAAACAATGAAGTGAAATGAAACCACCTTACTCTTTTAGTTCGGAACAGAGAGATAAATCAATCAATCATCGAGATGGTATACATACAATTTTTAGGTGATGAAGGTGTTGGAAAGGCAACTTTGATAGAATCATTACTTGACTTTAAAAGAGATGATCCTTTATTCCAACAAATCTATGTTGATCATACCCCAATACCTTTTAAAAGTAAATGGACTACTACTCCATTTACATTACGAGTTGTATGTATTCACAAATCAAATCAAAGTGTAAAATGATCTATCTATCTATGTTCTAACCTCAAACCTTTTGTATTTTATTTTAGTCATGTCAAAGAACTTCAAGTAATAGAAGTAGATATAGATCAAGTATAGTATTTGTGGTTTACGATATTACAAGTCAAAAGTGTTTTGATAATCTATCGACATGTTTTGAATTGGCAAAAGGTACTCTTGATGGTAACATTATTGTGTTGGTTGGTACAAAATCAGATCTTTATCATAGACGTGCAGTACCAAAACAAAAGGTAATCGAATTTGCTCAGTCAAATGGTATCTACAACTATTTCGAGTCAAATCATAATGACCCAAGACACGATCTATTAGAGCAAATCCTATTTGATGATTTCAACAAATATGAAATCATTAGACTACATTCATCACAACGTGATTCAATTTCTCAAATTTCACCATTTAATCTTATTTATTTTAATCAAAATCAAATTCAAAATAATCAAAATAATCAAAATAATAATAATCAAAATAATAAGATTAAGGTAAATGAAATAATATTTCAAAAAGTATTTAAATCAAAAGTATTGATTAATAATATTTGGAGAATGGTTATAGAAATTCATCAAATGTTGGGATTGGAAACAGTTAAATATAATTCTGACAATGTTGACTTTTGGGCATCGAATCGTTACTTTGGTCATTGTACCGAGAAATATTTACAATTTAAATATGTGTCAAGACAGATGATTACATTTCTTCGTCGTCTTAAAGACAGTGATGTCGAGTTGGTTGATAGCTTGGTCAATCTCTACAACCTTCATGATTTTCAAAGTTCACGAGCCATTGATGAAACCATTGCTAGTGGATCATTTGATGTGGTTCGTCATCTCCATCAGAGTGGATTTAATTGGTCAATCTATGGTTTCAAATTGGCAATCATCTTGGGTCACGTCGATATCTTGAAATACATAATCGAGTATTCCAACCCAATCACCAAGCAACCCCTCGAATCTGTCTACTCGGAACCAAAGTCAGAGGCTGTTACTCTATTGCCTTTTAATCCACTTCGAACTACTCTCTGTCTAAACATCTCGACATATATGTTACAACAAGGCTTGGTATTGGCTAAACATTATAATCAAAAGGATATGACCCTATTCCTTACCCAATTATTAAAACAATATTAAAAACTTTTAAAATAAAAATAAATAAAGTGTATTTATTTCATATTATTCTTTATTCTTTAAATTGATTGATGTTGGTATGTTGTGTACTTGTTGAGCCGTTACTAAGGGTTATAGATGGAACTCATAACTTGGTCAACCGAACTTGGACTTTTATGCATACCATCTATAACCCATAGCAACTGAGGGGAAACAAACCCACTCGAGAGCTAAACGAAAGAAAAGGATTGGTCAAAACAACATTTGTCTAAAACCTATACCAACTGACCAGTTATAATCAAAAAGTTGATTTGTGTATCTACAAGATTGAAGTACCTATATTCAAAACTAAGAGAAGCAAATTAAGAAATTAGTAAAGGTTAGAATGGGTCGAAACTTGGAATTTAAAAATCACAAATCGACCACCAAACTATAGGTCCAAAGATTTAAAACCCCATCACAGATTTCGACTTAAATAGTAATGCATAGTACTTATCACCGTTTTTTAATTTATCGATACCAAAGTCTTTATATGTTTGTTTTAGAAATGCCAACTCAAACTACATTGGAATGGCTAAAAAACAGATTCCTTTTAACGGCTATAAAGTATACTAACTAACTGTAATATAGAACTTTGTTATATCTATCAATAAATAATGATGAAAAAATAGTTAACAAACAAATGAAGTTTTTATCATCACATCAATTCTACAAGATTCATCATCTTGAATTAAATCATTTTCCAAAATTTTAACATTCGAACTTCAATTGCTAACAATTACTTTATATTGAAAAAAGTTCAACTTTTTTCATGAACCCCTGGAGATTGTCATATGCTCTTGATTAAATTCGATTCGATTGAATAAATAGACGAAGATAAAGTAAGCTGATTATGATTGGTGGCATCATTCGGTCAATCGACCTATAGAAAATGATTGACTATTTAAAGATGAGCATTTCAACATGTTTACAATTCACAAGTCACATCAACCAACTTTAATTAATTAACCAACCCTTTATACAATATTTCCAACTCTTATTTAAAAATCCACAATCCTCCTTGCTGTTGTTGCTACTAATGCTGCAAGTATGTATTTTGATTAAATAATTAAATATTTATAAATATAAATTCAAATGATTAATAATATTATTCAATTCATAGTTACAAGTGTTGTTCAAGAAGGAAAGAAACTAACTATTAACTATTCACCAATGACAATGATTTGGTTTGATAATCAACTCATCAAGAGTGGATTGACAACCAATATTGCACCATATTGCAAGGCATGTATGGATGGTCTCCATTGGTTTGCAACTTACCAACTGTCCAATCTTGTGATAGTATCCGTCTCTATGGTGCAACTGGTATTGGTGGTTCAAACATTGAAATGCAATATGCCTTTAATTGTACTGTCGTTGTTTAATCTCATCAACACCTAATTCAATTGAATTATTCTGAAATAAACTATTTTAATTATTTAATATCTCTATCGTCATTGTCGTTGAAGATTAGGGCTCTGACTTGAATAAGCATACCTCCCAATCAATGATCAAGTTCTTGAGGGGGGTGTTGCGCTTTCAATCACCCAAATGTGCTTGAAAAATCCACATTTGTGAATATTTGCCCAACAACTACCCAAATATCTTCAAACATCATAACTTGAATGACATAATGATCTACCCCGGTTTAAAATAGTTATACAACCCTTTTTTAATAATAACTCCTACTTAAAGAATAATGTGAGGGTGATTATTTTAGATGCTCAACCCTAACCCTCCTTTAAACAGTATCACCAATCCTTTAGATCCTAAATAATTAATCGATACAATCATTCCAGTATTATCCATGGATTAAATCTACTTTGACAAAAGGATATAAAAAGGATGGAATTTGATCTAAATGAATACCAAATCATCAAACAATATTAATAATCTAATAACCAAATTCACAAATCCAAAATGTTTAAATCATCAAATATCATTTTCACCATAACCATTATTCTTTTATTGTCTAGTGTTGCTCATGCTGCAAGTATGTAAAATTAACTATTTAATTAATTAATTATTTATTTATTATTTTCCTTTATTTTTAAACCAAAGTTACTAGTGTAGTACAAGATGGACTAAAACTAACGATAAATTATTCACCAATGACAATGATTTGGTTTGATAATCAGTTGGTAAATAATGGATTACAGACTAATATCAAGTCATATTGCAAGGCAATGTATGGATGGTCTCCATTGGTTTGCAACTTACCTGTAGTTCCAACTTGTGATAGTATCCGTCTCTATGGTTCAGCTGGGGTTGGTGCCACTAACCTTGAAATGTTATCCACTTTTAATTGTACTGTCGTTGCTTAATATATTAACGAAACCTTTTCAAATATTCAAATATTAAAGTTGTAAATAAATAATAAATAAATTAAACCCATTTAATTAAATGTTCGAACTTGACTAATTTTTTGTGTGATCTTCACTTGTTGTTTGGTTCAAGATATTAGAACAATAGTTAGCACTACACTAACCATCGTCATAATAATCATGGTATAAGAATAACTCAGCACAGTAACAACAATAATAGTAATAGTACGTTGATGACGTAGAGAGGAGGAGTGTATCAAAGATGCTAATAATAATAATGAAGCATGTGACTATTATTAGAGATTGTCGTACATCGTCACAATCATTATGTATTGTGCAAACTGATGATGATCATGTGACACACCTACATACACCCAGACAAGGGTTTAAACGCAAAGTCTTTGAATACTCATAGCCTATGGTGATCATGTTATCTGTCCACAATTGTCTCTGTTAAAAACAGCGTCAATGACACCCCACCCAATCAAAAGGTTGATCCCGAATTAAAAGATGTGCAACACTCTTGCCCCACACACAACGTCAGCATTGCCCCTCTCCTCTCTCATTGCTCTCAATAGACAACAATCACATTGTAAGTTTATTAGGTATCTAACCATATTTGGATAATTACTAATTATAACGACATTCATTATGCTCTTCTCCACATCTTTCTTTCTTGATTTTGAATAGGGAAGTCAAGTAATCACTAAAAATATGGACTCCTCCTCTTCTACAGCAATGGATTAACAAAATGTGGGTTGTAACTCATTCAATGATTCGTTGTTGGTCATGACAAGATTTTTGCGAATAGTTGACTAGCGCCAGTAAACTATAAATATGTCTGAATCATCCAACAACAACATTCAACAAAACAAATAATCAACAAACAAATAATATTAAATAATAATAATAATCGTATTAAAAATATTAAATAATCCAATAATATAATAATAATATTAAAAATGAAATTATCAACTCTATTCATAACATTGCTATTGATTGGAGTAAGTTTTTCTCAACCAGATGTATCGAACTCATACCTTGGTGTTGGTGATACTGGTGTATCCTATTTCCCATCATACCTCAATTTACAGATGCATATTCGATGCTATTCCAATGTGACTGCTGCCAATCAAAATGGACCTATTGCTCTGTTTGATTCAGGTCTTCCATTCTTCTCAACAGCATGGGTACCAATCATCCCATCGGTACTTGCCAATATGCCATCTTGGAATATTAGTAAAGCTTGTTTTGTGGATCGTTACGGATACGGTTGGTCAAACTCGTCGACCTATCCAATCACCACTCAAGAGTATGTTGTTCGTCTTCGTGGTTCACTTCAAGTGGCTGGATTAACTGGAAAGTATATCTTGGTTGGATGGTCTTGGGGAAGTATTTTTATTCAAACCTATTCATTGACCTATCCCAAAGAAGTAGTTGGAATACTCAGCATCGATGGAACTGATAGTAAATGGGGATTAATCCCATCCAACCAACAAAATGTCATCACACTATCCGATGCAGTCAAAGGATATATCAATATGAATAATATGGGTACACTTGAACCATTGGCCAGATCAGGAATGGTTGGATCCTATTTTGGATGGTTACCAGATGATTGGTCAATTCTGGATACACTCAATGTTCATTGACAGCATCACAAGATATATTCTTGGACAGTACCAACAAATTCCTCAAAACAGCCATTCAAGAATACAACATTATGGTGATATCATCAGCCATTCTCAACTTTACATACACCATCAAATCAACTCCAACACCACTCAAAGATCTTCCCTACATCAATATTTACAGTTCCTATGTCGAAGATCCAGAATGGAGTAATCGTCAAACATTGATGACATCACTCTCAACCAACTCACAATCGTTTGAATTTACAACAGGACATTACTTCCCATTCCACAACCCAACAGCCATTGTATCAGGTATCAATGCACTCGCCAACAAGATTAAATCAAATCCTGCTCAATTTTGGGGTACTGCATTATTCTAAAATTTTAATTATTATTATTATTGATTAAAAATATTACTGGAATATTCTAAATAATAATTAATATTTTAATCAAATACATGTACTATAGCTTCAAATGGTTAGATATTGATCTCTAAATCTTCTTTTAAATAAATATTTATTATTAAAAATTATTTTAAAAAGAAATCACTTTTATTCATTTATTAATTTACTCTTTAAATCTTGAGTATGAATAATGAATCATCCAAGTCGGTTCTGCCAAAAACTTTGAAGTAAAGACTGTTTAATGTATGTAACCTCAGTCCATCAGACTTTCAAGTTTCGATTGTTTAAGCTACATGAAAGTAAACCTAGAGAAACTTTAATAGAAAAGATGAAAAAAGAAATAGACCAAAGTTTAAGATGACATTATAGTAATGGCTATAATAAATCAACTTACCAAAGTCTTATTATTAATATGTACCAAACTCCATCGCAACAAAATTTTTGAAAGATCTATACATATATTACAATTAATTGAAGATCTATTTTAAATAAAAGTGAACAACAACTTTTTCATGGTCCTTGCTAGCAACTGTTTTTGTGCCTTTTTTTTTTTTATTTTGGAGTGTGTAGTTTCAAAAGATAGCTGTTTCTTAAACCAACCTAATCCTTTTTTAAACATAAAATAAATTAATTAAGCAGCAGTAGCCACAATAGCCTTGTTATACTGTGGTAACAAGTATGATGATTCCAAAAATTCTTCCACAGGTGTTTTTGTAATGATGTACTTGATAAAAGCAGCAATGATACAGATTCCACCAAGTACCAAAGCAACAGGACCACTCCAAGAGGCACCAGCCACCAAGATGGCAATGGAAGCCAGGTTGGCGCCGAGTTGAACGAGGTCGCAAGCCAATTCTCCCCATTTAGCTTCTTGGAAACTTTTAACGGCATCCATAGCATTGATAACGACTGCAATGACAATCAAGGCAGGGCATACTCTAAAGCTGAGGAAATTGTTAAAGGTTGGTGCAAACGACCCCTTCATGAGATTGAATATACCCGATAGGACCTTGGGTGCCTGTACACCGACTTTGTGGATTTGAGTTGCAATCACTTTAGAAAGAGTTGCAAAAGGCGATGTAAATGCCTTGTCTGCCTTTCCAAAAATAGTAAAAGTGTCAAGAGCAATGGTCACGAGATCGGCTATAGCTTGAACCTTTCCTACAGTATCGGCCGATTTGAAATTGTAGAGACCGTAAAAGACCGAGATGGCTTGGCATCCTCTCCACATTCCCATGCAAAACTTTAAGCAGTATGGTACCTTTTTGAGTGGGCCTGTTGACTCTTTTACAGAGGCCTCCATTGCGTTGGATTCCATGGTTGGCATTTTGAGTAGATCGTCGTATTTGGACACGTCAATGTTTTTGAGGTATGGTTTCATACGGTCGTTGGCATTCTTGATTGCCATGCCAAGTTGTGTTTTAACACCTGCCAAATTTCCACAAGCAGACACGGTATCCTTGAATGTTCTATACATATCCAATCTCTCACCAGACAGTTCAGATTCCTTTAGACTGGCAAGATGGTCGACAGCAATTCCAATTTGCTTTTCCAATGCTTTTTTTTGCTCGGGTTTATTCTCCTTTCCAGACAAGATATAAAAGAATGCATAACTTGAGCTGTAAAGGTGGGTTGTTACAGCTGTTGATGTCTTTCCACTTGGATCAAGCATATCTAATTTGTTTCTTGCCTATTTAAAAATAAAAAAGTAAAAAAAGTAAATCAAGATTAGTAAACGTATTTGATTATTATTAATTAATAATACATACATTTGAAATCATATAATCCAAACTATTATATTCTCTTGGTAAATTGGCAATAAGATCAGCTTCTTTTTTGAGACCAGCATTTGCAAAGATATCAGCAATCTTTTGAAAGTTTTGCTCCTTTTGGTATTGTGCCTGGATGTTTTGAATCCAAATCTTGGCAAATTCAGGTGATGTTAGATAATAGTTTTTCAACTCTTCGGTCCATTTGGCTGGATTGTCGTGGATGTACAATGCCATCCATGGAATATACATTAAAAATGCATAATGATAAATGGCTGATGTTTGTTTAACATAAATTTTCTAGAAATCAAATAAAATATATCAAATTAATATTAATGTATTAAATACGTATACATGATCCTAATATGTTACGTACCGATGAAGTCATGGCTTTAAGATCAGCTTCAACGACCTTTGTTTTGATTTTACCAGTTGTTTCTTCACTGGCCAAGTAATGGACATAGAGAGTTGCATATTTCTTGTACCATGCGACAACCTTTGCACTCGATGATATCTCCAAGAGTCTATTGTCGAGTGCTGGCTTGTCCCACTTCATGAGTGATCGTAAACCATCGTCCATGTAGTAATAGACAACATCGAGGAAATACTTGTCTGAAAGCTTTCTAACTTGGTCAGTGTAGATGTCACCATTTTCAAAGCAAGAATACGATACAAGATTAGCAAGACTTTTGGTTTTGTTTTGAATGTACTCTGTGGCATAAAACTTGACATAGTTTGCAGCACTTGCTCTCATTTTATCATAGAATGCATCTAAAATACAAACAATATAATTAGTATAATTATGACTATCAATTATGATTATTATTGTATTACATACCAGAGAATGGTTTAGCCTTATCCTCTAAATCTTCATTTGCCTTTACCTTATCCTTTGTTAATGGTTGATAATCGCGTAGTTGTACAATCATCTTCTACTTTGATACTAACTATGTTGTATTTATAATTATAACAATATAAATTGAAGTTGGTTTAATGAAACTGAGACCCTCCAAGGAAGGATCCTTCAATTTATAGTCAGCTATTCCATCGCTACGTTTTAAACTCCTCAGACAGTTTATCTACTTTAAATGGTATGATCCAATCAGCATCACGTGCATGTGAGAGGTGGCGGTTATCTCAGTGTGCACACAACGACTAAAAACAGCAATGTGTCACCTCGTGCGACAACACAAATATCTCTAATTTGTAGTTTGGTAGGCTTAGGTCTCTTCCTCAAGGAGGATTGCGAGCTCTTGATGTGTTTGAGTTAAGATAAAGTTATAATAAATAAATAAATACAAATAAATAAAAAAAAAGTGTCTAAGAAAAATTTTCTTATTTTGGTGGTCTTTAAAATTTGTTAATAATTAAAAAGAAATCTTTTATTAATTTATTCTTCAAATATAATATAACCTGAGTATGAATAATGAATCAGACAAGTCGACTTGGATAAGGGTTCCACCAGTTGCGAATTTCCAAATTTTAGATGACTTGATCACAAACAAAAAGGAGTTGGTCACTCCAAAATTTGGAAACTCGGAACCAAGGTGAATCAAACCACTATGGTGAAAGCACAGTAAGTCCAATTTGTTTCAAGTGAATCATTTGTCTTTGACAAGATATTTGAGAGCAACATGAAGCTAAAACCTAAAGAAACTAGAAAAGAATTGATTATAAAAATATTGGGGGAACTATAAGACTTGGTATCAACTTTGTTGGTACCTGCTCCGTATTACATCCATTTTTTGGTAAAAATGGATATCAGCTACCAATGACGAGTTGGGATAGTTGTTAAGAAGAACCAATTGGTAGGCAAAAAGATTTGATAGCAATGTTCATCCTAGGGTAGGATAAAATAAAAGATACAAATGAATTCATTGTAGAGGATCTTTCAAAGAGGGTGATGCTTCTTGAGTTCCCACCAACCTTTTTTAATTAAATTTTTTTGTCCTCTCCAAGTGATCATGGTCATGTGTACAAACAAGCTATTTATCTACACCACCACGATATGAAATATTAATCAAAGCCAAGAACAAAGTGAAATTAAAGAAAGGAAATGATGATGGGTGATGAGAGGAGAGTATCAAAGATGCTAATAATAATGAAGCATGTCACTATTATTAGAGATTGTCGTACATCGTCACAATCATTATGTATTGTGCAAACTGATTGTAATTATGTGCATGACACACAGACATACAGACAGACAGTGATGTTCGCTCATTGCTCATGACCGATGGTGATCAAGGGGGTTGATGCGCTTGGCTTGGCCTGTCTCGGATAAAAACAGCGTCAATGACAACACCCCTGCCCCCACACAACGTCAGCATTGCCCCTCTTCTCTCATTGCTCTCAATAGACATAACCACAAAGTAAGCATATTATGTATCTTGCCATATTTGGATAATTACTAATTATAATGTCATTCATTGTCTTTGAATATCCTCTTCTCCACATCTTTCTTTCTTCATTTTGTAGGCAAGTCAACTATAAACTAAAAATATGAAGGTTGCTCACCCATCCTCCACCCTCCTCCTGTCATGCAACAATGGATTAACAAGATGTGGGTTGTAACTATCATTAGCAAGATTATTGCGAATAGTTGACTAGGGCCAGTAAACTATAAATATGTCTGAATCATCCAACAAAATATTCATCAACAACAACAACAAAACAAATAATCAACAAACAAACAAATTATATTCATCATCCACATATTTAAATTATTTAATAATAATAATAATAATTTTAAATAATATCCAATAATTATTAATAATAATAATAATTAAAAATGAAATTATCAACAATATTAATAGTGGCTCTATTGGTTGGAGTAAGTTATTCTCAACCAGATGTATCGAACTCATACCTTGGTGTTGGTGATACTGGTGTATCCTATTTCCCATCATACCTCAATTTACAAATGCATATTCGATGCTATTCCAATGTGACTGCTGCCAATCAAAATGGACCTATTGCTCTGTTTGATTCAGGTCTTCCATTCTTCTCAACAGCATGGGTACCAATCATCCCATCGGTACTTGCCAATATGCCATCTTGGAATATTAGTAAAGCTTGTTTTGTGGATCGTTACGGATACGGTTGGTCAAACTCGTCGACCTATCCAATCACCACTCAAGAGTATGTTGTTCGTCTTCGTGGTTCACTTCAAGTGGCTGGATTAACTGGAAAGTATATCTTGGTTGGATGGTCTTGGGGAAGTATTTTTATTCAAACCTATTCATTGACCTATCCCAAAGAAGTAGTTGGAATACTCAGCATCGATGGAACTGATAGTAAATGGGGATTAATCCCATCCAACCAACAAAATGTCATCACACTATCCGATGCAGTCAAAGGATATATCAATATGAATAATATGGGTACACTTGAACCATTGGCCAGATCAGGAATGGTTGGATCCTATTTTGGATGGTTACCAGATGCATTGGTCAATTCTGGATACACTCAATGTTCATTGACAGCATCACAAGATATATTCTTGGACAGTACCAACAAATTCCTCAAAACAGCCATTCAAGAATACAACATTATGGTGATATCATCAGCCATTCTCAACTTTACATACACCATCAAATCAACTCCAACACCACTCAAAGATCTTCCCTACATCAATATTTACAGTTCCTATGTCGAAGATCTAGAATGGAGTAATCGTCAAACATTGATGACATCACTCTCAACCAACTCACAATCGTTTGAATTTACAACAGGACATTACTTCCCATTCCACAACCCAACAGCCATTGTATCAGGTATCAATGCACTCGCCAACAAGATTAAATCAAATCCTGCTCAATTATGGGGTACTGCATTATTCTAAATTTAATAATTATTAATAATTTAAAATTCAAATCAATTTATACGTGTTGATACAATGGCCTTGTATTCGCAACGAGTACTACGACGCGACATACAAGACTATTTCAGTTTTGTCGAGCCAACCAGTGTGACCAGTAGACAGTTTGAGACTGCCAGTTGGCGATCTCCACTTCGTTCACAATCTAAAACAATCATACTCTAACATTGGATATATCCAAATCATCTTTTAAATAAAACAATAAATATTTATTAATTAAAAAGAAATCTTATATTAATTTATTCTTTAAATGTAATGTATCTTGAGTATGAATAATGAATCAGCCAAGTCGGTCGTGAATTTCCAAATTTTAGATGACTTGATCACAAACAAAAAGGAGTTGGTCACTCCAAAATTTGGAAACTCGCAACCGAGGGGAATCAATCAATCTCTTTGACTTTCAACAAATATGATCCACAGATTTTTAGGTAAATATATTTAAAAGCAACATGAAACTAAAACCTAGAGAGACTAAAAAAAGAAATGATTATCAATGAATATGCGGGGGCAAAAAGACTTGGCATCAAAGTTAGCAGTCCCTCCTACATATTTTTAGGATATGGAATCCATGTATAAAAAACATTAGTAATTGTTAGTAGAAGATTGTTTCGAGAAAAAAATGGATATCACCTACTGATTAAACTAGATACAAAGATCTTTTTAATATTATTCTATACATACAAAAGTTTATTTTTGCTATAATACAATAAACTTGGTTAACAAGAACTACAGTTTAAATATCTCTACATAATGCACCTCTACACAAATAAATGGAACAAGAAAATGAAACTCTTGTGGTCATCAACCCATTTTGCCTAAAAAAAAAAAAATAATAAAAAAATAAATTATAAAAAAAAATTTTAATTACAAAAAAACTAGTGTTGAGTGTTGTATCTTTATTGACTAGTTTATACTACCAAGGTAACGAATGGCAAGAACAAAGCAGGAGGAGAAGGTCGACAGGAAGAGACCTATTTCAGAGGTGGTAGATGTTGATGAAGATGATGCACCTCCCACTACCTTTACCAAGCCGATGAGACTTGCCAAGAAGCAAGCAATCAAACAAGTAAAGGGCCAAGTCAAGACACAAGAATTGAAACAAGAAAAAAAGAAACCAAACAAACCAAAGAGACAAAAGAAAGAGGAAAAGAAACAAGCAAGAGACCTCTTGTTTAGAGAATTTGATAATGTATCGTATAATATGATGATGGTTGGGTGGTAGGGCGGTAGTGATAGCATAGTGATCATTATTAATGATGACTCACCATCATCATCATCATCATCATCATCATCATCATTAATCATTAATATCTAGTGGTTAGCCAATCATATTGAATACAATGGCAACAAGAAGATGTCAAATGCAGAGTTGTGTGAACAAATAGATAAGGTTCAAGGTTTGCAACAATTTACCAAACAGCTCACTACTCGTAGTTTAAACGAGAGATGTTTAATCGATAGTGCATATTATAGATTGAAATGCTTTTTCAAGAAGAATCGTCTCAGATATATTCGTCGTCGTGGTATTAGATACCTCCACCTTTCAGTAAGTACATATAGAATAATAATAAATCAAGAATGTTTTAGTTGGGAGAGAGAGAGAGAGGGAGAACCTTTAGTTATACATTTTTGTTTGTTAAAGTTCAAAAAGCCAACAACAACAACAACAACAACTTCAACTCAAACCATTACAATGCCAAAAGGATTGGGGCAACTTCAAATCGTTTATCCACACTCTCCATCTCTCAACATTACCGTCGTAAAGGTAGAGAAGGAAGAAGAAGATGATGATGATGGAATTACCAACAAAAGCAACAACAACAACAACAACAACAACATTGTGTTCAATACACAATTCAAATATCTTCAACAACAAATCAATTTCTCAACAACACTGCCAATGGCAATAATACCAACAATATTGTAAAGATTGAAGATTAAAGATAAAGGGTAGGTTGGTTAGAATTCCACACCCCCCACACACATTCTTGATTTCAATAATACAAAGAAGAATTCTTTTTAAAATAAAGTAAAGTATTGCAATGATGATCAATTTCATTATCATAATTCAACATGGAATTGATTTATTATCTCTATCGTCTGATGATATTTAGGATCAACAACAACAACTATCATTGGATAATAATATGGAAACATTATGGTGAATGAGTGTGGTAGGGTTAAAAAAAAAAAGTGGAATTTCTCATCAATTTAATGGTTCCACAATCGATAATACCAACAAACAAGAGGGTTGCACTAAATTTTCAAAAAAGAAGAGTAGGAGGGGGGTGAAGATAGCTGACACTTTCCATAATGATATTGGTGGAGTTGATTGATTGATTGATGATGATCTAATATTACCAATGATTTTTCATCTTTTTAACTGTTCATTCATACTACCCTACCTACCTACTTCCTCCTCTTCTAACCCTTCTACATTTTTTTTAACTACCTCTTCGTCTGATTAATTAATCAATTTAAAAGTAAAAAGGGTGATAGGATAGATCTATCCTATCACCTTTTGTTATTCGAAACATATAAATACATACTTTTTCAAAATGATCCATTAATAATCAACAGTTCAACAACAAAAAAGATGAAATCCAATTCTAATTATAACTCGAAAATCTATTTACTTTTAACAATAATAATAATAATATTTTTCTATTTATTAACTTTTACAAATGCTGGAAGTATGTATAGAATTGTAGACCAATCAATATTGATTTAATGTGTTGTTTATTCTCTTTTCTTTTTTTTTCAAGTAACTAAAGTAAAACAACAAAATAATACATTGACAATAGATTTCCTACCACAAATAATGATATTGTTCCAACAACAAATGATCGATGATGGCATGATCATAAATATCAAACCATTTTGTAAATCAATGTATGGCTTTAGTCCGTTGGTGTGTACCTTTCCACAAGGTGTACCATCTTGTGATACTCTCCGACTCTATGGAGCCACAGGCATTGGTGGAACAAATCTTGATATGAGATTTCCATTTATTTGTAATGTAACAACAACAACAACAACTGACTAACTTGAAGTTTCCGATATTTTAAACCAAAAATGGTTAATAATAATAATTATAAAAAGTTAACCAAACTATATTTGTACTAATAAATACTGATAATAAAATAAAATAGCCCATTCGTGGAGGTGACAACCTCTTTAAAAGAGAAAAGTAATCTCATGGTTTTTTGATTGCAATTAAAAAGAGTCAATCACCTTCAAAAAAAATATCTTTTTTTACAAATCCCCATCTCGATTTGGTCATTTTTTAGTTCTCGTTAAACACATATATCTGTCAATCGATCATCAGGCATGGTCATCAAGGATTAAAGATGTTCAAGAGTCATTTCTGCTGTTTTCCAAAAGACTCAAACATGTAAAATGGTTGGACAAAAAAGTTTTAAAAGGGAAAAGTATAAATAGAATCCTCTTAGAGTTTATATAACCAATCAATCAATCAATCAATATCAACCAAAATATTTAATTTAAATTATTTCAATGACACCAAAATTAATTTTAATATTTGCAATTTTATTTATTTTTATTTCAATTTCCAGTGCTGGAAGTATGTATCAATGCAATAATATATATATAGATTCCAAATTAGTTCATTATTAATTAAATTTTCTTTCTTTACTAGTTACGAGTGTAGTTCAAGATGGAAAGAGAATAACTATTAATTATTCACCAATGACAATGTTATTCTTTCAAGAACAATTAACTAAAAATGGAATGAAGACTAGTATACTACCATATTGCAAGGCTTTGTATGGATGGTCACCTTTAATTTGTAATTTACCAACTGTCCCATCGTGTGATGGTATTAGACTGTATGGTGCTACTGGTATTGGTGGTACTAATCTTGAAATGTTATACAATTTTAATTGTAATGTAACTGCCTAATAATGCATTCATCATCATCATTATTCACAACCATGCATGAATACTTTGACAAAAACAAAAATAAATTAATAAATAAATTAAAATTCTTATAAGACACTTTAGCAAAAACGACTCCATGTTCATCATCATCTTCAAATTTGACAGAGAGATATAAAGAGATATAAAGAGAGAGATAGATAATATATAGAGAGAATGATTAATAAACTAAAAAGAGTATTTTATGAAATAGAAGATGATGATGAAGATAGTAAACAAAAACAACTGCAACAACAACAACAAATTAAATCATCATCATTATTTCATTGTCGAGTAGCAGATGATTTAATGGATTCAGTTGGTCAAACTCCTTTAATTAAAGTATGTACATACATACATACTACTAGTAGTTAGTTAGTTAGTGTTAATATACTTATATTTGTTTTTAGATACAAAGTTTATCAGATGCAACAGGATGTACAATACTTGGTAAAGCAGAATTTATGAACCCAGGAGGTAGTCCAAAGGATAGAGTAGCTAAATCGATTATATTGGATGCAGAGAAGAGGGGATTATTGAAACCGGGTGTATCGACGATTGTAGAGGCTACTGCGGGTAGTACAGGTATATCATTGGTCACCTTTGCTAAAAAGAGAGGTTACAATGTCGAGCTATACATTCCCGACAATGTATCAAAAGAGAAGATTGAATTGCTAGAGATGCTCGGTGCAAAGACAAACATTGTACCGATTGTAGGTATGAACAATGCCAATCATTTTATGCATTGTGCCTATCAACGTTGTCTAGTCGACGAGAATGCATTCTATGCCAATCAATTTGACAATCTATCAAACTTTAATGCTCACTTTTATGGAACTGCCAAAGAGATTTGGGAACAAACTTCAGGAGGTCACATAGATGCTTTTATTTGTGGTGCTGGTACTGGTGGTACTATTGCTGGTATTTCAAATTATTTAAAATCAAGAGTAAACAGAGAAACAAAAGAGATTGATTGTATATATAATAATAATAATATAGGATATTAATCATTATTTATTTGTTTCTATAGAATAATTTAATAGAAACATGGTTAATTGATCCACCAGGATCAGGATTATATAATTTAGTACAAAATGGAGTGATATTTGATGTTAGAGATAGATTGGTAGTAGATAAATTTGGACCGCGGTCATTCTATGAAGGTGTAGGTGTCAATAGAAAGACAGAGAATTTTAACAAGGCTGTATTAAATGGAGCGTTCAAGGGAAGTGAAATGGAAGGTGTCGAGATGGCACACCATCTATTAAAACAAGATGGTTTGTTTTTGGGAGGAAGTAGCGCTCTCAACTGTGTGGGTGCCGTCAAATTGGCACGTAAACTTGGGCCAGGTAAAACTATTGTCACTGTCTTGTGTGACTCTGGTCATCGTTATACTAGTCGACTTTACAACAAACAATGGTTGGAAGAAAATAATTTACAATTATCAACTATAAATGATGATAAACATCAAACTTTATCTTTTGTAGAGTAGAGTAGTAAAAAAAAAAAAAAAAGAATTCACATCTATTTGTATTGTATTTATAATATTGGGAGGATGATTGTTTGTTGAGGAACATCGATTGCTTTCCAAAGACTAATTGAACCCAATACAACAGCACAGGAAACAACAGTTGCTATAGAGTATTTGGCAGGTAAAACATACCCTCTTTTAATATATGCAACTAAATAATAATTTCTAATTGATCCTAATATTGATATTGCCAATCCTGCTGCAAAAAAGAATATTGATACTAAATAATATATAAATAATAATAATTAATATTAATATATTAATTATTATTTAATATTATATATTTGACATACAAAGCATTGCATTTTGGGTATACCCTAAACGAGATGAAAGACCAACACCTGCACTCATAATACTAAGACCTGTTCTGAGATAGGTTGCCAATAATCGATCGGCAGCTGCTAAATCTTCGGGTATGTATAATGGTGGTGGAGGTGGTTCTATTGTCTTTGGTGCTGATGATGGTGGTGTTGGTGGAGGCGATCCTAGTGTTGGTGTAGTAGGTGATTCTTTTAAATCAGATTTAATGACTGTTGGTGGTGAAGATAGAGTCGGGGTCGTAGTTTCGATTAATGAATCAATTCTACTTGGACATCTACTTGGGAATAATAAAGTCATTGGTGATAATAATTTAGGATATCTTTCAATTTCTGATTCTTCTTCGTCTTCTTGATCTTCTGACCATTCTTCCTCCTCTTCTTCTTCTTCTTCTTCTTCTTCTTTTTGATCGATATATTTAACTTTAATTTCATCCATTTCTATATCACCATTTTCATCTTGTTCATCTTCATCATCTCCAACATATTGATCTTGTTCATCGCCACCTTGTTGATCAGGTGAATGTTTTATATTATATTTATGTTCCAATTTACGTAGGAATTGTGTATTGTTTGATGAATCTTCATCATAGAATCCACCAAGAAAGGGATAGTTATAGACCAAGTCGGTTGGGTCAGTAACATTCTCTAATATTAGGTCGTTGTACAGTCGATCAATTTCATCGTCATCCATGTCATCCAACACTCCCAAATGCTCTTCGATTTCGTAATCGTGATCACTACCATATTCTTGGTCTTGATCGTTTAATGCATATCTATATTCATCACTTGAATCATCATTATCTTCTACTGAACATGTTGATGATATATTATTATCATTCTCTACCTCTTCTTCTTCCTCTTTATCATCATCCTCTATATTTTCATTATTTCTATTATTATTATTATTATTATTATCTTTATTCATTAGATATTAATATTCATATTGAATGAATTATTATTGTTATTTAACATAATAGTGAAATTTAATGAAACAAAAGAAAGAAAGAAATATCAAATACAACCCTTTTTTTTGAATAATAACTTTTAGTATTCAACGACGTTTCTTTTTACTCATCATAGTAATAGATTATTATTATTATTATGTATTATGTAGCACAACCACAAATGAAATATTGCAAAGAGGGATAAGAATGATTACTTTACTTCTTCACTCACTTTTAAAGTATCTTACTAAAGTTCAAAACAACAAGAGAAGATTCTGACCCACTCTCTCTTTCTTTCTTTCTCTCTATCATCAATGATGACACCAACAACAGCAACATGGTTGGTGGTATAGATATTGATATCTGCTTTAAAGAAGATCATCGACATGGCTTAATTCAAGTAACCTTTTAGTTGCCTTGCTCTTTTGTTGGTTGGTTTGACAAATTTGCTACCTACCACGTGGAGGCTGATGGAATCACTGTATGTAAATATATAAATATATATAAAATAATTATTATTATTAATTGATTTACTATTTATTATTTAAAAAAAAAAATGATGATTTTAGGAAATGAGAGTTGTATATCACTTAAGAATGTCAACGTCACCACTTGGAGCAACTATGAACCAATTTGTAGGTAATATGGATAATAATGTCTATCTTGCCTACAATGACCATGCACTACGTGTCAATGCAAAAAAAAGACTCTATGTAGACAAAAGTTTCTATAGGCATGGAGCTCACGAAAAGGGTTTCCTTGGATGGAAGTCAGAAAGGATAAAAATGATCAAGAGACTGGTGTAAAGAGTAACTATATAAATATAAATAATATAAATTTGTATATATTCAATGAGATATATAATCACTCACTCATTTATTTATTTATTTATTTATTTATTTATTTATTTATTTATTTATTTATTTATTTATTTAATTATTTTATAGAGGGTTTATTACTCCAACATTCATTACCAAAATGGCCAATTCAAACAAATCCAGAGGACCAAGGTTCCTTTAATGCTCCCTATTCAACTTATGATGCCGACTTTTCAGCTGCGACAAGTGGCTCTGATTTGCAAGATGGAGACAAGAAGAGAGTGTCTCCCTTTTTTGGTTGGAACCAAGAATTCTTTGGTATTAATCTAATGTCATATATTCGTTACGGCTCTTCTACTTATTCGGTATGACCCAATTTAATTTACACCTTTTTTTTTTATTGTTTATTAATATATCGATTTCTATTTTTAGAAATTAAAAGAAGGACCCCATTACACTACAATGATAATTGATGATAAGATAACTATCAGTTATGTTTCACAGCATTCTCCAAAGGAATCAGAGCCTCGTACCCATGAAACCAAACATGTCCAAGGACATATCACATACACCAACAACTTTTATCCAGGGGCAGAACTCATGACAACAGCCATCAACAAGCCAACATATCTTTTGTTCAAACATTGATAATTCAGAAGCACTGGAAAAAATTTTGAAGTTATTATCATCCCTTGGTGGCGAGACTAGTACCAAGAAACTGTTGGCATACATTCTACAAAGCCAAGGAGATACACTTGCTGAGAAATATGCCGAGTATGTTGGTCGTGATGACGACGGTGGTGATGACAGTGAAAAGGAGGAGGAACCTGATGCCCCTATTGAGGATGATGGTGAGGATGATGGTGATGACGACTGAATGGATCAAAAAATAAATAAAACAACGATAGATATAAATAAAACATAAAAAATGGCTGGGCGAGGAGAGGGTGCCTCTCTTGGCTGGGAGAATAAGCAGGTATGTATAAATAATTAAATAATGTTAGGGGCAACTTTTAATTAAATATTATTATTATTATTATTTTTATAGGTTGTTGATAGATCATTTACAAAGTATCGATTGTCATATTAAAAGATCATCCAGTAACGATGAAATTATTTAGGGATACATTGAAACCACCAAAGATATCAGCTGGGATGGCTGTGGTTGAGCCAGCTGCTCTTAGTCAATATCAAAAAGATTTATTGGCAAAGATAAAAGAGACTGATATAGTATACTCAAGAGATAGTAATGATAGTAATAATAATAATGATGACTGTGATAAAGACAAGGAAGATATAAAACACATATACAAAAACACTTTAAACAAATTATAAATAAAAATAGTAATTTAATTTTAAAAGATTCTAGAATCTATGTTTACATTTTAAATTACTACTATGGGGTTTATAGATGCAATCAAACAACTGAGATCAAAAGAAATAATAGTTGAAATGTAGATGATGGAGACTTTAATGACCCAAAATACAAGCAAACCCAAAGAAATAATATAGTTGTATGGTATGATAACATGTGTGATAATGATGGAGAGGATGATGTTTGGTTCAAGACTCCAATGCAAGTATTTAATGAATTTGGTTATGATCTAAAAATGGAACAAAGTAGTCTTCCATTTTGCGAGTCTTCAATTCCAAGAATTGAAAATCTTTGGGATCTAACACAAGCTGCCCCCTTTCATTATTCTTTTGATTTCTACATTGAAGAAGTAGATTTAGATAGACAATATATTTAATTAATGGAGTTTATACCACCTCTAATACAATCTATAATAATTAGAAGTATATATGATCAACAACGATGCTATAACTTGTTGTTTGTTTGTAAACGATGGTTTCGACTCATTTCACAACTACCAACATCGATCATCATAACCAAAGACAAAGACAACCTTAAACATGTATTGGATAGTTTGCAAGATTATAAGGGAGAGTGGAACGTTTCAAAGAACATCACCAAGCTGTACTGGGACGGGACAAACGGGCCACCAAAGGGTTTAAGTAGAAAGGAATCATCCGATCGTATCATACGACTCAAACAAGCACTTGGTGCAAGCCAAACAATCACCACATTGTCACTAAGCGCATATGCAACGGAAAAGATCACATTGTGGAATGACTTTATGCTCCCGCCCAACCTTGTTCGACTCGATTTGGTGATTTATGCGAACAAAGAATTCAGTGACTCTGCTGCCAACAGAGCTTTTGCACTCTTGCACAGAGCATGTACCACCATTCCAACCTTTACCAAAGCCATTATCCGTGCTGACAATGGTGCTCGAGACCCTTTGATCCAAGAATCAATTTATTACACCAACCTTGACAAGCTGTCCAATCTGACACATCTCACATTTGATGCCGAGTATTACGACAAGGACCCAATCACCAATTCAATCTGTGCCTTGACCAATCTCCAATCACTCGATATTCCCCGTAGTTGTCGTCCGAAAGATCTTGCCAAGATACTAACATCGTGCTTACACATCCGAAAGCTAGGTATATGTGATGATAGCAGTGATGATACCGAGCTTATTGAAGCAATGACAAGTCATCCATCACTTGTTCATCTCCGACTCTATGACTTCTACCGCCAAGAAGATGACCAAAACAATCTTGTACAATTCCTAAAGACAAACAAAAAGATTACAAAGCTTGGATTCGCCTTTAATAATAGTATCAACAGCATTATAAATGCAATACATTACAATGACAACATTACCACTTTGGAGCTACAACTATTCAACTGTGATTATTACAAGAGAGATTCATTATTGGCGTTGATGGAATACTTTGAACAATCAAAATCATTGGTTTGTCTAAAGTTGGTTGGCATTTATCCTTTTCATAAATTTAAAGGTAAATCTTCAATTTATGAAATGCCTTCTTATATGCAAAACAATATTATACAACCTCCTCCTCCTCCTCCAACAACAATTTCAACTACAACTATGAACAAAAAGGATGTAGTTGTGGTTGATCTTGATGGTGATGATGATGATTGTCAACAAGTTGTTAAACAACAAACTTCAACACAACAAACAACAACTAATACAATTGTTATAGATCTAGATAATAACAATGATAAAGATTGTCAAATATTGGAAATCAAGAATACTAATCATAATAATAATAATAATAATAATAATAATAATAATAATAATAATAATAATAATAATAATAATAATAATAATAATAATAATGGTGATGAAATAATTGATGAAAATACAGAACGAAATGATGAAGCAAGATTTATTAAATCTATATTGGATAGAAATCTACAATCACTAGGTGTAAAGGAGTTGGTAGCATCACCAGCCATCCTCGTCAATCACTCCAATATTCCACCAAAATGGACATTTGAACAAATGGCTATTTACCGTAACGCCAAAAATATGGTCAATCCCCATCCATCACAACAATTATTATTAGGTGACTGATATAATCGATATCAAAAGAATGCTAGTATGGTTTCAAATTGTATTTACCATTACTATACAACCTATAAATAAATTCCCTTTACATAAATATTGGTTGGTGGGTTACTTGAATGTCTAGTATTTATATTTAAATATATTTACACATGTCAAGGTTACACAAATGATCATATCACATGTGTGACTATGATGGGGATTTATTGAAAATTGGCAGATAACAACAACTCTTCTGATGCTGGGACAGTAAAAGTGGCAGAGGTACTGTACAAAACACGTGATCCAGAGTCTTGAGAGAAACATGATGCAGCGCATACATAACCATAGGCCTTGTAGTCGCCTGCTGGCCAAGTAGTGGTGGAGACACGGATTTGAATTTCCAAAAATTGGTTTGGATCGTATCCTATGAGGTAATCGTTGGAGGTGATGTTGCCTTGTGGTCCTGCAATAACTGTTCTCATTTCACCATAGTTGATATAGGAGATGACATTGATGGACGAGGTGACGTTGATCTGTCCGGTTGGCAACATCTCGGCGGCAAAGAATGACAAGTCTGCAGCAGCACCGTCATTGTTACCTTGGCACTGTTGAGCGACTTGACAATAGTAAATGGGGTCTCTATCAACCAAAATGGCGGCAACAAATTCCTTTACGCCAAATGCATTACATGTAGTATTACATTCCTTAATTGTGGTTCGATCTGGTAATTGAATACAAATTTGCTTTCAAAAAGATAACAAAAAAGATAAGTAAACAACAAACTTATTATTGTAAAGATTGATTGATTGATTGCTATGAATACTTACTCCACAAGTAGCAATGTCTGAACCACCAGTTGTAGCAATGTCATAAAGTTTATTGTATGCAAAATTGATTGATGAGACGCATGTCGAACATGGAGATAGGCCGTCATCGGAACTTGATGAAGAAGAGGATCTTTCTATCTCTGCTGCTGAGCCACTGACTGTTGTTGCAACAAGTGCAATCGATGCAATGATTAATAAAACAGATAATAACTTCATTCTATTTCTCTCTGTGTGTATGTGTATAATATATAATAAAACAAAGGCCGCTGTTGTCTTTTATGATTCATTTCTCTCTCTCTGCATTGTGGCCTTTACCGTTGGAAACCATGGTTTCCCTGTTTTACTGATCACTGTACGACGAGCAGACATACGTTGGCGAGCTGTGGGGATGAAATTTCATGAAAAATTTTCTTTTTCTTTTTCTGGTGATTTTTTTTTATGAGAAACCTAGGGCTCCAAGTACCAATTTCGAGCTTTGTTTTGAGGATCAAAGAATATTTTGCAAATCATAGGTAACTGTTAATAATAATGTAGGGGTGATCTTTGAGTGGTGTTGGGGTTGAGAGATATTAAATAATTAAAATTTATTTGAGAATAATTGTGGTTGATGGTTTAAACATTGCAAGTTCGATTTAGTACACGAATATATAAATTGATTTGTATTTGATTACAAATATTAATTAATAATTAATTAATATTTTTAATCAATAATAATAATAATTAATTAAAATTTTAGAATAATGCAGTACCCCATAATTGAGCAGGATTTGATTTAATCTTGTTGGCGAGTGCATTGATACCTGATACAATGGCTGTTGGGTTGTGGAATGGGAAGTAATGTCCTGTTGTAAATTCAAACGATTGTGAGTTGGTTGAGAGTGATGTCATCAATGTTTGACGATTACTCCATTCTGGATCTTCGACATAGGAACTGTAAATATTGATGTAGGGAAGATCTTTGAGTGGTGTTGGAGTTGATTTGATGGTGTATGTAAAGTTGAGAATGGCTGATGATATCACCATAATGTTGTATTCTTGAATGGCTGTTTTGAGGAATTTGTTGGTACTGTCCAAGAATATGGATTGTGATGCTGTCAATGAACATTGAGTGTATCCAGAACTGACCAATGCATCTGGTAACCATCCAAAATAGGATCCAACCATTCCTGATCTGGCCAATGGTTCAAGTGTACCCATATTATTCATATTGATATATCCTTTGACTGCATCGGATAGTGTGATGACATTTTGTTGGTTGGATGGGATTAATCCCCATTTACTATCAGTTCCATCGATGCTGAGTATTCCAACTACTTCTTTTGGATAGGTCAATGAATAGGTTTGAATAAAAATACTTCCCCAAGACCAACCAACAAGGATATACTTTCCAGTTAATCCAGCCACTTGAAGTGAGCCACGAAGACGAACAACATATTCTTGAGTGGTGATTGGATAGGACGAAGAGTTTGACCAACCGTATCCGTAACGATCCATAAAACAAGCTTTACTAATATTCCAAGATGGCATATTGGCAAGTGCCGATGGAATGATCGGTACCCATGCTGTTGAGAAGAATGGAAGACCCGAATCAAACAGAGCAATAGGTCCATTTTGATTGGCAGCAGTCACATTGGAATAGCATCGAATATGCATTTGTAAATTGAGGTATGATGGGAAATATGATACACCAGTATCACCAACACCAAGGTATGAATTCGATACATCTGGTTGGGAATAGCTTACTCCAATCAATAGCAATGTTATGAATAGAGTTGATAATTTCATTTTTAATTATTATTATTATTAATTATTGGGTATTATTTAAAATTATTATTATTATTATTTGATTATTTGTTGCTTTGTTGTTGTTGTTGATGATGAATATTTTGTTGAATGATTCAGACATATTTATAGTTTACCGATTGTCAGACACCTGACGCTAGTCAACTATTCGTGACCAACAATGAATCAATGAATGAGTTACAACCCACATCTTGTTAATCCATTGCTGTAGAAGAGGAGGTGGATGGATGACCAGGCTCCATATTTTTAGTGATTACTTGACTTCTCTATTCAAAATCAAGAAAGAAAGATGTGGAGAAGAGGATATTCAAAGACATTATAATTAGTAATTATCCTAATATGGTTAGATACATAATATGCTTACAATGTGATTGTTGTCTATTGAGAGCAATGAGAGGAGAGGGGCAATGCTGACGTTGTGTGTGGGGCAAGAGTGTTGCGCATCTTTTAATTCGAGATCCAATCATTTTGGTTGAGGGTGTTGTCATTGATGCTGTTTTTATCAGAGACAGGCTAAGCAAGCGCATCGACCCCCTTTGATCACCATCAGTCATCGGTTATGAGTAATCAATGACTTCCTTGCGTAGAACCCTTGTCAGGGTGTATGTAGGTGTGTCACATGATCATCATCAGTTTGCACAATACATAATGATTGTGACGATGTACGACAATCTCTAATAATAGTCACATGCTTCATTATTATTATTAGCATCTTTGATACTCTCCTCTCCTGTCATTTCCTTTCTTGTACTAATACTATTGTTATTGTTACTGTGCTGAGTTATTCTTATACTATGATTATTATTATGATGGTTAGTGTAGTGTTAACTATTGTTCTAATATCTTAATGAAACAACAAGTGAAGATCACACAAACAAAAAAAAATTCGAAGGTTTAACACTTAATTAAATTGCAAACCAATGGAGACCATCCATACAATGCCTTGCAATATGACTTGATATTAGTCTGTAATCCATTATTTACCAACTGATTATCAAACCAAATCATTGTCATTGGTGAATAATTTATCGTTAGTTTTAGTCCATCTTGTACTACACTCGTAACTTGAATGATTTTAAAATAAAGGAAATTAATAAATACTGTTAAAATCTATAGATTTTCTATTTATGAACATACTTGCAGCATGGGCAACACTAGACAATAAAAGAATAATGGTTATGGTGAAAATGATATTTGATGATTGAAACATTTTGGAATTTGGATAAATATTTATAATTATAAATTAAGAGAGCAGAATTAAAAAATAATATATATTATTTTAGGTTTTTAGAAATATTAGATTGTTAATATTGTTTGATGATTTGGAATTCATTTTCCAAGCTTTTTATATCTTTTTGGAAAAGTAGATTTAATCCATGGATAATACTGGAATGATGGTATCGATTAATTAATTAGGATCTAAAGGATTGGTGATATGGTTTAAAGGAGGGTTAGGGTTTAACATCTAAAATAATCACCCTCACATTATTCTTTAAAGTAGGAGGAATTATTAAAAAAAGGGTTGTATAACTATTTTAAACCGGGTCGGTCAATTGAAAGTTATGATGTTAAAAGATATTTGGGTTGTTGGGCAAATATTCACAAATGTGGATTTTTCAAGCACATTTAGGTGATTGTAAGCACAACACCCCCCTCAAGAACTTGATCATTGATTGGGAGGTATGCTTATTCAAGTCAGAGCCCTAATCTTCAACGACAATGACGATAGAGATATTAAATAATTAAAATAATTTATTTCAGAATAATTCAATTGAATTAGGTGTTGATGAGATTAAACAACGACAGTACAATTAAAGGCATATTGCATTTCAATGTTTGAACCACCAATACCAGTTGCACCATAGAGACGGATAGTATCACAAGATGGAATAGTTGGTAAATTGCAAACCAATGGAGACCATCCATACATTGCCTTGCAATATGGTGCAATATTGGTTGTCAATCCACTGTTGATGAGTTGATTATCAAACCAAATCATTGTCATTGGTGAATAATTAATCGTTAATTTCTTTCCTTCTTGAACAACACTTGTAACTATGAATGATATTAATATTAATCATTTGAATATTACCTTTATAAATATTTAATTATTTAATCAAAATACATACTTGCAGCATTAGTAGCAACAACAGCAACAAGGAGGATAATAGCAAAAGTATAAATAATGGTTGAAGATTTGAACATTGTAGAAGTGGAATATTAATTCAATTGGAGATGTATTGATGTGATGGTTGGTTAATTAATTATTATTGATTTGATTTGATTTGATTTGTAAATTTGTTGAAATACTCATCTTTAAATAGTCAACTATTGTCTATAGATCGATTGACCAAATGATGCGATAATCATAATCACATGAACTTTATCTTCGTCTTTTTAATAAATCGAATCGAAAGTTTGATTAATTAATAAATATAAAGAACAACAATCTCTTGAATTGGATTTGGTTCTCCCATTTTGGGCAAAACAATGTAAGCATCATTGAATTTTGGTTGAAGTTCAATATTTTGATTATTATTAATTATTAATTTGTTTGTTTGTTGTTCATATTTGAAGCTATTATTATTATGTGTATAATATAGCTATACAAAGAAACAATAGATTTTAAACTTGAGCCGAGCACTGCACTTCATTTCAAATTTTCATATTTATTTTTAATTTGTTTTAATTAACGTCAATGACGATTCATATACAGATAGATATCTACATTATCTAATATCTAGTAGTATCATTATCATTATCATATTTTATGGGTAAAAAGGATGGTAAGGGTTCTAATCCTTTAGAAGTTTACAAAAAAGAACAAAAGAAACAAGAACTATTCAAGGTATATATAAGAGAGAAATCATCGAGAGATTGACAACTTACATATGCATACTTACCTACTTACTTTTGCTACTTATTATACATAGCACAAATCAAATATAGCAAAAGAGAAGACTAAAGCATTATCACAGAGAGATTTAAAAGAATTACAAAATGAACTAAAGTTTGAAAAGAACAAAGACAAGAGACAATTACTTATCAATGCAATAGCTACCATCAAAAAGAGAGATGGTGATGGTAATGATCATGGTGATGACAATACACCCGATACATCAGCAGTAGCTGCAGCACCTACAGGTCCAACTCAACAAGAATTAAAAGCAAAGTAAGTAATTGAATATTAAGATATGTCACATTCAGAATCAATACGAGTACTAAATTGATTGATTATTATTTAGAGAATTACAAGCAGCAATTGCAAAATATGGGCCACCTGAGGAATCAATCTATTATGATGCTGTTTATAATCCTTATGGTATACCACCCCCCGGTAAACCAAATATAAGGAAACCTCCACCTGGTGTAATGATGATGAATAATAATGGATTTGGACAGCATCCTGGAATGCCATATCCTCCTCCTCCTCATCCTCATCAAAAGAATTTCCCTCATTATCCTCCTCAACACCCAATGATGATGATGATGAACAAACCTCCACCACCATTTATCAAACCTCCTCCTCCTCCTCCTCTTCCTCATTTAGTAAATGGTGGTGGTGGTGGTGGTGGTGGATATCCTATTCATAAACCATTACCAATACCAGTACCTCCACCTCCAATGGTAAACAAACCACCTCCACCAATTGTATACCCACCTCCACCATTACCTCATCCTCCAGGTGGTAAGATGATGAATATGCCACCTGGTATTGGAGGTTTACCATTTGGACCACCACCTCCATTACCTCCACAATTCCTTTTCAAAAAACCTCCATCATCAACAACAACAACAACAACAACAACTAGTAAACAACCTGCTATTGCATCCGTTCCACCAACTCTACCAACCCCACCACCACCACCATCCTCTACTGTCACAACAACAACAACAACAACAGATGAACAAAAGGAACAACAAGATAAAGATAAAGAATTGGAGGATGCATTGGCAGAGTTTTATGCAAACTAATTTATTTATTTGTACACAAAATCATTTTTATACTTTTGAAGAACATGCTTCATCAACCATGTCTCTTTCTTCTTTTAGAGGAGGGTTAACGTTATTTATTCTTCTTTCCAATTTGACATTATAATTTAATGGTCTAATCAAATGCGTAAATTCTAAATAATAATAATTAATAATTAATAATAATAATTTATAATAATATTTAAATACATACTTTCATAAGTATCAACTTTTTCACCTTTGCCATTTGAAGAATACAATTTAAATTTTAAAATTAGATTAGTGACAAGAGCAAATATTTCAGAAGTTGCCAGACTCATTCCAACACAAATTCTAGGACCTAAACCAAAAGGCATAAATATATCAGAATGTTGATTATTGATGAATCGATCTGGTTTGAATATTTCAGGTTCATCCCAATATTCTGATGAGTGCATTAGAGCGTATGGGAATTGGTAGGTTTGGGCACCTTTTGGTATAAAGTAATCTCCAATCATAACATCTTCACTACACTCTCTTCCAACTGTCAATGGAACAGTCCAATTCATTCTCATCACTTCTTTTACAAATGAATTGAATAGTGGTGTATCTTTGCGATGTCTTTCTTGTCCCAGCGAGTCTGGTGACCCAGTTGCATCGACAATCTCTTGGTATAATTTCTCTTGATATTCTGGATAATTGATCAAATATACTATAATCCATTCCATTGTTGAACTTGTTGTTTCCGTACCTGCCAATATAAAATCAATTCCACAATGAATTATTCCTAAATAAAAGTAAATATTAATTAATTTAATAAATAAATAAATATTAATATTAATATTTTAGCTTCTTACTAGTTAGGTTTTTATCAGTATCAACACCAATAGTAGTAATTAAATGATCTAATAGATCACGTGGATGATCAGGATCGATTGTATCAAGATGTTCATAGACAATCTTTTGAACTTCTTGTTTGACCAGCTCGATTGGATTGGCGAAATATTTGGCGTATTGAAAGTGTACCCAAGAGATACCTTTCATAAATCTCCATGGTCTAGTCATTAATTTCATCAGTCTATCAGTTTGATTAATAATTTCCAATGTTCTTGGGTCTTGTGCACGTTCACCATACTCTAATTGAATAGAATATACGTATCTAAATATAATATTTAATGAGAATATTTTACATGTCATTTGAGGATTAAACTAAGAAATAGATAGATAGAAGAAATATTAATAATTATTAAAATTTAATTTGTTTTTCTATTTCTTACAACTTGGCCAGAATCTGATAGATTTGATAATTCTACTAATAATGAATTAACTTCATTATCAATTAGATCGGAAATATTTCTAATTTTACGATTACTAAATGCAGATGCAACTACAGTACGTAATTCTTTCCAGTCTTGATCACGGCCATGAACAATATTATTGTATCCACTACTGAATAATTCCAAGATTGTGTTTCTATTCTTGTTGGTAAAGATATGGAATTGACGTACTAGTATTTCATGAACTAATTTGGGGTCGGTGATAATGATTGAATAGTGATCACCAAACCACATTTTAAAGACTGGTCCATTTTCTTTGACGAGTTGCAATAATCCACGATGAGGTTGTTTACCGAGTTTGTAGAGATGTCCAATCAATGGTAATGCAATACCAATTGATTTGGGTTCTTTAGGATGACATTTTCTATTCTTTATATAGAATGATACTATTATATAGGTTAGGAATAATAGAGCTAATATTTTAATTATCATGATTTGTTGATTATTATTTTTGTTTTTAATGATTGTAACAAGATATTTAATTCGATCATAAGAACAATTTAATTCTATAACCAAATGTTTATGTACAATAATACCAAGGGTATTACAATAACAAACAAATCTCTGAGGATTAGATTTATATTAATACCCCCTATCAATCCATCAAAAAAGATACCACTTTAGTGTTTGGGGGTGGGTGGGGGTATTGACCGTCCCTCCTAATATTATTTGAGTGAGACGAATGCATCCAATTTGTAAAGAGGTTTTTTAGTCAATTGTATCAATGGTGGTCGACAAGAAATGCCTCCAGTTACTTTAACATCAGATGTCACTGCTCCACCATACACTCTATCCGATTGCACAGACCAAGAAAAACTATCTAATCTCACCGAACCAACTCATCCAATTTTTAATCTTTGTCTTCCAAAATGTATAAATGCTTTAAAATATTATAGATCTCTTAAGGAGGATCCTATCAACCAAGTCAAATAAAACCAATCATATGGTTGCTTGGAAACCATTCCAACTAAAAATATTCTAGAAATATTCTATTTTTCAATCCAAAAATTAACTCTCTTGGAATCGACTCGAAACATACAATTGAAACCTCGGATGTATTAATGCAAAAAAAACAAATTGATTGATAATTATTTATTATTCATTTCACGATTAAATTCTTGTCTCCCCATTCTATATTCATGAAGATGGTGTTTACAGAATGACTTGTGGTCTGCATAGGACAATATCCAAGATTGACACCCTTTCGCAATGCATAAATTAGGATGAATTAAAGGTGAATTACCTTCCACCTTTTTCTGCACAATCACCGCAACAGTATTGATCCCATACTACCCGAGGATTCAATCTACTCGATTTAAGCTCTGATGAGCATATCTTGCAATATTTGTACTTTTGTACAACCTTCTTGCGTTTGGTAATAGCCGTCTTTCCAGTAATCATTCTTGCTCCACATTCATTTTTTCTTTGGGCAATATTGTCTAGAGTCCCCTTTTTCTCTTCATCACCATCCATTCGCAAGGATCTATACTCTCCATTTAGACTAAAAGCTTCGTACCAATAATACTCCCTACTCATTCTAAATTTTAGCAAACAAAAAAAAGTTAGTTATTTAATTATAGTCTTGATTTAAATTTGGTTGGACATACTCTAGTAATTTTTCTCTGTTTTCTGCCAATACCATTGAGTTTGTTTCAGAATTTAATGTTTTGTAGTGGAATTGGTTTGTTGCTTCATGAATCGCGTCTCCCTTAATTCTTGAGTCACGATTACTCCAACCAACAAGAAAGATAGTATTGGTTCAAATACTCGCGAATTTTGTTTAGTGTGAATCCATCAAAACGACATATTTCAATACGCATCGACATTATTATTAACCTATTTCCCTCCTCAACAAATTCATTGTCATCTAATTCCATTTCATAATCAATATCCATGCCATTATTATTATTATTATTATAATTATTATTATTATTATCGAATTTGGTATTCAAAATGCTATTTAGAATTGATTGTTGAAATTCTGCACTATCAAAACCATGATCAGCATTAGAATCAAATCTACTTCTATTACTATTACTGCCAAGGCTATTGTTTTGGTTGTGGTGGTTGCGATTTCCCAAGATATTATTATTATTACTTGGATCGAATTTGGTGTCCATATTTGATTCAAAGACATCTTCACCATCATCATAACCAAAACCATCATCATAACCAACACCATCATCATAATAACCTTCACCAAAATAATCAGCAACTTCGGAAACGTCATTGTCGTAGTCTTCGTAGTCATCATCACTTTCTTCTTCGGAATCCATATCGACTGGCGGTCTCGTAGTTGAACAATCTAAACCAAAGAGGTTAACAGATTCCCTGAAGGCCCTTTCCTCTTCTTGATCTCTCTTTCTAGGTTGTCCTAATATTTTTTAGATTTTGGTAGTTGATAGAAGAATTCGAATTAGTAATTCAATCTTGCTTCTAATTTAGCTATAACTTTTTAATACACCTACTGCTCATTGAATATAGAGATAAATAAGAACAAAAAATTATCACAATGGTTTGCAATCGAGAGCTCTTTTATTTTCTTGGCTTGAATTGATTTTGTTTCAAGTGCAATCTCACAAAAAAAAAAAGGGGAAACAAAGTCTCTCTCTTGTATCAATTTTAACACATTAGTTTCAAACAAGTTACAATTTGCAAATAGCTATTCTACTACTATCTACATTCAATAACACAGTTGCTTAGACCCCGTCGCCATCATCATCATCATCATCATCATCATCATCATCATCATCATCATCATCATCATCATCATCATCATCAACAACAACAACAACAACAACAACAACAACAACAACAACAATACAACAATACAACAATCATTTCAACAACATGGTCTTCATATCAGCAACATTACACCTATTTCAGATTCATCGAGAGTTAGATAGAGATAGATAGAGATAGATAGCTAGAGATAGATAGAGTTAGTGACATGCAAGAACGACCATCATCGACACTCTGGGATAAAGTCAAACCCATACAACAATGATCAACAACAGCTATACAAATAATTGTGCAATACAAATAGTCAATTGGACGATCAACTAGTCGTAGTAGTATTTGTTGATGCCGAAGCGGATCCTTTTGTAGTCGTATTTGGTACCAACCAAAAGTATATCTTGATGGACTGGTCGTTGCAGTCGTCGTTGCAGTGGTTGATGCAGATGTTGATCCAGTGGTCGATGTTGGAGTAGAAGCGCTGTTGTGCTGACAGTCGCCGATGCTGTGGTTGAAGCAGTTGTTCAGACTACTCAACCAACTAACTATTTGTGTTCTCCATCAACAACTGGACCATACAGAGTCGAATTGTACCAAACAACAAGACAAAGAATTGGATCATCAACAATACAAATAATCAATTCGACCATACAAAGAGCCAATTGGACAGTTGAGTAGAGTACCTCTCTTGGCTGGGAGGGGAGGGATGGTGCCTCTCATGGCTAGGAGAGAGGATAGTGATACGTTTCATGGCTAGGAGAGAGATCATATGGCTTCTCACCTCTCATATACAACTAATTATTTCAGGACTCACTTGCAGCTTATTCATCATCATAGTCATCATCGTCATCGTCATCGTCCATTCGAATCTTGGCTGGGAGGTGGCAGAGAGGTAGGCGCCTCTCATGCCTGGGAGAGGCGGATGGCTGGAGAGGGAGGCACCTCTTGGCTGGGAGAGAGGACCTCCTCTCTTGGCTGGGAGAGGAGAGGGGTGCCGGCTGGCTGGGAGAGGGTGCCTCTATTGGCTGAGGCTGGGAGAGGGAGGGTCTGGGAGGAGAGGTAGGTGCCTCTCTTGGCCAATGGGAGGAGATGGGAACCTCGCGAGACGAGAGAGAAAGTCACCTCAATAGCTGGAGAGGGAGAGGAGAGTAGAGGAGAGGAGAGGAGAGAGAGAGAGGAGAGGAGTGGAGAGGAGAGGAGAGGAGTGGAGTGGAGTGGAGAGGAGAGGAGAGGGTGGTACCTCTCAATGGCGGGAGGTGCCCTCTCAAGGCTGGGAGAGAGGTGGAGGGTGCCTCTCTTGGCCAATGCTGGGAGGAGAGGGTACCTCCCTTGGCTGGAAGGTGGACAGGGGGTGGCGGTACCTCTCTTGGCTGGAGGTGGCAGAGAGGTAGGCGCCTCTTGGATGGGTGGAGAGGGGAGAGGGAAGAGAGTGGTACCACCCTTGGTAGGAGGTGAGGGGTGCCAAGGTAACAATGACGGTGCTGCTGCAGATATCTCGACAACTAAGAAGGAGGTTGGGGACGTGTCGCTACAAAGACGAAGAGTGAGTGGTTGTGTGTGGGATTAAATTGATTTTATTATTATTTTGGTGGGGTTGGAAGAGTTGTTGTTCAGGAATTTTCACAAACATTATTATTATTTCTTCACCTCCATTATTACAACTATTATTTCAGGACTCACTTGCAGCTTATTCATCATCATAATCATCATAATCATCACCATCATCAAGTCCGTGGCAGGTAGGGAGAGGTGCTAGGAGAGAGGATAGAGGAGAGTGATACGTCTCATGGCTAGGAGAAAGAGAGAGAGAGAGATCATACGGCTGCTTCTCACCTCTCATTATTACAACTAATTATTTCAGGACTCACTTGCAGCCTATTCACCATCATAATCATCATAATCATCATCGTCGTCATCGTCATCATCCATTCGAATCTTGGCTGGGAGGTGGCAGAGAGGTAGGCGTCTCTCTTGGCTTGGAGAGGAGAGGAGAGGGAGGTATCTCTCTTGGATGGGAGAGGAGAGGAAGGTGCCTCTCTTGGCTTGGGGTGCGGTTACTACTTGTAGCTAGAGACACCTCTACATCAATTTTAACACATTAGTTTCAAACAAGTTACAATTTGCAAATAGCTATTCTACTACTATCTACATTCAATAACACAGTTGCTAGACCCTGTCTCCAACTTGAATTGACAACAACAATACCATCATCATCATCATCATCATCATCAACAACAACAACAAAAACAATACAAAATCATTTCAACAACATTAGCTTCATATCAGCAACATTACACCCTATTTCAGATTCATCAAGAGTTAGATAGAGATAGATAGAGATAGATAGATAGATAGATAGATATCTTTGCAGCTACAGTCACATTCAAGAGGTAGCTATCTTGACATGCAAGAACGACCATCATAGACACTCTGGGATAATGTCAAAACCCATACAACAATGATCAACAACAATGATATCAAATCAACAACAGCCGAATACAAATAATTGTGCAATACAAATAGTCAATTGGACGATCAACACAAATAGTTAGTTGGTTGAGTAGTCTGAACAACTGCCTCAACCACAGCATCGGCGACTGTCAGCACAACAGCGCTTCTACTCCAACATCGACCACTGGATCAACATCTGCATCAACCACTGCAACGACGACTGCAACGACCAGTCCATCAAGATATACTTTTGGTTGGTACCAAATACGACTACAAAAGGATCCGCTTCGGCATCAACAAATACTACTACGACTAGTTCTCCATCAACAACTGGACCATACAGAGAATTCGACCAAACAACAACCACAAAGAATTGGATCATCAACAATACAAATAATCAATTCGACCATACAAAGAGCCAATTGGACAGTTGAGTAGAGTACCTCTCTTGGCTGGGAGAGCAGAGGTGCCAGCTGGCTGGGAGGGGAGGGAGGGATGGTGCCTCTCATGGCTAGGAGAGAGAGATCATACGGCTGCTTCTCACCTCTCATTATTACAACTAATTATTTCAGGACTCACTTGCAGCCTATTCACCATCATAATCATCATAATCATCATCGTCGTCATCGTCGTCCATTCGAATCTTGGCTGGGAGAGGCGGATGGCTTGAGAGGGAGGCACCTCTTGGCTAGGAGAGAGGGTACCTCTCTTGGCGGGAGGAGAGGCACCGCACCTCTCTTGGCTGGGAGAGGAGAGGAGAGGGTGCCTCTCTTGGCTGGGTGGAGCTCATGGCCGGGAGGAGAGGGTGGTGCCATCTCATGGCTAGGAGGGAGGGAGGGAGTGTGGTGCCCTCTCATGGCTGGAGAGAGAGAGAGGGTGGTGCCTCTCAATGGCGAGAGGTGCCCTCTCAAGGCTGGGAGAGAGGTGGAGGGTGCCTCTCTTGGACAATGCTGGGAGGAGAGGGTGGTACCTCTCATGGAGGAGAGGTAGGTGCCTCTCAATGGCCGGGAGGAGGTGCCCTCTCTTGGTTGGGAAGTGGCCTCGGCACGACGCATTCATCATTTGCTCGTGGCATTGACTAGACTAAGGTTACTACTTGCAGCTAGAGACACCTCTATAGTGCGTCTCTACCTACAAGTAGTAACCTACTCCTATTCATCATCATCACCATTGAAGCAGGTGAATGGGAGAGAGAGACACCGATGGCCGGGAGGAGAGGAGAGGAGAGGAGATGAGATGAGAGGAGAGGAGAGGAGAGGAGAGGAGAGGAGAGGAGAGGAGAGGAGAGGAGAGGAGAGGAGAGGAGAGGAGAGGAGAGGAGAGGAGAGGAGAGGAGAGGAGAGGAGAGGAGAGGAGAGGAGAGGAGAGGAGAGGGGTTCCTCTTGTCTGGGTGGCGCACAAAGAGTCAATGAGACCATCAACACGATGACAAATTCCACAACAATAAGAATCAATACAAATTGAATCAGACCATCAACAACACAAATAATTCTAGAGGTGTCTCACCGGATGCTACCATCTTCTCACACAAAGAGATAATTGGGACCATAACAAAACAATTCAAATTAATACAAATAAGAGAATTGGATCAACAAAACAATACAAAACAATACAAATAATATAAAGACTGAGAGAATTGAGTTGGGAGTGATAGAGATGATCAAATATCAAATCTATTGGGGTGGAGATTTATTTTGAGTGATTTAGTTACCACCACGGAGACGGAGGACGAGATGGAGAGTGGACTCCTTTTGGATGTTGTAGTCGGAAAGAGTTCTGCCGTCTTCGAGCTGCTTTCCAGCAAAGATAAGACGTTGTTGATCAGGTGGAATACCTTCCTTGTCTTGGATCTTGGTTTTGACATTTTCAATGGTGTCAGATCCCTCGACTTCAAGAGTGATGGTCTTACCAGTTAATGTCTTTACAAAGATTTGCATACCACCACGGAGACGAAGGACGAGATGGAGAGTGGATTCCTTTTGAATGTTGTAATCCGACAAAGTTCTGCCGTCTTCCAATTGTTTACCGGCAAAAATGAGACGTTGTTGATCAGGTGGAATACCTTCCTTGTCTTGAATCTTGGTCTTGACATTCTCAATGGTGTCAGATCCCTCAACTTCAAGAGTGATGGTCTTACCAGTGAGGGTCTTTACAAAGATTTGCATACCACCACGGAGACGGAGGACAAGATGGAGAGTGGACTCCTTTTGGATGTTGTAGTCGGAAAGAGTTCTGCCGTCTTCTAATTGTTTACCGGCAAAGATAAGACGTTGTTGATCAGGTGGAATACCTTCCTTGTCTTGAATCTTGGTCTTGACGTTTTCAATGGTGTCCGAACCTTCGACTTCGAGGGTGATGGTCTTACCAGTGAGGGTCTTGACAAAGATTTGCATACCACCACGGAGACGGAGGACAAGATGGAGAGTGGATTCCTTTTGAATGTTGTAATCCGACAAAGTTCTGCCGTCTTCGAGCTGCTTGCCAGCAAAGATAAGACGTTGTTGATCAGGTGGAATTCCTTCCTTGTCTTGGATCTTGGTCTTGACATTCTCGATAGTGTCAGATCCCTCGACTTCAAGAGTGATGGTCTTGCCGGTCAATGTCTTGACAAAGATTTGCATACCACCACGGAGACGGAGGACAAGATGGAGAGTGGATTCCTTTTGAATGTTGTAATCCGACAAAGTTCTGCCGTCTTCCAATTGTTTACCGGCAAAAATGAGACGTTGTTGATCAGGTGGAATACCTTCCTTGTCTTGGATCTTGGTCTTGACATTTTCAATAGTGTCAGAACCTTCAACCTCCAAGGTAATGGTCTTACCAGTTAAAGTTTTTACAAAAATTTGCATGATTTGTTACTATTATTAAATATTAAAATATTAATTATTATTAAATTATTCTTTATAATATAAAAATATATTTTCTTTGTTGAGTAAAAATTAAAAAAAAAAATTACTATAAACTATATAGTATTATAATAATAATAACTAGTACTACTTACAAATAAAGAAGTTTTGAATATAATATAATTGAATTGAAATGGGGGGGTTGCTGTTTTTATACAAGTTGAATTGGAGTTGTTTGTTTAAATATATACACAATAAAAAAATATATATACACAAGGTGGTTGGTTGAGTGGTTGAGAAATAATTAATAATTAGTTGTAAAGAGAAGAGAAGTATACAAAATTGGTTGATAATGAAAATGAGTGTGAGGAGCTACTTGCTTTTATGCTCTTCTCTTCTTGAGCAGTACTTTTCAAAAACAAAAATTTGTAAAAAAATAAATCTAAAATTAAAAAATTAATTTCAACCCCCCTCTTCTTCGATGAATCACCCTTACTCATATGCTGCAAAGAAGAGTGTTCATCAAAGCAAGACTACGTTCTCTCTTCCAATTGTGTTCGCAAATTTTTTTTTTATTTATTTTAATTTTTCATGAATACCCAAGTTCGAGTTGGGTAGGGTCATTTTCGTACTGTATTTTAAAGCACACTTCTTGTCGCAGCGGTTAAACGGATTAGCTCACATTCTCTCTCTATCTCATCTCACTTAATTAAGTTTATTTCAGAACATCATCAGTTACATGTTTATTTTCTTCTTCTTCTTTTTTAATCATCTTCGTCATCTACTTCGACAATACCAGCCTCTTCTTGTTCGAGTGTTGGTAGTGTAGCAGTCGTTGATGGTGGTTGTTCACCAGCCACTCGTACATTTGGATTACTCACAGGAGCAACAGCAAAGAGACTGAGTCGAAGCACAAGATGTAAAGGAAATTCACCATCAATTTTGTATTCTTCCAATGTTTTACTATACATACATATATCAGAGAGAAAGAGTTAGAATTAGCAAAGTTTGAGAGACAGAGACAGAGAGAGGAGTGAGAGAGATAGAAACAAACCTATTTTTTAATTGTCTACCACCCAAGATTAATCTTTGAGATTTGACAGGTATATTATATCTTGCACATAGAGTTCTCTTTACTCTTCCAATTGTATATTTTGAATCAACATCTTCTAGAATAAATGGTACTTGTCCATTACCACCTAAATGTAATACAGTTAACTTCATCCTATACTACTACTATTATTATATTGTTTATTTCAAATAGGTTTATATGTTTCGAGTCGACTCCAAGAGAGTTAATTTTTGGATTGAAAAATAGAATATTTCTAGAATATTTTTAGTTGGAATGGTTTCCAAGCAATCATATGATTGGTTTTATTTGACTTGGTTGATAGGATCCTCCTTAAGAGATCTATAATATTTTAAAGCATTTATACATTTTGGAAGACAAAGATTAAAAATTGGATGAGTTGGTTCGATGAGATTAGATAGTTTTTCTTGGTCTGTGCAATCGGATAGAGTGTATGGTGGAGCAGTGACATCTGATGTTAAAGTAACTGGAGGCATTTCTTGTCGACTACCATTAATACAATTGACCGAAAGATAGAGATCATTGTGTTGTGATACCGACAAACCAGCCAATGTGTAGCAAGTATGGTAATAATCACGACCACGTTGAGGGTGGTCACTAAATCCACCCCTCACATTCTGACAACACACCAAACAATATTCCTGCAGTTTCTGTTGATTAAAGAGTTGTTTGCCGTCTACACTATTCCCAATATTCTGATAAAACATTGCATGATGTTGTGATGCCAATGATTCATCGTATGCCCTCAATATAGGAAACAATGCACATTGCCAATAACTATAACATGTATCAACCAATTTATTGGTTCTACCTTGAATTCCACCATCATAATCTAATTGTCTATTTACAAGCCATCTCTAGAAAAAATAGAAATAATTAGATAACATATTATGTGTGTGTATATATATATATATATCTTACCAATAAAGAATTAAAATTAATTAAATGAAGAGAATTTAGTAGAGATAGAGCAGCAACTGAACAAAAAGTATAACCACCATGAGCTTCTACACCAGGTTGACCTCCAAACCCTCCTTCATAGGTTTGACAACGTGCAAGGTATTCGGGAACACCCTGTATCAATTCAGGTGTGACAATATTGAGAAGGGTGGCAACTACCATTGCACAATAAGTTGAACGTGAGTCATCTTCACCATCTTCTTGTGTTTTGAATGATCCTTGGGCAGTCTTCATTCGCATTAGGAATTGGTACATTGTACGACGATTAATCACCTCGTACGACTCGACTACCATCAATGCACTAACTGCAGCAAAGGTAGATACCATATGACTGACTTGATCCATTCCACCTGCAAACCCACCAGATGGTTGTTGTAGTCTTTTTAAAAAACCAGTTGAACGACTTTTGATGGATCCATCACACGTCTCTCCTTCTACCACCTTTGATTGTGTTGTTTTAGTTGGTTCATGCAGTCTTTCAGGTGTCAAGTATCCCAACAAATCCAATGCATGTAGATTCCAAAAACAGATCCATGCACGAGAACTCTCCAACGATGTATGTGAACCGTGTATATAACCCAATGCATCAGTTGCAAATGACACACATTGTTCTTTGAATAGTCCAGGTTCCAACTCTTCACCAGTTTCATCATCTTTATGATCAGCTCTCTTTTCCATTATTTGTGCAATCATTCCATTTTGTGCTATTACTGTTGGTGTTATTGGTTCTCTTTGTACTACATTATTTATATTATTCTGTTGTTGTTGGATATTGCTATTATAATCTTCATCTGTATCAATATCAATCTCTTGTATTCTACTCATATTATCTCTTCTTATTCAAATATATACAGATATACACAAAAAAGAAAGGAAAAGGAATGAATGATGTGATACAACTAAAGTATCATACCTATATCTGACCCCTCTCACAAACAAATATATAAAAAATTAAATTTTCGAAGTTCACTCGAGATCGACCAGTACCTCTCTCCCAAAGAGATGCGGATCATTGTACTTTATTCGACAATCAAATATTGTACTTATATTAACAATTAGATAAATCAATCAATCGGGATTGACATATACATATACATATACATATATAAAGAAAGAGAAGAGATATGAGTAGTACACCAATGGACCAAGAAGAAGTATGTTTGACACGACACGACATGACATGTGACTATACTAACTTTATTATTATTACTACTAATAGGACAGAGATGATTTAAAGGAATTTGAAACAGGACCTTTATCTATATTGATGGAAAGTGTTAAAAATAATACTCAGATTCTAATCAACGTTAGAAATAATAAAAAGTTGTTGGCTAGAGTTAGAGCTTTCGATCGTCATTGTAATATGGTTTTAGAAAATGTAAATAGATAAGAAATGAAAAGATAGAGAGAGTATGTATGTATACTAACAAACTCATTCTATATTATTATAGGTAAAAGAAATGTGGACTGAAGTACCAAAGACAGGTAAAGGAAAGAAGAAGGCAAAGCCAGTAAACAAGGATCGTTTCATTAGTAAAATGTTTTTAAGAGGTGATTCTGTTATTTTGGTATTAAAGAATCCATTGGGTAACTAAAAAGAATAAATAATAATAATAATTTAAAGAAAATAGCAATATCAATCAAGCAAGGACAAACAAATCAGATTTAGATTTTTTTTTTAGTTTAAATATTAATAACAAACAAAAGATGACAACAACAAAAGAGTTTCTTGAAAGGGTTGAACAAATACAAACAGAGATTGGTACTAATTTCATTTTTAGCAACAATAACAACAATAATAATACAAGATTAAAGATACAACTATCACAACATCCAAAGATTGATATATTAAAATATGTTTATATGGTTTGTCAATTAAATGTAAACAACAACAACAACAACAACAATTGGATTAGAGAGGTATGTCTTAAAAGACAATTTATTTAATCTTTTTGATTCATTAATGTTATCTCTATCTATCTTGTCTATGTTTTTTAGATATGTTTACAATTAATAAATGATTGTCTATTGACAAGAAGCCAAGATTGTATATTAGATGATTTAACAAATGAAACAAAGATTGCAATAAGATCAATGATACTTGATACTTTTGAAAGAAATTTAAGGTTGGTTTGTCTATTATTGGTTAATCATTGTATGTAATGAAATAGAAATAGAAATGAAATGAAATGATTAATATTGATTTTTAAATTAGATGATAGTGGTCGTAATGATGAAGAAATATTTAGAATTGGTATCATTAAATGGTTTAATAATAGAAATAATAATAATAATAATAATATATGCCAACAACAATCAATCATTGAATCTTTATTATTTGCATTGTCAAAAGTTAAACAACCATGTCATTCAGTATTGGATATTATTTGGAGACTATATTATAAAAATAGATCATTGGGAGAAAAAGATATTTTAATGTTCTTTTCAATCTTTAAACATTATCAATTTAATGAACAACAACTAAAACAAGAGATTACAAATAATATTTATAATAATCTTTTACCAAAATCAGAATTATGGAAAAACAAGGATATTAAATCATTTTTCAAACAAACCATTAGTATTCTATTTCAACATGCATATAATGACGATTATTTTATTCCACAACAACAACAAGATAATTATAATATTGATCAACACTACTATAAATCAAATCAAAAACCAAAACCAATATTTCAATTTCTAAAATCAATTAGTTTAAAGGATCATGAAATACTTTATACTATTATTTTTGAATATTGTCAAATATTTTTAAATTCAACAAGTTGGAAAGAGAAATTAATTGTACTTGGAATATTAAATCTTTTAGAATTAAAAGAATATACATTTACAAACAAATTATTACCAAAACAATTTATTTTAGATTCAATCATTTATCCATTAATAGATGATCAAAAGTATGTAAATAATATCAATCAATCAATAATTTATATTAATTTATATTTGTTTTTTAAAAAGTTTACTAGTTCAATATGAGTTAATAATATTTCTTGTAAAGATGGCAAATTCTAAAGGTATTAGAGATATTGGGAACCAATCATTTTATCAAGATGTAATTGATAGAGCATTTGAAAAATCATTTAAATCAAATCATCCACATCTTATCAAACAAGTTGAATCTTTTTTTTTCAGTTCCATTTCATCTTATAAACATCCAAGAGGTTCAAAAATTGATTCAATTGTAACTATATAACCAAAACAATATTTATATAAATATATTATTTTATTAATTTTAATTTTCTTTTATATTTAGGTAACAACAAAATTGGATCCATTTATTATATCATTAATATTCAAATCAGAAAAAGAAAATATTTTCAAAGTGATTAATTTTTTTGATGGTATTGTAATGATAAATAACAATAGAAGAAAATATTTAAATATTATTATCAATAGAATATTATTTACATCAATGTGTGGTGATAAACAAATGGTTGATAGATTTATATTTTCATATCTTTTAGATTGGATATTTGATGGATACATTGGAAAGGACGTAATCATTTATTTACCATTCATCATGAAAAGAATAATAGCACAAAGATCAAGAGATGCGTCAATTGAAAATACAATCCTAAGATTATGTAAACAGTTTCCAGATAAATTGTATTCATATATGAATCGATTGATTCCTCTATCTATTGAATTACATCAAAACAATATATCAGAGTATATCTTTAATGGACAACCATCAAAAGGTGAACATAGATATGATGGACACTTGTTATTTTGTTTATTTACAATTTGTAGTAGTAAAAAATATCAAAAAAAGTCATCATCAATTCATTTACAAATTTTATTAGATTATATTTTAAAAGGTACCTCTGATGATAATATACAAAATGCACTAGTCATACGATTTATTAGTCAGATGAATGGTTTGGGTGTATTGTTTCTAGATAATCAAATAATACAAATGATTGGATGGATTAAAAATGGAATAGTCAATACTCATCAACAAATATTAAATCTAAAAGATTCAACAACACCAGCAGCAGATACCCCAATATTTAATCTTGATCAATTAGTTCAAGGTCATTATTATTTAATAGATCAAATAATAATAGCAACAACCAACACCTACAACTATTTAAATTATATTGAAATAATAACAACAATCTATGTTGAAATGATGTTGGATGCAATCATCTTGAATTCAAAGACAAGTACACAAATGTTGGTTGCTCAACTTACCGACTTTTTTAGAATACTCTATCCATTGTTTGACAAAAAAGAGTTATCCATAGATGTATTCACTAAAAAGATAAAGAGTAACATCATTAATCATAATACTTTGGAATTATTATTATTAGATAAATAAAATTAATCTACTTGAAGTTTAATACTTACAATTGTAAATCAAACCAATTAATTAACATAAAGGTAAATGAATCTCAACCCTTTTAAAAAAAATAATCTACTTGCATATGGCCAATTAAAATACATTTATTTCAATAAGAGTTGCAGGTAGAGGAAATTGTTAAAAACTTTTTGTATTTCAAGTTGTGGTCGTTGTTGTTAGAGTTGTTGTTGCTGCTGTATTTGTAAATTAGTTAATTTGTTCAACCAATTGGCGCCAAAAGTGGTATCTGACCGGTTTTTGTATATATTATTATTAAATTTTTTTAAAATTAAAAGATTTAATCATGCCAAAAGTTAGTAAATTTGGAAAGATGGCAAAAGCTTTCGGTGACAGTACCAAAGACAAAATGCAAGAAAAACAGAGGAGTTTGGTAAACAATTAAAAGAGAACCCTCTTGCTGTGATTGATGTTAGTATCGTTGTTAACTTTGTTCAAGATCCACTTGGTGTATTGGAAGAGACTTTGACTGATCCTGAATTTATTGGATCATGTATTACTACTGCTCTGTATGTGTCTAAATATATAAATATATTTTATTTGTTAAATGATATTAATCACTATTTTTTCTATATTATTAGTGAATGTGTTCCTGGTGTAGGTCCAATTTTAGCAAGTGTATTCTCATTGTTTTGGCCTGCTGATCCAAAGAAAGCAGTCACTCAAGAAGAATTGGACAAGAAATTGGAGGAATTTAAAACTGAAATGATTGGTATAATGGATTCAAAGATCCAAGAAAGTGAAGTTAAAACGTAAGTATTGTAATATTATTTATCAATCAATATTAATTTGATATTTTTTAAAAAATTTAGATGGAAAAAGATATGAGAAGCTTTCTTTAATGGAATGGTGAGTTCGGTACCTATCCTTCAAGACAAGATCAATACACTCAAACATCGTTTAGGTGAAGATGGAAAGGCAAACCCTACACTTAAAACCTATGTCAGAGACGTATTGGAACTTCAAAGAGTACAACTTAAGACTATTATCCATTTCTGTGGATCTAAAGGTTTCCGTAAGGATACTATCAAAATTTATCAAGATACTTTATTCATGTACATCTCTGTAATGAATGTATTAAATGTATGTATTTAAATATAAATTAAAAAAAAAACAAAAAAGAAAAATATTTTAATCTTTTTTTAATTTAGACATGGTGGTATCAATTAGAAGTTGATGAATACTTTATCAGTGGAAAGGCTGGCAATAAAAATGGAGGCGAGGTCAAGTCATTGAGAGAAAGAATGCATATTACTGTACTAAAAGGTATTACCGATATTGCAGCTGGTGCCAGAGAGGTAAGTAACCCTGATGAAATCAAGGAATTCTATCAAAACGGGCACCTATTGTTAAAGAATGATGCATGGTGGTACCCAGTCAAGCTTTTAATTCATCCAGAACAAAAGAGACCTGTTGACACCTCGTTTGAAAATAGAACGTTTACATGACACCCACTAGAACTTCCAGACCTCGAACACGCCTACATCTATCGTGTCGATGCTGCCTATTTCTACCCAGGTCAGAAACAAGATTACATGGAAGGTAGACGAAATTTCCCACCAAGTATCGAACCAGTATCTGGATGCTACGGTCTCTATCCAACTCCAGGAACCAATCTTCCAGTCACCACCAAAGGTGGCAAGAGAAAGGTGCAAGTTCGTGTATTGACTGCCACTCCTTTGGCCAAAACAACCATGCAATGTCATCTCCCCAGAGAACCCAGTCAATGGGAGGGTCAACCAAAAATGAATAGAACTATTTGTGATAAGTTTGGAGTAGTTGTGGATTCTGAATATTCAACCAGTGGATTTGCTTGGAGTCAATTGATGTACGTTGACAAGTTTACACTTGACTTCAGTGGCTACAGTTTGATGGTAGGCAAAAATTTTAAAGAAAGAGTATTGTTTGTTGAATTTATCGTTCACGATAAAGCGGACAAAAAACCATTGACCAACATCCCCCCACTACCTGCTGATAATGATGAATTTGAACAACCAGATTGGGAACCAAACCTTAACATGGGTTATATAGGCACATTCTAGATAGATAGAAAAGATAAAGTATAAAAAAACAAGCCAAGCTACTTTTGTAGGCATAAATATAATTAATTAAAAAAAATAAAAAATAAAAAAAAATCCAACTTTTATAAATTTCTAAATAAATAATCATACATTAGTATCTATATTGCGATCGTTATTGTTAGAATGTTAAAATAATTTTAGAATGTGAATGTAGATAATTTATGTTAATGTAAATGGTGACCAACAAGAAGTATGTATGTATAAATCATTATTAGATATTTCAAATATTTGGTCAAAAATGAAAATATCTATCCATCAAGATATTTATGTTGATCGGGCGAGATAATAATAATAATAATAATAATGACCATCTCTTTTTTTTTTTTTTTTGAAACCAACAAAAGCTTTCTACAACATAGTATTGAACATACTACCCTACTAAGTTTATCAATTATTATTAAAACTATAATCATCTCTTTTTTTTTTTTGTTATTTTTCTATTTACTTTTTAAAATCAGTATACCACAGTCGTCATTAACTTAACCAAAGTTATGACTAATAATTTAATTTTAATATTTTTAGTAGTAATACTTTGTATTAGTAGTAATAATAATAATGTAGTTAAATCACAAACATTTACAGAAACAATCAGTGAAGTGACACAGTTATCTGTCAATATGATGGTTTATGGAATGTCTGATTGTAGTAACGGAGGTACACCATCTTTTAGACCAGACAAGATTGTATCATTTGTACCTGGACAATGTTATGTTTATGCAACAAAGAGTGTAAAGATTATGTATGATCAATCAGTTCCAACCGACATTCACTACCTAATATACAACTCTGTAGATTGTACATTGCCATCCTTGGTACTCGATACCCTCATAGCATTGGGCCCAACATGCCAACCACTCCCAGCCATGGTTACCGATAGATATCTAGTCTTTAAAGCTGGTCCACCACAATCACCTCCTACTGAAAGTGCAGTAAACTATTTATATTATGAAAAAACACCTTTGGCTGTGTATGTATACCAAACAGCTGAGGTATTACAAACAACAACAGCGATACGCTTTAATATTTATTTACATTTTTTTTTTTTTTTTTTTTCTTTAGAACATGTGGACAAAATAGATATTATCGTTCGAGAACTATACTTGCATTGGATGTTTGTACATATAATGATTATAGTGGAAATATTTTAATGGGGGAGGGTGGTGATTCTCAATCGATTGATATACTCAACGATACCCCCAATTGTATTGGACTTCCAACTAAATTTTACAGTGAATGCTCAACCAATGCTTATAATATTCACTCTGCATTCAAGACTTCATCGGTGGTTAGGATAGATGGATTCGTCAATGTATTATCGTACAATGCCATTTCCGTTCTAAATGTTGATTTTGGGTATAACCAAAAAACCAATATCTTTGCCAGTGTCCAGTTGGATACAGGTGCAAGTCAATCTGTTTATAACCCAGGTTACTCTTACCAAATATCACAAAATATGACTTTTACCAATATACCAACTGGGTTTTCAGGTAGATTAAACTTTTATCAAGATGGTTATGATTATTTATTAAATAGTATTGTGGCTCCAATTTCAACAACTACTTTTAATCTTCCTGAATGTAAGTTTATAAATCTAATAATAATAATAATTTATTTAATGTGTTATTAATATTTTTCTATTTTATTTATTTAAATAAGATCCACAAATGACTTTTATTTCACCTACAAATGTTTATATAAATACAATGAATATTACTTATGGATCAACAGGAGGATTTTCAGGTGCAAATGTTTATAAAGTAATTGCTTATTATGCATCAACATTTACTGAATATACAAATTGTGCAAGTACCACCTCTTGTTATTTAAATGGTCTTCCCAATAGTACCATCGTCAACGTTACGGTAACAGTGACCAACAATGGATTATCCGATATGTTATCCAGGACGGTTCCTCTTGCTCAACCATTTAGTAATTTTAATTTTACCATTGAACCTGCGTTCAATTCGATAAACCTCAAGTTTACCTGGAATGGTGGTTTTGGTTTAACAAACATTAATGTTACTAGAATCGACCAGAATAACATGAATACCGTTACACAAATAACAAATGACCAGTACATATCTTTCCAACAAGTGTCTTCTGTTCCAACAAATTATACTTTTATTGTTACTGCTTTTAATGATGGTAATCAATATCAATTAATACAAAATCATACTTGGTTTGGAGGTAAATAATAATAATAATAATAATAATAATAATCATATTATTAAACAAAAAAAAAAGACAGATATTAATTATTATTTTATTTTTTTAGATATTATAATTGGTAATATAACAATTGGTGAAATTGGAACCACAACTGCCAAGTTTTATTGTGATGCTTTAAATATAAAGTCATCACAATTCCAAGTAATCATTAGAAATCCCAATTCTTCCATTTATTCAGTTGGATCTGGTACAACTGGTCCCATTTTTATGTCTAGTCTCGTTCCAGGTACAACAAATTCCTTTACTGTCTCTATTCTTGAGGAATCTTCTCGTCGTTTGTCCAATACTTTATCATTCACCGTTACCACTTATCCAACAATTTATCATATAACTGTCCTTCAAACCCAAAAAGTAAACTCTGTTGATAATACCACCTATTTACAAATCATCCCTAGTGTATTGGGAGGATCACCAAATTTTCCAATTACATATGAACCAGTATCACCAACCTTCCCGTATGGCATAATATGGGCTGGCAACATGTTTATAGCACCCAACCTCACTACACCAAGTGGTACATTTTTTCTAAACATTAAAGCCACACAACAAACTGATGAATATACCGCTTCATTTGGTTTTGATATTTATAATTGTACGTAACTTTGTATAAAAAAAGGAATTAAAAAGAGGTATATTAATTGTTTTTTATTTATAGTTCCAGTATTTGATTTTGTGAATATTACCAGTGGTCATGAAAATGTTAGTTTGTCATGGGGTAGTCATGGAGGAATACCTGATTCTGTACGATACAAAGTATCAATGTATCTCCAAAATAATAATCCTAGTGTGAAACCAACCACTATTTGTCAAGATTCACTGGACACCTGTACCATCACAAAATTAACTTCAAATACCTTATATTCATTTGATATTACATTATCATCTTTTCAATTTGATTCTATAGTTGAAACAAGATCTATTCAAACTTTAACTTGTATGTCAAAAAAAAATAATAATAATAATTTAATAATCGATCGAGGTAATGATTAATTAATTAGTAATTATATTTCTTTTTTTATTAATCAATTTAGATCCAAATAATGTAACATGTCAAGATCCCAATAGTACAATTGATTGTAGTGGATATGGTCAATGTATAAATGGTACATGTTTATGTGACAAGAATAGAATTGGTATATATTGTGAAACACAAACAACAGATCAAGGTGGTAATAGTGGAAATGTAAATCCAAATCCAAACACACCAGAGATAGTAATCAGTAATAAGAATATATTTTATGATTTTGTAATCTCTGAAATTAGAGAAGTTGATTTGGATGATCAAATTATAAAGACTCTAGACTTGACAACATTAAATTGGACACAATCAAATACAACTACAACAAATAATCAATCATTCATTCAAAATAATTGGATTTATTCAACTGTCAACAACAACACCAATTTCCAATCAATTAATATTACATTTTTACAATATAAACAAGGACAAGAAAATAATAATAATAATAATTCAAAGATTCCAATAACATTTGCAAATCAATTATTTTATTTGGATGTTGGATCAATTAAATATACAATTGATATTGGAGGATGGAACTTTAATAATAGATTAAACACATTACAATTAATAACAAATATAACTCAACCACAAGTTGATGGTGGATGTGGATCTACAGATGTAGATTTCAACAATAATATTGTCACCAATGCAACAGAATTCACATCAGTGTTTGTTGGGCAAGATCAAGTTGTTGTTGGTAAACTAATCAATCGTGCATTATTAGATGATATACCAAGAAAGATATCATATAAAGTACAACAATATCAAAATGATCAGCAAAAACAATTACTCAGTATCATCACTCTCATACCCAACTTTAACTCACTTGCAACTCTCGATCCTCAATTCGACCTTCTCATCAATACTGATGGTGGTACTGACTCTTGTACCAACGAATCCAACACTTGGAAGATTATTGTTGGTGCTGTTGTTGGTGGAATTGGGGCATTGGCCCTCGGCGCAGGAGCAGTCATCTTTTACCAAAAAGCAAAAACTAAAAAGATTTATGATAAAAAATTAAAAAAGTTATCGACAATGGCATTATAATAAAAGTCTCTTAAACAAAACTTTGATATCACGCACCATCATTGGGCGATTCTTTTTTTTCTTTCAAAGAATTTTCTAAAAACATTACAAGTTTCTTACACTGAAATTATAAATTATAATTAGTATAAGTTCATAATTAATATTATTTAATATTGTGATTGATATGGTATACCATGAAGTCTTGGTTCATCCAACTAACCATTTCATTTTAGTATTAGATATCAAATAAGCAATCAATTGATAAAATGTCGAAACATACAACTATGGTAATTCAAACTGAACAAGGTGAAGGCAGAATCACTGGTGATGGTAGGTACAAGATATTTATTTAGGTAATAATGTTTTATTAACTATTAATTATTATTTTTTGAAGCAACCATTTTCCCAGCACCTCGTATTACTCCTGTATGTTGTTCAATCAAATTAATCTAACATTAGATTAATTAATTATACTAATTAAAATATTATTTATTATTATTTTAAAAAAAGCCACCTTTTTTTATTAGATTCTTGGGAGGTTATAAAACTGAAGGATTAAACCTATGGAATGATGATCGATTGGCAATAGCATCAATTTCAGTCACAAGAGATGGTCAAATTTATCCAATCCCAAGTGCCAGAGGAGGGTCAAGAACAGATTCAGATGATGGAATCATTGATTTTTCTCTTTACTTGAATGAGATTCCAACTGTTGCATTACCAACTAATTAGTTGGAATAACATTAATTATCTAATATTATTATTATAATATCTGTTTACTTTACATTGTCATAGGGAAAATGTTGAATTAAAAGATAAATAGTGGTACAATCTACAGAAAAAAAAAGATAAAGGGTAAATTCAAGCTACACTTTGGGAAAAATTAAAAAAAATAAAAAGAAACACGAACTTTTAGTTTCAAAGTACTCTCTTCAACTTGAAGTTGTTACCTTTTTTCTTTAAGGTCAATATCAGCCATCATTTATCAATTCATTCTTTTTGTTTATAATTAGTATATTATAAAGTTTGATGCACGAATACAATGCCATGTGTTTGTCAAAATGAAATACGTACATGTACATCACCCAAACACATACTACAAGAGGAGTTAATTGGGTCGGCCTCATGCCATGTGGTGATGCTCTCCTGGGTTTACAAGATTTATGGATACATATAATACATCGGCAAGTCAATCTGCTAGTACCATGCTCTACCTCTTCTCTACCATTCCACTCTTATCAAAGCCAAAGGTACCAGTCATTGTATATCGTTACCTTGATACTACCTCTATGATGGGCACGTCGTGCATGTATAGTATTCACAATAACCTTGAATTACCATCAGGGTGGGTCATGCAAGGTCAATATTTAGTGCATTCACTTACAACTCTTCCGATACTTTGACAGTAACAGTCCATCAATATAGCTACAAAACATTTGATGGAAAGATAGCTTTCAAGTATATTATTGGAAAGGAGAATATGGATCTTGGTGATGGTTTTATTTATGATTATCCAGTATTCAATGTCTATACATCTCCTGCAGCTGAGCGAGCACCCATTTATTATCAATTGTCAACTGTTGGTTCGGCTGTTGTAATGTCATCGGAATCATTTATTCCAGGTTAAATCAAGGTATTGCATGGTACAGTATTGCATATTTTGTTCAATCAGATGTTGTTATTTCTGGTCCTGATGACATTGTTTTTAAACTACTCCAAAATAATGCAAACAATCTTTGTTTGTCAGCTAGCAGTACAGGAACCAAACCATCACAAAAAACATGTGACCAAACAAATGGTGAACAAGTTAGGAGATTTATTCAAAATCAGTTTGGTAGATCACTTACCAATACTCTAACCAAATTAATAGTCTCTGAAAGTTATACCACTGCTGCTTTCAACTACTGCCAATAGTAATATAAAGGTATCAACATTTAATTATCCGGGTATTGGAAATAATCAATTTATGATATTAAAAGTACTTCATCGGGTCTTTCGGCCAAATGTATTTATACAGATTCAAATGGATATCATTATGATCTATCACCTTTATCATCATCTTTATACAATATATCATTGGGATCAACCTATGATACAGACAATAACAACTATCGTATGTATTTTAGTGTTTGTAATGCTTCTCCAATTGGATGCCAAGACCCTACACTAAATAGACCGATAAATCAAGCGGATTTGTACTTGGTGGTGTAATGGATGCAAATGAAATATTTGGTCCATCTACTATTTATTCATCCAATATCAATGGACATGATGGAATTAGTTTAACGGCTAGTGGAACAAGTGTTAGTGTTGGATTGAAGATCTTTTCAGGCAGTCTAAAGTTATTGGTTGATTATTCAAAGGTATGGGAATCAACCCCAAAACTTGACGGAGTCAATGGACCTTTTAAAGCTACCATTCAATCTGATGGTAATTTCTGTATTTATCAAATCGGTCAAACCACTGGTACCTATTGTACCTATACTCATGGTCTTGGTGGAACTATGATCAGCCTACTCCAAGCAGGTGCGTATGGTAGAAAGTGGGGTGTTGTCATTACCAACCCTGCTGGAAAGATGGTATGGGGTAGATTTGGTGAATCTCTATCCAACAGTATTTCACTCATCCCAGGTAGTTATCTTGATACCACTAATCACTTTGAACTCAAACCTAATGAGTTTATTACAAAGGAAGAGACTATCTTTATGTCTCTCAATTAAATCAATCAATAGTTACTATTACCTATTCATCAGGTAATCCTAAATCACTTGTAGTTTCTACCACAATCACTCAATGGAGTCAATCTGTTCAAATACCAATTGGATACTTTAATGTTGGACTGCAGGTCAACTCTAAAGGTGCATGTGTCTATGCAAGTATTTCATCTGTATCTACTAGAACTATATTTGGTTGTCTTGATGGTACCAATGGAGCCAATGATTATCCAACCATGAGATACCTTCAATTAGCTCCACCAGGAAGAAATGAAGAAAACCCAGGTGAAAATTCAGTTGTCTATCGTACCACTACAATCGCAATTTATTTATTTTTTTTAATAAACTATTATAATGATTATAACCAAAGAGAAGAGAGCAACACAAGAGACAATATTAATAATTAAAATAAATTAAAATAGCACGGTTGACCCACCGTATATTCCAAGCCTCTATTCAAACAATGCTAATGATTGCGGTAATGGACAATGGGATGGTCTTTTCTACGGTCTCCAAAACCCAAACAGAGGTAATCGTTTTATTGTCGTTGCATCAATGCCCGAATTGGTCCTTGTAGATTCAAATGATCGTTATGTTGATGGTACATCTTATTCATCTCTTTAAACAAAAAAAAATATATTAATAAATAAATAATTGTGTTTGAAAAAAATTAAAAAAAATTAAAAAAAATTGAAACCTAACCTTGGTCCCATACAAACTACTCTATCATTCCTATTTTATAATGAAGCAAGAATGCCTAATGACAATAATACAAAGATGAGTATATCAACACTCTGTTTAAATGATGGTGATGAAGACGACAAGGATACAGCTACTATTGATCATCAAGTCATTTCTCTTCCCAATCCTTTCAACAACAACAACATATCAACAACAAATAATAGTGTTTTTGATTTGGTTACTACAGATGAATCAAAGAAACCAAATGATCAAGATATATTAGATTTGGTACACAAGCTGTGTACAAACATAAAAGTTAATAGTGTATGTATTAATATAACGTAATATTCCTCAATTATTAATATCATCATCTGCTTGTTTAATTAGTCTACTCTATTGATACAGTATTTTGCAGTCAGAAAAGGTTATAATAACAAGATGGTGAATCAAAGCTGCCTACTCCCCTTTTTAAGCAATGAAACAAAGATTGAAATACGATCATTGATACTTGATACTTTTGAAAAGCAACAAGTCCCATTAACAAAATTAAAAAAGGTGATAGAGTTGCTGTTAACAAATGGTTGTAAGTATTGAATGAAAAGAAATGAACATGATATTAACACATGAACTAATCACACCTTTTATTTCAACCAAGACAAACAAGACAGTAAAGATGAAGAGATATTTAGATTTGGTATTATTAAATGGTTTAATAGTATTACAAAATCAAACAAGTTGATATCAACATCTATTATTGACTCTGTATTGGTTGCACTATCAAAGATTAAACAACCTTGTCATTCAACGTTGGTATTTGAAACATTGGATACTATTTATAATCTACTTTTTAAAAGTGCATATTTGGGAGAAAGAGAGATTTTAATGTTCTTGTCAATCTTTAAACATTATCAATTTAAAGATAATGAACAACAAGTACAACTCAAACAAGATATTACAAATAGTATTTATAAACATATGATGGATCAATCACATCTATTGGAAAACAAAGAGTTTCAATTATTTTTCAAACAAACCATTGGTATTCTATTTCAAAGTGCATACGATGGTGATTATTTTATTCCACAACAAATGGAGCAAGATTATGATCGCTTCATAGTTGATTGGAACTATGGAAAAGATCAATACGAACAGCGCCATCAGATTAGACGAAAATCAAGATTTGAATTTCTTAAACGTACTAAATTGACCAATCATACAATATGTACCATCATTTTAGATTACCTCAAAGAATTATTAAATGAAACTCCAACACCACCAACTTGGAAAGAGAAATTAATTGTACTTGGTGTATTAAATCTTGTTTCTTCTCAATATGAAAAGAATAGTCCATTTTTGAATTCAAATCTCCTTGAAAGGTATGCAATATATTATTATTATTATTTTTATCATCATTTGCTAATATATTATAATTTTTTTGGTAAAGAATTATTTTTTCAAGTGATGAAGAAGACCAAGACAATGTACTTTTACAATACGAGTTTCTTAGGATTCTTTCACGAATATCTGATTCCTCATATCAATATATATCATCATTTCGTAGGATCGTAAACAAGATTTGGAAGAGTATCTTCAATAACAAACAAAAAGATCCTGTACATCCTCGTATATTGTATAATCTTTGTGCTTATCTATCAGATACAAACTATAGAGTATTGAATCAAGATTTGATTGATCAAGTATTTGAAATATCATTGATATCTGATCAAAATCCATTCCTTGTCAAACATTCACAAACATTGTTACTAAAAAATCCACACTTGGTATGTACACCTACTCACACATCAATCAGACTTTAGATAAATATACATATTCATATTTTAATTTTTAATTTTATTATTAGGTTAGTGAACGATTAGCACCAATCTTTTTTGGTTTCTTGGATACCCTTTGTCTGGGTGAATCGGAAATCAACAGTATTATCGGATATTTTGAAAGTTTGCATACAAGTACCACAACAAAAACAAGGTTGACTACTATATTGTTATCCAAACCACCTGCATTGGTAGAGGTGGTAAATAACTTTATCTATAAGTACCTAATGAATTGGGTATTAGATGGATCAATTGGTAAAAACGCCAACATTTATCTACCAGCAATCATAAAGGTCATAACAACCAAACCAATAGACGACTACGATAAAGACCGAATGTATCGATTGTGTAATCAATTTGCAGATAAAATATATCCATATGTAGATCGTTTGATTCCTTGGGCCATTAAATTATACAACAATGAAAACACTCAAGATAGAGCAAAATTGTTAATATGTTTATTTTCAATACACTCTCAATTCCGACAAACAGATCAAAAACAGCAACAATCAAAGACCAATCAGTTGTTTCAACAGCTACTAGATTTATTTACGATTGAACATGGCGAAAATAGCGATCGTAAAATTAAATCAGTCAAACGTTTGATTAAACATGCAAAACAAAAGGTAGGTATTTCACCAAACTTGGCACAAAAAACACAAATCATCGATTGCATTAAAAATGGGATTATCATTGTTCAGGATCAACTCCTCAAGTATAGTAGAAACAATCGTAGTGATCGATCACCTCCACAACATGGAATTCAAATGATCCACAACATGATCAGACAACAACTCGATCCTCGACAATTTGGAACACTTCAAAATTACTCTGATTTGATTTATCAATTAAAAAAAACAACAACAACATCATTTGATTATGATCAAAATGATTGTGACCAATATTTAGAAATTGGAATCTATCATGTCGAACAAATGTTGGACAACATTAAAAACAACAATGCATATATTTCAGAGTTGGTTTCAAGTATATCCTATTTCCATCAATTGCTCCAATCAACTCAATTCTCATGTCAAGCAAATAATATATGGTCCAATCATTTCAACAAATATCTAATGGCAAATATTACAAATCCAGATACTTTACAATCATTATTATTCTTGACTCAACTAAAAATAAACAAATAAATGAATTAATACACCATTTTTTTTTTTTCGTAATCTTTTAATAGCCCCTACACAATATCATGATGGAAAATAGGCATCTTGTTTCAATTTTGATAAATTGCATTTGGTTTGCAAGTTTACCTAAAAATAGAAAATAATCGGAATCCTTGTTCATTCACTACTACTATTTAATGAACACACTATCATGAATAAAAGAGAATAGAATACGAGTCGTAGACAACAACAACAATAATAATTGGTGAAGATGATAGGTTTAAATGATATTACCAACAACAACAATCAATCAGAAGAACCAAAGCAACAATCAAGTGAACAAGATGTATTAAACTTGGTGCACAAGCTATGCGATAATGACGATACTGTTGTAGATAACAAAGTATGTATTCTATACTTTGTTGTATTAACATTGTATGATCATACATGTTTAGTCATCTCTTCATCATTTCCTTTTAATTTATAATTATCTTCTCTGTTGTTTAGAATGACTTTCATCCATTGTTCAAATATCTTGCAGTCAGAGATGAGCATGAGAATGATAGCAAGAAGATAAATCAAGACTGTATATTAGATGGTTTAACAAATGAAGCAAAGCTTGAAATAAGATCATTACTACTTGATACTTTCGAAGGTTGTAAAGATCCCTATTCAAATTTAAAAAATGTGGTAGAGTTGTTACTAACTAATCGTTGTAAGTATCGATGATAAATTATAAAGAACATTTAAACTGATTTATTATAATACTTTTATCAATCAAGACAAACGAGACAGTAAAGATGAAGAGATATTTCGATTTGGTATCATTAAATGGTATCAAACTATTTTAAAGCACCATGACAATGAGAATTTTGGTAAAAGATACAATCAGTTAATATCAACATCAACCATTGAATCTGTATTGGTTGCATTGTCAAAGACTAAAAATCAATCCTACTCACGATTGGTATATGAAACTTTGGGCAGTATTTGGAGACTACATTATAAAACCAACATTCAAACAGAAAGAGATATCACAATGTTCTTGTCAATCTTTAAACATTATGAATATATAGGATATCATGAGCCATATTCATCACTCAAACAAGATATTACAAATAGTATTTATAATTATCTTGACCCTAAATCAGATTTATGGAAAAACAAAGAGTTTCAAGTATTTTTCAAACAAAGCATTGTTAATCTATTTCAAAATGCATATTATGATGATTATTTTATTCCACAACAATATGAAATAGATTATGATCAATACTTGGTTGATTGGAATACCAGTCAATACGATCAATCAATTAAAAAACCAAAACCAAGATTCATGTTTCTTGCATACATTAATTTGAATGACCATCAAATAATATATACCATCATTTTGGATTTCCTCAAAGTATCTTTGAGTGCATTCCCAACTTGGAAAGAGAAATTAATTGTACTTGGAGTATTAAATTATATTGGTTCTTTTTATAAATATTTTGGTATAAATGATCCATTGTTATCTATATTATCAGATGATTCCATTCTACTCCAACAGTTGTATGTATATTTATAAATTATCATTTTTTGACAGGATCATTCTAACAATAATATTATATTTTTTTTATGTAAAGAATAACATTTTTCTATCCAGAAAAAAATACATTCAACATTCCACAAGAACAAGATCATGTAATTGTTCATTATGAATTGCTTAGACTCCTTAAAAGATTCAATTTGCACTCTTGCAACCATTCATTTAAATCTATTATAAATGAGGGTTGGGAGAGTATCATCAACTTTAAACAAGACCCAATACATCCTAGTTCATTGTATCATCTTTGTAATTTCATCAAAGATACTGGAAACAAAGTATTGAATCAAGATTTGATTGATCTGGTATTTGAAAAATCATTAAAATCTAATCATAAATACCTTGTTGATCATGCACAAACATTGATTCTTGAACATTCACACCTCCTATGTCAAGAAAGACAAATGATTAAATAAATAAAATCTAGGTTTTATTTTCTTGCAGTTAATTTGAATTCTGGGCTATATATACCTGACATCATTTCAAAATACCTCAAAGTATTTTTAAATGAAACATCTGGTTGGAAAGAGAAACCAATTGCACTAACTATCAGTTCTAATCATTTTACACAATATCTTAAAGATAATAAGTAACTCTTTTATATAATCTCGAAATGAAAAGAGAATGCAAATCATCAAGTAAAGAGGTTGAAACAACCAACAATAACAGTAACAACAACAACATTCAATCTATTACAGAAACAAGTGAGCAAGATATATTAGACTTGGTACACAAGTTATGCGATAATACTTTTGATGACAAAGAATCTATTTCTATTGTATGTATTCATTTAGAGTATTAAATCATAATGATCATCATCATCATCATCAATTATTAATACAGAATCTTATAATTAGACCCTTCGTCGATTGTGTAAATATCTTGCAGTGAGAGATAAGAATGATTACAACAAGATGAATCAAGACTGTGTTGTAGATGGTTTAACAAATGAAACAAAGATTAAAATAAGATCATTACTACTTGATACTTTTGAAGGTTGTAAAGACAATTCAAATTTAAAAAAGTTGATAGAGTTGTTACTAACTAATCGTTGTAAGTAGTATTGAAAGGAATGAATTAAAAGAATACTCGTACATATGTAACAAAAATATAATATTCACAAAAACATTTTGCAATCATTCAAAAAAGATAAAAGAGACAGTAATGATGAAGAGATATTTAGATTTGGTATTATTAAATGGTTTAATAATGTTTTGAAGCACCAAAGCAATGAGAATGGCATAAGAACTAATATGTTAATATCAACATCTACGATTTACTCTGTATTGGTTGTTTTGTCAAATATTAAGCAACCATGTCAGTCAGAGTTGGTATTTGAAACATTGGAAGCTATTTGGAGACTACATTATAAAGGTGATGATATCAAAACCCTCAAAGAAATAGATATTTTAATATTGATAACAATATTTAAACATTATCAATTTAGAGATAATCAACAACAAGTACAACTCAAACAAGATATTATAAATAGTATTTATAATTGTCTCTCATCTCTATCACATCTATTGAAGAACAAAGAGTTTCAAGTATTTTTCAAACAAACTATTGGTATTTTGTTTCAAAGTGCATACGACGATGAGTATTTTATTCCACAACAACAGTCTCAATTGGAAGAAGATAAGGATAGTTTTAAACAATTCTCTATACTCCGTAAGATGGGTAACGAACCTCAACAAAGATTTAGATTTCTTCAATGTATTGATTTGAACGATCAGACAATATTCACCATCATTTTGGATCACCTCAAAGAATCTCTCTCCATTACAACAACACCACCAACTTGGAAAGATAAATTAATTGTTCTTAAAGTATTAAATTATATTGATGCTTTATCTATGAATTACAATTCTGGTATAGGTTCATTATTATCAGTAATATTAAATTCAAATATACTTCAACGGTATGTAAATATAAGTATTTTTAAAACTAAATTATGAATGTTCTAACATTCTCATTCTTTTATTTCTTAAAGAATTTTCTCATTCGAAACACAAGACAATGTACTTGTTCATTATGAGTTACTTGTATTTATTTTTAAACTCACTCAAGACCCAGACGTTTTAGAATCATCATCATTTATTATAAATGAAGGTTGGCAATGTATCATTAATCACAAACAAGACCCAATACATGCTCTTACATTGTATACTCTTTGTTATTTTATAAATGTTACCAAAAAAAAGGTTTTTAGTCAAGATTTGATTGATCAAGTATTTGAACAATCATTACAATCTAATCATAAATACCTTGTTGATCATGCAAAAGAATTGGTTCTAAACAATACATGTTTAGTAAATATACACATCAATCAAACTTGATATAAATATTAATATTAATATTTTTTTTCCAAACAATTTATTTAGGTTAGTGAAAGATTAGCACCATTCATGATTGGTTTCTTGGATACAATGAATGGAGTCATGGAAACCAACAATATCATCAAATATTTTAATAGTTTAGAAACAAGTTCAGCAAAAACCAAAAGAGAATATTTAAATAGATTGGCCATGAGAATGTTATTGTTATTCAAACCACCCAATTTTGCCCATCATAATATGAAGATGAACAGCTTTATCTTTACTTATCTGTTGGGTTGGATATTAGATGGATCAATTGGAAAGAATGCAGTCATTTATCTTCCAGCAATCATGAAAGTAATGATAACTCAATTAATTTCATACAGCGATATAGATAGACTTGTTCGAATATGCGAAAAATTCCCAGACAAGGTATACTCATACATGAATCATTTGATTCCTCGTGCTATTGATGTTTTCAACGACGCCAATCATACAAAGTTGATGATGTGTTTATTGACAATATGCTTACAATTCAGTCAAACTGACCAACAACTAGCAGCATCCAATCAGTTGTTTCAACATATAATTGATATATTTGTCAGTGATCCTGGTGACTCTAACTGGAAAATACAAGGATTCAATGGTTGGATTGAACAAGTACAGAGGGTAGGTGGTATTTCACCAAACATTGAACAAAAAAAACAAATCATTGATTGGATTAAAAATGGAATTCCAATGGTCCACATCCAACTTCGTTCTCGTTTACAATTCTCTGTACTTAGACAATACTCTAAATTTATTCATCAAATAACAACAGCATTTGGCAATGATGACGATACTGACTATTATTTAGAAATTGGAATATACCATGTTGAAAAAATGTTGGAAGGTATTAAAAACAATGTATATGTTTCAGATATGGGTTTCACTATTACCAATTTCCATAAACTATTCAAAACGATTCAATTCTCTTGTCAAGCAAATAATATATGGTCCAATCATTTCAAAAAATATCTAATGACCAATATTACAAATAATGACCATTTACAATCATTATTATTCTTGACTAAACTCAATGATAATTAATGATGAACAAGAAATAAATAAAAGAATGGTCTCTACTTGAGGACAAATTTGGCGGTCTTTTTTTTCTTTAATTACAACTACTATTTAACAAGATAAAGAGAGTATATAGTAATATGAAAGGAAAACATAAACCTTCAATAAAAGAAGTGTTAGAGAGATATAATGCAAAGATAATATCAAAGTCGTGTTTAAATGATACCAGCAACAACAACCGTCAATCAGATGAAGAAGATCAACCTATTAATGATGCATATGATCAGCAAGCTCCACGCATTACACTTCCCAATCCATTCAGTAACAACAACAACAACAACAACAACAACAACAACAACAACAACAACAACAACAACAATAATAATAATAATAATGAATCATTTGATGATAATCATCATCATGTCACTACTACTGCTCCAACCAATACTTTCATCAGTAACAATACAAAGAATCAAGATAGTGTATCAAACAACAACAACTCTATTGCAAAGGAATCAAAACGACAAAGTGACCAAGATATATTAGACTTGGTACACAAGATATGTGATATTGATAGTTCTGTGAGTTACAAAGTATGTGCAACAATATTGTATATTACCTCGTATTATGATGATCATTTATCAATTATTAATAATTATCGTTGTTTTATTCTTTAGCTATTATTAAAGTATCTTGCAGTTAGAAAAGGCAATGATAACAAGACGATGAATCAAGACTGTGTATTACCCTTTTTAACAAACGAAACAAAGACTGAAATACGATCATTGATACTTGGTGCTTTTGAAAGGCAAGGTTATCAACAATTTTCTCAATCAAATTTAAAACATATTGATTTGTTGTTAACAAATAGTTGTATGTATAGTAGTAAAGTGAAAGAATGAATGATGATGAATATTTTAGCAAAGACTATAAACTAATCAGACAAAAACCTTTTATTTCAAAAAAGACAAACAATCGAGTGAAGATGAAGAGATATTTAGATTTGGTATTATTAAGTGGGTTGATAAAATGTTAAAGCAACCAAGTAATCATCAAAACTTTTTGGGTCAAAAATACAATTTATTGATATCTCCATCTACCATTGACTCTGTATTGGTTGCATTGTCAAAGGTTAAAGAACCATCTCGATCAAATATTGTATATGAAACAATGGCAACTATTTGGAGACTACACTTTAAACAAATTGGATGTGCTATTGGAGAAAGAGAGATTTCAATGTTCTTGTCAATCTTTAAACACTACCCACGATTTAAAGATGATCAACAACCAAGTCATGAACAACTAGTTCAAGAAATTGGCATAAATATTTATACTAATATTTCACCTCAATCGGTCCTATGGGAGAACAAAGACTTTACAACTCTTGTACAATCATTTAAAGAGAAACAAAAGCAACCAAATGATCAAGATATAGTAAACTTGGTACGTGAGATGTGTGATAATACTAATGTAAATAATGATGTATGTACAATTGTTGTGAAATCGTATACTACAATCAAATATTAATAATTATATTTATTTAGGATAATTGTAATTTATTGATAAAGTATCTTGCAGTTAGAATAGGTAATGATAACAAGACAGTGAATCAAGGCTGTGTATTACCCTTTTTAAGCAATGAAACAAAGATTGAAATACAATCATTGATACTAGATGCTTTTGAAAAGCAAAGTGATCAACCCTTTTCAAATTTAAAAAAAGTTGTTGAATTATTGTTAACTAATCGTTGTAAGTAGTATAATAGAAGAAAAAAAGAATGATTATAATATAATGAATATCATATAAAACTCAAACATTTTATTATTCAATCAAGATAAAAGAGATAGTAAAGATGAAGAGATATTTAGATTTGGTTTAATTAAATGGTTTAATATTTTTATATTAAAGGATAAAGACAATCAAAGTAATTTTTTGGGTAAAATATTCAATAAGTTGATATCGACATCTACCATTGAATCTGTATTATTTGCATTGTCAAAGATTAAACAACCATGTCATTCAGAATTTGTATTTCAAAATCTGGATACTATTTGGAGACTACATTATAAAAATGCACATCATTTTGGAGAAAGAGATATTTCAATGGTTGTGCCAATCTTTAAACATTATGAATTTAAAGGAGATCAACAATACGAACAACTCAAACAAGATATTGCAAATCTTATTTATAATCATCTACCACCTAAATCACCTCTATGGAACAACAAAGAGTTTCATATATTTTTCAAACAAACGGTTGGTACTCTATTTCAAAGTATACAAGAAGATGATTATTTTATTCCACAACGATTCGAGACAGATTATGATCGATTCATGATTGATTGGAATGATCAACACTATGAACCAATCAGTCGACCAAAACAAAGATTTATATTTCTTGCATATATTAATTTGCAGGAAAAGACTCTGTTCACCATCATTCAAGATTACCTCAAAGTATTGATGTCTCATGAAACATCTGGTTGGAAAGAGAAATTAATTGTTCTTGGTGTATTGAACCTTGTGGGTATCTGTGTAAGGAATAGATATTATTTAAAGAGTGGTCCGATGTTAACACATTCAGATCTTCGAAAAAGGTATGTAAACATAATTGTATTTGAAAACCAATTGTGATTTATTTATCAACTTATTTGATTTAATTTCAAAGAATATTTTCAATCGATCCAAAACAAAATAATTGCCTCATTCATTGTAAGCTGATTGGATTTTTTAGAAAATTACCAGACGACGAACTTTCCCAAGATTCATTTCGAAAAACAACAAATCGAGTTTGGAAGAATATTATCAACCGAAAAGAAGAACCTTTACAACCACGTACACTATATCTTCTATGTGATTATATCAAAGATACCGAAGATGAATCATTTTATGAAGATTTGGTTGATAAAATTGTACAACAATCATTGAAATGTGATCAGAGATATGTTGTTGAAGCTGCTGAAAATTTAATTCAAGAACGTCAAAAACTAGTAGTAGGTATTATTATTATACAAATGTGATATTCTTTTTAATCATTATTAATATTTTTAATTTCATCTCAATTGAGGTTGGTCCACGATCCGTGATTAAAGTTTTAGATAAAGACAATCTCACTATAGACGATATTGACAAGGTGATCAAATATTTTGACAAGAATAAGAAAACAAAACTCATCAACAAAAAGAAATATCTTTCAACGATTATCTCTCGAGTGGTCGTTAATCCACCTTCAATCCTCAATCAAAAAATGATTGGTAACTATCTTAAAACATTTATAGTATATTGGATTGCACCCGATTACTATGGAAAATATAAAGGATATGAATCAATAGGAAAGGATCTTCTCATTTATCTTCCAGCAATCATGAAAGTAATCCTAAACCAACCATTAGGATTTCAAAACGAATCAGTGATTCTCGAATTGTGCTGGCAGTTCCCAGATAAAATGTATTTATACATTGATCGTTTGATTCCTCTTGCTGTTGATTTTTTCAACAAGCATTCTAGAGGTGGAAGAAAGGTGTTGCTTGGTTTATTTGAACTATGCACTCAATTCAACAAAACAGATAAACAACAAGCAACAACCAATCGATTGTTTCAACAATTGATTGATTTATTGATCACACTGAAAAAAGATTTCACGATAGATCATTTGCTGAAAGAGGCAGAACAAGCTGGTATCATCCCAACACCAAACCAAAGATCTCAAATCTTCAATTGGCCATATAAATCACTCATGTCAACACTCAGAGTCGTATTCTCAACTGTTATCAATAACAACCAATCGATTGTCGGGTGTGACAATTCGGTCAACACCATTGACACTTTCCAACAATCAGCAGACAATGGAACACTTCAATACCCCAATTGGGCTTGAAAACAAATTGCAAATATTATTATTTGTAGTAGAATCTATTTATCAGAAAATGTTTTAAATAAACAATTAAAATCATTGTTATTATTATTATTATACATCCATCAAATTTTCTAATTATTTAATTTAGTTTTTGAAAATATCAGAGTAGTTTTTTTTTTTTCTGTTGATCTATGACTTCATTCTCATTTTGCTTATTATTATACTCTCTCTTAGCAATAATAATATGAATAGAGAACCACCAACTAATGATGTTGAATCCATAAACAACAATCAAGTTAACCTTCAATCTATGACAGAAACAACAATTGATCAAGATGTATTAGACTTGGTACACAAGCTATGTGAAAACACTACTGGTAACAAAGTATGTTTAGTATTACATCACATCTTCATCATCAATTTTATTAATACATTCTTTATCGTTGTTGAGAGTTTCTTTAATCTATTGTGTAAATATCTTGAAGTCAGAGATGAGTATGATAACAAGAAGATAAATCAAGACTGTGTATTAGATGGTTTAAGCAATGAAGCAAAGATTGAAATAAGATCATTACTACTTGATACTTTCGAAGGTTGTAAAGATCCCTATTCAAATTTAAAAAATGTGGTAGAGTTGTTATTAACTAATCGTTGTAAGTATCTGAACAAAAGAGTGAATAGATAGATACAATTAATTTTATATTTACATAAATCTTCAAAAGACAAACAAGAAAGTAAAGATGAAGAGATATTTAGATTTGGTATTATTAAATGGTATCATACTATTTTAAAGTACAAAGAGAAGGATTGTGGTACAAAATACAATAATTTGATATCACCATCTACTATTGAATCTGTATTGGTTGCATTGTCAAAGATTAAACAACCATCTCGTTCAATATTGGTATTTGAAACATTGAACAATATTTGGAGACAACATTATAAAGATAGATTAATATTGGAAGATAGAGAGATTAAAATGTTTATATCAATCTATAAACATTATCAATTTAGAGATAATGAACAACAAGTATTACTCAAACAAGAGATTACAAATAGTATTTATAATTATCTTGACCCTAAATCAGATCTATGGACCAACAAAGAGTTTCAAATATTTTTCAAACAAACCATTGGTATTTTATTTCAAAATACATACAAAGATGAGTATTTTATTCCACATCAATTTGAAAAAGATTATGATTTATACAAGTCTGGTATAAAACAATTCTCTTTAATGGGTCTCGAACAACCAAGTGCAAGATTTAAATTTCTTCATCATTTACATTTGGATGATAAGATAATACTATTGTCCATCATGGAATACCTCAAGGAATCTTTCACCAATGCATCACCAACTTGGAAAGAAAAATTAATTGTACTTAGAGTATTAAATTATATTGAATCTTTTACGAGTACAAATGATCCATTATTATATGTATTAAAAGATTCCATTCTAATTCAACGGTATGTAATGTCATATTTGCTAATACTATAATATCATTTCATTTCTAATACATTCTCTTTATTCTTTAAAGAATTTTCTCATCCGGAACACAAGACAATGTACTTGTTCATTACGAGTTGCTTAGATTTCTAACTAAACTCAATCGTGATCCTACTATTTTCGAATCATCATCATTTAAATGTTTGGTAAATGATGGGTGGCAGAGTATTGTTAATAACAAACAGGACCCAATATATGCTCTTACACTATTTAATCTTTGTATTTTTATAAATGACACGAAAAAGAAAGTTTTTAGTCAAGATTTGATTGATCTGGTATTTGAAAAATCATTACAATCTAATCAGAATTACCTTGTGGTACAGTCACAATCATTACTTTTACAACTACCACACCTTGTAAGAATTCACATCAATCAGTATGATAATATTATTATTAAAGTATTTCTGGTTATATATTTATTTAGGTGAGTGGAAGATTAGCACCATTTATTTTTGGTTTATTGGATACAACGAAAAATATTGGAGAAAAAAGCAATATTCTCAAATATTTTGATAAATTGGAAACAGGTACATATTTAAAGATGTTGACGACTAAATTATTATTAAAACCAACTACTTCTTTGGCACAGAGCTTTCAGGTGGTTGATACCTTTGTCTATACATATCTATTAAATTGGATATTTAATGGATCAATTGGAAAGAACGCTTGCATTTATCTACCAGCAATCATGAAAAGAATAATAACTCAACCAATTAACATATTCCTTGAACTTGAGCTTGTTCGATTGTTTTATCAATTCCCAGACAAAGTATACTCATACATTCATCATTTGATTCCTATGGCAATTGAATTAGACAACACCCACAATTGTACAAATCTGTTAATGTGTTTATTTTCAATACACTCACAATACAGTAAAACAGAAACAAATCGACAACAATTATTTCAACAATTACTCGATTTATTTACAATTAAACCTGATTATTGGAAAATATCACTTGTTAAACGTTTATTAGAACATGCTCAACTGGCAAACATGTCACTTTCAGTTGGACAAAAATTACAAATCCTTGAATGGATTAAAAATGGAATTCAAATGGTCAACAGCCAGATCAAGCAACTCAATCCTCTTCTCTACCAATCTCCTGCTGAAATTGGTTTGCTTCAAGAATACTCTGATTTAATTTGTCAAATTGCTAATTTTGGTTACGACGTTTGTTACTTTGAAATTGCACTGTATCATGTCGTCCAAATGTTGGACAATATTAAAAACAATGTATATACTTTCAAGTTGGTTTCAAAAATATTTATTTTTGATTTTATGCTTAGAAAGAATTATTTCTCTAGTCAAACAAAGATTATATGGTCTGGTTATTTCAACAATTATCTCAAAGATAATATAAAAGAACCAAATGTTTTAAAATCTTTATTATTCTTGGTTCAAAAATAAAATGAAAAAAAAAAGAACCAACCCAATCCTGTAGAACAATTACAAACAACAACCATACTTTTATAAATTACTCAAACTATTGACATGCCAGAGGCAAAGAATATTTGGTCTGATCATTTCAAAAAATATCTAAAGTATAATATTGTACAATAAAAATTTATTAAAGGTAAATTTGTTTATACTGCTGGGGAGGAGATTAATATGTTTGGAAACATTTTCTCATTTAAAACCTTTAAAGCCTTTCTTGAAGCCCTTGTGCTTGTAGCCCTTGAAACCCTTGTGCTTGTAACCCTTGAAGCCCTTGTGCTTGTATCCGTGATGACCATAGGCACCTGGTGGATAAGCTCCTGGAGGGTAGGCGCCTGGAACAGCTCCTGGTGGGTAAACAGCCCCTGGTGGGTAACCTTGTTGTGGATAGGCACCTGGTGGATAGGCTCCTGGTGGGTATCCTTGATGTGGGTAGGCAGCGCCTGGTGGGTAAGCTCCTGGTGGTGGTGGTGGGTAGCCGCTCATTCTTTAATCTAATAATATAAAAGCCAAATTGATTGTTAAAATATATGTTACTTTATATGATAGGAAGAGGAGTAGGAGTAGGTCAAATAAAGTGACGATGAGATAGAGGTGAGAACTGGTCGGTCGATTTGAAACAACCTCCTCGCCACATGTCAATAGTGGTTACTCACATTCTCACTTACTCTTTTTTGTTTGATAGATTTAGAGAGTAAGAGAGAAAGAGAGATATAATTAATTTACTTACAATTATTATGTTTAGGATAGGTATAATGAATTTTAAATCATCTGCATGAGCTTCAATTTATCTTCAAAAAGTTTGATGTCACGCATGCGATTTTAGTTTTTTAACAAGACCTCAAACTTTAAGTAAAAATCTTGGGTCTAACCCATCCGAAGGGTGTCAGCGAGACAGGTCACACAAAAACATCCAGTCTACCATTTCGGGCGACCAACAAGATAAAAATAGGAAGGAAGGAATAAATCCAAACATATTTATTTGATTTTTTTCAAATTTAGTAGTTTTTTTTTTTGAACCAACCCAACAATAATGCCAAAGTAGAGATCAGTCCCTATTCGATAACCATTTTAAACATCTTGAATCTTGCATTATGAAACCAAAATACAAAACCATCTTCATATCAAGACAAACTGTCAATCGTATAACTAAATCGAATCAACAACAACAAACTACGAATGATCAAAAGCTAAGCACCAGTCATGATATTGCAACAAATGAATCAATACTACAACCACAATAAAAAATCAAGATGTATTAAACTTGGTGAAGAGAGTATGCGATAATACTGCTGTAAATAACAAAGCTTGTATTGTTGTTTAGTCTTATAATATTATCATATATGTGTGGATTAAAAATGGAATTCTCATTCTCCACTGATAACCTATCCCTCCTCAATCCTACTCACGATAAGAGCCCTCCACAATTGAACACTCTTAGAGTATACTCTCGATTGATTCATCAAATGACACGATTTGACTATGGTGATGATATTGGTAATTGTGGTGGTGACTATTATATTGGAGTTGCAATATATCATGTCGAACAAATGTTGGATAATATTAAAAACAAAAAGTATATTTCAGAGTTGATTCCATGTATCCAATACTTTTACAAATTACTCAAAACTTTTGACGAATCTAAATTAAAAAAAAAATATAATAATAAGAGTAATAAATACAACTAATCACAACCAAGACAAACAATCGAGTAAAGATGAAGAGATATTTAGATTTGGTATTATTAAATGGGTTGATATTATGTTAACGAAACCAAGTAATCGTCAACAGTCAAAATGAATTGGGTACAGTAATCAATAGATTGATATCAGCACCTACCAATTGAAAGTACATTATTTGCACTGTCAAAGGTCAAACAACCATGTCATTCAACGTTGGTATTTAAAACATTGGATACAATTTGGAGACTACACTTTAAAAAATAATCTATATAATATTAGAGAAAGAGAGATCCCAAACTGATTGTATTCAAACAGAGGAATCCTCAGATCAAGCTCGATTAAACTTGGAAACAACCCAAACCAAATCCATTCCGGCATATGAACCAAAGCAAGAAACTGATCAAAATGTCTTAAACTTGGTGCAAAAGCTATGCAGTAATACTGTTTTAGATAACAATGTAGGTATAAAATTGATAAATCCTATGAAATTCTCAATCTTATTAATTGTATAATTAGGATGACTTTAATTTATTTTTAAATTATTATTCAAGTATCTTTCGGTCAGAATAGGTAATGATAAAAAGACAGTTAATCAAGACTGCGTACTACCATTTATAATTTATATGAGTTTTGCGAAAAACCCAGCGCAGTTGTTTTGACTTCTCACATATGAATATATAGATAGTAATAATGACTTTAGATTAGATTGTAAATGATTATTAATTCTAATAATAAAAGAATGAATAAATAGAATGAATAATATTATAGTAATAATGAATAATGAATATAGAATATAGAATGTCTCTTTATTGGATTATTCTAATCCTTTTTATAATTGTTGATCCAGACGACTAACTGACGATGGTTAGTCGTTAGTATTTTATCCAAAATACTTTACATATTTAACTTGTCCTAACCAGGATTGAGTATATTGAGATCAATGAGATATCAATGAAATATCATTGAGATATCATTGATTTTAAACAATCTAGATCTAACAAAAAGAAGACAAACAAGTACAACTCAAACAAGAAATTATAAAAGGCATTTTTAATCATCTACCTCCTCGATCACACCTATGGACCAACATAGAGTTTCAAGTATTTTTCAAACAAACGATTGGTATTTTATTTCAAAGTGAAACTGAATATTCTTTTATCCCACAACAATTTGAAAAAGATTAGGATCGATTCATGGTTTTTTGGAATATTCAAATTTATTTCCAAAACGAATCAATCACAAAATCAAGATTTGACTTTCAACATATCAATTTGAGCGATGATCAGACTCTATTCATCATCATTTTTAGATTACTTCAAAGTATTGGTAAATGAAAAATTTGGTTGGAAAGAGAAATTAAATGTCCTTGGGTTCTTGTTCAATACGAGCTGTTGACATTTATTTTCAAATTAAAGGAGGACTTCATTTCCAAAACTCGATTCCGATCAATTATAAACGACTTTTTGGAGCGTATTATCAATCAAGACCAAATACAACCTCGTTTGTTATATACCCTCAGCAGAAATAGTGCAAAAATCAAAGAAGAAATTTTAACCCGAATCAGGATGTCCTTGGTCAAGTGATTGAACAATCATTAAAATCAGATCATCACTATGTTTTCACAATTGCAGAATGTTTGATTCTACAACCCAAACAAGAATTAATCTTGGTAAGCAATTTAAAATACATTAATGAATCGACTTGATATTAATTATTTTTTTATAGGACACACGATTAGCACCAAGTATTATTGGTTTTTTACATCAACCCGATCTGAATCAAGATAAACTTGATCTGGTAATCAGATATTTCAACAAGGTTGAGTTGTCAGCCAATAAAGAAAATGGTGTAACAGTATCGCTCAACTGTTGTTGGAACCAGAATTTTGCAACCTAGAGCTGGCTGATCGATTTATTTATAATGGTTTGTTAAATTGGATATTTGATGGATGTTAGATCTAGATTGTTTAAAATTAATGATATCTCAATGATATTTCATTGATATCTCATTGATCTCAATATACTCAATCCTGGTTAGGACAAGTTAAATATGTAAAGTATTTTGGATAAAATACTAACGACTAACCATCGTCAGTTAGTCGTCTGGATCAACAATTATAAAAAGGATTAGAATAATCCAATAAAGAGACATTTCTACATTCTATATTCATTATTCATTATTACTATAATATTAATCATTCTATATTCTATATTCATCTTTGATTACTATAATTAATAATCATTTACAATCTAATCTAAAGTCATTATTACTATCTATATATTCATATATCCATATATTATTATTATTATATACCTCTCAAACTAATTATATATTTACTAAGTATCTATATAGTTATTACAATGGATCTATTGGAAAGAATGCAGCCATTTATCTTCCAGCAATCATGGAAAGAATAACTACCTTCCCAGCCACTATCTTGTCAAGAATTGAAAATCGAGTTGTGCAACTGTGTCACCAATTCCGAAACCATATACATTTTTATCTTAATTCTTTGGTTCCACGGGCTATTCTTTGGTAGAATGAGCAACGATAGTAAAACTCTATTGACGAGGTTATTTTCAATCTATTGTCAACACAACAAGACTGAGCGACAACAAGCAGCAACCAATCAGTTGTTTCAACAATTACTCGATTTATTCCTCACGGTTCAATATATTGACAATTCAAACCCAATCAAAGGTTTGATTGACCACCTACAACAGGCAGGCATTTCACCAAGCATTGGACAAAAAACACAAATCATTGATTGGATTAAAAATGGAATTATCCACGATCAACTATCCCTTCTCAATTCTAAGCGCAAAAAGAACCTCCACAATTTGACATCCTTCAACTATACTCTGAATTGATTCATCAAATGTCTTTATTTGATTATGATGATAATGGTAACGGCGACTATTATTTAGGTATTGCAATATATCATATTGAAAAAATGTTGGACAATCTTACAAACACAGAGTATTATTCAAGTTTGTTTCAACCATCTCTGACTTTTATCGATTACTCCAATCAAGTCAATTTCACTAAATCAAACAGATCAATAAAGTAATTAAGGATTTGATTAATTAAAACTCTATATATTGTTATTTATTTTTGAATTCTATTAATATGGTTGATTGAGTTTGGTCAAGAATAACAACGATTGATAATGATCATCATTTTTAATATTATCTCTGAGATATTTGTTGAAATGACTGGACCAGATATTCTTTGCTTGACAAGAAAAGTCAATAGTTTTGAATAGTTCATAGAAAAAGAAAGCACTTGCTACCAAACTTAAAGTACATTCCTTGTCATTGACGAACAACGCAACTCTTCTAATGCTTTCCAACATTTGTTCGACATGATAAATTCCAATTTCTAAATATTGATTGCAATCATTATCTTGATCAAGTGATGCAATTTGATGAATGAATTCAGAGTATTGTCGAAGTTTGTCCAATTGAGTTCCTGGCAAATTGCTATTGGGATCAAGATTCTTGATCTGATCGTGGACAATAAAGATTCCATTTTTAATCCAATCCATTATTTGTGTTTTTTGTTCAATAGATATTGAAATGCCTGTCAGTTGTGCATGTTCAATCAAACTTTTGACTAGTTCTGGTTGTATTTCACCATGGGAAATGGTAAATAAATCGAGTAATTGTTGAAAGTATTGATTTGTTGTTGTTTGTTGTTGATCTGTTTGACTTGTGAACAACATATTGAAAATAAACACATCAACAGTGTTGTTTTAAAACCGTTGTTGCTGTATAGTTCAATAGCCCGAACAATCAAACGATTAATGTATGGATATAAAAAGTTTGGTGGCAACTTTTCACAAAATTTAACAAGTCTTTTTTCATCCGTGGTTGGTCTGTCTAATATTCTCTTCAGAATGAACGGAAGATAAATGACCAAATTCGTTGCAAAAGATTCAGATAGAAATATCCAATCAAATAGATTGTAAATAAATAGATCGATCGCTTGAATATCAAGTTGTACCAATAAAAGCCGAGTCATAATAATCTTTAAGTATTTTCTGTTGTTGAAGATTGTTGATTTGTGTCTGCCAAAATATTGAAACACCATGTCGGTACGGTATTCTCCATCAGAATGGTCCAAAAAGCTCAAAATGGATGGTAACAATCTTGGACCAGCCTAAATAAATAAAAATTAATTTTTATTATGACAAGTGATATGATTAAGATGATGCGTATACATACTATGTGTGGTTGTTCAATAATCAATGTTTTTGCATATTGGGCAACATATGTATCAGATTGTAACGATCTTTCAAATATTTCATCTGTTACATCTAGATAAAATGATAGGTCTCCAGTATCTTTAATAAAGGTACATAGGGTAAAAAGAATACGAGGTTGTACAGATTCTTCTTTTCTTTTGACGATTCCCTTCCAAACATCATTTACAATCAATCTAAACATAGATCCATAAATGACAGTGTAATCAAATTTGAATAGAAATTTAAACAACTCTAAATGAACCAGTACATTATCTTGATTTAACCCTGAGATCATACTATTTTAATATTGAAGAATTATGTGTTAAAATCATAATAAAATTAATTAATTAAATAAATAATACATACATTTGGAGAACTGGATCTGATAATAAAGATAAAAATGGATTACCGTGTTGATGCCCAGAAGAAGCCATATAGTTTAACAAACCAAGAAAAACTAATTTATCTTTCCAACTTGTTGTTGTTGACGCTGTTTCTTTTAAAATTACTTTAAAGTAATCTAAAACCAAGTTGAATAGAGTCCTATACTCTAAGCTAATAGATTGAAGAAACATAAATCTTGATTTTGGTTGTTGACAAGTTGGTTTATAGTTTTCCTTATTCCAATCAATCATGAATTGATCATAATCTTGTTCGAATCGTTGTGGAATAAAATAATCATCGTCATATGCATTTAAAAGTAAAATACCAATCGTTTGTTTGAAAAATAATTGAAACTCTTTGGTTTTCAATATAGGTGATCGAGGTGGAAGATTATTATAAATAAGATTTGTAATATCTTGTTGTAGTTGTAGTTGATTATCTTTAAATTGATAATGTTTAAAGATTGATAAAAAAATGTGGATCTGTTCTGTCTTTATAATAACTCTATTCTCTTTATAATGTAGTCTCCAAATAGCATCCAATGTTTCAAATATCAACGATTCTGAATAACATTGTTGTTTAATCTTTGACAGTGCAAATAATACAGTGTCAATAATAGATACCCATAGACCAAAAGCATTATTTTGATGATTATCTTGATCCTCCTTTAAAATAATGTAAGAAGAGTAGATAATGAATACAAGACGATGAATCAAGACTGTGTACTATCATTTTTAAGCAATGAAACAAAGATTGAAATACGATCATTGATACTTGATGCATATACGGATGAAAAGAAAAGCGACACTTTTTCAAATGTAAAGTATGCAGTTCTGTTACTGTTAACTAATCGTTGTATGTATAGTATAGTAGTGGCCGCTACTTTGATGAATATTATATAACTAATTAAATTCAATCAAAAGACAAAAAAGAAAGTGAAGATGAAAAGATTTTTAGATATGGTATTATTAAATGCATAAGAGACGTACCAATTTCAATACATCTTGATCATTTGGTCGTTGTTGGAATTGTTCACTAGCGAATGGATTACTTGTTGTATTAGTGAACAGATTGTTGGTGATGACGGTTGCAAATGGGTTGCTTGTAGTAGTAGTAGTAGTAGTAGTCTTGTTGAACTGATTGTTGTTGATAACATGGTCAATTGGTTGAATGGTAGTATCTAAACGTAACGTTGATAACATTTGCATCATTGCATTGCTTTTGTCATCATCACCAAATGACGGTCTGCGTTTTCCTTTCATATTATACTCGAGTATTTATGTTTTCTATTTATCTTTTGCTCATTTATTTTGAATAACAAAAGAACCATTCTCTCTTTAGCAAGTATCTTTTTTTTTTTAAAAGATATTGTTTGCCAAGAGCTGAGCTGGTCAAGTAATTTTTCTTCAAACAAAAAAAAAAAAAAATATTAATTAAAAAAAATGATCATTTGACGACGTGAAACTTCAAAATTTCTCAAACCATGTTATATTATAATATTAATTTGATGGTGAATAATAATAATCAACATTTAAATGTGATGGAGGACGGCGAGTTTGTTAATATGACGATACCGAGTAAAGAGTTTGTGCAATGGATCAAACAAATAGAAGTCGGTGTCGTTGGAGGTCGACTCAATCAAAAGATTAAAGATACATTCAAGTTACAGTTTATGCAACCACCGCATTATCAAGGTATACTAAACTTGTTACATATGTTGTGTTATCACGATAGGCATGATAATACCTATGGTTACACTGTATGTTATTACAAAGAGAGATGAATCATCTGATCTGAGATCATTAAATTTTGTAACTAATCCATTAATCATATGATTTTGTGTAGATATGTGTAGATTTATTATTGGATTATATGTCATTAAGAGACAAACAAGACAACAAGATGGTAAACAATGATTGTATATTACCTCTGCTAAGCAATCACATCAAGACACAAATGCGGTCCTATCTACTATACCACTTTCAAAAGAACCAAAATATAACAATGAAAGAATCAATGAACATGATCAAGTTAAAGAAAATAATTTGTTTAATTTTAAATAATCGTTGTATGTAACTAACCCTATATATACTACATATATTTGTATTTGTATTTGTATTTGTATTTATATTTGTATTTGTATTTATATTTAATTTATTTAAATTTTTAAATAAGATTAGATAGTAGTGGTAGTGATGACGAGGATATATTTAGAATTGGAACCATTAAATGGTTTAATGATACTTTAAAAGAATATGATCGGACAAGTCTATCAAAATCAAAGTACAAAGATACGATTCCACATTTATTGGTTGCATTGTCAAAGGTTAAGGTTAAACAACCACGCCCACATCAAAACTCTTCAGAATCGTTGGTATTTGAAACATTGGATATTATTTGGAGACTACATATATGGGGAGACAAAGATATTGCAATGTTGCTGTCAATCTTTAAACACTATGAATTGAACAAAGTACATAGACCACTAAGAAAAGAGATTAAACATTTTATTTTCGATTATTTACCAACATCATCAACACTTTGGTATCAATCAACCAAAGATATAGACTCATTGTTCAAACAACTAATCACCCAAGATGCTTATAAAGATGATTATTTTATTCCACCACAACAATCAGGATTAAAAGGAGGAGAACAATTGGTCAACCAGAAAAGTAAATCGACAAAATTAGAATCATTGGTTTACCAATATTTTAAAAATTCGTGTCACAATAGACTACTATCTGTGATTCAAGATTATAGCACCATTCTATTAGACAACAACAACAACAACAACAACAAAAAAGATTGGAAAGGTAATTTAATATTTCTTAACATATTAAATATGACCGACCTTGCAAAAACCAATTCAAATTTTAGAATGGATCTTTATTTACTCAAAAGGTAAATATTAATACTTGATTACATTTACAATTCAATTATTATTTATTATTTATTTGAATCAATTTTATTTTATTTGTTGTAGGATATTATTAACTGTAGAAACAAATAATTCATATGTTCATTGTCAAGTGTTGGAGTTTTTATCGATACTCTTGGTGGAAAATGAAACTCATGCTTTGGAGATTCAAGATATAAAAGAGGCGTATAACTGTATTATTAATAATAAGGAATCAATTCAACCAATGACATTGTTTACTTTTCTTTGTCATTTGGATAAAATAGAGTATCCAAAAGTTCATCAAGATATTATTGATAGAGTGTTTGAACTATCACTTTTATCAGGTAATCCCCAAATTATCAAAAAATCAAAGGATATCTTTTTATATTATTTATCAAAAAAATCGACCATCAATCACTTGATTGTATGTATCCCCATTAAATTTTGTTAAAAGTATTTATTAATTAATTAATTTTTTTTCTTTTTTCTTTAGCTTTCTCCAAATTTAGACTATATAATCATTGATCAATTCCTAAGTCCACTATCTTATCACCAGCAGGAAGATATATTCATGGTGATTAATTATCTCTTAAACAACAAAAAGAGAAGCATGATACTTCGAGGTAGTGTTCAACAAAACAAAAATCTAACATTAATCATCAAACAACTTTGTGAACACAATAATGTAAGCTTATTGAATCGATTTATGACGCAACATCTTTTGGATAGAAAAGACATGTCCTTTGTCTACTTGCCCTGCTTGATGAAAAGAATATTGGTAGGTTGGACTGCCGATCTACCAACAAAGTCACTCTTGATAGTATTTGAATTGTTTCAACAACAACGAGACAAATTGTATCCCTACAAAAACAAATTAATCAGTTTGGCCAACAAACATACAGGATCCCAATCAATACGTGTATTTATTCAGCTTTTATGGATTTGTGTCGATTTAAAAGGTATACACCATCAAGAGACAAATCAACTATTTCAACTTGTACTAGATATAGTTCTTCAACCAAGGTATAGACAAGTTGACCCACTCAAACAATTGATGCAATGGTTAATGGATGCAAGTGGTGGTAGTGTACAACTACTATCAGTTCGTCAAAGATTAAAAATAGTCGATTGGATCGAATCAGGTATCATTAAAACAAATCAAGATGCCAAAGACAGTAGTTATCAAATGGGTGACCCTGAATGGTTAACCCTTTTACGACAATACTCTCAATTGATAAGTTTGACAACTAAAACAATCTATAATGATGAATGTCAAGACGAAGGCTTCTTGAATCCATTGATATCATTCTATTTGGACAATATATTAATCTCTGTATTAGTATTGAATCAAACCACTAATGGTGGTAGTAGTGGTATGATGAATATCAAATCTACACAACTATTGGTTGATATAATAGTACAAACGTGTAATTCCCTTAAATATATTAATACATCCAATTCTTGTCAACCCCTCCTCACTTTAACATCATCTTTGGGAAGACAAGTATCATCCCAAGAATTAATTAATATTTCTCTCAATATCTTAAAAAACAAAAATAATAATTAATTAAATGTATGACTATTAATAATATAATAAGTATAAATCTTATCTTTACACAATGCTGTGCAATATTATAAATAATAATAATAATAATAAATAATACTTTGTAAAAAAAAAAAAAGAAATAAACAAGATCATGTCAATGATATTTTTTGAAAGTATTCTCGTAGAATGATATTGTTTAAGATGATGACAACAGCTGATATTAGTATGATTATAATTGTACAATTCAATAACAACAACTATAATAATAATGGATAAGGATAATAACCATCATCATCATGACTACATTGATATAAGTCAGCTTCCACTTCCTCCTCCACCTCCACCTCTCCCACCTCCTACTACTCTTTATCGATTGTCATCAACAACAACAACAACAACAACTACTACCACTACCACTACCAGTGCTAAACAAATAGGGGTTGTTGTGAACTCTCATCATCAGCACCTGTTTAGTTCAAATGATGATGATGTCAGACAACTAGTCAATGACATACAACTAAACCCTAATCAAGGTATACTAAACTTGGTCGATATGTTGTGTCATAATCATACAAACAAAAACAACAATAACATTATTAATAACAATGTATGTATTATATTATCAATTAATTGTATACTATATACTAAGATCAACTATAATGCTTTAATTGTGTAGACATGTTTACAATTGCTATTGTATTATCTATCAACAAGAATAGAGAATGATATCAAGATGGTCAATCACGATTGTATATTACATCTTCTAAGCAATCAAACAAAGATTAAAATACGATCATCTATACTTGACGCATTCCAAAACTATGATCATAGCCATCAAACCACTCTAGTTGATAGTATTGCATTTACTCATTTAAAGAGAATGATATGTTTAATGTTAACTAATCGTTGTATGTAACCACAATCAATCACTTAATACTCATAATGATGATAGATATATTATATTTATACTCACTGTCATTCATTCTTTCATTCAAAATAATAATAGACAAAAGTAATAATAATAGTGATGACCAAGAAATATTTAAAATTGATATATTTAAATGGTTTAATAATATTTGTAATACAAATAATAATAATAATACAAATAATGTACAACAACAAGACCAACAACAACATATTCCATATATAATAGAAATTATAGATTATATATTGATTGGAATTTCAAAGATAAAATCAATCAATTATTCAAATATAATATTTGAAACGTTGGGTAATATTTGGAGATTAGAATTAAGTAACAGAGATTTACAAGAAAAAGAAGTTTTAATGTTATTATCAATCTTTAAACATTATGAGTTTAATGATCAAGATGAAGAACAAATACAACTCAAGAAAGAGATTACAAATAGAATTTATAATCATCAATTATCAATTAACCAAGAATTATACAAGACTGAGGATGTTTACTCATTCTTTAAACTATCCATACCAATTCTATTTGAAAATGCTAGGAATGATGAATACTTTATTCCACAACAACTAGATATTCAAAAATACATGGTCGATGTCTGGAATGACGAACATTTCATAAAGGTTAAAGATTCAAAATCTGGTCTAATGGTTATACGTAATCTTGGTGGTTGGTCAAACTATGAAATATTCGTATCAATCATTTTTAATTATATTAATGAATTGTTAACAACAACAACAACAACTCAGACCATTGATTGTAAAGATAGATTAATTATCCTTAAAATATTAAATCTTGTAGACTTTAGATATATTGATCGAGGTTCTTCTTCTTCTTCTTCTTATCATCAAACAAATCAAAATCAAAATCATAATAATCGATTAATATCTCATTCACATTTAATATTTAATAATCATTTCATTCAAAAGTTTGTATCTCTAATTTTAACAATCCAAATGTAACATACAAACATATTAATATTAATATAATCTTTTTGCAATATATATATTTATAGAATTTTCTCAATAGTTTCAAATGATAATAATAATAATTGTTGGAATGTACTTGCTCAATGCGAATTGATGACATTAATTTCAAAACTATCAAAAAAAATGCCAATCGATCACAAACTTGGCAATTGTATAAAAGAATTTTATGATGGTATCATTAACCAAGAACAGGAACAAGATTTACTACAACCACGTAGATTATTTTTATTTGGTCAACATTTAAATCAAGTTGACAGTGAATGTCATCCATTGTATCAAGATGTAATTGATCAAATGTTTGAAAAATCATTGAAATCAAATCATCCATATCTTGTCAACCAAGCCGAATCATATTTCTTTGATTCAATAATCCACAAAAAGAAATATACAAGAGAATTAAATATTAAATCAAAAATGACAATTGTATGTAATTCAAAATAATAATCAATAATATAATAATAATCAATAATAATATTATAATATTTAATTTAATTAACATTCTTTATTTATTTTACTTAGGTGTCACCAAATTTGGATTCATTAATTATTTCATTTTTGGATAAATACAAAGATGATGAGAATATTGTATTCAAGATAATATATTATTTTGATCGAAAACAATCATACTCTGAGGACAATCGATCGAAATCATTGAATAGAGTTATCAACAAAATGCTGACAACACTAGACTATCAACAAGATATAGTGTATCGATTCATTCAAGAGTATTTAGTGGTATGGATATTTTATAGTGCAGATATTAAAGAACAAACATATATCTATTTACCATTGATATTGAAAAGAGTGATTGATCGACAAAATCAACAACAAAATGACCCAAATTTGTTGTTTGAATTCACACTTGGGAGACTGTGTCTTGGTAGTCGACAAGATAAAGTATTCTCCTATATGAATTATCTTGTCCCTCTGGCCATCCGATTACACGTAACCAATCAAAAAGAATATAAACATGATGGATGTTTATTACTGTGTTTACTGTCAACCCAATCGGAATGTAAAGGACCACAACACCAAGATACATTGGATCTGTTTAACCGTGTATTTTACTGTATTTTAGGATCGGGTCGTAGTCAAATACAGTTACTTAAAAAGTTGGCTGTCTGCGTCAGAGATGATGGTCTATCTTATTCACCAACACAAAAAGGTACCTTGTTGGATTGGATAAAAGATAGTATTACCAAAACACATCAAAAAATCTCGACTCTTCAATCCTCCCCTTATTTGGCATCTTCCTCAGCTACATTCCCTTCATACTTTAAAGAATTGTCAGACTTGTCAGAACTGATTATGAAACTGTCCAAGCTTGATGGATGGTATCTCGGTCCAATCATATCACTCCACATTGAAATGTTACTCGATTCAATCAAAGCACAACCAAACAATTCTATCTATCTATCACATTTGGTTGAAAGATTAGTTCAATTTTATGAAATGCAAAAGATCGTTCCTCCATCCATCCACCTATCATCAACATCACAAACTTTTGGAAACAAGATAATCCAATCCTCTGAAATATTCGAGTATATCAAAGAAAGATTCCAACGTCATCATATCCTTGATAGATTATATATTGTTGAAATGTTATTAAATACTCAATTATCTCAATCTTTGGAAGAAATAAATAATAAATAAATAAATAAAGGGGGTGTGTCAGATGACAAGTTGACAAGTCGGTCGGTTTTCAAAATATATACTTTGCTTTACTTCATTTTCAAAAAGAGACAGATAATGAAAAAGAAAGTCAATAAGAGTAATAATAAGAGTAATAATAAGAAGATTAAAAAGGATAAGAATAATGTAGATAATAATGAAGAAGATATTGAAGATAGATATGAAGTAGATGAAAATATTAATAATGAAGTATCATCATCTGAATGTTCAAATCAATCGTTTTACTCGAGACTGTTAAATAGATATAGTTTTATAGATCAACCTTTACTATTTGATACAATAGTTAATAAATCACAACAACCGCAACAACAAAAAAGAACAAGACAATCGAATAACAATGAAAGAATCATTATTCAAGATATAGTTAAACAATTTCATAGGAGACATCAAAATACTATTAAAAAGCATAATGAAGGTATTAGATTACCTCGTCATCATAATCATTTAGATCGTCGTAATCGTCAAGAGGATAGCAATATAGAAGATGATTCAGATTATGATGATGATTATTACTTTGATGAATATGATGAAACAAGTGATACATTTGATACAGATTATGATTCAAACACTATCGATAGTGATTTTGATGATTCTTCATCTACTTCAAATCATCATCATCAACCTCTAATATCACAAAATAATCAATTCATGTTAGAGTTTGGTAACTTTGGTCAAATTGATAATAATAATAATAACCATTTGTTAGAATTAGAGTCAATGGAAAGAAAGATTAAAAGAGATTTAAAGAGAAAGAGAAAAGAACCACAAACTATATTAAAATCAACTAGAATGGTTTATGGTCTATTAAATACATGTCCTACATTTCAACTTGTCAAAGAAAAAGATAAAGGAGAGGAAAATGAAGAAAAAGAGGATGAAGAGATGAATATCGAACCTCCAATATTACTATTAACTTCTTCGAGTTGTCCCGTCATTCCACCTTTAAATATTAATCAACCAACATCAACTACTACATCAACTACAACTACAAATTCAATCATTCCAAAAATTAAACAATCTTGGAATATTAGTCAACAACCTCAACCACAACAACAACAATCACAACAACAACAATCACATACACAAGATAATCAAAATAATAATAATTTAATAATAACAAATATAAAACATGATAAAGATAAATATAAAGAACAAATGGTTGAAATGAGAGCAATGCATTCAACACTTCGTAGAGTGGTGTTGGATTTGGCGTCAAAGAATCAAATCGAGATACTGCAAGATCCGTGTAGTTTGTGGGCACATTTTACAAGTCTACCGGAATTCAAGGTGTTTGGTGGCTGCACTGCAAAGAATAATATTAAAACTGGGCTCTATCTAACTGAAGTGTTGATAACCCTAATGAATCAACCAGAAGACCTAGAAGAACAACAACAATTAGAAGAAGAACAAATTGAAATGGAAGAATTTTTAAATCAAGATGAATGGAATATAGATGATCGACAAGAATTTGGAAACGATGACAAAACCATAAAAACACAACTAGAAGAAGAAGATGAAGAAGATGATGATAAAGAAGGTAGTGGTGGATGGGATTTAAATCAATCAAAATTGGTACCCTTGAAAGAATGGAAAAAAGAGGAACGAAAAAGTGAAGAACAATTGGAAGATGAAAGAATGGGTTGTTTGGACGCAATGAAATCAGGTGATCAGACAATACCACCTATATTCAATTCAAGTGGTATGATTGATTTATTTTCAAATACTTTGGATAGTGTCCCAACACATGAATCTCTCGGGATGATAGTACGTGATTTAAAGGATTATCTCAGACCGATTATAGCAGATTTGGTTTCAACCGACCATTCTCAACTTATTACAAGACAAAGAGTTGTATGGTCAATACAAACAACTAATTCGAATCCCATCACCAACAACACAACAAATTCAGATTGGTATCCAACCAAACAATATTTCAATCTTTTCAAACAAACTGAAGAGAAACCACATCCCTTTATCGATTTCTATCAATTAGCAAAGGAAAAGGAGAAGTTATTACATTTTCAAAATAATGAAGAATTGGAAATGGACAATGATTTTGAAGAGGAAAATAGTAGTATTGACAGCAGTGATGATGATGAACCAACCAAACCAAAACCAAAACAAGAAACTAAACCAAACAGAAATTATAAAGCACCTCCTCCCCCTCTTCCTCCCTCTTCATCTGAATCGTCTCCATCGAACGAACTACCTCCTATATTTCCACCACCTCCTTCTAAACCAACAGGTCACAGTAGAATTCTACTTCATAATAACTATTCAAAATATACAAAACAACAACAACAAAACAACAACAACAATAATAAAACAAAAATGGAATAAAGAAGAAAACAATAAAAGTAACTTTATTTTCATAAACTACCCAAAAATACAAATACATATCTTTGATAGTCATGTCTTTCAAAATCGGTCAAATCGTGGTCAACGATAATACTTTTTTGAAAATTCGATTCAGTCTGAGCGTGGGTGTGATGATCACATCTTTGATGAAAACTACACATAGTCATAGTCATCGTTTACAACTTTTAAAGTTTTATATAGAAGCGTTTCAAGATGTCAACAGACAATAAACTAACAGAGGAAAGAGATAAAGAGGAAAGAAGAAGACAAGCAAGAAAAAATAGAATTCAAGGCAATGCAGGTAGTAGATTAGGTTACATTGCTGAACAACACAATGATCCAAACAAACCTGCCCCTAAACCAATAATCCATCATGATGATGATGATGAAAATGCTGTTGACTCTTTAACAGGTTCATTATCTTCTTCTACACAACAACCTCATCAACTACCAACGACATCACCATTTGCAAATATAGGAGAACGTAGACGATTTGTAAAGGAACCTTTCTCAATCACCACCTTTAGATGGTTTGGTGTATTTCTCTTTTCAACGTTGCTGGCATCCAACAACCTATCGTTATGCTCTAATATACTATCGATTGAACACCCACTCTTTGTCAAGTTTGGTATTCAACTGACCAATAACCCAACACTCAAAGAGTTTATCTATGTCTATTTCCCTCTAGCTCTTGTATGGGTCATTTGGGAATTTGTATTTTGTACTGCTAAACCACAAAGACAACAAGGTTCTACAGCTACTACAGCCACAGCTGTTAAACCTGCAACAAGCAACTTTTTACCAAATCTAAAGTCTGACGGTTTGTTGATCGTCTTTTTCTATGCAGTTATGGTTGATTTAATCTTACGTTATCATCATCTCTTACCAGACTCTTTCAAGCAACCTGAACTATTGTCAGGTATCGCCGAACAACAACCATTGGTTGATATTCTCTACTATCCACTCATACTAGCCGTCATTGGTAAAATTGTCCTTGCGCAATTACCAAAACAATTCCCAATCATCAATATGGTATGAACTCAACTAAAACTATACAACCCAAACCAAACCACAGTTTACTAATACTATTTACTTATTTTGTAGAATGAAATGTTCCAAACTGCTTATCAAGGACTTGGACAATTTACGATTATTATTTTATCGTTATTATTATTTGTTGAATGGTGGACATGTACCGCATGTCCATGTCAAGGTTATGGCATTCTTTATCTCATGTCCAATAAACGTGGACTTTTAGTTTGGACCCATGCTTGTCTCAATTTAGTTTCAAGATTATTAAATCTCTAAAGATACAAGACAAAAATACCAAACAAACAAATAAATAAATAGATACAATTAATAATATATAAATATAAATATTATACATCCAATCGAACCTTTATTATCAATATTATTATTAAACTATCAATCTTTTTTTTAAAAAAAGAATGAATGAAAAGATAGAGAGATACTGTAAAGAGATAAATAAAAGATAAGAAAGACCTACAATGATATAGTTATATTTGTTTTTTTATATAGTTAAATTTTGCACCCTATTTTTATTAAAATTTAAGCGACGAGCAAACAAGCACCACCGGCAGCCTTGACCTTCTTTTCAGCGATCTTGGAGAAGTAACGGGCCTTGATGATAATTGGTTGCTTGGGGAGTTGACCGTGACCCAAAACCTTGAAGAAACCACGTTGGGTAACATCAACAACTGGGGCAGTACCGTCGTTCTTGGCAGCACAGTCCTTTCTGACTTCTTCTGGAACGAATGACCAGATCTTTTCGAGGGAAACAGTTGGACGGTAGTGGAGTTGAGCCTTGTAGTCCCAAGTTCTGAAACCTAACTTACCGAAATAACCTGGATGGCTAAAGTAGTAATAGTAATGTAATAGAGTAAGGAATATTGTTAGAGTCAAGTCTTTTAATCAGTGATCAAAATGTGTGAGTCTTTGTGTGTTTGTGGTGACTACATACTATTTCATGAAGTTGATTCTGTGGTGAGTGAGACCACCAGCATTACCACGACCTCCTGGATGCTTTCTGTGCTTACCTGTAATAGTTAAAGAGTAAGAGAGTAGATAGAATTGTATATGTATGAGGATAGATGTTTGTGATTAGCGTTTTGTCAAAGTATATCGATGTATATATTAATAATAAGATAGGTGAGTACATACCGACACGACCGTAACCGGCGCAAACGTCACCTCTGGATTTTCTGTGTTTCTTGAAACGGGTAGGCATTGTAACTATTGAGCTTACTAACTGAGGAACAAGATACAAAGACGAGTCTATTTTGTGAAAGCAGCTCACCACAGACGCGCATGCCATCGCCTCACAAAAAATTTATCAAAATTGAAACAATTTTCGGTTTTTGTAAAAAAGAAAATTTGCCCGTCCTCGCGTTAAGACGATCGTATGATGCTTCGACGACCAAGACAACGTTTTATCACTTGAAACAAGAGTAGAGTATCAATTGACAAAAACATCACTACTACTTTAGTTTTGTATTTAGTTTCCAGAACAAGTTAACTATAGGATTGATTTCATTGTCGACAATCGGCGAGATATTTAAGAGATATATGATTTAGTAGTAGAGCTAAAGATAGAAAGATAGATAGATAGATATAAGTTTGATAAGTACTAGTGATACAAAGTAAGACTGAGTATCGAACAAGACAAATGCAGCATTGTTCTGTGCTGTACTGTAATAGGTAGGGTGGACTGTGAAAGCTGAAGCATGTCACATGACACTTGTGTCATCATGTAGAATAAATTATATAATAATAATAATAACCTAACTGATAGACCTCTGGTTTATATTATATTATATATATATATATATATATTGAGGAATGTGTATATGATTTCTCTACCTTTGAACAAAATTCAAATTGTTTGTTTTTTTTTTTTGGATTTATTTTTAATTACCATTTTCATCCAGATCTATAATAACTAGTTGTATGGTCTAGGATTGAATACCCTTAACCATAATATTACAAATGTAAACAATAATAATAATAACAGTAATAGTAATAATAATAATAATGTCTGATGATAATAATAATAATAATCCAAAAAATGAAAATAATGATGTGGTCATTGTCAAAGGTCACACAAGACATAGATCTCAAGGAAAACATTCTTCAATTGAAATAGATGATAATAATAGTAATAATGATAATATAGAGTTGAATGAGATAAAAAAAGAGGATGAAGAACAAAACAAACATAGAAGTGAATCATTAACTACAACTATAACAAGAGAAGATGGTGAAGAAGAGGTAACCATAAGAGATGACGATAGTGAAATAGATAGGTCATCCAAAGAAGAAGAAGGAGAAGATTCATATTCAAAGATGATTAAACTTAGGCATTGGTGGTGGTTTAATGGTTATTCGGTTCTAATCGTTTTAATATTCATTGGTATTAATCTTGCTGTTGCAATTGAAAGGTTTTATAGTATGTCTCAAATAATAATAATAAAGATAGTCAAGACAACCAATTATTTATTCTATTCTATTCTATTTTTATAGGTACCTATAATTCAAAACAATATCAATTATTTGGATTATCTGTTTGTTTTGCTAGATGTAGTGCTGCCATTATCAATTTAAATACAACTTTGATTCTGTTACCAGTTCTTAGGAATGTTGTATCATGGGTACGTGGTACTTGGGTATCTGACTTTATTCCAATCGATCGTCATATTTCATTTCATAAATTATGTGCTTTTGGTATTATAATTGGTTCAATTATTCATTGGTTTGTATTATATAGGTATCAACTGTCAAATTGGTTTGGTTACTAATATTGATTTATTATTATTGATTAATTATATATAGTGTATCACATTATAATAATTTTAGAATATTATTAAATACAAGTAGAGAAGAATTAATTATGAATGGATTAAATGGACAAATATTGGATTATGCAACAAACAAGTATTCATTGTTTTATAGATCGGTACCTGGGTTGACTGGACATTTGATGATCGTGGTTTTGGTTTTGATTGTTACATCGTCGATTGAAAGAATTAGGAGACCAATGTTTGAAGTGTTTTATTATACCCATCATCTATTTGCAGTTTATTTTGTTTTGATTTGTTTTCATGGAATATCAAAACTATTCCAGTATCCTCAACAATCCTATTATTGGGCAGCTCCACCATTCTTTTTCTATTTGGTTGAAAGAATATATAGAATTGTGTCTAGTGGTACGAGACCGGTACTCTTGCATATGGCCAAACAACATCCGTCCAAAGTATTGGAACTACGACTCAAAACAGATAAACCTTTTAAATATAATCCAGGTCAATACCTCTATTTAAATTGTCCATCCATTGCAAATCATGAATGGCATCCATTTACAATCACCTCATCTCCAGATGAGCCTTTTATCTCTGTTCATATTAATGTTTGTAGATAGATAGTTGAAATCATCAATAATATATTATCAAATATTAATTATGTTGTTTTTTTTTAGATTGTTGGAAATTGGACAGGTAAATTATATAAATTATTAAATGCAAATGAAAAGTTGGGAATTGTTCAAAACGATTTAATGAAGGGACCGGATGGTAAAGATATACTTAGAATTGACGGACCATTTGGAGCTTCATGTGAAAATGTATTTAAATATCGTATAGCAGTTTTAATTGGTGCTGGTATTGGTGCTACTCCATTCTCTTCTATTTTAAAACATGTTAAATATCAACTTTTAAACAACAACAACAACAACAACAATGACAATAACAACTCTACTTCTGAAAAGAAAACGACAATGGAAAAAGTTTACTTTTTTTGGATATCAAGAGAAAAGAATAGTTTTGAATGGTTTACGTATATGTTGAATGATGTTGAAAGGTCATTGGATGGAACAGTAGAAATTCATAGTTATCTAACAGGATCGATTTCAATATCCGATTGGAACGATATTGTAGAAAGTATTTCTACTTTGGATACTGAATGTCATTCTGATTTTATTACTGGCCTTCGTTCACAAACTTTATTTGGTCGTCCCAATTGGGATACAATCTTACAACAATTAACTAAAATTCATGAGAATAATGGTATGAAAACAAAAATAGATTAATTATATTATTAATTATTATTATTATACTAATCATTTTGTTTTATAGAGATTGGTTTATTCTTTTGTGGACCAAGACCAATGGAAGTGGAAATTAAAAGATATTGTAGACAATACAATGGTAAAAGAAATTGTCATTTACATTTTTACAAGGAACATTTTTAAACCATCCAAGGATGATGAATTCATCATTTCTTTGTTTGTTTGATTGTTTGTTTGTTGAAAAAACCATCCTTATCATCTATCGGATGAGGATGATAATTCCTCATTAAATAAAGGGGGGAAGTATCAATTTATTACAATATTTATAAAAGAAAAAAAAAAAAGACCAAGACAAAGTTTTTTCTTTTACCTTGTTTTCCTTTTTTTTCTTTTTTGTTTTAGATTATTATTATTATCAAAGTTGTTAGTTGTTGTTGTTTCGTTGTATCTATCTATAGTCGTATGTTATTATTATTATTTGTTATTATTTCTTTGTTAATTCTTATTCTTCATTAAATCAACTAAAGCTGGATCTTGAAGATTTTGTAAATCGCTATAATTGATACTACTATTTAAAAGATGATCTTCAGTTTCGCTGCCACTCTGACTATCAGAGTGATCGTGGAAAGTGAGACTGTCACCGCTGTGATTGATAAATTCATCAACCTCGATTAATCGGTTTTTTGATCGTTTGGATTTCTTGCTGCTGCCGGCGACCTTTTTGGCGAGAATGTCCTTGATGTGTGGTTTTTCCTCTTGATCTACTTGATCGTCCAATTCCTCGTCATCTTGGTTCTCTTCGCCAACATTGGCCTCTTCGTCCAACAGTCCCTTCTTTTCTTCGACATTTAATTTCTTATTTACAGCTCTTCTGACAATGACAGTGATGAAAACAATGGTAAAGCACATTGCCACGCCACTGACCACATACATTGCAATCTCTCCTTTTTGAATATGTCTCTTTCCAATATCTGAAATATTACCAATCATTGTTCCAAGATAAATAAAACTAAACAAATTGAAATTAAAATTAATTAATAAATGAATAAATATATATATATCTATTTCTTCTTCTATTTCTATCTTCTTACAATGAACAACCTGGTACTAAACCAACTGCAGAACAAATTATATAATGAGTAAGTTTAACATTGGTAACTGCCAATGCATAATTTAATAAACTTTCAGGAACAATTGGTGTCAATCTTAATAAAAGTACAATTTTCCATCCTTCTTGACCAATTGCTTGATCAACTGCTTGTAATTTCTTATTTCTTTCAATCTAAAAGGAAAACAATTAATTAATTAATTTTAATTATGAAATCATTTTCATTCAATTCCAATTTTATCAACTTACATATTTAACAATTGATTTTCTAAATACATATCTACCCATTAAAAATGCAATGATACCACCCAACATTGATGCTATCCAAATAAATAATATACCAAACCATAATTTAAAAATGATTCCAGCCACTAAAAATAAATAAATTAAATCAAATGATTAGATACAATATTATTCTTATTTCTATATACTTTTGTTTCTATTTTTTTTTGACTTACAAATAGTTGGAATTGTAACAGGAACACAAAATATAATTAATAAAGTAAAAATACCAATATAAACAACACCTCCAACGAGGATACCAAACTTTTCCACAAACTTTTGTAAAACGTCTAGATGGTGTTGCACTTTGAATACAAAAATGGCCAAACAAATACCGACAATGATGAGTGCGACCAATAACAGCTTGAGCCATGTCTGGTAGGTAGCTGTTCGAACCTGATGTACTAGCCATTGCCATACATATTGTAATCTTTGTTTGATGGGGTGTTTTTCGTTGATTTTCTGATCCGAAATCAATACCAAGTCACTTGCTGATACGAGTATGGCCGTTGATGGGAACTTTGAGCTACTGCTATTAGTATCGGCTATCGAAGAAGTCGATGATAGTGTTGGTGATACCAATGCAGAAGAGGTAGGTGAAGGTGTAGATAAATAGGTTTCAGTTGATGGTGAATCTTTGGTAGTCAAATCAATTTTTGTTGATGATCCAATCGGTAGAATCAAACTTCCAAGACTATTATTATTATTATTATTATCAATGGTTGTAGAGGTAGAGGTTTCATCAAAATCTTTTAAAAGTGATTTACTACCTTTATCAATATCACTCTTTATATTTGATGAATTTTGTCTACTATGATTTCTTGATTTTCTTAATGATTTGTTTCCATTATTGTTATTGTTGTTAATGACACCACCACCTTGATTCTTTTCATTGGTTGTACCATTCTCTCCATTGATAGAGAATGCTCCACCATCATTTTTATAGGTTAATGATGGGAATCCTGACATGTTGAACATTTTCTGCGGGAGAAAGATGTTGTTTGTTGTTGGGGATTGTTTGTTGTTCTATTTAGACTATTATATTAGTCTTCTTTTTCTTTTTTTTTTAAAAAGAAAATGTATGTATTATTATTATTATTATTACTCTTATTATTCTTATTACTACTAACTATTATTACTAATATTACTACTACTACTATAAAAAAAGTATGTGTTCTATCTTTTATATCTTTAATATATATTTGAATTTACTTTTAAAAGATCTAAATGAATAAATGAAACAACTAATGTTAATATTATATTATTATTATTAAAGTTAATTGAATATGAAGAAACAAAAACGCTTGCTACTACTACTATTATTATTATAAAGGTGATGATGACGATGACTACTATTAACCGACTATATATATGTCTAGCAAACAAACAAATATAAATAAATAAAAGTGAATGAAGAAGAAGAAGAAGAAGAGATATTTCTCTTTCTCTCACGCTCTCTGTTATCTAATGTTATTTTTCAATGGGGAGGTGAATAAAAAGGATGCGTGTAAAACCTATTATTGTTTCCTTTTTTTAATATTAATACGAATATTACTATTACTATTATTAATTGATAGTTAAAAGATTGTTGTTGTTCTTCTCGTATTTTCTCTTTCTCTCTCTCTCTCTCTCTTTAATATTATTATCCCTTTGCAAGTGAACGATGCTTTGTTGTTGTTGTTGTTGTGTGTGGTGGTGAATCGGTGTTGTTAAAATTGGTTTGTCTCAAATGTATTCGATTACTCTTTTGTAATTCTTTGTTTGTATGCAAGTAAGAAAGTAAGTATACCTAATATTACCCCCCTCTGACACACACACGATTTCAATCGATAGCGTAGTTTTGCTTGTTTGTTTGCTTGTAAATGCTGCGAGTATATTATATTGTTTGTGATAGTTTTTGTTTTTTTTTTTTTTTTTCTTAATCGTTGTCTTTGATGCCCAAGAGATGATGGTGCAAGTGGGAAATCCCAGAAGTGGTGAGATGGGGAAACAGACAATGAATCGAAACGTTTTTAAAATATCTACTTTTGTATCTATCTCTGGTCACTATTATTACTTTTAGTATTTAATTAATATATATAACAATGTGGTTTTGGGTTATATTATTATTATTGACGATTATATTTTTGAATATTCTAAGACTTATTATTATTGTCTGTTTGTTGTTTGTTGTTGTTGGTATTGTCTTTGCTTTGATTTGACAATCAAGTCAACTTTAAATAATATATAGTTATTTGGTTGGGTGTTGTTGGTGTCAGTTAATTATTAGTACTGCTGTTTGTTGTTTGATCGAAAAACAAAAAACTTTTTAATTTCTTTTTTTTTACTAGCTTTGTTTTGCTGGGGCTAGTTAGGGTCCTCCTCTCCTCTTCTCTACTTAAATGAGACACAGTGAAGCATTATGAGAATTTGGAAAAATATTTGGAATAAGATGCACAACGCAATAAATGTGATGTGGTCGTGGTCTGGGTGAAGATAATATGAATGTATGAATGATACTGTACTTTTGTTTTATCTATGTTATTCTTCTGGGTAAAAGAGATAATTTGTTATTATTATTATTGGTGTATGTGTGGGTGATGATGTCAATGATAATGTGAACAAGAGAGACAGGTTCAAGGAAAAGTTGATGAAAAAAAGCAAAAAGTTAAAAATAAAAGAGGATCTATCTGCAAATATCTTTGGTTGTGTTCCGAATTCAGTGATCACTTTGTGAGTGATTTCGGGTTCGTTGCTCGCAGGTGGGATAACCCAACCACCCCATTAATCAATCAACCCGTCACGAACCAAATAAATGAGTCTCACTTACATTGAATTTGATTTGATTTGATTTGAAACAACGCGTTTCGGTATCGGTAAATATTTACAAACTAACTAACTATCTAATATCTTGTACTAATATCAATCAATCTATCTATCTAATCTATTTATCTATTTTGTTGATTCTTTAGAAAAAGGGACACACACATTAAAAAACTATACTTGATTTCAAATGCACAAGATAAATGAGGAGACAAGTCTCTTGTCACGACTACAAGGTACACAACAAAAATGGAAGATGTTTAATTACTTCTTTATTATTAAAGAATATTCCAGGGATTACTCTATGTGTTCTTTTTTTGAGCACTTCTGTTTTTTTGATGATGTCAGGACGAGGTCTTTGTCCAATTTCGACAAAGGGATTTTCGTCACCCAGTGCAACGAAAAGTTTTCATCGTAAATTCCTTTTTTTCAATAAAATAATGAGCAGGAGAGTCGACCAGCCGGGACAACAGACAAATCAAAAGATTGACGATGCGATTTATATAATTTTAGTAAAAAGTGTGTATAATGATTTATTATTATTTAGTTAGGTCGTAAAGAAGGAAATAGTTTTTTTTTTGAATTAATTTACTTAATTAATTCAAGTGTAAACTGGGAAAGAAAGTTGTTTGGTTGGATTGATTGATTGATTGAATGATCATAAATATTATCTATCTATAGTTATTGTTGTTGTTGTTGTTGTTGTTGTTGTTGTTGGTTGTATACAAAGTAGTACTATTGGGATTTTGGGGTGAAAGGGTTAGGGTTGTGAGATTTGTTTGGAAAAAAATATATATTGTTTACAATGGATGGTGGATGGATTGATTGATTGTTAGAACTAGTACTTTTGGGATCTATGATTTTAATCCCATAAAACTATATTCTTATCTTTATCACCACTCAAGAATGAATTACCCAATGGACTCCAAACTACACTACAAACAGATGATCCACTATATAAATCATAACAATAATAATAATAATAATATTTTGTTAGTTTTTTTAAAAATGTACATTTTCTTTTTTCTTTTGTTTTGTTTCTTTTGATCTTACGTATTATGAATTTTAGTAATAATTTTTTCAGTTTTACCGGTATGAGCATTCCAAACACAAACTGAACCATCGATTGATCCAGAAGCAATGTATGCAGAGTCGGGAGACCAAGCGGCACGGGTCCAGTTGAGACCGTTGCGGTAGTCTTGGTCTTTGAACGTACGAATGGTTTCATAGGTTCTGACATCGATCAGTTTGAGTGTATGGTCTCTCGAGTTGGTGAGAATGGTGAATGGATCGAGTGACTGTGAGATGGAAGTTACCTGACCTTCGTGGACACCCGTCAACACATGTATAGGTTCACCGGTATTACTATCCCAGAAACGAATCGAGTGATCGACATGACCAGACACAATGGTCGAGCCGCCACTCAGTGGCAATAGATCATTACAACTCGAGAAACAGAATATCGTGCGGTTGCAATACCCCTTTTGCAAATCCCATAGTTTAATGGTACGATCGTGACTACCCGTGGCGACCTTGTCCGATCCAGCAAAGAATTTACCCGTGTACACTTTACCAATGTGTCCAGTCAGTGTGTGACGTGGTCGTCCCAACTCGACGTTCCACAGACGTGCCGAGTTATCGTTACTCGTGCCTAGAATGTGTTCGTCGTTTGGTGAGAATTGTACAGCCATGATAGACTGTGATGCACCCAACAAAGTGGTCTTGTGGTTGCCCGAGAATGCATCCCACAACTTGACACTCTTGTCGCTACTACCACTTGCAAATAAATGTCCCGTCGAATTATATGCCAAACAATATACCTCTGAATTATGTGCTACCCATTTCTTTCTTGATTTTGATGGTAACATTGATTGTGGTGCTCTAAACAAACAAAAGAATATTAATATTAATTAAATAATCATTTTATAATATAATATAATATTAATATTTACCCTTGTTTTTCCATTAAAGATAAACCAGATAAATCAAGTCTAACTTCTTGATTTGGTATATTATTTATATTTATAAATTCGTCACTTGATTTAAACTAGAGATAGCATAGGGAATGAATGATTGATTAATAACATGATGGTTTTTGCTTGTTTTTTTGATTACTTTTACTTATACTTACATTTTCTCTTTGTTCAACCATTCTATGATAGAAATCATTTGCTTCATTCATTTTACTGGCTTCTTCATTCTTTTTTCTAATCCAACGTTCAAGTAATTCACCATTTTCCTGTTCCAACTTGATTACCTTGCTTTCATTGTGTAAAAACTCTGCTTGTAGTGCCGACAGTTCATCTTTTAGGATTTGAGTGACCGTTGTCTTTTCCTCGATGACATATTCCAATTTCTTGTAATTGTCTTCACTGCCATTGAGTATGTGTCGAACCTTTTCAAGCTCAATATCCTTTGATATCAATTCGTTTTGAAGGTCCTTGTTCTTGTCTGTCAACGATAAAAGACTAGATGCATTGTCTGCACTCCTCTTATAACTACTTGTCAAATCTTCTTGTAATTTATATATCTTATTTTCCAATTCTTCAATTGTTTTACCTCTTGACATTGATCCTCTAAATTGAAAGAGAGAGAGAATAAAGAAATAGAAATAGAAAGAAATAGAAAGAGAGAGAGTTAGAAACAATAATCAATCATTATTTAAACTATCTAGATAATATCTCCTCCTTACCCAACACTTGAATTATTAGTTGATTGATTATTTGAAGAACCTTTATCACCTCGCTTCTCATTTCTTAGAGTTACAATCTCCTTTTCATAGATTTGATTAAGGTCTACCAAACTTCTTTGACGCTTCAACAAGTCGTGATAGTTCTTTACAACTTCGGCCATTGCATTGGTTTGTATATTATTTCGATGATTCAATTGAAGTACAATCGATTGTTTCCATGGTGTAATTGAATGAAATGATTGTGATGCTGTCGATATCACAGATGAATAGAATGTCATTCTCTTCTCTTCTCTTCTCTCTCTATCTCTCCTTTTAAAAAGGAACACCTATATATCTTTCTTTCTCTCTATCTTTCTTGTAATATCAACTACTATGAATGATTCTAATAGAACAAACTAACTTGAGTGTATGTATATGTATGTATATGTATCTGTGTATATATAACGTTTTAATATTATAGCCGATATTAGGGTGAGAATAATGAATGAATGAATGATTAAAAAAGCTCAAATTCAAGGTTTACAATAATTAATTTGGTTTTTTTATTTTTTTTAGGTTTTAGAACCCTCCTTGGATGCCAAAGATAGAAACCCAAACACAGTTTCACCGGTATCCAGAAGAATTGATCCGTCGGTGCCTGTCTGTCATGAGATGGCAAAACATAACAATTAATGTAGAAACATAAATAAAATAGAGTATTTTATTATTATTGTTTGCTATTTCTAAAATAAATAAATTAATTAAGTTAATTAGGATATTGAAATATTATTATTATGATTTGATTATATAATAACATACCTTAAAGTTTAGTTTAGATTTTTAATATTTACAATTACTTTTACTTTTATATATACAATGTGTTATTATTTGATTGTTGTTATTATTTTAATTATTATTAAGATAGATATTGTAAATTAATTAACATTTCCCTTCTTGCATTTAATGATACCATAAAGACGATTAATCTAATTAAAGAGATAACCGATGGTATAGGTATAAAGAAACCAGCCATGAATACAACGGTAGCCGATCCAAAAATGATATAGGACATGAATGTGAGCTTGTTCTTTGCAAGAGTGTAGAATACAGCAACATCGGCTGCAACGATGAATACCAAGAGGAAGAATATCAGTCCAATGGGAACTTCTAGTGATATCATGGCACATGCCAATATCTCACCCAGTGTAATCGATGATAATAGCTTCTTTGCCTTTCCGTATCGATGTTCTGATAGATATCGCGATGCTTCATCCAAAGCGGCGGCACCGTCGTCTCCCGCAGCTTGTCTAAATGCAGCATTTAAAGTGGTGGTTTGAGAAGATACTGAAGAGGGATCAGCCATATTCTTAAAATAACTTGCCAAGTTGTGACTGCCGTCATGACCAAGCTCGTTGAATCGTTTATCATTGAATCCAACAACTATATTATTACCATAACCTCCAGGTTCACTAATTATAATAGCTTCTCCTTGTTTTAATTGTAATGCAGGTTGTGGTTGAAGTTGTCTTGAAGTAGATGTAGAGGTTGTTGTAGTAGTATGACGACCACCGCCGCCATTCATAGGAGGTGAATTAATAAAATGACGATGTAATTGGTTCATATCGATGGTTGTGTGGTGTCCATCATTTTCATCGTCATCATCATCGGATGGATAATAATTGTTTGATGAACTTGGTGTTCTTGGGAATGGGAAGTGATTATTGTACTGATTGTTTGTCGAACTGTTGTTTAAAACAAATCGACTCCAATCATTGGTTACACTCGTATTAAATAATAACCTTTCTCCTCCTTGAGTACCACCACCCATACTTTGTATCGATGGGTTGTTTGAAGGTGTTGCAAATATCGATACTGAAGGATCCCTATTACTAAACAATATAACATTTCTTTCCGTTTCTTCATCTTCCTCTTCATCCATTATCAAACTATTATTATTATTATTTCTACTATTATTATTTAATAAATTTCTTTGTTCATTATTATTGCCACTATTATTATGACCATTCTCATCGTAGTCATCATCATCATCTGTTGATGGTATGCTCTTACTACTTTGATCATCTTTATTGTTATTTACAGTGCTGTCTATATCGTTGTTGTTATCATCATCATTATTATCATCGTCGTCATCTTCATGTGCATGTTGATTTGCCAACAACATATAACTATTCTTTCCTTTCTTCATTTCTCTCTCTATCTTTCTTTCTTTCTTTCTATCTATCTAGCTATCTTTCTAACATCCCAAATAAATAGAGTATAATAAATTAATAAATGAACGTAATGAATCGTCACCCAACCTCTCCTGTCTGCAAATATTCATTCTTTCATTAAAAAACTAATATAATAATAAAAATTAATAAAAAATAAAATAAAATATTTATGTTATTGGTATTGGCAATCATCATATTCTCTTTCTCTTTCTCTCTTTCTCTTTTCTATTTATTATTTATATATTTAAGAGGAAGGGAAATAAATTGATTTAGTTGTATTATAGATTATTTTTGCTAGTTCTTCTTTCTCTTGTTTTCTGTGTCCTGCTACTACCTCTAGTATATTACTTTACATCAAATCGATCGTTTGTTAGTTATTTTAAAAAAAAAGTAAAATATTATTATTATACGACTCTACTACTCTACTTACATAATATTACATGGTTCATTTCGAGCTTGTACACATTTACCAGGTTGCCATTTCTCTTTCTTTACAGTATCGAATTGTGTAGTAATGTATTTGTGACCTGCATGTGTCTTTCTTACATCACACCAAGGTGCGTCAGTCTCAATTAATAATCTGTCGGATGGTATGGATGCCATTGAGTTTAAATTATCTTCTGTTTTTAACGAACAACCATTAATTCCAATATGTAATCCCATCTCTGTAATCTTTTTAACTTGTTCTTCATTTCCATCCTATAGGTATAAAGAATATGTTCAGTAAAAAGAATCGATTTGTTTGTTTTGTTTCCTTACAAATGAATGAACAACACCAAATTTAAAGGTATGACGATACTTTTCAATAACATTGATAAAGTCATCAAAAGCATTACGTAGGTGAAGAAAGAGGGGGAGGTTGGTAGCTTGAGCTAGTTGAAATTGTAGTTCAAAGTATTTGATTTGTGTCTCTTTGGGACAGAATTCAAGACGATCATAATCCAAACCAAATTCACCAACTGCAACAATCTTGTCTTTGTTGTTGTTTGCCAATTCAATCAATTCTTTAAAGTAGGCTTCTGATCCACCAGGGTATGTTTCAATTTCAGTGCATCTTGTTGGATGTACACCAATCGTTGTGAATAATCTATTCTTGTGTTGTTCACCACTCACACCACTATTGTAATGATCAATGATTGCAATTGCTTCTTTCACATCTGACAGTCTCCCAGATGTAATCATGATTCTATCCATTCCAACATTCCATGCTCTTGATAGAATATCATCCAAATCTTTATCATGTTTTGATTTACCATGATAAATTCCTTTAAACATATCATCTAAACAAATCAATTGATTTGTTGTTAGATTCATCATCATTCATTTATCTATATACCATCATCATCATACCTGTTAAATTTACACCTATATCTATGAATTGCATTGTTGTGAAAAGATATAAAATGATTGCGATCAATTGATCGAAATTTCAACATAATTTCAAAACAATTTAAATTTATTTCGATTTAAATTATTTAATTTATTACTAATTATAATTGGGTGAATTTATTTACAAGATATTATAATATTACAAAAAATGGTATATTTATATTTATATTTGGATTTACTTTTTTCTATACAAATTTACCAAATCATGTTGGATATGTACTTTTTTAAAATCAAAAAATGATTTACAAGTTTTATCATGTTCATGATAAATGGCAGGTGTTGTTGTATATAATTGTAGAGTTGGAATACCTAAATTAAAAATTTATTAATATTTATCTCTTTAAAAAAAATAGATATATTTCTACTTACATTTAATAGTTTTTAATAATTTTAAAGATAATCCCATTGCATTATATGTTAAAACATCTAATGTTAGAATGGTAAGTGGTGATTTGGTTAATCTAAGTGATTCGATGAGATCGGATACTTGAGTCGATCGACCAATACGAAGTTGGTAAAGTACAGTTGAAGTGGTAATGAATCGATAGACCGAATGAGAGGAGGTGGGCACTGATAGATGCTCTAGTGTGTTGACAAGGGGATCAAGAGTATTTGATAGATTGGTGTCCTTGTGCAAGTCCATGATTTCTAATTTATACAAGTTGGCGTTGAGTTGGAGTGGGTCAAGTGTTTCGGGATGATTCGTGTTTAGATTGATTGATAGTCGCTTAAGTTCTGGTTTATCCCTAAACACACGATATAAACTTGTAGTCTCGTCACAATCCGATGGGAATTGAAAGTCAAGTTTGAGGTTGGTTATCGTGCGATTAGCACAATAATATGCTTTGAATGCATATACAAACTCTTGTGATGCGATTGATCCGCCTGGCACTGTATGAAGTTGTAGGAGATGCAGTTTCGACAGATGGTCGAGTCTGTTTAAATGCTCAAAGAGGAAATCAAACTCGATCATGTGATGATGAATGATTTTGAGCGATGTCAGTGTCCGAGCAAACGCAGCACTCGTTTGCGGATTCACCAACAATGGCGCATATACTTTAGTGGCGAGAGCCTGTGCCGATATGTTGGGTTTTGTGCGTGGCTGTATGACCAGAGACCGCAGTCCGATACAATCGTCAGCAGTGACGTAGTCTCCTAGCACGCGCATCAACTCTTCTTCACCGAGTGTTGTTGTCTTTATCTTGGTGACCGTTGACTTTACCATCAAAAGGAGCCCGAGAATAACATCGGGTTGCCCAAAGTTGTAAAAGCAAATGTTGATGGTACGCACGTTGATCAGATGCGGCAGAAGCATCTTTATGTCATCCTGATCCATCCCGTCAAACTCCATATGATCAACTGTCGCAAGATACGTCAGTTGATGAGCGTTGATGGGGAGATGAGTGCCGTGTGCAGTGATAATCCTGCGAAGATTACCTATTCTACCTATCGGGCAACACCAATTCCCCACGTGGTTGACGAGTCGCTCGAGATCAGGGTGTCGCGATATCGTCTCAAACATGTGATCGTGTCTTAGATTGTTTCGAACATACGTCATCACATCTTTTGATATCGACGCTAAACTTAATCTCCATCTAAACGAACTTGTCTTTTCATTCACCAAATGCTCTAATATCTTGTATAAACAATAGTTTGGTAATGTCTTTGATTTAATATTACCCATCCTCTGCAGTAATGGTTAAAAAAGAAGAAGAAAGATATAAAGATATCTTTTACTTCAATTTGTTATCTTTCTAAAACAAAAAAGATCTTGCTTGCTCAATGTTTGTATTTTGAATAGTTGTTTATTTTTTTATTTATTTATTTATTTACATTGAAAGAAACTCTAAAACAGATAATCTGATTGTATTAAACAAGAAGAGGGAGGAGGAAGAAGAATAAAATGGTAATATTTACAGGTCTATGTTAAAAGAAGAAGAAAGTAGGTAGAAATGATGATGATGATGATGGTGATAATTGAATCAATTAATTAATGACACAACCAGATTGTTTAACCTTTGGTTTATCACTTCCTCTAGTTGAACGGCTATGACCGTGAGTAGAACGAGAAGTAGAAGCAGTAGATGAACCACCACTATTATTCGTCTCATTGATACTATGGCTAAACGAGGTTCGAAGATGATTCAATTGGTTGGTTAAATCATAGTTTTGGTTTTGAAGATGCTTCAATTCATTATCCTTCATGTGATGGTCTCTGTGTTTTCTCTTGATTCTATCAGAGCAGAATTGATGTGGACATTCAATCACAGTCTCCAAGCATTCCTCTTGAATGTGCTTATCCAAATCCATACGAAGAACATGTGTATCACATTGATGACATTCAATCAATGCCATTTGACATTCTTCACCATGTGGCTAAACATAATATTAATGGTTAGTAAAACATTATTAACAATATCTTATTATTTGTTAACATACATCAATTTCTTTAAAAGTAATTTCCATTGAACATAGAGTACAATTAATCTTTCTATGAATACATGATTTATAATGTGTTGCTTGATCCTTTCTTCTAATCAATGGACAGATATCATCGTCACCTGGTTTGGATGAGCATTGACTAAATTCACAAGTCAACAATTTAAAGCCACATTTTTGTTGATGACCAATGATTGCTGGCAAGAAATCACTCTCACTACATCCTTCGGGATCACTCTTGAATCCTTCATTATCCAAGTAAAAGGAATTCTTACATTTTACCTACAAATATATATATGCATGTACGTACACATATTAATAAAATATATTCAAGAATATCAAACTCACCCTCTCTCTCTCTCTTTTTTATATATATATTATTACATACAGATGAATGTAAAATAAATTCATGCAAGAATGTACACTTTGAAAGGTTAGATGTGGTGGTTGGAGTATGACATTTTGGACATTCACGTTGCTTTGTTTCTTTGATCACCATGTTGATACAATCTTCATGGAACAAACAACCATTGGAACACTGTAGCGGATTTTTTAGTAATAGTTGATTGCAAATGGTGCACTGTAGCAGACCAAACATGGTCGACTTTGACTCTTCCAGCTCAATCTGGTGAGTCAGTACTTCAGTGTCGTCGGCGTTGAGCAACTGTTTGTTGGCGTGTTGCAGATCCTTTGAACAGCCTGCAGTGGTCGTGGAAGAAGTCTCAGAGCACACCTCTGAAAGGACATCGGACGATTCAGATTCCATGTCTTCATCGGCCATGAACTTGTCTACAGTATTGGTGCCAATCGATTTCATAACACAAGGACTGCTCTTTTGTTGTTGCTTGTCCGAGAGACTTGGATAAAGCGTGTCTTTGGGTGACGATGGGATATCAACAAAGGTAGGTTTAGCTTTGAACGATACATTTGGTTTGATGCGTTGCGACGATGATGCTTCATCCACATCGATTGGAGTTGATTTGACTGGCGAAGAATAGGTGCCAAATATTGGTGACGACAGAGAGTCTAATTTCTTTCTTTTAACAACTCCTTCTGGAACAACTACAACCGGATTATCAAATCTCGATGAATGATAATCAGATGCAGATGTAGTAGTATTACTACTCCTTTCTCTTTTAGCTACTGATAAAGAAGTTGTCATCCTATTTTTTTTTTATGAAAAAAAGACAAGTAAAGTAATGTAAGTTGAAGTTGATTTAATTAATAGAATTTAAAAAATTGATGATGAAAATAAGAAGAAGAAGAAGAAGAAGAGATAGGACAAACAAGATACTAATAATAATAATATATTATCGAGAGAGAGAGAGAAGACTAAAATTAATATTAAATGGTGAGGTGGTGGACACTTTAATAAAAATAATCAAAAAAAAGAAGGCAATGATAATAAATTTAATGATGGATAGATTGTAAACAAAATGTGGTTAAAAAAGAGGAGTATATAGAGAGAGCGACCAATAAAATATTAATAAAGAAATTACTCTACTGAAACCAAAAAATTTAAGTACCCCCTTCTTAGTGACCATTCTCTACTGAGTATTTATTTTTCACCCTCTCTCTCTCTCTCTTCAGTACTTATGTTAGAACCCCCACTAAATAATTATTGTTATATGTATGACTGAAGTCGAAAAGATAAAGAGAATCACGATATTGTCGAATGACATTGTAAAGAGAATAACAAAAGAGGAAGATCATCATGTGATTGACCAAAGGTATGTTATATAGTTATATATTAATATATTATATAACCTATAACTTTTATTATTATTAAATATTTATGATCTATAAATATCTGTTGGATTATGATCATCATCATCGTTGATTGAATTATAGTTTGATATTTCACCATTGTTATTGTTATTATCTTTGATGAGATCTTCTTGTTCTTCATCAATCACTTTATTGTCATCTTTTAGTGGTTCACCAAGTTCCTCTTTACATCCACGAGGATAAATAAATAATAGGGCCAATGAAAGTAGGAATGCTAAAAACATGACACCACTATCGAGTATATAATTCATACCAGGAAAGTAAATGGGGGCTTTACCTGAAATGAAATAGGCAAGGAGGTTTTCCATTGTCAATGCTCCTGCAAAGGTAGAAAGACTCCCAAGTGATGATACACCGGCCAATACAGTAGCCTGCATATCATTAGGTACGGCTTTGGAAATGGTCGATTGAATATTATTAAATATCAATGTAGTAAAGGAGCCAACACACAAAAATACTGCATACATCCATTGATTTTGTGAAAATGCATATAATAGATGACAAGCTGAAACTCCTAAAAAAGCAAACATTGTAACTGATCTTTCAGCTAAAATAATAATAGAAAAGTATTAAATAATTAAAATTGATTATTATTATTATTATTATTATTATTATTATTATTATTAATATTATTTTGTTTTTCATACATTTAGATTTTAATATCCAATTTAATATTATACTCCAAACGAAAACACCAACACCAACGGCACTAGAAAGAATATTATTTGGAGTTGGTCCCCAGTTGAATTTTACATTGGTGAAATTATATTGTGTTGTTAAACTATCGATATAGGAGAAACAATAGATAAACGCGACCAATGAATAGAGACCAACAAATTTACCAACTTTGAAGAGACTGGCGACTGCCACAAACGGATTTCTTGATCCATTGGCAGCCGCGTCTTCTGGTGCAACTGGCTCATCGTCTCTGGAAATTCGAATACCTTCTCTAAAATGGTACGACTCTTTTAATGGGATGAGAACTGCCATTGCCAACACGAGACAGGCACAACTAAAATATTGCGTGTAGATGGGGAGCCAAGCCATGAGGCCCATGCCGATGAGTGGCCCTAGACAGGCTGAAATTCCTTGCGACATGCCTATCAATGCGTAGATACTTGGACGCTCCTCCTTTGTTGTAATGTCAGCAAAGTAGGCAAAGACCAAGGGTGCAATGGCAAGACTGATGCCTCCAAAAAAGTTTGACATGTATATTGGCCACAACAACCAAAATTTTACTCCTACAATGGTGATGATCGAGTCGCACAACGCTGTGAATAAAACAAACATGCACAAGATCTTTCGTCCTTTTCGATCTGCAACCATTCCAATCAACGGACACGCTATAAAACTAGATGCAAATGGCAAAGCATCACTAATCGATTGATAATGTGATGCCGTTGAATCTCTTTGTGATTGTGAACTATTTGGATAATTGTGTAATGCATATTCTTCCATTAACCATCTAAACACAAAAAATATAAATAAATATAGTTTGGTTAATATTATTTTCAAGGGTTGTGTGTGTGCTCATTGTTTAATATGATTTATACATACGCTGTAAAAGATGTTTGAGCATATGCTTGAAGTAGAAATAATACCAAACATAGGAGCATACCTATTTTCTCTCTTAATAATGATTCTTTTACTATTGCCTCATCTTTTATTGGCAGTAACAAATCTGCTTCTTTTGTTTCAAATTTATCATATGATGATTTGTTTTGATAATTATCCATATTTCTAGAATGGATAATAATTTAGAAGAGAGAAAAAGAGAGCAATAATTTATAATATAACTAGTCCCTCTTGATGAGACTAATTCATACCATCAAAAGCACTACACCTTCTAGCTCACATCTGTTCTTTGGTTACACACACCACACCTTAACTATTTTTAAATTAAAAGGGAGATTGTTGACAACGAACATCCCTACTAGGATTGTTGTCGTATAGGGTCGCGCATTGTTGTCGATGTGTTGATCTCATGATCTCAGGAACAATAAAATAAATTAAAAATAGTTTTTTTCAAGGAAAGCTATGAGTAAAGTTCATAAAAAGAGTAATATGAAGAACAAGAAAAGTTAGTGATAAAATTAATTATACAGTTTGTTAAAAAGAAATTATATATTGATGTTGATTAAGTTGTTGATAATATTATATTTATTGATTGAATAAATTAAATGTATTTTTTTTTTTGGTTGGTTGGTATTTTTTTGTTTTTAAACTGTAGAATAAGAGGTACCTTCAAGATAATAGCCATTATAATCGACAAGAACCATTTGGGGCATCGATGCAACCATAATGAAACGGTAACCTCTGTTTGGTTTGACGTAACCAATGTTGAAAGCATCCCACTGACCTGGTCCACAATCGCTGGAACTGGTGGCATAGATAATTTGGAAGACACCGTTGTTTAACCATCCCTTTCTGCATCGTTGTTTACAAGCTGGAGATTGGGTAATGATTGTGTTAGCCTTGATATCCTTGAGGGAATAGCTGGTTGGTTCAAACGAGGCAAGGAAGAAAGGAGAGCCCAAGTAATTTTTGGCGATTTCATCTGGATACATTGCTTGGTTGCGGTATAGTTCAGATACCTTGAATCTACCCCAAATGACAGCTCCAGTTGCTGAACGATAGACAACTTCTGTTTCACCTTCATCTTCATTACTTGATCCTGGTGGTGGAATTTGAAGGAATCTAAAGAGAGAAAATAAAATAAATAAAAATAAAAATAAGATGTTAATAAATAAACTACATAAATATTGTGACTATAGATTTTATAGATATATATATAAATAAATAAACTTACTTCATGATGGATAAGAGTTGGAGTAGTCACCATCAAGACAATAAGCTGAATTTCTAGCACCGGCGGCATTAATACCATAGATACAGGCACCATCAGTGTTGACTTGTAGACCCATTGTTACGAAATTGGAGTTTCTATAGTCGATACGCCATTGAGTGTATGGATTGGAGGAACGAGGACTTCTATTGGTGAAATAGATGGTCATGGTCATGGTAGAGGTATCAAGAGATGGATAGAGATAGTCTCTACCGTTGCTATAGTTGTTTAGTTTAGGATGATAACACATACTTGTACTGCTAGTACCATAAATAGTATCAGAATGGAGTATGTCGGCACCGACAAGTGGGGAATTAATGGTTCGAATTGGTGGAGCACCGTAGGGATACGCGATAGGATCCAAGTATTCCCAGAAATAGGCTTGATCGTGAACAGCGAGTCCCGTCATAGAGATATACTGAGCAATCTGGTTGAACTCGTCGGCTTCCAGCCTGGCATCATTGTTGAAAGTGGCAGTGTAATTAGAATAGATTTCCCTGACATCGGTGTTGGCAATGGCAGCCCATTCGGACAGTTCAACTCGCAATTTGTTCTTCTGTACAAGCGTATAATTGAAGTTATGGAAGTCGGCGATTTGGTCAAGGATGAAACCGAGATACATGTTGGTGAATTGAACAAACATTGGGAGAGCTGCAGCCCTGGCATTCAACGATTTTATCTAGGGTTTCATAAAAGAAATCATACCTGAGATTGAATAATTCGTATAAAATGATGCTGACCTGGAATGGGTTTCTTGTCGCTGTTTGTTGGCTTTTTTTTTTTTGTTATTAGAGAATAAGAGGTACCTTCAAGATAACTATCATTATAATCGACGAGGACCATTTCGGGTATTGATGCAACCATAATGAAACGATTACCTCTGTTTGGTGTGCTTTGACCATAGCATCTCACTCCCCTGGTCCACAACAATTGGCACTGGTGGCATTGATAATTATTTTTTTATACATACATTGGCATTGGAGGTGGATATCCTCTAGGGGGGCCGGCAGACATTGAAGGACCAGATCTCAAACCTAAAGACGTTGTTAATCCACTGGTTTCAGGGCCAGCAGGCTCTGATGCATCGGCGACAATGAGCTCGACAAAGAGGATCTTTTCACGTCTAACATTGTCACGACACAATCCAAATGCCACTAGAATTTCATTGGTGTACATCTTTTTGGTGTAGATGAGACCAGCTTCTGATTGACCATCCTCGGTTGCCAGATCGACACATTTCATTGGTACGTCCAACTTGTACTCGAGGGGAACGTGATTGATATTCAATGAGGTCATTTTTTTGTAAAAGATACCGTATATACGAAGTTGTACCCATCGCTTGGCTGGCAGTTTGATGGGGAGTTTTGAACCCCCTTGATTATACACACCTGTACATCCACTAAACGGCTCGATATAGTTGGGGATATCTCTTTTACCTTTCATGTAATCACTACCAATCATGGGGTAGAAAAAGGCTCCATCGAAATGATAGATGTAGGGTTTGGAAATATTAGGTATGTTGACTGGAGTTTGTGATGCATTTCTGTCTTCAAAAGATGTGTTGAGAGGACGAATCTTTTCAGGATGTTCAATCAATTGAACTGGATACATGAGTTGATTCAACTTTAATAGTTGTGGTCCTTTGTCAATGATGAGTTGTAGTTCATCGGTCTTTTTGTCTCTGAGGAATCTTGATCCAGCAATAGCCAAATCATTGACAGCTCTCACCAACACCTTGTCCACCATTTCAGCGAATGATTCAACCCTTTTCATCCTCTTCGGTTGCTGGATACCCAGTTACAAATAATTCATCAACTTCTAATTGATACCAGAATGCCTATTCAAAATAAAACAAACCAAAATATAATTAACACATTTCTAGAATATTATTAATATTCTTTTTTTTTGACATACATTTAAATTAGCCATGACAACAATATAGATGAATAAACTATCTAAATAGTATGGGACTACGTTATCAACCATTGCATGGTTACCACAGAATCGAATGATACCCTTGACTTGTGCTCTGAGAGATTCAAAAGCTTCACGAACATAGGTCTTGAGATTACTATCGGCTTCACCTTCTCTCAAACGAACCTTTAATACACCAACCTTGGTTCTCAATACTTCCATATTATCAACCAATCCTTTAAAGAATGCTTCACATAATCTCTTCCATCTATTTTAAAAAAGAAATAATAATAATAATTAATTAATTATTGATATTCGAATATCATTGTTATTAATAGACAGACAACCTACGTTTGAACTTCACTCTCGGCAATCTTTTTATCCATGATACCTTCCATTTGAATTCTAAATTCATCCAATCTCTTTTCCAAATCCTCTTTTGAAACCATCTCCTTTTCAGGTGGTTTGGGGAAGAATAGATCAAATACACTTGCGAGAAATGGTCCTACTACTGGTACTAATGATCTAAATTTTAATGCGTAAAGAAGAATATTATTTAAAATGCAAATATAGTAATCTTTTTTTTTTAATGATACTTACAAAGCACCACTAACAAGTGAAGGAAGTAGATCAGGATCATTGGCAAGATTCTTGATGACACCTTCTGGATCTTCACAAAAGTCAACAATATCCTTTGCACTGATACAAGAGAAAGGATCACTCTTTAGATTTTGAACAAATTCATCCTTTTTAGCTCTGAGTTTATCTTTGGATGATTTAATAAACTTTCCTTTTGCCTTTGCAAATTTTCCTACTTTTGGCATACTTAAAAACAATGATTATTTAGTTTTAAAATATAATTATTAAAAGAAAAAATAATTAAATACTAATAGAAAGAAGAAAGGTTTAGAGGGAGTGGTTTTTATTTAAAAAAGCAATATGTGCCTGTGAGGATCAGTAAGTACATTTTAGCAGTTCAACTACAATGTACATTAAAGTTGTAGTTTAATCATTTAAATTAATTGATGTTTGGTTTTGTTGTAACGGTTTGATAGGGTAAAAATAAAGAAGAAGGATATGAAATCGAATAGAGAAGGGGGTTTAAATCTCATTGCCAGTTTACAAGTAACCTTGTCATTTAAGGAATTTTTACTAAATTAAACCCTACCAAGTTTTAAAAGGTAACCACTAACTCTAACCATGTGCTGATTAATCTTTTCAGCTACCCTATTGTCACCCCATCTCTAGAATTTAAATTGAGTTAAATACTATATAATATATTGTAATGTTGATTTTGGTTTATTGTGTTTTAGTTTTTTTAATTTCCAGGGATCATTATTATGACATTTGGTTGTTCTACAACCACATTAGTTGGTGCAGGTTCTGATGCATCGGCGACGATGACCTCGACAAATAGGATCTTTTCACGTCTGCCAGTGTCTGGTCTCTCGGCCTCTACATTATCAAATGACACTACAACATTATCAGTGTACATCTTTTTGGTGTAAATGAGACCAGCTTCTGACTCGCCATCCTCAGTTGCCAGATCGACACATTTCATTGGGACATCCAACTTGTACTCGAGAGGTTTGTCATTGATCAGGAGGGTTGTCAACTTTTTGTAAAAAATACCATAGATACGAAGCTGAATCCATCGCTTGGTTGGCAGTTTGATGGGAAGACAGGAACCTTTGATATTAAACACTCCAGTGCATTCACTAAATGGTTCGACATACTTTGGAATATCTCTACCAAAAGTATAATCTTGTTTTGGAGCTGGGTAGAAAATGGCACCGTCGAAACGATAGATGTACGGCTTGTCATTATTTGGAAGGTTTTCCGCGATGACTTCGACCTCTCTATCTTCAAACGATGAGTATCTACGACGAATCTTTTCAGGATGTTCAATCAATTGAACTGGATACATGAGTTGATTCAACTTTAATAGTTGTGGTCCTTTGTCAATGATGAGTTGTAGTTCATCGGTCTTTTTGTCTCTGAGGTATCTTGATCCAGCAATAGCCAAATCATTGACAGCTCTCACCAACACCTTATCAACCATTTCAGTGAATGATTCAACCTTTTCATCCTCTTCGGTTTCTGGATACCCAGTTACAAATAATTCATCAACTTCTAATTGATACCAGAATGCCTATTCAAAATAAAACAAACCAAAATATAATTAACACATTTCCAGAATATTAAATATTCTTTTTTTTTACATACATTTAAATTAGCCATGACAACAATATAGATGAATAAACTATCTAAATAGTATGGGACTACGTTATCAACCATTGCATGGTTACCACAGAATCGAATGATTGCTTTGACTTGGACTCTGAGAGATTCAAAAGATTCACGAACATAGGTCTTGAGAGTACTGTCAGCTTCACCTTCTCTTAAACGAATCTTTAATACGCCAACTTTGGTTCTCAATACTTCCATATTATCGACCAATCCTTTAAAGAATGCTTCACAAATTCTCTTCCATCTATTTTAAAAAAAAAAACAAAATAATAATAATTATTAATTAATGTACTATTTTAAATGATGAGATGATCATTGACAACATACGTTTGAACTTCACTTTCTTGAATCTTTTTATCCATGATACCTTCCATTTGAATTCTAAACTCATCCAATCTCTTTTCCAAATCCTCTTTTGAAACCATCTCCTTTTCAGGTGGTTTGGGGAAGAATAGATCAAATACACTTGCAAGTAATGGTCCTACTACCGGTACTAATGATCTAATTTTTAATGCGTAAAGAAGAATATTAATATTATTTAAAATGTAAAATATATTAATCTTTCATTTTTTTTTTAATGATACATACAAAGCACCACTGACAAGTGAAGGAAGTAGATCAGGATCATTGACAAGATTCTTGATGACACCTTCTGGGTCTTGACAAAAGTCAACGATATCCTTTGCACTGATACAAGAGAAAGGATCACTCTTTAGATTTTGAACAAATTCATCCTTTTTAGCTCTTAGTTTATCTTTGGATGATTTAATAAACTTTCCTTTAGCTTTTGCAAATTTTCCTACTTTTGGCATATTTAAAAATGTATAATAATAACTACTACTACTACTACTACTACTACTACTACTACTACTACTACTACTGCTACTACTATTTTAAAAAGATAAACTGAATATAACCAGTTTTGTTGTTCCAAGTATGTTTAAATAGTCAACGAGAGATAACTCTTGTAGCAACAAGAGAAGAGCAGTACATTTGTAGTTTGGCAAAATTAATTAATTTCGTATCTCCTCCGTAACCATTTGTTTGCAAATAGATGCGATGAGAGAAAGTATAAAGTTAGATGGACAGCCGAAATTTATAATGATAAGTAAGGTTTAAGATCGCAACCCCTCCCATTACCAACTTACAAATATTTTTCGAATCTTGGTTGGTTGACGTAAAAGAATCATTTGATTGGAGATTAATTACATCATTGTGCCAATTTACAAACTCTCTTTGTTTAACGATGATATACACTGCAGATTGTTGACTGTTGGTTTTGGTTTCAAAAAATTTTCAACCATTTTGGCGCCTTTTTTAAAAGTATAAATCTAGATAAATAAATACAGAGCACACTGTATTAGACTTGATGAATGAATGAATTAAAATGTTTATTTATTTATTGGGAATGATTGAAATCTGTTGTCACTTTGAAATTGGTTGATTCAGTTACATTGGAGGGTTAGGACCTGGGCCATACAATCCCGATCCGGGAAATCTAGGCAACCCAGAACCAGTCTCTGTAGGAGGTGGCAGATAGTATCCATAAAAATCATTAGCCATTTGATCTTGTACTGGAGGAGCAGGTTCTGATGCATCGGCGACAATGACCTCGACAAACAAGATCTTTTCAATTCTTTTTTCATCGATCAGTTGTTGGGCTGTTTTGACTGGTTCGATATTGGCATTATTATTACCAAAGAGTGATGTCATTGATATCTCAGGGAACCCTGTGGTTGGTTCAAATGTCGACATAAATGAAACGCGGATGAAATCAGTGTACATCTTTTTGGTGTAGATGAGACCAGCCTCGGATTGACCATTCTCGGTAGCCATATCGACACATTTCATTGGGACATCCAACTTGTACTCGAGAGGTGCATCGTTCACAGCCAATGTGGTTTTCTTTTTGTAAAAGATACCATAGAAACGAAGTTGTACCCATCTCTTGGCTGGCAGTTTGATGGGGAGACAGGAGTCTCCGAGATCATAAACACCAGTGCATCCACTAAATGGTTCGACATACTTGGGGATATCTCTACCATCATGATCGTAATCCCAACATGAGGGTGGGTAGAAAAAGGCAGCATCGAAACGATAAATATAGGGTTTGGTAATATTGGGAAGGTTTGATGGCTCGAAAATTAGGTTTCTTTCTTGGAATGATGTGTAGAGACGACGAATCTTTTCAGGATGTTCAATCAATTGGACTGGATACATGAGTTGATTATACTTTAAAATGTATGGCCCTTTTTCATTGAGTAGTTCCATCTCCTTAGTCTTTTTGTCTCTGAGGCATCTCGATCCAGCAATAGCCAAATCATTGACAGCTCTCACCAACACCTTGTCGACCATTTCATTAAATGATTCAACCTTTTCATCCTCTTCAGTTCCTGGATACCCAGTTACAAATAATTCATCAACTTCTAATTGATACCAGAATGCCTATAAAACAAATTTAAAATATTAAAATTAAATAATTAATATCAAAAAAAAAATAATTCGCCAAGTTCAACAAAGTTGGTTTTTTGAGACATACATTTAAATTAGCCATGACAACAATATAGATGAATAAACTATCTAAATAGTATGGGACTACGTTATCAACCATTGCATGGTTACCACAGAATCGAATGATTGCTTTGACTTGGACTCTGAGAGATTCAAAAGATTCACGAACATAAGTCTTGAGAGTACTGTCAGCTTCACCTTCTCTTAAACGAATCTTTAATACACCAACCTTGGTTCTCAATACTTCCATATTATCAACCAATCCTTTAAAGAATGCTTCACAAATTCTCTTCCATCTAAATAAATTAAAAAAAAAAAATGGAGAATAAAAGATAAAGTAATTAATAAATACTTCAAAATGATTTGCGATAGTAATCTAATTAATTTTAATAGACAGACAACATACGTTTGAACTTCACTCTCGGCAATCTTTTTATCCATGATACCTTCCATTTGAATTCTAAATTCATCCAATCTCTTTTCCAAATCCTCTTTTGAAACCATCTCCTTTTCAGGTGGTTTGGGGAAGAATAGATCAAATACACTTGCGAGAAATGGTCCTACTACTGGTACAGTGGGAATAGACAAAAAGGGTGTAACTATTAGTTTCAAATCTCTTTGCCAAACTACAAATATTTTGACAAATATACACATGAGATACATTTATCTATCTTATCTACATAATACTAATAATAATGAGATAAATTGATTAGTAAGTATACTACTACTACTATTACAATTAATGTTTTTTTGTTTTGATTCATTTTTTGTTTTTTTATTATTATTATTATTATTATATAAGGATTTGATGGATTCATTCTTCTTTTGAAATTGTTTTGTTTTGTAGTAATAGTTGGTTGGTTAGTGTAAAACTCTTATTATTATTATTATTATTATTATTATTATCTTATTGTGAAATAGTTGAACTGGCAGATGAAGCAGTTGAATTTCCAATTGGTTCAATCGATTGGTTTGATGGGTTAGTTTGAGGGGCAATGGCAGGTGAGGTATTTGAAGAGGCATTTGTTATATCACTATTCTTGTGACTATGCTTTTTTGACTTTGACTTTGATTTTTCGATGGAGTCGATGCAGTTGCAGTTGTATCGGTTGAATCCTTTTCCTTTTCTTTTTCGGGTTCACCACCACGTTCACTTCTTAATGATTCATCGGCAGAGTCATATCCATCATCAGTTTGAGATGATTCGGTAGACATGTCAGTCTTTTCACCTGATCCACCGTGTTGTTGTGGTGGAGTGGTGGCAGACTTGTCCTTGTTCTTTTTGCTGCTTCCGCCACTAATACCCTTGAATCGTTTGAGGAATATTTTAAATGGAGTTGGTTGGTGTGGTTGTTTGCTTGGTGATCCCTCTGCCTCTTGAGTGGACTGAGTGAGATCATTGTAACTCGATGTATGTGAAGGTGGCAACGAGTAGGATGACCCTCCTGCAGGCATGGTACGACTCTTGGTACTAGCAGTACTAATCACACTATCCAACGACTCTCTATGTGAGAGTAACTTTGGATTATTAGAAGTATGCTCTTCACCAACATTATCACCACCTGGATTAGCTTCAGTAACATCTTCATCACCAGATTCATCGTCGCTTTGTTCGTTGGCCTCGGTTGGCTGTCCACCAGCGGCGGCTACTGCACCCTCTTTGATGTCTTCGTTGGCTTGCTTGCCACCAAACTTGTTCTTGACCAATCTGAGTGTGTTTCTACCGGCCTTTCCAAGGATCGATGGTCTACGATTAGATTTTGGTCGATTTAGTTTGGATTGTGAAACTGATAGAGGTGGACCGTTTGGTGGAGGTGGTGTAGTTGATTGTGCTGTAGCTGTAGTAGTAGTAGCATTGTTATTATTATTTGGTTGTTGTACATTGATAACAGGGACATCGATAGATGATGATGATGATTCTGTTATTCCCCTATTAGTGTTTGCTGCCAACGTATTGATATCACCAAAACTACCACTATGGCTACTATTAAAAGAACTATTTAAATCTATTTTTGTGTTATTAATTACATTGTTGTTGACTATGGTTGTTGGTGGGACGAGGACGGTTGGTTGTTGTCCATCACCGCCGGTGACTTGTTCATTTGAGAAACTTGCACGACCGACACTTTCATTCTCTGAGGTCCAGCTGTCTAGATCGTCCTTTGGGTTTAATGGTTCGTCTTTGTCGTCGTCGTCTTCAGAGAGGATTTCTTCTTTTGGAAAGTCGGTCGAGACGGGAGTACTAGCCTCAAAGGCTACGACGGTGTTGTTTTCGATGGCGTCCATGGTGAGCCCAAGAGGGAGCTCTTCGCCGCGGAGGATCTTTTCCGTTTCCTTGGAGTGGTTGAGGACGGCCAAGTCGATGGCGAGACGGCCGAGATGGTCGCGGTGCTTGGCACGGACCGAGTCGAATCCACGACGCATGAGGAGATGAGCGCAACGGGGACGGTTGAAAAAGGCGGCATAGTGCATGGGTGTCCATCCTCGCGAGTCGGTAGCAGTAATGTCGGCACTATTTTGGAGGAGGAGCTCGGGCACGACAATGTCGTCGGAGCGCCAGATCGAGTGGTGGAGAGTGTTGCGGCCGTCTGCGTCGGTGGCGTTGACGTCGGCGCCTTGGCCCATGAGACGGATGTAGCGGACGACGTCGCGACACTGAGAGGCAGCGAGCTCGCCGAGCATCTTGCCGAGCTCGTCAACCGACAAACTAGACTTGGTGATAAAGTCGCGCGACTTGTACTTGCTGCGGATATACGCCTCCTTGGTCATACGGTCGCTCTTGTCGGTGGGCTTGGTCGTCTCGCCGAGCTGGTGTTCGTACAACTGGTTGAAACGCGCGTTACCAATCTCGCACATGAGCGAGATGTTGTCGGGCGACCACTTGTCGAGTGTCAGCGAACGCACCTTGGATATGTGCGTGCCCAACGATCGATGCACGCCGCTACACACCTTGCAAATGAGCAGGCCAAGATTAATGGATGCCCAGTCGGGGTCGGCACTCGAACAATCAGCGCACACGCCATTACCCTGCACACGCTGTAAAATACGCACAATCTGTTGGTTGACCTCATCCGTGCCAGTCGATGAGATTTGCGAGCTCACCGACGACGCAGACATTGGCTTGGCAAGCATCACGCCACTCGTCGACTTTTCCAGCGACTGGCTGTTGAGACTGTTGGAAATGGCCTGTTGAATAGCCTCGACCCAACGGTCTCTCTCCTCCTCACTCTCGGCCTGCAACACGATCGGTTGTTTCTTTCGAGGATGCAAGATTTCGAAACGCAAATTATACTCTTTCTCATCCTTTTCCTTTTCTTTTTCCTTTTCCTTTTCTTTTTCCTTTTCCTTTTCTCTTTCCTTTTCAGATTTGCCAAGTGAAGAAGTAGCCAAATTCGATGTAGATGGTGATACCATAATTAATTGTGGTAATCTTACCGAACATAATAAAATATTTAATGCATTCTCTGGATGGAATTCCTACAATCAAAACAAAACATAATATTAATATTAATATTAATATTCATATTTTCTTTTCTTTTCTATTTTCTATTTTATATTTTGTTGATACATTACCTTTTTACCTTTATAACAATATAACATTCCATCTTTTAAGACATACCAACATTTATTCCAACCACCCATTACTTGTTTTGATTTTTTCATGAGATGACCTTCGACGACCTTTGGTGGTTGAATCTCTTCGAGATAACGTTCAAGTTCTTCGATACGTGGCTTGAGGTTGGCATAGAGTTTGGAGGCACGGTTGAAAAAGAGGTATTGAGCATTGACAAAATGCAACATTGATTTCAAATACTTGGTTTCGTTCTTGTGTGACAGTTCGTTGAGTTTGACCTCTAGCTCTTTGTTTTGGCCCTCTAATCCATCCTTTAACTTTTCCAACTCTTGTTCGTATGTAAATAGTCTAGTTTCATCAACCGCCTTACTCTTTTTAATCGATGCCGATATTTTACCCAACGCAATATCATAATCCTCCTTGCTCTTTGATACTCGTTTGTGTGAGTCTACCACTTCAGCAAAGTCATAATCAACAAAATTGGCAACTGGTGTAATAAATACATCTTGAATTTCATTCAACTAGAAAGAAAGTAAAAGATAAAAGAATACATTAATATTATTAAAAGATGGATAGTTATATAATATATATATATATATATATTAAGTATACAAACCATTTGATCATGAACACTATTAACAGCTTTAATAGTATTACCAAAATAAGCTAGATTATTTCCAAGATTCTTTTCTTTTTGTTGATTAAAGCCAATCATTTGATCGGATTGTTTAATTAATTCTTCAGAGAATAAATGTGAATTTTGACAGTATACTAAAGAAATATTAAACAAAGTAGTTGGTTAGTTATATATATATGTATATATGTATTTGTATGTATCTTGTTTGATTGATTCTTTACCTTTCATTGAATCAGTCCAATGTTTAGAGATTTTTAGTAGACGTTTCAAAGTCTTTTTATTCTCTAGTGCAAATTGAAACTCTTCGGTGTGGTAGTTGTTGGCTGCGAGAGCTGCTGCTGCTGCGGCGGCTGCAGAGGTGGATGAGGTAAGAGTGGCAATTGATCCAGTACTTGATACCAACGATGTAGATGCATTCGATACGCTAAGAAGGTTATTGACCAAGTTACCCGATCCAACTGGTGTTGCTAATGTTGTAGTAGTAGTCGTCGTCGTCGATGATAAAGATGCTGCCAATGATGATGTACTTTGTGAATTTGGTGATGATGTTGTTGTCGTAGAGGAGGATGTAGTAACTGCCGCTGCAGTAGTACTTGATGATGATGATACATTATTATTGTTATTGTTGGTGTCGCTAGGAGGAGAAGTAGATATAGTTGCAGCTGGTGCTGGTGCAGCAGCTACTACTGGAGTAGTAGAAGCTCTAGAAGATCGGTGCATTGATGGAGATGGGGGATTCGAAGTAGTAACAGATGGCGCATGAGGTGACCCGGCTACAAAAGTAGTGCCCGTTTCCTTTGTTGGTGTTGGTTCACTCATCTCTCTCTCTCTCTCCAATACAAACTACTCTCTATCTTCTTTCTATATATATATATATTCTAGATAGTAGAACTAACTCTCCCAATTATTAGTGTATGATTATCTTCCTTTCTTCTTTTCCTTTGTTCAAATATTTGATTGATTGATTGATATTGTATGTTCTGTCTGTGTAATATATGATGTGTAATATGTTTGTTAGTTTACTGTTCTCTCTTCTTGTTGTTGTTGTAGGTATGCTATTGTTATTGTATTACTCTACTCACTCTACTACTCTTTGTTGTTGTTTGTGAGAGAGTTTTGTTGTTTTTGGTTGGTTGGTTGGTTGGTTGGGATGGTTGTGTGAGTGTGTTTGTTGTGTGTGTGTGTTTTGAAGGGTTGTTGTGATTGTTTTTACTGGTTGATTAAGGATCGAATGAATGAATGGATGAACGAATGAACAAGGTAAGGTAAGGTGTGAGATCTCCTTTTTGTAATTTAAGATTTACGATTAACTCTTGTCTTGTTGTGATGGTTGTTGATAAACCTTTCTTTTCCTCCTTTAGATGGCGAGTAAATAATACTAATACAATGATAGATGATAAATGATTGAATGAATGGATGGATGAATGAAATACGATACGATGATGAGATAGATAGATATAGAACGGGGAGTTGAGTTTGAATGAGAGGTGAAAAATGGGCAACAAGAGTTATTAATAAAAATTAAAAGAAAAAAAAAAAGTTTGGGGATGAGGTTTTTGGTCTCTGGGCGTCAAACAAGTCAAGCAAGAGGTCCTTGGGTTGGTTGGAATAATCGTCGGTCGTTTAAACACACGAATAGAGAGATAAATAAATAGATGGTATGGATCACTAAATAATAATAATAGTGATTTGAAACAAAGGCAAGATTGAATCGAGGGTTCCAAAAAAAAAAACACTATAATTCTAACTGTGTAAAAAATAAACTGTGGAATAGAGAGAGTAGTGAGAGAGTAGTAGATAGATATATATAATAGCAGTTATGTGTTTATATTTGTGGAGAATAAGAGTAGAGTAGTATGAGTTGTGGATGACTCCTCCTGCTAAACACAATTCACTCATGACGTTGAGGGGGCAAGTCTGCCAAATTCAAATAAAAGCTGATTCTAGCTCTGTTGTAAAAAATCAGCTCCTCTCAGATACACCCGCTATCCTTCATGTTCTTTGAAAATAATAAAATAGATATATGGAATCGAATAATAATAATAATAATAATAATAATCTACTCTATCTTTCTCTCTTTAATTTCAAGTCAGGTGATTTATCTTTAAAACAATAATAAAATTAAAATAAATAAAAAAGTGTTTGCATATTTGAGAAATGCAATTTCCATTTTGTGTACACCATGAATATTAATATTAATATTGATAATATCATTGTATTGTTTGTCGTTGTCACCCTTGAATTCTGGGTAGGTGTAGGAGGTTCTTCTTTTCAATGTACATCTTTGAAGTGGTCAGTTTTTGGTGAATAGTCCTCGGACACAAAATCGAGCCATGTCACAAAAAAATTCAAAAAAAACAAAATTTAATAATCCACAACCATTTTATAAAGCAGCTCAATAAATTATTATTATTCTTTACTTTTTAAATTACCTTTTAACTTATTATTATTATACAAAGAAATATGGATCCATACGGAAGACCAATTATGCCAGGTGTTTATCCTCCAGGTTACGTCGCACCAATCGTACCACCAACCACCTTTGACCCAATGGTAGTCCCAAGTATGTACTATCAACCTAGTATGCAATGATTTTTAAAAATAACAAAAAAAGAGAGTATAGTTAGAAACATAGATATATATATATATATAGTTATACTATACTCTCTTTTGGCTCAATTTATCAACGGAGTGATATTATTGATAATATGTGCACTATCTTATTTACAGAGAGTAGAACAAACAAAACAGAACAAAATATAACACAACTAGATAGTAGTACATTACACACCTACTACTACTTGTTATTGTTGTTACTATTACTATTGTTTTAAACTACTCTTTATCATATATTTAGTTGTCAAATATACTTTAGAATCCATTTTAAACTAATCCTTTCTATCTTTTTCTTTTCTTTGACTATTTAGTGGGAGTAGGAGTTGTACCACCAGTTATCGGAGTACAACCAGTTGTTTACCCAAGTGCATACCCAACTGCCTATCCTGCTGGCGCCTATCCAGGTGCTTATCCAGGTGCCTACCCAACCGCATACCCAGGTGGTTACCCAGGTGGCTATCCAATGGGAGGATACCGTCCACACCACTACAAACACAAGAACTTTTACAAGTTTAAGCATTTCAAATAAGTGACTTTATAACAACAACAACAAGTCATTCAATGCACTCAATTACAACAAATGCGCGCAAACGATAACCATAATTAATTAAGTTAATATCTCTCTATAAACAAAAAAAACAAAACAAAAAAAAAACATCCTGTTGTATATTCTTTAAACTAAAAACTAAATAATCATCTTAATAATCTTAATAATAATAATAATAATAATAATCTTCTCACACCACACACTATTAACTTTGTTGTAAATATATTTTAAATAATAACTGACACATCAATAATAATAATATTAATATTTGATTGAATAAATAAATATTTTTAAAAAAGAGGTCAAAAATTAAACACTTTACCTTTTCCAAAAACAAAATCAATTTCCATCATCTGACTTTACTCTTTCCATAAATATTTGTATATACGAAGAGAAAGAAGATATATATATCTATATTTATGAGCTTACGTTATTTAACATACATTGATTTTGTTTTTATTTTTAAAAGGTTTTTCTTTTTGTTTAGTTTCTTTTTGTTGTTGTTATTATTATTATTAATATCACATTATTATTATTATTATTATTAATATCTTTTTAAAGTTATTATTATTATTATCACATTTATTTTAATTTTGGAATGGATTTATAAATATTATTATTATTTTAATTTGGGATTGGGATTGGATGGAGAGATGAAAAAAGGGGGGGAGGAGGATTAAATTTATCTTGTGTGTATCCTGTGATGATTTAAATTTAAAAAAAAAAAAAACTTTCTTATAAGATTGTGCACTTTGTTTTGCTAGACTTGTTTGATTTATCACGGTCTGGGAAGATGACGGCCTTGATGGCTTCATCGAAAACTTGCTTGAGACCTTTTTGAGTGAGGGCCGAGCACTCCAAGTAGCAAAAGGCCTTGATATCCTTGGCCATTTGCTCGCCTTGTTGGGCGGTCAGTGGTTGTTGGTTCTTTTCTCTCAACTTTTCCAAGGCTTCTCTGTCGTCGCGGAGATCGCACTTGGTACCCACGAGAATGATGGTGCTGTTGGGACAGTGGTGCGATACCTCTGGCCACCACTTGCTCTTTACGTTGGTGTACGAGGTTTGTGATATAATAGCAAAACATATTAAGAATACATCGGTTTGTGGATACGACAATGGACGAAGTCTATCGTAATCTTCTTGACCTGCTGTATCCCAAAGTCCAAGAGAAACTGTCTTGTTATCTACCATTACATTGGCTATAGAAATAAAAATAGAATAGAAATAGAAATAGAAATAGAAAGGGGAATGGTTAGATATATATAAATATATTCATCGATGAATATAGATATGGACATACCAGAATAATTGTCAAATACCGTTGGAACATATTCTGTTGGGAAACTGTTTGAGGTATATGAGATGAGTAGACAGGTTTTGCCTACAGCACCATCACCTACTACTACCAATTTGATTGATTGCATGGTTGAGTCTACTGATGTTGTTTCTTTTCTATATCTAAAATTACTATGTAATCGTCGAAGCATTCCATCATTATGTTGGTTATGTTGGTTATGTTGGTGGTGGTGATGATGATGTTGATTATCAGGATCATCATCAACAGATTGTTTTGATTTTGATCGTTTAAATGATAACATATGATGGTAGAATAGATTAATTAATGAATGAATTAATTAAAATAGATGAATAAAAGAGAAGAATAGAATTAAAAAAAAAAAAAAGAGAAAGAGAGAGAAAGAGAAAGACAATGTTAGTGAACCATTCTCTTTTGTTCTTCTTTGATTGAACAACAACAACAACAACAACAAATAATAATAATAAATAATTGTCAGATATCACACTCCTCTTGGTGTTATCTTTTGAATGATGTCAAATCATCAAACTGTCGTTTATCTATTCTAGTGTGTTGTTTGTTGCTGTTGTCACGGTTTCTTGTTTCTTTGTTGTTGTTGAAGCAATGAATGACACATACCAAATATATTAAACAATGATCACGTTTGTTGGGTGTGATTAGTTTTGTACTACTACTTTTACTACTTCTACTATACTACTACTGAGATTGTTATTTTAAAAAACAGTTGTAGAGAGAAGGTGATCTAAATAAATAATTAAATGTAAAAAAAAAAAAAAGTCGACTCTTTTATCTATTTATAGGTGTAGAGAGGGTAAATAAAAGTATATAAATAGTAGGTAGAGATAGATTGATATTGTTAGTTTATCTATAGGTTTATAAATATATATATATAGTACAACAATGGGTTCTGTAGTTTGTACAATAACTAAAAAAAAAAAGTAAAAAAAAATGAGAGAAAGCAGGTGGAAGTTTAAAATTAAAAAAAAATTGCAAAGTAGAGCCTTGGGATTGAATCTAGATCTCTCCTCCTCTATCCAATCCACATCGACAAATTTGTTGATGAACCCAACCTGACCTATTAATAATAATAGGTTATGTCTTCATAATAATAACATATGTCGATGATATATACAACACAATGTATATACTTGAGATATTAATTATCTTGTAATATCTTTGACTTTTGGTCAATCCATCCTAATCCTCTCTGTCTGTCTGTCTGTCAACTCTGTCGAATACTCTTTGTTTCTAATCGCACTAAAGGTAATACCTTTTCTCTTCTTCTTCTTGTTCTCCACGTCTATAGTTATAGTTTCTATATATTGTTATTGTGTTGTCGCTGTTTGTGATATATGATGATGATGATGATGATATTTGTTTATATTACTACTAAGACTAATGACTATGATGACGTACAACAACTTGCGCTAGATAGATGGTTGGTTGGTTGATTGTTTGGTTGATAGATTGTTAATTGTGTTTGGATAGGGAAGGACAGAGGAGGTGTGAGAGTGAGAGGTGTGTCCAAAAAAAAAAAAAAAAAACAACAAAAATCCAAAATAACATTCTTATAATCTCGCTGTGGGTTGCGTAGTTGGATTACTCTCCTCGGTGCGAGGCGCCAATACTATTATTATTATTGTTTAATATTAACAAACACAATGTTTTGTTAGTTGCAAAAGGAGGACTAGGACACAATAACCATCTTGACAATATATATATATGAATTTTAATAGAGTATTCAATGATATGATCCTACCTTGTATATAATATATTATTATTATTACTATTATTATTTACAAATATATATATCAATTCTTCTTCTTCTTCTTCTTCTTATTCTTAATGTATCTATCTTTAATGAATAGTTGATGATGTTAATGATTGATGATTTTGACTACTACTACTACGACTACAACTACTGCGAATAAGGCTGGAGGATGATATCATGTAATTATTAATTTTCAAGGTGGAATAATTTTCAAACAAAAATTTTGCACAAAAAATGTTTTTGATTTTGGATCGCAGATCTCCTAATATTATTATTATTGGGTATATTACCTGCAATGGTCAAAAATAGAATCTTTAAGATTTCTATATAATATATTATAATATATATTATACTATGTATACCAATGGTATATACTAGTTGGTATAGTCAACTTTAAACAATATTATGAACCATGTTGGTTGGTGATCACCAATATAATATATATTACTTTGAACCCAAAAAAAAATAATCAACCCATAGAATTCCATCCATCATCTATTTGGATTGGATCTCAAAGATCATACATAATATTGGGAATTTTGGCCTTAAATATATTGTAAATTCTCTATCGTCATTCTATTTATTTCCTCCTTTTGGGTTTGTGTATATTTTTATAAATTATAGGTGTTGGTTTGGGTTGGTTTGGTTTAATTGTATATGATGAGATGGGAGGGAGGTGTAGAGGAGGAAGAAGACCATAGGATTTATAGGGCCTATAATTAATCTAATAGTAAATTGGTTACTGACATCTTATTTTCCGATTGTTGTGGTGGTTGTTGTTGTCCTGGTTGTTGTTGTTGAGGTTGTCCTGGATGTCCTTGTTGTTGTTGTTGTTGTTGTTGTTGGTTTGTAGTCAAAAAAATGGGAGGAGATGAAGATGATAGTGAACTTTTGGAATATTGTTGTTGTTGTTGTTGTTGTTGTCCTGGTTGTTGTTGATTGGTACTATAATGAAACGGTACAGATCCAGATGATTGTGTTGCTCTTTGGTTATGGTGTTGTTCAAATTCAAATCTATTATTAGTATTTTCGGGTTGTTGTTGTTGTTGTTGATGATGATGTTGATGTTGTTGTTGTTGATGATGATGAATATTATTATTTTGATTATTATTACTATTACTATTATTATTTTGATTATTATTATTTGGGGTTGGGGAATCAGTTAATTTTACATTATTTAACAATAACTGTATCGATGGTAGTCGTCCAGTTGAAGATGATAGATCACTATCTCCTCTTTCCAATCTATTGCTACTATCTCTGCTATTGTCTCTGTCTCTACTATTATTGGTGTATATATTATGATGCTGTTCATTTTCAAATGGAGAGGAAGAGATACGATTGGTGGTGATTTTCTTATCATGTATATGGTATGACGATGGTGCCGGTATATCCAGTGCCGAGTCATACGATGGCGATGGAGGTCGACGCAACGAATTACTACTACTACTATTACTGTTGCATATATTACCCGATGACGACGACGACGAAGAGGAGTTGTTGGATGGATGGTGATAATGGAGTGGTGAAGGTATAGGTGGAGTTGGTGTATAATGTTGTTGTTGTTGATAGTGTATATGGGATGGATGTAATGGAGGTTGTTGATGGTGTCCGGGTCCACCAGACATGGTGGTGTTGGTGTTGGCGGTGGTATTGGAAGGTGTCGAATAATAGGATGATTCATGGATTGGAGAGAGGGGTCGTTCGGGTGAATAAGGAGTACGATTAGGAAGATTTGGTAATGATACACGACGTTGTTGTAATCTATTGTATGCGCCAGGTGGAGGTGGTGCATGATGATCATCTTCATAAGATGGTATAGAATAATGGTGCTGATGGTGATAGTTGTTATTATTATTGTTGTGTTGTTGATGATGATGATGATGAGGATTGCCATAATGAATACCACCACTACCATTTTCTCCATGGTGACCCATTTGTTGATCATGTTGCTGTTGTTGTTGTTGTTGTTGATGATGTTGTTGAGGTTGAGGTCTAGAATATTGATGGAATTTGTAGGATGTTGATGGATCCTCACCTCCACCTCCCAGTGAATGCTTTCTTAGATGTGTTATACCACTACTTCCAGTCGAGTATTGTGATTGGTATTGTAGTGGTAGTGGCAAGTCATCAAATGATGATCGGATACCATCATCTGCTCCACCTCTTTTGTTAATTGTCGTGAATGCAGACGACGATGATCCAGGTGGGAATGGAGGATGTGATGTTGGTGATCCATTGTTGTTGTTCAAATGTCCAGATGATCTTAGTGGAGGTGATCTACTCATATATTGTTGTTGTTGAGGTTGTTGAGGTTGTTGAATGAATGCTTGTTGTTGTTGTTGTTGAGGAATGGTTTGAGGTTGTTGAGGTTGAGGTTGTTGTTGAGGCAGAGGATTTACAGGTTTTGGACTTGAAGCAGCCGGAACTACACCTTTGGTGTTTGTCTTTTTAGTGTCTAGCTTCCAATGTATCATGTAGTTTTTGTAGTTTCGCTGCACCATGAGACCAGGCTCAGAGTTTCTTCTGCGGCGTCTACCGCTCGTATTAAAGTCGGTTGGGTTCTGCGCTTTGAATTTCCATGTTTGCTCTTTGCTGCTGTCCTTTCCATCCTTGGGAGGAGGTGCTTGAATCGAAGACGACGATGAAGACAATGATGATGACGATGGGGTCGATGGTTGATCACCAATAATTTCAATATCTTCACTTATTGATGGTTGTGTTGGTAGTTGTTGCGGTTGTTGTTGATTACTCATTCTTTGTCATCCCCTATCTATCTATCTATCTATTTGAGTTGAGGAGGAGGAGGAGGAATAATAAATAAATATATATTGGTTTGGTTGGTTGGTTGGTTGGTTGGTTTGATATATAATACAATGATAGTAATCTATCTACAAAAATATAACTTGAATGATGATCTAGAAGCTCTTAGTGTCTGACTTTTAATAATAATATAATAATAACATCTGTCTTGTATCTATCTATCTGTATATCTGTCTGTCTATCTTAATTGATTGGTTGAGAGAGATCTATCTTGTTTCGATTGGTATATATATCCGACAATAATAATAATAATAATTATTAGAATCTGGTTGCTGCTGCTACTATTGTTATTTTTGTTGTTGAGTGGTAGATGGATGAGAAGGTTTGAACCCTCAAAAAAAAACAAAAAAACAAATATATTTTCAATTGCTAAATTTGGGCAAAAAGGCAGACACACCTACTACTATAACTTTTGAAGTTGCTCTCTTTCTTTCTTTCTTTCTTTAGTTATCTCCAAAGCAATATAATATAAATATAATATTACACTATCGATTATTCTATACAAGTTGCAACTAACCAACTATCTAACTACTTTCTTCTTCGAGAATCTTACTATGAACGAATGAATGATAAAGAGGAACAAACAAACAAACTAACAATATTTTCTAACACAACGCAAACAAAAGTCGGTCTCGACAACAAACAAACAGAACTAGTTTTGGTTATTGGGGGTCGTGAAGGGAATGGGATCTAACTAACACTCACCACAAGTTATAATGGATTCGGCTAGGGCTAGTGATAATAATAATATTTTAAAGAGGGGAATTCAACCTCAAGATGTGGGTGCGATCATTGGCTGTTGGTCTGGTGTTTCCTCATTCACTATTTTTGGAAGCAAAACAAATTTCAAGATTATTTTCACGGTTTACAAACAAATAGGCCAACAAATATCCCACACGACATGCCGTTGACCAATCCCTGAAGTTGAATCATTGAAGCAAAACCATTCCTTGGACAAACAAAATTTTATCTCTAGTCTAAATTCGGTCATGGATTCTTTAGTCAATTTCACATAATACAAATTATCGTGACGATAATTTCTCAAAAGTGGCGCCAAATTTTCTCAAATATAAATAATACAAGACAAGACATTGATTGTTTAGGAGGATAAATATACAAATGTGGATTTTAATTTATTTTGAGTTTAGTTACCACCACGTAATCTTAATACGAGATGGAGAGTTGATTCCTTTTGAATGTTATAGTCGGACAAAGTTCTTCCGTCTTCTAATTGCTTTCCAGCAAAGATAAGACGTTGTTGATCAGGTGGAATACCTTCCTTGTCTTGAATCTTGGCCTTGACATTCTCGATAGTGTCGGATCCTTCAACTTCAAGAGTGATGGTCTTACCGGTTAATGTCTTTACAAAGATTTGCATACCACCACGGAGACGAAGGACGAGATGGAGAGTTGATTCCTTTTGAATGTTATAGTCGGACAAAGTTCTTCCGTCTTCTAATTGTTTACCGGCAAAAATGAGACGTTGTTGATCAGGTGGAATACCTTCCTTGTCTTGAATCTTGGCCTTTACGTTTTCAATGGTATCGGATCCTTCCACTTCCAAAGTGATAGTTTTACCAGTGAGGGTCTTGACGAAAATTTGCATACCACCACGGAGACGGAGGACGAGATGGAGAGTTGATTCCTTTTGGATGTTATAATCGGAAAGAGTACGTCCGTCTTCTAATTGTTTACCTGCAAAGATTAATCTTTGTTGATCAGGTGGAATACCTTCCTTGTCTTGGATCTTGGCCTTGACATTTTCGATAGTGTCGGATCCTTCGACTTCGAGGGTGATTGTCTTGCCAGTGAGGGTCTTGACAAAGATTTGCATACCACCACGGAGACGGAGGACCAAGTGAAGGGTTGACTCCTTTTGAATGTTATAGTCGGATAAAGTGCGACCGTCTTCTAATTGCTTTCCAGCAAAGATAAGACGTTGTTGATCAGGTGGGATACCTTCCTTGTCTTGAATCTTAGCCTTTACATTTTCAATGGTATCAGATCCTTCAACCTCCAAGGTGATGGTCTTACCAGTAAGAGTTTTTACAAAAATTTGCATGTTTTAATAATTATTGAAATATAGGTGAATAGAATAAAATAGGAGGATAAATAATAATTAATTAGATAGATAGATAATAGTTAATTATGTTGATTAACTTTGTTTGAGTGATTTTAATGGTGTCTTTAAGTGGGTTAAATAGCTTTGCATAAATTGCACTTGAGAATTTTTCGAGGAAGCTTTTTTGAGTAATTATTATTATTGGGCTGTGTCAGCTCAAATCTTCACGATCAACATCTATCTTCTTTTTTCGATAATAATCGAGAATAGAATCATCTCATCTGTTGTTGAGTACTAACAGAGAATCAGAAGAGATTTCAAAGATTAATATTCATTGCAACTTTTATTATTGTTGTTTATCAATGAGATTTATTATTCAACTTTTAATTAAATTAATTAACAAATATTTGTTTGGATATTTTATCTCTTCTTTTTTTTTTAATTAATTATTAATGAGGTGGAGTGAGTTTGGGTGTGAATCGATTCGAACTCTTTTTTTAATGATATTCGAGAGGAAGAGAGAGAGGTCAAAGAGAAAGAAAGAAGAGAGACAACTCTCTTAATGTGTTTTAATAATATAGGTTGATTGAGAAGAAGAAGAAAGAAGAAAGTATGATAAAAATAGAAAGAACAAGAGAGAATTAAAAATACAACAACAACAATAACAATGGATTATTATAATACACTGCTCTTTGATGATACTTTTAAACAACTGTATACACCAAACATAGTATCGATCATTTTAACTTTGATATCAACTATAATAATAATCGATCATTTGAGACGTCAAAAACAACTACAACAACAACAACTACAACAAAAGTGTAATAATAATAATAATAATCCTACTCCTCCACAAATAACAACAACAACAACAACAACAAATAATAATACATGTAATTGTTGTTCATCAAGGTGTAAAAAGAATAATAATAGTAATAATAAAGAAACGACATTGGATAGTTTTGGAGATGAATCATTTGATAACTGCGTTACACCAACATCGTCGTCGTCGTCGTCGTCACTTCAATATAAATATCAAAATGGAGCAACCATGACAACGACACCCAACCATCACCAATACCTCAATGCATCGACAACCCAAATGAAACAACATCCCTCGCCACCCTCCAACTCATCCTCTCCGCAACCATACTCTCAACAATCTTCCTCTTTCTTGTCACCATTAAACTATATCACTGGTTCAAGTAAATGTGAATCTTTGGAAGACGATGACAATAATAACAATCAACAAGATATTAATAATAACAATAATCAACAAGATAAAGAAGAAGAAGAAGAAGAAGAAAAAGAGGATAAAGGAAACCAACCAACATCATCAATACCTCCATCACTTGGTGTATCTACAGACTCTAATAATATATTTGGTGGAGGAGGAGGAGGAGGACAAGATCTTAGTAAAAAGAAGAAAAAGATGGGCGATAAAAGTAAAAAGAATCAATCTTATTTTGTGTCTACTTATTACTCAAAATATGAAGTACCCAAAGAAACATCATTCACAGTTGAACCTGTCGAGGAACAAGAAAATGATGAATCTGAATCGGTTCAATTTGATACACCACCACAAAAGAATCCAACATCATCAATCGAATTTGAAGAATTGGATATATCTAAACAACCACCAACAACAACAACAACAACGGCAACATCAAAAACGATTAAATTAATTCAACCTACCAATCCTTCAAACATGACACAAGCACCTTTATATCTCCCCAATTTATTGTATAGTAGTGTTGGTAATGCAATCACAGAATCTCCATCTTCCATAAGATCTTTGGAAAGTCTAAGTTTATCATCTTCAACTAGTAAATCAATTACAAAAAGAAAAAAAACTTGCATATTACCTCAAATTGTATGAATGAAACAAATAGAAAAAGAAATAGATATATAATGTATTAATATTTAATTTTCTTTAGTTACATTTAAAATGGAAAACATCAATTAAAAAAGTATTGGTAATACATAAATTTCATGATATGGAAGTGTTGAGAGCAGCCAAAGAGGTAGGAGCCTATTTGAATGAATTGGGAATACAGACAGTTTGTGAATCTGAACAGATTTGTGAATGTCCGACTGCTAGATCGCTAGAAGAGATTAGTGATCCTTTTGTAATTGATTTTATCGTGTCGTTGGGTGGAGACGGTACCATCCTTCACACATCCTCACTCTTCAAGACATACATGCCTCCCATCATATCATTCAACATGGGTTCACTTGGTTTCCTTACAACTTTCGAGCCAGACAATTGGAAAGAACACATAAAGAATGTTATTGATGGTAAATGTTTTGTATCTTATAGATTAAGATTAGCTTGTACAGTTGTTTCAAAAAATGAAAGTAATAGTAAGTATAGATAAAAAATAGAAATAGAAAATACAAATAGAAAGAAAATAGAATAATACTTAATTACTTTTGTTTTTGATTTATTTTTTTTAGCATATCAAGTATTAAATGAAGTTTCAATTGATAGGGGTAATAATCCATATCTTTCACATTTGGAGTGTTTGTGTGATGACAAACCAATTACGGTGGTACAGGCCGATGGATTGATCATTGCAACTTCGACGGGATCGACTGCCTACTCTTTGTCTGCGGGTGGATCGCTCGTTCATCCGGCTATTCCAGCCATGCTCATCACACCCATCTGTCCACACACACTCTCTTTTAGACCGGTCCTACTACCTTCGACGTCGACACTTATCATTCGAGTTCCCGAGACTTCCAGGTGCTCTGCATGGGCATCGTTTGATGGTAAGAATAGACATGAAATCAAACAGGGTGACTATGTGGTCATTAGCACTAGCAAATGGGCGGTACCCGTCATCTGCAAGACCGACGAGAATGGAGAATGGTTTGAAAAACTGGCAAACAATCTAAATTGGAATACTAGAACCATCCAAAAATCTTTCCAATCCTCTTCTCCACCAACCTTTTCAACTACAAATACTAGTTTATTACCTTCTCCTTCTTTATAATATAATAATGAGAGAATAAATTAAAATTATTATTATTAATAGGCACGGAACAAAAAAGACAACTTAATTAAATCCAAAACAACAACAACAATTATATTAAATATTATTATTATTATTTTGATTTATTGATTAACTTTTGGAATAAGGAAATCAGAAACGATTGGAGCGTCAACTCTAACAGCATCTAATAAACCTTTGAATTCAATATGTAATGGATGATCAGCATATACTGGTAAATCAGATGGATCTCTTAATAATACTCTATATCCATAGTTGTAACCTATAACAACAAACAATCAAAAAAAGGTCAGAGAGACAAGTCTACTTTTAATATATGTATGTTTGAGTGTGTATCACTGTATACATACCACCACCTCTTGTAATTTCAATATTCTTTCCAAAGTTAATAGCCAATACACCTGGAATAGTAGATTTCATTTGTTCAATCTTGTTGACTAAACCATTGTTTTCTTGTTCGCTCATTTCATTCTTTAACTTCATGAATAAGATATGTTCTAAAGAGTGTGACATGTTTGTATTGTTATTATTATTGTTATTGTTATTACTACTAAATGATGATTTGTGATAAAAAGATGTATTTGATTTCAATAATAAAGTTGATCTACGAATTGCTAAAGATATCATCTATGATTAAGAATGAATGAATTTGAAATGCACCTCTTTTAGGGAGGCAATTTAAAAAAAACATTCAAAACATTCTTAAATCAAAAGATTCTTTTAAAGAATTAATAGTCATTCTTATTTGTTTGGTTCTTAAGAAAGAATTCTTTTGACTCATAATACTACTATAGTATGAACAATATGAGTGGTATGACAATCAATTCTTGCAACCAGGAAATTTCCTGAGAGATTAAAGAGTTGTTCTTATTATTCTTATTATTCTTATTATTCTTTTTGTTTCTTTTTCTTTGTTATTTAAATAATGATTTATTTGATAAACCAATCTTTGCACGTTCAACGTTTCTAGCCAATTTATCTTTGTCTTTGGAAGCTTCTTCCCAAAGTTGTTGTTGTTTGGTGATGATTTCGTTGGTTAGTTGTTTTTGTAGAGAGTCGTAGGTGGCCACCGATAGAGGGTCTTTGGCAGCCTGTGAATTAGGGTCTATAAAAGGTACAGCTGTAAGCAATCCCTTTTGTGTTGCTTCCAATGACAACTCTCTTAATAATAATTGAATCTCTCCTTTGATTGTATATACACGATTAATTAATTCAATTGCCGTTAATTGTTGATTCATATTCATATTATTTATATTCATTTGTTGTTGTTGTTGTTGATCTAAATGATCAAGTGATACTTGTTGTTGTTGTTGTTGTTGTAATTGTTGTAATTGAGATTTATGATTCGTTGCAAGAGAGTGTAATTCAGAGTTTAGACCAATTAGTTTATCGACCTTTTCCTCCAATGATAGAGGTTGTTGTTGTTGTTGCTGTTGTTGTTGTTGTTGTAGTTGTTGAGGTGTAGCTGTCATGATGAGAGCTGGTGGAGGTGATCCAAAGAATGGTGATATTACATTATTATTATTATTATTATTGTGTCCTCCTTGTCCTTGCACACCTTGTCCTTGTTGAGGAGGTGATCCTAAATGCGTATTTGTATTTGTATTTGATGCTACATATTGTGCCATTATATCTATAGATATCTCTCTCTTGCTTGAGATGAATATAACGATCGAATCGAACCAAGTGAGCTTGAAGTAGGAATGAAAGATCAGACTTTAACAAATTAAATTAAATTAAAATTTCCCAAACAAACAAGCACTTCAAGAGCTCTCACAAGTTTGTTTTTTATTATTCAGCTATCCTCGTATTTTGAATATGAATAGTAGAAGTACAAATATGAATAGTATTACTACTTCTACTATTACTTCTACATCTACTACTACAACTACATTTCTAACAATATTTAGAATCAATCTGATAAGATATAGGATATTTCAATGTTTTGAAACATTACCATTTGGTAACACGAGAGAACATAGGTATAGAAAAGGAAGCGATTTCATTGAAAGAGCAGCATTTAAACGGTATGCACTTCCATGGGACTTTGTCAAACATTATTTAGATACACTGTTATCAAGAGCAACTGCTGACAGTTACCTAATGACCTATTGTGCACACAAGAATGCGACAGTGTCAACACTCTTACATCTCTTGGACTGGATACAACCATACCTCGAACAGTTACCATCAACTGACATGATGGAATGTAAAATGATAGATGCAGCAGCTAAGGGTGGCCAGAAACAGCATCTTGATATAGTCAAAATGCTTCACAATCGATACACTCATCTACCTTTTATTTGCACAACCGATGCTATCGCCAATGCATCATTAAACGGTGATATTGAAATGGTACAATTTCTATTGACCAATAGAACAGAAGGTTTCAAAGAAGATGCAGTTGTCAATGCAGCATCATTGGGTCATATTCCACTATTAAAACTATTTTATCAATATAGTCCTCATCTTGTTGCAAGTATAAATGTATCGTATGCAGCTTGTAAAAGTGGTAGTGTCGAGACTGTCAAATACATTGATCAATTTAGACATTTAATCGATTACAACGATGAAACAAACAATATTCATAATGTAACTACCATGGAATTCCAAGTTGCAACAAATTATGGTAGATTAAAAGTAATAGAGTATCTTCATGAAAATAGAACCGAGACACTTGATGAGAATGGTATTCATCTCATGGAACATGCTTGTTATAGTAGAAATTTAGATATAGTAAAGTTTCTTCATTATAACAGAACTGAAGGGGCAACTGACAAGGCTATTAATTTGGTAAGTCAAAAATAGATAATATTAATATATATCTATAATAATAATAATAATCAAATATATTATATTATATTCTTTATTTATTTGTCATATTACAGGCAATAGGAAATGGAGATCTTGAAATTGTACAATTTCTTTTTACCAATCGAGCCGAAATCAATGTTGCACAGGCACTGGAAAAATCGTTACCTCATATTGAGGTTTTCAAGTTTCTTTACGCCCATACACCCTACCACAACGCAACATTGGTATTAACAGAAGCAATTCTCTATTTTAACCAATCAGCCATTGAATTTATGTTATGCAATTTTGATCAAAACAGAATACAAATTGTCGAAAGACATTGGGACTTATTAAAATGCAGAGATGGTGGTAGATGGGATCGCATCAAACAACTTTACCTACATCATAAAAATAAACAACTATAAACAACTATTAATAAATAAGTTGATGTATTATTATTATTATAACACAGTTTGGGTAGCTCCTCCTCTCCACCAATGATTCTCTCTCCCTTTTTTTTTTAAACATACTTGGGAGTTTTCTTCACACCCACACAGCCATTTCATTCTATAAAACAGATAGATTATCAGATATTATAAATAAAGAGAAGGGATAAAGAAAGAGATTGGGACAACATAATAGACCCACCCTAAAGATCTAATAATGGATGGTAAATAGAATTGATTAGATCTAATCTTTTTTGAAAAAGACAAATTAAAGTACTTTAATTGATTGATTTAAATTTAGCTTTGGCAGATGCATCTCAAGATGATATCGAACAGTCTCTGTATGTCAACCAACAACAACAACAAGATGAATCTAATAGATATCATGTTATTACTATTGGACAACAGGTAGTTAGGAAAACAAAGAGATCCCCATCATCATTGGTATCATCGACATTTGACAAGACAACTCAACCAAAAACAATATTATCAGTTCTAAAGTATGCACATTTACTTCAGTATATGTACTTGTACTATACGGAGCAATATGATAATCCATACTTTTTAGTTTTGTTTGTGTCTACCATTGTCGATATGTTTGTAGCACATACTCTACATGGAATGATATTCGAGTCGGTCTATTCATTGTTGGTCATTACTGTCTATTATTACAACGCTGCCATTATGCAAGTGACTCCTATCTTTAGACTGGCCATCTTTTTCGCATCGTTGCATTCAATTCGAGTAATCTATCTAGACTTGTTAATGGAACAGAATGACATTATCACCGAACGAGTTGATGCCCCAACCCTACACATTGACGAAGAACAAATAATAATCGCACCCAATAACAATTATAATATTAGGTATGACAACAATATTATTAATATTAATAGTATTAATGATAACCAATCATTTGAATTATTAATGGGACCACAATACGAGCATATAGAATAATAACAAACCAACCGAACCTATACCTCCAACCAATACCAAAACATTACCAATTTTAAAGAGAGATAGATAGAAATGTATATATTCTATTCTATTCTAATCTATCATCCATATAAATATATATATATCCTGTACAGTCATTCTCCAATAATAATAATAATGAAACCAACCATTCTCCTTCTTTTTTTTTTTTTGTTAAACATACAATAAATATTATATAATAATAATAATAATATAATGTATTAATTTTACTTGTTACAACAAGATATCTATAATAGTCAAAGTAACGCATCAACGTCACACAACTGATATCTTGTCTAATTAATTTTTGCGCAAAAAGATATATAAATAATAATAATAACTTAATAATAATAATAATAATTAATTATTATTGTGATTGAAAATTGTCATTCAGCTGTTTGTACATTGTAGAGAGGAAAGGAATTAAATTGAATTAATATATTGTACAAATTACTAATTTTACAAGTCCAAAGGAAAGTGTCTGGTCTTGTGGACCAGAGTCATAAATATTTTTAAAATATATACTTACAAAAATGGGTCGTGGGGGAGGAGGGTAGGTAGAAAGAGAACGTGGTAGATTAGATTGATGGATGACGATAATTGTTGGTTTACTTCTTGGTGACAGCCTTTTTGGATGGAGTAGATTTGACTGGGGTAGTTGATTTGGTTGGGGCTGGGGCGGCAACGGTCTTCTTGGCTGGGGTTGATTTGACTGGGGTAGTTGATTTGGTTGGGGCTGGAGCAGCAGCTGGGGTGGCAGCAGCGGCAACGGTCTTCTTGGCTGGGGTAGCAGTCTTGGCTGGTGTAGATTCGACTGGAGCAGCAGCAGCAACGGTCTTCTTTGGTGTGGCAGCCTTGGTGGCTGGTGTAGATTTGACTGGAGTTGGAGCTGGAGCAGCAGCTGGGGCTGGGGTGGCAGCAACAGTCTTCTTGGCTGGGGCGGCAGTCTTGGTAGCAGCAGCTGGAGCAGCTACAACTGGAGCAGCGGCCTTGGTGGCTGGGGCAGCAGCAGTCTTGGTGGTAGCAGCAGCAGTCTTGGTAGTAGCAGCCTTAGTGGTAGCTGGAACAACAACAACAACTGGAGCGACGACAGCAGCAACCTTTGGTACTCTCTTTGATCTCTTTCTTCTTCTTAATTTTTTACCTTCTTCCTTTGGAGCGGTTGTTTTGATTGGAACCTTTTTGGTGGTTTCAGCGACGACTGGTGCAGCAGTCTTTTTGACTTCAGTCTTCTTGGCTGGTGCAACTGGAGCGGCAGCAGCAACAACCTTCTTGGTGGTTTCAGCGACAACTGGTGCAGCAGTCTTCTTGACTTCAGTCTTCTTGGCTGGTGCAGCAGCTGGAGCAACAACCTTCTTAACTTCAACAGTCTTCTTTGGTTCGACGACTGGTGTCTTCTTGACTTCAACAGTCTTTGTTACTTTAGCAGCAACAGGTGCAGTCTTTTTTGGTACAGCCATATCTATCTATCTATATATCTAATCTATTATTCTAATTACAACAACAACAATTGACTCCTCAGATATCGATTCGGTTTGTAGCTACACAATAAAAACGAAGGAAAAAACGAGAGAAAAAAAAAATTAATAAACAAATCAAATTTGGGGTCAGTTGTGAAGTACCAACATGTTAATACAACTGACCAACACCACAAACACACATAGTAGTATATCTGTTTCCATCATTTCTGTTGATACAATGGTGAGTCAAGTGGAGGTAGTTTGTGGTGTGGACAAGTGGTGACCATCATCCCCATCCCTCTTCACCTCACACTCACTACACAGTATACCACCATACGATATGATCATATGGTTGGTTGTAGTTTAAACACACATACAACAACAGCACCAACAAATCTTACATTTATGATAGTTAAGAATATCATTATTATTAAATGTATATGTTATGTATCTTTTCGATGTGATATATTATTTTATGCAATCTATCAATATTACTACTATATTTAAATTAACAATATAATAATAATAATATGACTACACATGTCATTATAGATGCAGAATACCTTCGTAGAAACAAGGTAACACATGCAGAGGTTATAAGTGGACTAAGTCCAAACATACGTAGTTTAAAGTTTGGAGATGATTTCAATCAAAATTTATGTACATTTATACTACCAACAACCAACTGTCATATGTATCTATTACCAATTATATCGTTGCCGGTTGGTTTGGTACGTCTAGAGTTTGGAGATTGCTTCAATTCAAACTGTCCACAGGGGTCGCTGCCACCGTCACTCAAGGTACTTTGGTTTGGACGTGACTTTAATCAACCACTTGTCGGACTCCCAAAAACACTTGAACATCTCAAACTCGGTGACAACTATGACCGACCGCTAAATGGGTTGCCAGAAGGACTCCTCAAACTAGAGGTCGGATCAAAGTGTGAAATAGCCAAACTACCAAGACTACTCACCTCGTTAATTGTCAATGGTGTAGCAACCGACCAATACTTTTTAAATCGTCTTAAAATGTTTTCAAATTTTAAACTCGGTCAAGGTGATACTAGAATAGTTGGTATTAAATGTCAGTCTCTTCCAATAATACTCAATAACAACAACAATCAACAAGAAGGACAACAAGATGGACAACAAGAAAGACAAAGACAAGGACAAGGAATTAAAATTAAGAATGAAACACCTCTTAAACTTAAAATGTTTATTTCTTTCAACAATAACAACAATAACAATAATAATAATAATAATAACAATAATGAAGAAGAATCATCTAAAACCAAAACACTTTTACTTAAATTATATAATGGACATTCATTCACAATTTCAAATGAAAAGATTGAAAGAAATATGACAATATTTGTGTTGATGCAAAACCAACAATTTCTAATCGTCGATACTTTTGAATTTCCAGATGGATTGGCAGACAATACACTATTAGTTATTTCACTCCAACTACGACATTTATCAATCACTCATAAAAACCATCAACATTCACTCAAACTTTTACAACATCCACTTGCATCCAACAACAATAACAATAACAACAATAATACTACCTGCTCCACCAAGTTTTTTGGAACAAAAAAGTATTATCAACTTTGTAAATATCAACTAGACTCCATTTTATTAATATCTCAAGAGAATCCAAACTTTGTAAGTATCAATAATAATAATATAATATTTATTTATTTTCTAATTATTTATTTCCAACTTAGTATATTTTTAAAAAAGTAAATTCAAATTGTGAATTTTTTAAATTAGATAGAGGACAAAAGGAAATGACCAAGTTTATAATCAACGATAAAAGATTTAAATATATTGATCAACATCAATACAACCATGACCCATTTATCTATTTACAAACTAAACCATCATACAATGAAAAGGATTTAAATGATTTTTATTTAAATTGGTAACTATATTCAAAAATTAATTCATTCTAATATAGTTGGTTTTTAGTTATTAACCAACTATATTTATATTTATTTATATATTTAGGAATTTCCAACTATCATTTAATTTAGAATCTGTTCTAAATCAACCATTATCAGTTAATATTGTAGAGTTGACATTAACGGGTGATCTTTCAAAATTACAGACATCAAGTTTACCACGTACAGTTGAACATTTACAATTAATGGGAAACTTTAACAAACCCATTGATACGATGCCACCACAACTTAAATCATTAATCCTTGGTAATTCATTTAATAGTGAGATTAATGAAGGTGCGTTACCAAGTGGATTGAAAACATTGGTTCTACCACCCACCTATAAAAAGAATCTGTCAAAGATCAAGCATCTAGAAAGGCTCCAACATATCACCTATTTTAATGAAATTTTATTGGATCAGCTGCCAGTCAATCTTAAATCCATCACCACTCATTCACTCGGTGGTGACTCTTTACAAGAGTTTTCTCAAAGATTAACTGTTTATATTGGAACAAAGGGAACTTCCGAACCTATCAATCAAGGTATTCCATTTAACATTAATTTAGGAATGGTTCAATTAATGATTGGTAATAATTATTATGGTGATGGTGAAATTAAAGTGTAAGTAAGAAACAAAATGTAAATTTAGATAATATTAATATATTAATATATAATATAATTAATATTGTAATATATATTTTACTTTTAAAAAGAAATCAACTTGGATCAAATGAAGTTTTAATTTGGACATCAAATTGTAATAGATTTACAATTGAATTAAAATTGAGATGGATTGGTTTGGTATCATTTATTCAACATTCAAAAGAACCTCATCTCTACTTTCAAATTGACAAACTTGCATTTGAACAACAATATTTAAATGTTTTAAATGATATAAAGAATCATTTGTTGACAATCGAATCTACTACTACCAGTAGTATAAAAGATAATATGCACCACCATCATCATCAAAAAAAAGAATTTATTGGTAATGTTCATCAAGTTTTTGATAATGATCAATATTTGGAAATTAGATTTATACCAAAATTAAAAGATTCCTTATTAAATAGTAAGCAAGATAAAATAGTATTACAATATACCCAAACATTTTTATTTATTATTTCTATTTAGATTGTTTAGTTAGAAATCAAGTAATGGTACTTCAAATTGATTCACAAATAAGTGAATTATTTCAAAGGCTACCATTTAAATCTATATTTTTAAAATATGCAATATTGCCACATCGAATCACCTTTCCAGGTGATTTGCAAATATTAACATTTGGAAATAATTTTAATCGACCTATTTTAAAGGATTTCTTTCCTAGTCATTTAAAGTCACTAGAGTTGGGTGATCAGTATAACCATCCCATCGTATTAGATAGATTACCAAGTTCACTGACTACCTTGAAAATTGGTGGTCATGACTTTAGTCATTATCTTGTGAACCAACATTTTAAAGATATGCTTCTTACTGCTAGTCAAGAAGATGAAGTTGCAATGTATCCACAACTTCAACTTTGTCAAGAAGGACATTTAAATCATTACACAATTGCTAGATTAAAATGTCATAAACAACAACCTAAACAACCTAAACAACAACATTCTTCTATTCTTCTTATTGACCAATTAGAATGTAGAATGATTAATAGAACACCATTGGATTTAATGATTATAATTAGATATGATGATAATAATATTATGGATACTGCAGTAGATAGTAATATTTTATTCAATCTAAGAAGCAATGAATCTTGTTCAGTTGGAATTGGTAGTTGGAGGAAATCAATCAAAATTATCATTTTAAAATTCAATAATAATTTTAAAATCATTTATTCTCATACCTTTAGTGTTGATAATCTTGTATCTCATGATATAGTAATTGATTTACAAGATTATATCATTATTGGAAGATCTATTATCGACAACCATCATCCTCCTCACCCAATTACAATCCCTCTCTCTGCCATTACATCATCCACTTTTCAAGAATCAGTGATAGATTGTGATCCACAAAATAATCTTTGTATTCTATATAATTATTCTGAAAGTAATTCATTAGTAATATCTAAAGATTCTTCAAATTTGGTAAATATAAATATATATATATAGACCATTGATTATGTTAACTCTATTATTGTTTTTAGTTTATTTTTAAACAAATGATACCATCAGATACTTATTTAGATGGTGGATTGTATAGAATTACAAATGAAGCAAGAGCACTCATTAAATTAAAAGGGGATGGTCGGTTTGTCCAACATGTTTGTGATGTATGTGATTCGGACAAAGATCATATATCCCTTTTAACACAATATAATTATAATGGTACATTATTGGATTATCTAAACTTGTATGTATCAATAAAATATTCATCACACAAATAATAATTATAATATTAACAATTTAGTTTAAGTAATAAAATAACAGAAGAAATGATATGGTCGTTTATATCACAATTATTAGAGATGGTATATGTATTGGATGAAAATGAAATGGTACATTCAAATATAACGCTTGAAAATATATTTATTGGTGATAATGGACAATTGGTGCTTGGTAATTTTAGTGGTTGTGATCACCTTGGTGCTGGTGGAATATTCCATTCACTGCTGTTGTTTAAAAATAGAGATATTGAAGGCATTGGAATTGCAATGACAGACCTTTTAACAAGACAAAAGAATATTGTAGTATCACAAGAACTAGTAGATTTTATCAAAGAGTTGAGAGCACCACTTGGCCTGACTCTACACAAGATACTGGCACACAGACAAATGTGGGGATTGTTTGTTTACACATTTAGATTTAATCATCCCATCACACATAGAATCCCACCAATCTTGAAATATCTAGAGATAACAGGTGAATTCAATCACCCAATCGCACCAGACACTCTACCAACAAGTCTAGAAACACTCAAACTATTTGGAAAGTTTAATCAACCAATCCAGGTAAACATCCTACCAAAGGGATTAAAACAACTAGAATTTGGACCACAATACACTCAATCAATCATAGTCGATGCTTTACCAACAGAACTCAGTTTACTTAAAATCGAAAACAAAGATATTATTGATTATGCCTATATTTTCAAACAATTGGTTGAATTTAAAGTCATCTCTTCTAATCAGCCATTACAAGAAGCAACGTGCCCTGATCAATTTATATTTTCAAAGGTTTCTTGGAGAATTGATCAAAATGAAGAAATGAATGTCAATTCTTCTTCTTCTTCTGGATCGTTTAGAATTATAAATCAAACACCTCTTAGATTGGTATTTGTGGTGTACAAGGAAAAGGAAAATCAAATCATCACATTGGAGAGTAAACAATGTTCTTGTCCAATTGATTTTGAACAAGCACCAGACCAATGCGTTCTTGTTCTCAAACTCAGTCACAACCATAAAATATTTCAATGTATCAACTTTAAGCAATCAGGAGATCTAGTCGTTGAAATACAGGATTATTTTAGTATTACAGCTGATCCATCATCAACTTTTAAATTTTCATCAACCTTTCCAGACAGTCGACAAAAGGTTGGTAAAAAGAATGGTCCTCATCGTAAAGTAACTGTAAATGAAAAGAAATATTATCGTTTACATCTTTACTCTAATACTCAAAATGTTGTCAATTTAGTTGTTTCAGAATCTACTTCTTTATGGGTAATTAAAAAAACATAACAAACAAAATATTATTTAATTTAAAATGTAATTAATCTAATCTAATCTATCCATTTATTTAGTACGTTTTAAAAGAAATAGATTTTACAAAATACTCAAAGAAACAAGAAAAAAGAATTGATTATGAAATTAGAGCATTGGCATTGTTTCAAGGATCAGATAGATTTTGCAAGATGGTAGATCATCAAATATATAAAAGAAAGTCTTTTATATTGTTTGATTTTTTTGAAAATGGTGATTTGGAATCATTTTATCAATCTATTATTCACAAGTAAGTGATAGATAATATATCCCATTGTTTTTATATTTTCTTTAATTAAGTAATTATTTATTATTTTAGAAACAAGATAGAGAATATACAAAATTATATATCAGAAGAGAAAATATGGTCATATTTATCTGAATTATTAGAAATAACACAGTATATGGGAGTAAATGGAGTATTACATTTGGATATTAAACCAAAAAACATTTTACTTTGTTCCAATGGTCAATTGGTTCTGTGTGATTTGGGTCATTGTATCTTTCTTGAAGAATTTAAAAAAGAAAGAGAACTGGAACTAGAAAAACAAGAACAAGAACAAGAATCAGCACCAGATGAAAGTCAAAGTGTAACAATTACTAAAACAGCATCTCGTGGAACTGATGGACGTATGGCTCAGGTATAGTGTCTCAGAAAAAAAAAAGAAATTCATTAAAGTACTTAATTTATTATTTATTATTAGGAACAAGTTGAAGGAAACTATGACAAACCTTGTGATATTTATCAAATTGGGACAACTGCTCTTCAATTAGTATCTTGGTAAATTTAATTTAAATTAAATTTTCTTTTTTTTTTAAAATTAAAATACTTACAATTATATACTTTACTTTTGTTTTTTTATAGTCATCCAAATGATGTTAAAAATAGAGAATTATTTAAAACTCAAAAGATTATAAATATAAGTGAAGAAAGATATTCGAAATCGGTTATAGAATTTATACGTGGTTTATTAAAAGAGTCGCCTCATGATAGGTTATCTTTAAACAATCACTTTAAACATATGATGGATCAACAAATGAATGCTCAACAAGAACATTATCAACAACACACATTCTCTTATTTTATCAACATTTCAATCAAGGAACCCATCACTGAAAATTTCACTGAAATCATATTGGGAACCTCATTTAATCAAATCATCAAACCAGGCACCCTACCTATAGGTCTATTGAAATTAAAGTTGTTGGGTAATTATAATCAACCAATCCTTGAAAATGTTCTCCCACCCAAACTTAAATATCTCGAACTAGGTCAAGGACCCATTGGAGGGATATATTTTTGAAAAAATAAAGAGGTATCAAAATGTTGTTGGTTTGATCCCTCCAATGGGTCCTTCCATTTTATTGGTAAATGATTTATATTTTGATCAAGGTATTTTTATTTTGTAAGTAAAAAACAAATAATATAACAATTATATATTTACTTAATTAATTATTTAATTATTTTTTTAGTAATGAAAAAGATGGTAATATAATTTGGAGAAATGAAGAAAATAATTTAAAATTAATATTAAATGCAAGAGATAATAGTATAAGAGTGGTTTCATTTATTCAATACACCAACTACCCTCATCTATTTTGTCAAGTTGACAAAAAAATGTTTGAAAACAACGATCAGATCAACTCTCTTGGATTCCAAGACCCTTTGAAAAAGATACCAAAATCTCATCATCTTAATATTTTAATGAGTACCTATGAATCTGATAATATTCATCAAACATTTAATGATGGTCAATATCTAAATATTAGATTCATTCCTTTAAAATCCGTAAGTAAACTAAAAATATTTATTCATTAATTAATTATTTAAATTAATTTTATTTCTTTTTTTTTTAGGATTCAGTTAAATTAAATTTATCATTTGCAAATTGGAATAGTTTACAAAATACTAATAATAATAATACATAATTAATTTTCTTTTTTATTATTATTATTTCAAGATTTACCAATGATTTGGAGGAAAAGGAGGTAAATAAATAATATTATTATTTAAATTTGGGAATGGAGATGGATTTGTTTTTGAATAATGTAATTGTTTGATTGAAGCCAAAGTAGTTTGACAATTTGGTAAAAGACATATTTTTTTGATTGTTGGTGGAATGATGCCTGGTAGGATTGGTCGATTAAAACAAAGTCCAAATTCTATTTGTTGTAAATTCTTTGGTAGTATTGTTTTGTCTGAGAATTCTTGATAGCTAGAATAACCATCAAAACAGATATGAGTACATGATAGTGGTAGACCACTCAAATCTGGATGTTTGGGATCTCGATCTAGCAATTGAGGAATATAACGACGAAATACTAAATATTTTAGATTTGGTACAATATCTTTAAAGTTTGGTCCAATAGGAGGTGAAGGTTTTGGTGTAGTTGTAAATATGCCAAGAACTCTCTTGGGAGTTGGTTTTTTTTCTTGTTCCTTTTTCACTTGCACCTCCTCTTCCTCTGAGTATCCACCTAAATCCAAATGAGTCAATGATTTTGGTAAAAAGGCAAGACTGTCAAATCTTTGGTAGAGACCAAATTTGATATGAGTGACAGTGTTGGGTAACCAATTGGGAACGTATTTACATGTACCCAACGTATCACCAAACTCTATATGTGTTACACTCACTGGGATGAGTAAAAAAGATTCAGTGTTGATCTTTAGGTGGGTGACTGATTCTGGGATCAAGTAGTCTAGAGTCTTGTTTTCAAATTTGCCGCACAACTCGAGGTGTCTAACAGAGAGGGGGATGGTGGGCATTGGAGAACCCAAATTTGGCCAAGTGAAGCTGAGGGTTTCCACTGACGAGGGGATAAAGTCTACCGGCATTGAATGCCCACCACTAGCAACCGATCCAGGTTCGAGCTTTAATTTCTTGACCGATGGTGGAATAGTGCTAGAAATGAATCGAACCTGTGCATCAATGGCCAATGTTTTGATTGATTTGGGGAGAATCATGTCATAACCATATTTGGATGATTGGAATGTAAAGGTTTCCAAGGCCGGTGGAAGAACATCCTTTGTTAGAGGATGATTGTATAGATACAATGAAAGGTGACGCAGTGATAGAGGGAGTGCGTGTTCTTGAATAGGTTTGCTACCCGCCGAAATACGGTCCATCTGTAGGATGAGTGTTTCTAGTGTCGATGGAAGTATACCAACCTCTAGAGTGTTTATGATGCCTCCTGAAATATCGAGATAAGTCAGATTGGGTGGTAAATGCCCTTCTGCGACGGTTCCATAGAACTGTCTTAGTGTAAGCGACAGTATGGTGGGATAGATCGATGTGAATGAAAACGACGATGCATTGTCCAAATAGAGTGTTGTCAAATTACTAATACTACGAGGAATAAACGATAGACATCGATTGATATCGTTGCTAAAGAATATTGCATGTGTTGAATGTTCAATGATTGATTTGGGTAGTATCCCAGTCTGTTGAGCAATCTCTTTACCCGTAACCACCAATTCTTTGAATCTACATGGTAGTTGGTGTACTCTATTCTCTTGATTGTATCTTTGTAATGCTCTAATCGGTGCCGTCGGGAATGTAATCCTACTTCTCCATTTATAATTTGCTTTACATGTTGTAGTAAATGAAATCAAATCTTTTGTACTCATAAACTCTAAATATGGTATCATTACATCTATTACCATTAAATTATTAACTATATATATATATATATAAAGTAAAAAGTAAAAGAAAAAGAATTAAATCACAAGTACAAGCAACAAATAGAATGACTACCTTTACTTACAAACATTATTTGTTGTTGCTGTTGTTTTTGTTGATTCCATCATCTTTCTTTATTTCTTTTATTTAAAAATACACTATATATACATTTATTTATTTATTTATTTATTTATTTATTTATTTATTTATTTATTTATTTATTTATACAATTATTACTACAGATATTAATAATGAATGATGGTCCATCACAACGGACACTTTAGTTTTTTAGTGGATTTTATTTGGAATTATTATTATGATGAAATAAAATGTAATAACTGAGCCACAGATTGATTTAAATCGACCAAGTATGGTTTAAAACTATTATTAATATCTTTTAGTTGTTTGTATCTTGTATTACTATTACTATTACTATTACTATTTGAATCAAATGATTTGACGACAAACATATCCTCTCTAATTGGTAAATGTAATCTTGATAGTATCTTCATTGAGAGAAAACTATTCTCCAACATGTCTGCTAAATGTTCATTGGCTCTTATACCTCCTTGTGTATATCCATAACTAATCAATACCATTGGTTTCTGTTTAATCTCTGCGTATAAATAATCGATTGCGTTGAGTAATACGGGAACTGGGCCTCGATTATATTCAGCAGTAAGTATAATATATGCATCATAGCTTGACATTAATTTACTAAAGATACAAAAGATAGAATTAATTAATTAATAACAATACATTTTTGTTACTATATATTGTTTCACCATACCTCCACTTGAGAGCATTCTCTGAAGATAATTGACCGTTTAATTCTGCAGGTGATAGAGATTCATCGTAAAAGGGTAGGTTGATATCCAACAAATCGATCAATTCTACTTTGCTTGATGAGCTATTGGTGTATTGTTTGAGTATTGGTTCAATGTGTGATTGTTCAATCACCCATTGAGCAACATCTTTTCCTATTCTACCTTTTCTAGTACTACCAATAACAACTCCAATCGATTTACTACTACTCTTTACTCCTGCTGCTCCTACTTGTTTTCTATGTTTATTTGATTGAATTAGTATTGACCCATTGTTGTTGTCTACGTTACTACCACTACTACTAGATGTAATATTTGTAATGAATGATATAACTACTATCGAAAATAATACCAATATACAATTAAATAATACTTTGTTGCTTGTCATCTTTTAAATTAAAGTATATCTACTAAAAAAGGATTGTGAAACATCTTCATCGTTGCAATCAACAAGGTTTGGATTTTTCTTAAACCGTTGTGTTATGTGGGGTCGAAGATAAATATCATTGAAAGGTTGATTGGCTAATATTAAGACTTTGATAACATTACAAGTAGATATTATTTGTTTGCTAGTTTAGAACTAGAAAGATGTTTATAGAAGATTTGTAAGTAGTTGTTGTCATTGCAAAGATTGTGGAAAGTGTTCAAACCAAACGAGTAGAATTTGATTGGATTGGATTGGATTGGTTGGGATGTGGTCGAAGGTCATATGAGGGGATACGCCCCAAAGTCGTTAAACGATGGTTTTGTGCGCTGCTACTCGCATCTTACACAATCAGATTGTGATTACGAAAGATTTTCAACTCGGCTCTCTTTTAATGGAAACAATCGTTTCTTTAATTAATGAAATCGAGTAAATCTCATACACAAAGATTGTCTCTGCATATGAATAAACGAGTAAAAATACATAATCGAAAAAAAAGTAACAAAAGATAATTTGTTTTTCTCTCAACCAGACGATCTTAAATATCTATCCTTCACGAACCACAATGACAAAAAATCGGTGGCCCATTGGTTATGCCCCCACAACAAGCGAAGAGGGTGGCTGATTCCAAAGAAGCGACAATGGGGCGCGATTTTCATCCTATCATTTTTTTGGTTGTTTCTCCTGTTTCGGGGTAAGGGTTATTAATTCGTAACAAAGAAGATGACCAGCTCAGCAAAGGAAGGTGTTGTGGTGTTGGGGGTGTTGTGTCTTATTAAAGCAAAGGGTGCACAGGAGGAGGAGGGGTAGACTTCCTCGGATTCATCCACCATTTTGATTAATGATTGATCAATCATCATCGTCATTGATTCAACATCACGAGAAGACAGAATGAAAGAGAGAGAGTTAGAACAAGATATTTAGTCAACTGCAACCTCAAAACGACCTCAACCCCTTTGTTTAATCATCATCATCATTTCTTTTTACTTACTTACCTCTTCTACTACTTAGCTACATATAATATATATAATATCATTGTATCTCTCTGTCTATCTATCTCTTTCTCGAAGTTACCAAGTTGCAGTTTCGATCGTAATAGCATATCGTCATCATACCTTTTCAAGTCATAGAGACATTTACACTTAATATAATTACACGGTCACACACATTTTTTATACATGTTTCGACCTTAGGCAATTCATACTACCTCACTCACTACATCACCCCTATCGCATCGATTTCCTAGCCAACAACCTTCACGCTTCCATTCTCAAACTTTCTAAAAGTCGAAGTTGACAACCACATTACCCCTCTCGTCAGTAAATTTTGTTCCAAGTCATCAGACGTAAGTAGTAGTACAGCGATCGCACTCCCACCGGCATATATATCAAATTAAATATTGGTGGTGGGTGGTGATGGTGAAAGGGAGGGGTACATAATGATACCAACCATCCATCCATTCATTCATTTTTTAAATCTATTAAATCAATCAAACTTTGTTACTAACTAACCCTTTGCAATCAATTTATTTTTTAAAAAATATATATATTATAATTCTCTCCTCTTCTCTCTCTCCACTATTTGCATTTTTCGTGATTGTTGTTGTTGTCATTTTACACATTTATTTATTATTATTTATAACAATTCATTCATTCATTCATTCATTCATTCATTCATTATACATTTCCCATACTCACAAAATAACAGTCAAGTCAGTTTTAACAAAAAAAAAGAAAGAAAAGAAAGAAAAGAAAGACTGGTTTTCAAATCACACACAAGACAGGATTTTTCATTTTCCCCACAAACCTACCCATTATCTACAAAACTATTTGTTTGTAAAACCACTACCTACACACTTTTACTACACCTCTTCATCATTCATTCATATTTTTTTGAATTTTAAAAACAATTACAACAAATCATCATCATCATCATCATCGATCATTAGAATAATTATCCAAATTTTTATTACTACTATTACAAAAACTTAATATTATTATTATTATTATTATTTGTAATATTTAAATTAATTTCCAGTTTTTAGAGGAGGTTAAATATTTCTTTTCTACTTTTTTTTTTTTAAAAATTATACCACCATGGCAACCCAATCATCATCATCATCATCATCAGATGTCATAGTAGTATCACACAGAAGGGCTACATCGTTAATTAATAAGCTCACAAATAATCATTTCATAGGCATAAAATCGGCATCCTCCTCATCCACATCATCACAATCAAACAATTTTACAAATGAATCAACTACAACAACAACAACTACAACTACAACTACAACTATTGTAAATAATAATAATAATCAAAATAATAATCAAAATAATGGTAATTTATTTTTAATGATATTTAGAATTGGATATTTAAGAAAAAGATTATTGGAAAATATCAATTTAATTCATCGATGTGTTTATGGTAATAGTTTGGTATTTCAAAATACTCGTCGATACAATCAAATATTTGATGTTGGTTGGATGATTGACAACAAGTATTACCATCTATTAGGGTTAAAACTAAAAGATGTCATTGACAAGAAAACTATAGGCAGCCAGTGTAGTAATAATAATGATGCACCAACCTACTTGCATCTAACCTCAGAGACCATCATCAACAAAACGACTCGAGTTCCATTAAACGTATTCAAAATGTTTTTCCAATTGTTTGATCGATCCTATTCTCTATCAAATCCACATCGTGTAGCCATTCTACTCCAATACGCTTGTTATTATAATAATACAGATGTTGCTTTATTCCTTTTTAATTATTCAACTTCCAATAATAATAATCAAAACTCTAATAATTTAAAATTAAAACCAACAGAATTAATAACAAGTACAACATTGGATATGGTTATAAAGAATGGTAATTTCTATTTATTACAACATTTTCATACCTATTTAATTAATTCAACAAAGAATAATAATGTATTAAATATTCATCACAACAACAACAACAACAATAATAATCAAAATAATAATATGAATAATAATAATTTTGGCTCAAAACAATTAAAAAGAACAAAAACCATTCAAACCATTTATAATTATCAAAGACAAGATGAAGATTTGAAAAAGATATTTGATAATATTGGTAATAATATGATATTTAATCATCAACATAGTCATCAAAGCCAACAACAACAACATGGCAGACTGCAACTACCACACAACCAAGCCAACTATCTACAGGTTGTCAAGTACTTGTCGTACCATTGTAACAAGGATTTCAGTATAACTCATATCAAAGAGGCAATTGGTCACGGTTACATTGAAGTGGTTGACTTTATGCTCAGTACTATTGGTCCAAGACGATGCCAGGAACTCAAACAAGATCCATCAGTCGTCACACTCATCTGTCATCAAGGTCACGGTGGGATATTTGACCGTCTGTGCAAAGACGACCTTGTTGATTGGGAAAAGGTTTCAGGTATCTTTGATGCTGCTGTCAAGGGTGGCTCCATGTATATTTGTTACTCGATCTTGTTGGGTGGAAAGTTCTCAGTCTCTACCACCTCCAACAATAGTCCAAGTCTCTTGTCTGCCTGTCCGGCTCCACAACCATCGATTCTGCCATCGACCAACTCGACCAAACCACTACGTGATTTTGTACCATCACCCAAACAACTCCGAAACTTGGGTGTCCGTGCCATCAAGATTGACAATCTCTCTGTCATTCAATTTATCAACACTCGGTATCACGCTCAATTAAACTCTAATTCATTTGGAAATTTGGCATTCAAAGAATGGGTTGAACGTGCAGCTCAATACAATCGTCTAGATATTCTTGAATATCTTTTAAATCATTTACAATTTCCTTATTTTGATAATTTTCAAAAAGAACAACAGGAAACAAATGAAACAACAAATGAAACAACAAACATCAATCCAACTACAACAACAATACCTACTACTTCTTTAAAGAATAATTGCGATATAATAGTTTATTTAAATATGGAAATTACATGTTTAAAAGGAAATTTGAAGGCAATGAAAATGATTGATCAAAGATTTTTGACTGCACAATGGTCAACGAGATGTATGGAAGCTGCAACTACTGGAGGTAATTTAGAGGTTTTGGATCATTTAATGGTTAGACATCCAGAATGTTGTGTGAAAGTTGATGCAACTAGTGCAGCTGTTCGAAGTCATGATATTCGTGTGTTGGAGTTTTTGTTGGAGAATAATCAGAGATGTACCAATTTGTCTGCTCTTGCAGCAGCAGCTGAATTGGGGTCATTTAAAATGGCCAGTTTTATATTTGACAATAATATGATTGATGATAATGTATGGCGTACTATTACTCATCGTCAGGTAGATTCACTCATCTCCAACGTTATCCAATCTGGTAATGCAGAGTTGGTCAAATTGTTTATTCAACAATTACTTGTCAATCAAAAACACTATCCATCTCCCCCAACAACTGGCTCAACCAATAATAGTCAACAAGGTATTAATATCTATCACTCTAATATTCTATCGTATATGGCAACTCATAATCGAATTGATTTGTTGGATTATATTAGACAAAGTGATTCAACATTTGCTTCTTCCACCAAATCACAATCATCTTCATACTCTTCATCAATGTCATCTTCTATTTCACCATCTTCTTCCTTACCATCTTTAACTTCTACCATATCATTTTCATCATCTTCTTCATCAATCAATGATAGTTTAAATAATATTTTAAATCAAAATATTAATAATAATACCAATAATAATAATAATCAAAAGAACAAAACATTGGAAAATATGTTGGTTACAACAATGTCGGTTGGAAAAGCAAGAGATGCAGCAATTAAAAGTGGAGCTACTCTTGTTATTGAATGGTTACATTTACATTATTCAAATTTAATGGGTGTAGTCAACCCTAACCCTAATCCATCATCAACACTAATATCAGCGTCACAATTACAACCCAATTCAAATTCTGGGGATCTTTCATTGGATTCTTTGGAAAATATGATTGGAAGAGGAGATTTGACAACTCTAAGATATTTGGTACACAAATATCCATCCGAAAGAAATGATATTATTCGTGTAGCAACTCAACAATCCATAGTATTTGGTTACTTGGAATTATTAAAATATTTATTTAGTAATTTTAGAATCGACATTGAATTGATTTCAACTCTAAAGATTCCAAAATCTTTTAATCATATCAATTCATTTTTAAATCAAGCTAAAATGTATAATCAACAATCAAACCTTTCACAAAAGCAATCAAAATTTGCAAAGGCTCAACAACCACCAAATTTTTTAAATTCAGGCAACAATAGTAATAATAATAGTAATAGTAGAAGAGTTATTAATGAAAATTATAATCAACATGGTTCATCAAATAATAATAATAATGGCAAAAAACAACTTAAAAAACAAAAGTATTTTAAACATTCTATTCAAACTCAAAGTATTGTATACAAGAGAAAATCTTATCAAATTTTCAGATCAAATACCAATCCAATAATCGAATTGGATATTTAAATAATAAAAACATATAGATAGTAACTATGTGATTCCTTTATAATATATTTAATGAATATTTTATTAATATTGAAATGTTTTTTTTGAATTATGTTGGTAAATATTAATTTAACAACATAACTTAAAAATAAGTTATGAATAAAATAATCATTAAATTAATGATGAGATGAGGGTTGTTTGTCTTCAGAGACATCGGGGTTGGCCTTTTCATTGATGTTCATTTGATTCATGCCAGAGGAGATGTCGTTGGTGTTATCGATTGGTGGATCACAAGCAAGACGATGAGTGACTAGTTCGTATTCCTTCTTGTTATTGTTAAAAGTATGGAGAAGTGTTTCGTAGCTTTGAGCTTCGAATTCCTTTTGGAGGATAAATGGAAAGATTATATTTATAATTTCGGCCATTTTGTTGAGACAATTGATAATAGAGTCCGATATTACTTCATCAAAAGTTGCTTGGAAATCTTCGACCAAGATTTTCATCTTGGGTTCTGTAAATTTGTCGCTACCCAATACATAGTTGAACATGTTAGTGATTGACTTTGCGTAGTGTCTAAAACTTTGTCCATCTTTTCTCCATTCGGTTGGTTTCGAGTTCATAAACAGAAATTTTGACCAATTGTGTTCATTTGCATGAGATTGTGTGATATTTAACAAAGCGGCAAGATCCTCCCTTTTAGTGTAATATTCCTTCTTTTTGATTTGCATAGCTCTTGGCGGGCACTTTGTTATGAGTGGACTGCCATCGTAGAAAATAAATCCAATATCTCCATTGCTTTCGAATTTCTTTTTTAGTCCTCTAGTTTGTAAAATATGATAAAGTAGGATAGAGGACTCGGCGTCACCCTTTGCTCTTTTACTTGTATCATGGGATACAAAAGACTCGATAGTTTCCTCGCCCTTGGGCACCAAAATAAGTAAATTTGGTTCGGGGTAGTAAACTCCAAAAGGAATGAATAGGGCTGTGATGATTTTATAGAGTCTATCTATCTTGCTTGCCAATTCATGAGGTGCTCCTCGAAACTCGTATCCTGTTGAGATGACATGAGGAAGTGTGGTTGATTCCTTGATGATTTTGTCATAGACTGAAAAAACACCGTTGAAATCTACGGTGTCTATATCTATAAGAGATATGTAAACAGGACCACCAAGTTCTTGAAACTCATTTACAAAATTTCTTGTGATGCTACTATTCTTGAGGGTTTCTCTTAGTGTTTGGTATGGTACAATCCAATTTCCTTTTTTATCTTTGGTAGATTCCCATAGCTTCTTGATAATTCTGACACCCAATCTCTTGTACGAGTCCTTCACTTTTTCCCAAGCTTCCAATTCTTTTTCAATTCTTCCATCTTTAGCTTCATCGGAACGGCAATTGAGGAGCAAACAGACTCTGATTCGTTGGTGCTGATGATGTTCAGGATCGAGATTCGAGTCCAAAAGTTTGATGAAAGGTTCAACGATGTTGCCCTCAGCTGGTACGTAGGCAATGACATTGATGACATAGTATGGAAGGCGGCCACTATTGCTCAAATCGTTTGAATCTGGAGAAAATACTCGATCTGTGATAGGGACAAACTTTTTCAAGTCTTTTTTTTTTTATCTGTGTTGTTGTTCTCCTCTCTCTTTTCTTCTTCTTTTTGCTTTTTATCTCTTTCTTTATCTTCTACACTCTTTCTAGGTCTTCCTACATTTTTTTTAGGTGGGGTTGTAGTGGTCGTAGTGGTTGTAGTGGTTGTAGTACTATCCATCTTATCTCCTCTCTTCTCGTAACTGTTTTTTTATTTTTTAAAACGATCAATGGGGTGTGATGTTATAGCGTTTTGGGTTTTAATTTAAAAATTAATTTAAAAAATGTTGATTCGATTCAACGAATTTTCTCAATTGCCGACATCCGAGACATTCCTACTACACTTTTTGTTCTGTTTTTTTTTTATTAATATTAATTTATTCCTTTTTATAACTAAATAACATATCATATGCCTTGTATAGAGTTTCATTATTTTGCCAAGCATTTCTTAAAAGTTGATCTCTTTCTTTACATTTATCTTTTGGAGATACTCTAAGGGCACCCATTTTCCTTGCCTTTTCAACCAATTCTGTTGTTTTAATGATTCTTGATTCTTGATAATCGGAAAACAGAGTGGCAATGTTGATATCTATGAGTGATGGTGGTTTATCTGATTGATTTAATTGTAATTTAATTTGATTATATAAATGACCAATATCTTCTACTCCTTGGTTGGCACCTTGACCAATATGAGGTGTTGAGGGATGAGCTGCATCTCCAATTAATGTTACACGTCCAACATTCCATGTCGACAATGCAGGTCGATCATACAGACCAATCTTGAATATCTTGTCACTGGTCGTTACCAACTGCTCGATTGAAAGTTCTGATGATTTAAAAGACATTACTTGTGACTCTTGTTTAATAGATTCCATGTCTTGTGGTTGAAGTGTCTTCCAAGTCTCTGGTGTTTCATTCTCTTCCGGTAGAGTCATTGCCCATGCCAAATGAGTCTTTGAGAGTGGGTAGGTAAGAAAGGAAGCGTTCAAACCAAACACAGTATGGAATACATCACGGTGTCCTATAGGTCTCGGTGATACTCCAATAGTTTGAGTTGTCTTTGTATAGGTTGGTTTCTCTGCTCCAAACAATAAAGATCTTGTCATTGAATGTAATCCATCTGCTCCAATCACCATTCCACCTTTACAACTACTACCATCTTTAAATGTTAATGTGACTAATTCATTCTCAGCTTGACTAATAGCAACCAATGATTTGTTAAAATGGACAAGTATGTTTTCAGATTTCAAACGATTGATGAGGATTGATTGAAGTGCACTTCTTGCAATACCAATATTGACGTATCCATATCTTGGTTTAAACACTGTGCTTGTTTCAAATTCACCAAGTTTGTCACCATCACTGTTACAATTGGTAAATACTTGAATGGGACATCCAACACGTTCAATCTCTTGATAGAGTGAGTGACACAATTCATCGATAATCTTTAATCCGTTTGGAGCAAGATTAATCGATGCACCCTCTGATTGAACGGGATCCAACAAAGAAATTGAACTTGGTTCTTGTCTTCTATCAAACAAGATACAATGCAATCCCAATTTTTTTAATGCCAATGCTAGTATCGGTCCAATTAAACCTACTCCAATGATTATTATTGTTTCTTCTTCTTTCATTCTAACTAACAAAAGTATTATTAAATATGCTATTGACTAGACTAAAGTTACGACTAACGACAATACCGCTAGTCGTATTTAAATACGAGAGATGAAAAAGACAAGAAAGTTGATAAAACAAAAGGAATGACTTTCAGACTACTACATATGTCAAACGAATAGGTTATCACTACTATTGTTATTGTTATTGTTATTGTTGTTGTTGTTGTTGTTGTTGTTGTTAAGAGTAATAATAAATATATACTAATTTCCTCCACAAAAGAGAAACATCCATAATGAATGTATCTATCTACACACACTCACACTCGATCGCAAATCTGTATTTATTTGTTTGTCTTGTGTGACACACTTTTTTTTGGGAGTGATTTAGATATTAATATTTTATTTAATTTTTTTTTTTAAATTGTATTTATTATTTTAGAATTAATCAATCAAGAAGAGAACAACAATTTATTATTATTGTGTTTAAAATAATTGTAAATTTGAATAATCTTTGATATTTCTCTATCCTTTTTTTTTATTAAACTTTATTCTTCTTTATAATTATATAACAAATCATAAGACTTGTATCTGATTTCATTATTTAACCAAGCATTTCTAAAAAGTTGATCTCTTTCTTTACATTTATCTTTTGGAGATACTCTAAGGACACCCATTTTCCTTGCCTTTTCAACCAATTCTGTTGTTTTAATGATTCTTGATTCTTGATAATCGGAAAACAGAGTGGCAATGTTGATATCTTTGAGTGATGGTGTTTTATCTGATTGATTTAATTGTAATTTAATTTGATGACAGAAATAACCGATATCTTCTATTCCTTGATTGGCACCTTGACTAATATGAGGTGTTGATGGGTGTGCTGCATCTCCAATTAATGTTACACGTCCAACATTCCATGTCGACAATGCAGGTCGATCATACAAACCAATCTTGAATATTTTGACACTGGTCGATACCAACTGCTGTATTGAAAGTTCTGGTGATTTAAAAGACATTACTTGTGACTCTTGTTTAATAGAGTCCATGTCTTGTGGTTGAAGTGTTTTCCAAGTCTCTGGTGTTTCATTCTCCTCTGGTAGAGTCATTGCCCATACCAAATGACTCTTTGAGAGTGGGTAGGTAAGAAAACATGCATTTTCACCGAACACTGTGTGTATTACATCACGGTGTCCTATAGGTCTCGGTGATACACCAATAGTCTGAGTTGTCTTTGTATAGGTTGGTTTCTCTGCTCCAAACAATAAAGATCTTGTCATTGAATGTAATCCATCTGCTCCAATCACCATTCCACCTTTACAACTACTACCATCTTTAAATGTTAATGTGACTAATTCATTCTCAGCTTGACTAATAGCAACCAATGATTTGTTAAAATAAACAGGTATGTTATCAGTTTTCAAACGATTGATGAGGATTGATTGAAGTGCACTTCTTGCAATACCAATATTGATGTATCCATATCTTGGTTTAAACACTGTGCTTGTTTCAAATTCACCAAGTTTGTCACCATCACTGTTACAATTGGAGAATATTTGAACAGGGCATCCAACCTGTTCAATCTCTTGATAGAGTGAGTGACACAGTTCATCGATAATCTTTAATCCGTTTGGAGCAATATTAATTGATGCACCCTCTGATTGAACAGGATCCAACAATGAAATTGAACTTGGTTCTTGTCTTCTATCAAACAAGATACAATGCAATCCCAATTTTTTTAATGCCAATGCTAGTATCGGTCCAATTAAACCTACTCCAATGATTATTATTGTTTCTTCTTCTTTCATTCTATTATTTGTTTAAATATATATGTTATATGATATGACCAATTTAAATCCAAAGTATCTTATTTATATATTGTCTTTAAGTGAAATAAACAAGAAAGTAAATGACTTTCAGACTGAATGTATATATATGTCAACACATGATTGGTCTGTTGTTGTTGTTGTTGTTGTTGTTGTTGTTGTTGTTGTTGTTGTTTTAAGAGTAATAAGAGATAATAAACACTAAGAGGAGATAATAAATACTAAGAGAAAAAAACATCATAATGATAATATAATATAGTAAAAACTCGTTTTAGAACTTCTACTCTAAATTTTTTGTGGCACAAGATAAAATACATTTTTTAATATTAATATTTGCAATGACTATTATTATTATTATTTATTAATTATTATTTTATTTTAAATAAGATTCAAATAGATAGAGGTATTAATAATTGTTTATCTAAAACAAAGATTGTATTTTAAAATTAACTAATTATTTGTTGTTTGTTTTTTGAATGAATCAAAAAAGAGAATTATTATTATTATTCTCTATTTTTTTTATTACTTTTATAATTGTTTGTTTGTTTGTTTGTTAAAATAAAATAATATAAAGATGGTACTAATAAATGTTAGAATAGAAAGTGAGACTGTGAAAATAATGGTAAATTTAAATACCCTTTGTTGTTTTGGGTCTAGTTGACTTGGGGTTTGTGGTTGATCTGTTTGGTTGGGTATAAAAGTTTCAATTGATTGTGATAGGATTAGGGATTGTTTGAATTGAGGGATGTATTGGGATACGATGACATTGGCTTGTTGTTTATCGATACTTTCTATTCTTTGCATTGTAAAAGTCTGACGATTATCACTGACGACATTACCAGACTCGATATTAAACAATAGATATTTGTTTGCTATAATCTGGATTAATGGACGACCAACCTTGTTGAATGTATCTTTCCATGTAAATGTATTGAGTCTAGAGTGACCTTGATTATACCCATCAACCAATTGTTCTTTGGTGATTCTATCCTTGTCCAGCGCCGAGGTTGTCCCAAACACATTGGCATCTGGTTGTTCAAATGGTTGGTCATAGTTTAATTGGTATTTTGTGAGTATGCAAAGTTGATTTTCAAGTTTTGAAAAGTTCCAATTTGAAATGGACAAGGTTAGTGTGATACGATGATTGGTAACTGTCATGTTTAGGTATATCTCGACATTGTCGTTATTCGGGTTATGAGAGGCGTCTTTAATCTCGGTGGTTGAGTTGGGGTGGTATTTAAAGAGAACACTGTATGTTTGTGGTTTGGACCAGTCTTGGTCGGGGATAGTTGGCGATACACCTTGGATGTTTGAAATGATCATGTTGGAAGGACTGGGATAAATAGATTTATAGGTCATTGCGTCATAGGTAGTATCACCATACCAACTATCTGAATGAGTCGAGCCGTCAACTTCTTGTATTTGCATTAATGTTGAATTGAGAATATGAAATAGGTTGGAATTAAATTCTTGGTTTGTGTACGACCCATTGATATACAATCGTTGGTTTTGACACTGGAATCCACCATACCCAGAATCTGCATCACACTTGCACGACCCGTCAACTAGATTCATCGATCCGTGTGTACCACAAGAGAGGTAGTCGTCGGTGATAAAAGATTTGAGTATTAGAGGACTAGAGTAATACAACAGTCTTGTCCAATGTTTGGTATACCCATTCACAGTAACAGATAATGACTGTTCACCAGATACCATTGGGTATGAAATATACAAATCATAACAATAGATATAAGTTGGTGACTGAAAGTAAATCCTACAGTCTCTTGGCGCATTGTTACCAATCGATACTTGTACCTTGTCCACTACAGTACTATTCTGTTTAATTAAATCGTATATAGTTGCATTCCCAATATTCCCAAAGTATCCATACATTTCAATCTTTGGTCCAAAATAATCTAAAGAGTATTGAATATTTGTTATAATTGGGAATTCTAAAATAAAAAACAAATAATTAATTAATATTTAATAATATTATTTAATAGTTTACTATTTACTTACGATGTTTAAAATAAATATTAAATGATGATTGATTTCCAATTTTAAAAGGATAGTATCCTTCTAAATATGGTATTCCCATTAAAGTACAACTAAATGATGATGAAGATTGATCTTGGACATTTTTTGAGTTGTTTTCATATTTACAATCAATCCCATTAAACAATATTGGAGAATGAATAGTTTGATTATATTTTTCAGAGATTACAACTTGCAATCCATCATTGATTTGAATTACTTTAATTTTACTTTGATCTATAAAAATTTATAAATAGTTTGTTATTATAATTATGACTGACTATTTAAATTAAAATAGAATGTGGATTACATACCAATTGTTGTTGATTGCACATTTATAAATAGAATTGATAAAATTGATAGATAAATAATAATTATAAAATATTGCTTCATATTATCTCTTTTTTTTTTTTTTAAAACAAACAAATTAATTAATACAACTCATTTTTTTTCTAAATCACTATATTATTATTTGATAATGTAGATGTTGGGTGGGCTCCCTCCCTCGAGTAATATATAATAAATGATGATAAAAATAAAACAATATTATTAATTAATTTTAATGTTGTTGGTTGACTGTCTAGTCTGGGTGGTATCATCATAAAAAAACAAAGATGGTGATCACAATACTCTGTTGTCGACACCACACTACCACATTCAATTCCATTGCCTTGTTGATCCAAAATTCTACGCACACCACACTCTTATACTTACTTACTTTTTCAATCCAGATTAAAAATCATGATTATGGTTGGTGTGGTAGAAAAAAAAACAGTAGTGATAGAATTGTGTATTGAATGTGTGTGTTTAGAGGAAGGATGATCAATCCAATAATACGATTCCATAGTATTGATTGATGAGATCAACCATTTCAAAGTAATCAGATTCTTCATCATTTGAATCTATTTGAGTGTTTGATATTTCAGATTCAATCATTTCTCGAGGAATTAATTTGTTGGCGAGAATGTATTTGACAGAATCATAGCACACTCTTGAATTTATAAATTTCAGTATGGCAGAAACAGTGCATCCTTCAGTTCGATGTTTGTGTAGAAACTCAACAGTTTCAAGATGGGAGTTGTGTGCTGCCGAATCGATGGCATCTGTTGTGCATCCCTCTGTACGATTTGTATGTAGAAACTATAGTTTGGAAAAGAAAATAATTAATTAATAATTAATTAATAATGCAATGGTTCCCCAAAGTAAGTGCAGGTAGATGTTTAAACATACTTTAACCATTTCAAGATGACCTTTTGAGGCTGCCCTGTCCATAGCTTTTGTTGTGCACCCTTCATTACGATTTAAATGTAGAAACTATATAAATATAAATGGAAAGCATTGGATTAATTAATAAATGTTGATATATAAACAAAATGAATATTCATGACATACTTTGACTACTTCAAGTTTACCATTTGCGGCTGCCTTATCCATAGCTTTTGTTGTGCATCCTTCATTACGTTTTAAATGTAGAAACTATTTTATATAAATGAATTAATTTTAATATTATCGTTATTATTATTTTTCATTAACATACTTTGACTACTTCTAGGTTACCATTTGAGGCTGCCCTATCCATTGCTTTGGTACTAATCCACTCTATGGCAAGATTTTCATGTAGGAACTATATATAAATGGAATAAATAGGAAATTAATAAATGTGTTAATACATCTACCAGTATGGTTTCTGCATGCATATTTACTTACTTTTACAATATCTAAATTACCCATAGTGGCTGCATGATTGAATACTTTTTGCAATGTACTTTGTTTCCAAAATGTTGGGAATTGTTGCAAGAGATATTGAATAATATCTAATCGATTATGCTCAATTGCATATTCGAAACCTCTCAAAGAACATGATTGGTTGATTGACATTATAATATCCAAACTACAATTTTTCTCAATGACAAGGTCAACTGCAATCGATGACCATGGTAATGTTTCAGTTGGAGTAATGGAGAGTAGAAACTATAATATAATATAATATAATAAATAATCAAATTAATATAAATAATAAATAATCAAATTAGTGTTCATATTTATATTCATACCTTGATAAGTTCAGGGTTACCACTTTTACATGCATTTACACCAGCAGCTCTAGTAAAACCTTCAGTGCGATTGTGGTAAAGGAAGTTCAAAGTATCCAAATTACCCGTCAAACATGCATTGTCCATTGCCAGAGCTGTAGCTGGTTTCCCTTGTTTGTGAAGGTATTGCACAATTTCGAGAGTCTTTGCATAATCCATCGCTCGATGTGTGCATCCTTCTGTACGATTTTGATCTAACCATTGTACTGTTTCAAAATGACCTTTTGAGGCTGCCCGTCCATAGCATTGGTTGTGCATCCTTCAGTTCGATGGCTATGTAAATACTAAATAAATAGATTAATATATATATATATATTATCCATAATAAATGTAATGTAATTTAAATTGAATTACTCTATTTAACTTACTTTAATAATATCCAAATGACCTTTTGAGGCTGCCCCGTCCATAGCATTGGTTGTGCATCCTTCAGTTCGATAGCTATGTAAATACTAAATAAATAGATTAATAAATATTATCCATAATAAATGTAATGTAATTTAAATTGAATTTCTCTATTTAACTTACTTTAATAATATCAAAATGACCATATGAGGCTGCCCCATTCATTGCTTTAGTTGTGCACCCTTCAGTACGATTTTGATCTAGATACATTACAATATCTAAACTACCTCTTTCCGCGGCAGTATTCATAGCTAGTTTTGAGAACTTTGCTCCTTTGGTTGACAATAGTTGAATGGTTGAAAGGTGTGCAGTTCGGAATATATATTCTTTTAGGTATTCTGGTTGATTTGATACATTTATATTTGGGAATCTTGTAAGAAGGAATGCACATATCTCTGGTGTTCCTTGAGTGATAACATGGTAGATGAAATCATCATGACGATCGTCATCTTGAGGATCGTAATCTGGTGACCATTCCAAGAGATGGAGGAGTGTATCTACCGTTGCATTTTGATGTAAACAGTACTTGCTAATTACGTACATTCTTCTATTCAAAGGTATTTGGTCTCTAGGTGGTAGATAATGTTTGATAAAGTCCCATGGCATTGCATACTTTGTTATCATTCCAAGTTGAGGCAACTCTATAATATCTTTACCGTTACTAGTTGCACACACTGAGATATGGTGTATCATTTTTGCTTGTTTGAATATAGTACGTCTAATATACAATACTCTCATTAAACTTGTAAATGTTGGTCGAGAAGCATCATGATGTATTATGCTCGTCATCAATGGCAGTTGAGTATTATTGTTGTTGTTGTTGTTGTTGTCTTGACAATCATCGTCATGATCTCTCTTTCTCTTTAACAAGATAACTTGTTGTTGTTGTTGTTGGTCTCTCCTCCTCTTCTCATCATGATCATGAGAAGAACTATCCTTTGTTGTTGTTATTTCATGTTTTTCCATCAAGAATAAAGTTATTAAAAAGAAATAATTATATTAAAAGTATACTAGCTATGGATACAAGAACTCTTCTCACAATGTTCCGGAAGTTCTCAAAAAAAAAAAAAAAAAAGAGGCAGAACCGCAAAGACGAGGGGCAGCTCAGAACGAACCACAAAGATACGTACTGGCTTGATTCGTGAACTGCTCAAAAGAGGTGGAGAAATCTAGAAGGACATATGACCGAGTCGTGAACCCCCAACTTCCCTCCCTTTTTAATACATTTATATAGCATCTATGCAATTGAGACAATCATTCAATTCAATTTTGCTTATCTACTTTAAAGTTTACATACACACATAAATATATATATTACATTAATCATGTCTAAAACAATCGGTCTTATTATCGGGTCACAACGTACTGCTCGTGTTGGTGACTCTATTGCTAAATGGTTCGCTCAAACCACTAAACTTGGAAGCAACTCACATTTCAAATATGAAGTTGTTGATTTAGCTGATCACAAATTACCAATGTTGGATGTATGTATAGCTTTAGCTAATGATAGTAGATAGAATACAATCAATCATCAGTATACTGATGATCTATCATATATATATATATTATATTTTTTTATAGGAACCATTACCACCAATGATGTTGAATGGAAAGTATTCATCACCAGTGATTACCAAGTTTAGTGAGACTATTGCATCAAAGGATGGATTCATATTTGTGATTAGTGAATATAATAATTCCTTTCCTGGAAATTTAAAGTGGGTACTAGCTATACTATTATTTAAATAACAAAAAAGTATACTTACTTACAATATATTTAATATAAATATTAATTTATATAGAAATGCTGTAGACCACTTGTTTGGTGAATGGAAAGGTAAGCCATCGGTTGTAGCTAGTTACGGATTCTTTGGTGGTAGTTCGTCCAACGACCAATTCACACAGGTTCTCAACAAGAGTTTCCTTGCTATGCCAGTCACCAACACTCGTCCCAAAATGACGCTGAACAAGACCATGTTTGACGAAGCTGGCAAGTTTAAAGACATCACCACCGACTTTAAACCATTCGAACAATCTGCTATCGATTCTGTCAAAGATCTTGAACAATTATTACAAGATATTGAAACTAAAAAGGTTGTTGAACAAAATGCATCATAAAAATACACACCCTCCATGTACTCAAAAAACAAAATTAAATAAAATTAAAAAAAAAAAGAGAAGTTCGAAAATTCAAACTCTGATCATTGCCATCCTCCTCGTTGCATCATCATTAGTTAACCAAGTATACAATACTTAAATAAAGAGAGGGAGTAGAGAGAGATTAGATAGATAGATATAATCAAGGAAGATGAGTGATAAGAAGAATACTAATACTGCTGCAGCTAAAGAGGATAACTACAAGTATCCACCAGCTCCACCCCCAAGAATCAATCAAGTTCAAGCTGCTCTTCAAGGTAATCAATGTCTTCAACAAGTAGCTATGGGTATGTAAAAATAGAATGATAGAAGATTGAAAGATAGATATGTATTTCATTGTCTAATTGAATGAGCGTTTCTAGGTGGGTTGATGGGAGCTACAGTTGGATCAATGTTTGGTTTAGTGATTGGTATGACTACTTGTTACATGTCAAAGGCACCAAGAACGATGTACTCCAAGATTGCTGGAAAATTCGCACTTCAAATGGGTGGTTTCTTTGGTGGCATTATGTCTATTGGTGGTGCTTTACGTTGTGAAGAAGATGAAACAGAAGATGTAAAATCAAACAACAACAACAAAAATAATATCAACGACGATCTAAACACATATAGTTTTCTAAATTTGTACAGTAATAATAACAATAACAATTCATTAAAAATCAACCATTTCAATACCACCAAATATAACAAATCTTCTCTAAACATCTTGACAGAGGATGAATAATAAAATAATAATAATAATAAAAGGAACAAATAATATTAAATTAACTTAATCTTGAAGGTTTTATTTCTTTACATATTTAAATAATTATTTAATATTATATTTGATATTTGATATTTATATTGATGATTGACTATTCTCAAAGAATGTATCATTATCATAGGATCCATCAAATAAAGTACCAATATCTGCCAATTGTTTTTGTTGTTCTTCTTGTGTAGTAATTGGTTTTTGGAATGGTGGAATTGATAAATCCTCCTCTAATTCCAAACTCTTTGAAGGTTCTTCTGCGGATGTCTCTTCTTCTTCTGTCTCTTGTTCTTTTTTCTTCTTTTCAGCTTCTTCTTCCTCTTTTTGTTGTTGTAGTTTCTTTTTCTTTTCAACTTCTTCTTGTTTTTCTTTTTCTTCTTTTTCTTGTAGTTGTTTTTTCTTTTCAGCTTCTTGTTTTTCATCGATAAAACTATCTGGAACCATACTACTACTACCATCCAAAGAAACTTGTAATTGAGATTGAGATTGTGTTGCAACATTGACAATTGGGATTTTTGGTTGTTGAGGAGATGAAGAAATAGAAGAAGCAGAAGAATGTTGAGATGATTGAGACCCTGTACTTGGTCTACGTTTAATATACGCATTATAATTTTGTAATTCTTCATCAATATTTTCTTCATCATCTTTTTCAATAGTTGGTTTAAGATCTTGTTGTTGTTGATCAAATGAAACTGAATTCAAATCAATCTTATTATTTCCATTATTATTATTACTATCTTTCTTTTTACTATTATTATTATTATTATTTACATTATTATTATTATTATTATTATCTACTTGTTTCTCTTCTTCTTGATTATCATCATTATTATTATCATTAATATCATTTAAATGTGTTTCAGTTTCCTTTAACTTTTGTAATTCTTCTTCATCTTGTTTCATTCTTTCCAATTCTTCTTGTTGTTTTTTCATTTTGTATTTGGCACGACCTTCTTGTTGTTGACGTTCAATTTCCTCCATATCCTCTGGTTTAAACTTTTCTCTAATCTCTGTGATTGCTTCTTGTTCCTCGGCTCTCAATTTCTCCATTTTCTCCATTTGTTTTTTCTTTTGTTGTTGCTTTTGTTCGTTTTCCATTGGATCAATGTATTTCTTTGGTTTAGTGGTCATGTATTTTGTATCCAATATAGAATCTATATTAATTCCATCTCCAAATGTAAATGTTTCTCCTCTATCACTACTATTATCATCACTATCACTATCTTGATTCTTTGATTTCTTCTTTTTTGTTGTTGAAGATGAACTTTCATTCTTTGATTTCTTTTTGTTACTACTTTTAGGAGGAGGAATAGGTTTCTTTTTAGTTACTGGTGTTGTGAATTTTGAGATGGATGGTCCAGCCGGTTCCTTTTCTTTTTTCTTTTTCTTTGGTGTTGAAACTGTTGAACCAGAAGCAGCAGCAGCCTTTTTACCCTTTGCAGGTGTTGGTTTCTTTACATTCTTTTTCTTCTTCTTTCCAGGTTCATAATCTGAATCAGAGTCTGAATAATTTGAATAATCAGACATTGACGACGACGACGACTCTGATTCAGACATTGATTCTGATTCTGATTCAGACTCTGATTCAGATTCTTCCATTTCACTACCACTTGTTGTTGTTGTTGTTGATTCTTGTTGTTTAACTCTTTTAGTTGATTTAGTTGATGTTGGTTGTTTCTTTTTATTTGATAAAGGTGTTGGTCTTTTAACCTTTTTGGCTGGTGATTCTTTTAGTTTTTCTTCTTTATCTTCATCTTCATCTTCACTATCCTTTCTCTTTTTACCTCTTGTTCCCTTTCCCTTTGTTTCTTTCTTTTCTTCTTCTTCACTACTACTACTATCACTTTCACTACTATTATCACTACTATCTTTCTTTGTAGATGATTTCTTTTTACTTTTACTTGGAGTATGAGTTGGTAGTGCTTTACTAACAGGTATCCTCTTTCTTGGTGTATTGACCAACAACTCTGTTGTTGATGCTATTGAATCCTTTTGTAGTGCTCCAATCGCACTAGATGAAGATGATGATTTCTTTTTCGGTCCCATTTACATATACATATACATATACATATGCAATGATTTACTAATCTTAATCTATCTAACCTTTAACAAAAAGAATATTGAATGATGACTATGAGGGGGTTTGAGAGCAGGATTTGAGCATTTATTTTCTTTGGGGGTTTTGAAAATTTTTGGTTGGGAGTACCGCCTCAGAATCTATTTATTTGTAAAACTTATTTCTCTCTATGGTCTTCTTTATTTTTAATTATTCTTTTACCAATCGATAGATCTTTTCATTATCTATCAAATGGTTGCCAAAAAAATTTGCGAGAGATTCACCCTGCTAAAAAGTACTTTCCGTAAAGTCGCCTTTAGCCATGGGCTAAGATGAGGTCTAGAAAGCATTGTTTGGAAAAACAAATGATATAAACAGAAAGAGCACAAAAAGTTGTATCTATTGGTGGCATTGGATCGTCGTTTCAAAGATTATTCAAATAAAAAAAATGGTATTCTTCATAGCCTATCTCATAGTACTATTGTGGGGCCAACATAAAAAACTACGTGCAACATGGATCGATACCTTTGGATTACGATTAATCAAATAAAAAGACAAGCACCAACACAAGAGGTGTAGGCGCCTTGGATCTTCAACATTATATGCACTAGTGTCGGCAGTGTTCAATGTATGCCACATCCAGCAACGCTAGACAAGATGGCTAGTATATTTGGAATGGATCAATAATCAAATAATTCAGAAGTGGTCAATCTCAAAACAATTGTGAATGCTCAAGAGTATTGGTAGCAAAGCCTTTGAACGAAAAGTCCATGTTTCGTTAATCGCTTTTAATTGTTTTACAGTTAACAATTTAAGTTCTGAAATTCTAGTCTTTTCATCATATTGTTCTGTTGATGTAGATGAAGATGATGACGAGGAAGATGATTGGATATTTAACTTTATCTTGGTAGCATTCACCATTCTTTGTTTGAGTTTTACAACTTGAGCTTCTTCTACTCCAACCTCTTTGAAACCACGCTTGATATCGATTTCTTGGCCTACTTTTACCTTTTGAGACAAAAATTTATATGTAAATCTAATGGGATCAAGTTCATAATTAACTTCATGACTGCCCATGTACATCTAAAATAAATGATCAAGTTAAAAATGGTTTCTAGGTAGGATATGATAGGAGGTTAAAACTTACACTTTTTAAATTCTAAATCTTCCTGTTCTGTGAGCTTGGTCTTTTCTGCTTTTGCCTTGAGCACGTCATGTCGATGGCAATATGGACAAGTATCAGTTCTGTTGTTGAAGATCTTGACATCGGCTGGTACAAACTTGTAAAATGTACTGCGATGGATTGGTGTCTTTTCATCCTTGTCCGAACAGTCTTTGTACTTTTTCGCAATGAATTCAACATAATAAGCATATGCCTGTGCAATTGATGGGCACAGTAGCTTTCTTATTGGTGTCGATACTCTTACTGTCTTATTGTTGGCATCCTTTGGTTCTTTGTGCTACATTTTGAAGAAGGTTCTGTAATCGTTGTTTGAGCATAAAATTCTTTAATATCCTCCATTATTTTCTTTTTGTTGGCATCTGTTTTATTGATATCAGATCGTCCCAGAGCCTGGCAGAATTGTGTATACTCCTCTGCTCTAATGTTTCTACCAGGTCCATATTGTTTTGCATGTTTGTTGGCGTTTGAGAATGCACCATTTGCAAATTTGAAACCAAAATCTCTTAGTTGTGAAGCAGTATGAAAAGGTGATACCGATGATAATATTCTTTTAAAGAAAGGAATTAGTATAAATGAACTAGTAATTTTAAATATAATAATATATGCAACTTACTGTGTTTTTGTAAAATGATTCTTTTTCCCATCTTTTGCTTCCTTGTGCATCTTTCTAATGATGTTGAGACAACTATAATCTGTAGCCATAAAAACTGTACCATCGTTGTAGATCTTTTCTCCTTTGGGATCGAGCAACATCTTGATACCTCTTCCATGTTTAGATATGCTGAAACTTCTTAGAACCTCTGATTATAGTTCTTGGTCGCCACCTGTATGTCTATTTAACGTAGATGATATTTGTTTTCTAATGCGTTGAACTTGTCTTAATGGGTATGTTGGTTTAACGCGATTGCCAATGAATGGTTGAAAGAATGCTCCTGTTGGTGGTGTTGTGATTGTTGTTGTTGTTGTTGTTGTTGTTGTTGTTGTTGTTGTTGTTGTTGTTGTTGTTGTTGTTGTTGTTGTTGTTGTTGTTGTTGTTGTTGTTGTTTTTGAGGTGATTGTTGTTGTTGTTCTATATTGGTTGATGTTGATGTTGATGGAGATGCAGTGATAGTTTGGGTTGCTGTACTCATGATTAATATGCTTAAAATATATCTATAATATTGATAATTCATTAATGATTAAAGATATTATCAATTTGATTAAATAATTAAATGTTTATTGATTACTAATGGTTAGAGATAGACATATATCTTTTGAGGGGTAGGTTGCTGACTTAGAGAAAAAAATATTTCAAAAATCTCCTTTTTTTCCTTCAATCAAAATAAACACTCGATCATTTTTTTAATTTTTAATGATTTTGAGATAACAAGTACTAGTCATCTTTTATTTCTATTTTAGTTTGTTTATATTCGAATTGTTTTATTTGTTTATATATTTATTTATATATTTGTTTGTTTATATATTTGTTTATATATTTGTTTGTTTATATATTTGTTTATATATTTATTTGTTTATATATTTGTTTGTTTATATATATTTGTATTCGAATTGTTTTATTTGTTTATATATTTGTTTATATATTTGTTTGTTTATATATATATTTGTTTTATTTTTTTGTTTATTTTTGAATAGTTTTGTTTTACTTATATATTTATTATTTAATTGTTTATTTTTGAATAGTTTTATTTGTTTAAAGAAGTTCCACTATATAGTTATTTTTATTTGCTATCTATGTTTATTTCTATTCAAAATGATTAATATCAAGGGAATCTCACCAAGCACGGTTCCAAAGAATCGAACTATTGTTTGTATGTAAATTATTATTTTTTTTCTTTTTACCCAATCAATCATTAATGTTCCATCTCTCTCTTTTTCTCTCTTTTTCTCTCTTCTCTTTCTCTCTCTTTTATTTTTGCGCTAGTTGTTGGACGATGCGACTTTTATCAATATTCCAAAGGTGGTGGACCCATTGGTCTTGGACCAAAAACAATTGTGAGATTGTTAAATAGCATGGGTTATCGGGCATTTCTCATAAACGAGTATTTGACTACAAAGGTATTATTCTTTTTATAAATAATATATTATTTATTTTTAGGATCGCTTTATTAATCATTATTATTTTTTTTTCTTTTTAGATTCACAATACCTGTGCTGCAACCATTCATGAAAGACACAATGCCAATTTTGTGGAGAAAGTCCCTCACAAAAAAGATTTGCAAGATCCAAAGATCAAATTGGAACTATCAACCGATAACGTTCACCAACAAGTTGCCCCTTTTTCAAATATTGATGACAACAAAGTCATTTCACTCAAGTCAACTCTGCCCAATTGTAATGAGTGTGGTAAGCACCCTTACCCATGTCAATGCTTTCCAGAGGATGTATTGGCAAAGGATTATAAAGATACTTTGGAAACATTTGATAAACTGAAAACAAATTCACCCTCAAAGGCCAACCCAATTAAGAAGCCAATTGTATCATCAACAACAACAACAACAACAACATCATCATCATCATCAACATCATCAACAACAACAACATCATCATCATCATCAACATCAACAACAACATCATCAACAACTCCAACTGATTGTGGTAAAAGAAAGATTGGTGAAATTCATAATGAAGGGGATGGGAACAAGTCTAATAGCGACTCTGTTTCGTCCAGTGATTATGAATTTGGCAAGTCTCTTGGCAACAAAAAGACAATGGAGCTTCTTGGCAAACAAAATTTCCCATGTGATATCAAATGGGAATGGATGTATTGCCCAGTATGCGAATCATGGTTTAACAGAGACACCAGCGCAGCAAAGAACATTCTGCTGCTTGGAATTTGCAAATTCATCAAGGGATATCGACCCTGGATTTATGGACCTTTACCTCTTCAAGGTAAAGGTGTTTCACATCACTCTGATACCCCCCCAAAAAAAGATGAGCGTTAGTTACATGGCTGGTAAGATACTTATATTCCGATAATAATATTACTACCCAACTAACACTACTTTTTTTCATTCAAAATTTTTTCATTCTAAATTTTCCTCATTTTTAAATAAAAGCTCATTTTTAGAATTAAAAATATAAATATTTTGGGCGCAATGAATGATCATCGAAACTGAAAACCAACACTCTTCTTCTTTAGTTCACACCCTCATACATTACACACATATATATATTTGTATTGTATATATACATATTATACAGATAGAATGTCAGATAATAATAATGATCATGATGGTCTTGAAAAGACATCAACAACTAAAGTTTTAGAGAGTTCTACTACGTCTACAGCAACGAGTTCAACAAATATAAGAGATTTATCATTGTATCAATTATTTACATTTGGTCAAAAGACATGGAATGAATTACAGAATAGTGTAGTGTCTAGTTCAGATGAAGATTATCAACAACAAGTTAAAAGAGCCATTCAATACTTTATGATGGCTTCATTTCAATTTGATAAACAAGCAATGATTTCAAAGAATGAAGAATTGGATGATATTAGAACTGATATATTAAAGTAATTGAAAAGAGAGAGAGAAATGAAAAGATATGTATTTATACTTACTTACTTGTTTTCTATTTAGATATTTACTTATTCCCTATTATTTAGGTGATTTATATGTTGCATTGGTTGATAAAGAAAATAGATTAAGAAATTTAAAGAATGCAAAAGTAACTATATTATAAATACATATATTTGATTTGTATAGGGATGACTAATGATATATATTTGTTTGTTTGTTTGTGTAGAATAAAATAATATCATTTATAAATAGATGTGAAATGATTGGATTGGTACATAAAGATGATATGGAGATTATATCAAGAGATGGTAAACCAAATCCAGCAAACCGAAGAAACGAATTGATTAGTAGAGGTAAACGTGACAAAGAGGTGAGAGAGCAACTGTCACATGTATTAAAAAAGAGAATGGAAATGATAAAGAAACTTGGTGGATCAAACGAAGATGGAGCACTGCAAGAAGAGAATGATTGTGGTGACGAAGAGGTTGAAAGATCATTTTCACTCTTGTTACTACGTGAAGCTATTTCAAAGTCGATTTCAATGTTTGAAATGTTTGATTTAGAGGTGACCATGTTACAAGAGGTAGCAGCTTTGAAAGAGAAACATGGCGGTGTACTTCCAGCTACCCCACCACCAAAGTCATCGGGTATTGGTAACTTCCAAATACTACCAGATGGCAGACGTGTCATGTTGGACAAGGTCTTTAGACCCAGCCACATCCTGCCCACAATGACACCCGAAGAAGCCGTCGAAATCGAAATGCGTAATGGTGGTATGGTCAAGGGTAAAGGTGGCAAAGAAAGCGAGAAAAAGAGTGACGACGAAGAAGAAGTCGATGGTAAAGAAGAAGACCATGAAAAGCTCAAAAAGAAACGTGATTGGGATGATTGGAAGGATGATAATCCAAAGGGTGCTGGTAATACTCTTGGCTAAGAAAAACCAAATCAAAACAAACAACAAATAATATTTTATTGTGTATGTAATAAAAAAAACAAAAAAAACCTATATTAATAGTCAATGTTTAAGGGTTAGGTTAAATCGAATTCAATTGAGGGCTCTGGACCTTATTATGATGATCGGGATGATGCACACGACCATTCTCTGAATTAAGAGTCGCAAACCCGTTGGGCGACCCGAGATTTTTTTTTTTTTTTTTCAAACCCAAACACCATTTGTTTTTGCTGCAGCAAAGGGTCACCAACACTAACCAACACTAACCACATCCCATCTATTTGCACTGTGTTTGTGTGAACTAATCCTAGAATCACAGATAGATATCTAAACATTGACCTCAACATTCCTCACTCACTCACACACACAGCTTTAAATAGTACAAAATCAAACAGTTTTTCTCTTGTTGTATCCTATCCTCTACAACAACATATCCTTTTTAAAAGTTTCAATACAAAAAAGAAAGAGTAGTTAGTTAGTTATATATATATTAATATAAATAGAGTAGTAATGAAAGTATTAGTATATGATCCAAATGGGAATGAATTCTTTTATGAATTCAAGAATGATATTCCATATCAATCACATATTACACATTTGTTTCGTAATTTGTTAGAGTATAGTATCGGAAAGGATTTGGCGAGGTTGACCGAGACATCGATCGAAGTGTTGGCATCACACTATTCACTTCAAGACTCTAAAACGGCAAAGTGGTTAGAGTCATCGTCAGACCCCATCATTTCAGAGCAATCTATACTCTTTTATAAACTTAAACCACTCACTCCATACATTTCAACCATTGAACAAGGTTTAAAGAAATTAAACGGCAATGGTGGTAACAATAACTCTACAACATTATCAATTAGAGAACACATTGAATTACTATGTGTTGCAAACAATGGTGATGAAATAGAGTCAAGATTAAATAGTGATATTCAAAGTTTAGATACTCATATTAAACTATTATGGATTCATGAAAAGAAGAAATCAGAGTCAATCTCTAGTCCAACGACAACACCATCAACTACACCAACTAGTTCTACTACTACCACTCCATCTACTCCATTAAATTCTTCAACTTGTTCAACACCTAGTTTGGCTATTAGTAGTAGCAGCCATGGCAGTGGTGGAAGTAATCTAATCATTGGAGGTGACTCTATCAATAGAATCATCAAGATTATCTATCAGTATCCAACACTACCAAGTTTGTCTGTATTGGTTGATTACCTATCTGCAATCAATCAAGACCAACTACACAATGTTCATGACTTGTTATCAGTTTTATCTTTAGATACAAATAACAACAACAATAATGTATTATTAAATGGCGGAAACATGAACAACATTAATCATAATAATAATAATGGTGTCAGTGGAGGAAGTAGTATAATGATGAATAGTCCAGGAGATATTTCATTATTTACAATGGTTGATCAATCAATTAAAACAAATCAATTGGAATTTAAATCAAATTTTTATCTTGTACTTTTAAATAATCAACAAAATCTAAATCAAGTTGGAGTGGAACATGTGGAAGAAGTTGGCATAGAGGAAGAAGAAAAATTGGAAAAGGAAAGAATTGCGGTTCAATTAAAGCTGATTTCATTTATCAATAATATGTATTTACTATCATCAAACCCTGTAAACTATTTAACCAAACTTCATACAGACGGTATATTCAAAGCAATCAATGAATTGATTATTTGTAATTCAATTAAAATTACAAATTCAAAAGAATTTAAATTCCTCAGAGTATGTAGATAGATACAAACACACAAAGTTATTTAAATGATTTATTTATTAATACTTTTTATTATTTCCTTATAGACCAATTTAATGAAAGAATTATATCAACAAAGAAATCAATTAATCGATACTACGAAAATTAATATTCAAACCATGTTGAGTGATTTATGGAATGCTACATTATCAACGTATCCATTTAGAATTAAATCACATCGATGGTTGTTATTGGGATTCCGTGGTACAAATCCAATCGATGATTTCCGAGTCACTGGATTATTGGCATTACGTAATTTATCGTATTTTGCCAAACACCATACTTCAACATTACAATATTTATTAATGACTCAAACAAGACGTGAAACTCTATCAAATGCATTGGAATCCAAATCGACAACAACAACGGAAATGGATGAAACAAATAGTAGTAGTGAATCACCATGTGTAACACCTCGTGCAAACACTGGTGGCGGCGATGATACAGAAGAACAACCAAAATCATATCCATTTGCAACAATTGGTATTTCAATTACTCATACACTATCATCATTATTTAAAATTCCATCTGGGTTATCAAAAAGTTCAAGTCATGAAGATTCATTACAATCATCTGTAGTAACACCTCAACAACAACAACAATCAAACGTTGATCAACCACTTTGGGATATTTCAATTAGTTCAAACAAATGGTTTGATGAATGTTATGTTTATACATTATTTTTATTCGAATCTTTATGGAATTCAAAAGCTTATATTTATTCTGATTTCCCTCAAATTATGACTTTTACAAAGTATGTTGGAAAACAAAAAAGAAAAGAAAAACAAATAACTATTTAGAAACAAATATTAACTATTTTTGTTTTGATTTAATTTTTATTTAGACAAATAATTGAACATATAATTAAACATTCACCAAAATCATCATTGGAATTTAGAGATATGATTGTTATGATTTTAGAAGGTCATGAACCACTAAACATTGGTTTAGAGTTGAATGATTTAATGATTTTAAAATTCAAACATTTGGAATTCCTAAGTGACCTAAATCAACCAACTAATGTACCAGTTGCAGTTGAATCATTGGCTACTACTACAACAACATCTACAACTTCTACAACAACTACTACGACAACTTCTACAACTCCACCATTAAGTCAGGAAGACCAAGAAGAAGAAGAAAAGAGAAGAAGAAAGATGGAAGAAAAGGTATATGATTTTTCATGTCAAAAATTAACCAAATTCTTTGGAGAAAGAGTTGATCCTCGTATTGATAGTCATGCATTCCAATTTGCTCCACAACCATCCAATGTTAGTATCACTAAATTGAGAGACTTTTTTGGTGATACTGTCACACCTGGTGGTCAGTCCAACTCTAACAACAACTCCACCAACAATACTACTACGATTGTACCAATGGCCGAAGAAGATTTTGAAGAGGAATGTGAACGGTTACGTAAAAAGGCGGTTGAAAAGCGTAATCATCGTCTACACGTATTCTTTGGTGAATGGTTTGAAACTGAACAAGTAGAGTATACTGAGAGAATCCGGTCAACTCAAATGTACAAAGAAAGTGATTATATTGATACAAGTACAAATAGTAAAACAAGTAAATCACCAACTTCTCCAACTTCTCCATCTTCAAATACATCAGCGTCATCTACTTCATTGCAACAACCAGATAATATTAGAATCAACAAATTAAACAAATTCTTTGGTATAAGAGTCCCAATATCAAAAGATACAATGAGACTGGAACATAATATACATTATTATGATGATGGTGATGATGATGATGACGATGGATCTCCTAGACACCACGATGACAATATTGAAACTAGATCACCCGAAGAGGAAATTAAAAGTAATTTCAAAGCTCAAAAAGTGTTGGGTGAAAGAATCAATATTAAAAAGGAAAGAGAAGCTGTCAACTTTGCTCCACAACCAACTCATATTCGTGAACATAAACTACACAAATTATTTGGTGAAATGGTTCCAACTCAAAAACAATCAAAAGAAAAGGAAAAGGAAAAGGAAAAGGAACCAAAAGAGACAAAGGAAAGATCATCATCAATGTGGAGAAAGGGTACTAGTGCAGGTCAATCAAAGTATCATTCAAGTGTTATTATTCCATTGGCTACTACTCCTCCTCAAAGTCAACAACCAATACCTCAACCACAGCCACAACCAACACAAACAATATCTTCTACTCCTCCACAACAAAAACAACAACAACAACAAACACCACCAGTTGTACCACCTATTGCTATTGTTCCATTTATTGATATTAATTCATCGGATGAACCATTACCATTACCAAAGTCACCACATGTTAACAACAATCAACAACCAAGTTCATGTAGAGCAAGTTTGAATAGTTCGATTGCTCAAGTTGGTGATTTGGATCATTTCGAAGACAGCCAAGATGACGACGATTTACAATTTGAAGAATCAGAAGAGAAAAATAGAGAAAAGGAAAGAAAAGAAGAAGAGAAAAAAGATGCTTTTGAAGAAGAGGATGATGAAGATGAATCTGACGACGAAGAATCTAATCGAGTTACAATGAGTCGTCGTAAATCTTCAGCTCATCGACTCCAAGTATTCTTTGGTGAAAGATTTGATGTTGAACAAACCATCTACAATCAAAAGTTTTTATCACCTGCCGACATGTACCAAAATGTCTCGGTCTCTCCCCAACCCGATAATGTCAAAGACTACAAATTAAAGAAAAAGTTTGGTAAATCTGCTGTTGACATGGTTGATAACAAAGGTCGTCCAATCCTAACTTCAAGTGGTGATAATAATTTTACAACCAACCAATCCAACCAGTCTAATTCTAATTCCAATTCCAACTCTGGTAATAGTAGTAATAATAATAGTAATCCAACATCACCAAGAGATAGAGAAAGAGAAAGAGAAAGAGGTTCAAGTATTGGAGAAAAACTATCACCACGTGGTAAAGTTGGTAAAGTTATCAATATATTTAATTCTCATTTATTGAAGGATAGATCTGATAGTTTATTATCATCATCTCCACAACAATCACCATCATCATCATCATTTAAATCAACTTCGCTACCATCTTCACCATCAATCAATAAGAAGTATTCAACCATGTCTCCATCTTCATTTGGAATTAATAGTAATAGTAATAATAATGAAACATCTCCATCATCTCCATCATCATCATCATCTGCCAATAATAGTATTGTTGTTGTAAATCCACTTTCACTTTCTTCATCTTCAATCCATTCAACAGATGGTGCCAATCTTCCAGTTATACATTCCACCTCGAACAATACTAATCATACTTCCAATGTATCACCAAATAGAAGAAAGAGTAATAGTATCATTGGTAATAATTTCAAAGTCCAAAAATTGCTTGGTGAACGATTGGATGTTTCAAAAGAGTCGACTCGTGTAACATTTAAAGATCAACCATCCAACATTAAAGTTGATAAATTAATCTCTATATTTGGTGAAAAGGTTTCATTTTCTCTAAAGAGAACTCAATCTGCTCAAAGTTTATTATCATCTTCATTAAATTAATAATATTAATAATAATATTTAATCAATAAACCAAAAAACTATAATTATTGTATTTTTAACACCTAATTTATTAATCACCCAACAAATTATGATGTTTTTGATGATTCATTCATTTATTTTTCATTGTGTTTATATTTAGCAAAGAGAGAGAAGGAAGAGAGAGTAACTATATAGTTTTAATTAGAATAGATAGATAGATAGATAGAATAGATATTAAATAGTTAAAGAAATGACATTTACAGTAGTATTACATGTATATGATTTATCAAATGGTATGGCTAAAATGTTTTCACAATCATTGATTGGTAAACAGATAGAAGGTATTTGGCATTCTGGTATTGTAGTGTATGATAGAGAATGGTATTTTGGTGGTGGTATACTCAATGATCGTCCTCTTGCAACACCTTATGGTCGACCGGTACAAGTGATCAATCTAGGAACAACAGAGATTACATCTGATCTATTTAAAGAGTTTCTAGATGGTGTACGTGATCGTTTTAGAATGGATACCTATCACTTGTTGGAGAATAATTGTAATCATTTTACAAACGAGTGTAGTCAATTCCTACTAGGTCAACCTATCCCCGATCATATTGTTGGTTTACCAAGAGAAGTTTTAAATACTCCTTTTGGAATGATGATTCAGTATGTACAAAACAAAATTAGTATAATATATAAGTATTATATGTATTATATATTTATATACTAACCCTTTGTTTTTTTGTTTGTTTGTTTGTTTGATATAGACCAATGATTAATAATTTCTTTAGTCAACAAAATTGGGGTACTATGATGGGTCCTGTAAATAATAACAATAATAATAATAATCAACCAAAACAATTACCACCTCCATCCACTTCATCAACAACAACAACAACATCATCATCTATATCACATCCAAAATTAAATAATCAACATTGGCATTCAACTTCAAAATTAACGTTACCATTATTAATGAATAACAAACCAATTCTATTTGAAAAGGGTGATATTGATTCTGTATTTTCTAAATTATTGGATTTTGTTAAATTTCAACCAACCATAGATATGCAATCCTATCAAGATAATTCAAAATCATTATTATCAATTATTAAAAATTCATCCCCTTCCATAACTATTCCTTTACATTTATTAACTTGGCTTGGTAAGTAATAATAATAATATCAAAACATACAAAAATAATATATTTCTTACTTACCTTATATTTTATTTTTTAGAATCATTAATTAAAATATTACCAGAATCAAATTTATTTCCAGTATTGGAGATTATAAGATTTATAATCTTAAAAAATGATGGTAATCGTTATTTTATTCAAAATCCATCAAATACCTTTTTATCAACTCTATTGGATAAAATGATTTCAAATCAATTATCAAAACAATCTGAATTAATTACTTTACGTTTAGTATGTGAAATCACTAAATCAAAAAAGAAAAACAAACAAATCAAATCAAACTTTATACTTATTTTTATATTATATTTTTATAGATTGTAAATAGTTTTTTAAACAAACAAAGTATAGATTATATATTTTCAAAATATTTATCAAAATTGGTTGAATGTACAACTAGAGGATTAAATTCAAATGATAAGGTACTTAAACGTGCAGTATCTACTGTTGCTTATAACCTTTCACTCTATTTGAGTGTAAGTCAACACGACGATCAAATTACTTCATTGTTGGCATCACTACATCATGTTTTAACATGTGACAACAAACTTGCAGAAGATCCAGAAATTGATTTCCGTCTATTGATGGCTTTTGGAACACTACTCTATTGTTGTTCCGACAATACAATGGATATGATTAAAATGTTGGAATTTGATCCAATTCAATCAAAATATAAAAGTATCGCCGATTGTCCTAATAATATTAATCAATTAATTCAAGAAATTCATTCTTTGATTAAATAACAAATAAACATAAATTAAATCAAAAAATGTAAAACTAAATTCATCGAAAAAAAATCCATGAAATCGATAAAGATCAAAAGTAATAATCTATTTTAGGATTTTTTACAAAAGATAAGTAGAGAGGTACACTGTTTGTTTTAACATCATTTCATATCTTTCTTTTATCTTTACATTTATCTTATCTCACTATGGATATAATTCAAGAATCACCATCATTAATTACAGAATTTCATCTTGATAATCAATCATTTGATTCAAAGACTATCACTGTACAAACAATCAAAGAGATTCAAGGAGGTTTAATATTAAAGAATGTATTAACAAATCAAGAATGTGATCTGATTGTCAATAGTATATTTAGTTCAGATAAACATGCTTCATTACCCGTTCAACCTGTTTTATTTAGAGGTTGGAGTGATCAACCAAATGATGAATATAAGAAATTGGTATGACCCCAAATTAGATAGTAAAGATGTCTTTATATATTAATTGTATTTGTTTGTTTGATTTTATTTCTCTTCCCTAGGGAATTAGAGTAATTAGAACATCAGAAGAATTGGCAAATATATTAAGTGAAAGAATTAAAGAACATGTACCAAAACAATTGTCAACACCATCATCCAAAGGTGATATTGAATGGAACTATAGTGGATTGTCACAACGTCATCGTTTTATTCGTTATGATACAGACCAACATTTTCCAACTCATATGGATGGTCCTTACAACAAAACAGACTATCAACGTAGTCATATTACAATTCTCTTTTATTTAAACGATGATTTCGAGGGAGGAGAATTAAATTTTGTAGAGGCAGAGACAAATGAACAAAATCAAAACAAAGTTTCTGATGAATACAAGACTAGTAATATTACTTCAATCAGAGCTGAAAAGGGTATGGTCGTTATCTTTCCTCATAAAAACCTTCATACTAGTAGTCCAATCATCAAAGGTCACAAATATTTAATTAGAAATGATTTAATGTATACAATTAATAGTTAAATTGAAAATATAAAATAAAAAAAACAAAATATGTATATTAAATATAATTACAACAAAGTTTTTTTGAGTACGAAGGAAATATTTTTGTAGTTGGGTTTTTTTGTTTAAATATGATTAATTTTCTTTGTGAGGATTTAATGAAAATGAATGAAAGATAGCTCAATCGATAGGAAACCATTAGGAGAACACGAATATATTGCAAAAAACGGCATGCCGAAAAAATGTGAAAAGAGCAGAACAAAAAAGAGTGCACCAACCGAGAATCGAACTCGGATCGAATCCGTGGCAGGGATCCATTCTACCATTGAACCATTGGTGCTTGATGCAAGATTTTTTGGGTCTTAATCTTTTGACCTCAAATATTTTTGTGGCCTCATTGATTCTGTCTCCCACCCTGCCATCCAACGAACCTTGACCAAGATGGGTGCTCCACCACTGATAGTCAACGCTGTTATGTCCATGCTAGCAGACTCTTCAGTCCGTGTACGAGTAGGAGACTCGCTGTCTGAACCATTCCACACCGTCAGAGGCACAAAGCAAGGTGATCCAATATCACCGACGCTATTTGCCCTCATCGCCGAGCCACTGGCGAGAAGCATCATCAATGACGGCCGCATACAAGGTTTGCCAATCGATACCACAACTGCAAAGCCACCAGTCTCTCTCTCTATGCTCCCACCGCCAGCTTTTGGAACCAAACAGAGAAAGCCACCGCCTCTTGTCCACCTCAACTGGGTAAAGCTACTCCAGTTTGCCGACGACACGTCTACATTTGCCAAAAACATCCGAGAATTTAAACTAATGGACGAATGGATTCAGCTATTCTGTAAAGCTACATCATCCAAAGTCAACACTGACAAATGTGTGATCATGTCACCTGGCAGTCCAACCAATTTACCGTACCCACTGATGGACAAGGAAAGCAAAGAACGTTACCTCGGCTACTACTTTAACCAGTTTGGTTTGGTACCACACCTTCCAGAGCGTATTGACAAGGTAATCAACGATTTGATTAGATGGAAACCTAAACACAACAACAACTATAGAGGTAAATTAGCTTTGCTCAAAACATATGGTCTGTCACAATTAAATTATTTCACGTACCTTGAATCACCTAGTCACGAGGCAATCACCAGATTGGAAAAGGTTATTGATTGGTTCATGTTCAGCAACGACCGTCAGTACGACCCAACCAAGCCAACCAAAAGAACCATGTCCAAGAAACGCTCCATACGATCGATCGACCAAGGTGGTCTCAACCTCTGGGACCTCAACGCTAGATTCCGTGCCCAAAAGGCATGGATGTTCGAAAGGTTCCTCCACGAGGTAAAGAACGACCGAGTTGCAAAGGTTTCCTTTGCCCAATCATGGATGGACCAACTCAACCAAGACAAACCAAACGATTTTGTCCGCCTCTGCCGCAGCGAGTGGGAAAAGCTTACCCAACCCTACGACGTCAGCAGAGAGGCTGTACCCAAGCCAGCAATGGAACCAGACAAAAGAGGAAGAGTACCTCTCAAACAAGTGTACCTCCAAAGGCTAACCATAGCCAACGAAAAGTGGAATGTGTACGACCCGACCCCAGGCCAAAAGATCTTAGCAACCGACGACAGAGTGTATCCAATGAATGCACTAGCTGCTCTCTCTACCATCGTACTACCAAAGGGTCGAGATCTGGTTTGGAAGTATGTAACCAAATGTCTCCCGCTCGTCAGGGGTGACCCAGTCGCTTCAATCTGTGTATCGTGTGGCAAAGATGAATCTTCCAAGCATTTGTTCTTTCAATGCAAGGAGACCACACTACCAGTAAAGTTACTGAAAGAGGTTACTGCTGCCAACAACATTACACCACCAGTTTGGGACATCACCCTCCTCAACCTCAAACAAACTCCAATGACTATAAACTTGGTCGCTGCAACACTAGAACGAATATGGTTCCGACGTAATGATCTACGTCACCAAAGAGATGAACCTTTCACTGAACAATACCTGCGAGCTAGATTGATAAGTGATATGCGACATATTATAAAAGTAAACTGGGACAAGACGTTAGAATTGTGTAATCGATGGCACTTGGCTCTAATGAACCAAACCGATGAATCAGTAATACATACGATTACAGAACGAATACAAACTATCATCCTTCGATTCTCCTCCAACTACAACCATCCTACTGTCTACAAGATCGCACTACCTAGTCATTTGGAGAGGTACAAGACTCTGCGTACACTACATCTATAATCGATCACCTCAACCTCATTCTTCACATCCTCCTCAACACCTTCATCTTCTTCTATTCTCTCTTCATCTATCAATAATAATATTAATAATATAATAATTTACTAAATAATAATAACATAGAATAATTATATAACACAATATTACAGCCTATAGTGCTGAGAAAAAAAAAAAAAAAAAAAAAAAAAAAAAAGCGATATCTTTAACCAATTTATTTTTAGAACAAGCAACAACCCAAAACAATCCAACATGCTTGACACTATACAATAAGATACATGATCAACGTCCATATAACATGTATCATAGACATGGACAACCCCCAGAACAAATTAACTTTAATTCTTCTCGAGATAATCTTTATTTCTTGCTGGTCAATTAAAATGTATAATTAATAAAACTTTGTAACTTCTGAGTACTACTCTTCCCGATAGGAGAGAACAGGAAAAGAATTACTTTAAAAAAAAAATTTTGTGGCCTCATTTTTAATTTCCCACCTGAGGGCAAAACAGTAATTCACCTTACTTTGAGATATCTTTAATTAAAATATAATAGAAAGGTAGGGATTCTACCATTGAATTATTGGTGCAATTTTTTGAATGATCGGGATTTTTTTTGATTTTTTTTTGATTATTTTAACACAATTTTTATCACCGGTCTCAACGATCTTTTGTCTTTTGTTCTTTATGTTTTTAATCTCTTTTACTTTCTATTTTGTAAATAGAAACACAACATATCAACTCTATACATCATCGTTTTAATCTTCTTCTAATCTTATGGACCTTAACATCAAAGAGATTGACGGACAAAGTAGATCTCTACTAATTACTCGTAATGTACTACTAGAAGATACAAACAAAGATAGATGTTATTTTCAGTATGGAATGATATCAACAATATTATTATTAAAGATAATCAATCTCATCGATGATAACTTGGATCTTATATGTCTATTGATGACATGTCGATCATTTTATAGAGACTTTATAGAAAAGTTTAAACCTACTCTACCATTCAAACATATCCCAATCATCAATGATCCACCATCCTCCTCTTCTTCATTCTCTTCCTTGTCTAAATGGATACATTTAAATAATATGGAGCACATAACCAAGAAATGTTGTTATCCAATGAAACGATTTGAATCATTATTTCAAAATGCACTGGCCAATCAAATGATTCAAGATGATTGGAATGTCTCTATTAACAGCAACACTACTCCCATTTCTAATGTACCCATCACAAAGGTATTCATTAAAGAAACAAATATCAAATACAAACCACCATCAACAACCAAGGATTTAATCTTGTACCAATGCAATCCATCAATTTTCAACGATAACCAAACAGACTGGTTACCCCCTCATTTGGAGAACCTTTTTGTTGAATCTATTGAAAGTCATACACCTCCTATGGTTAGGAATCTGCCAGATACTCTCAAATGTCTTATTGTTTCGGATAAAGATGGGTCGGGAGATATCAATCTTCCTCCTAATCTGACTACCCTTGGCCTAGAATTTATTAAAAATCTAAGCTTGGTGCATGGACTGTCAAACCACAAGAACCTTACAACACTTCATGTTGATTGCCTCACATCAATTGACAAGTATTTTCAATTCCCACCTACATTGACCAACCTCTCCATCGAATACATCCAATCTCCAGACGGTCTCCCGCTCATCTTTCCATCATCATTGGTATCACTTTCTGTTTATTCATCGACTCTATTATCTCTAGACAATCTATTGTCTCTAGAGACACTAGAGATAAAGGGTGGTTACAACAACACTCCAGTCATCAAGAATCTTCTCAAACTAAAACATCTCAAATGTAAAGTCCGGTACCTCACAACTGATTTACCATCATCATTGGAATCTTTAAAATTATCAGAAACCTCAAATATAGTAGATTCAAAGTATGGAGCTTTACCCAGTGGTTTAAAGAAAATTAAAATCATATACTGTGAGGACACATTCATTCCCAAAACTCTATTTTCCCATTGTACACAACTGGAAACACTAAAAATTGATATTGGCAATGCAGATCGATTCCACTATATATAGATTCAATTAAATATTTAACAATCCTAGATGAAAGTGATTGTTTTGACATTGAAACACCAATTAGACTACCAAGGAATTTGATATCATTAAAATCAAATTGTAATTTAAATCTTCAACTTTCATTACCACCAACACTCACTAAATTATGTGTACCTAGATTCACAGGAATTACCTCTATTCCATCTTCAATTCGATTTTTAAGAACAAGTACAATCTCTGAACCACAAAATGGACAATGTATTGAAAGGTTTAGTGACAATACCGAGCATAGCCTTATTCTACCATCAAATATAGATAGATTAGATTTGGATTTAGATTTATTTGAACCTCTTCGAATTGATGATATCCTATTTCAAACAAATATCACTCGGCTCAACATTTACAGATTCAACAAGGAAAAGATTCCATTTCAATTCCAAATTAGAAGATTATCAAAAGATACAAGTATCATGATTGAGAGTAAAACTTCATTTGGTGGATTCATTCAATTTAAACAATCTAGAAATCATATTTTATCATTAGAATCTTGTCTCTTAACAATCAAATCATATGATTATGAAAACTAAAAATATTAAAATAAATAAGTAGTATTATAATTACTTTTTTTTTTGGAAACCTTTGACAAGCGCTCTTGTCTTTTTTTTTTTCTATTTCATTTTTCATCTTTGCAAAGAAAGATATAGAGAAAAGAGATGAAAGAGAAAAAGAATTCATTACAAATGATATTTAATCATTCCTATCTTAGAAGATTGATATTCAATCATGTTAGTTCTATTCACAAACAATTAGAGATTACAACTGTTAAAGTATCATCACTTTATACTCTGATTGATTATATTCGATATGGTTTGAATGATATATTCTTTAAACATATAGATCAACTTTGGAGTTTAATGTTTGAATCATCTGATGGTATTTATAGAAATAATGATGTACGTTAATACTGTTCTAAACTATCCTATTTTAATGTAGACTAATCAAATAACTATCTATTTTTTGTTTTTAGAAAATAATAAGAATTATTTCATCAACTATCTATTATTCAAATGATAGAGTATTAGAATACCTTTTGAATAGAATTAAAAAAGAGATTGGACCATTTCAAACAATGGTTACTGTCAATTTCAAAGAATCAAAAGAGGATGAAGAGAAACGTTCAAGATGGGATTGGTTCGGATACGTCGAGTGTTTACCAAAAGGGATATTTGATTTATTGGTAGATGATAATGTATTTATAGAATCTAAAGTGTTGTTGCATAGAATGGTACAAACTGCAATCATGGTCGTTGGAGATGTAAATATCATTCAAAACCTATTTAAAAGATACCATCTTTTAAACATTCAATCATTGTTTTTACAACAACAAGAAAAAGACAATCAACAACAGTCTCTTCTAGACAAAATGTTTGATGAAAAGAATGATCTAGAATTGATAGAGATTTGTCAACTTGTTAAAAGGTTAAATCTAAAAGTAGATGGTGTGGAATCGGTCATTTTACAAGCACTGAAACAAGACCGCTATAAAGTCATTCAATTCATGGACCGTTTTTGTAAATATTCTTATCGAGAGGTACTCGTAGAGAACGCGGCTATCAGAGAGAATGCTAGAAAGAGTGAAATCTATACTCGTCATTCAAATGGACAAAGCTACCAATTAATGGACAAGATCAAAAAGAATGGTACAGACCTTGATTTTATTCAATATGTTTATCAGAGAAAAAACAACCACAATGACTATCTCATATTTCAACTAGAAAGATGGGTCATTTCAAAAGCATTGGTCAATGGTGAAGAGGATGTTATCAAATTTGCACTAAACAACAATCAAAGGAAAAAGAATGATATATTTGATCAAATACTTGATCTTTATATACATCCAGTATTTTGTTCGCGTCACTATATTGATATTTTTTCAAATCTAAAAGTTGCTTCACCACAAATTATTAGATCAACACTCTTGCACGCTCCAAAAGGTAGAAAACTAGATGAACTAGAATATCTTTTAACAACTCAAATGGCCAACAAACTTTTTATTGATTTGGCAGATTCAATTGCAGCAATCATTGAATTGGGTGATGATATGACATCCCATATGATCAGTCGATTCGAAGATTATGTATTTCAAAATCCAATAGTATTTCAAACTCGAATGGATTCAATTAAAAAGTATACCTGTCAAGAGTATCCACAAAGACAAAGATTTATATTGGAATTGGAAAGGATACTCAAAACACCACACTTGCCTAATATTGGTGATGAAGATTTTGGTGACTGGATTCTCCCACCGTCACTTGTGCTTTGTCTTTCAAGAATGGCTCAATATCAAACTCAAACCTATTTTTTCCTTTGTAGTGCTGCAATGTCAAATAACTTTGTCCTCTACAAACAAGCTTATGACATACTTTCAATGGTTTATCTCAATCCCAATGATCAATTGATTGAAATCCTTGCAATGATTATCAATGCTTGTCATTATGAATTTGCAAAAGAATTCTTAAATTTCCATTCATTATTATTGGAAGAAACTTCAATCAATCAATTTAAAAATTCAATCAATACTTTTTTCAAATTATATTTTAAAATTAAAAAAGAAAAAGAAGATTATAGATATCAACAACTTGCTGATGATATTTTAAAAGTAGTACCAGAATATATTAGATCTGAAATAATCTATTATGCAACTGAATTGAAAGATGATCAATTTAATTCAATTTGGATTCAATATTCAAATGATTTGGATTTAAATGAATGGTTATCAAATCCATCAAAACATTACAAACAATTAAAATATGATCAAAATTTTTTTAATCATTTACAAAGAATTTATAGATATTTTAGACAAGATCAATTAGATAAATATCAATCAATTATAAATAGATTAAACGCGCCTCCATTACATTTAGAATATATTGGAATATTAAATCAATGTTTAGATAAATATTATTTCAACTCTACAAACAACAACAATTTCAACAAAGATAATAATAATAATAATAGTATAGTTAATAATTATACTTTAAAAGAATATAATCATTTTATTGATAAAGCATTAGAAATTGGTTTCATCCCTATTCATTTTAAAAAATAAAATTCTTGGTAATTTAATTATTTTTTTATTCAAACTTCAACTCTTGACCCCATACCTTTCATTTTGTTTGTGTATTGAAATATTTGTTGTCTCTATATCCCTTCACAGTAACAATCACATTCATATACAATTTAATTATATTATTATTTATGGCACCTAATAAAGAGACTGAAAAGACAACATGTTATATCGATAGAAAGAAACCAAACAACGTTACTATCCTATGAAACCATTTGAAGAATTATTTCAAAAAGTAAAGGCCAATCTAATGATTCAAGATTATGATGGAAACAGTGATTGTTAGATTCAGATTGTAAATTAAAGTACAGTTCAATGATTAGTCAATGATATTTCATCTAATTATCAACATACTTAATCCTGGTGCCAAATATAGAAAGTATGCTGGATAAAATACTAACGACTAAACTATTGTCGGTTAGTCGTCTCGAACAACAAACTATAAAAGACCAATGAAATCAATAAACATTAATTCATCTTTTATTATTATAATTAAATAATCATTTACAATCTAATCTAAAGACATTATTACTATCTATATATTCATATATCTATATATTATTATTATTATATACCTCTCAACTAATTATATATTTACCAAGTATCTATATAGTTATTACATGGTGGACTACGAAAAACAACCGAAATTACTATATATAGAAACTCATTTTAAATTTTTTTTAATTTTAAATTTTTGAACTTTTTAAATTTTCAAACCTCATTAATCGTACAATGAGTAACGACAACATTCAACAACGTAGACGACTCACACTCGCTCCTGCTCCTAATCTAGAGGAATTGCAGCCAAAGGAATCAGTGCCAACCGGCCCAGAGAATAAAGTCAAGCATTACCTATTGGAAAACAATGATTATCGAATGACCGATGATGCTTTTGTAAAGAGTGTAGCCAGTTTTCTTAGTGTATCATCCAACTCAGTCGAAGAGATCATTCACTCTCTTGGAAAGGATTTCGACAAAGCATTGTGGTGTAATGGTACTGGTAAAATCCTGTTCAACAGCATCGAGACCATCAGCAAATGTGATGATGTAGCCCACTGGCTCGATCAAATCGATATTTCAATACCTGGTCCTTACCAAGTGTATGTCGCTCACACAATTCCGTTATGATACCAAGTGGACGGTCTCGTCATTTACAAATGCTTTCACCATCATTGCTGGTCGTGTTTACGAAAATAATGACAATCGAAGTTTTGTACTTGGCGTACAAAAATGCATTTTACAATGTCAAGACCATCTATAAGGAATTACAAGAAAGAACCATGGATTTTGTTCAAATGAGATCCGTCGCTATCTCGCTTAGTTCTACCGTCGCTCCTAACGGTCATCGTCAAATAAATGTACCAGAGTTCAACTATGGTGATCCATTAGGTTGGTTATCTGGACTGTACTACAGATCTGACAACAACAACAACAACAACAACAGCAACAACAACAAAAGAAAACACAATCATTTAGTCAATCAAGATCTATCAAAAATCAAATGTTTCAACTGTCAGCGATTTGGTCACAAAGCTGATGTCTGTCGTGACAACAGAAACAATCAACACGTCGACAAGAAATCAAGAGATACCAAGCAATGCAATATTTGTCGTAGTAGTGAACATTGGACAAACCAGTGCCCTCGAAATAAATCGTCATCCATGACCTGTGTCTCTGACACTTTACCTTACCTCTACATTTCTATCAACTTTGATTCTAATCTTATTAAAGCAAAAGTTGATACTGGCAGTGAGATTAACTTTATAGATTTTAGATTAGTTCCAAAGGAGATGGTCATGACTAGTGACTTGTTTGTTACTGGGGTAAATGGTCATACAGTTCCATCGTTGGGACAAGCAAGCGTTCCAGTCATTTTCACAAGTAACCGTGGTCAAATAACTCGTAAGATCAACTTTGAACTTACAGACAGAGCTGGTCTTTGCCTACTTGGAATTGACACAATCATGTCATGCAAAGCTAGTTTTGGCGAAGGTAATTCTAAGCTAGAAATGAATGACGCAACTGGAAACACACATATCATCAATCTATCTCGGGACGTCAAGAGTCCAAGTTTAACAGTCGATGAAAGTAAATCGTACAAAAACAACATCAAGAAAGTGTATCAGACACTATTGTCAAAGAATGACCCTATCAATGGTATCCAAAAGATTGTGAAAGAATTGGATAATGTTACCACAAACATAGCAGATGGATTAGGAAATATTAGTAACGATATGGATTGGCAGGAAACAGTCAAGTCAGAATTAAATCGTAACCAAAGAAGAATGCTCAACAGATGTATGGCTCCAAGAATAAAGAATTCAATCTCTATTGTGGATAACGAAGCAGAGGTGGTCAATGAAGATATGAAAGATGTATCAAATGTGGCACTTGTGTTTATCAGTCATAATGACTCAGTGGAAACAAAGGAATGTAACATTACAACCACCTAATTATTGCTTTCAACGTGTTCATATAGACGTTATTACTGGTTTACCTAATGCTAAATATCATGGTAAAACAGTAAATGCTTTGTTAGTAGTTGTCGATGCGCTATCTAAAATGAATCGTTTAATACCTACCACAACTACTCTTAAATCACATGGTGTAATATCTCTATTCAATCGAGAGATATTCAAACTGCATGGTTTACCAAAACAGATCATCTCTGATTCTGACTCGAAGTTCACCTCGAAATTATTTAAAAAATTAGAGGCAATGTACAACATCAAAATTAACCATAGCAACCCAACCCACCATCAGAGTAATGGACAAGTAGAGCGTATGATAAGAACTATAGAAAATATCATTAGAAAAGATTTATTACAAAGTAGTGTAGAGAATCACAAAGTATCATGGGCAGAGTGCATTGATAATATCGAATTTGCTATCAACAATACAGTACATTCAACAACTGGTTATTCTCCTTTTACTATTTATCTCGGATCAAATCCTTTATCTCCTCTTAATCTACTAGACACTTTTACACCAAACTTCAATGATAACACAGATATCAAAATAACAGAGAATCATAAATTGAAAGAGATAATAAGAGACATAGTTATAAAGAGAATTAACGAAGGCAATGCAATCAGCAAAGCAAGATATGATCACAACAAGGTAGAGAATAATATTAAATCTGGTGATTTGGTTTATGTGCGTCGTGACAGAGATACACACATAAATAAGACAGAACCTATCTATTCTGGTCCTTTGTTAGTAAATGGAGTGGACACTCGTGGAAATGTCGAAGTTAAAGATTATGTGGCGGGAGCAGATGGTTCGACGTCAAAGGACTTATTGGTTAATCCTAGATTTATCAAAACGTTGAAACCATTATTGGCTACAGGAAATCCCGTTCATACGGAAGGTGCTGAGAATGCACAAGGAAATCCCGTTCATACGGAAGGTGCTGAGAATGCACAAGGTTATCCCGTTCATACGGAAGGTGCTGAGGATGCACAAAGTTATCCCGTTCATACGGAAGGTACGGAGAACGTACAAGGTTATCCCGTTCATACGGAAGGTACGGAGAACGTACAAGATTATCCCGTTCATACGGAAGGAGCTCAAGGTGCACGTGACAATTTGGATGGACGAGTCGGTGACGATCGAACTCTGTATCAAGATTTAAATAAGATTCAATCGACATTGCAAGGACAAGGTGTAACCGGTGGAGACCAAGGAATAGTGAGCCAGGCGCCAGGCGACATCTATGACGACGTCCCAAATACGGCTGACTGGACCAAGCAAAGAGTTGTGTTGAATGATACTCTTAAAAAGGTAGAAGAGAGTATAGGTAAAGGTAAGAATAAACTACAGGTTAAAGATAATAATAGAGTTATAGGAAAAGAAGATATCGTCATCACCAATTACAATATTTCAAAGATAAATTATGACGATATCAAAATCAACTTTATAGAAATATTACATCAATACAGACAACAACTATCCTCCCCAACTACAACTAAATATTTCAATATGAAAGAAATGAACTCAATTAGAATCATACAATCATTACAACAAAACAACAATGATTCCCCAACAAAAGATATAGTCAATAGTATTGGAGTAATCACAAGCAGAGCATGGTTGAAACCTCTGTTTATCGTCAAGTCAAAGAGAACATTCAAGTATCAAGGAAATGGACGTAGTAGAACGGAATATCTCATTAATATCAACGATTGTGAGGTATGGATGCCAAACGATCTAGTTAATCAACAACACGTCCGGGCCGTATCAAAGACTCAACAAGTATCCCTAGCCATTGTATCCACCGGTAAGGTTTTTAGCCCAGGTTGCAGTGACCAAGTGTTGCAACCATGGTTTTCCTACCATCTCAACAAGCGTGGTACGTGGGACTCGGTCACAATTTAAGAAGGGAGAATGTTAGATTCAGATTGTAAATTAAAGTACAGTTCAATGATTAGTCAATGATATTTCATCTAATTATCAACATACTTAATCCTGGTGCCAAATATAGAAAGTATGCTGGATAAAATACTAACGACTAAACTATTGTCGGTTAGTCGTCTCGAACAACAAACTATAAAAGACCAATGAAATCAATAAACATTAATTCATCTTTTATTATTATAATTAAATAATCATTTACAATCTAATCTAAAGACATTATTACTATCTATATATTCATATATCTATATATTATTATTATTATATACCTCTCAACTAATTATATATTTACCAAGTATCTATATAGTTATTACAGTGATGTATCATTTCACAGTGATTCTGTACCCATTACAAAAGTATTCATGAAAGAAACTGACTCAAAGGAAACCACCATCAACAACCAAGGATTTAATCTTGTACCAAAGCAATCCATCAATTTTCAACGACAACCAAATAGACTGGCTACCCCCTCATTTGGAGAATCTCTATGTCGATTTTATTGATTATGATGGGGAACAAGGTCCTCCAATCATTAGGAATCTACCATATAAAGTAAAATATCTCGTTGTTGAAGGTGAATTGGAAGAAATCTATCTTCCTCAAAGTCTGACCACCCTTGCAATTGATTCTATTCAAAATCTCAGACTTTTACATGGACTGTCAAACAACAAGAACCTTACAACACTCTTGATGTATAGCGCAACCATAACACCAACAGACTCTACTTTCCGATTCCCAGACACATTGACCAACCTCTTCATTGAAGACATCAAACCTCCCACCAATTTCCTCTTCCGGTCGTCATTGATTAAACTTTCTTTTTTTTCCCAACCCCTAATATCTCTAGACAATCTACAAAATCAATACCCCACCATTCCAGTCATCAAGAACCTTCACAAACTAAAACATCTCAATTTATCACCATGGGATGTCCAGTACCGTACATTTGATTTCCCACCATCATTGGAAACTTTAGAATTATCTCATACCAACAATATATATGATATAGGGAATTGCGTACTTTTACCTAGTTTAAAGGAAATTTCAATCCATTCCAATAGAAGAAAAAGACTTCCAGAACCTCTATTTTCCTCTTGTACACAACTGGAAACATTAAAAATAGATATTGGCAATGCAGATCGATTCCACTATTTAGAATCGATTCAACATTTAACAATCTTTAATGAGTGTAATTGGTTTGAAAGTAAAACACCAATTCGACTACCAAAGAATTTGGTATCATTAAAATCATATTGTAATTTAAATCTTCAACTTTCATTGCCACCAACACTCACTAAATTATGTGTACCTAGATTCACAGGAATTACTTCTTTTCCATCTTCTATTAGATTTTTGAGAATGTCGACCAAACTTCTCCCAAATGGCACACAATGTTTTGATATTGACAACAATAAGGTTCTCCCTTCAAATGTAGATAAGCTAGATTTGGATTTGGTATCAGCTTATCCCCTCAGAATTGATGATATCCTATTTCAAACTAATGTCAGTAGACTCAACATTTACAAATTGAATCAAGGAGAAGCTGAGATGCCATTCTATTTCCAAATAAGAAGATTATCAAAAGATTCTTGTATCATCTTGGAAAAGAAAAGATTCGTTGGTGGGATCATCCAATTTAAATAATCTCCAAATCAAATTTTATCATTAGAATCTTGCCTCTTTAAAATCAAAGCATATAACATTTAAATAAATAATTAATTTTGAAAACTACTTTTTTGTTTATTTATTAAAGAGTTTTCTTAAAAGTAGAACCAATTGGACCAACTTTAATATTTGAATAGATTACATAGGCATCTGGATATTTTGATTCAACAGTTGTTGGAACACCCGATGTAGCTGAACAAGGACCACGAGCAACACCTGGCTTATCGATAGAGGCAGTGGTGGGGTAGGAACCGTCGAGCCACAACATGTCGGCAAAATAATCATCCCAAAGACTGAGAACAAGGACCATTCCATCTTTTAATGCTTTACCCATTCCAGCAAGACCTCCGTGTTGAGTAAAAGAATCTTTATCTCCAAATACTTGTTTTTGTTTGGTACAAAAATCGTCGGTGATGCCACCACCCGTTAGACCTGGGATGGTTGATTCAGATTGACTAATGACCTTTCCATTTTGAACATACAATCTCTTGATGGCAGAAAGAGTACCGGTTGGTGAACCGTCGGTAGTAACAAATTGAGTGACGACAGTGAATACAGAACTAGTGTCTACTTGGAGACCAGGTCCATAGAATGAATGGTTGCCCATACGGTATGGATTGAAATCACATCCATCTGGATCACAAATCGATGCATATCTATCGGCCGAAGCACTACCACCACATTCATCACCATTGCATAGGGTTTGTTGAGATATGTCACATGGATGAGGTGTAAATGCATTTGACATTTTGTTTGCTTCCCAAAGATCCATTTCAGCACAACAACTACCATACCCTCCAACTCCTGTATTTGGATTATTTGATGATGGTACCCATCCTTTACAATTTCCCTAAAAAGATATTAAATTAATACAATATATATATTTTGTTTTTTTGTTTTTTTTTTTAAAAACATACTTGACCAGAAATAAATTTTAAATCTCTTGGGCATTGAGCATCACAATAACCAGTACCATACTTTGCACCGGCAGAGTTGGCAGGGAAACGAGTCATACCTCCATCACTGTCCATTGATACTAGGTAGAGGGCACCATTGAGACCACAATCCAATTTGCTAACATCTACATCAAAGCTAAACTCTTGACCCAACAGATAAAACATTTGATAGTTTGTGGCATTGGACATGAGAAAGAGACGTGAACCAATGTTTTTGCCTTGACCTTGAGTGATAAAGTTGAGACGGACGGCACTAGAGTCAGTGGTGACACCATAGACACTTTGGTATTGGGCACCTTCGAGTGAACAGTTTTGAGAGCATCCAACACCATCGGTACAAAAGGTTGGATTCCATGTGTTGCCAGTGTAGCAGTTGGTGCCTTGGTCAGAATGAACCCATCTCCAATTGGCGTCAATCACAACCTCTCCCTTTATAGTATCACACTTTCCAGTAGCATCACATTGTTGCCAGGTTATAGGTGGGTGAACTTCTGGATTCAACTTTCCAGCTTTTTGGCAAAATACAATATTTGTAAATGATAACAAAGTTGTAAAAAATAATAAGAAAAAGATTTGTTGATACATAATTTAAATGATAGTTTATATATAGATAGATGTGTGAGATATATAAAAAGTGATAGAGTTTGAATCATTTAAATAGTATGTGTCATTGAAATAGAAAGAGAAAATTAAAAAACAAATTTGATTGAAAGGACCAATGAAAAAGTTTTCCTCTTTAACCGACAATCGTGCGAGTTTGACTTGATCCAATCAAAAAAAAAGAATGTTTCATTTGATCCATTTTCATGTGAACTATACAATTTATACGAATACATTGCTTTGTTATGATTCGTCAAATTGAACAAATCTCTTTCTTGTAGTTTGTTGTTTGTGCAGTTTGTGCAACTTTCAAACTAATTATTGTTTAATGTAAAAGAGTTAGGTTAATTGAATTAAATGATTTTCAAGTATAGATATTAGTACAGTACTTCTAACCTTTCTGTTCATTAAGTAGTTATCAGTCTTTGTTATTGTTTGAATTATCCACCATTATATTAATAAAATAATAAAAAGTGAACAACAACAGTTTTTTGTAAATATAAAATGACAGGTTGAGAATGATCACCTCTATGGTTGGCTATTTGAAACTTTTTTTGTTTTTTTTATTTTTCAAAAGTTGCTGGTTGGGGGAGCAAACGGAAAGGACTATCTCTTTTTCATATATATTGATTAGGTGAGTTTTGACATTGATGAGTGATATACATGTGATCCTTTAAAAAAAAGAGTCAAAAAATCGCGTCAAAACGCGAAAATAAAAAATTGGTATCATCAAAAATTGCTCGTTTAGCTCAGTCGGTAGAGCACGGTGCTAATAACGCCGCGGTCGCAGGTTCGATCCCTGCAATGAGCAATTGTATTGCTGTTATCTATGCTGCCGCTGCCTCCGAGGTTTTCTCCGATTTCATTTTTTTGTCACCCCCTGTATTCTCCACACTATTTCCTACATATTTATCCAATTTTCATCAATTTCCATCAAATTCTGATCTAAAAAAAAAAAAAAATAATTGGTAAATATTTTTTTATATTTCCTACTTGTGTTCCTGTGTTTCCTTTTATTTATTTCTATCAAATCCCTAAATCATCATTAAAACATACTGCGGAAAAAAATCTACAACATTCCATTTTAATTATATAAAATTTTAAAGTTTTGTTTTTTTTGATTTTGAAGTATGGTAAAATTTCATGAAGAGAATTTATTATTATTACTATTCTCCATCAATCTTATCTACATGACAACAAACAATATTGTTGTAACAACAGAAGAATGCAGTCAAATGATCAAGATGTATTAGACTTGGTACACATGATATGCGATGATATCGATAACAATGTATGTACATTGTTTGTTTAGTATTATATATATGATGAAATTATTAATAATATTTGTTTAATATAGAATGCTTTTTATTCATTGTTAAAGTATCTTGCAGTTGGAAGAGGTCATTTCAAGACGGTGAATCAGGAATGCCTACTACCCTTTTTAAGCAATGAAACAAAGATTGAAATACGATCATTGATACTTGATGCTTTTGAAAAGCAGGGTTATCAACCATTTACTAAATCAAATTTAAAAGATATAATTGAATTATTATTAACTAATCGTTGTATGTATTGTATATATAGTAAAGCGATAGTGAAAGGAATGAATAAAGTGACTAATCATACAAACCTTTTATTTAAAAAAAAGATAAACAAGATAGTGACGATGAAGAGATATTTAGATTTGGTATTATTAAATGGGTTGATAGTATGTTAAAGGAACCGAGCAATCATAAGTTTAATTTGGGTCGAGCATTCAATAGATTGATATCAACATCTACAATTGACTCTGTATGGGTTGCATTGTCAAAGATTCGACAATCATCTCGATCATCACTGGTATTTGAAACATTGGATACTATTTGGAGACTACATTATAAAAATATTGGATATACTATTGGAGAAAAAGAGATCTCAAGTTTTATATCAATATCAAAACACTATCAACTATTTAATGATCAAAATGCTTATAACCAACAACAACAACAACAACAACAACTACCACTACTATTACTATTACTACAAGAGATTACAGAAAGTATTTATACAAATATGCCACCTCAATCAAACCTATGGAGGAACAAAGATTTTCAAGTGTTTTTTAAACAAACGATTGGTGTTTTATTTCAAAGTGCCTATAAAGAAGATACCTTTATTCCACAACGATTTGAAAAAGATTATAGTCGATTCATGGTTGATTGGAATAGTCAAAACTATAGTGAGCCAAACATAGCACCAAAATCAAGATTTGGATTTCTTGCATTTATTAAATGGGATGATCAGACTCTTACAACTATTTCCGAATATCTCCAAGTATTTTTCAACAATTGTTCAACATCATGGAAAGAGAAATTAATTTTTCTTGGGATATTAAACCAAATCAAGGATATTGAACTAGTATTATTACAACCCAATTCCATTCTACTCACAATGTATGTAGTTGTATTTTTTTTTTATCAGTCAAATTTAATTTATTTTTTATTAATAATGATTTAAAGAATTTCAAATTTAATAATAGAACCACAAGACAATATTCTTGTTTATTACGAGTTGTTGGGATTACTTTTAAAAATTGAAATGGACGTCATTTTTCAATTCCAATCTATCATTCAAGCGTTTTTGGAACGTATCATCAATCATCAAGACCCTATACAACCTCGTATACTATTTACTCTTTGTCAACATTTTAAAAGTATCAAAACAAAATTCAACCCAAATCAAGATTTTATTGATCGATTGTTTGAAAAATCGTTAAAATCAGATCACCATTATACCTTTACATCTGCAAAAACATTGATTATACGACAACCATTTCTAGTAAGTACATATAATCAAAAATGTATACTTTTAATTAATTTCTATTGTTTTTAGTTTAGTACAAGATTATCAGATAGTATTATTGGGTTATTACATGGACCCGATATAAATCAAGATACTCTTGATCTGGTAATCCATTATTTCATAAGGGTTGAAAATAGAGCCATTAAAAAAAAAAATTTAAATATGATCTCTCAACAATTATTGGCACCAGGATTTATCAACAAACATATGACGAATCAATTTATCAATGTTTATTTGTTTGATTGGATATGCCTTGGAACGGTTGGAAAAGGTGCAGTTATTTATCTTCCAGCAATCATAAAGACAATCACATCCTACCCATTCTACTCCTCCAACCAAGATCGACTTGTTAGATTGTGTAACCTATTCCCAGAGAATATACATTTATACAATAATGTTTTGGTTCCTCGGGCTATTGGCTTGTACCGCCAGAGTGTCAATGGCTCAACTCTCTTATTGAGTATATTTTCAATCTATTGTCAATACCACCACAACAAATCAGAAACAACCAATCAATTATTTGAACAATTATTCGAATTATTCCTCACGGTTGACGACACAGCTACGCCAGTTAAAAGTTTGATTAAACATGCAAAACAGGCAGGCATTTCACTAAGCATTGGACAAAAAAAACGAATCATTGATTGGATTAAAAGTGGAACCGCCCAAACCCATCAACCCCTTCACCAATATAGTCAAAAACAAGCCCTTAGAAAATACTCTAAACTCATTTATCAATTGGCATTATTAGATTGCGATGATGATGATAATTTGGTAGACTATTATTTAGAAATTTCAATATATCATGTCGAAAAAATGTTGGACAATATTAAAGCCACATTAAAAAATGCAGTACGTAATCTCGTTTCAATCATTTCCCACTTTTATAAATTACTCCAATCAATTCCATTCTCTTGTCGAGCAAAGAATATTTGGTCTGATCATTTCAAAAAATATCTAAATACCAATTTTACAAGTCGAATTACTTTAAATTCATTTTTATTCTTGACTAAATTAAATGAAAATACAAACAATAAAATAAATAAAATATAATTTTTTGTACAAATAAAACGACTATATAAAATATTCTATTTCGATTTTACAAAATAGAACATTTTGATTTATTTACTTTTTTAGTTTTGGAGATTGGATTAATATGAACTCTAATACATTCATCGAAAACATCCTTTAAACCTCTTTGAGTGTATGATGAACATTCAACATAGGATTGTGCACCAATTTGTTTGGAAAGTTCCAACCCTTGTTCAAAGGTTACTGGTACTTGTTGTTTTTGACGAAGGTATTCCAAAGTAGCTCTATCACTTCTTAAATCAACTTTGGTTCCAACTAAAACAATGGGAGCATTTGGACAATGATGTTGTACCTCTGGAGACCATTTGGATCGTACATTTTCCAAAGATGATGGTGCAATCACACTATAACAAACCAAGAAAACATCGGTCTGTGGATATGATAGTGGTCTAAGACGATCATAATCTTCTTGACCAGCTGTATCCCAAAGTCCCAAATTATATGCTTTACCATCCAACATTACATTACTACTATAATTATCAAATACTGTTGGAATATATTCACCTTTATAGAAATAATAAATGTAGAATAAATAATGTAAATAAAATATTGAAATTAAAAAATAATAATATTTAAAAATTTTAATTATTACCTGGGAATGAATTGGTGGTATGGGATATAAGGATACATGTCTTTCCAACAGCTCCATCACCGACTACTACTATTTTAATTGATTGCATGATTATTATTATTACTTTTAGATTAAAAATTTAATTTTAAAGATTGATATTTGTTTGTTGCTTTTAAAAAATATAATATTTTATTATTATAATATTTTATATTTTTTATTTGTTTTATTTATGATTTGATTGTTTTAAATTTGATGATATTAAACAGACGAGTGATCATACCTTTATATCAAACATACTATTCTATTTTTGGTTTTATTTTTTATGTACTTTTTTTGAACAAGTTGTTTTTTACTTTTGGAAAATTTTTTCACCGAATCGTCAGCACTGAAAATTTTTGTTGTGATAGAAATCATTCGATTTGTTTCAACATCAATAGATAACATATACCAGAATTTGTATGTCTCTCTCTTAAACCTAGATATATCTATGTAATGAATATATAAACTTACATACATTTACATTACTTTATTGTTACTAGTACTTTTTTAGAAGAGGAAGAGCGTGCTACTTGTGAGTTAGTTGATCTTATAATTTGTCTAATAAGCTTCGAAAGTAACTTGCTCAAGTTGTGTATTTGATGGATGAATCGTGTGAAGAGGACTTGCAAGTTGAGACGATAGACGTACCTACTACTCTTACTTTAAAGGAAGGTGGTTATGATTGGTCATTCATACCAATGCATATGATCAGTCTAGCAACAACGACTTCTCCTTCATCTCTAAAGATACTGTTTGGATAACTATACTTTAAAAGGATGGACGTCTGGTGATGACAAGTTTGTATTTATCAGACGTTCTTGGGATCACTTATCAATTACGACGGTCAACAATCGATTGAAAACCATTTAGAGACGGCAATACAGGAGTGTGGATTTGGGAATGGCCATTGGCAAGTACAATCAAGTCTAGTCACCTGAATCACTTGGACCACTAAACAAGAAATGTAATTTTAAAAAACTATTAAAATAATAATTATAAAGTTTTAAAAGTATGTAAACATATTGTAACTCAAATAGAGGGACCTTGTTATTTATTAAAAAAATAATTAATTCTACCTGAATTAATTTATTAATTATTTATTATTTACAAAACTTCTATTATTATTATTAATTCTATTATTGATTTTACAAAATAGAACATTTAGATTTCTTTACTTTTTTAGATTTGGAAATTGGATTAATATGAACTCTTATACATTCATCGAAAACATCCTTTAAACCTCTTTGAGTGTATGATGAACATTCAACATAGGATTGTGCACCTATTTTTTTGGAGACTTCCAAACCTTGTTCAAAAGTAACTGGTACTTGTTGTTTTTCACGAAGTAGTTCCAAAGTAGCTCTATCATTTCTTAAATCTACTTTGGTTCCAACTAAAACGATTGGTGTATTTGGACAATGATGTTGTACCTCTGGGATCCATTTAGATTTAACATTTTCCAAAGATGATGGTGAAATGGTACTATAACAAACCATGAAAACATCGGTCTGTGGATATGATAGTGGTCTAAGACGATCATAATCTTCTTGACCAGCTGTATCCCAAAGTCCCAAATTATAACATTTTCCTTCCAACATTACATTTGTACTATAATTGTCAAATACTGTTGGAATATATTCACCTATAGAAATATAAATATAAAATGTATAATAAATATTATTAGTTTAATTGTTCAAATAATTTTAAGAATCTAATTAAATAATGAATTATTACCTGGGAATGAATTGGTTGTATATGAAATAAGGATACATGTCTTTCCAACAGCTCCATCACCGACTACTACTATTTTAACTGATTGCATGATTATTATTAATATCTATTATTAATTTAAAATTATTACTTAAAAGATGAATAAAAGATATCTTGTGTTTTTGATATGATATGAAGATGATTGTTGGGGGATGATATTGATATATAAAAAATATTATTGTTGTGCTTAAAATATAATATTTATATTTTTATTTGTTATTTGTATGATATGATGATATTAAACAGCCAAGTGATCACACCTTTTATATTGTCGAACACCCTTCTATTTTTGGGTTTGTTGACTTTTTGCGCATGGTTTAGCTTTTTGAAAAATGTTTTCATCGAAACGACATCACGGAAAATTTATGATCAGTCGATTTGTCTCTGCATCAACAAACAAACAAATAAAGAAACATATCTGAATATTTGTATGTATCTTAAGTCTAGATATCAATGTAATGAATATAAACCCTAACATACACAATTACTTTGTTATACTTGAATTGATCACGGATCGTATTTAGACACTAAACTTGTATATTTGAATGATGATGATATTACAAAGGAAATGTTATGATTAAAAGTCTAACAGCAACTTCTTCTTGAGATCACTGTACTTTCAGTTCAGCTCTAGTAGAGACTAGTATGGATAGTCGTCCCAATCAAAATATCTTTAGTAGTAGACAATGGTCGTAGTATAGCTGAATGTGTCAGGTCTACGTATTCAATGACAATCATTTCATATTTGACCTATCTCTCCATCCTACCTCGGCCACTCACTCGTCATCTGTTCATTTGCAAATAAGAAATAGCTCTCAACAAAAAGGTAAATATTATTTATAATTTTAATAATGTTATTTTATAAAAAATAATTAATTCTACCTGAATTAATTTATTTCTTTATTATTTATTATTTACAAAAAACTATTTCTATTATTCTATTATTATTATTAATTCTATTATTGATTTTACAAAATAGAACATTTTGATTTCTTTACTTTTTTAGTTTTTGAAATTGGATTGGTATGAATTCTAATACATTCATCAAAAACATCTTTTAAACCTCTTTGTGTGTATGCAGAACATTCAACATAGGATTGTGCACCGATTATTTTGGAAAGTTCCAAACCTTGTTCAAAAGTAACTGGTACTTGTTTCTTTTCGCGAAGGAGTTCCAAAGTAGCTCTATCATTTCTTAAATCAACTTTGGTTCCAACTAAAACAATTGGTGTATTTGGACAATGATGTTGTATTTCTGGGAACCATTTCGATCTGATATTATCCAATGATGGTGGTGAAATGGTACTATAACAAAGCATAAAAACATCGGTTTGTGGATATGAAAGTGGTCTAAGACGATCATAATCTTCTTGACCAGCTGTATCCCAAAGTCCCAAATTATATGCTTTTCCTTCCAACATTACATTTGCACTATAGTTATCAAATATGGTTGGACAATATTCACCTATAATATAATAAATACTATTAGTTTAAAAACTCCTAAAATGTTTTTTAAATAATTTAATTAATAATTAATTACCTGGGAATGAATTGGTGGTATATGAAATAAGGATACAAGTCTTTCCTACAGCTCCATCACCTACTACTACTATTTTAATTGATTGCATGATTGTATTATTACTTTTGATTATTATTCTTTAAAAAAAAAGGATATGAGTATTTATAATTATATATTTATATAATTTTATATTTGATTGTGTTTTAAATTGATGATATTAAACAGACGAGTGATCATACCTTTATATCAAACATCCATACCTATTTTTGGTGTAGCTGACTTTTGAGAACAACAAAGCTTGCTTTTTGAAAATTTTTTCACCGAATCGTCAGCACTGAAAATTTTTGTTGTGAAATTTTGTGGAGGAAATGGAAAAATTAAAGAGGGAAACAGGAACTGGATGGCATCTGGATGGTATCTTTTAAAGATCTAATAAGAAAACAAACAATAATTATTACAAATACAATAGAGAAATATTATTATATAATATAAATAAATAAACTTTTGTTTATTATTATTACTATTAAAAAAAAAAAAGAAAAGAGAGAGATTGGGTGTGTTTTTTTCGTGCATAACAATTGTTATTATACTATTATTATTTTAATTTTAATTTTGATTTTGATTTTGATTTTTGGTTTTAAACACTTGTAGAAGATCTTGGTCTAGTTTCAGCTTCAAATAATATTTTTCTAGTCATTTTTGGTGATTCATTTGGGAAAGTTGGAGCTGGTGCAGTTGGGGTGGTAGATGTGCTAGTTGATGGTTGTTGATTTACACTTAGAGAAGATCCAGTTTTCTCTTTTGGTATTTTTGGTACTGGTTTTGGTATAGCATTAGTATTATTATTATTGTTGTTGTTGTTGTTGATTGTAGGAGTAGTAAAGAGAAAAGAGTTTGGTTTTACAGGCAAAGGTGGTGGTCCACCAACTTTGTTGGTTGGTAACATTGATGGTGGTGGAGGTTGGGTTTGTGATGATTTACTTGGTGATGTTGATAATGTAGACGAGGAAGAAGGTGGTGAAGTTCCAGTTTTTGATGAATCCACTTCTTTTCTACCTGTATCATCGGCAATTGGAATTGCGGTAGTGACACTATTATTTGTAGTTGTAGTTGTAGTTGTAGTAGTTGTACTAGTAGTACTAGTTGTAGTTGTATGAACATTAATATCATCAATTGATCTTGGAGATAGTACCAATGGAGTAAAAGGTTGAGCATTATTATTATTATTATTATTATTATGAGTTGGAGTAGAGGGGGTAGAGATGGTAGCAGCACTTTTAGAGGGAAGGGGTGGTAAGGGAGGAGATGCAATGTAGAGGTGTGGAGGTGGCGTGATTTGATTGAATTTGAATGGGGTCGATGTAGAGGTGACAAACTCTGTGACGGCACGTGTCTGACGTGTACGTGGCATCAAGACACTTGGGTCTTCAAAGATGGCCTCGTAATGGTTGATAATGGTCGCCATCAATGTTTTGGTACTCTTGGAGTCCTCGACAGTGTACTGTAGTATCTGGTGATCGTTTGCCAAAGGTCTAAGAATCGTTGGCAAAAAGACAATACTCAATGACTCGGCAGTCATCCTATTCTGCTCGGAATTGGCAATCACCTTTGTCAAAAAACAAAACAAGTATCTAAGTACCCTTATATTAACCACTGGTAACAACTTTATAACCTTTTTAACTACTTCCAATTTAACAGTTTCATCATTTATAGATTCACATGCTATAAACATATCATACTACAAATCAAATCAAATCAAAAAAGAATATTAATTAATCATTCCAATTTTAATCTTTTCTTTTCTATTCTATTCTTTTCTTTTAGCATACATTTTCAAAAGAGAATAAAGGATCTTTTAATTCACGTAGATAAGCTTTAAGGATGGATGCGACGACATGATCTTCGTGTGGTGCAAAGGTGACTGGTTTGCGGGCTTCAAACAATTGTTTGTAGTTTGTGATCAATTGTAATGATCCACTCTCTCTAAAGATGCCAGGTGTCTTTAGTGAATAGGTTTCTAGGTATTCTATCGTCTGTACAATGATTGGTGGTATATCTTCATCCGTTGGAAGTGGTCCACCAAATATTTTATCGTTTACATTATTATTACTGTTATTACTATTATTATTACTATTTTTTGTTGTATCTACACTTGATGATGATGATTCACTATCTTTATCTTTATCTTTACTCTTTTTAGAAGACTTTTTAGGTGTCGATTCTTTTGCATTATTACTAATTTCTGCACCACCTGATGATGAGGACGCTACAACTACTGCTCCCTTTTCCTTTTCTTTTTTATGTTTACCAAACTTCATCTCTTTGTCTCGGTGTATATGTATGTATATATATATATGTATGTATAGTAACTATACTATTCTAATCTTCTACTATACTATTATTTTGTCTGTTTCCCCTTTTGTCTGTTTGTTGTTGTATGTTGTTACACTAGTTTCGTAGGAGAAATGAGGGAGGTGTATTGATGATGATGATGATGATGATGTATGTTTAATATTTGCAATAGTAGTAGTAGTAGTAGTATTGATGATGATGGCAATCCCAACACTTATAATCGTAATTAGTTGATGCAGGTGTGACTTTTGATGGTTTTGGTTATCAGAAAATAGACAAATGGAAATCTCGATCTGATCAATGACGATGGTGACCAAGCAAAGGAGAGTATCGCGCGTTATTGTAATGGTACCTTCGATTGATGATTGTTTTGAATAAAATGAATGAAATATCTAATTAATTAATTGTGTCAATAAATAAATGATTGATTGAATGAATAATGAAAATAAAGGTTAGGAGTTGAGAGTAGAGAGTAGATAAAAAAGGGTAATAATTAGATTGGTTATTCAATATTGAATATGCTATAAATAACATCTAACCTATATATATATATAACTTTACTTCTTTTTTTTTTTTATTTAGTTTAAACTACACTCTAATTCTATTTCTATTTCTATTTACTACACTCTCTTCTCTATTCTATACTAACTGCAATTTTACGATATTATGATTCTAGATGGTGATAATGATGGTGATGGCAACTATGGGTATGGGTATGGTTATAAATGTTGTTTATGATAATATAATAATATTATTTATAAATAGCAATAGAGAGAGAGAGAGAATTAATTTGTTGCGCAATGGAAAATAATATGATATATATGTTGGTTGTAAGAGGGGAGGGGAAGGGGAGGGTATAATATATATTAATAATACGACAACTATCTTTGCAAGTACTCTCTCACTTCAAGATAGATAGATAGATAGATACTGTATGACTGGCTGACTGACGGTGAATAGCGCTAGTTTTTGTTGTTGTTTGTCAATCGATTGTGTGTGTGTGTTGGTGGTGTGGTATGCAATAGTGTTGTTGTTGTTGTATTACAATGAAAAAGGATAAATGGAATGGATTATAATAATAGAACACAATAATAATAATAATAATAATAATATATTAAATGTGTCTCTTGTTTCTCTGTCTATCTTCTTCTTCTTTTCTATCTATACTCTATCTACTATCATCTACTATCTATCTACAATTGGGTTGTTATTGTCAATGTTTGTTGTTGTTGTTGTTGTTGTGTTGTTGGAGGTGAGTGTACAATGAATAAAGTAGCAGTATTAATTGAGTAGTTAATCGGGTCTGATCAAACAATCATTATCATAAAATTGGTAGGTTTTGTTTGAAATGGATCGAAGATTCATCTTTTTTTACTTCAATGAATTTTATTCTTTGCAATTTTTGTGTCTTGGTTATATATTTTGAAATGGGTATCCCTTAAATATTCAATTGTTTCTCGTAGATGATTGATTTGTTTGTTCAAGTGATAAATGTGTTCCTCTTGGTGCTGGTTTTTGTATTGGCAACCATTAATCGCGTAAGATAGGCTCTCTTGTTGGTATGCTATTTGATCTTGAAGTATCTTATTTCGATTTTGGCAGACTTTGAGAGCGTGGTAGTGATACATTGAATCCATTAGCTTGACCAACATTCATCGATACAATGCAACTGATAGAAAATAATATCGTTCCAATTTGAACCAATCTTTTAACATTCATCTTGTTTTGTAGTACTAAAACTTTACTTTTAATATTATTATTATTTATTAATATTTATCTATCTATCTATCTATCTATCTGAATTGGTCAACATAAATGTATCTATTGAGTGAATGTGATAAAGGTTTTATTGAATGGCTCCAACATGATGAAAAAAAAAATGTAAAAAATTGGGACTCAAAATCAAATTTATTTATTGAGATTCCAAGTCTTGTTTTCTGGGTGGATGACGCTCTATCTCTTCAATTTTTTGTTTATATAAAATACGTTCTTGATTTCTTTTGATTTCTATCTCTTCAATCTTTTTTTCATTTAAAATACGTTCTTGATTTCTTTTGATTTCCAAATCTTTGATTAATTGAAGGTATATACCAATGTTTGTCTGGAGTGCTTTCACTTTCAACAATCCTTTTTCATAGTTTTTAGTATCCCCTAGACGTTTTAAATCTTCATTGTAATCTCTGAGTCGGTCAACTTCCATGATGTTTTTCTTTCGATCGATTTCCATCGTGTGTATGGTCTTTACAAACTCTTGATCCCCTGTCATGAATTCGATTTGCGCACTCAAAGCTTGTGATTTGAGCAGGCACATTTTGAAACCGTAATAGTATCTATCATATTTGTCATCTTGGCATTGCTTTTTGGTGTCATCAAGTTTTTGATAGAGTTGTTGATTGGTCCCTTCAACTAGTTGCAGCTCCGTAGTATTTTTGAGTTGATTTTGGGTGTCATCGAGTCGTTGAGTAGTATCATTGAGTTTTCGAGTAGTATAATCGTGTTGTTGAGTAGTATCATTGAGTTGTTGTTCCAACTTGATGATGTCTTTTTGCAATCTATCAATTAATTCTGTTTTATGTCGTAGCTCTTGTTGTAATCTATCAATCAATATCGTTTGTTGTTGTTGTTGTTGTTGTTCTTGTATTGAATGTTTAGTGGGGATGGGCAAACTGTTTACTTGATGGTCACCAACATGATCCAATCTTTGACAGCTGGGGTCAAATGATGGGCCTCTCTCGAATATCAACCATAGAGAAAAGATAAACAATAAACATTGAACCAATCTTTCAACTTTCATCTTGTCGAGTTTAATTTATATATAAATATATTTATCTATCTATCCTATCTTCAAGATACATGATTAATAATAATACCAAGAGTTATATAGAGGAGGATTCACATCTCATAGATATTAAAAGACCCAAAAATCTGAGTACTCAAAACAAATATAATGGGCAGGTATTTCTTATAATTATAATTCTACAGGTATTTCTTATAATTATAATTATAATTCTATTGCTGCTGCTTTGTGAGAACAACAACAACAACAACACAAAATGGTGAAGTTAATATAATTATAAAAAATAAAAAATAAAATGTAAAATTAAAATAATTTACTTTAATAATAAAAAAAAAAAATTAATTTACTGGTTTGTCTCAAACTGACAGCTTTGCTGTTTTAGTTTCCTCTTCTATTCTCAAAAAAAAATATATGCAAATGAACGCCCAATCGAATCTCAGTTTTTTCTTTACTTGAGCCAAAGTGCTGCAGACCCTATTGTCATTTGTAAAATCAGCTTCATTCATTTTATACTTTATACTAAGCTTTAAAACTACTAGTAGTACAACAAATAGAAAGAAAGAGAGAGAGAGAACCGTTCGATAATAACTTATTGTCAATATCATCAGAGTCGCCGTTCAAATATTTAATTAAATTTACCCACTACTACTCTCATCAACACAAACACTCACTAACATCATCATATAATATTCTTATCGTTGTTGGTATCATCATCATATATATTATAACAACAACAACTTCTACTACTACTACCTAATTAAACAATCGCGCATACAAGAAACAGTTTCCCTTAATTACTTTACTTGCTTGCATAATATATATATATATAACACATATATTTTTTAATCTCTTACTTTTTTCATTCATTTATTTATTTAAACAACACTGTATATATCAACTACTGTAATAATTACTACTACTACTAAACCAACAACAACAATAACTTCATTAATTAATCAACAAACTAATCGACTTGAACAACATCATATCATGGCAGAACAAAGAATATCAGAAATCTTATGGAATCAGTATGTATCATATGATATTTTAAAAAAAAACAAACAAAAAGGAGATAAGGGAGGAGAGGAGAGGAGAAGAGAGATGTGTAGAGTAAATGATTGATAACGATTTTCTGGTACAATATATAAATATAAATATTTATATATATACAAGTACAATGAAAATCAATCAATACATTTAGATAAACACCTCAAAGAATCAACTCAATTAATTGTTCTTTTTTTTTCTTTAAAAAAAACAACTTAACTTTCTTGCTATCTACCCTACTCTTTTCCATTTCCCTTTTCCATTTCCCTTTATTTTCTATTTTGAAGATTGGAAACAAGTGAAAGACCAAAACAAGAAAAGGAAATTGTAAATACACCATCTAAAAAGAAAAAGGGATCGACTAGACTATGCCGTGATTCACAGCAGTCACGTGAGAGTCCAGGCAAGCCGGGATCAAAGCGTTACAACCGATTCTTAAACACACAATATCTCAAAGAGGGTGGTATATTCAAGGACCATGCCGACTATGAGTATAATTTGGTCGACCAAAACGAGAATCTATTGTTCCAAGACAACATTGACAACTGGGAACCATACGTAAACATTACATACGATCGTCAACAAGAATCGGTCGAACCATTTGTCAAAGAGGAAGAGGATCGTCGTCGTCAACAACGTAAAAACTCTCGTATCAATCATTCATTCTCACGCTTACGCAAGGACCTAAGAGAGGCATTCAAGCAACCATTTGTACAAAACAGCTATTTTATCACCGAAGCTGAGCAGAGATTGTTGGCCTTTATCAATGACCCATTACTCGAATCGATAGAGGTTGCCCTCGACATGCCATTCCAACGTCTGCTTGTTCACGGACTTGGATCCTATTACTCGCTCTTTACCTCTTCCTATACCAACCAAGACTCTGGTAAACGTCTAACCGTCATCCGTAAACCTAAAATCATCCCACCAATGCCAGAAATGTCAATCACTGAATATGTGGCTCAAGAACAATTAAAAAATAAGACTCCTTCATCAAAATCTAAGAATCAACAACAAAAAAAATCAAATAATAATTCTTCTTATCGATCAAGAAGTAGATCAAATAGTATCAATAATAGTATCAAGGCATAGAATATATTAATTATTGGATTGATTGGATCCCCTTCTTTTTTTGTATTAATAATTTATAAAAAGAAAAAGAAAAAAAAAAAGATGGAAAATTGATAAAATCAACAAAAAAAAAATCAAAAAAAACCAAACCAATAAAATAATCATAATAATAATAATATTATTTTATTATTATTTTATTGAACAATCAAAAAAAAAATCAAACAAAGAAAAGAGATAATTATTATTATTATTATTATTATTATTATTATTATTATTATTTTTTTTTTTATTTTTCCTTTTTCCAACTTTCCAAAAAACTACACAAAATAGTGTAGTTTTGGTTAATTTGTATTTTCATTAACCGAACAAAGATACCAAGTTGATGTCATATGACCAAGCAAAGATTCGTCATGCCCCCATTTGTCATCGCTTGTTTAAATTCCTTTGCGAAAATGAAACTGATTTAATTATTTTTTTTTCATTTTTTGAGTTTGCTTGGTTGTTTTGCCTGGTAAGTTTGTTCTCTCTTTTTCAAATTTCACCCATTTGTTGTTTTTTTTTTTTTTTTTTTAAAAAGGCAATTCCGCGCGATCTGTTTTGTTTTTTGTTAACCGCCTGGGCAAAAAAACAGCTCTCACCCACAAATCAACTGCGCAGTTTGAATAAGTGACGTCTTGTAAATACACCTGGGGAGAGACAACAACAGCACATCGAGAATAGTTTGTAGTTTCTCTCTTTTTGAACGTACACCAACACACCCAACTACCTACCCATCTCTATCCTAATAATAGATATTTAGTAAAACAACAACAACAACTCAACAACACATCAACAACGCACGCGTGTCTAAACAGCAGACTGCTTGCTAGTCGATTACACTCTTGCCCAGGCAAAAAATAAAATATAAACAGCCTATAAACAAACAAAAACAACGCGTTGGGAATGGACCTAAACGACCCTACTGTTGACCAGAGCAAGACAACAACAACAACTCAACATCATTTACAATCAAACAGTACCTCAGCACATAATAATAATAACGATAATATAGTTCACCAGCATCAAGAAAAGAATAGATCTATTACTCACACGATTGACCAGCTTGAGAACCACCAGCAATTTCACAGCATCAGCAGCAACAGACCTGCTTCATTTGATATAAATACTACATCTGCAGGTATGTTCTAATCTTTTTAAAATCCTCCCTCCTCATCATTATTTAAATAATAATAATAATAATAATAATAATATCATCCATCATATTTAAAATATCTTTTATCTATCTATCTCTTTTTAATTAATTCGTTCCATCATCATCCTTTGCTTCCATCTTCTTCGTTTTTGTAAATTTAAATATCTTTTTTTTTTTTGACCTATATATCTTCCTTCTTTCTTTCGTCAATCCAAAAACAAACAAACAAACAAACAAAACAAACATTTTATACATACTTTAATATTTATTTATATTATTTATATATATTAAATATCGCATTTGATGATTATCAATTGTTTTAATATTTATAATACATCAACTTCATTTAAACTACTTTTTAATAATTATCTAATTATTTAATTACTTTTCTATTTTTTTGTTTTTATAAATCTATCTTTTAAATAATTCATATCATATCTAATTATTATTTATTGTTTATTAGATAATAGTAGTGATAATATTGATAATATTGATATAAATCAATCAGCTGAAATTAAAAGATTTATCAATCAAAATTCAATTTCAACAAACGACCAACCATTGTTACAACAACAATTACAACAATTGCAACCAGATTCAACAATCATCACCAAAGAAACTTTATTAGAGTGGGCCACTTTGATGGCCTCATCGACGCCAACGTTCCCACAAATTCCAAACAACAATATTAATAATAATAATAATAATAATAATTTGTCATCGTCATCATCGACATTGTCATCTCCATCACCTTTATTGTCATTGTCTACCATTGCAGCTGTTGCAAGTGCTACTGGCCTCAACCTTGACCATTTACTGTTATTAACATTATCCAATTCTAATCTTAAATCACCTCTTACCCCAACATCATCATCATCAGTCACTGCTTCCAATTCAGGAATCGAATCATCCTTTCAATCGTCGTCGTCGTCTAAATCACCAGCAACCATGACTTCACTATCCGAATCATTCAATGCCAATTACTTTTTCAACTTTGATAGTTATCAAAGTGGAGTATCCAACAACTCAACCTCTTCAGGTAGTACCATGATCCAACCATCATCCACTTCCTCATCATCAACTGTCAATGCACCATCTACCCCTGGTTCATCAATGAGTGTCCTTTTCAACAACAACAACAATAATGATAGTAATTCCAACAACTCTAATAATAATACCAACTCTAATAATAATAATAATGGAATATTATCATTTAGTAGTTATGGTAATGGATCAACTGGATTGAGTGCTTATTTGGTTAATAGTTTAAATAATAATAGTAATAATAATAATAACAACTCTACAACCACTACAACAACTACAACTACAACTACTCAAAATAATAATAATAATAATAATAATAATATGCTCAATAACAACATGTTTTACACTTCAAATCCAATGGAGAATAATACAAGTTGTATTGTTTGCAAGTGGGGTAAATGTGACTTAAAGTTTGAGTCATTGACCGATTTTTGGATCCATTTTAGAACTGAACACTTTAAAAACAAACCATCTATTCTCAACACCACTACTGGTGGCTCAATCAATGTTGTTCCAGTGGTTTGTGAATGGGAATCTTGTGCTGCAGGAATCAAAGATTTCCATAGTTTAATGGGTCATATTAAATTTACTCATCTTATTAATCCTTTTGATCCAGGTATGTATTTAAACATAAACATATAAATACAACACATATACTCATTTATTAACCTTTATTTTCGATTGTTTATAGTTTCACATTCAAAGATTCAAAATCAAAAGAGAAAGAGTTCAAGTAGATTGTCTCCAACTGCATTGTTTGAAAGTACATCGAATCAATCGCTAAAAGAGAGTTATATATCACTTTTACAATCTCAAAAGATTGACAATCACATTCTAACTCAACTCATACAACAACAATTATTATTACAACAACAACAACAACAACAAGTAAATAATGTAAATGTAAATATTCCAACAACCACCACAACCACTTCCTTGGCATCTGCTCAAGTTTCAACCAACACCCGCAATAATGTAGATAATAATAATAATAAAATCAATGATATGATTGATGAACCGATTGCTTCTGCTGCTGCTGCTGCTACTCAACAACCCGCAAGAAAATATTCAATTGAAAGTGTAATTAATGTAAAGAATGAAATGATGGAGGAACATCATCAACATCCACTCCTCCTACAACAACAACACCAACAACACCAACTCCAAAATATAATGCAATTCCAACCACAACAACCACAACCTCAACAGGCTAGTGACGAACATAAACCAGCAGCTGCATCTACACAGTCAAAATCTACTAAACGAAAAAAGGCCAATTTAATCCCAACCAACTATTCCCAACAACCATTTGTGCCAACTGCTGTTACCGTTACCGTTCCCGCCGCCGCCGCCACCATGGGAGTTGGAGGAATCGTTTCCTCCAATCATATCGAAGAACTCTCAGGTCATCTTCGTGACATTGAAACTGAAGATGAAGAGTTGTCTAGTGATCCATCAGTCTCTATGATTTACAAGCAAGCCAAGTACACCGCTGGATCGTCTCCTGTACCCGGTCAACAACATACCTCACTTCCCCTTGACTCTATGATGACTACTGACCACTCCCTTGGAACTGATGTTATCATGACTAGTGACCAATCATTTGTTATTGATACTACCTCTACTACTACTACCTCTACTGCTTCCACTACTACTGCCTCGACAATATATCCAGCATCGACATCACCGGTCAAGGCAACGTCGGCATCATCGTCACTCCCCAAAAAACCAAGAAAGCGTAGAACGTCGTCTCCAACAGGTCCATTTGATTGCAAGTGGGCTGATTGTCGTGGTCGATCATTTGACACACTCAAAGAGTTGGGTGACCATATTGAAGAACACGTGCGTAACCAACGTGGCAAAAAGAGCGAGTCTATATGTGAGTGGTCGGGTTGCAACCGTTCAGACAAACCCCTCAAGAGTGCCTACAACCTCATCCATCATATTCGGTACAAGCATACTGGTGAGAAACCCTATTCTTGCGACTTTGCAGATTGCGAAAGCAAGTTTGTTCAATTGTCAGACCTCAACGAACACAAACGTAACATTCACAAGTTTGATGACGGGTATATTAAAAAGAAAAGAAATTCAAAAGCTAAAAAGGAAGGTTCAAATGGAGGTGGTGATGAATCACCAACTAATAATGGTACATCAATGGCATTATCTATTCTTGGATCAGTGTCTCCATCATCAACCACAACTACAACAATTGCTACTACGACACCAAGTGAAAAGAAATCAAAAAAGACAACTACATCAAAAACCAAAGAATTCCAATTACAACATCAACAACAACAACAACAAATACAACAACTACAACAACTCCAATTACAACAACAACAACAGTTACAGCAATTGTTAGAGTCTCATCATCATCATGGAAATACATCAACTACTTCAACTACTTCAACTACAACTTCTTCAACTCAAACTCAACATAATGATTATAATATTATTAATAATAATAATAATAATAATGTAAATGTTAATATGGTTAATGGAAATGGAAATGGAATGGATGATGATTCGTATCACCATTTATATCAATTACAACAACAACAACAACAACATCAACAACCATATATTGTATATAATCCAAACCATAATTTAACTTCTGCAATCATTGAGGATTATCATCAAGGAGGAGGAATGGAAGAGTTGGAACATCATCAACATCAACATCAACATATTTCACATGATAATCATATTCTTCATCATCATCATAATCAACAACAGGATGACCAAGAGATGGGTGGTGGTGGAGATGACTTGCACAATTATAGTAGTGATGATGACCATCATCATCATGATCATCATGATCATCATCATGGTCACGGTCACCACGGTAGTTTAGTTGACCATACTCATCCATCACACAAACTATTTTCCCCAATGTTGCCATTCCCATCTACTCCAAACTCGGTGTCTCTTGTCTCGGATGGTATCATTATCCCAGAGTCTCCACAAATCTCTTTACGTAATTCATCGTCTCGTATCAAGTTGGGTGTTGGTGGTGGTCGTAACAGTCTCATTTCATCTGGTGATCTATTGACCACCCCCGAAACTATTAATAATTATTTTTCTCCAAGTTCTCCTCCTCAACTTGGTAGTGGTAACACCAACTCATTAAAGTTGTCAGGGTCTATCTCTATCCCATCGATGAAACGTAATAGTTTTAGTGGTCCAAGTACAAGTACTCCAAGTACCCCCTCTACCTCTACCTCGACCACTACTTCATCATCATCCAAACCAACAGTTACAATTAATATTAATATTAATAGTAATAGTCACTCACCTCTTGCACCACTTGTTTTAGAATCGAGTTTTTCCAAACTGCCATCTATCGTTTCATCGTTGGAGACTATATCTAATATCCAACCAACTATTATGCACCAACCACTCAATCTGTCAAATGAAACTATTACATTTGATATTGGTACTCCATCAACACCTTCATCCTTTTTAAACAAATCTGTCAAGTCTAGTAGTAGTGGTAGTAGTGCTAGTGTAGCCACCTCTACCTCTACCTCGACTACCTCTACAACAACAACAACAACACTCACACTTCCTTCAACTCCAACCAAATCACCTATTTCACCAAGATTTAAATATCCTTCAATCAATGTTGTTGGTATGAATCAAAATAATAATCAAAATACTAATAATAATAATAATACAAATAATAATATTACAATGAATTTACCAACACCAACTATATCATCTGATGACAATAATAATAATAATAATAGTAAACTACCATCTATTATAATACAAACCGAATCAATTACAACAACTACAACTACCGAAGAACAAGTAGAAGAGGAGGAGGAAGAAGAGGAAGTTAAATTAAATAATCATCATCAAAACGACGATAGTGACGATCAAGACAATACAACAAAGAATCAATCAACTACTTTAATAGCCGATGAAGATGGTTCCATTCGTTCACTTGAAATTGATGAAGAAAATAATTTATATGACTAACCAAACCAAACTAAACCAAACCAAATAAACCAACATATATTTAATTTAAAATTAATCAATCAATCAATCAATCGATTTGTGTAATTTCCTAGGAACTATATATATATTTATTTATTTATTCCAATAATAATAATTGGAGACAAAAAATAAAAAAACTAGAAAAATAATAATAATAATAATTTAAGGACAGATCCCTGGGGGGTTTCTTCTTGAAAGTTGTTATTTTTGTAGGAAGGGTATCTTGAGAATGTTAATCTAGTTTACCATTAGATTGTTTGATTGAACCAATGCATGTATGTTAATTTATGGGTTATTTATATCATTCAGGAATCATTCCAAGTCCTATTCCTTCATTGTTCTCAAAAACAAAAAAAAACAAAAGGATGGCAACATGGAAAAACACCCATAAATGATAGTTTCAATGGTAAATAGTGAATGAATGTATAGTGATGAGAGTATAGTATTCTCAAGATCCCTTACTACAACCAAATTCCAATCTCAATTATCCAAATGAAATACCCCTAGGGATCTGTCCTACAACTATTACCTTTTTGTTTTGAATTTGAGGAAGTTCATTTTTTGAAAAATTGAATTTGAAGTAGAAAAAGGAGGGAAACACAGCACCGATCTTTTATCATATGATTTTTACATATATCTGATTTACAAGTAGAATACTAATATTTACTAAAGTAAAATGATGGAAGTAGATAACGACGAAGATTCATTACAAAGCAAGATTATAGATACATTGAATAAAGTCATTCAACAAGAAGGTTTGACTATCAACTATAGATACATTTCAAATCAATTTAAATTACATCCAAATATTGCTAAAGAGTAAGATGATTATACATGTTAGATAAGATGATGTAATAGATGAGATGATTATTGTATTCTAACTTATTCTCTTTGTTTATATATGTATTATTATTATTATTATTTTAGAATATTATATTATTATTATGAAAATAATAAAGATAAAGTTACACCGATCTATTTGATATCAGGTGAATTGGTGAATGTTAGTAGTAATACAGACAATGTAGCGACACCTGATAGATGTGTACGTACATTATCTATTGTATTGGTACCAGCTGATCGATTGGAAGAATCAAGAAAACAATTTAAAAAGGTTACTAGTGAACATGTATATAGTTTATCAAAGGGTGAGTCTAGCTTGCCCAAAGATCCAATCTACACAATCACTCAAACCGTCGAACAAATGAGATCTCAATACAAAGTAGTCAAAGAATTGGATAATCATTATTTTAACAAGTATGTACACAACATATAATATACATTCTTAATTCAAATCTAACTTTAATTAATTAATTAATTAATTTATTTGTTTTTAAAAGGGACATACCAATTCAATCACCATCAATTAAAAAGAGGGAATTAAAGAGACCTGTTTTAATTCCACAACAACCTCCACAACAACAACAACAACAGCCAAAACCAACAGTAGTTCCATCATCTTCTACAACTACAACTACAACTACTACTACTAGTGCTCCAGTTGCTGCTGCTACTACTTCTACTACTCCAGTTACAACAAAACCAAATTCTAAACCATCAGCTAAATCTGCAGCCAAACCAGCAGCAGCTGCAGCAGCCAAGGGATTCGCAAACTTTTTCAAACCAACTCAAAATGATGAGGGTGGAAAGGTTGATTTGTTTGCAAAGTATGATCAAAAGTTAAAGGATGATGTTGTTCATGTTAAACCGTCATCGGTAGCTGCACCTTCTAAAAAGGCAGCTGCCACCAAGAAATCTGCTCCACAACAAATATCAAAGGCATTTGTACCAGTCAATCAAAAGAAAAAGAAATCACATAGTGATGATGATGACAGTGGCAGTGACAGTGACTCTGGTAGTAACGATCCATTTGCAAGTGAAGATGAAGAAGAAGAACAAGTATTTGTAAAGAGAAAAAAGAATATTTTGGATAGTGAAGATGAAATGGAAATTGAAAATTCACAATCTCAAGAACAAGAAAGATTAGAAAAAGAAAGATTAGAAAAGGAAAAGGAGACATTGGAAAAAGAAAGATTAGAAAAGGAGAAAAAGGAAAAGGAAGAAAAGGAAAGATTGGCAAAAGAGAAAAAGGAAAAAGAGGAAAAAGAAAGATTGGAAAAGGAAAAGAAACAAAAAGAAAAAGAGGAAAAAGAAAGATTGGAAAAAGAGAAAAAGGAAAAGGAAAAAAAAGAAAAAGAGGAAAAGGAGAGATTAGAAAAGGAGAAAAAGGAAAAGGAAAGATTGGAAAAGGAAAAGGAGGAAAAGGAAAGATTGGCAAAAGGGAAAAAGGAAAAGGAGGAAAAGGAGAAAAAGGAGACAACAAGTACAAAGAGAAAGGAAAAAGAATCAACTCCAACCAAAAAATCAACTCCAAAGAAAAAGGTTATTGTTGAAGAGGAAGAAGAGGAAGAGGAAAAGGTTGTTGAACAAGAAGAGGTAGCTGAAGAAGAGGAAGAGGAAGAGGAAGAACAACCAGTTAAGAAACAAAAAACAATTGCAAAGGAACCAGCAAAGAAAAAGGCTCCAGCTTCCAAATCGACAACAACAACAACCAAATCCAAAGGAGATGAACAAGATGAAAAGAAGAAAACTCCAACTAAAAAATCAACTACTGCCACCAAGAAAAAAGAAAAAGATGCAGCTGAATTCGAAGATGGTGATGAACAAGAAACAACATCGACAACTACCACTACCAAAGCTGCTGCCAAACCAAAGTCTGGTTCAACAAAGAAAGCAGCAGCAACCAAGAAATCAGCAACCACAACTACAACATCTTCACCCGAAAAGAAAGGTGTTCAAACCAACATTACTTCATTCTTTACAAAGAAATAATTATAATAATAATATATATATTCAGACTGTCATATGGTTTGTAAAAATAATAATAAAAAAGTAAGATTTATCAAAGTTTTATTTTAAATTTTAATTTTTTATTGTTTTTTTGGTTTTCATCAAAGTTATATTTTTTTAGTTCATTGTTTTATTTTCTTTAGTAGTACTATATTATACATACACATACATATATATATAGATAGATAGATAGTAATAATTAGTATAAATGAATAGAAAAAAGGTTAAAGAAGGAGGAGAGGAAGAAGAACAAGTCAAGATGTTTCAAAAGAAGAATACTTTTCAATTAATATTGAATCAAGTTTATATTAGAAGACAGATATTCAATCATGTTAGTTCTATTCACAAACAATTAGAGATTGAAACTGTTAAAGTATCATCACTTTATACATTGGTTGATTACATTCAATATGGTTTAGATGATTTATTCTTTAAACATATAGATCAACTTTGGAGAATGATGTTTGAATCATCTGATGGTATTTATAGAAATAATGGTGTAAGTTTTAAAACTACTACTACTTTGAAAATATTTACTAATAATTATATATTTTTTTTAAATTTAGAAAATAACAAAAATTATGTCATCATCAATTCAATATCAAAATGATAGAATATTAGAATATATATTAAATAGAATTAGAAAAGAGATTGGACCATTTCAAACTATGGTTGTTGTGGATTTTGATCAAAATAATCTTTATAGTCTTGGTGAAAAGGTGTTTAATCTATTGATCAAGGACAATGTATTCATAGAGTCTAATGTATTGTTGCGTAAAATGGTAGAGACTGCTATTATGATGGTTGGAGATGTAGATGTGGTTCAGCAGATTTTCAAACGATACGATATCAACAGCAAACCCAATACTCGGATTTATCAAGTCGGTAAAGTACTAGATGCCACAATGTTTGATAAAAAGAAGGATTTTGAGATAAAGGAGCTATATCAAGTTGCTCAAGGGTTGCAAAAACAAAAACGTGGACACAGCCAATATGGATTCAGCGTGAACGACATGGCTCGATGTGCATTGTTAAAAGATCGACTCGAGTTGATCAAACTCACATTACCTTTACATAAATACTCTTCTCCAGATGTTCTCTCTACAAACGACGCCATTCGATCAAATGCCAGAAAGAACGAACTCTTGGGGTTCAACTTTGGTTCCTTGTCCAATCATGATAAAGAAGGTTTGCTGGACAAGATAAATAATGGTACAGACATTGAATTGTTCAAGTACATTCATAGTACCATAATCAAAAACAACAACAACAACAACAACAACAACAACAACAACAACAACAACAACAACAACAACAACAACAAAATCAGTAACTACACATGGAGTAGCTACAACAACTTTACAATCTACAACTATAACTACAACAATGATAATTATTATCAACTGGAAAAGGGAAAAAGAATCTTGGTAAAATCACTTGCAAATGGAGTAGAGGAAGTTATCACATTTGAATTGAACAATGGTTCAGGTGGAAAACCAATGTTCTTTAACAAGGTTGCACTCAAATCGATTCATCCAGTGTTTTGTTCACGTAAATATATCGATTTGTTTTCAAAACAAGCTACTGAAATCATTACTGGAAGATCCTCTGATATTATCCGATCAACTCTCACACAAGCTCCAAAGGGTAGAGAATTAGATGAACTAGATTATCTACTAAAGTCACCATTTGGACATTCAGTTTGTATTGATTTGGCAGATTCTATTTCATCGGTCATTGAAATGGGTGATGATCTATTTGGTCATTTACTCACAAGATTAGAAGACCATATCCAACATCACCCAGAGAAATGTAAAATCCGTTTCGATTCTATTCACAAGTACACGAAATCCGAGTATCCAAGACGCGAACAATTCATAGCGGCAATGGAAAAGATTCTAGATATTCCTGGTGTAACCAATATGGAGGAGGAATATGAGAATAATGATTTTAATTGGATTCTTGCACCCTCTTTGGTTGTTAAAATAACCAACATTATTCACAATAGTTCAAGTAAAGAATTTCTACTCTCTAGTGCAGCCATGTCAAATGACATTAAGCTGTACAAACAAGTTTTTGGATTAGTTGAACAACTCAATCTTGAACCATGTCCAAGACATTTTATCAAAATACTTCCTCGAATCATCTCTGCAGGCAATTATTCATTTGCCAAGGAATTCTTGCAATTCCATAAATCATTTCAATTGGCTGAATCTCCAATCAAAAAATTTAAAAAGGATATCAATACTCTATTTAAATTATATTTGGATTTAACGGATCGAAATGATGATCAACAAATTGCAAATACTGTTATGGAAATTGTACCAGAATATCTTAGATCAGAAATCATCTATTATGCAACTGAATTGACAAATGATCAATTTAATTTACTTTGGCTTGAATATGCAAATATGTATTTGGATTTAAATGAATGGTTGTCAAATCCATCAAAACATCACAAACAATTAAAATATGATCAAAAATTCTTTGATCATTTAGAAAGAATATATCAATATTTTAAACAAGAGCAATTACAAGTACATCAATCGATTAAAACTAGATTTAATCCACCTCCATTGAATTTAAAATATATTGGAATATTAAATCAATGTTTAGATAAATATTATTTCAACAAAGATAATAATAATAATAATAATAGTATTGTCAATAATTATACTTTAAAAGAATATAATCAATTTATTGATAAAGCATTAGAAATTGGTTTCATCCCTAATCATTGTAAAAAGTAGAAGCTTAATAAAAATTATTTCCAATAAATTATTTTTGAAAACTAAACCCAGAGTTTTAAAACATCCACCATTTTTCATTTTTCTTTTTTTTGTGTACATGTACAACAAAGAGATAATGAAAGATAGAGATAAATTCATACACACAAAGAATTCATTTCAAAAGATATTGAATAATCAGGTTATTAGAAAGATAATATTTAATCATGTTAGTTCTATTCACAAACAATTAGAGATTCAACCTATTAAATTCTCAACACTCTTTACATTGGTTGATTACATTCGATATGGTTTGAATGATTTATTCTTTAAACATATAGATCAACTTTGGACGATGATGTTTACTGATGGTATTTATAGAAATGATCATAGTCATGTATGTATTATGGCAAGGCAATATAGATATGAAAAACAATCAAAGATATTAATTAATTACCTTTTATTTTTAACAAAGAGATTAACAAGAATATTATCAGCAGCTATTAGTTTTAATAATTATAGAGTATTGGAATACCTATTGAATAGAATCAAGAGAGAGATATCACCTTTTCAAATGACCATCAGTATCGATTTTATCGATACATGTCATGGAAAGGACAATATCTATTGTCTAAATCCAAAGGTTTTCAATCTATTGGTAGATGATAGTATATTCATTGAATCAAATAGATTATTGAATAGAATGGTAAAGACTGCTATCTTAGTTTTTGGAGATGTGGATATCATTAGAGAGTTGTTTGGTCTATACAATCTCTCAAATCTCATTGATTTATTTAGACAGTACGAACCAATAGATTGTGGTTTACCAACAATGATTAAAGATTTATTCAACAAAAAGACGGATACAGAGTTGATCCAACTGTACAATGTCGTCACAAAACTCAACAAAATGGTTGATAAAGACACTCAAGGAAATATAAAAGTGTATTCATTGGTATATGACCGTCTCAATTTCATCAAACATGTCTCTCAAGGAAATGCCATCATAAAACCAGAATGGAAACCAAACATCCTCTCCCCACATCTCTTCTCACCATATGCAAGTAAGAGGATACAAGAAAATGAGAGAAAGAAAGAAATCAAAGAAATTTACCACACTGAAGATTTTATTTATTATTATGATGACCAAGGATTGATGGACAAGATCAAAGATGGAACAGACATTGAATATATTCGGCACATATTCTCACCACAGACAACCATCAATAATTCCGATGATATATTTATGATGATGCAGACTCCGGATTACTTTGCAGGGTCTCTTGCCTCTGGATCTGATCAATCTGTCACATTTTTATTAGAGTATGTTCGTCAGCAAAGCGACCCAGGCTTTAAATTTCGAATTGGAACCTCTCGTCTCATGTTCTCGATCCATCCGGTCTTTTGTTCTCGCCATTACATCGATCTCTTGGGAAGATATGTTCGTCCAACGGATTACAGCTGTTCCAATATCATCCGATCGACACTCCAACATGCTCAAAAGGGTCAAGAGTATGACCAACTAGATTATTTACTCAAATCAGCGCTTTGTCGGTCAATCAATATCGATTTTTCAGACTCAATTGCATCAATCATTGATATGACTAACGGCAATGTATATCATGATTTGATAGAGAGACTAGTTGCATATGTAAAGGTAAAACCCAACCATTGTATATTTCCATTTGAATCGGTCCACAAGTACACCAGAGATGATTACCAAGGACGGGATCAATTCATATCTGTCGTCGGAAGGATATTAAATGAATGGGATAACACTTCCAAACCCAGCTTCCGCATCCGAATTAGAAACGAATGGACACTCCATCCAGCGCTTATTGAAAGGTTAACCTATCTTTTTTGTAAAAGCCACCCCCCTTTTGGAGAATATGAAGAAATTTACTACCTTTTCCTCAAAAGTGCAGCCATTACCGCCAACATGGATCTCTTCAAACGTATTTTCTTTGCCATCTCTGCCATTAGCACTATTCCAACATTTGATCTTGTCAGAATCCTTTTATTGGTGGTCAATGCCAGTCACTATCAATTTGCAATGAAATATGTCAATGAATTTATTGATGTGACCTTAATAGCTCAAATGTTGTCTCCATATTTAAAAAGCTCGATTGAAATTCTATTTAACTTGTATTTTTATTTGGCCAAGAAGGATATAGAATCAAAACAAGAAGATATTGATATTGACCAATTCCAAGACTATCAACAACTTGCCAATCAAATTTTAGATCTAGTACCAACTAGAAACAAATTTGAAATCATCTATTATGCAACAGAATTGACTGATGATCAATTCAATATTCTTTGGGTTAGGTTCTCTGATGATTTAAATATTCGTGATTGGTTGGTCCACCCATCCAACCATCACACTGATTTTAAATATGATCAAAAATTCTTTAATCATCTTGAAAGATTGTATAGACTCTATCAACAAGATCAACTTGACAAATATCAATACATCAAATATCCAATGAATCCACCTCCTCTCACAAGAAGATATATTGGTATTTGGAATCAATGTTTACAAAATTATTATTTCAACAAAAATAATAATAATAATAATAGAATAGTAAAGAATTATACTCAAAAAAAATATGATAAATTTATGAGTCTGGCAATTGAAATTGGTTTCACTCCTTCTGGTGTTGATGAAAATAAAAAATAAAAAACATAATTCATTAAAATTCTAGTGGTGGTTTTGAAAGAGAATAACTTGACAGCTTATTGTGATGTGATTTAGATAATGGAAGATATAAACACAAGAGAAAAGAAGATCATAATGATCAAATCAATCAGCTATATCATCGTCGTCAACTTTATTCAAAGCTATGTTGAATCAATTATATCTTAGAAGACAGATATTCAATCATGTTAGTTCTATTCATAAACAATTAGAGATTGAAACTGTTAAAGTATCATCACTTTATACTTTGGTTGATTATATTCAATATGGTTCGAATGACCTATTCTTTAAACATATAGATCAGCTTTGGAGAATGATGTTTACTGATGGTAGATATAGAAATGATCATAGTCATGTATGTATTATAGCAAAGCAATATTGATATGAAAAAACAATCAAGTTATTAATTAATTACCTTTTATTTATAACAAAGAGATTAACAAGAATATTATCAGCAGCTATTTGCTTTAATAATTATAGAGTATTGGAATACCTATTGAATAGAATCAAGAGAGAGATATCACCTTTTCAAATGACCATCAGAATCGATTTTATCGATTCATGTCATGGAGAAGATAGCGCAGAAGATATCTATTGTCATGGAGAAACCAATATCTATTGTCTAAATCCAAAGGTTTTCAATCTATTGATAGATGATAGTATATTTATTGAATCAAATAGATTATTGAATAGAATGGTAAAGACTGCTATCTTAGTTTTTGGAGATGTGGATATCATTAGAGAGTTGTTTGGTCGATATAATCTCTCAAATCTCATTGATTTATTTAGACAGTACGAGCCAATAGATTGTGGTTTACCAACAATGATTAAAGATTTATTCAACAAAAAGACGGATACAGAGTTGATCCAACTGTACAATGTCGTCACAAAACTCAACAAAATGATCGATAAAGAGACACAAGGAAATATTAGAATGTATGCATTGGTTTATAACCGTCTCAATCTCATCAAACATGCCTCTCAAGGAAAGAAAAAATGGAAACCAAAGATCTCTCCATTTCTCTTCTCGCCATATGCAAGCAAAAATATACAAGAAAACGAGAGAAAGAAAGAAATCATAAAAATCGACTACTGGGATGATTATTCTTATTATTATGATGACCAAGGATTAATGGACAAGATCAACAATGGGGCAGACATTGAGTATGTTCGATACATTTTCTCACCACAGACAACTGATATGAATGATTCCCAAAATATAAATTTGAAAATGCAAGAACAAGATTACTTTGCAAAGGCTCTTGCATCTGGATCTGAACAAGTAGTCTCATTTGTATTAGAGTATGCACGTCTGCAAAACAACCCAAACTTTACCTTTAGAATTGGAACCTGCAATCCCAGGTTGTCGATACATCCCATATTTTGCTCTCGTCATTACATTGATCTCTTGTCAGATCATGTTTGTCAAATGGAGAGAACCTATTCCAATATTGTCCGATCAACACTTGAACAATCCCCAAAGGGTCAGTAGTATGACCAACTAGATTATGTACTCAAATCAGGGTTTTGTCGGTCAATCAATATCGATATTGCAGACTCGATTGCATCCATCATTGATATGACTAGCGGCAATGTCTTTCACCATTTGGTCGAGAGACTGGTTGCCTTTGTCAAAGAATTCCCCAACCATTGTAAATTCCCAAACGAATTGGTCGATAGGTACACAAGAGATGATTACCAAAGCAGTGGTGAATTCATATCCGTCTTTGTAAGAATATTGAATGAATGGGACATCATAGGCCAACCAAGTTTCAGCTTCCCAATCTTGGACAAAAGGATAGTCCATCCTTTGTTTATCGAAAGGTTAACCCAACTGTGTTGTAAGAAACGGATCTACCCCTATGTCGAATTTGTTCCTCAATACATTTTACTCTCGAGTGCAGCCATGACTGCCAATATAAATCTTTACAAACGTGTTTACAAAGCAGTCTCAGCCCTCAACACTATCCTAGCCAGTGAACTTGTCAGAATCCTTTTATTGGTTGTCAATGCAGGTCACTATCATTTTGCAATGAAATACCTAGACACAATGCCTCAAATGGTGCCTTCATACCAGAAATCCTCGATTGAAATTCTATTTAACTTGTATTTTGATTTGGTCAAAAAGGATAGACAATCAAAACAAGAAGATATTGACCAATTCCAAGACTATCAACAACTTGCCAACAAAATTTTAGATCTAGTACCAACCAAAAAAAGATTTGAAATCATCTATTATGCAAAAGAATTGACCGATGAAGAATTCAATATTCTTTGGGTTAGGTTCTCTATTGAGTCAAATGTTGAATTTTGGTTGGACGACCCATCCAAAGATCACAATAACTTTATGTATGATAAAAATTTCTTTAATCATCTTCAAAGATTGTATAGACTCTATCAACAAGATCAACTAGATGAATATCAATACATCAAATATCCAATGAATCCACCTCCATTTGACATTGAATATATTGGAATTTGGAATCAATGTTGACAAAGTTATTATTTCAACAACAAAAATATTAATAATAATAATAGTATAGTAAATAATTATACTCAAGAAGAATATGATCATTTAATGAATTGGGTAATTGAATTTGGTTTCATTCTTGAAAGGGAATAAAATATATTTTAATAAAATATATTTTAATTTTTGTTTGTTTTAATTTTTTTTTTTTTTTTTTTTGTCCTTGACAAGCATTCTAGAAAATTGCATTTACATATTAATACAAAAAAAAGTAGATAATAAATGGAAGATATAAATACAAGAGAAAATAAGAAGATCAAATCACAATTATCAAATCAATCAAATTTAGTATCGTCATTATTCAATCATGTTAGTTCTATTCATCAACAATTAAAGAATACAACTGTTAAAGTATCACTCTGTTAGATTATATTCAATATGATTTATTCTTTAAACATATTGATCAACTTTGGAGTTTAATGTTTACTGATGGTAGATATAGAAATGATCATAGTCATGTAACATGTGTTAGTATATTAATAGTGTTGAATCATATAAAGCACATCATACTAACAAATATACCTTTAGAGATTAACTAGAATCATGACAATTACAATTGATTATAATAATTATTATAATAGAGTATTGCATTCAAACTATGATAGTAATAGATTACAAACGAATGAACAAAAAGAAATGTGATCAAAAGGTCCATTGCCTTGGAGAAAAGATGTTTAATCTGTTGGTAGACGACAATGTATTCATTGAATCTGTTGAATTATTGCATATATTGGCACTGACCGCAATCATGGTGATTGGAGATGTCGATGTTGTTAGAAGTCTGTTCAAACGATATAACATCAACCATTTAAATTTCATTGATATACCTACCGACATATCATTCAAACTATTTGATCAATCGAGCTGATCGATCTTTATTTAGCTGTCAAAACAGTGAATGGACAATAATGTGGTATCACAGTCAACAGTATGGTTGGATACGCCTTGTTTCATGATCGATTGGAACTACTACAATACAAGATATCTTATTATCCATACCAAAATGTTGAAGTCCTCGAAATGACAAACAACAAGATTCGAGAGTATGCAAGAAACAATGAAATACTCTATCTCTATTGTTTGGATTTCAATGATCCATGTCAATTATTGGACATGGTCAGGAATTGTGCTGAATTTGTGTTACGTAAATATATTCACGGTCAAAATAACAATTATGATAGATATTTTCAATTTCGGCTGATAAGATACATGTTTTCAAAGTCGATCGAAAATGGAGTAGAAGATATTGTCAAGTTTGCAGTAGGGTTTTTGACAATTCATGCAGAGTGGAATCAATTCATCCAATCTTTTGTTCTCGTAGATACATTGATTTATTTTCAAAGATACTACCAGACTTTGGAAACCAACCCATTAAAATTGTGAGATCTTTATTTCAACAAACTCCAAAGGGTAATCAAATGGATGAAATCTTCTTCTTTTAAAAAAAGATTTGGAATCCAAACAACAAGAACAGGAGGATCATTATGCATCTGAATTGACAAATGATCAATTTGATTTTCTTTGGGATCACTACTTTAAAGAAATACAAGAAATGAATGAATGGTTGGCAACCCCATCACAACTATTAAATATGATCAATCATTCTTTTCCCATTTACAAAGAATATTTCAATATTTAAATCAAGATCAATCAATAGGTCAATCAACTCATCCTAGGAGATTAAATCCACCTCCATTAACAATTGAATATATTGGAATTTGGAATCAATGTTTAGAAAGTTATTACTTTACCACAAAAAACCAAGATGATGATAGTGACAGTATAGTCAACAGTTACACTTTAGATGAATACAATCAATTTTTAGATCAAGCAAACGACATTGGTTTTATTCCTACAAAGTTATTTTAAATAAAAATCAACCCTTTAGATCAAGGCTGTTTAATTAATCAAAAGTTATCAATGAATCATTTCAAATGCAGATGTGAAAATTGGTTTCTCTTCCAAGAATAGCTACGTTCAATTAGGGAGGCGATTTTGACCTAATCCAAAAAAATTGGTTTTGGAATTCATTTGTCCAAAAATTAAATCGAGTGATGTTGAGGGAAAGAAAAAAGTTAAAAGAAGAAGTAGTAGTACAAGTAGAAGAAAGAGATGTACAAGTTATACACAATAATAATAAGAAGAAGAATTTAGTATCGTCATTATTACAATATATATTGAATCAATCGTATCTTAGAAGACAGATATTCAATCATGTTAGTTCTATTCACAAACAATTAGAGATTGAAACTGTTAAAGTATCATCACTCTTTACTCTGGTTGATTATATTCGATATGGCTTAAATGATTTATTCTTTAAACATATAGATCAACTTTGGATAATGATGTTTACCGACAGTAGATATAGAAATAATAGTGATGTAAGTATATTATTTTGATGTTAAAAAGATTAACATTAAACAATCAACTAACTTTGTTATCTCAATTAACATCTCTATTTTAAAAAAAAAAGAATACAACTACTACTAGATTGATTAGTACAGCTATTCATTATAATAATGATAGAGTATTAGAATACCTTTTGAATAGAATGAAAGAAGAGATTGGACCTTATTATTATCTTATTTATCTGTACAAAGAGATATAAGATTAGAGATTTAAAACTTTAAAGTTTTTCAAATAAAAAATAAATATTTCTTTTATTTGTTTCTTTTTTTAGTATATACATACATTGTTAATACTATTCCTTATTTGATATTATTATTATTATTATAAAAAAACTATTTTTTTGATGGACCAAAAGAACGATCATAAAAAAATTAAAAAAAATACAAAATTATGCAAAGTGATGATCCCGAATCACTCTCCATCTTTCTTTCATTTAATATTAAATCATTCGTATCTTAGAAGAGTGATATTTAATCATGTCAGTTCTATTCATAACCAGTTGAATATTACAACTGTTAAAATATCATCACTCTACACGATAGTTGATTATATTCAATACGGTTTGAATGATCTATTCTTGAAACATATAGATCAACTTTGGTCATTAATGTTTACCGATGGTAGATATACAAATAATAGTGATCATAATGTATGCCACATATCATACAACTTTTATTTTACCTAGATAATTATACTTACTAACTTTTTGTTTATTTTCTTTAGAAATTAAATAGAATAATAACTATAGCAATTCATTTCAATAATGATAGAGCATTGAAATACTTGATAAATAGAATAAGAAAGGAGATTGGACCATTTCAAACAATGGTTAAAGTCAATTATAATCATGGATATGTTAAACAAGGTTATGAAATGGATGTACTATGTCTTTGTTCAATGGTGTTTAATTTGTTGGTACAAGACAATATAATCATTGAATCTAGTGACTTGATGAAAAGAATGGTAAAGACTGCGGTACTTGTTATTGGAGATGTAGATATAGTTAGAACCTTGTTTAAACGTTATAATCGTCAGTTTGGTCACTTGTATACTGAACGCTATCCACTTGGGAGTACGACGCCATCAAAGATCTTTACGCTTTTACAAAGAATGGATGACCAACAGTTTATCAATTTGTATGAAGTGACTAGAAAGTTGAATGGTCAAACTATCGATGGAACTACATATGTAGCCGTACAATCAATGATTCTCAACCGTCCGAATATTACAAAGCATATGTGTATGTCGATGGGTGACCAACTTAGGTTTGGATTTTCAGATTTATTTGTGGACACTACCTCTGACATCCTTGTACAAGAGAATGCAAGAAAGAAACAACTCAATGACTTTAATTACATTATGGTGGATTTTTTGATAATGTAGATCATCAAGGATTGTTGGACAAGATAAGGGATGGAACAGACACCAACTTTTTAAAATACATTACGTCACCACTGACCTACAAAAATCGAACGTTGGAGAAATCAATCACATTGAAATGGAGTTTTCATCTGTCATTGGAAAACGGTGCAACTGATGTAGTGACGTATATTTTGGAGCAAGCTCGAACCCATGGAATCAAATTTGATATTAAATTCATTCGCAAGATACATCCAGTATTTTGTTCACGTCACTATATCGACTTATTGTCACAGTAAGTTACACCATGCTACTCGTCAATGTCGAATATCGTTAGATCTACATTGCAACAAGCTACCAAGGGTCAAGAGTATGAAGAACTAGAGTATGTCCTTGATTCAACATTCTGCTCAACTCTTGTCCTCGATATAGCCGACTCTATCGCATCGATCATTGATGTGGGCCAAGACTCGTATGAGAGGTTGATAACTAAACTGATGGTACATGCAACTGATCATCCACAGAATATTCATGTCCCTTTAGAATCGATTATTAAACACACCACTGACGAGTACCCAGGTAGAAACAGGTTCATTTGTGCCGTTCATACTCGATGATTTTAGAATCAATGAAATCGAACCAGAAGAAACATGTGTACCCAAGATACAGAGGATCATCCATCCACATCTTCTCACTAGATTGGTTCAAAAGATACATTACTGTCCATTCTACCATTTCCTAGCTAGTGCAGCATTGTCAAATGACTTTGACATCTTTATCCAAATCTACAAGATTGGATACCCAGCCAACAAGTTTACAACCTATCAACTCGTCAAAATCCTTGCTTTGGTAATCAATGCCGGTTACTATATGTTTGCTAAAAGGTTTTTACTGTGTATTACTCATATCGACCTCTCCATCATGTCACATACAACTTGTCAAAAGGCAATCAATACTTTATTCAAATTATATTTTGAATTACTCTCTCAAGATCTCAAGCAACGACAACAAGATGTTGCACCCAAGGAAATCGATATAAACTATCAAAAAATGGCATATGAAATTTTAAAATTGGTTGGACCATCCTATCGTCAACATGAAATAATCTACTATGCATCTGGAGTGACAGATGATCAATTTAAAAAACTTTGGAATAGATATTCACAGACCAATCGATTGGACATTCAAAAATGGTTGGCTAATCCATCACAACATCTTAAACAACAACAATTAAAATCAAGATATGATCAACAATTCTTGAATCATTTACAAAGAATTTATAAACATTTAAAACGAAATCAATTAAAAAAACAACAACAACAACAAAATGAATCAACTCAAATTAAAACTAGATTAAATCCACCTCCTTTGGAAATTGAATATATTGGAATTTGGAATCAATGTTTAGAACAATATTATTTCAACAAAGATAATAGTAAATAATTATAGTTTGGAAGAATATAATCATTTTATGGAGTATGCTATAGAAATTGGCTTCGTTCCCTCCCATTTCCAAAAATAAACCAAATTTAGATAGTGGTTGTGTGAGTGTAGTTTGGTTTATTATTTTTTTACTACTGAGAGAAACACAAATCACTATTAATGTTTGAATCATCTGATGGAATTGATAAAAATAATGGTGTATGTATACAACTACTTTAACTTTATAATCTAAAAAAATATTAATATTATTATTAATAATATTGTTTTGTTATTTTCTTTTAGAGATTAAATAAATTGATAACAACATCAATTTATTTTAATAATGATAAAGTATTGGATTACTTTTTAAATAGAATTAAAAAAGAGATTGGACCGTTTCAAACTATGGTTATAGTAGATTATGATAGATCGTATACCAAAGAATTCTTTCTAGGAGAATGAAAAAGAAGAGGATGAAGGAAACATTGGTATGTCTGAAGATTCATTTGATGTTTATGTTGGTGACCCCAATCCAATCAGTACAAAGGTATTTAATATATTGGTTGATGACAATGTATTTATCCTTTCAAAAAGGTGATGCAATTGGTTGCAGAGGCAATGGAACAAGACAAAACCCAAGTTATACGTCATCTTCTCAGGAAACCATACAAATTACATTCTCTCAATGTAATCTCTTCCAACACCACGATAAGAGAGTGTGCCAGAAAGAATGAACTACAAATATTAAGATTGGTAAATTCTGACTTTGGAGAACCACCTGATCCACCCATTAAAGAGGATGGATTGTTAAAAGATATTGTGAATGGAACAGATTTAGAATATCTTAAATACAATACTAGGTTACTCGGTCGTTCCAAAGATTTTATCAAAAGGAGTGGAAATTTGGAAGGTCATTACAAAATGGAGCAGAAACTGTTGTAAAGTATATTTTCGAGTTGGCACAAAGAGAAAGGTTCAAAATTAAATTCCATGCTCTCAAGAGTATCGATCCAATTTTTTGTTCAAGAGATTATATCAATCTATTAAATGAACATAGTATGTTCTCAGTGCATCACATCCTACCAATATAGTTGCACCAACCATTAAACAAGCCTCAAAGGGCAAAGAATATGTAGAACTAGATTTTGTACTCGAATCACCATTTGCAAAATCACTTATCATGGATGTTGTTGATACAGTTCAATCAATCATTTCAATACCTGGTGACTCTAACTATCATTTGATTGAAAGAGTGGCAGAGTATGTTGATCAAAATACCGAAAAATGCATTACCCAGTTATCATCGATTGGCAAGTACATCACCGACGAGTATTCTGCAACACGTGACCAATTAGTATCAATCATTGGAAAGATTCTTGATGACACTGACTTTGATGAAACCCAAAACCTGCCAATGTCCTATTATTCAAGTTTCCCTCAAATGGTATCTACCTCCACCATTTGTCGAAAAAATGGTCACTACGACAAGATATGTCCATTTTACTTCTTCCTCTCGAGTGCAGCCATTTCAACCGACGTTGCTATCTATCAACGTGTATATGATATTGGTTATAACCAAGAAGGGGATGAAAGAGAGGAGATGTATGATCTAGTTAAAATCCTTGGATCACTTGTCAAGGTTGGTCATTTTAGATTTATCAGAGAATTCCTTGAAGTCACACCAATCGAAATGGATTCATTATCTATTGAACAATTCAAAAAGGCAATCAATAAGATATTCAAATTATATTTTAACCTTTTAAAAAAATATTTGGAATCAAAACAAGAAGTAGAACAAGTAGAAGTAGATTATCAACAACTTGCAAATGATATTTTAGAATTAGTAGAATTTGGTACCAACACATCACCAACATGAAATCATTTATTATGCAACTGAATTGACAGATGAACAATTTGATTCACTTTGGATTAGATATTCAAAAATGGTTTTCAACAGTTCAACTCAAACAATTAAAATATGATGAAAAGTTTGCAAATCATTTAGAAAGAATTTATAATCATCTCAAACAAGATCAATTAAAACAATATCAAACAATTCAAATTAAATTAGATCCACCTCCTTTGGATTTAAAATATATTGCAATATTAAATCAATGGTTATATAAATATTATTTCAACAAAGATACTAATAATAATAATAATAATAATAATAATAATAGTTTAATCAATAATTATACTCAAAAAGAATATAATCAATTTATAGATAGAGCAATAGAAATTGGTTTCGTTCCCAATCAATTTAAAAAATAATTTAAAATTATTAAACCAAAATTTAAAACAAAAAAAAAAGAAAGTTGGCAATGCAGATACACACATAAATATTTGTTGATGTTCAATAACAGATAATGGAAGATACAAACAATAGAGATAAGAAAAAGATGAAAGATAAAGAAGAAGAAAGAGGAATAGCAGCAGAGGAAAAGAATGCATTACAAAAGATATTAAATCAAGTTTATATTAGAAAGATACTATTTAATCATGTCAGTTTGATTCATCAACAATTAGAGATTAAAGCAGTTAAATTAACATCACTCTACACAATGATAGATTATATTAAATATGGTTTAAGTGATCTATTTGTGAAACATATTGATCAACTTTGGAGACAAATTGTTTGAATCATCTGATGGTATTTATAGAAATAATAGTAATGTATGTAAACATAGTCAACCTCATCGTCATATTAATAATCATATTAATATTTATTTATTTATTTATTTTCTTTTAGAGATTAAATAAATTGATGACAACATCAATTTATTTTAATAATGATAAAGTATTGGAATACTTGATAAATAGAATTAAAGAAGAGATTGCACCATTTCAAACAATGGTTAATATCGATTATGATAGAATATATGCAAGGGAATTTACATCAGATGAAAATGATAAAAAAGAACAAGAAGAAGAAGATCGACTTAGCAAGTTTGAAGGATTATTTTGTGGTGCTATTATTGGTAGACCCAAGGTTTTGAGTACAGAGGTATTCAATTTATTGGTCGACGACAATGTATTTACCAAATCATTGTGGTTATTGCGTAGCATGCTGGTGACTGCAGTCTCGGTGGTTGGTGACGTACAAATCATTCAAAATCTGTGCAAACGATACAATCTCAAAGATTCACTCAGATCTAGAGATTTGTTTGCAACTACAGATCTCTCCAAGTTGTTCAAGGAAAAGAGTGAAGAAGAGTTGATCCAAATTTTCGAGGCCTACAACATTGCACATAAAGAATACAATCATCATCATCATCATAGTAGCCTTCTTTATAATGACATTTATAATCCTCAAAACCATGATGAAGATGATGAAGATGGTGATGATGATGATGATGATAGTCAAATTGATAATAATAATAATAATAATAATAATAATAATAATAATAATAATAATAATAATAATAATCCAGCTAAATTCTTTGCATCATTGCTTGGAAATATTAGACAAAATATCAAGAGAAATAACCAAGATGATGATCATAACGAAGAAGATGATGATGATGATGAAGATGAAGACGGAGAAGATGATTTTGACGAAAGTTACGGTGAAGAAGAAGATTTCAATGAAGAAGAAGATTACGATGAAGATTACGATGAAGAATTTAGTGAAAGGGTGATACAATTGGTTGCAGAGGCAATGGAACAAGACAAAATCAAGGTCATACAACATCTGATCAATAGACGATACAATTTTCATTCTCTAAATGTCATTTCTTCCAACATTGCAATAAGAAAGAATGCGAGAAAGGAAGAATTACAAAGACTAAGATTGGTAGATTCTGACTTTTCAGAACCACCTGATCCACCCATTAAAGAGGATGGATTGTTAAAAGAATTTTTGGACGGAACAGATTTGAAGTATCTGAAATACAATATTGAATCATTGTGTAAATCCAAAGATTTTATCAACAAGAAGTCGAGATTTGGACTGTCGCTACAAAATGGAGCAGAAAATGTTGTAAACTATATTTTCCAAGTGGCAGAGCGAGATGGGTTCAAAATCAAGTTTCACCATCTCGAAAGTATCGATCCTGTCTTTTGCTCACAACACTATATCAATCTATTGAATCAACATGCTACTTTTGGTGCAACGTATCCTACCAATATTGTCGGCCCCACCATTAAACAAGCCTCAAAGGGCAAAGAATATGTAGAACTAGATTTTGTACTCGAATCACCATTTGCAAAATCACTTATCATGGATGTTGTTGATACAGTTCAATCAATCATTTCAATACCTGGTGACTCTAACTATCATTTGATTGAAAGAGTGGCAGAGTATGTCGGTCAAAATACCGAAAAATGCCTCATCGAACTACCATCGATTCGCAAGTACATCACCGACGAGTATTCTTCAACACGTGACCAATTAGTATCAATCATTGGAAAGATTCTTGATGACACTGACTTTGATGATACTCAAAACCTACCAGAGTCCTACAACTCGGATATCAATTGGTTTCTACCTCCACCACTCGTCGAAAGAATGGTCAGTAGCACACAATATGTCCCATTTTATTTCTTCCTTTCGAGTGCAGCCATGTCAACCGACGTTGATCTCTATCAACGTGTCTATGATATTGGTTATGATGAAGATGGTGAAGAAAACCAAGTTCATATGTATGATCTAGTTAAAATCCTTGGATCACTTGTCAAGGTTGGTCATTTTAGATTTATCAAAGAATTCCTTGAAGCCACACCAATCGAAATGAGTTCATTATCTATTGAACATTTCAAAAAGGCAATTAATAAGATATTCAAATTATATTTTTACCTTTTAAAAAAAGATTTGGAATCAAAACAACAAAAAGAAAAGGTGATGGATGATATTGAACAAAAAGAAGAAGAAAATCAAGTAGAAGAAGAACAAATAGATTATCAACATCTTGCAAATGATATTTTAGAATTAGTACCATCAAGTCGTCAACATGAAATCATTTATTATTCAACTGAATTGACAGATGAACAATTTGATTCACTTTGGATTAGATATTCAGAGGATTTGGATATTCAAAAATGGTTTACAACAGTTCATCTCAAACAATTAAAATATGATGAAAAGTTTGCAAATCATTTAGAAAGAATTTATAATCATCTCAAACAAGATCAATTAAAACAATATCAATCAATTCAAATTAAATTAGATCCACCTCCTTTGGATTTAAGATTTATTGCAATATTAAATCAATGGTTAGATAAATATTATTTCAACAAAGATACAAAGAATAATAATAGTTTAGTTAATAATTATACTCAAAAAGAATATAATCATTTTATTGTTAAAGCAATAGAAATTGGTTTTATTCATTTTAAAAAATAAATTAAATATATATAATTTTATTTAAATAATTCTTTTTAGTTCCAATTGTTTCATATAATTCCATCTTTCAAGTGAAATTGATTTCTCGCCAAATGAAATGGCCAATATTCTTGCCAAGGTAAGCCAATAATGGAATATTTCTTGAGGAGTATCTGGATCTCTTTGTCTTGTACCAACAAAATCATCCTCAATTGCTTTTGTTACTTGTTGACTTGATGCCTCTAATCCATTATTCATTAATAATCCAATATATTGTCTAAATTGATTTAATTTCTCTTTACTTGGTTCTTCTTTTTTAATTTGTTCTAAAGATTTTTTATTTAATTTAACTTGACAAAATGCCTAAAAATAAAAGAAAAAAGAGGACAGTTTATAAATAAAATATTATTATTATTATTATTTTTTTTTTTTTTTACTTACAGGAGTTAAAGATTTACCAAAACTAGTAATTAATAATTGAATATCAGTTTTAATTTCAATTGGATGATATTCAAAATCATATTCGACACGTTGAAAGAGTGCCAAATCTTTGATGGCTTGAAGATTTCTTAGACCTTGTTTGTGAAGTGTACCTTCACGCAACTGTGTCTCGTCAATGATGAGATGAGTGTTTTTCGGTAGTTGCAAGAGTCCAGATACAATACGGTTACGGTCATAATCCTTGAATGGGATAATATCACCGTCATCTAAATTGTCGACAGTCATCTTGAATCGATGTGATCTAGACACCAACTGTTGCAACAATTCTTCCAACGTGTCTACGATTTCTTGATCATTTTGATTGATGATCACATTTAACGAGAAATTACCAAGACACAATCCTTGTGCAACCAAATATACCTTTGAAAATAGATAGACTAGGAAATATTCTGCTGCAGTACTATCTCCATTTAATTGATTGGTTAGATATGTGATCAATTCTTTTCTAATTTCTAAAATTGATTCAATGGTTGGTTGTTGATTAGTTGATTGTTGACTATTGTTGTTGTTGTTGTTGAATGGAGTTGTAGAGTTTGGTAAGAGGTATGGATCTATTTGACGATATGCAATTGCATGAAGTTGTGGAACTAGACTTTCTGGTATTTTATGTGATTGATCTTCAATCTCTAATCCATTCATTAAAATATCGGTCATTTGGTCAATCTGTTCATTATTGTCGAGTGTTGGTGAAGAGGGACTAAACTTTGAAACGACTCCAACAAACTCTACTATTTCATTAATCTTGAATTCTTGGTCCTTTCCATCATATGTCTTTACAATAAATGGTGATAAATGACCATCAATCCCTGATATAGGATAATTGTATGCTTTTTTAATCTCTGATTCTTTTTCATACATTGATGTTGAAGTTGCTTTTGAAGTGGTGGTACTATCATTATTATTATTATTATTATTATTCTTTTTAATCTTTTGATCATCTTCTTTGATTTCTTCTACCATTGGTATATCATCATTTTCAAGTGATCTTTTAGTTGATTTTTTCTCTGTTGTTGCAGGTACCTCTACCTTTTCTTGTTGGTTATTATTATTATTATTATTAATCAAATCACCAACAGCCCAATTATTTTGACAAGGAATAGGGATACAAAATAACATCCCTCTTTCAAATGTTACACCTTCAAAATGATGATCAATAACTTCATCTTGACCAATATTTTCTATACTATTTTTAAATGCATTTGTTTCATATCTCTATAATAATAATAATAAATCATAGTTGGTTTAATATTACTACAATTATACTATTAATATACTAACATACAATTTGATTGGTGTTTGTATTTTTAATTCTACATAGACCACTATAAAATTGAGGATCAAAGATATCTTGTACCATACATTTCATTCGAACCAATCTACCAATACTAGCATCACTTTCACTAACTGATCTAACTTGTGGTAGTGATTGATAGATCGCATCGTCTGCTAGTAGCTTTTCAAAGTGATCTGTAATACCCCATTTCTTTACAATGTTTAGATTCTCTAGTTCATCTTCTTCAGATGCTGCTGTGTTTTGATTAAATGGTGATGATCTTGTTTGATTAACTAGAGATTGACAGTTCTTTTGAAATAACTCTTCAATCACTGTTATAGGATTATCTATTGATCTATTGTTGATGTTTGTATCTGTATCCATTGTTTTTTGAAGCTTTAAATGATCTCTTTGAATATATTGAATCATTGATCTGAGACATTGGCGCCAAATTTTTTTTTTTTTAAAAATATGATAATTTTTATAAATAGGGTTTTATGTGTGTGGATTTGATAGAAATAAACCAAAGTTGGATAAAACGATAGATCACCAATAGGAGAGTGCGATGCGGAAAAAAAAATTTTGTGGTAGTGCAAATAAAAAGTATCTCCCCTTCCGAGAATTGAACTCGGGCCTTTCGCGTGACAGGCGAAAATCCTCACCACTAGACCAAAAGGGAATTTTTGATGTCCCTTAGGATAAAATTTGAGTCTGCTTCGCCGCGCCCCCTTTTTTTTTTTTTTTTTAAGTTTGGAATTTTTCTGTAATAGAGAGAAAGAGATAGAAACAGAGAATTACGTATAGAGTACTATAGAACTTCACTCAATCATCAACTATCTTCAACTATCTTTTATCAACATTACTATTTCTTTTCACACTCACTAAAAGCCACAACTAATTGCCCTAGTGTGCCCCTTGTTCAATTATTTATATCATTATCATTATTATAAATAAGGGGCGCGAGCGAGCATAAGCACTGCCTATATCAAAGATCACCAACAAGAAAAAAAACAAAAAATAAAAAAAATAACCAAAAAAAAAAAAATATCTCGCTCCTTCCTCCATCTCCTTCTCTAATCAACACAATACAGTAGTAAAACAGTATCGAAACAATAGGAATAATAATTTAGGTGGAATTTAATTATCATTACAACAAGTCAATACAGTTTGAAAACAGTATTCACATTACTATTACAATTGGAAATGAACATCATCAACATCCCATCAAAACATCAATCAACAACATAACAATACGAACAACAGAACGATATAAGATAGATAATCATGGTGTAGACACAACCACCAACCATTACTCGACACACATACATATGGATGGTGACACTGGGCACTCCCTCCAACAGTCACGATCTGGTCACTAATCTGACAAAAGAACTATGGATCGTAACTCACAGAACCGTTCAGCCCCCACTCGATTCAACAGGTAAAGAAGCTTCCCGTCGTATTGATGAACAAATAGAACTAATAGCTCCCACCAAGACTTGCCATTTTTGCTTGGATGGAAATAGAACAGACATTTGGCACCCCAAAAAACAGATTGGACTTGTTTCTTCTTTGGAAACTCAGTTCCCATTGCTGGTCAAACAAAGACTTCAATCAATAAAACTTCGCAATCGAAAGAGTAGTGCTCCACCCTACAGGTGGATGCCACGAAATGAGATGCTTAAAAAAAAAAAAACCTCCTTTTTTTTTCTCTCTTACATCGTACTTCATGACATGATCAACGTCCATATAACATGTATCATAGACATGGACAAACCCCCCAGAACAAATTAACTTTAATTCTTCTTGTGATAATCTTTATTTCTTGCTGGTCAATTAAAAAGTATAATTAATAAAACTTTGTAACTTTTGAGTACTACTCTTCCCGATTGGAGAGACCAGGAAAAGAATTACTTTAAAAAAAAAACCCTGATTTTTTTTGCAAAACAAATGATCGGAGTTCTCACTTAATAAAACATAACCAAACGGTAAATAAAAGTATTTAATTTTATTCAATAAAGACCATAAATCTCTCCCTCTTTAAAATATCTTCACTTTATATTAATTTATTTATGGTGAGATTGGGAAAATTCAAGTCTAGATCGCCGAGGCGGCAAGACAATCGAAGTATCAATCGTTACCAAACAAATTAAAACTATAACAAAAATAAAGAAATAATTTAAATGAATTGAATGAATGATATTATTTATTGTGTAAAAGTAAAATATGTATTTATAAACTTTGAAGGGATTCTGTTCAAAAGAATTAATTATTAAATTAATTCATTATTTTCTCTTTCTTGGAGTTGATTGTTTTGATGCTTTTTTGACGACTTTACTGATAATATTTTCAAAATGGTCTTGATCGGGGAGGACAAACATATTCTGTACATGCACTATCATGCTTTTCTTTCCACGCTTTGATTTTTTCTTGCCATGATGGTTGTTTCTTGATCTTTTTCTTTTAACCGACTTTAGATTCTCCATATCTTCTTCTTCTTCTTCCCCTTCCTCTTCATCATTGTCACTTTCCTCTTCATCGTTGTCACTTTCAACATCATCTTCATCGTCACTTTCTTCTTCTTCTTCTTCTTCTTCACTGTCACTTTCTTGATCTACTTTATCCTTGTGAAATGGTAAAGTTGGAAGACATTGAGGTTTGTGAGGACACTTTTCAATGACACTGACAATCTTTTGTCTTTGGAGTTTCTTGGGAGACAGTTTCAAAATTCTCTTGATCTTGGCATGACACTTTACTCTTGTACGGTGACTCATGGAGATTTCACTGATAAGATGTTGTGGATTGATGCATTGCTTGGTAGCACAAATGGTGGAGATTGAGAGACTGTTTGCCGATTTGACGATGGGAATCTTTTTTGTTTCAGCCACTCCTTTTTGATTCATAAATGCCAAGTGTTGAACATTTAATCCCAATTTACCTCCAATCGATCGATGGTGACATACCATGCAACGTCCATTTTCCGTAGTGTCTCCCAAAGCTGAATTCAAGTCGACCGATTGCATTAACTCTCCCAATTGCTCCTCTGTAATGTTGGTTACTTTGAGATGAACATTAGCTTTAGATGTAGGTCCCTTTAATCCAATTGTCTCTTTTTCTAATGTCCTTTGATTTCTAGTGGCAGCGTTGGTGGAGGATGTAGAGGTAGATGGAGTAGGAGGAGGAGTAGGAGGAGTAGGAATGTTTCTCTTGATACCGTTGATATGGGTAGTGGAGGTCGTAGAGGAGGTGGAGGTGGTGGTGAGGTATAGGTCGATGGAGTAGGAGGAGTAGGAGGAGTAGGAATGTTTCTCTTGATACTGTTGCTATGTGCAGTAGAGGCAGTAGAGGAGGTGGAGGTGGTGAATGAGGTATAGGTCGATGGAGTAGTAGGTGGTGTATGAGGAGGAGTGCAAATGTTTCTCTTGATACCGTTGCTATGTGTACCAACATTTGATCGATTTGTTTGGAGTGTAGAGCTACCGGTAGATAGAAATGAAGGTTCAATGGTTTCCTTTCGAAAAGAATGGATAAGTAAACATTTATGTGTAATATTTAACTACCTGTAGTATACATACAGATTGTGGTTTGGTTGGGGTAGCTTGATTCATTGTATCATTATCATCATCATCTTCTTGAGTTGCAAATTCAGATGATTGAGATTGCATGTCAAATGAGTTGTTGTCATCATTATCTACTTTAATTTTGGCATCATGATCATTCTATAGTCAATAATAATTAAGAATAAAAGAATATTAATATTAATGAATTATAATTAATTGGTTAGATCATAAACCAGTAATTAAGTTATTATAATATATAATATCAATACTTACTGCAGAAGAGTCCCCAGCACTTGGACCAAATTTAAAAAAGGAAGGGAGAAACATGTTTCTCATTTCTATATCACTTTAATAAACTATGTAACTATGTAAAGTAGTGTGCAAGTAAAACAATGACGATGACGATGATGATGATGATTTCTTCTTCTTTCTTTCCAATTAAACCAATATCCACCATTTACTCACTATATTGACCACACTTTCATTGTTGTTCGCTAAATTAAAAGATCGACGAAGAGGAGTGTGTTTGATAAAACTTTATACCAAAAAAGAGAGAGAGTTGACCAATAATCATGATAAGAATGACGTTATGGTGGTAAACAAACTTTTGTTCTCTCCTCTAATAAATGACACACCTATTCATACTCGATAATATTATTCTATCTATACAATTGAATTGATTTTATAGTTTGTTTTGATACCTAATAAATAAAATGATCATCGATTGCTTGAGCAAAAAAAAAAATAATTAATTTAAAATTTATTAAATTTTAATTGATTTTGATGGAACTTGAGAGACGAGTAAACGATCAATGATACCAATAAAGTGGTCCTTGTTAGAGAGAACAAATACATTTTGAGAATGCATTGTCACATTAATTGTTGTGCAAGAATCAGCATCCAAATCGGTAGCCTCCATTTCCTCACACTTAGAATGCTTTACCTTTTTCAATCTTGTCTGTTGATTGGATGGTTGGGCTTTTTTTCTTTTAATTGATTGTTGATTGTCAACTTCAATTTCTTCATCATCTTCATCTTCATCTTCATCCTGCACCAGTTCCTCTTCATCTTCAATTTCATCTTCCTCGATCTCATCTGTATCTTGCACCAGTTCCTGTTCCTCGTTCTCTTTCTCCTCTTTATCATCGACATCTATAAAAGTTGGTAAACATTTGGGGTTGTGAGGACAACTGTTTACAACCTCCAAAATTTTGTCTTGGTTCTTTCCCTTCAAGATTACCTTTACTTTTCTGTGACAAGCTCTTCTGGAATTGTGATTCTTGTTTGTCTCTGCCAGAATATGGTCTTTGTTGATGCATGAGGTGGTACCACATATACTGGAAATGCATAAATTATCACGGGCTGTATCATTTGATATCATTCTTGCTTGCGGTCTTCCATGGTGAGTCATGAATACCAAGTGTTGTGGTTTGACTGCAGGGTATCCCATTGACTTTTGTGGATATACCTCGCATCTTGAAGAGTTAAGTGTTGGATTTCCAAATAGTCGGTTGACCTTGAGTAATTCTTTGAGTTTGGTGAAGTGTTCCTCGGTGATCTTCGTCACGTTAAGGTTTTTATCTGCAACGAGTCCAGTGGTTGGTGGATTTACAGTAGAGTCAATATCTTGAGAGATATCGTCAATAGTGTCATCTAAAGATTGTGATGAATCCTCAATATCCTAATAATATACTAAGTGTAAATAAATTGAATTGATTGCTCTTATCAATGATTTTTAATTTTTAAAGTGTAGAACATACCTTTTGAATAGTGATTGTAGGATTCTTAATAGCTGTCTCACTTCCAGGTGTAAGAGGGAGGGTAGGGGATTGGGTATCGAGAAGATTCCTCATGTATGAGGGAAGTAGACTGAACATCTCTTGAGCTAGTTGTACTTGAATAAAATAATGATGATAATGATGACCATTTCTTTGGCTATGTGCACCAATTTATATACAAACTTGATGTTGTTAACTCCTCACTTTTATGATAATGCTTGTCAAATTAGAAGATGGAGGTGAATAAAAAGTTTAACCATGACCAATCTTCTTCATCTCATCCAATAATTTTATCGATGTTCGAGTGTGTCTGGTCTCCCTCTGTCACCTCATCATCATATCGACAAATAGTTGAGGTTGCTATCGTTGTGATGAAGAGTGATAGCTATTAGTGATGTTTAAACAGATCTCTTTGTATGTAATAGATTCAAAAAAAAAAAAAAAAAAAAAGAATAAAGACTATATAAAGTTTTATTAATGGAAATAGATAGACCATTTGGTATTTGTTGGTCTAACTTGATGGACTAAACGTATTCCACCAACGGGACTGTCAGACATACATAAAATAAAATAAAATAAATTAAGTTTAACCAATTGTGGTACCATCTACCATTAATTTTTATCAAAATGTTGTCTTGTTTTGCTGTACTAGAATAGGTATATTAATAGAGATTCGTTTTTAGTTTGTCATGATACTTCAATGGAAATATTTGATTAGAAACATTTATTATTTTGATTAAATTTAAAAAGATTGATGTTGTAAAAGATTATTATTATTTGTTTGAAATAGATTGTCCATTTGTTGGTGGTCTGGCTTGAGAGACTAAACGATTAATAACCCCACCAAAGTTATCATTGTCTGCCATAATAAAAACATTTTGAGAGTGCATTGTAACGTTGATAATGGTCTGACCTGAACTTGTCTTTACCACTTCTACTTCATCTTGAGGATACTTTGTCTTTTTCAAAGCTTGTTTGTTTGTTGTTGTTGTTGACTTTACCTTTTCCTTGGGAATACGTTTTCTTTTGACAGTTTGTTGTTGATTACCATCTTCCTCTTCACTTTCATCCTTTTGATAACCATTGGTAAATGTTGGAATACATTTGGGCTCGTGAGGACAAAGCTTGATGGTTGCTGAAATTTTTCTGTCTTGTGTCTTGAGTTGTTTCTTTAATATATCCTTGATCGTGGTGTGACATTCACCTCTAGATTTAGAGATCTTGTGTGTTTCTGAGAGAATATGGTCTTTGTTGATGCAACCAGCGGTACAACATAATTTGGAGATGCACATGTTGTCTGGCGATTTGGTTTTGGGAATCAATCCTGTTTCCAATCTTCCACGGTGAGCCATGAATGCTACGTGTTGAGGTTTGATGGAAGAAGGTGTTTTGTAAAAAGAATTGTCTGGATATACCTCACATCTTGAAGAGTTGAATGTAGAGTCTCCCAAAACTTTGTTGTCATTGAGTAATCCTTTGAGTTTAGTGAATTGGCTCTCATTGATATCCGACACATCAAGGGGTTCAAATGTGGGTGGAATTTGAGCAGTAGGATTGATACGTGGGCGAGTAATCTTTTTTCTAATAGTAGGATCACTATTAGTATCACTATTTGTATTATCAATCTTTTCACTATCACTATTGTCACTATCACTTTTGTCACTATCACTCTTTTTTGATTTGGTTGATTTGCGAGTTTTCTTGGTCACTGGGGTAGTGTCACCTTCAGATGAATCATCGGATTCCTATATAATTAATAGAGAGTGAGTACATTGTATTGTATTATTATTGTCTCTGTTATCGTATTATTAAGTGTAAAACATACCTGAGCAGTACTGCTGCTTGTTGGTTCTTCATCATCGTCGCCCATTTCAGTTACACTAGGAGCAAGAGGGAATAAATGAAGAGGACGAGGAGGAGGTTGAGGGTTGCGAAAGATAGGAATTCTAGTATATGATGGTAGACTATTAAAGTCAACAATCATCTACTTAACAAGTAAAAATAATGATTTCTTTGTGCGCAACCAAACCAATTTACATAATTAATTAACGCCTCTCTCTCTTGCTCTCTCTCTCTGTGCGCTAACACCACATTTTATTATATTACTATAATAATAAATTAAATGGTTGTTTAGAGATTGGGGTGAGTTGATAAAACTGTGAATATAAAAAATAAAGTTTAACCAACCAATAACATCTTTCTTTCTTTCTTCTTCTTCTTGTAATCGATAATTTTTAACAGATGAATGAGTTGTCTTGTTATCTAATGAGTTGTCTTGCAACTAGATCCCATTAAATATGATCGATCACAATACCAATATTTGTTGATCATCATGATTTAAATTTTAAAGTGATTTATATTTTATATGTTTGGATGATCATTCATCACTTCTTCAAAACAAAATGATTTATTTATTTTTTTTTGTTTCATTTCTTTTTTGCTGGAGCTCTTTTTCTTTTTGGTGGAGTTGGAGTAGTTGGTGTATAACGACTGCGAACATTATCTGGATGATAATGACAACCAAACAATTCAATATAAGTTCTCTTGTCTACACAGACTACACAAAAACATCTTTCAAATGGGTTGGTGGTGTGATCATGTGGCATGTCGTATGGTATCTCGTTGATATCTGGTCTACTAAGACAATACTCGCAACTGTGATCATCTTGATAATCTACCAATGGTTGTTGTGGTTGTTGATTATCTTGGTATTTTTGTTCATATTCTCGTTGTTTTTCTTTTATAATTTGATATAGTTTAAATTTTTCTTGTTGAAAGTACTCTTTTTGTCTCTGGAGTAGTTCGAATCTTTCTTTTTCTTCTTGTTGTTGTTGATACTCTTTTTGTTTTTGGAGTTGTTTGTTTCTTTCTTTTTCCTCTTCTTGTTGTTGTTGATACTCTTTTTGTTTTTGTAATTGTTGGTTTCTTTGTTTTTCTTCTTTTTGTAGCAAATACTCTTTTTGTTTCTGGAGTTGTTGTTGTTTTTGTTGTTGAAGTTGTTGGTATCTCTGTAGTTCTAGATCTTCATGTTGTTGTTGTAGTTGTCTTTCCTCTTCTTTTTGTCGTTGTAGTTGTTGATTATCGAAAAATGATTGTTGTTTTGGTTGTTTGGATGGAGTTGTATGTTTGTCTTTTGGTTCTATTTTAACGGTTGGGATTTTCTTGAAATCATCAACATCATCAGGTGGTTCTATTTTCACCTTTGGAATGGGCATAGATGTGGAAGTGGATGTTGGCGGTGCATCTGGAACCTCTACATCGATACAAGGTATCTTGACAATCTTTTTTGGACGTTCTTCTATTTCTAAATCTGGAACAGACGACTTTGGTTCCATCTTCACTTTAGGAATCTTGATTTTCCTTTTTCTCTTGGGCTCTCTACTTTCATCAATTTCAACTTCGGGTATAGTAGAAGGTTTTGGATGAACAATCTGGGGGTTTGTATTTTGTAGAGGAGGTGGAGGGGGGACGGGTGATATGGTATGTGGGACCACCTTTGGAAACAGTGGTTTTGGGAGAAAGGGAAGATGGTGGCATTCCAATGGACTATCTTTGGAAAATATTGACAAGGAGGTGCTTGTTTCTTTGGAGAAACAGTACCTGGTGGATAATCAATGGTCAGTTGTTGTAGTTTTGCTGAAAATATTATTATTATTATTAATATTATTACTATTATTATTTGTTGGTTTGGGAACATTGGGGTTACTAATTCCTTTATCTGTTCCTGTGGGATTGTTGTTGATCTTTTCCTTGGAAAGAGCACCCATAATATCTATAGTAGATTTGTTTTGATCATTTGTTGTTGTTGTTGTTGATGTTGATGTTGTTTTGGTCAAAGTATTATTATTATTATTATTATTTCTATGATTATTATTATTATTATTACTATTATTATTATTATTTGTTGGTTTAGGAACATTGGGGTTACTAATAGCTTTATCTGCTCCTGTAGGATTGTTGTTGTTGATCTTTGCCTTGGAATTACTAATTGTATGTTTGTTCTCTAAAACATTTTGATTTGATGGTTGATCTTTTGATGTTGTTTTGGCGAAAGTATTATTATTTATATTATTATTATTATTATTATTATTATTATTATTATTATTATTATATGTTGGTTTGGGAACATCCTTGTTGGGTTTACTTGTTTTATCCTTTTCTACAGGATCCATATATTTTTTATACAATCCAATATCATTTTGTCTTGAATCACCAATAGTAGATTTGTTTTGATCTTTTGAGGTTGTTGATATTGATGATGTTGAAGTTGTTGATGTTGATGTTGTTGGTGTTGGTGTTTTGGTGATAGGATGGGTTGTATTGTCCTTATTTGTTGGTTTAGGAACATTGGGGTTACTAATCGTTTATATGCTCCTGTAGGATTGTTGTTGTTGTTGTTGTTGCTGATCTTTTCCTTGGCGTTGCTAATTGATTGTTTGTTGTCCTCTAAAACATTTTGATTTGATGGTTGATCCAGACTGGCATGCGCCATTTTTACTATATTTGTTCTCCGTCCAAGTATTTTTGTTCTCTGTCCAATTGTTATTGTTGCTAATGATTTTTCTATTATTAAAACTATGACCGCTAAAATTATTGCTATTATTATTACTACTATTGTTATTATTATTATTATACCTATTATTGTTATTAAAATGATTACTATTATTGGTGATTGGGTGATTTCTATCCTGTCGTTTCTCTACGTAACTGGCTTCATAGAATTGACTGTAAGTATAATCCATCTCATCATAATCATTGTCATCATAGGAATAATAATTATTAGAATCGTTATAACTACAGCTGTATTCGTCATTGTAATACTTGTCTCTATTGTTGTTGTTATTATTATTATTCTTAAAGTTATTATTATAGTTATTATTGTTATAGTTATTATTATTACAGTTGTTATTATTATAGTTATATCCATTGTCATAATTGTCATCTTTAAAGTTATTACTATTTTGATAGATTTTGGGTGTTTTAAAAAAGTAGGAATACAAGGTGGTTCATGTTTACAAACATTATCCAAAGATCTCATTTCCTCTATGGTGATTCCAGCTCCATGACGTTTGAATATTTTCCTAAAAACATTGTGGCATCCAGCCCTTGTCCTACTGATCGTCTCCACCTCTCTGACCAAGTGACGAGGGTTGACACAATTCTTGGTCGAACATATACTCCAAATAGTCATTCCCTTTGAAATGTCAATCTCCATGGTCTCCTTTCTTCCATGTTCTTGCATAAAAGCAAAGTGATGAGGTGGTGTACCAAGAATAGTCTTGGCAGGATAAACCACACATCTTGATGATTTATATGTGCACGATCCTTTGATTTGTCCATTCTTTAATATTTGTGAATATCTAGTGATTTGAGCAGGTGCTAGTCTAGTAACTTTGAGTGCTTTTTTATAATATTTCTTGTGATCAAAATCTTCTTCTTCTTGTTCTTCTTCATTATCATCCTCTATATTATTATTCTTTTTATCGCTACTATCATTGTTATTATTATCCTTATTTTTCTTATTGTACTTGTTCTTGTTTTTGATCTTATTCTTGTTATACTTATTTTTCTTTTTCTCAAGCTTAATTTGTTTTCTTATGTTCTTGTTTTGCTTTTTCTCTGCTTTTGTCAATTTCTTATGCTTTTTAGTTGTTGGTGATGGTGATGGAGGAGGTTGCGGTGGAGGTGGTGAATGTGGCACAGTTGTTGTAGATGTTGACATTGCTGGTGTCCATAAGAGAGAGAGAGAGAGAAAGAGTATACTAAAAAAAAACTATATACTTTGTTTTGTCAAAGAGAGAGATAAAAATTAAATTAGTGGTTCAAAAAAAAAAAGAAAAGAAGAGATCTGATAAATAAATTTGTTCTTCAAAGAAATAGTAAACAAACAAAGTATTTTTAAATTATCGCATTAATGGTGATTACCATTAAATAAGTTGGTATGTGCCGTATTATTACTGAGATATAATCGTGGTACAGTTAATATAATCCATCCTTTATTATTATTATCTTTCATATTTTCGATTTCTGAAAGGTGATTTCGATGGTGTATTATAACAATATAAGGATGGATTTTTAGATGGAGCGGTATACTTGTCTTTTTGCAAACATTCGTGAAACCAATCTATTTTCGCAATTGTAAACCCAGATAAATTATTAACTTGAATGTCCGATGGTTGGAGCGCTTCCAATGATAGAACAAACAATGGTTTATCAATATGAATGTTAGATATGTCGATAAGAGTTGCACCATGAAACGATAACTCCTTTTCGTACCATTCTTTTTGATCCTGAAAAAAAGAAATTAGATTTGGAATTGATTTGAGGAATATAAGTACATACCTTGTCCTTTGCAAAAACTGATACTTTAGAATAGATACCCAATGTTTTAGGTTTATAAATGTATTGTCCCACAGGCTTCAGTATCCCTTGGCCCATATTATCATCAATCCATGCCTCTTTGACAAATGTGCATCTGAGCTTGTAAAGTTTCGAGTAGGTATGTCTGAACATTACATTATTCGGTACGATATACAAAAATGTGTTCAAGTCACAGACTTCGTCGATTAAATTTCCTCCATTGGCAATGACAATTTCTTGTAAATGGGCTGTGGATAAGAATAATTGTCAATAAATGATTGGTTTGATCCTTAATATTTTGTTTAATTAACATACGCTTATCTTTTAATTGATGACATATATAAATATTTAAAAAGGCAAAAATGCCACTTTTAAGTGAAATTGAATTGTGGTTGGTCTTCTTATTATTATTATTAATGTTGGTTTGAGTTTTAATGTTATTTTTTTTAATGTTGTTTAGATTATTTTGTTGTTGTCTTGCTGTAACAATGTTATTTCGAGTTTTAGTGTTAGTGTTAGTATTACTTTGTTCCAAACCACTTTTACATGACTTGGTTTGTGATGGTGTTGATGGTGGAGTTTTAATTTGAATTGCCTGTATTTTTTTGATTAGGTTCACCTTTTCCTCTTCCTCTTCTTTCTCTTGCTCTTCTTCTTCTTCTTCTTCTTCCTCTACTTCCTGTTCTTCTTCCTCTTGTACATTATTATTATTTTTCTTTTGTTGTTGTTGTTGCTGTTGATTTTGTTGTTTTTGTTGGAATTTTACAATTGATCCCACCTTTATATTAATTAGATTATTAAGGCTATTGATCAAGTTGGTATTTATATTATTTAGGGTGTTTGTCTTTTTGTGTTTATGTGTTGACTGAGGAGTTACTGGATAAGGAGAGGTGGAGGGGGTAGCACTGTTGTTTGAATGTAGTTGTGATGATGATGGAGTTGGTGGAGGAGCAGGTGGTGGAAGAGGTGGTGGTTGATGAGTTGGAGTATTAGGTTGAGAAGAACAAGATGAACTTGAAGCCAACATTGCCTCAAGTTCACGATCACTCAATTGATCATCAAAATCAATTGAACTTATGTTTTCTGTAAATACTATAAATAATAACAATAATAATAGGTTAATATATAAATTATATTATTATTATATATATATTATATAATATACTTTACCTTCAACAAAAAATAAATAATCCATAACTTGAATCTTATCACCATTACATATATAAGTTGGTTGTGTAACCTCTTTGCAATTGACAAATACTGCTTTTGGTTGGAGATTATCAATGTAGATTAAACCAGGTTGAACTACAACGACTCGAGCATACGTCTTTCTCAATCGATCATGTATCTCCAAATCATTGACCTTTTTACCGCCAATAGTATAATCTCTTTTACAAACTAAATGTTCTCTCTTGTCTTCATTCTTGTTCATCTCTGTAAATCTTGCAAATGCTTGACTATTTAAATCGAAAAGAAAAGGTTGATATTAATATACCAAAACATATTGTTTGTCAAACATATAACATACATATATCTTTTATGGAATGAAGATTGGCTATCGACAGCCAATGGATCAGATTCATTGGATGAAGAAGTTGAAGATGCTGAACTAACATAACTGTAAACTGATCCTTGGTTTCCATCCCTATAAATTCTTTGTGTTTGTGGTTGTGATTGTTGTGATTGTTGTTGTGATGATCGTGGACTGGTTTTACTTAATCCACTAACCATCATTTCAGAATCCAATTCCCTTCTTTCGTTTTCTTGTGACGGTTCGAATGGTTGTGACTGCGATTGTTGTGATTGTTGTGATTGTTGTGGTGATTGTTGTGATTGTTGTGATTGTTGTTGATGATTTCTTTTGGTTCTTGTTGATGATGGAAGAGGTGGAGGATTGTCATCTTCGGAAGTGTATCTTTTTCGTCCGAGAAGTTTAATATTATCAGTAGTAGATGGAGGAGATGTAGTAGTATTGGTAGTATTGGTAGAACATGCACTCTCTGAGTATTCTTCAATCTCTGGTTGTCGAGAATCCGATTCAGACAAGTCTGAAGCACCGCTACTACTACCTCCACCGATAGATCCCATCCGTTTATTCCTTCTCACTTGAGATCTATGTATTTCAGCTTGAGCCAAAGATGTTGAGAAATCATAACCTAAAGGAACAATCGCAGTGGATGATATAGATGATGATGATGATGAAGAAGATGTTGAATTGTTAGTGTCTGTATATTGCTGTTGTTGTTGTTGTTGATTACTTTGTGTTTGTTGATTACTTTGTTGTGGTTGCTGTTTACTTTGTTTACTTGGTTGTCGTTGTTGTTTTGGTTGTTTACTTGATTGTTTTGTTTGTTTAGGTTTTGGTTTAGGTATCATATTTGGTGGAGGTAGAGTAATAGGTGTTACTAGATTATTATTACTTTGATTATTATTTATGGTGTTGGTAGTGTTGGCTATAGTCTCTGGCTCTGATGCAGAGAATGACAATGAGTGTGTTTGAGGGTCGACGGCATCAAGCTGCTTTTTAAAGAGATGTAGCTTTTTGAGTGCGTCTAATTTCTTTTGTTGCTCTATTTGTTTGCGACGTATCTCGTGCTCTTCATTGACCATGAGAGGAGGTGACCGATTAAAGAATAGAGGAGGTGGATGATGAGGCGAGGAGGAGGTGGAGGATGCCATGATGATAATGATTGATCCTTTATCCCCCTTTTTGTTTCAAAAAACAATAGATAATAATATAGAATATAGTATAGATTAGATTAGATTAGAGATTTGGAGACCAACTAGTTTAGGTTGAATTGACAAATTTGATGATGATAGTGTTTCCAATAATTATTCATGTGGGTTGTTTGTTTGTGTGAAGAATGTGAACGATCGTTGGATGGATGGATGATGTTCACAACAAAGTTGTTTGTGAGTGTTGTGTGTGAGTGGTGTAAGATGATGATGATGATGGTTGATTGATTGATTGATTGAATGAATGAACAACAATACAATGCAATGACAATAAGATATAAAGACAGAATAGGAGAAGTATAGTAGTAGTAGTATAAGGATTGTAGATTGAATAGGTGACTTTTAATGATATCTCTTTTTGTTGTATCTTATCTCTATCTTTATATATCTCTTATCTTATTTAGAAATAAAAAGGGAATTGCTCTTTCCTTGTTTGTTGTTGTACTTTCAACTTTTCGTTTTTTCGCTTTCGAATTTCTAGAAATAAAATAACTACAACCGATCATCATAGATTAGTAGTAGTACTAATACCAACACCAATACGCGCGGACTACTATAGTTATAGGCTCAAACATTGATAAGGATTCAATTCAAAACACATTAAACATGTTATAGATATAGTTAACTTAACTTTTACAAAAAAGCTAGAGCCTTTCGTCATAAACTGCAAAGTCGTTTCATTTTTGCTCTGTCAAAACCCGACCTCTGTTGTTTGCACAAGGACGAATCAGAAGCACATGGAGGAGAAAAGTTTTTAAATTAATTTTGATTTTTTGGAATAAACCCTGGGCAACATGTTTGATACCTCTTCCATGTTTAGATATGCTGAAACTTCTTAGAACCTCTGATTGTAGTTCTTGGTCGCCACCTGTATGTCTATTTAACGTGGATTATATTTGTTTTCTAATGCGTTGGACTTGTCTTAATGGGTATGTTGGTTTAACGCGATTGCCAATGAATGGTTGAAAGACTGCTCCTGTTGGTGGTGTTGTGATTGTTGTTGTTGTTGCTACTGCTGCTGGAGATGCAGTGATAGTTTGGGCTGCTGAACTCATGATGAATATGTTTAAAATGAAGATAAAAATATATCTATAATATTGATAATTCATTAAATATCTTTTAATATCAATTTAATTAAATTAAATTGATTGTAATGATAGAGATAGACATATATCTCACTGCAAAAGGTCGAGGGTACCGATTTTGCTTTTTTTAGAATTCTCGATTGGTTGGGTCGAGGTCGAGGGGGTCAAATAAAAAAAAAAAAAGTTCGAAAAAGGGTACGAGTCCACGAGGAACCCTCGGCGTCGAGGTACCGATTTTTTTAGTATGAAAAAAAGGAGTAATCCTTTCTTTCATTATTTTTTAAATTTTTATTTATATATATAATTATGACCATTGTATTTGTCTTGCCAAGGAGAATGTTGTAGTGCTTTTCTTTTTTAAAAAAAAATTAATTTTCAAACTTTATTATCTTGACCATCCACCAATATTCACGCTGCTGTTATCTTCGTCTGGTTTAGAGCTATTTGAACAAAACTTTCGAGAATATACAACTACATCAATAAACTATCTTTTTATATTATACCTTGTATGCTACATTTTCTTGTTTACTATTGAATAGAATAAATAAAATAAAGATAGAATAGAGAAGTATAGAATAGACAAAGATATCGTTGTCTTGTCGGTTTGCACAAAAAAAAAAGGTGAACTTTTTTAAAATTTATTTTACATCTCAGACGACCATCAATTCTGGTCCCTTCGACCTTTTGTAGTGCTTGAATCTTGCTGACTTTGAGAAAAAAATATTTCAAAAACTCTTTGAAACAAAACACTCATGTATAATATTTCATGTAGTGAATCACTCGTGATATGACTATTTAATATTATTAAATCTTTTTAATTTATTTCATTATATTTAACAAGTGTTACGATTGAATATAGATAGTATAAAAAAAATAAATAAAAAAAATAATAGTATTACATGTGCTATTAATAAGTAGTTACTTATTAATAGCACATGTTGTCGCAAGTATCGCTTTCTTACTTATTTAGTACCAAACGAAGGCATCTTCCACATGACCCGAAACCCCGAAACAATTAAAATCAATTTGCTTGATTTATCACCATGCACAAGTTCGGTGAACCATTGCACACGTGGCTCGCAAAAGATTCGAGCAATTGATCTAAATAATTTTAATTTTTTTCAATCACACTCCCTTCCGATTCTATTTAAAGTTATCAAAAAAATTTTAAGGTATATCTATATATCTATCTATCTATCTATCTATCTATCTATCTATCTATCTTCTATCTTCTATCTATCTTCTATCTATCTCTATCTATCTATTATCTTAAAGTTTAACGAATGAGTAGTAATAATAATCAAGATTCAATGCAGATTGAATCTTCAACAACTACCAACAATAATAATAATAATAATAATAATAATAATAATAATAATAATAATAATAATAATAATAATAATAATAATAATAATAATAATAATAATAATAATAATAATAATAATAATAATAGTAATAAGAATAACATCTTCGAGGGTCTTTACGACCCCGAAGATAACACAACCCGATCAACCTGAAAAAACACCATCCAACAAAAAGAAGCCTCCCAAGAGGAAAAAAATAGAATTCGATCAACCACCACCACCACCAAAACCAAAGGAGAAGAAGAAACCAGTAAAAAGAGTCAAAAAGGACGACTCGACCACTTTTACATCTACCACTCCAATGGATCCTGATGATGATGATCAAACCATCTCTACAACTACAACCTCCTCCTCCTCCTCCTCCTCCTCCTCCTCCTCCTCCTCCTCCTCAGTTGACCCACCGGTTTCCAAACCAAAGTCAAAGCCTGCTGGAAAGAACAAGGCTCCAACGTCAAAGGCTGGGAAGCCTGCTGGAAAGAACAAGGCTTCAAACGCCAATCGACCATCAATCATCTTCAAAGAGGGTGAATCGTTACCAGACTCTCAATTATCATACACTTCATACGTAATGAAGTATTCAACAATTGTGAGTAACGAAACTCAAAAGAAAAAGAAGAAGAAAAAGAAATCAAACTCTTCATCATCATCATATTGGACGTTCAAATCTATGGACATTACAGATGACCAATCATCATCATCATCATCATCATCATCATCGTCATCGTCATCGTCAACAACGTCCAACAATATGGACACTACAGATGACCAATCAACAACAACAACAACAACAACAACAACAATATCACCAGTACCAACAAACGACGAACTAATTCAGAGCATTAGAAAGTTGGCCAATTTTATTGGAAATCAAACCACAACTTTTCTCAATCTAATAGCCACCAACAACAAGTGCTTTGAGTCAAATGGAACACCTGTTCCATTTGTTGTTAAGTTTTTTCAAACTCAATGCAAGCTTACTGAAAGTAAGTCAAGAAAAAGAAAAAGAAAAAAAAAGATAATGAATCAATCAAAAACTAACTCTTTTTTTTTTCTTTAGATCAACTAAAAGAAAATCTCACCACTTTTAGATTTGACAGAACGTCGATTGAATGGATGATAAGATACTTTGCTCTTGGAGGAGACGCTATTTTTTCAGCAATGGGTAAACATCCGGTACCTCGTATTGACACCGTGGAGGATCTATCCAATGATTCAATTTACTCATTGTAAGATTTTAATTTATTTTAATTACCATAGTAGAGGTGGTTAGTAGTGTCTAAATTGGTGACTAATTTAATTTAATTTAATTTATTTTAATTTATTTCTTTGTAGATGCTTTTTCATGAAACATGTTGCTCCATTTTTGGAAAAAGAGATGCAAAAGAGACCCAAAATGCTTCAAATGCTTCAAAAGTTGAGACAGTTCCGTTGTAACAACTCAAAAAACTGGGTTAATGTGATCGTGATCAACATTAAAAATAATATCATGGTTTCAACTTGTATGTCATATAAATATATAAATATAGTTTTATGATCATTTATATTTTCCCTATTATTAATTCTTTTTTCTTTTTCTTTTTCTTCTTATTCTAGATAACCATTTAAAACAGTTGTTAAACACCTACAAGGATAGGAAGATAAAGGATCTTGGAAAGAACCAAGAAGAAATTAAAAAGGTTAAAAAGTTGGTTCGTGATACTATTTATAATTTTTCTAATACGAGATTAAAAAGAGCTGAGAAAGACCAACAACCAGTTCAAGAAGAAGGTGAAGAAGATGAAGAAGGTGAAGAAGATGAAGAAGGTGAAGAAGAAGAAGATGAAGAAAAGAAAGCAGACCGTGTTGTCACATATGATCTATCAGATGGTGTCTACAAAACCATAGAAATCCTTGGTGGTAAGCAAAAAAAAAAACAAACCTATTTAATATAATATTCATATATTAATTTATTTTCAATCTTTTTTATTTATTTATTTATTTATAGGTTATAACCAACAAGTTATTGATGAGTATAACAACTTATCAGATGACAAGAAGAAGAAAAAGGAAGCAAAATATGACAATCGGGTGAGCAGAAGAAAAAATATTATCAAAAAGAAAAAGGAAGATGCTCACAAAAGAAGGGAAGCTATCATAAAGGAAAGAAGAGAAGCTTCTATCAAGTTGCAAAAGTCCCCAAATACATCTTTGACAGTTGATGATTTGACAAACTCACCATCTTCATCACCCAACACATCTTCACCACGCAACCCAAAAGGTAAATTCAATCAAAGAATGAAACATGACAGCATTCGAATCCGCGAGTTGGATGAACTGAAGAAGATCACAATAGAGGCAGAAAAAAGAAATGCTGATCTCCAACAGATTAGCGATACCCGAACACCAACCGTGTTTATTCCCGGGCTCATCAATATTTCATCCATTATACCATCTCTTGGGTAGGTTAAATATATTTATATATTTATGTATCTATTAATTATAAATCAATGTATTAACTTTTATTATTATTCCTATTATTTATTCATTTTAATAGATTTGATATCCAATTCATGTTTACAAGAGAACATGCTAAAAACCTTTTGAAATGTTTGGGTTTAAAAAAGGCCAATGTCGAAAAAGATCACGAGGGTAACCCAAGCTATGCCATCGCCACTCTCTTCCCAGGCTTGTACAAATACGATCCAAGGCTTTTCACAAACACCAAGAGGGTGTATCTTCCGGCCACCCCTCCCACTGATGTTGAAAAACAAAAGGATGAGGAAAGGAGGAAAACAAACAATGACAATAGATTTGCAAGCGTAAGTATTTCAATATTTATTACATTCACAAATTATTATTTCAATTACTAATTTTCTTTCTTTAGGCATTAAAGAAATATAAAGGTAATGAAGATGTGGCAAGGGTAGCTGCTACTTTGCAAACTGGAGAAAAGGCAAAGAATGCAATTGAACAACACAACAAATTGCATGGTTTTAAAAAAGGATCTCATGATAAAAATCGAGCACTTCTTGCAAAAGGCACAATAACTTTTTCGAAAGAAGAAATGTTTCAAGAGATAGTAAACAAAGGAGTAAAGTATGAAAATACCTCAACTACCACTACACCATCTACTTCTTCATCTTCATCATCTTTACCATATGTCACAGTAACATTCGACAAGAAGGTGTCTGTCACCACCAATGGTGCATCAGCCACCGTGACTTTTAGAACAATCAAGTACAAGCCTGGGAACAAACCCAACAAGCTGTACAACAAGCAAGTTGCAATGGAGAAAGAATTTGCTGGAAAGTCTTTGAAGGATGTCATTGCCATTGGTATCGATCCCAACACGTGCTCAATTACTGTCGTTAACAATCACGATGACAAGGTTCTGGACATGAGAATGGATACTCTTATGGTTAAAAGAAACACCAAGTTTCTTTTAGAGAAAATCTCTTGTCATATGGGAAAGGCCATCAAAAGTTTTGAATCCTGTTTACCATCTCTCAAGTGTATGTATACATTTTATAATATTTGTTTGTTTTATTTTAATTATTAAATAATTATTAATTCATTATTTTTTTATTTATATATTTATATATAGTCAATGTCCTTAACCCTCAAACATTCCAATCTAGGCTGGACTATTATGAAAAGTATTGTGATTATTTCGATATCTATTTCGAAGCCATCAATGATCCAATCGTACTATCTTGGAAGAGGAACTTTGCTTTCAAAAAGCAAAAGTTGAACAAAGAGTTTTACCAACAATTTGACAACTACATTCTTGATCTCTTTAAAGATCATTTCCCAACCAAGTATTCAAGTATGAACGATTCTGAAAGGAATCAGTACATTCAAGACAATACAATCATATGTATGTATTTATAAATCATTTTCAAAAAGAATATTAATGTATTAAAAAGTGTATATATATTAATATGTATTTTTTTTTTCCTTTTTTCCTTTTCCTTTTTTTTTTAAAATAGTTTTTGGAAATGCCAAATTTGGACACAACACTCGTGGCAAGGTAACAACATTTGCAGCCAAGACTGTTGCCAACAAGTTAAAGTCCAAACAATATTCCGTTGTCTATATTAATGAATACAACACGTCAAGAGTAAGTTTCTTAATTAAAATTATCATTTTATTTAAACATTTAATTAAATTTATTAATTCTCTTTAAACTTTTTAGCAACATTTTGATTGTTTTTTCCACCAAGAGGAGGAAAACTTGATCCATCATGACCTCAACGAACCTCATGAGGATCCAAAGGATGGTTTTCATCTGGAGAAATGCCATCTCAAGCTTGGTAAAGAAAAGGATGGAGGCCAACCGACCAATGTCCAACAGTGCTCACCTATCAGCGAAGCATGTCAATCCGCTGCTAAAGGTAATAGTTTCCTTCGATGCAGTGACCACCGGCATCGTTTAGCACTCGTCAAGCAAGACACCCATTCAAAAGAATACAAAGAGTCGTTGGGGTTCCTCAAATCCATCGATGATTTGGACAAGAAACTCCAATCACACAATCTTTTGAATGTGGCAGGTCAATGTCGAACAAGGAAGGTGACACCGTCAGATGTTGCCGGTTCGGAGACTGAATCGCGTCAGGACTCTCAAAAAGTTGCCTCGACCCAATCGTCTTCGTCATCAACAAAAAAGTTCGACTATCGACACGGACAGAATAAATATGGTCCAGAGATTAGAAAAGCAAGTAAGTCCCTACACAACAAGCACAGAATGGCTGTGTCCTGGAAACGTGTTTTGTGCACTGGTTGTGGAAAAAGTTTCAACCGGGATGTTAATGCAGCACGTAATATGCTGCTACTTGGTATTTTTAAAGTTTGGAAAAATGGTCACCGTCCGTCAAGATATGGAAAGACAAATTAATTGCCAGGGTAAAAACCGAGGCATCAACACAATTTGGGCTCTCAAAGGTATGATTATATTTATTTCATTTTTTGAGTCATACTAACTCTCTTTTTTTTTTTTCAAATCTCTTTGTAAAAATTTTCAATTTTTTCTCCTCATTTTGAAATAAAGGCTCAAATGACTCATTTTTGAAGTACTTCACCACCCTCTATCTATCTATATTTGTAGTAGTGTTTGAGTACATGCATACAACAACAACATAATAAATATATTTTACATTCAGTCTTATTTATTTATTCATTGCCAGAAGTAGTATTTTAGTTTAAAATAATAATAATCAAAAACTCTTAGAAAAGAGTATAGTAGTAGCTAGCAAGTAACAACAATGAGCAATGGAGGTTGGTTTGCGTCATTAACAGATCAACTCAATCAGATCAAAGATGTTATGACAACAGAGACAGAGTATGATGAAGAGTATCGTCGTATGAATGAAGAAAAGAATGGCAGTAATCTAAATGGAAACCATTCAAGTAGTCAAATGATTGACAATCAACAACAAGATAACGATGATCCTGTTTTATTAAGAGCTCAAGTAAATATAATATAATATATAATATAGTACATTCATGTGAACACTCTTACTTAATTGATTATTAATTTTATCTAGATTAACAAATATAAAGAGACTGTTGGAGATATGGAAAAGAGGGTACAGGAGTCTGAAGAAAGGATTGTATCTGTTTCAAAGGAATTTGGTTCACTCATGTCTGAAAAACAAAAAGAGATGGACGATTTGAAATCTGTTATTGTTAATCTAAAGAATTCAATCATTTCACCTCAAACAACAATGACAACGACAACGACAGAAGATGAAAATGATACAAATACAAACAATGATGGAACAATAGAAAATGTAAAGATTAATAATACAAACTTGGGAATAACATTTGAAAATGATGTTAATTTAATTTATGAAGATAATCATAATAATCATGGAAATCAAAATGGTGGATCAAATAATAATAATAATAATAATAATAATGAAGATGAAATTAATTATTTAAAGGAACAATTAAAGGTAGGTAGAATTTGGTTTAGTAATTTACTGATATTTGTTATCTTGGATGAAAACTAATCAAAAAGTTTTGTTGTTATTGTTGTTGATATGTAGAACCAATCGGAAAATTATCAAAATGAAATTGTAACATTACAATCATTACAAAAGGAAAAGATATATAAAATGAATCATCAATTGGAAACATTACAAGAAGAAAATGAGGTATTAAGAAATCAACAAGATGGTGATCAATCAAAATGGACATTGGTAGTTGATAATTTAAAGAAACAAAATGAATCATTTGAAAATCAATTTAAAGAAATTCATTCTTTTTTCAACAATAATAATAGTAATAATAATAGTAATAATAATAGTGATGATGAATCGACATTTACACTTTTAAAACAATTAATTGAGTCAAAAGATCAAGAAATTAAACAATTAAAAACAACTATAGAATCAACTCCTCCTCCACCACCATCACCACAACCTGTTGTTGTTGTAACATCTACCGAATCAGATAATAATAATAATATAAAAGATCAATCTGAAAAAGGAGGAGAAACAAAAGAACAATTAAAAGAACAAATAACAAAATCAACCAAAGAATTGACAAGATTAAGACAATATTTAATTGAAGTTGAAGAAAATCATACTATATCAGATTTGGATAATGAAGAAAAAATCAATGAATTAACTCAAAAGTATGTAGAATATTAGAAACACAAAACAAATATAAACATATATATTTATTTATTATTTTTTTAGATTAAAAGAATTTGAAGAAAAGAGTAAAAATAGTAATGAAATGAATCAAGAGATTGAAAGATTAAGAAATGAATTGAATGAAAAAGAGGAAGAGGTGAAACGATCAAATGTTGTAATTAATAATCTAAACTCTGTATTAGAACAATTCCAAGCGGATCAAGAATCAGCCATCCAAACTGAATTGGTTGGAGTCAATCAAAAGCTCAAAGAATCGTTGCAAGAGATTGACAAGCTCAAACTAGAGAAACAAATGTTTGAACGATTAAAATTGGAATATGCAGAGTCACAACAAACCATTGTCGATTGTAACATTCAACTAGAACTCAAAGCCAAAGAATTGTACACTTTGCGAGAGGATATTGAACCACTCAAAAAGGCATTTGACAAAAACATCATGCGTCTCAGTGACATGTGTCTCAATGAACAAGATTCTGTAGATAAACGTGTCGTTAGTAAATTGTTCCTTACTTATTTCAAGGGTAACAAAAAGACTGAAGTTTTGGCTCTCATCGCTAAAATGTTATCATTTACTGAAGATGAAAAGATTTCTGTATGTCAAAAAATACAAAGTATATTAAAAAAAATATAGATATTAATATTTATTTAATTTAATTTATTTAGATTGGATTAACAAAGAGACAATGGTCAATACCATTCTTTGGAGCGCAAATGACACCAGGTGGTAGTATAAATAATGGTACTGAAGGTGATAAATCAGTTACAGACATGTGGATTGAATTTTTATTAAAAGAAGCTGGAAATAGTTTGGATGAACAACAACAAACTAGTACTTCTACTACGACTACACCATTTTCAACACCAACAAAGTATCAACCTGCCAATGGAAATATGGCACCACCTCCTTCTCCGTCCACTCCATATCGTCCATCCATCACTTCATCTCCAATCAATAATGGATCTGTCGGCGGTGGAAATATAATTGGAAAATTAAAATCAAATGTAATACTTGATGGTGATGTCCCAAGTCATCTATAATATAATATTTAAATTAAATAATAATTAATAAATAATAAATAATTATAATTAGGATTTATATACTAGTATATATATCTATTTTTAATCTAAATAATTTACAAAAAAATTCAAAAAAATCGAAAATTTTGAAGTAGTCAACCTTAAAACGAACGAATGAACCGACTCACCTCCCTTCGTTTTAAAAGATATAAAGAGAGTGACAGTACGATATATATATATAGAGAATGGAAGGACAACAACAACCAATTCAACACCAACCAACAAATGAAGAGATTTGGACAATCTTTGATGAAGCAGTAGCACGTATCTTTAAACAATGGACAGCATTACAATTGGCAGTAGAGAATCAATGGGGAGGATTCGGATCTTCTTCAAAGGCTGAAGAGATGAGACAAGATGTATTGGACTTGTTCTTGATGGGTAAACCCGTACATACAGATATGATTGCACCTATTCTCGAGGATTGTCTTTCACAGGAATTAAATACCGTTGCAGAGGATCAAAGCTGCGGTGAAGTTGCTGAACTCGTCGTTCAAGCATTCAACCTTTGTGTTCGTGGTCAATTTGCTCAAGTAGTTCAATTAATCGGACCTGAAATGGGTTCAGCTGTAGATAGATGTATTAAACCAATGAATGATGATGTATGTAAAAAAATGTAAAAGTAATTTATATTTGTACGTGTGTCACAACTAATCATTCATATTTAAATTTAAGGATTCTGATGAAGATATTGATGGAGATGGTGATGATAGTATGATGGAAGATGATTCAGACATGACAGAAAATAATAATGATAATAATAATGATAATAATAATAGAAAGAAAAATGAACCAGATGAAGATGGTTGGGTTACAGTTGGAAGAAGAAGATAAATATAAAATAAACGCAACAAAATCAAAATACTTATAGATAATATAATATAATATAATATATAGCCATTTACAAAATAATCGATTTGATTTATTATATAATATAAATAATAATTAATAATTAATAATGGTTTGGTTGATTTGATTTTTGGAACACATCCAATGTTTAATTCTCTTTTAATTCATTTAATTCTTCATTTTAAGAAATTAATTAATTATTTGTTATTGTTTGGTGGTTGATTGTTTGATTGGTTATTGTTGGTTGGGTTAGGGTTGTATTGTTTTGTTTTGTACATGGAAGAACAGGTGGATGGGTAAACTAACTTAACTAAAAAAAAAAAAAGAATTCCATAATTATTCCAGAGAGACACAAGTTATCTTTTTCTCTCTTTCTCTCTCTATCACAAAGCTTTTTTCTTTTCAAATGATAGTTTTGATTGATAGAAATCAATCACCATTTGTGGTTCTATAATACGAAGTTCATTACTCGTAACATATGAGCATTCGGATTTACCAACCCTAAAAATAAATAGTATTAATATTTATATCTTTATCCATTTCTATCTATCCGATCTATCTATCTATTTTACCATTTAATAAAAAACATGATTTCATTATTGTTTTCTTTACAACCCATGATTTTATCAACTTTTTCACCTGGAGGGAAACCAATCTTGACGGGAGTACCACCAATGTTTGCAGCAGCCATACTGCTGTTACGAGTGGATCGCTTTCCATTGACATTTGAGAATTCATCTTTTTCCTCTTTGGTGTCGTCTTTGGAGGCAGACTTTGATTTTTTGGTTGGTGTTGTTGGAGGTTCAGAGGTTCTCTTTTTGTTGGTTGTGGTTTGTGCCTTTTTCTTTGGTGTTGGCTTTTTGTTATCTTTTTTGTTGTTGCTCTTTGTTTCCTCTTCTTCTTCATCTTCATCATCATCATCGTCTCCCATCTCGGCATCGATCGTTTCAAAGGGGAATTTAAACTCCTCTTCAATACTTTTTTGTGATTCTGCACTCTCCTTGTCCTTGAATTCTTCTTCAAGTTTATCTACCAAGTCTGAACAAAACACATGTGCTGAATCTTCCCATGTTGAATCCTTTCTTGCATATGAATCCCATTTTATCAAATAAAATGTTTTGTTTCTCTAGAAATTATTATAACAAACAACAAACAATAATATTAACATAAGTAAGTAATCAGTCAAGTCAATCATTACAGTATAAAATAACATTCTTTCTCTCTTTCTCTTTCTCTTTTCTATCCTTTGTATTCCCTTTTACACTCTCTATTCCCTCTACTCTACTTTTTAACAAAAGACATACATATACTTTTCTAGCTAGAATCTCTTCAACGTTGAATTCTGGTTCTTCTTCAACCTCTTCTGTCTTCTTTGTTTGTTTCTTCTTTTTTGCCATAGCTTTATAACTATTATTATTAGTCTAATATAAAAATATACACAACAACAATCTCTTGTTTTTGATATTAATTAACAAAAACACAATGAAACCTTTCGAACATCACACACAAACCCCATCTTTAAGTTTTTGCACAGAGTGCCAGCTCCGCCATCATAATGATTTCGAATTTTTGACATCGGTCGTTTCAAAGATAGTAATAATAGTAGTAATAATAATGTCAAGTAGAGTGATTAAAGAGAATCAAAAGTTAGTATTGAGTTTGTATCGTAGATGTCTACGATCAGCATTACAATGTCCAAAGTTTTCGAATCGTGAAATGATGTTAAAGTATACTAGATCAAAGTTTGGGTATGTAAACAATAAACAAACAAATAACATACAAAGATAATAGTATTAATAGTTTGTACAATTTAGTGATAATAAGGAATACAATGTAAAGGATTTTGATACAGTTGAACTATTATTGAAACAAGGTGAAGAGGAATTAACATCGATGAATCAATATCATCAAAGTATGTAGTTTCAAGAACAATATTTATTTATTTAAGACCTATGTTCTAACCTCTTTTAATAGTGAGAGAATTGAAAAAGAAAGGTGAAGAACCAGATCACGATAAAATATTTGGTGTTGATCATTAATCAGAATCTTGGTGTGAATAAGAATGATGAATAGGAATGAATAGAAAGAATTCAACAATTGTGTCGATTTATCATCATTCCCCCAAATATAGTTAACAAAGTAATTAATTAACAAAGTAATTAATTAATATTTGTCATGTTTGGAAATGCAGCCATATATCAAGTGAATGGCAATATAATATCGATATTTGTTTGGAATTCAAAATAATAATTATTAAACCATGGTTCCACAAACAACAAGAAAGAAAAAAAGAAAAGAAAATAGTTACATGTACATGGTTGGTTATATAGGGTGGTTGGTTAATATGGTTTTATTAATTTAAATTTCTCTACAATGATAATAATAAATCTCCTTTTTTTTTTAAGAGGAGGGTAAAGAGGATATAGAAACTTCAATTTCATCCTTTTCTCTTTCTTCAACATTTGTCTTTTCTTCTTCTTTTTCTACTTCTTCTTGATCAACAACAAGATTATCATTTACAATTTCCTCTTCCTCTTCCTCCTCCTTTTCTTCTATTTTTTCCACCTCTTCCACTTTCTTTTCTTCTACTTGTATTTCTTGATCTTGTTCTATTTCATCATCATCATCATCTTTAATGGTGACAACTATTTCATTATCACTATATTCTTTTAAAATATTTTCAAGTTCATCATCATCTATTTCCTTTTCCATTTCCTTTTCCTTTTCCTTTTCTTCATTTGTAATAGTGATAGATGGATTTGTTGAAATATCTATAGTTGGTAATATTTCATCATTTGATAATTTTGGTGATCTTGTAGAACCAACTGGTGTCGAAGGAGTACTTGGTGTACTACTATAACTATTGTTGTATTCGTTATAGTCATTATTATAACTACTACCACTACCACTATTATTATTATTATTATTAATATTATTACTACCACTATTTGATTGAATAAAAAACGAATGATTTAAGGCTTGTTTAGCAGTTATTCTATTGTGTGGACAGAATTGTAAAAGTTGGATGATAAAATCTAGAGTTGTCTTGTCGGCACGAGATATATATTTTTTGAGAATGACGATTGTGTCTTCGAATGGAACTGGGAGACTACTGGCATGTGCCAACAACTCGTTTCCTTGATCGTCCATATTACACTGTACACTCATTTGTTCAATATCTTTGGAGAATGGTCTTCCTACGACCTTGATCATCGATTCTAGCAGTGTCTTGTCATCGTGTCCGTGGAAGAGTGGGGTGGTTTCACGCTCAGTTTGTGTTTGCAAGAGGAAGATGAGGACGACTCCCAACGACCACATGTCAGACGACGTGTTGATGGCACGACTAAGGATTTCTGGTGCAATATAATAGTTTCCATCTTCATCAACTTCGCTGGCATACCCACCGAGTGCACGCATGATACCTAGATGAGTGAGACGTACTTGGTGGTCGGACCCAATGAGAACGTGGCTTGGAGACAGGTCGCGAATGACTAGTTGGCGGTCATGGAGATGTGACAGACATAGTAGGATTTGATGGACGATACTTTGGACGAGGGGTAATGGGACGGTGTGATTGTCAAACTCTTCGACAAACTGTTTAATATCACCGCCTGAACAATACTCCATGACGACATTAGTTGATTGCTGGTTGTTGATGGTTCGGGCAGTCCAGATATTAGTGAGATTGGGATGAGATGAAGGTGGTTGGATGGGGACACCCGGTGGCAGCATCTTGATGGCAACCAACTGGGGTGCAGAGGGTCCGTTTTCAATACCTATAAACACATTACTTGCATGTACAGATACTAACGGTCCTACATGATACTTGTATTGGTGTTCGGCAACACTACTATTAATATTGTCACGACGAATCAAAGGGAATGAATTAGAAATATGTGTGTTTAGAGCCAACTCTAAATCAACCTTTGACCGACGCAATGACTCGCTGTTGGAGAGTAACAAATGGACGGTACGATTAACAAGTTTAGGGAGACGTTGATCGAATCGTTGTAACTCGGTTTCAGTCGACTTGTCAAACTCTTCCAACTCGCGACGATGTCTCTCGACAATCTCTTGACGACGTCTAGCTATATCCAACTCTTTAGTATCACGTGCCTTTTCAGGGTGTAGTACAGTCTGTCCGATCGCCTGATCCACAACCAACTCGTGCAGACTTGTACTATACTCTTTGTCCAACTCTACAACCAACTGCTTTAAACGTGTCAATTCTTCGTTAAACTTTGATCGTCTCAATCTTGATATATCATCCTTTTCGTCAAACAGGTCAAAAGACAGTTTGGAAAGCTGAGACATCCTGTCGATGAGGTTCTTGGACGTCTCGTCATGTTCGTCTATAATCTCTTTTGAATTGTCGTCAATCTCGATGAATCTCAGATCCTCCAACCCCTTTTCAATCGTAGTCGAGTCCAATTGTGACAATGAGTTGCTGAGTTGTTCCAACTCTCGGTCCAACTCTTCTTCAATTCTAAGTTGTTTTTCAGACTGTGCCGACAGTATCATTGATGATGAAGACAGTGGTGGAGATGATGCCATCATCATTGATTGAGTACTAGTACTAATTTGTTGGTGGTTGGATATAAGGAACTTGCTATTATTGTCGCGGTCGTGGTGGTTAGAGTTTCCATATAGTCGTTTTGCTTTTAAATCCTTTTGGTCGAATGGGATACCCGTGACATTTGGCACAAACAATATATTACTCTCGAGTGTAGTGACGATGATCGAGTCTGCCAACGTGTTGAAATGGTGGTGCAAGACAGCCGACCTATTAAAATCAAGCATATTAATCTTTTTAAATACACTCTTTCCATCTTGTCCGCCAGCAGTAGTACTGGCACGCTGTTCAATCTTGATGACTGTTACAGTACCCATTTCACTCGATCCAGCAAACAAAACATCTCTATAGGCATCATAACTGAGAGTCTGTGCAAAATGAGTGATGCCAGCAATAGCAGTCCCCGTTTCGAGTGACCATAATCGAATAGTTTGGTCAAGTGACGATGAGACGAGTAGTCCATTGTTGGTAATGACCACGTTTAAGATAGCACCTCTGCCATGGCCCTCAAACTGTCCGGTCATCATACGATCCCGATACGAGAATGTTCGAATGATGCCATCTGAGCAACCAGCCACAATCACCTTTGATCTAAGGTCAAAAACAAGAGATGACACGCCGGCAATCGGTGTGTCGTCATAGGACGACCCTCCAGTCGGATTATTCGACACGACATACACCGCCACCAACTCACCCGTCTCTACATTCCACAATCTAATCGTTCCATCGTTACCACCAGACAACAGTAACAATGATTCATCATAATCATCTTCATCTTGGAATTCATCCAATAATAATAATGATTTGATAACTTCTCGATGTGCTTGTGGTTGTGATGACTTTTCATTCTTTTGTGTTTGTGTTGCAGATGAAGTAGAGGAGGGAGCAGTAGCTGATACAGGTAAAGTATTAATTAATTGACCTGTACTTGCCTACATTTAAAAAGAATGAATGAATGAATAATTGAATATTAATATACAATTGTAATATGTATATGTATATGTATAGCATACTCTATAAACTCTAATACAAAGATCATCTTCACCAGTTACAATGATATCATATTCATTGTGGTAGATGACAACCGATATATTTCTGATGGAAGGTACAGTAGATATATGTTGTCTCGTCTTTTCATTGTAGGTGAGGAATGCAGTTCTAGTTATAACGATAGAGTGATTAGTTTTGTGATCGTAAAAAGATGCCACTGGTTTACCAATCTCTCTGAACGTATCTTCATTCAATCTTCCTCCCTCTCCCACATCATTTCCACCACTGGTACTTTGATTGTTACCCATGATGATAATGTGATATAAATATAAATATATGAATAAAGGAACTAATAATTAAATAAACATGTGATTGTGGCCTTTCATTCATTCATTGCAATATTTGCCTTTTGCAAATTAATGACAAAGAAAAATCTTCTGACGTTTCGCGTCTTTTCATTTTATTTCGAAATTTTAGTCCCTTTGTTAATTATCTTTTTTAATGACATGATTCTATATATATATATATATATATACATACATATATGTATATTATGATTCTATATATAGATATCTATATTTCCTCTCTCCACAGATTAATCTAACTGTTTAATTAAAACAAAGCCCCTGGAAAAGGCGAAAGCCTGTTGACCAGGGGTGATTCCTGCCCAGTGCTCTGAATGTCAAAGTGAAGAGATTCAACCTAGCACGGGTAAACGGCGGGAGTAACTATGACTCTCTATAATACCCTTTGGAGAGAAAAGTGTATTGGCCTGATATATCGGTTTCAGGATTGCTCTAATATGCTAACGTGTCTTACACAACAAGAGTTGGCCAGACTGTCAAATTGCGGAAACGACTTGTTAAGTCATCAATACTAACCAACTGGGAAACCAAGTTGAGGGCCTCGCAAAGGATATAAGTAAAAAGTTGATGAATAGAGTTAATCACGCAGCCAAGTTCTAACCCACTACGTGTTTGTAGATGGTATGAATGCAGTTCACAGACTAAATGTCAGTCGGCGCAAGCTTAAGATATAGTCGGTCCGCCTCGAGAGGGGTTATGATGGATAAAGTCTCACCAGACCCGAGCCATCTGTCAGAGCTAAAGTCTCTGAGGAGTAAACGTAACGTAGCCAAATGCCTCGTCATCTAATTCGCGCATGAATGGATAAATGACATTCCCACTGTCCCTAACTACCATACAGCGAAACCACAGCCAAGGGAACGGGCTTGGCATCAATAGCGGGGAAAGAAGACCCTGTTGAGCTTGACTCTAGTCTGATGAGCCCAGCAATTGATCAATCACAATATTCATAGATATAAATATCAATCGACAAACAAATGAATAAAAGGTTGCATAGTTTGTCGTACTTCGTTTCTAAAAAATCGAAAAAATCGAAAAAAATGTTTATAAAAAAAAAAAAAAAAAAGAGAAACGAACGAGACAGCACAGTACCTCTCGGTCGCTTTTCTTTCACGGCAACGTTTAATTTAGTTTTGTTTGTTTGTTTAGTTTAGTTGTGATAGGAGAAAGAGAAGGAGTTGTAGATATATAGATATGGTTCAGAAAAAGAGAAAAGAGATTGATGGGGAATCATCCTCCTCGTCAGTATCTCAAAAAGTCGAAAATATAGTAGCTACTACAGCAAAGAAAGTTGTCAAGAAACAAAAGAATGCTGCCAGTGGTAATAATAATAATAGTAATAGTAACAATAAGCAATCTGAAATTGAACGTTTAGCATCTGCAAAATCAACACAAGAAAAGGAACAAGTCAAGTCTGTCGTACCATCACTCGAACAAGAACAAGATAGAAACCAAAAAAAGAAAAATATAGTTCAACAAATACAAGAAAAGAAATCATTAAAACAACAACAAGAACAAGAACAAGATGATGATGAAGAAGAAGAACAAGTTGAACAAGAACAAGAACAAGAAGAAGAAAATAATAATAATGCCGATAATGTTACTGCTGAAGGTGTGTTTATTCAATCTCACTCTCTATATCTTTCTCTCTCAATTGATTTATATCTACTTATACTAATACTATTCATACTATATCTTTTTGTAGAATTAGGAATTGAAGGTAATATTGAATTTGAAAAGTTACCAATTGAAGAAAAGACAAAGTTGGCAATTGCAACGATGGGATTCAAGACAATGACACCAATTCAAGCAAAGTCGATTGTACCATTACTCCAAGGACGTGATATGTTGGGTGCTGCTCGTACGGGTTCGGGCAAGACATTGGCATTCCTTATCCCCGCCATCGAGGTGTTGGTCAAGTCCAACTTTTATCCACGTAATGGAACCGGTGTCATTATCATGTCGCCAACACGTGAGTTGGCTTTGCAAATCTACGGTGTCGCTGCCGAGTTGATGGCTCACCATTCACAGACACACGGTATCATTATGGGCGGTGCCGACAAAAAGGCCGAGGCTGAGCGTCTCGTCAAGGGTGTCAACTTGCTCGTTGCCACTCCCGGTCGTTTGTTGGACCACTTGCAAAACACACGTGGATTCGTTGTCAAGAACCTCAAGTGTCTTGTCATTGATGAGGCTGACCGTATGCTCGAAGTTGGTTTCGAAGAGGAGATGCATCAGATTGTCAAGCTCCTCCCCAAGGAGCGTCAGACCATGCTCTTTTCGGCCACTCAAAGCAACAAGGTCGACGCTATTGCCCGTGTGTCGTTTAGAAGCGACCCAGTCTACGTCGGTGTCGACGACGACCGTCAAGTATCGACCGTCGAGGGTTTGGAGCAAGGATACGTCGTCTGTCCATCCGAGAAGCGTTTCCTGCTCCTCTACACATTCCTCAAAAAGAATCTCAACAAAAAGGTAATCGTTTTCTTCTCTTCATGTAACTCTGTCAAGTTCCACGCCGAACTCCTCAACTACATCGATATCCCAGTCTTGGCGTTCCACGGCAAACAAAAGCAAACGTTGCGTACCAACACCTTTTACGAGTTTGTCAATGCCCAAAAGGGAATCCTTCTCTGCACCGACGTCGCTGCTCGTGGCGTAGATATCCCCTCGGTTGACTGGATCATCCAATACGACCCACCTGATGATCCCAAGGAATACATCCATCGTGTCGGTCGTACCGCCAGAGGCACCGGCAAAAAGGGACGTGCCCTCATGTTTTTGTTGCCACAAGAACTCGGTTTCCTCAAGTACCTCAAGCTCGCCAAGGTGCCCCTCAACGAGTACGAGTTCCCCCAAAAGAAGGTATCCAACGTGCAAGAACAGCTCGAGAAGCTCATCTCGCACAACTTTTACCTCCACAACTCGGCCCGTGACGCCTACCGTAGTTACATTCTCTCGTACGCCTCTCACTCGCTCAAGGACATCTTTGACGTCAACAGTCTCCAACTCGGCCACGTCTCGATTGCCTTTGGCTTCCAAAACCCACCCAAAATCCCACTCACCAACATCATCTCCACCTCTGCTCTCAGCAAATACGAATCAAAGGACAAGGCTCAAAGACCTGGTGGTTCTCGTGATCGTTCTCAACCAGCTTCTTACACTCGTAATGGTTTTTCTGAAGAAAATCCATATGGTAAATAAAATTATAAATAAATCAAAAAATAAAATTAATTATATAAATATTATAAATACAAATTTTGTTATTATTATTTTATTTATTACATAGAGTTACATTGTTATTATTATATTTTTAATTATTTGTTTTTTTTAATTATATTTTTAAAAAAACCAATTATTTTGTTGGATGGTTGTCTTTGATTTGTTATAATATCTTGATGTAAAGGGTATCCAAGGGATAATAATATTTCAGTTATTGGTTTATAATTTGATATGTTGGGTGCGGTGATTTTTCTATGTTGCAAAAGTTGAAAGAAATAATCTAAAATAAAATGAGAGCTTCGTATTGACAAGTTTGTAATTCTATCATAAATCGATCTCAATACATAATCTCTAATTTCATTAATATCTTTTTGATTTCCATTCATTGCCTGTTCAGACAGTTGTAATAATTTATCAATCACCTTGATGAATTGTTTTTTTGCAATTGGAGGACCTAATCTTAAAAGTGTGTAGTTTTGTACGCCGCTATTAAACTTGTGGAATCCCATTAAAATGATTCTTTTATCTTTGTATTTTTGACCAGAATACAAATCATTCCAAAAATACTCGATTATTGAATCATCGTCGTCCATCATTAAAGATTCGACATGTTTGTGTGAAAATGCAAATTGAATAAATCCCTGTTCAGAGTCATACAGTTTTTGTTTGTCTGCATTTGATAGATCCTCGTTGTTCTTTACTTGATCGAATAATAGTTTGATGATCTCTAATCCATTGGTTGGATTTTGGTTGATAATGGCCAACTCTACGAGTTGTCCAAATTTATCTTGTCTTGCATAATCTACGCCTTCAAGACATTGTAAATGTTGTGCACTGTAAAATTGACATATCTTTTCGACTAGACCGTCATGTGGAGTGTACAGAGGTTGGGACTGCACAAGTGACTTTAGCAACGACAGGTCTCCATCCAGATGTGCATTTATAAGACCTTTCAAAGGAAAGATTTTCATTGGGTCACCACCAAGCGATCGTACGATTCTAATAGTGTCTCGATTCACACGAACACCCGGCGGTATGACCAATTCTTCAATTGGACAAGCCGCTGAGAATCTCTCCAAGACATAGCATTGGTTTTCTGCCGAGCTAACACTCATTGATTTGAGTGGCAAGATCAGAGTCACTCCTTTTTTCTTCGAGTACGAGGCGAGCATCTCCAAAGCAATTTGTTTGTCTGACATTAATGCCATTTCAAATGCAAAATCTAAATCATTTTTAACACAAACGGTGGCTGCCTCGTCTTGTTGTTGGTTGATCTCGTTCAACAAGTACTTTGCCAATGAATAATCTTGTGCTTGAATAGCCCGTCCCAAAAACTTTGAAAATGTACCTGAAAGGATATCAGAGTGGATGGTGACCAATTCAAACAGGCAGTTGATCATTTTAAGAGAGATGAGTTGTGACGAGATATCTTCGATCGAGATAATACTATTATTATTATTATTATTATTATTGTTTTTTTTACATTCCAACAATACACTATTATCTAAAATATAATTAGTGATGCGATGTTTGCCTGTTTTGAGTGCACTGTCAAATATGGATAGACCATTGATCTTCCAGAAATCACTAAAATTCTTGCTACAATAGACCAAATAGTCAATGTTGTCATTGTCGACAGCGACTTGGGTGTAAGGACATACGACTTTTAGATGTTTGACAATGGCAGTATGAAACAATTCGAGGTGTTGGGTTGTGCACCGTGGAGGGAATGATTCAAGTTCAATGAGGATATTCGTATCCAAATGGATCTCTTCTTCCTTGGCCGATGCGATTCGTTGGGATTGGATACTGTAGAGACTAGCGATGAGCTCTAGCACCTTGATGAGATTGAGTGTAAGCGAGTCTCTAAGCAATCGTCTCCATGCTACACTATCAAACACCTTTGAGCATTTGGTTATAATCTCTATCAACATTTGTTCCAACACATTGAAATCTACATTCATGACGATGATCTTGTAATTGTCTTTGGGTTCTGCAAGATTATTGAAATGATAGAATATTTGACGTTGTGTAGGAATAGGTATACACTTTTCATCATTTCTCTCGTTCATCAATGATCTTAGTAACTCCAAATCACCATAATAAAATGATGATACCAACATTACTTCATACAGTGAATCACTTTGTTTGAATTTAAATGTGTTGTTTGGTGAAGTAGGTCTTGTAAGATATTGTTGTAGTGTTGTAACCATTTCAATATTGATGATCATTGCTAACGGTGTATGTGGTTCGAATATAAATCTATCAACTCGAGTTAATATATCAATCATATGAATCATTGCAACTTGATTCTTTGTTTTCAATATTAATTCAAACAACTCTGAATAATATCTTGGGTTCTATCAAAAATAATAGTATAATAAATAAAGGTTAGTACAATATGACAAATGTAATAAGGTGGTATAATAGTATAACATACAGATCGATCAATGACAGTATTAACATAATCCAATGTAAATGATTGGATGAATCGATCAGTGATACCATAGGTGATGTAGTCTGCCAACGACAACATTCCAGACTCCTTCTTTGCATCGATTTGCAATACTCTATGTACTACAGGCACTTGATTCCATATCAACTTTGATAGATATTTGTTTGTAATTAAAACATGATGAAATAACTGATCCATAACTTAGTTATAATATATTTATGTTTGCAAAAAAATAAAGAAAAAGAAAATATATTTGAAAATTTAATGTTGATTCTTAATGATTAAATTTTCAAGTTTATGACACTAAGAATAAAAATAACAAAAGGGTGTTTGTTGAGTCAATTTATTTACATATTATTATTATTATTATTATTATTATTATTATTATTATTATTATTATTATTATTATTATTATTATTATTATTATTATTATTATTGTTATTATTATTATTATTATTTGTTTTTTTTTGAGATAATATTTTTAAAAAAACCGACTAGTTTTGTTGGTCTAATGGAATTGTTGTTTCTATGATTTGTTATAATGTCTTGATGTAAAGGGTATCCAAGAGATAACAACGTTTCGATGATTAGTTTATAATTTGATATGTTGGGTGTGATTATTTTTTGTGATCTTTGTTTCAAAAGTTGAAAGAAATAATCCAACAGAAAGTGAGAGTATCGTATTGACAAGTACCCAATTCTATCATAAATCAATCCAACTACATAAACTCTGATTTCTTTAATATCTTTTTGATTTCCATTCATTGCTTGTTCAGAAAGTTGCGACAATTTATCAACCACCTTGGTGAATTGTTTTTTTGATAAAAGTTGGGAGTTTTGAATGCCGCTATTAAACTTGCGGAATCCCTTTAGAATAACTCTTTTGTCTTTGTATTTTTGACCAGAATACAAAACATTCCAAAAATACTCGATTATTGAATCATCGTCGTCCATCATTAAAGATTCGACATGCTTGTGTGAAAATGCAAATTGAATAAATCCCTGTTCAGAGTCATACAGTTTTTGTTTGTCTGTATTTGATAGATCCTCGTTGTTCTTTACCTGATCGAATAATAGTTTGATGATCTCTAATCCATTGATTGGATTTTGGTTGATAATGGCCAACTCTACGAGTTGTCCAAATTTATCTTGGTCTCTATGATAGTCAAAGTCGATTCCTTCAAGACATTGTAAATGTTGTGCACTGTAAAATTGACATATCTTTTCGACTAGACCGTCATGTGGAGTGTACAGAGGCTGGGACTGCACAAGTGACTTTAGCAACGACAGGTCTTCGTCTAGATACACATTTACAAGATCTTCCAAAGGAAAGATTTTCATTGGGTCACCACCAAGTGATCGTACGATTCTTATAGTTTCTTGATTGACGAGAATACCGAGTGGTATGATCAATTCTTGAATTGGATGAGCCACTGAGAATTTCTCCAAGATATAGCGTTGGTTTTTTGCCGAGCTCGTCGATTTGAGTGGCAATGGGAGACTCTGACCTGTTTTCTCCGAGTATGATACGAGCATCTCCAAAGCAATTTGTTTGTCTGACACTAATGCCATTTCAAATGCAAATTCTAAATCATTTTGAACAGCCGCCGGTTGGTCGTTTAACAAGTACTTTGCCAATGAATAATCTTGTGCTTGGATAGCCCGTCCCAAAAACTTTGAAAATGTACCCGAGAGGATATCAGACTGGTGGATGGTGACCAATTCAAACAGACAGTTGATCATTCTGAGAGAAATGAGTTGTGGTGAGATATCTTCAATCGAGATCCTACTACTATTATTATTATTATTATCATCAGTCTTTTTACATTCCAACAACACCATATTGTCCAAAATATAATTAGTGATGCGATGTTTGCCTGTTTTGAGTGCACTGTCAAATATGGATAGACCATTGATCTTCCAGAAATCACTAAAATTCTTGCTACAATAGACCAAATAGTCAATGTTGTCATTGTCGACAGCGACTTGGGTGTGGGGCGATACGACGGTTAGATGCTTCACAATGGCAGTATGAAACAATTCGAGGTGTTGCGTTGTGCCCCTTGGAGGGAATGATTCAAGTTCAACGAGGATAATCGTGTCCGAGGAGAGGAGACGAGCGATGAGCTCTAGCACCTTGATGAGATTGAGTGCAATCGAGCCTCTAAGCAATCGTCTCCATGTTACACCACCAAACACTTTTGAGCATTTGGTTATAATCTCTATCAACATTTGTTCCAACACATTGAAATCTACATTCATGACGACGATCTTGTCATTGTCTTTGGGTTCTGCAAGATTATTGAAATGATAGAATATTTGACGTTGTGTAGGAATAGGTATACACTTTTCATCATTTCTCTCGTTCATCAATGATCTTAGTAAACTCCAAATCACCATAATAAAATGATGATACCAACATTACTTCATACAATGAATCACTTTGTTTGAATTTAAATGTGTTGTTTGGTGAAGTAGGTCTTGTAAGATATTGTTGTAGTATTGTAACCATTTCAATATTGATTATGATTGATGATAAAGGTGTATTTGGTTCGAATATAAATCTATCAACTCTTGTCAATATATCAATCATATGAATCATTGCAACTTGATTCTTTGTTTTCAATATTAATTCAAACAACTCTGAATAATATCTTGCATTCTGATAGAGAGAGAGATAATAAATAAAGGTTAGTACAAGATAATAATCAAGTAATCATAACAGTCATGGGTATAACATACAGATCGATCAATGACAGTATTAACATAATCCAACGTAAATGATTGGATGAATCGATCAGTGATACCGAAGGTGATATAGTCTGCCAACGACACCATTTCAGACACCTTCTTTGTGTCGATTTGCAGTACTCTATGTACTACAGGCACCTTACTCCATATCAACTTTGATAGATATTTGTTTGTAATTAAAACATGATGAAATAATTTATCCATCCTTTTAATTTTCAATGATAGAGCACATAAAAAAAAAAAAAAAAAAGTAAATAATAAAATATTCTTTTTATGAAGTGAATACTAGTAGTATTAAATTTTCAAGTTCATACATACACACAACAATTATTATTTATTTATTTATTTATTAAATCATTTTGTTTGTTTTTTTTTTAATTTATACATTGTTGATATAATTGATCAAAAGAAAAATCATCTTTAAAAGATGATAGATTTGATTTAATATATTTGATGGCTTTGGAAGCAACCAAATCAAATTGCACCTTTTTAGATTGGTAATGCTTGTTCATGATGACTAGTACCAAGAGAGTGGTCCATACGTCGGATGGTACCTTGTTGTATGTTTGTTGGTCAGTGACCACCTTTTTACAAGATGATTCAAAGGCTGCAAGAATCAATTTGTCAAATCCAATCAATTGGTCTGTCCAATTGCCAACTGCCTTTTGTGAAGATATTAATCTAAACAATAGATCGTCTGTTTTCAATGAACTAGGGGTAACTATAAACTTTTGTAATGGTTTGGCAGTTGCCATAATAGTATCTCTTGTTGAAAAGGTGTGTTTCTCTGTACTAGAGGAGGTGCCCTCACTTTCGTAATGAACAGAAGAAGAAGAAGTTGATGATGACATCATTGGACCACCTCTTCCTATTGCTCCTGGTGGTGCTACCATTCTTTTCATTGGTTGTCCTCTATCTATTCCTCCTCCTCCTAATGGCATTCCTCCTCTTCCTCCTCCTCTTCCTCCACCCATTCCTCCACCTCTAGAACCTGATCTGATACCTCCTCCTCTTCCACCACCATATGTTTGTCCAACGAATATTTTTTGCATTGTGTTTTTGACAGGCTCGCCCGATTCAGAGACAACTACATACGAGGTTTGAGTTGAAACTACACCATACTTTAATCCCAACTCTTTAATCTTGTCAGGACTACCATTCTGCTTCTCCATCATTGAAATGATATGTGAGGCTACCAAACTATTGAAATTACTCTTGTTAGTGTCCACACTACCTTTGACAATATTTGCATGCTTCCAATCCAAATCAATATCCATTGCCAATTCTTTTCCTCCACATGGATCGTCACAAATTAATTGAATCGAGTGTTGAGGAGGATTGTCAAGATCGATATTCATATTTTCAATCAAATAATAAAGCATTAAACGTTCATTATTAAATGCTGTTCTAATTTTAAATGGTGGTGTTTGTGGTGATATCAATATCTCTCCCTTATTATTATTATTATTACTGTCTTTAAACTTTTGTTGTAAATCTTTCCAATCAATTTTAATATTGGTTAGAGCAGGTTCGACTGAACGAGCCATCAATGAAAGTACTTGAGTTTCCATTGTAGCATTATTAGTCACCAACTCGTAATACCCTCCACAAACATTTGACAGACCAGTCACTAATGCCTTGTCTACATCACTACCTAATCCAACCGTAAAGATTCTAGATACATCCCTTTTAGATGCTACAAAATCAATTACATAATCTCTATTTGGAATTTCACCATCAGTAACTAAAATAATTAAATAAATAAGTTAATTAATATTTGTTTATTTTAATGTTGATTTGTGGTTTATACATACTAATAAATATTTGTCTTGGATGATTTGGAAAAGTTTCAAAATCATAAATTCTTTTTAAAGGTGATATTAATTGAGTACCACCCATATTGGCATCGATAGAACTAATGTATTCCGATGCAGCTGCTAGATTATCGTCGTCGTACAAGACGGATGTTTGAAATAGAGATTTATAGGTACCACCAAAACAATAGATATTAAAGTATGAATTGGTAGGTAAACTACGCATCAATATTTGTAATGTTTTCTTTGCCTTTTCAATTGTAAATCCTGCCATTGATCCACTACAATCAATTAAAAATATAACTAAAAGAAAATAAAATTAATTTTAGATACAAAATAAATAAATAATGTTTAATATGTACATACATTCACCTTTAGTTTGAATATCATCAATTGAAAGATGATCAAATTGAGGGTAAAAGGTAATACCTAGGGCAGTTGATTTGGTGGTTGGATTGTATTCCATGTGGTAGAGAGGTTTCTGTTGATTGGATGATGGAGTGATGGACAATAAAAAGGTGGCGAGTACAGAGGTTGTCTTGGTGACTGTAATCGTCGCTTTGTTGCCTTCAATGACGGTGTTGTGTTTGTACGGCTGAACAAGGATGTTTTGGATGGGAGAGGAAAGCTCTACTTGGACATTCATAGTCAATGAAAAGTTGGGAGAGTATTGAGAGGTTGGGAAGAAACACTTGTGCATGTAGTAGTGCAGGTCGTTGGTCTGAGTACCTAGCATGCTTTGAATAGTCGTTTCAATGGTGACAGTATTGTCACTGCTCAATTCCTTTGACATTGGATTAGAGGGTGGTGGGATATTACCAATCGAGATGACAAAGGTCGAGTCGTCTACTTCGGCCAAAAACGATTGATACCCGTTGGCAATAGCATCAGAGAACGTGTTGAATGCGTCATCTTTGGTCTTGATGGCACCTTGGAGACGTTGGTTCTGGTAGGTGACGACAAAGTCGGTGACGCTAGTGTTGGGAGGTAGCGGGATACGATAGCTCGCCTCTACAGGCACCGTCAGCTTGTTGAGGAATGTTTGTCGAATGATCGAGGTCGAGTAGAGATCGTTGACCTTTGCATTGATGACACACTCTTCCAATGCAAAGTACTTTATTCTATTGTCGGCCATACCGTATGCACTTAGACCGCATCGACACCCAACTGCTCCTAATCTCTCATTGAATCTTTCAAAGTAGTTTTGGTATGATGGTTGTGGTAGTGCTTTACCATTCTTTGTTACAGTACTCATTTCTCTCTCTCTTATTCTTATTATTCTATTGTAGTTGTTGTTGTTGTTGTTAATAAAGTAAAAAGAGTTTACTTTTGATAATCTGTTGTTTGTTTACATGTTGTGAAGTGACTAGTCTTTTGTTACTATTAATTTCTTGTTTTTAGTTGTGTGAGGTTCGAATGGTGCTGCTTCGTTGAACCGTGATTTTTATTTATTTTTTACAAATATCTTACTTAATATTTGCATGTCATTATTTATGGAATGGAATGAAACCAATATCAATAGCCAAATTCATCAAGTTTTCATATTCCTTTTGAGTATAATTCTTTACTATTCTATTATTATTATTATTATCTTTGTTGTTGAAATAATAATTTTGTAAACATTGATTCCAAATTCCAATATATCTTCTTGTGAGAGGAGGTGGATTCATTGGATATTTGATGTATTGATATTTGTCAAGTTGATCTTGTTGATGTAATTTATACATTCTTTCAATATGATTAAAAAATGTTTGATCATAATTTAACAGTTTGGATTGTTTTGAGGAGCCAGCCAACCACTTTCCAACATTTGAATGCTTTTTGAATCTTTTCCAAAGAGTGTTGAATTGATCATCGGTCAAATCCGACGCATAATAGAGAATTTCAAATTGATTTTCAGTTGGAACTAGATTTAAAATTTGATTGGCAAGTTGTAGATAGTCTTGTTGTTGGTCTTGTAAGACCTGATTCTTGCATAAATGAAAATATAATCTAAATTGAGTTCTGATTGACCATTTCAACTTTTCAGAGGAAATAAGTTTCAACTCTTCTTTGTATTCGTTGATGAATTCAGTTGCAAATTGATAGTGACCTGCATTGACCACCAATGAAAGGATTTTGACAAGATAATATGCCATATCAGTATTTTCATCAAATGTACAAACACTAGAAATCTTTTTGTATAGCTTCATGTTGGCAGTCATAGCAGCACTAGATAGATAAAAGTAGTATAGTTCTTCATAATCTAAACAAGATCTTGGTAGTTGGATCATCTTTTCGATCAGAGTTGGGTGTAGTATCCACTTGTCACTCTCTCCAAGGATGAAAATAGGTTGTCCTGATTCTTCTAGTACTCTTGAAACCACCGATATGAATTGATCACGATGTGGGTAATCATCTTGTGTATACCTGTGAACTGATTCCATTGGAAATTGACACAGTGAGGGGAAGAAATTTGCGTATGCTACCAATCTCTCTATCAAATCGATATTGAAATCACCGTCACCACCAGTCAAGTCCAATATTGATGCAACCGAGTCTGCAAAATCGAGATTAACTGATTGACAAAACTTTGATTTTAGTACATAATCCAATTCTTTGTACTCTTGGCCTTTTGGTGATTGTTGAAGTGTTGATCGGATGATATTGGTAGAGTTGTTGTCTCTAATGACATATAAATATTTTGAAAAGAGATCGATATAACGACTAGAGCAAAATACTGGATGAATCGACTCAACGAAAACATCACAGACATTGCCTAACGAAACAACCTCTTCTGATCCAGATGCCAGTGAGTCTCCAAAACTCCATGTTGGGGGATAAATCCCTCAAAATAGCAGATGTTGTCTGTCTGAGACATGTATTGAATAAATCCTATATCTGTTCCATCTCTGATCTTGTACAACAATCCCTGGTCGTCGCCGTTATACCCATAGTCTGTGTAATTTGTCCAGTAACAACGAGAAACCTGGTCTAATTCTTTCTTTCTCTCATTCTCTTTTATGTTTTTTGTTGCATATGGTGAAAAGAGTTGTGGATTGGTGAATTTGGATGCCAATTTTTTCCAGAGTGTATTGCTCGATGAGTTTGATACGGTCATGGGCATATCCATTTAAATAAATTCCGGGTTGTTTCTCTCTATTGATATTTGTAACAGCTTTGTAAAGTTCTATCAACTCGCTATCAGTCTTTTTGTTGAATAAATCTTTGATGATTGTTGGAGGTCCACCTTTTTCTTGGTACTCTTTATACAGAAAGAGATTACTGAGATTTGAGAGATTGTATCTCTTGAAAAAGTTTCGAATGATATCTACATTCCCAATCACCAATATTACACTCTTTGCAATCCTATGTAATAATTCTTTTGATTCAATGAATACGCTGTCATCTATCAATAGATTACACATCTTTAGACTAAAACATTTGATATATTTAGATTCTACTTTCAAACTACCATTGTGATCGTAATTGATTATCAATGTTGTTTGAAATGGTCCAATCTCTGACTTTATTCTATTCAACAAGTATTCCAATACTCTATCATTATGATAATCAATTGCTGTTGATATGATCCTAGTTAATCTCTATAAAATATTATATAGTAACGGTTAATACTATTGTACAATCTAATGTAGGTATTAAAATTACATACCAGACTATGATCATTTCTATATCTACCATCATCGGGAAACATCAATGACCAAAGTTGATCAATATGTTTAAAGAATAGATCATTTAAACCATATCTAATATAATCAACCAATGTATAAAGTGATGATACTTTAACAGTTTCAATCTCTAATTGTTTGTGAATAGAACTGACATGATTGAATATCACTCTTCTAAGATATGATTGGTGCAATACAAATTTGAATAATGATGATGCTTTTGTTGATTGATTTGATAATACTTTGATCTTCTTCTTTTCTCTTGTATTTGTATCTTCCATTATTATTATCTATCTATCTAGTATCTATTTATTATTTAACAATATGATGATGTTCATTTTTGAGTTGTCTAGTTGATTAAATGTATTTAGTAGAAAATGATAATGAAATAACAAATTGTGGATGTTTGCTTTTCCATCAATATATTTTTTTTTTGATCAAGATTCGAAGGGATGAAACCAATTTCATAAAATCATACTATTATTATTATTTTTATTATTATTTGTGTTTAAATAATGGAGGTGGATTTAAAGGTTTTAAATGAGAAAATGCCCAACATATTGCTCTCGCCAGCAGTATAAACTAAACTAAACATATACATTTAATAAATTTATATTGTACTACATCAACTGTGATTTTGTGTAATTCTTTCTGGAAGGGATGAAACCAATTTCAATTGCCTGATTAATAAAGTCTTCATATTCTTTTTGAGTATAATTCTTTACTATTCTATTATTATTATTATTATCTTTGTTTTGGAAATAATAATTTTGTAAACATTGATTGCAAATTCCAATATATTCTGTTTTCAATGGAGGTGGATTCATTGGATATTTGATGTATTGATATGAATCAAGTTGGTCTTGTTGATTTAGTCTATGCAATCTTTTAATATGATTAAAGAAATTTGGATCATATTTAATATCAGTGTGATGGTTGGATGGGTGGACCAAAGCTTTGCATGTTTTGATGGATCTTCCAACCATTTTCCAACATTTATATCCTTTTTGTACAGTTCCCAAAGTGGAACAAACTGTTCATCTGTCAATTCTGTTGCATAGTATATTAGGTCACTTTGTTTTTCGGTTGGTACTAAATTTAAAATTTGATTGGCCTTGCTGTTGGTCAATATCATTACCATCATCCTTTGGTTGTTTATCAATCTTGCATAAATCAAAGTATAATTGGAATAGAGTTTCGATTGATATTATTTCATTGGAGTAATGCTATTCACATCAATGAATTCGTTGATGAATTCAGATGGAAATTGGTAATGGCCGGCATTGACCAATAAGGAAAGGATCTTAACAAGATAATGGCGAACATTTTCTGCAAATAAACAAGTTTTGGAAATCTTTTTGAAGAGTTTCATGTTGATAGTCATGGCTGCACTAGAGAGATAAAAGTAGAAATGATCTAGATATTTCAGACAAGAATTTGGAAGATGGGACATCTTTTCAATAAGAGCTGGATGTAGTATCCATTTGTCATAATTCTCATCAAATTCTATGAATGGTTTACTGAATACTTCAAAAACCCGTACAGAGACATATATGAATGAATCTCGATGAGGTAATCATCTTGTGTGTACTTGAGAATTGATTCCATTGGAAATTTACACTTTTTGGGGAATTCCTTTGCATATTTGATCAATCTCTCTACCAAAAGTTCATGACCGTCACCACTAGTAATGTCAAAGATTGAAGCAATAGAGTCTGCAATGTCGAGTTTTAGTTTTTGACAAAACTTTGATTTGAGTACATAATCTATTTCTTCATACTCTTGACCTTTTGCTGATTGTTGAAGTGTTGATCGGATGATATTGGTGAGAGAACCTCCAACTGGATCAACATATTTTGACAAGAGTTTGATGTAATGACGAGAGCAAAATACTGGATCAATTGACTTGATGCCATCGGTGTTGATTTGGAAGTAGTTGTCCTGGTGTGCAGACTTGAAAAACGATGAGACAGCTTCTTGTGATCCAGATGCCAATGAATTGGCAAATGATTCTGTCTTTTTCTTCAATAAATCATCGCCACTCTTTTGACTGATTTCCAAGCACCATACTTTAATTAAATTTTGAATATCTTTGAGATTGTATTTTTTGAGTTTAATGACATCGATATCCCCAATCACCAAGATAGCAGTCTTTACCATTCTATGTAATAATACTTTTGAAAGAATGAATACATTGTCTTCAATCAATAGATTAAACACTTTTGAACTTAGACATTTAATATCTTTAGATTCTACTTTCAAACTACCATTGTGATCGTAATTGACAATCACCATTGTTTGATCTGGTGCAAGATTTTCCTTGATATCAGTCTTGATCCTCTTCAACAAGTATTCCAATACACTATCATTATGATAATCAATAGCTGTTGTTATGATTTTAGTTAATCTCTATAAAATAAAGATATAGTAAAGAAAGAAAGAAAGAAAGGAAAAAGATAGTTAATATGATTGTTCATCTTATTTTATTTCATTTAATATTACATACCAGACTATGATCAACTCTATATCTACCATCAGTAAACATTAAACTCCAAAGTTGATCTATATGTTTAAAGAATAGGTCATTCAAACCATATCTAATATAATCAATCAGAGTATAAAGTGATGATACTTTAACAGTTGTAATCTCTAATTGTTTGTGAATAGAACTAACATGATTGAATATCAATCTTTTAATATATGATTGATTTAATACAGCTTTGAATAATGATGTTGACAATTGATTTGATGATGATTGTACGACTACATCCATCCTCTTTTCTCTTTTATTTATATCTTCCATTTAGATATCAATACAAATATACTCTATGACCAAAAGATTGATTACAGAAAGAGAGGATTGGTAGACCGATGTGTCTATGGTGTGGCCATTGTATTGACAGGTTTTCTAGTCATTATAATGTTAAACTATTATATCATTCCCGATCTATACGATTATGACAAGATTACACGTTTCTTTGATGCCATATCAAAAATTTTAATCATATTTGTATTTACATTTTATGGTATGACATTGATCCGTGAAAACAATAAGTTAATCACCAAAAAATAAGTGAGGGTCAAAAATTAAAATAAAAAGAAATCAAAAATGAAGTTTGTTCAAGTTGAGTGTTGAGTTGAAGAGGGTGAATCTATCCAACGATCCACTCTTGTGGGTCGATGTTTTTGTGTGATCCATCTCTCTCTGTCCCCTTCGAATGGGTTTGATGTCAAGATATTTTCCTTGGAGTTTAAATCGCAAGCGATTTTATTGATGACATCAAAATGTTTGATGATATAAGAAACTCTGTGCATGATTTTATATTTATGATATTTTACCTTTATCACATAATAATTGTATGTATTTTAAATAATTATATGTCTCTCTCTTTCTCTATCTCTATATCTCTATCAATAACATATATATTAACAATCAATTTGTCTTTTATTATTTTTAGATTAAAGTATCAGCGGCTACCCACCACCAGGAGCTTATCCACCAGGCGCTGCCTATCCACAACAAGGTTACCCACCAGGAGCCTACCCTCAAGGTGCCTACCCACCACCAGGTGCCGTTCAAGGCACTTACCCACCACCAGGAGCTTATCCACCAGGAGCCTACCCACCATCACACGGTGCTCACGTTTCCTATTATCATCACGGACATCATAAAGGATACAAACACAAGGGCTTCAAGGGCTACAAGCACAAGGGTTACAAGCACAAAGGCTTCAAGGGTAAGAAAGGCTTTAAAGGTTTTAAATGAGTAATATGTCATACATATTACTCTCGCCAGCAGTCTAAACTAAACATTTACATTGAATAAATTAAATTGTACAACTTTATAGCACCAACTCTGATTTTATTATATTTATTATTATGAATATAAGTCCATTTCTATTTATTTATTTTAATTCCTTGTCTGGAATGAAACCAATTTCAATTGCCAATTTCATAAAATGATCATATTCTTTTTGAGTATAATTTGTGACTATTCTATTATTATTACTATTATTATCTTTGTTGTTGAAATAATAATTTTGTATACATTGATTCCAAATTCCAATATATTCTATTATCAATGGAGGTGGATTCATTGGATATTTGATAGTTTGGTGTCTGTCAAGTTGATCTTGTTGATAGAGTCTATACAATCTTTCAAGATGATTAAAGAATTTTTGATTGTATTTTAATGATTCTAAATGTTTTGATGGGTCTACCAACCAATCTCCAACATTTGAATCATTGTAGAATTGGTCCCAAATATTATTGAACTGATCATCAGTCATGTCCATTGCATAATACAGTATTTCAAATTGATTTTCAGTTGGTAATAGATTTAAAATTTCTTCAGCCAATTCTTGATAGTCTTGTTGGTCAATATCCATACCATCATCCTCTTTTGCCAGTGTACCCTTTTTAACCAAATCAAAGTATAATTGGAATATAATGTCCATTGATTTTTTCAATGTTTTTGGTTTCTCGGCTGTCAAATCAATGTATGAGTTGATGATGAATTCCTTTGTAAATGCATAGTGTCCTGCATTGACCAACAATGAAACGATTCTGACTAGATCAAAACTGTCGACTTTGTTTCCCTCTGAACATAGTTTAAACATCTTTTTGTAGAGTTCCATGTTGGTTGTCATGGCTGCACTTGACAGATAAAAGTAGTAGTGATAGACACTCAACTGGTCAGCCATCGTTTCAACTAGTAAAGGTGGTAGTATCCACTTGTCACTCTCTCCAGTTATGAATATAGGTTCGTCATCAGTTTCATCGATTCCACATTCATCAAGTACTCTTGCAACGACTGACAAGAATTGATCACGACCATGATAATCATCTTGGGTGTACTTGTGAACTGATTCCATTGGAAATAGACATTTTGTAGGGTATTCGTTTGCATATGCTACCAATCTTTCAATGAAATGTTCATTTCCATCATCACTAGACAAGTCAATGATTGACGCAAGAGAGTCTGCAAAATCGATATTTAAATTATGACAAAACTTTGATTTGAGTACATAATCCAATTCTTCATACTCTTGACCTTTGGGTGCTTGTCGGAGTGTTGATCGGACGATATTGGATGTAGAAGATGATGTGGAGTATCTAAATACAACATACTTTGAAAAGAGATCAATATAGTGACGCGAGCAAAAGATGGGATCGATCTCTTTGATGGGATGATACGGATAGTTTGTGCCGACATTGATGACAAAGGTACCATCTTTTTGAGCATACTCTAGTAAGAATGATACTGCCTCTTTTGAAGATGCAGATGCAAGTGATAGAGGAAACGGCCATTTTTGATTGATAAACTCTTTGAATGCTGCAGAGTTGCTGTTCTGTCGTGATACCATGAATTCAAGCATGTCAATGTCTGTTCCATTTTTGAACTTTTCCAATAATCCTTGATCATCGTAATCGTAGCGATCCCATGACAGTGAGAAATGGTTGAGTTCATTCTTGCGAACATTCTCACTTGTCTTTTTGGTTGCATACGGTGAAAATAGTTGCCACGAGACGCTTCGTTTCCAATCACTCATGTGATTATCTCGTCTTGAGGATACGTTCAAGATGTTTTGAACGAGTTTGATACGGTCATTGGCCAATGCATTCAAAATGTTTTCAGTCTGGCTTCTAGTGCCATCATTTTTGTTGACTTTGATGACTGCACGGTACAACTCGATCAACTCTAGGTCTGTCTTTTTCTCGAATAATTCTTTCATGGCTGTTGGAGATGCACAACCCGCTTGTTGATACTCTGTAAAGAGTGAGGAAAGATTGTCGACGAGGTTGTATCGATTAAACAAGTGTCTGATGACATCTACATCTCCAACTACCATGATTGCAGTCTTTGCCATTCTATGTAATAAACCATCAGACTCTATTTGTACATTGTCATCTACCAATAGATTAAACACATTTGCACTTAGTAGTTTGACTATATGACTTGCTCGTTTCTTTTCGTAATTGACAGTAACCATTGTTTGAAAAGGTCCACTCTCTCTCTTTATTCTATTCAACAAGTATTCCAATACTCTATCATTATGATAATCAATTGCTGTTGTCATTATTTTAGTTATTTTCTTCAAGATTAAATTGAATAAATAATGAGTCAGTATTTATAACAATTGTTTATCTATCTATCTATCTGCCTATTATATTACATACATTATCATTTCTATAATCATCGGGAAACATCAATGACCAAAGTTGATCTATATGTTTAAAGAATAGATCATTCAAACCATATCGAATATAATCATTGGCAGTATTGAGTGATGATACTTTAACAGTTGTAATATCTAACTGCTTGTGAATAGAACTAACATGATTGAATATCAAACTTCTAAGATACGAATGGTTAAGTATAGATTTGAATAATGTTGATGATAAAGTAGTTGGTGCTTTCATCTTTTTCTTTTCTCTTGTATTTATATCTTCCATTATCTATCTGTATGTGTATCTGTCTCTCTGACCAATAACAAAATATGACATCTAACACATGTGAAGAAGGCGTCATCTGAAAAAATTCGAAAATATCTTCTTCGAGGAAAACTAAAACAAAATTATCTTTTTAGATTTTTTTATTCCAACCCAAAGAAAAGTTGGGATGAACCAAATTCAAGTATATTTATTTTCTATTCTATTATTATGTAAATTACACATTATTTATCTATCTGACAGCTGATTAATTAATTTATCAAGGGCACTACGTATTATTCGTCTATTACAAATACTGGTTTGGTATAATTATTTAAAATTAAATTATTTATTTTATCCAAAATATCTCGTCGTCGCGTTCCATCGAACAGAGAGGAATAAGCATCGACAATTTTTATTGATGGTTTGGTTAGGTTCTTCTTGAATAGAACGGAATTCCATCAAGAGAAAATATCTTGAAATCAACTACTACAACTACAACACCTATCCTCCGACGCAACATCATGGTGTCTCATTATAAATAGTTGCTCAAAGAGACTCATCTCTTATTCATATATTTACTTAACAAAATGTATTATAATAATAATAATAGATTATTTGTATTTGTAACACTACTATTTACTATTATAGTTGTTACTACTACTACTACTACTTCTGCTCAATCATCTTCGTCATCATCATCATCACCATGGGTGATAGTTGAAGCGTTCAACGAAGCACAATGTGATTTGGAGAGTTCGAGTATGGGCGGTATTGTTTTTAAATCAGGAGTATGTTTCAATGGACAAGAAGTATCTTGTGACGACAACAACATTGTCACTATTCAAATATACAACGATACAGAGTGTCAAACAATCCAGAATACTACACAATATACCTCTGGTGCCTGCAACGCACTCCAGCCTCTAGCCAGAGGTTTCTACAATACCTACACGTGCTCAGACACACTTCCATCTGTTCCAGCCCGTTCAATGTCCTACGCGACCTATGATACCTGTAATATCGGTCCATCATCTCTCACTAGTTACCGTTGGGTACCAACCTACAAGTGTATGACCATCTCGAGATTGGTGCTTCCCACTCCCCCTACAAGTAGCGGTAGTGCCTCTGCTTCATCAGGGTCTGGATCTTCAGGATCTGTTTTACACCAAAACATCGAAAAGATAAACTCAATGGATTTCTTGGACAAGTATCTTGATTTCTTGGACTTTATCAACTTTAATCACAATCAAATCCTTCAAGAGGAGGAGAGAGAAGAGGAGTATGATTTTGCAAATAGTGGTAGTAGCATTGAATTATTGGGAACTGTTAGTACTGGATTGACTGGTGGTGGATTTAATACTGGAACAGGAAATGGATATAGTACTGGATCAGGAAGTGGAGGTAGTAGTGCAATCAACTCTGTCTTTTTTGCAACTCTTGCATGTAACCAAACCTACGTCAAACTATCGATCTATAATGACGGAATTTTAGTGCCGGTTGTCTCGTCGGGCGGTGGCGTCAGTGGAGCTGCCACTGGTACCGGTGAAGGTGGCAGTATCTTGTCGACAGGTCAATTCTCATCGGGTGATCCAAATGGTTCAAATATGAATATTCCAACGAGTGGTAGTACCTCTGGATCAGGTGGATCGGGGTCACCCCGTAATGGATGTTCCATTCATTACATGACATCACAAAATCTACAAATAAGTCAACCAAAATGTATGAATGGACAAATAATAACAGCCACTTGTAACCCACCATACCATTCATAAAAAAAATAGTCCAACAACAATCAATCAATCAAATAAACAAACAAATGATGAGGTATTGAATTAATTATTATGCAATCGTTGGTATATATATCTACTTTGAGGAAAAACAAAATAATCTTTTTAGATTTTTTTATTCCAACTTTGGAATGATGAAACCAAATTCAATTGCCCAACTCATAAAGTCTTCATATTCTTTTTGAGTATAATTATTTACTATTCTATTATTATTATTATTATTATTAATATTATTGTTTTGGAAATAATAATTTTGTAAACATTGATTCCAAATTCCAATATATTCAATTATCAATGGAGGTGGATTCATTGGATATTTGATGAATTGGTATTGATCAAGTTGATCTTGTTTGATATGGTTATAGATTCTTTGTAAATGATTAAAAAACTTTTGATCATATTTTAAATGTTTGAGATGATGCATTGGATAATCTAACCATTTTGAAATTTCAATATCCTTTGAATATCTCTTCCAAAGTGAGCTGAATTGATCGTCTGTCAATTCAATTGCATAATAGATTATTTCATGTTGTTTTTTTGGTTGTACAATTTCAATTAATGTATTGGCAGATTTCCAATATCCAGCCATAATAAAACTAAAACATAAAGGAAACAAAAGATTGATACACTTTTTTAAAGGCATCTTTCCTTGAGGTGGTGGCAATAGTTTGATTGGAGGGTTGAAATCCAATATTTGTGATGCAATTTCATGGTAACCTGCATTGATAATTGAAAGAATCATTTTGATTGAATAGTGGTCCATTCTTAGAGGATTCTTACCAAGTAATTTATAAATACGTTTGTACAGTTCAAAATCATTTGACATGGCTGCACTTGTCAGAAAGTAATATGAATAACCATCAAATTGTTTTGAAATGCTTGCGACAATTGATGGGTGAAGAAGATGAGGCATTGGATTGTACGGGAATTTATATAAGTCTGGTAATATCTCATTGGTGATGGTTCTCACAAAAGAAATGAACTGATCCCGACCGGGGTGGTTAGAGTTGATGAATTTGGATATAGACTTGACTGGCAATGCACACCGATTGGGGTGTTGGTGAACATGAGCGACCAATCTTTCAATCAAGTGTTGGCTGTCATCACCACCCATATGATCAATGATTGATTCAAACGCATCTACCAAATTAATTGTTAGTTGTTGACCGAAAGAAGAGTTGAGTAGATAATCCAATTCTTCATACTCTTTTCCAATGGGAGCTTGTTGGAGTGTTGATCGAACTATTTGAGAATAGGTGTTTGAGAGAATAGAATAACGATGCATAGACAATAGATCAATGTATCGACGTGAACAAAAGATTGGATGGATACGTTTGAATTTGTTTGGCATGTAACAAACTTGAACCCACCAAATGGCGACAATGCTAAAATGTGGTTGACAACTTGTTCTGCTCCATTCTCTAGAGATGCCGAGAAACTCCATAGATTACTGATAAAAGATATTAAATCAGATGAATCCAATACTTGTATTGTAAGAAATCCAAGTCTGTTGCATTACCAAATTTGGCAAACAATTCTTTGCTCCAGAAAGAGGATCTATTTTTAAAAAGTGCCCTCTTTCTTTCATTCTCTATGGTATTTTTGGTAGAGAATGGAGATAATAGTGGAACAAGATGCTGTCTCCAGTCATTGAATTGTGGGTCCTGAAAGGATAGATGCAAATGGCTGATAAATTTGAAACGGCCGTATATCAATGCTTGAATAAATATATGTATGTTGCTTCTTGTGTCAATCATTCCATTCACCTTTTTGACTACGTTGTAGACTTGGATCAACTCGTAATCATTCTTGTATTTGAAAATTGTAATAGTTTTGTTGTCGTTTGTTGTGTCGGCAAATAAATAACAAAGATTCTTGAGTTTGTATCGTTGGAATAGATTTTGAATGGTATCAGTGTCCCCAATCACCGTAAATGTAGTCTTTGCCATTCTTTGCAACAAATCATCAGATTCGATAAACACATTGTCATCCACCAACAACTTGAATATATTTGCACTGATACAGTTTACAATTTGATAACTACCCAAAAATGTCTTTGTGTGATCGTAATTGATTCTAACCATCGTTTGAAATGGTCCAATCTCTTTTTTAATTCTATTCAACAAGTATTCTAAAACTATATCATTATGATAATCAATTGATGTTGTAATGATTCTAGTTAATCTCTATCAATTGATAAAATGTGATATGTAAGTCGATCAAATTGTTCTATCTATAATTCACAAGCTAGTTAGACACTTACACCATTATTATCATTTCTATATCTACCATCATCAGGAAACATCAATGACCAAAGTTGATCAATATGTTTAAAGAATAGATCATTTAAACCATATCTAATATAATCAATCAGAGTGTAAAGTGATGATACTTTAACAGTTGTAATCTCTAATTGTTTGTGAATAGAACTGACATGATTGAATATCAATCTTCTAAGATATGATTGATTTAATATAAATTTGAACACCTGGGTTGATATTGAATGAGATTGGACTTTAATCTTATTCTTTTCTATTCTATTTGTATCTTCCATTATCTTTATGAGTATATGTACGAACAAAAAAAAAAAAAAATAGAATATTAAAAAAAATCAAAGTCCCAAATTTGGGAAGAACTCTTTCATTTAGAAAGAAATATTAAAGATAGAGATAAAAGAGATATTGATGTGTATAGATGAACAACAAAGAAGAGGAAGATCAACAAACTATGACAATTAGTAGTAGTAGTAGCAGCAATGATCATCACAATCACTCAAGATTATTTCATTCAATCATTAATAATCAGTTCATAAGAAACAATATATTTGAACATGTTAGAAAGATACATATACAACTAAAACTAGAGAGAAGAAAGGAATGTCATATGTACTGTCTCTATGATTTAATACGATTTAATCGTGTTGATCTATTCATCAAACACTATCCCATCGACCAAGTCATCAAATCTATCCCACTACTACAAACAAATCTACAACAAGGTGAATATCAATCAATGTTGGTATGTATAAATAAATAAAAGTATAAAATCATAATCATCTTTACTTACTCTCTCTCTACTCTTTTTTTTATTTGCTTTAGGATAAGAAATTATCAAGTTTAATAGTATTTGCAATTAAAATGAATCAATTTAGAGTATTGGAATACTTGATAAAATTGATAGATAATAATCAACCAGAAATAGATAATGACGATAACTTGAAATATGATATATCGGCAACCATGTTAACGTCAGAGTTTAAACCGTCGCTTGAAACGGCCAAGGTACTATTGTCGAGTCGACGACTAAAGTATGGTGCCAACTTGCTGCACCAAGTGACAGTGACCTGTGTCTTTGCAAACGATCCTCAACTGGTTGGTCGTGCCATTGAAATGTACAAACTATCAAATCACTTTACAGCGACCGGTCAAAACACTGAGCCATACCGAATCAACATGCAAGATGATATGGAACGAGCAATGGAGATTATTGATATAATCAACGAAGAAGGATTAATCAAAAATCTTTGTTGGGATGATATATCAAGTGACTCGCCGTTACATTTAAATCATGACATGTTACAATTATACTTGAAGAAAAAGTATATATTAAATGACCAATACCACCAACAAAATAATAGTAGTAATGGGTTTTGGAGTGTATATAGTATGAAAAAGAATGGTGTACAGCCAAGACTGTTTGATGCGTGTATTGTAGAGTATGCTGATTTGGATACGTTACGATCACTCTCTTATCAACCAACCGAAGGACGCGAGAGAGATATGGTGGCGATTGGAGCAAGCAACCTTGATTTTTTGTATTATATGCAAAACGATCTTGGCGCAAAGGCAGTCATGTCGGCGACACTAGGTACGGCAGTCAACCAACCACTCTCTCGGTCACTCATCGATTGTACAATATATATTCTCCAATTACTCGAAAAGCAAGAGGATAATGGACAGCGATTTAAATATGTACCAGGTAATGGACTATTACGACAACCACAACCAAGACCATTAACAATGGAGGATGCTATTTATTTTAAAGGGTCTGGTGGAGGACAACATTGGCATAAACTTCGTGGTGACTGTTTGGCATTGGCAATTAAACAACGAGACTATGAATTGGTAGATTTTGTAGCAAAGGATGCTAGTAGACAATCACTATCAAAGGCACTCGAAACAGCTTTATCCACCAACGACCGACAATCAATCGAAATCATTTTAAACAAGTTTAACGAACTCAAGACAACTACTTCGTCGTCTGCTTCAATGATGTCGTTGAGTATATCGGCCACTTCACTCATCCGAGCAACCGAGGATAACCAAGACTACCTCTTTTCACATATTGGAACGTCGTCACTTAAATTGATGGTGGCTGGCGAGTACCAAGAGGTGTTTCCACTGGCCACCATCGAGTTGATGAGTCGACACGGCCATTTGGAGGGGTTCTTAGAGTCAGAGATACATATTGCACACTACCTGCTCTACTGTTCCCAGGAAAATATTCCACTCTTTAAAACCATCTTTCAACACATTGTCGAACGTCATCAACAAGAAGGTGACCAAATCATAGGACACAGTCCCGACTTTGACTCTTTGGGAGACTATGAACCAGTCTTTAAAAAAGAGACTAAATACGTACTCCAAGACGCAGCCAAATCGGGTCGGTTTGAAATCGCCCAATTTCTCATGGCTGCCAATCCAACATTACGACCAACCGAAGAAACCATTGTACTAGCAGTCACCAACAATCACCTAGATATCTTATCACTCCTTATCAATTCACATGCTAGTTTTCGAGTAAACTCTCAACTTTTCGCAAAAGTGATGGCACATTCATTGTTGGTTAGTGACGATATGTTTAAAATGTTGATGGACGAGTTTAAACGTCTCTACACTGACATGATGTCACCAACAGCAGTCATCCTAGAGAAAGCAATTCAAAACCTACCACTCGATTTTGATCAATTGTGTTTTGCACTGGATCGTCTCGTTGCAGCTCACAGTAATCTATTTCACAATCCAACCGATCGAAGAACCTACATTCAACCACCTCGTAACATGTTTTCAGGCAACACTATTCAATCCTACAACATGATCCCTTTAGCCACTTATTTCTATCTTGCCAAAGATTCAAATTTAATGTCTCATCTAACTTTAGATAATGGTTATGATTTTAATGATTTTTATTTCTTTAAATAAAAAAAGAAAGAAACAAAGAAAGAAATGGAAATAGAAATAATAATAATAATAATTAAAATTAAAAAGTGTATAAATAAATAAAATAAAATGTATAATTTAAATAAATAAATAAATATTAAGTTATATTCTATTATCTTTTTTAAATTAAATTAAATCAGCAATTGTATTTAATATAAAATGAGGGATAATGTTTTCTTCAATGATTGATTGTTTGTTTGAGATGCCGGTTAGGACAAGTAATGTTTTCGTGCCGCTATTGATACCAAAGAGAATGTCAGTGTTTAGACGATCACCAACCATGAGTGTTCTTGATCGATCCAACCCTTCGTTTTTGATAATGACATCCATCAAGAGTGTTTCTGGTTTACCTACAATGATTGGTGCCTTGCTCGTACTGCTTTGTATCATCGTTACGATTGATCCGGCTCCAGGTAGAGTACCATCACGTACAGGGTAACTGTGATCAGTGTTTGTTGCTATAAACATACATCCTGGAATCTGAGTGATTGCTTTGTGTGCATAGACACATTTAGAGTAGGTCAATGAAGTATCCATACCAACAATGACAGCTCCAATATCTCTTTCAATCTCTATGTTTTGAGCATTTGATATCCCCGATACTGTATGATCGGTATTGAATTTAATGGGACTATATCCAGCATCCCTCAATTCATTCTCTAGTCCAGCTTCACCAATCATAAATATCTTCTTATTAAATTGTATTGATTTTAAATATAATGCAGTACCATATGCACTACCATAGATTTCATCCTACATAGAAAAAAGATTAATGTTAGATGATTTGATTTGATTTGATCTATTTACTTAAATTGCATACAATTGAACATTCAATACCAAATGATTGAATCTTGACTAGGAATTGATGTCTTGTCATTGTACTATTGTTTGTGACAAACTTGATCTTCTTTCCCATCGATCTAAACTTTGCCAATGCTTCACATGCACCCGGGATGACATGATGATCGAGCCACAACACACCATCACAATCAAAGATAAGTGTGTCTATTGAATCGAGAAATGCATGTCTCTGATCATCATGTTGATTTAAATCTATACTAGGAGTAGTATTGGTGGTCATTATCATCTTACCCCTACAATGATCTTTCTTTTTTTAAAAATAAACAGACAGGTGGGGCATTGTTGCAATTGTTTTTAAACCCTTTTCTGATCTAAAATCATACCATGATATTGTTTATTTAACCCATTCAATCAATCAACATCTTACCAACCAAATTACAATTATGACCCCCATTCAATTAATGATTGATTTAATTTAATTTAATTACACATTGCAATGATTAGCATTGCACCTCCTCACCTTTTCTTCCTTCCTTTTTGTCTATTCAATTCAATTGGAATTTGTTTATCATTTAAATAAATAATCGTAAGATATAGATAAAAGAAAGTATGAGTAAAGCTACATTTACTATAGTTGCTGCAGGAGGAACTTCTATTGTTGAAGGAATGGGTATGTATATAAATATATATTTCACACCACAGAATATTGAACCCAACTCCAAAGTATATTTTAAATACTTAATAATTTTATCTTTATAGCCCAATTAGGCCCTTCCCCCAAGATCTTTCCCGAACCTCTCTTTATTAATTTTGAAGGGTCTTTTCAAACTTCCGGTCCAGATGTTTGGAATTCAAAGTTTAAATCGCCATCGTCGACCCTTGTCTATGACGGAAAAACCTATAAACTGCCTTCCTCGGAGATCTCCATCACCAGAGACAAGGACGATGAAGGTGAATATCTCTCAATTAGACAATTCATGGATCATCCGGTTATGGATTTACCACGTAGATAAGAAATATTGGTGTCTGTCCTCCTTTTAAATTAAAATAATATTAAACATTAAACATTATTTACCATTATTATTATTATTATTATCATTTATTATTATTATCATTTATTATAATTATTATTATTATTGTTTTGGTTGATAGTAAAACCTCTAGTGACTAAAAATTGAACCAATTGATCTGTAGAGTTTTTGACAATACATAGTGGTTTGATAAAGTCATAGTGGACGAGTCCACCATCCACACCATTGTTGGAGATGTATCGGTCGTTTATGTATTGTAGTAGTTCCTGTCCAATCGAATAGACATGGTAGAATGATTGCGACTCGAAATGAATCGGTGCAACCTCAATGTCGTACAGTGTCTTGATATCGTCTCGACGTTGGTATATGGACGTGTTGTACTCGGCCAACAATCTTTCCGAGTGGTGTATGACTAGTCTCGGACTGTCTACATCGGCCGTATCCTCTTGATAGAGCATCATCTTGAATAAAAAGAATGGTGCAAATACCCGTACCATCCATACATGGTACTGTCCCATACCATATCGTCGTTCAAACAAAAATGCATGCAATTGCCAACAATATTGAAATTCCTTGTCCGTGAAATGGTACAACCTTGTCAATGCCTCTATACTATTTCCACCTTTACCCATCCCAATGAAATAATCTAACATTTCAATACTTTCCAATTGAATAGATGGTGATTGTTGTTGATCATCCAGTCCTCCTCCAGAGACCAACGATTTCCAAGGTATTGTGAAACCATTGGTTTGATCTTTGATACGATTAAATACACGTGAAATGGCAATAGATGATACTGTGCCCGGCGAAAGTATGTGGTTATGAGAATACACATAGTCGGATAGATAGTCTTCGAACCGATGCTTGTCTACAAGACTCTTTATATCATCCAACGAACCATTCTCGACGAGATGGTAGAGTAGTCCGAGATGGTAATAGTTGATGGTTGGCTGACTAAGTAAATCCACAGGTACACGTCCACCAAGAATAAGACTTGCCAACTCTGAATGAAATCTTTTACCAGCACATGCATAACTAACAAAAAATTCACAATTTGGTTGATAATTGACTATATAATATACACATTCCAATATATTTGTAATAGTTGTAGTTGTCATGGTTGTAGTTGTTGTAATATTATTTTTATGGTTGATTACATTTCTTGAATATAAATCTGAAACATCAAATTTTAATGATGGTCCACCTCCACCGCTAATATTCTTTAAATTAATTTTAGAGTAATGATTCATTAACATTTCCAATGACCTTTTATCTCCAATCTTGAAAGCAGCTCTCATACCACCAAATAGAGATGCATCAATTTCAGGATGTTTAAGTGAATCCTCTAAAAACTCTTGAAAGAATTGATATTTTTGTTCAATACTATAATAATCTGCAACTACTGATGATAAATTATTATTATTATTATTTATATTATTATTATTAGTTTGTGATGATGGGATGAGATGAATCCAATCCAAAATATTTCTAATAATATTGTGAAATTTACAATTGATGATTGTTTTGTCGCAAGCCAATAGTTGGTGGATAAGTTCGGGTGAGAGAATATCTGGATTGATTTGTAGTATATCTTCCTTGTTCCAACCCTTTGCAAATGCAGGGTTAGAGAGTAACAGGTGTAATATAAAACTGGCACAGTTTAGGTTACCCAATGAAAGATAGGAGGATAATGACCCAACATAATTGAGTCGTTTAATCTTGTCTTCCAAATCACTACCACTGGCATACATGTATTCCAAAAACTCGACTGAATGTTGTGATTGGTTCATCTCCATTTTATACGAAAAATGTATATACAATTTATGCATGTCATAGTTGTCGACGCCATACGGACACTTATCCATATCTTGAATCCACAATGGTGAATTGATTTCTGGCAATAATATGATACCTCCACCACCAGAACCATCCTTTTCCAAATTAAATTCAATCAATGCTCTTACAATATCCTTATTATTAAACTTTGTTGCCCATTTAAATATTGATTTGAAATTACTTGGTGTCATTATAAATTCCAATAATCCCAAAAATATTTTAATCTTTTTTTTTAATCCAACTATTATTATTATATCTATATTATCTATATCATTATTATTATTATTATTATTATTATTATGATTTATATTATTTATATTTTTGTTGTTGTTGTTGTTATTATTTTTTAGAATTGAATCAAACATTTTTTTTGTTGTTTGTTCAGTAAATAATTGAGGAGAGGTTGGTGAATTGGAGGTACTACTGATTAACAATGATTTTTGGAGTGGAGTGAATCGAGCCAATGTTGCGACGAGTAGGTCGGCATCTCCACTCTCAATAGCACTTTTTAATATGATTTCAATAGAGTTTGAATCGATTGTTATATCATCACTCTCTAATATAAATTCAAGAAATTCTGATGATATAGTTGAATTCATTCTACCAAGATCTAATCTATTACTATCACCAACACTATTATTTATATTATTTATATTATTTATATTATTATTTGTAGTTGTAGTTGTGATACTTCCAATACTATTCCTATTTCTAAGTACTTGTACCATATATTTAAAAGTAGAGAATGAATCCTTTTCAATCATTCTGTATATTATATGTGAAAGAAATGATTTCTATAGATAGAACAAGTCAGACATTAGATTGACCTATTCTTTTCCTTTTCTTACTCCTTGCTTTAAGTTGCTTACATACATCATCAAAAAAAGATTGAGCATTTGTATAGTAACGATCGAAATGATAGATGAACAAATCTATCCTTCCATAATCGATATAGTCACATAGACAAAGCAACGATGACTCTTTCTTTACTTTAAAACCAAGTGTCGAATGAATGATAGCTACATTTTTGAATATTCTACTTCTTATAAACTGATTGTTTATGATTGATTTAAATAGTATACATAATATATAGGTTGATGATGTTGTTGATAATGATGAAGTAGAAGTAGAAGATATATATAAAGATGAATAAAGGGTCATGTCCTTTCGCGCGTGCACTACTAATATAATATATATGTTTACCCTTTTTAGGGAGGTTGAGTTCAATTAAAAATGAAAGAGAGAAATCTCAACCAAAATGCACATGTTTTATTTTTAATAAATATTTACTTTGTTGTTGTGGATATTTATAATATTTATATTATATATGTATATATATGGTTCATTGAGATAATATACCAGTTGGTATATTTTGATGGATAATTCAATTAAATTTAATTGATTGATTGGTTGATATTATTTGAATACTTTAAAAATGTTTGTTGAAGCATTTCTCTTTCTCTTTGGAGGTCAGCTGTCAATTGATCCATCTTTTGAATCTCTGCTTCAATAAATTCAAAAAACATACTCTTGTTTGCATTATGAAGTCTAGAAGAAGAAGAAGAAGAAGAAGAAGAAGAAGATTAAACAATTAAATTAATAAATATTTATATTTATATATTTCCAAATTTGTCAGACACAGAGGGAGTGTAAGTGTGTACATACTTTAAAGATTCTTTACTTTGATCAAGAGTAGATTGAACTTGTTGTGAAAATTGTGATAATAATTCATTATTTAAATGTTTTTCTTGTTCTACTGGTTGTTGTTCTTGTCCTTGTCCTTGTTGTAAATTATTGATATTATTATTATTATTATTTTGGTCATGATTAAAACTAATATTATTATTATTATTTGATGAAAACGATGAAAGTAAATTATTATTATTATTATTATTATTATTATTTTGTGATTGTTGTTGTTGCTCTAGAATATCCTTCATAATACTATTATTACTACCACTACTACTGCCATCTTTATTGTTTGTAGATGTGGTGTTAGTAGTAGTCGTAGTAGTAACAGTTGTATTTGCCAATGGATCCAGTTGATGCTGATGATGATGATTATCTATCATGCTTTTGTATGTCTATCTCTAGATAAGTAAGAATGAAGAAGAAGAAGAAGAAGAAGGAATACTAATAAAATATAAAACATAGTATTTCCATTTATCATAGGTTGTATGGTTGCTTGGGGGTTGGTGGGGGGTGAGTGAGTGAGTGAGTGAGTGAGTGAGTGAGTATGTGCCAATGACTAAAGTATCCTATAATAATATTCCTAAATGTGTGGGTTGGGAAAGACATATGCATATGATCATTGGGTACCTCTGTCGTATAATAATACATATATATCAGATACAAATATACATATAATCTATACCCATAAAGAAGAAACTTTAATTGATTAAAGTAGGTAACGTTGTATCATATGTTATAACATCTATCTTGCTAGAGCTAGCTACAGATCTCAAGATCTCGATTTACAATATAACTTTTATAACATTTCTTTCTTTCTTTCTTTTTAGTTAGTTTCTTATCTCTTGAGGAAAAAATAAATATTATTCTTCTTGTAACCTATGGCGAAAGGTCGAGTCGAGGGTTACCCTTTTTAAATAATATGAGGAGAGTCATCATAATATAATGTTATCTCATCGCGCACACTACATCCACCAAAATCATTGAAACACACCGTTGCCCACCAAACAGCTAGGCCATAAAAATTAGATTTTTTAAAATTGATGTGGATCTGAGTTTGTTGTTGATGGTGGCGCTACCCTCTGATATAATTTAATTTCATTCATCACCCACACCCTACCTCCCAACAATCCTTTCCTTTTTGTGTTTTGCTTTGTTTGTTGCTTTATTCACAACATCCATTCATTCCCTCCCATTATTATTATAGTATTACCAACACAACATTGCGATCAGCAGACGGACAATACATACAATCACATTAGGATAGTTTAATTATTGTATTATATCACATTGTAATATCATCGCATCACAGCACCACCAACCAACCACTCCTCACTTCTTCATTCATCATCCTCATATTTATTCTTTATAATACCTTGATTTAAATATACGTAGTAGTAGCAGTATTAAGATTTAATACACATTATCATCACCATCACCATCATAAATCTAGATATAGATATAGATATAGATATTGTATTATTATTACATAATAATCTGAGATTATTATTATTGTAGTGTAGTCTGTACAATGTCAACACCTATCAGTTCATCTACATCTACCTCTTCATCAGGGATTAATGGCAAACAATCGACCTCATCAAACTCGTTGAATGGCAGCGGTGCCAAGCAACAACAACAACAACAACCTTTGGGTGCATCGACGACCCCACAGTCAGCGCCATTGTCTGTCATTAGCGTATCATCTTCACCAAAACCAACCAACAACAGTAATAGTAACAGTAACAGTAACCCACCTACCCCATCATCGCCGATGCCAGGTAATGTGGCTACACCCAACCACCACGCGCACGGTGCTATCAGCGATGACTCGGGATCGGGTATCCCAGCCAACGCCAAGACCAACCGTCTACGTGTCGACTACAAGTTTGACGAATACGAAGACCACTTTTTTGCCAAAGCAATCATCAACGATCCACTTAAAATATCCCTTATTCCAGACTTGTTAACTATTCACTCTGAAAAGAGACAAACAAAGATTATTGGTTCAAATATTCCTGTATGTCATACAAAGAAACAAACAGATATATATCTATCAATATATTCATTTATTTATTTATTTATTAATTATTTATTTGTTTATGTTTATTTTAGATTGATTTAGTACCAACAAATTTACCAACTGGAATTCAAGATTCGTTAAAGGTGTTTAGTCAAGAATGGACAGTCATCAATAGAGAGGCATTCCCAACACCATCGAGTGGAGTGATTCCTCTCAAACCATTGCAAGTGCAATCATATGAATGCGACGACGAATACGAGGCTGGAACACCAGCTGACGCAGTCAAGGAATGCAACAGAGAGTTGATCGATCACTCACAAACATCACTCCCCGACCCCAAAATATTGGATGCCGTCAAAAACAATAGACTACCATTATTCCAAACTTATTTTGCCGATGAATTACAACCAATTGAACCTCCAAAAATTCCAAGACCTTTAACTGAAAATCCGTAAGTACAAACAAAAAAGAAAAAACAAAGTAAAGTATTAATTATATTATTTTTTTATTTTTCTTTCTTTTAGATCATTCCAATTTCAAGTTGAATGTAATGAATTTAAAACATTGATTGGTGATATTGAACCATTCTTTGGTAGAATGTTTTTATTTGATGCAAATGCTGAAGAATCTAAAAATCAAGTCATCTCTGAAATCTTTCATTTTGATTTTAATAATCATCTTGATTTATTACCAAAATCTGTAAGCAAAGAGAAGAAGAAGTAAAAACAATATTTATTTGTATAATATTAATTCTCTCCTATTTTTATTAGACTGATATTGAACAAGCATGTAGAGTAAAGAAAGCTATATTTTCAGTAAATAGACCATCAACTCATGTATATTTAATTATTTGTATTGATAAAGTAATGCGTGGTGATCCAGAAGAAACTACTAAAATCTATTTAACTAATCCTGTATGTGTCATGTGACGATAGACAATTAAATCCAATTTATTTATTTATTTATTAATCATATGATTTATTTATTTTCTAAAGGGAAAACCAAAAGAAATTCAAAAATTCCAACAAGAAGTTAGAGAAAGTATTCCAAAAATGGGTACATTTAAACAACCATTTGTTTGGGGTTATTTAGAACTATTTGATCAAAATAATCAATTCCTCTATAATACACCAGATGTTGCTGTAAAAGTTCAAAATTTAACTCGTACCAAAGGTGATCTTTATAATTTTGTTACTAAACCAGAGGTAAGACAAAAGAAAACAAGTATATTTTTTGTTTGTTTATTAAAGTTTTTATTTTTCTTTTTATTTTTATAGAAGAAACAAAATAATTGGTGTGAATGTTCAATTAAAGTATCAAGTGGAGAACAATTAAAAACAGGTGCTCAGGATACTAGAATTGATTATTTATTGAGACCTGTTTATTACCCAATTCCCAGCGATCAAACTCCAATGAGCAGAGAGATTATGACATTTGATAATCCAAGCGAACCAAATATGGATATGGGTATTTCGTACAGCAATGTGCTCTATTTCTACCCAAAGTCTGTCAATCTCAACAATTTCAAGAGCGATAAAGGAAGCAGCGCGAGAAACATCTTTTTAGAAGTAAAGTTGTTGGAAGATGACACCAATGTCAATAATAGTGGACTTCGATCAATCTATGGACAGTCCAGTCAACCTCTATTGACACGTCGCTTCTATTCGACGGTCGGTTATCACAACCGTAAACCAAAGTTTAGTGACGAGATCAAGATCAACTTGCCTGCCAACCTTACACCTGCCCATCATATCCTCGTAACCTTTTATCATTTGGGATGTCGTCAATCGAAAAAGGGTGACAAGCCAGAAGTATGTTTGGGTCATACTGCCATCCGTCTATTTGAGAATGACCAAATCATTGTCGATGGCAAGTACAAGAAACCAATGGCCACGGTATTCCCACCAAAATACTTGGATATGGAAGCCAAAGAACAAACCAATAGCAAAATGTGGGTAGACAATAAGAAACCAGTCTTTGCATTCCGTACTCGTACCATTTCAACATTGTATCCACAAGATCCTATTTTGTCGTATATATTACGTGAAGGTGCAGACTCTGATCAAAATCAATTGATAGAGTATCTCAAAAAGATTGGTGATGTTCCAAACATGCTCAAACTCAATTTCTTCCCATCACTATCTCGTGTCCTATTCAAGTGTATTGCATCACTCTCCAAAGAACTCCAAAAGAATGCATTCATTGCACTGCTGACATTGGTCGATGCAATCAGTCGTGAATTAAAACAAGACGATCGTCTCTTGTCCTACTGTAATTATATTTTCAATAATTCAAGTTCATCCAATCAACTCTACGAAGCTTTGGTTCAAACTTGGATCTCCATCCTAGAGACAAAAGATGACAAGATTTGTGTTCTCTCTTTACAATATTCTTGGTTCCTTTTTAATATTACTCGTAAATCAATGATTATTGATATTGATATTAAAGGTTTAATTAGTAAGAAAGAGGAAATAGAAAAAAAAAGAAAATAGAAAAAAAGAAAAATAATAATTATTAATTTATTTTTATTTATTATTTAATTTTTTTTAGAGAATGGACGTAATAGAACAAGTAGAGTTAGTGAAGAATTTGCTGGTAAATTTAAATATCTATTTGAATTACTTTTGATTCAATTGAAACAAGTTTATAATGTTAAATTAATGATTGCAAAATCATTTATTGTTCATGTTTCTTATTTCATTGTTGATTTATTGGATGTTATGAATAGAGGTTTCATTTTCCGTCTTGTATGTATAATAATAGAAAAAACAAAAGAAAAGACAAATATATTTAATATTTATTAATTTAATTTTCTTTAAGATTTATTCATATGTAACAGGATTAGATAGTTCAAATACAGTTATGGAATTAACTGAACTTAAATTTACATTTTTAAGAGTATTGGCATCATCTGAATCATTTATTGCTTTAAATTTACCATCTACTTTTGTATTCCCTGATATTTTAGATATTCATACTCATTATTAGTATGTAAACAAATAGAATAGGCAGCAGACAAATAGTCTGAGTACAACTATTAATTAAATTATTCTTTTTATTTTCTATTTTTAATTTTCCGTTTAGTAAAAAACATGTATTAGTAGGATTATTATTACAAGAAGTATCAAATATTATAGGAGCCAATGAAAAAGAGATGAGATTAAAGGCAATATTGACATTACGAGAGATTATGTCTAGATATGATCAAAGTGATCATTACAATACACCAGTGATTAGAGAGAGAATTGCAGCACTGTATTTCCCATATGTGATGATTGTGGTTGAAAACTTTGATGCCCTCTACAAGTTTGATCAGGCTGAACTCAAAAACTGGTTGATTTGCTTTATCTATGTCGTCAAGAATCTCATCAATGGAACAGTGATTACGGATTGGTGGAAAAAGGAAACGCAAAAGAGCAAAATCTCAACATTCTTTGCTATTCTTTCAACAAGTTTGACATTGTTTGAATATGGTAATGATAGTGGTCCAGATAGTGCTGTCAGTAACAGTATCTCTGCATCAACTGGATCGGGTGAGACTGGGTCCACTACTGACTCTCCATCCAAGGGATCACGTAAAAACAACAAGGATGATCAAAACAATAAGGATGGAAAAGTATCAATCTTTAAAAAGGTTAAAGGTAACGGTGGTCAGCAGATCAACAGAGAGACTGCCAAAGTATTGTTGGAGCAGTACACTAATAACTTGTCAAAGAGTGACCGAACCTACTCTGTGTCACAGACATCGTCACCAGTATCGATGCCATCTATTAGCACTAGTCTCAATAATGTGCCACCACCATTGACAAGTCACGCATCGTCCATGTCGTCGAGCAGTACATCGTCAACTGCTTCATCGTCCAATAATCCAAACAATGGGTTCCGTTCATTCCACAAGTCTATCCATCTATTGACATCGACCATGGAACCTGCAGTCACGGCCGAAATCCACTCGATCATGCACGGCAACTTGACACATGAAGTGTCCATGACTGTACTCAACTGTCTCGTTGTCTATATCAAGGAGAACAAGGAACCATTGCGCTCGCAGCAACACAATCAGGCTGACGTCAACAGCGGCAAGTTTAGCGTGTCGCTCGAACGTATATTCAAGATTGTCATCCAACTCATCAAGAAACAGCAGTCTCACACCTTCCTACGTCTCTGTTTCCTCGTCCTTGCATCGATGAGCAATGAATTCAAGATTGCCCTGTTCCGCAACCAAAACACGATTTGCTCTGAGCTGACACCCGAGATTTTCAAGTATTGTACGGTCAATCACGCGCCAAACCGTCAATACGCCACGACACTCATCTTTTTGCTCATTCAAAACAATCTTCGTGAGATGGGACACTTTTCACGTATGAAACTCCAATCGACCGTATCCGTCTCCAAGATTGTCAGTGAGAATGTCAAAGAGAATGAGGTCAAGGACTTTGAAACGCTCTATGCCTGTCTTGACGCGCTGACCCGTTTTGTCAAACAATATTGTAACAATAACCTCCTCAAGAATAATAACCAGTCAATGTTTGGCAGTGGCAATAGTGGTAGTGGAAGCAACCCATCACAACAACAACAACCCATTGCAAATCAAATTGAGGAATTACGTGACCGTCTGTTTGGTGTCATTCGAAACTCTGTCAAGATCCAACAACATGGATACGACCCAGAGATGAAGGCTGATCTCTACCACCAACTCTCCAACACGTTTATCGAGTCTCCCGATTTACGTATCACATGGTTAAAGTCATTGGCAGGGTTCCTCCAAACAACTGGTAACTTTGAAGAAGCTGCACAGACGTTTATCATCACTGCAGCACTCGTAGACGGTTACTTGAAACAACTCAAACGATTCCACAAGAATTTACAAGTCGATTTTGGTAATGTGTCTCCCAACGTTGCACTCGATCTCAAGGTGTTACCTGACCCTTCTCTACTCAAGGCTGTTGAAGGTGAAGTGTGTCAAATGGAAGATTTTACTGAAAAGGGTTTTATCAATCTGCTTAAAGAAGCTATCAAGGTTCTCAAGCGTGGTTCCTTTTTCGAGAGTTGTATTGAAACTTATCAATTACTCCTTCCAACCTATCAGAAGAATAGAGAGTGGAAACGTCAATACGAGTGTTATTCCGAGCTAGTAGTACTCTGTAACCAAATGATTTCAGAGAGCACAGTCAATCAACGTCTCTTTGCCAATTATTATCGTGTAGCCTTTTTCGGTAAGAACCTTTTACCTGAAATCCATGAAAAGGAATACATCTACAAGGAATTGCCATCGGTTCGTCTAGCAGACATTTCTGAACGTCTCCAAAACCAATTCCGTGGCAAGTTTGGTGATGACAAGTTCCATCTACTCCCCAACAAACCTGTCGATCGTTCAACCCTCAATCCAGATCATATCTATCTTCAAATCATCTCTGTTGAACCTTATCTCTTACCTGAAGAATTAAAAGAACGTGTTTCAACTTTTGATCAAAATACTAATCTTAGTAAGAAAAAAAAGAAAAAAACAAAATAGAAAATAGAAAATAGAAATATTAATTATTTTATTTATTTATTTGTTTAGATAAATTCATTTTTGAAGTACCATTTACAAAATCTGGTAAAACTCATGGTGATGGTATAACTGATCAATGGAAACGTAAAACAATTCTTACAACTGTATCTTATTTCCCATATTTGAAAAAGAGATTATTAGTTTGTAAAAAGGATGATGTATGTAAAAAACAAACAAAACGAATAATAATAATTAAATTACAAATATATATTAATTTATTTTTTTCTATTTAGATTGAATTAACACCAATTGAAGCCTCAATTGAAATTATTCAAAAAAAGACACAAGCATTGAGAGCAGAATTAAATTCAGCATTGCCAAATACAAAGACATTACAAATCAATTTACAAGGATGTCTATTGTTACAAGTCAATGCTGGTCCATTGGCCATTTGCAATTCATTCTTGGATGCCGAAGAATTTGCCAAACACAATGCCGAACATATCACTAGACTCCAAGAAAGTGTCAAAGAGTTTACCTTTGCTTTGGGTTCCTCTGTCAAATTGAATCATAATCTCACTAAAAATGTCGATGGCGGTCAAGAACTCCAGATCCAACTTGACAAGGGTTACCAAAATTTTAGAGAAAAGGTTAAACAATATGTTGTATTATCAGGTGATGATGAATAATCTTTAAAAAAAAAAGAAAACAAAAAAGAAAACAAAAAAGATTATTCACCTATCCAAAAAAAAAAAAAAAAAACAAAACTCTATCTATCCCCTTTTTTATTATTATTATTATTTATATCGAAATCAAATCATAATTAAAAAACTAATATCTTTATATATATTAACAATCATTATATTAATAAAATAAATTATTTATTAAAAAAATAAAATAATAGAATCATATCAATCAAAATCACAGAGGCAGTGATCTTTGCAAAAAACAAAATTCAATTTCATTGTTGTTAGAATGTTAAATATTTTTAAGAAAAAGAAGAAATCAATGGATAAAAATAATATTGTATCACCATTTATATTCTTTTATGTATTTAGAAACAAGTATCTTAGACAGATTATATTTAATTATATACCATTATTTATATTATCACCAGACAATGTTTATTTCATCAATACCTCCTTTGAAAGTGAGAAAGATGTGCATGTGATGGTATCAAAAGTCAAACAATATGATTTAGATCGACGTTTGACAACACCTGCTTGGGATTACAATCTATTTAGTTGTGCCTTTAGATTGACACCAGACTCTCAAGATTGGAATGGTGTGTTGTGGAGTAGACGACCCATCACATTGACCCGTGGCTTTAAAGCTTGTTTTACCTTTCAAATCAATGTCACTAAACCAACTGGTACTGGTGATGGTCTAGCATTTGTTATTCAAAATGCTCCAGATAAACATAAAACATTTAAAAAGACTGAAGGTTCTGGTATGGGTTATAATATGATCCCAAACTCTTTAGCAATTGAATTTGATACGTAAGAAAAGAAAAAAAAGAAACAAAAAGAAAAAGAAAGAAATATGTTTGTATTTATATCTAACTTTTTATAGATGTAAATTATATGATGATCCAAATAATAATCATATATCAATTCAAACAAGAGATAAAGAACCAAATAACTTTAGGCACAAGTATTCAATTGGACATGGATCACCTACGAGTAAGATGGATGACGGTATTCCACATGATTGTGTTATAGAGTATGATGTGTCTTCTCAACCGTCTCCATTCTTTTCAGTGTCGCTGGATGGTCAACAAGTCATTAAACAGGTAGTATATGACCTCAACCGTATAGGTCTTGACCCCAAAGGCAGAGCTTATGTTGGATTTACCTCTGCTACAGGTCGGTACACTCAATATCATAGAATCTTACATTGTACTATTTTTAAATAACAGAAATCCTAAATATAAATATAAATATACATTCGTTCAAATATATTTATACATGTAAATAAATCCTAATAATAATCTTGATTATTTGTTTAAAACATATTATTATATCCATTTTTTGAAAAAGAGAAATAGCAAATGACATCACCCCCCCCCAAGTTGTTGTTCCAAAGCAACTCTTCAGAGTGTCATTTTTTTTTAAATTAAATTTTTAATTAATGTCTCTTTCTCCCTTTTGGGCTAGTTAATAACTATTTATTCATTTCAAAACAAGCTACTATAAATATTTATAGTTATTATTATTTATTCAAAAGTATTAATACAAATAGTGTAATGGTTTTTATAAATCACTTGCTTGCTTGTGTAGAAATAGATAGATAGATAGATATAGTTATAATCTTATCCATCACAACAATCAATTCAATCATTATTTATTATTATATTTATGAATATTAGTGAACAAGAAAAAGAAAGATTACTAGATAACAAACAAAGATTAGATCGACAAAAGGAAGCGAGAATGGGGAGAAGAAGAAGTGAGTCGGGGAGTGACACTAGTTCAGACAAGAATGTTGAATTGTTGGAATTGGAAGGTTTCCCTATGAGAAACAAAAATATTAATAATAATAATAATAATAATAACAATAGTGATAATAATACAACTACAGATGAAGAAGATCAAAAGAAATTTAAAAAAAGAAATAATAATAATAATATTACCAATACTACTACAGATACTGATGGTAGTGGTGGTGGAGGTGAATTTAATAGAAATAATAATAATAATAACAATCAAGGAGGAGATGATGATACAGAAGGAGAAAAAAAGAAAAAGAAAAAAGGTGGAGGTGGAGGTGGAGGAGGAGGAAAGAAAAAAAAGAAATGGGAAATGCTTACACCAGAGGAAAGAAGAATCAAAGAGGAAAGTCAAGATGCTAAATCATTCTTTTCAAATGAGAGAACCTTTTTGGGATGGATTGGATTAACCTTTTCTCTTGGTGCTATTGGTACTGCTATCATTACCTTTTTCGGTAGTGAAGGTGTTTCATTGGGTACTGGTCTTTTCCTTTGGGCCACTGCTATGCTCTTTATGACCTATGCAACCATTCAATTTAGACGTCGTGGTAAAGCCATTCGAACTAAAACACAAGGTCCATTTGATGATCAAAAGGGTCCTTTTGCTCTTGTCATTATGGTTATGATTGGTGTCACCATCTATCTTGTATTCTTTGTTGCTATACGTCCAGAAGCTAATATTGATTTTAATGGAAATAAAGGAGGTAATTCAACAACTCCTACACCAACAAACTCTACAAAAATAATAAGATAACAAAACAACAAGACAATAAATCAAACAAAGTATGGTTGGTTCAACTAGTTTTCATTGGGTTGGTGTCCTTTTGAAATTCAAACGAACCTCCCCATAAAATTTGAAAAAAAGCATTGAAGCCTAATTAGTACCAAAGTCGACTACGTCGTTGATCGTGGTTGTTGCCTCGAAAAAGGGGTGGTTTCGGACTCCATCACTCTTTTTGATCACTCTTTTTTTCTGTTGTTTATTTTTCAAGTAGTAGAAAGAGAAGAGATAGAGACTTATTTCATACCTGTAAGTGCTTTTATAAATTTATTTGTGTCTTTGGAGAAAATGATCAGATCTTGGGTACCAACCATCATCACTTTTTAGTCTTAATCTCGTTGCCGAGCCAACAGTTTCAACAACAGGTCATCACACATTCATTTGTTTGTTTCCTTGTTGGGGCCAACAACAAAAAAGAGAAAAAAAAGAGACGGATGATAGAGAGCAGGAGGACCCAATGGTCGGCGAGTGACATCATTATGTTTTTTCTAAACCCGAAAATTCAGACTAGAGGGCGCCCTTTGTTCGATGCATCATCAGCACTCTAAACAACAAAAAAATAAGATTTGTACCTACCTTGTCTGTTTCTCTTATTTTCTTCACTTTTTTTTCTTTATTTATATATTTATTTATATATTTATTTATTGTTCTAGTTGTGGAAGTTATAACTAACTAATATAGATTTAGTATTACAGTAGCACAGTACATTACATACCTATTTAAGAGAGAGAAAAAGAGATGGATAGATCAAAAATGTTCCAAATACAGAGAGCTAGTATCAGTATGAATTCTCCGATATCGATTGGAAGGCACAAAGAAAAGATAAAAGTGTCGATCGCATATCAACCACCACCTCCTGAATGTATTTATGATCATCTAGTATTAGTAGTTCATGGTATAGGAAAGGTATGAAATCAATACATCACATATCGATTGCTAGATCATGTAGATCGAAGAAAAAGAGGGAGGACCAAAAGGAGGAGGCCCTCTCGCTCAAAAAACAAAACAAAAATATCTGTCTTGGTCTCTAACAATTTTTGTTTTTTTTTTATTCGTCGTCGGATAAATATACATATCTATCTATATCTATTTCTTAGCATGAAGAAGATTATTTCGAGATGATTAGTAAAATGAGTAAAAAGTTTGATTCTATATTTAATCCAACTGCTACTCCTTCATCATCTCAAACCAATCTTGCAAATAATAATATTAATAATGGATTTCCTACTCCTTCAACGACGGAACCAATGATTGGAAAAAAAAGAGTAAAATTTGTAGCAATCGAATGGCATGCTGCACTTCAAGAAATGTTGGGGTCTTTATTGTCAGATGTTACACCTAAAGCTGTTGGAGGCAGTGGATTGCCCAAGGGAGTAAGATCGGCCATCAACGATACTTTTATGGATTATGTCATGTTTAATAACCCAATGTTTGCCAGTCGCATCTATGACGAGGTGACAAACCAACTAAACATGGCACACATGAACTTTATACAAGAATATCCATCTTTTAGAGGCAAGGTTAGCATCTATGCCCATTCACTGGGATCCGTCATTTCATATGACATTCTAGCCAACCAGACCATATCACTTACTCAGACATCTGACATTTCTCGCTTTGCCACTAGTCAAGACAGCAATATCTTTGGGTGGAAACAAGAACGTGCCGCTCAACTATCACAAGAAATCCAAATCAATGGGTATGTGTTGCCAGAGAGTTTTATTCATCCCCACAGAGACAAGTTCCAACCACTCGGATTCAAAGTCTACAATTTCATAATGATTGGGTCACCGGTTGGCATCCTTTTTGGTCTAAGAAAATATAAATACCTACCCATACCACAATGTGTTAATATGTACAATATCTACAATAATAGTGATCCAGTATCCTATCTTGTAGAACCACTCATACATAAACATTTTTCAACACTTCCCATCAAATATATTGCAACCAAACCGAAAAAAGAAAAATCTCCCAACACTTCTACAAATACCTCTACAAACACATCACCTTGGAATAGTCGTAAAGATAAAGGCTCATCTTTTAAATTAAATCAAAATCAAAATCAAAATAATAATAATAATTCTCCACCAAGTTCAGATGACGAACAACAATTGGATGAGAATCAACAAAATACACTAACTCGAGAGATTTTCAAAAGATTATATGAAAAAAATGAAAATCAAGATCAACAACCAATAGAATTTAATAATAACAGCAACAGCAATTATAATACAACTACTAATATAAATAATAATAATAATGATAATCAATTTTTTAATGGATATAGATTTGATTATAGTATGACACCAAAAAGATTTAATATTTCACAATATGCAACAATGCTTACATCGCATTCAGATTATTGGTTAAATCAACAAGTATTATATTTTTTAGGTAATTCCCTAAATAATAAAATATTGTAAATAAAATAAAAAGTATTTAAAAATAATATATATTATATATGCCTCTTTTTTATTTATTTAATAGATTGAAGAAATACCATCACATCTATTATCAGTACCAGAACAATAAATTCTATTTTGATTTTCATCTGTCAATTGAACAATGATTTGACCATTACCAAATATTCTTCTATCGTGACCTTTGACAGGACCAAGTTGAACATTATGACCCATTTTCTCTAGACCTTTAATATTTTCCTCTTGATGACCATCTTCAAATATGATTCGACCATTTGATTCACCATCACTAATCATAAACTTTGGAAAATTGATTGCTGCTTGAGGATCCATCTTGTGATCGATAAGATTGACAATTAATTGAACATGTGATTGTGGTTGAATGAATCCTCCCATACTACCAAAACTAGCAAATAATTGTCCATCTTTGAGAATCATACCTGGGATGATGGTGTGGTATGGTCGTTTGTTTGGTTGGAGACTGTTTGGATGAGATGGATCCAATGAAAAGTTGGCGCCTCTGTTTTGAAGTGTAAATCCACATCCCTTTGGTATGATTCCAGTACCAAAAGACATATAGTTTGAATTGATAAAACTACATGCATTACCATCTCGGTCTACGGCCGTCAGATAAATGGTGTTGCTTGAATTGGCTGGATAACCCTTTTCAACATTTTTGTTGCATTTTTCCTTGTCTACCAACTTTCTTCTCTCGCGTGCATACTCTTTTGATAGCATCTTGTCCAATGGTGCATCATAAAATGCTGGATCTGCTACATAATATCTTGTATCTGAAAAACTAATTCTCAAAGATTCAATCAATAAATGTAAATGTTCTTTTGAATATGGATTCATCTCTGATAATTTATATTCTTCTAATAACTAATAGAAAAGAAATAGAAATAAATTAATACAAATAAAATAATAAAAGGTTTTCTATTATATTTACATTTAAAGCTAATAAAGCAGTAATACCTTGACCATTTGGAGGAATTTCAAAGATATCATAACCTCTATAATTAATATGAATTGGTTTATCAAATGTTGTTTTATGATTTTCTAAATCTTTTAAACTTAGTACACCTCCCAATTCCTTTATTACTTTGACAATTTCATTTGCAATTTCTCCCTAATAAAATAATAAAATTAATTAATTAAATATATAAATATATATGATTATTATTTACTTACTTTATAAAAACCATCTTTACCTTTGGAAGCTAATAATTTAAAGGTTTTAGCAAGGTTTGGATTTTTAAATATTTGACCAGGTTTGGGTGGTTGACCATTGATTAGTAGTTCGGAAGAGTGTGGACCTGTCATGAGTTGGTCCATAGATGCTTCCCACCACATGGAGGTTTTCGATTGGATGGGTACACCTAGTTCGCAATATTCAATGGCCGGTGTTAAAATGTCGGTCATTGTGAGCTTGCCAGAACCAAACTTTTCGATAGTGTCGCACCATGCGGCAGCTGCACCTGGGACAGTCACTGTCAATGCGCTGTATGGTGGTAAGCAGTCACCTGTAATACCCTTTTCTTTGACCAATTGCAATGTCAATGCTTCTGGTGCTCTACCACTACCATTCATACCATGAATCTCTTTGGTCTTTGCATCATAATAAATCATAAAACAATCTCCTCCTATTCCTGTTGAACTATATAAAAGAGAAAGTAAAAAAGAAACATGTATTTAGTAGAGGTTGTACGTACATTGTTAATACTATTATTATTATACTCTATATATATGTATACATACCAAGGTTGGGTTAGATTCATAACTGCAGCCATTGCAACAGCTGCATCAGCTGCATTACCTCCTCTCTTTAAAATGTCAATGCCTACTTGTGATGCTAGTGGTTGACTTGATGAACATACACCATTGGTTGCATACAATGGTGAACGTGAACTATAATCATCATTTTCTTTAAACATTTTTGATAATATATATAAACTCTAGAAATAGATAGATAGATAGATATAATATAATATAGGATTGTAGTGAAATTGAATGAAGATGAACACAGTTTGAAACATCAAACAACTTTAATTTTTTTTTAATTTGTGAAAAAGTTGTTTTTGCCAAAACCACACCCAGGGGACAACATCGAGCTGATATGAAAATAATTCAAAAATATTAAAATTTATGTACTTATTTTAGGAAGGTCATAGTAACAAGATTGTTTATCTTCATTGCATGCCTCAATTGCAATTGAAACCAATAGCAATTTTTTTTATAGAAAAAAAATGTTGAAACAAATATGAAATGTCAATTGATAATAGGAAGTGTCATAATCCTCTATCTATATTCATCAGATAATTAAATAGGGGACTATTCCCAAAAGGGCTAGTATGCAAGTGAAATTGAAAATGAATTGAAGGGAAAGTCCATTAAAAAGAACAATTCTTTTTAACTGAAAAATGTTCAACAAAAAAGGTAGAATACCCTTCACATATTTAACAATTTATAGAAGGATTTTTTGTAGTTTCTTTGTCTAGTATTATATAATTCAGTGGTGTATTTGGTTGCTTTGATATGTTTGATATGAACAAAGGAAATGTTTGGTGATAATTGGCGTCAAAACGCGAATAGGAAAAGTGTTTTCATCAAAAATTGCTCGTTTAGAAAAGTCGGTAGAGCACGGTGCTAATAACGCCGCGGTCGCAGGTTCGATCCCTGCAATGAGCAATTTTATTGCTGTTATCTATGCTGCCTCCGATTTTTTTTGTCACCCTTGTATTCTCCACACTTATATCTACATTTCTATCAAAGTTTCATCAAATTCCATCAAATTCTGATGGTCAAAACACATCAAATGTTGGAGCCACAAAAAACAAACAAAAAACAGGGCTTTTAAAAATTTTGATGTTTTCCATATCGAGGTTTTCTCCATACTCATTTTTATGTAATATTTATGTTCTTCACAATGTTTCCTACATTTATCCTCTTCTTCTATAAAAACTCCATGCCAATTGAAAAACAAAAATCACCCAAAGTTTTATGACTAAAACATTTGTTTTTTTTTTTAATATGATATTTATCAATTATTAAAATTAATAAGAATAAAGATATGGTAATTCAATTGAATTGGACAAAAAAAAAAAATTACAATATTTTTAATTTATTAATGAATTAATCATAATATTAATAATATTTTAGTTTGGACTTTTAAGCGACAGTATAGTTGAATGGATAATTAAAGTACAAGTTTGGACCACCAAGCATTGGGATGACATGGAGATAGACAGTGTCACATGGAGGGACAGTTGGAAGATTACAGACGATTGGACTGGCCATATTACAGTAAGGGTTGATCCAAGCTTGGACACCACCATTCAACTTGAGTTGGTGTTGCATGACCATTGAACCTGCTGGATTATAAGATATCACCAATTGTTTACCATTTTGAATCACACTAGTAACTAGATTTAAAAAAAACAAAAAAAAAAAAGTAAAAGAAAAAGAAAAATATTTTTTAGAATATATTTCATGAAGTGAAAAAGATCTACATACTTTGCATTTGCAAATACAAAGGCAAAACAAAAAATAATGGCTAAAGAGATTGATAATTTTGACATTTTTGAAAAAAAGGTAGTAGTTAATTGGTAAATTGATTTGGGTTGAATTTGATGATTGAAGAATGATATGATTACTGTTTTATACCATTCTATCAATCAAAATCGATCAATGTGATGGTACGAGAATTTAAAACCAAAAATTCGATAAATTTAAATTGATACCATTCATTTATGTTGTTGATCTATTAATACCAAAACACTTGTGGTGTCTTTTTTTAAAAAAAAAAAAGGAGTCAAGATATAATTCTGTTTGCTTTTTAGGGGAGTTTAAGTTAACATACTAGCTTGCAAGATTTCATTAATTTATGTCAAATTCTGATAGTCAGAACATGTTTCAAATGAACAAACCAAACTTTAACCAATTCATCTAACAAAATGGATTTGGTTGTATGAATAGACATGTATCGATCCTCCAGATACATTGTATTTAAATTCAACCTATGGTGTATAATATTCATAGAAGGATCTAATAATCGTGATGGAATATAACCTGGAATTGGAAGATTGACAAATGATAGTTGATTTGTTGTGATGGAGTATTTAGAAAAAAGATGGTATTTGTTGTTAGAGAGAATCACACTCGAGCGACACTGTCAATTTATAATGAAACAATAAAACCTACTTGTCCAATAAATATCATTCACAGTTGTTTTCCGCTTGTCACCAAATTTCCAATTCCTATAGAAATATGATTCAAGTTAACTTGATTCAATTATATTGTCTACTAAATTGAGTCTTGTCCAATAATCGTTTGATCTGTCAATAAAACTTGAGCAATTGTCGGTTGTACATTGAAGGTGTCTACATTTAACATGTAAACCACTGAAAAGTATTCTACATCGAGGTTAATGTCTTTGAACCTAATTTGTGTGTGCATCTATCTCTCCAATGCTACTCAATCAATTGGGTAATAGGTAATACTATATTTAAATCTAGAATAAGTATCATTAATTAATTCTATGTTTATTATAGCTTTTTATGTGTTATCAACATACTTTATTATTGTTACATGATATATAAAAAAAAAAGAAAGATAAGAGATCAACTACATCTTCTAGGTGCTCTAAATTTACAAAAAGCACAAGATGATTCTGATAATGATTGTAAATAATAATAATAATAATAGTAGATAATTATTATTCTTTTTTTTGTATTAATATTTGATGATCATTGATTATAAAAAAAAGGGCTATTTAAATTATACCCAAGCAACTAACCGACCGATTAATTAATTAATTAATTAAACTTTATAACCCTATGAATCATTCATTCATTCATTTGTTGGTAAATCATCAATTAATGTCTAATATGACTCATTATCTATCTATCAATAGTTTATTTAGTATTATACAAAGTTTGTTTATATATATTATTAGCACTTGGTAAATAATTCGAACCACTTGTCTATCAATTCATATCGGCATTCATCCTATAATTCAGTTAAATTAAAGAATAATATTAGTATATCAACTACAAACTTTGATTTGGTGCGCACCAATGATACATACTGCTGTCATGCCACCAAGGAATAGATCAAGAGCCTTTCTCTTTTCTGTATCAGTTTTAGCCTCTGTCTCTCCAGAGATAATCTTTATAATATGAGCTGTAATAGAACCAGAATCATCAACAGTTCCAATGTAATCTATACCCTCGTCAATTGATTTCTTAAGTTCTTCCATCTCTATCTGTTTATCTATCTATCTATCTTACTTATATTTATTTATTTGTTGTATATGTGCTATTGTAATGTTTAAATAGTAGATGAAGTTTTAAGTATATATATCAAAGGAACAGAGAAAGCTAAAGGAAAATTCCTTGAGACAACGAGAATTGTTCCGACTTGGCCCAGAGCTTCAAAAACAACTTTCTTTTTTTCGAGGTTTCGAAACCTCGAAATTCGATCGAGGATGGGCTGGTGATTTTCCCAATGAAATGGGAATCACTAGAAACCAAGATGTTTGTTTGTTTATATTAGTTAATCATTTAAGATTGGGACTAAAGAATCCTACAAGAATTGGATATAATGAGAAACATGAGCCATTATGATTTTTTTTAATTTTGAGTTTATTGATCTTATGTGACTCACTAATGGTATTGCTTGCCAAGAGAATCATTTTTTGTTGAACCCTTGAACCTTTTAGATTTTTTTGATATTAATCAGGAATTAGTTTTTGGTCATACAGACTTTACCAATTTTAATCAAACATCGTAAAATTGTAGTCAATTGTTTATAGAAAGAAAAAATTCACTTTAGTGAGCAAAAGAAAATAAAATAACTGTATCCAAGTTTGAAAGAATGTTTTATGATTTCCATTTTTTTTATCATTTTTCATCTGGTGTGGGTTTTTATGGTCAGGATTTGATCAATTTTAATGATATATGGATGAAAATGTAGGGAATTGTGTGTAGAACAAGAATATAATGAAAAAATTGGCATGTGGCCAGGCGGCAGCCAGAAAAAACATGCAATAAAGTCGCTCCTAGTTGGGATCGAACCAACGACCCTGCGGTTAACAGCCGCATGCTCTGCCTACTGAGCCATAGAAGCCTATTTTTTGGATGATTCTAAAAACATTTTTCGCCTATTTATAGGCTGGCAAAAAATTCATAGATGTTTGATTATCTATTGTAATTTCCAAATTAATATTTAGTTGACTTCCGAAATAAAAGCAACTCCCACTCATGTATAACAGTACGAAATTAACTCCCCTCTCTCATTGTGGGGTTCATATGTCTTAAAAATGAATTCCTATTTTTAACCACTGTCATTTCCATGCGACGGCAAATGTTTGTTTTTACTCTCAAAAGGTATTCAAAATTTTGATTTTAATACCGTCTTAAAAATTAATTAATTTTCTTTCTTATTTGAATTTTGGATAATAAAGAAAAATAACTCTTGTTTATTGTGTTTGGACAAATAATCATACCCTTTTTAATTTTAATAAAAAACCTTTATTCGTTTCGTTAAAGATTTTTTATGGCATAAAAATCCTATATATCTGACCAAGAGAGATATATATCCTAACCAAACAATAGAACCAATATATTTGTTTATCATTTTGTTTTTTAAAATAGATAAGCACATATCTTCAAAAACCATATCAAAAATTAAATTAAAAAAAAAACAAAAAAACCACCCATTTTGTGTGAAGTCAACTGATCAAGAATTAATTTAATCTAAATAGCTTATTTTCATTCTGCAGAGATAGAGATCAAAAGAAATGAGTACAACATTAAGAAAAGTAGAAAAGAACAACAACAACAAAAAGAGTGGTGGTGTTGTTGTTGATTCGACTGCAACCGCAAAAGATACAGCAGTTAATAGTAGTAGTAAAAAGAACAAGAACAGTAGTAGTAGTAGTAATGTCAAACCAAATTTAAAGAGTTTTATAATGGCATTGAGACCATGGTCATTGACAGCATCGACAGGCACGGTAGCTATTGGAGCGGCAGTGGCATTTAAAGAGGTCGAACAGTTTGACCCAATCAACTTTGCCATCACGATGATTGGAGCCATCGGATTGCAATGTCTGTCGAATCTAATGAACAGCTACTTTGACCACGCCAACGAGGTTGACACTCACGAGAGCGCAGCTGATCGCACACTCTTTGACTATGGATTGACACGTACCAACGTGGTTTGGATGATTGGTGGTACATTGACGGCATGTGTCGCCGCATTGATTGCTCTGATGGTTCGTATAGGAGACATCAACACGATTGTCGGAGAGTTGATTCCACTTTGTTTTTGTGGATTCATCTTGTTTGCTTGCTATACATCCGGACCCATTCCTCTAAAGTACTATGCAATGGGTGACCTCACCATATTCATCGAGTTTGGTCCCATCCTTGCATTGGGTGGGTTTATCGGACAAACCAACTTTCTTGCACTATCCCCAATCTACTACTGTATCCCAACTGCTTTCCTTGTCACTGCTATCCTTCACGTAAACAACACTCGTGATGCCAAATCAGACAAGGATGCAAATGTATCTACCCTAGCTAATATTCTTGGTCAAAATAATAGTTTTATTCTATTAGTAATTTATTATTCTTTGTATGTCTGAAAAGAAAAAAGAAAAGAATAGAAAGAGAATATATTTACTTAATTTGATTTTGATTTTTAATTTTTTAGGGCATATGGAATGATAGTATATATGGCATTAAAACAAAACTCACAAATGATGTTATTACCATTTATTTTATTACCAAAAGTATTTACATTATTTAAAAAGTTTTATAATCAACAATGGGATCAATTAGATGCAGAAGCTGCAATCATTTCATTCTTTTTCGCTGGTCTACATACAATTGGTATTTTAGTTTCAGATTACCAATAAATTAAAATAATAATAATATAATATATAATATATAATATATATATATTTGTAAATACACCTATTTTATTATTTCTCTTTTTCCTTTTCTTTTTCTTTTTGTTTTGTATCAATTAAATTTTGAGTAATTTTAAATAAATGATCCAATTCTTCAGGAGTTGATTTTCCAGAAGCTTTCCATCTAATTTTACCATCAACAATGAGATAGGTGTATGCGCCAAGAGGATTTGAAATGGTCAAAGTATCGTGAATATTGTTTACATCTTTTAAAAAGTTGATAGGTTGGTGACTCCAATACTCGAGTACACCCGATTGTTGTTGTTTGGTTCTTCTCGACCCCTTTATAAAGGAACCAAGGAATTTGTAGGCATTTTGATAGTAGAGTACGACATGGTGTACTGGAAGATGAGGATAACGATTCTTCCAAGGTTCCGTCCAACTGTCGACAAAGTGTTGTCCAAAATATGGTTTCAAAGTGACACACATCAACATTGGTTTACCGTCCGATGGCAATGCCTCGGGATAATCGACTGTCTTGCCATAGAGATCGACTGCTTGAAATTTCGGGCAATCATGTGATTGCACAAGTGGGATGGCCCGTGGTGTACCATAGAACAACTTCATATTGGGATTATTTAGAATCTCTTTATAGTCCCACGATATACCTTCTTTTAATTCATATTGAATTCTTTTCTTTTGTGATGTATTTACATTATCATCTTTGTTATAATAGTTGAATGGATTTAAAAATTTTAAAAATGATATATTTCTTGTAGTAGAGGAAGTAAAAGTAGTTGGTTTGTTGAAAAGTAATGTTGTTTTTGAAATGTTTATATTGGATGATTGATGTGTATTACATGATGATAAACATTGTATAGTTGTAGTTGTAGTTCTTTTAAATATTTGATTCATTCTATAAAAGTATAATAAGTAAAAAGAAAATGAATCAACGAATGAATGAATGAATGATCGTTTTCATCGTTTTGTGAGTACTTGAGTTTTTTAGCTCTAAAGAGGTGTGTATGACCTTAAAGTGGATGGTTTGAACATCATAGTGTCATTTAAAAGTAAAAAGATGTATAATAATAATAGATTTATATGTATATTATTGTATTTGTTGTTACTATTGCTATTTGTTAATAGTCAATCAACAAGAAATACACCTCATACATCAACAACAACAAATATAATTCAAGTATGATAGATACAACTTAACTTTTAAAAAGAAAGATACATACATACATACATACATATACTTACTTTTATTTTATTGTTTGTTTTTCTATTAGGATGAACCAGGAGGAATACCATTTAAATTACAAATATTATTAATTGGATTTCAAAGAGATGGTGGATATGGTTATAGTTTGGATAACAAGTCATTACAACAACTATTGTTTGATTCATTCCCAACACATAGACCTCGTTCCATTCATACATCAATCTATAGTAAACTATTTCATATCTTTGATGATCAAGAAAGATTGTATCACCCAAAACCATTACTATCACACTATGATATCGATTATCAAGTCAAACATTTACCAACTTCAACTTTATTACAATTGGAATCAAAAATGTCTTCTCTTTTACAATCTACTGAATCGGTAAACAAAATATCTATATAAGACAACTATAAATATTGATCTATAATATTAATCTATCTAATTATCTTATAGAATGTTGATAATGAAAATTATTATTTAGCAATTGAAGAATTGGAAGTATTTTATGAAAATGAAATTAGATTATCAAGTCAATCAAATCAACCAGTTTATACTATATTCTTTGTCAATCCATCAAAAGAGAGATTATTATCATCGGGTGGATTAGTATACCAATATAAATTGGGTAATCATATAACTGCACCTGCTTGGATTGGTGCAAGTAGATATATTGTGGTAGATCTAAGTGCTGGTCCTCTCAAATATGGTTCAACTCTACACAAATCAACAGAAGAAAAGATTTCAGAAGGATCAGTTTCTCATGATTCATTACCAAGATTAATTGAATATTTTCAAAATAAGGAATATTCTGGTACAAGTTTACAAGGTGCTTCTCAAGTAAATATGAAAAAAAAAGAAAAGAAAAAGAATATGTATACCTTTAAATATACTAATTTCTCTATCTTTAGGTTGAAATTGAAGCACATTTATCATCAATTATAATTAATAGTTTACAAAATGTTTATTTATCAGATACAAATTATGATTTTATACCTTTATTTCAAAAAGTTCTCATTCCCATTTTAATATTTAAGGATTATGATCCAAATGATCAAACGATCAAAGTAGATATTGATCTAAATCTAATTGAAAAGGAATCAAAAAGAATATTCCCATTCTCTGATGTCAAAGTCGTAATGGGTGCTCATTCAATTCATGAACATAAACATATTTCAATGGCTCTTGCAAAATCAATCAAATCTCATTCTTCTTTTGAATTGAATCCAATTACAAAGTATGTAAATCAAAGTAATAGTGGTGATATGATGTTGATATTAACTATTCTTTTCTTTTTTCAAAGTAAATTTGAATCAAGTTTAAAAACATTTATTGATAGTAAAGAATTATTATTAAAATTAAAAAGTGAAGATGATATACTTGCTTCTGGTTTAATTGGTGAAGAAAATTCAAAAATCCCTACCAATTTTAATCAAAAAGGTAAAAATCAAACAAACAATTAAACCAAAAAGAGTATCTATATTCACTTTCTCTCTCTTTTTTTAAAGATAATATACAAAGAACAAAAATATTACCAATTTATATATTTTCATTAATAAATACAGATGAAAATATATTATTGGATAAATACCATTTACAAGTATCGGATCAAGAAGCAATTGTAGTATTACATTCACCCTATCAATTCCAAGGAATTCATTATCAAGGATCACAGGTGGTCGATATTAAACCAAAACTAATTAATCGTAATATTGTTGCAGGATTGGCATCTTGTCAAGGTCTATTGGGTCCAACCTTTAGATACTCTCCACAACATGATAAAATTAAAAACAACTATCTTTGGTCATTTGGTCATCATCCTTTTGGTTTCTTTGGCAACACTTCAGAAATCTCTCAAATCTTTACAGATATTATCACAAGAAATACTATTATTACTAGTATTCAAAGTTCAACAGATATTTTAAATCAAGCTTTACAATTAATTTCAGATTTTACAAATGTAAATAGAAAAGAAAAAAGAAAAAAGAAAATAGAATAGGTTTATTAATTATTTTTTACTTTTATTTTAATTAGAAATATTTATTAGATTCATTAGGATTTGATATTGATGAAAATGTACCATCTGGAGGTTTATTAATTGATAGATTCTATCATTCCCCACCAAGTAAATTACCAATCATCAAAGAATCTATCAAAAAACTACACGATGAATTGGATATCATCTATGATTCAACCAAACATTCTTTGGATCTATTACAAACTCTTTCTCCTGATTTAATTATGAAAAAGTAAATGGAAAGAAAAGAAGAGTCCAAGTTTTAAATGTATATTAACTCTTTCCTTTTTCTTTTTTATTTTGTAGATCACAAAAAGAAATAATATCAAAACAATTAATATTATTGAATAGTCAAGTATCTGGATTCTATGATTATGTTGAAGCAGAATTAAAACAAACCGAATCACAATTGGAATGTTGCAAGATCAATTCCATCACTATTGGTAAACCTTCTAAATTTACAACATCCAAATCAATCTTTGTATTGTCATCACTTGCATTACTCATAATTCTATTCATAATGACAACAAATAATTATAAAAATAATCAAGCAAAGAAAAAGAAATAAAAAAGTATAAAGTAATCATTTAAACAAGATAAAAAGAAGAAGACAATTGATAATAATAAGTTTAGAGAAAAAAAAAAGCTAACCAAAACTAGTTATTTTATAAATTTAAATACTATATTGGAGGAACAATAATATAGTAATACTATTGATGCCATCAACTAGCTCTTTTATATAATAAATGATCAATTGATTTAGGCAACAGTTGGGACGTTTTGAGTGTTGTAACCCTTCTTCTTTCCGAAACCGACAACAACGTTGACGTAACGACGGTTGTACAACATTCTCTTCTTGGCACGACCGACCTTTGGCTTCTTGTTTTCCTTTGGCTCGACCTTTGGAGTTGCGTTTCTGACTTTACCAGCTCTGTTCAAACCACCGTGAACCTTACCTATAACAAGTCAAAGTATTAAGTAGTAATAGTAGAAAAGAGGTATTAGCAAATCTGATCTATATTTTTTTTCGTTCGGCTTTTTTTTCTTTTTTCATTCATCACTTTGAGATAACACAAGTGCAATTAGAATAGTAGTATAGTAGTGTAATGTTTTGTTATAATATAGCAAAGTAGTAATAATTTACATCACATAATTGACAGTAGCAGTATAAGAATAATGAAATTGTTGAATGATCATTATGTTTGATTATTAGTTGTATGTATTATTATTATTCATCTATCACAAGTCTATTATTATTATTATTATTATTCATATTATTATTATTATTATTATTATTATTTGTATTATTATTGTTATAAAAAAATTATTTATCAATCTTTGTATGTATGCTGCTACTGTCAAACATGAATGCTATAATACTATTAACCTCCAGCCTGCTCTTTGCTATGTTATAAACCTATCCTATTCTAATATTGATGACCTGTAAAATCTCTATTGTTGAACTACTCAAAACACTATGATATGATATATACCCATTTTTGATTATAGTATTATGTTGGTTGTAAAAGGAAGACTAAAATGTTTGAGAGGCGTTTTTCATGCCTCAGGAGAGAAAGGTGAAACGCGAGAAAAAAAAATTAAAAAAAAATCAAGAAAATGAAAAAAAAATTGATCAATTTTCATAAATTTCAAAATAATGGCCCATCCCGAGAGACAAGCACCCTCAGAGCGAGAGAGCCCACCTCTTCTTGGATGACAAATTGATTTCTAAGATTATTCTCAAGTATATTTTGATTGATATTATAATCTCCTTTATATTTTGATGGGGGTGTATACATATAACAGAATATTTTATTTAATATTTCTTACGAGAGTAATCATTGATGAGAAAAAAAAAAATTGCAATATATTATTTTTTTTTTCTATTTTTTTTCCTCTCTTCCTATCTTTATCAAGATTTAATATTACTATTATTATTATTATTAATATCTGTTTGTTGTTGTAAAGGAGTTGGTACTGAAGCTAAAGGATCTTTGTTCTTTTTTTGTTTGGCATGTGGGAGTGGCCAATCGTCGGTATTTGGCAACACCATCATTTCAAAGAGTTCAGCTTTTAGCTTGTTGACAATGATCTTGGCAACCTTGGGAAGGTTGAGATAACTAGTCTTTGATTGACCAATTGAAGTGTCTATATCCAATTCACACTCGGGTTCACCATAGAATCCAACCCATATTCTTTTGGTGGGTGGGGGCAAACATTGAATATTCATTCTACCAGACAATGATTTTACAGTCACTGAAATCACAAATGGTATAGTCACTGAATGTCCTCTAAAACTAATCATCACTTCAATTTTTATAGTCAATGTAAATCCACCATGATATTTTAATAATAAATCACAACTCTATACAAAAAAAAAAGAAATATTAATATAAATAAATAAATAGTAGTAAATATTGATATCAATATTTGGTTTTAAGATGTCTTACCAATTCACCTTGAGGAGTTATAAATAATAATTTTGCATCTTGTAAAATTGGTAAATTGGTTCCAAAATCTAAATTTTGTAATGTTATACTTTTCTAAAATAAATAAAGTAAAAAAATATAATTGTTATTAATATCTATCTATCTATCATTATTATCATTATTATTATTATTATTATTTATATTATCTCTTACAAGGATTGAAGGTTTTTTTAATTTGTTAATTTTCTTTATAATTTTTGAGGATGCAAATTGTAATAATTCATCGGCATTGTAAATATTAAAGAATACACGACCAAGTAAAACATTTAACCAGTCAAATTTCGATGCTGCAACGGGGCCAGAGATACCATCAATCGTGTTGGTATAGGCTGTTTGTAATGGGGTTGGAATGTTTAATGGTGTAGATTGTAAATTACCAGTAGTAGTATTGGTAGTTGTAGTAGTAGAGGTGTATGGTGGGGTTGTGCTAGTACTGTTGATTGTATTTGTATTGGTTGAAACTGGCGAACTTGTAAACCCAGCAGATTTTCTTTCTCTAAGTGTAAATGATGAAGAAGAGGTGGTTGGACTACCACCAGTAGATGTATTGCTAGAACCATTCATAAGTATCTCTGACATTTCAATTTCTTTAGAGTTTGAATTTGAATTGTTTCTTTTATGTGATGATGAAGAGGATGAACTATTACTAGAGTTTGCAGCAACTGAACTATTTGATGGAAAGTATCCACTCATATTACCAACAGTTTGTTGTGCACTACCAGGAACACATGCACGTACAGGCAAGTCAGTAAAGAATTGTTGACACAATTTGGCAGCAGCTTCTTCATCGGGTGTCTTTTTGATGGTGAGTGACGATGCCTCCTTTAAAAACCAATACCATGTCTCTAGTTCCTTACCATTTTCAAAAAAGAAGTGTAAGATCTTGCTGTGGAACAATAGTTCACGTTCAGGATGTATAATCACAATACCATTCTTTTTGTGGAATTTTGATGTCTTGTTTCTAATAATACTAATCGAACAATTATCAAAACATATTACTCCAATTGCTGATGTATCCTAATAAAAAAGAAAGAAAGAAATGAAAAAAGAGAAGAGTATAAATAACATTACAATCTATCTTATCTATCTTATCTATCTAATATCATACAGTAGCTTGTCTAAATAAAAATAACATATTATTCTTTAATACACAATGACTCCATTCTGGTGATTCAGCAGAGGTGTTCTCTGGTGTCTTTATAAATATTTTTCCTCTCTTTTCTGTATTAAATCTTGATGTATCATATCTCTACAAAAAGAGAAAATAAAAAGGTAAATATGATATGAGTACTCTATCAATAACAATATAATTCTATTTGTTTCATTGTATTTGTATTTGTATTTACTCTTTCAGCTCTTTCTTTTGCAGCATCAGCCAATATATCTTTATACTCTTTCTCTGTCTTGGTGTCCAATGCCTCTAGGAATCTAACTAATAGATAGAATCCACAAATGATTACAGAGAAACCACCAAATAGAAATGAAAATACATGTAACATTGCTACTCTACTACTCTTGTAATCTAATAATATGCAATTATTTATATAATACTTTTGCTTTGCTTTGTTTGTTTCTTATAATAAAAAATAATAATACTACAATAATGTGTTGGTGTTTATAACAATATATAAATATTCGATCAAAGAGACAATGATGATGAATACAGTATAATGTATGTATGCCTCTTCAATATAATAATTAATTTTAATTACATCACCCCCTGTTTTTCAAGGTTGAAGTGATACAATTTCGAACTTCACCCAACCTCTCTCTGTCATCATCATTTTTTTTTCACGAGGTTACATCGTCGACCATGGAAGATATTATTTGTGAATTCACTCCTCTTTCTCTCTCTCTCTTTTGGTTATATCTTACATATTTATATTTATTTTATTTATTTATTTACTTTTTTGATTTGATTTGTTTTCTTTCTTGTTTTTCTTTAGATTGCACTTAATAAATAATTGGTAGCTTCATTTAAATTATTATTTGACATTTGGAGTGCTTCGATAACACGTTCACGAGGGAAACCCATTGATTCGAGTGTGGCGATATTAATGTCGGATGGGACGATTGGAGTATGTTGTCTTTGTTGTTGTTGTTGGGTTTGTTGGTGTCTTCGCTGTCTTTGTTGAAGTTCCATGAGAGTACGTAAAGAGGTTGGGCGTTGATTGGACTGGAGTAGTGGAGTGATCCATCGATTGCAAAGTGCTGCCATCCACTTTGGGAATCTCTTGTTTTTGAGTGAAAATATATCGGTATAGTAGAGAATGCCTGCAATCAAACCAGACAAGCAATTGGCAAATGCATTTGGATAACTATACATCATTTGCAACGATAAAATATATGAAAAGATCTTATCATTTAATGGGAATTTTAATAGTTTAAACCAATAGGTTGCTGGTATATCTTTATAAAATAATACCAAACATGAAAATATAAATGAGTATCTAAAAAGTAAAAGTAAATAAATTAATAACTTTATAATTGATAATGATGATGGATAGGTGTTGATAGTTACGGTCCTGGTGATCCACCCTTTTTAAAAACAACCAAATAACCAATATGTATTAAAGTTGATATTATAATTGAAATGACTGCAAAGAACTATATAAATAATAACAACAAATTAAATGTATTAGTATGTGATAACAGAAGTACTTATATCTTCTAATATACATTACAGAATATTTTGAAGAACCCATAGTTCTTTCGAAAAGACGGAATGAATATAAAAGAAAGGAACCCAAAACGGTTTCACCAATGGTTGTAAAGTATAGATTATTAAGTAGTAATGTTATCAATGATAGATTTGATAGTGTGACTTCGATATTATTATTATTATTATTATTATTTGTTGTTGTACTAGTACCACCAGATACTAATTTCAATTTATTTGCTTGATAGTTTACAACCAATGAACTACCTATAACAATGATCAATATCAATTTTGTAACAGGTGCATTCTCTAATAAATAAAAGTATATGTATGTATGTACACAAAAAGGGTCATCGATATTAATAATCATCAATTAATCAATCAATCAATCACTAGTATACACATACGCAAACCTGATGGACCTGCAGAATACATGATATTATATTATAACTATTATTATATTACTTCTACTAGTACTATCAAACAACAACAACACTAAAGATATATAACTTAACTATAGTACTATCTTTGCTTTAATGAATGATCATTCATCAAAAAAAAAAAAAAAGTAAACTTTAAAAAAAGTCAGCACACTCCAACTTGGGATGACAAGTTTGCTGTATTTATTATTATTACATATATTTTATTTATTTATTTCTTTCTTTTTATTTATTTATTTGTTTGGTTACATTCTTTTCATTGATATTTTATAAAATTTTGTTCTTAGGTATAGGTTTTTTTGGAGTAATACTTTAATACCAACTATTAGGAGAGCTATAAAGATGACACCTGCAACGACGATGACTGCAATTTTCCATGTTGGGAAACCTGGTTGATCGGAACACTCGGTTTCCTTTTCATAATCGACCAATACACTGAAATCTGGATCAATTAAAACATTTTCGTTGAAATAGGGAATGATGGTTTGAATGTAGGCAGTGTTTTCAGTTTGTGCAATTTTGTTGATACTACGAACTGGTTTGTTGTCAAGTAGGATGGTGTCTGAGAATCGACCATATAGAATCAGCTGGTTGGCTGGTAACTGGTACCAATGCATATCGTCGAGATTGCCACCCACTTGAATCGAGTCGTCGCCACAGACACGGTCTGCAACAACCATGTTTTGCCATACTAGTTCTAGTTGGTTGTATGGTTGATCAAACTTGTACCCATTGATATAGGTAAAGTATTTAACTGATCTAGGTGCCATTTGAATCGTATTGTTCATCCATTCAATCGATCCACCCTCCTCTCCAAATGGATGTACTTGTACAGTCACCCATGACATTGGATTACCGGGTTGAACACCAGAACTGATATTATACAATGTATAGTTACTATTTTGTTCAACCAATTGCCACAACCCAGTTAGATTGTAAGAAAAGATGACTTCACCAATTAGATTAATCTCGTCGATTCGAACCAATGATATTTCGTAATTGGTAGACACTGATTGGCTTTGGAATCCATTAAAATTGGCAGTTGGTTCTGTGGGTTGAATAGTAATATTATAGTTTGGTTTGGGTGTTGTTACGAGAGAGATGGAACAATCTGGACCTGTAAAGTTGGTATTACAGTTACATAGTCTGTCCAAACATTGACCATTACCACCGCTACAGTTATTTGGACAAGTGTAGGAATTGTCAATTGAACAGTCGTCACCTGTCCATGGAATATTACAAATACACGTTCCCGATGAACATTCTCCATGTCCACTACAATTACGTAGACACTTTTGATTGGTACCACCTGACAGTAGATTGGTATAATTACTGCCAACCACACCAATAGTAATTGGTTGAGTATAGTCAATGGCCAATGAAGATATATCAATTGAATTATCAGACAATCTAATCATTGTCGACAATCTATTTGAATTAATCATCACCTCTATTGGATATCCAAAGTTTGATCCTTCAACAAATACTCTTTTCAATGTAAAATCTAATGTTGAATTCCAAATATATGGTATTTGATTCATTACTAAAAAATAAATAAATAAATAATAAAATATAAATATGATTATATATATATGTTATTTTGTTTGATTGATTGATTGTTTGTTTGTTTGTTTAACTTACCACTTGAAGAATATAAAGTTAAATTAAAATCAATATAATTTGTACCAAATACACCACCAAAATTATCAAGTATTCTCCAAACACTTAATTCAACACCACGCAGACCCCAATTGACAGGAATATCAATAGTAGCTAGATATTGATTAGGTGAAGCAACTGTTAGAGCTGATATAAATTCCAATTTTTCATTTGACAACATTTCAGTTAGATAGACAATTGGTGTCAATTGATTGCTGGTGTTGGCCAATTGAAAGTTTTCACTACTCTTGGTGATTTGGAATAGAACATCAAATTTACGATTGTTTGAAGAGACGTCTATTGAAATACTACCTTGGTTGTTGGCTCTGACCATAGAGACATTGACAAATTCTGCACTATAGTCGGGTAGTGCATTGACACATGGTAAAGACACATTACCAATATCAACCCAATTACCATACATTCCAAATTGATAACAATTTTCAGATTCATCACAAATGCTGCTAATGTATACCTTGCTATTTGGTCCACATGCATTGCTTGTTTGAATGTCAATATCATAGGTTCCACCATTGACTCCAGGGGGACCAGTCCACTTATAATAGATTGGATACAATGATTGACTAAACAACTGAGTCAATGTAATGTTTTTAATCACTGCATAGGTAGTTGCTGTATCAATTAGCATTCTAACCTTTAAATTTGCGTAAAGTATTTGAATTGATGGTAATGGTTTATAATCTAAATAAAATAAAAAGTAAAAAGGAAATTAATTTAAAGGTTGATTTGTTTGTTTGTTTTCGTTTTTGTTTTCATATCTTACTAATACTTTGAATTGTAATATTTGAACTTGGTTTAGTAGAGTATGGTTCATCAGTAGATAGAATAAAATGATATTTAATATCTTTGGTTGATAGATGAACAGATTGACCAGCTTGAGTATAATCAAGACCAAAGTAGAGAGTAGTGGTGGTAGGGTAGGAGAATATATTTGTCTTTGTAAATTCGAAAAAGCTACCTGTCGATTGTACCATGTTCATTGGCATTTCCTTTGCAATGACCGTATTCTCTGGATCAGTGTATAGGATGAGTTTTAGATTTGCTACAGTTGCTGCAGTTGGTGTTGAAAAGATGACACTAAATACAACCGACGATTGAGTATCTACAAATTGATATCCAATGTGTAGGAGTCTTGAAATAGAGTTTGTTGAAACTGCACAGATTGGTGGGTATCCTGGGAATTGGTATGATGAAACTTGGTTGGTATCATCATAATCCAAATTTTGATATCCATTACCACGAATATCCCTACATGACACGGAAGGTCTAATCATACAATAATGTGGTTTCCAACCACCTGGAATACGCAATAAATAAGAACCATCACTAACAGTTCCTCTTAGACGATTACTACTCTTTACATTCATTGTTTCACCTCCAAATGTTACATTACACCAATTATCTCTTATACCCAATCTATCCTGAATATCCATTACAAAATAATCACCTTTTAATTGTAATTGAAACATTGGTGCTTGTAAATCAGTTTCTAAAAAGTAAAAAGAAAAAAAAAAAAAACAAAGTTAATAAATCTAAATTTAATTATTATTATTATTTTTGATTTAAATTTACCAATATTAAAAAGATTAGTATCAATTAAAAAGTTTTGAATTGATCCTAATGTAAGAGAGATATTTGAAGCTTGGAAATCCATTGGGATATAAGATTTACGATATAGTCTCATGATAGTTCTTGTACCTTGGAATTGGTATGGGAAGGCTGTACCATCACGAATAGCAATATCGATAAATGAAGCAGTATAGTCTGTTGGTTTTAGAATCAATCCAGCTTGACAATATACATTGATATAGGGAATCGATCCAATTGGAATATCTGTGATATTGGTTTCAACTTGATAGTAATGATACAATTGATTGGATGTTTTAGAGAATTGGAAATTCTCCATTGCGCCAATGGCTTGTGATGCTGAAGTTGAAGTATAAACATCGGTTTTAAAAGGTTGTTGCTTCATTAATGTATACCCATTTTTAAAAATTAACGTGGATGTTAGGACTGATGAACGGGCATCACGAGTTGAAACAGACAAGATTGTTTTGTATGGAACTGTTTTAAATCCTTTGTCTCGAACCCAAAAGGTACTACCAATATTAAATGTGATTACAGATATTTCGTTTTGATCCATTCCAGGCATCAAATTAACCAGTACATTGATATTGATATAGTTTTGGTCTGGAATGATTGAAAAGTAATTTGATTGTAATACAATTGAAAGTGGTAATGGTAATAAAGTTGACAATGAACTACATGTTACTGTAAATGTTATACCAGTTGGTTCTAAAATTAAATAAATAAAAATTAATTAATAATTTGTAAAAAAAAAACAGCTCTCTCACTTACGAGTATAAGGTGAAGTTGAAATGGTGGTTGATGAATTAGCTGGGTACCCTGGAACCTCCAATGTTATATTTTGATAGTCAGCTGCTGCTTTTGACCATCTGTAATAGATTGAGTTGTTATTGTAATTGAATAGAGTTGGAGTAATGATACGTTGGGCCATATTCATATCATCATCATTTCGATAGGCAAACATTCTACCAAACGATGATATACTTTGGAATGAAGATAATACAATTGGTTCAACCGTAGATGCTATCAAATTTAAATTATTAATTAAATTTGGTGGATCTAAAAATAATTATAAAAGAAATAATTAGTATCTTTATTATATCTTTATTATATATTTGTATATATTAATATTTAACATACTATAAGATTGACAAATTAAACCAGAGATTGATTTAGAAGTTGATGAACCAAAATAATTGTAAAATGTGAGAGAGTTGATATTTGAAGTTTGAACGGCCGCACCACCTGTAAAGACATAGGTTTTGTATTCATTGGTTTGTTCAATGACATAGGGACTACGACCCATAGAGTAGATACTCAATGGGTAGCCATTTGGTGTAGACGAGTCAAAGAAGCTACTAATACCAACCAATTCATTGTATACTTTATAGGCAAACGTGAATTGACAGTAGGGTCCTACATCAGCTTCACCTGGAAGATACAACATGTGTACTAGGTTTGGTAAGATTGTTACATTGGTATTGGTCGTGTACAAAGGTGGGGATGTAGTTGGCACAGGATTATATGTGATACTACCAACTAGATTACCACCAGAATTAACATCATAAAAGTTAAATACTAGTGGTAGACCATAGTTTAATAACGAAGTAATAGGCATTACAGTTGTAAATGATTGAGTGTCTGATCCATCAGTCGTCATTCTCGATGGACTTGCCGTATTAGTTCCAACCAATTCATAAAACAATGAAAGTAGAATAGTATCCGTCTCAAATGTAAATGTCACTTGTTCATCTTGAAATGGTGATACTCCCGACAATACAGGATTAGTCTTTAAAGTTAAAACTATAGATGGAATAGAAATAAATCAATGATGTTATGTTAAATAACCTAACCTATATTATCAAAAGAGATGAGAGATCTATACACATACCTTGAAGTGAATTGACACCATTCAATAAAAGTAGTTGTACTACTACAAAAGCAAAGAGTAGTAGTATTGTCTTTTTAATCATTATGTTCTATCTATCTCTGCTAACGATAGCAATAAAGACAAGAAGAGAAGAGAGTGATTAGATAATCTAAACACAAACTAGCTAGAGTAGAGTGAAGATAGTGTGTGCTATACTATACTATACTAGTACAAGTACTTGATTATTAGAATAAAGTTCTTTGTTTGTTAAATTGAATGATGAACAGAACTGTGAAATTGTTTGGTACCCATTGTTGTCGCCAATGAGGAGGAAAGCGACCCATTATTGTCGATGTAGAAGATATCTTAAACCTTCTCAAGTTGGAAAGGACACGCAAGATATTAATAAAATTTTACTCGAAGTTGCAAAGCTTGGTGTTCGTGATAACAATAAAGTACTTGACAAAAAAAAATGTTTTTAAAAGTATTGCTCTCTACTTTCTGTACTTTATTGTTATTATTATGTGGTCATCTATTTCTAATAGATGTTCAAGTATTGCAGTATCGTATGGTTTAATATCAATGCTACAAGAACCACCAATTGAATTTACAGAGGTTGTTCTTAACAGGTGTTTGGGTAATAGTTTGGATGTTGGGGCTCAATATAGTAAATTTACTAAAACGAATACGTATGATCAATTGTTTGCATGGTTACTTTATCTCCTTAGGAATGGCTTACCATCGTCAACAACAAATGTAAATATAAATATATATATCACATGATTAGATAAATGGAGTATATAGAGTATATGGTATATTGACTTGTTTGTTTGTTTGTTTGTATGTTTTTGTTTTTAGATAACATTTATAAATACAAGTATAACAAAATCAAAATATGCAATATTACATGCAATAAAGGAAAGGGTTGGGTTTGATTGGTCGACTGTTCATAGCAAGGTATCACCCAACATGCAACAAACCATCAAACAAGAACTACTCATAGATGCAATCAGAGGCGATGGTGTCAATGATCCAGACCCTCCCTTTAAAATTTGTTTGGGTCCTTTAAGATCTGATATTATTCATTCTATTTGTAAAGGTAACAAATAACAACAACAACAATAGAATAGAAAAGTATATACTTTTTACTTATATTTTTTATTTATTTATTTATTTAGTCGGACAATGGAAAGAAGAATGGAAAGAATTGATTGAATTTATAGAGAATGCAAATGATTATGAAAATGAGAGTGCAAGAGAGGTGGCACATTTATTGGTGATCAAGATAATATCAGAGTTTGGTGAATCTGAAAAGATTGATCGGTCAATCCTCGGTGCCATTACAAACAAGACTAAATCTGTCATAAATACTGTAAATAATCGATTACTACTTCAAGATGTAAAGTTTTTTGGTTCCATTTTACAAGTCATTTTTGGAAAAGAGAATCAAAGAATAGGACTAGAAAAAGAAAAGAAACAAGAGACTTGTATAGCATTACTCGAACATGTCTCAAGCCTTCAAGGTAGAATATTTAATTATGTCAATGATGATGATTTTGTTGATTTAATCCTAACATCACTTGAAACAAACAAAAAAATTCAAAACATATTAAATATTCAAAATATAATTTACAAAAACCAAAAATCTGTATGTATACAAACAACAAACAAACAAATAATAATCATATTAATAATTAATTTTATTCTTTTTCTTTTATTTTATTCTTTTAGGATAAAACAAGATTAGTAATACCATTTGTTGAATTATTTAAACCACCTCTTATTATTAATGGGGATGCTGATGTTTACAAGTATAAATGTATACTTGATATACTTAAACTCATCTTTCCAAACATTTGTAAAAAGGTAGCATCTGATGGTTTTCATCTACTTTTTAGATATACTATTTTGGAATCGACGACGACAAGTCCTATTAAAACTGGTGATTTGTTAGGTCTTGTTCAATATATCAAGGATGATATTTCAATTTACCTTGCTCATTTTATAAAACATTTTTATAAAACTGTAGATACTGATGATGAAAGAGGTATAATATTGTTGAAAAAGATTATCAAAGTTGTACCACCATCATATCTATACCCATACCTTCAAAGTCTGGTAACAAAATTAAATTTGGTTACAAATCACGAAAAGATTGCAATATCAATCATGCCATATTTAGTTTCTATTCAATTAACAAAAGAACGAGAACTAGAACGACCACTAAAAGTAATACGAGAAGAGTCATCCAATGGAAAGAGAATATTTAAAATATTCTTTAAAAAGATATTGGAACAAGTTGAAAACTTTGATCAAGATGTACCACATATTGATGAAATGATCAATATTGTATCTTCACTAGATCATCTTGTTCATAGTCTCAATATGAGCTCTAAACAAATCAATTATTGTTTCCAACAATTGATTGGTCAATTTGGTCGTCTCATGTCTACATTATCCAGATCTCCAATGTTTAACCATTCGCATCAATTATCACATCAACAAATGGATGAATATGGTGAATATGAAGAAGAAGATATTGAAGGAAATAACCTATACACTTTAAAAAGAATACAATTACTTGGTGTACAAAGTTGTATATCTCAATTTTTAACCAATCTATTGGAATACACTAGAGATGAATTTGTACTGTCAAATCACAACGATGCAATTCAATCTTGGATATTGGAAACAAAGAAAATAGCCAAAGGAGAAAAATCGATATTTCAATATCCAATTCTATTGGTACTAAAGAATCAACACCCAAACATCATTGAATTGGGATCGGCAGTTGAATTGGATTTCATTGTCAATTTGTTGAATGGTTTAAACCAAAATATTGAAAGTATTGTTGCAGAGCATAAAAATAGTATTGTCAAGTCTGTCAAAACAATCACTCGATTTATAGAAACCTATTATTCATTTAACAACAACTACAATATTATAAAATATACCTATTCAATTAACCAAAAGATTATTTAAATAAATTAATTAATTAATAGAAAAAGTGAGAAAAGTTTTGATTGATATTATATATATATATATTGTTGTTACCGTGATGTACTAGCTAGCTATGGACCAATCCTATCCATTGTTTTGTGAAGTTACTATGATATACAGTAAAGTAGGTGGGGTGACAAGGATAACATAGTCAATTCACAAAACAATTGATCAAAGATGGGCAATGGTAGGGAAGAATCAGGCACTTTTCAATCGTATCAACATTGGTACTCTTGTATCGAGAATGTCTATAAATGGAGTTTTCAGAACATAAAAAAAATGTATGGATAAAAACCATTCCTTGTCGTCTGCCCTAGAAAAATACAACTAACAATAGAAAGCAACCATTACAATGGATAGAACAATCTTTGCAAAGATTCCACGATTAACCTCTTCTAGAAATGAATAATATTGATCTGTAGCCATTTATATATTCTAGAATACAAACTTTTAGATTGTTATGCCACATTTGTGGAGTAGTTTAATTTTGGATCTGAATAACACGTCAACAATAAAAGCAATCTTTTAGTCAATTGATTTAATTACTTACAAGTATTCTTTAAAGAATTGGTGAGGTGTAGTTTTGGTAGTCTTACTCTGTAACATACTCGCTCTTTGACCAATATATCCAAAGTTCAATAAATAAAGTTGAAAATAAAAATGGTTAATTATCAAATAGTTTTGTTTGGAACATATAATTATATTTATCTAGGACATGCTCCAAAACATGCATTTAATAGGATATATTGACCTCAGCTGGAGCTGTCCAACAACACTGTCTTGAAATTGAGACGGTTCGGTCAATTTACACCAATCCTATTGTTTTGTGAAGTTACTATGACATCCCCTTTTGCTACACTCGATTAAGGATATCATAGTCAATTCACAAAACAATAGATCAAATGTATATGAGATGCAGACACACAGGCAATGATTGACAATCATTCGGTTTTTCGACCATACATTGATCGACCTGAAGGATGGGTTTTAAATACTAAATAGTAAGTAATGAAAGAGAAGAGAGTGTAAAGTGTTTAAGAATGCTTGGGAGAAGCCTTATAACAAATTCTGTATGAAGCCATGGAATCTCGCATACGTAATATGATTCAAATACTTGATGATGTTTAAAAATGGATAGCAAAGTGATAAAGGAGTTAATACCCTTCCTAATGAAATAATTATTCAACTGTATAAATATTAGGGAATACAACAACAAGAGAGAACCGAAAATTTACAAACAACTTCAGGTGCACAAAAAAAATTAATTAAAGTAAAATGGTATCTTTTAGATGAACTTCAAATTGTGTCTTGAAATTATAATGATTATAATATTATATGTGTTTTACTCAAGCAAAACCTCAACCTCAGATCAAAAAGAGATAATTAATTAATATAGTTAGTTATTTAGTTAGTAGTAGTAGTATTAGTCGCGTAGTAGGTTGATTGTTGAAAGACGTCGACGATGGAGAGCAAAGTCATTGTCATTCATCATGGATCCTATTCACTAAAGATTGGCTTGGCATCTGATGCTGCTCCGAAAATCATACCCAATTGGATAGCTAAACGATTAAAGATACCTCCATCATCATCATCATCATCGACTATACCAATACCATCAAATCAATCTCAACAAACTGTAGATATAACAACTACGACAACTGATGATAGTAATGATAATAATGGTGTAAAGATGGAAATAAAACAAACAACAGGAGAAAATGAACAACCGAGTAAAGATGATGTTGAAATGAAAGATAATGACAATGTTGATGGTTCACATCAGCCATTGTCTCAGAATACTACCATTGTTCATGATGAAAATAATAATAATAATCAAGAAGATAGTACAAAACAACAACAACAAGAGGTAGAAGATCAATCTGGGAAACAGACGACTAGCCCTGCAATTACAATAGTAAAGACACCATCACAAAGTCAAGAGATTATTCAATATAGAGTTGCATCAATTGAATCTATACAAAAATATATTAAAGATAATATATCTAATTTACCATTACATCCAAATGATCAAAAACACAACAACTACAAGTATGTATTATTATACTTTGTTTATGTATTTTAATTGAAATATTATTATATTAACTTTCTCTCTCTCTCTCTCTCTCTCTCTCTCTCTTCTTCTTTCTTTCTTTCTTTTCTAGATAATTATACCAGAATCAAAATTTATTAGTGAAGAAAAGATACCAAAGAAAAGGAAAAAGAAACCCATGGTTGTTGATAATGGTAAACCACAACAACCATTGTTTGAGAAACCAATTAATTTTGAACAAGACAACTTTTGCATTGGAGACGATGCCATTGAAATATCAAAAGATACCAATGATCATTGGATGGTATATCAACCCATGTTATCCCCAACTACATTTAATCTCGCCACTCAATCTTCTTTTCAAGCTCTATCAGCTGATTTAATTGAAATGTGGAAATATGCAATTCAAAGATACCTAAATATTAATCCACAAGATTTAAATGTAATGTAGATATAGTAATTAATAACTAATCATATATTAGAATTCATCATATTAATTAATCTTTATTTTTATAGAATTATGGATGTGTATACATAATTCCAGATACATTTGATAAAAAAGAAGTCAAAGAAATTACATCTCTATTATTATGTGAACTAAGATTTACTAGTGTTTTATTATATAGAGTATGTAAATATAAATATAAATATATATAAGATATTAATCATTCTTTCTTTAGCAATCAGTTTGTTCATTATTTGGAGCAGCAACTGGAACTGGATGTGTAGTTGATATTGGGTATAAACAAATATCGATAGCATGTGTAGACGAAGGGTATTTGATACCTCAATCAAGAGTATCACTTGGATACGGTGGTGAGAATATAACTAAACTATTGGAATGGTTACTCTACAAAAACGATTCAACACCAACACACAAACCAATCCATCAGTATCCATTCCCAATCGATCAATGTAATATAACCATCCCATTCTATTTAAATTTAATTGATTCTATTAAAATCAATAATTTAAATTTATTTATTGTAAGTCAAACAAACAAGAATCAAAGAGTAGTTTAATGTTATTTATTTGTTTATTAATTTACATTTGGTTTACATTTGTTGATAGAATGATGAAAAAAAGATTAGACAATCAATTTGTAAAGTAAAAGAAACAATTAAATCAAAAAAATATAAAGTTTATCAATTCAATGGCGACATTGTATTTAAAGTACCAGCACTATCATTATTCTATCCAAAATCATTTAAAGAAGATGAAATCAATAATGAACAGACATCAACAAACAACAATAATGGAAACAACAAGAATATTGGATCCTCCAAACAATCGCAATCAAGAAAAAATAGATTAGCAGATTATGAAGAATTGTTTGAAGAGACAATGAGTGAAAAGACAAGTAGTACCGATCCATTGTATCCATTGGACAAGGCGATTTACAAATCCATCAATATGGTTGGTGAAAAGATGGATACTCGAAAAAAGTATCTACAAAACATGCAATTGGTTGGAGGAGGATCACATATCCCTGGCATCCAAGAGATTATTAGAAATCGAATCAATATCATTCATCAACAATACCAACAATCAAAATTTGAACAACAACAGCAACAGCAACAGAATAATCAACAACAAACAAATAATCAGCAACCACAACCAATAATAGAAGAATTAATAGTACTATTTCCAACTACACAAAAACATGATATTGATCCAACGATAATGGGTTGGAAAGGTGGTGCTATCATTGGATGTTTAGAATCGAGCAGAGAGATTTGGATTACTCGTGATGAATGGAAAGGTGGTCAAAACTCTTCTTATATTTTAAAAGAAAAGTTATCATTCTAACAAATAATAGCAAGCTAGAATTGAAATAAATAAAAAAAGATAAAGATAGATAGATATCTTTTCTTTTCTTTTTTTTGTAACTACCTATATATCATATCCTTTTTTGATTTGAGATTTATCTATATTTTGTTTTGTTTTGTTTATTTTATACACCACCGACAAGGATATTATTGATTGGAATATGAATCAACTTTACAAAGAAACCAATGAAACCCATAATAGCAAAACCAATTAAAGTAGCAAGTGCAATCTTTTGGAATTCTAGAAATAGTACAATTGTTGTATAAAGAATATATGTATTGTATGTATAAGTATAAAACACTCTTATAAAAGATATGATCATCATCTGAATCGTGTGATCTCTGTCTATCTAATCTTTTACCATTTTGATCTGGCTTGGTGCACTTGCGGAACAAACGCATAGAATTCTTAAAGAACTCCTTTAATGGAGCGGCGGTCTCTTCTACTAAATCCATTGTAATGTATTTATATATATATAATGTAATAACAAATGAACTGACTTTTTTTTTTTTGATGGTGAACAGAGACCACTTCTTTTCAAAAAGTCAAAGTTTTTTCAATCCCCAAAAAATTTTAAAAACCTCAAACACACAGAAGTTCAGAATTAAGTTATTTGTTGTTGAACTTGTTTGTCTCTTTCAAAAACAAAACTACTGTCTTACAAATAACATAATATTATTATTACTACTTCACACTATAGTCTTGATATTGAATGAATATGAATTATGATTATTTTTTTGATCATTCATTATTTAATTTATTATTTTCGATTCGATTGACACTTTTCCAAAATACCTATTCTCTCTCTCTCTCTCTCTCTACCGCTGTTCTTTACAGAGTAATAATAAAAATAGATTAAATAGTATACTGTTATAATTATTACTTGTAAATTAAATTTGAAGGATTCGTTCGTTTTTTTTTTTCGTTTTTTCGAATTCTTTTTTTTTTTTTTTTTCTATAACGAGCAAGCATATTCGACGTTTTTGTGATAAGTAATACGTATTACTATTATCTCTTATCTTATTCATTCTATCTATCAATCAATCATATAGAAGAGAGAAGACAAGATGGAGGATGATACTAAAAGAAAGGCACATCGCAAGTCCAAAGTCGGTGTCAAAGCTCAAAGAAGAAAGGATTCAAATATAAAAAAGGCTGGTCAAGAAGAGAGTTTAAAAGGTCGTAATCCAAAGGTATGAACAATATAGAATAGAATACAATACAATAGAGAATTTGGAATATAGATATAGAACAGTTTGATTAATCTCTTTATCTATCTTTACTTTTACTTTTTTTTTTTGAAGGCATTTGTAAATGCAAATAGATTTGCAGCATTAAAAGCACAAAGAAGAGCACTTGATTTACAACAAAAGGCAGTTAATATACCAGTAGTTGATAGATCGGGGACGGCCGATGAAGAACCACCATTTGTAGTGTCGGTGGTTGGACCACCGGGTGTTGGCAAGTCGACGTTGATCCGATCGCTCATTAAGAATTACACACGTTATTCGGTGGGTGATATCAAAGGACCCATTACAGTGATTGCAGGCAAGAAGCGTCGTCTCACCTTTATCGAATGCAACAATGATCTCAACTCGATGATTGATACTGCCAAGATTGCCGACTTGGTACTGTTGATGGTCGACGCATCGTTTGGTTTTGAAATGGAGACATTCGAGTTTCTCAATGTACTGCAGACACACGGGTTCCCCAAGGTCATCGGTATACTCAACCATTTGGACGAGTTCAAAGACAACAAACGTTTGAAAAAGACTAAAAAGAAACTAAAGGATCGTTTCTGGACCGAAGTGTATCAAGGTGCCAAAGTATTTTATTTGTCTGGTATCTTGCACGGTAAATACCCCAAGCAAGAGATACACAACTTGGCACGTTTTATTGCCGTTGCCAAGTTTATTCCACTCAGTTGGCGAAACACCCATCCCTACGTACACGTCGATCGTTTCGAAGACATCACCGACCCCGAGCGTGTCAAGCACGAGCCACAATCCGACCGAAACATCTGTCTCTACGGGTACATTCGTGGCACCTATCTCAAGCCACACATGAAGGTCCATATCCCCGGCTGCGGAGACTACCACATGAAATCGATCACTCCGCTCGCCGACCCATGTCCACGTCCCGACGAACGTAAACGTATCCTCAATGGTAAAGAACGTCTCATCTATGCTCCCATGTCTGATATTGGTACCATCATTTATGACAAGGATGCTGTTGTCATTAATATTCCTGAAAGTCAATTACAATATAGTCGTAAATTGGCTATTGAACAAGGAAATGATAATCTTGAAAGAGAAGACGATGGAGAGGAAGAGGAGGATCAAGATGATGAAGATGAAGAAGATGGAGGATTTAAACATCGTGGAAATCTTGGACAAGCAATTAAAATGGTTAAAAAGTTACAAAATTCAAGAGTTGCCCTCGATGAAAAGATGCAAGAATCTCAACTCAAACTCTTTTCAAATAGTAAACCAATCAAAAATTCAAGAGTTTCTGAAGCCGACCTAAATACTATTCAAGATGATGATTATTATAGTGAAGATGAAATGGAAGATTTAAAAATCGTCGGAAATAGTAAAACTAAAAAGGTTGAATCTTTGGAAAAGGATTCAAATGGTCGTATTAGAAGAAAGGTTCATTTTATGAATTTAAACAAAAATCCAACTTTACTTGGTAGTGATGATGAAAATGAAAATGAAAATGAAATTGATATGGATGGTGAAGATCAAGATGAAGATGAAGATGATCAAGACGAATCAGATGATGAAGAAATGGAAGAAGGATCAGAAGGAGAGGAAGATCAATTAGATTATGATGAAAGTGATCAAGAAGAAGAAATTGATGATGAAGAATATTTTGATTTAAAAAAGGGAAATGACCAAGATGGATCAGATGAAGAAGAAGATGATGATGATGATGAATCATCATCAGAAGAAGAAGAATCATCATTATCAACAGTTGAATCATCAAAATGGAAAGAAAAAATGACAGAATTGGCATTAAAGAATAGATCAAGAAAGAGTACATCTGCCAATTTAAAACAATTAATTTATGGAATTGGTATAAATGATAAACCATTACAATCATCAGATGGAGAGGAGGAAGAATTATTTAAAGTTAAAAAGGAGGTTTATTTAAATTAAATGAAGAAAAGAAAACAATGGAAACCAATGGTATCAATGGTTTGGATTCATGTAAAAATATAGCAAGCATTCATTTGACGTCGGTGTTTTCGGAAAACAAGGAAATCAATCAAATTTTGGTCGCTAGATTCGTAGACAAGGACGAATTGACAAAGATTGGTGCTATTGGTCAAGAAGATGCCGATGATGATAAGGTTTTATTTGGTGATTTTGAAGATTTGGAAACTGGTAAAAAATATGGTGCAAATGAAAAGGATAGTGATGACGAATCAGGATCTGATGATAGCTCATCAGATTCAGAGACTTTAACAAAAAGAGAAGAAAGAAAAAAAGAAAGAAGAGAAAAATTAAAAGAACAAGTATTTGGTGAAAATGGTGGTGGAGATGGTGGTGATGATGAAGATTATGAAAGTGCAAGAGCTCAAAACAAGTTGAGAAAAGAATCAAAGATTCAACAAATCAATAGAAAATTTGAATCTGGTGAAACTGATTTTATTGGAGATTTACAAGAAGCTGCCAAGAAACAACGTGCCATCAATGAAAAGGAGTTTGAAGGAGATGATGAGTATAGTCGTACCCAGTATCACGGTTATTCAATTGGTGCCTATGTCAGAATCGAGTTTGAAAAGATTCCATGCGAGTTTTCAATCAACTTTGACCCACGTTATCCCGTTTTGGTCGGTGGTCTCTTGTCCAACGAGGAGAATCTTGGTATGGTCAATGTTCAAGTAAAGAAGCATCGTTGGCATAAGCGTGTCTTGAAATCAAACGATCCATTGGTCATTTCAATGGGATGGCGTAGATTCCAAACCATGATGCTCTATTCCATCCAAGACATTAATGGTCGTAGTCGTATGCTCAAATACACCCCATTGCATATGCATTGCCACGCCTCGTTTTATGGGCCAATGACACCACCTGGTACCGGGTTTATCGCCTTTACCACCATCCGTAACAACCAACAATCGTTTAGAGTGTCGGCCAACGGTCATGTACTCGATCTCAACCAGTCCATCAATGTCGTCAAAAAACTTAAACTCGTCGGTCGTCCCTCCAAAATCCTCAACAAGACTGCTTACATTAGCGGTATGTTTAATAGTAATTTGGAAGTTGCCAAGTTTGTCGGTGCCACCATTCGTACAGTCTCTGGTATTCGTGGTCAACTTAAAAAAGCTGTCAAACATGGTGGTGAAGGTACCTATCGTGCAACCTTTGAAGATAAACTCTTGATGAGTGACATTGTCTTTTTACGTACATGGTATCCCATTTTACCAACAAAGTTTTATAATCCAGTCACCAATATCTTGCAAAAACAAAAGGGTGAATGGCAAGGTATGAAGACAGTCGGTCAACTACGTTTTGAAAAGGGTCTTCGTGCTCCCATCAAACAAGACTCGTTGTATCGTGACATTCATCGTACCGAGCGTCGTTTCCGTCCACTCGAAATCCCATCCAAGCTTCAAGCTGCCCTTCCATTTGATTTGAAACCAAAACGCTCCCACGTCATTACCAACGAGGCAGATGCCCTCCTCTCGAGTCGTGCCGTCATTATGGAACCCCACGAAAAACGTGTCCAGGATCTCATCACTCGTTTGGAAATGATCAAACAGAAAAAGATTCACCAACAAAATCAAAAACAACAGGAACGTGTCAATGCTCACAAGGAGAAATCGGCCAAGGAAGAATTGGAAAAACAACAACGTCTCAAGGATCAATTCAAGAGAAAGATGAAATTGGAAAGTTTAAAGGGTAAAAAGAAACAAAAGTTTGCTTAAAACAAAATTAAAAATAAATAAAATATTATCGTTATATATATATATATATATCTTTTTTTTTAAATTATAGATTAATAATCAACAATAATGAAAAGTACTATTTAGACACAATTTAGAAATAATTCATTGATTTATTTTTTTGTTTGGATATGATAAAGTTTCAAAAATATATACACTCATTCCTCTTCATTTGAAATTAGAGTTAACATTCTATTCAATAGTATAAATAATACTATTTACTAGATATTGTGGTGCATAATACTCCCCCAATTTTCTTTTCTAAATAAATCTATCACAATTCTCACAGGAATTATTTTAATAATAGTTATTCAACAAATTAACCACAATTAGTACTACAGATTATTATGTCTCGGAAATGATAGATTATGTTCCCAAAGGTGTCATGTGGGTTGATCATTTAAAGGATAAAGCATGACTCACTGTATTCGATCACACACAACAATCATACACTACTTGAATGTATCCACGTCCAACCACGAGCTCCACTGTTTGGAATGGAGTTCCGTTCTTGGGCGAGTTATGCTATTTATTTGTTTTAACATAAGTAGAAGATGGTGAGTAGAGTCTTGAAAATCTTAAATATCAAACAATCTTATCAAAAGAGATCAAAAAATCGCGCCTATATTTTTTTTTTTTTTTTTATAAATCTGGACTCTAGTCGTCGGACAATAGAGTAATTATGGTTTATTTGTTTTAATTTTAATTAAAATAGTTAGAGTTTCTGTTAGTATAGCGGCGCGCCTATAAATTTTTTTTTTTTTTTTATTAAATCTGGACTCTAGTCGTCGGACAATAGAGTAATTATGGTTTATTTGTTTTAATTTTAATTAAAATAGTTAGAGTTTCTGTTAGTATAGGGACGTTTTTTTTTTTTAAGCATCTCATTTCGTGGCATCCACCTGTAGGGTGGAGCACTACTCTTTCGATTGCGAAGTTTTATTGATTGAAGTCTTTGTTTGACCAGCAATGGGAACTGAGTTTCCAAAATAGAAACAAGTCCAATCTGTTTTTTTGGGGTGCCAAATGTCTGTTCTATTTCCATCCAAGCAAAAATGGCAAGTCTTGGTGGGAGCTATTAGTTCTATTTGTTCATCAATACGACGGGAAGCTTCTTTACCTGTTGAATCGAGGGGGGCTGAACGGTTCTGTGAGTTACGATCCATAGTTCTTTTGTCAGGTTAGTGACCAGATCGTGACTGTTGGAGGGAGTGCCCAGTGTCACCATCCATATGTATGTGTGTGTCGAGTAATGGTTGGTGGTTGTGTCTACACCATGATTATCTATCTTATATCGTTCTGTTGTTCGTATTGTTATGTTGTTGATTGATGTTTTGATGGGATGTTGATGATGTTCATTTCCAATTGTAATAGTAATGTGAATACTGTTTTCAAACTGTATTGACTTGTTGTAATGATAATTAAATTCCACCTAAATTATTATTCCTATTGTTTCGATACTGTTTTACTATTGTATTGTGTTGATTAGAGAAGGAGATGGAGGAAGGAGCGAGATATTTTTTTTGTTATTTTTTTTATTTTTTGTTTTTTTTCTTGTTGGTGATCTTTGATATAGGCAGTGCTTATGCTCGCTCGCGCCCCTTATTTATAATAATGATAATGATATAAATAATTGAACAAGGGGCACACTAGGGCAATTAGTTGTGGCTTTTAGTGAGTGTGAAAAGAAATAGTAATGTTGATAAAAGATAGTTGATGATTGAGTGAAGTTCTATAGTACTCTATACGTAATTCTCTGTTTCTATCTCTTTCTCTCTATTACAGAAAAATTCCAAACTCGTTAGTATAGGGACGCCTATAAATAGGTGAAACTTGTTTTTGGAAACATCCAAAAAATACGCTTCTATGGCTCAGTAGGCAGAGCATGCGGCTGTTAACCGCAGGGTCGTTGGTTCGATCCCAACTAGGAGCGACTTTATTGCATGTTTTTCTGGCTGCCGCCTGGCCACAAGCCAATTTTTTCATTATATTCTTGTTCTACACACAATTCCCTACATTTTCATCCATATATCATTAAAATTGATCAAATCCTGACCACCAAAAACTTCAACCATGGTATAGTGAATAAAAACTTCAAAAAATATAAACCACATTGATAAATTGGTTGATTATACAATTTGTGTTACCCTTGCTATTAAATTCTATATTATCATATTTGGACATGATGGATAAATATCCTTCCATTCTTATCATGTGCTAAAAATCCAATGTCATTAAACTATTTGTAAATATATTAAACATGATATTATAATTTATACTATTTATCCATTTTAAAGTCTTGCAGGAAAGTATTTTTGATTGACTTTATTTATTTTGAAATTTAACCTTTCGATGAGTAGAAAAAGTTATGCAAACCCATTTTAAAAAAAAAACATTCAAATTATTATAATTTGATTTGTTATAAGGTGACTGACAGTCTTGCACCATTCATGTCTTTCTCTATCCAGTGCTTCAAAATGGTCGAAAGAATTGCCAAGTTCATTTAATGAAACTATTTCATTGTGTCTACACCTCTTTGAACTATTGATTATCTCAAGCAAAAAAGTAGGCCAACTTGGCCTTTGACCAATTATCGGTATTGCTGTTGGTGATTAGAAACACGTTTATAGATATCTATATTTTGATGTTGACTCTATCAATGTCTATTTTTTGTGTCAAACTAACTATATTATTTGGCGTATATAGAATCAGATGTCGGATCATCCAAATATTATTAAAACAGATGAATAAATAGAAGAGATTTTTCGAAAAAAAGCCTCTAAAAGTTGGCAATCATGTGGTCGCATTCTTTACTCCAAAATCATTTGTTCTCACAAGAAATTGATGTATTGGAACACTTTTTTTTTTAGCAAATACCGATTTTTTAGATTGCCGTCATGTGATCCACCAGGATTGAGTTCATTGAGATATCTTTGATTTTGGACAATCTAGATCTAACAGATTCGATCCATTCCTTAATGCCAAGCACTTGAGAAAATCTTGTAGGGTGCACAAAGTGGAATTTGAAATGTCTAAAAGGTAAGATACCACTTTTTGAACGGTTTTTTTTTTTTTTTAAAGTAATTCTTTTCCTGTTCTCTCCTATCGGGAAGAGTAGTACTCAGAAGTTACAAAGTTTTATTAATTATACATTTTAATTGACCAGCAAGAAATAAAGATTATCTCGAGAAGAATTAAAGTTAATTTGTTCTGGGGGTTGTCCATGTCTATGATACATGTTATATGGACGTTGATCATGTATCTTATTGTATAGTGTCAAGCATGTTGGATTGTTTTGGGTTGTTGCTTGTTCTAAAAATAAATTGGTTAAAGATATCGCTTTTTTTTTTTTTTTTTTTTTTTTTTTTTTTTCTCAGCACTATAGGCTGTAATATTGTGTTATATAATTATTCTATGTTATTATTATTTAGTAAATTATTATATTATTAATATTATTATTGATAGATGAAGAGAGAATAGAAGAAGATGAAGGTGTTGACGCAAATATGACACCCATCTTCTTCTAATTTTAGTACCATACTTGCGGTGAAACCTTAAGCCTTGGGTGCTTCCAAGACCGACTGCCGCTCTCAACTCTCGCGCCGATTTACTCCCCATTGTGGACACTCGTCTTTACGTGTTGCATATTGTATTTGAGATGTCAGATGGCTTTCTATCGCGACGGCCCAGTAGGTCCTCCACTACCTTCCCGTTACTTGTTGCAGTCTGGCTACCCAATCTCCTACTGAGAAGGGGAAACTAACCCGGTCATCCTTCCGTGGGGGTGTCCTGTCTCTAGATCCCTAGAGTCGGATGGTTTTTCTCCTCAATCCCCCCAATTGTGGTCAAGTTAAACGTTGGCGCCAAAAGTAAAGTTCGAGGGCAGGATTCGAACCTATGACCTTTACGTTCCCGGGGTAGCACACTCCCGACTCACTTGCCACGCCATGCCCCTTTTTGGGCTGGCGGCAGGGGTATTTTTGCGCTGCGCGGGTAATTGAGAACATCTTAAAGTCAGGATGGTGTAGTTGGTTATCACATGACCTTTACACGGTTAGGGTCGTGGGTTCGATTCCCACTCTTGATAATAATCCTTTTTTGCATGTCTGTTGATGGTGGAGGAGGAGGAGGACTAGGACATACACCATGACCATTGTAAATGGTGGAGGACATACTCCATGACCCTTGTTGAGGGTGGAGGAGGATGACCATGACCTTTGATGTCGATGGTCCATGCTTGTTGATGGTGGAGGATGAGGAGGGTGACCATGACCCCATCCTTCATGGTACTTGGTACTTGTTGATGGTGGGCGGCCACCGTACTTGGTGATAGCACAACCATATACTTGATGATGGTGGATACCCATGGTACTTGACCTTTGTTGACAATGGTCGATGGAACTTGGAACTTGGTCATCCCTGTTCTTTTTTTTTTTTTTTTCAAAAGCTGTATTAGTTAAAGAGGAGATAAAGACAGAAGACAGATAATGTAATAATTACAAACTAGGTTAAATAATCAATTAATGTTGGTTAGGATAGGTATGTAAATCATGATGGTTCTTTTTTTTTCCTTGGCTGCTATGTAAATACAAACATTTACTAACTTCTAATCTACTCTATTACATAGTGCATCATTTGTTAAATACTCAATACCAACCTACACCATCAACAACAAGCGTGGAAGGTCATATCATCATTATCATCATCAAGTACAATGGGGGTCCATAGTCAACAATGGTCATGGTCATCCTCCATCAACAAAGGCCAAGTACCATGTACCTCCCCCATCAATGGTCATTCCTCTCTCTTTCTCTCTCTTTCTCTCCCCCCTTTTGTAGTGATTAACCTTTTCAGCTTCAACAATACATAGTTGAATAAATTCCTCTCTTGAATCTCTTGTATATACATAAGAGTGGTTTTTGTAAATTGATTGGATTGATATTGATTATATAATAAAGAGTGGACATCGTTGTGTGATTGCATTTGTTTTAGGTTATTCCGAAACACTAATTCAAGATCAACTGGGTTTGGAAATTGTTGGCCTCTTTGTTGACTACTGTATTGGTGATGATGGTGCCGATCTCATTTTGGTTTTTTTCAGCCTCCCCAGGGGTTGCCGACGTAGGTACAAAAAAGGAGGAGGAAAAAAAAACAAGTCGCTCGTCCTCAACTTTTACTCTGTTCTGCAAACATGCACAACAAAGAACAATCAATAAATAGATATAAAATCTAATAGAGAGAATGTATAAATTATTATTATTGACAGCAGTCTTTTTATTGGTCTGTTGTACTAGTAATGCAGCTGCTCAATGTATGTACATATTCTGTTTTATTGACCGACACAATCCCACTCACTCACTCATTGAATACTACTAACTATTATTTTGATCATTATAATTTAATATTGAATTATTTTATTTTTTTTGCTTGGTATAGCACCATCGTATAATCTTTCAAGTTTATCACAATACAACAATGAAATCCATGCAAATGGATACTTTGGTACCAATTCATCAATCGTCTCTATAAAGATTGATCAATATTGGTGTTCACTTGTCAGTTTCAATAGTACCAATATCGGATGTAGCTTTGGAAGTACAGTGGGTTTATTGGGCAACAGGACGATCACTATCATAATCGGTGATGATGCTGCTGCTGCTGCTGCTTTTTTGAGTGGTACAGTAGTCATTGATTATTCAATCACTAGGGTTGTCTACAATAGCGAAGAAAACTCAATCACAATCGGTGGTGCTCTCAGCGGAACTGGTCAAGTTTATAATACAGCCATCTACCTCTCCTCCTCCTCCTCCTCCTCCTCTGACACACACAATCAATTGATCAACTGCACTATGTATTTTGTCAGCACATCAGAGGTGAAATGCAATTTGAACGAGCACGTACCATCAAATATTTATACGGTCTACTTGGTCCTTGACGTCCTTACCACTTTAAACTCTACTGTCAATATCAGTATGTAAACGTAAAAAATATAGAATACATATACATATACATATATTCTTTATCATTCATTTATTAACCCGATCGATATTATTTATTTATTTTAAAAAGTAGAATCTGATACTTTTGTTTTGAATAATATATCATTATTTAGTGATACGATGACTATCAGTGCCGATGGTCAATTTGGAAGCAATCGGTCATTAGTTTCAGTGTGGATTGAACAATACACAGAGTGTCCACTCGTTAGTTTTAACAGTACCACTATAAAATGTAGTATTGCCAATATTGGCGCGATTTCAACTGGACCACTGGCTGTCACTATCAAAATTGGAGACATTGCTCTATTGAATGGTACCGTCTTTTATGCTCCTATCGATTATTCAATCTCTAGTATCTACTACAACAACATTCAAAGATCAATCAGAATCAATGGTAATAATCTTTCATACAACAATAGTATTGATGGCATTAGGGTATTACTCACGTACCGTCCAGGCCAATACATTGATTGTCCCCTCACATCTGCCAGCCCTTTACACATTAATTGCCAGTTTTCGAATAACCAGATTGTAACACCCCAAAGAACCTATCAAGTTACCCTTACAGGTCCAAATTACCATTTATTCTCTACTATTTATATTTGTATGTATATATGTAGGATAGGATAGGATAGGATAGGTTTATTTATTTTTTATTTATTTTTTTTAGCATCTGCCAATGAACCAAACCATTACTTTGGTTCTTTCCATTCTGTTCCTAATTCATTGGGACTTGGAGTGAATGGATCTTTTGGTGATAATTCTGACAATCTCAATATTACAATGAATTCTGGTAGTCGATTGTTTGATTGTCAAGTCAACCACTTTACATCTACCTATTTGATATGTACACTTGGAAGCAACTACCCAGTCAATGGAGGATACTACCAAGTCAATGGTGAATTTGCAGATGGCAATGGCACCAGCAACAGTTTAGTTATCTATTTTGAACCAATCCCTTCCAATTCATCATCATCATCATCAAATAATGATTCATCATCATCAAATAATGATTCATCATCATCAAATAATGATTCATCATCATCAAATAATGATTCATCATCATCATCAAATAATGGTTCATCATCATCAAATAATGGTTCATCATCAAATAATGGTTCATCATCAAATGATTCATCATCATCAGATGTTACATGTAAATTGAGTCGATCAGGTAAACTCAGGGTAGAGTATCCAGGTGACGCTCCAATCAACTGTACTTCAAAAGGTATCAGTGAATGTAATGCTCCTGGTGGATTCAAATGTCTAGGCCTATTGAGCTCATCATTGACCCAATGTTTTGCTCCACATGAAATCGTTTGTCAAGCTTCATCGATTGTCTGTCGTGCTGGTGGTTTGTCTTGTTCCATTGAAAATGGCCAGTTGAGTATCAGACCCGATACAGCAGTAGTAGTTCCAGGTAGTAGCGACAATTCACAATCAAATTCTAATCATGCCTCATCATCCACATCATTTTCTACATTCCTTATCATCATCATCTTGATCATTTCCATTTTAATTTAAAAAGAATAAATTAATATCCAACTATTATAATATTTACAAAGATTTTTATTTAATTTAATTTAAACATCTAAATGATTAATATCATTATTATTAGTAGTAGTAGTATTTGTCGTAGTAGTGGTATTGGTATTATTATTATTATTATTATCATTATTATTTTGATTATTTTGATTATTTTGATTATTTAAATCTGCACCAAGTACTTGATCATTATTTGATCTAATGGGTTCAACCTGAGGTAAAACAATTGCCGAATCAATACCATCTTGAGCCGAAACATGTCTTGATAATACCTTGTCTCTAGTATCATTCAATTTTAACAATTGTCTTGTCAGATTATCGATTTCATTGTCCAGATTTTGAATAGACTTTTTAACGCTTGCATTCAAATAGGCTTCCAATTTATTCTTTTTTTCCAATTGTTCTACTGTCAATGATTGACTTGACATTTCTTTTAATGTTTCTTCAATCCTAAAAGTAAAAAGTTAACAAATAATACTACTAATCTATCTATCTATCTATCTATAATACATTACACTGTAACCTTTTTAATCAATTCATCTCTTTCCTTTTCCAGTTTATCAATTGAAGTTGATGTTTTATTCATTGCCAGTGATATTTCAAACTCTATATCTTGACCTTCTGAAATATCTTGTTTAGCTTGATTTATTGCATCTGACATGTCTGTAACCATTTCTTCTTGTTTTCTTTCGTTTTCTTTGCTTGGTAAATATTGTTTTATAAATTGATACATTGAAAATAGAAAGTAGAAAGAGTAGATATAGTATAGAGAGAGAGAGAGAAGGGTGTGAAAATGAAAATAAATAAAACTAAATTGATTCTAATAATAAAATGTGAAAGTATTGTCTATTATAGTAATAAAAATAAAAAAATAAAATGAATGAAATAAATAACTGACTCGTTTTTGAAACCCCAAAAGAAGAAGAGAAACTAAATTTGTTGAATTTCATAAAAGTTGGACGTAGTCATCAAGCTCCTCAAAGTGCTATAATAAAAAAAAAAAATTATTATTAAAATTTAAATTGATGTAAAAGTATCAATGAAGAGAGCTAAAGAGAGAGAGATTTAAAAAAAAAAAAAAATTTTAATTTCATTTGATACTTAACAAATAAATGAATAGTAATAATAATAATGAAATAATAGTAAACAAAAATGATAAAGAAGAATTATCTTTATCTACAACAACAACAAATATATCATTTTCTAGAAGAGATTTAGATAATCAACAACAATTGGGAAGTCATAATAATCCCAATATAACGATACTTGAAGAGGAACAATATGTAGATGCAATGTCAAAGATTATACAAAGAGACTTTTACCCAGACCTACCTCATTTAAAACAACAATTGGAATGGATGGATGCACTCGAATCAAATGATACAACTAGACTTCGAACCATTCAAATGGAAGGAATCAAGAGAGCAACTACAGATTATCAAAGAAGAAATTTACAAGCTACACCTCAATCATTTGATACTCCTAGAAATGAAAGAGATAGAGAAAGAGAAGGAATGGTTGATTGTGTACAGCAAGAAGAAGAGATATCATTACCAATAGACATTACAAAAGATTATGGGTTGGATGAATTTGTAGCAAATTTTAGTAGTCAAGATGATCAATCCTACATGAAACTACAAGACATTCAAAAGCAACGAGATAAAAATAGAGCATCGTATCGATGGAACAATGAAAAAAAGAATCAACAAAATCAACTATTATTAACAAACGATAAACCAAATCAACCTCAAACTTGGTCCTATACAATTAAAAATCAATTAATGTTTATACCAGATAGTAATAATAACAGTAATAATAGTATATTACCAAAAAAAGAAATTGTACATTCAAATACAAAAATAACAATTGTAGATAAAGATTTGGATGAACAAGAAATGATGAATCAGCATAATCAGCCGACACCAATGATGGAATTATTATCAACACCTTCAATTATACCTGGGATTAGTGGTAGTGGTGAATCATCACCAATGATGACATGGGGAAAGATTGATGGTACACCACAAATATTACAACCTCAAACTCCTATTCCATCTTCATTAAGAGACAATGATGATGGAGAGTATAATAGTAAAGTACCAGCTTTTAAAATACCACAAACACCAAAAAGAGAAAAATTAGCAAATCAATTATTACTTCAAACTCAAAAATCAAAACAACGTACAATTAATAGTAATAATAGTTCACCATTGAGTAAATCAAATCTACTTGGTGGAAATAGTCCAATTTATAATCCAATATTTAAAAAAAACAACACTCTTCAAAAATCACCATTATCAAACAACAAATCATTTCAATCATTATCACCAGCCGCTAAACATTTATTATCTATACGTTCATCTCCAATGAGAAAACCAATAATAAATCAAAATAATAAAAAATAAATAAATAAATAAAAAAAAAAAAGAAAAAGAGATGGGTTTTGAGCTTGTTTTTTTTTTTGAAGTTCATTCATCTTTTTTTGTTCTATCTGTATATTTAATCTTTCATTTATCTATCAATCTATCTATCTATTTTCTAAATCATGATTAACGTTTATGAAGGAATCAAAGGAGTAAAGAAAGTTAAAAGTTTATCAAATGAAGATATACAAAATGCAACACAATTGGGATCATTACCATCAGGTGTAACTGTACTATTAACAAAATCTCATGTAGAATTCTCTGTAGCATTAGAAGGAAAAAGACAACAGTAAGCAATAGTAAAACAAAATATAAAGTATAATATGTGTATATTAGTACTAATATACACATATCTTTATCTCTCTCTCTATCTTTATAGAACAGACGATGTTGTTTGGTTAGGTTTTCATTATAGTAGTTCATTTCAAAAGTTTCAAAAGTAAATAGAATAGATATAGAATAGATAGTAATAGATAGTATTAGATTGATTAATTCTTCTTTTATTATTTTAGATTATTTGCAAAATCATTACAAAATCCTAGTTTTGAAAATATTCAAGCTTTATTACATGTATGTACAAATCAAATCAAATCAAATTGAATCTATATATTTTATCTAATTATCTTTTCTTTTTTATTATCTTATCTTAGAAAACATTAACAACAAAATTTGAAGATCCATATTCATCACCATTATATATAACTGGAACCAATGATTCAAAGGCATATTGGACAGTGTCATTACCAGATAAATCGATATTTGGACATATCCCACTTCACCGATCCGATTCATTTCACAGCCTTCAATCCTACCCTATTATTCATTTAGAGTTTTCAGATATGCAAGTCATCATTGGTACCGATTTGGATAGAAATCAATTATTCCCATCCTATCCAAACATTGATACACTCTACACTCAAACACTTCGAAATATAGATCCAATCTTTTCTCAACATAAATGGTCTTCAACTGTAATCCCAAGTATTAAATCTAACGAAGATAATAATCAAAATAATAATAATAATAATAATAATTCATCCTCTTCTTCACTTCAAAAAACATTTTTAAACAAGAATCAATTTGATTTGGAAAAATTGTCAAGATGGTTTTTAAAGAAATTTAATCCTGTTCATCCATTGACATTTGTGTATGGAGTGTCATTTTATAAAAAGGGAGTGACCAAGACCATCGACATGATGACACTAAAGTCGTCGACCTCTGGTAAATCGTATATTGTCAATTTGGTTCATACATTCCGTCTTTCACCTCAACTCGATTACTTTAAAGACACTGAGGCACAAAAGAGCTATGAAATTGAAAATCTTCCCAAATACATTGCTTCCTTTTCAGATTTGGAACGTGATTGTCAAATCATCAAAAACCTCATCCCTTCCACTTCAGTCTCCATCTATAATCCATTTTTCGAAAAACATACTCATCGTAAATCAAATATTCCTTCTCCTCTAACTTTGGAATCAACTTTTTTTAATGAACCAGTAAATCAAAATCAAAATAATCAAAATAATCAAAATCAAAATACACATAAAAATCAACAACCTAAACAAAATAGAATAGATGACAATATTAATATTGATTTATTAGCAAATATAATTGGTAAATCAGTATTTGATTTTAATCAACAACAGTAATAATAATAATAATAATAATAAACAATCATCAATCTCAATCAAAAAAAAAAAAAAAAAACATTTTTTTATCTGTTTTTTTACCTATTTTTATCAGATTAATCTAAAAAATTTTAATACACATGTACAATTTCAAAGACACACTGACTTTATTAATTTATTTTTCTCTACTAAATTTAGAATAAAAAAAAAAAAAAAAAAAAAAAAAAAGTCATAGGTCTATTAAAAATTTTTGATTACTTTCACACTACACCCCCTCCCCTCCCAATTAATATTATTGTAATATTTTTATTTTTTTTGTTTTTCCAATCTTAGATTCTATTCACATGTGAGACACTCATTCTTCTCGACAACCATTCTTTCCTCCTCCTCCCCACTTCCTACTACATCATCATCATCTTCTTCTTCTTTATCATTATCTATTCCATACAATTAATATTAACACTTTAAAATATTAATATTAATATTTTAAATTTAACGTCTGGAACGATTTTTTTTTTTAATTCCATCTGTTAAATACATTTTTTAACCACTCTCTCTCTCTTGGTTTGGTTTCCTCATCCTCCTCATATTCGTCGTCGTCGTCTCTACTTTTTGTCTTGAATAGTTCTGTCCGGACAGACACTGCATTATTCCCCCTCTCTCTTGCTTGTTTGTTTGTTTGCCTGTTGAACAAATAAACAAGATAGAGAATGAAAGAAAGATCATCACCAATGGATTACCATGGAAAAGGAGGAGGTGTTGATTCAATGGTTACCATTTATATGATGTTATTCATTCTTTTAGGCATTATTGTCAACAACAAGTACAAGAATATTATTAAACAACCATTTAAACAAAATATTCATCATTTTATCAAACAACAAATATTAAAACATCATTTAATTAATAATAGCCATAATAATAATAATATTATTGATCCAATCATCATTGCAAAATTAAAAAAAGAGAATAATTATTACAACAAGGAAGAATTTAACAAGGATAGATACAACTATTGTAACAATTATTACTATTCAAATATACAAATATTTATACTTGATAGTATTTTACCCGACATGAATAATATTAGAAATACTACCTCTTCCTCATCATCATCATCCATTTCACTTAGTTCATCATCCACTTCAATTAATAATCAAACTCCAAATCATACTTTAAATTCTAGTATTAATAATAATCAACAACCTCAACAGGGTATTAGTGGAGGACCATACTCTAGTTTTCTAAGAGTATTTTCTTCATTGTCAAAAAAATCAAATTCACTCTTGTCATTACCAACTCCTTCTTCTTCTACATCAACTTTACATACTGATAATACAATTATAACTCAGCCAACAAAAATGATTAAATTAAATAATAATAACAATAATAATAATATTAATAATAATAATAATAATAATAATTTAATTCCATCTTCGATTCCAACATCGATAATGATAGATTCACAACAACAAATAGAACCACAAGCATTACATAATTATTTTCAACAAGATCATCAACAACAATTTATATTTGATATTTTCTCCATTCCAACCGAAATGTTGGTACATTTACTTTCCTTTTTCCCAGCCCGTGATCTTTGGAAGATGAGTCTTGCCTGCAAGAGAATGTGGCACATTGTCGAAGTTTTCAAATTCTGGGGCAACTTGTTTGAACGTACTTGTCCAAGAATATTTTATGCCATGCAATACAATTCTCGTTGGACTGCTAATCCTCCTCAAATTAAAATGATCCTTTGTTTAATGGAAGATCTTCCAGAGGTAAAGAAAAAAGAAAAAAAAAAAAGAAAAAATATTTATTTAATATATTTATTAATTTATTTTTGGTTTTAGGAATTTTGGAGACCACATGATGGAAATGATGAAAATGGACAAATTAAAAAGATAATTGGTATAATGAAAGTAAATCCACATAGTTCATTGATTCAAAGAGAATGTTGTTATATATTGAAACGATTATCATATAGACAAAGAAAAGAGGATGAGCACGAAGCTCTTATTGCAAGATACGATGGAATCAAATTGATTCTCAATGCAATGAAAAATCATCCACTTAATCATGGTGTTCAAGAAGATGCTTGTGGTGCACTTGGTAACCTCACATGTGACAGTCCCAATAGCTTTGGTGTCTATTCAAACAATAATTACTTGGAAGTGGTTGAATTGGATGGCATCAAATTGATCCTACAAGCAATGAGAAATCATGTTCACAATCCAGGTGTTCAATACAATACAAGTTTTGTCTTGAGAAATCTAGCTCGTAATGATCTATCTGAAAGTCGTGTTGCTCAAGAAGGTGGTATTCATGCCATCGCCACAGCAATGAGAAATCATCCAAATCATATTGGTATTCAAACTCAAGGTTGTGGTGCTCTTAGAAATCTTGGTTGTAATGGTAAGAAAAAAAAGAAATAGAAATAGAAAAAAAAGAAAACTAATATTTATTTTGTTTATTTTAGATAAAAATAAAGTTCTAAGTGCAAAAGAAGGAGGAATTAATTTAATATTAAATAGTATGAGAAATTTTGCTTCTCATCCAGATTTACAATTAAATGGTTGTGGTGCCCTTAGAAATTTAGCTAGAAATGGTAAAAAGATAAAGAAAGAAATAATATAATATAAATCTTTTATTTACATTTTATTTATTTTTTAATTGTTTAGAAAAAAATAAAGATTTAATAACAAAATTGGGAGGAATTCAATTAGTATTACAAGCAATGACAAATCATTATCAAGATCCAGATGTTCAAGATGAAGGATGTGCAGCATTGATTAATTTGGCATATCAAGATGAAACCAATGAAGAAACCATTGCAAGAGAAGGTGGTATTAAATTAATACTTCAAGCAATGAGAAATCATCCATTCCATGCTGGTGTACAAATGCAAGGTAGAGGTGCTTTAAAAAATTTATCTTGTAATCGTATGTATAAAAGATTAAAAAAAACAAACAAAAAACTGGATAATAATATTAATTTACTTACTTACATTCTTTTTAGCCAAAAATAAATTAACAATTGCAAGATCAGGAGGAATTAGTTTAATGGAAATTGCTTGTATAAATCATCCATCATATTCAAATAGATTTTTAGAATTAATGAGAATACTTCAAAGTGCATTAGAAGAAGCACCACTTCATTAAATAAATAATAGTAATTAATAAAATATTAAAAAGTTTAAAAATAGATATCATCATCATCATCATCCCTATCAGTTGACATGTAATTTTTCTTTTCTCTTTTAACTTACACAGATTAAAATTAGAATGATATTTATAAAATTAGATCATGATGGTTGAATGATTTGACCGTGACCCACTGGATATACTATTAAAAATCTTTTTACTTTTTTTGTCTGTATCTAGATTGATTTTTATATTCTATAGAAGGAAAGCATAATATTTATCCAGTACATTGTGTGGGTGTGATGTGATAATGATTTATGTCAACCAAATCCAAATAAAGAAATATCGTGAGCAATGGATGGTTAAAAATAAATACAAACTTGGAAATTTTAAATTAAATAATACATACATACAATGTCAACTCTCTGTGTCAGTTACTACTAGCTAGCTAGGAAATAAATGGTTTGACAAGAGGATGGATATTTTACAAAAGTAATGCGGGTTTATGAATTATTGTTATCAAAACCAACAACAGTGAAGATAATTAATTAATACCGGATGGATACTGGATGGATGTTGTGTGAGTGTGAATGATGATATGAATGATGGGATTGACTACAAATTTATTTTTGTAATATTGCTAGATTTGGTAGTCAATCCAACACTCTCACACACCACTCTTTCAGAAATATTTAATAATACATCTAAACAACATAGTATAATTTATTATTATTATTATTATTATTATTATTATTATTATTATTATTATTATTATTATTATTATTATTTCATTGATACAATGATAATTAATTATGATGATGTTTTTGAGGAGGGGGATAGCAGGAAAATGGGAAATGGATGCATCCATGGATAGATACTTTCAATTTTGATTGATGGGATATTTTTAAAGTGATACAGTTTATATATATATGATTCTCTTTCAAATTGTATCCCTATTGGCTTATCACTGCTACTGTTCATCTCTGATCATTTCCACACTAAGATCGAGTTGGTTGGTGGGTGTGGTAGATTAATATATTAATTCACTCTAAGTTGTAAATTTAATCTAAACACACACATGCGCACACACACAGAGAAAGATGCCCTTTTTACACAACATTCTACTATATATAATCATAATCGTTGTCCATTATCAATCTATAAATAATAATAATAAAGAGGGATGAGGAAAAATGCTTAAACATATGACATAGAGTGATGAGCATTATTATAATGTCTTGTCTTTAATTTTGTAATACGAATATGAAAGAAATATTTAGTTTACCATGGTCGTGGGTGGGTGGGGTGATCGATCACCAACAGTGTGCGTGTGAAGAGAGAGAAAGTGTGATATATAAAACAACATGGTGCGATGGTAATTCAATGATGATTTAAAGGGTGATCACCATTTGGTCATGATGGTTAATTGAATCTATTGTTAGAGAGAGAGAAAGAGAGAGAGTTGTAATTGTGTGTGCGAATTTGAAAAAGATGGTTGCATATGATGATGGACTGTGTGCGCGATGGTCGGGATAATAAATACACATAGAGAGAGAGAGAGTAATTTAGGAGTAGTTTGGTGTTGCTGATATTAGTAGAAACGAGAGTAGTAGTAGTAATAGTAGTAATAATATCATGCACAGCAATGCTTGCTGCTAGATGTTGGTGATGAGATGGATGGATGGATGGAAACTGGATACTCCATACATCCATACATCCATACATACATACATTATTACATTGATACATACCCATGGATGGCAGTTGGGAAATATTTATACATACTTGCTGCTACGTTGTTGTGTGTGTTTGTGTGCTGTTGAGTGTGGTGGTGGTGGTGTTGGATGGGAATGGATGTACTACTAAAATAAAAATACGATTATTATTATTATTTTATCTAAACAATTTTAATTTTAAAAATAATCGATATCCTCCTCCTCCTCACTTGGCAAGTGCTTGGGTAACGAACAGTAGAGTGTGGGGGGATGGTGAATGAATACATCCATCATAATAATATTTCATTTATATCTATCTACTATTCGTTCTCATCGTTTCCATCATCCTATTTCTGTCTACCTCGGATCATCATCCTCCTTCTCCTTCTCCTACAGCAGTATTAGCGGCGGTATCTCAACAACACCAGAACAAACAGAAATCCGAATTGAATCAACAACCAACATCTCATCCATGAATATTTAAATATTATTTGTTGTTGTTATTTATTCTTCTTCTTTTGTTTGCTATTTTAAAAAATAATAATAATATTCCCCAAGTAAGATTATCAATCAATCCAATCAAAATCCCGACCATCATCTGCATCTCTCTCACTCATAATAATAATAATAATAATATTGATCATTATTAAAAAATCCATCAACGACAACAACAACAACAAACATAAGAATTCCTTATAATATTGTTATTATTTATTCTTATCTAATCTTTTACATTTAAAATATCAATATTTCCATCCCATCCAATCTGTCAATCAAAATCAAAATCAAAATATTAATAATATTTTTTTTTTTTACAAAGATTAATTTAATATTGAATTTATATATATATTTTTTTTATTTTTTGTATCTCTCCCCAATCCCAATCAATCAAATCTAGTATCCATAATTATCAAATTTCGTAAATAGTAAAAAAGGTAAGATTTTTTTTTTTATTTACCCAAGTATCATGTCTTGTGTGTAGTACACCCCACCTTGTTTTTTTTTTGATCCCAGATATTTATTTATTTATTTATTATTGTGAGTTTACTATAGAGTGAGTACACATGTGTTTATTTATGTTTGTTAGTAGTAGTAGTAGTAGTAGCAGAGTCCGATCAAAATTAAAACTTTTCTCTCAAAAGATAAAGGGGATTACTTTTAATTTATATATATTTTAATCATTCATAATAATCACCATAATAATAATAATAATAATAACATTTTTTGTTGGTTCCTTCCTTTTTTACCCTTTCATCACAAAATTTTATAAAATTGTTTTTCATCTTTGTTTTTCAAATTAAAATTTTATAGATAAAAAAGGTAAAAATCATGCAAAAAGTTTCGAGTTTTTTTTATATTTTATTATCTTAATCTTTTTTTTTTTTCATCTGATCGAATAATTTATTATTTCCTTATGTTTTAACACACACTTACTCACTCACCACTAGTTGTTGTTGTGTCACACGATGTGCGAATACGAGTCGTAACTCTCCTCCTCCACCACTTGGTCCTCTCTTTCATCATCTAAACTTCCAAAATCAAAATTTCTTTATTTGTAAAAAGAGTTAAAAAAAAAGTTTTAATTAATTAAAATGAAAAGTTGTGTCTGTCTGTGGTCAGTGTGGGTAAAAGAAGAAAGAGTAACAGGAGAGGGAGGGACCGACAGAGAGTAGGTAGGGGTACTTGCATATTAGATGACCATTCAATCTGAATCTACAGAGTCTGTACGGCACGGCACCTCTTTCATGTAATACTCTGATGATGATGACGATTATCATTATTATTATTATTAATATTATTATTAACTATTTACACGCGCGCGCACACTTCTCTGAATGTTGGCGCCTTGCCACTTGAACTGCTAATGATGATCTTGTTTAATCTTTCATTTCCTTTCCTTTCCTTTCATTTCTTTCATTCATTCATTCTTTCTTTCTTTCATTTATTGTTTCATTCAATCATTCATTCATTCATTCACACATTCGTTCATTCAATCTTAACCTATTTTGTTATACTTAGTTAGTGTACAGTGATTATTTTTTTATTTATTTCTTTATTTGTTTGTTGTTTGTTTTCATCTAAATTTGATATTCTTTTAATCTAAATATTATATTATAATATTTCCATTTTTAAAATAGAGGATTTATAATAGTTTTTAAATATAACCATAACTTAAACTATTTATTATCCAACTCTAATTTTTAAACCAAACAAATAATATACATAATAGAAAGAAAATATCATCCATACTTACAAAGATACATACATACATACATACGCTACACACATTCGAAAAAAAAAAAAGTAAGAAAATATCTATTAGTTTTGTTCCAACTTGTTGAACATAAACAATATAAATATATATACATAATCTTTATCCATCCATTAATTCATCCATCCATCCATCCATCCATCTATTTTTTTTGTTATTCCATTCCATTCCAAAGATATTTTTAGTTTTTTTTTTTATTTATTTGTTGTTGTAATAGATATCTTTTTGATTTCATTTTAAAAGATATTAATTGGGAATTCTTTCAATTCATCCCCTCCTCTTCCCACTCTTATTAATATTTTAAATAATATTTGTTTTTTTTTTTAAAAATACATCATCACAAAACAACAATATTTTTTAATTAATAAATGTTATAAAGATAAAATACTAAAATACTAATTCCAATCTATCTTTTCTTGCATGTTCCATACAGACATTCTGCCAATCGTCATTGACCAGTTTGTGTTTTCGGATTTTTTTAGAGATAATATATATTCAACAAAACAAAACAAACAAACAACAATTTAAATTGCCTCTATTCTATTTTATCCATCTATTACTATCTTACACAATTTTTTTTTATTATATCAATTACTCACCAACAACAACAACAACAACAACTTCGACAACACCAATAATAATAATAATATTTTAGAATCATTGAATCATCTTCTTTGTTCTTTTTTTCCTACTTCTTATTCTTGAACGCATAATAATTTTTTTAATTGTCGTTTCTTTTCCAAACTCCTCCTTTCTTTCTCTGGACCTTTTCACCAATAATATTATTTATAATCATTATATATTATATTATATTATTTATGTCCATTTCCACTTGACTTTTGGTTCACCTTTAATACAACAATAATCTTTTGGAAAAAAAAAACATGTTGATCGAACAAAACCCCATTTATAGATCATCTGCATCATCTTTGTCTTCAAACAAGCAAGTCTATAGTCGACACCATCACCATCATCATGAAGAAGAAATCGAAGAGATAGAAGAAGATGAAGATCACTCGATCAGCAAGCACGATGACCCAGACTCTTTGGGTGATGAATTCAACAATAGCCAAATCGTCTACAACAATGATGAAGACGACCAAGACGAAGAAGAAGAAGAGGTTGGTATTCACCACATGTTATCAATGCTTTCAAGTACTGCAACCAAACAATTACAAAGAAATCAACAACCCCAACAACAACCATTAAATAATAATAGTAAAATTGTTTCTCCAAATCAACCATCACAAAATCGTAATACATTATCATGGTTAATGAATCCTCAACAACAACAACAACAACCAAAGAATCATAATAATAATAATAATTCAACCTCATCATCACTTCATGATATTTCAAGTTTGATTTCATCTCATCCAGATGATGCTGCAGAAGCTCCATCCATATCATCACCAATCTCTGATGAAGAAAATGATGATGAAGTCGATGTTATTGATCATCATCATCATCATCATCATAATCATCAACATACTATTAATCATCAACAATTACTTCAACAACAACAACACCAACATCACATTCGTCACCAAGATGACCAAGATGAAGATGACGATGAAGAAGAAGACGATGAGGATGAAGATGACGATGACGACGATGATGATGCTAGTCCGCATCAACGTTCAATGTTTTCATCTCTTTCCATCTCACCCAGAAGTAAATATTCATCGTCTGGTTCAAATCGTTCATCCAATGTAGTTCCCAAACAATGCAGTTATGCCAAATGTTGTATCTGTGCTTACGGTCCTCCACCATCCTTCTTCACGTCTGCTCCAACTTGGTAAGAAGAAGAGAAACAAAAGAAAAAGAATATTTATTAACTTTACTTGTTTACCTTTTTTTAGGGCTGATATATGTTATATTGCATTATATTGTTTAACATTATCAAAACCAGAGATTAAATACTTTCACATTAAAAAGGATATTTGTACATACATTGATGCTCACTATGAAGTGTTGTGTATGAGAAAGAGAACGAGTATCTGGAGACAGACGGTCAACATGACGCTGTCACACCCACAATACTTTGAGATGTTCCAACAAGAGAGTGCATTGGAGAATGGACGCAAGGGATACTATGGCCTCAAGCAGATCCACGACCCCTACGAACACACCGCTCTCAACAAGCGTAGCAGGAGAAAAAGAAGACATGAACAAAAGATGATCCAAGAGGAAATGAAAAAGACCCCTCTCAACAGTCCACCTTCTATTGTTGGTCGTGGTGATAGAGATAGAGATAGAGATAGAGGGGATAGATCAACTGTTGGAAATGGAAATAGTGAGACTACATCTACTACATCCACTCCTCTTATCCCTTCAAATAATATGAACAGTATGTCAATGTCAATATCTCAACTCCAGCCACCCACAAAGAGCGCAAGAACTGGAGGATTGACTGGATCGTCTCCCAACCAACAACCATTCTCTAATCATCACCATAGCCAGCACAACAACCACGGTTACGACAGTGACAATGATGCCATCATCCCATCTTACGAACTCATTGCACTCTCTCAGTCGTCGTCATCGTCGTCGGGTGTAGTCAAGAAACCTCAACTTAAACACAGTGCCAGTACATCTTGTATCGTCTCTCCCACCATGAACCATCATCTCTACCAACAACACCAACAACATCAACAACATTTACACCATTTACAACAATTACAACATCATCAACAACAAATGCATCCTCAACAACAACCAATTCCAATTCCACATCCATCTCCTATTGCTCATCATCATCTTCATATTCATAGTCATCAACAACAACAACAACAGCAACCTATTTCACATAGTGGCCCTTTACCATTAATTAAATCGGCATCAACAAACTCGGTATCAACATGTAAATTTGATAACATTTTAAATCATCAACCCTCTTCCAACTCTATTCATACTCCACAGCAACAACAGACTCCACAACAACACCCATCGTCTGCATCGTCGTTATTGTATGGTCATAATCATCACGAGTTGATTGACGACTCGCCTGCGTTGATTAGCGGACAACATAATCATTCGCATCATGCATCGATCAACTCGGCCAACAATACACCCAGTCCCAAACGTATTAGTAAGCCGACGTCGACATTACCCAAGCTCGACGACGAGGACGAGTTTATCGATGGGGAACGTGAGGTGCCCAACCGCAGCTACCCCCACAAGTCGCCCATGACCAAGTTGGTGTTGGAAAAGTCGTTGCCCCCCTTTTCGATTGTGCAGCGTTCCAACAGTCCGTCACCACACAACAGTCGTTGCAACAGTCCTAGTCAGATCCCACAGCAGTTGCAGTTGCAGTCGCCATCGACCCCATCGCTCCGAGAGAGTGGCGGCTCATTCCCAACGACCGGCGCTGGCAGTCTGCCACAAGGGCTGGCCAACCCTCTGTCGATCATGGACGACGACGACGACGATGACGACGACGATGACGAGGATTCACCCAAGAAGCGTATGCGCAAGACTACCCGACCAGACGAAAAGAGTCTCTTGGAAAAGTACTATGTGCTGCACTATGGCTCGAACGCCAAACACTGCAAAGAGGAGCTGATGATCCTGTCCAGCACCATCACCTGGAAAACCAACCGTATTCAACGATGGTTAGATAACCGTCGCACCAAAGACAAGCTTCGATCGCTCCGAGCATCACAAGAACGAAACTTTATCTTTGCCGGCCAACAACTCAACTTTCAAAATCATTTGATCAACAGTGCAAATCAACATCTTATCAACCAACATGTAGTTGGAAGTCATCAATCTAGTACCAATACCACTACTACTTCTACTTCTACCGCTTCTGCAAATGGTTCAACTACTCCAGTTCAACAATTGTCACCTCCAACTCTTGTTCAACCATCCTCTTCTCAATCTCAACCAACACAACAACAATCATCACCAACTCAAAATCACTTTGCAACTGTTCCAACTAGTATAAATAGTTTATTAAATTAAATCCAAAAGTATAAAACTATAACAATTGTCGCCTCACAACTCAAGCTTTAGAGTACAAAAAAGAAACCAAATTAGACCCCAAACCAATAATATTATCTTTTCCCAAAACCCCCAAATTCAATTACAACAAATCAATTAATAAATAAATAATTAAATATATTGATAAAAGTATTACAAATCAAAAAAACAATATTAATATTATATATTTATATTGTATTTTATTTAATATATTATTCTTTAATTTATTTAATATTTACCTTGATCACTAAGTTTCCATGAATGTGAATAAAGAAAGACGGACGGGATCACCTATAAATCTATCTTATCATTTGCACTATTGATTCAATCACAATTATATAGGGAATTCTATTTATATCTAAAATTTATTAATATTAGTAAGTCTCAGAGATTTGAATCCACCACCCAACCAACCCTAACAAATAATTAAATACTTCACGAAGAAGAAGAAGAAAAAGTGAAGTACCCCTTTATTGTGTTAATTTCATATTCATTCGAGGTGTGGTGGTCAAGGAAGAGGAATTGTTGACAAAAAAAATCTCTCAAGAAACATGTTTTTTGAAAAGATCACACACAGATACGTCATCTCATTAAACATTCATTGCAACCTTGTTGTTGTTGTTTATTTAATAAGAGAGAATAGAGAAGAGAGATAGAGAGAAGAGAGAGAGAAGAGAGAGAAGATATTGTTGTTGTAGATTGATGATACATAATTGTAGATCAACAAAAACAAAGAGACACACAGAATATATTATTAATATACAACAGATAGATAGATAGATAGAGATAGATTGATACATATAATATATATTATATATCTTTAATCATCATTCAACAAGGAGTGTATAGACCCTTTAAACAACCAAGCAAACAAACAAACAAACAAACAACCCATTATAATAATATATTCTTATTATTTATTACAATAATAATTATTTAGACCAATCACCTTAAAGAGGAGCAGGAGAAAGAAGAAAGAAGGGTGTCAAAAAGTAATAATAATAATAATCATGATTATGGATGATACAATTCAATTTCATAATTCAACAACCATTACAGAGGTGGCATCAAATGTAAAGGAATTACTCACAACAAAGACTGGTGAATACAGTTATGAAGAATGGAATCAATCAAAGACAATGATTAAAAAGTTATGTGATGAAGGTATTCCTTCAAACCTTAGATTCTTAATTTGGAAGGTGAGTAGAAGTAGCATAGATAGATAGACAAACAATACTTTACATTCTAATATTTATTCTAAATTTCTTTTTTGGATTTAGCATTTAGTACATAATAGTTTAAATGTTGATGAATTAGTAGTACCTGCATTATCACCAACCAATCCAAACTCACTTGGTAATAGTATGGGTTCAATTCAATTAAATGATAGTGTAAACATTGATTTGAATCGATCAGGTGCTTTCAACACCTCTAGTAAGGGTGGATTAAATGGTAGTTTTCCAAGTGTACCAATATTTCATAATGATATGGTGACAAGAGATTGTCAGCAATTGGTTGAAGAGTATCATTTATTGAATCAAATCAATACATTCAATTCAAAGGGAGGACTGAACGAGCACTCTCCATCACGTCAATATATTCCAAGAGAACCACTTCTCTCACCACCACTTGCATCAGATAAATTGGACTCAGATCTTATTGCCAATCGTTTGGAACGATTCGTTCGTCATTTTTGTATGCAAACCAATCGTGACTATAGCATAGATGTCACAAAAATCATCATTCTATTTGTCGTATTATCATACGTCGACGAAATAGATCATGAACGTTTCCAATCAGATCTTTCCATCCCAAAAACATCTGAACAAGATTGGATGAACCTATCTATCAAAATCATTGAAAATTTATCAAATAGTGCAATCTTACCTTTTAATTCTTCTCATCCAATTTTATTGTAAGAAACAAAAAAAAAAGAAACAAAAAGAAGAGAAAAAGAATAGTAATATTTATATTAATATATTTATTTCTTTTTGTTTGGTTAATTTTAGATGTGAAAGTGAAATGTTTAGAATATTATTATTATATCATGATCCTGTATTGGGTTACTTTTTAGATCAACGTTGTGTTTATTCAACTTCTTATTTTTATCAATGGGTAAACTATAGTTTGGTTTAATTTTAAAAAATTATTTAATATTAATGTTTTCTTTCTATTTTTATTTCTAGATTAATCATATGTTTTCAGGATGTATAGATATATCATTTTTAGTACAACTTTGGGATATATTACTTTTCCATGAAAATCAAGATTTTTATTTATATTTTGCTTTGGCTTTATTAATTTCAAAAAGAGAACAAATATTATCGATAAAGGGAGTGGCAAAAGATATATCGTTAGTGTTGGAGGAAAAATCAATTGTAAATAGTAGTGTATTATCAAATCGATCAAAATTACCAGGACTAGTCAAAAATGCACAATCCTATAGAGCTTCGACACCAATCACATTTATTAGAAGTTGGAACAAATTCTATACCAATTGTAAACATCCAAATGGTCCAAGAATCGATACAATCAATAACATTTACAAGGAATTTAAATATTCTATTTGTATGGGTATTGATGTTGAAGAATTAATTTTAAAATCAAATTATGGAAAAGATCCTGTATGTAAAAATAAGAAATATTCTTATTTTGTTCATCAAATAATTAATAATCTTTATCTTTTTGATAGAAAATAAGAGAAAAATTTCAATATTATATTGAAGATGGATTAAATCTTGATATCAATTTATTGGTTTTTGATTGTAGACCTTATAGATATTTTAAAAGTGGTAGATTCCCTGGTTCTTGTCATTTACCACCTGGTTTACTTATCAGTCAACCAGAGGATTTTGAAAAAGTATCCAATTCATTTGTCACTGAAAAAGGTGTAACTCATTTTGCATTCTATGATAATTGGTTTCAATTTAATCCTCTTACTGAAAAGAATGATGCAGATACAAATGACAATGGTGATATGAATATGAATATTTTAAAATATTTAAAAGAAGGTTTTCCTTTTGTTTCAAGAATTCCATCTGGCTATAAAAGTAAAAATATATATATATATATAAGCATACATATGTATATTTAGGATTCTTTTATTAATTTAATTTTATTTATTTTTTAGAAATTCATGATATATTTTCATCAAAAGATTTAGAATTGGCAGTTCATGATGATCAAAGATGTCCAGTTTGTAATCCAGATATAAACAATATGCCACCTCAATCGCCGTTGTCATCGTCACCAGTCATTGCTCCAAAAAAAGAACCATGGTTTAATAAATTCAAGTAAGTACAAAAAAAAAAAATCAAAAATGAAAATTATTAATTAAATTTCTTTTTTTTTCTTATTTTTAGGATTGGATCAAAAAGAGGGGAATCACCATTATCACCATCATCATCATCTACATCAACGAATTCTTTAGACAATACTACACCACAAAAAAGAGTAGGATTAATGGGAAATTTAAGAAGTTCACAAACATCATATACACCAAACAGGGAAAAGATACCTTTAAATGTATCTGCAGAGAATGTATTGGGATTACCAGCCAATTCAATGTCTCCATTTGTCATTGACGACGAAGACGATGAAAATGAAGACGATTTCAGAGGAAATCCCTATTGTTATGGAGAAAACGATGATGGTAGTTACTACTATATCGACTATACCATCTCACCCATTGCCACACCAGTCTATGATCCAAATCGTGTCAAAATAGCCTCAGAGCTAATGGAAAAGGCATTAAAGTCTTATCAAGGACTTGAAGATCTATTGGATGGCGACAACTTTGTTTTTGAATGTGAAGAGATTTTGGCACAGGGAGAAGGTGCTCGCGAACGCAGATACATCATTCTCACACCCGACAATCACTTTAGAGTATTGGAAGAACATCCCAAATGCATTGGCTATGTCAAACTCGACTATCAATATTCACTCGATTGCATCCGTAAAATTGTATACAAAAAGAGTAATCCCTATCTCTTGGAATTTAGAATATTGGACGAACCAACTGAAACCAATGCCAACGAGGTACCAGTCATCCTCACACTTCCAAACGCTCAATCTCCTACCACTACCACCACCACTGGAACTGAAATCATCACAAGAAAGCTATACACCTTTAGTGAAGTGGATCCTATTCTAAAGGCAATCAAAGATAAAACAAATGCTATTCAAACTTCTCATTAAAAAAAACAATAAACTAAAACTTGGTTTTGTTTTAATTATTTATTAAATATTATTGGTTTGAAGTAAAATTGATAATGTTGGAGGTGCCTCTGTTGTTACTACTGGAACAATTGTATAAATTGGATCAACAAATTCAATTCTTGGTGAAGACGAGGATGATGAAGGCGAAGGAGATGAAGAAGAGGATGAATCTTGTTTTTTAATTAAAATTACAACACTATGATCTTGATCATACTCTACCAAATGATTTAAAATATTCTCTTCATCTACAACATCATTTGCCAAATGATTTATAATTGATAATTTTATAGTATTATCATTATAAATTCTATCCTTTTTTGTAAAATTTAATTTAATTTCAAAACCTGATTGAATTTCTAAAAGAGAAAAGAGGTAAATAAATAGATTTAAATAGGTTTAATTTTTTTGTTTCATACTTGGAATATTTTGATCTCTATTAAATAAAATACAAGGTACAATGGAAGAATGATTTGAATAATGAATGGGAAATGTATGGCAATTGATTGGTTTTTCATTCTCTGATATAAAACTACATAAAAATATATTTGAATCCTTGTAATCTAGATTACAAACACTTGTAACTGGTCCATCTCCAATGAGAATATGTTCTTTTGTTGGATTATCTCTACCCAATATAGGAAATGGTAATTCTATATTTAATTGTCCTTTAAATACTTGTTCCAATATCATTGATGCAAAGAAAAATAAATAAAATGATAATACTAGAAAAGAAAGAAAGAAAGAATTAAATTATAATGGGATGGTTAAATAAAAAGAAAAGGTAATATGGAATGTTATAAAAGTTCATACTTAGGAGAAAGAAAAGAGTTAAAAAGTAATATGCCAAATCTTCTATTGAAAAGAAAAAGAATCTATTATTATTCTGTTCTTCTTCATCCTCTTCTAATAATCTTCTTCCAGATTCTTCATCTATAATATTAATAGGGTATTGTAAAAATGATAAAGGAAATACATCATGATGTTGATGATGATGTGAATTATTTAAATATCCTAATCTTTGTTCTTCATCCATGATAAATATATAATTATATAAATATAAATATTAAAATTTACTATTATGATTCTATCTATTTATCTTTTGGGAAACATGATAATTAAATTAATATTGGGGATGTGAATTTGATAGATAGTATACTACTAGAGTAAGAATCATATGAACTAGTTTAGTGATAGAGATTGATGTTTATTATTATTTTTTTTTTATTTTCAATCGTGGGTGGGAGTAGTCCACACAAAAAAACATGAACATCCAACCATTTTTGGAAAGATTAAAGTGTAGTCAATCAATTATTAATATTAAAACTAAACCATTTGTTTTTTTGTTGAATTTTAAAATGTTTTTTTTATTTAAATAAATATATCTATAGTTTTGTAGTTTTGTTTTGTTGTTTTGTTATGTAGTATAGTGATAAAAAAAAATTAATTGAAATCTAATAGATTTGGAATATTAATTTTTTTTTTTTGTTTGTGTTTTTTTTTTTTTTGGGTATCCATTGAGAAACACAAAGGGTCAAATTTGGTTAAAGAGTTTTGTTGTTTAGAGGAACTTTAATTTGCTCTTGGTCTCTAATGGTTTAACTTTCCAAATAACAATATTTCCGTCCAAACCAGAGGTTGAGAAATCAGAGACAGCACCACCAGTTTGCTTGTATGAAACAATGTTACTAAAAAATAAAATAGAAATTAAATTAATAAATGGTAAAATATATAATATTTCTTTTTTTTCTTTTTTTTCTTTTTTCTTACGTAATGCAATTTTGATGAACAGTTGGTAATTTAACATCAACCTTTGACTCACCGAGATCTACCTTGTTTTGGAAAAGGTTACGAGCAGAGGTATTGTCAGATGCGGCGGATCCAGAGCCAGTGTCGAGGTCTCCTTGGAGAGTCCAGCCAGAACCTTGCTTGGTGACGAGGATTGGTGAGGTGTTGTGACCGACACCGACGATAGAGTTTTCAGTGGCAAACAAGAGATCGGTGAGTGGGAGGGTACGCAACTTGATCTTGTCGACGGTTGGTGGGTTGGTGGCAAAGTCAGCAACAGCCAATTGAGAGTCGTGTGAAGAGAAACCGAGTTGGTTTCCGGTTGGTGACCACTTGAGAGCGTGGACCCATGAAGCGCATTGATCAAACTCAAAGATGGGTGTACCAAAGGCAACTTCTCCGTATGGACGTTGGACACGACCATCAGCCTTCTTGACATAGGCATCAAACACACGAACCTTGTAGTCAGAGCTAGCAGTGGCCAACAACAAGTTGTTTGGGTGCCAGTCAACCTTTAATACAGTGGACTTGTGCTTCTTGATGTGGTTAGATGCCCACCAGTCATGTTCTTCTTCAAAGAAGCAAATACATACCAACTTGGCACCAGATGCAACTGCAAACTTGTTTTCTAAAAATTAAAAAAAAAGGTAAATATAAATATTGTATATTTGTATATATTTCTTCCTTACCTTGTGGAGACCACTTGACATGAGTAGCAGCTCTGTTAATTCTCAATAATACCAAAACTGGCTTCCATTGACCATCCTTGAAGGTCCAGACGTAGGCATTACGATCTTGCGAGGAAGAAAGAATACGGTTGGTCTTTGGAGCCCAATCGATTGAAGTGACAACTTGGTCGTGTTCAGCTAAAACGTGCTCACAAACCCATGATGTGCCTTGCTTGGCATAAATATGAATTTCATTATTGTTTGGGCATAATGCAACTCCTAAGAAAATATAATAAAGGGAGGAGGGGGTATGTTGATTAATCAAAAACTATTCACAAAATATAATTATCTGTTGTATGAATAATCTGTCTTCTTACTTGATCTATCAGCATTCCAAGCATGTGCAGTAATGCAAGCTGCAAGATGTTCAACTTCAAAAGCAGACATTTAGATAATTGTTGGATATTTGTGTTGTTGGATAATGTACAATGAAAAAGAAGATATATATATTTATACAAAGAGGTTAATGAATTACCCTAAAAATGATATAATATAATATGTATGTATAGTAGATATATAAAGTAAAAAAAGAATATTAATAATCTAATCTTTTATACATGTTTGCATCATGATGAACATCATCTAGAGTCGTCTGATATTATATTATTGTCTCTCCCCTCTTTTCCCTCTTTCTCTATCTCTTTGTCTTCTATCTGTCCTACCTTTTTTTTTTTTATTGGATTACACAAACAACCTTTAAAAATAAATTACAAATAAATAATAATGGTTGTGAATGATGAGATAGATTGATAGCAATACACAGAGTAGAGCGTGATGAGAGAGTTCACTGAAGATTTTTGTTATGCCACAAAAAAAAAATGAAAAAAATCATTGTGGCTTGAAACCAATTTTTGCTTTTAGTTGAAAGAATTTTTTTTTTTAAAGCTATTCAAAAGATCCACAAACCCTTTTGCACAAAGTAGTCAAGAAATACTCAAAGAAAGAAAGAAAGAAAGAATTAACCTTTGTCCATTGAATATGATATACCATGTTGAATGATATGATTATTTTTCTTTTCTATCTCTATCTTATCAAATAATGACAAAAAGAGTATCATCCATCCAGATATATATATATATAAATATATAAATATATAAATATATCCATCGTTAGTCGACTAACGATTGAATGTTGAGTGTATTGATATCAAGGAAACAAATACAATAAAATGTTTCGAAAGTAAACGATCTTGATGGTGGTTTATGAACCATCACACAAGTCAGACGAGTTGACTCAAGTCAAAATGAAGTTCCAAAGTTTTTGAGTTTTTTTGATGACGGAGAAGCCCAACTTCAGATTGAAGGTGTGTCTTTGAGTGAGAGTGCATGTACATAATTATTTTTAAATAATATATATAACTATAAACAAATAATAAAATGAAGTAAGTTTATATAAAGAGCGATCATCATCAATCACCATCGTAATCATCATACGATAACTGTCGTTATATCATGGTGGAGGTCGATAATGATGACCTGTATACAGGCGATGATATAAAGTAAAGTAGAGAATGAAATGCTAACAAGAATCTATCTATCTATCAATCTATCTATTTATTATAGGAGAACAACCAGAGCTCCAGCTTCAGTAAACAAGGGTGGTATGGGATCAATGGTCCGTCACTATTCAGAAGAATCAATTGGTTTGAAGGTGTATGTAGAGAGATATAGAATCGAAAGAATGAGAATTATAGAAGAGAAGAGAGATCATTATCATCGAAAGATCATATGACACACGATACAAAGATAACAATACTAATCACATTCATTATTACATCAACTTCATATCATATCATATCATAATCATAGTGGTCCACAAGCCGTTCTTATTATGAGTTTAGTTTTCATTGGTTTTGTCATTCTCTTACATATTTGGGGCAAATACACTAGATAAATAAACAACATTCTAAATATATATAAATACTATAGTAAACAAACATAACACAAACTTTCAGCACAGCAGAACAGGTTCATTCATGCACATGTATCATTCTCAAAATATCAAAAAGTCAAAGTCTACTATACTCTACTCTACTCTTATACTATCATAGTGATCATCATCTGCATCTACATATAGAGTCGTCAATCAATATCTAGTCTAGTCTACAAGATTCATAGTATTCTTTTTTTTTTTTTGGATCACCATTCTTGAGAATTTACCTAAAAAAGAGAAAGTTGCTAGAGTCTTTGACTCGGTTTAATATTACTTTTTATTTTAGGTTATCTATCTCTACGTACATATACATACAAATACAAATACATAACAGTAACTGTTTCTTGTTTTGTCACTATTTAATCTTATGACAAACCAAATGAGGGATAAACATTAGTCTTTAAAGAAGCAGCAAGAAGAAGTAGTAACAAAGTAATAACAAATAGATAGATAGAACATACAGACAGACAGAACAACACAGTAGACACAATACCATTATAATGAGCATTCACACTTCATTTGATCCATCTCTAGTCGATGACAATGACATCAAGATACAAGAAGTAGAAGTATTAAAGTCAATCTACTATGAAGATTTCATTAAAGAGGATGATGACCTTTACAGAGTATGTAAACAATTTATAAATTGTTAATAAACTTATGTGATTTATTATTAATAATACTATTTATGGTATTTACAGATTAGAATAAAGGTTGAAGTACCTGATCATTTTGAAATTCGAATTAAACGTCAACAACATCAAGAAGAGGAAGTGGCGGAACAATCAACTAGTACCACTACTACTTTAACAACTGACCCAATTAATTCTTCCTCCTCTTCTTCTTCTTCTTCCTCTTGTCAAGATGAATGTTATCCAATTATTTGTTTACCAAATGTTACACTTGGATTCGAGTATCCAAAAGACTATCCATCATCTCCTCCCACTTTGATGATATCTTGTTGTTGTAAGACAATTAATATATATCTATATATATATTCTAGAAGTATTTGATTGATTTATTAATTATTTATTTCTTTAGGGTTATCATTAGAAGAAATGAATCAAGTATTGGAATATTTAAATACTTCTCTATGGGAAGAGGGAGAATCAGTTATATTTAGATACATTGAATGGATAAAGAGTAGCATGGTATCATTTATAGCAAAAGAGAGACAACAAAATGTTGATTGTTGTATTTATTTATCCAATGTACCAATCGATTTTGGTTCACCTCTTAACGAGTTTGTATCGTGGGATCATCAAGAAGGTTGGACATCACCTACCTCTTCGCTTCCTCTATTGTTGGCTCACAATACACACGAGTCAAAGAGGGTATTTGCACAAGAACCTCATTGTTGTCCTATTTGCTACATTGATGATGATGGTACAAAGTTCGAACTCTTTAAATGTGGACATTTTATTTGCAAGGCGTGTCTTTGTCACATGCTAACTGTCAACATTGACTCTGGATCAATCAATTCTATCAAATGTACTGAACCTTGTTGTGGAGCAGCTATTGAACAACATTTAGTCTCAAAATACGTATCCCAAGAACACATGGAACGTTACAATGGTCAAATGAAAAAGACTCAAGGTTTTGTCGCATGTACAAGATGTAAAGGTTGGGCTAAAGTTGATCCAAATACAAGATCTAGTAAGTCGACTTAGAATAATAATAATAATAATAACAAAGTATTAATTAATTTGTTTGTTTGTTTTTTTATTTAGCATTTTGTGGTACATGTTATTATTCAATGTGTATGTTGTGTACAAAAACATGGCATCCCGGAGTAACATGTAATTATGAAGCAATTCAAAGTGATAGATCAACCGATGTGGCACAGCGACCAAGACCATGTCCAGGATGCTCAGTTTTGATTTGGAAGTTTGATGGTTGCAACAAAGTTCATTGTGTCATGTGTGACAAGTTGTTTTGTTGGTTATGTCTCCAAGTGATTAGTGGTTACGAACATTTTGAAACCACTTGTATCTTGTTTGAAATTCCAGGTCAACGACCTAGGTTTGTTCAAACAAGACACGATGGAAATGTTACAGGCATTTGTCCTTGCTCCAGGTGCGGTGCCAAAGTCTATCAATACAGCCAAAACAATCATGTCCTTTGTTTCCAATGTAAAGGAGCAATGTGTTTTATCTGTAAAGAAATGATTCAAGGTACAAAGCATTTCCAAACAACTCCTTGTTCTCAACATGGTGGTACTCCTCTTCCTCCTAAAATTAAAAAATAACCAATAACCAAAACAAAGAAACATATAATTAATTAATAAAATATAATATAATTTATTTATTTATTTATTTATTTATTTGTAAAGTTTAGTTTCCTAGTTTAGTTTTTCTAACATATCTTTTGTGATTTGAAACATCATTTATTTATTTGTTTCAATAGATTGATAAGCAAAGATAAATAATAAATAAATGATGTTTCAAATCACTAGGATAAAGGCTTTTGGTTTTATATCCAGTGATTCTTGGTTAATTGTTGTACCTATATAAATAAAAGAAAGAGATATTCTAAAAAAATCTTCAAAGAAACCAAGAATAATATAAAGGGATAAAGAGAACACAAAAGTTCTTCACTAAAGAGAAATTTGATCAAAAAGAGTGGAATCGAATAAAAAATATCAAGATTTGCAGTAAAAGAATTGTTACCTTTTTCACAACAAGATAGTACCATAGGTTCTGTTCATGGTTTTATGGAAAGACCAACAATCTTGGGTAAGATTGAACTCTAGGCATACAATTCTTGTTCAATCTTTTTTGGATCCACTAAATGTCTATTGACTACTGTCTTGGCTGAATTATATAGATATTATTATGTTTACAAGTTTAAAAGAACAATTGAATTGTAAAGAGGAGGGAGAGGGATCATTTTTTTTTGCATCACAACAAAAAAGATTTTTTTTAATTTATTTTAATTTGATTTGGGCATTTATTTATTTAATTTTGATTGAATTTCAGTGATTCTTTTTTCGAGTAATTCAATATTTGATTGAATAGTGGTCATATTATTTTTAAATGAATCGTCCATTTTGTTCATTAAACTACTGTTGGTCTTGAGTAAAGAAGAGATGTTTGATTGTTCCTTTTCGAGATTGGATAAATGATTGGTAAAGGAAAGACCTTCTTCGTGCAACGATCTGAGTGTGTACAATCTATTAATGATCGATGGTAATTGTGAACTAATGTGATCCCAACGATTCATGGTATCAAACATTTCAGCAATCTTCTTTTCATTGGTTGTAAATGCCTTGGTGGTTGATTCATCTTGAGTCTTGAGTGTCTCCATTTGTTTCATTGTATTTTTCAACTTTACATTTAATACATCAATCTTTGTCGAATCCAATAAATTCAATTTATCTCTAATTTCTACCAATGATTGACAAAGTGGTATTGATAATTCCTAAAACAAAATAATTATTATTAATATCTAGTTTAGATAACTTATTCAATGTTGAGACATACAGATTTACTTCCAACCAAAGTTTCAATATTTGCTAATCTTTTATCCAAATCTACCATTCTTTGAAGTTTTTGGTATTTTGCTTGATCACCAGAATAGTATAATTCATATTTTACATGATTGTCTGCAGTTGATGATGATGATGATGATGGTACAGATGCAGATGACAATCCCTCTTGTTGTTGTTGTTGTTGATTAGATGATGTGAATGATTTAATATTTGATGCCAATAATTTAGATGATTCATTCTAAAAAAAGAAATAAATATATTAATATTTCATTTCCTTTTTCTACTACTACTACTACTATTATATTTAATCTTACTTGAAGTTGTTTATAATGTAATACTTGTCTATTTTCATCGAGGATTGGTAATAATTTTTCATTATCCAACAATAAAGATAATTGACTTTGGAGATCGGCAAGATGGTGAGTCAATTCAACTGCTTTGATACCAGTTTCAACCTCGCTGTCGGCAGAAGAGTCTACGACACTTTGCATCTCTTCTCTGAATGTTCTTACTTCATATTGCAATCTTTGGAACTTTTGCATGGCAGACTCTTCCTTTTCCTGACCATTGGGAAGCATATCAAACTCTGTTTGATTGGCCAAGAGTGGAGCGCCAACTTGAATTCTCTTGTTGCTGGCAACACGATTATTCTTCTTATAGATAGAATCAGAGAAATCCTCCCCATCATTATTAAACTTTCTATTTGCAAACTTTGAATGTGCCTTTGATGGTACCAATGATACTCTTTCAATATTTTCATTGACTAATTCTGGTTCTTGCTACATAATATATTAAATATCAAATAACAATTAATTAATTATACTAATACTATCACTATCATATCACATCATATCATGAGACTTACAATATTAACACTTGAAGTATCAGGTACATCTGGAGTTTCAAATGTATCTGGTTGAGAGGTATCCTAGAATCATACGAATTGAATTTAAATCAGTTAATTGATTGTTGTTGTTGTTGTCGCTATCACAAGCTTATGATGATGATCATCATCATCATCAAATACATACAATATCAGGCAAGTTTAATATTTTCTTTGAATCGCTCATTTTAGTCTAGTGCACTACTATCTACTTTTAGTATCTATGCTATTATATATATAAATCTTATCTCTGATGATGTCGGTATACGCACGTATGTATGTATGATATATATCAAGATTAAAACACACTACTACTTCTATTTCTGAACATCAGTGATTAATCTCTCATTGACTTCACCCACTCAAAGGTGTAAAGATTTTTTTAAATAATTTATATTCATTTTTTTGATTATCTTAATATGAAGAGCGAGATTATCTCTTTCCTTATAATCTTTCAACAAAGAAGTAGAAGTAGAAGTAGAAGATATATAAATTATAAATAGAGTTAGACATGATGATGATGATGATATAATATGACAAGTGGCATTCATATTTAGATAGTGGATCCATGATGGTTGATAGATAGCTCGCTCCTCGACCAATCATTCATCCCCATCTGTTTCTTTGTTGCTGGTCAATCACCAGACTTTTAAAAGTGAATAAAGGAAAGGAAGTATGGTACGCACTGTATAGATGGATAGATGGTGTCAAACCAACCGACTCGAGAGCGATAGAGATAGAGGGAGAGAGTTATAGAGAGTTATATAACCGAGCTCAGGATTGATTGGTTATATAAATGACTCTCTTAATTTGGTCACTCCCTATGTGCTACTATTTATAATAGAATAGCTAGCTAGCTAGCTAGCGGTTCAGTTAAATTAATTGAACGCATCAACACTTTATGTTTCCTTTTTAAAATCACTTTTAAACACCCACTTGCAAATTCAACCAACCACCAATCGTTTTGGATATTTAAAGAAATGAAACGGTGGTGTGTGGTTTGATCAATGCAGTATCTTTGCATTGGCACATCCATATCGATTACCCTTTCCAAGAGTCAACCAAATTTGTTGGTTGTTCTCGTTTTTACTCCTTTTGAACTACACAATGGTCGTCGATGGATGTGTATATCCAACTATCCAACAACTATCTTTTTACTCATTTCCCCCAATACCAATATCATCATCATCATCAATATCATTGATTGGTCTTGTCCTATGCTAGATATAGAGATACTCTTCAATCAATCACTATCATATGTTTAGTTGTTAAAAGTTGACAATCGTTGAATTGGTGTTTAGATTTTGGCTCTTTTTGGAATACCCGAGAGATGGACCATTAAACTTTAATGTCTTTTTTAATTTATAATGGAATAGGAAACCTATAAATACTCTACTTGTTTCAACTATTTAATTCATCAAATCAACTTTCAATACAAATATAAATCAACAAATATAAATTATCTTTTTAATTTAAATCCAATTTTCCCTTACTTAAATTTAACAATGACTCTCTTTGGTAAGTATTATTATTATTATTGGTTAGACAAATCATCAAAATATTAATCTTCATTCTTTCTTTTTCTTTTCTTTTTCTTTTTCTTTTTCTTTTATTCTTTAGCTGCCCTTTCTCAAATCAGTGGATCATCCTCATCAAAGTCCTTTTCCAATTCATCAATTGGTGGAATGGGTTCATCGGTTGGCCAAGGATCCAACTCTAGTGCTTGTTACAGACGTGGAGGTATCTTTGTAGACCTCGATCTCTCGATTGGCAGACCATGCAACCCACTCATCAATGTCGATCTCGATGTCAACATTAGACTTTAAACAAGAACTCAATCAATTATTGGAATGAATATCAAATCCAACCCACACAACATGCCGATTCTATTCAACAACCAACAACCAACAATAATTAAAACATATTTAAATATCTACATTTTAATAAAACAATAGTCCATCTTGTATAGTCTCAAATAACTTTTTCTTGATTATTTATTTATTTATTATTATTTTTTATTATTTATTATTTATATATTTTTCGAAAAAGTTGTTGTTGCAGACATGTCACATGATCAGCAGTTCTTTTCTCCATTGAATTTTTATAAAGTATTTCTTGTGAAGAAATATTTCTTGTGAAGAATGAATATAAATGAACAAATGTGATCATAAACAAGATATCAAGTTACAAATAAGAAAAGAATAAAGAAATAAAGAAAGATAATAATACAAACTACATGAACTACACCAAAAGAAAAGAAATAATCAAATCAAATCACATGAGAGAGAAAGACAAGATAGATAGAGAGAGAAGAGAGGAAGAAGGAATATAATATTGTCAAGTGCACAAACATATAAAAAGCGAGGGAAAAAGGAATGATGATGTTCAGATCAGATGTTAGAGACATGAATTGGCTGATATAGTTGAATCTCGGCAATGGTGCACTCTCTTTCCGAAAGGTAGAGTTTGCGTGTAAAATCATCGATTATGTTAAGCTAATCAATCGCTTTCATAGCCCAGGAGGTAGGTATAACCATGCAAAGCACACAAAAGAGAATAGAATAGAATTGAATAGATATTCTATATAACCACCTTATAAGGTGTACGCCCTTTCGGAAGATGAAGATGGGTTTGTTTTTTGAGCTATTGCAAAAGGATCAATCGATCATAATTTCCAAGAAATCAGTTCTTGGTACAGTCTAGAGAGACAAGACAATCGATAAGAATAAATAGCATACTTAAAGGGAAATTTAGAATAGCATCAATTTAGATAATCATCAACCATCTATACTATTCAATAAAGTAATAATCATACAATACAACCATGGAACCAGCACAAAAGCCAATTGCCAACAGTAAGCCAGAATTATTCCCAGACACTGTTACCACTTATCATGGAAGTTGTCATTGTAAGTTAACACTATCAATTTTAAAAGAGAGAATTTGAAAAGTATTCATATTTATTATTTATTCTTTTTTTAGGTGGAGCTGTAAAGTATGAAGTTGATTTGGATTTAAATCGTACTAAATTGGGTAAATGTAATTGTTCGATTTGTTCAAAGATTAGAATCCTTGGAACTATTGTCAAGCCAGATTGTTTTAGAATCATCCAAGGAAAGGATAATTTGACCGACTATCAATTTGGCACCAAGTCCAGCCACCATACTTTCTGTAAGACCTGTGGTGTACATCCATTTGGTGAAGGTTTTATCGAACAAATTGGTGGTGCCTATGTCGGTATTGCCATCAACTGTTTGGATGACGTCACCGAAGAACAAAAAGATTCAATGTTTGTCTCCTATTGCAACGGCAAATATGATCTGTGGCAGGAAGAACCAAAATTCAAAAATCACTTGTAATAATATATAAATAAATTAAATAGTTTATTGTTTATTGTTCATGTTTATCAGACTTTGATGAAACAATGACTAATGAATGTATAAATGCAATAAAAGATTCATAGTCATCTTTTATCAACCAAACAATTAAAGATATTTCAAAACCAAATTATTTAAATATAATTAATTAAGATTTAAAATCAAATAAATAAATAGAATATAATAATATATTATGATTATCTTTTGTCTATAATATTATATATATATATATACTTACAACTAATAGATCATCTAGAAACAAGTTATAGTCAAATGATTTCTTTTCCTTGTTTTCTTTTTCTTTTTCTTCCAAAGAACTTTTGCAAAAGCTATTTAACATTGAAGTTTTTGAGAGTCGACTAGACTGTTTGAATTGGTGGTGGGTGGCCATTTGAAACAGAGATTTTGATGATGGTGGTGGACTGACATAGCGATGGCTACTTGGGAGTTTTGTCAAGAGAGGCATCATCGGAGTAATAGACTTGGCAGAGACGCATGGGATTCGAGTACTCGAATAGGAAGTGTCGTTTAATATGGGGGACGACAGGAGCAAGGGTCTAACTAGCTTGGTTGAGAATTGAATAGCAGTGGATGACATTTGGACTAGGCAGAGGACCAGAGGAGAGGAGTATTAAATATTAGTTGAAGAGAGTTGAAGGAATGAATGAAATGGTGTATCATCGTTCTCTTTTATAGATGTGCTTTCCCTCAGTCTCTTTCATAGCTTCGGTAATAGAATCGGTCAGTCGGTCTGAGATACTTTCAAGTTGAACTTCAAGCTCAGCTGATTTTTTTTTTTTTTTTATCTTCATTGTGTGGTGCAGCTGGGTCGTCTTGTTCATTTTGAAGGATAAAAATGAATAATAGTAATAATAATAGTAATAACAATGATGGTAATAGTAATAATAATCAAATCAACTATGTTTCAGATAGATTATCTAATCTAATACTTTTAGATATCATATCAAAGATCGACAACAATGCAGATATGATATGCTTTTTCATGACTTGTAAAAGGTTGTATCATTCTATTAGACTACAATCATACAAGAATATAAAGTTTAAAGGATTGACGTACTTTGATGAATGGACAGATACTGGTTTAAACGAATTACTAGTTCAAAGATTACCAAAATGTCTACCATCATTTAAAGAGATTGTTCATAATACACTATCACATCAACTTGTTCTAGTCAACAGAGGCAACACCTTTTCAAAATATAAAGGTATACCAAACTTTTATAAAATGAAATACAATAGTGATAATGATAATAATGATAGTAGTAATAATAATGATAATGATCAATATGATGGTCAAGAAGAAATGAAACAAGTTGAAAGAGTTTTAATATCAATTGAACAAAAATGGGAGGTATATAAATTAGACCCATGTCTAAAGTTACCTCCATCAACTCGATCATTGGCCATACACAATCACGATGAAACACTTGACCAGCCACTCACCTTTGTACCGTCGTCGGTCAAAGATCTCTCTGTCAACTATCAAAATTTCGAATGTGATGAACAAGTCTTTATTCCAGATACTGTCGAGTCGCTGTCGGTGAATACAACCTTTGTACATTGTAATGTCAAACTACCAACCAGTCTAAAGTCACTTGTCTGGGAGCACTACTCACAAGGCTTTTTCTTTAGATTGGATCAATTCCAATTCCAGACGCTCACATCTCTTACCCACTTGTCAATACGTATCCAAGAGTTTAGGAATGGAGTATTACCACCCAACCTAACATCACTTGACCTTTCGTTTGACGATAATGTCCCACTTGACCTATTCCAACCATCATTGGCATCATCGTTGACCAGTCTCAAACTCTCTGCACGACATACAGATATGCCCTATTTCATCGATCTCAGATCATTCACTGGTCTGACAAGTCTACATCTCCTTTGTCGTGCTTCAGTCAAGCTACCACCACATCATCATCAGTCAGCCCTCAAATATTTAAATATCGATATGAGTTGTTCAGTTGATTTCATCCCTCAATCACTCGAAACCCTTTTAATCGAATCGTATTTATTGTCGGAACTGTACGACAATGCAAACAAAAAGCCAGGAGGGGTGCCCCTCCTTCCATCGACACTCAAAGATTTTTGCGTCAAGGATTGCAGGTCTCTTTTACCTCTGGCTGCTATCCTACCACATGGAGTAACTAGTCTTGATCTAACGATCAATCAGACAAAACAGACCGATCCGGGTTTAAAGGGATTGATACCAACATCAGTGGAGAAACTACAACTATCTGGCCCATTTGGCAATTCAACACTCAACTTTCTTCCCAATTCCATCAAATCTTTGACTTGGAGAGGAGATACTAATAATACTAATAATAATAATAATAATAATAATAATAATAATAATAATGATAATAATACTTTACTTCCATTCACATTACCAGAACAATTAGAGACATTAGAATGGTTGGCAAAACCAATTAAAAATATCCCTTTTCCATCTTCACTCACATCTCTATCGCTTATAACACCATACTTTGAACTAAAAAATGGTAAACATATTTATTCTGTATCAAAAAATTATTTTAATAATCAAAATAATAATAATAATAATCAAAATAATAATAGAATATTATTTCCAACAAATATTATCAACTTGACTTGGATAATTAGTCCAGATATAACAGATAATATTTGTTTTAAATTGGACGATATCATCAATCAAAGTAATGTTCAAGAGTTGACAATTCGAGTTTATGAATCTAAATGGGCAACATTTAGTATTCGTAGATTCGACAAGAATACAGTATTGTTGGTTGACAATCAATCAATGTTTGGAGGTTTCATTACACTACCATCTCCATCACCATTATATATTCACCATCTAAAATTTGAAGCGTGTCCATTTTGGACCCAATCCATCACCACCAAACCAAGAAAATAATAATATACTTTTTCAGCTTTTGCAAAAGAGTAACCAACTGTACTTTATAATCGATCGTTCAAAATGAATAAAAATATATATTTATTAATATTATTATTATTTTATATTTTAATTTTTTATTATTAATTTAATTTTCCAGTGAATTTAAAACTTGTTACTCTCCTCTACACTATGTCATTTTTTCTTTTTATATTATTGTATAGTAATAATAGTAAAAGATAATGAATAATAAAAATAATAGTAATATTCAAATCTATTATGTTTCAGAAAGACTATCTAATCTCATGTTCTTTAAAAATCTCATGGTTGCCATCGAAATTGGGCAACATTTAGTATTCGTAGATTCGACGACAATACAGTATTGTTGGTTGACAATCAATCGATGTTTGGAGGGTTCATTACACTACCATCACAGCCACAGTCAACATCACCATCTCTATTGTATCTTGGTAATCTGAATAGTGGTACTTGTCCATCTTGGAGATGTAAAAAATTGGTAGAATAAATATAGAAAAGAATAGAATACTCTAAAGGAACTATGGTTTACCGGAAAATTTGATTATTTGGTTTTTTAAAATAAAATTAAACAAAAAAAGTAAAACCATTCAATGAATAATAGTAATAATAGTAATAACATTCAAATCAACTATTTAACAGAAAGATTATCTAATCTGATACTATTAGATATAATATCAAAGATCGATAACAATGTAGATATGATATGCTTTTTAATGACTTGTAAAAGATTGTATCATACTATTAGACTACAATCAAACAAGAACATAAGGTTTAAAGGATTGACGTACTTTGATAAATGCGAACCAAACAGTTTGAACGAATGGCTAGTTAGGCGATTACTAAACTGTCTACCATCGTTTAGACATATCGTTCAAAATACACTTTCAAATCAAATGGTACTGGTCAATCGATGGAATAACATTTCAAAATGTAAAGAATTAATCAACGTTTATCACTTGTATAATAAAGATTATGATAAGAATAATGAAAATAGTGATAATAACAAAAGTAGTAGTAGTGATGGTGGTGATTATCAATATAAAGGTGAAATGGAGCAAGTTCAAAATGATTTAGTAATAGTTGAAGATTCTATTATTGAATCTCATCCAAAGATACCATCATCAACAAAATCATTGTTCTTACATTATTGTGGTCATTTTGGCGCACCACCACTCAACTATATACCACCATCAGTCAAAGATGTTGTTTTCCATTGCCAACAATTCCAATGTGACCAACACTTTATTCCAGATACTGTCGAATCGTTAGAGATGAACACAAGCAAACTATGTTGTAATGTCAAGTTACCCAGCAGTCTCAAGTCACTTGTCTGGAAACATAATCACTCATCATATCGAAGCCTATCACTAGATATGATACCATTCCACAACCTCACATCGCTTACTACCTTGAAGATTTGCCTCAGGCATTTTGGAAATGGAGTACTACCACCAAACCTTACATCACTTGACCTCACGTACAGCAGTACTATCCCACCCAACCTATTTCAACCATTGAAGTCGTTGACCTCTATTCGAATCAATGAAGCCTTTGGAGAGAAGGATGTCGTTACCTTTGACCTCACATCACAAACCATTTTGAAAAGTCTCTCCATCTCCTCTGATGGTTCTGATTTTGTCAAACTCCCAGTGACATCAACACTCTTGCATTTGGAAGTTTATAACTCTGTTGATTTCATCCCACAATCACTCGAATCTCTTCAAATTGGTTCAGATCTATTGTATGAACTCTCGGAAAATCCAAACCCTGTACCCCTTCCATCAACACTTGGACATCTATCCATCAAGATTGAAAGTTATCCTTTACCCGATATTTCTGATATCATACCACCTAGTGTAACCAGTCTTGATCTAGATATTTGCCATGATGAAGAGGAAGAGTTGGATGGATTGATCCCATCAACAGTTGAAAAACTACAACTAACTGGTTTGTTTGGATGGTTTGGTCAAACTACTCTCTCTAGTCTTCCCAATTCCATCAAATCGCTAAAGTGGACAGATAATCATGATTTTACAGACATTTCTTTTTCGTTTCCAGAAAATTTGGAGACACTTGAATGGATGCCAGGTAAAATAGAGAATATCTCTTATCCAGATTCACTCACATCACTTTCCATTGAAATACCACTTCGTTCTGAAGAGTTTTCATTATCCCATAATCATACGATCAGCAAGAATGGAATGTTTCTACAACCAAATACCAAATACTTGACTTTAAAATATTTATCCTTTAATGATACTCCAATTAGATTGGACGAGATTATCTATCAAACCAATGTTCAAGAGTTGACTATTCAAAAAAGTGATAAAGATTATGAACATAAATGGGCTTCATTTAGCATTCGTAGATTGTTGGATAATGATAAACCTCAAGTATTGATTGTTGATAATCTATCAATGTTTGGAGGTTTCATCACACTACCATCATCTTCATCATCATCATCGGCATTGTATCTTCAAAACGGTCATTATGGTCCTTATTGTAGAATCAAAAAATAACTAAAAAGAGAAATAGAAAAATAAATGTTTAAAAATAAAAGGATGTAAAGAATATCATAATATCTATCTATGAAGTTTATTGGATAATGATAAAAATAGTTAATTAAATAAATATTAATTATTACTTTACTGGAAAATTTGATTATTTTGTTTTTTTTACAAAGTGTATGTGCTAAGCGCTTCCAAAGTTGTGCAAGACCATTTGTTTCTGTTTTTTTTGTATAGTTATAAAAATTAATCAATGAATAACAGTAATAATAGTAATAACAGTCAAATCAACTATCTAACAGATAGATTATCTAATCTAATACTTTTAGATATCATATCAAAGATAGACAACAATGTAGATATGATATGCTTTTTACTGACTTGTAAAAGATTGTATCATTCTATTGGACAACAATCAAACAAGAGTATAAGGTTTAAAGGATTGGCTTATTTTGATAAATTGCAACCAAACAGTTTGAATGAATGGCTTGTTGGAAGATTACCAAACTGTCTACCAACATTTAGACAAATCGTTCAAAACTCTCTTTCAAATCAAATGGTACTAGTCAATCGATTGGATACCTTTGCAAAGTGTAAAGAGTTAGTCAACGTTTATCACATGTATTATGAAGATGATAGTAGTAATACCGATGCTGATAAGGATGATGATAATAGTACTGATCGAAATAATAATAATAGTAACGATAATGACAATGATATAAAGATTGATAGTGATACTAATAGTAATAGTAGTAGTGATGATATTGCTTATCATTATGAAGGTGAAATGGAACAAGTTCAAAATGTTTTAGTAACAGTTGAAGATTCTACTATTGAATCTCATCCAAAGATACCATCATCAACAAAATCATTAATCATACATTACAATAATGATAATTTCTATGCACCACCACCCAACTATATACCACCATCAGTCAAAGATGTTGTTTTCCATTGCGAACAATTCCAATGTGACCAAGACTTTATTCCAGATACTGTCGAATCGTTAGAGATGAATACAAACCGGTTAAGTGGTAATGTCAAGTTACCCAGCAAACTAAAGTCACTTGTTTGGAAACATAATCACTCTTCTTATCGAAACCTATCACTGGATATGATACCATTTCACAACCTCTCATCACTTACCACTTTGAAGATAAATATTGCAGATTATGGAAATGGGGTGGTAGTACTACCTCCAACCCTAACATCACTTGACCTCACATTTTCCGACATTATCCCAGACAACCTACTTCAACCATTGAAATCTTTAACCAATCTTCGAATCGATGGAGAACATATAACCAATATTAATCTCCAATCACAAACTTGTTTGAAAAGTCTCTTTTTGGAAGAAGATTTTTATGTAAATCTTCCAGTGACATCAACTATTGTCAATTTAAAAGTATATGGATCTGTTGACTTTATTCCACAATCACTGGAATCTCTTCAAATTGGTTCTGATCACTTGATTGAACAGTACCAAGTGAACCCAAATCCCCTTCCAGCAACACTGAGACATCTCGGCATCATAGTCTATCATTCGTCTTTATCTACTAGTATGATACCAGATGGAGTAACCAGTCTTGTTCTAGATATTGGAAGTAGTGAACAGGTAGAGTTGGATGGATTAATCCCAATATCAGTCGAGAAACTACAACTAACTGGTTTGTTTGGATGGTTTGGTCAAGCTACTCTCTCCACTCTTCCCAATTCCATCAAATCATTAAAGTGGACAGATAATCATGATTATAGAACCATTTCTTTTTCATTCCCAGAACATTTGGAGACACTGGAATGGATGCCAGGTAAAATAGAGAATGTCTCTTATCCATCTTCACTCACATCACTTTCCATTGAAATACCACCTCATTCTGGCAAAATAGAGTTTTCATTATCTAAAAATCATATGATCAACAAGAATGGAATGTTTCTACCACCTAATATCAAATACTTGACATTTATTTGTTCAGCATTAACTAATGATGTATCATTTAGATTGGATGAGATTATCAAACAAACCAATGTTCAAGAGTTGACTATTCAAATCAATGAAGATCCTGATGATGATTTTAATTTCCAAATTTATGAATATAAATGGGCAACATTTAGCATTCGTAGATTGTTGGATGATAAGAACCCACAAGTATTGATTGTTGATAATCAATCAATGTTTGGAGGTTTCATCACACTACCATCATCATCATCATCGCAGTCGTCACCATTGTATCTTCGCTACCTCAAAAGTGGTGCATGTCCGACATGGGGTCTATCCATTTAAATGAAACATATTTCTCTCGAACCATCCCTTCACTCATCCATTCAAATAAACAATGAAGACCTTAAAGTAGTATGTCCTATTTATCTTCAACATGTGAGCTAAACATATTACGATCTATTAAAATCAATCATGGATACTAATAAGAACACCAATATTAATAGTAATCTAGATAGATTATCTAATCTAATCTAATACTTTTAGATATCATTTCAAAGATCGATAACAATGTAGATATGATATGCTTTTTATTGACTTGTAAAAGATTGTATCATTCTATTAGACTACAATCATACAAGAATATAAGGTTTAAAGGATTGACGTGTTTTGATCATGAATGGTCAGATACTGGTTTAAACGAATCAGTAGTTCGATTATCAAACTGTATACCATCATTTAAAGAGATTGTTCAAAATACACTATCACATCTGGTCATCAGAGGAAAAACCTTTTCCAAATGTAAAGGATTGTCAAACTTTTATATCTTGGAGTCAATTAATATAAATGATGGCGATAATAATGATAATAACAGTAATCATAGTGATAGTGACAACGACAATAATAGTGAAAATGATAATGACGACAATAATAGTTTCGATGGTAGTAAAAGCAAAGATGATGGCGATGATGATGATAGTAATATTAGTGACAGCGATAAATATAATGGTCAAGAAATGAATCAAGTTCAAGATACCACCAAACCTAACATCACTTGACATGACAATTACCGAGTATCCATTGTCCAATACCAACAACAATAATAATAATAATAATGGAATGTTGTTACCACCTAATATCATAAACCTAACATTGATAGTAGATGATAGTAGTGATTTATGTTTAAAATTGGACGAGATTATCAATCAGACCAATGTTCAAGAGTTGACCATTCATATAGACCATTCTAATTGGCAACCTTTAGTATTCGTCGATTAGATAAGGATACTGTATTGTTGGTTGACAATCAATCAATATTTGGAGGTTTCATCAAACTGCCATCATCATCATCATCGCAGTCACCATTATATCTTGGTAATCTTAAACTTGGTGGATTGCCATCTTGGAGTCAAAAAAATAATAAGAAATAAAAAGAAGCAAAACGGTTAAAAAAAATGATTTGTTCTATCGAAAGTACGATCATTGTTATTCTTGTTTTGTTAACAATGTCAGATAATCACTGTAGTAATAATAGTAATAACAGTCAAATCAACTATCTAACAGATAGACTATCTAATCTAATACTATTAGATATCATTTCAAAGATAGACAACAATGTAGATATGATATGCTTTTTCATGACTTGTAAAAGATTGTATCATACTATTAGACTACAATCATACAAGAATATAAAGTTTAAAGAGTTGACGCAATACCCTTTTGTTCGCATTCAACCATTTATACCATCGTTTAAACAGATCTCTCAACATACACTATCACATAAACTTGTATTGATCAATCAAGGTAACATCTTTTCAAAATACAAAGGAATAGAAAACATTCATATTTTAAAAGATGATGGTGATAATCAATTCGACAGTGGTGGAGAAGAATCGGAACAAATACAAAGAGTTATTATATCAATTAAAGATTCTCAACTTGACCCAAGTCTAAAGATTCCATCCTCCACACATTCATTGATCATTCAAACAAATCGACATATCGATGCACCACCACTCAAATATATACCACCATCGGTCAAACATGTTATAATGATGTGTGAACAATTTAAATGTGATGATAAAGAAGACTTTATTGTTCCTGATACTGTCGAATCACTATCGTTGCATGCAACCACAATGAATGTACGTGCAAATACTATTGTCAAGTTACCAAACACTCTAAAGTCACTTGGATGGGGACGTCGCTCAAATGGTCCTTTCATCTCACTCGATCAATTCAAATTCCACACTTTTACATCAATGACTAGCTTGACAATCAATTTCAAGGATTTTGGCGTGGTAGCAAGTGTGGGAAGTGTTGGTGGAGGAGTACTGCCTCCCAACCTAACATTTCTAGACCTTTCATTTATGGACATTATCCCACCATCCAGCCTATTCAAACCATTGGCATCGTCGTTGACCAATCTTAGACTAACATCACCACACCGATTTAAAAATCTTTATGGTCAATTCATCGATCTTGGACCACTCAATAATCTGACCAACTTGTACCTATTTTGTTGTGGATCGGTCAAACTACCTGTCTATCCATCATCCATAGTCCAGTTGGATGCCTACGGTGGAACATTTGATTATATACCAAAGTCACTTGAATCATTTCAAATAGAATCGGATCTATTATTGGAATTGTACAAGTCCAACCCAACACCACTTCCATCAACACTCACATATCTTTGGATCACAGACTATGTCCATAGGAGTGTACCTCTTCCCACTGGTATCATACCACATGGAGTAACCAGTCTTGATATATCGATCGATCCGACCAAATATGGAGTGTTGGAAGGATTGATCCCTACATCTGTCAAAACACTCGATCTAAAGATAAGCCATTTTGGACAGACTGATTTAACTGGATTGATCCCTTCATCGGTAGAGACACTCCATCTATGTTGCAACATAACTCCAGATCTACTGTCTTTTATACCAACCTCTGTCAAATCATTTGATTTGAGACAAGCCAATTTTATTCATGGTCATGATGGTAAAAATATTAAATATGAAAACCTTTCATTTATATTTCCAAATCATATAGAGACACTAAAATGGTACTCTGATGAAATCAAGAGTGTCACTTATTCAGATTCAATTACATCTCTATCCATTAAAACAACAAACTTTAAAACTCAAAATGGAAAAAATATTTATTCATTATCAAAAAATGATAATAATAATTGTAATAATAATAATAATGGAGTGATGTTACCTAAAAATATCAAAAAGTTAACTTGGATGATTGGAACTACCAAAGAAAAGAATATGTGTATTAGATTGGATGATATTATCAATTTGACAAATATTGAAGAGCTGGAAATTCAAATTGACTATACCACATTGTCAACATTTAGTATTCGTAGATTCGATGGCAATAACTCTAGAGTATTGATTGTTGACAATCAATCTCTATTTGGAGGATTCATCATTCAACCAACATCACAGTCACCATCACCATTTTATCTCCACTCTCTTACAATTGACCATAGGTGTCCATTTTGGCGTCGATTCATTATTAATATTTCTAAAAATGTTTAGAAAATACTATCAGACTTTTATTTTGGACAATATTACAATTGTAATATAATAATTATTATTTACTCATTCTTTAATCTCTCTTGTTAATAAATGCCTGAGCCCAAAAAATCTGCAGGTTCATTTTGATGATCTTTGGTTGTATATGAATAAACTTACATTTGTATTTTTGAACAAATCATGTCAGAGAATAATAGTAATAATAATAACGATAATCATGATCAAATCGATTATATATCAATCAAGCTACCTACTCTAATTTTATTAGATATTATCTCAAAGATCAACAACAATGTAGATATGATATGCTTTTTAATGACTTGTAAAAGATTGTATCATACGATTAGATGTTACAAAAACACTATAATCAGATTTAAAGGATTGAAAGTAGTACTTGTAACTCGATTATCAAAATGTCTTTTACCATTTAGACATATTGTTCAACATTCACTATCAAATCATCTCTTGTTGATCAACCAAGACTATGGTAGCAAACCAAGACCCAAAGGCCCAACAAAATTTCATGTCATCAAAGCGAATGATTTTAATAATAGTATTAGAAATAGTGATATTAATAGTACTTATAGCTACAAGGATAGAGATAACAATCAATACGACAGTGAGGAAATGAATATGGTTGAAAATGTTCAAATTTCATTGGCTTATACCACCAACAGAGGTGTAAAGATTGATCCTTACCTAAAGTTACCATCATCAACAAGATCATTGATAATCGAACGATTAGATGATTTGGATGCACCACCACTCAATCATTTACCACCTTCTGTCAAACATGTTTCTCTCAGTTGTCAAGAATTCAATTGTGAACAAGACTTTATTATTCCAGATACGGTCGAATCGTTAGCAATGTACACATCAAACGTTCGTTGTACAACGATAAAGTTACCGAGTAGTCTCAAATCACTTGTATGGGGAAACTCCAATGGTCCTTTTCTTCCACTCGATCAATTCCAATTCAACAAACTCACATCATTGACTAGCTTGAAGATGTGTGTTAGTCAGTTTGGAACTAGTAGGAGTATACTACTACCTCCCAATTTGACATCACTTAACCTCACATTCAAAAGGGATTTCGATATCCCTTCACCTAATCTATTTCAACCATTGGCATCATCGCTTACCAATCTCGAATTATATGGACTATTCGGAGCCCCATACATTCCCATCAATCTTCAACCACTCACTCGACTGAAAAGTGTGCGTATCTTGGGTAAAATGACCGTCAGTCTTCCCGTGACACCGACTCTTACACATTTAGATGTTTATGGCAGTACTATAGATTTGATGCCCGAATCACTCGAATCTCTCGAAATTGGATCGTATCAATTGATTATATGGTACCTTGAAAATCCAGTACCCCTTCCATCAACACTCAAACACCTTTCCATCGTGGACAGCCTTAAAAACATTCCCCCTCGAATCATGCCACCTGGATTACCCAGTCTCCAACTAGTCATTGACAAAGACAAACAGACTAATTTAGATGGATTGTTCCCTCCATCACTGCATACTCTTTGTGTTTCTGGAAGATTTAGTACAGATATACTGTCCAAAATCCCCAACACTATCAAATCATTAGAGTGGGAAAGGAAAAAGGGTAATGATGATGGTGTTGGCACTGGTATTCCATTGACACTACCAAATCATTTAATGGAATTAAAATGGCTACCACAAAATCTAAGCGATGTGATATCTTTTGCTCAATTAGATCATCTCACATCCCTAACCATTGAATTACCAATATTTCAATTAAAAAATGGAAAATCCCTTTATTCACTAATTAATATTAACAACAACAACATTGTTAAAAGTATTTTTAATAATAATGATATGTTGTTGCCAAATAATATTATAAATTTAACATTGGTAATTAATGGTTCAAATAATTTATGTATTAGACTGGATGATATAATCAATGGAAGCTATGTCGAAGAGTTGACCATTCAAGTGAATGATTCGAAATGGATAACATTTAGTATTCGTAGATTCGATGATAATACAGTGTTTATCGTTGACAATCAATCAATGTTTGGAGGTTTCATGACACTAGGGCTTCCATTGTATCTTCATAATCTTAATACCCATCAGCGTCCATATTGGACCAATGGACCATTTTGCTGAACCAACCAATTAATGGCCATCAATTTTTTATGCTAGAGTCAACATTCAATAAATGAATACGACATTTATTTATTTGTTTATTTTTTTAAAATCAAACCAACCAACAATACTCCAAGAACAAAACTATTTCAATAGAATTAGTAAATATTATTTAAAATAGGATTAAATGACTTGAATGTACATACAAGCTGATATTAATATTTACATTGGTTTTTCTTGTTTGATTGGAAGCTACTTTCTTGGTGATGGGCTTTTGAGATTTCTTTTGCTTTTGGTTTCTAGAATTGGTTTTATTGAATGCTAAAGAAGAGTAAGACATTGATCCTCGTGGTGGTAACTGTTGTTGAGCACCAATGGTTTGAGAGAACAGACCAGATTTCATTTGCTGGAGTTGGTTTTGAAACAGAGATGTTAATGGTGGACAAACAAGACTACTAGATAGTTTAGTCGACGGCAGAACCACTTGAGGAGGAATAGACTTGACAGAGACAGCTGAGGACGACAAGAGCAAAGGTCTAACTAGCTTGGTTGAGAGTTGAATAGCACTTGATGACATTAGGACTAGGCAGAGGACCAGAGGAGAGGAGTATTAAATATTAGTTGAAGAGAGTTGAAGGAATGAATGAAATGGTGTATCATAATCCTCTTTATAGCTGTGCTTTCCCTCAGTCTCTTTCATAGCCTCATAGTAATAGAATCGGTCAGTCGGTCTGAGATACTTTCAAATTGAACTTCAAGGGCAAATAACTGCCAATCAGGTCAATTCTGCAACTTTGGAACATGTACCACTGCTCTGAAACTTGGTGACATTTGCAAATATAGTAATGAATGTGGTGTCAGCCGAGTTTGCACTAGAGCCAACGATACTACCAGTATATGCGCGGAACCCTTCTCCCAACAAGTAGCTGGCTCCAATTGTACCTATAGTGGTAGTTACATCAGTGCTTGTGATATTTCACAAGGTCTCTACTGCTCCAAAGACAATATATGTGCACCAATCCCAGACGCTCCATCCAACAGCGTCTGTACCGATGACAATGATTGCAATGCCCTAGAAACATGTCTATGCACTGGGAGTACTAATCAAGGCAAGTGTGTCACAGGCTTGCAACCACCAACGAAACCATATCCGAATGTAAAACAGCTTCCCTTGCCTATGCCAATTGTTTGATTGAAAATAATTGTGCTGCCGAGTACCTCAACGTTGTCAATACTATGAGCTCCAAGTCTTGTTTTGCAAAGTGCTCCTCTGAAATGTGCGCAAAGGGCGTTTGCTCTGGCCCAGACCAAAGCTATCCCTCCCAATGTGAAGAAACTGCTGGCAGTGAAATCTCTATCACATGTTCCAATTCTTCGTCCATTATAGAATCATCATCATTGTTCTTTATCTTTTTTGCTATTTTATCTGTGGTCCTCTAAAAAAAATAAAAGATTGGTAAAAAAAAAAAAGAATAAATAAATAATATATTATCAACTTTCAATAATGCGATACAAATTTTTATCACCCTATGAACAAAATAGCTTTTAAAATATTTTTAATTTGAATAATTTACTTTTTTATTTTTTACCAATCTTTTATTAATTAAAATGACAACCGGTTATATATCAATCATCACTTCACTTTTCATGAATATAAAAAGAAGATGTGATCTGTCTAATGTAGTCTTCTTCAAAGGAACAGGTATTAGTTACCACACATTTTTTAAAAGTATTAACCGTTCAGTAGAATGTTTAAGAAAGAAGAGGGTGTTGAATTTATTTATTGTTCAGAATTCTAATGAGTCAACAACTACAACTACAACAAGTAAATTCTTCATCTAGACCAACAACTATATCTCCTCCTCCTCGTCACCATCATCATAATCATCAACAACATACCTCACAATGTCATCACACCTCATCATCATCATCAAGAAGAAAGGTTGTTCAAGGGAAAAGTACAAAGAAGCATCTTCATCATATGCATGATGCCAATTATGAATATGTACCAGTTGTCAAACAACAACCGCACCAATCAGTACCACTTCTATCAAACTATTTACAATCAATGATCATTACAAAGTTTCAATATGAACTTGTGATTGATGGTGGATGGCATTATGATAGACGACAAGCAATCGACTTGGCTTTTGTTTGTAAGCATTGGTATGAGGTGGTTGCTATAATGCTCTCACGAAAGGTGTGTCTGTGTATGACCCAAGGAAGCGACTACCGAGTTGCAAGACCCTATCACTTTGCCTATCAATCACTGGTACTCGTACAATACATCTCTCGTCTTTTAGTATGTGTTGGAGAGTTTGCAATGTTTGGTGATACCGGTATGATGAATGATGAACCAAACAACTTGTCTCAATTGGTCAATCAAATGAAACATCTCTCTCATGTTACTGTCACTGGTACATTAAAACAATTAATCACTCATCAACCTTTAATCATTTCTCTATTCAACAATAATAATCAAAATAATAACAATAGTAATAATCATAATCAAAATAATAATATTAAATTAGATTGTAATATTAAAAGATATCATTTTATTCATAATCCATTATGGATCAGCTCTAGTCAAGATGGTGTGAATGATCAACCATCATTATTGGAGGAGATTGAAAATGCAAATCAGTTGGCCATTAAAGTAAATACAATATTTATCAAAGATGCAAGGGATATGGAATTGGAAAAAAAGATATTAGAGATGTATAGACCTCGAAAAGTTGTGATATCATTCTCTAGAGAAGGTCACTTTTCATACGCGTCTATTCTCGGATTAGACTTTATCGAAAACTTATTCATCGTCGATGACTATGTTGAACTTAAAGACATGAATGTAGCACTTGGTCAATCACAATCGACAACAACAAGTATGCTCAAGAAACTAAATGTCAAATTACCAACACATTTCTATAGTTTTGAAATTAGTAAAACTAGAAGAGACAAGATGCGTGATAACCCATGTAGTTATAAATTCCCAATCCCACGCTACACACCCGATTATGACCCACAGGCAACAATGGAGTTATTTGTCAACCTTTTAACCAATAATACTACTATTACCGACTTGACTATCAACAATATCTGTACAAAGGATCATTCACAGGCACCATTCTTTAGACATTGTAAAGCACTGGTTGATTGCTTGGCAATGTTGTTGGTCCGAAATCACACTTTAAAACATCTTGAATTGCGTGGTATCGATTGCTTGGACACACGATTCTTTGAATCAATTGCAACTTGTACATTACACTCTCTTTCCTTTTACTCTCCTATTGCCAACCAACACTGTATCGATCGTTTGTGTCACTCTATCAACACCAATCGATCACTTTGTAGATTTGACATTAATTTTTCTGCATTCCAAGGTGACAATGAAGAAAGTCTAGCTAAAATCATCAATCAACTTCAAACTACTATTCCAACCAAAACAATGGTAATTAATATTTATAATGGTAAAGAATATATTAGATTCTAAAAATATAAATAAATAAATATAAAATATAAATATAAAGAGATATAAATAGGTAAGACCTTTACTTTTTTCTATTTATTCTTTTTCTTTTTTACAGATGTATGTTTTTGTTTTGGTTGTATTTGAATTTCTTTTTCTTTTTCTTTTTCCATTTGTTGTTGTTGTTGTTTTTTTAAAAGTTGTTGTTCAGCTTGGTGTTGTGAAATATCTTTAATATGAATGTCATCTTTGTTACCACTTCCGCTTCCACTACTACTACTACTACTACCACTACCAGCAGATAAAATTAAATCTTTAAATCTAGTTGATCTTTGATATTCTTCCATTACTTCTGTTGGTGGGAATTTAGAAATCTCTCCATTTGAATCAAATTCAAAACCAATATTTTGCAAGTCTCTTCTAAAATCTGATTTCCATTCAACATCACTTTTAGTCTTTCTTGTTGTATTTGGTGATTGTTTTGTATTTGCACTAGTTGTAGTCGTAGTTGTTGATGTAGTTGTTGGATTAATTAATATTTCCTTATCCAATTCTTTATCATCCTTTTTTATATTCTTTTCAACAAATTCTCTATAAAATATTTGTGCCCATGTTGATTTATCTTCATGTTCCTAAATAAATTTAAATCAATCATTTTTTAATAAATAATCATTCTCTTTAATGTCAACAAATACAAAACATACAGTATTTAAATACCAAAGAGTTTTAAATACAACAGGCCAGTTCAATAATAATAAACCCATAAAACTACAAAATTCAGTACCTCCCTCATAGAATTCTGTACCAATAATATCTTTCCATTCATCATATGCACTAAATAGTTTAAACAAAAGAAATATATTAGTTATAGTTGTTTATCAAAACTCTAGAATATTATTTACCTTATCTTTAAATCAAATAATGTTTGTTTTGCTCTCCATGGAAATACAAATACAGTTATGATGAGCATGATAGTATAAAAGAAGTCAGATACAAGTTCGATGAATTGATCTTGAACTCTGTCTTGAAAGGATAGGGTCACCTTCTTCCCATCCCTTTCAACAGTCTTGCTACTATCACTAAATAGTTTGAAAAGTCTCCAACTAGTCATTACTATGATCAACTCTATGATAAACACTATAAACTTTAATGTTGATTTCATCTCTCTTTCTCTATTCTATCTATATGTTATGTGTAGATACTAATAAATGTGAATAGAATAGAACAGACAACCTTTGGAGATAGAGTAATAACCCACAAATCATCGACATGAACTCCGAAATTAAATTAAATTAAATTGGCTGAAAATTCATTCTCAACAACACGACATCATGATGATCATCACCTTCATCTCTCTATTCTCAAAATCTAGACAACTATCTCTATATCTCTTAAAGTAAATAATAATAATAATAATAATAATTGATGATTGATTTATTTACGAAAAACGAATGGTCAGATTTATCATCATGTCATTATATTGTTGTGATTTATAAAACAACAGTGCAGTTGAATGGAGATACCATATCAATGTTTGAACCACCGGCCCCAGTAGCACCGTAGAGACGGATAGAATCACAAGCTGGAACTGATGGTAAATTGCAAACTAATGGAGACCAACCATACTTGGCAATACAGTATGGTGCAATGTTGGTATCGACACCACCCAAAAGAAGCTCTTCCTCAAACCAAATCATCGTCATTGGACTGTAATTGATTGTAAGTTTCTTTCCATCTTGAACAATACTAGTAACTAGAGAAAGATAAAGAGATGAGAGAAGAGGAGATAGAAGGGTTAATGGATATTCAAATTATTATTGGATTTGTCAAATAAGACAAGATAAGACTTACTTCCAGCTTGAGCAACAGCACAGGCAAAGAGAATGATGGCAAGGGTAGCAAAGATAGTTGATGATTTGAACATTTTTAAATGGATGAATTAAGAAGAAGCTGGGTAATTATATAAATATATTAATTGTATTTGTTTAGTTGGTTGGTTGGTTTGGTTAATTGATTTGTTGATGGTTTGTTGGTTGAATAACTAGTCATATTTAAACAATTCCATGTTAACACTATTAAGATGGATTTAATCAGATTTCGACATATATGTATATACATACGACGTCGATATTAAATATAGATCGGTCTATATCTTTTTTTATTGACGATAGATAGATAGATAGGTAGTCAACCAATCTAATCCAATCCAATCCAATCCCAATCTCGTTTGTATCTTTTTTAAATTAATTAAACACACACTATCATTTATTATTGATGTTAACATTATTATATTTCTTTTAAAAAACAAATAGACACTATTATTATTATTAATTATTATTATTATTTTTAAAAATGAACGAAAACTAGTAAAGAAACAAAGATGATGGCAATAATATTAATTAATATTGAATAGTGTTGTAGGAATGATATGGCGTCACTTTCAGAAGTTGAACTTGGATTATTGCTACTGCCAAGTGTTAATTGATTGGTGGTGAACGGAGAAACCGATGGTTTTGGTGTTCTGGATGGAACTGGTGTAGTTGTGTTTTTTGGAATGTATGACATGTAGGTTGAGAGAAGCTTATTAGAATTGACCAAACACTTTTTGAGTGGATAAACAGAGGCACGTGTAGTCATTGTACAATCGATATCAAGACAACTATAATAATAGTAATTTTCATTGGTACAATTAATCTTGTATCCTTTTGATACTATATTATTTCTATATTCTGTCATATGAATTATTTGGTTTGTACAATTACTAAAAAGAAAGAAAACAAAACAAAAAAAAGAAAAGAAAAGAATGGTTAGAATATAAATATATTATTAAAAATTGATTATAATAATTATTATATTATTAAATGTATAAAACATACGTTTGATAATCAAATGACCAACAATTACCAAATTCATTGTCATAGGTTCTATTTTCATTGACAACAATTTCATAGGAAATATTCTCTTTGGTTGCAACGGTGAGTAAACATTCTCGGTTTGGAGTAATAGTGTTTAGTTCCAAACAATTCTTTTCACATTTTGTTGTATCAAGGCATATGTATTGTTTGACGATAGTTGAAGACGATGAAGATGACAATAATGACGATGACGATGAAATTGGAAGACCAATAGAAGAAGAGTTATCCGTGGCAACAGATTCTTCTTGACGATACACAATACCATTGTTGCAATGATCCAAAAGGATCCATTCATGTGCGATAGTTTGAGTTGTACATGTCGACTCTGGGTAATAATTAATTTGAAGGTACTCGCAACTTGTGCTAGCAATCATCATAGCACCCAATAATATAAATAAGTTTAAATATCTATTGATTTCCATTTATGATTAATATATTATATTATTATTATTATTATTTTATTTAATTAATTAAAAGAAGAAGAAGAAGAAGAAGAAGAGATAATATTATTTTGTTTGTTTGTTGTTATGATCCATTCTTCTTTTTATACTTGATGTTGATCATCACAATGGTGATGATGATAAGTTGATTGGTTGATAATAATCATCATTCTATGTTGCAGATAGATAGATAGATAGAATGAAAGAATAATGAATTGATACAAAGAAATAAGCTTCAACCCACAATTGTTGTGGTGCTTTGAATCAAGAAAGATTTTTTTTTAATTTAAATTAAATAGGTTGTTTATTATGTGATAGATGATTGATACTATGATAAAAGACAACATTTGCGTACTTTATATATATTTATATAAAACAGACAAGACAAACAACTAAGTAATGTCTTCTTTCTGTTCATTGATTAACTATGTATGTGAATGGACGGGAGTGCTACTAATGGGCAATGGCAATGATCTACTTCTATTCATTTAGAATTTGATCTTACCAGACAAGATTTGAGACCAAAGGGTAAAGTCACCACGGAGAGACATACCTGGATACTTGAATGTGGCTGGTCTGTTCTTTTGGAAGAAGAAATGACCGACCCAGGCAAAACCGTAACCAAAGACGAATGGAACAAGAAGCATACTGTATTGCTTGGTCAAGATGAAATAGATCAAGAACAATACTCCCAAAGAGGTACCAATAAAGTGAAGACGTCTAAATAATTAATAAATAAAAAGAAGAAAGTAAAGAGTTTATTAATATATATTACTACTATTTAAATATTAGTTTATTGTTTGTATGTATGTAAGTATTTACCTATTGGTTCTATTTGAGTGTTCCTTTAAGTAGAATGGGTAGAATTCTTCAAATGATTTGTAAACGGTGATATCTTGTGACATTGTTTATCTGTATGATGGTGTATAAAGAAAGAGCTATAACTAACTACAACGAAAGTAAATGAATGAATTGTAAAACGGTTTGGGTAGTGGGTGGTTGGTCGATTGGCCTTGATGATGAAAGAACAGAAATAATCAAACCTCTTCTTAAATCATCAAATTGGGAGATATTTCAAAATATCTGTGACCTTTGTTTTCTTTTGAAAAAATCTTGCAACGAACCAGAGACAATGTGCTTTGACCGACACTTTGACCCGTTGTGACCCATTATTTGATGATGCTACTATCTCCTCATTTGGTAAGTACTATATAACCGTGATGATGACGACACAAACAAACAATCATTCTTTTGCTTTGCTTTGAAATTGATTGATTGATTGAAATTAATTTATTTTTTTTATAAAGTATAATCTGTATCAGTATCAAAATAATTATTATTATTACCATTCATAATAGATGCAGTGGTATTCATAGTAGTAGTTGTAGTTGTAGCAGACATGGTATGTCCATTATTATTACTAATGATAGAGTTTCGATGATGAAAGGTATTTTGTTGGACTAGGAAACCAAATCCTTTTTCAACATCCTTTTTTCTTTGGTAACTTAGTTCGGCGAGTTTAGGAAACTTTAAAGCAAGACTATGAACCAAAAAATTGGCAACTCCTTTACTATCCCAATACGACATGTGTGAAAAGATTGATACCAAGTATGATGGTAATCCAGATCTCCAAATAGTACCTCCCTCTTCCAATACAAAATCATGTCTTTTTAATTCTCTTTCTCCAATTACCCAATGTTGTTTTGGTTGTTCTTCATTATTTTGATTATTATTATTACTATTATTATTTACATTATTTACATTATTATTATTATTATTATATTGTTGTTGTTGTTGTTCATCTTGTTGGGGTTTCTTGATTGGAACAAAAGGTATATACAATGGTGATTCGCTACCATTTGATTGAGGTGATAATTCCAATGGATGTGATTTAATATGTTTGATTTTAGGGTTCTCTATCAATTCTCCAATCTTGTCTTTATCCATTTCCATTTCATCATTTTCTTTAAATGATTCATTATTATTATAGGTTGAATTATTACTATTATTGGTATCAGTGATTAAAATATCTGGTTGTGCATTTTCTTCTGTTGTTTTAATTATTTCTGGTTGGTTTTCGATTGATTCGGTTGATTCGGTTGGTTTCATTTCCATTTCAAATAGAGTTGTTTGATTACTATTATTATCGGTTGTATTATTATTACTTTGATTATTATCTGATTTGAGTTTAATATTATCATCCAATGATTTTGATAAAGGACTATTATTTAAACTATCAACATCATTTTTTGGTGGTGTTGATGATGGTTGTGGTAAAAGAGGTTCACCACCATTATCATTACCAACCTTATTATTATTACTATTATTATTAGTGTGATTATTTTTAGTTTGAGAAGGAGGAGTATTGGTTGGAGTGGTAGGAGTTGATTTCCAACTAAACATACCACTAAACCAATTGGATGATGGTGGTGTACTTGAAGGGGAGGCAGGTCTACCATTAGCCGAATTGGCAGAGGAACCAATGGGAATGGTAGATGGTGGTGAAGTTGATGATAGTTTACGTGCAATGATTTCTGGAAACATTTGAATGGGGAGTGGTTTCATTTTGAGGTATCTCAAATCGAGGAATGGTTCAATTCGATAGGACACGGGATCAGTTGATGAAAAGATATTATACCAATTGTAAACGTTGGGTAGATGTTTCTTCATATCGAGTTTACCCAATTCATAGCCATTCAGTCGTAGGAACAGACCCAATGGACTGCCAAGTGCAAATACATTCTCGACATTGAATTTCAACAGTCCACGAGACAAGACATCCCACATGATGACACTACCCAAACTATGTGCAAATATCGAGACCAAACCTCTAAACTTTGGATGATAGTCTAGAAAGATCTTGTAGTTTTGGTTGATTTGTGAACTAACCTCTTTAAGAATCTCTTGATGATAGTCGGGTGTCATGTACAACATGATATCAAACAACGTCTCGTTGATAAATCCTCTTAGTTTCTCGACCTTGTCTGGTTTAATCTTGTCCAAGTCTTCATCCAACGTTCCTTTTCTAATTTTTGAATGCCATTCAATGATTCTAAACTCTACATTTAATTGTTGAGTTGATCCTTTTTGTTGTGATAAATTAAAATTCTTTTTTAACAAGTCAACTAAATAAAAGTAAAGTAATTAGTTTCATTATCTCTATGTTTAATATTGATTTTAATTTAGAGTTATTACCATTTTGTTCCAAGACTGATATTTTACTTTCTGAATTGGTTTGATTTCCCATACCATGAACAATGAATACAAGATGATCAATGACAGGTGTTGCATTATACTCTTTTTCCATTTGTACTCTGTCAGCTTCCATAATCTGTTCTTTTAATATTGGGTCAATGTCATAGTCACTTGTAAGATATGGATCTTGTGGCATTTGATTCAACAATCCTTGTACATTATTAATTTCACTTGTTTCATCAATCTCTACTTCTGGAAATCGATTATTAAAATTATTATTATTATCGTTATTATTTCTAATTTCTATTGGTTGTGTTGATGATGTAACAGTATTATTATTAATTGTATTATTATTATTGTCTTTTAATAAATAATCATCTTTTGGAGGAGTAGACATTGATAATGGTGAAGTTGTTGTAGGAGTTGATTCCATCTCTTTTTCGATTTGTAATGGATCAACTATTTCCTCTTCTTCTTGTTGTCCATTATCTTGTTGTTGTTGTTGTTCATTATTACTATTTTTCAAGATTGCTTCTCCATTACTATTAAGTGAAGTTAATTCGATGAAATTACTCGTAGTCGTAGTCGTAGTCGTACTGTTACCATTACTGTCAGCTGACTTTGTTTTAATATTACTATCTTCTATTGTTGGTGTCGGATCACCTACTCCTGCTGTTGTTGATGATGTTATATCATTATTATTCTCCATCATTTTTGTTTGTTGTTATGTATTATTACTATTATTACTATTATTACTAAATTCTAAAAAATAACAACCTTGATAAATAGATCTATTTACAAACAAACAAACAAATGTATCTTAATTTTCTTTCTTTTCTTTTTCTTCTATAGAGTAGAGTGAACACAACAACAACAACAGTAATAATAGAAATAATAGAATATAGGGTTAAGAGAATTTGTAATTTCGAAATTACAGAATCGTCCGTCCTTTGCATACACAATTTACATTTTTACTTGAAAATGTTAAAGTACTCATTTTCAACCAATCCCTGTTTGCTATCGCATTTGTTGTTGTCGTCGTCGTTGTCTCATGTTGTTTTGGACTAAAAGTTAGACAGTATAATAATAATTTCAACTGTTACATATTATATATAGATTAAAACTTAATCGATATCTTATATTCTCTATCTCACTCTCTCTCTTTTTGTCACATGATGATGATGATGATGATGATGATGTTTGTGGTAGCTACAACAATAGTTATTAAAGTACTCTTTGAGATGATCTCTCAATACAAAGAAAAGGAAAGAGAGATATAGTATAGATAGTAGCAACGAAAGCCTGGTTGCTCAATAGAGAGTACTCCCTATCTTATCTTCATCAACCAAGTGCACCCACCAAGGTTCCTCAGTTTTTTAAGCTATACAAAAATTTAAAAAGACGTTGCGTCACCAGATTGTGGTGCAAAGAATAGATGAGAAAGTTGACTTCCTCTCTTGTTCTTCTTCACATCATATTATTAAAGATTATTATTATTATTATTATTTATATATTTCTACAAGCTAACTCTTCTCTTTTAAATCTAATCATAAATCTTAAAAGAGAGTATCTTCTTTGCAGAGATATAAAGAAGATAGGATAGGATAGTTGGTTAATGGCAGATTTAGTAAGTTTACAGCAGCTGTGAAGAAGAAAGAGTAGAGGGCAACCCACTTAAGATCATAACTAACTTATTTGTGTATTTCAGCCATTTACATATGATGATGAGTCAAAAGTTGATGAATCGATTGAATGTCCAATTTGTTATTGTCCGTTGATCGACCCGGTTGAGCATTCATCCTATCAATCACAATGTGTTCATATGTTTTGTAGAGCATGTGTTGGCAAGTTGGACAAGTGTCCCTTTTGTCGTATGGCTGTTGAAAAGTGGGAGGCCGTCGCTCTGACTCCATCAACACAACGATTTATATTTGGACCACTCGCCGAGTTAAAGGTGACCTGTTCATCATGTACCATGCCTACCACTAGAAAGGAGATTGTAAAACATGTCGAGACTTGTGGTATCAAGCTACCATCTGGTTTTGTACCAGTTGCTGTTAATACTCATGCTGCTAATAATACCAATAATGCCAATAATGGTCAAGGTTTCATTCAACAAATTGGTTCAACAACTAGAAATATTATTCAATCATTTAGAGGTACTGGTCAAAATCAAAATAATCAAAATAATAATCAAAATAATAATAATAATAATAATCCAACTACTAACAACAATCAAAATAATCAACAACAACAACAACAACTCCCCGATACTAACGCAATTAATAATGGTAATAATAATGATGGAAATCAACATATGACAATTCAACAAATACCAATCCAACAGCAACAACAACAACCACAACAAATACCAATCCAACAACCACAACAACAAATACCACCATATCTTCAACAACCACAACAACAAATACCACCATACCAACAACAACCATATCAACAACAACAACAACAACAACAACAAATACCAAGTGCACCAAGATATATTCAAGGACAAAGTTTTAATGATCATAATTCTGTTACGGTTCAATCCCAATCGATTGTACCATCGACAGTTGTACCGATTTCATCGATTTATACTGCACCACAAATGAATAATCCAGTATACAGTCCATATACTCCCTATTCACCATATGGACATGCCAACTCGAGAACTTATAATACATACTATGGAGGCGGTAGTGCAATGGGTGGTGTAGGCTACTCTAGTAACTATCCACCTCCCCCATCTTCCATTTATGTTGCACCACCTGCTCATCTTCAACAACAACAACAACAATCAGTGTATACACCCAACAATATCAACAACTATGGTACTGGTAAACCATCATACCCACCTCCACCAGTATACTCATTTCACAATACTGCAGCACAAACCTCTGCATTCAACAACCCATCACAAATGCAATCGTCTGTTTTTATGGCTCCATCTCTACCATCACATTTGTCATTTGACACTTCCTTGGCACTATCGGCTACAGCTTCGCTAATGCCAGAACCACCCAAAACATTCAGTCCTAAAACAATCGAGTATGCAGGTCAAGTATACCTCGAAGGTGAAGTACTTGCCAACCGTAAATTCAACGGGTCACTATTCAGTGGTATCGAGATGAAACACTGTAATATCGTCGCAGCACAGTTTGTCAATTGTTTCTTTGAAAACTGTCAGTTTGATACATGTGATTTCCAACAATCAATCTTTATCGATTGTGTCTTTGACAGTTGCACTCTATCACTGTGTAACATGTCAATGTCGGAGCACCAAAACACCTATTTCCATCTGTGTACCACCGGTGAGACCAATATGTTTGGCATCAAGACATCCAAACTCAACTTTGGCAACTGTACCCTAAACTCTACCAACTTTGCCCAAGCCCAATTAGCCGGTGCCCTATTCCAAACCAGTTATCTCACCAACTGTAACTTTTCAAGTGCCCATATGTACAATACCGATCTTTCATCATCCAAACAAATCAGTTGTCTATTTAAAGATGCCAATTATAATCCAACAATATTAATTAATAATAATAGTCATATTACAGGCAACAATATTAATAGTGATGGTTCAGTCATCTCAAGTGTTAATAATAACCCCTCAATGGTTCATCATATTAATCTAAATTCAAATCCATCACCACAACCAACAGCTTTAAAATATACTTTTAAATAAACAACAACAATAGTATTATATATTTTTTTTTAATTTAATCTGATCCCGATCCCGATACGGCATATTTACACATTTATAAATCCTTCCTTGGAATTGTCAGATCAAAAATAAATAATCGATTATTATTTCTTTTTTTTAAAAATACTTTTTTTTTTTTTTTTTTTTGTCGCTTTTGCTGTGGTAGCCTGTGGATGATGGCTTGACCCATGAAAAAACAAGATGATTCTTTGAAATGCATAGATAGAAGAGCCCAGATAGATATAATATAATAATAACTCACTCAAAGTTTAGTTTGAATATATCTTTCTTTCTTTTAAAGTGAAGTGTTAAGTTAGTTAGAACAGTCATCATCATCGTCATCATCATCATCATCATCACCTTTCTTGATCAAGATATTTCAAAACAAGATAGATAGATAGAAAGAATGGATCCTAATGGTGGAGGTGGTGATGGAGTTGTTGTACTACCTCCTCCCTCTAGTGTGTCTTCTGCTACTTCATTGTCATCATCAGTGACATCACCACAACTAGTTGGGTCAAAGAGTCATGTCAAAGAACTAAAGAGATTGTTCGAGTCGAAAAAGGTTGTAGTATTAGATAAACTTAGTAGTTTAAAACATAATAATAAATTCAACTCTTCTTCTTCTTCTTCTTCTTCTCATAGTAATAGTAATAGTAATAATAATAATGTTAAAAAGCAACAGTCGTCTGCTGCTACTCCAACAACTATACCTATCACAACAGCATCACTACATCCTCCTCATCCTCCTTTATCATCAAAATCAATTGATGTTAGTAGCAAGGAAACAAGTAAAACTATTACACCAACTACAACAACATCAAAACTAATACAAAATGTAGTTGTAGTACAGCCACAACAACCTACTACTACTGTTAAAGAAAGTGCTGATCAACAGAAATCAGTGATCATTTTAGACAAGGAATATAAAGATGATGATTTTGAATTATCAGCAAGTGATAGAAAATATTATTTTTATGTAAATGAAGCTATTAGAAGTATGTTAGAAGATAATGGTTAGTTTGTATCATTGTACGTTCATATATTAATCATTATCTATTTTTTTTAGAAAACCAACCAATTATTCCATCACTTGCAATTAGAAGGAAATCATTGGATTTGACCAATTCACCAATCAAAGGATCACTCTATGCTAGTAAATATCAACATACTTATTCACCGACTACTAGAACATTGCAATTATCGAGAACACCAACATCATCACTGAAATCAAACTCTACAACACCAACCAAACCTTCTTCTTTGGGCAATCATCATCCATCGTCACCTTATACTGGTGACAATAATTTGAGTCTACAATTACACAAGTATCAACCAGATACATCATGGATTAAATCAAAAGAGGAACCGACACTAAAGACATCAATGTCGACATTGACTAGTGCCATGACCGATGATCATATGAGTCAACCAAAATCAAAGACTGGGTATGGAACCATTGGACATCATGGAAAAAAGACAAGTACTAGTTTTTTGAATATTGGTCAAACTAGAGAAATTGTATTTAATCCTTTAAATAATAATAATAATAATAGTACAACCATTAGTTATGGAGAATCTCCCACAAAGCCATCATTGGATGATATTCAATTTAGAAAATTGTCAATTACAAAGAGTAGTTTTGAATTGAATAATAATAATAATAATTATGATTTTAAATCAGTATCTTCACCATCATCACCAACCAATTCATTCCTACTCAAATCAAAGGAAGAACCTACGCCAAAGAAATCATCACATTTTTCGAAAAAGGAGGAAAAGAAGGAAAAGGAAAAGGAAAGGGAAAAGGAAAAGGCAAAACAAAAGTCATTTTTGAGTGTATCACCGACACTGTCATCTACATCATCGTCGTCACTTGAAAAGACGATTGCGGAAAAAGAGGAAAAGGGATCATCGTCGAAGTTATTTTCATGGGTGTCGTTGCGTAGAATCAAGAGATCCAATACAACGGAAATACAACCAAACCTTGCATTGTTGTCAAAGTCTACTGGTGGCACAAAAAAGGAGTTGGGCAAGGTATCGATATCAAGTCCTCTAACAGTCTCTAGTCGACTATCTCCTCGTGACCACCACAATGATGATAATGATAATGATGACGATGCCAACGATCATGAAGTCGATCTTATCAATCATCCACCTCATATTTTAATCAATGATAATGCAACAAGACTATCACCAATTATTAATTCCCCTTCATCACCAAATACAACGACAACTAGTACTACCAATACAACGACCAATACTACACCGCCTCCAACTCATCATCATGATGATAATGACCGTTCCTCTTCTAGTAGTAAAAAGAAATCATTTATTTCACATTCAATTATGATATTTAAAAAGGATATGAGTGATGGTAAATCTTCATATTCACAACCATCGTCACCAACTGGATCAGCACCAACACTAGAAGATGGATCACCCAAACGATTCATGTCTATTGCATCGACTATGCAAAAGGGTAAATCCAACCAACCATTATCCTCTTCTCCCAACAGCAACAATAATAATAGCTATTCAACACTATCAGCACCAGCTTCACCAAGTCATTCTTCTAAAAATCAACAACATCCTATTTCTTCATCTTCAAATATAACTATTTCAACAACTACTGCAAGACAAATATCATTATCAGAGGATACTATAATGACAGGACAAGATAATCATCATAATAATCAATTGGACAAGGATAGTACAAATGATGATAATATTTCGTCATCATTACCACATTCAACATCATCATTATTAAAACCAACCAATTTAAGAGTAGAACAATTAGTTGCCAATACACGTGTTGGTAGATCATCTTCGGTTGGTAGTTTGGTAGAAACTCCAAGATTTGATGTTGCTGATATTCCACCCCTCAAAGTACATGTTGCATCTTTAGAGGAATGTTTAGAACAATTCCAGAAACCATGGCATCCAATTCATGGAGGTGGAGGAGGTAGATGTTTTATTTTAGATCTTGCCAATTGTTCATTGGGTAATGAAGGTCTTGAACAAATCAATCAAGAGTGTCCTGGTGGATTAGAGGTTGCCGATCTTTCATGGAACGATATTAGCGATCAAGCATTTGAAGAGTTTGGAGAGATGTTGCGTCGTACGCAGTCGCTCATCACATCGCTGTCAATGCAAGGTAACCAAATATCTCCCACATCGGTTCAGAATTTCCTCGATTCTGTCGGGCAGATTGACAAGGAAAAGAAGGGATACTATGGATTTGGATTCAACCTCAAAGAGACGGGTATCGAGAATGAAGGTGCAGAGTACTTGGCCAATTATATCGGTGCCAACCGTACACCCGCCATTGTCGGTTTGAATTTGACGTGTGCGTCAGTCACTGATGTCGGCATGACACACTTTTCAGGTGCACTCGTTCGAAACAGCCATCTTACGACACTCATTCTCGACGAAAACTATCTCGGTGACGACGGTGCCGTTCTTTTGGCCGAGGGTCTTAAATTCAACAAGACCCTTACTCATCTCCAAATGAGAAACACTGATATTGGTGAAAACGGGTCGATCGAACTATCCAACGCATGTAAATTTAACACAACCATCTCACACATTGATCTGTCACTCAATCCATGGGGACTGGGTGGTGAGATTGCCCTTCAATCGCTACTTGTCACCAAACAAATGTTGGCCCGCACCCGTGGTGTCAATGTTCCCAAGGTGGTGTGGAAGGATGAAGGCATGGACTTTTGGGACGAAGATGAAACCAAGAGTATCATTTCTCACTTTGGCAAGGAAAAGATTATAGACTATTTGGTCAATGGCTTGACGCTCTCGCCATTGATTAGCCAAGAAAAAATATTTGAACATTTCAACATTGAAACTACTCATCTTTCTATTATATTCAAACAAATTGTCAACGTTGACAATCATATCAACGATAATCATCTCAATGCTCTTAAACTCCTCATTCAACTTTTACCAACTCATCTCGATAATCATATATTTTTAAATACTTTTTTAAATAATTTACAACCTTTAATTGCTTTAATTAATAGAACAAATAAGGTAAATAGAAAAAGAAAATAGAGAAATAGAAATAGAAAAAAGAAAAGAAAAAAGGTAACAATTTATTAATATATTTTATTTTTCTTTTATTATTTATTTGTAGAGAGTTGATTATTTATTATTAAATTTATTAGAATTCTTTACTTTATTAACACAATCAAATGATATAACTTGTTTTGATAAATTTAATGAATTTTCTTTATATTCAAAATGTTTGGTATGTTTTTAAAAAACAAAAAAAAAAAAGAAAAAGAAAAAAAGAAAAATACAAGTATTAATTTATTTATTAAATTATTTTATTTATTTTTAAATTTAGGAATTATTTTTTGAATTTCCATGTAATAATATACTTCATCAAAATATTTTAAATCTTGTGATTGCATCAACCAAACATAGCAATTTTAATCGTTTTGAACAATCCATTTATCGAATTGACTGGTCGAGTAAACTAGTTGCATTCTTGACATTGGAGTCACAAAACGAACCTGGATGCAGAACACCAAACTATGGACATCTTTTGGAAATATCAAAATTGTTGAAAAATATTTCCACCTCTCATCCATACCTCGCGACCAAGGAATGGAAGCAATTCCAATCAACCATTTTAGAAAAGGAAAGTCAACTACAAGAAGAATACCTTTGTGGATTTGTACCAAATAGAAATCAAAAGATCGATACTGCATTACTTGATAAATTTGAAAAAGAATTTAAAAGGTAAACAAAAAAAAAAAACAAGACTCCTGACCAACCAAACCTAAATAATATATATTATTTATTTGTAACCAATTATTTAATTGTAAATCATCCCCAAATTAATCTTCCAAGTAAATAGATTTGATAAAATAAAGGACAATCTAATTACTATTCAAGAAAAATTGTATTCATGATGGAAAACATTGAAATTGAATTATTAATGTAAGATCCATCAATCCATCCATCAACCCATCGATCTGGTAGAGCTTGGTATTGCAACCTGGTGTTCTAAAACTTGATGATTAAACTTGGGTTTTGTCTTGTCTAATACGAGTGGGCACCCTGGGTATGTGTGGTGTCTACAATTATTTATTATTATTATTATTATTGGATAGTTTTACTAGTATAGTTCTCCATCTAATCCCAACTTTAAAATTTGGGGATTATTTTGTTTTTTAATATTATTATGATACTCTATAGAAGTATCAAATGGATCATCGACATCTAAGAAAATGGCTCCTACTATGTCTCCATATTGGTTTCTAGTCACTTTAAATTGATTGGCTCTCATTCCAGCGGCTTTGGTTTTTTCCAATAAGTTTCTTAGGTGACTTGTTATTTGTTTGAGTTCTTGATATCGATCGTTCTGGAGTTCATCTCGAGGGAGTTGAAATTCTCTACTACTACTACTACTACTTTTCAAATCATATCGATGGTACTGTTGTGGAGCGTCACCAGTCAAATGAAAGACCAACAGTTTGGTCTTGACAGCATGGTGTTCTAGATGTTGATGATTGATTCTTGGTGTTAAGTTGTCATAAGGTGTTGTTGGTACAAATTCACCTGTGCCCATTGCAATCAATGTTGTTTCTCCCCTTGCTGCTGCTTTCTCTCGCCACAATCGGTACTCATCTATAGGGATACCAAAGTACATGCAAAGAGGACCCAAGAAGTCTACCTCTGGATTAATCTGAAATATATCATGATGATGATGATACTAAATACTAAATACATGATCGAAAGTTGGTTGGAAATAAATTAAATTATCTTTTTTCTCTTAATTAATCTTTTCAACTCTTGCCATTGCCATTTTTTCTGCGATTACTTCTTTTTCTTTTTTGATGATAGTATCAATTATTTCTCCTTTCAAAGCCTTTGAACGAAAAGTCCATGTTTCGTTAATCGCTTTTAATTGTTTTACAGTTAACAATTTAAGTTCTGAAATTCTAGTCTTTTCATCATATTGTTCTGTTGATGATGTAGATGAAGAAGATGATGACGAGGAAGATGATTGGATATTTAACTTTATCTTGGTAGCATTCACCATTCTTTGTTTGAGTTTTACATCTTGACGACTAGCCTGCGCGAGGTTTGAGAGCGCTTGCCACAATTCTGCCAGGCTCTGGGAATTTGTTTTTACCAACAAAAGTGTAAGTTTTAACCTCCTATCATATCCTACCTCCCTAGAAACAATTTTTAACTTGATCATTTATTTTACATGTACATGGGCAGTCATGAAGTTAATTATGAACTGATCCCATTAGATTACATATAATTTTTGTCTCAAAAGGTAAAAGTAGCCCAAGAATCGATATCCAGCGTGTTTCAAAGAGGTGAAGTAGAAGAAGCTCCTCTGCTCTAATGTTTCTACCAAGTCCATATTGTTTTGCATGTTTGTTGGCGTTTGTGAATGCACCATTTGCAAATTTGAAACCAAAATCTCTTAGTTGTGAAGCAGTATGAAAAGGTGATACCGATGATAATATTCTTTTAAAATGAACTAGTAAGATTAATCTTCCATGTTTAGATATGCTGAAACTTCTTTGAACCTCTGATTGTAGTTCTTGGTCGCCACCTGTATGTCTATTTAACGTAGATGATATTTGTTTTCTAATGCGTTGAACTTGTCTTAATGGATATGTTGGTTTAACGCGATTGCCAATGAATGGTTGAAAGTTTGCTCCTGTTGGTGGTGTTGTGATTGTTGTTGTTGTTGCTACTGCTGCTGGAGATGATTAATATGCTTAAAATAAAGATAAAAATATATCTATAATATTGATAAAAATATATTGTCATTCATAAATATCAATATATAAATAAATCTATAAATAATTATACGCATCGATCGTAATTACGATGAAGGTTTATTGTTTCCAAGAAAGATATTTTTTAAATTAATTTTTTTTTTTGATCTTCAATGCGATCTCTATTTAAATCACACAAATTTGGGCTCTTCATTTCATTATTATTTTTTAACTTCTCTCAATATTTATCTCCATCCCTTTCTATTTTATCAAAGTTTAATTACATTACAGTATCTCATTTTACTATTTACTCAAGTTATCTTCAGAGCAGTCTCTTGTAGCGCCACCACTGGGGTCCCCTCTCAAGATCGTTGCCACCATGGCCACCAAAGTGGAAGACAATCCATTCGAAAAGGGTCCTCTTCCATATCCAACGTATACACTAACGCGGACGACACAAAACCCACTCGATTCGGTCATGGGAAAAAGATGGAATAAAACCCAGAGTACATTTATGAAACATCTAGGCCAATACACCCGCCAGTATTACTCCACCTGTCGCATCACGGCACAACTATCACACGCTGCAATCATTTGCAACTCCAATGGTATGCATGTGTATCAACATCACCCCAACGGTTGAAAGGGATATTAATAAATTTATTTTTTTCTCTCTTTTTCTATATTTACCATTTTTAGTATTTAGTGGAGACAAGCAGGACTTCAAAAATGCACTCACCAAGTACTATGATACCACTGGATTGAACAAGATAGAAAAAGATGAAATGATGAAAGACATAGATAAATGTTTGAGTGGACCACTGACAATTGGAAAAGCATTAATTGACGCCGTGTTATGTAAAGTAACCCAAGTGGAAGAACGAAGTAGTAGTTCTTTACCACGCTGATTGTCAATGTGTTTATTCTTGTCCATGCAACTTTACAGTTTGATTATAGACCATGGACAAGAATAAACACATTGACAATCAGCGTGCCCGCTATGCTTATGCAAAGCGATTTGTGCCACCCACAACAATACCCAAAAACAAAACTGTTATTTGTATGTCATTTATCATATTTATATTTATTTATTTTATTAATCTTTTTTTTTCTAATCCTCTGTAGAGGTGGTGGTTCTGATTTTTACCGTTCCTCTCGGGGTGGTGGACCAACTGGTCTTGGTCCAAAGTCTTTTTACCGTCTTTGGAAGAATATGGGATACAAGGCTCTTACGGTAAATGAATTTAATACCTCCAAAGTATGTGTTTATTCTCGACCATCACTCACAAATGAAACCATTCATTAATAATATTTTTTTCCAAGATTCATAATGCATGTGCCGCTAAGATTCATCTTACCAACAACGAAATGTTTAAAGACAAAATTAAACATCAAAAGATTGAAAACAAACAGTTACCGGAATCTCTTGAAAAGACCCTTGTTGCGACCCCCTATTTCAGATAATGGTGTACATTGGGAATGCTACTTTAAAAAAGATGAAAAATGTGGCAAATGTGCTTGCAAAAAGTACGATTGTCAGTGCGCCAATGGTGATTTGGCAAAAGATATCAATAGTTCTCTGGAAACATTCATAACCCTCGAAAAGGGTTCACCTTCTCATACTTTGCCATTGGAGTCACTTTTGCAAACTCGATGGTGATGCGTGATGATTATGGTGTCAACTCCAGACCGATCAATATAAAATGACCTAGTGCACCTACTTTGGAAGTCATTCATTGTTACCTATTCCAACAACAACAACAAATAATGACAACCAAATATATGTTTACTTTATCTTCCATTTCAACGATTGTCAAACAACAACAACTACGATTATTATCAACATCAGCAAGTAGAATAGGTGCTATCAATCCTTCTTATGTATCTCTCCCTTCTCAATCATCTCATTTATTCAAATCATCATTTTCATCACAACAACCAGTCCAACATGATGCCCAACCATTATCATCATTATTTAAATCAAACTCTATCTTTCAAAGTGTCAATCAACTTGTGAAATCATCATCATCATCATCATCACCATCACCATTTTCACATAGATTCATCTCTTCTAGAGTAAAAGAACAAAATGAAGGTAAAGAAGATGTAGAAGATGAAGATGAAGATGAAGAAGAAGACGAATACGATGAAAATGTATGTATTATAATTAAATAATAAATCAATTAGTTAAAAAGTATACATATATTTATTGTTACCCCTTCTCTTTCTTTCTTTCTTTCATTCTTTTGCATTATAGTTTTTGGAGAAATCAATTTGGATTGATAATGTTGAAAATATTGAATTTAAATTAGCTAATCTCATAGATTCAAAACACCTCTTGGATACCTCATTAACAATATTGAAAAGATGGTTCCAAGTGGTGTAGAAGTACTATCAATCACTCCTTGTCATTGGGAAAGTGGTAGCTATGTTGTTTTCAGGTTCCCAAAACATCTTTTACTTGAAGACATTATTGAAACTGTCAAGACCAATGGTAAACAATTCAATCTGTCTTGTCATTGCTCCATTGTCAAGGGTAGAATAGAAAAGACTCAAATCTTGTATGGCAAAAGTGTGTATGTCAATGCTTCTGGTGGTACATTTAGACCCAACAACTTGACCTCATTGTTGAGGGAATATGGATTGACTATGATCCAGGCAAGTATCAATTTTTTGTTAACCATGAAACTTTCCATCATCCATATATATTTATATTAAAATTTATTAATATTTATTTATTTAAATTGTAGATAATATCTCGGAAAGAAATGTTCATGTTAAATTTAATTTGGAAATGGATGCAACGAGAGCAAGAAAATGTTTAAATCATAGTACTACACGAGATGTTGGTGACATAATTTTGTTGAACATTTCTTCAAAACCCCCAAAGTTGATGATGGTAAGATTAAGATTAACACTTCATCAATCCAGAAGATTAACTTTTGGTACTACTACTACTTCCAGCTTCGATCTAATTCGAACAAATAGATAATCATTAAAGAAGATTGTCGTCATCGTCATATTCAATAAATAAATAAATTAATTATTGTTTTGTAAGTCAAAATGGCTGGCAGTAGCGAAAACCCAAGGCATCTCGTCGACTTGACTCGACTTTAGTGCCACTAGATGAGGTTGCAGTCCGGTTTTTATTTAAACTATAAATATGTAGATGTAATGATGATGATGATCATCATCATCATTGTTATAAATATAGATAGATAGATAGATAGATATAGATAATCGATTCTCTTATAAAATGTACACAAAGAAAATATTATCTTCCTTTACAAACACACTCATCAAAAGATCATCATCATCATCATCATTGATCAATTCGAGTAGTAGTATTAGTCATCTTTCATTAAGCACTTCAACCTCTGTATCAAAGATAGTATCACAACAACATCAACAAGGTCAATCATTATATCAATCAAACTCTATCTTTCAAAGAGTACCATCATCATTCGTAGTCGGTCACAGATATCTATCAACTCAAAATAATGAATATGTTGCCTACAACAGTGACGTTTTGAATGTCCCCAAGCTTGAAGCAGAGCCTATTGTTGTTGTATGTATAGGTTATATTTACTTTTAAATCAATATATATTTGAAAAGATATCTAATGATTTGTTTATAATAATAGGATAACAAACAAGAAGGAACCATATGGATTGATTCAATTGATAATATTCAATTTGATATGAGAATATTCATCTTGGGGTCACCATTAAAGACACTTATTGAAAATATTCAACATGTTGCTCCAAAAGGTATCAAACTGGTAGCAATCGATGACAGAAGAGCTGAGAATGGTTGTTATGTCAACTTTGAGTTTGACTCAAACTCTACCTCGATACAAGAGATCATGGACAAGATCAAAAGTAATGCAGTAAAGTACAACTTGGTTTTAAATTGTTTGGAGGCTCGTGGCCAAATAGACAATGACGATACTACAACTGGTCGTTCTCTTGTCGTTACTTTTGATGGCAAGGAAATACCATTGAGCGAATTACATTCACTCCTTTCAACGTATGGCACAATCAATCAAATGAAAACTAAAAGTGGTCTCTACTTGGGAGGTAGCAAAAAAGGTGTAGTGGTAACATTTGACAACAAATTATCATCCTTGAGAGCTAAAAAATGTCTCTATGATTTAACATTACCACAAAGTAAAACTACTTTAAAGTTTAAATCAACTATAAGTGTAAGTTATATATATAATATTTATATTTATATTTATATTTAAATATATTAACTCACAATAATATTATATTCCCTTTTTCTTTTTATTTATTATTCTATTCTATTCTATTCTATTCTATTCTATTCTATTCTATTCTATTCTATTCTATTCTATTCTATTCTATTCTATTCTATTCTATTCTATTCTTTCTTTAGGCAACAACTGTTTTAATGGCTGCATTATTTGTATCAGCTATTGTATACCACATTTCAAAGATTGAACGGGTTCAAGAGTTATTGCAAAAGGGACTTGAATCAATTGGTGGTAGCGAGGCTATGGTATTTGGATATTTGGGAGAAAATGGTAAAACAGTAATCGAAGCAGTCTATCCGTCCGGACAAAAATTGATTGTAGCAGTTGAAGGTGGTGATCTAAAGAATACTCAATTACAATTCCAACTGACCAATACCCAATCATCAACCGATAGACCTCAAATCAAAACAACCAATTATCCAAAATCAAAAGGTTGGTTTAGTTGGAATGCTTAAAACAAATTTTCATCAACAAACAATCCACCAAACTATTACTGGCAACTACAAGATAAGATAGTCTTATTTTATCTCTTAAAATAAATGGTATTTCCAAAGTTCCAAGTCATCTTCTGTATCTGAGATTGAGTTTTCTTCACTGCAATTGGAGGGTGGAGAATCTGGTTGGTAGAAAGCTCTGGCCAGAGAGATCCTCCTCTCCGGTCTTTTTCCTCTCAAGCTCGGATACTTTTCTTTTTAGGTTTTGGTACTCTATCTAAAAAATCTAAAGCTATTGCTTTCAACTCCTTGTTCTTTTCCTGATCTACATCAAAGTCGGTACTCATAATTATATCTTGTGCTTGTATTTGAAGTGGTTTCTCTTTTCCTTCCATCTTTCTATCTATTATTGTTTTTGTTGAATAAATAATAATAACAACAAATAAAAGGATGAAAAAAATTAAAGAACATGTACTTCATCATGAAAAGATCGTCATTGATCAATTCGAGTAGTAGTATTAGTCATCTTTCATCAACCACTTCAACTTCGGTATCAAAGATACAACAACAACAAGGTCAAAGATTATATCAATCAAACTCCTCTATCTTTCAAAGACTATCTTCATCGCCATCATCATTTATTGTTGGTCACAGATACCTATCAACTCTTGTCCACAGTGTAACAGCAAATCCCACTGTTGATGTAAAAGTTGAAACACAATCCACTTCTACGACTACTATTGTGAATGTATGTATAGGTTCACCATTAGAATTGAAATCAGACTGATTAATTAATGATTTTAATTTAAAATATTTATTTAAAATAGGTTAAACGAAAGATATGGATCGATTCAATTGATAATATTCGATTTGATATCAAGGTATCCCTTTTTGGGTCACCAAAGAAAAGTCTTATTGAGCATATTGAACAAATTGCTCCAAAAGGTGTTAAACTCGAAACAATAAGTGATGGACAAACCAAGAATGGTTGTTATGTCAATCTAGAGTTTGACCCAAACTCTACCTCTATGCAAGAGATTATGGACAACATTAAAAGTAATGCAGTAAAGTACAACTTGGCTTTACATTGTTTGGAGGCTCGTGGTAAAGAATACTTGGATAATGATATATTCTTTCGCTCTTTTATTGTCAATTTTGATGGCGGCAAGGAAATGTCAATGGGTGATTTGCATTCATTACTCTCGTCGTACGGCCCAATCAATCAAATGAAATTCACATACAGCTTTTATTATAAAACTAGAAATGGAGTATTGGTAACATTTGACAAGGCACTATCAACAATGAGAGCTAGAAAGTGTCTCTCTGGATTGGTCATACCAGAAAGTGAAACTACTTTAAAACTTAGATCAATCATTAGTGTAAGATAGATAGATAGATAGAATTTATTAAAGACGCTAAAATGTTTTATATTTATTTAATTAATCAAACTCTCTCTCTCTCTCTCTCTCTCTCTCTGACACTCATAAATAATCTTTTTTAATCTTTTTTTTAGTTAACCACATCTGATATAGTAGAACTTATAATAATCTTGATGAAAATAATATTCTTTGTTTGTTTAACCAATCTTATCGTCGATTCAGGTTTCTCAATTCAGAAGTATTTACGTGAGAGAAAAAGACTCGAATCACCTGGCGAGAACTTTCAATTTCCATATTTGGGAGAGGATGGGAAAACAGTAATCGAAGCAGTCTATCCATCTGGACAAAGACTGGTTGCAACAATCGAGGGTGGTGATCTCAAGAATACTCAATTACAACTCAAAATCTCCAATACCCAAGCTTCCACCCCAGCACCTCAAATTAAATCACTAAATTATTCAAACCAACCTCAAATCAATTTAGTACTATGCCTCCACTAAACAAATAAATTAATTAATACATAAATAAATAAATAAACAAATAAACAAATAAACAAATAAATAAACAAATAAACAAACAAATAAACAAATAAACAAATAAATAAATAAATAAATAAATAAACATATAAACAAATAAATCTATTAATATCCTAAAACTTATCTATTCAGATTTTTTTTAAAAAGGAATCTTTTTAGATAGACGTAATTGTCTGATCATCATTGTTTATTAAGATTAATATATATTTATATAAATACATCAAGATATGAATGGATAGATAAGTCAACAATTATAAAATGTATACAAATAAGATGATAACATCTTTATCATCTCGTGTTACAAATACACTCATCTTTAAAAGATCATCATCATCATTATTGATCAATTCGAGTAGAAGTATTAGATCTACTTCAGTAACAGTATCACAACAACTACAAGGCCAAAGATTATATCAATCAAATTCCTCTATCTTTCAAAGAGTATCTTCATCACAATCATCATCTATTGTCGGTCACAGATATCTATCAACTCAAAATGTTGCCCCCAAAGTTGAAACACAATCCAAGGAACAAGGAAAGATATGGATTGATTCAATTAGGAATATTCAATTTAGTATCAGAGTATTCCTTTTCGGGTCACCAAAGAAAAGTCTAATTGGAAATATTGAAGAGATTGCTCCAAAAGGTGTTAAACTCGAAGCAATAAGTAATGGACAAACCAAGAATGGTTGTTATGTTTCTGTCAAATCTTCTACTACGAATACTCAAGAGATTATGGACAAGATCAAAGAGAATGCAGTAAAGTACAACTTGGCATTAAATTGTTTGGAGGCTCGTGGTCAAATAGACAATATTGCCGCTACCACTATTCGTTCTCTTGTTATCACTTTTGATGGCAAGGAAATGTCATTGAGTAAATTACATTCACTCCTTTCAACCTATGGAACAATCAATCAAATGAAAACTAAGGGAAGCAATGGAGTATCGGTAACATTTGCAAAGGCAGAATCAGCAACAAGAGCCAGAAAATGTCTCCATGGATTGACCATACCAGAAAGTGGAACTACTTTAAAGATTAAATCTACTTTGACTGTAAGATAGATAGATAGATAGATAGATATTCAAGACACAAATATTACATGTTTAGTCAATCTCTAACCCAGAAATCTTTCTTTCTTTATAGCTAAAATTTTTAATACAAGAGTTGGTAAAGTTGGGAGGCATTTTGTTGGTATTCGGAATCATAAATGATGCAATTATTAGATATCTTGTGAGAATCTAAAAGAAAAATAAATAATTTGTAAATCCAACCCAAATGGTTTATATATATAATAACCTTTGATTTCGGGATCCCATCAGTTCAAACTATGAACTATTGAATAGATCGGAAAATGGATCATATATATCAAATTGGCTTTCATTTCTGTCTAATGGTTTGACAATAGAGAGAAATATCTTGTGCTCGCGTTGGTATCTTTCTACTTTGAAAGGTTTTTTTTGTAGGTATTCGACAGGACAATGCTCACTCCACAATAAAACATGTCTCCAATAATCTTTGGTCATTTGTCTACATTGGTTGATGCGATTGATTTCTTCATCTCTCTTTTCTTTTGCCATCCCCTCGAAAAAGTCCGCAACATAGTTGTCACTGTGTTCCATACGGAATTCATCAATGTCTGTCATACACTCACTATATCTCTGGTGTTGATTAAGTATTCCTCTTTCTGTCCGTCTCTGTTTGTCGATTGCTCTTTCACTCTTTCTTCTTTCTTCTTCAATTTCTCTTTCTTTAGGTTTACTACCCGACAAAAGAATAGCAGTCGACATAATTGTATAAACCAGCAGAGACACAGACCCAGCTACTATTTTTGAGGTATCCTTCCAATTATTCTTGTTGTTGTTATTTCTCTGACTTGACCCATTCATATGCTTGTCATCCTCCCCCCTCTTTGATACAAGTAGGAGTAGGAGGAGGAGGGATAATTTTATCTGTTTCTGTATTTAGCATAATTGTATATTTGTTTGTAATTAAGATCTTTGTTTGGAATAGAAAAGTGTTGTTAATTTTGTGGGTTAACTTAATTTAATTCTTTTCTTTTTTTTTATTTAATCTATATTTCTCTCATGTCGTCATCAACTAGTTAATACTTTGTTCTTGTCAACATCTATTCAAGTAATGATAAGAACCTTCATCCATCAACAAGACAACTCATAAACTCTGGTATGGGTGAGGTTGCAGTCCGGTTTTTAAAGAGGTTGCTTTGGCTACACAAAGTAGATGTAATCATGATGATGATGATGATCATAATCATCATCATCATCTCTTTATTATCATGATTACTATCATTGTTATACAAACATAGACAAGATAGATAGATAAGTCAACAATTATAAAAATGTATACAAAGAAAATCATTACATCAAACACTTCAACTCCAGTATCAAAGATACAACAACAACAAGGTCAAAGATTATATCAATCAATCTCCTCTATCTTTCAAAGACTATCTTCATCACCATCATCATTTATCGTTGGTCAAAGATACTTATCAACTCTGAATGTTGGTTTCCCCAAAGTTGAAACACAATCTACTACTATTGTGAATGTATGTATAGGTTAGTTTATCCAACAAGGTTATAAAGACTATACAATTAATTGTTTATTTAATTTATATTTTCCTATTTAAAATAGGAACAAGAAGGAAAGATATGGATTGATTCAATTCGCAATAATCGATTTGATGCCAAGCTATCCCTTTTTGGGTCACCAAAGAAAAGACTTATCGAACATATTGAAGGGATTGCTCCAAAAGGTGTTAAACTCGAAACAATAAGTAATGGACAAACCAAGAATGGTTGTTATGTTTCTGCCAAGTTTGACCCAAAGACCACCTCTATGCAAGAGATTATGGACAAGATTAGAGAGAATGCTGCAAAGTACAACTTGTATTTACATTGTTTAGAGGCTCATGGTCAAGAATATTCGGGTAGTACTGGATTCCTGACCACTTTTATTGTCACTTTTGATGGCATTGAAATACCATTAAGCCAATTGCATTCATTACTCTCTCCCTATGGCTCAATCTATCAAATGAGAACCAAAGGTAGGTTTAGTGAATATCTATGGTCCCGAATAGGAATATCGGTGACATTTGACGAGGCAGTATCAGCAACACGAGCCACTAAATGTCTCCATGGATTGTCAGTATCAGCAACTCGAGACACTAAATGTTTCTATGGATTGGCTCAACCAGAAAGTAAAACTATTTTAAAGTTTAAATCAATCATGAATGTAAGTAGATAGATAGATATTAAAGACACAAAGATACATGTAATTTTGAAATGACTCTAACCTAAATCCTTCTTCTTTTTTAGCCAACAACAAGGGATATTATATATCTATTAAAGGACTTGACAGTGATTGCCCTACTTTTCATGGGAATCGGAATTACCTATGATTATTTGGCCTATAAACAGTCATTTTTAAAACAGTTAAGTGAATCGAGAGAATTTCTATCTCAAATCAACGACTCTATAAATCAAATAAAAGCAGTGAAATAAATAAATAAATAAATAAATAAATAATAACAAATAAAATAAAATAAAATTTAAGTCAATCTATATAAATATATATGTTTATTATAAATGATTTTTGAATTTTGGTTCTTCCCACCAAAGATCATCCTTTCCATTTGAATGAGAATAGATTAAAGAATCCTTTTGTTCTTCAGAAAGATCGTCAATACATGCAATGATGGCTCCTACAAAGGCTCCTCCCAATTGCTCTACATATCCGGTGCCGTGAGTCTTGATGGCACAAGTTTTACATGAGCAATGGTCACCAGACTTTGAACCAAACCGATAGACCGATAGATTATCAGCACCTGCAACCAATCTGAATTGTTCTGGTTTAACAACGATACCCCATTGTCTAGCCTTTGCACAGAACGAACAATTGCATCTATTGGTCTTTGCGTATTGAAGGTCTAAATCTACTTCAAATTTAACTGCTCCACAATGACAACTACCGTGATATGTTTGTACTCCTTCCTTGAATAATTCTGGTTTACGTGTTGCTAATTCTTTTGGTCTTGATGATTCCATTATTAATTGATTGATTGAATAAATAGTATTGTGATAAAAATAAATCGAATGATGCGCGATGTTGAACTTTGAGGGGTTGTGAAATTTGGATGGTTTGATTTTTGAAAAAAAATGATCCGTTTTTAAACCTTTTGGTGAGTTGACTTGGAGCGAGACGACCATCCATCCATTTCTAGGAAATTTGAAATTTCTTTTGCAACAAGTGTAGTTGGATGGGGTTACAAACTATTTCGACATAATGAGTATACTTTATTATTTATTTAATTATTTTTGTATTTATAGTTGCTTTTTTAGGCAGGTGTAGTTGTTCTTGATAATTTAGCATTTAATTTAGCTATTAGTTGACGTTGTAATTTTAATTTTTTGAAATAGATGGTTGATCCAATTCCAATACCAGCCGCACTGATTAGACCGACCGACAGCCCAACTATAAGCCCAAGGTTCTTTGCATTACTGCCACTACAATCGTTGAGGTTGACAGTACCGTCCATATTGGTTTGTAGCAACAGTGAAAAGTCTGGATCTAAATCTGCATCTTTAGAAAAGTATGGTACCAATGTCAATAGAGAGTAATGGTCAGATGATGACGAGGAAGGATCAGTCGGCTCTACAGTTTTATAATATATCTTTTTAGGGATAGAATCTAAAAGAGCACGATTAATCAGTTTACCAAATACATGATGTTCTTCTTTTTCATTACCAAGTGTAATGAGTGTTGTCTTTTCATTGGTATTGGTGATAGTTGGAAGTTGTCCACCAGCAGCAGATTTAGTATTACCACAATTATCTTTTGGAGTAGATAGAGTAGTTGAAATCTCCAATGTATTTAAAACTGATTTAAAATTCCATTTCTTTATCTTTAGACTATACTTTAATGACCCATATTTAACATTGAATGTATCACCTGCAAATTCATATGGATATGTATCCAATGTACTATTGGTCATTGATCCATCAACATTGTCATGTTTCTTTTCATAAAGTATAAATACAATTGAAATGGAATAATCATCTGATGTATTTAAAAGTGAATAGGTCCACTGATTCTTGATGAGTTGTGATTGATCAATTGGATGATTTACGGTTATGTTGGTTTGTGATGAATCCAGTGCCCAAGTTTCATTGGCCAATGACATGATAAATGCAGATTCATCGTCCATTGTCTTTTCAGTGATAGTGACAAGTGAGAATTCATAAGATACACCATTAATGGTAACCTCTAATAGTGGTTTATCTTGAACTGGTTTAACAATGACATCTTGTTGGTCAGTTGGTTTTGGAGCATTACAAATCAATCCATTCCATCCAGCATTGCATTCACATGACCCTTGCAAACATTCACCATTGTTACTACAGTCACTAGCCGATTGACAAATAAAACTTTTTGGTGTGTCTCTAAGAGTACGAGTTTCAATGGTTGTATTGACCCATTCAAAGTCTGTATTAATAACAGATACTCTGATAAAGTAGTTGGTATCAGATACCAATCCACTAAAATGACATTCCATAGGATCAACAGTAATGTTTTGACAATTTGGAGTATCCAAAATAAAATGGACACCGTCAAATGAAATAAATGCAGAGTAAGAACTAGCCTTTGGGAATCCACCAGTACTAGAAGTCCAGTTGATCGATATATCATTGACCAATGTATTGTTGGCAATTTGAACTTGACTTGGGTAGGTATAGGTATAAAAGGTTGATGTGGTTGTTTGAGTGTCATCATCATTGGTTGCTACAACTCTGATATTCAAACTATCACCTGGAGAAAAGGTTGAATATAAACAAGAGGCAGCGGTGGTGGTAGGACAACTTTCTTGTAATGCATTGTTGACATAAACCTGATAGACTGTTTGATTTGGAATACCATCGGTTGAACTGTATTCAATCAATACACCAGATTTAACTTGAGTAATTTGTACCAATGGTTGGGAAACATCTTTCCAAGTAGGTTGAACCTTTTCAGATAGGATTGTATCTCCATTATTGGTAACTGTCACTCTAACCAAATAATAGGTATTATGTACCAAGTTGATGAGTGTACATGTAGTTGTTGCAACATTTATACATCCAACTTGATTGGTTCCGTTTATAGAGACAGTGTATCTTGTTGATCCAACAACACCATCACTTGATCCATACGTGGCTATCATTGATTTGGTAGTGATCGACGATAGAGCAAGAGTTGGTGTGTTTACAGCCTTTACAGTAGTTGCTTGAGCATCCTTGGATAAACTATCACCATCATTTGAAATGGATACAGATACAGTGTAGAGAGTGTTGGGTGTTAGTCCTGTCAAACTACATGTTGTGGTAGTTTGGCTAGTACAAGTTGTTGGACTACCATTAAGAGTGACAGTATAACGAGTATCACCTACAACACCTCCACCTCCAACTCCAAATGTAGCAAGCATTGTTTTGGTTAAAACATTGGACAGTGTAATGGATGGAGTGTGGATGGATAGGACTGTTGTGAGAGAGGTTTCAACAAACTTGGTTGTTCCGTCATTGGTACATTGGACACGGATAGTATAGGCAGTGTTGGGAGACAGACCAGTAACAACAGTCTGAGTATTACTACCAGAGTATACTTGTTGACCATTTCTCAATACTACCCATGTATACCCTTTTGAAGAGTCACCACCATTTGGAGCATATGTTACAGTAATAGACTTGGTCTTTGTGGTAGATGCAGTGATGGATGGATCAGACAGCGCAGCAAATGTAGAGATGGGTGTGCCGGGACCGTTTACACTTGTCCCATCATTGGTAGCAGTGACAGTCATGGTATAGGATGTACCAATAGCCAGTCCCGTAACAGTACAAGACAACGACGTTATCGATTGACATGGTGTAAATGTGATACCATTAAATTTAACGGTATAGGTTGTCAAACCAGGCACACCATACAGAGAAGCACTCCAAGACAGTGATACAGAGTTTGTAGTAGATGAGATAGAGGTGATGGTTGGAATAGAGACTGACTGATACAGAGTGACAGATGTGTACTGATAGGCAGATACACCGGCAGCATTTTGAGCAGCAACACCAATATCCAATCTCTGACCTGGCGAACCGGAAATAACACAGGTTGTCTGTGATGGGCACCCAGAATGAGCTCCTCCATTGAGAGAAAATACATAATTTGAAACATAGGTTCCAGAATAGGAAATGGTTGCCTGTTTGGTGGTATAACTAATAAGTGACAATGAATTCATCGTAGCTGGTAAGTTGATTTGGTTGGTTGCAGTCTCCCAAGATGGGATACCTCCAATCACAGGTTGACCAAACAATTCAACTCTTAGACCGGTTGATTGAGGGATACCAGAGATAGTACAGGTAAGAGCTGCTTGACAAACCAACTGCCAACCACCATTATAATAGAAAAAGTTGTATCTTGATGGAGAGTTTGGATAATTGGAAGTGACAGAGGTAACAATAATTTGTGATCCGCTGACATAATAACTGGGGGTCAATGAAAAGATGGCCGTGACTCTTTGAGCTCTAGTCACTCCACCAGCATTCAATTGACATGCCTTTGTATAAACCATCGTTCCTCCCATACTACATCCTGCAGGACTATAAATATTCATTTCTAATTGGCTATCTGTTGCTGCTGAAACATATAATCCAGCTCTAGAAAATTAAAATAAATAAATAAATAAATATTAATTATTCTTATTATTATTAATATTTGTTTACTTACGTTAATTCATCATTTGAAACACAATTTAAGAACAAGTTATCAGCTACCAATACTCTAGCAGAGTTTGGTTCATCGGCATTACAATTGGAAATATAATGTTCGTAATAGTTGAAACCTGGAGTTGGATAGACTGGTGCAGAGACGTAACGGATATAGGTTGGTGCTTCCAAATTACCATCATCACAAACATCTTTGGCAACAGATTTAGTTATTTCAGGTGCACCTGAACAATAATCATTTGCATAAAGTGATCTAACAATTGATCCTCCAGAAACTTCAATTTTAAATGATCCTGATGGTTTTCTTTTTCAAGAAAAGAAATATAAATTAATAAATTAATAAATAAATAAATATTAATATTATAGATATTTCTAATTACATACATATAACATTGACCAGTAACATAACTAGTAACTTTTCTAGGGACACCAGTACACCCAAGATTTTCATAACCTTGGTATTGATTAATTTCCAACCATTGTTGTGCTATGACTACTACTGTCGATTGAATGAAAAAAATAAATAATAATACAAATAGATAATGATACAGTGAATAAATTTTATTCATGTTGCGATGAGCGATATAAATAAATTTATGTGGTGATTGATATGTGTTGTGATTTTAAAATAATGATCACGATTTGTGGAGAGGGGAAGGACTTTCAGACTAGATTCTCAAAGTACTGGTTTGTACAAAGGCGGCTAAAAAAAATGGGTTACTTACTTCAAAATATCTTGATTTTCAAAAGATAATTTTACTATCGATGGCATCATTCGCATTAACATAATCAATCTATTTTAAATCTTCGATTATAATTGTTAGATTCATCTATATTTATAATTAGATATATATATATAAATAGATATCTGTATAAGAGAGAGAGAGAGAGAGAGAGAGAGAGAGAGAGAGAGAGAGAGAGAGAGATGATAATAGAGAATGAATGAAAAAACTAAATTCATTCTCTATTATCAAACACACACAATAATGATCATAATAATTTAAATAATTTGCACCAATCAATCATTACTACCCAATGCCGTTTTATATCGATGAAAGAAGAATTATAATTGTGTGATTGGTTAATTTTAACCAAACCACACACACCCTCTAAACCACAATCTATAAATGGCAATCAATGTATGTATAACCATGGACTTGAATATTTAAATCTTCTTTTAATATTAACTGTCAATTGACAAAAGGATTGCTAGGATTACTATAAATTGATTGACCCTTCTTGTTCTACATTCAACACACATATATATATTAATATTAATATAAACATGAAAACCATTACAATTATTTTAGTAATCATTGTTTATTTTTGTTGTTCTATTTTGGTTTTTGCTCAAGGTATGCGATGATGATATAAATAGAAATATAATAATAATAATCAATCAATCAATCTAAAATTTCTTTTTATTTATTTATTTATTTTTAGATTTGAGAAGATTACCAAGTTTAATAAGAGATCAAACACCTGAAAGAAATCCAGATTTTGAAATTGATAATCCAAATCGTGTTATTACTGGAATTGTAAAAAAGGAATTGGGAAAAGATAGTAAACCAGTCTATTGTTGTGGCAATGATTCGTACCCTAGTAGACTGAATGGCTACGTTGTACACAATCAATCAACCTTTAACTCTTGGTTTAATAATGTACCAGGCGTCAATATTCCGATTCCCTTTACATTGACTTTGACGAAAAATAGTACTGATCCATTAATGGACACCTATACATTCAACAATGACGCCTTTTTCCCAATTGAAGGAAAGGGTTGGGAGGCACCTGGTGCAGACCCAATGATTAGAAAAAGAAAATACCTTCACAACTTTCATTTTTGTATGGAAACTCATGCTTTTTTTACCTTTTCTGTAAGAATCGAATAGAAAAAAAAAAAAAAAAAGAAATAATTATTAATTTATTTTAATTATTAGGGAATTGCAAATCAATTTATAAATGTTAGAGGTGATGATGATTTATGGTTATTTATCAACAAACAACTGGTAGTTGATTTGGGATCACCTCATTCCTATCTAATTGGAGGATCAAGGTCTTTGGTACTAGACAAATTGGGGTTGGTCAAGGACATGGTGTATGCCTTTGACTTGTTCTTTTGCGAGCGTCACTCTATGGAATCTCATCTTCAACTTTCTACATCTCTTTCTTTATTTCCTAATCCTAGATTTCTAGATTTTAATGGAGAAGCTACTTTGTAAATTGGATCCATTTATCTTTTTTTTAAAATAAATTGGACTGAAAAGTTTTTTTTTCTTCAATGAATAGTTTTTAATCAGGAATTAGTTTTTGGTCATACAGACTTTACCAATTTTAATCAAACATCGTAAAATTGTAGAGAATTGTTTATAGAAAGAAAAAATTCACTTTATTGAGCAAAAGAACAATAGCTTTATCCAAGTTTGAAAGAATGTTTTTATGATTTCCATTTTTTTTATCATTTTTCATCTGGAGTGGGTTTTTATGTTCAGGATTTGATCAATTTTAATGATATATGGATGAAAAAGTAGGGAATTGTGTGTAGAACAAGAATATAATGAAAAAATTGGCTTGTGGCCAGGCGGCAGAAAAACATGCAATAAAGTCGCTCCTAGTTGGGATCGAACCAACGACCCTGCGGTTAACAGCCGCATGCTCTGCCTACTGAGCCATAGAAGCACTATTTTTGGATGATGATATAAACAATTTTCGACTATTTATAGGCGTCATGAAAAAAATAGTTACCTTTTGTACATGCCTCCAATTTTTTTTCGTAGAGAAACCTCACCTCTTTCTTTTTACCACATCAACTTGATGCTGCTGATTTTCAAATCTTGGTACAGCCTTTAAACTTGACATTCTAATTTCATCCATTACCCATCTCACAATCATGGGTCACCAATCTACTTCTTCTATCTTTAGATCTTGTTCTTTATTATAAATACTCTAATATTTTTAAGGACCGTAGCTAAATACATTTATTTCTATTCCGATGACAACAATCAATTCATTACATCAACATCTAAATCTTCATCGATTGATTCTTCTTGGTTAATTAATTCATCGATTGACTCTGCGTCTGTAGATCCATCATGTTGAATAGATTCGAATTCATCGATTAAATTTACATTGATTAATTCATCCATGGATTCATCTTGTTCAGTTGATTCGAATTCATCATCAACCAATTCTTCATCTTGTAATGGGGCCACAACTCTTTTCGATCGAACATTGTTTCTAGTTTTCAGTCCTTTGTCTCTGTGATACCGGATAGTTTGTTCCTCTCGATGATGGCGATAACACATGGTCTTGCATCTTGCATAGGCTAGAATGCTACCACCACATGGAGGACTTCCATTCCAAGAATAATTGCAAAGGTTCTTGTGGAATACAAGCAGGTTGGAATAAGGAACCCTATTTGCCCTAGCACATTTCGTACGGCAATATGGTGCATCACGATATTTTGGCCAATCTGGGCAAACATTGCGGACTTTTTTCTTGCAATGGATGTATAGACATGGATGTCCAGTACGCATGGAAGCAGGTCTTCTGTTGGGTCTTTTGCTCGGCACTCGGATACCTGGTATATGAGTCAATTCTGAGCCTGCGAGGTCACCTATATACTTGTAAATTCCTTTTACATTGAATTTTTCTAATCGATAAATTGATTTTAATCTAATCGAAAAAAGAGGTTAGAAAAATTTTTTCTTTCTTTCTTTTTTTTCTTTCTTTTTTTTCTTTTTTTTTTTACATACTCTTGTATAAGTAATCTATTACTAGGTTCGATTGTATATCGAGAGAGTGAGCTGATAAATAGATGATTGTATTCCATTTCGAGAAAACGAATGGCATTTGCAATCAAGAATTCACCATCTGGTCTGAGAATATCTTTGAAACCAACCAAATTGACTGCTCTTCTCACCATTGCACCTGCTGGCTCTTGATTGATACGATTTTCTTTAAGATAGCTTGGGAGATTGTTGTCGATTTCCTTGACCAAGTCACACTCTGCTATATGTTCTTGAATAAATTCCAAATGCTTCATTCTTTGACAAACTGGACACTTGACCATTCCATCTTTATCATGACATTTTACAAGATGAGATTTAATGTCTTGGGGGAGGAATGACTCTTGACACGTTGTACATTGAATTCCTTGTCGATTGGGAGTGCTTTCGATTCGTCGATGAATATGATCGATTGGGGGCTTTGGTTTAACATTTATAGGGATAGGGTTATTTCTAAACCGGTACATTAGAGCTGCCAATCTAGCCATTTGACCTTTCAACTCTACGTATCTATTGAGAGAATCTAGTTTGTCTTGAATGAATTTTCTTGTATTTGGATCTTGAGTCAACATTAGGATTTCATAAAACTCTTTGGTTTGGGCTACATCTTTATTGGCTCCCCAGTTCTTTTCAATTTCCATTAACAATACATGTTTACCATATGCATAATCGTGAACTTTCTGATATTCTTGTTCATCTCTAATAAATTCTATTTTATCCAATAAATCTTGGGGTTGTGGTGGTGGCTGAGAATGATCTTGAAAAGGATTCAATCTTAAATCATTTCTTTCTGGACCATCATCTTGATCATCTCTTGTTCTTTTAGTTTGATTCTTTAGAAAAGACCCAGTAAACTTTAAGATGACAGATAATTTTAATCCAGAAAATACATACTTGACAGATGATCGGAACAATCGGTCAAGCTTGACGGCATTACACATAATGTCAATATTGTGATCTCCCAAGACTGTTGGGGGATACATCACAGGGTTGAATTGGACGTGACATTTACCACCCGTCATGACTTGTTGAGAGATGCTTCTACGAGTGGGCAACTCTGTCAGAGTCAAGTAGTTGGCATAGTTGGAAATAAAGGGATCTTTTTCTAGAAGCTCTTGATTAAGATTTGCCACTCCACAGTGTTGACGGATCGTATTGACAGTGTCGATCATATGTTTCTTTGGATCTTTTATTCCGAGTACCAACTCTGAAGGAGGAAACAAGACAACAACTTTAAAGCCAAATTGTTTACCAAGTTCTATGACCTTTGCAAGTACTACCTCGTCTCTTGCTATACGATCTATTGTAGTTCAAAATAAAACCCCAGTCAAACATAAAACCCATTTCACCCATTACCACTTTTTCAAATTTAATAGAAAATTTTGAAATTGCTTCTAATACTAATATGGCTAAATTAAATTAAATTTGTAAATAATTAATTTAAATAAATATTATTATTATTTATATTTACCATTTTCTTGATTCATATCTTCTTCTTCTTCTTCTTCTTCTTTATCATCATCTTCTTTTTCTTCTTCTTCTTCTTCTTCATCAACATCATCCTCTCCTTTTTCTTTTTCTTTACTTGTTGATTTGAAATATTGATCAATCATGGCTTGAGTCATTTCCATAGGATGAACTTCATGACCAACACATACACAACTGTGTTTTGACTCTCTGAATAGTTGACGTTGTATTAATATCTGATGATTGGGGCTGTCGCCATCAGAGTTGTTAGATTTGGATGTTCTAGAAAAGGATAAAACATTTTTTATACCATTAAAGATCCAACAATAGGCATTCTTTACTTGTGATTCGATGAAAACTTTCTTGAGCCAGTGATCCGATTGGTGAAATCGGTCTTCATAGAGTCCATGTTGGCCAGATGAATGATAGTGTGTTTCACAGTGTTGAAATATATCATTGATAAACAATTTATAGTCTATGACTGAAAACTTTACCATTCCACTGTCGTTCAAGAAATGCATTCTATATACCACTTTGTGTCCGAAATCGATAAAGTATGGTGCCTTGACTATATTTGGAGTGTGTACATCACCTACAACGAGTATGGTCCACAGTTGTTCAAAGTAGGCAAAGGTTTCTCTAATCTCGACGGGGGTGTCGGGACCAACGTTCTATAGTTACCCAAATGACGGTATGTCTGAAATCGAGACCAGCCAAGAGATGCTTTGGTTGCATTCTCATATGCAATGGGAACCAGAAGGAACTGGCAACCTCTTCAATGATGCGAAGGGAATAGTCTTGAGTGTTAAACTTGCCAACTGTTGGAATGTTGTGACTACCATTCTTGTTGTTGTTGTTGTTGTTGGTCATAACCATGAGCAGACATAATAACTTGCAGACTTGGTGTTCAAATGATTGGGGTTTCCTCTTTTCATCTCCAACACTTTGTCTTGCAAACAACCATACGTGCGTAATTGGATCAAAGTCACTATCCTTCCATAATTCTCGAATTTCTTCTGGTCCAAGAAGAAGACGTTTGTCATCAGATGTCTGATCTTGTTGTTGGGATTTCTTCTTTGCTTTTATATTTTCTTCATCTTGAGCACGTTTTTCTTGTCGATCAGCAATTTGTTTGACTTTGATTCGATCCATTTCTGCTTTGGCATTTTCATTCAGTTCAGTGATGTTTGGCAACGAGTTGATTGAACAATTAAATATTGTATCACGTTTTCTTACTATTCCAAACCATCTATCTACATTTATCTTATTATTATTATTTAATTCATCTAATAGAAAATAGAAAAAAGAGAGATATTAGAAAACTATTTGAAAAAAATACTTTTTTTTTTTTTGTTTTTTACCTTGAATAGGAATAGGATCATTTGGATTCTCCCTAAAGCACAACAAGTAATTACCTCTTTTACTATTAATGTGGACATCTCTAGTCTCGAAAATGGAATCCAATGAATCATAATAGCGATTGATAATTTGATATGGTATGGTCAAATAGTGAGGTCCTGCTTGCGTTCTAATATGGTATGTCATGAGAATGACACTATTGGTAGTCTCGGCAAATTTAAACAACATTCTACGATATACACCAGACTTGTAAACTTTGATACGACCCTTGGATTGGCAATTTGTTTTTCAATAAAGAATCGCACCAACAGCTTGGTATTGTCATTGAAACAGTTGACCATGTCGTCATCTCGCAAGAATGAATGAATCTCGACCAAGTCGGTTTCAACATTGTGTTGGCTGTATAGATAAAGGAATCTAAAGAGTCTCAATAAACTGGAATCCAACCGAGTGTGGCAATGTTGTATATGCAAATAGAAACACATACTTTGCATATATATATCCAAACAGGTGAAACCAATCAATATCCTCTGCTTTGATTTTCTCTTCTGTTTAGGTACTGTCAGTAGTAGTGCTGGTAGTGGTAGTAGAGGTAGATGAAGATTGATTGGTGTAAAATCGAGTAGAAGATGAGTCATTTTACTTTCTTTTGTGGAATTGGTTGAGAGAACTGTACAGAATAAAGGCGAAAAGGAGATTCAAACAGGAAACTGTTGGGGGTGGAAAAATTTTTTGAAAAAATAAATAAATAAATAAAACAAATTTGCTCTACTGAGATTCGAACTCAGATGACTGGATTCAAAGTCCAGGATACTAACCCTTATATGATAGAGCAATTGTGCTTCAATTTTTAAATTTTACAATCTTACGGGGGTCACTCTGCGATTTTTTTGAATATTCATTGTCTCTGAACCTCTTTCATCATTACAACATATAGAGATGTCTCTATACACTCGTGCTTTGACTAATCATATTCGTTGCAAGATGGTCATTGAATTCAATTATAGTCAAGAGTACTCGTGATTCTATTTTTTTATAAAATGAATTTATTTAAATGTATTATTAATTTTTTTGATTTTGATTTTTGATTTATTGAATTTTGAAAACTTGTTTCATATATTTAATGAGAGCGACGTCTTGTTTGGACAATTCATCACCCCAACCTTGTTTGAGGGCATCGATAGAGTCACGTGAAATTTTAGAGAACCAAACCTTTTTATCGTCAAAGTGACGGCCAAAGGTAGTGCTAGCGCTAGAGTCATTGATCGAGATGGAGACTTCGTCACCCTTGTTGGCAACCTGGACGTCCTTTTCGTTGAGCTTGATGTTTTGGACGGTACCGATATCGGCCATACCTTCAGCCTGAATGAGGGGTGTTCCAATACGGAGGGTACCTTCCTTGACACGGACACCGACCAAGATGGGATCCTTCTTTCTAAAGACACGGATAACGTCCAAGAGTACTGGCCAGACACAAGTGTTGGCAGTCTCGTCTCTTAGCTTCTCCTTGATGGCGTTAAAGTGGTCTTCGAGACGCTTCTCAAAGAGATAGATAGTGTCTTCGCTCATGATGGTGATCTTCATGTCGTTGGCGGCTTGTTGAGCCGACTCTTCAATCTTGACGTCAAAGGCAAGCATGATGGCATACTTGGGGTCCTTTTCACGCATAATGGAACAGGCCATGACGTTCTTTTTGTGGATGGGACCAATGGCGACATTGGCGACGGGGACCTTGATCTTTTTCAAGAAGCTGATAAAGGCTTCAAGAGAGCCGAGTGTCGATGCTTGTACAGACACACCAACACCTGAAGTTTCGACGTCATTGAGTACAGAGTCGATTTCAGATTGTGCTTGTGCCTTGAGGTCTTCGAGATCGTCGTCTTCGGTACAGACGAGCAAAGATGTACCGGGGACAGCCTTTTCGAGACCAGGAGCGACAATCTTGACACCCATCGATGCCTTGACCGACTTGTTGGGGATGAGTTGAGTCTTTACACGAGTCTCTCTGAGAGGGGGTGGGGTGAGCAACGAACGAATGGTCGAGACGATGGGAGCGCCGAAACCAGAGACGACAATCTTGTCACCCTCGCTGAGCACACCGTTGACGAGGACAGCGTCGACAGTGGCACCGAGACCTTCGATCGTCTTGACTTCGAGAATGGTACATTGGAGTTCGTCACGGTAGGTGACCTTTTCAGCCATGATCTTTTGCATCAATTGGGTGGCGAGTACCATGAGATCGGGGATACCCTCACCAGTGACGGCAGAGGTGGGGACGAGCGAGACGTACTTGCGATGGTCTGGATTCTTCCAATAGAGCGAAGCATTGAGTTCTTGGACGGCGAGTTGGGCAACGGTGTCCTTGACACGCGAGTCAAACTCTTGAGCGGCGTGACGAGACTGTACCTTGAGCGACTCTCTAATATCGACGTTACGGCATGGACGCCATTCATAGATACGATCGACCTTGTTGAGTGCAACGATAAATGGTGTCTTTCTCATACGCAACAAGTTGATCGATTCGATAGTCTGTGCTTCGAGACCGTGCATAATGTCAATGACGAGAATAGCAAGATCACACAAACCAGAGCCACGTGAACGAAGATTGTTGAAAGATTCGTGACCTGGTGTATCAATGAGCAACAAACCTGGCAACTTGAATTCAAACTTTAGACGTTCAGCAAGATCCTTGGCTTGATCTCTAATGTTTTCAACTGGAATAAACGATGCACCAATTTGTTGAGTAATACCACGTGCTTCGCCACCTTGGACATTGGTTGAACGAATCTTGTCGAGTAACGATGTTTTACCAGTATCGACATGACCAAGAATACATAAAATGGGTGATCTCAATTCTGGTTCCTCTGTAGACGATGACGATGTACTAGTGGTAGAAGTAGAATCCTTGTTTTTGTTTTTGTTCTTTTTGTTTTTGTTGTTTTCCTTTTCAGCCTTGGCAGCTTCCTTTTCAGCCTTTTTCTTTGCTTCTTCCTCTTCCTTTGCCTTTCTTGCTTCCTCTGCTTCTCTTGCCACCTTTTCTTCTTGTGTTTCGAAATCGTCATCATCCCATCCAACATCATCATCTTCTTCTACCTTTTTTTCTTCTTGCTTTTCTTCTTCTTCGACCTTGAGAGCAGATATCTTTTCTACGACATCATCTTCCTTTTTCTTTGGTTGTTGCTTTTTGGGTGGTGGTGCATTGCCTCCGACACTCATGCCAAGTGCCTTTAGCTTGTCGAGACGGTCTTGTCTGAGACGCTCTTCACGCTCTGCAGCTTCCTTTTCCTTTTTCTCCTTGAGCACCTTGTTCTTGGCAGCATTACGGATACGTCTTGCCTCTTCTTCTTCAGCCTCGCGCTTTTCGTCTGCAATTCTCTCTTCCTCTTCTCTCTTTGCCTTTTCCTCGGCCTCTCTAACCTTTTTCTCTTCTTCTTGTCTTTGCTTCATCAAGAATGCAGAAATCTTTTCCTCTTGTGGCTCTCCCTTTTTGGCAGCAGCTGCTTGCTTTTTAGCAGATGCCTTGGCAGCTGGTTTGGCTGGTGCTGCTTCCTTTTTAGCTGGTGCCTTGGCAGCTGGTTTGGCTGGTTGTTTACCACCCTTTGTAGTTGCTGGTTTCTTGACCTCTTCTTCAGATTCAGATTCAGATTCCGATTCATCTGAACCTTGTCTCTTTTGAGCTTCCTCTGCATCCTTGTCCATTTGATCGCTATCCCAATAGTTTTCACGTTGTTTCTTGCCACCCTTTTTAGCTGCTGCTGGTGCTGGTTTGGGTGGTGCCTTGGCTGATGCCTTGGCAACTGGTTTCTTTGCAGGTACTGGTTCATCATCTGATTCTGATTCTGATTCCGATTCCGATTCTGATTCTGATTCCGACTCTGATGCAACGACTGCTTGTTTCTTATTGTTGGCAGCTTGTTTCTTTGCAGCAGCCTTTGCAGCTGGTTTGGCTGGTTGTTTACCACCCTTCTTTGCAGCGGGTACTGGTTCATCATCAGACTCTGATTCAGATTCCGACTCCGACTCTGAACTAGATGCAACTACAGCAGCAGCCTTTTTTCCATTATTCTTTGCAGCTGGTTTCTTTTTAGATGAAGCTGGTGTTGGTTTCTTGACCTCTTCCTCTGATGATGATGATTCCTCTTCTTCAGAATCTTTGCCACCTACAGTTCTCTTTTCAAGTTCTTCTCTATCTTTATCAGCTTGATCGCTGTCCCAATAATTATCTCTTTGTTTTCTTTGTTTTGGACCCACTATATAATCAATCGAACAAACATATGTTAGTCATCCATACAAGTATATCTATCTATGTACAATACAAGTATAGGTATTGTTATGTCTATCTTCTTCTTACTTTTTAACTATACTACTATATACTACTACTAACTACTACTATCTAAACTTGTTATTATAAATGATTATAACCTCTTGTCGAAACATAAATGTTGATGATAGGGATGAGAATCTTGCCTTTGCAGTGAATGTGAAGGTGTGAATTGTAATTGGATATAACACAACAACTAAATCAATTAAACTATTAAAGTGCACTTGGTGATAATCTTGACAGTCTCTCTCTGCGCTGCTCACACAATCCGTCTTACTCGACTTAGGAAAAAAAAAAAAAAAAAAAGAAAAAGATTAAACTTTTTTGAGTGGACATCAAGAATGAAGTACTTTCTCTCTCACAACACAATGTAATGTAAGTACACTCTTACCACACTATAAACAACACAAACATAGGTTATGGCTATCTATTCCTTATATATTCTCAATAAAGCAGGTACTTTAATCTTTCAGAATGTATGCAATGAATAGAATTGATAGAAATGAAATGAGATAATCTAAGATTGAAATGAATGATCTGATTTGATTAACTAGCTAGTATGTTTATTTATTTAGGATTATGTAGGTTCAGTTGAGAAATTAAGTCATAATGCATATATTAGTTTAGGATCAATGTTTCATGGTTTACATGCTATTGCTAGTAATCTTTCACCTACAGGGTCATCATCTGGTATCGAAACAATAGAAACTGAAGCATTTAAATTACAATGTTTTCAAACTCATACAGGTATGGAAAGATAAAACTATACATAATTGGGATGGATATGGCAATCATTCACTCAGACTCTTTATCCATTATAATGGATGGATGGAATCTAATATTTATTATTTATTATTATTTATTATTTATTTAGGAATGAAATTTTATACTATATCAGATCCAAATCATCCAAACTTGGATGAAATATTACACAACATTTATGAATTATATACAGACTATGTTTTAAAGAATCCATTTTATGAATTGGAAATGTCAATTAGATGTGATCTATTTGATGATAAATTGAATAGATTATTGAAAGGTACAACTGCCGATTAATTAATTTTTTTAAACATGGAAATAAAATTGTACAAATAATAATAATATAAATACACCACAACCAATATATTATACATATATATAATAATTATTGTTTTTGATTTTGATTTTTTGATTTTTGGTATAAAAGTTTATATTTTATTTTTCATAGGAAGTAATTTACTTCTTTTGGGCAGCCTTGGCTGGGGCAGCAGTCTTGGCAGCTGGGACAACCTTGACGGATGACTTACGGGTAGATCTCTTTGACTTGGCAGCTTCAGAACGTGAGTCGATCAACTTCTTGTATTCGGCGGCTTCAGATGAGGCCTTGACCATACGGGCCAACTTCTTGGCACGGAGAGCCTTTCTACGCTTGATGACGACTGGGGTGATCAAACGTTGGATCTTTGGAGCCTTAGACTTGGCCTTTCTCTTGTCAGTGGCTGGGAGCTCACGACGGATGACGTACTTGCGGACATCGTCTTCCTTGGAGAGGTTGAACAACTTACGGATGTTACCGGCTCTCTTTGGACCCTTACGCAATGGGATGGAGACATCGGTCAAACCTGGGAGTTCAGCATCACCCTTCTTGACAATGACAAGTTGGAGGGCAGAGATATCTTCAGCGACGATGCAGCCACGGACAGACTTTCTACGACGTTCACCATCACGCTTTGGGATGAAGGAACCAGTGGTACCGTTCAACAAGAGACGGACTCTGTGTGGAACAGCAACACCTTGCATCATGGGGAAACCATCGGCGTCGTTACCACCAGAGATCTTGAAGATGTATCCCTTGTATTCGTCACCCAAACTGTCGGCAGAGACTTCTTGTCCCATACGCTTATCGATGAAACAACGGCTAAAGTAGAAGTAGAAAAAAAAAGGGAAAGAAAGGGGGACAACGTATGTAGGTTGGGAATTAGTACAAAACTTGTCCAATGGTTTGTTCGATGACTGGTGACGGGCGACGTTCGACGTGTTGTCATGTCTTTGTGTCTCCATCTGTATACATATAACTATAAATCAACATACTATCTGAGCTTGTCTTCAATGTTGATGCATTTTTGGGCACCAGTGGATGGGTTGGAAATGTTGAGCTATAAGATGTAAAGAAGATATAAAGTGTTAATAACTGTATCTGTACATAAGGTAGTATGATCTTTACCTTCATTTCTGTGTATCTTGCAGCAAGGATGGAAAAGGGTGATACCGTATGTAAAGATGATTCTCTTGTAGGTCAGAGTCGGCGAGTTTGAAATCATCAAAAAAATGTTTTATAAAAACAAAACGAAATTCATATTAACGAACCAAAAAAAAAATGCCCCCCTCCAAGTGAGAAATTTTATTACTTCTCATCAGTCTGATGACCAAATTAATATACATATTTTCTTATCTTTTTACATAGTTTTTGAAATAGAAAAGAAAGAGATTATTAAGAATGTCAAATGTACATTGAAAAAAAGAGATGATGTGATTTATGTGTGTTTAACTGTTATCTATCTTGTTATCTATCTATTTAGATTATAAGTAGTAGTAAAAAGATTGGTATTGTAGGAGGAGGAATATCAGGGTTATCATGTTACCATTATTTAACAAAATCTTTGAATAGGTTAAACAATAACAAGGGTAATATACATGCTGATATTCATCTATACGAAGCAAAGGATAGAACCGGTGGATGGATACAATCATTTGCAGTACCCCAAAACAACAATAATAATAATACATATGTATTGGAAAAGGGACCAAGAAGTTTACGTGCAGCAGGTAATGGTAAACATACATTGGATCTAGTGTCTGAGTTGAGATTAGATAACAAGGTTATATTTGCAAGTGGGTCGTCAAAGACTAGATACCTATTATTGGATGGAAAGATTCAAAAGATGCCACAGTCATTCTCAGAGGCCATGTCATTTAGTTATCAACATGGTCTATTTGGTGCATTCTTTGGTGAACCAATTAAAGGCAAGAGAGATGCTAGTTTATCGGATGAATCGGTACAATCATTCTTTGAACGTCGGTTTGGAAAGACTGTTGCACAATCTTTTATTGAACCTCTGACACTTGGTATCTTTGGTGGTGACTATTCAACATTGTCGATCAAATCGTGTTTTCCATCAATGGAAAAGATAGAGTCAAAGTATGGGTCGTTGATAAAGGGTAATTTACTACAGTCACTGAGTAGCGACAAGACAAAGCAACAAGAGGCAGACCAAGAACAATGTAAACTGTCTCACGACGCAGTTCGTAGAGTCAAGAGTATCATGAGTAAGGATGTTCAAGCAAGTGGAGTATTCTCATTTCAAGATGGTCTATCTACTCTGACAATGTCGTTGGAGCAATCGATTGCAGGTAATCGGTTGGCAAAGAATAGTGCATTGGAAAAGGTTACCTACAAAAACGGTCATTTTTCATTGACCTTTAACGGTCAACCAAACAAACAAGTAGATACTGATATACTAGTATCAACAACTCCATTTTATGCACTTGGTAATGCATTTACACAACAAGATCCAATCCTTTCACAGTTATTGTTGGAACAAGAGTATTCAAACATTGCAGTCATCAACTTTGTATTTAATGACCTATCGGTCAGAGAAAAGGTTAAACATTTTGGATTTGGTTATCTCATTCCATCAAAGGAGAATCAACCTGTACTCGGTGTAGCAATCGATAGTAACACATTTCCACAATTTATCAAAGGTGATCAACAACAACAACAAGAATCAACCATTTTAACAGTTATGATTGGTGGTAATAGTAGAGTTGCCAAACGTAACGCATCATGGATCGATGTTTCCAAATCAAATGATCAACAATTAATCGAAATAGCAGCCAATCATTTACAACAATTCCTTGGTATCGATTACAGACAATCGGCAATCTACACACAATCAAATGTTTGTCGTCAAGCCATTCCACACTATTCAGTCGGTCATTCCTCATTGATCGACCGAATCAATCAACATGTAGAAAAAACCTACAACCATTCTCTATTCATTGGCGGTAATTCTTTAATTGGAGTTGGTGTCAACGATGCCATTTATAATTCAAAATTATTATCAAATAATTTAATTCAAAAACAATTTAATAAATAAAATAAATCAAAAACAAAAAACCAAAAAAAAATGTCAAAACGAGATCCTTTTTTTCAATTCATTTTATAATTTGCAACCAACAATAATTAGTTCCACATTTTTCTTGGAGGTAACATGTTTTGGCACTGGAGTAACATATTTTTTTTCTCAAAACCTCAAGGTGGTTATAAAGTTCTATTGTCACCATTCAAATTATTGGGTGGATATTATGGTGTCCACTTGTAAGACTTGTCTTTCTTTCATTTATAGGTACACCAGTTAATCAAGAGTCTCAAGATACAACCCCAAAAGCCTTTATCCTAGTGATTTGAAACATCATTTATTTATTATCTTTGCTTATCAATAAATTGAAACAAATAAATAAATGATGTTTCAAATCACAAAAGATATGTTAGAAACTAAACGAGGAAACTACAAATAAATAAATAAAATTTTAACAAAAAACATTGCATTATTTTTTAAGTAATCTAGATTATATATTTTACATCATAGTATTATTATTATTATTATTGATTTATTTTATTATCAGAATGAGCAAGAATATGCATAGCAAATAATACTTGAGTTGTTTTTGTTTTCAAACTCTTTGTAATTAATCTTGCAAATGATTGTTTGGCTTCTTCATCATCTTCATCCATTAAAAATGCTTCTCTTAAATAATCTATATCATTTCTTGTTGATAATTCTGGTATACCAGTTGATAACATCTTAAAAAAAATAAAAAGGAAAATTAATATTATTCCAAAATTTTATATTTCTTTTTCTTTTTTTTCTTTTTTGTACTTACAAGATTAAATAAGATAATAAAAAGATTTCTTTGTTTTCTAATAATATTAAAAGAAGTACAACAAAGTTCAGTAAACCAAGCAAATGATTTACTTTTTTCTCCACCAATGACGTGAGCAAATTCGGGAGTGAGTACAAATGGAGCCTTTTCACGTTTATAACCATGGAATTTCATAATATTGCCAAGGAAATGGGCAAAGTCAATGTGAAAGAGATGTCCTGATTTGGAGACCATAATATTGTCGTTGTGACGATCGCTGATTCCAAGAATATAAGTGGCCACACAGTAACCAGTGAGTGAATGAATAAAGTTATTTACAGTGTATTCATACTCTGCGTCGGTTGGGTTACGTTCCTTGAGCCAGTTGGCAAGTGGTGTCTTTGTAAAGGCGGCAGTGACACCACCAGCTGCCTTTTGGATATCGGCGACGGTCTCACTGTCGCTGACCACTTCGATGAAACCACATCCTTCTCCAGTCGATGTTACATTGTAGAGAGACATGTGAGTGTCGAGTCCATCACGTTTCCACAAATTATCCATCAATGTGATCATTTGAAGTGTTAGGATATCCTGTCTGAGATCGTCACCATTCTTAAAGATGACGACAATTGGTTCGCCGAGTGGATCAACATTTTGGAATACCAACCAAAGTGGTACGGTAAATGAGTCGAGCCACTTGCACTCGCTGACAATTAATCCACACGACTCGGTTGATGCTGAAGTGGGTAGGTGGAAAGTATTGGGAAGAGATAACTTGGAGAGTTCGTCTAAAAGTAGATTCTTTCGTTTCGATACAGCTGCTTCTTTGACCATCTTTGCAATGGTAGTTAGTTTGGTTACTACCTCCATTTGCTTAACAAACTCGTGTCGTTGGTCACCGCAACCGCGTAGATATGTTTCGAGAATCAACGAGTAACGGTCTGAAATACGCACATTGTGCATTTCAGCCTCCAAGTGCCAAAAGAAGGGGTGTCCAATCACAGAGCGGTTGGCCAGAGCGCGGTGGATGAGGAAACGTGCCAAAGCGCTGTCGTGATGTGGTTCGTGTTTAACCGATTGAACCAGCTGCAGCAAAAAGAGTGCAAGCTCGCCATCGCTCAGCGACCGCAGGCAGTTGACGGCGTACTCACGTACCAGTTCATCGGCAAACTTAACGTCGAGCAGCTCGAGTGCTTCGTGTGGAGACAACGGCTCCCAAATGGACAGCAGACGGTGTGCTTCCTTGACCTGCTGTGGTTGGTTCCATGGCAACGACTGTAACACCTTGGATAGGGAATGAGGGAACTTTCGCAAATGCATACGGTACGTCCATATAAACTTGCGTTCATCCTCTGACAGCTTATACATGGGGTCTTTGTTAATAAGCTGGTCGAGACGCACTTCATCCTCTTTACGTGCTTCCACATAATCTTTAATCTCGGTACGTTCCATCAACTCGGAGCGTGGGAACAGTACTGGGAAGGGGAATTGTAGTAGTTCGACAACAAGGTTGGGACAAATGTCGGCATACTCTGATGTCTGCATCGTGCGGTCTCCAGGCCACAAAATAAGCGATATCACACCGCTTTGGAGCTGACTCTTATAATCAATCAGTTGCAGATCAACCCATCCAATCGCGACACGTTGATTACTACCAACCATCGCATACACTGTAAAGCAGAGTTTGGTGGCACGTGGTAAATCGCACATGAGCAACGACGAACGCAACCACTGACACCATAACGGGTTATTATGTGCCTTTGTAAACGTTTCCATTGGGGGTGCCAATGGCTCCTCTCCATGCACCAACTCGGCCACCACAGACAACTTGACATCATTCACACTACCATCTTGCAAAAAGTGGCTGGCCAGTTGATTGTTTAGGTTCTCTAGACAAATGATTCTAATCTCAAACGGACGGTTAATCTCATACAACAGAATCGATCGTTTAATGTGATTTTGGTTAGACTGCATTTGCATTGGTTGCGGTTGTTGTTGTTGTTGTTGGATATGTTGTTGATTAAACTGATTGATAAAGAGGTTATTGTTGAGATTTGGATTTAAAAAGATCATATTGCTATTGTTGGTGGCTGTATGACCGTCAATGTAAATGTCGGGGAGTGCCGATCGATGGATCAAACTAAAGTTGATGTCTTTGCGACGTTGTAGTCTCTGACGCACCATGTCCAATTGTCCAATCTCGCAGTCACGTAGTACGTGATCGCTAGTACCCGTAATACGCACAATAAAGTCTTGTGCCTTTTGGTCGGTCAGCAGTTTGGTGGTATTATTGTGCTTGGAGATGACACGCTCGATAATCTTGCTCATCAAGTCGGTCATGTTTACATTGATCGCCGTCGAATGGTTGTCGGGTGGCAAATAAAATCGGATGCGGAATGCCGCTGGCAATAATGGATCATTGGGTGCTGTAGTGACCTGTGCCAAAGTGACTTTGACACGATCTCTTGCATCCAACTGACCAAAATTGAATAAATTATCCATCAATGTTCTAAAATATTTAATTTCAGTCTCTCCATTACTCCAACACAATGGTTTACCAAGTAACGATCCAATCTGGATTTGTGCCAGTTTCTTTCTCTGCATAATCTGCTTGACATTAGAGTCACGTTGTTCACCCAGTGAGAATGATACTGTAATATTACGATTTCGTTTTTGTTGTGTTGGAGAGGTTGGTTGTGAAACTGCAGCAGCCGCAGCAGCAGCAGAAATAGCATCTTGCTTTTTGTTTTTGTTACCTTTACCTTGTTTACTATTATTATTATTACTGTTATTCTTTAAATCTTGATTTTGTTGATTGAGTTTGTTGATTTGGTTGGTATTACCCAAGTTTCGAATGAGTGGACTGCCAGACATTGGTGATGATGACATGGAAGATGGTTTGGAGCTGAAAAATACACTACCACCTCTTGCAATTGGAATTGGTTTGGATGCAGACGAGGAGGAGGAGGTAGTTGACGAATCTGGTTGTTGTGGTTGTTGATTTGGATAGTTTCCACTCATAGTGAGAGGATTGGATGAAGATATGGGAAAGGGTGGAGGAGGTGAGATGGACAGTTGAACAGATTGACCGAGTAGAGGAGACCCCGACAATGGTGACAATTGCTGATTGACTAGATCAATCATACCTGGTTTTAATACAATTAGTTTGGGTATATTACAGTTGTTTAACGATGATTCGACAAAGTTGTGGATGATACTATTACTGCTGATTGGCAGGATATCCTGTTGCTGGTCAATAGCAAACGTGCCAACCTTTAGCAAATGCACAATTGATTGGAGTGATTCAATCAACTGGTTCTTAAACTCCATCGTCGATGAAATCTTGGGGCATTGTACAATCAGTGAAGTCTCCATTGACAGTGTCGACACTAACAATGGGAAATGATCCTTTTCCATTAATTTTTGTTTCATTTGAATATTATTTGACCAATGTAATTCTTCTTCTTCCTCTTGTTGTTTTTTCTCTTCTTCTGGTTCGGTTGGTTGTTGTTGTTGTAATTGTTGATTGAAATCTTGACTAAGACGTTTCTCTTGATTTAACAATTCAACCTTTGATATTGATTTTCTGTATATTTGTTGTTGAGTCAATTGAGGTGAAGATATAGCAGGCAAGGTAGGAGATAGAGTATCACCCGAGGTAGATAAAAGAGTTGGTGATTCTTTTTCCTTTTCATTCTCACTGCCTGAAAAATCGCTGTCTCCACCAATCAATAGATCGGAATCATCTGCAGCCTGTGCTTGGAATTTCAATTCCTCGTCTTCCAACTGCACCAATTGTTGTTGTAATTTTTGTCTAAGAATCTCTTCCTCATCACCAAATTCGTCCAACACTACAAATGCATCGGTCGACTGAATCAACAATTGTTTTCTCTGTTGTGATCTTCTTCGTGGTGACAAGTTATCCTTGTCTTCATCATCGACCGATTCCATAGTCGTCGTTGAAAGATTCTTTAAATCTGGTAATAAATGTTGTTGATCATTTTGTTGTTGTTTTAATGTTGCAAAAAGTCCAAATGTATCTCTTTTTCTAAATGATTCTGATGCTGACGATGATTGTTCATTCTTGTTGTTATTGTTGTTTTGATTTATCAAAGCATTCTTTTTCTTTAAAATCAATAAATCCTCTTCTTCTTGTAATGATAACTCATCGATTGAGATGCCAGTTGAAGTGACAGAAGATGGTAATTGTAATGGTGATAATGGTGTAATATCGGGTGACAATTGTGAAGAAACATCTGAAAAGTTGTCATCGGTATAGGTACCACCACTACCACTAGTGTTGGTGGCAGCACTACCAGATGCAACACTATCTGTTGATAATCTTTTGTGTTGTTGTTGTTGTTGTTGTTGCAATAATATATTATTATGTGGTATTTGTTTAAAGTTTCCCAATCTCTTTTTAATTATATCAGCTTTATGTTTTCTTGCTCTTATCCTAAAAAATAGAAAATAATAAATAAATTAATAACAATAATAATAATATCTTAAAATCAATGTCTCATACTCTTTTGATTTTGGAACAAGGAATACTTCGACTGATTGTTTTGTCAATAGAGCCTTTTGAATATCCTCATGTGCAAATATAAACTTTACAAATTCGATTTGAAGGATGACGGTTCTATTCAACGCCAAAAAGTAGTTTTGACGGTTTTCTTGTGTAATCTCTTTGGTTTGTTTAAATATTTCATACTATACATTGTAATTGATTGATTGATTGATTGGTTGTTGTTGTTGTTGTTAGTATCTATCTATCTATCTACATTCTATCTATCTGTCGATCTATTCATACCTTTACATGATCAACAGTTGTTGAACTTTGAAATGTGAATCTTTTAATAGAATCACCTATCTTTATCTATAAAGTAAAAATAAGATAAGGAGAAGGGAGTTGGGTTAGTTATTGTGTCGTTGTGTGTGTGTGTGAGAGAGAGAGATTGATCATTGTTGTAAAGTGGTGGAGGACGACCGACTGAGTTGAGTCAAAGCTGTTAAATTGTAAAGGGACACAAACACAAATAAAACACACTACTCACACAACAAACAGGGAGAGAGAGAGAGAGAGAGAGAGTCGAGTCTGTGAATGATTGATTGTTAAGTTGTAAATTCCAATGAACTCATCAGTTTGTCTGTCCGTCACTCACTCTTTCTCTTCACTTCACAGTAACTTACATGTATTTGAAACCCGTCATTAAAAAATGATTTAGAGTATCTGTATTGATTTGTATCCATATTCTTCTACTACTACAACTACTAGCATCTATCACTTCCACTATTATACAATATATAAACTATAGTTCTATATTTCTATATTTCTCTCCCTTTTATGCTAAACAATATGTATGTTATGTGTGTGTGTATATATATATATATCTATAGTAAGTAAATAAGAATATAGAAATCTTTATTTTATTAGAGCAGAGAGAGTTAAAACTAAAAAGACACTCACAGAGATATCTTTGTGAGTTTGAGACTTTGGGAACCAAACCAGCAAAGATTCGAAAAAGAATTTTTTTGTTTTTTTTCGGAGGAGAAGACCAGTTTTTGAAACTGCACCCGACTTTCATCTAAAATCTTTGTTCAATCATAGAGATAATATAGATATATATATATTTAGGATTTAGTTTAGTTTAGTTTAATTTAGTTTAGTTTAATTTATTTTAAAGAATAATTTTTCTAAATTGATGAGAGGTTTTTCGATGGTGAGGTGGAGGATGAGAGCAAAGAAAAAGGTGATGGCGAGGACCGAGGTGGCAAGCGAGATGAATGCGGTGGTCGAGTAGGCAAAGAGCGTCGAGGCACTAAAGGTGATGACCCAGACGACTATAGCGTGCACGAGATAGGCGGCATAGGAGAGCGTGGCGAGTGGCTTAAAGAGGGGACGCTCGAGGAACCAGGCGAGACAGCCACCGTGACCGGCCATACAGGTAAAGAGGTAGACAGCAGCGGCGACAGCATACAATGGATGCGATGCGGCATTGTAAAAGGCCGTGCTGTGGATACTCCATCCCTGGTTAAAGTAAGAGGCTGTGATAAAGGTGAGAAACACAGACGTGAAGGCCGAGAAGGCGTAAAAGGCGTGGCGAAGATGGCGGTCAGTATTGACCACCGCCACAAACAGCTTGTTGTCGTGACAATAGGCGAGTAGGACGCCGACGAGGTATGCACCAACTCGACACCAAGGTTTTTGGTAAATATCACTGGCAAAGGAGGCGGCAATGTTGCGTGGTGTAGTGTAGTCGATTGGCAAGAGAACCTCATAGACAACATCGAGATGGTATGTTAATAGTGTGCTGGCCACTACACCAAATATGGCTAGGGAGAATCCTAGAGTCTTGGAATGTTTGTATGCAGCGACAAAGAGGGGTGCTACAAAGACATAGAACAAGAAATCGTCTGATAAGTACCACGTCCATGCTGCACATTCGTTACTCATGGTAAGTGGATAGATCGAGTTGACGTACAACAAATTAGTCCACCAAAAACGGTCACATGATTTGGTGATAACCTCGTACTCGAACCAGAGTGGACCAGATCCAAGTAGAGGTGACACCTTCCAAAAGAAAAACACTACAAAGTAGTAGAGTGGCGATAAACGCAACAAACGATGTACAATGTATTTGGCCCAGAACCCAATCTTTGATCCTTCCAAATACGATGTCTTTTCCATTTGTTGGAGGAGTGCTTGTGCCACTAGGAAACCTGATAACATAAAAAAGACGTCCACTGCAAACTCTGCACCTGTGATGAGTTGGAATCCGAGACCCTTGTTGGCGACACCGAGCATATACGTAGGGTTGGACATACCAACCGACAAAGTATAGAGCAACACATGGGCAATAATAATCCATCCAGTACAGAAAAATCTAATTCCATCCAACACACCATAATACTTTTTAAATTGACTCTGAAGTAGATTGGAACTACTAACATTCAACCCGGAATTGGTATTTGGATTTGGATTGAATGGAGTTGTAAAGGATGTATATGTATTGATGATGGAAAATGCAAGGAATACTTGGATAATCTTGGATGATGGGGTATTCTCTGTCGAGAGATTACCAGTACTAGTATTTAACTTTGCAAGTAAATGTTGTTGAGATTCAACATCAATACTATCAGTTCTCTTTTTACGACCAATACAAGATGACGTTGATTCAGAGGTGGATGATGGTTGTTGGATATTTAAATATTGAAGAATGGTACCAAATAGTACCAATGTAAAGATCATTAGAGTTATTAAAATCATAATGATTGATCCTAAAGTCAACTCGGGTCGACTTGTTCGGTTGGTTTCAGTGTAGCAACGAATGGATGGGTCGTCCGAATAGTTGAATGCCAAGGTTGGAAAATGACCAGACAAAATAGCCATTGCACCCAATACATCAGGTTCTTGGCACTCGTCTGGCAAACACAAACCTACATTAAACGAAGATGGTTTGGTGCAAGTTGGTTCGAGACATAATCCTCCCAATCTTTGGAAATCTCCAGTTAATGATCCATGGACAACACAATAGACTGTTGTTTCTTGTTTTAAACAATAATCAATATTTCCAAGATCATTTATTGATTTTCCACTATATGTTAATGCTATAGAAAATTAAATGGAAAAATATTAATATTTTTTATATTTATTTTTTAGATAATTTATTTTATGATTTATACATACTATCAAAATGTTTTGGATTTAAATTGGTATTTAAAATGGATTTTAAATTTAATTCACAATGATTGGATATATAGAGTGATGATGAAGAAGATGATGATGATTCTCCAATACAAAATAATAAAATAATTATTATTATTGTTTGGATTAAAAAAAGAAATCTAAAATTATTATTATTATTAAATAATTCCATTGTTGTTGTAGATATTTTTTAAAAAAAGTTGGATTGACAGAGAGGAAAAATATATAAAAAATTGGCGATTTATAAATGAATGGGATGGATGAATGAAAGTAATGGAATGGTTTGTGATTGTGCTTGTGATTAAATTTGATTAATAGATGATCAACATATATATCTTATTAATATTTGCGGTTAATGAACATTCAATAAAAATGTTGGAGATAAAGATGATGATGGATTAAATTGATTGGGGTTTTTATATTTTGTTTTTGTAATTCTAATCAACGTCGTCGTTGTTGTCGCCGTGCTCGAATCCCCAATAAAACAAGAGAGAGAGGAGGACGAGTTAATGTGGATACAAACACAAAGTGTTCGGGTGGTGGTGGAGGTGGAGGTGGAGGTGTATAAAAAATATATAATAAATAATATATGTGTATGTATATAATAAACAAATATTAATGGAAAATATATAGATAGATTTAAAATAAAGGATGATGTGAGTGAGTGAGTGAGTGATGTGAGTTGGGTTAAGTGATGAGATGTTGATCAACATATTATTATTATTATTAATATTATTAATAGTGTTGTTGTTGTTCGTATTATTATTATTATTATTAAGCTGCAGTAGCAGGAGAGTAGTAGTTTGTTTAGTTTTTAAAGACAACAACAACACTTGGGATGGACGAACATGTCATGAATAACAGCCAGCTGATGCTGCGCTACTGTTGATCCATTGATGGATGTTTCCAAAAATCACTATTGTCGTGTGGTTGTTGTTGAGTTTTCAATATTGTTGTTGTTGGTTAACCCAGAGACTGGTACCTGTCGCGTAGGGGAGGATTGATTGATTGATTGCATCACTCTCGGGTAAAAGTTGTTGCAGCTGCAGCAAACTTGCTTGGGGGTAAAAGAAGAAGATGAAGAAAAAGAGGAACAAGTTCACATGTGCAACAACAGTAGAGCAGGAGAGCATCTTGAGTACATATGTGTGTGTATTAATCAATGTTGATCTTTTCTTTTCCGAAATACATGTGTGTATATTGGTATTACCAACTGTTGATGTTGTTTGTTTGGTTTGGTTTGGGTGATTGCCAATTAAAGAAAGAGATGGTTCAACGAGGAAAATGTGATTTTAAAACCATCCATCTCTGGAATGGGAGAAGGGGAGGGAAAGGGAAGGAGAGGGGTGGAGAAAAGAGTAGATCTCATGAGGTTATGTTGTTTAATTTGGTGTCATGAAGCTGAATATAGGAGAGATGCGCATCATGTGGTTGATTGTAATAGAGGTTGAAGTAGAAGAAGAAGAAGAAGAAGAAGTAGTGGTTTAATGTATATTGTCGATTCTTTTGGGCGTCGACCATCCCCATTTCCTCATATACATCATCTTCTTTCTTTCAACATTGAGAGAAATTTAGACAGCCAGACAGACAGACAGACAGACAGACATGAATCGATGAAAATCGGCGAGCTATCCAATTAATAACAAGGTTTGTGTAACCACCACAACCACCACGATCGTCTATTCATTGGTATTGTCAACACCCACACCCATCCATCCAATCCATGCAATCCATGCAACCAACCATATCATCTAACCATAAGCATCATCATCGGGCGGGATGTTTGTCTCTCTCTCTCTCTGAATCCAAATAAGCTGCAGATCACTCAGAGAGTGAGAGAGAGATAGATAGTGAGTTATACAATAAACCAACCAACCAACCAACTGCAACTTCATAATGATATAAAAACACACACACACCAGAGTATGATACCAATAATAATAATAAATCACACCCAACACTCAACCACAGGTTTGAAAAAAAAAAAAAGTGTAGTTGATATAGTTTTGGTATAGTGGTAGGGTTGGGGGTCGTCGGAGATGAGAGGGTGGATGGTAGATTTTAAAGTTGTATATCTTCTGCTGGCTTGATGGATGTGTGTTCAATCTGATCAATTGTTGTATCAATCAATCAATCAATCAATTCAATTTATTTTATCGCTACCACTACAACTACTTACTTCCCACTAGTGGTTACTAAACCATTCAGTACTCGCCATTGTATCATTTATTAATTGCGCGCAATGAATTTTTGATTGATTGATATATTCACCAACAAGTAAAACGTGTGCACTTTTCTATTTCGCCACCACCAACACCATAACCATCACCACCACTTTCGAAATTCGATAACCAATCATTCGCACCAATTGCCAACCACTTCTTGATACGCGAATCAAATACTTAAATTATGATCCTATTTTTAACATCCACAATTAATTCTAGTATAACAAATCATTTGTGACAATTAAATAATGATCATCCAAGTTTCAGTTGGTTCTGATAATAATGTCTTTGACCACTGACCTCTGACCACTGACATTTCAGTTGTAACTGAATTAATTGTGAAGAGAGCTAAAAATATCATATGAATATATATCCATCCAACTTTAACTTTCAGTTAACAAATAATTTTGAAACATGGATTAACTAATTATTTATTTATTTATTTATTTTAAAATGATTTATTATAAAATAGATAATTATAATATTATCTTTTGGATGGATGGATTGATTGATGTTAATTTAATTTAATAGAACATATTTTGTTGATGAAGATGATGGTTTTGGATGGAATAATAATTTTTCAAGATTGATACATGGTTTTTCAATTGTAAGATGTACAATAAATGCACAGGTAAAGGCAAATACAATGTTGGAAATGATAGAGGCGGCATCGTTTACAGTTTTGTAGTGGAAGAGTGTGACACGACTAAATGCAATGGATGAAATGACAATTGGGTGGATGAGGTAGGTAGAGTAGGTGAGTTTGGAGAGGTTTTTAAAGATGGGACGTTCAAGTAACCAAGCAACCAGTCCTCCACGACCGGCAAAGGCAGTGAGGAGAAAGAGACCGGCACCTAGTACAAACCCAGTATGGCCACACGCATTAAAGAGTGCATTTTGTAGTGTACTCCATCCATCACCTACAAATGCATTGTAAGGGATAAACGTAAAGAATGTGGTGGTACCAAGTGCAACGACGTAGAATGTGTATCGAACAACTGGCCATGTCTTGATGGCGTGGATGATTGGGTTGGTTGATTGACGTGTTTGGTCAAAGATCATGGCCATGGCAATACCGACGGCATAGGGACCGACGCGTGTCCAAGGTTTTTGGTAAATATCGGTGGTAAAGTTAAAGGGTGCGCCCGACTGCTTGGTAAACTCGAAAAATGTGACAAGGTTGTATTTTAGAGTGATCCAAAGATTGGTGGTGAACGTGATGGCGAGTAACAGCAGAACAAACAGTACGCCGAGCTTGGTGGACCGCTTGTACAGCAGTATGGCAAGTGGCGCCACAAAGATGTAGTAGAGCATGTCATCTCCTAAAAACCACCCCCACGCAAAACACTCGTTGGTCAGTGTATTGGAATGCAGCGAGTTGATGTACAGTAGATTCGTCCACCAATAGTCATCACATCCCGCCACAACACTTTGCTTGAACCCAAACCAAAAAGGTCCCGTTCCAAACTGTGGAGACAGTTTCCAAAGAACAAACAAGAGGAAAAAGTAGAGTGGCGATAATCGGATGTACCGATGCACCACATACTTTATCCAAAACTTGTATTTACCAAGAGTCGTGGTAGTGGTGTACGTTGGTTTGTCAAGTTGCTGTAGCAAAGTGTAAAAGACAAGGAACCCAGACAACATAAAGAATACGTCGACCGCAAACTCTGCAGATGTTACAAGAACAAATGGAAGGCTTGACATGACCTTGGTCGTAATCGTCTGCATATTGTCGTATCCAAACTCCATGTTAAACAACAGGTTGTGTCCTAGTACCACCCAACAAGTACTGAAAAAGCGTACACCGTCCAACACATCAAAGTGTTTCTTGTCTGAAGACGACCCAACAAAACTATTGTAATTTTGGATCAATGAAAATGACAATAATACTTTTTGTATCGTAGTAGCTTGATTCATCTCTTCTTGGTAATTAATTGGCGTACTTTTGTAGTCTTTACTCTTATCATTTACCAAAAGATTCCATTCTTCATTTGTATTGTATTCATCTTCATATCTTTTGGCAATTGATATACGTGTGAATAATAGGTATTCAATCAATGTGCCAGCCACTACAAACAATGCAATCACCAAACATAGAATAATCATAATGATCGGTCCGGCAGTCATGGGTGGTCTATCGGTCAGATGGTCACCCGAATAACAATGGACCGTGAATACAGATCCAATACCAGCTTCGACCAAATAGGTAGTCATACCAGTCTTGTTCATCACCATCTCTAGTGCCGTGCCAACATCACTCTCAGAGCATGAACAAGGCAGACACAACCCAGCCAACGTCACTACTCTAGGTGTTGATATTGCACAATACTGTGATACATTGCTTGGTAAACTCAAACAATTATCATAATTTCCTAAATCCCAAAATCCTTTTCCACTTGCTTCCAATACTATAGTTCAAACAAATAAATAAATTAATTAATACATATCATTCATTCATTCTCTTTAATATCTATTGAATTGAAACATACTTTCAAATGAACTAGGATACTTTAATTTTGTTAGATTATATAAATCATTTGAACATTGTATTGAAATTGAATCTGATGATGTTGATGAATCAGATGATGTTGTTGATAATAATGGATCAGCTAATAAATCCAAGATGTGTATCTTTTTTGATGAGTGGTGACTACTACTACTAATGTTAAACAAAGATTGTTGAATATCATATCGTATTGATACATGTTGTTGAATACGAGCTTGGGTTGTTGTTATTGCAAAAGACAGAAAGCATGCTAAAACTAAAGCAATGACTGATGTAGTATTACTATTACTATTTCTATTTATATGATTATTTATACCCATCCTCTAACTTGTATAAGTAGTATACATTATTAAAGTGAAGAATAATCTCCTTCCTTGCTATCTATCATACTTATTAAGTACTGATCATGTGATCAAGATACTTTACAATCTAGTATTATCTCTTTGGATATTTGCATTGTGAGAAAAAATTGAAAATACATCAACCTTGCACAACATTTTTAATGTTGTTTAATTCGGACTTTGAAGATTTCGGGTACCCGTTATATTTATCTAGAATATCTATGTAAACTTTATTATTCTTGTGCACAATGAGAAGAATAAATATATATTTATTGTTTATTTTTTGGCAGAGAATACAAGGATTCTTTTTTGAATGTTTCCATCAGCCTTCCATTCCAATATTTGAGTTTGGGCAGCATTTTGTTGACGGAGGGACATTTGAAGTTCTTTAGAGTCGTATGATTGGACTTTGACATCTTTGAAACCGAGTGTGGTGAGGAGTGCAGTGAGAGATACATCCGAGTGAAGGTATCTTGGAGATGAGCTCGTGTTTGGAATCCAAACTTGTTCAACCTCTGAACCGACACATGTACCGAAATAGGTGCCTCCAGACTTGAGGAATCCGTATACACGTCGGAGTAATCCCTCTACATCTTGTTTGGTGAGTACATGTAGTACAAGACCGGTCCACACATAGTCTCTTGTGTTGTTGAGATCCGATGCAAACGATTGGTCACTGATAGTATTACCAAAACGTGACTCTACACCTAGAGTATCGGCATCTTTGTAGAGCTTGGTACCAAATTGCCAGTAGTCTGGAACAACGTCGATAGCTACAATGTTGGAGGGTGGCACACCATCTCTGACAAGTTGACGTGTATCAGTGGCAAAGCAACATCCAAGGTCCAAGAATTGGAGTGATGATTTGGCAGACGACTGAGCAATCTCTTTCTCATAGATATAGTGACGATGAATCTTTGGATAGAGGAATGACAAACTTTTGATACACCTATAGGCATGAGCAGTGGTAATGCAGTCACTCCATACTTTAAACACGTGTTGTCTTAATGCATCCTTATCACTCTCCTTTAAATAATCTGATATAAATTTCAAATCACGGTCTTCAATCATATCACTTGTTTGTGGTAGATTGAATTCATCTTGTGATGATTGTTGTTGTTGTTGTTGTAAAGTTGATGTCATTATTATTATTAATATTATTATTAATATTATTTATAGATAGATATATATAAATACAAAAGTAAATGAAAGAGCTGAAGAGAGAAGAACATGTTCTTATATTCTTGTTATGATAATGTAATATCCAAAATTAACATAAGCATCAGATTCAGGTTATTGCGAAGGTGCCGCCTTTGCAAAATTCGACATGCGCAATCCTTTACATGTCCCGATTAGGCAAGTCAGGTGTGTGTACGCCCGATTTCTTTTTCTTTGCTACTTTTCAAGCCATCATCATGATCGACATCGAATGAATCATCAATCTCGAGCTTGTTGCTGAACTATCTGTTTGTTGTTGAACTTTACTTTAACCATGTTGAATACAGATAAATACAAACATATATCATATATATATATATTAACTTGTAAAAAAAAAGAAATAATAAAGAAAAGAAGAAGCTGTTCTCTTTTATCAATTATTGTGACTTCATCATCTTTTTTTTTAATTATTTTTTTTTATTTTTCTTTTTGGGAAGAATTAAAGAGAGAGAGATGACAGAGATTATTAGTAATAGAAATAATATAATAATATATCAAGTTGTTAGGAATAGATTGTTGTGGAGACAGATATTTGATCATGTACATTGGATAAACAAGATAATCTATCAGACCGATAGTGATTTTAGAAATGTGTCAAAGATAAAGAGGTACGGTGACATGACGGTTGTCTGTGACATGCTCAAGAACAGACACTATGGATTGTTAAGAGAAAAGATTCAACGTGGAGAGAAACTAGTGTTTACAAGAACTGGTACACTTGATCTGATTGCTGCGTGCAAAGATCGTGATACTATCATGTTGATGTTACGTGCATATGACAACGACGACCAAGTATCGATAGCTGGCAAGAGTACAAGAACAGACACTTTTTGGGATTTGGTAATTCGTGCATTATCTGCAGATAACTTGGTTGGTTTGGAGTGTCTACAAGAACACTATCAAATGGATGATAGTGTTGTCCCACCAAAAGATTTAATGTTTTGTCCAAGGTCTGTTGAAGCTGCAAATTATCTCAAACGACAATTCAGTGGTATCAAACAACTACAACTACCTCTTGATGATTTGGCTACTGTCGCAGACCTAGATGATAGCTTTGTTGCCGATAGATATCTGGATTCGAAATTATTCAATCTATCTAAAGTCGATGTGGTCGTGTTGGTTGACAAGTTGGGTCTGGCTACAATCGAAAAGGTGTACAAACTTATTGGATGGGGTAGTATCGCTGCCAAGATGTATATACTCCAATTGTCCAAATTAGAGGACAAGACAACCATAACTAGATTAATGGTGGAGAAGGTCATGTTGGTGTGTCGAATGACAAACATGTGTGATGTCAAAGTGACAATGGATAGTGTTGACAAGTCGATGCAGTATTTACATGTTGCTGGGTTGGTACACAGTCATCCATTATACAACTATATATTGTTTGCCAAAACTTTGGTTGCTATGGGAGTGCACACCACAATGCATGTCGAGCCTGGAGAGATGATACGTGCATGTGCCAAACATCGTGATATACCACACGCGATAATGTTTCGATTGGCAAAAGAGACAACCGATGGTAAACGTTGGTTCCGACTATTCTGTGCCCATGGGTCGAGAGAGCAGGTCGAGTGGTTCTTGGACAACACTGGGTCCGACGAGAAAAAGGATCTTGATACAATCGACTTTATTGCATCACTAGAGGTTGCACATGTATTGGTCGAGCGATTCACAAACAACAACAACAATAATAATAATAATAATAATAATAACAAGTACATGCCATCAGAACAGACTATTAGAGATTGTATTACCGATGGACAGATAGACATTTTAAATTATTTTGTAGACTGTTCATTGGTTAAAAAGGAACATTTGGGACCTGGATACCACACCATTCTCAAGTCGGGAAATATCAGTATACTCCAACTATTCATTCCCGATCGAGACACGTTCCTTGTTCATTGCAAGAGACCGACCTATATGGAATACCCAATTGCTACACTACGGTATCTATTCGAGTTGGCACCACATGAGATGGCGGTCAATACAGCAGCCAAAAACTTTAAATGGTTGCTTTACCCGGTCGTTGTCAAGGTGGCTGTCGAACCCATCTTTTCGTCGATGCTCAGTGTATTGGACGACAGCTGTAAAAAGAACTTCCTCTTTATGTTTGTACAGGCTGCCATCTCTGTAGTGTCACCCGACAATGTCGCGCGACTATGCGCGCAGTTTAAACATTTATGGCATACCGAAGAGTTGTTTGTATTGACATTATCGTCACTACTACGAGGTAACCGAGCAATCATTGCACAGATCATGCCACTTTACTTGGACAAGTTTGCTAAAGGGTCATTTACTCTTGGATTAGACAGTTACTTTGCCGATATTATAGGTCTATTCTGTGATATTGGCCTATGTGGAGACATTGAAATGTTTGACCTGGTCTATAATTGTCCAATGTTTAACGGACCTGGAAGAGTACATATAACCATTGCACAAGCATTGCTCTCTGGAAACATAAAATTGGTCAATCATATTCGTAGCACTTATCCAAACTCGTTTGACACACCACGCGACATTTGTCGTGTTGCCAAGGATATGGAGCATGCCTCCTACCCCGTTCCCATTCAAACCAGTCAATACCTTGAAGAAGAAAATAGCAAATCCAATTACACCATATTCTTTAAACCAACTCCTAACACACCAACCCCATATCCCAAGAGATCAACATATCGTTTTGGTGAATTAATCAAACAAGAAATGGATTTTGTACTTTTAGATGAACTTGCTCCATAATAGTTTAAAAAAGTTAAATAATAATAATATGTAATAATAATATGTAATATTTTTTACAAAGAAATATATAGTATATTTCTAAAAACATATAAAACAAACAAACAACTTCCATTGTTATAGTTGTAATGTGATAGAGTTAATTAGAACGATTAAAAAAAAAAAAAAAAAAAAAAAAAACAATCTATTAAATCAAATTAAATTTGTTTGATGTACATTGCAACAATTATGAAATTGGTTGGGTTGGAATGAATAATAATAATAATAATAATAATAATAATAATAATAATAATAATAATAATAATTCAATGAACATTGACGAGAAAGAGCGAGAGATTATTCATAGAGAGAAACGAGCAAGATGATCTAATCTGATGGAAAAAATAATAATATTAATATTAATATTATTTTGGAATGTTTTTGGAGTCCAAATGGATTGGATTTCATGATTCACAAAACTATAAATAAGAAGATTAAATTCATTTATTATTCATCAAATCAAATCATCCAACCTAAACAACCAAACCAAAACAAAAACTAATTATCTAAAATAATGAGACTTTTAATTTTACTCTTTGCTTTGTTAGCTGTTACTGTCAGCACTGCCACTCCATTCAAATGTGGACCAAAGATGTGTGGACCAGGTCAAACTTGTGAGTTTGATTGTGTTACCAATCAATACCAATGTGTTTGTATGTAAAACTTTAACAATTAAAAATTAATAATAATATTTAAATTAATCTTTTTTTTTTAATCTTTTTTCTAGACAAATGTGATTATGTAACAGTTACCCAAAAGGTTGTAAGTTCATGGGCTGATAACAATGGTCAAATTCCATACGTCCAACTTGAAGTCACTGTCACCAACCACGGTCCCAGAGTTGTAAAGGATGTGTTAATGGGAACCTCTGGAATGAATCTCAAAGACGGTAACGCCATCTGGTCAGTTGATAGAATCGGTTCTGATTTGTCACTCCCATCATATGTCTCTCAATTGGCTGTTGGTCAATCTCACAAGTTTGGTTACATTAACAAGGGAACTCAAGCCGCTTATATCTACGTAAAGAATGTTCAATTAGTATAAATTTAGGACTGAATATTCCTTTATCTTCTTTCCCCCCACCTAATCAATCATATCATGATATAGATAGTTTATTCTCTATACCATCAATAAATAAATAAATAATAAATAACTTAATTGATAATCAATCATATGATATAGTTTATTCTCTATACTTAACATCAATAAATAAATAAATAAATAATATTTAATTTAATTGATCAAAAAATTCACTCACAAAAATGTTACTACATACTTTTTAATTAAAAGACGAGTCAGTCGAGAGAGATCGATAGATCATTCTATATAATATTTTAAAAAGAATGATGAATAGATTATCACAAATCAAATGTTGTAAAAGATTATCATCTTCATCTACTTCTTCTTCATTGTTTCAACAAAATTCTACTACTACAAGATATCATTACAGCAAGACTTCATCATCATCATCAACAGATCAATCAGTAGATCAAGGAGCTAAATCATTTATAGAATCATTAAATGATCATAGAGCAGAAGGAAAAGGAAAAGAACTTAGTATAGCAATTGATAGAAGTGGTTTAGCTAAATTCCCAACTTCAGTTCATAGTATGTACATCATCATCTCTGCGACTAGTCTAGCTAGATTTAGTTAGATTAAATGACATATCATTTATACTAATGGTTTATAAGCACATGAAAAGAAGAAACCAATTACAGAGTTTGAAAAGTACTTGCAATCGATTGCACAGGTTAGAGGTCCATTCCCAGTAGACACGTTGATGAAGGAATGTTTGACCAACCCAAAGTATGGATACTATATGAACAGAGATGTATTTGGTAGAGGAGGTGACTTTATCACTGCACCAGAGATATCTCAATTGTTTGGTGAAATGTTGGGTATCTGGTGTGTTGCTACTTGGGAGTCTATGGGTAAACCATCAAAGTTACAAATCGTTGAATGTGGTCCTGGTAGAGGTACATTAATGCATGATATTTTAAGAGTATGTAAATAGAAAAAGAAAAAGTGAATAGTAGAGAAAAGAGAAGAAAAGGATACATAGACTAATGTATACTTTTATTTATATTTATATTTTAGTCAACAAAAGTATTTAAAGATTTCTATCAATCAATTGAAGTTCATATGGTAGAAGTTAGTACACATTTGAAAAGTATGCAAAAGACAAGACTACTTTACTATAGAGACGACAAACCAGAGGCATCACAAGGAAAGTCACCAGAAGGTATCAATATTACTTGGCATCAATCGATTGACACGGTTCCAAACGGACCGACACTCTACATTGGTCAAGAGTTTCTCGATGCTCTTCCCATCAACGTATTCCAATTCACAAAGGCAAAGGGATGGTGTGAGGTGATGGTAGACGAAGATATTTCAAAGGATGGACCACACCACCTAAGATTTGTTCTGTCCAATGGACCAACTGCCATGACCAAGGCCGTTCAATATCTCTTGCCAGAGTTTGGTGTCGAGGGGTACACGGTCGAACTTGGTGTTGCCGGGTTAGGCATTTCACAAAAGATTGCACTTCGTATTGCCGAGCATTCAGGTGCCGCCTTGTTTATCGATTATGGCAAGGACAAAATACTCAACAACTCACTACAAGCCATTCGTAATCACAAGTTTGTAGATATTCTCGATAAACCAGGATCTGCAGATTTAAGTACTTGGGTTGATTTTTCTGCTATTCGTAAATGTATTAAGCATCTAAGTATGTAATTATTAATAATAATTAAGTAATTAAATAATTAAATAATTAATTTTTAATTTCATTTATTTTTAGAAAAAGATGTAACATCGGTTGGACCAGTTGATCAAGGAATATTTTTAAAAGAGATGGGAGCAGAACATAGATTACAAAGATTGGTTGGCAAGATTGATGAAAAATCAAAGATTGAAGAGTTGGCCAAATCCTATCACAAATTGGTCAGTCCTGATGAAATGGGTACAACCTACAAGGTCATTACCATTTTAGATAAGAAATTGGAACCAGTAGGATTTGCAACAGCCAAATCTTATGATGATGAAGAATTAATGTTGGGTTAATTATAACAATTATAAATCAGAAAATAATAAGATATTTTGTCTTTTTTTTTTATTATTTTATAAGTTTTAAAGGAATGAAACCAGTTGATGTTGCCAAATCGATAAAATCATCATATTCTTGTTGAGTATAACGACGGACAATTGTGTTGCTTTCGTCATTTAAGGTGTAATAATATTTATCCAAACATTGATTCCATATTTTAAAATATGTTATAACCAAAGGTGGTGGATCCATTTTTTGATCCTTTCCATATTCTTGATAGAGTCGATACAATCTTTCAAGATGATTAAAGAATGTTTGATCGTACTTTAAAAACATAGGGTGTGAGGAATGGTGGTCCAACCAACCTTCAAGGTTTGAATCCAAATAGAATCGTTCCCAAAGTGGTATTAATTGTAGGTCTGTCAAATCTTTTGCATGGTAGAGAATATCTGGTTGGTATTCAACTGGTATGAGATTTAAAATTTGATCTGCCAATTCTTGATAGTCGACTTGTTGGTCAATTGGCATGTTAATATCACTATCCTCCAGTGCTTGTTGTTGTGACGGTTTCTTGATCAAGTGGAGGGATAATTGAATTAAAATATCGATTGATTGTTCCATTTTGTTACCCATTGCAATAATCGCCATGTTCAAGTGTAAGATAAATTCTTTTGCAAATCGATAGTAACCGGCACCGACCATTAAACAAAGGATCGTGACACGATCATATGGATTGATACTATCGAATTTGATCGGGGCGCCATAGATGAACTGAAACATATGTCTACATAGTCTCATGCTTGAATTGTCAATGGCTTGGAGACTAAATCGACAATATTGGTTGATAATCTTTTTGAGAAGTGATGGAATGAGGACGCGCTCGATATTATGTTTGGGTACATATAAAATGGGTTCATCTATTCTGTCCCTCTGTTTGAATTCCGATTTTAAAAAAGGTGATTGTGCAAGTGCCTTTTCAACGATTGATATGAATTGATCACGTCCAGGGTAATCTTGCTCTGTGTACCTTTCAACCGATTCGAATGGGAATCCACACTTTTTTGGAAATCCTTCAGCATGTGCCACCAGTCTCTCCAACAAATCATTGTCACCACCATACTTGTCAATGATGAATCCAACAGAGCCTGCAAAATCAATGTGACATTTTTGAGCAAACTTTGATTTGAGAAGGTAGTCTAGTTCTGCATACTCTTTTCCTTTTGGTGCTTGTAAGAGTGTTGATTGTACGAGATTTGATGGGTGATATGAACCAGAATTGATGACGTGTGCTGACAAGAGATCGATATAATGACGTGAGCAAAATATTGGATTAAAAAACACGGTGGCAATGCAGTCGATTCGAATTGTACTATCCTTTTGCACACAATCTAGTATAAACGAGACTGCTTCTTGGCATCCAGATTCCAGTGACTTTGCAAAATTCCAACGTGAGACATGTACTTTGAAATCGGCAGGTGTCGATACTTGTGGCGATGTAATGTATCGTAGATAGTCAATATCTGTTCCATTGTTAATCTTGTGCGTCAATCCTTCTTGGTCGACATAGTCGTATTTCCAACAGAATTTGATGCCGTAGAATTTGAGAGCTCTCATTCTCTCATAATCTTGTGTCTTTTTGGAAGAGTATGGTGAAAAGAGAAGTGCATCAAGAGGTCTTTTCCATTTCTTGGCTTTTCCATCATTAATGATATGCATGATTACTTTGATACGGTCTTGCACCAATGCTTGCAAGATAATCTCCATTCTACTCCTTTTATCCATCTTCTTGTTGACAATTTTCACAACATTGTATAGTTCGATCAATTCGATATCTGTCTTTTTGTTGATTAAATCAAAGAGTGTTGGTATACCTTTGGCTTTTGTTGTTGGGTACATTGTAAATAGATTCTTGAGGTCTGAAAGATTGTATCTCTTGAACCAATTTCTAATTACATCAACATCACCAATCACAATGATTGCAGTCTTTGCCATCCGATGTATTAATATATCCGATTCAATCAATATATTATCATCTGACAATAACTTGAATATCTTTAAACCAAGACAATGTATCTTTTCATTAGTTGATTCTTTAGCGTAATCAAAGTAGATTGTAATGGGTGTCGATTTAAATTCATCCATTTCATTCTTGATTCTATTTAATAGGTATTCCAATACTTGATGATTATTATAATGAATTGCTGTTGACATTATTCTAGTTAGTTTCTTTTAGAAATAAAATAAGTTAACTTATTGTTAATAATACTAATATCTAATATTTTAAAATGAATACTATTATTATCTAATACATACATCAGCATGATCATTTCTATATACACCATTAGATGATGCAAACATCAAACTCCAAAGTAAATCTATATGTTTAAAGAATAGATCATTCAAACCATATTGAATGTATTGTATAGGTAAAAAGAGAGATGATAATCTAACAACTTTAATATTCAACTGTTTGTGAATAGAACTAACATGATTGAATATCAGTTTTCTAAGATACGTTTGATTCAATATTCTTGAGAATAAAGATTGATTTGATAGTAGTCGTCTTTTAATCTTTTTATTATCTCTATCATAGTTGTTTACATCTTCCATTATATCTATCTAATATATCTCTATCCTATCTGTTTATATCTTTGTATTAATATGAATGATAGTGAACTGCTTGTGTGCAATGAAAACTTCTCTAATTTTCAAAAATGAAATTTCCTTTTTTGGTTTGCATTTATTTTGAAATAAGTTTTGAAGGTATGAAACCCAATGGAGTTACCCAATCCATAAAATCATCATATTCTTTTTTAGTATACCGATTTACAATTGTGTTGGTGTTATTATCATCATCATCAAAGTTGTAATAATAATTATCTAAACATTGATTCCATATTTTAAAATATTTAAAAACCAAAGGAGGTGCATCCATTTTTTCATCGATTCCATATTCTTGTTGATAGAGTCGATACAATCTTTCAAGATGATTAAAGAATGTTTGATCGTATTGGAAAAACATAGGGTGTGAGGAATGGTCCAACCAATCTTCAAGGTTTGAATCCAAATAGAATCGTTCCCAAAGTGGTATAAATTGCTCGTCTGTCAAATCCTTTGCATAAAAGAGAATATCTGGTTGGTATTCAAGTGGCATGAGATCTAAAATTTGATCGGCTAATTCTTGATAGTCCACTTGTTGGTCAATATGTTCAATTTCCATTGCGTAACTTATATCATCCTCCTCCATTATTGTTTCCTTTACTTGTTGTTGTGACTGTTTCTTCTTGATCAAGTGAAGAGATATTTGATATAAAATACCATATATTTGTTGCACTTGATCATTATTGTCATCATCGATAGTCACCAAGTCCAAGTATTCAACTATAAATTCTTGTGCCTGTCGATGGTACCCTCCACCGACCAATAAACAAAGAATAGTGACACGATCATATGTATTGACACTATCGACTTTAATCTTGGCACCATAGATGATCCTGAACATTTGTCTATAGATATACATGTTTGTATTGTCAAGTACTTCTAGACAAAAGTTTGAACCGTTTGATATTTTTTTGAGAAGTGATGGAATGAGGATACGCTTGATATTCTTTTTACGTACATATAAAATGGGTTCTTCTTGTCTGGTAGTCTCTTTGAATTGAGATTGTGTAAATGGAACTTGTGCAAGTACCTTTTCAATGATTGATATGAATTGATTACGTTGTGGGTAATCTTCTATTGTGTACTTGTCAATCGACCCGAATGGGAATCGACAGTGCCAAGGGAATTTTCGAGCATGTTCTATTAACCTCTCCAACATATCATTGTCACCTCGATACTTGTCAATGATGAATCCAACAGATTCTGCAATATTGATGTGACATTTTTCACCAAACTTTGAATTGAGTACATAGTCTAGTTCTGCATACTCTTTTCCTTTTGGTGCTTGTAAGAGTGTTGATTGGATGATATTGGATGTGATAATAAAGTTACCACGGACGTGTGCTGACAAGAGATCGATATAATGACGCGTACAAAATACTCGGTGTACCAAATAGACGGTATGGAAGTCGAGTTGAGAGATACCCTCCTTTGGAACACTCTCCAATAAAAATGATACTACTTGTTCGCATCCAGATTTCAGTGACCCTGAAAAATTCCAACGTGATACACATACTTTGAAATCGGCAGGTGTCGATACTTGTGGTGATGATATGTATCGTAGATATTCGATATCTGTTCCATCTGCTATCTTTTCCAACAATCTTTCTTGGTCATCATCATAATCGTATTTAAAATTGAATTTGTGGTCGTAGAATATAATAGCTTTCATTCTCTCGTACTTTTTACTTGAGGATGGTGAGTTTGAGAAGAAGAGTGGAGCAAGAGCTCTTTTCCATTTCTTATCTTTTCCATCATTAATGATATGTTCGATTACTTTGATACGGTCTTGAACCAATGCTTGCATTATCATCTCCATTCTACTTCTTTTATTCATCTTCTTGTTGACAGTCGAAACAACATTGTATAGTTCGATCAATTCGGTATCTGTCTTTTTGTTGAATAAATCTTTTAGTTTTGGTATACCATTCACTTTTGAAGGATACATTGTAAATAGATTCTTGAGGTTTGAAAGATTATATCTATTGAACCAATTTCTAATTACATCTACATCACCAATCACAATGATTGCAGTCTTTGCCATCCGATGTATTAATATATCCGATTCAATCAATATATTATCATCTGACAATAACTTGAATATCCTTAAACTAAGACAACGTATCTTTTTAGATTCTGATACACGATCAAATTTAATTGTAATGGTTGTTGATTGAAATGGTCCAATCTCGTTCTTGATTCTATTTAATAGGTATTCCAATACTTGATGATTATTATAATGAATTGCCGATGTCATTAAATTATATAGTTTCTTTAAGATGAAATAAGAGATGTGAATTGTTAATATATACGTATTAATAGATATTTTGAATTAACTATTAGTTGATCTAATACATACATCAGCATGATCATTTCTATATACACCATTAGATGATGCAAACATCAAACTCCAAAGTAAATCGATATGTTTAAAGAATAGATCATTCAAACCATATTGAATATACTGTAGAGGTATAAATGTAGATGTTATTCTCGTAGTTTTAATACCCAACTGTTTGTGAATAGAACTAACATGATTGAATATTAAACTTCTAAGATACGTTTGATTCAGTATTCTTGAGAATAATTGATTTGACATTCCTAGTCGTTGACTCTTTTTATCTTCTCTATCATTGTTTACATCTTCCATTATCTATCTAATATATTATATGTATATCTATTTCTATCTATCTACAATATGTGAGAATAAATAATGCAAGTTCACACCTCCACTTGGTCGTTCAAAAAAAAATTATTTTTTATTTATTTTATTTTACAAGTTTGTTTGGAACAAAAGCAACAGAAGTAGCCAATTTAATAAATTTGTTATATTCTTGTTGAGTATAACGACTTACAAATGCGTTGGTATCATTATTGTTGTAGTAATAACTATCCAAACATTGACTCCATATTTCAATATATTCTATGGTCAATGGAGGTGGATCATTTGCATCGAGTTGAAGAGGAGGAGGTCCTTCAACTACTTTGTAAATGTTTGAATGGTTTTGATAGAATCGATATAATCTTTCTAAATGATTAAAGAACTTTTGATCGTACTTTAAAAGCTTGAGATGTTTAGATGGTTCGTACAACCAATTTTTAAGGTTGGTACCCAAATATAAAGGACCACTCCAAAGTGCCATCAATTGATTATCTGTCAAATCTGTTGCATAGTAAAGAATATGGGATTGGTATTGCGATGGTAATAGATCCAAAATTACATTTGCTATGCTTTGATGGCTATGATCATCGCCTGACTTGATAGTATCGTTGTCACTACCCTCGATAACCTCTACTTGTGACTGTTGGAGATCTTTGTTGATTAAATCAAAGTATAATTTAAATAGAATATTCATTGACTTTTTCAAGTATTTCGGTGTCATGAGATTGGTGTTTATCGATGAAGTGTTGATGAATTGCCTTGCAAATTGATAGTGGCCGGCACGGACCACCAAACAAAGGATTTTGATCAGATCGTAGGTGCGAGGAGTGCACATATCAAGCACCTTTTTGTAGAGTTTAATATCGGTAGACATGGCAGCACTAAAGAGGAAGTAGTAGTAGTAACGAAACCCCACGGTCGAAATCTTTTCTAATAGTGCTGGATCGAGTATCCATATGTTTTTTCTTTCAAAACGGAAAATGGGTTGACCATAATAATTCAAATCTATCTTGTCGAGTATTCTTTTTACTGCAGATATGAATTGATCACGTCCTTGGTAATCGTGTTGTGTGTACTTGTGAACCGACTCCAATCGGAAATGACACTTTCCTGTAAATTGTTTGGCATAGGTGACCAGTCTCTCGATCAAACGATCAGTATCGATGCCACCCATCTCGACAACCGCTGCAACCGACTCTCCTAAATCGAGGTAGAGATCATTACAAAACTTGGAGTTGAGGACATAATCTAGGTGGGAGTGTAGTTCTGACGATATCAGTGGTACCATAGCTAACATAATTAATGTGCAGAGACAAGAGTTCGATATAATGACGTGAGCAAAGGACTGGAGGAAACTTTTTGGTTTGTCTGATATTGATTTTAATAGTACTGTCCAGACGTCGTGCATAGTCCAAGAACAAAGAACAATGAGACAGCCTCTTCTGCACACTCAGATCCCAGTGACCGAGATAGTATATCTTTACTCAATATCTGTTCCATCACTGATCTTTTCCATCAATCGTTGGTCGTCAAGTCCTTGAATAAAGTCGTCATACCCATCCGAATACAATAATATGATCCTGTGTACTTCTTTCTTTCTTTCATTGTCTTTTATCTGTTTAGTTGTGGTCGCATGATTCGTTGAAAAGAGTTGTGGAGAATATTCGGTGATGTTTTCGGGACGGTAAGAGGTTTTGTTTTCAAATGCTCGATGATTTTGAGACGGTCTTGGAGAAACGCTGATAAAACAATATCGTATTGATTCCATCCATTTTTGTTAACCACCATCCTCTTGTTGACAGTAGCCACAACATTTCACAGTTCAATCTGTCTTTTTCTTGAATAAATCTTTGATTGCTGGTACCTTTTCATCATTGCGAAATAGATAATCGAGGTTTGAAAGATTGTATCTCTTGAACAAGTTTCTTATCCCATCGACATCACCAATCAACGATACAGCAGTCTTTGCCATTCTATGTAATAAATGGTTTGAATCTATGAATACATTATCATCAACCAACAGATTATATACTTTTAAAGATAGATACTCGATTCGGTATTCAGAACCAGTGTACACGATCGTAACCATAGTTTGAAATGGTCCGATCTCATTCTTGATTCTATTTAATAGGTATTCCAATACTTGATGATTATTATAGTCAATTGTTGTTGCTATCATTTTGGGAAGAATCTTTTAGAAAGAATAAATAAATATTAAATTGCAAAAATAACTTTAACAATATCGTTACTTACATCATTGTTTGCTCTATATATGCCATCAGACGATGAAAACATCATTCCCCAAAGTTTATCTATTTGTTTTTAAAGAATAGATCACTAACATGATTGAATATCAGTCTTCTAAGATAAGATTGATTCAATATAGCTTTGAATGACGACGACGATGATGATGCAACTGCATATGATTCTTCATGATCATTAGAGAGACCAACTTTAGTCTTTTTCTTTTCTCTATCATTAACATCTTCCATTATCTATCCTAGAATTACCTCTTTTTTTCAAACCATTAATCGCTAAAGGTGGTGTGAAGGGAATGGAATAAAAAAAATAAATTTATTTATTTATTTTATTTTACAAGTTTGTTTGGAACAAAAGCAACAGAGGTAGCCAATTTAATAAAATCATCATATTCTTGTTGAGTATAACGACGTACAAATGTGTTGGTATCATCATTATTGTTGTAATAATAACTATCCAAACATTGATTCCAAATTCCAATATATTCGATGGTCAATGGAGGTGGATCATTTGCATCGAGTTGAAGAGGAGGTCCTTCAACTTCCTTGTAAATGTTTGAATGGTTTTGATAGAATCGATATAATCTTTCTAAATGATTAAAGAACTTTTGATCGTATTTAAAATTCTTGAGATGTTTTGATGGTTCGTACAACCAATTTTTAAGGTTTGTACCCAAATATAAGGAACCACTCCAAAGTGCCATAAATTGTTCATCTGTCAAATCTGTTGCATAGTAAAGAATATGGGATCTATGAGGAGATGGAACTAGATCCAAAATGAAATTTGCCATGTTTAGATGGCTATGATCATCGATTGACTTGATGTCACTACCCATAGCCTTTGCTTGTTGTGAATCTTTGTTGATTAAATCAAAATATAATGGAAATAGTATATTCATTAACTGTTTCAATAATTTAGGTGTCACAATATTCAAGTTTATCGATGAATTGTTGATAATCTTCTTTGCAAATTCATAGTGACCTGCATTGACCACTGATAAAAGGAGATTGACTAGTTGGTAGGTGTTGGGTGAGCATAGGGAAAGCACCTTTTTGTAGAGCTTAATGTCTTCAGACATGGCTGCATTATAGAGGTACCAGTAGGAGTATTCCGATCCAAAACTTTGAAGTGTTATTATCTTTTCCAGTAGTGCTGGATCTAGAATCATCAATTGACTCTCACTTCCAAACCGGAAAATAGGTTGACCATAATGTTCATCGAAATCTATCTTGTCGAGTATTCTTTTAACAGCCGATATGAATTGATCGCGTAGTTTGTAATCTTTTAGTGTGTACTTGTGAACCGACTCCATTGGAAATTGACTCCTTCCAGAAAAGTGTTTGGCATATGTGACCAGTCGCTCGATCAAACGATCAGTATCTATGCCACCCATCTCGACGACAGCTGCAACCGACTCTCCTAAATCGAGGGAAATATTTCTACAAAACTTGGAGTTGAGGACATAATCTAGGTGGTCATAGAGACCTTTTCCTGTGTTGGTAGCATGTTGGAGTGTTGCTCGGACGATATCACGGATGCTATAGTTACGATAACCAACGTGAAGAGACAAGAGATCGATATAATGACGCGAGCAAAGTACTGGAGGAAACCTCTTGATTTGTCTGATACCAATTTTAAAAGTACTCTCCAAACTTGCATAGTCCAAGAACAACGAGATAATCTCCTCTGCACAATCAGAGTCCAGTGACGGATCTATATCCCAACCTCCAGCCAATAGCTTGAAATCTGTGGCATCAGTTGTCTCGAGTGATGATATGTATCTTAGATACTCAATATCTGCTCCATCTCTAATCTTGTCCATCAATCCTTGGTCGTCAAGTCCTTGAACCAAGTTATCATACCCATTCGAATACGATAATATAATCTTGTGTATTTCTTTCTTTCTCTCATTGTCTCGAATCGATTTGGAAGAGTATGGTGAAAAGAGTTGTGGAGAACATTCAAAGGGGGTTCTCCCTACGATAAGAGGTTTTGGTTTCATAACAAAGTGCTCAATGACTTTGAGACGGTCTTGGAGAATGGTTGGCAAAACAATATCATCCTCTCCAAATTTGTTAACAGTTTCCACAACATCGGACAGTTCAATCAATTCGATATCTGTCTTTTTCTTGTACAAGTATTTAATCGCTGGTAAATGATCATTCTTTTTAAATAAAGAATGAAGATTTGAAAGATCATATCTCCTGAACAAGTTTCTTATCCCATCGACATCACCAATCAACGATACAGCAGTCTTTGCCATTCTATGTAATAAATGGTTTGAATCTATGAACACATTGTCATCAACCAACAGATTATATACTTTTAAAGATAGATACTCGATTCGGTATTGTTGAAGACGAGTGTATACGATAGTAACCATAGTTTGAATGGTCCGATCTCATTCTTGATTCTATTTAATAGGTATTCCAATACTTGATGATTATGATAGTCAATTGTTGTTGCTATCATTTTAATTAGAATATTTGAAAGAATAAATCTAAATTAGTAACTACACTAGAGAACTCCAAAAGTTGTTATTAACTTACATCATTATTTGCTCAATAAATACCATCAGATGATGCAAACATCAAACTCCAAAGTATATCTATTTGTTTAAAGAATAGATCATTCAAACCATATTGAATATATTCTAGTATTGTATGAAGAGATGATAATCTAACAGCTTCAATACCCAACTGTTTGTGAATAGAACTAACATGATTGAATATCAGTCTTCTAAGATAAGATTGATTCAATATAACTTTGAATAATGATGATGACGATGATGCAACCGTATACGATTCTTGATGATTAGCATCTTCCATTATAATCTATATGTATTTATATTATTATTATTATCTTTTTTTATAAACAGGTTTGAGATGACCTTTTGAAGGATGAAATTTGGTAAAAAAAATATTATTTATTTATTTTATTTTACAAGTTTGCTTGGAACAAAAGCAACAGAGGTAGCCAATTTAATAAAATCATAATATTCCTGTTGAGTATAACGACGTACAAATGTGTTGGTATCATCCCTATTGTTGTAGTAATAACTATCCAAACATTGATTCCAAATTCCAATATATTCGATGGTCAATGGAGGTGGATCATTTGCATCGAGTTGAAGAGGAGGAGATCCTTCAGCTACTTTGTAAATGTTTGAATGGTTTTGATAGAATCGATATAATCTTTCTAAATGATTAAAGAACTTTTGATCGTACTTTAAAAGTTCGAGATGTTTTGATGGTTCGTACAACCAATTTTTAAGGTTGGTACCCAAATATAAAGGACGACTCCAAAGTACCATCAATTGTTCATCTGTCAAATCTGTTGCATAGTAAAGAATATGGGATCTATGAGGAGATGGAACTAGATCCAAAATGACATTTGCCATGTTTTGATGGCTATGATCATCGATTGACTTGATGTCACTACCCATAGCCTTTGATTGTTGTGAATCTTTGTTGATTAAATCAAAATATAATTTAAATAGAATATCCATTGTCTCTTTTAAGGATTGAGGTGTCACATTATTCAAGTTAATCGATGAACTGTTGATTAATTTCTTTGCAAATTCATAGTGACCTGCATTGACCACTGATAAAAGGAGATAGACTAGTTGGTAGGTGTTGGGTGAGCATAGGGAAAGCACCTTTTTGTAGAGCTTAATGTCTGCCGACATGGCTGCATTATAGAGATACCAAGAGTTGTATTCATCATCCAACCTTTGAAGTGTTATAATCTTTTCCAGTAGTGCTGGATCGAGTATCATCAATTGACTCTCACTTCCAAACCGGAAAATGGGTTGACCATAATGCTCATCGAAATCTATCTTGTCGAGTATTCTTTTAACTGCTGATATGAATTGATCACGTCCTTTGTAATCTTGTTGTGTGTACTTGTGAACCGATTTCATTGGGAAATGACACCTTCCTGAAGATCTTTTGGTTAATGTGGCCAGTCGCTCGATCAAACGATCGGTATCGGTACCACCCATCTCGATGACCGCTGCAACCCCTTCTGCTACGTCGAGGTAGAGTTTCTCACAAAACTTGGAGTTGAGGACATAGTCGAGGTGGTCATAGAGATTGTTTCCTGTGGTGGTCGCATGTTGGAGTGCCGATCGGACGATATTACAGGTACCATAGCTAACATAACCAACGTGCAGAGACAAGAGATCGATATAATGACGCGAGCAAAGGACTGGAGGAATCCCCTGGATATGACCGATATTCATTTCAAAAGTACTATCCATACGTGCATGATCCAAGAACAATGAGACAACCTCTTCTGCACATTCAGATTCCAGTGACCGAGATGATAAATAATTTCGTTTAGCCAATTGCTTGAAATGATCTGTAGAGTCTGTGGTTGTCTCGGGCGATGATATGTATCGTAGATACTCAATATCTGTTCCATCTTTAATCTTGTCCATTAATCGTTGGTCGTCAATTCCTTGAATAAAGTCGTCATACCCATTCGAATACAATAATATAATCTTGTGGATTTCTTTCTTTCTCTCATTGTCTCGAATCGATTTGGAAGAGTATGGTGAAAAGAGTTGTGGAGGACATTCAAAGGGGTTTCCCCCTACTAAAAGAGGTTTTGGTTTCATTGACAAGTGCTCGATGACTTTGAGACGGTCTTGGAGAATGGCTGGCAAAACAATATCATCCTCTCCAAATTTGTTAACAGTTTCCACAACATTGAACAGTTCAATCAATTCGATATCTGTCTTTTTCTTGAACTTTTCATCATTGCTAAATAGATAATCGAGGTTTGAAAGATTGTATCTCTTGAACAAGTTTCTTATCCCATCGACATCACCAATCAACGATACAGCAGTCTTTGCCATTCTATGTAATAAATGGTTTGAATCTATGAATACATTATCATCAACCAACAGATTATATACTTTTAAAGATAGATAATCTACTTCAAATTGGTATTCAGAACCAGTGTACACGATCATAACCGTTGTTTGAAATGGTCCCATTTCATTCTTGATTCTATTTAATAGGTATTCCAATACTTGATGATTATGATAGTCAATTGTTGTTGCTATCATTTTAATTAGAATCTTTGAAAGAATAAATCTAAATTAGTAACTACACTAGAGAACTCCAAAAGTTGTTATTAACTTACATCATTATTTGCTCTATAAATACCATCAGATGATGCAAACATCAAACTCCAAAGTATATCTATTTGTTTAAAGAATAGATCATTCAAACCATATTGAATATATTCTAGTATTGTATGAAGAGATGATAATCTAACAGCTTCAATACCCAACTGTTTGTGAATAGAACTAACATGATTGAATATCAGCCTTCTAAGATAAAATTGATTCAATATAACTTTGAATATTGATGATGATGACGATGATGCAACCGTATACGATTCTTGATGATTAGCATCTTCCATTATAATCTATATGTATTTATATTATTATTATTATCTTTTTTTATAAACAGGTTTGAGATGACCTTTTGAAGGATGAAATTTGGTAAAAAAAATATTATTTATTTATTTTATTTTACAAGTTTGTTTGGAACAAAAGCAACAGAGGTAGCCAATTTAATAAAATCATCATATTCTTGTTGAGTATAACGACGTACAAATGTGATGGTATCATCACTATTGTTGTAATAATAACTATCCAAACATTGATTCCATATTCCAATATATTCGATGGTCAATGGAGGTGGATCATTTGCATCGAGTTGAGCAGGAGGAGATCCTTCAACTACTTTGTAAATGTTTGAATGGTTTTGATAGAATCGATATAATCTTTCTAAATGATTAAAGAACTTTTGATCGTACTTTAAATGTTTCAAATGTTTAGATGGTTCGTACAACCAATTTTTCAAGTTTGTACCCAAATATAAAGGACCACTCCAAAGTGCCATCAATTGTTCATCTGTCAAATCTGTTGCATAGTAAAGAATATCTGATCTGTCTTGGGATGGAACTAGATCCAAAATGACATTTGCCATATTTTGATGGCTATGATCTTTGTTGATTAAATCAAAGTATAATGGAAATAGTATATTCATTAACTGTTTCAATAATTTAGGTGTCACATTATTCAAGCTTATCGATGAACTGTTGATTAATTTCTTTGCAAATTCATAGTGACCTGCATTGACCACTAATAAAATGAGATTGACTAGTTGGTAGGTGTTGGGTGAGCATAGGGAAAGCACCTTTTTGTAGAGCTTAATGTCTGCTGACATGGCTGCATTATAGAGGTACCAATAGGAGTATTCATAATCCAACCTTTGAAGTGTTATAATCTTTTCCAAAAGTGACTTATCGAGTATCATCAATTGACTCTCACTTCCAAACCGGAAAATAGGTTGACCATAATGTTCATCGAAATCTATCTTGTCGAGTATTCTTTTAACAGCCGATATGAATTGATCGCGTCCTTGGTAATCGTGTAGTGTGTACTTGTGAACCGACTCCATTGGGAAATGACACTTTCCTGAAGATTGTTTGGCAAATGTGACCAGTCTCTTGATCAAACGATCAGTATCTATGCCACCCATCTCGACGACCGCTGCAACCCCTTCTGCTAAATCGAGGTCGAGTTTTTCACAAAACTTGGAGTTGAGGACATAGTCGAGGTGGTCATAGAGGTTGTTTCCGGCTGTTGTAGCTTGTTGGATAGCCGATCGGAGGATATTACAGGTACCATAGCTAACATAACCAACGTGCAGAGACAAGAGATCGATATAATGACGCGAGCAAAGGACTGGAGGAATCCCCTGGATATGACCGATTCTCATTCCAAAGGTACTATCCATACGTGCGTGATCCAAGAACAATGAGAAAACCTCTTCTACACATTCAGATTCCAGTACCCGAGATGATAAATAACTTTGTTGAGCCAATTGCTTGAAATGGTCAGCGGCGTCAGGCGTCTGTGGTGATGATATGTATCGTAGATACTCAATATCTGTTCCATCACTGATCTTGTCCATCAATCCTTGGTCGTCAAGTCCTTGGGTCAAGTCGTCATGCCCATTCGAATGCAATAATATGATCCTGTGGATTTCTTTCTTTCTTTCATTGTCTCGAATCGATTTGGAAGAGTATGGTGAAAAGAGTTGTGGAGAATATTCAGAGATGATGTTTCTCGTGAGAGGTTTTGGTTTCATGGCAAAGTGCTCCATGACTTTGAGACGGTCTTGGAGAATGGCTGGCAAAACAATATCAACTTGGTTCACTCCACCATTGTTAAAACCCCTCTTCCTTTTATCGGTCATTTTGTTGACAGTAGCCACAACATTACACAGTTCAATCAATTCGATATCTGTCTTTTTCTTGAATAAATCTTTGATTGTTGGTAACTTTTCATCATTGCGAAATAGAAAATCGAGGTTTGAAAGATTGTATCTCTTGAACAAGTTTCTTATCCCATCGACATCACCAATCAAAGATACAGCAGTCTTGGCCATTCTCTGTAATAAATGGCTTGAATCTATGAATACATTGTCATCAACCAACAGATTATATACTTTTAAAGATAGATACTCGATTTGGTATTTAGAACTAGTGTATACGATCATAACCGTTGTTTGAAATGGTCCCATTTCATTCTTGATTCTATTTAATAAGTATTCCAATACTTTATCGTTTTGATAATCAATCGTTTTTACTATCATTTTAGTTAGAATCTTTTTAAGAAAGAAAAAAAAAAAAAAAATCAATAATTCGTTACTGTAACTCCAAAGTGTTTATCATCACATATTCATATTGTTACTTACATCATTATTTGCTCTATAAATACCATCAGATGATGCAAACATCATTCTCCAAAGTGTATCTATTTGTTTAAAGAATAGATCATTCAAACCATATTGAATGTATTCCAACATGGTATGAAGGGATGATAATCTAACAGCTTTAATACCCAACTGTTTGTGAATAGAACTAACATGATTGAATACCAGTCTTCTAATATAAGATTGATTCAATATAGCATTGAATATTGATGATGACGATGATGATATTGGGTTTGTTGATGTTGCTTTACTCTTTTTATTTTCTCTATCATTTTGTACATCATCCATTATCAAATAATTGTAATACTATTCTTTGTAAGGAAATAAAAAGAGGTGACTTCTTTACAAAGTCGCTTCCCTCAACTTGGAAGCTCACAAATAAAAGATGAATTAATTTTTTAATTGAAGTTCACTTGGGTGGCGTATCTCTTACACACCTCACTTTCATTGTATATTATTACAGATAGCATATAATAATAATAGTAGTAGAAGTAGTAGTAATATTAATCATTGAATTTTACGATACCAACTAAATGATATATCAAGACACCAACCTACAAAATAATAATCGAATAATTCAAATGAATGTGTGTATGGTCACATATGAATAAAAGATCTATATAGATAGATCTTTTAATGTACCCTTCAAGTCAACGGTAACAAGGTGGTGGTGGTGTTTATACTCGACTCGAATGCGCATTGTGTCATGTGTGTGTGGTGTGAAAACAAATAATAATAACGGGCGGGAAACACACAACAAGATACATATAATTGTATAAACAACACACACACCACACCACACCCACCATAGTGTAGAATGAAAACAAAAACTCGATTGAAATCATTCAAACGATACTCTAGACATGGATATAGTAATTTCAATGATAATGAACAACATCAACTCTGATTTGGGAGGATCGACAAATTCAATTTAGACTGTCCAACAGTATAACTTTCAAGATTCACTGGATCTTTTTATTATTCCTTTATATCATTTCCTAAAACAAATCAAAACAACAATATAATCCTAACCTAACTTTGGTGTGTGTGTGGTTCAATTCCAAAAGAAAAAAGAGACACAGAGAATAGTAATAGTAAGTGATAGAGAATTTATATTATTCTTTTAATCTTTTAACTTTCTATTTCTTTGTAATTTTTTTTATTTGTTGTAATTTTATTTAAAAAAATAAAAAGAAAAAGGTAACATCTTTAAAAGAAATAATAATAATAATCATATAATATTAAATAATAATAATAATAATATTAAATAATAATCAACAAAAGAGAAGGAGATAATAATTATAATAATATATATATATTTTTAAAACAAATATAATATTTATTTATTATTTAATTATTTCTTTATTATTTTGGAAATCAATTTGTTTTTTTTATTTAATATCATGTTTGGTATTAAAAAGAAAACTATTGGTTTAAATAATCTACTCTTTGGTATTATTTGCCAGACCAATTAAACAACAACAAATAATAATCATTCCATACAACTACTACTAAATTATACCCACACCTCACACTTTTCGAACCTAGATACTATCTATTCCCATTGACCCTCCTCACCCCTACCCCCTCTCATCCCCTATTACCATCCACTCATTGACTGACATCATCATTGTTAGATCTACACAAATAATTGTATTATATTTATAAATATATATTTATATATTTATATTATAATATTATTATTATTTTCAATGTATAGTATTCTTTTAAAAGAATATCTTTTCGTCGATAAAAAATATCACCAACAACTTTATATTTTTATTTATTTATCTCTATATATATTTTTATATAAATATTTCTATATATATTAATACCCAATCCCTTTCATTCATATCCTTTCATTTTTAGAATTCACGCCCATTTCATTCATCCCCACTCATCTTAACCATCTCACATTTAATTATAATTTTAATTATAATATACTATTAATAATTATTGTTTATTTATTTATAATTCTTTATATATATTACTAATAATAAATGGCGATTGAAGAAAAACATGGCTCTCCAGGTCGTGCCTTGGCAGAGGTACCAAATGGAGAAGTTTTAATTCCACATGAAAAAGAAGCAATGTATAATCAAGAGATGGCAAAATACGATAAACAACAACAACTAGAAGAATATACATCCACTCCAACCATCTCTGAAATTTCAATCACTGAAACCATATCGGAATCTGATGAAGCAGAATTTGAAGAAACCGATTTTACTCTCCCACCTCAAATGAAATTTATTATGGGTAATGAACTTTGTGAAAGGTATTGTATCAAACAAATTGGAAGAATAGAAAAGTATTATTATTCAATCAAATCAAATTTATTAATTTAAATATCTCTTTTTTTTTTAGATTTTCATATTATGGTTTAAAAACTATTTTACAAAAGTTTTTAATTGATTTTATGGGTTATAATCGTACAACTGCCACAAATATTAATCATGCATTTAATTTTACTGCTTATGCTTTGTATGTATTAAAAGCGAAAAAAAAAGAAATTAATAATTATTAATTAATATTTATTTATTTATTTATTTTGTTTAATTTTAATTTTTTAGTCCAGTATTGGGAGCATGGTTAGCAGATGAAAAATTGGGAAAGTTTAATACTATTTTATACTTTACTGGTGTGTATGTAATTGGAACATTATTCTTGACATTTGCAGCTGTTCCAGCTATCGTTGGAGAAGGTGCTACCAAATCACCATGGGCATTGACAGTTGCATTGTTACTTATTTCTGTCGGTACTGGAGGTATCAAACCAGTTGTATCAACATTTTGTGGAGACCAAGTAGACATTCGTAGAAAGAAATTGATCCAAAAGATTTTCAACATCTTTTACTGGATGATCAACCTCGGTTCACTCTTTTCAACCCTTTTCATCCCCATTATCCGTGACTATGCTGGTTACTGGGTAGCATTCCTCATTCCTGCCTGTTTGATGGGTGTCGCACTGTTACTCTATACAATTGGTAAAAAGTCCTATGTCAACCGTCCCATGCAAGGAAGTGTGTTTGTGCGAGTATGTAAAGTAGTTGGAAGTGGAATCAAAGAAAAGTTCAGATCCAAGCGTGCTGGCTATGACGACCGTTTCTATGCTGACAGTTGGGTTGATAGAGCCAAGGTATCTCACGACCCTCGATTCGTCGATGCCACCAAAGCAGCACTCCGTGTATGTCTTGTATTCGTTCCCATGCCCATTTTCTGGGCATTGTACACTCAAACCTCCACCATTTGGGTCGACAGTGGTGAGAGAATGAATACCAGATTTGGATCAGTCAACATTAGTGCCGATATGATGCAAGCTGTCAATCCATTACTCATCCTCATTCTAGTACCATTTTTCGAATATTGCATTTATCGTCCAATTGCTAAAACTAGAGTATGTAACATTAATAATAATAATAGTATTATAGGTATTTTATGTTTTGATATTAATTTTCTTTTTCTTTTTCTTTTTTCATTTAGTTTAACTTTTCACAACTTAGACGTATGGTAGTTGGAATGTGGTTATGTGTGATTGCATTTTTAGTTGCTATGATTGTTGAAATGAAGATTCAAGATGAAGGTAATGGAAAAGTATCGATTGGATGGCAAGTGATTCAATACTTTATTTTGACGTGTGCTGAAATCCTTGTATCTATTTCATCGATGGAATTTGCCTATGCACAAGCACCAGCATCAATGAAGAGTATGGTTATGGCTGTATCTTTGCTATCTACCTCTGTTGGACAGATCTTTGTCATTTTCGTCGTCAGTTTAATCAAGATATCCGATTGGAAGATTTACCTCTTGTTTGCCTGTTTAATGGCTGGATTCAACTTTTTCTTTATGTGGATTGCCTATATCTACAAACCAATCGACCCACGTCTCCTCCACTACATGGAAAGTGCATCATCGATGGGAAGTACCATGGACGAATCTGAAATTAGAGAAATCCGTGAACTTGACAACATGCCATCCGACATTTCAAGTAACATCAACAATGACATCCCAATGAAACAAAAACGTGTATCTACCAATATGATGAATGAAGACATTATCACCAATGACTCGTCTCCATCTCAAACCACTGTAGTTGGTGACACTGTTAACAGTAGTAGTAATAGTCCAAGAGATATACTTAAAAAGTCCAATTAATCAAAATTGTATTAAAAAAAATAATTTATCCAACCAACCAATTTCAAACAATTAATATTATTAATTAAAAATGATATTTTGTATAGCCGACTCACCCATCAAACCTTGGTCAATTGACAAAGAACTCCCTCTCTCCCTCTCTTCTTTCCTCCCCTTTCAATTATTATAATCTAAAAAAAATAATAAACTATACTTTTGTAAATATATAAAACAACATAGAATTTATTTATTTGTAATTTAAGTTGGAGCTAAAAGTATTAATAAGATTTTTTTTTCTCGAGATCTTTTCCTCTCTTTTCTTACATCTATTCTTGTCAGATTAAACTTTTCTCTCTCATGCAAACTAGTTAGGTTAATAATTAATATTAATCGGGTTGTAGTTATATTATTTATTTATTCAATTTTTCTTCATTTTTTTTTTTTAATTCAAATTAAGAACTATATCTTTCAAAAATTGTTACCAAAGGATCGATGAGTCTTGGATAGTTGGCAGATGTATCAAAAGTGACTCCAACCTTTTTCTCTTCTGCTGAAATGACATATCGGTAGGAATTGATGGATGGCAACTGTGCAACATATTTAGGATCCATGGTTTTGAATTGATCACTGTCGGTCACATTATTAAGGATCTTTAAATCGTCGTTGGTCAATTTACCTCTGGCATTGTCCTCATTAAAATAAAAACCTGTTGATAAATCAATTTGTAGGCTTCTATATTCATTATTAATGCCTCCACTTCTAGTCATTACAAATCCCTACAAAAATAGAATTAATTGAACAATAATAATATGAATATGAATATTTTCCACGTCCTATAATTTTCAGATAGTGCTCTGGCTCTTTTTCCCATCCATCCACGATGGTCTATTTCTTCTTACGAGTGACAAACATGACAAAGATAACAATGAAATGAAAATTAAAATAAAATATCGATGAATAAACATGATGACGGTTATGATTTAAGTAGTAGTTGTTGGAATTGTATATAAAGTACTGTTCTGTTTGTTGTTTTTGCTAAATGATTATTTTTAAAAATAGAGTTGGTATTTATATATTTAAAAAAAAAAATGGTTGAGTTTCTATTTATACTTTGTGTTGATTATGGAATGGTTGGGAGGGAGGGTGGAAGATATTGAAACGAACCGGTTGGGGTCTGATTCTCTCTCTCTCTGTCGTTGGTGGGGTTGCAAACTGACTCGTCGTCGTATATTAAAGAGATTTATAATTAAAAAATATAGAAGTTAAAATTCGTGAATCAACTTACCAATCTCTTTCCTCAACAGTTCATACCACCACACGCATCCTGCCAGTTTTTTGTTCCACCAAAAGGCAGGAGAGAGAATTGGAATTGTCCATTCGAGAAGAATCGAAACGATGAGAGATTGAGAGAGAGAGTAATAGTCGTCGAACGTACCACCACCACCACCTCCATACTACCAGTATCCACCAATTTGTAATAACTTTTTTGTGATATCATGATTACAATTATCATAATTTATGATAAATATCGACGATTGTTCTCTTTTGGAAAGAGGAAAAGGGAGTATCCAACCATATATCATTGTTGTTATCGCGCAAGAGGTACTATCATATCTTTTCAGTAGGTAGGTAGTTGCATCTAAAAGTCTGTATAAAATTACTAATTATTTCATGAAACATATTATTAGTAGCAATGTAGTATAGTATTGATAGTATTATCAATGTAACATATTATATCAATATTATTCCTATCAATACTCTTTTTTGTACAAGTATTGTTCCTCCTTTAAACAATCGCTTCCCCATTTTCCTTTTTTCTCCCACCCATATTTTTTTTTCCAACCACGATTCCATTGGAGTTCAACTCAATCGCATGTTGAATGTGTGGTAGTAGCAGTAGTAGTAGAAGTAGTAGTAGTAGAGGGGTGGGTGTTATTGGAATATTTTGATTTTTTTTGTATGATATACGAAATATATAAATCGATAATATCTATCTTATTTAGATTAGATATTAACTATAAAAAAAATGATATCATTATCATTTATTATTATTATTACTGTACTAAAATAAAATAAAATAAATAAATATAAATCTCTTCTTTTTTTGATTATTATAATTACATTGTTGTTTTTGTTGTTCAAAAAGTGTGGAGGATTAGGATCGTTTGCAAATTGAAAATGTATTCTTCCATTCTTAATTAAAATATAAGGACGTCTTTATATTTTCGTGTGGATTGGTAATTATTATTGATTGAGTTGATTGACTGATCGATTGATTATTGATTGACATTTATGTTGCCTCTTTAATTTAATTGGTATTCACAAAATTGTATAAAGCATATTGATTATTTAAAACAGTTCCATAATTGCCAACATCACCAACACCAACACTTGGTGAAATATAGGTATGATCTGGAATACTTAATTCTTCAAATACAGCTGTCATGTTATCATATTGATCCCATGCCAATGTAATACTAGAAAAGAAAAAGGAAAAAGAAAAAAGAAAAGTGTCAAAGATAAATTATATGATTGTTTGTGTATCTATCTATCTATCCATCCTATCTATCTACATACTGTGGTTGAAATTGAGAGAATACATTGGGAGAACCATATTTCTCAATCATATCAATCTTTAATGTACGAAGTGGCTCTGGTAGTTGTAATACCCAATCTGGGATTGGTTGATTTGGTACAATGTATTGATAGGTAGTATTGACAACGAGATCAGACATGTACTGTAGACAATCGTTATTCTCGACATACCACATTGCATATTGTCCCTGAACAACTATTTGATTGAGTAATATTTCACAATCATTTGCCTTTTCAGATAAACTATAAAGAATTGATTTAAGGCTAATAGAAACAAAATATATTGATAGATCAGTTAATAACAATACATTCTCCCTTTCTTTTCCTTGTTGTTGTTGTTGTTCTTTTTATAAGTTTGCACACTTACTCTTGTTGAATAAAAGATATAGAGTTGTTATCAAAATCGGTAAGATAAAGTGTAATGTGAGGTAAAGAGGTGTTACCAAGATCAATTTGATCGTTGGGTGCCAATGATCTGATTTGTTTGTTGTAACCAACGACCAAGTCGAATGTATTGTTGTCAAGCGACAAGTGGATGTCTAGCGAAATCGCATTGACTGCATTCAACATTGGACCATTGTTGTGGTTGACAATGAAACTAATAGCTATCAAAACTATACTATTGAATAATAAATAGACTACTCTATTCATTCTTTCTTTCTATATCTATCTAATCTATCTATCTAATCTGCATACTTTTTACTGAGGTTGTCTCGTTTTGTCCAAAAAAAAAAAAAAGTTAACAATTAATTGCTTTGTTTCTTAGATAGATAGTAAGATAGATACAAGAAACATGATGAAAAAAATAGTGATGTGACTTGGGTATACTTTACACAGTGCACATAATAATTTATTAACATATTGAATTATCTAATTATTGCAATAAGACTTGAAAAATTGGCCACCATTTTCTTTTTGGAGGAAATCTAATAATAACTTGCAGTAGTTATTTGTTTCTTTGAAGCGTGGTAATGATGTTGGGTATATTTCATCAACAAGAATACATAATTGTTCATGTGTTATAGAACTAAATTGATCTGAAGATGGGTGCGCCAATACTAATCTTAATTCTTTCAGTCTCTTGATAGTTCTCACCAATGCAGGGTCATTGAAGAATGGGTATTTAGAAACTAGTGAACTCCATTCTTTGGCCATATCTTCTTTCATATGGGTAAACTTGGGTCTGAAATTCTTTGTGAATTTGAATGATCTGTATACTGTGCTTTCGACTTGGAAAGCGAGTTCTCCTAATACTAAAGAGTCATTGTTGTCTTTGATGTTGATTTGAGCTTTCAACTGTTGTATTATTGTTTTTAATTGTTCAATCTCTTTTTCATATTTTCCACATTTCTCATCAAGTAACGAATAGGTCTCCTTGAGGTTGTTGATCACTCCTTTCTGTTCTTCTATCTCGCGTTGCTGGTCTTCTATCTTTTCGTTCAATCCATCTATCTCGGATTGTTGTCCAACTACCTTGTCATTCACTCCATCTATCTTCTTCTCTATACCCCTGCACGCTTTCAATTGTCGCACTTGGTTCACCAAATTGTCTCTCTCTCTCTTTGTAACTTTTGTGCTTTAATTTGGAGTTTTTCTAATTTAGAAGGATTATCCATTGAAGGAGTTGAAATAGATTGGTGTTGTCTGATCTTGTAATTAGTTTTAAAGACAACATAATGATAGAATATTAAAAATGGTTGGAGGAAAAAAAATTGAAGAAGGGAGGAAAGTGGGTGACAACAATTATTTCTTTTTTGTTGTTCTTTGTCATTGTGAAATATAATATTATTTATAAAAAGATAAAGCACAAACATATATCCATTATATAATGCAACAAGAAGGAGAAGATTATATCAACAACAACAAGATACCAACTATAGTATTATTAAATATAATCAATCATGTAGATGATAATGTAGATTTGGTGTGTCTGTTGTTAACTTGTAAAAGATTGTTCAATTTGACTCTATTCAACAACAACAGTAACAACAATAATGAACATCAACAACAACAACACAACAACAACAACAGTCTATCATTTAAACACATTGAATACAATCCACAAAAATCAGTCGTCTTTAACAACATCAATGCATTCTACTCTGAGAAATGTTATCATCTTGGCTCATTCAAGAGGATGTTTACAAACTCATTCCAAGATACTTTGATCATACCATCAACAACAACAACAACAAACAAAGATAATAATAATAATAATAATAATAATAATAATAATAATAATAATCAAAATAATAATCAAAATATTACAAAAGTAATGGTATTAGAAGAAATAACAAGTGATAAACACGATCAATTACTATCAACTATACCAACATCTACCACTTCATTAACCCTCTGTCGACCACTCAATGAACCTTTGCCAACCAACTTTTTTCCTCACCATCTCAATCACCTGTCGATCAACTATCGAACCGTTCCAGAGACGTTTGTTGTTGGTTTACCCGATTCACTAAAGTCGCTGACCATGATGATATCAAGTACTGTCGAGTTTGAAGATGACTCTTTTATCAAACTACCGGTTGGTATTGAAAAGCTAGACTTGGACGGTTACTATCCTCTATCACCACAATCCCTCGGACTCGACAAACTGACATCTCTCAATTGGATGCGGTCGTGCACTATTGATGAGGTAGATGCCAGCAACACTACTCTACCAAGTAGTTTAAAGTATCTAGAGATTCAGTTTGAACAAGTAAGGTCACCTACCTATTTTCAGCCACTTGTGAACTTGGTTCATCTCGATCTTGTCATGGTCGATTTGACAGAGTCGGATGTGCTGTATCTCGACAGTCTCGTTTCACTCGAGACGTTTATACTCTGTGTACCCGGTGCATATGATGGTATTGACGCATCACAGATTCGACTTGCTCCAAACCTCAAGACATTTGAGCAATCCGAGTCGGTTGGACCCATCACTAATCTAACCATCGATTTCTTCCCAATAACCCTAACATCACTGGATATGAACTTTGGTCAAGACGATTATATTAATTTGGGAGAGTCGTTGGCAACACGTACACCACACCTTACACTGCTGTCGATCCATTCAACACACTCGGATATTCCAGTGTCGTTCATTCCACCGTCTGTCAAGACACTTAAAATCCAAGCTATTTGGCCATCGTCGAAAATCAAGTGTCTTGTTCCAGACACTGTAGAATCTCTAGTACTATCATGCTACGATTTACAACTCATCAATACACTCCCAAACTCTATTCAAAAACTTGTACTCAATGATATTACGTGTAAGGGTCAAAGTGAGGAAGAGGAGAATATATATGACACCATCATTCATACTCCAATCACTCTACCAAATGGTTTACAAGAGTTTAGATGGTTACATAAATACGGTCTTTTGGAATCACCTCCTCTTCAATTTATATATCCCACCACCAACAACAACAACAATAACAACAACAGCCTACAACATATTGATTATGGTAGACTGTTACACCACCCATCAATAGATAAGACTATCCCAACATCAGTCACAGAATTCAAATACCTCGTTTCTAAAACCAGTTCAGTCACAGAGGGACCATCCATTCTTACCAAAGTTCATTCGATTGTCAATGACCAAGGTTTTATATTCCCTCCAACTCTTTCAAAACTGACGGTCAATGTTAGTCTTGAAAACTACGATGTTTGGATATTTCAATTAAACTATCTTATCAATCAAACAAATGTGCAAGAACTCTTCTTCACAGAGTTTAATTATACAGTTTCAATTCGTCGATTGGAAGAAAATAGAAATGTATTAATACTTGGTCAATCTCTATATGGTGGAATCATTCATCAACAACAAACAAATGATGGTCTAGAACAACCAATTTATCTTTGTTTCCCAAGTCCATTGGAAGGTAATATACCTCCAAAACTAAAATTTAGTCTTCCTCTTACTCTTCCTTCCAACTAAATAAACCCTTAAAGTCACTCACTCCAACGTTTACCTTCTTGTACAATAATTTATTACTACTACTCTCAAGAATGAACAATATGAACAAGTATTAGTAGAACTCAAAATGGTATAACAACCTAACGATTGATACATGTCAAAAAAAAAGAAAATAAATAAAAGCTCAAATACTTCTTGTATTGTGTCATCACCCCAACACGAACAAACAAATATCTATCTATTAGTTAGTGAATTTCCAAGTTAACAACATGTAGAAGATGCTAACACACATACATATTTAATCAAGTCATGTCAACACTTGTTCAATCAATCAATCTTTAAAACTATAGTAGAACTACTATACAAATAAAGAAAGGTATGTATTATTTGTTAAAGTTAAGGTGTGTATTAAGATTGTATAACCTTTGTATTAACCTTTGTTTATTTACTTTTTAATTTTGTGTAACGTAGGATTATATATATATTTATAGGATGGAAGGATTAATGTACCACATCTCAAGAGGTATTAGATCCTCAACCAATCGTGTTGAGTGATAGTGTTACTGGTGCTTCGTATGGTGTTTACGAGTCACAACGATTAAATACTCAAAGAGCAACTGACAATCAATTTAGTTTGCTTATCTCTCCAATCATGTGTATTCAACAAATCAACAAACTACAAGTTAGAGGGAATGTAAGATACGATGTTCGTTTCACTGCCTACACTCAAGAGATGAGACAAGTCGCTGCTAATTGGATGGCCAACAAGTACTCTACTTACTCTAATGCAGCAGGCAATGCTTTGAGATTGAGCACTCACAATGTCTCTTATTTGACATTCCGATCGATTCGTTACTCGGTACCATCATTTCCAGAGGCTGTGTTTGATTATGGACAAGATGCTTTACAGAATAGACTCAATCAAGATAATGTAATCTCATTCACACTTGCTCCCAATATCGCTGCCGAGTTGGACCAAGTGATTGCTCAAAATGCATTTTCATTAAGAGCATCAATATCTATTTCGCCATCACAACAATCAGCTGTTGATGTTCAAATTTCATCTAGTTCTGGTGTAGAACCAATCGATCCAATTGGTAGAATTATTATGTGGTATTTCTCACCAACCAACATTCCATCCAATCATTTGGTATGTGACGGTAGTGAAATCACCAATTTAACAAGATACCAAAAGTTGGTCGATTTACTTGGACGTGACGCCAATGGAAGAGTATTCCTACCAGATTTACGTGGTCGTACTGTTATTGGTAGTGGTCAATCTACTGGTCTATCAAACTATTCTCTTGGACAAACAGGTGGTGTCGAACAAGTCACTCTTACCAGAGACCAAATGCCAGCACACAACCACGGTGGTGTTACAGGTGCTGGAAATAAAGCAAAGTACATTGTTGTATATCAAGCTGGAACCAGTAATTGTCATTGGCATGTTAATGGGTGGGCAGGAGGAGCACCAAACCATATGAGAGGTGTCGTTGACGGCAGACCAAACTCAATTGCCGACGCTGAAGGAGACATCAATTACCCATTATCACATCATACTCACAACATCACCTCTGATGGTGGTAATCAACCTCACACCAACATGCAACCATACATTGCTTTACATTATATCATTAAAGCCGAATAATTAAATAATTAAATAAATAAATAAATCAATTATTTTTAAAGGTCAACCAAACTTAAATTTTGACCACTCATGTCTTTTAGTCTTGAGAAGGAGAAAAGAACGACATTCTACTTTGCGTCAGCCCCCGATATGTACAAACAGATATCTATCTATTTAGAATTGAAAATATAAGATAACATGTAGTTGTAGTTGCTATCAAGTCATGTCAACTTGTTCAATTAAACTATACAAATAAAGAAAGGTATGTTATTTGTCCTTTGTTTAAATACTATCTATCTCTTTTTGTTAGATACTAATCCTTGTACTTTGTATTTATTATTTATTAGTCAAGATGGTACCACAAGAGGTATTAGATTCTCAACCCACAGAGTTGTTTGATAGTGTAACAGGTGCATCGTTTGGTGTTTACGAATCACAACGATTAAATACTCAGAGAGCAACTGACAATCAATTTAGTTTGCTTAGAGCTGTCATCTCTCCAATACTTTGTATTCAACAAATCAACAAACTACAAGTTAGAGGGAATGTAAGATACGATGTTCGTTTCACTGCCTACACTCAAGAGATGAAACAACTAGCTGCTAATTGGTTAGCCAACAAGTATTCTACTTACTCTCAACAACAACAAAAACAACAACAACAGCAACAAGAACAACAACAAGGAGGCAATGCTTTGCGTTTGAACGTTGACAACATATCAAATCTGGTATTCCGATCGATTCGTTTCGCTATTCCATCATTTCCAGAGGCTGTATTTGATTTTGGGCAAGATGCATGGCAGACTAGACTCAATCAAGATAATGTAATCTCATTTACACTAGCTGCCAATATCGCTGTAGAGTTGGACCAAGTGATCGCTCAAAATGCATTTTCAATGAGAGCATCGTTATCCATCACACCTCCAGCCTCATCAATACCATCACAATCGGTTGCCGATGTTCAAATTTCATCTAGTATTGGGACAACAACAACAATCATCAATGATCCAATTGGTAAGATTAGTATGTGGTCTTTGTCATTGGACGTCATTCCATCAAATTACTTGGTTTGTGATGGCCGTGAAATTACAAACCAACCAAGATACAAAAAGTTGGCTGATTTACTTGGTCCAGATACAACCAATGGAAGAGTATTCCTACCAGATTTACGTGGTCGTACCGTAATTGGTAGTGGAAGTGGTCAATCTACCGGTCTATCAAACTATTCTCTTGGACAAACAGGTGGTGTCGAACAAGTCACTCTTACCAGAGATCAAATGCCAGCTCACAACCACGGTGGTGTTACAGGTGCTGGAAATAAAATCAAATACATTGTTGTACATCACCAAGGAAATAATAATTGCCATTGGCATGTTAATGGATGGGATGGAGGTGCACATCATGCAGTAGGACAGATCGACAACCGACCAAACTCAATTGCCGACCCTGGAGGAGATACTAAATACCCAATGTCTCATCACACGCACAACATCGCCTCTGATGGTGGTAATCAACCTCTCACCAACATGCAACCATACATTGCATTACACTATATAATCAAAGCTGAATAATTAAATAAATCAATATTTACGGATCACACCGATTAAATACTCAGAGAGCAAATGATGGTCAGTTTAGTTTGCTTAGACCATACATATCCCCAATCATATGTATCCAAGACATCAACAAGGTTGGTACAAGATACTGTATTAAATTCACTGCCTACACGCAAGAGATGCAACAAATAGCTGCTGATTGGTTGGCCTACAAGTATTCGTCTACTTACTCTCAACAACAACAACAACAAGGAAATGATTTGAAATTAATTTGTGTTGACAACATATCAAATCTTCCATTCCAATCGATTCGTTACTCTATTCCATCAACACCAGAGGCTGTATTTGATTATGGACAAGACACGAAAAGTCTCAAGAATCAAGATAATATAATCTCATTCCTACTCTTTCATTATACAGAGTTGGATTTGTTGATTGCCCAGAATGCATTTTCAATGAAGGCATCATTATCCATTAAACCATCATCACAAAAAGAAGAAGAAGAAGAAGTTATTGACATCCAAATTACATCGGGTACACCAAGCTTGGGATGTTGTGCGACAAAAACCGTGTCAATGGATATACCACTCTACAAAGTGTGAGTGCAACAATGACCTTCAGGCCAAAGGAGAATAATACTCAATACCTCACAATGAGACTCTCATCTCTTCACATGTGATTTTTGTTTTACATCACAACATGCAACCATACATTGCTCTACACTATATAATCAAAGCTGAATAATTAATTAATTAATTAATTAAATAAAAGGTCAACCCTTGTTGTGACCAATAATATATTAAATCAAAATAATTCAGCCTCCGATCTTCGAGTCCAAACTTGCATAAAGTTATTTTTTTTTAACTTTAAATCGAGAGGGCTCGTTTCGAAAAGCCTCACTCCTTTTTTCACTTTGTTGATCTTTCAATTTCATTCTCAACAATATCAATAAAGGTTTTTACATATTTATATATATTTATATATTTATATATGGTCCGCCCAATAATTAATTATCAACAACATTCAGCAGCAGCAGCAGCAGCAGCGGCAGCAGAAATAGTACCAGATGGGGATCAAGGACCAGCTCCAGCAGTTCAAAACCCAGCCATTGTAGTTGAAAAGCAAGACAAGAAATACGATAGATTGATTCAACTCAATTTAATCTTTCTTTCTTTTATTACATTGTTGGTCTCTTTTATTGCATACAAGCATTTAAACGGCCCAGTCATACAAACTCAACCAATTGGAACTATTGAACAATGGTATTTCTCATTGGCAGATGTACCATCCAATTATTTGGTGTGCAATGGTACTGAAATCATTGACAACGTCCGTTACAAAGACCTTGTCATTTTATTGGGAAAGGATGCCAATGGTAGATCTTTCCTACCTGATTTACGTGGTCGTGCCATCATTGGTTCAGGAAAAGGAAATGGGTTGTCAAACTACAATCACCGTCAAACTGGAGGAGAGGAACAGGTCACTCTCACAAAAGATCAAATGCCAGAACATAATCATGGTGGTGTCACTGGACCTGGAAACAAAGCAAAGTACATTGTTGTACACCAAGCTGGAACTTCCAACGACGCCTACCACGTCAATGGATGGGCAGGTGGGCCAAACCATATGAGAGGAGCCGTCGACAACCGACCCAACTCTATTTCCGATCCAGAAGGAGACACTCAATACCCAGGATCCATTCACACACATAATATTAAAAATGATGGTAAAAATCAACCACATAACAACATGCAACCATATATTGCTTTACACTATATCATCAAAGCTCAATAAATAAATAAATAATTAAATAAACAAATAATATGAAAAGTATAAATGTTTAATTTATTTAAATTTTAAAATAAATAATATAAATAATAATAATATTAAATATCCTTAACTTTATTAACCAATTGACCTATATTTTCAATTTCACATGTTACAATATCACCATTTTTAAGATAGACTGGAGGTGATTTACCGAGACCTACACCAGATGGCGTACCTGTAAAGATGATGTCACCGGGCTTGAGAGTCATGACTTTGGACAAGTGAGAGATGACCTCTTGTATGTTGAAAATAAACTCTTTGGTATTGCTGTTTTGGAGGACGTTGCCATTGACTGTACACTTTACATTGAGACTATTTGGATCGAAATCGTTGGCACAGGCACCACTATTGTTGGCAAGCATGAGAGGGTTGACCAAGATGGCAGGTCCAATTGGTGCAAACGTGTCAAATGTCTTACCGAGCATCCATTGTGTACCAGACCGCTTTAGTTGCCAATCACGAGCCGACACATCATTACCAACCGTGTATCCAGCCACAAACTCTAATGCTTCCTCTTTAGAAACATTACGTGCTTCCCTTCCCATTACGACCACCAATTCAACTTCATAGTCTAGTTCGTCCTTTAGTATACTTCTTGGTGCCAAGATATTATCGTTTGGTCCGACGATACAATTGGAATATTTTGAAAATACAATGGGTTCCGATGGGAATGGCATCTTTGTCTCGATTGCATGCTCCTTGTAATTCAATCCAATACAAATGATTTTCTCTGGATCATATATTGGTGCTTTTACTCTAACTTGTGATATTTCAATTGAATTGGTTGAAATATTTTGATTTAATGTCTAAAAAAAAGAAAAATAAATTAATATTAACAAAATGAACTTTAAAGTGTAGACTATTATAGTGTTGGTGTACATACATGAGAAGCAAGATTTAATAATTTCATTCCACCATTCAAGAATGATTTCATGTCACGTGGAATATTTGGTTCGAGTGCACATAGATCAACAACCTTTCGATCGTTTTCCACCAATGCACCTATACTCTTGGTGCCATTGGATAACTCCATATTGACGAGTTTAAGGAACCGACTTGGCATTCTTAAAATGTCTTGACAACTAATCATGATTAAATAAATAAATTTAGAATAATAAATAAATATTAATAAAATATATATATAAGGATTAAGTTAATTAATTTGAGAGAGAGAGAGAGAGTATAATAATATATTATATTATATTATTAATGATCAACTAGTAGAAACAAAACAAAATGCTATTTAAATATTTCTATGACAACCAGGTGGAGTTGAATGGTGTGAAAACAAGAAAAGAACAATTTCTGCATCTATATCTTGATTGGTATATATATATAACGTATGATGATGGATGATTTTGATTAAGATAATTATCTGTACAACAGATTTGTGATAACCTTTTTTTTTTTTTTTTTTTGTTTTAACAAAAAAGCAATAATAACAATAGTACTATCTATGTATCTATCTATCTATGTATCGATTGTGGATATTCTACAATGTTTGTTTTGTTTGTTGCTATTGTCGACATTGTTTATAATAATCCTCGATCTGTTTTCACTGACTGACTGCATGACAAACACTACCGTCACACCCTTGTTGTTCAAATAATAATTATAGTTACTACGATTTACTTTTTTTTTTTTTTAGAATATATTATATTAAATTATTATAATTGTATAATCTCTCTATTGTTGCTATTGGTACTACTATTACTACTACTAAAGAATATACTACTACTATAAATATTATTATTATTATATTTAGATATATGAATGAATGGATGTGTTGCTCATTGAATGATACATTCATATAAACGATCGTTTGTATGCAAGAATAATAATAATAATAATAATATCTATCATACAAACGACTGGTTGTTGGTCAAGAAAAGGAAATTCCTTTCCATCGTATAACATGTTATGTTGAATGTAACACGAAATATTCTACTACTACTACCATCGTCAATGTCAATTTCATTGTCTGTTTACTTTCTTGTTCATCTTCATCCATATATCTTATCGCATGTGTTGTCGGCGGTATCGCATGTGAGTGAATTGAGTGGGGGTGGGGTGGGAATGGTGAATGGGATGGAGTATAGAGGGATGGGGGTTGATATACTACATACTTTTGTATATTTGACTGCATTATTATTATTATTATTTGTTTGGTTGTACTCTGTTTGTTTGTTTGAAATAGATACTTGCATTTTACTTATCATCCTTTTGTTGTTACTGTACAATAACACAAACTTAATTAAATTTAAATTGATAGGTTCTTATTCAAACAAAACAAAAATCACAATCTAACTGATGTGTTCCCAAAACAACAAGGTGTCTTTCAATATCCCAAATTTGATCAAAGAACCATGGTAATTCATGCATCGTCTACCCTACAGCCTATCAACCTCGAGATTTTTACTTTCTGATAATACTAGTATTATTAATAATTATGAGACTTTGACAATTCTAGATCTTTCGGTTACAACTCAACTTCTTTCTCTCAATACATTTTGTTTAGTTTTTAGATTAGTTTGTGTAGAGAGGAGAGTGTAGATTATAGTTCACTTTTGGAAACTCATTTATAGATTGATTTACACATCTCTCTCCTCCTCCTCTTCCTCATACTTTACCAAAATGAACCAGGTCATCTGATATCAAACATAATTATAATAATAATAATAATAATAATCTAGATCGACAATATTATTACTTTAAATGTATAAATGATAATAATAATAATAATAATAATAATAATAATAATAATAATAATAATAATAATAATAATAATAATAATGTCAGTCTTCTATCAATTTAGCTAATTAGTAAATTACAAAAATGACTGCTGGTTGGTGCACATGACTTCTTCTTATTTTTCTTCTTTTAAACTAATTCATTTTTAGAGTAGATGAAGTAGAGGAGAGGAGAGGAGATAAACAGATGCACATCACATGATTTTATTTATAATTATTTGTTAAAAACCATATATGTTACACTCTCTCTCTCTGATGATGGAATTCTCTAGTTCATCACCCCCTATTGAATACCTATTCTGTCGTTTTATATATAATTAAAAACCACTCCCCATCATCTATATAAATGTGTGTGTATCCATTAGATTGTGAATATTTGATGACCAATACAATACTAATTCTATCACGACAGTAATAAAAGATAAAGACAAGTTGTATGTACATACTTGGTGAATATTCATTCATTCATTGTTGATTATCTTAATTCCCATATTTTAAACAAATTGAATATTGTCACCACCACCATCATCATCATCATCATCATTATCATTATCAGCATCATCATTAACAACAAATGCTATTCCACCAACCTATTTAAGAATAATCATTTCATTATTATTTTTTTTTCTTTACCTTTCCTTTCTTTCTTTTTTTCTTTCCTTTCCTTTCTATCTTTTTTTTCTTTCTTTCTTGTCTTTCTAATCTTTCTTTCTTTCTTTTTCTATTCTATTCTTAGTATTCTATTCTATCCTTTCTTTTCCTTTCTATTTTCCATCGACCTTCAATGTTCCTTTCCTTTCCTTCTCCTTCTATTTTACTTTCATTCTAAATCCTTTTTTCCTTTCTTCTATTTTTGCTTTCATCTTTTCTTTTCCTTTTTGTACTTTTTTCTTGCTGTCCCTCTCTCTCTCTCTCTCTTTTCTATCTTTCCTCTATCTTTCCTCTATCTTTCCTCTATCTTTTTTTCTTGGTTCCTCTTTTTTCTTTCTTGTCTCTCTTTCTTACTTTTTACACTCCTCTCTTTATCTTTTGATATTCTATTGGCGGCCAAACAATTCTACTTCTATGTCCTATCCTCTTTTAAAACACTAATATTTCCACTTTCCTTTCTTTTTTTTGTTCTTTAGCTGGAAACCTGGAATTCCATTTATCAATTCATCTCTCTTTTCAAATTGTGTTTGGCAATCAAGATTCAATTCAATTTAAATACTTTCAAAATTAATTCTATAAATCATGATGGAAATAATAAATTATTTTATTCTGCTTGGAGGTACTTGTGGATAGATAGATATCCACTTATTATTATTATTTGTATAATCTTAAGAATTTAAATTCTTTTTTTAAATCTATCTTTTATTATTATTTGAGAAAAATACCTTTTTTAATTTATGATGTTTTTAATAATGATGAATAATTTAAAATTATTTATCTCCAATTGAGAGTGGTTTGTGGATAACATGGATATGAATATAGATAGCTATAGAGATAAATTAATTTATGACAAATACTAAATCAAAGATTTATTTTAAAGGGTGGTGATTTGAATCAATTTGGTAATAGTAATGGTTTCAAAAATGGAAAGATTATTGTATTGTTTATTGTTTGTTTGTTTATTTTTAACCAATAGTTAAACTCCAATCGATTTTGGAAATGATTCATCATTTCATTTCATCTCATCTCACATACCAACCAATTCATTGTTGTTGGTTTGTGTTTGTGTTGTTTGATGTTTGTTGGTTTGTGATATTTGGTTGAATATTCAAACTTAACTTATTTTAAGTTATTATTAACTTATCATTAAGTTGAATATATATTTTCATCCCAATATAAATATTCATAGAATTAATCATAATAATAATAATAATGTTATTTATATACCTTTAATAATAATAATAATAATAATAATACCCTTTAATTTATTTATTTATTTATTTAATTTTGATTTATTCAAACAAACTTCACTGCAAAATGCAAAAACAAGAAAAATCAGAGGAGAATGCTGCACAGTATCAATTTCATGATCGATTAAATAAGGATAAAGGTAGCAGTAGTAATAACAACTCAAACAACAATAATCAAAAGTAAATCATCATCTTCATCATCTTCATCAACATTCACTACAAATAACAACGAAAAGTATTCATCATCATCTTCACAATCAAACTCTTCAAAACGACCGAATCGATTAAAGAGAACACAAACATCATTCAAAGTTAAAGTTAGTAACACAAGGTTATTCTATCATCTATTTATCGATCTATTTAAAAACTATGGATAAGGTGAGTTAAGAGTCATAATAGTCATAGCATAAGCAACAATAGCAAGTCACGCATGATCGATCAAACAAACCAACACAACAGCAACTGTCGATATTGGTTTTGGATGTTTCATTTGATCATAACTTGGGAATCAAAACAGTATATATATCTCTAACACAGATATTATCATCATCAACATCTATATTTAGGTTTTCAATATTGGACAACTTGTTGACTTTCAATGGAAATTGGGAGTATCTGTATCATCAAATCATTCTCAAGAACTCAATGTTCCATTTATATCTGTATTTATTAAAGTGTTAAACTCCAACAATGACATTTCATCCCATTCCTTTGAATTAACTGTCCCTGAATTTCAAGTATGTTTAATAACATTAAAACGATTATTATTATTATTCCATTTATTAATTTTTAATATTGTAACAATATAGGATTTTGCCCAACAATTTAAAGATATTGATTCATTAATGAATGCTCTTTAAATAATAATAATAATAATAACAAAACAACAATGTACAAACAATTAAAATTAATTTATATTTTTAAAAACTATATTTCTCTCTATCTTAATTTAATTTCGATCCTATGATAGAATACTTCCTAGGATAAATGAATAATAATTCTATTTATAAATGGTATTAATTATTAATATTAAATTAATTCCAACAAGCAATGAACTTCAAAAAAATGAGTAAACACTTGAAAAAAAGGAGGTAAATTAGAGAGTTTTGATCCAGAGTGCTGATTCAATCATTCTTTCATTCATTTCATCTTTTAATATCTATACTACAAATATATATATATGTATACAAATAAGAGAAAGAGTGTTATAATCAATATTAGATTGCATTAGTCACGTATCAATATCATTACCATCAATCACTCCCTTTCCTCCACTCTTTCATCAAGTGTAGTGGAGGACACATATATATATTTCAACAACACAAAGATAGATAGATAGATTGATAGATAGATAGAGCAATATACAGAATAACTAACATGGTACTACTGAACAGCAACAGTAGTGGCAGTAGTAGTAAAGACAAAACTACTACTACTGCTACTACTACAGACATGGTTCAAGACGACTCATCAACCTTTTCATCATCATACGAAGATATAATCATTGATGAAAAGGTTATTATATCATGTGCACAACAATACAATCACCGAGATGTTATTGGCAATGGTGGTGGTGGTGAAGATGACTATGACGATAAACAACCATTAGATGATATATACTATAGTTTGGAATACGATGCAGAGGATAATGCACAATTTCATCAACAAGAACTACGACTATTAGAAGAGGAACGCGTACAACAACTACTCAAACAAGAAGAGGAACGGAGGAAACAGATTGTGGAAGAGGTGCGAGTACGTCATCTCGCCATCCAACACCAGATCGACAGTCTCAAGATTGCACAGCAAAAGAAACAAGTGTTGGAAGACCAGTTGGATACGGTCAAACAACTGTACAACAAGAAACGAGAGGAACTAGAACACATTGCACGATTCAAAGAGTGGAAACGAGTACGGGCAGAAAAGAAAAAGGAAGAAGAGGAACGACTGGCCAACGAAGAGCGACTGCGCAAAGAAGAAGCCAAAAAGAAGAGAACGGCACGACAAAACCCATCTGGCAACAGAGTGATCCGGTCACTTTTAACAAACGTTAAACCAACCCAAAAGAAATGGATTGGATGTAAATATGAAGGACAAGAGGAACTGTGCGAATCTTTGGACGACGTCTTGACAAGTCTCAAAGACTACTCGGAACACTCTCATCCATTTTTAACCAAAGTAAAGGTATCCGACGCACCTACCTACTCAGAGATTATCAAAAAGCCAATGGACCTATCTCTCATGACCAAAAAACTAAAGAAACTAGACTACATGAGTAAAGCTGAATTTCAATTTGACCTTCTCTTAATCTTTACAAATTGTAGAATGTTTAATACTGATCCTGTAAGTAAATGAAATGGAATAGATAAATAGGAATATGAATAGGAATAGGAATACTAATGTGTATTTATATATTTATATTTTGTGTAGTCGAGTAAAGAATTTGTTGAACATGCAAATGAAATGGAAAAAAAATCGGTAGAGTTGATGAAGAATGTAAAGGATTTTGATTTTACCAAAGATCCTACTTGTGGTAATAGTAATAGTAGTAATAGTAAATCAACTTCACCTACAAACTCTACAACTCCAACTAACAATAGTAATAATAATAATAATCAAAATCAAAATGTAAATAGCAATAATGAAGAAAAAGTATCACCATCAAAAAATACTCCAACTCAACAACAACAACAAAATAAGAAAGGATCATCAAACAAAAATACACCACCAACTATGACACCACCATTTACTCCTGGTACTCCATCCTATCCAACTTCTCCAACCTCTCCATTTCACTCGTCAACGTCGGGTGCTCATTCGCCAGTACCATCGTCGTCGACGGGTGGTCAATTTTCTCCACGTGAGATTGCCGATCCCGATGATACGAGTACGACCGTGGCGACGGTGATCAATATGGACATGTTTGATGACGACTCTGAAGAGCCAATTGAGGAAATCAGCGAGACTGAAGACAGCATATTGGAACGTATCGAGCAGATTAGAAAACTCATCAGAGAGTTGGTCGACAGCAATGGATATGGATCAGAGGATTTTGAAGAGCAGATCAGACTCAAACAAGACAGTTTGTCACCAGACATTGAAATGGATCGCTCAGAAATAATCATTCCAACAACCGATATTCCAACATTGGAATTTGAAGAGATCAAATCACAAAAGATATCTACATGGTGTCGATTGACACAACAAGCCAGAGTCAACAAATTAAAATACTCTACCGAACAATCAAAATTACCTTTTGAAAATCAAGATGCATTTATTCGAACACCTCAAATGATGCAATCATTTTATCAATCCCTATCATCCCCTTCACCATTATTATCATCATTAAATAATCAACAACAAATAATAGAAAGACAGAATAATAATAATAATATTAATAATAATATATCAGTAATGACACAATTACAAAAATATGATCAAGAATTTATCAATTTAAATATTGGATTCTTTCCAGAGTATAGTTATATGTCAAATTCAATTCCAAGGGTGTATCCAAGTCAACCGAGGTCATGGAATATATCATCTTTATCAAAACATCAACAAGCAGAGCCACAACAGATGGTTTCATCCTTGACAAATACATCGTCTTCACAGGCTCGATCAAATGGTTTATTGTTCAACTCGATCGTCTCAATACTCCAATCAAAAGGATTCACAGGATCAAAAGAAGAAGCTGTCAATGTGTTTGTAGATGTGGCCGTTGGATTCATATCGACCATTGGAAAGACAATGAACGCCAATTGTAGTAACTATCCATCGGTCGTTGGCAAGACTCGTAGAGGAACCTATTCACAGCTATGGTCGATTTTTAGTGAATTGGGTATTTGCAGTAATGTATATGCTCTCAAAGAATTTACTCGTCTACCTGGTAGCTCTAGGTCTTCTGGTAGTGGTAATGTCTCTAAAGATTTTGATCATGATGAAGAAATGGATACTTTAAATAATGATTCAAAACAACAATCTTTATTTTATTCTACTGATGATATAAATATGACAAATACTACAACATCAACAAATCAATTGGCGGCAACTACTAGTACGACTACCACTACTCCAACGACGACAACTCCAAAGGAAAAGGATTTATTTTATGATTATCATTACTTTGTACCAAAACAATCGAAAATACAACAACAACAGCAACAACAACAACAACAGGATGCGAATTCATCGTCTGGATTGAAACCAGTGTCAAGTTTACAACATCAACAAGCTCAACAAATGCAACAATTACAGTTGCAACAACAACAACTACTACAACAACAACAACAACAACAACAACCACAGATTAAACCACCCGTCAACATACAATTCCATCAAAACCAACAAAAAATATTTGAACAACAACATCAGTTGCAACAACAACAACAGCAACAGCAACAACTACAACAACTTCAACAACTTCAACAACTACAACAACTACAAAAACAAACGACAGTACCACCACCACCAACCACTGCTACAACAACAACAACTCAACCTGTTGCAGAAAAACCAACAGCACCAACTAAAAAAGAAAAGGAAAAGGAAAAGGAAAAGGAACCATCAACAAAATCGATAAAAGAGACAACAGTTAGAGAAAGTAAAAAGAAGAAATCATCAGATACACAACACCAAAAACCAAGTAAACCAAAGAAAAAAGCCAAACCTTCTCCTGCCAAAGATCCATCACTTCCTAATATTGCCAATTTAGCAAGTGAGGTGAATCAGGCTCAAGCTGCCGCTGCCGCTGCTGCCACCACCGTACCAACGCCAACGCCAACACCAACTCCAACACCAACAACAACAACCAAGGAACCATCACCAACAACTGACCAACAAGCTACAACACCAGCAACACCAGCAGCAACTTTAGCATCTTTGGAATCACCGCTAAGTCCATCTGGATCAATACCACCGCAACCATCAGAGGTAAAAGAAAAGAAAAAAAGAGGACGTCCACACAAGAAACCACCTCCTCAACAAGCTCCTTCTACCCCTCAACCTCCTAATTAAACAATTATTATTATGTCAAAAATAAATTATTATTACGACTACGAGTTTTGACTATTATTATAATTATTGATCTATAATTGCTAATTCTGATGTCGGGAGATGGTCAACGAAATCTTTGGATATCCACTCTCCATGTAATAATTAATTTATCAAATATTCTTTTTATTGATATGACCATTATTTTATTTCATACATTTTATTTTGGATGAATCATTTCTTCTGGTCTAACCCATTGATCAAATTCTTGAGAGGTGACATAACCAAGAGTGAGACAAGCTTCCTTGAGGGTGGTCTTTTCAGCATGAGCCTTTTTAGCAGCCTTGGCAGCCTTGTCGTAACCAATGTATGGGTTGAGAGCAGTGACGAGCATAAGAGACTCGTTCATGAGTTGAGAGATACGCTTCTCATCGGCCTTGATACCGACGACACAGTTTTTGGTAAAAGAGACACAACCGTCACCGAGGATACGTACCGATTGGAGGACGTTCTTGATAATGACTGGCTTGAAGACGTTCAACTCAAAGTGACCGTTGCTACCACCGATCGAGACGGCGACATTGTTACCCATGACTTGAGCACAGACCATGGTGAGTGCCTCGCATTGGGTTGGGTTGACCTTGCCTGGCATGATGGACGATCCTGGCTCGTTCTCTGGCAACAACAACTCACCGAGACCGCAACGTGGACCAGAACCAAGGAGACGAATGTCGTTGGCAATCTTCATGAGTGAGACGGCGACAGTGTTGAGTGCACCGCTGACTTCAACGAGTGCATCGTGGGCAGCGAGTGCCTCAAACTTGTTTGGAGCGGTCTTGAAAGCAATACCGGTTTGCTTGGCAACCTCGGCGGCGATAGCAGTGTCAAAACCAACTGGTGTGTTGAGACCGGTTCCGACGGCAGTACCACCCTGTGCGAGTTGGTAGAGACGTGGAAGAGTGGCTTCAACACGTAAAATACCGTATTCAATTTGGGTGACGTAACCGCTAAACTCTTGACCGAGGGTCAAAGGGGTAGCATCTTGCAAATGGGTACGCCCAATCTTGATAATGTGTTCAAACTCGGCTTGCTTCTTTTGCATCTCGTTGAGCAACATACGCATGCCTGGGATGAGACGTTCCTTGATTTCAACGGCGGCAGCAATATGCATGGCAGTTGGGAAGGTGTCGTTGGATGATTGCGACTTGTTGACGTGGTCGTTTGGATGAACTACCTTTTTGGTAAAGTCACGCTTCTTGGTCATTAACTCGATGGCACGGTTGGAAATGACTTCGTTGACGTTCATGTTGGTTTGAGTACCCGAACCAGTTTGGAAAACAACCAATGGGAATTGGTCATCCAACTTGCCAGAGATAACTTCATCGGCAGCCTTGACAATATTGTCTGCAATCTCAGCATCCAATCCAAACTTTTTGTTTACAATAGCAGCTGACTTTTTCAATACACCAAATGCTCTAATCACTGGATTTGGCATTCTCTCTAAAATATACGTACATATATAATATATAATATATGTTAGATATATATATATGTTTACTTGAGTACTATTGTATATATCTCTCTATTGTTGCTTTTTCTTACTTACCTGATGGACCTCCAATATCAAAGTTCTCTAATGATCTTTGAGTTTGAGCACCCCAGTACTTGGAGTCATCGACCTTGACTTCACCAAAGGTATCGTATTCAGATCTGTAAGTAGTCATTGATCTATAGTATAATGATGAGTTTTTCTATACAGTTATTTGTATATAAATATAGAAACAACAAACATATTAGTAAAGCGAATGAAATTGAACATCAACACACTGTACTGCTGTGTATGATCGCGTGTTTGTTTGTTTGTTTGTTTGTTCATATTATCATACCAATCCCAAGTTTGTGAATGATCTAGAAACTTTGAACAAGGATGATTGCATTATTATGATTGCTTGATGATCTATATAGAGAGATAGTATCTCTGTTTATTGTCAATAATCTAATCTAATAATCAATTATACTGAAAATCGTTGTCATGAAGTGATCTGCTTGCAGAAAACAAAGAAACAATTTTTTGAAATTTTGTGGATGATGCACACAATCACCTCAAAAGGCAATTCATTATTTATATTTATTTATTTGTCTTTTAATTTTAATTTAGTAGACTCTTGTATAGAAACCATCTTCAACCTTTGAATCATCCATTGAATGTTTATATTGCCTGTATAAATCATTCTTTAATATTGATTGAGTTTGTATTCGGGATGTGTAATCTGGAAATATTGGGTACAACATTTTTAAAAAGCCAGCGATGGCTAGCCATATATTTCCAGCTAGACAGATTGTGACAAACAAAAGGACTGAAGCAACTACCTGGAGACTAGACCCTATTGCTTCGAATGCGAAATCCATGTCTCCTGGGTCCATTTTCTCTTTTCTGTATTCAACTGCAAGAGTTGACCACATATCCACCACATATTCCACAATACAATAATATAAATAAAAGTTGACCATTTCCGAGATTGATTTTTCCCAACAAACATATAATGAAAAGATCAACCAAAATGTAAACACAATCACCATCTTTTTGGGATTTTCATGTTCTCGTACTTTGTAGTAGGTTGAAGTCAGCGATGAAGGGATCCATGGACGGCGAGTAACAAGAGCTAGTGCTTGCGCTTCCTCTTCTGAGGTATATTTTTTGGAGGATTTATATTTGATGGAAAGCTTACCAAAATCTCGGAACAATAAACTGGATGCTCTGCGAACAACTTTGAATTCAGCATTCTGTGTTTCATGTCTGAGCATCTTGAGGAATAGTGAAGGAACACCAGCCGCGTAGTAATATTCAACCAAATCAGAACTAAAGTTAAATATGAGGTTACGTGCAAGTCCATTGACTACTGTTATCTCTTCAGGAAATGATCCTACTTTTGCCAACCCCATTAATCGGTACAAAATAAAATAATAGTTATTTTTATCATCTACAAATTAATTTAATTAATTAATAAATTAGAAACCATTATCATAAATATATCTATTTATATACATACTACTTATAAATGGTAAGAGACTAAAGATGATCGATATAGATTTTGCTTCAGGTGTAGATGCTGTTGGCATTGTAGACTGAAGAACCCCGGTATCCCATTGGTTGGAAAACCCCCCTGCCGTATCTCGAAGGATTCTATTGCGTCTTTCCAAGTTTGTGTTTGCAAATGAACAAAAATATTTCAAATGGTCGGCTCTTGCAAAGCCCATTCTCGATCGGTGGCAACTTTGTACGCGTTCAAACACCCGATCGACTGTTGCATCTTCAAGATAATACTCTGATCGTTCGGTTTCATTATTATTTCTTAAAGAAATGAACCCTAAATAAATAAATAAATAAATATTGATAACAACCAACATGTTAATCTTTGATGGATCTATCTCTTTACATTATACTCGATAGCTTTTTAAACTACTATATCCTACAATACTCACGGATTAAAGTTGAGGCTATAAGTCCCATTAAAAAAATTTCCATTGTATAATATTTATAAATATATATATATCTCTATATCTGTGCTATATGTATTGTATTAATAGATAAACCATGAATGATCTGATCAATAAATAGAAAGTGATCGATTAATTGATAATCATCGGACAGTTGTTATTGTTATCTGTTTGTTGGTGCATTCACATTGAACAGCGAAAGTAAAGCAAAGTACGCTCTTTCTCTAATATGTATAACAAAAAAAAAAATAAAAAAAGTTCCTGTTCAAAGTTCGAAATGGCACTTCATTTTAACTTTGACAAAACATTCATTACTTTTTAACATTGAACAAAATCTATTAGTTGTTGATTTATTCATCGTGTGTATATATCTATCTATCTCTCTTTCATTGTTTGAAACAAATAAATACATTAGGTTGTTCATTTTTCTTCTTCTTCTCTTTTAATATCTCAACTCTACAACTACTACTATACTATCTTCGCAACGATGATGATGATGAATAATAATAATGCGAAACCTAATCCATCAAGAAGTGTTTTTGGTATGATGTCTTCTCTTGCTCTTGCTCTTGCTCTTTGTATACATCTGTGTAAACCATGTAGTACTGCACTGGTTGGCAGACTAGCTACATACATAGAATGTTGAAGAATATACATATAGCAAAGCAAAATAACAATAAGATAATTAATTCTTTTCTTTTCTTTTTCTTTTCTTTTCTTTTATACTTTGACCGACTCTATATATAAGTTGGTAATATACCATACGCAGCATCAGAGAGTGATTTAGTTAATTTGTTTTCAGAGGTTGGTAGAGTGGTATCGTTTAGATTGGTCGAAGACAGAGACAAGAAGAAACCAAGAGGCTATGGGTTCTGCGAATACATGGATCAAGAGACTGCACTCAATGCAATCAGACTACTAAATAATCGAGAATTCAACAAACGTCAACTTAGAGTATCATATGCGGACAATGACAAGGCAAACGAATTGGCTTCTGCAATGGGTATCGGATTGGTGTCTCCTGGTATGGAAGGTAGTGGTGGTGGTGGTGGTGGAATAGATCCTCGAACAGGTGGAGGTGGTGTCATCCCAATGCAACCTGGTGGTGGTATGGGTAATTTCGATCAACCTCCTCAACAACAACCTCAACAACAAAAAGATGGATTCCAACAACTACTAGAAAATAGCAACTCTCCACAATTGTTTGAAGCAATGTCTAAAATGAAACAACTTGTTCAACAAAGTCCAGATAATGCACGACAGGTTCTACTGAGTAATCCTCAGTTGGCGTTGGCTCTTTTACACGCCCAAGTCGTATTGGGAATGGTCAATCAACAGACCGCACAAAACTTGATAAACATGAATCCAAAGAACCAAGGTCCTCAAGGTCCTCAAGGTCAAGGTCCTCAGGGACAAGGACCAATGTTTAATCAACAACAACAACAACAACAGATGGGTGGTGGACCAAATCGCGGCGGACCTCCACAAATGGGTGGACCAAACATTCCAAATCAAATGGGTGGTGGTCCAAATCAAATGGGACCAAATCAAATGGGCGGTGGTCCACAGATGGGAATGGCGGGTGTTGGAGGACCAAATCAAATGGGAGGCGGTCCGAATCAGATGGGCGGTCCAATGGGCAACAGAGGGGGACCCCCAAACATTCCAAATCAAATGGGTGGTGGTCCGAATCAAATGGGCGGACCAAATCAAATGGGTGGTGGTCCTATGGGCAACAATGGTCCAATGGGCAACAACGGACCAATGGGAAACAACGGACCAATGGGCAACAATGGTCCAATAATGGGCAACCAAATGAACCCAATGCAAGGAATGCAAGGAGGCAACCCGATGAATCCAATGCAAGGTATGCAAGGAGGCAATCCAATGAACCCTATGCAAGGTATGCAAGGTAACCCAATGAATCAAATGGGCAACCAAATGAATCCAATGCAAGGAATGCCAGGCAACCAAATGAACCAAATGCAAAAATCACAACACAACAACAAATGATTCCACCTCCACCAAACATCACACAACAAGCTCTCATGCAGTGGAACCAACTAAACAACCAACAACGAAGTTATATACATCGTGTCCTATCCATGACACACCAACAATTTCAAGCTGAAGTTGTACCAGCCCAAAGAGAAAGAGTTTTAAATTTAATTGCCCCATTCAGATCAATGCAATCCTAACTCAATTAAAATAATTAATAATAATAATAATAATAACAACTAAACAAAACTAAACTATAATATAAACCAAATAATAATTAATAATAATAATAAAATAAAGTTTATTTATTTATTCTCCCCTCTGTAAACCAAGTATTAGTATTTTGACACCTAATTCAGGTGAAATTTTATTTTTCTCACTGCGCAGTTTGACGAATGAGTAATGATGTGATCGTCGACTTGAATATATATTGTTTCATCGATCGTTTATATTAGATAGATATATAAAGGTAAAGAAAGCAAACAAGAAGAGAAAGAAGAGAAAGATAGATAGATAGATATAGAGATATAGAGTTGATTATTAATCAAAAGATATAATACTACTACTACTAGAATATATATAGAAATGGCAAAGAGTGATGAAGAAAAGTTAATGTTGGTCATGAACAAGATGCAAATGAAGGAGGCTTTCAAGAACGTCTTTATGGTGACCAACCAATGTTTTGAAGCATGTGCAACCAACTTTAGATTAAGAAAGCTCGACAATGACGAAGAACTCTGCATCTACAAATGTATCGACAAGAATGAAAAGTTTACCATGGTACTCGCCAACCACTTTGCCAAAGTCTCTCAAACTGAGGGATTCATGTAATCAACCAACCAACCAGACACACTCACACACACACCAGTAATAAATTAGATATAGGAAATATAAACAAACAAACAAACAAACAAATCGATCAACACAAAACATATTATTCAGAAAAAGAGAAAGAAACAGATCATCATCATCATCATTATTCCGATGCGATGCTGATCAGCATGGAATCATTTTCATAAACGACACAAATAGAATATAGTATAGTTGTGTTTAACAAAACAGACAGCGACGATGATAATATTCAAATGGACAGTCACTACTACAACAAGAAACGACACCAACACGAACAACCAAACTCATCCATCAAAGCAACTCCGATTCATAACCATTCATTAATATATTCCGAAATATATAGCTAAATGGTACAACTATTGAATTGTAATATACAACAACAACATTATCCATGTGGTGAAGTATAATTATTATATTATTAATGCTTGTTTGTGCATTTAATTGACAATGACACAGAAGATGTTCATAGCAGATCGATGTGTAGTGTTCCATTGACCAACAAGCCATACAGGCATATAGTGTTGTTATTTCATATCTGTGATATTCTTTATCTTTATTCGAATCTATTTTAATACTTGAGAGAGGTATGAGAATGTTTTGTTTGGGTTTGTGTGGGAGATCAAAGGACTCCAGTTGATTCGACAGACGGGCAAAATTTTTTGACAATAAAATTGAATTTTTATTTTTTTGCTTTGTTGTTTGATTTTTTTGACGACGATAGTGGCTGAGCGGTGAAAAGAGAACGCACAAGACTGAGATCGTTCCTTTCTTCCTTCTACACTATATTGACAAGATGGTGGGTTATGCATAAAACTAAACTTTAGTCTAAATGAATGTATCTTACAAGTATCTAACACTTCAACTCTACTATACTACACACATACTACTATCATGTACAAATATTATAGGCTCGTGGACCAAAAAAGCATTTGAAGAGATTAGCTGCCCCAGCTCACTGGATGTTGGACAAGTTGGCCGGCAAATACGTATGTCATCAACAATCAACTAATCTAATCATCTGAGAGATCTAACAACAAACAATCAACATTATTCATACATATACATTATTACTACTTTACTTTTAATATTTTAGGCCCCAAGACCAAGACCAGGTCCACACAAACTCCGTGAGTGTCTCCCACTCATCATCCTCATCAGAAACAGATTGAAGTACGCTTTGACCGCCCAAGAATGTACTATGGTTTTGATGCAACGTTTAGTCAAGATCAACGGTGTCGTTAGAACCGATCCAAAGTTCCCAGTTGGTTTCATGGACGTCATCACCATTGACAAGACCAAGGAGAACTTCCGTCTCCTCTACGATACCAAGGGTCACTTCCAACTCCAACGTATCCAACCATCCGAGGCCAAGTTCATCCTCACCCGTGTCACCAAGGTCGAAACCGGCATCCACGGTATCCCATACTTACACACTGAAGATGGTCACACTCACCGTTACCCAGACCCAGAAATCCACCGTCACGACACTGTCAAGGTTGACCTCGAAACTGGCAAGATTGCTGCTCACATCCCACTCGCCACCCACAACCTTTGCATGATCATCGGTGGTCACAACACCGGTCGTGTTGGTATCATCAACAACATTGAAAAGCACCCAGGTTCCTTCGATGTTGCTTACATTACCGACTCTGTTGGTCACTCGTTTGCCACCCGTCTCTCCAACGTCTTCATCATCGGTCAAGGTCAAACCACCTTTGTCTCATTGCCAGCTGGTAAGGGTGTCCGTCGTTCTGCCGTCGACGAACGTAATGACGCTCTCCGTAAGAGAGGTGAAAAGATTGATGCTTAAACAAAAGTACTCGATAAAATCTCTTTAAAAATAAATCCTTTTTAAAACCCAAAATATAATATATATAATCAATAATAGGTATTGATTTAATCTTTTTCTGTTTTTATATTTGAGTTAAGTTTAAAATTACAATGTTTGTGTTTATTATTTATTTCTATTTGTTCGATTAATTTAATTTACCTTCTTTCCAAGATTGAATATTTCTTTGTCTAACTCTAGTTGCTAAATCCAAGTTTCTAAAGAGAAAGAGCAGTTGTGGATTATTCCAATCATATAATCTCCATCTATACTGTGCTTCATCAATGTTTACCAAGAATGTGTTGGATGGCATTGGTTTCTGTTCAGTGATGATATCAAAATTGGTTGATAGTTGTATTCCTCCAAGATGTACATCTTTAGTCTTGGTTGCCTTTGCATAATTCCATATCATTGGATCATATGAATAAGCTCCAATACCATGAATACCAATAGATACAATTGCAAGTATACTGAGGATACCAATTAAAACTTTAGACCAAGATGATGAGGATAATGATATCACGAGCGGATAAATAAAGACGGCCAATAATATGAATAAAACAGGCATGGTATCGGTAAGAGGTCTTGATCCAAAACACCAACCACCCCAATAATCGAAAAACTTGGATGCTGCAATCACCAAGACAATGGTTGATACGATGAATGGCAAGAGAATGGCGTATCGTTTGGGTGAGACAATGACTCTGACCAAACCAAACAATGAAGCCAATAGGATGGGTGAATGGACAAATAGTCCTCTTGAAGGACTAAACAAGAGTGTGGAGAGACCAACCAAGAATGGTGATGTCCATACACCATCTGATTGTTTGGCCACCGATAATGACTCGGCTGCAATGTTTTGTGCAGTCGTAAATGGTGATCCAAAATAATACTGGTTGTGAAAGAGGAATAATCCTCCAAACAATCCACCAACCAATCCAAATGCAATGATCGATTTAAATAATTTACTTGTATTTGGTTTTTGTGATGATGAGATAATAGTTGAGACTAGTTTCAATGACAGGAATACAGCTACACTCATTGGATAGAGTACACTGGTAGGTCTACAAAATGTAGCAATTGACAAGCACAAACTACACAATGCAGATGCTTTCCAACACCCATAGTTGTGTGTATGTAGTGTCAATAGATAGTACAATCCTACACATAAAAAGAATGTGTTGGGTGAGTGCTGCCACAATGCCTGGCTATTAATACTCCACATTGAACTACCCAATGCATAAACAATCGTCAGTACTATATTTGTCATTGTAGTTGTGGTGGTGGTTGCATTGTCATTATTCTCTCCAAATAAAGATGAAACCCTTTTAAAACAAAGGTACATGATGGCAGCAGATGCAGCAGTAAAGAATGATGCAGTAAACTTTGATATCTCTGCTAGATGTGATCGGTCATAGGCACATACATCAACTGTCGTCGTTGTAACAAAAGGATGTACAAAGGTGGTATAGAGGTAAAAGATTGGTGCTGATACGATGGCAGTTCCAATACCAAAGGTGTTGGCATAGTATTGGTCGAATAGAGTTGGCTGGACAAAGTAGGTGGCCGATGAAAAGGTGACACGTTTCATTTCATAGAGTTGCCATGCCGTCTTGACCGTTGTCTGTCCGTTGTCCAGTTTGACGCTGGTCGATATGTTCCAGTGCGACAGTGATAGTCCTTGCATTGGAGGTTGCGATCTATCTGCTACAAAGTCCCACAAAAACAGACAAGGGTTCTCGCGAGGATTGAATAGGAACGGTGACGACGACGACGAGAATGGTGTCGATGACAGTCTGAGCGCCAACAACATATTGGCATTCGAGTCACCACCAATCGTAAATCCACCATTTGATAGATAGACGGTCAATACAATACAAAATAAACTAAATGATATCAATGTATCATTCTTTAATATTAAAGAACTAATACCAATACCACCATTATTATTCTTTGTATTATTATTATTTGTCTTTGATGGTGAAGACAATGATGATGAAGGTTGTGGTTGTTGTGGTGGTGATGATGATACCGAATCTTTCTTCCTATTTCTAGTACTCATTACTAACTAAATAATAATAATAATGATGATGATAATTATCTCTGTTACTAAGTGTGTCTTTTACAGAAAAATGAATGAAATTAATTTAATATCTTTTTTATAGCTGATGGTTGGTCTCCCAATAAAGGTGAACATCATAATTTAAATTTTTATATTTATAATAAAATAAAGAAAGAAGAAAGAGAGAGGTAAGATTGAACATTAAAATAAATGAAGGAATGAATAGCCAACTAACTTCATTTTCAACCGAGTTTGCTTTTATTATTCACTCACACTCACTCACACACTTTTATTTGTTCTAGAGATACTATTTGTATGACAGAGAGATATGGATATAGATATAAATATTTTAATAGGCTTAGAGAAACCCTAAAAGGAGGTGCCGTCACGTGTCAAATTAAAAGATTGTACAATGATTGGATAGTGATAGTTTACTATTATTGGTGTTGTCACCTCACATGAACTAATTGTACAATAATTAAATCGAATAAGTTGTATGAAGAGAAAGAGGATGGACTGCTATATTCATGCTTTAGGAATTCTAAAGACATGAATACTAGTATATTCAAGACTCAAGTGGAACTTTAAAATAACAACAACTTGTCCAAGAATGGTTCATTTTTACCTCTCTGCTACTACGTTTTTGCCTACGATTTTGAAGCATATCGAAATATTAAGTGTTGTCGACACAACAACAAGACCAATGATTGGTGAAAAAGGCAAAAAATTATTAGTAGTGTCGGGACCAATCCTATCTTATGATATTGATGAAATGGATTGCAGCCTGACACCACTCTCATTTTACCATGGTTCTTTTCATTCTTTGACCGCCCACTTTTCCACATGCAACAACACTATATTATACACAATTCTTCTTCTTCAAACAAAACACATTAATTAATTAAAAAAGATTTACTTTATTTACCCAAATACCACCACCACTGCCAACACCATGTTTGTGCACACACCACTCTTGTTTTACGACTGAAAACTGCTACTACAACAACAACCCCGACAATAGAACCCAGTTCAATTTCAATTGCGGAACCCACACTCGATCCACACATACACACACACTTACAAATACATATATCTCACACCACACTGCTAGTAGTAGGTACTACGACAATCGATATTTTATTCTCTATAGTTGGTGGTTTGTAATTATTACTTTTTAATTATTATTACTACCAATTACTACTACTATTACTACTACTACTACTACTGTTGTTATTATTAACTGGTTAGTATCTATCTATCTACTCTGGTATGTATTTGGTTAGGTTAGGTTTAAATTATAGTAATAATAATAATATTAGTATTAATCATCTAAAATTATATTATATATTTTTTCATCTTGGTTTATCTATCTAGTAATATCATAATTATATAGATTTTATAATACCATTATTTATTTCATTCGAAATATCTACACAAAGGCTTGATTATTGGATTTTCACGTGAATTTGTCAAGATTAAAGATTAGATTAGATTCGATTAGATTATTTAGTTCCATTCATACCATATCATCTTCTCCCACCCAAATATTAATAATTATTAGATATATAATCGACGACGACGACGACGACGACAAAGACAATTAAAAAATGGATAGAAAAAATAGTAGTAGCAATCCAGAGATTGCAAGAATGATGGAAAAGTTGGAGAGAGGATTGGATGTCTATACACCTCCCAACTATGAATCTCAGATTCAACCCATCTACCAGAATCCATTCGACTCTGATAGTGAAGACAACGATGATTCCAACTCACAAGTCACAGCCATCGATATAAAAGATAGATCCAACACTAGTAGTACTACAATGAATAATAGTACTCCCAATAGGACTAGTAGTCTACCAGAACTATCTAGTCAATATAAATTAAATAATAATAATGAAGATGGTCATCACATACAACAAAGTCAAAGTCAAAATCAATTAATTGATAGTAACAATAATAATAATAATGATAATAATAATAATAATAATAATAGAATGGCAACAACAATGATGGATATTTCATCATCAAATACATCATCATCTTCGTCAACTAATAGTACAATTCCTTTGAATCAAAAATCACAACCTGTTGTAGTATCATCATCACCAACCTTTATTTCTTCTACTACCAATACAAATACTACTGTCGACAGTAATAATAATAATAATAATAATCAAGTAGTTGTACAATCAAAACATGGAGAATATTCACCAAATTTTCCAGCACTTCCGATTAGTCTAAGTTCAAATACAAATCAATCGATATCCAACAACAAACAAAATTATGATCCATTACCATTGGCATCTTGTTCTTCAGCACCAACAACGTCATCGACTGCTAAAATGGCAGATGGTAATGGGATGGATTTTATTACGGTGGACATGTCAACACCGGATGAACGTCACAAACCACGACACTTTGGTAAACAGACAACATCATCTTCTGTTGTGAATCTGGGTCGACCACCTCCACCGCTCACTGACTGCGACGACAACGAACCAAAGAAAAAAAAGAAAAAGAGACTAAGGTTTCTGTCAGATATATTGGGTATCCCCGACCGACACAATCGATCTGCATCCAAGTACTCTACCACAGGATACCATCCTGCACACTTGGATACCTATATAGTACCCGAACCAATAGCAATCACATCCTCTCCTATTTACCGATCAATGCCTGCCAAACACAACAAACGATTTGGTAAATCTTCATCTTCACTCAATGACAATAATAGTTTAAACAACAATAATAATAATAATAACAATAACAATAATAATATTTCAACACCACAATCACCATACATGTTTTCACCAAGTACGAGTAGTATGACACATGCTGCAAATGCAGCGTCTAGCTCGTACGATCAGTTGGAAGTAGCCGATGGTAACAGACGTAAACTCGATCGCATGCGACGCAGCTCACTCGCAGGTACTGGTGCACCAAGCTATCCCAGTCGCAGCTCCAACGGTATTGGTTACCTCAACTACCCAGCCTTTCTCAACAACAGTAGTCTGTTTCAAGGGATTATTCACTTGTCCAAGTATCCTTGGGCATTGATCAAATTCATTATATCGCCAAACCCCGATGCGGTATTTCCATCCAAGGTGATCAAGCGTCGTATGCACTTGCTCAACCTACTCTGTATATTCATGGCCATTGTCTTTTCACTGGCAATCATCTTTCACAGCGACATTTGGTACATCAACATGCCAGGTGTCGTCCTCTGCCTGGCTCTCTATGTTCTCGGTAAACTATCCAACCGATACTTTTTACTATGTACTCTACTCGTGTGTCTGATAGTATCCATCAACATTACCAGTCTCATAGTGTCGGTGGCTGCAGATCACAGTGATGTCGGCACTATTATATTTACCTGGGATAATCTTGTCCTCATTGTCATCTCTATACTCTTTCCAAAATTATTTTGGTGTATTATTTTACTCTTCCTTGCTGCCATTGCTTATATTGGTATGGGTATTTATTTATCAGTTTCTCATAAATGGTTTTTAATTGAAGTATGTAAAAAGAAACAAAACAAAACAAAATAATATTATATTTACCTGTATTTATTTTTTTAGAATTATAATTCAATTGGACAATTATTAACAAGTTTATTAGTATGTGCATTCTTTTTATTGATTTATTCAATATTAAATGCAATTGATTTAAAAGAGACTGAAAGAAAAGAAGAAAGAATACAAAGTCTATTTAAAATTAGTAATGAAGCATTAGTATTACATAAAGGTGGTTATATTACAGATGCAAATCCTGCCTTTGAAAATATGTTTCAAATTAAATTAAAAGATATTTTATATCCTGTATGTTCAAAAAAAAAACAAAAATAATAACAAAAGTATTTAATATTTATTTATTTATTTAATTTATTTATTTTAGCCAAGTGGAGTTTGGGAATTTTTACCATCATTGGAGAAATTTGAAGGTAGAGATATAAAACTTGGACCTGTTGAAGAGATGGAAGCTGTTGATAGTAGTGGAAGAACGTTTGATGTAGAGGTACGAACCAACAAGGCAAACTATGCTGGCAAGCCAGTAGATGTATTTTCGATTATCGATATTACAGGAAGAAAGAAATTGATTGAAGCAGATGTAGCATTGAGAAAGGCAGAGGCTGCAACCGAGGCAAAGGTGGTGTTCCTCACAACGATTAGTCATGAATTGAAAACACCGATTCAAGGTATTTATGGGTTGGTCGAAGTGTTGGAACAAAACATTCAAGAGGAGAATGTGGACATTAACCAATCACAGGAGCTACTCGAGTTGATTCGGTCCTCTGCCAACTATCTGTTCACATTGGTGGTTGATATTCTAGACTATAGCAAGATTGAAGCTGGAAAGATGGATCTGGTAATCAAGGATTTTAGTATGCTCAAATTAATCGAAGAAACATCCAACATTATGTCTAAAAGTGCTGCTCAAAAAGGATTGGAATTGGTGTTTTACGTAGACTACAATATGCCAATCTTGTTGGAAGGTGATGCCAATAGAATCCGTCGTATTCTTCTCAACTTTATTTCAAACGCCATCAAGTTTACAGAAGAGGGTCAAATCAAGATTTCAGTGTCTGTTATTGCTACAGATCTTGTGCATAGCGAGTATACGATCAAGTTTGATATTGAAGACTCGGGTATTGGTATTAAACCTGAAGACCAGTCCAAGCTATTCAACGCATTCACTCAGATTGACTCGAGCAACTCGCGCAAGTACCAGGGTACCGGCTTGGGTCTAATCATCTCAAAGAAGTTGGCGCAAATGATGGGTGGAGATGTTGGATACCGCTCAATCTATGGCAAGGGGTCGACATTCACATTCCACGTGTGCATACAGGCATCAGAGACCAAACCGACCTTTTCATTCCAGTCTCTGGGTTCATCCATCTGTCTCGGCGAGGAGATTGTCGGTATCGATGGCAAGGGATCGGGTTTGACGGTCGGCGGGCGTCGCGAGGGCACTAAGAGCATCAACGTCATTGCCGTCGACAAGAATCCGTGGGTACGCAAGCACATCACGCATATCCTCGGCTCGATGAACATTGTCTGCCTCGAGTTTGAAGATGCCCAAGGTCTGACGGACCACCTGGCCAAGACGACGGTTGCCAACTACAGTCTCTACATCTTTTCGGGTATTCCTGAGATCAACAAGGTGACGTTTAAAGACAAGTTGGCCCCTGTCATCACCGACTACCACTTTATCTGTATGACTATGGATCCCAATGCTAGATACAGTCTCGATGAGTTTGAAAGTGTCATTATGAAGCCGGTGCGATACAGCGATCTTGTTAGAATTGTCTTTGGTATCACTAAATCAAAACTTGATTTCCTTCAAGAGGCAAACACTGCTCGAAGACTATCGCTGCGTGAATCACGCTACAAGGAAAACAGCGACTCCTCCACATCATGCGACTTTAAAGCTGGAAATGGAAACGGAAATGGTAATAGTAATGGAAATACATTGAGTTCAGTCTCTAATCACAATGATAGTAGTGATAATCTACATGGTAGTATTCACAATATCACCCCTCAATATGCCACCCCCAAACCAAGAGATGGACATACTCCAAATGGAAATAATCATACGGCACCCAAGATTAGTCTCAACTCTAATAATCAAGCAATGGTTGAGATTGAAGAGACTGATCCTTTACCATACTCTCCTTCAACTTCATTCTCTACCAATATTGAAACTGTATATAAACGCATTGAAACCGTTCTATCACAATCACCAAAACAAAGAACTCCTACCAACACCTCGACCAACGCGACCAATACCAATAATAATAATAATAATAATGTTGCAACTAAATCTTCACCCTCTACAATGTCATTACTTGTTAAACAACCATCGTCCATTAAAACACCACCAAATAGGAATATAATATCACCAATCTATCATCCTTCGTCATTATCACCTTCATCACAGTCTGTACAGACTCAACAACCACAACCAGTACATCCACCATCCCTAGTACAACCTCCATTGACACATCCCCATTCAACAGAGCAATTGCCACAAGTTCCAATGCCACTTTTACCGTCATCGAGAATGTCACCACTAACCATATCAGATACTCTTCCCATGACCTCTACAACTTCAACCACTGCTACTGCACCCACCCAGCATTATCATGGTACATCCTCATCAACATCATCTTCCGTTACACCATCAACAGGAAGAACATCCTCTTCTGCATCGACATCTACATCTACTACAACCTCTGCCTCTGCAACTCCCATTTCACCAAATAGTGAGCATAAAGAAAGAGCCAAAAGTTCCTTGATTGAAAAGACTATTAGTACCGAAACACCTCCATCCATTTCACCAAAAACAACTTCCCAAACTACAGTAGATAAATCCAAACAACATTCTTCTACTAGATCTAGTAGTAGTAAAGGTAAACCTAAAACTTCAAATGCCAAGATCCTTCTTGTTGAAGACAATGATGTAAACAAGAGAATATTTGAAGGGTTCCTAAAATCGACAGGTTATCAATACAAGATTGCAGGTAATGGATTAGAAGCTGTAAATGCTGCCAAAACAGAAGCTTTTGATTTAATCTTAATGGTATGTAATTAATACAATCTCGAAAAGAATAATATCTTTAATCATTATCTGAAACTAATCGTTACATATTCCTTCTTAGGATTGTCAAATGCCTGTGATGGATGGATTCGAAGCTACCAGTATTTTAAGAGATTTGGAGAAACAAAAACAACTTCAATCGGTAAATATCTTTTTTTTTATTTCGACCTATCAAAAGGCGTCTATCGTTTTCATCATTTTGTCACACGACATGTTTTAACCTTTTTTGTTTTCTATCTCTTTCTTTTTGTATAGCCACCATCACATCGATATAAAGAATTGGTTATTATTGCTTTGACTGCAAATTCTAGCGAAGTGGATAGGCAAAGATGTCTAGAAGTGGGTATGAATGACTTTGTCGAGAAGCCCGCCAGAAGGGAAATCGTTATCAGAATGATTAAAAAATATTTACCATGATGTGATAATTGATGTTGAACATCACATCACATCACTGCACCACCGATCAAAACGATGTGACGCAATCTACAAATGTGACACATAGGCCTCGTGTTGCATCTCCCAACAAAAATGAGACGTCAGCACTCCTCCTCCTCACAATCCCCTCCAAAACGACAACAACAAAGACAATAGCATAGCAGGTAGGATACCAAGTTTAGTTCGTGTTGGGTTGTTTTGTTTTGTTTGTTGACGATCCTAAAAACAAAAAACAACCAACCATCATCCCCGGATAACCGTTGTTGACCGACATTCCTTTTTTATCGTACGACCACATTCAAATAAAACGTATTGTTTTGAATCACACAATCGAATCGATTGACTAATCAACCATCATGTGGGTGTTAAATTTAACTATATATATATATATATATATTTATTTATTTTCTTAGAGTATTTATAAATATATATTCCTTTTTTTGCTTTAAATCTTGAATTACTCAAAAGAATGAGAATGATAGCGTTCTCGTTTGTTCTATGATAGGTATAATCGCATGTTGATGGCGATACGGTCGCATCTCTTACCCTTCTGGATAGATACTTTGAAGCTTTGGAGGCTGATTTTTAGTGACGTCGTTGAAATATCTTCGTCATCGATGGTTTTGAGAACAGCTCCAAAAAAATCAGCAGACAAAGTTTTTGGAACTTTTTTACTTTTCAGGTGGGTCAAAGGCGCAACAGAGTTAGCTCGTCACCGTCAGATCGAAACGGGAATCTTTAAAAAAAATCTGATCAGCAAAGATTCCAGCCTGACATGCTCACCACAACTACACAAAAACCAAGCTCTGATCAGTACTTTGGGAAGAACAACAATCAACCACCCTGCCCCAACAATAGCTTCTAGTTTGTTTAGCTCAACCAAACCAAACTAATCATTCATTATTTCATTCATTATTCGTAATCATTTCATTTTTGAAACTCAACAACCAACATCAGATAAGAAAGTCTCATCATCTCAGACAGACACAGAGTCAGTTCATTAGTTTAGTTTTAGTTATTCATTCATCTCAATGTCTTAGACCAAAAGAACAACTTTTTACGATATTGTAAGTGCCTACCCCTTTTTTGACGCATCAACTTTTTGCAATTCGAATATATCGCTCGTGATTCGTCATGCGATCAAGTATACTTTTTTTACTTTACTAACATCAACCACAATGATAATCTTATCTCTATACCTACCTATACCTATCTACATATTGACAGTTATTTAGTTTTAGTTTTAGTTTTAGTTATATTATTTTTTTTAGGGTTTTGTTTTAAGCAACCAATTGCAATATTGTGTGTTGGGGGGTTTTACCATCATATCATCGTCATCGTCGTACTTTTTACACAATTTCATCATCTTCCTCATTTTTACTGTTTTTCGAGAGATCCAATCTAATCCCACCACCAATTCCACTTTTCACCCATTGGCTCGTCTTCAGCTTTGAAATAGTCGCACTCGAGCCATCCACAAACACAATAATCTCATTATATATAGATAGATAATTAATCAACCACACTTTAGCCAGATAAATATATCATGGCAACAGATATAGAATTACAAGAGACCTCTACTCCAGCTGGTAGCGGAGAAGTAAGAATCACATCACCAGACAATTTAGATATACAAGAACACAATCCACATAAAGAAAAGAAAGCAGATCTATCGGCCATCGAAACTGTCAAGAAACATTGGCATAAATCAAAGACTGAAATCGTATTCATTTTGAAATGGGCGTGGCCAATGGTCGTTTCCAACTTGCTCAACAATGTATCCTATCTATTTATCAACCTTATTTTTGTTGGTCGTCTCTCTAGAAATGAATTGGCTGCTGCCGCACTTGCCAATACTTGGACCTATGGAACTCAAGCCTTTTCACTTGGTATTAATAATGCTTGTGATACCCTTGTTTCTCAATCTTGGGGTGCTGGTATGTAACCCCAAAAAAAGAAATTCAGGAAAGAAAATATTTATTCTAAATCCAACCCCCCTTTTTTTCTCTTTCTTCCAGAAAATTATGTACTTGTAGGATTAACAGTTCAAAGAGCCACCATTGTAACTACAGGTGTGACAGTTTTAGTTGCTGTTTTATGGGCACTAACAGAGAAATTTTTATTATTGGTTCAACAAGATCCAACCATTTCTTATTTAGCTTTAAAATATGTTTTGTATATATCAAATCCAAATCCAAACAAACAAACAAACAAACTAATATTGTTGATATTAATAATATTATTTTATTTTAAAATTGTTTATTTATTTAGATATTTAATGCCAGGATTATGGTTTGGCAACGTTTTAAATGTTATGCAAAAATATGTTCAAGGTCAAGGTTTGATGATGCCATCGATTTACATTGGTCTTGCACTCAATGCTATGAATGTATTATTCAATTTTGTATTTGTCACTGGTATAGGTTCCTATTCAGGAATGGGTTATGTTGGTAGTGCACTTTCGACATCCATTTCAGTATGTTTATCAAAAAAAATATAAAAATTATTATTTGACTAACTCTTTCTTTTTAGAGAATAATATCATGTTTTTTAATGTTGGGATATATTAGATTTTTTAAGTTACATGAAAAGTCATGGTTTGGATGGTCAAGGGAATGCTGGAATTGGGCAGGTTTTAAAGAGTATTTGAAACTAGGTGTTCCGGCAATGATCCAACATGCATCGGAAAGTTGGGGGTTCGAAATATTGACCATTATGGCTGGTTTGTTGGACAGCACCAGTTTGGATGCTCATTCGGTGACTTACAATTTCACAATGTTGACGTACCAGATTCCATCGGGTATTGCTATTGCAGTGTCTGTTAGAGTCGGTCAGTTGCTGGGATCGCGTAATGGCACACAGGCACGTCGCGCATCATGGGTTGGATTTGGTATCACACTAGTCTGCATGATTATCGTTGCCATTGTACTGTTTACAAGTCGGTTCCAACTCGGATACATCTATACTCACCATCAAGAGGTTATTGATATGGTCGCCGAAATCCTTCCCATCGCCGCACTCTTCCAAATTTTCGATGGTGCCCAAACCATTTTCCAGGGTGCCGTGAGAGGTATGGGTCGCACCAAGATTGGTGCAGCTGCCAACTTTATCGCCTTTTATGTCATTGGTATCCCCTTCTCGGCCATCTTTGCCTTTGCCATCAAGACGGGTGTCACCGGGCTCTGGTGGGGTCTCTGTATCGGTCTCGTCACCATCAGCTTCGGGCTCGGCTTTTTCCTCCTCAAGGTGAGCTGGCCCGACGAAGTCGAAAACGCCAAGGTCCGTACCATGACCTCGATGAACCGTATCTCAACAACCTACCTTCAAAAGCATAGAGGGTCGTTCTCATCCGACACCCTACCACCCGGCCTCATCCTCGGAGGCGACAGTAATCCAAACAGCAGCAACAGCAGCAACAGCAGCGATGGCGCCGACAAGCCCAGCAAGTCCAAACGATCCAACAGCAAGGACAACGGTACCGGTGCCCCACCAGGCAGTCCACGACGTGGTGGTCCAGTGACTGGCATCCGGTCCAACCTAGGACTTTATACAGAGGGTCCTGCAGTCGACCAAAATAGACCGGATGACAGTCCATCCCCACCCCAACCCCCACAAAGATCGATGGATATCTCAATTGATAATTCATCAACCTTTGTTGACAGTACCAACTCTTCATCCGTATGTTCTTCCCTTCCCACGACCCCAGCTCCTGTCCCCGCTAATCCCCATATTAATACGCAATTAAATTTTATTAATGTCCAATTGAACAATATCAACCATCAATTAAACACCATTCACGTTCAATTAAATAGTATGAAAAGCTTATCTGATAGTAATGGTAGCGTTCCTTTTGTGAACGATGAAAAGACAAGTAACAGTAATCAAAATAACAATAGTAGTAGTATTAATAATGGAAATGGAAATGGAAATAATCATATTCATTTATCTGAAGAATCCTCTGGTGCTGCTGCTGCTGGCGTTTCTGCTGCTCAAACCAGACCAAATCTATCCAACAGTAATAACAGTGGAAGTGCTGGCAGTGACAATGGAGCCAATCCATCTTTGCCAATTGATCAATTGAATCAAAGTGGTGAAAGCGCAACAAGTGGATCATTTGATTTATTATCTCATATTAACAATAGTATAAATTCAATTAATAATCAATTAAATAATAACCCAAATACAAATATTAATTTGAATAATAATAATAATAATAATAATAATAATAATCAATTCAAGAAGAGTACTGGAATGACTCCTCCAAAACCTGTTAATAATAATAATAATAATGTACCATTACCAACAACAACAACAACAACAACAACATCGACAACTTCACCACTTCAACATCATCAAGATCGAGAAGTTCCAATTAATGTTAATCCAACAACTCCAACAAAACCAACTTTATCTAATAGTTTCGAGGATACTAACAATAATAATAATAATAAGATTAGAAAACCAGTTCCATCATTTATTCCACCAACACCAGTATCTACACCAAGTCAACCTTTACCAATTCCAACTACAAAACAACCAGCCACAATTTCGTATGCTCCATCTTCACCAACTCGGTTTGGTAGAAGTCCAACGATATCGACACCTAATAGTCCAGTCAACAACTTGATCAGAAACTTTAATCAAATCTCTGAACAAGCCACCAAAGATCAGACTCTTCGTATGTTGAGACCACGTAGCATGTCTGTTAGTTTTAATGGATTTCCACAACCACCAGGTTCGCCAAGATCCCAAATCACAACGAGCCAAGGTGGATTATTCACAACACCACCACCAACTTTTGATCCAACAAATCAACAACCTCCTCAACCATAAATATATTAATATAAATATATATAACAATAATAATAATAACTATATAAAAATATAATAGATAATAATAATAATAATAATGTCCATAGAATCAAATAATAATAATAATAATAATAATAATAATAATAATAATAATAATAATAATAATAATAATAATAATAATAATAATAATATAATATATAATTTAAACAAACAGATAGATACAACACCTCATCCTCTCCCTCCCTCCATCCCCTTCACCCATTTAATACATACATAGGTTTAATCAAAAATATATAATCTATAACAATAAATTTGTACTACTACTACTTTACTACTTTACTGCCTACTACTTTACTCTGCTTTATAAATCTGCCTTTTTGAAGCACTACCCACAACTTGTTCCAAAAACTTTTAAAAATATTTAAAATATTTTAATTTTAATTTTATTTTTTGTTTGAACAACTGACTCAGAGTTTGAGGAACCCCTAAACTAAATTAAATAGACATACAGAGAGACAAAGACCTTAACAAACTTAATATAGAATAGTTTATTATTTATTGTTGGAGAGAAAAAGAAGAAGAGGAAGGAGTAGGAATGAAGAATGAGATTCGACGTGAACAATCCTAATAGCAATAATAATAATAATAATAACAATAACTATAATCATTCATCGTCAACACAAACTCAATTCAACTCTAGTACTGAAACATCAACATCATCAATTAATACAATGGAATATAATAATGGAAAGACAAAGAGTGGGGGTAGTAGTAGTAGTAACCCATTTGGATTCTTTAGTGAAAGTGGTGGAGGAGGAGGAGGAACATCATATGATAGCAATGTCTCTATGGAAATAAGCAACAATAATAATAATAATAATAATAATAATAATACAACAAATAATAGTTCAATAACTATTGAAGATGATAGATATGAAGCTTCTTCATCATCTATTTCATCATCTTCTTTGGTTGGTGACAAACAATACCAAAAGAAATATAAAGCATCGAATAATACATCGACTGCCATTGCATCTATATCGGATGACGATGATGACGACGATGACGACGATGACCAAAACTATAGTACAGTAGCACCAAAAAAGAAGAAACATACTAGTCAACAACAACAACATCAATCTCTAATTGATAGTAGTCAAATGGGAGATGACATTGTTCAAGTTAAAGATTATTGGAGGACAAGACTTGATATTGGACTATTCTCTATTATATTCCTAGAGTTTTTGTTAATATTTTCGTATATCCCCTATCTGTATTACTATGTGGATTTGGCAGTTCATTCATCTACCATGTCTTCACGTGCTGGATGTCTTGTCATTCTAGCACTGTATCATTTCATCTTTATCATTGCTCATGTATCACTTTTCAAAACTACTTTTACTGACCCTGGAACACCTCCTTCCAATTTCCTTTCAATTGTTCAATCTAAAAACAACAAGTAAATATATATATATATATCAAGTTGAAAGAGATATTCAGCAACTCATTATTAATCTAAATATCTCTCTCTCGATTTTAGTTTATTTTCACATAACAATAATAATAATTCTATTGATCCATCGAAATTGGTAAATGAAACCAAGAGTCAAGGAGAAAAAAGATTTTGTAACAAATGTAATAAGCATAAACCAGATAGAGCTCATCATTGTTCAAAATGTAAAAGATGTGTTTTAAAAATGGATCATCATTGGTATGTTAATACTCACAAATATATATAAGAGATAATTGATTATTAATTTCTATATCTATCTTTTTACAAATATTTATATTTAAAGTCCATTTGTTAATAATTGTGTTGGTTATTTTAATTATAAATTCTTTGTATTATTTTTATTCTGGGCAACTATTTTATGTTATTTTGTTTTGGGTACAACTTTATCAAACTTTGGAAGATTATTAGATAAGGTATGAATAGATAGATAGTTAATTCATTACAACCAAATATATATTAATATTTTTATATTTTCATATTACTCTTAGGGAGATGCAAATGTATTTGTTGGAGTAGTATTTATTATTGCTTTAATATTTGGATTGGGATTAACTGCTTTTACATGCACACATCTTTCATATATTTTAAGAAACGAAACGACTCTTGAACACATGGAAAAGAAATCAAGAGTTAGACATTTTTCATCCAATAGTAGTGGTGCCTCCTCACCCTATGACAAGGGTGCCTATCATAATATTTGCAAGGTATTTGGCACCATTCCAGCTCTATGGCTTATACCTGTTAGTCCTACCTATGACCGAACCTCTGGTTTAATATTCCCTGTTAATTTCGAAATATCACCTCTCATTCATTCAAGTGTTGATAATGTTTAACATTAATAATAATAAAAGGTAAATAACAACAAATATAATAGCATAGCATCATCAAACAATAATAATAATAATAATAATAATAATAATAATAATAATAATAATTAGAGATTATAAATATTTATTAAATGTTTTTTTTTTTATAGTTTATACAAAAATAATCTATCTCTATCAATTGATAGAAGATTATTTCTTTAAAGAATATAATGGATTTACTCTAAAATATTGACCGCCCAATGCAAGACAACAAGAAAATGAAAGGATGACTCCAAATGTGGCTACACCATACCAAACGTTTTTACTTTGTAGTTCACGTTTGCGATAGTCTTTTCTACCGAGAATGTATTTGTTAAAGATACGAACATTGTTGAATACGAAATGATAGTACATCGATGCTGAAAAGAGTGTATAGTATGGGTAAAAGACAACACCCCATTGTTTAAGTGTGTAATGGATATCCTTGTAATTGAGTTGATAACCTTTGATCCAGAGTGCTGGGATACGAGTGGCAGCAGTGTGCCCAAGTATAAAGACTGATACAAGGGCGCCGGCTATTTGGTGTAATCCATAGGGTGATGGTAGTTTAGTGTGTCCAGGTGCTCTCTCATAGAATTGAGTGTTATCTTTTCTACCACTAAATATCATATAGAGATTGGCAGACAAATGTACAACGACAGAGCCAGCAAGCAATGTTTCAAACACACGATTTTGATAAAATGGTCTGAAATACTCTAATAATCCATTGAATCCAGATTCCCCAAAATGTGATCCAACAATCGTTACCAAATGTACTTGATAGAATGTTGCAATAACACTTCCAGTGATTGCTACATATAAGTAAATAATTTAACAAAAAAAAAGTGTAAATTAGATTATATTCCAATTGTAGTAATCCATCGACGATTCTTTCTCTCTCTTCACGTGACGATGAGAGAGTGAAGATGAAGGGTTGAACCTTTTTGTGATATGTATGATTATTCATTCATTCGTACCTTGAATTGCTTTGATGTTTTCAATCTTTGTCAAGAATGAAATTAAACCACCCTTTCTTTTATCGGTATCGCCGCCAGAGGTATTGTCATTATCATCGTACACTTTGTTATTGTTGTTGTTGTTGTTATTACTTTGTTCAGACATTTTGAATTTAATATCGATTGATTAATCGTGTATGGCTGTTAGCGTATGAAGAATTCTCTCTCTAGTGTCGACTTTGATGATATAAAGACTACACGTGCGATAAAGATATATAATATATTAGGTCACGATTGTGTGTGTAATTAATTGATTGTGTGTGTGTTTAAAGTATTAAAGAAGAAGGGTGGGGTGATCCTTTAAAGTAGTTTTAAACCCCTCAACCAATCGGCTTGACAGCAGATTTTTTGGTTCATGATACCAACTTTCACACTTTATAGGGTTGTTTAGTGCGTGGTGAGGTGTGAATTAGATCAAGATCCTACTTAATGAATGCTTAGTTATTGTTATAATGTATCATCATGATGCATGCATGAGGGTGTGTATTTAGAAAAGAAAGATTCAATACCGATAATGATGATGATGATTCTTTTTTTTTTGGTTGAAACACACTGTTTGAACTCTTGGTAATTAATATATATAGACATTTCAAGAATGTAATCTTTTCATTTCTGGAGGGTTTACGCCGATCTTTAATCAACACAACATCACTTGAGTGAGTGAGTGGGTGAGTGAGCTGGAGTACTCCAGGTGATATGGACAAATTAATTTTATTAATATTAATATTGCCAATCAATTCTTTGATAGTATAAATTTCCAAAGATTCACCAAGTAACAAACAAGCATATATACCTGATGCAAAGATCGGTATCGCAAATACCTCTCTCCTGTCCTCTCCTCTCTCAAGGGTGAGAGGAATCATGATTTTAATTTGGTAATAATCTTATCAACAAACCTAACCCTAGCACACCCACTGACATCATACATGGATGGTAAAATATACTTGAATCAATCTATGCTCTATTAAAGATTCGATCCTTTTTTGGAACAAGAAGGAATCAATTTCGAAACTCTCCAAACTCAATCCTCCCTACATTTGTAACCTATAAATTAAACCCAAATCAAGTTTCAATTAATCATTAAATTACATCATCCATTTTACAATTTAAATAAATCAAATACTCGATTTACACTTTTCATAAATTTATATATATATTATATTTCCATTTCCATCATCATCAATAATATAATAAATAATACAATGATTTTTAGTAAGTGTAATTGTAAAAAAAAAATCAATTAAAAGATTGATAGACTCTATGTAATATTAATATTATTATTTTTTTTTCCTTAGCTGCCCTTACCAAAATCTCCCTCTCTAGTTCATCATTCGTGTCTAATCAAACCAACTATTCCTTTGGATCCAATAATACGATTCAAGAACAATCGATGAACAAAACATCAGGCAATTCTGTTTTTGGATCTGCCAAGTCTTATAGAAGAATTTAAAATTCTAGTAGACTTCTATCTACAATCAACTTTTCCTTTTACCCCCAATTTCACATACTAACTATTATTATAATTATTATGATACAAACAAAGAAATAAAGTAATAAAGAGTTTATAGCTTAGTAATAAAAGCATACCTTATTTTAATTAACGCAAATTAAGTCTGTTTGTCGGTCAGGAGTTCACCAAAATCCCTCATATCTCCACTCGGTCTTTCTGATCTTTAAAAATATCAAAGTTATAAAGATATTTTGGTGTCTTTTACAATTGTAAGTGTGATATTGTAAGATTCGTGGCAGCTGTTTCGTTGTTGTGCCATTGAATGGAGAGGCGCAGAGTGTCTTTTGAAGAAAGTTTTCGCAAAAATCCGACACCTCTTCGTCCTGGGCAATATTAGAAGATATCCCGATTGATTTCATAGGAATTCATTCGTTCCCTAGGGCTTGTTTTAATCATCTTTTCTTTTATTTACGTAAACAATCTACATCAACTATACTACCTTGTGTAGTGACTCCTAATATTTAATATTAACTTCATCTTCAATCATCAATCACGCTCGGTCAATCATCAATCACAACTTCGGACTCGGTTAGTCGCCTCTAAAACAAACACACGCACAATTTAAAAGGACTTCCCTCCTCCCCCCCCTTACGCACTCATAGACTAAATATTTCCGTCCCTTAAACCCATCCCCTTTCCTATCACTCTCTCAACAACCTAACAACTCCTACGCTACTAGTACTACCCACACTTATTTTGAATAATAAGAGTAAAATACTATTCATTTTTCATTCAACTATTCTTCGTTATAAAAAAGATATCTATTTATCTTTCTATCAATCAATCTATTATTATTACCTTCCCAGACTTCTCTTTGTCCATCCAACCCAACACAAAATCATAAAGGTTGTTTTTTTAAAAAAAGTGCGTTTCTTGCTCTCAATCAACAACACCCACAAATATCAATCGAAAAACAACATCATCATCAATTTAAGAGAAAGAGAAAGACAAGAGATAATAATAATAATATAAAGTGTAGTCATATTACAGCTATCAACACCAATACTCGATTGTTGTTGTAAAAAGGACAAGACACAAAATTAATCGATATTATCTACAACTACGTCACCAACAAACAAACCATCATCGTCATCATCATTACAAGCAATTAGCAACAACTACTACAACTACTTCATCACTACTACTACTACTACTACTACTACTACTACTATTCCTATCATCATATCGATACTATACAGATCATGGATGATTCAGGTTTAATCAACTTTGAAAACTACCTCAATAATGGTAGTCTTGAGTCGAATCTTATCAATGTAAAGATTGAGAACCCACCCTCTCCACCTACGGGTGTGGGTATGGCACAGGCATTTGAGGATCTGACCGGTGCCCCAGTAGCCACGACACTCAAGGCGTTGCAGCTACCTGAACTGCACAACAGTGCCACCGAGTCGTTGCAACAGCTCATCTCGCAAGGCACTCAGTTCCCAAGCTCGCTCTACTCCTTTTACAACAACCCGACGGGGCCGATGGACAACACAGGCATGTGTGTCGAGATGCCATCTACCTCATCGTCGGTCGGTGTGCAACCATCGAATCTCATCAACACGGTGCACCATCAACTCATCTCTCACCACATTCATCAAAATGGTGGACTCAATAACCTTATGAATAATAATAACAATAATAATAATAATCATCTCATTTCACCAACCAATACATCTACTACGTCTACAATGTCACCTTCATCAGGTCATTCGACACCATCTCCCATCCATACCACGCCATTGTTTAATAGTTCGAATATCAATATTGGAGGTGGTCCTGGTACTGGTACTGGCGTTGGTGCCAACAATATATACCAAGGTGTTCAACACCAACCAATGATCCAACAACAAATCAAACAACAATTGCAACAGTTGCAACAACAACAATTACAACAACTCAACAACAGTATCATCAACCTTCAAAATAGTCTACAACAACAACAACAATTACAACAGCAACAACAACAACAACAACAACAAAATCAACATCAAAACCATCAACAACTTTATAATAATACGAATACCTCCAACAACAACATGTTAAATACTAATAATAATAATACCTCAACTACGAATAATAATAATAATTTACTAAATATAAATAGAACGCCAAATATAAATAACAATATTAATAATAATAATACATCAACTACATCTACGATTACGAATAATAATAATGGTAGTATATATTCACCCAATGGTACGATAAATACATCTTTGTTAAGTCCGATGCAAACCAATACTTCTTCACCTAGTCTATTTCAAGAATTGGTGTCTGATGATATTACGTCGACCTATCTCATCAACAATCCAATTATTCGTGCTACACCTGGATCCAGCATGAACCAGGTAACTGCCAACAGTCCATCTATCATCCTTCCACAGTCTCAGACTGTCCTTCTCATTGGCGAAGTAGACGTAATCGTCGAACAACAACCTCCCTCTGACGTACGTACTCGTACTCCAAACGATCGTCGAACATTTAACTGCGCCATCAGAGTCGTAGGAGACTATGCCAAAAATAATGTCAGTGCTGTATTGGCTCAACTAGCCTATGCCAATTCAACTACTGAACGTCCAGTATGTAAAACAAAAAATATAAAGAAATAGAAAAGAAATGAAATGAATTGAAATATTGATATTAACCATTGATTCATTTTAGTCACAAGATATTTTAGGAGGCAATAAAATAGTACCAGTAGGAAAAGATGGAAAGGTTGTATTTGATAGTTTATCAATGACAGAAGCATCAACCAAACATCAAGAGAATGAGTTTTGTTTAGAGTATGTTTTATTGACCGATGACAACAAACGATTCATTTTACCAAATGGAAGTCCATTTTTAAAGAGATCAAGAGCATTCTATGCCTACTCTAATCAAAAGGTATTGTCACGTCGTCGTAATGTCACCCTACGTACTCTTAGCAATAATCGTGGATCGACACAGGGAGGTGACCAAATGCATGTTGTCGGATCACCCTTTATTCGATGCAATTCTCTACGTTGTATATTCCATACGCCACATGGCGACATTCCAGCCAACAACATTGAATTATTCAGCGAGTCTGTTTTATTCTTTACACTTCCTCCTTATCCTGCACCTGCCAACTTTTGTCCACCCGATGGAACTGAATTACCAGTTCAAGTAGTCATCACCAACGATGGTAGAAACTACAGTAACCCACTTCCATTTACCTATATATTTGAAGCAACTGGTACAAAGAGATTAAGATCAAGATTCTAAAACAAAACAAAAACAAAATACAAAACAAAACAAAAAATAATCTCAAACATCCAAATCACATTAACTAAAATAATAATAATAATAATAATAATAACAATAATAATCTAACCCTCTCTCTCTCCTTTATCCCCCTTTTAATTTAATACTTATTTATTTTTTGGAATTAAATAAATATCCAAATTTTAAATCCCCTATATCCATCCTATCCATCCATCCATCAATCTCCTAATATTAATGTATATAATTATATATATATATATATATATATATATATCTGTGTTTCAATGATTAATATTAATCGAAATATTGAATTTCAAACATTTTAATTTAACTTTTTTGGGAGTGATGATTCATGAAGTAAAAAGAGTGTCTTCATGCATGATTCATTCTCTTTTTTAAAAGAGTCTATTAAATCTTTATTGATATTATATAGTTTATTAGTAATGAGTAATACTAATCACCCAAGTAATAATGGGGGAGAGTATAGTAGTAGTAATAGTAGTAGTATGACTCAACATAAAAGGCAAAATTCATATGGATATAGATCACCTGTCAATTCAACACTAGACAACAACAATAACAACAAGAACAAAGAATCATCTATAAAGAGATCACCATCAGAGATACTATTTCAACAACATAATGATGAACCTTTTGTATTTGCACAATCATTGACATCAGTATGCTTGGATCCCATGGCACCACTACAAAACGAATGGGCTCCTAGTGATCTAGTCATCCCTCCTCTATCTACTTCAATGCCAAATATAAGTGCTCAATCATTTCAATCTTATCTAACTAAAATTGCTGCTGTAAATTTATCAACAACTATACAACAAAAGACAATATAATATAATATATTCACATTGTTTATTAATCAATCAATCATTCAATTTCTACCTAGGTATATAAAATATTTCATGAAAATCAAAGTAAAGATTTATTACCATCAAACAAGAAAACACCAGAGGAGATTATAAGTTTGGAGAATATACCAGAATTCTTTTTCAAACCAAACTTGTCGAAAAGTCAGATACTAGAGTATGCCGACAGTGATCCATCACCAATCCTCTTTCAAAAACTAGAACATTATTCTTCCATCATCGAAGAGAATATAGTTGGTCATGTTCGAGACAAGTTTCTAGACTTTTTCAATGCAATGCATGAATTGAAACAATTTAGAAGTGAATTAAAGACTCTTTATGTTGAATTAAAAAGTGCAAGGTAAATAGAAAGAACAACATATGTTTTATTCATTTAATTTAACCCTTATTTATTTTATCTTTTAGAGATATATTAAACAAAGTAGATAATGAAGTTGTAAAAAGTAGTTTAAATATTTCAAGACTTTATTTACAAAAGAATAGAACATTGGATACACTAAACAAGTTGACATTGGTATCTGATGTAAAACAAGCTCAACCAACTCTACAATTATTACTTTCAAAGGGTGATTATGGAGGTGCATTGGACCTCATTCAATCGACACAAGAGGTTCTGTCTGGAAATTTGACCCCTATATCATCATTGAGAAATCTTTCACCTCAACTCGCTGAAATGGTTAAATTGATTGATAAGATGATGGAAAATGATTTTAATAGATTGGTATTAAATGATGACATTATTTTCAATGTCGGACAGCAACAACAACAAGATAATACCTCCCAATCACAAGATAATGTAGAAGAACAATTTAGAAATAATGTACATCAATCATTACTACCAATTGTAATGAATGTCCTTAGAAATGGTAGAGTTCATGAATGTTTGGAATCATTCCGTGTGGCTGCTATCGATTCAGTATCACAACTTTATCAAGTTGCAGTAGAGGATGGTCTACACAAACTAGAGAATCAAAAGAATCCTTCATCATCTGACAATGCGCGCGCTCATCACGCCTATAATTGGGGAGAATGTAATATTAAACTTTTAAAATTGTCACCTGTCGAATACACCCATCTCTTTACCCATGTACACAAAATATTTAAAAGGAAATTGACATTGATTAGAATCATCTTGGATCTAATTATTCAAGAAGGTATTAAAATTCAAGAAATTAATAGTAGTCCTCCTCCTCAAACTCAACAACATGTCGCCTCTCCCAAACAAACCTCACCTTCTACTTCCTCAACTTCACCTTCATCTCAAAGAAATCAATTAGATAATATTAAATTGATTTGTATAGAGATTTTAAATAATATTAATGAAGCTACACAGGATAGATTTGGTGCTCTTATTAAAACAAGATTGGAAATCAATTCAAAACTGCCACTTACCGAGTTTGTCCAACTCAACCAAGAGATTACAGGGTTTATTCAATTCTTGGAGGGTCTATTACAAAACAAAAAGAAAGCGACTAGTTTGCGATCAATGCAATTGACTCAACTCAAATTGTTCTTGGACGCATTCCACAAACATAAAATTTCACACATCACCCTCATTCTTGAAAATGAAGAGTGGATTCCAGTCATCGTTGCCTCGGAATTTCAAAATATCATAGACAACATTGTAAATTTATCTTTAGAACCTTCTGATTCTCCCCCTTCTTCAACTCCTCCACTTTCCTCCACTACTGATAATAATAATCAAAATAATAATAATAATAGTAATAATAATGATAATCAACAAGAAACAACTATTAGAGAAGATATTAGTTTAAGTGGAGAAAAATTCAAGATTGGTAATACTACATTGATGCTTTTAAAATTTATTGATGATTATTTAAATTGTATTGAAAAAATACCAATGTTGGCTGTAGACTCTATACCTAAAATTGCAGAATTGTTAAATACATTTAATGGAATAACTTATCAGTTGGTACTTGGAGCTGGAGCAAGACAGATTATGAGAACCAAGACCATTACATCAAAACATCTTGGTCTAACTTCACAATGTCTTAGTTTTCTAGTTAAACTTATTCCATACCTAAAGACCTATCTTCAAAGATTCCTTCCCTCTAAAAATCAATATGCCCTACTCAATAATTTCGATAAACTTACTCAAGACTATACATCACATCGTAGTGAAATATTTAGTAAATTTATTGATATTGTAAAAGAAAGATCAATTAATCATTTAAAAGCCTTAAGTGTAAGTAAAAGTAAAAGTAAAATAATGTATAAATATTTGATTTAAAAGTATTTATACCTCCATCTATTTTCCATCTTTTTAGGCATTAGATTTAAAAGATGATAATATGCCAATTCCATCACCACCATTTTCATCACTGATCAAAGATATTTCAACGCTTCACAAGGTATTGATGACATTATTGCCACCTGATCATATATTCAAGGTGTTTACCAATATCTATTACATGATAAACAATCTATTGATTGAATGTTTTCCAAAGTTGGAGAATATTTCATCAAAGGCTGCCAAGAGAAGAATCCATAATGATGTTCTTCACCTGATGGCATCACTTAGAAAACTACAATATGCTGGTGACCCAGGAAATGTAATTGAAGATTATATTCAAACTCATATGCCAATTTAAGCAAACGGAATAAATAATATAAAAGTAATAATAGATAGAAGAGCAAAATCTTTATCTTTCTTTTTATTCTTTTTTTTGTTATTTTAAAAATTATGATTTGATACATTACTATAACTATCATTTAATGAATGTAAATGTTCAATAATCATTTCATTTGATGTTGGATCTTCATCAGTTCTATAAACTTGAACATTTCTAGACTTTGTCAATTCTTTGAATTGTTGACATAATGGTTTGAGGTAGCTCGCAATCAATGGGCCATTTTGAATATGTGATAAAATAGATTGAGGTGGTTCATCATATTTAGCAGCTACTTGCCCATCAATTTCCATTGCAGTAGAGTTTTGTGATTTCTGTTTTGTGATATTGTAAGCAGGGAATCTTAAACTATCAACAATAAATGGTTGTGAAATATTACAAATGGCCGTAGTTTGTGGTGAATAGATTGAATTCTTTTTAGAAAATTCAATATAACCTTCAATTATTTTCTTTACACTATCATAAGATTGTTGACTTTCAATTGTATTTGATTCTTCATCAATTGGATCACCTCTAATTGATATAATCTCTGAAAATGATGATTTTTGAACCTAAACAAAAAAGAAAAAGAAAAAGAATTAATATTAATATTAATATTAATATATATTGTTGGTGAACTCTTTTTTTTCACTTACATTTGAAATAAAAGGAGTTAAATAATGTAAAGCAGGATTTGAAAATAATGGAGTTGAAGGATAAGTATATGGACTATTATTATAATTATTGGCATTTGATCGTTTAATGCCAAGTTTAGCAATCGAACTGGGAAAGGTGGTTGAAAGTGTACAAAGATTTAATGATTGAACCGATAGTGAACGACAAAATTCACCCAAAGAATAAGGATAATTTGATCTATAATAAAGTGTAGCTGTATCAATTGCAGAAGCAATAATTGATGATGTTTGATAATTATTATTCATCTAAAAAAAAAAAGAAAATTAATAAAAGTATATAGTTGGAACCAATAATAATAATATATAAATATATAAATATATGATATTTGATTTGAAAAAAATATGTATTTACATTTAAAGTATTAAAATTTGATTGATTAATAGTATCCCAATGCTGAGAGGAAATTGGAATATAGATTGATGAAAATTGTGATATAGATGATACAGCCTTTGTAGTATTGAATAATCTTTCTTCAATGACTGATTGATTATTTGAATGAACCAATGGTGAATAGGGGGTCGATCCAAATGTGATGACTGGTCTTGACCCATATTCATCAGAGAGATGTGATAGGATGGAGGTTGTCATACCTCCCCACAAACCATCAACATCTGCAAATGCCTGGAATCCTTGTAGTTGATCACACTCTTCAATCATTCGTCTAAGATTATCTTGATATCTTTCTGTCAATGCTGTCGTGTCGCCAAGTATCTCTATACCATCGTCAAACAATGATCCACTACTAGATAGTGTCGATGGCAAACTATTACTATTGACATCGATCACTGACAGACCATTTAAATCTGTGTGCATATAATCTGACCAATACTCAAACGTACTACTGCGATAATCCACCGTCTCATCCTTTCTATTCATTGGATTGCCAACAGGCTGTGAGATAAAACTAGCCATTCCATCACCACCACTGCGATCTTGTTGTTGTTGGATCATCTTGTTGTAACTATTCAAATGATTTGTCAATAACTTTCCTTCCTTACTCATCGATCCCAAATTCGATGTGTAATCAAACAACAATACACGTGGTGTATATTTAGCATCATTCTCTGATTCATTCGATCGATACAATATATTTGGATTAATCTCAAACTCTTGATTATTTTTTAAAGAGTATTGATAGTTTTCATTCTAATCAAATAGAATCTTATTAGTTTAATGTATAAGTATAAGTATAATACATATATACATACTTGAATATTCCAATAATGTGAAGCAATGAAATTAGAGTAATTTCCAATTTGCAGTGTTATTATTTGTTTATTCCCTGACATCTATCTATCTATCTTATTCTTTATCTATCTATATATCTATCTAATATATATATACACCAAACAAAAGAAAAGATAACAATGAAGTTAGTCGATGTTATTTTATCTTTCATTATTCTTGTTTTTCAAACTTTAATTTTAATTTGTCCAATACCGAACGACCAAGGATAAGACAGAGGAATGCTTACTTTTAAAATAGTTCAATAATCTCTCTTCTTCTTACTTGGGTATCTGTTAACAGAATATTATACCCATACTATAGATCAAATATTATAGATATATTCGTGTGTTGGTAGATGGAAGTTGAGAAGGACAAGGAAGATGATACCGATTACTCATCAGGTGACCTTTTCTTAAACAAGACCTACGTACAAAAGACATTAGAATGTAGTGGATGTACAATCAATGTAAAGATGCTTGATACAGCTTCAACTGACTATGGTAAGATACTGTTAGAGAGAGTCTCTGTATTACATTCTATCTATACATAAACTAACCTATATCGTCTATTCTCTCTCTCTCTTTCAAATTTGTAGATTTAACAGGTCAGATTATATGGCCAGCAGCCAAATTATTAACACAATACATTGTATCAAAGAGAGAAGAGTATCAGAATGGATCGATTCTAGAGGTTGGATCGGGTGTTGGTATATGTGGATTGTTTGTGGCACGAGTCAACCCTAATAGTGTGGTGAGTGACAACAATGATATTGTAATGGAGTTGTTGGAAGAGAATGCTCAACTATCACGTACCGATGGATACCCATGTCAAGCTGTTAAATTGGAATGGGGTGATATGGCAAATATCGAATCGGTCAAGAAACAATACGGTACATTTGACACTATATTGGGTGCCGATGTAGTCTATTGGCGTACAAGTATCATCCCTCTCTTTTTAACCATTCAACAATTACTCACCGATTCTTCATCGGCTTCCTATATCCTATGTTATCAATCAAGATCCTCTCAAACTGACACCTACCTACTTGAACAAGCTTCATTACATGGTTTCAACTATGAATTCATTGATCATCAATCTTTTTTTAATAATAATAATAATCATACTTTAAATCTTTTAAAATCAAATGACAATGATAACAATCAAAATGGAAATGAAGGAAATAACAATAATACTAATAATCAACAAGAAGAAGAAATGGAAAAGGAAAAAGAAACAAAATCAAATTCATATTCAATCAAAGATGAATATTTATTATCAATTATGAAATTAATTGTATTTAAAAGAAAGAATGAAGATAGTGGAGATGGAGTAGGAGTAGGAGTAGTAGGAGTAGTAGTAGAATAAAACAATAATGGAGATATATTTATCTAGGTCGGATAATCAATCTCTCTCTTTTGGTTGTATTATTATCACGCACGAGTCAAATAAATAAATAAATAATTTGGTATTACTTGTATTTATTATATTAAAATAATAAGAATGGAAATGGAACCATAAAAATACAAATAATAATAGAGATGTTTTTACTCTTCTTGTTCCTCCTCTTCCTCATCTTCCATTGATTCATACATCACTTTGATTCTATCTTGAATTGATTTAAATGATGGACGATCTTTTGGATCAGTTGCACAACATTGAACTGTTATACGAGAGAATTCAGGTGGACAAGTAGAAGGAACCTTTTTCAAAAAGGCTTCTGTTTCAAATGCAAATCTCTTTTGTGGTTTTCTTTCATCTGGTACCTGTCCAGTTACCAATTCAACCAATACTACACCATATGAAAATACATCTGCTTTGAAATCATAATCAAATCCCATGAATATTTCCTACATAAACAAACAAATACAAACAAATATAAATAAACAAATATAAATATATTAATATAAATATATTGATTTGTCTCTTTCTTTGTCTTTCTCTATGTTTTTTTACTTACAGGAGCCATCCATCTATCACTACCAACAAAAGTAAGTCTTTTGTTATTTGCATCAAAGGCACGAGCTAAACCTAGATCACATAGTTTAGCTTTGGTATTGGACGATAATAGAATGTTTTGACTTTTCAAGTCACGATGTAAAATACCTCTTGCTTGAAGATACGTGCATGCCTGTGCAACATCTAAAGCAATTCCCAACTTTTTCTTCCAATTCAATGGTGTGTCTCCAAAAATCAATGCATCAAATAAATCTCCATTCTCCATAAACTCTGTAATAATGTATATCTCATTATTATGTGATGTTGCTCCCAAAAATTGTACAATATTTGGATGTCTTACTTCCCTAAAGTTATTTAAATTAATTAAATAAATAAACAAATAAAAATAAATATAAATGATTTGATACTTTGTTTGAAATTGATAGGTGGATGGATGGATGGATGGATGGATGGATGTGTACATACTTTAATATTTTCAATTCTCTTTCAATCATTTGATTTGTTTCTTCATTACATTCTAAAATTCTTTTAATGGCAACTGGTGTACCCAAGTAAGATCCAAGTGACACTTCACCATACTTTCCCTGACCGATAACATCACCAAGTTCAAGTTCACTAAAGTTGATGTGCCACATATCTTCACCTGATGAGGTGGACTGTTGAGCTGGTGGTGTTTGTGGTGGTGATGCTGGGGCTGCCTGTGCGCCTCCTCTAGATGGTTGTGGTTGGTATGTTGCAACTGGTTGTGGAGCTACTGCTGCTGCAACTGGTTGCAATGCTGGTGGTTGTGGTCTAGATACCGGTGTTGGTTGTGGTGTTGGTGTTGGAGCAGGTGCAGGTGGTCTAGATATAGGTGCTGGTTTTGGTTGTGGTGATTGTGTAGTAGCAGCTGGTTTAAATTGTACTGGTGCCACTTTACTTGCAGTTGATGATGGTGGTGAGATTCTTTGATTGGTTGGTTGAGATGGAGGTGGTGGATTAAAATCGGGAATTCCAGGTCTGCCAGTTGGTTTGGTTGAAATACTATTACTACGACTACTATTGGTTGTTGCATTGCCATTGTTGATCGGTTGTTGTTGTCCAAATTGTTTGAATTGTTGTGGTGATGGTGATGATGATGGAGATGATGATTGATCAGGATTAAAAACAAATGCTTTAGATGGAAGTGTTGAATATTTGCCACCTGGACCAGTTGTCTTTGGTGGTCCGAATCTAGTTCCAGAGTCATCCGCTGTGGAAAACAACAATAACAATCAATAACATATAATTAATTAATAACTACACATTTACATTCTATTTCTATTCCTTATTAATAATCCCTTACCTGTAGCAGATGGTTTCTGCTGTCTTTGATTCAACTCTCTAATTTTATCGCTAACACTCATTCTTTTCTTTTCTTTTCTTGTAATATAATAAATAATAAATAAATAAATAAATAGGTAAAGGTACAAAGGTGTGTTTATGGTAGGTATATATGTTATAAATAAATAAGGTTTATATTAATATACAAATAAATAATAAATAAATAAATAAATAAATAATGCTTTCTGATAATAAATAAATAAATAAATAAATAAATAGTATATCACCAAGAGAGTAGGAGAATGAATGAATGACTTGGGTCAGTTTGGTTGGTTGGGATCAAAGATTGTTGTTTATTGAATACCTTTTTTGTTTTGTTTTGCCAATTTATGATAATGATCAAAACCATCAACAAAAATATAAAAGAAAATATCTCGTAAACAATAGGGTGGGTGATGATTGATTGGGATAGAATGGTAGAATACCAATTCATTTCCGACCAAAAGATCGGGTTTGCACCGATCTCTCTTGTCGATCATGATCATCACTTCACTTCACCTTTACTTTACTCTGTCTATCATTTCTCTCTTTATCTCTCTCTTTCTATACTACATCACATGATATTCTGTTCCTGTCAATGTCTTTGCAAAAACTTTTTGCATCAACTGATGGTTCTCCTCTCAACTCTTTTTATTATCTCTTCTTTCACTTATACTTATTCATTGTTAAAATGAAATTCATCACTATAATATATTTTTATTAATAGCACTATGATCGATGATAATCAAGCTCGTGCGTCAAGTAAAAGAAATACTCACCAACCGACTTGGGGGGGTCTCACAGTGCAATTATTCCTGACATCAATTCAGTTTTGCAACACAATTTTTCGTTTTTTGGATTAAAATTTTTGATTTTCGCCACACTGAAAGCTGAGAGGTGAATGACTATAGTTTTCTTCTTAGCTGTACACCGTGATCCTACGAGGAAATTAGACATGTTCGAAAAAAAGGTACTATCTATAGAGAACATCATTCAACGAAGAGGAACAGCAACAGGCTTAGTATCATGTGTACCTCCTCCCATATATGATCCAGAAGACATCATCATCAAAGATAAACAAACGTGTATCCTAACTCTCTCTCTTTATCCACCCTACCCCTACATTATACATACATCATCTACTTTACTTAGACTATTGTTGTTGACGCTAATGGACACCTTTTGGGTCGTCTTGCCGCTAAGGTTGCCAAGGAACTCTTGAGCGGACAAAAGGTCACTGTTGTCCGTTGTGAAGGTATCCTCATCTCTGGTCCAAGTATGTATCACTTTTTAGTAGTTAAAATCACAATCTCAACATTATCTAACAACAAACTTTATCATCTCTAAATGATTATTATTACAACTACTTCATTTTGACAACTATTATCAATTACTATTATTATTATTATTATTATTCTCACAGTGAGACGTAACTTGTTAAAGTGGGACGCTTTCATGAACTTGACCATGAACACCAACCATGCCCGTGGTCCACGTCATTACCGTACTCCATCTATGATGTTCTGGCGTACCGTCCGTGGTATGTTGCCACACAAGACCTTCCGTGGTGCTCTTGCTCTCCGTAGATTCAAGGTCTTCGAAGGTATCCCAGCCCCATACAACACCCAAAAGAAGATGTGCGTCCCATCCGCTCTCAAGTCTCTCACCCTCAACCCAATCAGAAAGGTCACTGTTCTCGGTGAACTCGCCTCCAAGGCCGGTTGGAAGCACAAGGACGTCGTCCAAAGACTCGAAGCCCAACGTAAGGAGAACGATGTTGCCTACCACCGTAAGCAAGCCCTCCTCAGATACTACAAGAGACAAGCTGCCAAGAAGGTCGGTACTGCTTAAGCGCCTTTTTTGTAGTCTTTTGAAAATAAATTTAAAACTCCTCTTAATATAAAAAATATCAAGACACACCCATACATATACAATCACTCAATCTATTTATATATCAAATTGATCAATCAATCGAATGCGTCCAATCAAATAATATAATTATATACCCATTTCCAGTCGGATAATGATATCTATAGACCGATTTCTTGGAAACCATATGATAGGTGGGTATGACCGAGGTCGTGTGAACGGACGACGATCATTCATTTCATTCGTTTTTAAATATTTGTTTGTTTCATTTATTTGTTTGTTTCTCTATTTGTATATATATATTTAACAAGAAGAAGAAGAAAGGAGAAAGAGAGAAAGGAGGAGATAGATGAGAGAGAGATAGGATAAATGAAGAGATTCTAATAGATAGATGAATAATAGTAGTTCATTTAATAATGAAGGAAATGAATTTAGATTTGATGGACATTTATACAAGTTTGATGAATACAGTATAAGAAATATTTATGGTATCAAGACAAAGAAACAAAGAGAGGTAGAGGACAGTGATCAGAGTAGATTCAAGTCGCTGAGGAATGGTCAGTGTTATGTTAAACTACTAACACATCATCTAGAGTCGGTCGTACGAGTTGAACGTATGGGATTGTTGGATAGGTGTCGTCGATACTATATCTATGACAATGTAGAGGTTGTATGGGCCGAGATGATGGGCAAGGTCGTATCGATTGCTCAAAAGTATCGACCTCTACTTCCATACACCGAATCCAATGTCTTTATTCGATTCCATATCGACGATGGTACAAGCGATCAAGAGATGGAGATCTTTTATGCTCATGTCCCTTCGAAACCGTTGCATTTGAAACTAGGCCAATTCATTCGTGTTTGGGGTCACATTGAACTTCGAAAAGGTACCAACAACACAAGTAGTGCAGCAGGTTCTAATTCTATTCCAATTCAATTTAATGCTCTTAAAATTTGTATGTCAAACAGAGAATATTTTAAATCAACCATCATATTCCTAATTACATCTTAATTACTTTATATTATTTATACAACTTTACTAGTGATACCAGATCAAAGTGATGAGCAAACTAAAGTATTACCATTATATTTGTGGTTACAGTGTCGATACCTACACGAATCGCTTTATAAACCATGTTCGAGATACATTGCAAAGAGAAAAGAGGTAGAGTTGCAACAAAAGGAACAACTAGAACAAGAACGGAAAAAGAGAATACGTTTCACCAACTTGTTAAATGACAATGTCGATCAACAAGATTATCAACAAGATCAACTTGAAGATTCACAGGAGGAGGAGGATGTGGATAAAGAAGATGAGGAAGATGTGGATGAGGAGGAGGAGGAAGAAGATGAAACTAAACAGCAGAAAGACGAAAAAGAGGTTGAGGATGATGACGATAATGAAGAATACCGACATTACAACAAAAAACAACCAACCACAACATCATCATCATCAACATCAATATCATCAACAACCAACAACAACAACAACAACAGATACTTTGGTATATAGTAACAAGTGTCATCGAGCTAGATTAGAGAAAGCCTAAGAATTATAAGAAAAACCAAACAACTTTGCAGACAGAGCAGATCAGAGCAAGAAGAAGATTGATTGGATAGTTAGAGTTCGTCCCTCTAGGATGAAAATAATAAGGGTAGAGTCCCCCATAATAGGCAACATTGGATACTTCCAATTCAGCATTTTACAACACCTCCCCCATCATCAACAACATCTGGCTAGTTAAAAAGAGGGAGGATCATTAAAACAACACACGTAGTAAGGATAAGATGTGAACCAACAAAACAACAAATCTATCTAGGTCAAAAACTTCAAAATCTAGTGATACCAATCACAACCCACACTTTTCTGATCAGACAAAAAAAAATCACAAATCCCTTCCTTCCTCCTCCTCCCTACTTTTTTGTGATCAATCTATCGTCACAAGTCAGACCGGCAGCCAAAGAGTCAGTCCTCTAAAACGCCTCTTGTTCATCCACCCCCCTACCCACGAATGCTTACTCCTTCCTTCCTACCAACCAAGCAAGCATTCATTCATTAAACGATGATTGATTGTCATCTTCATTTTCTATTTATAAATATATGTATTGTATATATATATATATTTCTAAAAAAAAACTATAAACATTTATTTATTTATTTGTCCAAATCTATCTATCTATCTGACCAACAACTGCTAGTTCTCTCTAAAATATTAATCGTAAGAATCGTAATAATAACAATAATAATAATAATCATAATAAATTACAGATAGATCTATCGTCCATCCATCCATTCGTCCACCCATCATTCGTTAGTTTCTTCATCGATTGTTAAGGGGTTAACCCTACTAACCCCAATACTCACTCACTACTACCACTAAAAAACAAGTGATCACTTCACACTTCACACACACACATAACCAAGATCACTATTATCGTCTCTTTCTTTATATATATATATTCAACACACACAAACGATTCAATATATATATCCAAAAACACATTGTTTTTTTTATAATCAAATTAATGGGTAAAGGAAAAGGTGATTGATACAACCTGTAAATGCATGTCCATATGGATGGATACATGCACACGACAAGGCTGGCTTTTAATTATTATTAGTTTTAAAAAAATATTTTTTGTTTTATTTATTATAAATCAACATCACATTCTCAACAAACAATCCAATCCAACCACTGTTTAAATACAATTGTATAATATACATACTGTACATTGGAAAACAATAATTGATTGTGTATCTAATACAAGAAAATAGATTGTATTTACACACATCTGTTCAACTTGGGTTATTATTATTATTGTTGTAAGTGCAACATCATCAACAACATCATCAATATTACTACCACCAATCATACATGTTCTATTCTATTTTTTTGATCATCAAATCATAATATATATTCTGACCTGGACAAAATCTCTTGGATCGTCGTCCTCCTCATCCAAATCACTTCTGTCTTTTGTATCAAAAAAAAAAAAATCCACAAATTTCCAAAATGGAACATCCTTTTAATCTCAACTACTACTTCCAATTATATAACCTTTAATCATCATCAATCAATCAAACAATCAAACAATCAATTGATTGATAAATCATATTGGCTTGTAGACGGTCAACTATCAGCTCGTTTTGTCAGCACATGCAAACCTGACTGGTCAGCCAGCCAGCCAACCAGCCAACCCACCACTTTTGTGTGTGTGTTTTTTGAATCTTGGATTATCCTCTTCCTCTTCTTCCAACATCTATCTCTTTCGCTACTTACACTTCCAACCCAAACCCTGTAATATTATTAATAATAATAATAATATTTACAATCGTAGAAGCACTTGTTTTGGTTTATTTTTGTTTGTTCCTTTTGATCCATCATTCCAACTTGAAGTACCAACCAACTACATACCATACTTACATCATCATTATCATCACATTATATTAAATTATTTTTGTGTATTTTATAAAAGTTAGTAGTAGTAGTGGTAGAAGTAAATTGCTAATCACAATTAGGAGAGGGTTGTTGGACACGCATCACGTTAATATATATTTATATTTTTTTGATGTTCCTCCCCAATCAATTTTAATTATTTCAATCTCTATTTATTTGTTGTTATTTATCTATCTGTCTTTTTTTTTTTTTTAATTCAATAATTAATTAACATATTATCCATCCATCCAATTTACTAAATTTATTTCTAGAAAGAGAAACAAAGAAAGAAAGAAAGAGATAGAAAGAGAGAGATCTAAAAATATAAATTAAATATATAGATATAGATTGTATGAATTAAAAAGGCATACAATTAAATTAAAAGAATGTCAATATTTAGACGTTCCAAACCTAAACCAGAAGTAAGTAAAAAATTATAATTATAAATATTTCTTTCCTTCCACCTTTTTTTTTTTTTTTTTTTTTTGATCACATATTAACTATTATTCCTGTTTTTCTTTTTTATTTTCTATTAGAATGGAGTAAATAATTGTTATAGTATATTTTTAAATGATCCAAAGATGACATTTACACAAGGAAGGAAATACCCAAGCAATTATATTCGAACTACAAAGTATACATTGCTCACATTTATTCCAAAGAATTTATTTGAACAATTTAGAAGAATGTCAAACTTTTATTTTCTTTGTGTGCTTGTGGTTCAATGTATTCCACAAATCTCCCCACTTATTCCTCTGACCAGTATTCTCCCACTTTCATTTGTATTGTTAATTACTGCTATTAAAGAAGCTCTTGAAGATTATGTATGTTTAAACATTCAGAAAAAAAAACAAATCAAAACAACTAAAAAATCAAACCCATCAAACATTTGTTAATCATTATTGTTTTTTTTCTTTCTATTTCTATTTATTTATTTAGGGACGATATCAATCAGATCAAAAGAATAATAGAGAGGTTTATAATATTGTTAAAAATGGACAATTGTTACCAATTTATAGTAAGGATCTAAGAGTTGGAGATATTGTAAAGATTTCAAATACTCAGAGATTCCCTGCCGATATGGTCTTGTTGGCATCAACCAATGAAGAAGGTTTATGTTATGTTGAAACTTCAAATTTAGATGGGTATGTCAAATCAAAATTAATAATAATATTAATTAGTATTTTTAATTAACTCTATCCTTTTTTTAGTGAAACCAATTTAAAGGTTAGAAAATCATTATCGGAAACCAATGGATACCAAACTTTGGAGGAAATATCAACTCTTAGAGGAAGTGTAGTTTATGAAACACCAAATGAAAGATTATATCGTTTCAATGGTAGATTTGTACAACAAGGCCAAGAAACTTCAATTGTCTCTTTAAATCATACAATGTTTTTACAAAGAGTAAATATTAACACAAACAAATATGGATATTGGTATAATTTATATTAACTTTTGATTTTGTTTGATTTGATTTTATAGGGATCACAATTACGTAATACAAAGAGTGTATTTGCAGTTTGTGTTTATACAGGAGTTGATACAAAATTATATTTAAATCAACAACCTCCACCATCGAAATTCTCAACGGTGGAACGTTTGTTGAATCGATTGATTCTCTATGTATTTGTATTCTTGTTGACACTGTGTTTGTTGTGTTCGGTAGCATCGGCCTATTACGAGGAGTACAGTGCACGATACATGGAGTATCTTGGCAAGACACCATACTCGTTGGCCGTGTATGGCGTGCGTAACTTCTTTACCTACTTTATTTTGTTTAACACGATGATCCCTATTTCGCTGTGGGTCACGCTGGAGATGGTCAAGGTCGGACAGGCCCGGTTCATGCAATGGGACGAGCAGATGCTGTCGACGTATGCCCGCACTGATCTCGCCGAGCAGGGTGCCAAGGCCAAGACCTCCAACCTCAACGAGGATCTCGGGCGCATCCAGCACATCTTTTCCGACAAGACTGGCACACTCACCGAGAATGATATGCGGTTCTGCAAGTGTTCGGTTGGATTGGACGTGTTTGATGAACGTGAGAATACGGGTGGGTTGGCCACCTCTTTGGCTGCACAGGCGTCTGTGCGTAGCTCGCGTATCCAGTCGTTCTTACGTGTACTCTCATTATGCCATACTGTCGTGTCCGAGTTGGAAGAAGCGACTGGAAACATCACCTATCAGTCACAGTCACCTGACGAGTTGGCACTTGTCCAGACCGCACGAAACAATGGATACTTTTTCGTGAATCGAAAGAGTGATGAGATCATTGTACGCGAGAATGGCGTGGATACTGCGTATGCGTTGTTGGCTATCCTCGAGTTCTCGTCGGCCCGTCGTCGTATGTCGGTCATTGTGCGCACACCCGAGGGTGGGATCAAACTCCTCTGCAAGGGTGCCGATATGGCCATTTCCTGCCGGTTGACATCCCGCGACCGCCACTCGTACCACGAAGAGACACTCAACTACCTCAAGATCTTCTCAAGAGAGGGTCTGCGTACTCTGATGCTCGCCGAGCGCGACCTCACCCAAGACGAGTTTGACGAGTGGAAGCACTCGTTCCTGCAGGCCACCACGTCGCTCGACAACCGTGAGGAGCGCGTCGAAGCAGTCTGCGAGCTCATTGAAAAGGACATGGTGCTCGTCGGCACGACCGCCATCGAGGACCGACTCCAATGCCACGTCCCCGAGACCATCAGCTACCTCTTGGAAGCCGGCATGCACATTTGGGTGCTCACAGGCGACAAGCAAGAGACAGCCGTCAACATTGGCTACTCGTGCCGTCTCTTTGACCCGGCCATGGAGCTCATCTTTGTCAACACCGAGACAAGCGAGGAGTGCGGCCAGATCCTCGACAGATACATTGCGCTGCTGCCCCCAGAGATTGAGGAGCGTACTGGTTTGCTCGGGTTCATTGGCGGTAGTTCCAGCTCAAACAACAACAAGTCGGCCGCACCGTCGAACCTCCCGGGCGCACTCAACGACCAGGTCATCGCGCCACAACTCCAACTCGAGTATGGTCTCGTCATTGATGGAAACACCCTGGCCTTTGCACTGGCCGATCACAAGGACAAGTTCTTGCGGTTGGGACGTGCCTGCAAGTCGGTCATCTGCTGTCGTGTGACTCCACTCCAAAAGGCGTTGGTTGTGCGTGTCGTCAAGGAGAGTGAGAAAAAGATATCGCTGGCTATTGGCGACGGTGCCAATGACGTGTCGATGATTCAAGAGGCACATGTCGGTATTGGTATCTATGGCAAAGAAGGAACACAGGCTGCACGTGCATCGGATTATTCGATACACCAATTCTCACATCTCAAACGACTACTCTGCGTACACGGTCGTTTCTCGTATATTCGTGTTGCTGGACTCATCCAATACTCGTTCTACAAAAACATGAGTTTCACCTTTTGCTTGCTATGGTTCTCTTTTAGCTCGTTGTTTACAGGTCAGACCATCTTTGATTCTTGGATTATTACATTCTACAATATCCTCTTTACCTCTCTACCACCTTTCTTTTACGGTCTATTTGAACGTGATATTGATGAGGAGTCCATTATGGAGAATCCCCAAATCTACCGTCGTCTCCAATCGTCCCCTCTCTTGACACGTCGATCATTCTTCCTTTGGATCATTGCCGGTATCTGGCATTCTTTGGTTGTCTACTTTTCCGTCCGTTTCCTCTTTGACAATGATATTGTCAATAGCAACGGACTCACTGCTGGCATCTGGTCCTACGGTACACTCATCTCCACCTCGTCCATTCTCATAGCCAACCTACGTATGGCACTCGAGGTTAGAACTTGGAATATTTTCACTGGTATCGGACTTGCCATCTCCCTCTTATCCTATTTTGTAATGTTAATGTTTTATGCCTACTTTTTACCTCTTAGTCCAAATATGTATGATATATTTAGTATGTATCAAACAAAAATCAAAATAATAATCAAAAAGATCAAACAATTATTAATTAATTTATTTTCTTAGGTTTTGAATTAAAGACTATAACATTCCACCTTGTAATTATTATTTCTGTATTTATTGCATTGGTACCAGATTTTGTTATTAAATAGTATGTGTATTTTTTTAAACAAATAATAATAATAATAATCTTCCCATACACAATATATTTATTTATTAATTTTCATCATTCAATTTAGTTATAAATGGCAATATCATCCATTGGATGTCCAAATCCTTACGGAAAGAAGAGGAATTAAACAAGATATTCAATTAACAGAATTATCTAGTAAGAGGGCTCAAGCCTAATCCATTTAAATGAAATATATTATTATTCATATTATTTTACCCATATTACAACGTATCGTTTATATATATGGATGGTATCACCGCAACAACAACAACAACAACAACAACAACACCAACACAACACTCGATCAAGAAGGAAAAAGGTTGTTTGGAATTAAATTAAATTAAAATTTACAAATAAATAAAATGTATTAATACAAATAATAATAACATAACAATCCATCCATGGATTAAGAGGAGGGGGTGAAAATTTAAATAAATATCTGATCATTAAGATCTTAAAGAGACAGATTTTACCTCGCTCCTCTTTATTTACTTATTCCCCATATGGTAATATTGATTGTGATTAATCGGTGATCCGAACCAAATTTGTCTGATATATATATATATTTTGATTGATAGCATTACGTATGTACGTACGTACGACGAGACAATCGTAATTCTTATTGTCGGATGAGGGAACAAGACTTTATGAATGATGATTGATACAATCTATTCTTTGAAAAAATTAAATTCAATCTATTCATTCAACAATATTTATTATTTATTAATTCATTCATTCATTCATCATTCCTACTCTCAACAACAAATTAATATCAATGTGCATTATTCAAACTGCTCACTATTGATAGTAGTAGTAGTAGTAGTAGTAGTAGTAGTAGTAGTAGTAGTAGTAGTAGTAGTGTGAGCGTGATTGTTGATAAAAGAGGGTTGATGGAGTGATCTTTAGATCCGACACTAATTAGGGATGTTGGATCTACCAATCAATCAACCAAACAACACACACACACACACACTTTTTCACATACCATGTCGGGGTGGCATGACGGCGATACTGGTGTTGGATCATCCATAACATCTGTGTTTAAAAAAAAAAATTAAACAGAGAGAGAGATATCAGTGTTTGTGATTTACTATTGTATTGTTCTTCTTCTCTCTCTTCTCCTCATCCATCCGTCCTCCTCTTTTTTTTTTTTAATAACATTGTATTGTCTGATCAGACACACATCAACAACAACAACAACACAAATTAGTAGCAGTAGAGAGTAGTGTAGAGTAGAGTAAAAATATATACCAAAAACATACCTTAACTACCATCATCATCACTACCTACTATCATCAGTAGCACAGGCATCATAATATTATATTCCTCAATCTATAAAACAAAAAAGACAATATTTAATTTTTTTTTTCCTAAAAAAGAGAAGAAGAAGAACAATAACATCAACAACAACAACAGAAGCTCTGCAGAGGAATAAAGCAATAAGAATAAAAATCATATAACACCATCAACATCAACATCATATTAGACAATATCGTTGTCCATCATACATTCTTTCCTCTTTTTGTTGGAAGCAGTCAGTTTTTGTTGTTGTCTACAAACCACCTGGAAACAACAAAAAAGCTAAAACTATAAAAAGTTGTAAATGATTCTATTTTTCCTTCTTTTTGTCATATCTATCATTATATGTTATTATGTAAATATCTACTAAAACCAAAAGAAAGAGAAAGAAAGAGAAAGAGAGACTAGATTCTAGGACAATCATGAATATCAAAAGTTAGCAAGATAATGAATGGTATTAATTGTTTTTTTATCTTTTTGTTTGTAGGTAAAATTGACTAAAAATAGACCAATATGTACACCACCTGGACCAATACCATTTCCAGTGATAGGGAACCTTCATTTATTATCAAAGGGTGAACCACATATTGGATTGTTTCAACTATATCTGCAATATGGAAAAATTTATCAATTCTGGTTTGGCACTGTAAATACTATTGTTTTAAACGAACCAGATGTTATCAAAGAGGCATTTGTTCAACAAAGTGCAATTTTTACAGATCATTATATTCATCCTACAATGCATATTGTTGGAGGTATGAAAGAAAAGGATAACCATAATATTATTACTATCTTGGTATTTATTATTTTTTATTTTTATTTTAATTTTTAGATTCGAATAATCTAGGTTTTACAAATGGACATGAATGGATCAATAAAAGAGCCATCATTACCAAGGCATTACAAAAGAGTGGATTTTTCCACCCAGAGAATTTATTTACACGAGAATTTATGGAAATGAAGAAAGTTTTAGATCAAGCTATTCAAACTTCAAATAATAATATAGTAATTATTAAAAATTAAATGATAAAAGAAAAGAAATTATAAATATTAATTATTACTTCCTTTTTTTAGTTAAATATTAGACCATTTATTAAAAAGTTAACATTTAATATAATAACAAAGTTTTTATTTTCAAATGCTACATCATACGATAATGAAGGAGATGAAATAATGTTTAATTTAATGGATGCATTTGAAACTATTGCCTCACAATTGGGAAATGGAAATAATACAGGTGATCTAATTCCAATTTTAAAACCATTTAATAGTGTATGATTTTTTAAATAATAATAAGAAAAAGTGAATTGTATCATTAATCATAATAATATTTTTTTCTATTTATTTATTTTTAGCCAAATGAATTACAAAGAGCAACACATTTAGTATTAACATTTGTAAAACCATTTGTAAATGAACATTTATTATCATTGGATCCAGAGAATCCGAGAGACTTTTTGGATAATTTATTATTGGAGCTTCAAGATGAAAGCAAATCAATGATGATGAGTCTAGACTCAATCGAAAGAATATTTATAGAGTTGCTAGTTGGAGGCGTAGATACAATATCCACAACAATCGAGTTTTTGGTTATCCATCTCTCAAACAATCCAGAGGTTCAAGAAAAACTACACAAAGAGTTGATTCAGACACCAGAGATTCCATATCACATTGATAATAAGGCCGCATATCCTTATTTGAATGCAGTCATTAAAGAGGGTTGGAGATATAGACCAACCGTTCCTTTAGGCTTACCACATCGAAATAACAAATCAACAATGATAAATTCTTATTATATTCCACAAAATGTAAGTGAGGAGAAAGAAGAACAAAACCATAAGTAGCCCCTTACTAATAATAATATTATTATTAATATCATTTTTTAGTGTCAAATTATTGCAAATTATTATGCCGCAAATCTATCGCCTCAATTATGGAATGAACCAAACAAATTTGATCCAATGAGATTTATCAATAATCCAAGCCTAGATTTGTCAGTGTTTGGATATGGTCCAAGAAAATGTATATTTAAGAAATTTTCAGAGTTGGAAACTTTTTTATTGGTTGGTTTATTCTTTTCCAATTATAAAGTAACCAGGCTAGCCAAAGCCTTAATTAATGACCAACCTAGTATGCAATAATATTTTTTATAAAAGGAAGAAAATATATTAATAATAGTTTTTATTTCTTACTTTAGTTATTGGAGTATTAATGATACCTGAAACCTTTTCAATTAGAATTGATCAAAGAAATAAATAACTTTTTTATTTGATTAGTGCTTTTATTTATTTATTTAAAAATTAAATATAAATATGGTTGTTTAGATTGAATTAGATTATAATTATTAGAAATTATTATTTGATAAATGATCACAAAGTTTAGATTTTAATTGACGAGAATAATGATTTGAAAATGATTTCTCGATAAATGGTAAAAAGTATTCGATTTTTCCATTTGTTGGAAGTAATTGCAAGAATGATTCAGTGTCCATAAATCCAGTCAAGTAGTCCAAAACTCGTTCATATTCTCCAACAATAGAATCTTTTGATTGTTTTTGTAAATTGATTGGTTGTTTTTGGAATACAATTGAAGAGTTTGATTGTGATGTAGAAGATGAAGAGGATAAAGTATCTCCATTACTACTAATATTGTTGTTGTTGTTTTGATTGGTACTTAATAATTTCAAAATTAATTCCAAAACAATTGCCCAATCTGATTGTTTACAATAATGTAAACCATATTCCAAAACAACCTCTACATGTCTTGAAACTACCAATTCAATGGCCTCTGACATACGGTCGAGAAGAGGAAGACAAGCCAACTTTAACTCGATAAATATGATATTGTTGGTATCGTTGGCAGCTGTAAACATGGCTTCAATGTTGTCCATAAATTCAAAGTCGCGAACTCTGGCACTTGACAAGACCGAGTGGATCTTTCTATGGTAGAGTGAAGTGAGTTGATTGGCAGGGTCACCACGCTCTGATGGATTTCTAAAAGCATCAGCCGAGAATGGTGGCAGTTTTGATAACCAAGGAGGAATCATGGTGTAAGTGTGGACGTGGAAGAGAATCCAGTGGTTACAATAATCGTCGGTAACAATCTTTTTGTTGAGTTGGCTTGGTTGATTTTTCGATTTGATGGTCGACTGATTGACAATCATCCCGACGTCGATATCCAACGATTGGAACAATTGCTTATCGTCACCTCTGAATCTCTGTATGTCCTGAACGTACAAGTGAATTAAATATTTTACAAATGATGGTACCAACTCTAATATACTACTAATAGAAGACGCAGTTGATGAATTCATTCCCATATTAATATTAATATCTTTACAATACCATGTTAAAAACCATTCTAAATATATTTTTAATAATAATCTAAAATAAAATAAAAGTAAATTCAAATATTAATATTGTATCTCTTTTTGTTTTCTTTTTTCTTTGTTTTTTTTACATACGCATCTAAATCAAAATCAGGTAAATGATAAGAATTACTATTACTATTTAAAATACCTTTTGCAAAGGTTTCTGTGGAATGTAAAAGGATAGTGAAACCTTCATCGGGAGTAATTTCTTTTCCTTTAACCAACTGTACAACAATTTCCAAAAGACCCCATGGTATGGTTTGTCTAAGAATCTTTCCAAGTGCGGAAGGGTCAGCATCACCAATAGGTGCCAACAATTTGGGATTTTTAAGGTTGAGAGCAATCAATGAATCTAATGGAATTTGATTGAGTGAATTCATTGATTCATCGATATTGTTTTGATCCAAATACAATAAACCAAGTGCAAAATAATTCATATTACGTTGTTCCATATCAAAATCACATTTTTCTGATAAATCTTTGAGTAAATCGATTGCCAATACTTGAGAATACGATGATACCGATGACTCTAATATCAATACTGAAAGATTATGAGGACTTTCACTATGATAATGTTTTAATATTTTGTTATTTAATTCTTCTTTGTTTGCAAGTAATTCAACTGACTAAGAAAAGAAAAGAAAAAAGAAAAGAAAAAAAAAAGTTAATGGAAATTAAAGGTGTTTCCTAATATTATTGAGACATACCGAAGGATTAAATAAAACTTGTTTAAGATAATAACTTAATGCTTTATGAGATTCTGGATTTTGTGATAATAAATTAAAAACCAATTCTATATCTGTATTACTTGTGCTATACCAAACTGCAGCTCTCATATAATCTTGTTGAGTTTTTAAGAAATAATCACCCAAATACGATGATGATTGTTTTAATAATGATCTATAAATATTTCTTTCTACTCCATGATTTATAATTGATGCTACATCTAAAAACAAAAAATAAATAAATAAAAAATATTATTAATTAATATTTAAATACTAATTACTATTTTAACTTTCTCTATCTCTCTATTTCAATATTTACCATTCATATTTGTATTTGATTGATGTTGATTTGCTAATTTTGATTGAAGTAAGAAATGACCTTCTAATAATAATTGGTGATATACTTCTTCATCTTTATCTTGACTTTGATTTGCATATTCTAAAATATCACCATACAATGTTTGTAATGGTGTATGATGTAATATATAAATACTCCATCCAGTTTCAACTGGTTTTTTTGCTGGTGATGCCATTCTTGATGGTGATCCTATGAAATGAATTTGTTAATTTAATCTATCCTCTTTTATATATTTCTCATTTGTTTGTTCTTTGTTTGTAACATACTCATAATACTTGGTAATTTTAATAAACTTGTTTTTTCATTAATATCATGAGTAAATTTGGACAAGAGTAAGAGATGGTCACCGATGACTGCCATTTTAGACAAACAACCAAATGTATTTAATCCAAGACCAATGGGTGGGGGATCGACATTTCCATCCTCTGGAGCTTCACATGATCTAAGTGTCCATGTTTGGAGACCCTCTGTAGTCATGGTATAGAGGAAGCAATGACTAGCTGCACACAATAATGTTTCATTTGCATAGAGATAGGATGCCAACAATGATGGTTTGGTAATATTATACAAGAAACCTTGTTTTTGTGTACTGACAACACATCTCATCGATATATTATTATTATTCTTTTCATTATTATTATGATTATTTCCGTTTCCATTTCCATTTCCATTATTATGTATAGTTTTAATATTATTATTATAGTGTTGATTGATTTGTACAAATGTCTTTTGATGAGTTGGTGTAGCACTACTTTGATTTTGAGTATTGTTGCCATTGTTATTACCACTTTCAGTTGATTTTGGGAGATCTGGTAAAAAGAATAGTGAATGCAAATCATCGTCTTGTGAAAACTTTCTATTCAATACCAAAGTTGAAGAAAGCAATGAATATCCACTTTCACTATTAACATTGATACCATGATCGATATCAGTGATTGGTCCTATAATCTCGTATTCTTGATCTTCATTCATTCTAGTTGAATTACTAAATGTTGTCTGCAAACAAGACAATTGATTCTTTCCAGTTGGATTACCCATTGAATCAAAACAAACTTCAAAATAATGTTCATCTTCCATAATCTCTGATGGTCCATTCTAAATAAACAAACAAACAAAACAAAACAAAACAAAACAAAACAAAAATAAATAAGTAAATAAATATATATATCTATTTTTTGGTTTATATTTCTAATGACATACATTGACAGCAGCAGAATATGAATGATTGACTATATGAGCAGTATTGAATTGATCATTAATATCATTGAATTGAATGTTGAGTGACAGAATCTTGACATTGGTACTGGTCGAATAGGCAAGATAGCCTTCATAGATGGCAACGTGACGTACATTGTCTGCATCGATATCCAAGATACGTTCAAACGAGTTGAGTAGGTTCGAAGAGGATGTGGTAATATTGGTGTTGCCCCAAACACTGACCGACTTTTCAGTGGCTACAATGACACGACTTGTAACAGGACACACATTGATAGTTGTCACTGAAGATGGTACTGGTATCTTGTAGACGTGAAGTGGGAGTGTAGAAGGTTGTTGGTGATGCAGAGGTGAATTGGCACCGTGTCCACTACCAGCACTACTTCCACCACCACCAACACCACCACCACCTTGGGGGGTAGTACCCATCTGTGACGGTGATGAAGATAACATCTGATCAAACGATGTTACAGCAGAGTAGTTTTGATTCTGTCTCCAGTTTTGATAGATTCTAACGACATTGATCTTTGAAATGTCAGTGTCTTTTTCCAATGTCAATATGCTATCCGATGCTGTGATGTAGTGTAGTGCCAGAATACTACTATTCTTGGTAGAGAACTTGTTGATAATAGTCGCACCGCTAGCAGCTCCTATCGTGTAGTGTATAATTTCTCCTCCCTTGGTCGACATTAAAAAGTCGTTGAGTGCAGGTATGACATCGATCGGTTCATCTTCGTACTCTTGTGGTACTAGATTCTGACTATCAAATACAGGAAATAATAGAAACTTTACCATCCCTATATCTATATCTATATCCTATACTACTATACTACTATACTATTATCTCTATAACTATCTATATCTTCATAAACTAAACCTATAATTAAAGTGAATGAATTTAATATCTTTTTTTGTCAAACAACATGCAAACAAAAAAAAAAAAGGAGATAGAACTTTCAAACATGGATTTTAAACATGGATTATATAATATTGTTAATATAATTATATTTGATTGATTTATTATTTAAAAACTGATTGATCTTTTAATCTTCAATTTCATAAAGATGAGCCTTCTTTCTATGTCCACAAGAATAATAATGTTCGTCTTCACCACAATCATCATCGTCATCATCGTCATAGTCGTCTGAATCATAGTACATGTCGTCTGATTCATCATAGTCTTCGTCTGAATCATCATCTTCGTCGTCGTCGTCTTCTTCGTCGGATGATCCTGGGACGTATTTATAATGAGACATTAATTGCATCAATTGGTTGAACATCATTGCCTTAAAGACTTGTTCATTTTCATCAGAGTCTGAGTCCTCGTCATAGTCTTCGTCGTCCGAGTCATCACGTACACAGTTTTCAACACGCTTGTCTACTGTCTTTATCTTTTTTTGGCCTCCATCAGCCTTTTCAATAGAATTGAATGGTTTTTGACAGTTTGGACATACTGTTGCAGTCTATATATATTTATATATATATATAACATGTTAATACCTAATTCAAATTCAAGTCTTCTCTTGTTTTAGTTTAGTTTGTTACATACCTCTGACCATTTAAGAATACATTCAAAACAAAAGATGTGTTGACATCCATTTGGTTTACCCTTGTTGTCTTGGGTAACATGTTCTAAACAAATACCACATTGATGTTCTTGAACAACATTGGTTTTGTTTGTAGAAGCAGCAGCAGCGGCTGGAGTAGAAGTAGTAGTAGTAGTAGTAGTAGTATTTTTAGCAGCATCATTCTTGCTTTGTTCTTGAGCCTTTTTCAAAGCAGCCTTTGATAACTTGGTACCTTTCTTTGCTGTAGCTGCAGCTGGTTTGGCTGGTTGAGTTGTTGGTTGATTGTTATTATTATTATTGCTAGTTGTAGAAGTAGTTGTAGCTGCTGGTTTGGATGGAGCTGCTGCTGGTTTAGCGGCAGTTTGAGTTGCTGCTGCTGCTGCTGGTTTGGCAGCAGGTTGAGTAGTAGTAGTAGTTGGTGCAGCAGTAGCGGCAGGCTTTGCAGAAGCGGCAGGCTTGGCTGGTTGAGTAGCTGGTGCTACTGAAGCTGCTGGCTTGGCTGCAGGAGAAGAAGAAGTATTCAAGAATGGGTTTGGTAATTGAATAGGAGCTGGAGCAGAAGTAGCAGTAGTAGTAGTAGGAGCAGAAGCAGAGGTAGCAACAGGAGGAGGAGGAGTAGACAAAGTCATTTTATCAAAGATACTACTAACTTGAGGAACATTCGAAGTTGAAGTAGAAGTAGTAGATGTGGTAGTAGATACCGATGGCTGAGCGGCAGCAGCAGCAGGTTGAGTAGTAGTCGAGGTTGTAGTTGTAGTCGTACCAGCACCAAGCTTGACTACTCTTCTTCTCATTGAAAAAGGTTTGACTTCTTCAGAAATGTTGTTCATCTTTTCTTCTTCTTTCTATCTATCTATCTAATTATCTGTATCTATCTAATCTATAACTATACAATAATATTGAAAAAAAAAACTCAACACCAACTGGCTTCCCTCGAACTTGATTACTTTCTTGGAAACCAAGCAATTAAACATCGATCCTTTAAAAGATAGTCATGTCTCTAGATACACTCGAGAATCATACACAAACATACATTATGAATGAGACATGAATCAGTTTATATTTAAGCTCAAAAAGAGAGAGATATAAAAATTGGTTTAAGTGAAGTTGAATGAATAAAAGTACTAACATTTTTGTTTATTAATTTAACTTTAAAGTTAAACTTATTAATAAAAGTTAATAGTTATTAATTGATCAATCAACCAACTACACAATATATTAATGAAGTTGTTTATTTATTCAAAAAAAAGGCGGGTGGTTTACCAATAGATGAAGATATTTTTATAATTACTTTTCCAAAGCAGGTTAAAAAAAACCAAACCATTCAATTTCATTGTCGGGGGTGGCCTGTAACAATGAATTTATACAATATTTATTGCAACCCTACATCAAAATTGCAAAGATATCTTGATGATGAAAAAGAGGAGGTGGGTAAAGATAAACACCCACTAATCAAAATCCAAAAAAAAAGTGTGTGTGTTAAAGTGTGAGAGGTTAATTAAATTTTATTAATTTTGTTTTTTTTTTATTAATAATCCTATTCTGTACTCCATCCCCACTGGATGGATGGAGTTTACATACTCTTCAAAAAAAAGAGGTCTCTTGTTAATTCATTCATTCAAAGTATTATTTCAAATCTTTTATCTTTATCTCTTTTTTTTAAATTCCCTTCCTTAATTCACAGTAGTAATAATACTATTCTCTCTTCTTCTTTTCAACAACATATAATATAAATTAAAAAATGGCTAAATTTGATGCATCAGTATGTTTGTTCAACCAACCAACCAACCTATGAATCAAAATAAGAAATAATTTCTAATCATTGTCTCTTTTCCTTTCTTTTTAAATTTTAATATAGTTGATTCCACTCTACTGTATTTTGGGAACAGCAGCAGCTGTGACATTGGGATTTGGAGCAAGAACCATGACCACTCACAATGACATCAGTTTGACTAGAGGTGGACAAATGTTGTGGTTAAAGAACCATGCTCCAAAACTTGTTGACCAAAAGACCGCTGTTTCATACTATCAAGAAATCCATAATGGAAATTACCTCCGTCAAAACTAATCCATCAAAAAGGATTGATTGGATCATCATGTAAATAACAGTGTAAAGAAAAGAAAAGAAAAGAAAAGAAAAGAAAAGAAAAGAAAAGAAAAGAAAAGAAAAGAAAAGAAAAGAAAAACAATAAAAAACAATAAAACCTAAATGTATTATAATACCTATCAACTAGACCTCCTCTTATATCTAAAAATTCCTTTTAGGAATGATTTAAATTGACCTTGCAAAGAATTAATTAATTTCTCTCATGTCTTCATTTTCAAGTAATTTTTTTCTCCTCCTTTTGAACAAAAGATTCAAGTCACATGAATGAATTTAAATTTATTTCTCGAGATTGAACCTCCTCTCTCTTCCTTTGTTTATGAAATTTATCATGTTGATTCATATATACTTATTGACATTTATATTATATTTATTAATAAATCACTTGCATTTAAATATAATATAACAAGCAAGCAATACTAAACCGCCACCTTGCAAAGAGAGAGAGAAACAAAAAAAAAATTTCAATTTTTAAATAAACACAATTTCCTCCACCTCAATTCATATCTTTCTCAAACTATCGACCTAATAATCAAGAGAGAGCAAAGCAAAACTTTCAATCATCATTCATCCGTAGATTCATTGTTATTCATATTATTATTACTGTATATACATAGATAGACTAGATCGAGATGGGTTGCAGCAATTCAAAGGGTAAGCAGACAATCAATCAACTAGCTAGTTGATGATGATCATCCATCATTGTCAGAAAGAGACAAAGGGGATATTGAACTTATGGTGGATGATGATCGGACATCATCAATCAAAAGGATATATCTTAGTTATTTATTATTATTATATTATATTAACAATCAAACAATTTTATATATTTTGTAGAAGGGTCAGGTTCATTCTCTGTAACCAATAACAGTACATCACAAGAATCACACCCCGAATATGATATGTTATTAAAGATTTTGGTCATTGGTGACTCTGGTGTAAGATAAACTCCTCCCTCCTCTATCCTAATAAATCAATCAAACTAACAATTATTTGTCACAAACAAACAACTACAATATAAATTTATATTTAGGTTGGAAAATCATGTATGTTGCTTAGATTTGCAGACAATAGATTTACAGACAGTTATATAAGTACCATTGGTGTTGATTTTGTAAGAATATATTTATACTAGTACAAAAGAAAGGGGAGCACAGATGATGAGTGCAATGACAAATGATCATCATCATCATCAAACTTGTCCCTCTTTTGTTAAAGGAATACAAATCAAAACAATGATATTAATATGTATATATATTCTTTTCTTCTTCATTTAGTGTATTAGAACTATAGAATTGGATGGAAAGAGAATTAAATTACAAATTTGGGATACTGCAGGTCAAGAAAGATTCAAGACCATTACAACCAGCTATTATAGAGGAGCTCATGGTCTCATTATAGTGTACGATATTACATCGATGGACTCGTTTAATAGTATAAAGAGATGGTTGATCGACGTTGACAGATTTGCATCCCCATCTGTCCTTAAACTTATTGTTGGTAACAAGTGTGATTTGAATAATAAGAGAGCCGTCGATTTCAAAATTGCAAAGGTAACCAAGATAAGATATAATATCACTAGATAGACTATTCATCATTATCATTTATTAATTAATTAATTCCAATCCCATCGTTACTTGTTTGAATTTAGAAATTTTCTGATGAATTAAATATTCCAATTTTAGAGACAAGCGCCAAAGATTCAACAGGAATTGATGAAGCATTTACAAAATTGGCAGCAGATATCAAGAAGAGTGGATCACTCAAATAAACACCCCGAGTATATCCTATCCACACAATTTCATCTAAACCAATCCCAAATCCATTCCCCAAAAATAATAATAATAATTAATAATTACTTTCCTAACCCTTTTATACATATTTATCACAACAACAAACAAACAACATAATGACAAATTATAACTATAACAACAAAACGTTTTCATATCTTTTACTTTTTAAAAAAAAACCCTAATAATAATAATAATTAATTCTCTCTTTAGAATTCTCCAAAACAATCATCATGACAAACCTCCCATTTGATTATATGTAGTATTCAAAATAAAAACACCATGGTATTAATAATAACAATTAAAATTAAATAGTCTGTTTCAAGTTTTTAAATTTATAATGTAGTATTATTACATTCTTTATCGTATATTTATTTTGGTTATGTTTTTTGGAATGAATGGTATTTATACTGTTGTTGTTGTTGTTGGTTTATGCTTTATAAATAATGAGGAGTGAGGGTAGGGAGGAGAGGAAAAAAAAAAAGAGGTAATTTAATTGTATTGTGTTTAATAGTCGATCGATCGTTTTGTTTGTTTGTTTGATTTGTTTTTAACCTTTTTATGGTTGAGTGACCATAGCAGCTCTATCTTGACCAACACCGATCCATTTAATCTTTACACCAACCAATTGTTCGATTCTGGCGATATAAGATTTGGCTTCGGCGGGCAAGTCTTCAAACTTGCGGATGTTTTCAAGACTGGTCCTCCAACCCTTGTGAGTCTCATAGACGACTTGGCATTCGGCCAAATCCTCCAAAGAGGCTGGGAATCCCTTGACAGTTTGACCCTTGTGAATATAGTCGGTACCAATCTTGATCTCGTCGAGGTGGCTGAGAACGTCGAGCTTGGTAAGATTGAGTTCGCTGAAATCATTGATCATCGAGGTGTAACGGAGCACTGGGATATCCAACCATCCAATACGACGTGGACGACCAGTTGTAGTACCATACTCGCCACCAGCCTTTCTCAAATTCTCGGCTTCATCACCATGCAATTCCGTTGGGAATGGTCCAGCACCAACTCTAGTTGTGTATGCCTTGACTACACCAATTTGATGAACAATCTTGTTTGGTGCAATACCCAATCCCTAAAACAAACAACAAATATTAAATAAATAAATAAATATATAAGTATTCTGTCAAAATCTACAAATTGTTTCTTGTTTTGTTTCTCTTTTTTGATTTCTTTCTACATACAGTACAAGCACCACCAACAGATGAAGCAGATGAAGTGACATATGGATAGGTACCAAAATCGATATCCAACATGGTGGATTGAGCACCTTCGATCAACACCTTCTTTCCTTCCTTGAAGGCTTGGTTCATGTAATAGATGGTATCAATCACCATTGGACGAAGAAGTTCAGCATATTCTGTGTATCTCTTGATTTCATCTTCAACATTGTATTCAAATGTACCGAATCTCTACAAAAATAAAAAAGAGAGAGAGAGAAACATATATATATATAAGTATAAATCCAACAACCGATGAAGGACATATATTTGTTTACAACCAACAACATACCTTGTGTTTGTTTTCAGAGATTCTATACAAATTCTTTTTAAAGTTTTCTGGATGATAGAGATCACAAACTCTAATACCTCCTCTTGAGGCCTTGCTAGAGTAAGCCGGCCCAATTCCCTTTTTGGTGGTGCCAATACTGTCATTACCCTTTGATAATTCTTGTTCTTTCATTGCATCAATCATCTAAACAAAAGAAAGAAAGAGAAAGAGAAAAAGGAATGAATAAATATAATGATGCTTGTTTGATGTGATTGTTTTGATTATTATTATTATTAGCTTACTTGATGAATATCTAAAACGAGATGAGCACGATCAGAGATGAAAAGACGACCTTCATACTTGATACCCTTTTCCTTGAGACCTGCAAGCTCCTTGAAAAGGGTTGGTAAATGAATGACCAAACCGTTACCGAGGATACATGTAGCACGTTCATTCAAGATACCAGATGGAATGAGATGCAAAGCAATCTTTTTGCCTTCGACAACAATAGTGTGGCCTGCATTGGCTCCACCTTGACAACGGGCAACTACATCATAGTCGGCAGAGAGAATATCGACCAACTTGCCTTTACCTTCATCTCCCCATTGTGATCCAATAATAATTGATGCCATAATTCTATTCTTATATTGTATATATTAGACTATATATATATAAAACTAGAGAGGGGCAAATAGATAATAAATGAATAAAAATAAACTAAAGTAATAAAGTAATAATATAAATTACTATTACAACCAACTAACTAACTACTATTACTGACTATTTAACTACTAAAAGATAGATAGACAGACAGATATAGATAGATAGATAGATAGAGATACTACTTGTAAAAAAGAGAAAACAACTATATAAATGACGCGACTTTTTTTTGTAGAGCAAGAGTTTAGTTGCTGAGAGAGATATCTTTTCAAGTTCACGATTTTATGGCTTTTGTTTTTTCATGATGGGATTCCATTCATTCATTCTTAAGAAGCTAACCGAATGGTTCGGCAAAGAGAGACATTGAAGACATGTATTATGGTTGGGAAGAGGAACAACCAACTGATACCATTCCATTTGAAAAATTGATTTCTAGAAAGTTAAAATCTACCTTTTTATATTATTGTTCAATTTTGGAAGATGATACACATCAAGATGATGATGATGGATCACATCATTTATCCGATTTACGAAAACCTCTATCTCAAGATCATTATTATTTATTAAATGTTTTAAAATCGTAAGAGAAAAAAAAAAGACAATCATCAATATATAATATACTATATACTAATTACCTCTCTCTCTCTCTCTCTTTTAGGAATAAGGAATTTGGTAAAACATTGATAGATTCAAAGTTTTATGAAAATATGGATTTGGTTAAAGGAAAAGAGAATAGATATGAATATTTGATGAGAGCAATTGATTCAGCTCCATTTGACAATAGATTCTATCAAATTGATAGAATTGGAAAGGTTAATTTGAATTCGCCATTGGATAGTCTACAAGCAACTCGCGAAAACTATGCATTGATCAAAAATGTATATATCACACCTACTCGAACTCTATTCCAAAAACCATCAATGTACCAACTCAATCGTGCTCTTAGAAGATATGGTGCCGATAATTTCCTACTCGTTCATTTTGTTGAAGAGAATCTTGATGAAAAGGTCGAATATTCCAAGTTTCAAACTAAAAGCAGAGAAATTTCCTTCTTCCTCCTCTCAACAATCTTAAGGTACAAATATATTGATGATATATATTTATCTTTTGAAGAGAGAATATTTATAACACAATAATAATAACTTGGTTGTACTAGTTGAAATTGATTTATGGTTGAGGTAAAATATCTTTAAAGTAAGGGTGTTCCAGTGCTGCAAATGTATCAATTCTATGATCTGGATTTAAAACCAACATATTCTTTTTGGTTTTTTTTAATAGGTTGAGTTAGTCATGTGCCTCAAAAATGGTATACATATAGGTTGGGTGGGTGTTTACATACTTTTAATAAATTAATTGCAAGTAAGTCTGTTGATGGAGGTAATAGGTCTATTAAAGAGGTACCTTTAAAAATGGGGAAATAACTAGAGTTGATAGATGGCCATGATTCTTTGGTAGGTGTACCTAATAATTGAAATAAACTGTACAAATATCCAACCATATCAGAGTACTGTATGTGTGAAGGGTAATAGGGTCCATTTAACAAGTTATAAAATATTCTTCCCAATGCCCAAATATCAGATGATATGGTTGGTTTGATATGATTATTTTGTTGATACTTGATATCGTCGTCATAGTCAACATTGATATATTCTACCAATTTTTCTGGTGCAACATATCCAGTGTATTTAGAAGGTGATGGACTGTAAACCAATTTAACCTTGATTGGTAGCAGATCGATGTTTTTGTTTATATTACCAACAACTCCACTAGTAAATAGTATACGTCTCGATATGATCGATCCGTGAACAATGTCAAATTGGTGTAGATGATTGACTGCTTGTACCAATTGAAACATAATACTTTTAATTTGTAACGGTGTAAATCGGTAGTCATAGAGTGACTCTAATGAACGTTCACCGTATTCTCTAAATACTCTAATCTTTAGTTTACCCTTGGTATATATTTTGAATACTCTTTAATGACATTAACAATTCAATAAATGTTTAATAATAATAATAATTCTATGAATGATGATACATACCTTGATATATTAGGATGATTACAATGAATCTGATATTCATATAATCTTTGTACAAGGTCTTTAACATAATTGTCACCTTGGGTGGCAGTACTTGACTTGACTTTGATTTTGTTGAGTGTTACATAATAAGAGGTCGACGGGAACAAGGATTTGTTGAGCACTCTATACTTGTATGATGTTATGTATGTTCCCTCTCCAAGTAATTCACATAAACCAAGTCCATTATATATGTCATTTTTAGAGTATTCACCATCATTGTTTATAATATCTTTGCAATTGGGGTCATTATCATTATCATTATTATTATTATTATTGTTATCTTCTTCTATAGTTTCCATTACAATACTATGCTATCATCATCATCTTCATTATCATCAAAGTGATTCTCCAACTTAATAACACTTAGATAAATAGAAGAACAAAAAAATGAGGGAAGTTGTGGGTTGAAGTTCAGAGAGGAGTTACTCAAAAAAAATTAAATATTAATCATTTATCCTTATCCTCATCTAAAATATTTGTTTTACATTCAAATTTCAACCTAGCATACACAAGACAGTCTACCTTACCTCTCAAAAGTTCATCGAATGTGTTGAATATAAATAAATAATAATTAGATAATTATTTTAGGTTAAAAAAAATAACTAATTTTGATTTAAACAAAAAAATAATTAATTACCCTTCCTTTTTTCTTTCTTTCTTTAAAACAATATTTGGTACATATAAAATTACAAATTTATGGGTTGAGAATCTTGAATATCTTTAAAGTAGGGGTGTTCCAGTGCTGCAAATGTATCAATTCTATGATCTGGATTTAAAACCAACATATTCTTTTTTTTGTTATTAATAATAAATAGAGAGTAGGTTGAGTTAGTTAGTCATGTGCCTCAAAAATGGTCTATACATATATATATATATATAAGTGTGGTGTTTTTTACATACTTTTAATAAATTAATTGCAAGTAGGTCTGTTGATGGAGGTAATAGGTCTATTAAAGAGGTACCTGGGAAAACTTGGAAATGAGAAGAGTCGATAGATGGCCATGATTCTTCGGTAGGTGTACCTAATAATTGAAATAAACTGTACTAATATCCAATATCTGATCTATGAAAGACACCATCTTGTAATGAGTGTCTGTGTGAAGTATAAGGTGGACCGACCAACAAGTTATAAAATAGTCTTCCCAACGCCCAAATATCAGATGAAATCGTTGGTTTGATATGATTATATTGTTGTTCCTCTTTTTAATTCATTTGTTATTATTTAGAGTATTCAAAGTGTATACCAAGGGTAATGATGAGATTAGAGTGTTACGAGAATACTGTCATCGTTTATTAGAATCACTCTATTATTTCCAATTTACACCGTTTCAAATTAAAAGTATTATGTTTCAATTGGTACAAGCAGTCAATCATCTACACCAATTTGTGATGGAGTTGTTGTTGTTACCATGAGTATGATTATCTTCTTCCTGTGTTTTCATTTTCACTTTCAAAGTAGTAGTAGTACCCAACCACCAATCCAATCCAATACAATCGAAATGAAATGTGTGTTGTGGCAAAATGACGCCAAACAAACACTGATTGTGTTGGTGCGGATTTTCAATCGATGACCCACACCACAATGATCATTATTCATTTGATTTTGATTGTGGAATAAATAAACATTCATTCATTGTGAAATATAATATGATATGATATAATATTCTCCACCACACATATATGAATCCATCCTAACCTTCTTCTTCTCCTTATTTTTTTGTTCATCTATACATAATTAATGTACATATGAATATAATATAGAGAATAATGGTAAAGATTAAATCAGTTTCTATTATCTTTTTTGTTCTTGTTCTAGCAGTGTCCATTAGTATCCAGCTGGAAAATAACAAAGAATGTGGCAAACCAATTGATGAATGTGGCAACGCTTTAAAATGTTCTAGTTGTGATTACTTGTCGTGTCCAGCTGGCTCACATTGTCAAATGAAGGATGGAAAAGCTAGTTGTCGTAGGGATGATCCACCTCCACCTCCACCTCCTCCACCTCCAGTTTTGACATGTGACGATGTTAAATGTGAACCTGGAGAGATATGCATTGAAATGGAAAGAGGTCCACTTTGTATTCCAAACACTCCTCCAACATCTGTTAGTCCAACTAGTGCAACCACCACTACTACTGGATCTTTAACAACCACATCCATGACAACTGGTGTCTTGCCAACCACTTCTACTATAACTACCACTTCGGCCTTTCCAACTACCACTACCATGACAACCGGTGATGTATCAACTACTACATCCATGACCACTGGTGATATATCTACTACCACCTCCATGACAACTGGTGATATATCAACTACAACCACTGACATCCCAACTACTACCGATATATCAACTACAACTGATATATCAACAACAACTGATATATCTACCACATCAACAACATCAGTAGATCCAAGATGTGATGGTACATTGTTTGCTACACATAGAGTAGACTCTGTGACCACTATGGTTTCAATCAGTCCCCTTGATTTACAGAGTACTGTGGTTAGATTGTACCCTGACCGTGGTATGGATGCAATGTCATTCTATCCCAATGAAACAGTGATCTATGGAATCCAAAATGTTGATCTAACATCCTACAATGCTCAATCCATCGTAGTAATAGATCCAATAACATACGATGTCATTGAAGATCTTGGTGACCCAAGTGGTGTACTCTTTGGTAATTATTATATATATATATATTATAATAGGGAGTAATCAATATAACTAACCTAACCTTTTGCTTTTTCTTTTTTTTTTTTTTTTTTTTTATATATATATATTAGGAACTGAATGGTTAGTTGGAGCAGTTACTAGAGATGGTATCTATGTATTGGCAGATATATATAATCAAATTGTAGAGATCGATATTACACAGAGACCACCTGTATACATTAGATCGGTTACAAACAATATTCTAAATTCGTTTGGTTGGTCGTCATCGCCAATCATCGAATCAGATGGCAAGACTATGATCTATGGATACTCTGCATACCTAGCATCGGTCACTGTGTATGATGTTACAACGGGTCTGTCCAAGGTGTTGTTCCCAGTTCCCTTGGTTGGAAACACTCCATGTAGTACAACCTTCCACGAGCGACCATTCACCGATCTCATCATGCTCTGTCACCACAGTAACTCTTTGCAAACACTCTACACCATCAACCTTGAAACACAAGTAGCTACAAGACAAGGTGACGTTACTCCATATCCAGGTGCAATGGATTTATTCTCGTAAGTGTTCATACAAACATCAACAACAACCAACCGAATTGAATATTGTTTTAATCTTTCTTTCTTTCTTTCTTTCTTTTCTTCTACTATATATTATATTATAATATATTATATTATATTTTTAGATGTCACCAATGGATTTTGGGAAGTGAGCTTGGTATCAGTTGGTGGAATTAGAAAATATCTATAGAGATATTGTTGAGAAACAAATAAACCAAATAAACAAAGATAATATACATATAAATATTAATATTAATACAATGAATAGTAGTACTTACTGCAAGGGAACGGGACATTCGTCATCAAAACAAGATGTTTTTTTTTTTTTTTTTTTTTTTTCAATTTTTTGTTACACAATTGAACTCTTTCCCCAGCACCCTTGAAGTACTGTGTGCATTGAACTAGTTCTAGTTAGTCTTGGTAATTAAATAGAATTAAAACATGTTGTCATACAGCAAGAACGTTAGCAAGGTTTCACTTCAAGTAAGGTCCTATAGAGAGAAATAGTAGAGAGTAGAGAGGAGAGAGAGAGAGAGAGACATAGAATAGTATCATTATCAGTCGTCTTTGCAAGATATCCACCAACCATAGTACAATCACTACAACCTCCTCATCCTCCTCCTCTTCATCAATACAACATTTGATGAATGAAACACACTCGATTAAGATTATTGATTACTATTATTCAAGATGAACAGAGACAGACGACTGACAAAATGATGATGATGATGATATTTATTGAATGAAAGAGACGATTGAAAATTTAAACAATCAACTAATCAACAATATTATCTATACTATACTTATTAATTTCGAATTATATAGTTCTTGAGAGGTTATGCCTCAAAGTCTGGTGACATTCAAGTAAAGTTTAACAAGTTTGATACCTACCTTTGCGATGGTCCAGCCAACCAAACCACCACCAACAAGGACGAACTCATGACTTTCTTTACCGATATGACAAAGATGAGAAGAATCGAAACCGTTGCCGATCAACTCTACAAGAAGAAATTAATCAGAGGTTTCTGTCATTTGTACAATGGTCAAGTAAGTAGTTGAAATGAAATATCAACAAGTAGAGAGAAGAAGAGAAGAAGAAGAAGAAGAAGAGAACTATTGGAAAATTGAATCATCAAATTTCTAAATTATGTAAATTATCAATTTTTTGTAGGAAGCTGTTTGTACTGGTATGGAAGCAGCCATTACCAAGGAAGATCATGTCATTACAGCATACAGAGACCACACTTTTATGATGGCTCGTGGTGCCACTCCAAAGGAGATCTTGGCCGAATTGTTGATGAAGTCAACTGGATGCTCCAAGGGCAAGGGTGGTAGCATGCACATGTTTACACGTAATTTCTATGGAGGCAACGGTATTGTCGGAGCACAATGTCCACTCGGTGCAGGTATTGCCTTTACCCAAAAGTACAATAACACTGGCAACGTCTGTCTCACATACTATGGTGACGGTGCCGCCAACCAAGGCCAGCTTTTCGAGGCCTTTAACATGGCCAAGCTCTGGGACTTGCCATGCATTTTCATCTGCGAGAACAACAAATTCGGTATGGGTACCCCCCAAAAGCGTGCCGCTGCCGGTGACGACTTTTACACCCGTGCTCACTACATTCCAGGTATCAAGGTCGATGGTATGAACGTCCTCGCCGTCAAGACTGCCGGTAAGTGGGCTGCCGACTGGTGCCGTGCTGGCAAGGGACCATTGGTCATGGAAATGGACACCTACCGTTACGTCGGTCACTCCATGTCTGATCCAGGTACCTCATACCGTACTCGTGAGGAAGTCAACAATGTCCGTCAAATCCGTGACCCAATCGAATACGTCCGTAAGCTCATCCTCGACAACAAATGCGCCACCGAAGACGAACTCACCGCCATTGAAGACGCTGCCCGTGTCGAAATGGACGAAGCCGCTGAATTTGCCATCGCCTCTCCATTCCCAGAACCAGGTGAACTTTACACCAACGTTTACAAAGAACTCGTCCCAGTTCGTGCCGTCGAAATGGTCAATAGTTTCAAGCCATAAACGCATACAAAACACAAAACAAAACAAAACTCTATCTTCTTTAAAAAATACATAACCCTTTAATAATAATAATCCCCTTTCACACAATGACACTTTAAAACAATATCAAATATTTAATAATTATTTAATTGTTAATTGTTAATTGTTTATTTATTTATTAGTTGGATCAACTTGATCCCCTAAATCCCATCCTCCACAAAAAAGACTTTTGACGCCATGGTGCTAACTTGTGTCTGTTCGTGTTTAAATTGGTTGTGTTTCTTTAGAAAGGTGTCGACGTGTTTCTTAATTTGGTTCAAAAAAAAACAAAAAAGATATTAATTTTTCTTTGTTGTGTGGAGAGGCGGAAAAGATCACTGTTGTTTCTTTTGTGTGATTTAATTTTATAACTCTAAGTTGTCAACCCTATATATATAAATATTTAAGACAGATACACTAATTGTAGTAGTCAACCAACAAGGGAATAAGCAACAACAACAACAAATCAAGGATATAATATTATTTGGTGGTATGTTCATCATCTTCATTCTATTAATTTGTTTGTTTGGTCCTCTTAAAAATGTTCAACATCACAGATCAAATATAGTAATAATAATAATAAGTACTTATTATTATTACTATTACTATTATACATATATATACCCTATGCCTATCTCCACACAAGTAGGAGAGGGAGGATGATGGAAGACACCTTATAATAGTACAACACACCACCCCCTTGTCAATTTGGAATCCATCTTTTTTTTGCACCAACATCATTGAGTGATGGGTGTTGTTTTGTTGGTAGTAGTAGTAGTAGTAGTAGTGTGGTGGTATTATAATATTATAGACAGCAGCAGAGCAACAACAACAACAACTACGGTGAACTAAATTGAAATAATTGGATTGGTTAGTTTAGGTGTAGTGGTGTTATTGTTGTTGTTGTTGTTGTGTTGGTTGTACCGTTGTTATCTTTAGATAGTTTTGTTTTGTCAATTGTCAAATAATCATCATCTTGATCATCATCATCATTTCTACCTTCATCAGAGATTAGATAAAGAACAACAATTATAGTTACTTAGTATCAATCAATCAACCAAACAAAATCACTAACATATAATAATATTATATTTATTTTTAATTCTCTAACCAAAAAAAAATGATTTCCTTTAAAAATAATAATAATAATCATTCAAACCCAAAACCAAATGGATCATCATCTTCCTCTTCATCTATAAAACAATTATTCACTGCTCCTATTATCGGTAAAACCAACAACAAAAATAATAATACTAAACCAACAACTATTACAACAACTATAACAAAAAATGATCCAATTACTACAATTCCAAATTCAAATACAAATACAAATACAAATCCAAATCCAAATCCAAATCCAAATCGATCTTCATTACCCTCCTCATCCTCACCAATTCCAAATACAAACTATGTTGTTAATAACCAACAGATATATAGAAATAGTACAAATAGTTATCAACTAAATCAAAAACCTACAACAACTATTACAACTACCACATCAACAACTACAAATCAACCAACAACAACAACAACAACAACACCTTCTTCTTCTTCCGATCTTTCAACAAACGTTAACGTTCATAATAGATCACAATCACAAATAGTTGATTTAAGGAATTTGCTTGTTGATATCATGTCGGATCCACACCAAGCAAAATATTTTACGTATGCTGGCAGCATCACTGAAGAAACCGACCCCATGCCAGTGAGTAGACCCTCACTCAAGGCATTGTTGACATTTTTTGAAGATGCACGTGAGCGACAAGGCTCATTGAGCAATATGGGTGCCTCCTCTTCTAGTGTCAAAACACCACCACCTCCATTACCACCTCGTCCCGCATCGTTTAGTAACAGGGCCTCTGTCAATAGCCCCGATACAATGACTGACTTTTCTGAAGCAGCCGATCTCCTATTACAACAACAACATCAACAACACCAACAACATGATAACCCAACAGAAAAGACTGCCACCGAAGCTGGAATCACCAAAAGTCCAAGCTCGGCAAGTATCGTCAATGACAATGCATCAAGTTATTCTGAACAATATACACAATCGACAGGTACCAACACTAAAAACCAAGCTCGTTCAACGGTGGTTTTCGAGGATCTTAAAAAAGAACTATTTCTCGAAAAGTATTCTCACGATCAATTAAAGTTATTGGTCAAATCGTTGCAAGAGGATAATAGAAAGTTGAGTCTTGAACTAACAGCTTGGAAACAGAAATATGGAAAGTTGTCCAATAAGATGGAGAATGTTAGATTGTCATTTAACCAATTGGCATTTGCAATGACTGATACCTCTACTGATGACTTGGTGTCATCTAAACCTGGTAGTACCAACAACAACAGTAGTAGTCAGCTTTCTGTCGGTAGCGGCGGCGGAGTGGATATCAAGGGGTCACCCAAGATTGCACCTTCATCACCTGCTGTACAAGAGCGTCCACGTGCAGTCACACTTGGTAAAAAGGATCTCCCACAAACCAAATCAGTTGTTAGTATCAATATTCCAAATAGTCCTAATCCCACAACATCATTTATCTCTACTTCTGCTGCTGCTGCTGCTGCTGCGACCCCAGTTGTACAAGTTACGGCGACTCCATCTAACAACTCAACCTCTTCACCTTTATCAAACAACAACTCTGTAAATAATAACAATAATACCAATAATAATAATAATAATAATAGTAACATCAATACACACAGCGGTAGCTCGATTAATGTCACTGTTAGCAATGGTGGTGTGAACACAACAACATCTGCCACACCAGTATTAACAACGACCAATTCACTTAATGCTATACAACAACCATCACATAAACGTCGTGGTAGTTCAAACTCTGTCACTACGACCACTCAACTATCAGGATCCTATGGTATTGAGATGGACTTTACACAGAATCTAACCGAGGAAGAGTACATTACAATGATTGAAAGTCGTCGTATTACAGCACACAATATACTCAAATCTGAAAAGGAGTATCTTGCCTACCTCCATCTTATCATTGATGAGTTCCTTACTCCTCTATCAGCTGAGTCCTACCATTCGGCCAATCCATTCATCTCTGCTGCTCAAGTCAAACAAGTATTTAGCGAGATTCAAGTTATCCGTGGATCCAGTAATCTTCTCATTGAAGATTTGGAAAAATTATTAAGTGAAACTTCAAATGTTGGTCTTGGTGAAGCTTTCCTTAAACTTGTAAGCTATTTATATAACCAGAGGAGTTTTTGACCAAATTATTAATTAATTCTTTTTCTTTTTTTATATTTAGTGTGATTACTTTAAATTATATTCACCATATGTAACCAATTACTATACATCATTATCAGTATTGAACAAATTAAAAGAAGATAGTCATAGATTCCAAACATTTATTCAAGAAAAGGAAAAAGGATTGGATTCGAGTTTCTCGGGATTAGGAAGTCTTTTGTTATTGCCTTTAAATAGAATTGGACAATACACAATCTCCTTGACAGATCTTTGGAAGAGTACTCCTGTTTCTCATCCTGATTTTACTTATTTCCGTGATGTACGTAGAAAGAAAAACAAATTAGAAACAATCAAACAAACAAATTAGAATCATCAAACAAGTCAAGTCAAGTCAACTAACTATTTATTATTTACTATTTATATTTAAAAGGCTGTAACTAAAATGAAATCAATTCTTGAAAGTGTAAAGGAAAAGACAAGAGAATATGACAGTCAAAACAAGGTTAGATTTATTCAAGAACATTTAATTCAAAACAAAGATTCAAAGTATAGTGTATGTATAGAATAGAAATTAATTAATTTTTGGAAAAACCTGGAAAATACATACTTAAACTTATTTCTTATTAATTTTAATTTTTCTTTAGAACCTTAATGAACCACATAGAAGATATGTTAAAGAAGGATTATTAACAGAATCTACAAAGGGAACACCACAACAATTATATGTATTCTTGTTTAATGATTTGATGGTAGTGTCTGTGCAGAAAAAGACACAATTCATGTGCAAGAGAATCATTCGGTTGATTGATTCCGAGGTGACTATAGTGTCGGATGCTGTGTTGGAGGATAAACCACTCTTCCAAATCACCTTTACCGTCAATGAGAGTGAGCCTGTTGGCCAGACATCCACCAACAATGTGTTGAATGGTATCATCAATGGCATCTCATCGGCATCGTCGGCAGTGGCCAACGCAGCAAGTGACTCTGGTAGCCGTGACGAAATTAAAGATTCGTATACATTCTGTGTTGAGAGCATACGTGATCGTGACGATTGGGTCAACAGTATCCAAAACCACATCGCAATCGAACGTAAAAAGGCTGGTAACCGTCGTCCCGATGAGACTAGCTGGACGGCCCAACGAGGTGCTATCGATTTCCAAAGCTCTGAAATCAAGCTTTGTGAGCCGATAGGTAGCGGTGGCTCTGGTTGTACAGTCAATCGTTGTACTGTAGACGGTCTAACGTGTGCTGTCAAGGTGCTCAAGCTCAAAAACACGCAGACCTACCTCATCGACCAGTTTGTCGGCGAGATTAGCATCATGGAGCAGCTCAGTCACCAAAACATTGCAAAGTACCTCGGTCACAGACTGACCAACAATCCCGACCCCCGACTATGGCTGTTTATGGAGTACTACCCCTTCTCGCTCAAGGATATTATCGCCAACCGCACGTCACCGTTCCCATACGCCGACGCCATTTGGATGGCACTCGAGATTGGCAAGGGACTCGAGTTTTTGCACACTCAAAAGCCATCACCCATCATCCATCGCGATCTCAAGCCCGGTAACATCATGTGCTCGATGGACGAGAACAACCGTGTCAGCAATGTCCGTGTCTGCGACTTTGACACGTCCAAAGTACTGGCTAGCGGTGTCACACTAAAGACTTGTATCGGGTCACCCATCTATATGGCACCTGAAGTGCTTGACATTAATACGACCGAGGATACAGACGGATACACCATCAAGGCTGATATTTGGTCATACGCCATGCTCGTCTTTGAAATTGTCACACTTCGTACTCCCTACCACCAATTCTCGCATTTACAAGCCATTGAAATGATTTTAAAGGGTACTCCACCTCCCATCCTCAACAATACTCTTCCTCCATCCTTCCAACCCCTACTCGAAATTGTTTATTCTTGTCTTGATTTGGACCCGAAAAAGAGACCATCTGCCGCTAAGCTCTGTGAAAGACTTGGAAAGATTTTAAAGATTGCTCAAATCTAAAAAAAAAATGGATGATCTCTCTTTTCTTTTTTTTGTAATAATTTATAATAATATTATTTATTTATTTATTTATACATAATAATAAATATTCCTATTTGGTCAAGTGTCCAAACAATATATATATCCACCCAATACTTTTTAAACTAAAGGAAATGAGTAAATTTATTCATTATCATTTTTGATGATGGGTAGCACCACGGATCCAATTAGGTTTTATTTAATATCTTTTTCTCTCTCTCTCTGTCTTTTGTCAGTATAGATAATAATGATTGAATATTATTACATGCTCGTTGAGCTTCAAGGTAGGTGGCCAATTGATCGTAATAACGTTTGGGTTCTCGGGACACCTGTTTCGTTCTATTTTTTATATTAGAATGTGTTGTGTATTCTGATACAATCAAATTGATTTGATCGACATTGGATGACAATTCATCATCATCACCTTTACCAAGACACTCGTTTGGATACAATTGCATGATAGCGTGCAAGTTGACAATACATTGGGCATTTTCCAAGAGTAGTGGGATAGAACTTTCAGATTTTTTGATTGGAAGTTTCTCTAACCACTCTGGAATGAGTTTACGTACCAATGGAGCCAACTGAGGTACATGTAGAATAAATTTACCAATTGCTGAAATGGCACTTCGAGTTTCCCTTGGTTTCTTTTTCGATACGAGATCTTTGAGTAGTGTGAGTGTTGTCAATAGGTATGGTGCAAACTGCTCCTTTGCATTGGCTGCAGCCACACCCAATCCAAATGCTGCATTTTGTGCAATCATGACTGGGATGATTTGGGGATACAATGCAATACTTGGTTGACCACCAAATTCACAAATATCTGAAAACATTTGTAGTATTGATTTCTTGATTATTGGATCCGTTTGGACCAAATGTAGTACTTGAATAGTCTCTGATAAAATATCCATGTCTACGATGACATGGATTGCAACCTCTTTTGTTTTTTTGACCAAAACACCAACGAATTCGTAGAGGCATTTAATTGCATATGACAGGTCATCTTCATCATCTTCATCATCATCTTCATCATCATCTTCTTCTTTTTCTCGATCTGTTCTATCCAAAAGACCAAAACATATCTTTTTTGCAATCCACAACTTTGACATGACGTCTTGGATCTGTTCAAATGTCATGAAATAGTCTCCCATCATTTCGGTAAGGTTTTTAGCAACGCGCAACTTTTCTAGCAGTTCACCAACACGACTCGAACCACTCCACGAATCGAAAATACATGACAATAGTCTAGAGTATAGTGTTTTGGATTGTTGACTATTGTTTCCATATCTATCGATGCATACACTGAGCAATGAATCGAAATTGCTAATAGCATTTTTACAAATATCTCTACTAGCATTGGTGGTTGAGAGTCTTGTGCATGCATCGACCAATGGTTCAAGATATGGATAAATGATAGACTCGCTCGAATTTAAAAAGCTTCCTATACTTTCCAATGTACTGATGACCAGAGTCTTTTGAGTTTTGCTGACAATATCTTGATTGACAATATCCAAAACGAATTTCATTGTTGGTGCAAGGTAGATGGAATAATCTTCTTTCAGAATCTTTGATACCTCTTGACATGTTTCGAGATAACCAAAAAAAAGATCAACGCCATCCTTCTTGATCTTGGTCGTGTTGACAAGTTGAAAGAAAGATTTAAAATTCTTTAAAAATCGTCGTTTTCCATGATTACTTGACGCAAAGTTTTGAATGGCTTTATAGGCGTAATGACAAAATTCCCTAGATGATTGATATTTTCCCAAAACTACAATAATTTTATCGACAATTGAATTTGAAAAGAAATGCTATAAAGATAAAAAAAAAGTAAGTAAGATAATTCTAAAAGAATCTTTTTGTTTTTAAAATTTTAATACAAACAGAACTATCATCTTCTTGAGGATATGAAAATGTAGAGACAATTGATGATAAAGCACTTTCTATAACATCTCGACATGGTGATTCTAATAAATGTTCAAGTGCCATAAATAAATTATTATCTGGTGTTGAATCTAAAGAATCATCAAAACAACATTCTAAATAGATTTCAATAAATCCGCACACTATTAAAAAAAAAGAAATGAAATGAAAATTAGCAAATATACATATCAATAATTATTTTCTAAAAGATACTTGCAAGCTGATTGTGCATTAACATTTGGATCTTGAGCAGCTATTTCATAGGTAGATGGTAAGAGTTGTTGCACAAAACAACCCGAATATTGTTGGCAATCCTCACATATTTGAGAAAGAAAAGTAAAAAATGCGCATCTAACTCGAGGATTGGTATCTTGAGCAGTTGGAATGAAAATGCTGAGAAGACTTTCAAATTCTTTTCCAAAAGAATTGTCATTTTCAGCCAAATAGGGAACCATTTTAGTATAGATTACCAATGCAACATATCTATCTTTCCAACATAGTGAAACAACTCTTCTTTTGCATTCTTCCAAAGTAATTTTCCATGGAACTGGATTTGCTAAAAACTTTGCAAAATCTTTAATCATTTGTTGATAATCTGAATAATTTAAATACTTTTCTTGTTCCTCTTCTTCTTGACTATCTTTTTCATCATCTTCTTCTTCATCTTCTTCATCTTCATCTTGTTCATCTTCCTCTTCTTCATCATCTTCTTGTTTATCTTCTTCATCTTCATCTTGTTCATCTTCTTCTTCATCTTGTCCATCTTCTTCTTCATCTTGTTCATCTTCCTCTTCTTCATCATCTTCTTGTTCATCTTCATCATCATCTTGTCCATCTTCTTCGTCTTGTTCTTCGTCATCTTCCTCTTCTTCATCTACTTCATCTTGTTCTTTTTCTTTTTTGTCAATATCATTGAGACATTTGGTTTCTTTAACTTTAGAAGAAATATTTGAATAGACTAATGATACAAATTGTTCGAGTTGGTGATGTTGTTGTTGTTGTTGATGATTCCAGTCACTAATTGGAACTGACAATAACATTTTGAATAGCATTCCTATGTTTAAAAACCTTTCTGGTTGTTTTAAAATGGGCATGAATGTTCCAATCGTGATTTTTGCATGTTTGGTAAACCAGTCTTCCTCTTTTGAAACATTTGATAATAATTTTCGGATGACCTTGTCAACCAATTCCATATCACCTGCTTGATAAGCTTGACCAATGAGTGGCATGATCAATGGAATGATTTCATCTTGAATAGAAAAAATTTTGATAAATAGCTCCAACGATGCCAATCGAATCCTCTCGCTAGTACAGTTCTTTAATCCAGCTACCAAGGCTATTTCTATTGATGAATCAATATCACCACGATTCTCTCTGGCCAATTTACGCATTCTTGCCAAAAATAGAGACCCATTTCCATTTTCAATCAATTCTATCATTACCCTATGAATATAATCTCCACTTTTATCTATATATATATAATTGGTTATTATTATTATAATAAAAATTAATGATTGTATTATTATTATGTTTTTCTTTCTTTTTAATATTTACCTCTTGAATATACCAATCGAATTGATTCAATGATAGTGTCGATATTTTTTTCTGATTGTACTTGTTTGGTGGATTCGATAACTCTTTTCTTTAATAGATCAACTAATAAAGGTTTGTTTGATATTTGTTTCATTACAACATGTAGTAATTTACCTGAATTTGATAGAATCTAATAATAATAATAATAATAATAATAATAATAATAATAATAATAATAATAATATTAATAATAATAATAATAATAATAATAATAATAATATTAATATGTTCGGTGAAAAAGGTAATATAAATATTTATAAACAAGATGATGACCAAATTATAATTTCTATAAACGACTATACATACAGTGCCATTTTGACTATACGTTTGTAGATACAATAACCATGAAATAACATCTTCAACTTGTTCATCAACATATTTTTGTGTTTGTTTTGTTTTATAATCTCGTTCAATGAGTTGGATAAATTCTAATGGAGGTTCATTCATTGTTGTTGTTTATCTATAACAAATGATCTTGTGCCCTTGAAAGTGTTTTATAGAGAACTGCAGTGTCCAGATGAGGAAAAAAACAAAAACAGAATAGGCGCCAAGAATTAGATCGATGTGAAGTGTCATTTTTCGAGCTAGCTAGGCCCCAGAGCAAACTTGAACCGTGCTGAGGTGGCTCAAGTTTTGTTGTTCTGCAGCAATGCGCTGCTGGTATGATGGTCATAAACTACACTATGATGGCGCCATCATAGGTTAATCGACGGAAGCAAGTCAAACTAAATTGATGATAGTTTTGTTGTGATCATGAGAGAAAAAGTCACATTTGTGTTAGTATGCACCTCTGTAGAAACGCTCCTCGACAGAGAGGGCAGACACACAAAAAAAAAAAAAAAGAGATAACTACATTATTAACCATAGGTGTCTACCTGTACTTGTTTGTGGTTGACTTGATAGATTCACACAAATAAAGTTGTTTAATCATTACTATAAAAGTAGTAATGTACTTGAATCTGATAGAACCTATAATCGAATAATCACGAAATGGGTTAACGCAAGATGATGATCAAATTCTATTTTCAAAAACAACTACTTACAATATCATCTGACAAGAATAACCATGAAATAACATATGTACTTGTATTTCTGTTAAACAGTATTTCTGTAAAAATACACGACAATATTAAATATTATTATATAATATATATATATTCTTTTAAGAGAAGAATATTGAGTGAAAATGAAGCTTCAGTCTTTTTTTAATATCTTTTTTCTCTGTTGTCTCTCTTTTATTAATAAAAAAATACTCATGGTTGATATTTAATTAAGAGAGAGATAATGATTCTTTAGAAGTTTTAATTTAATCTTTTTTGATGATGGGTTACACCACGGATCCAATGCAGATTTTCTTTTCCAATTCCATCTCTTCACTACGACCACCGTCAACAATGAATACTAATTTCAAATGTTTTAAATTTGGATGAGAGTTGGTTGATATTATCAAAAGAAATGATGAGGTGATTGTGAGATAATTATCTAAGAGAAAAATGTTAGTAAATAATTGTATATTATAGATAAATTATAGATTCAACATACTATCCTCTGGTAACTGAATATTAGCAATTAATTTAAATTTAAATAACAATTGACTGAGAATATTGGTTGAAATGGTTGGTGTGTGGAAGAAGCAATAGTTGATTTTAAGTTGAGTCAATGTATTGTTTGATCTGAATGCTTCCATAAATCCACTTCTAATATCGGTTGTTATCTTTTCAATGGGTGTTGGTGTGAGATGATCCATTAAAGTGTTTGATATTGGTACTGTCTTTGATAGAGGCAAATACTGGTTGATATCTCTTGAAATAATCTTTATCGTTGAATGAGTTCTGTCATTTCTATTCTACAATAAACCTTTTTGATACACTTATGGTTTCGAATGTATTCAAGGGTGTCTTTAATCATTCCGTCATCTGGTCGTTCATACTCTATATTCAATGAAAGTGATGTGAATATGTTTGAACATTGACCAAAGAACTCTTCAATATTGATCGAGTTTTCATTGTCAACCAAATGAGCAGGGATGAAAAGATGTTCAAGTGGTGAATGAATATCTTTCAACTGTCCCTTCTTTTGATCTTCCAATAGATCGATTAAAGTGTTTCCAATTCCTCGTATTACCATAGTCACCCACAGTAACAGATTCCAACTGTTTAATGATAGAATATTCAGTAAGTTGTTGTCCTTTAATCATCTTTGCAAATACATCTTCAGATTTAAGCCAAACATCATCATTCTCATTGAGATGAGTGATGAGTGATGATACAAGTTGAAACCATTTCTTAGATACTCTAGCCAAGTTGTAAGACTCTAAAGTAAATACATAATATATCTTTTTGAATGATTTGATTGTTGATTGTGATAATATTAATCGAATGATATATTGGTCTATAAAATTACTTGTTTGTTTTAACATTATGCAGCACAAACTTTGACAATTAATTTTGAAAGAAGAGGAACTTTAAATAATGAATTAAAAACTAACTAATCTACGTTAGAAAATTGGGATGAGATTAAGGGAGAAAAAATGGAAATTGAATTTTTTTATAGTACTTACAATGCTACCAGCATGATGAATTGAAAAGTCATTTCGATTGGAATCACCAAGACAAAGGACTATTCCATCATCAGATACCATAAGTTTTTCATGGGTATTTCTGATAACTTTGACTTTCTCTTGTAATGGATCGTCATCACTACCCAACAATTCCTCCTCCCCCTCCTCTTCTACATCTTTATCCTCCGCAACACCCTCTCTTACACGGTTGGATCCAATTTGGCAATCAAATCTTTACCATTACCATTACCAGAACCACTAAAAACATCGTTCCATCCTTCTATGACTGCAACACCAAAATCATTACCAAAAAGTGATGGAAATGATACTTGCTATAATAAATAATTGAAAAGTTAATTCAATGCTATGAATATTTTTTTTCGGTTTAAACATGCATCAGTACTAACATAGAAAAGCTTTTTATATTGATGGGCAACTACAAGCCAAGGATCAATTCCATGATCAAAGAAAGTACATGTGAACTTTGTTACACCTGGTTTTTGAATCTTCAAGATGAAAACTAGGAGGAGAAGATGGGCGAACTTGGCATCATCTTTTTGTACAGTCTTTAAATCACCTGTCAATAAAAAGGGAGTTTGTTTGATGACAGGATTGGCTGGATCATTTTTCCATCCAATTCCAAAGTTCTCTCCAGTACAATGGCTCAGAATGGCATAGTTTTTGGCATTTTGGTCTGAGTTCTAATAAAATCCCAAGTAGGAGTTTTGAACTTACGACAATTTGTAATCTTTCTTGCATCTAAAAAAACATAAAAAACATTAGTAATTTTGTCAAAAGATAGATATCTGGTATCTGGATATAACATACAAAAAGAGTAAACGTTAAAACTACCAAGAGTTTGAGTGTGTTTGACACAATTTTCCATTGTAGTTTTGTATACCATATCATTTTTTAACATATTTGAAAGAAGGATTTCACCATTAGCTTTAACCTTTGATTCTCTATCAATATGTTGGGAGTAGGCAAACCATTTCTCATCACATTTCTTTGCATTGGGATCATCAATTTCTTTTTTAACAATCTGATAAGATGGACCCTTTGGAGAATTGCTTGGTCCCAATCTTGCCTTTGTATAACTAAGAATATCAATATAAATTTGTTAATGTTTGTCATCCTTGAGGGTATTACAAAAAGCATGTTGAAAAGGGTTTTGAGAAGATGTTGCAAAGATTGTTACACCTCTTCTATCAGGCATTCTCATGGAATGTGAAATATGGTATCCTCTATTACCATCATTCACAAATAACACCTTGATATTTTTAAAAAAAAAAGAAAATCAAATTAGTATCACATATTAATATTTTAAAAATAATTGATTAAACCCAATATATTATAATAATTACCTTTACATGACCTTCTTTAAACTCGGATTGATAGTATGGATTTCCTTTTCCTTTTGGTAGTTCATGGGACCATTCAATTTTAACGATCTTTGTTTGTTTTGGCACAATCAACTTTTCCATCTGTCAATTCAAGTGGCAAGGGTTCGGTATAGGGGTAGGGATGTGTTTTTTTTAATACATTTGCGTTTATATCCTCAGCCTTTTCTAGGTCGACATGAATCAAGTTAAAGAAAAAATCTTTGTTCTTTACTAGTTCAACATCATTCACTAAAAAATTATTATTATTTATTAATAAAAGTATAATGATTCATAACTATGGGTAACTAACTTGAACTATCCATATAGAGACCAGAACCATACATGCTAGTCACAGGTCCGCCAGACGGATCAGAAATGTGAATCCACAAATCCACTGCTTCACCTTTTGAGTTGAGACACGAAAGAGGTACATTTTTAATTGGATCACCACTCCAATCTTGAATAAAAAATAATGTTAATGTTAAAAGTATTAGATACATTGTCTAAATTGATATAATATTTAGTTCTCTCTTTTTTGATTTTGTTTAAATACTCAACTGATTGCAATCCTCTTGACCGATTCCATTGTACAAACCTAAAAAGAAGAAGAGTTGGACTTGGTCCAACTATCCAACTACTCCTAAATTGGGTTAAATTTAATAAACCATATACATCCATGTGATTTATAGTTCGAGTCTAATCTAAATAGTTATTTTTGGATAAAACCAGATAGGTTACTCTCTGTCTTTTTTTCTTTTTTTTTTGGGCAGAGGAAAAAAAAAAATTAATTAATTAATTCCCATTCCCATCCAACAAGTACCCAAACCCCAAATAAAATATAAATAATATGTTAAATAATACATACATTTGATTTATTTTTAGATTTATATTTTAGATTTATCGATTTATAAATATTTATGATACAATGGTAGTTTTTTTGAATTGTAAAGCTAATAATGAGATGATTCTCCAAGCAACTGATAATGCTACCATGATGGCAATGGAATGATTGATGTTGGTATCTTCCCATCCATAGTTTGTGAGTACTTGCTCACCGTTGGAAATGGGGCAGACTGTACCATTTCCATCGAGCGATTGTGAGCCTGGACAAACAAATGTTTGTCCACGAAACTCGTTGATGGCGACAATCTCACCCGCGTATTTGGTCGGCAGCGCATAGTTTATGATTTGCAAGACTTGGGGGAACTGGTCATTGGGACGGAAAAAACCAGACAGCAGTGTAAATAGAGAGAGTAGTACGTTGGAGATGGTCGTAGCCATACCGACATCGTAAAAGAGTGAGCAGACAAAGAGACCAACCGACTCGCCCGAAAACAACAGTATAAAGATGGTCAGTGCAAATCGGAAGAAATGGGCCGGTGACTCTTGGTTGAGTCCGAGTACAAAGTAGACGACCGTCGTAAACACGAGTGACGACACTGCGTTGAACGGGAATTCGACAAACATATAGGAAAAGAAAAAGGAAACGGTGCTGTACAGCCCGTCAAACCGCTCTCGATAAAACAAGTTTCGTTCGACGGGAAAGAGTGCTACGCAATTAAGAAGTGCCACAAAAATCATCGATAATGATTCGTAGAGGAAACCAGACCTATTCTGCACCGAGTATTGGTCATCTTTAAGTCTTAAAAAGCAAAGACACATCATGATACCAAATGACACGATCTGTGAGAATCTAGTGATCGATGCTTCAATATCTCGTAAATGGTTGACATAGGATCGTCGTGTCAAGATTGGTACTGACTTGTAAAATGGTAGTTCTTCACGCAACTGAGATGACAGTTTCATGTCCTCCTCCCTATTCCTACTGCCACCCGCAAATATCCTCTTTAAACCCTTGGCAGTCTTGACCACCTCCACATCTTGTTGAGTAATTTCAGCACGGTGTCTACCAATCTCCTCTAATAAATTCTCGTGTAAACTCGATCCATTGTATCCATCAATCAACAGTCTCAATCTATCAACTGATTGTTGTTCCAATGCCAATGATCTATAATCAATTGAACAAATGTCAACTAAACATAATAGAAATAAATAAATAAATACATTTCTTTTTTTTTTTTTTTTTTTTTTTTCCAAACATACTAAAATAATCAGCAGGATTCTCCAACTTGGGAACAATAAAGTTTAATTTGGAAAAGTGTTGGTGCATGGATGGAATATCACCAATGTATACTAGTTGACCTTTGGAAAGTAACATGACCTGATCAAACAATTTGAAAATATCGGATCGTGGTTGGTGGATCGTGCAAATGACTGTACGGTTTTGCCTTGCAATCGATTGGAGAGTGTTTACGGCTTGAAAGGCTGTGAAACTGTCTAGACCACTTGTAGGCTCATCGGCAAACACTATACTTGGGTCAGTAAGCAGCTGGCATCCAATCGACACTCTACGCTTCTCGCCACCAGACACACCCTTTTTGCCAGCACCTCCAATACGAGTGTTGGCACAGTCACGCAGACCAAGTTCTGATATAACAGCTTCGACACGTTTCACCTTGTCTTCATGTGACACTGACGATGGGATACGCAAGAGAGCATTGTACATGAGTGTCTCACGTACTGTCAAATTGGGTAACAAATAATCCTTTTGCATGACATACCCAACACTACGCTTGATGAGTGAATGTGGTGGCGACACTATATCATTAAATAATACATCTCCATCTACACGCATCTGTGATGAATCGTAACGTCCAGAAATAGTATTTAGCAGTGTTGTTTTACCTGATCCTGACCCACCCAAGATAGCTGTCAATTGACCAGGTCGTATCACTGCACTGATACTATTTAATAGCTTTTTCTTTCTACTTTGTGGAGGTGATGTAGCTCCAGACGATGATGATGAACCTCCATCTTTACTCTTTTGGTCTTTTTTAAGTATAACCGATACTTTGTCGAGTGTGATAGTGATAGGCACCTTGTTCATATTGGCTGCATTATCCATCGTACTCTTGTAGCTCAATGGAGCGGTCAGTGACACTGATACAGGTACCATGGGTACTGAAGAAGACGATGCAACTGAGCTGCTGTCATATGACATTGTCATAACCTGTGGATTTGATGATATTGGCAAGTTGATGGGAATGTCGTGACCGTCCTGTGATATGGGTTGTGCTGCTGCTGTCGAGTCTGCAGCAACAGAGTATCTACGATTCTGCTTGCTATCTACAAACATCTCTACCTCCTCGCTATCATCACAACTTATCATCGATGCTGGTGATGATGGTAGAGGACTCATTGTCGCTGCTGTGACTTGCTCATCGTCTCCATCATTATTATTATTATTACTATTAAATTGTTGTTGTTGTTGTTGTTGTTGATCTTCTTCCATCTCCTTCCTCACTTGATCATCTTAAGTTGCCTGTATTATTATTATTGCTACTAACAACCAAACAAATCAAACACCCTTGGGAGAGTCTATACAAAAAAAAAAGAGATAAACATAAAGATCCACACTTGTCACACTTCTAGTGAAGCCGATCTCTTTTGTTTTTTTTGAAGCCATCTTCCAAAGCATTTTCTGTTCATTGGGCCACAAACAAAAATACAAACAGACAAGGAAGTATTATTACCATCATCACCTATCTTTTTATTTATCTTTTTATTTGTGTTTGTATATGTAAGATAATTACATCGAAAGTTTTTATGTTCGTCCCAGCAAACAACAACAACAACAAAATATTAGTTATTAATCAAATATATACATCTATAAATAGGATATCATCCAAAAGATAAATTTACCGTCTTCTGATGGATCTCTGAGTTTGAAAAGAAAAGAAATGGTTTATTTGTTCAGATCTGATGTAAATTTTACCCTCGTTTTTTCCCCAAACCATCAATGGAAAAGTTTGGAGGAGAATAATGAGTATTCATATAAAAGTATTGCTTTAGAGATTTTGATAGAGTAAAGTATGGGTGGTCTGGTGTACAGTTTTTTTGATCAAGTACCAAATATTCAACGGTATCATTTACCAACAACGACGTAAACAGCTCGTCTATTACATCGTTTTCAAACTCGTTTTCAGTAATGTCCAACACTGTGATTGATTTGTTTGCCTTGAATGCCATTGCCAGATCTTTGCATCCGGTTGAACCTATTCGATTGGCAGCGATTGAAAGGGTCTTGATGGTGTTGTTGATGGACAACATATTTGAAAATGATGGCATCAGCGAATATTCCAAAGTCGACTCTGTCAATATCAATGTGGTGATGTATCGGTTGTGACAGAGGTCATCAAACAATTGCGAGGAAATGGAAAATCTTTCCAACTCTAGAAATTCAATCTTGACTTGATTTGGACTGTCTCTCCAAACAGCCCCGAGTCGATTGAAAGTTCGAGTATCAACATCACACTGATTAACCATCGCCAATCTTTTCAAGGTTGTATTATTGGATAGATTGTGACAAAATTCACTCCAATCAGTACCCTGAAAAATGTCTAAAGAATGGTGATCATAACATGGATAATAAAAGCCGGAACCATCATCATCATCATCATCGTCATCACCACCAAAACAACACATTGGCACTTCAATTCTTAGAGACTCTAGTTTATATGGGGAGGCAACCAACTGTTTTAATTCGCTAGGGTCAACATAGTCGTGACCAATATTGAGGTGGCGAGTGTCTTTGATTTGTTTCAATATTTCGAGGTAAGAGACATGCGCATTTCTCTCACCAAAATGCATGTTGAGGTATTGTGGCTTGATGTCATTGAGAAATTGCACAAACCTATCGGTGACCAATCCACCTTCGGTAAAGAGATCGTCTATGTATCGATAATTGCCAATCTCGAGTACGCAAGTGTCGGTACGAATGTTTGCGTCGGATGGCCAATCAAACGGTCCTTCTTCATCCAACTGCTGCTCAAAGTTGACAGTGATGTGTGCGGGGTAATCACGTGTGATTTGGCGAACCCCGTCAAAGATGGACGAATAGATTCCTTTGCACACAAGGTTCAATGTCTTTAGTTGTGGAAGCAGTACGACCATTTGCTTATAATTAAAGAGGTCATTGTCGATGCCAAGGTCATTTGACAGCTTCCAATTTAAAGTTTCGATCAAATTCGAATCATACACAGAGTACTGTGATTTGAATCGTCGAAATAGATCCTCTTGCAAGAAACCGAGTACATTGATCTTTGTTCTTGTATGTCGTACCACTTGCAACCACCACCTTGATACCAACGCAATGTTGATCAGTTCTCTGTGATCAACATAGGGTCTATGTTTTGGATAGGGCTCACCTCTCTCCAACAAGTACCGTCGCTTTCGTCCCGATATCGGTCGCATTCTCTTGTCTTTTTGAGAGCAATGCTTTCTCTTTTCTCTTTCTTTTAGCTCGGCATTAATAGCTGTCTTTTCTCTTGACTTTTTATCGATAAATCTTTTAGATGATTGAATCGATTGAACGTAATATTTAACGACTATGGCCTGTATAAATGGTGATAGCGTAGAGCTCGTAGACATTGATTACGTCAACACTAGTCCTAGGACTACTTTGTAGCTCGTTTATAAACTTGTACCAACAAATAGTGCTCTCTATTTTTGCTACTAACAACCAAACAAATCAAACACCCTTGGGAGAGTCAATACAAAAAAAAAAGAGATAAACATAAAGATCCACACTTCTCACACTTCTCGTGAAGCCGATCTCTTTTGTTTTTTTTGAAGCCATCTTCCAAAGCATTTTCTGTTCATTGGGCCACAAACAAAAATACAAACAGACAAGGAAGTATCCTGTGCACGAGAAGAAGATGCTTTAGAAAAGTCCCATACAAACAGGTCAACTAAATATACCCATTTCTTTCTTTGTTTCAAGACGAGAAAACAGTCTAGTGCTAGTTTAATTTTAGTTTGACCAGCAACAAACAAACAAACACCCCCTCACACCCCACCTCACTCAACACACCTCTAATTTTAAAAAAACAATACTTACTTAGTATTACTATTACCATCATCATCTATCTTTTTATTTATTTATTTATTTGTGTTTGTATATGTAAGATAATTACATCGAAAGTTTTATGTTCGTCCCAGCAAATTAAGAGATTAAAAAATAGATTTTATTTAGGCTGGAGCAGAGTTCATTCATTCAAAAAAAAGTCACCCAACAAAGAGACCATTTCTTGATATTAATATTTATATATCGTATCATCCTTCCTTTTGTTTGTGCAATATATTATACATATATAATTAGATATATAGATAGATAGAACAATAGATTGTGTAGTATCATCTTCCTCCTCATTCCTCATTCCTCATTACTCAATTCTTTCCTTTCTACTACCACTGCGACTTTTAAAAAGAAAAGAGATAGTAATAGAGCAAGAAAAAGTTAATAATAATAATAATAATAGTATTTGTTGTAGTATTATATACAATTGTATTATAATAATAATAATAATAATAATGGGAAATGAAGAAAGTAAATCAAAGAGGTTGGATATTATAAATGATGAATCGGTCATTGGAAATGACGTTCATATTCATAACAAGGTCAGATCGAAATCTACTCCTCCTCTGTCATCAATTCACAAAGGTGTAGCTAATAAGGATAATCATCATCATCATCATAATCATCATTCTACACCATCGACACCAAATGCAACCGATAATATTACAGAACTCCACAATACCAATACCAATCAACTATCAATGAGTGAAGATGCAGAAATCATGACAGACGACGAGTCAACATATAGTATCAATTCTTCAACCAATGAATTACCCGAACCTCAACAACCATCTTCAACTCAAGTTCCACCAACTCAACAACAACCTCAACCAACACCTAATATTAACAATATAAAGACAAAATCACAAAGTCTAGCTGAACCTGGTTCAAGTGGAAGTAGTGCTGCAAATGGTAAATCGTCTTCCTCATCATCATCATCAACGACAACAGGTAGTAATGGTGATTATACAAATACATCAATTAGTAATACATTAGACAAGAATAACTCTGAACTAAGTGTAATGTTGAAATCATTACAAATCATTGAAAAAGGAAGATATAGTTCATTTATTAAATGTGTCATATTGGGTTCAAATGGTATGTCAATCAATGTACACTTGATATATATATAATCAACTCTTATTCACACATTTCTTTCTTATTTATTTATTTATTTGTAGGAGTTGGTAAAACATCATTTATGAGAAGATTTTCATCTGGAGAATTTGATCCAGAAGAGACAACTACGATTGGTGCAATTAGAACATTACACGAGATTCATTACAATACATTATCATTGTCATTGGAGATTTGGGATACTGGAGGTCATCCAAGATTGTCTGGATTACTACCATTCTATCTTAAAAATTGTAATTGTATCATTGTAATGTTTGAACTTGGATCGATCGATTCATTTTATAAAGCAATCTCTACTATTTCAAAAACAAAGAAAATGGTTCCAGAAGGTACATTTTTCTTATTGGTTGCAAATAAAGGTAAGAAAAAAGAAACAAAAGAAAAGAGAAAAGAGAAAAGAAAATAGAAAATATTTATTAATTTTATTTTTCTTTTGGTTTAGCCGATTTATCAACACAAAGAGCAGTATCAGATGTTAAAATATCAATGGCATGTTCAGAAGCAGAGATTGGATGTTGGTGTGAGATATCGGCGAGAACAGGATATAATATTCATGAACCATTCCATATGATATCGCGGCACATAATTACAATGGTCAATGCACTTAAAAATAATCATCAAATTGAAAAACTGTACACTTCGACGATGATGGGTGGTAGAAAGACATCGCATACCGACGTGGACTCACTTTCCATCCTCACGTCTCGCGACATGTCATTGATTAAAAACAATATGTATTCATGTGTTGAACGGTCGTTTAAACCAAACGCAAACTCTGATTTGCCATTGATGGTCGTCCTTAAGCTGGATGTACTCAAAATCATAATCGAAGAGACAAATGGCAACATTTTCAACAAATTCCTTTCAAAACGAACCATTCAATTTAAAGAGTCGACATCAGCAGCAGCATCATCTCTATCATCATCCACTTCATCATTGTCAGTTTCAACCGATCAACAACCACCACCACAACCACCACAACAACCATCACCAAACAGTTCACAGACATCCTACGATGGATCATATTCGGCTGGCAGCAGCGCCACCGGATCAGGTGAGTTTAACCAACCGAATCCACCACCCTCTGAATACAAAGGTCACTTTTGTTTGGTCATTGATAAATATCACCCAAAGAGAATGGAAATCAAAAGATTGACTTCACCAAATTCATCTCCTATCCTCTCTCAACCCGAAAGATATGATATGGTTTTCATTTGTGAATATAGAGATCATCTTGTAAAAACTTTTAAAACTATTTGTTCTGCAAATGTTCCAATTAGTATGAAACAAAAATGAAAAAAAAGAACAAAGAAAAAGTATAGAGTATTAATAATATTTTATTTTTTATTTATTTATTTATTTCTAGTTGAAGGAACAAAAGGAGGAGATAGAAATGATTTTTTATATACAGTTAAAGAATACCTTAGGATGAATCAAAAGGAAATTGATCCATTGATAGAATACCAAATTACCAATACAACTTCGACACAAACATCATTTGACAAGTTGGATCTATCAAAACTATTAAAAGACGAGAGACAAATCATGGCAATTTCAAAGGCATTGGATTGGAATGGATCCATTACAAAGCTAGACCTTTCATTTAACCAATTTGATCTACTAGACGCCAAAGTATTGATAGATCTATTCAATGCAATTTCAAACTCTACTTCAATCATTCACTTGGATCTTTCAAATAATAATATTGGTTCTTCAAAACATAAAAATCTTTTAATTGGTAAAACAAAATAGAAAAAGAAAAAGAAAAAGGAAAAAAGTATAATTATTTATTCATATTTATTTTTCTTTTTTTTTAGAATTTATTAAACCATCATTAAAATTACAAACATTGATATTAAATTCAAATGATTTATGTAGTACTACTAATCTAATATCACAATCTTTATCATTCAATACTGAATTGGTAACACTTGGATTATCAAACAATGGATTAAAGAATTCAAATGCTCAATCGATTTCTCAAATGTTGCAATCCAACAAGACCATGGAGGTATTGGATCTTTCAAATAATTCCATTGAAGAAGAAGGAGCATTATTCCTTTTGAAAGCAATGGAAGTTAATACTACACTAACTAAATTACATTTACAAGGAAATAAGGGTATTTCATCAAAAACTATGACTCTTTTACCTTAAATCTAAATAATAATAATAGTAATAATAATGATAATGATAATAACCAAACCAAAACAACAACACAACAACAAAATTAAATTGTATTTACAAACTTTATCTATGTTCTTATACAAATGGTATAAAAAATAATAATTTAATACAATCAAAATATAATAATATAATAATAATAATTTAAATCAAATAAATAATTATTAAATAATAATAATATTTATTTGAAATCTACACAAACTTTCCAAATCTCGGTATTGAAGACCAACCAAAATAATGGGGCGTTTGCAAATTTCCCAAAACAACGTAAAAGGGTTCGTCGGCTCTTTGCCTCTTTTGACACTGACTAATTTATTAATATCTCTCTCGCGCGACTCTATTTATTTATTTATTAAAACAAGTACGATAATAAGTTGTAACTACAGTAGTTATTATTCTTATTGTTTAGAGTAGTAATAGTAAAAAGTTTATAGATTTTTTAAAGAGTAAACCTTCTTCTTCTTCTTTTATTTCTTGTTCTTTTCAACTAAAAAGAAAAGAATACAACACAACCTCGTTAAGCAACTCCCTTTACTAGCTCCTCCTCCACCTCCTACTTTTGGTTTAGAGAATGAAATTTGGAAAGTACTTAAAGAATAATAGAGAAGAAGAATGGCAAGAACATTATTTAGATTATAAAGAGATGAAGAAGCTTTTGTTAGAGTTGTGTGACGATAAAGCTCTTCAAGCTCGTGGACTCCATAGATCCGATAGAGGTACAGTCTTTCTTCGTTCACTGTGGCAAGAATTTCAAAAGATTGAAAAGTTTATGTCTGATAGAGAGAAATCTATTGGTAACAAAGTAAAGTTATTAGGAAATGTATGTAGATTTAGATTTAGATTTAAATCGAATTTTTGTATCTTATTGACACACAATATGTTTATTTGTTTAGTCACCAGATGCAGCACAAATCATGAATACTTGTAAAGAGGTAGAAGGATCATTGGCATTCATTCAATTAAACCAAGATGGAATGAGAAAGATCTTAAAAAAGTATGACAAGAAGGCGACGGCTACCATTGGCTTTGAATATTATCGGAATATGACAGCTCCACATTTTCAAGGCAAAACAGCATTAATGACTCATTACAAGGTTACTTTATTGGTAAATAATTAATTATTATTAATATTATTAATAGTCCAATTCCAATTTTACTTATTTTCTATATTTATTTTTAAAAGAATTATTATTCATCACAATTTGGTGATCCAAATGATATTAGTAATCAAAGTGATCAATCTGAATCTGTATTTTCATTAGCACTCGAGGAACAATAATCATTTTTGTTCCATAATAATATATAATATAATATTTTTTCCCCCAACCAAATAATAAAAAAGAAATCGAAACAAAACAAAACAGGAAATAACAACAGACATGTATACATTTATCAAACCAAATTAAACAGGGATTATTTTACATTTTATTTGAAAGTGATATATATGGGCGGTCATTTAATATCCGGTTGGAAAAATATAAATCGATTATCTTTAAAATGGTTCAGTGTAGTTGAAATATATGATTTATTTACTTTTATGTAATCTAATTGTTCCTATGAAACCACATAAGATGTAGAGACTAATTGGTTTAAACCACATTTGCCAACACCACGGGCGATCTTCATGATACCTTTCTCTCCCTTTTGATTATTAATAAAGATAGAGTCGTTAGTTTTTTGTTTGTTTTCAAAAGAAATTAAGGTAGAGTTATACATACCCAATCAGGACCCCAGGAGTTCTTTATGATCCAGTATGGCTTTTTACCTAGACCTAATATGTTGGGCTGTGATCCGTACCCGATTAAAAGGCTAGCATGGTTGAGGTCATTATCGTTGCATGGTAAGTCGAAAATACCACTTTTGTATGTACATCCACGGAGGCAGCTATTTCGGTTTCGTTGGTGCCAAGCATTACCCAGCCGGAAATTTTGACTCCAGGTTGGGATGCGTTGAACTCTTTTTGCCAGCTATAGCCTTGTAAGGTAATCTCGTTCATTAGTAATACCACCGCTGTCGATGATCTTGCATTGATGATCACAGTCGAGCAGGTTCTGTTCAGAGAGATCAACGAGTTGATTGTTTGATAAGAATTGCCCTTCGATGTTTCCTATGGCAGAGAATGCCCAACTAGAACTACACTGACCTTGGGTTTTGACTGAGGCGACAGCACCCATGGTTCTCCAATCAATTCCCGGTGAAAGGTGAGAAAGGATATGGTCAGAGGAGAGAGTAGACACTGGGGCATTATCTGGGATAGAGGTTGGGACATTGTTCATCAAGTAGATCTGATGGAACTCTTGGGCAGTGAGATCAGCAAATTGGTTGACAGCAAATATGGTATTAGAGCCAGAGGCAAGAGCGATGGTATTGAGAGCTGCAATTCTGATCAAGTTGTCCGTGAAAGTTACCAACTTTGAACCAAATTCATTGGAGTATAGGTTTTGTTATACTTGGCTTGGAAATCCTGGAATTGAATTTCTATAAAAGTAGTGAGGCAAATAGAAAAAGAAAATTTATACAAGTTGGTTAGTTTTTTGGGAACATTGAAAAAAGTAGTTAACTATTTCAGATGTTCAATTTGATAGTTCTATGACTATAGATTGATCATCATGTCAGATGTCAGGTACGATCTGTTTGATTATATATTTAAATATTTATATACCTTCAGGAGAAAGATTTATTGAAGAAGTCAAAGCTACAAAGAAGAGAATAGTTATAGCAACGACGAGTGACTTCATCTTTTTCGTTACTAGTTAAAATAAACAGTAAAAGAATAACAAGAGCTGATGAATTTGAAAGTGTCTCTTCTTCCTCCCTCAGAATTCCAAAAAAAAGGAACAATTCCGGGATCGAGATTTCCTAACCAATTATAGTTCGAATCTTCTGACTTGTAAATCAAACCAAATCAAACCAGGGATTATTTTATATTTATATTTTATATACATTTTATTTGATTTGTAATAATTGATTAATTGGAAATATCAAAAAAGGGAATTGTTGACCATTTTTCATGAAACTACCTCCTTGATCAAAGGTTAGGGTAGTTCCAGTCATCACAACAATAATATAATATATTGTTTATACAATAAATACTTTTTGTACAATACATATTTCGTTACATCAACCATTCCCCAAATTGAATGTTTCCAAAGGATATTAATGCATTTAAATCTACCTCTTTGTGAAACTATTTAACCATTTCTTTTTTTTCCAACAATAAAATAACCAATTTAAGAATAATTTAAATTGGTGCTGTGCGTCTACTTGTAGAATTGCTGGTAGTAGAGTGTGAATGATTTCAATCGATTTATCGTCCGTCCATCCATACCAGTTCTTCTTGAAAAAAAAAAAAAGAATGTAACAGAGGTACACATTTAGATTGGATTTAAATGCATTTATCTAGATCACCCTCCTTGTGGAAGATCACAATTTGCTATAATAAATATAGATTAAAAATAATTAATAATGAATAATAAATAAATAAATAGGATCCATTTTTGTTGATTGTTGTTTTATCTTTTCAACCAAGCACTACGTTTATGTTTATGATACATACAAACATTTTGCATTGTAGCTACTCTGCCAAATCCTCCAGCTCTATGGTTTCCACCACCTCCACCTCCACCTCCACCATATCCACCACCTCCTCCGCCACCGGAATGAGATCTACCTGTTTTCTTGTATTTATCTGTTGCTGGGTCCTTATAATGTAACATTGTTAGTATATTCTATTCTATTCTACTCTCTTTATCTATCTCTCTCTCTATCTGTGTAAAAAGATGAACCTACTGAAACTAAAGTGTGAAAGCTAATATAGATGTAATGATATAGGAAATGGTTAATTAATCAATCAATGTAATGTTCTTGATAACTTTAATAAAAGTAGTAGTGTGGTACTTACAAACAAGTGATTTGATTAAGTAGGTACCAAAAGAATTCTGGTATCGCTGATACTCTCCAAATACTTGTATTCTTGTTCCCAACTGACCCATCCTCTAAAAAAATTGTATGATGTTAGTATAACGCGGTGTTGTTGTAAGCAAGCATGCTACAAGTATCATACGTGAGATGTAAGTCCTTGAAGACATGTTTATATATAAATAAGACTTGAAATATATGTATGTATGTATGTATGTAGACAATGTTTCAATGCGAAATAAGAATGCATAATGGGGGTGTGACGATGCAATAAAAAACAAAAAGAATTAATTAAATCAAATTTGTGGTGTATTGAATAAACGTTGAGCGGAATGGAATGGAAATCAATTCCTCTTTGTTTGATCGATCATAGTGGTGATGACAGATCGATAATTTATTATATTATCTATCTATCTATCTATCTATCTATGAATATTTTTAATTAATTAAACATTGTGATCACCATCATCTTCATCTCTTCGGATATTGGTTTCAACTATTGGTACATTATTATTATTATTATTATTATTACTATTACTATTTGGTATATTATTATTAACATTTGGAATAATATCATTATTATTATTAGTATTATTATTATTATTATTATTATTATTATTATTATTGGAAGATGGTTGGTCCAAATTGACATTACTATTATTATTACTACTATCGATACAATTATTTTCATTACTACTACTAACACTACTATTTATACTAGTACTAGTACCGCTATTACTACTACTACTAGATTGTTTTGATAAAATGATTGATCCTTTTGGTCTTTGTATTTGTATATTAGATTGTGCCCTAGATTTACTAGGACTGGAAACACCCGAGGTGGTCGTTCTATTGGATCCAATAGACAATGATGTAGACTTTTGTGAAAGACTACTAGTTGCTGAATTAAATGAATGATCCTTTTCATATTGAACCTTTGGCACCAAACTAGGATTAATACATTGAAATTTAAAATAATTAATTGGTTCTTCTGAAACTGATATCATTACACCTATTACAACAAATTAAATAAATAAAAATTAATATAAATTAAAGAATTATACAATTCTTATTTAACACTAGAGGTTACTTACAGCCAGCCAAAACAAACTCAACAGACATTGTAATTACATTGGATGCATGTTTGTAAACACTGGTAACAGGTATTTTCAATACAATGTAATAGAGTAAATCTCGAATAAGTGTAACGATGATAGCACATGTCATGATGATGGCTAATATACGAATACGCCTGAGAATACCTTTGACTCTATCTGTTAATAGTTGTCCTTTGTATTGGTACACTTGTCGATATAAAAAGAATCCGCAATTGACACAGATCGTTCCAAAGATGGCCAGGATCGTTAGAAATCCGGCACTAAATAAATAGAGACCTACCGACGGAGCTACCTTGGCAACCACATGATATACAATTACAAATACCATCGATACTCCTATAATGCCCCATGCAAAAACCCATACCTTTCTATCATAGGTCAATATAACTGAAAATAATGCTAATAATAATCGACCCCCTAAAATATTAAAATGACCAAAAGTTTTGTTAATCATCATAATCATTGATTCATTTATCATTCATAATTTCAAAATATACAACTTACAATAAGCAGCAACCCAAGTCCAACTAAATAATTGAAAGTAAAGTGCCCAAATTGAAATATAGTCACAAACAGTACCAACCTCTTCAGTCAATGTATAAAAATAAACTGCTGTATATAATACTCTGACTATGTAGATGAAAAGAAAAATCAAATGTAAGTGAGTGGATTCAACAAGACAAGTTATATATATAACTTCTATTTATTACTTACAAATTGGATAAATGGCAACTCCGATCATTGACAAAAATCTCGGGTTAATCAAACTCTGTCGCGAATGAGAATATCTAATTTCAAAGTACATTTGAACCGATACCAAGATTGTTATGATTGCACTAACAAGAATACGTATGATCATATAAGAATATGCTAATGCCGTAAAAGCTTCTGTTCCTCCAAGTGATTCTCTTGTTATATTTGGTCCCCATGTTTCCATTTTTTGGCTTCTATTATAAAATTAGTTGATTGATTGGTTGATTGGTTGGTTGGTTGGTTGGTTGGTTATTAATAACTATTATTATTATTATTGCTATTTAACCATTGATCAAACTTCTATCCAACTCTTCTTCTTTATAAATATATATATATATATATATATATATACAATGCAACAAATAGTAGTGTTATTTTCTTTCTATCTTGTTTTGTTGTTGTAAACCAATCAACCTAAACCTTGTTGAACACTACTCTACTCTACTAAAACTAATAATAAATAATAATAAATAATAATAATAATAGATGAAAGGGGTTCCTTCCTACCTTCAACAACCAACAGAATGAAAGACCTACCCCCTCTGCACAGGAGGTGCATCACAATTAGTGAAGGCGCGCAACCACAGACAGATGTGGTTTTGATCTCTTTTTTGCTGGAGCATCAAGATAAAAGATGAACACTCTAATGCACGAAAAACTCTACCCTGAAAACCAAATATTCAATGATTGGTGTTCATAGGCAAAACTTATTGCCTTTTGGGGCTTTTAGAGCACCCCCTATTTGCTCACATCCCCCTCCCTCCCTCCCACCCTTCTTCACGATTAGTTTTTTCAATTTCCAACGATCATTGTAATGTCGTCGTCGCCTTCTTCTTAAAATTTATTCAGTGTTGTGCTTATGAAAGAAGAATGGGATGGATAGGAGGGGACAGTCCCCTGTACACCGGGTCTAAAAACTAGACTCTCTTTCAAGTCCCGAACAAAAGATCTCTTTATTCTTTTTTTAATAATTGAAAGGATATTTATCCTTCAAACAAATCGTTAGTTTTTTAGAATTTATTTCTTTTTTGAAGAGCACCTGTACTCGAGGGGTTCCATTTGAAATTTCATTTAAACATTACCGTCACCACTATTACTATTTACCTTTTCATTATTATTATTATTAGGTTCTTGGGTTATTGGGATGCTGTTGTTGTTGGCATCAACATTTGGTTGATGGGTGGAGAGTATTGATTGAACATCAACAATGGATAATCGATTCATTTGAATTTGTGATTTAGATTTTGATTTTGGTGGCAAGACATTGGTAGTATTACTCGATGATGAGCTTGTACTGGATAAAGCATCATTTGAACACCTCGAAGATATAGTCATACGACGGCCACTTGCACTAGACTCTTTTTCATGTAATGGTTTGTTCATACTTGGATTAACACATTTAAATGTTAAATAATTATATGGTTTCTCTGCAATCGATACCATTATACCTAAATAGATAGATAGATAGAAAGAGATATAAATAAGTATTAGGAATTGATTGACTGATTGATTGATTATTAATTGTAATTTGATACTTACAAAAAGCAACAGCAAATTCAATGATCATTGTTATGACATTTGATATATGTTTCAATACTGAATAGATTGGTATACCAAGGATAACATAAAATATTAAATCACGTACTAGGATAATGGCAATACTGGCAGTCAAGATGATAGCCAATATTCTAATACGACCAATAATCGAATTGATTCGATCTGTGAAAAGTTCTTCCTTTTTTTTAATTTGTCTATACAATACTGTGCCTGTCAGAATACACAGTCCACCATAGAGTGCTGCGATAGCCAGGAATCCACCGACGAAAAAGTTTGATGCTTGACTCGGGTATTTGAAGGCTAGTATGTGGTAGATGACAACATACATCAGCGATGTACCAATCATAATCCATGAAGATATCCATACCAACTTGTCATACTTTAAGATATTGACTGAAAACAATGCCAAGACCAATCTACCCCAATAAGCACCTACCCAAGTCCAACTATAAAATTGAAAGAATAATGACCAAAATGATAGTAAATCTGGTACTGTTCCAACTGTTTCACTCCCCGTAACAAAAAATGTAATTGTATATAATATTCTAACTATTTAAATATATTTAGTATTAGTATTGATATTTAAATAAAATATATATATAAAGGGAATATTGATTAATTTATTTATTTAATTTACATACAAAATAAATACATAATAACACCAAAATAAGTATAAATTCTAGGATTGATAAAACTTTTAAGTGATATCTGATATTTGTATTCCAAAACAACTTGGGTAAAACAAATTATAATGATGTATGTACAAACTATAATACGAATGATCATATATGTTATGGCTAAATCATTATATATAGGACCCCCTCCCAAAGACTCTGCTGTTATATTTGGTCCATAATACATGATGATGGTGATGGAATCTGTGATTAATATTAAATATGTTTAACTTGCTACTTTTTTGATCAAAACTTAATTAATTTTTTTTGGTATTAACAAGTATAGCTTAACTCTTACGAAACAAGATATAGTATAGACAAACAACAAACACAAGCAACAACAATGAATTTAAAAATATATTTTGTTTGTTGAAGAACCATTAATAGAAAATTAACAAGTTGTAGTTGGAGGAGGAGGGAAAAAAGTTATACGAATTAAATTATGACTGGTGTTTAAATAATACTAATATTATAAATTTATATGTATATATATGGTGAGTGGGTGAGAGGGTGTGGGTTCGATGCAATGAATGGTTTAAAAGTTTAAGGAATAAATAAATAAAATTATTAATAGAAATATAAATAGAAATGATCAAATTGAATCCTTGGCTAATTGTAATGTTAATTTTCTATTATCATCATGATTATTATCATAATGCTTAATGATCTAAAATCAATATGGTGTGGTATCGAACAAGAGGAAAAAAAGATGAGGAGAGAAGGAGAGATCGATAAATATGGGGTGGTGGTGGTGGGTATAGCAGTGGATCACCAAAAATTAAATAGAAATTAATACACTGTTTTGTGACAATGGTGGGGTGGGGTGTTAGATAATGAGACTTGTTTACCAAAAATTGGTGTCTGTCCAATGAACACTACTACCACTAATCGATCATCATCATCATCTTCATCATCATTAATATTGATCAGATATTAAAGCAAAGATTTGATTGATCATGACAAAAAAAAAAACAAAGAAATGATTAATTTATTCAACCTTTTATAATATACAATCGTTTTATTTATTATTATTATTATTCAATGACACTTAAATATGTATATATATATATATATATATATATATATATATATATATATATATATATTAAGTATTAAACTTTAATTTATTATTAATTATTTATTTATTTAAAGAAAGAAAATGAGCTGAATGAAATGCCCAATATTTTTAGTTTGTTTACAAAATTAAAAGTAATAAATACGCATATGGACTTCTAAAGAATTAGAGATAATTTCTCTCTCTTAATTAAATATCAACCATGGGTAATTTTTTTCAAGTCTATTCTAAACATATATGGGTGCTCTTTTAGGAGCATCGAAAATAATAAAGAGAGAATACGTATAGACAAACAATCTTATTCATTTTTTTCACACCCTAATCTTCTTTTGTGTATTTATTTTTACATACTATTTAATGATGAATGGTTCGCCTCCATTAGAATTTATTCAACTCGTTGAACAAGAGGATGATAAAACAATACAAATACAAATACAAAAATACATTGATAAACAAATTGAAGATGTTATTTCATGGTTATTCTATCTTTTAAGCAATAGTCAAGATGAAACTGTAATTATAATAGATATCTATCTAGTCCTCCTCCTCTATCGATCAATCTACTTAAATACCTTTTCCCAACTATTATAGATTCTATCAAATTCAAATAGATTGTTAAGTGTTGTAATGGAACAAACATCAAACAAAGCTTTACTAGTTGATCTATTAAAATCAAAAATCATAGAATCAACCAAACAAGCAAAGTCAAACAAGAATATGGACATGATTGTTGCATCAATTCAATCAGCATCTAATTTACTTTATCCAACAGAATAATGATATTTAGAATAACCAATATTTTGAATATCTTATAAAATTAATTTGAATCTATAGATAAAAGAAGAGATTATATTAAAACTGTATTGATAGAACTGATCGAAAATGAAAACGAGTCTTCAATATATACAGGAATGCGGTTGTTGGACAGGATGCGTGGTATTAATATTGATTCATCGATAGAAATGGTCATCGTGGTAACCAGACTAAAGAACAATAATAGTATTAATAGTAGTAAGAGAATTCGATGGGAATCGTTGGAGCTATTAAATTTTATCGATTTTGATTCTATTCGTGATGAAGTCATTCCATGGATCATGTCACTTATTGGTCAAGCTTTTCGTGCAGGTGAAATGGAATACGTCAGTTACGCCATCCAAAGATTATCAAATGCTTCATCAGACTGGTTTACCAATCACCATGCTAGAATCACCATTGAAACATTCATGCCCATTTTAAAACAACCAGAAACGTCTTTGGAATTACCAGTCATAGGAATGACACTCAAAATGTTATTATCAGTTTCAAGTGATGACCTCGTAGAATGGGATCAACAACAACAACAACCCGAACAATTTGTATCATTAATCTATTCAAATGTTTCTTGTAAAGTTAAAGAAATAGATCTAGACATTTGGAATAATGATATTGATGAAAAAAAAAAAAACCATGATTCAGACGACTCTGATGATTCGGATTTGGAAGATTCTGATGATTCAGACGAGTACTCAGGGTATTCAAAAGAGGTTTTAGATTATTCAGATGAACAAACGATTAAAGAATTTGCACAGTTTTTAGCAAATCCAGTTCTATCAAATATCATTCTAGAGGAATGCAAAAGAAGAGTGGTCTCAACATTTTGGAAAGATAGATATGTCTCATTGTTACTCTATACTAAAATGGTTCCCTATTTGACTGAACATTATGACCAATCAGAGTCTATTGGACAAGAAATGGAGAAAATTATCAAGGTTTTTATGTCAACTGCCATTGATACCAATCCTCGAGTTGGATGCGCATTTTTTACTTTTCTTTCAGAGGTATTTAGGGATGGCCCACATTTTTCGATTAGTCTTGTCAATCAACTCTTACCCTATACCATTGAAATAGTAAATCAAGATTCAAACGATCGTGTAAACTTGGCTTGCAAGTATTTACTAAAAATTCTTATTTATAAATATGTTTTTGGTTAATTTATTATTATGCTAATAATACAAACAGAAGTATTTGTTTTTCCAGCAACTAAAAATATAGAGGTAATTGCATATAAAGTACTTTTTAAAATAGAAATACGTGGTGTTTCTAATAAATTTTCAAGTGTAATAAATAAATTATTTGGTGAAATTGATTCTAAACAGTCCTTTTGACAATTATTTAAAAATACATTAATAAAATCACACCCTAGAGAAAAAAAAAAGAATTAGAAAAAACATATTTATAAATAAGAATTTTTAGACATAAAAGTTTTGGTTAATTTTATGTCTATTATATCTAAATTGTTTTTGAAAACAATTAATTAATTATCTTTATATTTATAGTTTTTCTTTTCAAATACAATTTTTATCAAGATTATTTTAATTTCCGAACTATATTATTCTAAAATTGGTCATTTAGCCTTGGAAGCGATTCGCGAATTTGCAAAAAGAAATGGTAAACGATTCTCAAAGCAATTTAAAGCTTTTCTTGAACATTTCAACGAGATGAAGTGTGGTGTCGAATATGGTATATTTTCAGATTATATCAAAATATGTATGGAGGCATCAGAGACTCTTGGAAAAGATTATTCAATCTACATTGCACCAACAATGAAAATCATTTTGGATATTCTCAATCAATCGGTCGGTCGAACTCGCGAGCCTATTGCACGACTGATGGTCCGTGCATTAAAAGGCCTCAGATACTTTTTAGACTGGACCGATTCTAGCATTATTCCATATCTCGAGACATTGGTCAATGTTTGTACAAGACTCTCAATCACCCAAGTTGCAGATGACCAAGATATTTATGATGCTACTGATATTTGTTATCGTGCCATTAATAATTTCTATCCATTACTCTGTGTAAGCAACGATAAATATGGAAACCATAGTCAACAAGCCACAACACTATACTCTAGATTACTATCATGTATCTTGGATTCGTGGATTGGTTCGTGGAGTGACCAAGATATCGATTTGTTCAGTAAAAAGTTGTTTGTTGCAAGAAACTTGACAGAAATGATGGCAGACTATTTCATGACCTCCGAACAAATCACAAATGCCATTTCAAAATTGTGGATTATCAAAAATAAGGTGTTTGGTCTTCTTTTAGTGGACGACAGAGATGAAGACTACGAGGTGGATCAAGACTCTAATATTGAACTACTGGCAAATCTCTACAAATTGGTTGGTCATTTTGTCAAAAAAACAAAAGAGGTTGCGATCCGTGTCATCATAGTAATGGATATTTTATCAGATACTTTGCAATTTATCAATAACCGAAAAGTAGACAATTATATCAAGCAATCAATACTACAAATGTTTTCAGATATTTGTGAATTTGGTGGTCAACCAAGTATTGCATTGTATCCTCAAATCATTCCAGTCATGATTGAATATCTTTCATCAGACTGTGACGAGTCTGCACAAAATGCAGCATTTGGATTGGGTGTGGCTGCAGCCAATGCCAAGGAGCAATTTGCACCATACCTATTTACAACACTCAGACAACTCAAAGACCTCGTATCTCGAAAAGAAGACAAGGGAAAGGAAATGGTTGAGGCAACTGTCGATGCCATTTCAGCAATTGGAAAGTTAATTAGACATGTACCTCAATTGTCTCCATTGGTACGTAAAGTCATTCCAGAGTGGTTAGAGAAACTTCCAATCAATCATCACATCAAAAACACACAATGTATCGAAAACTTCTATCATATCATGCAATTATATCCAAACGAGTGTCTTGGTGAAGATGATGATAATTATCATCCAATTGTCGACCAAATTAAATCGATTATATCCGAATTTGATACAAGATTGAATCCCAGGCTTCAAAAGTACGGTTTCTTTCGACTCGATTTTGATGAATTGGCTATTTATCAATCAAATCAACAAACATCTAATAATATTCAATCATTATTATCTATATTAATAAAAGACAGAGAGAGAGAGAGAGAAAAAGATAACAAATAAAAGATGATTCTAGAGATATTAAACCTAATTGGATCCGTGAAACCATACCGAAAAAGATTGAATTTAACAAGAGACCAATATAATAATTATTCTTTTCTAAAATAAATAAATAAAAAGGTGATTTGTGTTGTTTTATTCCTCGTTAATAGTTTGTTTTGGAAACTATTAATACTTTTTGAAAATATACATGAATTCGCAAGAGTGATAATTATTTCAGCTCTTAATTGTCTGGAAAAATGGTGAATGACTAAACAGTTTCATCATTATTATTACTATTCTGATTATCGCTACTTTCCAAACGATCGTCTAAATTGGAAATACTTGTTGAATCATCATTTTGAATAGTTATTATACTAGTACCCTGATCAGCTGTATGATTTACATTATTATTATTAATTGTATTATTATTAATTGTATTATTATTGTTGGATTGATGTTGAATACTACTACTAATATTTAATGTTGAAAGTTGAATACTTTTATGTTTATGTGCGTGGGTTGAAGATCTAGCCTTGGGACTCTGTAAAATGGGTCCACTTGATGATGAAGACGAAACTGATGATGATGTAGTACGTGACGATCCAATAGACAAGGACGTTGACTTTTGTGAAAGACTGCTTGTTGCCGAATTAAATGAATGATCCTTTGTCTCATCAGTTGGGAATCTTGGCACCAAACTAGGATTAACACATTTGAATTTCAAATAATTCATCGGTTCTTCTGAAACTGATATAATAATACCTAAAATAAATAAATATAAATTAAAATAAATAAATATAATTAATTAATAAATATTAAATAATATATAATGATGATGAATTAGGTTTAACTTACAGGCTGCCAAAACAAATTCAACAGTCATTGTAATGACATTAGATGCATGTTTTAAAGATGAATCAAGTGGTACCTTGAAAACCACATAATAGAATAAATCTCTAACCACCGTGACAATGATGGAACAGGTCATGACAATGGCCAAATTTCGAATACGTTTGATGATTGCTTTGACTCTGTCTGTCAAGAGGTCACCCTTGTGATGGTAGATCTGTCGGTATAAAAAGAATCCAAACCCTACACAAACCGAACCAAATCCAACCAACAATACGAGGAATCCACCTGTAAAGAACATTGATGCAATCGATGGCACTGCCAATGAAAATACAATGTACATTACAATAAATGTAAAAAACACTCCAATAATTGACCAAGACAATTTAAATACTTTTTGATTATATGATATATTGACTGAAAATAATGCTAATAATAATCTACACCCTAAAATTAATAAATAAGAATAAATTAATAAATAACGATAATAGTATTTAAATAATATTTTATAATATTTAATAGATCTTACAATAAGCTCCTACCCAAGTCCAAGACCACATTTGAAAGAAAATAGAAAATAAAGATGTAAAATCACATACTGTTCCTACATCTTCATTTCTTTCTTTCCAATAAAATGCAGTATAAAATACTCTAACTATAATCAATTAATATTAATATTATGGATACATAAAAGAGTAAGAAAGAGATGAGGGGGATATAGATATCTTACAAAGTGGATATAAAATGACACCAACAAAAGTTAAAAGTCTAGCATTGAGCATTGTTCTTTTGGTTTGATATTTGATTTCAAAGTATAATTGAGTGGCTGCCAAAACAGAAATAAAAACACATACTGCAATTCTATAAATAATAAATAATAAATAAAAAAAAGAGAGGTATTAGACCTCTTATATATTCAATATAAGTTGTTAACTTTTTTGATTGATTAAATACATACCTAAATGACAAGTATGTTATAACTAAGCCTTCCAAGACAGAGTTTCCTCCTGCCCAAGAATCGTTTGTAATCGTCGGTCCAAAATACATTTTCTTTTTATATATCTGTCTCTACTGTTTAAATAGTCAACTTGTTTAAATCATAAAAGTAGTTTAAAGTTTAATGTACCTTAATTTAAACAATGTGATGTGTGTGAAAAGTTGAACACGTGTGATGTTGTCGTCTTCGGTACTAGCTCTAAAACACTAGAGTCGTCGTTAAATTGTATAAATATAAATAATAATAATAAAAAGAAATATACATGTTGATTGTGCTTGAAGAAGAGACAGAGGAAGAAGAAGAAGATCGCAATAATAATATAATAAATAATCTGAAATAAATATCGATTAGAACCTTTATCGATAGAAAAAAGAGCGTCAAAGATAGTGTGGGTGTGGGCCATTCACATCAAAGTGTTTGGTAGAACGCGTGGGGAAGGATGCGAATGTCGCCCCACCCATCTCCTCCTTTGATTCAAGTGAACATCCCTCGCTCTCACACAATCTACTTTTTAGGGAAAAATGGATTCGTTTCAGTGGTCAAAAGTCACGCATGTACCACAAAGATATTTATAAATATTTTCGGTGTCAACAACACACCAACCACAACTAGTTAGACCGTTTCGTCGATGGAGAGTAGTGGAACCAAGACCGAATCTTTGAATACGTTGTTGTTTGTGGAATGGGCTCATGGATTCCCATCATCGTCATCATTGATATTACGCGATTATATATATGTGGATGTGTGTAGATAATATAATAAATAAATAATATTAATCACATTTATTATTTGTTATTATTTAGATTTCTTTTTTAAATTATCGGAATGTCTAAAACATTGTGTTGAATGATCATCAATCATTCCACATGATTGCATTAAAGCATAACAAGTAGTTGTACCTATAAAAGAGAATCCCTTGCTTTTCAGTGCTTTGGACATCGCATCACTCTGTTCATTTTTGGTGAGTGGAGCGGCGCCTTCTTTACGATGGTTGATGTTTGGTTTGCCACCAACAAACGACCACATAAACGACGAAAAGTCAACACCGGCCTCTTTGATCTTCAAATAGGCTTTGGCATTTGACACGATCGACTTTAGTTTTAGACGGTTTCGTATGAGTCGTTGGTCATTCATTAATCGGTCGATATCCTTGTCTGTCAACTTTGAAATCCACTCTGCATCAAAGTTGTGAAACACCTCTTTATAATGCTTTCTCTTTAATAGTACTGTCAACCATGACAATCCACAATGTTGTCCTTCCAACAATACCTTTTCAAATAATCTATCAGAGTCATACTAAATTATATATATATATAAATGGATTAATATCAATAAATATATATATATCATATGGTATGCTAGTAGATTGTAGTAATACATACTTGTGGAGTACCCCATTCATTATCATGATACTCTTGATACAATTTAGCAGATTCTGTGTCACCTTTTGGAACCCATCCACATCTCTTCACTACTTTTTCGTCAGATGATTCTTCTTCTTCCTCTTCTTCTTCAGATTCTTCTACATCAGATTCTTCATCTTCTTTATCTACTTGTTCTGACTCATCAGATGATGATTCTGTATCTTTTTCTATCTCTTGTTTTACTTTCTTTTTCGATCTTGTATTTTGTTTCAATGTTACATTTTGATGGTTGTCGTCGACTGGTGTTGTCGACATTATATCTAAATCTTTTTTATTTGTTTGAAGATTGGTTGTAATCTTTCTTTTGGTCGACATTGTTGTAATAGTGGAAGCGGTGGTGGCAGTAGTAGAAAACAATTTATTTGATTGGTAGAGAAAGAAGGGACCGTTGTAGTTATAGTTGTTTAAACAAAAATGAATGGTCGCTCTTGTATAAGAATATTTGATCATTACACAATTAAATAATAATAATAATTATTAATTATTATTTATGAATGGTAAAAATTGTGTGTCCAGGACAGAGATGGCCATGCGTGTCCAGCTGTCATAGATTAAGATGGTCGGTGTTGTTATAGAACAGCGTTCGAGGGTGTCTCATTTCTTGGAAATTGAAAGATTGGTTTTGGTTTTAGGTTTTTTTGGTTTAAAGTGGGAGAGAGATAACTAATTGGTCTGTATGTATGTGGCACCCTGGGTAGAGATAGAGACACACCGACCAATTTTAAAATACAATTATTTATTTTTATTATTATTATTATTATGATTATTATTGTTAGGTTATTATTAATTAATTATTGATTTATGGTTTAAATGTCTGGGTCAGATTAATTTTGGATTTTGATCATATTCTGTTTCAATGATACTTCATTGGTGAGGTCATCATACCATTGATCCTTTTCCTTTTTACTATTGAAACAAAGAGTATACATAACTACATCAATTGAATCTAATTTACCTCTAACAATACGGATCATTGCTAAAATTATAAATAAATAAATAAATAAATAAATAAATAAATTAATAATTCATTTTTTGGGTTGTTTTTCTTTTTTGTTTACATACCATCAGTTGATTCAATATCTTTGATTTCAGAGTTCATTAAACTAATAGTATAAAGATATTCATACTTGTAAGATGAAAAGATACTAGTCTTTTTGGTAGCAATAATCATATCATTGAAAAACATAAGACTAAAGTTACCAGATTCATGTTTTTTAGTTGATGAAACTACACATTGACCTTCTCTAACAAAATATCTATGTGATGCAAGCAATTCCTAAAATAATAATAAATTAAAATTAAAATTAATAAATAGATTGATTAAATTAAATAATTCTTTTTTTCTCTTTTTTTTACATACAGGAGCATTTTTCATTTCCTTTTGAATTTCAGATAATTTAGATCTATTATCAACATTCTTCTTTCTATCATTAATATATTTGGTTATATTTTTCATTGATTGATAAGCTGAATCAATACTTTTATATTCAACATGATCTTCATGAGTATTTTTTAAAATTTCCTAAAAACAAAAAAATAATAAATAAATAATTAATAAATAAATAAATAAATAAATATATGTAAATAATAAATTCGTACTCTTAATAATAATTCATATCTTGGAATTCTTTGAACTGGCATAATTAATAAACTATTAATGTCAGCGGTAGCTCTTGATTTCTTTTTCTGTTCGGTAAAGAATTTAGAGCCTTGAGGGGTTTCCTGGATGAGTTTAACTTTTGGAGTGACAGTGTCAAAGTTGTTGACATATTCGACATAGAGCTTAAAGAGTGGAGCATATTTAACGAAAACATCACCAACGGTAATGGGAAAATGTGAAAGTCTAGCTTCAAATTCATGAAGGAAATTATTACTAAGAGTAATTAAACTACGTAGATTTGAAAAGATCTTTTGAATCTCTTCAGATTTGAATGCTTTTGTAACTTTTGCCTCTACTTCCATTGGAATAAAATAAAACTATAAAAGAAAAGAGAAATAATAAGTTAGTCAAGAGATACAAATTGGTTGATTATTATTATTTTTCCTCCTCTCTTACATTTTGTAAAACTAATAAAGAATTTAAATAAGATACTTCAGTTGAATAAACTTCATTAACTGCTTTGTATCTCTTTCTAAGTGTTTCAGTTTCTGGATCGGTAGCTCTAAGTTTTAATTCGACGATTTGTCTAAACTTTCTTCTACTTAACCATTTACGAGATGCTCTTTGAGCTCTTACTACATCACCGATTCTATAACCATCGACAATAGCATTCATATCGAGGTTTGGGAATCTAGGTGGGGGAGGTGGTGATTTGGCAGGTGGCTTTGGTGCTGATTTGGCAGGTGGCGACTTTAATCCCATCATTGAAGGTGGACGATTAAGTGGAGCAACAGGTTTATCCCAATTATTTGCTGGTCTTGGTGGGAGTGTTGGAGTAGACGCAACTGGTTGAACTGTTGGAGGTGGTGATAATGGTAAAGCTGGTTTCACTACTCCTTGTCCTTGTCCTGTTTGTTGTTGTAATTGTAAAGAATTTAACATATCTCTCATTGGTTGTAAAGAATCTATTTGAGATTTTGCTTCTTGTTGTTGAATCTTTAAATCCTTTTTTTGAATATCCAATAGTTCTTGTTCACGACGAAGCATTTCCTCTTGATCCTTTAATCTCTTTTGTTCGAGTAGTCTACCCTTTTCAGCTTCTTTACGTTTCTCTTCACGTTCTTGTTCCTCTTTTTTCTTTTTATCTTCGAGTGATTGTTTCTCCTTTTCAATCTCTTCTTGTCTTTTCTTGATCTCTTCTTGTTGTTTTTGGTACTCTTCACGTTGCTTGCTCTTTGACAGTTCTTCAGATCGCTTGATTTGTTGCGCGAGTTCTTGATGGTGTTGGTCGATCATTTGCTCACGCTTTCTCGTCTCTTCATACTGTCTCTTTTCATAGTCTTGTCTACGCGACTCGTCGTCTCTCATCTTTTGTTCGATTTGAGTTTGTTGTTGTTGCAATTGGTATCGTTGGGTGGTCAACTTTTCTTGCGACTGTCTTTGCTCCTCTGCCAGTGATGCACGGACTTCCTCCTCGTGCTTTCTAGCCAACTCTCGTTCCTTTTGTACTTCATACATTTGTCTCTTCATTTCCTCTTGTTGCCAGTCGATAATACGTTGACGTTCAGCTTCGAGTTGTTTCTTGGATTCCTCTCCCTTGGCCATTTGAGCTTGTTGTTGTTGTTGAAGTTGTTGCTTCATTCGCTCCACCTCGTCACGTTGTTTGGCCAGTTCACTTTGCAAACGGTTGTATTCGTCTCGTTGTTGTTGCTCGATTCTCTCTCTCTCTTGGTCACGTTGTTTCTCTTGGTCCACTTCTTGTTGTCTTTGTTGTTCATAATAGTGTCTCCAGTATTCATTGTATTGATCCAATTGTTGTTGAGTATATTCTGTCGAGATTCTATTTGAATTGGTTCTTGTCAATGTTGGTGATGGATTTAGATAATTTGATTGACTTGATTGAGTTTGAGATTGATCCAATGGTTGTTGATAGTAATTATCATATTGATTAGTAGCAGAAGTAGTTAAACTAGTTGGTGTTGAGGTAGTAGTAGTAGTAGGTGGATATTGATATTGTTGTGATAATCTATTTTGTTGTCTTGTGGTTTGTTGTTGTTGTTGATCATAACTCTGTTGTTGATCATAAGATAATGTTGGAGTTGATGAATAATTATTAGTTTGTTGCTGTTGTGGTTGTTGATAGGTTTGTTGTTGTTGTTGTTGTTGATCATAACTCTGTTGTTGATCATAAGATAATGCCGGAGTGGAAGCAGAATAATTAATATTATTGACATTATTGTTGTTCAACATGGCATTACGTTTTGCAGATGCCCTTGATTGAGTTCCAAATGACTGTTCATAAGAAGTAGCTTGATGTGCAACTGAATTTGGACTAGTATTACCACTTGGTGATGTATTACCATATCCTCCTTGTTGTTGTTGTTGATTATACCCATATGGATCTGATCCTGGTGATGTTTGGGTTGGTGTTGTCTGTTGTTGGTAATAATTGGCATTTGCATTTTGATCATATCCTTGGTGTTGACTATATGAAGAAGTAGCATTTGGATCATAATATGATGTTGATTGAGAGGACACTCCTGCAGAAGAGTCGTATGATGATGTATTTGTAGTGGCACTGGTATTACCATAGGAATAGTTGTATGGGTCTACATTGGAGGTTGGTGTTGGCTGTGCAACTTGCTGACCGGTCGTCGAGTAGGTAGGATCGACGTAGGACGGTCCGTAGTGTGGGTCATAGGTAGATTGTTGCGGGTCGACATATCCCCCCATTTGTTGTTGTTGTGCCGCCGCTGCTGCTGCTGCTTGTTGTTGCTGTTGTTGGTACAACGCATAGTAATATGGATCCATCCTCTCTCTCTCTCTCTCTCTGTCTCTCTTTATCTCTCTGTCTCTATCTTTCTTCCAAACAAACAAATAAATAAATAAATAAATAAAGATATATAAAACTAACGAAACTAAACTAAACCAGAGATATACAGGTAGAATGCAGAGTAGAATGAGGTGGGGGTGAGGTGAAGTGAGGTGATATAAAGTGAGGTGTTAGAGATTCTAAAAGAGAATAAAAATAAACTAATTTAATTTAATAAAAAAAGAGAAAAGATCAATCAAAAGGTTTTTTCTCTTCCCTCTCTCCAGCAGACTGCTGTGTTTTCACACCTTTGCACTTTGCACCACTTTGCCACACTCTTGTTTATCATCTTGTGTGTTAAACCCAACCCATGAAACTACACTCGCGCAAATACTCAATGAGCGACTCCCAATTTTCGACGATCAGAACAGACTTGCACACTCTGCACCTACACTCTTTCACTACACTTCATCATCATATTAATATATACACAAACAGACATTATTATCATTCAAATGAGTGATACTAGACAAGTAGTAGAAGAAGGAAAGATATGGAGAGAAAAGGGAAATAAACAAGTGTCGGTGAAAGAGTATGATAGTGCACTCGAATCGTATACACAGGCAATCCGACTCAACCCAAGTGATTATGCGGCACTTACTAATCGTAGTTGGGTGTATTTCTTGCAGTCGAAATGGCAATCATCTCTAGTTGATGCACAAGCTTCAATCAATATAAATCAATCTTGGGTAAAGGTAAGGTAAATTAAATGAATGAATGAATGAATAAATATGAATGATTATTAACTTGCTTATGATTTGTAGGGATACTATCGAAAAGCAATAGCTTTGAAACAATTGAAAAGATATAGAGATGCAATTGATACTTTAGACTATGCTATAAAGAGTCCCGTCTTGAAGGGTACCATTCATTTGACAGATACCAAGTTATTCATCAATGAAATAGATACAATCACTAAATCAATCATTGATTATATGACATTGCAACAAGATGAGAAAACTACTACAAAACAACATCAACAAGTAGATAAAGTAGATATCAAGATGATTGGAGGTGATTTGGGAAAAGGTGTATTTACACAAACTGGAATCCAAGCAAACACGGCAGTCACAGTAGAGTATCCATTGGTATCACACATATCTTGTAAATATCTTGGTCAGTATTTGGATCAAGGTACCAACAACAACAACAACAACAACAAGTCGTCGACATGGTATCAAACATGTTCGCATTGTATGGAGAATCGTATTAGAGATCCAACTATATTATCAAAGTTGTTGGGTGATCAACCGTATCGTGAAATCTACTCGTCACTCTACCCCAACTCTAAAGAGTATATTGTATGTGGTCATTGTAAAGTGGAATATTATTGTTCAGAGTCTTGTCAACAACTTGCTTGGTCACAATACCATCAAATTCAATGTCCACACATGTCAATCATTAAACAACAATTATATCCTCATTGCATGTATGTTTTAACCAAAAGAATACCAAACTACATGTATACTTATTTAATTTAAATTTAGTGAAAATGAACAAACCAATCCATTAATCATTTCAAGAATGTTTGCAATGGTATTACAATCAATCATATATCAACAAAAAGAGTTTACAGAATCAATCATTCCATTTACCTTTTTCATTTCAAATGGTCAATGGCAAAGTAAAGGTGATGAAAAAGTATTATCTATTTTAAAATCTATTTTTAAAAATGAAAGTCAATTGGATCAAGGTATGTAATATAATATAATGAAATAATATTATTATGTATTAATTTTTTTTTATATTTTTTTATAGTTTTAACAATTGAAAGATATAGACAATTTAATTCAATTATTCAATGTAATGCATCAAAAATCAATCCATTGTCACGAATTCATATGTTGATTGAAAAGAATACGATAGAGTCACCTGCTCTACAAGACTATATACAATTGGTAGAGGATGGTCCCAAAGTACCATTTGGTGAGCCACTGCTAAACTTGTTGGAGTCATTATCGGATTGTTGTGTACATGGTAGTGGATTGTACGTCTATGCCAACAGTTGTAATCACTCATGTTCACCAAATGCAGCCATCACCAATGAATCAACTAATTTCTCGGCAACCATACGTTCCATCACTGATATTCCCAATGGCAATCAAATTGAAATATCATACATTGAAGAAGACCAACCATCACAAACCAGACAATCAGAATTAATTGATAAATATAAATTTAAATGTCATTGTCAAAAATGTACAAACAGAATAATTAAATAAATAAATAATAAATAATAAATAATATTATTTTTAATGTAACCCTTGGAACACATTCTTTGGTTACATTACATGTTTGACAAAAAAAATAAATAAAATTAAAAATAGAAAAAGAAGTGATGACAATCAATTTCCAAGAAAAAAACCATCCACCACACTCTTTTTTAAAAGCACTCACAACCAGTCGACTTGTTTAGATGTATCTCACTTCGTTTCACAGCTTGTAATATGAATTTATTTAAATACAAGACTACATTTAATCTAATATTCAATAATAGTCAATTTGTATCATCAACATTAATTATAAACAACTTGTCAACCGCTTCAACAACAACATCATTGATTAGAACATTTAAAACAAATAGTTTCTATTCAACTTTACCAAGTCATCAATCAACCAACTTTGTAAATATACCAATACCGTCATCAACTGATACTACTACTACAACTTGTACTTCAAACATGGTCAAGAAAGCATCAACATCAGCAACCATACTATCAAATGTATCAACTTCAACAAAGAAACAAGCTAAATTAAATACAACTAAAAAGACCAAAAAGATTGTTGTTGTTGAAAGTATTGAAAGTGAAAGTGAAAGCAGTCCGAGTGAGAGTGATTATGATAGTGATAATAGTGATATTACATCTTCATCAGATGATAATAATGTAAAAGTAAAGAAGAATTCAAAACCTTCAACAACGTCAAAATCAACAACAACAACAACAACAAATTTTGGATATACAATTAAATCAAAAGATCCATTAACTATAATATTTGATACAACTAAAGATTTAAATGATTGGTATAAAACGAATCATAAAACAATGACAGAAGTGTATATGGGATTTTATTACAAGGCAACTGGATTGGATTGTGTTAGTTATATGGAGGCAATTGATGAATCATTGTGTTTTGGTTGGATAGATGGTGTTAGAAAAAAGGGTACAACGGAATACTACTTGCAACGATTTACACCAAGACGTACAGATGGTAGATCAAATTGGTCGGCTGTCAATATTGCCAAAGTACAAAAGCTGCAGGCAGAGGGTCGCATGAAGCCCGCTGGACTGGCTGCCTTTGACAAGCGAGAAAACCGTACTCTTGAAGACGCCATATCAGCAGAGAACCCAGAGTTTGATGACGAATGCATGGCATTACTAAAAGCACATAAAAAGGCATTGACATTTTTTAATGAGCAAAGTGCAACCTACCAAAAATACACTAAACGATGGGTCATGAGTGCTAAAAGAGAAGAGACTAGACACGATCGTATGCAACAACTAGTAGAAAGTAGTAAAAAACTTGAAAGATTAGCAAGGTTTTTACCAACAACCAAGACAAAATAATAATATATAATAAAATCAAATATGTTTTAGAATATTTTTTTTGAAACCTCGAAAAATTTATTCTTTCATTACAGTCAATCTTTGATTTACTCATAAATCAATGTCTATATTACAGTTATCTACTCTAATACTATTACATATTATAAAAGATATTCAAGATAATGTAGATATAGTATGTTTATTGTTCACTTGTAAACAGTTGTATCATAATAATAGTATTAGAAGATCAATCAAGTTTAAAGGAATAGATGTGATAGATAACAAAGAAGAACCCGCAGAGATATCAAAACAGTTTATAGCAACAATCAGTAGATTCAACCTCAACTCTTTTAAAGATATATTAGACAATAGTATATCATATCAACATGTTGTTTTGCATGATCTTTATTACAAACGCTATCCAAAATGGATACAGGATCACCTCTATTCAGGCAACATAGTCGATAAAAGTAACATTACAACAGCTATTGTGTTACATGACTCTAAAACGATAGAGTCTCTATACGATATACCATCAATAGAGACACTATACATCACATACAACGAAAGTAATGCAATGAATCTCGCTATCTCAAGGTTACCCAATCTTCAACGACTTGAAGTTTCTGCATGGAGGTTGGATCTTGATAAACACGAATCACTAAAGTCTCTTGTAATCGACGTCCAATATGATGAAGGAAACGTAGGGTATGGATACCCTCTACTCAGCTATTATATAAACGAATTCGTATCACTGACAGAGCTTACATTCAAGATGTTTATTGATATCGATTATATCGAGCTGGACCTCTTGCCAATCAGTCTAACGTCACTCACTCTTAGACTGAGAGAGATACCACCCAGAGATTCATTCAGTCCATTGGTATCGCTAGTTTACTTGGCGATAGACATGAATAGTTGTGAAATACAAGGTGATGGTGAAGATGAAATACTCGATCTAGATGGCCTGCCCAACCTCAAGACATTCAAGCTTAAAGAATGTGGTGAGAGTCCACCACCAGAATACCTATGTACCGAGATTAGTGTGCCACCTTCAATCAAGATTCTCACTCTTTTGTCTGATTACATACGAATTGCACCACAATCTACAATGCCACTGTTGGAGACATTGAATGTCTCTCAGTCACTGTTGATTAATGACAAGATCAGTCTGTCGCAATCACCATCCATCAAGAAACTGGTTATTGACCATTGCAATCAACCAATGCCAGACAATATAGTCATCCCACCGACTGTCAAAAGACTTAGAATCATTAAAGAAACAAAAGACGATATACTTGGACAAGTTAAATTGCCGTCATCACTTCTTCATCTAACCGTCAAGGGTGGCTGCTATGAAGCTGTTCAACAGCTCCCAGAATCACTTGTAAAACTACAACAAACAGAAAGCACGTCTCCAGTCCCCACACTTCCACAACATTTAAAAAAGCTTACCTTGTATATTAATGATGAATTGGACGACAACAACAACAACAACAACAACATCAACAACAACATCAACTATCCACCTCATCTTGAAACACTCAATCTGCTGAAGCAAGGTGACTATACAATCGATGTACCACCAACCATAAAAAATCTATCAATAGTTTTACGACACCAACAACACAAACTTTTAAAAATGAATGATAAACTTGAAAATCCAATCTACTCTATCAGTTCAAGGATAGATAAATCCATCACCACTCAACAATCAAAACAACAACAATGGTTACCAACAAATACAACACATCTAACTTGTTACCTCAAAGATCATCTTCAAAAACCTTTGACATTTAGATTAGATGAAATAATCAATCACACCAATGTTAGATATTTAACACTTATTGTTACGATTGACGACGATGAAGTAAATTTTGACGATGAAGTAAATTTACAATTTTCAATTCATAGATTGGACTCTGACAATAACAATGTATTGGTATTGGAAAGACAGTCACTTACAGGTGGAATAATCACTCAAAGAAAAAATAACAAACAAAAACAATATGATCCTATTTATTTATATTTTGATGGCAACTCTCCCTTTGAATTTCATTGGAGTTTTAATGATAAAATGAATTAATAATAAATAGACAAATACAGGAGAGAATTCTCTCTCTCTGACCAGCATTTTGGATCGAAATTTGATCATTTATTTGTATTATTTCTAATTAATTATTGACGAATTCGTGAAGAATCAAATCTCCAATCAAATTTAAATGGACCAAGCTTGGTTCTGAAACCAAAACCGAAAGAAATGAGGTTATTGTTGTGGAGTGAATAATCGTCAATCATAACAATAAGTGTTAAATATCTAACATTGGTGTGATTGATTATTTCATCTAATCTAAATGTCAAAGGTTTTTGAAGATGATCTTTGAGGTAACAAGTTAGATGTGTTGTATTTGTTGGTAACCATTGTTGTTGTGATTGGTCAGTGATGGTGATCCTAGAACTGATTGAATAGATTGGATTACTAGTTTTAGTTGTTGGGATGATAGGGTTCAATGGAATCGACAGATATTTGATGGTTGGTTGCACATTGATTGTAAAGTCACCCTCCTCACCAATCATATCTATGAGGTTGAGTTTTTTCAAATGTCTAGGAAGTGTGGTGGAAAAGAATGATTGATTGACAACCTGCTTTAATTTGATGAGTGATTCTGGTAATCTGACAGACTCGCATCAATTTCCAACGATGGTTAGATGAGTGAGTGATGGAGGGAATACAATTTGTCCAAGTATACCATTTTCAATTTGATTGATTGTCAGCTTTTCGACTCAACGGGACGATGTTGGCTGGCAAAATGAGATAACAATTAGTTATAACTAGTTTTTTGAGTAATGGTGACGACGACAGAATGACTCTTCCATCGATCAATACGCTTTGTGGCACTTTTAATCTCTCCAATCGTGGCATTGGATATGTGGATGCTCTTTGTACAATGTAGACCAAGATGTTTAGAATCTTGATTGAACGAGGTACTTTAATCTCGATACATTCCCAGCACTCTCCACCCAACTCGAATGTCTCTAGAGCTTCAAGGTCAATACATGACTCCATATCTTCGTCCAAAATGAGATAGATCTTGAGAGTCACAAGTGATGTCAATGAAGCGAATATGTCTGGTGGAGGCATATATATCTTTCCCAAAGTAAGTGATGTCAGACTGTTTGGAAAGATTCCGATATTTGTCAAACAATAACTCTTGACCCACAACTCTGTAAGCTCTTCAAAGTTTTCGAGTCCCAAGTCACTTAGATCGAACACACTTTTAATATCCAACTTTAAATACTGATATTTGAGCGATGAGTACTGTTGTTGTTGACCTCTTTTAAATTCACCTAAACAAACTGATAGTCGTTGGAGATTGGGTAAGAACTGTGACACCGAGGCAAGTTAGATGGCCGTGTCTTGGTGACTGTTGTCAATGTATAGTGTTTCGATTGATGGTATCTTGTAAGCTAAATCTAGTGATACACCATATTCAACTATGATCAATGCTGTTTTAATTTGACTTTTATCTGCGAATTTGGTTGAATAGATTCGAATCTCCTATCCAATGCTCATCTTGATAATGGCGGTCATGTTAAGGTACTATTATATGTTGATCTGCTAAGCTATTGTCTCTCTTTTATCTGTATCGATAACATTGACTTGTTTAAAGGTGGTCAAGCTTTTTAAACTATTTTGATAAAACTGTTTACAAGTCAACAACAAACATATTATATCTACATTATCTTGAATATCTGATATGATTTGTGATAGTAATAGATTAGATAAATTTACTAAAGTAGACATTGATATTTGATTCTAAAATTCAATGAGCGAAAGACAAAGAAGAAAGAAGATCATTAAATTTAAATTGTATTTTTGTGTGACAATTGCTTATTATATATACTCGAACTAATTGAATTGATTGGATAGTTATAGTGGCACCACCAGTTTTGGATGCGATGATATCAATGATGTTGAGTATTTCAAGATGAGGTGGATAGTTTTTGGATGATGGTCTTTATGATTATCTTTACCATCAAAACATGGACTGAAACAAGATATATTAAAATAAATTAACACATTTGTACCCTATCACATCTATTGTTTGTTTTTTCTAATGTCTGTGGTGTGTTGGGAAATAAAAATTGTTTTTTTTTTTATTTAATTAATTTTGATTTAATTTTGGTTATTTATTTCTTTGAATATTATTACTGGTGAAATTTATAATCAAATGCCTGGTTGATTAAGATACTGCCAACTGGATTCACTCTGACACTTAAGTAGAGGTTGGAAAAATGAATTGTTCATAGATCTGTCTGCTTTTTTATGCAATCTTTTTACATCTTTCTATTTTGGCAAGTAGTTGTGATTGCAATCGACTTGAAGACTTGGTGTATCGGATAATTTTAGAGGTAACTCTGATTGTTTATTTCACTACAAAAAATTAAAGTAAAAATTAAACTACTAAAAATGTTTGTTGGTCTTGGCTCTCTTTTTTGTAGTATCATACGTAGATACTTTAGCTTTTTTTTCAGCTATTGTGGGAGCACCTGGCCAGTAAACAGAGGAACTATCTTTTGTGATTACCCAATTTACGTCCAAATTTCTCAACTTGTTTGGACTTGTAGTAATATCCAAAGTTGGATGTTTACCAAATACCACATGGTTTTTAATATCCACACTTTCTACTCTATCCAACAAGAATGCATGTAAAACTGGATGTTCAAAGCATATCTAAATTAAGAAATAATGATTAATAAATAAATCAATTAGATTGGGTTCCCCTCTATTGTTAGTACTTACAGCTATTCCTGCATGATCAATTTGTTTAAAGTCTCTGTTTGAATCACCAAAACAAATTCGATCAGAGGTGGTACTAATTGCTAATTTCTCATGTGTTGCTGCGTTTGCACGTGGTTTGAAATTCTTATCTATGCCATTTGTAGCAAGAGTAAAACTAAATTTTGTCTTCCATGCTTCAAATCTATAAACACCATAACCTGGACCAGATAAAGTTGGAAAATGTGTTTGCTGTAGAGAAAAAAAAAAAAAAAAAGAATTATGGTTAATTCATAAATTGAAATCCAAAAGATTATTATATTTATTACTTACATCAGTTGAAACAATAAATTTCTCATTATAATCTTGAGCCAGAACCAAATATTGATCCAATCCAACATCTTTTAAAGTGCAAATCTGGTTGAAATTGTCGTCCAGTGTATTTGACATGACCCTCTTTTTTCCTTTGTTATCAATAAGCTCTGCTGGATGACAATAGTCACGGTTCGCGGAATTTTCTAAGCATTTAGATATTTTTGAATCTTTCTGTGACATTAGATGTTTCATATATTGATATGGGGTACCAATATTACAACCATTTAAAGATCTTGATACTATAGTATAGTGTTAAAATGTTAACATTAATAAAGAGTATATTTTTTTAATATTTTTTTTATATATTTATTATACATACAAAATCCATGAACTTTAAAGCTTAGTCCAGCACTGGTAAGTTCTTTCCAAGCATTTGTTCCCTCATTATACATACAGTGTTTTTTTGTAATTTCATATGCTTTACTATCAGCCAACATTGTTTTAATATCGGTCAAGGTTTTACCAGCTCCTTTTGTATTTACGTAAGCTCTCCATTGTGTGTCACATCCTTGTGACTCTGCTGATTCATCATCCATTGGAAAAAGAAGGCATAAAAGATTAGAGTTTATAAGTTGTGGACGAGTAAGGGTCCACATTTTAAGCATTGATTTAAGCTCGTCTGCGTTAACGTTGATACAAATCGAGTGTTGAGAATGGTTTGGTGTCGTTCCTTTGCCTTTGTTGAGTAAAAAGGGATCATAAACTTTTCCAAGTTCTCTACCAGTATTACCAGGAATTCTCATCGAGTGGGATATAAAATATCCAGTCTTGGCATCTATATCAACTGATAATAAAAACTATTTTAAATTTGAATTAATATAAGAAAAACATTTTGAAATATTAAATCATAGGATTTACCTTTGCATGTGCTTCATTATACTCTTGTCCAAGAGCGTATTTTGTGAAACCATTTCCTCCTCTATCAGCTTTAATTTCATGGAACCATTTTGATGTACTAGACCTTTGGTTGCGAGGTCACCACAATCGGGTCTCTCACCAGCAGCTAATAAAGCGTCTACAAAAACTTTGTTTCTATCACTTGCAACTTTAATTTGTCTAGTAATAAGCTCTTTGAATTGACCATCAGTAAAACCTAAAAAAAAGTAGAAAATGAAATGAAATTTTTTGGTTATAAACTATATATATAGTTCCAGAATGAGAAATTTTTTCCTGTCTGGAACTCTGTAGAGAAAAACAACTTATTTTCTTTCTTTTGAATACAAACTTTCGACATCAGCCATTGTACTATCAATGTAAACACCTGTAGAGTACATTGCATCTGCTGAATCTGTGGCATCTGTTAATACTACCCACCAATTGACATTGGTTGAAGGCTGAAGTACTGTTCCTACTTTTCTTGGTAAAGATAAACAAGAGTTACCAGCCACCAATTTAAAGGTTAAAAACAGATAAATAAAAATTATGTTTATCAATTTCATCTCCTCAAAATTTGTATTGGCAATGAATGTGGCCACACATCGTGCTGTTATCCATATGCCCAAGAGAGGCTCTCCATCAAAAAAAAAATGAATTTCTTTAAAAAAAAATCGCAAAGGGCTTTGAACGAGAGAGCCACGTGGTTTGGCGGCCGATTCCCTTTGAGGGCAAAAAAGGAAGAAATAAGATGAGCAGATTGATAATCTCCTTCTTATCACACTCAGACTATTTTTAAAAAGAAAAACAACATATTACAAAATAAATCTTTGTATATAGAAATAATAATTAAATATTTCCAAGGTGCACGAAAATGTTTATATATTATTTTGTGTGCACATTATAACAGTAAATTATACAATCATGATAATACTCCATTTTTATTATCGGAATCGTCACAACTAAAAGCACCTTAAATTTTCACAAGATGAGCACTAAAATAATGGAAGAACAATCATAGGAATGAATTCCCGAAAAGGAATCGGTAATACCAAAATTGAAACAACAAAAATTTAATTTAAACAACAACCCCTCTCCCTCTAAAAATAATAAAGTTTATGTTTATTATTCTTATATTCTAAAAAGTTATTAGTCATTTTATATACATAGTAGTAGTTGATAGCTAGATAGATAGATAGATTATAATGTCAAGTAAACCAAATTTCGGGATTGTGCTATTAGCACAAGGAATGTCTGTGGTTGGTGATAGCTTTGGACAGAGATGTAGCAGAGTCAACTTTAAGCACAGCCCTAGACACATGATGATAGGGTTGTGTCTGATGACTGCACTGCAGATGTTTATCATTATGGGTATACTACAACTAGCATTGCCTACATCGATATCAGGTGCCATCTATATCGACAATCTAAAGGTACCTTGCTACAAAGAGACCGATATACAAGGAAAGATTGAAAACTGTACACCTGCCAATTGCACAGTCGTCGAATGTAAATCACAAGGACCATTCTCAATGTTTCAATCAATTGCTTTACATCCATTTCTGCTTGTTAATGGTTTAGTTAATATTAGTAAGAACAAAATTTGATCAAGAATAAGAAGAATGTATCAATACTTAGTTTTCTTTTTTGAATTTTTCTAGTTTATTATAATGGAGAAGTAATGTTGTATAAAGAACCATTAGGATTATTATTCCTTGTCATATCGGCATTATCATCAACGTTTTTAATTAATCCTTTGAACAAGTTGTTTGGTGAGCCTATTAATCAACCTATTCCACCACTCATCTATTTATTTGGTATTGCTGGATCTCTACTAAGCGTCATTGAAGTGACACCCAAGAAAGAGGTAGCTGGCAAAAAGGAATGGTTTAGCTTTCTCTATGGAAAAAAGGATCAACATGAACAAATAGAGGATCAACAACAAAAAGAAGGTGAAATTGCAGAAGATAAGAAATTAATAGATGAAGAAAATCAAATCAATCAATATGACAGTAATAATCAAAATAATAATAATAATAATATAAGAGGTGGAAACAAATTAAATCATCGTATAAATGAAAGTGATACTAGTAGTATTGATAGTCCAGACACAATGATTTCACCAATACTACAACAACAAGAAAAAGATCATCTTATTCCAAAAGAAGAAGAAGAAGAGTCGAATCAAAACAACAAACAAGATTGGAAAACAAAAGTTATACCATTATTTGCAAGAAGTTTAAGAGTATTTATACCAATGATTCTATTATCAGTTGCTAATGGATTGTGGATGGAAACCTCTTTATATTATGACAATCAATTCCGTGTCAATGCATATGGTTACAATTCAATCGATCAAATTCTCCTTCCATTCTATTTATTCTTTTTCATGTTGGTCATTGATCTTATCAAACCTCTCAAACACCTCTTACTCCCAGAACAAGATTCCAAAGAAACACTCTGGGAAGCTGTTAAAGCCACTTGGAAAGAAACTAATCTTGTAACATTATTCTTTTATCGTTTACTTATTAATGCTCGTGCAATTGTATGTAAATTATAATAGAGAAATATAAATCAAAGATTATTTATTTTATTTTAATCAAATCAAAATCTAATCTTTTCTCTCTCTATTATAGATTTATTTTTATTTGGCTATACAGTATGATTTAACACTTGTATATTTAGAGTTAACATTGACACGTGTAGTATTAAATTGGTTGGGTGCTTTTGTATTAAACTTGGTCATTCCAAAGTTTATTAAAGCTACTTATGAAGAACGAAGAAAGACATTCTATCCAGTCAACCTTTTATTAAAATTATTTGGTAGTATAGGTGTAGTTGTTAGTTTAATCATTCTAAATAAATAGCCAGTAATAGTAATAGCTCCAGTAAACAATCTATCAATCATGAACTCTGCCAATCAAATTTATCCAATTGACAATCAAATGAATGGTTTCGATATGACTTGGATTGAATTATTGATGATGGAAATTAATGCATTGCATCAAAAATTGACAAAACTAAAAGATTTAAAGGAATTAAAGTATAAATTGGCGGTACCCAAATGCAAAGAAACTTTGAATCACCTTTATGAAGATGTCAATATAATTGAAAGGAGAATCAAGAAAAGGGAACTATCAATATTGTCAGAGGTATCATTTCAATTTGAAAAAGCAGTTTTTAGATTTATATTTGGAAAGGATACAAGACTCCACAACTTGAGTTTATTATTCTTGGATGGTTTTGAATTTGAACCAAAACAAATGTTGGAATGGGAAACATTAAAAAAACAAATCAATTGGAATATGAATGTACATCAAGAATTTATAGATTTAATAGACCTTGGATTTACTTCTTTGATACTTCTCAAATTACAGATTATTCCCTTGTCAACAAAGAATACTTGATTCATCTCTATCTGAAAAATTCAAAAAAGTATTTGGAATATTTTAATGGTCAAACTTTATTTGTTCAACTATAGTAGATTAGATTAATACATTGAAAAAAGATATTATTATCTTTTTATTTAGTTATATTATAAAATTTACAATCGATTGGTTGACCTCTAATGACCAAAGGTTGAGAGTATTGATATTTCATTCCAATCTTTTGGAATACTCTTTCCGATCCAATATTGTGGCTCATACAAGAAGCCCACAAACAAGAAATATTGAGTGTGTTGAATACAAAGTCGACAATGACCAATGATGCCTCGGTGGCATACCCATTGTTCCAATAGGGTGAACCAATCCAATACCCCAACTTTAATATATTTGTACCATTATAAATATCACTCATTATTGATATTACACCTATTATTTTACTTTTTGTTGGACCTTGTTCAATTAATTTAATGGCCAATGTCATATCTGTACCTGTTGACCATGCCTTTTGTTGTGATGCAATCCAACTTTTTGAAGCACCTGTTGGATAAGGATGAGGAATAAATTGAGTAGTCATTGCCACCTTTGCATCACCAGCCAATTCTTCTATTGTCTCCCATTCCTCTTTATTAAATGATTCGTCCCTCCAAGATGTCTTCGTCGTACCATCTTCTTCTTGATTCAAAGCTTTGGTTGCATCAAAGGTGAATGGTTCCAACAAAAGTCTCTTTGTTTTGAATGTTGGAGTTGTTTGATTTTGATTTGCGTATGATTGAAACATTATCTTTTTTTAAATGTATATAATTACACTGTTATAATGTTCTATTTGTTTGTGATAATATGAATGAATGAAATATTAATAAGAATAGACCTAATTTAATTGATATCTTGATGATGTCAGGATATTATTATCATTGCGAAATTTTTTGGAATAAGAGCAACAACATAAATTTATTTTGATCTTTTATCATGTATATAATATCTTTCTTTAGAATATATTCTATTCCATCGGTGATAAACTTTTAAGAAATGTATAAAATGTAGTAGTAGTAGTAATACTAATGAATGGTAAACATTGAAGTTTTGAAGATCAGTTGGGAGGGAAAAAAAAAAAAAAAGAATTAAATTAATGAATTTTAAGTACTTGTTCTCTTTAATGAATGAGAAGAATCATTATCTTTACTAATATTAATATGATATAATAATAATAAAAGTATTCAATATAATATACTTTTACCTGTAAATAATAACAAAACAATATAATATACATATATACATACATACAAAATGCAAGGTCAGGGAACATATCTTGAAAACTATTTGGAGAGTATCTCTACAGCTCCAACAGAATTAAATAGATCTTTAGCATTAATAAAAGAACTAGATTATAGATCAGGAGGTATGTTGAATCTTATCTTTCAAAAAAACCATTACATTAACTAACACAGACATACTATTACTATTTCGATGTTGTTGATGAATTCGATTCAATAGAGGTCGTAGACAAGATAGAGACATTAAAAGCAAATCTATTGGCAACAACACCTTCAGGTCGAAAAGCAGCACAAGAACTATTGAATGAAAAGAGTTCAAAGTCTCTAAAGAATGATATAAAGATGATACTAGAGTATGCAGATGAAAAAGTGGAATTATCAAATCAGTCATATGAACTTGTAAGTATTGGTGTGGAATAAATATAACTACATGTGAAACAATGTATACTAATGCGGAATGTTTGATTATTAAAAGATTGATAGATATATTAGAAAATTGGATACAGAACTTAAAAAATTTGAAACAGAGATTGAAGAAGCTGAAGATGATAAGAAAAGTTTGTATCAAAATATATATCTGCTGAAAAGATGGTGAATATAATTATTATTAACCAATCTATTTATTCATGTTTAAAAATAGAGAAAAAATCATCTATTACAGCAGATACTCCAAAGAAAGGAAAATCATCTTCTACGCTTAGCCGTAAAAAATCACAAGCAGAAATTGTTATTCCAGATCCAAAGATGGCAAGTTCAAGTGAGTTGGACATGGCAATCGATCCAAATGAACCAACTTATTGTATTTGTGGACGTGTATCTTTTGGTGAAATGATTGAATGTGAAAGTTCTGGAGTATGTATCAAACAAATGATAAGCCATCCAAAAACAAACCTTATTAATAATTTCTATTTTATTAGTGTAAGATTGAATGGTTCCATTTTGAATGTGTTGGACTTACTCAACCACCCAAAGGTAAATGGTATTGCCCAGATTGTACAAAAAAGAGATCACTTAAATAATATTAATAATATTAATAATTATAATAAATGGGATTTACTTCTTGATGCGCTATTTATTACTTGTATAATAATTAATGAATGAATGAATCTACTGATTGATCCATGTTACACCTTCCACTAATATTGTTATTCTTTTCTGGTTGAGAAAAACAAAAAATATCAAAAAATCGATTTGTACTTTTCAAAGCGAAAGTGTTTGATCAGACGAAAGATTGCTGATCATTCATTGCATAGGTCTTTTTTTTCCTTAATAACAATAGACATAAATAAAATGAACAATATTAGTAGAGCAATATTTAGAACGATATCGAAAAATAGTAGCAGCGGTTGTATCACGAGAGCAACGTTTAGCACATCATGTATAAATAGCAATAGTTTCAACAACAACACGACATCATCGACATTTACATCGACAACATCGTTACCATCGTTATTATCATCATCTACAGCTGCATTGACAAATGGTGGAAACAACAATTCAAATATTAAAAGAACCAATAATAGAACAATCAACTCTTTACCATTCTTGTTTGAATGTTTTGGTATGAGAAACTCTAAAACGACGAAAAGAGAGAGATATAAAACAAGGGAATCATATTAATTATCATTATTCACATTTATTTAGCGAGTTTAGGGGACGATGATGGTACATAATGAAGGGTGGAATCACTTTTAATATGATGATGATTCGATGTCCTTACCCTAAGAGGAATAAAACGATTATATAAACACTTTTTCAAAAAACAACATTATAATAGTAGTAGTAGTAGGAGGAGCAATATAATAATAATATTCACTTGGTTGATTTATTATTATATCATTATTATTATTTTTGGTTGGTTGGACATCTTGGATGCTTTATAATATCTTGAATTGACTATATAATAATTCCTTGACCAAATAATATTCTTCAGACATGACACCATCGATATTTATACAAGAATTTCCATCGACCTCTTCACGCCACAGATAAACCAAACCATTACATGAAAGGATACCCTTATCGAATTGAACTTGGAATCCTTCTCGTGTCAATACATCCTTAAACTCTGATAATTTGACATCACCAACAAACGATACATTGTGTCCTTTTGATTCTTCCACTGGCATAATATCCAACAATGGTATGATTTTCTTTTCCTTTGGTTGTACAACTGTCAATGCCTTGCTATCATTTGTTGTAGTAATCGCTGTTGATGTAGTTGGGCTAGTAATAGCAAGTGGAGTAGCTGCATTAGTTGCTCCATTTAATATTATATCTTCAATATGAACTTTAGCTTCAATATATGCAATTTCATAATCCATAAGCTAAAATAATAATAATATTAATGTCAATAATTATAATGATTTCTGTTTGATCTATTTTTTGTTTCTACATACTTTTGAAGTATTTAATGATTTAATTAAAGAATCCTTTAATATAATTTTATATACATGAGTTTCAGAGGTAAGATCGATTTGATTACTGATTGCTGGTGAAAATAATCCTTTGACACGCAAACTCTTTTTAGCAAAATCCAACAATTCATCGACACATTGTTGATTACCTCTAACCAGAATCAAATTGGTTGGTGCAATTTTTTGAATAATTGTTTTTAATGATTGACCATCAGAACATCCTTGATAATCAAATCTTGTTACTGAACAATTAACTTTTACCTAAAAATATATAATAATAAATAAATAAATAAGTATTTTGAAATAATATGATTCATATTTCTTTCTTTTCTTTTCTTTACCATTGTATTAAAAGTGACTATTTTCTTTGGTTTTGTTTCTTCTTCTTCTTGTTTATTTTCTTCTTCCATTACTACATCATCCTTCATTTCCTTGTCTTTTTGATCCTTTAATTCCTTGGCAATGTTTAATAATTCTTCATCTTGTTCACCATATTCATCCCATTTTACAATTGGTTCTGTAAATGGAAACATTGGAATATAATGTTCATTTATAAAATCTGATCTCTAAATATAAATAAATAATGTATTTTAGTATTTATATTTTTGTTTTTAATATTTGTTTGTTTACTTACATGCATATCAAATCTATTTAGGAGAGGATTTTTTTTTGTAATTAATTCTTCTTGATCATCAACATCCATTCTTTCTTTTCGATTTGCTTTTTCCTCTTGTAAACGTTTTTCTTCTTCCAATCTTTTTTCTTCATCTTTTTTTCTTTGGATGGTTTCTTCGTATTCTCGAAGTTCCTCGCCCTCCAATTCCACACGTTTTCCATGTGTCACTTGTATAGAGTCAATGCCAGATTGACATTTTGATAGTTGGTCTCCCAATGTTCCCTCGTCCATGTTGTCGGTCAACATGACCATATTTTTGGGATCATTTGCCCATTGAATAAATAAATCTTTTGCAAATCCAGTTTCCAAATCTTTTGAACTTGCCAAAACAACATAATTTCTTGTTAAATTTGGTAATTCTTCCAATTGTTTAAATGAATTACAAATTTTAATATTTCTACAAATTAAAAAGAAAGAAAAAAATTAATAAATGTTATTTATCTCTTTTTCTTTTGTTCTTTTGTTCTTTATCTATTTACCTAAAATTAAATATATTTTCATTTTTTTGTTCAAATTTACTAGATGCAGCAGTAGACATGAATTCTAATTGAGACTTTGCAAACTCTCTTACATAGTAGGTGACACTGTTGAAAAATACGACTGAATAGGCCGACCCCAGTCTATGCTGCGACCAGTACTGGTCGATGGTGAGGAGGAGCTCGAGAACACGTCCGGCAGTATCGGTAGCCACCAAAATGTTGCCACCGTCTCGAAGCGACTTGCGTAGCTGTGCCAACATGGCTGTATCCTTGTCTGCCTTTTTCTGAGGTGGAGGATCCAAAATGTGAAGTGCGTCGGTGATCAAATGAGTGGGCTTGGCCAACTCGGGTGAAAGAAGACCATTCTGAAGGAACCCTTCAAGATGGGATTCACGACGATGGTTAATATCGACGGCATAGACAATGACATCGCTCTCTTTGGCAATACGCCATACCGACCCACCCACCATATGACCGGCTAGATACGGGGTGATAATGATGCCGTCGCTATCGGGTATCTCGTAGTGCTGTGAATAGGAGAGTTCTTTGAATCGAGATTGATCAAAGCACATATCGACCTCGTCAAGATCGAATCGATCAAATTCCTCTTGTGCCATTCTACTCGTGTACAAGTCATACATAAAGATTTGACCCATCTTGTGAATTGGTGTAGTCCCATATATCTTTCCTGTCAATCCCAACTTGCCAATTGCATATGGTAACGCTCCAATATGTTCTGTATCTGGATAAGTTAATAATATTGCATCTACTTTATTTGCCACTCTAAAAGTAATATAATATACATTAGCGTCAATGATCGTCATACTTATCTATCTTTGTTTGTTTTACATACTTTTTCAATTCATCTAATAGTGATATATCCAACTTTGCATTCCATCCACAATCTAATAGTATACAAAAGTTATCAATCTCTAGTAGATAACATGGTGGAGTTATTTGTCCTGCTCCGCCACACAGTGGTGTAAACTTGATCACTGATGTCATCTTGCTCTATCAATCAATCGAATCTATACTAATCGTTTGTCGCTATAATTCCTACTATGAAATGAACTGTAGTAGGTGGTGTAGTAGTGAATGATGGTGATGATGATGATGATGATCAATCTGCAGGTTCAACAATGAAGAGACAATAATGAAAGAATTTAACACTCACAGTCAAGTACTTCATTCATTCATCACAAGGTTTTTAATTTTTAGTGTGTTTTTCAAAGTTAAAAGTCGCTTATTAATGTTGGTGGTCTGTTTGGGAACCATCATTCATTATTTACTTTTCATTCATGTGTTAGAGGAGATTGTATCTCTGTCTCTTCATATTCCCCCCTCTTTTAAACATTAATATGTTTACTATTATCGTAGTAGCGACACTAAAGATGTAGATATATATATATTTAAAAGTGGTTTATTTGAAATGAAATGAATGATTTCATCAGATGGTTTGGTTCATTCATAGGATGGGATAGGGCGTCTAGATGAGACGAGACTATGCTTATCTATCAAGCAACTTGTTTATTCAATTAAAAAGGGTTGCTTGGGGAATAATAATGGGGGATGGTCAACGGTTGGAGAGAAGAAACAATGTATACACTCGCATCAATAGAGGGACCCTCCCCACCCCTCTCTTTATTACCTATCTACACGCGCTTCGCTAGACTACATTCATTGGAGAATAAGTATAATACTTAGTAGTCACACTACTACATGTTTATTGGATAATTACAGGTGCTCGACGTCGATGCACCCAACCCGGCTAATTTAAAGGTATGCCATATTGGACACCGAGGGTGGGTGATGGTAGGACCATACCTTCCTATGACTGCTATAGTAGTAGTAGTATTGTCGACAAACAGTACAGTGCACAATCATTTGATATCTTTATCTCCATCTAATCACCAACCAAATAATATAGTATATAACCTATAGTATATATCTTATTACAATGATGATGTTTTCAAATCAACAACCAATCATTTCAACATCAGTTGCTAGTAATAATATTATAATTCCATCTAAAAATAGTAATACTATTATTAATAATAATAATAAGAATAATAATCTTAATCTTAATCTTAATAGATTTATATTAAGAGAATTTAAAAGTGAACAAGATATGGAAGCAATTACAACAATTCCAAGATTACCACAATCTTATAATTTCAATTTGTTGGAGGGGATGTCTCACCCCATCGATTATTCCATCCGTCCGTCGTTGACCAAGTTTTCCAAGGTGGTGGTAGCCGAAGACCGAGACCGTCGTCAGACTATTGGGGCCTACGCCTGCAACATCAAGGATGTGATTGTGTGTGGCCAGATCAAGACTCTCTACTATATGTTTGACATTAATGTGCATCCCGAGTACCGCGGTCACTCCATTTCCAACATGTTTTTTAGAAACATGCATCAGATGGTTGTGCAAGACCAACGCCCCAACCTATTGGTACTATCAACCTCCAAGAACAACGTACCCATCACAAAGGCAACATCAAACTTTGAAATGTATCCTCAATACGATCAATGCCAAATGGCATGGAAACTTGATCATCAAGTTCGTGTCATTCCATTGAACTCCAACACTTATTTGCAAGCACCACGTGTCACCAAGATCTATCACAATCAAGAGATTAAAGAACGTTGGACCAATGCATTCCAACAGTACAACTTTATTCCCTCTGATTTTGGACATATCCTTCAAGACAATGAAAAGTATTTAGAGTCGACCTATGTAGCCACTGCCACCACTGTAGATGGATATTTATACGAAGCATCGATATCAGTTTGGAATCAAGACCTAATCTTTACACTCAAGAATCGTTTGCAACAGGTACAAAGACATCGTCAACTCTTTTGTTGCTATTCGATTGGTCAAGACAAGGAGCAGAGTGACACACTCTTTCAATTCCTTTTACAACATGTTCATAATGAACTCTATTCTCAAGGCATCAACTATGTTTTTGCAGGTTTCTCAATGACCGATCCCATCCGATGCCATTTCCCGTTGTTGCCAGGTATCAAAACATTGGAATTCACCTCTATCGGTCGTTTCTCAACCACCTCGGAGCTCAATCAATTCAAATCTCAATCTCAATTACCAATTTGGAATGATCCTCGTGATTATGGAATTTTAATGTTATATCCTGAAACTAATATTAACAACAATATTTCAAAACTTTAAAAGAGAAAGAAAGAAATATGATAGTTAAATGAAATGGTTTTATTTATTTATTTATTTATTTATTTATTTATTCTATTTAATTTTATTTATTTATTTAATAAATTGTAACATATATTTATTTTTAAAAAAAACAATTACCTTTTATTATTAATATATGTATTATGGTTGTGAGTCACCAAAAAAGAGTTTATTACATTCACAAGTCCAAAATAAAACTTTTTTTTTACTCTGTCCCTCTTCATAAAACTTTTGATTTCACAAGACATTCAAAGAGCTGCTAGTTCACGAATCTTTAAATAGTTAGTTAGACGACAAAGCATATATAGTAGAGTATAGTAGAGTATAATATAGTAAACATTTGTATAATAGAATATAATATAAAGAGATAGATAGAGAGAATGAGTGGTATGGAATTTTTCCCAAATCAATACGCATATGATAACTCTGGTCAACAGAGTAACAACAACAATCATAACAACAACAACAATGCATCACCCTATGGCAATGTATCATATGGTAATATGGGCAATATGAATAGATCTACACCATCAGGTGATTCATTTGATGATGAATTACCATTACTTGAAGGTATACAATAGATAGATAGAATGAAAACAACTAGATGATCATTGATCTTCACTACTCTTTATATATATAGATGCCTAACTCTTATTGTTTTCTATATTTATAGAATTGGGGATCAACTTTGATCATATTAGATCAAAGACATTATCAGTATTAAACCCATTCAAGAAAATAGATTCACATATCATGGATGATACAGATTTAGGTGGACCAATATTCTTTGATTTAGTATTAGGTTTCTCTTCTTTAATGGTATGTCTATATAAATATGAATGAGTCTGTATGAATGATGAAACAAACAACATGTATTGATACATTTCTTTTAATGATCAACAAACAACAATAGAGTGGAAAAGTACAATTTGGATATATTTATGGATTAGGTTTAATTGGATGTTTGGCCATGTATGTTGTATTGAATTTAATGAGCGAAAATGGAATCGATATGTATCGTGTCGTTAGTGTATTGGGTTATTGTTTATTGCCAGTTGTTATTCTTTCTTTTGTTAGATTAATTATTGATTTGACGTATGTTTTAACCAACCAAAACCAACAAACCAATATAATGTAATGAATGTTCTAATATATATTATTTTAAAATTATTAATAGAGGAATGGTTGGATATGGATTAATATTTTTGGCAATCTTTTGGAGTACATATTCTGCGTCAAAAATGTTTGTTAAAACGCTTACAATGATAGATCAAAGAATTTTGGTTGCCTACCCAGTAGGTTTATTGTACACTGGTTTTGCTTTATTGGCTGCTTTCTAAGCAAAAGATAATCAAAAAAGTAAGATTCTTTTTTTGAACAAATGTTATAATAATAATAATAATAAATAATAATAATTTATAATACAACAAATAATAATAATAATTGATGGATGTGATGGATGTGATGGATGTGATTAATAAGCTCTATAGGAAGCAGCTACAGTTGAAGATACCATTATTGAAGTATAAAACCACCATTGTGATTTGGATTGAATATTATTAAAATGGTATGGGATCATACTTTGAAATTTAAGTTTCAAAGATGATGTAGTACGCGTACTATTTTTTCTAGTGGTTCTATTATTATTATTATCATTATTATTTTGTTCTGTTATTTTAGTATAAGTGAATTTCTTTGACATTCTAAAACAAATTAAATAATAATATTTTTTACAAACAAATAATACAATTTACAAATGATTATATGGTAATATGATGTGTATGTATACAAATCACTATAATTTTCAACTAGTTCCTATTTTATACCCATGTAATCTAAAAATAATTTTTAATGTAGTAATATCGAGATTAGTGTGATATTGATTGAATGCAATCCAAACCCAAAACACAAAATGATTGATGGTAATTTGTGGGGGGGGGGGGGGGGTTAATTCCAAGATTGAATAGTTGACACGGTGATCAACTCTCATAGATAGATCTATGATAGATAGAACAACTCTATCATTCCAAAATTTAAATCGTAAGTCTTTTTTTTATATGTTTCGTACTTTGATAAAGTATAATAATTTATTATGGTTGTGTGGTGTATATATGGTATAGTAAGGGTATGATATTACAATTAAATTGAATTAATTAAGTTTAGGGATTTGATTTGATTTGATTTGATATTTGATTGGTTGTACCCAAATGAATAGGTATAAATTCTTTTCTTATTCTTCTTTGATGATTGATTGATTGGATTGGTTGGGTTGGGTTGAAAAAATTGACTGGATTGGATTAATGGAAAATACAAAATATTATTATTATTATTATTATTTGTCTATATATTTGATTTGATTTGATTTGGTTGGATTAGATTTGGATTTCTTTCCATCTTATCTTATTGATTTTTAGCTGCCTCTCTTTTTCTTCTTCTTTCTTCTCTTTGTTCTTCAATTCTCTTTGCTTCTTCGATTAATTCCTTTTCCTTTCTTTCTCTTTCCAAACGTCTCTCTTCAGCTCTCTTTTTACGTTCTTCTTCGATACGACGTTCCTCTTCTTCGAGGTCACGACGACGTTGTTCACGGTCTTTGAGTAGAGAGGCTTCACGATTTTGTCGCTCCGATGCCTCCTTTTCATGTTCTTCCTTTTGTCGTTGTTCACGCTCGAGACGACGTTGTTTGAGTTCTTGTTCACGTTGTAATTTTTCCTTTTCTTCCTTGTCTTGTTCCTCCTTTTGTCGTTGTTCACGTTCGAGACGACGCTTGTCACGTTCAGATTCACGACCAAGTCTGTCCTTTTCTTCCCTGTCCTGTTCCTCCTTCATTCTTTGTTCACGCTCGATACGACGTTTCTCACGCTCGTTTTCACGACTTTGTCTTTCTCTTTCCTCCTTGTCAGCCTCTTCCTTGGCCTTTTGTTCACGTTCAATACGACGTTTTTCACGTTCAGCATCACGTTGTTGTCTTTCTCTCTCTTCCTTTTCCTGTTCCTCTTTTAGACGTTTCTCACGTTCAATTCGTTTTTGTTCTCTAGCGTCTGCAACCATCTCACCTTGTACAACATCATCCTTGCCAACGCTGGCAGCTGGAGAAGTTGAAGTTGATATTTTTTGTGGGGATACACTTTCTTGCAAATTCTCACGTGGAGATGCAGGTGACAATGGAGATGATACAGAGGGTGAAGGAGAGGGTGAGGATACAGATGGACTTGGAGACTTTGACTCTACTGGTGATACAGACACAGATGATGGTGAAGATGCTGGAGAAGATGAAGTTGGAGTTGGTGTCTTGTTCTTATTTTCTCTTTCTTCTTGTTCTTTTTTCTTTCTCTCTTCTCTTTCTTTTCTACGTTTTTCAAGTTCTCTTTCTTGTTCCTCCAACTCAAGTCTAATACGTTCTCTTTCCATCTCTCTCTCTGTTCTTCTAATATCTGCACCTGATGGTGGTGATACTGGTGCAACAGCAGCTGCAACCTCTTCCTTTTTGGCAGCTTCCAATTTTTCCAATCTTTCCTTTTCCACCAATCTCTCCTTTTCCAATTGTTGTTCTTTTTCCAATCTTTCCTTTTCTTTTTCTTGTTCTTGTTCTTGTTGTTGTTGTTGTTGTTGTTCCTTTTGTACTCTTTCCTTTTCCTTTTCTTGTTCTTCTTGTTCTTTTTCTTTTTGTTGAGCAATAGCGGCAGCAGCAGCAGTTGCGGAAGCGGCAGCTATAACTCTCTCCTTTTCAGCAACTCTTTCTCTTTCAGCATCTCTTTCTTGTTGTTCTCTTTGTTCTCTTTCCTTTCTTTGAGCTTCAACACGTGCAGATGCATCATCTTCTTGTTGGTTGAACTTGTTAATATCAGAGGCGAGTATTTGACCACTTGCACGTTTTCCATGGTTCCCACCAACTCTCTCCAAATGTTTCTTTTCCTTTTTATCATCTTCTTCTTGTTTACGTTTCTTTTCTTGTTCTTCCATTTCTTTAATTCTCTTTTTAAGGTCATTGTCACCACCGGACGATGAATCTGATGCACCGGACGAACCAGCAATACCAGAGTTTAATTGTCTGAATCTATAAATCTCATCCTTTTTTCTCTTGTCTTCTTCCTCTTCAAGACGTCTACGTTGACGAGCTTCTTCTTCAATTTGTTTTCTTCTCTCTGCACGTTCCTTTTCCTCTTCGGCACGTTTCTTGGCTAATTCGGGGTCTGGACCAACCTGCTTTCTCGAGGGTTTGGTGTTGGCGTTGGCAGTGGTCGATGCAGTTGGTTTCGTTTGGATGTTGGTCTTTAGACCCTTCTTTTCTCTCTCTTTGATCAATAGTTGTGTCAATTGTTCACTTGACAATTCCTGTAAACTAATTGATATTCCTTGTGCCTTTGTATGTGATGTTTCCGGTGACACTGGATACATCTTTTTAAAATGATGATATAATCTAAATAAACAATTTAAATTAAAAATTAATATATACTCTTTCTTTCTTTCTTTCTTTTTGTTTCTTTTTTTGTTTCTTTTTTTGTTTCTTTTCTTTTGTTTTAAACAAACATACTCTGATACATAAGTCATAATACTTCTACGATCTAAACCACCTGGAACCAATAAAAAGTCGGGATCCAATAAATCAGGTACACCAATTGAAGTAGCCATTTTAAATGCTAAATCTAAATTATCTCTTTTGTTGATCGCAGACAATCCATCATATTTAAATAATTTATCACCTTCGTATGAATGAACCAATGCACAAAATGCCAATCCTATAAATAATACAAATATCATGTTAGTATCCAACCATACATAATGCAATTTTGAGTAATGTATACATTACCATCACCCCAACTCTCTGAGAAATTTTGGACTTTGACACCAGCATATCCGGCTGTTCTAACTTGTGCCCATAGTAATAGAGCTTCTTGACCAGTTTTGACTGACATATTTTAATCAATATATTGTATATATATGTATATAATGTAATAAATAAACTATATATGATTAAATAAATAAATTAAATGATCTTTATAAATACTACTACTTTTGGTACTATTATTATTATTTGGAATAAGTTCTAATGAATGTTGTTGTTTAAGATGGATTGAAATAGTAGATTCTACACAAAAAAACAATCTAATCTGATGGATGGATGGATGGATGAATTAAAATGTAACCCGGTAATCGCAAATAAGTGATTATAATGAATGAATGGTCTATGATAATAATATTGCTTTGTGTACACAAATATCCTATGATATTGTTTGAAGGTAAAAAAAGAGAATGATTGATTAATTTTTGTTAATTTGAATGAAATTATATTATTTTAAAAGAGGAGCAGCATGGAGGAGAGAACCGACCAAGTGATAACATGTTGATGGTTAGGGTTAGTGATTGTTTAAACAAATTGGTGGTGGGAGTGTTTTTGTGGGTGGTGTGTGAGTGTGGGAATTGGGGACACACACATTGTGAAGAGGTGATTGGGTAGGTAATGATAGTGATAGTGATATAGTGAGAGGTGATAGGGATTGGGTTTGATGTGAGTTGTTTATGATTTAAATTTGGAATGTGACTCGTACTCCTTCTCCTAACTACTACTATAGTCGATATAATTAGATGATTTCAACCTTGTTGTTGTTGTTGTTGTAATGTTGGTTGTTGGTTTGGACAACCGTTGTCAATGTCAATGTCTCTGTTGTTGTTGTTGTTGTTTAAAACAAAAACATAATAATATTATTATCGGTTTACTCAACAATAATCCAACAACGAGATAAAAACAATAATAAACGACGGAGACATATATGATTGTTGTAATGTGGTCGCCACACACCCAATCCACACACTGTTCAATCTATATCGCGCCTTGTCATATGTAACTGTAGACTGGTTGGTTTGATTTTAACTTGTTGTTTGTGTAATGATGTATTCGTTCTACTCAGCTGCTGAAGAGTATAGAATTGCAGTATAGTTGAAGTCAATTCTGTATTGATTGCATACCTGTTATTGTTGAGATAAAATCAAAACCTTCTCTCTTTTAAAATAAATAATAAATATAAATTATATAAATAAACAAACACAAGTTTAAAGTTTAGATATATAGATAGATAGATAACAAGAAGAAAAAGGAATAAGGAAAAGTTAAAATTATAAACACAAAGAGAGAGGGACAAAAAATGAATATGCTACGGGTGGTGAAACCTCGTGACAAGAGTCTCAAAATTATTTGAAAAATGACACACGTGATGGCTTTTCGGTAAAGTCCTGCACCATACCTTGCGCAAACCAGCAGATACTAACAATTATGCAAAGACCGTAACACAGAGGTTAAATTCGAAAACAGGCAAAGATTCATTCAATTCAATGTTGTTGTGTGTAATGAATGTTGGCTGAGATACATATTTATCTCTGTGAGGACATGTAACAGGAGGTAATTGAATATTCTCCTTTTTGTTTGATAGTTTATTTGTAGATACAAATAAGACCCCCAATCATAGTTTTCAAAGTAATACTTTAGTAAGTTGGTAACAGTGTGTATACATATATATATATATGTTATATATGTAAACCCCCACAATGGCACCAATTGAGAGGGGTGGATGGGTCAGTCTGCCTTCTTTTGTTTTTCTTTTTTTTTATTTTAATTTTTTTGAAGTTGGTTCATCATTCAAGATCTTTAGTCCATCAAGCACTATAACTATTTATCACATCACATCTTCATATATAGTATTTATATATCTTCTTTATTTCACAGAGTTTTAAACAATGACGAGTAAGTATGATAGGATAGATTTAGATTGATAGATAGATGGATTGATTGGTCGATCGCTGACTTGATATTCTTTTTTGTGTGTATATATAGGAGGCAATCAAAGAGAAATCGATAGAAAGAGAGCTGAAGCTAGAAAAGCTCAAGGTCCACAAGGCAAACAAGAAGATTTCAATGTTAGAAAAGAAAGGTAAGTGTAAGAACAAAAGAAGAATGAAGAACAATGAAGAAGAAGAAGTAAGTGAGTGTTTCAAAAAACATATTGATCTTATCCAAACAAATGCATCTTCTTATTTTAGAGATAACAAGGCACTTTTAGATAAACAAAAGGCATTTAATGATAAAAAACAAGCAGAAGAAGAGGCTGCTCTTGCTGCAAAGAGAGCTGCTGCAGCCAAGAAATAGATTTGATGGACTCGATACAATCCACCAAATTTACTTCTCTCACCTCCACTCCACTCCACTCCCCTTCCCATACCCTTTCTTATTTATAAATACGTTGTTTTTGGATTATATATATAACATTTTTGGCCGCCTCAATTGGAATATCACTCTCACATTATAACAATGTGTATTGTATTTTGGTTGACAATGATGACAAAACGATCGATCTAGTTTGATAGTAAATGAATTTACAATGTACAAAAATATATTTTGATATATATATTCATTCAATCCCTTTCCCTTTCCCCTTCCCCTTTCCCCTTCCCCTTCCACCCCAACAACACAACCATGTAGTAATAATAAACTATCATTCCCCAACTAAAATGTCATCATACACCAATTAAACAAACATATATGTTTAATGTGATGATATACATACCAATTGGCCAAATTTGGTAAACAAATCCAATAACATTTTAAAAACCCCCAAACCTATACTTTTTCTTTTTACAATTTATTTGTTTATTTTTCATTTTCTTTTAAAAGGAGGAACACCCATTGAAGTTGTTGAAGAAGCCAATTCACTTGGAATAGGAGGAGATGATTGTGGAGGTGAACTTGGCGTTTGAACTGAAAGTGGCGATGAGAATGACTCGACACCGCCCGATGCAGCCAATACTTGGGTTTGTTCCTTTTTCTTTTGATTTCGCATATGAGTGTTGAGATGAGTTCTCACCTGATTGGGTGTTCTCGTTTTAACATGAGAGGAGATACCTTGGTAATCTTTAACTGCATATTTTGATAATGCCTCTAAAAAGAGTGTATGTTCATCTGGTGTCCAATGTGATGACGCTTGTTTGGTGTGAGATGATTCCGATGAGGTTGAAGATGATGATTTTGATTTTTTCCTGCTGGGTTCTTTTGAGGGCGAAGCTGCTACACTTGAAGTGGAGTTTGACAATGGAGGTGATGATGGATTTTGAAATTGTTGTTGTGGTGTTATTGGTGGTGCCAATGGTTGTTGTACTGCGACTGGTTGTTGTTGTTGCATTGCAACAGGTGGTTGTAATTGTTGATTTTGTTGTAATTGTTGCTGTTGTTGTTGTTGTTGTTGCAGAGCTTGTTGTAATGCCAATTGTTGAGCTTGTTGTTGGGCCAAAAACTGAGGTTGTTGTTGAAGTAGGAGTTGTAAATAGGAGGATGGGTTGGTTGTTATTTGGTGTAAATAGTGGGCATTGTTCTCCAATGTTTGGACGGTGGAAATACAGTATTGTTGTTGCTGCTGCTGTTGTGGTGTCAGTGTGTTGGTAGGGAGTGCCTGCAACTGCGCCAACAATGCCCGATGCTGTTGAATCTGGACCGTCAATGCAGTGTGCTGCTCTCTATAGGCCTTGATTTGTAACTGCAATGCTGCTACTTGTTGTTGAGTTAGTGATGGTTGTTGTTGTGGTTGTTGTGGAGTAGCAAATGTATTTTGTTGTTGTTGTATTGGTTGTTGAACCTGTTGTATTGGTTGTTGTACTTGTTGTTGTGTTGGTTGTTGTTGTTGTACCTGTGGTTGTTGTTGTTGGACAGGTTGCTGTTGTATTTGAGTTTGTTGTTGTTGTTGTATCTGTGGTTGTTGTTGTTGTTGGACAGGCTGTTGTTGAGTTTGTTGTAATTGTTGCTGTTGCTGTTGTTGTTGTTGTTGTTGTTGTTGCTGTTGCTGTTGTTGTTGGATTGCCTGTTGTTGTCTTTGCAAGTACGCTTTCAACTGATTGAATTGTTGTTGAAGTGCTGCGAGTGTGTTTGAAAGTTGAGTGTATTGTTGTTGTAGCTGTGCTTGTGCGACGGGATTGCCAGATTGCATCTGCATCTGCTGCGTAGTCTGGGTCATCTGTGCCTGGTATTGCTGAATGTAGATGTTTAGTTGCTGACCCGTGTGCAACAGTTGTTGGGTGTTCATCGCTGCAAAATTGGTTGGGGCAGCCCCAGTAGAGCCTGTCGCCGGTTGTGTCTGTGCAGGTGGCTTGATTTGTGGTTGTGATGGTTGTCGTGTTGGTTGTCCTACCGCGGTAGCAGCAGCTACATTGGTAGCAGCTGCCAAGTTGGAGGAAGTTTGTTGTTGAGGTGTAATAGGTTGTTGTTGTTGTGGAGTATTAACATTATTGGTCTGTTGGTTTGGTAGTTGTTGATTTTGTACAGGTGATGAATAAACAGGTGGTGAAACAATGGTGGTCGGTTGTTGTTGTTGTTGTTGTGGTTGAGGTTGTTGAGGAGGATGTACGATCGTTCCCATTGGTCTTTGTGTAGCTTGTGATATCGGTTGTGTTTGAGTTTCGGGAATAGCCATGTTTGGTGTTGTTATCGTCGTAGTAGTCGTCGTTGCAGCTGTAGTATTATTATTATTATTATTATTAGCAGCACCAACAATAGTAGTAGATCCCAAAGGAGAATTAGCATTTGTAGTTGTAGAATCTGTAGTTATCGGCATACCAACTGGTGGTTGTTGTTGTTGTTGTTGCTGTTGTTGCTGTGGTGTTTTAAGCATTGCATGTTGTCGGTTCTATAATTATCAAAATAACAAAGTTAATCATTCAATCTATCATCATCTATTTACAATATATATATATATATATTGTTTAACATACAAGTTGAGAGGTTTGAATATCAATAATACCAATAAGTGCTAACAAATTACCATGTAGCTGTGACTGATATTGTAAACAATCTTGTAATCTAGATGCATTTTGATTCTCAAAGATTGATTGTATTAATATTTGATTCTCTTCTAATTTCTATTATATCATATAGACATTGACATTGAATAAGAGGTTAGGATTAGGGTTAGTTCTAGTGTATATTATGATGATGATGATGATGACTATAACGATTACTCAAACGTACACTTTTAATTTGATCTTGACTCGTAATGACTACAGATTGTGGTTGTAGTAGAGTAATGTTTGGTTTCACTGCTGTTGATGTAGACATTTCATCTTACACTCTATTCAATATCTCTATCGTCTCAATTATCTGTTTATCTGTAATTTTCTTGAATCAAAAATATAAACAAAAAGTAAAAAACAAACCAAGTACTCTCTCTCCCAAAAAAGTATACTTTTTTGATTTAAAGTTAAAAGATCTTAATATAAATAAAAAAGCTTTTATTAAAAATGATTGATGATGATTTAATTTTTGTGGATTCCCTATAAAATATGTATACAGACAATTAATACATTATTTATTATTATTATTTATATTATTATTTTAGATTTCTTTGTTTCCTTTTTGAAAAAAATTGAATTTTATCAAGGATGTTGTCAAGTTCATCGCACCCCTTTGAACATTCATTGTTTAATAATATAGTTTTTTTAAAATGAGGTAATTATATCTCTGTACAGATATGTGTATATCGATTACTTATTAACTTGTTTTCTATCTATCTATCTCTCTATCTAATCTATCTCTACTTTAAAGTGAAAAAGCTACAGCTACTCTTTTATGGGCCGAAAGACAAGATCACATCTACTTGACCGTAGATGTTGTCGTATCAAACGTCAAGGACGTCAAGTTTGATCTCCAAGAAAAGTCATTCTCTTTCTCTTGCGTTGCTGAAAACAAGACCTACTCTGCAAGCATTGAATTCTTTGGTGAAATCATCCCATCTGTATGTTCTGATACATATAGTCATATAGATAATTTGAAATATCATATCTTATTTACTTTTTTTTTTTTTTTCTTTCTTATCAATCCCCCTCTATCTATCTTATCTTATCTTCTAATATTAGGAATCATCACACGATTTCACATCAAGAAATCCAAAGTTCCTTATCAAGAAGAAGGAAAGCGGATATTGGAACTATTTGTTAAATAATAAGGCCAAGAGCTCATTTGTCAAGGCCGATTGGAATACCTGGAAGGATGAAGATGACAGTGAAGGAGAGGGAGAAGACGAAAACCACTCTAATTTCGGTAACTTTGATGCTTCCAAGCTCGGTGCCATGGGCGGCATGGGTGGCTTTGGCGGTATGGGCGGCTTTGGCGGCATGGGCGGCATGGGCGGCGAAGAAGACCAATGGGATGAAGATGATCTCGATGACCTCGAAAAGGATACCAAGATTCAAGAAGAAGGTGATTCCAAGATGGACGATGATGAAGAAGAAGAACCAAAGGGAAAAAAGGGAACCAACATCAACTCTGTAGATTAGATACACACATACATTTAAACCTTTTTTGGATATAAATCAAAATAAATTAAAAGAAAAAAAAAAAAGAGGTATTTTAAAATAGATGACCAAAAAGCATACAAGTTACAAAGATTTTGGAAAAAAAAGGATTGGTCGATTTATTATTATTATTATTGTGGTTGTTTAGAAAAATACTTTACTTTATATATCTTGTCTTTTTTACTTTTAATATTGTTGTATATATATGTTGTTTATGTTTATGTTTTTTTTACAAATCATCATCATCATCATTACCACCATCAAGTTTGGAAGCAAACATGAGAGCAATTTTAGCCGCCATATCACGTCTATCTTGATCATTCATTGTTTGCATTTGTTGTCTAATGTCTTGGAGTTGGCTAAATGTCTTTTCAAATAATGCCACTTGGTCAAATTCCTCTGCCACTTCTTCATCCTCTGTTGATTCGACACCTCCACTACCTGTAGTAGTCTTTTTGGTTGGTGGCTTGTTTCCTTCATCAAAATAGATTTCCACTCTTTTTAATGATTCAGTTATTAAATCCATTTGTTGTTTGTTACTTCCATCTCCATTTGATAAAGAAGAAGATGATTTTTGTTGTTGTTGATTATCTTCATCATCGTCTGATAAATCATTTGATGCAGCAGCGGTTGGACGATTTGAAGTTTTATAATCCATGTTTGACCACATGGTAGTTTCTAACAATTCTTTGATTCTTTCAACACCATATTTGATTCTTTGGTCATCGTCTGTATCACCCTTTTGTTGATCATATTTCTTGTGTTTCTCTTCTTCGAGTATGATCAATTCGATTGCATTCTCTATACACCATTCCTCTATTACAGTGATATCTACCGATGATCCACCGGTCGATATCTCTTTACCATTATTTACATCTACCAATACAATCGATTCATTTCCATCAGATTCTCCAACCAATTTACTATGATATGATTTAATTGAATTGAATGATTTTTCCTACGATGATGAAATAACCAATTAGAGATCAATCTCTTCTTCTCATTCCTTTTCATTCTATTTTTCTATTATTCCTTACATTTGATTGATCAAATACTAATACAACCAATTCACCAGCAAAGTATGAAGTTGCATCAGCAGCAATACCACTCTTTTCCTTGGCATTCTTGTCTACATTGGTTGCCAAATGTACTGGTTTGAATTGTATTTTACAATTATAGTATTTGTTATCAATTTCATAAAGATTATCTTCTTTACATTTTAAACCTAAACGAGATGTGATGTTGTATAGATTATAACAATATGATCAGTATACATTGTTTATAGATCATATTGATTTTAGATAATTGTATACCATTTAAAAATGTATTTATATGATTATCACTTGATACAATTGAAACATCATTGACTTGACTCATATTATTTTTATTTATTTATTATTATTATTATTAGTAAGTATAAATATATATGTATGTTAAAAGAGATAAATAGGATTATTAATATTAATACAAAATGTGTTTGAGTGGAGGAGAAGAAAACAAAACAAAATGAATCAAATAATTTGAAAAGGGTGAAATGACTTTATTAAATTTTATTTTATTTATCATGTCATAAAGGTTTCTTTGAAGAGTCTTTCATCATAAAAATAAAAAAAAGTAAAGTAGTAAATTCTATTCCTTTGAAAACCATTTTACAAGTAATAAATATTATTCATCATAATAAAATATCTTGGTGACTGTCACCTTACCTTGACCTTCCTTCCTTTTGTATAAATTTATTGTTAAGATGTATAATATTATAAAAAGTAAAAAAAAATTGAAAAAAATCATCATTCGTCTCTGAGTGCGATCATTGACTGTGAGTGAGGTCGATGATTAATCAAACTGCTCAATCTAAAGAGCCCCTTTACAAGAAGAATATATAGAGAGAAGAAATGGAACCAAGACAAAAAGATACACTTACAGTAGGACAACTTGCAGGTCAATCATCGATTGATCGTGTAGTCTTACCAGAGTACCCAGTCATTAGCAAAGAACCAACATTCTCTCAAGTCAACAAGAACTTTAGAGCTTCAGATTACTTGTATATGTTGGCTGTACCATCAGTTCTCGTATCTTTTTACTATTACAAGACTTGTAAGAATCTACATAGACAGACACACATGTGATAGCTACTAGATAAAGCACTATCATTCAATAGACTTGTCACACACACAGTAGACTAATCAATTTCTATTGCTCTATAGATCGTCATGCATCATCAACCGTTGTTGCTGCAGGTTTAGCCTTCCCAGCAATGTATGGTGTTTCATTCCAAAAGGTTAATCTTAGATTAAGAGGTTTCTTGGAGAATCAACCAGAATGCGAGAAATATCAAATGAACTTTAATAAGGTTGCCTTGTAAACATAAAACAATATAATATAATAATAATATAACTTATACTTTAAACGATAATTAGTCATTTTGTTGTGGATATGGATAATTGATACGGTCCGATTGATCGATCGATATAGTCAACTTTTCATTACATAGATTTCAATCTTGGTTTGGTCAGTCGGTTGAATTTAGTTTGTGGAGGAAACACAACACAACTCAAATTATCATTTTCATTGATTACTTTACAACAATAATAATAATGATAATCATAATATTAATAAGCAAAGGATTATTATCTATTATTATTATTTATTATATTATTATCCAGAGTAATCTGGATGGGGTGACTTTTTTTTTTTATTATTTTTCTTTAATTTTTTTTCATGAACAAGTTTCAAAAGTTCGAATTTTTGATCTTCATTTTTCATTATTTGTTGTACAATATTTATTTATATATATATATACATTACACAGATAGATAGATATAAAACATGTTGGAGACACTAGGTAGTTTCGAATATACACCAGAGGCTGTAGCATTTATACAAAGTGAAATTAAAAATCATTTAGATTGTGATGATATATTGGCAGTATGTTTGTAGAAAGTTTTAACAATGAATTTAGAATGAAGATGAATGACTGAATGAATGATCATTGGTCATAATCATCATTATAATGAATCAAATCAAATCAAATCAACAAGGTTTTAATCAAAGAATATATTATCTTTCATCCCCCCTTTTCATCAATCAAATCAACCAACCTCCATTCTTCATCCTCTTCCTTTTCCTTTTTTTCAGGAATATATTGTTGTTATGGTTAGAAATAACAAAACAAAAGGAGATGTTATGCATGATTTAAGTGAGTTTATACCAATCGATCCACAACGTTTTGTAGATTGGTTGTGGACATTTGTTGTATCATATATGGAGATCAAGAGGGAACCATCATCGTCGGCCATGTCACTGTCGTCATCGACATCATCGTCGGCTGCCATGGTGGACAGTCCCTCTGCAGGCACCGTCGGACGTGGTGATGTGCCAAAGCGAGGCCCACCATCTAGCAAGCTCGTGTTGAACGCTGCAAGAGCTGCAGCCGAAGATGTAAAGGCTCATCCCTCCTTGTCAATGTCTCTTGACGATAGATTGGCTCAAGACAGCAAATACAACAACAAAAAGAAATTTAATACAAGAGATAACAACAATAACAACAATAACAACAATAACAAGAGAGTTGGTAATCATAACAATAATAACAACAATAACAATAGAGGAGGTCACACCAATTCACACGGAAACAACAACAATAGACAAAACACACCAAACTTTAAGGTTACTTTTACTACTTTGGATAGTTCTTCTAGAAAGAGAAAAATTAACAATGGTATGAACGATGACGAAGATGAAGATTCGATTGACCAATCAAACGAAGGAACTGAAGACCAACACATTATCGACGAAGAGGAAGATGATGACGAACAACAAGAAAGTATGAGATCAACCAAGAAATCAGACAAGAAAGAAAGATGTCAATTTTGGCCAATGTGTAAAAATCAAGATACTTGTTCTTATTTCCATCCAACTACTCAATGCAAGTATGTAAATCAAAATAGAAAATAATAGACAATATTAGAAAAGAAATAGAAAAAAACACAGTATTGATATAAAATTATTTAATATTTAGTTTATTCCCAAAATGTCCATATGGAGAGAAATGTTTATATATTCACCCATCGATACCATGCAAATATGGTGTAGGATGTACTAATCCAAACTGTGCCTTTAATCACCCACAAAGACCAGCTGCCTATGATATCCCATCCGTTCCACCCTGTCGTAACGGTTTTGCTTGTGCCAACAAAAAGTTTTGTTCATTTGGACATCCACCCATTGCTTGCAAGTATGGAGAAGCTTGTACAAAGGCTCCAAGATGTGCTTTTGGTCATGGTAAAGCTTGTATGTATGGTGCCTCATGTAAAACTCCAAGTTGTACCTTTGCTCATCATGTTGATGGTTCAACTACTCCACCAAATAGTATTCCAGTTGATTGTAGAGTAAGTAAAAAAAAACAAAATAGATTCAATAGGCAATTTATTAATTTCCTTTTTTCTTTTATTTTTTCTAGTATGGAAAGGATTGCACCAATGCATCATGTATATTTCAACATCCAGAAAGACAACAACAACAACAAGGAGATGGAATGGATGAATCAACTGACACGTTATCCAATACTCTTCCACAAACTCCTCCAGGTGAACAATCCGACAATAGTATCTCAACTGATCCACAAGTCACTTCAGATGCTACTGCCACCACTGTTTAAAATATTTATAACCCAATAAATAAATAATAATAATAATAATGAACATTCTATAATTATTCTCCTCTCCAAACCAATCAAATATTATTATTTTAGAATTGTAGTATTACATTTGATCATTTATTTGAATTGTTGTACTTAGCTACTTTGATGTTGTTTTAATTGACTGGCAATCCATTCATCAGCCTTTTCATCTTTATATTTTTTAATAAATGGATGATTTAATATTTTTGATGATGATGGTCTTTCTTCTGGTTCTTTTTGTAAACTATATAAATAAAAAAAAGATAAAAGATATTAGAGATATTGATCAAATAATAATTGTTATTATTATTTGTTCTTTTTCTGTTTTGTTTCTTACCAATCACTAATAAATGAACAAAATTCTTTTGAATATTTATCAATTGGTAAAGTTGGAACTGGAGTTTTAACAATAGTATCCATTAGTGTCCAGAATCCAATACCAGAATCATCGGTATTGGCCGATTTTGGTGGAGAGTATGGGAAATAGCCAAGAGCACATTCTAAAAGAGTTAGACCAAGTGACCAGATATCAGAGTCGTAGGAATAAGACATTCCAGATATTCTTTCTGGTGACATGTAGACAACTGTTCCAACCCATGTAACAGCCTTGGAAAGAGTGTCTTGACGTTGACTACTTACACCAAAGTCTGATATCTTTGCCTGTCCAAGTTTGTTGATTAGAATGTTTGATGGTTTGATGTCACGATGGATAAGATGTAGTTGACGATGGAGATAGTGCAGTCCCTCCAACACTTGGAATGTGATACGACCCAATATGTTTTCGGGGATTGGTCCACGAATCAATTTCATCAAATCTGATAATGACCCACCCTCCATATACTCTAATGCAATATGAATCGACCCTTCGGTATAAAAGGCATCGTAAAATGATACAATGTAGGGACAATGTGTTCGATGTAGTGTTTTCAACTCTAAAATGATTTGTTTACGAATATTCTCTTGTACATCCAATGGAATCACCTTTAATGCAATAGATGTCTTGCTAGATTCATGATATGCCAATTTCACTACTCCTCCTTCTCCTCTACCCAATATCTTTATAATCTTTAAATCTTTTAATTCTAATGATAATATATTTTCATACTATAGTAAAATAAATTAAAAAAGAGGAGATATTAATATCTACTAGTAGGTAGGCAATCCAAGAAAGATATAAAAAACATACTTGTGGTTGATTACTCATTATATTATTAGTAGTTGTTGTTGTATAGTTATTATTATTATTATTTTGTTGTTGTTCATTTGTTTGTTGTTGTTGTTGTTGTTGATAATTATTATAACTTCTTTGAATGATTGGTCTTTTTCTATCTACAAAATTCAAAGGACTATTCTTTGGTGATTCTCCACATATTAATAATCCTTTCTTGTTGATTGCCAAATCACCTTCTCTAAATGTACCACTATTTGTTCTGTAAAGAGAGAGAAGAGTGAGAGATAAGAGACAAAAGATATTAATCTTACTGATCTAATGAGATTGATTGATATGTTATAACATACAAAGAAAAGGTAGACTTTTCATCTACAATATTATTGTTACCAGTTGGAGCTATAGAGTTTATATTTTGTTGTGGATTACCATTATTATTGTTATTGTTATTGTTATTTGCAGAAGTATCAGCTCTATTATCTACTTTGATTTGTAACCCTCCTCTTTTTGATTGAAACATTCTAGATAGATTCTATCCCCCTATATAGTATATAGTATGTCTCTATTTATATATAATAAATACCTCCTGCTACTGTACAAATAAAACAAATGCAATGATTTTTTACAAAAACAGTTAATTTGATGTTTTTTTTTTTTTTTTTTGGATGAATTAAATTCTTTGATTTATTTATTTATTTTAGATAATAGTTGATGGATCAGGATTATAATCAAGGTCATACATTAATTTAGCAATTTCTTGGATTGTTTTTGCATTTCTATAGGTTGGGAAATGTCTAGTGATGGTGGTCATGGCATCGCAATGGTGAATAATAGTATAACACATACAACGGTAAATAAAGGCTTGTGGGTCTTGTTGGTAGAGCCATAGCCATGTCTTGCCAGCCAATGAATCACCATCACGTTTGGAAAAGGTGTAAGAGGAGAGGAATTGCTTGAAACGTTGTTTGTCACCTGCAAACACTGACAAGTGCAAAGAGATGAGTTCGTACCAACGATCACCAAATTTGCTGTCTCCAAAGTCAATCATGTATTTTGGTACCCAAAGACCTGATGGATGTGGTGACGAACGTTTCTCTTCCATGTGTAATCCCTTTTTGAGGAATCTAATCAATGACAATTGTTTCTTTTTCTTTTTATCGTCGGCATTGGTTGGTTGGTCGTGGATAACCTCACCCAACACATTTTCATCGGTCAAATCAGTGTGTAGGTAGCATGGTGGAAGACGAGTATCGATGATGGTGTTTAGATCTTTGGGAAGATATGGAGCCATTGATGAACGAAGGTGTTGTGGCATACCTCCCCAATTCCAATGGTTACCAATATGCTTGTCGTAAAGATTCTTTAATTCCTCTTTCCATGATACCCATAAATCTGACTTGTCAGTTATGAATGGATTGGTAACCAAGTTGTTGTCATCGGTGGTTGGAATAACAGGTTCAATTGAATGTAAACGAACCAATGTATCGGCTGTAAGATTAATTAAATTCTTTTCATCGACAACTGGTGGAATATCTTCTTCTTCATCCTCTTCATCTTCATCGTCATCATCTTCTTCGACTACTGCTGGAGGAGGATATGGATATTCCAATTGTTCGGGGACAATTTGAACTTCTTGTAAATTTACACCTTTAATAAATGAAGTAACAATGTATGGCCATTTCCATTTCAAATTGTCACAATAGTTGATATTGACACCATCGACATAATAACCATTACCAAGGAGTCTTGGAAAGACTGATTGAAGTACATCATCTTGACGAATGACAGTGTAGAGATGTGATTCGTGAAGATAGGATTTCTCACCTCCAAACTCGGTACAATAAAACTTTACAACATACTGACTATTTACAATAAACACTGGACTCTGTCCAGAAATTGGTGACTCTACCTTGAATGTATTGTCATCCAGTGGTTGATTGGGAAGATGACGACGGAACAATTCTTTAATCATCGGTGTCCAATACTCTAAATTATCAAAACCATGTCTAACTTGTGATTCCATCAATTCAAAATCATCAAATCTTTTTTGAAATTCTGGTTTCGATTCTAATAATGATTTCTTAAAATTACCATATTCTTTACCGTCAGAACTAAATAGAAAGTAATAGTTAATATATATATATTATATTATTCTTTTGTTATTTCTTTCTTTTTTTCTTTTCTCCTTACTGTAACTCTTGACAAACTTGTTCAAAATTTTGAGAATCACAAAAGTTTTGAGTGACGGCGATTGATTCTTCGAGGTTGAGGACCATATGCCACCAACCACCTGGAACAAATATAGTTTCACCTGGATTTTGAATACATTCAATTGGTTTTTGATCGGGTGGAAGGTATGGGTAGACTTCGAGCAACCAGAGGAGTGAGGGAGGAGACCCGTAAAACTTTTCGTCAATGTCTTCCATAGAGACACCGATGGGTGTGATTTGGGGTGGGTACATGAGCCAACGCTTGCGACCACTGATCAACGAGTTCCAAGCACTTGTACCGGCGGGGTCAATGTGCCATGGTGCACCACTTCTCGGGGGACCAATGACAATCCATCTGAAATGAGGACGCTCCTTTTCACCACTGCATGCAAACAGGTCTTCTGGAAAGTAAGGTGGTACAGAGTATTCGGACAACATGTCTGGTGCCTTTTCACCAAAGGCGTCGTCGAATACATAGAGTGGTTCTTCATCACATTGCTCAGACATGTAACGTGCATAGTCTCTGAATGTCATAGGTATACGTTTATGATCTTGATGTGTAATCTTGAATGTTATGTCTCCGAATCGTTCGACCAGACGTTCCTTGGTCCACTCTTTTTGTGCGGGCCATTCCTTTTGCACGCCTGTAAAGATGACTGGCACAACTGGACGTTCGTAGCGATCGATAAACTCTTGCAACGACAACTCTGACACGTCACGTCTATCCACCACCTTGCTCATCTCTTCGGTAAAGTAGTTGGAGACTGCTGTGTGACGTCTCAACCATCTAGTGTAAATCTCCATCGATTGGAATGTTGAAAAGTGTAATGGACGGTGTGGGAATGACTCGATAGTCTTGTTCTCTCCAAACAAGAACGACAATGCAGTCAACTTCCAACTCGACTTTACAAATTGTACTTGTTTCTTGGTTCCCTTGATCTGACGTAGAAATACATCCTTCCACAAACGATCGTCATTCAACATGACATAGAATGCACTACTAACACCTTGACACACCAATAAATCCTCTACAGTCAATTGGAAAAAGATATCCTCCATCACCATCTTGTCTGTCAATCTATCAAAGTCTCCAAGTGTCTCTCTTAACACTACAGCTGGAGTAGTAGCAGTTGTGGTAGGTGTAGTAGTCGGTGTTGTTGTTGTAGCAACATCAACTTTCTTTTGTTTTACTACCATATTATATTATTCTTATATTCTTATTCTATATCTATCTCTTTTGCTTAATAATGTACAAAACTAAAACTAGTGCAGAGACAGAGACAGAGAGTACTTCAATTTAATTTAAAATATTGAAGAGTGAAGAGGTCGAAAATTAAAATAAAAAGAAATCATTTTTTGAAGTTTGTTCAAGTTGAAGTAGATCTGCCGACTATCCAGCTTGTGGGTACATAACATTCATGTTTGTGTTTAGTTTGTTTTGGGTGGTTGTATTATAGATCCATGCCGCGTCGTTGTGTGGAGGAAAGATGGTGATATTTATTTAGGTCTCTCTGTTTGTTTGTTTGTTTGATTCTTGCGAATTGGTGTCACTAGTTCTTAGATCACCCGAATCATTGGGAGGACGAGGATTGATTCCTTCCTTTTTTATCCTAGGAGGTGCAAAATGGTGGGTGGATGTTTTTGTGTGACCTGCTGCCGCTCTCTCTCTGTCACCTGCGGATGGGTTTGACTCAAGATTTTTACTTGAAGTTTGAGGTTTGTTAAAAAAATAAAAATCAGACAAGGTCGGTTGATGACATCAAACATTTGGTGATATATAGAAGCTCCAAGAGATGATTTATTTTCATTATATTTTACCTTTCACATAATAATTGTAAGTATATTAATTAATTATATATATCTCTCTCTCTATTCTATCTCAAAACAAACAAAAAAGAGTAGGTGACATTGACAGCTCAATGAGAATATGTGTCACATGATGAAGATGACGTGGTGGTTCAATGGTTGGTGATGAGCTTTCAAATCGACAACTACGACTACTACTGTTTCTCACCTCTACCTCCCTCTGTTTATTTGAAAATAAGAAAAGTCTTAAAGTAGTATTATTACTACTATACTACTACTACTACTCCGACTCATACTCCTCTATATCATCACTAACACTACAATTTGAATTTTACCAATATTATTTAGATTAAAGAATGAGCCACTACCCACCACCAGGAGGTTACCCACCAGGAGCTTATCCACCAGGCGCTGCCTACCCACAACAAGGTTACCCACCAGGTGCCTACCCTCCAGGAGCTGTTCCAGGTGCTTACCCACCAGGTGCTTATCCACCAACTGGCTACCCTCCAGGTGCCTACCCACCAGGTGCCGTTCCAGGTGCCTACCCACCAGGTGCTTATCCACCAGGTGCCTACCCTCCAGGTGCCTACCCATCACACGGTGCTCACGTTGCCTATGGTCATCACGGCAAGCATAAAGGATACAAACACAAGGGTTACAAGCACAAGGGCTACAAGCACAAGGGCTTCAAGGGTTTCAAGAAAGGCTTCAAGGGTTTTAAGAAAGGTTTCAAGAAGGGCTTCAAGGGTTTCAAATAAGAGAGATCTTGCAGTCTAAGCATATACATTTAATAAATTTATATTGTACAACATTATATATATATCAACCGATTTTACTATTATTTTTTCATATTGAAATAGAGAGGTCAATTTATTTCCAAATGTATTAGTTCATTTGTCGCTCTCTCGCATGTACATATAAACGATGGTGGGTGGTGGCTATATAGATAACCAAAAGAAGAAGAACAGTGAATCATCACTACAGTTCAAGAGTATTATAAATAATCGGTATCTCCGAACAAAGATATTCAATCATGTCAACCATATTCATCAAGCAATAGTTGATAGATATTTCATTGGACGTAAACATCAAAAGGGATTAACATTGATAGTAAAGATATCTCAAGTGATATCATTACAAGAGTTTATTAGAATCAATAGATCTGACTTGTTTATTGATCATTTCGATAGAGTATATGATACAATCAAACTTGGTTGTAAAGATGATAATGTCATATTGGTATGTAATTAAAATGTAATAAAATATAAAGTTAACTCCTTTATTACCTTTTCGTTCTATAATCATTATACTTACTAAACTCTTCCATATACCATTGTAGGATCATGATATTGTATTTAGAGATTTATTGGGTGTGATTATTGATAATAATGATTCGATTTCATTGGAGTTTATGTTGAATAGATTCTCATTTACTCTTCAAACTATTATAATCTGGTTACCATTTTCCAACAATTTCCTCCCGACATTAACATCAACATCAACATCAACAACAACAACAACAATCACGATTGATCGAAAAGAATATTTATAAATATTATTATTCTTAAAATAATAATGATTTATGTTATCGGTTTTAAAAAGCATGTAGATATAGATAGATAGATAGATAGATAGATAGATAGATCGATAGATATGAACAGTCTATGATGAGGATGATGATGGATGAGACACTACAACTATTCGATCAAGGAGGCCTTTCACCTATCTTTTAACAATCCTCTTGGCTTTAGCAATATGTATTATTCCTGTTATTAAATCATTTGATTATTATGTATTTTATAAATATAAATATAATCATAATTATGCCCATTATAATAATTCCCCCTTCTTTCTATAAACGTTAACGTTTAAATAATAAATAACCTTTCAAAAAGAAAATAAAATAAAATTGGTGAAGACCTTCACTCACTCTTTTTGCCAACAAACACAATGATCAAAGATATAGATATAAATAATAATGGAGATGGTGATAACTATCTAGATACCAAGAAGAAGAGGGAATCATCACTACAGTTCAAGAGTATTATAAATAATCGGTATCTTAGAACAAAGATATTCAATCATGTCAACCATATTCACCAAGCAATAGTTGATCGCCATTTCATTGGACGTGAATATCAAAAAGAATGGACATTGATAGTAAAGATACCTCAAGTGATATCATTACAAGAGTTTATCAGAATCAATAGAACTGACTTGTTTATCGATCATTTCGATAGAGTATATGATACAATAAAGCATTGTTGTAAAGATGGTGGTGATGGTGTTGTCAAATTGGTATGTAATTAATAACGTTTGTTCATTCATACTCTTTTACTTACTCTCTATTAAAGGATCATGATGCTGTAATCAAAAATTTATTTGTTGTGATTATGGAGAATAATGATTCGATTGCATTAGAGTTTATGTTGAAGAGATTCAAATTTACTCTTCAAACCATTATACAATCTGCATCTCACCCCGATAAACCAATAGCGACAGAGGTGTATCAAGTATTGAAGCGATACAATTACCTCACCATCACTTTGACCAAAGATATCAACGTTGGGGTTTCAATAGGGTACGTCAACAATCTGGTGATTTGTGTCATCAACTCTGGTAACATTTCAATATTTGACCAGTTTTGTATAGATTGTCTCGAACCAATCAAATCACTATTTAATATCAATTATACACGTGCCTATAATGATATATTTATAAATATCATCAACAAACTAAATAATAATAACAATAATAATATAGATAATAATAATAATAATAATAATAATAATAATAATAATAATAATAATAATAATAATAATAATAATAATAGTAAGATTATTAACAACAACAATATGTCCGACAATAATAATAATAATAATAATAGTATTATATTTCATATGGTTAAAAGATTATTAAATCTTGGAATAGATTTAAGAGGACCATTATTTATCAATGCAATGAAATGTTCAAACAATCAAGAGATATTAAAATGGATAAAGAATAGTTTTGATAGTTTCGATATGTTTGTCGACTTTTACGATCAATCAAATCGATGGATAGAGAGATTTGCGTCGATGGATACTCTAAAGTTGATTGATTACCGAGAACCAAAAATACCAAGTCGCTCAAGTTGGTCATCATCATCTGTTGGTAATCTAGATTACCTCAGATATATGGTGAACCATAGTAACCTATATCTATTTCAAGAGTCACATCTCGATACGGCATTGGAAAAGGGACAGTTGGAATGCGCCAATTTTATAATTGATGCTATCTCTCAATATGCACAACCTGACCAAGTCGCTGAATGTGGTCTCATCAATTCGTCGATCGTGTCATTAGATCTCGTTCAAAGATTGGTCAATAACCCAAACATCCAATTCGATTCTTATTTGTTGATGCATTCATCAATCGATCATCCAGACATTCTAGAGTACATTCTTTCACTCGATTCCTTTGCTTTCATCGATATCGAACTCGCCATATTCCCTAAAGACCCAAAATCCATAGAATTGTTGTTCAATCGTCCACATCTCTCTCAGCCTACTCGATTTATGGTTCAAATGAAGGAAATATATTTGATTCCTGCACAAGCACTAGAATTGTTGTATATGCGAGGTCATTCACTTGAAATAATGAATGAAGACCGACCACCCAATTGGAATGGAACTCCAATCGAAAAAGAAGCTCTCCAATTGATTATCAACCACGAATCAATTCAAAGTCTCTCCCCGTGGGTTATCATGACAAGGTACAGTCAATACGACGACCATATCGAGTTGTTAAAGGATGCAATAGCTGAAGAGTTGGCAAAAAACGAACCAATTCGTCATGGCGGTGTCATTAATCGAGTATTCAATGTTGCATGTAAGAATGGATTGATCAAAGTTGTCGAATGTTTTGATGATTATATTGGTTCTTTTGCAATGGGTGGATTTGAAATAGCTCTTGCAAACAATCAAATTCAAGTTGCAAAGTATTTGGGTCAAGAACTAGTTAAAACAGATATCAAAGAATCAATATGTGAAGAATTACTTTCAGTATTAAACAGAGTAGAGGATGATGAAGTTTTCGAATATTTTTGGAGTCTTTTCAAACCGTTGACAACCAATTCTGTACTTGTCTCTCAGACTATTGGATCACCATCTCGTAATCTTACAACCAACCGACATTTAACAATTAATAGAGTGGATAGAATGATTAAACATTATGGTCAATATTATAATGGCTGTGAAAAAGATGAATACCAAATGAGACCATTGACACTATCAAATGAATATGAAGCAGTTGTAATCAATCACATCATCACAAAATATCAAAATGATACAACAGTCAACCAATTTATCGATATTAAATCATTTGATTATCATGAATATTATAAATATAATTTGAAATTATCTTTGATTCTTCCAATCCCTATAAACCTCATTTAAATTTATCATGTAATAAATAAAATATTTCTTGTACAATTGTGATGTATCTATCGAAATTAAATTACACATTTTTTATATATATACGAATTCCAACACGAGATTAATCTTTAAAAAATAATGGAATGTATTTAACTGGTTTATTATTAAATTTGGATAGAGTCATTAAAAGCTCGTGTTCACCTGAACCACCTCGAGATCTTGTAAAGTACGTTGGGTAAAGAATATTGTTCAACTTGATACCATGTTGTAGGTGGCAACTACCATCTGATTAAATTGGTTTGCTACTTGGCTTGCACTACCCAGATAACTCATATTGGTTGTCTCATTGTACGATGATTGTATATACCATCCTGTACCAATGGTAAACTTATTACTTCTCTATATATAAAAATAATCAATAATATTATTAAAAATAATTATAATTATAATCAATAATTAATCATTCATTAGATTTTATTAATATTTATACAGACAATAATTAATATAAAATATGGAATATTGATATAGGTACTCTTTTTGTGGTTATAAACACAGAGATTTCTTTCATAAAAAAAAGAATGAACAAAAATAATTTAGATAATATAAATGATTTACTCTAGTGATAACTATCTAGACACCAACAAAAAGAAGAAGAACAGTGAAACATCACTACAGTTCAAGAGTATTATAAATAATCGGTATCTTCGAACAAAGATATTCAATCATGTCAACCATATTCATCAAGCAATAGTTGATAGACATTTCATTGGACGTGAACATCAAAAGGGATGGACATTGATAGTAAAGATATCTCAAGTGGTATCATTACAAGAGTTTATTAGAATCAATAGAACTGACTGGTTTATCGATCATTTCGATAGAGTATATGATACAATCAAACTTGGTTGTAAAGATGATAATGGTGTTGTCAAATTGGTATGTAATTATAATTTAATACTTTATTCTATTCATTATACTAATTATCAATCATATACCACTGTAGGATCATGATATTGTATTCAAAGATTTATTGGACGTGATAGTAAAGAGAGATGATTCGATTGCATTGAAGTTTATGTTGAAGAGATTCAAATTTACTCTTCAAACTATTATGCAATCTGTTTACCATAATCGGGGTGAACAACCAATATCGATAGAGGTGTATCAAGTATTGAAGCGATACAATTACATCAATGCCACTGCCTATGATATCAACGTTGGGGATTCATTATGGTATATCAACAATCTGGTGATTTGTGTCATCAACTCTGGTGACATTGCAATATTTGACCAGTTTTGTATAGATTGCCTTGACCCAATCAAATCAATATTTAATATCAATTATGTACGTGCCTATGATGATGTATTTATAAATATCATCAACAAATTAAATAATAATAATGATAATAATAATAATAATAATAATAATAATAGTATTATATTTCATATGGTTGAAAGATTATTAAATCTTGGAATAGATTTAAGAGGACCATTATTTATCAATGCAATGAAATATTCAAACAATCAAGAGATATTAAATTGGATAAAGAATAGTTTTGATAGTTTCGATATGTTTGTCGACTTTTATCATCAATCAAATAGATGGATAGAGAGATTGGCATCAATGGATACTCTAAAGTTGATTGATTACCGAGAACCAAAATACAATTCCTTTAACATTTCATCTGCAAAGGCATCAGCGGATGGTAATTTAGATTACCTCAGATATATGGTGAACCAGAATGACCAATATCTATTTAAAATGTCACATCTCGAAAATGCATTGGTAAAGGGACAGTTGAAATGTGTCAATTTTATAATTGATGCTATCTCTCAATATGCACAACCTGGTGGACAAACCACTAAATGCAGTACTATCGATGCATCGATCATGTCATTGGATCTCGTCCAACGATTGGTCAATAACCCAAACATCGAGATTGACTATTATGAGCTGATCCGTTCATCAATCGACCGACCAGACATTCTAGAGTACCTTCTTTCACTCGGTTCATTCTCAGTTGATATTGAACCCTCCCTATTCCTCCAAGACCCAAAATCCATCCAACTGTTGCTCAATCAACCCCATCTCGACCAACCTACTCGGGTTCTGCTTTTTATGAAGAAAATACCCAACATCCAAACAAGACCACTAGAGTTGTTGTATTTCCGAGGTCATTCACTTGAAATATTGTGCCAAGAAAATATGATGCAACCGCCCAATTGGAGGGGAGCCCAAGTAGCTGACATCGAGGTTCTCCAATTGATTATCAAACACCAATCAATTCAAAGTCTTTCTCCATGGATTATCATGACAAGGTACAGTCAATACGACGACCATATCGAGTTGTTAAAGGATGCAATCGTTGCAGAGTTGGCCAAAAACGAGCCAATTCACATTGATGGTGCCGTTCATCAAGTATTCAATACTGCATGTAAAAATGGATTGATCAAAGTTGTCGAATGTTTTGATGATTATATTGGTTCTTTTGCAATGGGAGGATTTGAAATAGCTCTTGCAAACAATCAAATTCAAGTTGCAAAGTATTTGGGTCAAGAACTAGCTAAAATCTTTTCCAAAAAATTACAAACCAAGGAAACAACACAGAGAGTTATCCTTTCAATACTTTCAGTATTAAACCGAGTAGAGGATGATCAAGTTTTCGAATATTTTTGGAATCTTTTCAAAGCATTGACAACCAATTCTGTACTTGTCTCTCGTGCTATTGGATTTCCATCTCATAATCGTTCAAACAACCGACATTTAACAACTAATAGAGTGGATAGAATGATTAAACATTATGGTCAATATTATAATGGCTGTGAAAGAGATGAATATCAAATGAAACCATTGACACTATTATATGGATATCAAGCAGTAGTAATCAATCATATTATCACAAAATATCAAAATGATGTATTGGTCAACCAATTTATCGATATTAAATCATTTGATTATTTTGAATATTATAAATATGATTTGAAATTATGTTTGATTCCTCCAGTCCCTATAATAATAAATAAATAAATTAAATTACATTTATCTTGCTTATACGATCAATTGAATTATAGTTATGCATTGTGATGTTTCTATCGAAATTATATATATATAATTACTCATTTATATACATACCACTAGATTGTAGGAGTGCCAAGTCCTGTCAACGGTGCCGAGGCAACCAAGAATCTGAGAATAACTGTTATTGTTTTTGGAATAGTGCAAACCTTTATTCACCGATTCTTGGTTACCTCGGTCTCTTCTGTTGTTGTTACTAGTTTGAGAGCGTGTGTTGCTGTTTGATGACTTGTCTGATTCTGTGTCGTGTCATATTGCTCCACTCTTTTTCCTTTCTTGTTCATCTCCCCCAACTCTCTTGCCAGCTCTTCATTTTCTCTTCTTCTATATTCAATTTCTTTCTTTGCTTCAATGATTCTTGATATCATTTGAGAACGTTTCTCCTCCTCTTTATTTCTTCATCTTGATACTCCATCAATTCTTCCAGTTCTTGATCTGTCATTTGGCTGATTATATTCTTCTGAATCGTTGATGCTTTCTCAGCCTTTTGCTGATCGCTCTCGACGGTTCCATTTGCTGATTTATCACTCATTCTCTCTTTTCTTTTAAGATATCTATTTATATAGTAAAAAAACAATCTTAAAAGTGGTGGCCATTAAAAAAATATATGATCATGCTGTTAGTACCCTATTCTATACCATTGTCTTTAGATATATTATAGATATATACATAGTAAACGACTTTTACTATTCTAAATTATTTCTACACACGCTCAAAGCGCACAAGATCTTCTCATCAAATAAATTTACTTTTTAATAACTTTTTTTTTATTCTTTTGTGCAACACAAAATATACTAGTACATTTAGTATCATAGTGATGAATGATAAAAGGAGTGAATCATCACTACAGTTCAAGAGTATTATAAATAGTTATTATCTTCGAACAAAGATATTCAATCATGTCAACCATATTCATCAAGCAATAGTTGATAGATATTTCATTGGACGTGAATATCAAAAAGAATGTATATTGATAGTAAAGATACCTCAAGTGATATCATTACAAGAGTTTATCAGAATCAATAGAACTGACTTGTTTATCGATCATTTCGATAGAGTATATGATACAATCAAGCATTGTTGTAAAGATGATAATGGTGTTGTCAAATTGGTATGTAATTATAATTTAATACTTTATTCTATTCATTATACTAATTATCAATCATACCACTGTAGGATAATGATATTGTATTTAAAGATTTATTGGACGTGATATTCCAAAATAATGATTCGGTTGCATTGGATTTCATGTTGAATAGATTCAAGTTTCAACAAACCATTAGACGGTCTATTGACCCTCGTCGACCAGTATCAATAGAGGTGTATAAAGTATTGAAGCGATACAATTACATCAATGTCACCGACAATGATATCAACCATGCCGATTCATTAAGATACATAAAAAGTCTGTTGTGTTGTATGATCGATTCTGGTGACATATCAATGTTTGATCAGTTTTGTACGGATTGTCTCAATACAATACCAACCCTTGGTTCCAAGAACATAATCTCAGTTTACAGTGGTATACGTGCCTATGATGATGTATTTATAGATATCATCAACAAACTAAACAACAACAATATGTCCCACAATAATAATAATAATAATAATAATAATAGTATAATATTTCATATGGTTAAAAGATTATTAAATCAAGGAATAGATTTAAGAGAATCATTATTTGTTGGTGCTCTGAGATGTTCAAATAATCAAGAGATATTAAAATGGATAAAGGATAGTTTTGATAGATTTGATATGTTTGTCGACTTCTATCACCAATCAAATAGATGGATAGAGAGATTTGCATCAATGGATACTCTAAAGTTGATTGATTACCGAGAACCAACAAAATACACATCCTCTAACTGCCTATCTACAGGGGCATCATCTGTTGGTAATTTAGATTACCTCAGATATATGGTGACCCAAAATCACCAATATATATTTCAAGAGCCACATCTCAGCAGGTCATTGGAAAAAGGACACTTGGAATGTACCAATTTTATAATTGATGCTATCTCTCAATATGCAAACCCTGACCAATTCACTCCATGTGGCTCCATCAATCCGACTATCGTGTCATTAGATCTCGTTCAACGGCTATTGGTCAATCACCCACACATCGCTATCAACCCTATGTTACTGATAGGTTCATCAATCAGCCAACCAATCGTTTTAGAGTACCTCCTTTCACACGGTTCATATTCCTTTAATAATATTGAACCCTCTCTCTTGCTCCAAGACCCAAAATCCACCCAACTGTTACTCAATCAACCCCGTCTCGACCAACCCACCAAGTTTCGAGTATCTGCAACCCAAATACCTATGGTCCAAAAAAGACCACTAGAGTTGTTGTATTTGCAAGGTCACTCACTTGTAATAGTGGATGAAGAACGACCACTCAGTTGGGATGGGAATCCAGTCGATCTAGATGTTCTCCAATTGATTATCAAACACCAATCAATCGAGAGTATTCCACCATGGGTTATAATGACAAGATATGGTCAATACGATGACCATATCGAGTTGTTAAAGGATGCTCTAGAATTGAACAAAAACAACCCATATATCATGGGGATGCCTCTTTCTATGGTATTCACTGATGCATGTAAGAATGGATTGATCAAAGTTGTAGAATGTTTTGGACTTCGATTCATTTGGGTATTTGGGTCTAGAGGATTTGGAATAGCTCTTGAAAACAATCAAATTCAAGTTGCAAAGTATTTGGGTCAAGAACTAGCCAGATTCTTTTCACCAGTTATCGATACCCAAGAATCAATGTGGAGTGTAATGCTTGATGCATTAAACAGAGTAGAGGATGACCAAGTATTCGAATATTTTTGGAGTCTTTTCAAACCGTTGACAACCAATTCTGAAATTGTCTCTCGTACTATTGGACAAAATCGTTCAAACAACCGACATTTAACAACTAATAGAGTAGATAGAATGATTAAACATTATGGTCAATATTATAATGGCTGTGAAAGAGATGAGTATCAAATGAAACCATTGACATTATCAAATGAATATAAAACAGTAGTAATCAATCACATCATCACAAAATATCAAAATGATGTATCGGTCAATCAATTTATCGATATTAAATCATTTGATTATTCAAGGTATTATAATCATAATTTAACATTATGTTTGATTCCTCCCACTTCTTTAAATAAATTGTAACCGGAAAATTCACAACAAAATTTTACAAATATTATTAAAGTTCTAGATTTATTTTATGACAAAGTTCCAAAGCTTGAAATTGTATGTATCAACCAAGTGTTCCATTGTACAGTATTAAGTAATTAACTAACTATTCTCTTGTTACTTTACTTTTAGACTCCAGAGGAAGTTGATAAATTTGGAACCGTCAAAGATATATCTATGGGTAAAAATCATTTTTGTCGTTTCGCTCTCGATACATCAACCTTCCCTGTCGAGGGCAAAAAGAAAGAGCTTCACAACAACCGTTTCAAAGAGTTTGGATGTTTTGAATCAAGATGGAGAAATGGTTCTAGAAAACATATGAAAGCATTTCATCTTTGTTCTCATGTGATTAACGAAGAAATAAAGGTATTTGGAATTTAAATATTAATTTCCTTTTCCAATTTTCAAAAATAGTTTTTTTTTTCACAAAAAGTCGTATTTTTCATTTTTGACTCAACCCAATTATAAATAATAATAATGTCTAAAGATATAAATGACGATAGAGATAACAAAAAGAAGAAGAAGAGTGAATCATCACTACCATTCAAGGGTATTATAAATAGTTATTATCTTCGAACAAAGATATTCAATCATGTCAACCATATTCATCAAGCAATAGTTGATAGTTTCGATGGACGTAAACATCTATATTTGAAACCGATATTGATAGTAAAAATACCTCAAGTGATATCATTACAAGAGTTTATTAGAATCAATAGAACTGACTTGTTTATTGATCATTTCGATAGAGTATATGATACAATCAAGCATTGTTGTAAAGATGGTGATGATGATGGTGTTGTCAAATTGGTATGTAATTAATAATAATTTATAATATAGTACATTCATAGGTATTCCTTTTACTTTACTAAACAACCTATCTATCATAATATTCAATTGACCATTATAGGATCACGATACTGTATTCAAAGATTTATTGGATGTGATAGTAGAGAGAGATGATTCGATTGCATTGGATTTCATGTTGAATAGATTCTCGTTTACTATTCAAACCATTATGCTATCTACTTATCGCCACCGTCAGACACTATCGATAGAAGTGTATAAAGTATTGAAGCTATACGACTATCTTACTGCCCCTGACATTGATTATTATTCATCAAGATACATCGAGAGTCTGTTGCGTTGTCTCATCAACTCTGGTGACACTGCAATGTTTGACCAGTTTTGTATAGATACAAATTGTCTTGATGCAATCAAGTCACAAAGAATTAGTGGATATGAAAGTAGAGATATATTTATAAATATAATCAACAAACTAAATAACAATAACAACAACAACAACTATCCATCTAATAATAATAATAATAATAATAATAATAATAATAATAATAATAATAATAATAATAATAATAATAATAATAATAATAATAATAATAATAATAATAATAATAATAATAATAATAATAATAATAATAATAGTATAATAATTCATATGGCCGAAAGATTATTAAATCTTGGAATAGATTTAAGAAAACTATTATTTGTTGGTGCATTGGAGTGTTCAAATAATCAAGAGATATTAAAATGGATAAAGAATAGTTTTGATAGTTTCGATCAGTTTGTCGACTTTTATCATCAATCAAATCTAGATATTGAGAGTTTTGCATCAATGGATACTCTCAAGTTGATTGATTACCGAGAACCAAAAAGCAACCTTCAACAAGGGTGGGCATCATCTGTTGGTAATTTAGATTACCTCAGATATATGGTGAACCATAATGACCAATATCTATTTAAAATGTCACACCTCGAAACGGCGTTGGATAGAGGACACTTGGAATGCGCCAATTTTTTAATTGATGCCGTTTCTCGATATCCAAGACGCGACAAAACTGCTCGATGTGGCTCTATACATCCATCGATCATGTCATTGGATCTCGTTCAACGCTTGGTCAATCATCCAAACATCGAGATAAACAATTCTCAGCTGATCCCTTCATTAATCAACAGACCAGACATTCTAGAGTACATTCTTTCACTCGATTCATTTTCTTCTGCCTATATTGAACCCTCCCATCTCTTCCATAACCCCATTTCCGCCCAATTATTGCTTAATCGTCCCCAATTCAACCAACCTACTCGGTATATGGGTTTTATGCAGCAAATACCCAAGCTCCAAAAACAAGCACTAGAGTTGTTCTATTTGCGAGGCCATTCACTTGAATTAGTGGATGAAGACCAAATGATGATGGTTGCACCCAGGTGGGACGGAACTCCGGTAGATATAGAAGTTCTCCAATTGATTATCAAACACGAATCAATCAAGAGTATATCACCATGGGTTATTATGACAAGATACGGCCAATACGATGACCATATCGAGTTGTTAAAGGATGCAATAGTTGCACAGTTGGACAGAGACGAACCAAATCTCATCAAAGACATCATTATTCAAGTATTCAATGATGCATGTAAGAATGGATTGATCAAAGTTGTCGAATGTTTTAGTCATTACACTGGTTCTTTTGTGTTGTTTGGAAGTCGAGGATTTGAAATAGCTCTTGAAAACAATCAAATTCAAGTTGCAAAGTATTTGGGTCAAGAACTAGTTAAAATCTTTTCAACAACTATTGATACAAAGGAATCAAAGAGAAGAGTGGGCTTTTCGAAATATAACAATACCAAGGGACCAATACAGATAGTGGACCTTCCATTAATACTTTCAGTATTAAACAGAGTAGAGGATGATCAAGTTTTCGAATATTTTTGGAATCTTTTCAAAGCACTGACAACAGATTCTGAACTTGTCTCTCGTACTATTGGATCACCATCACAAAATCGCACAAACAACCGACATTTAACAATTGTTAGATTGGATCGAATGATTAAACATTATGGTCAATATTATAATGGCTGTGAAAGAGATGAATATCAAATGAAACCATTGACATTATCATATGGATATCAAGCAGTAGTAATCAATCACATCATCACAAAATATCAAAATGATACAACAGTCAACCAATTTATCGATATTGAATCATTTGATTATAATGAATATTATAAATATATAATATATAATTTACATCAATGTTTGATTCCCATATAATTTATAATAATAAAATAATTTATCTGTTAAAAGAAAATTTAAATATTCTTTTTGAGAGTTCAATAGTCCCAACTGCGAGACCCAAGTAAATTATTTATTTATTCATATAAATATAATATATATATAGATATAAATGTCAAAAGCTATCACTAGAAGAACTCAATGTTCATACATTTCAGGCCTATTGGAGTTGAATCCTTTTGATGATCGAGCTACAAACTTAAACAAATCTCATATTGATGGACGTTATCTTCTTACCCCAGATCTCACCTATGAAGACATCACACATGATTATCCCTCCTTAAAAGCTCCAGTTGCAAGAATGATTCCTGGATTTGTTCTCCAACAACGACAGCAAACCCAACAAGAAGGTGAGTCTATCATAGGCTAAACCAAATTTATTAACATTTTTTACAGTTAAAATTCCTCCTCCTCCTCCTCCTAGTCCAGTGCGCGTCTTTCTCAAAGAGGATGGAACAGAATCTATCAGTTTTGATTCAGGAATATCATGGGACAGTACTCCATTTGGGAAAATCTGATTATCTCAAAAGAAAAGATCCTCAAAATGAATCGGTTGTCGAATCACCTTTCACTTCTGGTGAATATGGAGTTGTTAGACGATCACCAACACAACCTGTTGTAATTCCTACCAACATCAACAACAGCTCAACTCCTCTAAATTCAGGTTTTTATCAATTATTCAGAAAGAAGAGTGAAGAAGTGAAAGACAATGCCAAAGCTCCCACAAAGGGTAACAAGGAGAATAGTTCTCTCCAAAAACTCTTTCCATGCTTTGAAAACAGAAAGAAATGATCATTTCCTTTTCAACTGGTCAATTGACTCAACACCATGCCCTAGTAGAGTCTCGTGCTCCCAGCTTTTTTTTTTTTTCGTCAAAGATGATATTAATATTTAATTAAAAATCACAAATATCAAAAGACAAAAATGGATGGTGATAAAAAGAATGTATCATTCAAAAGGATTATAAACAATCAATATCTAAGAACAAAGATATTCAAATATGTTGAAGATATTCATGATGGTATACTGGAACGACATGAAATCGACCATGATACAACAAAGGATGTTTCTTTGGTTGTAAAGATACCACAAGTAACAACATTGGAAGAGTTTATTAGAATCAATCGTATAGACTTGTTTATCGATCATTTCGATAGAGTTTATGATGCAATGAAACAATATTCAATTGGAGGAAAAGTGGTATGTAATTCGTGATCAATTAATTAATGATATCAAAATATATAATGATAAAACTATATACTAACCTACTACTATATAAACAATATTAATAGGATCATAATGATATATTTAAATCTATATTAATTAGAATATTTAAAAACGATCATTCAGATGCATTGGACTTTATATTGGAGAGATTGACATTTGATCATCGCACTGTAATGTCTGCACTTCAATTGGAAAAGTCAATGTCGATAGAGATGTATCAAGTTTTAAAGAAACGAAACTATCACATCATTGTCAATAGCAACAAAAAGGAAGAATTTGTATTCATCAAGAGTATGATCTATTGTCACATCAAATCAGGTGACATTGCAATGTTTAACCAATTTTGTATAGATTGTCATCTCTCTTCACACAGCATCCTTAAAAAGAATATGGCACCTCGTACCTTACCTTTTGAAAAGGATTCATTTCAATATTTAATCATTAAATTAAATAATAATAATAATAATCAAATTAATAATAATACAAAAAAAAAATCAACTTGAAATATTATATTATATTATAAAAAGATTAATGGAATACGATATTGATTGTAGATTATCACTATTTATGGTTGCAATTGAAACATCAAATCAAGAAATACTGCGGCGGATCAAAGATAGTTTTAAAAGTCTGGAAGAGTTTCAAGACTTTTATCATGTAAAGAATCAGACGATTGAAAGATGGGCAACGATGGATACGTTAAAGTTGATTGAATACAAACCGCCACTATCGTTTGAACACCACAATCAACCATCGACTGAACCATCTCAATTTGGAAATGTGGATTTTCTCAAATACATTTATAACATTGGTCGCGACGACCATGCTTACTTGTATCAAAAGCCACATCTCTCTGTATCACTACAATACGGACAATTAGATTGCGCACTCTTTTTGATAGAATCCCATTACTCTGATATCAAGGTGAGTGGCACAATTGACTCAACCATCATGTCATTGGATTTGGTTCGTCGATTGTTTGAATCACCAACCATCCAAATCAACAACCTTGACGAGTTGCTTGGGTCGATTGTAAAGGCAAACCAGCCAGATACTTTGGCATACGCTCTTACATTTGACATGGAGATGAATAGTATCTATCAATTAGTGATACCTTCACTCCGTTTTGAAGATGCAACCATGACCAAGATGCTTTTGGATCGGTTCACTGAAATAGGACCGACTCAGTTTAGCTTTTTATCCGATAGATTCACGGCTATCCAACCACAACCGCTGGAGCTGTTGTATGCGATGGGCCATTCCCTTAGGACTACTCCTCAATTCCTAGTCATGTATCCACCAGAGTGGGACGACACTCCACTCTCTTCCCAAATCATTCAAATCGTCTCCTATTATCAACCCATTCATGAAACGATTCCACCATGGGTTATCATGACACGGTACACCCAATACGACGATAACATCGAGTTGTTAAAAGAAGCCATTTCACATGTCCAAGACAATTCCACAAACGAAACGATATGCATTCTATTGGAGATAGCATGTAAGAATGGATTGATCAAAGTGGTAGAATGTATTCCTAGTTTGTATGCTTGGGAAAATGGATCTACATCAATCTTTCAAACTGCTGTTGATAATCAACAATATCAAGTTGCCTATTATTTGGCAGAAACATTCATCAAAACCTTTGCCGGCAAGGTGGACCAAAGTCATCTAGTCAATACACCACAATTAATATTGGTCGCGTTAAATAGAGTAGATGACGATCGAGCATTCCAAACTCTTTGGAATATTTTCAAACCATTCACAACCAATTCTGAACTAGTCTCTAATGCATTGGGATCTTTGTTAAAGGTCAATCTAGCCAACCGACATTTAACAACGAATCGATTGGATCGAATGATCGAACAGTATGGTCAATTTTACAATGGCTGTGAAAAAGATGAATATCAAATGAAACCATTACAATTGACCTATCAGTCCTATAGATCCAACGTCAATCACATCCTCACAAAATATCTAAACTCGACAAAGACAACTAAATTTTTAGAGCTTAAACAATTTGATTATTCAGAGTATTATAGACAAAACATTAAATTGTGTCTCATCCCTCCTCAACCATTACTTGAATAAACAATACAATAGCCGAGAGATATTTTCACTCGAGGGAGTGTATGGTCCTACAATGATATGTCATTTTTAGTGTTGCAAAGAATAAATATGACAAATCGGCCGATTCCAATCATCTGATTCACCAGATAAATATTATTTAAATAAATAAACTATACAATTTCGGTTCGGGACTTGTCGATCCCTTTTATTCTAATCTAATCATCTTCTACAATATATGTTGTTTGCTCTACTTTAATATTTGGGAATTTATCATTTAATAACCCTTGTAATTGTCTATAATAATAAATTAATTAATTAATTAAATAAAGTATATTCAATATATTAATTGTAATTACCTTGTTTTCCTAAATATATAATCCAAATCTTTTTTCATATCTTTTAACATCTTTGTATGTTTCTCAAAATCATTGGACAATTGTCCATACTTTTGTGAACTATATTCATTAAAATGTTGTAATGCATTATTGGTTTCATATTGTTTTGTTAATCTAAAAAAAAAAAAAGAAAAGGAAAGAGAACCGATCAGTTTACATGTAAAACAAAATGATTCATTCAACCAACATCAATCATCAATCATTACATTTCAGTTTGAGTACTTAGTATATTATATATATCATTCTGACTTGTTATATTTGTAATTTCATTTGTCATTGTTTGACTTGCTGTAGGTTGTTGTAATGTAGTCATTGTTGTTTGTTCTCTATTTTGATTTTGGTCGTCTTCATTATGACTATTTTGATTATGATTGTCTTGATTCTCCATTACACCTCCTTTTCCCTTTTATTTTATCTCTTTTTTTTTGTTTTGTATTTATTTGTTGTGAAGGAGAGACAAGCAGAGATTAATCTTGATCAGCTGATTTTCATTATTATTAATTTTAATTATTTTTTTTTTGTTTGGTTCGGCTCCTTTCGTGTCATTAAAAAGCTCTCGAGAGGATTCTATTTTCATTGTGAAAACGAACAAAGTTGTAAGTTGAACTTATACAAAACGAAAACGAGATAGATAGATAGATTTAGATAGAGAAAGGTTGATATGGTGGTGTAGATTGATATGATGAACCCTTACCTATCCTAGAGTTTACAGAGCCCTCTGAACCTTTTTGGGAACCACTCTGTCCTCGCCAAAGACGACAAACTACTTCAAAGCTGAAGCGTCTGATTAATCACACCCTCTCATATAACCTTATTCTATATCTTCCTCTTCTTTCATCAATATACTCGAATCATTACTAATCAATTCCTTCTTCTTCTTCTTTTCAAATAGGTCTTGTACAACTTTTTTTTTTTGGTGCTCTTCCTTTGATTGAATTAATGATTAAAATAAAATATGATTATTATCGACATGAAATATAACCTTTTAAATTGTTATTATTATTCTTTTTCTTATTATTATTATTATACTAATAAAAAGTATTATCGATATTATGTTTAAAAGCAAAATATTTGGTTTGGGATTATATTGTTTAATTAAATAATAATAATACTACAGTTGATACAACAGCCTAAAATTGTTTGGTTTGGTGTTTGTTTGATTGGTTGGTTGGTTGGTTGATAATAGGTATGAATTGGAAAGAATCTTCAAAGACTCTACTCGAGTTGTGTTTGTTGTTGTTGTTGTTGTTCTTTCTCTATTCTGTACGCGGGTGATGGTGGTTTCTTCTCGTTTTGTTTAATATATTTCTTTGTTTGCTTATTGCTTGAAATCTCTAATAAAGTTACCAATGGTAAGACCCTTGGCTACGGCTTCAGCATCCTTTTTTTTGATTCAAAATAAATAGGTTGTTAGACAAAGATATTGTTGATAGTTTGTTATTAGTTATGTTCATACCTCTCCGTCGATAGATACTGCAGTCTTGTCTGCTCCATTTTCCAATAGAATTTGAATGATATCCTTGTGACCAAACCTGTTTATCATGTGATGATGTGAACATGATGATTGATGAAAAGATATCTTTTGTGTTAGAGAGAGAGAATCATGCATATTGAACCATAATTTAAACACATACATTGAAGCCATATGAAGTGGAGTATATCCTGTTCTATCCTTGTAGTTTACACTGGTTGGTGATTCCTTTACGATCTAATAGAGATTACATTGATTGATGGTAGTAGGAGATAGGGGGGTAAATAAGGGGACACAGCAAGTCAAGTCAGATATCAAATATCGAATAAGAGAATGAACATACTTTCTTTACGGTTTCAATGTCACCAGACTTTGCAGCATCTCTTAATTTTTGACCTTCCATTCTTTCTCTTTTAACTATTTATATATGTATGTTCTATATTATAATGAATAAACTATAATAATGAAAAAACAATGACAAAACACACAATGATTGCTGTGGGATCAGAGGGAGACTAGTTCTTTGAGGTTTCATTCAGTTTTTAAAATAATATCTCATGTGGAAGTGTAGAATAGATAGATTATAATTCGGTTATTTGTGTATATTAATATATTATTATTATTCATTCATTCATTGTGATATCTCTACAATAATATATATATATATATATAAGTAAAAGTAAAAGATGTTCATCTTGAAAAGTAAAGTAGTTGAATCAATCGGTCCTTCTTGATGTCTATGTAATTTGACTCCTCTCATCCCATACTAGTACTAGTGATGTCCTGAGGATGGTTGTTTATTTGTTTGTTTGTTAGTTTGTTATTATTTTATTTTAATTAATCAAAATTGGGTCCTTTTTTTTTTCTTTTGATCATGCAAGATGCTTGATGACACGAAGTACGCAAGTTGTTGTTGTCAGGTTGACCCGACTTTTAGGAAGAAGAAGAATAACAATGAATAGTATTATATGTAGATCTAATACATATACTGCTATATTGCGTCGTTGTATGCTACCGATGACAACGACGACACAGTCATTTTTGGTATCAGCAACATCGAAACAACAGTCGACAAGTGGTGAATTCAAGATCATAAACAACAACAACAACAAATATACAGATTATAATCAATCATCATTGGTCATTAGTAAAAGATGGTATTCTTTATCAAATAACAATAACAGAAACAGTTATGTAGATAGCAATAATAATAATAATAGAAACAATCAACAACAAGAGGAAGATGAAAAAGAAGAAGAGATATCAATGGATGAATACATTAGCAATTTAAAAGAGATTAATAATATAACAAATGAATCAAATGAACACAATGAATTACTATCATATAATCGTAATCAATTGACTGCACATATTGAATTCTACTTTTTCAAAGATGAAAGATTTAATCGATCATTGTAAGTCAAAGAGGAGAAGATGAAAGAAAGAGATTGATTGATTGATTAACACCATACTTTTATTTATTATTTATTATTCTAGATTAAAGAAAGCATTGATGGAAGATCCAAAATATAGTGATGCATATTTACAATATAATATATGTCAAGTGTTACAAGATCTAAGGTATCCATCACCAGATATTATAAAGCTTGTAATGACCAATCTAAGAAAGGAAGGAAGAAAGATGGTGGTGGCATTGTTTATTTGGATGTACAACAATATTAGAGACGAGATGGATATTGGTCACTACGACATTGTGGCTGGTTATTATAATGACACTAAAAACTATACAATGGCTGCCAGAGAGTTGGCCAATGTCGTGCATCAAAAGGGTGTCAAACACAGCGACCAAAGTTATATCGAGATGTTGCGATCTTGTTATGGCGACGAACAGCGGTTGGATGAGGTCATGGCAACCATTGTAGAGAGACGACATGATGGCAAACCAACCAAAGCACAACAAGTTCAATACATTGAAATGTTGTTTAAAAGCAAGACGGTCAATTTCGACAAGATTGCAATAGAGTTTAGAAAGGTGGCCGATGCCAAACAGGTTGATGAGGCATTGATCCAAACCGCGTTGATTGGGTGGCTCAAACTCAGTCAGATAGACAATTTCAACCATGTCTGGGACTTTGCCATTGAGAAGAAAATCCCAATCAACAACACTACGATCGGTGTTGCTGTTGGACACTTTCAACGTATCTTTGGTATCGATCATGCATCTCTGTTTTATTTGCGTGTGCAGGATAGTAGTCAGGAGGTGGCGGATAGCGAGCCCGTGTTTTTGGGTATGGTCAGAGCCATCATGGAGCACGGTCACATGATCAGACTGACCGATCTCGTCAACGGGCTGCAAAGACGTGGTCGGTTGACACTCGACATTATTAGCAAGATTATAAAGTCGTGTGCACTCAACGCACCCAAACGTCTCGGTCAGTGTCTTGTACTCATGTACGCACGTGCCAAAGACATCTCACCCATCAAGGGTGTCCCGACACTCGAGACACTATCAGCCTGTATGAACGCATCGATATCACAAAACAGTCTACTCTACCTACGTATCTATCTACGTGAAATGTACACCTATGAAATTGTACCAGATGCCGAATTATCACGTACCATTCTTCGTTACCTTTTGGTGTTGGGTGACGTATCCTTCCGCGACCTCGAAGAGTATATTCAATACACTGGTTCCAAGTTGCCAAACCCCGACCCCTATTTCCTGGCATCTTGTATCATATTCTGCGATTTGAATCCCGAGAATGCTCAACTTCAACAACGTCGTACATCGTATTTTTCAATCATCGATTCCTCTACACTAGACTATAAAAAGAATTCATACAACTTTTTAATTGGAACCTATGTATTGATGGGAGAGATTGACAAGGCCATCTATTACTTTGGTTTCTATCATCAAATGAACTTTACCTCACAAACCATGAAATACTCTATTTTGGCTCATTATGCTCTTATTCACGACGTAGAAAACCAAACTAAATGGGGTTCATTGATTGGGCAAGCAAATTATAATCAAGAGGTTTTCGATCGGTTCTATGTCTATCATAAATTTAATAGACGTACCAAATTACAAAAATCTTTAAAATTAACTCCCCCTCAACCAGAACAAACAACAAAACAACGTCAATATCAAAATAACAAATTTAATCAAAATAATCAAAATAATAATAATAATAAGTATAATAAAAAATAAATGGGTATAAATATATAGATAAATATATAAATTAATATTATTATTATTATTATCACAATGTTTTTTTTTTTTTATTATTATTTAATTTATAATTTGTTGGACCTGGAGTTTTGTTTTTTTTTTTTTAATAATGTATATATATACAACACACAGAGTTGTCTAGTAATATATATATATATATATTTGTTTGTTTGTTTTTATACATTAATGACACGAGATAATTTTTGAATTCTATTTAACAAGTTGTCACCTTGTTGGAGTGTTTGTTTGTACATTGAGTTCTTATTGTCTGATCTAGTGGTTTCAATGACACCAGAAACCTTATCAATTTTACAATGAAGACGACCTGCTGAAATAAAACGTGACAATTCTCTATCGATAAAATCAACAGAGACACCAAATTCATTGGCCATAGAGTCTAATCTAACACTTGAGTAGGATTCCAAAAATTGAGTATAAGCAATAATTCTTAATTCTCTTGTCAAGAATCTAGCATGACTTGATAAATATCTATCACCTTTAATATTTTCAGAGAAATATGCTAAGAAAAAAAAAAAATTAATAAAAGAAGGAATTGTAATAATAGTTATATATATATATTTTTAATTTTACTTACATAAATTAGTAAAGAATTGATTATATTCACCATTATAATAGGATAATAATAATTCTTGAAGATGTGGAACATCTCTTACGACAGAGAGGACATCTGGTGAATCAATGACCTTTGACTTTAGAGATACACGATCGAGATGTAACATGCTGGTAAAAATCAAGTATTGAACAAAGATGGAGTACTCGATGAATTCAGTCGAGGTGAAACTGGCCAAAGTGTCGAGGAAGAGGTCAGAAGCTTCCTTGAATTTACGAATAGACATGAGATAGACTGCCTCGTAGGTCTTGAGACGGTTCTTACGGTCCCAATCACCACCCTCTTCAACCAATGTCTTGGCCTTTTCAATGTTTCTACTAACCAAATCATGATCCATCCAGAAAATACCCATTCTAATCACTGTAAATACCAAATCCAACTTTTGTCCCAATGGTACTGTCTTTTCAAATGTTTGTCTATATAATGAATATGCTTTATCCTAAAAAGAAAAAGAAGAAAGAAGAAAAAGGAAAAGGTTAATTAAAAAAGTAATATATATTCTCTTTGTATATTTTTACATACTTTATCACCAATTCTACAATAGAAATCAGATTTAGCCAAGAAAGCTTCTCTAATTTCAGATTCACCAAAGTTTTCTTCAGAATCTTTAATCTTATCATCCAATTGCTTCAATTCAGTTTCATTATCAGTCTTTAACTTTTCAGCAAATTGTTTATCTTCATCCCATTTTAATTGTTCAACTAATCTTTTATATAATGGATACATTTCTAATCAAAAGTAATATAAATAGTAATATAAATAGTAATGTAAACAAATGTATGATTAGATTATATAAATCGAATATAGATGTGACGATGAGTGTATGAATACATACTATTCTTTTCAATTTCTACGAGTAAATCCTTCTTTGCCTTTTGATTTGATGGATCATAAGTAACTGTGAATACAAGTTCAGCAATTGCTAAATCTGGTAATTTCTTTATTCCTTCGTCCATTCTCTCTCTTTTATATATATCGTAAATAGTTATCTCTTTCTCTTAATTTATTAATGATCAAAATTTTGTTGATGTTCATCACCCCCAAAGGTTTCATGATAAATTAAAAAAAATGAAAAAATTCATTCCTAACAATATTCTTCACCTCATACAAGTCAATCTCTCTGTCTCTGTGGGTCAATCAATCAATCAAACCAAAGACACCCCACTCTCTCAATAAAGAATGCATCTCTCTTAAAAAGACCACACACTCCCTCTCTCTCTCTCTCTCTCTCTCTCTCTCTCATACCACTACCTAAGAGTCAGTCTGGTTATTAATACCATTCTCATCTTCTCATCATCATCATTTTAATTAGCTGTTTTTTTTTTGTACATATAAATAATATAATATTTGTAATTTAATTCAAATTTAAAGAATGGAATCAAATAGAAAAGTTGTATTGGTAACAGGTGGAGGAGGATTAGTAGGAAAGGGAATAGAACAATATGTAAAGGAAAACAACAGACCTAATGAACAATGGGTGTTTCTCAGATCATCGGATGGAGACATTCGATCAAAGGAACAGACGACCGCCATCTTTACCAAATACAAACCAACTCACGTCATTCATTTGGCTGCTCGTGTCGGTGGTCTATTTAGCAACATGAGACACAAAGTTGAATTCTTTAGAGAAAATATTGCAATCAATGATAACATATTATCTTGTTGTAAAGAGTTTAATGTAAAGTATAATAATAATAATAACTTAGATAATAATATGTAATGTAACGTGTTATTAATTGATTGTTTGTTTATTTTGTTTATTTGGTTTAGGTAATAAAATGTGTATCATGTTTATCAACTTGTATATTCCCAGACAAGACAACTTATCCAATTGATGAGACGATGGTTCATAATGGACCACCCCATCCATCAAATGAAGGGTACGCCTATGCCAAGAGAATGTTGGATGTATTGGGACGTGCCTATAACGAAGAGTATGGATCGTCGTGTCGTTTTACAACTGTGATTCCAACCAATATCTATGGTCCACATGATAACTATCATATTGCAGACAGTCATGTCATCCCAGGTCTCATCCACAAGACCTATTTGGCCATGAAGAACAACACCGATCTCACTATCATGGGTACTGGCAAACCACTACGTCAATTCATCTATTCGTTGGATTTGGCCAAACTCTTTGTTTGGGTGCTCGACAACTACGACGAGCTCGATCCAATCATCTTGTCAGTCGACGATCAAGACGAAGTATCCATCACCGACGTTGTCACCATGATCACCGAGGCCATGGGGTTCAAGGGCAAGATCATCTACGACACGTCCAAGGCAGATGGTCAATACAAAAAAACAGCCAGCAACAAAAAACTAAGATCCCTCTACCCCAACCTTTCCTTTACCCCAATGAAAGATGCCATTAAAGTTTCATCTCAATGGTTTATTAATAATTTTGAAGTTGCTAGAAAGTAGTAGAATAGAAATAAACAAACAAATAGAATAAACAAACAAACAAACAAACAAACAAACAAACAAATATATTAATATTCTAAATGTACATTTCCAAAAAGAACAGGACAGCAAACAATTATTGTGTCACATAGATATTGCAAAAAAACGAATGCAAATAAATGAACTGAAAGCGACTCTCAATCCCATCTTTAGTACTTTTATTTATTATATTATATACTTAGAGAAAGGAGAGATATAGAGAATGAGTAACATTAGTAAACAAGTTATTAAATCATATATTAGATTATTAAGAACAGAAAAGAGAGTGTTTGGACAAGATATGCCAACACTCGACAGAGTGACTGAACAGACTAGAACTCAATTCAGAGCCAATAGCAATGAATCTGATCCTATCAAGATTGACGAGATGGTACAACATGCAAACGCTGTCTCTGACTTTTTGTTAACAAATACTGTTCAAGCTGTTAAAAAGACTGATACTCAGTTTGGTATGAAACTCGAACAACAACAAGACAAGACTATAGTAAGTTTGTTCTGACCCTCTATTTATTATACATGTTACATTATATCATATTATATAGCATTAAAATTTAGACCAGAGAATGAATTACATGTAGAAAAGACATATGAATTTGTTGGAGATCAAGGAAGAAAGAGAGTTGTAAATAGAAATAGAAATAAGGATGCTGCTGCTGGTGCTGCTGCATCTGACCCAATGGCTGGTGGATGTTGTGGTGGAGGATGTCACTAAACACGATAGAAAAATAATAATAAATAAGTACGATCACCATATATAATATATTAACAAACAACTAAAAACGACACCATTACTACGACGATTGGTTCATTCATTTATTCATTGTTTATTTTCGTTTGTTATCTGTGATTTTTTTGTTGTGATCATCACCAAGTTCATTATCATTCATTTATATATATATATATATATATATATATCTATCAAGAAGGAGATATATACACAGAGACAATATAGTATATATTAGGATCGATGGAAAAGTTTAAACCTATTAGAAGAAAGTTTGAATTTCAAGGTAGAACAGTTTATGAATGGGATCAAACATTGGAAGATGTTAATATATATATTACACCTCCACCAGGTGTAACTGCAAAGATGATAGATTGTACAATTACAAAGACAAGATTAAGTGTTGGTTTAAAAGGTAATCCTCCTTTTTTAGATGTATGTAATATATATATATATATATATATATATATATATGTAACCATTTATTGTTCATATACTTACTTATATTGTTGTTCAAATTTGTTAGGAAGAATTCTATTCAACTATAAAAGAAAAGGAATCACTTTGGATGATAGAAGATGGTGAATTACATATTACATTACAAAAGATGACCAAGGCAGAGACATGGTCTATGGCACTCAAAGGACATAAACTATTGTCAGACACACAAAAAGAAACACAAATCAGTGAAGATGTAAAGAAACAGATGATGTTGGAACGATTCCAACAAGAACATCCAGAGTTTGATTTCAGTAGTGCTCAATTCAATGGTGAAGCTCCTGACGCCAAAACATTCCTCGGAGGAATGAAAGAATAGAATCTATTATATGTGTATATATATCTATCTAATCAAATATAATTAAAAATATATTGTATATTAAATCAAACAAACAAACAAACAAACAAACAAACAACAAATACAGATAATCTGTCTGTGTGTGTGTGTTCGTAATCTTTGTGTCACAGTCATCTGTGAATAACGAAAAAAATAATATTATAAACGACCGACAAAATCGAGTAGTTTCTTTTTTTAATCAACTTTTAGTTAGATTTTAGTTGTTAATTTGTATCATCAAAAAGGAGATATATATAAAGGATGATAGGAAGATCTTCTTTATCAATTTCAAAGAGTTGTATCAACTTTGTAAAGTTGAATCGTTCAACTAGAAGTTTTGTTGCTACTGTTAACTTTCAATCAAACTACAACAACAACAACAAGACATCAAACATAGTATCATATCAACAACCATATACATTCACATCATCAAGATTATATTCTACTACAACTACAACCAATATACAACAACAACAACAATCAGATATTAAAAAAGAAGAAAAAGTAGAAGAAAAGAAAGTAGATGAACAACAAGGAGAAGGAGAAAAGAAACAAGAAGAAGGAGAAGGAGAAAAGAAACAAGATGGAGAATCATCATCGGAAGAACCAAAATTTGAAGAAAGAATATTAACACCAGAAGAAAAGAAAAAGAAGTTTAGATCGAATCTAAAATGGGGTACAGTGATGAGTTTACTTGGTGCGACATTGGGATTCCTATTTTACGAATCACATATGCGTCACACACTACCATACAGAATTGTGATGCGTCGTGTCAATGCCGACAGAGAGGCATTGCAATTGTTTGGAGGTACTATTTCCGAGTTGGCGTGGTATCAATGCTTTACCAAACCTATTTGGGGTTGGACTTGGATCTATGAAGGTGCAACCACCTGTGAGGCTCAACTCAATATTCCAATCAAACGATACATACCACCTGCACCAAAACCAGATGAAACACCCAAGACCCCTCTACCAGAGGAAGAAGAAAGCAGATTAAACGATGGCGGTGCCCAAGAAGGCTACGTCAGAGCTACACTCGTCAAGAATAGTCCATGGTTTTATGATTGGAAGATTCAAAGTTTATCTATTGAAAGTGACAATGGTAATGTTAATATTGTTACCTATAAACCATTACAATATCCAAAATCAAGGTTCGATCTTTAAATAAATAAACCAAATTAAATAAATAAATAAGAAAATAGATAATAAATAATTTATTCCAAAAAAAAAAAGGCGGGAGTTTCAAAAATTCAAGGACTTCCCAACTCAAAGTAATATGTACCCCAATTCATCATTATTTATTATCATTAATTACAACAGAGATAGATAGAATGATGACAAATAAAGAAGAGGGAGGGGGAGAAGGAGAAGAGGAAGAGATTAACCAAGAATCAATTATTAGATATGTTTTGAATCAAAAAAAGTTATCATTGTTTCTATCACCACAATATTATCTGTATCCTATTGATGGTGATGATGATAATAATAATAATGATAATACAAATGGTGGTGATGAAGAAAAGAATAATAGAGATGATTCTATATGGTGTCATTTGGTAAAGAATAGATCATTGGTTACAAGTGTACACTCAAATAGTAGTAAGAACGTTTCACCGCCGTCGATTAGTAGTGTCGCTGATGATCTCGAAGAAACTGATCGGTATAGTCCTGGTGCCATCAGTCCATCATCATCTCAAACATCTGCCCTAACCCTTGATATGACCAATCAATCAATTCAATTGGAATCAATCGATTTTATAAATGAAAATGAAAATGAACATCAACAACCACAACAAGAGCAACAAGAAACACAAATATTTGTGGATAATGATAATACTCTTGAAATTGTAAATACTCCTCCAAAAACAACTCAAACAACAACAAAAAATCAAGAAAAAGAAAATATTCAACCAAATATTGTAAATAATAATAATAATAATAATAATAATACCAAACCAATAATCGAAGAAGATCAAAGTGCGCAACCATTTAGAAATCTATTTTTAAATCAACAAAATAATAATAATCATAAATTAACAAATAACTCTTCTAATAATATTCCAACAACTACAACAACAACAACAACGACAACTATATCTAATATTAATAATAATGATGAATGGACAAATGAAGAAATGAAAAAATTAAATGTTGGATGTTTGGTAACGAATTCAATGGATATTCATTATTGGGAAAGAGTTTCAAAGATAGTTGGAACAAAGAATGCATCTCAATGTCAAATTAAATGGACTAGTAAATTCCAAACTCCATCAAAAGAAAAGAAAAAGAAATTTGATAAACAACAAGACAAGGAAATATCACCTCTCAATATAGAGAAAAAGATTAATATCAATACCATTAAAATTAAAAGAAAAGCAAGAGATTATTTGGAAAAAGTAATTAAATCAATCAAAATCAAAAAATATATATTATTTATTTATTTATTTATTTATTTATTTATTTATTTATTTATCAAACTTTCCTTTTAATTTATTTTTTTAGAATACAAAAACAAAGAAAACAAAAGATATATTTGATACTACACCATTTAAAAAACAACATGAAACTATTAAAATTAAATCAAAGATTAATATGGATGATGATGATGATGATGATATTGATGGTTTATTTGGTAATGCTCCTCCTCCTCCTCCTCATCCTAAATCATCAACCACAATGAAAAACCAATCAACAGTAGCTTCTACAGAAGATCAATCCTCAGAAGATTATTCAAGTTCAATGATATCATTTAAAGATATTGACAAGGAACAATTAGATGGATATATTCATAAATTATCAACACAAATGGTTAAATCAAGGAAAAAAGAAATCAAATCAAATACTGTCAACAACAACAAAACAACAAAAAGTGACCAAGAAAGGAAAAAACCATCAAGTATCTATAAACCAATGGCAGAAGATCAGAAAAAAGCAACTAAATTGATTGGAAAGATATCATCTGGAATGGAAAAAAGAAGAGAGAGATTGGATAATCCAGAATCTGACGGTGAGGAAGAGGCTGAATACTACTATTCAGAAGATGAAGAACAAGACAGTTTTTTGGAACAAGAGATGGCGCCATACATGACTTAGCTACACTCACCTGTATGTCTGTCTGTCTGTCTGTCTGTCTTTCACACACATGTATAAAATATCGTCATTCCTTTTCTTCTTTTTGTTCAGAGATACGATTGAGATTTGGAAAGATCATTTATTGTATTGATAAAAATCATTGCAATGATTGATTGCATTGTACAATTGCAATTTGCTTATTGGTGTAATCCAATAAAACAACTACAACAACCAAATATACAACCAACCAACCAAACTTCTATTTTTTGTATTTTAATTTAAATATTGTATCTGGTTGCACGATCTAAAATGTAACTATTCAATCGAAATCTCATTGTCGAACACACATAATAACAACATCTACAACATGCGTGCCCGTGTGTGAGCACAATGTTTGTGAAAAAATATCATCATTTTGGGTTAACTATCAAAGGGTGGCACTCACCCACCCTCCCACCCGCCCACATCAATCTATAACAAGGCACTCACACACACACTCTCTCTCAAACCAAACCAAACCAAACCAAACCCACCACCATCCTAAAAACAGTACAAGAGGTATGTTTAGAGAGGAGGGGTTAATTAATTCTAATTGGTTTGTAGAAGAGGGAGGGTTGAAGAGGAATGAAAACCAAAATATTTATATATCCATTTTATGTGTGTTTGTGTGTGTGTGTATATATGATCAATACGCTAGTGATCAATCTTGGCAGCACCACCTTATACACTTTTTTAAATATATTAGTGGGTACCACTACTACTACTACTCTCTCACTCTAGTAGCAGCAGAATAGCATATCTGAGGGAGCGTAGGGGGGGTGGGTATGGGTAAGAGGGAAGAGATGTGATTCGATGATGATTTTCCACTCATAGATAGATTATCATTTGATTTGTTGATGTTGTATCCACCAACAAACAAGCAAGCAAGCAAACAAACAAACAAGCAAGTGCCCTATTAATTTTAATTTATTTATTTATTTTGCCTCCACAATCAATCTATCACTCTTTTTGTTGTTTTCAACGGTGATCCAATTCCAATTTAGATTCACCAATCTTTCTTCTTCTTTCTTTCTTTTGCTTCCCTCCTCTACTGACTGTCCTCTCTCTCACTCACTGTCTACTCTCACTCATTTCAATTTATTCTCCAATTATTATTTTTTTTTTAAAATCAAGATACACAACCATCAATCAAATCAAATCAAACAATACAATATTATTTGAAGCCCTTTCTTTTTATCTTTTCTTATAAATATATCAACAATCAATCTTGAATCGATTGCCCTAGGGAAACCAAAATAATTTAATTTAAATTCAAAATGTTTAGGGAGGTTTTAATCCTATTCATTGTAGCCGCCAGTATATCATGTGTTTATTCTCAACAACAAGGTATGTTTCAATTAAAAATTATTATTAGTTCCAATCTTTTTAATATTCCCCATCTTTAACAATTTATTTCTTTCTAGCTTCAATGAATATTTGCTCACTTGTAAATGATGGACTTACTGTTAATTGTTCTGTCAAGGGATCAACCGATCCTATTACTAGTGTTGTTTTTAGACTTTTAACTGACAACACAACCTTTGCCAGCTATACCAGAGCACAGTTTACGTCAATCGGCCAGCTATATTTTACAGTCAATACACCTCAGGGTGTTGGTCAAACGCTAACTCAAATTTGTCTGTCGACCTATGCAAACGGTAGTGTTAATCCACTGGGCAACCTTCCGTGCAGAAACATTTCTCAATCCAATGCAGCCCTTTTCGAAATCGTATCGCCTTTGGCAGGTGACACCAACGTTGTATTAAAAGGCATGAATTTTAGAACATACAGTGGTCCCGACAATAACAATATAGAATTTGTTGCCCCCAAATCACTGAAAATCCTTATGAACACCAACCCAGACACTACATTACCAAATTATCCATCTGTTAATGGAACGATTATCACAGAAGATGCAGATGGAGTTGTGATAAAATCTGGAAAAAATTATGCTATCTCTGCCCTTACTATTGATGGTGGAACATATAATTCCAAATTGACTTTATCTTTTATTCGTATGTATTATTATTATTATTTGGAATAGTCTCAAGCAAAGAAAAGAAAAGCAATTTTTTTTTTTGTTTTATTTATTTTTTAATTTATTTAATATTTATAGCACCAACTATTAAAAATGTAACTGTTGATGCAACTAAAACAACATTGACTGGTATAAGTTTTGGAGGTGACTCTTTGAAATCAAAGCTTAAATTAACTTTTGATGTTGAAGATGTTGCTGCCAAGATTACATCTGTCACTACTGATACCATTGTATTGACTAATCCATCGAATATTCTTACTGCTGGTGCTAGAAAATTCAACATTGATTTGGATTCAAACCCAGGTACCCCTTATACTTATACTCTTAGTATGTATAGATAGAAGAAATTTAAAATTAAAATTAATATTTGATTGATTTTATTAATTTTTTTAAAAATGGTTGTCTATGTTTTATTTAGACCCTGTAGTATCAACAGTATCAAGTGTACCAACAGGTGGAGGATTAATTACTATTTCAGGCAAGTATTTGGCATTGACTAGGGGAGATGGAAAAGCGACCGTTTCAAATATTCAGGTTGGAACCAAGGTGTGCACAGCTCCAACAAACTTGGCCGATGGAAGAATCAGCTGTACTATTGAAAGTGGGTCGGGTGGAGGTCACGCCGTCAAGGTTACCATTGATGGAGCTGTGAGCCAAGAGGCTGTAACGTTTTCGTACGGGCGTCCACAAATGACTAGTTACTTGCAAGGTGGACTTGCCATGACTGTCACTGGAACTAGTTTGGGTTCGGTTGCTACCACCAAGATCTTTATCAACGGACTTGCCACTGCAGTCACTATTAGTTCTGCCAAGGCTGATGGCAGCGAGCTTACCTTTACCTTGCCACTTGAAACTCGTAATGGTTATTTCACCATCCAGGTCGGTGACTTGGTATCCAACCAAAACGAGTTTACATTGGCTCCAGTCCTAACATCAGTCACCAAGTCGGATACCCCGGGATCAGCTGTCACCATCGTCGGTAACTTTTTGATGCCACAAGATTTCGGTAGCAAGGAAGTATCCCCACAAAGAATTCAAATCGATACTTTGATCAATTGTAAAGACCCCATCTTTGCACAAAACCAAACGATTTGTAAGGCTCCAGAAGGTGCAGGTCAGAATTACAACTTGACAGTATCATTTGGCACGCGTACATCCAACCCCGTTCCCTTTAGTTACAACCCACCCAAGCTTGTAGACTACTACCAAATCCACAACACTATCTACTTGAAGGGTAGCAACTTTGGTAAATTTGGTAGTGCTCAACAGGTCAAAGTACAAGATGAAGATGTCACACACACCACCACTCAGAATGTCGCCACTCCTCATTCCGATACTAGCTTTTTGTTGTTTGCCAACTCGTCCGACTCTAAACTCACCATCGTCGTACAAGGTCAAGAATCTAATGAACTGTCCATTGCAGTTCGTCCAAGTATCGAATCAATCACACCAGTTCCTACAAAGGGAGGATTGGTCACCGTCAAGGGTTACTTTATCGCTGCCAACAACCCATCCGTCGTTTCATTCACCGTCATCAACGGAGTTACTTGTACCGGAATCATTCCCTTCAAAGACAACGTCACCCAACAAACTGGATTCACATGTGAAGCTAGCAATGGTTTTGGTATTGAAAACACAGCCACTCTTGTCATTTCAAACATTACTACCCCTGTCAATGACCCACTCGTCAATATTACCTATATCGCGCCCACCATCACATCAGTCTCCAACACTACCGAAGAAGGTGGTAGTGTCACCATTGTCGGTGACAACTATCATCCAAGCTCTATACTTGTCAAGATTGGTGTCCAAACTTGTCAATCGCCACAAGTATCCGAATACAACACTGTGGTCTGTCAACTTGATAAATGGGATTTCGATGCACTCGGTGAAATTCCAAATACTCGTCAAAATGTTACTATCACTGTTGGTAATCAAATTGTAAACAATGAATTATTTAGTTATGATTGTAAGTTTTAAAAAAAATAGAAAATAATATTATTATATACTAATTTATTATTTAATTTGTAGTGGAAGCATTGTATGAAAGAAGAAGAGAAGAAGAAAAGAAGAAGAAGTTGAAATGGTTGATTCCAGCCATTGTTGTACCATGTGTAGTTGGTGTTGCTTTGATCGTAGCTGTTTCTATAATCCTGGTAAAGAAACATAACAAGAACCAAGAGCTCAAAAAAATGTTTGGCAAATAATCTTAATCATACATAATAATAATAATAATTAAACGATAAATTAATAATCAAACCAACCAGCATAGTTGCCACCTTTGCACCCTTTAACAAAAAACTATTAACCAATCAAACAAAAGATCACTATCAGATACAACTCTTTCTTTCCTATATCACCAACTAATCTCTCCCAACCCATTCTCTATTGCCCTGTCCCAACCAACAAACCACTAACCTAACTAATCTGTCTACTATTAAAAAATAAATTTATCTATCTTGAAACAGCCAACCAATCATATATGTTTAAATCAAAGATAATGGGGGTATAGGGGCTACGATGGAACGAACGGTCCTTTCCTCTCAAGGTGACATGTTAAAAGATCTGATGAACATCATCGAATGGATGGTCCTTGTAACCCCAAACCGTACCGTGTCGTTTCAGTTTGTCTTGATGGCCAATTGATTGTAAGATTGATGGTTTGATGATGCTGAAGTGTTTTTCAAGATTCAATCTCCAAGGATAATGCAAACAAACAAAAAAAAACAAAAAACGGTTGATGTTTGATGGTTTGATTCCTTTTGTTCAATTCAGAAAGATTCTACCGAACAACTCCCTGTTGGAGGTGTCTCGGCAAACCCCGCTATGCAGATCGTGATGGGGTCGGGTATGATATATGTTGTCACTACCAACCACACGACATGCGCACGGACCTTGTTCTTGTTCAACAAAAAAAATCAATCAACTCTGTTTGGTGGGTCAAGATCCACCCACAACACAACAACAACTAAAGATTTTTCACAGTCTTCCATCAACAAACATTATCATGTATGATCTCACTCAACAGAACACAAAGAGACACTGACCAACAATCAAACAAGCAAAGTGATAAGAACAAGAGAGATCAATGAATGATTGCAAGCTGCTTGAAATCAAAAGGAAAGGAAAAGAAGAAAGATTATCCAACTTTTTTATCCTTCAAGCAAACAAGGAGGGAAGGCACATTTATAAATGATCGTCTCTTCAAAGACACACACATTCAAAGGTTATTTATTTATTTATTTAATACAGTGTGTGTGTGTGTATAGAGATATATATATATATATTTATATATGTTCGAAAGAGAGTGATCAAGTTTTTATTTTATTTTTTCAAAACAGTTGTCAATACCATCGCAACAATCAAACACACACCAACAATTGTGTGGTTTAAAAATAGGACAATAGATAAAAATCATATTTACGAACATACCCAATTTCACACCTACTATATATTTTTAATTATAAATCGAACCTTCACCACGACCATTCACCCACCCCAGCCGCCCACCTACCACTTACTACACTATTACTGGTCATACCTAATTGATCAATCACAATTTTTTGTTTAATTTTCGTTTGTTGATTCCAAATTTAATACAACAAGAACAATTAATCATTTAACTAGTTTTTATTATTATTATAATAATAATCATTCACACACCCCTAATCGGTCTATCTCTCTATCACCAACTCACTCTCATTGTGTAGTACCTACCAACAACAACCATTGTATCAATCAAATCAATAAATCTAAAAGGAAGGAGGGTAATTTGTGATTTGTTTTTTTTTTCCTCCACCTTCTTGTTTTACCCTTTTATTTTTTTGGACTCCATCCATCAATCAATTAAATCATAATTGTCGGAACTCTAATAATAATAATATTTTTCCCCATCTTTAAAATAATAATTATTATTCCATAAACTACACTTTTTTTTTTTTCTTTATTTTCTTTTATATTATTTATATAATTTTCACACAAAACCTTAAACTTCTTTACATTTACATTTACAATTAAATTTACATATCATGGATATTTTAACCATTTTCAATAGTCTTGGAGAAGAAAGTTTTAAATATGATGAAGAGAGTTTTTTAACTTTGGCAACACCCTCCAATGTTACCGCAGCACCTACACGAAAAATATGTTATTGTGATCCAAGTGTCAAAAGAGGCTTTGATTGCAATGAAAGCGCATGTGCAGGCATATCGGCACTATTTTTAATATTATTCTTTGTGGCCATGGTCGAGGGTTGGAGGAGAGTCTATGTCCAGAGAAAGTATTGGATGCGGTTCTCTTTTCTGGCAACACTTCAATTGACTATAGCCTCTACCCTCTCGGTGTTTAGAATGATTCTCTTGTTGGCCAAAGTCAACGAACTCTACTCGCTTGGTACTCTCTATCTATTTGGATTTGGGTTCCTCGTCACCTCTTATCTTACCATTCTACTGGCTTGGTGTGACCTCATGATTTCAGTCAATTTCTCGACCGTCATTCAAAAAATCTTTCCAGTTGTCCGTGCCGTCCTAATTATCCTTATTATCATTCATTATATTGGTTGGACAATTGCAATGGCAATTTATTGGCCTGGTAAAGTTACAAATGTAAGTAGAAAGAAAAAACAAAAAAATAGAAACAAAAAAAGATTTAAAATTAATTAATAAATACTTACTTTTTTTTTTCTTTTTAAGATTTTCATGGGAATATATTGTTTTGGAGTTGGAATAGCATATATTTCAATTGGATGGGTGGTTTATAAAGAATTTAAAAAGGTAACCACCTTTGAACCAAATTGCAATAGTGTAAATATTATGATTATCAAGAGTCGTATGATGGCCGTCGGTCGTCTTTCCATTGGAGTGGTGTTTTCAGCATTCCTATTTGCCATTGTTCTCATTTGTGTGGTACCCTATTGGAAGATCAAGAGTAACGAACAAATGGTCGGTCTCTTGTTTGTCATTCGTTTGTCAATGATCATTTTCAACTATTCCATGCTTGTCACAACCAAACCAATCTCTGACCAGCAAATGAGAAAGAATGCAACATCGAAATCACCAAAAGGTAGTAACAATAACCAAGCAATGACTATTGATGGTTTATCCACCGATGTTGAAATGACAGTATCCCCTTGTAGTATAGATCCAGAGTTGATTGGTAATAGCCAAGTTGAAAGTAGTATGTCTTTTAAAAAAAAAAAAGAAAATGATTTGATTTCTAACAACATACATTTTTTAATCTATCTAACTTTAGGTATTCAAGTTAGTACTCAAATAAGTAGTAGTAGTTCTGCGCCATAAGAATAAGAAGAATAAGAAGACTAGACTTTTAACAAAAAAAAAAAAAAAACTAAAAAGAAATTAGATGTGATGAAACGATTCAACATATTATATATAGAAATACAATATTTATAGAATATTAATAACCAACCAAACCAAACCAAACCAAACCAAACTGATGAAATGATGACATGATGACAAACATACAGACGACCTATAAACTAAAAATAAAACACCAGATAATACAAAAGTTGATTTTAAACAAAAAAAGTAAAATAACAATACAACATAAAAAAAGGTTAGATTGTTAATAAATTAATTGTGGTTGTTCAAAATTAAATTTCATATATGCTAGGAATATTATATATTCTTTAAAGATTTACAAACAAATATAAAGATGGATAATATACAAACAACAATTAATAATAGTATAATTGAAGATATAGAATCAGTAAATCATTCAAATTATTGGAAGATAAAAGGTGTCCATTATGTGATAGTCAACTATCTGACAGAACAACACTCAATCATCACATTGCATTGTGTTCAGTCTATTTCATGAAACATAATCAAATAGATGTCGATCAAATCGTGAATCATGTAAACGATGATGATGAACAAAGAAGGGAGAACAAGAGATTAGATCAAACACCAACAATGGATATTCGACTATTTCGGTCAGTGTTGATTGTCAATGCATACACTCGTAGTGTCATCATCAAACATCAAAGACATATCAATCAATTACTATCATCGTATGCAAAGCTGACAAAAACACAACTAGAACTAATATCATTAGGTATACTTGACTATAACCAAGCTAGTCGAGAAGGTAGAGAAGGTAGATATGATTGTTCTATTTATTTGAATAATACCTACTTTATTGAACAAGTCAATAAGATCAGAAGAATCATTCAACAAACAAAATTGGTTAAATATTTAACTATTTACATTAGTGTCCATTCTAACATACAAGTAGAAAAGGGCATGTTATTTAATAAGATAGGAATAGCCATAAAATTTAAAGCATCAGTCGCTTACTTTTCTCTCTTCTATCTAATCTATATCTCGTAGCACGACCATATGTCAACTTAATCTATCAAGATCTCAAAGAGAATACAACCATCACAGAGTATTCCATCGATCCACCACTATTTGGAAGAATGATCTATGCAGAGAGACCAAGTACAAGATTCTGCGTCTTTGAAGTCAATCATCACTTTGATGATTGTTATCTTCACCTGCCCGTCTGTTTGCCACCAATGATTCAACACATTGTTAAATATTGTGTTAGAGATTCAGGTAAGTGCATGTATCATGCATTCACTTCATTAATAGTCCTATTGTTATTGATCGGCCATTAAATTTTATACAGATTATATTGAACAATCAATTCAGGTATTGAGAGGATCACCATATATTAAAACTGTTAAATGGATTCCTACTAGAGGATTTTATAATTTTGAATTATTCAAACGATTCACACTCGGTCTACCAAATCTTGAATATCTTCGACTACAGTGGGACACTTTAATGGAAGAGCATTTATCAATGGTCATTGAACTATTAAATAGAAACCAAATCAAACACTTGGTCATTGATGAACCTCTCAAACTATTACAATGTCAACAACTATTCAATGCCATCGAGACCAACAAATCACTGATCTCTTTGAGAATCAATAGTACGCATAGAGGTGAATGGATTCAATTTGTTTATGATATTTTAAAACAGATTCACAGTTACACAGCATTAAAGTATATTTATTTTACCGATATGCACAATATACAGGACAACGAAAAACTATTATTTAAATCATTGGAGGATGATTACGGTTATAAAGTCATTTTCTATGATCAATATAATGGACTCAAAAAAAAAATACATACTCGATAATGGCTATACAATACAACCATTTTCTATTGAAAATAATTAAAATGATAATAATTGTGCTCAAAATCAAAAATACAATCACGAGGCCAAAGAAGTGATCAATTTTCTGACTTAAGCTTCGGTCGAGAAGCAAGGTATCACGACCGAATTCAAATTCAATAAATAACTCTTTTCTTCAACTAGCTATATCATATAGAATGTCCAGATATATTTATTTTTTAAACAGGAGGCCAAGGCAATCACTAACATCTTCTAAGATCTTATTGGCTACTGTCAATTTTTTTCTTTTGTCATATTCTTCTCTTGCTCTGCCAATCCATTGATTGTTTTTCGGTGCTGCAATTCTTGCCATTAAAATGGCCTCTGCAACATATGATTGATGGTTCTGTCGATCTGCATCCTGAACCAAATCTTTAAATGATAGGACACAAAAACAATTTCATTTCCAATCTTTTTTGCCAAGCTGATCTATGTGACGATAACCCTTGGTACCTGATTCTCCAATGCACTGATGTGTGCAAAAAGTGTTTTCCCAAAATATATATTCCAGGATAATCATGGTCTTTTCGAGTATCTTGGTCCTTAAAACAATTCCTATTTCCAATTTGAGATTTAACTTTAAAGGCAATAATGATTTTATCAGAGATGATTATTACAACAAATGAGTCATTAAATTTAAATATTATTTGTTATTTTATATTTTCAAAGTATTTTGTAGGAACATCATTTTAAAAGAATCTGTCCTAAAAAGACAACTCTGTTGTTCAGTTAATTTTTTTTTTAATCCCTCCTCCCCTATTCTTTGATCAAATTATTATAGTAAAAAAGGAATAAAATCTTTTCCATTTCAAATCAATCAATTGCACTTTATATTCTTTCATTTATTTATTTGTATCATTTATTTATTTCATCCAACAACGATTGTTTTATTCTGTATCCAGAGTTGATTGGTGTTGGCCAAGTTGAAAGTAGTAAGTCTTAATCACGAATATTAAATAACCAAACAAACTGATGAAATGAAGATAGACTGACGACCTATTAACTAAAAATAAACAACCAGATAAAACAAAAGTTGATTTTTAATAGCTCTGACAGGTGATGTCACTCACCCACAAATGCAAGAAGTCGTAGTTTTGTTTTTTTTTTACCAAGGGGTCCACACACAGAAACGTCACCCCAAAGATTTTTTATCTTTTTTATTCTTCACAAACAAACATCTCTTTATCTCTCTCATCATTTACAGTACATATATATTTTAGGAAGGAGAGATAGTTAGAACCTTTTAGATTTCAACGAGAGAGAGAGAGAGAGAGAAAAGAGAGAGAGAGAGAGAGAACTATCTAATCGAGGATGAACAAGTCTAGTTATTCTCTAATACTTGTTCTCCTTCCGCTACTACTTTTATGTTTTTCATCTTGTTTATCCTTTTCACTAGATAGTAGTAGTAGTAGTAGTAGTAGTAGTAGTAGTAGTAGTAGTAGTACATCTTCTCTTAGTAGTAATACCTATATTTATAATATTACAACAAATTGTTCAACAATAGGACAATGTTATTTCCCAAGTAATGCAACATTTATAAACAGTACAACCGAATTGGATTGCAGTGCAACCAATAATATTGTCATTATTGATACTCTCTACATTTATAATACAACTATTGTTCCATCAAATAATAACAATACAAATACTACAAACTCCACTACAACAACGACATCCTATTCTTCATCTTCTTCATCCTCTTTATCATCTCAACCAATCACATACTATATAACATTTAATAGTAATTGTAATATTAATTATTTAATACTAAATGGATCAAATTTGAATGTAAACATTGATCTTGATAGTAGTTATGGATCTAATGGTTTTCAAGTTGGTAGTATCAGTTTAAATAATGGATCATCTCTCAATAGTACCAATTCAATGACGATTGATGGTAATCTTTTGATACAAGAAAACTCTTCCTTTTCGATTGTTGGTAACAATAGTAGTAGTAGCTCTACCTCGAGTATCACAGTCAATGGTAACATTACTATCAATAGTGATGCAATGTTTTGGTTGGAAAATACAATTCTAGAGACTACTGCCGATCAAACTAGTATTGATGGAGTGATTATGGGAGAGTCTGTAGAATACAATTTGGCTGGTGCCATTGTTTTGGGTGCTGATAGTGTGATTGAAAGTAATGAGCCCGAGACTGCTACGATACAAGGTAACCTCACTGTTGGTCCATCAAAAGCAAACTCGTTTCTACTTGGCAATGGATCAGAGATTGCAGTTGCTCAAATATCCTATATGAACCTGATCAGTCTTGTTGACGGTCAGGCATCAATCACTACCAACAAACTCGAAAACCCAACCATCCATCTCAACGGTACTGCAACCCTCTCGATTTCACCTCTCCAGGCAGACTCTTCGGCTTTTATTAAATTGCGTTCACTCAAGCAAGAGGTCAATACCACGTCGATATTTACCAACATCACGATGCTGTTGGTCAATGACACTTTGGTACTTGGAAACTTGGAGCTCTATAGTGTAGACAGAGTACAGATTAACGATCCTACCAATAATCAAACTGCCATGTTTATCAATAGTTTGCAAGTTGGCGGACCCACCTACATCCAACTCTGTAACACTACCATCATGTCACTTGGACAATTCCAAGAGAATGATCCAACCACGTTGACACTGACCATTGTCCAACACGTTATTATTGTCGACTCTACTGCCATTCTCAACGGAACCATTATCTTGGATGACGACTCTTCATTGACTGTCAAAAACACGATCGACATTATCACTGGAAATGTTTTGGTCAACGGTTCAAGTAGTCACTTGATTATTGAACAAGGTGCCTATGCTTCATTGGACATGATCTATCTTGGAGACGAGGATTCTACATTGTTGGTCAAATACGACTCTACTCTATTTGCCACTCAAATCATTGTATCCAACTATAGTACTCTACATCTTCAAGAAAACTCTTCCACTACTGTAGACGGATCGATTGACATTTGTCAAGCAACACTCATCTTTAGTTCAAAGAATGATACCAAGGGAGATGATGTCTCTATTCAAGGTGATCTATTGATTGACGGTAGTTATGTCTTGATGGACAATAACGTTGCCATCAATGGAAACATTAATTTTACCAGTGGTCTATTGTTCCTCCCATCCGGCAAGCATCTCTCGGCCAATGGCTTTTCTATGGGACCAAAGTCAGTCATTGCCGTTATGGATCCCATCTCGGGCCGTACAGACCAAGAACTTGCACCCATCAATCTGCGTGACTCGCTCTCAATCAATGCATCCCTCATTAATGTCCACTTTAGTGGTTTGGCCATTGTACCATCGGTGCCCTACATTATGGTTCGTTCGAAAAACAATATTACCGTTGTTTATGACCAACTGGGTATCACTGGCCAATACAACCCAGCTCAGCTCAGCTACCGTCTCGTGGTTCAAGACGACAATGATGGCTACCAAATTCTCTACATCGAATTTGACTATATCACCAATAGCAATGTTGGACTGGTCAACTGGAAAATTGGTCTCATCATCTTTGCCTCTTTTGTTTTCCTTTGCATGTTGTTTGGTATCTATAAATTTAAAAATAGATCAAGAGATCAAAAATATACACCAATCATTACCGATGAGGAATCCTCATCAATTCTCCCCCCAACAATTAAAACTATAAACTCTGATGAAGATGATGATTAATAATCGATTCTACAAACTCAAAATAACAAAATTATAAATAATAATAAAAATAAGGGAAAAATAATAATTATCTTATTCTTTTTCTCCTTTTTCTTTCTTTTTTTATATATATTTCTATAATTGTTTTTTTTTTTTTTATTGGTTGGATTGGTGGTAGAGGATTTTTTTCTTTTTTTTTTTTTTGATATTATTACTTTACATTATTGTGAAATCAATGATGAAGATTTCTATACTATCTATATTATATTATTAATATCTACAAATGGATTCTTAGACCTTTGGAGATTTTAAATTAGATGGTGATGTTGAATTGGGTGTATTTGTTGTAGCCCATGGAGTTTGATAATAGTTTTGTTGTTGTTGTTGTTGCTGTTGTTGTTGTTGTTGTTGTTGATACCATGGATGTTGTTGATGTTGTTGTTGATGATATACATATCCATTGGCTGATGGTGAATGTGGGTATTGATGTGAATTTTGTTGTTGTTGTTGTTGTGGTGGTTGTTGTTGTGGTGAAGAGGAAATATATCCATTTTGTGGAGGATAAGATGCTGATGGGTATTGACCCTCGTAAACGTAATAATATGGTGGTGGACCATAATAGCCACCTTGTTCGTATGATAAATCTTCGTCTTGTTCATAATAAACTGCACCTTGTTGAGTGTGATGAGATGGTTGTCCCGCACCACCTCCGCCTCTACTTGTACCCCCACCAGCGTTGTTGTTGTTGTTGGTTCCATTTGGTGATTGAGTCGAGTTTGATGATTGGGGTGATGGGACAGACGACTTTTGTGATCTCTGTCCACCCGATGGACTATTGCCAGCGTATGTTGGTGGTGCATAATAAACTGGAACCATCATTGGTGCCGATGTGGTATCAGGTGAATAATTGTATCCACCAGGTCCCAAGTAAACTACATCATTGTTTGGGACATAATATACTCCATTATTGGGTGAATGGGAATGTTGTTGTTGTGATGAGTGGTGATTATGATTTCCATGATGATTATTGTTGTGATGGTTTTTCGATGATGATGGTGATGGAATACTCGCATTCGTATTGTTGTTAATATTATTAAAACCATGTTGATTTGGTGAATTGGTCAATGATTGACTTGGAGAATCTTTTGTTGATGCCCCATTTAAATTAATTAAATCTGATTTTCTCATTGCATCTCCAACATTCATCTAAATACAAAAATTAATGAATTAATTGGTTTCATAAATATAAATTATATAGATTAATTTAATTACATACAACTTTTCCCATATAATAAAGATTAGTTGATCTTTTAACTTTTAAAGCACTTTCTTCATCGGTAAAAGTGACAAATCCATAACCCTTTGATTTTTGGGTATTCTTGTCCATTATAATCTTACAATCCACTACTTGTCCATATGTTCCAAAGTATTTGGCTAATCCACTTTCATCTGCCTAAAAAAAAAAGAAAATAAAAAAAAAAGAAATTATAAAGAAAAGATATTATTTAATAATCTTTTGTTTTAGATATCTTATTTTATGAGTAAATAATGATACATACTTTCCAACTAATTCCACCAACAAAAACCTTGTGTGAATGAGGAGTGGCAACTGATGATGATGATGGTGATGCTGCTGCTAATGTCGACGAAAGTGATGGGGGAGAAAACAAAGGCGACGAATCTGTTGACATTTTTTTTTTTTCCTCTTGTTTAGTAATTCTCTATTATAATTATTACTACTTTTTTAAAAAATTATTATATTTTTCTGTATTTGCTTGACCAATGTACTGAGAGTATTGTTATTGATGATTATTATTATTATTATTATTATTGAAAACTGTTGCCCTAGGTAAAATTGTAAAAAAAAGAGATTCATCGAAAAATTTTTTATTAAAAATTTAATTTAGCTGTTTGGTGACCAACGCGTAATCATTGATTCTCTAATTCTCTACTTTGTGAAATTAAAGAGAGAGAGAGAGAGCTAGGTGATGGAGTTCTTTTTGAACAGGGAATGGTATTGACTAAACTTACTTTTTAATGATTATTTTTCAATATATCAGTGAAACCTGGTTGATTATTATTTATTTATATATATATATATAAAAAATATATGTCCTTCTTTATACAAATGTTTAAACTATTTACAAAAACAAAATCTGGAATGGATTTAAATTACTTTTATATATATTGATTATTTACAAAAAACTGGTGATGTGATGATTTGATTGATTGATTGTGTGATTGATTGAAAAAAACAAAAGGGAAAAAGATAATAATAATGGGAAAAGAGAGATATATATTTATATAATATATTTATCACACACACACAAACAAACTATAAAGTAAAGTAATAATGATGATTTTACTTTTGTCTGGGTTGAGGTGGGGGTTCAACCTTTTAACTACCCTTTGCTGCTTTAAACTTTTTTTTTTTTTTTTTTAATTTTTGTTTCTTCGTTTGGTGAGTGTTTCTAAATTTGGGTTGTATGGGATATTGATGCTGCAAAGATTACTATTTACTACTACTATTGATAATGATGACGGTGATGATGGTGATGACTCTGAGACCTTATATTACAAACTACTACAGAGAGTGATAAAACATAAACTAAACAAACAAATAATATAAGAGAGAGAGAGAGAGAAAGAATATAAAAGAAAGCGAACCAACGATTCTTGCAATTGCAATACTGGGTTTGTGAGGTGAGTAGTAGCTACTCTTAAAAAAATAAATCCAAAAAAATCAGCTGCAATTCATCAGATGATTATTTGGAGGAGGAGCAATCGCTGACTGTGGAGATCAAACAGTACAATGCTGTTGTGAGTAGTTGGGTGTCGCGGTTTTGTTGTTTGATGATGGTGCCTACTCACAACGAGAGAGAGAGAGGGGAAGAGGGTTAGTGTGAAGGGTGGTTTTTCTCTAACTGTTGAATCGAGGTTCATATCATCGCCAACAACCAAACACAATTCATACTTTAATCAATCATCATTTTTATATATTACAATTCATTTTTATTATTATTATTATTATTATTATTATTATTATTATTATTATTATTATTGGTGTCTTGTCGTAATAATCTTTTTCGTAATTGAAGAGGGGATTCTTGAACACCAGATATTTTTGGTATTAATTTAATGTAGTCTACTTTGATATTAAAATCTCCTTCTTTTCTTTCGGTTTGGATGAATCCAATACGATCCATTCCTGCTGGTACTAGTGGATCATCAAAATCTAATGAAACATTTCCTTTTTTAATTCTATAGAAATCTTGGAATGGTATCTATAATAATAATAATAATAATAATTATTTTAAACAAACAAATAGATAAATATACAATTGATCAATTATAATACAAATATATTATATTCTTTTGTTTATCGTCACACATACTTGTATTGATTCCCATTTACCAGGGGTAGTTGTAAACATTGCTTTATAAACAGTCATTGGTTCATCCTTTTTTAATATACCTAATCCATAGACTCTTCCATCTGTACATATTCTAAACGATACAAAACCATATGGATCTGTATCAAAATCAAATGTATTTTTCTATAAAAGAATAAGAATCAATGATAATAAGTAAATGATTGATTGATTGATTGTTTGATAAATATATGAGATTTCATACAGGTGAATATAATCCAATGAAACCAGATTGTTTAACTCTTGGGTCATTTTCAGGTAGCTTTAATGATAGATAACCACTAAATGTACCATGATCGTCTGTTTGTTGAAATTTTCCTTTTGAAGATCCTGTGTGTGTTGGTAGTGTAGAATCAATCGAGTAAGATAAGATGTAGTGTACCATACACATATATATATAACAATTGTTGTTATATATATCTAAGTTTGCTTACCTCCTATTTCATTATCAGATACTATAGTCCATCCTTTAATAGATGATGGTTGTCTGAATTGAAACAATAGTCTGTCTTGTATTGGTTGTAAAAAGTCTAATGTTATTGTTCCTCGTATCAATTGTTTCATTTCTTTAAAGAATGCCATCTTTTGTTGTTGTTCTTTTAACACCTGTTGTATAATGTATATATATCTATCTGATTGATTACAATGAATGAAACTAGTTAATATCATTCGATTTTTTTTTAAAAGGCAATCATGTCGTCGACTGAGATGATCATTATTTGCGTTCACTCAAATTAATTAATACCCTTTTTACAAATATTCTAAAAAGAAGGAATAGATTCACATGATTAGAATGTTTTGAGGTTCTGTAAGTTTGGTTAGTAGTCTTGTCAAATGATATGTTATAATTGAAAGAAAACATTATTATTATTATTATTATTTATTCTGATCTCTTGGTACTATAAAGAAGAAGAAGAATAGTGAAACAACCAATATGTTCAACCAACATTACTATTTGTTTTGATTCAGTAAAATAAATGATTTATTAACTTTAAAGATGAAAGAAGGAATCTAAAAAATAATTTAGAAAGCAGCTGGACAGTCACCAACGCACGAGGTGGAGACAAAGGTGTTCAAACCACATTCACCAGCACCACGGAGAACCTTCAAGTAACCTTGTTCACCCTATTAATAGAAATAGAAAGTATTAGTATTTTTGAAAGAAAGAAAGAAAGATTTTAAATATATTTAAACATACCCATGAAGCACCCCAGGAGTTCTTAACCCACCAGTATGGCTTAGCATGACCAAAGATGTTGGTTTCAGTGTCATAACCGACGATGAGGATACCATGGTCCAAAGCCTTTCCGCATGGAAGGTCAAAGACACCTAAAATAATCATTAAAAAAAAAAAAGATTAATAATCCATTGTACCATTATTATCTATCTATCTATCTATTAATATATTCTTTTTCTCTTACCTCCAATGTAGAATTGCCATTCAGCAGCATCAGCAGCGATAGAGACTGGACCGTTGAGAGCGAGGTAAGCAGCGATTTGGGTTTCGTTGGTGGAGAGCATTTGCCAGTTGGAGATCTTGGCACCAATGTTGGAGGCCTTGAATTGACACTTGTCTTGAGCGACAGCCAAGTATGGGTATGAGGTTTCGGTATCGATACCACCGTTGCCGATGATGTATTGGAAGGCGTTTGGTTGGAGACCACCGTTGCATCCGTCATCACATGATTGTTGACCGTCGTAGGTCATGCAGTGATGGTCACAGTCGACGAGGTTTTGTTCAGAGAGACCGGTGAGGGTGTTGCCGGCAAGGAACCATTGTCCTTCGACGTTTCCGGTGGTTGAGAATGACCAACACGAACCACATTGACCTTGGTTCTTGACTGGGGTGACGGCACCCTTGGTTCTCCAATCGAATGACGATGGGATGGAGGCGAGGGTTTCGTCAGAGTAGTCACCAGCAACTTGAGCGTCGGATGGGACAGAGGCTGGGACGGCGTTCATGTAGAACTTACGGAACTCTTGGACAGAGAGATCAGCAAATTCATTGACACCAAACTTGGTATCAGAGCCAGAGGCAGCAGCGTTGGCATTGAGTGTATCAATTCTGTTCAAGTTGTCCTTGAAAGTAACAAACTTTTGTGAGAATTCATGTGATCCATAAACCTTGTTATATTTGACTTGGAAATCTCTGAATTGGATTTCTACAAAAAGAAAAAGAAAAAAAAATGATGTGTGTGCGAACAAGTATTCAAAAAAAAAAACGAAGAGAGAAAGAAAGAAACAGAAAAGTTAGTTATATGTATTTATAGTCATAATTAGAGTATAGTATGTATGTATGTATGTATGTTCATTTCAAGTGATATGATGTTTGATGTCAAATTGTAGTTGTAGTTGAGGATATGTATATCTTGCAAGAAGATAGATAGAAATATTCTAGATTTGATATGGGTGTTGAGAGATACTGTACCTTCTGGTGAAAGCTTTCTTGCAGCAGCCAAAGCTACAAGGAAGAGAATAGCAATGATGATTGACTTCATCTTTTTCTTTTACTTGTTAGGGTGATAATAAAATATATAAAACTGTAACAACAACTACAGCTCAATTTGAATGTTGTGCTGCAGCTTGGTCACCACCACAATTGCAAAAAAAATAAATAAAAAAAAGAAAACTCCTCTAGATATTTTGGACTCTATTAGGATACCGACCCTCTCTTTACACAATTGCCTTCAAAACAAAAAATCTTCAAGGGGGCTTTACTCTTTGACTTGTCGGTGCACTTTTCCTTTTTCACACTTATGATTTTATAATTTTATCGGCTGGATTTTCATTGATTTATAAAAAGGAAGCTCATTCTCTCTACATCGAATGACGTCATGATCTAGATATTCGTATTAATACTAATCAATCATTATCAGTTACGATGTGAGTAATTCTTTTTCAACAAGATGGTCATCGGGATCATAAAAGAAAAAGAGAAAGAGTAGAGTTTGGAAATGGAATTGGAATGGACAGGACTGACAAACAACCGTAGTCAATCCGAATCCGGCGGGTAATTAAATAAATAAATAAATATCTTTGAAGTGAAGCAGCTCGGTTGATTATTCGTATCGTGAATGATATATTCATTAAAGTTTTTGTTTTTTTTGTGACCCGACTTGAAGTGAGCAAAGAGAGCTCAGTTGGTGGAAAAATCAGCTCAACTAGAAAAAAGATAGAAACAATAGAAAATGGTAAAGATAACAATACATTGATGAATGAATGAATGAATGAATGAATCAATGAAGAATCATCTTCACCAATTATCATAATGTCAAGTATAGATAATAATAATAGTATATCATTTCAAGATGTAATCAACGTACAATACATTAGAAATGCGATATTCAATCAAGTTCATAACTTGAATCGTTTGATTGAGAGTGGTGCTGGTGCTGGTGCTGATGATAATACAAATACATCATCATTAAAAGGAAGTGATATTATCAAGTTACCTAATAATAGTATATCATTTCAAGATTAGTATCAAGGTATGGTATGTCATGGGACTTTATCAAACATTATCTACCATCATCACCATCAGCTGATGTTGAAGGAGAAGAAGAAGAGGAGGAGGAGGAGGAGATATCAGAGGCCATTTTCAGATATTGTCTTCATCGTAATGCTACCCTTGCCACTCTTGAACAACTTATCGATAAATTGGTACCCAACTTTGATTCCACCTCTCATGATGAACTAGCAGAACAAGTTGCATCAAATGGGAATAAAGATATATTGGTATATCTACTCGGCCGATACCCCAACATCTATATTGATCAAAATACAATGGATATGGCATGAAAAGTGGCACTTTGGATCTTGTAAAATACTTACATTTTAATAGAACTGAAGGATGTACTAATAATGCAATTGTAAGTATAGTAAATATATAGTTTTAAATCACATCATCATCATCAAAGTTATTATATTAATCAGGGATATGCATCAAGTGGAGGACATTTAGATATAATCAAGGTATGTTATCAATTGATTCTTGTCTATTTTTAAAAAGAACAATATACTAATTTGTATTTTAATTTATTAGTTTCTACATGAATATAGAAGTGAAGGTACAACAACCAATGCTATTGATAATGCAGCCAATGCGGGTTTATTGATGTTGTAAAGTTCCTTCATGAGAATAGAACAGAGGGTGCTACCACTGATGCTATAGATTTTGCCTCAGATGAGATGGGATTCATAGAAATTGTAAAGTTCCTTTATGAAAACAGAACTAAAGGTGCAACTACCAATGCCATACAAAATGCATTATCCAACAACCATTTGGAAATTGTAAAGTATCTTCAAGAGAAAGAAGAAGAAGAGAAACTGGTCGCTCAAAATAATCTATAATCGAAAAAAGCCCTTTGGTTGGAATGTCATCCCCCTCCGATCATGATCCAGAAACTATTGCATCGTGGTCCTATTTCAATTTTGTCTGGGATGGAACTTTAAAGAATGTACTGGTCAAACAAGGATTATATGGAAATCTGGATCTGATCCATATTCAATCAATCCGGCGGGGATAATAATAAATATCTTTAGAAAAAAACTTGGTACATCAAAAAAAATAATAATCAAAGAAAAACACATTAAAGTTTTTTTGGCGGGTCACAATGACAACGAGTTTCAGAGAGAGTTGACCAATGAGATTCTTTCTTTTTTTTTTTGTCTATGGTGTTTTGAGCTGACTTTTTTTCACGTACAAAAGTATCCAATGATATTATTGCCGCCCTATTTTGAACTGCACCTCAAACTTAACTTTCCCTCCACTTTGTACACCCATTAAATTGCTCGCTTCCAAAAAAACACAATCTTTTTTTTTTTTAATTCACTAAAAGTAGAGATAGATATTAAGGAGTTGAACTGCTATACTACAAATAATAGAAATAATATAAATATTATTATTATTATCTTTATAAAATAAAACGTATGTATTCATTTAAAAACAATTACGATACTCTCTCTCTTTGATTGTACAAACTGTAAGATCTTAACAACATTCATTACAAACAATTGTTTTATTCACATGATAGTTGATAAAATGCTTACAAGAAAGAGAGCACAAGATTCAAGTACTAAAGGTATAGATGATGATGATGATGAAAATGAAATGATCGACGATGATGACGATGATAGTATGACAGAGGCAGAGGAGGAGGAGGAGGAAGAAGACAATTCAGAGACAGAGACAGAGATTGATCATCCAATCTCTACACCTCGAAAGAAACAAAAAAGTACAATAACCGTTCAACCAGTTGGAGCAGAATCGATAGCACAGATATTGACAAACGATATTCAAAGTCTGCCGACGGGTGGAGACACGATAGCTCCAGAGTCTGTGTTTTATCGTGCACCGACGATCAAGGATTTCGAGCGGTTGCACAGATCAACTGAAAATTTATTGGCACTTGAAGAGACCAACGAGAGACTTCGAAAGGTTCTGTTGGCCATCAAGGGCAATACAAACTTGGCAGCATCCCCTCAAAACGCACAATTGTTGTGCAATTTTTTCAAGATTCGTGCGGCAAGCAATCTGTTCAAGGTTGTGGCGCGACGAAACGTTAAACCAGCTTCGGCACAGGCTCGTCCAAGAATGGAATTCTTGGTCATTGTATATTCAACACGTGCGTGGCTACGTTATTGTGACATGCCATATCATCGTCCAGAGCTTCTTAGTTTTAATGCAACCGCTCCAAAATCAATGGGCGATTCAACAACACCAACAAAAAAAGAAAAAAAAGAAAAAAAGGAAAAGGAAAAAAGGAAAAGGAGAAAGAGAAAGAGAAAAAGGTATCAAAGACTCCACCACCTCCAACCAAACCAACCCCCGTTTTGGCAAAAACAAGATCAAAAAGTATTCCTTCAAAATTACCTAGTTCTCTTTCTTCTTCTTCTTCATCATCTCCTTCAAATTCATTGGCTTTGACAATAATACCACCTTCAACTCCAACTTCAAATACATCTACATCGACATCAACAACAACAACAACGACACCAAGTAGATCAGCTGCAAAATTGGCATCTGAACAATTTGCGTTACATCAAAAACAACAAAAACATTTACTTGCTCAAGTATCACCAAAACAAAAATCACCAACTCTATCACCACCGATCGTTCCTACCAACACTACTACTACACCAAAAAAAGTACCTAAATTAAGAGCAAAAAGAATCATGATGGATGATGACCAAGATGATATTCATAATGATACAACTCCAATTATTCATATTGATCAAAGTATTCAAAATAGTCATAATGAAATTAATCAAAATAATCAAAATAATCAAAATAATCATATTAATAATATTGATCAAACAACACCAAAATCTAATAATAATCAAAAGAATAATCAAAATAAGAATAATAATAATAAGAATAATAATAATAATAATATTGATCAATCAACAACAACTCCACCACCACCAACAACAAAATCTAATAATTTAAATAGTCAATTGGAAATTGAGAAACAAAAAAAGAAGAAATTGGATGAAGAAAATGAAAGAGAGCAAGAAAGAAAACTAAAGATTAAATTGGAAAATTTACAAAGATTAAAAGAAGAACAAGAAGCAAAAAAGAAATTACTCATATTACAACAACAACAACAAGAGGAATTGGCAAGAAAACAAAAAGAACAGCAACAACAACAATTATTACAACAACAACAGCAACAACAAAAGACAAATTCTCCTGTTCAATATTCACAATCTCAATATTCAAATGTTACTCCTCCTCCCCCTCCTCCTCCAATTTCCCATCCTCTTTCAACCAATACCAATACCAATACTAATACTAATAATAATATCAATAATAATCTCAATACTTCTTCTTCTTCTTCTTCTACTTCAAATACAGCAACAATAGAAGAAGAAGCAAAATATCATCAATTCCATTATCACCAACATCATCATTACCATAAACAACAACAATTATTACAACAACAACAACAACAACAGCAACAGCAACAACAACAACAACTATTATTACAACAACAAAAACAACAATTACTATCTCAACAACCACCAATACATGCCATTCCATCACCAATTTTACAACCACAACAACAACAGCCGCAAGATGAATATATAATGCCAACAACATTAGAACCAAGAGATGGATTGGTAGGATTAGAAGTTAAAAGAATTGATGGATTTACCAAATCGGATCCAATAGGGTTCAAGACATTTTCAGATCTAGGTAAATGGTTTACAAAGATGGAATTGGAAACATTTTTAATCAGAGCACAACGACTCATTGTAGACAAGCTCTTTAAATCCAATATAAAGGTGGTCACTATTAATTTGGGAACCATCAATCCATCGACCATCAACAAATATTTTATGAGTATCAATCCCGAACAAGTCATCTCTTCCGAGGACATTTACGAGTGCTATACTCCCGATTCCATCTCTAGCAAAAAGAAAAAGATAGAGGTCAGAAGCTACCATTTTGTCAATGACAAGAAAAATGGTAAACAACTTCCAAAACTGTATGACGGCAAATACAAATGTACATATCATCAAGAAGAGTCTCGACTCTATCAAATAGAATTCAAAGATGCAACTTTTAGAGTCAATTCCGAAACTCACATTGTCATGGTTGATCTATCCATTCAAGTTTCTCTTTGTGTTCATCAATCTGATTCAAATTCAATGGTTTATATTCCAAATTAAATTAAATTAAACTAATTAATAAATAATAAATAATTAAATAATAAATTAAATTAAATAGTAGTCAAAATATAATAATAATAATAATATATATTTTTTTAAATGTTTCTATTTTCTTTTCTTTTTTTTCTTGTTTTTTTAGAAACACTTTCTGTGGATGATTGATGGACCAGCCTCTTCGTAATCTTCTTTGGTGATCCAATGTTTTTTGTAAGAGGAGAGGTTGGCAAGGGCGGTCAGTTTTCTTCTAGGTATAATGAAAAAAAAAAAGAACCAATCTTTCATTGTGATGATATCAAAGTTATCAAATTTATTACTATTACATATTATTTCAGAGATTGATGATAATAGAGATTTAATATGCTTCTTATTGACTTGTAAAAAGTTACTTTTCAATAATGCTTTGAAAAGATTGATTACATTCAAAGATGTTAACTCGAGAGTTATCAATGACAGGGGAGAGATATCACAAGCGTTCACGGAAACATCTACTCGATTCAATCTAGGTTCTTTTAAAGATATATTGGAGAATAGTGTATCGGATCAACATGTCATAATACCTGTTGACAATAAGATAGACACTCGCTATCCAACTTGGATACAAGACAGAATCTATTATGCAAACAACAGCAGACGAGACAAGACAAACATTACAACAGCTTTGTTGATGGATTGTAGACCACAATATTTAGAGTCTATCTATGATATGTCATCACTAGAGACACTGTTCATTGACTACACGAATCAAGATGTAGATTATGAAGAAAAAGCAGTGGATCTTGGTTCTATTGCTCGGTTTACATATCTACAAAGACTTTCAGTTAATGTACACAAATTGACATCACTTGGTCCACACCCATCATTAACGGATCTCAAACTATCTTTTGGTGAACCATATCCACTCTCTTACTTGGAGCTCACCAAATTCGTATCACTCACAGAATTAATAATCAATACATATTGTCTGACCAACGTGGGCCCCAATCTCTTTCCGACCAGTTGACCTCTCTCGATCTGAATCTTGGAAAGATACCTCCACGAAATACATTCCTTTCCCTAACGTCACTAGTCGACCTCAAGATTTACTTGAACGATAGTGAGGATAGGGAGGAAGAAGAAGAGGAAGAGGAAGAGGAAGAGGAAGCACAACCAAACAACATCATCAATCTCGAGGAGGACAAATGTATCGATCTAGAGTCTCTACCAAACCTCGAGAGATTACAGACCATTGACTACCTTTTAAAAAAGAAATACAAGAACTATCGAATCAGAGTGCCTCCCTCACTCAAGATACTTACATTTTATTCGCGAACGGCTCTAATCCCATGCGAATGTACCATGCCACCGTTGGAAAAGATTGTTTCCTCGTCAATTTAAAAAACTGGTTTGGATAGGTGATAGTAACAATATTCAAGATATTGAAGTGCCGACATTTAACAGTCTATACAATCTTGAAACTCTCAACCTGTCCAATTTCGATGGAGACTATACGATAGACGTACCACCAACCACCAAGTATTTATCAATATCTCTTGTTAAAGTGGGATATAAACAGACTCGAGATTTAAAACCCCTTCCAATCTATTCAATTAGTTCAAAGATACCTAAAACCATCATTGTCGATGATCAACACAACCATTACTACAATGGCTGCCACATAATACTACTCATCTAACATGTCGACTAAATCACAAAGTAGATGGAGTGTTTAGATTGGATGAGGTGATAAACTACACCAATGTTAGATATTTAACACTCACATCTAACTTGAAAACACTCCATTTTTCTATTCAAAGATTGGATACAGACAATTCAAATGTATTGATTTTGGAAAAAGATAAACTTACTGGTGGGATCATCAAACAGAGAATAGAGAAAAGAAATAATAATAATAATAATCATTATGCACCCATTTATTTACATTTTCTACCAAATCAGAAAAAGCAGTGGATCTTGGTTCTATTGCTCGGTTTACACATCTCCAAAGACTTTGGGTTAATGTACACAAATTGACATCACTTGGTCCACACCCATCATTAACGGAACTCAATCTATCTTTTGAAGAACCATATTCACTCTCTGACTTGGAACTCACCAAATTCGTATCACTCACCGAATTAATAATCAAGGCATATCGTCTGACCAACATGGGCCCAATCTCTTTCCAACCAGTTTGACCTATCTCATTCTGAGTATTACCAAGATTCCTCCACGAAATACATTCCTCTCCCTAACATCACTAGTCGACCTCAAGATTTTCTTGAAAGATAGTAAGGAGGAAGAGGAGAATAAATGTATCGATCTAGAGTCTCTACCCAACCTCGAGCAATTAGATATCAGGGACTTCTTTTTCAAAACGAAATACAAGAGCCATGCCATCAGAGTGCCTCCCTCACTCAAGATACTTAGATTTTATTCGCCAAGGGCTCTAATCCCATCCGAATGTACCATGCCACTGTTGGAAAAGCTGTACGTCGGATTGAGGACGTTGACACAAGGAGGGATCAGTTTGTTGTCATCACCATTGATCAAGAAACTTTGTTTTTACCATTGCGACGATATCATTCCAGCCAATCTCATACCAACCAGCGTTGAAAGGCTAAAGATTGAAATTACGAGCAATCAAGATATACTTGGACAAGTTGTGCTTTCCCCATCGGTCACTCATCTAACTATCATGGGAAGGTACGAACATGTACGGCTACCAAAATCACTTGTCAAACTAATACAAGTATTTAACAACAAGGCCACAGCACCACCACGGCCTCTTCCTCGTCGATTGAAAAAACTGGTTTTGATAAGTGATAATAACGATATACAAGATGTTCAAGAGTTAATATTTGACAGTCCACCCAATCTTGAAACTCTTGACCTGACCCTTATCAATGGAGACTATACGATAGACGTACCACCAACCACCAAGTATTTATCAATATCTCTTGTTAAAGTGGGATATCAACAGACTCTAGATTTAAATACACTTCCAATCTATTCAATTAGTTCAAAGTTATCTAAAACCTTCATAAATGATCAACAACAACCATATCAATGGTTTCCACATAATACTACTCATCTAATTTGTCAACTAAATGATAACATAGATGGAGTGTTTAGATTGGATGAAGTGATAAACTACACCAATGTTAGATATTTAACTCTCACATCTCAAAGTAAAACCTTTCAGTTATCTATTCAAAGATTGGATGCAGACAATTCAAATGTATTGATTTTGGAAAAAGATAAACTTACTGGTGGGATCATCAAACAGAGAAAGAAAAGAAATAATCATTATTATGCACCCCTTTATTTACATTTTTCTACCATCTCAGATGTGAGAAGTAGTAGTAAATTTATTTTAAAATTTAGTTATAATTTCCAATAATACTTTTGAATGATATTAAATAAATCTATTTATATTTCATATAAACAAAACAAAAAAAAAATTGCTTTGTGAATAATTAATTATTATTAAATAATATTGAATAAAAAAAAAAAAACAATAATGATCTCATTTTCATTCTTTCATTTTTTTTCTTCAAAAGAGATAAATTACAAATATAATATATAATACCATTATAATGGGAAACGATGGAGGATCAATAGTAAAAAGTGATATTATAAAGAAGAAAAAGAAAGATGAAATATTAAACAAAAGCGATTTGGATGAAAGTAGATGGTTTAGATGTACGCTGTTACAAGATCAACTAGTCGATCCGATAGTAGCAGATGATTTGGGTAATCTATTCAACAAGGAGAATATCATACAAGCTCTATTGGATGGTTCATTGGCAACTCATCCTCAATTTAGTCATATTCGTTCACTCAGATCGCTACACAATGTACATTTTATCGATAATCCCTCCTATCAACACGGAGACAAGAAAAAATCTAGATGGTATTGTCCCATTACAAAGAATGAAGTTGGTGGACATCAAATACGTTTCAAACTACTACCTAGTTGCGGTCATGCAATCTCTGATCGTGCATTTTCAATCATCGATACAAATAATTGTTTTATTTGTTCAAAACCTTTTATCAAAGATGATATCATCACCTTAAATCCTTCTCCTCAAGAATTATTAATTATTAAACAAAAATTAATTGATAAGAAAAAAAAGAAAAATAATAATAATAATAGAAAACAACAACAAAAGGAAAAGGAAATTAAAAAAGAAGAAGAAGAAAAGGAAACTCAAGTACAAGAAAAGGAAATTAAAAAAGAACAAGAAAAGAAAGAAGAGAATGAAGAAGAAACAACTAGTACTACAACTACTAGTACGACTTCAACAACTAGTACTACTTCAACTGATACAACATTTAAAAAGAAAAGAAAAGAAACTGAACCATTAGAAACAAGTAATGAATCTAATCAATTTGAAAATACTACTACTACTACAGATATTGATAAATTGGCAAAAAAGAAAATAAAAGAAGAAATAAAAAAAGATTAACTCTCTTTTCTTTGTTAAATGAATGATGGTCTTTTTTAATATTTATTTATTTTTTGTTTTAATTTTGAATAGTTGAATAATAACTATTGGAAGAATCAAATTGCCAAAGATTATTCCAAAAACCAAGTGCCATTAAACCGGCACTACCAGAATAACCATAATTGTTACCAGAGGTGACGGCATAGTCTGGCACGGCATAGGTACTTTTAATGGGGAATAGGTTGAGAGCCTTGTAGAGACCATCGGCATCGGTACCATCAATCATTGCAATTAAACAACCTTGTCTGGTAACAGAGCTTGGACATGGTGAGAGGAAGACTAAACCAAGACCATCACCAGTAAATGTATTTGGACCAATCATAAATCCACCTTCGCTTCTGTATTGTACTGGGAAGGTACTCTTGATCGAGTTGGAAGCAGCGTTGGCTTGTGGACCAGAGATGAGGATAACATTGGACATGGCAAAGACAGATGATGTGAAATCAGTGTCTGGCATGACAGTGACCGAATAACGTTCTTGATAGTAGAGAGTGTTGGCCAAATAAATGGCAATCTCACGATTGGCTACCTCCTGTTCATAGGTTCCTTTGGTACCATAGACAATGGTGAGTTGGAATTCCAGAACCAAAGAGATGGGACCATAGGTGAGTGGCTGCTTCTCTTGTAATAACCATTCATTGTTACCGGTAGTATCCCAACCTTCATCGCTAAAGTATGTGATTTGTGGGTATTGATGGTAACTAAAAGAGTCACCATCGAGTTCAATTGATTGTGGACACTCGTCAAATGGAACAAAACCAAAACGTCTAACATTTTGAGAGGTAATAATCCACTTCAAACCTTGTGATGTCTGAGTTTGATTGACAAAGAGTTTACCGACACGACCAACTTCGGTGAGTTGAAGAATTTGGATACCTCCACGACTACCACTGTTTTGAGGGTTGAGAGAGGTGACGACGAATTGTTGTGGCAGGGCTGGACGACCTTGTTGAGCATTCTCATTGAAAAATGCTTGCATAATAGCATCATCTACAACACCATTGAACCAATGACCTTCACCTGCAACAGCAGAAATCTGTCCAAATGTTGTATTTCTTGTGATTTCATCGACCAATCTGACCATACGTCTGAGATGGTATGGTGGGACATTATCATCAATCGTTCCAAATCTAGCAATCAATGGGATACCTGCAAGATGTGGGGTATACATGTCTACGTTGTGGTGAGAGATGGAAGCGTCCAACAAGTATCTGACAAATGGGTCAGTCCAACTATCACCCAATCTCAAAAAGAATGGTAGATATGTTTGATAGTCTATCCATCCGGCAGCGACTGCCACGGCAATCGACAAGTCTGGATAGTGAGTTGATACATGCCAGCATCCATGTCCTCCCATACTATGTCCTGCATACATTAATCTTGAATAATTGGCAGCGTATTTGTATTGTTGTCCATTTGGAACACTTGGTAACATTGAAGTTAGATAATCCAATGCACTCCATGCGTTCTTTAATCCTGGACCTTGCCAATCCCAACCATACTCTCTACGATTGGTTGGTAGGAGGATCCAAGAGTTATTTTGTCTTTGATAGGAGCTAGTCCAGGCACCACCAGCCTTGGCGTCGACACCAGCACCGTGCATGGTGAGGATGATGGAGCAACCGGCAGCGGGACACTTTTCAATGGGTGGAATGGCCGACGAGTATTGAACCGACTGATCAAAGTCTAAAAAGGTAAAGGTGAAGGGATCACCAAACGAACGGCAAGTAAAGTTGAGTGTCAGTGGGATATAATCCGATTGATCTGTCGTGATAGTTGCAGGTATTTCTAACGTGTTGGCGCTCGAACAGGTGATTTTTGTTTGACTGCTAATCACCAAAAAGATGGGGACGACCTGTCCGGCTTCAATGGGTGGACGCTTGACGAGTTGGAGAATGTATGGTGTTTGGGCACTGGCCTCGATGACGTTGATACTCTGGTTGAGCATATTGAGAACGGTCAGCGACAAATAGGCCGATACAAATTGACCGCCGACAATGTCTGGTACAATGACATCGTTGATCATAAGTAAGGTTGGTGATTGATTAGTCTCGATCAGTTGGATTTGACAACTAAACTCGAATCCTTCCGACCCAGATATTCTGACGTAGACAGTGTGATTACCAGGCAACAAGAGGATAGAATTGTACATGATACCCATACCATAAGTATCACCTTGCAATATAGTCTCATCCAAGTAGAGTTTATCTTGACCTTGACAGATAATGAGTACAGTTTCTTCTTGGTCGAGTTCAAAGTCGGCGATTGCCCAACCACCAAAAAACGATGCAGTCTCGCCTGCCCACGCCTCTATGAGTGGCCAGTTGACATTACCATTGGTCTCGTTGTATGTGATGGCAACCATCCCGCTCTCCGAGTCGGCAGTCACCTCTTGCCATCCAACACGACCGTCATCGGTCAAATCAGAAGGGTAGGTTGACTTGTCACCTCTTGGTATGTTTCTAATACCTCCAAATGCATCCAAAATATCACTTCCATATTCTCTGTCGGTGATTGGGAATGGTGCCAATACATCCCAATTGGTTAAAAAGTAAGAGTCACTTGTAACTACTTGTTTGTCTAGTTGGAATGATTTAATGTTATCTTTTAATTTCCATCCTTTTGATTTAATTGTTGATCCATATGATTTTGGTTTAGACTGTTGTTGTTGTTGTTGTTGTGATGATTGTTGTTGTTGTTGTTGATTTATATTAATTGATGATTTTGATTCAACTAGAAAGATCAAACAACAAAAAAGTATAAATAAAATAAAATAAATTGGTGTTTTGTTGTTGATCACCATGATTTATCTTTTTTTTTTATCTCTCTGTCTCTATTTATTTATGTTCTTTTAAAAATGAAATGATGTTTTCTCAAGAGAGTGCTTGGTGTGTTGACCTTCTCTTTAAAGTGTGTGTTTCTTGATGATCAACACTTTCTTTGTTTTTATGACCCTTCATTTTTTGGGCCGAAAGAATGAGGTCGACAAAAGCCGCGTTCCATCTGGTATTTTGGGATTTTTATAAAGATATTTTCAAACAAAAGAGATAATTGTAATAATTGTAGAGATAATGTTTGAAATTTATATTTATATTTATATTTATTTTGGGAGGTTAGATAAAAGGATCACAATCTTTCTTTATATTTTATTTAAAATCTTGTAATAGATTCAATGTATGAAGATTAAGATTCCAATTTATTAATCTATTTTTAAATTGAATCATTTTTATTATCATACGATAATATAATGGACAAAGAATCAGTAATAATAATGACAAACACATCATCTACTGTACAACAACCACATTTCATTCTGTATTTAGATATACAATATTAGACATTTGATATTCAATCATATTAATAGTATCAAATCAATTGTACCCAAATGAAGATCGATCATTAAAAGGAAGAGTTATCGTCAAATTACCTCTTTTTGGTATGATCAATCTATGCAATGCCTTGGCACTTTGTTAGACACTATCTACCTAAAGATGATAGTAGTAGTAGTAACGACAGAGAAAAGATACTACCCTTAAGAAAAAAAAGAGTGGTCACTCAATACTGTCATCATCGTAATGCAACATTGGATACACTTGTACATCTATTGAAATGGTCTAAATATGACATTGATTGGGTGTACTTGACAGGAAATAACATTGAAATAAGAAATCAAGAGATATTGGAGTATCTCATCAATCGATATCAAGCTGCTGATGGAGACAAGGATGACTTTCTCATTAGTCTTCTTGTAGCTGGTAATGTCTCCATTCCAACGGGTTATGGTCTTGTCGTCACATACCCAAATATCTTGAGCTACTTGAGAGATTAATCTGAAATCATGACTAACTAACACCCACTCTTCCTCCTAGGAAATCGAACGTTTACAGCATCCGCCAATGAATTAGCCAAGGCATCTATTGATTCCATGTCCAAATGATTTGTGGGCTTGATGGGATTGGCAGTTATAAACAGATAAATGAATAGAAATGGAATAGATTATATTGTGATAAACAAGAGGAAAAGAAATCGTTGATTGATTGATTGTATAAAGGCATAGAATTACAAATAGTTCATATATAAATCTTGTAATGAAGATGAAAATACTCAATCCGAATCATTCACAATGGTTGTTCAGTTTAGAGACATTATGGTGAAAAGAATCTTATCAATTGTCAACTGCCTACCAACTGTAAGTTTACATTAAAAACAACCAATGTTACCTTTTGTAACTAATCACAACATTCTAACATACTTTTTAATATAGACCATTTGGGCAGGGAAAAATGCTATAGAATTTAGAAAAAGAATATTTTTTTTATTTGTTTATATTAACAATCAAATTACCAACAATCAAAATGATACAACTCCATCATCATCATCATCATCTATACCAACTCAGTTATCATCTATACAACTACTACAAAGCATTTTATTCCTCAAGAAACAATACCAAAGTTCAAGAAACAGATAGATGGAAGTGTGATAGTGTTGACAAGATTGGAGCCTCAAACCAAAGTGAAGAAGAACAAGAAGAATAAGTAGAACCAGAATAAAAAAAAAAAATCTTTTATTATTATTATTATTAATTCCCTTGGTTGTGTCAATAGATCCATTCTCGACATACGATAACCAATCTTTAAAAGTATTTCCATGAAAGCATCAAACTTTTGACCAAACTACTTGATACGGGTGCTTTGATCCCTTTATACATGAAATCGATAGACAGATTTCATGTATAAAGGGATCAAAGCACCCGATCCTTGTAATCTATCCTCCATATCTTTAAATCTTTTCTTGATTGAGTCAATTGATTCAATTGTAACACCATTACTATTGAATGAAAAGTTGAGTAATTCCAAACAACCAATCATAGGACAAGGAATTTTAAACTGCCAATCATTTCTGTTGAGATAGTTGGTACAGCTTTCCAACAGCCTTTTCAATATCCCTTTGTTCCATTTTGATATTGTACTTGGGGAATTGATCGATCTCTTTCATGACCACTTTAAGGATTTCGGGTGACACCTTTTGAGGTGTATCACATCCACACTTGACCAATTTAAAACCACCATCATCTCCTTTGGTGGCAAATGCATCTGTATCAATAGTTGATAAGAGAACCATGTGGATGCATTTTTTTGGTTCGGCTCTGTTGTAAATGATTTTGATTGTGGTGTTGTTACGAGCCTGCTCCGTTAACTTTGCTACGAGAGGGAGACGATCCAACAATGGTTTGAGCTTCTTGATATCTTCTAGTGTGTTGGATATCTGGTTGGTCGTTGAGAGATGAGACAGTAACTCTAGTATGTATGGACCATTTCTTTCACTTGCCAATTTACAAGTGGTGCAGGTGGTAACAAAGCGACAAGCAAAAGAATTCAGAGCTCTGAAGGTACTCGGTAGCCTTAGTGACAGCTATCTCCAGCACCTTGTCCATGAGCAGGTTCGAAACATTTGGGAGAGAGTTGGGGAGACTCTCAAAGTGAGCACGGACCTTTTCCGGTAGTGTGTTGACGTAACACAAGCATCTCATCTGTGAGTTAAAAGATGGACCAGGAGAAACCAAGTACATTGAACAGATCCGAGTATCAAACGTTTTGGATCGAGATCCAATACCATTATCTGGAGTAAAAGCAGCTGCTTTTCAAGTACTGCACCAAACACACCATACTGCGAACGAGCAATCCCATGGTGAAGACGACCGTACTGCTGTCTTCAATGTCGTTTGATATGCAAATACTGCTAATTAATAACCAAAATAATGGTCTAGATCATTATTAAGTTTGCTGGTGGCATCTCTAGAAAATTTAAAATATGAGGGATTTGACTAGATATATATATATATAGATGACTTTATTCTCTGATGTAAAATATCTATTATTCTTTCTCTCTGACACAAAACATTCATGTATAATATTGTGTTGTAAGGTGAGTAAAGTTATCTCTTTTCTTTCTAATTAGTAATTATAGAAAGAAAAGAGATAACTTTAGTAATAAATGTGTAGTGAATAAATAATAATTTAAAGAACAGAATGATTGGTGAAAATGATTAATGGCCCCCTTTTTAAAACTGATTTTATTTTTTTAAAGTTATTTATTTTCATCCCATGAATTATTTAAAAATAATTATATTATATTTTAGAATGTTTGTACCACCTTCTCCATGTGCAGCATTGGTGACTCCATCTGTTACCATATCAACTAGATACTTTAAGTACATTGAAAAGGAGTACATTGAAAAGGTGTCAAAACATAGTTTAAGCATGCTGTTTACATATTAATCTTGGAAGTAATACGATTTTAGCCAGAGATCTTGTTTGCTACCTATATCTGGATGTAGTAAAATGATATTAAATGGAGGCCCACCATCTATCTGTACTATCCAACACTGAAACATTAACTCAAGGCACATGTTGTTGGTTAAAATAATGTTAGTTTTGTTTATTAATGATGATTAATCTTTGATTTTAAGGTATTCTTGTAACTGGTAATGTCTCCATTCCAACGGGTTATGGTCTTGTCGTCACATACCCAAATATCTTGAGCTACTTGAGAGATTAATCTGAAATCATGACTAACTAACACCATTCCTCCCGGGAAAGAATTTATCGCATCTGCCAAGGCATCGATTGATTCCATGTCCAAATGATTTGTGGGCTTGATGGGATTGGCAGTTATAAACAGATAAATGAATAGAAATGGAATAGATTAGAAGGATAAACAAGAGGAAAAGAAAATAAATTTGTTAGAGGCCTATTTTGATATATTTAACTATTTTTTCTTCTTTTTTTTTTTTTCTATACTACATACTTCATCTAATAATAAAAGGTGTGGGTTCTCTAAAGCCATAATAGCGAAAATAAGACGAGACTTGAGACCATCACTCATACAACCGATAGCTTCAGTTTGGGACTTGCCGGTGATACCGAAACGACCAATTTCACGTCTCCAATCTTCAGTTTCCTTGTTGAGGTGAGAGAACATGGAACGCATAAAGTCGAGTGGAGTGGCGGTAAGATCGAGGATTTCGTGGGAATGTTGATGGTAACGGGCAATCTTGAGATGGCCGTGCTTTTTGACTTCACCAACGGTTGGGGTGAGTTGTTGAACCATCAATTTGAGGAGGGTAGACTTTCCGGCACCATTGGGTCCGACGAGAGCAACACGAGAGTCGAGATCGATGGAGAGATCGAGGTTACGGTAGAGGACATCGGCTTCCTTGCCCGAGTATGAGAATGTGACACCACTAAACTGGAGAATGGGTGGTGCGAGTGGATTGCATGGTGGGAAGGTAAAGTTGAATCTTTTCTCTTCGACGACCTTTTCGACGAGACCGGCTTCCTCCATCTTGTCGATAATCTTTTGCTTACTCTTACCTTGACGCACCAAATTCGAGTAGGTACCGCAAGAGGCAATGAATGATTTAATGTGTGCAATATCTTCTTGTTGTTTGTTGTAGGCCTTCATTTGGTTGACCTCGAGCTCAGCCTTGGTCTTGACAAAGGTGTCATAGTTACCACCATAGTATTGGAGCTTGGATTGACGCATATGAATGATATTGGTGCACACGGTATTGAGGAAATCTTGGCTGTGAGAAATGACGACCATCGAACGGTCGTACTTGGCCAAGTATTGCTCCAACCAGACGCAGGCGCCGAGATCCAAATGGTTGGTTGGCTCGTCGAGCAACAAGAGGGTTGGCTTGATAAAGAGGGCCTTGGCAAGAGACACACGCATTCTCCAACCACCAGAAAGATCCTTGGTCTTTTTGTGCATCGACTCGGAGGTGAAACCGAGACCAATCAAGATTTCAGAGGCACGTGGAATAAAAGTGGCTGGGTCAAGACGTTCAAGACGGTCATAGATATCCAACAACTCTTCACTCTCTGGACCCTCTTCGATCAAGAGACGCTCTTCCTCGGCTTCGAGACGCTTGACTTCCTTTTCGACATCATCAATGACCGATTGCAAAGCAGTACGCTCCGATGGATGAGCCTCTTCTGACAAGTAAAAGATATCAATGTGTTCGGGGATTGGCAATTCACGAATGGCCAAACATTGCAAAAAGGTAGACTTTCCACAACCGTTTGATCCGATTAAACCATATCTTTGTCCAAAATTGATTTCTACTGTTGTATCAGTTAATAATTCTCTACCATGGAATGTTAATGTTACTTGTTCAATTTTAATCTAAAAATGAAATAGATAGAGATAGATAGATAAATAAATAATAGGTAATAGAGAAAGAAGATTGTTAAAATGGGATTGTTTTTTTTTTTTTTTTTTTTTTTCTTTCTCCTTTGCTGTTCGTTATTCGTCTTGTTTCGTTTTTTTTCTCCTTTTTACGATTTATTACTTACATCTCTCGAAGATTCCTTTGATGTTAAAGAACCAATGGCAGTGAAAGAGTTGATTCTCATCTTTTCGAATTTAGAATGAACACTCTCATCATCAGAGCCAACCTCTGGAGTGTTCTTCTTTTCCTTTTTATTGTTCTTTGGATTACCTTTTCTACCCATTTTCTATAAATGTTTTATATCTTTATATATATATCTTTTTATAAACGCGAAAAAAAAGAGAAATAGTATTATTATTATTATTCGACCGTGTGTGGTGGTAGGTAGTACAACTGTTGAAATAATAGAAAAATAATAGGATAAAAATAATTCAAAAATAAAAGAATGAGGAGTAAATTTTTTCGACCGACTACTTCAACACGTTCGAAAAAAAAAAAAAATTAATATTAATCAAAATTTATAATAACCACCGAACACACGACCGAGTGCGTCGTCCTCCCCCTCTCAAAAAAAATAAAAAAAAGAATAACCCGTTACAACGAACAACGAAACTCGACTACTCATCTCAGTTGTTTATATTAACCAACTACTTGAGTGTCTAAATCTAATTAATTAAACCAAAAGAGAGAGAGGGAGATGATTGAAACTGTATGGGTAGATTGGGATGAATGGAAAGAAATCTATCATCATCTATACTCTGATTTGATTGACAACCAAATATTGGGTTTAAAAAGAGTATGTTTTGAAAAAGTTAAAGTTATTCATACAATATATATACATACTTATTTACTTTTATATTTCTATTTCTTTTTGATTATTAGTTGGGAGCATGGAGAAGTAGAGGAGCATTACCAATAGCAGTTGAATCGACAGGTGCCATTGTAGAAGCTAGATTATACGAATCGAGGAGAAGTGAGACTGAAAATGTGTCAGTCTATAGCATGGCTTTTAATCGTCTAGTAAATGGTTTTATCGAAGGTGAAGACAATGAGAGAAAGAGATGGAAGGTTGGTAATACAAACATGTTTACTCGGGCTCAAGATGTAAACATGCCATCAGAGTTTGTAGATTTGAGACATGAAATATCTCATGGTCGATTACCATCACTATCATTACTACGTATCATGTCAAAGATGGCATTTGCATGGGTTGAAGATACCTATTGGAAAGCTCAATTAAGAAATGTTCAAGATACAACTGGTCGTGTAATAGAAATACTAGTTCAACATCGTCTTTCATTTATTGAAATGATCACCGGTGGTGGTGACGAATCATCTCTCATCATCACCAAAAAAGAAATTAAAAAGACTCTACAACAAGAATGGACAACCAAAGGTGTAATACCATTTTATGATGCATTACAAAAAGAAATGGGTGATGGAATGTTAGAAACTGTCATTGTACCACAAATCATTCAATCAATGTTATCAACAAATAATAATAATAATATTAATAATAATAATAATAATAATAATCAATCAATTGAAAATATAACAATTTATCAATGGAAACCTATACTTAGTTTATTACACCAAGATTATCCAAACTTTTATCCAACTATATTATATTTAATGACTCATCAATTATCAATATTTAAAAATACAACCAAGACATCATCATCATCATCAACTACAACAAAATCAACTAAAAAATCAAATATTAATCAAGAAGAAGATGAATCTTCAAAAAGATATATATTATTACAAAAATGGATTATTTGGATAATAGAAAATTTAATTGATTCAAGTAATAGTGAAATGACATTTAGATATCTTTTAGAGATTATTATAACCAATCATTTAAATCAATTTAATCAAATCATTTATGATTTATTAATTGAAAAGATTAAAAATCTTGATCAAACTAGTAATAATGGTATTGTTAATAATACAGCTAGTAGAAAGATAATATCAAGTTATAAACCAATATTAAAAGAATTTGATAGTCAACATCCAAAGAAATGGAGAAAGATTCAACAATGGTCTCCTTGTCCTATTGGTGCACTGCCTTGGACAATCAATTCTCAATTTGAATTCCCAAGTGAAGTGGATCAATTTAGTTTGGCAAACTTTTTTGAAATGAAAGATCAACAATACCAAACAAAAGATTATCAACTTGTAAACAATCCAGATATAATTATATCAAATATAGATAAACTTTTCCCATCAATTAGAAATAATAATAATCAAAAACAACAAGTAGAAGAAAAAAATATTACATCAACAACGACAACAACAACAACAACAATATTAAAACAACATCAACAACCACAATCACAACCTCAATCACAACAATCAAAACCAGAAAAGATAATTGATCAACTATTAAAACCAAGGAAAAATGAACCAGTATTGTTGAAACAAGAAGAGTTAATAATAGTAAAAGAGAAGTATGATAATATTGATAATAATATTGACCAAGAAACACCAAAAACTACAAAAAAAGGAACAGAAAAAAATAGATTTGCAAATAGAAAGAAACAAAAGATTGACAAGGAGGCAGCAATCAAAATACAATTGGAAAAGGAAGTTTTAGAAGAACAAATTAAATTTGAAATAGAAAAGGCTGAAAAACAACAACGACAAAAACAAATATCAAAGAAACAAATAACTAAAAAGGTCGAAGATTTATTATTTTGGAAATAATAAATTAAACAATCAAAAGAAAAGAAAAGAAATTAAATTATTAATAAATACACATTCATTCATTATTTATTATTTATATATATATATGGATGCACTCACATATTGTATTTGTATTTACCCCCATAAAGTTTATAAAGAATATGTTCATGCCATCTTTGCTAAACCCCAATTCTTTCAATCACCACAACAAACAACCCTCGCGCAAAAAAAAATGGGGGAAATGGAAAAACATGCCAACAACACGTAAGATTGGCTCATTTATATTGCCAATCGATTGATGTGAAACAACAATAATAATAATACATTAAAATAATTGTTTGATCGTGGTAGATGTGAGAGTGAGAGGAGAGGAGAGAGAGTAGCGACTGGTATTTTGATTTAATTGATTGATTGATTAATCAATGTGTATTATTATTATTATTATTATTATTATTATAATTGATTAAAAGAGTAGAAGACAACTAAACTAAAAAATTGTCGAGTTTACACACAAAAGTTATTTTTATACTCACACAACAACCAACAAAAAAAGTAAAACTACATAATCAAACAAGAAAAATAGCTGGGTTATACTAATTTTCAATTATATCATAAATTATTATTATTATATTATAATATATATTAATTTACCATTTTCCAAAAAAAAAAAAAAAATTGAAAAAAAAGAAAAATGAAACTGTTCTCTTTGGCTTTGAAAAATAATAATCATTATATAATAATAATAATACTATTACTATTAGTTTATTTAACAAATATAAGTAATTGTACAATTAGAGAATGGACTGATACAAGTCTTGAAAAGACTGGTAACTTTTTAAATCAGTCTAGATGGGAACCAAGTGGTATCCCATCAATTTCTGATGTCATATCAATTGCTTCAAACAATAGTATAGTCAATGTCAATTCATCTACATCGATTGGGTCACTTGTTATCGGATCACTGATCAGTCCTTCCAATACTACCTTTAACATTCAAAGTCCGGCTCATTTTACAGTTGCCTCTAATGTATCGGTTAGCTTTGGTTCTTCAATGACAATGGATGCATCTCAACTCAATACCCCATTCTTAAATATTGATGGTTTAGTCTCTTTAAAAGCTTCAAATATCAATTCAACTTTGATTAATATTAAAGGTGTAATGAATACTTTAGGTAAGCACATGTACAAACAAACTTTATACTCAAAGACACATTGATATTAACTACTTGTTACTTGGTTTATTATATAGAGGGAGCATCAAATATTGGATCTGTGAATATTTATCCAAATGGTTTATTTTCATCTACATTTTCATCAATTAAAGTACAAGGATCATTCGAAGTATCAGGGTCAGTTGATGGATTGTACACAGATCTAGTATTAGAGGAAGCATTGGATCGTTCAACTTTATTAAATCAAAAGTCTAAAATAATAATGACAGAGAGTTCAATCATTTGTAATCAAACTTTAACCCTAAAGAATGGTTCATCCATTCAAATTGATGGAAACTCTTTCTTTTATAGTTATTATCCTACAACTCTTTTTGGTAATTCAACCATATTCTCTACAAATATAGGAATCATTTCACTCGTTTCAAATTTAACTTTATTTGTAAATATAAAACAAATATAAAATAGAATATAATCATTCTTACTTTCTTTTTCCTTTTTCTTTTATTTTCTCCTAGGATCAATCAATTGTAAGAGCAAATAGTGGTGGATTAGAATTATTGGATGGTGATATTATGATACATGGTAGATCAGGGATTATAGCAGGTAATGGATCATATTTGAGTTTTGAAAATTCAATCATTACAATGTATGACAATGCAACTGTCACCGCTTCAAATAGTCAATTCAACATTTTGAATGGTACATTTACTCTGCATGATCGTAGTTATTTATTATTGAGAGATTCAAGTAGTCTTTTGATCAATAGTGAAACCGAGACTTCATTTGTAACACGTGACCAATCTTTTTGTGATATCAGAGGTGATAGTAGAGTTGTTTTGACTGGTAAAATGGAAATGATGGATAGTAGTAATATATATCTACACTATTCCTCCTTTTTAATTATAAATGGTACTTTAAAACATCATGACAACTCTTTTCTCAATTCAATTGATTCTCACAGTCAAGTCATTGGTGCTCTTTATTTGGATGGTAATGCCAAAGTAGTTTTAAATAATTCTACTCTATCTTTAGAGGGTAGTATGGAAATGTTGGAACAATCATTTATCGTAATGAATAATTCTGCATCCCTCCAAGTAAATGGTGGTTCTCTATCAATTAATTCTTCAATATCTTGTAAAGATTCTAATATTATTGTTAATACTGGTGATTTAATTTCTTCTGTAAGAAAAAGAAAAAGAAAAAGAAGTATATAATTATTTATTTTAATTTATTAATTTTAATTTTATTTTAGAATGGACCAATAACAATTAATAATTCAATTATTGAAACTAGTGGAAATGGTAGAATGATTTGGAATGGTGTAACAAATATAAAAGATTCTACTATTAAAAGTGGATCACGATTATTGTCTATTAGTGGATCAATAGTCGGTGAGAATCTAACCATTATTCACAGTGGGACTGATTTTAAAGTTGAAAGAAACGGTCAATTTATTTGTAATCATTGTACAATTCATCTAGCTACTGGTGCCTTCACATATGACCTCAACTCTACAGTCATACTAAACAAAACAATCATCTTTAATTTAAATTCCTCATCTTTTAATCCATTGGGTCAATCAATCTATACTTCTATTGGTAGTGGTATATCAAATAGTGGTATAATTAATTTATCTTCAAATATTTTAAAATTATCTAATAATAGTAATAATAATAATAATAATAATAGTAGTAATATTGATAATTTATCAGAACCATTTTTAAATAATACAGAGGGTGGACAATGGACATTTAAATCAAATAATAATAATAATAATAATAATGATAACTCTTCAACAATTCAAGTAGAAATTAAATTTAATAATAATCAAGGACAAGTATCAATTGGTAATTCAACGATTGTAGTATTTATTACATTTAATCAATCAAATGGTACATTATTTTTAAATGGTGGATCAATGGTATCAAATGAACCAATTGAATTACATGGTGGACAATTACATGGAAATGGTAAAATCAATGGAACCGTCGATAACAAAGCAGCTACTCTTGGACAAGATAATTCCTATAGTCGTTTTACAATTAATGGAAATTATACTCAATCTTCAAATGGTACTCTTTTTATTGATATTAATCAAAATTCAAATTCAAATGGTAAATAGAAATAGAAATAGAAAATAATAGAAAATATAAGATATATGTTCATTAATATTTATCTCTCTCTATTTTTTAGTAAATATAACAAATGAAACAAAATTGGATGGAAATTTAATAGTTAGAATTGATAGAAAAGTATTGAATGGTACAGAAGTTGTATTTTTGCAATCTGGTCAAAAGATACAAGGAGATTTTAATAAGATCAAGGTATTGGTATACGATCCAGAGACTGGAGAGGAAGATGATAATCCTCCATGTCAATATAAAGCTCAGAAAAGGGAAAACAAATATTCAATGTTGGTAACAATGTGCCAAGACGAGCAATCCAAGATACCAGTTCCCATCATCATCGGTGTTGTCATGGGTATCACAGCCATCGGTATTGCTACAGCCACTCTAATCTATTTTAGAGGTAAAATTCATCGTAGACTTCAATACTATAATGAAAATAGAAAATCAAAGAGAAATCTTACCTACTAAAAATGTGTAAAAATAAATAAAAGTAAAATAAAATAAAAATTTTTGGGTGATGCAACTTCAAGAAGTTCGATGATCATAATTGACATAGATAGATAGATATCTCGTGTGTATTATTGTTATATAATATATAAAGAAAGAAAGAAAGAGAATGTCGACAGCATCAACAGAAGGACATGTTAATCCTTATAAAGTATTATACAATCAAGATATAAAGAGTGCTTCAAATATACCAACTGTTTCATTCATTGTATGTTTGTAGTGTAAAGAGAGAGAAAGATAGAGATAGACAAATAGATAGAAAAGAAGACTAACAATGATATGAATTTAAAGGAAAACGTTGATGAATACTTAAAAGATAAGGAATTAGAAACAGTTTTTAAACAATTACAAGAAGGTTACAACAAATATAAATACTTTGAATCAAAACTTACAAACAATGTATCGATTTTGACAAACAGATCAAAACAATTACAAGAGACTATAAAGATTATTGATACAATGGAAACTAAACAAGTAAGAAATGAAAGAGATATAGAAAAAAAGAAAGACAAAACGAACATACACAATATTAATCCATTTTTATTTGATTGATTTGTAGGAAGATACATTTACAATGAATTATGAATTATCAGAAGGAGTATTCTCATCTGCAGAAATCTCTAAACCAAAATCAGTTTATTTATGGTTAGGTGCCAACATTATGTTGGAGTATTCTTTTGATGAGGCAAAGCAAGTACTTGCCAAGAACCTCAGTTCAGTAGAAAAACAACTTAGCGACACTATTCAAGATCTTGGTTTTGTTAAAGATCAAATCACTACCACCGATGTCAACGTATCACGTGTTTACAATTACGATGTCATTCAACGCCGTAAGAAACCTGTTGGAGCTCCAAAGGAAGAGGAAAAATAAATACATCAACACAATATAATAGTAAATCAACAACAACAACAAAAAAAAGAGAGGGAGAGAGAGAGATAGAAAGAAAAAAAGGGAGGGAGTTCTCGGATAACATTTAATTTGAATGTTTATTATTATATTATTATTTAGAGTAAAGAAAAAAAAAGGATGACAAAGGTAGGGGGAGGTTGGGGAGGGAGGGAGGAGGATAGTTGGAAAGATTAGATAATTCGATTTACCATTTTGGATTGGGAAAATTTAATTGGTTGAAAAAAAGGTAACTTCTACATCAATGAAGAAGAAGAAGAAAAGGTAGGTAGGTAGGTAGGAAGGATGCTGGATCTTTTTTGGTATTTTTTTTTTTTTTGGTTAAGTTATATACAACAGGTTTAAAACGAATATGGTCGGCTCTAACTAACTCTTTCTTTTTCTTCTATCCATTTTAGAGAGAGAGATTGTTGTTGTTGAGAGGGAAAAAAGGAAATATTTAAATTCCATTTTGATGATTTAAATAATGGTAGTAGTAGTAATAATAAGGACTTAATAGAGTTTAAGTAGCACCATAGAACCTTCTGGCGATTGGGACCTTTCTTCCATATCCATGACTACCTGGAATGATTGCCGATGTTGTATTTATGGATAATAATGTTCCATTATTATTATTATTATTATTAATATTATTGATATCAAATTCTAAACTATATCTACTACTATAGTTATTTGAACAAATAGATTTTAAACAACCTATTTAGAATAATAATTATTTATTAGAATATTAATATTATTATTTCTATTTTATTTATTTAATTTTTTCCCAAACATACCAAATAGGGTCATTTCTGTAAATACCTTACTAATATAATATAATATAATTATTAGGAACAAAGAAAAAAAGGAAGGTTTTAAACTTGTATGTATAATATATAAATATTTATAAATATATATTTATATTTGAAAGTTATTATTATTACTACTCTATTTTTTTTTTAAAATTACAAATTACCAAACAATACAAAAACAATAGAGGATGAATTAATTGATTGATACAATTAAGTTAAAAATATTAATAATAATAATAATAATATTTTAATTTAAGCTGCCGACTTGTGTGTATCTATTATTACGAACAAAAAAAACAAAACAACAATGATGATTGGATTGATGAAATGCAACTTAGGGGACAGGAACAACACCAATGCCACAAACCCAACAACCATTCAACTCAAAGTTGACTACAACGACAAACAAGCCAATTTGACGGAATGAATTCATTCGATTGGATTGATTGGATAGTTGATGGCAGTGTGATGGTGGTGAATGGAAGAAAATGGAATAAGTATTTGTTGCTTTGGGTAAAAGATGACACATATCAAGATATGTAAAGATGACTGAAAAGATAAAGTATCAATTTTTATTACATTGACCACACTCTCATGGTTAATAATAATAATAATAATAATTGATTGATTGATTGATAATTATGAATCAATTCAATTTTGAATCAACCAACCAATTAAAAACATCCTGGAATATTTAAAGATTATTTTTCAATCTAGATTTAAATATATATGATTAATCACACTTTGATTTTTTTTTAAATCACTAAACTAAATTTATATGTTTGTGTGTGTGTGTGAATGAATATCAATCAAATAATTCCTCCCAATTCCTTCTTTATAATTGTTTACTCATCAAAAAAATATATATCCAAATCATTTTTATTAATTAAATTATTATTGTTTCAATTTTTGCATTCATTCAAGACATATACATGTTTGATCGATTTTTAATAACATTTATATTTTTAATAAAAAAAAGAAAGAGAGAGAGAGCAGTTTTAAAGAGTGTTAAACAGAGAGAGGGGTATTAATATACACACACAATGGTGACGCATCACAATGAAATATATAAAAGGGTGTGATTGTGTAAAAGTTGGGTGTCTTTAGCCAATTGGGTCCCACTCTATGAAGTTAAAAGTTTCAAACTGCAACAGACAGATCAGATTAATTTAATTTAATTGTTTAATTTGTTATATTAGTTATCTTTTGAAGAGATAGATAGATAGATAGATACATTTCAATCGAATTATATACTAAAAAGATGGAATCAATTCAACAACAAAGAAAAGTATTGATAACAGGATCATCAGGATTTATTGGAAAGGCATTGATGAATAGATTGAATCAATTGGGTGGATTTGAAATCTATACAATGGTGCGTAGGGTACCGACGTCGGCACGACAAGTACAGTGGGATCCAGAGAGATCGACCATCGATGAGCAAGCCATCACAAACATTCAACCCGACATTGTGGTACACTTGGCAGGCGAGAATATAAAGGGGTTTTGGACAGAAGACAAGAAACGTCGTATATTGGAGAGCAGAACTAAAGGTACCAAGCTACTATGTGACACACTTGCATCGATGAGTAATCCACCATCGGTCTTTATCAGTGCGTCTGGTTGCACATACTATGGTACATCAGTTACAATGCCAGTTGATGAAAGTGGTGCCAAGGGTATAGGTTTCTTCCCCGATGTCGTAGACAAGTGGGAAAGCTCGGCCGACTCTCTTCAAGGTCGTTCGAGGGTCTCCTTTCTCCGACTTGGTATCGTGCTTGATGTGTCGGGTGGATTCCTCCAACTGCTCTACTACCCCTTTTACTTTGGTCTGGGTGGCGTTGTTGGCAGCGGTGACCAGTGGTTGCCGTGGGTCAGTCTCGACGACACCCTCGCATCCATCGTCCACCTTATCAACACGGAGCAGTGTTCTGGTCCATTCAACATTGTGTCACCCAATCCAGTCACCAACTTCACCTTTACCAAGACAATGGGCAAGGTTTTGAACCGACCGACCGTCTGCTGGATACCCGCCATTCTCCTCACCTTTGCATTGGGTAAAGAAATGGCCAATGAAACAGCTCTAAGCAGTCAACGAGTCATCCCTACAAAGTTAATAGATACAGGTTACAAGTTCATAGACAGTCATTTAGAATCTACTTTAATCAAACAATTTAATAGTAGTACTTCAAATCAAGCAACTATTTCATACTCTTAAAGAAATTAGAAATAAATAATAAATGAATAGGTGTATGCATATATACGTGTTGTCGGGACCACATCAAACATCCCCTCATTAAATAAAAATGTTTTGGGAAAAACCCATACAAAACCATCGCTCGCTTGTTGGCATTCACACCCTGGGTGTTTGCTCTCACTACCACCCGATCATAGCTTGCTATAATACATTATTTTAATTTTTTAACATTATTATTATTAAAAAAAACAAAAGAGGTGTGTGTTTACTTTTATAAAAGTAAAGGAGAACAAAGAAGCTTACTTCACATGTAAAGAAGAAGTTGGAGAGAGATAAAAAAAGAGAGAGAGAGAAATGACAGAAATACATAAAATATCATATGAAAATTTAACAAGTTGGGACAAGATCACACCATTTAGTAATAGTGAAAATGATGAAGATGATATCATAAGTAATAATAGTAGTAGTAATAATAGTAGTGATGAAGCAGCTATTATTGAAAAGTTGACAATCGGAGAACAATTTGGTAACAATCAATATTTGATCAATGGAAAGGATACGAGTGGTTTGTATAACACCGATTCAATTGGAAAGATGGACAAGGTTGTACACGAGACGGCGCCATTTCCCATCGACCACATGATCAATGAAAAGATTATATTTTGGATTGGAGATGTCTGGCGACTCGATACCGATGCTATCATCTATCCAAACAATACACATTTATCGGATCGTGATGGTATCTGTGGTCCCATCTTTTACTATGGTGGTCGAGAGATTATCAATGATATCAAATTGCAGAATGGGTCAGAGTGTCGTATTGGGGAGTCGATCGTGACTGGTGCTGGAAAGCTACCTGCTCGTTTTGTCATCCATTCCAATTGTCCAACCTTTAATCCCAAGTATTTGACGGCTGCAGAGAATGCACTAAACTCTTGCTACCGCTCGTCTTTGGAAATTGCCACTGAACACAATCTCAAGACGCTTGGCTTGGCATGCATACACAATGACACCAAACATTTCCCACCTGTTCTTGGTGCACACATTGCTCTGCGTACCATCCGTCGTTACCTCGAACGATATGGTCAGAAAATCGACAAGATTGTTTTGTCGCTTGTAAATATCATAGACATTGAGATCTACAAAAAGATCCTACCAATGTACTTTCCTCGTACCACTGACGAACTAGAATTCCAACAAAGAAATCTTCCCAAAGAACATGGTGACAAGAATGGAGAATTGGTTTCAGAAGATAGAAAAATTAGAATCAAATCACTTTTTAGAAATTTCGATGATGATTACATTGAACAAGAAGATGAAATTAATGATTTTAATCCATTTTCAAATAATAACAATAATAATAATAATTATGGTAGTAGTGATGAAAGTAGTGATGATAGTTTTATTTCAAAAAAAGATGATCCAGATGTTTTAAAAAAGAAAAAAAAAGTTATAGGTAAGAAAAAAAAGAAAAAGAAAGAAAAAAGAAAAAAAAAAAAAGAAAAGAAAAATATTTCTAATACCTTTATTTTTTTTTATTGTAGTAGAAGAAATTGATAATCCAATTCAATCAAGATTTAAATATTATTTAAATTTATCAAAATCTGATGATTTTTCAACTTTGGAAAATTCAAACTTTATGTTTAAAACAATGGATTCAACAACAGGTAGACCCATTATAGTTATTATTGGATCAAATTTGGAAAAGAAAGATATTCATCTAGATCTCATACACGCCTACTTTATCAAAACACTAGAAACTTTATACAATGCAAGCACCGCTTCTTATCAACCATTTTCAATTATTTATTTCCATTCTGGAACTTCAAAAAGACCATTACCTGAAATCATTTGGTTCAAAACTGTTTTGGAAATTTTTGAATATAGATATTCAAAATATTTAACAACATTTAATGTTGTTCATCCATCATTCTTTTTAAAGGCCTCCTTTTTAGTTTTAAAGGCATTTTCTATTGATGTGATGGATAAATTAGTCTATCATGATAATCTAAACAACCTAAAATCAACAGTTTCTAAATTAAATCTTCCAAAAGCAATCTTTGCATCTGAAATCAAACGTAATGATATATCAGATTATGCTTTTGTTCAAGAAGATGATAATTGTTTATAAACAATTATTAAAAACCAACAAAGAAAACCAACACCAACACCCAACAAACAAGAAAAACTATGCGAGTTAAAATAATCATTGACAATTGAATTAATTTGTTATATATAATAATGAATAATTAATAATAATAATGGTTAAAATATATATATATGGAATCATTTTTAATAAATAAATAAATTATTAAATTTAAAAATAATCAATTCTATTTTATTATTATTGATTGGTGGATGGATGATTTACAGTGGTTTTTTTATATACAAAAAATATTTAAATGGTTCTATACAATTATTATTATTATTATTATTTACTCTATTATTATTTAATTGAATTCGTCGGTCAATGTATGTTCTATTTACAATGATCATTTTGTTTTTAGGGATTGTTGTAAATTAAAAAAAAAGATGTTCTCCTTTTTTTTTTTCATTATCCATGATAAAAGTAAAAAGGTTGGTGAGGGATGAATGAGGTGTATACTTTGAGATACAACACTCACTATGTTTTGTTCAAAAGTGATTCTTTACGATCGTGATTACTCTTTTGAATGATTTTTAATCAAAATCAGATATCTTTACAATCTTTTCCTTTTCTAAAATAAACTTTCCAACTTTATACTTTTGTGAATCTTCTTTGGCAAACTCCTAAAAATCATTAAAGTTAATAAAATTGTTGTATATTATATTATTCACATTATTATAGATCGATCAATCCATACATATTTCCAACCAAGTAATTGATTACATTGAACACAATAAATGTCAGCCACTACATGCATTCCAGTTGTCAGATTTCTATCTTCACTTTCTCCAACTACAACATTTATACTAAAAGGAAGGTCAATATCATAGGTTTTACTATTTAATATATATCTTTGTATTAGTATACAAACCATTCATTAAATAAATAAGCAGCACCATAACGACCTTGAAAAGCTTTACTGATCAATTGTTCGTGTAAAGTTAAATGTACATGACATCCATTACAACAATATATACTCCCCCCTGAATAATACGACATGAATAATTTACCCATGATCGTATAAACCTATGAATCTTTAATATATACAATATAGAACTATATAGATGATGGTAATAATGTTTCTTTTCTTTTCTTTTCTTTTCTTTTGTTCACAGCATGCTATAGGATTATTCCTTCCTTTTTGATCTAATTGTTAAAATCGCCCTGTTAAAAGCTGACACTACTATAGTAACAATACTATTATCTTGTCCTTCTCGTTCTTCTTGTTCTTTATAAATCTAAAATACAGATAAAATAACAACAATATATAAAAGAGCTCTGTGATTTGAGCTTTTATTTTAAAATGAGGAAAAAAGTGTGTCAAATTTTTTGATTTTTTTTTGAAAGAATTTTTTGGAAAGAAATGTTTTTTTGAATTAATTATAAGGTCTTGGTATAATTTCTATATGATTTAACTTACAAGATATTTGCGCAATTAGAGTAAATAACTGCGACTTCCCATATTTATACAGGGTAACCCTATTAAAGAAAACTAGGATACATACCCTACCTGCCAAGGTGTAAGACATCAGCGGGTAAGGAACGGTATATCCAAGGGCGATAACCTGCTTTGGTCTGGTGTAATATTCCCAAAAGGAGAATATTTTTTGCAGCACTCGTATCTCTGTTGAAGAACCTGTTGCAGACTGGACAAAAAAGCCATTTCCATTGAGTTTGAAATGGCATATCCAATCCCGGGTACTTTGACTTCCAGAGAGCTTTTATTTGAGTGTAACAAAGTGACTTACCAAACTCATAGTCGTGGGTCGGAGCAGAGTTGTTTGTAAACTTGTTCCCATCCTCTTGACTATGGCCAATATTTTCTTGAATATTATTACTATTAGTTTTTTTTTGCTTTTCAAAATTAAACTTTATGATCAAGTTTATAATTTTGTCCTTGGTTACATTATTATTATTATTATTATTATTATTATTATTATTATTATTATTATTATTATTATTATTATTATTATTATTATTATTATTATTATTATTCTTTTTTTTCTTTTTAATTATATTAGTAATTTTTTTTTTTTTTCTCTTTTTACCTGTTTTTTTTTGATTTTCCTTTGACTCTTCATCATCTTCTTCTTCTTCTTCATCATCTTCATCATCTTCATCTTCTTCATTTTCTTTATCATTGTAATCGATTTTGTTCTCATTACAAAAGACTATCAACTCTTTTTTAGTCTTTTGGTTTAGAGAGTAAAGTGACTCCAATGGCAAAGTATGAGAAGGTGAACCCTTTTCGAGGGTTATGAATGTTTCCAGAGAACTATTGATATCTTTTGCCAAATCACCATTGGCGCACTGACAATCGTACTTTTTGCAAGCACATTTGCCACATTTTTCATCTTTTTTAAAGTTGCATTCCCAATGTACACCATTATCTGAAATAGGGGGGGTCGCAACAACAAGGGTCTTTTCAAGAGATTCAGGTAACTGTTTGTTTTCAATCTTTTGATGTTTAATTTTGTCTTTAAACATTTCGTTGTTGGTAAGATGAATGCTAGCGGCACATGCATTATGAATCTTGGAAAAAAAATATTATTAATGAATGGTTTCATTTGTGAGTGATGAGAATAAACACATACTTTGGAGGTATTAAATTCATTTACCATAAGAGCCTTGTATCCCATATTCTTCCAAAGACGGTAAAAAGACTTTGGACCAAGACCAGTTGGTCCACCACCCCGAGAGGAACGGTAAAAATCAGAACCACCAATACCTATAGAGGATTAGAAAAAAAAAGATTAATAAAATAAATATATATAAATATGATAAATGACATACAAATAACAGTTTTGTTTTTGGGTATTGTTGTGGGTGGCACAAATCGCTTTGCATAAGCATAGCGGGCACGCTGATTGTCAATGTGTTTATTCTTGTCCATGGTCTGGAACGTATAGGAGGTGACCACCTGGACATAGAGACGACATTGATGTTGGCATGTAACCCTTTCATACTCGATTCGCTTCATTACCGATTCTAGACTGAACAAAGTTTCTAAAAGATAAAAAAAATAAAAAGTTTAGTTTAACAATAATACAATGATTTTAAAAAGTATTACACATACCAAAGGTGTTGTATTCTGGCAACCCTCTTTCAAATGATTTCAAGGGCATTTTGTACTTTTCTATCATCGCACAAAGACGGCTAGTCTTCATCAGGTTGTAGAGCGTTGCTACAGAAACCACTCTGGCGCGGTTCAGAGAGTCGACGATCGTGTTTTTTGACCTTCCAGGATCAATGCCAACAAAAAGATATTTGGAACTGATGGCTTGTCGAATTGATCTCCATTGATACCGACGTTTTTTACACATACCAGGATGGTAAAAATTTCTCTTGGCCCTTCTATTTTCATATAATGGTACTCCATCATCATCTTGAATATTTTTTATAAAGGATGAGTCAGGTACAGATGGGGCCGTAGGTGTTGATCCAGATGGGGCAGGTACAGATGAGTCAGGTACAGATGGGGCTGGTACAGATGAGTCAGGTACAGATGGGGCTGGTACAGATGGAGCCGTAGGTAGTTTTTCGGAGTATGATTTTAACACTTTTACCAATATTTTTAATTTGGTGGTGAACCAATCGTCCTGTATAGAAATTTGATTGTCTCTAGCCCAAATTAAGAGTTCCAACTTGCTTTTGTTTGGGTCAAAAGATTTATCAGTTGATACTTCACACTCGCCGAGGGTTGCTTTCCATAAAGCCAATTTTATCGAATACGGATCTTCTTCTGCTTGAACAGTGATGTCGTAGGCCTTTGCTTGTTCCAATAGTGCTGCTTGATCAAATTTGGTAAACATGTTAAGTGATTTACCATTAACGAGACCCAATTTTTTTGTATTGTTCAGACCAGTCGAGGTTGATGTGAGAGGTATGCCAACAGATGATGAAGTTGTTGTGAGACCAGATGACGACGAGGAAGATGATGGCTCCGACGAGGAAGATACAGCAGAGGTGGTTGATGCAAATGTTTTAATTTTATCAAACATTGACACTTTTGGTTTGAGCTCGTAAACTGAATGAGCAATCGTAATGTATGCAGCGATTAAATGAGTTGCCAACATTACTGATGGGTGATGAGCCATTGCGATGAGTCTTTTCCCTTTGACTTTAAATGTATCACATATGTTGTCATAGGAGTTTTGACTATAATCAACAATTTCATAGTCTTTCTTATTCACCTCGTAAGCAGCTTTGGCAGCTTTACATGCAACATGACCACAAATGATGATGACTTTAGAAGTTGTTGATTCAAATTGCTTCTTTAGTTCTTCTGCCATTTCTTTTTCCTTTGGTTCGTCTTCAAAGCCACCTGCAGAAGAGTCGCGAACGCTGGTAAATGCGTCACGAATACGAAACGACATCGAGGGATCGGATGTTGCATTGATTACATTGGCCAAGTTTCGCATGGTTGGGGCAATTCCTGAACGGTCAGAGTTGAGAGCAATCGAAGTGGTGTTGAGTGGCTCGTGAAGAAATATTTCGACATGTGGTGAATCTGTCGAGATATATTCACGCAATATGCGATCTACTTGTGAGATGGCTGGCTTCACAGGTGGACAAGAGTCAGAGGAATGGACGAGTTTTTCCGATGCAGCTTTTTTGAGCGATGGGTCTACATTGTACAAGTTGGAAAAGTTACCACACGTTTCTTTCCTTTTTTCATGTTCGGAAAGAATGGGTATCTGAATGTTACAAAGAGGCGTTGGGCATTGAATTGGCAAACATTCGCTATTGAGAGTGTGGGACACAAGACAGTGGGCACAAGTGATTTTTCTAATCTCTTTGGTGACACTTGGTTTCAATCCAACTTGTTGTGCAATATAACAGGGAAAATGGGGGTGATTAGGTGACATCTTAGCCTTGTCTGTTTCCACTACAGTGCATTTCAGAGGATAAGAAATAATATCAGTGGAGGGAGTGGAATCCTCTGACATGGGTACATGTTCATTTGGTTCTTCGAGATTCTTTTGTTTTTTCCAAGGAATACATGGGGTTTCGAGATCAACCGATGGGCTGAAACCACGTTTCGACGTATTTTGAATATCGATTAGCATTTTGTCAACAGCAACTATATAAAGAAAAATTGAATATTAGTAAACCAGAGAATAAATATATACTTTAATATTGTTAAATTACCTTTTTCTCGAAATGAAACAGGGCCGGGGGTGTTTTTCGTTATCATCATCACCCTCTGGTTGATTCTAATTGAAACGTTTTGAAGGTAAATGTAACCGATCTTATCCTTTACATAATCGTTAAAGTTGATATGGACAGTGGGGGGATTCTTCTTATCAAAAACTGGATCGGGTTTTGGCAGAGGAGAGACCAGGTAATCCACCAACAAGGATTTGTCGACATGACCAGATGTGTAGTATTGAAAAAGTCCAGACTGTGGCAAAGGTTTTGGCCTCCATATCGGTTGGTTTGTCAGTTTACTGATTGAAATGTTTTTTGCTTCTAGCTGAACTTTCAATTCTTTTTTTAGTAATGGCAACGATGTTGAGTACCAACCGTCTTTGATTTCAATGTTGTTATCACGCAACCATGTTAAAATCTCCATCTTGTTGGGTGACCGATTATAATCAAAATCTACAATATTCAATTCTGGACGATTTTTAAGCATATCTTTCCATAATACCAATTTAACCAATGCTATTTTATCTTCTTCTTCTTCCTTTTTTGGTGTATCGGTATCAAAGTTGATCCCTCGAGCTTTTAATTGTTGACAAAGGTCATCCCAAACCAATCCTTTGAAGTTGTGAAATGTATCAGATTTTTCACCCAATATTCTCACATTCGATTTTGACGACCCTCTTGACGATACAACAGGCGAGGGGGATGGTGGTGATACAACAGGCGATGGGGATGGTGGTGATAGATCAGGCGAGGGAGATTTTGATAAATCAATGAGATGATCGATTTCCTTGTCAAAAAATGAATATCTGCTTAATGGATAGCCACCACTCAACGGATGGCCAAGTACATTTTCTAGGTTGGGAAAGATGGTCTGGAGATATTTGTTAATCTTGTCCTTGGAAGTGAGCGTAATGGTTCTATCAATGCCAGAGTTTTTAAGGATGTTTACAAACAATTTTAACGAAAAAGGAATCAGAGTACTATTAAATCTAAAAGTTATATATATTAGTTTACAATACAAAAAAATATATATCTATTTTTTTTTTTAAAAAGTTTATAACATACCCATATTGAGGAACCAGGCATTTGATTCTTATTTCTTTGGTTCTTATCCTCTCGAAATCGGAGGTTTGAAGATTCTCCAATTTCTCCTTGTGATTGGATGCATTGGATTCTTTGGGGAATTCGTATCCAATAGTTTTCCAAAAATCAATCAAAGATTCGAATTGTTTTGTTGTCAATTTTGACAAATCCACCTTTTCTTTGTCGAGACTATAGAGAATAAAAAAAAATGAATTAATTAGTGTGTGAAGTATAATGAATATATAGATAAAAAATTAATTACCAAATGACATTTTCGAGATTGAATAATTTCAATCGATTCAATTGATCTTTATCCAAGCTGGACCAGCTGCTCTTTGGGGAGACAGAGCTATCGATTAATTCCTTCAAACGTTTGGACGTTTCAGATAACATCCTCTCATTGACTTGGGGTAAACCATCATTTGTTGGAATGATACCCGCATCCAAGCGCAATGCTGTCTCAGCCAATTCTTTAATGGTAATAATTTTACCATCAATGTTGATTTTGCTAAAATCGGCCATTTCATTTTCAAGGTCATAATTCTTTTTTGACTTCTTTCCACGAGCCTGCTTCTTTTCCCTCTCTTGTTCCTTTTCTCTTTCTTCGAGGTTCTTTTTTCCTTTTGCAATACATCTCAAGTTGTGGTCTAATAGAATAAATAAAAGAAGAACAGAGGGTTAAAAAAAACTTTCTTTTTTAATAATAATTGATAGAGATCCTATCTTAGATATTTACCTTTGAGTTGTTGAGAGTCACAAATTAGTTTGATAGCCTCGATGGCCTCACCGATATCATTACCACCACCATTCAACTTGTCCAGTATTCCTTGCAAGAGTTCACATACTTCATATGAAAGGAGTAGATAGATTCTACGATCGTGTATATAATCTTTGAGACTGGTTAAATGGCGTTTGAACGTTTCCACTGTTTCCGCCAAAAATTGAGTTTCAATGGAATTTGAAAACTCTGTCAAATATGAATGGCATGTTCCGATTGGAGCCAAATCTGAATCTTTGAGGGCGTTGCGGATCTTTTGATTTTCCGTCAATCTCTGGACATTTAGTTTAGAGAATGTTTTAGAAACCATTTCTAATATAGCTTTAGCCTTTTCCTCGTCTTTACTTGATATCTAAAAAAAAAAAAAAAAAAAAAAAAAAAAAAAAAAATTAATTAAAACAAGATATCTATGAGTATATCATTGTATAGTCACAACGTACATATTTCTTTGGTAAAGAACTACTACTTCGTTCTTCCACTTGGGTTACTTTACATAACACGGCGTCAATTAATGCTTTTCCAATTGACAGTGGTCCACTCAAACATTTATCTATGTCTTTCATCATTTCATCTTTTTCTATCTTGTTCAATCCAGTGGTATCATAGTACTTGGTGAGTGCATTTTTGAAGTCCTGCTTGTCTCCACTAAATACTAAAAATGGTAAATATAGAAAAAGAGAGAAAAAAATAAATTAATTAATATCCCTTTCAACCGTTGGGGTGATGTTGATACACATGCATACCATTGGAGTTGCAAATGATTGTAGCGTGTGATAGTTGTGCCGTGATGCGACAGGTGGAGTAATACTGGCGGGTGTATTGGCCTAGATGTTTCATAAATGTACTCTGGGTTTTATTCCATCTTTTTCCCATGACCGAATCGAGTGGGTTTTGTGTCGTCCGTGTTAGTGTATACGTTGGATATGGAAGAGGACCCTTTTCGAATGGATTGTCTTGCACTTTGGTGGCCATGGTGGTAACGATCTTGAGAGGGGACCCCAGTGGTGGCGCTACAAGAGACTGCTCTGAAGATAACTTGAGTAAATAGTAAAATGAGATACTGTAATGTAATTAAACTTTGATAAAATAAAATAGATAAAGGGATGGAGATAAATATTGAGAGAAGTTAAAAAATAATAATGAAATGAAGAGCCCAAATTTGTGTGATTTAAATAGAGATCGCATTGAAGATCAAAAAAAAAAAATTAATTTAAAAAATATCTTTCTTGGAAACAATAAACCTTCACCGTAACGATCGATGCTTATTTATAGATTTATTTATATATTGATATTTATGAATGATCAATAAATTTTATCAATATTATAGATATATTTTTATCTTTATTTTAAGCATATAAATCATGAGTACAGCAACCCAAACTATCACTGCATCTCCAGCAGCAGTAGCAACAACAACAACAATCACAACACCACCAACAGGAGCATTCTTTCAACCATTCATTGGCAATCGCGTTAAACCAACATACCCATTAAGACAAGTTCAACGCATTAGAAAACAAATATCATCTACGTTAAATAGACATACAGGTGGCGACCAAGAACTACAATCAGAGGTTCTAAGAAGTTTCAGCATATCTAAACATGGAAGAGGTATCAAGATGTTGCTCGATCCCAAAGGAGAAAAGATCTACAACGATGGTACAGTTTTTATGGCTACAAGAGATTATAGTTGTCTCAACATCATTAGAAAGATGCACAAGGAAGCAAAAGATGGGAAAAAGAATCATTTTACAAAAACACAGTAAGTTGCATTTATCACATCAAATACCTCTTCTTTCAACCTCCCATATAAATTAGTATGGATGTTCAAACCACACTACTGAGTGTCTCATCAAGTAATACAGGATTGTGTATATATTATATTTAAAATTACGAGTTCATTTATACTAATTCCTTTCTTTAAAAGAATATTATCATCGGTATCACCTTTTCATACTGCCACAACTAAGAGATTTTGGTTTCAAAATGATTTGAATGTGTATTGAATATATTTTTGTTATTTAATACCTATTTCAATTATCGAGCCAATGCCAAATTTGAAATGATAGGTATGTCAATTACTACAAGTTAAATATTTTATAGTTAATAGGATATACTCACCAATTCATTCTTTAAAGATAGTTTGTGGTTGTAATATTAGTTCAACTATATTTATCTAAAGGTTACAGTGAACCTTTTCAAACCTATTTATATATGGAACTCCAAATGACGAGTCAATTATTATACGTTGATTTCAATGATCTATAGTGGTCCAATATATATACATATTTTTTGATAGTAGCGCGCTGTACAGGTATGGAATCTAATTTTATTTTTATTTCTTCCAACTTTACACATTTTTAACTTTTTTTGCCAATTATAGATATGATATCGATATAGTAAATATTCACCTCACCTACTACTAGTAGGTGTATTGTAACATTGCTCACAAGACTATAGATGCCAAAATTCATCCAGTTGTATTTAAAGAGATAGGTTCTATGATTACTTTGAACTTCAAGGTTGAACATTACGAGTCAAATGAATATAGATCCTATCAGAGATCTGATCATTTGATTTCAACATATAATGATTTAATCTTTATTCAAGGATCCTTTGACAAAGAACCAAAATCTTTTATAAATATATAATATAAATTAAAGTAAGACTATACACTACTATGAAATATTATACATCACTAACCATTATTCTATTGTTTAAAGACAATAGAAATAAACCTCTTTTTTATAATTATAGATTACACTTGTGGTTATATTATTATTATTATTTAAAAAGACACTACAACTCCTTTTGGTTGGTGGGAGGATGTTCTAGTGTCTGCCAAATGGTCACGCTTCGGTGTGGGAAACTTATGAATTCTACCCTCTATCCCTCTTTCCCCCCCCCCCTCTATATATATACAATTCTCCCCTATTTTAAATCATTTCAGAATTGGGAGCTGCAAGTACATTGTTCATTTGACTCAAAAGGACTACTCTACGGCATAGCCAACGGAGTTCAACTTGTCATTTGGTTCACAATGGGCATTTGCTTGCAGCTCCAGGCTTGGGTCTGGATACTAATATTTTATTTATTATCTATATATTGTTGGTGTTTTTTTTTAGAATGAGAAACATTGTGAGATTGAGACAAGAGTAATGGTAGCTCTATTGATTCTACTCATATTTCTTTTCCTCTTTTTATTTATCCCTTACAGCTTTATAGTTCAATATTTAATCAAACAATACATCCATATATGGTACCTATCCATAAATGATAAAGTTTAAGTATCATGTAGACTTCAACATAGTAGTAGTATATACTACAACCACCACTCAATTACTAATACATATTTTTAACATAGGTCATCCTTACTATTTTTCTATAGAACCGATTGATCTTCTTCTTAATCAACCGCTGATCTATTAAAGTTATGTATATATTCATAACATAAATTAATTTCAAAACTAACAATTCCAATCTATCAGATATCTGTTTAATGAGACTAGTCAACAAATCGGTTCATACTATAGCTGATAGTCTTGTATTATAGCAACAAAGGTGGTTGTTTGGTCATCAACTCTACCCACCTGAATTAGAATACAAAGTTAAGTAAATTCATCACAATACAACTATCAAACCCTCAACTAATCATATTCATGCCATATTATACTTTAAATATAGAATCAATTGATTAGAGACGAGTTGGTCCATTTTTAAAAACTGTAAAGATATGTATCTTGTAAAATTACTGTCATAAATACTGTTTACTAATTATTATTTATTATCTTTTAGAATGGATGGTTTTGATAGACCGAATGCGAAATTTTCCATGACCACTAGCCTTGATGGGTTTTAAAAGAGCTAATTACAATAATACTAGTATGTACCAAATAAATAACCATGATATCGATATAGATTAAGCTACCATTACTCTTGAGCATTCACAATTGTTTTGAGATTGACCATTCCAAATATACTAACCATCTTGTCTAGCGTTGCTGGATGTGGCATGCATTGAACACTGCCGACACCAGTGCATATAATGTTGAAGATTCAAGGCGCCTACACCTCTTGCGTTGGCGCTTGTCTTTTTATTTGATTAATCGTGATCCGATCCATGTAGCACGTAGTTTTATATGGTTGCATGTTTACTATATGAGATAGGCTTTGAAGAATAGCATTTTTTTATTTGAATAATCTTTGAAACGACGATCCAATATCACCAATAGATACAACTTTTTGTGCTCTTTCTGTTTATATCATTTGTTTTTCCAAACAATGCTTTCTAGACCTCATCTTAGCCCATGGCTAATGGCGACTTTACGGAAAGTACTTTTTAGAAGGGTGAACCTCTCGCAAATTTTTTTGTCAACCATTTGATAGATAATGAAAAGATCTATCGATTGGTAAAAGAATAATTTTTTTATACAAATTAAATTGAAAAATTAATTTACGCATCAAGACTGCAAAGATCCAAAAACAGCCCACAAAATGTTCAGGTTCGTCACCTAATTCCTCCTTATAAAATTGTAATTACTTTATAATTAATGATTGAGAAGGTGACCCCTTTAAATAGATATTATAAATGATCATAATCTTTGCAGGTCTCTTATTACTTACTTATTAATAATTAAAATGAATTAAACTTCTTTTGTTTTGAGACTTTTGCCACTTACGTAGTTCTCATTGTCAAACCGCTTTTATTTTTATAGTGTAATTTTCGTACTCTTTATCTGTTTTAATCAATCTATTTTATTTATCTATTTATATCAATATGAAACGAGAACGGAGGATCATGTTGAAGGTCGCAAAAGACTTTGGAAAACAAAAACCAAACAGATGTTTTGCATTTCTTGTGTCTATTGGTTTACCTCATGACCAAACATTATACAGCGTCATTCTCCAATACATCAATTTTTAGGCGATCAAGAAGAATCGATTACTTGGGAAGAGAAATTAATTGTCCTTGGTATCATCAACCTTTTGAATTTCCAAAGTCATGAACCTTCTCTTGTTATTCATCGTTCAACTGAATTATTTCAAAGGTATGTATTAAACAAACACATTTTATTATTTTATTTCTCTTTTTAATTAATTTTTTCTTTTTTTTTAACAGAGTTATTAAATTATCAATAGAAAAAGAGGATAATCCACTTGTTCATTACGAGTTGTTTACATTTCTTCAAAAATGTCATTTTTACTCTGATGAAACAACTGATTATTCTCCCTATCAACCAATGATAAATCAAGGTTGTAAACGTATCATCAATGGTAAACAACCATTACAACCTCATAGTCTATTTGCACTTTGTAGCTATTACAAGGAGATTAAAGTGGTCGATCGTGATTTTATTAATCAATTGTTTGAAAAATCAATCAATTCAAATCATCAATATGTTATCAAAGAAGCTTCTTCTTTATTTCAACAACATTCAAACATTGTAAGTCGATCAAAAATACATAATATAATATTATTATTATATTTATTAATTAAATTTTTTAGATTGATTCAAGATTAGGATCAACAGTTATTAAAATAATGGATGATCCAAGTCATGAACAAGAAATGGTTGACCTAGTGATCAAATATTTTGAAAGATTAGAATCAATCACAGAGAGAAGAAAATATTTACAGATTGTAGTCTCCAAGCTATTGTATACAAAAGGTTTTAGTACTGACATGGTGGATCAATTTGTTTATACAAAACTTATTGGTTGGGTATTTGATGGATCAATTGGAATGGATCCAGTCATTTATTTCCCACCAATGTTTAAAATCATTTTGAGCCGACACTTTGACACTCAAGATGAAGCCCAACTCGTTAGATTGTGTGAAAAATATCCAGACAAGGTTGCTCATTACGTAAATACTTTGTTTGATGAAGCCGTCCGTCTCTACCTCATTAATGACAACAACGAAGGATCAGACCTATTGTTTTCTTTATTTTCAATTTATTATCAATTCCATGCAAGCAAAGATGATGATGATGATGATGAAGAGGATCCAATCTTTGACATTTATTGTAACATCATTTTATTGGAAGCTGGTGCACAGAAAACCATACTCGTTAAAAGATTGCTTGAACAGGCTTACCGAGAAAATGTTTGTCCATCAGCAAATAAGAAATTAGAAATCATTGATTGGATTAAAAATGGAATTATCATTGCTCATCAGATCTCTATCCACAAAATCAAGAGATCTCAAACCTCAACAGTGAGTTTCCTGTCAATGGCAGTGATCAACCTCCTACTCCTCCTCAATTTGCAACTCTTCAAGATTATTCTGAATTGATTCATCAAATAACAACATTATTTGATGATTCTGATTCATATGATACTGGTATCGCAATATTTCATATTGAAAAGTTGTTGGATAGCATAAAGAAACAAGAAAACAACAAAGTGTTCAGATCAATTTTAATTTCAAAACTAGTCCATTTCCATCAAATACTCAAAAGTATTCCATTCTCTTTGTCAACAAAGAACCTCTTGTATAATAGAATCAACAAATATCTAAAGGATAATATTTCAAATCCTAAAACTTTAAAAAAATTAGTCTTTTTGATTGAAGATTAAGAAAAGAAAAAAGAAAAAAGATAAACAGTTTTCTAATCTAAAAAAATTAATAACACATGTGTAATAATAAACAAAGCAGCCTTTCGTCTGTACAGGCAATTATTTATAAATCATCAACTAAATCATTGATTCTAATCATTGAAAGAACACTAGACAAAAAGGTCGAAAAGTGACTCCTCTTTTCTTTGTGTGGAGCTTGGCCTCTTAAACACAACATATGATTCTATTGGACAATTAAAATAGATCCTCAAAGAGTAGCTACAAATCTTGTTAATCAACCACACTTTTTTAATCTGTTTTCAGATGACTTGGAGATCCACTGCAAATGATCGAATCCTGCCGAATGCCCGTTAAAGTCATTGGTCAAATCTTTAACCAAGATCAACTATAGTTTATTTTTAGATCTCTCATGTGACTCCACAACCAAGCAAGTCGATAAAATGGTGTGGTCTTGGTTTCAATGTTTTCGAGGCCTTCCCATTTAGTCAAGGGCGATCTGATCAGATACTGTACGATAAATTTTTTATTTCATAATTCTCTATTATTCAATTTATCTGTCTACTATGAATCCCTCCCTTATTTAATTTTTATTTGTATTGTCATTGAATGGGTTGATAGATTTTTTATCTATTTAGGGAAATGAGATGGTTGGTATAAAGACTTTTGTTCTATGGGTAGAACACGTCCGTAAAAAAAAGATATTTTTTTCATGAGATTGTTTGATCTGCGCTTGGCAACGGTTCAATCTCGCGTGTCAGATTAATAATGATTCATAATCACGAGTAATCACATTTCGTGTTATTTATATCAAAATTTAAGGGATTCTCCCCACAATGCTTTAAACCTCATTCTTCTGTTGTTCTGTCACCAATACAATGAAATACGGCTTCTGCAAATGATCCTACCGAATTTGTTGTATAAAGATAAATTTATTATCCGTTTCCTTCCTAGCAGCAACGCGATCACAAATGAGGAGTCGTGTTTCACGACAATCAATCAACCATGATTGAGTATTAATAATAGAAACAGTACAAGAAGGGGCCACCAACTGATAATTATTCATTCAAACAACACAATGAAGGACAACTGCTGATCATGTGATAAAACACACACACAACACACATCAGCTCGAAAGTGGGTGAGAGCGATGAGAGTAGAGTGTGATAAAAAAATTAAGATCATACCCTATTCCATGGCATCCCAAAGGATTTATTATGCGTTAAACAGGAGGATGTGATTGACCAAAACTGTCTTGGTACAGTATGATGACAGAAGTAATGTGGATCTCAAGTTCTGGTGGTGCACCATCTTGGCTCTGTATTCTTTTGTTTGAGTGGTTCTGGCAGGAAACCAGAGAACCGGACCCCAAACCAAATCAGAAGCATCTTGGGTTTATTTATAGATTGATTGGAAAAGATGTCTCATCAGATCAAAAAATCTCCCCACTATGTTTTAGAGATTCGAGTCGTTAACTATTCATTGGCAAGTGTTCAATATATTAGCTGAACTCTTTGCACTGTACTTGAAGCAACAGACCAATCAACTTTTTTTTTAATTTTCGATTAATAATTGCCATTTTCGTTCAAAACCCTCAGGGCACCCGTACCTTCCCTGTAGCCCCTTTCGAACCGTCTCTACCACACTGTTTTGCATGCACCCCACCCTCAATCTCACCCAAAAAACTTTTGCATGAGAGATGATATCTCCATGATCTATGATACATATCTTCATCTAGCTGCCGCTGATGATTGCTTGCTTTGAATGTTTGTTGAGTAGTTAACACAACATGTGCAATTATTATCATGTGATACTCTTGGCACACAACAATAGTCGGTGAGCCTAAAGAACACAAAGGTTTAAAAGAAACAGTTCAAAAGTATTTTTATTTATTATCACAACCAACAATAGTCTCTCTCTCTAGTTAGTTATAACATTGTTCCATTTTTAATTCATCAGACGCTGTAAAGTAAAAGTTATTTATTTCTCCTACAAGTATTACAAAAACAAAAGGTATGACGTCATATTATTATTATATGTTTCTACTCTCTTTTTCCCAAAATCTACTCCTATGCCTTTTTCCCAAAATCTACTTTTCTCTCTGCCTTGCAATTCAAATTACTAACATTACAACGTTATCTTTTTTTTTTTTTAAACAACTCATCGATTCTTTCTATCTCAATCACTATGATTCCTTTTCCAATTCTGATCAACCCCCCTCCCCACAACCAATCCCACAAAATCACACCCCCTCTTTCCATCCCCCATTACTTTTTGCCTTCTTCGACCGTTTGTTTGTTTTGTTGCCTTTTCCTTTTTTGCCTCATACCATCAAACTCTCTCAACGACCAAATCATCATTCATCAATTGTTTGTGTTTACTACTTGTTTGTTACAATTCTAGTTAGAGATTATCTTTTCAATCGATTCATCCATCCATCTTTTTTTTTTCCATCTTTCTTTTGTAAAAACAATATTTGCTATTCTTTTTAAACAATAATATACAACCACAACATTCATCATGTCTGAAGAAGGAATAGATAGAACACAATGTTATTGTGATCCAGTAGCCTCTTGGGGTTTTGATTGCGATGAAGCAGGTTGCAGAGCTTATGCAGCTGTCTTTTTCGTAGTCTTTTTGGCATCCACTGTCGAAGGTTTCCGTCGTCTCTGGATCCAACGTCGCATGTACAAGAAGGCATCGTTTATCAGTACAACGCAATTGACCATTGGTTCTTTGTTTTTTACCTTGCGTCACATTGAAATGATGGCCAAGGTCAGAGAAGTATACTCATTGTCGTTCTTCCTCTTGTTTGGTTTTGGCTTTTTCATCTCTGCCTATCTCTTTATTCTCTTGGCCTGGTGCGACATTATTACTGCCGTCAACTTTTCAAAGACCATCCAACGTGTCTTCCCAGGTATCAAGTGGACCATCATCATTCTAAATATCATCCTCTTTATCGGTTGGATCATCGCCATGGCCATCTGGTGGCCATTCTGGATGACCAACATTTTCCTCGGCTTTTACGGATTCGGTGTATCTATTGGCTACCTCGTCATTGGTCTCATCATCTGGCTCGAGTTTAAAAAGGTCTCTGATATTTCTGCTCACGGTCAACTCGCCAAGGCCACCTACATCCGTATGAAGGCTGTCGCCCGTCTCTCTGTCGTCGTCGTTATCACTGCCATTATTTTCACCATTGCTATGGTTTCCATGACCTACTGGCCAGCACTCAACGACAAGCAACACATCAGATGGTTGTTTATCAATCGTGTCGTCGTCGCCCTCTTCAACTATGCTATGCTTGTCTGCTGGAAGCCAACCAACGACAAGGACATGCAAAAGTCAGGCTCTGCTTGGTCTGCCAAGATGAAGAACATGGACTTTGTTTCAGGTGAAGACAAGACCATCGCCACCAACGCCATGGACACTGAAACTGGTGCCACCTTTACCTCTGGTGAGGAACAAGAACCACAAGAAACTACAGTTTCTGGTACTCCAATTCACTAAAAAAGAAAAAGAGTATAATAGTTAATAATAATAATAATAACAAGTTAAAAACTGTAGATTGTATTGTAGTCAAAAAACGCCTACACAAAAATAAGCGTCATATAATTAATAATAATAATAATAATAATAATAATAATTATCCCCATTCATCCACACAATAGTAATAATATTAATAAATAGTACTAATCATCCCCCTCCACCTCCACCTATCACATCCAACAACCAAACCAAACTAATAATTATTAAAGATTAAAAAAAAAAAAACCAAGAAAAACAATCAACAAACAATTAACATATAATATCCTGTAAATATATAGTCAGTTATGTAGTCGTTCAACAAACCAACAAACCAACCACTCCACCTCTACACTCGCCCTCCCTAAAACAATATCAAGGTTCCCCTTTGCAATGTATTTGTAATAAAATTTAAATCTTACTTTTCATGTTTTTTTGAATTAGTAAAACAATTAAACCTAAAACTTATAAATATATATAGAGAAAAGAAAGAGAGAGAGAGAAAAGATAAAGAGTTATTGGATAAACTTGTTCGTATGTGGATTTTTTTATCTAATTATTATTATTTTTATTAATTTTTTTTTTGTCCTACCCCTTTGCTTGTTGTTCACACCATCAAACCACTTAGAGAGTGAAAGGAGTTACTCGATTATTATGATATTAAGTAGAATCAGCCACACTGCTGCTGATAATGATAATGATGATGGAGATGACAATGATAACAATCATCAAAAGAAACAACAACTTTCATTAGGACAAGCTCTTCTACAACTATTGAATCATGATGATAAGGATAGAGATACCCACCTATTATTGGATAGTATGTATTGTAGTAATAATATCTTGTTATGATATGTTGTATGTTTATTAATAAATCTCGGTGTACATAATTGTAGATCCAAAGGAAAATGATTCATTCTCTACGATTGATAGAGAATTGGAAAATCAAAAGGAGGGAGACGATGATGATGATAGTATAATGATATCTATCATTGAAGCAATGACAAGATCGTTTATAGATATACATAAACACGAGTTTAAAAAGTCTACATTGGTTGATGACACAATTATAGGAATTACATTGGATAATCAATCTGCTTCTGCTGCCTCTACTACAACAACATTTAAACAATATTATAGACCATTGATATTGTTTAGATACTTGTATAATAATCATTTGGAACGATTTTTTAAATCAATCAATCGTATTATTACCAATCTTGTAGATGACTCTTTGAAAAGAAAGGCATTAGATACAATCTTGTTATTGAAATACTTTATGTCTTATCAGCAGCAGAGAGGATCAGTAGCAGGTCATTCTCTTACGATTAGACAATATTTATTGGAACCAATCGTAGAAATGGTTATACCAAATTCATTGGTTAAACAACAACCAACCAAACTATCAATAGACACTGCCGATTGTTTTATTTCATCATCTCTAAATATCCTCAATGATCAATTCAACATTGATCAATCATTTCTAAATACTTTGACATCTTTTATTGATCATTTATTATTGGTAAATTCAAAATTTAAGATGTATGTCTAGAGACACTTATTAATAACTCTTTTATATTTTAGTGGTATTCAAATGTTCAATCAAAATCACTTTATTGTATAGCAATTAGGATGTTAAAGGAATATATAAATCATTGCGATGAGGCATGTGAATCAAAAGAATTTTATATTGGTATATTACCATTACTCTATTTTCAATATTCTCTATCAACCAAAGATAAATTAGTTGAATATTATTTAAAATTATTATTAAATGTAATGAAAAAAAAAGAAAAAGAAATAATTATAAATGATATTAATATTTACTTATTTTATTTCTTTTTTCTTTTTAGGATGATGAAAGGATTGATTATTGTTGTATATCATTTATATTAATATTGGGATTATTATCTGAAAAGAAAATGAATCAATTTAAAAATGATAATGTTGATAAATTATTAATTGTCTCTTATCATTTGGCTCAATACAATAATGAAAAGAGGACAAAACATTATTGTTCCATTTTAATTGGGATCACATTTTCTTTGAATCTCAATAGCGATAACAATGATGGTGATAGAACAATAGAAAATATAATATCAATGGTTTTATCAAAACAAGAAGAACCCAACAATGCAACGCTCAATTTTATTGCTAAATCCATCATTACAAATCAATCACTACTCTATCATTTTGTTTCAACTATGGAAACAATATCAAATACATCAAATTCATTACTATTATTGGAATATTTGATTAAAGTTCCATCCATTGTTTTAAAATTTAATGATAATATTTTATTGTATGTAAAACAAATAGATAGAGAAAAAAGAAACCTAATATTTATTTATTTATTTATAGTGAAAAGTTATTAAATCAATTGTTAAAAATTTTATATAAACAAGATAAAGAATTTACAAAAAGAATTCAAATAATATTTAATGGTTTAGAGGTAAATCAATTGACAAGGAAATTAATATTTCTCATTATCAATGACACTACAAATGATCAAGAAAAATTGGTACTTGAAAATACTCTTTCATCATTATTGGAATTTAATACAATGTCTGTTTTTGAATTATTTATTGATTTGGTTTTGTATGTATAAAACAAAATAGAAAACAACAAATAATTTATTAACACTTTTAATTTAAATTATTAGACATAATGAAATTGATAGCAATGAAACGAATGATGATATTTCACCTTCAAATCTTTTATTTGATTCGAAACAACCCATTACTACTACTATTGATATTAATCAGTTATTAAATTTAATACCATCAATATTTAAAAATGTATGTTGAGTATTAAAAAAGTCATGTCTATTCTTGCTTGTATTAATTTATATTTTAGTTGAGAGAAAAAAATTTAATAATAATATTTAATATATTTAAGATTAAATGGTTTTCAAATCCAAAAGATGGTAATTTAACAAAGATATTACAAAAATTATTATCATTGGTAAAGAGTAGTTTTATAGTTGAACATTTATTGGACATATCTAGATTAAAAATGGATCAACAAATGATAGTAGGCAATGATAGTGAATTTCAAGAACATGAAATCTTTCAAATTTTATCACCCATTTTGTTTTTAAAATCATTGTTAAAACATATTCATCAACAAAAACAAACAAATGGTGACCATCAAAATGCATTAATAAGTGGAGGAGATAGAATTTTGGTTGTAGATCAACTTTACCAACTATTATCAAAAAGAATAAGATCAAATAATCTATTGATGGACATTAGAAAACTATCATCAGAATGTTGTAGTTATTTCCCTTGTATCTATTGGGTACCAACTAGTTTATCAATGTTGTCAAATGAAAATATTACCATGGCCATCAACAAGGATTCCTCGATAGTGACAATGAAATTGGTCATGTTTTCATTATGTAATAGTTTATTATTAAATGGAGTGGAAATGGAACCATTTATTCATAGTGTCGCCCAAGTTGTAGACACTTTGTTTCATTTACAACAAGTAGTTGGCTCTACAGCAGAGGAAATTAAGAAATTACAAATGGGAGCAGGAGATTGTTTGGCATTTATGGTTTGTGCATCTGTCAATGATGAAGGATACCTTTGGAAAACCTTTTCATTTGATTTAATACACAAGAGTGGAATGTCACAAATCAAAGACATCAAATCGGTTCATCAAGCATTACCGACCATCCTAAAGATACTCAAAACACCAGACAGTATTACTGCCACAGTCACACCAATGCTCTACTACACTTTATTGACAGTTACCAAAGTACTCCAAGTTGAATCACTTGTCAAAGTTTCAAAATCAATCATTCCATCGCTTGTCAATATTTTCAGTTCCGATCACAACAACCACAACTCTTCCTCCATCCTCCTCGTAAAGAAAAAGGTATCAATCAACCAAATATTGTTTACAATGATTAGTAGATTACCAGAGGAAAAGAATATCAGTGACTATGGAGATGACCTCTATGACATTTTGCTAGACTCTGTCGAAAGTGGCAATAGCTATACTTTGAAATTATCGGGAATCAGATTACTTTCAACCATCCTAAAATGTTCTCCATCGATTCTATTCTCCGATGCACAACGATATTACCAAATGCAACAAACTTTTAGTCAAATCTTATCGGAAAGTGTTTCCTCCCAAGATCCAGATGCAATTGCTTGTAAAGATTTAATTAATCAATTATTATCAATTTTAAAATAAATAAATATTTATTTTCTATCATTATTATTATTATCAACAACTGGAATATTCTTTCCATTTTGATTATTATTATTATTATTTTGTTGAGATTGACCTTGTTGTTGTTGTTGTTGTTGTTGCTGTGGTGGTTGTGGTTGATTTTGAATAAAAACGGTTCTTGATCTTGTAGGTTGTGGTTGTTGAACTTGTTGTTGTTGTTGAACTTGACCTTGTTGAGTTGGTTGTTGACCAGGAGGTAAGAAAACTCCAGTCAATCTAGTGGAAACTGGTTGTGCAATTGGTTTAACTTTTTTCATTTCTTCTTGTCTCTTTTTATCTTTATCTTCACGATCCTTGATCAAGGCATCTCTATTTTTCTTTGTCTTTGGGAGTTGTCTCTTTTCAATGATTGCCATAATTTCGTCGAGATTTAAGGTTTCATATTCGATAAGAGCCTTTGCCAAGAGATGGTGCTCGGCCGAGTAATCTTCTAGGAGCTTACGAGCACGGTCATAAGATTGATCCAAGAACTTTTTGACTTCACGATCGACCATTTCACGTTGTTGAGGGGAGAGTTTCTTTTCAGAATCAATGTAGATTTTTCCAACTTCATCGCTCATACCCAACTTCATGACCATTTGCTTTGCAATTGAGGTTGCCTTTTTGATATCGCTCGATGCACCTTGACTGATATTCTCGTCACCAAGGATCAATTCTTCCGCAGCACGGCCTCCCATGGCCACATCCATCTCTGCCAAGTATTGCTTCTTTGTTTGGAAAAAGTCGTCTCTTTGAAGCATCGACACAAGACCAAGAGCATCACCACGTGGCATGATGGTAGCCTTGTGAATATCCTTTGCACCTTGTGTCTTGATTGCCACTAGCGCATGTCCAGCCTCGTGATAGGCACATATTTTTCTGGCTTCATCTGTAAGAATCAATGAATGTCTTTCCTTGCCCATAATAATATTTTCCTTTGCATTTTCCAAAGACTCCATTGAGATTTCTGGTTGATTATTTTTTGTTGTATCCAATGCTGCCCAATTCACCAAATTAAATAAATCTGCTCCTGAAAATCCTGGTGTTGATTGTGCTAATATTTGTGTATTTACATCTAAATAAAAAATAAATAAAAATAATAAATATAATTTTTTTCTTTTCTATTTTCTTTTTCTTTTTTTTTTTTACATACTTAGAGAAAATTTCTTATTCTTTAAATATAATTCGATATTTTTTTTCTTGATTTACAATCTGGAAGTTGAACTTGAATGGAACGATCGAAACGACCTGATCTAACAAGAGCAGGATCAAGAGTCTCTTGGAAATTGGTGGCAGCCAAGACAATGACACCTTCACGACCGGTGAAACCGTCGAGTTCAACCAACAATTGATTGAGAGCATCGGATGGATGATAGTTGATTCTCTTGCTACGACTTCCACCGACCGAGTCGATTTCATCGATAAAGACAATACATGGTGCCATCTTTCTTGCCTCTGCAAAGAGTTCACGTACACGCTTTGCACCAACACCAATAAACATTTCTTCAAATTCAGAGCCATTGATGCTGATGAATGGGATACGGGCTTCGCCAGCCAATGCCTTTGCCAACAGGGTCTTTCCAGTGCCTGGTGGACCAACCAAAAGGATACCCTTTGGGGTGACAATGTTACGCTCGGCGTATTTGCCTGGATTACGGAGGTAATCGACGAGGTCTTGCAACTCGCTCTTGGCCTCCTCTGCACCAACAACGTCGTCAAATGTTTCGGTTGGACGTTTGTTGATGCTAGAGTAGTTGCGTGGTGCTAGGATAGAGTAGATTCCACCTCCTCCCGATGCACCTCCACTCGTGTTTCCACCAATATAATAGTAAACAGCACCACCAACCAAAGCCAATGCCAAAAGTGTCTTAAACAATGAAAAGTTTGATACAACCTTTACTTCCAATGGTTGTGGTACTCCATTAAATGTATTTCTATAATCTTCACTATATTCATCTTGTTGTTGTTGATCTTGTTCTTGTTTATATTGTTGTTTATGTTGTTGTTTAAATTGATCAGAAAACATCTAAGAAATAAAAAGGATTAATATAATTATATATATCTATCTCTATTTATACACATACACTAACAGCTTTTCTTTTTGTTGATACATTTCTAATAGAGTTTAAACTTGTAATATCATTATCACCAGTTAATTCATTATTGAATAATAAAGATTTAGATGAATGGTTATAAAACATTGATGAATGAATAGAATTCACTCTTGAAGAAGAAGAAGCGGTACTAATCTTATCTGCTGTAGTAGAAGCTTTTCTAAACTATATAGGTGTGAAAGGGAAACAAGTTAGGGTCATTCATCTAATAATAATAATTGATACTATATGTAGGTACCTGTGAACTGTTATTACATAATGTATGTAAATATCTACTTGTAACAGAAGTAGCAAGTCTAGACGAAGATGACTTTAAAATAAAGTGATTCATCTCTTAAATATATATATCTAAAAGAAATAAAGATGTAATATAAGTCTATCTCTATGTAGATTGTTGTTGTTGATGATGAGCAATAATAATAATAATAATTAATGCGTCAAAAAAGCGACAGGTAATAATGACAATCTTTTGAAAATTTAATAAAATAGGGTGTGAACTTGCTGCTTCGAAATTTATTGAAAGATGAGTAATAATAATAATAATAATAAAGAAATAGAAGATAAAGATAATCATCATCATCACGAGAAATGTTTCATAACTAATATCAACGAAAAGAGCTACTATCGTAGACCATTACCAGACACTTGTATAGATTTCTCATCTGTAGATGGTCAATCAATCTTTACTGAGAGTTTACTTGAAGGGTAAGAAACAAAAGACATGTATAAGTATATATATATAGAATCTAATATATTGATTGTTATATATATTTTCTTTTCTTTACTTTACTTTAGGTATATGAAAACTTATTTTATATTGGCATCACAATTCTCTACACAGAATGAACCTGCTTATTGTGGATTATCTACACTTGCAATGACTTTGAATTCATTGTCTGTTGATCCTAAAAAGACGTGGCGTGGAGTATGGAGATGGTATAGTGAAGAGTTGCTGGATTGTTGTACGGATTTGTCGATTGTCAAGGAGAAGGGTATAACGATTGACGAGTTTCTGTGTCTGGCCAATTGCAATGGTGCCGTCACAGAGTGTCACTATTACAATGAGAGCAATGTTGACGAATTTAGAAACAAGGTGATTCGATCGTGCCAAAGCAATGGTTCTGAAATATTGATTGCATCGTACAATCGACAAGGACTATCTCAAACTGGAACAGGTCATTTCTCACCCATCGCAGGTTACCACAAACAAAGAGATTTGGTACTCATCCTCGATGTTGCTCGGTTCAAATATCCACCTCATTGGGTTAAAACAGAGTTATTATTTGAATCAATGAAATCAATTGATCCAGATTCAAACAAATCAAGAGGTTATATTTTATTAAAAAAGAGGTAAATAAGAGAGAGAAATTAATCTACATATATATATATATATATATATATATATATTAACAATTTAATTTACTTTAGTTTAAGTGCAAGTAGTATATTCAAGGTAACAGCAACTGGAGAGGTTGATTGGAAGAGAATGTTAAGTTCATTGATTCATCAATTTTATATTGATGAGCGTGTTGACAATGTTGAACAAGTAGTTGGATCAATGCTAGATGGCATTGGAAAGATTTTAAAATATTTTGGTGTTTATGATCAAGTTAATCAAGATATTGTACATATCATTAAAGAGATTCATAATACTAAATTATATCGTTTAGTATCATCTTTAGAAAATCAATTTGAAATCACTAATAATGAAAACAATAATAATAATAATAATAATAATAACAACAAATATCTTATAGAATTAATTTGTATTATAATCTTTTCAATACCTGATAGAATGTTGGATCAAAGTAATGATAATATTCCAGCATCTGTAAAGTCTGAATTTATGACTATTAAAAACGAACCAATTTCACTGTTTAATGACGATCAAGATGGTCGGTCTGGATTGGTATCAGAGATTAAATATCTCTATAATATAATCTCGAGTTTATCGACCTATTGTAGTAATGGTGATAAAAAGTGTGGTCAATCAACTTGTAAAGGTATAAATAAATAATTAAATAAATAAATAAATAAACGAACATATGTTTTCGTTTCATTGTGTTCCCATATTCGTTTTCACCAAAAAAAATGTTAAGAGGACTCTTGACATGAGACGAGGATCTTTACAAAATTTTGAGACCTTCCCCTAATTTTCTTAGGGAAACCCAATAGGGATCATGCTTTTAGTGATGTCCTATAAGGTCTCGGCTAAGATATTGACATCTTTTTTGAGTAGTTTCGACTTTGAACAACAACAATCGAAACTAATAAAGATAGCTACATTTCTTATGATAAATAATTAAAAAAAAAAGAAAGTAAGATTTTTGAGCAAAAAAAAAACGAATCGGTCTTTATTATTATATTTCTATATATTTATTTATATTTTTGGATCACAATTTGAAAGTTCAAGAATATCATTTCTTCTTCTAGAATTAAAGTATAATGAACAGACGTCTTCCATTTTTATGTTTGTATTAATTGCCTTTTCTTGTGGGAAGAAATGGATTGCATTCTTGTGTACTTCTACAAAACAAAAGATATATTTAATGTTTTGGTTGTCAGTGTATGAACCATAGGTTACATTATGTCGGAACCCCATTTGTTGTAAAGCTGATTCTACATCTGTTGATTTGTTTTCATTTAAATTAAATCGGTACATGTATAAAACTCTATCTTGAAATACACCATAATAGCCAGCTGGCAAGTTGGCAGGTAGATTATAGGGATTTATAGTTGAATTTGGAATGGAATCGCCATAATCGAAATCATGGCCAATACTATAATCTCTAGTAGCCTGTGTAATGTTTGAACTGTGACAGGTTCGTATCGGATGAACCATTCGTACACATTCAGGTGTGAATCCATAGTACTGATCAGTTTGATAGAGCCCCTCTCCTCCAATTTGTAGTTCCGCTATCAATCTACAATAAACTGCAACCGGTTTAAAAGTAACTGGAAAATTTTGAAATGTTATTTTCTCCAAATTAAAAGGAATTGACTAAATCGATTAAAAAAAAGATTGATGATTGATTGATTGAATAGTTTGATTGTTAGATCGTTTGATATTAAAACAAAATATATATTATTTAATACCTTACCACAAAACTAATGGCAGCTCCATAATTTTGAGTTGAATTTGATTGTTCTTGGCTTGAAGTATCTGCCCCTAGAGCAACCCAATCACCTTTTTTAATTTGAGTTTTAAATCTCATACCGTACCGTTATACTTGAAAGAATTAATAATATTAATGTGTACCTATTCATAAATATTAAGATTCTATTGTCTGTAGCATTTGATTCTGTTTCTGAGAGAGACGAGGGAACCTTTCTTTTTTTTTTTCGACGAATCTATGCATCGTTGAATGGCGTCTTTTCTGTTTTTTTTCATCACAGTAAAAACCAAACAGAATCCACACATTCCAAAAAGCCAAGAGTATTAAATACTTTTACACCAATCCCTTCAAGAAATGAATTGTTAATTAAAATTATAACATCCCCCCAAAAATGAGAAGTAGTATGGGCAAAACACAAAAATGAAGGTTTTGATAATCAATTAATATGTTTTTGATTGATTTGTGTAAATTGTATTGTTGTTGTTGTTGATTTATATATTGTTGGCAAAGTTATAATTTTCCAACATCCTTCATAATCATTAATTTCAATTCAGTATATTCTTCAATTGTATTCTTTACACCTTCTCTTCCTAATCCTGATCCTTTGATTCCACCATACTAAATAAGTAAAATAAATAATAAATTGAATAAGTACATCTTTTCTATCTTCCAATCTCTCTATGTTTGTTTTGTTTTTTGTTTTTTTGTTTTACATACAGCTTGAGAATCAACACGAACAGAAGGAATATCATTAATGACAACAGCACCAACATCGATATGATTGAATGCATAATGAGCTTTATGGATGTCATCGGTAAAGACACCGGCTTGAAGTCCAAACTCTGAATTATTTACACGGTTGACAACGTCTTTAAAGTCTGTGAATTTCTCAATGACAAAGACTGGGCCAAAGATCTCCTTGCAGCTAACATCGCAGGTTTGTGGGACGTTTTCGAGGATAGTTAGATCAAAAAAGGCCTTGTCACGCTTACCACCAGTCAAGAGGGTAGCACCCTTGGAGACGGCGTCATTGACCCATTTCTCGACACGAATGGCATCGTTTTCACCGATCATTGGGCCGTGGAAAGTGTTGATGTTCATTGGATCGCCACGACGCTTGGAGAGGGGTTGAGTCTGCTCCAACAAGATGGTTTTGAGTTGGTTGTAGTGTCTCTCGTGGATGTAAACACGTTGCACAGAGATGCAGCTCTGTCCAGCAGCGTAAAAACCGCCAAAGAGAATACGTGCGGCAACATGGTGCAAATAGGACTCTTTGATGGCCTCGTCGACGATGCAGGCGGCATTGCCTCCGAGCTCCAACACGACCTTTTTGCGACCGGCCTCATCTTTGATCTTCCAGCCTACTTGAGGTGACCCAGTAAACGAGACTAGTTTGAATCGCTCGTCTTTACTGAGTATGGGGGCATCGGCCAACTCTGTGGGGAAGATGGAGAATGCGCCTGCGGGGAGATCGCACTCGGCCAACATCTCACCGAGCAATATGGCACTGATAGGTGTACGGTCCGATGGCTTGAGAACAAATGGACAACCTGCAGCGATAGCAGGTGCGATCTTGTGTGCACATAGATTGAGGGGAAAGTTGAATGGAGCAATCATAGACACTGCACCGACGGGGAATCGCTTTGAGATGGCTTGGAAGCCATTGTTTTTGGCCGATATGTCGAGTGGAATGTACTCACCGTTTTGTCGAATCGCCTCTTCAGCAGCCACTGTAAACGTGTCGATTGCACGACCAACCTCTGCACGTGCGTCAGCCAATGGTTTACCAACCTCTACTACAATCGTTGCTGCCAATTCGTCAGCTCTGTTTTTAATCTTGTTGGCCATGTCGAGCAACACGTCCTTGCGGTGTGATGCAGTCAGCGACTTCATCTTGCTCTCTGATTGCACGGCCTGGTTGATAGCATCGTTTATAATCTTCTTGTCTGCCATTGGCACATGACTCACCACTTGATTAGTGTATTTATCAACTACTCCCAATCGATTCAATGGTGTCGACGTCACTGCCTTGCTACCAACATAAATTGGATAACTTTCTCTAACATAATTTCCAACTCTTTTAAATATTGCTTGTGACATTATATTATAAATACAAATAAAACAAATAAATAAAAGTATACAACAACAAACTAACTAACAAACAAACAAATGAATGAACTTGAATTCACACAATGCTTGCTGAAAAAATTAAAATCTTTGAGATTTTTTTTTAATTTAAAATGAGTGAGCGGAATTGAGGGAAATCCCAGGATAACATATGTATGTTATATATTTATCCTGCTATTATTATATTATTAATATTTATTAATTATTTTGTTATTTTGTTATTTTTTTGAAGATAATTTCTTCTTTGTTGGAGAATAATCATACTTTGTGTAGATTCTTTCAGTGTGATCATTTTTCTGCTTTTTTGATGGTTTACCTGAATATTTGTCGATACAATTGTCACACATACGACCGCAACTTGTTGGTTTGTTTTTGGTGTCACCAAAGTAATTGGTTAATTTTTGGTGACGACAACCAGTGTCTTTGAGAAGAGAGACGAGGGAGTCGAGAGCAGCAAGCTTTCGCTCGTAAATATCGCCAACCTTGTCATTACTGATATTTTCATACTGGTCTTGAGTACTAGTCGTTGGTTTCATTAGCTTTTCCATTCTCTTTTTGTCAATGTCGCTGAAATAGAGTATGCTGTCGCTGAGTTGTCCGTCTCTTCCGGCACGTCCAGTGTGCTGGTAGTAGGATTCGATCGATTGGGGCATTGAGTGGTGAATGACGAATCGTGTGTCGGGTTTATCAATACCCATACCAAATGCAGTGGTTGTGCAGATCACTTTGATCTTGCCTTTGATCCAGTTATCTTGAATCTCAAGACGAGTGGGTGTGGAGAGTGACGCATAGTAGTGGTGTGCAGACAACCCGACATCACGTAGGTGGCTGGCCAGGTTCTCACACTCTACAGATGTCGCGCAATACACTATTCCCGATGATGTCGGATACCTCGCCTTGATAAACGATTCAATGTCCATGGCTACGCCAATCGGGCTAGCCGGTTTATCTCTCACCGCATAACGCAGATTGTTTCTTTGAAACGTTCCACGCACGTTGACAACATCGTCACGACTGATACCAAGCTGATTCTTGATATCATGCTCGACATAGTCTGTTGCAGTGGCTGTCAATGCGACAATAGGTACGTGGGGAAACGTCTTTCTAAAGCTACTGAGTTTACGATAGTCTGATCTAAAATCATGTCCCCATTCCGAGATACAATGTGCTTCGTCAATAACCAGTCTTCGCAACCGTCCCTGATAATGCCACCGCGCCATTCTCTTTGCAAAATCCTCGCTTACCAATCGCTCGGGTGTCACGTACAATAGTTTGATTGACCCTTGCGGGTTCTCCAACTCCTCCATTGTCCTAGTCCTCTCGGACACTGAGATACCGCTATTCAGCACTGCTGCAGGGATCCCTCTTTGACGCAACTTGGTGACCTGGTCGTTCATCAACGCCAGCAGCGGTGACACGACCACAGTCAACCCAGCATCAATCAACGCCGGTAATTGAAAGCACAAACTCTTGCCACCACCAGTTGGTAAACTAACAAACGTATCTCTTCGATACAATATCGCATTGATTGCATCTTTTTGAAGTGCTCTCAATTCTCCAACTCCAAAAACAGTCTTGGCACAACTATTTACCAAGTCATCCCAAGGAAATTCTTGTGAAAATAAGGTATTATCCTCTGTATGGCCACCAGAATGTGTCACTTCATATTTTTTGCCAGTTGGTATATTTGGTAAAGATATTTTTCTTTGTTTTGTTGTTGATTGTTGTAATAATTCCTTTTTCTCTATTACCCATTGATTATATGATCTTAATAGTTCTTGATTTAGTATAGATATTGATTGTTGTTGTTGTTGTTGTAAATTATTATTATTACTATCTTGACTATCTTGATTATAATTTGGCATTGATTCAATGATTGTTGTCAACTTTTTCTTTCTTGTTTTTTTTGGTGTATTTACAGAGTTTAGATAGGATGATGATGTTTCAACCTCATCGTGAATGCTTGTCGATGCCAAAGTTGGATCTTGAACCATATCAGATAAATCCAATGGTGTTGTATAGATTTGTGGATCAAATAAGGATGGTGGTGGTGTAATATCAGCAAAATCTAAAAGCATCATTTGATGATCAGACTTTTTAGATTTCCTTTGTTTCTTTACTTCAGTATCATCCATTACTCTTTGAATCCCATCTTCATCAACTTTTAATTGATCTTGTTCAAGATCCATCTTTTTCTTTCTAATCTTTTTAGGTTTTTCAAATAACTCTACTCTTCTACCATCTTCCTCTTCTTCCTCCTCTTCTTCTTGTTTGATTATATCCTTTTTCTTACTACTTGATTTCTTTTTCTTTGGTGGTTCAATCATTTCTCCATCTTCATTTAACATTATAATATTTTCTTCTTCTTGAATAGAAGATGACTTTGAAGGATCGTTTTGATCACTCGATGATGATGATAATAAATCCTTTGCATTGATACCTTGAGATATCAAACCATATTTGTTTAAGAATCCTAGAGAGTTTGTATCCTTTTTATCCAATCTCTCTTTACCAGTTAATACGCTCTTGTCCTTTGTCAAAGACAACCCTTTTTTCTTTTTGAATGTTGTACTCCATTCGTAATCTATTCCATCCGACGACGAAGATGCTGAGAAAGTTGAATCATCAGTATACATAAGATAACTAATTGTTATAAACAAAACATACCATAGTTTGTAAAGGGTTGAAGTGAATGATGACTATTCAAGTTCATCGATGTGAATGACTGATACAACAGACTCTTCCACAAAGTAGAAGAGGAAGACTTGGCTGTAATCATCATGTTATTATTATATATGTGCAAGGTATATATATAGTAACTATACTATCATTATGTATTGTATTGTACAGAGATAGATATAAAGATAAAAGAAAGATAAATAATATTAATATTAAGCGTAATCAAAAGATCATTGTCGAATATTTGGAAATCGCAAGACTACGAACACTTTCAAAAAATGACTTCATTCATTTTCATAAGTTAATTAAATATTAAATATTGTATAACTACTACTATAGATACATAGATACATAGATATAATAGAGTAGAGATGGGAGATAGGGCAGATATATATGAATTAGATGATCAAGTTAATCCTGATCAAGTAGGTTCGATTCCAATTCAAATTGGAAAAGGGTGGAAGTATGTATAATATTGTAACACTGATAGATAGGATAGATAGATAGATAGATCAATATATATATATATTAACAATCCTTATTACTGTATTATGATTATGTAATTGTTATTGTTGTTAGATCATTGGGATTAGATATAACAGCAAAAGTAACAAATAATGCATTTTTAAAGGATCAACAAAAGACACAACAACAACACCAACAATCAAGTGTCAATCAATTGCCACAAGTAATGTCAAGCGCATTGATCAAGAAAAAGACAGAATATTATGAAAAGTTTAAACAATTATTAGTGATGGAATCAAAAGAGGATAAACAATCGGTTGAAAGACGTCTGTCACAGAGAAGTGTAGATCAACTTGCAAAAAAGGGTTTGGCATTAAAGAATACAACCGCCATACTAAAAGGTAAATTATTGAGTGAAATCATAGTTAGATTTGCAGTAGACTATGATCCTGGAGCTGAAGTTGGTCAATTATCAGAACCAGCAGAATCATATCAAAAAGGGTTCCTAAAGATTGGTAGTGGTGAATCTGTCATTATCAGTAAAAAGGATCCTCTAAAAGATGACGTTGTCTATGAAGGTATCTATTTGGAAACAACTGGTAAATCTATACTTGTATCAATCAAGAATCAATCTGGTTTTGAAAAAATATTTCATAATTCTGGTCCTTGGGTAAGAAAAAGAAAGAAACAAAAAGAAAGAAACAATACAAATTTATAAAGATATTAACTTTCATTTAATTTCCATTTAGAGAATAGATCTTGGAACCAATTTAATAACAATGGAAAGAATGATGAAAGCTTTGACAATGGTTTCATCAGACAAGGCATTATATCAAACAAAATTGGCCGATATTATATTTGGACATTTGAAACCAGGTAAAACATTGGAAGATACCTGTGCCACTGAATACATCCCATTCCAAACAAAAGAATCTCCTCTTAAATTCAAGGATATGTTTCCTATGGATTATAAAACATGGAATCTTAATCCTTCACAAAAAGATGCAATTGAAAAATCAATTTGTAGAAGAGCTAGTTTAATTCAAGGTCCTCCTGGTACTGGAAAGGTAAAAGAAAAAGAAAAAGAAAAAAAGAAAAAGAAAATAATTATTATTTATTTATTAATTAATTATTTACTTATTACTTTTTAGTCAACGACAGCAATTTATTTACTTAGATTATTAGTACATAGAAAACAAAGTGGAAAGAGTAATGTTAAAATATTGGCAACATCATTTACAAATACGGGGGTTGATAATTTATTGGAAGGTTTGTTAAAGGCTGGTGTCAATGTATTGAGATTGGGTGATGCCAATAAAGTTCGTGAAGAGTTGAGATGTGCAACATTAGAGTATAGGATGGAGGAGGAATTGAATAGATGGGACAGTTCTGCAAAACGATCAAACCAAGGTTCAAAACCTGGTAGTTCATCTTACTATATGCAATCGGAACGAGAAATCAAGTCAAGATTGATTAGTGAAGCAGATGTTATTTGCTCAACTTGTATTGGATCGGGACATGAAATGTTGATGGATGAAAAGTTTCAAATCATTGTGGTCGATGAAGCAACACAAGCTACAGAACCTGCCATTCTCATCCCATTACTAAAATCAAGTGAACAAATGTACCTATTTGGTGATCAAAATCAATTGGCCCCCATCATTCTATCACACAAGGCCATAGAAGGAGGTTTAAATATATCAATGTTTGATAGATTATTTAAAAGTGGTCTTACTCCATTTTTACTGAACACTCAATATAGAATGCATTCTTCAATTTCTGATTTCCCTCGTCATCATTTCTACAATGGTTTATTAAATGTAAATATTAAATATATAAAATAATTAAAATTATTTATTTGTTCTCTTTTTATTTTTAGAATGGAACGAATGATTCAAATTTAAAAATACCAATTGGAATTAAATGGCCTCAAATTGATTTTCCTGTTGTATTTATTGATATATCAAATGGAAGGGAAGAAATTAAACATCATTCACTTTATAATAATGAAGAAGCAGTGGCTGTAGTTCAAGTTGCCGAAAGTTTATTAGAAAATGATGAATCATTATTTAGAAATGTAAAATACTTTACAATCAATTAATAGCTATTATCAACAATCAAATATATTAATGTGTTTTCTCTCTTTTTGTTTTTAAGAATATTGGAATTATAACACCATATCATGCACAAGTTAAACATATAAATCAAGTATTTTCAAATGATAAATCTTGGAGAGGAGCACAACCGTCAGTGGCGACTGTTGATTCGTATCAGGGAAGAGAAATGGATGTTATTATATTTTCAACTGTAAGATCCAATACCAAAGGTAATATTGGGTTTTTAAAAGACTGGAGAAGATTAAATGTATCGATTACAAGAGCTAAAAGAGGATTGGTGGTCATTGGTAACTTTGGTACGATTAACAATTCATCTGATGAACATTGGAAAGCCTATGTCCAATGGGCCAAAGATAAGAATATTATGGTCAAATCTTTAGATAGTATTATTGAAAAGAGTACGGCGAACAAAAAAGGTAAAAGAAAGGCTAGGTCCGATGATGACCCTACACTATCTTTTCGTGACAGTGGTAGTGGAGGGTTTATGTCAACTTTAAATAATAACCAACCCAAAACGACAATCGATGATGATGAAGATCACCACCAACACAACAACACAGACTCTGACGCTTCGCCCCTGTCGGTTGACGATTCAAAAGATCATCTTGCCGATAACGATCATGGTTTTTACCAAAATGATACTACAGTTCATCGAATGAAAAAGAAAAAGAAGAAATCGTCTGCTACTACTACAGCTACGCCAACAACATCAACTACTTCAACATCATCGACGAGTAAACCAAATAATAATAATCATAAAAAGAAAAAATAGGGATGTTCCCCTATCTATGGTTAACAAATATACTCCCCTTTAACAAATTTGTACAATGATTTAACTACGACGATAGCCCGTTTGTTGATCTCTGAATGGAAAAAAAAAAAAGAAATTTTGCTTTATAAGGCAAAATCAGCCTTGGGTCGAATATCTTGCCCTGTTTTTGATAGGCCAGCTCCGCTGATGCCGGTTTTTTTCGTTCACCTCCTTTGAAACCATCATGATCGTCTCCTCCTCCTTGGCACTATTAACCACCACCATATTATTATTTTAGAGGGACTGATCAAAAATGAATAACAAGATTTTGTTTTATTCATAACCTTTTTTTTAATACATACATAAAACAAATAAGAGAGAGATAGGTAGTACGTAAGTGTTAAAATTACAACCCAATCAATTTCTTCTTCATTTTTTTGTTTGTCAAAGAGGAGCAAGGGACACGCGATCGATCCACCCCTTCTTCTCTTCAGAGCTCTCTAAATCTACAATATTGTCATCCATCGACGTGTAGGGAGGGGGTGTGGCCTCGTTCATTGCATGACCAAGGACCATCCATAAACTGTGATGATTTGGCTTTCTTTTGTGGGGCTCATACAATCTTTTTTATCCGTCCGTTTCTCTCTCTTGTTTTTTTTCAGTCGAAAGGGTGATGATCAACAAGGACAGGCAAATAGCAAACAGGGAGGGCGAGAGACAAGACAGCATGAAAGAAAATTATCCGTTCCTTGAACCAACTCGATTGATTGGATGGTCAGAGCGCTCGAGTTGAACAGCAACAACAGGGCATCGGTGGGCATACCTTGTTGTGATCAATCATTTCGACCTATTCTTTCTGATCAGAATTGTTATTTTCTCTTTTATTGTTGTTTATATAATTATCTATCTTTTGTCTAGAGGAGAGAGAGAGATAGAGAGAAAAAACAGAGTTCAAATATATTCAATCAAAAGAGAGAGACGACGACAATCAAAAAGTAAGAAGATGCGACACAGAGAAGACACATACAAGTTGCTCATCATTCATCGCACAGTTCCTTCCTTCCTTTCTACATCATTGATACAGCGGTTGTGTTTGCTGTCTATATATCTTTGTACATGCCATCATGATCATCATCATCTGGCGAGCGAGTAGCAGCGGTTATCGGAATCACCATTGATGATACTATTAGATAGAATGTAGAAAAGTTCAAAGTTATAGAAGGAAGGGTTGTGAAAGAACAACAACAACATTGGTTAACAATAAGAGAACAGGTTCGTGAATCTTATCACAATAACAGACACACTACACTGTCAGTTAGTGTTGTGGGTGTTGTTAACTTATGTCTCAAGCTCCTTTCTTCCTTCCTTTTCTTTCCTTATTTCTACTACGCATCATGATGTGATGCTACTGAATTATCTCAAGCACACACACACACGCCACCACGTCGACCGATCACCACAACACACTTTCTCAACCCCTATCCGAGGAGGAGGGTTGAGTGGAGATAACAATAATCTGTTAGTTAGATCCAACATCAACCAATCAATCTATCTATCTATCTGTCTTGTCACACTGTAATTTAAAAAAAAAAAATAAGATTCTTTTTCTTTTTTTGTTTTATATATTTTTTTTTTTTTTTGTCCAAGATACATTTAATTTTCATCTTCTTCGACCCGACCTCTTTTGTTCAAATCAAATTAATTTAATTTTTTGTCTAAAAATAAAAAACCGTGTTGGTATTCTGAACAACAAGCAGTTTATTACTCCTACATACATAGTTACACCCAACTACCTCGAACTCACTTTTTTTATATATATATATAACTTTATATATATATATATATAAAAAGAGATAGAAACAAAAGTAAGAGAGAGATATATATAAGACACAATCATTCCCTCTTCTATCTATATTCTTAATTAGTCAAACCAACCAACCAACCGGTCGCGACCGACGACGAACCCATACAACCTTACATACCTCTTTTTCCCTCACCAAACAATCAATCAACCAACCAACCAAACCAACTATTCATGTTATGCATATGAAACCACTACTACGCGATCTTAAGATATTAACATAGTTCAATTTTACATTCTAAAGTCTCTAATTGTTCGACATTCTCACCCTCTTTTACTACGAACATTAAAAAAGAAACAAAAAAAAACAAGTGGTGTTCACCAATTTTTTTCAATAATATAGCTTCTGGCTTGGTTTTTCACACACTTTAACGTAAGTTTAATTGACCATTCGTCTCGTCTTTTTTTTTTTCTATTATTATTACATTTTGTACAGATATACACATAGACAGAGACACATAGACATCACAATACAATAACATTAAAAAAAAAAAAGATAATAGCAGCGATTACAACACAGAGTCTTCTATAAAACTGTGAAAGATAGAGGTAAAAAAAAAAAACAAAAATTTAGGAAATAGGATAGGGGCTAGCAGCGATTGAATTCTTTGAATGATCTTTCTATTCTATGCGTTCAGTGGTAGTAGTAGTAGGAGTAGGGGTAATGATTGGTGGTGAGGTGAGTGGGTGGATGAATCAACCTACTGCTATTCACCACCAATCAATAATAATAATAATAATAATAATCACAATGTCAAACAACACCAACCACACACACGAACGACTCACTCACACCACCAAACGAACCAGGTTTTTTTTAAAACAAACAAACAAACAAGAAATTCTAACACTCATTTCTCTCTCCATTCTCTCTTTCTTTCTCTCTCTCTCTCTCTCCCCTTTATCACTACTTCTTCACACATTTTTTTTTTCATATCTTTCTTTTCTCTCCTACTCTTTGTTTACCTACCTACCTACCTCTTTTTTTATCATTTTTTAGATTCTTTACCATTTTTAATTTAATCTTTGAACAACAGCAACAAAACAAAACAAACAACAGTATTGTTTGGAACAAGAGTTTTGGTTTAATATCTATTTTTCACGAGATTATATATTAATTTATCAATATACCAACTCTTTCCATTTTTTTTTATTTTTTTTTCTTTAATCCTCCCTCACATATATACATATATATTTTTCTCTCCTACACTTGTTTATAAGAGTAGATAATAATAACATCAAAAACAACAAAAATAATACCTATATAAGATCATTCATTCAATCATTCATTTATTTATATATACAACTTTTCAATTAGATATCTATATGTATTCATCATTTCAAAAACAAAAAAAGATAATTCATTAATTAGACATTCAAATAACCAGCAGCAAGCAGGAGTATTAGTATTAGTAGTAGTAGTAGTTTGATATATTATAAATACATTTATATATTCAATTTAGTTTCTTTTTCTATTATTATTATCTTTTTCAACAACACACTATCAACACAAACGAGAGAGAGAGAGTTTTGTATTTAAATGGATAGTGGGTTTAGATTTGTAAGCGATACATCAGTGGATGGTTTATCGGGAACACTTCTCAGTGGGCATCATCACCAAGGAGGTGGTGGTCACCAACACCAACACCACCACCATCATCACCAACCATCATCCTCGTTTGGACTTGGTGGCGGCGGAGGTTTTGGAGATTTTAAACCAACTCAACAACAACAACAACAACATGGTATGATGCAACAACCATCATCCTCATCATCACTCTATGGAGGAGTGGGAGGATCATCTTCATATTCATCTACTTCATCGTCATTTGGTCAACACTTTGGTAGAGGTGGCGGTGGAGGAGGTGGAGGTTTCCCATTGACATCGGATTATGGTTCGTTGGATGGTTTGGCAGGATCTCTTACCAGTAATGGTAGTAATGGAAGTCTTGGAGGATTTCCAGTCAAACAACAACAACAACAACAACAACCACAACAACAATCATTTCATCAATCATTCAATCTACTTGGAGGTGTCAACTCGATGAATGGTAATGGAGGGTTCCCCAATCCAGCACCATCATCTTTTTCTCACATGCCTTCGTCGGCATATAACAGCAACAATAATTCACAAAAAGTATCAACTTCATTGCCAGGAGGAATTGACAATACTAGTATGCACCGACTCGATCATCAGCTACTCACCTCGGATGACGAGCCTGTTCCCCGAATCTCACCACTTTCGCAGCTCAACGGATCTTCTTCGGGCGGTGGTCACTCCAAGTCGTACACGGGAACGGGTGCCAGCGGATGGTTGGGCAACACTGACAACAACAGTAGCAGCAGTCCGTATCTTACTAGCTTGCACATGTCGGACAATGCCACGTACCGTTCGATGAGTCCCAACTTTGATGGCTTCTATCCTGGCGGTGGTGCACCAGAATCACGTCGTGTCAACTCACCTCCTATCCAGCAACAACAACAACAACATCAAACATCTCAACAGGCATCAACCACTCAACAACAACTCGAAAACAAAGTAAATATGATGGAGAAGCAATTAAACCAACTTCTCTACCAAGGCAACAACAATAATGGTGGCGGTGTTGGCGTGGGTGGCGGTGGAGGTTCGACTGGTAGCAGCCTTAACAACAGCTTCAACAGCAACAGTCTTGGCTACAGCCTCAACACGGGTAACAGCTATGGTGGCGGCGGTAGCGGTAGCGGATTGTCGAGTGTCATGGGTAATGCGTCATTGTCGCTCTCTCCCTCGCCATCTCCATCTCCATACGGTGGGTTCTCGAGCCACAACCCTCTCACCAGCATGGTCAGCACCTCGTTTGACTCACCACTCGTTTCACCACGTCTCGACAGCCAGCAGGACTCTTACAACTATGGTAATTTTTCCCAATCGGCTCCATTGAACCCCAGCCACTTGCACCACGGTGCCGGCAGCAACGGTATCAACGGCGGTCTACGTTCCAAGCTCATGCCAAGCAGTGTCGTTGGGGGAAGCACTTCACCATCTTTCTCATATGGGGCCTTGTCCTCGTCTACTCCAACCCACAGTTCACAACTTTCTTCACAGTCTTCTGCTGCTTCACTTCATCAACAACAACAACAACAACAGTCGCAACAATCGCAGTCGCAACAATCACAACAATACCCACAACCACAACAAATCGAATCGTATATTCTCAAAGAGACACCTTCACGTACACTCTTTGTCGGCAACATTAGCGCATCGATTGATGACGAGTCGGCCATGTCTCTCTTTTCATCGTTTGGTCCAGTCAAGTCGATCATGGGCACCTGCAAACACCGTGGATTCATCATTGTCGACTACTATGATATCCGTCATGCCATGTCTTCGCTTCGTAATCTTCACAACACTGAGCTTCACAAACGCAAACTAGACATCCGCTACGCCATGCTCAAGGACTGCAACAACGACATTGGCACCCTCGTCGTCTTTAACCTCGACCCTAGCATGACCAACCAACAGCTCACCCAGATCTTTGGCGTACACGGACAGATCAAAGAGATCCGTGAGACACCAAACAAGGCACACCACAAGTTTATCGAATACTATGACACTCGCGAGGCAGCCGAGGCAATCAAGCATTTGAACAAGGCAGAGTTGGCTGGCAAGAGACTTCGTATCCAATACTCGCGTCCAGGTGGCAACAAAAAGAACCTTTGCAACCATTCAACCTCGATCACCAACGATCCCTACGACATGGACTTGAATCCGCTCTTTGAACAGATGAATGGACGCACTGGAGCTTCCATTTTCAGCACCAAGCTCAATCTGTCCACCACCCCCAATTCATCGTCGTCTCAGCCATCTACTCCATCAACCACCCCCTCCTCATCTTTTAACCAACCTTCACAACTATCAACATCGGCTGGTGGTAACTCACAATCCACTCCCATTTCTTCTACCCCCACCTCCTCCTCTTCCACCAATATTTTATCTTTATCTTCAAACAACGGTGTAAATATATCATCCACTATCACCAATAATAATATCAATAACAATAACAACAATAACAATAACAATAATATTATCAATAACAACACTCTTACTACTACCGCATCAAATGTATCACCAGCTAATATACAACAAAGTTGGAGCTCAAAACCAAAATCTTTAAATCTTAATAATATTAATTCAACCGTAGATCTCTCTAATACCACAACGTTAAACACGCCAACTTCTTCTCAACAACAACAACAACAACAACAAGTCACGATGACACCAACAACTCCCAACACCAACATTATCATCAACTCTTCTTCTTCTTCTTCTTCTGCGGCAACACCCACATTAGTAACACCACCACCACAACCACCCAGTCTAGCCAACGAATTCCAAAACATGTTAAATATTAATTCACCACCAGCCTCACCCCGTGTTAATACGGGTCTTCAAATCCCTATCAAATCTGTAAAAAGTCCAAGAAACCCAGAAAAGAGTCCAAGAGGAAGAGATGGAACGCAACTTGCTACCGATCCACAATATATTCTATCAATCGATAGGGTCAAGCAAAGTTTGGATACTAGAACATCTCTCATGATCAAAAATCTACCAAACAGATTCACTCAAACAATGTTACTTTCAATAGTCGATGAAAACTTTAAAGGAACCTATGACTTTTTATATTTACCAATTGATCCAAATGTAAGTAAACAATAGAAAACAAAACAAAAAATAATTGTACAAATATTTATTAATTCATTTATTTCATTTATTTTTTATATTTAGACAAAAGTTAATTATGGTTATGCCTTTATTAATTTTGTTCACTCTAGCTTTATTGTTCAATTTTTTGCAGATTTTAATAGCAGAAAGTGGGAAAAGTTTTATTGCTCCAAAGTATGTGAGATCACATATGCCAGAATCCAAGGCAAGTTGAATCTTATTCAACACCTAAAGAATCCAAGTTCAACCTCTCAAGATAAAGGATTCACACCAAATGTATTTATCGCTGAAATTATATGCAACGAGAAAGATGGAACGATTGTCGACAAACAAGCAAACTCTATAACCTATTTACCACAACATAATTAAGGATTATAAATTGGATCCAATTTTTTTTTTTCCACCTTTTTCCCCCCTTCCAACTTTACAACACCAAATCTTCCATCAATCAATTTTTTTTCCAAAATTTTCCACAACAAAAAAAAAAAATGAATCATATCATAATTAACTCTATTGGAGTTATATACCAAAAACACATAAACAAAACAACTTGTTATATATATAAAATTAATTTAAATAAAAGTAATATAGTAAAAAACCCAAAATCTATTTTTGGGTTGAATCAAATTTAAAAAATATATACAAAATGAAACAATATGGAAGTTAATGTTTATTATTATTTACTACTATACTTTTGGTTGCATTCTCCAATTGTTCTAAAATTTGTTGACTTCTTTGAATGACTGATAATGGAACACCAGCCAATCGAGCACAAAAAATACCATAGGATTTGTTTGAAATGCCAGGCATAACCTTGTGAGTGAATAATAAATCATCGTCTTCTTCCTTTACTGCAAGAGCATAACATTGAATATTTGGCATGTGACTGGCAAGTGAAGTAAGTTCATGATGATGAGTGGCAAATAGAGTACGAGTTTTGTTTGCATATAAATGTTCAATGACAGCACGAGCAATTGCAGCACCATCAAGAGTACTAGTCCCCCTGCCAACTTCGTCCATAATGACTAATGATCTTGATGTTGCTTTCTTAAGGATGCTAGCAGTTTCTACCATCTCTACCATAAATGTTGATCTATCGTTTGCCAAGTCATCCGAACTGCCAACACGACTAAAGACGCTATCTGAAATACCAATCTCTGCACTATCGGCAGGAACAAAACAACCCATCTGTGCCATGATTGTAATAAGTGCATTCTGTCTAATAAAAGTACTCTTTCCTCCCATGTTGGGGCCTGTAATTAATATCAATCCTGTATTTGTATCATAATCCAAATGACAATCATTTGTTATAAATTGTTTAAATGATCCTATCTTTTCCATTTGTGCTACTTCAACTGTTGGATGTCTACCTCCTATTATATTTAATATTGGTCTAAAAAAAAAAGAACAAATAGTTGTTAATACAAACTAGAAATACATTTATCTTTATCTTTCTTGTATCTATTACTTTTCACTAATTTTAGGTCTAATATAATTTCTTTCATGAGAAATTAAAGCAAGAGAAGTTGAAATATCAATTTGAGCAAGTATTTGACTTGCTTCTTTGATCTTGTCACCATATTCTTTGATTAGATCACAAAGTTGTTGAAAGATTTGGATTTCAATTTCATAGGCTTGTGATTGAGCTCTATTGATCTTTTCCTCCATTTCAATGAGATCGCTTGATTTGAAACGCATGTGACTCATTAGAGTTTGAACATGGATAAAGTGGTTAGGGATTTTATGGCGATTCGTAGAAAGAATTTCAAAGAAATGCCCTATCGCTTGTGTATACTTGATCTTTAGTGTTGAAAGTGATAGAGAACTACGATATTTCTTTTGAATGCCACTAATCAATTCTTTGCTGTGGTCTCTAGTGTTTATAAATTCTTTCAACTCCTTGCTATAGGATTGTTGAATAAACCCTCCATCCTGAGTACCAATTGGTGGATTATCGACGAGTGCTTCTGATAGTTCATTTAATAGTTGATCAAAATCTGCTATAGAATCAACCAATTGTATCAATTGTTTGTTTCCAACGTGTCCACGGTTTGCTTTAGACGATAGGTGTTTTGAAATAATTGACTTTAAATTGGATAATGATGACAATGTTGATCCAATCGATGCTAAATCTCTCGGACCTGCTTTTCCAATATAAACTCTTTGTAAACATCTCTCCAAATCATGACACCTAGATAAATGTCTTCTAGTTTCTCTAACCAAATCATTATTATCATGGAAATATTCTAAAAGATTTAATCTACAATTAATTTCTTCTATTGATAAACTTGGTGATTCTAAAAAAAAAAATCAATATTAATTAATAAATAATTTTGTTTTTGTTTTTTTGAACATACGAAGTCTATAATGAAGTAATCTACTACCAGTAGCAGTTTGAGTTTTATCAATAACATCCAATAAACTTCCTTTTCTAGTATTTTGTAGTGTTTTTGTAAGTTCCAATGAATTTCTTGTTGAATAATCAATAGACATTGATTGTTGTTGTGAATATTGTTGTAATTGGTAGACATGAGGAATTCTTCCCAACTGGGTATTGTAGATATAATTTAAAATCGAACCGGCAACTCCAAGTTGCTCGACTGAAAAGTTTGGAAAACTATCAGACACCATTTGTAAATCGTCAATGCCATCATACGCCTCCTTAAACATTGAATGGTTATTATATAAAGAGTAATTTGATGTATCTTCAATAGTAACATGATAAGGTTTCAACATTTTGGTAATATCTTGGTTATCTATAAATATTTTTGGTAATAAAATTTCACTTGGTGATATTCTATAAATTTCTCCTGCTAAATTATCATCTAAAAAATAAAATAAAAAAAAAGTAAATGGTTATTATTACTATAGATATTCAAGTATCTCTTTAAAGAAGCTCTTCGTACAAGTAGTTTGAGATAAATAAAATTGACCAGTACTAAGATCAAGCCAAGATAAAATGAATTTTTGGTTTGTCATATCTTCCTCTTTTGATTTAACTCTACTAGTAGTATTATTCTTTTTAATCATTGATTCATTTGATGGATACAATGATAATAAATAATTATTTTGGAATGGTTGTAAAAATCTATCTTCATAAACTGTTCCAGGTGTTACACTTATAACAACATAAAGAAAAAGAGTAAGTTTAAATGGATACTTTTTGATTTATAAATTGAATAAATATTTACACTCTAACAACTTGTCTTTTAACAACTTTACTTCCTTTTGACTTTGATTGAACACTTTCAACTTGATCACAAACAGCCACTGTCTTTCCATGTCTAATTAATTTTTCTATATAATTGTCTGCTGAATGATACGGAAATCCACACATTGGTATTTCACTAGTTGTATTCTTGATTCCTCTTGATGTTAACTTAAAAAATATATCAAGTCAATAAATATAAAATGAATTAAATCCTCTCTTTTCTTCTTCTTCTTCTTTTTCTTCATCATCTTACAGTAATATGTAATAAACTTGATACAGTGATTGCATCATCATTAAACATTTCATAGAAATCACCAATTCTAAATAACAGAATATGACTTGGATATAACTTCTTGAAATGATAGTATTGTTGCATTGCAGGTGTTACTTTTAATTGTTTATATTTTGTATCAATACTTGTATCATCTATTTGTTCTTCTTCATTATCTTCTTCTTCTTCTTCTTCATCTACTTGTTCTTGTTCTTCTTCCTCTTCCACTTCTTGATATCTATGATCTTCTTGTTTTGGAGCAATTTTTAGTTTAGATGATCCTTGACGAATGACAATCTTGTATTCTTTCTTTGGTGGTTGTAAAAGATCTTGTTTGGTTTCATTGTCATGATCATCATTGTCATTGTCATTGTCATCCTCTTCAAGTTGATGATTGGTATTTTGAAGGGTTGGAGTAGACTTTTTGTTCCTTGTTGGAGAGAATAATGAAGGTTCAGATGAGAATATTGTGTTTGGAGATGGTGTAATAACCACTCTCTTCTTTTTGTTTGACGTAGAAGAAGAAGAAGAAGAAGAGTACGATAATGATGATGATGAAGCGCTTATCGCTACCACGGATGATGCAGTAGTAGTGGCTCTATGTATGTAGAGATGATTGTGTTGAGATGCAACATTGAGAAGCTTACTCAACGAGATCATAACTATACAGTCTACAGTTATCTGTCGAGATTGTTGGAATGAAATGAAACTTCACTTTAGTTCTTTGCTATGCTTTGGTAAAATTCCTTTTAAAAAAAAAGAAAGTAAATTATAATTTTTATCAAGAAGAAAAGAACAATATATATAATGTTTATTAATTTCCACTATTGGTATTGTACAACTTTTAAATTACTCCCAATCAAAATAAGACTATTTATATCCTATCTTGCTTTGACCTAAATCGAGATACCCGAATCCGTAAAACATTAAAATATCTCGTTGCTCGTAAGCGGAGAACCCACCCTCAAGCCCAGTGAAGCCCAATAGTCTATTATTTTCACGCATCCCTATTTTTTTTGTTGTTGTTTAGCCTTTTGGTGTGTGTGGGGATTGTCGTCTTGATCAATCGAAATATTCATCATTTAGTATTATCACTGTATACAATCAGCATCAACAGTAGCAGCAGTATAGCAAGTACTATAGTCCTCTCTCTTTAAGGTTACTTTGATCAAAGGACATATAGATAGTTGAACAAATTATCGATCATGGTCAATGTAATCAATATATTAAGTGTAAACTATATAGTTGGCTTTATAGATGCACTCCTTTTTATGTGGGCTCTTGTACAGACTATTCGTCTCAGATTACATGTAAGCAAAAATGGAGAAAGAAAGAATCTACAACCAAAAACATTCTTTCATTTTATTATTGCTATTGCAATGTTGGGTATGTAGAATATTTAAAAAAAAAGAATAATAGATACACACACACATATATATATACTCACTATTCTATTTTTGTCTTTATTTTGATTCTTATAGTTCGAAGTGTATTCTTTTTTTCATTGGATTCAATACAATCATATTATGATTTAATTTTAACATGGTATACAGTGTCATCATTGATGTTGTTTTTGGCGTATGGATGTTTACTACTCTTTTGGATGGAATTGTATAGTCGGTTTACGAGACCCTATATGCGATCGATGGATTTCTGGCGCAAGTATAAACACGGTCTGTGGGCATTTGGCCTGAGTCTGGTGGTTGCACTGATTGTTTGGATTTTGGTGTTGGTGTTGTGGGCCGACTCGACCGACCGACACGTTCGAATGAACCAGATATGCGAGTCTGTATTGTCGACGTTGTTTTTGTTGGCCGGACTTGGTTTCCTCCTCTTTGGCATACTCTTTTATCGATCGTTCAGAAAGGTCACTGGTCTTGCAACCAGCGCATCGTCTCGCACGACCACATCGGCGTTGATTGCCAACTCGCGTGGCCCACCTCCCGAAGCTATACGTGCAGCTATCGTTGGATGTGTGTGTACCATTTGTTTTGGCGTTCGCGCAGTTGTCACACTGTACGGTATCAAGTTGTCATTCAACGATCCCCAGCAAGCGGGTACTTCAACATTTGATTGGTGTTGGGAATTTGAGCTCGTCTATTTTATCGTCACTGAAATCCTCCCTTCCATCCTCATGATGTTTAGATTGCGCAAGATGAAGACTGGCGGTGGTGGCGGCGGCGCCAACGCTCGATCCCATATGGCAGGTGGCTACAATGGCCAGACACCACCCATGACCATCAACGGCGAGAGCGGCGCATCCTCCTCGGCCTTTATCATCCACAATGAAAATGGTACAGCCAACCAATCCATCTTCCTTCCGCCCCCCTCACTCCCTCAATACCACTATATCCCCTCATCGCTCCCAAAAGCATACTTTGTAAATAATAGTACCAATTCCTCATCTTCCAACTCTCCCTATTAAAATATATCTCAACCCCTAAATGCACCCATTATAATTATTGGTGTGTGAATTATAGCTACAACATACCAGACCGACTAACCCTATCTAATAAATGACTAGATAAGTCACAGATAATAAATAAATAAATAAATTAAACAACTTAAATATTTGGATGGATTTTATTATTATTATGTACATGAATGATGATGATATTATAATTTGGTTGGAACCCCTAGGGGGAATTATTCCCACCCTTCCAATTCAAAGACGATCAACCAGTTCATCATAGTGATGTTGGTTGATGAATAAAAATAAGGATAGGTTTGAAAAAAAAACAAAAAACCATAAAAAACATGCAACTGCAATGAAATTACCAAAAACGAAAGGAAATTGGATCATTGCTTACTTATTTTGGTTAAAGGGTTACGTGTTTTGTCCCAAACACACTGTTTCTATATTTTTAATGGTTTTGTTTAATTTATTTAAATTTACAAACAATTCTATTTTAAAAAGAAAGAAAGAAAGAAAGAGAGTTATATAGACATCAATCATTGAGTTTACATTTAAATATAAATATATAAACATATCTTTCCTTTCTTTCTTTTTGTTTGCAGCATCTATAAAAAAAATGAGTATTGTTAAAGCAAATTCATTACTTAAATTTACACCCGCTACTGTCGGATCACCCATTCCTCAATTAGATAACCGTACTGCTGTTTCAAATGATGAATCATCAAGACCAATTGTATTACTCTACGGTTGGATGGGCAGTCAAATGCCTCATCTTCAAAAGTAAAATCATTGCAACTTTGTTCCCGATACAACATAATTAAACCACTAACCTTTTTATCCTTCCTTATACCTTACTTTCTACCCACCACTCTTACCTATCACTATCGAATCAATTAATTTAGATATGCATTAAAATGGAATGAAAAAGGTTATAATACATTTGCATATTGTCCAACAACTTCTGAAACGTAAATACAACAAAACAACAACAATCAATATATATATAGTGCTATCATGATACTAATTAAGATAATTATTTTTTAAAGATTTATAACACCAGCAAGAAGTAAATGTAAGAAAATGATGGATCAAATCAAAGAATATTTGAATAGTAATCCAAATTGTCAATCTTTGATTATCCATGCTTTCTCCAATGGAGGAGGTTTCTATTATTTCTATACACTCGAATTGTTGATGGAACACAAGGACTATAAATACCTTCATCGTTATGTAAAGGGATCGGTTTTGGATAGTCTTCCAACCCTCTCTCTTAAATCGGCCATCGAAGCTTCCAAGGTATCAGCAGGCGCTCTCTTTTCCGCCTTTTTAGCTATTTTCATTGTTCCAATCATCTATATTGCTATGCGTAACTTTATGATCTCTTATAGAGATCATATAACTCATTCAAAGGTATGAAATGAAATGAAATTAATTAATTTAACCTTGTATTAATATAATATCCAATTCTCTTTTCTTTTTAGAATAAATGGCAACATTTAGTATTTTACTCAAAGAATGATAAATTAGTAAAATATGATCAGGTAACTGAATTCTTAAAGATATTCCGTAACAATCACAAGAATCACCAAGATATATTAATAGAACAATGTTTTGAAGACTCTCCACACGTACTTCATCTCCGTCAACACCCAGAGGTGTATATGAATAGAATTGACCAATTTTTGACTAGAATCAAAGAAGCAAGCTCTTCCGTCTCGTCGTCTTCTTAATAAGGCCCGGTCCCTCCCCCTTTCAAGAAAGAATAATTTATTAAATAAAATATCCAAAACCGTACGCAGCTCAATTCAATTTATGACACTTCGTGTTTCGCTCTTTCTCTATCGACTGAGGATCTGATGAAAGAATCGAGAGAGAAGAACAAATTCGTTCATCGAAAGCCGTCTCCCCGTTGCGCAAAAACCACAGGACGAAAGGGCGTTTTTGCAGATTGTCACCCGCTCCACTGACAGAGCGCCTCTGTCGCACCATCTACACCACAAATATTTGCAGTAAACTAGATTTGATCGGCTGATGACGAATTATGATTCCTGCTAAAAACTACCAAATTAGACATGCGCCCCTTTAATTATCAAATAGTTGTTCTGTAAAAAAGTAGAAAGTAGAGAAGAGAATTGAAAGAAAATAATAATTAGCTCCTGTCCTTTGTTTGTATCTCTAATCTCCTCAGCTTTTGAACGGCGTCGAAGTTTTGGTGGTGCTTGCCCCAACGATAAGTTGTTGTGTAGTACTATTAATAAGAACAAATTGTGAGAGTGTGAGTGAGTGGTTGACCATCATCAGGGACAGGCTCTTGTTGTTGGGAAGTTGTCTGCCAACCAAGAAACCATCAACTTGATACCCTCTGCGGGTGTGGATAGAGCGAGACCGAGAGAGCGAAAGAGAAAGATCCCGTACGCGTACAAAGACAAAGAGACAACAACAAACAAAGTAGTTACAATTGAATTGTGTGGATTGTCGATCTAACTTGATCCTTCTATTTACCACCTACCAGCACCACTTCACTTTTTGGTTGGTTCTATCTTGATATTTGTTTGTCAACCAATATTTATTATTTATTAAATATAGTATTATTTTCTCGAGTGTTTCGTTCATTTAATTAATTTATTGTTGTGTACACGTGTTCACATACTATCACACATATATATTTATATATATATTACTTCGTTATTCACATACAGAGCAGAGACATATAGAAGTTGGTTGGTTGCAACGGTTTATTCAAAGGTATGTATGAAGATCTTTTGTTTGGTCAAGTTTTAATTAACAAAAAAATTAAAAAAAAAAAAAAAACTAGTACTAGTTTATTAATACTTGCATTCTTCACTCATTGCAATAAAATCGATTTTTATCAATATAATCTATTTATTTATTTATTTATTTATTTATTATCACATATCACAACCTTTCTACATTATATATATATATATTTATAAATATATGTATAATCTATTATTTTATATGTAAACTCAAAGCTATTATATATTAGTACTCTCTTTTCTCTACATATCATTGTGCAAATAGAGATTCTTCTTTTTCTTTTTTTTGTATATATTAGATTTTTTTTTTTTTTTATATAAATATATTCAATGCAATATGTTGATGGTTTGGATGTAGCAAGGACTATGCTTTATGAAGTCCATGGCATCTATCAAAACACCAAAACAGCTTGGGAGCTAGTGTCTGACGAAAACAACTGTCAAACCTATTCGGCTCAGATTGACAAAGACTTGATTCATTTCAAATCGTGTGGAGAGATTGATTGTTCGGCCGAACAAGTTTGGAATGTTTTATATAATCCAGAAAATCAAGAAATTTGGGATAATTTTTGTTTCAAAGTAAGGAAAGGAAAGGAAACTTTAATTTAATTAAATTAAAATGATTAATCCTCTTTAAATTTTATATAGTCAAAGATAATAGAGGAAATGGATTCAGTGAATCATATCAATTGTATGGGGTTTGGATCGCCGTTGGGAGGGACACCTAGATACTATTGTTTGTTTAGAACGAGTTATATAGACAAGAAGAATAATCGATATTGGAATTTATTTCAGAGTATCCATCATCAGGGCGCAGAACAGATGATCAAGAATCTAGATGGAGCTGCATTCTTTTCGGAACTGAGGTCGAGTGGTTGGATTGTAGAGTCGATCGGACCACAGAGATGTCGGGTGTTGTTTATCTCTCAAATAGACGATGACAATTTGTTGCCGTATGTGCAACAGGACCGATTGGAGCATCTTAGAAAACTGTACAAAGACACTGCATTTCATTGTCTCTACAAGATACCCAACCTCAAGAAATACGTTTTGGAGAATCGGTCTGAGGAACGATCACCCTATCTCGAAGGTGAGATATTCAAACAGGTGAGCGACACGATTGGCAGTGTCGACACGTTCAATAGTGGATGGACACTCTTTCGTCGGCAAAGCGAGGCAGAGTTTTATTATAGAGATGTAAGCGATTTCAAGGTGGACAGTGCGTTCAACAGACACTTGAATGCGCGGGTTGGCGGTACCGAGCAATACGGTGTGGTCGATTTCATCGCGTCTGGATTCTTTAATGTCGATGCACCACTCGAGCAGATAGAGTCGTTTATCGTTGGATGCAACACACCCCTTATCGACACTTGGACCTATCGATGCGAGTTTATCAAAGAGATTGACGAGAAATCAAGCATCATGGCCATGACATTTAGAACGGTTCTAGCACCCGGCGAAGAAGTTAAAAACTATGTACTCAAACAAAAACTCTCACTACCATCCAACATTAGTTTTATTGGCATCAAATCAATCGAACATCAAAATCAAAACTTTGATATTTGGTTTGAACCAACTGGTTATTTCATTGTCCCTTTGGAAAAGGGTTGGTCTGTTCGTTATTTATTTCATTTTAAAATGATTTATATTAAAAATCAACAAATTTGTAAAAAAAAGGTAAAGAGAGAGAGCGAGGGAGATAAATTTTTATATACATATATATATATTAATTGATTGATTTCTTTTTCTTTTTTCCTTTTAGTTATTATTATCATTATCAGAAAAATTAGTATTTACATTTAATTCAATGAAGAATCAAATGGAAAAATTGGATTCAGATTATCATCCACATTATGATCAATTTAAAGATGCAGATGAAATATTAGATTATTTCTCTAAAATGGCAATTCAAGAGATTGATAAAGAACCAACAGAAGAAAGAAAAGAAGAATTTTATAAAAGTGTTATGTATGTAGAAAAAAATTAGAAACAAACAAAAAATAGAAACAAACAAAATAGTTATAATCATTTTTATATTAATATACATTTATTTTTAAGAAATTTACCAAAAGAAAAAGCAACAATGATGGAAAAGAAAAGAAAGTTTGATGACTATGATTCAAAACTTTTAATTGCTTCACCTTCTCAATCTTTTTGTTATATGAGAAATTCAATATTACCATTATCATTTAAAAGTAGACCATTTTTATTATTGGTATCCAATTCAGCAAAGAGAGTTCATATCAATATGCATGCACAAAAATCACCAAGGTTAAATTATTTAAATAGTAATACCATTTTCGATATGTTGCCCGAGGAAATCATTCAATATGTATTTGGGTTTTTAGAGGCTGCCGATTTAGCAAGCATTTCAATGACTTGTAAAGTGCTAAAAGAAACTTCTTCAACTGATCATCTTTGGAAAACTTTATTTGATCGTAAATTTAAATTAAACATGTCATGTTTATTTCATGATGATAAATGTAAAAATAATAACAACAATGGTAATAATAATAATAATAATAGTAATAGTAATCAAAATCAAAATCAAAATCAAAATAATAATAACCTTAATCAAAATAATGGAATAATGGAAAATTGGAGAAAATTATTTATTTCACAAGAGACGATAGAGAATAATTGGAAAAGAGGGAAATCTAGAATTAGTTTTCTTCAAGGTCACGATAAAAAGATTACAAGTTTACAATTTGGTATGGAGAATGCAGTGACGTCTAGTAGAGACAAGGAACTGCGCGTTTGGAACCTCGGTACCAAACAATGTATAAAGGTGTTGGACAACTTTACATCGAGTGTCGTGTCTTTTGAAAGTGACAATAATTCAAAACTCTCAACCGAGATATTCCCCTATTGTCTCTCATCGACCGGTCGTCTTCGTATTGGCAGCAGCAATGGATTGGTCGTACACCTCAACATGGTGACGATGGAGTCGATTCCACAGGTCCGATTTGTTTATCTGGCCGATGGCTATATCTTTCACCGTGAACATATTTATGTGTGGGAAGCCAACCGACTACAACTTTGGAATGAAGAAACGAGTCAACGACTCTTTCTTTTGGAAACAGGTCGTTCGAAAATCAATGTTTGTAGGCTTGGTCAACACCCCCAACTCTTCACAGCCGGTGATAAAACACTCAAGCTTTGGGACATCAATACACTCCGTCAAGAAAGTCAGCAGCAGCCAGTCCTCACGTTTGCAGGGCATTCTGCAGCAGTCAGTTGTTTTGACTTTTTAGGCGACCACAATATCGTCACTGGATCACACGACAAATCAATCAAAGTATGGGATATCCGACAACCAATCCAACCAGTTCAAAATATCGTATCTGCTCATAAAAAACAATTAAGATCTCTAAAAATAGTTTCAAATCAAAAAATGGTTACATCTGATGATACTTGTATTCAAATTTGGACAACCAATAATCTAAATAATAATAATAATTCTAGTAATAATAGTAATGGTAACGGTAATGGACATGTTGACAATAATAATAATAATAATAACAGTAATGGCAACAACAAATATATTACAGGTTCCGGATGGTTTAAATCATCATGTATATTGGATTCATTTAAAAATGGATTATCATGTTTGGAAGTTGACGATGAATCAATTCTTGCTGGTTTTAATGATGGAATTGTTAAATATTATGATTTTACATCTTGTCCTCAAGCATTTTAAAATAATAATAAACATCATTTGATGGTGCATTCAACACCAAGAGTATTAACAAAAGATAGTTTGTATTTTTATTGTAGCATATGATTGAGTTGGTTCATTAATTTAATTTTTAAATTGAATCTTGATGATTTTCCCTCTTAAAATGAATGATCTTCGTTCATTGTTTTTCATTGTAATATATTCACAGAGATAGATAGGTAGATAGAAATAGAATGACAGATAGTGAAAAAGAAGATAACAAGATGATGAGTGAAGAAGAACATATAGATGAAAAGGAGGAAGAAGAGGAAGAGGAGAGTCATGATGATCACGACCACGATGAAGATGATGAAGGTGACGAAGAAAAGGGTGATTCAAAGAGTGGTGCTGCTGGTGCAGTGTCTGCAGATGGCAAAGAAGAGAAAGCAAAACGTAGTAAATCAAGTCACAAGAAACCATCGACACAATTACCAATAGCAAGAATCAAAAGAATTATGAAAAATGATAAAGATGTTAAATTGATTTCATCAGATGCTTCATTATTGATTACAAAAGCAACTGTTTGTATTAATTAGTAGAGAAGAGTAGATTAGAATAAATAGATTACTAATATAATATATATATATCTATTTAGGAATTATTCCTTGAACATTTAGTTCAAGAAGCTTATAATGCAACATTAAGAGATAAAAGAAGAATTTTATCTTATAAAGATTTGTGTATGTTGAACGTTAAATATTCTTTTTCTTTGTTATTAATTATATATTTCTTATTTTAATTTCTAGCAACAACTGTTAAAGATAATGATAGATTAGAATTTCTTTCAGATATTATACCTCAAAAATTAACTTTATAAATATATAGTAGTAGTAGTACTAGTGGATGGTCAATTATTATTTATTATTTAATATTATTTAAATAGGACGGTGTTTTGTATTATCAAATTCTTGGACTGGAATATCAAATAATATATGAATGAGTGAAGAAGTGGATGATGGAGAAGTTGGTTGTGGTACGACTAGATTATTTAGAATAGAACTATTTGAACTAAATGAAAGAGCCAAAGTAAATTTGACATTGGTTACTGATGATTCGTATTTTGGTAGATCTTGTTTTTTGGTTGGTGTCGAGGGTGTAGCCAATCGTGAACGAATTTCATCATTGTCTAAAGTAGGTGCGTCATCTTTGGAGACACGAACCAAAAAGCCAAGTGTCACCTTGTTATCCTTTCGATCAATGACAAATCGAGAATGCATCGATATCTCTGCATCTTTTAATTGTTGGAGTGCTTGGTTGTCCTTGTCGTCGGTTTCATCCAAAATACCACCAATATAGGTTTCAGTGAGCATTTCAATGGGGATGGCATTATCGTCTTTGGAACCATAGATTTGAAGGGTGTTGTCGGAGTCCTTTACCTGCTTGAAAAAGCAGATAAACAAATAAGAGTGAAGTGGGTTTGTGAATTGAATTTGTACATTGCAGACATCTTTTTCCAACCAAATGGCACGTGACACTACTACACGTGGCACATAGGAAAAGGCAAAATGCTGTCTCTTGAATTCGGTCTTGGCCGGATTAATGTCTGGCTTGGCAAGCAGTTTATCGCATCGACGACAACGTTTTGACCGTCTGGTGAGCAGTTGCTTGTGTTGTGGTGCCAGTTGCTCCTGCTTGGCGTTGCTGAGCAATGGTCCCTGCTGCTGGTTGGCAAATCTCTGTCCGAGACCATTGATCTTGTTGGCATTATCGATTGCCAACAATGCATCCACCTCTTCCATATCTTGTTTGACATCATCTGATACTATCGGTTGGAATTGTCTTGCTTCAACTCTACCCTGCATCATTTGATCAACTTCTTGATGTCCAATTGGATTAATTCTTTTTTTAATTGCCATCTTTGATAATAAATGATTAGAAGTAGAAGATGAAGAAGAAGTAGATGAAGCAGATGATGAAGAGGAAGAAGGAGATGGTAAAAGTGGATTGGATGGTTGAGGTGAAGCAACTGATCTATTCTTGTTCCAACGTTCATCACGAATAAAATTATTTGCAAGTGATGATGAATAACCTAGTGCAGAAGAGTTGAGAGAATATCCTGATCCTCCTCCTCCGCCGCTACCACTACCACCACTTCCACTTCCACCAGCATTGGTAGGAGAGAATAACTGTCTCATTGCTTGTGCCAATTTGAGTCGAGTCAATGTACGAGAATCTTTACTCGATGCAATGTCTGCAGCTTCCTTTTGCAAAACATCCAATACCTTGTTGGCCTCTAATTGCATCGGACTGAGTTCCTTTCCCTTTGTACCACCCGACAGTATAGACAATGTATCATACTTTGAATTATCCATTCCAAATGAATTCCATTTACAAAAATTACAATATAAAAATAATGATGATGTACCTCCTTCAGTCGTTGATTGTTGTTGTTGTAATGCCAATACACTAAAACATAATGGACAATCATAACACTTTTTACATCTATTTCCATTTTGACTTGCTTCAGCTACTGATACATGATCTAAACAATTTGGGCAATAATAACAATCTAAATGTATGAAGAATATAATTAGTCAACCTATCTAGTCTATTATATATCTATCTATCATACCAATTTGTTCAGTTACACAATGCTTGCAGTTTAACTTTTGACAACCATTACAAAAATACAGTTCTGTAAGATTGAATGATTTACTGCATACACAGCTATATTTGATAATGTTGCTCCCATATGGAGGGTTGTTGATACAACTATGATTATTATATCTTATTGATTGTTCCATCTATTGTACTTCATTTAATATTTAAACAGACATCACAAAAAAGTATGCTTGTTTACTGTGAACTTGTTGTTTCTATTAAAAAAAGAGATTTTTCAAAAAAATTAGAAAAAAAAAAAAAAAAAGAGGCAATGAGCAAAAGTGAGAGGTGAAACAAACATTCCTTTCTCCCATTTTCGGTTGATAGATAAGATAAGATAGATAAACAAAGAAAAGAAGATAATATATATTCTATCGAATAGTACAATACTACATACAATCTATCTAGAGATTTGGGTTGTTTAAAAAGAAAAGAGAGTAACTAGTTGTTACTCTTTATTTATAAATAGATTGTATAGAGATAGATAGAAGAGAGTGAAGAAAGGAAAGGATAGTACTATTCAAATATTCAAAATATAACAAATGATGAGCGTTTTAAAAAAGAAAACAAAGTCTGGTAAGTAATAATAATAATAATAATAGTAATAATTCATCTCTCTCTAGCAGATGATTATTAGTAGATAATCTTTTAAAATCTTGTACTCATTTCATTTTTTATTTAACAACAATCTATATTAGAAGAATGGGAAAAGAAAAATAAAGAGACGGCAAAGAAACCACCAATTGAATCATCTTCATCTTCAGAATCATCATCTTCTTCAGCTTCGTCATCTTCATCATCAGATGAAGATAATGTACCAGATGTAAAGAAAAAGAAATTAAAAAAGGATAAAGAAAAAGAAAAGGAAAAGGAAAAGGATAAAGACAAAGACATTGTTGAACTAGATGATGGTAAAAAGTTTAGATATGGACAAGTTGTATATGGTAGAATGATTGGTTATCCTCTTTGGCCTGCAAGAGTAAGTTGTTGTTAACAACAAAAACATATATCTTTTTTTTTTTTTTTTTATTAAACTTACATTATTCTCTCTTTAGGTACATAATCCAAACAAATCAATATCAAGTGAAGTAAAGAAAGCTCAACCTAAAAATGGATCTGTAATATTATTACATTTCTTTTCTAGTAATGATTAGTATGTTTACACAAACAAACAAACAAAAATTGTACTAGTTTTACTAATTGGTCTTTTTTTTTATTATTTAGTGCATGGCTTACACCAGACTCTGTATTTGAGTTTGATAATCCACCATTGAAAACAAAACCAAAAAGTAAAGTATGGGTCAGAGCATACAAGGCTGCTTTGAAATATATTGCAAATGACGAACAATCTGCATCTGAAGATGATTCGAGTGAATCTGATAGTAGTGATAGCAGTAGTAGTGGTGAAAGCGATTCTGAAGTATCAGATGATGGATCAGAAATGACTGACGAGTCTAGTGATGTAGAAATTAAACAACAACAGCAACAACCAAACCTTCTACTTTAACAAAACCAACCGCAAAAAGACCTTCATTATCAAAAGATAAAGTCAAAGATAAAAAAGAGGTTAAAGTTAAAGAAAAGGTTAAAGAGATTAAAAAAGATAAAATTAAAGATAAAAAAGTAGATAAACTAAAAGAAAAAGAAAAAGATAGAGTAAAGAAAAGGAAAAAGAAAAAGAAAAAGAAAAAGAAAAAAGTAAATCTTCTTCTTCTTCTTCTTCATCCTCTTCCTCTTCATCATCAACGAAAAAAGAAAAGATTAAAGAACCAATTAAAAAAGAAATTAAAAAAGAAATAGAAGTTAAAAAAGAAATTAAAAAGGTAGATAATAGTAAAAAGATAAAAGAACAACTTCCTGTAAAACCAGTTAAAAAAGAATCTTCCTCTCCTTCTATTACAACTCCTTCCAATACTCCATCTTTGTCATCATCATCTTTATCAAAATCAAAATCAAAATCAAAAAAATCAACAGCCAAAAGAAAAATTGAATCTGATAGTGAATCAAGTGATGAATTACCTCCATCACCATCATCTTCTTCTTCAGATTCGGATTCCGATTCAGATTCATCATCAGAGGATGAAAAAGTAAAAGGAGTGGATATTACAAGAAAACATAAGCGATTAAAAAAGTATAAAGATACTGTAAAAAAGGATTCGAAAAAGTCATCATCATCATCATCATTGTCTTTATCCTCCCCTTCAACGGCAACTGGTACTAGTAGTGTTGGTAAATTGAAACAACCAACAATTTCATCACCAACCACGAGCGCGATAGCCACTGTATCCTCACCTTCCACTCCAACTCCTTCATCTGCATCATCCTCTTTGGCTACAAGCACAACCACTACAACAACAACAACATTTTACAATAGAGGTCCACCAACTACCTCTTCAACCACTTCTTCAGACGCTTTTCCGATCGATCTCGATTCCAAACCATTTTATACTGAACCACCCAGACATGTATTAAATAAGACCTCGACCTCTCCCTCACCTTGGAATATCGATACATCAGACTATGGAAATATTTCAAAACAACAACAACCTCAATCGATTGGTTCGGTAACTGGCCAATACTCGCCTTTACCAACAACATCGCCATATGGAAAAACATCAGGATTTGAAGACTATTTATCAACTCCTTATAAACCACTTTATGGTAGTGGTACGACAGACTATTCATCATTGGTATCAAGTAGTAGTGGTATAGTCAATACAAGTTCAATCTATGATCAAATCTATAAACCATCTAGTAGTATCAGTACTAGCTCAAATAATAATAATAATATAGGTAGTGGAATTAACAATCTATCATCATCATTTTCTAGTACACCAACCAAAGATACAAATAGATCAATAATGTCATCATCAACACCCAACTTTTCAACCATACCTCCTCCAAACAAACAAGATTTACCTTTACCACCCAACAATAGAATTTCACCGCATCCTCTTGTTGGTCATCATCACCAACAACCACCTCCTCCACACCATAAACCCGAACCTTATGATCGTGACGATGATTATAGACGTGGCGGAAATTATGGTGGTGAAAGAGGAAGAGGTGGATATTACCGAGGGGGAGGTGGAGACCGAGGAAACAATGATTTCAGAAGAAGAGACGACTATTATGGACCACCTCCTCAAGGAGGAGGAGGTGATCGTCTAGACTATCCTCCTGGAGACAGATACAATAGAGGACCACCACCACCACAAAACTACTATGGCGGAGGAGGTAGAGGTGGAAGAGGTGGAGGTGGGGATTACCGTTATAAACCACATTACGAACCAAGAGGTGGAGGTAGAGGAGGAGGAGGAGGAGGAGAAGGTAGAGATCACTGGGAAAGAGATAGATGGGATCACCCAAGAGATGGTGATCGTTTTAATGATCATAGAGGACCACCTCCACATCATAGAGATTTAGATCGTAGAGATATGTCTATGGACAGAATGGACAATAGAATGGATAGAGATAGAATGGATATGGACAGAAGAATGGACAGAGATAGAATGGATATGGACAGAAGAGATGATCATTGGGATAGATGGGATGGACGTCAAGATCGATTTAGAGGAAATGATCATCATATTGACAATGTAAACAGTAATCAACAACAACAACAACCACAACCGCAACAACAACAAAATAATATAAATAGTAGTGGTAAAGAAAGTAAATGGGATAAATCAACTCATCCTCCATCGACCACAACATCCCATTAAAAACAAAATGTCAATCATACCTATCCCAATCGGTGAATAGGTATGAAATAATAATAATAATAATAATAGAATAGAATAGAATAGAAAAATCACAACAAAAAGAAGAATAAAACATAAAGTACCCTATTTATTTCTTTTTAAAAAAGAGATTTTTATTTTAAAACAAGATTATGTACAGATTTTAAATCAAAATCTGATCTTCTTGCCAAAACCAATTTAATGTCTAGAGCAGATAGTTTCCATTGATATCCCTCCAATCCCCATAAATCCATAACATCTGCAGGTTTATCCAAAGTCAATAAATGAACAATTTGTGATAATTTTGCAAATTTATGTCTAACATTTTGTTCACTCGTTAAACTACATAAATGTTCAATAATTCTTCTTATATCTTTTGATATTTGCATTGCTCCTAAAAAATTAAACCTAAAATAAAAATATAAATAAATAAATAAACAAAGAAACTTTTTCTTTTTTCTTTTTTTTTTGACCCTTACTTTTGTTGTTTTAAATGATCTTCAATAGTAATAGAGATATGATTTGAAATTAGATGAATTAAAAGATCAAAATTTTTATCAACCATTTGAGAGTTAAAATTGTAGAGTAAATCATCCAATCCTTGCATAAAATCGTGAACAAATGGATCATTAATTTCGTATCTTTCATATTCTTGATCATTAATTTCATATTTGATATTTCGTAGTGGCCAACATAATTGATTGATTGGTACTGTCAGCATTTGGAATATTTTATCTACATTTTCTTTTAACATTGTTTCCATTCTTGTCTTTAGCGATGTCATTGCTTCACCATAGATACAAGATATAATCATCTTGCAATCATCTTGATTTTTATGAAAAGTATGTTCTGCATTTGCCTTTAATTCCTGTTGCATTTGATCTATATAATTTCTTGTCAATGTAAAATCATTTAATATTACCAAAAAATAATCTCTTTTATCTTCAAAATTTCCAATATATGTTTGTTTTAATAATATTTCTAAATACTAAAATAAAAAGAGATAAAAAGTAAACAAAAATTAATTAAAATTTGAATTTTAATATTTTTTTCTATCCTTTTTGCTTACAGGTAAATAAAGTGAATCAAAACTAGTAAAAGTAAGATTAATTGTAGCACAAACACTTGGAGCACTATTTGTTGAAAGAGCTCTTTGAATTACTTTTCTAAAAACAAAAAAGATATCATCAACTTTGGTAGAAGTTTCAATTTCTTTGATTGTTTTATCGACTTGGTTCATTTGAGGGATTCCCATTTGTTGATTCTTTAGATTGATTATTAATTGACCCAAATCATCCAAATACAATGCCATTGAAAATGATAATTGAAAGTATTCGGATTCCAGTGATATATAATTACTTAATATATCTTGTACTCGTGATTTTAATTTGTTAATTTCTTGAATTTTTTTGTTCTACAAAAAAAAGAGAAAAGAAATTAATTAATTTAATCCACGATTGATTTTGTTTTTTCTTTTTTTTCCTTTTTCATACAGTTGAATTACAATTATCTAAAATAAAATTTGAATATTTAAAAGAAATATCAGAAATGGCAGATAATGAATCAACCAATTCATCAACACCTAATAAATATTGTATAGAATCTACAACTTTTTGATTATTTGTTAAATTTAAAATTAAATCTTCTAAATGACTATTTGCTTCATTAAATAATATATTCTATAAAGAGGAAATTAGAAATTGATTAATAAATAAATCTATTATTCATTTTTTTTCTTCTTCTTTCTTACAATTCTATTATCTTTAAATCTATCACAAATTAAAGTATAAATTTGATCAAGATAAAGAGATGATTGATTATGAAGAGTGATTGTCATTTTATGAGGTTGCCAAGTACGTAATTTTAAACCTTTTCTATTCTTTTCCAAGATAAAGTTATTCCATGCCCATTGTTGATTACATGCTTGAAGAGATTGTTTGATCTTTGAAACTACAATTTTCAATACACTTTGAAGTGAAGTAAAACAATTATCAATTGCTTTAATCTTGACTGAAAGGTTTTCATTATTGTTTGGTAGTTGTTGATTGACTCGTAACATATCCTTTATCACATTTTGACAATCCTGTAGTATATCTTTGGATTGATAAGCCACAAATGCTGATAATCCTTCATCCTCTTCTTGTTCTTTATCATCCTTGCTATCAACCAATATAATCTTTCTTAACAACATTGATCTTAGTTGTTGAAGAATTGATGTCATTAAACACAAGTATAATACGATTTGTTGTTTTGGTAATTGTTGTACTACACTTGTCATATGAGGCTGCTGTTGTTGTTGTATATTTGATAGAGGTTGTTGTCTCATTGATTCTTCACATCTAATCTTTACCAATTGATATAAATCCTCTAGCTTTTGTAATGATGGTAAAAGATATGATGATTGATGTGCATTATATGTTGTATTTGATCCATCAGCATTATCTGCCAACAATGTATTGTTACAGTGTCTGTGCAGTGATTCAATCGTTATAAATACAAATTGCTTTAGGTTTGTATATGCTGTTTCATAATCTCCTTTATTCAACTTATCATTCATCACTGCTATCATTAAATCAAGATCACTTGATGTTTTATTTATATTCTTTAGTAGTAGGTAAAAAATAAATTAGAATTTATAGATAGTATGATAGAGATAGATAGATAGATAGAATGAGTTACCATTGATTTCATAAATTGATCCAATTCATCTTCTGGTGCTTTAATTGTTGTTGTAGTTGAACCGGTTGTTGTTGTTGTTGGAGATGATTGTCTGCGACTTGATTCTTGATTATTGTTATTATTATTATTAGATACTCCATCTGATATTATATCAGAACCAATCGTACTTTGATTCACTCCCATTTCTAGAAATATACAACTAATTTAAATTCACAAATGGATTTGAAACTTGTGGATCATCTGTTTTTTATGTGTTGTCTCGAAAACTGCAAAAAATTTTTGAGTATACACAAGTTTTTTTTAAAAATTTCAATGTTTCTATTCATTTTTATATATATAAAAATAATATTAACAAAATACTCATATTTGATTGAAAATGATTGATTAATAAAGTTAAAATTACCAAAATTTTCAAAAAAAAGGGTATAAAATGGGAAAATTTAAAAATTAGAACATCACAAAACTTCGGCTCTTTAGTTCAGTGGTAAAATACGTTGTTAGGGTCAACGTGGCCTGGGTTCGATTCCCGGAAGAGCCCCAAACTTTGTTGCTTTTTTTTTTTCTGCGTGTCCGGCCTCATTTAATAAATATGATAGTGCATATGTAGAGGGCCCTTCTAACGTATATCACTATTGTATTTAATAAAGAATAAGAGAGAGTAATAAAGTCTTTATAATGTTGTTAGAACAATTTTGTGTATTTATTTATTTATTACTTTACTATACCTTTATAATGTTGTTAGAACAATAAAGAGTATAATGAACGTTCGCGTGTCTTAAAGGTTATCGTTTGTAAAAACCGAGATAATGAGATCTTCATTACACTCACCTCAACAAGCTCTAAACCTCCAACACAAATGATTGCAACTCAACACAAACAACACATATAAAAATAAATAATAACAACATTTATTTAAACTAATAATCTGTACAGGGACAAGAGAAATCTTGCCAACCAATTAAATCAAATAAATCTAAAATACACTTTTTGTACAGTAAAAAAAAAAAAATTTTATAAAAAAACTATAGTTTTAATTTCAAGGTATAATTTAAAACTAAATCAACACAAATTGGTCATTAAGACCATTTCAACAATTGGCCAACAAAAAACATGGGAGTGCAAAATTTATTTAAATGGACGAGTTTATGATTTCCCTAAACCACGCAATTCATTTAGAAACTGTTTGCAATTGATGATACTGGTACCACCCAATACTATTTTAGGACCTCCCTTGTTGATTAAATTAAATGAAAATACATTATATGCTTCTTCAAAAGTTATACCTCCAACCATGAAAATAATTATTTCTGTTGGTCTATTAAAAAAAAAAAAAAAATTAATTTTGATATTTTCTTTTATATTTTTTATGAATACATACTTTTCTTTTGTTGTTTGAGAAATAAACGGAAAAGATTGAATTGATAATTTATCATTTTGAATTTGATTCAAGATATTGAAAAGTAAAGGTTTGTGTTGGGTATAGATATTGGATACACCATTTAAACCTCTAGTAGCCATTTGTCTGACAAATGTAAAGAGATTTTTGTTTCCAAAAAGATCACCCTCTCTTTTGGTTGCACTTGCATAGTTGATAAGAGTAGTGATGAGGGAAATGTCTTCTTTTGGTATGCCAACCCTTTTTTCCAACAATTCCTTTAGTTCCCACAATCTACCATCTTCATAACGAAGACTATACAATAATACCAAAACCAATTTGTCTTGGGCGTTGTATTTTGGATTCTCCAATGCTTGAACCAAAGTTACATAGGCAGTATTGTGTTCGTGATTACATGCCAACTCTTGTTGCATTTCTGAAATGTCCATTAAAAAATCTTTAGAGATCCTATTGCTCAATTCCTCCATCACGGCTACATGTTTTGAAACCTTTGAGGAAAGTGTGAGGAAATCTGGATAGTCCAACATAAAATTCTTCATATCTTCTATTGTTGAAATGTTGGCATTTGAATTTGTTTTTTCTTGATAACTATCTACAAGCTTTTTAATAATCGATCCAAGGTCACCATAGTTTTGGTATAAATTATCTCTAAAGAATGAATCTTGAAGACTTGATAAAATTACTTGATTGGTTGATTGGAAAGCTTTCTTTTTATCTTTACTATAGTTTGGAAGAGGTTTTTCCAATTTAACAACATTATTATGAATACCCATTAATTCATGAACCATTGCTTGATAGGTCCATTGATGAAGCAATGGTGTTACTGGATCATCCTTTCTATCTAAAATTAATAATAATGTTGATGAAGATGTATTATTGGAAAATAAATCTCTTTCTTTTAATATTTTATCCTAAAAGCAGAAAAATAAATAAATAAAAAACATAGAATAAAAAAGTACTTCTATCAATCTATTTACATACATTTAGGGATGAAGCTAAAAATTTAGATGATTCAGATTTGATAGAATAACGAATGGTTGGAAGGGAAGGTTTTCTTTTAACAGCTAGTAAACTTGAAAATACACCTTGTATGATACGTTCTGTTTGTTGTGGTGACCATTTACTCTTGATTAGAACATTATCAATATTTAAATTAAACAAGTCTTGATTGATTGCATAGAAATCGGCAAAGAATTCTTGTACTTGGTGGACTAGATTATTGTTGTCAGACTTTGCAAGTTCATCAATTAATCCAATACCAATAATATTTGAAAAGACTAGAAAGAGAGAGAAAAGAAAGTTTAATACTTTTGAAATAAAGTGTCAGTGTTGGTTTGTATCGAAATGCGCATACAAAGATTATAGGAAGAGTATTTAGGAGTTGTACAACTCAATTCTTGAACGATTTTAGATATATTGAGTTGAGTAGGTCTAACAAAGTAAACAGCTTTTAGATGAGTCATTATCTCTGCAGATTCATTGTCGATTCTTTCAAACAAGAATACTTGTTTTTGAAGAATATCTGATTGTGTATATACCATACTAACAATACCTGCCTATAGATGAAAAGAAAAGAAAAGAAAAGAGTTGGTGTTATTGATTTACGACTACTACCTTTAATGATTATACATATATAACATACAGTCTCTTTATCTAGTACCAATACTTTCATACCATCTACCATTCCCAGCATCTTGTCTACATATTCTTTGATTGAATGTGTTACATTCATTTGATTTGACTTTGCTTCCATTGATTGTTTTGAAACAACACCAACAACAAGTACTATTATTATATTATAATATGATTATTCATTCATTGTTGTAAACTCTATTTAAATTAACAACAAAATATATGGATTTTTTTTAAAACAAGTCTGCAAAGAGAATCAACTTCAAGGAAAATATTCTCTCTTTTTGTTGTTTTTTTTTTTTTATTGATTTAATTGATTGTTATATTTTTTTATATAAAATATAGAATGATAATGAAGAATAAAAGGATTGACAAGGTTTGTTATTATAATTATTAGTTTGCCCATCTTGTTTTACCTGATCCCATTAGGTATGCACGTGCTTGTTCAGCAGAAGGTGGTTCATACCAAACTCTGCTGGTTGGAATTCCAAATACCTGATCACGGTATACACTAGCAGTATAGTATATTGCAGATCCGTTTAAAAGGATCAATTTAATGCCATACACTAAAACTGTTTGGAAAATAGCAAATGTACCAACATCCAAATCAACCGGTCTAGTAATTTTTTCTTGAATTGGTATGGGACCGGTATATTCAAACTTTGTTTTAATATCACTCTTCTTGTCACATCTAGATTGGGAAAACAATAAAATGATTAATTTGATTTGATTTGATTTGATTGTTTTTTTTTTAAAACCTTACTCTGCAACTGTTTGTTCCATGTTTGTATAATCTGGTACAGTTCCCCTGAAACAATTGATAGTTTGTCTACCAGGTGTTTGGGATTCCTTGAATTCTAGATATTGATGGTATACTGAAATTGGTTTGGCATAGATCTTTATCCATGATTCATCCGAAAGGGTGATAAAATTTGATTTCTATTTTATAAAAGTAGTTTAATAAAGATAGACTTTTTTTTTTTTTTACATTTATATCTTTTTGATAACATACAATCATAATGAATGGATCGACTGGGTTTTTTAAAATCAAAGCACTGTCTACACCATACTCTGTTGCAACCATTGAACTACCTTCAAGATCATAACCTTGTTTGGGGTCTCCACCAAAGTCTAGTTTTAAACATTTCAACTCTTTTAAGTTAAGTTCTCCAAAACTTGGAGGTGTCGAGTTACTACTAATAATTGACATTATTTATATAATTTTTAAAATAATTATAAAAAAGGAGGAGGTCATCATGATGATTATAAATAGTAGTCAGAACGGTCAATTTACAATTCTTTTTATTATTTGTAATTTAAAACTTTTTGTCAATTTACAAATTCATTGTTGTGGGTTGGTGTCTTTTGTAATTTAGCCTTGATTGTGTGAAGAATTGGGATTATGGGGTTGTATTTGTTAATTTTAGAAGCAAAAAACACCACTTGGTCACCTTGTATGAATAAAATACTTTCAAGATGAAATATCATTTTGGTTTAAAATATTTTAGTTTTAAATTTATTTGATTTATTCATTTTGTTCAATTTGAATCGTTGAGGGATATATATTAACTTTTTTTTTTCAATTTTAATTTTGCCATCTAACTTTACCAATAGTTCCTAAAAGATAATCATGTACTTGTTGAGTAGAGGGTGGTTCATACAAAATTCTACTCAGTGGAATCCCAAATACCTGGTATCTGTAAATACTGGCTATCTTGTAGAATCCAGCCGAACCCATAGTATATCTAATGCCATACACTAATGGTTTGAAAGATCGCAAAAGTACCAACATCCAAGTCAACTTGTCTAGTAATTCTTTCTTGTGGAATGGGTGCTGTATAGGCAAACTTTGTTTTGATATCTAAAACTCTATCACATCTATATTCATTTATTGAAAAATATTAATAAGAATATCTTTAAAGTATTTTAATAACTACTCTGAAACTATCTTTTCTATTGATGTAAAATCAGGTACCGTTCCCATGTAGCAATCTACTGTTTGTCTACCTGGTGATGGTAAACTGCAATTGGTTTAGCATAGGTATTTATAAATAATTCTTGATCGATGGGGATTAATGATGAATTCTAAATTTTAAAAAATAAGCTAGTTTGTTAAAATCAAGAGAGAGAGAGACATACAATCATAATGAATGGATCTACAGGGTCTTTCAACACCAAGGCACTGTCTACACCATACTCTGTTGAAACCATTGAACTTTGTTCAAGATCAAAACCTTGTTTGAGATCACGGCTATATCCAAAGTCTAGTTTCAAACTTTTCAACTCTTTAAAGTTTACTTGTCCAAAACTTGGAGGTGTTGGGTTTAGTCAATTTACAATTATTTGGTTGTCAATTTACAAACTCATTGGGTGGGTCTCCCCTCCCTCTTTGTTAATTTAATTTAGATGGGGGTTTCAAGTGGTATTCCTTTGTAATTTGTCAATGAGAAAAAAATGGTGTAAACTAGTTAAGAAAATTAAAAAAGTGACAATTCTTTTTAATTAAATAAATGAAAAGGATAGAATAATGATATATATTTATAGTTATCCTATTATTATTGATGGATGGATTCAAAGTCAAATTAAAACAGATTGAATGTTAATAATTTGTTTATAGAATGAAATAAAGGTGACGAGTCATGTACATAGTTTTTTTTATTTTTTAATAATAGAATGATTTAAAAAGTTTTTTTTTTAGACTAAATTGGAAATATTAAGAGACCCATTATCAATATTTAGGTATCCCATCTTCTTTTACCTGGACCAATGAGGTATTTATGTTTTTGCTCGACAGATGCACCGCAGTTTTAGCGTGATGTATCCTCGTACTTGGCGAGTTTTTACTTTTTTTTGCTCAATAAATAATGAGGCACAATGCCAAGGATACATCGACTAAAATGATATTAAATTTAAATAAAATGATCTAGAAACTTTATTTATAGTATTATTTGAGTATTTGTATTGTTTTGTACTTGTACTGAATGTTTTCATCTGGTTTTGAGAAAACTCGCCAAGTAATTGGATACATCACGCTAAAACTGCGGTGTAAAGTTAATTTGTTCTGGGGGTTTGTCCATGTCTATTGTTAGATTCAGATTGTAAATTAAATAACAGTCAATGATTAGTCAAGATATTTCATCTAATTATCAACATACTTAATCCTGGTGCCAAATATAGAAAGTATGCTGGATAAAAATACTAACGACTAAACTATTGTCGGTTAGTCGTCTCGAACAACAAACTATAAAAGACCAATGAAATCAATAAACATTAATTCATCTTTTATTACTATAATTAATAATCATTTACAATCTAATCTAAAGTCATTATTACTATCTATATATTCATATATCTATATATTATTATTATTATATACCTCTCAAACTAATTATATATTTACCAAGTATCTATATAGTTATTACATCTATGATACATGTTATATGGACGTTGATCATGTATCTTATTGTATAGTGTCAAGCATGTTGGATTGTTTTGGATTGTTGCTTGTTCTAAAAATAAATTGGTTAAAGATATCGCTATTTTTTTTTTTTTTTTTTTTCTCAGCACTATTGGTTGTAATATTGTGTTATATAATTATTCAATGTTATTATTATTATTTAGTAAATTATTATATTATTAATATTATTATTGATAGATGAAGAGAGAGTAGAAGAAGATGAAGGTGTTGACGCAAATATGGCACCCATCTTCTTCTAATTTTTAGTACCATACTTGCGGTTAAACCTTAAGCCTTGGGTGCGTCCAAGACCGACTGCCGCTCTCACGCCGATTTACTCTATTTTGGACACTCGTCTTTACGTGTTGCATATTGTATTTGAGATGTCAGATGGCTTTCTATCGCGACGGCCCAGTAGTACCCCTCTACCTTCCCGTTACTTGTTGCAGTCTTGCTCCCCAATCTCCTACTGAGAAGGGGAAACTAACCCGGTCATCCTTCCGTGGTGGTGTCCTGTCTCTAGATCCCTAGAGTCGGATGGTTTTACTCCTTAATTCCCCAATTGTGGTCAAGTTAAACGTTGGCGCCAAAAGTCAAGTTCGAGGGCAGGGTCGCACACTCCCGACTCACTTGACACGCCATGCCCTCCGATCGCAACAGCCTTTAAATAGGCGCAAAGGCCAACTAGGAATACATCATCTCAACTCCTCCTTTGTGGTGTAGTCGGTAACACTTTAGTCTTTCACACTGACACCCCGGGTTCGATTCCCGGCAAGGGAGAAAATTTTTGGTACTTTATTGGAGGGATTTTTTTTGCTCCTGTTCTGTATTGAGAATGGACCATTTTTTACAAAATCCCAATTCTCACGCACCTACAAACGAGCAACAGCTCTCATCATTAATTATTATTACATTTTATATAACACTATTCAATCTATAAGACTAACCATAGTTTATATAAGGTAACTAAATAATAAAGATTATTACATTTTATATAACACTATACAATCTATAAGACTAACCATAGTTTATATAGATTCTGATTATTACCATCCTATTACTATCTATATCGTAGGGCCCTCGACAAGATAGAGCATAGTTTAGTAAAGTTCCATCTACGACGTATTCTACTCGGTGTTGGCTATCGTTTTATCAAGGTTTCATTGATTTTGGTCCAAAACCATCCAATCAAAAGCAACTTTTAACTCTATCCACTTTTGTTTTGTTTTTTTTTGGACTCTTTGCAAAGTATACGAAATAACATATTCAATTAAATTGAACGTTATTATTAAAAGTACATCTAGATTGAATATTATTAATTAAAGATAGAATAATCTATTCAAGAAAATGATTTTAAATTAAATTAAATTATTTTGTCAAAAATATAATGACCCAAAAAAAAAATCAATTTCATTCACTATATTATTTTTGCAGATATAAAAAGATACAAAGAAATGTCAAGAATCTTACATACAATGTTAAGAGTTGGTAACTTGGATACCTCTATTGACTTTTATACCAATGTACTTGGTATGAAGTTATTGAGAACAAGTAAAAACGAACAATACAAATACACGTGAGTTAGCTAGCTTTATCGTAGATCTTTTCTCTATTAACACTCTACTTGTTTATATTAATTTAGATTAGCATTTGTTGGATATACAGATGAATCAAGTGGAGCAGTGATTGAATTAACATACAATTGGGGAGTAGAAAAGTATGATTTGGGAAGTGCATTTGGTCATATTGCAATTGGTGTCGATGATATCTATGCTACTGTTCAAAACGTTGCAAACAAGGGAGCCAAAGTATCACGTCAACCTGCTCCGGTTGCCGGAGGCACAACTGTTATAGCCTTTGTTGAAGACCCAGATGGATATAAAATTGAATTGATTGAAAACAAATCTGCTTCTCATGGTCTTGGTAATTAAAAAATTAAATAAATAAATATATATAAATCATTTTTTATTATAATATAAGAGTACTTTGTAATTCTACATTTGATTAATTCATAACAGCAGAATAACCATCAAATAATTTAGTTGACCAACATTCCAATAGACCATTTGCATCACCAGAGATGAGTTGAGTATGATCTTTTGATACAGAGATGGCAGTGATGGGTGCTTTGTTGTTGGTAGAAGATTGAAGAGTTCTAATTTTGGTCAACGTAGTAGAGTCCCAAAGGATGAGGGCACCCGATTCCATACCAGTGACGATAAAGTTTTGAACGACACCTTCAAATGCCGTTGAAAAGGTCATACAGTTGATCTTGTCATTTTGAATCTTTCTACTTGCCAACAACTCTCCATTTGGATTCCAGAGACGGAGAATACCATTTTCACCAGTTACATTGGTGGCAACAGTGACAATATAGTTGGTGGTAGGAGAAACTTGAACACAAGTGACTGGGTATTCGTGTTGCAAGGAACGAACATAGGTTAGACGGTTAAGATCCCAAATGATACAAGTATGATCTTTGCTACCACTAATAATGGTACTAAACTCTTGTGAAACGGTAATACAAAGGATTGAATGAGTGTGTCCATAGAGTTGTGACCACAAACTAAGATTATCTCCACGTTCCTTTCTAGTCATCACAGTTCCATCACTATTACAACGTTTCCATACCTTGATGGTTCCACTAGTACCTCCAGTAACAAATAATCTACCATTCTTTGTAATATCACAACATATAATATCATCATTATTTACTTCTACCAATGATAAAACCTTACCTGTATCAATCAATGTAATTCTAAGGTTTTGATCCCAATGTCCCCATGATACATATTTATTTGTATCTGGATAAAGTAATATCTAAAAAATAAAAAGAAAAGGAAATTAATAAATATTTTATATCTTTTTCTTTTTTTTTGTTTTTTTTCTTACTCTTTGAGGAGGTAAAGGAATAGGGGTATCAGCTAAACCAATTGAACCAACAGGATTACGAATCGACCACATTGTATAATTTGTTAATTTTTCTGGATGAGTATAAATGGCATCTTGAGAGAGTTTGGTTGTTTTCTTCCAATTTCGTTGAGGATGAGCTTTGGTAAAGATTTGTTTGGGAGTTTGACCGTAGCTGTGGATTTGGGCAATGGTGGCATCACGTAATAGTTGATCTTCTATGGAATCAATATCTACTGCACCTTCATAGGTTAGAGGATGGAATACATTACAAGCCTTGACTGCAGCTTCTCCATGTTGTTTGTAACCAAACATCAAATCGATCCAATTGTGAAGATTTTCAGAAACATATTTTGATTCCAATGCTTCTAGATGTTTTTTGATAAACAGTTTAGGGTCATTGTTGGCCCATGGTGGTAATACTACATTGTCTACACGTATACCATCTTGTTTACATCCCATATTAAAGTTGTTATTGTTGGCTAGGAAATCTGGTAAATAGAAAAACTCTGGTATCAATTCTTTTACATCTGAAGAGGAAATGGATGATGACAACTTCCAAGTCTGTGTGATACTATGAAAAGCACGATCTGGAACATCAAATCTACCACCTTGAAATTCGATAAAGTAGGAAGCAAATGGTTGAACACGTACAAGGAAATGAAGTACTGAACCAATATTACTATAATGAGAACCATAGTGATAGGGTGTTTCATTATTTTCCTGTAAATAGTTGTACTTTTCTTGAAACTTTTTGAGACGGGCTGGGTCTTGAGCACCCATGGGTTTGGAGAGGTCTCTAAAGGTTTCAGGTTTCTCCAAATCCAATTCATTGGATTCATAGTCTCGCAAGATAAATGGAAAGATGGGGTATTGTGTGAGATCGTTGAATGAACGTCCGGCAAGTGTGTTTAGATGCATAAGATACTCAAAATTGCTAATGAGACCACGTTGCCATTTCTTGGTGATGGACATTTTGAGAATGTTTCCTTGTGCCTCGGCGGCATAATCCACACGATTAGGTAATGGTTTGGACATGATGAGATCGTAGACAATGTCACGATCACTTGGTTTTGGGAATGCAAACAAGTAGGTCTTGTGAGGTACACCACTACCCAAAAAGATTTCAATGGCATTGTTTTTCAACACATGACGACGTTTATGAATTTCAATTACATCTTCATAAGACATTGTTATATGTTTACCATGATTACTTCCACCACCTGCTACCACTTTTTTACTCTTTTTTCCATTATTATTACCACTATTACTATCAATTGTCAATAGTTCATCTCTAAAGTAAATATTTAATTCTCCAATCAACAATTCACCATCTCTTTGATAAAATGGTGATATAGAACTACATGAATAGGTCTCTTCCAATCTTTCACCAATTTTTAATTGATCAAATGATGAATATGAATCATGTAATGATGTTGTTGTTGATTGTTGTAATTGATCATTTGTTAAATTTGATATTGATTCTTCTTCTTGTTCATTATTAATCTCTAACAATGTATTATTATTACTACTATTATTACAATTACTATTATTATTATTATCATTCAATTCTGGGATTGAAATATTTAATTTTGATTTTAAAGTGATACGTTTTAATCTAGTTCTCATACGATTGGTACCTTCTGTTGGATCCAATTTCCATTTGTTAGTGTCGGGGGGTAATTCCCAAATGGCACGTTCATGAGTGACACGTTTGATTAAAAGTTTCCATTGATCTGTAAGGAATCGTTTAGTGTCACTACTTTCTGATTGTGTCTGAAGACTAGAGTGTTGGTATTTAGTCTTTAACGTTAAAAGTGAATTTGAAAAGTTTTTAGTCATTTTGGACGTGTCTTGATTCTTTATAATGATGCTTTGTTTGTTCTTTTGTGTTTCGAGGTATTGTAATTTCCATTCTCTCTTTTGTTGATTGTTACGTTCCTCCCATTTCTTAAATTCACCTTCTGCATAGGCAAATTGGAACTTGTTTACAACTTCCTTGACATCAGTTGTTGACCAATTCGAAAAATCAAATGCCTTTTTAAGGAATTCTTGTGTTGCTCCCTTGTATACCAAATTCCATAGTTTAATGGTCAACTTGTATTGATCACAAATATCATTGTTTACAAATCGATAGGTAACATATAGCAACACTATCAAATCTTCTTCACTCAACATTTCATTGATTGGTACCAATGTATCTCCTCCTCCAACCAATAATGACAATACCAAACTTTGATAATCATTAAATTCATTTGATGTTAATAATAAATGAATTAATTTTCCTAATAATGATTTTGCTGAATATTGTGTTGTAAATACTATAAATAAAAGAAAGGAAAATTAATTAATATATATTTATCTTTTTTTTGTTTTGTTTTTTTTTACTTACAAGATTTATAAGTTGAATTTTGAGAAGTTGGAATTTTATGATTTGATAAAACATTTATCAATAATGTAATGAAAGATTCTGGATTAAATAAATGACCTTCTTTAATCCAAATTGGAATGATTGATTTCTTTTGACGATAATTGGATCCACCGCCGTCATAGGAAGAAGAATCAGATTCCTCTGTAGATTCATCATTACTTGTAATGGTTTGTTCATTATTTGAAATGTCTGATGTTTCTGGTGATGTTGGTATACGAGGATGATGATGATGAGATGAAAGGTTTGGTGTAGTTGGAGTTGAATCACCACCATGATTGGATGATCTAAGAGGTGATAGATAATTTGAAATTGCATTGGAAGATGTAGAACTAGATGATAGCTTAAATGCACTTCCAATACCTCTCTTTGTCATTAATATAGTCTTTTCCTGATAACACAATGTATTAATTGACAAGATACAAATCTTTTCAAATGATGATACCAATGCACCAACCAATCCAAAATCATTTTCATTAAAAAATGAAATCACATCATACAATATTCTTCTTTGTAAACAACAAATATATTCAAAATCCATTTTACTATTTAAATGTAATATCTAAAAATTAAAAAATTAAAAAATTAATAAATATTAAATATTTTATATATATCTATTTTTTTTGACTTACAACAAGAATATCTCTTAATAAAGTAGTAGGTTCTTGAGTTTTTGAACCATAAAGAGCAATTTCTTTTAAAATGGAAAGAATTGATTCTTCAGCTTGCCAACTATCTTCTTTATCAAATGAATTAGAAGTAGAATTATTACTACTGCTACTACTAATATTTTCAATATCTTTTAAAATGTTACGATTAAATTGATCATATTTTGCAGCTGAACGTTTAGTGAAATTGGATGAAAGAATATCAACCAAACGAGGGATTAAATCTTGATCCAATAGGGTTTGCTTGAATTGATCATTTTGTAAAAAGATATTGTGAATCATTTTAATGACAATATGTTGAGCCTTGCTTGAACAACCTTGGAGAATGATGAGGATGGTGGCAATCACTCCAGGATACTTTAGTTCAATATCGGATGAAATTTGACCAAGTAGGTACATGTTCATTGATACTGATAGGGTTGGATCAATATCCGAGTTGTATGGCTTGCCAAAAAGAATACAAAAGAGGATACCAAATATATCTTCAGTGAGATGATTGGAATGGAGTTGGTGACCGAGTAAATGGAATCCCTTCATCTTTTGAAATAGAGCCAATATAGAAGGAATGTGAAGATAGAGATCGATAATCTTGATGAAAAGAATACGAGTGGCAATGGTTTCATTGACAATTAAACCAAAAATCGATTCCAAACTACACAATGAATGGAATTCTTCTACAACTGTAATCTCTGATTTTGAAAGTATATCCAAAAGTAATGTTAAAACTGAAACTCTTACATTTTCTTCATGTGGAGTTGATGATCCAGATGATGAAGAAGTAGAAGAAGAATAAGATTGTTCAGTTGTACTATTACTATTACTGCTATTATTATTATGAACAGCTTGAATAAGATAATTTGAAGTTGATTTCTTTCTACGATGTGTACTATTACTACTATTACTATTACTAGTTGGTTTTCCTTTTGGAGAAGTTTCAAATAGATAAGTCATGATGAGTTGGAAATCTTCTTTGATACGAGCAGATTTATGTTTGATGGATCTAAGAATTGACATTAGAATAGAGACCACCTCTAATGGTAGATCTTCTTCTTTACAAATCTTTAGAATCGTTTCAAAAGCACCTGCTTGACGGAACTTTATGATATTAAAATCATGATTGTCGTGTAATGGGTTGACTAGTTTCTCTAAACTTTCAAAAAGCTTTTTCTGGTCAACAAGATTGGCATGTCTCCAAATATCCCATTCCAACAAAAAGTGTTTCAATGCCAAGACATCTTGTACGACACCGTCGTAATAGTGAGAAGATGTACGAGTAGATTGAACACCAACAAAACTAAATAGAATAGACAAGAGTCCATCATCCAATGTCCAATTATTCTTTCTAATAATATGGGAAACCAATTGATATCCATAAATATCTTTCATGTCTTTGATATTCTGTTGATTGTTTTGAACAATTGATTGGAGTAGACGTAGTGCTGATTTTTGGTACTCTTTGTCACTTGAAACAGCAATCAAGTAAATAATCACCGATACACCACCAGAATCTGATACCAAATCACCCAAACTACGTTGTGATATCACACCATATGGTAATGGTAGTGGTAATCCAGTTTGTAAAATCGATAATGTATTATTTACAATTGATTGTTGAGGAGTTGGAGTAGAACTAGGTGGAAGTGGTGGAAGTAGAGAAGATTGTTGTATAAATGAACTACTTGACAATCTTTGTTGTTGTTGTTGATGATGTTGATGATGTTGATGAGTTATAGCAGAACCAATAGATTGTGTAATAGAATCTCTATCGGTAAGTAAACTTTTACTATCACGTCTACTAATTGAATTTCTACTATTACTATCAATACTACCACCACCATTACTACTATATATACTTGATCGTTCTGATAGACTTTCTGTAAAACTCTTTTCACTCATACTTGAACTACGACGAATAGATGAAGATGTCGATGAATCATTCAATGCTTGTTGTGGTTGTGCACTGACATGTGTAATGGCCTCTGACTTGTTCATAATTCTATGTGATTTGGTTACATATAAACATTTGGCTGAAAAGATTGATACAATCTTATCATGTAAACTAAATAAATGAATCATTGTTGGATTTAATAAATGTTCAATTAATAATGGATGTAATTCTAAATTAAAATAAATAAAATACAAATTAGTTATTAATTGATTAAATATATTTCTTTTCCTTTTTTTTTTTTTTTTTACATACTAGTAGTTTTATCCATGTAGGGTCTAATATTTTCAATTGAAGAAATATCAACTTTTAAACCTCTAAAATGATCAGGACCCAATAGATAGAGATAAAAGATTTCTTTTTCGCTTGGTAAATCTTCGAAAAAGTAAGCATTACCAAGATGCCAATTTGTTTTAACCATACTATAGTCTTGGAAATAGGATGCAGCATTTGGACCACCAAATCTAACACATAGGGTCATTTGTTGAGTCTTTGGATACGACAATACATATTGACTTCTACAACATCCATTGACAAATAATTTGATGGGACTCTTCTTTTGACCGATTTGACTGCCAGTATGTGTTAGACATAGATGATAGAATTGATCGGGTTCAAAGGTAAACTCTGAAAAACTAAATTGTTCTACCACTGTACCATTGTGAATGATTCTATACGTCAATACTCCCTTGTCCAATTGTAATTGACTTTCACAACTTTTATCTTTTGATCCAATTATTATTCCTTCAATTGATAATAAAAATATTGATGATTTATCTAAATAAAAATAAAAGAAAAAAAAATAAAAGATTAATATTATTTTTTTACTTCTTTTTCTTTTTTTTTTGTATTTCATACTAATTTTTAAAGTAGGTTGAGTGTATCTAAACCATAAAGAAATACCATAACCTTTGAGTGGTGGCCATGATTTTTCACCCCAAGATGGGAAATCTATACATTCCAATGCACTATTTGAAAATTCTGCATAATAGGTTGGTATATTATCTCGATTGGATATTTTTCCTAAAAGATTTAATAAATCCAAAGGATAATCTCGAACCCTTAACAATTCAAAATATTTTCTAAATTCTGCCAATGATAATGAATGTGATCCCAATGATTGAATTAATTCTAATATTAATGGTCTAAAAGAAATAAATAAAAATATTAATATTAATATTATATTCTATCTTTTCAATTTCTTTCTATTTTTTTTTCTTACTTTAATAAATCAGATTTCTTTTTTAAAGTATTATTTGAAATTAAAAGTGGTCTAAGATAATCTACAATATCAATAAGAAAAGATGATAATTTCTTTTGATTTGTAAGAGAGAGGGAAGCAAGGAATATGATTTCACGCAAGATGTAACAAGATGATTTTGTTTCAATCTTTAGTATATCCTCTTCACTACCACCCATCAAACGAATGATAAGTCTAAATATCTCTGGGTTTTCAATCATCAGCGATTCACGACACGATTGACATGATTGATAACGATCTTGAGCAAGATGTAACGATGATTTCTCTGGCAGCCTTGAAAACGAAGACATGACTTGAATAGTATTCGAACCTCTAGATTCAGCTGCCAAATCCAATGATGATTGAGTTAGATTGTTATGATTAATCATTCTGCTATGATCAATAGTTGCTCCAGAATGATGATTTGATCCATTTGCAAAAATTGTTGTTGTTGCAGTACTTGAAGATAATCTTGAAAAATCATTTGTATATGATCTCGTACGACCTTTTCTATTTGGTGACATCATTGTTGAAGAAGAATCTAAATTATCATTACTATTTAATTGTAATGGTTCAAAATTATTATTATTATTATTATTACTATCAATTATTGGACTATCTAAATATTCTTGTTCCAAGAATGGTAATTTTTCAATGGTTGCATTGGGAGAAATGTTTAGAGGCGAATTGGTTGGGAAAAATGAAGAGATTGGTGAATAGATGGAAAGGAGTGATCCTTCTTCAAGTGAATGTTGTTCACATGATGGTGGCCAACTTCCTGAAACAGCCATATTCAATAAACTGTCACATAAAGATGCTGAATAAAGTCCTTCCATATATCCACATGCCTTTAATGTATTTGATAATGTTGGTATATGTTCTTTAAAATAAATTTGATTCATTGGATTACTAATAATAAAAAATAAAATAGATATAGTTAATATTAATAATCTCTATTATTTCTTATTTTTTTTTTCTATTTTCATTTACTTTTTCATTACAGCAGATAAAGTATCAATTAAAACTTTTAAAAAGAAAAAGATTTCATTGTTGTTTGAATTTGATTTGATTTTGATATCTTGATTACTAGATTTAACACAACGACCAATTCCATCTAAAATGGAAACACACCAAGTAAAACCACCAGCTTCTTTAAATGTCATTTTGGCAGCATGATTATTATGAAATATAAAACACATTGCCGCCAATATATGTTTGCGTTGTGTTAGGATTTCAGAATCCAAACTTGCAATACCACCACTTGATTGTAATTTTGCAATTAAATCTTTAATGATTTTAGATTCTATACGTAATTTGCCAATGGCAAGATTCGATAGTACTTGCAATGCAGGTTGAATAAGACATTCATCGTGCAAGAGACCATAGAGTAATCTAAGACCACCATGTTTTTCGACAAAGATATTTTGTACATCGGGTGAAGACGAAAAGAATTCGAGCAAGAGATTGAGTGCGCTTGTAATGATACGGTAGAGGACAAACAGTTTGTTGTTGGACTGTTGGAAATGTTTTCCAGGGATGAGTTGGATACAAAGTTGTAATTCATCCGATCGTTCCATCAACACTTGAAAGAATGCAAGTTTGTTTTGTTTGGACAAATAGTCGCAGAGGATCTTGATGAAACCTGCTTCTTTTAAAATCTCCTTGTTGATTTTTGATTTTGCCAATAGATCGGTCAAATGTTGAAAGACTAATAGAATGGTACTAGGTAGTTTACTATTAAACAGTGATACATAGTTGAATATTTCCGATCGTTTGATTTGATTCTTTAATAAAAGCTCGTCCATCATTTCCAAAATGAGTTTACGATTGTGAATGTTTAGATTGTCAAACTGAGTGAAAAAGATTTGGAATGGTTCTAGCTGATGGAATACACCGATATTGTCATCGGTGGCCGTATCAACATCACTATAGGAATCATTAAATAAACTAAGATAAAATATTCCTTTCATACATTTTAATAATTCTGTCTTTGTCTCTTCACTCTTTGTTATTGTAAATACATTTAAAAATATATTAAATATTTTTAAACTTGTTTTTGCTATATTATCTATAGAAAAATTAAAATAAAAATTAATAAAGATTTTGTATGTTTCTTTTTTTTGTATATTTACTTGGTTGATAAATTGAATCAGAATCAATTAAAAACTCCTTTCTTAGAGATATAAATAATAAATTACAAGCAACATTGATAATATCCAATTTGTTTTTTAGTGTTCCATTATCTGCAATGTGTACAAAAGTATTTAAAAGAATACTGTATCCATTGTTGGTATCAAAATCATCATGTAGAGATACCATTAATCTAGATGATGATTTGATCGTATAGATTATAACTTGAGACAATTCAATTAAAATTGAAATTGATATATTCTTTTTATCTCCTCTTTCACCAATTATATTTAATACATTTAATAATTTTTCAATTATTTTCTAAATAGAAAAAAAAGGTTAGAAAAAGAAATAATAATAATAATAATAAATACTAATATTTTTTCCTTTACTTACCTTGTCATGAATAAAACTCATAGAATCTGATGATATACAACAAGTTGACATTATTTGAGCAAATATTCTAACGATTTGAATTTGAATGATTGAAAATGTTGGATCAGTTGATTGATGAGTTAGGATATCGGTCAATAGTTCTAGATAGTTTCCACTATCGGAAATGAGTAATTCATAGAGTATTTGTTGATCTTTGATAATGTTTCCAAGGATCTTTAAAAGTTGAAAACAAATATTAACAGTTGGTGAAAGATCATTTGTTGTTTTCCATTGTTGTTGTACAATATTATTATTATTATTGTTGTTGTTGGAGGATGAGGAAGAATCATCAACCATTCCAATCGATGCTGGAATTGATGTAAGACTATTGGTAAGTGGTGTTGATGATGTTGATGATGCAGATGATGATGATGTTTGATCTCCCCCAATTGGTTTAATCTCCATTTCATGATTTAAAGATGATGTAGTAGTAATCTCTACCTCTGTGGTAAAGGTTGGTGAAGATGCCGATGTTACATTATTATTATTATTGGTTTGTGGTAGAGGTGATTGTTTTTGTACACTTTGATCGTTATAGATAGAAGGTGGGAGTGGAGGAAGGAAGAAATAACTATTGATGGTTGGAAAAGATGGAATATTTACACTAATTTTAGATGAAAGGTTTCGTTGTCCCATTAATGGGTTAAAGGTTGACATTGTTGGTAACAATGCCGATGATGATGATGTTGTGCTACTACTATTAATAGTGGTAGGGATAGTTGCAATGGGTGGTGTATTGTATGGGAGGGGTGAAGATGTCGATGTTATGATCTTGTTGAGCAACACAGCAATCAACTTTACCAAAGAGATGGGTACTCCCTCACAACTGTGTCTTGTCAATATATCCAATGCCAACAATAACAATGGTGCTTCCCCTGCCAATGAATATCCACTCAAATAGTTAAATATCCCATTCCCAACACCACCACTATTATTATTATTACCAATGTTATTATTATTATTATTATTACTAGTAGATGATTGTTGTAATAATTGTCTACTTTGACTACCATTATAATAACTTCCACTTGTACCACCAATATTCCCATTGTTTCCATTATTGATAATTTGTTGTTGTTGTTGTTGTTGTGAAGAGGTGGTAGTATTACGATTATTATTTAAACTTGCAGAGTTGAGTTCTTGTATTAGATGTTTAGAGAGTATTCTGGTAATATCTCCAAGAGGTGAGCCAAATGACAATGACAACAAGTGTCTGGGTGTGTCTTGGTAGGTAGTAGTAAACAACTTTAAAAAGTCAACCAATGTAAACAATGACTCTTGATAGACAACCGTCTGTACATATGAATTCCATAATAGTCTTACTGTATTGTTGTTATTGTTATTCAAAGAGGTTGATATTGATGACAGTGATGGTGGTGATGACAACAATGAAGATGATGATGAATGTGATCCTTGTAAAGGTTGATTAATAGGTGTCGTAGTAGTAGTATTAGTCGTATTTGTTGTTGTTGTTGACGATGACATTGTTGTTTGTTGTTGACCTTGTTGTCCAAAGTTTGATGTTGATTGTTTTAATGATGTCATCTTCCGATATATAATATATAATAAATATCTAAGAAGAAGAAGAAGAATCAGAGATTGATTGATCGATTGATGATTGATTGATATAGTAAACCTGGGTTGTAATCACAACCAACAATCTCTCCTTTCAAACTCTTCTCTTTTCTCTCTCTCTCTCTCTCTCTATTTCTCTTTGTAAATATATATATTTATATAAATATAGAAAATAAAAAATGATTGACAAAAAGAAGATAGATAGATAGATGTATAACAAGTATAATGAATGATGGGTGGGTAATAAACACTTAATGAGGTAAAAGTGTCTATGACCAAAAAAACCAGTAAAGTCTCACGAAAATTAAAATCTCATTCTCTGTAGAAGTTTCTTCTCCGAGGAGTTTTTTAAAACTCGTCGCTCTCTCGGATATTAAATATATAATAGTAGAGACGGATCAAATATAAATAATTTATTCTTTTGTTCTTTTTAAAGTTGAGAATATTGATAATTATTATTAATATTACCATCAGTCGATGATGATGCTGCTCGTCTTGCTTTAATATAACGAGTTAGTTTAATTAAAAAGTATGAGAATATAAAGAGACCACCGATGGCACCAATGATGATTAAAAAGATTTTCCAGAGGGGAGCCTTTGGTTTGGTATTTTCTTTGGAGAAATCAATCTCGACATTGTAGACTTGTTCAGAGACCTGTACAGTGTTGATGGCATAGTCCTTTTTGGAGATTTCGCCGTTGAGTGCATCGGTCACACTAAACTGACCTACAATGGTGCCAGTGCTAATGAGCTTGCTGGAAAATGTGGGGGTGAGGGCATCATCTTGGACGGAAAAGAGGAGTTGGCCGCGGAGATCGACCGACTCTGCGAGGATGTAGGGTGAGGTGTTTTGGTCTTGGATGTTGGCCATCCAAAGTTGTGCGGTGGTTTGTGTCTGTTGGTAGCAGCTGATGACGATTTGGTTGCCCTGTGCCTGGATATAGAGCACACCGTCGCTGTGTGAGTAGCATCCATTGGTGATTTGTGTTTGGTTGGCTGTGATGGTACCATTCTCGTGGTAGATGTTGCCTTGAATCTGTGTGTTGGCGAGCATGACATTCGTGTTGGATCCGCGGACGACTAGACCCACGCTGCCGAGTTGGAGAGGATGTGTGATGGCAAAGTCACCCTCCACATTGATGCCACCCGTCTCTCCCAGGTTGGTCGGGCCGTTGAGCACGAGTTGTGATTGAGTGTTGATTAAAATGTCAGTGTTGTTGAGTAGCACGGATGACTCGACCGTGACGACACCGTTAATCTCAATTGAAGACTGCTGGCCAATTGACAAGTTGCCAATCATCGTGCCGTCCTCCAACGTGATAAAGACCGATGTGTTGGCACTCGCACTTGACACGAGCTGCATCACATTCGAGTTGGCGCCAATACCAACTGTGCAGGCGGCGGTACTCGAGTTGCCAATCAACTCGATCATACCCTTGGTCTGCGCCTCTCCAATAAATACTACGCCTCCAACTACAAGGGTCGCGTTATTGGCGCTTGTAAACGACTCAACAGAGAACCCAGAGACAGCCGTGACAACCGAGCCAGTCGACTGCACGTCGACGTCGCTAAACATGCCCAACACCAAGACCGAGCCTGACGACGACCCGTTAAAAGACTGTGTGTACAGTGTCGAGCTCTTTCCAACATGCAACACACCCATTCGACCAAGAGTGACAGCACCAGCCACCACCACATTGGTGTCGTTCAACAAGATGGCCGAGCTGACCAACTCCAACGACTGCGTAACATTCACAGCCAACGTATAATTGTCGCTTGGTTGTAAAGCAAGGTTAATCGACTCGCTCTTATCACCAATCACTTGCAACGATACAATCGTTAGATTAGAGTTGATGAATATATACTGAGTCGATTGCATCGACGTCGTCTGATTTGAATAGTCAATCACAGCAGTCTGATTGACACCAGGTACCAACCCTCCAATCCAAGATTCATTATTATTAAAGTTACATGTAAATGTTTGTGGTGATGTACAATCAATAGTTGAATTCCAATTGACTATTGAAACTGTCTGCTGTGATTGTACACCTGTCGATGACTGTATTATAACCACTAATACTATGAATAAATGAATAAATGATACCATAACTATCTATCTATCTATTAATAAAAAACAAAAACTATATATACAAAGAAAAGAAAGAAAGAAAGATATAGATAAAGAGATATATAAATTAAAAATACTTTCTTGAACCGATCTTAAAAGTGCGAAGAGAGGACAAGGTGTGAAACGCTGAGAAAAAGAAAAAATAAACAAAAAAAGGTCCAGCGAATTTTCGAAAAGATCGGAGAGTATCCAAACCCGAAGATATTAGTATTAATACCATTAATAATAATAATAATAATACTAAGTACTTATATATATATTTATATACGAAAAAAAAACGGATAAACCATTTATTATTTATTTATTTAATTATCAACAAATAATGATCATGGTTAATTATTATATTTATATCTTTTACTTTATACATTGACTTCATATTTCCTGCTACTATTGCTATGATGATGATAATTACTACTATTATTATTGGTACCGTTATTATTATTATTTTGATTATTTTGATTATTTAAATTATTTGGGAAAAGTGAACGATCATATAAAGTATCTAATTTTGGTAATAAAGTGGATGGTTGTTGTGGATGATGGGATGGTAAATGAAATGATGGTTGTTGTTGTTGTTGATGTTGATATTCATATTGTTGTTGTTGAGTGTTTATGGAATCACCACTATTATTTAAAAGATTTTTGATGGAATCATGTTTAACTAATTTTGGTATGGTGGATGAGGTTGGTTGAATATTTAATTGACTTTTGGTATTTGATGATAATGATGATAATGATGGTGATGATGCCGATTGTTGTTGTTGTTGTTGATAATGTAATTGTTGTTGTTGTTGTAATAATTGTTGTTGTTGTTGTTGTTGTCTTGGTGAAGTATTTGGAGAATTGGATAATGAAATTGATTCTAAAGGTGGTGAAGAGAAAATGTGATGCGTAAGAGATAATAGAGCTTGGGTGGCTTGTGCACTATCAAAATGGCTGGTTTGTGGGACTACTTGTTGATGCTTTCTAATGGTGGAATGACAGTCTGTGTCATCGCCATCTGAAGAATCCTCTGCCGACGATGATGATCTAGGTGGTTGACCTACGACTGCAGTAGCAGCACTGGCAAGTGGTGGTAATGTAAATCGATTGGTTTGTAATGGTGGTTGTTGAACTTGGTGTAATTGTTGTTGATATGATTGTTGTTGTTGTTGTTGTTGTTGTTGAACTTGTTGCTGTTGTTGGACTTGTTGAACAACCGATGGTGATGGTTTATGATTTGGTGATTTATATGGATGATGTACATTATTATTATTATTATTATTGTTATTATTATTTGGTTGTTGTTTGGAAATTGCCTTGAGTGGTGGGGTCGTTTGTTGTGGTGAGGTTGGAGTTGAAGAGGTTAAAACTGGTGAATTGGATGATGAAATGGTGTTTGGTGTCGCAGCAGCAGTCGTAGCAGTCGAAGTCGTAGTGGTGGTAGTAGTCGTAACAGCTGCAGTATTATTGGCAACAGGTGCAGTCGCGGTATGATTATGATGATGATGTTGATGATGGTTTCTAGAATGTGTAGTAGTTTGTAATTTTGGTGATCCATTTGGTGATTCTTCATTTGAATGATGATCAACATCACCTCCATTTTTATTAAATAAAACATACTATAAAAGAAACAATTAATGTTTATTCCAATTTCCATCTTTCATTTTGTTTTTTATACATACATCATCATTTACATAAAATTGAGAAACTTCTGGACCTTCATCAGGTATTGAAGTGAGTGGGAGTTCCAAGTCTGAACTAACATATTGGAAATATTTTTCTTTGGCATTGGTCGAATTATTTACAATGAAAAGGGTGACTGACGAGTCACACAGGAGTGCCAACTCCATTGCCTTTTTGATCAATCCATTCTTTCTCTTGGTAAAAGTTACTTGGCGGTTTCTCTCGTCAAGAATCTTTTGCATTTTAATCTTTTTTCTACCCATTTTTTGATTGATTTGACTCGGTCGGTGGTGAATGTGGTGTTTTGAGATTGGTCGATTGGTATATATGTAGGAGCGCGCTTTCAAAAATGTTTAAATGTTTTTGAAAAATCACAAATATAATTAAAGTTCATTAAATATATATTTATATATATATATCTCTTCTATGCGTGTATGTATAAGTGTGTATCGGATTGGATTTGGATTTGGATTTGAATTTTAGTGGTAATGTCTAAAAATAAATATATTAACAATAAGAGAGAGAGAGAGAGAAAAGAAAAAATGTATATTAGTTTGTGTGTTAGACACATTTAAATCCAAATTGTTGTTTAAAAATTCCATATGAAATGTGATCAATCAATCCCCGTTGCGAGGTTCTCGATTTGGGGGTGAGTGGATTCTAAAAGTTGGATCGTCGTCGTTGTTGTTGTTTAAAAGTGAGAGTGTGACTGATGCGCGATATGATGATGACGATGTGTAATTGTGACCAGTACACAAAAACTAGCCTGATATATTCAAAAAAGAACGATGGTGATGGTGGAATGGTAGAACGACCACCACAACAACAACAACAACAACGATCATCATGTGTATATGATGAAATTGACAAGACAAGAGAGGTGGTTGGAACAAAGTTAGGGGGTAATATGTTGGTTGTTTTTTTGTTTTTTTGATTTTAGGGGGTGATACGAATTACAATGACCCAAACAAAAAAAAAAAAGAGGGAAAGGAAGGAAATGAAGGAAAGTGAAATCAAGATTTTTGGATTGTGTTTAAACACAAATGTCTCCCAAATAATCAAGAGTTTAGGTTTAAGTTTTAATATATTTACACTTTTTTTTTTTTTTTTAAAACAAACAAAAAATAGAATTATGAAATTATTCTTTTAAAACTGAAAATGTGTTATAAATAAATAATTATAGTGGTAATATTATTATTTGTTGTTGGGAGGAGGAAAAAATCCAAGATCTTGGAATCTCGAATTTTTAAATTATTTGTGACTTTGAGTGTAGTGAGCGTGTGTTGTCTGGTAATATGACGAAAGTGTAAATGGAGAAAGAGGACAAGGAAAAAGAAAAAGGATAGATATATAGATAGACAGACAGATACATAGATGTATAAAATGGGAACGGTTCAATATTCCCACTCTCTATCAGAGTAGGATTATATATTTATAAACTTTAAACTATGAATGAATGAATAGTGAGTGAGTGTGGTGAGTCGGTACAATGGTTGGTAGGATCTATCCTCCCTTTTTGGCTTGCAATATATATTTAGATGATGTTATTTATATATATAAATAATAATATAAATAATATATAAATAATATATAAGAGTAACTAAATCTATTTTAATTATCGGCCAAAGAGAAGATCTCCAACTTTTTGACTACAACATAGATCGGGAAAAACAAACTAACTAACAAACAAACAAACAAAAACAAATAATATCCAAACTAGTTTTTGTCGTAGTAGTAGTAGTAGTCATCGTGTCGTGTGTCGGGATGATAATGATAATGATATAAATATCTTTTCTTACCTAAAATTTAATATACTAATAATTATTATTATTATTATTTAAAAAAAGAAAGATATTAATAAATCAAAGGTTTTTGGGATTATTTGATAATGATGGTCGATGATGATGATGATGATGATGAAGATGAAGATGAAGATGGCTAGACTAGAATAAATAATTATTGTATTTTATCAAAAAACAAGGTATGTGTACCATGAGATAAAAAATAACAACAACCAGTGGTAATCTACCTTTTTTTTTTTAGATTTTAAAGTAATATGCCCATAAAAAAAGGAAGTCTAAAAAAAAAACAATGACCCCCGCTGACTGGTAAAACTAATAATAAAATAAATATATTTACTACTTTGTGTGTTAGGTGTGTGTATGTGTGTGCAAGTAGAGTACTATTGATCAATCATATCTGTGGACTGATGTCTATATTATATTAATTACTTCTTTTTACTTGAACTGCATGAATGAAAAAATAAAAATTATTTTTAAACTTGCTTGCAACGAATGATGGTAAATTAAAAATAACTTTTTTTGAGGGCGTGTGTACCAAAAAAGTCGGAAAGGGTTATCAAAGATTGATTCTTTCCTTTCTATTAATCTTATTTTCCTTGTCTCTTTTTTTTTTTTTATAAATAAATAATTATTTATAACTTTGAGAGTAGTAGGAGGAGGGTGGGTGTGTTGGTCGTGGTGGTATGAGATAAGATTTTTTTTTTTGACAAAAAGAGTAGAGGTGGGGAGAGAGAAGTGTTTGTTCAATTCACCACTTCACTCTTTTTCAATTTCAAAAATTGATTTTGATTCTGATTCTGATTCATCCCAATCTCTTTCGAATAAACAATTGAAAAATAATATAATAATAATAATAATAATAATAATGGTGACTATTGTATATTATTATTAAACAATGATGATTGATATTTACTATAATATGTATGTGTATGTTTGATGACTACTCTTTCGATTGATGTTGAACGTTTGGTAGAATTCTAAAAATAATTATTATTATTATCTCTCTGAGATTTCTTTGTTGTTTTTTTTAAATGAGATCAGTGTCTCTTTGTTTTCACTGGGATGCCTGTTGTTCTAATTATAATTTTTTAAAATGGATGCTTTGCAATAATTGTATAATGTTGTGTGATGGTTGAAAAATAAAAATCATGATACGGAAAACTTTAAAACACAACACCTACTATTATCTGACCAGCCCAACCAACAAACAACATTACATTAGATTACACAAAATTTAATTTAAAATTTTTAGAACAAGATGTGAGGAGGAGGAGTAGTAGCTGAGGAGGAGCCGAGTCTCATCCCTTAAAAGTTAATAATAGAACCATACAAGTGTAGAAGCTAGCTTCATGAAGCACCATCATACACAAGTAAAAATAATCATGACGAATCATGAGGCGTCGCATGACTCGATTGCGGCCCTGGTGGGTTGGGCTTAAGAGGGCAGATGAAATTTAAAAATAAATTGACCAAGGTGTGTAAGGTTGTTTGAAAGTGGGAATCGAGTGAGTGGGTGTATCTAGTGGTATCATTCAACACATGATGCCAAATGTTGTCATGGCCGTAGTCAACTGTCTTTAAAAAGTGAAAATTCATGTGAAAAACAAAAAAAAAATATTCATGTTGCGAAATGCATGATGGTGGTGTGTCGCATGTCGTCGAATGGAGGAGCCCAGATGGGGCAGGTCAGTTAAACACTTGGGTTGAGCGGTATTATATTGTTGTTGACAGGTAATAACAAACAGAGAGAGAGAGAGTTTACGATGAATGGCTGTTGTTGATGATGAATCGCATCAACCAATTTATATTTATCGTAACCGTGAACAACAACAGTTACGATAATATGGCGATGGTAATGATGATAATGATGATGGTAATGGGAGAAGCTTACATTTTTAAAAAAAAAAAGATAATTGTAACAATATTGCTAGATCATATGATAATGATTGAAATGTGATGGTTTGTGAATTGAAGGAAGGAAGGACACCTTTCTATTTTTAAATAATAAATGTAATGAAAAATAGGTTACAATCGTGATATATGATGTGAGTGAGAGCGGTGGAATGACGAATGGTGAAAACGGGGGTGATTTTTAGTTTAAAATTCTGACCACGGTGCAAGTGGTGAAAATGGCGCCCAAAGATCGAGGGCTGGGGTTATAAATAAACACTTACAATAAAAACTATCTTCTATCTAAAAGAAAAGTTGCTGTTATGATGAGTGGAGAAAAAGAGAAAGAGAGAGAAGAGGATTAATTAACTCTTTGATCTTATATTCGATCCGATCGTTTTATTATCAATCATCAAAACAAAAACATATAAATATGTAAATGAAATGTTTGTGTTGTTTGGATAGATAATAAAATATGGAATAAGATGTTGTAAAATGAAGTAATATTACTCTTTTCTTTCTTTTTCTTTTTTTTTGTTTATAGTTTTATTTTTAATATTATCGTTATTTTATCGTAAAATAGGATTGGTAATGAAATGGTGAGATGGGAGATTAAATTCTAAATATAGAATAAATAATATCTGATGATTTTTTAGAGAATGGTGGGAAATATATAAATGAATGATGGGTAGAGTTTAATTAAATATGTAATATGTAATATATGTATCTATCTTTATATATATATATTTATAAATATGATTATATTTACAAAAAAGAAAAAAGAATCTAAAACAAAAAGGTGATTAAATATGTTTGTTTTGGGCAGGGGGTGTGATATTTAAAAATATTAAATTGTGTTTTGTTTGATGGGTACATGGCCACTGTTGGAGGGTGGGTAGGGTGTAGTAACTCTTTAAAGGGTTCTAGTTGATTTTATAGAACACCAAAGCTCATCATGCTACGCGATGACGAAATTGAAGAAGCAAAGCAAACCACCAACAACACAACCTCTCTTTGGAATCGGTTCACCCGTCTGGCCCTCATTATTCTCATCACGCTCTCTCATCGCAGAAAAGAAGCTCGTTTCCTAGTTGGTGGTGACCACTGAAACTTTACGTTTACTGTCGATTGTCGTAATAATGTTGCTGAGAGGCGTTTTTGCAAATTGCATGGACTTTCCTCTTTTGGCGTTGCATGCCAATTCATTTTGCCAAAAACATGGATGGACCGCATCTTTACAAAAGTCTTTTTTTCTCACCACTCTGCAGATCTCGTCCCAAAAAAGTAACCATGACTGCGCAAACAATCGATTAATATTGACAATGTACGAGTCACATCATTACCTCTTGGCAAAAGAGAGTGAAAATAAATAATATTAATTAATCACAATGAGATTTATTTTTAGAATCTATCAGAGAAGAAGAATCATCTCTCACTCTATAGTATACTACAAACATCATGTTGTCAGCTGGCTGCTGTCAAAATAACCCTTTAAGAGGAGGAGGTATGGTTGTTGTTACTACACTCGAGTCCCCTACACCAAAAAACAAAGCAAATTGATCTATTATAATGTATACTATAATCGACAATACTTTAATAGATCGACTTTAATCTAATCTCTATATATCAAATATATTAAATAGTCTATATATACAAATAATTAAAAGAAACAAAGAAAGAAAGAAAGAGTATGTTCTTCGACAGAATGTTTTTTATTTATTTTATTTTCGTTTTTTAATTAAAACTTGATTTGGGCAACGAGATGAGACTTTATGAATTTTGTTTGTTGAAAAAGAGATAAAGAAGAGAGATAAGAATATATATTTATATATATAAGATGTTGATTCATAATAATAATAATAATAATAACAATAAAAAAAAGAAAAACTCTAAAGATGATAGTAATGATAATAACAATAACTCTAAAAAAGGACCATTAGAGGAAGCTATAGAAGAAAAGATTAGAATAATAACTGAAAAGGATTTTCAAGTTGAATACATTCAACGAGTGAGTGATAGATATGATCAATTAGTGAATACAATGATACCTGATCTAATAGAATCATTTACAATCTTGGAGGTAAAAAAATATGATAGATATGTGATCATTCACAAACACAAACACTTTCATGTATATTAATCTTTTATATATTAGAAAAATTGGAATCTAGTCAACTTTATCAATAACCCAGATGAACTTATCAACAAATTAGATTTTGATAAAGATGGTGCAACATCTTTTGAAATTCATCATTATATTGATCCAAAAGATATAAAATCAATTGTATGTGAGAGGGAAAGAGTGAAATGGAAAGGTCTTACCTACTTTAACTAATATGTCTTATTATTATTATTATTATTATCTAGAATCAATTATCAAAATTTATAGAAGGTAAATTATTTACCATTTCAATTTCATTGAGTGAATTATATACCATGTTACAAGTGATATGTCCATCGATGGATCAAACCGATAGTCATAGTAAAATATTGATTGCTGCTTTGGTTTCCAATCTAGTTGGATATGCCAAGGGTTATGTCGATGGATTTAACGTTCTTGAACCTCTTGCTGTTAGAAAATCACCAATCTACAAGGTAACAAAAAAAATGAGATTTAAACAAATAGAGAGCCCTATTTATTTATTTTTTTTTATTTTTTATAGATACAAAAACATAAAGAGATTAAAGATTTGGAATCATTAGAGAATGAGTTTAAATATAAAAGAATAGCACTTTGTTGTTCATATACCAAAAGAATTCTAGCATCTCTTTATTGTCTATTAAATTTCTTACAAAAAAATCAATCCAATTTCGATGAAATAAAGATACAAACCAACAAGGCAAGATAGTAGTAGGATAGTAGATATAATTATAGATTATAGATTATAATAATATCATATTTGTCAAGGACAAACAAGACAAGATTAGATTAATCTTTTTTTTATTTATCTCTTCCTCTCACTAGGATCATATATATATATAAAGTGACTAGTTTGGTTAGTCATACTATAGTTGGTTGGTTGGATGTATGATAATCTTTTTCGATTGGTATGATGATCATCAATCATTGGTGAGGGGTTGATCAATTACCACCATAGTTATACCCCCCCCCCCCCCCCCAACACTACAACTTTACCCCACCAAACAAATCCTCTCATTTTTGTACATCAAGCACTATGGATTCCATTTTTGATAATGATGAGCAGTGACAAAATCGAAAACGAAACTCTATCCTATAGTCGAAAATGATGGATGGGAGGGATAATGTACGGGTATACAAAAATTTCTATAGATCTATTACATCTCTCTCTCTCTCTCTCTCTCTCTCTTACCCTTTCATTGTCTTTTTTTTTTTTCTATCACAACACAGATTTTGGGTATTGAATAACAATTATTATAATCCATTAAGTGATGATGGAATGTTTGTTTAAAACTACTACTAGTAGTATAACCCAATGATAGTAGGATACATCCCCCACCCTCACCCTTTATCATTACAACCAAAAGTCATAATTAATCACAAATATTGATCCAATCAGTAGCCATCATCCCACCACGGTTGCAAATGAATAGAATACTGTATATTTCTTCTACTCTTCTATCATCATCATCATCATCATCATTGATCATCTTTTTTTATCATCAAATTTCTAAATTTAAACTCTCAACAAGAGATTTTCAATCAAAACAATGAAAACTAGAATATTTCTTTTCCTAGTAGTAGTATTAACAATAACAATCCAAGTTGTTTATTCTATAGAAGGAGGAGGAGGAGGTAAGACAAAAAAAAATATATAATTTACTTTTATTTAATTATTTATTTTTTTCTATTTAATTATTTTAAGATTGTGAACTTATTACAGATGAAATTCAATGTAATTTAGTTTATCCAGAATGTAGATATTTAACATATAATTCATGTTGTGGAAAGACAAAATCATTTTGTGTAAACAATGATCAAGCCGGTTGTTCAAATAACCAACACGATTTGAAATGTATGCAACATATAGAGTCTGGAGAGATTTACGAGATTTGGAGTAGTTGTTCACCATCAAATGGATTGGTTGCATTTGTCAAACCAAATGCAACCAGTTGTGACCAATTGAATTGCCTACAACGTGGCAAGGAATGTGTTTGGGTTGAACCTCCTTGCCACCATACCTCTTGTTGTCGACAGTACCCCATTTGTGAGGGTGACGACGATCCCATTTTTCATATCAGCAACAACAAGCTTCTTATTGGTGACTCTTCTAGACTGCAATTGGCAGACAAGTGTAATACAAAAACAGAGAAAAAACCAGCCAACATAAATGCAATCAAACCTCCCTCTACCCAAGCATTGTCAACTGCAGCATCACCACGTGGTGTTAATAATAATAATCAAAAAGCATGTCCAGAAACAAAAGATGCATGTCAACAATTTTGGCCACAATGTAAATGGATGTCGTATCAATCGTGTTGTGGTAAAACCTATTCCACTTGCATGTCTGATCCAAACAACCAATGTACAGGTGCAAGTACTTTGGCTTGTTTGGAAAATGAAAAGGATGGCGAAATCTATGAAATTTGGTCCATCTGTCAACCTACCAAAGGTTTTAAACCTTTTATTAAACCAAATGGTAAAAAAAATAGAATCAATCAATATATATATATATATATAACATTTATTAACTTTTTTTTTATTTCTATTTAGTAACATCATGTGATCAATTAAATTGTGAAGCAGCAGATCAAATGTGTATGTGGAAATCTACAACAAAATGTTTGGGTACTTCATGTTGTCAAGTTCATCCAGTTTGTGTAGATATTGAAGAGTTTATTTCTACTTCTGGTGGTTCTTCTAGTGAGCTAGATTCTGATTCTTCTTCTTGTGAAAAATCATCTACTACTGGTGGTGCAAGTGGAACTACTACAACTGGCACTACAAGTGGTACTACAAGTGGTACTACAGGTGGATCGGAAGCTGATAGCCATAGTTGCCCTATTGATACAACAGAGGAATCACATCTAAAACCAAGTACTGGTGGTACAACAACGGATACACCTACTACTAGTGGAACAAGTACTACTGATACCCCCACTACTACAACAACAACAACATCATCATCATCATCATCAACTACAACAACTACTACTACTAGTGGAACAAGTACTACTGATACACCTACATCAACATCAACAACAACTACCACCACCTCTACTCCTACTACTACTGATGCACCTACATCATCATCATCATCATCATCAACTACAACTACTACTACGAGTGGAACAAGTACTACTGATACCCCTACAACGACAACTACTAGTTCAACTGGTGCACCAGCTACAACTACAACTACAACTACTACAACTACTGCACCAGTTTGTGTTCCACCACAACCACCACCACCAAGTCAAGGCAGTGCCGTTGCTGCTGGTGATTCAATCAAGTCAGTGTCATCTACTAAATTTATAAACATTCCATTGTCAATGTACGATGATTTGGTGAAACAATATAGATCAACTACAACGGGAGGCGCAGGACAAGAGGGTCTTTTGAAAGAGATCCAAGGACTTCAATCAAAGGTAACCGAACAATTACAACAAAGCAATCTACAATCGTTATCGACACCGCAACAACAGAATGACCAAACACAAGACAATTTCGAATTGTTAATGGATCAAGATGACCACATTTTCAGTCCAAAAGAAGCTGCTGAACATTAGACTCGAAGAGAGAGAGAACCAATACACAACAAATATATTAGTTTAATAAAAAAATATTTTTTTACATACCATTATGAAATAGATCCACCACAAAGAAGGTGTGGTGTTGATAAAGAGAGGTGTTAAAGCGATATATTAGTCTGCAGAAATCAATTTCATTCACTCAAGTATATTTGCAGATATAAAGATAGATGAGGAGGTTGATAAAAGAAAAAGGAAGGTAACCGCCTAACAACCAATCGTACTTTGATTCACTCCCATTTCTCGAAATATACAACTACTAGAGTCGTCGGGCAATAGAGTAATTATAGTTTATTTGTTTTAATTTTAATTAAAATAGTTAGAGGTTCTGTTAGTATAGGGGCTTGTAGCCCCGTTGTTGGGTGATATTATTTCTTATATTATTATTATTATTATATTATTATCTTGTTATATCATTATTGCATTATTACTAGATTATTGTTGATGTATCGCTTGTTGGTAAATAGTTGGTGGTGATATTTGGGAGAGGGAGGGGTGTGGTGAGTTTCCCCCATGTTCTTGCGAACCCGGCGAAGATTGTTCTGGCATGTCTTTGGGTCTTGATTATTTCGTCCGTAGGGTTGTTGGCTATTGTGGTTTGGTTAACCGGTTTGGCGTGTTCGACGTAGATTATACCTTTGAATCTTGCAATGACCATCATATCTTCGTTTTCATCAGGTGGTATTGTCGAGTGATAGATGGTGTTGAGGTGGTGGTGCCATGCTTTTAGGAGCATGATCGATACTAGGGTTGAGTATCTGGTGCGAGTCCATCCTTTGTTGAGTGACCAGAGGTTGAGGGCGTTTTGGGCTGTGATTTCTTGAATGATCTTTCCCCATCTCCTTTCTATTTGCCAGGAAGAAAAAAACCTTTTTTTTTTTTTAAGCATCGCATTTCGTGGCATCCACCTGTAGGATGGAGCACTGCTCTTTCGATTGCCAAGTTTTATGGATTAAAGTCTATTACAGAAAAATTCCAAACTCAAGAAAAAAACGGGTATAAAAAGGGAATTGAAAATTTGAACATCACAAAACGTCGGCTCTTTAGTTCAGTGGTAAAATACGTTGTTAGGGTCAACGTGGCCTGGGTTCGATTCCCGGAAGAGCCCCAAACTTTGTTGCTTTTTTTTTGCGTACACGGTCGCAATTTGTAATGAAGATCTCTCCATTCGCATGGTGGTCTTGTACTTTTTATCCTCTACGTAGAGGTTAGTTGTAGATGACCATAAGAACCACGCGATACAGTTGTCGAGTGAGTCGAATTGTTCATTTGTTGGTGTGTCGAGGTAAGAGTGGTAGACTAGGGGGGATAATACATAGGATTTGAGAATATTGACCTTTGCCTCTAGTGTGATTGAGTCCTTTTTCCATTTGATCAGTTTCACCTTTGCACCATTTACGATATCTTCTAGTTTCGAGGACAGCCCATCTTTCGAAAAGTTGAGGCCCAAGTATCTTTCTATACCTACAATAAAATAAGACGTGTCTCTGTTTTGTTGGTCTAATATGGTTACTTTTGATCCGTTGTCGTCTGGTTCGATGAGAATGACTGATGACTTGTCCTCATTGACCTTTGATGACGTTGCTTTACAAAAGAGGTCAATGCAGCTGTTGATGAAACGTTGCTGTCTGAACGATGTTGCAAATGATGCAGAGTCATCGGCGAATTGGAGGAAAAGGATCTTGAGTGGACCGTCGGTAATTGGCAAGCCAGCTTGGGGGTCAGCTGAGAGAATGTATTTCGCCATGGCTTCGATCACCAAGACGAATAGTGTGGGGGATATTGGGTCTCCCTGCTTGACCCCTCTACCGATGGTGAAGGGGTCAGAGAGCTTGCCGTTGACAACATTTATTTAAGCTAATAATCTGTACAGGGACAAGAGAAATCTTGCGCCAACCAATTAAATCAAATAAATCTAAAATACACTTTTGTAGTAAAAAAAAAAAGTAATGAAGATCTCATTATAGTAAAGTAATAAATAAATAAATACACAACATTGTTCTAACAACATTATAAAGACTTTATTACATTGCTCTTATTCTTTACTAAATACAATAGTGATATATAATAGAAGGGGCCTCTACATATACACTATCATATTTATTAAAAATTCGTTTTCCTTCATTTCCTTGTTCTCTACAATATTCTCTATATTTCTAGCTAGGCATCACTAATTTCCATTCAATCCACATGAAAAAAATCATCAAAAAAAATACTTTTACATTTTTTTTTTTTTTTAGTTTTACAAGAATTCAAGAAATAATTTAAGCACAATATCATCACAATTGGGCCAATAATAAAACAAATACAAAAAAGAGTTTTAGCTATTTAGAAAGCTATTCCAATCATTTATTTTTCTTTTTTTTTTCGGCCAACATAAAACCAATAACAAAATTTGTACAATAAAATATTAATATTTAAATGATCAACGCGTTCCAACTTGTAGATAAATAATTAAAGATTAATTTTTTCCTTTTTTCTTTAAGAAAATTAGACAACAAAAAAGTAAAAAAATAGGTAAAATGACTCATGAATTTTATGACTCATCACAAACAATTATCAAAACAAAACATAAAAAGACATCAAACATTGGTTATTTATACATCATACAATAATGGATACAACAAATACAACAACAACAATAACAACAACAAATACAACAAACAAACAATTATTTAGTTTAATCATTGGATCAATAACACTAAGAAGAATGATATTCAGTCAAGTCAAAGAGATTACAACAATTATTGTAAAACCAATGATGGATTTGGACCAAAGACCAAGATCAGTCTTTGTATTCAAATGGAAAAAGTTAAAAACAAACATTGAACTACTCTGCAAGTATGGATACTATGACCTAGTAAAGTGGGCAATTGAAATCAAACCTGGTTATTCAATGTGGACTGATCTACAAAATTGTCTTCGAAAGGTGATTCACCAAGCTTCGATGGTTGGCAATATCGATATGTTGGAGTTTTGCTTGACCCAAGTCAACAAGATGTCGCAAGCCAGTCGTTTTATTGATGAAGCATCATTCTTTGGTCAAAACCCAATTAGTACTCCTCTTTATTTTGCTGCAGTCAAAGGACAGTTTAAAGCACTCAAGCATGTACTAGACAATCATTCAAGATTCTACATTGTCAATGGTCAATATCAATTTTGTATTGCTCAAGCTCTTATTGGTGCATGCAGTAGTAAACTTGCTGCAGAGCGCATTCAAATGGTTTTGTATCTTTTAGACATTGGAAAGGATCAACTCGATGCATACAATTACACTACATCTGCAAATGCTGCAGCTTCAATGGGAAATGTTGATGCTCTTATTCTACTAAAGAATGCGTCGAGTCAAATAGAGTTGAAATCATTGGTTGGAAATGCTATTAGAAATGGTCATTTGGAAACTCTAAAGTACATTCATTCTGTGGAACCTGTCAGCAAAGAATATTTCAGCTCTTCTTTTGGAACTGGTATTTCAGATGCTATAAGAGGTGGACACTATGAAATGGTGACCTATATCAATGATCATCTATGCCCAATCAAAGATACAGAACATAAAAGATGGCACTTGACCGATCATTTCCTAGATTGTGCCATACACTCTCACTCTCTTGCAATGGTCGAACTCATTCACAAACTTGATCCACAATCTTGCAGTGGTCGTGCAACCATGACAAATGCCGCACTCAACGGTGATTTGCATATTGTTGAATTTCTTCACAAAAACAGAACCGAGGGTTGTCTTGATGGAACTGTTTTGGATGTTGCCCTCGCAGGTCACTACAATATTGCAAAGTTTCTTTATTCTAATAGAACTGAACCAATCGGTGATTTAAAAGGTGATATGGGTTTACCTCCAAATATTTATTCAATGCTAATTAAAAATCGTTCAGATTTAATAATTCAATAGTAATAATAATAATAATAATAATAATAATAATAATAATAATAATAATAATAATAATAATAATAATAGTGAAATGTATGATCAATAGTTTTAAAAATAAATAATTAGTTAATTAAATAATTAAAATAAGGTTGAGGGATATATTTATTGGTATTTTTCTCTCTACAATCCGCTCTACCCTTCCTTTTATTTAATATCTACACCAATGGTTTTGATAAGTTGTAGATTTTTCTTGAGGAGAGGATTTGATGGAAATAAACCAAACCTTGATACATAAAAATGAAGAAGAGAAAGTGTATAGAAAAAGACAGAGGATGTAATATTGTGAAAGGTGTATATAATATCTATTGCTAATAATGACAATGATGATAAACAAGATAACTAGATAACTGACAAGATACAGTAAACTAGGCTGAACAAGACTCTACACGATAGATATACAATTATAACTAGCTACACGAATTGGGGAAACAAGAATGATCCACCAAGCTCGTTGCCACTTCTATTTATTTATGTTTTTCATACTTTATGTATTTTCGGAATGTAGGGTGAACCTTGTTCTCTGACACTCTCGCAGTGACACCAATTGTTGTTGATCATTTTGTTGTCTTTCTATATCCAACCATGATTGGGCAAAAGAAACCTTTTCGACTCGGTCGTTCGAACCTTTCGAACATCCATGCCTTTTGGGCACGGAATCTAGAGTGAAATAATTTAATTGTCACAAACCATATGTTTTGAGCAAATCTAATTTACCTCAATAGTTGTTGTTGTGTTTGGGTTTCCATTTAATCAAATCATTGATTACCTTGTCAATACGCTCTGGAAGGTGTGGTACCCAACCAAATTGGTTAAAGTAGTTAACGAGGTGTCGTTCCTTGCTTTGCTTGTCAGTGGGTATGGTAGATCGGTTGGACTGCCAGGTGAACGGTTCTGTGAGTTACGATCCATAGTTCTTTTGTCAGGTTAAATAAAAATGAGGTCAAAACACCAAGACACAAAAATCTTTCATCAAGCACCAATGGTTCAATGGTAGAATGGATCCCTGCCACGGATTCGATCCGAGTTCGATTCTCGGTTGGTGCACTCTTTTTTGCCCTATTTAATTTTTTTTGCGGCATCAAGTCTTCTTCAAGTGGAGGTGGGTATTCACTATCATCTACGTTTTCAAATTTATTAAAACCAACTAGAACAGAAGAAGAAGAAGATGATGATGATGAAAGTGATGATGAAATTCAAGAATATTATAGATTTAGATCCAATACACCACATGAATCGTCATCAATTTCTTGACAAAAAAGGAAGAATTGAATGGTAAATTAAAACTATGGTACAATGAATTAATCGAACCAATAGAAGAGCATTTAACCAAGTGACAAAACATTATTATTTGTTCCCAATGAAAACTTGGCTAGTGTTCCATTCTCTGCATTGATAGATAAAAATGGTCAATATCTTGTCGAAAGATTCCCAATCTCCACAACTCCATCATTATCATTAATGAATACACTATCTAAATTACCACACATTAATAATAATAATAATAATAAAAATGTATTTTTAGTTGGTAATCCAATTGGAAGTGGATTGGATTTTACAGAGGTAGAGGTAAATAAGTGCCAACAATTATTCGAACAATCTGAATACAACTGCCATAGGTTAATACGCTCAAATGCAACTCTTCCAAATGTTAAATCAATTTTAGAAAATACAAGATTACAGCACATTCACTTTGCATGTCATAGTGGATTCAATGGAAAGAATAATTACTCTTTATTCAAAGGGTCATTAGATTTGTCCAGACGCAGAAATGGCAAAGCAGCCAAACTATACTCAGAAGACATTATTCAACTTGGCAATGGAATCCAATCCGATACAGTATTTCTAAGTTGTTGCCACTCTGGCAAAGGAAACAACAAACAACAAGGACTCATTGGATTAGTTTGGTCGTTCCATTGTACAGGCGCTCTGTCGGTTGTCGCCAGTCATTGGGAGCTACCAGACACTGACCTAACAGTTAGAATGATCGAGTGTTTCTATGACAACATGATCAACAAGAAACTAAACAAAGCACAATCACTCAGACAAGCACAATTAATCGCAATCAACCAATATCATCATGATCCTCGATCGTGGGCACCTATATTTTTATCGGGCTTAATTTAAAATCAATAACAAACTTTGTAAATAAATAAAAAAAAAATAGATTGTAAATTTTGGATACTAAAAAAGAAAACCAAATGAGAATTGATTGATCATTTATTTATTTATTTATTTATTTTGATTGGAGTATTACTTGGATAAACATTATAATGATTACCTTTAGTTTTAAAATTCAAATAAATTGAACGTAAATCCAATGCGCTTCTATTTCCAATACTAATGTTTTCCATTCTACGTTGTCTATAGATTCCACCAAAAAATGTGTCACCAGAGTTTAACATTACTGCTCCATTCTCTAATCTTCTAATATGTATATCTAGACTTGGTCCAAAATTTCTAATCAATAGATGCTCTACATTTGAACAATTGATGATTGGATCAATACGAATACTAAACTCTGTATCTGTATTTCCTTCTCTTGAAATGGTTAGCTTCTTGACACGGTGTGGTAATACGAAATGAAGTGGATTCTCTTCTGGTGAGCTATCATCATTGTTGATGACCATCGTCGGTGGAAGTGTAAACACTAATGTACCCTTTGAATTTGTGATTTGACAAGAGAAGATCTCTAGTGATGTTGGTAGGTATATAAATGATGGTGGATTGCTACCTCTATTGTACACCAATTCACGCAAGGTTGGTGGATATGCAAAAGGAGAGTCGTGATTGGTTGATGTACTGAATTTTAATAATCGACTTGGAAAGTGGGCTTTGTCAGGATTGACAATATTCATTGACAGATCCAGGACAGTGTCTGGTATATACTCTGGTGACATTGAACATTCAAAATCTGATAGATTCAATATTTCCAATCCGTGAGGTAAGGTCCACGGATCTAGTGAAACACCGCTTTCAAATTTCATCTTTAATTCTATAAGACCCGGTGGAAAAAAATCTGGTGGTATTCTACCGACTCTGTCCATAAACAACTTTGTTACCTTTGGTGGAGGTTTGGAGGCAGTACCAAAGACTGGAAAATCGATTTTAAGAAGTTGGAGGTTTGGTGGAAACCATGATTGTGTCATTGTCAATGGATCTAAAGGGACCCTAAGGTCGAGAGAAGTGAGTGAAGTGTTGGGTTTGGGGAAGCGAATAGTGGAGGCCGATAGGTAGTCTTCAAGCAAGGTGTGAATGGTTAGATGTTTGAGATCTACCAAGTTGGTGAGTATATGGGTAAATGAATTCACGTGACGGTGATCGACGTTCAATTCTGTCAGTGTGGCTGGGAATTGGGTGACTACGAGTACTCCTATGGTTGAGATGGTTGTCAATGAAGTTAGAGAGGAACCCCATTCCTCGGGCGATGGAAAGCCTGGGCCAGTTGTATTGGCTTCTATTTTCAAAGTAGTGACCGATGGGAGTAGAACGTCTTTAATGTCACCCGTGTAATCATTCAAAATGACAGTTTTCAATTTGCTTTGGTCCTCTACTGTTTGTAAAAGTTCGATTGCCTCTACCGATGTATCAGAGAGGGTGATCCATGTTTGAGGAGGTGGATGAGTGAGGTGGTAGTTTTTGTTGTTTCGAATGATTGCAAGTGATGTATTGTAAATCTCTTTAAAAGGTTTCATGAATCCACCAGCAATTGTCGATCTTTGTAACGGATTACTTTGAGTATCAATCCCTTTAAAAGTGATAACATTTGCATACTTTTTCATAAACACTTTATAATATGATTTACATGTCATTAAAAGACATACTATATCTTGATTATTTTGAATGTCATTGAAGATTTGTAGTAATATCAAATCTGATAATCCTCCTCCAGGTGCTAATGATAATGATGATGAAGAAGAAGAAGAAGATGATGAAGAAGATAACAAATAAGATGAAGAAGAAACTACAGAGTTATTTTTTTTCATTGTGAGTGAATAAGGAATTTGATACTCAAAGCAACTATCTAGTTTCTGACCAAACTATCATTATTATTATTATTATTCCTATTATTATTCTAAAGATCAGATTTTAGTTCAAGGTGGAGGTGAGTGAAGTGGAGCAACCTTGAGATTTCGAATGATCAAGAGAAAAAGCAAATAGTTCACACTTTTTCAAATATTGGGAGATTTAATGCAAAATGAATATCATTGTATTTCGCACCATGCTGATTTGACAATCATCTTTAGATATTTATTCTTTCTCGCACAAAAGCAACAAATAGAGAGAAAAAGAGAAAAAGAGAGATAGATAGATATCTATTAGAAAAAAATGAAATCTCTATCAATTATAATTATATCTATAATATTATCAATATTTATACGATGCAACGATGCAGCAACACCTTTACAATGGAGTTCAAGAATCATCTATCAATTGCTAACTGATAGATTTGCTCTATCAAACAATGCCGATACACCATGCCCCGATATAAGCACCTATTGTGGTGGTACATTCCAAGGTATTGGTCAACATTTAGATTATATTCAAGGAATGGGTTTTGATGCTATTTGGATTTCACCTGTCATTACAAATTATCCTGTAAGTCCAAATATATATATAATTCTATCTTTTATTTCTTTTAATTCTTATACTTTTATTATTCTTATTATTCTATTTTGATTTTTAGGGAGGATATCATGGATATTGGCAAACAGATATTTATTCAATTAATAGTAATTTTGGTACAAGCCAAGATTTATTAAATCTCATTCAAGAGTGTCACGCTCGTGATATTTGGGTCATGTTGGATGTTGTCGCTAATCATATTGGCCCAGTTGGTTATGACTATACAACAATCAACCCATTTAACCAAGATGAACATTATCATGATTGTTCGTCTTGTCCATCTCAATGTACTATTAGTGTAAGAAAGAAGAAGTTAGATATATATCATCATATATACATTGTTGAAATTAACCTTAAAATATTCTATTTTTGTTTTTAGGATTTTAATGATCAACCACAAGTTGAAATATGTAGGTTGGCAGGATTACCAGATTTAGATCAAAACAATACATTTGTCAGAGAGACGTTGGTATCATGGATTCATAATATCACCCAGTTTTATGGATTCGATGGTATAAGAGTAGACACTGTACCAGAAGTACAACAAGACTTTTGGTCAGACTATTGTCAAGCTGCAGACATGTATTCAGTGGGTGAAGTGTACAATGGTGACGTTCAATACGTTGCACCGTACCAACAATACCTCGACGGTCTACTAAGTTACCCATTATTCTTTGTACTGAGAAATGTATTTGAACAACAACAATCAATGTACAATATCCAATCAATGATGCAACAGTATCAAGCTTCTTTTGGTAATTTATCATACTTGGGAACTTTTATTGATAATCACGATCAACCACGTTTCCTCAATGGTCAAAGTGACATGCAACTCTACAAGAATGCAATCACCTATGTATTGACGGCTGTCGGTATCCCCATCATCTACTATGGCACCGAACAAGGATTCAACGGAGCCAGTGATCCAGACAACCGAGAACCACTCTGGCCATCAGGATTCAATAATCAAACCGATCTCTACCAATTCATAAAGACGGTCAACCAATTCACAAAACAAGTATCCATTAGTCAATACCCACAAATCCAACGGTATGCCGACGACACCTTTTATGCCTACACTAGAGGTGATGTCTTTGTTGCCCTCACCAATGGTGGTTCAAATCAAGGTCAAATTTCAAGAAATATTACTTATCAACCTTATCCTGATAATACTGTTTTATGTAATATGTAAGAAATATAAAAAAAAAAGCAAAAAGAAATAATAATAATTAATATTTATTTATTTATATTTTTTAGATTTTGGGAAACAGAAGATTGTATTAAAGTTGTAAATGGACAATTTGAAGTATTTTTAGATCAAGGTGAATCAAAGATTTATCATCCAATTACATAATTAATTACTTTAATTAATTAATCCCCCAACCCCTCTTAGAATGAATGAAAGGAATGAATGGTTTATTTGCCAATCATCAAATGTTAATGTCAATGCCAATATTATTATTTTTAGAATAAATAGATAGGTAGTTTTTTGTTTTTTTTGTTTTTTATTAATTACAATTCATAACGAATCTTTGAAGGATTTAATAATTCATTATCGCAATCATAATCATCATCATCATCATTATTAATTTCAACTTGTTCAAGATCCATTGATAAATCTTCATTTTTAAAACTACTATGATGACTATTTTGATTACTACTATGATTACTATTACTATTAAGATGATTCATTATATTATCTACAATATTATTAATATTAATATTAATTGTATTTTGTGATCCTACTCTTGATGGACTATGATTATTATTATTTTCATTATCCTCATTATTTTGATTATTTTGATTATTTAATAATAATTCATTTTCCAATTCATCTTGATTTAACAAAGTATGTCTAGGTTTGTTTAATAATTTATAAATTTTGATTGAAATTATAAAAGTTATACAAAATAATATTGTCATTACAAAAAATAATGTTGTTAATAATGATGTTCCATTTCTACAATTCAAAAAAAAAAAGAAAAAGTTAGTTGTTTATAATCTTTTCTTTCTTTTTTTTTTTCTATTTCTTACAAAACTTCAGTACAAATATTATTTTTTAAAGATTGATAAGCTCCTGAAGTATTATTACAATTTAAAATATTATCAGTATCATATTTTACAATTTGTAATTCTTTGATTTTTTGTTGCAATTCATTGATATGATCTTGAGGAAAATGAGCAGCGATTTCATAATTTAATTTGGCTTGGTTTTGAACAATGAGTGATGATAGAATATCACCGATAAAAGAGAAAATATCGGCATTGTCACATTCTAGAAAATATTGAACATAGGGATAGTAATCATCTGAACGAGCTTCTATAATATTTGTTACTTGTGGACAAACATCTGAAATGACAATACTAAGTGGTGTATGTGTAGATGGTACAATCCACAATGCAATTGAAAATGTTAATCCAACAATGATAAATACTATAATTGGTCGCTTCATTTTAAATAGAGTTGCCAAGAAACCAAAAGAAACCAAAATAAATAATACAATAATTGATGACAATACAAAATGATATCTAATCTTTTCATATCGATAAATATCATCTTGATATTTTATAGTAGTATTAAACATTTCCATTGTCAAATCAAACATTTCCAACACTTCCAATGGCAATCTATAATAAATACCAATTTCCTTGCATTCTTTGATGATTTTTTGTTCAGTCGATACTTGATAATCTAAACTTGTCGTTACAATTTGATTTGATAATACAATTGATGTATGTAAATCATTATTGACTAATAAATTAAAAAATAATAAACTCCTAAAATAAAAATAAAAGAATATTAAATAATTAGAAATATTATTTGTTTGTTTTTGTTTTGATTTGTTTACTTACATTATTAAAAAAAAGATTAAACTAATGATTATAAAATATATTTTGATTCGATGTCTTGTTTGTTTATCGTAAACATTTAAATTGTTATTTTGAATGATTGATTCTTCAAATTGTTGATCAAGATGACTATCGTCTTGTTCTTGTTGAATTGATAATCTTTTAAGGATTTGATTATTATTATTATTTTTACTACAACGATTCCTTTTATGTTTAACCAATTGATAGATTGAATAGATTATAAAGATGATGGCACCAGCCACCAAAGAAACTATTTTCAACACCATGAGCAGTAAAAAGGGCGATGCTGTCATTGCCACAGATTGGACATAATCCCTCTTTTGCTGCTCGCTGCAATTGGCATAGATGTAGATGGACGAAGTGTCATTGACACGTTGACCGTGAAAATTGTATCTTGGAATAGTAGAGTAGACACGATAGAATCGATTGCTAAGTCGCTCTGATCCGATCATCTGGATCATTGGCTTAACGTCAATGAGTGCAGTAATGTTTTCAGCTGGATCATGACTACTCGCACTATCACTATCGCTATATCCAAATATAATATCATTGCCTACTACTACAACTCCTCCATTCCAAAAAATATAAATACATAATATTATTAATAATAATTGATGAAGCAATTTCTTCATTAAAATAAATAAAGAAAAAAAAAAAGGAGAAATAAAGAAAAGAAAAGAAAACTAATGTAATATAATAATGTATTAATGAAAATGCGAGTTTCCACCTGCTCCACCTACTTCCTCCTCCTCCAACAAAGTATACTTAGATACACACAACATTGTAAATTAATATTACTCGCAATTATATTTCATATAAAGGTGAGTAGTGTGAAATAAGAATCATTACCACGCTGTCATAAAAAAACAGTATTATTCATTCTTTCATACTCCTCCACCTCTACTGAAACAAAACAGAGAGTTCACACACACTCTTTTATCGACCCAAAACAATCAGTGCTGAATCCATCCATCCATCTATCCATCATATCCATTCAATTGATTGGTTTGGATAATTACAGTCAACCAATCATATCACATCATTCCCATCAAGGTATCATCATATCATTGATGTTTTGGATGGAATCTTTTAAACAATTATATCCACATTTTTGTTAACAATTGATGGTTGTTGGTTTTTGAAGCTAAGTATTTAATCTTCTTCTTACCTTTTTAAAAAGGACCGTTTTAGAATGATCACATCTGTTGTTTGTTGATTATAATGAACATCCCAGCTAAGCTAGCATTTTCGTATTGTTCTTTGTCTGTGGAGGAGGCGAATTACTTGATCAAAGTAGAATAATGTAAAGATTATAAAGAGTACTATGAACTACTGAGTGTATACTATAAATTTACAAAAGACCCTTTGAAAAAAAAAAGCTAAAAAATAAAAAAATTAAAAAAAATTCAAATCAGCTGATCAGACAAGAAAGACAATGAAACGAAAGTGTAACAAAAACTATCAGAACAAACACTCTATCAAGAGCTTTAACTTTTGCGTAGAAAATGAATTCAATTCTAAGTATGTTGAAGAAGAGTAGAGACAGTAGATAGATAGACATATAGACAACTCAGACAGATAGACAACTCAGACATATAGACAGTTTTGCAGTACTTTTTATACTAATATATCTTCCTTTCTTTTTCTTTTAAAAGAATTAAACCAAAGAGGTTTAATTTTAAAATCATCAACATATATTTGTGCAAGTAATGGATCATCATCGACTAGTACATCAAATAAATCTATAATTAGAGGATATGCTAAAAAGAATTCAATGGATGATGTAGATACAAGACCAGATACACAAAAGATTCTAGAAAAGTTTGACATTCCACGTATTATAGATCTTGGTGACGAGGAACACGATATGTTGAAGCATCTTAAATGGGCACAAAAGCGTATTTCGCAACGTGAAGCCAAGGAGCCAGCACGTGCTGCTAGCAAATACAAGGACAACTACAAGATGATGGCATCGGTCATTATCGAACGTTTCCCATCACTCTTTCCCGAACCAACAGAATACGAACAACAATATCTCGACGCTGAAATGCGTCTTCAACAATTTGTCAACCGTAAACCACTTCGTATGATTGACATTTGCGAGGATCTACCAGAGTTCCAAGTCGTCGACACCAAGGAAAAGAAAGACGATCGATCTGGCGAGGTTGACGACAGCGAATTGGGTGATCTCAAGGCATCGGTCGAGAAACAAAAACGTGACAAACAAATGCAAGAACAAGAGGAAGAAGAGGGTGAATACGAAGAGGACTTTTCAAAGTTTGTACCAGAGAGTAGAGAAACAGACGCCGACAAAAAGAACGATCGTCGTTCTCTTGAACGTAAATTGGATAAATCACTCTACCTCATTGTCAAACGTCCAAATGGTGAATGGCAATTCCCATCCACCATCTGGATCGATGGTGAATCAATGAAAAATGCTGCCGAACGTGCTCTCAGAGATACTACCGGTGAAAACTGGACTTATTGGATTCCTTCTCAAGCTCCAGCTGGTGTTCATAAAGTTATCCTTGGTGAAAAAGAACAATCTTCATTACAAGCTGAAGGTGTAAAGGTAAATAGAAAATAATAGAAAAAATAGAAAAAGATGGAAATGAAATCAAACTAATCATTTAATTATTTATTTATTATTATTTTTTAGAACTTTTTCTATCGTTCACATTACTTTAAGGGAGAATTGGATATTAACAAAAAGTTTGCAACCGATTATCATTGGATTGCCAAAGAGGAAATGAAGAAATATTTCTCTAAAAACTACTTTGATCAAGCTCATAAATTAATTTTCGATGATTGTTATTACAATTATATCAATGATTAATATTAGTTATATCAATCATATTAAAGAAGGATGTTAACAATCAATACATTAACATTTTTGGTAGAATAGTAGTAAAAATAATTTAAAAGAAATAGGAAAAATAACAAAAAAGTAATAAAATGAATTAACTTTATAATAATCAAAATCAATAATATTTTTTAAATTATTATTACTTTATTATTATTATTAATATTATTTATTCAATCAATCAATCAATCTATTCAATGAATAAATTCAAGATTATATTAACCCCACAATTCCTCATATGGATAGTAGTAGTGATGTGCACTTTGTTTTTATTAATATCAGAGTTGAGTGGATGTCACTGGATGAGGAATATGTTTTAAAACAGAAAAATCCATCGAATAGTGAGCGGGGTGGTCTCAAAAGCTTGTAAGCCCGATGATATTATAATAATTTCGATCGCACATTTGATTTTTATTTTTTTTAGGTTTTTTAATATCTGATCGAATGAATAGGAATAGTTATTTTTAATCTTCCTATTATTATTATTTTATTATACTTACTTTTATAAAAGTTCAGAGAGTTGTGAAAAAAAAGAGGTTTTAGGAACATCTGCAAAGAAAAGAGTTTATTTTCGTTTTTTTTGTTTTTTTTTCGGTTGCACCTCTTTCCCTTTTTAGTCAGAAATAGGGAGCCGAATCACCCGCCCTTCAAACACACCCCTAAAAATCGACGTCTTTCGATTATAGTCTCATCTTATAATAATATCTCTCTTTTCATTCATTCATTTATATATATTTATACAATTAATAGATAGATAGATAGATAGTATATACAGTATATAAATATACTTTATAATTAGTAAGGAACATCATCATATGAAATTTAGACATCTTTTACCCTAACCCACCAACCACTTGCTTTGCTCGCTTCTCTCTCTTTGAAATAATTATCAACAACTTTTGTTTCATTGTCACAAAGAGAGATAGACAAAAAGAGAAAGAGAGAGAGATATGATATGATGATAACAACATCAAAGAAAGATATAAAACATATTCCCCACTTTCACTCTCTCTCTCTCTCAACACACACACACATTTATACACACACACATCTACAACTCTTAACCAATTAGTCAACCAGGTTAAAAGAAGATATATATTTTGTATATCACACCACCACATAGAATCACTAGTCGATGCTCCATACCTACCCATGGCATTGGATGATTTTTATTTCTATTTGACAAACAAATGCAAATGTGATATACACACACATACAACTCGCACACACACGCACTCACCATACACACTCAGTTCTTTACCAATAAGGAAGGAAAAGGAAACCGATTATATTTATAAATATAGTTGTTGAATGTGTCCTACTTGTTTCCTTTCTTGTTTTATCATTTTTTTATTCATAATCATCAATAGTCAAAGGATTAATTGAATAAACAATAAATCCAACCAAGTCACTACTACTATCTTTTTTATTATTATTATTATTTGGTCATCCAAGTCAGTAGAGTGAGTGGTGATCAAAAAATAAACCTAAAAGTAACTCCACAAATTAATTAGCTAGTTTGATCCATCTCTAGTTAGATAGAAAAAAACAATTAAATTAAATCTCCAACTTTATATATATATATATATACCAACTTTCTCATCGCTTTTCATTCATTCAGTCCAATCACACAGCACACATACACACACATATTTATTGAATCGTCTTTTATATTAATATTTATATATAATATACAAAATATATTAACTTAGTTTATATTTATATTTCTACCCTAGATTATTCATTTTCATTTATATTTATTTTATATATATTTATATATTTAATTAATATACATAATGGTAGCACATAATGTATTAGAATCAGATGTAGGTCTATTTCTAATTCAATGTTTATTGATTATTATATTATCAAGAATATTGTCATGGTTGTTTGCCAAGATTCAACAACCACCGGTGATTGCAGAGATTATATCTGGTATTTTATTGGGGCCTACAGCGTTTGGAAAAATACCTGGATTCACAACGACGCTGTTTCCACCGGCTTCAACTAGAATATTAAATGTTTTTGCACAGATTGGTCTATTGTTTTTCATGTTTATCATTGGTTTGGAATTGGATCCATCACTCTTTAGATCACAAATCAAACAATCTTTGATCATTAGTTTTGTTAGTATCGTTTTCCCATTTGGTTTGGGTCTTGCTGCAAGTATCTATTTGGCCGATATCCAAGGTACTGCTTGGACCTATTCTTTTGGTATTTTCATTGGTGTTGCACTTTGTATCACTGCTTTCCCTGTTTTAGCTCGTATTTTAGCTTCTAAAAAATTATTATCTACTCCTGTAAGTCATAAAACAAAAACAAATGATTATATTATATTTATTTATTAATTTAATTTTCTTTTTTTTTTTTTAGATTGGAGGATTAGCAATTGCATGTGCAGCAATTAATGATATTTGTGGATGGGTATTATTGGGATTATCAGTTAGTTTGGCAGGAGAGTCTGGTAGTTTGGATACATTGTGGACATTGTTGGCAGCAGCTGGATTTGTGGCCATTATGTTGTTGGTCATCAGACCATTACTTTCATGGGCAGTTGCAAAGGTTTGGAAGGTTGACGAGAATGCAGCTCATCCACCATCTCCATCACATTTGGTGATGAGTAGTACTGTAGTATTACTCTTTATTGCTAGTTGGTTGACCGAGATTATTGGCATTCACGCCATGTTTGGTGCTTTTACACTTGGTACAATCACACCAAAGATTGGTGGCTTCAATCAAGCCATCACTGAAAAGATCGAGGATTTGGTGTTGGTGTTCCTCTTGCCACTCTATTTTGTGGTCAGTGGTCTTCGTACTGATTTGACTACACTCAATACTGGTGAGCCGTGGTTGGGTGTCTTGTTGATTGTCAGTTGCGCCTGTTTTGGAAAGATTGTTGGGTCGGGTGTCATTGCCAAGATTCTTGGCAAGAGCACACGTGACGCGCTCAGCTTGGGTATCCTCATGAACACGCGTGGTTTGGTCGAGTTGATTGTACTCAATCTCGGTCTTGACTTTGGTCTCATTCACACCAATGTCTTTGGTATCATGGTCTTGATGGCCGTCTTTACCACCATCATGACGTCTCCCTTGATCAGTCTCATGGTCAAGCGTGAGAAACCCAGTGGATCCAACGGCGAGCAATTTACAGTCGTCCTCTGCACACCCTCCCTCTCACTCGGTCCCTCCATGGTTGACTTGGGGTACACCATTGGCAACCGTGTCTCTGTCTCTGCTATCCGCAGAAAGAAGCTTAAAAAGATCTATTTCCTCTCTATTTCCGAAGTCAACGATCGTCCATCAGACTTTATCGGACAGATTAGAAAAGATATTTCACGTGCTTCTTTCCAACCACTCATTCAACAAGGTGCACAAATGAAGATGAAGGTTGTATTTAATAGCATTGTTTCAGACAATGACCATCTCACCAAAGAGGTTGTACAGTTTACAGAATTAAAAAATGCCAGTATGCTCATTATTGGCGAGGACAACTTCCACGGACGTGGCGGTATGATTGGCAAAGACACCATGTGGAGCTTGATCAAGACCAGCACCACTCATGTCGGTGTCTTTACCGACAAGTCTGGTGTCAGAGGAACCGTCCATCGATTCAAGCGTATCCTCATCGCCTACCTCGGCGGCAAGAATCCAAACGACTATCAAACGCTCGAGTTGGCCAATCGTATGGCCGAGACGGACGGCGTCGTTGTCACCATCGTTGTCTTTGACAATGAATTCTATTGGAAGAACAAGAGAAAATTAATTCAAGATAAACGTGATAGTCTACTACTCGAAAAACAAGCTCAAGAAAAAGAATTTGCAGAATTAACAAAATCTCCAGATGGTGTTGATAATAGTAATAATATTAATAGTAATAATAATAATAATAATAATAATAATAGTTTAAATAATAGTCAAGATCCAAATAATAATAATAATAACATTAGTCAAGAGAATGGATTAAAAAAGAGTACAAGTATTAACAAGAGTGGAGCTGTGTTGGCTCCACAACCACCATCGGCAGCCAATGTAATGGCAAATTCAGTAATGTCAGAGAGTGGATCGACCAATCTATCAAAGACTACCGAGATCTATGATCCATTAAAGATTCAACAATACGAATCACATTTCGAACGTGTAATATATGGTAAAAACAGTAGCAAGATTACAGTGGTTTACAAACCAAAGAAACAACGTCAAACCTTCCTCTTGGAGAAATGTATCGATTTTGACCTCATGGTCCTCCCCTACGAACAAAAGAAACAGGATACGGGTGTCTCCCCATTCCCATCGTTCCAATTACCCGGTATGGATTTGATGAAGAGATCGCTTTCAATGGTCCATCTCCCAGGACGTAAACTATCGGAAAGTCATCATCAAAAGTTTGATGAAGAGATGCAGGTTTTCGATAACCCCGACAATATCAATATTGCCATTCCACAAGGTGCCAAACAATCCACCTCTAATCTTAATCATCCACAACTCCTTCCAATGGAAACTATTATCGAAGATATGGTTCATCGTACCGTTAGTGATCTCAATGACTCGTCTGACAGTTCACTCAGTAATCCAGGAGCAGCAGCCCTTGAAGAGGCATATTGGGTCAAATGTCCCATCTCTACTTTGGTCGTCTACCACAAAGATACCATTCCAACGCATCCAAGTGAATTAAATAGTCAACAACAACAACAAGATGATGATGATTTCCAAGATGATGTTAAACAAATTGATCCTACCAATCCAGTTGGTGATTCAACTCCTATTGATCATGGTAAAATCGAATAAATTAACAAACAAACAAATAATTATATTATATAATATATATTATTTATTTTTCAAAACAAACAAATACACAAACAACAAAACAAAATCAAGGTTTTTATGATCTTTGATTAGGCATTCTTTTCATGTACAGGTGGTTTGTTTTTTGATAACCATACTGGACCATTTGGATATCTATGATCTTTAATGGTTTGTTCTTTTAATCCTCCACCATATCCTGAATGTGATGGACATTGATATCTTGTCTTTTTCATTATTGATGGATGAATATAACTAAAAAGATAAATATCATTAATATTAATATTCTTCATTTATCATTTATATTTATATATATATATTTACTGTTCATTTAAATGGGGAACATATTCACTAATTCTATTTTCCAAAGAACCAGAAACGATGATATAATCAATAATACAAAGATGATTGACATATTCACAAAGTCCAACACCACCTGCATGCATACAAACAGGTACTCCAAATTTAGCACAAAGAATCATTACTGTAATCACTTCAGTTGGTCCTGCCAATCTACAACTATCAGGTTGACAAAATGATATAGCATTTGATTGTAACAATTGTTTAAAAATGATTCTATTCTAAAATAATTAAAGAAATCTATTAGATTAAATAATGAATGTAAATATATTTTTTAGCTTACTTGACATTGTTCACCTGTAGCAACTTTAAGAGGAGCAATAGCTTTTGCAATGGCGGCATGACCAAGAATATCATCTGGACTAGTAGGTTCTTCAATCCACCATGGATTAAATTCAGCCAAACGTTTCATGTAATCGATGGCTTGATTAACATCCCATCTTTGGTTGGCATCGACCATTAGTTTTCTATCGGGTCCCAAGATACTACGAATAAGACGACATCTTCTAATATCATCTTCAATGTCGGCACCAACTTTGATTTTAATGTGACTGAATCCTTCTTCGATGGCACCTTTACATAGTCTTGTGATCTTTTCATCACTGTATCCCATCCAACCGGCAGATGTGGTGTACGATGGGTAACCAAGTTCCAACATTTCCTTTTCTCTTGTTTGTTTGGTTGGTTCTAGTTTCTTGAGCATTGTAATAGCCTCCTCTTTGGTAATGACATCACTCAAGTATCTAAAGTCCAACAGTCCAACCAACTCTTCTGGTGTCATGTCTACAAACACCTTCCACAATGGTTTTCTTTGAATCTTTGCATAGAGATCCCAAAATGCATTCAAAAGTGCAGCCGTTGCCAAATGAAGTACACCCTTTTCAGGTCCAACCCATCGAAGTTGTGGTTCAGATGTAATGGAACGATAGAAATTAGGATAATCCTTTACAATCCCCACCACACTCTTTCCAATAAATTGTTCATTCAATGCTTTTGCACATTCTACAACTACATCTGTACCTTTTCCAAGTGTAAATGTTGTTCCTACACCAACTAAAAAATAAAAAGAAAACAAAAGCTAAATATTAAATGATTTACAACTACAAATAGATAGATGTGAACATTACCTAAATTGGGTACATTTGTTCTAAGAGTTACATAGGCACAACTATAATCAGGATTAGTGTGCATTGCATCAGATCCTACCAATTCATCTGATGTTGGGAATCTAATATCCTCAACTGTAACTTCAATAATCTTTACTGCCATCATTTCAATATCTTGATTTGATTGCATTTTTTAAATTAATAATTTAATTAAATAAATATCTTTATCTACCTATCTAAATGAGTTGAAATAAATTAAAATGATAAAAGATGAGATGAATGATTACTTTGTATGGGGATGTGTCTTTAGCTTGAATGATTAAATTAAAAATAGTGGTAAGTGTGTGTTGTGGGTTGGTATTTTGATTTAAAATGAACCAATCAAAATGAAAGTTTGAAAAAAAAAAGATTGGATTGGATTGGATAGGTGGACTTGTCCCATTGTTGTGTTTTTTGGTTAAATTTATAAATCATATGGATTTATTTCCTCTTCATCATCATCATCTGGTTGAAGCATTTCTTTAAATTCAACAAAATGTTTAATTTCAAAGTCATTGAATGGTATTGTCGTTGAAGTTGTTAAAGTTGTTGAATGAATATCGATATGATCAATATTACATTGATCTAGTAAATGTTGAATGATAACCAAAATAGATTGTAATGGTTTGGCATAATTTAATTTAGCGTCTAATCTCTTCTTTACATTGATCGATTGTTGAATGAAATATAATGTTGACTTTAAACTATAATGTGCACAAAATAAATGATTATCTGATATGTTGTTATTCATGCTAAACGATTGATCCAATAGTGATTGTAATTGGTTTGTGATTTTCATAGTGTCACCATCAATCAATGATTTATAATTATTTTTGTTGATTGCTTCAATTGGTAATCCAATATATGCCAATGCCATATTAAACCACCATTCCCAAACAAAATTAGATATAACAATACATTTTTGATATTGTACAATTGATTCTATTTAAAAATAAAAAGAAAAAGAAAAATAGAGTAAGTAAAAAGTAAGTAAGTTTGTTTCTATTGCATTTTTTAGATGGTTACCATTAAATCTTAAAAGATGATGTAAAGATTGTGGATATAATATAAGAATATCCATATATTTTTGAGCAGCGGCTCTATTAATATTTGAAAGAGTTGATTCTTCAAATTTGATAATCTTGTCGATAGCAGATTGATAGTGTCCTAGTCGATAGGAACATCTAATCTCTAGATCAGGTACCAATAACTTTGATGTTTTATCTTGTAACACCCGGTTAAAGTTTCTTATTTGTTGACAACATTCAAGACACTTTTCATAGTCTTGATTGAGATAGAGATAATCAATCTTGTAATAGATACTCTTTAACATTACTTTTAATCTCTTTCTATCTACATTTTCTTTGACCTTTAATTCTTTTAAATCCTTTTTTAATATTCTCTCCATTTCTTCTTTATCTATACAATCCAAGAACCACTAAATATAGAGTAGAGTAAGTTAATCTTTGCTCAGTGTTTGAGTATCTTAAAGTAAAGGTTTGCAAACCAAACTTACAAGGTGATCATCAATCTTTGGAGTGTAATCAACTTTTGGTATTGATTTCTTTCCTTTTGGTTCATATTCTTCACACTCTATATTACCAAATGCATCATCATCTTCCATCTTTTTATTACTATGTGTATTTATATATTATCTCTCTTTTTGAAAAGATTATAAATGAATCGAGTAAAACGAACTAATCTATCGACACTTTGCGAATATAATTTAAATTAAATTTAATTTCTGCAGAACCTACTCGAAGTGTGTCATATCATCTTCAACATTTGAAGAAGAAAGAAAGAAAGAAATGGGAGATAATGAAAGATTGAATCAATTAAAGAATAGACAAAATGATATATTGGAAAGATTACAAGCGATGGCTGACAAAGTTGCTGATATGTTGCCAATACAAGAGATAACTCCTATTCAAAAGAGAATAGATGATTATGCAACAAACATTTCATTAAAGTAAGATGTATTGAATATTGATTGAATGAATGATTAAGTTATTTACCTGTCTCTTTTCTATTTATTTAGACATGAAATGGCAAGAGTACCAAAGACATATTATAGTTGGACATTGGAAAAGAGAGCAGCATATTTAAAGGCACCATCCATTCACAATCTATGTAAAAGTATTATAGTAGAGAATATCAATTGTGTCAATCAAAATACAGATGATCCTTTTAACAGTAGATTCTATTGTATCATCATTCAATATACAACCAAATTACAGAATCAAAAGATTCTAAAGTTTGTAAAAGGATTGTCTACGGACAATTCATCCTTATCAAAAGCAAACTATCGATTCACAATGGCACAATCAGAAGATTCAAATAGACTTACTGGATTCGAATACAATGCTGTCTGTCCAATTGGAACTGCCGTTCCCATCCCAATCATCATCTCTAACAAAATACTTGAATTACCAAATCCAATAGTTTGGTTAGGTGGTATGTAAACAAACAAATAATAACAAAACAACGAGATATATATCTAACAACCCTATTTATTTATATTAGGAGGAGAAGTTGATCTTAAATTAGTTGTTGATATAAATGATTTTAAACAATCAACTGAATTAAATACTGGAACTAAAGTATTTGTTGCAGATGTCGTTTATGATCAACAATACAATTCAAATGATGCAAATGTTACCAATAATAATAATGATGAAGAATAAATAGTCGGTATAATAATAATAATAATTTATTAAATGTAAGATTAACTTTTTAGTTTAAAGTTTAAACTTTCTTCATTCTAATATTTTTAGCAAAATGTAATCTAAATCTATTACTATCCTTGAGATAGATGATAGTACCAACAACCAATGCGATCAATACTACACCTCCAACACTGACACCAACAGCAATTTTCCAAACTTTAGAGTCTGATGCACCACCACATTCTCCGACTTTACTATTATCAATGATTAATGGTGTAAAGTCTGGATCGAGAGTACAGGATTGACATTGAGGAAAGTTGACACCAATCAATGCAATAGATTCATTTACCTTGTTGACAATGGGTAAAAGAGATACTAGTTGTGTTTGAGAATAGGTTGATCTACCATCAGACAAGACATAGTTTATGAATCGACCGGTAAACTGAACACCTTGTTTGACAACACGAAGGTATTGGATTGTATTACCCAAGGAGTCATATGAAAATGTATCTATATTGTGTTGATCACAATTTACTTGGACGGCTTGGTTAGTGTCTACCACTGTTTTAAACAAAACTCTAAGTGTAGCGATATTGCTTTGGTAGGTCCAATTCTCGACTGCGACCGTGACTTTGATCGAATTGGGATCGATTGAAAATTGTTGGTCTCCAAATGAAATGATTCTTGGTTTTGATGAAAACGATATGACCGCTGTAACATTTGCCTCAGTTTCATTACTAATTAAAACGTAATTGGCAACTGTCAACTCTTCATCTGTTGTAATATTCGATGTCCATTCCCTAACAATTACTTCATTCATCACCGTTTTACCATCTGAATCAATTTCTTGAATAGAGTACATTTCAAAATTAAATAATACTCCATCAATATTAAATTGTGTTACTGGTGATGATGAATTTGTTTCAATTGGTATAGTTTCATTTAAATCTAAAAACAAAATTAATTAATTAGTTAATTAATTATTTAACTTTCATCTTGGAATGTTTTGTAACATACATTTAGTAAGACAATTATCTAATTGACTATAACCTAGATCACAACTACATTGTCCATTATCTTGACATTGACCATGGCCATAACAATGACGAGTATTTTGTTCACATTTTGATTTCAAGTCATTTCCTTGAGTTGGAGGAGGAGGATCGAAATACAGCATATTGGAAGAAGTAAAGTTGGCACCATCAACATTTACATATAAAGGTGCTAGACCATAATTGTCATGGAGTGTATCAATAAGGCAAACTAAAGTTGTTTGATTTTTAGTTTCGACAATACATGCAATCCAATTATGTACCAAAACTATTGAATTACCTTCTTCAAATGGTCCAAAATTACCAAATAATGTTAATCTAATCGATTGAAGAGTTGGTCCAGTTTCTTTTGATATTGATCTAACAATTGGGTATTCTAGAAATTAAAAAAAACAAAAAAAACCTATATTAATAAAATAAATTTGATAGATTGATTGGTTTTCCTTTTTATACTTGCCTAGAATCAATTTAGTATTTCCAGTTATATTGAAAAAACCATTTGAAATTAAATAGGTCAAGTTTGATGCAGTTCCAGTTGTATTGAAAAAACTATTTGTAGTTGAAAATCTGAGAGCACATTGTATTGTAAGTGGTGCTGATGTAGTTGTTATCAAACATTCTTGTGAATTGATGGAAATACGATGAACAAAATTTAAATTGATCGATTTAAAAGTAAATGTAAAAAATATCAATCTTATTCTTTGTTCATATGTGATAGTATCCAAGTCAATGCCAGCCTCTACAATACTAGTAAAACTGGCATTGGCAATAGAAATGGGTGCTGATGAAAGCGGAATGGTGATTGGATTTGGATTTGGATTATAAAAGTTTTGGTAATTTTTAAAGATGATTTCCACTTTTTGATTGAATACGATTGGTTTGATGGTATAGGTAGTAAAAGTACCACCCCAACCTAAATTCGACCCTTCTATTATCCCATGTCCTAAATTGGTGATAAGAGATTTGTTGGATAGGACAACATTACAGATGAATCCTGTTGGGTATGGTATATCAGTTTCCACCCGATCTGGAAAACACCAAAAACATTCTGGCAATGATGAAATGGCTGTTTTTGAGATGAACAAATTGCTGAGTTGACTACACGCTGTATCTGGAACATATCCACTCAACCCTGGATTTCCCCTCAAACTTAGGTAAAGTTTTGTTACATTCTTAAGAATGGTGTCCCATGGGAACTGACCCTGAATCTTATTGTATGAAAGATCAAGGTAAATCAAAGTATTAGGTGCCACCAATGATGTTGGAATACTTTGAACTCTTGAAAATGAAAATCCTCTATAAAAAAATGTGAATTGATGGTTTAGTTATTTTTTTATAGATAGATAGATGGATGCTATTTTTGAATACTTACAATGCCTCTAAACCTGTTGGAAATTTTGTGAATGGTATCTCTGTCAATGATGAGTTTGTAAATGTACTATAAATTATGATTAGAATGAATCAGTGAATACAGATGATAATAGTGATAGTTTAATAGAAACTACTTACAAATAATTTATATTTGGAAAAGAATCCAATAATTTGGGAGTTAATGATGATCCTTGCCCATAAGTTGAAATTGATTTGATGGTTGATGGACTATCTGTAAAGAATTCATAGATTGGTGATCCGTCCATATCATCATACCGTGGTCCTAATAGCCTATTATAATATTATTCAACACCAACAACAATATAAATATTAGAATCATTCAACTTTTTTGATTGATTGTTACCGTACTTACAAATTATGCAATACCGATGATGAATGAAGAATCTTGATCTTTTGGGTGGATAAGGAATTAATTGAAACAGAGTTTAACAATGGGAATGACTTTGTAGTGAATGCCATCTCTAGAGGAGTAGTTGAATTGATGAAAAACATCAGAGTTTCTAACCTTGGAAGATACATTGTTGTATCAATAAGGATCATTCTCAATAACTTGGAGGATAACGAGATATGTTGAATATTGGTATTGTTAAAAGATGTATCAATCTTTTCAATAGGAGACAATGATTGAAATATTCTTAGTTTGGGTAAATTGAAAAATTCAAAATCTGGTACCCAACTAATACTTGGATCATTCCCAATACTAAAAAGAAGTAATTTTACATTTATATTAATCTTGTATTCATGATTGATTGTATACAATTGTACATACTCTAAAGAAAAAAGGTTTGGTAGATCAGATAAAAGAGATAATAAATTGATGGATACATTTGTGGCATGAGTTACTTTATGTTGTATTGTTAAAAGTTCTGGAAAGTAAAAACTCTTTAAATTATAGTCTGGCATATCAGATCCTGGTGATGATGAATTTATAATATTTCTTTAGTTTGAAAGAAAAGAATTAAAAAGATGTATTATTGGTTGTATATATTGTTCGTATAGTACATACATATTAATGATATGATATCCTGAAGTAGTATTTGAACATTTGAAATGAACATCATTACATATCAATTCATCAGATGTTTGAATATTTAAATTATATTGTTTTATAATCCATCTATAGAATATTAATGTGGGTAAGTAAGGATTTTTATAAATTTATTACTTTATAGACTATACTTTACATTGCGCTCTTTACTACAAATAAAGAGAATGAAAAAAAAATGGTGTGTTAATGGGGTGGGTGTTCATCAATTGGGTCTCTCTCCATAGCTGTTAATATGACTTACTTTCAAGTTGCGGTAAAACAGATGAAGATTCTACAAAAATATTAGTATTCAATGTGATTGCATTGATTAATACAATCATTGAAAGTAAAACTTGAAAGATATTCATACTTCAAAGATATAATTTTGAATAATGAATCTTAATTATATCTTTGTTACAATGATGAAAACTATAATTAAGATGAAATGAGATTGTTGTAGACGTTTTTTGGGCTACTAAAAACGAAACGTAGGCTTGTCTTGGGAATACAGAAGATCTGCAACGAAATCTTGGGTTTTTGAAAATTTATTCCACGGAAGGTCTTGCCTTTCACAACACCCAGTGGGATGTGAAGTCATTATCCAGGACCTCCTGAAACTGGGAAAATATATATTGATTGTAATATATGTTCATTCCATTGGTTGTTGTTGTTTGGTAAAGGTTCATTTCATTTTCATTTTCATTTTCTTTTACTTTTTCTTTTACTTTTTCTTTTAAAATTAAATAAAAATAACATAGATTAGTTACTTTGGGAAGCCCAAACTTAATATCACCACAAATAAGGTAGTTATTTTGTATTTCTTTTTTTGTATTTGACCAAACTTGAAAAAAATAATCATGATGAACAAGTATAAGTCATTGTTTTTGGGTTTATTTAGACTACATAAGTGGTCTAGCACTAGTGCGTTACTACACTGCACAATAGTAGTATACTATATCATGAATAAGTAGTTATTTTGGGGTTTATTTCTTCTTTTGTAGCTGACCAAACTTGAAAAAAATAATATCTCCATCTTGCACTGTATAGGATTTTCCCTCCATTCTATACTTGCCTGCAGCCTTGCAAGCAGCTTCACTCTTGTGTTCAGCAAAGTCTACGTAGGCCATAGTTTCAGCCATAATGAAACCCTTTTCAAAGTCAGTATGAATGACACCAGCGCATTGTGGGGCCTTGGATCCCTTTTGGAAAGTCCAGCAACGGACTTCATCAGAACCACAAGTGAAGAAATGGCACAATTGGAGGTGATGGTAACCAGTCTTGATGATCTTTGGAAGCATAGAGACGGCACCCTTGCTGTCTTCGTAGGCCTTACGTTCCTCTGGGTTCTTGATGAGGGAGAGTGGGGCTTCAAACTTGACAGAGATTGGGATGATTGGTCCTCCTCCGTTGGCATCGACCCAGGTCTTGATCTTGGCGAGGTACTTGTTCTTCTTTCTGATGAAATCTTCTTCAGAGAGATTGACCAAATAGATACCTGGCTTGGTGGTGATCAAACCCATATCTCTGATAAATTCAACTTCAAAGTTGGAGTATTGACCAAATCTGGCTTGCTTTCCTTCCTTTAAGAGGTTGACAACCTTTTGGTAGGTATCAATTTCTTGTTGTTTGGTCTTGTCAACAGTTTTCTATAAAAAAAAAATAGAAAATAATATTATTAGAATATGAATAAGAGGAGAGAGTGGGATATTTCAAGTATACTCGTTACTTACATTCTTGACAGACTTTACGAGAACGTCCAATTGCTTGGCAGCATGTTCAAGATCCTTTTGGATCAATTCGTTGGCAATAACTTCCAAATCACGAACTGGATCAACAGTATCTTCAACATGGATAATGTCAGAGTCATCAAAAGCTCTGATCATATGGAAAATACCATCTACTTGTTGAATATGAGACAAGAAACTAGAAAAAGAAATGGAAATGGTTGGTAAATAATCGATCGATCGGTTGTCAATCATTCAATATTTGTTGTGTAAAAAACATACGCATTACCCAAACCAGCACCAGTTGAGGCACCCTTTACAAGACCAGCAATATCAGTGATGGTCTAAATATGTATAAAAGTCAAAAGTTGTCAATATTAATAAGATGTGTGTGTTGATCATTTTAATTGATTTACATACCAAATAAGCTGGAATATTGCTTTTTGGTTTATGGAGATCGACTAACCAATCATAACGTTCATCTGGTACAGCGCATCTAGATACATTTGGATCAATAGTACTATAGTATAGGGTATGTGATTAAATTGGTTGTCAGTAAAACATTCATATGACATTGTGTCGTCGTTGTTGTTGTTGTTTGATAGTTACCAGAATGGGAAATTTTCAGCTGGGATAGACATGTTGGTCAAGATGTTGAACATGGATGACTTACCAACGTTTGGTAAACCGACCAAACCCATCTACAAATAGCGGAAGTATAAAAAAAAAAACTATTGTTAATATCAACGATCAAGTATTGAATTGATGTATATCGCTTATCTCTATTCTTATTAATCTATGTGGTATGATCATCTAATCACTGTTATTCTTTGTATTTTTTGAAATTCTACCTTTAAGTTGTTTCCAACACGACCAAGGAGAACTGGAGCGTCTGGGGTAGCTGCTTTCTTTGACATGATTATCGAATACTAATTAGTGATATTGAATAGTCTATCTATTAATAAGGACCGTGGTAGATGATCACCTATAGAGGGGAGTGAGCGACTCGTTGTTCAAAAAAAAAAAAATGTATTTTCATTTTTTTTTTTTTTTTTTTTTTTTTTTTTTTAATTCCGATTTATTTATTAACTTATTTATTAAATATACATATATGTATTTTTGATGGGTAGGTAAGTCCTGCCCTTACAAAAGATGAGTCGTCTTTGAGCAAGGATTCCCTTTTAACCTTCTTTGGATTGCACACACCTCGTGGCAGGTGTTGAATTGAACCAAAAGTCATACAACAATAACAACCGAAAAAGGTCGTTATTGTTGTATGACATTTGGTTCAATTCAATTACTCTTATCACAACATATAATGTCTAAACAAAGTATATAACCATTAAAATTGTTTTTTTTATCTTGTTTCTGCTTTTTAAAAGTATTTAATCTTTTACATACCACCACTGTTGATTGATTCATGATGTCGACAATGTTTACTTGAACTAATACATCTTCACAGTTGTAATAAGTTAGTTGTTAATAGTTGTTTTTTGATGGGTTTATTTTTACATTGTATTATTTTTATTTTTATTTTATTTTTATTTTATTTTTATTTTATTATTAATTTTAACCTTTAATTACACCAATTGGTCGTAATCTAAATGATTTTTGAGAAATACCAGCAGTATGACAAGTTTCAATGACTTGATCGACGTCTTTATAGGATTCTGGAGCTTCTTCCATGATTAATTTTGGTGATGCGATACGGATACTGATACCCTTGTTTTTGAGAGAGTCGAGTACGTCTTGGTATGATAGATTGTTACGTGATTTGTTTCGCGAGCAAGATCTACCTGCTCCATGACATGTGCTGCCAAATGTCTCCCTCATGCCGGTTTCAGTACCGGTCAAGACGTAGCTGTGTGTGCCCATAGTACCACCAATGAGGACTGGTTGGCCTGTGAACTGGTAGTCTACGGGGATGAGGGGGTGGTGTGGTCCAAATGCACGTGTGGCACCCTTTCGATGGACCAATAATTTTTTGGGACGTCCATCAACCATGTGTTCCTCAAATTTGGCGATATTGTGTGATACGTCGTAAATGACGTGCATGTCGAGGTCGTCGGGTGAGGCGTTGAATGCCTTGGCAAAGGTCTGACGTGCTAAAAAGGTCATACTTTGTCGATTGACCCATGCAAAGTTGGCGGCTGCTGCCATACCTGCCAAATAATCTTTACCCTCTTGTGAGGAGATATGAGCGCATGCCAACTGTTTGTCATTGAGATGAATCTTGTCACGTGCCATAGCCTTTTCCATCGAGGTTAATGAATCGGTTGCAACCTGATGGCCGAGCCCTCTGCTGCCGCTATGGATCATCACGCACACTTGTCCGAGTCTGTCAACACCCATTTTCTTGGCTGCACCCTTATCGTATATCTCATCGACCACTTGCACCTCGAGGTAGTGGTTGCCGGCACCCAAAGTGCCCAATTGCGGGAGTCCACGCTTTTTGGCACGCTCGCTCACCTTGGACGGGTCGGCATTAAGCATACGCCCATACTCTTCACAGTGCTCCTTGTCCTCGACCCACGCATACCCCTCGCGCAACGACCAGTCCAATCCCAACTCGAGTGCGGCATCTAGCGCCTTGCTACCCATTGGAATGACACCCTTGGATCCGACACCCACGGGAATATGGTCAAACAACGATTGACACAACTGCTCCTTGATCGGATCAATATCCTTTTCCATGAGATTAGTACGTAGCAAACGTACACCACAATTAATATCAAAGCCTACGCCACCGGGTGACACGACCGACCTGGGGTCATCCACATCAAATGCAGCCACGTTTCCAATCGAAAATCCATAGCCACTATGAATATCTGGCATACCCAAACTATGACCAACAATACCTGGCAAACTGGCTACATTGGCAATTTGTTTAACAGCCGGTAAAAATCCTCCACTTCCACCTGCCCCCTGTTTAGAGTATTGTTCCAATTCTTCAAATACCAATGATTTAATACTATCATTTACATATATCATACCATCTACCTAAAGGTAATAAAATTGATTAGAAAATTAATAATCATGTTGATGGGATGTGTTTAATTAATCAAAAAAATGGAATGGTGGGTAGAGAGAGTAGAGTAGTAAAGTGGAATAGATTGTGTGTTGTGTTGTGTTTGATTGAAAAATATCTATCTGCTGCCAAGCAAACGACAAAAGAGATGATATAGATAGGGGAGGGATAGTTGGTTGATCAGTCAGTCGGTCGGTCGGTCGGTCAAATAATAATCTCTAACCACACCCACTACCCACAACCATCCGTCTACCCACATGTATGATGTTGCTTTGGTTTGTTGTTGTGTTTTGTGTTTTGTGTTGTTTGCTTTGTTGTTTGTTGCACTGTGTGTGAAATAGTAGACTATAACAAAACCAACAAACTCTACTCTACTCTACTCTCGAGGTGACTTGACTATGTTTTGGTTTGGTTTGATTTGAATTGAAATTGATTATCATACATTCATATTGGGAACGAACCCCTTTTTGATTCGATATCTAACACTATCTATCTTCTCAATAAATCGTTTATCATCTTCAAAGCTTCTTGACATTTTGTTATTGTTGTTGGTTGTTGGTTTTTGGTTGTTGGTGGGTTATAATCTATCTTGATTGTTGTCAGTTCCTTTCTTCTTCTTTGTTTCTTTCTTATTCTCTCTCTCTCAATCGTTTTCACAATTAATAATCTCTTATTATATTATAAATTTATCTCTTCCTTGCTTTCGTTCGCTCTAACTTCTTCTTCTTCTTCTTCTTCTTCTTTAAACTACTATTATTACAATTACTGTACTACTACTACTACTACTATTCTACTATTGAATGATAGATTAAATTAGATTATATATATGTTTATAAGTAAGATCAAATATAATTAAATAATAATAATAATAATAGAGAAACATCAGATGATTTCAACTGAGTTTATCACAACAATTTCCAAAGTTCCAAAAAAGGAGAAAAACTCATGAATGGATTATAATGAATGGATCATTATAATATATTGAATAATATTTAAAATTCCAAACTCAAGAGAGAAAGTTGAAGTTCTATCTTGTCGACAACAGCAGCAGAAAAGGTTAGGTTAGAGTTCATAGTTTTCATGGGTATATATATATGTCTTTTTTGATTGGTGGAAATTGAATTCACATGGTCAATATATAAAAAAAAAAAACTTGAACAAACCAAAGAGAGAGCTTTTTGGTGTTCTGACAAACCCTACTAGTCTGCCTTTGCACCACCCGTCTTTGACCTTATTCCTAGATTTAATAGGATATCACTCTGTACACTCAAACAAAGGCAGGTGGTGTTGTCGTCGAACACGACAGGGATAGGAGGGTTGGGAGGGGGGTGGTGGTTTAAATTTAGTAATAGAGTAGTGTTTGTTGTTTGTTTTATAGATAATAATAATAATAATAATTATAATTATATACAAGTACAAGCAGTTGTACTACCTCCCTCCCCCTCTCACTCTTTCTCACTCACTCTCCATTATATCTCCCTTGGTTCATTTCTCTTCTCTTCTTCTGTCCACAAATACAATATATATATTTTAAATTTCCTTATTATTACTAATTAATATACATTGGAATACACAGACTGACAGACAGACAGACGAGACTGACCGACCTGCCGACACTCATACTATTCCAACAAAATCTATGATTATGATTTTATAATCATCAATCTCTTTTTACTACCAATCATATTCTCTCTTTCTCTTTTCTCTCTTGTCTTATTATTATTATTATCTCTGTCTCTATCATCATTGATTGATTGGGCAAAAAAATAGATTAAATTAAATTTTAGAAAAAAAGAGAGTAAGTGTTTCTGCTGCTGCTGCTGAAGTAGACCAACAACAAATTAAATCTCATCGATAGAGATGCTCTTTTCATTCATCCAATTCATCATCCTCTATTCATGGGTTAGATCGTCAGCAAGATCCAACAACCCTTCCCATTAATGTGAATTGGGGGTATAATTGATGAATGAATGAAAAACAACCCCCCCCCCCCCCCCCCTACATCACCCAACATGAACTATGTTTTAACATTAACCCCCCAACTCTGTTTTATTTTTAATTACAACACCTCCTACACCCTATCCTACCTTATCCTCCTACAGCAAGCACTGCTACTACTATTAGACTAAATAATAATAATAATAATAATTACTACATCAAGACAACACCAACTTTTTCATTATATCCATTTTGATCATAACATAACAACAATCCAATATCTATCTAGCCATCCTCGGTTATTGTTGTTGTTATTATCGTTGATCCAATCCAATTAAAATTGTTGTCTTTTTTTCAAACAGAGATATATTATATTGTATATCTAAATTCATATTCATATTTATATTTGTACAACTAGTTATAGTAGTTTGTAATATTATAGTAATAATAATCATTATATAGTTAGTTAGTTAGTAATAATAATAATAATAGTTTAGATTGTAATCCTACCAGAGAGTTCATTCTCCTGTGTATCGTTATATTATATTATATCCAATCATCACATATTATATTATATTATATACACATAGTTAGGTTTTTAGTTCCAACACATATAAAATATTTGATTTGATGAATATCTCAAATCATTATACAACAATGCCATTCAAGAGAAATGTGAACGGCATCGAAGATGTAGGTGGAGGTGGTAATGGTAGATCTTTAGGAGGAAATGAGACTGGTACTGGAACAAGAGTCGGAGTTGGAGTTGGATTCGGATTTCAACAACAACAACAACAATCATATAATCAATTTCAACAACAACAGGAAAGTAGTAGTAGTAGCCATCACCATCATAGATTACTTAGATCAGCAACCAATTCATCAATCAATTCATTGTTACCAGCCAAACCAACACAAATAATGAATTTCTATAATGATCAAGGCGACGGAGACTATGATCCATATCACCAAGATTTGATCCAATTACCAGAGTCTCCTGATCGTAGATCTGACTATAATAATAATAATAACAACAACTATAATGATACTTCTTCTTCAGCTGCAATGAACGGATTATATCCGGATATGGCTAATTACGGCTCACTTCTTCCTTCTCAACCAACACAAAATAATTATAACTCACCACTGATTTCCAAAGGATCATCCAATCAATATCACCAACAAGATACAACAACAACAACCTACAAACAACAAACCAACTCTCCGACGTCAGCCCTTATCATGCCCAATATTAAAAAGTGTCTATCCAACTCTTACAATTCCCTCCAAAAGATATTCCAAACCTCGCCTACCCCAACAACATCGTCCGAAAAAGGTAAATCCCCCACCCCCCAACCCATGTGTTTTTTTTTCGATCTTCAAATCTCACCATCAACCCCCTCCACCAATCAATTTTTGTTGTTACCCTTTGGCTAGCCCCCAACAAACAAAGGAGGAGGAGGGTATATTATGCTTGTTTAAACATTACGTATTTTTCTTTATCTTGGCCAAAAAATTAATAGTTGATTTGAACAAACCTTAACCCTAGGTTCAAAGAGGGTGAATCGAATGAATGATGGAAACTAGCCAACAGTTTAAAAAAAGATGACAGAGATTAGCATAGGGAATGCATTCACAATTCCATCATTCATTATTGTCTTTCTATTTTATTTTTAAAACAACCAAACATCCTTGTATTAACATTACATAACATTTTATTTATTTATTTAATTTCCATTCAAAAGTTTATTTTGAAACAGATAATTTATATATGTATAGAAATGATGATTCAATATTGAATAATATGATTCCAAGCTTAAAAACAACTACTACCACCACTCAAATTACAACGACTACAACTACTCAATATATAGGTGGTAAACAGCAGCAGGATCCTTTCAGTGGTGGTGGTGGCATATCCGAAAATAATAATAATAATAATAATATTGGTCTAAGAAAAAGAAACAAAATACAAATTCCAAGTCATATGACTGGCCATGATGATGATGTTGATAATAATGATAATGATAATAATGATCTACTAGATGATGATCAATATCATGATGATTTAATGACATATTCTCAACAACAACAACAACAACAACATCAACCAATAATGTACAGCAATAATAACAATAACAATAATAATAATATATATGATAATAATAGTGATATGGATGATAATATATCATTACCAAGTTCATCATCATTTTCACCAATGGATTCACCAGTATCGACACCAATATCAGATACATTGTCAATGTATAGTAACCATAGTAATGGTGGAATGTTGTCTGCAACAGCTACAACGGCATCACTACTTTCTCCAACCTCTTCATCGTCAACCCCACCTTCAACAGTGTCACCAACCTTTTTAAAGAATGGAGTAGTTAGTTTCCCATCACCATGTTTTAAAACGATCGTTCCTTCTCCAACTACTTCTACCTCTAGTACTACTACCACTTCAACGGTTCCCAACAACAACAACACTGTCATTACTGCCACCACCTCTTCATCATCTTCATCCTCTTCTTTATCATCTTCCACTTCTTCAACAAATAATATTATCAATAATAATATTAATAATATTGCAGCAGTTAATATTGCAGCGATTGCAGCAGCAGTTGTTACAGCAGCAGCATCAATAACATCTACTACAACGCCAATCGATTTCCATCACCGACCTGCTATGGTTAACCATCATACACCATCTCCTCCAACAACTACAACAAATAATATGAATAATACATATTCAGCCTTTGCTTCACCCACCCCATCATCTAATATGGGGTTGCCTCCCATCCCACCAAACGAAAATATCTTTGGACATCCACCTCAACAGTCTGCATGGGAGTATCACACGACGAGATTCGTTGCACTCTTTCACAACTTTTGCATGTATATTTTAAGAAACTCAAAGATTGAGCCGCAGGATGTGTACAGGGCCAAGCTGTGCATTGGCTTTTGTTTCACCATCTTTTCGTTTATCCCGTCGTGGATTATCTTTTTCTGGTTGAGTGGATTGCACGAGCCGGCCGTGATGGCCGTGTTGGCCATGCCCATGTCGGGTACATCACTGTGGGTGCTGACCCGCACGGGGTCGACTCACTACCCAGGCCACATCCTCTGCATCACACTGTGTTTTGCGTTGACAATGAACAGCTACTATACCGGTGGACACCAGTCTACGCTCAGACTGCTGATGAGTACCGTGCCCATCATCTCTGCGTTGGTGTGTGGTCGTCGCGCGTCGGTTCAGTGGTCGATGATTGTGCTCTTTATCCTCGTGTCCTTTTTCGTGTGTAACCTGCTCGGCTGGGAGTATGTTGACGGTATCCCATCCATCACTATTCGTAGTCACATGAACTTTATCATTGACGTCACTCTCATCCTCATCACGATGGCGTTTACACTGTGCTACCAATACTTTATCGATGAGGCGCATCGCGAGACCAAGCTTAAAAACGAGCAGCTGACCATCGCCAAGGATGCCGCCATCGAAGCGTACCAGGCACGTCAGGAATTCCTCGCCACAATGAGTCACGAGATTCGTACGCCCCTCAACGGCCTCATTGGCATGGCCACACTACTGCGCGACTCGCTGCTGCTGCCACCCGAGGAGAAGCAGATGGCCAAGAGCGTCAAGTCGTGCGGAGACATCCTCCTCAGACTCGTCAACGACATTCTCGATCTGTCCAAGCTCGAGGCCAACCAGATGGTCGTCGAGCGCACCCCATTTGACATCCGCGGCCTCACCACCGAGATTTGTCAGGTCCTCGAAGGCCAAGCCAAGGAAAAGGGCTTGGCACTCGACTGCGAGGTCAGCGCCAAGGTGCCACCCTACCTGTGCGGCGACACGGGTCGTATCCTCCAAGTGCTCATGAATCTCACGGGCAATGCCCTAAAGTTCACGTCGGACGGCAACGTGCGCATTCTCGTCGACATTATCGAGGATGAAGCCGAGAAGATCAGCTTCCGCCCGGGTGAGTATAATGTGTGTTTCCGCGTGCAAGACTCGGGCATTGGAGTACGTCCCGAGGCACACCACAAGATTTTCGAGGCGTTTGTGCAGGCTGATCCATCCGACTCGCGAAAGTATGGAGGTAGCGGGCTGGGTCTGTACCTATGCGCCAAGTTGGTCAAGCTGATGCAGGGTGAGATTGGTGTCTACAACAATCCCCACCAACACGGCGCCACCTTTTGGTTCATCTTGCCAATGCTCGCATCCACCGAGGCCGAGACGGTCATCCCGTCGGCACTGCAGTACGCACCCATCTCGCTCCCCAATGCCGCCGACTTTAACGCTGCTGACGGCTCCCCTCTATCAGCACCACTCCGAGTACTCGTCGCCGAGGACAATGTCATCAACCAACGTGTGGCAGTCAAGTTCCTCGAAAAGATCGGGTTCAAGGCCGACGTGGCATCTGACGGCAACCAAGTGCTGGCTATGCTCCAAGACCGCTCGTTTGACCTCATCTTTATGGACTTTCAAATGCCTGTTCTCGACGGGCTCCGTTGCTCCGTCCAAATTAGAGACCTCGAAAAACAAGGTGTATGGGCCGACCGTTACCCCATCTTTATCTGCGGTCTCACTGCCAACACCATGTCTACCGACAAGAAGCGTTGTTTTGATTCTGGAATGAACCATTTCATCTCTAAACCATTCCAAGTCGAACAATTACGAATCGCCATTCAAATGGCAATTGAGCATAAAAGACATCATACAATTAATTTAATTTAATCTAAAAAATGAAGAAGAATAAAATAAAACTAACCCCAGACTATAATATATTTTGTACATACAAATTTAAATATAAATTGTTTTTATACATCTGTATTAATATTATTATTATTACTGTTACTGTTATTATTTGAAGGGTTAAATTTGTTGGGAGGAATACTTGAATGTAAAAGATAGGCAATGAATAGCCAAAGTGAACAGACTTTGAAAATGTTGATCGTAGAGATATTTGAGATGTTGGAAAGTACGGCAACGACAAAAAAGTTTAATGGAACTCGGAAATAATTTAATATCGATGCTCTTGCAGACTCTGGTACTATCTTACTTCTAATCGATCCCATACATGGATAATACATTCCACAACAAACTTCAAATATTAAAAATGCTAAATAAATTAATTTTGAATTCTAAAAAAATTAAAAGAAAAAGAAAAGATATATTAATAATTTGTTATTTTGATTTTGTTATTTCTTTTTTTACATACAATAAAAATAAAAGGAATAATCATAGATCCAATTGAAACCAAGAAAATAAATTTAATTATTCTCTCGGATGGAAGCGAAAATAATTTATAAAGACTTGATCCAATCATAAAGCAAACCATAAATGATGCAAAAATGATACCAAATGGTAATTCGACAGTGTTGCTGGAATCATTTTCATCCAACTCTGATCTGATTGATTCTTGTAGGGTAGGAGTCCACATGAATACAAATGTATACATTGATGCTTCAAACAGCGATTGAATGAATCCAATTTTAATGATTGATCCATCTCTACGTAGTACTTGCCAAGAGTTGGCAAATGTACCTTCAAGAGAGACACTTGAATCGCCATAGTTTTCAGTCCACAATAAAAATACAAGTGCTGTTGCCAAAACCAACAGTGCCAATGCCCACATGAATGGTGAGACGAATCCCCATACACCGACAGAGTATGATGACCATATACCGGCAACAATCGCAACAATACCATTGAAAAGACTGGATTTATAAAAAGTCGAGTCCAAATATTCCTCTGGATAACCAAGACGATTGTGTTCAGACACCATCCAAGACTCAAATACAGAGAATAACAGCGATGTTGATATACCACCTGTAATTCTACCAAACAACAAAACATTAAAACTTGGTACCAACTTTGTTAAACAACTAATCGAATATAATATTCCAAAAATAATGGTCATAAATTTTCTTCCACTAAAGTAATAAAAAAAGGTTAGATTAAATATTATATTATATACATCCGTCTATCTATTTATCTATTTTGTATAGTTACTATTTATCAGTTATAGGACCAACAACTACACCAAAAATCATACTTGAAAGGAACCCTGAAACAAATAGGAATGCAATATCTGCTTTTAAAAATCCATAAGATTCGTATAATGCATATACATATGGTCCTTGTAACCAATCTGCAGCTATAAATATAAGAGAAGAGAAGAGAAAGAAAGATAGATAGATATGTTAGTCGTCGATGACGAGTAGTAATGAGATTTTAGATTAATGTCCTCATACCCATTGCCAATAAATAAATGACTAGATAGATTGTTTGAAATCGTTTAAATTGTTGTTCTTGTGGAGGTGCAAGAAGACTACCCTTTTTACTAGTGATACCTCCATTTGCAGCTGACCATATAGTTGGTTTTGATGCTTGTCTCTTGTAGATAAAGTATTGTAGTAGAGCACACACAATGATTAAAAAGGTTAATGTGTTTGTAAAGTTTAACATCGATTGATCGTCTTCTTCTTTGAAAAGGAGTCCCTATATGATGATCTTCTTTGACAAAGATGATACCTCTATGCTATGATAGTTATTAATAAACTCGAGAGATTGACGTCCATGGTGCATTGAGATTCTTTCAATTAAAAAAGGAATAGTTTTTTGAACAGTTGATCGACATTCATTATTATTATTATATTCAATATTCATTCTTATAATCAAACTTAGGTGATAGAGAAAGAAAGATAGATAGACAGAATATCTTATCTTTTTTTTTGAATAAAGTGATGTGAAGTGATGTGTGATGTGAATTTCATACAAAGGTTCAAACCTTTCATCATTCATCTCATCTGCACAGATTTATAATATTAGAAGAATTCTAACTAAATTAATTTAGTTTTAATTAGTTAGTTACCTAACCCTTTAAAATGTAAACTCTGAAGGTGCCAATCATCAGAAACATATCCACACGTCACAGAGCCGACTAATTAATTAAGGTATGTAATCACTCTTGGAAAACTGGTAAACCCCTTCTTCGCTCTCGCAATGATGACACACATCATCGTCAAATAATGAGCCGTTACATCAATTTAAATTTAATTTAATTACACCACAATGCAAAGTGTACTACAAAAAAGAGAAAGAGAGATAGATATAATTAATAATTAAGAACAAGAAGAGATAGATACACCAAAAACAATAATATTATTTACCAACCAAATTTATTTTTAATTCTTCTTCTCTGTTGTATGTATATCTTCTGTCCATCTGTTTGTCTATCTGTCTTTTTACAGCAAAATTGTACAATTTTAAAACAAAGTTTAGCTGTTATACATACACCAAACAATTAATACAAACAAACAGACACAGACAGACAGACAGATCTTAAAAAAAACTTTAGATTGACACATATAGATAATAACAACCCAACCCTCTTTTTTTTTAAACTTACCTGGTATATATATCATATCATATATATATAATGAACCATAATAACGTTGACAATGCCAACAATAGGCCGCCAAAACAAGACAAGATGGAATCCATTCAAACAGCAAAGTTACTACGACAGGTATGACATTAAAAAAACAAACAAATAACAAATATAAATAATAATAATAATAATATTAAAATGGAGAACAATGATAATGAGAGAATGAAAGTAAAAGTGAGAGTAATTTAAATTACTCTTTCTGTTATAATAATAATCAAAACTGTCACTGTCACTGTCAATAGAGTAGTAGAGCAAGGTAGATAGAGAGTAACTAGTTTTATAAAACTAGTTTTATCATGATTAGATTGGGATTTTTTATATTTTAAACATAATAATAATAATAATAATAATTAATTTAATCACCACCAACCAAACCAAACCAACCAACATACAATAAGAGTTTACGACTCTCCTCTCTACTACTATTCCTCTCTCTCTCTTTCTCTCTTTATCTATCTCTTTCATTTACTTTTTTTTTTTTTTACATATTTATTTTGTCAACTGTTGGAAAATGAATTCTACTACTACTACAACGACAACTACTACTTCATCGACACATAACCATGATAATAATAATAATACAACATTACTTGGCGATTATACAACACATAAAATACCATATGATTTAATATTTATATTTTTAATTGGGTCATTATCGATTCTAACATACTTTATCTATTGGCTTGTAACCTATCTATTGAATACACATCTTTGTGGCAATACTACCACCATGTACAAAAAAATACCTCAGATTTCTATCGATAGTTTGAGCTCGCTTTCAAAATCGGTCTTGCATTCCTCGAGCCAGTCCATCAATGATACCGACGACGATCTTTCCGATTATGTCTCCATCAATGAGAGTGTCTTGCATCACCATCAACAATTACAACAACAGAGAGAGGGTCATAGCCATAGTCATAGTCATGGTCATTCGTTGTCATCGTCGTCTTCGTCATCGACTACTACAACACACTTTAATATACCAAAATGTGTGTTTTTCGAACACCCTTCTGGTTCTGGAGTGGTTGCAGACGATGACCTAGAAAATGATCAACCCATCATTATTGACAATCAACCAGTTACCATTGAAGAACTAAAACAACGAGTTATCAAGGAACTAGCAGACAATGATCTATGGAAATCACCAGTAGATACTAGGATATTGGCATTGGTCGACTGCTCCTTACTACACAATCATCTCACCAATGCCAATTTAATCATTACTTCGACCAGTCTATGCTTTCTACCCACTGAACAGGTTCACAAGGGCCATGCTGTAGAGAGCTACCTACATATGAAAGCAAAGAGTGATTTCTTTTGGAAAAAGTATTGGTTTCATCTTAGTGGTGGGTCATTGTCGTGGTATAGATCAAGTGAACACAAAGAGATATACTATCCAAACGGATCGATACAATTAAAGAAAATTACCTCCATACAAAAACTACCAAGCGAAAGTGCGACCCGTCCATTTTGTCTTCAAATTGCCACCAATGCACAAATCTATCTTATCCAAGCCGACTCTGAAACACAACTAGATCAATGGTTTAGCGAAATTGTTCACATACAAAGAAATCTTACCATCTCTTTGTCTCTTTCCGATATTGTCACTATGCAAATGGAAAGTGATGCCGCCTTATTTTTTGATTCAATTTATATTACTTTAAAAAGAGGTGATAATGTAAGTGAGAAATAAGAAAATTAAAATTAATTATAAATTAATTTATTTATTCTTTTTTTTTTTTTTTTTTAGTTTATTATAACACCATCATCAAGACCAAATGAAATTTATAATTTATTATTATCAGCATGGGGAAAATCTAAAAAATTGGAATCTATTGATCAAAATACAAATATTAATAATAATCAAACATCAAATAATAATAATAATAATAATAATAGACAAACTATAGAATTTCAAAAAGTATTTAAATTGAATCAATTTGTAAATATTATTCTTGGTATGTAAATTTAAAATAATAATAATTATAACTTTTCAAAAAAAGATACTAATTATTTTTTATTTATTTTTTATTTATTTAGAAAAACCATGTATATTATTTAATGATATTGAAACATCATATGAAGGAGTAGTTTATGCAGCAGAGGATGGATTATATTTTAATTCAGATCATAATCAAAATGGATCGGTTGCATTGATCATTCCAGTGAATGATATCATTTCGATTCAAATCGATCCAGAATCTGATATCCCAGAGGCTATTAAAGTGGTGACTAAAGAATACGAAGCATACTATTTTGATTTGTTTGATGACCACGAATCATTTTATGAATCGATTGTCTCTATTTTTACTCAATTCAATCCAGCCATCAAATATGGAAAACAAGGAGAGGATTTTTTTATCAAACAACAACAAGTAATGAAATCAGAAGAGGAAGAGGAAAAGGAAAAGGAGAATGATAGTCGATGGTTCCATCTACCGGTTATTCCCATTTCAATTCCAAAGTCAATACCAACACGACTATTTAGATCAAAGTCATCACCAGCATCTGTATCTCCACCACTAAATACCACTCCTCCCAATGGTTCACCATTGAATTCCCAATCACCATCTATTCATTCCACCAACTCATCACCTGCACTCTCTCAACAATTGTCATCGTTAAATCTACATGATACGAGTCGAACGATTTTCATTCAAAAAGGGTCACCTCAAAACATCCAATCCGAACTCCACCAACTATTTCCTACACTTCCATTAAATGAAGCAGTCCAAATGTATCAATCGTGCACACTGCACTACGATCACATGACCAATGTATCCATTGAAGGACATATCTATGTAACAAAATCCTATGTTGCTTTTGCTCCAATCAACTCTCAATCATCTTCATCACTAACATCATCAACATCATTTAAATCTATAACACCATCTTCTTCACCTTTATCATCATCATCTTTTCATCTTTATAATCATAATCAAAATAATAATAATAATAATAATAATAGTAATAGTAACAAAGATAATAGTAGTCACAACAAGAAAAGATTAATGAAAGCTTTAATACCATTTGAAGATGTAGTTAGTATTAAAAAAGATAGAACCATATTTTTAAAACATTGTATTAAAATTATTACAAATGATCATAAAGTAAGAAAGATAAAAAAAAAAAAAAAAGAAAGATACACCAAATAATTAATTCTTCTTTTTTTTTTTTTATATTTTAATTTTTTAAGTGGATATTTGGATCATTAAATAATTTTTATAGTTTATATAAAATATTATTGGTAAATTGGACACCTATAAATGAAGGATTATTTACTCCATTGCAATCGAATCAAATTCGAGAAAAGTTTGGGTTACCAAGCGATGAACCATTGATTACTTGGTACAATTGCACAAATTTCAGAGGAGCTCAACTTAAATATGGAGTATTGTACATTACCAAACACTATTTGTGCTTTAGATCAAAACTTGGATTTAAAAAGAGAACCATCGTCGTTCCATTTTCAAGTATTGTAAGCATCAAGAAATACTCTGGTACCATCCTACCCAATGGCATCAAGATTACCACCACTCAACAAGATATCGACTTTGCATCATTTTTACATCGTGGTAGAGTCTATAGACAATTAATAGAATGTTGGAATGATAATAGAGGTACTCTACAAAAGTCTACAAACAATACAAGTATTAGTAATAATAGTAGTGGTAATAATAATGGTCAAAAGATTGGTGGTGGCGGAATTCCAAAATTAAATATTGATCGTATTCAAGTAACATCTGCTAGTACATCACCACTTGTTATTTCACCGACAGTTCAGTCACCAAGAACCAATTTAAATATTACTATTCTGACAATTGGTAGTCGTGGTGATATTCAACCCTTTATAGCATTGGCATTGACACTAAAGAATGCAGGTCATAATGTAGTGTTTGCGTCACATGAACTATATCGAAGTATCATTATCGATACTTATGGTTTGACGTTCAAGCCGTTGAGTGGTGATCCCAAAGAATTGATGGATTTGTGTGTAAGAAACGGTATATTTACGCCAAAGTTTATCAAAGAGGCATTGTCACGATTCAGACAGTTTATCGACGACTTGCTCAACAGCTGTTGGGAGGCTGCCCAGGGTGCCGACGCCCTCATTGCGACACCTGGCTGTTTTGCAGGCCCACATATTGCTGAAGCACTACAAATCCCCTTCTTTCACGCGTTTACAATGCCATTTACTCGCACGAGAATGTATCCCAATCCATTTGCACCGTTTGCTGCGAGTCAGTTGGGAGGTGTGTTTAATCTAGCGACACATATGATGATGGAGAAGATTCTGTGGCAGCCAATCAGCGGACAAATCAATTCATGGCGTGTAGAGAGATTGAAACTACCCGCTTGGAATTCGAGCGTGTCGATCAACGAGACATACCGTCTACCATACCTCTACTGCTTTAGCAAGTACTTGGTACCTAAACCAAGCGATTGGGGTAGCGAGATTTGCATCACTGGATATTGGTTCATGAACGAGACGAATATGCCCGAAGACAAGGACCACCCACCCTCGCAGGAATTGATCGATTTTATCGAGCGTGGAGACGCACCCGTGTATATTGGATTTGGTAGTATTGTCATTGAAGATCCCAACGAACTGTCACGTCTGTTACAAGAGGCTGTCAAATTGTCGGGTCGACGTGCCATTATATCACAGGGTTGGGGTGGACTGAATATCGACCAACAAGTTGGCAGTACCGCTGCAGACGCAGAGTTTGTACAAAAGAATATATTCCTCTTGAAACAACCGGTTGCCCATACTTGGTTGTTTGAAAAGATGAGTTTAGTCATCCACCATGGCGGTGCAGGTACAACTGCTGCAGGAATCTATGCTGGCAAACCATGTATTATCGTTCCCTTTTTCGGAGACCAATTCTTTTGGGGTGAACGTGTCCAAGATATGGGTATTGGTCAATCTCTGTCGAGCAAGACTCTATCGGCCAAATCATTGGCGTCGTCGATCAACGAATTGATTGACAGCAAGTCAGCACACATCCGTGTCAAAGAAATGGCCAATCACATCAGAAATGAAAAAGGACTCAAACAATCACTACAAGATTTCTATCGCTATCTCAATGTTGCCTATGTCCCACCCTCCAAAACACCTATGGGTTCAAAAACATCTTGTCGCCAATGCAAACAAGGGTTTGGACTGCTCAACCAAATGGTCAATCCACTCGTCCAAACAAAGTTCCATTGTCATTGTTGCGGTCAAGTGTTTTGTGATAAATGTACACTCAACAAAATACCTCTTCCAAAATTTAGAATCAATATCCCTGTTCGTGTTTGTGACACTTGCTATTCAAATCAATTCACATCAAACTCTAATAATATATAAATCAACATAATGGTGAAATTCAAACCATCAATTAAATATTTAACCATGGAAAAATATGGGGAGGGAGGGTAAGAGTTATGAATATTATAATCACCCTCCCTGGGGATGGTTGTTTGTATACAATTACAAAGCCCACATGATTTAGGTCGAAATTAAATAAATAAATTGTTTTTTTTTTTTCAAACGTTTGGACTGCGCATCTGACGGTTGGTCATTGCTAAATTAAAGAAATCATTTCTTTCAAATCAAATCAATTATTATTTTTTCCCCTTCTATTATTATTCATTCTTCTTTATCTTAATAATTCTTTAAATCATGTCAAAAAATAGAGGACATCAACGTAATATATCAGTTGATAAAGAGACAGCAGAAAAGAAAGAGAACGAAAAGGTAAACAAAAAGTTTAACCTCAACAAAAAAGAGATTGTAATCAGTACAATGAAATGTAGTTATAAATCGAGATCGGGTAAACTACGAATCACAGACAACCATCTATGTTTCTCATCGTCGACGTTGGGCAAGGAAAAGAAAAAGATTATATCGTTTGCCGATGTACTTGACATTGAAAACCAAGACAGAAACAAGATATCGACACACAACACTGGTATCAAGATCACTACCAAGTTGGGAAAGCCCATCGTATTGAATTTCAAGGACAATGAAGCTGCCTACTTGGTCGTAGAAGGTCAGTGGGAGGCTAGTGGCAATCAGCCATCGAGTCGTATCAGCGATGTTGGTTCAACCGGCTCCAACGACAGTGCCGTCATACACATTAAACATCTTAAACACTTTGAACTGCCAGAGATCGAATCACTTCAAAAAGAGTATCACTGTGCCCTCAAAACATCGACCTTTAAAATGTATGGCAAAATGTATCTCACTCAAAACTACATTTGCTTCTATGGTAACATTACAACCGGTCATCAGAAAAAGTTAATCAAATTACGTGATATCCTTACCATTGAAAAGCCTGAAACAAGTCAAAATAGTATTAAAATTGTTTCTAAACATGATACTGTAAGAGATAGAAAAAAAAATAGACTCTAAATATTATTATTATATTTAAATATTAAGACTTTTCTTTTTTTTTTTTTTTCTTACATTCTTTAGTTTGAATTTACAAAATTTAATGAAAAGAGAGATAATGTATTTGATGAAATGTCAATTCTATATGATTCATCAAAGAAAAACCCATCAACTAGTACAACTCCCATTCAAAGTAGATCACGTTCAAATAGTGTTAGTTCGGATTCTGGTATTCCAGTCGATGCCAATTCTCTCAGAGATAGATTACAAAATCTACCTCCACCATCTCCAAAATCTCATTCTCGTAAGAGTTCTGTCAACAATCAACAACCAATTGAAACCATTGTAAATAATCAACAACCAACAACTCCAACCAATAATAGTAATAACAACAGTAGATCAAGTTCAAGAAGAAATTCAATCACTATCAATAATCAAACAACCACCACATCATCCAATGTAATTAAACCAAATGCCACCCCTCCACCATCTACATTTTCACCAGCTCCAACTCAACCAAATATAACTATTACACCTGTTACTCCTCCTCCAGCATCACTAAGTCAAAGATCAGAGAAATTGGAGGTTGCTCAACCAAAACCAACCAGTAGTACACCAATTGTAACACGTCATACTGTTAAAAAAGGTAGAACTTGTTGTTTTTCTTTATTTTAAGTTATAGATATAATAATATTACATTAAATGTCGACCGTTTATTTATCCAATTGTTTAGAGGATTTTAAATCCAATAGTTTTAATACAATGATTAATAAAAGAGTAATTAAACAACTTGCAAATAATAAATAAATACAAGAGTCATAATTTCCAGATGAAACTTTCAAAGCTCCAAGAATTGGGGGAAATACAACTAAACCTAAATTGTATCCAGTTCCAATAAAACCAAAACTTGTTCCAAGAACTTGTTGAGGAATGAAAACTGGAAGTGATGAATAAACTGTTGTGTTTAATAGAGCAAATCCTGTTCCACATATTATGATCCATGGTAATGGTGTAATGGTTGATGGTGTCAATACTAAAAGTAATAATCCACTTGCCAACAATACCATTGCAACTGAAAGAAATACAATCCTTCTTCCAGAGAATTTAATTGCAATACCAAATATGGGTGACAAAAACGATGAACATATAGTCTCTGATGAAAGTATGAGCGAAGCAATTTGTTCTTGATAACCATACTTTAAACCAAATAAATCTGGACCTATAATTGCCAATGCATACATTGCAGTGTATCCAAAGAATACAATTCCAAAAATAATCCACATTCTAAGTGGAATAAGTGACAATATAAATTTAACCTTTTCAAAAGATTCTATTAAATATTGTTTAATTGATTTTTTTCCTTGACTGGTTTCTTTACTATCCAAATCTTCTTGTAAAAATACATAATCATCAATACTCTTATCAATCTCTCCACCACCATTTCTTTCCAAATTTGATAATAATTCATCCATTTCTACTTCTTTTGATATTTCTTTAGAAAAAATAAGTTAATAAATGATTTAAAGTTGATTTGTTTATATTTTTTTTTTTTACCTTTAAAGATTTTGTTAAATAATAAATAAAAAATATTTAATGATAAACATAATAATTGAACACCAAATATAAACCAAAGAGAAATTCTAAAACCAAAACTCTTGTTTATGGCTGGTAGGATTACAAGTGAATTTAAATTGGCAAAATAAATCCAACCTACAAGGAACCCAAGACAAATCGGAAGATTTCTTTCAGGAATCCATTTAGTCATGAGTGCATTGGAGCATGACACCAATGATTCACCAGCAAATCCTAATAGAAATCTTGAAAAGAGCATCATTGCATAGTTTGGAGGAGAGAATGCTCCAATCATTGTTGAAATAAATACAATGGTTGAAAGTATAATACTTATTTTATCGGGACCATAAATATCAACCAAAATACCACTTATAAATACCATACAAATATTTGGTATTGCATATAATGTAAATAAATTACCATATTGACTTGAATTAATTGAAAATGTTTGATCTAAAAGAATAGAAAAAAAGAATTAAAAAAAACTATAATAATTAAATTTTAATTTAATTCTTCTACTTACAAAAAGTATATGATAAACTTTGAGCAGAAGTATAACTAAAAAAGGTACCAAAACCCATATTGGATATTAATAATACCAGTGTAAATAATTTAAAATTCTTTCTAGAAAAGTAATTTTTAAATCTTGGATTGTATTTCGATGTTGTGGTATTTTCAAGATTAATTATTGTAGGTGGTGAGTCATAAGATGGAGGGAATATATCTTGGAATTTTGAATTATTTGTATTTGCTCCATCTTGTTCTTCTTCTTCTCTTTCTTCTTCTTCCTTTTCTTTTTCTTCATCTTTATGAAATTCTATTTCTTTTGATGATACAAGTCCCTCTGTCATGTCATCATCCTCTATCTGTATAGGTTCTCGATGTCTAACAATATTATTATCCAAATGTTGGTGAATGGTGTCTCTTGGCAATAAACCTTGGTCATCGTCTTGATATTCATCTTCAGAATATTGATCGATGGTCGACGACAACAAGACTGCCGCACCTCCACCACTACTTTCTTTGCTAGTCATTGGAAAATCTTTATCATTGTCTATTATCATTTTTAATTTTACATTTATCTTTAATATATATATATAAATATGGATAGAGATAGAGAAAAAAAAAGCAAACGATTAATTAAGTAATTTAGATGACAAAATAACTGCTGAAAAAAAAACAGCTTGATCCAAAAAGGAAATACTTCAAACATTGTTTTTTGTTTTTGTTTTGTTTTTTTTTTTTAACCCCCCCCTTTCTACCCACACCGTTTGAAGTTCTTAAATCTCTAACCTTGGTGATTATGTAAACATAACATTTGTATTTTGATTTGTTTGTTTATTTATTTTGGAATCAATTTTGAAAATGTTTTATCAACAACTTTTCTTTTTTCTAGATATTGAAAGAATAATATTTCAATTTCTTTTCTTTTGTATGATTTAGCCATTTTAATACATCTTTCTAAAAGAAATTGGGTGAGAATGAAAGAATCTTTTTGATTTCCCTCGGTTTTCATCCTTGTATCTCCAGACTTTTCAATGATGAATGTAACAATATCTATATGGTTGAATGCAATGGCTACCAATAATCCTTGACATGACCAATAATAACCTTGACTGAAAAGGTATTGAACCATTGATAAATCACCTCCAACCACTACCTCATTCATTATTTGATTTTTATCTTTTTGTTTTAGATTGATTTGGATTTGCCAGTCTTGTCTATAATGTATTGTAACAACTCCAAATTGTCTGGTAATCTAAGAAAGAATGATAATTTAGAAATATTATTAATCTCTATAGGTAGTTTCATTTTTTGATAGTATTTCAAAACATTAACATATCGATTGGAACACCAAAATTCAATATTTGAGTGACCAATTTTAGCAACTTGTACACCCAACTCTGAATGTATTATTGGAATCTGTTTAAATATAATGTTTCGAATAATCTTTGATCTTTGTTTGTTGATGCGATGTTACTTGTTGTTATTTGATTTGTTATTTGATATGTTTTTGGATATAATGAAATAGAATCCAATTCCAAATGTAAATCATCATCAAAACGACTCCAATCTTTATACATATTTTCATAGACATGTTTACCTATTACACTGTAAACGACATCGATACCAGAATCATCAATTCCAACTTCAAAGTATGAAAACCCATTATCAAGTGCAAATTTGTTTGCTTGTTCTCTTGTGACCTTTCTTTGATTGACCAAATCTCTTTTTGTTCCAACGATTATCACCTCTGGTTTAAGCTTGCACGATCCTGCTTCGTAGTACCAATCTACCAAACTTTCAAAAGAATATTCATTGGTTACATCAAACAACAAAAATATTATCTTGGCTTGTAAAAAGTTAAAATAATTATAACGCATTCCTGTTTCATATTTTGAAACCTTTTAATAAAAATTTAATTTCATCATATTAGTATTTATTAGTAACATTAAAATTTAATTTAAATACTTTTGAATGACAGTGGACTTAAAATATAAAGAAATTTTTAATAAAGGTATGTTATACATACAAGATCAAACTTTGTTTTAAAATCACCAATCTTTTTGTTCCATTTAACATTTTTATCTAGTTGATTGACAAAAAAAAAATGGGACTTATAACATTTTTTTTTTTTGTGCTAAAAATAGGAAAAGGAGGGGGTGTTGAGGGGTTTGATCAAAGAAAATTAAAAAGGATGTTGATGGATCTAAATTATTATTATTATTATTATTACAGGTTGGTTGATTATTTTAATATAATTATTTTGAAAACATGTTTGATAGTTTATCAAATAATTTAAATGTGGGTTTCTTTAAAGTGGGAGGAGATAATAAAATTTCAATTTCTTTTCTGTTGTATGATTTAGCTGCACCAATACACATATCTATTGTACGGGGGTCAGTTAAACTCCTCCACTCTTCTATCTTGTCATAATTGACTAGGAATTTAACAATATCGATATGGTTGAATGCAATGGCCATCAGTAATCCTTCATTTGTCCAATAATATCCTTTACTGTAAAGGTATTTGACAATTGACAAATCACCTCCAACGATTACTTGATTCATTATTTGATTTTTTTCATTTTGGTCTAAAAGACGACCAATATTTTCAACAATGTATTGTAACAACTCTGAGTTGTCTGGCATCCGAAGAATCGATGATAATTTAGCGATATTATTTATCTCTATTGGTAGTTTTGTTTTTTGATAGTATTTCAAAACATTGATATATCGATTAGAACACCAAAATGAAATGTTTGGAATCCCAATTCCTCTAGCAAGTTGTACATTTAAATCTGAATGTATAGTTGTAATTTGTTTAAATATATTGGTTCGAATATATTTTGATCTAAATACAGAATAGAATAGTTGATCTTTGATTGTTGTTGTTGTTGTTGTTGTTGTTGTTTGAGGAGGAGGAGGAGGAGAGATTGAATCTAATTCCAAATATAAACGACCTTCTTCAAATGATTTGACATTCTTGCAAATATTTTCATATAAATGTCTTGCTATTATACTGTATACTCTATCGATACAAGTATCATCATCATCATCTTTACCAACTTCAAAGTAAGAAAAACCAAGACCAAGTGCAAAATCATTTGCTTGTTCTCTTGTGACCTTTCTTTGATTGACCAAATCTCTTTTTGTACCAATGATTACAACTGTCTCGAACTTGTATTTACCGTATTTGTTTGTATTGCCACACCATTTCATCAGACTTTCAAATGATTGTAGATTGGTGACATCAAACAATATAAATATTATATTTGTTCGACTATAGAGATAATTATGGAGGCCAGAATCATTTGTCAACTCACCTTTTAAAACCTTTAAATTCTAAACATTGGTCGAGGTTAGACATAAATTAAATTCATATAGTGTGTGATTGAACACATTCTGTTGATGATGATAGATGATGATAGTGATACATACAATATAAAACTTTGATTCAAGATGACAAAATTGATAGTTCCATTTAACATAGTTATCTAGTTGATTCACAATCTCGACATGAGATGTAATATAATCAGTCTTATCATACAACCTGACTTTATCACCAAACAAAGATTGAACAAAAGTATTCTTCCCAACACCTGGATTACCAACAATAGTCACATCGAGTCCTGATAACCATACATCACGTGCTACCGTCATTCTTTAGTTTACTAATAATACTTATTATTAATTCGAAATCTAACAATAAGATTAAAAAAAAAAACAAAAATGAGAGAGGCAGAGAGAGAATTTCATTTTTATGATTATACACAATTAATATTTATTAATACTCTATTTTAATTTTTGAACATATTTGATAATTTAAATTTCAAAGATTGTTTCTTTTTTAATATATTTTCAATTTCTTTTCTATTGTATGATTTGGCAACACCAATACACATTTCTAGACTCTGATCAGTCAAATCAAACCACTCTTTTATCTTTACATCACCAGACTTTTCAATGATGAATTTAATAATATCTAAATGGTTGAATGTAATGGCCATCCGTAATCCTTCATTTGTCCAATAATATTCTTGACTGTAAAGGTATTGAACCATTGATAAATCACCTCCAACCATTACTTCATTCATTATTCGATTTTTGTCTTTTTGTTTTAGATTTCTACCAATATTTTCTACAATATATTGTAACAACTCCAAGTTATTTGGCATTCTGAGAATCGATGATAATTTAGTAATAGATTTAATGATACAATTAAACTCTATTGGTAGTTTTGTTTTCTGATAGTATTTCAAAACATTGATATATCGATTGGTACACCAAAATTCAATGTTTGGCATTCCAATGCCTCGAACAACATGTACATTTAAATCTGAATGTATCTTTGTAATTTGTTTAAATATATTGTTTTGAATATATTTTAATCTATATACAGAATAAAATAATTGATCTTTAATTGTTGTTGTTGTTGATTTGGTTGATTGAGGAGGAGATGAAATACTATCCAATTCCAAATATAAAAACTTTTCACTAGGTGCTATCATATCCTTGCATATATTTTCATATAAATGTTTTGTTATTATACTATATACTCTATCGATACAAGTACCATCATCGTCATCTTGACCAACTTCAAAGTATGAACTACCAAGACCAAGCGCATAATCATTTGCTTGTTCTCTTGTAATCTTTCTTTGGTCAACCAAATCTCTTTTTGTTCCAACGATCACCGTATCGAAATGAGATATGCTGTACTGGTTTGCTTCATCATACCAATCTTTAAGATTTTCAAATGATTGTAGATTGGTGACATCAAACAATATAAATAGTATATTTAGAAAATTGTAGAATCCACCACAAATTAATTGATTTATAATAGGTGGATGATCACCAGAAGAATTCGAATCTTTTGATGTATTTGAAGGCTTTAATCTCTAAAACATAAATCAAGACAGACAGATTAGATTAGTCACAGTTCATTAAACACATGTAGTCGTCTGTTGATGATGATGATGATGATGAATGATGATACATACAAGATTGAACTTTGTTTGAAGATTACAAAATTGATAGTTCCATTTAACATGATTATCTAGTTGATTCGTAATCTCGATATTGGTTGGTGTCTCTGTTGCTGCTCGAACAATTGGTGAATTAAGAAAAGATTGAATAAAAGTATGCTTTCCAACACCTAGATTACCTACAATTGCTACATCAAGTCCTGACAACCATGTAGTACGTGCTTCAGTCATTATTATTTGTATAATGTAATGTTGCTAATACAATGAATTGCGAATATTTTCCCTATGAAAAAATAGATTTGATTTTTTTTTAAATCAAAAAAGTCGACTTGGGTAGTTCCGGAAAGAACAAAGAAGTAAAATAAATCTTTTTTTTTTTTGCATGTTCTTTCCAATAAAGGACTATCGCTATGATTTTCCCTCAAAGGGAAACTGACATCTAATTATTAATATAATTATTATTATTATTAAAAAAGATTTGTTGATTAATATTTTTAATATCTTAATTTTTGAAACATATTTGATAATTTAAATGCCAAAGATTGTTTCTTTTTTAATTCATTTTCAATTTCTTTTCTATTGTATGATTTGGCAACACCAATACACATTTCTAGAGATTGATTAGTCAAATCAAACCACTCTTTTATCCTTACATCACCAGACTTTTCAATGATGAATTCTACACTATCTATATGGTTGAATGCAATGGCCATCCATAATCCTTCAAATGTCCAATAATACTCTTGACTGTAAAGGTATTGAATCATTGATAAATCACCTCCAACCATTACCTCATTCATTATCTGATTTTTTTCTTTTTGATTTAGATTTCTACCGATATTTTCTAAAATGTATTGTAACAACTCCAAGTTATTTGGCATTCTAAGAATCGATGTTAATTTAGGAATATTATTAATCTCTATTGGTAGTTTTGTTTTTTGATAGTATTTCAAAACATTGATATATCGATTAGAACACCAAAATGTAATGTTTGGAATCCCAATGCCTCGAGCAACTTGTACATTTAAATCTGAATGTATCTTTGTAATTTGTTTAAATATATTGTTTCGAATGGTCATTGATCTAAAAACAAAATAAAATAATTGATCTTTTGTTGTTGTTGTTGTTGTTGTTTTAGGAGGAGGAAGAAGAAATGGTGATGAAGAAATGATAGAATCCAAATCTAAATATAAAAATTTTTCTCTGGTTCTAAAATCCTTGCAAACTTTATCATTTAAATGTCTTGCTATTATACTATATACTCTATCGATACAAGTATCATCATCATCATCATCATCATCTTTACCAATTTCAAAGTAAGAAAAACCAAGACCAAGTGCAAACCCGTTTGCTTGTTCTCTTGTCACCTTTCTTTGATTGACCAAATCTCTTTTTGTTCCGACGATTACAACTGTCTCGAACTTGAGTGTGCTGCAGTACTTCTTTGCTTCATCATACCAATACATCAGACTTTCAAATGATTGTAGATTGGTGACATCAAACAATATAAAAATTATGTTTAAATTACAAAAGAATGCGCTACTAAGCATTTCACGGATAGTCCTAGATTGAATATCATCAGAGTCGTCAGATGGATTTGAATAAGTATTAAATCTCTAAAACATAAATATAGACAGATTAGTAGTGTGACTTGACTGTTGATAGATGATGATGAATGATGATACATACAAGATTGAACTTTGTTTGAAGATTACAAAATTGATAGTTCCATTTAACATGGTTATCGAGTTGATTCACAATATATATTTCAGTTGAAATGTTTGCTCGATCAATTGGTGAATTAAAGAAAGATTGAACAAAAGTATTCTTGCCAACACCTGGGTTACCTAAGATTCCCAAGTTAAGTCCTGACAACCATGTAGTACGCGCTATTGTCATTCTTATTTGTAATGAATGTAATGTTACTACTAATACAATTACTGGTGACTGGTTGATCAATAGAATATTTTTTTTTATTAAATAATTTTTGTTGTTAATTTATGATCGTTGTTTCAAGAACATTATTATGTTTGTACTGAGCTTTTGTAAAAATATTAAAAAAGAAAACAACACAGTGAACATCGGAGCATGAGTATAATGCATATATTTTCGTTCGTTTGTTTTTTTTTTTTTTATTCTTTCAACAAAGATAATAATAAAAGTTATAGGATTATAATTAACAAAAAAGGAAGAGGAACGCGATGAAGGAAGTAGGAGAGTGATCGCATCAGTATCAGAGAAGAGTTGGAGGTCTGTGCACAGCCACCCAACCATTACTCATCAAGTTATTAACAGAGAGGCAGGTGTATGTATGGTCATCATTAAACATTGAGAATATTTAGCTATCTTTAGTCTATTAATCGCATTCTTATTCTTAAAAGTTTATTAACCTCGATCATTATTCAAGGAAGCAACAGATCTTCATTCAGTGGTCAATGATGACGAGCAAGGTTTGTCATTTATCTATAATTGACCAAGATAAACAAAGATCGACCAATCGACTGATAGAGTGAAAAGAAAGTCTGATGATTGCTTTTACATTCTTCATCGAATGGTAGATCTATGTTGAATGTAGATGATAGTTAGATGAACATTCAACAGGAACCATGGTTTAGGGCTTGGCCCCAAAACAAATTCATTGTTCAATGAGTTTTTCGTAGAACAGACCATTTTGTTTTTTTCTGCTTCACCGATTTATCCCAATTTCGAACTATCGTATGGTTTTCGTATTTCTCCATCTTTTTAGTCTGGTTCATTCCTCACGGTTTCCTTCGCATATGTTATAAAACCGTGGAAATTAGAATTCATTATTAAATCATCATTAAGTTATTTATCTATATTTATTTATTTATCGTTTTTTTCAAAAAGGTACGTGACAAAAAAAATATTATATTTATTATATTATAAATATTTATTATTTATTATATTTGCATTTTTTAAATTTGATTACTAATCCTAAATTATTTCATCCAAATATATATATATATATATATATATCATTATTAATTTATAGATGAAACAAATAGATTTATTATCAACACCCAAAAATATATTTTTGGGTATTTTTTTATTATTATCATGTTTAACCTTAGTTTTGGCTCAAGTATGTATTATTATTATTATATCACACCTGACCTGACCTGTTTGTTTGCTTTGATATTAATATTAATTCAATATTCTTTATCTTTTTATTTTTATATATATATATATATTTATATTAGACACCAACCATTACAAGTATTAAACAAGATGGAACTAATATTATCATTGATGGAACTGGTTTTGGAACCAATCCAGCAGTCATTGTTTTGAAGTCAAACATTCCAGACATCACAACTGGAATTAATATTGTAGTACCAGATACTCAATTAAAAATAGCGATGCCATCCAACGGTCAAGATGCATCTTTCAGTGTCACTGTCGATGGTGTCTCATCAAATGGCCTTGTAGCGTATTTGACTCCCGTGATCACAACGTGTACCAGACCACCTACCAATGGAGGATCCATCGTCTATCAAGGATACTATTTCAGAGCCAATTACCAACCAACTGCACTTTTTAATGGTACCTCTATCCCAATCACTTCTTATACGTCTGGAACAGCCAATCTTCTAGCTTCAGTGACAGTCACCGCTCCAGCCGGAACTGGTCTAGTCACATTGGTTTCCAAAACGGTTACTGGTTATAGTTCTGCTCCATACCAGTTATGGTATCAGGCCCCCGCCGTCACTAGTGCCGACGCAGGTGCCAATACGGTCGTTATCTCTGGTTCAAACCTTGGTGCCAATGTTGCCAAGATCAGTTTGGTTGCACCAACCTATCCACTTGGAACCAATACCTCTATTGCTCCAACGGCTGTCTCACACACAACTGCCATCTTTGAAGTGACCAACGTCAATGTTTTGAATGGACCAGCTCAAGTATCAGTCGACGGCCAAATGTCGGTACCATTTACTCTCTCGTTTTATCCAGTCATCAATTCAATGAACTCGGTTGGTATGTCCGGTGGCTCCAACATTACCATCAAAGGTACCTCGCTGTATCCATTTGACAGTCTAGGAAATGCACTCACAGCGTCTGTCACCATCGGTGGAAACGATTGTCCCATTCTTTCATCATCAATGGACGCCTCCTTTACCTATCTCGTTTGCCGAGCTCCTGCCGGAACCGGAACCCAAACTGCAATTGTTACCATCAATGGTTTAGCCAGTAATAACTTTGCCTATACATTTGGTGTCCCAGAAATCACTTCCATCATCCAAAGCAACTCAGACTATGGAATTACCATCCAAGGAGCCAATTTTGGACCAAACAAGGATGTTGTCACCCTTACCATCAACTCAAATGCCGTTTTGATCACTTCATTCAATGATACTACCATTGTCGGCACTGTATGGGCAACGTCCTCGAATGGAGTCATCCAAGTCCGAGTCAATACAATATCATCCGCTCCTTTCCCAATTAATTTCAAGCCAGTCATCACAGCTGTACCTGTGATCCCATTAACTGGCGGCACAGTAACCATCACTGGTAGATACCTCTCAATGCTCCGTGCCAACGGAGCCCTTTCTACCATGTCGATTTTATTCAACGGCAAGCCAGCTTCCGCCAGCTCATCGACTGCCAACTTTGTTGCCTCCTTTTTAACTGTTATCGCACCCTCGGGTGTTGGTGCCAACCTCCCATTGACAGTCTCGATCGATGGAGTTGTGTCTGATCCATTCTTGTTTAGTTATGATGCACCAACCATCTCTTCAGTTGCCCAAGGAGTATTTCCTGCCATTACTATCTTTGGTACAAATTTTGGAGCTGATTTGTCAGTCATCAAAGTAGTTGCCAATAATGGCCAAGAATATGTTCCAACTGCATTTGTACCAAACGGCGGAGTATCATTTAACTCTCCAGCAGATCTCAAGAATGGAGTTATCAACGTTCGAGTTGGTAATCAAATGGCTGCATCCAATTCTACTTTAATTTTGACTCCAGTGCTCACTTCGGTCAATACTCTCAGTCTTACTGGTGGTAACCTCACTATCACTGGTGCCTATCTCAATACCGTCGATTACCTTAACGCCCCTCTTATTGTGTCTGTAGTGTTGGGTAACACTCAACTCACCAACATTCAAGGCACCGGATCCACTCTAACTTGTGAATACCCAACTGGTCTAGGTGGAGCCAGTCTTTTTTTGACTGTTTCCATTGGTGCCCAATCAAGAATATTATTTGTCTCTTTCCCAGCACCAATCATCACATCATCGGTTTTGACTCAAAATACAACCGATCGAACGGTTACCGTCACTGGCAAGAACTTTGGAACCAATTTTGGTTCGATCCAAGTATTATTTGGTGTCCTCAGATCAGTCACTGACACCACCATCGTCTTTGTCGTTGCCGAAACAGTTACCAATGGTCCATTCACTGTCAAGTCGTTTTCACAAATCTCAAACGCTGTTACATTCAACGCCACTCCACTCATCACTAGTATGTCAGGTGCTAAAACCCAAGGATCAACTACTACGCTGCTTGGTAAATACCTTACATCTATGAGAACCAACCAAACTCCTACAGTTGCATCTATCCAAATTGATGGTGGTGCTCCAATCACATCACAAATTACACTGCAAGGTACCTCGTTAACATTCCCTCTGCCAGCCGGTACTGGTGCAAATCATACTTTGGCACTGACAATCGATGGTCAAATTGCCACCTTTGTATTCTCGTATCCAACTCCAACTATTACTTCAATTGTCCAAGAATCAGTTGCCAATCACTACACCCAAACAATCAGCATCTTGGGTACTTCATTTGGAGCTGTATCTTCAAACGTCCAAGTATTATTTTCCAAACAACCAAATGTTCAATGTAGTCAAATAGTTGCCACCGACACTTTAATCACTGCAACCCTCCCTACTTTTGTCCTCAGCGATGTCATCACTGTCAACGTCTCTGGTCAAATATCTTCCATCTATTCCCAACCAATTGGACCAATTCTCAAATCAATCACTTCAGCCGATGCTGAAGGTGGTGAAATCAAGATTGGTGGTCTCTACCTCAATAATGTCGATGCCTTTGGAACACCCCTTCCAATAGCAGTCTGGTTCCCAAACAATGTTCCATGTACCAATGTTGTAAAGATTGCCGATGGTCAGGATATGAGTTATATCACTTGTCTAGCTCCTCCAGGAAATGGAATTAATGTTCAAGTCACCGTTCAAGTCGTTAATTTATTTGACACTATCAACTTTGCCTATGGATCACCAGTCATCAATTCAGTTGTCGTCGCCAATGATAATTCAGCAGTCTCGATCGCTGGAAAGAATTTCGGTGCCTCACAAGCAGGTGTAGGCATATTCTTTGACAATACTCAACTCCTAACCATTATCTATGTCAACAGTACATTCCTAGTGGTACCATCACCCACAGCAATGAGAAATGCACTAGTCACTGTCAAACTTGCCGACGGTCGTATTTCAAATCCAGTGCCACTCGCAATCAAGCCACTCATCACATCCGTTGCAAAGCCAATCAAAACAACAGGTGACCAATTGACCATTGTTGGAAACTATCTATATCCAACTAGAATGGATGGATCATCAACCAATGTCACAGTTGTCATTGCTGATCTTAATCAACAATGTACCAATGCCGTAGCCAACGGAGTATCAATTATTTGTACCTCACCTCAAGGTTCTGGTGTCAATCATAATGTCATTGTCTATATTGATGGAGCACAATCGCCATCATCAGTCACACTCTCATACATTGCACCTTTAATCACCAATATTGCCCAACAAGGTAATAGTGACAATCTAATCATCACTGGTACCAATCTTGGCCTTGACTTAGCAAAGATTACAATCAACAATCAAATCATTGCAACAACATTGACCAGCGCAACATCTCTGTCTGCTAAATTGACAGGTCCATCAAAGAATGGAGATATTAAAATCACTGTCGACGGTCAAGTTAGTAATACTCTACCACTCAAGATCAAGGCATTGGTCAGCTCTATCTCATCCACCTCACCATATGGAGGTGTTGTTGAACTAGTCGGTAAATACCTTTGGACAACTAGATTGGATTCAACTCCAACCACCATCTCAATCGATATTGGAGGAGTAGAATGTACATCACCAGTGGCCGGCGATGGAAATGATGGAACCAAGTTGAATTGTACTCTTGGTGATGCCAGTCAATACGAATCTGATGTTGAATTATCAATTGACTCTGTCTATGCCTATTCAACAACTGCTTACTACAGTAATCCACCAGTTCTCACATCGATTTCATCATCATTCTACCTCGTATCAAATGTCGTCACCATCGTTGGTAATGAATTCTATCCACAATCTTATGTTACCATTGGAGGTAGTCAATGTAGTAATGTTGTAGTTGTCGATGCTCAACATATTACTTGTTTATTCGATAGTAATGTCGGCGACAATGCAACTTCAACTTTGGATGTCACTATTAGTTCTGACAATTCAGATGAAATTTCCTTTGCCAAAGTATTCAAATACACATTGTTACAATGTTTGAACTCTTGTTCATCACATGGAACCTGTGTCACATCTGGTCAATGTCAATGCGACAATGGATACACAGGAGCTGATTGTTCAATCACATACACTCAATCATTGGTAGCTGGTGACTCTGGATCAGTGTCAGGAGGTAAATTCACAATGTTTAACAATTCAATGGAATTCCTACTTTCACACATTCAAGAAGTTCGTCAAGACAATAGTATCGTTAAAACTATTCCACTCACCAAATGGGATGTCTACAATGAATTTGGTAATACAACTGTTTACAACTCATCAGCAACCACTCACAACATTCAACTCTATGTCACCAAACATGCAACATCATCCATCCAATCATTTATAGGTGATGATCTTGTCATCCCATCCAACTCTATCAAACATTTTATGACTATCGATAGTTTTACATTTGAATCAACCAACTCTTCACTTCGTATCATCTATCAATTCAAATCACCATCAGATATTGAATACAACTGTGAAAATGAAACCACCAAATACCAATACGATACATCATCATCAAGCACCACCATCAAATCATACAGCATTGACACACCAGTCGGTACAATGATGGCATCATTCAGCAACCGTGTAGAAATCGATGAAAACTATGCAATGGTCTCATCAATCCAAGCAATCACATCAGTTGATTCATCAACACCATCAACCAACGGTATCCAATACATTGCCATCCAAGTTCCATCATTTGGAGATTATGTTGAAATCGATCCAATATTCTCAGCCACATCAAAGACTGCACCATCAACCGATGCCTGTATTGTATCATCTTCATCCATCACCACACCGTCAACCATCATTTTATTTGTAGTATCACTCATCTTATTATCTATTTTCTAAATTAAATTAAGTCCAAAAAATAAATAAATAAATAAATAAATATTAAAACACGACCAAAAATATTTTGTCCTTGTTAGGGTCGATCCAGGGCAAAATCGGATGACTTTTTCATTGAACAGTACTCTGTTTATTTTTACAGTTCACCGATTTGTCCCAATTTAGAGAACGAGTTGATGGGTTCTGGTCAAAGGAGATAATCAGGAGTGATGGGGATATGATTAATCGTGTTCTCTCCTCTCCTTAGCAAAAGTAAAAAAAGTTTGTCACTTGATGAATAAATCAAAATTTATAAAGGTAATAAGAAGAGAGAGAATGAATAAAAATGTATTGCTAACTCTATCCCATCCACAACATATAAAATAATAGAGAGCACAAAAATGATCAAGATATTTTTGGCGGTTTTTTTAATTGCTTCGAGTTTAAGTTTCGGAGTTTTTGCTCAGGTATGATTGTACACAAAATAATCACTCTTATTTGTTAATACTACACATATTAATTTTACAAGAGATATATAATCAATTCTATATCGTTTATTTAGCAACCAACTATATTACAAGCAAATCCAAATTATCAAACGATTCAAGTTTTGGGTAGTAATTTTGGGACAGTAGCTAGCAATGTAAAATTTATAGCACCCACCTATCCACTTGGAACCAATACCTCTTTGTCACCAGTATATCTAGCACCAAACCAAGCCGTCTTTTCGTGGAACTATAATATATTGAATGGACCGTTCCAATTGTCGGTCAGTGGTCTGCTGTCTACACCGTTTTATGTCTCGTATTCTCCCTATATCGTTTCAATGGTTCCTGTTGGTACTGCTGGTGGCTCTAACCTCACCATCAAAGGTACTTCCTTTTATCCGTTTGACAGTCTAGGCAATGCACTGTCACAAACGGTCACTATCGGAGACAACTCTTGTCCAGTGCTTTCCTCATGGATCGACGCCTCCTCAACCTATATAGTTTGTAAGGCTCCTGCGGGAACTGGAACCAAAGTTGCCATTGTAAACATCAATGGTTTAGCCAATAGTTTTGATTATGTCTATGCTCCACCCGTCATTGCAACGGTCACCCAAAGTGATACTGATTTTGGTCTGATCATTCAAGGTCTCAATTTTGGTAGCAATATAAACTTGCTCGGAGTTTACGTATCTAATATTATGCCAACCATTCAATCATTCAATGATACTACAATCTTTGCCATTGTCACACCTGAAACATCCAATGGATTTATCCTAGTGCAAGTAGATGGCCTCCAATCGGTGGCACCAGGGTTTCCAGTCAACTTTAAACCAGTCGTTACCAATGTACCTATCGTTCCGGTTGCAGGTGGCCTGATAATGATTTCTGGACGGTACCTTTTAATGGTTCGTGCCAATGGAACCGATACCAATATGTCGGTATTATTCAACAACAAGCCAGTAACCCTCAGTTCGTCGTATTCCAACTCGGACGCCTCCTTTTTAGGATTTATTGCACCTGCAGGTGTTGGTGCCAACCTCTCTTTGACAGTCACGGCCGATGGAATCCAATCTGAACCAGTCCTCATTAGCTATGCTGCTCCAACCATCATGTCGGTGGTCCAAGGAGTAGGTTCTGTCATTTCCATCATCGGTGACAACTTTGGTAGTGATTTGTCAGTCATCACAGTCATTGTAAACGAAGACCAAATGATCATACCAACCGGTTTAATCACAAATGGATTAGTGTTTAGTGCTCCGTCGGACCTAAAGAATGGGGTTGTCAATGTTCGTGTTGGTAACCAAATGGCTGCATCAAATATGGCCATGCTATTGGCTCCAGTACTCTCTACCGTATCACCTCTATCATTGGCCGGTGGTAACCTCACTATCAGTGGTTTATACCTAAATAGCGTAGATTACCTTGGTAACCCTGTTGCTGCAATAATAATGATAGCCAACCTACCATGCGCAACCAGCCCAGATCTGGCCACAGGTACCACTCTATCTTGTCAATATCCAGCTGGACTTGGTGGAGCTCAGGAAATGATATCTGTTTATCTCGGAACTAAACAAACAATCCTTTTGGTCTCATTCCCTGCCCCAGTCATCATTCCATCATCACCGTCGGCACCAGTATTGACCCAAAATCCAACCGATGGAACCGTCACGGTGGTTGGTAGAAACTTTGGTCTAATAACCTCAAAGATTGTATTATCATTTGGTAGTCTTCAATCTCTAAATGATACAACCATCATTTTTACAGTTCCCGATACAGTCACCAATGCTCCATTCACCCTTTCGTCATTTAGTCAAATTTCAAACTCTATTCAATTCTCTGTAACCCCATTCATCACCAGTATGGTTGGTGCTAAAACCATAGGATCAACTACTACATTGATGGGTAAATATCTTACACCTATGAGAGCTAATCAAACCCCTACCAATAGTTTTATCCAAATTGATGGTGGTGCTCCAATCACATCACAAATTTCAATGCAAGGTACCTCGTTAACATTCCCATTACCAGCCGGTACTGGTGCAATTCATACTTTGGTGTTATCAATCGATGGTCAAAATGCTACCTTGATATTCTCGTATCCAGCTCCAACTACTACTTCAATCGTCCAACAGTCCTTGTCTAATCACTACACCCAATCGCTTACCATCACAGGTACTTCATTTGGAACGGTCAATACAAATGTCCAAATATTATTTGTCAATCAACCAAATGTTCAATGTGATCAAGTAGTTGTCAGTGATTCTTTAATCACTGCAAACCTCCCTAAATTTGTCCTCAATGATAATATTAGGGTAAATGTATCTGGTCAGATATCAACTCCATTCTCCAGACCAATTGGACCAATTCTCAAATCGATTACTTCAGCCGATGCTGAAGGTGGTGAAATCAAGATTGGTGGTCTCTACCTCAATAATGTTGATGCTTTTGGATCGACCATTCCCATCACAGTCATGTTCCCAGGCAATACTCCATGTACCAATGTTGTAAAGATTGCCGATGATCAAGATATGGGATATATTACGTGTCAAGCTCCTCCAGGAAATGGAATTAATATTCAAGTCACAGTTCAAGTCGGTCAATTATCAGACACTATCAACTTTGCCTATGGATCACCAGTCATCAATTCAGTTGTCGTCGCCAATGATAATTCTGCAGTCTCGATCGTTGGAAAGAATTTCGGTGCCTCACAAGCAAGTGTAACGATTTATCTTGGAGGTGGATTAGTCACAACATCATACTCGTATATCAATAGAACACATCTAGTAATGACTACCACTTCATTAATGAGAAATGCACTCATCACTGTCAAACTCGCCGACGGTCGTATTTCAAATCCAGTACCCCTTGTATTGAAACCTCTCATCACTTCAATTGCAAAGCCGATCAAAACAACAGGTGACCAATTGACTATTGTTGGAACCTATCTATATCCAACTAGAATGGATGGATCACCAACCAATGTCACAGTTGTCATTGCTGATCTTAATCAACAATGTACCAATGCCATAGCCAATGGAGTATCAATTATTTGTACCTCACCTCAAGGTTCTGGTGTCAATCATAATGTCATTGTCTATATCGATGGAGCACAATCGCCATCATCAGTCACACTCTCATACATTGCACCTTTAATCACCAATATTGCCCAACAAGGTAATAGTGACAATCTAATCATCACTGGTACCAATCTTGGCCTTGACTTGGCAAAGATTACAATCAACAATCAAATCATTGCAACAACATTGACCAGCGCAACATCTCTGTCTGCTAAATTGACAGGTCCATCAAAGAATGGAGATATTAAAATAACCGTCGACGGTCAAGATAGTAATACTCTACCACTCAACATTAAAGCAACTGTCAACTCTATCTCATCCACCTCACCATATGGAGGTGTTGTTGAACTAGTTGGTAAATACCTTTGGACTACAAGATTGGATTCAACTCTAACCACCATCGCAATCGATATTGGAGGAACACCATGTACATCACCAGTGGCCAATGGAAGCGACGGAACCAAGTTGAACTGTACTGTTGGTGATGCCAGTCAATCGGAAACATATATTGAATTATCAATTGACTCTGTCTATGCCTATTCAACAGCCATTTACTACAGTAATTCACCAGTTATCACAACGATTACATCTTCATTCTACCTCGTATCAAGTGTAGTTACTATTGTTGGTAATGAATTCTATTCACCATCCGAGGTGAAAATCGGAGGTAGTGAATGCAATAATGTTGTTGTTGTCGATGCACAACATATTACTTGTTTATTCGGTAGTAATGCCGGAGACAATGCAACTTCAACTTTGGATGTTAACGTCGAATCTGACGATTTATCAACCACTAAAGTTGGATTATTCAAATATACATTGTTACAATGTTTGAACTCTTGTTCATCACATGGAACTTGTGTCACATCTGGTCAATGTCAATGCGACAGCGGATACACAGGAGCTGATTGTTCAATCACATATACTCAATCATTGGTCTCGGGTGACTCTGGATCAGTGTCAGGAGGTAAATTCACAATGTTTAACAATTCAATGGAATTCCTACTTTCACACATTCAAGAAGTTCGTCAAGACAATAGTATCGTTAAAACTATTCCACTCACCAAATGGGATGTCTACAATGAATTTGGTAATACAACTGTTTACAACTCATCAGCAACCACTCACAACATTCAACTCTATGTCACCAAACATGCAACATCATCCATCCAATCATTTATAGGTGATGATCTTGTCATCCCATCCAACTCTATCAAACATTTTATGACTATCGATAGTTTTACATTTGAATCAACCAACTCTTCACTTCGTATCATCTATCAATTCAAATCACCATCAGATATTGAATACAACTGTGAAAATGAAACCACCAAATACCAATACGATACATCATCATCAAGCACCACCATCAAATCATACAGCATTGACACACCAGTCGGTACAATGATGGCATCATTCAGCAACCGTGTAGAAATCGATGAAAACTATGAAATGGTCTCATCAATCCTAGCAATCACATCAGTTGATTCATCAACACCATCAACCAACGGTATCCAATACATTGCCATCCAAGTTCCATCGTTTGGAGATTATGTTGAAATCGATCCAATATTTTCAGCCACCTCAAAGAATGCACCATCAACTGATGCCTGTATTGTATCATCAGCACCTTCATCCTTTATACCACCAATTTTATTACTATCAATTATATCATCATCAATTGTTATCCTCTTGTTCATAAGATTAAAATAAAACCACACATTTTATTTCATAATATTATTATATTATATAGATAAAAGCACGTACCCATCAATTCCGCAGCAGTCAACCGTGTACTCTTTCTGAAACATTTTATTTGTTCATTTATTATTTCACATATTTCATATTTATCTATCGGTTAAGAGTTACTTTGCATTACCATTTTCTAATTTGTATTTTAATTTGTATGATGACAGACCAGCCTCCCCCATCAACAACAACATGGTCCAACATTCCAGTCAAGGAATGGACTTCCCAGTTGGCCAATGATTGGGTGACTGACACTCTCAAAGTCGCACGTCGTCCAAATGGCCTTTCCCTCCAAGACGACCCTCCGGTTACAGGTCGAGATCTTTGGTTGTTGCATGATTCAAGATTCTTATTTGATGGTTTGTTCTTTGTGCCCAATGGTACCGAAGCAGATCTCAAATCTGAGCAAAGAAAGGCTCTCCTTGATGTGCTTTTCAAACAACTCGGTTCTCTCAACCCTCATACTAATAGTAAGTAAATTAGACATCATTTAATATTTACATTATGAATGAACACAAGAGGTCAATGATAGTGAGAAAGGTATGTTTAAGGAAATGGGATGGGTGATGAATTGAATGGATGATGTTGTTGCTAAAAAAAGGAGTGATATAGTTGAGGGTGTCTTACCTGCGGTAGGAGAAACTATTTAGATATATTTCAGTCAGTATTCAATACTCGCTCTCCTCCAAATCAAATACCATTGTCCATATTCACCAAGCCACACCTCTCTTTATCCCTCTACATCCTTTTATTTTATCATCCATCTCTCTCCACTACTTTTGTCAAACATACCTAATTGCTGCATCGACCAATCACTATCATTCAAATCTAGTCATTTGTTTGTTCTGACATTACAGGCCTTCACTTTCCTCATTGTTGTTGGTCAATCCATCTCCATTATTGTATCAACCAATCACCATATCACTAGCATCATGCTATATTCACTCAAACCCCTCCACCTTTTGTTCATTTAACAGAACAACAATTATCGATTACTAGTATTAATTTTTTTTTATTATCTCAACATTATAGATTCACCACCATATGAAGAATTGTTAGAATTTTGCAACAAAGCAAAACAAAGTGAAAAAATGGAGGCAACTGTTTATAAGTACAAAAGACCCTCAACAGAAATCAAAACGCATCCATATCCCAAACCACAAAGCCTAAAAAAATTATCAACCAAAGACTCCAGCACCAACAAGGCCGGGGATAGTCTCTCTGGCCACCCTTTTCTATCCACCGTCACATTCGGTCTTGAAAGGATCTCAATCAATTGATCAACAAATTAGCAAGGTATATGAGGAAAAGGAAATGGCAAAAAAACTCCGGGAAAGGGAAGAACTGGAGAGATTAGATATCGATGTTGAGAGAACTGTAGCAGCGACCCACAGAGACACCGTTTCTTTGGAGGCTGAGGCAGACCGAGAGAATGTCCACCAACAAAATTTCACCAATGCCTCGCCGACTTCAAGTACTTCTTCAGGGTCCAAGTTGGCTATATCTGCTTTAATAGGAATACAAAAGCAAGAACAAGAAGAAGAAGAGCAAGAGGAAAAAGAAGAACAAGAGGAACAAGAAGAACAAGAGGAACAAGAGGAACAAAGTTGTAAATTTAATCAATGTGGGTGCTCTGGGTTGGTTAGAGCCAAAAACTGGTTCAAGTTTAGCCAAACATAACAAGTGTGGTAGGTCAATGTGTAGACATGTTAGATCACATCACCCAAAAGCGTCAAAACCATAGTTGGTAGTTTTTTGAAGTTTTACAAATGACATTTTTTAATCTACCATTATTATTTAAATTGCAATTTAATTATTATTATATTTATGAAGTTGAAAATAAATTTGCTAGTTTACCAATCAATGTAGAATATTGTTTCTTTAAAGACACTATATTCCCAATTTCCTTTCTATTGTATGATTTGGCCATTTTAATACATCTTTTTAGATTATCTTGGTTGAGAAAGGGTGGTCTGTTTGACAAATCTTTTCGATTTCCCTCTATGATCTTTCCAGACATTTCAACTATGAATTTGACAATTTCGATGTGATCCAATGCGATGGCCATCAATAATCCTTCAAATGTCCAATAAAATCCCTTACTATAAAGGTATTGAACCTTTGATAAATCACCTCCAATAATGACTTCATCCACTATTTGACATTTTTCATTTTGATACAAACGATCAATCTTTTCAACAATATATTGTAGCAACTCCAAGTTGCCTGGCATTCTAAGAAACGATGATAGTTTAGCAATATTGGTTATTTGTATTGGTAGTGACTTTGTTTTATAGTATTTCAAAACATTGAAATATCGATTGGTACACCAAAATGAAATGTTTCGAATTCCTATTCCTCGAGCAACTTGTACATTTAAATCTAAATGTATAGTTGTAATTTGTTTAAATATTATGTTTCGAATATATTTTGATCTAAATACAAAATAAAATAATTGGTCTTTAATTGTTGATGTTGTTGTCTGTGTGTTTGTTGTTTGTGTTGTTGTATGTGTGTTGGTTGTTATTTGATTAGAGTTGGAAATAGAATCCAAATCTAAATGTAATATATCTATATAACTATCTTCAAAATCTTTGTATATATTTTCATATAAATGTCTTCCTATTATACTATACATTCTATCGATACAAGTATCATCGTCTTGACCAACTTCAAAGTAGGAACAACCAAGACCAAGTGCAAAATCATTTGCCTGTTCTCTTGTTACCTTTCTTTGATTAACCAAATCTCTTTTTGTACCAATAAACACCACTTCAACCATCTCCCAACAATATCTTTGTGTCTCACCATGCCAACCTTTTAGATTTTCAAAAGATTGTTGATCAGTTACATCAAACAAGATAAATACTATTCTTGCTTGTCTATAAATTGAAACTTGACTATGTAATTTGAATCTCTCTTCTTTTAAAACTACTACATTCTAGAAACAATAACAACAAACAAGTTAGTATTTATATTTACATAAATAGATTACTCTATTTATAATTGATTGACAAACATACAAGTTTAAACTTGACATCAACATTATTTATAGTATTGTTCCATTTGATATGGTTATCAAGTTGATTGATAATAGGAAGGAGGATTGGTGGTTCATCTAGAAGCACTCTGCTAACTGATGTCACACCAAACAAAGATTGAATAAAAGTATGTTTCCCAACATGACGATCTCCTGTGATTGTTATTCTGAAATTTCCTAATACAATTGATGGTTTTGTAGGACGTGTCATTTTACAATATAGTATAATGTTACATGTACTACTACTACTACTACTAAGTAGTAAGTATGTTGATGTGATGATAGAAGTTGATATTAAAAAACAACTATAAAAAAAAAAAGATTCAAAAAAAAGATATCTTTGCAAAACTAATCTATTCTTTATTTTATTTTTTATTGTTTATAACTTGCATTAAAAACGGTAAGATAAAGTTGTGCGACTTCGGGAGTGACAGTGGATCTAAATTTGGATTTGGTAATCACAAATATTCTACATACATCTTGTACACCTTGGATATGTTTCATCCATTCATAATTGGTGTTGGCTGACAAACGATTGATGCATTCCATTCTCATTGTAGCCCACTTGTCAAATAAAAATGAGTGTTTGGTCCCTGAATAATCAAATCCTCTATTAGCAAGGATGAATTTGTTTGCCATTGACTTTAATTGACTGGCTGATTTGGTCAATACCCTTAAATGTAGTCCAACTTGATTCCACTCTATCACCATTAACACTGAATCCTCTGAAGCATACTCGAAAAAGTGATCAATGTTTTCCTCCAATTCTTTAAAAGGAATGTTAATATCCTTTTCTTTAAACTCTTCTATGATTTGTTTTTTAAATTTCCCTAAAAATTAATATAGGAAATTAAATTAGTTTTAAGAGTTTCTTTTTTTTTTTAATTGTTATACAAGTTGTGTGGGATGTACTATACTTTTTTCAAGAGAAAATAAACTAATAAATTCTTTAATTTTATCCATGTTGTTTGTTTGTTTGTTGAGAGAATACTGTATTTTTTTTGAGGAGTATTTATAATTATTTATACCTCTTTTTTTATATTTTTTTAGATTTCTTTATATAAATAAATTTAAAATTTAAAATATAGATAGATAGATAGATAGAGTGATCGATTGAATAAAAAATATAAAGAGAACCCCTTTGTCAACAACCTTTTGAGGGTTTCTATATCAACCAGAAAATAAATTTGATAATTTATCAAACAATTTATATTTTTTCTTTTTTAGAGGTATTGATTTCCTAGGTACAATAGCGGACAAACATTACAATTTCCTCTCGATTGTAAGATTTGGCCATTTGAATACATCGTTTTAAACGATTTTGATTGAGAAAGGGTGGTCTGGTGATCAAATCTTTTTGAATATCCTGTGTGACCTCTCCAGACTTTTCAAAGATGAATTCTACAATATCTATATGGTTGAATGCAATGGCCATCAATAATCCTTCCAATGTCCAATAATATCCCTGGCTGAAAAGGTATTGAACCATTGACAAATCACCTCCAACCATTACTTCATTTATCACCTGATTTTTTTCGGGGTGATTCAGATCACCTATCTTTTCAACAATATATTGTAGCAACTCCAAATTGCCTGACATCCTAAGAAAAGGTGATACCTTGGCAAACTTGTTAATCTCTATTGGCAATCTCTTTTCTTTATAGTATTTCAAAACATTGAAATATCGATTGGTACACCAAAATTCAATGTTTGGCATTCCTATTCCTCTAGCAAGTTGTACATTTAAATCTGAATGTATTATTGGAATCTGTTTAAATATATTGTTTCGAATATATTTTGATCTAAAAACGGAATAAAATAGTTGATCTTTGATTGTTGTTGTTGTTGTTGTTGTTGATGTGTTTGCTCGTGTGGATAAAGAAGAAGAAGAAGAAATAGAATCCAAATGTAAAGGTAATAAATCTAGACGATTATCTTCAAAATCTTTGTACATATTTTCATATAAATGTCTTGCTATTATACTATATACTCTATCGATACAAGATTCATCGTCTTGACCAACTTCAAAGTAGGAACAACCAAGACCAAGTGCAAAATCATTTGCTTGTTCTCTTGTGACCATTCTTTGATCGACCAAATCTCTTTTTGTACCAACGATTACCACTTCTACCATCTCCCAACAGTATCTTTGAGTCTCACAGTGCCAACCTTTTAGATTTTCAAATGATTGTAGGTCAGTTACATCAAACAATATAAATACAATTCTAGCACATCTATAAAGTGTAACTTGATTACACATTCTAAATCTATTATTTTTTGATACCATTAAACTCTACACAACGACAACAAAAAATATCTAGATTAGTAATCTATTTATAATTCTGATGATTCTATTGATTTATACATACAATATTAAACTTGATATCATTAACTTCACAACTTGGTATATCGTTCCATTTGATATAGTTATTGAGTTGATTAATAACAGGAATGATGATTGGTGTATGTTCTTGATGATCAATCGGTAAGGCAGCACCCAACAAAGATTCAACAAAACTATGCCTCCCAACACCTTGGTTGCCTGTGACGGTCATTCTGAATGTTTGTCCCAAGATAGATCGCTTTGTTTCAAGATAATGTCATTTCTCAATGATAACAAATAATAAATAATAAATAATAAATAATAAATACAAATATAAAATACAAATATAAAATACAAATAAAGAAAATGAACATCTCTTGGGAGTTTTTTTAATTAATTAAAACCCAAGAGAAACTGGGTTTATTTTTTTTGTTAGTTTTAATTAATTGTAATTTATCTTCCATTAAAAAAATGACTAAAATGTTCATCAACATTGGGAATAGAGTTTGTTTTGAAGATGACCAATACTCTACATACATCAGGAACACCATCAATATGTTTCATAAAGTCATGGTTGCCACTGGTAGTTATACAATTGATACATGAGTTCATTGCATTCCAATAGTCAAACATAAATGAGAATCTATTACCATATAGATCAATACCACAAAATTGTAGGATTGGAGTGCATGCCCACGTCTTTAATTGAGGAATTGAAAATTCTGTCTCTTTCTCTCTCACTAAAAGTCCACCAAGATTCCATTCAATGATTAGCAGTGCTGATTCTTCTGTACCATACTTGTAAAATTGATCAATATTATCCTCCAATTCACTAAATGGAATTAGTACTTTCATCTTTTCCAACTTTTCCTCCAATTCTTTTTTAAAAGATTTTTCTATAATTTAGAATTAAATCAATAGTTAGAAATATAAATAATAAAAATAATAATAATCCAAACTATTTATACTATACTTTTTTCATTTGTAAATAAATTAATAAATTCTTCTTTAATTTTATTCATTATTATTATTATTCTTTTTCTTTATGTCTTGTCTTCTTGGTTAGAGTTGATGATGATTTCATTTCGTCGGAGCAAAGTTTACATATTTATACAGTAAAGTAAAAAAAAAAATTAAATTGTAGAGATATAGATAAATATATATATATCTTTAATTTTATATATATATATATATATATGATCTTAGATGAATTTTAAAAGATTAAAAAAAAAAAGAGAGAAATAATAAACCATCAAATTAAAAAGGTTTATTTATTTATTTTTTTTGTTTTTTGTGTTGAGTAGTTTATATAAAAACATTTAAATGTATTGTTTTAGTCAAAGAAACTATAATCAACCTTTTCAGGTTGAAGATCAATTTCATCATCTAAAAGATCATCTTCTATTTCGGGATTGTCAGAATTTGATACACCGCTTTGAGATGGATCATCAGAGATAGACAATTTATCTAATTTGATCTTTTGGTTTTTGTAGGCGACGATCAGACCTTGATCATCGACTTTGATAAAATCAGATTTGACCAAATGATCGACGACCGACGCTGGATTCAATTGGAATGATTCGACAAATGTAGAGTGGGTAAGAGATGTGAGAGCAACGGGTCCGTGGTGGTTGGTACTGTAGATGGTGTTGATCATTGCCATCATAGACTTGCAGTGGTCCATCATCTTGGCATCGGCCTTGTTTCTAGTGTAATAGTAACTGGTGCTATCTGGATTGACTGGTTTACAAGTCTGACACACCTTGCACAGACTAATATCACCGCACTCTGACAAGAACAAGAGTACAGGTTGAATGTTTGCCTTTTGGCTAATTTTACAAAACTTTTTAATTGCATTCTCCAACTTGCCACGAGATTTTGGTAGATTGATTGAATCTGACTGACTATTCAATCTTGTCAATAACCATTTCTCGGTCTTTTCTGCAACATCTTTTTCCAAATCTTCATTTATAATGTATTCATCTCCATGTTGTTGTTTTCTAGATGATAATGGCTTCTTGATTGGTGTTGTTGATTTGGTTGCAATAGATCTACTACCTAGAATAGAAGATGATGATTTCTTTGGTGTCATTGTTGGTGATGTTGTTGTATTATTATTATTATTGTTATTATTATTATTATTATTGTCATCATCATCATTTTGATGACTAACAATACCAACATCAAAATAATCAAAGAAATGTTGAGTCTCCTTTTCTGGGGTGATTAGAGAAAGAAGAGTACAACTACTATCGATATAATCTTCGGAATGTGCAAATACATGTTTATGTGATTCACCAAATGGGAATAGACCAATCAAATAATTAATGACTTCTGAGCAATAGATCTTTGAGCTTTGTTTTTGGTCTGGTCCCACCACCACTCTATGTTCTGACTCTGTGATGAATCGATTCTTGTGAAAAGTAGTATCATCCTTGTCACCAACTCCACAAACACATGCAGGACTAAACTTTGCTTTCATCACCACCACAATCTTTACCTGACTACTATCCTTTACCGTACCATATAACAATTGATGTAACAATGCATTACATTTCTTATGTGAATAACTTGATAAATCAACTACAAATACATATTTTAAATCTTTAAATTCTAAATAAATAAACAAACAAAGTAAGTAAGTAAATACAACCTATAATCACTCCTTTTTCTATCTATCCTTCTCTTTCATATGTCATATGATGATATATTTACTTGATTTTTCTAATTGAGTATCAACTGGTAATTCAATCTTTTTTCTTCTACTAAGATCCTTTTTATTTACTCGAACTCTATAACTCATTTGTTTTTAAGTAGATGTATATACAGATAAATAGATAGATAGAAATAAAAAAGATAATAGATAGATTAAAAACAAAAACAACAAACACCCTCTTCCTTTGAGTTTGCTTGAGTTCCTTTAATTTGTTGTGAAATATCTCGATTTCATTGAAGAAAAAAGTAAGATTCAAAAATGTGCATTTGATTATTATATATTTGTTCGATTTATTATTTATTAAATTGATCTAATAATTTTAAATTATTTCTAGAGAATGCATTTCTTGATTGTGGATCCTTTGATTGAATGAATTCTTGGAGTGTACGACGTAGTTCATCATTTTCAATGGCTAGTTGGAACTGTGAACTTGGTAGATCGAATATGACTGGCAGCGACTCTGGTTTGGCTTTGAGTGCACAAATGATGAAACCGTTCCAGAGACCCTTGTCATTCCACACTTGTTTAGATACCAACTCTCTCATCATTTCAACGATAAAGTTGCGTAGATTGGGGTAGGTATTGAGTGACTGCAACATGGTACGTAAGAGGAATGGACTGAGTGTGGGTTGTGTGACCAGTTGTTGGATGGCAACGGCCAATGTCTCTGGTTTGAATACAGATTGCATTTGAACGGTACATTGGTCGATAGCATTGACAATTTGACGTTTGTTGACGTTGGTGTCGGCAATGAGATGGAGTTGAACGAGTAACTCGGATGGAGTGAGTGGACTACCCGGGATAGCAAGCATTGTGACAAAGTTACGTAAATCAGCCTCTGACAATGACAAAAAGGTGGGTAGAGAGGCAATGACCTCGTCGTGTGGTAGTCCGTGGACAACGGGCAATAAAAACTTGGTCTCGCCAGTAATGTCGAGTAGGTTCTTGACAGTGTCGACAAGCTTGGGGACTGGACGCTCACCATTGACAAGTGACCCGAGCATCTCTGACACTAAGTTTTCAGCACCCTTTGGACACACTGTCAACACCTGCAAGATGTCTTCGTTGGCCTGTCCAATCGTCTTCATCACCGTGCCTATATGTTTATGTATCACTTCCTTGGTAGTATCCGAACACCGACTGTATACCTGTAACAACTCGGTTGCAATCAATGGTTTCTTTGCACACAATGAAAAGAATAATAATAATTTTCTTTCAATTAAATTGGTTGATGTTTCTTTTTCCAAAGAATCAGATGATGTATTTTTTTCCAACTTTTCCAACTTTACATCAATTGTTTTATCTTTTCCATTTTCTTCTTCTTCCTTTTGTTCTTTTTCTTCTTTTTGTTCTGCTTCCTCTTTCACTTCTTCATCTTCCTCCTCTTCTTCTTTAATATGAATAACAGAAATTAATTGATCAATAGCAAACTTTTGAATTGTATGTTCTAAAGATGGTTTGCAAAATAGTTGGTTGGTTAAGACACGAATAGTTTTTGAACGAATGTCTTGGTGACGATCAACAGAGAATTCCAATAGCGAGTTTAGACATTGTTGACGAAGATTTGGACGCCAGAGGATGAGATCGCAAAAAGAATTTAATCCAAGACCAACCAATTGAATATTCTTGCAATAGTCTACAATAAGTTGGAGTAGACCGTCGGTAACCAATGGCACCTCTAAGATGAAATCGGTAATAGTCTTTTCCTGTCCGTCTCCAGTGTGACTAGCTTGCACCTTTTCAACCATCATCAATAATAGATTCGAATATCTTGTCTTGGCAGCATCACTAGCACCAATATCCATCGATGCCAACAACTCACTATGTAACCATCTAAGTGCCAATTCTCTACGTGTACCAAATTCTTCCAAACAAAAGTCAATCATTACTCTACTATACTCTAATTCATCATCATCACCACTATCACCATTCTCCTCTTTCATAACTTGATCATCTTGTTGTTGATCAACCAATTGACGATTACGTTGAGATAATAAACGAGCAAATAAAGCAGACCATAAACTAACCTTTCCGCCTTGAGTTGCACCCTTTTCAGAAGATTTAATTCTTTGCAGTGCTCTATCCATCATCTTTTGAACTTGTTCTTTGGAAAGTTTAGGTATTTTAAAGTTTGGTTTAGGTACAAAGTTGCTAATCTCTACAACCTTTTCTTTTTTAACCCTAGTTCTTTCTTGTTGATTTCCATCTCCTTTGCTCTTTTCCTCTTCTATTTGGATTGGATAATCCTCTAAATCTGGCTGATACGCCGATTCTTCTTTGACAGAGGTAACAGGTGGTGATGAAAAGCCTGGTGGTTGTTGTTGTGACGGTTGTGATGGTTGTGATAACATGGCTCTTGGATCTCTCATTTGTTGTTGTAATTGTTGTTGTTGTTGTTGGTATAATAATTGTTGTTGTTTTTGCATTTGTATTTGCATAAATTCATTTTGTTGTTGTTGTTGAGGTTGGGGTGGTGATGAAAAGCCTGGTGGTTGTTGTTGTTGTTGTTGTTGAACTGATAATTGTTGTGGTGATGGTTGTTGATAAGAATTTACAAATTGAAAGAGTGTTTCGGTATTTGGATTTCGTCTGATCCCATTTAATAAATAAAAGAGTGGAGATATCTTCATGTTTTCAATCACCAAATCAACAACAAACTCTGGATTGAGTGATGCAATATTTGATAATATCGCAGATTGTGATTCTGAATCTAATTGTAATCCTTGCCTATAATTTAAGTCTAATAATATTGATTGTTGTTGTAGTTGAGGTGGTGATTGTTGTTTAAAATTACTATCTATATTTTGTTGTTGTTGTTGTTGATTCATCATATTATTTTGTATATTTTGTTGTTGTTGTTGTTGATCTTCCATTTTAACTTTCTTTACATTTGAATCATTTGAACTACTTTGTTGTTCATAATTACGTTTCTTTTTCTCTGGTTCACCTCTATACCATCTTGCAGCATCCTCTGCATGATCCTTTCCATCAACCAAACTAGCAGCCTCAATTAAATCTTTTATATATGGTGCAACTGCTTGATTCTTTAATCTAATTTAAAATCGATCAATCAAATTAATTAATATCTGTCAATATTCATTAAATTATTTGGTTTGATCTATAACATACTTTATAATAGAAAGGAGACAAGTTTTGATTGAATGCTTTACACTTTCATTTTGAACGGTTGATAATTTCGGTAGATTTGAAGGGAATGTAGATAACATTGGTACAATAATCTTGGCAAATGCCAATCTTTGTTTCACAATAGATGACAATGATGTCATAAGTGTCATAATATTGGTACTGGTCCTAACGTTAAATTGTAATAGTAATAATAGATAGATAGATAGATAGATGGATAGATAGATAGATAGAGAATCGGAATAAATATCACATTCATTCATTCATTGTAGATTATAGTTTTCCATTTCAAACATACATGTTATTTAATACAGATACATGATCAATTAATAAACCAAGGTAATAAGATTCACATTCTTTTGATAATACCAATTTGTTGAGAATAGGGTGTTGATCTGGTATACGATCCAAAGAGAATTCTTCATCTGATTTTAGTAACTTTCGACTAGCATTATTTCCACCATTCTCAGTTGGTGAAGAGAAACATAAAACTAAAATCTCTATCATCTTTAATGTATTTACAAGTGTTGCTTCATTGTCCAAACTTTGTGGCTTCAATATCACTCCTTTAACTTCATTGAATGAATTGAATAATTCCGTTGCTTCATTTATTGGTTGACAATTTAATCTAAATGAATGATAGACAAAAAGTAAATAAGTATAAAGGTTTGATCGAACTGGACGTGGTTTAACACTTACATAAATGATAGAGTTGATCTAATTATATTTGTAAAACAGAGTATAACTCTTTTAATGACTGAAGGTGTCTCTTGATTCAATAGAAACAATATAACATCTTTACTTTTATTTAAATCTATATATATATATATATATAAAAGGTAGATTGTAAAATATAATGGATAATAATAATAATAATAAACCGAAAGAAAGAAAGAAAAAAAAAGACAGGACATTGATAATCAAGTTGATTGTGTATTGTCATATAAAGTAAAGTTAGTTTTATTGATCTCTTCTTTCTCTTCTTCTTCTTCTTTTATAACCAGTAATAGTCGTCGTTGTTTCATAAATGGCCAATATGTTGACTTGATGATAGTAGTTGGTTGGTTGATTAGAGATACATTACATTGAGGATACTTTTTACAGGTTGTTTCGATAAAGCCAATGATTTGTTTCTTGATCATAATGGTAGATCTGTCATAGGCAAACTCTATAAGACTGCGATAATAGTCGGCAAGTAGATGTGTCTCTTTAAAGAATAAAAGTTCAAAGGCACTCGATAGTAGAGATACCTTTTCATTCTCTGATGCAATAGATGCACTATTAAGCAAATCTGCTACATCCATCTATCTATCTTATATATCTCTTTGCACTCTACTACTACCTCTTCCTCGACTCTCTCTCTCTTTTTTATGACTATCGAAAATTGATGAATGAATGAATGAATTAATGAATGGGATGACTTCAAAGTTTTTAATAAAAGTCGATCAAACAAATTATTTATTTCATGTGTTTCAAAATTAATATTTAACAAATAATCTAAAATAAATCAGAACAGTACAATAATAATTATAATATATATATATATATTATTATTTTATTATTTTAGAAGTAGTATTATTTTTCTTTGTTTATTTATTTTTATCTTATATCTATTTAAATATATCATATCGATCTAATCTCATCTGTTTATTAATATGGTCTTGTAGGTATTTCGAACTACAAAACTATTGCATTGCGTTCATTCATTGTTTACCATTGGTATAGGGTATTGGATCTTGGGCGTTGACCAAAAGCAAATGAGCGCCAAGATTTTTTTGAACACCCCCTTTTTGTTTTTTTTTTTTTTTTAATTTTTTTTTGATTTTTTTTTTCTTCAAACAAAGTTTGTAAGGCAATTTTATCGAACTTTAGAGAGTATTGAACACTTTGCTACTAAATATTACAGGAAGGAAAGGTAATTTAGAAGATCTTAGTACCCACACCCGATAGCAACACCAATCATCTCTGCACACACACATTTAGAAAAACATCCATCATCTTTATCAGCAGCTGATCAGACACAAACAAAAGAAAAAGAAGATAATCATCTATAGATCTGTTACACATGTTTTGTAATTCGAATTACTTGTTGTGATGATCATCACCTATATCATATTATAGATAGACAATTGGAATAATAGATATATAGTATAATAATAGTAATAATAGTAACATCATTGTCATGTGATATATATGTCACATGAAACAAAAAAAAAAGATATAGAGATAGATTAGATAGATTAGATGCAGATCTCATCGATGATTTTGAAAAATGATATTGGACTATATATATATATATATATATATATATATATATGTATATATATATAACTGATAAAGAATAATAATAATAGTTTGGATCGTACCTACCTACCTACAGCCAACCTACATTTAGGAATAGGAGAATAGGAACAGGAATTTTACTCTCAAATAGTGTAGAGGGTTAGGGTGGTGTTGGGTGTGAGAGAGAGAGAGTGTAGTGAGTGGGTGGTGGTGGTGGTGGTGGTGTGAACTATCTATCGTGATAGATAGTAGTGTTTCTTCAATAGTCTATTGTTAAAATACATAATACACATTATTATCTCGCCTCCTCTCTCTGAAAGAAACTAGAAAAGATAGAGATATCTCTAATTACTTTATTTTGTTATAATCGTCGTCATCATCAGAATAACAACAACAAATAGACAGAGCATATCATCATAGTCATATTATTTAGTTAGTCTATACAGTACAGCAGTATCTGCTATAATAAGAGACAACTTTTAATTAACAAGAATCGAGATCTCACTCACACCAACTTGTGGTCACGCGTCGAGAGAATTTGCGCAAAGCCAAACATCAACAGCAACAACAAAAATCAATACCTATTTTTTATTTTTATTTTATCATCATCATAGCTATTGAGTGAGTTTTATTGTAATTATTTCTTTTTTTTTTTTTTTTTTTTATATAATACGCATCTTCATCTTATCTTTTTTTTTTTTTGTGTCGACAAATACTATAGTTGCTTTTTTTTTCTTTTTTTTTATTATCTTCTCTTCAATCTAAATTATCTTTACCACTCCGCACTAGATATCTATAGCATCTTTATTAATTCAATCTAATCTTTTCTTTCATATATCATACTTTTTACATTTCAAACAATATATATAAATATATATAGTAGTAGTTATTATTATAAAATGAGCGAACCAAATATTTCAGAAGACAGTAATATAGTGGACAACAATGAGACAGTGGGACAAACCACGACAACCACCAGTAATACAGAGAACAAGGACAACACAGTTCTAGAGGTCGACAAGGAGACCACCGAGACCAAGGAAGAGTCGTCATCGTCGGAATTAAATAACCATCCAGCCACCCCACTCGCAGATCCACACCACAACCCATCTACAGCAAACAGCAGCGACATTAGCAGCAACGATCACGACGAAGCAGCACCAACAACACCCAAATACACCTCTGTCAAGGACATTGGCATTTCCACAGAAAAGAACCCACGTTTTAGACGTACAATGGAGGATGAACATGTCTCCCTTGACGGCTTTGGTGGTGTCCCAGACCAAGCTTATTTTGCCATCTATGATGGTCATGGTGGCAGAGGTGCTGTCGACTATACTGCCAAGAATCTTCACCTTGTATGACATTTACAAAAGACACATAGATAGAGACAATGATTAGATTAGTATTGACACTATAATCCTATTTAGAACTTATTAAAAGAAATCGAAAATGATCCAGAAAATATTCAAGAAGACATAAAGAAGAGTTATCTCGATACAGACGAACAAATGGGGAACGAACCAATCCAATTCTCTGGAACTACCACCATTACCGCACTCCTTAGAAAAAATAATGATGGTGAAAAACATCTTTATGTTGCCAATGCTGGTGATGCTCGTGCTGTAATTTGGTAAGAAAGAAAGATAGAATAGATAGATAAGATAAATAATGTAGTATATATATTAATATGATTGGTTTATAATTTTTTTTTTAGTAAAAACGCTGTTGCTGAAAGATTGTCATATGATCATAAAGGATCTGATTTGGAAGAGACCAAACGTATTATAAATGCAGGTGGTTTTGTCGTAAACAATCGTGTAAATGGTATTTTGGCAGTAACACGTTCACTCGGTGATCATTCAATGAAGGAATATGTCATTGGTGATCCATACCAACGTTCAATCAAACTTGAAGAAGGTCATTCTCATCTTATTTTAGCTTGTGATGGTGTATGTATAAAAAAAAAACAAATAGTAAAGAGAAAGAATATTAAATATTTATATCCTTTTCTTTTTTCTATTTAGCTTTGGGATGTTGTTGGTGATCAAGAAGCTATTGATATTATTTTGAAAGAAACTGGTTCAAATGCAAAGCAAATGAGTGAAAAACTTTTGTTAACTGCTTTGAGAAAAGGTAGCACTGATAATATTAGTATTATGGTAATGTATCAAAAAAGATTTAAACAAAGAAGATATATATAAAGAGTTTTTAGTATTAACATTTTATACTATTTTTTTTTCCATATTCTCTACATTGAAAAAAACAAAACAAATAATAATTATAGGTTGTTATTTTGTAAGAAATAAATGAAATGAAATGCACATAAATTAACATTCAAAATCACATCCTAATAATAATAATAATAATTTAATAATGACAAGTCAACAATATCAACACAGGATATAATAATAATAATTACTACCAATCATCACACAAACAATTTAACTTTTTTGCATATGTATTGTATCTCTGCTACACTTTTTAAACCAAACACAACAAATAATAACAAACAACAAACCAACGGATCGATAGATATCATCACACTTATAGATAGAGGGGGGTTAGTTTCAATAATACACACATTTATAACAATCGACAAATACTTAATATAATTCTATTAATTTAATAATAATCCATGGAAATTGTTTTAATTTATTTTTGATTGTTTTTTTTGTATTGGTTCAACAGTTTGTTTTAAACCAATGGAAGTTTTGGGAATGGATTATTTGGACTTAGAATTAGACCAACTTTATGTGATATATAACCTTTAATGTACCCATCAAAGATAAGATTTGATATGATACATTCTGCCTCGTCTACATCGACTGTTTCATTTTCTGCCCACTTTAATGCTGCCACAAAATTTTGAATTGGTACACGTGATTTTGCATTACTATTTGCATTCATACTAACAGTAATTAAATATCTAAAGAAAAAGAAAAAATAAAATTAATAATGATGATCAAATAAAATCCGTAATATATTTTCTGACTTACATTTTCTTGAAAAGATTTCTATAGACAATAATCTTTAATTTCTCTAAAATCAAATAGAGACCTTTTGAAATAAAATAATTTTGATTGGTTGCCAAACATTGATTGAATTGTTTAATGTTTCCATTTTTCATTCCATCGACAATGCCAATAAATTGATGTAAATTATATTGTTGTAATAATCCTTTTTTTGGGAATTTACATTGTGCCAATTGCATTGGAATTAAATATAATAATATTAGTCTATAAAGAAAAAAAAAAAAGGAAATGGAAAAAGTATTAGTATTATTATTTGTATTATATCATGTGATGGTTGTCTGAGAGAGAGTTACCGACTTTTTGTTTTTTGGAATATTTGGAGGACATTTGTTAAATGCAGATAAAAGATCTTGTTGAGCCTTTTTAAAGTTTCCTTCAAATGCAGCCAATCTACCAACAAAGAATTTATAGGTGATTAATTGTTGAGGAGGATAGGTTTCGAGTGATGGGAAACCAGGACTTTCAATGGCTTTGATCAGATTTTTACACAACTTTAGGTTGTTGAGTTTGAAATAGATTTGAAAGAGTTGGTTGATGATGCCAAGTGATGCACGCTTTTTTGATTGTTCCATGACTGCAGATCTATCACCTGTTGCACTTTGGAAACATCTACTTAGCAATCTACTCGCATCTTCATAGTAATCATTCTTTTTTCCAGATGCATCAACTGTTGCCGATCCATTGATAGTTGCCAATTTTGCCAACATTCTAATATCATAACAATATTTATACATTACCGGTATTGACCATGATTCAAATACTCTTATAAATGATCTAAAAAAAAAAAAAAGAGAAATAAATAAATAAAAAGAAAGATTAAGAAATATAGATTTACTCTTTACATACTCTACTGATTTTGAAAATTCATTAAATGCTTCAGAATAATTTTGATCAAAGATCAAAGTGATGGTACGAAGACGATGAGAGACGATTTCACAGTAGGCTTGATACTGTGATTCGTTGAGTGATGATTGTTGTAATTTGTTTTGTACGGTTGAATCAATGTCGTGTGCCTTGCGTACGAGTTGGTCGATCTTTTTGAGTTGTTGTATCTTGGTGTTGTTCTTTGCTGTCTGTGATGCATTGAATATCTTGACAAATGGGTTGTTGGGATGATTGTTGATCGTCACTGCTATCAACTCGCTCAATGATAACAAATCTGTCAATGCTTGTCCATTTGGTTTATATATACTATCATTGATTTGATTAAAATATTGATATAATTCCATCGATTTATAGTAATATAAGTATATATAGGTATAAGTATATATCTATCTTTAGAGATAATAAATAATTAAAATGAATTATTAATTTTAAAAAAACTCGTATGATCATCATATTAAAAATTTGTTCATGTTTATTCATTTCATTGATTTATTTACTTTTACTTTTTACTTTTTAATCTTTCTTCTTTAAACATATGGAATATGTTTTGTAGGTTTAGAGGACAAATGTGAATCATTCTTTGATAGGTTTTCATTGCCCATTGACTTGTTAGAGTCTGTTGTGGTGTGGCGGTGGCTACTTGTTTCAGATGGGACATGATATCTTCCATCTTGGTAATGTGTTCACCAAAACATTGGTAGAGTGCAGGTTGAGAGATCAACCATTCTATAGGTGTTTCAAATGACGCTGACAAAGATGACGACTTTGTTGACTTTATACAATATTTGGTATGATCATTACTACGATAAAAAGAGACGATATCTTCAATTGGTTCATGGACAATGGTAGAGTATAGAGTTTGAGTCAAATGTATATACATTTGATCCAATGCAGATGATGTTACGAAATGTGTTGCCAAACCAATGCCTACCATATCTCGGGCCGTTAAACTAGGTGATCCATCCACACCAGTCATTGCCAAATAGAGACCAATACTACCATATTTACAAAGTGTTTTGCATACTTTCCAAGAAGTGTAATCATTTACAATCGATTGTGGAACATGCATTTGACAACTTGCCTTTTCAGTCACTACAACCAGTGCCGGTGCAAAGCCAGGTAACAACATTTCGATATTGTCACGTGTTATTTGATCATTAATAACTACTACAATTGGTTTGGTAAATCCTGTCCATCGAATCATTCCACTTAATCTACCACGTCTCTGGTCATCACGATGATGATGGTCTTTGGAAAAGTTTGATACCAATAATAGAAATGATACATTTGGATCATTTCTAAACTTTTTTAAAATATTTCCAATATCTTCATTCAATATTATTGTATTCTTTTCTAAAAAAAAAAATATTAGTAAGAATCAATCTTATTTATTTATTTTTGTATGTATTTATATTTTATTTGTTTTTTTTTTACCTTTAAAATTTAAGATTACTTTTAAACAACCACTACCTTGATAAACTCTATATAGAATGGAATCATTTTGGTTTTCACATTCAAGTAATGGGTCATTGATATCATTATACAATAGTTGATTTGGATTAGGTCTTGAAATGGAAGAAACTAAATTGGTTGAGGAGGGAAATAAAGTATTGTCTAAATGTGCCAATGTTACTCCAAGTCTTTTCAAAGTTTTGGGTTTAACTTTACTATTCTCCATTGTAGTTACTATTTTTTTTTATTTTAACAGAACAGAGTAAATGATGACCATCAAAAAAATTTTGATTTAAATAGGTCAACTAGCAATTAATTTAATTACATATATTACTCAAACAAACATGGTTAATTTTTTTTTAAATCTATAGATTTGTTTCAATACCAATTTCCTTGTGTCACACCCTTTGACATGACTAATTTCAATTTTGTGGGTGTGTATGAAAATGATTGAGAAATTTTAATTACGTAATATTTTGATTCAAGGAGATTTAAATTAATTCTAACTTTTTTTTCATTTCTAAACACACTCTTATCTTTAAACAAGGTGGTCGTACAATTACTTTATAGTATCCCACCCATATCTTTACTTTTACATGTTTTGATACGTAACCCTTTTTTAGATTTTTTTGTCTTTTTAAAATTTTGAATTGGAGAGAGATTTTAAAAAGAGGTGTGAATGGGGTGCATGGGTTTTGATGATCAAACAAACACACTTCTTTCGGTTCATTCATTGTAGTACTATACGAACGTCGACAAACGAAAGAATGTTTAGTAAAGCAATCACAACTACAACTCAAAGAACAGTTGTTTCATCATTACTCAAACAATCAAAATGTTTATTTACTACTTCTTCAAAAAAGAATAACTTTGATGGTATGTAAAGAATTTATAAATATATAAATATAATATCTCTCTCTCTCTCTCTCTCTCTCTCTTACTTATACTTTCTTTCTACTTTTTATTTTTTCCTTAGGACTTTATGAAAAACATAAAAAGATTGCAGATGTACCAATGAAGACAGAGGAAGTGATGAAAGCAATTAGTGAAAACACTTTGTTTACTTGGAACCCATCGGCTACAGCAGCTGCCAGTTCAATTGTGATGGAACGTGGAGAAGGTGTTTATTTTTTCGACAAGCAAGGTAAAAAGTACATTGATTTCAATTCACAGGCAATGTGTTCCAATCTTGGACATACTGTACCACAAGAAGTGATTGATGCAGTCGACAAGCAACTAAAGACTGTTGCCTATGCCTACCCATGTGGTTTGGTGACCGAGGTCAAGGCCAAGTTGTCATTGTTGATGGCTGATTTAATGCCAGGCGACCTCAACCACTTTTACTATGTTTCGGGTGGTGCCGAGGCCAACGAGACTGCCATGAGAATGGCCCGTCTCAAGACTGGTCGTCATAAAATCCTCGCTCGTTATCGTTCCTACCACGGTGCCACACTCGGTGCTATGGGCTTGACCGGTGACCCAAGACGTTGGGGTTCAGAGCCAGGTGCCTCTGGCATCGTCCACTTTATGGACCCATTCCCATACACCTTTTCATGGGGTTCGACCGAAGAAGAGATCTGCCAAAAATCATTGCAATACTTGCGCGAGGTCATCTCGTACGAGGGTGGCAAAAACATTGCTGCCATCTTTTTGGAGCCGGTCACTGGCACCAATGGCATCTTGAAGCCACCTGCTGGCTACTTGGAGGGTGTTCGTCAAATTTGTGACCAACACGGTATCCTCATGGTCTGCGATGAAGTGATGAACGGGTTTGGTCGTACCGGCACCATGTTTGGTTTCGAGCAAGCCAACAATGTCATTCCAGACATTGTCACTATGGCCAAGGGCATCAACGGTGCCTTTATCCCATTGGGTGCCGTCGCTTGTCGTGACCATGTTGCTGCTCACTTTCAAAAGTCACCCATCGGCATTGGCTCGACCTACAACTCTCACCCCGTCACCCTTGCCTCTGCCTATGCCGCTCTCCAATACTTCCTCCGTACCGATGTCCTCGGAAACGTCCACCGCATGGAACCAATCCTCCAAAGCCTCATGGAAGACCTCAAGAAGCGTCATCCAACCGTCAAGACCTTCCGTAGTCTCGGTCTCTTTGGCACGGTCGAGCTCCAAAAGAACAGCCGTGGTGAGCCATTTGTAGAATTCAACGGCCCAGCTCACCCAGCCATGGCTCAACTCAAGAATGACATGATTTCAAATGGTCTCTACACTCTTGTTCGTTTCTCTTCCTTCTTTACCAATCCACCATTGATCATCAATGAAAAGGAACTTAGACAAGGTTTTGAAATCCTTGACAAGTGTCTTACAAATTTGGATAAACATTTTGAAAAATAAAGAAAAGAAAAGATAATTTATAATTATATTAATAATAATAATAATAATATACAACAAACATACATATCTAAATTACTCTAATTAAAGGGTAATCTTTTTTAATTTTTATTCTTTTTTAAAAAGAATGCTTGAGTTGGTTGATTGGATTGTTTTTGATTTTGTTTTTTTGCCAAAGCTTGTAATTTTTCGGAACTAACACCCATACTGGAACCTCCTGCATGATGACTACCAAAACCAAATGATAAAGATGTTGGTAAAGATGATTTAAATTGTTGTTGAGTTGGTTGTGTTTGTTCTTTTTGTTGTGTTGGTTGTTTCTTTTGTTCTTGTTGTGTATTGCTTTTAGAACGTCTATTATTATTTTGAATCATATCAAGTAATTCCTTATCATCTTGAGTGTAAGATTGTGACAAGTCAACCTCTTGACTACCACCAAGTTTTTTGGAATGAGAGGATGAAGATTTGAGTAACGATGATGAACGTCTGAGTACTTTTGATTTGGTATCTTCTTCTTCAGAAAGATCATCTTGTTGATTGTCCATTGTAAAAAGGGATGAAGTTACACTATTCTTGATTTCTTTGGCTGATTTCTTTTTCTTTAAAAATCTAAGAGTTTCCAACTCTTCTTCTTCCTCGTCAAAAGAGTCATCATTGTCAATATTTGATTTTCTCTTTCTCATTTGTCCACTAATCAATTTCATTCCTTGATTTAAAAATTTGACTTCTTGTGCTTTTAAATCATTTTCATATTTGGTTTTATGATTATATTCTTCTTCACTTGATTCTTCCTCCTCTTCATCATTTTCTTCTTCTTCTTCTTCTTGTTCACTAGTATTTTTATCTGTCATTTGTATATCAACTTTTCCATTATATACTTGTTCTTGTTCTTCTTGATCATCTTCATTAAAGTCCAGTTCAAGTGTAAATAATTTACCACCAGTTGTTTTGGTATCACGATCTTTAACATCATTACCATCATCATCATCTTCTTCATCTTCAATTGTTGGTACCATATCTGGATCAGTATCCATTTCCTGTTTAATCGATAAAATGTTAAAAAAAGTCTGGAATAAATTGTTGGAAAAATATTTCTTTTTCTTTTTCTATCTTACCTGTGTTTGAATAGGTTCTGGTGCAACCAATGGTTTTCTCTTTGGTGGAGATGGAGTTGTTTTAGTTGGATTGTTTGATACATTTGTAGTTTCCTCCTCCTCCTCTTCCTCTTTACTAGATTCTTCTTCTTCTTCCTCTGAGTTTTCTTCTTCCTGTTCTTGTTCTTCTTCTTCTTCTTCCTCCTCTTCACTTGATGATTCATTTTCCATTTCTTCTTCTTCATCACTTTCTTCTTTCTTTTTAGATTTTGAAATAATAATTAAATCATCATCTTCATATTCAATTTCATCTTCAGAGGATTCAGATCCGGATTCTACTATAGTAGGAGGTTTGATAGCTTCAATAAAATCAAACATTGATCTTTTCTTTACAATTGCAGATGGTTTGATAATACAATTTTCTAAAAAAAGAAAAGAAAAGGGTCAGTCCAAAGTATACTACGAATTAAATTATTGGGACATTATGAAAATTATTAACATACTACTATCAACATTTGAAATTAATGGTTGTTCTCTTTCCTTTTTTGATTCTCTCTTTTGTTTGATTGGTGATGAATCTCTTTTCTTTTGTTTGGATTTTTGTTTTCTTGATGGTGGTTCATAATCTGGATCGCTATCACTATCTTGTTGTTGTTGTTGTTCCTCTTCTTGATCGTCGTCACTACTACTACTACTATCTATTTGACGTTTGTTTCGTTTTTCTGATTCACTGTCTGATGAAGAATCTTCTTCTCTAACACAATCTTGAGTATCAACATCATTGATAACAGGTTCGGGAACATAAACTCTTTTTTCCTTTTCCAAGATATATTCCACGTCTCTTTGTAATGCTTCATAATCAGTTTGGACTTGTGATTTCTTTGGTGTTCTTTTGGTTGGTGTAGATGATTTATCTGGTGATTTGTGAAGTTTTGATAATAGTTTTGGTTTGTGGACCACAACCTCCTCCTCCTCCTCTTCCTCCTCCTTTTTCTCCTTTTCTACTTTTGTTTTCTCCTCATCAGAAGAGTCTGATTGCTGTTCTTGTTCTTGTTTTTCCTTGACCAACTTTTTCTTTAATTCTCTTTGTTTCTTTTTCTGTTGTTTCTTTTCCAGCTTTTTTTGTTTCTTCTTTTCCTCTTTTCTTTTTAATCTTCTTTCGTCCTTTGATTTAGATTTCTTTATCTTTTTCTTTTTAATCTCTTTTTCCTCCTCTTCATCATCACTACTACTATCTTGTTTAACCTTTGATTTAGATTTCTTCTTCTTCTTCTTCTTTTTTATATCTTTTTCTTCCCCCTCTTCTTGTTCCTCCTCCTTTTCATCATCACTACTACTACTATCTTGTTTCTGAACCTTTAATTTAATAGTCTTCTTCTTGTTGTCAGATGATTTTCCAGTTATACTATGATCAATCTTTTCTTCAACACTTGATTTCATCTAAGAAAGAAAGAAAGAGAGAGGGTATTAGAACGTCACATACTCTTGACTCTCTCTCTTTGACACCAACAACAACAACATACAGATCTACTTTTGTTAACCAAATCTAATATTGAATTCAACTTTGACTTTGTTTCTGCAAGTGCCAATTCCTTATCCTTGATTTCATCATCATCATCATCTGATGAATATTCACTATCTGACATTCTATACTATATATATACTACAAGAATAATGATATCTATTAAACTTTGCAAGTCAACTCAAACACTATAATGTTTAAAATTCGAATTTCCCTCCTTTTTTTTCTTTTGGTATTTAAACTTTTTTAAAAATTGATATCAGTATAGGATTCAAAGTCTCTGGGAACCATCCAATAATAGTATTCAACCTCTCCTTTTCTTGTTATAAAGTTTCTATTGCTTTTATTACATTTTTTTTGATTGTCTATTACTTTACAAAGGTTGATTTGAATTATTATTAAGATATTTAATTAGGTGAAGGGAATCTGGTAAAGGAGTGAATAAGGAGTCAACCATTAGGTCATTGGCATCTGGGTGAGTCCATTGAGGATCGTTGGGGTGGGCAAGGGTGGCACATTTAAGGCCTTCATCAAAATCAGTAGAGAGGAGGTAAGTGGCCAACATTTGCTCATTCTCGTATACTTGTTCCATGGTGCAGTGGAAAGAGTCTCGCATGACACGTAAGTTGCATTTAGGGCAAGTGGTTTGGCACGTGTCAATAGATGATTTTTAATCTTGGTGGCCCATTTGACAACTCGGTGATTTCTAGCAGTCTGGATCTCACGATTGAGAGAATCTACAATTTCATTAATCGTATGAATATGTCTTCCAAAACATCTCTCTATACAACCTGTACGTGTTAGAAATCCTAGTTCGGTTGTTGGACCGATTTGAAAAGTAGATTTTGGTAAATCATATTCTTTGGATTTATATGCATTTAATATTTGATCGAGTCTATCAATATTGTCAATATTTAAACTGGTTGTAAAATTCTCGACAATCTCATCCAATGATGATGGCATGATAGCTAGATGTGTTGTTAATCCTAATTGCATGGCATCACGATATTCAAACCGTTCAGAGGTCAGACCAAGATAAAGACCTACTCCAGCTTCCATTCTACTTAGGTAATAGTTTGATCCATTGTCACAGGCAATTCCCAATTTAGAATGAATTAATTCAAACGATGCATTTGGTGTAATGATTGAATACTTTGAATTAAAAAGTAAATGCATTCCAAGTCCACCACGACACGGACCATTACAAATAGTAATCACAGGTTTTGGATAGGCGTACACTGTATATGTCAAAAGATACATATCAAATAGATTCGAAGCAATTGATCTTTTACCATACACTATTTCCTTTAAATCTGATTCACCTCTATACATTTGATCACCAATACCAACAAACAATAAACATTTTACTTTATCATCTTTTTTAAAATGATTTAATAAATCTATTAATTTATTTATTACCTCTAGAAAATTAAATAAATAGAAAATTAATATTTCTTTTTCTTTTTTTTCTTTTTTTTTTTATACAAACCAACTGAAATTGAATTAAATAAACTTGTTCTATTAATAATAATTTTTAGACATCCATTATCATAGAGACGATAGAGTATGGTTTTACTCTCGGATAAAGGGATAAGAAATGGATCTTTTACAGAATTAAATGGTTCTAATTTTGATTTTTCTCTTTTTAGATGATTGGCTATAACTCCAATTCTAGAGACACATTGGTTAGTTTCCATTGGACAATTTTTAAAAGTTAATAATAATAATAATAATACAATTAATTTTAAAACCCAAAATGAATAAAGTACTTATTTTTTCAACCATGTTTTTTTCTCCATGACATTCAATTATCTGTGTACCCGTATTTTTTTTTTAAAATTTATATAAATCTTAAATTTAATGTCTACTTTGTAATATATAATCTATATATTTTATAAAAGATTTGATATTAATTATCTTTTGCTAAAAAATATCTAGAAATCTTAAAAGTTTTAAAAGATTTCCCCTTTTTTTTTTTTTTTCTTCTTCTTCTTACTAATAAATATTACTATTTGGTATTTACCGATTTGTTAACTGTTATTATTATTGTCTCAATTACATTAGATTTTGGTTTTATTAATACACGTGACTTTTTATGTTTTAATTTAAATCCAATTCTTGATGACTTGGTAAAGGTTTAAATAATGAATCGACTATATTTGGATCGACTTGTTGAATGGTTGGAGGAATCCATTGAGGTTTGTATGTTTTGTCAAAGAGTGCAGCTTTTATACCTTCTCTACCATCCTCTTCAATTTGGGTGAGATGAGTTCCCACACGATTGTCCATTTTTAATACATCATCAATTGAAAGATTTAATGAATCTCTAAAAGCTTTAAAACATGCACAAATACTTAGAGGTCTTGATCCAGTTATTTTAGTCAATGTTTGTTCTGCCCATTTTCTAACTTTTTCATCGCCGTTGTTGTTTTTGATCTCATTTTCCAAGTTGTCTAATACTTCTTGAACCGATTTGATATGATTACCAAAACATCTTTCAAGACATTGATTCTGAACTAGCCACTCTACCATTGTGGAGGGCTCGATATTATGTAATCTATAACCAACTTGTTTACGATAGAGATTGATAATAAAGTCTAGCTGACGAGTTGTGTCGACCGTGTTTTCAGTTAGATCTCTAACCAATCGATCCAACATGTCTGATGGAACATGATGTGAGGCTATTCCCAATCCAACCAAATCACGATATTTTATACGTGTACCTGTTAAATCCAAGTACAAACCAATAGCACCCAATCTTGACATTTGATAATTTGTACCAACATCTGGAAAGTACCCAATAAAACATTCTGGCATTGCCCATAATGCACGTTCTGTAACGATACAATGAGACCCATGTATTGAAATACCAACACCCCCACCCATCACAATGCCATTGACAATCGATACGTATGGTTTCGAATAGGTATGTATTAGATAGTCCAACTTGTACTCGGTGTTTGACAGTCTATGTGACATTTCTACACTCGATGAGAATTCCAATAAATCACCACCCGAACAATAAGCTCTATCTCCTGCTCCCACTACCAATACAAATGTTACCCTCTTATCATTTTCATATTTCTTTAATAAATTTAATAAATGATTTATCATCTCTAAATTAAATAGATAAATAAATAGATAAATAGTGTAAGGTTATTTATATAATATATATATATATATGTATATATATTTCACATACCCAAAGTTAAACTATTTAAAGCTTTTTCACGATTTAATATAATCTTTAAACAACCATTATCATAGATTCTATATAATATATGATTTGATTCTAATTCAGATACAAGTAATGGATCTTTATTATCATTGTATTTTACTACTGTTGTTGTTGTTGTTGTTGTTATTGTACTACTACATAAATGATTTGATAATACATCGATTCTATTCATTATTATTACAAAGGTCGAATTAATTTAGTTGGGTTGACTTTTCTCTCACTCTCTTGTTTGATCTTCAACCATCACCCCTTTTTTGCTCAGATCGCTCATCATCGATTTTTTTTATTTTATTTTTTTGTTTATTTTTTTTTTTCATCATCGTGCTGAGTGAGACTGCAAGACAGCAGAAAACGAAGCAGAGATACTCACAAACAGCACCTGATTCCTCTTGTATTTTTAAAAAAGAAGATATTAATATATATTTTTAGACCTTTCAACAACTACAACTACAAGAAGAGTTCTTTTGGTCCACCAATCTTTTATAATATCATTGTATCATATATATATATATTTATATTAATTAAACCAACAGACAGACAAAACAAAACAAATATAATATAATTTGTTAAACAAACAGACACCTTTTCCCACAACATCTCTCTACACTTATAGTTCAACAACAACAACAACAATGCCACCACCACCACCACCACCCCCTAAAGCACCACCTCCACCAGTCTCTACTCCACCAAAGAGTTCTGATCGTAATGCATTATTGAACTCTATTCATAAAGGTGCAAAGTTGAAAAAGACTTCAACCAATGATAGATCTGCTCCAGTCACTGTTGGTATGTAGAACAAACATAATCATTAGTATAAAAGTAATCAATCAATCAATCAAACTAACATTTCATTTCATTCATTTGTCTAGCACCAAAAGGAGGTGCAGGAGGAGGAGGAGGACCAATGGGTATGCCAGGAGGAGGTATGCCAAGACCTCCAATGGGAGGTGCTAAACCAATGGGAGGACCACCAATGGGAAGAGCACCAGCACCATCATCATCATATGACGATGGAGGTAGTAGCGGAGGAGGAGGTACACCACAATTGGGAGGATTGTTTGCAGGAGGCATGCCAAAATTAAAACCATCAGCTCCAGGTGGCCCAGTAAAGAAACCACCTCCAATGTCATCACCATCATTCCAACCAGCACCGCCCCCAGTCTCATCGACTCCACCACCACCATCATTTGGTAAGCCACCACCATCATTTGGTAAACCAGCTCCACTTGGTGCTGCTCCACCAACATTTGGCAAACCACCTCCACCAGCATTCAAACCACCAACATCCCAACCACCTCCACCACCAATGTCTGCCAAGCCACAACCACCTCCACCAGCCTTTGGCAAGCCACAACCACCCCCACCAACCAGTAGACCACCCCCACCACCATCCAGACAATCATCTACCCCAAACAATGACGAAGAGTTGAGACATGCCCTCAGCCAAATCCAAGATTTGGAAAATCAACTAAATAGAGCCAATCAAAGAGTTAAACAATTGGAACAAGAACTTAGTCAAAAACAAAATGCTCCTGCTGGTAAATAGAAAAAAAAAAAGAAAAGAAAATAGAAAAGAGATAAGATTATGAGATGATCGAGATTAGAATATTGGATATTAATCGATTTTTTTCTTTTTTTTTTTTAACCATACCATTTTCTATAGCTAAAGGAAGAAAGGCAGTTGCACTTTATGATTATGAAGCTGATGCTGTTTTGGGTGATTTGACATTCAAGGCAACTGAAACTATTTATGTTACTGAAGTAAATGGTGATTGGTGTACTGGTGAAAAGACTGGTTCATTCCCAACTGCTTTTGTTCAATTTTCTTAAACTAAATACTAAAATAAAAAGTAATAATAATTAATTAAATAAATAAATAAATAAATAAATAAATAAAATATGATTAATTTTTTAAAACAATGATTGTTATTGGGATTTTTGGTCCAAGATATTTTGGAGAGAAAATTTGTCTTTTTTTTTTTATTTTATTTGAATCAAACTCTTTCCTTTTCTTTTTTGTTTCATCGGTTACCATGAAGTAGGCTTATAATCCTTAAAGAATAAACCAAATTCATGATTATTATTATTGATACCATCAAATATTGGAGCCAAAACTCTAGCAGCTCCATCAATTTCATCCAATGGTGGTTGGAATTCTACTCCATTTGTAAATTGTTTAATCTTTATATCATATGGCTAAAAAAAAAATTAAAAAAGAAAAAAAGAGTATTAATAAATATTTACTTTTTCTATTATTATTATTTTTTGTTTTTGATTTGTACATTTTCATTTGTAATCCAACCAGTATCAACAGAATTTAAATAGATACCAGAATTTGCGTATCCAAGAGCAGCAGTACGAGTCATCATATTCATTGATGCCTTTGCCATATTGGTATGTGGATGATTACTCGATTTATAGAATCTTGTAAATTTGCCCTCCATGGCCGATACATTGATGATATGGGCCGACTTTAATTTCTGTACACCCTTTTTCAACATTGGTGCAAGTAGAGAATTTAGGATAAATGGTGAGAATGAAGATACTGCATGTGCTTCCAACATGTCAATCGTTGGTACTTGATCCAATTTTTGTATCCAAGAATTGACTGATCTTTTATCTTCTGGTTGTGCATCTCCATCCATTTCTTCAAATACAATTAAATCATCATTTTTCACATTAACCATAGTTGTATTATCAATTTGATCGCTTGTTAATTGTAATTGATTTCTAAATCCAATATTATTATTATTATTTAGGTTATAATAATTTGTATTAATTCCTTGATTTTTAAATAATAATTCTTTTTTTACATTTCCATCTAAAATTGATTGAATATCTTTTGGTAGATGATTGATTGGTTCAAGTTCCAATTCAATTGGAATTTTATAGAATAGTGAAGGTCTTGAAATGGTTTGAGCAGCATTATTAATGATACCAGATAGATAGGGATAATTTGATTTAAGGAATTGACAAAATGCTTCGGTAGCACGTAAGTCACGTAAATCCAATGAATATACATGTAGTCTATCTTTCCAATCATTGAAATCCTTTTCCATAGAGTAACGAATAACAGTGTCTTTGGAGAATCTACTAGTTGCCAAAACAGTTGCACCAGCACGCAGTAATTTAAGACATGCAATATATCCAATCTTTACTCTTGCACCAGTTACCAACATGATACGATCTTTCATATCGGCCGTAACCATTCTATAACCATAGTTGAAATTGGCACATTTCCAACACAACAATTCATAAAAGAAATGAATCTCTCCATATTTTTTTCTACACATATGACATTGAAATCTAGAACCTTCTCCATCATTTTTCTTGGTTGAGGGTTCATCAACTATTTCTTCAATTGATGGTTCTGGTAACTTTTCTTCTTCTTCCTCTTGTATTTCATTTATAGTTTCCTTTTCTTTTTCATCAAGTTGAGATGAAGAAGTAATAGAAGGAATATCATATTTGAAAAAGGAAGCAACCTTTTTAGTATATTCTTTTGCAAATGTTGATTTTGATTTTCTGAGTGAACGAATACCAGTACTTTTAATCTCATTGATAAGAGCAAGTCTATTTTTCTCCTTCTTTTCCATCGATGCTGAACGATTACCACGTACCACAGATATATAATCACGATAATTTCTAGTTTGTTTGAGAGCATCTTTTGAATAAGTTGCAATTTTTTTCAAACTATCAATTGCTCTTGTCAAATCTTCTTCAATCTCTTTTCTTTTATCATCATTTAAAACAACCATTGGTTTATATTCTTGTTTTTCCTTTAAAACCATTGACTCTTGATCTTGTTGTTGTTGTTGTTCTCTTTTTGTTACTAATCTATCAATGATTTCTTCAAATTCTTTTTCATCATCATCAGAATCAGTAGAAGAAGAATGATCAGAATCATCATCATCTTGATTGGTTTGTTTTAATCCATTGGTTCTTTTTCTTTCTTGATCCAATAGTTTTGTCAGTTCAACCAATTGTTGTTGTAAACAATGATTCTCTAATTTACTTGAAAATAGTTGCTAAAAAGTAGAATAGAGTTAGGGAATGAGTTTGATAAACATAACAAATATGATAGATATAATATACATACACTTTCAATTGTTCTATTATCATTATGATTATCGTTATCATCATCATCGGTCGGTGAAATAGATCTATTATTGACCAGTGTTTGACTTTCATCTAATATATCTTCATCATCAAAGTCAAATGTGAATTTACTCTTACTTGCTCCTCCAATACCCAAGTCATCATGATCTCCAAATGGATCCATGATCAACTCTAAAGAAGAATCTATATTTATCTCTTATAAGAGGGGGAATACAAATAACATTTTAAAATCAAAAGTTTAAAGACATCATCGTCAAGCGAACGTTGAGAAACAAAAAAGAAAAATAGAATATAATTTAATATTTAATTTTTTATTATTATTATTATTTCCATCTATCCATCCAAGGACCTTCAATAATACTATATTTAAATATATCTTCTTCTTTATCCTTTTTATCATTTTTTTTTAAAGATGTCATTAAAATATCATTATGACCACTCCAATGATTATAATCTATAGGTATAGATCTTTGTTGATCAGATCTTAGTTTCATTTTAATTTCTTGTTTTGATTCAATTGAATCTATTGGATAGAAACCAGATGGATCAGTTGTCTTTTGATATCTAATATCTATAGTCCAACGTACACTATTACTTATATTGGTTGTACTAGAATGAGGTATTTTGTTGTTAAAAAATAATGCTGATCCTCTTTTCATTCCACTTGCATTAACTATAGTTGTATTGTCAACATTTAGATGAGATTCTGGTATTTCGAGATACCAAGATTCATTTAATTGTTGATCTCCACTGCGATGTATTTTTTGTAATTTGTGAGGTAATAATTTAGGATCTTTACAAGGTATTAATTCAACTGGTCCATTACAATCGTTAATATCAACCAGAGGAATCCAAACTGTTATTTGATCAAATGCGTCTGCACCCTCTGCAAGATAGGCAGCATCTTGATGCCAAGGAACTTCAAAACTTCTATTATTTGGTATCTTTACTCTAACATTCCATTCTGGGTGTCCAGATATATTACCATCTGCCAATAATTGTTGAATGATATCTAGTGTTGCTTCACTCTGCATAATATCACCAATCGATTTAACCAATCTACCAGCAAACATTGAATGTAACATTATCGATGCTCCTTTGTATTGATTTTCTATATTTATGATTCTTTCATCCAAAGTTGTAGATGTATTGGTTGTACAACTATTGATTTTATTATGTTTGAAAAGACTTGATTCAAGATGATCTAATTTAACTTTAATATCTTTAAATACATTATCTATTTGTTCTAAACTAATTAATCCATCTACTATTAAATAACCATTTTCATTAAATTGTTTAAATTGTTTTGTTGATAATAAATATTGTTGTTGTATGGTAGTAGAAGTAGAAATAGTAGTAGTATCTGTCATTATTATGATTATTTATTAAAAATTAAATTAAACTTTGAATCATGAACATCACATAGAGATAGACCCTTTTTCACAGTTCATTTTTAAAAAAAAGAATGAAAATAATATTAAATATAGAAGTATTATTAAAAGATGAATCAAATATACAATATAATAGAATAAAGTCTATTATTGAATCAGCACCAGATCTATTATTTACAAGAATATTAAAATATCAACAAGATCAACAACAACAACAACAATCATTACATCATGATGAATTTAAAATGATACTTGATTCAAATGTATTTAATGATCAATTATCAAAAGATGTAAAAGAGATTAAAGTATTCACCTCTAGTAGTAATAGTCTAATTGATTATAAAGGTGGATTGGAAACTATAGAGGTAAAGAAACTTGTTCATATTTATAAACTATCAAATGAAGAATCAGTTGAAGAAGATGGTGATACTGAAGAAGAAGCATCTCCCTATCAAATATTAGTTCTACCAAATATTCAATTAAATACTTTATGGGAAAAGTAAGTAAGACATAGATATAATTGATCAATTTTCTAATCTCTTCTCTCTCTCTCTCTTTCTCTTTCTTTTTGTAGTTTAATTTATGATGATGGAATTAAACAAAAGATATTAAATTATATGTCAACATTGGTATTATTTTCAAAATCAAATATTGATGATAATATTATATCACATAATCGAATCATTTTATTAAATGGTCCACCTGGAACTGGAAAGACAAGTCTATGTAAAGCTTTGGCTCAAAAATTATCAATTCAATATAATCATCTTTTTCAACAATCAATACTTTTTGAAATTAATTCTCATAGTTTATTTAGTAAAGTAAGTAAAAAAAACAAAAAATATAAATATATATATATATATATTAAACCTTTTTTTTTTTATATTTTTCAAAGTGGTTTTCAGAAAGTGGAAAATTAGTAATGAAAGTATTTGAAAAGATTAGAGAACAAGCAGAGGATAAAGATACATTGGTTGTTGTATTGATTGATGAAGTGGAGAGTTTAACTGCAGCTAGAAAGTCTGCTTTATCAGGATCTGAACCATCAGATTCTATTAGAGTGGTCAATGCATTTTTGACACAATTGGATCGATTAAAATCATTTCCAAATATTTTAATCCTAACAACTTCAAATTTAATGGGTGCTGTTGATGTTGCATTTATAGACAGAGTTGATATTAAACAATTTATTGGACCACCTAAAGAATTTGCTAGATTTATTATCATCAAATCTTGTATTGATGAATTAATTAAAAAGAATTTAATCAAACAAGATTCAAACAATGTAGATCAATCAAAGATGATGATTAAATTATCAAATTTATCTCAAGGTACAAGTGGACGTTCACTTAGAAAACTTGCTTTTCTTGCTTTTTCAAAAACTATACAGGATCAATCAATTTGTCATTTAGATCCCTTTCTCAATTCCTATGAAAATGTAATTTTAGAAGAAATTGAAATGAATAAATCAATTGAAATGAATTAATCAATTGAAATGAATTAATCAAATCTTCTTTGATTTATTTTTTAGATTTTAAATATCTTTATAATTAAAATTTTTTTCATTTTTAATTTCTTGATCTTGTTTACCCAGAATAGTTGTATAATTTGTTTGATTGATAAGATATTTTTCAGCAACTTGTTCCAATTGTTGTTTATCAATGTTGAATAGACGATCACGACGTTGTTGTTTCATTTCGTGAGTGATACCTCTACTCCATTCACCTAGACCCTTGGAAGAGGGTGATTCTGGAGCATCGAAAGCGGAAAAGATTGATAGTTGGGCGTTTTCGATATTTTCAGTGGTGATCTTGTCAGAGACTGACCATTGAATGGATTGTCCAAAAGCGTCGATGGTACGTTGAAGGTTTGGATCACGATAAGAGTAAAAACCAATGACACCGCTGTCATAGGATACACCTCCACCATAGGCACCTCCTTTTTCTCTAATTTCCTTGTGAAGGTATTCACCAAGTACCTTGCTTAGTACTTGTAATCTTGCAGAATCTTGATGAGTATAAGCAACACCTTGATATGCCTTTGAAATATAATTGACTGCACTTGGTATACCAAAATATTTTGGTATGGCATTTTGAGCAACAATACTATCAAATTGATTGGTATTTGTTTTCATTGTATTACGCGATTGGAAATGACCGAGGAAATGAGATAATTTTTCAGTTGCCAATGGTATAGTATCCTTTTCAGTTGTAATACAACTACGCATTAATGAACGATCGGTAATAAACTGGTTAATTGCTAAAAGTTTTTCGATTAATCCTTGATAGTCATGGGAAGAGACCAATTGATTAACCAATGCAACATGAGATAAACCACTCCATTGTTCAGAAAGATGAGTTGCACGTGTAAAATTGGAAGCACTAGTCAGACTAGCATAAGATAAACCAGATGATGGAATATTTTCAACAATTGAAGATTGAATTTGACCCATTAAAATCTTGATTAGATCTGGATTCTCCCAATGATTATCCAATAGAATCATATTCCACAAGTCAAACATTTTTTCAATATTTTTGTTTAAACATGCACTACGAATATATAAACTTTCTCCAACCACATTTAAATCAAATGGACTAGTTGATATCATTGGTGATGATCCAAATCTACCTGTATATAAATTCATCTCTGTATCTAATTGCTTATCATCAAATTTTCCTGCTCCCATTGATGTCATTAACTAAAATTAAAAAAAAAAAAGAAAATTAATAATTATTATTTTATGTTATTTGTTCTATTTTAGCTTACATTAGAGTAGAATGGTAAATAAATTTTAAGATTATCAGGCATTGTTGAAATATCAATGATTGATCTAAAATATGTGATACCATTTGTTGGAAGATCCAATAGACGTAATGGTGTATCTCTAACAAATTGATCAATAAATGGAATCTTTTCTTGTTTTTTTTCAATATCTGAAATTAAGATTCTAGGTAGACATGAAACATCTTGAGCAAGATTTTGACGTGATTGTAAATCTAAAGCTTGTTCTACAATCTTTTTCTTTTCCTCGATCGATAATTTTGAATTGATTTTGGCTAATTTTTCAATTTCATCTTGTTTTTCTTTTTGTTGTAGAGAATCATCAGAGACCATTGTTAAATTTAGACGATGGGGATTATCTAAAATTTCACGAATCTTTTGTTGAAGAATTGGTTTCTTTTCAATCAATACTTGTTGACGGAAACGTTCAACGTATTGATTAAGATGAAGACGTTCAACAGGATCTAAATTGTGAACGAGTAGGGAATGAACGACACCAGCCAACTTTATACCAAATGAAGCGCTAACATCCTTTTGAGAGTATTCATATTGATGAAGTACAGATTCAATATTCTTTTCATCAAATCCTTCTTTTTCAACTTTGGCCATTGTCTCTAGTATGGTTTCTTGAACTTTTGCAACATCTTGTTCACGAATACCAACACCACCAACTGAAAATGCACTTTCAAATAAACCTTCTTCAAATCCTGTTCCTGGTGTATAATCCAATGCCAATCCAGATTGTAATAATGATTGATACATTGGTGTACTTGTACCTCTAAGTAATAATGTACTAAGGATATTTAATACCAATGATTCATAAATATCTGAATTATTATTATGTAATACTGATAAACTAAATTTATATTTTCTATCAGTTTCCACTAAAGAGAAAATAAAAGAAAATTAATATTAATCTTTTCTTTTTGTTTTTTTTCTTTTTTTTCTTACTAGTTGAAGGAGGACAAGTAGTTTTAATTGATTTTGGTTCAGACCAACGTTTAACATTTGTAATAGCAGTACTACTAACATCAGTACGATCGAATTGATAGAGAACATTTTCTTGAATATATTTTAGATGATTTTCAAGAGGTAAATCACCATAGGTAAAGAAATGAGAATTGGAAGGATGATAATGTTTTTGATGGAAATCTTTTAATTGCTCGTAGGAGAGTGTTGGGATATCCTTTGGTTCACCACCTGAATTGTGAGAATAGGTGGTACCGGGGTACAAGAGTTGTTGTTGAATTTCGGCAAAGTAGGATGATGGGTCAGAGAGTGCTCCCTTCATTTCGTTGAATACAATTCCCTTGTATTGTAGTGGTGTTGATGGATCGTCGTTTTTTTCAAACTCTAGACGATGTCCTTCTTGGCGGAAATCGTGTTCGGCAAGATTGGGGAAAAAGGTTGCATCGAGATAGACTCCGAGCAAGTTGTAATAGTCTGTCTCGTCTTGTGTACCAAATGGGTAGGATGTGTGGTCTGGTGCAGTCCATGCATTCATATAAGTGTTGAGTGAACGTTTGAGCATGTTAAAGAATGGGTCACGAACTGGATACTTTTTAGATCCACACAGTGTAGTGTGCTCGAGAATGTGAGCGACACCAGTCGAATCCATCGGTGTCGTTCTAAAAGTCACTGAAAAGATATTATTCTTGTCTTCACAATCAATGTGCAAGTGTTTGGCTCCTGTCTTTTCATGTTCCAATGTATAGGTTCTAAATTGTCGCTCTGGTACATCTCTAACCTCTAAAACAACATATCCATGTAATCTATCACCTTTTTTTAATTCATTTCTTTCTCTTTCTACATAAAAACAAATATATAGAGGTTAAATTTGATTAGAATGAATGGATGATATGTATACATTATAATTTCAAGGTACCTTTTCCTCTTGATCTTGTTGTTGATGATGGTTTTGTTATTGGTTCAGATGATCTAGTGATTGATGTATTACTAAATTGACGACAATACTGATTATTACTATTATTATTCTTTGGTACATTATAATAGCACTTGTTACTACTACTATCATTGTTGTTGTTGTTGTTGTAAGAGGTTAAACAACCTGAAACCAAATTTGAAGAGGTTGATCTCAATCGGTTGACATTTGCAACACGATTTAAAACAGATCTACCTACTGCTGCAGATAACATTGCTATAGAAATATTTGTATTACAAATAAGAAAAAGTTTAAATCTTTAAGATTAATTGTTGAAAAACGATGATCGACTAACAAAGTTTTTCTACTTTTTTTTAATGTTATTTTGCTATCCATTTTACTTGATTGGTTGTTTTCTTGTATGAGGATTTGATGGAAATGAATGAAACCTAGCTCAATCGATAGGGAATGAAGAGGAGAACGTGATTTGAGCCCTGCCGCAAAAAAAAAAAGTTAAATAGGGCAAAAAGAGTGCACCAACCGAGAATCGAACTCGGATCGAATCCGTGGCAGGGATCCATTCTACCATTGAACCATTGGTGCTTATTGAAGGATTTTTGGTGTCTTTGTTTTTTGACCTCAAAAATTTTGGCCTCGTTTTTATCAACCACCTGATGGCGACCAACCGCAATAGAAACGAGCAATTACACCACACCACATGCACCGAACTAAGTAATCTCCTTGTTGACTGCTCGAGAGGCACCCGTGAGATTAGCACCACGCGAGTACGGGCCCAACCAACCAGCGATCCGTTACACAACAGATCAACCAATCAATTAATCAATTCCCCAATCAATCGATCAATCAATCAACCAACCAATCAATTTTGACTACAATGAGAGAGGAGAGGTTGTGTGGGATTTCTTTTTAAATTCTGTCATATAAAAACTGAAGCCGCAGTCGTACTTATAATAACAATTAAAAAATGCAAAAGTGGTTTTGTTCTGGAGTAAGATTTGATATTTTTATTTTTGATCATGTATCTTTTTTGTTTGTGATCAAGCATGTTGGATTGTTTTGGATTGTTGCTTGTTCTAAAAGTAAATTAAATGATATTGCTATTTTTTTTTTTTTTTTCTCTTTGCCAAAGGCAGTAATATTGTGTTGATTATTCAATTTTGTTATTATTATTTAGTTGATTATTATATTATTAATATTATTATTGATAGATGAAGAGAGAATAGAAGAAGATGAAGGTGTTGAGGAGGATGAGAAGAAAGAGGTTGAGGTGATCGATTATAGATGTAGTGTACGCAGAGTCATGTACCTCTCCAAATGACTAGGTAGTGCGATCTTGTAGACAGTAGGATGGTTGTAGTCGGAGGAGAATCGAAGGATGATAGTTTGAATTCGTTCTGTAATCGTATGTATTGCTGACTCGTCGGTTTGGTTCATTAGAGCCAAGTGCCATCGATTACATAATTCAAACGTCTTGTCCCAGTTTACTTTGATAATATGTCGCATATCATTTAGCAGTCTAGCTCGCAGGTATTGTTCAGTGAATGGTTCATCTCTTTGGTGACGTAGATCATTACGTCGGAACCATATTCGTTCGAATATTGAAGCGACCATGTTTGTAGTCATTGGAGTTTGTTGAGGTTGAGGAGGGTGATGTCCCAAACTGGTGGTGTAATGTTGTTGGCAGCAGTAACCTCTTTCAGTATCTTCACTGGCAGCGTGGTCTCCTTGCATTGGAAGAACAAGTGCTTGGAGGATTCATCTTTACCACACGACACACAGATGGAGACATTTGGTTACGTATTTCCAAACCAGATCTCGACCCTTTGGTAACACGATGGTAGATAGAGCAGCTAGTGCGTTCATTAGATACACTCTGTCATCGGTTGCTAAGATCTTTTGGCCTGGGGTCGGGTCGTACACATTCCACTTTTCGTTGGCTATGGTCAGCCTTTGGAGGTACACTTGCTTGAGAGGTACTCTTCCTCTTTTGTCTGGTTCCATTGCTGGCTTGGGAACAGCCTCTCTGCTGACGTCGTAGGGTTGGGTGAGCTTCTCCCACTGGCTGCGGCAGAGACGGACAAAGTCGTTTGGTTTGTCTTGGATGAGTTGGTCCATCCATGATTGGGCAAATGAAACCTTTGCAACTCGATTGTTCTTTACCTCGTGGTGATTACCTCGTGACTAAGTGATTCAAGGTACATAAAATAATTTAATTGTGACAAACCATATGTTTTGAGCAAAGATAATTTACCTCTATAGTTATTGTTGTGTTTAGGTTTCCATCTAATCAAATCGTTCTTGTCAATACGCTCTGGAAGGTGTGGTACCAAACCAAACTGGTTAAAGTAATAGCCGGGTATCGTTCTTTGCTTTCCTTGTCCATCAGTGGGTACGGTAAATTGGTTGGACTGCCAGGTGACATGATCACACATTTGTCAGTGTTGACTTTGGATGATGTAGCTTTACAGAATAGCTGAATCCATTCGTCCATTAGTTTAAATTCTTGGATGTTTTTGGCAGACATAGACAGCTGGGACGAATTGGCTTCACATAATCGAATTGGCTTCGCGCAACGAGTAAAAATGGGCCAAAGAACCGAAAAACAGCATGTAATCATTTGACGCTTGCTTTTAGAAGCATGATCGCTACTACGAATTGGCTTCACATAATCTAATTGGCTTCGCGCGACGAGTATAAAAGGGACAATGATCATAAAAATAGTATCAAACATAATGCAAGGTTATGTAAGTGGTCAAAGCAGTGTGACTCAAGTTCTCATCCTCCGGGTTCGTGGGTTCGACTCCCACATCTTGCATACTTTTTTTGCATACTTTTTTTGCATACTTTTTTTGCATACTTTTTTTGCAGGAGGTGGCGGGAGGAGCAAAAAAACCTTTTTTTCCTGTTATCCTGCCCGTTCCTATCCGTTCCTACTCTATTTTCCTCTCCAAGCCCTAGTCCTCATCCACAAAATAAAACGTATCCTGCTGTATTTTGCAGAGTCCTGCTGTTTCTTGCTCTATTTTGTTGTGTCCTGCTGATTTTTGCTTCTCCTGGCGTCTCCTGCTGTTTTTTATATGTCTCCTGCCCTCTCATGTCCTCTATTTTACTTGCCACTATTATTTTACACTGCTATTGTGACATTCTTTTAATTTTTTTGGCTTTTTACAATTATTTATTTATTTATTTATTTATTTTTTATCTTTTAAGAATTTGATGAATAATATTATTTGAAAAAGAATAGATGGTTTTGTGATAAAGTAAATTGATTGTTTGGGATCCAAACACATCAAGCCATATCGTTTGTTCCCTTCTCCTGGGTATACAAATGGGTTTGAGCACTTTTTCACAAAGTTGGTTCGATCAAGATCGCTGTTGAATCGCAAAAGCAAGTTGGTCTTTGTGAATGTATTATCGTGTGGTTCATATACTAGCAGTATTTCAAATGGAATAGAAAGAGGGTCAAATAATCCTTTAAAATCCCTAAGCCTGTTTTCTATCTTGAAATTGGTGAACTTGAATGATTTGATAATAAGTATTATCTTGAATTGGTAAAAGAGTTGATTCAATTAAAAGAGGAAGAGGAAGAGGATGGGGAGGAGGATGAGGATGAAGAGGAGGAGGATGAGGATGAGGATGAGGATGAGGATGAGGAGTGGTTGAATGGGTTGTATCTGTATTACCATTGGTTGTTGGAAAAGTTTCAATGACTTCAAAGGATGAGATGCTATTATTATTATTATTATTATTATTATTATTATTATTCTGAAAGAGATCATTTGTTGATTCAAAGGAGCATCAGAACCAAAAACTTGAACAAAGTCTGTATTGTTGGAAGAAGGATTGATGACTGTCAAGAGTTGTTGCAATTCATTTTGATATATTTCCGATTTGTGTTGGAGATTTGCCGTAAGCGTTTCATCTACATTTTTTGTTGGTATATAACCACCATCAGTCTTGGATCATTTGATCACACAATTTAATTCAAGTGATTCTATTGCATGTGAGTCCCGTTTCAATTGTCTTTACAAAAGGCAATGTGGCTTGAATTGGAATAATTGCCATATTGACATTTTCTTGATCCACAGCCATTTGTACAATATATACTATAATTACTAATAATTAAAAAAGGTAAATAAATAAATAAATAAATAAATAAATAAATAAATAATAAATAAATGTTTGTTTTTTACATACTTGCGATATGATGATTTAACTTTTTCAAAAACCATTGAATTATTATTACCGTTGATAGTCTCACCATGATTAGCGATTGATTGATCAATAGCAACCAAGATTTTTTCATATACTTGGTCACTTTGAAAATGGGAGTTTTGATAACCAACTTGAGCAAGTGCTCTGAGTGATTTTGAATTGCCACCTAGAGAATGTTTGAGAGATTGGTAATTCAAAAGATAGGATTTCTTGAATGCCATATTGGAACGAAATTGTTGACTTTTTAAACAACCCCCAAGAATGGTTGAAAGGTTTTGATCCGTAACCATGGTAGGAAACAATAAAGGAGTTGATTTGGTTTTTTCCACATCAAAATCCTCCAACAGACAAGAGACCATTTTTGAATAATGAGGTATAGTTGCAGGAAAGATTCTTCAAATTCTTTTTTTGAAATCATTTCATTTCGACCAAATTGATTCATTAAATATAAATTCTCTATTTAAAAAATAAAAATAAAAATTAATAAATATAAATATTTTTCTTTCTTTTTTTTTTTTTACCACAATTCCACAACCTTGTTGAATCAAATGTGCCATATCTTCAACCAAAAGTCTTTTATAGTTTTTGTCATCACCGGGTGGTTTGGCATGAGCATTTATATACACCAGTTTCATATGAATGTGAATAAGACGATCAAAACTATTTAAAAATTCGTCCAAAACTTGATTCCATGTTGCAGTTGATTTGGTTTTTCCAATAGTAGAAAACTTTTTGGTTGCATAATCCATAATGATCGGGGACGATATCTGTAATCGTTCCAATTGTGGATTTTCTACAATCAATCGAATCTGGTTTTCTTCAAAAACCTTATTCAAAATACCACGCTTATTTAAAACAGAGACATCTGAACAATCTTGCATCCATTTGAATTGAGCATCATTTTTCTCCAAATGTTTTTTCAGTATATTAATATCGTCATTATAGATTCTGAGCCATCTACTTGTCTCTGGCCATCGTATGTGATATATAAAACTTTTGTTGCTTGTGTTTCACCATTTAATCTTTTGATTACCATTTCCAATATTGAGTAGAACCATACCACAACAGATTCTTGTTCAAATTGTAATAATGTATTGTTGTGGTTGAGAAATTCTTTGACTTGCTTGTGAATAGCTTGAGAGTCTTGAAAGTATACAAATAAAACCAATACATTAGAATTTGAATATCCACTTGGTGTGAAGTTTTGTCATTCTTTAAAAATGGATGATAACCAAGAAAAGAGTAAACTTTTTCACAGTGATAATTGAATTGTTTACCCATGCCACTCTTTGTTGATAATTCTTGTATTTGTTTAATTAGAACCCCAAGTAATGAATTTTCTTGTTGTTGGATATCATCTTTAACAATTAAAACTTTGATTTCATTATAAAATAAAAACAATCCATATTGATTATCAGCATATTCAATATATTTTGTTCTGGTTGATAATTGTGGTATTGATAATATAATTGAAACTAATAAAATAAAAGGTTAGGGATTAATTTAAAGATTTTATATATATATATATTCAAAAAGATAATGACTTACGAGTTTTAAAATAATTGGTTTTTTTATCTGATTCTTGAATAGATCTAGTTTCCTTTTCAATTTCTTGAATGATAAATTCTACTAACTGCCCAAATGTTGTTGGTTGCTGCTAGAGAAGAATGATTTCTAGAGCCTACATTGCTAGGTGACTGACCGATTCTATTGTAGCTAGAGTACTTTATTATGAGGGTATCATGACTGAACGATTTTAAAAGATCAATACTTGTTGTAGCATCGTGTTGCTCAAACAAAAAGATCTCATCGATGAGTGATAGTGGCAAAGTGTAAAATAATAATGATTAAGGTAAAGTAAAATAGAGGTCATTTTAAGGATAGAAAGGTAGAGTCATAAAAAACGCAGGGGGTGACAGGAGAAGCAAAAATCAGCAGGACACATCAAAATAGAGCAAGAAACAGCAGGACTCTGCAAAATAGAGTAGGAACGGGCAGGATAACAGGAAAAAAGGATTTTTTTGCTCCCGCCACCTCCTGCAAAAAAGTATGCAAGATGTGGGAGTCGAACCCACGAACCCGGAGGATGAGAACTTGAGTCACACTGCTTTGACCACTTACATAACCTTGCATTATATTTGATACTATTTTTTTGATCATTGTCCCTTTTATACTCGTCGCGCGAAGCCAACTCAGTAGGAGATTGGGTAGCCAGACTGCAACAAGTAACGGGAAGGTAGTGGAGGACCTACTGGGCCGTCGCGATAGAAAGCCATCTGACATCTCAAATACAATATGCAACACGTAAAGACGAGTGTCCACAATGGGGAGTAAATCGGCGCGAGAGTTGAGAGCGGCAGTCGGTCTTGGACGCACCCAAGGCTTAAGGTTTCACCGCAAGTATGGTACTAAAATTAGAAGAAGATGGGTGCCATATTTGCGTCAACACCTTCATCTTCTTCTATTCTCTCTTCATCTATCAATAATAATATTAATAATATAATAATTTACTAAATAATAATAACATAGAATAATTATATAACACAATATTACAGCCTATAGTGCTGAGAAAAAAAAAAAAAAAAAAAAAAAAAGCGATATCTTTAACCAATTTATCTTTAGAACAAGTAACAACCCAAAACAATCCAACATGCTTGACACTATACAATAAGATACATGATCAACGTCCATATAACATGTATCATAGACATGGACAACCCCCAGAACAAATTAACTTTAATTCTTCTCGAGATAATCTTTATTTCTTGCTTGGTCAATTAAAATGTATAATTAATAAAACTTTGTAACTTCTGAGTACTACTCTTCCCGATAGGAGAGAACAGGAAAAGAATTACTTTAAAAAAAAAAAAGTCTCGCGAAGCCAATTCGATTATGTGAAGCCAATTCGTAGTAGCGATCATGCTTCTAAAAGCAAGCGTCAAATGCACGACATCAAGAGACACCCTCTTTCGTTTCTTTGCCAGAATAATGAAACGTACCCCAGCTGACACCAATACAATATGCTACGCATGCCACACTGTATTCGATGGGGATACCACTATCTAACAATTACTCCGAATTAAACAACAATAATAATTAAATCATTAATTTAAAAATAAACTATATGACTTCAGAGGTGATGAAGAGGTCAAAGATTTTATTAAAAAAAAAAAAAAAAATAAAAGCATGGCACCACCACCTCAACACCATCTATCACTCAACAATATCACCTGATGAAAACGAAGATAAGATGGTCATTGCAAGATTCAAAGGTACAATCTAAGTCGAACACGCCAAACTGGTTAACCAAACCACAACAGCCATCGCCAACAGCCTCCTGACGAAATAATCAAGACCCAAACACATGCCAGACATTCCTTCGCCAGGTTCGCAGTTATGGCTAATTGTTGGTGGTGATATTTGGGAGAGGGAGGGGTGTGGCGTGGCGAGTTTCCCCCATACTTTATACTAGTCACGCGAAGCCAATTACGTTATATGCTGTTTTATGGCCCTTTTATACTAGTGGAGCGAAGCCAATTCCCAAAAACATTTAAGATAGTGTTCAATTTATTACGTTATATGCAGTTTTGAAGTTTTTGGTCCCTTTTATACTAGTGGAGCGAAGCCAATTCCCAAAAACATTTAAAATAGTGTTCAATTTATTCATAATTTATTAAATATCAACAAGTAGATGAGCTTTTTTACTTGTTAAAAAAGAATGAGCAGCAGAATATCCAGTCTGATGGCAATGTTGAATGTGATTCTTGACAAAAGGATCATCAAATACGACGGGATAGTTTTCATAGACAAACTCTAGAATCGCGACCCAACCATTTTTGATGGGGTAATACAAACAATGGTTTGATGGCAATCCATTGACATATCGTTGCTCGATCTGATAAATTCTCGGTGGCTGCATATATTCAACAGGGAGTTGCTCGATTTGGTCTGGAGGAGGCACACCACAAAACAATAATCGTGGTGCAACACCCTCTTGTTGGCAATAAGAATGATAGAGATATTTTGCAATTGCCAAGTGACCACCAGCGAGTGCCAAAGCAAATGCATTGCATTTGTTTAGTTGTATGGCAACCAATACATCCTCATTACTTTGTATACCCAATGCCGTCCATTGATAATGTTTTTTGATTGTATAAGCTATTGAATTACGTTTACGTACAATTTCTGTATATTCATTTCTAAGTTTTAATAATTGATTATTATTAGTAGTAGTAGATAAAGGAGATTGAACGTTTTCTTGAAGAGTTTGTTGTTGTTGTAATGGTTGTAATTGTAGTGGTTGTAATTGTAGTGGTTGTAATTGTAGTGGTTGTAATTGAAGAGTTTGTTGTTGTTGTTGTTGTTGTAATTGTTGTTGTAACTGAAGAATTTGATGTTGTTGTAATGATTGTTGTTGTAAATAATTAAATGGTTGAAATTGATAACTTTGCTGTTGTTGTTGTTGTTGTAAACTTTCAAGTTGTTTTAATTGTTTCCACATTATTGTTTGTTTATCCAATATTTCCTTTTCCATGATCTTTGTTTTTTGTAATTGATCGACCGACAAGATATAGTTTGTCATCTGATTAGTATAGTTTTGTTTTTGAATCAAATTTTTTGGTTTGAATAGTATGACCATTGAATGATGACCATTTCCAGCGGCAACTCTTAAACATTGATCATGTAGAGAATTGCACAATTCTGGTACTATTTGATAGAGACGTTGATAAATAGAGACATGACCATTTTGAATGGCAGACAATATTTCAGTACTATCAAATAGAGTAGAGATCTTTGGTAATGACGGGTTTGATTGAAAGATTTGTACAAGATAATTAAATATACCCAAATTACCACAAACTATGGCAGCACTCATCACTTTGCGTGTAATGAGTGATGTACCAAATCGATCTACAATATAGGTGATAATGGGTGTATGACACCTTTCAACTGCCAATTCAAGAGCAGACGATGTTAATTGACCACATCCAACTAGGTCGATAAAATATAAAAACATATCTAGGTTGCCTGATTGTGCAACAATGGTCAATACTTGGTTTGGTGGTGGGTGAACATTTGGTTGATCGAGAATGATCTTGACAATGTTAAAAAGACCCTTTTTAATTAATAGTGGGAGTGATTTGTTTGTTATAGGACAACCACGATTGATTAGCCACTCTACCACATGTATATGACCATTGATTGCTGCACCATCAAAGATTTCGGCGGAAAATGTTATACCATTTACATTTTCATGAATCCATTTGCAAACATTTAAATGACCATAGGTAGCTGCCTTGTTCATTACCAGTTCCGAGTAGGGAGCACATTGTTGATGAATAAACTTTACAAGCTCTAAATTTCCAGATTGTGCTGCCAATTCAAATGTTTTGCTTGTAAACAACAAGTGATTTGGTTCTTTAGCAATGTATGATATAATATCGAGATGACCAAATTGAGCTGCAAATTCAATAGCACGAGCCGTTGGAACTGTTTGATATGTCTCTACGATATATTTAAACAATTCCAAATTGCCAACTTGTGCAACCAAATTGATTTGATCACCAACTCTCTGATCATGATGATTTCCTTGACCACATAAATAAACTACAGTATCCAAATGACCACCTGCACAAGCAGAAAGGATACCAGTATTGATATCATAGTTGTTGTTGTTGTTGTTAGTGTAAAGTTTGTGAAACTCTAATACGTTAGTATGCCCACCACCAGCAGCCAATAACCAACTATTAAAACTACAAAATTGCCAAATAGGATGGTGGTTTCGTAGGTACTCTAAAACTTTTAAATGACCATTTCGACAAGCATTTTCAATTGCCGCAACAGTACATTGTTCTTGACGATTCTTGTATAGATAGTCAATCATTTCGACATGACCATTGAGAGCCGCACCATCGATTGCCTGTGTTGAACAGACTATTGTATCTTTGTACCGATGTTCTAGATATTTAAATATATCTAGACGACCCGACGCTGCTACATTGTCCAATACGTTTGGACCTGGACAAAAGTCTGGTGACCATGCAATCAAATGCTCCAACGTTGCAAGAGTTGCATTTGGATGAGAGCAATACCGACCAATTGCAGTGGATCGTTTAGTCGAGTCAATCAATTGACATTGACTAGGTAGATAATGTTTGATGAAATCCCAAGGCAATGCAAATGAACCAATTGAACCAAGCGTACAATTTGGAATACCTCTACTAGAGACTTCTTCTTTATAAAAAGGGTAATGATACGACCAAGCAGACCAACCATCAATTGATGGATGTAAATCGTTAAATACATTCAAACAAAGAGATCGAGTTAATCTAATCAAATCTGATCCTTTGATATAAACTTTTGTCTTTACTAGTCTTGCTGAGCGTTCAATTGATGACGATAATGTCAAGTTGTTTATAAAACGCAAATCATTCACTCCCAATTCTTTTATACATTTTAATATCTTTTCTCTTATTGTCAATATTCTAAATATTTGTATAATCGAAGTATTATTATTCATTTTTTCTTTTAAAAATATAATGAAAAAAAAAAAAAGATTTTATCTCTCTGTCGATCATAGAGTTCCTCGAAATTCTATATTTTGGAGGGAAAAAAGTTAACTTAATATTTTTTAAAACATGTTCTTGTTCAAGACATTTCATTATCATTTTTAATAACTTGTTATATATTTATATCATTTAAAAGATAGAGAGAGAGAGAGAGAGAGAGAGAATGTCTGTACTTCAAAACAATAATAATAACGGTGACATGTCAGACCAATCAAACAATGCAGCTGTACATACAATACCTGCAAACCAACTAGCTCATATTCACGCCACTATATGTCAACTTCACAATACACCAGTTGAATTTTATACACTTGGAACTTCAAACAAACCAGGATTTGTACTTAATCCACATAGTCAAACTAAAAAACTTGCTTCAAATGTAAGTTACAAATATTTAAACATTAAAAGTTTCTCTAAACTTTTTTTTCTTTCTTTCTTTTTCTTTCTTTAGGCAATTATTGTTGGATTCCCATCTCATGTTAGTAAAACTCAACAAGTAATTACACAAGACGCCAGTGGCAATCAGGTACCATCAGACAAACAAAAAATCAATATAGTTTTACGTGATGCTACTGGTTATTGTAATCTTACCTATACATTTGAAGGAGGTGAACCACCAATTTTGTAGGTATTCAAATCAAAATATAAATATTTATAATATTTATTAATTTTCTCTCTTTATTTTAGTGAAATTGAGAAATATTATAATTTTTTGATTGTACCAAGTAGTCAATCATTTGACGCATTAGAACCAAAGAGATATTTTGTTACATCGTTTAGACCAATTGAAGATTTTAATGAAATTACCCATCACAATCTATTGGCCATGAAATCAGCTTGGGCCTATGATCCAGATACTATTAGAGCTTGTCAACTTGCCATCGTCACCATTGCCAAGATTGTCGATCCATCAGTCCAACAATTGACCTACAACATGTTACCAAAAACATACCAACAATCAGATATTGAAAAAGCTTTACAAGTTTTGCTTGAAAGAAATATTGTCATTCAATCAATGTCTAATGGTCAATCTATTCTTTCTTTAAAACCTCAAGATCAAAATTAATAAAAAAATAAAATAGAATCTTTATATTTTTATTTAATCACGACTATTATCACTTTCATCAGAATAATCATTATCATCATGTCTTGATTGTTTGTTGAGTGATAATGATTTTTCCCAATTTTGATTTTGAATGACATCTGGATTTGGAATGATATCGTAACTTGCCAATAATAATTCCAAATCTTCTTTTACATATTTTCCTTCCAATTCCTCAGTGACTGGAATAAAAGATACCAACAATTGGCCACCGATATATACAAGAAGTGTTGGTAATGCTTCATCATGATATCCAACTTTGGCTTCCGTAGATAAAATCTTTAAAAATTTAATATGTGAATATTTAACAGCCAATTGTGATAATAATTGATTTAATTTAACGCATTCTGGTATATACTAAAATAGTAAAAAAAGAAAAAGTAAATTAATTAATATATTTCTATTTCTATTTCTATTTCTATTTTTTTTTCTTTCTTTACATTTTGAAATAAATGAATTATAACAAAAACATTTGGTGGTACATTATCAACTTCATCAATATATTCAGATTTTGAAATTTGTTTCAAGAATCCATAAACTTGTGGACGTAAATATGATGGTAATGAATCACAACAACTATTATTATTACTATTATTATTATTCTTTTGTTTTTGTTGCTTATTTTTTAATTCATTTAAACGTTGTTGACGAATACGTTGTAGGTCTTCATCATCACTATCTTGTTTATCGTCATCCTTGTCTGTTGGTTTTTGATTCTTATCATCTTTTACAGTGACACACATCTTTTCTAGCATTGCTTTGTTGAGTTGTTGTTTAGAGAGATAGTCTTGTCGTTTTTGGTTTTGATGTTCTGCATAGTCTCCCAATACACCCTTGATACCAGTATTACCTCCTCTTGTTCTATATGCTTGTGGTTTGGCTGTATCCAATTCATCTGGAATTACAAAATCTGCTGGGTCATAATCACTACCATTATCACTCTTTTCTTCATTGTCATTGTTGTCATTGTCCTTTTCATCTCCACTATCTTGATATCTCTTATCATCATTATCTCCAACCTTGTCTAATAACATTGCCAATTCATTTTGAATTGCATTATCTGTATTTATATCATCTGATGACATAATTCTTTAAATATATACGTATATAAAAAATACTATAGGGAATGAAAAAGAAGGAGAAAGGAAGGATCTTTTGTTCTTGTTTGGAAAAAAAAAAAAAAAAACAAATTAATGTTAAAAAGGTTGAATAATCGATTCGGTCGATTCATTCATATGTATAGAGATAGAGAATGAGTGAAAAGATAAAAGGATTATTAAATAGTTTAAAAAAGAATGATGATAAGGATTTAATCATTCAAGAATTAACAAAATCATTAACTGATTCAAAAGATTATTCAACCGAGTAAAGTATAAATAATTATGTACAATAGTATACTTTCTTTTCTCTCTCTCTTTCTAACTTTTTAATCTATTATTATTTTAGTAATCGAAATGAAATTGGTAAAATAATAATACCTATATTAAATGATAGATTAATCAATGATGATGAATATACAAAGGATGAAAAACAACAAAAGATATGTTTACTCACAGTTAGATTATTACGTAATCTATGTGCATTCTCACCTGATAATCAATATCTTGTATTGACTAGTCAACCCGATCTATTAAATTGGTTATATTTACATTTAAAAACATCACCCATACAATCCATTGCTATTGCAATCTCTCAATTACTTGTCAATTCAATCGTTTCAAATCAATCAACTCAATCTTTAATTTGGAATCATTGGTTTAAATCAAATCAATTATTGTAACTATAAAAGAATAGATAATTTGATATAATATATTATACTTACTTTTTTTTTTTAATTTTTTAAAGAGAGATTATAACAATTTCTAAAGAATCAACAATTGGAGGAATATTAATGTTAATATATAATTGTTTATTAAATAATAAGAGTAGAATAGTTGAATTGGTAGATAATCAAGTTGGAATTGAATTGATAAAGAAAATAATTCTATTGGCAGATCAATACAATGATGATGTATCAGATAGTCATAATCAAATATTTCATTGGATTTATTTATTGATTAGATTATTGATACGTGAAAATACTCTACCTACTATATTCAAATCATTTGGTTCTGAAAATTATAAAAATACTACAATCCCTTTAAAAGATATTACTCAACATCCAATATTTAAAGGTGTCCTAAATGATAATTATAACTCTCCTTCAATTCAAGAAATGGATGATGATGAAGAGGATGATGGATTGTTAGAAAAATCATTAGGAGATGGTAGTGGACGTACAAATCAAGATCAAGTTAGATTATTAAATCTATTGGATTCACTATTGGTAAAAGAAAGAAATATTTACAATTATATTCAAAAAGATTCAATTATGGATTTAGAATGTTGTCTATTCCTACTTAAGGAATTGATTGTATTGTATAATATGGATTTTAAGAAAAAGGCATTACCAAAATTCAATAATCAATCTACAGTACTCAATGAAAATGATTTTGATTCAATCTATTTCATTATAAAGATTCTTGCCAATATCACTTGTTATACAGATGAAATGTTGGCTCTGGTAGATGGTAAAACAACAGTACCAGGTGTTGGAGATGATTTAAATACTGCGTTGGCAAAGAATGGATTGATTGCTCTGTGTGTTGGTACACTTCATACAACAGCAGACACTGTACCACACGATCCTCGTAAACCAGTAGACCAAGACAAAAAACATGAAATGGGATTTAAAAAGGAAATCATTCGTATCCTTGGTAATGTTGCCTATCTAAATGAACCAAATCAACATGAAATTAGAGAATTGGGTGGCATTCAATTAATCTTAAATAATTGTAGAATTGATCCAAATAATCCTTGTAAGTAAAAAAAATATATTATATTATATATATTGTATATTAATATATTTGTTTTTTTGTTTCTTTTGTAGATATAAAAGAATGGGGAGTATTTGCAATTAGAAATATAATGGAAAATAATGAAAAGAATCAACAATTGGTACAAGATTTAAAGATGCAAGGTGTTGCAAATCAAAATGAATTGGAATCAATGGGTATAAAAATGGATGTTAGCGAAAGTGGTGCAATTAAATTTGATACTACTCCTGAACTAAAAGAAAGATTAAAAACTAAAAAAGATTACAACGATGAACAAAAACAATAAAAACGACAAATTCATTCATTCTTTTTCTTTTTGAAACAATGAATAATAATAATAATGTAATCATTTTTATATTATTATTATTGTTGTTATCAATTTCAACTACCACTTTATTAGTCTGCGCAGTCGAAGATATAATAGTATCAGAAGCAATTACAAAAGAACAAGCAGAAGATGTAATGTATGAGATACCAATTGAAATATCTAATCTATTACGATCATTATGTGAACCTTTTCTTCAAGTTGCTACCTTTAACAAAGATAAAATGTTTATAGAATTAAACAAGATTATAAGTGGTCATTTTAATACTTTTTTTAAAGGTAGATTTGTTTATGTAAGTAGAAAAAGAAAAAAAGATTAATAGAGATTAGATATTAATACAGTTTTTCTTTTCTTTGTACTTTATAGATTCAATTAATTAATACAAAAAATGATATAATAGAAACATCAAATGTATCATCAATGGTTTATAGAAAAGATAAACAGATTCATTCGATTATTGAAAGATTAAGACAAGTAGAATATGCTGGTATGATACCAATCAATTGTCACTATGATGATACTTTTAATTGTTTGGCTATTGGTCAACCTGTTGAATATCAAGTATTTGAATTATCTTGGTTTATGCTTATCTATTTTGATTCTTCTCCACTTTATAAAAAAGAATAAACAAAAAAGTAAAAAGATTTTTTTTTTTTTAGAAAAAGGATTTTTAAGATGACCTTTGATGATCAACGCTCACCTCTTTTTTATTTCTATTATTCTCTTTTATATATATTTGTACAGCAACCATTTAGATAAATAGGAGAGAGAACTCTTTACTTTACTTATGGAAGAAACAGATTCATTATCAATTGGAGATGATACAACATGGGGAAGATTGGTATCATTGAATCCTGCATACCCATCGATCGAATTAAAACAAAATACGGTTGTATTTGGTAGAACTGCATCGGCTTGTCAAGTAGTCTATCAATCACAAACCATCAGTGGTAGACATTGCAAGATCTATCGTGATGCTTCAGTGGCCAAGCAAAACATTGTCTTTCTCGAAGACACATCAACCAATGGTACCTATGTCAACAATGAATTGATTGGCAAAGGTAGCAAGATTCTCATCAACAATGGTTGCGAAATTGCTATCATTCCAAAACGTGGTCCTGAAAGAATCTCTTACATTTACAATGATTGTAATGAAGAACAAAAAGAAATTGAACAAGGTGGTCCTCAATTAAATTATCATATGAAAGAAGTACTTGGATCGTATGTAAAATAGAAAAGAAATAGAAAAAGAAATAGAAAAAGAAATAGAGAAATATTTATTCTTTTTATTTTTTAATTTTGTTTCTAGAGGAAACTTTGCAACTGTAAGATTAGCAGTTCATAAAGAAACTGGAAACAAATATGCATTAAAAGTTATTGATAAAAAGAAAATGTCAATGACTAGTAAAAGAAAGGAAGCTCTAATGGATGAAGTCAATGTTCTTACCAAAGTTTCTCATGAAAATATCATTTCAATTAATGAGGTCTTTGAAACTAATAAGAATTTATATTTAGTTTTAGAATTGTAAATAGAAAAAGAAAAAAAGAAAAAGAAAAAAGAAGAGTATTAATATTTTCCTTTTTTGTTTTTAGAGTAACTGGAGGAGAATTATTTGATAGAATTATAACAGAAAAGAAATTTACAGAAGATGTTGGTAGATATATTATGAGACAAATATGTTTGGCCGTTCAATATCTTCATTCAAGAGGTATTGCTCATAGAGATTTAAAACCAGAAAATATTCTTTGTCATTCACCAGAGACCTATGTCATCAAGATTAGTGATTTTGGTCTATCTCGTGCTCTTGATGAAGGTAGTTTTATGAAAACAATGTGTGGTACTCCTCAATATGTTGCTCCCGAAATTTTAACCAAAGGTGAAAGAGAAGGATATGGTAAATCTGTTGATTTATGGAGTATTGGTGTTATCCTTTATATTTTGTAAGAAACAAAAAAAACAAAGAAAAAAAAGTATCAATCTTTTTTATTAATTTTTTTTATTTTTTATTTTTTTTTTAGATTATGTGGATTTCCACCATTTGGAGATCCAAGTGATGTAAACTTTTTTGATAGAGTTAAAAGAGGTGGATTTTCATTCCCATCACCATATTGGGATGAAATTTCAGAAGATGCAAAGGATTTGATCAAGAAATTGATTATTGTCGATGTTGAAAAGAGATTAACCATTGATCAAACTCTATCTCATCCTTGGTTTACCAATCATGTTGATGATATTAAAAAAATTAATAATATCAAAGATGATGAAAAAGTAGAAGAAACAAAGCAAGAAGAAGAAAAGAAAGTAGTAGAAGAAGAGAAAAAGCAAGAAGAAGAAAAGAAAGAAGACTCTTCTTCAATCGATCCAAGACTTCAAATTTTTGAAATACCAAAAAATTTGGTACCACAAGTTTTAATACCAACACCAAAAGAAGATCCTCTTCTTGTTGATGAATCTTTAAAGAGTAAAAACAAAAGAGCTCATAGTAATACTCCAATTGGTGATCAAGATGAAATAATCAAAGAACAAAAGTTATAAATAATTAAATTTAAAAAACTTAAATGATTTATTTAAATTTTATTTGTGCGTTTTATATATATTTTTTAATTTTTTTTTTTTGTTAATTAATGGGTAAAGAAGAGATAGTAAAAATTTGATCATCTTCATGTAATACAGTAGTTGGATGAGGACAAGTAAAGACATAGGGAGCTGGGGAGTTCATTGGTTTTGAAGATCGGTAGAGACCGAGAATGAGGATGTTTTTCTGTTGCAAAAATACTTTGAGTAATTCTCCATAGGTACGTCCGTGATAGATGGGTGGTAGTTTGACGAGCTTTGAGAATGATTTGGAATCGGGATTGGTGAGGTTTGGGTTGAGTCCGAGGACTTGATGATTTTGGGCAAGATTGTTGACTCCAAAGGCAAGTTCATTGGCCACATCGGCAATGGCTTCGTTAAAGTGCGATTGGACAACCAGACTATTTAATACGGCATAGGTGGCTACACGACCACATGAATAATGAGAGGTGGAGAAAAAGTCTGGTTTGAGGAATGTGTTTTCACGATTGGCTTGTAGATAGGATTGGAACTTTTTGTTGCTACCTGCACATTTGATGGATCGGTCTTCGAGGAAACGAATGTTTGGTTCGTGAAGTAATTCGGTGATAATGGTAGCCTTGTGATTACATCTCATAATATCTACGTAGGACATGAGTGTAAAAGAGTCAACTTGGTCACTATCTACGTCTTGGTATGGATTCGAGGCGATAATGATGGTTTCTGCGTGTTTGGTACCACATTTTTCTAGATCCGAATGGTTGGCTGAAGAACCTTTGATAAAAGCAATCAATGGCAGCGATGTCACTGATTCAAACCATCCATCTTCTGGTTCATCACGATACAAAACAACAATTGGTTGTAAACCAGTTCTTGCCAATTTGTTGGTCTTGATCGATGTTACATAGGGTAAACGTAGATGATGCAATAAAAGATCCAAACCTTTAAGAGTTTGACATACAATCAACATATGTCCTTTCATTTTTTGTGATCCATCTTTGTTTTTATCAAATTTACCATGCAATGTAAATGTCAACAATGAATGTTTATCAATTATAAATTTAATTCTTTCTTGTATTTTTTCCTAAATGACAGAGAGAAAATTAATAAGTTGTTTCTTTTTTTTTTTCCCTTTTTTTTTTTTGTGTTCCATTTTATCTTACAATATTTGGATTACCAGTTTTTTGATTGGAAATATCACTTAGTAGTGCAATCCAATCACCTTCATATTCAGCAAGACAAAGATTTTTAACCAAATCTTTTGGAGATAATTCTTCATCTGTATCATCTTTATATTCAAAGATACCTTCATTATCCAATTCTTCAGAGATGTGATCGGAGGTATCCATACGAATCATACTATTTTGACGTGGAAGGAATGCAAGTGGTTTAGAGGTGGCACCAATAAAAGTTTTCAATGTTTCATTCATAATTTGATCTTGTGATTCTTGAGGTGCCTCTGCTTCATTGATCAATAGTTCGATATCTGGTACTGCCAAACGACTAATAAAACTAGTCACCTTTTTACCCAAACCAAACATTCCCAAAGTATAGTCGTATGGTTGGTTTTGTTCGTTGGTGGATTGCAAGTCTCTTGATTGTACAATGGTATGTGAAATCACCACCATACTCATTTCCTTTCGGATCACTGTTGAATTGTTTGGATAAAGATAAAATTTACCTCTGCATCCTGGAGGTGTAGTACAATCGGGTACAAACAATCCAATCAATAAACTACCATTTCCAAAATACATTGACAATGTAACATCTGTCAATGTTTCTCCTACTAAAAATTCTGGTACTTTTAATATATAAACTGAATTATTACATCCGTAATCTAAATAGAAAAAAGTAAGTATATTATTTAGTTATTATATTTTAATTTCTTTCTTTCTTACAATATTCAGTTAACCATTTTTCTGAAACAATATTTGGAATATTTCTTGAAGTGAAAAGATTTGAAAATAAAACATTGTAGCCAGGACAAATAATTGATTGAGCCAAAAGAGCACTTCTAAACTCTTCCATACAAATGGTACCTTTTAAAAAAGGAGCTTTGTTTTTGTTTTTCGATGTGACTAGGTGAGAGAAAATCTTGATATTCTTGTTCATACTCTTGACAGCATAGGAACAAAGAATATTGTCAGTATCTCCCGACTCCCATGAAGGTGGAAGTGAGATAAAACAAGCATCTGCCTTTGATAATTTGGTACGTTCTAAATCTTGTTCAAAGAGTGGACTTCCTTGAAGATAGATTAGTCTATTCTTGTAGAATGGATGTAATAACAATGCCTTTAATTGATCATCTGGTGCTTTTGGACATAGTAATACTACTTCTTTTTTCAGCTTCCCATTTCTTTGATGATAAAATTCACTTAGGAAATCCATCAAATGTGTAATTGAAAATTCTCCACAAAGAAATACATGTCCTGTTACACTTGTTGATGATAAATTTCTTAAAAATGCTAAAAAATAAAAAAAAATAAAAAAAGGTATAAGTAAAAAAAAAATAATTATAATTGTGGTAAATATTTTTAGTTTCTTACGAGAATCTTGTTGTAATTTTTCCATTAATTTTGATACATGATAGGGAATTAATACACCTGCACCAACACTGAGTGCAACTGTAATAGTAACTTGACCAAGTGCAGTTGTTGGATAAATATCACCATAACCAACAGTTGCCAATGTTACCACCAAAAAATAAACAGTCTCATGAAATTTTAATGATGATCCATCTCCAGGTTTTTCTAAAAAATAAAAATTATTAATATAAATATAATAATTGTTTAATATTTTTTTTGAGATAATTACTTTCAATATTCATATAAAATCCTGCCAATACCATAATAAATGTAAATACTACAATAAAAGCTTTAAATGTATATTTTGTTACCTCTAAAAAAAATAAAATAATAAAATAAATTTAAATATCATATGATTTCCTTTTTTTTTTTTTTGTTTTCTTTTTTGATTTACCATTTTTAAAAATATGAAGAATTCTTGATAATCTTAATACTCGAAGTACACGTAATACACGAAGAAATTGAAAAGTTTTTAATATATTTTTAAAGTTTCCAGTTAATATATCAATTAAAATTGGTAATATAGTAATAAGATCAACCAAAGAGAAAAATGAAAATACATATCTCATTACTAAAAAAAAAAAAAAAAAATATAAATTAATATAAACTGGATCAATTAATATTTCTTTCTTTCTTTCTTTACTTGTCTTTTGTAATAAAGAAATCCAAAGACCAATGAGATATAAAGAAAAACATGAGAGCAATTTCCAAACCTAAATACCAATAGGGAGGATCATCTAAATAATTTCCATAGATAAAGAGACAGACGGAAACAATGCTAAACATGACCTGAGCAAATTCGATAATCTCTCCAACATGAGTATATGCCAAATAGATTTCAGCCTTTGAACGGAATGATACCTTTAGAGATCCACGTTTATCTCTTCGTTTGAATATACGAACAAGAACAATGGAAACGATCAACAATGTCATCACCACCACGATTGCCAATCCAAGTTTTAACATATTATTCCATATTCCAAGACCACCAATAGGTCCTGTTTCAAGTGGATTTGTTTCATCTTGTGATGATGATATTGATGAAATTGATTCTGTTGAATTCATTTTTTTATATAATATATATATATATAGATAGATAGATAGAGAGAGATTGTTGTTTTGTCTTGTCTTGTTGATAATAGTAGTGATTTAAAAAGTTGTAATATTACAGTACTTTTTTTGTTTGTATAGATTAGTTGTAGTTGTAGTAGTATAGTAGTCAAAACACACAAAAGTAATAAGAGTAAAGAAAGAGGTAAGCTAATACTATATATTCATTGTATAACTATAAATAAATAGATAAATGTATGTAAACAAGAGTCTGTATTTCTTTCTGATTGATTGATTGATTGTTATCTATCTCTCTCTTTTCTCTGTATAAATATATATATATGTATAAAACACCAACTATGGGGATAAAAAAAGAACGATCGTTCGGTGTGTACATGGGTGTTCGCACTCACTCTCCTGGTGACAAAAGGGGGGCGAAAAAAAGGGATTATGTCAGCTGGTGATCCGCAATAGTCTACTTTGTGACCTGCCCTTTCCAAATCTTAAAAGATGATATTTATATCTCTACCTATCTATCTATCTATCGAGAATATCATATGGTTGGTTTCATCACTTCAAACAACACACACTCTCTTCAAAACATATAATTATTTGTTTTTTTTTTATAATTCACACTTCATTGTCAACAACGAGCAACATTAATAATTAGTATTAATTGATTAGAATAAATTTGTGTTGTTGGATAGTAGTAGTATAAACAACTTTGTCGACATATCTATCCAAATTTGGATATTAAATTAAAATTTAAAATTGTCGAAATTGAATCATCAAAGGAATACAGTTAGTACTACTAAAGTTTGTTAATACTTTTTCATTCATTCAATTCAATAATATATACTATTATATATATATACATAAAAGAAATGACAACAGAAAAGAAATTTGGTCATGCATCAGTATCAGTTGCTGAAGGTACTGATGATGTTTATATCATTAAATTTACAGAAGAGGAAAATAAATTCAATGATGATAATTTAAAGAATATTAATGATGCTCTTGATTATATAGAATCGTAAGTAAGAAAGAAAGAAAGAAAGATGAAACAATCACATATCAAACTATATTATTATTATTATTATAATTCTTTACTTAAACTCTTTTTACTTTTTCATCCTTTTAGATGTGAAGAAGCATCATGTTTAATAACAATTGGGACAAGTTCAAAATTCTATTCAACAGGATTAGATTTAGATTGGATTACATCTGGACAATGTAAAGACTTTAGAAAATTTATTACCAACTTTCAAAAGATGTTGGCCAGAATGTTGACATTGCCCATTCCAACCATATGTGTTATCAATGGTCATGCATTTGCTGGTGGTGCCATGTTGGCATGTGCACATGATTACCGTATCATGCGTCAAGACAGAGGTTTCTTTTGTCTTCCAGAGGTTGATATTCATATCCCACTTACACCTGGTATGAATGCCATCCTACAATCAAAGATGACCGATGGCACCGTCTACAGAGATGCAGCATTACTAGGTAAACGATTCAATGGAAAGGAATCACTTCAAGGAAAGATTGTAGATGCTCTTGCATCAGAAGATAAATTATTATCCGATGCCATCGCACTTGCCACTTCAATCTCTTCAAAAGGAAAGGATAGATTTACATTTGGATCTTTGAAAAAGGAATTATATAAAAATGCTACCAAAGAATTATTATCTGGTGATTTTGGGCATGCCGCTGGTGTTAAAATGTTTTCTAAATTGTAATAACAAATAAAGTAAATCAAAATTTAATAATATTAATATTTTAAAAAATGATTTTGTTTTGTGTATTTTTTTTTATTTAAATTATTTATTTATTATTTATTCCTTTTTCTTTTCTATCCTTTTATCTCTTTACATCATTTCCTTTAAAGAGTTTTCAATATCATCACATTTCTCAATTAAAATCTTGATTGCTTCTTGGAATAAAACTTTTGGTGGTAATGCTCCAAGTGATTCAATTGAATCTAAAATAAATAAAAGAAAGAAATAATAATTATTAATTAGGATTGTTTCTTTTCTTTTTTTTTGTTTTTTTTTTCTATTTCTCTTACAAATAAAATGATCTCTAATTCTTTCCAATTTAACAACATTTTCAAATTCTGGATCTCTAATACATTCTCTACACATCGTACAATCGAGTGGACGAGCAGCAATAACTTGATAAGAGTCTTCAATGTCGAAAACATTCTTTGGACAGGTAGCCTTTAATTTTTCGGCTTGTTTCTTGTCAAATTTCGATGAATCGACAGTAATATCTGGCATCAAACGATAGGATGCAGTACCTACAGGTGACCATTTAATATGTTCTCTACCAATATTCTTTTCGCAATATAATTGAATGTCGACAGTTTGACCTGGACGAAGCTTGACAATGGGAATATCGTCGTGTACTGGACGTGGGAAATCTTCTGGGTTTTCACCAAACATTGATTCTTGGTCTTCTGTTGGTTCCCATTTCAATTGTCCAGATGTAACTGTTCCATTTACAGTCTCTCCATTTTCATCTTTATAACATCTAACATTTAATTTAAATATTAATGTATCTTCTGCTGTATATTCTTTACTTGCTAGAAAAATAAATAGAAACAAAGTTAGATCTATCTCTATCATATCTATTTCTATTTCTATTTAAATTTTACCTTGTTTAAAATTAAATTTTCTTGGATCAACTTTAATTGGAATTAAACCCAAACGATGAGCCAATACTTCATCTTGAAGTATAGAGGTATTGTTAATGATGAAAACCTTTTCAATGGCCATGGTTGGAATCTCTGCAATCAATATTCTACGAAGTGCGTTGGCAATGGGTGCATCGACACCAATCATTTCAAAGACTAGATGATCTGGTTTGTCTTGCAACACCTTGATCTGAAAGTTCTTTTTAAATCTCTCTAAACTAAAACTATTATCATATCCAAGTGATGTATATGCTCCACTATAATAAACTCCTCTTGTCTAAAAAAAAATAAAGTAAAAGTAAGTAAAGAGTAAAGAGTAAAGTAAAGTAAAGAGACGACTCTTCTTTTACAAACAAACAAAAACTATCTATGGAATGATATAGTATAGTGTAGTTTTCTATCTCTCTCTCTATTATATCTATCTATATATTATTATATATTATACATTACATTTTCAACACCAGCATTTCCTACACTAACTCTAGTTCTTTGATTCTCTAATATTTCATTTGGTACTTTTTCATTGTCGGCTGCTTTCTTTGATGATGATGACTTTTTAGTATTCTTTGACATTTCTTTGTGGTTATATCTATATACAAGAAGGTATTGCACAAAGTGACTAGTCCTACAACTTAAATAACGAATCAATCTCAAAGCAACATTCGTCTCTGATCATGGAGTGTGTCGTTTTTTTTTTTTTTTTAATTTCTTTTTTTTTTTTTTTTTTTTTTTAAAAGGGACAGAGAGACTAATTTATTTTTATACCTTTTAAAGTTATCTAATTTTTTTTGATTTATCAACTACTGATAAATCTTTGAAATGATTATTTTCTACTTCCTTGACGGTGGCCGAATCAATGACTAGTTTGGGTTTATAATTCTCGCGCCATCTGAGATAGTAGTTACTCCAAAATTGTATGTCTGATATGAGGAAGTTGTGGTAGATTGGCTTGGGATTCATAATATAAAAATAGTTGATGTAAAGCTCTGATTGAGAATTGAGTGCCGACCAAAGTGAAACCATACCTCCATTCTTTTTGGTATAAGCCAACTTTTCTCTTTGATTATTAAATAAAAACGTACCATATTTACAATTATAAACATTTTCTAATACTTCAATTAAAAATCTTTCATTAAACTATTTAGATAAAAAAAAAACAATTAATATTAAACTATTCTTATTCTTTTTCTCCTTTGATTTGTTTCTTACTTGAAAGGTAGTAGGGAATAAATTAATTAATTGCCATACTGAATCTATAAACATTAAAAAGATGGGAGATGTTTCTTCATCACCACCAGCATGAGAGACGTGACCACAACGATGGGTAAATTGATGTCCAAAGCTGAGCCATTCCTTTTCAATGAGGATTTGGAATCCACGATAGGTTCTATAGTAGGGGTCGAGCAGTAGTTGAGAGAGTGCGACGAGTTGACTGGTACGATCCCAACCGTCAGAGCAATGGGTTAGGACAGACGAACCCTTTTTGTCGACCAACTCGACCACCATGTTGGCAGAGTTTATCAACTGGAAGATATGCTCTAGCCATTGTGTATTGTCAATCATAGAGAGCCAGTTGGCTGAATCCATATTGTTTAGGACTATATTGGTCAGCTTTTTATAGGCATCTCTCATAACGTGAATGTTGCCAATACCAAGGAACTGAAGTTCTACATTTTGATAGAGACTAGTGTCTTCGTGACCCTTGCCCATCAATGTGTTTGCCTTTGCGTTTGCCATGGGACGCGAATCCATGACATAGAGAATCGAACTGTTTGAATTGGCTTGCGTAATAAAACTGAGATACTCTTCATCCTCATTGCATTTACTCTTGAATATACCGACACGTGGCTGACTACATCTTGTAATGGTGCTATTGTGATTACCATGGATCCAACAGATGGCTGGAACACGTCCCTTTTCTCTAAAAGTTGCAATCTTTTTCAAATCCTCTTCGCTCACTGTCGATGGAACGATAAACAATGATGGATAGGTTGGACATAATGAATAATCTTGATTAATATATGTAATTCTCCATTTATCCAATGGGAATTGTAATCTAATAAATTCATCTTCTAAATTATAAATTGTATCCCTAAAAAATTAAAAATTAGAAAAAGAAGGTATTTAAAATATTATTATTTTTTCTTACAAAGAAGAATCAAATGTTTGAGCATTGGTAAAAGCAAAAGTTTTGGTAATATCTGAAATCTCCATAAAACTTTTCAATTGTTCCCAAATATATAAATCACCAGTTTGGAAACTAACAAATCTAAAGTCTTTACAAAATACTTCTGTTTGATTATTTGATACTTTAAGTTTTGATATAGTTGTAATTGGTATATCACAATCATCTTTTGTACCAAAATCATCCTATATATAAAAAGAAAAAAAAATTAATATTCAGTCTAGAAGCACTATTTTTTTTGTTTGAAACATTTCATACATAAGAAGATCTATTTGTACCAATAAAAATTAATCTAAAGTTTGTTAAAAATAGGCTGCCCTTTTTAGATTGATTTGCAACAGTTGAAATTCTTTCACCATCTCTTTTATGAATAATAGTTTCACCTGGAACCAAAGTTGGATCTTTAATTGCAATAAATGCTAATTGCATCATTGCATTACTATATGCGCTTGATAATATTGTTGATGATGCTTTAAATTCAATAAAATCCTTAAAAATAAAATATATAAAAATAAATAAGTACAAGAATTTCTTTTTTCTTTTTTTTTTTTTTTCTTTTCTTACAGAAATTGGATTAATATCTAATTGATCAAAACTATCAATATCATTTAAACATTGAGAACCAGTTTCTTTAACTAAAAATAAATCAAAATGTTCCAATTCCTTTTCAGAAGAAGAGGTGGTTGAACAATTTCTAATGATGATTTCACGTAGATCCGAGATTGCAGTGTATCGACCATAGATGATTTGATATGTTTGTAGATTACAAGATAGCTTTATGGTATTTTGGATACCCTCTACAAGTGCCATTTTGCAAATGGATGGTGGTGGCTTAAACTCTACAACTGCCTCGTTTGGCAAATTGTAAGATATGAGGTTTCTAGAACCTTCCATCCAAACTCCCGATCCATTCTTTTGAAAGAATAAACAATATCCCAACGTTTCATCTGATGAATTAAATATTGTATGATATTTATCAAATACTATATCATTTGAACTCTGACCCAAAGATCCATTTACACTATTATTTGAACCATTCAATGTTGGTGGTGTTGGTTGTTGTTGTTGTTGTTGTTGTATTTGTAGTAATTGTTGATGACTATTATTTCTTGAACCAATTGGTGATCGATTTGGTTGTTGTAATGATGGAGAGATGGGTGGTGACAATGTACTAATAGATTCACTGCTAGCAGAAGTTGGTAAAATGGCTATGGAATTGGGTGCTGGTGTAATCGGAGAAGTAATGTTGGCTGTTGTTGCCATGATAATTGATTGGATAGTTTCATTTACCGTTTGATAGGGATTAAAATGGAATTGTCTATAAGTCTGATGAGTTGGAAAGAGTACAGTTAAATTATATCCTTCATCATCATCTACAAATGGACCATTTGATTCAAATTCACCATCATTTGAAACTGAAATGGTTGGTGCCAAAGAAGAAGAAGGAAGTAGAGGCATTTGAGATGTTGTATTATTATTATTATTATTATTATTATTCTTGTTATTCTTGTGTTGTTTAAATAAATGTTCACGAGAAATTGAATTGTCTAGGTTTCTACTCTTGCTTGGTTTTGCCTTGAATATAAAGATTGAGTCTTGCAACTTGTTATTATTCAACTTGCAAGAGAGCAACAATTGCTTGTGTTGAAGTGGAAGAAGAGGATTGGAAGCATTTTGGTTTTTAGACTGCAGATAGAGGCCATAGCAACCTACCATATTTACAAAGGTTTCAAACTCTACAACAGAGTCTGTTGGTGATGGTATTTGAGATAGTACTGGTGGACTACCCCATGCTGGTGATGTACTACCCACACTACCATCACCACCACTACTACTAGTTGTACTACCAACAGGAGACAATTGTGGTGATAAAGAAAGTGGAAAGGAAGAGGGTGAGGAAGTGGCAGATTTGGGAGAATAGGTTGATGTGTGGATCACCCTTTTAGTGGTTGGATAGATGTATTGGACAATGAAAAAGATGGCATCGTGTACAGTTGTATTACTAGAGAATGACAATGTAAAAAATGATTGGATGGGATCGATCCAAATGAGAATCGAGTGTTCAGCACCTAGTACCAACGATGTTCGATTCTCAAAACGTAATGAAAACTCTATATACTCTTGTTTGGTCAACTCTGATCCAATACTATCCTCCATTTGCAATCGTTTGAGGAATAGATCATCAGATGATGTAATGTGAACATTCCACTTGTCCTCTGGTACAAAACTCTCTAGACGTGAATGAATCGATGGTATTTGATATTCAATCTTTTGTACAGCTTCATATACTCTTCTTCCAAATGCTGATCCATTCACTGGTGATGCAAATTGCCATGGTTGAGATAGTTTTCTTCTACTTGTTGTTGTTTGTTGTTGTTGTTGTTGCGATTGTTGTTGTGGTAGTAATGGTTGTTGTGGTTGTTGTTCCAATTGAACCAATAATGGACTAGTAGTCATACTACTTCTTTTGTTGTTTGTCTTTTGTGTTCCAGAAAAAGATAATTTTTCTTGTAATAAAGGTTCTAATTGATTAGATGGTACAATTGATTTATAATACCATCTTGGATATGATGCCAAATCACTATTGATCTGAAGTAACTCTAAATAACAATCATTTTCAATATTATATGTTGCCAATAATTGATCATTTGATAACATGAATCTCTTTTTCTTATAATGTGTTTCATTATTATTATTACTACTATTATTATTGACTATAGGAATAGATGATGTTGTATTATTATTATTATTGTTACTACGTTGTTTTTGATAGGTTTCCAATGTTTTAAATAGAGCATAGTTTGGTAGATCACGAATTCTAACATTCTTTCCTGTTTGTTTATAATAGATTACTATATCACCTACAAGAGTAAGAGGTAGTAATACCAATACCTGTGGTTTATCATTCAACCATGGTGATATTGATAAATGTATATTAACTCTCTCCTTGTTTGTATAAGGATTAATTAATACCATCTTGAAGAGAACAAATGAAGATGAAATACAAATAGATAGATAGATAGATAGATAGATATATAGAATATGATGATAATGATGGTTCGTTCTTTCTTTCTTATCTCTCTCCTCTCTTTTCTCTCTTTTATCTCTCCTATTACAAAGCTTCGAAGCAATGATCGATGATGATGACTAAAAATATCAGGGTCTGATTTTTTTTAAACTTTCGAAAAGTTGTTGGGAAAGTGGCCTACAATAAATCTTTGATCTATCAAAAGATATTTAAAGCATTATACTATATAATAGATAAATTACTTTAATTTACTTTACTACTTAATTGAAGATTTAAATATAATTATTTATTTTAATTTTAATTTATTTATTTAATTAAATAATGATACCAATTCTTCAAAATTTCTTTGACTAATTTCTGGATTTGAATTACTAGCATTGTCATCTGATTTTCCGTCGGAGGAACTCAATTTTGAAACCTTGCTAAAGTAGTCTACTATAAGATATCCAAGACTCTCACACGATTTATTGGGAGAGTTGGTATCAGAGTCGAAGCAACCACGCAACAAAACTGGCAAATTGGTGTAAAAGTAGTAGATGCAAGCGTTCTTGAGCTCAACGGCTTCGTGGAGACTGGCAAGAGCCATAAGAGAGACGAGATTGTTTTCGCACAATGTCTCGCCAATCAAATTGCAACACTTTATCTTTAGACCATCGAGCATGTATTGATTTGCCAATATGAGTAATTCCGTAAGAAGTGAAGATGAAAATCTTTGTGTTGGTGGTGGTGGTGATTGACTACCATTGCTGTTGTTGTTGTTGTTGTTGTTAGTAGTGGTAGTTGTTGTGGTTGTGGTTGTGGTGGTGGTTGAAGTTGTAGTGGTTGTACTGCTGCTACTGCTACTGCTGACCAATGGAGAAGGAGGTTGAATATTTGTACCAATGATATTATAATAGTCAGAGGCAACGAGATCATCTGTGTAGAGGTAACAGAGTAGTGCCAAAAATACATCCTTGGTGACATTGGATAGTCTGATAGCACCTTCTGCTTCACTCTCTCTCATCCCATTTGTGAAAAGTGTTTTGAAATACTTGGATCGAGCACATAGAATGACTTTGTGTCCATAGATACGTTCATAGGAAACATCGTCATTGTTCTTTAAAAGGAATGCAACATCGCTGAATTGCTCATTATTGATGTATTGCTTCATCATGCTGCCGAGGCTGGGTATGATCGAGCCCGAAGAACAAGACGATGATTCGTCATCCTTCGATGATTTGATTGGTGATTGGTTATTTGAGTGGTAGCTATTGTTGTTGTTATTGTTCATTGGGTATTCGAATAATATACCACCTTCACCTCCTCCGGCAGCAGCATTAAAGAAAACGTTTTGTTGTCCAACAGCTGCAGCTGCTGCTGGATTTTGAATAAAATGAACCATTGGATAATATACAACAGGTACTGTAATGGTTCCTGGATGTTGTTGGAAATGAATTGCTGCTTGATGAATTGGTTGTATTGGTTGAGCTGGTTGAGCTGGTTGAGCTGGTTGGACTGGTTGAACTGCTACTACTGGTTGTGGAGGAGGAGCTGGTTGATTAGTTACAGGTATTGGTTGTTGTTGTTGGTTATTATTATTATTAGTATTTTCGGGTATATCTTCAATCATTGGTTCATCTTGTTGTTGTTGTTGTTGTTGTTGTTGTTGTTGTTGTTGTTGTTGTTGTTGTTGTTGTTGTTGTTGTTGTTGTTGTTGTTGTTGTTGGTTATCTACATTTTGATTTACATTATTATTATTTTGAGCTACAATAGCTACAGGTTGTACACTAACTTGAGCTGGAGCTTGTGGTTGTTGTTGTTGGGCTGCAGGTTGTTGAACTGGAGCGGCCGCTGCTTGTTGATTTTGTTGTTGTGCTGCTACTGGAGCTGGTTGTGCTGCTACTACTACTGGTTGAACTGCTGCTGCATTTGCTGCGACTGCAGGTTGTACATTTGGTTGAGGTACAGGTTGTGCTTGTTGATTTTGTTGTTGTTGTTGAGCTTGTTGAGCCTGTTGAGCTTGTACGACTTGTTGTTGTTGTTGGGCAACTTGTTGCTGATTTTGCAAAAGCTGTTGTTGTTGTTGTAAAATGAGTTGGAGGTTTTGTTGTTGTGCCTGGATTTGGAGTATGATTTGTTGTGGATTGTGAATCTGTGGCTGTTGGTGTGGCTGCAAACCTTGGATGGGAACAAATGGTGCCTGTAAAATATTAATGTTACCAGCTGGCTTGGGCATTGTGCCAGTGTTTGCATTCTTTGCCCACGGTCCTAGACGATACAGATTCTCGTTGATGAGGCCGACTGGGAATCTTTGATACTTTGGTGTTGTAGGTCTCAGTTGTGGTGGAACGTACAAGATTCCCAAAAAACAATAATAAAACTTTCTAATCGATGATTGATCTGATATCTTTGCTAAACTTGATCCACCTTTTGTTGCTTGATTAATTGATTCTACAATCTAAATAATTAAAATTAAAATTAATATATATTATCTTTTCTTTTTTTTTTTCTTTTCTTTTTTTTTACCTTTGAATGATCAGTATGATAACTATGATACATATAAACAGATTCAAAATGAAAATTATTAAATGATTTTAAAAAATCGAGACTCTTTGATCCACCCAAATACATTGGAACAATACTTGATCGAGAATATATAAATATAGTTCTTAAACTCCAGTGTCTATTATTGTTGTTGTGTTGATGGTGTTGAGTAATCGATGAATTGGAACTATCGCTTAAGCTACCAGGTGTAACAACAACATTCTTTAATCCTTTAGTCTCTGATAATATTTTAAATTTAGTTTCCCTAATTGAAAAAAAAAAGAAGAAGTATAAGTAAAACTATCAATCAATCATCTTGATTATAATTTTTGCTTTGTAAATTTACATTTTATCAAATAAAGTAGTCATATCAAAAGCATTAAATCTACCACCAGGTTTTAAAGAATCTATTTTTGATTTAATTTCATTAAAGTCACTTGTAAAGTCCAAAACAGAGATTGCCGACACACGAAGAGTACAGATGGCAAACTTTGTGGTTGGATCTGTGATGAGTTTACTTCTGACAAACAATGACAATGCCTTTTTTATATGATCGAGTCGAGGACCAGAAGCTTTGAATATTGAATTAATCTCTTCATCTAGATCAATACAGAATACAATATGCTCTTGCTCGGTTGAAGGATCAATATCCATCAGTGAATCACCCATTTGATCGATTGTACTATTAATTGGTGATCCACTTGGGGAAAAATCGTCGTCTTCCATTTGTCGTAGTTGTTGTCTTTTTGATTCAAATATACTACTATCGTTATTGTATAACTATAAAGAAATAATTTAATTATTAGTTAACTAATTATATATATATATATATATAAAACGTGAAAAACAAATGATGATAATGATGATGAATGAAACAAACTTTTTTTTTGTTGTTGTTGTTGAGATAATGATTAAATGAAAGAATGAATGAATGAATGAGTTACAAACAAATGATATCATATATTTATATATCAAAAAAAAGGTTTTGACACAAACACTAATCTTTTTCCTTTTTTTCATCAAGTCATTTGGAAAAAGGTGGGTGGGTGGTGAAAGAATGTGGTTGTTGGTATAATTAGTGGGTAGTGAGTAGTGTGATAGTAGGTGGTGATTCAATTGAAGCTTCAATCCTAACCTAGCCTGATTACTGATTGGTTTGTTGGTTGATGAATGAATGGTTTTTGAAACGATAAAAGATGAAGTTTAAAAAGAAAAAATAGATAGATTGATTTGATTGATTGATTGATTGAATGAACGAGATGAGATTGGGATTTGATGACCAACGACATCATCATGATCGTCGTCGTCGTCTATATGTTGTTGCTATACCTGTAATGTAGTTTCGAGTTGTTGTTGTTGTTGTTCTTTTTAAATTCAATTCTAATTATTATTCTGTCTATGTAACATCAAAATTAACTCTCTACTCTCTCTCTCTCTCTCTCTCTCTCTCTCTTCCTTTTCTTTACTTTACTTTATTATAAAAAGACAAAAATATGAAATACTATTGGAAAGGGTATGTATGTATGAATGCACCAACAATTGGGTATTAAAAAAATGTGATTAACCAACAATCCCCTTTTTTCTTTTTTTTTTTGTTGCTTTTTTTTTTTTTTTTGCCTTGAGTCCAAAGGTTGTTGTTTTTTTTGTAAACCTAAAAGGGAGTTAACTCCAAAAAAGGTAAATTTAAAAATAAAAAAACACAAAAGTTGGCATTGTTGTGTGTAGTATCATATATTTGAGAAACCAACCAACTAACTACTAATTCTACTCGATTACCGCTGCTGTTGAATGAACCTGTGTTGTGAGGAATGAGAAATGTTGAGACACTTACAATTAAACTTTGATTATCGTTGCTGTTTTCGTTACTATTATTGTTGTTGTTATTACTGCTACTAATGTTGTTATTGTTGTTTGTAAAGGTATTGTTGTTGTTTGGGTTGGTAACTTTCCTAGTCTTTAATAATTTGTCTGTTGATGATGATGATTCGTCCTTTCTTTTTACTGGAAGCATCTCTGCATGGGTAGGGTCTAGACTCCTTTGTTGTTGATGTGAATGGTTGTAATATCTACTACTACTACTCGCTGCTGATGCGTCGTCAAAGGAATGAATGAATGAATGATGAATAATAATAATAAGAAGAATAAGAAGAGGTCTATGTAGTTGTTGAGGAAAGTATTTTGTTTGTTTGTTTGTTTCTGTCAGATGATGATTGTTTACTAAAAAATTGTATATGATGATTCTCTCATAAATGCTATGCTATAGAGTCTATGTATATATGTATTTGCTAAATAATAAATGCTAACTAACTAATAACTATAAAGAAAGAATAAATAAATTAATATATAAATAAATAAAATGATATGATATGATTTGATTTGTTTGTTGTTGTGATGACTGTATGTAAGTATATATAAATAGATGTGTATATTGTTGTTGCTGTTGTTGTGTATAGGTGTAATATTGTGTACAAGGGAGGGTATAATAATAATAATAATAATAATAATAATTAAGATGATATGGACAAAGATTGAGTGTACACTCAACAACAGACCAAGCTAATTACTATTTTTTTTTTTTTTTTTTTTGATTTATGAGAGAGGTTTTGGCCAAAACTTGAAACGTTGATTTCAAGGGAGCAGTTTAATTTGCGCAAGCAAGATGCAATCTTTGCGCAACAAAAGATAGGACACTCTCTCTAGAATATATTCTTCATCATCGATCAACACAGCCGCCGCTATCTTATCTGTCTATCTTAGTAGTCTACTAAAACTTGGAAATATACGATCGTATATGTATGTTGTGTATGTGTATGTGTATATGACGTAGATATTATAATATATATAATAGTAATAATAACAATAGAGATAGACAGATAGATAGATACTCTACTTTTTTAAAATTATTTTGGTGGTTCACGTAGTGGTATACTCTTGGTAATATTACTTGACTTGTTGTATATTGTACTGTTACTACTATTGTATAATATGCTACGATAAATATAGAGATATAAATAATAATAATATATACTACGACGTCGAAAAAACAACAACAATAGTAAGTACTACTTTAATAATAATAATAATAATAAAATATCAAATAGTAGTGATAAGGAAGGAAGAAAGGAAGAGGGAAAAAGGAAAATAGAATAATAAAAAAAAGGAGGTTGGGTTATCGTTTGCTTGCTTGCTTGGTTGTTTGTTTGCTTGCTACTACTATTCTCTTATTATATTTAAATTGACAATAATCGTCGCAACAGCAAACAAGAAAGAGATGAACAAATTGTTGATTTTTTCAACACCACTAGATACACACACCACTACCACTACCACTACCAAACCAACAGAACAACCACTATGCTCACACTCAACAGAACAAAAAAAGAAACAGCAGCCAGCCAACTGTAGTTGTGTCCTACCGCTGCTACTGTTGGTGGCGGACTCTTCTCTTTCGCTCGACCCATCTATCTATCAACAACTATGTGGAGCAGCAGACTACAACCAACAATAGAAACAGCAGCAGCAGCAGCGGTAACAAATAGCAGTAAATCAGTCATTCCTCCTCCTCCTCCTCCTCTTTCTTGTCGCTTAATGGATTATTAGTGCGACTATAATACACTTTTGTGGTCTGTCTGCCTGTGGGTGGGTGTTGGATAAGGAGGAGGAGGAGGAAGAGGATGTCAGTGGTAATAATAGTCCATCCTTTCATTTCCTTTCCATCCATCCATCCAATCCATACCCAAACTAGGTGTTATGCACATGTACTACTACTACTACTACTATTACCACGCAGCGAGAAATATATGTACATATAATACAACAATTCAAAAACATGAGCTAATTATAATATTCATCAAAAGGAATATTATAGTCATCATCATCATCCATCATCATCATAATATATATATGGTAGAGTTTTTGTTTTCGTTTCCATCGTCAACCAATATAACGACCAGCATGCTTGCTGCAGCATGTGGCACTAAGTTTGGTTTGGATTGGATTGGATTGTATAGGGTCAAACTTTTTCCTTTTCCTGTCCCATTCTCTCTCGACCGAATATTATTATCCACTGGGTATTGTTGTTGTTGTTGTTGTGGAATGTGTGGTGGGTGTGATCTATCTATCTATTTATCTATCTATCTATCAATCAATCCACATAATTATTGATGTTGATAAATATTCAAAAATTCAAAAACACAACACACTTTGTGTATCAACGTTATTCAATCATTGAATAACTTGTACTTTTGGGGTTGAAAGTTATTATTACCCAACTCTTCTTTCTTTTTTTTTTTTTTTCAATATTATCATAACAACAAGAGGAACTTCAACTTTTATTTCAATCAATCAAAATATAATTTCAAATCGATGATGTTCATGATTTATTAACATCATTTTTATATAGAGAGAGAGATTTTTTTAAAAAAATGGGTACAGATGATAGTACAACAACAACAAACAAGATATCGATCAATATTAAAAATGCAGAGGATCCAATACTTGCAGTTGAGATGTCTACATCAGAGCTGATTAGCCAATTAAAATATAGAATATTAGAGGAAAAGAAGAAACTGGGTCATAGAATACGACTTGTTTACCAAGGAAAGTTATTGTTGGATCATCAAACATTGGTAGATGCAAAGTTGACAAACAATTGCAATGTTTTATCATCTATTACAGTACCATTGGATTTGAATTTAGGTCAACCTACCTTTTCCTCATTACCAAATCAACCCATCCCTACCAACAATCAAATCCTTGTAAATAATAATAATAATAATAATAATAATAATAATAATGATAATAACCCTACTATAGTACATATTCCTCAACCTATTTCTTATAACAACAATAATACAACACCGACATTGACATCGGTATCACCACCAAATATATTATCAGCAGCAGAAATTCAACATAATCGAATACAAGAATTACTTAGGCAACAAAGAGATAATGATTTTATATTGGATATGGAAGCAAATGGTTTGGTATTGCAAAATGTTGAACCAGCTGCAATGGTTCATCATGAACAACAAACAAACCATACAATAATGTCAACAGGTCAAGGATCATTGATACGTGAAAGTTTAGAACTATTCTTGGGAATGGCATTTGGCATTTTGGTTGGACCAATCGCTCTCTTTTGGCTTACACGTGATTATCTACCAAGACAAATTAAATTGGGCGTAGTTGTTGGGGTTATCTTTAATATGGTTATAGGTTTAAGTAAAGTTACTTCAAGTGGTGCTCAAACTATTGTCTAAAAAAAGAGAAAAAGAGAAAAAGGTAATTTCCTTTTTTTTTTTTTTCCTTCTTTATAATACATTTCCTTTCCTAGTCAAATTTTAACTAGCCGGCAAATAAATAAATAAAAATGGTAATTCAATCATTTCCAAATTGTATAAAAAAGGTAATGGATTGGTTAGGTGAAACAATTTATTGGATTGTTTATTTATTTTTTCTATTCTGTTGGTTTTATATATTTAAACTTTTGATGTATTATATATATGTGTCAATCAAAAGTTTTTTAATAGTGTCTGTCCACAAATCCATTTGGTACATGATGTGATTTGGTTGGGTGAATATAGGATGAGGTTTTTAAATCTAATATACAATAGGTAGGTTTATGATGAGAGTTTGAGTTGTTATAATTATATTAAATTATTATTATTATTATTATTATTATTATTATTATTATTATTATTATTATTATTATTATTATTTTGATTATTATTATTAAAATTTAAATGGTCATGTTGAGAAGTATCTGGTGGAAACATTGAATTATTATTATTATTATTATTATTTGACTCGTGTCCATTATTATTATGTTGTTGTAAATTTTGATCCATTGATTGATTTAATAAAGTTGAAGTTGTAGATGTTGTTGATGTCATATTTGGTGATTCAGGAGGTGATTGGTTGTTGTTGTTGTTGTTTTCCAATGTAGATGTTGATGATGATGACGAAGAAGATTTCTTTGGAGAAGTGACTGATTGTTTTTTTCCAGATCCTCCTCCTCCTCCACCACCTCCACCGCCACCACCACCACCACTACTACTACTACCTCCATTCGGTTCTTTTTTCTCTGATTCTCTGTATTTACTTAGATAGGCTTTTAAAGGTTCAATGTAGTTGTCAAATCCAAGTGTAATCATTGCAGCAATAATGTCATCACCATTGATTGTTTTTCGTTTCTCTTGTAGACATCTTTCACTTGCTTCACTTGTAATAAAACTAATAAATTCACTGACGCAATCTTGTACCGTGTCCTTGGCGTCTCTTGCCACTTTGGCATTGTGTGGTAGTGATTTTTTCATGATACGTATAATGTTGGCAATTGGTAAATATCGATCATGTTCACGTCCATCTTCACCCATATGTTGTCCTCCATCATCTCCATCATCTTGATTTGACATCTTTCAATATTTAAATATATATATATTATGTTTGTGGAAACTAATTTAATTTTTTTGGAAAAAGAAAATGATTATTAATATTGGAAATAATTATAAATATTATAAATATTAAAACATATATATAAATATATTAAAATATATATCAAATAAATCGATCATCGTATGGTATGAAGTTACCTAACAACATGTTATTATTACTATAATTTAAATTAATTATATTCACTTTACAATAAACCCTCCTTGATACCATACGATGATTCAAATTTAATAAATCATTGAAACAATAACAACTACATACCACACAAGCACACACTCTCTATAGATTCCTATCTATCTGTTGAATGTCCCTTACTACTACTACGATTATTAGGATTAAAATTGTTTTTTTTAAAGGAGTGATCAAAAAAGTTGGATGTAGTAGGGAAAATTAATTTAATAATAAGAATAGATGTAGGAAGGAGAGGAAGGAGGAAGGAAGGAAGGGATGAATAATAATGTTTTACAACAATAAAAAGAAATAAACGACCTCCTTCCTCCTCCTCCTCCTCCTCCTCCACTCTTTGACAAATTCCAAATGGAAATACATATAATTCATTTTGTTGTTGTTGTGATGCATCCAATCGATGATGGTAAATGAGGAGGGGTGGATGTGGATTGCATTGACAAACCGAAAAACAACAATCGTGTTGTGGTGTGTGTGTGTTTTGGTGTGGTGTGATGAAAATAGATAATATCGCGACAAATTCCTAATTGATTGATACCATATATATATATATATATCGCATCCATCGCGCGCGCGCACATAGTATTATTAATTAGTTTGTAGTTGTAAAAGTAGTCGTTGTTGTTGTTGTTGTACTGATTCGAGTTAATATTAATATCCTAATCAAAACTTTTGGCAAGATATCCCAGATTGTGTAAAGTCCGGAATAATCATCCTTGGCAATCAATCCAATGGACCGACCGACCAACAGACTGACTGACTGACAGACTGCCATCATCCACCAAAAAGAGGAAGATAGAGATTCGATGAATTTGATTATTTTTACTTTTGATTATTAATTAATTAATTGACTTTTTGTATATGTGTTTAAATCTCGATCTTTGATGTTGAGAGAGAGAGAGTGATTGGTTTCCCCTTTTTAAAATAACAATATCTTGATTGATTTATAAATTACAAATTATCACACACTTATATATATTTATATAGATATATATATATAAATAGACAAATATGATTGATCAGTCAGTTCTTACCTACCCTATTTATTTTAAGAATATATATATAATATAAAAGGAATTTATATTATTGTTTGTCTTGTGTTGTTCACTTTATCTCTTCCTTTTAAGAATATAAATAAGTACGGGAAGGACAACAAACAAACTTTTTTGAATAAAATAGGTAAAGCAGCAGCAGTACTACTATTTTGTCAAAGTAACTGTCTGTCTTTAAAACTTTTACTTTCGATATTACCTATCTGCCTATCTCTCTCTCTTTATCTCTATCTATCTATGTCTTTGTATATCTATCTATCTATCTATCTATCTATCTATCTATTGGATGTCTGTTTGCTTTCTCATAGTTGGTGGAGGATGACCTCTTCTCTTTGCAAGCTCATCGTGCCATGGGGTCGGCTGTGCATTAACCTTTGGTTTCAACCTCTGAACGAGATTTTAAAAAGACAACCAATCAGCTTCCAGCTTTTTGAAACCAACGAAAAACAAAAAAAAGAAATAAAAAAAAATTAATTTTTTGACCAAAGGACACATCTCTTATGAATATTGATTGGTACAACGTGTCGCCCTTTCAGAATTGGTTATAAAATTTTTTATACTTTAAAAAAAAAAAAAATAAAAAAAGGAAGAACAGAGAGTAGAAAACCAAAATTGTAAAGCAAGTGGATTAATAATAATACTATTATAATAGTTCCATAAGATAACTAAATTTTTTTGGCGCCAACTCAAAATTGAAGAACAAAAAAAAAACTTTCATTTTTGAATTAATTTAATTAAAATCAGTCGATTGAAATATTATATTCAATCGGTCATCATTGTACAATTTACTTGTAATTTTAGAAATAGAGATAAATAGAGATAAATAGATATATATATTTATATATATATAGAATGAGCGATCAACAACAACAACCAATAAGACCATTGATAGAAGATAATGATGAAAGATCATTCTATGAGATATTAGGTGTCAATGAAAAGGCATCAGAGGGTGACTTGAAAAGAGCCTATTATAGACTTGCAAAAGAAGTTCATCCTGATAAGAATAATAGTCAAGTAGGGAGAAGAAAGAAAGAAAGAAAGAGAGGGGGTTTCATTAATAATCATACTAACCCCTTTTTTCTATTCCAAAGGAAGCAAAAGATCAATTCCAAAAACTTGGTAGGATTTATAATATATTAAAGGATCCACAAACTAGATCATTCTATGATGAAAATGGTGATGTTGAACAGTATGTAAACAAAAAAATATGATTCATCATGATGGTATCGATATTAATAATTCTATCTATCTCTCTTACTTAGAACTGAAATGGGATTAAGTGGAGAAGATATCTATGAATTATGGTTGAAACAATATAATATAGTTAGATTGACAGAAGAGAAAATATCACAATATTTCCAGAGTATAGAGAATGAAAAGAAAAAGTATGGATTGACTGTTAGTTCCGAGGAGGAACAAGATCTTTTAGACTTTTATCATAAAAAGAAAGGTGATATGAAATTGTAAGTAGAAAATATATACTTTAAGCCCACCCAATTAACCATATATAATATTTTGTAGGATCAAAGAATATGTATTTAATTGTGAAACTAAAAAAGATATTATTAGAATGTGTGATCATTTAAACAAAATGATTAAAGATGAAAAATTACAAAGTTATCCTTTGTTTTATAAAACTGCTTCTTTATCACCAGATGACAATAGTACTTCCACCACTTCCACTGCTTCCTCTACCAGTACCAAAAAGGTTACAACAAAAAAGAAAAAAATCCAGCAACCAGTCGAACAAGATGTTGAAGATCAAGAGGAAGAAGAAGAAGATTATGATGATTTAGATATGATTGATGATGAAGAGGAAGAAGAAGAGGAAGAGGATAGTGGTGATGATGAAAAACCAAAGAAAAAGAAAAAGAGTAAGAGTACCAAAGTACCAAAAACAAAGAAACCATTAAAGAATAATGGTAAATCAACCTCCTCCAAAACCAAAAAACCAATAACAACAACAAAGAAGAAATCAAATAAATAATAATAATCATGTAGAATATAAAGGAATACAAACTGGAACAAAAACAAAAGAATTGAGGGACTATAGATTAAAATAGAACAGTCATTTAGAGATAGATGAATATTCTAAAATAGAAATAGAGTCATAGATCATCCATCATTGATTAGTGATGTGGAATAGATGTAGATCCCTTCCATTCCAAATTTCAAAAAGGGGGGGTGTCCAAAGTGGTAGATCTACTCGTCAAACAAACACGTTCTTCGTTTGCAAGATTTTTTAGACTTTGATTTTTCAATTTCAAAAAAAAGAAAAAAAAAAAAAATTACTTCTGCTGACGAACAAAACTTTCTTCTCAACGTGTCTATTCAGTTTATACTCAACACACTTTATTCATATATATATAAGTAATTACTAGTAGTAGTTTGTTTGTACAGAAATGGAAACAGGACCAGCTATCATTGATGTTGCAAGATTTCTTGCCAACCCAGAATCTGCTGAAGCTTTGGAAGATTGCAAAAACTTGGTAAAGACTCTTCAAGAGACATCATGTCTCGTCATCAAATCACCATTGGTTGATGAAGCTCAAAACTCAGAGTCAGTATTATATTATATTATATTTTTTGATCAATTTTGATTTATCAATCAATCAATCATCTGATTTCTTTCATTTTTTTGATATTAATTCAAATACTTTACTTTTTTTAGATTTTTAGATATGATGGAACAATATTATGAACAACCAACTGAAGTATTGATGAAAGATGTTCATCCAGAATGGTCATATCAATTGGGAGCTACACCAGAGTTTACTGAAGAGCCACGTGATCACAGTGAGGTCATCAAGGCATTGAAGCCACAATATGCTGCCCATGCCCCAAGAGGTGCCGACCCAAAGTGGAGATTCTTTTGGCGTATTGGAGAGCGTCCAGCCGAAACTGAGTTCCCAGAACTGAACTGTCCACCAGTTATCCCTGAAAAGTTCCCACACTGGAAGAACGTCATGGACACTTGGGGCAGCAAGATGTTGTCATCGATCGAGACTGTCGCCGAGATGGTTGCCACTGGTTACGGATTGCCACGTGACACTATCACCAAGATGATGAAGAACGGTCCACATCTCCTCGCCCCAACCGGCTCTGATCTCAAGCGTTTCGGTAACCTCGACCAAATCTTTGCAGGTTTCCACTATGACTTTAACTTGCTCACCATTCACGGCAAGTCGCGTTACCCAGGTCTCTACATCTGGTTGCGTGACGGTACCCGTGTTCTCGTCAAGGTGCCAGCTGGCTGCTTGTTGTTACAAGCCGGCAAGCAACTCGAATGGGTTACCGGTGGTGACATTCTCGCCGGCTTCCACGAAGTCGTCGTCACAAAGGAGACTGTCGACGCTGTCGAACGTGCCAAGGCTGAAGGTCGTTCCCTCTGGCGTATCTCTTCCACCCTCTTTGGTCACGTTGCCTCGGACCAATACCTCCGTCCACTCCCACCCTTTGAAAACCAAGAAACCCTCAACAAGTACCCAGTCAAACTTGCCGGTAAACAATCAGAAGAAGAACTTCAAATGATTGCTCTTCAAAAGAAACAAGAATAAGAAAGAAACAAAAGAAAGAAATCAAAAAGAATGAAGAATAATGAAGAAAGAAAGAAAGAAGGTGAAAGAAGAAAAGAAAGAAAGAATTTTTTAAAAAGAGTAGACAAAGACAAAGTGTAATAAAATAATAATTGATCATTAAAGTGTTTAATGATTCAATTTATCACAAAACCAATCAATCAGATCAGCCCCTACGTACCACCCGTGGATTGGGTAACCATTGCAATTAATGGGAGAAAGCCAAGGGGTTGGTTGTAAAAAAACATCGAAACGTTATGTTGAAATCTTCTATCGATCTAATCTAGATTAATGCGGGCGCAAAAATAATAACAAAGAGAAAATTAATTGTTGTGAGCGCCGTCGTTGGTCAAAGCCTAATCCCCTTCTCTTCCTCTTTTAACAATTAACAAATAGATAGATAGATAGATAGATATAGAGATAGATAGATAACATCATTCATCCAGTATACTAGTACATTTCAATATATATTTCAACAATCAACAAATAACAACAACTACATTGTTTCAGTTATATTAGTATAGTCTATTGGGTTTGTTAGACAATACCATATACTCAATTGTTTAAATAATAATAATAATAATTGATCTAAATTTAGATATATCTAAAATACAACAATTAGTTAAATAATCCCCGACCCCACCCCTACACTCACCACAATTGCAAACAATATAGATAGATCATTGACAATATAGGCAGTAAAAAGTATATACAAAGAGATAATAATAATAATCATATTCATTCATTATTTTTATTGTTGTTGGGTAAGTTTATTTTTTATCTATTGTTGTTGATGTTTGAAAAGAAGAAATTAAATTCTATATATTCTGTAAAAACAAGTTGTGTTGATACTTTTGATTTGGTTGTTGTGGTTGTGGTGGGTGAGTTGAATCACGATCCATGATTTCATCTCACCATCTTGACAACAGAGAGAGGGAGAGAGGACACCCACCAATTGGTGAAGATGGACAAGAATTCTTACAACGCGATAATATTGACATTGTCATCATCCACATCACTCCACTCTCTTTCTCTCTGTTGTCTTCTATTTGCACATTATTTGTTAATCTTGTTGTTTGTTGTTTTATCAACATCATCATCATCATCATCATCATCCTTCATCGAGATTTCCCATTCTCCATCTTGCTCTCTTTTCAATCATAATATTTATATTTGTGTGTTTGTAAATCCAAACTAAAACAATCATCCACCAATCCATCCATTCATATTCAATTCATTGGTACCAATTAACTAACCAAACTGAACAATTTCATTCCTCCTCAATTATAGATAGATAGATTGAATTAAATAACAAACTCTTTTTCTATATAGATAAAAGGTAATAAATCAAATACTTTTTATTCTTTAATAATGGACTATGACGATAGTTTATTGGCATCACCAAGATTAAATTTACCACCTCCACCACCAATGGATTTTGGAAAATGGGATAACAACAACAACAACAATCATTCTTCTCCTACAATGGTGGCACCACCACCTCCTGTTTTTGATATTGGATCACTTCCACCTCCAGCCATGGATTTTTCTTCTTTACCTCCTCCCCCTCTTGTTGATCTAGCTCTTTTACCACCACCAATCGATTTTGCCATATCCTCTTCTTTACCACCTCCTCTATCATCATCAACATCGACAACACCATCAACGATAGAACTTGAAAAAGCAGCAATTAAAATACAATCTTGTTGGCGTGGTCATTGTGAAAGAAAACAATTCAAAAAACTTAGATTGTCAATCATTATCATTCAAAAATTATATAAAGGTTGGATTGCCAGAAAAGCCTATAAAAAACTATTGGAAGAGTCAAGATGGATGAGAGATATCCCTCCTCCTTCATCTGCCAAATTAAATATTGTAAGTATAATTAAAAGACAAAACAAACGATCAATTGTTACTAATGTTTGTTTGTTTATTTATTTTGTTTTATTTATTTAGGTAACAAGAACAAAAGGAATAACGGGTAGAAAAAGACCAACAAGAGGTGCAAAAGTAGCAACCAAGGAAGTGATTGATATGACACCAGCACCATCAAATGATACATACGATGAAGATGAACCATTGGAGAAACAAACACAACAACCAAAATTGGTCAATATGGGTAATAATATGTTGGTTCCAAAGTTTGATCCAACTGCAATTACCTTAAAGAGTAGAGCTGCTGCTGGCGGTGGATCAGTTGCAGCATTAAAGGAGCGTCCAGTCAGCGTATCCAATCCAGAAATGTTATTCAAATTGAAAAAGACTGGAAATCTATCATCCTCTTCTGGTGATGTTGAACCTGTCGACTCGGGTGCAGGTAGTAATAGTGCAGATTCAACACCAGTATTCTCACCAATCAACTTGAGAAAAACACCCAATCAACCACCATCATCATCGGGGTTGGGAAGCGCACCCAATTCCCTACCATCATCACCACTTGTACCATTAAAACGTGTTCAACAACAATCTGCCAATCCAATGGCATCATCTTTTGACTCTGCTTTTCTTCCTCCTCCACCTATGGGTTTCAACATTTCATCGGGTTCATCATCTCTCTCCAGTAGTAGTAATAGTAGTTTACCACCACCTCCATCATTTGAAGATCTGCCACCTCCTATTAGCACCGCAGCAACACTTCCTCCCCCACCACCCTCATTTGGTTCATTCCCACCACCTCCACCTATCCTCTCACCACGTGACCCAGTTCCCATCCCCTCTCCATCTTCTTTACCACCTCCCCCATCTCTATCCAATAATAATATTAATAATAATATAAATAATCTACCACCACCACCACTTGCAACATCATCAAAGCCAATTCCAAAAACTTCAAGATCAATGCTCAATTTTCCATTGCCTGGAGGTGTTAGTTCAACCTCCAACAACAATAACAACAATGAGCCCATCTTTGGATCTCCACCACCCATTCCACCTGTTTATAAAACTCCATCAAATATTCCTGCGCCAATCAAAGTTAATAATAATAATAATAATAATAGTAATAGTAATAGTAATCTACCACCTCCACCAACATTTTCAAATCTACCACCTCCACCATTACAATCATCCAATAATCTACCACCTCCACCAACATTTTCAAATCTTCCACCTCCACCTTTACAATCATCCAATAATCTACCACCTCCACCATTACAATCATCCAATAATAATCTACCACCTCCACCTAAATTTACGAATCCACCACCAACTGTACTACCATCTATCATTCCCAACCTTCCACCACCTCCACAATTTACTACTACAACCAAACAAAATATCCCACCTCCTCTTGTCACTAGTATATCACAACCAAAGATGACATTACCACCAATGATGGTCAAACTTCCTCCTCTACAATCAAATAATAGTATTAATATTCAAACACCCAATGTACCAGTAACAACACCAACAGCAACACAACAACAACAACAAACAACAAGACAATTAAAACCAGGATGGAGAGAATTTTCAACACCAGAAGGTAAAAAATACTATCACAACAAAGATGAAAACAAGACAACATGGGACTCGAATGAAGCTACCATTTCCCCAACCATCTCTCTACCACCTCCTCCAATGCCAGCCAATTTACCACCACCACCTCCACCTCTTGCATCAGAGGTTGCACATACAATCCCACAAGATTATTGGATTGAATATACAACTGCCGATGGTAAATATTATTACCACAACAAAACAAATAATACAACTGTTTGGAGTAGACCAACTGGTGTTGAAATTCATTTACCAAAACAACAACAACAACAAAATAATGGTAATAATAGTAATAATACAACTGCAACAACAGGAAAAACAACAACTGCAACACTACCAACATCAACTTCATCTACAAATATTGTCACAATGAACAAAGATGAAAAGAAAAGAGTTGGTGGTGTATTGAGTCTGTTCCTTAAAAAGAGACCAACCAAACAAGACTTGGAAACTAAATTTTTGGATCATCCTGCCGATGGAGCTACTAATCTTTCTGTTCAATCTTCTGAAAAAGGAAAAAAGAAAGGAAGAAAGTAAATTCAAAAATAAATATTTATAATAATAAAAATAATAATATATATTTATACTCACATTAAATTAATATTAGAAAAATAAATTATTTATTTATTTAATAAGATATAAACAAAACAACAATTATGGATAAAGATAGAGAGAGAGAGAGAGAGAGAGAGTAGACTTTAAATGTTGAGTTAGGGGAAGAGTAATAAATTTATTTATTTATTTATTTATTTATTTATTTTTTTAATCTGAACAAGTATTGGATTTAATAATATTCATTTTAAGTTTTGTTGTTTTTTTAATAATGTAAAAGGGTCTTTTCTTCATGAGAATTGATATGAGAGTTTCTCTTTGCTATCTTTCTCTTGTGACAGAAAAAGCAGCAACCAACAGTGATGACAATGACAAGGAAGGCAATGATTGAAAGTTGAATGATGACAGCTTCGATAATCATAGCACCTGCATAAGTTCCTGTATAGTCACAAGTTACAGAGCAAATAAAAACTCCGGTAGCATTGGAGAGGTAATTACCCCCATCACAACTAGCTCTCTTCCAGAATGTGGTTGCTAAAAAAGAATTATAATAGAAAAGAATAATAAGAAAAGATAAACTGTTAATTATATATATTTATAAATTTGATAAGCTATTTAAACATTCTATATGTTGAACCAACACAGGAATAATCCCCAGTTGAATTATTTAGATCACCATGACAACATGGACTGGTATCTGGGTAATCTGAACTATCATCGTGATTAGCCAAAACACTACAACTGTTGGCAATAAATAAAATAGCTATAAAGAGATAAAAAGAAAATGATAACTTGTTCATTTTTGATGAATGAATAAATGTTTGTGAGTATATTTTGGTTTGATGTTTATTGAGGTTTAAATAGGTTTCGGTCAACCCCAACCACCAAGTATAGCATCCGTTCAGGGATATTTTTTGACTTGTGGAAATGGTATCATCCATCAGACGATAAAGCACCATCAATCATTTAAAACAAATATCCCCTATCAAACCACCAAAGGTTTGAACGATTGATTTTTGTCAATAAAATGGGCTACATTTCAAAATTGGCAGCACTTTCAAAACATTTCACTGTGTTATGACAAGATATTAATTTAGCTCGAAAGAGCAATGGGTTCGGATTTGATAAACCCCGACAAGTCCATCAAGATATGGGTCGAATTTTCCTTCAACCTTTTGTTCATGTTACAATTCTCGAAGTTTCATGTCAACCTGGTTGATCAACAACCAAATTGGGACTTATCAACGATTCATCCTTTTAAGGGATCATTAGGTTCATTTATTCAGGTCTAGGCTTGAATATCTCACCCCAACAATTGGATACCGGTACAATACGATATTTGTCAAGAGGTAACGGTTTAAAAAGAATGGCCCATTCTCAATTGAGATCTCATGATCATGATGATAATGATGATGTCAATGAAAAATAAAGCGTTAAACACGGTGATGACGATATATAGGGGTTTAATAAAACCCGTTATCATGTCAATGGAAAATAAAGCATTAAACAAGATAATTTGTTGTTATTGTTTTTAAAAAAGAGTTAATAAAATATTTATAAGTTTTCTGTTGTTGTTTGTTTTGTTTTGTTTGTTATAGTCTATTTGGTTATTATTATTATTGATTATCTGTGTGTATTGATTTTTTAGATTTAGTTTTGAACGATAGTATCAATGACAGCACGAGTGAATTCCTTGGTAGAGGCGTTACCACCCATATCGGCAGTCAAGATCTTCTTTTCACTGATGACCTTGTTGACAGCGTTTTCAATCTTTTCAGCATAGTCGTTCAATTGCATGTGCTTCAACATCATTGAAGAGGCGAATAATAAACCGGTTGGGTTGACCTTGTCTTGACCGGCGATATCGGCAGCGACGTGGTGGGCACCCATTTCAAAGATGGCAGCTCTCTCACCGACGTTGGCACCGGCAGCCAAACCTGGACCACCAATCAAGGCGGCACCGACGTTGGTAACCAAGTTTCCGTACAAGTTTGGTGTAACCATGACGTCGAATTGCTCTGGCTTCATGACCAATTGCATACAACAGTTATCAATAATCATTGCATCAAAAGTAATCTCTGGGTATTCCTTGGCAACTTGTTTACATGTCTCCAAGAATAAACCGTCAGTCATTTTTCTTTTAAAAAATAGAAAACAAAACAAAAAGTAAGTAAATTTAGATCATCTTCATTCTGTTCATTTCTTTTCTATTTTTCAATCTTACTGAATGTTTGCCTTGTGAATACAAGTAACCTTCTTTCTACCGTTGGCTTTAGCATATTGGAAAGCATAGTGAGCAATACGGGTAGAGGCTTCCTTGGTGATGATCTTTAAAGATTGGACGACACCTGGAACCAAAGTTTGTTCGAGACCACTGTATTCACCTTGAGTATTTTCACGAATGACGACGAGATCGACAGTGACATCAGAGTGACGAACAGTGATACCTGGAATCTTCTTGCATGGGATGACGTGGGCGTAGAGGTCGAGAGCCTTACGTAATTCCATGTTACGTGATTGAGCACCAGACAAGATGTTGGTGTAGAGTGGACCCTTGAGAGCAACCTTGTTACGAGAGATAGAGGCAACGAGCTCTTGAGAGATTGGTTGACCACCGGAAATATCAAAGACTTCCCATTCGATTGGAACCTTGGCGGCTTGGAATACACCCATAACCGATGAGGTAATCTCTGGACCAATACCATCACCTGGGATAATGGTAACCTTTCTCTTATCAACTCCAGATGTATATCCTAAATAGGTTCTAATTGAACCAGCCTTTTGTTGAAAAATATGAGATTTGTAAGCAAATCGTGATGTTGGTGATTGATAATGAATGATTCATTTCGAAACTATAGTAAAGACCGGTATGTTTGTATATACACATCCACAAAACACTTCTTTGTTTGATGATAGATTGTCGTTTTTTTTTTTTGATGGATCAGATCTTTGATCAAAGTCTTGTTGCTGTATGTTTGTGTTGTACTACTACTGTGACTGACTATAGTTATTGTTATACTAAAAACCTACATTCTTTGAAGCGATTCTAACAGATGATGGGATGAATCTAGACAACATTTCTATCTATCTATCAAATATAGTACTATATTATCTTAATGCGCAATTATTACTTGTTTGCCTTCAGATCACACACCAGCAACAAGCGAAACGAAAAAAAAAAAAAAAAAAAAAAAAAAAAAAAAAAACAAACAAACTGACGAAAACCAAATTTGGATCATAGGTATCATCATTCATTGCAATTGATTGACTAATTGGGATTGTTGGTCAACCAATCTATCTTTTTTGCAATCTATCAAACTCAAACTCTATAGATTACACCGAGTACCGTGAATAGATTAATCAGATTGATCACCCATTAATGAATCTAATTGTCCAATTCGAATATTTGATTGATTGACCATATATATATATATATATATTTATACCCATCCCGTATTGCCAAACTACAATAATATATTAACCTCTAACTAACCACACACATACACATTATATATATATATTGGTTGAAAAGGTGAGAGGTGAGAGGTGAAGTAAGATGTTGACTGAATGTGTGTTTATGAGTTTTAAAATTATTTGAAGGGTTTCTATTTGATCTAAAGAAGATCTTACCCCCCTTACCCCACCTGCCACAGTCAGTATTATATATTACCAACTATAATTCGAGGTGTGACTGTGGTTAGAATAGAAATGGATAAAATAAACGGTGAATTTCAAATTGGTCTACCAACTAACTAAAATTTAAATAAATTATATATTATTTAATATAATTTCTTTCTCTCTTTCTGACTATTTATTAGTATTGGCGTGGAGTCACATTCCAATTCTAATTATATTATTATTATTATTATTATTATAAATATATACACAATTAAAAAAAAAATGATTAAAATTTGTTTATTAGTATTGATAGTATTAATCTCTATGGTTTATGCTGAATCAGAGCTTAAACCAAACTGTGCTGCCGTTCAATGTTTGATGGTCGAATGTCCATTGGGTCAAGCTTCGTATGTTCCAACTGGTCAATTGAGATTGAGTGGTTTGATATCAAGATGTGCAAGATTGTGTTGAGATAGTTTTTCAAGTATGAGGAATAATCGATGGATATATACCCATATTTCTGATTCTTCAATATATTTATATTCTGGACCAGGTTGTTGTTTTTGAGAGATATTCCTAAAAAGAGTTGTTCGTGTTAAATATGGTATGGTAAACATCTAATAATTAAAATGACATACCATTTAGTCATTGATTGAAATAATTGTTCCAAATCACCACCTTCACAGAAATGTGTCAAAATATATATCTTTTTTAAATCACTGTCATCTTGGTGATCTTTGTATTGCACAAACATAGGGTCACCGATGAATAGTTTCATCGTTGAGATTTCAAATTGCACTTTGTCATAAATTGATTGATTGGAGGTGTAATCTATTTCTTTGTAAACATACTAAAAGATAGGTTAAACATCAATGTAATTATTATATTTTTGTTTCGGATTTTACATGCTAATTCACCGGATTCGCTCATAACAAAGATTACTTGGTTGGCAGAGTATGGAAAAGAGTGTAATTTGAAATATTTGTGGTTGTTGACTGTAACATAATCTGTGGATTTGATGGGATATACCAGTAAATATTGGCGGTCGTAATGGATTGAGTTGGGATTTGGGTTGAATGTTGTGGGTGGGATGTTGTTCGGCCCCTTAGTCCACGATGATGTTATTTTTGAAAATTTGATATTTGGAAGTTTGATTACTCCAAGTGACCCTAATTTAATAAAGTTTCTGTTGGCAATCGTTTGTTTGAAATCAACTAAAACTCTTGTTGGCGAAATTTCTAAATATATATGACCAAACTTCAATGATTGTAATGATGATGGCAGTACTCCAACTGCTATTGGTTGATTATATCTATCACCAAACACCAATGATTGTAATGATGTTGGTAATACTCCAACTGATAGACGTTGATTATAGTAACCACCAAACACCAATGATTGTAATGATGATGGTAATACTCCAACTGGTAGAGGTTGATCATAGTCTAAACCAAACACCAATGATTGTAATGATGATGGTATTTCTCCAATTGATAGAGGTTGATTATATCTATAACCAAACTTCAATGATTGTAATGGTGTTGGTAATACTCCAACTGATAGAGGTTGATTATATCTATCACCAAACACCAATGATTGTAATATTGGATTGATTTTGTTCTCAACTGTATCTGAAGAAGTTTGTTGAGTGTTAGAGATATCGTTTGCTATCTCAGCCATTGAGCAGTTATTTAGCCAATGATTGTTAGACTCATGTCTCCTCAAACTTGTGCGTCGTCAACTGGAACAGGTCATGATGGATCATCAATGATGATGAATGGTAGCGATACAATTCCTGTAGGTGGTAGTGGTGGTACTTCCAACAACAATACTCATTTAGGTAATATAGAAGAAGAACAATCTATACGTGAGGATATACCAGCATTCTTGGCACGTGTAGTATCTGAAAGTGAAGAGTTGCAGAGTCACATTCTCGAGTACTTGTAGTCTGGATACCACATCTTGTGTGATGTAACGGTTAGTCACGAGGTTACTTCGAACCTCTAATCCACCAAACACAACCAACTCGTTTAATTTGTTGAAAATGTCCCATCGCAAAGGAGACCCAAACCCATTGACCTGTTCAAACGATTTTGTATCTTGATTCTTGACCATGTAGATGACCTCGTCGTTTATGTCATCGTAATAATGGTCATGTAGAGACGGGTCGAATGCAATCGGGTTGTTGTTTGTCCACGAGACTGATCGAGTAGTTCTAAAAAAGAATCTATCGTTTACAGCCAATTCCAGTCTTTCACATTTGACATTTGTCTCGACAACAATGCATATACTTCATACGAGCATATCAATGAAAGAAACTCTAAACTATTATTTATACACGATGGGATTGGTCCAGACACTTCTTCCTCTTCTTTGCTGACCTCATCATCCAACTCGACCAGATCCATTAGTTCATAGTTGTTAGAGTCTGCGTAGGGTTGGTATAACCTCTTTAATTGTCGTGCTTTGGCGTTATAGTCATGATATGAATCGATGTTAACGACGCATGTCAAAGGTTAGACGACAGGCCATCCTCAATAAAGAGTCGTCGGGAGACCCAGCGACCGTGAGTGACTCTAGTTGCTTGAGAGATACCAATGCATCACCAATCTCCTTGCTATACATTTCACGGCTCGTGTCTGCAAAGTAAAATGAAACTGACCTTAACATCCAACCAATACTGAAAAGTTCAGGTAATCTTTTAATATACCTTGGTGTCACTTCCACTCCCATCTTTGATAACGATTTCATCATTTGTTGTCTTGTATCACTTGTTATACTTGTACATTTTAAACTCATTATTGGTCTATTATCTGAAGAGGATGAAGAGGAGGATGAAGAAGATGAAGAAGATCTACTATCTTTTTGAATTAAACTTTGTAATACATGATGATAAAATAGAATAAAGATATTTGATGAAGTAAATTCTATGTCACCAGAGGAAAAGAGTGAATAGGGTACAATGTTGATGAACCAGTACCGACAGACACGTGATACTTTTTTGATGGTGTCTTTGGTTGGTGGTAGGAATGATAGGATATGTTTGACTATAATATCGGGTACGCCCAATTGATTCGATTGTACATATTCTATTGTTTCATTATGAGGGTTAATTCGATACAATAATCTTTTTAAAAATAATGCCATGAAATAGAATAGAAATACAAATAAATAATTAAATAAATAAATAAACACAATGACACAATTGTGTTGACAGTTACATTTATCTGTTTGTCTATTTCGGGAGAGGGCTATGTGTTCTGTGATTGAGCACAAATCGGTGAAACCAAGAATTTTTTTTAATTTATCTGTAATTTATTTTGGTCTTGCCTCCTGCATGATCGGTTGATAGTCTTAATCTATATCTTGCTTGTTATTATTACTTATTTATTATTAGAAAATAGAATACAAAGATGATGAAACAGATAATTGTTATTTGTATTTTAGCTAGTTTATTGATTGTTGGATCGAGCGCTCAACAACGATGCTCATCAGAATACATTATACGAGCTAAACTGGCTTATCCTCATTTAGCACTTTGGTGGTATCTATGTCTATTCTTACTATTTATATAGTATATAACTTGTACCTGGATGGGATGGTTGGTATTGGCACCTGGGACAAACAAAAAACAATTAAAATTTCGCACGTTTTTTGCATGAAAAACGCAAATGAGTTAACTCCTGCGATGCGAAGAATTTTGCAATTTATACAATTAATTAATTAAATGTATAAATAATTTATCTTTCCTCTGATCAATAGAGAGATAGAAGTGAATAATAATATATTAATCTATTTAAAAAAGACCTTAATAATAATAATAATATTTATTACTCAATGTACATATTTAATAATAGTGTCATCTTTATATAGATCATCATTATTAGATGAAAAACCAGGTCTATTGTTCATCTTCATCTTCATCTATTTCTTCTAAGTCTTTATCTTCTTCATCTTCATCTATTTCTTCTTCATCTTCATCTATTTCTTCTTCATCTTCATCTATTTCTTCTTCATCTTCATCTTTATCTTCTTCTTGTTCTTCCTCTTCATAAACATCTTGATCATAATCTATTTCTTCATATTCTTCATCACCATCTTCCAGATCGTTGTAGTTCTTCACATACCATTTCATAAACTCTCTCTTTGGTGGTTGGTGAACCCAATAGTAATGGGGATGGTTGTTTGGAAGAGTAATTATTTGTTGACCTGATTTGTCGTTGATACATTTCCAAAGTTCGTTGTCCAAGTTCCATAAATTGTTCATCCAACTATAATGTATACGGATGAGAAGAATACCATTATCCTTACAATATTGATTTTTTACCAAATCCCTTTGTCTCTGTCTATCGAATCCATCCGATGTTTTGTTGAAATACGAGAAACTCTTTGGATCAAAATGTTGTTGACCATCAAATTCAATATGAACTTGATGGTCATTCAACTTGAAATCATAGCAAAGTCTGTTGAGTGAGACTGGAGTGTGTTCTGCCGCGAATGACAATTCATGTTTCTGTAAATACTTTTCAACAGCCATTTCACCATTGGAACGTGTATTGTTACATTCCCCACAAGGAAGGTAGTCGTGTCTTGTCAATTCCTTGATGGTTTTGGTGTTGGGGTGATTTTTACTACAATAATACGATGCTTCTTGTAAAAATTTTTTGCACTCATAGTTGGGATCTGCCATTCTCCCTTTATGCGACTCTACCCAACCAACAACACGAGAAGTTTTCCTAATAGATTAAAAAAACAAAAAAAACAATTAATATATTCATTAATTTTAATTTAATTAAAATCATATTTTCTACTTACACATCTATGGTGCAAAATTTGCAAAGAACTATTCTTTTGTCGATATAGTATAGAAAATTAATCGTTTGTTTTTCACTGTGATTAATCTTGTTGCATACAAAGGTTGCCTTCTTTCCTTTGACCGAATTTGGGTCGAGAGTACACCCTTTCTCTGCTGCACGTTCAACCCAATTTGCCTTGGTGGCTTCGAGACGGCATTCTCTACAAGAGTTTGTGGACCTTCGAATATCATGAAAACTTTTGTTTACAATGTGCCCATCTTTACACATCATTGAGATTTTGTCCAATTTACGAGCTTTGATGTCCTCTTCTTTCAAAAGGGTAAATCCTCTTTCCTTCAAAAGTTTACCACGATAGATTTTTATCTCTTTGGGCGTTCGTCTTTTAGATTGGTTTGGTTTGACACTAGAATAAATAAACAAATAAAAAGTTGGTTAAAATATTTGATACAATAGTTGTTTAAGAGTTGGTCAAATATTTAACAAATACATACCCAAGAAGTGTTTTGCAATTGGCCACGTGAGTAACCAAATTAGGATTTGCTGATTTCAAGCCACTATCACTCCGTACCCTCCAGATTTGATTGCAATGTGGACATTGAATTCGGTACATTAGTCCATCCTTTTCAATCGTCTTGAACCCATACTTTTCAAAGACATTATATTGACATTGAATACAAGTAATCAGTTGTGTTACTCGTTGTTGGGCCAATGTATTTATGACTCTTTTAATTTTATGCCCATTGGGACATAAGAAATGAAACTTTTCAGAGGTTGATATGTACTCAGAACACTCGTGGGTGTTACATTTGTTTTGTTTTATTTTGTTTAAAACTTTGACTGCCGGTACCTAATAAATTAAAATATTAAAAAATAAATATATGTTGGTTGAAAGTATCATGATTTATAGTATTTAAATACATACTTGTATTCTTGAGAAAGGGACAGATGTCTTTACTTTAAGCTTGTACACACCTCTTTCTTGTTTTTCAAAATCAGATTGTTTGATCTTTTCCAAAGTTTTATCACTGAGTTGATAATAATTATATTGAGACATGTTTGATAAATAATGAAAAATTGTGGAAATACGATAAATTAAAAGAATTAATTGGGAACTGGTGAATTTGAGATAATTTATAAATTAATAAAGATACAGTGAATTGGTAAAATGAACATACAAATTGGTTGGTTGTTGTGAAGTTGATGTTTTAAAAAATGGATTAAATTGGGTGAATGTTGAATAAACAAAGATACACTGAATTGGATAAAGATATACACTGGATTGGTATAATAAATTACAAATTGGTTGATTGATGTGAAATTGATTATATAGACGGAATGGTTACTGTTGAGAAACAACTTTACAATAGATAATTATAATATTCACACAAAAGATAAAGATATACACTATAGTTTCAATAAATTACAAATTGGTTGATTGGTGTTAAATACACTGGATAGTTATAATAAATTACAGATTGGTTGGTTGTGAAATTTGATAGTTCTATAAAATGAATTCTATAGAGTGAATGGTGAATGTTGAGATATTAAGCTACAAATGATGACAATTCCATGATGATTAACAGATATTTGATTATATTAAAAGTGAATAAAGTGTAGTTGATGAGAAAATCTAAAGGAAATAGATTGATGTGATTTGAATCTAGATTCTATTGATTGCAAAACTATGATGATGGTCTTTTATATTAGATAATAGATAATAGAGATAATAGATAATAGAGATAATAGATAATAGATAATAGAGATAATAGATAATAGAGATAATAGATAATAGATAATAGATAATAGATACAATGATTGTTGGTTGCTAGATAATAGAGATTGGGTGAGAGTGAGAGTGAATGTGATGTTCATTTTTTCCCTTTTTTTTAAATTTTTTAAGTTTTAATAAAGTTCAAAAAAAAAAATAATTAGTGACCAGTTTGTATAGACACTAGGACATTGTCAATACCCTTGTTTCTGACACAGTAACTGGTTTTGATATGATGTACAAGCCGACACTGGCATCTCAATCGTACCTAGAATGTATCGATGAGCACAATTAAATCATCAACTTTTTGGGAGGATGTCAATACTATTCTTGCAATAGAGGTCCTTTATCAAGACTCATATAAATCATATACCATCAATAAAGAAAGATCATAAAAGAAAACCCAACTTTCTTTCTTGTAGTTGAACAGATATATCTATTCAACTCCGATTGGCTTGCAGACCAACAAAAATAATTCTTTTTTTTGTTTTTTTCACATTTTGTGCGTTCTTGATGAAATGTTTGTTCATTTGATTTTCTTCAATATGTTAGTGCTAGTGTAATATATAAGATATAGAGAGAGAAGAGAAAATAACTTAATCAGAATGCAAGAACAGATACAATCAATCATCTATTTTATTGTGATTTAGAAAGTGATACAAAGATAAGCATTGTTCAATCATATATACAATAGACAAGACTTGATTCTCAATCGGGAAAGCACCACAACAAAATAACAGTAATAGTAACAATAGTAATAGTAATAACTATGATAGTAATAATATTGATATGACTACTCTAGTACAAGTAACATATCAGAATCTGTACAAGAATACAAAGAATCTCCACTTGAACAGTTACCTTTTTCATTGGACAATGATATATGTGGCAATTATCATTCTCAATTATTCTCAATGGATGCATTAAAGTGTGTAGTTATTGGAGCCGATTAAATTGGTGGCATTTTATGTGAAATCAATCTGGCGCTAGAATCAAAATCACTTGATCTCTAGAAATCATTGTTCCATTTCGTTGCTATTGGTTTCAAATCAACAATCGTATAAATCGTAGTTATCGTTGTACCATATTTTGTCACCCTTTAGCCAATTTAAAGCACTTTCCAAACAATGTTTACGAAACTTCAATCTATACAACATTGTTTGAGACCAACCACATAACATGTTTCTTGGACAACTCATACCTATTGGACCAAACTCACCATTCATCTATCAAACTCTTACCTTTGTCAAATTGAGTGATGTCTAGACCCAGTAATTTCCAAAACTTGACCGACATTTGCAAAGGTCCATTCTACCCAGGTAAAACTATTATTGAAATGATGTCATCAACATATTGTCGACCAACTTCGACCTCATCACTACAACATTTTGCAAGAATGAAACAAATTATCTCCAAAGGGTGATATGATTGGTAATGCAAGTCGTGGTGAATGGGGTCAATTCGAAGCCGTAAAGAGTGAATCGACTGTTACTGCAGTAAAGAAACCGGCCGCTGCTGCAGCTGTAAAAGGTGCATTCAATCAACTTGGTCAATCAGCTGTATTATCAGCACCAGGTAGTTCGGCATTACAATTATTAGCCAACTTTACCAAACACCGTGAAATGTTTGGTACTGGTAACTATGAAATTGAATAAAAGCCAACCAAAAAGGTCAAGGCTTGTTTGACAGTTGACTTGAAGTTGCCCAACCTAAAAGTCACAAGATGGTGTATCGTCGCACCCGCTCCACCCTCACCTTTGCAGACACAAAACATTACTCGACATTAAAATCACCACCTTTCTACAAAAGACTATTGAAACATGTAGCGTTGATCCTTTACCATTGGATGATGGGTAGTACCTGAACCAATTTAATATCTCCAACTACCTCCAGGTACAACACTTGGAGTTTATGTGCAGTGTCTCGGAGGATTAGTATGAGAACCAATCTACCTTGCTCAGACAGTCCAAGCCAAGTCGAACATTACCAAAAGATATCTACAAGTGGTTATTCCATATACTCAAGAGCAGTCTCTGCCAGAATATTCCACAAGACTGCCAAACACTCCTCCAAGCCTGTCTTTACGTATTGGTGTACTCTGGTGATTTGAACAGTAGTGTTCTCTATCTTGGCACATCACTGTGTGTTGAACAACTTGGGTGCCCAGTTCTCGATCATTTTAAATGACAACCATGGACATTCAATGATGAAGAAGGTTATGAACAAGTGGCTGGTTACCAAGTTATTTCACTGCCAGAAAAAATTCAAAAGTCTTCCATTTCTACTTTAAAAACAGCTGTTTTCAGTATATGCTGGACGAGTTAATATGAAAAAACCGAATTTTTACACGCGGACGCCTTTCTACTGTTCGAGGTTTTCTGGCAGTGTTGTGACACAATTCATTGGAAACCTCCTCTGCATTGAGAGTCCATCTGGTGTTGGATTCTCGTACAATGAGGATGGAAACTATACGACTGGTGACACTCAAACTGCTGAAGATAATTTGGCTGTTGCCAAGGGTTTCTTTGAACTCTTCCCAGATTATGCTTCATCTCCTCTTTTTGTTGGTGGTGGTATGTTATTATGATATTATATGTGTTCATATAGAGACAATGTTATTGTTTATTTGATATTAATTAGTTTATTTATTTTAATTATTTAGAATCATATGCCGGCATTATAATAATACCACAAGTAGCACAATAAATGGTACAAGATTCATCGATAAACATTCGTGGTATTATGGTGGTAATCCATCATTTAATTACACTACCGATGCACAATACTATATGACATTTATCCAAAACTTGACAGATATTTGCAAAGGTTCATTCTACCCCGGTACAACTGAATGGTAATGATGCCATCAACACTCTCTCGACCAATCTCCATCTAGAGTTTCTCTCTCTCTCTGCCAGTTCTAGTAAACAACAACAAACATTAAATCAAGAGTATTAAAGGCATATTATATATTCTAGAAATCATTTAGAAAGAGAACAAAGAGAACAATCAAGGTTAAATGGTCGCATATATGAATGTATCATTCAACCCTGTCAACTTTTACTATTGTTATGATGACCTTGAAACGGTCATTTTGCAAATAGTAGATGAAATCAATACATTTGGTGAAACTCATCTTTATTTTCCTCAACCTTCAATCTTCATCTGCACTTCATCTTCTTCATCTTCATTTACTTTGTCAAACAAACAATTAAAATATGTATTAGATTATAGTCACAAAAACTTGACTAATACATATTCAACTCGTTGGATGGTGCATATGACTTTTGTTTCTCTGATATTCAACAATGCTTTGATATTCGAATAGATTATGTAGATGACAAGATATGGTCATCCGAAACCATTTATTGGTATGCCATTGACATTGTTTAATATATCGAAAGTGATTGTTGGATATCCTCTCTGCATACTTGACCATTCCAAGAATCATGTGGGAACGTGGTCTTTAAGTATACGCCAACCCCAACCCACCATCTATCAACACCACCATCATCTTCATTCCAACTATCGTGTCGTAAATTCACTGGATTACCTTCAATCCTTTACAAGGGTCATTTTATTATTACCCTACCAGATAAACAATTAATAACTATCAACAATAATGACACTGACAATCCAAATGAAATGATCCAACCAATTTACTTTATTATCAGATACCAAATCACATGTCATGACAGTACCATTTACACATTGGTCACAACGTGGACCTGAAAATGATGACTTGCAGATACAAGAGTTGTAATAACAGTAGGCATATGGACCACTGAGACAATGGTATGTCTCGGTACAAGAAGATACTGATCCGTCGGCGAGGAATGGTACACAGAATGGTTCACCGTAGTTCCATTGAACGGTACCCCCAGCACAAGTTTGACAATCAGATCCTGTGAAACCATTGACACAGTTGCAAGTTGACGTTTTGAGGTATTGTTGGTTGGAGGGGTCGTAGAGAGTGCTGGTGACAGTGGTCTGTTGACTGACCTTTTTGACCTGGTCCGAGGTGGTGTAATAGACAAATTGGTCATCTGCAACAATCGATTGAATCCATTGTTCTTGGACAAGGACAAATGGTTGAGCTACATTGTCCAATGGCACACGATACATGGCATCTTGGCTAGAGTAATAGACGAATACTCTATTACCTGCTTTATGTGTTGCAAAGCCTTGGATCTGGAAATCAACGGCGAATAGGGTGGTTGCAGAAGTACAGTTATTACAATTATCAGGTACTGTCATGACATGTGTTTTGGTGACACCCAACAAATACTCGTAGTGTACAAAGTACAATGTATTGCCTTGTTTGGACAGAGCTGCACAATCTCCCCATTGAAGGAACGACATGATGGGTACAGAGGTTGGGATGACTCCGGGTGTAAGAGGACTGTACTTTTTAATACCTTGATACCCACAACCAAAGAATTCATTTGGATTGTTACCATTTACAAATCCCTTGAATTGAGCAGAATACTCTTGAATTAAATCAGTGTAAGTTTTGGTAGATGGGTCATACAGAGAGACAGTTGGATTGGCTCTGAAACGTGGCATGACGACTACTGGACGACCACCTGGAGCAATACCAACCAGACCATTAACATACTTGATATTGAACTGTAGATGTGTACGGTTCTCTCCAAAAAACTCCAACTTTTCAACGAATCCCAATGGTCCCTGAGTATCGATTTCAATCAAGAATGCATTTCCTTGAGTTCTTCCAACACTTGTATTGTAACGACCAGTCAGCGATAATTTGTGAGTGACAGGATCCAAAACTAAACCTTGATAAATGGCAATACGATTCTTGCAAAAACTATTTTGTAAACCTGGACATTCCAATCATAATCACATTCAAGTGACAAAGATTGATTAATAAATAATAATGAGTGTTTAATATTTTCATAATTTTTTTAAAATAAATGTGCGAACTCAATCTGGGCGACTTTTTTATAATATGAAAAATAAAAAAAATCGATTTTTTGTTGTGATTTTTGATCGTTGTACTTTTTGAACATCATTTAAAAAAAATTATTGATAATAAATAGATAAATGAAAAGAACAGAAGAAGATATACAACTACCTAAATTCGCGGTTAAAATCCGCAAAGATGTGTATCAGTTCAGAATAGGTAAAAGCAAATTAGTAGGTAAAAGGTTTATTGAAAAGTTACGAAGTGTTTGCGCTCTAGCTGGGCATAGATTGAATGCTAGTATGATAAAGAAGATCGCGGAGTATCTTAAAATAGAAGGAGACCCTCTAGAAGGTTGTTTTGAGCGATATCTTTGCAAAGCATTCATAGAATATTATAAGCACAAACAAAACGATCTCCACCGAAAGTTTATTCTCGCACAGTATGTAACAGTATAACCAAAAGATAGACAATAGAGTGTAGTTTCTAACTATATCGATAGTATACTTAGATATATGAGAGACAATGGAATAAAGTATCAAAAGAGTAACTTCGAAGATTATGGTATGATTATAGGTTCAAGAATTTGGCATTCGTCAAGGGAAATAGAGAAGGAAATGATAAAAGATAATGATGTATCTACAACCAGTAACTCAAATGTAATATATAATGATATCATATAGTACAAATATCTATGTTTTATATATTAATAGTAGTAAAATTTGATTTTCTCTATATAATTTGATCCAATTGCAGCCAACTCTCGTATCAAGTACTACAACATCATTGCCAAGTAATAGAGACCCAAAAACCCCCATAAATATAGACAATACAACACCCAATGGTGGTGATTCAATGATGGCTATAGTAAGTGATACGATACCATTGCAATCTGACGTCCAATCAACGCCAATCTTGAACCAAAGTGATTCCAATCTAAATGCGAATCAAGATCCAATGGATACGAGTGACGACTCTGCCATTTCAAATATGTCAAAAAAAAGATTATCTAATATCTCTGACCGAATGGTTCTTGACTCAACTCCTCCAATGCCAAATACAACTCCACTAAACAACAATAATATCAACAACAGAGAAAGCTCTACTCCTCCAACAAATAATAACAAAAAGGGCAAAAAAGATAAAAATAGTAGTACCTCCAACACAAACCCACCCCAACCTTCATTACAGTCTCAATATGCCAACATTCCTGTTAATAACTATTATTTGTTAAAGAAAAAGCAATCAATTACCGCTGCAAAAAGAGAAGCATCGGTTAAATACTTTGCCGAATATAGCAGCGTATTCAAGTCATCAGCTCATGATGTTTGTGTTCTTAAAAGAAAATCAGTAAATAATCCGGAATCGGATACGAGAGTAGTTAAAACATACTCGATGGGCATCAAGGAGCTATATTACTTTTACCTACTGCACACAAAGGGGTATAAAGTACCAGAAAAAAAGGCTAATAAAAGACCTGGAAAAGAACCAGTCAATCCATTCAAAAAAAATTATACATCTGGCTCAGACAACTACCATTATATGTATAATATAGGTGGCCAGTTTGTAGGTGAAGAATTGATGGATTCCGTTTCAGATTTTGCCAAGGAATATCAATTTGTTCCAATGTGCTTAAATACCTTTAAAAAGTACCTTCCTCCACATATAAAGAGGGCAAAAAACAGGAATGACATGTGTAATACATGTGAAGATCCAAATATATCAAGTGGCGATAAAGATAAACACAAAAAAGCAGCTGGGGAACGAAGAGATTTATACAAATATCAAAAAAAAAACCTCAATAATGGAGAAGTTATGTTTACCATAGATTTTAAACAAAACATCAACATTAACAAGTCACAAACTGAAGTAGGCAAACAGTTTTACAATGCTGTCCATAGATCTTTTTATGGCATTGTAATGCACTACAAGGAAGGCAATCAATATAAAAAATATGTGTTTGGGTAAGTATTTAAAATTTTTTAATCAATTATTATCCTTTTTAAAAATTACTATGGAAATTAAATAGTATACACCAAATACTATATATTTATATTTTGGATTTTTAAAAAAGATTATAATTTCAACAAATTTACCTTCAATTTTCTAACCCATATTTTTCATTTTTTCATTTTTTTTACTCAACTTTTTATCTATTGTTTATATAGAAATATTTCTAGGGTTTTGGACAAAACTTGTAATTTTGCTGACATTAGCTTTAGAAATTTATTTCAAAGAAAAGAATTCATGGATTTGTTTGGTTGTACAAGGAAAGAGGATTTATTTGGAAAGGATGGAAAAATTAAAAAATTTATTATTTGGTCAGATAATGGACCAACTTTTAAAAACTTTGAATGGATTTATAAGGTTTGGCAACTTGGTAAAACTATCAATTGCATTCCAATTGATTTGGAATTCTTTTCTCCGAGCCACGGCAAATCAGATTGTGACATTTTTTTTGCACTGATTTCTCAAACAGTAAAGAGATTTCAAAGCCATCCCGACTCAAATCATCAAGATAATAGAACAACACAAAATATGGTTGATATATTAAACAAAAGGCTAACCGAGTATGGTTTGGACACTAGAAAAAAAGGACATTATCGAGCCACCGTTTATAATTTCCCCTCCATCACAGAATTTCAAGAGTTTATCCAAAGTTGCAATACTTTTAAAACTCTTGACGCCTTTTATGAAAATATTGGTGTGGCCCTTGGAAAAGATGTTGAAGAGAATGAACGTATGTTATTTTGGATTTTGCAACTTTTAATTTCTTTTGATTTTAATATAAAATATTTTTTTTGTGAATTTTTTTTACTCAAAAAATTCGATTTTTTCCAGACACACTTTCAACCTCACAATCTAAACTTCAAAGAACTCTCAATGCACTACAAGATGCGTATAAAGAAGTAGAACCATCAGATACATACAGTGAATATAGAGTATATTATCCTTCCCCACAAAAACCAGCTTTTTTAAACAAGACCTATAGTTTTAAAACAAAAATGGAAAATGGAGAATACTCAATCTTTTATCGACCATGCGACAATGATCCTACAATCCAAGATGATAAACCCGTTGAGGAGGTACCAGAAGAAGAAGAAAGTTCCAGACAAACAGAAACAAACAACAATAATGAAAAAGAAAACAACAAAGTTACATCGAATAATGATGCCAGTAATTCAACCAAACAACCAACAAGAAATAATAATAATGTACAACAGGCTTTAAAGAAGGCAAATATAAAGTTTTTCATCAAAAAAATCATCGTTAATCAAGCTCCAAACAAAGAAACAAAGATTGGACATGAAACACCTGCCAACAAGGGTCCAAAGCCAAAAAAACAACAGGAAACATCAAAAACTACTACAATTGAAATACTACGTGTTGTAAGAATGACAAATATACATGATGCAGTTGTTTCGGACTATGTAGAAGAGAACGAGACACCAAAATCACCTCAACTTCCAAAATTACACTCACCAAAACAAACCAAAAAAAAAAATAAGAAAAAAAATAACAAACCAAATAATAATGATACAGATATAGTACTACCAGACATTCCAATCAACAACACACCAATTCCAACAAAAGAAACAAAAAATAATCATCAAAACCCCACAAATAGGGCTACCTCTTCTAGAACAAATATCAAACCACCAACTACATATACTCCATCAAAACATAATCAAAAGAAAGGTATATTTTCATATTTATAACAAGTACAGTGTACAACCAACATTTTTATTTAACTTTTTCTTATTTTAGGCAAAAAATAATTGTAATATAACACCTGGAAATAATAGTAACAAAAATGGAAAAAATTAATTTATTTTCCATCAAAACAACCACAAAAAATCCCCAGCTTGTGTGCTACCCTAATAGAACATATGCTCTACCTATCCATCCTATCCAGGGCATACATGGACTATATTTTAACCAATTTCTATCAATTTTCTCCTATTATAGAGTCCCCGGTTATGCCACCGCTAATCATGTTTGTAAGTAGCCTGATTAGACCAAAAAGCAACCCCCATGAAGAGCACATGCACCATATAAATGTGTATGAGGTTGGTGTTTATAAATATATGTATTTAGCTAACAACATCGCCCGTGCCGCTCACCTGAGCTTATTTCTTCCAAAACCCTCCGATATACACTACTTTGGTCCCCATTTTAGTAGATTGTGTGTCAACACTATGGTACTCTGCGTATCATACACCATTCAACCGAATCACCCTTATGATTAGAATGCAGAGTGCATCAGATCCTTAGATATGATGATATCACTCGCTTCCGTAGCAAGAAGTATTTTATGAGGGGATGATATTACTTTACATATGTAAAGTCAAGAATATGTAGTATAACAGTGAGACCTATGCATTGGTTACAGTTTCTTCCAAAATAGAACAAATAAATAGTGTAAAGATAATGGTTTATCTTTACTGTTTTTAACTACAATGATCACTCGGTTTTGAGTGCATGTTTTTTGACTTTTCACAAATAAATAAATAAATGTGAAGTTAAATAAATGTGATGTGATGTTGAATGTTGAGAAGTATGACTATAGATTAGTCATCATAATCTTATTTATTCCTTTCCTCTCTCTCTGTCTCCTTTTCTTTTTAAAATATTAATTGATTGATTAAAATTTAACTATTCTAATTTTTAAATCAATTTAACCAAGGGGGGTTATAACTATTTTGAATAGCAACACCATTAACAATAGACCTATTGACCAATTGACTCCCATACAGTCGGTATGTATGCAGGTATATATATTTTTTACCACTCATTGAGCTAAACCATATCGACACAGCTCGTGAAGATAGTGTCACAAATATGTGTGTGTGTGGTTAACCAAATGGAATGAACATTTTTGTTTCATTTCTCCATACGTGTTTCTTTCCACATTCATGAATGTTAATTGTTGGAATTAAACTCTTTTATTATTTGATCTGTTCTCTCTCCAACAATACTTACGTAGTATTGTTCCATTTACTTTTTATTTTGATTTTTTATAAAGTTCATTTAATTTTAAGGATTTTGAAAAGAGATGATCAAAATCTTGTTGATGAATAATCTTTTGATTATTGGTTGATACTGCTAGTTGTTGTAATTTTGATTTCATTGACATGAATTCAAAAATAATAATATTAAATGAGGTTGATTGAACAGATGAACCTGGGTTGGAGGAAGTGTTGAATGGATCTTCAATGCAAATTTTACTTTGATCGTTTTGTTCCATATAGGATTGTGATGCCATTCGATTGCTCGTTGGTTTACCTAAACGAATGCAAATCAATTGATCCTTAAAATCAAACTTGCAATAGAAATTAAAGAAACCATAGAATAGTTGGAATAATGTTTTGTTGTTTTGGCTGACGAATCCAGTGTGACGATGATCAACAAACTTCCAACGATCCACTTTACTTTGTACCAACTGACCATCTGATTTTGAATAGACATTAGAGTGCAACGATGGGAGTACGGGAGGTTGAACAGTTTGAAGATAGAATATAACCATATTCAACCAAGCGTATGATGAAAGGGTGCCACCGCTAGCATCATTGATATCCTTTCTCGATGCCCAATACTTGACGAGTAACATGAGTTGTTTGGCTCTCTCGTCAATTTCAGCGTACGATTTTACCAATAAAGAGTTACCAATTGCCAAACGATTGTTAAAGCACATGTCATACGAAACACGGTGCTTCAAATCTGTGAATTTAATGATTGGTACTTTGATTGAATCTAATAATCGAACCAATTGATAATCACGGTTACCTTGATCATCCCTTTTAGCCAAAAGACATCTAGCCACACTCTTCATTAGATCTACTCGACGGACAGGGTCAGAGGTATCAAACGAGGTCTTGAAACAAACATCAATGTCACTTGATTCCAATTGAATGCCATTTACAAATGACCCGTATGCCTCGAAACTGTCTTTTGGGAAATTAATCTTTAACAACTCTAAAAGATCATTCCAACTAGATTTCTTTGTTGACAATGTTTCACCACTACACTTTTTATCGGTAAATGCAGTTGACAATAAACCATTGATTGTATTATCGGTGATATCTAGTTGTGGCTGAGAGGATGAAATATTGATCTTTTGATGACCAACCAATTGTCCAAGATTATTTTTAACTCTTGAATAGGCACTTTTAGCTTGTACCTTTGTTTCAGAGTTTCTATCTGCTTTAATCTTGTTGTAATGACTAATATCAATTTCCACTTGTTTTATCAATAATTCGACATAGTTGGCGGCGGTTGGATTAATAGATAAATTTGAAATACTATTAACCAACTTGTCTGCTTCGGTTTCATTGTCGTCACCATCACTTTCATCATCTTCATCACCATGACCAAATGGTTGATCTTTTGATGATGAAAAGAATACTTCCAGTTCTTCTTCATCTGATTTACCATTACTAACGATTAAACCATTTGGATGTCTAAGATCGTGTTGTCTAATTTCTTCTTGAAGAATATCGATGCCACCAGAATTGATAATAAATTGTTTACCAACAACCTTTTCAATCACTGATTCCAAGTTGGATCTTGACCCAATAGCGTACGATTTCCAATTACATAGATTGCTTTTCTTGCACGAGTAATACCGACATTGATACGACGAATATCACTAAGGAATCCGATTCTCTTGTTTCTAACACACGAAAATATAATAATATCCTTTTCAGCACCTTGGAACCCATCGACGGTATTCACAACTACATCCATCTTTTCATTAAATGCTCCTCTTGCTTCCAACAATTCTTTCTTTTGTAATTTATATGGTGTAATAATACCAACACTCATTTTTTTAACTTCTGGATATTCTTGTACCTAAGAAATAAAATAAATAAATTAATAAATAAATAAATAAATAAATATTTAATTAAATTATTTGTTTGTTTTTGATATGTCTTACCAATTTTTTTAATAAAACAAAAACATATTTAGATTCTAAAATATTTTTTAAAGAATTACCATTTTCTGATACTTCTTGAGACTCTGGAATATTATAAAAATTGATTGGTCCATACTTTGCATTATTATAAAATGAGTTGGTGTATTTGACAACATTTTCACCATCCTTTAATTTCGATTGATAGAAACGTTGTGAAGGGAACTTTGAAATGGATGGATGCATACGATATTGAGTATCGAGCATATGAACTGGTAGATAGTTTGATAATCTTTCAAACAATGATACATTGTATCCATGTCTACTCGAAATCTTTGAAAATACAGTTGGTGGAAGTTGTTTTGGATCACCAATTAAAATGACTTTAGAGTTTGGGTTGAGCAACAATGGGATCAATGTTGATGGTTCACACGATTGAGTAGACTCGTCGATAATAATGACCGATGGACTAGCATCTAAAATCTTTGACGCAGCTCCAGACAATGTTGTAAGCAATATTCTAGCCTCTCTAATCATTCTCTTCTTTTCTTTGAATTTAGAGTGTTTGTTGATACAAATAGAATGAACCTTTTTGTTGACAGCCTCTAATCTTCCAATACGAACAATGTCAGGTGTCTCTGACCCAAGACCCAATCCATCATCCAACAATCTCAACCCAACTTCATCAACTGCTGTATTACTTGGTGCACAAACTAAAATAGTTTCCTTTTCTCCGAGTATTGAATGAAATATTCTTAATAAATTTAATATAATAGTTGTTTTACCTGTTCCAGGTGGTCCTTTTAAAAATAATTAAAATAAAGAGAAATAATTAATTAATACAAATAATAATAATAATTATAAATAAATATTTCTATATTTCTATAAATATATATTTACCTTGAATTAAAGTTAATTCATCTTGAATCATTGATTTTTGAATTGCAGATAATTGTGATGGATTGAGATTACCAAGGTCGAGATGAGATGGAATAATAAATGATTGTTTTTTAACAATCATATTCTTTCTATCTTCTATAAAAGTTCTTGGTGATAGAACTAGTTTTGATAATCGATGTGATGTAAATTGTTTAATTGATTTTAATTCTCTTTCAAATGTGATGAGGTTGGCAACCTTTGATACATAAAACTCTGTTTTAGTTTTACGGAGGTTGGCTAGAGCTTCGATAAACTCTGTAGTGTGAGGTGCCAATGTCTCTTCATCGATGATGTAGACTCTACAAGATTGATCTGATTTACCGTTTGGTAGAGGTGCCGAAATGACTTGAGCAAATACATACAACGGTGTTGGCTTTGCATTGATTTGAAGCAATACTAAATCTTCTTTGTACAGATCCTTGTCTCTTGATTCAGCCTTGTAATTAAAATCTAGTAACATACCAGTACTGTCAGCAGTGAGTGATTTGACTTTTGTTGCTACTGATTGAATCTTGAATAGGTTCAATAGACCGTCATGACCATTCACAGTAGCACCACTATCAGTAATCTTGCTAACAATCTGTTCTTTCAATTCTTCAAACATCAAAGGTACAATAAAACTATTATATTGATCGTGTGTTCTATCATTATTATCAATAATTGATGATTGATGATCAATATGATGTGCCAATTTTGTTAATCTTTGTGGTCGACATTTTAAAAAGATATCAACTATTTGACCATACTATTATAAATAAGATATATTGTTAGTTTCAGAATAGTTTGTAAACTATGCAAGTAAGTTGATACATACAGTTTTATGTGTACATTTAACATACTTCACTATTTACAAGTGAACTTGTTTCACGAAGCACCAACAACTCTGCTTGTAATTTTTTCAGCTCACTTGTTTTGACAGAAATTTTGTTAGAGTATTCTTTTAGAATCTGTGGTCTATCCTCTTGACTGATGGATCGTTTGGTCGAGTTGAAATGATCTCTAGTAGATTTCAAAAATGATTCAACTTGACCAATCTTTTTAACTATTTCTTTTTCCTTTTCTTGATTTGAAATTGGTCTAGGAGTAAATTGCACTTGGACTGGAACTTGGACAGGTGCTGGAACTTGAACTACTGATGGTGGTTGTGTACGACTGAGGTCTGGTGGTTTGGATAAAGGAGATGGATTAGGGATGGTCTCTCTGGATCTTTTGGCAAGATCAATAGATTTGAGCAATTGGGTGATAATAGCAATCCTAGCACTTAGATATATTTTCTTTTGTTGATCTTTACAACCATCTCTACCACGGTAAAATTTCTAAGTCTTTCCTCTAATAGTTTGATTTCTTTGGCTACACCGTTAAATGTGACATTCGAGATAGGTGAATGGTCGATAAAGGAAGCCAAAGGTTTTGAGATACGAGTATACTCTAACAAACACAAAGAGATCCCTTTTCGTCCTACATTCAGTTTCTTCAAGGTGACTTGAATCTCATTCCGAGCTTGGATGATATTTTGTCTTCTACCTTGTGAGTTGAGAGGAAATTTTGTTTGAAGATTGTCTATAGCTTCCTCTTGTTCTTTGATATGTCTATCAAATTCCAATAGGTAAAAGGTCTGTTTCTTGATCCCTTCCCCAACCACTTTTACAGCTGGGTTTGTCATAATATTAATAGTAGTATTAAAAATATAAATATAAATATATAGAGATAGATAAATAATATCGTTATTTGAATATATACTTTTAGTATAGTGACTTCAAGGGTCCCTTTTCAAAGTGAGGGGAAGTCTTCTCTTAATCCTAATAAAAAAATTAATAAATTAAAATATAGGATCTTGAAAAAGATCTTGATCATCTTAGCGCTACGCCAACCCAAGATTCAAATTAAATCTAAGCGAGTTTTCAATTAAATTATACATCAAAAAAAGATTTATATATATTTAATTCTTTATATTTAATTATTTATTTATATTTATTTATTTTGATTTTTTATAAAGTTGATTTAATTTTAATGATTTTGAAAAGAGATGATCAAATTCTTGATGATAAATAATATCTTTTTTGTTGGATAGTTGTAATAATTTTGATTGCATTGACATGAATTCAAAGATGATAATCTTGAATGAAGATGATAATTTAACAGATGCACCTGGATTAGCAGATGTATCGAATGGATCTTCAATGCGAATGAGACTTTGATTGTTGTTATCCTTGTAGGATTTTGATACCAAACTATAGCTGGTTGGTTTACCTAAACGAATACAAATCAATCGATTGGTGAAATCAAACTTGCAATAAAAGTCAAAGAAACCATAGAATAGTAACTATAATAATGTGGTCAAGATTGTACCCTAGTCAGATGTGCCATGCCAACATGCACTAAAAATCAAATACTCTACAAACCAGAAGGAAGTTGTTGTTACCAATGTAAACCAAAGAGTAGGTTAGTTATCTTATCCATAATATAATAATAATAATAATATCCCTCTTGTTTGATTCAAATCCATTTAACATTCTATTTCTTTTTCTTTTTATCTCTATTGTTAGTCATTGTTGATCCAAGACCACCAACATGTAGAGATGCTATTTGTCCTCAAGTAGTTTGCAATCCAAGTCAAAGAACTGTTAAAAAAGGTTGTTGTGATTCATGTACTGGATATGAACAATAAACCTATATATATATCTATATCTATATCTATCCTCTTATTCATCTCTTTCTTCTTCTTCTTCTTTTTTTTGGGGAGATGTTTAACAATCAAACCTATGTGAATAAATTACTGTATCCATTTTTACTTTATATATAAATCTATATATATGTGTATGTGTATGTGTATAAAGATGCCGAGAGAGAGAAAGATGTCACATCTTGGGAAATAAGATTAAATTTAATAAAAAAAATAGAATCATAATAATAAAAGTTGATAGGTGTTTGTTAAATTAAATTTGTTTGGGATTGGCAATATCAATATAAATATCTGTTGTTGTTTGAGATATACTAATATAATATTGTGTGTGAGAGAAAGGAAGGGATTTAATTTGCAAGGGGAAAATTCCGTTTTTCAAGAGACACTCTGCATGCAAGCGTGTGATCACAAACAACTTTATTTACTTTACTTTTTAGTAGTAGTAGGGAATATTTAATTGTTGTTGTTTAGTTTGTTTACTCTCTTTTTCTTTTATTTCTTTTATTTCTTTATCAATATACAATATAATATAATCAAATCAATCATTAGATTAGATAACAACCAACAAACCAACAAAAATGACTGCAGGTAATTAATAATACAATAGTAGTAGTAGAGATTAAAATATAGAATATTGATAGAAAGATATATGACTTTATCTATCTATCTATCTATCTATCTATCTTATCTCTTTTCTATCTATCTATCTTTGAAGATCAGATGAACAACTCTTCAGCTTCTCTCTTTTTCGTGATTTTTTTACTTAGTTACTTTTTTTTCTTTTTCTTTTTTGTTTTTTAGATAAAAAAGATGAAAAACAACAATCAAATTTCCCATGGAAGAGAATGGTAGCTGGAGCTGTAGCAGGTACAGCAGATGTTTGGGCATGTCATCCATTGGATCGTATCAAGACACAACTCCAAAATAACCCAGGTAAATCTATTTTTGGAACATTCCAAGATATTGTGGCCAAGGGACATGGACCAGTTGGAGGAGTACGTGCACTCTATGAAGGTATTTGGCCAATGACTGCCGAAGCCATCTTTAAGGTTGGTATTAGATACTTTGCATTCTCTTGGTTCACCGAACAATACAACAGACAATTCCCAGTGGCCGCTGGACAAAAGCGTGATCCATTTGTCACTAATCTTTTGGGTGGTGCTTTTGCAGGTGCCGTCGAATCTTTTATCGTCGTCATTCCATGTGAACTGCTCAAGGTTCGTCATATGACCCAAGAACATCAAAGATCGTTCTCGGCCGTCATGCGTGACGTTTTACGTGAGGAAGGTTTCCGTGGTCTCTACAAGGGTGGATCTGCCACACTTCTCCGTCAAATCACCAATCATATGATTCGTTTCCCCGTTTTCTATTCCGTCACTGATTACCTCAAGGGTGGTGATCACAGCAAGCAACTCCCAGTCGTTCAAAACTTGGCTGCCGGTCTCATTGCCGGTACCGCCTCTACACTCTTTAACAACCCACTCGACACTATCAAGACACGTATGCAAAAGCAAGGTCAAAACGAAACCTCTATGCAAGTCATCAGAGGTATCTACAGAGATGGTGGTATTAAAGCTTATTGGGCTGGTTGTCTTCCACGTATTCTTCGTGTTGGTCCTGGTCAAGCTATCACTTGGGCCGTCGTTGAAAAGGTTACAGAATTTTTACATAAATATTAAAAAAAATAAAAAGTAAATAAATAATATTTATAAAAAAATAAAAAGGATACAAAATACAATATTGTGTGTTTATTTTTAAAAATGGTTGGATAGGATAGGATAGGATAAGATAGGATAGGATAGGATAGGATGATACAAAACAACAACTATCTGTCGTGTTTGTAAATAGGTCCTGTTCAATCCATTTAGTGGTGACCACCATGATGGCTGCTATGATGATGATGGTGATGACCGAAATCATGAGTTGGTAATGTTTGGTATGGAGCTGTATTGGCAACAACTGTAGTATGATGATGATGATGTCTTCTACGGCAACTATAAATATAGAAATAAAAGAAAAGAAAAGAAAAGAAAAGAAAAAGTTAATATAAAAATATATATATTTTTTTTTTGCTGTCATCATAAGCTACTCCCGACTGGCATTCCCATTCTTTCACTGCCAATCCTATTATTATTACTACTACTACTATTTTTCTACTTACCAAATAGCAACACAACAAATGATAATTAAAACTACAATAGCGATTGGTACACCAACGAAAACACCGATAGCACTTCCAGTGAAATGAGCGATACAGACTGAACAGGCAGCATTGCTGTCATCATAGGATACTCCCGACTGGCATTCCCATTCCTTCCAGAAGTCGTCTTTACCAAGTGTACCATCGCATGATCCGAGTACCTCTATACCAGCGCAACAATCAGCGCTAACAGGTGCAACTGAAAATAATTGGATAAATAATAAAGTGCATAAAGTAGCAAGAATTAATTTATACATTTTGTTTTTTGAATATGAACAGTATTATATATATTATATATATATAAATAAAAAAGAAAAGAAAAGAAGAAAGAAGATAAATGTTGAGTAAAAAAAGTGATAAAGTTAAAACAACAATAAGGTTGAGATGGACTCGTTGTGATCCGATTTTTTTTTTTAAATTATTTACGTAAAATGAGTGACGTAGCAGCCCCAATTCAAAGGAATCAAAAATATCAACGATTATAAAAAAAAAAACCAAAATCAAGGGCCACCAAAGGATCTTCCTCGATTTGAAGGAATATCAATCAATCCCCTAAAGATTAATCAGTTTTGAAAGATCAAGATTACATTTATTGATCGGAATTAAAAACCAGGTTAAGGAGCTTAACTTAAATTAAAGAGGTTAAATTATACCTACCCAGGATAGGACAAACATTTATACTCTCATTTCAGGTAATATAACTCTCTCGGTTTGTCGAGTAACCTTTAGTACACGTCATGAACCAGGGGGAGGTTTAATTACCATTGATCTCTACTTTTTCATTGTTGGTTTTGAGATCCTCGGGAAACCTATTTTTTTCGTGGTCTTTTCGTTATAAAAGCCCCCATCACCATCATTTTATAATATCTATCTATCTACAAAATGTATAAATTATTACTTTGTATTTTATGTTCTTTATTCTTGTTACAACTATTCTCAGTAGTTCAAGTTCAAGGTGAATGTTGTTTAGGTATAGTTGACGGTAACTATACTGATGACTGTGTAAATATCATTAAATATATAGTGTGTGATGAATAAAACTAGTTAGTTTTCTTACAATATTCATCTTTATATTTAGAACGGAGTCATGGAACATGACGATTTCTGGAAGCATTGGAAATGTGCAGATGCCGAAATCGATATTTGGGGTAGTGGAGAATGTGATATTTGTATTGCTACTTGGACTGGAGGTGCACTCGCAGTATTTGTCTGCTTACCACTTTTCGTTGGTATTGCTATCTTGATTTGTATCGTTTTAGCGTATGTATACAAATATATATTTTAAATTACATATCACATTTTTAGATTTCTAACTATATCTTTTATTTTCTATTTAGTTGTCGTCGTCGTCGTCATCATACTAGTCATAATTCCCATAGTGTCCATGGTGCTACTATTGTTGCCAATACAGCTCCATACCAAACATTACCAACTCATGATTTCGGTCATCATCACCATCACCATCACCAAAGCAGTCACCATGGCGGCCACCACTAAAACAAAATAACAACAGATAGTTGTTATTTAAATAGTAGTAATACCCATTAAAACTCAATAAATAAAAAGTTCTCAAAAGATTTCTAGATTGCTTTTCATTCACTCTTAAACTTTAGTATAGTATATATATTGACTACATTGCATCTCTTATCAATAGATTATTAAGATTGGTCCATCATCGTAGAAACAAAGGAAAATTGAATGATGTGATAGAGTTGGAACAAAGAAGATTTTTCGTATTCTTATTCTACCTGGTTTTTTATACTAGAGGCAAGACATTCTTTTGGCCTTGCGAAATTGCCCTGTTTTGTTTTTTCTCAGATATTTTCCTCGATCACAAAGACAAAACGACCCCTTTTTTTTCGAAACTGACATCATCCTTTTTGCTTAAAAACCTTAAACGTATCATCATTTTAACTCATTCTTCCTCTATATTATAAACTCATTCTATCTCTATATTTATATAATTATTATTTTTTTTAAAAAATGTACAAATTAATCTTTTCAGCTTTATGCACATTACTTATTTTACAAGTCTTGTCAATTGAACAAGTCAATGCCAGCTGTTGTGCTGGAACACAAGTTGGTACAGGTGAATCTGGATGCATTGGTACCTATGCAGAGGATGACTACTGGAAGAGCTGGCAATGCTTTAGCTGGGACGCCTTCTCCCCAGCACAATGTGACATATGTATTGCACACTGGACATCCGGTGCTTTGGGTGTATTCATCGGTGTACCAATCGCTATCGTAGTTTTAATTATCATTTGTTGTACAGTTATTTGGTATGTTAAACAAACAAACAAACAAACAAACAAAACATGGAAAAAGAAATATTTACTTACTTTTACATCTATTTTTTTTTTTTCTATTATAGTTGTCGTAGATCAAGACATCATCACCATACCACTGTTGTTGCAGGAGGTAATCCATACCAACCATTACCAAATCATCAAGTAGCTTACCAAGCTGCACCACAATACCAACAACCACAATACCAACAACAACAATACCAACAACATGGTCATCATCATCATGGTCAACACTAAACAAACAATATGAATAATTAATATCATATATATATAATATTACAATTCTCTTTTTACTTGTCAAATATATAATAATAATAATAATAATAATAATAAACAACTACTAACCTTATATAACAAAAAAAAGATATTGTTAGTTGTTAATCTTCATGTCTTGTCCAAAAAAGGTAAAACATCTCTTGTACAGTAATGTTGTACAACAAGCTGGGAAAAAATCACACTTTTGTGGGAACTTCATTTGAAAAATAATATAATAAATTTAAATTGTTTTCTTTTTTTTTTTTTGTTTTTTGTCTCATCGCATCAATCACACTGTGAACTTCTCATATTATTCATTACACACATATATTATATATTATATATATTTAGAGTAGTAAATTAAAAAAACATGGTTATTAAAGTCGGTATTAACGGTTTCGGACGTATTGGTCGTCTTGTTCTTCGTCAATCTTTGGCCAATCCAGCTGTCCAAGTTGTCGCTGTCAATGAACCATTCATGGACCTCGATCACATGATCTACATGTTCTACTATGACTCTGTTCACGGTCGTTTCAAGGGTACCGTCGAAAAGGATGCCAATGGTCATTTGGTTGTCAATGGAAAGGTTATTACTGTCTCTGCAGAGTAAGCAAAAAAAGAATATTTAATTAATAATAATATCTTTTTTCATTGTGATTGCTAACTCTTCTTCTTCTCTCTCTTTATATTTTTTTATTTTTCTTTCTATATAGAAAAGACCCAGCTAGTATTAAATGGGGAGAAGCAGGAGCTGATTATATTGTAGAATCAACTGGTGTATTCTTGACCACTGAAAAGGCAGGTCTCCATTTAAAGGGAGGAGCCAAGAAGGTTATCATTTCCGCCCCATCATCCGATGCCCCAATGTTTGTCATGGGTGTCAATGAACATGAATACAAGTCTGACGTACACGTCCTCTCCAATGCCTCTTGCACTACCAACTGTTTGGCTCCATTGGCCAAGGTCATCCACGAGAACTTTACCATTGTCGAAGGTTTGATGACCACTGTTCACGCCATCACCGCCACTCAAAAGACTGTTGATGGTCCATCTGGCAAGGACTGGAGATCTGGTAGATCCGGTCTCTCCAACATTATCCCAGCCTCTACAGGTGCCGCCAAGGCTGTCGGAAAGGTCATCCCATCGTTGAACAACAAGCTCACTGGTATGTCATTCCGTGTTCCAAACGCCGATGTCTCTGTCGTCGATTTGACCTGCAAGACTGAAAAGCCAGCCACCTATGAAGACATTAAGCGTGTCATCAAGGCTGCCTCTCTCGATCCAAAGACTGCCCGTTTCATTGGCTACACTGAAGACGAAGTCGTCTCATCTGATTTCATCGGAGACACTCACTCTTGCATCTTTGATGCTTTGGCCGGTATCAGTTTGAACAACAACTTTTTCAAGCTCATCGCTTGGTATGATAACGAAATTGGTTATTCTACCCGTGTTGTTGATTTAATTGTTCATATTGCTAATACCAAATAAACAATTGAAAAAGAAAAGGGCTAAAGTTTATTTTGAAATCAAACAAATAAATAAATAAAATATATGTATATATTTATAGAAAATAGAAATTTGTAGTTATAATCTTGGGAGAAAAAAAAAAAAGCAAAAAAAAAAAAAAAAAAAAAAGTGTTGGTTTCAAAAAGAGTTGAAAAGCACAAACTTGATTATCTTTATTTAACAAACTTTTTTTTTTTTTGTATAGATACGATAGATAGATAGAAATTATTACTATCATATCATATCAATATATATATATTGTAAATCAATATCTTTTGTATAATAGTAGTAATAGTAGTAGAATATTAATAGTTATAAAGTAGATCGTTCGTTTATATAAAACTTGTAGTACTATGGACTGTTAAAGGTTTTACTTATTTATAAATACGTAAAGAGAGAGAAAATAGGAATCAAAAGTCAATATCAATAGTAGTAGTAGTTTAATCAACACTCAAACAATAGTAATAATAATATAGTAGTAGTTTGTTTGTTTTTTTTTTTCAAAAAAAAACATAAACAACACCATCACAAATCACACATACACACACAAAAGATATATATAAAACAATATCTTTGTTGTTTTTATTTGTTGTAAATTATAATTAAAATAGATAATCGATAATGACATTACAAAGTGAACAACCTCCACAATGGGCAGATGCCCTAAGTAAAATCTTATCAGATTTGAAAAATAAAAAAGAAGAAGATAGAATAAGAGGTGCAAAGAATTTAAAGAATTATGTATGTAAACTCTATTATACAAACAAACAAAACACAATATCATCTGACTATCTATCTATTTTCTATCTATATATTTTTTACTACTACTTTAGGTAATAACTCAATCAAGAGAAATGACAAATGAAAACTTTTCCAATTTTATGCAAGATGTAAATACGATAATCTTTGAATTGGTAAATAGTAGTGGTATAACAGACAAGATTGGAGGTATTTTGGCAATCGATGAATTGATAGATGTAGACTATGACGAAAACGCAGCAAAGATTACAAAATTGGCCAATTATCTACGTTATGGACTGAGTACCAACGATCAGACAGTCATGATGATGGCGTCGCGTGCATTGGGACGTTTGGCGAGATCAAGTGGAACATTGACAGCAGAGTGTGTCGAGTTTGAAGTGACACGTGCCTTGGAATGGTTGTCTGGTGAACGTGTAGAGAATCGTCGTCAGGCATCGGTATTGGTGCTCAAAGAGTTGGCACAAAATGCACCAACACTCTTTTATGTGCATGCAGCTTCGTTTATCGATCTCATTTGGGTGGCACTAAAGGACGTCAAGTTGTCGATCCGTGAAGGTGCCGTCGAGGCATTACGTGCCTGTCTAGAACTCATTGCCGAGCGTGAAAGTAGACTACGTCTACAATGGTACCAAAAGATCTATGACGAGAGTCAAAAGGCTTTCAAACAAAATGGTTCACCAGAAGCACTGCACGGTTCACTCATCACTCTTGGTGAATTGCTACGTAATACCGGTGACTTTATGGTCAACAAATTCAAAGATGTTTGTGATACTATACTCAAACATAAAGATCACCGTGACAAACTCGTTAAAAAGACTGTCATTGTACTACTTCCACGTCTTGCCATCTTTTCACCAAGAGAGTTTGTCCATCTCCATCTAAACACTTGTATCAATTATATATTATCGGCGCTACGTAACCAAAACGAACGTTCCTATTCGTTTATTGCACTTGGTGAGATTGCACAAGCTGTCGGTGGCTCTATCAAACCCTATCTCGATAATATTGTAGTCAATATAAAGACTGCACTCCAAACCAAGGGTAAACAGTTTTGTCCCGAAGTTTTAACCTGTATATCCATGTTGTCGTCGGCTGTTGGTCCAGGAATGATTCCTCATATGCAAGTCATCTTGCCTCAAATGTTTGCTCCAGGTCTTACTCAGGTGCTTACCGAAGCATTGAGAGACTTGACCGTTTCACTACCGGCACTCATTCCACATATTCAACAAAAGCTGTTGACCCTCCTATCACAAGTACTTGCCAACAAACCATTCTCACAACCAGGTGCACCAAATCATTATCGAAAATCAACTGCTCCATTCCAAAACCTATCGGTTACCCATGCCGTCGCCAGTACTGCCGCGTCAGATGTCGACCCCGAAATGATTGCACTCGCTCTCAAAACATTGGGTAGTTTCGACTTGTCCAAACACAATCTGCTAGAGTTTGTTAGAGAATGTGTCGTTGGCTATTTGGATGACGACAATAGTGAAATTCGTCGTGAAGCAGCCATTACTTGTTCACAGCTTATGGTTCGTCCAGGTGAACCTGCACCCACTCGTGGTCATAGTGCCGTCATTGTTGGTGAAGTACTTGAAAAGTTGTTGGTCGTAGGTATTGCCGATCCAGATCCATCTATTCGTCGTACTGTCCTATCCTCTTTGGATACTCGTTTCGATCATCATTTGGCACAAGCAGAAAACCTTCGTTCACTTTTTATAGCACTCAATGACGAAGTGTTTGAAATTCGTGAACTTGCCATTTCAGTTATCGGTCGTCTTACCATTCGTAATCCTGCCTATGTCATGCCATCACTCCGAAAGACATTGATTCAGTTGTTGACTGAACTCGAATTTTCAGGTGATTCAAGAAACAAAGAAGAATCTGCTCGTCTACTCGGTCATCTTATTGGAGCATCGGAAAAGTTGATCAAACCCTATGTCGAACCAATCCTCAAGGCACTACTTCCAAAACTAAGAGATTCAAATCCAAGAGTAGCATCTTGTGTTTTGGCAGCACTTGGAGAGTTGTCTGTTGTAGGTGGTGATGAAATGTCACAACATATCGATCAACTCCTCCCTCTCATCATTGATACACTTCAAGATCAATCAAGTACAAGTAAAAGAGAGGTGGCACTAAAGACTCTTGGTCAATTGGCAAGTAGTACTGGTTATGTGATTCGTCCATTTGCCAAATACCCAATGTTGCTAGACATTTTATTAAATGCCATAAAGACTGAAAGAATTGCATCGATTCGTAGAGAGGTCATAAAGGTACTTGGTATTTTGGGTGCACTAGATCCATACAAACACAAGATGAATGAATTGGGTCAACGTAGAGAAGATCCAAAGTTGGATGACAAGTCTAGTAGTAGTAGCAGTGGTGCTGGTACTAGTGTCATTGACTCGATCAATATCAGTCCATCATCTGAAGACTATTATCCAACCGTTGCCATTACAGCACTCATGAAAATTCTTCGTGATCCATCTCTATCGGCTCATCATTCTTCAGTCATTCAAGCTGTCATGTTTATATTTAAAAGTCTTGGTTTCAAATGTATCCCTTTCCTTCCCCAAATCATGCCACCATTCCTTCATGTCATGAATAGTTGTGAACCTGGTTTCCGTGATTTCCTATTTCAACAATTAAGTACTCTAGTTTCAATTGTTAAACAACATATTAGAGATTATTTAAATGATATTTTTATTGTAAGGAAATAAGAAAATAGAAAAAAAAATAATAATATTTATTAATAATACTTTTAATTTACTTTTAATTTTCTAGTTGATTGAAAAATATTGGAATTCATATTTATTAATACCAATTATACATTTGGTAGAAGAAATATCGACAGCTTTAAATGATGAGTTTAAAGTTTATTTACCAAATTTAATTCCACAAATGTTAAATGTATTGCATACTGATAGAAGTCCAAAGAGATTACCAACAACCAAAGTATTAAAAGCATTAGAAGTATTTGGTACCAATTTGGATGATTATTTACATTTGGTGATTCCTGCAGTCGTTAAATTGTTTGAACAAGTTGATGTTACAACTCAAGTTCGAACTTTGGCAATTCAAACTATTGGTAGATTATGTAAAAAGTTGAATTTTTCAGATTATGCATCACGTATCATTCATCCATTGGCAAGAGTTTTGGATGTACCAGGTGAAAATGATCTAAAAGATGATGCACTTCAAACACTCTGTTCATTGGTCTATCAATTGGGATCAGATTATGCAATCTTTATTCCAATGGTAGGAAAGGTATTAAACAAGAGAGAAATTTCAAGTGCATCTTATGAATTGTTGGTATCGAAATTGTTAAAAAATCAACAACTCATATCTACTGGTGGACCAGAAGATTTCCCAGGTGCTCGTCATCCAGATACTGTTTCAGAGGATGGTCAAAACACTACTCCATCACCGGAAATTGGATTCAAAAAATTAAAAGTCAATGAACAACACCTAAAGAATGCATGGGAAACTAGTCAAAGATCAACCAAAGAAGATTGGGTAGAATGGATTAGAAGATTTTCAGTTGAATTGTTAAGAGAATCACCATCACCAGCTCTTCGTTCGTGTCTATCATTGGCTCAAGATTATCATCCCTTGGTCAAGGAATTATTTAATGCAGGGTTTGTTAGTTGTTGGACTGAACTACATGAACAATATCAAGATGAATTGGTACATAGTTTAGAGGCAGCTCTCATGTCACCAAACATTCCACCCGAAATTCTACAAACCCTACTCAATTTGGCCGAGTTTATGGAGTTGCACGAAAAACCTCTGCCAATTGACATTCGTACATTGGGAGCATTGGCTGAAAAGTGTCATGCCTATGCCAAGGCACTTCATTACAAGGAAATTGAATTCCAACAATCGATTGGATCAAATTCTACCATTGAAGCATTAATCTCTATCAATAATCAGCTGCAACAACCAGAAGCTGCTATTGGTATTTTGATTTATGCTCAAAAGAATCATAGTGTCGAACTCAAAGAAACTTGGTATGAAAAGTTGCGTCGTTGGGAAGATGCTTTGGCCGCCTATGAAAGAAAACAAAAGGATGATACGTTGACCAACATTGATAATACTCTTGGTATTATGAGATGTCTTCATGCTCTTGGAGAATGGGAACGTCTATCATTGTTGTCTGCGGATCTTTGGAAAACTGCAAGTGAAAGTACTCGTACTGCTATTGCCCCTCTTGCATCTGCAGCAGCATGGAATCTTTCATCATGGGATTCAATGGATGAATATGCTCGTGCCATGAGTCTAGATTCTATTGAAGGTTCATTTTATCGTGCCATTCTAGAAGTACACAAAGACAACTTTACCCAAGCTTCTTGTTTTATAGAAAGAGCTCGTAGTCTGGTCGACACTGAACTCACTGCTCTTCTCGGTGAATCATACAATAGAGCCTATAAAATGGTTGTTCGTTTACAACAATTATCAGAACTAGAAGAAATCATTGAATATAAAAAGTCGACCGATTCTATTGACCGAAAGACAATGATCAAGAATACATGGAAAAAACGTCTATCTGGATGTCAAATGAATGTTGATATTTGGCAAAGTGTATTGGCAGTTCATTCTTTGGTCATTTCACCTCACGAAGAGCTAGACATGTGGCTTAAATTTGTTGGTCTATGTCGTAAAGGAAGTCGTTTGGGTTTGGCTCAAAAGACGCTGACCATGTTGATGGGCAAGGATCCAAATGCACTTCAATTTGGTCAACTATTACCAAACACTCATCCACGTATTACATTTGCCTATATCAAACAACTTTGGAGTGCTGGTGCCAAACAACCAGCCTTTGAGCGCCTTCGTACATTTGTACAGGCAATGCGTGATACCGACGACCACCCACTCCAAGCACGTGCCTATTTGAAACTTGGTGAATGGCAAAGTGCACTCGGTGACGTACTCAACGAAGCATCGATCCCACAAATCATTGCATCATTTAAATCTGCCACTGAAATGGATCCCAATTGGTACAAGGCATGGCATTCATGGGCATTGATCAATTTTGAAGTAGTCTCTCACTATGAACAAAATAGTGGTACAGCCGAACAAATTGCAGCACACCTCTTGCCTGCCGTCAATAGTTTTTTCAAATCGATTGCATTGGCTCCCGATCAATCACTTCAAGATACTCTACGTCTCCTAACTCTATGGTTTAAACATGGTGCTCAAAAGGAAGTTGAACAAAGTTTAATGCAAGGTTTTAATGACATTAGTATTGATACTTGGTTACAAGTCATTCCTCAGTTGATTGCTCGTATTCATGCTCCTGTTTTCCCAGTTCGTCGTCTTTTACACGAACTATTGGATAATATTGGTAAAGAACATCCACAAGCTCTAGTTTATCCATTGACAGTTGCCACCAAATCACAATCACCTGCTCGTCTTGCAGCTGCCAAACTTATTATGGATCGTATGAGAAAACATACTAGTTTGGTTGATGTCGCTCTACCAATCTCTCAAGAATTGGTTCGTTCAGCCATTTTATGGCATGAAATGTGGTATGAAGGACTTGAAGAAGCAAGTCGTCAATACTTTGGTGAACACAATCCAGATGCCATGTTGGCAACCCTCGCACCACTCCATCAAATCCTTGAAAAGGGTCCAGAAACTACCAGTGAAACCAGTTTTATCCATGCATTTGGACGTGATCTTGCAGAAGCTTTGGAATGGTCTAAAAAGTATGAACGTTCTCGTAAAGAAGGTGACCTCAATCAAGCTTGGGATCTCTACTATCAAGTTTTCCGTCGTATCTATAAACAACTGCCACAAATGATTTCGTTGGAGCTTCAATACATTTCACCCAAACTTATGAATAGTGTAGATATGGATCTAGTAGTTCCAGGTACCTATAGAGCTGGTGAACCAATCATTCGTATTCAATCATTTAGTTCAATCCTTTCGGTTATCCCATCCAAACAACGTCCACGTAAACTAACCATTATTGGTAGTGATGGTCTGGAATATACCTTTTTACTAAAGGGACATGAAGATTTGCGTCAAGATGAAAGAGTCATGCAATTGTTTGGTTTGGTCAACACATCGTTGTCGGCCAATCACGAGACTGCCAAATCACATCTTTCCATTCGTCGTTTTTCTGTCATTCCACTCTCGCCCAACTCTGGTCTCATTGGATGGGTACCTCATTCCGATACTCTTCACACCCTCATCAAAGATTATCGTGAGAGTAGCAAGATCCTACTCAACATTGAACATCGTCTCATGTTGCAAATGTGTACCGACTATGATAACCTCACACTCTTGCAAAAGGTTGAAGTCTTTGAATATGCACTCGAATCGACCAATGGTCAAGATCTCCACAAGGTCCTCTGGCTCAAGAGTAGAAACAGCGAGATTTGGTTGGACCGTCGTACCAATTACACCCGTTCCCTCGCAGTCATGTCTATGGTTGGTTACATTCTCGGTCTCGGTGATCGTCATCCAAGCAACTTGATGTTGGATCGTCACACTGGCCGTATCCTTCACATTGATTTTGGTGATTGTTTTGAAGTTGCCATGCACCGTGAAAAGTATCCCGAAAAGATCCCATTCCGTCTCACCCGTATGCTCATCAATGCCATGGAAGTGTCTGGCATTGAAGGAAACTTTAGATTGACTTGCGAGACGGTCATGACTGTACTCCGTAACAACAAGGAATCACTCACCGCCGTACTAGAAGCCTTTGTCCACGACCCATTGATCAATTGGCGTCTTTTAACTCCCAACGCACACATTGACAAGGACAAGGAACAAAAGATTAAACAACAGGATCTCGTCAATGTTGAAAATGGAGACAATAGTCCTTTGGAACCATCACCTCCTCCTGCCCTCGCTGGCAGTCCCGTCCATCGTCAACCACTCATCACCCGTGGCCACCATGGTCGTGTCGATGAACAAGTCGAGCCAGAGGTCGTCCCAGAGGCATTAAACGAACGTGCCCTCTCTGTAATCAATCGTGTAAATAAGAAACTCACCGGTAGAGATTTTGGAAATTCTCCTACTCCCCTCGACGTACCAGAACAAGTCCAAAAACTTATAGACCAAGCTACGAGTCATGAAAACCTTTCTCAATGTTATGTTGGTTGGTGTGCTTTTTGGTAAACAAATTTTAAAAAACATAAACATAAATATATAAAAGATTAAATAAATAAATCCCCCTATTGTAATAATTAAATTAAAAAAAAAAAAAAAAAAAATAGAACAAAATTAGTATTAGTATTTTCTTTTAAAAAAGGGGCTGGAACTTTTCTTTTTTTTTTTTTTTTTTTACTACTACCTACTTGATTGGATGTTTTCTTCTGTGAGGATTTGATAAAAATGAATGAAACCAGCTCGATGGGGAATGAAGAGGAGAACGTGATTTTGCCGCAAAAAAAAGTTGAAATAGGACAAAAAAGTTGAAATAGGACAAAAAAGTTGAAATAGGACAAAAAAGTTGAAATAGGACAAAAAAGTTGAAATAGGACAAAAAAGTTGAAATAGGACAAAAAAGAGTGCACCAACCGAGAATCGAACTCGGATCGAATCCGTGGCAGGGATCCATTCTACCATTGAACCATTGGTGCTTATTGAAAGATTTTTGGGGTCTTGGTCTTTTGACCTCAAAAACTTTGGCCTCTATTGCCACCGCCTCTTGTCCACCTCAACTGGGTAAAGCTACTCCAGTTTGCCGACGACACGTCTACATTTGCCAAAAACATCCGAGAATTTAAACTAATGGACGAATGGATTCAGCTATTCTGTAAAGCTACATCATCCAAAGTCAACACTGACAAATGTGTGATCATGTCACCTGGCAGTCCAACCAATTTACCGTACCCACTGATGGACAAGGAAAGCAAAGAACGTTACCTCGGCTACTACTTTAACCAGTTTGGTTTGGTACCACACCTTCCAGAGCGTATTGACAAGGTAATCAACGATTTGATTAGATGGAAACCTAAACACAACAACAACTATAGAGGTAAATTAGCTTTGCTCAAAACATATGGTCTGTCACAATTAAATTATTTCACGTACCTTGAATCACCTAGTCACGAGGCAATCACCAGATTGGAAAAGGTTATTGATTGGTTCATGTTCAGCAACGACCGTCAGTACGACCCAACCAAGCCAACCAAAAGAACCATGTCCAAGAAACGCTCCATACGATCGATCGACCAAGGTGGTCTCAACCTCTGGGACCTCAACGCTAGATTCCGTGCCCAAAAGGCATGGATGTTCGAAAGGTTCCTCCACGAGGTAAAGAACGACCGAGTTGCAAAGGTTTCCTTTGCCCAATCATGGATGGACCAACTCAACCAAGACAAACCAAACGATTTTGTCCGCCTCTGCCGCAGCGAGTGGGAAAAGCTTACCCAACCCTACGACGTCAGCAGAGAGGCTGTACCCAAGCCAGCAATGGAACCAGACAAAAGAGGAAGAGTACCTCTCAAACAAGTGTACCTCCAAAGGCTGACCATAGCCAACGAAAAGTGGAACGTGTACGACCCGACCCCAGGCCAAAAGATCTTAGCAACCGATGACAGAGTGTATCCAATGAATGCACTAGCTGCTCTATCTACCATCGTACTACCAAAGGGTCGAGATCTGGTTTGGAAATACGTAACCAAATGTCTCCCGCTCGTCAGGGGTGACCCAGTCGCCTCCACCTGTGTGACGTGTGGCAAAGATGAATCCTCCAAGCATTTGTTCTTCCAATGCAAGGAGACCACGCTGCCAGTGAAGATACTGAAAGAGGTTACTGCTGCCAACAACATTCCACCACCAGTCTGGGACATCACCCTCCTCAACCTCAAACAAACTCCAATGACTATAAACTTGGTCGCTGCAACACTAGAACGAATATGGTTCCGACGTAATGATCTACGTCACCAAAGAGATGAACCATTCACTGAACAATACCTGCGAGCTAGATTGATAAGTGATATGCGACATATTATAAAAGTAAACTGGGACAAGACGTTAGAATTATGTAACCGATGGCACTTGGCTCTAATGAACCAAACCGACGAATCAGTAATACATACGATTACAGAACGAATACAAACTATCATCCTTCGATTCTCCTCCAACTACAACCATCCTACTGTCTACAAGATCGCACTACCTAGTCATTTAGAGAGGTACAAGACTCTGCGTACTCTTCATCTATAATCGTTCACCCTCAGCTTCATTCCTCTCATCCTCTTCACCACCGCCATCCTCTTCTATTCTCTCTACAACTATCAATAATAATATTAATAATATAATAATTCACTAAATAATAAGAATAATAATAATTATATCAACCCAGTATTATAGCCTATAGTGCTAGTGAGAAAAAAAAAAAAAAAAAAAAAAAAAAAAAAATAATAGCGATATCTTTAACCAATTTATTTTTAGAACAAGCAACAATCCAAAACAATCCAACATGCTTGACACTATACAATAAGATACATGATCAACGTCCATACAACATGTATCATAGACATGGACAAACCCCCAGAACAAATTAACTTTAATTCTTCTTGAGATAATCTTTATTTCTTGCTGGTCAATTAAAAAGTAAAATTAATAAAACTTTGTAACTTCTGAGTACTACTCTTCCCGATAGGAGAGAACAGGAAAAGAATTACTTTAAAAAAAAAAAAATTTGGCCTCTATTCGATCACCTCAACCTCATTCTTCACATCCTCCTCAACACCTTCATCTTCTTCTATTCTCTCTTCATCTATCAATAATAATATTAATAATATAATAATTTACTAAATAATAATAACATAGAATAATTATATAACACAATATTACAGCCTATAGTGCTGAGAAAAAAAAAAAAAAAAAAAAAAAAAAAAAAAAGCGATATCTTTAACCAATTTATTTTTAGAACAAGCAACAACCCAAAACAATCCAACATGCTTGACACTATACAATAAGATACATGATCAACGTCCATATAACATGTATCATAGACATGGACAACCCCCAGAACAAATTAACTTTAATTCTTCTCGAGATAATCTTTATTTCTTGCTGGTCAATTAAAATGTATAATTAATAAAACTTTGTAACTTCTGAGTACTACTCTTCCCGATAGGAGAGAACAGGAAAAGAATTACTTTAAAAAAAAAAAAACTTTGGCCTCTATACTAACAGAAACTCTAACTATTTTAATTAAAAATTAAAACAAATAAACCATAATTACTCTATTGTCCGACGACTAGAGTCCAGATTTATTAAAAAAAAAAAAAAAAATTTAATACTCGTCGAGGGGAGCGGAGTTTGGAATTTTTCTGTAATAGAGAGAAAGAGATAGAAACAGAGAATTACGTGTTGAGTACTATAGAACTTCACTCAATTATCAACTATCTTCAACTATCTTTTATCAACATTACTATTTCTTTTCACACTCACTAAAGTAATAATTGTAAATGATAATGACAAAGTAAAATAATGATAATGGCAAAGTGTAAAATAATAATTGTAAAGAGCAAAGTATAAAATGGGAAAGTGTAAAATGATAATGGCAAAGTAAAATAGAGGACATGAGAGGGCAGGAGACATAAAAAACAGCAGGAGGCAACAGTAGGTGAAAAAAACATCAGATACTGCAGGAAACAGCAGGAAACAGCAGGAAACAGCAGGATACAGCAGGAAAGGAGGAAACAGCAGTATACAGCAGGATACAGCAAAAAAACAGCAGGATACATTTTTTACTACCCAGGCAAGAGGAGGCAGGAAACAGCAGGATACAGCAGGATACATTTTTTACTACCCAGGCAGGAGGAGGCAGGAAACAGCAGGACACAACAAAATACAGCAGGATACAACAAAATACAGCAGGACGCAACAAAATAGAGCAACAACAGGAAAAAAAATATTTTTTTTTTTTACTACTAAGGTGGGTATCCAGGATCACCACTAGAAATTTTATTTTGTTTAGTTTAATGATGAAATGAGATAACCTTTGTGGCAAAGAGTTATTTGGCCTACAGCGAATCCTACGCCGATTCCTATACGTATGGGACCCTTTGGTCACCAGCTATTTACAGTAGAGTCGGGGGATACCTTTGTCCATTTTAGTGAAGTGATTTCATCGCTACGGTCGCCTCGGTTGGTTGTCTTTACGCTGATTAATTGCATCCATGATTAAATTTGATTAAACTTGATAGAATCCGTGATGTTGACAGGTCTGGTGGCAGTCTTTCAGGATCAACATTGCTATTATGGTCTGTCGGCCATAAAGAGTGACCATTCTCCATTAGCCAGGTACTCGATGAGTGGTATGGTTGATGAGGAACAGAATAAAGCTAGGTCGAAGCAGAGTTCTAAAACAAAAATGAAAAAAGTCGGGTTTTTTTTGCGCGTGTCCGTTTAAATGATGAGACTTATACGCAAAAAAATCGTACTTTAGTTATTAAGGTAACAGCAACTTAAGTAATGAGTGAAACGAATAATAAGTTGCTGTGCTCTTGCTTCTAGGTTGAGTGGTTTTGTTATATAAATATATAATGATGTATGTTTGAACCGATCCAGAAAAAACACCTCCGGAAAAAAATAAAGGATTGCTCCTCCTGCAGGTAGTAAAAAGTATGCAAGATGTGGGAGTCGAACCCACGAACCCGGAGGATGAGAACTTGAGTCACACTGCTTTGACCACTTACATAACCTTGCATTATGTTTGATGCTATTTTTTTGATCATTGTCCCTTTTATACTCGTCGGAGTGTTCGGTATCTATCCCTTGATGGATACTGCCAACCTCCCATTCCCTGTAGCAACGTGCACCGAAAGATACCTTGGGTTTGGTTCCACAAGGAATGGCATAGATCGACAGACCCCCAAGATACTAAATTCCATTCGCTCCTCACTTGTCAAGTGGTCACCATTCAGAGTATCGCTGAGGGCAGCGATGGCAATCGTCAAAACATACTCGCTATCCAAGCTCACATACTTTTTGTACATCGAGTCACTAAATACAGAAGAGATTAGTGAACTGAACAGTTTAATTAATTGGTATCTCTACTCGCCGTCATCTTCTACTTACGTCAAAACAAATAAATACAAAAATAGCATAGCTCGCCCAAGAGCAGCACTACATTGGACAAAGGGAGGCATCGGCCTCTGGGACATGGACGTCAGACAAGTGGGGTGGACCATATACTCGGCGAGTACCTACGCCCAGGCACCCTCACCAACAGCTCCACATACTTCCAAACATGTTGGGAAGCATGGTTACAGCTGTATCGTGCCACGTACGACAAACCATTCACCGAGTTTGGTCCCTATCTTCCAAAACACATCCCTGCCAAGGAGGGACCCGACCAGCCAAATACACCAATCGAATTAAGGCAAATCTACTCTGCTCTCCAAGCAACCAGACCACCAAAGGTCAACCAAAAGACCGTCGGTCAAAGAGAGATCGAGGCTCTCTTTGGTACCAACATCGAGCAAATATTTGCCGTCGTGGCAAGCGTCAAATGCGCGACAGCAAGAGACACCCTCTTTCGTTTCTTTGCCAGAATAATGAAACGTACCCCAGCTGACACCAATACAATATGCTACGCATGCCACACCGTATTCGATGGGGATACACACACATCTCCAATCATACACCATTTGTTTGAATGTATACACGTCCAACCACGAGCTCCACTGTTTAGCAAGTTGATTCTCGACTGGACCGACAACAGAGTGCAGTGGAATGTCCACGCTCTCAACTTCACCAAGCAGAGAACACATCACAGACGCTATGTCAATGCTGTTGCTATACTCTTCCATCGCACAAAGTCGAATGAAGTGCAATTCGACTTTGACGATGACGTTCGCAACTACTCTCTCGACCCAAACGAAGTAGCAATCGTTACCAAACGATTCAAAACTATAATCTATCTTGAATACCTGAAACTAATCCAAAACTGCAAGTCGATTCTAGCTAAATGTCAACCTGATCGATGGTCGGTCACTAATCTCGAACTGATCGCAAACTTTAGTAAATTCTCTCTCATTTGGGGCAAACTAGCTACACCCTATCGCATTCCCTCCTTCCTAACTAGAACTAACCACTATCTAACAACTACTCCAAATTAAACAACAATAATAATTAAATCATTAATTTAAAAATAAACAATATGACTTCAGCAGTGATGAAGATGTCAAAGATTTATGAGCTTTGTTAAAAAAGAATGAGAAGTAAAATTCCTCTCCTGATTATGTTTGATGTTTTTTTGGGGTATTTGGACCCTTTATAGCCCAGTCCACCTTTCTGGTGATGATTTCCTTATTTTCATGTTGAGTCAAACATACATGCTGATTCATTGATAGTTATCTCTCAAGCTGTATACAAATGTAACATTCACTGTCCAACCCAACCCTTTTACCAAACGGCAATGGTGTTTAATTTAAATCAAACAAAAAAAAAAAAAAAAAAAAAGAGTGTACTTTTTGTTTTTTTTCTTAAACAATATTGTCTTTATTTTTAGTTCATATTGAAAGCACCATTGACCAAAGAACAAGTGACGTTTCCAGAAACACATGAAACAGACAAAGAGGTACATTGCATTTTAACGGTGGACAAACAATAGATTTGTCCAATATTATTTTGAGTGCCACACATTGATCCTGGAGAGGCACATGACGTTACACCAGTCGATGTACAATTAATAAATTGATTGTCATTGCTGTTAGAGATTGATAGTGTATCATGTGAGAAGGAACAATTTACTACTCCTTCTTCATCTGATGACGACGACGACGAGGATGAGGCACATGCAGATTGTCCAGACATAAATACTTCATAAACACATTTTGTGGCCGATTCGTCAGCTGCCACAACCTTATCAGGTTGGCCAGGAGCACAAGTAAAAAAGACATTGGTTTGTCTAACTTTACCAGAAGATTTGCATGGAGCTGTGCCTGACTTGTAGTTGACGACAGCTCCTCCACCACCAGGAGAGTCTGCCCATACTCCACTGCTTAGCAAACCAGTGTTTTGTGGTGTTCCTGTTGTTGGCTTTTGACATGAAACAATATTCGTGGCTCCAAGAAGTGAGTTGCATTGCAAATTTGGTTGACAAACTGACCATATGTAATTGGTACCTTGAACACTAATGATATTATTTTAAAAGGTAGGGATCAAAAAAAATAAATGATTATCATTATTATTATTAGTAGTTCTCACTATACAAGTTATATTATTCTTTAATTAAATATTGGATATAACAAACTTGTAAGTGTATGAAGAACTACAATTGAGGAGAAAGATTAAAAATAGCGTTAATAACGGGATACTCTATCTATCTACAGATACATGTTGCTGAGGATACATACTTGAATCCAGAGTAATCAATACCATTATACTCACAGTTTGGAGCAGTACCAAAGGCACCAGAGATGAAATGACTAGAGATGAAAGCTAGAACGAAGTAATAATAATACATCATTGTAAAAAAGTATAATTCAAAAAGAGAATGACCAAAAAAAAAAAATTGTTTCGATGATCGCAATTGCAAACAATTCGGTTATCAACAATCATCAACTTTAATCTCTTCCAATCAATCTTTTGGAAAGATTCCCAAACACCAACTATGTCTATATTGATTCCATCATTTACAGACAGATACTTAAATCTCTATTTATCTCTATTTATATTTTTAAGTACACATTGTTATGTTATGTATGAGGTAACAACGACGATGCCTAATTCATCGCGTGCCACTCCAATTTTTTTTGTAATTTCATCGAATCTATTGCCTTTCAAGGATGTAATTTCAATCTGAGGAGGCATCAAACCCCCAACCTCCACGCATCACAACAAATCGTCTTAGTACCTATCAGCAAAAGAGAGAAGCAACCTTATTTTCAATGATTTAATGTTACTTTTCTTTACTCTTTATTAATTAATTTTTTTACTATATTAGTTATTTGTAGCTTTTAGATCTTTTCGATTCTATTCTTTTTCAATAACAAACGGAAAATGAAATCAACAAGTAATCGGTACTTGTTGATATTCTATTCTTTATTAGTGATATTCATTTTTCAATCATGTGATGCATTACCGACCATTAACAGTGTCGAAAATACAGGTCAAACCATTTCAATTTATGGTGCAGACTTTGGAAATGCCATCAACGAGGTGACAATCACCTTTAACACCCAATCATTGCTTGAATTACCTCCTACTAGCCTTGTCTCTAATGGATTGGTAATCATTACACCGGCTGTCCCCATTTTGAATGGTCAAGTGATGGTAGCTGTCGCTGGATGGGAATCCAACTATTATCCATTCACTCTAAAGCCTGTCATTTCAATGGGTATTCGTCCAAACACGCTTGGTGGTATTGCTAGTTTTCAAGGTGTAAGTAATAAAATAAAATTTATAAATGATTAACAGATATTAAATATTCATTCATTCATTCATTCATTATTTTATTTATTTTTAGTCATGTTTAAATAAATTTAGAGCAAATGGACAACTTACCAACTTTATACTTACTATTGGTGGTAATGTGATTAGTAACAGTGTTTTAACCTATAGTACCGATGGCACCTATTTTAATATGACTGGGGTGGGAAAGGGTAGTGGTTTGATCGCATCAACACTTTCAATTGACGGTGTAGTTACATCTTTTAACATGACCTATGCTGCACCGACCATGACAAATGTAGCAACCTCTATTAATGTAAGAGAGAGAATGAGTAGAGTGATGACTTATTATATTATAATATATTTTACCAACTAAACTACTTTTTTTTTTCATAGGTGATGGCAGTAATGGGTACAAATTTTGGTAATGTACCACAACTCATATCGATGCATTCTGTCAACTATCCAAACATTACGTTCCCCGCAACGTCGATTGGTCAAGACAGCCTTACTTTTTATGCCACTATACCCGATTGGGCCTGGACAGACTACTACTATGTCAAGGTGAATGGACAAGTGATGTCCAATGCACCACGTCTCATTGGATTCACTCCATTCATCAGTGGCGCCGACAAGATCCCCACCGTCGGCGGTGCTGTTACCATCACTGGTACAGTGTTGAGCCATCCCACACTGCCACAGTTGGTCAAGTTCCAAGGTATCTCATGTCCAGTCCTCTTTGGAAATGGAAGTATGATCGTGGCTGTCGCTCCTGCGGGAGGTGGATCGACTATTGAAGTGACTGTTTTCTCAAGTCAACCTTTTTACACATCCTACTATACCCCCATCATCGATTCGGTTACTCAACAAGACAGTGGTCAATTGGTTATTCTAGGTCAATACTTTGGCACACCGCTAAGTGTCATGGTTGGCGGTGTACTCTATTTGTCGTTGGTCTCTAAAAATGCCCAGCAGACTAATTTGACCATTGTCCCATCCCCAGCATCAAAGAATGGAGCTGTCAAGATCGTTGTTTCCGATCTTGTATCCAACGAGTATTCATTTACTTTGAGACCTATTATCACGTCTGTCACATCGGCCAACACGGCTGGTGGTCAGGTCACAATTACCGGTAGTTTCCTCCATAGTCTTCGTCAAGATGGTACCACTGCACCCGTCTCTATTGCTCTTGGTAGCACTGTGCCGACCGCTGTAACAAGCTGGGCAAATGATACGGGTGCCTACCTTGTCGTCAATGTCGCCGCGGGAGTTGGTAAGGACCTTCCAGTCTTTGTCACAGTCGACGGTAAGCAATCCAACCAAGGCAACTTTAGCTACAGCCCTCCCACCATCACCTCTGTCACCCAGACGAGCACTGGCATCATTATGAATGGTGCCAATTTTGGTGTGTCCTCTAGCACCACCACACCCATTGTCAACAACAAGGACTATACCCAAGCCACCTTGGCAGTCACCCAAACAGCCATCACCGTCACCTTGGGTGCCGGCGAAAAGAATGGTTACGTCAGCGTTGTTGTAGGTGGGCAATTGGCCACCACCAATCTCACACTTGAACTCATCCCACTCATCTCATCCATTGGCTCTATATCATTGTATGGTGGTAGTCTTGTCATCTTTGGAAGATACCTCAATAACCAAGACTACCTTGGTAACACTATACCGCTATCTGTCAAGCTGTCAGATACCCCATGCACCAATCCAGTCTCTTTAATTGCTGGCCAACTAAATTGCCAATACCCATCAGGTCTTGGAGGTGCAGATGCGAGTATTGTTCTCATGGTTGGAACCCAACAAACCAACAAGTTGGTTTCTTTCCCAGCACCAACACTAACTTGGATCTCACCTACCCAGGATATATCAGATGACAGCATAACGATGCAAGGTTCTAATTTTGGAACACGTACAGACAAGATTGTCGTTTTAATTGGACAGGAACAAGGTACCATCACTGGATTAGCAACCGACTCGCTTGTCTTTAAAATCTCCCCCACTAGTAGATCAGGGCCTGCTAAAATAATTGTATTTGGTCAAGACTCTAACCCCCTGCAAGTGGTCATTTCACCCAATATTACCTCTCTTGACAAGGTCACTACTGCAGGTGGAACCATCTCTATTCTTGGTCAACATTTTAATAAGCTGCGAGTCAACGGTACACAATCAACCATCACCATACAACTCAACTCTAATACACCTTTATCCACTGGTATAGTTGTCCAAAGTACCGAGTTAATCGAGTATGTTTTACCAGCTGGCACTGGTAAAGGTCAGACACTCATATTGTCAATCGATGGTCAAACATCGAGCATTACATTCAATTACCCAGCCCCGGCTCTATACAATGTGAACCAAGTTCAACTACAATCATCAACACACTATTCAACAAGACTAACTATCTTTGGTTCATCGTTTGGTACCAACATTGACAATGTTCAATTATTGTTCAAGAATCAACCGGCAGCTGTATTTGGACTGATTACCTTCCTCATGGATGGTATCATCCAAGTATCTCTACCAAACTTTGCAAAGAATGACAAGATCCTTGTCAACGTGTCTGGTCAACTGTCAAATGAGTTTGATTTTGAACTGTACCCAATATTGAAATCTATTACATCGGCCGACTCTGTTGGAGGGGAAATTACAATTGGTGGACTTTATTTAAATAATCAAAACGCTACTGGTGCACCATTGACCATTACAGTCATGTTTCCTGGTAATAATCCATGTACCAATGTGCAAAAGATTGCAGATGATCAAGACATGTCCTATATTACTTGTAATGCACCGGCGGGTACTGGAATGGCCAATAATGTTGTAGTGACGGTTGGATCTAACCGTGCCGATAATATCAACTTTGCATATGGTGCACCTGTCATCTCCTCTCTTATTGTCAGCAATACCAATAGAGTTTCGATAGTTGGAAAGAATTTTGGTTCCCAGCAATCGGGAGTGACAGTCTTTCTTACAGACGTATCTCTACAATTCACACATGTCAACAGCACACTGCTCACATTTGTTTCAGATGGAGCTACCAAAAACGGACCAATCTCTGTTCAAGTCAGTGATGGTAGATACTCTAATCCAGTCGAATTACATTTGACACCAATCATTACATCAGTTTTGAAACCCATTAAAACCAGTGGTGACCAATTGACCATTGTCGGCTCGTTTTTGAGTGAAACAAGATTCAATGGAGCACCAACCAATATAGCAATAGTCATTGACCAAAATCAACCATGTACCAACCCAGTTGCAGATGCCGATGATTATTCATCGATCGTTTGTACTGCACCTCAAGGCTCTGGTACCAATCACATTGTAAGCGTTTATATTGATGGTGTTCAATCATCGCCATCATCCATTCCATTCTCTTATATTGCACCTTCAATCAGTGGTATCACTCAATTGGCAAGTAGTAACCAATTAACAATCTATGGCGCAAATTTTGGCGGGGATCTATCAAAGATATCAATCAACAATGATATCCAAATCGTATCAATTACCAACCCAACCATGCTCATTGCAACACTATCGAGTTTGTCCAAAAATGGAAATGTTAGAATTGTAGTGGATGGACAAACAAGTAACGACTACTTATTCAATATTAAATCATTGGTTACATTGATTTCATCGGCATCACCATACGGGGGTGTTGTTGAGATTACAGGTAATAGGCTTTGGACCGTCAGATCAAATGGTACATTTACAGATATTGTCATCAAGATTGGAGGTTATCCATGTACAAACATATCTCGTACGCCCAATAATGATGAAGATGGAACAAGTATTCAATGTACTATTGGAGCTGCAAGTTTATATCAACAGGCTCCAACAATATCAATAGATTCTGTTGTTTGTGATATTGGGTCGGTAGAATATACTTCCAAAGAACCAGTTGTCACATCAATTGATTCCACCTATTTCCGTGTTCCAGGCCAAGTCACCTTGCATGGTGACCATTTCTTTGACCCCGTTTCTATTGAAATTGGAGGTGACACTTGTTTCAATCAAGAAATAGTCGATCGATACACTGTTACTTGTTACTATGATAGTTTGATTGGGAGCAATAGTAGTCAAGCCTTGAATGTATATGTGGGATCTGGAGATCTAGAAGTCACACTGTACGGAATCTACAAATACCGTATATTGGACTGCCACAACGATTGTTCATCAAAGGGACAATGTTTGGTATCGTCGGGCCAATGCAAATGTGACCAAGGATACACTGGATCAGATTGTTCAATCCCTTTCACGGCATCAATCACCAATACCCCAACCACAACAGTATCTGGTGGTTCATTTGTAGCATACAACAGTACCGTTGAATTCCTGTTATCTCATATCCAAGAAATCAGAGACAATGGAACAGTCGTCAAGACCATTTCACTGGTTGGTGCCAAATGGGATAAATTGAATGAAAATGGAACTGTCATCACTTACAATACTACAAGTGAAGAATACAATATTGAACTTGTTGTTTCATCATCAAATAGTAGTAGTGTAGTATTTTTTGCAGGCGAAGAGATCGTCATTCCATCCAGTGATTCGATCAAACATAATATTATTATCAACCAATATTCTTTTGAATCGTCGAATTCATCACTTGTGGTGATTTATCGATTCACATCGCCAAGTCAACTCGAATATGATTGCGATACTAAAGATACGACCTACCAATTTGACAGTTCATCCGGATCTTCAACATTAATCAAATCGTATAGTATCGATTCGCCATTGGGAACAATGATGGCATCGTTCAGTAATCGTGCCATACTCGATAATACCAATACCATTGTTACCTCGATCCAAGCTGTTGCCTCGATTGATTCATCTACTAAATCATCGGCAGGCGTTCAATATATTGGCATCCAAGTGCCAGCTTTTGATCACTTTATTGAAATCGATCCTGTATTCTCTGCCACCCTCAAGACTGCTCCACCAACCAAAGAATGCATAGTATCTGCATCCTCTTCATCAACTCCTTCCATCTCCTTTGTATTCTACTTTTCATTTATTATATTCTCAACAACAATTGTTATCTTTAATATCTTGTAGAAATTTACAAACACAGATCACTCATTTATTTAATAAATAGACCGACCAAATCCAATGTATCATATTATTTTAAATAAAAATAGTTGTCCAATATTACTTTGATAACGATATACAATTAATAAATTAATTAATTGGAATATATTATTTATTTTGACGACTTGCCTTATCTACATATAGACTAAATTAAAATGGCAATAATGGATAATGAGAGGAGGATGGTGAAAAGAGAGAATGATGTCGAGGTAGAGGAAGAATTACTAGTTTTGGAATCAGATTGTGAATTGTCACCACCTGGAACTACTACTGTATCGGGTCTGATACTCAATTGACCACCCTCAATGGAGCAGGACATTCCACCAGCACGACAGACAATAGATGAAGCTTGACAAACAATTTCGTTTGGAGCTGAACATCTGGTAGATGAGGAGCTCAAGAGACCTAGACATTGGAATCCGCCTGGTGCATTACACTCACTGACACCTTGAGAGGTACAATTGATTGGAGTGTCACCTGGATACTGGACCTTGAGTTTACCTGAACGACTCAATGTACATGTGACATCTGACCCTGACGATGATGACGAAGATGATGAGGCACATGCAGATTTTCCAGACATAAATACTTCATAAACACATTTTGTGGCCGATTCGTCAGCTGCCACAACCTTATCAAGTTGGCCAGGAGCACAAGTAAAAAAGACATTGGTTTGTCTAACTTTACCAGAAGATTTGCATGGAGCTGTGCCTGACTTGTAGTTGACGACAGCTCCTCCACCACCAGGAGAGTCTGCCCATACTCCACTGCTTAGCAAACCAGTGTTTTGTGGTGTTCCTGTTGTTGGCTTTTGACATGAAACAATATTCGTGGCTCCAAGAAGTGAGTTGCATTGCAAATTTGGTTGACAAACTGACCATATGTAATTGGTACCTAAATCATCAAAAACAAAAATAATGTGTAAGTTTTGGAAATTGCAAAGATATCATGCATAATCAACATTGTTATATATATTGTTACAATACCTTGAACACTAATAGTATTATTATTTTAAAGTATTGTGGGTAAAGGTGGGACCAAAAAAATAAATAAATGATGATCGTTATTAGTAACTATAATATTATTCTTTAATTAAATTGGATATAACAAACTTGAAAGAGTATGAAGAACTACAATTGAGGAGAAACATTAAATCCAATAGCGTTAATAACGGTTTACTCTATCTATCTATCTACAGATACATGTTGTTGAGAGATACATACTTGAATCCAGAGTAATCAATACCATTATACTCACAGTTTGGAGCAGTACCAAAGGCACCAGAGATGAAATGACTAGAGATGAAAGCTAGAATGAAGTAGTAATAATACATCATTGTAAAAAAGTATAATCCAAAAAGAGAATCATAAGATGCCTTGCAAAGTTTCTTATGCTTTTTTTCTTCATTAGATGATTCTCCGAACTGACCACCTGGTTTATCGCACAAGAAAATTTAATCCAACACAAGGATATTATTATTATTTCAAACTAATCCAACCTTGAAATGAAACTCTTTTCAATCACTGTATGTTTTACCATTATTTCTTCAATGTGTTTATATTGTATTTATTTAAATTGTAACTATAAATTACAACAAAAGAGAATAAACAAACAATACAATAAAAAAAAATGATTTTTCAATGATTTTTCATTATCGAATGCACTATAGCTCAAATCGGTCGATGGCTTATCAACTAGTTTTCGATTTGCGCTGCTGGTCGAGATCCTATTAGATTCTCACAATGATGTTTAGATCATTCCTTCATCCCAATATCCGTCATGTCATTTTCATTTCATTTCAATTCATTCATCAAACAAACGACTATTATTATTATTATTATTAAATTATCATGACAGACGATAATGATGATGATAAAGATTATGATTATGTGGTTCAAGATGATTGGATAAATGATTATCATGATTTATATCATTACAATCATGACAGATCAATACAAACAAAAAGACCAAAGTTTAAAAAAATAGTACTCTACAAAGATAAAAAGAAAGAAAAACAAAAACAAATGTATGTCTAACAAACAAAACAAGTTTATATCAAATATAAATTAAAAGTTATATTAATCTCTTTCTTTCTTTCTTTTTATTTTATTTTTATTTATTTTATTTTTAGAATATGTAATAAAGAACAAACAAGTGGACAATGTATAAAGATGAGAATGTTTCAGTGTCGTCCAAGATGGGTCTATCTATCAAGGAAATATTACTGGTGTTATAAGCCACGTTGTTGGTGGCCTCTTCATAGTAGTTCAAAAGTAACACCTATAGTTGGACGTCAATATCAACAAGACCCGTTTCTATCAAAATGGACTGTTCAAGTTGGATGTACTCATGCTAGTATATTGGATCCACTCTCACCAAATCATTACGAGTCGTCGTTGGTTCCAATGCCAAAGAATATAACTTTACCCATTATTGATGCTAGGACATTGGCTCTAGAATACTATAATATCAATTGGGACAAAGATCCAATCAACCCAAAAGGTGGATTGTACAATCCGTATTTGTATGACTATGGCCAATCATCACCACATATGGACAGTCAATATGCTCAGACTATTGCAACTAAACTGCAAGACATGGCAAATGATTTAATTGGTGTATATAATGTACAAGAATATCTTGACAAACGTCAAATATTATTTGAAGGGATTGTTAGTGTCATTACAGAACATCCAAATCGAGACAATATTGGATTCATCTTTTCTCATATAAAGTCAAGTATGATACCTATCATTCAAACCTATTGTCAACATATTGCAACCAATAATTATTACCGAAATGCATATAGACATCTAGAAGGTGTATTTAACAACAAATTATTACACCTCATTGAAAAAAGGAGTAGAAATTATAAACTAGTTCAAAATTCATCTTTTGAAACTGATAGATTAATGGAAAATGATTTGGAAAATCCACTATTTAAATTGTTTGGTTCAAATATTGGTAATAACTTTATATCTGCACATATTGGTAAAAAAATGGTAAACAATCTTACACTTTTTAAAGAATGTTTTAAATCTTTTACTTCGTCTGTACTTTCTGGTATTACATGGGGTGAAATAGATGGATGTAAAGTTGTATGTGGTGGTAGTTCGGTATTGGCATCTCTTACACTTGGATCAGAATTTATGATAGATAATTATGAAACCTTTTTAACTGTTGAAAAGGCTATTGCACCACTTGCCACCAATGCCAAAAAGATCATCCAAGAATATCTTTCAAGTGCTCCAAGTAAAAGACTTTTTACTCATGATGGATTAAAGGGATTGGATGAATTGCTCGATGAACCATCATGGTATACAGAAACACATAGATTATACAATAATGAAAAATCACCCTATTTCAAATCAGATATCGATCTATTTCTCATTACAGAGTCAGAGCAGAGTGCAATTAAAAGAATTAAATTATTGGTAAAGGAAATCACATCATCTCTTCCATGTGACTATCATATCATCAAGACAATGCATTCGTTGACCATCCTTCCAACTGCCTACCCCTACCGTCCCGTACAAATTGTCACTGCCACTCTTAAAAGTTACTATGAGTATCTTTTAAAGGCAGATATAGATTGCACGTGCTTTTTATATGATGGCAATGAAATTTACACTCTTTTGCGTGGTGTTAGGTCAATTGCAAACTCTTTCAACTATATATCACCTCATCTTTTGCATCGAGAAAGATCACGAATAGAAAAGTATTTCAAAAGAGGTTATTCATTTGGTGCAACTGAAATATGGGACCAATCAAATTCACTCGATTGGTTGGATGATTATAAAAAGAAAGGTGGAATGTTTCCTCTTGATAGATTTGGATCTTTAAATGTTCCAGAACTAAAAGTAATATCAATGCAACGACAAAGACAAAGACAAATGTACAGACTAAGATATGGAGATGACTCTGATTCTTCCGAACAACAACTATTCACAACGATTCAAGATATTATGGAACGAGTAGGACCAAACAATTCATTTGATTTGGAAGCACTAAATGTGATAGACAAACCAAAAATGATTGGCCCAAATTTTGTTTATCATGGTTGGAAAATATTGGATCAATTTATCGATCAACATATTATCGTTGAACCAAAATCAATTTGTACTGTTGGTTTTTCATGTTATCAATGCGGCGAATTAATATTTCATTGGCATACAAGTATTGGTGAAATTCCAATTTGCAACGATTGTCAAAATTTAACAGACTCGAAATGGCAACAATGGGATAATATTCAAGTAGACCAGAGTCGTCCAAAATATGCTTTGGTAACTGGAGCAAGAATGAAAATTGGATATTATATTGCAAAGAGATTATTAAAAAGTGGATTTACTGTCATGGTGACAACAAGATTCCCTTGGATTGCAATAGATCGTTATTCAAGGGAAGATGATTACTCTGAATGGAAAGATAGACTATTTGTTTATGGATGTGATTTTAGACATTTACCATCGGTTCAATCAATGATCAATCACATCAAACAATTATTCCCTCGTTTGGATATTTTAATCAACAATGCTGCTCAAACTATTCGTAGACCACGTGCCTATTTTAGAGAATTGATAGAAAAGGAAGAATACCTATCTCTTGCTTATGGTTTAATTGGTCATATTACTCAATCTATTAAATTTATAAAAAAGAATGATGATAATGATGATGATGACGACGACGATGACTATAATCAAGATAATAATGATAGTGATGAAATTCCAACACCAAAAAGAACAGCAGTACAACTATATAATAATGAATTACCAAAAAGTATTATGGAATGTTCATTAATGACACAAATACAATTATTGGATCATGACAGAGAAGAACGAAATGATGAATTATTCCCACCTGGTCAAACAGATTTACATGGTGAACCATTAGACAACAGAGAACAGACAACATGGAGAGAAACAATTGAAGAAACATCACCAATTGAAATGATGGAAGTTCAATTGGTCAATGTTACAGTTCCATTCATGTTGATCTCTCAACTATCACCCTTTATGTCAAACTATATCAAGACTGATGGAGATGACAACGATTGGAAATTTATTGTCAATGTATCAGCACAAGAAGGCTCATTCAACAAAGGATACAATCATGGTCATCACACCCACACTAATATGGCCAAATCATCACTCAATATGATGACCTATTCAATCGCTGAGAGTTATCTCAAGAAAGGTATCTATGTTTGTGGTGTCGATACTGGATGGTGTACAAAGATGACATCACAACGCAAAGATGGACCACAATCACCACTCAACGAGTTTGATGGTGCTACAAGAGTATTGGATCCAATTGCAAGTATATTGTTGTTGGGAGATGATGAATCAAAAAGAAAGAAAATGCATATAGGTGGAATGTTTTGTCATTATCGACCACAAGATAATATAAATTATAGTCATACAAAAGGAATTTAAAAAATTAAAAATTAAATTAAAAATAAAACAATTGTTTTTTCTAGATTTAAGGATTTAAGGATTTTTAATCATTCCAATCATCCCAACCATCAGTACTTGTTGGTTTTGATTTTACAATGGTTGTAGTTTTCTTTTTAGTTGATGATGAAGAAGAATTTCTAGATGATACTGTATTATTATTACTATCATCCCAATCATTCCAATCTCCTGATGATTTGTTATTGTTATTGTCTGAATCATCATCTTGATATGAAAACGTGTTTTTAGGTTTTGATGAAAGTTTCATTCCTCCTCCTCCTGTCTTGTTACCACTACTATTATCATTATTATTATTATTATTATTATTATTATTTATAACTTTAGAAGGAATTGATTTTTTAGTTTCTACTACTGGTTCATCATCATCAAATAAATCATCATCATTTTCATCCCATCCATCTGCATTTATATTATTCTTTTTAGTTGTTGTTGATGATGATGACGATGTTGAATAACTTGTTGTTTTTTGTTTTTCTTTTTCCTTTTCACTTTGTTTTGATTGTTGAGGAGATGTAAAATTACTTGATGGAGTATTTGAAGATGAACTATTACTACTAGAATAACTATTATTACTAGAATTTAGAGGAGGAGGAGAAGCAAGTGGTGATTCATTGGTAGCAGTTGCAATATATTTCTTTGTAAGTCCATATGCCCATCCCAACATTGTTTCTTGACCATCTGGTCCCATAGTCTGGTGTCCACCTTGATTTGATCCTGATCCCGATCCTTGTTGTCCACCTTGTTGACTTCCTCCTTGTTGTTGTTGTTGAGTATCAGGTAATTGAGAAGAAAAAGTTTCCAATTTACCAATAAACAAAGACATTGCTTGGAAAGCAGTGGTACGAATTTGTTTTTCTGGAGAGATGAGCATACGAGAGATTTCTGGGATGACCTTGGTAGCAATTTCATCGGGGGTATAATATTGTTGGGTAAACATAAATGCAGAGAGACCAGCATTTTGAGATGGTACAAAAGGATCACGGAGCGAGGTTGAAAAGGCTGGTACAAGAACACGCTTTCTAGTGTCGGGTGAAATATGTTCAGAGATTCTACCCAAACAAACAGTAGTATTGGTTCTGATACCTGGTTCCATGTCCTTTTGGAGGGCAGCAAAGTATTTGAGCAGCTGAAGCATAGTCTTTTCAGAGAGCTTTGGTGCAAACAATAGCATCGACTTTATAGTCAGCTCCTTGAGTGCTGGCTTATCATTGAATCCATTGACCACATTGGGAAAGATTTGGTCATTAATGACAGTTGATGACAAGTGTTGGATATAGTGTTCGAGATTTTCCAAAAGATTGACTCGTAACCCTCTATCATCCATTGCAAACCATTTCACTACACTTGGTACCACCTTTGTTGTATATTCCTCTGTCGACAGATTAGAACTAATCTTTAACAATGTTCCCAAAATCTTTGTATTAATTGGTCCAATTTCAAATGCCGTAATCAAATGTGGTAAAATCTTAAATTTACATATATTTGTTGGTAATTTATCTAAATGTTGATCTAATTTTCTTTAAAAAATTAAAATAAAAATTAATATATACTTCTTTTTGTTTTTTTTGTTTTTTTTTGTTTTTTTCATACTTGAAAAAAGTTTCCTTTTCAAATTGATCTTTTAAAGTAATATTTTCTAAAAATGTACAAGTTTCAACAAAGATATTTGAAAAGTAGGAGGATTCGAGGAATTTTTGAGGATTGAGACGTTGTTCTGGTTTGGAAGAGAAACATTTTTGATAGGATGGTTGAAGTGATTTGGGGATAGAAGCCAACTCGCGAACATCCTCTGATTTGGACATGACGCCACTGTAACATTCATACATGAGACATCCCAACATCCAAGCATCGATTGCAAAACTAGGAGCAGTATTGATTTGACTCCATTGAGCCTTGCTCACCTCTGGAGCTCTATATTTGGCAGGCACCAAATCAACATGTGTCTTTAACAATGGATTGGCATCTCTAACATCACACACCAAATCCAATCCTCCCAATTTCCAATCTCCACTCTTATTTACAAATATCGTCGTCATACAAAGATTACCATGTGTTAAATTCTTTCCACTTAAAAATGATAATCCATTCTATAGAAAAAGAAAGGTAAAGTGAAATATTAGAACCAAACTTTTTCTTTTTCTTTTTCTTTGTTTCTTTCTTTTTCTACTTACAGTAATTTGATAGATACCCCATGAAATAGCATCATCAAACTTTTTAATATCTTGAATAGCTTCATCTAGAGGAGTGATAGTTTCAGTGACAATGTAAATGTTACTATCAGTTTCTAGACCATCGATATAGGTGATAAAGTTGGGATGTCTGATAGTTTTGGCACGTTTAAAACCATTACGTGCAACCTCTAACTTTGAAGGATTCTTTTTAACGTCAAAGCTAAAGATTGATACTACTGAACCATCATCCTTTTTAGTTCCTTGATGTAAGGTCCATATCGATTTACCAGTATAACTAGTTACTGCTTGTCCTATATTAAAAGGAAATTGTGCTGTTCCTTGTCCTATTAATAAATTTAAAAAATTCATTCAAACAAATAGAAAAGAAGAATAAAGAAACTAAGAATAGAATAGATACTAATAATAATAATAATGATATTATAGAGCAGAGTGAGGTCTTGTTCTTTCTTTGTGAAGAATTAAGGTGAATGAAAAAAAAAATTAAAAATAAAAACATCTCATGCTGATTCATCGAGACTTGGGTGTGATGATCATCGTCTTTTTGAACAATATTCATTTATATCTACTTCCTATCTATCTTTTGAATCAACAATGAATCAAGAATCAGATTCTGGTAATACATCATTTCTAGATATAAATTGGTCATTACATTCAAATGATGATCTATTATTATTCCCACCAACAACAACACCCAATACTCAAGATAAAGTAGATGATATCAATATAATCAATAATAGTAATAACAGTAATAATGAAACTTTATCACAAATTAGAAAGGTATAAAAGAATGATAGAAACATGAATATATAAGGTTACTTATTCTTTTTTGTTGTCTTTACTTAGTTATATAATGAAATGTATTCACATTTTATAAATATTCAAGGATTAGTGATTCAAGGAGGAGAAGAATTTATATCAGAGGAAAGAGTAAGAGAGATTGTATCAATCTCTAATCGTTATCAATCTGTTATATTATCGACAAGAGATCAAATTCAAAAAGCATTGGCAACAGGTCATTATTTGGATTATGATGATGCCGACACTCATCACAATCCCTACGACAATGATCTAAAGACCAAGGAAAGATCAAGAATCTCTCAAATCATGGAAGATGCCTATCAAAAGAACTTTTCATTAATTATCTTTTGTGGTCACGTCGATTCAATCTATCCTTCTCTTTGTTTTGATCTATCCAAACAAATTGGTATTCAATGTAAATTAATTACTAGAAATTCAAACATCTTTAAACATCAATCACAAAATCAATCTCAAATTGATAAATTTAATAATGATCAAAGTAAATATAGAAAAAAAAAAAGAAAATGAAACAAACCTAACAACTATATTATTTACTTTTCTTTTTTTTCTTTCTATTTAGACAAAATGAAAAATAATTTAATAATATTAAATAGAAAAGAATATTCAAAGAGAATTGAATATATTGAAAATAATATAAATGATTTGGAAAATCCAATTTTTATTGATTGTGATTTAATCTTTTCAAAAGTAAATAATAACAAAACAAAATAATAACTATTAACTATTAAATATTAATTTTCCCTTTCCATTTTTCCATCCATTTTAGTATAAACAAGAAATTGAAAATTTAAATATAATATCAATGATATTAAAGATTACACATTTATTTTATTTCTCACCAACTATATCACCACATCAATTATTGGATTGTTTGAAACAACAACAAGATCAAGGAGTGATTGAACAATTTGAAGAATTGTTGCAGGATATTGGATCGGTTGAACAGGATCAAGTACTATCATTTGTATCTCAAATGTTGTGTCATGGTTTGATTGATGAATCGATTCATCTGCTGAATCTACTTTCTCGACTACCCAAATCAAGTTCTTCAATTCATCTCAAATCGACCATGTCCAACAATGCAAATCTTAGACGTTCACCAATTGGAGTGATGATTGATCTTTTACAACGTATACCAATACGTAGAAAGACAAACTTCACCAATGAATACATTCAACTTTGGCAACAGTGGCATCAAGAGGTTGGTCAAATTGCATCGAGTGGTTTGATGGAATCTAGTGGTGGTAATGGATTAAAAGAAATGATTGATCTACTCAATGGTGATGAAAAGATATTAAGCAAGTACAATAATAATAGTGGTCAAACTGCTTACTTGCAGTCGGTAGTAACTCATCTACTCTATGTTGAACATGTATCTTCACCACAACAAATCCGTCAACTCTTCCTCCACTATTACACCAAATTCAAGTCAGCGTCACTCATTGATCGAATCATCAAATCATTGGCTGCACCTGATCAACTTCAAGTGGCACTCGAGGAAATGGCCAAACATTTGCCATCGTGGTTGGTTGTCCATGTCACCGATCTATTGGTACACCATCCATACGTTCTCAAACGTCAACCACATCAACCATCACCTCTCCTCTCTACACGTGACCAACTGCTGACTAGCTATGGTTTTGGAATTGGCTCAAGATCCATCTCTCCTCGACATTGCCTTTGGTTACATTAACCAAACTAAAAAATCATCCACCCTCATTGAATCTATCATTCAACGACAATCAACCCCCGAATCAATCTCTGAAAGACAAGCATACAAGCTTCTCTCTTATTCCTCTCAAAAATCAATCAACCATATTTTCAAGGTACTCTCTGCTCGAGACTATACCTTGGAAAGATATGGTTCATCAATCAATTGGTTATTAATGTCCAAAGATACTGCTCGTATCGCTCAACTTTCAAATCATCTTTTGAATCACAAACTAAATAGTCTCTTGTTTACAGACTTGGATTCAATCATTAAAAATGATCAATCATTTTCAAATTATAAAGAATTGGATTTCTTAATTAAATATAAACATTTAATTCATTTTTTTAAAGTAAGCTAGAAAAACAAAAAGAAAAGAAAAAAGAAAGTATATTAATATTCTTCTATTTATTTATAATTTTATAGAAAAGAGAATTTGAAAATTATAGTGAATATTTTTGTGAAATGTTTAGAAATCAAATTGTACCAAGATCATTTTCAATTAGATTAATGTTGGATATTATACCATTGTTGGAAAGTTTAAACAAAGTTTATTTTAATTTGGATGACACTATGATGTTGACCAATTATCTCGAAGACATTCAATCCAGTCATTTGGCAGATCAATATCTTCAAGGTATTAGTGTTCAAAACCTACAATCTCTTAGATTGGCACTTTCTAGAAATATTGCAAAATCATTCAAACATAATCAACAACAATTACAAAATCAACATACTCAACAATTAAAATTATCAATCTAATTAAAATAAAAAGTAAAAGTAAAAGTATTTCCATAAATTTAATATATATATATATTCTCTCTTTTGATTATTATTAATTCCAAGTGTACTAATTTCTCTAAACTAATCTGTCTATTGTCTTGTCTTGGATCTTTGTCTTTTTATCCATCTTTTTTTGGTTGTTTATACTTTAAATTTTTAAACAGTCTTTTATTGATCAAACCATTTTAGTTGGAGTTTTCTTGTGGTTGACGTGGTTGACGTGGTGGACCATCCTTTCTGTAAGCACCTGGACCCATACGTGGACGACGTTCACCGTCAAAGTTTGGACGGAATTCACCGCTGGCACCGGTTCTCTTGCCATCTTCGTGTCTGTCGCCACGGTGTTCACGGTCACCACCACGGTGGGTACGAACAGCTTGCTTTCTGAGGGTAGATGGGACAACAGAGTCTGGGAGCATGAGGTATTGTCTGAGGTATTGGATACCTTGGTCAGTCAAGGTCCAATAGTAGTGTTGCCAGTTGAAGATCTCAGTGACGTGCTTTTGAGACTTTAATGATCTCATGAGAGCAAGAACTTCGAGGTTGGATACACCTTCGATGGTCAAGTGCTTCTTGGCACCGAAATCCTTCTTGGCTACGATGACTCCCTCTAAATAATAGTAAATCGAATATAAAAGATGATAATAGGTAGAGATAGGAGTAGATAGAGGATATGTGGAAAGATAGAGAGTAAGTATGATGATTTCTCTCTAATTGTATGATTCTTTGTTGTGTGTTTGCTATATATCTTTACCCTTGAAAAGGTCGTTGAAGATTTTGAGACGATGATCTTTTGGAATAATCATTTCAACTGCTATACTCTGCTGCTGGGAAAAAGGAAGTTATAGAGTCTCACATCAATCTCTTGTGCACAGAGAGTCGAGGGAGAGCTCAGACACGACACTCTCACACGATATTCAAAAAATTAATTTTTGAACAAAAATTGTTTTTACGAAACAAAAAATTTTGCCCGCGACAAAAAGACTATAGCTCTGATCACCTTGTATTGATTTTTGTTGTTGTTGTATCATAGATAGCTTGTTTTTCTCTATCTTTTTTATTTTTTCTTAGAAATCAGAATCATTTTGATAAATGACAGCACATGGTTGAAGTGATTGTTTATCAAACTTGTCTTGATGGAAATATTCTGCAAGTGTTTCGACGCTGCCCAACATAATATCGGCGTTTTCACGAACAATCGAACTCCAATAGGTTTCAATGGGTACTTGTTGACTGTCGTGTTCATGGAAATGGAAGAAACTACCCCATTCATATCTATTACCATCCTTGTAGTTGGTTTTCTTTTTTAATACTACAATTTCATTTGGATCTTCAATCTCTTCAACAATTGCAATTGTCATCCATTTTGAAAATCTAAAAAAAAAAAAAAAAAAAGAAATATTAATATTAATATTATTTTGATAGCTCTATTTTTTTTTTTTTTATATACATACTGTTTTGGAACACTAACATCACCAATTAAATGATCACCAACATAACAAAAAGAGATTAAATCAGTTTCTGATTTTCCTTTTGATTTTCTAACTTGATCCATTAAAGTTTTAACATTTCCATGATTATAAACTGTCTTTTTGTTAAATACAACTTCATCAACTTGAATTTGATTTACAACCTTTGGGAAATAACTTTCTAAATCTATAAAAAAAATATAAAATAAAAAAATAGAAAAAAAGGTCAATCATAGAGTTGTAGAGACAGACACATACCTATCCTATTCTATTCTATTCTATTCTCTATACTTACCATAAAAAGGTCTATCTTTTTTAAAAAAGTCTGGTTTTTTAGCATCGGCAACAACCAAATCAAATAAATCTTGGAAATCTTCACCATAACAATATTTCATTAAAAGATCAGTATATTCTGATTTTGAATTGGTAATTAATAAAACCTTGGTTCCATTGTTTTTCAATTCTCTTAACCAATTTTTACACTTTTCTGTTGCTTTAATTACAAATTTACCTGGATTTTTCTTTAAACCAAATTAATGTTAACATTAATATTGATCAATCTTCTTTCTATTTGTTTCTTTTTTTTTTTTCTTTACATACTCTAAATTCTTCATAATATTCACCTTTATAGAAATCAGTAAAATGAATATTAAAAGTATCGATTAAAGCTTGAAGAAACTCTAACATGAGTGGTCTAGTTACAGTGACACCTTGTTTGACGAGATGATCAATATGATGAACCCACAATGAAGCAGCTGGGATATCAAAATAAGAGATCAATGCAAAGAAACGACTGGTACTTGAACCATTGAAACTGTGCAATGGACGATTCTCTGGAATCGGTTGACTTTCATAGGTTTCAAGGATCGTCTTTTTATCTACTGCTTGACTACCAAAAAATGCCTTTAATACTCTTTTGTTTGATCCCAACTTTAAAATATATCCTGTATCAAGATCCAATATAATACCTCTATGACATATTTCAAGTTCTAATTTATCCTAATAGAAAAAAAGAAATAGAAATGAAGAATGTATTAGAGAGAGAGAGAGAGAGAGATATATTGTCTATCATTTGTTGTTTTCTATTTACATTTGCAAGATGAGGAAATTTAGGAGCAAGAGTTTTAGACATGCATTGATTCACTAATAGTTGTAATTCTACATTGTGGTATCTGACAATAGTCATATCCATATCGAATCCTATACAATCTAGATTCTTTAGTTGTTGATGTAACTCTATCTCTTTGGCTACTACTTTTTCTACGTTACTACTATCCATCTTTCTTTATCTATGTATAATATTATATGTATATATATATATTAATTAATAATACTAAATATCAATGATTAAGATGAGAGGCAGATATCATTCTTTTCGTTCTTCGCACCCCCAACCACCCATTATCATGAGTTTTTAAATTAAATTAAATTATTTGGACACTTGGAACTTCTAAAAAAGGTAAATCCAAACGACATGGAACACCAAAAAACCAACTATCTATATAGTTAGTAGTTTAAGTTTAGAGGGGGTTGGTTTAGGTTTAATTCACCATTCATAATTTCATCATTTAATTTATTGATTGTTTTGATAATATAGTACCTCTTTTTGGATAGATTACATTATTAATTAAATTGGGGGATTCTGTGATTTCAGTAGACGTGCCACCAATGATCAATGTATCCACTGAATAGAGAGATGCAATATTTTTGGCGGAATCAATCTTTGCTTTCATTCCTCCGGTTACATCACATGTACCCTTTTTTACTGCAAATTGTGTAGAGGATGAGGAGGAGGAGGAGGATTGTTGTTGTAGTTCATCTTTTTTGTCTCCTCCTCCATTTAAAATATCACCATTATCATTTAAATGAATAAAGTTTAATAGTTTGGCTGATGGATCAGATGGAGGTAAACTATAAACACCTTCAACATCTGTTATAAATATTGCTCTTTTTGGTTTTAATTTTTACAAAGTATTTGTATAATTCTAAAAAAAATAAACAAAAAAAAAGTAAATAAATAATTAAGTTAAATATCTTATTTGTTTGTTTTGTTTGTTTTAACATACGAATCACCACTTAAAATAGTACAACCTTTAATAGTATCAAGACAAACATCACCATGTAAAACAGGAACCAAATTCATGGCGAGTAGACGTTTAATATGTTCACTATTATCTTGAATGACGGTGTCATTTTCAGTGAGCCAACTATCAAAGGGAGATACTGGAATGGCATTGATAGATACATCATTTAATCTACTTGTCAGGGTCATTAGTAATTGTAGTACACTTGCTCTTGTTTTACACATTCCAACATCAGACTCATTTTCCTTTTGATTAAATCCACTTGTAATTTTATATTGTCTAAATAACATTTATATATTATATTATAAATAACCTTTTTGTATTTATATACTCCTTCTTCTTCCCGTATTTGTTATTGTATATTACTTTGCTTCAAAATGACCAAAACTACCAGCACCAGAGATAATGATGATTTTAAAGTGTTGTTGTAACTTTAGGTATTTGACAATTTCAACAAAAGAGTCTAAATTACTTTGATTAAACGTTTGATGTTTTGATTTATCTGTAAGATAGGCACCTCCAAATTTCAAAATTATCAATTCTTCCTTTTCTTCTTGATGATTCATCATTATTTGTATAAATAGAAATGGTGTAGAGTAAAGAAGAAATAAAATTAAATTAAAAAAAAAAGGTGAATCATCACCCAACTTGTCATATTTTTTTAAAAAGTTTCCTCTTGAATGAAGATCATTTTGTTTTAATCTAAAAGAGAGCTAGAGAGCTAGAGAGAGAAGTAATATAAATGGTAAGAATAGATAGAATAGTAGAGAGAGAGAGAGAGAGAGAGAGAGGAGTGATATTATATAATATTTATTCTTTCTATCTATTTTAGGTTGTATTAGCAGCAGCAATTTGTACAAAGAATGGGAAACCATTGTTATCACGTCAATTTTCAGAGATGACAAAGAGTAGAGTTGAAGGATTATTGTCAGCCTTTCCAAAGTTGATTGGTAATGGCAAACAACATACTTTTATAGAGACTGAAAACATTCGTTATGTCTATCAACCATTGGAATCACTCTATCTCGTTTTGATCACCAACAAGAATTCAAATATACTCGAAGACATTGAAACGCTTCATCTCTTGGCCAAGATCGTACCAGAGTATAGCAGTTTCGATGAACAAGACGTATCTAAAAAGGCATTTGATATCATCTTTACTTTTGATGAAATCATTGCCATGGGTTACAAAGAACGTGTCACTGTTCAACAAATTAAACATTTCATTTCAATGGAAAGTCATGAAGAAGAAAGAGTTAGACTTGAAGAATCGGTAAGAAAACAAGAATAGTAGAGAGATTCATTTGATTTCATTTATTAATTGTTTATTCTTTCATTAGATGAAACAAAAACAAGCCAAGTTGGAAGGAAATAAAAAGATGAAGGAATTGGAAAAGTTGAGAATGATGGGAGGTGGTATGGGAGGAGGAATGGGAGGAGGAGGAATGGGAAGCGGCAGCATGGGAAGTGGTGGTATGTCACCATCCTATGGAGGCGGCAGTGGAAACAACTATCGTAACGATAATCATAGCAGTGATCGTGATAGTAACCATTCCTCACCATTAATTGATAGAGAAAGACGTGATACTACGTATGTAAATCAATATAAAAGTATTTATTTATTTAATTATTTATAAACTATTTATTTTTTTTAGACCAAAACCAAGTTCAGCACAACCAATGAAAGAAGGTATGAAATTGGGAATGAAATCAAATAAAAAGAGTGCAATTGCTCAAGTATTAAAAGAAGAAAAGGTAGTAGAAAAGGAAGATGAATTGGAAGCATTACTCGAGACTGGAACTGGATCAGGTGCTGCTGGTGGATCATTTGAAAAAGCAGTGCCAACAGAGGCCGTTCACATTGTGATTGATGAACAGATTTTGGCAGAAGTTGAAAACGACGGAACTGTCAACTCTATGGATATCAAGGGTGCTCTCTCTGTCAACATTGGCAACTCTAGCTTGGGTGCCGTCAAGATTGCATTCAAAAAGGGACCAACTGCCAACCAATTCCAATTCATCACTCATCCCAACATTGACAAGCAGACATTTGCCTCTGCCAATACTCTTCGTACCAAGGATGGTAAGACATTCCCATCGGGTGGTATCCTCAAGTGGAGATGTCGTCCAACCGACGATGCACTCCTCCCCATCAAGGTCAACTGCTGGCCAAATGCAAGTGGAGGCGTAACTACCGTCAATCTCGAATACGAAGCCTCTTCTTGCTTCCCACTCAAAAATGTTTTAATCACCATCCCCTCTACCATTCAACCAATCATCAATCAAGTCGACGGTCAATACGACTATTCTCACAAGGACAAACAAGTCCTCTGGAAAATCCCACTTATCGATGATTCAAATAGTCAAGGTTCAATGGAATTTACCGTCAAGGGTAATGTTCCTTCTTTCTTCCCAGTTAAAATTCATTTTACTTCAACTAAAACTATTTGTCAAATTGATGTATGTAAAAAAAAAAATGAAAATAGAAATAGAAAAAATAGATAGTTTATTAACAAAACCTACTATTTCTACCTACTATTTATTTTCTTTTTAGATTATTGATTCAGTTATTGAAGAAACAGATATACCAACACCATTTTCAAGTGAAGTTACACTTTCAACTGATAATTATGAAATTATAGGTTAAATAGATTAAATAGACTTTAATGTAATTTTATATATAAATCATAAAAAAAAATTAAAATAAAAAGAAAACAGAAAAGAAAACTAAATTTAAACATATACTAGTATATAAATATTTGTTTTACGTAGAGGTTAGGATTTTTTATTTTTAGTTAAAGAAAAACTTCTCTTTGCCTTTACTGTTGTTGTTGTTGTTGTTGTAGTGGTGGTTGTTGTATTTGCAGTTGTGGTATTGGAAGAGTTGGAGTTGGAGTTGGAGTTGTTAATTGGTTCTTTTTTTTGATCCAATTGTTGATCGCTAAAAGATGAAAATGAAAAAGGTTTAATGGATTGATTTGCAACGGTCGTCGATAATCGATGATTATTCATCAATGAAGATGGAGTTGATCGAGATGAAACGGATGATCCCGTAGTATAAGTGGCTGCTGTAAATGATGGAGAATGTGAAGATGATGAAGATGAAGAAGAAGATGATGATCCAGGTGAAAATTGTAATGTACTACTACTACTAGTATTGGTAGTAGTCTTTATCGTCGTCGTTGTTGTCGTATTATTATTATTATTTTGATTATTTGATTTAATTGTTGGACCATTTAATTGTTGTAATTGTTGAGGAGTAAAAGGATCAAGAGGATGATAATAAGATTTTCGTAAATGATCGTAGATGGATTCCTGTCGCCGTAGGAAATCATCATCCAAATTACTCTTTTGCATTGAACATTCTCTGATATTGAATTCAGCTTGTTCCATCAATTGATTTTCGTGATGTATCTTACTGTGACACACCAACTTTCTCATCCAATCGTCCATTTCTATTCTTGTATCGGCAGATAGGTAAAACACCCGATCTGGTGTAACAATTTCAAATGTCCATTCTCTTTCCCTATCATCATGAATCTAAAAAAAACAAATATATATATTTTAAAAGAAATAGAAAAAGGAAAAAAGGGTGTTTGGTTAAAACAACTGGTTTGTAATTGGTTAAAACAAACAAAAGCCATTCCAATTCGTTCCTATTTCTATTCCTATTCATTCATACCCTAACAGTTGATTGTTCCAATGGAATATGCCTAGTTGATTTCTCATGAGGACTTTTGTGATAATGTAGTTTGCTGTCAACTGACAATGTAAACCATCGTTTTTGCCATCTCTTATTAATAACTCCTTTCTTATATAAATGTCCTGTTTTTGTTTCTTTTACCTAAATAAATAGAAAGTTTTAGTCAATCTAATCTAATCTAATCTAAATCATCATTCTTCTTTGTTCTTATATATATCTTTCTCTCTTTCTTCTTCTTTATACATACATTCATTTTATACACAATATATATATTTATAGACACAGATAAGATAATTTACAACAAAAATAAAATTTACTATATATAACTATATCCCTATTGAATCTATGATTGATAGATTAAATGTAGGATTGATTGATTGAATGATTGAAAATATACAACTTGATATCTTTTTTATGAGATTTGTAATAACCTCTTTTTTATAGATTCCTTATATGATTGATTGATTATACTTTAGTAGCTACTAGATATATGATTCTATTTAATAATATGATGATCGATCATTCATTTCCTTTTTATACAGATAATGATAATTATATAGTCTATATAGATCTACTCGTTTCTACTTTTTATAACTATTACTACTACCTGTAGTAATATCTATCTGTCTAATCTATCTGTTCACAACAAGACAATAGTAGAGAGTTGCAATGTTTATGTTTTTACTCTCCTTTGCCCACCACATCATCAAAAAGCGTAAAAACCTGATTTTTTTGTTTTCGGACTAATCCAAAAAACATTGTCCCAATTATCCAAAAATAGTTTATTATTTATTTATTTATTTATTTTTATTTTTAAAAGCTCTTACTTCCTCTACCTTTGAATGAAGAAGGAGAAGGTTGTTTTGTTTTTGATTTTTCTGTAAAAAACTCTAATTGTACTCTTGGTTCATCTCCACCGCTCTTTTGTTGTTGGCCTTGTCCTCCACCACGTTGTTGCTTATTATTATCATTGGAACGTCTAAGATTTGGTGGTACATATGGTTGATATCTATTTTTTGATTGTCCTTGTGTTTCTTGTTGACCTTGTTGACTTTGTTGTTGTTGTTTTTGTCCTACTTGATTCTTTTGTTTTTGTTGTTTTTGTCCTCCACCTACTTGTTGATGTTGATAATTTGGTTGATATTGTTTTTTAAATTGTTTCATTGGGTTTTGTTCTTTGGCAAATGATGGTCTGATGGCCGAGTTGTTGAGGATGGGTGGATTTTTAGAGAGATTACGGATAAATTGGATGAGGTTGGAGGTTGTCTTTTGTGATTTGATGAGTTGGGCAAGTTGTTCAGTGTCTGATTTTGGCAAGACTTCAATTGCCTTTTTCAACTTGGCATCGGTCGTTCCGATACGATCATTCAATACACGCAATCTTGCAACAAAGTCATCAAACTTGCTTGGGTCCAAATCAGTTGCCATGTCGCTTGGTTGTCCAGTGTTGGTCTTGTAAGCACAAAGACGTCTCATTTGTGCTGGTGATTTTGCTCCCAAATTACTAAATGACAATAAAAGTGCTTCAAGTATTGTCAATTTAAAATCATAATCAATTGGTGCTGGTACTGGTATTTTGTCCTATAAAAGAAAATAATAAGGATAATAAATTAGACCACAATGATTCGATTAAATCTTTACATATATTTTCTTTTCTTACTTTTAAAAGTTTAAATACAATTTCAAATAATTCTGGGGCGTCATTGGTATTGGCAGATTGAGTGATGAGAGCAAATTTAGTGATAAAATCAGTTTGATCAGCTTCCAACATATCATTTAATGATGGGAATATCTTTGTTTTATAAAATTCAAAAATTCCACTACCAACTGGTTCATTATTATTTTGCTTAAAAAAGAAAAAAAGAATAATTAATATAACAATAAATATATATATATATTTCTTTTGTTTTGTTTTTTTTTGATACAATACAGTAGATTTTTTAACCAACATATCTAAAATGAAATAAACTTTTTTCTTTGTTTCAACAACTGGTAATTTATGAATCAATGATAAAAGAGTATCACAAAATACAATTGCATCCTTTAACATGTATTTTGGGAAACAATTAAATAATTCTACCAATATTTCAATTTCACCATCTTTTGATGATCCAATCAACTAGAAGGATAGAAAGAGAAATTTGATTTGTTAATAAACAATCATATGATCTTCTTTTTTTTTTCTATTTTTTACCTTTAAAATTCTTTCTCTAAAGAATGATTGAGCTTCCATTGTACTTTGTTTATACTCTAATCTAATAAGAGACATGAGACGTTCCTTGATAAACTTTAACATGAATTCTCTTTGATTGTCAGTTTCGAGTGACAAGAGAATCGAGTTTAAAGTATTGGCAGAATTGAGTTTATACAATTCAATGATTGAGTTTTTGGTACTTTCATACTCGATTGGTGAATCTATTCATTATTATTATTGTTATTATTTTGTGTTAACCATCATTATTATTACCAACAATATTAATTATATATAGTTGTTTTTCACATTCTAACTTACCAGTATTTAATAATTGACCAAGGATATCAACCAACTTTGCAATGTACTCTGGATTATCAGTGCAAATAGAAGGTATGGCTTTGAGAGCACTGACACGAACAGGGATATCATCCTCTTCGATCAAATCGATCAAACTGTCAATAACCTTTTCTTGAGTGGAAGGAAATCTCTTAAAGTACTTTGAAAAGAATTGTGATGACAATTGTTTTGTCTGCTTATTACTCTTTGATAAATCAATAATCGTTTTAAATAATTCTTCATCCTATATATAGAAATTAAATATAAATATAAATATATATATATATTCAAGAGCAATCTCTTCTCTTTGTTGATTGTTGACACATACACCTGCAAATTGTTGACTTGAATCTAATTTATAAGCAATTTCATACAATGAAGTTACAGGATCAGCTGCCATTGCTGTAGTTGTAGTTGAAAGTGTAACATCCATCTTTACTTTCTATTTCTTCTTCTTCTTCTTCTTATGATACAACTATAAATAAATAAATAAATAAACTAACTAACAAACTATAGAGATAGAAGATGGTATTTAAATAAAAATGTAACAAACCCACACTTCATAGTGCTTGTTTGAACAAAAAAGGCAAAAATATTAATATTTAAAAAAAGAGCAATATGGGTTCATTGATGAAAAGTCTCTATTTCTCTGCATACATCATATCTGCTATCATTTATTAAATCTTTTTTTTTAAAAGAATACACAATTCCAAACTAGATTGATTAATCATGTCATTTAATAGATTCATAAGTGAAAAGGAAATAGAAGAACAAAAAGACTTGTATGGTGGTAAAGCAAGAACATCGGCCGCAGAGAATGATGGTAGAACACTATTTGAAAGACTACAAGAACAAAAGAATTTAAAGGATAGTGCTTGGAGTGAGAAACATAAAGATAGTATGAATGACAACAACTAAGATAAATACATGTATCTATCAATCACAAATTGACAAATTATTGGCATATTCATTCATTCTCTATAGAGGCATCTGAAGGATTAAACGATGATGATATAAAATATTTCCAAGAGCAAGAGATGGAAAAAGAGGAAAAGAAAAAAAAAGAAGAACAAGAGGTTGCAAGAGAGATGGAACAAATTAAAAAAGAAAGATTGGCTACCAAAAAAGTAACTCCTCCTAAAGATATATCCACTGATCCTAGCATTCTCATTATCGATCAACTTGTCGATACCACCAATACAACAACAACAAAGAAATCACAAATTGGAAATTCATTTATCAAAGTTAAACGAAAAAGTATTGTTGATGAAGAGGACAGTGAAAATAATAATACCAAGGATAATAGTAAGAATAATACCAGTACGATAAATGCCAAAGAAAATGATATAAAGAAACAAAAGTTGCAAGAAGATTCTTCATCATCTTCAACTACAGATACTGCAGTGGCATCATCATTGTTTGCATATGATTCATCAGATGAAGAAGAAGAGGAAAATAAAAAAGATGATTGATCCATTCCATTCAATTACTGAAACAACAATTATAATTGTTGTTTGGTTGTTTCCAATAATAATAATATTTTGATAACATTACATATGTGCAAGAAAAAGAATTATATTTGTTTGTGATTGAATATAATATAATATATTGGGGAATAGTTTATCCCCAAGCAGGAGCGTTTGAATAATTTACAACTAATTGATCGTTATGACTAAAACACTAAATATAGAAAGAGAGAGAATAGATTAGTTGGTTTGTTGCTAGTCTGAAACCTAGATTATTTCATACTTTAAATAATTCACTTAAACATTCATCAGGAGAAGGTTGAAAGACTTGATTTACAAAACAAAACTAAATAGAGAGAGAGAGAGAGAAGTGAGTATACAAGTAAGTAAGAAAGTAAGAAAGTAGTATATTATTTAATTTCAATTTGGTTGGATGACATTACCAATGGTTCATTTGGTTTCATTTTAAGTTGTTTCCTAAGATTATCGATTACATGTTGAAAAGATAACGTTGCTTGTAATTTAAATTTCTTTTGTTTTAAAGCTGGTGCACTACCTGCATTCTTAAAATATATAATAACTAAACAACAAGTAATAATATCAAGTAACAATAGTATGAATTGTTAGCACATATGATCTATCTTTGTGTTGATTGTTGGTTGACTACTTACTTGAATCTCTTTTTGTAGGTTCGGTGGTTGATGATGATGATGATGGTGTATTAATGTTTGTATCAGAACTCGTGTTTGTTGGTGGTGAAGATGGTTGCTCTATATTAGTATTCGTGGTTGTAGTAGTAGTATTACTACTATTGTTATTATTATTATTATTACTATCTTCCATTTCTCTTGAATAAATTAAAATGATTTAAACAAGATTGTGGTGTTTTGACCTTTACAAATTATTTTCATTCTTTCAAACCCTCACTCCCATATATATACAAATATATTTGTATTATATTCAATATTATTATTATTCAATATTATCATTAATGGAATGATTTACAAAACAAAACAACCAATATAATGAATGTAATGTCTGCAGAAATGGTGTTATAAAAGGTAGAAGTGCTAAAAGAGGAAGATTATAATAGCACGTACAAGTACTTGCTATAAAGAGCATGTCATCATTCAAACAAACAATAGAGATGATGGATTTTTAGATTGATAGATAGATAGATGCGAGAAGGAAAGACGGTTCAACCGTCTTAGTTTATTTGAATTAAATGACAATCGCAGTGATCGTATCAACGATTGATCATTGAATCAACTATTAGTACTTTTAGAGAGAATGATTTATTATTTTAAAGTGTAGTATAAATCTGTTCGATCAACGCATTCTCCCTTTTTCACGCAAACTGTAGGTAGTGATTGGTGGTATTGGTGGATGTGATGTATTCATCATATCTCTCCCTTCTTTCCCTACCCACGTGTTTATTGTTGTCTTATTGCAGTGAGCCAACGTCGTCAACTCTCTTGCTTTACCAAGATAGTATAAATACAAAGGATCCTCTGGATTCATCATTCAAATCAACAAACAACAAACAACAAACAACAACAACAAACAAGCAAAACATAATCATCCAAACAAACAAACAAACAAACAAACAAACAAACAAACAAACAAACAAACAAACAAACAAACAAACAAACAAACAAACAAAATAGTTTAGTTTCTAAAATCCTACAACACACGACAATATGAAATTCTTAAATTCCACCTTTTTAATATTGGTATTATTGGCCAGTTGTTTGGTGATGACAAGCTTTGAATCCAATCATTTTATGGTCATGGCTGCTCCTACAGGATCTTCATCTGAGGAAATCTCATCATCATCAGTGGAAGAGGAGCAAGCTCCAGTTTCATCTGCAGCTCCAACTCCAACTCCATCTGCAGCCCCACCAAAAGTAAAACCATCATCGAAATTGGAAGCATCAGAATCATCAGAGGAACCTATGACCGAGGAGACCTCGTCATCTCAAGAAGAGCCAGAACAATCATCATCATCGTCACAAGAACCACCAAAGGTAAATCCATCCTCGAAATTGGAAGAGTCATCAGCTGACCAATCATCATCATCATCACAAGAACCACCAAAAGTAAATCCATCCTCGAAATTGGAAGCACCAGAATCATCAGAGGAGCCTATGACCGAGGAGACCTCGTCATCTCAAGAAGAGCCAGAACAATCATCATCGTCGTCACAAGAACCACCAAAAGTAAATCCATCATCTAAATTGGAAGAATCATCAGCTGACCAATCATCATCATCATCGTCGTCACAAGAACCACCAAAAGTGAAACCATCATCGAAATTGGAAGAATCATCGGCTGGCCAAGCATCTGAATCATCAGAACAATCGCCATCATCATCACAAGAACCACCAAAAGTGAATCCATCATCGAAATTGGAAGAATCATCAACTGACCAATCACCATCATCATCATCACAAGAACCACCAAAAGTAAATGAATCATCAGAGTCATCAGCCGACCAATTATCACCAGTTCAATCATCAGACCAAAATGTAGACGGTTCCACAATCGAATCGCCCAACGCTCCAACTTCCCCAGCAACTGTACTGTAAATCAATTGGTCCCTTCCTTCCTTCCTAGTGTAAATATCCCTCCCTCTTTTTTTTAAATAAATAAAGTTTTATTTTAAAATTTTATTAATTTCCAACAATAATGGTAAATTGAAATGATAAAGTTGAATGGTATTTTCTGGTAAATGTTTTGAACAACTGTTGATGAGAATAATACAATAGTATTGTAAATAGTCAATTGATTTTAATGGAGTGATAGACAATTGTCTTGACGATGACCATTCATTGTGAGTTTGTTTGTGTTTAGGCATTTTCAACCCAAATACTGTTAATAGATGAATATTTATATATTCCCAACCAATAGTCTCTAGTAATCCAATGTTTCCATAGAAAAGTGCACAAGCAACCACTGCAAGTTGATAGGAAATGATTAATGTGGGTTGCGTTTTTGTGATCATTTCCAATGTCTGTTGATAGACTTGAATCAAATCTGGTCTCTTGCCAAGTGTGTCCAAAGGGATAGGATAGTCTTGCCAATTCTCTACTATATAATAGTAGTATGGTAGGTAGATATCAAGAGACTGACCATCTCGATCCAATATCCATTGTAAAATGGTTGAATGTGTCTTTGGTTTGTCATGTAAAAGAAAGTGAGAATTGATATATCTCTTTTTACAAAGTTCCAATACCTTGAAATCCAATAGATTTTCAATGACTATACAAAGTTGTTCATGGTATTCATCGTTGTTGGGTGAAATTCCAATTTGAAAGTCTACCATTTCAAATTCGCCCTCTCTTTCTTGTAGTAACTTTTGATTGAATTTCAAACCATAATAATTATTTGGGAAAATTAATTGTAGTAGGGAGCGAAAAAGTGGCTGTTGACAAGTATTTGATAAATGGATCAATTGTTGATAGACCATTTTAGTTATCAATCGATTACATAATTTGTTTACTGTATTTGTAAAGCCCAAGGAAATTGTATTTTCTTGCACAGAAAATTCTTCTTGACCCGAAACCACTCGGATCAAATATTCCTCGTGGTCAAGAGTTGCATTGTAAAAATAACTGTAAATATAACCTGCACATTGTTCAATGCTTAGAGGTTGCTCGTGAAATCTCCAACTACTACCGTCGTACAATATTTCTTGCAATGATGAAGATGACATGTATTTCTTTAATAATAATTCGGATTGACTTATTTCCTTTGCATTCTTGTCACAACAACTAGAGTCTGCCGAAAGATGATGTGCAATACAATGTATATTTGCCAAGCTTATCTTTTTCATTGATCTATTCTTCTTCTTCTTATGATCTCCATTTTCAATTAAAAGAGGATTAAAATTTCTACAAAAACTGTGATTGAATAAATGGTTCACCGATTGTTTCTGTTTCTTGCTTTCAGCCGCCATTTGGAATAATTTATCTAGATCAACGTCTGGTTGATTGTATTCTGGTACTTTGTGGTTGTATTTTCTTCTTGTTTTTTTTGGTTTACTAGTTGACCAACTCTTACGAGCTGAATATTGTAAACCTGGCATTGCACTCTTTTCCAAATATCCATATTGTTGGCAAAGATAATGTCTGTGCTTGAATAACCAACTATTATGAGCGTCTTGTAGTTGACATTTACTAAAGAAACGTCTAAACATGTAATCCAATTCATTAGAGCCAACTTTTTGTTTTAGATTTGGATCAAATAGTAAATATTCGATTATATGAATATTTAATGGTGAATAGGATACCAATTTATCAACGGTTGCAATTTCTTTATCCAAAACAACTTTTAAAAAGTTGTAATCCAATAAAAGTTGTGGTCTATCAAATGGTACATTCTTTTCATCACCTCTTGCTATTTTATAGGCCAATAATTCTTTTCTACTGTATGATGAATGATGACTATCCAGATACTTTTCTCTTTTTGATACTTTTGGATTCCATGTATATGATATTATCTTTTTCAATAAATAATGATTCGAAAATACCATTTGAATAAAAGAAGAGGATGAAGAAGAAGAGGAAGTAGAAGAGTTGGTTTTCTTTTGTTTTTGTTGTTGAAGTGATGATTGAATATTTTTAAATCTATTTGGTTGATATTTATCAAATTTAAATTGATGTTGTTGATGTCGTTGTAATAGTTGTTGAATATAAATTGGAGTAAAACAATTGAGAATATGATATACATGATAATCTATTGAATCAATCAATCCTATAGATTGTATGTATTCAACTACATATAAATTAGCTCTTTTTAAAAGATGTATCGTTTGTTTGGTTGAAAGTTTAAAGTTGATCTTTGAAGCTTCGAGTGTTTTAACCAATTGAACATTTTCATTTTCCAATAACTCAAAATAAACCAATTGATTGATATAATCATCTTGTTGTTGTTGTTGTTGTTGTTTTAAATAATCTAAATTTAATAATAATAATTCCAACATGACTTGGTTACAATTTGGAGATATTGGTTGTTGTAATCCTATGACTGTATTTGGTTGTTTAGTTTGTAATAGATAATTAAATATTTCTAAATTTCCATGTTCAGCACTTGATACAAATATTTTATCCAATGAAGACCAAGTTATTTGTTTATGTGATTCAAGCCACTTGAATTCTTTTAATGTTCCATATTTTATGATTTGAATAAATGATTTATCCATATATTTTCCACCACCTTCTTTGTTACCTTTTATTAAATAAATGAATAAATCTATATTCATTCCATTTAAATAGGCATCATCCAAAAGACTTGTCTTTTGTTTGGTTATAGGTGGTACGAGTTGTAATGGTTCAGTACATCCAAGGATTCTTTCAAGTGATTGGAATAGTTCCAAGTTACCTTGTGAGCAAGCCTCTGAAAACATATGATAATAATTTTCACTCTTCTCCTTGTCTTGCATTGTACTGAATAATGGGTCTTTGATTAATTCCAATATTGAATTTCTTTGACCAATGTCTTTCATTTTCAGTATTGGTTTGGCAATACTGGCCACCTCTACTAATTGATCTTGTTGTTGTTGGTCATTTCTTTGTTGTGATATCTTTAACCCCAATTGAATCACCTCTTGATTGCAAGTACCAATAAATCGGCCCAGTCCAAATATATGATTATCAAGACTATCGTCCTCTGGTTGATAGAGCATTGATTCATAGTTGGTGAAGAGGTACAACATGACCGACGGGTCTTGACAATTAACAAAGGCTTTTTCTGAACATCCCTCTGTTCTATTTGTATGCAAGTACTTTACAATATCCAATCCAAACGTTGAACGGGATGCTGCATTATCAATTGCATCAGAACTTGCAAAAATAAAATTATCTTCTTCCTTTACAGTACCACTAATGTTGTTGATATAATTGGAAGCATATTGAATTTGTTCCATTGTACCAAACAAACAAATTAAATCAAACATATTATTATTTTTGTAACCAATATTTAAACATCTCTGATGAAGTTGTAATAAATATTCTACCAACTTTTTGGATGAAGAGGAGGGTGAAGCAGAGGAGGAGGAGGAGAAAGATGAAAAATAATTACACAATGATTGTACTATTGGTGATATAGATACCAAACAATGATTATCAATAAAATGTTCTAAAAACTCTAATTGAAATGAAATAAATTCATTGTCTATGTTTGTTGAAAATGGTATTGGTTTGGTAGAGTTTGTGTTGATTTTTAGTTTGTTGTTGTTGTTGTTGTTGTTTAAAGCCAAAAAGGTTGAAATGTAAGATTGTCTACATTGTATTGGTGTTTGTTGAAATTGTTGTGGTGATATGTTGATGAGAGCCTTGGCCAATTTCCTTTTCATTTTATCTCGACTAGTAGAGTCAAGAAGAAACGAGGAAATGATACGATTTGCAATTTCTTGATCACAACATAGTAAAAGATGGCTTGCAACATCTTTGAGTTTACATTTTTGATAAAATTGACCAATATCTTTGAACCCAAAGTCTAAAGGTTGTTCATACTCTTGATACAATAAATCCTTATTATTCCAATCCAATCTTTGTCTTTTACAAAGAAATGTATCATAATAATATCTAATACATTTATATTTTCTATCTATATCCAATCCACTATTTGTTGATATCTTTAACAATGACCCAAAACTTGTTATTGATTCCAATCCAATTTGATTTAATATTAATTCATTGTCTGAATTATTATTATTATTATTTAATATAATATTATTGATTATAAATTGAACCAAATCAATATTACCAATTGAACATAATGAATTGGTAATCATGTATTCAATGGTCGGTTTGAATGGAGTGTCAAGGTTGGTATTCTTTTTTTGTTTGTTGTCACTACGAGTAGATGTATACCGATTCAAATAAATATGATTATAATTAAAGAATGGTGTGAATGGATCTAATCTACGTGGACTAGTTTGTAAGAGTAGAAAAGAAAGAATATCTATTCTACCACAATAGGCCAATACAGAGTCATCGTAAAAGTATTCTTGGAGGTACTTGTAAATCGATTGAAAGGTTTCAAATGGTACATTGTAGACATGTGTTGAATAATACACCAACATCCTTATATTCTCTTGTTTAACCGTCAAAGAGAATAATTGATCTTTTTGTGACATTTCTAATTTATCCTTTAAAAGATTAAAGTAGCCATGTTGACACATCCAAGATATACATTTAATTTGATTGTATGATTTAATCAATGATCTACTATAGGATACTATTTTAGTATTATCTTTGACGACCACGACACCAGTAGTCACACCACCACTACGAATCATTTGTACATGAATATCTCTAACATGTTTAAATAGGTTTAATTCTTTTGATAATACAGTTTGTCGAATCAATTGGTATAGCATTCAAAAAAAAAGTAATCTATTACTAAAGAGTAATGTGATTGTTAGTTAGATTAGGTTTAGTTGTCTATTTATTAAATTTGACGCTTACATACATGTATGTTTGTGATGCTTTGTTGAAGTTCAAAAATTAATGTGTTAGTGATTAATGATGGTGAGCTTGTTGTTGAATTATTTCTAATAATCTGCAAACTCATGAAAAATAAAAATAAATTAAACAAAGATCTTTTGGTTTGATGGTTAAAGGGGGAGAGTACACTTATTTCATTTCATTTAATTTAAAACTTTTGTATTTGTATTTGTATCTGTATATATATAATTTTTTAACCTTATCTATCAACCAACCACAATCATATTATATATATATAAAATGAATTATTTAAAGACTTTTGTGTCAATTCAAAAACTGTCAACCAAGTCTCTAGGTGCTGGATCATCAACATGGTTCTATTCTACTGCTACTGCTACTGCTACAACTGCCACCACCAAGAAGAGTCAAGCCAAGCCAAAATTGACAGTTGAAGAAGCCAAAGTAAAAGCTCAAGCTAAAGAGGAAAAGAAGCAATTAAAGGCCGACAAACAACTAGAAAGAGCTGTTGCCAAGGTAGAGAGAGCAAACAAGCCAAAGAGTTTTGTCAATGCATGGTCAATCTATGTCAAAACCAACTTTGCCAACTCTCATGGAGTTGTCACTAAAGAAAAGATGAAACCACTTTCCGAATCATTTAAACTTTTGGACCAATCCTCTAAAAATGTAAGAAAGCCTATTACTATTCAACCTTTTAAAATCAATACCTAATACAATGATTATCTATTTATCTATCTATATTTATCTATCTATATTTATTTTAGAAATATGTTGATGCGGCAGCACAACACAACAAAAAGATTGCAGAAGAGAACCAAACTAAATTGGTCAAACCAAAGAAACCATTGACTCCATACATCCAATTCTTTATCACACAAAAGTCACAATTTAAACAAGGTACCGATAGAACCAATTTCGCTGACATTACCAAAAATGTTGCCACACAATGGAATGCTCTTACTCCCGAACAAAAACAACCATATGAACAATTGTCCCAAAAAGATAATACCAGATATGAAAATGAATTATCACACTACCAATCCAAATTCAATGCCGCTGTCCAACAATTATTGAATGCCACCAACAACAAGACCCAAAAGCCAAAAAAGAATTAAAATTAAAATTCTTTTCAATCATGTAGATAATCTATATTATTTCAAATCAAATCACTTCACCTACCTTTTTTTTTAAAAAAAAAAAAAAAAAAGAAGGTAAACAATTAATAAAATAACAAATAAAATTAATACTTGAGATGTTATAAGTATATGTATACCAAACAATTACAAGTAAAAAAAACAAACGATTAATTAATTGAATTGAATTGGTGGGTTCGAAAGGGAAGCCAGATTGTGATAAAAAAGATCCGATCTAGATATTTAGCTATAAAACTACAAGCGAATAGGCTTTTTGGTTGTTTAAGCTTGGACCCCCCTCTCTCTCGTCAACTCACACACTACCCATTGTTATTCGTCTTGTTCAATTTTTGCACCACCCTTCTTTTGTCATCATTTATTATTTATTTTGTACTACATACATAGAATAAGGAGTAGTATAGAGGTAGAAGTAACATCCTTCCTCTCTCTCCTTTCTTTTTAACTACAAATGGAGCAACAGCAGCAGCAGCAACAACAACAGCAGTTATCAAGGTCTGTTGTACATTCAGGCTTTCTAACCAAACAAGGTGAAAGAGTAAAGAATTGGAAGGTTAGATGGTTCATCTTAAAGAATGATTCTTTATCTTATTATACAACTAATTTAAATTGGGTAAGAAATAGAGAAAAGAGAGAAAACTAGATAGATAGATAGATATTAACACGATCAACATTTATACCACTACACAGCAAACAAGTAAACCAAAAGGAATTATACCAATAACAAGAACAACAGAAGTAAACTATACATTATGTAAAAATAGAAATAATTGCTTTACTATTACAAACTCTGATAATTCAGCAACTGCTGCAACTACATCTTCTACCTCTTCTAGTACAACAACATCAAATAATAATAATAATAATAGTTCATCATCTAGAGTTTATTTAATTTCATGTCAAACTGTAATAGATCAAAAGAAATGGGTTGATATGATTAAAAAGGCTACTACTGGTCAATTGGATACAACTACAACTATGACTAGTAGTAATTCAACACCAATGTCATTTATTAATCCAAGTGTTGGTGTAATTAGTGATGTTATGGCAAGTAGATCATTGACTACATCGTTGGCTACATCAAATTCATTGGCCGATCAGCTATCTTCGTCACTCAAAGATTTGGCAATTGGATGGAAGAGAAAAGAGTCGTTTGCACAAGCACCTTCATTGCTTACTCATCAACGATCACAAGAGTCGGTGAGTTCAACCATGAAGGTATCACTGTCCAAGAGAAAGTTGAGGTTCCGACAAGAAAACTTGGATGTTCCCTACCTTGCATTTGGTGATGAACAACCACCCGATGAAATACTCGAACAAACCTACAACAATCTCGGCGACAACCTCGAAAAGAAACAAAAACAACATCGTCCACGACCCATCCCAATCATTGTCAACAAAAATGATAACCCCTATTCTGCCAACAATAGTAGTGGAAGTAGTGGAAGCAGTGGCAGTAGTAGTGGTGGTACCAATACACCAACATCTGGTCCATCAACTCCATCCACTTCATCATCTTCACCATCCTCTCCAACCAATACCACTCCAACCACAACCCCTTCACCTCCACCTCATTTAAATTTAGCGATCAATAATAATCAAAATAACAATAATCAAAATAATAATAATAATAATCAAAATAATAATTCACCATTTTACAAACCTTATACATTATTGAATAGGAATAATCGATCACCAACCATATTTCATCCACCTCCAAATGTTGAACAACAACAACAACAACAACAACAACAATCAGTTACTAAAGCTGTTGTTACAGCAAGTCAACCAAAGATATTAGTATTTCATCTTGCAAAGGAATACTTTCAAATTCATAATCTTGGAACATCACCTATACAATATGAAATCCTATCACCTTTTGATATAAACTATACAATTAGCTTTGAACCTGCCAGTGGAACGATTCCAGTGGGTTCGTCGATCACCATCGAGGTGGAGTTGGTTGTATACAATGCCATTTCAATCGATATCTATAGTACCATACATATTAGAGGAGGTATAGAGTTTACTCTCTTTTCTCACATTGACTCTGACCCTATCCTCCCACTATTTTTGTTGGCCTGTAGTGGCACCGTACTCAATGGAATTGAACAAGAGACAATGTTACAATTTATGCGTGACAAGCCAGACCTCATCAAACCAGTACAAGAACTAGCTCACCAAATGATCCTCTCTGGTAGAAACATTAATCCAAAAACTCAAAGTCCACCTCCTCTTCATTTAAAACAAGCTAATCAAATATTAACTGGTAGAAAAGATGTATATAATCAAAATAATAATAACAATAATAATAATAATAATAATAATGTTGATAATAGTAATAATAGTATTAGTACAATTGATTCAAATGATGGTTCTACTACTAGTTCACAAACAAACAAATCTTCTAGAAAGACAGGTATTAGATTAACCAAACATGTATTATATTTCCAACAAAGATCAAATATGACAAAACCAATATCAATCTATCAATTGCTAAATGATAAGTTTCTATTGTCAAACTCTACCGACAAGGATGCATCATTTCAATTTTACATTAATAATAATAGTAAACCACTCGATTCAAGTAGACCACCATACAAGTTATCATTTGTACCAATGAATGGTGTGTTGGCCAAAGGTGAGTGGTTTACCATTCGATGTTCATTGACTGTATTTCAAGAGATGGAAGTAAACGAGGTGGTACAATTGGTGATAAACTCTAAACAAGTTTATTATATTTTGATTAGAGTAAAGGCAAACGCTATCCACCCTGGAAACAAAGAGATTGATGTTGATCAAGAAATTACACTCCAACACCGACTGGGAACAGGTGCTGCAGGCGATGTCTACATGGGTCTCATATCAGCCAACAACCTCAAACAACATGTCTCTAGAGTATCGTTTGAACAGTGTAAATGGTTACGTCGGTCACCATCAGACCTCAATATTATGGTTGCCGTCAAACTGCTCCATCAATTCCAAGAGCCATCGACAGAGATTGTACAAGACTTTTTCAACGAAGTTCAGACACTTAGTATTCTCAACCATCCCAACGTCGTCAAATATGTAGGTGGGTGTACTGTTATTGGTAAATGGGCGATTATCATGGAGTATATGCCAGGTGGTAGTCTCTATGATGTTTTACACGACCGTATCATCGAGTTGCCATACCGACTCATTCTCCGCATGGCAATTGATATTGCAAAGGGTATTCATTACCTACACACACTCGGTATGCTCCATCTCGACCTAAAGTCTCCCAATCTACTGATTGCATCACTATCACCCAATGCCCGTGTGCACATCAAGGTGGCCGATTTCAACACGTGTATCAACCGCGGTCGTCTCACGGGACTATTTGCACCCAAGCGATATTCAGAGCCACTCAAGGGAACGACGGCGTGGATGGCACCAGAAATCATCCGACGAAGTGGGATCTATACGGAAAAGGTCGATGTCTATTCGTTTGGCGTCATTCTCTGGGAAATGATTACCAGAGAGCTACCCTATGCACAGGTGCGGTTCAACTCGGTGGTCGAAGAGATGGTACTTCGTGGAGAAAGACCACCCATCCCCGATATTTGTCCGCCCGACTATCGCCAATTACTCGAGCATTGTTGGTCAGACGACCCAACCGCTCGACCCATGTTTGACCAAATCATCCATACACTCACGCTCATGTTACAACAACACGAGATCCAAGAACAAAAGGCTAAATCTTCATTTAGAGGGTTACGTCGTGTACACAGTGGCAGTAGTATTTTCATTCAACCTGCAAGTCTAACAAACTCTTCACCTGTCATGGTTGTTGGTGGTGATAATATTGAAATTCTCTCAACTCCTCCTACTACGACTCTATCACCACCCTCGGCAGCAGACAATTTATTAAATAATATATTAAATGATGAAATGTTGGTAAAGAAATCGACAACAAAAGAAAATGCAAGTAGATTAAAAGTATCAAATAGTAAATCAAAATTATACTTTAAACATAATAGACCAAAGAGCTCAACATTGGGATCATCATCATCATTTCTACACAATGCCAACAACAACAACAATAATAGTAATATTAGTAATTTCAAACGAATCGATGATTATAATAATAATAATAATTATAGTAATATATCGATTCAACAACCATCAACCAAAGTGGATTCAAATCTTCCATTTAAATTTTCACCTCCATCATCACCACAAAACTCATCATTCCTTGGCAAAAAGACAAGGATCGATGAAGACTTGATACAACAAAACGAATTGGAAAAGAGAAACTCTATGGTCCTAATGTTTAAACCTTCTTTTACAAAAGCAAGTCCTTCAAAATTTAAATTTAAACCTTTAAATAATAATAATAATAATAACAAACAATAGCAAATGACAACAAATAACAAATAAATATATATATGTGGATATATAATATTTATTTCCCTTTTTTTTTCAGAACCAAGGTTGGGCTCATCTATAATTGACGGATCTTGAGTTTCACTACCTAAGTCGACGACACCCATTAGCTCTGATAACGTCACAAAATCAGAGGGAATTCAAGAAAAGATAAAAAAAAAATATCTTTCTGACAGAACAGGGAGCAAATATACAAAAACTAATTCTTTATTTTTGAAACCTTTTAAAATTTATTGTGTTTTAATTTTAAAAACATTTTTTAACAATGGAAGGACCTGATTCATCATAATCTGCTTTAGATAACCATTCTGTATCGAAAGCTGCTTGGGATGCAAGAAGAGATCCACCAATCCAAGCTGCATTCTTTCGGATGGGAGATTCAACAACATTGATATTTTCAATCAGTGGAGCAAGAGATTTCATCTCCTGTGCCAAACGATTACCTATTCCTTGGAACATGGTGTTGCCACCGGCCAGAATAATTTTGGCATACAAATCCTTTGGATCTTGACATTTGGAAATGCTTTGATTGGTGGCTTTGTGGATACCAGCGACCATATCTTTCCCAATCAGTGATGGTGAGAATAGGGCTTCTGAACAACTGAATAGTTCATCTCCTAAAACGACAGATTGACCATCTGGTAATGTATAACTCTTTAAGTGTCGTCCAGAAGAGCTGCTGGCATTAGTAGTCTTTTGAATACGAGCATCCATGACAACATAAGCCCACTTTTCCTTGATTTCATTGGCCACTTGGTTTTGGTTGGCTATTTCATACCCACGATCAGATATCATTTTGTCAAGATAGTTTGTGATATCAAGTCCACCGATATCTAGTCGGGTAATGGCATCTGATACACAGTATCCATCGGCAATTGGCACAATATGCGTTACACTATATCCAGAGTCGATGATAATACCAGTTTGGTCTTTATTACCAGTGGCATGGAGAGCTAGTACCGGTTGACATGAAAGGTAGACATCAGTGGTTTTAAAAGTTTCAAACATGACTTGTACCATCTTTTCACGGGTTGCCATTGGATTGAGTGGTGGCTCTGTCAATAATACTGCATGTTCTTCAGAGTCTACTTGGAGCTTGTCAAATGCATATTCCCATATCTTTTGCATACCATCCCAATCCTTGATCACTCTTCCATCGATTGGATACTCAAGTTCAATGTTTGGTTCTTTAACTTCATCACCAACTTGAAATTCATCAGTATCCTCTGGCCATCCAACTATTGAAGGAAATATTTCTTTGGGTTGTTCTGCTCCTACGAATCCAATTTTAGTTGTCCAACTACCACTATCAATCACTATTGACTTTTTAGAAAAATAAAAATATAAAGATGATTAACTTTTTAAGAATCGTCTTTGTTTTCAAAAGATACATACCTTTGATTTACTTGTCATCTTGATGGATAATATTTATTATTTATTTTTGGTTTAACAAATTTGTTGACTTTTAATCATTCTCTCTCTCTAGAGAAGTTTAAATTGTCTTTCAAATTAATTAAACCCTACCCTCTTTTTTTTTTAAATTAATTGAACTGACCAATCCAATCAATTTGTAAATTGTCTTTCAAATTAATTAAACCCTACCCTCTTTTTTTTTTGGCTGATCAACCACCCCTCTCCTTTAATTGGGTTTGAATGCTAATTTTCTAAAATCTATGTGTTTCCAGTACCCACCGTAGTTGTGTGTGTGTGTGGAATAACGGTTGGGAAATGATGATCATTTTTAAATTAGGTAACCTCCAACCAGTTTAATTTCCATGACTCTCTGGTTTAAATAGACATGTAAGATCAGATCCGTTTATAGTTGGTTGACTCGTACAATATGACCAGATGTTTATTTTTTGTCATTTCGGTATATATAAGTTTAGATACACTTTGAATGGACAATAAAAGGTCCTGTTTCTTGATACTCCTCCTTGGAGATCCACATGTCTTGAAAGGTGGAGAGGGAAGCAAGCGAGGAACCACCCGTCCAGGCAGAATATTGACGCTCTGGCGGTGCAATAATGTTGACCCTGGATGGAGCAAGAGCACAGAGTTCCTTTTCCATTCGTTCGGCCATTCCCGAAAACATTGTGGAACCGCCAGCAAGGACCACGTTTGCATAGAGCTTCTGACGAACATCAACAAATTCACAGTTTGTGATGGCCTGGTTGGTGGCTTGGTGGATACCATCAAATTGCATACCGACAAGAGATGGTCGGAAGAGAGCCTCTGGACAACGGAACCGTTCATTGCCAATGGCAATGACTTGACCGTCTGGTAATTCATATTGCTTTTCAAATTGTGTTGAAGAGGCATCTGCTTGCATTTCCGAATGATAGTCGAGAGCAATATGGCAGAGTTTCTCCTTGGTGTCACGGGAGATTTCCATTGTGGCTGTTGTGTTGCCACGCTTGACGAGATTCTTGAGCATGTAGTCTGTGATATCGCGACCACCTATATTGCGACTGACCACAGCCCCCTGGATGGCATACCCTTGGTTGATGGGAACAGCGTGCGTGACACCATCACCACAGTCCAAGACAATGCCAGTCGTGGTGCCAGTGGCGTAGAGTGAGAGGGCAGCTTGGACGCCAAGGTAAAAGGCTGGAGTGCTGAACGTTTCAAACATGATTTGAGTCATATTTTCACGGTCGCCCATTGGATTGAGTGGTGCTTCACTGAGCAAAATGGCGTGTTCCTCTGGGTTGGCATTGAGTTGATTGAATGCGTAATCCCATATCTTCTCCACATCATCCCAGTTGGTGATGAGACCACGTTGAATTGGGTAATTGACGATAAGCTTGTCGCCATAGGCCCCTAGAGCTTCATCGCCAACATAGTAAGCCTTTAGACCCTTATCGACCATGAAGCCACCATGTTTGGGACAACCAACCACCGATGAAAACACAGCACTTGGTGCATCATCACCTGTAAAACCAGCCTTGCACAATCCAGAACCACAATCAATCACTACAGTTGGCTAAAAAAAAAAAAAAAAAATAGATTAATATTTGATATAAATAATCTCTAGATTGATTTTAAAACATACTTTAAGGTCAGACATTTTAATTATTAATAGTTATTATATCTAGCTATATATATATATATTACTATTTTTATGATAGATAATATAATAATAGAGAATAAAACTGATTAAAGAGAGATCAAACGACCATCGATGATAACACAACCATTTTTTTTACCCTAACCACCATGTGTCTTATGATCCAAGAAAAGACAATCCCCAATTAATTAATTACCATTCTTTGGAGGTGACTATAGCTGTCAATCGATTAACCACCTTCTTCTTAGTTGCCCAATAGCTATACTATACCTACTAATAATGATTGTAATTACATTGCCTCATATAGACTGTCAGGTCAAACTGTATAGCAACAATACAACCATAACTCAACCAAATCTGCAAGAGAACAAGAACTTGTAGGTTCAACTTGATTGTGACCTTTTGTATAATACATATAGGGTAGAACTTAGTTAAATTTGATCCATTATAAGAGAGAAGGAATATAAATAACATACATGTATTATTTATAGATAAAATATGAACTTGTAAATCAATTAAATTAAAGTAAAGCTAGAATAACTTTAAATTCGACTAAAAGTTCATTTTCGAAAAAAGAGCGCCAACACCTTCGATGTGAAATTTTCAGCACCTTTACTTTAGATAGATAGATAGAGATACAAAGATTACAAAGAATGAAACAATCAGGTATTTCACAGTTCTTTCAACCCATTGCAAAGACTGATGTCTTTAATCAACAACAACAACTGTTTCAAAGCAAATTCAATAATAATAATAATGTAGGCACGCGATCTATTATCATTGTTGTGTTGTTCAATTTTATTGATATTCTCTCTCTCTCTCTCTTTCTCTCCATAGACAACACAGAATTCTCAAAACAATGACAATAGTCAACAATCTGTAGGCGACGATGATGATTTTGAGTTTGATTTCGATGATTCCCCTGCTGCTCCTTCTCGTCCAACAACAACAAATATAAATAACAACAACAACAACAAGAGTATCTTTAAATGTAAATAGTAATGCAAAACAACAACAACAAACACCCTCTCTATCACTATCACAACAACCAAAACAACAAACACCCTCTCTATCTCTATCACAACAACCAAAACCAACATCACTATCACAACCATCAACAACAAAATTGACATTGACACCAACTAAAAAAAAGGAACCAGCAACCGTTAAACCAACATTGACACCAACAAAGAAAAGAGCAACTAGTTCAACTAAAAGAAAGACAATGGATGAAGATGATGATGACGACTATAATAATAATGACGACGACGACCAAGATTATATACCAGATGATGAAGAGGAAGAAGAAGAAGAATATAATAGTAAATCAAAGAAAACACCATCAACACCAAAGAAAAAAGCTGGATCATCTACTTCTTCTGTTTCATCACAATCAACACCAAAGAAAAAAGTTGGATCATCCAACAATATAAACAAAGAAGAGAGATTCGAATTCTTGGTCAATTTAAAAGATGAAAATCAAATACCATTTGGACACGAGGGGTATGACCCAAGAACTCTTTACATCCCACCAGTTAAACTCAGCACATTCACTCCATTTGAGAGACAATTCTGGGAGATCAAGATGAAAAACTATGACACTGTAGTCTTTTTTAAAAAGGGCAAGTTTTATGAACTCTATGAAAACGATGCCGATATTGGAAATGAAAAGTTTGGTCTAAAGATGACCGATCGTGTCAATATGCGTATGGTGGGTGTCCCCGAGGCATCGTTTACTACATGGGCTGCAAAGTTTATCGATCAAGGTTACAAGGTTGCCAAGGTCGATCAGATGGAGTCTAGTTATGGCATGGCAAAGCGACAAAAGCAGGATGGTGGCTCGGCCGACAAGACAAAGAGTATCATCCAGCGTCAACTCGTGTCCGTGTTGACACTTGGCACACTTGTCGATGAGAATCTACTCACCGAACAGACTGCATCCTATTTGATGGCCATCAAAGAAGACGATTACAACAAAATACTGGCCGTCTGCTTTGTCGACACTTCTGTCGGTCTCTTTTACACCACCTCGTTCAAGGATGACGAGAATCGAACACAACTCGAAACGATCCTCCTCCAAACCATGCCCAAAGAGATCATTGTCGAAAAGACGGGCTACTCCAACACTACCATGCAATTGATCAAACGTATATTGTCGCGACAACGTCATATCATCAACCAACGTACACCACTCGAGTATTGGGCACCCGATCAAATCCAAGGTGCCATCAAAGCCAACCAAGGTCTACCAATCCCAGCAGAGATTGTCAACGACGAGATGATGATGTCTGCCGTTGGTGCCTGTCTCTCTTATCTCTTTGACATCAAGATTGGTGAGGATATGGTCAAACAGGCTAGATACGAACAATACAATTCACAGGCAAGTGGTGGTAGTGGAGGTGCTCTTGTGCTCGACGGTCAATGTCTCATCAATCTCGAGATATTCAACAATACGACCGATGGAGGTAAAGAGGGAAGCCTCTACAAGGTGTTGGATCGTTGCCAAACCGGTTTTGGAAAACGTTTGCTCCGTCAATGGGTGTGTCGTCCACTCGCCGATATTCATCGTATCAATGACCGTTTGGACGCAGTTGACGCACTTGGCAACAACTCTGATATCTTTGCCTCACTCGCAGGCATGTTTAACAAAATGCCCGACATTGAAAGAACCATCTCTCGTATCCACGCTCGTTCATCAAACGTGGCAAGTCTCACATCGGTTCTCAACACTCTGGAAACTTGTCAACAAATCATTTCAGACATTGACTATAAATCAAATACAGAACTATCCAAATCAAAACTACTTGCCAATTATCTAATGGTTGCCGAAGATCAAGATGAAGACATTGAAATGAAAAAGGACAATGATGGTTATGATGATGATGACGACAACAAAAACCAAAGCGATCTTGTTAGAAATAATGTTGGATTCCCAAATCTAAAGAAAAAGATTAAATTTATTAGAGATAGTTTTAGTTTTGATTCTGCTACACAGTCACTTACACCAAAACCAGGTCGCTTTAAAGACTATGATGCTGGTCAAATAGAGGTTGATAGCATCGAAAAAAAGTTGGATGAGTATCTGGAAGAACAAAGAAAATTTTTCAAGACTAGTGGTATAGTCTACAAACACATGGGCAAAGAAATCTATCAGCTCGAGATCCCAGTATCGGTTCTTAACCGTGTCAAGATCACCCAAGAATACTCACTAAAGAGTGATTCCAAGACATTCAAACGTTTCCACACACCCTATATCGAACAAAAGAGCAAGGATCTTTTGGCAGCTCGTGACTATCTCGAGGTGACACGTAAAACGGTATTTGTTCAAATTCAAGAGTTGTTTAATCAATTCCATCTCGATTGGCAACAAGCAGTACAATGTCTGGCTCATATCGATTGTCTAATGTCATTGACCCGTGTGTCTCACCAATCGACCTACCCAATGTGCAGACCCCATTTCATAGAGACCCAAGACGACGAACCATGTCTAAGTGTTTTGGAAATGCGTCATCCAGCAATCTCTATCAAGGGTGGTGCCGATTTCATCCCCAATGACCTTCAACTCGGTGGTCTCGGCACTGAAATCAGCTCTACCGGCGTCAAGAACAACTCACACCCTGGTAAACCATCGGTCATGGTGTTGACTGGTCCAAACATGGGTGGTAAGAGTACCCTCCTCAGACAAGCATGTATCTTGGTCATCATGGCACAAATGGGTTGCCACGTACCCGCAACATCTTGTAGAATGACCGTCTTTGATAGAATCTTTACCAGACTGGGAGCCAACGACGATATTATGGCAGGCAATTCTACTTTTATGACAGAACTTCGTGAAACATCTTCTGTATTGAGATATGCCACCAAAAGATCACTCGTCATCATGGACGAACTTGGTAGAGGTACCTCTACCTTTGATGGCTATTCCATTGCCTACTCGGTACTCAAATACATTGCAGAAACCATCAAAAGCACTTGCATCTTTGCAACTCACTATCAATCATTGGCCAACGAGCCTGGTATTCGTGATACGATCGCCACTTCCCACATGTCTTGCCACGTAGATGACACTGCTAAAAAGGTTATCTTTCTCTACAAACTCTGTGATGGTATTTGTCCAGACTCTTATGGTCTTCATGTTGGTGCCATGGCTGGTATCCCTCTTCAAGTCATTCAAGTTGCCGAACAAAAAGCAAGACAATTCGAAAAGGAATCTACCATTTCCTCCTATGTTCATGGTACCATTCATAGAAAAGAAGCAATTAGAAAACTAAAGGAAGCAGCAGCCAACAAGGATTTAAATACCATTACCGAAATTTGGAAATCTTTTAAACTTTAATAATAATAATAATAAATAAATAAATCCACAGTCTCTCAACTTGTGATGACGAGATTGATTGAATTAATAAATTTTTATAAACCCCGATATTTATATTTACATCTATTTTTGTTTTATTTAACATTTGATAATTCTGCAACTGAAACATAAGAATCAATATCAAAATGTATTGATTGTGCTACTAGTTTGATATCAGAAAGTGTGGCATTGCATCTATATCTACAAGTGTCAAAAGATCCAGCTTGATCAAAATATCGCAGTGACACCAATCCAGAGAGTTGATTTATCATGGCAGTGGAATCACCTGTTTGTACAATCTCTGGAAATAATTTATAGGCAATACCTCGAAGTCTTGCCTTTTCAAACCATTTTGGTGCATTTATCTAAAATGAGAAGAAATAAAATATTATTATTAATAAATTCTTTTTTTTTGTTTTTTTCTTTTTTTACCTTTGATCTATTCTTTTTTCTTGCAATTTTAGTTGAAGTATATAATAAAACATCATTTGTAGGAGAGTAGGCAGATGCCAAATAACCTGAAATTAATAGACATTTGGCATTGTGTGAAAGAGATGAATTATACATTGTAAATTCATCGTCATTAATTTTTTTCTTGCTTGTTTGTGATTCCTCTTCCTCTTGTAATTGTTTTGTAAAGTCAATCCCCAATTTTCCTTTTGAAAACAATTGTTGCAAATAAAAATCAACCAATGGTTTAATTTTAGAATACAATACCAATTCTGAATCTTTTGAATCTATTTGAACTAAAAAAAAAAATGTTAAAATAATAATATTATTATTCTGCTTTCTAATTTACCTTCATTATTTTTGACAGGAAGAATATAAGATTCAAAAAGATTGTTTGTGATAAGGATAAGGTGAACGATATCTGTAACTAGTTTTCCAAACATTGTAACCATAATCTTGCAATGATTTAAATAGTGTCGATGTATTTTCTCTTGAGTGACACCTGGTATTGTTATTTTGGGTTGATGAAGTTTTAATATCTCTAGATAGGTGTCGGTGGCATACCGAGGAAAGAATATAGGTCGAGCATAGACGGCTAGATAGTTTAATGGCAACAATCTATCCACTGGGTCATCTGATATCAAGAAAAGACATACTCTTCTATTCACCATAAAATCATTAATCTTAAACATCGAGTATAATAAACTTGGATCATATTCCAAAATGTGATGTATTTTATCCAATACCTAAAAAAAAGAAAAGATTTAATTTGTTGTCAACATTGAGAGATCGATCTCTCCTATTTGTTTCAAATCTTACAATATAAATAGGTTTTGATGGATTGTGAGTTGAAGATTGATCAGCTTTATCACCCAACATTGTAATCAACTCTATAAGATTCCTAGGAAACCCTTTCATTGGTATGGGAGGTCGATTTTGTTCATATAGTTTTTTAAAATCGTAAATGTCTTGAGGTGGTGTACCATCATCATCCTCATCATCACTGCCACCAGCTGCAACATCCATTTCATCCTCTTCTGCAATGATGGTTTGAGTATGATAGAGATGATAAAACAATGAACGAGAAGATTTGGGTGTAGATGAACAATCTGCAAATGCATAGGTAGTAGAATCCTTGTCAAGTGCTGCCAATACAGTTGTTAACTTTCCACAATGAGGTGGTCCATAAACTGATAATACTCCACTATATTTCTTCAAAGAAAAGAAAAGAAAAGAAAAGAAAAAGAGTTAGTTATAACTGATCAATGTAGACTAAAGTTCTCTCTATCCATACAGATTCTATTATTCTTCTAATTTCATCATATTGTTCATGTCTTGTTGATTCAATTGTACTTATCATTTGAAATACAAACAAATTATATGTTTCAAATTTAAAAAAACTTAATGAAAAAAAGAGGGAAATCAAGCAAAGTTTGAACTTTTTAAAAAGAAAAGAATATATAATATTATATATATTATTTGTTTATGTTTTTAAATATTAATTTATTTTAGGGGATTGTGGGGTTGTTGTTGTGTTTACTACTGCTAACATCAGTATTATTATTATTATTATTGTTGTTATTATATTATTATTATTATGTTGTTATCAAGTTGTGTGTGTTATTTATCAATATTATTATTATTATTATTTCATTATTAGTTATTAGCAGAAAATAGATACATAGTATTATTAGCACCAATTGCGACGAGATTTTCTTTTGGATGCCAACTGACATGAAGGGCCTTCTTTGTAAAATCTATATTATCAGGATTAATTTCATCAGGTTTCTTATCTTTTTTAGAGGAGCGTAGTTTCATCTTACCGGTGAGGGTCTTTGATTTTGGTTTGATGGCTTGTTTAGATGCTTCGAGACAAACATCTTGTTTAGAGTTACGATCGTAAATGTGGAAGTAGTTGTTGTAAGAGCCGGTAAGCATTTGTGTGCCATCGTGGTTGATAGAGCATTCAAACTTATCGAAAATGCAATCATTCTCGTAGAGATCGCAGAGTTTAGGACGGAGATAGTCGTGGATGGGGATAGACTTGATGGGACGGGTGTCCATGTTGATATCCCAAAGCTTGAGCGTCAAAAAGTCACGTGACAAGATGTAACGACCGTCACGACTGAATTTGATGTCTGATATTGAGGAAATGATCTCTGAGAAGAAGGACTTGGTTGATGGATCGTCAGCCTCCTCAAAGACCTTGGAGTGTTGGTCGCAGAGTGCGCTCGATCTGAGATCGCCCAACTTGATGGTTCCTTTGCTTGAACTGTACATAAATATATTACAAGAGGTGGGATGAAATTCGGCCGACGTAATCACCTCTGTTAGATCCTCCATGTTGGTGGGCTTGATATCGACTACGTTGAAACATTCTGAATTAATGTTCAAATTCCACAAGTGAATTCGAAGATCGTCCGATGAAATATATGTCTCTCCGTCACTGTTTAATGATATCGAATTAATGTGATAGGCATGAGCATTTGCGTATACTTTTCTTGGTTGTGCTGTTATAACAGTTTCCTTTGTACTAAGACGTGGAATCTATAGAAAAAAAAAATAAAGAAGAAGAAAAAAGAAGAAGAAGAAGAAAAGAATTTGAGAATAGGTTCATCAACTAATCATCTTCAACTCTATATAACTATAACTATATACATACATTTACTTTTAAAAGACCATTATTTGAAGTTGTTGAATTTATATAGTTGTTGTTATTGTTGTTATTATTATTGTTATTGTTATTTGTAATGGTTGCTGGTTTGTTATAACTTGTTAATCCATTTGTTGGTGCTGAAGCAGATACTTGTTTAATCTTTTTTTCATATACCTTCCATAATTTAATTGTTTTATCTAAAAATTGAAAATAGAAATAGAAATAGAAAAAAAAAAAGAGTGGTCAGTTGGATGTTCACTCTTTTTTTTTTCTCTTTTTTTTTTTGTCTTTGTTTGGTTCTTTGGTTGATTATAATGTATACACTACCATTAGTTGTTAATAAAAATTGTGCATCGTTTTGTTTTGGGCACCATTTAATTTTGTTAATTTTTTCTTCAATCTCCAAACTCTTCAAGTAGTCAAACTCTGGTTCGTGGCTTTGAAACTCTGAATAAAATTTATATTCGGGTAATTTATCTTTCTTTTTGCTGCTGCTGCTGCTTTGGCTCTTTTCATAGGTTCGCTCAAAGAGTACAACTCTGCCTCCTCTATCACCAGCTGCAATATAGTCACCAGTGTGATCAAATTCAATTGCTGATACTAAATCAACTATAAATACAAATATATAGAAAGGTAATGTAGGTAGGGTAGGGTGGTTATGTACATAGGAAGGATGATTAATATTTGATCATATAGGTCATATGACTATATCTAATCTTATCTATCTATCTATCATCATACCATCGATAACGTCATCGTTTGGGCCCTTGTTGCCAAAAACTTGACTAAATTTCCAGTCTAATGGTTCTGATGACATTTCTTGATTATCTATCCTTCTATCTGTTTGGTTGTTGTTGTTTTTGTTGCTTTTATTGTTGTTGATTTTAGTTTGTTCTAAAAAAGGGGAGAAAAGGGTTTGTGGCTAGTTGTATAATTATTATTCTGTTTGGCTGCTATTTACAAAATGTTGAAAAAAATAAATAATTAATAACAATTATTTATTATTATTATTAAACCTAATTCTATTTCTATTTGATTGATTGTGTGAACAAGAAGAAAAAAAGGTTGTAGAGATAAAAAAAAAAAAAAAAAACAACACTTGTGATTTAATAAATAAATAAATAAATTTGATGATGATGATTCTGTTTTGTTATCGTATAGATTTTGATCTTGTTGAGAGATTGTGGTGTGGGTGGATGAATGAATGAATGAATGGACGAAGAATACTACTACTACTACTACTACTATTTCATTTGATCAAATGAACCAATCAATAGAGTCGAGTATATTAATCTTTTAAAAGAGCGGGAGGGAAAGAGAACAAAGAGCAGGTAAACAACCAAAAAAAAGATAACGATTCCTTTTTGAAAAAAAAAATTATAAAAAAAAAAAAAAAAGTGATGAACTTCCTTCTTTTTTGTATTATTATCACTTGAGGAGGGGATGGATTTAAATTAGGTTTGCAGGTTGGATATAGGTTGGTTGGTTGGTTGATTGATCAATTTAGTTTGTTGTGGATTATCTCTACTCGCGATGATATACTAATCTACTCTGTAATGCATAATAATAATAATTTAAAGAATGGAAAAAGAGGAGAAGAGAAGACTACTACTATTACTACTACCAATAATAATAATAATATAATGACAAAAGTAGAGAGAGAGAGAGAGGAAAATAATTAAAAAAAAAAAAGGGATGGAAACGAGGGGAGAACAGAGAGAGATGTAGGCAAGGATGAGAGAAAGATCAAAATCCTCTCCTCCTGTTGGCGAGGGTTGTATGCTTGTTTGTTTGGAAAAAATGATAGTGGTGTTTGTGTTACCCAAACCACTCGAAATTGAATTGCATGGATGGCGGGGGTTGGGGTTAGGCGATTGAAAACTACTGCGGTGGGTGTGATACACTGCTAGCAGAACAACAAAACAAGAGGTGAACTGACTACACTACCAAGTCGACTCTTCTTTTGGGATTGATTGATTGATTGATTGGCTAACCCTCTTGAAATAGTATTTTGCTATGGAGATGGTTTGCGTACAATGATGAACATCACTCACACTCTGACTAGGACGAGTAGTTTAGTTTGCGCCATATCCGTCCGAGTTGATCAACTGACTAGAGGACAGTTAATCGGTTGGGACTTGCCTATATATGTTGATCACTAACCTATATATATATATATTCTTCTTCTCTTCTTTTCTTTTCTCTCTCTCTCTATAAATAACTCTCGACTTTTGATCTAGTAATATTTTTCCAAACCCCTAAAATCTATAGTTTTTGAGAGTTTATGGTTTGGTTGGACCTGTTGCTTGAATGATGAGAACTATCTACATACAACAACAACAACTACAACAACAACAACAACAAAGACGACAAGATAATAAAAAAAAAAAGTACAAACCAAAAGAAAAATTCCTATCTATCTCTATTTGTACAACAACCAGATCTGGTTGAATGATTGATTGATTGATATTGATTGATTGATATTTACTAGTAATCTACTCTGTATGATGGTTGGGAAATAATAATAATAATATAATAAATAATAATACGGTGGGAGAATAAGCTTATTCTTTCACTTGGGAGTGCAACAATCTGTTCAAGCACAAGAGGACGAGCCAACTTGGAATCTCCCTTGCAAAAAAAATTGAATTTTTTTTTTGCTCTTCAAAAAAACAACGAAAAAAGGTCCTTCTCTTCGCGGTTGCATTTGGTCGATCGCCACAAAGATCCGATTGTCTCTTTGCGATAATGTGGAGAGGGAGGACATGTAGACCAACAAGCCCTATTTTTACGTTATCTTTCGATTCGTCCCAATCTCGTAATCAGAAGGTCAATCAAAATAAAAAAGAAAACGAACGAATGGTAAATGTTTGTTGATTGGTCAGTAGAGAATAAAAGATCACTCAATGACACATAAATTAAACAAGGAGGGTGGGGGTTAAAAAGAATAATTCCTCTTTAATTATTTCTTTCTTTCTTTCACGTTATATTCTATTACAAAAAAAAAAAGAAATAGAAAATATGTATATTTCAAGAAAGGTCTATGTATATACCTTTTCCCTACCAAGGTGTCAACTCTTGTGATAGTTTCCTTCAGTCCATTTCCATCAATCCTGTAATGAGTCGTCTCCTTTACAACAAGGTGGCCGTTTTATCTGGAAGATGGTCAAGTCAGAAAATTTTATCATGGAAGGAGGAGCTCACATTATCTATCCAGCTGGGGTCTGGTTGACATCAATGAGGACTTGGGATTGTTGAGGGCTTCTCTTATTGTCCGTGATGATGTCGAACATAAGAGAGATACCAATCTAGTTGCATCAAAAGGTCAATCGATTTAAATTAAAAATAAAAACAAACAAATCAGTCAAGAATAGATTAAAATAGAAGATCACTCACTGACTTACTGACTGTATGTTGGAGGTAGTTCAATCAAGACGACATGATTGGTATGTTGGTTTGGAGTGTCGTATAGTGTGCACCTGGATGGAAATAGAAAGAGAGAGAGAAAAAAGGAACAACAACATTCATTTCCATTTGTAGAGTGTGTGTTGGTGTCGACTCTATTCGTTCTAACGGTGTCACTCTACGGTGAGGTGTGTGTGGTAGTCCATTCACCACCAACCAAAACACAACAAAAATTTAGTGAATCGTACGATTGTTTGTATTAATTTTATTTACACAACAACACATAATTAATGAATATTTGCTGCAGCAAAACAACAACAACAATAAGCCAGCCATCCATTCTTTACACAATTGTTTATAATCCAATCTAAAACCCAACTATAAATAAATAAAAAATAAGAAGAAGAAGAAGAAGAAGAAGAAGAAGAACAGACAAACAAAGAAACCAAATAAACTACATTGAATAGTCATTTAAAAAGAAAAGAAAGAAAGAAAGAAAGAAAGAAAGAGAGAGAAATAAAGAATGTAGGTATTTGATCAATCATCAAACATCAATCATCAAATCAATCATCAAATCAATCAACCATATTATAATAAGTTGTAGAATAGAGAGAGAGAAGAGTACGAAAGTTTGTTTAAGGTTATTATTTTCAAGCAACACACTTTGTCCCAAGTTGGGATATCCAATCCCAAATATAATTATCACTCCTCTTCCTCTTCTTGGACTACCCTACCCAATTAGAATTATTTTAATTTAAAAAGCGGTGTTCCTTTTAAAATTAATTAATTTCATTTTGTATTAATTTTTTATTCTTCTTTTTCCTCCTTCTCTTACTTGTAATTCAATCTTTTTTGATCTTATTATTTTTATTAGAACCAACTTTAGAATTATTATTAATTATTATCAGTTGTACAACATTTTTTTTAAAAAAGAAAAAAAAAAAAGAGATAATTGATGGCTTCAAAATTATTACAAAATCAATTCAAAAGTAAGTAAATACTTATTGTATAACAATGCAATGGAATAATAGAATAGTAGAGAATTAATTCTTAAGATTCAATTTAGAAATACAATCAGAACCAATAGAAGGTGTATTTTTTGAATTGGTTGATCAAAATCTATTTGAATGGAAAGCATATGTTGAAGGTCCAAAAGAAACAGATTAGTATGTAAAATTAAACTCCCAGCTTGTGTAGAATTGATATTAACTTTTTCATTTTAATAGTGATGGAGGAATATTTCAAATATTAATGAAATTCCCTCAGGATTATCCAATGTCACCTCCTACATTAACATTTACATCAGAGTTTTGGCATCCTAATGGTAAGATTAAGTGAATCTATAAATATTGATTTAATGACTTTTACTAAAGTTTTATTATTATTGTTATTAAATAATTTAAGTTTATTTGGATGGAAGAGTTTGTATATCGATTTTACATCCACCAGTATTGGAAGATGAGACAAGTGGGGAGTTACCAGAGGAAAGATGGTTGCCTACTCAGACAGTAACAACTATTCTACTAAGTGTAATATCATTATTGAGTGCACCAAATACTTCGTCACCGGCCAATGTAGATGCATCGGTTGAATGGCGAAACGAAAAAGATGCATACAAGAAACGTATAAAGACGCTAATTGCAAAAGCCAATCTCAAGGTACCCCAACATGTTGTCATTCCACATCCAGACTCTGATCCAGTAGAAAGAGCCAAACAAGTGGAAAAGATGAAGTTGTTGAATAAGCCAATGGACTTTTATGACGATTACGATGATGCTGCATACGACGACGATGACCACAACGATGATTATGACTACGATGATGAAGATAATCATGATTATGAAGATGATGAAGATTATGATGATAATGTTGATAATGATGATGATTAATTTTCACATCAACTACTATTATTACCTCTTATTACCACAAACCATATAATAATAATATAATACTACTACTAACACCAAATCAAATAATAATAATAATAATTAATAATAATTTAAATCACCCTAGACTATTCATCCAATAATTGAATTAATCAAACCATCCCATCCCATCCCATCCAATCACTATCAAACCATATATATTTATATTTATAACTTTTCTCATAGTGGAATTCAAAAATGCGCAAAATATACCATCATACATACAACATATACATATATATAATTTTATAACATTTATAACAATAAATAATCTTTTCCCCAATCTCTTTTTTGTTTTTGTTTTCCTATTTCTTTTTTTTTTGATTTATTTTTTAATAGAGAATATGATATGATATTGTATTGTACAATATGATAAGATAAGATTTTCTTTCTTTCTTTCTTTTAGAAAGTACGTCTTGCCAAATTCTTATAACCAATACCAAGACAAGTGAAAATGATAGTTTTAGTTTCGTCATCTGCTTCAATCTTGAAAGTAACGCCAAAGAATTCCTTGAGATGTCTGATATATTCGATAGTGTATGGTGTGAGTCTTCCCAAACGGACCTTTGAGACATCCTCTGGACAAAGGATCATAAATAATAATGCCAAACTTTGATTGTTGCTATCTATACATCCACCATTCAAAATCTCTTCCAACAATAAATTGGCTGTACGTTGTCCCAAATCCTCTGGGATCTCTCCTTCACTTGCCATACATTCCGCCGATAAACAACATCCAGTTGTTGTTTCTGCTACCAATGTTAATCCATATCCTGGTGATCTAAAAAAATAAAGAAATCAATCAATAAACAAATCAACCAATATTATATATTACATTGTTTTTTTGTTTGTACTTACGAACCAGCTTCAGCACCTTTATAAATATCACTTGAAATATAAACATCTGGAGTAAATTGGAGAAGGATACCCTTTGCACTATCGAGTACTCTATTTGGGATGGCGGGAGAGACACGTGTAGCATAAGAGATACCACGAATACGTCTGATTTTTCCTTCGTCCACCATTTGAAGTGGTTTGAGTTGTTGTACAATCGGACACTTGAAATAGACCAAACCACCACCCGATGGAGGTGCACCACGCTTGACTATTTTAATAGAGAGTGATGAGGTGTCGCCTTCCTCACCACCGAGGAATTTACGTATGATGGGTAGTGTAGTGGTACGGATAGTGTCGATGGTCAGATCAATGTCATTGTTGGTGAGACCTGTAAATGCAATGTCGACAGGTGCTTTGGAAAAGGGGGCGATGCAGACAACTGCCTCTACAAAGTAACCGATGGCTCTGCTGGTCGGACAGTCGTGTTGCAACTTGCCTCCCGTCAAGACACCCGGGTGAAAGGTGACCATTGTACCTGTATTGTTAATCTCTATACGTGTTCCATTTGTCATCTTGTCTATCAATCTGAGAAACGATGCTTCATAGTCTGCAAGACCTGGTCTTTCATCTTCATCTCTAATATTTGTAATCTTGACTGCTCTACCACTCAACAATGAGCATACTATTCTTTGTCTAAATTGTTTTGATCCTTGTACTTTTAACATTATTATTATATATATAAATAGATTGATACGATAGATACGATAGATAGAGAGAGAGAAGACGACAATAATACTAATATGATAAAATGGTGATATAAAAATAATAATTAAAAAAAAAAAAAAACGAACGAGCCGACAAACTCTCATTAATTTTACTATTGACTATCAATCAACCCATTTAATTATTTACAATATTTGACATAGTATTTCTTTTTTATCTCTTTCCTTTTCTTTTTGATCTACAATACACTTTTTTGATTTAGCATTGTATGAACCAATGATTTTCAAGATGGTTTGATCTGATTCATCTAGTTGAGCAGAGTTTTTAGATGTTGGTGGACAAAACAATTTACCAAACATAACTTTTTGAAGAGTATCTTGGGATATTTCAATTTGTTTGTATCCAGGTTCACATATTGCTTTTAAAAGACAATTGATAAAATAATGACAATTTAAAAATACTTTTTGATGTGTACCTTTTCAAAAAAAAAAATTAGTTAATTTAATTATTCTTTGGAACTATTTTTTTACTTTTAACTATTCTATCTACATACCAAATAATTGAATCAAGTTGTTTGCAATTTTGGAAATATCAATTGGATTGAATAGAGTTTGACCAATATCAAATTTATATTTGTTTGAAAAATCTATTCCATACATTGATTGACTTTGACAGGTTACTTGGAGTGGATTTTGAGTAGTAAACATATTTGGAAAGATAAATGACTGTGATAAGATAGCCCATTGAGTAGTAGAGGTTGATGATTTATTTGAAAAACAAACCTTGGAAACATCAACCATCGACACTGATCTTGGTGTATAACATGTTATCTTGAAATCTTTCGATACTTCAAAAAGTTGTTGATCTGTAAAATTCATAGAGAGAAAGAGAGAGAGAGAGAGAGAAATATAAATGTATAAATTAAGTTTGGATTCTTTGCATATTAATATTAATATTTATATATTAAAGGTTGGGGTGGAAGAACCCCCTTTTTTGAGACTTGAAATATTAGTTGGTATAGTACTTGGTATTAATATTATTATTATTATTATTATTGGTTTATTTACAATTAATTATTTAATAATTAGTTTATTCTATTATAGTAATATTGTTGGTTGGTTGGTTGGTTGGTTGATTGGTTGATTGGAAAAGGGAGTGTTTAAAATTATATTATTTCTATCTATAATTTATCAATTGGAATATAATATGGTTTTGGTTTAGTGTAGAGATTATAAATATCAAAAGAGATTGATTCTATTTCATCATGTGTTGTATCGAATATTTCCCACCATGCATAGGGATGTTCGGGAAGTTTAACCTTTAGCATACGAGCAGCCATAAAGATGGCAGCAGCCGATATCGATTCTGGTTTGTACTGGACGCACAGTGTCGTACGCATACTATCGTTTAAGAAATTCCATGCCTTTTGTGCTAGCTCGTTGGATCGGTCCAACAACTTCATGTAGCTGAGTATGTACTTGTGAGGAGGTTCAACCGACATCATGAATCCAAACTCTTTGAGTAGTGTCAACTCTGCCTCGATCACTTCATGTTTCAAATCCCAATACCTTTGTTGATTGGTATCCAAAAACTCTATAGTCTTCTTTTCTCGTTTCTGTTGTATATAGTTGAATACATTCACCACTGCTCTCAATCCTCTAAGTGATTCTGTATATTTACATGATACAAATATTACTCCCATACATATTAGCTAATTAAAAAAAAAAAGGTGTCAATCAATCTATCTAATCTATCTATTCCGTTTCTTCTTATTAACATACATGTACATCATGTTCTTTAAATGACTTTCTACAATAGAATCTATGAAAGATAGCTTGTGATGTAACTATTGATATCTGTGGACTAAATAATCATCTTTGTTAGTATATCTGCATTGTTCATATAAATATATCTACTCTCTATCTATCTTTATTTGCCTACATACAGTTTCAATAATACACCAGCCTCTTGAATAATGTCAGCACCGTATCGTCTTAGATTATCTTCTACCAAAGGGTCTATACCATCTCTTTTAGAAGGTGAGTCTATTATTTCTTCATTGGTAAAGTATAGATTACTGCTTTCAACCATTCATTCATACAGATAGATAGATATACGAATAAATTCTTCTTTCTATCTGCTTTCTCAAACTAAAAACTATAAATATAAATTGTAGAGTACCTGAAATGTAGAACCAACAGCTGAACACTCTCTTTTTTTTAATCATTTTTTTTTTACAATGAATAATAACATTATAGATAATGATGAAGATATACATCAAATATTACCAAGATTCTATTTGGGATCTGTTGATATGTTGTTGGGAAAGAAGAACCTATTAAAGCAGTTAAAGGTAACCCATATACTATCAGCTATCAATGATTTTAGACCAAAATATGATGTTATCAATGTAAATATATATATAAATACAAATATACAACTAATAGTACTATGATTATCAGTGACTAACATTTGGATTGATATATATAGGACTTTAAATTTAAAATAATTGATATTATGGATATGGAGAATGCAAATATTAAACAACACTTTGAAGATACATTTGAGTTTATTGAACAAGGAAGAAATGAAGAGACTGATTCAACTGTATTTGTTCATTGTTTTGCTGGTGTATCTAGATCTGCTACCATATCAATTGCCTATCTAATGAGAAAACAATCAATCGGTTTTGAAGAAGCCTATGCATTTGTACTCAATCAGAGACGTGTCATTTATCCAAACAATGGGTTCATCAAACAACTATTGGAATATGAATTACAACTTTCAAGGCAACAATCAAATAGATTGAAAAAGAAACAACATCCAAGATTAATGAATACAACTATAACTACTACATCTACAACGACACCTACAACATTAACTGGAAACCAAAAAAGAATTGAAAAGGATAAATATTATGAACAACAACTTGAAACCAAACTAAAAGAAGATCAATTATTGTTGGAAGATAGCAAAGAGGAAGAACCTCTGAGAGATACAAAATATTGTTGTAAGAAATGTTCAACTCTTATATTCTTTGATATGGATTTGGATTATCATATAGTTGGTCAAGGTTATAATTCTAACAACAAACCAACTAAAAGAAATCAATCAAATCAAAATAATAGAAAGATACAATATCATCAATCATCAGAACAACAACAATCTACTACAACATCATGTACATCATATTTTATTAAAGAAGTATCAATTCCATCAATCAATATAACCATTTTAACAGATGATGGTGACCAAATTTCAAATGGAAAGGTTGTTTGCAAAGTTTGTAAAGAGAAACTTGGATCATGGAATATAACTGGAAGTGCTTGTAGTTGTGGAACTTGGATACAAGCACCAACACAACAACCCTGTATTCAAATAATTAAATCAAGAGTAGATGAAAAGTAAAAGTTATATAATACAACACATTTTTTTGTGTGTAAATGGTTTATTTATGTAAATGTACAGCAACAAACAACAACAACAATGACCAATGACAAGTTAAGTTATTTGTTGTTTGTTATTTTGTTTTTAAATTCCACAACAATAGATACTTAATTTATCTTCAGTTGTTGAATAGAGCATTGAAAATTGGTTGGTCGTTAGGTTATAACTTCTAATTGATTTTCTAGTTGCAAAATAAATGGTATTGGTAGCTTGACAATAAATAAATGGATGTGTATTGAAACAATGAACATTTGTTGGATCTGAATACACAGTCTCTACCATTCTAGTATTAATATCAAATCTTTGTAATACCTTGTTTGTATATCCATACGTATAAATATATTGTTTTTCATCAAATACTCCCTACAAATTTGTAAAATTAATATTAATATCAATTAAATCTATTTTGATTCTATTTTGATTCTATTTTCTTTCGTACTTGACTTGAACATCTAAAAGGTTTATCAGTTGATTTATGATAGATTGAAGATTTCTTTGTTTTTAAATCAAATGATTCCATGTATTTGACATCTTCATGTTTAATTAGAATCGAGCCATTAAAATAATAGAGAAATGAGAAACCTTGGGTAGTACCACCCGATGGAAGGTATAATACCTTTCCGAGTGTTTCAAATTTCTCTGTCTGTGTATCGAACCTTTCAATCATCCCATCTCTATTGACAGTTGATAAGAGGTAGATATATCTTAGGTTATCTGTACAAGTGACAATCCATTCACCTTGAACGTGACCCAATTCACCATCCTGATCGATTATCTGTTTTTCAACGTTGAAACGTTCCCAAGTAGACTCTGAACCTTTACCTCTACCACCAAACATGTAAATGTAACGACGTTGGAATGATACGAGTTGTCCACGTTCACGCTTCTGTTTAAAGACCAAGTTGATGTGTTCTAGTAGTGTCTTGGTTTCAATGTCAAAGATACAAAATGACGAGTTATCATCTTTACTCTTTAGATAGATCTCTTTGAATGGTTGTGATGCCATTACTGCCAATGTCTCTTGTGCCTCTATTTGATCCTCTTCAAAGAGACGTGATTTCTCTTCTTCATCATCAGATTTGACCAACTTTTGTTCGAGTGTGTAGAGTGAGTCTAGGTTCTCCTTGAATTGTGCCAAATAGTTGGGAGAAGTAGTTGTAAAAGACAGTTTGGTAAATGGATCACGTTGTGATACCTTGAATACCCTTTCTATCTCTAGATCCAAGTGTCTGTTGGTTTTAGCTGTCGGTACAAACTCTTTAGACTCCATCCTATACAAAAAGTCTTGAAACTCTTGGAATTGTTGAACACGTGCTTTCAAATCATTGACTGATCTCATTTCCTTTAATGAGAATGGTTTTGGATTATCTAATTCAACTTGTTCTGCGACATTGGCTGTAGTAGCAGTTGTAGTGGTTGTTGTTGTTGATGCTCCTTGTTGTTGATCTTGATATTGTTTTAATAATTGTTGCATATCATCGAAATTGCTATCATAACCATGATTGACAGTGACAGTCTTGACCAAACGATTCAAATAATCTAGTTGTAGATAATCTGATTGTAATCGACTCTCGAGATAGGTTGATTGCTTCGAATAGTCTTTTGTAAGCTTTCTCTCCAACACATCCAATTGATTACGCATGGCCCATACAAACGATCTAATCTCTCTTTCTTGGCGTTTAACATCATCCATAAACTTTGCACAATCCCATTCCTCCCATACCACTAAACATATTTCCAATTGAACCAGTTGATAAATGATGATTATGATTATTATTATTATTGACAATGGTTGGGAATCCAGATAATGAAGATGATGAAGATGAAGAAGATGATACATTTGGAAATGATGCCACCAATATGAAATATTACCACCAAAATTATTAATATTTGGTAAAGTTGGGAAATTTGATTGTTGTTGTTGTTGTTGTTGTTGTGCAAGTTGTTGCTGTTGTTGTTGTTGTTGTTGTGCAGCAAGTTGTAATTGATGTTGAACATATGGTTTTAATTTCTCGACTCTTTCAAGATAGATCTTTGCCTTGTCATTTAAACTTTGTTTGATGATACTATCAGGTTCACCCTTGATTGCCAATAAAAAGTATGAACACGCTTGTTCATAGTATGAAGATGCCTTTCTGTAGTCTCTCAACTCTTCTTCACGTTTTCCCTTTGAAACCAGTCCCATTGCCACTTCGTCAGCCTCTACTCTTCCCATTGTACTCTTTGAAGAGAATTGGTCACCAACAGATGGCATAGATGATAGTTTCGATAAAGTATCATTTGAACTACCGGTACTACCAAATGATGTTGATTGATTCATACCAACACCACCAGCAGATGGGAATTGATTAATCGATGCAGATGATGGTTGTACAACACTGGTAGTCATATAAGTATTTGTTGATGGTATGTTACATTGGCTACAGATGGTGATACTGATGATGGTATTGATGGAAAGTTGAATATTGCATTACTATTATTACTATTACCTCCAACACCTGTGCTAGTTGAAGAAGAAGAAGAAGCTAAATTCTTTATAAACTTGTTACGATTTGTGTATTCTTCAATCTTTGTCTTTACAAGAGCATTCCTCGATGGATCCTTTTCGCTGACAATCGCTAGTTTAAGGTTGAGTATTGCTTGTTCATACAACTGCGATGCCAGAGTATATTGCTTTGATGTGTCTGCTTCAACTGCTTGTTTAGCTAGTTGTAATCCTGTTTGTAATATTTCATGTGACATGTTGTGTGCTGCTGTGATGATTTAAAACTAGTGTACTGATTCTTTTGATTCTCTGTTCTCCAAAGTTCAGAGAATCAAAACACCCAACCTCTTTGGGTTCTATATAGTTTAGTTTTTAGCTTTAGTATGTTAGTCTTTGGTTTTGGGGATCATTAATATATTATTTTTTATTTCTATATATGTATATTTTAATTTATTTATTTATTTATATATGTTTGTATTAGAGTGTTAAATCCAATACAGAGACAGCACCTTTAATGAATTTAGCAAGAGAGAGAGTGAGACGGTGACATCAGCAAACCGAATCATTCCTAAACAACCATTTAAAATTCCCACCTCAATAACAATCAAGTACGACGATCAATCAAGACAATATATTAAAAACCAGTCATATATATGGTTTAAAACAATTTATTATATTGATTATTTATTTTAAAATATAAATAAAAAAGGATTGGATTGTATTAAATTACTCAAAATGGAGTCTGTTTAATACCTTTAAAATAGTTTTTTTCGTGATGTTGGTTGATTTAATAAAAATCATGATTTGGGTCTTACATCTTAAATGGCCTTCAACGAATCGAGATATTCCTTCGTCATCAGATAAGATAAAGTATGTTGACGAGTCCCCAACAAAAATCACCAATTTGTCATCTACTCTTGCAAATAATGACTCTCTGTTTTGGCTGTGTTGATTAAAGTAAATCCAAGTGCCCAACTCTTCGAGGATCTTCTCTACTGGAGTTTCAGGAGATGTTGTTGGTTTGGGAATTCCAAATGACTCCTCGATGTCCTCTTGGTTTCTCCATTTCATATTTCCTTCTATATCTTTTTCTAGTTTGTTTGATAGAATCACTAGATTGTTTTTGAGTTCAAGCTCTTGTAGTCATCGTCTGAGGCAAATGCTTTTGGTGAATATGAAACTTTTTTCATTTCATTAGAGACAGCCAGCACCAATTTGAAAATAGATTTTTGGAATTCGTAAGGGCTTGTGAAGAGTTTGTAGTTGAGTCGTAACAATGTGATTCCATTTTTTGGTGAAAGTACATTCTTCTTCTCATCTCTTGCCTTGGTAACTTTTCGCTCCCAATGAGGTTCCTCATCCATTTCAATTGAAATCTTTCCTTTCAATCCATACCATCCTTCCAACAATAGACAAATGTCATATCTAAATGTAACACCTTTTTCATGAGATACCGTTTCTGAAAGAGAAAACTTGAATTTCCCATCTGGGTGAACGATTTTCATCACATGTTCCAGCGCCTTTAATAGTTCAACTTCATAAAAGAATGGAGAGTTAGAGCAAAGATAACAAATCTCTCTACGTAGGCAAGTGTGGTTTGAATCACATAGGAATTTTGAAGGTGTAACATTTTCTTTTGTTTGAAAAGTATTGTAGCTAAAAAATGGTGTTACTATCTATAATTAAAAGGTTTACTTTAATTTAATACTATATTTACCTTTTAGGAGATTTTGTTAAATCCTTCAGAATTATTTTTTTAATTCCTTCTCTAGAAAGAATTGTAAAAATATTAATGTAACTTGTATGAGTTTCTCCTTTAAATTTGATGGTGAATGGAATAGACTTCATGTAATCAAACACTTGTAATAGATCCTCCTTCAAATTTTTATAAAACCCATTTTGTCTATCCATTCCAAATTCTTTGTCCAAACAACCAACCTTATTTAATACCAGGGCAACAGATCCACATATTTTGCACTTGAAATGAGTTTTATTACCAGATCTGTTTTTGTAAATGAGACCATCGTGTCCATATGTACATCTAGCATGGTAAATCCACTGAGTTTCAGAAGTTGAAACAAGAATTGATTTGTTACCATTGAATTCCTTTTCTCTATCCCCACTACTACATTGATAACAGTATGTCAAATTATCACCATTTGTCCAATTAATGTTTGGTATCGAATGATCAACTATAGTTCCACATATAATATGTTCAAATTTGAAGATTGGACACTTTTCTCCATTATACGATACATATTTGTATCCTCTAGATTCCATCACTTCCAATGTCTCCTTGTTATTGCATTTCACACATAGAATTTGTTGATTTCTATCTATTTCCAATCTATCGACTTTGATCTCTGATTCGCATTGTGGACAAGGGATTGAAACTCGTGAATTGTAACCTATCTTGTCGTTGTTGTAGGTGTTAAACTTGTCAATTAGTTTGGGAACTCCCAACCACTCTCTAATTGATTCTTTGTATGTACATGTGTTACATGGATTATTTAACTTGTGTTTGGCATCTGCCCCATGTTTACTAAAATCATCTATCATAAATATGCATCCACATGGTCTCTTCATTACAATACTGTATGAATATTTTTGGTTCAAAGTATTCATTTTTGATAATCTTTCTTTTTCGTTCTCCCAAAGCCCTGGACAACCAGAACCTATGAGAAAAATCTCTACTTTTTCCATAAATTTACTTTTTTCTTCTTCATTCCATAATTTGCTACAATTGCATAATGGAAAACCTTGACACATCATACGTGCTCTATCAACAGAAACCAAACAACCACAACTTTTTTCCTGTGATTGAAAATTTTAGTAAATTATTACTCTTTTGATTGGATTTAAAAAAACTTACCATTACTAAAACACTTTTTCCATCTATAAATTTAATTGATTCCAAAGTAGCTTGATTGATAGTAGAATTGGGTTTTCCCATTTTACTGATGTGGTCTTTTAGGGTTGAATCTATTTTATCCACAATTTTACATTTCTTACAAGTAAAATCTATTGATGAGTGTGTAATGTCTAAAACCTTAATTGTTGGGATAGTGTTGAGGTGGTTGATAAATAGTTTTAAATTCAAACCATCCTTGATTCTTGTACACCAAACTGGCAACTCTAATAACTTTGATTGAGTAACAATACTCGTTTCGACCTTCGTCATGTATTCTGTCAATATTTCCATAAAGTTTTCGATGTCATTCTTTATTAACAAACTGAGAAATGCTGGCAATACAACCTCGTTGATCGTTTCTTCAATCTCTTTGAGATTCCCTACTGCTACGTATCGTGGAAATATATCCTCGACATGCTCTATCATCAACATATTTAGAATCTCTTGGTGAGGATGGGGAGGATGGTCTACCTGTTTTTTCTCTATCTCTTCATTACTTTCCACCTCCTCTTCACTTTCGTACTCTTCATCACTTTCTTTCTCTTCTTCTTTTTCTTTTCTAGAGATCTGATGTTCTGATTTCCTTTTAAGGGTGTTTTCCTCCATTTTAATATATATACTCTCTCTCTATCTATTTTAAAAATATAGGGAGTGATTAAAAATCATTGATTCAAAGTAGATTAGGTTTAAAAAACAAATGAGATGAGGAAGATAAAGATCAATGTTCATATTATAACAAATAAAAAAATGATAATGACTGATCTTTCATTCCTGATACTGACCTCGTCTTGTGTATACTGAGATCGTTGTTGATATTCGATATGTTAATCTGCTATTGGTGTCAACCTAGAAGTCATAATTGAAAGTGTTGACTAATTATGAATGGGAGGTTGTAACATAGAAAAGCTTTCCCTCAACACAATCAAGTCAAAAAAAACCAAAATCAACCGATGTGGAGGTATGTGGAATTTGCCTTGACATTTTATCAAAATTAAATCTGTACAATAGGTATCATAAAGGAAAAAACTATAGAGATAAGTCTTTGGATGAAAAAAGTTTTTTCGACAATTGTGGCACTAGTGGTTTGGAAAAGAAAAAAGTTGGTTTTTTGGTAAACGAGGGAGGTGAGAACCCTGTATGTATAAATCTTAACTTTAAATTTAAATTTCAAGATTTTATGAAATCAATTATTCTAATCTATTTTTTTAGACACAAAATAGAATATATCAAGTAAAATGGACATGTATCAAAAATTTGGATTTTGTAACAAGATACCTCAGACAATGTTATGACTACCCTAATAATAGTATAGATTTCGTAGAATATCAGATAGAGGAGCATGTAGAAAACGATATTGACAACAGAATGGACATTGAAATGGAAAGCGACATGAAAAGTGATACCGACATCGACACTGACTACCTCATGTACAATAGTGAAAGTTATCAAGTTCAGTGCAGAGATCCTGATCACCATGAATCAAGTAGCAAAGGTTATTGTCAAATATGTAATGGCGTCAATTATCAAGAAATAACATTTGGAAAGATTTTGGATATGTTTATCAAAACCTACGACACCGAAAGAAAGTACTTCGAACTTATTCCACAGTACCCTGTATTTGATCAAATGCATGTGGATTGGTATTTGGGGGTTCGACTTGACTCTAACATGAACCTTCAACCTATCAGCAACCTTGAATTCAAATTCTACATTATATTGTGGGAGATTGATGATCGTTCCCACACACGAAAAAAGAACCAAGAAAGAGATATTCGAAAACTATCAATATTGGATAATCCATTGATTTTTCTTGTTCGAATCCCCTTCACATTCCTAGATAAGATTATGTTGCAGTCCAATGGAACCAATAACTTGTTTTTATTGTTTGAAATCATTTTATCAAGTCTTGATCCTTTCAAAACTTTGATTGTATTCAACAAAGAGTTTTACTCATATTTGGAATTCAAAAAGAAACCAACTTTGTTTCTCGAAGACATTTTAAAGGTTGATGCGTCGATGCTCAAAGTTGATAATGATTTCGTCTTCAAACATCGAGAATTCTTTTCCCCCAATTCTAATTGTGAAAAATCTATTGTGGAAGAACAAGAACAACCAATCGATGTCTTACAATATACCCAACTATTAGAAAAAATGGAAAAGTGGTTGAAGAACGAATCAAACTCAAATATCTATAGATTTTGTCAATTCGATAAAATGGACTTTGTATTGGTAAAAATATATGATGGCTCGAATTCAAAAAATATTGTGTTGTGTGACCATTCATGGCAGATTTATTGTTGGTAAAATCAAATGTCAACTTGGGAATCAATTTCACATTATTACCATGAAAATTCTCCCAAATCAAAAAGAATTACCAAAATGGTTGAAACTACCTTCCAAAACAATCATGAATAGATTAATGGAATCTAACTTGAATTAATTTTAAATCAACAACAAAAACTTTATATATCATATTCTATTAGTTTAAAAACTCCTTTTACTTGCTTTTCTCAAAATATTATAGTATATTATTGGTTGGCATTTAATGTATCTACCTTATCTTTAAATCTCCTTCTTCTTATCCTCCTCCCATGACTATGTAATCAAAATAATAATTTAATTAAAGAATAAATACTTTTTAATATTTCCTTTTTTTTGAAAATGAACCAACTTGGAGGTTGATTTTTATTAAAGTAGATAGGATAGGGATGATACACCGGATTTATTTATCTCTACCTTAGAATTTTTTTTAAAAATGTCACAACAAATCACCATCGTATGTTAAATTATAAATTCACTTCATTTGCCCTCTCGGATTAAAGAGATGCTGACCAACAATCATCAAAGCAGAGTATATTATCAAGATCATCCTCTCTGCCAGAAAAGGGTCAAAGTGGTAGAGTTGGGCGGTACATTGTTGGGAGTGTGTAGGATCATGATGGCCCAAGGTGAGAATCTATCTTTGGCATTTTGTGCTGCCTCTTTTAGTGTAGATGCAGCAATACGTGAGATGTTATTCGTATATGTCAGACACTCGATAATGGCAGGTATGATATGTGGGAAAGAGTTGATAGCCAACTCACCACCATACTTGCAGTAACTATGCATAAATGAGAGGATCCTAGCCTTGATTGCATTGGATCCTTCGGTGTCACGTAATTTATGACATCCCCTAATCAATACAAATCTGAATAAGGTTGTTCAATCCTGTGAGGGTCGACATTATTTTCTTGACATTATGTCGTGACGATGCACGCATGTCTTGTTCTTGGTCGGGTAGTGGTATCTCTAGTACATTGACAGCCATCCTGACAATCATTGGTGAATAAACTGCAAACTCATTACCAACCGTTTGAATAAATGAATATGATGCTCTTGTAATATCAACTGCTAAATCAACCGAACCTTGATTCTTTTTAACAAACATCATAAACTTGTTCAAGTATGTTGAAAATGTATTATTGTCAACCACCAAACCACACAAAGCAAATGCTTTAACTGCACGACACCTGAATACTCTTGATTCTTTTGTTCCAATACTTTGATGTTTTTCCAACACTGATAATAGTATTGGAATAATATTTCCAAAATACTAATAAATAATAGAAATAAATTGATTAATATTTTAAAAAGTTGAATATATTTATATTAACATACAGGGTTTAATCTTTCTTTAGCAATAGAAACAAGAGACATGAATGAAGGTAATGCACTTTCAACGACATATAACTTTTGTGATTGTAAAAGTTTTTCAAACAAACTTGATAATACTTGCAAATCAGTATCTGCTATCATATCTGCTTCCAATACATTTGTCATTGTTTGAAGTAACAACCAACAACTAATTTGTATGCGTTCATTTGGATCATAAATTGATTTGATCAAAACTTGGTATACCTTTTCTTTTGAACCAATCATCTCTTGCATATGTATAAATAATTGAATTAAACATTGTAATGATGCCCATCTGATTCTTATATTTTCATCTTCAACTAATTTAAATATTGAACTACAAATAAATAAAATTAAATAAATCAATAAATAATTAATTAAATAAATATTATTATTATTATTATTATTATTTAACATACTTTAAAATAAATGGAAGTTGTTGCGTAACAATATCAATGATAAATCTAGTAAATTTAGACAAAGCAATCAAACTAGCATATCTTTCATTCCATTTTTGAGAGTTTACTAGGATGGAGAATTGATCGTAAATGGATTGTTGTATTTCGACATGGTTACCAATCGACCCAACGAATCGTTCAAAATTCGAATCGGCTGGAATTTGTTGATCAAAGTCTGTCTTGAGGATACCAAGGTCACGTTCTTCCTCGCTATTTATGTTGAATATACTACCTTGATTGTCTGTACAGTAGTCGCTATCAGTCCACTCTTCCACTGATACATCCTCAACTTGAATCACCATCCATTCGTACAAGTGTGACACGATTCTTTCAAGATGACTGTTGGTAAAAATATTGTTTTCATCATTCTCGACCATATCCAACAAGAATTATAAACCACACCCTTTGTATTTACAGAGAATCCATTTTCACGATTATTATCCAATACTTCTATTAACGTGTTAATGATTGGTAAAATGAATTCTTGCATCCAATTTGGATTCTCGTTTGTATAGATATTTGTTTAGAGCGACCACAATCTTTTTAAAATATTCTCCTTCAGTCTTTTCGATGATTGGAAGCATTGACAATAGATCGGGAAATAATGATCGATACTGATCATCAGACAATACACCAGAGCTTATCTCATTGACCAACGTTTCTAGTTTTGCCTTTTTAGAGTCATACTTTGACAACAATGATAGTAATGATAATGTATTTACTTTTAATTGTGATGGTGATGGTGATCCTTCCTCTTCTTTTTCTTCCTCTTCTTCGCGATTTACAATTTCCACCAATGATGGTTGTAATTCATTCCAAAGACCTACAGACCAAATCAAAATAAAATAATACACATTAATTAAATTGTAAAAGTATCAATTTAAACATGCATACCTTTAGGAATTAAAAAGAGAGCAATTGTTTGAATGATACTAAATAAATGACCGATAAAAACAACTGTATGATTTGTCTTTAACAACTCGACTGTTATCATCCAGTAACAATTCTTTGATCAAGTCATCACCTTTTTTAATCAGTAATTTATCAAGAAACTGTACTGATTTCTCTTTAATGACAACAGTAAAGTAAGTAAATTGCAAAGGTGATCTCGATTATAATAAATTACATACATGTTTACAAGTACCATTTACAATTAAATAGAGTAACCATGATACTACTTTATCTGGTGTAGACTCTAAGATGTCTTTGAATCTTTGTTTTGTGATACTCTTGACAGTACTAGTACTGTCTTTGTTGTTATTGTTATTGTTATCATCATTCTTTTCTTTTTGTTTGTGGAAATCCCACTACTCACGGATCTGTGTAACATTATAATAATAATATCAATATTATCCTTGCCCCCCCCCATTAATCCTTTTTGATTTTATATTTATACAAATAAAGTTTATTGGTTGAAAAAAAGAGAGATATAATTTAAAAAGCTTTTTGTGAAACAAAGATCTAGGTTTAGTTCTTCTTTTCTGGCTTACGGGCCAAGACAAAGAGCATTGGGGAGAAGATTTGCTTGGAACCACCGGCAACGAGGTAGGTGGCGGCGGATTGGAGCCAGACATTGACGTCGTAGGCACCCTTTGGAGCGATCTTGACGAGTTCGAGCAATTGGCAGAACTTACCGGTGAGGTAACGACCGACACCAGTGTGGAGGAAACCAGTGATGGAGAAGGAGGCAGAGAGTGGGAGGTACCATGGGAGTTCAGAGTCTTCAGCAACGTCGTGAGCAGTGAGGACTTCGAAACCGGCTTCCTTGAGGGCGGCAACGATGACGTCTGGTTGTTCGAGATCTGGGAGACCGTTTCCGACTTCGATTTCGTGTTTGATCTTGTTGTGTTCGGCGTTGTTCTTGTCGTACTTGTTGGTCATGACCCATTCGTAACCACCAAAGAGACAGCCTGGCTTGAGGAGACGGTAGATTTCCTTGTAACAGTCGACCTTGTTTGGAGCGTGACAGGTGGCTTCGACTTGGTAGATGGCATCGTAGGTCTCGTCGGCTTGTGGGACGTGCATGAAATCAGCCTTGACAAAGGAGCAGAGGTGGGAGAGACCGGCAGCTTCATTGAGACGCTTGGCACGTTGGATTTGGTATTCGTTGTTGTTGAGACCGACGACGTGGGCACCAGAGAAACGGGCAATGGTTCTCATTGGACCACCGACACCGCAACCGACATCGAGGACACGCATGCCTGGGAAGAGACCGAGTTGATGGGCCAAGTACATTTCGTGACGGGCAATCGAGGCTTCGAATGACTCGAATCTGTGACGGGTGGCAAAATGGAAGGATTGACCCCAACCAAATTCATAATAGTCAGAGGCCAAATCGTAGAATTGGTTGACCATCGAGGTGTAGTTGTCCTTACGCGACTCGATCGAGGCCTTGTCACCTTCGAAAAGGGTGGTGTATTGCTTCAAGGTGTCGTTCATGTCGGTACGTTCGACGGCGTCCTTTTCCTTTCTGGCAATAGCAGTAATACGGGTCAAATCACCCTCCATAGCACGTTGTTGAGTATTCATTTTTTAAAAAGTATATAATATATGGAAAAAAAAAGGTTTTTTTTGTTTGTGTGTTTGGTATTATTATTATTTAAAAGGGGTTTAGAGTTGTTAAATGAAAATTTATAAAAGATAAAAGGGATTATTTAGAGTCTCGGTATGGTATAGGTGAGGAAAACAATAAATAATATTATATAAAGAGATAAACTTCGAAACAACGCAGGGGTTATAAATAATTGAACGGCTAAGTGTGTTAAGTGTGTGTTAGACAAAGAGGAGAAAAGAGAAACTGATCGTCTTCACTAGTGAAGTCGAACGAGCCTCAAAAAAAAAATATATTTTGTTCAAAAAAAAAAAATAGCCCTAAAAAACAAAAACAATTTGTTTCATCTCGGCTCAATGTGGGAGACCCCCTCATGTAGAGCCACCAAGGCCTTGCTTTCTATACCTACCCCCTTCTTTGGCTTTGAGTGCCACTGTTGGTGAAAAGAAATCGGCTCTCGTTTGATAACAACACAAAAAACCCAAAAGATATTTTCATTCCACTGAAAATCCATGCTGAGATAGAGAGACACCAGAGACCATCAGAATATATACCACATCCCTCACCTTGATGCTAGTGCTGAACATGACACCAACTTGTATCAGGTAGCTACGCCCCGCTTTTCACGTTAGATTGTTCGATTACTTTCCAAGTGACCCAGAAGTCTTTTGCAAACAAAAGAGAGATTAAGTAACAGGCAGTTGTCTCTTCACATCTAATAAGGAAAGGGGGTATAAGATCTTAAATGTTAACATTTGATGTCGTCAAGATAGTGAAAACATAGAACCATCAAACAGGGTCATTGCACCATCACTTAGATAAAAGAAATCGAACAATCTAACGTGAAAAGCGGGAAACCGATAATATCTATTAGATTAATTAATGTTTGACTAAGAATCCACTCATCCATCATCAAACACACATGAACTTGTAGCTATATATTGTGAGGAAAACAATAAATAATATTAGATAGAGATAAACTTCGAAACAACGCAAGGGGGGTTATAAATAATTGAACAGCTGTGTTTGACAAAGAAGAGAAATCTATAGAGATATAGTACTGAACATGACGGTTGGTTATTCGATTACTTTCTAAATGACCCAAGACGTTTTTGTTTGTATAAAAGAGATAAAAGTAACCACGCTGTCTCTTTATCCAATTATAAGGTGGTAATCTACTTCTTCTTTTGATTGATTGATTATTGTCTTTTTATTAAATGAGGAATAGGATATAATGGTCGAACAAAAGGACTCCAATTTTGGACATCAAGTTCATTTCTCATGATGGTGTGTGCAGTGACCATTGGTCTTTGTTGAAGTGCTCGAGTAGCCAACAATTCATATTGGTATTGTATCTGTTCTCTCATTGTAAAACTAATAGAATTTTCAAACTCTCTTGATAATCCCAAATCCAATGACAGTGATTTGGCAAATGCTTCCACATTGGTTGATGATAATATATCCCATTCAAATTGATCTCTAAGATGTAATCCATTTACTGTTAAATCCAACTAAAAATAATTAAATAAATTAATAAATAAATTAATAAATAATTGTTTGGAATTCTTTCTTTTGTTTGTCTTGTCTTTAATTTCTTTCTACTATTTCAACATACAACAATGGTAATAATTCTTTCTGAACCAATACCAGCCATAACTTGTTCGAGTCTTTCCATTACATCTCGATGACGATTTAATTGATTATTTATGGCAGATGCTACTAGTGGATCAAACCAATCGGGTAGATCCAAATCTGCACACAATCCCTTTGCAAATTGTTCAGGTGTGACTTGTGTTTCATTGATGTTCCATAGCACCTGATCCCATAGTCGATAGAGACCATTTTGAACCTCTAATCGAATGGGGACTAAATAGTCCTCTGGCATACGATATGGTTCTTTGACTGGTTGTTCTTGTTGTTGTTGTTCTTGTTCTTGTTGTGCTTGTAATTGTTTTTCCTTTTCTGCTTTACTTTCCTTGTCACTGTCTGATGAATCTCCATCTTCATCTTCATCTGCTGCTTGACTTTCCTCTTCCTCTTCTTCTTCCTCCTCTTCTTCACCATCTTCTTCCTCTTCATCTTCTTCATCTTCTTCCATTTCTTCGTCTTCTTCTTCCTCCTCTTCTTCTTCTTCTTCCTCAGTAGCAGCAACAGCAGCTTCAACTTGTTGTTCCTCTTCTTCCTCGTCATCTTCTTTAATTATTTGATCCTCCTCTGCATCTTCATCTTCTTCATTATAATTTGAATTTCTAATTGTCGTTGATGTAGTAGAAGTACTAGTTGTACTTGTACCAATTGCTATATCAGTATTATCAGTATTGTTATTATTATTATTATTATTATTATCTATTTGGTGTGTTGTAGTTGTTTCATTGTTATTGTTATTATTATGAGTAGTATGATTGTTATCATCATTATGATGATCTATATTAACATCTTCGTCTTCCTCTTCACCCATATTATGATCTTCATCTCCTTCTATTTGCATCTTTACAATCTATCTATCTTGAGATATGTATATATTATCTGTGTAATTTTAAATAATACTAAATAAAAAACAAATGAACATCGAAAATGAAGCGGGAGGAGTAAAAAAAGATTCAAAAAATTACTTACTTGATCATTTTTCACACAAACTTCAAGAGATACAAAGAATTAAGGATGATTAGATCAACTCTCAATATTGGTTTACAACAAGTTGCAAGAAGATCATATAGTTCTGCTGCTGCTGCTGCTCCATCTGCTGCTGCTGCTCCATTGGAAGAAGTATTATTTGAACAAAAGGGAAAATGTTTAAATGTATTGTTGAATAGACCAAAAGCATTGAATGCACTCAGTGCCAAGATGGTTCATCTTTTAACACCAAGATACACAGAGATTCATTCTACTTGCAAGGATGGAGACTTGGCAATCGTTATGAAGGGTGCTGGTGAAAAGGCGTTCTGTGCAGGTGGTGATATTCGTGCCATCTATGACGGCTGCAATCCAACCGCGAGAAAGACACTCTCACCAGAACAACAACTCGAAGCTGGTGACAAGTTCTTTAGAGAAGAGTATCAACTCAACCATCTCATCTACACTTCACCAGTTCCCCAAGTATCTATCTACAATGGTTTCACGATGGGTGGTGGTGTCGGTCTCTCTATCCACGGCAAGTTTAAAGTAGCCACTGAAAGCACTCAATTTGCCATGCCCGAAACTGGTATTGGATTCTTTTGTGATGTTGGTGGTTCACATTTCCTACCACGTCTACCATACCATATGGGTATGTATCTTGGTTTAACTGGTGCTAAATTAAAAGGAATTGATAATTTGTAAGAATCAATCAATCAAACAAACCAATGAATGAATGAATACTCTACTTACTTTTATTTTTATTTGTTTTTAGAATAAGTGGAGTGACAACACATTATATTACAAATGATAAGATTGGAAAAGTTCAAGACGCTTTGGAATCATTAAGTGTACCAAGTGAAAAGAATGTACGTGGTACATTGGATTCATATTCACAAAAAGTTCCATCGAATCTTGATGGTACTATAGCCACCAAGTTTGATGCGATTCATAGAATATTTGGAAAGGATTCTGTAGAGAGAATCATTGAAGAGTTGAAAAAGGATGGATCTGACTGGGCCAAGCAAACGATTGCCACCCTCCAGACCATGTCACCCACCTCTCTCAAGGTTGTCCACCGTCAATTGTTGAACGGTGCCAAGTTGGACATGGCCGAGTGTCTCAAGATGGAGTTTAGAATGTCACAACAATTTGTCGAACAACACGATTTCTTTGAGGGTGTCAGAGCACTCTTGGTCGACAAGGACAAGAACCCACAATGGAAGCCTTCCAATCTCTCCCAAGTCACAGATTCAATGATTTCAAAATATTTTGATCATTTACCAAAAGATAGAGAATTAAATCTTTAAATGGAAAACTATAATCAAATAAATAATAAATCAATCAAATTAATTAATCAAAAAATAAATAAATAATTAATTAAAAAAAAAATCGAAAATTTCAAACGAATCGGGTGTGATCATTGCTCGTCTTCATTCAGTGTTTTTAATTAGACTATTATACTAGTATTATCAGATATAGATATAGATAGATAGATAGAGAAATGGCAGCAGTTAACAGATTCAAGGTATTCTTTGATATGGCACAAGGATCAAACAAATTGGGTAGAATCACAATGGAATTGTTCAATGATGTCACTCCAAAGACTGCTGATAACTTTAGAGCTCTTTGTACTGGTGAAAAGGGTATTGGTAAATCAGGTAAACCACTTCACTACAAGGGTTCAAAGTTTCACAGAATCATCTCAAAGTTTGTACGTACAAAGAAAGAAAAAGACGATCAAATGATGATAATGATGATATGATGATATTCAATATGAAACTAATCATAATACTTCTATTTTATAGATGATTCAAGGTGGTGACTTTACTCATGGTATTGGTATTGGTGGTGAATCAATCTACGGTGCCAAGTTTGCTGATGAGAACTTTAAGATTCCACACAAGACTGGTGTCCTCTCTATGGCTAATGCTGGAAAAAATAGTATTCTATCAATCAATATTATAATAATATTACTTATATTACTCGATCGATTAGTCGATTTCTAACCAATATATTTTCTCTTTTCATGTTTTTAGCTAATGGATCTCAATTCTTTATTACTGTTGCAGAGACACCATTTTTGGACAAGAAGCATGTTGTTTTTGGACAAGTAGTTTCTGGTATGGATGTTGTTCACAAGATTGAAAATACAAAGACCGATAGAAGTGATGCTCCACTTGAACCAGTCATCATTGAAAATTGTGGTGAATTAAAGGAATAAATCAAATAAAACCAAACCATATACATACTACTTATTTATAAAACAACAAAGATTTCTCAAATAATAGTAATAATAAGTTTCTTTTTAATTAGAATAAATGAAAAATTAATTATTTATTCCTCTTGTTGTTGATGATGATTAATAATAATAATAATATTATTATTATTATTGAGCTACAAATGGTTCAGAATTAAATTTCTTATAACAACTCATAAATTTAGCAATGAATGCTTCTAAATGAAATATTGGTTTTGTTCCAATTTGTATACGATGTTCCTAAATAATTGCACAATATTAGTATTTGTTGTTGTTGTTGTTTTAATTAATTCATTTTATACACATACATAAAAAGCAGCCCAATGAATAGTTTCACATTTAAGGGAATTATCAATACTATCCAATAGTTCAAGAGTTAGAGTTTTAATGATGAGTTCGGGTGGAATACAATGACCAATGAGTTCGTAAAGTTTAGCTCTGACTGCCATCAACTTGGCAGGAGTTTGTTCCATAATGATGTCTCTTGCAATGACTTGAATATAATTTTCCCAATCCAACAATGGAACTCCTTCAACAAAGGGATATTGTTTTGCCTTTTTTGCTTCCAACATTAACAATGCATATCTTAGATTACCTTTTGCCTTTACTGCTATTTCCTCTGATATTTTCTTTGGCAATTCAAATTTCTCTTTTGTTGCTACTATATTTAAAACATTTTGTACCTAATAATATCAATATAGAAAGGTTGATCAATTAATACACCATATTACTTTGACATTTTCTAGTTTCTTTCTATACTTACATCAGCAATTGAAGGAGCAGGAACTCTAATACCAAGACATCTACTACGAATTGGATCAATTACTCTACTTGTACTATCACAACAAAGGATAAGTCTACAAGAGGCAGCATATTTTTCCATTGTACGACGAAGAGCATGTTGAGCATCCTTTGAAAGTTTATCGACTTCGTTGAGAATAACAATCTTGAAAGCACCAAACACTGACGAGTCGATAGGAGGTGATTGAGCAATCTCTTTGATGATACTCTGTACAATCAATCTGTCGTTGCTGCCAGCCTCACCAGCATTGATTTCTATATGATAGGGTGAACTGATCGTAGTCACCTGAAGATTCTTGTTGGTAGATGGATGTTTAAATGTACGATGATCAATCTTTAACTTTAGACAATTGGGTCCATACACCTCTTTAAGAATTGCCATAATCCTTGTCTTTTTACCTGCTCCCGATGGTCCATATACTAATAAATGAGGGAAATCTGATGATTTAATCTAAACAAAAAAAAGAAGGTTAGATAGGTTTAGTTAAATATTTATATATAGAGTTGTTTTTTAAAGTATATATATTTAAACAACAATGACAACTACAACAACAATAATAACAACATACCATATTCTTTAAATGAAGTGATAAATCAGGATGATAATCCATATGATCAAGTGAAGTTGGTTTATATTTATCTACCCATAACATTTTATATATATATATCTCTTTCTCTTTCTCTCGACTCTTGTCTAATATGTCTTCTTTTACTCTGTTATAGTATTGTTTATTGTATTGTGAGAATATCTTTCAATAATAGATCTTTATTGTTATTATTACTATGTTACTACGCTTATTGTAAAAAGAGTTAAAGATGGTGATTATTGTTCACATTTTCATTGGCGCCATAATTTTATGAGGAAATTCAAAATTATTCATACACCATTTTAATTATTGTACAGTAGTTAATAATCGATACGATGTAAATCTTACATCTAACAATATAACAACTAAATGAAAAGAGGATAGCTAGCAACACCACAAACTATTATTATTATTATTATTCGTTACAGTGTTAGTACCGGTATAGTATATATATATCTGAAAACGGATAGAATAAGATAAGATGGTTTCATCAATCACCACCCCCTAGCTCACTACCACTATCACTACTGAATCGCTATGATGATAATATATATGTTATGATATTTTAATTATCCGGTCATCGTCGTCGTCATCACATATATAACGTATGTTCTACCTTTTTAGTTTAAACCAATCAAATATTATAAAACAAGAGAGAAATGATGATTATGATGGATGGACATACTACGAGTACCGATCATTAATTTGATTTGGTAGTAGTGGTGGTGGTGGTGATTGCTCAAGAATTCAAGAAATAGGTACAATCACCTAAATTGAATATATGGGATGGATTGAATAGACACATCCGGATGTGGTAGTGCTGTCTGTCTGTGACATTGTTGTTAACAATAGCTTGCTGCTTTAGTCAAAACAACAACAGATTTATTTTAAAAATGATTCATTTATGGTTGAAATTGAATTGGGATTGGATTGGATTGGAGTGTGTGAAACACAAACAAACAAAAGAAGAGAGGAAAGGAAAGATCCAGAGATAGATTGGGTTGGATTGGCCGACAGATTAAAGATAGATTCATGAATTAATTCACATGAATGAGGGATATTGATTCTCAACAGTTTGGAATAATGAGAAAGAGTAATACTCCTATTCCTTCCCAAGTACTGGCATAGAATAGAGTAGAGAGAGAGTTGGTGGTTAGGTGTAGATAGATAGACCGATATATCGGTACTTTTAGCAAGTTGTCAATCATGATTCCATTTTATCACTTTTTTATCCACCTAAAGTCGGGCAGTGTGTACGACCAATGTCAACTCGACGTTGCAGCTGCAGCCGGCTGCTTCTTTTCTGGCTAAGCTGTATGTATTTATGTGTGTGTTGGTTAATTAGACGACATTGCCAAATATATAACAAATCGTTGATGCTAATTAATTACCCAACCACCCACCCACCCACCCACCATCACCACCTCATCAACATCATCACACTAAGTACATGACGCATACATGCATCGTCGTAATTCACCTATATCTATCTTTTGATCGATTAGTTGTAATTCAAACTATTCTCACTCACTCACCAACACAATATTCGGGTGTGTTTGTGTGTGGATTGGTCAATTGACAGCATTGGGTGTTTAAAAAAATGTAGTCACCAAACCCCACACACATATATAAATCGCACAGGAAGAAACAAAATACTGGAAAACAAGAAGTTTCTTCAGAGTGATATCACCTATCTATCTGCAGGCTGCATTGTTTCTACTCTTTCACTTACCACCCTCTAAAAAAGTAGTAACAATACCAATTCTCCGTCCGTGCTAGCTACTACTTTACTTGTAAGTGTGTGTTGTTGGTTGTGGTTGGTTGGTTGGATGGTTAACTAGGGTTATTCATGAATGGCATATAATAATAATATGGATAATTTATATCACCGTTGTAAATGTTTTGTTTAAAGAAACAACGATGTGTTGTAATGACACCAACACCAACCTCTCCTCTTCCACAAGCTTCACCCGGGTACTAATAGAGTAGAGTAGCATCATTTATTTTGAGATATTGATTGTGGATGCTATACATTTACCAAAGGTCAACTTATACATATTAATACACATCTCATCTAATTCATTTAACTGTCACCATATTAATTAGGTTGGTGCCAACTCCTCTCTCTCTCTCCCTCTTTCTCTTTCACCCAATTTGGCCGAATTTAAAACATTAGCTAGCACAATACCTGTGTTCTGAAAAATTGTATATTCGTGATGGTCACAAACTATTCCAACGTTGGAGGAGGGAGCTTGAACTGCATTGATCTTTTATTGGCGACACTATAAAAGCACGGACAATAATCATTCTATTCATTCAACAATCAAACAATCAATCAATCAACAAATAAAATATCAAACTCAAAGCAAAGCAACAGTTTTCGTACAATATAAAAAATTAGTAGTACTAGCAAATCAAATCATAAATTTAAATTAAAATTAAATTTATTCTACTCTAAAAATTAATTAATAAAATAATATTATTTCCATCTTTTTCAAATTTAAACCAAAAACTCTCTCGCAATTTTAAAAATGTCCATCTATGGTAAATATCAATTAAATAATAATAATAATAATAATTTCTCAATCCAATTAATATATATTAATATTAATATTTTATATTTTTTTACTTTTAGCTACTTTATCAAGATTAGGTTCATCATCTGACCTCAAGGCAAATATTTCAAGCATGTCCAATACTAGTTATGCTCAACACGAACATTTAAGCCAAAGTGCCAACATTGTCGTTTGTAATGCTCAAGCCCCACAAGGAGCCAACACTACCCAATTTGCCAGAAAATACTGGCTCCCAATGTACTAAACAAAGAAATTGGAACAGTGTGACTCGAAATGTATCAGTAGTCCTATGATGACAGTATCGATACAACATACATATGTGTCGACACATGGTATATTTAGTCATTCAATATTCAAATTATATTGAATTAATATCCGGATCCTGCCATTACTATAATCTCTCTTCTTCCCTCCTCCCATCCATCCATTTAAAATAAACAATTCACGATCAACTTTGTATTATTAAGTTTTAAAAAATTAATCAATCTTACTACCAATTGTAGTAGCCAAGTATTATTATTATTAGTAGTAGTAGTAGTAGTAGTAGTAGTAGTAGTAGTAGTAGTAGTAGTAGTAGTAGTAGTAGTAGTAGTAGTAGTAGTAGTAGTCTTCTTCTTTTTTTTTTACATTATAATATATTGATATGGATATTAAATAATCCATTTTTGATTCGTTTTTTCGATCAGAAGCATACCACTTTTTGCAAAAGTAATTTCTTTCTTCGTCTTATCAAAATAAGTAGTAGTAGGGGGTGAAGAGAGAGAGAGAGAAAGAAGAGAGAGATCCAAAGTAACAATAAATGAAAAGATTCATTTGTAGTAGCAATACTACGTCGGCAATAGCAAATAACGATATTGCAAAGAATTTATTGTTCTTTTCACTTCAATCTTCTTCATTATATAATCATCAACACTGTAGTATCATTAATCAAAGATACTATTGTAATACTTCTTCTTCATCATCTTCTTCTTCATCGTCATCATCATCATCATCATCACCGTTATCATTATCATCAACAAATACTACTTCAAAGAACAACAAAGTAAATAATAATTATAATGAAAATTCACTATCATTTTTATTTCAAGGACCATCCTCTTCCTCTTCTCCATCATCATCATCACCGTTACCATCATCTAGAACATCATCTATATTCTCAAACATATTTTCAGGTGATAGAGATGAAATCACTACTGAAACTCTAGGTAAAATAACAAACAAAGATCTTTCCATTCGATATGAAATATTTGTTCAACGTATTATCAATGAAGATATGGACTTTATTGATATTCATAGATGGTAAGTAAAAAAACATATATCATTCCTTTCCTTTCCTTTCCTTTACTTTTTTGAATGAATCTCTAATATGTTTTGTTTTTTTCTAGGTTAAAAAGATTCTTAAAGGCAAATTCAAATTATAAAGGATTTGAAATATATGTTAATGGATTGTATGAAGCATTTATATCGCAAGGTGTATTGACATCACCCAAAGTTGTGCCACATCGTGACAAGATTATAATAGAGTTTATCATTTTCTTTTTGGAGAGTCAAAACATTGAGGCACTTGGCACAATGATTCGATCGTCTGCCAAATTCACTTATCTATGGTCTCCATCCATGTTGGAAAAGATAGTGACCTGCTATCTGTCACTGGGCAAACAAATCAAGCAAGAACAAACCGGTATATTGTTTGATTTCTTTGAGTTGCACAATATCAAAAAGAACAAGCATATCTTTCCAAAGGACGTGCAAAAGTGGATCATTACACAGTATTTGGAGCATGAAGAGCCCCAAAAGGCGGTCGACTATCTCAACTCTTCGATGCGATACACGGTCAGCAACATCCATCTGGTGATGACACTGTTGTTTGAGTACGACTATACCATGGTGGTTGTTAAGTTTATCGAAGAGTCTCTCACAGACACCAATGATTACATCCTGAGCAAAGACTTTCAGTTTTTCATCAGTTTGTTGGCCAGTCGCTCGGCCAACAGCGTGCGTGAGGTGTTGACGGCAGTGCACTCGAAAAACTTTGACGATGCATCGTATATACGATTCCTCGAGTCGGCCATCCACATTGTCTCCAAGTCGCGCTCTCACAACCTCACCAAAAACATCTACCAAGACTTTTTCCTCTCCAAGGGATACGCCATCACCGCCAAGATTGCCATCGACATGATCAACCTGGCCATCACACTCGACTATGATGGGCAGGTCAGCTATTGGTGGAAGGTGATCAAGACGATCGTAGTGACAGACCCCCAACTCACAGTGCACCAACAAAACTACATAAGCATCATGTCACCCACCTTTCAGCGTTTTCTCGAGTACCGCTCGAAAAAGCCACAAAGCGACATGCTACGTAGCATCAATGTCCAAAACATATCACATACCGTCATTATTGAGACCATTATGTACAATCGATTGATGGGCAACGAGAAAATATATGATTTCCTATTGTCTGGTCTCGGCCACTGCGAGCCACGTGCCATTTCATTTATTCTCAATCAATTGGCCGTGCATTATCTCAAGCTAGACTTGTACAGCCAGGCTTTGGAATGCCATCGCCTGCGACTCTACCAGTTCAACCTGCCACCCGACAATTACATCCCATCACTCTTTATCATCTACCATCAACCCCGTGTTGCCAACACCAAGGGATTCCCTGTCGAAGAGATTCAAATCAGAGGACGCACGAGTTCATCTAAAAGTTTGTTTTATGATGGTGGTGGTGATGATGATTTTGGAAATCCAAAAGATTATCCATTGGATCAGCAGCAGCAGCATCAGAATCAGCAACAGCAACAGCATCCAATCGGACAACAACAACAACAACAACACCAAAGAATATTTTTAAAAACTGATGAAAATAATAACAAGCCAATGGACATGATCGATAAAATGATTGAATCCAATTTGATACACTTTTGGTTTGACTATCGTAAACACTGTCGTGTTGACAGAAACAACATTTCTGTTCTCAGCGCTGCAGCCGCCGACTATCAAAACGATACAATGGAAGAACGTTTGTTGCACATGATCCGTGTGCCAAATCCACAACACGAGTGGGGCGAATTGGAACAAAAACTGGTCACCCATTACAAGGTTCTCAGAGACAGAGAGATACCTAGCAACTTGTCAATCATGAAAAACTCAATTACCAACAATGATTTGGATCATATTGAACAACTGGTATTACAAACAGAAACAACAAATAATATTATCGAAAATGCAGAAGCAACAACAACAGAGGAAGAATCATCGTCGACGACGACGACGACGACGACGACGACGATTAAATCATTCACAAAGTATCATTTCTTTTTAATGAACTTTATTGGAAAGTATGATAGACCACGATGCCGTAATTTGTTGATGAATAAATTACCAGTTTCATGGCGTATCGTTCTATTCCATCCCGACCTTTTCATCGATATCACCAACGAGGATCCAAACACTGCCATCCAATTTTACAAATCAATGGTCAGCGCCGACGTCATGCGCAGCTACTATGGAACGCTATCCAACCTGATGGCAGCGCTTTGCAAGAGCAACCGATTCGATCTGGCCCGACAGATCTTTGCAAAAAAATCAAGAATTTGCATCCGATCAAATGGTCGCGGTTGCATACGCACAAAGAGCCATGATTGAAAACAAGTACAATGGCAACGAACCACAGATCCTTTCAAATTATTTCATCAACAATACCACCATTTCCACTTTCCGTCTGTTCCACTTGATCGAAACCAAAAAATATGACAACGCCTATAGTTTCTATCAAAAGTCGTCTAAATCCATTGGACCCAAGGAACAAGCCGTCAAGTTGTTTTGTGCCACTCAGCCATTGACTGACAACCTACAGATAATCGACCAATTTTTAGACGACCACTCAGACAGCAAGAGAAAGGCAATATCAAACTATCAACCATATCTCATACAGTTGACCAAGTTGGGAAGAAAGGATCTCGTCCTTGGCATCTTTAAAAAGAATCAATCGACATTTGAAGCCATGCAACATGGATTGGCTCAAATCTTCCTTGAAGCTGCAGAATCGCCACAAGACATTATTGACATTTTCAAATGTTTCCGTCGTTCACAATCAATCTCTTCTGAAATTTATGATCGTATCACCAAAGCCAATCAAATCGTCAACGATCCCGCTGTAAAAGATCTTTTGGACTCCCTTATAGTTCGTCATACTCCAAAGGTTGATCCTTTTACAACTCTTCTTCCAGAATCTATAGATTATATTAAATCTTTATTTAATATTCAAGAATAAAAAGAAAACAGAAAAGAGAATGTATGCACTTTTTTTTTTTTGAATTACAAACCAACTTTCTTTTTGTTTTATTGATTAATTACAGAATTATTAGAGTTGCTAGTAATTGATAATTTTTCTTTTTTCTTTTGTTGTTGGTATTGTTTAATTAAAACATCACGTGGTGGTGATTTCTTGTCGGATTGAATGATGAGAGAGTCGGAATTAAAGATATCATTCTTTGAAATGACAAGGTAGGCAAAGAAGGACATGAAACCAACAACGTGCCCTCCCAACCAATAGGGTGAAAACTTTTCAATCTTTGGTAAAAGATAATACCATGGGTACAATGAATAGGCGCCAGCAAAGTAAAAGTAGAATTTGTCTTTGGTAGAATCCAATTTCTTCAACTCGTTATTATACCATGTTGTCATGGCTCCAACGAAAAATATTGGTACTGCTGCTGTAATCAATGATGTTTTAACTCCATTTGTTAAAATTGTCTTTAAATTAAATTTCTAAAAAAAAGAAAATAATAAAAAAAATTAATAAGTAAATGGCAACAAAAAAACGGTGTATATAGATTTACAAGAATAAATATTTCCATGTTTTCTTACATTTTGAATACTTTCAAAACAACCCCAAACAAAACCACCAGCACTTGTGTGAAGATATAATAACCAACCAGATTCAAATAATTGACGTTTGGTTGATAAGAGTGAATCGGCTTGAATGATGGTTTCTTCCTTGGCATAGGTCAACATTGATTGATATTCCTTTTCGGTGACCAAAAGATCATCATGGTTGGCAAGTTTCAAACAAGTGTGACTGATGACCAACAATGCAGTATGGAAGATTTGTTTGTGAAGCATTTTGTTTGCATTTAAAGTTTCCAATGCTGTAATGGCTCCATTGTTGGCCAAGATAACACGAGCATCTTCATTTCCAGCAATTCTACTAATGGCAACACCCAATGTCTTTTGAACATATGCTGGTAAGTATGGTGTAGTTGACATTTTAATAATTCTTGGTAATGTTGAATAATCTTGAACTATAAATATAGAAATATTGGTTAGAGACAGAAATAATAAATGATGATGATTGTAGTAATTTTTTAACATACTAAAAGTTGCAGAGTTTTCAATGATTCTGGCAGCATAGATATTGACTTCAATGTTTGCAAAGGTATCGATAATATCCAATAAATGGTTGATATTCTCTGGTTGAGCCATAAGTTTTCTCATTGTATTATTGCTTGAAGTACATTCAGAGAGTGATTGTAATCTAGTCTCAATGACTGATAATTCATCAGATGTTTGAATTTCCTTTAATATACGTGGTGCATGTTTTAAAAGATATTCAGTTTCATCATTTGATGACATGTAAACTAAATAAATAAAAGTATAAGTAATCATACAAATCAAGATACTTTTATATATTAATAATTAAATTACCTGCAAAACCCAATGAAAGAACACCAAAGACACCCAATGAAATTGCATTTCTTAACAACTTTGTCTTCCAATTTGGTTTACCATTGTTGTTGCCATTATTCTCGTTATTCTGTTGATCAAATTCAGCTTGATCGCTTGCCTCGTGAAATTGATTGGTTTTGTGAATCTGTGATGCCAATTGTTGATAGACTTGTTGTTTATTGGCTGTTGCTATATCTTCCTCTAGTTGTTTCTTTTTCAATTCGTTTTCATTATTAATGTTATTAATGTCTTTGTTTTCTTTATTACTGTTATTAATATCTTTATTAATGTTATTAATGTTATTATTATTATTAAGAGGAGGTGGTGTATTGGTGCTATTACTATTACTATTATTTGGTTTATTGTTATTATTATTATATTTGTTATTCTTTAGATCACCTCCTTTTTTGTGATGCTTTGAAGAGTAATATCTATTGCTATTGTTATCGATAATGATGGTTTGAAATAATGATGACGATTGTTGTTGACCATTGAATCGTTTCAAAGCATTGATACTATTACTATTGGTGCTATTGACCAATTTAGTAGTATAATTGCTACCTGATTTGAATAATATCTTTGATATATTCATTGCTTTGTTCTTGCTGCACGTAGATATGAATGAATGACAAAACAACAATCAAGCCTCTGCTCTGTCAGAGTCTGATCATCATGACGGTGATGACTTTTAAGACAAAAAAAGCGAAACAAATATTATTTTGGATATTCCAAGATCGAGTAGATACACAAATAAAAATAATGGATTATTGATTTATTGATTGGTTTCTAAAATATTCTTATTTCCTTTGATTTATTTAATATGTCTAACTTTGATAATATCATCACTAGTAGTACCATCAACACAAGTATAAATACTATTTGCTAAATAGGTATTGTCATATTGACATTTTGATGAAAGGTCATTGGTTGTACATTCCTTGTTACCACCTAAATTACATATTTGTTGCATTGGATTATTGGTAATTGGATCACAGTAAAAGGTTTCTCTTTGAGTGAAATTGACATCATAGGCTGTATTGTTGGTGTAGAATTGGGACCACAACATAGTCTCTGAACAACTTTGGTCTGACTTGTCAAAGAACCGACTGTATAGTGATGGTTGTCCCGATGAGGGAGGTGCAAGAGGTTCAGATTGGATAGAGGCAGACGAATAGAATAATCCATTGTCTGGGTCATTGATTTCATTGCTATAACATTGTCCAATATTGAGTGTTGTATCCTTTGTTGGGAATCTGGAACAATCGGCGTTGTAGAGATAATAGATTGGTGTAAATGCAGTGTTATCATTGTTTGGAACATATTTGATAGAATATTTATCACCGTATGGTAGACAAGTATTCAAGAGATAACTTGACCCTTGTCCAGATATAGACCCTGTACAATTTACACCACTAAAAGGTGTAAAACTGGCATAATACTGTGTTGTTGTTGTTGTACAATTGCCAACCAATATTAATAATGTTGATAAAATGATAGTTGTAATTATTTTCATTGTTGTGTTTGCTTGTTGTGAATAAAGTGAACTGATTAGAATTCATAAAGAGTTAAACTATTCATAGGAAGTGGCCACTTACCAACGGAAGAACAATCACTTTTGGTTGGTTCTTCTTCTTTTGATTTTTCTGTTTTAAACTTAAAAAAAAGAATATCTTTTCCTTGTTTGAATTCATCGAGAACGACAAGTTTTCCAAAGATGGGATGAGTTGCCCATAAACGATGTGATCGATCAATGTGTGACGTCATGATACTTTTACTTTTATTATTATTTACATTAATTCTTTCTACGCAAGCCTGCAATCATTGGCTCCTTTGTTTTAGGTGGTGGTTCTACAATGTTTGATTGTTTGATTTCGTCGTATCCAAATGTTGATATATCATCCTTTGCCATTAATCCCCTATAAACATTGAAAGAGATAAATAAATTAGCATCTCTCTCCTCCTATCGTCTATTCTATCTCTTTTGTCATTTCTCATACTTGTCCATTCTACATTGTAAATAAAATTTAGATAATTCAGCGCATTGTCTTGATTGATTCTGATTGCTTGCTAGACATTGAATGTATGCATTCATTGCCTCTGTACATTCTTTATCGTGATCTAATGGAAAGCTACCTTTATCTGGTGGTGTTGGTGCCTTCATTGCAGAGTTTCTTGCCATATTCATTTTTTGTTCTTTCTTTCTTTCTTTTAGTCTTGTTGTCTAGCTAGTCAACAAGATTATATTATAATAGATAGATAGAGTAGAGAGAGAGAGAGAGAGAGAGATAAGTAGTAATTAAAAGGTTGCTTAAAGCACTGTATAATATAATAGACGAAAAAAAAAGATTGATGACCGAATGAACGCGTAATGGTCAGATGACAAATTACAATGAAATTTAATCAAATTAAATTAATTTGTTGTTTGCTTCGCTTCACTTCACTACATAAATAATTAACATTAAGCTATATTAATCTGGTTCTTGTCCATGTTGCTTACAACACACACACACACATATATATATATATATATTGAGTACAAACAAATATAGACTGAATAATACTGTAATCACATGATATTTTGATGTTCCCCGAATTCTTTGATTAATAACAATAATTGGTTTTTAGTCACCAACCCAGACCCTAAAGTGTTTGCTTCCCTTTTTTTTTTATTACTATTTTTAAAAGATTGATAACACCACTCATTTAAATACAGATACAAGATATATCACACTCTCGATTTATATTAGATAGATAGATTGATAGATTGATAGATATCTCGAGAATGAGTGAACAACAACAAGAAGAAATAACAAATAATATTGATGGTAGTAGTGCAGAGCAGCAGGTTGTTGCTCCACTCGAGACTCTCATAGCTACTGTCGATGATACTACCACTACCACCACTAGTAGTACACCGGTTGATACAACAACATCATCATCAACAACAACAACAACTGTAGATAATAATAATAATAACAATGTAGAGATTCAAAAAAATGTAACTGGTGTTGATCAACCTCAACATCAAGAACAAGAGAAACAAGAACAACCACAAGCTCAACAACCCGAACAACAACAACAACCTACTGAACCTGTTCAACCAACTGAACCCGAACAATCTACACCACAAGTTCAACCAACTGCTGAACCTGTTCAACCTACCGAACAACAACAACCTGCACCACAAGTTCAACCAACTCCTGAGCCTGTTCAACCTGTACCACAAGTTCAACCAACTACAGAACCTGTTCAACCTACACAACAAGTTCAACCAACTACTGAACCTGTTCAAACAACGACAACAGCCGAACCAATTGAAGAAGTAGTAGATAAACAAAGAAAAACCAAATGTTCATTCCATACAAATGATTATTACAACTCATTTTGTAAGGATTGCCAAACACCTATCTGTCCACAATGTACATTATCACATAAACAACACAATATTCTCCCAACCATACCATTTGACGACTTTACCAACAAGTTGGCTGTCTTTTCAACATTGAATGTCGAAGCAAGCGACAGAGCACAAGACAAGGCACATTTACTCGAGTTGATGGCACAGCTAGAGGATAACAACAAATCATGTAAATTATTAATTCAAGAACGTTTCAAGGAATTCCAATTCCTCATCAAACAAAGAGAAATGAATTTGGAAAAAGAGATTCAAAAGGAATACGATGCCACCAAATTGGAACTTACCAAACGTCTAAATCTCATAGACAAGGATCTATCTCAAGTTCAAACACAATGGGATAAAAGTAAACCTTATCAACAATCAACTCCAACTGAATTATATGAAACAAATTTATTTGAAGTTTTAGGTAAAAATAAGAGAGAAAAGAAACAAAACATACATTATATTATTTATTACATGTATTCTAATAGTTATCTCTTTTTATTTTTATTTTATTTTTAGAACAATATTCATTATCAGATAAAAAAGTGAGACATATTCAAACATCTGATTATAATTTATTAAAACCAGTTGATGTACCGGTAAAGTTTGTTTTGGATATTGATCAATTGAAAAAGAAATCAATTGTTGATGAATTGTCTGGTTTGGGAACCATATCAACTGTCAAACAATCTACATTTAGACCAATTAAATTACAGCATCATCAACAAGAAGCACAATCACCATCGATTCTACCATACAAGGATGAATCGTCGTCCAATAATGCCGACAAGTCATCATCGAAAAAAGATAGAAAGTCATCAAAGTCGGATACACTAGACAACAACAACAGTCCATTGTCAACTGGTATTGGTAGTCCAAATTACAATAGTGGATCGGCAGCCAAATACATCTACTCTATTGGTGGTTGGAATGAGAATGGTACTGATTTGGGTACATGTCATAAATACATTGTTGAAAGCAACGAGTGGAAACTATTGAAATCGGTATCAACCGATGCTCTTCCATTTGTGTCGTCGTCGTGTGCATCCGATGGCAAGTACATCTATGTGTTTGGTGGCAACTATGAGATCAATACTTATCGTCGCTTCAACATTAACAAGCAGACGTGGGAGAAGCCTGAAAAGATGAACCGTGGTGGTGGAGGTATTGCCGCCCAGTTTGATGGCAAAAAACACATCTATATCTTTGGTGGCAAGGTGTTGGACGACTCCAAACCATATCACCAGATTGTACAGAGAATCGAGCGTTACAATGTCTCGACCAAGCAATTCTCGACGGTTGGATCCATGTCCAAGCACAAGTACTCTTGTTTTACCTGTTTTGACGGACGTTACATCTACCTTGTCGGTGGTCAAGTGGTCAATGGCCGTGCGTGCAAAGAGATTGAGCGATTCGATACTGTCGAACAAAAGTCGGCCATCTACGCCAGTCTTGGTGGCGGAGGCATGGTACAAGGCTGTGCACTCGATCCACAAGGCGAATGCATCTACTATATGACCCAAACCACATTTAAGCGATTCACCATCGCCACCAAGTTTATCCAAACGTTGGCCTTTCCACCACTCACTGAAACATCGTGTCGTCCAACACTAGTCTTTGACTCCAAGTCCAAGATCTTCCTCTTTGATCAAAACGACAACTTTTGTTTTGACCTTGCCACCTCCAAGTGGTCTAAATTCAACTTTAACAGAAAGTATTCTCTTTGTGGTCAAGGTTGTGTAGTTTCAAATTCTTAAAACAAACAAAACAAAACAATCTAAATCTAAATTAATTCCTCACATACAAATACATTACATTTTTAAAATCAAATCACACATATAACAACCATATTGTACCTACCTTCCTTTCCAAATCAAATGATCTTATGTTAAAACAAAAAATAATAAATAAAAAAAAAAAAAAAAAAGGTTATTTTAATTTGTTCCATCTTTTTATTTTATTGTATTATTAATAATCTTCTCTCTCGTTCGTTATAAGCATTGTTTTTGCTAGGTGGTAAAAGGATCTCTCAATCGTCTGACAGCGCCGCGATCTCTTTTGAAAAACCCAACCTTCAAAAAACCAATTTTTTTGTCAAAACATTTTTTTCAGTGAAAAACTTGAAGGCAGGTGATTATCATTGCTGTTGTTTTTTTATCATCGTTGTTATAAATCTATCATACTCTGAATCTTATTTATATATATATATATATTTATATATTCACTCACTTATTTGTATTAGTACCTTTGACCAACCATAAAGAATAGATAGTTTTTGGCAGAGAGATATAACAGGTAAGAAAGAAATAATAGTAGTAGTAGTGGTTGTGGTTGGAAGATCATGTGTTGGTCAAAAAGCAGGAGATGGGGATGTTACATGTGTTGGTTAACAAGTCAGAAGAAAAGATAATTAGTAATTTGTTTATTTGTTTATACATTACATTGCATTGCAATGAATGGATAACAATACATGGGTAGATCTATCTGTCTATCCATCTATCTATCCAACTATGGTGGTTTGGTAAAGAGATAGATAACCAATTTATTGTTATTGCCTTACCATCTCAACAACCCATTCCAAACCATCAACTGAACAAGAATGGTTTATTAATAGAATCACAGGTGATCAACAACAATAACTCACCCACCAATATTTGTGTGGTTCACCAATATTGAACCCACGCGTGCAAAGATAAGAAGAGGGTGGTGTTTGCGATATTTTCAGTACACTCTATATGATATAATATCAATCAATCAATCAATACCCTCCTCCTCTCCTTATATTATTATAATAACAATAGTGAAGAGGAAAGATTTAGATAAATTATTAATTGAAAAAGAGCAAGCAATAGAGGAAACAAAAATAACACAAAAGATTGATTCATTTACTTATTTTTGTTGCAACAAGTAAGAAGAAAAAGAACAAGAATCACACACAACCAACATTTAAAGATTCTTTGATCGAGTGCAGTAGTGATTACAGCAACAAGTGTTTTATATTTTATTTTATTTTTTACTGCACGACAAAAAACACATATTACAAAAGAGCAGGATTAAAAATAGATAGATAGACCAACACCAACACCAACAACAATTAAAAGTGGTTCGTTTGAAATTATAATAATCTAATTTTTTAAACAACACTACTACTGATCAATCATAAAAGTAGTAGTAGTAGTAGTAGTAGTCGTTATAGGTGGTGGTGGTTATTCCTTCCTCCTCCACCTCTTCCTCTCCTCTCGTTGTTGTTGTTGTTGTTGTTGTTGTTGGATTCATTCATTTTATAATCTTTTTTTTTTTTATTTGTGTATTAGAATCATTTAAACAAGAACAAATTTATCGTCCTTCCTTCCCTCCCTCCCTCTTCATTTCACATCTTTTAACAACCAACAACCAAAAAAAATTACTTACTTGTACTTTATATATAATTTCTTCACTTTAGATAGGAAAAAAAAAGCCTGGAGCTCCAAACTAAACCAAAATATTTCTATCCAACAAACCAAGCCAAAACAAAACAAAACTTATTTATTTAAATACCTTGTAACAATATAAAAATCCAACAACAACAGACAAACCATGGGTGACGCAGCAGCAGGTATGATATTGGACATTGAATGAATGAATGACATATGAATATGTCAATACACAAATATTGTATTAATACCCTTTTTTTTTATTTTTAAGCATTGGCATTATTGAATCAAAAATTTCCAGTTGCAGATGTAGTAGCAGGAATTAAATGTGAAAGAGCTATAAAATGGGAACTAACGATTGGCGATGATTTGACACCACACTGGAAACACAGTATTGTATGTGTTTCCATTGAAAAGACACCATTTGCTCAGGGTTCATGCAGAACTGCTCACAAATTACAGGATTGGTCGAAACCCGATCAAAGACTTGTCGGAAAATTTTCAACCAACAAAAAGACAACCAGAGACTCATATTTTACAGATGTCCTCATGCAAACATTCTGTGCAAAGTGGACTGAAAAGTTTAATGAAATGAAACCACCCAAACCAATCACTTTTCTTCCATCCTATGTCTATGAATTAATAGATCATCCACCTCCCTATCCAGTTTGTGGTGGTGAACCTTTTATTGATGGTGAATACAAGTATGGAGAAAAAGAAAAAGAAAAAAGAAAAAAGAAAAGAAAAGTTGGGAATGACTAATATTATTTTTTGATTTAAATTTTTTAGAAAACATAATAATAATAGTGGATATGTAAGTTCAGACGCTAGAAATACACCACAAGCATTTAGTCATTTTTCATTTGAACATTCAAATCATGAATTGTTGATTGTCGATATTCAGGGAGTCAATGATTTCTACACCGATCCACAAATCCACACCAAGAGTGCTCAAGGCTTTGGTGAGGGTAATTTGGGCGAGACTGGGTTCCACAAGTTCTTGCAGACACACAAGTGCAATGCAGTGTGTGACTTTTTGAAATTGAAACAAATCAATCAGAGCAAAAAGACATTGCTTCGTGGCACCTTGCCCGTTGTACAGTTGATGGAGTTTCACGATGCCATTGGTATCAATGCCAACGGTCAAGCTACTGGAGCGGCCAAGAGCGGCCATACGATGGAGTACTTTGCCAGCGGTCAGAGTACCGCACCCGCATCATTAGAAGATGAGGAAAAGATGTTGCAAGAACAATTGGAACGTATCCGTGCACAACAAAAGGCCAAACAGGCTGCTTTACCCAAACAACCATCCAACTCGAACCTTCACAAACTTTCACCCAAACCAGCTCCCAAACCAGCTGCTGCCTCTATATCAGTGTCTGCGTCTGCTTCATCTCCTCCATCTACCTCGCCTACCCCAACTTCTCCTAAACCTGTACCTTCTGCAGTTGCCAAGCCTGTTGCAGTTGCAGCTACACCAGTTGCCGCTACCCCCGCACCAGTCGCAGTCGCTGCTACACCTGCACCAGTTGCAGTCGCAGTCGCACCATCCCAACCAACTACTCTACCAACGCCAGTTACACCAGCTGCTGCTACCGCACCACAGGCATCCAATCAAGAGATTGTACCAGACAAGTCAGCATTTGAAAAATGGGATTTAAAGAATATTCGCAACCAAGATACCATTCGTGGTTTGCAATCAGAGTGTATTGTCGGTGACGACACACGTCTCTACACTGGTTCCAACGACGGTAACCTCGGTGTTTGGGACATTAACGAGCTCAAGCATACTACCAATATCCGTGCACATGGCAAGTCGATCAGATCGGTTTGCATGACACCAACGGGTCACCTCATTACTGGTGGTGCCGACTCTTACCTAAAGCAATGGGATCTCACCACCATGACTGCAGTCAAGGAGATTAAAGAAGCCAACGAAGTCAACACTGTCTTTGTGCTCGACAACCTCTTGTTTACCGGTTGCAACGACAAGACTGTCAAAGTGTGGGATTTGCGTTCCGACAAGTGTCTCCAAACCTTGCAAGGACATACACGTGCCATCAAGACTGTCTATGCCATGGGTAACCTCTTGTTCTCTGGTTCCAACGATCAACAAATCTTTGTGTGGTCGCTCCAAAACAACCGTATTCTCACCAACTTCCAAGGTCACGAAGGTTGGGTCAAGAGTTTGTACGCTCACAACAACACTCTCTATTCGGGCTCGCACGATGAAACCGTCAAGGTATGGGATCTCAAGACTACCAAGTGTGTAAATACTATCAAGTGCAAGGACCGTGTCGAAACATTGCACGTCACCAACCAAGGTATCTTTGCCGGTGCCGGTGATTTCCTTCAGGTCTTTAGCACCACCGATCACGAGCAATTGGCTGCTGTAAATACTAGATCTAGTATATTGTGTACTTGGAGAAGACAAAATCAACTTTTCACTGGTTCATTGGCTAGTAATCTTAAGGTTTGGAATTGGGATTTACTCTAAAGAAAGAAAGTAGAAAAAAAAGGAAAAAGAATAATAACAGAGAGAACAAAGAAAACAAAGGTTCAACTTGAAAACCAAACCAAAAAAAAAAAAAACCAAACTAAATCACATACTTGGGATTAATAATAATAATAATAATATAATATATATATTTTTTTTTTACAGACATCTTCATTCATCATTCATCATCATAGTAATATTAATAAAAAGTACCAATAGTAATAATAACAAACAGTATCATAATAGTAGTAATAGTAGTAATAATAATTACAATATATATAATATGTATATATATAATATATATAAAATATATATATATATACTTATATAATCTTAATCGACCGATTCATTAATTAATATTAATTTAATATCCCCATCCTAAAAACAAAAAAAAAAAATTAAAGAAAATAATAATTTAAATTAACTATTCTATTTCCAGAGGTCTTTTTTTTTTTTTTTAACTGTATAGCTGACTTTTTTTTGACTTGGACTATCCTTCCTAGTCTCTAAATTAAAGTTTTTATTCCTTTTTTAATTAATATATTCGAGAGAGAGTCACAATCCATGTAGAACAGTCATAATTCTCAAAGACTAGGTTTTTTTTAAATTAATTAATTTTGTTGGGTTTTTTTGAAAAAGGTGAGGTGACAAAGCGAATCGGAGAGAAAAAAAATGCTTTATTTTTTCTTTTTTTTAATCATAATATACTTTTTTATATTTATATAGAATACATAGTAGAAAAGAATGAGATCACCAACAACTATATACGAGGGTACACCGACTGCACCTGTCAATCTTGCGACATTAAAGACACAAGTGTCTCGAAAATATCAAAACTTGATCGAAAGAACCATTACATTCATTCCACAAAGATGGATTGCTGCTGGTGGTATGGTCACAAACATAACTTACAACAAACAACAACGATTATAACAACGATAGATTGAATAGAGACAATAGGAAAAAGTCGATGAGTCAGAGAGACTAGACAAACAGAGACTTGTAAATCTCAAAACAACTCAACAAAGATGTTGTATTGAAATCATGTAGACAGACAAGCAACTTCTAGTCAACTGAATATTCATCATTCTTTCGAATCAATCAATCAATCAATCAATCTATCGTCATTCCTTAACATATGAATATTATTATTAATCACAACACCCTCCCTTCCTTCCTTTATTCGATTTACCTAATTATCTAGTTTTATTTTTACTTTATATACTTAGAATCTCGATAGTGGGTGGATGGTACGTCGTTACCTATGCACTTAGCATTTATTTATTGACCCAATTTATTGCCTTTTTGTCACCAAAATGGGATCCTGATATGGACGACGGTCTCAATGTTGGATTACCAACCAAAGGTGATGAAGAACCAAAACCATTTGTTAGAAGATTACCAGAGTTTTTGTTTTGGTATGCATACATTTAAATATATATACATATTAGAGATTTATTAATTATTGTTATTTATTTTAGGCATTCAATTTTCAAGGCTTTAGTTATTAGTCTCTTTTGTACTTTCTTCCCATTCCTCAATCTTCCAGTTTTTTGGCCCATCTTGGTTATTTACTTTATCGTCCTCTTCACAGTTACAATGAGAACTCAAATTAGACATATGATTAAACACAAGTACATTCCTTTTACAGTTGGCAAAAAGGTTTACAATACTCGTGATTAAAAACAACTAAAACAAGCAACGTAAAACTATACTACTTACTATATAGTTCAATATTGAATTAATTAATAATACTACTCTTTCAGTATATACAATACAATACAATTGGACAAATAAATAATAAATAATAATAATAATAATAATAATAATAATAATTTTAAATACCCTACCCAACACTCCCACTCCATCTACATCATCATTTAATTCTGGTAAACTCTATGATAATCATTTATTCATTTATTTATTTGTTTGTCTGGTTAATTTAAATTTAAATTGCAATGAACAATGAATGAATATGATAACAATATATTCAACAACTTGGTCATCGCGTCACATGATTAAACAAGTATATACTTGCTTGACTGGTTGAATTAAAATAGCAACCAGATTGAATTGAATTGATAACAGATGCACGATTGTGGTGTCTTGTTGTAGTTTTTTTGGTTATCCTGTGTTTTGACGCTTCACCTCGAAATTGTTGTCCTGGGTTTTCAGTCGACGAGTATAAATATCAATTTCGTCAGTTCTTTTGCACTTTAAAATTTAAAATAATTTTATATTAATCTGTCAGACAGATCTCTTCTTTGCGCTCTCTAAACCAAGAAAACACCCATATCTCTATCTCTCTCTCTATCTTTCTTTTCTTTCTTTTACCATCATATCATAACAAGTTAACATTATAAATATTATTCGCAGCAAGCATCCTAATCCTATCATCCTTTAATTCATTCATCGAAAAGAGAGAACCACACACTCAATCCATCCATTCATTCATTCATTCATTCAAAATTTCACTGGTATAATCCCACTCCACTCTCTCTATTTAAGCTAGCTAACTCTTTCCTTTCTATTTTTATTTGTACTATACTATACTATACTTATATTGTAATATATAACAGCCAGACAGACAACAACAACAACTAGAAGTACTCTCTCTTCATATATATATATTTAAAATGGGATGGAAGTTTTGGAATAATATAAAGACTGAAAGGACACCATTACTGAATCAAAATAATGATTCGTTAATTGATGGACAGCAGAACCAGAACCAACAACTAGAACCCGTAATACATCAACTTCCACACGGTAAGTATTTATTTATTGATGAACAAACTTTTCTTTTGCTCGGATTGGGGGCGTTGGCTCGAAAGAAAGATATTTTCTTCCTGTCATTTGACTTGGTTTAAAATTGGTCTAGTATTTAAGTACTTACTTTTCTTTCCTCTCGTTTAGCCGTATTAGAACCTATAATTGATGTACGTGGTAATGTTGCACCTACACCAACATTGATTGAAACACCATCGACATGGAGTAATTTTGTGGTTCGACTACGAAACATTCAATCAAAGAGTCAAAGAGAGGATGGTGGATACTATGACGATGCATCATTCTCTGGTACACCACCACACGTAGGTGGTGATGGAGACGACGATAATGACGGATTCTTTAATGAAGATCGTCGTGAAAAGGTTAGATCTAAATTCAAGATGATCAAGAAACGGTTGCCATACTATGTACCAATATTCAATTGGCTACCAAAATACAATCGACAGAATTTGGTCAATGATGCAGTGGCTGGTGTTACAACTGGTATCATGTTGGTACCACAATCGATGGCATATGCATTGTTGGTTGGTATTCCATCTATCTATGGTCTCTATACTGGTTTGGTACCTATTCTATTCTATGTTATATTTGGAACATCTAGACAACTTGGTGTTGGTCCCGAGGCAGCTGTATCTCTTATCGTTGGAGATACACTCAGACAGATTAGTGAGGCCAATGACGTACCCCTAACAATTACAGAGATGGTCGAACAAGCCAATATCCTTGCATTCATAGTTGGCATTGTTTCATTAGTATTGGGTCTACTTCGATTTGGATTCCTCAGTGAAGTATTATCGCGTCCCTTGGTAAGAGGCTTCATCCTAGCTATTGCTCTCACCATCATATTCGATCAACTTGACACTCTACTAGGTCTCTCTGGTATCACTGGTAGTTCTTGGGCTAAAATCCCAGATATTTTTGATAACCTACATAAAGCTCATCCTCTATCTTGTATAATGAGTATTTGTAGTATTATCTCTTTAATTGTTATGAATGTAAGTAGAAAAGAAAAGAAAAAAAAGAAAAACAATATAATTAATTAATACTTTACATTTTTTAGACTATAAAAAAGAAAATGCCAGAAAAGAGAACAAAGATCATTCATCATATAGTATTTTTTATACCAAGTATATTGGTGGTTGTAGTTGCAGGTATTGCAATTACAAGTGGATTTAAATTATATGACCGAGGATTAAAAGTACTTGGTTATGTTGATACTAGTTTCCCTATTCCACAGCTACCACGGTTGAATCAATGGAGTGTATTTAGTGCACTCATTCAACCGGGGCTATTTATCAGTATTGTCGGGTTTGTAGAGTCGATGGCCGTCTCTAAAAACTTTGCCACCAAACACAACTACCAAGTGTCGACCAACAGAGAGTTGGTGGCGATTGGCGTGAGTAATGTGGTTGGATCGTTTTTCTTGGCCTATCCCATGTTTGCGTCGATGACTCGATCGGCCGTCAACGACAAAGCTGGCGCCAAGACACAGCTGGCCGGCTTTTTCACCTTTATCGTCATCCTCTTGACCTGTCTCTTTTTAATGCCTATCTTCCAGTACCTGCCCAAGGTGATCATGAGCTCGATTGTGTTTGTGGCGGCACTCGGCCTGATTGAAGTACACGACATTTATTTCCTGTGGAAGATTAGGGCATGGACCGACTTGTTTTTGCTCACGTTGACGGCCGTCACAACCTTTGTCTTTAACGTCGAGGTTGGCCTGATTGTCAGTATTGGCGTGTCGTGCTTTATGGTGATCAAGCAATCGAGCGCACCTCATTTCACAGTGCTCGGACGTATCACTGACAATGACACGTTCCAACAACAACACAACAAACTTTCACAGAGTCAACAGACACACCACCAACAACTTGTTGGCAAATACAAAGATATTACTATATTCACAGAGGCCAAACAAATCGATGGCATCATTATCATTCGTGTCGAAGAGAGTCTCTATTTCTCAAATATTGGCCAGGTCAAAGACATCCTCTTTAGAATCGAAAATATGGGTAGTGCATCATCACATCCTTCCGAACTCAAAGAAGAGGATGAACCACTACGAGGCGTCATTTTCGATATGCGTAGCATCCCCGTTGTCGATGCCAGTTCACTACAAACACTTCATGAAATGGTCAGTTCATATCGCAAACGTGGTGTCATTGTATGTTTTATCAAACTGCGCGACTCTCTCAAAGTAACCTTTTTAAGAGCTGGATTCTTTGATCTCATTGGTATCGAATCATTTTTCAATAATATAAACGAGGCTGTTCAACGCATTCAAAATGGATATAGAGTAAAATCTTCTTATTCATCTTATACTCATCAACCAAGTAATAATACTCAACAACAACAGGAACAACAACAACAACAACAACAACAAAATTATAATACTTTTTAAATTCAAATAATAATAATAATATTGATAGTAATAATAATAATATTGATAATAATAATAATAACAATGTATATAATTCCAATTTTTATGATGATCCAAATCCAAAGTCATAATAATAATAATAATAATTTAAATAAAATATATATGTATGAATATATCTCTAATAATAATATTATTAGAAACTAACAAATAAATAACCATTGTGTTATATAATACAAAATGAAAAGTTTGTTCCTGAATGAATTTTATTCTGAATACAGCCAGGTATTTCCATAACTTTCTTTGTTGAAGTGGATTGAAGTATATATGTTAGGAGGATGGGAGGGAAGAGAAGGAAAAGGAGGAGGATGGGGGAAAATGTACAATTGGTTTAATTGATAAGAATGGCACCATGTCCAACAGACTTATCATTGTAATAGGAATTATTATTATTGTCAGATGCTTTGTTTACTTGAATCTCAAGGTCATAGGCATAGATATTCAAAATTAAGGTTGAAAAGCATCCACAATGTTCTCTCTTTGGTTCCAATGAGAATGATATTCCAGCCTTTGCATATCTATCACTTAATCTTAATACTCTTTTATTAAATACTTTATTTATCTAAAAAAAAAGGGAAAAGAAAGGGTTTAATGTCAGTGGAAATAGGATAATCCAAGTTAATCATTTTATATTTACTCTTCGATTAGCAGTGATTAAATAAATAACAAAGAATATAATATTGAGAGATCCTAATGATCCTGTGATCAAAGCTTGCATATGATTGTTTACGACTAAAAAGATGACTAGAGGTATCAATGAGATGATGAATGTAATGAAAAAGTTGATCATTCTAAATCTAAAAAAGGTGATATGACTATTGAATCCGTGTAGGATTAGTTTGTAATCCAACGGATCGATCAATCCCTCAAGAATAGATGGGTATTCTTTTTCAAAACCTCCTAAACTCTTTTCAATCACTGTATGTTTTGCCATTATTTCTTTTGATATCGATATCGATGTAGGTATGTTTATATTATATTGTATTTATATTTGTTTTAGTTGTAGTTGATACATGTAGAGAGATATATTTATAAATAACTTTGCAGGTCGGTCAGATGATGTATAAAATGAATGTATTGTCTCAATGAACAAGGAATATAATTTGATCTAAAACCTCCGAATGTCATTTATTCCCCAAATAAAAGACAAGAAAGGTAGGTTGCATAGGCCATTGGAATGTATCAAATATCAAGTTCCGTCATCCAACATCATTGATGGCGCAATTTTCATCACAATGTCGAAACTGTCACTCACCCTAGATATTTGCGGAACTCGTCTCACTACCTTTTTTTGACACCCAGGCCGTCCCTCAATCGAAATGAAATTGTCCTATGATCTTTCTATTTTTGTTTCTTTGGGATTGACAATCCTCACCATACTACTTTCATTTTCACAATTGTGTGTGTATGTGTACAGTCTAAACTTTTATACTACTCTATGTATGGTAATAATAAGGAGAAAATACAGATAGATACAGATAGATACAGATAATATATATTCTATAATAGTGGTCAGTATTTTTTTTAAACACAATCGTGTGAAAACCGAAAGGTGTACAGAGAAGTGTTTGATATTTGCACAACGATGGCATATGCTTTGAATTTTATCGTTTTCAGAGATGACGTTCTCATTCTATCTATCTACTATGAATTTGTCTAAATTTAGAAAGTTGTCCAGCGATTGGACAAATCACGGTTTATCTCATCTTGGTCGAATCTGTGTGTCATCGTCATCTTTGTTTAGTTGGATCTCTCATTTTTATGTTCTATTTTGAGTTTTTTACGAGGTGCACACCACTTTTCAAGCTTTTTCTTCTACCCACCTTTGTCTCAGAGAACGTAACAGGTTCTGTAAAAAGTGCAACCTTGACTTTTAGTGTCCCACCGCGATAATCGTCAACAGCCCCAACCCCAGCGCCGAAATTAAAATAAAATTAAGAAAGATTTTTGGGGCTTGGCATCTATTGGGGCTCAAAGGTTGAAATCAATCAATCGTTCGTCGAGCACATTTAAATTAATTATATTTTATATTTATATTTATTCTTTCCCTCTTTCGTTGTCGTCGTGTAGATTGGGTACTTGTCTCCTCCTTATGACCTAATTGCTATCTATTTTAGACAAAAGACCTTTTAATTTAAATCACTTCATAAAATCACAACAGTTCACACGCTTGTTCTAAAAAAGCCGAGTCCAACAAAAGGTTCAATTGTTTAATTTAATATCTTTTCAATCACTTCACACGCCACGACAACAGATAAGATAGAGATAGTTCATACCATCAAGTTAGTTTAAACCTTCTTCAGCAGTTAAAAAGAAAAAGACAGGTCAAATATTTATATTCATTTATTTAATATCTACCCTGTCCTATCCTATCCTATCTATCAATCATCACCCCATTTAATGTTTATAGTTTGAAATCAATCATAATCAAACAGTTTATTTATTATTTATTTATTTATTTTATTTATTTTAAAATCTATCCATCAATCCAATAATTAATATCTATCAACCCCATTTTAAAACACGCCCACATCTTCCATCCTTCCTTCACCCACACAACAACAACAACAACATATATATATAAGGACATTTAAAAAAAATATGAGTCAACCGGCAATAGCACGTCAGTCACCAAAGACCCGACTTCGAAGATCATCATCCATTTTAAATGAATTCCCCTCCATGAGTCCGCCATCGCCTCGTGGCAGTCCATTGTTACAAAGAAAGTTGACAATGAGTGGAGGTATTAGGATACCATCACCTTTATCACATTCACAACAAGAAATGATCATGCTCAAAGAGAACAATAGTATTGCCAATGTCAACATTCACAACAACCCTCCACAACAACCAACTAAATGGGTATCGGTCAAACCCAAAGGTTTGGGAATGAAGGGTAATAAACAAATCATTTTTATTCATCATCATCAAAAGATCAAACAACAACAACAACAGATAAATAATAATAATCAACAACATACAATACTACCAATACAACCAGTTTTAGATAATTCATTTGGACCTGCTTCAACTGCACCCGTTCCAATTCATCCATTTTCAGTACAACAACAAAACTCAACAACATCATCCACTTCAACTGCAGACTCTATGGCAATATCTGATGATGACCATCTTCATCTACATCAACATCTACATCAACATCAACATCATAAAGGGTCAGTTGCCATCCCTCTACCAACACATAAAATATTATTCCCCTCTCAAAACTTTTATTCGAATCGACTTCATCATCAAGCAGCAGAGTCTGGTGCAGGAGCATCGAGAAATATGATCAACTATAATAACCAAAACTCACTCGACTCTGCATCCAGTCTTGCAACCATACTCTCTTCCAACAATTCACTAGACAGCGGTGGCCCGTTAAACACTAGTAGTGGATTTTACCCTACCTCCATGTTGAGTATTGGAACGAGTCCAAGTATGCTCAAGACCTCCTCTTCAAACGTCCCTATCACCAGCTCGAATAGTACTAGTAGCGGCTCACTCCCACCTCTCTCGGCCGCCTCGATAGCCTCTCCCAAAGCAACCAACAGCAACAACTGGCGTCCAGACGGTCAAAACACTGCTTTCAAATCTGTCCAACACCAAAACTACCAGTCTGCCTTGTCCCAGTCACTTGCTCAAACTCAGTCTATCCCAAGACCACAACAACAACAACATCAACAACAACATCAACCAATTTCCCAATCATTGTCAAGATCCCAACAACTACTGATGCGTACCAAGTCGGTGACAGGTGGTAACAACGCACTACTTGCCGGATCACTCCGTTCAAAGAGCCCTAAAAACATAGTACTTGAAAAGAGAAATGAAGAGGCATTTGCAGTTGTTTTATACAACTATGAAGCTGATGACAAGGAGGAGTTGGAGCTTACCAAAGATACATTCATCATTGTCACTGACCAATGTACCGACGGATGGTGGAGAGGACGTACACTCGATTCTGCCAAAACCGGTATCTTTCCAAAAAATTATGTAAAGATTCTTCCCAACCCACCAAACCTTGTCACTTCATCTGATGGAGGCACAGCAGACGAGTCAACTCAAAACAGTCTTGCAAAGAGTATTGCTAGATCATTCCCAAACTCTCCCCCACCAGCATGTTTGTCATCTTCGTTGACCTCTTCCTCATCGTCGCCATTCCAAAATGTGTTTATTACAGATGACCCAAATATATTTTTTGCCAAGGATTTCTCAGTCAAAGATTCATCATTCAAGGGTAAGAAATCGAAAAACACATCGATCAAGTCACACAAGAGACATGTCACACTGCTCAAGGTGTTTGTACCGCCATTCAATGAACACACTATCCTTCAATTTGGACCATCTGACACTGTCAGAGAGATATTGGATAAAATAGGTAGAAAGAAAAAGATGATGATCATGGACCTCAAGTGTCAGATCAAACCTTGGAATGCCATCGAGTCGTCTCCCCCTCTCTCCCTCGCCACACCCATTTCCATGCTTGCCGAGCCTGATAAAGGTGTCCGTCTCTTTATCCAAGGTCTCGATTATTACCCAACACCATCGATTCCCAACTCTGCAGGCAACCAAAACAACCTAACCAATCTTTTCAATCAACCAACTCTCCACCTTCAAAATTATTTCACTGTTAGTATTTGTGGAGAGAATCGTCATTGGGTTGTACTTGATAATAATTCAATTCAAATATTTAAATCTTATACTGTAAGTTTGGAAATAGAAAAAAAGAAAAAAGAAAAGAAAAAAATATTAATATTTTTTGTTTGTTTGTTTTTTATTTATTTTTCTTTAGGAATTACAACCAATTAGAATTATAGGATATAAATATTCAACTATAAAATTATTATCAAATTCAAAGAGACCTACTTTTCAATTGAAAACACCATTCCAAACATTTAAATTTGCATCGGATAGTCTGACAATTGTAGGTCAATGGATTCAAGCTATTGAAAGTAGCAAAGACTATAAAGAGAATAATCCATTCTTGAAAAAGAAACAACTTGGCAAATTGACCAAATCAATGTCTGTAGAGGATTATTTGGATTTGGAAGGTGTACCAGTTGACCGTCGTCAACATATACTGCAGTTGAGAAACAGACTAGGAAATAGATATTGTGTAGATTGTAATAGCGAAGACCCTGAATGGGGATCAATTTCACTAGGTTGTTTTCTCTGTGACGATTGTTGCAACATTCATCAAAAGATTGGCTCCAACCAAATGTCTGAGGTATACAGTGTCATCCTTGACACTTGTTGGGAACAATCTCATGTTCAACTTTTTGAATCTATCGGTAATTCAATCTCTAATCAATATTGGGAATCAAGATTAAAAGAAAAAATAATTTATCCAAAAAGTTTATTGTATGTCAAATCAAACTAAAAGAAAACAATACAAAACAAAACCAAACTAAAAAAAAGAAAACAAAGATATTAATATATTTATTTAATTCTATTCTATTTATTTAGACAAGAAAAAGAGGAATATATTATATCAAAATATAAGAGAAGAGAATATATTCCAAATGATGAATCAATCAAACCACCAATCTCAACTATTAGTTTTAAATGTTAAAACACAATTAATTAAATTAATAATTTTTTTTATGTATAGAGAAACAAAAGAAAAAACAAAAACAACAACAACAAAAAACAACAATCAAAAACAAAAAAGAGTCATAACCTAATCATATTTTATAGATTATCAATCACTCATCCCTCACCAAAATGACAATTATGTATATTTCCCTACTTGTCATCAATCATATATATATATACTCCCCCTCCTCCTCCCACATCATAATCATATATATTTATATATTTATTATTTATTTATAGTTTTATTTCCATGTTTCACATCCACGCCATTTTTAAAATAATTATATAATCTACATCGACATCATCAAAGTACCATATAAATCTCTTTGTTGAGTGTTTGATATTATATATATTATTATATATAACCCCCTCCCCACTTCCCCCCACCTAGAAATACCATAACATTCTATAGAAGAAGATCTACATCCTCTGTTGATCAAAATATTTATTATCCAGTATTTATTTCAAGAATAATATTTAATAAAAAAAAAAAGACAGATTGATCTTCACAAACCCAAAATTGACCTTTTTTCTGATGATTCATTCTGAAGTGACTTATTATTATTAAATTTACTCTTGCCAATTCATACATGTATATTATTTAAGAGAGAGAGATGAGTAGCAGTACGACGACTAGTAATAGTAGTAGAGGAAAAGAGAATGATGGTGATGAAGTAGAGATTGAAACATTTGATACATTAACATTCCTCAATGACAATTTAATCAATGAATCATCGTTATCACAATGCAATAAACTAAAACTACAATTATCAAAGGAAAGAGATTCAATTTTAAATATTGTATGTTCAAGAAAGGAGAAGAGGAGAGAAGAATAACATCATACACACATGTTAACATGATTCTTTTGTTTACTTTTTAGTTGAATACATTATCAAATGATGAATCTGTAAATTCATTTAAACAAGAATGTAATGATACACTTGTACAATTGGAATCTATGGAAGCCAAGAGAGAAGATTTATTATTGCAATTAAAGAAACATACAAATACATCATCTAGAATCACAACCTTGTGTAAATTCACTCAATTGATTAATCAAGTAACTCGTCTCAAAAAATATATTCAATTATTACTATTGATTAATATATTCTAGTATGTTACAACAAACAACCTAATCATGTATGTTTGTACTAATTATTGATCTCTTTCTTCTTCTTCTTCTCTTAGTACAAAGATTAAATTATTTATTGAAAAGAATCAATTGAATCGATCACTTTATCCATTTATCAATCTTGTTGAAATACAACATAATTTACATTGTTTGAAATCACCAGATATTAATAGTTCAACTAGTGATAGTGATCATGAACAACCATGTTATCATCTCACAAAATTAATTGATCATATGATTGGTGATCTTTCAACTCTATTGGAAGTTAAAATGAAAGAGTTTGTATCTTTTATTAACAATAATAATAATAATTATTATTATCTACTAATGTACTATATTTTATCTATAGAGAATTAAAGAAATCATTAAAAGATATAAATTGGATATCAATTATGAATTCAAATAATCAAAATCAACCACTTTTAAATGCTCTAAATAATTCATCATCATTATACAATAATGAAGATCAATCAACCATGTCAAATAACAATAATAATAATAATCCATTATCCACATCCTCATCGTCACCAATTAATACATCACAAGGTATCAGTTCACCTGGCAAGGAACAAGATGATAAGATTTTAGCAAACCTTAGACGATTCCAAAACAATTTTGCAAACCTTATCATTTTACAATTAAATGTTCAAAAATATCCATCTACTTTACCAACAACTGCTACCTCTACCACCACCACAACAACAACCAACAAATCAAATAATAATAATAACAACAACAAACAACAATCTACCCCTTCTACATCTTCATCATCATCAACTTTATCACCATGGATATTTCAATTACCATCTAGTTTATGGGCAATTGATATATTATTAGAACCAATTTTAAAAGGATTTAAATATCACTTTCAAAGTAAAAGAGTTACCAATCTTGTTACCAAACCAGAATGGCCTATTCACCATATTAAAAAGGTTCTCAAGGATCATACACCCTTTCTTCATAGTCTACAGACCTATCTAAATCAACAATCAATCACCTATATCGATGTTCAAAGATGGTTTATTGCGTCGTTGGTAGGTCGTCTAAATGAAAAGTTCAAGGGTGATCTTTTAGGTCAGCTCGCCAAACACGATCAAAACTCTAGAAAGACATTCCATCACATCATTGATGAAATATTCTCATTCCAAAAGTATCTCTCAGAGGTCTATCTATATCCATCTCCACCAGGTCTATCTTTGGTTCATTTGGGTGACTCTGATTCAGACTCTGAACAACAACAACAACAAGATGGAGTAGTTGGAAAAAAACAAGACTCTGATGATACCATTGTTCCAGTCGATGTATTGGAAGATCCAAAGATATTTGATGGATGGTTGTCTCTTGAAATATTAATTTGTCGAAATTGTTTCCAAGATTTGGTACGATCACCTGAACGTTGGCATCAATACTACAAGGACGAATTTGCAGACATTGATATTTTGAAACCATCTCAGTCGGCCTACGAGTTGATATCTCTCTTGCGTGCATTGACCGATCGATATGCACGACTCAGCGACCGATCACTTTGCTTTGAATTCTTTGGCAAGATTCAGCTCGACCTCCTCTGCAAATACCGTGACGAGCTTGAAACCATGGTACCTCGTGGCCCAGACATTTACAGCAGTTGGAGATCACTCACTAGCGATGGTATGACTGAATACGATGAAATACAACTCCGAGAGATTTGCTTTGTATTCAACTCTATCAACTATGTCGTTTGCATACTCAGAGAATGGGATGATCAACTATTGTTTATTGAAATCTATCAATACATGCAACGTAAACGTAGATCGACCAACAAAAATCTCTACCTTGGCGCCGATAGCGATGACAGTGATGATGATCCAAGTAAAAACGATCAAACCTATTCCTCCTTTTCAACCATCATCATGACCTACAAAAAACTTTCCAAAAAAATGATTTCAAGAATGGTTGATATTGTATTTATTAATTTCTCTTCAAGAATTTCAAATTATCTTAAAAGATCGTAAGTCTCAAACAACAAATATATATCTCTATCTATCAATTTAAATAGTTGCTAATCTTTTGTTTATTTTTTTTATTAGATCAAACAAATCAAATATATTTTTAAGTAATGCTGCCAAGAATTCTAGCTCCAAACCATCAACTCCAAAAGCAACTTCAACCAATTCTTCTTCCAACAAACCAGGTGGACAAGAAGGTGAACAAAATGAGGAAAACTCTTCGATTACAACGGCATTTGAAAGAAATGTAGAAAAGGAATCATCACATCTTGATATTTCACATGAAATTGTAGATGCCCTTTCAACTCTTCGTTTCCAACTTGGTGTCATTTCTCGTTGTCTTTGTTCAAACAAATTGCCATCACTTTGGAGAAAATTGTCATTGAAAATTGATAATCATATATTTAAATTATTAATTGAAAGTTCCTTTAAGTTTACTTTTAAAGGTACAAAAAAAAAAAACAATATCAATCAATCAAAATTAATTTTAAAAGAGTGGAATTTGAATTATTAATTATTATTTTATTTCTTTATCTAGATGGAATTCAATTTACAAAGGATATGAGTACATTATTTTTAATATTTTCAATGTTTACAAAAGAACCTGAAAATTATTTTAAAAAGTATGGATTTTAAATTATTTAAATATTTGGAGACTAATAATAATTATTTTTGTTTATTATTTATTTTATAGGGTACATGAAAGTTGTATTGTTTTGAAAATGACCAATTCACAATTAAATAGTTTTAGTGAAAAATTAAACAAGAAAATATTGTCTGGCACTGAAGAGGAATTACTAAAAGAAAACAAAATATTCAATATTGAGTCTGGCGATTGTATTAATCTAATAAAATTGCGTCTTCTTTGAATTCTCCATCATAGATAGACAAGACTTGTCACTGATTTGACAAACCATCGCATCATATTTGCATGTATGTATAGAACCCTTGGGAAACGCAAAAAAATAAACCACTCCCCCCCTTTACTTTGGAATCGAGGAACCAGGATTTCGTTCATTTCCTTGTTAAATTTTTATATTGTTGCTACTGTCAGATCTGAAAAAGGGATATTTTTTGTGTTTTTACACATTATTTAATTTAAAATTTCATCCGTTGAGTCAAGCCAAACTAGTTATAGATGATATCTCCCTTGGAATAAATATATATATATATATTAAATTACATAATAGTTTTAAAATTTTATAATTATAAAGATAAGAATAATAATAAGAGTAATAATAATAATTATCCAATCTCACAGCAATAATAACCAACCAACCAACATCTAAAACCCAACCACCACCACTATCCTGCTAGCACTGATACGGAAAGAATAACAACTCAACTGCAGTGGGTGTATGAATAATTGTATTTTAGCACATCGCTCATAAACGAAACACATAAAAAAGAGGGGAAGAGACACATAGTCAAGGTCAGTTGTTGGTGTCTTATTCTCATCACATCTTACTTTCATTACCGACCGTCATATCAAATAATATTGTATGTGTTTAACTGTGGACAAAACAAATAATAATAATTTAACAGTCCTCATACAAGCAGCTGCTTCATACTACTTTGGTTACATTTTTAAGAGAAGAGAAGAAGAGAGAAAGAGAGAGAGAGAGAGAGTCAATGATATAAATATATTATATTTATATTCAAACAAACAAACAAACAACAGATACAGATAAATCACTTTATTTAATTTACAGATACAACACTGTAGTATCTATCTGTGTTGTTTATTTCTCCCCCATCAACCACATAACCAATAAAGAAGAAGCTACTGCACATGTCTATCAACTTTAAATCAACAACAATAGATAGACAGCTAGATAGAGAGATCAACTAAATTAATTAATAAATACATTTCATTAACACCTTTCTTTTTTTTTCCTCCTCCTTTTCTATCTTTGCCTCACCCTCTATGTACATTACCTCTTTCTCCACATCCTTCTCTTTGTCATCCCTTTATTTGACAAACCATCAGCACAAACAACACAACAACTTTGAGAGATAGGGAATTTAAAGTTTTGATACAGAAAATAACTTGGATTTAAATCAATCATCCTTTCTGACTTGTACAATATATCAAATCATTTGTAAATACAATCGTTGTAGTAGAATAGTATTTGACAACAACAACAACATAATTTAATATAATAGACTAATAATAATAATAATAATAAGATGAGGTGGATAGTTACAGAGATTACTTATTATTCGAAATTTAAGGCAATCCATTCATGGTATTCCTTTTTATTAATACTTGCCGTTCAATTGGTATGTTTAAACATTATGATGACAATATCATCTTTCAAAACCAAAAAACAACACTAACTTTTCTCCCCTCTTCTTCTTCTTCTTCCTCCTCCTCCTCCTCCTCCTCCTCCTCCTCCTCCTCCTCCTCCTCCTCCTCCTCCTCCTCCTCCTCCTCCTCCTCCTCCTCCTCTACTATAATATTTATTTAATTAGACTGGATTTGGATTATTGGGGTTTGGATTATTTCAATTCTATCAATACGATGCATCTAAAGATTGGAGTATGCCAATCATTTGGTTTGGTGCATCGTTGGCATCACTTACATGTATATTTTCAGCCTTTTCAAACATTATCAATAGTACATTTCCCATCAAACTTTCGATTGTCTTTGTCAGTGTTGCATTCTTTGTGCTGGATGCAACCATTGGTATCATGATCTACATGAAGAATCAAACTAGTCATCGATTATCATATTGTCAATCATTGTCCTCTATACAAGATTCCACCTGTGTCTCATTGTTTGACCAGAAATTCTGTGGAAAGTTTATAGAGGACGAATGTTCCAGAGCTCAATTTGGATTTTCATATATTATAAGTGGTCAAGTTTTAATGGTATTTTCAACTGTAAGTAGAGGAGAGAAGAGAGAGAGAAAACTAAAACATAAGGACACATGAAAATTGACGTCAAAGTTTACTTATATTTATAACTATTCTTTTTTAGTTGGTTTTTATAATCTTTTCAATTTTTAATCTTATATCGATTGATACTAAAAAACGTTATTCTTTAATTCCCGAAATTAATTAATTAAATCAATTAATTACTTGTTTACAAATATTAATAATAATATAATAACTTTACAATTACAATTCCATCATGCAATAATAATAATAATAAAAACTCCCCAAACAACTTTCGATTTTTTTTTTTTTTTGGTAAATCTGGATAAATATTAATTATTTAATTTAATTGATTAGGGTTATATATATATTATATATTATATTGTTATTAGTATTACTAATTATTTTATTATTGTTTTGAATTGGAAAAAAAAAAATAATTATTATTTGTTTGATTTTTTAGTTTTTGGTTTAAATCTTTTCCAAAGCTTGAGCAATATCAGCAAGTAAATCTTGTTCATCTTCAATACCAACAGACAAACGAATCAAAGCGTCGGTGATACCCAACCTTGGCTCTTTCTTGGGGTGGAACTGAAGCGTGAGTCATGACGGATGGGAGTTCGATCAACGATTCGACACCACCAAGTGACTCGGCCAAAGCAAAGATTTTAATATTTTCCAAAACTTCTTTGATTCTTCAAGACCTCCCTTGACAAAGAAGACGACCATACCACCGAAACCCTTCATTTGACGCTTGCAAATTTCGTGTTGTGGATGAGATGGAAGACCTGGATAGATGACACGGTCGACCTTGGGGTGCGACTCGAGGAACTTGCAGACGGCAAAAGCGTTCTTTTCATGTTCCTTCATACGGATATGGAGGGTCTTGACACCACGGAGTGCAAGGAAACAGTCAAATGGCGATGGGACGGCACCGATACTGTTTTGGAGGAACTTGAGCTTGGTAAAGAGAGCTTCGTCGTTGGTGGCCAAGAAACCCATGACAACGTCAGAGTGACCGTTGATGTATTTGGTGACAGAGTGCATGACAATGTCGGCACCGAGGTCGAGTGGGTTTTGGAAGTATGGTGACATAAAGGTGTTGTCGACGACGAGGAAGGCTCCACGGCTGTGTACATAGTCGGCAACAGCCTTGATGTCGGCTACCTTGAGGAGTGGGTTGGTTGGGGTTTCGAGCCATACCATCTTGGTCTTGTCGGTAAAGGCGGCCTTCAAGTCGTCCAATGTACCCATATCAACAAACGAGAACTTCAAGTTAAAGTTGCTGGCAACACGAGTAAAGTAACGACGTGTGCCACCATAGACGTCATCGACAGAGATGACTTCATCACCGGCTTGCAAACTGTTGGTGATGGTGGTCAAACATGCCAAACCACTAGCAAATGCCAAACCATACTTGCCATTCTCACATGCAGCCAAACACTTTTCAAGTGCGTCTCTAGTTGGATTACCTGATCTTGCGTAATCGTATCCCTAAAAAATAGAAGTAAAGAAAGAAATCAATACAATATTAATATCAAATATGTAATGCATATATAATGTTATCATATGATCTCTCTCTCTTTCTCTCTATTTATACCTTGTGAACACCTGGTGATGATTGGAGGAAAGTAGTTGATAATGAAATTGGGGTGATAACAGCACCAGTAGTTGGTTCTGGTTCTTGACCTGCGTGGATAACCTTTGTTCCGATCTTATATTCTGTCATGATTTAATATATATTTGTTTGTTGATTACAATAGTGACTCTGATGAGAATAATGAAAAGTGATTTTTTGTTGTTTTTAAAGACGATGCGATGTTCTAAAATAATAATATTTTCATTTTTTTTTGGGAATCCCAAAGAAGCTTCTACAGCACTCTTCTCAACGTGTCAATCTCTAATGCTAAAATAATACCTACCTATTTGACAACAAATATATTAATGTTGTGGTAGTGTCATTCCTTCTCTTTTCTCGATTCAAAGATTCATTTTTACATTAAGATATAGATATTTTATTGTAATATAATATTTATAATATTTATAATTATGTGTTTAATTCTTCATTAACACTATAAAACTTAAAATGGCATATCAATATTAACTCGTAGTGTGAGATGCAAAGATGAAAAGGAAGATATCTCTTTGAAAAGAAAGGGTGTGTTTGTTTAAAAAATAAAAATCAGATGCGCCAGGTTGGTGAAAAGACTTTGTTTAAGTTTTGTTTTATTGATGAAATAATGAAATGACAGACAATACAGATAATTCGAGTAGTAATACCACTACAAATGAAAATGAAACTACTACATCCACTTCTACTACCTCAACAACAGAGACAACAACAAATAATAATAATGTAAATAATAACACCAACAACAATGAAAATACTACTACTACAACTACAACTAACAATATACAACAACAACAACAACCACCACAAGTCCAATCTTCATTATTTGTACCAACACCAATACATACAATAGATATTGAAAAAGAGTTATTAAAATCTGTACCTGATCTCACTGAAGGTCTATTATTGATGACTAAAATACCTTTGGATGCAATCACTTTAAAACTTTTAGAATTACAGTATGGATAGGAAAGATGTGATCTTTATTTGGTTGATAAACATACTTATACTTTTTTAATCACAATTTCTATAGAAAAGAACAACAAATATTATTATCATTGGTCGCAAATGAAAATCTAAAGTTACAAAGTGTAAAAGATGTAGATATTATCATTGAAAATGTAGGTATTATTATTATTATTGATAACTTTTGATTGGAATCGGTTCACTACTACTACTATGATACTGATATGATGATGATACTGTAGTTTAAAAAGATTACAGAATATTTGGTAAAGATTCAATCGTTGAAAAAGGATATGAACAACGTTCAAGAAAGAGTGGTCAAGATGAAAAAGAGAGCTGGAGCACTACGAGAAAAGAAACAATTGCATCTGGTATCTTTAAATGAACGTGTTGAAAAGGCACTACAAAGAGAACGTGATATGATGGCTAAACCAACTGCACAACTACTTGTACAACAACAACAACAACAAAATCAAAAAGCTAGACAACCATTAAATACAAATGTTAATTTGTAATTGGACCGATCAAATTACAAATCAAATATATATATATATATATATATATATATATGGTACTACCATATACCTATATAACTTATACATACAGTACTACTGTATTCTATACCTTTTATTCTGTACCTTATATTCTATATACTATAAACATGTTTTCCATTTTTCTTTTATTTTTTATTTATTAATTTAATTTATTTAGCCTTTTTGATTGCTTCAGTTAATGCTGGAACAGCTTTGAATAAATCATCAACTAGACCAATATCAGCAACTTGGAAAATGGGTGCTTCGGCATCCTTGTTGATGGCGACAATAACTTTACTGTCCTTCATACCGGCAAGATGTTGGATGGCGCCAGAGATACCGACGGCAATGTAGAGTTCTGGAGCAACGACCTTGCCGGTTTGACCGACTTGAAGATCGTTGGAAACAAAGCCAGAGTCGACGGCGGCACGAGAAGCACCGACAGCACCTCCCATAGTGTCGGCCAACTCCTCGAGCATCTTGAAATTGTCGCCACTCTTCATACCACGACCGCCAGACACGACGACACGGGCCGATGTCAACTCTGGACGTTCGCTCTTGACAACCTCTTGGCTGACCCATTTGATGCCGGTTTGTTGGACCGATTCATCGACGAGTTTGGCAGCCCAGTCGTCGATAGCGACCTTTTGGGCACTACCACCGTCAGCGGGAGCCTTTTCAAAGGCGGTGGTACGGATGGTACCAACCTTTACCTTTTCGTCACTAGTGACAGTGGCAATTGCGTTGCCGGCGTAGATGGGACGCTTAAAAGTATTGCCATTTTGGATAGAGGTGATCTCGGACAATGCAGAGACATCCAAGTTGGCAGCGACACGTGGGATAAAGTTCTTGCCAAAGTTGGTGGCAGGCGAAAAGATGTGTGTCAATGATTGTTTGTTAGAGAGACCGACGACAACCGGTGTAATCGACTCTGCCAAACCATGTTCCAATTGTGGGTGGTCAATGTGATAGACAGTCGATACACCCTTGATCTTGGATGCGCTGTCCACCACCGACGAGCACTTTGAACCTGCTACCAACACTGAAATGTTGGCTCCATCAATCTTTGATGCAGCAGTCACTGCATTCAATGTACTAGCCATCAAATTCTTATTATCATGTTCTGCAACTACCAAACATTGTGTTGAATAATTTCTAATTATATAATTTAATGTATTCTACAAAATAAATATTATAATAATAATAATATCTATATTAATATCATATCACATCACTTTACTGTATAGTATTGAAGAGGATGATAATAGGATAGGGAAGACAGTCTCCTCTCCTTTCCTTGTGCATATCCCTCTCTTCATTGATTGATTGATTCCTTACAACTTTGTTAATAGATCTGATAAATGTACTACTCAACATGATTGATATATGTATGTATATAATATATATAATATAAATATAGAAAAACGATAAAAGATTTAATATATATGAATGAATGATAACATCAATACAGGTGAAACGATGTTCATGTTCAAAAAAGGGGTGCTGTGAAATCATTTTATTTTTTTGCAAAAGACCACAGAGTCTGTCCCATCAGACCCGAATGAATGAATTATTAATTAGTTTTGAAATATCTGTGCACAGATATTAGATAGAGATACAGATAGAGAGATAGAGATGGCATCATTAGCAAATATACCAATAAAACCAGCTTCAACAGTGATTGTAGCATTGAAATGGGCATTCAATCAACAACAATCATCATTGCCATTTGCCATTGCTGACAAGTTGCATCAACCTTCACCGTATGACTATCGAATTATGATGGTAAAGAGATCACCAAATATTAAATTCTTTCCAAGGTAAAAGAGAATGATTAGAGAAAGAAAGGAAGATAAAGATCTAATACATACTTTTATTTATTGTAGTGCACATGTATTCCCAGGTGGATCAGTTGATAAAGAGGATACAGATCAAGCATGGACAAACTTTTATTATTCTGACAAGAAATCAACAAAAGTAGACAATCATCTATCGTTCAAGATTGCTGCTCTTCGTGAGATCTTTGAAGAGACTAATTTCTTTATTGGTGGAATCAATGAAAAAGTATTCACTACTCAATCTATTGATACTATTCAATCTGTTAGAAATGTATTGTACCACTAAAGTAGTTGATGTATTGGTAATATATTTATTATTAACCTCTTGTATCATTATCTTATTATTATTAAGGATTCAAAATCATTATTATCATTTTTAAAATCATCCAATTGTATACCAAATCTAGAAAATGTAACACAATGGGCTAGATGGGTAACACCAGAGGGAGAAAAGAGAAGATTCGATACATACTTTTATTTGGCACCTCTTACTACCTATCCTGCTTCGGCGGTGGTAGACAACACTGAAAACACACAATTGGATTGGTTCTCACCCATGGAAGCATTGGAGGAACACGACAGTGGAAAGATATTCCTTCCACCTCCCCAATGGCTCACCATGCTACAAATGTCAAAGATTCACAACTTTAGCGATCTATTGAAACATTCACATCAACGCGAGACACAAGATGTAGTCTATTCACCAAAGTTTATAAAGAATAGAGTATCTTCCTCTCAATTGTCAACTGAAGACATTGAAATACCAAAGGGAACCGACCCATTTCTTCACAACAAGACACTAATCAATGCTCTTCCAGGTGATTTACACAACCCAACCGATAAATACACAAAGAATGATGGATATCATCATCGATTCCTTATTAGCAGTCGTATCAATGACCTATCAGATACAACATCTTGGTACTACTCTTATGAAAATACTATCCCTTCTCATCCAGATAAACATCTTGATGGTTCAAAATGTAATGTCATCCTACCACCTGATTCTGGAAATAATATTAAATCAAAATTATAATAAATAATTCCTTGTAATAATAATGTAATAAACAAAAAAAAAAAAAAAAAAGAGTATAAAAAAAATAGATTCGCAGTTTTGTAAACATTTTTCAAACAGATTTATTCTCTCTTTACAGATAATATAATATCTATCTTATCTAAAGTGTGAGGAAGAGAAAAGAATCTTTCTTTAAACATAATCATTTCATCATCTACTATATCTAATTTATATCATAGTTATAATGGGTCGTGTCAGAAAGCGTATTTAAGTTCTCTAATAAGTAATAATAGTTTGTCATAATAATAGTAATAATAATAATAGTATTCATTCAAAAGTATGCATTATATATATATATATACAAATAGCAACAACTATTTGACTAATTAGATGCTATCTGTTTACCTTTGGTGATCATAGTAGTAATAATCAACACTACAATATCTTTTAAAAATGGTTCTATCAAGATTCCCAAAACTCCAAACCAATCTACCTCTGATCAACTTTTTTGTAGCAGGAGCAGCTTTATGCTTTCAAGTGGGTGTTCTCTACCCATGGCACAATGAAATTGATAAGAGTCAACATGATTTGGCTGAAAAGGTAGATAAATTGACTCTAAATTCAATTGGAATGCCAGCAACATCCTCTTCATTGAGGTTATCTGTAACACCACCATCTCAAAGTGGAATAATCTCAGAAGGAGGTGGAGGAGGAGGAGGAGCTACAATCCAGCCAGCTGTTCGAGTTGGACAAGGATCTCCAGTACTATTGGATTCCCAATTAAAAAGACCACCAACCAATATTTAAATCAATTGGAAAATTCCAACATCCCAATTTCCTCTAATCATCATACATACATATTCAGAAAGAATACAAAAATGGAAACAAAACAAGAAAACAAAATAATAATAATAATCAAAAACAATCAACTACTACTATCTATTTATCCGTCTATTACAAATTATTTAATTAAAAAGAGGAAATTAATTAATTCATAAAAAAGAAAATAATCATCTAACCATGTTAATAATTTTAACTTATTATTAGTAGGGATAATCTTAATATATTAATTGTACAATGAACTCATGGGAAATCAACCACAAATATTATATGGTAAATTTATATCACGACCACACATGTGAAATTAATTATTTTGTTTCCGTTTTGGAATGAAGTGAAAATTATATTTATACTAAAAGATATATTAATGTTAGTATTAATATTAATATTGAGATGGATTACTTTAAAATACACATATCCTCAACCTGTATGACGTGAACCTTACACCAACAATGAAAAGATTTAAAAACTATATAAATAGTTATCAACATTTACTTTTTAAATTATTTTAGATATATATTTATTTACTTATACTACTAATGTTGGTATAAACTATTCTCCTCAAAAAAAAAAAAAAAAAATGAATAGGACAATATTATTATTATTATTATTTTTATGCATATTTTCAAATATCAATAGTGCACATGGAAGAAGAAGTGCATCGTTCAGACCACACAGAGATCTAAGTATTTATCACCAATTGAGTGATGAAAAACTTTTACCATCCTCTGATCAAGAATTAATTTCAAAAATAGATTATGAATGGTTCACTCAAGTATGTAATAAATAAATAGTAGAAGATAGATAATAAAATAAATAAATATTAATAAATTTTATTTTATAAATAGTCAGTTGACCATTTTGATAGTGCTAATCAAAAGAAATTCCAACAAAGATATCTTGTGAATGATCATTTTTGGGATGGAAAAGGACCAGTATTTATGATGATCAATGGAGAGGGACCAATGTCATTGGGAGCAGTCACTGGATTACAATATGTGGTTTGGGCAAAAGAGGTTCATGCTTTGATTGTTTCTCTAGAACATAGATACTATGGTGCAAGTTTTGTTACTGACAATTTGGCAACAGAGAATCTCATCTACCTCACTCCACAACAAGCATTAGCCGACAATGCAGTTTTTCGTGACTTTATTGCCAACACTTATAGTGTCCCTCAGACCTCTAAATGGGTTAGTTTTGGTGGATCCTATTCTGGATGTCTATCATCTTGGTTTAGAATTAAATATCCAAACTTGGTTGATTATGCAATTGCATCATCTGCTCCTGTCAACCCAGTTATCGACTTTTACCAATATTTAGAAGTTGTTCAAAATGCTTTATGTATGTTAAATTAAATTGTTGTCAAAAATAATACAAAATCAAAACTAATCAACCTTTTTATTAATTTATCCATATATATATATAAATAGTGACAACATCAAATGGACAACAATGTGTTGATAGAATTAAACAATCAACTCAAAAGATTCAAGATTTATTAAAGCAACCAAATGGTTTAAAAACTGTTTCTGAACTGTTTAGTCTTGATCCAGTGTTGAAAACAGATGACGATATTTCAAACTTTATGCAATCTCTTGCTGGTACTTTTATGGGAGATACTCAATATAATCTTATTGAAGGTCCTTTTAAAAGTGTTGAAGCTGTAAGATTAAATATATATAAAAAAAGACCTTTGATTATTTATCAATTATAATTATTATTTTTTTTTATAGTTATGTTTAATAATGAATAACTATTCAAATGATTCTCTTACAAATTATATTCAAATATGGAATAATGCACAAAAAGGAGAGTTGGTAGATGTCAGTTATCAATCAATGATTCAAGAATACGCAAATATTACCAATGATGATACAAATGTTGGAGGTCGTCAATGGTTCTTCCAAACATGTACTCAATTTGGATACTATCAATCATCCACTTCAAACAATCATCCATTTGGACATTTATTCGAAATTGATTTCCAAATAAAACAGTGTACCGACATATTTGGTTTTGCCTTCCTTCCCAATGTGAATTGGACCATTTTAGAATATGGAGGATTAGATCCATCAGCATCCAATATAATGTATATCAATGGTGACATTGATCCATGGCATGCACTGGGTATTTTGGATCCAAAACCAGCTTCATCATCAATCCAAACTCTATTAATTCATGGAGCTGCCCATACCGCCGATATGTACATTCCCCGTCTTTTTACACCTTCAACTATTGCACCAGCTCAAAAAATTATATTTAAATATTTATCTGATTTCCTTAACAATGTAAACCAATAAATTAATAAATAAATAAACATACTACCCATTTGTATTTTAGATAGAATAGTATAATTATTTTTTTAATTTATTTAATTAATATTAATATATTTTTTTTTTGACATTTGTCATCAACATGATTTTAAAAAGATCATTTTGTTAATCGATCAAACATGTTTAGATTATTAATTAAACATACAACCAATAATGTTTCATTATTGAAGACTCAACATTTGGTTACTTTGGCAACATCAAGATTTACAATCAATCGATATTCAACCACTTCTTCAAATCAACCTGAACAAGAAGAAGAAGTAGAAGAAGATAATGGAGATTGGATGAACAAGATTACATTGGAAAAGAAAGTATCATCTGTCAATGATATATTAAACAAGAACAAGACAAATATTAAACAAATTCAAAGAGAAACGATCGTTGAACACTCAACAAATGAATCTAATCAAGATGAAGGATTATTACAAGAGATTGAAAAAGCAAGAGTAGAGATTGACAATGATGTACCTATCGATAGAAGTAATCTTACTATTGCTACTCTGGTAAGAGTATGTGGTCGATTAAAGAATGATAGAGATATTGTCAACCATCTCATTCGAAGATTACTACAATTCAAACAAACCATTCAATTGGATCACTTTCACCAACTCATGGTAGAGTATACTCAAAAAGGATCACAAGAATTGATCATTGACAATCTCTACAAGATGCTCAACAACAGAGACATTGTCGAAAAGATCAACAACAAACAACATAGTCATCCCCAACAACAAAACACCACAATACAACCAACAGTAGAAACATTCAACTTGATGCTAAAATGTTATGCTTCAAATGGTTCAATCGATCGTTGCATATCATTGATTGAAAAGGATATGATGAAAGAAAAATTGGTGCAACCCAATCAAGAATCATACGCACTTGTTGTACAAGGTCTAGCAGATGCAAATAGACCAGATCAAGCATACTCTTTTCTTTTAAAATACATTGCTTCACATCAAATCAATGGTATCGATCAGATGACTGATTGTTTCAACTCGATTATTGCATGTCACTCGAGAATGGGACAATCAGACAAGATTGAAACACTCGTCAAAGCAATGAAGCAGAATCAATGTCAGTTAAATTGTTTGACAAGACAATACCAAATAGAATCACTATTAAAACAGTATAACAACAAGGAAGCAGTTGATCAAGCACTAAAGATCATCAAAGAAATGGATGCTGACAATACACCTACAACAACATTGACGTTTTACAAAATGTACGAATCACTAGCACGACTCTCTCGATCCGACGAATTGATGCAATTGTTTGGTATGATGACAAGAAACCAAAAGCCAATCGTTGAATCATTACCATCGATCGAGGACGACTTTTACAATGAAAATGTGTCATTGGAGGCATCGACCTCTTGGAAACCAAACATTCACACATTCAACTCGATCATTGAATCTCTGTGTCGTTGTGGACAATTGGATCAAGCGTTTGGTATTCTCGACCAAATGACTCAACACAATGTTCAACCAACCGGTGAAACATTTAGTAGTCTAGAAGCCCTTTCATTTAAATTAAACCAAATGGATAAATATAATAGATATTGTAATATGGAATTTCATATTATTAAAAAGAATTAAAATAATCGACTATTATTTTAATTGAATATAATAAATGGTTGACGTTTTTACCGCGCAATATCTAGATGAATAGATTGCTTCTTCTTCTTTTATTTCTTTTCTTCTTCAGCTGTCTTTGTTGTTGTTGTTGTTTCTTTTCCATTTTGTTCCTTTAAATAGTCGATTCTTTTCTTGATATTCTTTTCAAATTGTTCAACCTCTTCTGGTTTCTTTAAGTTGGCCAAAAAGGTTGTAAACTTGTTATCTTCAAATGCTGTAAATCTTAGTGATTTTTCAGTTGGCGTTTCGATTGTCATCTTTACAAAAATAGATACATTCAAACCACTTCTCTTACTTCCATCAATAATAAATACTAAATAAAAAAACAATTAGTAAAAAGAAAAAGATTAATATTTTCAATGTACATACTCAATCTTGAATTTCCTTGTGAATCCTTATTTAATTTTAATGTGCCAACACCTCTTTCTTTATAAGTGTCTTCCATAACGTATAATTTAGCCTTGGCAGAGTATATAGTAGTTTCTCCTTCTTCTCCAGTTTTGGTTTCTACCTGCTGAAGGTTTTCTTTTTTTTGAAAATAATTAATTAATATCACATCATATGATTGGATGGTTGGTTAGTTTGATATGAAATTCATTACATACGAAGAATTGGAACATAGGTAGATGAAGTCCAGAAATCGCCAGTTGCTCCTTCCTCGCCTCCTGCTGATCCTGTAGTATTTTCGGCAGAGGTATTTTCGCTCTTGTTTTCACTATTGCTTTCTCCATTGGATGGTTTTAAAAATGATGATGTATTTGATAGATTAAATGAATATGTTGATGTTGTAGCAAATGATCCAAATGTGCTCTAATAATTGATCAAATAAATGTTAGTCACAAAATCAAAGAGTTTATATATATATCTCTTTCTATATAATAAGAATAATTACAGAGAATGGTTTGGTGGATCCATCAGTTGTAGAGGTTGATGCAAATGAAGAGAAACTCCATGGATTGGATGTATTACTGAAAATCGATAGTTTTGGAGCTTCATCTGCTTTCTTTTCTTCATCTCCTTTCTTTTCATCACCATCTACCTTCTTTTCTACATCATCAACCTTCTTTTCTTCCTTTGGCTCTTCAGCTTTCTTTTCTTCTTTTGGTTCTTCTTCTTCTTCTACCTTTTTCTTCCTAAATTATATATAAAGGTATGAGTAATCGGGGTTATATTGATCTTTGTAATTCGATCGATTGATGAATGGATGATAATTACTTGATTTGTTTTTCTTCTTTTTCCTCTTGTTGTTCCTTTTCTGGTTGTTCTACTGTTTCTGCAGTAACAGTCTCGGTAGAAGTTTCCTCCTCTTCGTCGTGTTGTCTCTTCTTTCCGACCAATGCTTCAGTTGTTTCTACATATATATAAATGAAATTCAATGATAAGATTCAAAGTTGTTGTCTATACCAACGATAACAATAATGAATGTTGTTTACAACTTACCTGCCATTATAATACTACTAATGCTCTTACTATTGCTCAAATCAGTTGAAAAAGAAACAAATCATAAACAATGAAAGCACAATCAGAGATGATATGATCATCACCTATGGCAAAAAAAACTAATTTATTAATAAAAAAAACGAGGGAAGGTTATCGATTTATAGTTTCATTGTCAGCTCAAAGATCTATCAACATAGAGAATAATAATAAGAAGAAGAAGAAGAAAGAAAGAAATGAACAAGACATCATTTAAACCAGAATATATCTATTTCTTGATACAAATGTAAAATATATATTATTCTGTTAACATCAATATTAAAAACCTAACCCTTTATTTTAAAAGAAAAAAAGAAAATAGAGTAAAGAATAAACAAGAATGTCAAAGTATGATTAATCATTCATTGGTTCAAGGATTTGGATCAGCTGGAGGATTGGTATTAAGTTCAGATGTCATTCTATTCAATGAAAGCGATCAAACTGCAATTGTTAAATGTATCAAAGAGTATGTTGATAATAATACAATGTATTCTATATAGATAGATAGATAGATTCTAACAACAGTCGTTCCTTTTATAGACATCACCAATCTGTTTGGTTATCATTTACAATGGCAAATCAGAACGAACAAAACCAACTCATTTCTATCAGGGTTTTAAAGGTGTCTGCATTCCTAACATCTTTGGCAAATCAAAATAGATTTACCATTTCCTCTCCTATTTTATCTAATTGATAGAATGATAGATCCATCAATAATACTTACCATAACTAACAAACAACAAACAATAATAATATGCCTCCACAAAGAATAATTACAACCAAATAATAATAATAATAATAATAGCTCTTTTTACGTGTGTAATATGTTCAATCAATAACAAACACCATGTTGTTAAATAGATATCAATCAGCTGCTAGCATGACCAATGGAACGTCAGGTTGAGTGGAATTGGGAAAAAAAAGAAAGAGGGTGTTGAGGGTTGTGACAATATTGAAATATCTGTTGTACCAACCCCCACGCATACGAACGATTATTCGATTGACAACGACCCCATATGAATATGGATGGACCGTATCGTTATTAGTTGGCAATCACAAAAGATAAACATTATCCAAAAAAGGTGACTGTTTTACCATCCCCCACCTCCCCCCCTGTCCTATATACACCCACCACCAACAAACCATACAAACTTTAAAACAACTGCTGTATCGCTACTCATCATCCTCTAAAAAAAAAACAATTATAATATTAATATTAATTAACAGTCTGAAATAAAGATCAAATCTAAACAGACAACAACAACAAAAAATATTACTACAATCCTCCCCTCCTTTACTCCTCCTCTACAAGTACACATACACATATATGTATACCATGCTTGAATATATTTGATAAAGAGATCTCTCTAACCAAATGGAACGTTAAAAGAAACAATACGCGCGTTTTATCCATTAAACGATCATTTCTCCTTTTTAATTCATCATCACCATCATTTGGTTAAAACAAAATATTGTCTATCAATAGTAATTATAACCAACTAAATTAAAAACAAATTTCCAAGTGTCATTCAAATACAATGATGTAGGTAGATTGAAAGATGGCTAGAGATCGCCAAGTTGATAATGATGATAATGATAATGTCCAACTCACGTATTGAAAATCTGTTATTAATTTTTCTTATTTCCTCTTTAACCTTTGTTCAGAAATTATAAATAGTTGCTCATTTTTACCATCAACAATAACAACAACAACAAACAACAAACAATTATTTATTTATTTAAATTTAATAATTAAAAGAAAATTAAAATAATGATGAAGATTAAAATCTTACTTTTAATCTTTGCACTCTTTGCAATTGCAATTAATGGTAAGTTTTTGGAACAATAATACCCTACCCATCATTGGATATTAATTAATTAATCAATTATTTTTTTCCAAACTAATTTTTAGCCACAAATGAACCAAATTGTGATGATGGAAATCTTTGTACTACCGATCGATATGTATGTAGATCAAATTTAATTTAATGATCGATGGTTTCAATATATATTAATATTAATATCTATTTTCTTTTTTTTTGTTTTTTTTAGGATTGTGTAAATAAGATTTGTGTCCATGAAAAGGTATCATGTGATGATAATAATCCATGCACTGATAATATTTGTGATGCCAAAATCGGATGTTATTTCCGTTCTCGTATCTGTACCGATAATAACCCATGTACCGTAGACTCATGTTGCAACTCTACTGGCAAATGTTTGTTCACTCCAATCTGTTGTGATGACCACAATTCATGCACTATTGATTATTGTGACACACAATCTGGATGTCTCCACAAGGCCATGGATTGTATGTATTGATCAATAGAATATAAATATTTAATCCTTTGTCTTGTTTATTTATTCACCTCTCTCATATCATATAGGCAATGATAACAACCAATGCACTCTTGACTTTTGTGACAAGGAAAAGGGATGTCAACATGTTCCAAGATCATGTGATGATAATAATCCATGTACCTTTGATACTTGTTCCAACTCTACTGGATGTTGCAACACTCCAATAGCCCATTGTTGTTCATGCAACGGAGACTGCAAAACCAACAACCCATGTGAGATTGCCACCTGCAACAATGGAAAGTGTATGATTACTCATAACCCATCATGTTGCCAATGTGATGGAGACTGCAAAACCAACAACCCATGTGAGATTGCCACATGTAAGAATGGAAAGTGTATGATTACTCGTAACCCCTCATGTTGCCAATGTGATGGAGACTGCAATGATGGTAACAAGTGTACCATCAACTCTTGTCAAAATGGAAAGTGTGTAAAGACACCAAAGAATTGTGATGACAGAAACCCATGTACCTTTGATACTTGTTCCAACTCTACTGGATGTTGCAACACTCCAATAGCCCATTGTTGTTCATGCAACGGAGACTGCAAAACCAGCAACCCATGTGAAATTGCCACTTGTAACAATGGAAAGTGTATGATCACTCGTAACCCCTCATGTTGCCAATGTGATGGAGATTGCAAAACCAACAATCCATGTGAAATTGCCACCTGCAATAATGGAAAGTGTATGATTACTCGTAACCCATCATGTTGTACTTGCAACGGAGATTGCAAAACCAGCAACCCATGTGAAATTGCTACCTGCAATAATGGAAAGTGTATGATTACTCGTAACCCCTCATGTTGCCAATGTGATGGAGACTGCGATGATGGAAACAAGTGTACCATCAACTCTTGTCAAAATGGAAAGTGTGTCAAGGCACCAAAGAACTGTGACGACAAGAATCCATGTACCTTTGATACCTGTTCCAACTCTACTGGATGTTGCAACACTCCAATAGCCCATTGTTGTTCATGCAACGGAGATTGCAAAACCAACAACCCATGTGAGATTGCCACCTGTAACAATGGAAAGTGTATGATCACTCGTAACCCCTCATGTTGCCAATGTGATGGAGATTGCAAAACCAACAATCCATGTGAAATTGCCACCTGCAATAATGGAAAGTGTATGATTACTCGTAACCCATCATGTTGTACTTGCAATGGAGATTGCCCTCAAGACCCTAAGCAACCATGTGCCACCAACACTTGTCGCAATGGAAAGTGCCATGTTGATCACTCCTCATGTTGCACCTGTGATGATATGTAAGCATTATAATATTAAACATTGTCTTGTTAGAAACCTGCCTATTAACCTATTTATTCATTTAATTTAGGTGTCCAAAGAGCCACAACAAATGCCAAGTAGCTGTTTGTGATGTCAGAAAGGGATGTGGATTTAGAAACGTCGTTTGTGACCATGGAAAACAATGTATGTGATTTAAAGAAAGCATTAGGTCATTATTAATTATTAATTTATATCTTTTTCCTTTTACAAATAGGTGATCCAATCAAGGGTTGTGATTGTTAAAAAAAACCAAATCTAATGGATTAAAAAAAAAGAAAAACTAAACAAATAATACCACAAATCAAATTTCACTTATTTAAATTAAAAAAAAAAATCAATAGTTCCTATCATTACTTTACCAAAAATAAATAAAAAAAAAATAATAATTTTATATTACAATGAAATAGGATAACATCAATATATTATAACTTTTTTTTATTTTGGTTTTGATTTATTTTACACCCAAAAATAAAAATCCCTCCTTTGAACCTGATAATGATAAAACATATTCAGATTCCTTTCCTGCAACACCTCTAAATCGATTAATGTCATTGTATGGACCAGGTCCACAAGCCAAAATCATCATTGAATTTGGTGTCATATTATCCCAAATCTTTTTGATCTTTTCGTTTACTGAATCCAATAAATCATACAATTTCTGATCGACTGGCATTCCACCCCATGAATCCAACTCTTTGACTATACTTTCATCGACTACTATTGGAGTAATATTTTTAATTGGTTGTTGTTGTGTTTCATCTGCACCATTTTGTTCTTGTGGACTATCATCAGATGATACTGATAATGTTGTTGAAGTGGTAGTAGTAGTGGTAGAAGTTAAAGTTTCTTTTTCTTTTTCTTCCTCTTCCTCTTCTTTTTCTTCTTTTGTGGTATGATTTTTGTTGTTTGTGGTTGGTTTATGTTGATCGATTGATTTATAATAATGAGAAAGTTGATAGATTCTAGAGCAAATAAAATCACTTGGACCTTTGACCTGCTTGATCATTCTTTCGACCATTTCCTCGTCATTGGCACACTTGAATGCAGAAACTGATGGAGTTGCGTGGGCGGCTATTTCATCCATCGTGTCGACCAATGTAGCCTTTTTCTTGTATTGCACCAACTTGTCAAAGAGGTTTTCAAATTTTTCAGCCTTTGTACCAAAAGACTTGCCTCTTGCCACCTTGAGCTTGACCAAATCCATCACTGCAATGGCATCTTCGGTCGAGTTGTGTCCGCCTCCTCCATTGTTTTGGATGACTCGGTTCAAGTATTTTTTGGTGAGATAACGGAGTGGGAATTTGTTGGTTGACCCGGTTGGGTAGAGCACGGCAGTGTCAATAACACGACCATGTGCAAATCGCAATGCTTTAAAGTCATTCTCGAGCGAGTGGCCCATAAGAATGGTGGACTTGCTTACAAGTGCCAACATCTTGGTTTGAATATCTGCCAATTTCGTTTTGACATTTTTTAAAGTCTCGCTTGTAATGCCACTGTATACAGTCAAATAATCGATAATTTCATTATCTGGTTTTACATATTCATCCATTAAAACTGTTTTACTTTCATTTACAATACTAATTCTTGCCAATTCTAATCCTTCATTTGTTCTACACATTTCACAATCTATTGATAATAATTCATGTCCACTTCCATCTCTATTTGGTGTTGACCATCCTCTAAAAACAAATTAGAAAAAAAAAAAAAGTATAAGTAAGTATTTTGAAAATCTATCTATCTTTAATATCTTCTATTATATATTTACTCTTTGTCAAAATAAAGATTTGGCATTGGATAACCATTTTCTATTAATTCTTCGTCGGTTAGTACATAGGCAGAAACATGTACGATGGGACCTTTTTGAGCAGCGTTTTTGTGATTTGATTTAGTGGTTGATTTGATTTGAAGTAGATTCGCGTAAATGGAAGATCCAGGAGGCGTCATGATAGAGTTTGAAGGAACATTGAATAACATGCGTTGTGTAAGGAATGACTGGAACCATGGTTTTCCAGTGAGTAAAGTTGCCTTTTCAAACATCATATAATTGAGACCTGGCAATGTAATGAGAACCACCTTTTGTAAGAGTGGTTTATTCTTTGTAAATACCCATGCAGGTAATGGTAATTGGAAATCTGATAACAACCAAAGCAAGTAATGTTGTAAATCTCTAACTGAACATCCACTATTTCTTTTTTGTTTTAATAATTCAATTTCAACCTTTGCCTAAAATTAATATATAGTCGTTAATAAATAAATAGTCACATGCAATCTGATTCAATCACTCTCTCTATATATATTCTTCTTACATGTTTACCATAGATCTCTTCAAATACATCATTACTATTATTATTTACTAGATTCAATATTTGTGATTGGCTAACTGAACCACTTGAATTTGATGTCGTTGCTGTTGTAGTTGTTGTTGTTGTTGTAGTTGTACCTTTTCTTTTCTTTTTCTTCTTTAATTTATCTTTTGATGTTTAAACAAATGTTAGATATATATATAAATAATATAATAGATCAACCGATCATTCAATATCTCCGATGATCGATGATCACCTGACATTCATCAGTTATCAAACTATTATTAACTATTATTTAACTATTGATCACAACATACCACTTAAAGTCATTTCATCATCGATTAAATCGTCATCATCTAGTGATCCAAATCTATTATTCATATGACCACCACTACTACTATGATTATTTATACTTGTAGGTTTAATTGTTGCTGTACTTTGTTGCTGAACTTTTTTTCTTTTCTTTTTTTTATTGTGGTTTGGCGTAGTACTCGATTGATTTTCTTCCATATTGCTGCTATTGTCGCTTTGTTGTTGTTGTGTGTCGTCAGCAGCATCTTCTTGATCTTTTCCCTTATTGTTTTCTTTTACAACATTGGTCAACTCATCTTGTTTTATTTGTTGTTCTCCATTGTTATCAATCTCTATCATGTTATAACTAGTTATCTATTATCGACTTGAATGAATGAACAGAAATGGACGAAAGTTCATAGAACACTCATTCGTTTTTTTACACAATTACACATAGTTTTATTTTTTGTTGAAAACCTCAACTTTTTTGTCAAACGGACGTTATTATTATTTTTAGCTAGTTTTGAGAAAAAGATTTCAATAGTTCCTTTGATCTGATTTTCAAATCTTCATTTGATCCTTCAACCATCATGTTTACAATATCAATACATCCATTATCTCTAATCTTTTTAATTCTTTGTTCCTTTGTTATATCTTCAAATTTAACTAAATTGGTTAAACACCATATAGATGTAATTTTAATTTCATGATTGTTTGAATTTTCCTAAATAAAAACAAAATCAAAAATAATTAGTTAATCTATTCTATCTCTATCTATCTCTCTCTATTTCTATTATTTTTATACACTTACAAGATAATAAATAATTTTTTGGAAAATAGGAGAAGTTATAATTTGATTTCTATGAATTTCCTTGTTTGAAGCTAAATTACAAACAACAAATAGTGCCTGTTTAATGACAGCATCATTTGTGCTATAGGTTGGATTATTGATGAGTTGTTCGACGAGTCGGATGAGTAAGAGTCCATGTTCGTCTGTGATAATGTTGGTAGAGTCTTTGTAGAGGAGATTACGGAATAAAGAGAGAATCTGCTCTGAAATGGCAGGGTTTGTCTCTCGTGTGAGTGTTGCTAGGTTGTCGAGTGATATTTCTTTGAGCAATGCCTCCTTGATGGGGACATCGGCCATAAACAACATGTTTTTGAGTGCCCATGCACTGTTTAGTCGGACTTGATGCTCGCATTGGCCGTCCAACAGGTACTCTACCAACTTTTTCATGACACCACTATCGATCATCTCTTGTTTCATGGGGCTGAAATCAATGACCAGATTACAAATCGATGCCAATGCATTGACACGTACCTCTAGCGATGGGTCAACAATGAGTTTGGGGAAGGGTTGCCCGACGGCAGAGTCATAGAGGAATGTTCGGAGTTGTTTGATACTGCGACTGAGGCTTTTAATGCATCGACATGCAGCTGCTTTGATACTGGGTTGTGAAGAATCGAGCAGTTGTACAATGATGGGGATAGCCTTTGACTCGGCCACTTGACGACGACTGTCTTCACGTGTACTACATAGTACTGCGATGGCTGTCAATGCATTTTCGAGTAGTTTGTTGGAACTCTTTCGGTCGCGGATGTATCCAACCAACTTGATCAAACTTTCACACTCTGCAGCCACTCTCTGCAACTCTTCACTTTCAGATACTACACGTGCCAAGAATGCTGGTATATCCTCACGTATAGATTGTTCTTCTTCTATATTACCTAAATGAGCATTGTTGTTGGAAGTACCACCACTACCACCTGCAGGAATTGTATCGCTACCATTCATCATCATTGATGATCCAGATTCATGACCTGTTCCAGTTGGCGACGCACAAGTTTGAGGAGACATGAGTCTAACAATCATTGGCAGTAATTTAGTCATGACGGGTGAGAATGGTGGAGGCAGACATTTAGTTTGGTCAATGTTACATATAATGGTTGCAGCCAATAGTTTGGTGCGAGGGGACTGACTCTTTGCCAAATGCACAATCAAACGCAACTCTACATAATCGGGTGACCGATTGACAAGGTGTTGGCAGACGGTCGCGTTGTCTCTAGTCAACAACTCGACCGCTACAAGACACTGCTCTTGTAACTTTGATTTGGATGGTGCCAAAAACGAGAATATGCTGTCAAAAGCACCACTCTTTAGCAATTGTGTTTGGTAGGTGTTTAGTTCCTCTCTACGATTGTTGATCAATGGTTCGCATCCTTGTCCAATGATAATAATGGCAGTCTCTTGAATCGACTCGTTGTGCTTGAGCAACGATGTCAACAATCGTATACCCTCTGCGCCATAGATAAATGAATTGATGTGATTGAATGCATGGTGATTGCTGTTTTGTGGTTTCGAACCTAGTATAAACTTGATGGTTCGTGCACTAGACTCTACCATCTTTTGGTTGTCGTGTGACAGCAGTGAAATCAACCTATCCAATGCATTGGGTGTCTTGCATATATCCAATGCTCCTCTCTCCAACTTGCACGAAAAACTACCCAATACACATGTAACTTGTATCAATATATCTTGATTCTTTTCATTCAACAGTAAATTTATAAACCTAACAAAATTAAAGAAGAAAATTAAATCTTGGTCTTTCTTTTCTTTTCTTTTCTTGTCTATTCCTATTCTAATTCTCTACTTGTTCTTCCTCTTAACAACACATACAATGCAATAGCACCATTATCTATAAACTCTAATTTCTTCTTTGTATTACCAATGATTGTATTCTTTATATACTTTATTGCTTGTAAGAGTCTGCTGCTGTCGTCTTGGTATTTATCTCTGTTGTTGATAATCTCTAATGCTTCTATTGACCTATTCTCCATTTTGTATGTATGTATAATCAATCTTTTAAAAAAAAAGAAGATATAAATTAATAAACAGATTTTTGAACAAAATACTTGAAAAAGAGAAAACTCAAGAAAAATTAATAAATTAATAAACCCATAAAAAAATATATTTATATATATTTTTGTGTGTTTCCAACTTTCAACTGTATTACTAAGTATATTGTATCATTCTTGAATTATTTAATTAATAAATAATTATTTATTTTAATCTAAAAAAAAAAAGGTTTGTTTGGAATCCAAACAAAAAAAAATATTTTATCTTTCTGATTTCTTTCTTTTTTTTTTTTTTTACTTTATGTACTTTTAGTAAAAGGTTAGACTGTCTGACAAAGTATACTTTGATAAACAAGAATGAGTAATATGAGCAAGCAATGAAATATTGAGTTTCCACACCGTCATCACATCAATTTGTGGCTTGTTTAATGAAGTTCAACACACACACGCTCGCATCAATCACCCACCCCTGTTCCAAAATTGCTTCGGGGATCTGAGAGATAGTTGTTACCAAATGATTCAGATATTGGGGTTGTTCCTCGAAAATTCGATTTTAACAGGCGGCAACTCAGCGTAAAACACATTTTTGGGCAGCAACATATTTTTTAACAATTCTCAAAATTTACTCAAGCGAGACAGAGAGTAACAAAAAAAATTTTTTTACCAACCATTCTCTTTAAATAAAGAAATTTCAAAAGGTAAATATATATAATAGTCTATAATAATAATACCCATATAAATAATCACATATATAAAAGAAGATTTAATAATGATATTATAAATTAATCCACCAATCAAACAAACAACAACGTAGGATCAAAGTCAATCATTTGATAGTAATAGTAACTTGTCCAATAATAATAATAATAACTAAGACCAAAAAATGATGTTATAATTAAAATTTTAAATTAATCTCTAACATGTCCATTTATTTGTTTTAGTTATTATTTACAACAAACCAATCAATTAAAAGCAAATCCCTTCCTCTCGCAACAACAAGCAACTCAATCTAAAGTCTAGCCAACTCTAATTCCCAAATTTAAATTAATCCAACAATGCAATTCAACAACAACAACTCAACCCAAACAACCACAACAACTCAACACTCTGTAACTGTTTTTGTCCCAATTGAAATCCCATTGACAGTTGCCAACAAACTCCAAGTTGATCACACTTCAACCATTTTCCCAATCGTCCAAACCAACACCATGTCTCAGTCTGACTTGACCGCACTCGTCCAAAAGTACTTTGTTAGTAGCTCGGTTTCCAGTCATTCAGTTTCACCAGCCTCAACATCTCTTTCGTCAACCAGTAGTACTTCCTCCTCTTCCTCCGAGACTACCACTTCCTTTGAAACCAGTGCCATGCACTCTTTTGAATCGCACACAAGCTCGAGTAGTAGTTTGTCGGAAACAACCACCGACAATAATAGCTTTGTATCGTCGTCTACAACTGAACCTGTGGTGGAAACAGAAACAACAGAAACAAAAGAAACAACAGAAACAACAACAACGACTATGGAAATGCAAGACAGTCATCATCAAACTAAAACATTTAAGAATAGTGTTTTTGGCACTCAAGCTTCAATCTCATCTAAGGGTCTTTGCCATCTTCTTGGCCAAGGCAGAGGCAAGAATAGCGAAAAGAGTGGCTTTGTTCCACAACTCAACAACAATCTCTTGGTTTTGCAAAGCTTGGTCCAAGTTCCTCGTGTCTTGCCAGAGAGTGATCCTCAGGATTTTGATTGTCGCCGACCACAACAATCAGTCTCAGTCAACCCAACCATTCGTCGCACTATTTGCCTTATTATTGACCGCCTTCAACAAGTATCAAGCCAAGAGAACTTTGAGAAGGGGCTTAATAACTGCTTTGCCAACAACAACAACTCAAACAATAATCACTCCAGATGTAGCTCAAGCTGGCAACTACACGCTAGAGCCAGTGAAATACCAGCCGCAGCAGCTAGAGCTCATGCCAATATCTCATCAACCAACTCTCGCCTTAAACCAGTCTATAAATACTGTCAACAACAGAAACAACAACAACAACAACAACAACAACAACAACAACAACAAGAATTTATTATCAACTTCAACAGCATCAACACGTCAATTATGGTATAAGGGATCTAGGACCCACCGTAAAAGATCCAACTCTACGGGTTCTATTGCTGAGAATCCTAATCAAATATTCGAGTTTACCAACCAACTGGTCAATGTCAATGTCGCGTCCACTACCGAAGACATCATTGACGACTCTAACCGTACATGTGACAAGTTAATAGAGGTTTCCGACACCATCCAAGGAGGTGGACAAATCGAGCCAGATCAAGAGCAAGTCTTCTTTGACTGGTTCAAGGAATTCTCAATGTGCGATTTAGAGGATGCCCCAACCTCTACCGGCTCCAACAATTGTATGATGGAGTTTGGGGATGACATGTTTAATCAATCCACCGATGTATTTTTATCAAAATCCACTACCGGCACCGCTGCCAGAATCACATTCAAGAACCTCGACCAATTTCTTGAGCACTTGGACCAAGAAGAGTCTAATGCCCTCGCCTGCTCCTCCACCACCACTTGCAACAAGACACACTCCCAGTTTCGTCCAACTGCCACCAACCGTCTCGTCATCAAGCCAACCTGGTGTGTCTATGGAGATGAGCGCAATCCAGAGTATTTCACAAACTGTCTCTTTGACCAGACGTGTGGCGACATTATAGTCGACCATTTCGAGCCACTCGTCAACTCACCAGATCTCTTTACCTTGTCTCGTGGAGGTCGTCGTATCCTCGAGACTCCAAACGCAGGAGGTAACTCTGTGTGGTCGGAGGTCCTTTCATTTGAGGTTTTAAACCAAGTGTTTGGTGCCACTCTCAAAAAGACCGAGACTGAAATCGAGTATGTACCAGGATCCAAGATCACCGATTATTCAGTCGACTTTCAGGGTCGCCACATTGGTGTGTCTGTCGTACGTATCATCAACTTTTTCGATTTGATGGGCAAAAAGTACAAGGCCATCTTTACGCCAGAGTATGCCAAGCAATTGCTCTACAAAAAGTTGTTTGGTGTCATTGCCTCGTCCGAAGCCGTCATCGACAAGTGGGAGAAGCAAATTCTCTACATTTGGACCACCTCTTCTTCTGCTGCAGACATCATCGTCGAAGAGTATTGGAAAATCCCAAAAAAGTTACGTCACAATACTTTAGTTTATATAACTCATGCTACAGGTTCCGAATGGTTATTTTAAAGCCGTAATCTGTTTTTTTTTTATAATCAACACTACCCATTTTCAAAACTAAATATATATATTCAATACAAAATCAGTTTCTACACCTTTACTACTTAAAGAATATTCAAACAATAAATACCAAAAAAAAAATCTTTTTTCTTTTTAAAAATTCATATGTATATTTATTTGTTTATTGTTACTGGCGTTCTCTTCCTTTAGATTAAAAAATAGTCTCTATCTTGATTGTTTTTTTAAAATAAATATACATTTTACTTTATTTTTATTTTTTTTAATCATCAGTTTCCTCTTGTTGATCTTCATCTTCCTCTTCTTCTCCATCATTATCTACACCTTGATCAGTACTACTGCCATCTTCTAATTTATCCAAATTTGAACATAAACCAAGTAATATACAACAATCTTCACCTTTACTAATATCTTTGTATTGAGAGATATTAGATTTGGCGAGTTTGGTACCCTTGTCAAATGCATCTGCCAATCCTTTGATTGCTTTGAGTGTAGAACCAGTGATAGCTCTAATTTCATTGTCTGACTTTCCTTGACGATGGAGAGCTGCGGTCATGTATTGCTTGCCCTTTTTAATCTTGTCTGGCAAACGGACGAATCTGTATTCTCTGGCAAAGTAGAGGTGACCGCCAGCACGGTTCATCTTCATGGTTAATCCAACACGACCAGTGGTGATAATGGTGGGAGCGGCAACGAGATTGTTGGTAGGACGGAGATGGAGCACCTTGTTTTGTGATGGCAATAGTGATCGTCCGTTGGCCTTTACCAAATCATCGATGGTGGCGTATCCAGCACTTGCGAGTAGCTGATCGACTGTAAGTGATGGACCATCGACAAGGGTGCCAGCTGGCTTGCCCGCCTTGGTTACCTCCTCAATACCACGAATCAAAATACCGCAGTAGCATTCGGGGTCACCAAAGGTAATGTCCAAACCCTTGTAACTGGCCGACTTGTAGTTGCCTCCATTTTGACGATGAAAGTACCACATGGAATGCTCCAATTGTTGCACGTCGCCGTGTGTGAACGTGTCCTTGTGAGCGTGTCCGTTGATGTAATACTCCATCTCTGAGATTCTGTATTCCTTGGTGCCTGCAACAATCACTGTTTTGTTCATCAACAGTTTTGCCAATGGCTCCATTACTTGACCAAAATACTCTTTACTAGTTCCAATTGACTTTAAATCAAATGTCAAATATCTCTTTATCTTTTCGTCATCACTTTCATTGGTATCGGTAGTATCATCATCTTGTTTGATTTCTTCTTCTTCTTCTTCCTCCTCTACTTCTTCATCTTTACTTTGTTTCTTTACAGGTCTCTTTACTTTTTTTGTAGTCTTTGAATCAGATGATGCCTCATCGACTTGTTCATCTTTCTTTTTGATTCCTAACCAACCATCGAGTGTTCCTTGAGTTGTTGTTGTTGTAGTCGTGTTATCTTCCATTTCTTTTCTTTTCTTTACTGCCATATCTTGTAAACTAAATTATCTACTTTAAAATAGTTTTTTTAAAATAGTTTTGTATGATCGATCTCTGACAAACTACAAGAAACCCCTTTCTGGGAATTCTAATTTTCTCACATCAAAAAAAAAACAAATAAATATCTACTCGACCAAACGTTTACAGTTTCTCAACAGTTTTCAAAAGAGAGCATTGCTTTCTCTCGTGGTTGGAGAAAAGAATCTGATTTTGAGCTGAGGTTTAATAGGGTCTGATCTCCTTTTTGTGTAGCGCAAGTGTCTTATAGTTTTCGTCGTTTGGAATATAGAAACTTAAAGTTTCAACGGGTTCTTTTTCTGACCTACACAGACAAACTTTTTAGCAGAACCAAAAGGTTCTGCTCGAGCAGAAAAGAAGTAACCGTTTCAGGGATGGAGACGGTTTTTTGATGGCTTCTCCCCTCCTTTATAATTTGGGTATAGGTGTCGTAGATGCTCGAAAACCATCTTTTCCGACCCTTCAAGGCCGCGGCATGGGTGGCTTTTGCACTAAAGTTTGAAATCAACGGGATTGGTACAATGATCTATTTGTGGGGGCAAACCGTGCACACGATTTTTATGGTAAATGCATTTGAGCCAATCAGAGGGTGCAAAAAGTCACGGCTTGCGGATGGTGTCATCGATGGGGGTGTGTCTGAGGGTTTGCCAATGTCACGATTGATTTTGTTTATGTGTAGGCGGGCAGGGATAATGGGCAAACAGGAGAAGGAAGGGATGGGGTATACGTCTCGAAAAGAAAGGTGGTCAATTGCTTGCTAGCAGACAAACAGGCACCATCATCTCTAGCATTTCATTCAGTGAAGTAGAGACAACAAACAGCAGCAGCACCAACAAACAACAAACAACAAACAACAGCAACGACAAACACACAAACAAACAGCTGCTAGCACTGCCTTTCTGCCAGCAGCTCTGCACTCGAGTCTTTTTCATTAGTTCTTTCGACGGAGAGAAAGAGAGATAGATAGCTAGCTAGCTAGCCGCCACCACCACCCCACCACCCTACAACCAACAACCAACAACAAACACCAACACCAACACCAGCACCCAGCAACAACAGCAACAACAAACAACCGACCGACACTGCACTACACCGGACAGCGACGCGATATTAAAAACTAGGAGGTCAGCAACAACAGAAACAGAGCGAGGAGAGGAGACAAGCCCTCACACTGTGCCTATTGATAGATAGTGAGCGAGGACCTAGGAGAAGCTTACCTACGACGACCGACACAGATCTCAACACCAACGAGAAACAGCAGATCAGCAAAGAAAGAATTAATTCTTTGACCTGCTGCCTCACAACCCAACACAAAAGCACCGGCAACATTGCGAGAGAGGTGTAACCTCGTCTCAATCACCAACAGACAGACAGACAAACAGACAGACAGAGACAGAGATTAATTAATTTAATTTTCTTTACATCAACCAACCAACATCGCTGCTGATATTTAAAATCGCGTCTACCAACCATCAACTATCCTCTTTCTCTTCATCCACGGTTTTTCTATTCTTCTCTTCACTCTCTAAATCACCTGATTGACCTGGTTAGGTTTAAAGAACTTAGTTTAGTTTAGTTTACAACATACATACACATCACAATAATAACAATAATAACAATAATAACAACGACCGACTAGTTTATATTATTCATATCATAAAAAAAAAAAAGAGTGTGACGAGAGATAGAGACATACAGATACAGACAGATACATACATACAGACAGACAGACAGACAGATAGGAGGACGACAACCAATTAATTAATTTAACAGTTCGTTACATGAACATCAACAACAACAAAAACAACAATAACCTAAATAGTAGTAGTGACAGTAATAACAATAACAATAGCAATAGGATACTTTTAAATCAGCAGCAGCAGCAGCATCATCATCAACCTCATACCATTAGCAGCAGTACTAACAACAACATCAGCAACATCAGTAGTAGGAGTAGTAGTAGTGTGGTTACTGGAAACAACAATGGGGGTGGTGTTGGTGTGATTGCATTGGTAAATAACTCGGGTAACATGGAAAATCAATCAAACTTCCAATATAGCAATCAAAATAAAAATAATCAGAATCAAAATAATCAGAATAATAATATAAATAATCAACAAAATAATCAACAAAATAATCAAAATACAATGGATACAATACAACATAATAATAATCAAAATAATAATAATCAAAATAATAATAATCAAAATAATAATAATAATAATAATAATAATAATAATAATAATAATAATAATAATAATAATAATAATAATCAAAATGTGTATAGTTCAGAAAATAATAATAATAATATGAGTATTGATCAAATAGGAGGGGGTACTTCGGAAGACGATGATAGTTCAACAAGTGAATTCGATAGTGATCAAGGGGGTGACGATGACGACTATGATAGTAGTAGCCATCAGTTTAACCCGGATCGCCGTGTCGAGGTTTTGGATCAGGTGAGGCAGAACGCATACACGCTCGCCGAACTCATTGACAACTTCCAGATGGGTAAAACACATGGCCGAAAGGGTTCCAATATAGTGGCCGTCGTCGACGAGGCTCTAGAGAGGGCTTCGAAAATAGTGACCATACTCGAGTTTTATCGTGACGAGTTGACCAGCCCATCACATGATCATATGGCACCTACCAACACCAATATCAATACCCCCAAAAATTACCGTCATCAGTCGGCATCATCACTGCACCATCATCACCACCACCACCACGGCCAGCAGTTGTCGACGTCTTCGCCGGCGTTGCCAGTGTCACAGGGTACTCCAGTAGTACCCATGTTGCATAGGTCTGCGACGGCTATTGTCGGAAACAATAACAACAATAACAACCAGTCCACCAGAATGCCACCCCACCAGCCACCACAACCGCCCCCTCTGCAGATATCATCCCAGCATGGGGCAGTCTCGCCCAACTCGTCGATATCCACCCCGTTTGTGGGTGGGTCGTCGACCACTTCGACCACGTCAACAGCATTTGCCCCTCCCTCGCCAGCCAGCATTTCCTCGCCCATGGACGACTATTCGTTCAATAGTCCGCGATCGCAGTCTGGCGACGCAACGCCCTACGACTTTGGCGGCGAGGCTGGGTCTAGCTTTGCGCCTCCTATGCCGTACCCCGCTCCCAAAAAGAAGCGTGGTCGTCCTAGACAGGCGCGCCCCGAGAAATGCTCGATATGCGAGAAGCGCACTACTCCCGAGTGGAGAAAGGGCGAAAACGGGGCAAATCTTTGCAATGCATGCGGTTTACAATTCATGAAGAAAAACAAGCGAGAGAGGGAATCCAAACAAAAGCATAGTATCGACATTGTCCTTCACAAGGACTCGAAACATGACAATGATTCCATCAGAAGGGCTGCGGCTGCCGGGGCTGCAGGGGGAGGAGGAGGAGGAGAAAGATCAGAGTTGTCAGATTCGGGTGAAGGTGTAGTCGTTCAACCGTCACCATCACAACCTCAACAACCACCATCACCATCAATCAAACAACCACCACCACCACCTCTACAACAACAACAATCACCTCCACAAACACACAAGTCCAAAAAGTCAAAGAAAAAGTATGTACAGCCATCCATGATGGATCAAGACTTTGACGACTCTGATCTCGTTCCCATCCGAAACACCAACAACAACAACAATAATAACAACAATAATAGTATGTCGTTGGGTCTTGGTTCCTCCCAAGAAATGGGTTTTATGTATTCATCTAGAAATAGTAACAATCAAAACAATAATAATAATAATAATAATAATAATGTGAATAGTCAACAAAATAACAACTATAAAAATAATAATAATAATAATAATAATAATTATAGTAATCCTACCACTGGTTTGGAAGAAAGATCCAAGTCAGATATATCAATTAGTCCCACACAGTCGTCTTCAACGTCGACGACATCTACAACGTCTACGACATCCACAACGTTGGTGACACAGCCTCGAAAATTCCCAACATCATCTTCATTGTTTGGGAGCTGGGGTGGTGGTCAATCCGAATTATCCACCTCTCCTCAAAGCGTTAGTATCTTTGGTGATAATAATCCATTTGAGATTTCCCAACCACAACCTCAACAACCACCACAGCATCATCAACCTCAACCTCAAACCCAACCCCAACACCATCATCAGTTACAACCTCAAATTCAACCTCAACAACAACAACAATATCAACAACACCAACAACAATCCCAATATCAACAATATCAACAACATTTACAACAACAACAACAACATCAACAACATTTACAACAACAACAGTTGCAACAACAACAACAACAATTTATGGGATTAACTAGACAATCAACATTTGGTGGGATTCCAAGTCATCCTATGCTCTCACCAACAACAACATCATCACCTTATCCACCCAACTTCCCACATGTATCTCAATCTCCAACCAATACACCAGCAACAACACCATTCCAAAACTATACACCTACACCTACTAGCTTTTTATCATCATCGTCATCACTACAGAGATCCTTTACTACTGGACCCTTTGGTAATAACAATAATAATAATAACAATAGTATGTTACCTTCATACTCTTCTCCACCAACCATGAAATTCAAACCACCAAATAATAATAATAATCAAAATAATAATAATAGTAATAATAATAATAATAACAATAATAACAATAATAATAATAATAATAATAACAATAGTAACAATATGGATACTAGTGGAGAAGGAGGAAGAAATTAATAAATAACATATAATATATTATTGGTAGCTCAATTTAAACCATATCATTCGTCAGTATAGACGATAAAAAAAAAGATATTATTATTATTTGAGCTAACCAATCAATCATTTGGGTCGCCCAATCTTTAAAGATTGATGATCAATGATGACAGTTCACATAATTTTGAAACCTTCCCAACTTTTAGCGAAAACGATAAAGATTTTTCAAAAGACTATTTTTTCGAAGCGAATTTGAATGTCTGTGGATTGTGTTGCTTTAAATTTCGAAAAGTAGCTTATTCTTTTTCAATCACACACAATTGTTTTGTTTTGTTTGGTCATCACAATCAAAAAGTAGAAATGAAATGCTCAGTTATTTCATTTGTAGTAGTCATTCTATCACTCATTTCATTGTCTACAATGATGAATAGTGGTGGAGGTGTATCAGCATCATCTGTCCCCAACGGAGGTATGATGATGTATGAAATCAGTACTAGACCATACTTGTATAATCTTAGCATAACATATGGCAAACCAATCAATCTACTTAGTGGTATGAATAGAGAGAAAGAGAGAGATATATATAGAGATATTTGATATATAACTAACATTTAACCCTCTCTCACTATGTCTTTTTGATTGGATTATTTCTTTCTTTCTTTTGAAGAAATACCAATTCAAGAATTTCAAAAGATTAAAGATATGGGATTTGATATGATTTGGATGATGGGTGTTTGGGAATTGGGTCAATATGGATTGGATTATGACCAGACAAACCAACCTTTGCTCCAACACTATGCACAAGTGTTGCCAGGGTTTGATACGGCCGATATTATCGGTTCACCATATGCTGTCGTCAACTATACTACCAACCCAACGATTGGTGACAATACTGACCTATTGGCACTCAAAAAGATGCTTAATAGTATCGGTCTCTTGTTGATGCTGGACTTTGTACCCAATCACACTGCCGTCGATTGCGAGTGGACTACTACCGAACTAGCCTACTATATTCGTGCACCACCTAGTGTCCAACCACCATACGACAACAATACCTACTTGCCCAACGGTATTGCCTATGGTGGAATGGGATGGGGTCAGCCATGGTACGATACTGCCCAACTCAACTACTGGAACCAAGATGTTGTCAAGGCACGTATCCAAGAGTTGTTGACAGTTGCCAGTTTTGCAGATGCCATTCGTTGCGATATGGCCTATCTCTTGCTCAACAGTATCTTTGGTAACAGTTGGAGCTCACAGCTCAGTGCTTGGGGTTACAACCAACCAGCCGACGAGTTTTGGGAAGTTGCTATCCAAGCAGTCAAAGCCGACTACCCAGACATTATCTTTCTCGCCGAAGTATATCATCCCTACGAATCCAACCTTCAACAACTTGGTTTTGACTATACCTATGATAAAATGTTACATGATTATCTTGGTGGTGGTGATCTCGATCAAGTTAGATCTTGGATCACATCCAACTCTTTAAGTTTTGCTCAACATTCTGCTCATTGTAAGTAAAAAGAGAGAGAGAGAGAGAGAAGAGAGAGAGAGTAAACAATCATTATATATTCTAAAAATACATATCTTTCTTTAGTTATTGCAAATCATGATGAACCAAGAGGACCATCATTCTTTGGTAGTTGGTGGAGAAGTGATGCAGCTGCATTGATCACCTATACGATGCCAGGTCTTAGATTCTTTTGGTGGGGTGATTTCGAGGGATACCAGTATCAATTGGATGTACATTTGAGAAGAGAAGAGAGTGAGCCAGCCATTGCTACAGCTCAATCGTTTTACCAGAACCTTACTGCTATTGTTTCGAATCCAGTATTCAAGTATGGTGACTTTGAATACCTCAATGTTAGTGGGTCGGGACAAGACACCCAACTCATTGCCTACAAATGGTCGTACCAAGGTGAAAAGAGACTATGTGTCTTTAACTTTAGTGGTCAACCAGGCTCGGGATCAATCGTACTCGACGACGCACAACCAGTCAATGGCAATGACACCATCCCAGTCACCGACCTTTTATCAGATACCACCTACTATCGTAGTGCTTCAGAGATGAGAACACAAGGTTTATTTGTTGTTGTTAATACTTGGTATGGTCAAATTTTCACTTATTAAACAAACAAAAAGACTAGTCTTTTGGTTAGAGTAAAATAAAAATAAAAATGTAGTTTATAAAAATATTAATAATTATTATTTGGGTATCGACCGAGTTTTTTGAATGTTCATCAATCTCATTGATAATTTGAAGTAGTAGGAGATAGGTCGAAGAAAGGAGAGAGATAGATAGATAGAGAGAGAAGAGAGAGATGTATTATTTTAGTAGAAAGAATAAGAATAACTCTGTGGTGTCATCATCGACATCATCATCATCCTCTTCATCATCGACATCATCAAAACATGTAGTATTTGATACTGATGGAGATGTTCAATTTGATCATGAAGATAGTAACAATAATAATAATAATAATAACAACAACAATGATGGTTATCGAAATGATGTTGATGATGAAATGACAACATCATCATCGACAAATGTATATGAAATATCACCATCATTTGATTTACCATATGCAGTAAAGAATGCAATCGATCAATTGGATAGATCATACTTCGAAGATGGTAACTTTAAGTTATCAGGTAAAATAGATCAACAAGGAATATGTTATGTAATCATGCCAAAAGATTTATTTATTTGGAGTATTGATGTATGTCAAAGTTCCTATGTAGATAGACAGTGAGAGATAATAATAGATTGATACTAAAAGTACTTCTTTTCTTTTAGAAACCAACAATATATGATAGAATAGATTTACCACAAATAATGAATGAAAATCAAGTAGTTGTTACAAGAAACAAAACAAACTATGATACTTTTACAGCATTGTATTGTACCAATGAAGGTTTTGTTAGATACTTTCCACAAACCAATAGACAAAATCATTTTATAGAAATATCATTGGATTATAGATCACCATCTAATGTTTATGTTGCTGAATGTATTGTAATGTATCAATCAATATATATATATTATTATTATTATTTACTTTTTTGATTATTAATGTTTTATTTTTTAGCCATATGGAATTATAGTTGGCAATTCATTAGGAAGTATTCATTTAATTTCAATTAATAGTAGTGGAAATAGAGATAGACCAGCGCTGTCATCAAAGATTATTAACAAAGCACCTGGATTCTTTTCAACTTATTTATATTTGGCACGTCAACCACCAGTGGTATGGGTGTCATCTACGAGTGCAAGATCATCTGGCACTAGTAGATATGCCTATGTTTTAACGGAATCATCACTCATAAAGTACGAGATTACAGAGAATGGTGAAAAGATGTTGTTGGACTATTCATTGACTCGCGATCTTCAAAAACTCTTTTATGAACTCACCAACTATCGATTCAATCAAATGTTTGTGTCAGAGAATGAAGATGGTGATATGATCCATATTCTAGTTCAACAATCTCTTCCACAAGAAGAAATTAAAAAATTCCATCTCTTGTCACTCTCTGTCAAAAATAATACTGTCTCTAATGTTGTCAAAAATGATCAATTTTCTTTTACTTGTTCAATGGATGTAAGTCAAAAAAAAAAGCAAGACCAATTTTTATCAACAACCTTTTAATCCTTTTTTCTTTTAGGAGGAATCAACCAATTTCAATCCAACACTGGCAGTGATTGATAAGAAATATTATCTTGGATCAATTGATAATATTTACTATATGTCAATGTATAAGGAAAAGATTAGTGGAGAGATGAAAAGCTCAAACCTTATCATTTGTTGTGGTGTTTGGAAAAATAGATTCTATTTTATGGATAGACAAAACCATGTACAAATTTTAAATATTATGCCATACTCTGTTTCAAATGATCAATTTGAATTAAAACAAGGTGATCAAATTAGTTTCGATGTAAGAGAAATATATTAAAGAAATATATTAAAGAAAGTAATTAATAATTTTTTTTTTTTAGATTCCAGAAGAAGAAGATGATATTGGTAGAAAAAGAAATATTTTATTAAAAACATTAAATGCATATATTTATCGAACAAAGAGACCTGGTGTATTGGAACAATCGATCAATGTTGTAAAAAATATGAGTGCATCCGAGTTGGATGGTGCAGTCAGACGTGCTAGTATCTATATTGCCGACCAAAAGCCATTGGTACGTTATTGGGCATCAGACAATGACGCACTCAAGAATTTGGGTACTGGCATGTCGGTACAGTTGAAACAACAGTTGGAAGACAAGAAAAAGAGACATGCTACCACTGTGTCGTTTTTAAAAGACTATGAATTTTGGAGCCAGTTGTCAGAAGAGACTAGAGAATTGATTGACGACAATGAACGTCGTATAAAGAGCGCAATCGAGTTGCGTGACTACCAAAACCTCCAACAACAGCAACAACAGCAACATCAACAACAGGTTGGCACACCAACCAACTATTTATTGTCGAAATTGATTCATTTGGTGGTAGAGGATAGAATGGGACCCAACTGGGTGTCTAGTGGTATGACAGTGTATGAGCTCTTTTACAGCAACATTACGCAGATTGACGATTTGTTGGTGAGAGTGTTGCACGAGTTGCGCGACAATGTCGACAAGCAGGGTGACTCGCTCATCAAGCTCAAGCAGACGCTCGAAGGAAACACCATCTTTCTCAAGATCATCTCCAAGTATAGTCACGAGATGCTGTGTCGCCACATTCGTGCCGGTAGCAAGGACACGAGCGTACATCTCATGGTCAAGCAGATGATCGACCATACCACACAGTTTATTGAGTCGGACCTCGCTGCTGGTGCTGCCTCGTACCTGCGCGCACAGAGCGACAGTGGACTCGCCGCCAGCGAGTCGGCACTCTACACGCAGTTGTTTGACTTGACCCGCTCGTTCCTCTCTGTACTTGGCGAGCAAGACATTCGCTCCTGTTCGACTGTCCTCTTGGCGCCATTTGTCCTTGCTGGACGCTACTTTCTTGCTCTCGAGTTGGCCAACGAGTTTGGAGACTACCGTACCGTCGTCGAGGTGTACATTGGCGACACGGAGCACCGTACAGAGCAGCTAGCACAGCTTGAAAAGTCACTTGCCGTCTATCTCTCAAACGGACGTATCAAAGATGTTCTCCGCTACATGCTCGACCGAGGATTGTCCCTTGAAATCTTGAAATTGCCAAACCAACCTTTTGAACAGGCACGTGCCGACTTTTTCCAAGATTATCCACGTTTGCAATGGATCAATGATGTTGCCGAGGGTCGCTACAATGAAGCATACCGCGTGTTGGCTGCCGAGTCGATCAAAGAGACCAAGAGCACTTCGCGTAAAAAGACACTTATCAGCTTGGCCAAGCTCAGTGCATTGGCCGAGCAAAAAGAACCCATGTTTAATATCACCCAGGTCGTAGAGAATGCCAACCACAACCTCGAGATTCTCAAGATTCAAAAAGAGTTTCTTCCCCACATCAAGGGCGTATTGGCAGTCGACCAGATCATCCACGAAATCTTGCAATTGTCCAACCTCCAAAACATGGAAAAGTATCTCGTCTGTCTCAACACTTTGGAAGAGTCAAAGTTGATCATTTCTCTTCAAGAAAGAATGAATTTATTAAAGTTATTATTATTAAAATCTTTAGATGATGGACCGTATGTTAAATTTAGATATAGATAGATATATGTATATGAATATTAATATTAATTCTATTATTTTTCTTTAGATTATATTTGTTGTGTGAAAAATTGGCTCGTAGTGGAGATGATGTTTCGGATCAACAATTTGATTTACAAATTATCAATTCGGAAACCTATCAATTGCTCTGTTCGTTGCCAAGTGATATGGGTATGAGCACTTTGGTGCATGAGTTTATCAAAGACTATTTCAAGGAGAGACAAAAATCAATTCAAGACGCCAACATTAAACAACAATTAAATAGAGTGTTGAGTCGACTCATTGAACTCTATTCACAAAATCAAAATTAAATAAAATATCAAATAAAACTTTTGTTCATAAACAATTTAATAAAATAAACACTACTTTGAAAAAAGGAGCAGGGTTTTTTTTTAAAGTAATTCTTTTCCTGTTCTCTCCTATCGGGAAGAGTAGTACTCAGAAGTTACAAAGTTTTATTAATTATACTTTTTAATTGACCAGCAAGAAATAAAGATTATCTCAAGAAGAATTAAAGTTAATTTGTTCTGGGGGTTTGTCCATGTCTATGATACATGTTGTATGGACGTTGATCATGTATCTTTTTGTATAGTGTCAAGCCTGTTGGGTTGTTTTGGGTTGTTGCTTGTTCTAAAAATAAATTAATTAAAGATATCGCTATTATTTTTTTTTTTTTTTTTTTTTTTTTTTTCTCACTAGCACTATAGGCTATAATACTGGGTTGATATAATTATTATTATTCTTATTATTTAGTGAATTATTATATTATTAATATTATTATTGATAGTTGTAGAGAGAATAGAAGAGGATGACGGTGGTGAAGAGGATGAGAGGAATGAAGCTGAGGGTGAACGATTATAGATGAAGAGTACGCTGAGTCTTGTACCTCTCCAAATGACTAGGTAGTGCGATCTTGTAGGCAGTAGGATGGTTGTAGTTGGAGGAGAATCGAAGGATGATAGTTTGTATTCGTTCTGTAATCGTATGTATTACCGATTCGCATATCACTTATCAATCTAGCTCGCAGGTATTGTTCAGTGAATGGTTCATCTCTTTGGTGACGTAGATCATTACGTCGGAACCATATTCGTTCTAGTGCTGCAGCGACCAAGTTTATAGTCATTGGAGTTTGTTTGAGGTTGAGGAGGGTGATGTCCCAGACTGGTGGTGGAATGTTGTTGGCAGCAGTAACCTCTTTCAGTATCTTCACTGGCAGCGTGGTCTCCTTGCATTGGAAGAACAAATGCTTGGAGGATTCATCTTTGCCACACGTCACACAGGTGGAGGCGACTGGGTCACCCCTGACGAGCGGGAGACATTTGGTTACGTATTTCCAAACCAGATCTCGACCCTTTGGTAGTACGATGGTAGATAGAGCAGCTAGTGCATTCATTGGATACACTCTGTCATCGGTTGCTAAGATCTTTTGGCCTGGGGTCGGGTCGTACACGTTCCACTTTTCGTTGGCTATGGTCAGCCTTTGGAGGTACACTTGTTTGAGAGGTACTCTTCCTCTTTTGTCTGGTTCCATTGCTGGCTTGGGTACAGCCTCTCTGCTGACGTCGTAGGGTTGGGTAAGCTTTTCCCACTCGCTGCGGCAGAGGCGGACAAAATCGTTTGGTTTGTCTTGGTTGAGTTGGTCCATCCATGATAGGAGCAGGGGGACGGGCGATCGAGGCTTGAATTTTCCAAATTTGGACATCGAAGTTCCCTTTTGGTCTAGTGGTGAGGATTTTCGCCTGTCACGCGAAAGGCCCGAGTTCAATTCTCGGAAGGGGAGATTTTTTTTTTGCTTGCTTCGTTTGCGCAAAAAAACGACTTTTTTAGAACTCTGCTTCATCCTAGCTTTATTCTGTTCCTCATCAACCATACCCACTCATCGAGACCTGGCTAATGGAGAATGGTCCCTCTTTATGGCCCGACAGACCATAATAGCAATGTTGATCCTGACTGCCACCAGACCTGTCAACATCACGGACTCTATGCGTAGGATTCGCTGTAGGCCAAATAACTCTTTGCCACAAAGGTTATCTCATTTCATCATTAAACTAAACAAAATAAAATTTCTAGTGGTGATCCTGGATACCCACCTTAGTAGTAAAAAAAAAAAAATGAATGAGCAGAGTAGTATGTTATACTGTGCTCACATTGAGCGAACTTATACTCTTTATACACTATCATATTAAAATAGAGTATAGGATCTCATCAATATCTAAGATCCATCTAATACTCAACCATCACCCAGATATTATTTATTTATTTCTGGAACAAACAAATTGGTGAAAAAATTAAACCAATTGATCATTTATTTTAATAATTTTAGAGATGTGCAAGAATCTAAATTTTTCAAAATAGAGAGCAGAGAATAATACAATCATACAAAACAAAATAATTCCAACCATAATACCTCCAATTTGAGAGGTTGAAAGACCTTGATTGTCAATAGTACAATAAAAAGAATGGTAATTGTCTGGGTTGGTTTCTTGGAGATGTTGAAAGATGGGATCGACAATGGCCACTGATTGATAGTTTGGAATTTCGATACCAACAAGAGATGAAATGAATGATGGTGATTGATTGTTTCCACCATCACCACCTTTGACAAGTAATGTAGAAATTGGTAAAGATGATCCATCAATGAGACCAACATTGATAAATTTAGCGTATAAAATATCAGAGTCGACATAGAGTGTTGCCCATTGTAATTGGTTACCTGGACTGATTCCCTCTAATTTGGTAGAGCATACATCTGAAGATTTTGAATTGATGGACATGTTGAAAAGGACTAGCAACGTATTATCAGATGAGGAGAATGGATAATAATCAAGTTGAATAGTGTATTTGACAGAGTGTTGTGGTATTTCGATGGTTTCACCGGCAAATTCTCTAGTCTCTGATTGAGAGAATTGTTCAATGGTTACATTGAGGGTGGTCGACGATGGATACAATTGACAAGAGTAGAATAACTTTTCAGATGACTCTATGGTAGTACTCCAATTACCAGCGCAATTGTATTGGTGGATGATTTCGTCACTATCCTCACCCATCTCTCTAACACCTACAATAGCAACCTGTGCCGTTGAATCGGGACCAACCAAAGTCAGTGTTGGAGAGTCATTGTCAAATTCAATCTTGCTGTCCATCTCGACAGCCGAGCAGGCAGGTCCAAACCAACCTTCTCGACAAACACATCCATATGACGTACAGTTTCCATTACCTGAACAGCCACCCAAACACACTAGAGTTTGATAATCCATGTTGTAAACGGTCACTTGGTTAGACTCGATACCAGATACATTCACCTTTACAGTAAAACTAGGAATACGGTCTGTGAGTGCTGAGCCAACATCAATGATAAACAGAATTGGACTGACCATCACTGGAGACTGATCTACAATATACCCGTTACCATAGTTGATTGAAATGGTACAAGTAGAGTTGTCACCAAATCCATATCCTCTTGCAATCAACTTACCACTACCCGATGAAAAGCTAGTTGTAAGGATAACAGGAGTAGCCAAAGAGGCAGTAGAGAGTGAAGAGTTGATTGCAAATGGTAGACCCATCGAATAGAGTTGAGAGGATGTATAACCAACCATATTATTATAATTATCAGTGATACCATAGATTGACAACGCTATTCCATTTGTACCGAATCTAATTGGTATGATTGACTTGTATTGATAAAAGGTGGTTGAATCGGAAATGACTTGCATCGAGAATGGTTTTTCAACTTGATAATGTCCTTGATCACTAATCATGTAAATGATTGGTAAATGTCTAGATGAAATACCAGATTCCATATCCTCCAATGTCAAATTAAAGTATACTGTTCTATCTGTACTATTTACTGATCCAATATCAATACCCAAAGTTGTCGGAAGATACATTTTAAAATCTTTTAATATTGGTAAAATATTATCATTAATTGTATCTATAAAAAAAAATAAAGAGAGAATATTAAATAAAATGATTATTCTTTTTTTTTGATTGATTTGTTTGTCTATTTTTTTTTTATATTACATACTTGAACAAATTAATTGAATTGTAAAATCATTATTAATAGTATCAGATTGAATAAAATTAAATGGTTTGAATGGATATTGATTAGATGAAATTAGGCCAGATTCATCTTGAAGAATGATTTCTGAAATTTGGAATGTTTGTGATCTACACTTTGAAGCATTGTCAATAGGGAATAATAAAGAGTGAATTTGATTATTATCAATATTGTCAATTTCAATCAAACTATTTAAACCCAATTGAACAATATATGGAGTCTTGTCAATATCAGATAAAATATAAACAGTTCCATTTTTAAATTGATTTAATCCAGAAGATTCAATTGAAATATTCCAACCAATCATTACACTTTCTTTATCAACACCAACTGTTTTAATTTTTTCAATTGCTTTTAATTTTGTTACATATGGTCCAATTAAATCTAAATCTAAAAAAATAAATAGAAAAAAGGTAAATAAAAGAAAATATTTTTTTTCTTTTGTTTTACATACAATTTGATTGTATTAAAAGTATTGAAGAAGGGAACAATGAAGCCAAAATAGATGATGGAATTTGTTTTGATACCAATTGTAAACTGAATTGATAGGTTCCATTATAATAATGTTGTGGAATAACAATATCAATTCTATACTTGTCCAATTTCTTGTCAAAGTAACCTTGGAATTGTTGAGTGAATTGTTGATCATAATAATCTGTTTTCATTTGATCGACAAGAATTGGTGTAAATACTTGATTGTCTTTGGTGGTACTAATAAAAAGACTAACTTTTACTGGTCCATTACTTGTATCAATATTATTATTACTCCATTCAATTGATTTAATATCATTAAATAAATCCAATTCAACTAAAGTAATTAAGTAGTTATTAGTAAAAGATTCTTCTTTTTTTTTCCTCTTTTACATACATAAATCATTAAATGGTAAATTTGGAGTAGAATCACAAGCAAGATTAAAACAAGATTGTAATATTGTACTTTGATAAGATAAATCCATAATTTCAATGGTTGGATTCAATTCAACATTGATTTCATTCAATAGACTAACTTCAAAGACATAAATGCCTTGATAGATATCACCTTTTTGTAAAGTATCAGCATAGAATACCTTGTCGTTGAATTTAATATACCATAAACCATTTTGACTTGTAATATTTAAAGTTACAATAATAGTATAAGCAGTTGCTGGTAAAATATTAATATTAATTAAAATATTTTTTGATGATATACCTTAGAAATAAGAAAAAAAAAAATAAGTAAAATATTTGATAATAATAATAATTAATCATTGTTTCAACATACTTGGAATATTAGAATCAACTGTATAGGTATAGATATTTCTAACTTTAATTGAAATGGTAGAGGAGAGTCCAAAAGATGGTACATCAAATGAATAATTTAACTTTCCAGTTTGATTTGAATATTTAGTATAACCAAATGGATATTCAATATTCAATAAAGGATTACCAGCAATTGAAATTGGATATTCAACATAATCATCCAATTCACTTGTCATAAAACTACAAATATAATGTTCAAACTCTTTTGTTATATTTAATAATTCTGGTTTACCAATTGAAATGATTGGGATTGCTAAATAAAAAAAGAATTTAAAATTAATTGATTGTTTAAATCTTTTGATTGAATGTATTATAGTTGTACATACGATTTAAAGTAATAGTAAAATTCTTGATAAAATGAGAATTTGAATCAATAAAATATAAAGAATAAATGATTGGGAGTCTGGGATAGGAGAAATATTTCATTTCTTGACTATTGCCAAATACTGGGATGGTGGTCATGACGATTGGATCGGATATAGATTGTTGTTGCATTTCGTAGAATACTTTTGAACTTGGACCTGTAATATCTAAAACAATCAAACCATTTTCGTATTGTGATGAGGATGATAAAATAGATTGTGGCAGCGTGGCATTAAAGAGTGGTGGTAGGTCTTGTTCTACTTGGCTGGTACCAGCCATCCAACTGTTGGTAACGGTTCCTTCATCGGCGTATTTTGGAGGAATGAGTACGGAAACCAACATGGTTGATGGTAGCACCAAAGATACAGTGTCAATAGAACATCTTGCTCCATTATCATAATTGTCACTGTCAACACTACATGTAGTGATTGGATGTTCAATAGGTTCAACATTGTATTTATAAATGTATTCATATTGTTGTCTATTATTTACATTTAATTCATTCATTGGTTGATTTATAATATTTGGATTATTTGGTGATCCTAAAGGAAAATAAAAAGTAGAAATGTTAACACATAGTTTATAGATTATTATTATTATTATTATTCTCTTATTCGTACCAAGACAATTAAAAGATGTAGTGATAATAGATGGGTCATTGTTTGTATTGAATAATTTCAAACTAATGGATTGCGGAGATGGTGATTGTGAGTTGTCTTGGATGGCCAATGATAGTGTCAATCTATAGTGGTCTTGATCCAATCTAATAGATTGATGTGACAATACTGATGATGCGGCATTCTCTGACGAAATATTGAAAAAGTCATATGTATCTTTGACTACAATATAATAGGTTGATCTACATCCAGGTGTTCCATATTGAGCAGCCGGTATTATCTTGTTGGATATTATCTCTCCATTTCCTACAATATAGGATAATTATTAATAATCACATGATTGCAAATATTTGTTATATACTATTACTACTACTACTATAATGTTTGTTTATTACTTACCTATTTGAAAGATTGATGATGATAGTAATAGTACAATCGTGAAAAGAAGAGAAGAAGAAGAAGAAGAAAAGTATAACACTTTCATGATTGGATTGTTAACTCTTTCTTATTCTATCTATCTATCTATCTATTATTATCTCTACTCTATTCACGTACACGTTTTGTTTGATTTAAACTATGGCAACGAACATCGTGATCGTCTTTGTAACCGTACCACCAAACCTGTTGTTGATACCAAACTGTACAACAGTTTCATTGTAACGAGCAGGAGTCGCCAGTTGATTGAATCTCATCACATTCAGATCTTTAAAAGAAAATTGTTGGTTAGAAAGATATTTTTAGAACTGATTATCTAAAACCGTCGATTCATTGTTGTCGATATCGTATTGGTATCCATGATTGTTAAACTTTTGATCATCTCCATTATAATTCTCGAGTTGATAGTTAAATCAAAGAATAGTTGGCTCTCTACTACTACTTCATATGTAGACATTTACTTCAAAAATCAAGCTTGCTCTTACTTTTGAAATTTTAACACTACAAAAAATTTGATAAACAAGCTTTGTATCTTTTGTTTCAATCTTGGTCATTCACAAAAGAGATAATATATATATTATTGCGATATGTCTGCAGCGGAATCTGTTAGAAACAAATTAAAGACTAGAAGATATAGAGCTGGTCAAGTACCTGAATATGCAAGAGGTGAATTTGAAAAAGCTCTAGCATCTGCTATTGGTTGTTCGGTTAATGGTTCTCCTTTGACGTCGTCGTCAACGTCAAAGGAGACATCCTCTTCTACAACAACTTTGGCCGCTGGTACCACTACTCCTAAATCAATAGATATTCAAATTGGTGGTAGATCAAAACAAACCTCAACATCAACAACCTCTACATCATCTTCGTCGTCATCGTCGTCAACAACAACAACAACAACATTGGCAAAACCTGTAAATAATGAAATAGATAGTAGTAGAGTAACTCAACATGTTAGAGGTGCTAGAAATGTACAAAGAACTCAAGTTATAATAGAAGGTAGAGATCAATCTTCGAGTAGTAGTAGTAGTGGATCTGCTACTGCTACTGCTACTACAAACTCTGATGATCAAGATGATATTGACAAAAGAAGACAAAGAGCACGTGAAAGATTAAAACAACAACAAGAACAAGAACAACAACAAAAGAAATTAGCACCAGAAATAGAAGAATCAGAAGAATCGGAAGAAGAATCAGGATCGGAAGAATCAAGTGAAGAAGAGTCTGAGGAAGAAGAGTCATGGGGAAAACCAATGTTTAGACCTGTATTTGTTAAAGCAGAAAAGAGATCAACCATCAAAACAGAGGAACAATACCTACAAGAGGCAGAAGACGAAAGAATTAAAGACGAACAAATCAAAGAACAAAGAAAACAAGAAGCATATAGAAAACTAAAAGATGAATTGGATCGTGACAAAAAGGAACAAGAGGCAAAGAATTTGGAGGAAACTGAAGAGATAGAGGCAGAGGAAGATGAAGAAAAGCTATATGACGAATGGGTACAAAGAGAGGTGGAACGTCTCAAACAAGATATTAGAGAGACGCTGATGATTGAAGAGAATGAAAGAGAAACGGAACGAAGAAGAAAGATGACTGACGAGGAGATTGCTAGAGAGGATCGTGAGAAACTGGATAGAGGACCAAAGAAACAATTAAAGTTTCTTCAAAGAGATTATCATCGTGGTGCATTCTTTCAAGACGACGAATACATCAAAAATAAGGACTTTAGTGCACCGACAGAAGCTGAAAAGGTCAATGTAGAACTATTACCCAAGATTATGCAAGTAAAGAATTTTGGTCAATCATCACGTACCAAATACACTCATCTTGCAGATCAAGATACATCAAACAAAAAAGAAGCACTTTGGAATCAAAATAGTGAATTGGTTACAAAATATTTTGATAAAATGGCTGCTTCAAATAAAAGTAATAGATAGATAAATAAGACAGATTATTATTATTATTTATAATATTATTATTATATATTTATTTCCAATTTTGCAAACTATTTAATTAATTAATTAATTATAGTTTATCTTTAAATGATTGCCAATCTGTTTTTATCCATCAATGAGATGATGATGATCCTTATGTGTGTTTACACAATAGGTTCAGGTTTGGTTCGGGGTCAATTACCACATTATGGAGGTAACCAATAAAAGACGATTACCTTGGTCTTCTTTTTTAAGATTAGGAGCAAAGGAAAGAGAGGAGGAGGAAGAGGGATAACAAGACGCCAATATCAACAAAAATGATTAATTTTGTTGATTCATTGGGTTCTCTGGTGATTTGAGCCATTGCTTCCAAAGTAAATCCTTGACTTGAGTGAATTTGAGTGAAGGATTTTCCTTTCTGAGAATGGGTAAGTTATCTTCTTGGTACTTGGCAAAGGCAGCTTTGAGTCTACGTTCTGGATGTTGATCGCTTGTGGGACCTCCAAGTACCTTGATAGCCTCATCTACACCAGTAGCCTCTGAAAGATTACCACCAGCAGCCAAACGTTGTTCTCTTAGGATATGATTGATATTTTCCTCCAAATCAATTTCATCATCACTATCGACACCAGATGTAGTAGTACTAGTAGTACTTGTAGTACTGGTACTACTTGTACTAGAGACAATATTGTTACGAGCAGCAGCAGCGGCAGCAGCAGCAGCTTCACGTTGACGTTCTTCACGTTGCTTTTGTTGTTCAAGTTCAAAACGAGTAATCTTTGTTGTTTCCTTTCCTTTTCCATATTTTGACTTTAATTCTTGTTCCTCCTTTTCAAGAGCATCCTTTGCTTCTGCACGTCTCTTTGCTTCTTGTACCTTCTTTTCTTCCATCTCCTTTGCCTTTTTCTGTTTGGCTAGTACCTTTTCATCCTTTTCCTCCCACATGGCATCCTCCTTGTCTCTTGCCTTCTTGTCGGCATCGTTCCTTCTTGCCTCTGTCTTTTTAGCTCTAGCTTCTTCACTCTTGTTATTAACTCCAAACTTTTTTCCTCCTGCCATTTTTAAATATAAATATATAAACAAACAAACAAACAAATATATGTATCTTAAATTGTATAATATATATAATGAAAGTATTGAGAAAAGAAACAAAGCTAGAGTGCTCTTTGTGTGAAGAGAGAGGATGAAAAAAATTAAATTTTTTCATTTTTTTTTTTTTGGTGATCATTGAGAGGGTCAGCTGTTGTTCCCCTCTGAGCAGAGCTGAAGATACGTATTTTTTATTTCAATTTCAGCACTTTAAGTAGATATATATATTAATATAGTTAGAAGAGGAAGATGTTGGCTCGTTCAAGCATTTTAAGACAGGCTTTTGTTAGAGGTTACGCCTCGAAGCCATTTGTGATGGTCAACAAGGACACCAAGGTGATCTGCCAAGGTTTCACAGGCAAGCAAGGAACCTTCCACTCGCAACAAGCTATCGACTATGGCACCCAGATGGTCGGAGGTGTCTCCCCCGGAAAGGGCGGCAGCAAGCATCTCGACCTGCCCGTCTTTAACTCGGTCAAGGAGGCCAAAAAGGCAACCGACGCCAACGCCTCGGTCATCTACGTGCCACCCCCATATGCCGCCCAAGCCATCATTGAGGCCATCGAGGCCGAGATGGAATTGGTTGTTTGCATTACTGAAGGTATTCCACAACAAGACATGGTACGTGTAAAGTACTTGCTCAACCGTCAAAACAAGACACGTCTCATCGGACCAAACTGCCCAGGTATCATCAAGCCCGGAGAGTGCAAGATTGGTATCATGCCAGGTCACATCCATCGTCCAGGTAAGATTGGTATCGTCTCGCGTTCAGGTACCCTCACCTACGAGGCTGTTGCCCAAACCACTGCCGTCGGTCTCGGTCAATCCACCTGTGTCGGTATCGGTGGTGATCCATTCAACGGCACCAACTTTGTCGACTGTCTCAAGCTCTTTACCAAGGATCCACAAACTGAAGGTATCATCCTCATCGGTGAAATCGGTGGTGAAGCCGAAGAAGAAGCTGCCCTATGGCTCAAGGAAAATCCAACTGACAAGCCAGTTGTCTCTTTCATCGCTGGTTTAACTGCTCCACCAGGTCGTAGAATGGGTATGTCAAAAAAAACATCAAATAGAATCACACATAACAACAATATGAAATAGAGTTGAATTGGACTATCCAGATATCAAGATCAAATCATTCTCAATGGAATGACAACACACATTTATTGGAAGACGATGATGATGATGATGATGATGATGGTGATGATGATGATGATGATGATGATGATGATGATGATGGAATCAATTCAACTCGATTTCTGTTTCAACAACCAACATTTTGATAAACAATTCAAGACAGATGGACCTAAATAGTAACTAACATTTGATTTTTAATTTATATTTAGGTCACGCTGGTGCCATTATCAGTGGTGGTAAGGGAGGTGCTGATAGCAAGATGAAGGCTTTACAAGATGCTGGTGTCATTATGTCACTCTCACCAGCCAAGTTGGGTGTCACCATGCTCGAAGCCATGAAGAAAATTGGCAAAGCTTAAATTGATTAATTAATTGATTAGTTTTAGCTTAGTATAGTATTATAACAAATAACAATAATATAATAATGTTTTCCAAAAGTTGCTTTTTTTTCTCAAATGTGTCTAATATTTAATAAATAACCTTATTTTCTTCTTTAATAAACCTAACTCCTCACTCAAATATCATATCCAAACGGTCTGATCAAAAAAGGAAATGATCTCTCTTCAAAAAAGTATGAGGCAAGCTCGAACAGGTTACTAAAAAAAAAAAAAAAAAAAGTCTCCAAGAACAAACGATGCCCAGGAAGTTCGTTGATTTTTATACAATTTTTTTTGTTGGGTTTTTGAAGCCTCGTTTTTTTGTCAGAGTGTGGTCTCTCATTCAGGACTATTGGCATCACAAAGCATTTACAACTCAAACCTACCTACCTTTACAGAGAAATAAGGAGCAGCTTAGCGAGACGCGAAGGAGAAGACGAATTGGAAGGAGTACACTTTTAAAAGTAATCATCACTATTATATACACATAATTATGTAAACAACAACAACAACAACAACAACAACAACACGACAACCACAACAACGACAACGAGATGATAAAAGACGACCACAGCCAACAACAACAACAAGAAGAACAATGACAAAGACATAACAACACTACACATACATTCAAACAAACACATAGTTCATCTATTGTATAAACGAGTATACTCGTTACCGTATACATATATATATATATTTATATATATATATATATTAGTTATTATTGTAGTCATAGTAGTATTAGTATTAGGAAGAGGGTTAGTAAAACAGCAATGAATAGTATAATCGACGCGATCAAAAGGGGGATAAAGAACATACTACTTGAAATTGGTTGTATCTTTGGATCAAGTTGACTGGCATACAGACAACAAACAAACAAACAAACATACCAAACAGACTTATACAGTCCAATCGTCAAAAGAATAGAAAGAGACTAACACTTGTTTGGAATACGATTCATCATACTTGTTAATATATAAATTTTAAACAAGACAAGAGAAAGATAGTGATGATGGACAGATCAAATATAGTTATGTTTATTTAATATTTTTGGAATAGTCACAAACGCTATGATCATCAACATTGGATAATAGAATCTTGATTTAGATGATCATTTAGCATAGATTAGTTGTCATTCTCACTATTATCCTATAATACTACCAACCACTCTCTCCTAGGAGGAGAGATTTATTGTGTTTGCCAATCCAAATTTCCATCACACTCACCCAAAAAATGTACATTCAATTTCGTGTCATCATCATTCACACTCAATACACCCATCAATCACAAACGACTAGACTATCCATAATAATAATAATAATAATATTAATAATATACTTAATACCTACTCTACTCTACTAAACCATAACCACATTCAAATATATTTTTGTTCTGTTACCTTTTTAAAACAAACACATCACACATACCTCCTTCTCCTCTTTTATTGGTGTTTACTATCTCACCCATATTGAATAATACACACTATTATCATCATATCATCTTTTTTTCTTTCTTGCACTACAACTACTACACATATAATCTAATCAAGTTAATATAATAATAATATATATTCACACTACAACTACAACAATAACAACAGCACAGTAGTAAGAAGGAAGGAAGGAAGGAAGGAAGGAAGGGAGAGCAAGCAGTATAATCCAATAATCTTTAACCATCAGTATTAGTAGTAGTGTAGAAACAGTTCAAGTTGAAAGATACAATAGACAGATAGTAGATAAAAGATTGTTATTTATAAATAATCATCATTAGCTCTATCTATCCATCTATCCATCATCATTTGTTACCTATTATTATTAATTTAATAATAATAATAACTATCAACAAGTCAAACAAACAAACAAATCAAATATTCTTTGATCACTTTTAAAGTTTAACCAACCATCAAACGAACTCGTTGTCAAAAAAAATCTAGAAAACTACATTCAAAACTAACTCGACGACACAACAACAACCTAGCTACCTACCTACCTACCTACTTATCAACATACATACATACATACATACGTACCCATTCGTCCAATCAAGTTTCATATCGATTACAATCAATACCAAATCTTTTATTATCTTTAGATTTGATTTATATTTATATTTAATCCACCTATTCACCTTTTTGATAGTTTTAGTCTATTATCGATAATAGTTTATACGCTTTTTCAAATACACCAGTCGTTTGTTGTTGTTGTTGTTGTTCTCCTTATGGTTGTTGTTGTTGTTGTTTAGATAGATAGATAGTTTAGATCAATTTCATATTTGTACATAGTTTCTGTATATAATTAACACTTATTTATTTTAATAGTCAGTTGGTTCAATTCTTATCTTTTTCAGTAATCATGGATACTCAACCAGTAGTTGTTAAACAAGGTATGTATAAACATATAATATTATATATTGATTAATGATACTAATATATTTTTGATCTCTTGGATAGATGGTGAAGTCTTGGAAGATTCCATCAGAAAGCAAATCGAGTACTATTTTTCTCGTCAAAACTTGTCAACCGATACTTATTTGTTCAAACAAATGAACAATGAGATGTACGTACCATTGACAACCGTTGCAAACTTTAAGGTAAATTTCAAATTCAATTCAAACCAAATCAAATACATATATACATATTCATTCTAACGATATATTGATATTTTGTAGAAAGTAAAAAATCTTACCGTAGAGATGGATGTAATTGTAAAATCATTGGAAAAGAGTAGTTTGGTTGTTATGGACGAGGCCAAGAAGATGGTCAAACCATCATTCAAGCTGCCACGTAACATTGTAATCTTGAGAGACATCCCAATTGACGCCTCAACCGACGAAATCCAGACTATATTCACAGAGCAACTCATCGGCTCAATCACCAACATCAGAAGTGACATTGAGAGCACATGGTTCATTACCTTTAGCACAGATGACGATGCTTCGGCTGCATACGAATTAACCAAAGAAAAGGCCTTTAGAGATAAACCAATCAAGAGTCGTATCAAATCAGAGACTCTTTTGCGAAACAACTATACATTTTCTGAGCAAAATGGTGTCGATCACTCGGGCGATCAACAACCAGGCAGCAGCAACACTACCTCCACTACCACCCCACACCACAGCAATCACCATCACAGCAACGCTGCTGGCGGACAACCACAACAACAACAACAGGGCGGTTACTACCCATATAGCAATGGTGGACACCGTACCCCATACTACACCACATCACAGAAAAATTAACAGACACGGCGGCTACCCCTACGGAGGTTGGGATCAGTCCTCGCAACCAGCTGGCGGCGCCGCTCAACCAAACGGCACATACGACAAAGACCATAGAAAGACATTCCGTTCAAAGGATGGTCAATCTACCCGTCCACCCAGATCATCGAGACCAGTCGGTGAAAATACCACTACCACCACTGCCTCTGGAGACCAAACCATCATAAATAATAACAAGACATTTTCAACAGACCGTCCAAGAAAACCACACACCAAATCATTAAACGGAAAGCCATCTTTTTCAAATAGCTCCAATACACAACAACCACAACAAAATAACGCCACTACTACTACCACTACTACCACCACACCAATCACAACCACTTCACAACCATCTGCCGATACCACACCTGCTGTCGCTACTGCTCCAGCCACCACCCAAACAACCGAAAATAACTCTGAATCTACCGTTGCACCAACCACCTCTACCTCTACCTCTTCCTCGTCTAGCAGATCTGGACCAAAACACCCAAAGGGAACTGTCCAACCACAACAAAATAGCACAAGAAAGGGACCAAAGGGAGCCAAGCGTGATGGTTCCGCATCAGGATCACCAACCACTGCTGCTGGCGTAACCTCTGAGGAGAAGCCAAAGAAGGTGCCAGCCCCACACCACTTCCCACCCCTTTTCAAGGGTGAGGAAGGCGAAATCAAAAAGAAGGAGTGGGGTCCATCCTCTTCCTCTTCGCCAGTTGTTGCTGCCGCTGCTGCTGCCGTCGTTGTCCCACCAACCACTTTGGTGTCGACTACCCCAGCTACCGCACCAGCTGTTGCCGCTCCATCATCGCCAGCCACCCCATCGGTCGTAGTCGTCTCGACCAACTCCAAGAAGAGCAGCAAGACCAAGAAGAACAAGGACGGAGAGAGAAAAAATAAGGAACCAAAGGAAAACAAGCCAAAGAGAGAAAAGAAGGACAAGGAAGCCACAACAGCTACTGTTGCTCCAGTCTCTACCCCATCTACCCCTGTCGCTCCATCTACCCCATCCACCTCTGCCACTGCTACCACTGCCACTATTGACAGTTCATCATCATCATCATCTTCATCTGAAATGAATGGAGTCTCCCCATCATCTTCATCTACCACCCCAGAAAAGAAACAACCAACCTATGCCGATATCATTCAAGGTGTTAAAGCTGCTGCCGCCGCCACTACCACCGCCTCTACTACCACACCTGCTGCTGCCCCTGCCGTCGCTGTTGTCGCTGAACCACAACCAACCAATTAAATTGACTTTTTAGACCCTTAAACAGGAAAGAAAAAGAAGAAAAAAAAAAAGAAAAGAAAAAGAAAAACAAGGAAAAAAAACAAAACAAAGAAAAAAACCCCTCCTCCTCCAATTTCCATCATATCAATTAGATTACCAAACATTTAATATACATATACATATATTCTCTCCTCTCTAATATTTATAAACGAAATGAACAAATAATTAACAAATAACAAATAACCATAATATGATAATAATAATAATAATAATAACAAACTAAAATAACCATAATTACTCCATTTTTTTTTTTTAAAAAAAAAAACAAAATAAAATCATCCTTAAAAAAAAAAACAAAATACCAAAGAAATGCAATCGATGATTGCAAAAGTAAAGTTTAAATTATTTGTGGTGATGGATTCCAGTCCATTCGATTTCACAGCCCAAAAAAAAACTTGATGTGATTTTTTCAATTTTTTTAATTATTTTTTTTGGTTTGAATCAGATCACAGAGTGCCAATTTGTCTTTATCTTGAAATTGATAGTACTAGAGTTTATATTTATACTTTTTCTATTTATTATTAGTTAGTACATAGTAGGCGTATATAGTATCAAATCATTGTATTATAGAGTTGTAGAAAGAAAGAGATATAAAAACACAACGACGGAATCAAAACAAAAAAACAAAAACAGACATACATCATTGTATCATTAGATAAGAGAAAGAGAAATAGAAAGAGATGAGTACATCAACAACATCTACTACATCAACAACAGGAACAGCTTCTGCTACTACCACTACCACTACCAACAATAACAATAACAATGGTGGACTAGTTGATCAATCAGCAGATAGAATCAAAAAGAGAGACCCAGGTAGAATTACAAAGGTCATCAAATGTGGGGTTGTTGGTGATGGTACTGTAGGAAAGACTACCCTACTCTTGTCATACATCACTCAAGCCTTTATCACAGAGTATACGGTATTATCATCTATTTTATTATTATTATTGGTGGATCATTGATAATCTAATCTATTCCTTTCTCTCTTTTTTCTTCCTCCTTTTAATCATTCTAATGGAACTCACAGCCTACTGTATTTGACAACTTCTCAGCTATTGAAGAGGTTGAAGATGGTAAATTGGTTAATGTCATTCTTTGGGATACTGCTGGTATGTACATAAAAACAATAACAATAGACATAGAATACTGATTACTGAACTGATACTGATCTGATATAATATATTATAGGTCAAGATGATTATGCACAAATTAGAACCACTTGTTATACCAATTGTAGATATGATGTTTTCCTTTTATGTTTTAGTGTTGTGAATAGAGATTCATTTGATAATGTAAAATACAAATGGTTGCCAGAACTCAAAGCAAATTCTCCAGGTACTCCATTCATTTTGGTTGGAACAAAGACTGATATGAGAGATAACAATGCTGCTACTCCTCAATTATCTGGACAAAGTCCTGTTATTACCTTTAAAGAAGTAAATTATAATAATCATTCATAATTTTAATCATCATATGATATTAATTTTTTTGTACAATTTGTAGGGACAAAAAAGAGCAAAGGAAATTAAAGCACATAATTATATGGAATGTACATCTAGAGATCCAGCTAGTGTTGCCAAGGTTGTATTGGAAGCTGTTGGTATTATTATGGAAAGAGATAAAGTAAAGAGAGTGGCAAATGAAAAGATTTGGAAAAAGGAGGTTAAAAAGGAGGAAAAGGAAGAGAAATTGATCCAAAAATCAAAGGAAAAGATGGAAAAACAAGGAAAATTCAGTAAAAAGACTCCAAGTCCTTCCAATCAATCACCAGAAGCTTCTCCTAAATTAGATAGAGCTTCATCTCCACCAAAATAATAAGAAAAGGAAAAGTAAAAGAAGAAGAAAAAGAAAGAGGAAGAAGTAAACGCGAATTGGAATACCAACATCCTTAACATCAAACAACAATAACAACAACACCAACAATAATACTTGTTTTTTTATTTCCAACAACAAAGGTGTTTGATGTGAATATGTTTCTATTACCAAAAGAAGAAGAAGAAAGAAGAAAAACAAAAAACCAACAAAAAAAACAAAACCCAAAAATTCATATTAAAAAATAATTGTAGTTTTAATTTATTATAAGAAGAACCCTAGTTTTTTTTTTTATTGGATCAATTTTATATAGATTGATCGATCAGTTAGCCAAGAGGTCGGACGATGACTGATTTCTTTTTTCAAACCCCACCCATTGCCCAGCTGCAGTGTTTGGTCAAGTTGGGTCAACTTTGTTTTTTTTTCAAAATTTTTTTTTTGGGCGGTTGCTTGCCAGATGAGTCTGCATCTTCACTTTTTATATTGTTGAAGAGATAATCATCGCCATATCTATATATATCATCATGTTCAAGTTATCAATCCTTTTATTAGCCCTTATTGCTTGTTTCTCCTTGGCTTTTGCCCAAGAAGTCAAGATTCTTAATACCGTAAGTAGATAGGAGATAAACAACAACTTTGTTGATGATAAACATATACATATAGTCTAACAATCGTCTGTCCATACATACATACATAATTGTCAATTCTAATTGGTTGTATTTTATAGAATATTCCAGCAGGATCATGTCAAGACAAGAGTATTGCCAATGGAGATAGAGTTTCAGTACTCTATGTTGGTAAACTCGAAGATGGAACAGTATTTGATGCCTCTGAGAAGCATGATAACAAGCCATTCACTTTTGTCGTAGGTGAAGGCAAAGTCATCCCAGGTATGTATACTAATGGCACCATAACCACTGTGGATTAAACTCTTTAAGATAAGTCTGTGTTTTCAGATATTAATCCATTTTTTATATTATATTGTTTGTAGGTTGGGAAAATGGTGTCATGGGAATGTGTTTGAATGAAAAGAGAGAGTTCTTGGTTCCATATCAATTGGCTTATGGTGAAGCTGGAATTCAAAATGTTATCCCAGAAAAGGCAAACCTTGTATTTACTGTCGATGTCGTAGAGATTGAAAAACTCTCTGAAATCCCACTCCTTTACAAGTTGATCCCAACTCGTGAGACTATTGGTGCTCTCATTATTGTTATTGGTTTTGTTTACATTGGAAAGTACGTTCTCTCTGCTTACCCATCACCAGTCGACAAGAAGGTTCCAAAGACCAAGTCTGCTGACAAGAAGAAGAAATAAATAAATAAATAAATAATATATACTAATAATAATCGAAAAACAAAAGAGATGATAGTTTATTATAGATAACTACAAATGGAAACTATATCGTATATTAATATGTGTTTATATAAAGATGGTTTATTTAGGATGGTTTATAATAAAATGTTTTCAAAAACAGAGGACATAGGAGATATATCGATATGAATATTGTGTACAATAATCAACTCAAGTTGATTATACTATGATTATTATTATTATAATGACTAGTTGAGATTCTTTTGGGGAGGATGATTTTGATGAATCCAAGTTTTAATTTGAGCGATTCTTTCTGAAGATCTTGGATGAGTAGATAACATGTTGGAATAGATATCTTCATCTTCACCCAAGGCACCCAATCTCTCTTGGATTCTAATGGCAGATTCAACGTTGAAACCAGATCGTTGGAGAATACCCAATCCAATAATATCAGCCTCAATCTCTTGTAGACGAGAGTAACTCAGTTCCAAAAGACGAGTAGAGAGGTAAGTGGTAAAGTTTCCAGTAATAGTTTCACCAATCAATCCACGTGTCAATGCCAACAATACAATTCCAATCTTGTACAATGACATATGTTCAGCTGTATGTCTTGCCAATGCATGTCCAATTTCATGTGATAGCACTGCAGCTAAAATAAATAAATAAAAAAAGAAATGGTAAGTTTTCTATATTTATATATATATATCTATTTTTCTTTTCTTTTTGATTTCTTTACCAAGATCTTCTTCAGTTTTAACAATTTGGAAAAGTCCAGAATAAACAAAGATCTTTCCAGTTGGTAGGACAAAAGCATTGACTTGATTACTATTGATGACATGGCATTCCCAAACCAAAGGTGGAGGATTTTCCAAGCTTTGGATCAATTTCTTGGCGACAAGACGTACTTGATTTTGGAGAGTGCTATTGTCTGGAAGCAATTGGTCACCATATTCGGCCATGATGGCTTCATAGCCCATATTACCAATTTCACACTCTTCATCGGCCGACAGTCCAATAAAACGAAGTCTACCAGTGATGGGAGTAGTCTCCATGTTTAGGTAGACATAGATTGATAGTAGTCCAGACACTACAACCAATGCAATACCAAATCGAAGTGCTTTGTTTCCTCGATTGATCCATTGTCTTATACCAGTCATTGCTATTGGTAAAACAATACGGATTGCCTTGGTCCAAACTACATAGTTTGGTAAATTGGAATGAAATTGTCTTTTCGACAATGATGATGATGACAGTTGTTCTTGTTGAAATAGTTTATTTTCAAATTTGTTGATTCCTCTTCTTAAACTTCTTCTTAGATGATTAACATCAAATTGTTCATTTATATTATTATTATTATTATTAAATGTTATAAACAATTGTTTGTTTTTTAAAAATTTACAATTATCATTATTATTATTAGTAGTAGTGTTATTATTAGTAGTTGTAGTATTGATATTGGTATTATTATAAAGGATTGATGATTTATTCGATTGATTTCTAATTAAAGAATCATGTGTATTTGTAAATTTTAAAAATGGAGATTCATTATTATTGGTGTAAAGGTTATTATTGTTGTTGTTGCTATTAGTATAAAATCGATTAAATGGTGATGATGATGATGATAAAGAAGTAGAAGTAGAAGTAGAAGAAGAAGAACAAGATGAAAGCTGTCTCTGTACAATACGACTACGAGAACAACCCGTGGCCTGTTTAAGATTATAGTGTACTAGTCGATTGATGAGATAGACATTATTGGTTTCTATTAACTTTTGTAACTTCATTCTTTCCTCCCCTCTCTCTCTCTCTCTCTCTTTTGATTCCTCTCCTCTCTTTTACTAAAAAGAGATATCCACAAATAATAATAATAGTAGTAAATAAATAAATAAAAACAAACAAATAAAACAACAAAGTGCTGAGCTTGTGTAAAAAGTGAGAATAAATTTTTTGTTCCGCCGATTAAATTGAGGAATTAATTAAATTAATCCAATCAATCAATCAATCAATCAATCAACCAATCTATACAAACAGGATTGATATTTGATCCTCGATGTAAATATATATATATATTTTATCTTATTCTTAGATTGATCGATCGATCGATTGAGATATCTTCTCTGTGAGGAGTGATCTTTGTATAAATTATTATGATTAAACTTTTTTTTTTAAAAGTTAATGGAATAAACAATGATCATCCATCTTCATGTACTTGGTCGATTAGGTCGGATTAATATATTATAGATTATATTATTATTTAATTTTATGTATGCTTTAAATTTCGGAGAAAAAAACCTCTTTTTTGTGAAGTCGACTTCATTGAGAAGATTTTATTAGGTCGATTACAATCTAATTTATTTGTATTTGTATTCTAGGTGTAGTAATAGTTGTAGTAGTAGTAATTACTATAGACATTGTTTATTGATATACTATGAGTAATAGTAACAACACAAACAAAATAACAAACTATTTTACATCGTCGTCGTCATCATCATCATCTTCATCGACGGTCGATGAGAATAGTGGTAATGGTAATAACAATGGCAACAAAAAGAGACCATCACCAGTATCTAGAAATGATACTATATTGGATCCAGTTCAATTACAAGATCTAAACAATTCAAATAACAATAACAATAATAATACAAATAATGGTAGTCGACAATCAACATCACCTACTTTGTCATATTCTACATCGACTACATCAACAACATCAACATCAACAATTAAACAAGGATCAACAGTAAAATCAGAACCAACACAACCACAACAAGATACTATTCAAATTGATTCACAAACAAAAAAGAGATCCAAACTAACTGAATCTAATAATAATAACAATAATAACAATAACAATAATAATAATAATAATAATAATAATAATAATAATAATAATAATAATCAACAACAACAAAAAGATAAATTGGAAGAAGATATTGAATTTGAATTTGAAGATGAAGGAGAAGATTCAAAGACTATATTTTTAGTTGGAGAACCTGGAGAACCAACAAGAGATACTTATAATGGAGACTATGTTAAATTGCCATGTTCATCAAAGAATGTATATAAAAAGGAGGACAAGTATCTCAGCAAGTGGTATCTTATCTGCACTGTATTCATGAATCCAATCAAGAATAGTGAAGAACTAGAAGATGCCATCAAAGAGATTAACCCTCGATGCAATTGGAACTTTCAAGGATTACATGACTTTTTCGAGACCGAGTACAGTGAAGCAGAGGCATTGGAGTTCTTTACAAAGATCCTCCCAAAGATTATCAAATTGGCACTCGAGATGCCCAATCTCTTTCCTCGTCCCATTCCACTACTCAAACAAAATGTAGATAGAGAAATTGTACTTTCTCAACGTCAAGTGTCTTGTCTAATGGCAAATGCTCTTCTCTGTACTTTTACTCGTCAAGGTCCAAATGTCAAACATCGAAACAACTTCCCATCTGTCAACTTTCACTCTCTCTACTCTGCTCCCTTGTCTCCTGCTAGATCTGCCAAACTTAAATGTATTATTCATTATTTTAAAAAGATTTTAAATCAACCAATTATTAGTATGTAAAATTAGAGAAAAGAAAAGAATACAAGTAGATTATTTATACTTTTGTCTTTTTTTTTTTAGAATTGGAAGAAAGTTTAATATCATATCATAGACAAGTTTTAAGTGATGATGAAACACCAGATTGGGAAAGTAGTAAAGTTTTATTAAGAAATCTAACTTGTTTGGCTGATGGTACCATTGAAGAAAATGGTATTGGAATGTTACAAGTTGATTTTGCCAATAAAGTAATTGGTGGTGGTGTTTTAGGTCATGTAAGTGCAAAACAAAAGTAGAGAGAGAGAGAGTAATTTTTAATAATTTATATTTATTATTTTTATTTTTAGGGATGTGTTCAAGAAGAAATTAGATTTTTAATTAATCCAGAATTAATTATATCTAGATTGTTTGTTGAAGAATTGGCAGAAAATGAGACTGTTATTATTATTGGAACTGAACAATTCTCAAAATACAGTGGCTATGGAGATACATTCACATGGGCAGGAGACTTTAACGATGAGACTGATAGAGACTCACTTGGTAGAAGAAAGACATCGATTGTTGCAATGGACGCTATCAAAATGTATGGTGATCGATTCAAGCAATTTGCACCAATACATGTTGGAAGAGAGTTGTTAAAGTCATATTGTGCCTTTTTCGATCGTTTGTCTGCCACTGTTCTTTCACCTGTTGCCTCTGGTAACTGGGGTTGTGGTGTCTTTGGTGGAGACAAGCACCTCAAATCGATCATTCAATACATGTCCTCTTCACAAGCCGGCAGAGATCTTGTGTACCATGCCTATGGCGATCCCCAGTTCTCACAGGAACTCCTCAGTATTGTTGTCAAGCTCCAATCAAGTGGTGCTACCATAGGAGAATTGTATGACTCTCTTTGGCAATACTATACATTAATGCAACAATCAAAATCGAGTTTAAGTTTATTTCAATATCTTGAAGCTCGTTTTGGTTAATTCATCTAAAAACACAAAACAAAACAAAATAAACAACAAAACTACTTGGTGAATTAACTCTCCATCTATTGGGATGTGGGGTGTAAATCACTATGAAAATCTCCAACAAAGGGGGTTGATCCATTTTTTTGGGGAGGTTGTGTTCTCTTGAAACAAACCTACCCCTATTATGGTATTACTGTAAGACAGACAGACAGAGAAGTTGTAGTGTATCAACAGTTGTGTTGCTGAGGAGGGAAAGATTAAATTTATCTCATATGAATTTCCAAGTTTCTATGTCTTTAGATTGAACAACTAGTTCGTAATTATACGTTTATAGAAATGTTTCATGTGTAAATAAAAGAGCGAAATAGAAGACTCGTGAAATCTGAGTTCGTATGCATCTGACAGATGCGATTGATATCTATACAGAACGAATCCAATCGTATGTACTCGTCGAGTGTGTTTTTAAGCTAAAAATAATGAGAGATTGAACCAGATATGATTTCGCCAGCGAGATATCAAGGGCTCATCCCCCAGAGCGATTGGGCGAGGTTTGAACTGAAACAAGCAAGCAAGCCATTAAAAGAAGGAAATTCATGAACATTTTACTATTCATCATCTTACTTCTTCTGCAACAGAACATCCACAACTATTTAAACAAATAATTCACAACTATTTATTTATCACAATTCAATAATCATGGAAGCTGTTACTATTACCCACGAAGAACCAACCAGATACTTTAGCAACGTTGATAGAAATGATCCAAAACAACTCATTGATTACATTGAAGGAATTGCCTTTACCGATGAAGTATGTATTTCCATAGATAGTCAGGTCGGAACAGTGGTACTACCCAATGGTGTTGATAGGAGTATATCAAAATTGTTGTGTGGTAGTTGAGAGTACAACAATTGTTGTACTATGGCGGGATATTATTATCCAAATATCACATCACCGACACACGAGATCAAGATCACTGACCATCCATCTTTTTTTTTTTTTTTTTTTTCAATTTAGATTCAATATGTAACCAAGACAGTATTCAATAGTTTAAATTTAAAGGCTGGTGATAAAGTTGCTGATCTTGGATGTGGAACTGGAAAGGATGCTGTTTTGATCTCCCATGCCATTGGACAAGAAGGTCTTTACATGGGTGTTGATCTCAGTGAAGAAATGGTTAAATATGCCGCCGAGAAATACATGCCACTTGGTAATGTCCAATTTAGTGCTGCTTCTGCAACTGATTCTCAATTGGAATCTGATTTTTATACTGTGTATGTTGGAAGATAAATAGATTGAAATATAGTATAAGTAATATCTAATATTTAAATGTTTTTTTTTATATTTGATTAGAGCAAAATGTGAAAGATTATTACAACATGTACCACAACCATCACAAGTTATTCAAGAGATGGTAAGAGTTGTTAAAAATGGTGGTCAATTATCAATTATCGATACCGATTGGGATAGTTCACAAGTTAGTAATGGTCAAGATCCAGTTATCAGAGATATTACCCGTCGTATCTTTTCTGCCGTCTTTAATCAACACAAGGATATTGGTGTCAACCTCAAAAAGATTCTCAAGGATAATGCCAATCTCACCAATATCAAAGTCAAGCCATTCCTCTTGACCACTGAATCACTCGATTTTGCCAACAAGATGTACTGTCTCACTTCAAGAGGTGAAGTTGCACTCCAACACGGGCTCATTAATGAAGCTGAATTTACTCAATGGAAGGCTGCTATGGATGAAATGGATAAGAATGGAATCTTTTATTTCACTCTCAATTACTTTACTGGCAATGCTATTGTTAAAAAGGATTAAAGTTAATTCTCATCTAAACAATATATACTTTCTGTCTTTTAAATAATAACCAACCAACCAACTAACTAACCCACAATGAGCAATTATTTATTTGCTTCATCTTCTAAATAATAATAATAAATTTTATCTTCCCTCTAATATATATTTTGTATTTAAAATGATTTATTTATTTAATTAATACTTAATTTTTTTTTCATTGAGCGAAGATCTTTTGAACAGTCGACTGTTTGTTTTTTTGCATTAATTAGATAAAGATAGATATATATATATTTAGATATATAAAGAATGTCAGGATATAATCAACCACCAGGATTAGGTAAAACAGAATGGGAAGATATTCAAATTAGATTGGGTAATATGAAGGCTCCACCAAAGAAGTTGTCAGAGGATGAATTGTTTGATCTCATTCAAGAGGCTGCTTCGATGGCTGCCGAACAAGAGAAACAAGACAAGTTAAACAATGCTACTCTTGATGAAATAGATGAAATGAAAGAAGATGCAGATGATGATGAAGAAATGACTCTTGAAAAGATTAGGTAAATAGAGAAGAGGGAAAAGACAAACAATGATATCATCTAACTTTTTATATGTAACAGAAAAAAGAGAATAGCAGAGATGAAAAAACAAGCAGAATTAAACAAGTTTGGTGAAGTCTATCATATTACAGAACCATCATACAAAAGAGAAGTAACTGAAGTTAAAAATATTTTTGTTATTGTTCATCTCTTTAATCAAGGGTAAATTGATCAATTTGGCAAACATACACATTATTATTGGTATTGGTTTACTTATTATTACTCTATTTATCTTTCTCTTAGTATTCCACATTGTCAATTAGTAAATGATTGTTTAAATCAATTGGCACCAAAATTCAAAGCATGTAAATTTGTAAAGATTAGAGCCGAGGAAGCTATTCATGGATACCCAGACAAGAATCTCCCAACTATATTAATCTATCGAAATGGTGATATTGTCAGTCAACTCATTACTCTGAGAGCTCTTGGAGGTGATAATATGACATTGAACGACTTGGAATTTGCACTCGCTCAATCCGGTGCCATTAAATCGGATTTGGAGAAAAACCCTAAAACTGGAAAGGTTGAAGACCCAAGCAAAAGAGATACTACTCCTATCAACCTTGGCAAGAAAAAGTATTATGATTCTGATGAAAGTGATGAAGATGATTAATATGTAAATATAAATAAATAGAATAGAATAGAATAGAATTAAACAAGAATGAAATGTGTGGAACATTGAAACTGTAGTATATGGTATTGACAACGTTGGTCAAAAAATCAAGTAGAACAAAACAATCATTCACTGTGTCACCTCTACGTTTTTCTTTCTGAATACGTTTGTGTTCAATCCATTGACAGTTGGGTACAAGCCCCTCTAAAACATGGGATAGTACGAATCACTGAAAATTGATCGGATGGACAAAACAAAAAAAAAAAACAAAAAAATACTTTGGGTAGATATTTTGTTGAATCGACAACAAGGATAAAACTCAAAGTCCTTTCACCAAAAAAAATCATTCATACATCATCAATCAATCTTGTAATAATAATAACTATATAATAATATCAACGACGACAAAGACGAGAATCATCCCTTTATAAAAAATGGCAATGGATGATAAGAAATTTGGTTGGGTTTTGGTTGGAGGCTTTTCATTTGTGATTGGAACGTTTTTCTTTTTATTATTCTTCTTTTTGTATATAAATCCAGTTTTAAAGGTTAGAAATGATTATTATGAAAAGGAATGTACTATTACTGGAACAACTATATTAAAATTTGGTTCTGGTTTTCAATGTAACTATTAAAAATTAAATATTAAATCTAAAAGGCTATACTCAAATTAACTAATATTATTATCATTTTATTTAATTAGGGAAATATTATCCATTAATTTTAACTCAATATAAAGATGATAATGGAGCGACAGTTGATGCACAATGTTCAGAGAATTTCTTTCAAATACATGCATCAGTTTATGGAAGTGGAAAAGCAGAGAGTTATATAGAAGATTTTACAGTTGGTGAAACAGTCAAATGTTGGGTGGACAATGATCTTGCATCACACTGTTTTATGAACACTAAAGTGCCTGGAGGTAATATTGCGCTAGTCAGTGTTTTATCAGGGTTCTTCTTTTTGATTACTCTCATCATCATCATCGTATACAGTGTCATAGCAATCAAAAAATTCTTTAACAAACTATTGGCTGCATAAATCAAAGCAAATCAAACAATAAAATAAAAAACAATTAAATTTATAATCTATAAACAACAATGATGATACGGAAACTAAACAACCGTAAAGTACGCACCTACAAAACAATGGGGGATACCCATCTTCCCCTCGTCCTCCTCTCCTTCACCTCGCACTCATCTCGACGCAACACACACGAACGAAAGAAAATAAAAAAAATTAAAAAAAAAACAATTATTGTGTTCACAACACGCGAGCTCTATTTGAGAGAAAGTTTTTTGAGAACTTTTTTTTAAAATTTTTTTTTCTCTTCCCCTCAGAGGTAAGCTCATATATTTATCTTTTTTTCTCTCTCTTTCTTTTTGTTAACTTTTTCGCAGTCTTGTGAACATGTAATATCAATCCTAACAATTCAAAACAAAAAACAAACAAAAACTACTCTACATTCTTTATACTCAATCAATCATCATCTAGTCTAGTTCTAGACTATTACTCTTTGTTTGTTTGTTTGTTTGTTCGTTCGTTCGTTTCGTGTTTTATCAAGTTCACAAAACGAAGAAGGCTGAAGATCAAACAATTATATTCATCGATTGGACTAGGCAGTTGGTTGTGTTCAACTTTTTTTCCTACCTTTTTTATCGACGTTTATTGATGTCGTTACTCGACTCGACGAGAAAATAATACAACATTAAATAATTATTTAAAATTCAAAAAAAATCACCACACCCACAATCCAATTGTCGAATAGTAGTATTTCTGTCGATGGTACCATTTGTATATTATTTATTTATTTGTTCAACAGTTACAATAATAACATATAAAAAAAAAACTCAAAGTAAGATAAAGATAGGATATCTATTTATTATTTCTTTTATTTCTCTTGTTTACAAATATATTACATCTTACAATCCACATCCACATTCACATCCATCTTTTTTTAAAAATAATTAAAAGACATACACCATAGATTTATTTTTTGATAACAATATAAATATTATTGTTTTTTTTTTTTTTTTTTTACTTTTTCCCTCTTTTAGACATTACTACAAATCTATTTTAGTAGTTTTTTTTTTTTTTTTTTACACAAAACTTCAAAATACTCTTATTTTTTTTAAAATTAATTCTAATATATATTTCCAATCCATAATTATTTTTAACCAATTTATTTATTTATTATCTTTCTGATGATATCTTTTAGATAATAAATTCATTCAAGAATTAGTCGCTATATGCCAATTGAAAAGTCAAAAGAAAATGATGGTAATACCCTGAATAATAATTTTTCAGGGCTAACCATCTCTAATGAAGGTAAGAACAACCAGCAACAATCCTCAGCCCCAGCCGGAAACAGTTCATCCGGACCAAAGCTTGGAGGAGACAAGTACGTTCCACCACACCTCAGACGTGAACAACAACAACGTGAATTAGATGAACGTGAACGTCAAACTGACAATGGTGGAAAGGGAGGTCGTGATGGTAACAACAACAGTGCCCCACGCGGAGTCGAAGGTGGTCGTACCATGACCCGTGAAGACCGTCCCCAAGAAAAAGACCCACGTGACTTTAGAGACGAAGCCCCCCGTTCTACTGGTGGTTACTCTCGTGAAGACAACAACGGCTACCGTGGTGGTCGTGGTGGTTCAAACTATTCCCCATCCTACCGTGGAGGTGGTGGTGGCGGTGGTGGTTGGGACCGTGGTAGTGGAGGTGGTTATGGTGGCTCGCCATCCTACACCCGTCCATCTGCCTTTGGTAACAACAACCGTGGAAGCGGTGGTGGTTACGGTAAAGGTAGAATCGACCGTTATTATGAAAAGTGGAATCAATTCAAGGATTCCAGAGTTCATAAGGATATGAAGGTAAGAAAAAAGAAACAAATCAAAAAAGAAAAACAAAATATACTTACTTTTTTTTTATTACTTGTTTGTAGAGAGACGAAATTACTTTAGATGAAAAGACAGCTGAAGAAATTTTCAAGTCAAAGGGTAATCATGGTATTGATTTTGATTCAGTTGATGATGATGACATTTCAATTGAAACCAGTGAACACATTTGTGCTGCTCTCAACTCTTTTATGGATGTTGATCTCGGAGATGTCCTCTTCCGTAACATCCAGTACGCCAAGTACACTCGTCCAACCCCCGTCCAAAAGAGCGCTCTCCCAATCATCATGAAGGAACGTGATTTGATGGCCTGTGCCCAAACTGGTTCCGGAAAGACTGCCGCTTTCCTCTTCCCCATCATCTCATCCATCCTCTTGGACGGTGCCCCAGAACCACCCGCTGCCTACCGTCCAGGTGTCCCACGTCCAGTTCACCCACGTGCCCTCGTCCTCGCCCCAACTCGTGAGCTCGCCCAACAAATCTACGAAGAGTCTGTCAAGTTCTCGTACGGTTCACCAGTTGCCTCGGTTGTCGTCTATGGTGGTGCTGAAATCTCTCAACAAATCGCCGAACTCGACCGTGGTTGTGATATCTTGGTTGCCACTACCGGTCGTCTCGTCGATCTCTTGTCCCGTGGCCGTGTCTCTTTGAGCCAAGTCAAGTTCCTCGTACTCGATGAGGCCGATCGTATGTTGGATATGGGTTTCGAACCACAAATCCGTCAAATCATCCAAGACCACGATCTCCCATGCAACAAGGATCGTCAAACACTCATGTTTTCTGCCACCTTCCCCAAGCCAATCCAGAACCTCGCTTCTGATTTCCTCGACAACTACATCTTCCTCAAGGTCGGCGTTATTGGTACCACTCAAAACATCACCCAGCGTATCGAGTATGTACCAGACGATGAAAAGAACTCGACCCTCCTCGATTTCCTCGAGACCTTGACCAAGTCCCAAGCCCTCACCCTCATCTTTGTCGAAACCAAGCGTCTCTGCGACAGTCTTACCGTCTTCCTCAACAGTCGTGGTTACCCAACCACCTGTATCCACGGTGATTTGTCCCAATACGAACGTGAGAGTGCCCTCAACTCTTTCCGTAGTGGAAACACCCCATTCTTGGTCGCCACTGATGTCGCCTCTAGGGGTTTGCATATTCCAAACGTTATGCACGTCATCAACTATGATCTTCCAAACGATGTCCACGTTTACGTCCATCGTATCGGTCGTACTGGTCGTGCCGGTAAGAAGGGTAATGCCATTTCCTTCTTTAACGAAAAGAACAAGCCAATCGCCCAAGAACTCTTCCAATTGATGAAAAAGTCCAACCAAGAAGTCCCAGATTGGTTCGATCGTTCCGTCAACTCTTTCCGTCCAAGCAAGGGTGGTCCACCCCAAAAGCGTTACAACAACAATGACAACTTTGGCAGACACTACAACAACAACCGTGGTGGTGATCGTGAAGACCGTTACTCTGGTGGTGGTGGTGGCCGTTCTGGTGGCGGTGGTGGTGGTCGTGGTGGAAACAGTGACGACTACTCTGGTTACCAACAACAATACATGGGTGGTGGCGGCGGTGGCAGCTATGGTGGTAGTTACAACTAAAGATCCAAAGAGCCAATCCAAGCTAATCCAATCCCCCCCCCCCCCCCCCATCTTTTTAATTAAATAAATTCTCTCAATATCCAAATTTAATTAAATCAAATATTTTTAAAGTTTTATTTGTATTTCTCTTTATTCTTTTTTGTTGACATCTTTCAGGTGATGCTGAAATTTCGAGCTTTGTGATCACAAAAAAAAAAAAATCAACCATCGAAATGAGTTGAAACAATCGATTCAACGAATCGACCTCAACTTTTAAAATTTATAAATTAATTAATTGGGTACCAAGATATTAATTAAAATAGTTTTGGTGAAATATGTACAAGTGATGATCAATGTTCTCAATATTTAAGTTGTACTTCTGGAGTTTGCACTAATCCCATTTCTCCATCTTGTAAAACTGGATCTGGTACCAACAATGCCTTGTGTCCAACCAATCAATATTGCAATACTACAAATGCTATCTGTGAAGATTTACGTCCACTTGGTGCCAATTGTTCTGGACTTGAAACATGTCAAAAAGGAATGTTTTGTACACCTGTTACCCAATATTGGACAACATGTCAACCAAGATTCTCTCTCCAAGAAGGAAGTATCTGTAGGGATAGTGTTCAATGTGATTCAACCAAGAATCTGTATTGTGGTCCACAAAACAATGCAATTCGATATTGTGAAAAGTTCCCAGCCATTGAACCATCCTACAATTGTTACACCAACGGTTCGTGCGGAAACAACTATATCTGTGGTTGTAGCTCAACTCCATCAACTGGTTCCTGTAAAGTCCAATTTGCCCTAACCCAAGAATGCCAAAATGTCTTTGGTAAATACACTGATTGCATAAATCAATGTCCAAGGGTTACCAACCCTGTTGCTTCTAGTTGTATTAATAGTTGCAATCGTTATGGAAATGTCCTCCCAGTTTGTTCTCCATACTATACTTGTTACAAGTATCAAGCCCCAACTGATACCTCTTCATCAAGTGTATCAATGTCATCAAACCAAAAAGAAATATCATTTATTATTCTATTCTTTATCTCAATAGTAAACATCATTACTTTTCTTTAAAAGATAACAAACAATAAACATTATTTATTTATGAGACCAACCAATTAATATATATTGTATTGATTATATTAAAAATGAATTTGGTTTATTTAACGAGAAGAGGATATTCTAATATTACGATTATCATTATGATCAAACTTGAAATAGAGAGGATTATTATTGTTTAGATTATAGAATCCTCCCATTAGAGAAGCTCCTTCTAATAACAATACATGACCATTTCCAATTCTTCTAATTTTTAAAAGGAAATCTACTCCAACAATGTCAAATCTAATTTCTTGTACATTGCTCTTTAAAATGATTCTATCCAATCTAATATCTTTTGCCGATGAAGAGATATTCAAACGTACCAATGAATTTGGTAAAAGGAGTGATTGGTTTGGGTTTAAATGTTTTCCATTAAATTGGATTGATGAGATAATATTGTCTTTATCACCTGCTCCCCAATAACTAAATGTTTCGACCAATTTGGGAATGAGTGTTGGTAGAGTATATCCATTTACAAATGAATATTTGACACTCTTTATAGTTTGTGCAAATAGAGGAACGGGGTTGGTGTTGCTTGTTCCAAACCACACTAGTTTATCTAATCGATCGAGATACCCGATGTCCTTGGTGGCTCCATCATAATTATCGATTGATAGCTTACGTAGAGTCGATGGTACAAAAGCAGGTTCAATGGGACCTCGGTATCTATACATGTATAGACGTGTTAGACTGGGAGGGAAACATCCCTGTTCCAACAGTCCTGTGCTGTTTACACCAAAAAATAACTCTACCGACTCGAGTACCTGTGATGAAAAGACGTGTGATGGTATTGGCGCATGGCATCCATACAATGTCAACCTTTTAAGACTTGACAATGTACCTGGTGGTAGATTGACGATATATTGTGCTGAAATATACAATTTCTCTACTCCAACATAGAATGAAGGCATTAGATAACAGTTGATATTTGGTGTAAGAATCTTTAGATTGCCACTTGTTGTTGGTGGTAGAATATCCGATGATTCCAAAGTTGTGCATTGTGATGAGATGGATAGCTTGTTGAGTTGGACCAAATTTTCTAAATTCAATTTAAATCTTTCGGTAGAATCTACCAACAATCCAAGATTGGTGAGGGTTGGTGGGAATAGATATTCATGTGTTGGAAGAGGTGAAGGGATTTCTTCAACAGATATTGTGAGTGATGTCAATGTGTTTGGGAATATGTTTGGGTTTCCGAGACCAATTACATCACATCTAAGATCGATAGTATGTAGACACGTATTGACCAATCCGAGCATACCAAGATCTACAATGGTTTGATTAATCATAGATGAACTATTCAAAACCTTTAACGACCGAGGAAGACATTTTAAACCTTCAAAGTTTGACAATGTTAGTTCTGTCAGTGTATCAGGTAATTGACCTTGATCAATCTTGAATACATTGTCCAACGACAAACGAACCAATCCTTTAGGTAACAATTCCGTTGGTATAGATTGAAATGGTATATCTTCATCTTCCTCTTCTTCTTCTTCTTCATCATCATCTTGATTGGGCCATACCTTTTCTAAAGGATAGATTGATAGTGATTGAGTGTTTTTTGGTATACCCTCCTTGATATATCTTGATAAATGTTTGACTATTTCTTTTTCTGGTATTGCAACAACTACCTTTTCAATCACACTATCATTATTATTATTATTAGAAGAGGATGATGATGATGGTAATGATGTAATGTAAAGTTGATTTGACAATGAATTATTAAACCATTGTTTAAATGATTGAAGGTATAGTGATGTATTGATAACTTGTTCAGTTATAGGATTTATGGTTGGTCTTGCATGTGCAAATTCTTTGATATAGGATGACAGGTCGAATGCAAGACTACTCGAGTACTGTCCTCTAATATCGATAAAGAATCTTTTGCAAGTAAAGAATAGACACACCAAATCTACATTGTCTCCAATATACCCAATAATCTTTAAAATAATTCTATTTGGTAAATGATTATCGGTTAAATAACATTTGTTGTTAATGTCTTGCATTCTGATGTTTTCTAAAAATTAAACAATAACCGTGAAGTTATGTGAGTATTTATTTTCTCTTCAAAGACTAAAAGTGCAATTGTGAATAGGATGTTATAGGATTGTCGTAGCTGAAATAACTTGTTTTAGAAAGGTCAGAGTGTTCGAAAACTCTAGAGGCATCATAAAAAGTTTGATTTTCCAGAGATTGACCAAATCCTAACTTTATGGTTGCAATGTTTTTCAATATTGTATTGAGTGTCCCCAATCTTAGCTGAGCATCAAGTATTAAAAGTGATTTTGATGCAAGTACACCTACATGAAACATGTTGTAACTGATGCTCACTCCTCGAGTCAACCTAAAATGAGTGATCGATGTGTTTCTTGCAAGCATGTCAGATACCAATTTGTAATTTTGCTCATAAAGATGGATAGGACCTGTCAAACAAATCTCCAATTGTCTGATGTTTTGGTTGGTTGAAAGTGCATCAAATAGCGATGGTGTGTTTAAGGATGGTGCTTCCATTGAAAGACTTTGAATACTTTTGTTTTCAATCAACATCTTTGCAAATGGCGATGCAAGTTCTTCAGATAGATCGTTAAAACCTCCACCATCCAGTATTAACATTTTCATACTCTGATGCGTAGCAATCGAGTTACAAAGTTGGTTCCAATGTTGTTTGGCGAGTTTGCTGGCCGCCACATTTGTTTGATTTTTAGTGGACGATAATAATAATATTTTATCAAACTTGATATTAAAGTATATGGTTTCGAGTTGAGCATTCGAGTTGATGATGGTGACAAGTTCCTTTAGTTGAAACATTCCAAAGTTGATTTGGGTAAATCTCTCAGGTACACTTCTCCATATCCACAATTGGTGTTGAGACAATGACTGATTGATGTTACACCAATACTTTACATAGTTTTCAAGTATGGTTTGGTATGTTTGCAAATCTGAGCTCTCTCCTGAATCACCACGATGAATAGACACACTGGCTCTCTTGATACAAGGTGATGATAGTTGTACGAGACCATCCAAACTATTTCTATCCAACTCGACACGTCCCATTCTAATTTCAATGTATGGAAATTGTTCAATGATCTCAATTGTTGATTGTTTGTGTAGAGTATCATTGATTCCAAGTTGGTGGTGGTATGTCTGAGTAAATCCAATAAATGATCATCGGTATTATACTCTTTTGTATGTTTATAAATAAAAGTTGAAATATAGTCACGACTAAATAACGAGTATTCTTTTGACAATTGATTCTTTACTCCTTACCGTAGCATTTTTCTATTGATTCTTTGTCTTCTTCTTTATGTGAGATATTTAAATCACCAAAATAAGTTGAATATATTGTAATGTGTGGTTGTACAAGTTTAAACCATTGTTTGCACACCATTAATATCCTTTTTGTGAGTTGATATTGTTCTGTTGCTTCATCTTGAAGCCCCTCTTTCCTGATAGAATATTCTTTCGTTCTTTATTTCATTCTCTTCTAGTCTATATAATTCTTTGATGATTGATGAACTGATAAATATATTCATAGTAGATAAAATAAGATAAGAGAGTGCGTGTAAATACTAGCATCTTTTTGTGCTCATAAAATGTTCATTTGGTCCATTTCAGATGACTATTTATTTCTGTTGTAATAAATTAATTAGTTTTCATTTGTTTTAATCGTCATTGTCAGATTGATTAAGGTCATCATCTAATAATAATAAATCATCTGGATTTAAAGTATTTCTTTTGTTATCTTTGATTGGAGTTAATTTGGAATTGGAAATGATCGATTTAAAACTACTACTACTATTATTATTAAAAGATTGATTATTCTTTTTAAATGAACTTTCACCAAAATCGATTTCATCGTCTTCAATGAGAGCTTGGTCTACAGAATCTTCGACCCAATTAAATTCGTCGTCTTCTTTTTTTACTATACTATTTCTATTACTGCTATTGTTACTGCTGTTACCATTACTACTATTACCATTACTATTATTATTACTATTATTATTATTATTATTATTTACATGACTAGTGTCTAATTCATCGATTGATAATTCGTCTATACCTTTTCTAGCATCACGAATATTGTTTGCCAAAGCATCTGATATTTGATTGAATTGATTTGATTCTGAATTTAATGAATCAATTTCCATTTCAATGTTTGCCAATGATTCTACAAGAGTATTACTGTATTGCATAAGATCTTCGACATTATTGATCCCAGTTACATCTCTACTCAACCATTTTTCATCCAATAATGATTGATCCTTGTCATCAACATTGATTGGTGGTGATGTTGTATCAATGTCGTCATCATCAACAGCAGACGTAACAGTAATAAATTTCTTTTTAGTTGATAATGTTTCTGTTGTAGGGGTGGAGAGTGGTTTGTTGATGGTACTAGTTGTAGAACCAGGAGTGATTGATTTTCTTTGTGGTAAAGATGAAGATGAAACTGATTTTGATAATCTACCAACAGGTGAGGTTGAAGTTGTAGTACTCGTAGTACTAGTACTAGTACTAGCATTAGTATTGCTAGGTCCAGCAGTACTATTTGATAATGAAGTTTTTGAAGATGATTTTGTTAGAGTGGCAGGTGGTTTGTTAATTTGAGTCGTAAGGTTTTGTACTGCTGCCGATTTGATTTGATTGGCTTTAAGAGTTTGAGAAAGGGTTGGTTTTGTACCTGTTGGCGCCGATGTTGGTAATCTACTTCCAATACTACTAGCTCTTCCTGTTTGTGTTGATGTATTTGGACTGGTTGATGATAAAGGTTTTGACAAATTTGAAAGTGACGATGTTGGTGTTGATAAAGTGGAAGAAATAGGTGTTCTAGTTGTACCCAAACTGCTCTTACTTCTAACAATTAAAGATGCATCCAATTTTTTGGCAGCTGTCAATGGAGCTGTGCTAGTACTCGGACCTGCACTTGATGATAATGTTTGATTCATACCTAAACTAGACCCAGATCGTCTGGGTATTCCTGAAACGTTTGATGATCCTGATGAAGATGTAGTTGTTGTACTGGTTGTACTTGTAGTAACTCTACTTTTTAAACCAGATGCACGACCTGATGCTGTGGTCGTGGTCGACGTAGAGGAGGTTGGAGTTTTAGCACGTGCACCATTGACAACTACTTTATTATCACCCTTTTTAAAATCTGTCATATCCAACTCTACATCCATACTTTCTGTTACTTTGGCCAAGTTTTCAGCTTCTTCCAACTGCATTTGGTGTATACGAGAAGCCAATTCAAATTGGGCGGGTGGTAGTTGATCGAGCATGGCAAATAGATTCTTTTGTGTGGTGGGTGTGTATGCATAGAGCATGGGCATTGCACCCTTTTCGTTGAGTTCACAGTATGCCCAAAATGCAAGACGTGCCAACGCACGAATATCCGATCCTCCATCAATCAACAATGCCGTGACGGCACGTTCGAGCAATGGAACACTTGTCAATAGGATCATACCCGGTTCTTCAATGGCACGTGTCAAAATAACCAATATGTACTCTGCTGAACGTCTACGTAACTGTTCGTTGTGTTGGTCTTGCGAAGCAGTGACAATACTCTGCAACAAACCCTTTGTTTGGACATTATTGAGTATGGCCAAGATGGCAGCATGTGCAGCTTCAGCTGTAATAGTCACCTTGACAACTACAACCTTGAGCAACGCCTGTAGATAGAGCAGAGCAAATGGTTCAAACCTTGCTTTTAGACGAAGTGCCAACAACTCTACCACTGCACATGCTTCTTTGACAATAGTCGAACGTACCTCTGTCACTTGTTCAATCAATGATGTCGATATTGATCTGAGATAGACTGTAAACTGTTTCAATTCTATTCCACTACCATTCACTATTCTCTGTAATTGTATCAATGCTTTGTATCTATGTGACCAATCTCTTGACTCTTTTGATTTAAATTCATTATTTATATCTTCTATTTGTTTAAATAATTCTTTTTCATTATCAAACTAAAAAAGAAAAGTAAAATCTTAGATCAATACTAAACTACAACTATAACATTTCATTCATTTAAACTTACATCAATTGGTGAAGTATCTATTTTAGTTGCAGGTGATAATAATCTTGATGTTGTAGGTGATGATGATGATGAAGTAGTTGTTGTTGTTGGTGATGATGATGAAGTTGTTGAAAGTCTTGATCTAACTTTATTCTCCATCATTTTTTATCTCTATATCTCTTTCTCTCTCTCTCTATCTCTCTCTCTTTTCAAAGTATTACACAACCTACTACTTTTATTTTGTTCAAAATTCATCGCAATGTAAAAAAAAAAAAAAAATTACCCTTTTTGAAGTGGTTTGGTTGTTAATTAATTAATTTTTAAAGTTTCAAATTTATAATTTATTAATTTGATCAATGATAATACCAGTTGGATCTTCAGATAGGACAATATTTAAAACTTGACATTAACTCCATTACATCCATTCTGATTTGACTTGTATCGATGATTGCGGTGAAAGGGTAATGGCAAAGAGAGCATCGAAACCACCTGCACCTGGAACACCAGCGGCGACACATCCCAATACCTCCATTGTCTTGTTGGCAAGATCAGTTTGTTCTTTTTGGTTCAAGTGGTACTTGAGCAATATCACCCATTTGTCTCATTAATGTACGAACTTGGGTGATGGCACTACGCAAAAGACACAATTGCTTTGCAACCGATCCATCATCTTGCTTCCACTCGGACTGTGCCAATTGTGAGTATTTGTCAATTGTCTCGTTATAAGATTGTTGATTGTTTGCGTAGAGTTGGTGTAATTGTTCAAATGAATTTTTAACCTGTGTATTGTTATTATCGAGTTGTGTCCAAAGTGCAAGTGATTGCTCTGGATTGGATTTACGCCATTCCAATATCTTTTTAACCATAACCGGTGTATTTGATCCGATACTAACATCTGCCAACAACAATTCTAGTTTTGGTGGTAATGCCATTGGTTTGTTTTCATTGTCCCAATCGACTAGTCCATCACTCTTGATCAATTTACCATTAAATTTATAATCTTTTGGTAATATACTTTTTAATAATTGATTAGATGTTGGTAATTTATTTTCATCATACTATAAAAAAATAGAAAAAAAAAAAAAAAAAAAGTAAGTAAAGTATTACTAATAATAGTTGATTTTTAATAATATTTCTTCATACAAGATTTAAAATTGATTGAATTAAACTAGGAGAGAATCTACGATATATTTGACTACCATAGACAGCACTACTAATATCAAAACCACTACCAATTTTACCTTGAGCTACACAATGACATAGTTGAGCTAGGTTGTGTAATAATGCTCTTTGTTGTTTGTCGTTTGCTCTGAGATCGATAGCACCAAAATACGATAGAATAGCAGCGGTCAATGAACCAACCAATGCAGCTGAACTACCAAGTCCAGTCTTTTGTAAATCATCCAATGAACATTCCAATGGCAAGAATGCAGGTAAAGATTTTAATGATTCATATGTAATTGGTAATCCTCTAGATTTTAACTAAAACACGTAGAAAATCATAAGATTGTTAGAATCTTGAATGTTTACATCCTATTTTTTTAGTCATACTTGAGGAATTTGTGAATAAAAGTCATTACCACCAAGAATAGTGATTTCAAGACCCTTTGAAATGATTGAAAGGAATTGACTATTTGGTAGAATAGCAGAGAGAGCAATAAAACTATAGAGAAGTGTCTTTTCAACATATTTGTTTGATTTGAATTGATCAATGTAAAGAGGATCGGCAATGATATCGATTTGTTGTTTATCGACATCACCCAAATCACTATATTTGAATTGATAGTATTGTCTTGATTTAAATTGTGGTGATACTACTATCATTGGGTATGATCCAGATAAAGAAGAAGATGATGATGATGATGGGTTTGAATTGATAGATTTGACAATACTATAGAATCTTGAATTAATTGTCAATACTAAACCATCATATAAACGATCAAGTACCAAGTATCCACCTGTTACCAATACTTTTCCTGGTGCCGAACAACAAACTTCTTCCATCTCTTGACAATCCAAGTAGTGTCTTTTGTCTATCTCTCTCTTTTAATACAAAGAACAACAAAAAAAAAAAAACCTCATCAGCAGATGCAATATTGATGCGCTCAAAAAAAAAAATTATAATATAGTAATAACTTTAACTTTCTGTTGATTTATTGTTCTTGTAATGACAAGAACAAATCGATCGTACAAACAATTCAAGTCAATAATATTGTGTTACAAAGATACTTTATATAAAACTATATAGTTATAACAAACACGACATTATTGACTAGTAGTAGTAGTAGTAGTAGTAGTTGTTGATATTTACTCTACAAACTACTTTTAATGTTGTGATATTATTAATTAAATAGAGTAGTCTTTCGGAAAACAAAGATAAAAATAAAACTTTTTAATCAGAATTTTCTATTGCTCAAACGATTATCCAGTATAGTTTCACCAGGTCAAAGAAAAGAAACTGGTCGCTTGAACTTTTTTTGAAGAGTAACGCGTTCCAACCTTTTTTTTTTTTTTGTTCCAAATTTTTTATAAATCTCTCCTCTCTTTCATTTTGCCTATCTCATTTCTCTCCTCTTTTTTTATATCACTTTTTGTAGCATCATAGAGAGATAACTTTATAGGTAAGAAGGAAAACAGACAATCAGATGACACAATATCAAAAACGAATATAGAGTAAAAATAAGTAGTAAATAACGAGAAAAGGTCAAAACACAACATCAACAACAACAACAACAACAACAACAACAATTCTGCCGCAGTGTTGAAAAGAACAACAACAAATATAAGATATCTACTACAGTTATATATCTATACAACACAAACAACAAAAGATATACAAAACAAAACAAAGAAAAGAAAAAAAAAGATAATCTTTTTATAGGTTATAGTTACTTTTTTTGTTTTTTCAACTATTACGAATACTCTATTATTATAACACGACGAGTCTATTATTAAAACTCGAAAGAACCGTTTTTTTTTTATATTCATAATTTAAACAATAGTACTATTATTAACTCTCTCTCTATATTTCATTTTATATATATATATATATTTGTACCATCTCTATATTGTACCTTTAGATTATTAGGTGTAATTTTTTTATTTATTACATTCGCGTATACAACACTTTTGGTTTTTTTAGTATTGACGCGACAATCAAAACACCATTAATATTCATATAGGAGAAGTTACCAAACAAAAAGAATGGCCTCTTTCTTCTCTACACCACTTTGGAGATCATCTCCAATGCAAATGGTACAATTATTTGTACAAATTGAAGCTGCTCATGATACCGTCGACGAATTGGGTAAATTGGGTTTAATTCAATTCATTGATGTATGTAAACAAAACTAAATGAAATGAACCCTAAAATATCTAAAATCATATGATAATTAATTCTTTCTTTTTCTCCTTTTTTCTCTTCTTTTTTTTAGCACAATGAAAATGTTAATGCATTCCAAAGATATTTCGTAAATGAAGTAAAGAGATGTGATGAAATGGAAAGAAAACTTAAATATTTTGAAGATCAAATTAAAAAGGAACCAAAGATTTACAAAAAGTTGGAACAATTACAACAAGAGCCAACCGATGTACCAGCCGAAGAAGCCTTGCAAATGGACGAATTAGAGACACGTTTTGACGAACTCGAACTCGAACTCAAGCAAGCCAACAACAATTTGGAAACCCTCCAAAGAAACTACAACGAATTGATCCAATTGCGTTATGTACTCACCAAGGATGCCGTCTTTTTCCAAGAGAATCCAAACTTGGCCGGTCCACAAGGTGAACACTCTGCCAGAAGCCCACTCTTGTCCGAGGAAGCCATCGTTGACGTTGGCAAGCAAGGTGTCAAGCTCGGTTTCATTACCGGTGTCATGAACACTGAAAAGATGCCAGCTTTCCAACGTTCACTCTGGAGAGCCACCCGTGGTAACAATTTCGTCAGAGACGCCTTGATCGAAGAGGATATTGTCGACCCACACTCTGGTGAAGAGGTCTGCAAGACTGTATTTATCGTATTCTTCCAAGGTGACCGTCTCCAAACCAAGATTAAAAAGATCTGTGAATCTTTTGGTGCCAACATTTACGACTGTCCAGACACTTCTTTTGAACGTGCCAACCTCCTCCAAAAGGTTTCCGTCCGTATCCAAGATCTCTCTGTCGTTCTCGACCGTTCCAAGGACCACAAGCGTCAAGTCTTGCTCGGCATTGTCTCGCGTCACTCTCTCTGGACCACCAAGGTTCTCAAGGAAAAGTCCATCTATCACACTATGAATCTTTTCGACTATGATGTCGGTCGTAAGTGTTTGATTGCCAAGGGTTGGTGTCCAAAGACCTCGACCGAAGCCATCCAAATCGCTCTCAAGACTGCCACCACTCGTAGCGGTGCTCTTGTCCCATCGGTCCTCTCGGTCATCAAGCCAGAAGGCGATGCTCCAACCCATTTTGAGACCAACAAATACACCAAGTCGTTCCAAGACATTGTACACGCCTATGGTATTGCTCATTACCGTGAAATCAATCCAGCTGTCATGACTATTGTCACTTTCCCATTCCTCTTTGGTGTTATGTTTGGTGATGTTGGTCACGGTGTGATGATGTTGGCTGCCTCCATTGCACTCATCCTACTCGAAAAGAAGTTGGACGGCAAAAAGCTCAACGAAATCATCAAGATGCCATACGACGGTCGTTATGTACTCTTCCTCATGTCTCTCTTTGGTATCTATGTCGGTTTCATCTACAACGAACTCTTTTCCATCCCAATGGACATTTTCGGCTCCAACTATAAAAACATCGATGGCGTCATGGTCCAAACCGATGTCAACCGTACCTACCCATTCGGTGTCGATCCAGTCTGGAAGGGTGCTCCAAACGAATTGGACTATTACAACTCTTTCAAGATGAAGTTGTCTGTTATCTTTGGTATCATTCAAATGTCTGTCGGTATCGTCTTTTCCTTGCTCAACTATCTCAACCAAAAGGGCAAGATCAAGTGGATCAACATTTTAACTCAATTTATTCCACAAGTCATCTTTTTATGGTCTATTTTCGGTTACATGTGTTTCATCATCTTCCTCAAGTGGATCCACCCATACCATCGTCTCGGCACTGATCCACCATTTGTTCTCCCACTCATCATTGCTATGTTCCTCCAACCAGGTACCGCCCCAGAACCCCTCCTCTACCAAGGTCAACACACTGTCCAATTGATCCTCCTCTTTGCCGCCTTTATCTCGGTGCCAATCATGCTTATTCCAAAGCCATTGATCTTGAAAAAGATGCACGAGGATGAAGTCAAGGCCAAGGCTCTTGGTCAATTCCACGAAGAAGAACATGACGACGAAGAACTCGTCATTGGCGGTCACGGTGATCACTTTGAATTTGGTGAAGTCTTTGTTCATCAAGTTATTCACACTATCGAATTCGTACTCGGTGCCATCTCCAACACTGCCTCTTATCTCCGTCTTTGGGCTCTTTCTTTGGCTCACTCTGAATTGTCAACTGTATTCTGGGAACGTATCCTCATTGGTCAGATCCAAGGTGGTAATCCATTCATGGCTTTCATTGGTTTTGGCGCTTGGTTGGGTGGAAGTATCGCAGTTTTGCTTATTATGGAAAGTCTTTCAGCTTTTTTGCATGCATTGAGATTGCACTGGGTAGAATTCCAAAATAAGTTTTATATTGGTAATTTTTAGCAGCTAGATGATCTTACTATACTATACTAACGCTACTCTTTATTCTTATTCTTATTCTTATTTCTATATATCTATAGGTGATGGTAAATCTTTCTCTCCCTTCTCTTACAAGACTGTTTTGTCTGGTGATTCTGATGAAGCTTAAAAAAGGGGTGAAAAACTCAAAAATTCCCCCACCCCCATTTCAAAAAAAAAAAAATTAACTTCAATTAATAATACACAAATAAAATCAATTGTATTCACAAACAAACATTGTTCAAGGCACTTCATGTGTACAAAGTTACAGAGCAATATTGATCAACTCTTATCAAAAGAGAGAGACATTGTCCGTCAAACCAAAGCCTTGCACATTTTTGAATTGCAACAGATTGCAATGTGGCGGAAATTGGTTGGTTGAGGTCTAACTATGTAGACTGTTGTAATACACTGGGTAGAATTTCAAAATAAGTTTTATATTGGTAATTTTTAGCAGCTAGATGATCTTACTTACTATACTAACGCTACTCTTTATACTTATTTCTTTTACTAATAAAAATAGAGCCGATATCAAAAGCAGAGCACTATCTATCTATCTATCAAATCATCAAAAATATTGATAATAATAGATCAAACAAACTATCAATGATTTAAAACTATTACATCAATTTTAAAACATTAATATTCAACAAAACCTTTCAATTCCAAATATTGTACCCTCTGCCATCGAACCAGAATCGGTCAACAACATTGACCAAATTTGTGACATTCAAGTTCCAAATGGCCTTCTCGTCACATTATTATCAAGTTGATAACAATAGATTGGTAATTGTGGTTAACATTCGCACCACATCTGGCTGCAACCAATCAATTGTAATATCAAACAATTCAAAGGCGGCACTTTTTGTATCATCACATTTGGATTTAGAGAATGACCTTTTAACCAAAGTGTTTCTCAAACCAACCAGTGATGTTGTTCTCGTCAGCCAATCTTTGAAATCAATTTGCGAGTTGGATGTTGATTCAATGGATTTGTTTAAAACTATCTTGTTGGTTTTAAACAAACCTCACTTTTTATAAATCAAAATGAATTTTAAACAATTAAATCATATATTCAAATATTACAAATACAAATAATACAAATACAAATATAAATAATACAAATAATACAAATACAAAATAAAAAACTCTAAAATTTTCAAATTTTAATAGTATGATATTTCTGCCTGGATTGTTGGTATGATGAGCTTAGTGCAAATCTTGCTCCTACCATTTTCCAAAAAAACAATCAAAATGAACAATACAAATTTAGACAAAAACAAAGATAAAATTAATTTTTATTGTTTACAATCGCTCGCGGCTAGATGATCTTACTATACTATACTAACGCTACTTATTCTTATTCTTATTCTTAATTCTATATATCTATAGGTGATGGTAAATCTTTCTCTCCCTTCTCGTACAAAACCGTATTATCTGGTGACGCCGACGAAGCTTAAAAAATGGGGTGAAAAACTCACATTTCCCCCACTTCAAAAAAAAAAATTCATAAACTTCAATATAATTTAGTAATTCTATATACACCCATGTCTTAAGACAACATGTGCCAAGTACTCTATGTCTTTATCCTCTACATCAATGACACCATGGATCCAGTCATTATAATCACTCTGTCTTGTTCTTCATCTTGGTGTTCGTCTTCCTCCTCTCCATCATTTATCATCACTTATTCTTGCTCCTCAAAATGCTTTAACCTAACCTCAACTATCATATTATTAAAAGATTTCGTTGAACAAATTATGTATATATAATATATTTTTTGTGAATCATGAAGAGTTAAAGAGAATAGTAATATTGAACAAAACCTTTCAATTCCTCATATTGTACCCTCCACCACCACCACCAGACCGAACCAGAATCCGGTCAACATTGACCAAATTTGTGATGACAAAGATCCAAATGGTATTTCAACACATTATTATCAAGTTGGATATTAGTGACGTCTGATTGTAAGTATTAAGTTTATGCAGATGAATTATATACATTTGAATCAACCAACTCTTCACTTTGTATCATCTATCAATTCAAATCACCATCAGATATTGAATACAACTGTGAAAATGAAACCACCAAATACCAATACGATACATCATCATCAAGCACCACCATCAAATCATACAGCATTGACACACCAGTCGGTACAATGATGGCATCATTCAGCAACCGTGTAGAAATCGATGAAAACTATGCAATGGTCTCATCAATCCTAGCAATCACATCAGTTGATTCATCAACACCATCAACCAACGGTATCCAATACATTGCCATCCAAGTTCCATCGTTTGGAGATTATGTTGAAATCGATCCAATATTTTCAGCTACCTCAAAGACTGCACCATCAACCGATGCCTGTATTGTATCATCAGCATCTTCATCCTTTGTACCACCAATCTTATTACTATCAATCATATCATCATCAATTGTTATCCTCTTGTTTTCTTTTTAAATAAATAAACTTTTTTAGATAAGAAGAAACAATTTACCCGCTCGTATTCGGCTTGTTCACACATGATTGTCATTCGTCAGATGGTTCAAGTCATCTATTAATCACACGTCAACCCTATCAGTAAAGTCTCACCCATCTTTCATATTTGCGAAATGCTTTATTTATATTTAAAAAAAAACCACACATTTTATTTTTTATATTTATATAATATATTTATATATTTTATATATTACATATTATAATATTTTTTTCTTGGAAGGCTGAGATAAAAGCACTTACTCATCAATACCGTAGTAATTGTAATTTATTTGTTCATTTATTATTTCACATATTTCATATTTATCTATTCATCGGTTATCAATAAGACATCATCTTGTTCATTTATTCTCCATCACCTTATATTTTTATTTACAACACAAGAGTTACTTTGCATTACCATTTTCTAATTTGTATTTTAAATTGTATATGATGACAGACCAACCTACCCCAACAACAATAACATGGTCCAACACTCCAGTCAAGGAATGGACTACCCAATTGGCTAATGATTGGGTGAATGCCACTCTCGAGGACGCAGGTTATCCAAATAGCCTTTCCCTCAAAGTCTTGATCCCTCCAATCGCAGGTAAAAGAATTTGGTTGTCGCTTGATTCAAGATTCTTATTTGATGGTTTGTTCTTTGTGCCCAGTGGTACCGAAGCAGATCTCAAATCTGAGCAAAGCAAGGCTCTCCTTGATGTGCTTTTCAAACAACTCGGTTCTCTCAACCCCCCACCTCAGACTAATAGTAAGTAAATTATATAATATTTACATTATGAATGAACACAAGAGGTCAATGTTAGTGAGAAAGGTATGTTTAAGGAAATGGTGGGTGATGAATTGAATTGATAATGGAAGGGGTGTTGTTGCTAAAAAAGGAGGGATATAGTTGAGGGTGCCCTACCTGCGGTGGGAAAAACTATTTAGATATATTCAGTCAGTATTCAATATTCACTCTCCTTTTCCCAATAATCCAAATCAAATACCATTGTCCATATTCACCAAGCCACACTTCTCTTTATCACTCTACATCCTTTTATTTTATCATCCATCTCTCTCCACGACTTTTGTCAAACATACCTAATTGATGCATCAACCAATCACTATCATTCAAATCTAGTCATTTGTTTGTTTGTTCTGACATTATAGGCCTTCACTTTCCTCATTGTTGTTGGTCAATCCATCTCCATTATTGTATCAACCAATCACCATATCACTAGCATCGTGCTATATTCACTCAAACCCCTCCACCTTTTGTTCATTTAACAGAACAACAATTATCGATTAATAGTATTAATTTTTTTTTTATTATCTCAACAATATAGATTCACCGCCATACGAAGAATTGTTAGAATTTTACAACAAAGCAAAACAAAGTGAAAAAATGGATGCAACTGTTTATAAGTACAAAAGACCCTCAACAGAAATCAAAACGCATCCATATCCCAAACCACAAAGCCTAAAAAAATTATCAACCAAAGACTCAAGCACCAACAAGGCCGGGGATAGTCTCTCTGGCCACCCTTTTCTATCCACCGTCACATTCGGTCTTGAAAGGATCTCAATCAATTGATCAACAAATTAGCAAGGTATATGAGGACATGGAAATGGCAAAAAAACTCCGGGAAAGGGAAGAACTGGAGAGATTAGATCTCGATGTTGAGAGAACTGTAGCAGCGACCCACAGAGACACCGTTTCTTTGGAGGCTGAGGCAGACCGAGAGAATGTCCACCAACAAAATTTCACCAATGCCTCGCCGACTTCAAGTACTTCTTCAGGGTCCAAGTTGGCTATATCTGCTTTAATAGGAATACAAAATCAAAAGCAAGAACAAGAAGAACAAGAAGAGCAAGAGGAACAAGAAGAACAAGAGGAACAAGAGGAACAAAGTTGTAAATTTAATCAATGTGGGTGCTCTGGTTGGTTAGAGCCAAAAACTGGTTCAAGTTTAGCCAAACATAACAAGTGTGGTAGGTCAATGTGTAGACATGTTAGATCACATCACCCAAAAGCGTCAAAACCATAGTTGGTAGTTTTTTGAAGTTTTACAAATGACATTTTTTAATCTACCATTATTATTTAAATTGCAATTTAATTATTATTATTATTATTATTATTTATGAAGTTGAAAATAAATTTGCTAGTTTACCAATCAATGTAGAATATTGTTTCTTTAAAGACATTATATTCCCAATTTCCTTTCTATTGTATGATTTGGCCATTTTAATACATCTTTTTAGATTATCTTGGTTGAGAAAGGGTGGTCTGTTTGACAAATCTTTTCGATTTCCCTCTATGATCTTTCCAGACATTTCAACTATGAATTTGACAATTTCGATGTGATCCAATGCGATGGCCATCAATAATCCTTCAAATGTCCAATAAAATCCCTTACTATAAAGGTATTGAACCTTTGATAAATCACCTCCAATAATGACTTCATCCACTATTTGACATTTTTCATTTTGATACAAACGATCAATCTTTTCAACAATATATTGTAGCAACTCCAAGTTGCCTGGCATTCTAAGAAACGATGATAGTTTAGCAATATTGGTTATTTGTATTGGTAGTGACTTTGTTTTATAGTATTTCAAAACATTGAAATATCGATTGGTACACCAAAATGAAATGTTTCGAATTCCTATTCCTCGAGCAACTTGTACATTTAAATCTAAATGTATAGTTGTAATTTGTTTAAATATTATGTTTCGAATATATTTTGATCTAAATACAAAATAAAATAATTGGTCTTTAATTGTTGATGTTGTTGTCTGTGTGTTTGTTGTTTGTGTTGTTGCATGTGTGTTGGTTGTTATTTGATTAGAGTTGGAAATACAATCCAAATCTAAATGTGATATATCTATATAACTATCTTCAAAATCTTTGTATATATTTTCATATAAATGTCTTCCTATTATACTATACATTCTATCGATACAAGTATCATCGTCTTGACCAACTTCAAAGTAGGAACAACCAAGACCAAGTGCAAAATCATTTGCCTGTTCTCTTGTTACCTTTCTTTGATTAACCAAATCTCTTTTTGTACCAATAAACACCACTTCAACCATCTCCCAACAATATCTTTGTGTCTCACCATGCCAACCTTTTAGATTTTCAAAAGATTGTTGATCAGTTACATCAAACAAGATAAATACTATTCTTGCTTGTCTATAAATTGAAACTTGACTATGTAATTTGAATCTCTCTTCTTTTAAAACTACTACCTTCTAGAAACAATAACAACAAACAAGTTAGTATTTATATTTACATAAATAGATTACTCTATTTATAATTGATTGACAAACATACAAGTTTAAACTTGACATCAACATTATTTATAGTATTGTTCCATTTGATATGGTTATCAAGTTGATTGATAATAGGAAGGAGGATTGGTGGTTCATCTAGAAGCACTCTGCTAACTGATGTCACACCAAACAAAGATTGAATAAAAGTATGTTTCCCAACATGACGATCTCCTGTGATTGTTATTCTGAAATTTCCTAATACAATTGATGGTTTTGTAGGACGTGTCATTTTACAATATAGTATAATGTTACATGTACTACTACTACTACTACTAAGTAGTAAGTATGTTGATGTGATGATAGAAGTTGATATTAAAAAACAACTATAAAAAAAAAAAGATTCAAAAAAAAGATATCTTTGCAAAACTAATCTATTCTTTATTTTATTTTTTATTGTTTATAACTTGCATTAAAAACGGTAAGATAAAGTTGTGCGACTTCGGGAGTGACAGTGGATCTAAATTTGGATTTGGTAATCACAAATATTCTACATACATCTTGTACACCTTGGATATGTTTCATCCATTCATAATTGGTGTTGGCTGACAAACGATTGATGCATTCCATTCTCATTGTAGCCCACTTGGCAAATAAAAATGAGTGTTTGGTCCCTGAATAATCAAATCCTCTATTAGCAAGGATGAATTTGTTTGCCATTGACTTTAATTGACTGGCAGATTTGGTCAATACCCTTAAATGTAGTCCAACTTGATTCCACTCTATCACCATTAACACTGAATCCTCTGAAGCATACTCGAAAAAGTGATCAATGTTTTCCTCCAATTCTTTAAAAGGAATGTTAATATCCTTTTCTTTAAACTCTTCTATGATTTGTTTTTTAAATTTCCCTAAAAATTAATATAGGAAATTAAATTAGTTTTAAGAGTTTCTTTTTTTTTTTAATTGTTATACAAGTTGTGTGGGATGTACTACACTTTTTTCAAGAGAAAATAAACTAATAAATTCTTTAATTTTATCCATGTTGTTTGTTTGTTTGTTTGTTTGTTTGTTTGTTTGTTTGTTTGTTTGTTGAGAGAATACTGTATTTTTTTTGAGGAGTATTTATAATTATTAATACCTCTTTTTTTATATTTTTTTAGATTTCTTTATATAAATAAATTTAAAATTTAAAATATAGATAGATAGATCGATTGAATAAAAAATATAAAGAGAACCCCTTTGTCAACAACCTTTTGAGGGTTTCTATATCAACCAGAAAAAAAATTTGATAATTTATCAAATAATTTATATTTTTTCTTTTTTAGAGGTATTGATTTCCTAGGTACAATAGCGGACAAAAACATTACAATTTCCTCTCGATTGTAAGATTTGGCCATTTGAATACATCGTTTTAAACGATTTTGATTGAGAAAGGGTGGTCTGGTGATCAAATCTTTTTGAATATCCTGTGTGACCTCTCCAGACTTTTCAAAGATGAATTCTACAATATCTATATGGTTGAATGCAATGGCCATCAATAATCCTTCCAATGTCCAATAATATCCCTGGATGAAAAGGTATTGAAACATTGACAAATCACCTCCAACCATTACTTCATTTATCACCTGATTTTTTTCAGGGTGATTCAGATCACCTATCTTTTCAACAATATTGTAGCAACTCCAAATTGCCTGACATCCTAAGAAAAGGTGATACCTTGGCAAACTTGTTAATCTCTATTGGCAATCTCTTTTCTTTATAGTATTTCAAAACATTGAAATATCGATTGGTACACCAAAATTCAATGTTTGGCATTCCTATTCCTCGGGCAACTTGTACATTTAAATCTGAATGTATTATTGGAATCTGTTTAAATATATTGTTTCGAATATATTTTGATCTAAAAACGGAATAAAATAGTTGATCTTTGATTGTTGTTGTTGTTGTTGTTGTTGATGTGTTTGCTCGTGTGGATAAAGAAGAAGAAGAAGAAGAAGAAATAGAATCCAAATGTAAAGGTAATAAATCTAGACGATTATCTTCAAAATCTTTGTACATATTTTCATATAAATGTCTTGCTATTATACTATATACTCTATCGATACAAGATTCATCGTCTTGACCAACTTCAAAGTAAGAACAACCAAGACCAAGTGCAAAATCATTTGCTTGTTCTCTTGTGACCTTTCTTTGATCGACCAAATCTCTTTTTGTACCAACGATTACCACTTCTACCATCTCCCAACAGTATCTTTGAGTCTCACAGTGCCAACCTTTTAGATTTTCAAATGATTGTAGGTCAGTTAAATGAGGGGTGCTATCAAATTCAAATACTCAATTATCATGTTACTCCCTCCAACTTTGCAGATTTTTGCACCAAACGAGCCAATGGTTTTGTTGCATTTAATAATGGATCTAATGCCCCATTTGCAGATTCATTCCTTTTGTTTAAGGACAAATACCACAAAACCTTTGCTTTGCTCATCCAAAGCAAACAAAGTATTACAAGTAAAGGTATGAATTTGAACATGAAATTCAAAAGAGCAACAAAATCACTAATGTATCCATCTTCTTTCACTAGTGAATGAAAAGTCAATACCCCTTGACAGCATTGAAAAGGAATTTGAAAAGTCTAAAGTTGATAACAGCTTGCTTATCTATATCACCGACAAAGTTTATGTTGATCAAACTGATCTTCCAGTATTGGTCATTGGTAAACATCAACACTCAAAGCTGTTTGGAGATCTTTTAGCCCGCTTCGCAAGTCAGTGACAGATAAACAAATTTTTTCGATTGCCATCCATACTTTACTGATAATTACCATATTATACTTCTATTAAAATAAATATTTATCATCATTAGAAACATTAATTTACTTATGAAAAAAAAATGATGATGTTCATTTATGTCAATGAGGGGAGATGTATTGTGAGATGTCATTATGTTTGAATAAAATCAATGTCAGATTGATATTGGCACCATTTAAATTTACTTCATTACCATCTTGATCTGTTAAATAAATGGTAAAACCTGTTTTGGTATTTGATACCAATTGTTTGCTGTATGATTCAACATCATAGTTTTGCCAATGAATATTTGAAAAGTCAGCATTACCAGCTGCAGAATAAACCTCTTGAATCATCATCTCCATTGCTCCATAAATCTGAATGAATAAATAAAACATTGTCTGATTGTAAATTGATTACATTGGTTGATTCCAAAATATTTGTTGAATCTTTATTAAAACCTAATTGACGAAATAATTGATTAGTAAAAGAAAAGATTGGTTGAATATCTCTTGTTGATGGACAAGTAAAAATATTTACCAGTATTTGGTTGTTGTGATGTCGGCCAACCTATTGCATACTTACATTGTTTGACAATGCATTCAATTTGCTTTTCCAATGTGTCTTGTAATGATTTTCTTGAATAATTACCAACAGGAATAGAAATAATAGTTGATTGATCATCTTCTATCAATTCAAAAGTATTTAATCCTCTTCCAACTGTATAAAATGATTTGGTATTGTCACTTGTAATAGTGCTACTCTGTCAAATCTGTCTTGAGGATAATATATAATATTATATTTAAATTTAGAATTAGTACCACTGATTCTATTGTGTGAATTTATATAGAATATCTTTTTATGTGTAATCAACATACTTTTATATATAATTAGTAAAACATTATTATAAAATTACTATAATTTACGATTACTATAATAAAAGTGATTTGCTGTAGCTATTTTGTCTCTAAATAAAGTAGTGTAAAAGTTATGAAGTAGTGTAAAAATAGTAATATAATAATTTACTCTATATATAATAAAGAGAATGGATCAAAAAGTCCACAGAAGAAAAGTTGAAAGACTACAAACAATTTGAGGAAGACAACAACATATCCCAACACTTGCTTGTAATCGGGTTACCAGAGGCTTCAGAGGATTGGTACCAGGAAGAGACACTTCCATTAGATTCATACATTGAGGAGGACGAATGTTATGGTCTCGAGTCACTGGAACAATAGCAACACCAAACTAATTGATCAATGACTTTGTTTACCTTGAAATTTAAATAATAATCTGGATTGATTTCATCAATTAAATCTTTTAATTGTTTCATAAAATCATCTGTTGGTTCTTGGCCAAATGAATCATAATATTCTACAGATTTATCTTTATCTGCATCAATGTATACTGCAACCCAATGACTTCCTGGTTTGTTGTGTGGATCCAAATTCATAATAAATGACATCTTGTCTTTTGGTTCCAATAAATTTAATTGATCACTTGCTATTACTCTTTCAAATCCCTTTCTATGATATGGTTTCATTATTCTTTCAATTTCGCTATCATAAAGACCTTTGTTTGATCTTCCACTACCAATCTTTTGTTTTTTTTTCAAATCTTGAGCAAATGATACAATTAAATCAATGACACTAATTCTTTGATTCTTTACCATGTCTTTTAATTCATTTCCTAAATTTGTAGATAGTTTAGTAGAGGTCATTGTTGAATTTAAATACTCTTTTACAAAATCATTTGTAGCTGTTAGATTGTTTCTTGGGACCATTTCCAACAAAGGTCTTTTCAACTAGAAAATATAAGTTAAGTCGATCAACTAGACTAGAATCATCCAATAACCACAAGTTAATATTTAAATCTTTAAAGTTTGGGGTAACAGTAGTACAAAAGTTAAATATTCAATCGATAAATTATTAATAGAATAGTGAATGTATAAGACTATGATCAAGGATTATCATACAGTCTTGAATGACCCCAACTTTTGTATAGTCATAGAGATGAATATATTGAGATTGAAATTAGAAATATTATTATTACTTTATTATTATTATTTCAATCTCAATATATTCATCTCTATGGTTATCAAACAACAATTCCTTCTAAATTTGAACATTGATGTCATATCATCTAAAAAAGGTATATTATATATTCTGTACAATACTTTTTTATAATATATTATATTTACCAAACATTTCAGATTTGAATTAAAAAATTTTTTAGTTCTGAAGTTCATTGTCAATTGGTGTACAATGCAAGTCTCCAAGTATCAATATTGTCAATGGAAGAACGACCAAGTTTTATTTATCATTGCCAAAGTGCATCCAAAGCCTTGCACATTTTTGAATTGCAACAGATTGCAATGTGGCGGAAATTGGTTGGTTGAGGTCTAACTATGTAGACTGTTGTAATACACTGGGTAGAATTCCAAAATAAGTTTTATATTGGTAATTTTTAGCAGCTAGATGATCTTACTATACTATACTATACTAACGTTACTCTTTATTCTTATTCTTATTCTTATTTCTATATATCTATAGGTGATGGTAAATCTTTCTCTCCCTTCTCTTACAAGACTCTCTATGAAACTTAAACTATTAATAATACAAATAATTCACTACTATTTTCCAAAAAACAATCAAATTAACAAAGATCATTTATTATTATAGATCGACTATTTTATTAAAAAAGATATCTTTTTGTTTATTATTAATTTATTGTTTAACAGTACTGTTGTCAACAAAAGATTTAGCATTTTGGAAGATTTTCAACCAAGGACTTGGTTGATTGAGACCACCAACTTGAGTTTGAATGTGTTCTGGCATCCAAGGCCATTGCCAAGACATAAAGGAACGTTCTGGATGAGGCATGAGTGCAAGATGACGACCGTCTTTGGAGCAGAGACCAGCAATACCTTCTGGGGTGCCAGATGGATTGTGTGGATAGGTTTCAGTTGGTTGGCAAGAGTCATCGACATAACGGACTGGTGCAAGCCCGAGTTGTTTGATTTGCTTGAGAGTGTCTGGGTCTGGAAAGTAGGCACGGCCCTCGCCATGTTGTGCCCAGCAACCCAAGACGGATCCCTCCATACCCTTGAGTAAAACAGCCTTGCTCTCGGCAATCGAGACGGTAATCCAACGCGACTCGAATCTTCCCGATGCATTGTGGATAAAACGTGGTTGGAGTTGGTCGGCAATTCCTCTCCACGGAACCCATCCGAGTAGAGCCATCAATTGACAACCGTTGCAGAGACCGAGTGAAAAGGTGTCTGGACGGTCATAAAAGGCGTCAAATTGCTTGGCAACCGATTGGTTGAAACGGATGCTGCCAGCCCATCCCTTGGCACTGTCCAAGACATCACCATACGAGAAACCACCAACAAAGGCAACACCACGGAATCGTTGGTCGAGTTGGATACGTCCGTCGAGTAGATCAGACATGGTAATGTCCCATGCTTGGAAACCGGCCAATGTAAAAGCGGCAGCCATCTCTCTGTCTCCATTGCTACCTTCTTCACGAATGATAGCAACCTTGGGTGCTGAACTAAGTACAATCGATGTGTCTACAGATACGGCAGATGGTTGTGCTTTGAATGACATCTTGTAATTTGGTCCTTTTCCATTACCTTGTTTGACACGTTTTTGAAGCTCGTTAAATTCAGACTCTACACTAGCGTGTTCAGCTTGTAACTTTTCCAAACGATACGATGTTTCCTCCCACCAAAATGATACAGTCTCTAATGCTTCATCCAATACTATTTGATCACCAACTTTGACTGTTACTCTGTCTGATGTTTTACCAGAGACATTGGTATGACCGATATAATAAGATGGGATACGAGCATCTTGTAAAATTTCCATTACCTTTTGTTGGTCGGCACGCTTGCATTCGACAACTGCACCCAATTCTTCGGAAAAGAGTAGTTTAAAGATATTCTCTGTGGCAGAGAGTGAGACGGATATACCACGGTTGCCGGCAAGTGCCATTTCGATGAGGGTGGTGATGAGACCACCGTCACTACGGTCGTGACCAGCAGTGATGAGACGTTCACGTACAAGGTGTTGAATGGCGTTAAAGAAACGTTTGACGAGTTGTACGTCTTGGTGTGGTTGGTCGTTACCAATTTGACCAAATACTTGGGCGAGTGCACTACCTCCGAGGAAGTTGTTTCCTGCACCCAAATCAATATAGATGAGAGCAGAGTCATCCTGGTTGTAGAGTTTGAGGTCTGGAGTGATGGTGGCGGTGATATCGGTACAACGAACATAGGTTGAGACGACCAATGCACCTGGTGCCTTGACAAGCTCGTCTGGTGTACCTGGTGTAGAGGATGGAGCACGAGCAGCCATACTCAAACTATCCTTGCCACCGTCAATGGCGATTCCAAGTTCTACCATGGCATCGTGCATGGCGACGGCTGCGTCATAGAGACGTGCACCTTCACCCTTGAGTTTGGCAGCCCACATCCAGTTGCCCGAACACTTTACATCTTCGAGTGCAGAGATTTGAGCCCACACGAGATTGGTGAGTGCTTCACCGACGGTCAAGTATGCCATTGCTTGTGGACTGATCAGTCCCTTGATGGGCTGCTCACCAACCGATGTAGCAGCGCCTGTCACGCCAAAATACCCACTCGCAATGATACCGACGTTGGACAATGGAGTGTGGAGTGGACCGACGCATTGTTGGCGTGCAACCAAGCCCGTTACAGCTCTATCGACCTTGTTGGTAAGGAAACGCTTCGAACCAACTGCAAGTAAACGTAGTACACGTTCCAATGCCTGTGGCACTGTAAGATTGGCTGGTAAAACAAGTGGAGCTAGTTTTGGAGCGATTCTGTCCATGTGGAATGTCTTTGGCTCCATCTTTGCAAGAATCTTTTCAAGTGGAAGGTTGACGGGTGTCTGTCCAGTACGGTCGTCGACGAGGACAGCCTGTCCGTCACCAGTGACGTCGCCGACAAAGGCGACTGGCAGACGCTCACGCTTGCTCAACTGCTCGAGGAAAGGACGGTGCTCGGCACGCATCAACAGAGCGTCTTGTTCTTGATACTCGGCACCCCAAATCTCCATCGCCGACAAGGTTGGATCTCCTACGTTGAAACGGTCGAGGTGAATGACAGCCCCCAACGGATCAACAATCTCTTTGCATACATTGCCTGCACCACCTGCACCCTGGTCGTGTACACTGACGATTGGGTTCAAGTGTTGGAACATTTCATTCTCTACACAGGCACGCACGACACGGTTGAGTTTCTGACCCATCTCGGCATCACCTCTTTGCACGGCCGAAAAGTCCAACTCGACCTTATTGTCACCACCAACCATTGACGAGGCGGCACCTCCACCCATACCAATACGGTAAGCAGGACCACCAGCCTTGACCACCACCATACCCTTTTCAGGTTGTTCCTTTTTAAGATGACGTTCATCCATTGCACCCAAACCACCCGAAAACATAATTGGCTTGATCCATTCACGACGTTCACCATCCTCGTTTCTCAAACCAAATGAACGGGTAAAACCAACGATAACAGGTTCACCAAACTTGTTACCATAGTCTGATGCACCATTGGACGCTTCCACCTCGATCTTTAGTGGATTGGCCAAATTCTCTGGATACTTGAAATCCTTTGATTCCCATGGCAAGTCATAATCCTCAATGTTGAGGTTACCAACACAATAACCTACAGTACCAGCAACAACAAGTGATCCTCTACCAGTTGCATGTGTATCTCTAATTCTACCACCTGTACCAGTCTCTGCACCTGGGAATGGAGCTACACCAGATGGGAAATTATGTGTCTCTGCTGTAAATATAATTGGTTGTTCTCTTTCCCCAATTTCATATGGTGATGAATCAATTGGTGTTTTTGGTATTAATACTTTTGTTTTAAATCCTCTAAAATTAAAATTAAAATTAAATTAAATTAATAAATGAAATACATATATCTTTATATTGTATTGTATATTTACGTAATAGCACTTGAATTATCACAAAAAGCAATTAAAGAATTATTTGGATTTGCTTTTAATGTATCTTTAACAATTTGGAATAATGTTTTTTGTGTTGGTACTCCATCAATAATTAATTTACCATTAAAGAACCAATGTCTAAAGAAAAGTAAAAGAAAAGTTGTTAATATTTAAAAGGATCTCCTTTGTTTTTTTTTTGTTTTTTTTGTTTTTTTTTAGATACCTTGAATGTTCACTATTTGATTGACCAATATCAAAACATTCAACATCTGTTGGATTACGTTTTAATTGATTAATGAATAGATCACAATAGAGTGAAAGATCATGTTCATCAAAAGCTAGACCCATATCCTTGTTGACACGTTCAAGAGCTTGACGACCCTCTTCCATGAGTGGAATCCATTGTACTGGTTTTGGAACGACACCTGGAGCAAATGATTTGATTGGTGTTGGATAGAGACATTCTGTCATTCTGTCGTGTACCTCGTCGATACAGATTTGAAGGTGTTCCAGACTAAGCTTTTCAACACCATCGGCCAAAACCAAACGGTATCTACGTGAACGTTCTATACGCTCTACAAACTCTAATCTACAAGCTTGACAAATCGATGTGGCATTGGTAGAATAAGTGGTTGTAAAGTTCATTCTTGGTCCAACTTCAATGACAACTGATGATGTTGATGAAAGGAAGGAGGTTTCACCAAACAATTGACGTTCAAAAGTCTCTGATAATAACCATTCCAATATATCAACTTGTTCCTTGTTCATTTGGACAGTGTCTGGCATTTGGACGTTGAAACAAAACTCTGATTCAATCGATACCAAATCCTTTACTCCATGTCTTTGTAATTTGGTTGTTAAATCATTTAATGATGATTTTGATAATGCTGGAGTTCTATAATATTGTTTAATCACCATCTTATTAAAAAAAAAAAAAAATTAAAATTAAATAGTAGATATGATGATGAGTGTATGAAAAGTAAAGTAAAGTAAAGTAAAGTAATATAAAAGCCTAGTAGTATATAAATGTGTTGTTTATATGTATATATATATATAATGAATAAATCTAAAATATTTTTGTTTGTATAGCTAACTAAACTTTAGTTGATTCTATTGGTTGATTTTCAAATTACGATACGAAAAAGTATGTGGGTATGAATAAATAATATGATTAAGTGTATTGTGTGAGAGAAGGAGTGTGTTGCACTAAAAAAAAAAAAGGAATGAAGTTGCAAAGTAAATACGAGCGTGTGTGCTCTAGCCGAAACTAAACTATTTTAATTAAATAATAATAATAGGCAAGCAGACAGAAGATAGTGTAGAATCGAATCCCAAACGACAAACAACTTCTCAAAAAGATCCGAAGCCAGTTTCCTCGTCTGCAAGACAAGCACTATAGATGCGATCAATCAACCGTCCGAGCCGCACGGCTAAAAACAAAAAAAAGTGTAAATCAACGTCAGCCGAAAGAAGGCAAACGAAAGGTACACATTGAACTTCAAATCAAAGATAGATAGACTTTAAAGTCATTCTTACAAACTATATTGGTGTTAGTTATCTGTATCTTTAAATAATGAGTTTAGAGGAAATTTGAACAAACTATAATATTTGTTTGCCCTGGGATTCTCCAAGATTATCTTTGCTAAAAAAAAAAAAAAAAAACGAAAGCCTGTTGTGGCTTGCTATGCAAAGTGACGATGAACCGACAAGTCTTAACAAGACAACTTAAGTTATAGAGATACAATGATAAATAAAGAAGATATTATTTGTGAAACAGATAGATTATATGTAGTCAAATTTAGAGATGATGATATAGATGCACAAGTTATATATGATATCTTTAATCAAGAACAAGTTATAAGATATATTGGTGATCGTGGTCTAAGAACATTGGAACTTGCAAGGGCCTATGTAAGAAATATCATCAACAGTTATACTGTCAATGGATACGGTATGATGCATGTCATTAGAAAAGAGGATCATCAATCATTGGGTACATGTGGATTGGTCAAGAGAAAGTGGATTGCAAGAGAGGATGAAGTCAACATTGGCTATGCACTACGTAAACAATTCGAACACCAAGGATACACTATTGAAGCCACCAAAGCAATCATTCAAGATGGTCAAACTAGACTAGGTATCAGTAATATAGTTGGTACTACCGTCTCTACCAATATACCATCGATCAAAGTTTTAGAGAAACTTGGTCTAGTCCATAAACTTGATACTGCCGACGATGTTGATCCAACTGAATTATTATCTCTTTATGTATTCCCTGAATATTTATAGAAATAAAAATAAAAAGAGTTATAACAATATATTACACTCAATCAATCAATCAATCAATCAATCGATCAGATCTCTCTCTCACATAGAAGAATAGTGGTGCTTAAACCAATTCACACACCCCCAAATAGATAATAGATGGTTATTGGGTGATCCAAGCCCAAATCACACACAACCAACGCCACACCATTGCAAGCGATAAAAAAAAAACCAATCCAACTATTTTTTCTTTGAACAATGGCTTTGTTTGTTTGTTGGTGTATAAAAGAGAAAAAGAATCTACCAAGCGTGAACACAATATGGGTATTGTATAGTATGTCCACACTTTGATTGTTTATTTATATAAAAAAGATCACAAGATACTTTATATTTATATACACATAGAGAGAGAGAGAGAGAGAGAGAGAACCTAAAAAGGGAGAGACACAATCACACATATATAACCCAACCTTATCTGTTGTGTGTTTGTTTGTTTGTTTTTTAAAAGTGGGTGTAATTAAAGGTGGTTTGAAATAATCAACTCAATCCATCCAACTCAATCCATCCATCCCATCCAACCATCTATACTAGTCTAGTATCATCATCAACATCATCAATAGAAATTATCAATATCAAATATAGAAATAGATAACATACATACATACATATACATATATTTAGTATTGTTATTATATATATATAATCACTATTTAAAACCATGACAGGTACGTAACTTTTTGAATTGAAGAGAGAGAGGACATGTAAATCATGATATGATATTAATCTCTCCCTTTCTCTCTCCCCTTTCTCTATCTATCTATCTATCTCATTCTTTTAAATATATTTAGAACATTATTTAGATGATTTATTAAGGGAGATGATGTCTGAAGCAGAAATGTCAGAACAAAAAAAGAATGCTGCTGACCAATCATCAGACCCAACAACATCATCACAACAAGTCAATAGTCAACAACAGATATCCCCGACGTTGGAGCGTAGAAAATCACGTGTATCACATCATGAAGGCATACACAGTGACTTTGATTATCTAGAGACTCTGTTGAATGACATGTCGGTGGGCCCTGATCAGTCCATTCGAAAGTCGGTCATTGCCGATCAACAAAACCAGAATGCTCGTGTCAAGAGTCTACGTCTCACCTCTCAATTGGATCTAGAGAGTACTCTTAAAGACTTGGAAGCATTCTACAAAGACAATACATTACAAACAAAGAGAAAACAATCATCACATATTGCAAGAGGTGGTGCTGCTGGTAGATTATCCTCGGCAACTTCGACTACTTCTACATCTAACCCTCCATCGCCTGCAACCACTTCCGTTACTAGTACTACCACCAACCCATCAAAGATTATTGATCAATCTATTTATGAGAGTCCTTCTTTGGCTGCTTCCAACGTTGCTCCACCTGTTGTAGCAGCTGTCACTTTGCAAGTACCTCCTCCTCCTCCTCCTCAACCACAACAGTCAACTTTAACATCATCAGGACAACAAAGTTTATCTAGTTCAAAGAGATCATCACCAGACAAGGTGTCAGCATTGGCAAGAGAGGCAATTGATGCAGCTGATTTATTGGATCAAATGATCGAGTCGTTTGGCACTGACACTATCCCCATCCCAACTCCAGTCACTACATCATCTCAACCAACTCCTGCAGTTGTCAAACCGACTCAACCTAAACAACAAGATACTACTTCTACTCCAGTAGTAGTTGAACAACAACAAATCAAACTACCAACAGGAGTATCAAATATAACATCAGGAACAGGTACAATTAGACCAGCATCTAAATTGGGAGCACCAGTTGATATTGCGGTGAGTTCACCAAAGGCACCAACACCCATTTCAACATTATCAAGTTCAACTCTATCACCACCTTCGTCATCGTCGACACAAAATAGTGACAAAATGTTGGATGAAATGATTTCATTGTTTAAAGACTCCAATTCAAACATTAAATTTGCCAATGCCAATAATTTGGGTAGTAGTGCATTGAATAATGCTGCCGAGCAATCACCAGTACACGTCAAACCAAACTACTTGGCACAACAACACTATACCATGTCACCAGAGGATGTTCACAAGATTCATATCATGCAAAAGCAACAACAAGTCGATGAAGACCTAGTTCAAAAGATTCTTTGTGAGAATGATTTTGAAGAAATGTCTATCAATGTCAACTCACCACCAATGACATCGATGACTCCAAGTGCAATGACCGATCGAGTATGGTACATTAAACAAGAAATCAATACCCAAGAATCAATTGGAACAGGTAATCATGGTCAATCTTCAAGAGCCGGTATCTACAAAGACAAAAGAATCATTGGAAAATCTTGGAGTTTTATTCCTCCTCAATCAACTCCATTATTATTTAATGAAATTGAACAATTAATGTAAAATAGAAGAAAAAGAAAAAAAAGAAAAAAAGATAAATATTAATTAATTATTATTTTTTAATTTTTAGATCAATTAAACATCCAAATATATTATCATTAATGGGGGCATCAATTACTTCCACATTTAATACATTTACAGAATATATTACTGGAAATAATTTGGATATTGTTTTGAAAAATGTTGATGATAGAAGTGAATTATCATTTGTCATTAGAATTGCAGAGGAAATTGCTTCTGCAATGTCATTTTTACATTCTTTTAATATTGTTCATAGAAGTTTACATCCAAAAAATATTCTTGTAAGGAGGAAATAGAAAAAAAAAATGGAAAAATAATGTACATTATTTAATTTTAACCTTCTTTTTCTATTTCTCTATTTTCTATAGTTAAATTCAGATTTAAAAGTTTATATTAAAGATTATGGATTTGCAAATTTAAAAGATGAAACTATTAGAAAGAGATTAATGACAACACAAAGAATGACATCACTTTTACATACTCAATATATGGCACCTGAATTATTCAATGTATTGTCGGGTGGAAAAGGAGGCTATGATACCAAGGTTGATGTTTTTAGTTTTGGTGTTTTGTTGTGGGAAATGTTTGGACGTGATATTAAACTATCGACACTTGGCCACAATGTTGTCAATGGATACACTTATTATAGTCGTCCATCACTACCCAATTGTCCATTCACTATTGACAAGCTCATTCGTCTATGTATATCATCTGATCCCTCTCTCCGTCCTTCGTTCCAAACTATCCTAAAGGTCCTTCGTCAACCATTACATACTTTGCAAAGATTCACCAAACCTGAAAGTTCATCAACTTCTCCAATCCCCAAATCATCATCTGATAATAATATCTCTGGTTCCGCTGCCACTGTCACAGTTGAAATGGTTCCAGAAAAACAAGAAAAGATCAACAAGATTGTTCAACTTGTTCAAGATCTCATTTCATCACCTACATTGGCCAACCTTTCTCGTGCAGCTCAAACCATTGAAGCTCTTAGCAAGAATCCAGATAATTTCCCATACCTCTTACAAGTCGATTTCTTACCACTCATCTTTGAATTACTTGGTACTAGATTTGAAGATGTTCAATTATTAATTTTAAAATCTTTGACTTTATTTTTAGAAAATGGTAAATAGAAAAGAATAATATCAATATATTGATCATAGTTTAACTAACATTCAATCATTCTTTTTTTTTTTTAGATGAATTATCAGAATTATTTAGAAATTTATTGGGAATTAATACATTGATTCAATTTTTAAATGGACAAAGATCAGAGAATATATTATTTGCAAGTATTAGAATATTACAACAATTGTGTCACCGAGATGTTAATGTCTTGGAGGTTATGGCCAAGGGTGGTATTCCAATCCTCATCCAACAATTATCTCATCCAAATGAATTGGTTCGACTACAGATTGTATGGTGTTTGACCATGTTACTCGAATCATCTGCCATTCAAGAAGAGTTTGTTAAAATGGGTGGAGTTGAAATACTTTTAGATATGTTTGTAAATGCTCAAAATGATGGTTTCAATCTTCGTATTGCTTCTGCTCTTTCAAAATTATTACCTCTTAGTAAGAAATGAAAAAAAACAAAAAAAAAAAGAAACTTAATGATAAATATTAATATTTATTTTCTTTTATTTATTTCTTTTTATTTTTTAGAATATACACAAGAAATTATAAATGATGGACCACAAAGACAAATGATATTAGAGAAATATTATTCATTTTTAGATTCTGGATTTGAAGCACTTAGAATGTTGGGACTTGAAGCGATTGCCATTTTAATTACCAATGTTGAGAATCAAGACTTTTTGGTAAAGGGAGAGATTGTATCGTTCCTTTTAGAGTATTTGGAGATTGAGAATGTTACAGTCGCTCCACAAATGACTGCCATTAAAATCATTCTCGTTTTATCAACTTCACCAAAACACTCTACCTATCTCAAATCACAACCAATCGCTCAACCCATCAAATCCCTTAAATCTTTATCACCACATCCATCCATTCAAAAAGCTTCAGAGAAAATTATTTCTTTAATCTCAAAGTAAAGTAAATTAAATAAATTAAACCAAATAACATTTACAAAGAAACCAAAAAAAAAAAAAAAAGTCTGGAGACAAAACATTCCTCATTCCCCCACCCTCCCCTTTTAATTATCAGCTATTACTGCCATTTCACTCACTCATCTCTCTCATCGACGACAACAACAACAAGCTAGATGAATTAAATTATATTATGATATTGAATCTATGCTTCGTTGTGTTTAAATCTCATCATTGTGTAGCAGTGTGAAGAAAAGAGTGGTGGTGGTATATATGTGTTGTGTTGGTAAATGTGTGTATGTGTTATCGATTATGGTTCCATAAAAGTAAATGAACAATCCAATTTACCTTATATCTTTTTGTAAATAACTACCATAGCTATTTAACACATACAACAATAACAGTCAGCCAGCCATCCAGACAACAATAACAACATCATCAACAACAACAACATCATCATCATACAATACAATTTTGAATTATATTATGTGTTATGCTGCTACTACTACTATACTATTGCCCTCCCTTTGTCAATGTATAATAATTATAATCAACCAAACTATCATCATCAAATAATATTATTTATAAATACAGATAGATAGATAGATAAATAGATAAAAAAGAGTCATGATACTACATGACGAAATAATACTAAGAGTATTTAGAAATAGATATTTATTCAATGAAATATTTAAAAGAGTCAATGTAACGGTACTAGAGTTGGATGTACAATTTGATTATCCCAGTCGAAACTTGGTCAAGACATGGCATAGAAACAAAGTGGTCAAGAGCTATAAACAAATTAGTAAGGATTTAAATTGGGTCATCAAGAATAAATACTATGTCGTATTGAAAGAGATACTTGTATCGATGAAACAATCACGTTTGGAAGGTGCTGAAGAATCAAAAGGTGCTGGAGCAGGCGGTGGATCAACATTATTATCAGTTGTCAAAAAAGAGGATGGAGTAGTTGGTGGCAACGGCAACATCGTTGACACTGAAGAAGATGGAGATACGATCAAGTTTGAAGCATCTTCATTGTCATTGTCACTAATTGACGATCCTATAATCATTGGTTTGCTATTAGACCTATTTCCACAAAAATTTGGTGAGTTATTCTTTACGATAAATAGTCCGCGTGTTGGTGGATCGAGATTGACTCGATTTAAAACAACCAAACATTATCTCCAACGAATCATCACTGTACACGGAAACATTGGTATTTGGAACCAAACCATCCATTTTATCGATAACTTTAAGTCGTTTCAACCTCCATCTCTACCAAATAGTTTGGATGGATGTAATAATGGTGGTGGTAGTGGTAGTAGTGGTGGTGACCAAACTGATTACCGACTCAATCTATTTGAGACTTATCTCTCAAGACTATGGAAACACAAGGAACGGACGATTATCAAGTTGATCAACTATTGCATACGAAGTAATCGCAAAGAGATCCTGACCAACATCACCGACACGGTTGGCGTGGAAAAGATCAACCAGTATTTGGCATCGGATCTCTGGATCAAAGTTATGGAAGACCACGAGATTGACCAACTCACCATCAACAGCGAGATGATCGAGTTTCTACACGCCAAATTGTCAAAGTACCCCTTTAACCGAATATTTAGAGACCCTGTACACGCACTCCTCCTCACCAACAATGTAAAACTAATCATCGACAATAACATCTGTATCGAAAACCCAAACATCCCATCCTCATCATCATCACCGCTCTCCACCATCCTCAACGCCTTTCATCCATCCTCTTCAACATCTCGAAAGAAAAAAGAACAACATTTTAAAGATTTGGGTTCTTTTTGTCCTTATATTATAAATTCTATTATTAAATCCGAACCGACAACAACTACCTCTACCACGTCAAGTTATCCAGCAATTCAAACAGTTTATGAATGTGCTATAGCAATCTTGTCGAAATATAAACATATATTGGGGAGCGATCCCTCTACCACCATTCAAAACACCATTGCAACTCTATTGCCAGTGTCAACCACCAACGCATCGGTTGAGAGTCGGTCTCTATTTTATCGTTTGTGTTTGGCAGAACTCTATTTCATCCTACGTGATAAAATCAGTCAACATACCATTCATATGCAATTAAATAGTTTAATTTATAAAGTTAAACAATTAATTGTTGAAGCATTAAATAATTCAACTGTTTTTTTGGACTATAGTAATAATAATAATAATGGTGTTGGAAATGTAAATCAAAAGATAATTATAAAATATTTATTAAATCGATGTGGATTTGCAAGTATTTGTGAATTTGGATCATTAATAATAGTTCAACAATCTTATATTCAATTAAAATTAAATCAAAAAAATAATATTAACAATAATCAAAATAATAATAACAATATTAATAATGGTTTAAAAATTGGAAACAAAAAAGATAATAATAATAATAATCATACTCATAATATAATAATGATAGAAGATAAAATGAATTGGATGAATTTATTATCAAAAAACATAAAGGTATTACAATTTATAGAAGATATATTGAAAACAGATAATCAAAGTGTGGTACAATTTGATTTGATTAGTTCAAGAGATGCGGTATCGGTTGCCATTCAAAGAGACCTTTTTGGAGTGGTAGAGTATTTGGTCTCTCACTTTCACAACCGATATGGATTTGTCGTATCGGTGCAAGCCATGTCAAAGATACTTTCACAGGGTTACTTTGACGTTGCACGTATACTGGCACCCAACGTTTCACTGCACTATAGCTACGACCAAAAAGTAAACAGCATCGAAATGGCCAAGTTTTTCTCGATTGAAAACAAACCTCTACCAGTGTTTTATCAAAACGATGATAAGCGTAATCTAGAGTTTATCCAGTATCTCTTGGATGAATATATCAAATTGTTTAGAGGTGACCAAGTCGATAGCATCACTCTCAGCAGTCCATATGGATATTTTATGGCATTGATGCGTTGTGCTAAAAAGAGTCAAACCATTAGTGTCATTGATTATCTTTGCGATTTTTATGAAAAAGTTAAAGAAAGAGGAGGAACGGGAGCAAGTTCAAAAGAAATCATCTCTACCACTAACAATAATCATTGACAAAAGAAATAAAATTGAATATTATATATAAACAAAACTTTCATTTTTGATTACAGGTTCATATTAATTTAAAAAATAGAGAGGAAACCAAAGGTCTACAATAATCATCGATATTAATTAAAGATAAATATATAGAAAATAATGTTTGATTAAATTAGTAAAAGATAATCATAAAATGGTTGTTGGAAATCTATCCTTTTCAAGTGTAGTGGTTTAAAAAACAAACCATCGTGATATCATGATACTACTCAATATTACGACCAATGGTATCATCATGACAACTAGCCTCGGTCGAGGAGGGTTCCTTAAGGTTTATTCAGTAGCCAGGACCAGCATGCAATAAATTTTCGGTCAGTCATTTTGACCGAAAAAGGAAAACAATCCAATCATTCAATGCTAAAATAGTGTATGCAGGAGGGTGGGTGGTAACGGGCGAAATTTACCATTGTCGAAGATCTTTTTTTTTAATAAACACCCAATTGCGTTCAATGGTACGGTTTACTCTCTCATATATATCTGTCTGTCTGTCTGTCTGTCTATCTATCCCACTTCATTTTAATTCTATCAAACGTACGAATTGTATTATTTATTTGTAATATCTTTATCTATTTCACTCTCTTTTTCATTCTATCTAGATTTATATTGTAAGCTCTCTCGTTCAATTAAAGATTGACAACAACAACAATAATAGAAACAATTGTTAAATTAAATGTTTATTATTAACTTTTTCTCTCTCTCTCTCTTTGACTTTATATATTTATAAATAGTACTTGAAATATTCAGCAATTCAGCAGTAACAGTATAGTTTAAAGAGTTTCATACCTTTTTTTTTTTTTAATATATTACAACAACTAAACAATGACATACTATTATTCAAGATCACCTGAATTGGCAATCCCAACAAATATCTCTGTCACTCAATTTGTAATTGAACAGATGCGTAAAAATGGTCTATCGAGCAAAGTATTGATAGATCCAACTCAAAACAAAGAATATACAGGTGCTGAAATGATTTATTATATTGAAAGAGTATGTAAAACAAGAAGAAGAAGACCAACTTTTGAACCTCTCTCTAACATTTTTTGTTTTTAAAATTTATAGGTAGCAAAAGGGTTATCAATGTTGGGAGTTAAAAAAGGAGATAGAGTTGGAGTTATTTTACCAAATGTACCAGAATATTTTATTATATTCCATGGTATCTTGATTATTGGTGCCATTGCAACCACTGTTTCACCAGATTACAACATGGAAGAAGTTAAAAAAACAATTGGTATGGTTGATCCAGTCGTTGTTATCTCTACTCACGAAGCACTCCAAAAGATTGGTAACCTTAAAAAAGAAATACCATCCATTAAAAATATTGTCACTATTGGTGATGAATCTGATTCAAATACAATTTCCATTTCAAAATTAATTGATAATGATGGAAGTGTAAGTAAATTAAATTCTAAATATTTAAAAAAAAAAAAAGATTCTAATCTTTCCTCTCTCTCCCTTTTTTAAAGTATCCAAAAGTTAAAATTAATGGACTTGAAGATGTTGCAGTATTACCATTTTCAAGTGGAACTACAGGACTTCCAAAAGGTGTTGAATTGACACATTCCAATTTAATAGCCAATGCAATGCAAGTACAAAATGCCGAATTCCAATTCTATTTGGCCACCAAAGACGCTGTAATGAGTGTATTGCCAATGTACCATATCTATGGTATGGTCTTTTTCCTCATTGTGTGTCCGTCGGCTGGATTAAAGTTTGTGTCATTGCCAAAATTCAATGTTGACGAGTTTCTCAGATGCATTCAAGATTTTAAATTGACCGTTAGTTTTATTGCACCTCCAGTTGCCGTGTTGCTGGCCAAGCATCCAGCAGTTGCAAAATACGATCTCAGTTCGCTGCGCATGTTGTTTAGTGGTGCAGCTCCACTATCATCAACCATTGAAAATGCAATCAGAGAGAGATTCAAAGGAAAGGTCACTATGAAACAAGGATATGGATTGACAGAAGCATCACCAACCATCTTCCTCACTGTATTCAATATGACCAAGACTGGATCAGTTGGTACTCTACTTCCCAATCAAGTCATCAAGATCATCGATACGACTGATCCAACCAAATTGTTGGGTATAGGTGAAGCCGGTGAACTCTGTGTCAAGGGTCCAAATGTCATGAAGGGTTATTACAAGAATCCAAAAGCTACTGCCGAAGTAATCGACCAAGATGGCTTTCTACATACAGGCGATGTTGGATATATTGATGAAGATGGATATTGTTTCATTACAGACCGTTTCAAGGAATTGATTAAGTATAAGGGGTTCCAAGTCCCACCTGCCGAACTTGAAGGTACACTCCTTCAACATCCACTCATTATAGATTGTGCTGTTATTGGTGTACCCGATGAGACTTGTGGTGAATTACCACGAGCCTATGTAGTCATCAAACCAAATTCACAAATCTCCCCATCTGAAATTCAACAATGGCTCGAACCAAAGGTTGCCCATTACAAACGACTTCGTGGTGGTGTTGTATTAATCGATGTAATTCCAAAATCTGCTGCCGGTAAAATCCTTAGAAAAGATTTAAAATCAAAATTCCTTTCATCTAAATTATAAACAAAATATAAATATAAATCAAATAGGCAAATAAATAAATATAATAATGTAAAATTAAATGTAATTAATATATTAAAAGGTTTTATTTATTTATTTAATTAATTATCATCATGTCTAATAGCACGATCTAAAGCTGAAAAGATTGGTCTACCCATACCAGTTGAGGCATCATAACCTGGTACAGCTGGGAAACCATATTGGTTACAAAGTACTTCTGAACATGAATTATCACCCATAACAATATCTTGGAAGATTTCTGGATTCGATGCAGATAGCTTATAAAGAGTTGGATTTACAAAACCTAAAGTAGATTGACCCTTTTGAATTAATCTATCGTTGATAATAGCAATGACAGATGCCATGGTTGGGGCGGCGGCACTTGTACCATCGACTGGGATAATTTCACCGGCTAGGATGACCAAAAAGTTGTGACCTAGAGCACTGACATCTGGGTAGGAACGACCAGAGGTGTTGTAAAAACCGGCTGGAAGACTTTGGAGATGAGTGTTGATATAGTCGACAGTAAAGTTGTCTTGGTATGATGGACGACCAAAGACATTGGAGAAACCTCCTCCAGAGGTGATACGAGAGCCAGTGGCAATACTGCTGGAAATTTCACCGACAGTGTTGCATGGAATGCTGAGGATGCCAACAGCCTTGACAGAACAAACTGGTGTAGTTTTTGTTGAGAGTTGGGTGGCACCGACAGCGAGGACATAGGGAGATGATGCTGGGAAAGCTGGGAACGAGTTACCTAATGGCTCGCTATTGCTATTGCACCCCACATCGCCGGAGCTGAAGACAATGGTGATACCAACTGAACCAGCCTTGATAAACTCGTCGTTGATACGGAGCATAAAGTCGAGTGAGAGAGAACCTTCGTCGTCACCATACGACACACTGTGTGTGTAGACGACTTGTGGGCTGTTTAATACATCGGTGATCCATTCGAGGAATGGTTCTTGACCGTCGACGAGACCGGCGAGTGACCAGAAAGTGGTGTTGTAGCCTGGAGCCAAACCGAGCAACCATTGGATATCCAAGGATGCTTCGCCACCTGGGTTGGTGATGTTATTTGGGCCAATGACGTTGACACGGTCGGCAATACGTGGGTCGAGACCGACCATGTTAAAGAACTGCTCGAGATCGGCTGGTGCATAGTATTGTTCGAGGAACTCGGCGACAGCGACGGTGTTTGGACTGACGGGAGCGTTGGGTGGGTAGCTTCCCTCGAGGGCGGGCATGTCGTAGAGTTGTTGGATGAATTGTGGGGTGAGGAACTGGCCGAGATAGGTGGTGAGCGAGAAGGGAGTCGACGACTGACCGCCAGTGTACCCAGTGGTGAATGTGAGGTTGAGTGGCACGTAGTTTTGGAGCAATGGTGACGAGATCTCTGGACTGAGACAATAGACAGTCGATGCGGTCAAGTTGAGTGCAGTGTTGGAACGATCGCAACTACCTTGTGCCAAGCTATTTGGGAAAGCATTGCAAGAAGCACAAACCAAACCATTACTTGCGGTAAAGGTGGTTTGAATGGCTGCAGTGTTGGTCGATGCAACTGTGACACCAGTAAATGAACCACTGCAGATGGATTGCGAGTTGGTTGAAGTAGATCCATCTTGACAAACTGGTAAGATAAGGAATGCCAATGATTGGTCACCAGCATACATTCTAGAAATGACTGGTGAGTTGGATGATGCACCAATCTTGCCCGACTTTAATTGTTCGACGTGATTGAAGAATTGGTGGTTTGGCTTGCTGTGTGACGATAACTTGGCATTTGGGAAACGAGTAGTTCCACCAACAAATTGAACAACGTCAACCAATTCAGCTGGCATATGGTATGGACCCAAAGTACGGATAACCTCCTTTCCAGTGTCCTTGTGTTTGAAACTTTCAAAATGAGTGTCCAAAGCACGACGAGCATCGCCGATTGAGACCTCTGTCACAATAAAACCAGCACTCTCTTTGATAATTTCACCATTCAATTCATTGGCAATCCAGTATCTCAATCTATGTGATTCCTCTTCATCTGGCATTGTCATCTCATTGATTTGATCACGTGTCAAATAGTTTCTATAGTTTGATGAATCTGGATTTGATATTTCTTCATTTAACATATCCTAATGTAAAGAAAAGTAAAGTAATTAAGTAAGTATTAACCTCTATACATAACTCTATTTATTTATCTCTATCATACCTCTAATAAATTCATGTTACGAAGTCTAAGTGCAAATGTTAAAGTGATGGTATGATCAGATGGAATAAATCTCTTTGTTGATAACCAACCCTTTGGTACTTGACTATGTTTATGTGATGATTCCATGGCACTCAAAGAGCCAGAGAACAAGTATGATGCAGCTACAACATCATACAATGCAACCAATGTTACAATGAATATAATAATAGATTGAAGTAATCTCATGATGAATGATTCCTTTCTACTTTTTTAAAATATATATATATATATATATATAAATATCTCTATAATATATAAATAAATATGCGAATAATAAATGTGATTGGTCTCTTGAGTTACCCTTTTATCAACTAGTGTCAGTTCACAATCTCCACCTTTTTTTTAATTTAATTTTACAATCCTTGCTAATTGAAGATTCTTTTGAAAAATCTAATGAACTGGTCATCACCTTTTTTTTCCAATGGAACATGATTCCAATATATCAAACGAATGACTACAAACGAAGTGTACTATAGTTGGTCTGGTTCCATCTTTTTTACTAAATATTATTATTATTATCTAGTTTTGACATTCTCACTTTTGGATATAACAAAAATAATATCGATTTTGCAGCTATCCATCCATTACTTTTGTTATTATATTATTTTTTAAATAAATATTGAGTTGGTTTATTATTATTATTACTTATTCGTTATCTAGTTTTAGTATTTTCAAAGTCTTTGGCACACTTTTGAATTTGTGGACCTTCAACCAAACGATATTGCATCCATCCATCCATTACTTCAGCACCAGTACTATTATATAACTTTTGAGCCTCAACATTCCAAGTGAGACATTGCCATTCAACACGACCATAACCCTTGTCTTGAGCGATCTTTGTAAGATGTAACAATAACTTTTTACCAAGTCCCTTGCCTCTGTATTCTGGTTTAATGTATAAATCCTCTAAAAAGATACCTGGTCGACATAAAAAGGTACTAAAACTTAAGAAATGAATAGTATATCCAATCAATTGACCTTGTTCTTGACCATTCTCTGTATACCATCCACAATTAATATAAATCGATTTCTCTTCACCAAATGCTGATTTCTCAAGTCCTTCAACTGTTCCTGTTACCTAAAAACAAAATGAATGAGAGATTGATAAGAAAGAGAAAGAGATAGATATAGATATACAATCAAACTAATAACTATTGTTGTTTGTTTAAACATACCATATGTTGTAACTTTTCAAAGACAGCCAATTCATAAATCATATCATAGATCTTTTGAATATCTTCCTTTCTGCATGGTTTGATTTCAAATACACCACCTGTTTTGATTTCTTCTTCTTTACAATCCATTATACTATTACTCTACTTCTATATCTATATATTGTGATAGTTTCAAGCTACTGTGTTTTTAAATGTGTCATTGCTAAAGTGTTGGTTTTTAAAAAAAACGAACGAATCATTCAATTTCGAACTTCTGATTTTAAAATTATGAATTAAAATATCTTTAATTAAAGATATTAATATTCAATAGAATGGAATACTTATCATTCTTTGTGACCTAAACTATATGAATCATATTTTAAAAAGAGAGATAAAAATATAACAAGAAAAAATTCAAAAATTTTTGAGAAGATGAAATGGAGTTGTTGTTGATTTTAATTTGATTTCTTAGCTAATGTAATACATTAGGAGATGCAGTCTAGACTTGTAGAGATTTATTAATGATAGAGAGAGAGAGAGAGAGAAAGATGGGTACAATTATAGATAACAATTTATTTAAAAGAGTTTTATTAAACAAGTATTTATTAAAACATATTAAACAATGTATCATCTATTGTAATAGATTAGATGTGGCTAGGTCAATTCAAGACAGGGTCGAATTCTTTGACAAGGATTATTATAATTATTTGTTACTTGTCTATTTAAAAAAGGATATTGATTCTTGGTATCATTTTGTGTCAACCGATAATTGTTATCATCAAGCTTTAAAGAGACATGATTGGTTGGTACAAAACAACAGTCAAACCTTTAAAGATGACTTTTATCTTGGCATGTTACAGCATCCTGCACTAGGTGCTAGATCATATCAAACTGCTACCAAAGTGAAATGGATCATCAAGAATGGTTACACTTATTTATTAAAGGACAAGTTGGACCGTGACCAATTCTTGTATTTTGGACGTACTCCTTCATGGGTTAAATCGGCAACAGAAGAGAGACTTGCACCGCTGCAAGATGGTCATATATTGAAATTAGTGGATTTGGCATTATCTTATTACACCAAAGAGTCGAGTGGTTTGGTTAAACAATATGTAGAGTGGACAATGTTATTTGGAAACAAAAGGTTACAAAGAATGACTGTCGATTTATTGGCCACTAAATACAAAGATTTATCCATTACATTTGGTCCATTTAAACAACAAGTAGCGGCAAGTGGAAATGTAGATTTATTCAAAGAGTTGTATCATACAGAGATGGTGAATGACAAAACAATGTATCATCACTTGTCATGTCAAGCACTTAAAAATGGACACACTGAAATGTTTAGATACCTCCATGACAACTTTAACTTTAAACTCGATATGAATATTGGTGGTTACTTTGGAGCATTACTTTTGTGTAAAGACAAGGAACTGATGAATAGAGCTATGAAAGGTACCCTAGATGTTCTTTGTCTAGATGTTTGGCAAGAATTTGTCAGTTCGATCGTGGAACATATTTTAAAGCCATTCTTCACACTCGATCAGCACCATCTTGATGCAATCGCCAATGTATTCCAATTGCATAATATTAAAACATTTATCTCGGTTGAAAGAGTTCAAGAAAAACTACTCAAATACTTGCCTGGGAATTGGATTGGACATTACAATGGAAAGGATTATAGTTTGGATGATTTATCAAGAATGGTTGCTTTGATAGAAAATGTCTATGATAGTGTAACCATTACAGATAAAATATTGGTCAAATCAATTAGTCGTATACTATCATTGACAAACAACGATGCACTTTGTAGATACCTCAAAGACACTTTAAAATACAAATTTGATTTGTTGAAACTGGCTAGTATCGCGCTGCATTCAAACCACAATTCACATATTCAATATTTATGTAGTGAAGCAGAGTTGGAGAAATCTGGTAATGCTGCCTCCAAAATGTACCATTTCATAAACTCTAATCAAAATATTTATAAAACACTCATAAAGGCAATTAAATTAAATCAAATCGATCGCATCAAGGAAATATTTCAACAATATATTGGAACCATCACATTCCGAGAGGAATTGGTTGTAATAGCATTGGAAACACATAATATGGAAACATTGAAATGTGTCAGTTCTCTATACCTTTCACGTGGTCGTTCAATGCCCACCAACTTTGCACCATCCATCACAACAAGACGTACAATCTGTAACCTTGGACATACCTACTTTATGTCTACCAACTTTACAGAGATTGAGAGGTTATTGACGCCCAAGACATTTAACCAACGATCAAACATCCATATCGACTTTGCAATGTATTTTGGGTCAAGAAATACAGTAGAATATTTCCTAGAGAAAACACCCTACTCTGCAGAGACTACAGGTAATACATATGTACCCATTTGTTATGAAGGTTATTCTCTCTATTCTGGATTGAGTTTATTTTCAACAATGGAATCATCACTTATGCCTATGGAGCGAGTACAAGAACAAAAACAACTATTTGAATATGTTTGCAAGCGAACTCCATCACATCATTTTATTATAAATAGTGGTTCGGTAGTTAATTTGGTTGGCAGAATTGGAGACGTCGATTTGGTTGACATGGTCATACATCAATCGAGTTTATTTGGTTCTACAACAACAGATGTTATTAAAAAATGCATACTAGAGAATGCATTTAAATATGGTCATTTAAATCTAATCTTGCACATGGATACCAAATATCATCTAGCCAAATACTCTACTGCCAATTTACTCCGATCTTTAGATCATAACCATCTAGATATCATCTCTTTTGTTTTGAAAAAAAAGATTTCCTTGTCTCCAGATTCTAAAAAGATCCTAAGTCGTAGAGCTTCAACTTTAAATAATATTCAAATGTTAAAATTATTTGAATAAAAACTATATTTATTTTACAAAAAGTAGAAATTATCTACAAATATTATTTATCTATATTAATTATTATTTACATATTTTATGGTAAAGGTGAAATACGACCAGAAGTTGGAGGAGAACTTGGAACTGATCTAGGGATATTAACGATAAATGATTTTAAAAGATCACCCAAACTAATGATACCACATAGAACCTTGTCTTCATCCAATACCCAAACTCTGTGACACTTAAATTTAAAACATAATTCCCAAACCTCTTTTAATGACCAATCTAATGTACAAGTACGGATGGTATTTGCATCCGATGATGATTTATGAACCTTTGATTTCATAAATTTTTTAACATCTTCAAATATTATATCTAAATTCTTTTCATTTATTCCCTAAATAAAAAGATAGATAAAAAAAAAAGAGATTTTAATATTAATATTTTTCTATTTTCTATTTCTATTTTCTATTTTTTTTTTTACCTTAAAACTATCAGTACTAATTTCATCTTTTAATTTTCCTTTATCATTTACAATTGCAACTGCACTGATTTTGTTTGCATTGAGGATTTTTAGAACCTCTACAATGGGAGTTGAAGGTAAAACACATTTTGGAGAAGGTCTATAGCAATCTCTTACCTTGCTACTAGAATTGATAATTTCCTCTCTGATGATTGGGTTCTCCCATGCCCATATAATACAATCTGTTTGACTAATGACTCGGGTCAGTTTGGGAATACCACCACCAACTCCACACGATGACAATGACAATACAGATCCACCATTTGATTGTTGATTGTTGATTGCATAGATTGGTACACGATGACAACCCATGGCAAAAAGTTCGATAAGTGAAATGATATTATGGCCCTCTGAAACGATTGGTATATTGGTCTCTGCATCACTCAATCGATTAATAACAACAGATACAGGATCCAATTGTAAATTATAATAACTTTTTGATACTATCTTTTGAATTTTTTCATTCTAAACCATAATAATAATAATATTAAAAAAGTTTGTTAATTATTATTATTTGTATAATTATATATATATTCTTTTTCTTTACATTTGAATTTGTTGAATTTTCAGCTTTTTTAACCATTGAATAAACATATTCAACAATATCAAACATATCAACCAAACCAATACAACCAAGATTTGGATCAATGACAGGACTTGAAGAGATATCATTTTCATGTAGTACCTTGAGAGCAATGGCAAGTGAATCTGATCGTTTCAATGATATGATACCATTCCTCATCTTGACTGAAGATTTTATCGAACTGATAGGCGTCGACTTTAATTCTTTATATATTTCCATTGTTGATTCGTCTGTAAATCCAATATCAAAACTAATCACGCCAGATCCAACTCTTGTTATACTATATGATCTTTGATTTTTACTTGTTTCTTCTTCTTGTTGTTTTTCGTATTGGCCACGACGTTTATTATTATTATTATTATTATTATTATTATTATTATTATTATTGTTTCGTTTTTGTAATGGTTCGTAGATTGAATAATCTTTTTTATTCTTTTTATTATTATTATTTAAAAAATAATTATTAAAGTTTAATAATTGGATCATGATGAAAATTAATATTAATTAATATTGATTGATTGATTGATTGATTGATAGATATATTGTGTTTAATTTAAAATTAAAATAAATAAATAAATAAATAAATATTTTTAAAAAGGAAATGTATTAATAAATCAATAATATTATTATCATTTCCATCAAAAAAGAAAAAAGGATGGAAATTAATTTAAATCAAAAATAAAATTAGGAAATTCCTTCCTTCCTTCCTTTTCTATTAATTGGTAAGGTGGAAAGGATAGGATAGGATAGGACCGTTTCCTATTCCTTTGACCACAATACTACCTAGGTACTATGAGATTGTTATATATATAAATAGAATTCCCAAAAACAGGGTATGAAATGTAGAGGGTGGATGCGGAGGAGGGAGGAATGTCTGAAAATAGAGTCGGTCAATCGACTTGGTAGTTTAAGCTACAATAACAATAACAAAAACGATAACAATCGCGTATGCTATGCTATAAATGTGTGTGTTGACAACGATAAGATCAACGTTGGTTGTATTGTTGGAGTTGGGAATGTGGATGGTGGTCGCAAATATTGTGAAACTCAAAACAACACTAATTATCATAAGAGAGAATTGTATTCTGAATGGTAACAATTATACAGTCGATCACTTTACTTGACACTCACTGCTATTAACTGTTGTTATTGTATATCTGTGTGTGTGGTGCGTGTTGAGTGTGTACGCATGTGAATATAGTAATTGATAATATCTATCTACGATATCTATCGCGTAAAATATAAATTAACGATACAAAATATATTTATATATAATCTAGTAGTAGTAATAGGTGGTATGAAAATGTACCTTCTTCTTTTTGATTAACTACTACCATACCAACCAATTCTATAATAATTATTAATTTAAAATTATTCTCTTTTGCGATCCGTTACTCACATTTTAATGTATGTACGCGTAGGTGTGTAGGTGTGTTTGTGTGTGTAGGTAGGGTGTGTATTGTATGTATATATCTCTGCACAGCAATCAGCTGAGAACAAAGAATTGTGTATAACAGCTGCTGCTTGGAGACTGGGAGGTAACAGTTGTCCACGAATGAATGACACTTCGTCAACATGCATGACATTCATTAAAAATTTAATATAATTTTGGAATGTCAATATTATTTGAAAAGGAATAAGGAAGGAGGATCCTTGGACTTGATATCTTTTGGACCTCAAGATACTAGTATCTATTATAGATTAATATATAATACATTTATTTATTTATACATTTATTTAGACATAAATAATTTAATTTTTGATTTATGATTATCGAATTTTTCGTGTTCCCAAAGATACCCAATGATCGAATCTTTGTGATCTGTATTGTATTTTAGACCATCTAATAGTTTGGTAATATATTCACTTTTAATTGTGGTATCACAAGGTTCACCATTGTTTGATTGATGTGGAATGGTGTACTTTAATAATAGATCTTCTATCCATGATACATGTCCGTATTGACCAACAATCTTCCAGCTATCGGGTGATGATATGTAAAGTGGTATGGATCTTTCAACCAATTCAAAAATGGTTGATAGTTTTAATTCTTTAATGAGTGGATCCAATTGTACCATAATTGGTTGTTGGTTATTTTGTTGTTGATCAATAAATTGATTAGAGTATCCCCAAATACGATCTATTGTATTCATGTCACCACAATAGACTGCATATTTCAACATGATATTGAAAACTGGTAGAGGTAGTTGATTTTCATATACATTGATCATGTATGATACCAACTCTAGATTCTTTTTAATATTGTCACCAAAGTTTGGTATGATCTGTTCTCTTTTAAAGTATTTTGCCATTCTAGCACTATTTACATCTACCTCTTGACTAGGAATAATATAGTTGGCAATTAGACCGTCATCACCTATGAGTTTGTCAACCGCTGCAAATGAACCATTCCACAGCAATCTAGTAATAGACGCTCCCGATACTATAAACCGACAACTTGAATCTGACTCCAATGCCAAATAATCAATTACATCCCATTGAGGTTTACCTTTTGCAATTCTATCATTTATACAATACTGATTTTCATAATATAATTCATTGTTGTATTGATTAAAAGAAGAAGAGGAAGAGGAAGAGTGCAATTGATCTTTTACAATTGGAAATAGGAATTGTAATACTTGTAGGTCGTTGGATGATAAACTAATTAGATGAAAATTAGATGATGATGCTGGTGTTACTAGTACTCGTAGTTGTACGTATTGATATGCTAAACTAACCAATAAAAGTGATCCACTTTTACACACTGAATTGAATCCACATTTATCAACCATATAATTTGCAATATTTTGATTACAATTTTGGCTATTACCAAATTGGGAAACCATGCGACATAATATATCTCTATCCATTGAATAGATATCGATGGTCAATTGAAATAGTTCGAATAATACGATCACCTGGTACCATTCAGTGACCATCGTAGTGGTGGATGGTGGAAAGAGGTGTGAAGCAGTCTTGTGTATAAGGGTTAAATCAAAATGCAGATGATTCATAATGACCAATGAACAATCATACAATGATTTGATTCTACTATTACCAATACTTTCTTGAATGTATTGGTTACCAACGACAAAGGTGAAAAAGTGGTTGAGTGTAACTTTGAATGATTTATAAAACTCTTCCTTGTTGTGACTGAATCGATGTAGATTCTTTTGAATGATATCAATGTTGTATGTCATGAGGAGAGCCGTCATCGTCATGGTGGTGGTTGGGAACAATATTGTTGAGAATAATGTATCACCAAAGGTATTGTAGAGATATGTCAGTGTCTCGGGATCAGCCAACTCTGGTTTAAACTCGAGTACTTGGTTCTTGGGTAGAAACATCCTTTTCAAAGGGTTGGTATAATACTTGATGATACGGTCAGCACCAACATCTTGTACAATATCGACCACAATATCCAACCGATTAAATAAAACTGCTTGACGTAGTATCTCTGCAAAGTATCCATCTGAACGATTTGCAAACATTAATTGCATGATACTTGTAATATTACTCTTCTCTTTCTTTGACGATTTCCCTTTATCTTGAACTAATCCGTTTGTATTTATAAAGTCACATACAACTCTCCATACCTTGATATTACCATGATGTGATACAAGTAGATAGAGAAAGTTTTTAATCTTTTCCAAGTCTTTGGTTACAGTATTCTTTATATTGATTGTAAAGTGTGATTTGAATGGTTGATATAACAAATCGATCAATCTCTTCATTGCATTGTGATCATCTACTTGAGCCAAGTGTCCACCGACACTCAATGCATCACTTGCCAATCTATTACATTTGATTATATCGATTAGTGTACCATAGTATTTGTTGTTGACTAGGAATGATACACTGTACGTCAACTCCAAGTATCTCTTTGGTGGCTCTACCAGCGCAGCTCCTTTGACAAAGTCATGATTTATGATCGTCGGCGGCGGTGGCGGCACCAACGCTCCTCTCACCATCACATCTCTTCTAATATATTTCAATATCTTTAAAAACAGATATTTGTTATGAAATAATACTTCTTTGATTGCTTGTAAATGTTTTGGTTGTTGTTGTTGATACATGTTTAATTCATTAATATTTCATTGTTTGCCTATTTTCAAAAATGATGACCATTAAAATAAATATAAAAAAATATATTACAAATAAAAATAAAGATTAGATGGATTGATGAATGAGAAGGTTGCAATTTATAATTATTAATAATAAAAATAAATTATTATTTATCTTTGGATTTGAATAGTATGAGTACTCCATCTCCATCTCCCAGTCTTTGATTAAAAATTTAATTCCGCGACTTTTTCGAATTTAATTTATTAAGCTGACAAAAACGTCAGCATCAGGTGGTGGGTGGTTGAATCAGTTGAGGTGGACGGTGTTTGAGAATTAGCTCTATCATCAAAGAGAGAGAATTATATATAATACTGTAGAGATAAGCTACTACTACACTCTTTGGCATAATAATAATATATACAGAGAGAAAAAGAGGAAGTATCTAGATACTACTACTCTTTAACACTTTATCAACACAATACAGTCTCTCACAAATGATGGTGTTGGAAGCTGGCGATGAAGAATCGTCAAAGCTTCTAGACAATCATAGTAATAGTAATAGTAATAACAATAATGATGATAGTATTAGCAATAATAACAAAGATGATGAGATTATAGTAGATGAACAGATAATATCTACAATTGACGAATCAACAACGAAATTAATCAAAGATGATGATAATAATAATCAACAACATCAACAACAAATAGACGATAGTACTATTGTACCAGTATTCAAAATGTCATTGTTGGATTCATCATCTGAAGAGGATGAACAAGATTTTGAAATCATTGATGAAGCAATGAAAAGTCATAAAGATTATAATGGTTCGTCGACCAATCTTGGGGAGGCAGAGGAGGAAGTAGAAGAGATGGAAACAAAATCAGATTCATCAATGGGATTTGAAGATATTACATTGGAAGATGATACTGTTCAAGAAGAGTCTCTTCAACAACAACAACGTGCCAAACCAGCTGCATCTCCATTCAAACAATTATTGACCAATAAGTTCAAGTCGTTTACTCATCTGTCAACATCTCCTGGATCCCTTTTTGGTGTCAATACGCATAATCATCATCATGACGAAGACGGAATGTCAACATCACCTCAATCAAAAGCACCAACCTCTCGGTCATACAATGACAAATACCACACATTCCCAACATCACCATCACACTCGTCACCAAATATTAAATTATTTACCAATATGATACAACAAAGTGGTGGAGGTGGAGGAGACAAACCAACACCAATACCAACAACTCTCCCATCATCTATGACTATGGCATCGATACCGAGACCAACTTCACCAACACAAGTCATACCACCAACCATACCAAAAAATACTAATCAACGACAACCATTTAATCAATTTTCAAATGGTCATAACAACCTTTTATTCCAATCTACTAACAACTATCACAAAAATGGTGGCGGCGCCAATAATAATTATAATAATAATAATAATAGTAGTATAACATCAACAACTACATTATCAACAACTACAACCATGACTACAACAACAACTGGTAGTAATAATGTTAGTAATGTTATATCATCATCATTATCAACTACCAACTCTACTACAACTACAACAAGCGCATCAACTACACCTGACACTACTGTTACCAATTTTAACATTCCACTTCCACCACCAACACCAACAAAAATCCTATCATATATAACATCATCATCTGCACATCATCAATCTGTCGATGCATCTACATTGGCACAAAACACGCTATCATCACTTACCCGACCAGTTCTATCATCCGACACCAACAAAATCAGTTCCCGTATCCTTTTCCTTTTATCATTGTCTATCTTTTTCTCTGTATCCAACCTCTACTATATACACCCACTACTCAACATGGTGGGTGAAGAGTTTGACCAATCGCCAACAGTCCTTTCCATCGTCACAATGTCTGTACAAATTGGATACGCATTTGGACTGCTATTCATATCGATATTGGGTGATGTCTATTCCAAGAAAAAGCTGATATTAATATTATCGGTTGTGACATCTGCGTCATTGGTCGGAGTTGGACTCTCACCCAATATCATTGTCATGATTATATTTCAATTCCTAGTTGGAGCCACCACCATCATACCTCATATTGCCATTCCTTTGGCTGTCGACCTAACCAATCCCGCCGAACGAGGTGGTATCATTGGTATCCTCATGTCATCTCTATTTGTTGGATTATTGGGTGCTCGTGTACTATCTGGTATTCTTGGTGCACTCATTGGTTGGAGAATCCTTTATTTTGTTGCCGCTTCAACCATGTTTTTAGTTTCCATTTTATTATTTATATTTTTACCTTATAATCCAAGTATGAAGGAAAATCATCGACTCTTTATTTAAGATACTAATCTTTTTTTTTAATCTTATTTCTTTTTAGGAAACCAAGAACCAATACCATATCATAAATTATTAGCATCACTTGTAAATTTAGTAAAATCAAATGACCAATTAAAACAAACATGTTTTATTGGAGCATGTATCTTTTCAACCTTTTGTATATTATGGACAACACTGTCATTTAGATTAAATGAAGAGCCATATGAATACAGTAGTGGATTTATTGGACTGTTTGGTCTGATTGGAATGGCAGGAGCTATTGCAGCACCTATTGTTGGTAAACTGTCGGATCGAACCAATGTACATTTGATCATGGTCATTAGTATTTTAATTTGTGTGGTTGGATACGTACTGTTGCTTACACTCGACAGTCATTTAATTGCCATCATTGCTGGTATCTTTATTTTGGACTTGGGTGTTCAATCCTGTCACATCACCAATCAATCGAGAAACCTAAAAATGAGCGAAACCTCTCGATCACGAATCAATGCCTGTTATATGGCATCCTACTTTATTGGTGGTTCGTTGGGCAGTGGTATCTGTGGTGTCATCTATCAACACTGGGGATGGAGTGGATCCAGTGTCGTTGCACTAGTATTTTTGGGTTTAGCAATGACTTGTCATCTAATGTATTACAAGGCCAATACAACATTGGATAACAACGAGTACAGAGAAATGGATGATCTCAATCCAACACCAGGTGCACCACAATATATTGCACGTAAAATGTCATCACCTCATCTTCTTGAAACAAAACAACATGATCACTATATTGAATTAAATGAAGATCATCACGATGACGACCACTCTTCTTATAGTACTCATTAATGAGTATAAAGTCAATATTTAAATTCTAAATCCAATCAATCCAATCAATCCAATAAATATCCCCCCCATCCAACTTTATTTATTTAAATATCTCTTTTGAGGAAACAAATTAGAAAATATATATATATAAGTAGTATTAGTTTCAAACCTCCAAACATTCCAATAATTATCCAAAATTTTTATGATTTTTTTTTAAACCACCCCAAAGTACAAAAAGTAAAAACGTACGGTAGCGAGTATTTTCATTATTTAATAATTACCAAACCAAATAATATAAATAATTTATTATTTTACTACAACTACCACCAACTTTTATATATTTATAACCTTGAAAGAAACCAAACCAAAGAACTAAAATAATTTATTATTATATATAGATCTTTAATCAACTTTCTCTCTAGAGTCATATATATATCTATATTAAATATAATATTGTTTATTTCAATACTTAGCAAACACAAGGATAATGCGGCATTTGACCAACTTTTTATTATGCAACAATACAACTATCAATAATAATAATAATAACAACACTACTACTTTTACCAACAACACCATTCAACAACAACAACATATAGTATCAGAACCTTAGGATTTAATTTTGTTTCATTCTTCAAAGAGAACAAACAACAAGACCCTTCATACATCCATATACAAACATCTTAAATATAATTCTTTCTCGAATTAACTTGTCCAAGTCAGTTTAATATTACTGCTACTATCTTCATTCATTCCAACTCATCCCCTTGTCACTCTTCCAACGTTACGTTTGATTTTAATTTTTTTTTTCGCAAATCTCTCTCTTTTTTTTTTTCATCACCGACAGACTGCTCTCAGTTCGACGACATCATCATTCTTTCTTTTATTAAAACACTCTCCAACAAACCTTTAAAGTTTAGTTTACAAACACATCCCATACAACATCTATAATAATCAAAATAATAGAGATTGTATATTTACAAAGAGCAACAAGCAATAATCAACACTTATAACAACCAAGCAACCAAACAACCAAACAACAATCAAATTTTATATATATATTTTTTAATCTTTATAAGAAACCCAAATTTGTTTATTCTTTTATAACTACGATTTTAGATTATAAATTGATAAACAAATAAGTTTGTTATATATCAAACCACCCCTTTTAAAGTTAGAAAAAAGAAGAACAAAAAGCAATTTCTTCTCTTTAGTTTTATGCTAGCTAGGTCATCATCAGAAACAACAACAGCTTTATTTATAAAGAAGCCGGCATCAAAGCATTCTCACAGCAGTAAAAATGGCGCAAGTTAATATTCCACGTAGTGTCCCTGATCAATTCTACAGGTACAAAATGGCAGTACTCCAAGCTAAAGTCGAAGGAAAAGGAAATGGTATCAAAACCGTTATCGTCAATCTTCCAACTATTGCAAAGGATTTAGATAGAGCTCCAGAATGTATGTGAAATGAAAAAAAACCAAACAAATCATTTAAATTATATAATTCGTAATTTATTTATTTACCTTTTTTGTTTCTATTTCTATTTACTTTTCTTCTTCTACTTTTAGATATTACAAAATATTTCGAAATTGAATTAAATACTCAAACCAATATTGAAGGTGAAAAGTATTCAGTGAATGGATCACATCCAGCAGAATCATTATCAAAGATTCTTGATAATTTCATCAACAAGTTTATTCTTTGTTCGTCGTGCAAGAACCCCGAGACCAGAATGTTGATCAAGGGCAAGGCTATCGACTTGAAATGTGCCGCCTGTGGTATTAGAACGCCATTGGACATGAAGAGCAAGCTTTCCAGTTACATTCTCAAGAATCCACCCAAATCTGCCTCGTCGTCCAAGGACAAGACCACTCACGACGAAGCTCCCACTCAACCATCGTCCAAGGAGATGAGAAAGAAAAAGTCAAAGGACGAGGAGGAAGACGGAGATGTCGTATGGTTCACCGACACTTCTGAAAAGTCGGTCGAAGAGCGTAAAAAGAGCGCCATGGGTGGTCAAACTGCTGCAGTCTTGGCCATGATGAGCATCGAAGACGAAGAGGTCGATGAACTTGACCCAGTCGAGTTCCTCAAGGCCAAGTTGGCAAAGTCTGAGGACTTGTTTTTGCTCGAACTCAAGAATGTCAAGGACAAGTTTGCCCTCTCTCGTAGCTACGAAGTCTCCAAGGTTGCCACAGAGGCTTTGGCTGGTGGTTCGGCTGCTACCATTGTCGCAGCAGTCAAGAACAGAAAGGCTCTCTTTGAAAAGATTGCCAAGGTCAAGGATGGCCAATATGGTATCTTGATGGGTCTCGAACAAGTCTATGCAAAGGACGAAACACTCATCAAGTCCATCTTGGGTCTCTTTAAGAGTCTCTATGACGACGACATCGTCTCTGAAGAAACATTTATCAAATGGGCTGGTAAATCAAAGTCAAAGGATCTCAAAAAGATTTCAAAACCATTCATCGAGTGGTTAGAAACTGCTGAAGAAGAAGAAGAAGATGAAGAAGAAGAGGAAGATGAACAAGAGGAAGAAGGTGAAGAAGATGAAGAGTAAATCAATCAAACTCGCGATAAACAGAACATCGTAATCCCGATCTCTCTTTTTTTTGTATTCGATATAATCTTAATCCATCTATCCTTATTATTCATGAACCTATTTTTAAATCTCTTCTCTCCCTCAATCCCCCCCCCATCTATCAACACACACCACTCCAAACAGAGTGGTATCGTGGGTTTTTTAAATTAAAAAAACAATGATCAATCAATAAAAAAAATATTATTATACATGTTTTACAAAATCAATTTCATCAACCCCCTCTTCCAGTTTATTGTTGTGGCTTTTCATTCGTTCAATTATGTGAGTGTGTGTGTGTGGGAGGTGTGTTCTCTTTCTCTCTCTATCACTTTCATAGTTACATCTAAATGGGGTTGTTGTGATCATATCATGGTGGTATTTAATGTTGTCTTTATCACTTTCAACCCACTTACCTCTTTTTGCAGGCCAAGAATGCATTGCTTGTATATTGGTGATGCCTTATTTTGTTTATTTCATTTTAATTTACAACTTTTTTTATTTCATTCCCAGTCTCTTGGTTCATTCAACAAATAAAATAAATCATTATTGTAAGTAAATACACACATTCTCTCTTTTCTTTTTTTATCCATCAAATAATAATAATTAATTATCAATCCAATTATTCTTTTCATTTACAATTTTCTTAAAAAATGATATCCAATGACAGTAATATTATTAGAGATAGAATGATTGACGAAGCAGATTCAACAAGAAAGGTAGCATTGATTACTGGTATAACAGGTCAAGATGGATCATATTTATCAGAATTATTATTGGAAAAGGGTTACGAGGTACATGGTATCATTAGAAGATCATCTTCATTCAATACAGGAAGAATTGAACATTTATTAGATTTAAAATCAACTCCCAATTCAAGTATGAAACTTTAAACCTAATAGGTTAACTTTTAAATAATTATTATTGGTTGATTGATCAAAAATAATTAATTCAAACCACCCTTTTTCTATTTTTTTTTTTGATTTAATTCTTTTTTAGGTCTACATTTACATTATGGTGATTTAACAGATTCAACCAATTTAGTGGCAATTATTGCAAAAGTAAATCCAACTGAAATCTATAATCTTGGTGCTCAAAGTCACGTAAAGGTATCTTTTGAATGCTCTGAATATACAGCCGATGTTGATGGAGTTGGATGTCTACGTATCCTAGATGCCATTCGTAGTTGTGGATTGGAGAAAAGAGTTAAATTCTATCAAGCTTCAACTTCTGAACTCTATGGTAAAGTTCAAGAGGTTCCTCAATCTGAAAAAACTCCATTCTATCCAAGATCTCCTTATGGTAAGTTAAATAATTTAATAATATTAATAATATTACATGTTTACTAAACAAGTTGATTTGATTTATTACATTCCTATTTAGCTGTATCAAAACAATTTGCATTTTGGATTTGTAAAAATTATAGAGAAGCTTATAATATGTATGTTTGTAATGGTATTTTATTTAATCATGAATCCCCAAGAAGAGGTATGTATTATAATTAATCAAAAGATTTAACAAAAAAAAATATTAATATTGATTTGTTTTTAATTAGGACCAACATTTGTAACAAGAAAAATTACAAGATTTGTTGCAAGAATTAAACTTGGACATCAAGAAACATTATATCTTGGTAATATTAATGCTAAACGTGATTGGGGACATGCTCGTGATTATGTTGAAGCAATGTGGTTAATGTTACAACAAAAAGTACCCGAGGATTTTGTCATTGCCACTGGTGAAACGTATTCAGTTCGTGACTTTACAGAACGTGCTTTTAAAGAAATTGGAATTAATATAAAGTGGCGTGGAGAAGGTATCAATGAAGAGGGTTATGATTCGGCCAACCCAACCAAAGTTTATGTTAAAATAGATGAAAAATACTTCCGTCCAACCGAAGTTGATCTTTTACTTGGCGATCCATCAAAGGCCAAACGTGAACTTGGATGGAAACCAAAAACCCCAATCGACGAATTAGTAAGAGAAATGGTTGCCAAAGATATTGAATATCTTCAAACTGGAGACAAACATAATTAAATCAAATAAATAAAATAAATAATAAATATACAAACCTTTTAATTTTTAAAAATAACCATAATGTTAAATGTTGGTGGATGTTGGATGTTGTTGTTGTTGTTGTTGTTGGAAAAAGATAAGGTCAATGACCAACCCATTTATCGATTACATTTAAAAGAATGTAAAATATCATGTTTATCTCTTTTTGCATTGCATTGGGAAAAGTAAAAATCTTGGCAAAGGGGCTTTGGGTGTCGGATCGATCGATAAAAAAGCCATTCGAGACGAAGTGTCTTGAAAAGATATAAACAGTAGTGAAACAACCATCCATCGCCTGATATCGTTGCACCAATGAGATGCACGGGCTTTGTTTAAAGATTAATCTTGGACAAAACTTCGATCCAAATATCTCTAGCCAAAATCCACGTCTCATCAAAAGATAGAAAAATAGAGCAACTACTAAGAATTCTGTAGACTCTAGTTATATTTTTGTTGTTTAGATAGATAGTTGATCGAAATCATAATTAACATCAACAACAAGTTGTAATTGTATTTGTTTGTTGTTTGTATACAAGGTTTCTAATCTTGCAACAAAATCATGATCCAATTCAAGTTTTGTTTTGTGGTAATATTTTTAGTATTATTTGTATCTAAATCATCATCATCTTCAAACGTCCTCAGCAACACTGAACGTATGTAAAAAGTCAAGTCTCTATTATAATAATATATATACCACCACTACTAGGTTATTAACGACCTAGGTTTATTGTTTAATCGATATATATAGTTGCATCGTGTCGGTGGTTGATTAATCAATATGGATTAAATATTCAACAAGATTCGTCATCCATTTGTGCCTCTTCATTCTTTACTTGCTCATCTTATCATATAACTGAAATGTAGGCCATACGTTCGTTACATAGATCTAAAACCTTACCAACCTCTAACATAATTATCTCAATTATACTATAGTAAAATCAGTGCTACCACTATCACTAGTGATAATGTGATCATTGCGCCCGATCCTTTATTAGTCTTTGACTTTCCACAGTTGATTTTGTTTAGTGTCAATGCATCATTGATACAAGTGTATGATGCCACTCTGAACCTATTAGATCGTATTGAAAACCTTTCTCTTTTAGAAATCATAATGTAAATTAATGATTCATCTATCTATCTATCTATCTATCTGTCTATCTTTAGTTATTTACTATTAAATTTTTTTTAGAATTGATAGTGATGATAGTATTACAAAAATACCATCAAACTTTCCAAATGGATTGTTAAAACTAAAAAGCTTAGAGATTTATGGAGACGGGGTACTCAATAATGATGGTCCATCATCATCATTGTTTGCTCTTGGTTCAACCAGTTTAGAAACTGTCATTATCACACCTAGTCTAATTCAAGTAACGGTTGACTCTTCTATTGCTCCACTTGTCGCATTGAACCATCTCTCATTGCATTTTGGTAATCAACAAATAGGACAATGGAAAACAATTCATTTTGCCTCTTTGTCATTCCCCAATCTTGAATATTTATATTTACAGGCTCATAATCAATCTTTAATTGAATTACATTGTGACAACATTAACCTTTTACATTTGTAAATAATATTTAAAAATCCTCTCTTTGAGAAAATATTATTATTTTAATAATATTAATATTAATCTTTAATCTTTTTTTTAGATATTTAACGGAAACTGGCTCATCAAGATTTAATGTATCTCTTGGTCAAAGTACTTTTAATATGACTAAATTGTAAATTATTCATATTTATCTAGATATCTTTTAATTAATTTCTATCTATACTACACCTAGGTCAATTGATGGGGCTGAGAATAATGATTCATCTCAACTTTTCTATCCACTATTATCATCATTTACAAATTTACAATTGTTGTCATTGGAGAATGTAATTGTTTCCAATCTCTCACAATACCCTACCCAATCCATGAACACCTTGCAACACTTGACCTTAAAGTCACAAAATTTATCATCGTTTCCAACCACCATTGGTGAATCTCTACTATCAATGTAGGTAATAACGCATCAACATCATTATTATTTTCAAACAAGTTTAATCATCATCATTATCTAATTTAATTCAATTTCTTTTCATCATCCTCTTTAGGGATTTATCAAATAATCAAATTCAAGGAACAGTACCTTGGCAATTATTTAACAAATCACAATTTAAATTGAATATTACCAATAATACTCTTATTACTGGAGATGTACCAGATTCATATTGTTCAAACTATATTTATATGAAAAGAACATCTATTAGTCGCCTTCCAACTTGTTTATGGTGTTATTCAAGAAACCCAATGGTTTTAGAAACTGATTTAACCATTCCAATTCCTTTTGCTTGCCGTACGTATATTTAAAAGAATAAGAGAAAGAAGAATATTTATTAACACGAAATGATTTGTTTTTTTTATTCAATTAGCAATTAGTATAAATGATGTAGTATTATCAATATTTGGTAAAGGGATAATATTTGGTGATAATATTGGGTTTGGAGATGTTTTGGCAATCGATCCTAGATTCAATGTAACTGCCAGCATTGGAAACTATCAACTTGGTTTAATAGACTCAACACCAAGTTATGGTCCACTAACAACAATGGTGATTCGCCTCGATAAATATTATCCAGAGTATATTTATACACTTGATATTATTGAAATTGGTGTTGCAGTTGAATCAGTATCAACAGTACAACTACGAATGGGTATTGTACAATTGAATATCAAACTTTTAAATCCAAACCCAACATTGACTCACTCGGTTAAACTCAATCAAACGATTCAATGTCTACCGGTTGGACCTATTAACAACAATGAATTGAAATGCAATGTTTCATCATCATTATTAAAATCTGGTTCGATTTACAGTTTAATAGTATCAAACCAATATTTAAGTTCAAATCAAACATTATTTAATTTTACTCAATGTAATTATTAATATTTAAAAAATTTTCTTACAAAACCCTAACCTACTATTTAATTTTTATTTAGTATATCCTTTGGTTGATCAAATCGAGTCTATTGATTTATCAAGTAAAGTTGGATCAAAATATAGAATTGAAGGATCATTTGGTGAATATTTGGAATCACCAAGCATTTTATTTAATGACTCGTCGGTATCAATTTGTTCAATAGAATCGATATCGTCAACAGTCATTGAATGTGTTTTGACTGTAGATTGCCTGGGTGGTCTTACAAGTGTATTTGTAAATGTTGATGGATTCTCATCATTACCATACCAAATCACAATGGCTAGTCTAAAAGATGAATGTACCAATACAACTAATAATTGTTCGAATCATGGTCAATGTAGTTCAACTGGTACTTGTCAATGTAATACTGGTTATTATTCAAATGATTGTTCTAAAGTCTATCCAATTGTATCATCTGGTTCATATGATACAAATGATAAAAGAAAAATTAGATTATATGGAGATTTGGGACCAAACCAAAACAATGTATCTATTTTCTTGAACAATACTATTGAATGTTTGGTTGTAGACGTATCACAATCAAACATTAATTGTTCAATTGCTCAATTCCCATCTGATGGGTTGGTATCTGTACAGGTCAGTGTTGATAGTGGAATACCAACCATGGTCAATAATCTACTTTTATTCATATCAATTTGTCCAAATGGTTGTTCACAAAATGGTATATGCCAACCAGATGATACTTGTAATTGTAATACTGGTTACTATTCAAATAATTGTTCAATTCGTATGTACATAAAATACAATATTATTTTATTATGTCACATTTATTAACTTTTTTTAATATTAAATATTATTAGTTTATCCAACATTAATCAATGGTGAATATGACCTGATTGAAAGAAAAAATATTTCTTTGTATGGTGATTTTAGTCCATTTCAAAATAATATAGTTATAACGTTGAATGGTACAATTGGACCATGTGTAGTTGTTTCTAAATCACAGGAAATGATTAAATGTACTTTGGATCAAGAACCAAAAGATGGATTGGCATCTGTACAAGTTAATATTGATGGAGCTATCAATTTACAAGACCTTTTAATCGATTTTCGTACCTTGGTCTGTAAAAACGATTGCTATGGACATGGTACCTGTGTCAATGGAATATGTAATTGTTTACCAGGGTATCAATCGTTTGATAGTTGTTTGACCAAAGTTTCAAATGGTACTCGTATTCTTCAAACAAATACTACTGCTCCCTCGATAGGAGACGGTACCGTCAAATTTAATATAGAAATGGTAGCCATTCTAGAAATTGGTATCGACTCGAGTTACTCGATCGTCAAAGAATTGTTGACTAAGGATTGGAGCTATTCAGTTTCCAAACTAAATCAAACGACTATTGTCGATTATCAACTCGAATCAAATAGTATTGTAAATGTACAATCATCAATCTCCTACTCGACAGAACCAAGAGATTTGGCTTTTGGTCCTAAAACTTATCGTATCCTTCCCAATGCAACCCAACTATCAATCACGATTAATAATTGGCAGTATAGCTCCACAATGTCTACACTTCGTGTTATTTTCAAAACAATAGTAAATAATACCCAAGCCATTCAATATAATTGCAAACCATTGGTTATAGAACCCTTTGACCAATCGTTGGATGGTACCCAATATCTCCGTATCGTCAGGGACAACGTCCAACTAACAGGTCGTTTTATGGAATATGTATTGGTAGATGGTAGGCTATCGTATTCTACAACTCAAGAGGTTAACAAAACCAAAATCCAAGGAACCTTGGAACAATCAACCCTCTTTATTGGTGTCAATGTACCACAGTGTCAACAATGTACAATTGGATCAGACTTTACACCATTAATTATAGATAAGGAAAATGATTATACAAATTGTGGTCCATCTATTCCTATTCCTAATCCCAACTCTTCTTCAAATGATGATGATAATGGGAATGGAAATGGAAATGGAAATGGAAATGAAAACAAATCATCATCTAATACATGGAAAATAGCTCTCGGTGTGTCTGTTGGTGTTGCGTCACTCGTTGGTCTAGCAATAGCAGGTACGATATTTGGTAAACGTCATTTTAAAAGATCTAGAGCCGTAAAACAATTAGAATCAAGATTATCAGCATTACGTTCAGAAATAAAATAATAAGCCAAATTTAGCTTCTTTCTACTTGATTATTTGTTCAAAGTTTATTTATTTATTCTTGGATAGAATCCAAAATAGTAATAATATTTTGTTTTAAAATGGTAATGTCCGAGATGATTTGGTGCATTTCCGCTTTAAATTTAAATGCAAGACTAGAATAGGATGAAACCATTGTTTTGAGCAAATTACAATATTGCACATTTGATTTATGTGTAGGGAGGTATCTTTTCATTATTTCTATCAATTGTTTAAATACTTGTTCTTCTAAATGTAATTTTAAATTCAACATTGATTGTAATATAGTACATGAATTCTTATCAAATATAAATTGATTATTTGATTCAATAAAAGAAAAGAGTGATCTAATTAAGAGAAATTATTAAGAGAGAAATAAATAAAACTATTAGTACTAGACCATACCAATCAAATTGGAATTTGATTTGTACATACTTTAAAAAAGTTAATTTGGTGTCGGGAGAGATTTCCATGCTCTTGATCAATTGAACAAAAAGAAGGGTGTGTGAAGCTGATAATGGGTCCTTTAATAATGGTTCCAAAACCGAATGTATAAATGCAGTGTGATGTCTAACAAAGCATCTAGTCAAGTATACCATCATATCTTGTGATACAGTTTCCATTGACCGTACAGTTGGCAATAAAAGAGTTTTAAAATAACTTGAAACCAACATGAATCCAATATCCAATTCTATCAATACCAACATAAACTCTTTTAATGCTAATTTATCCATACTATCTAATCTTAAATGTGATGTAACAATTTCTGGCTAAAAAAAATATTAATATTTTAATCCTTTATTAAAATTGTTATTATTTTTGTTATATTTATACATACATCTTCAATATTTACAATAATAGACATATTTGATCTGAAATCACTTGTAATTGATATAGGATTTTTCAATAGTTCGATATGAACAGAATCCAGCGCTTGGATTTCCCTGTCCACTAAAACTCTCTTTGGCTTTTCAATAAAGGATTCATCCAAATCTTGAGATTGAGGTGTATCTTGGTGTGTGGTTGTACTATTCTTTATATTGTCGATGATTTTGTTTGTATATTCTTGTTGTTGATGATCCATCATCTTTGGTGAATCATCAAAAACAATTTCATCATCTTCATTCTTTGCTCGAAATTTTGAGTTGATTTGTTGATCCTTTTCTATATCTGACATTATTTCATCTTCATCTTCTTTCATTATATATTTTTTATAATCTTTAATTCTATTATCATTCTTTTTCTAAAATGGATTAATGAATGTTAATAAATAAATAGTTTATAGAAATGAGAGATAATAATAATAATAATAATAATTACAATTTGAGGTATAAATGTCAAGAATAAACTATCCCAATCTTGTAAAAGTGATTCCATATCTCTATGATTATCATTACCAATTGATGTTGATGACGTATTACCGGTATCCAAATGATCATTAGCATATTCTTGACTATTCTCTTTTTTAATGATACCACCATTCATCATGGTTGTATTGGATGACAATGATGGGTGAATCAATGAAATGATTCTATTGTTATTACTACTTGTATTTGGTTGAATGGCCGCAGTTGAATGTACAGTGGATATCATTTGCTTGACAGTTTCAATCGAGGACAAAGATGAAGAAGATGATGGAATTGAATAACCAATATGATTAAATAAAAGATTAACGATAGAAGATATCCAAAGATGATTTGTATAGATTCCATTGCCAAAAGTGTTTGTAATATAATGATCAATTAAAAATGTTTTAATCGTATTATACTCCTCTACGTGGACAGGTGTCAAAGTACAATCAGAATTGATAACAATAGTATACAACCAATCTAAAATGTTAATTTGAATATTTAACTTTAATTGTAATAGTCTTGGTAGTTGTTGTTGTTGTTGTTGTTGTTTTTGTTGTTGTCCTTGTTGTTTATTCTTTTTACCATTATTATCATCTTGTTGTTGTTGTTGTTCTTGTTGAGACAAGTATACCAAGAATGGATAAATTACAGATTTGAATGATGGTTTCTTTTTATTATTATTATGTTGATGAAGCAGTATATTGAAAATACTTGATATCACTATTGCACTATTAGTATTACCACTATTTACATTATTTAATTTTGTTAATATCAATTGATATATAAAGTTGTTGTTCATCATTTCATGGTTCTCTCTCTCTTATCTCCCTCTTCTTATCTTATATCTCTTTAATTATCTATTTATAAACATTGACAATGAAAATGATTAAAGATTAATAATGAAAAACAAGATTGATAAAGTCATTCATTCATTCGTTTGATTACGCATCATCTTCATTCTTGGAATTCATTGGGTACAGATAGATAGATAGATAGGAGAGATGAGTCAAAAGAGGCATCAACTAACTACAAAGCTAGCGAGTACACAATGTCAAAAATGTTTAGAACTTGGTCATTATACATATAATTGCAAGAATCAAAGAGCTTATTCGGCGAGACCAACACGAACAACCTATCTAAACAACCCAGACCTTTACAAAGAAAATATACTTAAAACTGCTGGTATTACTAGTAGCAGCAGCAAGACTGACGATAAGAATAAGAAAAAGAAATCAAAAGAAAAGAATAGAAAGAAAAGTAAAATAATGATAGTAGTGATTCGGATTCATCATCAGACAGTGACTCTGATTCCGATTCAGACTCTTCTTCCGATTCCGATTCATCATCAAATAGTGACTCTGATTCTTCTTCATATTCATCCTCCTCATCATTATCATCATCTGATTCAGAAGATGACAAAAAGAGGAAACGAAAGAAATAATAATAACATCCAACCAACAATTCAAAAATAAATCCTCCAACCATCATATCATCTCTTGTATAAACAAATAACAATCATAACAATCACATGGAAATAATATTAAATTAATCTTGTATATATATTGTACAAAATAGATTTATTTTCTTTACATTTATTTATATTTAAATTTAAATTAATAATTAACCAAAGATTGTTTAATATCTTGACCCTTATCATTATTATTAAAGAAACCTTTCTTTCTAGTTTTAGCAACCAAACGATTAAGTTTGTCGTCGACAGCACCTCTACGCCATTGTGATTCAATGGCTGCGCTGCCACGAATAAGATGTGATGTTTTGTTTTCGTTCCATCGCTTGGTGTGTTTTTTGGCTTGGTGCCACATGGGTGCCTCTGAATCATCGGCTGCTGGTTGCATGATGACCGATCCACTGGGGTCGTCGTCGAGAAGGTTGACGGCCTTTTTGGTCTTGACAGGTGCACCTTGTCCAACGCGTTGGAGAATGGTTTCGGAACGGAGACGTAACTTGTCCTTGTCTTGTTGGTTTCTGTTTTTGGTGGGGATGTGGATTGGGATGTCACCGTTATGCTTGCCGTATTGGATTTGGACAAAGTCATAAAACATACCCTTTTGTTCGACCAATTGTTCGGGTGCTCCCATCTCGGTGACGGTACCTTCAGAGATGACGGCGATAATATCGGCTGTGAGAATTGTCGAGAGACGATGAGCGACGATGATGACGGTTCTGTTTTGCACGAGGTTGTCGATAGCTTCTTGGACGAGACGCTCAGACTCGACATCGAGCTCCGAGGTGGCTTCGTCGAGCAGGAGAACGGTGGGGTTCTTGATGATGGTACGTGCAATGGCGATACGCTGCTTTTGACCGCCCGAGAGGGCTGTGCCACGCTCGCCAATCACCGTGTCGTAGCCGTTGGGCATAGCAGTGATAAAGTCGTGTGCATTGGCGAGACGACATGCCTCCATCACCTGTTGACGGGTCGCGTCGGGACGTCCGTACGACACATTCTCGGCGATGGTTCCGGAAAAGAGAGATGGCTCTTGGTTGACAATCGAGATGTGGTCGTGCAAGTTGACAAGGTCCCACTCGCGAATATCAGTGCCGTCGAGTGTGATTTGGCCACCCTCAATATCGTACAAACGGCCAATCAGCGAGAGCATCGTGGTCTTGCCTCCACCGGACGGACCGATGAGCGCGGTGATGGTGCCGGGTTGGAACTGGAGGTTGACGCTGCTCAACACCTTGTTGTCACGTGCACCGGCATAGCTAAACGCCACATTCTTGAATGCGAGGTTACCTGTGACACGGTCGCGGCGAATACCACCCGTGGGAGGGATCGATGGCACACGCTGCATAATCTCAAAGAAACGGTACGAGCTACCCTTGTAGGACTTGTACGTAGTGTAGAGTGTGGAGATTTGGGTGAGTGCACCCGAGATGAATGGGAGGAACAGGTTAAAGGCGATGAGCATCGACGGGGTAAGGTCACGCGCTCTAACCAACGAGGTACCGTACCACAAGAGGATAAAGATGGATAGCTGCTCAAAGATACCGCTTGTACTGTTATAGATACCGTTCCAAATGGTCATACGCAAGGCAATCTGGTAGGACTTGTTGATAAGCACTGCGAAACGTGACACCTCACGCTCTTCAGCCGAGAACCAACGTACTGTACGGATATTGAATAGTGTCTCGGCAGCATGTGTAGCTGCGTCGGCCAAAGCATCCTGCACCTTCATTGAAATCTCTTCGATATAGTTTCCGTAAAAGTGAGAGAATACCATGAGTATTGGGAGTGGACAGAGTACGACCAAAGTCAACTTCCAAGAGATAATGAAGAGCATAATGAGACCACCGAGGATAGTGGCAATTTGAGTAATCATATGTGGGATACTGTCAGATATGATGTTACGAACTGACGATACGTCACTAGCCAGACGACTCATAAGTTCACCAGTTTTACGTTCATTGAAAAAGTCCATGTCTTGGATAAGAAGTGCGCGGAACATTTCCTTTCTAAGACGAGCAATGATCTTGTGACCGGCCAAAGCCAACAAAATACCATAGAGGAACTGAACGATGAGCATACCAATAATGATGAGTGCAAATGTTAAAATGACCGAGTTAATCTCTGATGATTGTCCTGAATAGAGTAGATCAAAGATATTGGCAGATACCAATGGAATGGCCAATCCCAAAGCAATATCAACAAATGATAAAATGATACCAAGAATGATTAATTTAGCTTCTGGTCTTGCCAATGATATGATTTCAATGATTGAATATTCAACCTTTTCTTGTTCAATTAATGGTTCTTGATCATCATCATCATCTCTACCACCAGCACCAGCACCAATACCAGTACCACCTCCACTTCCACTTCCACTACCGTTATTATTATTATTATCTTTTTTACTGTTATCATAATCTGCACCAGCTCCAACAACTGTTAATTCAACTGCTTTACCACCACGACCAGTATTATTATTATTATTGTCACCTGGTTTACCACCACCAGCTGCACCACCATTATTACTATTACTATTACCATTACCATTAGAAGTATGTTTTGATTTATATTTTTCATCATTTAATGATCTACTCTTATAGAATAATAAAACAGCTACAACACCTGCCAAAATAATGATACCAAAAGCTGCCAACAATACAATATTGTATAATGTCAATGCCAACATGGTAACACATTTTTTAGTAATACCTTTATCCAATACATATCCAGAATCACATGAATAAATCTATAAAAGAAAAAGAAAAAGAAAGATTAATATTATTTTAATTTGATTTGATTTTTTTAAAATTTGACTAGTTACCTCACAAGTACCCCAAAGATTATCAGAATGACAAGATTGAATACCAATACCATTTTCAACATAACATTCTTGTTCTTGGTATTCATTTGGATCATAGTAACATTGTGAACAATAGATTCTTTCAATGTTGCCACGAGTGACTACGGAAAAGGTTTGGTCGGGGACTGGCACGTTGGAGCCATAGACACGGATGTCGTAACGACCGGGTTGGGCATTACGAATGACAAGATGTTCGACATTGTTGATATGATCCTCTAAAGAGTAGAGAGTGAGGTTGCTGTCAATGTATTGGTAGACGACGAGATCCAAGTCGTTGACAAGGGCAACTGGTGAGAGTGGTGAGCCGGCTGGATCGGTCCAAACAAGTGTGACATAGATATCACCACCACTAACCTGGAAACAAACTTGATCCATTGATTCAGTATTGGCAACTGCATCTGTCATGTTGGCAACATCAATCTTTTCGGTAGAGCCAGATGTCTTGATGAGAGAGGATAGGTCAACCGATCCAAATCCAGTAGAGAATGGGACAGTTGATGCATGGTTGGTGTTGGCAGTATTGATCATCATTGCTTTGACAAGTGAACCTGATGGGTTGGCAATAGCAGCGGTCGCGTTGGCAGTAGCTCCGTCTTGGTAGAATCCAAGACGAAGGTATTGACGTGTGAGGACAGCGGCCGATGCAGCGACGGCTGCAGACTGACTGGTACCTTCCATGGCCACCAACGAGGGGGTTGGCGCACCTCCAATGACGGCGGCAGAGCAATGGTCGTCGGTAGCAGCCGCACCTTGTGAACGCGACGATACGATAGGCGACCCAGGTGCAAAGAGGTCAGGCTTGATACGACCGTCAGAAGTAGGTCCGACACCCGAGAATGTCGAGAGTGTGTATTCAGTGTAGGTCGTGTTGGCAGCATAGTCTGCTTGCAACATGGCACTACAACAGATGTTGTTGAGGACCGTGTTGGCACCACAACACACAGTCTGAGTTGCACCACCTGGCACATCTGTGCAACGCAGTCCGTAGACAGGGTTGTTCAGTGTGCACACCTGGTACTGCAAGTCTGCATAGATAGCATCAAAGTCAAAGCGTGCAATAGCCTCTGCATACTGCACTGGGTTTTGGTTGTAACTGCCGACGACCAGCGAGTTTTTAGATACCGACTCTTGGGTGACCGAGTACGAGCCTTGGAACTGGAAGAGTGGGCTGTTGCCGGCACTACGCACAGCCAAAAAGTCAAGATTCTCGCTTTGGAAGGCATCCAACTGAGCAGTGATGGTTGTGTAGTAGGCGCCAGAGTCTTGCGAGTTCCAAGCATCCAAATGGATACGTGCGCCGTTGGCATAGGTCGATCTAAAGAGTTCGGCGGGGTCTGATGGGATACCGTTTAGGACGCCACGGTTGGCACCGCCAATATCGATAAATGCAACACGTGCATCTGGTGCACCGCCCATAAACTCGGCGAGTGGAGCGTTTGGATCACTCGGACTACCGAGTATAGTACCGACAACGTGTGTGCCGTGTCCGTCAACGACGTCGGTCGAGTCGGCCAACGCATCATAGCTCACCACCTTTCTATGAGTGGTCGACGGCGTGTTGCCAGCGGCATCGAAAAAGAAGCAGTGCTTGAGATCGAGACCACTGTCTGCACAACCTACAATCTCACCAATACCAGTCAATCCACTAGTCCACATGGGTGTAGCTGTTTCATTGAGTGCACCATTCTGAACAGAGTATTTGGCATACTTGTTTGACACCTTTTGCATAGCATACGATGACCTTTCAACCCAATACACATGACATTGACGTGATGTCCATGATATAACATTCTTGATAAAGTTTAAGTTTTTACTACTGCCACCAATAAACATCAACTCTACAGTTGGATTCTTTGTATCTTGTTGTTGTGTGTTGTCAATCAATTGAATGTTGTTGGATGATTTAAACTCTTCCAACAATGATACACGTAACAAGGCAGCCGATTTAGAGTCAACCAAACTCACACGAATACCAGTTGGTAGAGAATAGTCTAGTGACTGTTGACCGAGGGTAGGTGATATCTTGAGTGTAGATGTCAGTTCGTGTACATCCTCTAATCTCTCGAACCCAATCTTCTTTCGAATGATTCCAATTGTGTTGCTGTCGGCATGGTTCTCTGGGAACACTACGAGATAGGAATGATTGGGGATATAATGGTGGATGTAGGCATTGAACTGATCCAACAAGTCTACAAACTGCTTGTGTTGTTCTTTTGTTACACTATCCTTGAATTGAATGATATATAGTCGAATGTCACGTTCCAAATGATGACCTGCATACGAGTAATGATATTTCTGTTGATTGATTGCATTGTGAAGATGTACTTTGGTTTCTCTTGTGAATGTAGTTGTAGTAGTAGTTGAGAATACCAATGAAATCGATATAGATAATAATACAAATAGTAAGAGATGTTGTTTTGATGATGAGGTTAATGATGTTGAAACACCCCCACCTTTAAACATTGTCATTTTTCTATCGTCTACTAAATCTATTTTCTTTTTCTTTTTCTTTTTTCAATTGAACAAAAGATAGAGTAAAAGAGAGAAAGAGAGAGAGAAAAAGAGAAAAGTAAATGTGATTGAGATATATACGAAAGATAAATGTGGATTTCGTAGTTTCAACAGTTCATGTCGGTCATCCAACCATCACAGCGCTGATCTTTTCAAAAAAAAAAGGGTATTTTGTTTTTTATGCCTAACCGACTTGTTAAGATCCCAAGATATTTTTAGACATGTTTGGTCGCAATTCTCAAAGTAGTTCGTAAATGAGACTTTTTTTTGGAATAATGATAATAACTATTGACCTATTCAAAGATAAAATATATATCTCTCTCTCTTCTCTCTCACTTACAACTTTAATTTTAATTAATTATAAACTTATAATTATTTATTACTTTTTTATCTAATTTATAAATTATCTATTTTAGTTGTTTTTTTGGTTTGATTTGTGTTTTTTTAAAATATAATGGATATATATGATGTTCTAACGAGAATCATTTTCAACCCAACCCTTATTTTGTTGATCTTCTTCTTCATCTAATAATTCTTCTTCCTCTGGATCGAAAGCATCTTCTGGTACAGAGTAGATATTGATGACGGCACGATTTGGATCACGATGCAAGAGGTATTTACCGTTGGGCAACTTTTGACAGCTTTGGATGATACGCTTGAGGATACCCCAGTTGTTTCTCATGTCGACACGGTTTTGTTGGTTCAAACTGGCGGTGGTGACAATGTGAGAGGCGAGGATGACGTGGTTGGTTGGGTCGTTTGGATTGTTACGCGAGACGTAACCGAGAGCGACTTGATCGCAACCGGCGAGGGTGGCTTGGATAGACCACTTGGCAAACTTGTTGGAATTGTTCTTCATTTCAGTGGCGAGGACCGAAGCACGTTGTTGATCAATGTTCTTTCTAAAATCGGTTGATTGGTCGCGCATTGGGTCGTATTCATTGGTTGCCTTGATAGCGACAAACTTGGGGTTGGCGGCAGTCGAGCCTGGCATGAGACCGTCGACTTCAGTACGAGCCATGACGGTGATATCGTCGCCGAGGTTCCACTTGTAGTAACGGTAACCGACTTCGACGCAGTTCTCGAGGTCTTCCTCGTCGAGCTGGCTGTCAAACTTGATGGGCTCGGCTTGGTGGTCGAGTACCTGTTGCCAGTAGTTTTGATTGATGACGCTGGCTTCGCTGGACAAGGCGCTGGGGGCGTTGATTGGGTCCTTGTCGTCGTGGTGGTGCGAGGCGTTTTCGTTGACGGTGAGGACGTCAGACATGCCTGGACGGTGCTCAAAGAAGATCTTGCCGGCGACACGCACAACAACGATATCCCACGAGTAGACGGAACGGTTGGCAGTCATGAGCGTGGCCAAGATGGCGTCGGTGGCATACACATTACCTTGAGTAAAGTTCTTACGGATGATCTTATCGTCCGAGGTTTGGATGAGTGGCAACATCTTGTCGTTCTTTTGCAATGTCTTTTCGTCACGGGCCGATACCTTTTCAATCGATCTGTTGTAGAATTTAACGTTACCGCAGGTGGCGACCAACTCGGCGACTGGGTTCACCTCGATGACGTATTGCTTGAGGGCGGCCAAGTCGAGTTCCTCCTTCATCTCCCATGTCTGGTCGATTTGGACCGATGACTCTCTGCTCTTTTGACGACGATCGTTCCAGTGATAACGGTTGCCATAACGACCACCTTGCTTACCACCACGGTGTCCACCACCACCTCCACCTTGACGTGGAAGAATGACACGTCCACCTTGACGGTTCTGATAGAATCCACCACGGTTTCCTCCCAATTTACCACGGTTGCTTCCACCTCTGTGACCATATGATGTCTTTGATACAGGTCTCGAGTAATCGACCAATTGGAAACTATCCTCATCATCTTCAAGTTTGTATGTGAATGGATTCGAGGCATTGGCTCCATATATATTTTGTCTTTCTAGAAAAGGTATAATTGAACATTCATGTTAACAACAAAATAGTAGTGTTGAATTTGTTTATATATCTATCTTTGATGAATTGATGTTGTTGGTGACTGAAAAGATCGATCGATCATGATTATATGTGTCATATGTTCTATATCTATCCTAATCTGAATGAATGTATGTATGTATCTAGCTTGCTTAGATACTCTTACATATGCATTTCATTATTACTATCTATTATCTCCGACATAAATTTGATAATAATCGAGTTGGTCACGTCGATCGTCTTGTTGTTTGTTGTATACTAGTTGTTTGTTGTTTGTTGTTTCTCATTTATCTGTTGTTGATAGTGCAACTGATTGATGTAATGTACAATATAGGTACATAGGTATGTATACATACGATAAATCTTCATGTTAGAGTTCCAATCTGAGCACTTGCCAATCTTTTCGCTCTTGCTGAATGGTGCATATGGAATATCGTTAAACTTTTCGACAGAACCGGTTGGACCCCAACCATCAGGGTTAGACTTGATCGATGAAATATCAAATGTGAACGACATCTTTTACTTTATCTAATTATTAATATAAATAAAACTACACAGAGATGTTGATGTGACGATAAGTGAAGACCTCTAAAGAGAGAGATCAAGCATGAACCTAATTTTTGAATTTTTTTGTTATTTTTTTCTTCCTCGTTTTTTTCATCACCACCGCAAGCCCAACAAAAAACAAAAGCGAACTTCCACCATCATACTTGCCCAATCTAATTATAAATTTTAATATTAATATTAATTTAATTTGATTAATAAACTGGTATAATATATATATATATATATACTTTTACGCATTGGGACTTTATAAAATAATGAATAAATGAGAGACTATTATAATGCAGAAATTATTAATTAAATCAAGGGAAAAAAACAGGGGTTGGATGATGACACATCACATGTTCAATTTATTTGTATAAAGTTAATTACAAAAAGAGATAGATAGATAGATAGATATAGAGAGATGAAGAGGAAAGAGTTTGGACCACTTTTCTCTTCAGATGTAGTAGGAGGAGGAGGAGGAGGACTAGGATTAAAGATGAGGAATCATCAATTCATGATGTTCCTCTGTCTATTGTTTGTCTCCTCTATTCAATGTATAACGCCACCTAGCAGCAACTTCAACAGTCACAATGGAGGATTGTCAAAGTTAAATTGTCATGATCTTGGTTTCACTGATTCATTGTTATGCTCTTCTTGTACAGATTTTGAAGAGTTTGTTGCTGATCCAAGTATGTATACAAAGTAAAGTAAAAGTAGATAGATGAATGAACATCACACATGACTTACTCTCACTATCTATCATATCATCATCATCATTGTTTAGGTTTAGTTGAAGAATGTAAAAATTGTTGTGCACAAGAAGCCAAGACAGAGAAGGTAAGACATTCATTATCTCTCTATTTTCTATTTATTTACTAATATTTTTGATTTGATTTGATTTAGAAAACCTATGTCAAGGCAATCTTGTATATTTGCAGGTGACGTATGGGTGCTTTCCCACATATCAAAGAATTCGTTGATAAGAAAGCACGTGAATATACTAAATTTGAACACCAACATGAACCCGGAGCCAATCCACGTCTCGAACTCCATGACTCTGAAGGAGCCACTGAAACCATTAATATCGAATCATGGAAGACTGAACATTTGGAAGAATTCTTACGAGACAATAATCTCTAATCGATGGATGGTTTTGACTAGACAGTTTTGATACTCGTCGAGTGATGACAATCTAGATACCAACAATTTAATCAACATTGCAATCTACATTTGAAAGGTTTCAACTTGATCAAACATGTCTAATCAAACTATTGATCCAAGAGATTAAAAAAAAAAAAAATAACAATTAATAAATTCTTCAAACCATAAACAAACAGTAGTAGTAGTAGTAGTAGTAGTAATAGTAATACAATACAAAGCTTAAGATTGAGGTACCGACGTCCGTAGGAGTAAGAACCATCCTTCCTTTTCATTCCATATATTTCAGTACATTTGATAATTCGTTCGACTAAAAGTTTGATATGGAATGAAAAGAAAGGATGGTATCTTACATGCATTTTCCAGCGCATTCTTTATATGACTGACATTCACTTTGTTGAGGTGATATACATTGCTGATGTTGGGGTTTGCGATTGTATGTTGAAAGGCGTCTCTTTAGATGTGTGAACAATGCATTGCGTTTCTTGGATTCAAAGTGTTCAAACCTTTATCATATCTCTTCTCTCTCTCTACGATCCATCTATTGTTGTTGTCCTTGTATGCCAGCAAGAATTTGGAGGAATTTAAACCTAGATTGGTGTTTACTAGAGCTAGGTATGTCTTTAAACAATTCACTGGACATAGAGTGATGTCGTCCGAGCAATATAAAAGTATATTTACCATCTTTCCTCTCGATTCTTTCGCTTTTGCTAGTTGTAGTGCACAAGTTGACCAACCATATTGTATGTAACAGATATTGAACCATAAAGATAATAATTTTAAAAAAAAAATTAAAACTAAGCTACTAGTTTTTTTGGTGATGATCGTGAAGATGAAAGGTTTTGTCTTTTATTATTTTGTGATAATTAATATTAATATTACCTATATATATAAATAAATATAATTTAAAATGTCAAAGTCAATGGTAAGTAAATAGGTGAGGATATATCTATATATGATGATGATACTTACTATAATACTCATTCATTCATTCATAAACTATTATTATTATTATCTCCTCTTGTAGATTGATAAACATGATGAAATAGATTTAGAGGTATCACACGCCGATCAAAAGATGATCAATACATTTGGACGTCTTAATAATAGAAAGCACGAGTTATTGAGACAAAAGAAATTCAAACAAGTAAGAAGAAGAAGAAGAAGAAGAACTGATTAGAGAGAATAGAGAACAGACACTTCAGAGTTTGATATATACTCAACGATGGTGATGATGACAAAATCATGATATTAATAATGTCATTTATTCATTGTTGTCAATTGACAATAACAATAGGAGGATTTGGAAAAGGCTACAGATGCACAAGACGATGTATTCCTTGCAGACGATGAAACTAAATTCAAATATATGATGGGTGAAGCATACATTGAAACAGAAAAGAGTGAAACAGAGGAATTGATTGAAAAATATATGGCTCAACTTGAAGAAGACATTAAAAAGATTGACGAGGAAATAGAAGATATCGCAGAGGTTCACAAAGAACTCAAAGTACATTTATACGCAAAGTTTAAAACTTCAATCAATTTGGAAGAATAAGATGAATAAATAATAATAATAATAATAATAATCATAGTAAAACAAATCAAAACAACAGCAACAAAACTGATGTGACATCATCAGTCGACTGTGGTATCTATTACTGGTGGTAATAACTTTCTACTTTACATTCAAAACCAACAATGACAAACTAGCTCACAGCATGATGATGGTGTGGGGGTATGATGATCACCCACACTCACTCACTCACTCAGTCCCTTTCCATCAACTTTTACACAATTAAGTGTAACGGCAATGGGGCATTTTGGAATGGTAGTGGTATATTTTCACTAGCTCTTTGCATGCACAAAGAAAGAGTACAGTACAAATATTATTATTATTCTAATCGATTCAGAACAGAAGAATAATATGATGATGATGATGAATATTTATTATATTATAAACAATTGGATTACGCAGCGTAATATTGCTACTTACTGATGTGATATTGTTTAGACATTGATTTAAATGTCTTATCATTTTTTTGTTTTACTTTTTCCAAAAAATGAAACTAATAATATTTATATTAATATCAGCTCTAACCATTGGATTAGTGTATGGAGATTCCAATTTATTAATTTTCGATGATTATCTAGCAAATGACTTTCAAGATTACTCATGGGGTCATTATGATCGATGGTCCAACAATCCAATCTACAGAGGAAGTAACAGTATAAAGTTTTCTTGTATTAATTTCAATGGTCTTTATTTTTCACGTCGTACTCATTTAGATAAATCAAAGGTATATGAAATTAGATTAGAATATAATATGTTTAATTATTTAATTATTTAATTATTTTTTAATTTAATATTAGTATGAAGGATTTTCATTTTGGGTTAATCCAGGTAATAATTATCTTTCACCAGGTATTACTTTACAATTGTCAAATGAAAACGAAGTTGGTGGACCAACTCTTAAATTGATTTCAAAGAATCAACCTTGGACCTCTGCAACTGGCATGTCATCTCTTCAACCAAATAGTTGGGTAAAAGCTTTTGTTCCATTCCCAAATGATGGTAATACTTATTCGTATGTTACCTACTTTTTATAATAATAATAATAATTATTTGATATTAATTAATTTGTTTGTTTATTTTATTTTAGAGGATTACGTATTATGAGTGATACATCTCAAGGTAGTGATGTATTTTTTGATTACTTCCAAGTTGAAGTAGTTGGAAGTAATAATCATCCAAAAGAGTATCCACCTTCACCATACAAGCCACCACCAGGTGCTTATGGTACTCAAGTTTTACAACCTGGTGCCATTTACCAAGCTGTTGACACTCAAGCCGATCCTTCTCTTGGTGGTGTTTTAGGTGGTCATTCGTATGTACATCCAACAACAAAACTTAAAATATTCTCTTCACTTCTAACCTTTTTATATATATTTATCATTTTATTTATCATTTTATTTTAGATTCTGGACATCACTTGCAGTACCAGCATTAAATGATCAAACTCAATGGTCATTCAACAATGATGCAAGATTGTTTGTAATGTCATCTGGTGATTTGTTGTTGACTGGAACATTTAGTGGTGGAGGTTGTTGGAAATGGCAAGCCAACATTGAGTTTGCACCATGGATTGGAGCTCAACCATACGCCAAACAAGAGTTGGCACCCTATGCATACGTACCCGAGGGACCCATCGACCCAGCCACATGGAGATTTTACTTTTTAAGACCAGAGGAAAGTTATTGGAAGGGTATTGGTTGCAACAGAAACAGTATGATCCAAATGACTGGTCTAGAGTACAACATGCCTGCCATGGTTGGGTACGGTGCCAATGGAAAGAATGGGAATCTGGGGTTATCCGTCTGGATGACCTACAAGGCCGTCAATGGAATGTCGGTACACCCATCCAACGAGTCACCACCCATCGATATCAACATTGACTTGATTCCACTGTCAAGTTGGGATGGACAAAAACATGTAAAAAAAGAAAAAAAATAGACAATTCCTAAAATTGAACAAAAAATATATTTCCTAATGAAGTTTTATTATTTTATAAAGTTTATTTGTTTCTATTGGGGGGGTTGGGTCTCTGAGCCCAATGAAGTGGGTGACATTGTTAAAAAAGCTGTTGTTGTTGTTGGTGGAGGTGGTTGGGGTGGCGATTGTTTATCAACAAAGTCTTGAATCAATTGTTTTCCATTGGCTTTTTTTGGAAGATTACTCATAACTTTGTCAATTTGGAGTTCGGTAGCTTGTACCCGAACAAGTGCCTGATTGTTGAGGTTTGCAAAACAGAACCAATCTATGCTAGCCTCCTTGATCTTATTGATAAAGAGGTGGAGGCCATTCTCATCTGAAGCCATAATGGTAGCTATTTCTACATCTTGGATTTGGTTTTGGCTTTGACTCTCTATATTTTTCCAGAATTCAGATAAATGGAGGAAAATGGTGCCAATTTTGCCCAATATTCCAACAACAAGCTCCAAACAAGCCAATGATGCTTTTAAATCTTTTTTGCTGGTTGTAAGATGAAGAATTTCTTGTTGTTTTTTGGCAAGGGTTGATTTGACTTCGATGTTTTTTGCATTGTATTGTTCCTTTAGAATGATGTATTGCATTTCCTTGTCATGTGCAAACTTTGAATGATGCTTCATTTCCTCCAATTCCTTTTCATTTTCGAGGATTTTGGCTTTATCAACATTTAATTTAGATTCCAAGAAATCCATTCTTTCGGTTTCTTTTTCATCTTTGTTTTCCTTGTCCTTGAGCCCTTGCAATTCATTTTGCTCTTTTTCAAGGCACGATTTCATTTCTTCAAGTTGAGAAATAATTTTGGCAATGGCTTCATCTATTTTGCTATTCTGTTCTGTAATTAATGAAACGAGAGACAGAAATTTCCCAAAAGTCGATACACTAGTACTCGCCTTGGTGAAACAAGATGCCATATTGAGTACAAAAATTTTGTCCATTTCTTGCTGGTATTCCATTAGAACCTTTTCAATTTTCCTTGGTGTGACTTGGAGACCTGCAATCGTTGCTGACAATTGTTTTGTGCTATCAGTAAGTTTTTTCTTTTCTTCGATTGAAAGATGTTGGTCTGTGGTGGCTTGTACAAAAGCTTCCTGGGCTTTTTTGTTAAGTTCGACTGATTTTTCGGACATTTCTAAAGCTTTTACTTTCATCTTCTCGGCTATACCTCCAATATTTGAAATGTACTTCAAAGAAGTGTTGATGGAGCCCTTTTCAGCAAAAACGAGTGCCATTTTATGAAAGTTGACAGATGAGATGGAGGCTCGGACAAAACTATCCATTGTTTGTACAGAGGAATGGACCATCTTTTGGTAATCGAATAGAATTCTCCCAACAAAAATATTAGTTTTGAATCCTATCGAACCTGCATATGAAATTTGTAGTAATTCACTAAGAGAATCCAATTCTTCCATAATATTCCCAACGTGAATATGCTTCGCAATATTTGTTTGGTTAGAAACAAATTCTCTGATTATTTGATTTGATGAAATGACTTGGGTAATACAAGAACTACTTTTAATATTAAGATAATCCAATTCTAAAAAGTTGTATATTAATAAATTTGAAGTATTTTGGTTTTCTTTAGATTATCAACGAAATATATTTACCATTGGAGTTATTAATATTATTATTATTCTTATTTAGTATAGACATTTTTAAAACTTTTGTTATTCAAAATAATGAATGATGAACCAACTCAACTGTTTGAATAAATAGCTGGTATTTTGTATCAATAAGTATTAAAAAAATAGGTTTGTGTAGTAACCACAATCAATTTTAATTATTATTATTAGATTAAATTATATATATATATATAATCTGTGGGATTTATCTGAACTGATTATTATATTATATATTTATTATGACACCCTCACTTTTACTAAAAAAACAGGTCTCCAATAATAATTGAAACCAAGCAGTCAGTCTAATTTGCTCTTTTATTATTTAATATTTATTTAACAATAATATAGTTTTCAATAATGCATATATTACAAACAACTCTTTAAATATGGAATTATCAATTAAATTAAAACAATCATGTGAGGAACTAGTATGTAAAATGATGGATTACCTATTCCATTCTTTTTTTTATTTATACTTTTTTTTCTTTTTCTTTCTTTTTTTATTTCAAAAGGTTTCATTAATCGAGAGTGGAGGAAGAGAAATTTCAATTACTGACAACATAGATGTTTTACAAACCTATTCAAAGAGGATCAATTATTTATCAAATCAATTTATTATCAACATTGGCAGCAACAATAACAAAATAGCATTCAAAACACTCACATCTATTTTTAAATACACAAAAGTCATGGAACTGGCAATCAAAAGTAATGAGAACCAATTCGACCTTTTGATTCAAGAAAAAGATCAATCTTTGAAAGATCTTGGCATAGAGTTTTTCGAATTGAGTGAAAAGGAGAGAGAAAAACAAACTGAACTCCAAGAGAAACTAAACCAACTATCAATGATAGAAAAGAAAAAACAGAAACTGAACAACAAGTTGAAAATCTAGAGAAAGCCATCACACAAAAAAGAAATAGGCAAATGGTGAAAATATTTGTGTTCGCCATTATTGCTCTGGTAGGAACAGTTCTAACCAAAAGTGATATGTCAAACAGAGAACTTTTGAATTGGATGGTCAAAAGAGACAATAGAGCAATTAAACAGCTTCGATCCCAATGCAATACATTGGAAGATAGTCATTCTAGTGTCACTTTAGAGCTAATAGTCGCCAATTCAAACCTCCTATGTGCATCTCTAAGGCTACAATATTTGGAAAGCGAAATGGCAGCAAATGAAGAAAAAAAGGTGGGATTGGGAAGAGGACTGACCCATCTAATCAATATCAAAAGCTTACTACATAGTATTGGTGAAATTTTTGGACAACTTGCCTCTGAAACAGAATTCACTCGTAGTGTTATCAAAGAATTAAAGTATGACCAATATTGGCTCAAAATTACTATGGTTTTGTACAAATATTCAAAGCCAATTATGAACGATGCTCTACTAAAAAGTTGTAAATAAATTAGAGATATTTGTATTTGTTACATAGAATAATAATAAAAGACGAATGAACATCTTCTTTCTTTATAAATCATCCATTACAAGAGTTGCTTGAATATCTTGGCTGCTTGCTGAGTTGCTTCCACTGTTAATTATAATATTGTTGTTGCCGCCGCCACCGCTACTTCTTATACTGCTAGTTCTTTCCAATTCCGGTGTGTCTTGAATCGCCAATGTTGCTTCGATGCTTTTATCTTCTACCATTTGTGTTTCTTCAATTGCCAAAGTTGCTGGTGTTCCTTCAATTTGTGAATTAATCTTTTTATCTTGTGATATAATCACTTTTTCTTTTTCTTCTTCTTCTTCTTCTTCCTTTTCTTTATCAATATGATTAAGATTATTATTTAATATTTGAAGTGGTCTTATTGGTTGAACTTGATAATTATTATTATTATTATTATTTCCGTTTAACAATTGATCATTACCATTGTTATTAATAACATGATTATTTTGATTATTATTATAAAGATGATCTGTAATATTAAAAGAATCACCGATTGGTAGATTATTTACAACACGATCATTTGAAGACTTTGAGAATTTTCCAATACTTGGTGAAGAGAAAATGTCTAATAAATCATCTTCTTCTGGTTGTTGGGTTGGATCGATCGTTGAACCAGTTGAAAACCTTTGTTTTCTTTTCTTTTGTTGATTTGCTGCATCTAGAGTACTGTTGTTGCTGTTATTGCTACTGGTACTACTAATATTACTATTTAATTGTTGTTGTTGAGTATTTACAAATGACGATGGTGAAGAGATGATATTGCCATTGCTATTAGAGTTTAGAGTACAAGGACTATGTTTGATTGGGGTCGAGTCAATATCGGCGTGGAGACTATACACTCCATTGTGAGTGGGTAAAAAGGAAACACCAAGGGTGCCAGGTCCGACAACATAGATGTACACTGGGTGAGGACCTTGCACAGGGTGTGGTCCTTCGAGATAGATGTGAATGGGGTTTGACGAGACTGGCCCGGTTCCAGAAGGAGACAATGACGTTAGATTAGTTTGTACCGGGTTGTCAAGAGCATCACGGAGATGCAGTTGTACAGACACTACTCGACCAGTAGTAATCACCGTGTGGTTGGGCATTGAAAGGAATGTGTTTTGTGCAGATATACGCAAAAGAATAGGGTCATCTCCAGTACTAGAGTGAGGAGATTTGTTGTTGTGATAATGGTTACCTGATTTTGTTAGTATTTGTGTGGTATTGTTATTATTATTATTATTGTAGTTGGATTTAGTTCCATTTTGATTTGGAGGAGATGAAGTTTTAGATACTAGGTTGGTAGGTGATATGTTGGGATTGGTATTGATATTATGAGAGACGACGGTAGTTTTGTTGGGTGAAGGTGTTGAAAACATATTTTTTAATACAGTTGTTCTATTACTAGCTTTTACTGGTGTCTTGCTGGAATCACCTCCTCCTCCTCCTCCACCATCATCATCTGCAACATTATCATTGTCATCCAACAATGAAAGTAAAGTATCTGATTTGTTGATGGTTGTTTTGGATGATGGTGGTGGTTGATCATCTTCATCTGTATCCTCTTCAATTGTATCATCTTGATCAACTCCATTTACCATTTGTGATTGCGTGGTGGTTGATTGAGTATGATGATGAATAAATGTTCTATTACTCTTTGACCGATAATTCATCGATTGAACATAAAAGTGTGACAAACTAGAATGTGGAGCCAACACTAAATACTCGTGTCTATTTAACAATGGTATAAATGGTATTGGATCTACACAAACTATACAAACTGGAAATTTCCATCCTTTTTGTTCAATCCATTCTAAAAAATTCTTAAATTTAAAAGTATTAATAATTGTAGTGTATAAATAAAATAATAATAATAATAATAATAATATTTAAACATACAAAACAAGATTCATAATCCAAAGTATCAAGAACCATTCTAAAATGAGAAAATGATATTGAGTTTCCAATATCATGTGATAATTCAACAACATATTGAAATGCATCCAAAGTATTATCTTTTTGTTCAATCTTTATATGACTCAATTGAGGGATGGGTGTATCAGATGACCCGATCCATAGAACAGTAGGATCTATTTTCTCAACTCCTCCTCCACCACCGCCACTTGTTATTTGACTTTCCCTAAATCCCAACATCTTGGCTACACTTAGTACTTTAATAAAATCTCTAATAAATCATCAATTAATCAAATAAATGTTAGTGTCTGAGTGATGTTAGTGTCAGGTGCCCTATGAAAAAGCAAACATACAGAAGGGATTCATTTTCCAAAGGGTCAATCTTTTGTTGTTTTGATTTGGTTGTTTTCTTTTTCTTTATGGCTTTACCAAGCATTGTTTTCAATCCATAGTATCCCATCATTGATTGCAAGGTTGTTGAACTTTCATCCAAGGTTTGAATCTTTTGGTCTGTTCAAATCAATGTTTAAAGTGTTAGATTAGACTTGTACTACTTGAAGATTGACAGAAACTATCTCCTATTCACATACCATCAGTTGTATTATTGTTGTTAAAGTCTCTGATATTTGCAGATAATGTTGACAAGGTACCCGAAAGATCTTCAAATGTCGCTAGGTCTTGAAGATGCTTGATGATGCTGTTCACATATTGTAGTACATGTGTTTGAAGGTGCTCCATGATGATCAATCTCTACTACTACTACTACTACCCAAACTGTACTCTTACATTCGCCGTCCAAGTAATATATTGTTATTAATACTATGCAATGAGCTAGCTCGATTCCAATAAAAACACAAGATAGGGTCAAAAACACAAACATAGAATTATTTGTTGTTTGGAACGGATTTTTTTTTTTTTTTTTTTTTTTTGTGCCAAGCTTGACGTTTCTCCAAACCACCTTAAGAAATTTAGACAAGTTTCTTTGACCTTCTTTATACGACACGATATATATACGATCTCTATAGTTTTAAAGATCGCATAATATCATCTCCCCCAACATACTTTACTTTACACTACACAACAACAATAACAACAATAACAAAAAGATAATAGTAAATATTACACATACATATAAATAGAAATCAATCATCGGAAAAGAGACGAATGATGGTTATTATATCGAGTCGGGACTGACATTTTACATAATCTTTCTCTATCTCTACCTCTCTATCTATCTCTACTATATACTATAGATACTAAACAAGTAATACTACTACGATAAATAGCAGATTGTATTATATATACAGGCAGGTTGTTGTTTTGTTTGAGAATATCCAAATAGGATCATTTCACAAAGACACACAACAACCAACTCTCTATATATTCTTTTTTAGAAAAGATATTATATAACTATAATATTATACGATCTTCTTTCTTTATACCTTTATATATATATTCATTATCATCGTCTGATAAACCTTTCACTTTCATCTACATCTACATCCACTCCCACTCCACTCCATCCCATCCCATCCCTTCCCATCCCATCCAAATACCTTTGTTTTGCTGTCAGTTGATAGTGTCAAGACAAAGCCGATCGATTGACAATTTGTGATACCGACGTCGTCAGACTGGATCATCACTACCAACTAAAGAGTAGCAGCGGCAACAAACCCACAGAGCTTCGAGCTAACAACAACATTTCATCTCCAACAGCCACAACGACAACAGCGGCAGCAGCAGGAAACACCGGCAGCCGACTGCAACAGTTAAATGGTACCCACTTGCCAGCTACCTCCTCACCCGGAGCGACGTCTGGAGGAGGAGGAGGAGGAGGAGGATCGTCACTTGTAATATCATCACCTTCTTTTTCACCAAAGAAGAAGTACTACGCCAATACACCTCCTCCTTCTTCCAATTCCTCCCCCTCTTATCCAAATTCACCAAAGGATGTAGCTACATCTCCCAATAACAATAATAATAATAATAATAATGGTAGCGCCTCAAAGAATAATAATGCGAATCATCTTGGAAATAATAATAACAATAACAAGACCAACATTGCACCCAATTCGATTGTCGGCGGCGACAATACATCACAAACAACAACAGCATCATCAACAACAGGGTCAATACCAACTATAGTTGACGAAAGCAACATGAATGGTAAAGCAAACAAAAAGAAAAAGAAAAAGAAATCACCACTTTTGAATGGAAGTAGTAATGGAGTTGCCACTTCTGCTGGTAATGGTGGAAGCAATAGTCCCACTGGAAATGGACAACAACAACAACCATCCCAGTCTGCCTCCTCTCAACCAACCTCTGCTTCTTCCTCCACTTCTTCCACTTCTTCTTCTTCTTCTTCATCATCAACAACAACTGCACAACCAAATCCACTTTCGTCATCCACTTCATCAACATCATCTGGTAATTTATTATCAACTTCTTCATCATCGTTGATTAAAAAAGAGATACCACCTGATGACACTGAATGGACCTCACGCACTCTATTCATCCACAATATAATGCCCGATATGAACGAATCGCATATAAGGAAGTTTTTAAATACCGATATCCCCTATCAATTCCATAAATCAACAAAACCGAATCAATTGTACATACTATTTAATCATCCTTCCCAAGCCAAACAGGTTTTCTACTGTATCAATGGAAAAAGAAAAATTGATGTAAGTGTAAATAACAAACAAAATATTTTTTGACCAAAAAATACACGCAACATTATTGGTTCTTTTATTAATATATCTATTTATTTTTGTTTAATTATAGAATGGGGGACAACCATGCGTAAAATTAATGTTTGGAGGAGAATACAAGACAGTTATTAGAGGTACAAATCCGGATCCATTCCCAATGTTTGGACATTTCCAACCAATGACTTCATCGGGAATATTTGATAGTGCTGGTACACCCACGGCAGCAACTGCTACCGCTACTACCACTACTAGTAGTAGTACTACTAGTACTACATCGGGTACGACCAGTTCGGGTAGTCCATTAATCAACAACATTGTGAGTACTACGGGTATTGGTGCAAGTGGAACTGCGTTGGCTGGCGGTGGCGGGTCGTCATTTATCGACAATCCCTTTACACACCACTCCATGTCGCAGCCATCGTACTATGACCATCCATCCTCTGTAACTCTATTAAATGACTTTTACTCCTCTCAACCTTCGACCATCACGTCGCCCACTGGCACCAACACCTCGACACCGATCATCCCATACAACTTTGATCCAATTGTCGAGTACACTACTAGCAGTACCGCCAACAGCACCACCTCCTCCCCCTCACAACAACTGTTTAATAGGGCCTCCTCGATGAACCAGAGCAGTCCCTACTTGCAAATCCAGTCGACACAAACCAACCAACAACAACACCAGTCGATTGGCTCGCTATCACATCTTCACCACCACCAGCAGCAGCAACCCGCCAGTGGCAGCAGCGCTGCGTCGCAGTTCCATCAGCAACAACAAAACGACCGCTTGTATCTATCGTCGTTTTCGTCGTCACTGACATCATCTCCATCTTTTATTCATAGTCAGAGAGACCAACAACAGCAGCAGCAGCAGCAACAACAGCAACAATTGTACCAATCCACTTATAACCAGTACAATCCACAGTCCTCGTATCAACTTGGGTATAATCAACTTGGCTATTCGCAGCTGGGATACCATCAACCAACACAACAACAACAGCTACAACAACAACAACAGCCATTGTCACCACACCATCATCACTCTCAACAACAACAACAACATTTGCAACAGCAAACACAGACAACAAGCTACAGCGCCGGCATCAAACCACAACAGCCGCCACAGTCGCATCATCACCACCATCATCAACAACATATACAACAACAACAGCAGCAGCAGCAACAGCAACAACAACAGCAGCAATCTGCACACCATGCACACGCACACCATCATCACCATAGTCATGCCAAAAATCAAATCGATGGCTACCTCAATATCCTCGAAACGCTCAAAGACGACCAGATACTCATTTACCCTGCCAACTCACTCAGCACGTTGCAGCGAGTGTCGACATTCAACTTTAAAAAGTTCCCAGCGATTTTCAGCCACACAAGTCAGACCAAGGACACTGAAACCAAGGCTACACTCGTGACTGGCTTTATCCGCGACTTTGAAGACCGCAAAAACACCATCTCGGCTCCAACATCGTCGATTCTCAAGCAACAGCAAGACCACGACTCGTACCAACAGCAGACACAGCAGCAACAACAACAGGCGCACAATGGAGTGTTCTATTTCTGGTGCTATGAAAAGAGCACACCGACACTCCACATGATCAGTAACCTCAACTCGAGTTACTTGCGCGAGCGTTGTGGGCGTCTGTCGATCCTCATCTTGACCGACTTTTCGCACGACAATAGTTATGCCATTGGTACGATCCAGTTCTTTAGCGGGTCGCCTCTTGATGCACTCACCATTACCCGATGCATCTTGCTCAACCACCAGGTCTTCCACAGCGAACACTTTCCATCAGAGCTCGAGCAAGAGTTTGACGATTGGACCATCTCACTCGAGGAGGAGAAACGTCGTGTCGATCTGACACACCTCTTCCCCGTGACAATTGACCCACCCTCGTCGACCGATCTCGATGACGCACTCAGCTTTAGAGTGTTGGACGAGCGTCATGAAGGTTTGGCCGTCTTTGAGATTGGTATTCACATTAGTGACGTCTCGCACTTTCTCGACAAGAACAGCAGTCTTGATCTCGAGGCAGAGTTTCGTCTCAACACGATCTATCTTGTTGGCAGCGTCATTCCGATGCTACCCAAGAACCTGTCGAGCAACGCCTGCTCACTCAAACTCTTCCAGAAGCGATACTGTTTCTCGTTGCTCATAAAGGTGCGTTCCGACGGCAAGATCATTGACAACCAGTTTTGCAAGAGTTACCTGCGATCAATGGGTCACATGTCCTATGAAAAGGCACAAAAGGTGATCAACAAGTTCAAGGAACAGCACTCTTCGCTGGCCGAGTACGCCAACAACAAAATCTGTCTCGATATTCCCAAGACGGACAAGTCGATCGGCTCCATCCTCGAGCAGCTGTCGGCCGGTCAGCCATCGGCAGATATCGAGGAGCGCGTGACACAGTCCATCTGGGGAATGTACTTGATCAGCAGTCTGCTCAACAACCTGCGTCGCGAACGTGGTGAGATTTTTGATATTGGTAGCAACATCAACTTTGAACTGTCGGTTGATGGCACACCCTTTGCCGTCAACACCCTACCTAAACTAGAGAGTCACGTACTGGTGCAAGAATATATGCATATCGCAAATAATCTTGCTGCCATTGCTCTCCTAAAGGATGAAATCATCGACTTTGGTATCCTTTATTCCCCATGTCCTCTAAACACTCATCAATCCTCGTTCAAGGACAAGGAGAAACCAATTAAAAAGCAGTCAACCGAATCGGATGGCTCTGAAAAGAGTAGTAATAATAATACTGCTACATCAAAAGATGAAGCTGTAGTAGATAATAATACTACTACTACTACTACGACAACTACCACCTCCTCATCATCCTCCTCTTCCTCCTCCTCCTCCTCTGCTACTACAACTACCACACCAGCAGTAAAAGATAATTTATCAAATCTATTTATTACATCGTCACAATTAGACAATCGTAAGAGATTTTTTGATAGAATCAACATTTATATTCACCAATTTACCAAAGAGTGTACGGTCTATCCAACCGATGATTGGAAGACCATCAAGCGCAAGGTGGAAGACACGTGCAAGTTGTGCTCGACCGAGCAGATGCACGCTCTCCGTCGTTTAACGATCCATTTGATGGACCCAACTCGTTACATGACCGTGTTGGACAAAAAGGCCAACAACACACTCTCGCCAGACGGGTACTCACACTATACTCACTTTACTGCACCCATCCGTCGTTATATGGACGTGAATATTCACCGTGTGCTCTCGCTCCTCCTCAACAAGACCATCGCCTGGACAAAGGATTGTACCATCCAACCCTACTGGAAATCCAAAGAGGAGCTGGACAGCTTCAAGGACACCCTCCCCATTGGTGCCAAGCTCAATGGACTCTGTCAAAAGTACAATGAGATTGCCTGGAAACGAAAGATCTCTGAGAAGCTCAACACCCTCTACTTGTCACTCTACCTCTGGGAACACGGCCCCGTCGTCACACCGGCCGTTATCATTGCCATCCCCTCAAAGCATCTCATTGTCTACCTAGTGAAATTCAATATGGAGGTTTCCTGTGACAAGATTGATTTCAACGATGAAATCGATGATCAAGATGACAACTATGTCTCTCAACAAATCGATGTCTTCCTTTCGGTAGAACCATTCGTCCTCTTCCGTAATGGTTTAATTCCAAAGGTCAAGGTATCAAAAAATCCTCCCTTCCTTTAAACAAACAAAAAAAAGATTGGTTTCAAAATCAAAAAAAAACAAACAAAAATATATAACCAATAATAATAATAATAGTAATAAGAAGAATAATAATTAATTTAAAAAGAACAACAAACAACAAAGAATCAGAAATAAGAAGAAGAAGAAAAAATTAGTTATAGTTATAAGTTTCTTTATTAATCAATTTCTTTGTCTCTTATAGATAATAAAAATAAAGAGATTAGATTATTTATAACCTAAAAAAAAAATATATTAAAAATCAAATCAACTAAATAGAGTTTTAATTTTGTGATGTTTGGGAATATTCATATTCAATAATCTATAATTATAGATTATTTATTGGGAGGAGGAGGTAAAGGGATTCTATCAAAAATATTTGAAGATGTCGTTCTTGATATTGGTAAAAGTGATGGTGGATGATGGAAATGCGGTGGTTGAGTCGGAGCACCAAGGGGTGGAGGAGGTGCCATGACTGGAGCAACCATAAATGATTTGGAGGTTGTCTGGGGTGGAGGAACTTGTTGTTGTTTTAGTGTTGTTGGTGTTGATGTTGTTGGTGGAGGTGGTAGTGGGAGTGTACTGGCACCATCTACAAGTTGTGAGTGATTAGGATTAGAGAATAAATCAGTAGAAGTGATGGATGGTCTGACATTGGTATTGTTGTTGCTTGTACCGTTGTTGCCACTTGCACCATTGAGAAAACTCTTGTTCATTCGCTTGGCAGAGAATGCACTTGGCGAGCATGTTAATAATTGAGATTGTAGGTTTTGGATATTGGAAGGAGAATAGGTTTGTACAGATGGTATATTTAGTTGGGGCGATGAATCGGAACGAGCCGATAATGGAGGAGGAACCATTCGGTGTGGAGCTGGTGGAGGTGGATGTGATGGAGGATGTGATGGTGGTGGATGTGATGGAGGAGTAGTTGTTAAATGATGAGCCAAAGAATGAACTTGGAATACATTTGGTTTCTTTAAATTGAATGATGATTGGGATGTTTGCAATTGTGGTGGCTGTTGTTGTTGTTGTTGTTGTATTTGACCCAAATTATAACTTTGAGATGGTAATAAAGGATTTGATTTAATTTTAACAAGTGATATGTTGTCAAAGCCTCCACTACTGCGTTGTTGACTATCCAAAGCAGCGTTGGTAGAGGATGACGACGACGAAGACGATGACGATGATGATGAAGAAGATGACGAGGTGGTAGGATATGACCCATCGGCAGACGCAGAATGGGCCAACTGTCCATAGTCGGTGGTAAATCTTTCTATAACCACATCTTCATAGTTTCCAAGTTGAAGAGGACACAATTCCAATAGTTGTTCGGAACTATCAATAATCAATCGAATAAATAATTTCTCCTTTTCAATATTTGCCAATAATGTCTCTGGATTACTACATCTTAAAAATGATGGTGCAAATACCATTGCAACATTATCCTAAAAAAAGAAAAATATATAGATCAAATTAATATTTTGAACGATTATGTTTTTTTTTGTTTTTGTGTTTTAGCTACCTACCTGAGTCATTTTTGAATGACAAACATTTGAAGGAAGAGTAAGTTCTTTTAAAAATATAGATATATAGGTCAATATCTTTTGGTTGATAGAGTTGAGTTGATTGAAAATATTTAAAATCGAAGTTGTATTTTCGCAATTGACAGCCTGTTCATAATAGTTGTTTGGAATGAGTGGTTCAGGCATTTCTCGAAGCCAAGATTTGAGTAACGATGTAATGATGTGAACATTTACATCTGGGTCAATGTTAAAATCACCTTCGTTGATTCGTTTTTTAACCATACACAACTCTGTATTGTTGCCTGGAATACGGAAAATACCTTCGCATTTCATATTGTCTTTGCACTTTAAGATACACACTAAAAATACCAATACATAGGGTACTTGTAGATCTGGGTATTTTAATCGTTGTTTTTCCATCACCTCTGAAATTGGTTTGGCAAAAACTGCCAAAGGATGATTTGATGAAACCTCCTTGTCTGCATTACCAATATATGGTGCATGTGTAGTAGAAGAAGAAGTGTTACTACTACCGCTACTACTACTACTACTACTGCTTCCACCACTACTTAGACTAATACTACCAATTTTCAAGACCGACATGGTTGATCGCCATCCTTTTTTCTTTTTCTCGCAAGTCTCAAAGACAAACTCTGGATGTTGAATGTTGAGAGCCTTGTTGAAATTTGCAAATGCTAAAATATCACGCTTTGTGTCGATTGCATTGATAGTATCCTCTGATGATTTTAAAGTGGTTGTCATTCTTGCAGGTATCGAATCCATTTCAGTTATAAATTTTTTCATATTTGTTTTAATTCTTTGCATTCTAATAGTTTCTAATCTTTGGAAATCCTAAAATAAAATAAATATATATCATTAATTATAAATTACAAATTGTTATAATTAATCCTATTTGTTAAGTTACATTTTGAATCTTTGGAAATTTTTCATCATGATAGGTTGTATGATATCTATTTGCATATTGTACCATGTGTTTATAATCTTCTTCAACTTGTACCAATTTTGATGGATCAGATTCTGGATCCTTATAAACAGAATCATAAGTTGCCTTTGTTGATTTTAATGTATCAATCACTGATTTTCTTTCTTTAACTAAATTTTGTCCATCCAATACATACTTTAATAAATTTTAATAATGTTAGGGAAATAATATTATTTCTAATAATGGTTAATGAGAAATCACAAATACTTACAGCTTTTTGTTCAACTTTTAAATCTTTTAAAAATACTTTTAAAGGTTCGTTTATGTCATCGTTTATCTTTTGTACCACTTGTAAAAGGTGATTAGAGTATTGATTGGTATTATCTACAAGTACTGTAAATGCTCCACTTATTCCACTACAAACAATATAGATAGATAGATTGGAATGGTTAGTATCAAAAGAAAGAAAATAACTAAATATATATATACCAAGATAGACATACCCCAACTTGTTTAAATTTGGTTGTGATTTACATAGTTTTTGAAGATTCTTTGCATATTCCTCTTCAATCTGTGATCGTTTCTCTAAAAACTTCTTGATGACCATACTATCATCCATACCCTTATCAATCTCTTCGCATATTTGGTCAATTTCAGTCTACATGAATAATAATGGAATTTGAAATTAGATTTATTTAGATGATGGAAATGGAAATGGATGGATAGGTGGATGGATAGGTGGATGGAAAATACTTACAAAGTTTGACATTTTTTTTCCCTCTTCTCTTTTATCTTATTATTGATTGATTATTTATAGATTATTTATAAATGATGTTGTTGTTGATGATGATGTGTACAATCAATCAAATGATGATAAATCGAAATAACTACTATCAACCCTGGCCAGTCAATATAATATATATAAGTCTGTTTGTTTATGATTTATTATTCTCTCTCTCTCTGTCTCTGTCTCTTTTGTTCAATTGAACAACAATAGCAACATTAATGTTTATACTACAACTATTTCGAACTACTACTACTTGTACTACAGCTTCTACTACTACTGCTTGCCTACTCTACTCTACTATAGAGCTACTATTAATTAATTAATATTATATTATATTCTATTTATGATTGATTGAGTTAGTTACTAGTTTTTGGTTTGTTTGTTTGTTTTGCTTTGTTTGAGAGTTGATTTCCTCCTGTTCTCCTGCTCCTACCTATATTAGTATTTTTGCTATTATTATTATTTCTTTTTGTTCTTGCTCTTGAAAAGGTGTGAATGAGACATCAACAACAATAGTAGGGGAGAGTGAGGGAGTGAGTAATTATAGAATCACACACACAACACATCAATCAATCACACACATTATTGATTATTATTGCTGCCAGCACTCTAAAAGATGATGAAGATGTGTTAAGATATTTGTTATTGTTGATGGTGTCTGTCTTTCCTTTTTTGTGAACACAATGTAACCCATTGGAAAAAAATCACTCAATTTTATATACGATGTATGTCCGACACTTTCATCCATCCATCAAAAAATGATAGTTGTCTGGTTGTCTGCTAGTGTGATTGTTGGGTTTGTGTGTTGGGTTTTGACATTAATTATACGTATGCCCATAGCGGATTGGTGAGGAATCGGCACACATACATACGACTAACATATAGAGAGGAGTAGGATAGAGAGAGAGAAAAATCAACTTTGATACAAAAATTATTTATTATATATATATTGACTCAATTTTTTAATTTGACTCAAGGAAGTGTTCCATAGGAAGGAGTGTATATAATATAATAATATAATATAATTATTTACATGATAATATAATATATCCGAACTTCCAACTTGGATCACTTTATGTTTTTGCAAAAAAGAAATCGGCGATATGGGTGCTTGAAATTTATTCTTTGAATTTGAATGGAGAATTGCTTAATTATTATGACCTCATTATTATTATTATGAGAGAGAATAAGGGCAAGAATAGTGAGTCTCGCCATTGAATTACCTTTTTCACCTTCTTCATCGAATAAATCATTCACCAAATTTAAATCACTAAAGTAACCCTGACCACCATCATTTGGAGTTCTCTCTCTATGTTTTTGTGTGAATAGTAATACAATAAAACAAACAATACATCTTTCAAAGTTAGTATTTTGTATTTTGCCACATTATATTTATTTTCCAATCTCGTGACTCATCTACCTTTCTTTAAAAGACAACCAACCCATCCACATTTTTAAATTTATATTTTATATATATCTAAAATATTATAGAAGGATTTCTTCTTCTTCTTCTTTAATAATACTCATATATCCATCAACCATCAACTCAGTCCTGTATTTATATTATATAATAAATTAATTTCCAAAAAATCAGGTATGTATATATATATATTAAATGAACCGAAACTACCCTTTCACTTTGTTCCCACCCTCTCCACATTCATTCATTAAACATCGACATTGTGCCGCAATCAAATCGAATTCATCGCCAACCCTCAATACGAAGGAACAACAAAGTGAAAGTTCCTTGCCAAAAAAAAAAAAAAACAAAAACAAAAACAAAAAACAAAACTTCACCTCCTCAGCTGTCCACATGGTGCAGAGAGTGTCTACACCCTTTTCGAGAAGTAGTAGTAGTTTGTTTATTGTATTGAATTATTAGTATCTTGTTTTTAAAAAGAGGTAGGACTACTTAACGAACCACCAACACTACATATCATATCATAAACAGCACTATAGTATAGCATATTGTATAGAAATAGAGTAGAGTATAAATATATATAGATTGTCTGACAATGAAGAAGAAGAACTTCTTCCTCTCCTGATAAAGATTCATTCATTGTCAGAGAGACAGACAGAGACAGAGAGAAAAAGGCGAGATTCAAAGAAGTGATAAATAGATAGATAGATAAACTTAAAGATAAATCGTAAATTAAAAAGAGAGGGAGGAAGAAGAAGAAGAGAGGGATATGGGTGTTTTTGTAAATTTTATAACGAGTGTGGAGGAGGAGTAGGAGGTAAAAGAGAGAAACAACAGATAGTGGTGGTATTAGTGTTAAAAGGACAAGCAAAGAGAGAGGAGAGGGGAGGAGTCAAAAAAACAAAACAGGAGGTTTATTATTTGTTAATTATTTTTCCCTTTTTTTTTAATACCCAATATATTATAATATTATATCCCTTTTATTTTTAATTTATTATTATTGTTATTGTTGTTAATATTATTATTATTATTATTATTATTATTATTTTACACTATATACTATCTTTTTCTTATTGTCAGTAGTAATATCATCACACTTTTAAAGTATTTATCATCATCATCATCATCACTAGAGAGAAACAAACAAACTATAAAGTTTGACAGCAGTTCGATATTGTACATACAATTGGTTGTTTGTTTAAATCAATAAGAGTGCATTTGGTGTTATATTCTTGTTTATTTTCATTTCTATAAATTAAACTAACATACTTTTTAATTCGTACCTATTTACTTTCTAGACTTCACATTATAAATAGAAAATGAATCCAGATTAGTATGTATAAAGAAAGGATAGGATCAATAAATCAGTCAGCAGTACACTGCTGATGCTACAAGAGAATACAAAACTAATCAACTCTCTTTATTATCCAATCTTTTTTAGTCATTATTTATTCAAATTATTACTCATTGGTGACAGTGGTGTAGGCAAATCCTGTTTATTATTAAGATTTGCTGATGATACATATTCTGAAAGTTTCATCTCAACCATTGGTGTCGATTTTGTAGGTTGATCAAAAATATAATATAAGAGGATAGGTTTATAGTTTGGAATCTATTATAATAGACCGACTGTTGTTGGTGTTGTTGTAATCATTACAATCTGAAACAAAACCTATGCCCAAAAAAACATTGTCAATTTAAATTGATACTAATCAATTACTTATTTTCTTTTTATAAACTAGAAAATCAGAACCATTGAATTGAATGGAAAGACTATTAAACTCCAAATTTGGGATACTGCTGGTCAAGAAAGATTCAGAACCATCACATCTAGTTACTACAGAGGTGCACATGGTATTATCGTTGTCTATGATGTTACAGACAGAGTAACTTTTGACAATGTTAGACAATGGCTCCAAGAAATTGATAGATTCGCATGCGAGAGCGTAAACAAGTTGTTGGTAGGTAACAAGAGCGATCTTGTTGCCAAAAAGGTTGTAGACTACAACACTGCCAAGGCTTTTGCCGATTTATTACAAATTCCATTCCTTGAAACCTCTGCCAAACAATCAACCAACGTCGAACAAGCTTTCATGACCATGGCAACTGAAATTAAAAATAGGTAAGAAGAAGAAGAAGAAGAAGAAGAAGAAGAAGAAACAAAAGATAAGACATGCATGGATGGAATAAGTTATTAATATTTTTTTATTTATTTTTTTACTTTTATTACTTTAAGATTAACTGCATCTCAACCAACTCAAACTGTTGACCGTAACAAAGTTGTACCAGGAACTTCTCAACCAATCCAAGCCAAGTCAGGATGCTGTTAAATACTATATATATATTTTATTAAAATCAACTTGTTTTTTTTCTTTAAAATCATTTTTCAAAATATTTTCTTCTTCTCCCATCTTCCATCTTCTTCCTTGAGCACTTTTGGACCAGTGATCTGTATACAATAATTAACAACAAACAACAACAACAACATCAAAAATAATAATAACCAATAGCCCAAAAAAACATTAAAAATATAAAATCCATAAACTTTACACTATAAAGTTAAATTATTACGTAATTCCCAGTCTCGACTTTTTATTTTATTTCTTTCCTATACAGACAAAGGAAACTGGATTGCCATCATCGATTCTACACAATTTTATAAATATATATTCTGCAGAGTACGCGTAAAAAAATCAAGAGATGGGTGAAGGTCAAATTTTGGTCAAACTGACTTTTGACACAATTTTTTTTTAAGTTGTTCAAGCAAGGTCTAGGGGAGGGATGTGATGATCAAAAAAAAAAAAACTTCATCTTCTTCTTTTCTTGTTGTTCATATTTATATAATATATATCTATATATACACTTCCTCCTTCTTTGCAACGATGTACAAATTAACAGCATTATTGTTCGCCATTCTCTTGGCATTTATCTGCGGAGTACTTGCTCAAGAAGATACTATTGTTGAAGAACCAGTTGCCCCAGTCTCTGATATCTCATTCTCATATATTTTCCCAGATTATCCAACCAAAGGTAGACATCATAGATAAATAGATAGATAGATAGATAAATAGATAGATTCAACAACTACAATCATCAGGAAATAGGATTAGCATTGATTAGTAGAGGAATATTATACTATAGCCAAGAATCAAAAGTCATGTACACTTTTCACTAACAATACTACTATCCTATCCTATCATATTATATTATATTATAATCTTCAACAACAATAGAGTTCCCAGCTGGTTCAGTCATTGAAGTATTGATTGGATTCACAAACAATGGAGAAGTCGACTACAACGTCTCTGCCATCTACGCCTCACTCAACCACGCACAAGAGACCAAGCACTACATTCAAAACGTATTATCAACCAATCTATAGATGACACACGGATAAAAGAGAGATAGAGAGATAGATATGAATGATCATGGACAATAATGGAAAGAATGACGATTATGAATGAATGAATGAATGAATATTTATATGGTAATGCATTTGTAGAAGTTGATCGCCAAGTAACATCATCTTGGGGCGTGATCACTTGCATAGATTATATAATCTATCATCATTTGTCCGTCCATCCATTCATTGATATCATATCTCTCTCCTCAAGGATCCTGTTGTATTTTCATGTCATGTGAACAAATTATTAATTATTTAATCCCTTTATATATATAGTACACCAAGGCTGAATATGGAGTCAACGTCAAGCCAGGTTTCCAAGCTACTCTCCCATACCGTTTCGTCCCATCTGAATATTTGGAACCAAGACAATTTGCTCTTTTGGTCTCTGTCGACTACAGAGCCGATCAACAAAACTTCACCTCTACCTTTTTCAACTCTACCATCTTGATTGTCGAAAAGCCAGTCTCATTTGATATCGAACAGTAAGTTTTGTCAAACCACAAAAAGACTTGACCAATTAATAAGTTGTAACAATGCTAATTATTATTATTTTTTTTTTTTTAGTTTCTTCCTTATTCTCTTTGGTCTCGGTCTCGTTGCCTTGATTGGTTACATTGTTTATGGCAAGTTACCAAAGGCCCAAAAGGCTTCAACCCTTTCAATCATCAACAAGATCAAGACCTCTGCTGGTGTCAAGGAAACCTCCCAAAAGAAGGTTGTCAAGTCATCCGCCGGTGAAGACAATTGGTTGATCGATGCTGCTGACAAGAAGCCAAAGAAGGTTGTCAAGAAGAGCAACAAGTAAAAAATCAAATAATAATAAAAGTAATATAAATAATATAAATATATAAATGATGACCATGACGACGGACTCGTCATCCAAATCCAGGTTGTAGGTTTCTCTCTCGACCACAGATCTTTTTGAAAAGATCAAAGGTGGTTATCTCGAGACCATGGACTTAACAAAAAGGAGAAGAAATCGTACTGGTATTTCCCACTTCAAAGTACAAGTCAACTTTCGAACAAGCATAGTTTGTTTATTGATTGCAACGAGCAAATCATGACGACCTATTCCCATTTCTCAGTTTTACGTAAAATATTGGTCGAAATTAATTTCTTTTCGACCTTCCAAACACAGAAACATAGAAGGGCCATAGAATAACTAATAAAAAGATATGGAATGATGGAATTATTTAAATTAATTAATAATTCGATCGATGACGATGATTGATTAAAAAGATGAAATTTACAATAAATTCTATTCTGTATTAGCGAGCCTACTACCTACTCTACCAGGGTTCAAATTTCTTAATCCCGAAACATCGTTTAGGTAGGCAGATTCCAAAGGGTCACTCGGCGCACTACTTTTGACAGTGAGATTTCTTGGCGACCACGAAATACCTTGGTTGATCAATGACACCTGATTTCAGGCTTGGTGACCAGAGTGGGTCTAGGGGGTACCAAATCATGTCCGTTGTCTTTTGATTTTGAATAGGCACCCACCTATTGGGCGTTTGGGAACCACGGTTTTAAAAAAAACAAAAAATTAGTACTACAACCAGAATCTGTTCGAAAATATTTTTGACGTTATCTCAAGATTTTTGATGACTTGAAAGCAAGCTCGAAACTCGCTTTGACGACCATGACTGACCGAAGCAAGATGGAAAAACACTTCTGATAATATCTCTCTGATTATTTAGGATATTTTTTTAAATATATTTCCGATGCCACCCATTCTCTGAGAGCCTCTGGTGACTTGATTTTAATATTTTAATTCTATAACATTAAAAATTAATTCTCTCTCTCTCACGACCACCCTTGCATCCCTGTGTCTGTGCTCGATTGCTTTTTTAATTTCTTTTCGTCATCTCTTTCTCTTTCTCCCTCTTTCGTCAATCACCCCTTCAGCTACTATTTTAATATCTTTAATTAATCGTACTCCTCAACCAATCGGTTTTTATTCCCTTTCCCCTTCCTTCTACTTTCTTCTCGAATATAACCTTCTGCCCCCACACTTATATCAAATTTTTAAAATATATATATATAATCAAGATCAATTTAGAAAAGATAGTCCCAACAATCAAATAGTATAGTCATTCCCCTCAAGTATACAACAAACTCAAAAAGCCAACAAGGTAATAACTAAAAGTCAAATTACAAGTGGAGTAAAAAAAATTTTGGTCGTCGTCTTTCGTGGCAAGGATTCTCTTTTTTTTTTTTATACAAAGACGGCTGGTATCATAAGATTTTTCGCAAAATTAAATTGCAAGCAGAAAAGAAGTAAGAATCGTCTACACATCAAACACGTCAATTTATCAGGTCAAGTGGTTTTTTTTGTTCGTGCAGTCATCGTGACCGATAACAGTCGTCTTCCATAGGATATTGTTTAAAATATCTATTAAATTCTTTGGAAATTATCTAAACCAAACTAAATATCCATCACATCGCATCATAAGAATCCATTTTGTCGACTGGGATCGTCGAGTCCTATGTTCTTAATTAAACTTTTAATTTAGTGGGTGGATGGAGTCTGTCAAACCAAAGTTTTCTATTGTCTCTCTCTTTTAGTGACAACTAGTTTTACAACTTTTCATCTTCATTGTTCATCAACCATTCCATCCAATTTCATCCATCATTTATAGATTGATCTTCACTATACTATCACTATCACTATTCATCAGCCAGCACAAAGAGTTATTTATTTTCAGTGTATGTAATCATTCTTTTATTAGTTAGAACTATAATCAAGTATGTGTATTTCGATCAACCAACAAACCAACCAACCAACCAGACCAGATGATATTGTCAACTTTTTTTTTCATTGAAAGATAGTTGTTCATTTTTGTTATGTGTATCAAACATGTTGGATACCACTCTCACAATTCCACCATCTCCCTTTTTTTTTTTTGTGTATCTACCAATTCAAAAGAGTTTGTTGTTGTTACCAATCAAAGATTAAGATTTCGATTTTCATGATATCGAAAAAACTATCTTTTGAATCGAGAATAGTACGATCGTACCAACCATACCTTGAAAATAGTTTAGTTAGTTAGTAGGGTCAGTTTGTTGATAGCGTGTGTGTAGCAGGTCGGACGGAATGAGAAACTCTCGAAAGCCACCGACCTCTGCTGTGAACCAAGGGATCACGACCATTCCCTCTGGTAGAGAGTAAAAAAAAAATATCTAGATTGGTGTTTGTTCGGAGATTCTTTTATAGGAGTCAAATTTAAAAAATTTATGACATTATTGTAAATGAAATTATAAGGAGGTCGGAGCTACCTAGCTAGCGATTCTTGCAAGCAAGCTATCGGAGAACAAACATCTTTTTTAAATCATCACAGAAATAGAAAATAGAATAATAGTAATAGTAAAAGTAATTATCAATTTAATTTATCATGTGTGACCTACAAACCCACACATAAACACTTTCGTTCTTTCCACATCATCATCCATAATAACTTGCCCCAACATGTTTAAAAGATAGATTCGAGAGCTTTACAAATATCCAATATTTTTTTAAATTTTGTTGATATTATATTTTATTCTCCAACAAAATATCATCAGCCTGGATGAATAAGAATACCAAATTTTAATTTAAATTTCTCCATCAATCACATGATATATTAAAACACACACATCTTGGTATATTCTTTTTTGTTAACAAATCCATCAAGAATCAACAAGTAAATACTACTCCCTCTATTACTTTTACACATTTTTTTGTTGTCTTTTCAAAAAGAGTTCGATGCAATGAAATGAAGCGGCAAAGAGGTATTCAGATTTGTTTTTCAGGTTATTCCATGTTCCCACGAACAACACCAAACAACAACAAAAATCATCCTATTCTTTTTCTTTTTCGTTGCACCATCCATCATCCCAACCATCTCTTCATTCCATCCATATCTGTAACAATTACAATAACCGAAAAAGATACATACGGCAGGGAAGCCGAAACAATCCTCCGTACATGCAGTGGAAGCTTCACTGAACCTGTTGTTGTTTGTGATTTTATTTTTTAAAATATCTATCTATTTTATTTTTTTAATTCAACGCTGAAAATCTTGGTCGGTGTAGTATCTAGATCCAAAGAGAATCTTTATTGGTGTCTCTTTATTTTTTTTTTATTATTGTTACAATATCCTCTCAAGCACAAACACACAGGTAAAGAGATAATAATAATATTTGTGTTCCAATCACACTCGCATTCTCTGTCACCCACACATATACCCAGTATGGAGGGAATGTAGGTCGACAAACAAGTCTCAAAGACCTCGACTTACCTAAAGTCGAACAGTCGTTCGAACTATATTTGACGAGGTTTTTTTTTTTTTTTTTTTTTTTTTTTTCTTTTAATTTCTAGTTTTGCAGAATCATCATCGTCATCGTTGCAAATCCCAAGATTATTAAAAGAACATCAAAGAGCAAAAGGGAAATTTAATTTAATTAAACCCAACCAACCAACCACACATGCATAAATATATTTATAATATCAGATAAATATAAGATACGATTTCAAAAAAGTAGATATTTATTAAAAAAAAAAAATACATCAAAAGGCAAAAAGTACAACAAAAAATCAAATCAAGAAAATACTTTTACCTTTTTTCTTTTTCATCCTCACCTTTATATCTCAACCAGTAGTAATCCCAATTAATTGCTATTCGATGATACTTATCGATTCGGTTGATTTGCATATCCGATTAGTTCCATTCCATTCTCCAAAAAACAAAAAAAAAAATCACATCCCATCGATCCATCAGGTGACTCCCCCTCTATTCTTTTGTTGTTTTTTTTTCTGCCCCCTTTTTATCGCACATTCCCCAAACAAACAATCAAACCAACCATCATCTGATTGCCCCGTCTAGGCAATTACTACTCCTACTATCTTTATTCATTTCATTTGCCACTAATATCTTTCTTAATAGAGGAAGGCATCTTTGAATGGTAATTGGCACGGGACGCAAACATAAACAGACAATCAAACAGGCTTAATTCCTTGTTTAACCTTTTTGTAAAATTATATTTATTTATTTACTTCCGAAATACCATTTTTGTTGTTGATCATTATTTATACTCATTTTGAATTGTTCAATTTCCTTTCTTTGTCTTTTTTATCCTCCTTATCCAAATTCACTCTATAATCATATATATATAAAACATATATTAACTGTACTATTATTATTTATTTATTTAATTTTTTTTTAGACATCTACTCTTATTTATTTAATTTAATCCCTAATCCAACTCCAACTACAACCCCCATCAACCCAACTACAACTATTTATATATTAAATAATGATTGAGAAAATGGAAGAACCAACACATGATACTACATTTTATAGTCCAACATTCAAGAGATATGAGACTGTAACATTTTATGCCAATTTATTGGGCATTTTAAAACAATATACGACGATTGTCGATCAATGTCCATCGACCATTAGAAAGTTGGTCTGGAATTACATCTTTCAGCTGTTGGGTCAACCAGCTCGTGCCTGTGACCTTCCCTTTACACCAGTTGTAAACTCTTGGCTCTCTGAAAAGTCCGTCGACTTGATGGACATTGAAACATATTTTGCCGCCTTTACCCAGGCTCAAACCGACCATCCAACCCTCTTCCCAGACTTCCCATCAGTCTCTGCTGCCTATTCCATTCCAGGTATTTCCAGTCCAAATACAAGTGTTAGAATTTCTAAACAACAATTTTCAAATCAATTAAATCAAAACCAATCAAATAATCAACAACAACCATTACAACAACAACAACAAATAATTAATCAATTACAACAACAACAACAAACACAACAACAACAAAATACAAATAATAATGGTAATTTTAATGGTAATAATAATTTATTTAATTTACAACAATTACAACAACAAATATTACAACAACAACAACAATTACTTCAACAAAGTTTGGCGTCTAATCATTCGTCAATTGTTGCTGGTAATATTGGGAGCACGATCAATCGTCTGCAACAACAACAACAACAAGTTGCAGCAGCTGCTGCTCAACAACAAGCCCTCTTGATCCAACAACAACAAGCTGCAGCCGCTGCAGCTGCCGCCGCTCAACAAGTTGCCCAACAACAGGCTATTGCTGCTGCCCAAGCTGCTGCCCAACAGCAATTGGTCAACAAGATCATCTCTGCGCCTCCTCCAGCCCCATCCAACGACTTTAAGACGCCGTCTGTATGGTCGACCGACTTGGCCTCTGTCTTTGCCCAATTGTCATTGTTGCAACACTGGAGTGAAAAGTTGGATCGACTCAATCCCAAACAAAAGGAAGCTATCTGGAGCACTTGCAAGAATTTTACTTATTTCCGTAATTATGACAAGTCATCGTTTGCCAGCACTCTCCAACTATGGGTCAAGGATCTCGTTCCCCATCTCGGACACATTACCGTCTTGTTTGCTGCTATTGGATATCTACGTGAATTCAATATCATCACACATGATTTCAATTATGCCAATTCCGAACAACCAGTCTTTAACAATTATGGAAATAGATCCCAACATCAACAACACCAACACCAATCATCCATGGGTGACGAAGAATATGAAGATGAAGATGAAGATGATAGTGGTGCAGAATACAACAACTCACCACCTCAACAAGACTTGTCTTCATCTCGGTCACAATCAAGATCACATTCCCCTATTTCTTCTCCAAGACAACAAACCCATCAACAACAACCTCAAACTCAACAAACCCAACAACAACAACCAAAGTCAAATCCAATTCCAATTTCAATTTCAAATCCAATTCAACAACAAGTATCATCACTTTCAGCTGCTACACAACACCAACTTAATCTTTTAAAGGTACAATTACAAAATACCTCTTCTTCAAACAATTTTTCTAGTACAAACACAACACCATCGATGCAACAACAAACCAACCGAATTTCACCAAGTTCTTCGACCATTTCTTCACCCAATGCACCATTTACCGATACTTTACCAATCCTCAGATCACCTCTTGCCAACAAATCCAATAATAACAATAATAATAATAATGGAGGTGGATCAAATTACATCTCACCTGTACATACTCCATCCCACACTCCATTACATCTTTCTCCAAGAGCCCATTCTCCAACCTTTTCTCTGTTGCCCGGACTTGGAAGTGGCAGCAAGTCACCTTCCTCCTCGGCATCCATGTCCCCAAGCATGGCTTTGAATCTCCTCAGTACCGTCTCATCTACAGTGGCAGCCGTCGAAATGTTGACCGAGAAAAAGAGAAAGGTCGATGATTTTACCTCACTCAATGGTAACAATCTACTTCCATCCATCTCTGATGAATTCAAAAAGTTAAAGGAAACAGTTGGTGGATTTGGTAACCCACATTCTCGTCATGGTAGTGCTGCCAACAGTAATCATAATAGTGATGATGAATCAGATCATCAACATAACAAACAATCGTACAAGGAAGAAGAATCCAACTTTTCATTCTCACCAACCAAAAAAGTTAAAAGTTCACCTCCACCTTCATCACTCAACAATAACAACAACAATAATGCAGTAGTTGAAAATTCTTCATCCATTTTAAAATTGATTTCTTGACCTTAACAAACAAATAATCACCTCATCTCCTCCTTTTTTTTTTAATAACTTATTTATCATATATACTTTAAATCAAAATAGTTCAAATATCTGTAGATATACATATATAATTTCAATCATCCCAACCAACACACAACAACTTCACCAAATTTATTTCGATTCATATATTTCTTTCGTCTTAAACAACAACTACAACCAACTACAACTACCAGTCTCATCATCATCCATATATTTAATTAATGAAGAGTACTACCTAGCTTGCATATATTTATACATATATATATATATTTATTAAAATAATAAATAAATAAATAAAAAACAATAAAAAAAAAGGAATTAAAGAAAGAGTATTTGATTACCATATATCTCAATCATATTCTTTTTCCCTTTTTCCAAAATTATCTCAAATATATTATTATTATTATTATTATTATTATTATTATTATTATATTTGTTCTTTTTATTTGTCTTTTATTCTTTTTATTGAAAACTCTTTGTTTTGTGATGAATATCAAAGGATCACGACGCAATACTATTAACAATGATGGTGTTGGGTATGAATTAGGAAAGAGACACGATTGTGATGCTTATATATTAGATATCCTTTTAAAGGATCACTCTTTATTAAAAACTGAGTAATAATTCCAAAGTCTCTTCTCAATTCCTTTTTAGGAAACTTTGACCTGAAAGTCATTATTGACGACCTTTTAAAAAATTAAAAAATTAATTAAAAAATCAATTGACAACGACAACAATTCGCCAACATGACGTTCGATGTCTTCAACCAATATTGGTTGCAAAACATACAAACGAGTAGTAGTAATAACAAAGAGAGACAGACATACAGACAGGACAATTTAAACACATCATCTTTTCATCAGACTCTTATAAAGATCAAATAACGAATCACCAAGACAAGAGAAGAGAAAAAAAGGCTCCAGCTCCCCTCTTCGACAATACAAAAAAAAACAAAAAAAAAAACAAATTAATAAGAGGGTCCTTTCTCTCTAGAAGCTCGATTTCTTTTTTTTTCTGTTATTACAAGATCTCATTGCTAGCACCTCCTCACCTCAACCTTAGTACATTACACTTTAGTCAACCAACAAAAGAGAAGAGAAGAGAAGAAAGAAGGAATTGTCGTTTTTATCAATTAATTAACAGCATAGTATCAAATACTACACTCATTTCGTTTGAAAGGATTCGATTTAATATAAATATTCAAACCTACCTACCCGATATTTATATTTTATTCATTATATATCCTTTAAAGTCGATTTAAACAAGTCTTTTTTACTTTTACTTTTAATTAGTTCATAGATAGATTAATCTTTTAAAAAGAGAACTCTTCCTCTCTCAGCTGACAACGTTGAACTTGCATAAAAGTAAGAACCCATCTCACCTCCACCTCCAACCAACACACCCAATTTAATTTCAATATATTTTTTTTAAATCGACCAAATACGGTGACCAATCCAACCTTCTAGACCTGGTCAGATATTTTATATATAATCCTCATATATCAATCACCCCCTTCTCCCTACCCTACCTACTACTACCCTTTTAAAAAAAAAAAACTTTATCAATTTCGTTTGCCAATTCCAAAGTAACGACGACATGTTTTGATCACCTACTATATAAACCATTTGTTTACTACTACATTTGCCCCGTCTTTTAGCAACTATAAGATTACAATCGCATCGAACAAACCATTCAGTTCCATCCAATAGCCAAACAACAAAAAAAATTTCATTTAATTTGATTCTTCATTTTTTAATTAATTACAGTCAAACAAAAAGGTATCCATCCATCGTCCATCCCCCCTTACCCATCACTCAGAACCACCCACCCCCTACTCCTCCTCACTTTCCTATTTTAGCTTTGCGTCATCTTTTACATCATCCCCCCTTTTTTTTTATTTTATTCTCTACCTCCTTCCTTTTACAACAGCAATGTAATAGTTTTGTTTCATTTAGTAAAAAAAAACTTAATCAAATCACCATTGATCCCTCTACCTTCTTTCCTTGACTATATTAATATTTCATAATCATTAGTCAATCATCAATACTACCGTACTGTATCATTTATATTCGTTGGTTAGTTTGTTGTTGGTCTCATCTCACTTTAAATCTGTGTGGTGTTGTTATAACAAACCCCCCATTCAAACCACCATCTATTCTCTCTCTCTCTATACGCTCAGTTTTGTTTTTAAATCAAAAAGATGGATGGTGGTGCGCAGAATGAATGAGCGACACGAGCAACAGAGGGAAATGAATCACTATTATATTATGTTTTGGTTGTCAACAGACACAACCAACGACAAGTTATCATAGCTACCCCTACATATTTGCAAGACTCATCCCTCCTAGCTCTCTTCTAATTAAAATATTATTGTTTCGTCATCATCAATTATATATCAAAACACAAACTACATTGCATCATAACGAAGAAGAAGAAGAACAACTATTTACTAATTAATTTATTATATCCTAAAGGAATACTTTTTTTTAAATTATATTTATATCCATCAATCTATACAACATTTATAGTAACATTACAATCAATCCAATCACTACTACTACTAGTACCAATATATCATCAACCAATAGTTTAATATCTTCCCGAACCATTCTTATTGCCTGTGAATCAAAAGTCAATTGATCGTTTAATTGAATTGAGAATAAGAAAACATAAAACAGTTTAATCAAACACAATGGATTCTTATGATCAATTCAATTTGACGGGACACCCACCACCAAGTTCATTTGAATATGATAATTCATTTGATCAATTTACAAATACGTTTGATAGACAGCAGCAACAGCAGCATCAACACAATGTGATGAATGTTATGCAAACAGAACCAGCCCCTACTACAAGCACTACAACCACTGCAGCTGGTAATAATACCTCTTCCTCTTCTACAAGAACACCATCTCCATCTTCTTCATCGAGTCCTTCATCTCCAAACGATGATTCTCATCATACAAACGAAACAAAAAAGGAAAAGAAACACAAGGAAAAGGATGATAAAATGGAGAAACAAAAAACTAGAAGAACGAATCAAAATGTTGCCAGTAGAAATTATAGACAAAGAAAAAAGGTTTACATTAAAGAAATGGAAGATAAGGTAAAGTAGATAGTAGAGAGATACAAATTATATTTTATATATTATTATTAATACCTCGTTTCTTTAGATTAATCAATTAACATTGGAAAATGATACATTAAAAAGAGATTTGGGTAAAATTGGAGCCAACCCAACAGAGTTGATGAGAATTCCACAAGAAATGGTTTATTTAATGACAAATATTAGAAGAATTGTTATTCAATTGGACCAAGCATTACGTACTGATCAATGTGATGCAACTATCAAATCAATATTAAATACTTGGCATCTAAGTATGGATCAAGCATCAGCTTTAAATGAAAAGGAAATTGAAAGAGTATGTAATATATATATATATTTAATTGATTTACTTTTATTTACTTTTTATTTTGCCTCTTTAGTTTGTTCATCCACATACACAAATTAAATTAACAATGATGGGATATAAACCACTTGGAAATCCATGGAGTGATTTTGTAATGCTTTCAAGTCATATTGAATGGTGGGCAAAGTATACAGAGAGAGCAGAACTTACACAAGATCAATCAGAGCAGATTGATACGCTGTGGAACAAGTTTTCAGATGATGAAGCCAATTTGAAGCGTGAAATGTCAGAACTTGATGAGAAAATAAAAAAGTTCTACATGTCCAAGGTCATTATTTTGCCAACTAGCGATCAGCTCAACTCTCGCGCCCGATATGACACTCCCGTAGATGACGGTTTCGAACCAAACGACACTGAGATGACAGACATTTTGGAATTCACTTACAATCTTGAGCGACTCAAGCAAAAGTTTATAAAGATGGGACGGTTAATGTGGGACACGAGTAAGCTCATGTCCAAGTTCTTGACGCCGCGTCAAGAGGCGATTCTTTTGGTACTCGTTCACTCGGACACCAAATATGTACATTCAAACATGGAGATGGCAAATAATCTTTGGAACCAATTGAACCATGCCAATTACAACAAGCTCTCGAATCATATCCAAAAGGCATACCATCAACACCAACTTTCAGAGGCAGCCAACAACAACAACAACAACAACAATAATAATAATAATGATAATAGTTTTTCGTCACCATCATCGTCGCTATCTTTATTGTCGACTAGAGGTAAATTACCTTCCCCAACCAGTAGCAACAGTAGCAGTACGACACTGCCAACCCTAGTAAAACCAATCTCTTCAGTTGTTCCCAATTTATCATCTCCATCTCCACCAAATCAGTCACCACCACAGCCACCTCTACAACAACAACAACAACAACAGCAACAACAACAACAACAACAACAACAGATCCAACAACAAATCCAACAATTACAGCAACAAATGAATGCCCCAATGTCTTCATATCACAACAACTCTAATCTTTCTGTATATTCTCAACATTCATCTTTTAGAGTTTCTTCTCCTCCATCTTCCACCAACCTTACATTTAATTCTTCAAACACTCCCGCCACCCCAGTCCCCATCACTAATCCAACCATTAATAATACTACATCACCTACTGCCACACCAAATTTTAACAGTCAGTCATATTTAAATCAACAAAGTAATACTACCACCAACAATAATCCTTCTACAAATAATCATCACCCCAATTATAGTACAATAGATTTATTAAATGCTTATCCATTACCAACCACCACCACCAACAACAATAATCAGAGCGGCAATCAACTCAATTCATCAAAAATGAATGGTTCCAACAATGGAGATTTAAATCAATACCAATTTCATTTCTACCATCCATTATAAATGAATAATAATAAAACTCAAAAATCAATCTTTCTTTTTTTTTTTTATAATTGTGATTCTTATTACTTTTTCTTTTTATTGATCCATATAGATTGATGCGCTATCAATTGCCTCAATTGCTTGTTCAGGGTCAATAGTAGTAGTTGTTGGTTTATCAGTGGTAGTTTGAGTTTCAGATGTTGTTGGATTTGGTAATACTTGTTGTTTCTTTGATTCTTTTTCAAGTTTCCATTTCTTTTCACATTCCTTTGCTTCATTGTCAAGGTCTGTCCATTCATCAATGATTCTTACGGCATTTTCAAGTTTTGGTGTCTTTGTGAGTGGATTGTTACAGAGATCGATGGTCTTGGCCTTGCCCTTTGAGGATTGAGAGCACCAAGTCTCACACCACAACCATTCTTGTGGTAGACTGTGAATACGTAGGTTGTGTTGGAGATAGTTTGGAAGATCTTGATCGAGATTGGCAAGACTGTTTGGATCACGACTCAATTGGTCATAGGTCATACGCAATTGATCACCGGCATAGATACGACGGAATCGATTGAGATCGACAACATAGAGAGCAGAGATGTGATATGGCTTGGTACGAAGATGATCACGCCAGTAGCCAGTCTTCCAGAATCTGAATCCTTCAGTGTCAGGATTGCTGTTACAGAATGGAGTGTAGCCATAGGCAGCTCCGTTCAAATCCATGTCCCAGAGTTCACGGAGATCGGCACGGACAACCTGATCAGCGTCGACAAAGATAATCTTGTTGACAGATAGCGGGAAGAGCACGTCGAGGAAGAGGATCTTGTAGGCCCAGATGATACGCTGTCTTTCAGTTTGTGCACGTAACCATGTTGGCCATTGATAGGTTACCAGTTCAACTTCGAATCCATATTGCTTGGCCATGTATGGAACAAATTCGACAAACTCGGGAGACAAGTAGTTTTTGAGGAACCAAAACTTGACAGGCGAGTTGGTGTTTTGCTTGACCGACAACATCATAATCTTGAGGAAACGTTCGTACAAATGTCCACTAGCCACTGAAAAGATGTGGATAGTTTCGTTGGATGCTGGTAGTTTTTTGTTTTCAACACGTGCTGATGGCTTGTTGTTGTTGTTGCCGCCAAACAATGATCCAATGCTAGAGAGGAATCCCTTGTCGTCTTCAGCCTCTTCTTCAGCTACCTTTTGTGGAGCGGTGTTTTTAGGTTGGTCAGTGACGGGTGGGAGGATGGGTGTGTGTTCTTGACCAGCCTTTCTCGACAATTTGAGATAGATTGAGTTTCCACGGTAGCTGTCAGTGGCTACGGTCAAGTAAGAGACTGGGTGTACCTGGTCAGTGTCAGAGGCCTTGGAGTCACTGTTGAGTAGGTTCATGATGTTTTTACCTCTACCGAGTAGTGCGAGCTTCCAATAACCTGGGTTGGCCTTTAGCTGGAAGTAGCCGTTACCCATGACCAAGGTGTCTTGGTGTTGTAGTGTACCGAGAGAGTCAATGACAAGCTCGAGACCGGCTGGTGGAGACACGCCGATTCTGCTCTCATAGGCAAATCCTTGCAGCAACAGATACTCGAGTTGGAAGAGTGCGTTGAGGGTAGGTTCCTTGACACCGAGGTCTTTGAGACGGATATTATCGAGATCGTGCTTGGCAACGAGTGGTTTGACGATCCAGGTGGAGGGGGTGTCCATTGCAAGTGCCAACACACGGTTGTCGGGCAGGTTAGAGCTGACACCAGAGGCATAGTGCTTGGACAGCTTGCCGGCATCATCAAAGTTGAGGTGTAACTGAGACACGTACGTGTAGAATGACTTGAGTGGTAACTCACCGAGTTGTTGGAGTGGGTTGAGGAAGACATCGACGGCAATACCATAGTGGCTTGCGACAGAGTTGACAATCGATACCATCTTTTGGGCAGTCTTGCAGAGTGGATCAACGACCATGGTGAAACGGAGTAATGGGGTAATGTTGGCATTGGCCTTTGGTTCGTATCTAAATGAAGGGGTGACAGTTGTGGGTACTTGCTTTCTGACAACATCAGTGTTGGACGATTGCATTCCAAACACTGATACCAAAGTCATAATCAAGTTACTCTTGTCGCGTGGTTTGGTGAGTTCAACACCACGAACCTTTGGATTTTCGGGCAAGATGTCTTTTACACTACGTGCCTTTCCAATCTCAAACTTTTCCAACATGAAAAAGTCATTAAAGATATCTTCTTCATTGTGAGAAACTGTAATTAATCTTCCGTTGGTGAGGATGTAGCTGTTGAATTGGCAGGCAAGACCCAACACTGATTTGGAAAAGACTGAAATATTTTCAATCTTTGTTTCATCCAATGACTTTGAGTCACCGGTTACTCCTGACAATATACTAGTTGCCTCTTCTACGGTATTGGCAAATGTTAATTGTCGACCGAGCTTGCTCTTGGTGTTGGCATTGACAAAGGCGACACGAACATCCTTGGGTGATCCCTTTTGGAGACGGTCCATGGCATTTTTGGCGAGTTGGACGGTTGTATCGTGGTCAAAGTCACCAACAATCATGTGCGAGATGAGCTTGACTTCGTCTTCAGCTCCGGTGGCACTGATCCAGTGTAATTGTTCAGCCAAGAGGTCTTGACCAAGCTTTTCAATCTTTTTGTTGCTGTTTGGTGGCGACAGCGAACGGAACTCGACTGGGTTAATGTCACTTGGTACGACAAGTGGGTTCAACGACTCCAAGAGAGATTCGTGGGTGGCATGATAGTCCATCATGATCGAGTAGTAGTCTTGGTCGAGATCAGTGATGATTCCCTCGAGATAGAGCTTACGTACTTGACGGAGCTCCTCAAAGCAGATGTGATTGATGCTTTCGGCAATTGATTTCTTGGCGTCCAACAACAAACCGTTCATAAAGATCTGTGGGAACACCGAGATGGCCTTTTGTTGGATAAAGTCGTTGGCTTCTTTGAGAAGGTCATTGTAGGTGGTTGCTTCGACGATGGTCTGGAGACGACCGACGTTGTTGCCCATTTGACTGACGACAGTGTTGAATGCCGAGCTGACCAACTGCATGGTGACTTGGTCCATACCATAGGAACGCTTGTAATAGTTGAGGGCATTGACAAAGAATGTTGCTGCCTTTATACCCATCTTGCTACGGAATGTCAGGAAAATCTTGGCAATCTTTTCACTGGTCAAATTATCACGTAGACGATCGCTATTGCTTGTCTTGAACACAATAGCAATCTGACATGGAATATTATTGTTGGCAAGGTTTTGTGCATAGGCAATGGTTTGGAATGCATCAGCATTATCCAAATCAACTACAAATACCAAAGTAAATAAATTCTTTTTCTTGAAAATTGATGAATAACTAATTGCTTCATTTTTTAACTAAAACAAAAAAGTAATAGAAATATGTAAGTCATAATCATTAGAATATTTTAACCAATATAAATTTCTTACATCGGATAATGATTTTTCCCATTTTGAAAAAGCTGGATCAGTTTCAAGATTATTTAAAGTAATTAAAACATCTTTGTTTTCTGGCAACATGTTGAATCTAACAAGATTTGGAGCCATAAAGGTTGATGCAATCTTTGAAATTAAATTTGATTCAATACCAATCTTTTTAACATTCATCATGGATTTTAATTCATTTAATATTGTTTCAGATAATCTATAGAAGAAAGAAAAAAAGTTAGAGATATATACAAACAGAGAGGTTGAATAATATTATTATCTTTTTTTTTTTTCTCTATCTTACCCAAGTGGATTTAAATCAAATTCTTCGGTGATATCAATGACACGATCATTTAGATAAAGTTGATTTTCACCTTCGGTAAAGATCTTTTGATAGTTGGCAATTGATTGCTTCAATGTCGAGTTTACTGAAATACGAGAGAGTGAAGAGGCATAGGATGGGAAAGCTTGGGAAATGTAGACAAGAGATTGCATTGGATTAGACGAGGTAACAATCTTTTGAGCGGTTTGTAAACCAAGGTTTTGAATCTCCCACATCTTTAGTTCGGCTTGTTGTTGATGAGCCAAAAGGTAACTTCTAAATGTAGTCAATTTCTTGGTCAAGTCTGGATGACGCTTTTGAAGAACATGGAAATTGAATCCACCAACATCTTCATTTGGAATTGATGCTGCTGTATTTGAATCTCCTCCTTCTATAAAAAATAAATAGAAAATTAATTAAATTAATATGGATTATTATTTGTATTTCTTTTTTCATTCTTTTTTGTTTACTGACCATTTTGAATAACAGCATCATTCATAACTTTATATTCAAGACTTTTAATAGAAAGGCTATAACCGTATCCTTGAAGTCTGACATGATCAGTGGATGCTGGTACGTAGAAACGAACGACATAGATGATCTTTTTCTCTTGATACAATTTGATAAGGTATTTATGAACGGCCGAGAAATCCTTGGATGTAATATCGGCATAGTAAATGACAACTCGTTTGTCTTTTTCCTCTTCTTGCATCATTGTAATATGATCAAATGAATGAGTAAGAGTCGATGGATAAATGGTATCATATGAATATACTTCATTTTCTTTTGATCTAAACAAACAAACAAACGAAAAGAGTCAGTTTAGAAAGGATAAGCTATTACTTTTTACTCTACTTACTTGTCATATTCAATAGTTGTAATTGATTCCTTGTCTTTGATATTAAGAGTAATATCATTCAATTGGATGAATTCATTTTGTTTGTTATTGTATTTACTGTTGGTTTCATAGAGTTGACGATAGGTTTGAACACGTGGAGAATAGGTTCTAATTGACAAGTCGGCAATCAAAAACTCTAATAGATAGGCAGAATCATCTCCAAGGATCTCCTTTGATGTATCAATGATGATATCGTACACCTCTTTATCGGTCATTTGTGTAGAGTCTTTGTTTGCCTTTACACATGCATCATTAAATGATTGAATGAATTTCCAATACAATGATTCATCTACTTTTTCTCTATAAAATTGACTACATAAAGTAAACGTTTAAAACAAACTTTATTATTAGTAAACATATAAGTGATATTCTCTCTCTCTCTTTTGTTAATTAACATTAACATACCTTGCTTCCAAGTAAAGAGGAGTACTATTCCAATTTGAATCCAAAGCTACATAGGTACTCTTCTTTTGATGTTCATCTTCGGCAGATGCAAGTTGTGTAGCTGCTAGCAGAGTAACAAATACTACCAATACAATATACATAAATGATGTCAAGCGTGAAAAAGAAGTAGAAGACCTACTTACTGGCCTACTTCCCTTATTACTTTTCATCATCTCTTAAGATATATATAAATAGGGTTATTAAAATGATTAAAACTATGATGGCATCTTGTGACTTCACTCCATCGTTCCTTTACTTTTTTTCTGTCGAAGTTCCAATTTTTACCAACGATGACAATGCAAAAGGGGTAATTACAAGTTGTTTTAAAGTTTACCTACACATATTTTGTGATATCATATTATTAGAGGTGTACATAACAAACAATAATGGTGAGTCTATTCAAAGTGATTGTTTATATATTTGCGGCAGCAATAGCTATAAAAACGTTAAATGTACTTCAGACTATAGGTGCTTTGTTGTTTCTAGCACTGCTTGTAACTCTGATCACAGATGTTGTCATACCTAAATACAAAAAGAGAAAATGGGATAGTCATACTATAAAGAAATGTAAGTTAATTGAATAAGAGTAAGAAATAAGAATATCTTGTGTATATTGTATTGACATTTGTTTGTTTTGTAATTTTCAAAGCACAAAGAGATATGAGTAAAGAAAGAATAGTAGAAGTTGATGATAAACAAGTAGACCATGTCAAGTTGGCACACACTAAAATGGTTGATGACGAGAGCGATCGTGTAAACAAGTTGATAGAGTCATACGAAAAACTACAAGGAAAGAGTCAACAAGAAAAGAATAATAGAAAGTACATATATACAGAGGGTAGGACTATTTCTGGAGATGAACATCTTCAAGAGAATATGGAACGTTGGAAAAGTGATCGTGAAATTTTGCGTGAAATGCAAGATATGGAATACGAAGAGTCACTTGCCAAAGACAAGAAATTACAACAACGCAAGCAGGAGATTATCATTGACAAGGAAAAAGAGGTGCAAGAAAGACAAAATAGAATACAATGGTTAAAAGATAACCTTCGTCCAGAGCCAATAGCTGCTGCTGCTGCTGCTGATATGGTAGTTGGTGAGAATGGATCATCCTCTTCCTTTTCCTCTGCATCATCAAATATATCAACTATACAAATTAAACTGCCAAGTGGTGCCACTCTTAAACGTAGATATTTATTGTCAGATACCATACAAGATATCATTGACTTTGTCGACTCTAAAGAGGTGGTACAAAAACCACGATACTATTTGGCAACCAATATTCCCAAACAACAATTTAGAGATACCACTGTCACTATTCAAGACGCTCAACTATATCCTCAAGTTTCTGTCTATGTCATTGAAGAATAGTACTAATGAAATAAACAAAAATAGAATTTGTACATACTTTAATTTTGTCCATCTATCTTTATAATGGAAATAGATTGTTTTTTATTTTTTTCCTAATTATAATATATAAACAGGAATCCAAAAGGATGCTGAATGGTGGTTGGACAATAGTGAGTAGATGAATAGTTGGATGGATGGATAGTTGGTGGATGGTGGATGGATGGTGGATAGAGGATGGATGAACAGAAAATGGTGGATAGAGGATGGTGGATGGATGGATAGAGGATTGTTGGATAGTGGATGGTTGGATTAATGGATGATGAATGGATGGCGGATGAATGGTGAAAGGATGATGGTGGATAGATGGATGGATGATGGATGGTGGATGGTGGATGGATAGATGGATGGATGGTTGGATATATGGTGGATAGATGGATGGATGGATGGATGGATGAATGGATAAAGGATGATGGATGGATGGTTGATAGATGGATGGATGGATGGATGATGGATAGATGGATGGCGAATGGATGATGGATAGATGGATGGTGGATGGATAGATGGATGGATGATGGATAGATGAATGGATGGTGGATAGATGGATGAATGGACAGAGGATGATGGATGGATGGATGGATGGATGGATGGATGGATAGTGGATGGTGGAAAGATGGATGGATAGATGGATAGATGGATAGATGTATGAATGGATGATGGATAGATGGATGGATGAATGGTGGATAGATGGATAGTGGATGGATAGAGGACCGATAGAGGATGGTGGAAAGAGATAGAAATATAAGTCTTAGATTTAATTTTATTTTAAAAGATCTTTATAAGTTTATTGATTTCTTTGTATTAAACAATCATTATAATCAAACCCCTCATCTATCATGTACTGTATCAACTATGATGTCAATAAAATAATATTACGATTTTCAAAGTTGGACTTTTGTGATGCTATTTTAATTGACCCATCATTCTTGATTTTCCTTCTTTATGGTGGGAGGACAATGGAATATGGTGATGTTCAATGGTGGCTGAGAATGGCCAAGACGGATGATGGCTGACGATAGTCTACCTAGGATATTGATAGATGGTAGAAGGATGGTCAGAGGACCATCCACCATAATATAATTTCAAGAAAAATAAAATAATAAATGGTCTGATCAAAAAAAGTCAGAGTTGGTGTGGTTGCTTTTTTATTTTATTTTTATTATAAAAGTTTTAATTTTAATAAATTAAAGTTACAAACCCATAAACCATCTTTGGGTGCACATCTTTATAAAGACACATATTGCTACAGTTGTAGTGTCACAAATATTTGTTACAAATAATTATTACAAATTCTGATGATGAATTAATTAATTTTAAATTCGTCAGAATAATAATATTGATTTGGCGGGTAAAAGAATAATCTTATAAATAATAAATAAATAATAAATAAAAAAGGGAGGGAAAAAGAGAGAAAAAAGAGAAAGAAAGAAATAGAAAAATATAGTTTTGGTTGTTCCCATGGTTGTTTAGACCATGGGAACAGTCCAAAAAAAAAAAAAGCCCCCCAATGCGAAGAAAATCGACTTACACGGGGGCGAACCTGGGAAACCACTGGGTAAAAGTAATTGAATATCTTTTTAAAAGGAAACCACTTGGGTAAAAGTAATTGAATATCTTTTTTGGGGTATAAAAGCCTAGGGAAACGTGGAACATGGATGGACGATGGTGGACAACGGACACGGACGACGGCAACGGACAATGTATAAAAAGAAAAGAGTAGGAAGAGAGGGAAACCACTTGGGTAAAAGTAATTGAATATCTTTTTTTTTTAGAAAAGAAGAGGATTGTAATTGGTTGTTGTTGTAATTATTATTATTATTATTATTATAATTATTATTATTATTAGTTATTGTTATTATTATTAGTTAATGTTGTTGGTTGTTGAAATTATTATTAAACGTATTAGTTATTGTTGTATTATTATTATTATGTATTATTATTTATTATTAGTTATTATTATTAAGATGTTGTTATTACCAAAAGAGTTGAAGAGACTAATGATTATTGTACCTATAGAATAAAAAGAAAAAGAGTCAGTAAATTTAATTTTAATTATCAAATTTTGATACGGCGTTAATTATGATGGTCTACGAATGGGGGTGATTGTTGCTTGGAAACTGGTATTCTTGATCACTGGATTTGGGACGGGCGACTGACTAGCGGATTGGTGATGAATGAATGATTGATTGGTGAATGAGGATTGTGGATTGGAGTGATTGGTAAAGATTGTAATGTTGTTATTGTTTGTTGTGATATTATGATTATTAATATTTGTTGTAAATGAAATGTTATAGTTATTTGTTGGTGAACAATGAGGGGGTTGTCTGTCTGTGGAAGAGGAGTAATTGTTGTTGTTATTATTATCATTAATATTTTTTGTTTGTTTCAACATGGTTGAAGCATGAGAATGATTATGATGATGAGTTGTTGTTGGCATAGTTATTATTTTTGTTATTTGTATTTTTTAATTTAATGTTATTAATATTGTTTTTTGTTACTGAATGATTTGGTGATTGATAATGAAACAAAACATAAGACAAAACATTTAAATTAAAAGGAATTGACATTGTGGATGAATTAAAAGATAAATTATTGTTATTATTTGAGGATGGTGGAGTGATTTGTGAATGTGGATTGTGAATTGAATTGTGAGTGTGGATTGTGGTGAGGATTGTATCATGATTGATTGGTGATGATGATTGTTGTTGTTGTATTGTTGTATGGTTATGGTTTGAATGATTGGTTCCGAAACAGTTGAGAGAATCAGAATAATTGTTGGCAACTTTGGTATCTATAAAAATAAAAGAAGAGGAATCAGTAAAATGCTTTAAATTGTCAGAACTTGTTACCGCGTTGTTTTGTAATCTTGAAACGTTGGAGTGTCTTGAAAATGGTCTGGTCTTTGATATTGGACACATTGACATTGTCGTTGTTGTTGGATTGTTTAATGTGAATGTGGATGAGTTGAAAGTGGAAAATGGAGTTGAAACAAAATGATTGGTTAAAGTATTATTGTTATTTGTTGGAGTTGTGATGGTGACATTATTATTGTTTGTTGGATTTGGAGATTGATGAGATTGTGAAAAAATAAAAAAATTATTATTATTATTATTATTATTTGTTGGATTGTTGTTGGGATTATAAAAGTTAAAGTGTAATGAATTATTATTGTTATTATTAATGTTGTTATTGTTGTTGTTATTATTATTGTTATTATTATTATTATTTGTATTATTAAAGTTGTTGTTATTATTATTGTTCTTATTATTTGTATTATTTAATTTAATGTTATTATTGTTGCTATTATTCTTATTATTATTGTTGTTGTCAGGAATGAATGAATGATTTGATTGAAATTGAGTATCACTTGAATTAAAAAGTAAAATGGCTGATTGAGAAATACTATTATTATTGTTATTATTATTATGAATATTAACTGATTGATGTTCAACATTGTAGAACAATGAGATTGTGATTGTGTTGTTGTTGTTGTTCAATTGAAATGACTCCTCCTTCTTCCGCTAAAAGAAAATGGTTGGTTGTTGAATGACTAAAGAGTAATGGTGATGATTGACAATTGGTTGAAACATCACTTGAATTAAATGGAATGTACATGTACAATGAGTGAATAAGTGAGGCTGATCCATTATTATTATTATTATTATTTGAGGAAGGTGGAGTGATTTGTGAATATTGATTGTGAGTTGAATTGTGAATGTGGACTGTGGTGAGGATTGTATCATGATTGAATGGTGATGATGATGATAAATAATGATTATTATTATTTTTGTTATTTTTGTTGTTGTTGTTGTTGTTGGTATTATAAAAGTTAAAAGGAACATTATTATTATTATTATTATTTGTAATTTGAGTATTATTATGATTATTATTAATATTTGTAGTTGGAGAGTTGTTGTTTAATTTAATATTATTGTTGTTGTTGTTATTATTATTATTTGTTGTTGTGTTGTTATTGTTATTGTGATTATTATTTCGTCTTGTGTTATTATTATTTGTGTTATTATAAGATTGTCGAATGATTTGATGATTGTGGATCGATTGATGAGGAGTGTAAGATTGTTGGTTGGTGATGATTGTGGAGAGTGGATTGACTGTATCAATAACATGGTTGAAACCACGCCATGAATTTGTGCTGCTGCTGCTGTTCAACTGAACAGACTCCTCCTCTTCTTCGTCTAAAAGAATGTGGTGTTGGTTGGTGATTGATTTAATTGTGGCAATGATGATTGACAATGAGTGAAAATGACACTTGAATTAAAACATGGAATCGATGATTGATGGACATTGAAGAATGAAATATTATATTTATTAATGGGAATTGATTGGTTGAAATATGAAACTGAGATTGTACTGCTGCTGTTCAATTGAACAGACTCCTCCTCCTCCTGATCTAAATTAATATTGTTGGTGGTTGTTGAATGATTTGGTGATTGACAATGAAACAAAACATCACTAGAGTTTAATGGTAATTGAAAATGAGATTGAGACAAAACATTTAAATTAAAAGGAATTGACATGCATGAATTAAATGATAAATTATTATTATTATTATTATTGTTGTTGTTGGCATGATTGGATTGACTTTGAGATAATAAATCACTTGAATTATAAAATAAAATGGCTGATTGATGGAAAGAAATATTATTATTATCATGGTTGAACAATGAGAATGTTATTGTGTTGTTGTTCAATTGAAATGACTCCTCCTCCTCCTCTTCCGCTAAAAGAATATGGGTTGGTATTGAATGATTTAAGAGTAATGGTGATTGACAATGAGTCGAAACATCACTTGAATTAAATTGAATGTACATGTGTAATGAGTGAATAAGTGTGACTGATTCATTATTATTAATGATAGAAATGTTGAATGGATGCTCAACATTGTTAAACGATGAGATTGATAAAGGATAAACTAAAATTGAATTGTTCATTGATGGAAATGGAACATTCTTCTCCGCTTCTTCTTCCTCCTCCTTTAAAAGAATATGGGTTGGGATTGAATGATTTAATATTAATGGTGATTGTGATTGACATGGGGACAAAATATCACTTGAATTATATTGAATTATTATGTTGTCATAGGACATGGATGGAAAACTAATTATTGGATTAACATTGTCTAAACAAGAGTTGATTGAAATTGTACTATTGTTGTTGCTGTTCAATTGAACAGTTTTCTCCCTTTCTTCTAAAAGAATGGGGTTGTTGGTTGTTGAATAATTTGAAATTAATGGTAATGGTAATGGTTGTGATTGACATTGAGACACAATAATATCACTTGAATTATTAACAGTGGATAATGGGTAAATAAATGAATAGGAATTATTTATATTTTTTTGAACAGTGGAAATGATTGGAATTGGTTGATAAACATCAACATTGCTAAAACAAGAGGTGTTATTGTAAACATTATTATTGATGGTAATGATTGATTGAAGTTCAACATGGTTGAACGATGAGAATAAAGATGATGATGATGATGATGTGTTGTAAACAACACCATAATCGTTGTTGTTGTCATGAGAAACAACAAACGAGACAAAGATAGACAAAATAAAAAAGATGATGATGATTAAAGAGTGCATAATAGATTTGATAGATTTAAATTTGATTGGTTGTATATTGGTATTAATTGGTTGATTGTTGTTAAAGCTATTTAAGATAGGTAGAAAAATAAAGAGTAATTTAAATGTTAATATAGTATAGAAAGAGAGTATGTGTGTGAGAGAGAGAGAGAGGGGGGGATAGATAGCAGAGAGAGAAAATTAATATTATTTGTATATATCGTACGATTTTTGAAACAAGTTTCATAAAAGAAATAAATTTGAATGATCAGTTTCTATATAGAGTGAGAGTGCAAGGGTTGGGTTGGGCAGCGTAATCCAAAGTCCGTTAGAAAGTATAAATATATTTAAATTTAAATTTAAATATATATGTGTGTGGGGGTACAATATTTTATAAATCTTTTAATAAAACCATTGAGTTTCGAATTTTGTTGTTAATAGGAAAGTGCAACCAAGTCACCCAAGCCAGTCACACATTTGAAAGTACTCTCTCCACATGTCGTTGTGTGATAATAATAATAATAATAATAATAATAACCACACACCAATAATATTGCAGCTGTGATACTCTTGTGCTGTTGATAAATTCTTTATCTGTTGCTTTAGAGCAAACAAACAAACAATACAGTTCGAAGAAAAAACTCAAAGACTTTATCATATTTTTTGTGTTCATCTTCAACAAACTAATTAATTATTATTTATATTATTTATATGTTGTAATTATTATTATGTTAAAGTATATTTATATAAAGTTTGATTGATTGATAGATAGATAGATTAGACTGGTGTAATCAAGATGATATCATCTACAACAACAACAACTTCTGATACGAGTACAACTGCAGATACTACTTGGACTACACAAAATACTAGTACAACAACATCATTGTCGGTAGGAGGGAATATTAAAGCAATCGATAAAGATAGTGTACATCAAATATGTAGTGGACAGGTCATTTTAGATCTGAGTACGGCCGTCAAGGAATTGGTAGAGAATAGTTTGGATGCAAAAGCAACAAAGGTGGAGATAAGACTAAAAGAGTATGGTGAAGATGCTATAGAGGTTATTGACAATGGATCGGGTGTGGAAGCGGCCAACTATGTCGCGCTGACACTCAAATACTATACAAGCAAGTTATCAAAGTTTAGTGATCTCGAAAGCGTCACTAGTTTTGGGTTTCGTGGTGAAGCGCTGTCGTCGTTGTGTGCACTGGCCAACGTTTCGATCACAACACGACACTCGTCTGCAAAGGTCGCACACAAGATTGTCTATGACCAGTCGGGCGTCATCACGTCTCAAACAGAGTGTGCTAGAGAGGTGGGTACCACCGTCACACTCACCAGCCTTTTCAAACGGCTGCCTGTACGTTACCAAGAGTTTAAGAGAAACCTCAAAAAAGAATACGCAAAATTGCAGACCATCCTCCAATCGTATGCAGTCATTAGCACTGGTGTGCGAATATCCTGCTACAACACGGTCAAGAATAGCAGACAATTGGTGTTTTCAACGAGTGGATGCAATGACATTAAAGACAATGTCGTCAGTTTGTTTGGAAAGCAAGCTCAAATGTTGGATCGCATAGATGTGGAAAACGAATTGTTTCACGTCAAGGGACTGGTCAGCAAGGTTGGACAGCTCAATGGAGTGGGCAGTGTAGTGGGTTCACAGACTGCGGCTGGAGGGAACGGTGGTCTCAACGCACAGATGGCGCGTAGTTGTGGCGACAGACAATTCATCTTTATCAATGGTCGTCCAGTCGATTTCCCAGCACTCACTAAAACAGTCAACTCAATGTACCATTCATTCCAAAAAAAGGGTTCCTATCCAGTTTTATTTCTCGATATCAAAATGAATCCCAACACTTACGATGTCAATGTCACACCAGACAAGAGAAAAGTATTTATTCAAAAAGAAGAAATACTCTTAACCCTCATTGGTGATCATCTCAAATCACATTGGGAAAAAGCACAATCAACTTTTGATGTTTCTTCAAGTGGTAATCAACTTTTTAGTCAACTATCAAATAATGATCAAAATATTAATAATAATAATAATAATAGTAATAGTGGTGGGACAATAAGAAAAAGTATTGTAAATAGTCAAAAAATTTCACAACCAAATAATAGTAATAATAATAATAATAATAATAGTAGTAATAATAATAATAATAGAATGGATATGACAGATGATGATAATAATGAACCTTTGGATAATGATATTGTTGGAGATTTTGTCCAACCACAGATATCATCATCATCATCATCATTGTCAAACAGACAAGTAAATACTCCTGTACAGGGTAGTTCAGATGATATATTTAATGATAGTGACGATCCTATCAGTGACGCTACGCCCGTATTTAATTCAAATAACAAGAGACCGGCTCAATCATCTTTGGATGAATTTTTATATGTTCCAAGAGATATGAAAAACTCTACAACATCATCTTCATCCCCTTCAGTACCTCCTTCACCAACTTTATCATCATCATCATCAACATCAAAACAACAAGATAGTCCAAAATCATCAGTACATGTAAATAAGAAACAATCATTGGCAATGCCATCTAAAATTAGCTCTGTAAATAATATTAAATCATCTGTATTGACCGATCAAGACAATCCAGTATTTGCTCAAGCAATAAGTGGAAAAAAACAAGACCAAGAAGAAGATTTCGAAGATGATGAACCAAAATTTGAACAAAGTAAATTTAAATTGACCGATACTCTAAAGGCAACAATGACTGCAACTCGACCCAAAGACCCATTGTTGGATGAAAAAGTTGATGCAAGGGATGGATTTCAACAGAAAAATACAAAAACACATAATCTTACAGTCAAGACTGGATTGGAACAAATTCAAAAACTTTACAAGAATCGAACAACTGTTGCCAACTATGATTATTGTTGTTCTTATGCTCCAAATATTACTGGTTGCTATAATAATGGAACCAAAAAAAGAAAAGCAGAAAAGGAACAACAACCGGCTCCTACACAATCACAAGGATCTGATCCCTCATCATCTCAAAACAAAACATTTCTTTCTAGTGTAGGAGCATTCACTGCAAAATCAAATAGAAACACTCAACAAACAACAATGGACAAGGATGTGGCCGAAAAAGAACTTAGTCTGCACATTAAAAAGGAAGATTTCCTCAGGATGCAAGTCATTGGCCAGTTTAACAATTCCTTTATCATTGCCAGACTCGATACTGATCTTTTTATTGTCGACCAACATGCAGCCGATGAAAAATACAACTATGAAACACTCCAAAAATCACACGAACTCATCTCTCAACCATTGATTCGTCCAACTCATATACAATTGACAGATGAAGATGAAGAGATTCTCATTGACCATTTAGATCTCTTTAAAAAGAATGGTTTTATCTTTGATGTCAATAGAAATGCTCCTCCAACGAAGCGCGTTAAAATTGTTTCTCTTCCTTTTAGTAGAAAATGGACTTTTGGTCCAAATGGTAAGGGAAAAGAAAAAAAAGAAAAATTAAAAATAATATTATATTAACTTTTTTTTATATTTATTTATTTATTTTTTAGATATTTATGAATTAATATTTATGATTAAAGAAAGTTTGCCTGGACAAGTTTGTAGACTTCCTCGAATATCTGCAATGTTTGCATCTAGAGCATGCAAGAAATCAATTGTTGTTGGAATGCCACTTACACATGAACAAATGAGAAAGGTGTTGTCCAATCTCTCGCAACTCGAGAATCCTTGGTGTTGTCCTCATGGTCGACCAACCATGAGACATTTAAATAATCTAACAAAAACAAACCAAATTGTTGAAGATGCTTTTAATTCTAGACTCAAATATAAACAAAAACCACCAAATGACGATAAATAATAAATAATAAATAAATAATATTAAGCAAAGATATTTGTTTAACCCCTCGCCTACTGTTCTTTGGTTATTCTTTTTTTTTTTACTAGTGAATCACTATACCCGCAATAAAAAGATATCTATGAACAGACAATCTGCAGATCTCACGATAAAAAGAGTTGACGAAGTGTTAAGAACCGACATTCAAAAAAGATCTTAACCGAAAGGTGATTCACCATTCGACTCCAAAACCAAAAACAGCGAAACAATAATTTAATTTGCAAAAGAAGAAGGTTCTGGTTCTTATATTCTTTGCATAACCATTGTACGAATAATATATACTATACAACTATACTGTACAAACGAAAAAGATAAATATATCAACAACAATGGTACAATTAGAATCACCGTTTAAAGTTATTGCTTTAGATTTAGATGGAACCATCTTAAATTCAGACAAAAAGGTTAGCGAAAATAGTAAAAGAGTATTTCAACATTTGAACAAGCATTATTCAGATGTTGAAATATTATTAGCAAGTGGAAGAGGTAATAAAAAAGAATCATAAAATATTCAAACTCTTATATTGGTTGCATCTGATTGACCTTTTTCTTTCTTTCTATCTATCTATCTATTTCTTTAGCACCATATCTAGTATCACCAGTAGAAACAGAATTAGAAGTAGATTGTTCACTTATTGGATATAATGGAGGTGTATGCTTATCTAAAAAGGAGGGAGAGGGAAGAACAACAGTGTTTAGCAAACCAATCTCAAAACACGATGCTTTTGATATCTTGAAATATGCAGAGGAAAATAATCATTGCCTGAATGTCTATGGTGATGGAATAGTTTATGCAGTTTCTAAACAAAAACAAAAAGCTGATAATTATGCAACGTATGAATCTCTCTCTCTGTCAAAATATATATATTATCTTTCATTTTTTCTAATATTTTGTTTTTTTTTTTCTATAGTATGACTGGAGCAACATATCAATTTATTGAAAGTTATTATGAATTGGACAAGATGGGAGTAGAGCCAACTAAATGTTTAATTATTCTCGAAACTGATGAAGAATGTGATAAGCTTTTGGAAAAGCTTACTGCCGATAATACATTCCCCAATGTCAGTCTTGTCAAATCAAATTGTAAATCAAAGACTTGCGCACAATATTATGTAGAATTTCTTCAACAAAGCGTCAACAAGGGATCATCTGTATTAGAGTTTGCCAAATTAAAAGGTTACAATCACGATCAAATCGTTGCTTTTGGAGATGCAGAGAATGACATTGAAATGTTAAAATCCGTCGGTCTTGGTATTTGCCTTGCCAACGGAACTGATCCAACCAAAAAAATTAGTTCAAAGGTTTCCATATATTCAAACGATCAAGATGGTGTAGCAAGAGAAATTGTTGAATTATTTAATTTACCAAAAGATTTAATTCAATAAAATAAAAGCGCAACAAAACAATTAAATTATTAAATTGTACAATTTATATTTTTGTTATTTAAATTATTTATTATTTATTATTTATATATATATTTTGATTATTTTTTTTGTTTTACCAATTGTTCAATATTATTAATATAGGTATTAGAGTCTTTTGAATCTAGAGCCAATATTTCTTTTAATAAACCCAAATCGTCAAAGAATTCAGATTCTTCTTCAAAAACAGAGTACTCTTCTTCAAAGGATGATAAAAATGATTTACAGTCTTGTTGAATTTTCAAATAATGAGATGCCAAATTGGTTTTGGTATCTATTATCCAAGGTTCCAATACGGTGGTGGTAGAGGTGGTGGGACTAGTGATACTAGAGGCCTCTGGTTTAATTGGTGGATGAATGATTTCATGGAACTTATCAATCATTGTAAAGAATAACAACCATGGGCGGAGAATGGCGAATTTGGTTTTGTTTGCTGGTTGTTTTTCGGAAAAGGCATAGGCTATTAATTTTGACAAGAAATTCAATCTTGAAGATTTCCAATCCTTCAACGATTGAAGGTAGAGTGAAAGAACGAGATAGTAGGGGACATTGTCCACTTCAATAGTACAGTTGTTGATACTTGATTCGAGCGAGAGTCCGACAAACTGGTTGAATAGCTTGTCAAAGTGTGGACGACGGACTTGGTTGGCTTGGTTGCCGACAATCTTTTGGTCCAACAAAAAGTTTCCAAACTGAATAAAGAATGGTACAATTCTAATATTGGAATCCTTGCCTCCACCTTTAGAGTCGGTGCTAAATGACTCGTCCTTGGCGAATCTGAGGAACAAGAGTTTGAGGTCGTGGGCAAGGAGACGGAAACGTGGATTGCTACCGTCAATACGACCGACATTGTTGAGGTTGGTCCAATACTTGTCGCAGAATGGTGTAAAGGCATCGTTGGTGATCTTTGGGCCTTGGATGGGGAAGATATTGTTGCACTTGGTCTGTTGATTTCTCAAGGCAGCTCCTTCCCATTCCTCTTTGGGCACCTTCATACTCTTGTCGGCCTTGGTGGCATCACGATGACAATAGTAGTGAATAATGTTAAAGTGAGTGACAGTAGTGTAACAGTGTGCATTTCCACCCGATGATTCTCTTCTTTCAGATTGACCAGAAGATGATGGAGTGGCAGTGGTTTCGTTGAGTGCATGAAGTGCAACACGTTTAGAGTAGGTATAGATACCCAAAACATCGTCTGGTTTAAAGTTGTAACCTTCACGACACACCATACATGTGAATCCCTCTTCATCCTCTAGATCCTCGATAATAGTTGGCACAACATTGGCAGTGATATGCTTGCCTTGTTGCGAGAGACCAAGCTCCTTGAGCACATTTTCTCTGTGCTTTTCGGCTTGTGCAAGTTTCTCTCTCTTTGATTCCGTACGAATGTTGTGAATTTCGTCGGCCATCTTTTTGTTGTTGACTTGAAGAGACTCGAGGAAGTTTTCTGCCAAACTACCAACATTCTTGGTGCTGGTGGTCGATGTCTGCTCCATCAAATGGAGACGCTTGAGAACATTGAATTCATTGACAGACATGAGTTGGGTGGGTTCGTGGCCATTGGCAAGACCCTTGAGAAGGACGAGTACATATGGGAGTGCGGCACGTTCCAATGACCCAATCCACTCTGGCGACGATTTATCCTTGTCGCTTGGTAGATTCTTGTCAATGTATTCGTAGAGCTGTTTGGTAATGCCTCGTTCCAGCACGAGTTGACGCAACTTGGAGCCGTTTTCATCGGGTCTCGTAAAATCGGCAATCTTTGTGAAAAAGTCTACATGGGCAGTGACGTTGGGGTCGGTCTTTTTGCCGGCATCGTACTCGTCAAAGTTGAGGTAGGGTTGGAAAAAGTCTATCAACGAGTTGATGACACCCGAATGGCCATAGGTCAAGAATGGAATGATACGGGTCATGGCCTGGATGATACGTGTGTTGTTGCGTACCAACGGACTGGCCAACTTGTCGAGGAACATGGTCATCTGCTCTTGTGCTTCGTTTGTGTCCTTGTGATGCTGGTCGTTGGTGGTGATCTGGCTGGTAGACGAGTTGCTGTTGGTCAAGTAGCTGCGGTTGGCTTCTGTAACGATCGACTCGATAATCAAAAGCAGCGTTTCAGCGAGATCAGGTTGATGGAACGCTGTTTTGAGTTTCTCAAGCAAACGTCCAATTCCATTGTGTGTGATGAGTTGCTCGCGGTTAACCTTGATCTTGCAACTATGGAACAACAGCTTGATGACGAGGTGTGCCAACTCCTTTTCGGATGAAAAGTCGGCAATGTCATCGACAATTGTCAGCATGGCCTCTAGACCGCCACACTGCGAAAAGATACTGGTGATTTCAAACTCAACCTCTGGATCCTTTTCTTCGCCATTGTCATCGTTTAGGTTTTCAATGTTTTCTTCGGTGGCTTCACCGTCGAGACCTTGGAGACGGTAGACGACGGTCATTGGCGTGTTGATGTCTTGCGAACGTTGGGCAACGGCGCTTCGCTTCCACACTTGCTCATAGACACGCTTGATGGGTAGATCGAGCTTGATGATCTTATTGTCTACAAGCAATTCCATGCCATTGTCGTCTTCCAAAAAGGTGCCAAGATCGAGGGTCTTGCAAATCTTGTTTTTAATGTCTCTCATCAGAGAACCGACAGTGTTGCTGGCGTATGGATTCTTCATAGAGCCACGAATGTATTCCTCTTGTGTCGATGATTTGATCAAGACGAGCTGGTAGACTGGCTCGGGCTTGACGGGACACACAATGTTGCACAACTGCTCAAAGATAAAGATGGGTGTTCTGCCATTCTTGGAGTGTTTGGTGAGTGCCTTGACATTGGCAGCCATAAACTTTTTGTTGTCTTCAACCGACTCGGTGTTGAGCGACTTCATCAACTCTTGCAATTGTTTGACGGCATCTTCAGTGAGCTTGTTCTTTTGAATAATGACACCACGAAGCGACAAGAATGCATCCAATACCTTTTCAATGAGGTTGTCACGCTTCATCTTGAGCTTGATCGACGAGACATCGACAAACGACATGAGAATGTTGACGAGTGTCTTTAACACATAGCCTTGACTAAAGTCAGTGTTGAATGAGGTTTCGAGCGAGTTGATACGATCGATATCCAGGATGATGAGATCACACAAGTAGGGCAAGAATCCGCGGACTGTCAAATAGATCTTTCTCTCGTCAGACGAGATAATCTTGCCAAAGAGTGAAAAGAATTCGGCAGAGTTTTCTCCAACTTTGCAAGCATGTGGAATCAACTTTACAAAGAGGTCGAGGAATTTGTAGGTACGTACTTGACTGCTACGAGACAAGATGTTCATCAAACTGATGGTTTCGCTACGAATTGATGGTGTCGAATTGAACAATAACTTACTAACCCATCCATCTTCGAGGAAAATACCCTCCAATGGGTTGGTGTTGGAGGTAGCAGCTGCAGATTTCTTTACTTGTTTTTTCCATTTGGCCAAATATTTACTAGTAAGATAACGGTTTCTAATCTCTACCTTGTCAACTACAGTAGTAGTGGTGGTAGTAGCTGCAGTGGCAGTAGTAGGTGAAGTGGTTGGAGTTGTATTATTAAAGATTGATGATTGATACTTGTTTGCCCATTGATCAAATGTATCTGAAGCCAAGAATTCATCAAATTTGACAGATGATTCTGATTGATCAAAGTAATTCCATCCATTTCCACTTGTACTAATTACTTTTTCCTTGGTGGCAGCGGGTTCCTGAACTTCTGCTGCTGATGGAGGAGGTGGTGGTGGAGAATTAACAACAACTGATGAAGCTGATGATGATAATTGACCACCTTGTTGTTGTTGTTGCTGAAGTTGAATCTGTTGTTCTTTTAATTTGATGAGTGATCTTAATTTTTCAAACTTTAGACGAAGTGTCTTTTGATGATCTTCAGTATCATTGAGATCCTTTTGTAAAAGGTCAGTTGTGTTTCTTTCCAATGTACACAAGGAGAGAATGATCTTGAGACATGGTAATGTGATGTATTCAGAGATGATTGGATTGTTGGATCCAGCTTCAATCGATTTGAAAAAGATTTCCATGATGAAACGGAATCTTGTCTGCCAGATATTATCAGTCAGGGCAGTACAATCACGCAACAAGAACATTTCACTCGATATCATGGTCGATAGGTCGAGAGAGGTGTGATTCTCAATAGCATAGAATATCTTTTCACTGATCCATCCGTTGAGCTCGGTAGTGGCCGTTAGGTTGTTTTTGGTGAGGTAAGAGATGGCAAGACGGGCGTTATTTCTCGAATCGCTCTTTCCGTGGTAGATGTTGTTCATAAAGAGCTCTTTTGTGAGTCCCTTTTGAATGAGCATGTTGCGGAGATCGACCAACTGAGGATTACGTGACAGATGGTTCAAGAACGAGAGTGATTGCTCCGTGTAGGCGTTGGAGCAACCAAAACAATTGTTGGAACTACGACTCTTGATCTCTTTGGAACGTGGTTTCTTGGCCAATACATTCATGTATTTGATAATCTCCATACGTGTATTCAATAGGATCTGTACACTCTTGCTGAGACTTTCAAAGATACTCTTGCACTCTTTTTCATAGAGACGTGCCAAATACCCAATCTTTCGGTTGATACGAAGCGATGGGATTGAATTTGGATTCGAAGCACTGGTGGTTGCACCGCCGGCGCCACTTGCGGCTGCGTTTGGTGGCGATGAAGCAGATGCAGCAACTGAAATGCCAAGTTGATTAAAGAGCTCTTCCTTGGGCCATGGTTCCTGTGTTTGATAGGATGTGATCAAGTTGCTAATGATTCTCTTGAAGCCAATCAAACGTTGATACTTTTTGTGAGCATTTTCAGACTCCTTGTCAATGGTTGAGATAGCGCGTTTGTGGTCGTCCTGGTTCTCGATCTTTTCAATCGACACTGTTGGTTTGCATGTAAACTGGTAGTCAAAGCGAGCGTGTTTGCAGAAACCACACTCGTTACAGAGGAAACCTTCGAGGTTCTCATAGTTGATGTTGCGACATTGCTTGCATTGGAAGGCATTCTCGTGGCAATGCTTGCAGATGCCATGCTTGTCAGTGACGGTTCTCGAACAGCGTGGGCATTGCAACTTTTCACTAGCAAGTACTTGGAGATTGTCGTGAAAGTCAAAATACTCGATCATAAAGTTGGTGGCGGCAATCGGGATTTGGAATCTGATGGTCTTTTCCGTTTGGTTTGGTGCAAAGTGGATTTGCTTTAACTTTTTCCACTGAGCAAACTTGCCCTTTAATTCACCAATATCCGATGTGGTCTTGTTGTTGTAAAAGAGGTTGATGGTCTTGATCATTCTGGCCTTTTTAGAATCGTGAATGTTGATTTGTAGTTTTTGAATGCTATAGACTCCATTAAACTTGATCAAATGACAACTATCGGTAAATTTGTACTCTTGTTTCAAACTATCAATGCGAACCGTTTGGAATTGTGTCTCTGGGTTATTGCATACAAGACATGGTTCAGATTCTAAATAATATCCATCCAATTCCAAAATAGATCCCAAACTTGTATAAATCTGTGAATTTGGATGATTATGTACACATTGATTTTGTAATTTAAATGATTCAATAAATTTATCAGCAAATTCTAAAAATAAATAAAAAAAATTAGTATATAATTAAATTATTTTTGTTTTGTTTTGTTTTTTCTTACCATTATATTGATCTTTCCATTTATTTGGATCAATACCATTAATTACATAAGTTAAAAGTTCCATAAATTCATTTGAATTTTTACCATAGGAAACGACTTGATCCAATTTACTCCACAAACATTTGTTAATGTGAACCTTTTGATCAATGTCTGATGCTTTCCAAAGATTATAAATAAAGTTACTAGTGTTTTGACGTAGGTCTGATGCATTTGGTTCCAATAATAAATTATTAATTAAAATATCCAATGAATCACCTTGCAAAAACATTGTAACCTTTTCTGAATCTTGCATAATTGTATCATTCTTTGTAGTAGAAGGTAAAGAAGACAAAGAAGAAGAAGAAGATGACGATTGTTCTTCAGTAACAAAAGCAAATGTCAATAATTCTAAAATTAATTGAGATGTTTCCTCTGGTAAAAAGAATAAATTATTAAATAATCCATTTAATATATCTAAAAATTAAATAAAAATAAATAACTATTAATTGATTTTCTTTTCTTTTTGTTTTTTTTTTCTATTTTCAATTTTACCATTATTTGTACAAAAATATTGCCAACTATGAGGTCTTGTTGAAGCAACTTCCAACATTGAAGATAAATAACCAATAAGTTTGATAAGATGATCATAATGAATATCATCAGTGAAACCATTGTATTGACGTTCGAGTGCTTGAATCTTTGAATATTTCTTTTTGAGAAGGAATTCATCACGAACGGCATAATAGGATTCTTTGGTGGTAGCAAGTAAGAGAAGCAATTTCTTTGGATACTTTACAAATTGAGTTGTCTTTTTAGAGTGAATGTACGAACAAGTGAGTGACATCCAATCAGCGGTTGGGGTGAACCAGTTGATGGATGGGTTGGCCTTTCGGTGGTGACGATCACATCTGTAGAAAGTGATGGCAAGTTTAAAGAGATGTTTAGTGATGGATTGTTGCAACGATTGGGGTGACGATGGGAGTGACTTTGAAAAGAATGGAGCAAATCTACTCTTGGGGAGTGATTGGTCTTCAGAGTGACTACTAATCAACAATGCACCAAATGGACTTGACATGGCGTTGGTCTCTGGACTATTATAATTGACTTGACTAGAAATGACTTGGTACAAATGGTCCAACCAATATCTAAGAACCTTGTCCATAAATCCTTGTGATTCCATGTTTTCACTGATTGCATAGATTGAAGTTTGTGGTAATACCAATTGATTGACATTGATAACAGAACTGTTCGATGATGATGATGATGGTTTGTTTGAAGATTTAGAATGTTGTTGTTTATGAATATCGGTATCCAATAATAATGATAATAGGATAATAATGACAGAGTCACCTTCTAAAGACAATGATTTACCAGTGAGATACTTTTCAAAGTTTGAATGGGATTCTGTCAATTGCTTCATGATGAGTGTTGAGAATCTGGTAAATGTATCGGCCTTTAGATCGGTTCCAATGTGAACAAAGAGTGTGTATACTACTTGGGCATATGGTAATGCATAGTTGAAACCCTTGTCCAACACTGCAAACAACTCGTCCAACAAGAATCTAAACATATTGTCAAATGGATCCTCTTCATTGACTAGTTTTTGGTCTGGGTGTTGAGAGGCATCCAAACTCATTGCAATTGCTGCATTTAGATCTTCATCAAAGGTACCTTCTTGTAAAGAAGGCTCTGCGACTTGTTTGTTGCTGCTACTGTCGTCGGTCATTGTCTCGTCTAATAGGTATTCCTTGATAAGATGATCTTGTGGGTGCTCTTTGGTGGCTGTAATTTTGAGGTAACAGTCACTACAAAGATCAAAATCTCCACATACTTCACAATGATATCTCTTTTGTTGGATTGGATAAACCGAGCATTTATCACATGAAAAGTGTACTTCATCAATTAGATCGGCTGCTGTAGCTGTAGCTGATGTAGTCGTCGCAACAACAGATGATTTAGCTGGGACGATAGGTTTGATAGAAGATTTCAAATTTGATTTTGAAATTAAAGAGACCAATGCAATAGAGGAACGAACACGAATCGATTCTTGTGGATGAGACAATAGGTTTTTGACAAGACCGAGGATGTAATCACTAGAGAATGCACGACTAGTGAGACAATTCCAAAGCAAATGGGTGAGGTTTGTGATGACTTCCTCAGAGACTAGGCTGCCGTTTAGACCGCTTCCACCACTGGTAGCTTGACGATGCACATTGATCAGGTCGGCAAGGAACGTTGGTTTGGTGGAAAAGATTTGTGTGGTCAAGTTGTTGGGACGAGTGCAACTAATCTTTTTGAGAATGAGAATGATGTGCTCGAGATTCTCGGCAAAGTCACCGGTTGAAACACCGCCGACCATCTTTGAGATGGTTTCAGAGCAGTGGTTGAGTAGAGTAGAGTGACGCAGTGAGAGATACTCTTCTTCGTTGGGCAAGAGTATCTTGAGAAGATCCTTGACGATGGGGTGGAGGAACGATAGTTGTGGGTCAGTCATAAACGATGCCAACTGTTTGGTTGTCTTTTCCTTGAGTGATTTGTACACTGCATTGTCGCGAGTTGCCTCGTCACTGCAATTGACAAAGTACAATCCAAGACAAGAAAGAGTGCGAAGCAACACCATTTCCGTTGTGTTGAGTGAATCGATTGAATTGGCGGCACTCGACTTTGATCCGAGTTCAACTGCTTCATCATATCCAATCACATCCTTGGGAGTACCATATACTTCGATCGAGTCAATGATGGGCGAGTTGCTGGCGTTTGGTCCTACAAACAAGGTGAGTTTCTTGGCCGACTTTATAGCCTCCTCGTTTGTAAGTGGAATGTCGTACCAACGACGCATACCATCTGTACACGTGATCGTACGATCAAATACACGCAACTCTGATGGAACGTGCTTGGTCGAAGCATTTCCAACCAACACACCAATACCACAAATCACAACCTCTGGGTTATTATTGTAGATAATGATGGTCATGGTATCTTGTCCCTGACAAACTACATATTCATCAGTGTTTGATAATCTCTGCTTGATGACATCTTGTGAGTAGGATTGTAATGGATCACCTCCAAACTTGATATTCTTTGTTATACAATCAACCTTTTCAAAATAATCTATTGGGAATGAAACTATTGGTTTCTTTTGAACTGAAGTAGAAGGAGATGTAGGAACGGCTGCAGTGGTTGTCGTAGTAGCAACATTTTTGGCTGGTTCATCTGATGATTTGATTTGTTTTTGTTTTGAAATGATTGATAAAATGTCAATACCTGAACCACTAGATAGTTGTGAACCACCGATTGCATTTTGTGGCGATGATGCAGAAGAGATTGATGATGACAATGTCAATGGAGAGTCTATGGTATAGTCATATCTAGTGAGTGTTCCATCCTCAAAGAGAACAAGCATCTTGGGAGACGCCTTGTTTACCCATGTCATACCATCGACCTTGGACGACATCTTGATAGCTTGTACGTGCATTTCGGCAGTCGAAGTCATCTTGAGTGACACCATAAATCCGCCACGAGCAGCCAGAGCAGTGACCACTGTTGGATAGGCAGGTGCCAATGTCATAAAGTAGCATGATGGCATGGCAACCTTGAGGTTGACGTCTTGAATGGTGACTGCCGTGACGACTGTGGTGGCAGAATCATCCAAATTAACCATATAAGCTTCGCCATTGGTAAAAGTGACAAATATACCTGGTATGTCGGGAGCGCTAAAGAGACAGACACCTGGTGACTGCTTGACAATCGGCAACTGAACCGTTTCAATCATGATACACGATTCATCGTCGATGGAAGGTTGAATGGGTTGACTATACAGCATACCCGACTCTGCAAGTGCCAAAAGATGCAACTGAGCACCCTTTTTGATGATGGCAGTGTCACGGATAGAGTCTTCAACAAGTGTGTAAAAGTGGGTTGGTGACAAGTTGTCAGTGGACAAGTCATAGATCTTGACAAATTCGTTTGTAGCAACTGCCAACTCTACTTGTGATCCAACCACCCAATCAACCTTGATGATATAGATGTTTTCACCAATTGAATAGAGTGAAAGGTCAATGACCAATTGATCAACGATTTCATCCTTGTTGTTGATAGTCAAAATCTTGCATTCTCTAGCACCTACGACAGCTAGGAAATTGTCATTGGTTGGATTAAACACCATACTCATGACTGGGAAACCAATGGCAGACTTTGACAATGTCTTGAGTGCAGCTCTGTCGACTGTGTTGGCTTCTTCATCTACCAACTTGGCAACATTGACAAGAGACACATTCTCGCCCTCGGCAACGGCAACCACACCACGTGAATTGGATGCCAATGCACGTTTTTGGATCAAACCGGCATTGACAAGATTCTTGAGTTGGCTACCCTCGCTTCCACCTTCATACTTGGTCTTGGAATCAAATACACCTGCCTTTGTTGATTTTTTTGGTACAACCAAGTCGGTGCGGACCACCAATTCCTTCTTTGGTACGGCATAGACATCGACAGTATTGATATTGGTTGGAGTAACTGCCTTTTCACTTGATGATTTGAGTGCTTGAACCAACTTGGGGTACAATTCAGCAATCTTTTCAATGACTGGTACCTTTTGTTCTGTAATCTCTTCAATTATCTTTTTCTTTTCTTCTTGACTTAATTCTCCATCAAAAATTGATGAAGGTGAAGAAGAGGAAGAAGAAGTAACAACAGAAGGTGAGACTATAGCAGTAGTAGTAGCAGGAGAAGTGGCGGCAACAACTGGTTGACTGATTGGAACAGAAGATGGTTGTTCTGCTGTTGCTGGCTTTTTCTTTTCAGGTTGGTAAACACGTGGTTTGAGAGCTTTACATGGACCACCTTTACCAGCACCAGCACCACAATCACAAAAGAATCTACTGAATCTGCTATAACTGACGACATGGCCTTTGTGACAAACCTTGACACAAGTCGAGCAACATCCCTCTGATGTCTTTAGATTGCAAGTGTAACAAAAGTACCAATGTTGATCCATATAATCATTCTTTGTCTGAGAGTAGGTGCAAAGCTTGCTAGCAAGTTTACGAGCTTCATCTTCTTCATTATCAGCTTGATCGGCACCACTACCACTTGATTCACTGTTGGATGCCTTCCACTTTGAATCTTCGTCATCATCTACCTCTTCTTCATCATCTAAAAGTAAATTGTTACCAACATCTCCCATCTCTTGATCAGTTGTTTGTTTTTGATCACTATTTGCACTAGTATGATGACAATGGTGATGTTGTTGTTCGGTTTTGGTGTCCATTGAATCTTCGTCGAGGTCACCTCTAAGAATCTTTAAAATGTTTTCAATAAATTCTACAATCAAGTTGAGTGACTCTAGTTGAGATGGAGTTGGGTTGACAAGAACGTTGGCAGAGAGGTGAGAAACTTGTTCAAACAAATCGACTAGTTTGTGTTGTTTCATTGCAACGTATTGTAACAATCCAAAGTATCCTTTGAGTAGTGATGGGTAGTCTATCCAATCGGTAAATGCAGATTCAAAGCATCCAAGGAGAATATTGTAAATCAATGGACTAATATTCTCAACCTTTTCTTCCCAATCGATTAATGATGCAGCAGCAGCTGAAACATTTCCAACGGCTGGTGATGATGATGCAGGTGGAGATACAAAGGCAGTCTTTTTGGCCCATGCCTTTTTCTTTTTGAGACGTTCATTTTCCTCCTCTTCTTCATCGCTTGACGAGTCTGATGATGTTGAGCTAGGTGAGGCTGCCGACTCTTTGGGTTGTTTGTCGTTGCTACCTGGTTGTTCCTTGGTGTAACCAGCCAATTCGTTACTTCCAGTCAAGATACCGATAAATTTGACAATCAATTCTTGAATCTCGATGGTTGATGGAACCAATTTCTGCTTGACATCAACTTGCATGGCATCAGAAGATGAAGCAGCAGCAGCGGAATCATCTTGCTTGACATAACCCAACAATTTCTCTTGGAACCATTTTGACAATTGTTCTTGTGGAATGTCTTTGAGGATGGAACGAATGGCAAACGATCTGAGTGACTCGAGTTTCGCTCCACCGCCAACAATACTTTGTTGTGGTACTGGCAATGACATGATTTGGATCAATACACCAAGTGATTTCTTGTCAACCTTTTCACTTTCAATGGTAAAGTTTAACAACTGACTAATGTCACCTTGTGGCAACTCTACTCTAAACTTGTCACCCATGGGAGACACCAACTTGCGGTAAGCTGGGATATAGTGACAATAAAAGTAGGATGGATAACTCTTGGTGATGACTGTCATGTGATCGAGATGGTAGTTGATGATACGTTCAGTGACGGGCGCTGAACGAACCTCTAAACTCTGCTTGGAGAGTAATTGACAAACACGTTCAAACGAAGAGATTTGTGACATGCTAACAATATACAACAAGCTTTGTGAATCGATATCCAAGTATTGACTCTCCTTGCTAAAGAGTAGCAATTGGTCTGTTGAAATATCGGCACGTGTATATGATAATTCCAAACGATAAGATTCAACCAATTTCTTGTCTTCTTGATTACTATCAATAATCATTGGGGAATCTACAACTGTTGTTGAAGCTGTTGTTGTAGTAGCTGTAGTTGTAGCAGATCCACTACTTTCCTTGTTACTATCATCCATTTTTGTGATTAGATCAGACAATTCAGACAATGATCTCAACAACATTTGGTTGGAGAGTACTGTAAGAGTCTTGTCAGAGTAGATGAGAGCTGGATGTAAGATCCAACTCATTGAACATCTCTGGTGTTTTGGAATGGATGTCAAGTCGATCTTGACTTCAACACCCCAATACTTTTCTATTGCGTCACGGTCTTCTTTGGATACACCCAACAAATCGATCAACTGCATGGCATCTGACTTTTCACTGACGTGTGAAAAGACTTCTCTAGCCAATAGGATCTTGTCATTCTCCATTACCGATGGAGTCTTTATCAATGAAAGCAATTCATTTTCATAGAGTGATTTAACAGACTTTATGACACTGACTATAGATGGATATAAAATGGGCAACATATCCAATAAAGCTTGTTTGTTGATACCAGCCAATCCAGATTCCTTGTTTTCTTGTTGTGAAGATGATGCAGATGAAGGATTTCCTTCATCCTTTTCCTTTTCATCTGAATCTGAAGAATCCATTCCATCTGAATTGTCTTCATTATCTGATGAATCATCTTCTTCATCATCGTCATCATCAAACAATGATTCCCAACCTTCCATATAATCGGAACCTGATTCTCCAAGTGCATTCTTTGACGAAGATGAAGAACTTGATTGTTGTTGTTGTTGATCAAATATAACAATCAAATATGATAATATACTTTGTAATAAACTATTTAATCTAATATTATTATTATTATTAGATTGTAATAATTTTATAATCTAAAAAAAAAAAGAAATAGAAAAATTAATATTAAATTTATCGAGTGTTGTCTTTTTTCTTTATACAAACATTATTTGTATGAATATTCCAAGGTATATCAATTAAACTATCCTTATTTGTTTCATGATGAACCAATATTGAATGTAAATAAGTCAAATAAATAATTGTTTCATTTGATATCTAAATAAATAAATAAAAAAAAGAAGAGGTTAATATTATATATTTCTTTTTTGTTTTTTGTTTTTTCTTTTTTTTCTAATTTACATTAATAAATAAAGAAGGATCTTTAATCATTTGAATAAATGAATTTGAAGGAGGAAGTGAACGTAATAGAGAACAAGCAGAGGTAATTATATAATCGAAAAGGAGTGATTCTATAGGTTGACCTTGCGATTCTATTTTCATAATACATAATGATACAACATCTCTATAAAAGTCTTGATAGACAACTGAGCAACGGTTGAATAAATCGGTACATTGTTGAAGATGTGAAGTAGAAAATGATGACAATCCTCCACTACTTGTACTATTGAAATTGAATTCATAGAATACTGGGATGGAAGATAATGTCGATGACGATGACGATTGTTTGATCTGATCGATAATATGTTTATAGTTGACTGTTACAAGTGACAATGGTAAATCTTTGGTTGAATTGGTTTGATTCAATGTCAACACTGATTCATAAAATAATTTACTAATTTTTGTTTCCATTTTATCAAAATTAAATATTATATCTATAAAAATAAAAAAAAAGAGAAAAATTAATATATATTATATTATTATTATTTTCTTTTTCTTCTTTTTTTTCTTACAATTAAAGATAAATAAAAATCTAGAGAAAATTAAAGAATTTGGAAGATAGGATTGATCAGATTTTCTCTTTTCAATAATTTGATGAATGATATCTACAGATTTTTGCAAGATTGCCAATCTATTTTGTTCATTCAAACTATGGAATGAAAACAATAAAAAGGTAATGTATTCAAAACCAATGATCATTTCCTTTGGCACACTGACAAATTGATTATTTTGTACATTGTTGAAATAAATAAATCTTTCCCACAATGTCATTATAATTTTGTCATCAGAAGCAGTTGTGGTAGTATTGGTGGAGGATGTTAATTTTAATTGTTGACGCTTTACAAATATCCAACCTAATAATGACAATAATTCACGTGGTGGTGATATTGATCCAATAGCCAATGCTTCTACCTCTGTTGTAGTCTTTTTTTCCTTTTCTTGATCTATTGTACGATTACATAAATCAAAAATGGAATCTATCCATTTCTCTTGTAATGGGACGGACAAGACATCCAAAGATTTGATAATGTTGAGGTTGATGGAACGCAAGATATTGGCGATGGCTTGGGATTGGATGTATGGAGAGTAGGAACTTCCATGTGGTGACTGGTAGAGAAGGATGGTCGACAAGACTTGCAAATGTACATCGTTGAGGAATGAAAAAAGTTTGGATACTACAGCCGGTTTGGCAAAGGTTACGTTTACAAAATTGATAAATGATTGATAACTACCTTCCAATTGAATATCAAATTCATTTGTATTAGAGGTGGTAGCTGTTGTTGTTGTTGTTGTAGATGTTGGAGGAGCTGTGGTTGACATGCCAAGAGAAGGACCAGATTCAAACAATGATCCAAACATTGATATTCCTTCATCTGATGATTCATTAAGTGATGCAGCTGTAGCCTTGGTCGGAGCAACTGGTACAGAAGTAGAGGATCCACCCGATTTAATGGGCGTAGTAAAAGGAGTAGAAGTAGTGGACGATGGTGAGTCAGTCACTGACAAGGCAGAATGTTGAGAATCCTTCAACTTGAAATAGGAAATATAAAGAATTGAAAGAATATTGTCCAAGAGTCGAGGTGTAATAAACATAGAGGTCAACTCGGCAGCAGTGTACTGCTTGGGTGAGAGATAGTCAAACCAAATGAGTTGCTTATCCAATGCCGAAACGTGAAGGAATTTAGTGTGTGGCTTGGCACTGCCAAAGGTCGATGGCAGATCGCTAATCATAATTGGTGATATCACCCTGTTGATACTTCCAGAATCTGAAATATTATTCATTGATTCTAATCGATCAAAAATCAATGATATGGCCAATATCACCAATTGTGGACTCCAAGTAATATAATCCTTTTCAACTAAACTATCCTTTACCATTATATCTTGAATTTTAATATTCATTTTTTCAATATCATTTAAAATACAAAGTGAAAAGAATATCTAAATAAAAAAAATTAAAATTAATTCTATTTTCTTTTTTGTTTTTTTCTATTTTTTAGTTTACATACTTCAGCTTTAATTTGAAGATCAGGACAATTTAATTTTGTACCCAAAACTTGAAATAAATTTTCAAATACTTGACTTGATAATAATTTTGATTTAATAAGAGGTGATGGAACGGTTGTTTTGGCAGTCGACTGCTGCTGTTCTCCTCCACCATCTTGTAGTTTTTGTTCGGTTTCTTTTTGTTGTTCATAAACAGACAATGCTTTAAGATTATAAGCTTGATATGATCTAAAAGTACCAATTAATCGAGCAATAAAGTCGATTGTCCATGGAATCGATGCAGCATCAAGTTGTTCAAAACCTTCGGAAAATAGAATATCCTGAACGTTGCTTAGAAAGTTGTAGATTAAATTCTCTCTTGCAAGGAATGATTCAAATTTTTCGGAAACCTCCATCTCGGTTTGGTAGGCCGGAAGGAGCTTGGAGCAAATGGCCAACAACCGAGAGGCGCCTCTTAGGTTCTTATTAAAGTAGGTAGTATTGCTCTTTAGAATCTCTTCGTTTAATTGATCGTGATCAAGGATCAATGAAGATGATATATTTACAGCACCACCACTATCAACAACAGAAGATGATGATATCAATGGTGTTGATTCCTTTCCAATACCATTATTTAAAAATTGATTAAATAATTCTATTGTTGATGAAGTAGGTAAAGGAGAAGGGGATGATGTAGTAGAAACAACAACAGCTTCAGTTACAATTGTTGGTTTACTTTCACTTGTTGATTCTTTAGACTCTGTGACACCAACAAAACGATCTAAATTGGTGACATTGAGGAATGATGGGATCTTGTCCAACTGTGACTTGTCGATAGAGGTGGATGGGAATTCTATGCAACAAAGCATATCAATGATGGATAATAAAATCAATGGTGTTGATAACTTGATGGTGATAGTGGTCGCCGTTGCCGTTCCAGTTGAAGAGGTCATATTCGTCGACGATCCAACCAAATTACCATCAATATCCAACTCGTTCTCACTCCATCTCTCAAGTGTCGATAAACAAAACTCTACAGTCACCTTGCTAAATGAATAAATCTTTTGAACATCCATATCTAAAAAGAATAAAAAAGAAAATTAAAAAGAAAATAAAAGAAAAGAAAAAGTTAGGAATCTAAAGTTATCTAATATAAATATATATTCTACTCTTACCCCCATATTTTCCATCGATAATAAGGAAAGATATCAATTCCAAAACCTTGGTTACATAATGAATATGTTGTGGAAGTAAAACAAGATCTTTGAGTACACAAAGAAGTGGAGTCAAGTTGCCAATCTTGTCATTCTTTAGTTGACCAACCAATTCAACAAAGTAATCATAGATTCTATCTTTTTGTGAATCGCTAGCGATCTGTGGTGGAGGATCATCATTATTTTCCTTGTTGTTGTTGTTATCATTTGGATTATTTTCATCATCCTCTTGATCATCATTTTTTGTTGATTCCTAGAAAGAGAGAGAATGAGAAAGAGAAAGAAAGAGTTAGAACTATCTCTCTCTCTGTATATATAACATATACTAATCTTTATGATTGATTGATAACATACATCTCCACCTTTACCAAGTACCATTAAACTCTCAGAGAGAGCAATAGCTAATAAAAGGTCTGGATCAACATCACTCATTATTCAATTATGTTTGTATAATATATGTGATAATGAAGATGATTGATTTAAACTAACTAATGTATATTAGATATAATATATGAATGAATGTATGTACTTTCAAATCTTTTTCTCAATTTTTAATATATTGAGACTGACTAAAATAATATAGTAAGCTAAAGTGTAGTATACTTTTAATAATAATAATAATAAATGTGATGATGATTTATAGTTAAATATATATCTATCTATATATATAAAACTATCTATCTAATCTATCTCTTTCTAAGTAAATATCTTTTGAGGTAATGAATGAAGAGAGTGACCTTTGAAACTTTTAATTTTATTTTGAAAACTCCCTTTTTTGTGCAACAATTTTAATAAAAAATGAAATGACAAGGAAACAACAATGCTTCTCTTGGTTATTGGTTTGATTTTTTAGGTGTTGTGCTAGTAGCATCCAAGATTTGGGAGAATCTATCTTTTAAGAATTGTTTCACTTTGCCAATGTCTTCAAGTGTCAATGTTTGAACAAGACATTCAATCGATTTTAATATAAAATGATGTTCATCTTTAATAACACTAGTTGTTGACAATAAATTTGAATCATTATTATTATTATTATTGGAAACTGGTAAATGAGTACGAGGAAGAGGAGGAGAAGGAGAAGAAACAAGAGGTGGTGATGATGGTTGTTGTTGATGTCTTGTAGTAGTTATAGGAGCAGGAGCAGGAGGTGGTGGAGCAATTGCTTTTTTGGTTGTTAATAATTTAGAGTTGGTTGTTTTGGGTGGTGCCGAGGTAAGAGGTGGTGAAGAAGGTGAAGCTGTGGCTGTAGTTGATGATACTCTTTTGCTGACAGTTGATGGAGATACAGCAGCAGCACTTGAAAATGTCTTTTTACTAATCTGGACAGAGTCTTTTGGATTTGTCACTGGAACAGGTACAGGTTTAGGTGCTGCTGTTCTAGAAATATTTTGTATTGGAGAGGACGATGTAGTCGTAGTAGTAGTAGATGTTGTTGTTACTCTTCTTGCACTGTTTGTTTTACTCAGTACTTTTTCCAAAACTGGTGATCTTGGTTGTACAATGACTACTGCTGGTTGTTCTACTTCTTGGGATGGTACCAAATGATCATCTTTAATATCAGGTGATTGTTGTTGTTGTTGTTGTTGTTGTTGTTGTTGTTGTTGTTGTTGTTGTTGTTGTTGTTGGACAGGAATTTGATCTACAACAGCCTCAATCAATGGTGATTGTAGATGTATTGCTGGTAATTGTTGTTGTCTTGATGGAGGTCTGGTGAGAATATTTAGAGGTGGCGATGATTGTTGTCTCGATGAAGGTCTTGTTAGAATATTTAGAGGAGGTGATGATTGTCTTGATAATGGACGTTCTTGTTGTTGATCAGGCGACAGAGCCACCAACAATGGTGATTTATTTGGAGATGAAGGAGGAGTTGAATTAAATACCATTGGTTTAACGCCAAAATCAATCGGTACTCTCATTGCTGGAGTGACAACTAGAATAGTATAGGAATAGGATAGAATTGATTAGTCACGTGACGACATACAGGTTATTATTATTATTATTGACTATCATACTTTTGAAATTAAACAACTTTAGTAGAGGTATACTTTGGAGGATGATCTCATCAGGTGCACCATAGATGCAAGGTGGTTGACTATCATATCCAATATTGGCATCCAACAAACAAAGATGTTCAATGTTTGGTAGGGATTTGATCTCTTCAATGATACTCTTGAATACGTCAGGTGTGTCAAACTTGACCTTTCGCAAGTACAACTCTTTCAGTTGTGTACAGTGTGATAGCGGTACATGATAATCAAATCGGTTATTACTTAGTATCATCGATTTGACATTAACCAATTGAGGAAATACTACTTGAACCTTTTTTCATAATATTAATAATAGTAATGATAAATCGATTTAGTATTAGTAAAGTTGAAGTGCACTCTAGAGCTAGGTACATACAAATTCCTTTAACTTGCAATAATCATAGTCATTCAACTCTACATTAACTATATTTTCAAAGCTTATAGCTGGACCTTGTAGCTTGAGGAACTCTTGCTCCACTGTTGTAAACACCTTGGTAGTAGGTTGGTTAGGGTTATTATTATTATTATCTCTTTGATCAGCCATTGCTGTTAGTTAATGATTACTACTATTATGTCATCATGTATCATGGTTGGTGTTATCTTTCCTTTACAATTTTATGAGTTTGCACCTCAGATTGTAAAGGGAATAACTTGAAGCGTAACATAAAATCGATTGTATGACATAATAATAATAATACAACAAGTTATTATGATTGAATAATGAACATCACCCCACCCTCCTATTCCCAAAATATCAAATTATTATTCTATTTATATTATTTATATTGAATTCATATCACACAAAGTACTACATGTTAGGAGAACGAGATATACATCCCATCTATTATTATTATTATTATTATTATTGATCAATCATTGAACTCATTCATACTAATTAATTAATATTATTTTACAACAAACAAACAATGGTAACTATTGATTGTTCAATAAATATAAATATTATTTTATTAATATTATTTAATTTTTGTTTATATTTTAATTTTGATATTAATATTAATATTATTAGGATAGTAATAAATATGATTCGGTTGTTTTAAAGGTATTACTTAAGAAAAATGAGGATTGTTTTGAAACATTGGTAAATAATAATAAAAAATTGGTAAGAGCATTTGAGCAACTTAAAGAACAAATGACCATTGAGAAACAACAACTAGAACAACAATTAAAATCACAAGAAGAATATTATATAAATGAAATAGAAACACACAAACTTTTAATTATAGAATTACTACAACTACAAAAACAACAAAAATTGCAAACAAACAATGATTACTATGAAACAAAGGAATTATTCAATGCGTTCTTTAATAGACATGCTGCCTATCATGATGATGATGGTGATGGTGATGGTGATGATGAATCTGATGTAGGCACAACAACAGATGTAAAAAAGAGGAAATTTGAAGAATACCCTTCCAAACCACAACCACAATTATCAACTATAAATATATATAAAACAGAATCACCAAACAAAACCAATCCTGTATCAAAGAACCAATCTCAAACCACAACAACAACTACGACTACAACATCTACATTCCGTCCAACCAAAATGCCTATTCAATGTAACCATAGATGTGATTCTGAAAGCTATGCTTTTATTCCTTGTGGTCACCAAGCATGTTGTGAAGATTGTTTCAAGAAACAAGCTATTTCTCATTGTCCAACTTGTTATCACAGAGTATCTGGTACATTTTTGGCTTTTGATGATGATGATGATGAATAGAAAGTGATGAAATAAATAAATTGTTAAATTTCCAAACTTGAAATTATCATATTCCCTAAATGGTGATAGTGTTTGCTGGCAATTGGATTAGTTCTCTAGTATCGAATAAATGTTGAAATGGTACAATTAATAAATAAAAAAATAAATAAAAGAAGTGGATATTGGATAGTTTTAGTGATAATCAATAATTAATGATTAAGATAGGATTGATTTTAAAAAAATGTATTTATTTTTTTAAAATGGATGGACAGTTGGTTTTTTCCTTTGCAAAGATCTTTAAAGGAAATAAAGTTTGAGGGACAAATCACCAGCAACATTGGAGTGTACATGGCGACCAATTAAGAATGCCAACTTGTGAGCATACTGGGTTACACAGGGAACGCGAACGGATCCATCATAATTATAATACCTGGTTTATGGTTATAGTTAGTATAGTATTTAATAAATAATAAAAGAAAACAAAAAAAAAAAAATTAATATCAAAAATATATTTGATTTAATTCCTCCATCTTGACTAATAATAACTTACATCTAGAAAGGATTATGTATGTATATGTATATGTATATGTATATGTATATGTATATGTATATGTATATGTATATGTATATGTATATGTATATGTATATGTATATGTATATGTATATGTATATGTATATGTTTAAAAAAAAAAGTTAATTATTTACGTTGACCCATGACCTGGTTATAAATTGTTATTACTTACAAAACATAATTTGTATGTATATAATTGGAACAAGTCTGCTGGAATATCAGTTTCATCTACAATCACATGGTAGTGAGTTGGATTGACTGATCCCTTGTTGATGGCACGTTGAGAGACGAGATAGAAATCGTACCAGTTGGTGTGGGTGCAACCCTTGTCGATGATTGTACCAGGAGCAGGGTTACCATAGTGGTTGCCAAGATCAAAGAAACGGGTGTTGGTGTTCTTTTTAACAACACAATACATGAGTTTGGGTTTGATACCCCAGATGGAAGGAGCTTCAGCAAAGGCCTCCTTGATGGCGGCTACTTCAAACTTTCTAACGAGACCGAGCATACCATCACCGACACCATCACGATAGACAATGACAACTTCGGGGAGCGTGTTGTTCTTTTCATGGTAAGCCTTGAGTGCTGAAAGCATGGAGGGTTTCAGAGACTCTACAATCTCCTTGCCTGGTCTACTTTGACAGATAGCTGTGGTATGGAACTGAGTGTAGTGGTCATCGATTGAACTGACAAAACCAACTACAGACTTTCCACGTTGATCAGAGTTGTGACCAACATCAATACCAACTACCATGGTCTTCTTTGGCATACCGGTAGCTATGGTTTGTTTGAGATACCATGGACTGCGACCAAGCTTGGCAATGACTTGATGAGTGATCTTGGTGGCAACAGACATACCATCCTTTTCGAGTGTACGGATAAAGGCACATTGAGTGATCATCTTGAGTCTGAGCAAAGACTCTTTCTTGATGGCATCATAAATGTCGGTTCTGTTGGCAGGAATGACAATCATGATAAATAGGTAACCCTTTCCAGCAAGCTTTCCAAGATCTTTGATCCAGCTTTCAGGACGGAGTGGGTGACCAGAGACAGTGACCTGGTCGGGTTGAGAGAGCTCGGTCATCTTTACAAACTTGCTGGCAAAAGTCACGGCAGCTTGCATGTCACGGTCGCCAGCCAAGAGTGCCCACTTTCCACCCTTTAAGACTTTGATGGTTTGGACAGTCTCGGGGTCTGGAAGTTTGTATCCATCGACTGGCATGGCATTACCAATGTTGAACCCCCATTCTTGAATGGTAGTGGCAACCTTTGGATTGGTTCTAAGGTCTTGAACAAATCCTGAAAGGGTACGGAGACGTTGTTCAGGAGTGATGATGGTGTGATTAGAGAGATCCATCATGATCTTGCGATTAGACGTGATCTCTTCTGACATTCCTGTGAGGAAACTCAACTCTGGAACAATATAGATACGTTCCAAAACACCACGATGTTTGACATCACAACCAATAAGTGGTTGGTTGGTGTCAGTGATCTTGAAATTTGGATACTGTTTACGATAGTAATCCAAATAGGTGATCTTGCCACCAGAAAAACTGTCAAAAGATTCCTTGACTGTCTTTTTGAAATCTACAAGCGAGACTCTGTACGTCTTGTTGTTGTACTTGGTGATGATGATACTACCAGCAAGCTTGTTGTTGATATCAGTGTCATTGACACGGTTGGCTCTTTGCTCCTTGATGAAATCCCACAAGTGTTGAGTTCTAACAATCTTGTGAGCTACATCTGCCAACAATGAGGTACCAACTGCAATGTGATTAACAGACGTAAAGAAGCCTGGCCATACTTCAAGGTTATGTGTTGGGATTTGATGAATCTTACTACTATTAAAGTATTGTCTACCAATAATAGAGAATCCCATATCCCTCATAAACTAAAGAAAGAGGAAAAATGAATTAATTAATTTGAAATGAGACAATATATAATAGAATAGTGGTGTCAATCTTACACGTTTGAACAAAATATTGTAAAAGTGAACTGCAGAAGGATCAGTTTGAACGATTTCTTTTACAAATTGGAGTGATACTCTAACACCAGTTTTGGTAGAGTAGGTAGTGGTTGGTTTCTCTTTGGTGGAATAGAGAACACCTACACCATCATACATGAACAAACCAATCTCAGCCTTGAACGAGGTAAGGATATCCCACTTGGTGGTACGGTTGTCAACGTGGGGTTGGAAATCAACAGCATACTGGAATAACTTATTTTGACTAAACTTTAGCTGGAATTGGTTGACGGCGAGTTTGGTGATAGAACCAGATCTGGCAGCAATGTTCTTTCTTTGTGCGAGATCAGTAACATCAATATCTGCTTCTCTTCTTCTTCCTTGTCTTTCGGCACCTGGAGTGACAATGGTACCTGATGTTGACGATGATGATGATGACGAGGCGGCAGCAGCAGTACTAGTAGTACTAGTAGTACTAGTGGTACTAGTAGTAGTAGTAGGTTGAGCTACTGGTTGCTTGGGTGCAGGGGCAGTAGCGGCGGGGGTAGATGATGGTTGGACGGATAAACCGGGTGGTTTTCCCCAAGCACCAGCAGGTGGTTTCCCCCAAGCACTTGGACTTGGAGCGGCTGGTTGTTGGACAGGAGCCTGAACTTGACTTGGAGCGGCGGCTGGTTTGCTTGGTGGGACTACAACAGGTGGGGCTACGGCAGCTGGTTGTTGAACAGGAGCTTGGCCTTGTTGTTGTTGTTGTTGTGGTTGTTGTCCTCCTTTTCCTCCTCTTCCTCCTTTACCTCCTCTTCCTCCTTTTTTACCTCCTCTTTCGCTCATTGTTGTTTACAGAAAGTTGATTAATTGTGGGTTGACAAGTAATTAATATTGATTGATGTTGTTTGGGGATATATATACAAATGTGATGTTATTTGTTGACAAGCTGCTAATAAAAGAAAATAAACTAAAACAGATATAGAATCTAAATCTCCTTTATTTTATATCGGGTACTAACTGCGAGGATTGACAATCGATAACAACTGTTGAAAGATATGAAAAAAATAATATAGGTAAAAATTATCTATAGATAATTGGGTAACTAGAATAATAGTTGTAACATCTCTTATCACTCAGGGTAGAGTGTGAGAGGGAGCACCAATATCAAAAAATTAAATTAAAAATTTAATTTTGGTGAAATCTCACCTGAACTTCTTTGCCAACCCTTTTGGTTGTTCATTTTTTGGTGATAAATGGATAGACAGAGATAATTTTTGTATTTTATTATAATCGAGATACTCGTTTGTTTTTATTTATACACCTTTTTCTATAACCATTATTTTTTTTTTCTTCATTGAAATGTCTCATTTGATGATAATACATGTATCATTCTCTTATCAATCCAATCATATCATTGTTTTAGGGTTTTTTCTTTTAAATCGGAGAGATGATTGAATAGGTGAAAATAGTTGGGCCGAGATATTTGAGGTGGGGGTTAAATTTTGTCAATTCGATAAGATTGGTTGGTCTAGAGAACTTTCTACTTCCAGTGGTCATGTTGGCATTGTTCAACATGCTCTTGATTCTCTCTATGTTATTCAGGAATCTGTAGGTGCTACTCTACTTGAAATGAATATCCAAGTGTGCGTGACCCTCTGGTGGGCCATGAATGCATATATATGTTTCAGTGGTATAAATATATAGTGTGCCTAATTATATCTGTACTATTATATCAATATGAATATAATAATGAAAGTTTAGTGTGTGACTGCCTCTCCCATTAATATAGATTTATGTTTTATTATAAAAATATTTCATAACCGTTGCAGATCTTCCTCTATAACACTCTATCTCTTTTCATCCAGTAGACATCGTTACTTACTTTTCAAGCACACTATTACAGAAATACAAATATCAAAAATTGGGGCCCAGCATTTTTTTTTTAAGCATCTCATTTCGTGGCATCCACCTGTAGGGTGGAGCACTACTCTTTCGATTGCGAAGTTTTATTGATTGAAGTCTTTGTTTGACCAGCAATGGGAACTGAGTTTCCAAAGAAGAAACAAGTCCAATCTGTTTTTTGGGGTGCCAAATGTCTGTTCTATTTCCATCCAAGCAAAAATGGCAAGTCTTGGTGGGAGCTATTAGTTCTATTTGTTCATCAATACGACGGGAAGCTTCTTTACCTGTTGAATCGAGGGGGGCTGAACGGTTCTGTGAGTTACAATCCATAGTTCTTTTGTCAGATTAGTGACCAGATCGTGACTGTTGGAGGGAGTGCCCAGTGTCACCATCCATATGTATGTGTGTGTCGAGTAATGGTTGGTGGTTGTGTCTACACCATGATTATCTATCTTATATCGTTCTGTTGTTCGTATTGTTATGTTGTTGATTGATGTTTTGATGGGATGTTGATGATGTTCATTTCCAATTGTAATAGTAATGTGAATACTGTTTTCAAACTGTATTGACTTGTTGTAATGATAATTAAATTCCACCTATTAATTATAATTCCTATTGTTTCGATACTGTTTTACATATTGTATTGTGTTGATTAGAGAAGGAGATGGAGGAAGGAGCGAGAGATTTTTTTTTGGTTTTTTTTTTCCTGTTGGTGATCTTTGATATAGGCAGTGGTTGTGCTCGCTCGCGCCCCTTATTTATAATAATGATAATGATATAAATAATTGAACAAGGGGGCACACTAGAGCAATTAGTTGTGGCTTTTAGTGAGTGTGAAAAGAAATAGTAATGGTGATAAAAGATAGTTGAAGATAGTTGATGATTGAGCGATTCTATAGTACTCTATACGTAATTCTCTGTTTCTATCTCTTTCTCTCTATTACAGAAAAATTCCAAACTCAATTGGGGCCCAGCAGCGCGGCGAAGCAGGCTTGAATTTTCTCTATTTGGTCATCGAAGTTCCCTTTTGGTCTAGTGGTGAGGATTTTCGCCTGTCACGCGAAAGGCCCGAGTTCAATTCTCGGAAGGGGAGATTTTTTTTTTGCTGGCTGCGCTGTTTGCTGGCTGCGCTGTTTGCTGGCTGCGCTGTTTGCTGGCTGCGCTGTTTGCTGGCTGCGCTGTTTGCTGGCTGTGAGCATAGTGTCATACTACTCTGCTCCCACATAGTTATATCGTAGTTACACTGGCTGCGTTTGCTGTTTGCTGGCTGCGTTTGCTGGCTGCGTTTGCATTACAATGGCAGAGTAAAATAATAGTGACAAAATGTGATGATATGACTAGAGTGATTAATAATCTTTTTTTTTTTTTTGGTTTTTTATTAATTTAATAAAGGTCTAAGTAAATTATTAAAAGGTCTTTCAATAGTTAGATGAAGAATAAAAGCATAAATAAAAGAGAGTAAAAGGTTTGCCATGAAAAACCAAAACTGTCCATAGAAATCGACAACAAATAGGATGGGAGAAGAGTAGACTCGAATGATAATTAAAATGGCATGAACCAAGTAGGTACAATACACCAATTTAGAGAGATATTTCCAGATGGTAAGACTAAACAGTGTGATCAAGAAACTGGCATACCCAAGAAAAGTGGCAATGAAAAAGTAAGACATTGACAGTGTGAGTAGAGTGTTGCTAAAACCATTAAAGAAACCACTTGCAGTACTACTCCAGTGTTCTGGGGTCCATTCCTTTGCATTCATTGGTAGAAAGATACAAACCAAAAGGACACCCAAATTGAGTGTATAAAGAGTGTACCGAGTAACGATGGATTTATAGAGATGGTCGTGAAGTTGTTTTCTATAGTCTCTAAAAATCATGGCAGATGCTACTCCAATGACATAGGGAGTGATTCTACACCATGGTTTCTGGTAAATGTCCGAAGCAAACTCGGTTGGCTGTACCCATTGTACAAAATAATTGACCATGTCATAACGAATACTAAGAATGGTGGTGGCAGCAACCGATCCAATCACAGTCAAACCAATCACCGCCAATCCAAATCTCTTACCAATTCGTAGGTATGCAAAAATGTAGAGAGGTGTCAAGAGATAAAAGATCATATCATCTGATAAATACCATGACCACGCCAACGGGGTATCTTGCATTGAAAATGGATAGATACTATTAATGTACAATACATTGGTCCACCAATATTTGTCACAATTTCCAATCAAATCCATTTTAAATCGATACCACAATGGGCCTCTACCAATTAATGGTACCAATAACCAATAAAAGAATAATGTAAAGTAAAATGGTGGTGATAATCTAAGTAATCGATTAATTATATACATAAACCAAAATTTACCTGTAAATCTTTTTGAATTATTATTTTTTGGTTTATCTTGTTGAATATTATTTTGTTGTTGATCTGTTTGTTGATCTGATTGTTGTTCTAGTTTTTGATCTGATTGTTGATCTGATTGATTTTCTGACTTTTCACTTGTAAAATCTACATTATTATTATTATTATTACTTGGTTGTTTAGTAAAATATTTTAATAAACTATTTGAAACCAAGAAACCACCAAGCATGAAAAAGATATCAACACAATAGACACCTCCAGTCGAGACTGCAAATGCTACTCCATGAGCAAATACAGTGAGTTCTTTGTCTAGTTCACCAGACATGGGAAACTGAAACAAGGTTGTATGACCAAGAATAACCCAAATCATTCCCAATACTCTAAATCCATCCATTGTTCCAAAGTATTCACCGGTTGGTGTTGATATCTTTGAGAAATAATAAAGATTATTCTTTAGTGAAAATGATAGAAATATTAATTTAAATGTTGGGTTAATGCGACGACTACGACAATGAGGATGATCATTGTCAGCAGTAGCAGTAGTAGCCTTGCTAAATACTAGAATATCAAGTATAGTTCCAATAATAACTAGTAGTACAATGATTGAACAAACAACCATCATGACAATACTACCTGGGGTAATATCTCTTTCAGTAGTATGACCAGGTACATAGTGTTTAATGACAGGTTCTCTAACTGAAAGATTGGCCGATGGTATAAAGTATGGTAAAAGTGGTATGGCATCAATCACATCTTGATCAGTATCACATGATCTAGGTAGACATAACCCAACCAAATAACGATATACTCCAACTGGTTTGGGACGTTCACTTTTAATCTCTGTATCATAAACACTATAACTTGCATTTGGCAACATTAAACATTGATCAAAATTACCCATATCATTCATTGATTTACCAGAATTTGTAATCACTAAATGAATGAAATGAAATGAATGATTAGAGTTTATGATGATGATGATGATCATTGATTGATCACACTATCTATTTACTTACTTTTAAATGAATTTGAATTATTTTTATAATCCAACATTATATCAATATCATTTTTACATTGATTGCTAATAGCATCGACATGATTAAATAATAATAGAAGTGATAGTAGTTGTAGTACTAATATTAACAATAAAAAATTGGTTAAACTTTTCATTGTATGTTTTTTAATGTGTCACCAAAGAAACAAAAAAAGATAAATTTAAATTTATAAATTATAATTATATTATATATAAATATATTATTATTATTTTTTTTAGTTCTTATTTAAATCCATTCCCTATTTGTTGATTATACCTTGGGTTAAGAGTAATATTTATTTATTTATTACGTCTTTGTTTGTATCTTTTAGATTAAAAAATGAGTGCTCATGTTTGGATTTTAGAAAGATCAAAATTATTAATATCATCTAAATACATATTATAACGATATTGTGTTTTGAACATAATAATAATAATAATAATAATAATAACAATAATATTATTGTTGTTGTTTAATTTTTAAACAATAGATTGTAAATTGATTGTTGTCAAACCACTCACTCTCTAATCTATTTCTTTCTTTTCATTTTCTCTCTTTTCGATTCGTCAATATATATCTAAAGTTGTGACAACTAATCTTTCATTTGTGTTTAGACGATAAAACAATGACAATTGAATCTTATTTGTCAAAGAATGTTAAAGATATATTATTCAAACAGGAGTTTGATATTCAATCTTGTTGTTGTACAAAAGAAATAATAGGTGGTGGTTCAAAACAACAACAACAACAACTTTCTCCTTCTCCTCATCTTGCTGATGCAATGGTTCAACATATATACAAACATTTTGGCCAAGAACATGAACATGTGCAAACCAATCTACTCGAAACTTATTTGTATACATCCCACCTCGTACGATACTATGCTAAACAATTGTCACCATCTCACCAAACAACATTATATCAACTTGATCAATCAGATAATAATGAATCTTCTTTTCACTATTATTTATTATTTGATAATGTATGTAATAATAGAGAAGAAATGAGAGAGTGATATCTTTTTAACATATTTATTACATAATAATTTAGGTTGAACAAGTTGAAAAGAATTTATTATCATTTTCAAATATTATTAAACAACAAGAATCTGAATTTGAATCAAAATCAGAATTATTATATATTGAAAGTTTAGTATTTCTATCAATCTATGAAAGATTGATTAATCGATTGATAACATATGGTTGGTTCATTAGAAAAAAGGAAAATCCAACATTGGTTCAACCATTGATACCTGGTAGAATGTTACGAGATTTATTGGTTGATGAAAATTTAGAGTTTGTAATTGGTGTCGAGTTGGTAACCATACTAAAAGTTATCATTGGTCCACCTATTGGAATGAATCTACGAAATGTACTCTGGCATGGTTTCATGTCACCAACCGAATTGGATTCATCCTTGATCATCTTTTTATTATCTCTTTTTCATTCAATCATTTTAAAATTTAAACAAACTCTTTTAAATCATTCAACAAATCTTGAATCTTTAAATATAGATAATAATAATCAATTATTTAAAACTGTAAATTATAATCAAAAATATCAACATTTAATTTATAAATTTAAAGATTATAATAGTAAGAAAAAGAAAAAGAAAAAGAATAATTATTACTTGCTACTTACTTCTTTTCTATTTTTTTTAGAGTTTGAATTAAAGGAAATATTTAATAGATTAAAAGAGAGTAAATTTATAATTAATGGTAGAGAAGAATTATGGAAGATTGGATTTAATTATTATGATTTGGATCGATATTATTCATTGGTGACATTGTTACCACAATTGGAACATTCTATTAGATGTTTGTTTGTAGAGACAAATGGTTTGTCTGATCAATTTCTAGTGGCAGATTATAAAAGTTATTATACAACATTGGATATTTTCATGTCTGAACAATTATCATTATCAAATGAACAATTACAAAAGACAATTATCATTGATCAAAAAGATAATACAACATCATCAGTTTATTATAAATATGATAATCCAAAATTTAAAGATAATAGTAATAATGAAAAGCTAGAGTCAGAGAAACAAGATATAGATAATCAATTAATTAAAACGTTGGGAGATGAAATTATTGCAAGTTTATTGGATTTATTTATTTATCCAGATGGACCAAGAATTAGAGATAAATTATCACATGGTGAAGTTGATATTAAATCCATTTCTTCATTTATTTTAAATTTTACAATTCATACAATCGATTTAATTTCTTTAAAATTAATCAAAAAAAAATATAAAGAAGAAAAAGAAAAAGAGGAAAAAGAAACTACTACTACTACGACAATAGTTTCATTATTTAATACAATTTCAATTGGAAAATTAAAGATGGAACAATTAAATCAAAATATAAATCAATTAAAAGAATTTAAAGAAAATTTGGAAAACCAATGTAAACATTTAAAAAATGAACAAGATTTGGAACAAGAAACAAATCAAGAAATTAAAATCCTCTATGAATATATTGGAAATAGAAAATTGGATTCTTTACTTGATCCAATATTTGAAAAAGAACAAGATAAATTAATAATATTAAATGATAATAATCTTTTTTATCTTTATCCAACAATTAAATATTCAAATCATATTCAATCAATACGTAAAATCATTGGATGGTTAATTAAATTGGTAGATTCATATTTGGAGAGTGGTAAAACACTTTATCACAATGCCGTCAACAAATTAAACAAAAATACAACTTCATTTTATAAATGGTATGGATTGGTTGATGCATTTATCATTTTCATTACAGTTATTGGTAATCATATTGGTAAAGAATTAATGTTAAATGATTCTTTAACCATTCCCATTCAAATCACTATGGCAACCACTAAATTCTATTCCAAATTATTTATATTGTTGGAGAAATTATTTATCAAAACAAAATCTATGGAATGGAATACTGTAAAAGATCAAATATTAATTATATTTAATCATTTTTAAAAAAAATAAAATGAGGATTTTTTTTATAATATATATATATTATTTAATTAAAAATAATTGATCGTTTTGTTGTTGTTGTTGTTGTTTCATTGTTTACTTCTTTTTACCCAAACCAGCTTGAGCCATTAATTGTTCAATTTCCAAATCTTCCTTTGTCTTTTTCTTTGGTTTTTGTTGTTGTTGTTGCTTCTTTTTGGAGCTCTTGGCAGCTGGAACTTGTTCCTCGGTTCTTTCATCATCTTGAATTTGTTCCTTGTCTTGTCCAATGTATTTATCATCACTTGATTCCTTCTTTGGTTTCTCGTCCCTATAAAAAATTAAAAAAGATAACATTAGATAGATGATCATGGATAGATTCTCTTTTTCTATATTATATTCATACTTTGATAAAGTTAATGATGGATATTGTTTGCTAGATTTAGTTGAAGAAGAGGTAGAAGTAGAAGTTTGAGTATTTTCGTTTGACTTTTCGGCCCATCTCATGTTAACTGGGATATCTAAATTTAGATATATAAATAAATAAAATAAAAGTAAGTAACCTATATAGAATATAGATATATAATATATTTATACAACAACAACATACGTGGAACTTCATTCTTAATTTCTTTAATCTCTGAAATGGTAGTTGGTGAAGATTGATCTCTAAACGTATAAACGAACGAACGAATGAATGAATGAATGTGTGGTAAGTATTTTTGTCGTCTCTGTGTGTTTTGAACTCTTCTTCCTCTTTTCTCTTTTCTAATCATCCTTTTTCCGTTTCTCTCCTATTCTTACTTTGATCTAGTTTGAGATAAATCTACAAGTGTCTTTGGTTGTTTGACTCCAACGACAGAGCCAGAAGAAGATTGTAAAGTTGGTGAAGTGGTGGTTGGAGTTGACTCGTTTGATTGTGAAAGAGAGGTTGGTGTAGCTGTAGAGGTGGTGGTAGTAGTAGGGGAGGTGGTTGATGGTGCTGGTGAAGAGACTACTGGAGCTTGAGCAACAGCAGCAGCTGGTGAAATGATCTTGGTGACCTTTTTAGTCTTTGTCTTGTCCTTTTTGGCAAAGAAGTTATTTAATTCTTCATCATTATTCTCCATAGCTGACATCTTTGTTTAGTATTTATCTAATATATCAAACTTAAAGTAATAAAAGGGAAAATGAAAGCAAGAAAGAGTGATGCATTGATCAAAAACCGTTCGAAAATTGTTTTTTTTTGATTTTTTTCTTTTATTTTTTTTTCACAAAACAAACAAACAAACAAACAAACAAATAATAAGTAATATATATATTTCTTTATATCTTTGAACATTATATAATATTAAATATGTTTATTTTATTTTTTATACATTATTTAAATAAGAAGATTTTAAAGGTAAATCTTTTTTAATAACTTCTCCTTCTTGTTCTGGAATGATTATACCTTTCTTTTTCTGGCTTGAACTAACAAGTTGACCGCATGCGGCTAGAATATCGGTGCCACGTGGCTGGCGAACGGTTACTTTAAGTCCACCTCTTTCTAAAATTCTAGCAAATGATTCTATTTGATCGATTGGAGTACACTCGTAAATAGTACCTGGCCATGGATTGAAAGGGATGAGATTGATCAAAGATGGAAACTGACTTGCCAATTGTATTAAATTGTATGCATCTTGTTTGGCGTCATTAATACCTTTGAGCATGACATATTCAATAGTGATACGATCTTTTGTATATTTTTGTGTAAAATTGATACATGCTTGTACCAATTCCTCAATTGGCCATTGTTGATTGATTGGTACAATCTCTGAACGTGTTTTGTTATTACTAGCATGTAATGAAATAGCTAATCCAATACCAGGGAAATCTTGCCCAAGTCTCTCGATCAATGGAACCACTCCTGATGTCGAAAGAGTTATTTTTGATTTTGATATTGAAATTCCTTCACCATCTGTTAATATTTTTAATGCTTTTGATACATTTCTATAATTATATAATGGTTCCCCTAGAAAAAGAAAGAAAGAAAGAAAGAAATATTAATTAAGTTATTCATTATCTTTCTTTTATTTTTTCTGTTACCTTGACCCATTAAAACAACATTTGTTAATAATCTTTTATTAGTAGTTGGACCAAAATCATGCATTAATGATCTAGCAGTAAATACTTGAGAGACAATTTCACCAGCCGTTAAGTTTCTAACCAATTTCTGTGTACCGGTATGACAAAAAGTACATTGAAACGTACAACCAACTTGACTAGATATACATAGAGTACCTCTATTTCTTTCGGGGATGAATACAGTTTCAACCTCGTCACCTTTAAATTCAACCAAAAGCTTTCTCGTTCCATCAATTGAAAGACTATCCTTGTTTACCACTCCATGATCGATATTGTACACTTCCGACAGTATATCACGATGTTTTTTCGATAGATTATCGATATGATCTATATTCTTTGTACCCTTGTTATATATCCATTTCCATACTTGTTTTGCTCTATATTTCTCTAATCCCAATGTTTCAAATTGTGTTTCAATCTCTTCTTTTGATAATCCTATTAAATTCTTTTTTGTCTTTAATGATGTAGTAGAAGTAATAGTTGTACTATCATCATTTGTTTGTTGTTGTTTTTTACTTGAACATGTACAATAACTAAATATAGATGAAGTATATGATGAAGAAGATAATGTAGACTTGTTTATAATAGATAATAATCTATTATTTCTAAATTGTAACATGTTATTACAAACAAACAAACAAACAAATAAATCTAGGTGAGTTTAATTAATTTTGAATCATCTGACCTTGAATCGTTCGTTTTTTTTTTACAAATATTTATTTATTATTTATTATTTACAATTATTAATTTAATTTAAATTAATCTTGATTACACCAAGAAGGTAAAGTACTAGCAATGATAGCATTACAAGAACAAATATCATTTTTTGTACATAGTATAGCTCTTGGAGTACGACAACATAACCAGATCATACCTAAAAGACCCATTGTCAGAGCACCATAGGTCAACCAAGCCAAAAACCATTTGTTTCCCTTCATCCACTCCCATGTAAATGATATTGGAAGATGAAAGAATCTACATTCGACATAGGTAGATAACAGTTCTGATATTAGATCCAAACCAAGACTAAGTATTGTTTGATAGATTAGAGTAGTTACAACGATATCACCACCATCGAAAAAGTGGAAAACTAAGCGGTGTTGTTGGAAAAGATAAATAAATAGAGGTGCTGTAATGAGACCAGAGAATTCAAGTGCCACTTGAATATTTAAAATGGCTGCTCTCAGTTGTAGATTTTGTTGTAAATAGACACTTTGTCTTGCAGCTTCACGACCATAAAATAATCCAATAATAAATTCATCACGTTTTAAAGATACACATCGAATAATAATATCTTCTACCGCTGATACAATCATTGCAATCTCTGTTAATCCTGACCATCCTTCATCATTTAATGTAAATACAAATATTTTTCCCAATGTATGACTATGAAAAAATGTATGTCTAAAAAAAAAAGAAAAAAGAAAAGAAAATTAATATTATTATTAAATTATAATTATTCATTTGTTTTGATTTATACATACAATACAATATTACTATTTAATAAAATATCATTTGTAGAAATATCTTTTGTTAAAAATTGTCTTGCAATGGCAATGATGAGAGCCCAATATAATGGATGGACGAGTAATCTCCAACCCAAACGAATGATTGGATTATCGATTGAAAAATAGATTGGTAAAAGGAAAAACATATAGAATACGGAAAAGATGGTGACTACTACATCGGGTGCAGTATAATTGAATGCAATCATGACTGCTTTTCTCTTTTCTGACTTTTCCTTTGGTTTGGATTTTGAAATGGAAATTGGTGGTGATGGTCGAGATGATTGTTGTACACCAACCATGTCTGGAGTTGGTGGTAATTGATTTTTTGTTTGTGTTGTTTCTTGACCCTCTTTTAATAGTGTTGCCGATACTTGATAGGAAAACAAAACTTGTCCAATAACAAATAGTGCAACTACACCCAATGCATCAATATAATAGTACCAGAAATCAACCTCCTTGTATGTCAATACTGCGTAAAATATAATAATAAATACAGATAGCGTTGATACATAATATAATACACCCGATTTCTTTAAAACTGAAAATGAATATGATGCACAAAATCCCAAAGAAATATAAATGGTTCCAAAAAACATCTAAAAAAATAAAAGTAAAAAATTAAAAAAGTAAATTATTTTGTTTGTTTCTTATTATTATTATTATTATTAATATTTTTTACTTCTTACCATTGAACAAATAAAAAATATAGAATAATTTAATCTATTTAAATAACCAGAAGAATCTTTTGCATCACCAGACCATTTTAAACTACTCATTATAAATATTAAAATGGAAACTGAGATTGTGACAATTAGTCCAAATACATATCTTTCACCAATGATTCGAATGGTCTTCCAACCTTGCCATCCGTTCTTTTCACAGGAATATAATGTTGATTCAATTTTCTTTTCTTCTCCTCTACCATCACCTCCGTCATTTCCACCAATATCCAAACTTTCAATTGGTGTAGTACCAATCATTAATTGACCACTTGATACCAAATCTTTGGAAGCATTTAATTTATATGATGATAATTGTATATGTTCCATTTCAATAGATCCAATACCATTTTCTAATGGTGTATCTGAATATTTCCATGGTACCACTTTTTCATTATTAATAATATTTAATTTTGGTGAATTATTATTATTTTGATTATTTTGATTAAATAAATTATGTAAACTTTTTGATAAAGAAAATGAAGAAGAAAATGATGTCATTGATGATAATGAAGATGATAAAAATGACATTTTAAATATTTATATGTACAATTAATTATTTAAAATAAACTTTTTAAATAATTAAAAAAGGTTTTTTTTTTTTTGGTCCTGTGTAACTATTTGATTAATAATAATATTAAACAATCAAATTTGATTGGTTGTAAAAACTCTTAAAAGGTTGAAGTTGGAGATTAAGATTAAGATTTTTAAATTATTGATGTTGTTGTTGTTGATGATGATGGTTTTTTGTTTTGATTGTGAAATACAATTTGGTCAATCCGGCTTTGGTAATACCTTGAAAATCACCACCACTACAAAAATCAACGATTGGATGATAGTATGGATAGATGATGGATTGATGGATAAGTATTGATAAAATCACAACACACCCCAAAAGTGAAGAAAATCAGCCAACCGAGGAACGAATGTTCACACCCCACCAGCCGATTTGGACAGTCAAGTCACACAATTCACACACAAAAGTTGGTTGTTTGTTGAAATGAGAGGCTGATTATTGAATTGAATGTTTGATGATGATGAAATATGTAATGTGTATAAATATTAATATTTATATATATCTATATTTGATGAAAGTTAATAAACAAAAAGAAACAGGGTTCTTTCTTTTAATAAGAGTGATTCTTCATCATCTCTCTCTGTCTCTCTGTCTCTTCTCTCCTTTCTTGATATTACCAAAATGAAAGCAAGGATCCTATCCTCTTTTTCTCTTTTTCTACTTGCCCATTATCAACAAATAGAGCCAAGGTAGGTAGGTGGGCTCATTTAGCATGGTGTGTCGATTGACAAGTGAACCAACCTTGTTGGACGAGTACCCATCATCATCTTGAGTGTGTCTGTCGCGTGAGAACTTTGTCTATCTATTTGATTGATCAACAAAAGGTTCCTCGATATCAATTCAACATCTCTCTCTCGAGCGAACGCAACAAAAGACACCACATCGATAAAAAGAGTTGTGATCACCGAACCTCCAGGTACATGTGGTGTCTTTTGATCATCGCCCATTTCTTTTAATTAAAAAAAAAAAACCAATAATTATAAAGAGAGACCTGTCATACGATCCGCAAATAGTAATATTAACTTGTGTGTGTGGTCGAGGATGAATTCATCATGCACAAATTGAGATTTATGTGTAATTTGGTAAATTAATTTTAAATAATGAAATATTATTTAAAAGTTGTTGGTTTGGTAAAAGAATCATTAAAAAAACTTTTTTTTATTAATCATTTTTTTTATTGTTACTGCCAACCCTTTTGATGACCCCTCATTTAATTATATTGGCAGTAATGATAATAATATTAATAATCGAGTGTGATTGTGTGTGAGTGTGTGTATATATGATGGATAAGGTGATTGACACTCTCTCACACACACTCTCTCTCTCTCTCTCTCTTTCTATCAACATATTAACTACTAACTTTTTCAAACTACTCTCTGTGTTGGTTTATTCATGATGATAATTAATAATAATATTTAATATTATTTCTTCTTCTTTCTTTCTTTCTTTCTTTCATTAATATTCTTCTTTCTCTTTCAATCTCGTCGAATGGTTAATCCAATAAACAAATTATTTAAAAGGATTAGAAACAAGATTAGAAGGAGAAGACTAAGACATTTGCGAAAGAAACAACAAAAAGAGTACGAACGTAACAAGGCAAATAGTGTATTCCATCAACCATACATATCTCCTCTTTTAACTGGTCCTGCTGCTGCTTCTTCGACATCGTCTTCTCCCAACCAAATAGTCATACCACCATCAAACAACGGAGCTACACCAGTTGTGCCAATAATCAATCCTACATCCAGTGATATCGATAAATTACAACAACAACAACAACAACAACAACAAATATCATTGGTTCAAAATTTATATCCTACCATTCCAACAACAACAACAACAACAACTACTACCAATACTACTATTCCTACTGCACCTGCAGTTGTAATTGCTCCAGTTATAGTTGATCAACAAAGTAAACCATTACCTCATACACCTTTGACCTCTACTACTTCAACGACTACTTGTACTAGACCAAAATCTCAAGTGATTGATTCACCAGCATTTGATGATCAATTAACAGATTATAAACAATTACAAAAAGAACGATACCTAAAACAAAGACAAGAAACTAGTCGTGAAAGATCAGCAACTCATCACAGTCATCATAGTCATCATAATAATCATCATCATAATAATAATAATCCTACCACTTCTACTTCTACAACTTCTACAAATAGAAGAGCATCAATACATTCACCAAACGTTTCTTCACCATTGATGAAATCAACCAGTCCAAGAGGTGGAGTATCATCAAAACTTAAAAAATCTGGAGGTATTTTATTCAACAAGAACAACAAGATGACTGAAACCAAATACTCTGAATTATATTTTGCATCAAAGGATGGATGTCTTTGGATCAACGATCAACAATTACGTCTAAAAGGAATTAATTGGTTTGGATGTGAGACTGAAACATCTGTCGTACATGGACTTTGGCAAAGAGATTATAGAGAGTATATTGATTTCATGGCACAACATCATTTCAATGCAATTCGTATCCCATTTTCACTGGAAATGGTTCTAAAAGATCCATTCCCAACTTCAATATCAATCACTCAATCTATGAATACAGATATGCATGGACTGCGTGCTCTCTCTGTACTCGATATCATCATTGAAGCCGCAGGTGAAAGAGGCATGTTTATCTTGTTGGATCTTCATTCTTTTGGTCCAAACGATAGATTACATGATGGTCTTTGGTATAATAATCTTTATAGTGAACAAGATACTTTGAAAGCTTGGAATATATTGACCATTAGATATGGTAATACATGGAATGTAATTGGAGTAGATTTAAAGAATGAACCATTTTCAGCAACTTGGAACAGTGGTAATCCATTGACTGATTGGGACAAGGCAATCAATCGAATTGGATCATACATTCAAAATCATGGTGGTAATCGTTGGTTAATATTTGGTCAAGGTGTACCAAGTCAACAACATTCACAAATGCAATGTTGTTGGGGTGAAAGTTTTGAATCTGAAGGTAGAAATCAAAATCATAATAATCACGGTCAAAATAATTTGGTTTCATTTGGAGAAGTAGGAAATTCAACTGTTCAATTACCATTGAATGATAAATTTGTTTATAGTCCACATTGTTATGGACCAAGTGTAGTTAAACATGCTCATTTTAATGCATCAAATTTCCCAGCCAATATGACAGGTCATTGGGATGTCAATTTTGGTCTATTACCCAGTTCAACCGGTCGAGCAGTAGTGGTTGGTGAATGGGGTGGTAGATACCTAGATCATCTTGATCGATTGTGGATGGATAGTTTTGTAGCGTATCTTCAAAAGATTGGTTCAACAGACTCTTTTTATTGGTGTCTTAATCCAAACAGTGGTGATACTGGTGGTCTGCTAAAAGATGATTGGGTATCTCCTCATCATGACAAACTTGATCTACTCTACAAACTATGTCCTCATCCAACAAAAATTAAATTTGATAAAGATACTAGATTATTTATTGTTTCAAATCATCAACAAAATCAAAATAATAATGTAAATTCAACAAATCATTTGGAAAATTATCTCTAAAAAAAATAAATAAAAAAGAAATAAATATAAATTAAATTAAATTATTAGTTTGGGAAATCGGATTAAAGTTTATTTCTCACTTTTTCCAATACCAACATTATAAAAACTAGCATAGGAGCGAGAGCAAGAGACACTCATTATCAAAATTTTTTAATTTTTTATATTTTTCTCTTCAATTTTTTTACACAAGACCAAAAACGAAGTCATTTCATTTTAAATCAATCGTCAATATTCATTCATTTCCCTCTCTCTCTCTATATATATATATATATTAATTTATTTTAAAAAAGGATGAGTATATTTGAACAAGAGATATCAAAACAAATATCAGCAATGGTAGATATACCAGCAGATCAAGTTATTCAATGTGTAGAAGCACCAAAGAATAAGGATTTGGCCGATTTTGCTTTACCGTTGCCAAAGCTTAATCGTTTCAAGAAACTTGCAGGAGCACCTAATCAATTGGTCAACGAATTGGCAAACAAGTTTGTATGCAATGACTTGATCACCAAGGTGTCTGTTAGTGGAATCTACCTCAACTTTAACGTCAATCGTCTACAACAAACCAGTATCATTATCAAGCAAGTGCTTGCAGAGGGAGACCGTTTCGGTGTATCGCAAGCCACGTTTGACGCCAACCAAGAGAAACACATTATCCTCGAATTCTCTTCCCCCAACATTGCCAAGCCATTCCATGCCGGTCATCTCCGTTCAACGATTATTGGTAACTTTTTGGTCAACCTTCATCGTGCCGTTGGTTACAAGGTCACCTCTATGAACTATCTAGGTGATTGGGGTAAGCAATATGGTTTGTTGGCCATTGGTTTTGAACGTTTTGGTAGTGAAGAGGAACTCCAAAAGGATCCAATCGCTCACTTGTTCCACGTCTATGTCAAAATCAACGCACAAGCCGAAACTGAACCATCGATTCACGACGATGCTCGTTCCTACTTTAAACGTATGGAAGATGGTGATGTCGATGCTCTCGCCATTTGGAAACGTTTCCGTGACGTATCCATCGAAAAATACAAAGCCATCTATGCTCGTCTCAACGTTAGCTTTGATATCTATTCTGGTGAAAGTTTAATGTGTGATGGTATGGTTCACGCTTATGATAAGTTGGTTGAAAAGAATCTTGTCATTGAATCTGAAGGTGCTAAAGTTATTGATTTAGAAGTAATTAGAAACAAAAAACAAAACAAAAAAGACAAATAGATAGAAAGTTTATTAATTTCTTTTTTCTTTTTTCTCTTTTATAGGCATATAAATTAGGAAAAGTATTAGTAAAGAAAAAAGATGGATCAACATTGTATATTACACGTGATATTGCAGCTGCCAATTATCGTAAGGAAGATTTAAAGTTTGACAAGATGATCTATGTTGTTGCATCTCAACAAGAATTACATTTCCGTCAACTTTTCAAAATCGTCGAAACTATGGGTTATGAATGGAGTAAAGATTTAACTCATATTGGTTTTGGTATGGTTAAAGGAATGTCAACTCGTAAAGGAACTGTCGTTTTCTTGGAAGGCAAGTAAAAAAGAAAAATAGAAATATATTTATATATTTTTTTACTTACCTTTTTTTACTCTAGATATATTAAATGAATCAAAACAAATTATGGGTGAAGTAATGAAAAAGAATGAAGCCAAGTATGCTGAAATTGAAAAACCAGATGAAGTAGCTGATATTCTTGCGGTTTCTGCTGTTGTGATTCAAGATTTCTCTGCCAAACGTAACAAGGATTACGATTTTAACTGGGATCGTATGCTTTCATTTGAAGGTGATACAGGACCATATCTTCAATACGCTCATGCCCGTCTCTGTTCGATGGAACGTAAAAACAACGTTGCCATCAACAAGGATGCCGACCTTGGTCTCTTGACCGAACCAGAGGCATACACCTTGGCCGTTACCATTGGTCGTTATGGTGATGTCCTCCAAGGTGCCCTCAACAATTTGGAACCAAACGTTGTTGCCACCTATCTCTTTGAATTGTGTCATGCCATCTCTTCTGCTCACAGTGTCCTCTATGTCAAGGACCGTGAACAAAACCTCGCCGAAGCTCGTACCGCTCTCTTTCATTGTGCCAAAATCATTCTTGGTAATGGTTTACGTATTCTTGGTTTAGTTCCTTTGGAACGTATGTAAAAAAAATAAAAATAAAAAGTAAAGTAGTAGTAGTAGTTTTTTTACATATTCCAAAAAGTAGAAGAAGAAGAAGAAGATCTTGATTTATTATTACTGTACAATGATCATCATCATTTTATCTATTTGTTGGTATTATCAATTAATTCATCTTCATCAATATCATCTTCAAAATCTAAATGAAAAGAAATAGAAAAGAATAATGTTAAAAGTGTGTTCAAAAGAGAGAGAAAGAGAGAGAGAGAGAGAGAGAAAGAAAGAAGATCTTCTTCTCTTTTTATTGGTTTGTTTCATACTATTGAAAAAATCTTGATGTACAATAACCTTTGGTTCTTGCATTGGATCAGTCATATCATCATCCATATCATCAAACATTAAATCATCATCGTATCTATTTCTAAAAAAGTGTGAAGACATCTTTATGTATTATATCTCTCTAATATTTGTTTATAAAAAGTAATAATAAAAAAGTTAATTAAAAAATTTGAAGAAGTGAGGAATGAAAAAATCAAGAAAAAAGAAATAATTAAAACTTTTCGTCTTTATTAATAGTTATAAACATTAATATGTTTGATGAATATAACTCTTCTGATGAAGAGCAAGATAATAATGATGATGATAATATTAAAAAGCAGAATATTTCAACTACTATTGGAAACAAACCAAAGATCAATAACAACAATGAAAATAAGAGAACTGTGACAACATTATATAAAGATACATCGACAGATTATTACAATGAAAATCAAAGAAAGAAACAACAACAATCACATTTACAATCACAATCACAATCATCATTTGCAAGTTATCTACCAGAACCAACAGCAAAACAAGAACAATTAAAAGAACTTCAATCAAAACATAAAGATTTATTAAAGACTACAACTACAACGACGACGAATAAGAAGAATGATAATGCATCTACATCTACATCTACTACTACGACTACAACATTTTTAACAACAAATGAACAAAAGATTATAAATAATCCACTCATTCCAACTGCATTGAGAAAGAATTTAATGGCAAAGAAAAAGGCTTCTATACCAACAACGACAACAACAAAAATCAATCAATCAAAGATTGAAACTAAAAAAGAAGAAAAAGAACAAATACAAGAAGAAATTGATCCATTCTTTTCATTTGATGAACCAAAACCTGATCTACCAACAACTACTGTAAATAATGTACAACAAGAAATTCAAGAAGATGAAGAAGAAGAAAATCAACAACAACAACAATATCCATCACAATGGAGTGAAGAACAAGAAATGGAATATTGGACACAACAAGAAAAATTACAACAATCTCAACAACCTTTTATTAAAGGTGAAACCGAAAATACATATCTTCAAAATGTAAGTAATCAAATTTATTCATAGGATTGACCAATTGACTAATATATATATATATATTTTTATTTAGTTACTTATAAAACAAAAAGGAATAATAGAAATTAATCAATCAAGTTTATTGAGTCAAGATAAACAAAGAATTGAAATATTGAGAGAAAAGGAAATGGAAATTGCAAACAAGGGAATTGGAAGATCAACTAGTAAAGTAACAGCAAATCAAAGAGCCAAACATCAATGGACATCTCTTATTGCCGATTTCCATACCAAACAAGATTCAAATGCTAAAAAATTGATTGAACAACAATATCAAAGACATAATGTATAAAATCCTAAAAAACTTATAGTTATAAATATACTTGCTTCTGTTTGTCGGTTCGTTCGGAAAAATATTTTGATTTGTTTTTAATTTTTTTTTTTTGTTCTGACAGAGCTCTGTGAGAACGAGAGTGAGAGAGACATGACCGTTTAATTTGTTTTATAAAAGTTTTACTATAACCCTTATCTCGATACTAAACTGAAACAACAAAAAGAGAGAGACAGAAATAACAATAATCGAATTGGTAAGATTTGATCAAATCACTATAGTTGTTTAAAAGAATCAACCATCATATGACTAGACTAGTTCACAACTTTTGACTTTTTCATTCATTAACACACACACCTATCAAACAATCAATATCAATCAACAATTGTGTGTTGTTGGAATTTTAAACAAGTTTATTTGTACAGTTTTTTCGTTTCGTACATATACAACAACAACAACAACAACAACAACAACAACAACAACAATAATCAAACCTATAAATCTTTTTTATTTCTTAAGAATATTTACATCATATGATACAAACGATCCAGGACCAGCAACACATTTTTGAAAATAATTTTTTTTAATTTTTTTTTCTGTTGTTGACATCATCACCATCGTTAACGTTCATTTGAATAAACAAAACTCTCTCTTAATTACCCAACTATAGTATTAGTAGAAGTAAGGAACTAAAGCTCTTCTATATCACAATACCAACACCAAAACAGTAAAAGCAAAGGCAAAAAAAAAAAAAATACAAAAAAGAAGAGTTTGCCCCCTTCTCTTCTCTTGCTTGTTTTGTGATCAGGCGGTTCACCCACCACCTCTATATTCATTTCAATTCAATCATTGTTTTTTTTTTTCTTTCTTTCTCTTTCTCTTTTATTAACCTAAATCTTTTAGTTTTTCTATTTATTTCTATTTATTTTGTTGTAACAACAGTATCAAAACATAGTATTTATTTTAGGAATCAACCGAGTAGTGGTAGAGACTACAACATAGACACCAATCTAGAGTACAATAGTAGTGATTTATAGTTTCTTGCAAGACGACTATAAAGAATATAGATAAAGAAAAAAACGGATAGACAACAACACCATCAACAACCACCACAACATCTTCAACCTCAATTAAAGAGGGCCTCCATCATGATTGACAACAACAATAATAATGGCAAAGAAGAAGAGGAAGAAGATGAAGAGGAATTACTACGTAATTTGAATTTTAAACCTCCAGATCGTTCAACATCTGCTCCGCCCATCATGGGTATGACCCTTAATAGCAATAGTTTGTTTGCGTTTAGAGCGACCGATCAATTGTTTAACGATATCAGATGTGATGAAAACTATTTGGAATTCTATCAAAAACATCAAAATCAAAGTAAACTTCCTCCTCCTCTTGAAAATCAACCTTCCTTTTATAATTTTCCTGATAATATTGGTGATGAAATGTTTAATGAGGTAAATAGAAAAAAAGAAAAGAAAAATGGAGAGAAAAGAGAAAATTAATCATTATTATTATTATTTTTAGGCATATTTTAGACAAAACATTTTGGGTATGATTCATCAACAACAACAACAATTACTTCAATTACAAAGACAAGCTGAACAACATCAACAACAACAATTCTATCAACATAGACCTGGAAGTCAAGTTGGAAATCAAGTTGGAGGTCAAGTTGGTCAAGTAGTTCCAGTTCAACAAGTTCAAGTTCAAGTTCCAGTTCAACAACAACAACATCATCATCAACAACAACAACAACAAAATAACTATCATCACCAACAACAACAATCACACGGTCATCATAATAATCATCATCATCATCAACAACAACAACAATCACATGGTCATCATAATACTCATCAACAACAACAACAATTCTATCAACCACAACCACAAAAGAATCAACAACAACAACAACAACATCATATGATGAATGGACAAGGACAATTTCAAAATAATAATAACAAATATTTTGATTCTAGACAATCATCATCTGATCATGGTACCAATTGGACATCACCACCACCACCAGGATTAGGACCATTACAAAGAAAGATTCAACAATTATCAGTCAATGATAATCCAGAAGGTGAAGGTACCACTCCACGTGAATTGATTAAATCATCTTTTGAAGTTGCCTATTCAACTGTTAATCAATTAATTGATGATAATCAAAACGGCAATAATAATAGTGGTAATAATAATGGAGGATTACCAAGAAGTATTTCAAATAGTTCACTTCATTCAAATACTTGGAAGGATAAAATGTTTGAACCACAACCACGTGGTGTTCCAGTTCAACAACAACAACAACAACCATTGCAACAACAACAACAACAACATATTGGTAAACCAACAGGAATTCATGCTCCAACACCGATTGCTCCAGCAACCAAAAATTTGATTGGTGGTGATATTGAATCATCATTTGAAAGATATTATAATATGGAAGATAAAAAGTCTACAACAAATCAAACAACTCCATCTAGAACTCCAACTCCACCAAATGATTTAAACAACAACACTTCACCATCTCAAGTTTGCAGATATTTTACTCAAGGTTATTGTAGTAGAGGTAGTAAATGTAATTTTGTTCATGATGAAAAGGATGAAAGTAATCAAAATCAAAATCAAAATCAAAATCAAAATCAAAATCAAAATCAAAATCAAAATCAAAGTAATAATAATAATAATGCTCCAACTCTAATTATTCAACAACAACCAATACAACAACAACAACAACAACAACCATTACAACAACAAAAGAATAATAAAAATAATCAACCTCTTCAACAACAAAATAATCAAAATAATCAAAATAATCAAAATAATCAAAATAACAAAAAGAATTCAAGAAAGAGTTTACCAATATTATCATCAACAGAAATGAATCAATCAAACCAACCAGAAAAACCAAAACAATTAAATAATAATAATAATAAAAATAATAATCAAAATAATAATAAGAATAATAATAATAATAATCAAAATAATAATCAAAATAATAATCAAAATACTTCATCATCTTCATCATCATCACAAAATATAACATTGGCAGGTATAAATTTAAATTTAAATTTAAATTCAAGTTCAAATATACCAATACCAACTGGAACAGCAAATTTGGATATAACAGGAAAGATTGAAATGATTGCCAACAAACAATATACATCGATTGATCAAATTTCAAGTTCAATCTATCCATTGTGTCGTGATCAACATGGTTGTAGATTCCTTCAAAAGAAATTGGAAGAGGGTGATGAACCATTGACTGAACTCATTTTCAAAGAGGTTTGCGAATACATGTTGGAGTTGATGACCGATCCATTTGGTAATTATCTTTGTCAAAAACTATTGGAACATTGTAATGATCGTCAACGTCTTGTGATTATTGACAAGGTTGGACCAGATATTGTACGCATCTCGATGAATATGCATGGTACTAGAGCCGTTCAAAAGATGATTGAATTCCTTACCACGCCCGAACAAATTGCTCTCATTAAAAAGTCACTCGCTCAACATGTCGTCCCACTCATTCAAGATCTCAATGGTAACCACGTCATTCAAAAATGTCTAAACAAGTTGGCACCACCCGACAATCAATTCATCTATGATTCTGTTTCGTCGTCGGCCAATTGTATTGCCGTCGCTACTCATCGTCACGGTTGTTGTGTCCTTCAACGTTGCATTGATCACGCTTCAGAGACTCAAAAGGTTCAACTCATTCAAGAGGTTATTGCCAATTCCTTGGTACTCGTTCAAGATCCATTTGGTAATTATGTTGTTCAGTATGTTCTCGACCTTCCATTCCCAGGTTTGACTTGTGAGATGGCCAAGAGATTTGTTGGACATGTTTCCATTCTCGCCACTCAAAAGTTTTCGTCCAATGTAGTGGAAAAGTGTTTGCACGTTGCAGACCCCATCACGCGAGGCAACCTCATCCAGGAACTCATCGATTGTGACACCTTGTTGCATCTTTTACAGGATCCATTTGCCAACTATGTCATTCAAACCTCTCTTACCATTGCAGAACCACACCAACACACCAAGTTGGTCGAGGCTATCAAACCTCATTTGGCTCAACTCAAAAATACTCCCTATGGTAAACGTATTCAAAACAAAATCATTAAAGAAGGTAGAGAATATTTTTAAAAATAGAAATAGAATAGAAAAAAATAGAAAATGAAAAAAAGAAAAAAAAAAAAGAAAAAAATCATATCATTATTGTTGTTGTATCACTTACATATAATCCCCCCCAAAACCCAAGACTAAAACTAAAATAAATTATTTCTTTTAATTGAAAAATTAAAGGAATTTATATACAAAAAAATAATAAAAAACAAGACTAAATTATGAGTTTAATATATCATGAGAGCATAAGATTTATGGGGTAATTTTTTAAAATTTGGACTTGTGGAATTGTTTTGAACAATCTTGGTTGGGAGATTTGTTGTTCATATTTGTCTGAGCGTCTTGTACTTGGGTGATTGGTTTCTTTTTCACTCTGATTTGTTGGTTGGTCTTGTATCACAACCTATTTCCAATCTTGTCTTTTATAAAAATCTTGGATATAGGCCGATATTGTCTTTTTGTTTGTTGGGGGATACTGTTGTTGTTATTTTTTTGGTTGGTGGTTGAATATGGAGTCTTTTAAAGAGAGCCAATCTTTGACGGATTCGAGTGCAATTTTATGCTAAAAATTTATCGATACCAGTTTCGATCATTAGCTTGGTTATATGATGATCTGCAATCTCTTGACCAATGTATCTTTCATTCTTCATTTTTGAGCAAGCCAACCATTTAATTCTTTCTTGTTCACAAAGCTCGAGTATTCGTTTAATCCGGATCAACCCCTTTGGCTTGGAACTGGTGTAAATACAAAAAGTATTCCTATTGGCAATAGATCAGTTTGCGTTGATCCATGATTTGGATCCTCTGTGAACTTGGCGTTAAAAGACATTATCTTTATCCGATGGTAGGCATGTTTAAACGGGGGTAGTTTAAGCTTTTTGGATCCAAAAGACGGTGGTGGAAAACTGAGTTGACGATCAATAAAGAGGCGCGATTTTTTTCACGATTCTCACAGTCATATAGAGAGGGGGGTATATATAGGCCCGTTTTTTCATGGTCTCACAGACCATATATAGCAAAAAAGGGGTATTTTTTTTTAAGGTAATTCTTTACCTGGTCTCTCCTATCGGGAAGAATAGTACTCAGAAGTTACAAAGTTTTAATTATACTTTTTAACTATATTACAGAAAAATTCCAAACTCCCGAAAAGGGGTATATTTTTTTTTTAAAGTAATTCTTTTCCTGTTCTCTCCTATCGGGAAGAGTAGTACTCAGAAGTTACAAAGTTTTATTAATTATACATTTTAATTGACCAGCAAGAAATAAAGATTATCTCGAGAAGAATTAAAGTTAATTTGTTCTGGGGGTTGTCCATGTCTATGATACATGTTATATGGACGTTGATCATGTATCTTATTGTATAGTGTCAAGCATGTTGGATTGTTTTGGGTTGTTGCTTGTTCTAAAAATAAATTGGTTAAAGATATCGCTTTTTTTTTTTTTTTTTTTTTTTTTTTTTTCTCAGCACTATAGGCTGTAATATTGTGTTATATAATTATTCTATGTTATTATTATTTAGTAAATTATTATATTATTAATATTATTATTGATAGATGAAGAGAGAATAGAAGAAGATGAAGGTGTTGACGCAAATATGGCACCCATCTTCTTCTAATTTTAGTACCATACTTGCGGTGAAACCTTAAGCCTTGGGTGCGTCCAAAACCGACTGCCGCTCTCAACTCTCGCGCCGATTTACTCCCCATTGGGGACACTCGTCTTTACGTGTTGCATATTGTATTTGAGATGTCAGATGGCTTTCTATCGCGACGGCCCAGTAGGTCCTCCACTACCTTCCCGTTACTTGTTGCAGTCTGGCTACCCAATCTCCTACTGAGAAGGGGAAACTAACCCGGTCATCCTTCCGCGGGGGTGACCTGTCTCTAGATCCCTAAAGTCGGATGGTTTTTCTCCTCAATCCCCCCAATTGTGGTCAAGTTAAACGTTGGCGCCAAAAGTAAAGTTCGAGGGCAGGATTCGAACCTATGACCTTTACGTTCCCGGGGTAGCACACTCCCGACTCACTTGCCACGCCATGCCCTCCCCCGAAAAGGGGTATATATATACCCGGATTTTTCATGATCTCACAAGCCATATATAGCAAAGCTTTTTAGCTCAGTGGTAGAGCGGTGGGCTCATAACCCACAGGTGCATCGATCGATACGATGAAAAGCTAGCTTTTTGCCGTTTTTTTGCTGGGGGCCCTGTCTCACTCCTCCCATGGTAGTTGAGATAACACAGGTACATCGATGAAAAGCTAGCCTTTTGTAGATTTTTTTTGGTGGTAGAAAAAAAGTTTTAATATATGGTTTCTTTAAATCTGGTTTTTCTATCGATATATTATTTGATCAATACCCAAATAATGTAAAAACATTGAATCCCAATCATCTCTTGCCAAATCTTCATTTAAATGTCTTGTTACATTATTTTCAACTTTTTTTGTTTCCTAAAAAGAAAGAAATAATAAATATACAATAATCTGGAAATAATTTAATCCAAGTTCATCACCAAAAAAAATTTAATGTCTTGTTTGTAACATTTGATAGAGTAGATTGTCCTCTTGAAGGTCTTTACTATTCAAAGTGGACAAAGCTTGTGTCCTAATGCTTTGATTATTCATTCGATACCTATGGATTATCAATTAATAGACTGATGAAACAATGGTTCGGAATTTGTTTATAAAGTGAGTTTAATGGAATTATTGCGCATTGTAGGAAGCTTTCATCGAAAGATGCACCTCCCACCGCTCTACAGGAGCAAGTATCGTAAATAGTACGATGTTACGAAAAAATAAAAAAAATGTCATGACTTTCTATCTTGTCTGCTCATGTGAGAAGAGGTTTCAAACCAATGAGAGAGAAGGGAAGGGGTTAATTTTTGTAGAATGGTCACCAAGTGGAGGGTGAAAAGTTAATTTTAAAATTAATTAAATTGGTTGACCTTTTTGATCACCATCATAGAATATAGAAAAAAAGAGACAAGCATTTAATTTATACATAGAGATAGATAGATAAAAATAATGGTAACAAATATAAAAGAAAAAAATTTTACAATAAAACAAACTAATCATTTTTTTTTTCTTTAGAGCGCTAGTGACGACCAAATTAAAGAAGCATTTGAAGTCTTTTTAGGAAGTTTCCCAACTGGAACAGTAGTAGCTACCTCACAAATTGGACCATTGATGAGAAGTCTAGGAACCAATCCATCAGATGCACAAATCAAAGAAATGGAAAAGAAAATAGGAACTCCACAATTTGACCTAGCCACATTCAAGATAATCTACAAAGGATTCAAACCCTTATCAGCAGGTGATAGTGTAAAGGATTACACTGCACAGCTCAAGGCTCTTGCAAAGGATGGCATTATTAGTGAGTCTGACATTTATAAAGTAATGGGAACCAACTCAGATGTATGTAAAATTTTATATAATCCTTTTTTAGATTGATTTATAAATAGTATACTAATATAATAATATTCTTATTTCTTTAAAAAGACTGAATTCTTAGATTGTCTCAAGTATCAGTAAGTTCTGATGGTGCAATATCATATGATACTTTTGTTGATATGTTGGTTTCTGGTGTTGCTCTTGAATAAAATAAATAAAAAGATTATAATTTATAATAAATAAACACTTTATTGTGATTCGAGATAAATGTTTGACTTTGAAGATAAAAGTGTTCTATTTATTAATATCAAAGTCTTTGTCCTTTTAAACTACAAAAAAATAGCCCTATGGGGGGCTCGAACCCCCGACCACAAGATTAAGAGTCTTGCGCTCTACCGACTGAGCTAACAAGGCTTTTTTGGTGTCATTAAGGAAATAATTTAAATTTTGACCCCCTATGCATTTTTTCACGATTTTCTTATCAACAATCGGCTACTGGCAGTCCTTCCAAAGGTCATCAGCCCCTACCAAACGGGCTTTGTCCCAGGACGTCTGATCCACGACAATCTGATCGTCATGAACCAAGCACTCGAGACAAACAAGGACAACAAAGAGGCCATCACCACTCTCTACGACTTTTCCAAGGCATTCGATTCTGTCTCCCACCTTGCCATCCAACGAACCTTGACCAAGATGGGTGCTCCACCACTGATAGTCAACGCTGTTATGTCCATGCTAGCAGACTCTTCAGTCCGTGTACGAGTAGGAGACTCGCTGTCTGAACCATTCCACACCGCCAGCTTTCGGAACCAAACAGAGAAAGCCACCGCCTCTTGTCCACCTCAACTGGGTAAAGCTACTCCAGTTTGCCGACGACACGTCTACATTTGCCAAAAACATCCAAGAATTTAAACTAATGGACGAATGGATTCAGCTGTTCTGTAAAGCTACATCATCTAAAGTCAACACTGACAAATGTGTGATCATGTCACCTGGCAGTCCAACCAATTTACCGTACCCACTGATGGACAAGGAAAGCAAAGAACGATACCTCGGCTATTACTTTAACCAGTTTGGTTTGGTACCACACCTTCCAGAGCGTATTGACAAGGTGATCAACGATTTGATTAGATGGAAACCTAAACACAACAACAACTATAGAGGTAAATTAGCTTTGCTCAAAACATATGGTCTGTCACAATTAAATTATTTTACGTACCTTGAATCACCTAGTCACGAGGCAATCACCAGATTGGAAAAGGTTATTGATTGGTTCATGTTCAGCAACGACCGTCAGTACGACCCAACCAAGCCAACCAAAAGAACCATGTCCAAGAAACGTTCCATACGATCGATCGACCAAGGTGGTCTCAATCTCTGGGACCTCAACGCTAGATTCCGTGCCCAAAAGGCATGGATGTTCGAAAGGTTCCTCCACGAGGTAAAGAACGACCGAGTTGCAAAGGTTTCATTTGCCCAATCATGGATGGACCAACTCAACCAAGACAAACCAAACGATTTTGTCCGCCTCTGCCGCAGCGAGTGGGAAAAGCTTACCCAACCCTACGACGTCAGCAGAGAGGCTGTACCCAAGCCAGCAATGGAACCAGACAAAAGAGGAAGAGTACCTCTCAAACAAGTGTACCTCCAAAGGCTGACCATAGCCAACGAAAAGTGGAACGTGTACGACCCGACCCCAGGTCAAAGATCTTAGCAACCGATGACAGAGTGTATCCAATGAATGCACTAGCTGCTCTTTCTACCATCGTACTACCAAAGGGTCGAGATCTGGTTTGGAAATACGTAACCAAATGTCTCCCACTCGTCAGGGGTGACCCAGTCGCCTCCATCTGTGTGTCGTGTGGCAAAGATGAATCCTCCAAGCACTTGTTCTTCCAATGCAAGGAGACCACGCTGCCAGTGAAGATACTGAAAGAGGTTACTGCTGCCAACAACATTCCACCAGTTTGGGACATCACCCTCCTCAACCTCAAACAAACTCCAATGACTACAAACTTGGTCGCTGCAACACTCGAACGAATATGGTTCCGACGTAATGATCTACGTCACCAAAGAGATGAACCATTCACTGAACAATATCTGCGAGCTAGATTGCTAAATGATATGCGACATATTATAAAAGTAAACTGGGACAAGACGTTAGAATTATGTAATCGATGGCACTTGGCTCTAATGAACCAAACCGACGAATCAGTAATACATACGATTACAGAACGAATATAAACTATCATCCTTCGATTCTCCTCCAACTACAACCATCCTACTGTCTACAAGATCGCACTACCTAGTCATTTGGAGAGGTACAAGACTCTGCGTGCACTACATCTATAATCGATCACCTCAACCTCACTCTTCTCATCCTCCCCAACACCTTCATCTTCTTCTATTCTCTCTTCATCTATCAATAATAATATTAATAATATAATAATCAACTAAATAATAATAACAAAATTGAATAATTATACCAACACAAAATTACGGCCACAAAAAAAAAAAAAAAAAAAAATAGCAATTTTTAGAACAAGCAACAATCCAAAACAATCCAACATGCTTGATCACAAACAAAAAGATACATGATCAACGTCCATACAACATGTATCATAGACATGGACAACCCCCAGAGCAAATTAACTTTAATTCTTCTTGAGATAATCTTTATTTCTTGCTGGTCAATTAAAATGTATAATTAATAAAACTTTGTAACTTCTGAGTACTACTCTTCCCGATAGGAGAGACCAGGAAAAGGATTACTTTAAAAAAAAACTCAGAGTTCATAAGTTTGGAACTATAGTCGAGGGACATAGATTTCTGTTTTAGACAATTGAGGATGATAAACAAAGTATTCCACCATACCTATCAAATTTATTACATCACCCTATTCTCTCTCTCTCTCTCTATTTGTTCACCAATGTGGATTAGGTTGTATTCTTTTATTGGTTTAATTGGTCCTTATTATTAATTTACTTTTACTTTTACTTTTACTATTTTACTATTTTACTAATAGATTACTTTTTTATTTTATTTATTGTAATAAATTATTAAAAGATTGAGGATTTAAAATAGGAGAAGAGATTTCACCAGAGACACTAATATTTGGACGATAGATAGAGGATTGATTGATTTTGGCAGCCAAAGGGTCATGACGAATACGAGATTTGAGCCATGGTAGATCGAGACAATGAAAGAAATCATTGCGATCCAATTGATCCATCATACGGAGATAACAAGGATCGTCGTCAAAATTGTAACCAATGAGACCACATTCATCCTCCCAGAGGGTGGTGATAAAAGAACGAAGTAGTGATGTTGGAACAAATGGTTGAATTTCGCTGCCTTCTCCTCTTTTTGGGATACGAGGAGTGAGTAGGACGGTAAGACAAACATTATTTGATTTTGGATTTTTAAGAGAAGTTGGAGGTTGGTAGTATTCAAAATCCAATAGACGGAAGCCCTTGTTGAAAAGGAAAACGTGACTGAGTGAACTATCGGGAGCACCGGTAATATCAAATTGATCTGAAAACATGACTTCTAAAAAGATTGCATTGCAACCTGCAATATGACCTTTTTGTTTGGCGTTTTGATCCAAAATGTTGATGGTACGAAGAATGAGATCGGTACCAATACCCTTGCCAGACCACTTTTGATTGACAACCAAATAAGTAACGAGGGCACAATTAGTCTCTGGATAGTATTCAAATACCAAACCACCAATAATATATTTGTGTCCTTTACCTTTATGTTCACCTGGCAATCCCAATACCAAGAGGACATGTAAATCACAAATGTTTGGATCATCACGACCTTCTGGTGACATTGCCTTGTGCCAATTTTCGATTGGTTCGAGTTCGTCAGACGTTCCAAATTGAGTAATCATATACTTGTTGTAAAAGGCATCCAATAAATCTTCATCATAATCTTCCCAAAGATCTACAATGGTCCAATCCTTTCCATCACCCCATGGCAGATCGTGCAATGGAATCTTTTCACGAATCTTTAATTGTTCGAGTGATAGGGTGAAATCTACATCTTGAAGTGGTACAGTAGAGAGACGACCATTTCTATAGGCATTTTCCCATTGAGCAGTGATAAAGTTTTTAAGCAATACGTTTGGTAGATAATATTGACGAGTATTGTTATAGTCAATGTATGGGATATGTGGTGTCAAATAGGCAGTGAGTAAAAGGACACCCTTCAACTTGTCATATTCTGGTGATAGAGGTGGCATAATGTATTCAAAGTTGATCATTCTAAATCCCATCTTGTGATAGATTGTATGACGCATACGAGGATCCATAACATCTTGTTGTACTGTAACCTTTTCAGCAGAATTGGTCTCCAAAAAGATTGCATTACATCCTGCCAATTGTCCTCTAGTCTTGGCATGACGATCGAGCAAGACAACAGCTCTCTCTACTAGGATACCAGCCAAACCTTGACCACGAGATATTCTATGTACCACCAAATAAGAGAGTAAACCACAATTGGTAGATGGATAATATTCAAAAGTAATACCTGCACCAATGGTTGGTTGAAGGTCACTTGAATCGGTTGGCCAACGCAATGCCAAAAGTACATGCAATTCAGAGAGATGAGGATTATAGGTTGATCTTCTCTCTTCAGATAGTGCTGCCAAAAAATTAGACAATGGTTCCAACTCGTTTTTGATGGGAAAGTTTGGTACCATCAATTCTTCATAGAATCGAATCAACAGTTCTTCATCATAATCATCCCACAAATCTACCAATGTCCATGGTTTACTTGCTCCCCATGGCAAATCGAGCAATGGAATCTTGTCACGGTATTCAATTTGTTCTACAATACGTTGATAATCTTGATCTTTGGTTGGAAATTCTTTCATTTTACGAGTGGCAAATGCATTTCTCCAAAGTACAGTAATAAAGTTTTTAAGTACTGAACTTGGCAGATAATATTTTCCTTCTTCTAGTGGCATTTTTGGAATATGCTCTGTCAAATAGACAGTCAATAGGAAATGTTTTAGCTTTGGATAACCCAAAGCCAATGGTGGTGCAATGTATTCAAAATCTATCAATCTAAATCCAATTTGATGATAGATTGAGTGACGCATACGAGGATCTACAACATCTTGTTTGATGGTAACCTTTTCACCAGAATAAACTTCTAAAAAGATTGCATTACAACCTGGCAAGAAACCTTGACTCTTTGCATTTTGATCCAAAATTTCCAATGCACTTTCTACCAATGCTCTATCCAATCCTTTACCTTTGAATGTCTTTTGAACAATCAAATAGGTCAACAATCCACAATTATTGGCAGAAAAGTATTCAAATATAATAGCACCTTCAATAATTGGTTGTGAATTACTTGAATCTGATGGCCATCTCAATGCCAACAATATATGTAAATCTGATATATTTGGATCTTCTCTTGATTCCATTGAAAATGATATTCTCCAATTTTCTAATGGTTCCAATTCTAAAGGAAAAATAAAAAAATAAAAAAATAAAAAAATATTAATATATATTTCTTTTTGTTTCTATTTTTGTTTCTATTTTTTTTTTACTATACCATGTTTATTTGGAAAATTTGGAATCATAATTTCTTTATAAAATCTTTCCAATAATTCTTTATCATAATCTTCCCAAAGATCAACAAGAGTCCAAGGTTTACCAAGATCCCAAGGTAAATCTAGTAATGGAATTCTTTCACGCAATTCTATTTGTTCAATCATTCTAAGATATTCGGCATAGGTTTTTGGTGATTGTTTAATTTGATCATTACCAAAAGCATTGGCCCATTGCAATTCTACAAAACTAAGCAATAGATTAAATGGGATAAATGGACGATCATTTGCGAGTGGGATCAACTCTGAAATGTAAAGACCCAATAAAAGTTTTTTGGGAGACATGTTTGGGTCTAGTGGAGCTTGATAGTAATCAAAATCCAACAATTTAAAACCCATCTTGTGCAATGTAATGTGATGTTGACAGACATCAACAATCTCTTGACTCACTGTTGGTGATGGATTCTTGATATTGATAAAAATGGCATTACAACCTGCAAGATTACCACGTTCACGTGCATTGGCATCCAATATTTCAACTGTACTCTCTACCAACAATTGATCCAATCCCTCTACACCTCGGTTCTTTTTTTGAAGTATCAAATGGGTCAATACACCACAGTTTTGTTCGGCATAATATTCAAATGCACACAATCCATCAATCACTGGATTGGTTGAATTTTGTGATCCTCCAGATTGTTTACCTTCTGGCCATCTAACTGCCAACAATACATGAACATCTGGTAAATAGGTTGAATCATTTCCTTCTGGTGACATTGCCCTTAATACATTTCCAAGTGATTGAATTTCTGAATGTTTTACACTAAAAGGAAAATTAAAAATAAAAAAGAATTAATATTTTTGTTTTGTTTTTTCTATTTTCTATTTTTTTTACCTTGGAACCATTAATTCTCTATAACATCTTTCTAATAATTCTTCATCATAATCTTCATAAAGATCAACAAGAGTCCAAGGTTTACCAGCACCCCAAGGTAAATCTAATAATGGAATCTTTTCACGCAATTCTACTTGTTCTAGGACACGAGAGTATTCTGGATCTTCATCTGGTTTCATATCGAGTTTTTCAGTTAGAAATGAGGTTTCCCAGAGATCATAGATAAAATTACGCAACAATACACTTGGTAGGTAAAATTTATCACCGTCGAGGGTGGGAATGGATGGAATGTGGGGAGACAGGTAGACTGTGAGCAAAAGGTTGTTTGTCTTGCCAAGCCTCTTTAGAGGTAGTTTGGTATAGTCAAAGTCAATCATTCTAAATCCAATATTAAAGAGAATAGAATGTTGTTGACGGGGATCAATATCTGCACCCGTCGCGGAAAGCATGCTAGAGCCTCCGACGCCGCCATTGCCGCCAGCAGTAGTTGAAAGGGCAGACGATCCAATCGATGGCCCTAAACCTGCTGATTTGGTTTCGAAAAAAATGGCATTACAACCTGCAAGATGGCCGTGTCCATGTGCATTACGATCGAGAATCTCGATTGCCTTTTTAACCAACATTCGATCCAATCCCATATTACGATACTTTTTGTGAATAATCATATGAAGAAATAATCCACAATTGATATTACTATAATATTCAAATAAAACAGCTGCTGCTATTTGACTTGATGGGTATGGTATACTACCACTTGACATTTTAGTTGGTTTATCAAATGTACTAAATGTATCTGATGACGATGATGAAGACGATGATGATGACGATGATGTTGGCGATGATGTTGGTGAATCTGCTGGTGGAATCGTTGTAGTTGAATGATTGACTGGTGACAAGGCAGCAAAGTCTGAAGCTTTAAATGCAAGTAAAACATGTAAATCTGGAATATCTGGATTGTCATGAGCTTCTTTGGACAAGGCTTTGGTCCATTCATTTAATGGTTGGATATCATTATTATGAAATGAACTAATTACCAATTCCTTCCAAAATCTTTCCATTAAACTAATATCATATTCATCCCAAAGATCTACAAATGCATATTCATTTATATCTTGTTCTTCTATAAATTCACTAGAAAAAAATAAAATAAAAGAAATGGAAAAAAGATTAATACAAAAAAAAAGGATATTGATCTATTTCTATTTAATAAAACTTACGGGGATGACATTGTTTATATATGTTTGTTTGTTGAGGGGAAAAATAATTTTGTTTGTTTTGTTTTTGTTTTTGTTTTGTTTTTTTTTTGTTTTTTTAGAATCTTTGTGCAATGATTAATAAAAGAGGATAATCAAATCTATTTGTGATACTATATAATAAATTTGTGTAAAAGTTTATCATCAAGTTTCTTTTTTTTTATTTGTTTTTTCTTTCTTTCTTGTTATTGTAAATGACAATCTTGATCTGATTATTATTGATATATTCTCTTTCTTTCTTTCTCTCTAATTTATATAAATTCTCTAATTATATGTATATATGCACACACAAGTAAATGAAATTTGCAAAAATGAAAGTAGAGTGAATGACAAAGAAGTGATTTTACCACTTTTTTAAAATTTTGCTTTTATTTAATTTTTGTTTGTTTTTCTCTTTCTGCTCCTCAACAAGTAATCATTATTGAAAAATGACGACGCTTCTGATTAACACTTCTGATCAGCAGCGTTGCTTTTAAAAGAAGGGAGGAGACCAGGTATGGCGCAATGGAATTTTACAAAAATCATGAACCATAGTTTTTTTTGGTTCACAGAACCATCTGGAGATGAGTCGACCGTGCAAACATTAGAAATATCTTTGTTGATTATAGGTTATAAAAAAAAGTATTTGTCTTTTTTCATTCTTTACTTTATACAGAGAATATGTGATATATTTATTCATTTATTTATATATATATTTATATATTATCTCTTTTCCAATGTTAACTTATTGAACATCTAGAAGGTGCAATAGTTTGTTGATCCAATTGTAAATGACCAATGAAATAATTATTATACAAGATTTGAAGCATCTTGTTTGAATGGAATTGTACATTTTCACTTCCATCTTTACCTGCAAATCTAAGCAGTGCATTTTTACCTCCAGGATGTCTGTCTATGTATTCTGTAATATCGTAAACTTTGTTTTGTATAATCATCCAACATGATTCTCTTGTATTGTGTCTTGATATCTCTTCCAAACTAAAATAATTCTTTTGATTTATCAATTCTTTTATATTACTTGGTAATATATATCTTAAATTTTGATTATTATTATTTATATTATTATTATTATTATCATTATTAGTATTAATTTGTTGTTGTTCTTGTTGTTGTTCCTTTACATTATTATTATTATTATTATTATTTGTTTGTTGTTGTTTTATATATGTTTCATTATTATTATTATTATTATTTTCAAAAGTTAAATAGATTGGAGCCAAACTACTATTTGTTTCATTATTAAATTTGACATGAGTTGAATCGCAATAGGGATATGATTTGGATTGTTTGCAAGTACACATTGGTATTCTAATTACTTGTTGCGATTGTCCATTTTCATTATTATTATTATTTGTAGTAGTCACTGGTTGTTTGTTTAATTGATCTAGAATTATATTATCTGGATCAGTCTCGGTGAATGATCGTATTGAATCAGCAATTGTATTGAGTGAATGCGATAGAGGTCGGTCTCGTGACAATGTATGTTCAATCTTTAATTTGGTAGTAGTCGATTCACTATAAGTGTAAGATGCACTATGATGTAATTGTTTTACATTGCTACTACTAGTCATTGTTGGTGATGCTAAACTACTACTACTTGAAGACGACCTAGATCTTCTTGCTATTTCTTTACTATTATTTAATGATTTTGTTTGTTTTCTTCAGTTATTATTATTATTATTATTATTATTATTATTATTATTATTATTATTATTATTATTATTATTATTATTATTATTATTATTATTATTATTATTATTATTATTATTATTGTTGATAATCATATCATCCATTGATTCTATATCAGGTAAATTGTATCCATTATTACTAGAACTACAACAACAATTTGAACATCCTCCTCCTGTTGGTGTAGAGGATTGATGATTAGTTTCTATATTACTTATCATCTCTCTCTCTCTCTCTCTCTCTCTATGTATATATATTGTATCTGTGTGTATAAATATATATATTAAATAAATAAATAAAAGAGTAAACAAATTACTTCCTCTTTCTCACTCTTTATATAGAATATTCAAGTCTAGAGTTGACTTGATTTCTATTAATATAACAAAGAAGAAAGGGATTCCTTTTAAAGAGAAAAGAATGGGATCAGCCACTATAATATATGTAATCCACAAAAAGTGAGGAGAGGAGGACCTGTGCTGAGAAAAAAAAGAAAAACAAAAAAAAAAAAATAAACGTTAACTTTTCCAACACCCTACTCTGGAATGCCAAACCCCGATTAAAAAGTTGGGAACAACGGGAATCATAATTTGTAATTTAATCTGGAAAAATGTAGAATAATATTAATATTAGAATTTATAATTATACTTTTGAGATTGAAATTGAAATTTAATCCCACTCACTCTCCTTCTTTTTCTTTATCTTTCTCTTTAAAAAGATAAAATTTTATAATTAAATATAATAATAATTTGAGTCAGAAAATTTTCTGGGAAAGATGATTTACTATAGTAAAAAATAGAAAGAATAATAAACTTCTAATACTAAATTTAATACACAATATTACAGCCTATAGGCAAAGAGAAAAAAAAAAAAAAAAAGTAGAAAAAAATGAATTTTGGGGTGAGCCGATCACTGATTCATTGTGTTGATTGAAGTTCTCTATCAACATTGAGTCTGTCTGAGGTTACTAAAAAAGATCAGAGAGAGAGAGATGTATAGTGCAGGTGATGATATTTCTGCAGTTGTAGTAGATGTAGGAACTTGTACAACGAAATCAGGTTATGCTGGATTAGATACTCCTACTGTATTCCCTACTGTATGTTGTTCTCAAAGACGACGACTCAAGTCATCTCTATCTCTCTCTCAATTGAACCTTTCTATTCACTCTCTTTTACTTACTTTTTTAGAGTGTAGGAATAACATATACATATGGTAAAGATGGTATGGTTGGTTCATATCAAAAAGCAATTGGCGATGGAGAAGATTTAGATCCAGATGTAAAGAAAACATATTATACAGGTCATAATGCAATCTCTTATAAAAGACAACATATGGAGATTCAATCACCTTTATCTGAAGGTCTAAGTATGTAAAGAGCAAAGAGAAAGAAAGAGGAAGAAGACTGAACTGAGAGATTGAGAGATCGAGAGAAAGAGTAAATACAGTCTTTATTAATGCAAATACTATTTCCTTTCTATTTCTAGTTAAAGATTGGGATGCAATGGAACATATTTGGAGTCATGCATTTCATGAACAATTAAATATCAATCCAGCTGAACATCCAATACTATTGTCAGAGCCAGCATACAATACACGACAAATTAGAGAACGAGTATCAGAGATTATGTTTGAGAAATTCCATACTCCTGCTGTATTTATATCGAATAATGCTGTTCTTACTTCATTTGCAAGTTGTAAAGCTACTTCTTTGGTTGTTGATTCTGGTGGTGGTGTTACTACCATTGTACCAGTTCATGATGGTTATGCAATTAAAAATGGTAAAAAGAAAAAGAAAAAGAAAAAAAGAATGTATATAATATTAATTCCTTTCCTTTCATTTCCTTTCCATTTCTTTTTAAGCTGTTGTAAAAAGTAATTTAGCAGGAAATAAATTAACAGAAGAATATTATAGAATATTATCAGAGAAACAAATCAAGATTCTACCATACAATTTAATTAAAAAACAAGAAATCAAACCTGGAGAATATAGTGTCACTCCAATCGATATGCCAGATCTTACAGAATCATTCAAGAAATATCATACTTTGGAAACTATTCGTGATGCCAAAGAATCTGCTTTTAGAGTTTCAACTTCATTCCTTGGTGAAGAGTAAGTAAAAAGGAAACAAAGAAATCATTAATATTTATTTTGTATTAATTTTTATTTTTATTTTAGTATTAGTACAGTTGCAACAGTACCATATGAATTACCAGATGGTAATTTATTAGAAGTTGGATCAGATAGATTCCATATTCCAGAATTAATATTTAATCCAATACCATTGAATGATTTGGAGAAACCAGCAACACCATACCAATCGCTACAAAAGATGATCTATGAAAGTGTTGAAAAGAGTGACTCTGATATTAGAAAGGAGTTGATTGCCAATCTCGTCGTATCTGGTGGCAATACTCTGTTCCAAGGTTTCTCGGATCGTCTCTATTATGAATTGGGCGAATTGTCACATGCCTTTGGAAAGGTAAAGGTCGTTACACCAAATGTAACAGAGCGTAAATATTCAGTTTGGATTGGTGGTTCCATTCTAGGTTCATTGGGTTCATTCCAACAAATGTGGATGTCAAAATCTGAATGGGAAGAATTTGGTCGTCCTCTTGTTGAAAAGAAATGTCCCTAGATAAAATTTAAACTAAAACAAAACAAAAGACAAATAATAAATAATAAATAATAATAAAAAGAATATTTAAATAACAAAAAAAATGTATATATTTATATTATTTATTTATTTTGATTTTAGACATGAAAACCAAGTTTTTTATGAACTTCTTCTTGAATACGAGTAAGATAACGTAAATAGACAGCTTGATTTAGAGCTTCATCATAATTATTTTCTTTAAATAATTGATCTAGTTTCTTTTCAACTTGATTCATCTTTTGTCTGTTGGTATGGGCAATTTCTTTGATTGCATCTTCATTTTCCTCGGCAGCTTCAATCTCTTCTCTAATTTCCAAAATCTCCATCAATACTTCTGGATCAACGTCACTAACATTTTCAAGGTCAAGTCCCTTGTCATTCAACATAAACTCGGCACGAAGAAATGGTGATCTAAGTATATTATATGCTCCATTTAATGCAGTTGCTTGATCTTTTGATAAATCTTGTTCCTTTTTTGATAGAGTTTGGAAAAGATCAGGATGTAATTTCTTTTGTAATTGTTTAAATCTATTTGATATATCTTTTAAATCAACATTATATTCTGGCTTACTAGTAGGTAAAACAAAAAAAGAAAAGAAAAGAAAAAGAAAGTTAGATAAAGTAAGAGATAGATATCTATCTCTCTAGATAGGATATTTACATTGAAAATATATCAAATGGATTAATTCTTTGATGTGGAGCTTGTACAACATTACATATTGAACAAAAGAATTCTTTTGGTTCAACATTCATCTTGCATGACCAACATGATCTTTGATGATGTTTATGATTTGTTGTAGAAGTACTATATTTAAATGTGTATTCTTGTTTATGACTATTTATAAATAATGACGACAATCTATTGTTGTTGTTGTTGGTTAAAGTTATTTTTGGTTGATAGTAGAAAGAACAAGTAGTACTGATATCAGATGTTGTCTTCTTCTTATTACTATTTAATAATAGATTATTCAATCTTATTATTATTGGTTGTTTATTAATTATATATCTTCCCAACATGTTTTATCTCTAAATTGCTATAATACAATGAAATGAAATATCTTTCATTCATATATAAGTTCGTCGACTCTTTTAAAATTTAAATAATTTAATTAATAAGACCTCCTCCGACTCTTAATTAATTATATTCATCCTTTTTGGACAACACCATCATTCTTTAGTCATTATTAAATACACTTTGAATTGTAGAAAAGGTATCAGTTGATAAAAAAAAGAAAAGAAGAAGAAGTTCTTTTAAAAGACACCAAATCTCTATTGTCAGTTTCAAATTTGTTTAAAAAAGATTAATAATAATAATTAAGAGAAAGAAAGAGTTTAGAGAGAGAGAGAGATGGAAATAGATTCAATAGAAGAAGAAGAATATTATCAAGAAGATAGTGATAGTGACAGTAGTGATGAAGGATTTCAACAAAGAGCATTTGATTTGGGAGATTTAGATGATGATAGTACGATGATTAATTTTGATGAAGAACCATTGACTGGTGAAGAGTATCTTCGTCGTGTACGATATGCAGCAAAGAGATGTCCCAAGGTGGTAGTAGCAGATATAGATTTGACAAAGTTGCCTGTTGGTATGAGGAGACCTTCAAACACCTATTTTACACCTCCTCCACAGATTGCGCAGTGTCTTGCTCATCTTGTTCCCTCTGATGATTGGGTTGACCAATTCTTGGAGGGATTTTCAAATCATCGTCAATGTTTAAATCATACTCTTTGTAATACTCCTACTCCAACTGCTCCTCATGAAATAATAAAATTACCTCATCAAAATGATAAAAGATCTTGGTATATTTATTGTTTTGGAAATCAATTTAATAATAATAATCAAAATAATCAAAATAATAATAATAATAATAATAGTTCTAATAATATTGAAGGAAATCAACCAACATTACAATTCTTATTACATATTGATCATGTTTTAACACTTCAATTGATAGAGTATCATGTAGAATGGTTAGAGAATAAAGAGTTGACAATGGAAAGGTATGTTTGGTTTTATACATTGTTGGCAGTGTTGGAAAAACCAATCGACGCCGATACAAGTGCCAATCTCAGGTCACTTCTCAGACGACTCGCCACTATACGTTCAAAGATTCTCACTCTCGAAGACCCATTACTACCAATTGTCAATATACTTTTCACAATTGTTGCTAAATATTTTAATCAATTGGAACCATCGCAATAAAGATATTGTTTCATTTAATTTATTTATACTTTCTTCTTTGTAAGGAGTCGCCCCCTTTTTGGTCAAAAAGTTGAACACCTGGCAAAGACCGAAAAAGCATCTGAAAAATACAATATATGTGGAGATTTTTCATTCGGTTTCTCTCAAAAGTGAGGCTTCATATGTTTTTTTTTTTAAAACTATAGGTTTCATTTTCATTAAATTACAGTTATCTCTCTCTCTCTATCTCTTTTTTTTAAAAGAAGAATGTCATCAGCACAAATCTATCAAGTACCGGTAGTTTGTAATGGTTTAAGAGAACCAGAATCTATCAATCAAATAGTAGATGCTTTAGATAAATTGGACAAGGTGTTTGCAGATGTTTATTCATCGATTAGCAACCGTATACAACATGAAAGAAATAGAATGGAGGGTATTACAGGTCGTCTAAACAACGTACAATATAGAGTCAATCAAGTGGTAGGAAGTAAAAGTGCCATTACTGTGTTTAGTAGTGCAAAATACCCAACTGAAAAGAAATGGCCAGACTATAATCCTCTATATGCTGATAAAGCAAGATTACCATTTAAACCTTCTCATTATAATTTACATGATGTTGTAAGTAAAAAAAAAATAGAAAAAAAAAATAGAAAAAAAAAAAGAAACAAATTAATTTTTTTAATTCTTTTTATAGAAAAGAAAAAATGAAGATATATTTTTAGAGGTAAATGATTTGGTATTTATTGAAAAGAGTATTGATGCAGCAAGTAAGGAAATATCGGTAAAGGAAGGGTTGGGACATTTACCAAGTCATATTCCAAGTATATCGAATTTGCTTTTATTCAATACTCAGGAAAACCCATACAAGAAATATTCAAATACATTGGACAATTTGTCGGGTGGTGGCGTCACTGGTGAGGATGGAGCTCCTCTATTATTGGGTGACAAGAAAAAGATTCTTCATGCTGCACCCGTCACTGTTGAAAAGGGTGATGTACTCCCCAGTGTCGAGGGTGGCAACGTCAACTACAAGACTGTCATTAATCCAGCTGAACTACCATCATACGACTTTCCAAGTGCACTTCCACTTCGTGGTGTTGCCGAGAATATTGGTTGGGTTGTTGGCGATAGCAATTCAACTATTGCACCATCCAATCAAGTTAGTTCGGCATTACCAATCTTTGAAAGCAGTGAAGCAATGCCATCTTCATCTACTACAGCATCTCAACCACCAGTGTACAATAACAACATCAACAACAACAATACTAATATTATGAATACTAATCTTCCACCAACAACTGGAGCACCTCCACCACCACCACCTCCACCACCTCCTCCAAGTGGTGCTCCACCTCCACCTCCACCACCTCCACCACCAAAAATGTCTGCATCTCTTCCAACTACACTCCAAGACGACAGTGACAATGAACAAGCAGACGACCAAAATACAGATGGATCTGCAATTGGAAATCTTCTTGCCGATATTAGAAAAGGTCACAAGAATCGTCTCAAAAAGGCCCAAGAACCAGCTGAGAAGCCTCTTGTTGCCGAGGTGGTTGAAGAGGAACAACCAAAGAGCATTATGAATGATCTTATTTTGGCTCTCTCTAGAAGAAGAACAAGTATCGCATCAACCAAGAAATCTAGTAAAAACAAAAAACAACAAGATTCTGATAGTGATTCTGATAGTGATTCAAGTGAATGGGAATAAAATAAAATAAATCACAATCTCATTATTATATTTCTTTTGGAATTAATTTAAATTATGTTTTGTTTTTTTTTTTTATTATTTATTTCTTTGGAATCTGTACACATAGTAATATAGTTGTTTTTTATAGGGGGAGGAGGTAGGGATTTCTTTTTTTTAAAAAAGGAAAATATTAAAATAATAATTATTATTATTATTTGTTATTGATGTTTGTTTTGGTTGTTCTTGTTGTTGTTGTTTGGTTGGTTGGTTGGTTATTTTGCGTCTTGTTTGTTTTGCCTATTTTTTTCCTTTTTTTTTTTTTCTTTTCTTTTTTTTTACAATAGTCCTATGATTTTTATATATTTTGATTAGTTTTTTTTTTTTTTTTTTTTTTATATTATTATTATTTTGTTTTGGATTAACATTTGAATTCTATGTGAAAATTATTATTCCGTGTCGTGCCATCATTTGATTATTATTACTATTATTATTTCTTATTTGATGCAGTTCTTGGTGGGTTTTTTGACCGCGGTTTTCTACCTAGAGCAGGTTGGAAAGGAGGAGAAAGCGTTCTGGCTGATGATCTCATAGAGTGCATGTTCTTTGCTGATTTTACAAGTAGCCATGTATCTGGTATTTTAGAATCTTTTTGAAAGCGTGTTGGGAAATCGGTTAAACCTTTTTCAAGGGTTGACTTTAAACTAGTTTCATCCAAAGGTGGTAATTCTTTTGATGCTTTAAGTTTTAATAATTTCTCATTTTGATTGATTGTACAATGTAATGTAATTAAAAACTAAAGAGTAAAAAAAAAAAAAGTATAAGTATAAATTTTGATTCCTTTTTTCCATTTTTCTTCTATTTTTTTACTTACTTCTTTAATATAATTTACAATACTTTTAAAAGTGCAAGATCCACCATTTTCAAGTAGAGCCAAAGCGGCAACATCAAGAATATGGGAAGGACTATCATCTGGTAGGCCACCATTTTCCTCTGAAGAGGAATCATCGTTATCATCATTGTCTGATTGTGCATCGGAATTTTCATCGTTTGATTCATTGTCAATTTCGTCTCCATCGTTTTGAAGCTTGAATCGTTTCACAGGTGCTCTTTTTCTACCACCTCTTCCATTTGAGGGTGGACTTGTTGTTGTTGTTGTTGTGGTGGAGGTTGTTTCTTCTGGCTGTACAGTGGCGGCGGCTTGAATGGCTGCCTTTGATTTTCGTCCTCTGGTGGGTGTCGTTGGTGGTTGTGTCGATACAATTGGTGGCGATGTCGTTGGTGAAGAGGTGATTGGTGGCGTGGTTGATTCAGTCTTTTCACTAGTCTCGCTGTTGGTTGGTGATTCATCTTCAGCTTTACGCTTCTTTATCTTTCTTCTCAAGCTTATTGGTGTATGTGCCGATGCTGTAGTTGAAGGTGGTGACGTTGTCGTTGGTTTAGTGTCATTGGAAGTGGGTGTTGTCACCGTGGTGGTAGTGGTTGAAGCGGCGGCAGCAGCAGCAGCAGATCCATTGTTTACTTCATTTGATTCAACAGATTGTTCTTCCTTTATAGGTGGTGAAACTGTATCATTATTATTATCCACCATTGTGCTCGAGTTAGTAGTAGTAGTAGTAGTATTGTTGTTATTGCTTTTAGATGGGGCGCCAGCTGGTTTCATTGGTGAGGTTGCCGATGTAGAACCTCTCTTTTTTCTACTTAGAGGTTGAATTTGTAACTTTAGTGACATTGGTTGGTCACCATTACCATTGGTTGTGGTAGTTGTAGTCGTAGTCGTAGTAGTAGAAGTACTGGGAGAAGTAGATGTAGCAGATGATAGAGTTTCCGTCTTTTCTTTTTCTTTTTCTTTTTCCTTTTTTACCTCTTCACTATTAATGGTAGCAGAGGTGGTGGTTGGAGATAATGAAGATGTAGATGATGAATCTGTCATTGTCTTGTCTCCATCAGCGTCTTCTTTTTCCTCTTTCAAGGTGTCACTATCTCCTCCAGTTGGACCTCCCTCTCCATCGGTCTTGTTGCCATCTGATTTTTCATCATCTGTCTCTTCCGATGGTAGTTCGATTGTCTTTCCTCTTGGTCCAATCAACCACCATCCATCCCTCTCTGGACATCTTAAAAACAATGGATTAACAGGTGATGCATTTGATAATGATGCCGCTATCACTCTCTTGTGATCATATGTATATTTTGATCCATCTCTTTTTCTTAATTTCTTCCATTTCTAAAATAGAAAAAGGAAAGGAGGAAGGTTAATAAAAAGATCCAAACAAACTCTTCAATACTTTTACATACATCTGATAAAAATGATTGAATTGCTGATAAATGAGCTTCACCATTATGTGCTCTTAATGCTCTTAATATATATTCTATAAATGAAAAGAAAAAGAAAAAGAAAACAATCAATGTCAATATATATCTAGTCAATGATTTCCCTTTTTTTCATTCTATTACATACTTTGAACTGAACTAAGTGATTGTTCTTCAGATTTATCATTATCTTCAGATTTATCACCTTCTTCATCGGTTGGATGAGAAGATGATTTCTTTGAATTACGACGACCTGTATGATTTGAACTGCTAGACTCATCTTCATTCATGGATTCTTCACCTAGACTCTTGTTAAAATCATTTTCAGATTCATCGATTTCGCTGTGATGAGCATCACTCATTTCATTTCCACTCTTGTCGGTGCCTTGTTCCTTTAGTGATTGAGTATATCTTCTTGTACTATTCTTTGAGATTGAATGATGATCATTATTATTATTGTTATTATTATTATTATTGTTATGATTGCCACCTCTCTTTTTTGAATGTTTAGTCTGTTGTTGAATGATCAATTGTTGGAAATAGATATCGGGTTTGGGATCAACATTGGTAGAGGTGATAGAGTCAATAACCATTGTACCTGCTGCCGTGGTGGTTTCCACATCGCTACTACCAACATCACCTATTGTCGATGCTCCAGAAGAGTTGGTTGTAATAGTTAGACTGGTGGTAGTTGTCGCCGATGCTGTTGCACTTGCACTATTAAAGATTCCAATGTTGACAGTTGGTGCAGTTACTATACTATTAATAGTAGTATTATTATTGGTGGTGGTGGCTACATTACTACTATTACTACTACTACTACTATTGTTATTGTTGTTGTTGTTGTTGCTATTACCACTACTACTGCTACAAGAAGAATCAGATGATAAAGTATCCTTCTTTTCACTGATACTTCTGTGAGGTTTACTCTTTTCTCTCATTTCTCTAATCTAATCTAATTTCTCTATCTATCTGAAATTGACCTTTAGATTAGTATACTTGTATTGGTGGAAAAAAGATAGATAGATAAATCGAGAAGTGAAATGAAATGAATATGAAATTGGGGATTTATTAAACAAAGAACAGTCTTTTTTTAACAAAAAAAGGGGGGGGGAAGGAGATTGCTTGATTGCAAACAAAAATAACTTTACTTACAATAATAGGAAGAAAGGTAAGGCGGGTTTAATTGATTGATGTATGTATATATATGTGTGCGATGAATGAATGATTGGCTTTAGAAACTCTTTCTTTCCCAATAACTCTACTATTTTTAAATAATACAATCGTGTTTTTTGTTGTTCTGTTGTTGTTGTTGTTTCTTTGTCTTTTTGATATTTTTAAATTAAAGTGGACTATAGTGTCTTGTATAATATATCACAATCATTGATCCTGACACTATAGTCTTTGATATATTATTATTGTGTGGGTGGTAATTTGAAATTGAAAGTTGTAAAAGAGAGCAAAGGAGTTGTTGTTGTTGTTGTTGTTGTTGTGAAAAGATCTTTTATCTATCTAAACTGTTGATACTGATGATATTTGATTGTTTATATATAGTTGAATGATGAATGAACAATCTAAATCATTGAAATAGACAATTGACAATGTCTATTACTCTTTTATCAATGATTCCGACGAGATTGATTGTTGAACAATATGTTGCTATTGCTACGTCAGATGTCAGATGTTATTCTCTCTCTCGCGCGATATTTGACAATCGCCTTGAATATTATTATTATTATTATATTATCTTGACAAACTAACTACTACTATATATCGTATCGATAGATATTATTATTATTATTCTTTTTATATTCTTTTCTCTCTCTCTTTTTGATTGCTCGCGAATAAAATGTGGTACTGAGGGTTTGCGAATGTAAGTTTTATTTTTAATTGGTTTTTTCTGCTGTTGCTTTTGAGCGAACAGGTTTTTTTTTGAATAATGAAAATCGTGGGGTCACCCAATCCATTGAATGGAAATTTCCCGATTCCTATACCAATAGATAGAGTTCTATATATATAAATAAAATAATTCATCAATAATAATAACAAAAATATATATTAAATTTTTTTGATTTTATTTTATTTCTTTTTTTTTTTTTGGTTGTTGGTTATTATTATTAGTCGGGTTTAACATTATAAATAAATTATTGTGATTGGAAAAAAAAAAAAGAAATTAGGATGATGACAAAAGAAAAAAGAAGGGTCGACGCAAATGTTTCCTTGCTATTTGATTTTGATCGATCGATGATTATTTTGGATGATTTGAGTGTGAATGATTGTGAATTGATTGATTGATTCCTACCACTTCCAGTGTACACCAAGAATTTAATGATGATTATGTTTGTTATTGATGTTGTTTGTATTATCTCCAATCCAATTATTTTTTTCATATTCTTCTGCTGTTATTATTTTTTATGTTTATATTTATACTAGTGTACATTTTTTAATTAAAATTATTAAGTTATATTATTATTATTATTTTCTGTTATATTTTTGATTGCTGATTGATTTGATGATTTTGATGATGATGATGATGTAGTTGTTGTTGTCCCATTATGTGAAAAAATAAATTTAGTACCCTTTTTGTTGTTGTATGTTTTATCGTCGCTATTGTGATTGTTAACGAGGTGGTAAAGGTGGTGTTGGACGTCCTGGTTTTGGTGGTGGTGGAGCTACACCAGTTCCATTTGGAACCATACTGTTTGGACGTGGTGGAATCTTGGCTCCGGGTGGGCCACCAGGTGTTGGTGGGGGACCGCCAGGGACGGGTGGTCTGACTGGCTTGGGTGGGGCACCGGGACCACCACCGCCACCACCATTCATGTTGGGGGGAGGTGGACGAGCACCGCCTGGAGGAGGGGGTGGACGAGCGCCGCCGGGTGGTGGAGGTGGACGAGCACCACCTGGAGGAGGTGGAGGACGATTGCCTGTTGGGATGGGTGGTGGACCGCCCGGAGTTGGTGGTGGGCCGCCCGAAGGAGGTGGACGGGGTGGCATTTTGCCAGGACCTCCTGGAGGGGGTGGTGGACGTGTTGTGCCTGGAGGTGGTTGTGGTGGACCTCCTGGGCGTGGTGGTGGTTGTTGTGGTGCCACAGATGTTGGTCGTGGTGGTTGTTGGGGTGGGTGTTGTGGAGCCATCGAAGTTGGACGTGGTGGTTGTGGAGCCATTGATGTTGGACGTGGTGGCTGTGGAGCAGCGGCTGCTGGCTTGGCCACTGCTGCCACCTTTATCGTCGTACCCGTGTTTCTTCCACTTGGGTATACTTTATGTGTTCTTTTGAATACTGGTGGTGATGGTAACTCTTCTATCGAATGAAAGCTCCATCTTTCAGAACCATCGTATAAATCTATACATAATATAATAAATCAATCCATAATTTAAATTCCATTATAAATGTTTATGTACCAAGTAATAATAGTATTCGAAAGAAAGTTGTTGTTTGTTGTTTGTTTGTTGTTTGTTGATGATCCAAGTTTTAGGGAATGAAAAAAAGGTTAGTATGTATAATTATTATACTACTTTATGTGTATAGTTCACTATATTTAAGTCTAAAATTATTACCATTTTCTTGTGGTTGCATTGATCTACTCATTGAATTATCAAACTAGATGCTGCACTCCTTTTTTTTTTTTTAGTTTCTCTCTCTATCTCTTCTCTCTCTCTATATTCTTCAGATTCCCTTCTCTCCCTATATTTGTTCCCTATAACATATAAGATAAATGATTGTATTAGTATATTTAGATAATATAATGTGATCTATAGAATAAACAAGATGTAACAAAAAAGATAACAACTCCTATAGTGCATGCATATAGTAGTTGTTGTTGTTGTTGTAGCTGATGTTTCCTTCAATCTCCCTTTTCCTCTTCTTTCGCGCTCTGTCTGTTATGATCTTTACTTTTTGTGATTGTTGTTGTTGTTGTTATGATTATGTGTTGTATATAATATGAACTATCGTATATAGGAGGAATGAATGGATGGAATCGAAGTTTAATAATGGCAAGCCTGATTTACAAACAGGGATACAGTTGTAAAAATCAAGCAAAAAAAAAAAAAATCAAAAATGTTATTTTTTCTGATAATGGTTGGTGAAGTGTACAGAGCTCGATATCTATCTTTATCTTGTCACAATATAAATGAGGTTGATGGGCAAGCATCAACAAACTAAACTAATGATTGATAGCTTGTCAATTCAAATTTATTTATTTGTTGACACATACATAATAATATTATTATTAACTGACACTGTTTAGCTTCTTCTTTTTACTTTTCGTAGCTGTAAATATACTACTATCTCTCTATTACTTCTACTTCTACTACTACTACTCTATAGGTAAATTTGGCAGTTTCTAAAAAAGATAGTATATAGTATAGGGAAAACAAAAACAATGAACTGACAAAAAATTTAATATAACATAGACTGGAATAATAATAATAATTATTCAAACAACCACGTTTTCCTCCTCCTCCTCCTCACGATAAATCTTGGTTTTATTACAAAACTACCACCACCACCCCCCCTCTTCCTATCCGTCACTGCCTATTCCCACACAGTTATCGCAAACAAACAAACAAACGAATAATTGAATTTAAATTTATTATTATTATTATTGGTACCCAAAATTTTGTAGTGTCTAATACACTTGGTTGTTGGGAATCATCACAATGATAATTGGATATCTAAAAATAGATAAAAATTATTATTATTTTTATATTTTATTTTATTTTATATTTAAATTTTTCCAATGATTTTATACAGATTCTTAAAAAGATGATAGAGTCTCAAGTCCAGACTCTATTCTATTCTATTCTTGTTGAATCTTGAAGTTTTGATCAAAAAAACAATATTATAATTTTTTGGAATTTTTTTTTAAAATTTTTTTCTCATTCAAGCTTTGCTCAATTTAATCTTGTCTTTTCTTTGTTTTTTTTATTATCTCTTTTAAAGATAGATTTATTATATACATATAATTTGTTGTATTATTCACAAAAAAGAAAAGGTATAGAGAGTAGAGAGAGAGAGAGAGAGAGAGAGAGAGAGAGAGAAGAGAGAAGAGACTTTCATTTACTTCCTCTCTTTTGTCGTCTTTTTAAAATATCTTCTAACTTTTTCTTTCTTCTTCTTCTTCTTCTTCTTTTTCTTCTACCTACTACTTAGAATATTACAAGTGTACATATAATATATAAGGAAGTAAGAGAGAGATAATAAAAATAATAGAATGTTTAGATTAAAGGAGCTTCAAAAGAAGCAACAACAAGCAGCCGCAGCAGCAGCCGCTTCCAATACCACCAATGGTACTGATGCTCCAGCTACTACTACTACAGCAGCTTCAAACACCACCGAACCAACTGAAGTAAAGAGACAAAACTCAAACGATCTCAAGGAAATCAGAAAGCAAAAGTCTAAAGAAAGCTATTTCTCTCTTAAATCAAAACAATCATCTGAAGCTTCATCAAACAAGAGAGCTAACCCTGCCGAATTGAGAGCTCAAAAAGGTAACAAAAGAAGAAGAAGAAGAAGGAAACACAACTTGGTTTAGTTTAGTTTAAACTTATTCCCTTTTTTTTTTTTTGTTTTTATTTATTATTTTATTTTAGATATTGATGAAATGGAACTCCCAATAGGATGTAAAGTTCACTTTAAAGATTCAGATGATATCCTCAACTTCCAATTAGATATTATTCCAAGTGATGGTCTCTACCAAGGAGCTACATTCAAATTTTCAATTAATATTCCAAATACTTACCCATACGATCCACCAAAGGTTCACTGTGATACCTTGGTTTACCATCCAAACATTGATCTTCAAGGTCACGTTTGTTTGAATATTTTGAGACAAGATTGGATGCCAGTACTCAACATTGGAACTGTTATCTTTGGTATGATGACACTATTTTTAGAACCAAATCCAGAAGATCCATTAAATATTGGTATGTCTAAAAACAACAAAAACAAAAAAGTATACTTTTACCATTTACTTATATTTATATCTTTTAATAATTTTACAGAGGCTGCACAATTGATGATGGATAATCGTAAGAACTTTGAAGCCAATGTAAAACAATCACTTCGTGGAGGATATATCGCAAATCGTCAATTCCCCAAACTCTTGTAATCAATTCAATAAATCATTCAATAATACAACAAATCACAATCCACTTTTTTTTTGGAATTAGACCTCAAAACAAACAAACAACAAATAATAGAAATAGAAATATTTATTTGACTATTATTGAAACAAATCTTCATCTTCATTTTGAATTAGTTTTTCTAGATAATTTATAAATCTACTATTATTAATTAAAATTCCATGTATATCGTATGACTTTGCTTTTTGAATATTAATAAAATCCAATGAACTAGATGAAGAGATGATATGATTGACTAGATCCTTTCTATAATGACAAAGAGCAAAGTAAAGTGATTTATCACAATGTTGGTCAAGAGAGTTTTCTACCAATAGGTTAAATAATGAGATGCTACCAGTTTCACCACAAAACCTCCATGGCATTTCTTTTCCAATAAAAGTTAGACCTTGTCTAATTAGATATTGTGTCATTTCAATAGTTCCAAGCATCACAGAGCAATCCAAAATGGCATTAAAATTGCCATCCATTAATAGAGCCATGCGCAAGAACTTTTCAATCATTTTAAAGTTGTTGGTTTCGATTGCATTAAAGATTGCTCGATCTGTTGGTAATGAAGGCACCACACCACCTTGAAGTGTAGATTTTTCCAACATTTCATAGTAATAGGCCATCAAGATTGGATTGGAATTTTCAAGTGTCATATACATTAGATCCAATTGATAAGAGTCAATTTCAATGAAAAATTTGAATTGTTCAACAGTCATTGAATGAAACATCCAATTGCCAAGACTCCTTGTTTTCTGTAGACTTTGTATATCTGGTATGATGGATTTAATGTATCGAGCAATAGTCATCACCTGTCCACCAGCCAATATGCAAAGTCCAATAGTTACACTATCAAACTCTTTCCAAACTGAATTCTGATCAACCTCCATAGACTGATAAATCTTGATTGCATATTCAAGTTGTTCGATCTTACAATTTGATCTTGTAGAAACAGTCTTTAAAACCAATGATTTTTCGAATATACTATACAAAAATCTGATTGCATTTAAAACAACATCATCTTGTTGTTTTGTCAATTTTAAAAAGGTTTGAATTAAATTGGTTTGGACAATTGGTTGATATAAAAGATGTAATTGATCCAATTGTTTAATAATTTGATATGAATAGGCAGTATCTATCAAATCTGAATGAACCATATTTCCACTACTAAAACCATATTCATTTGAAAGATGATCCACTATTGATTGTTCATCAATTTGAACCAATGTTTGTCTTTTGGCAATATCCAATAGAAAAGCTTTTCTTTGACTCGGGGGATTATGTAATGATAGATCAGTACTGATATACTTTTTAAACCAACCTTGATCAGTACTGATTGGGAAAAACTTTGATATCAAGTCAACGTTTGAACATTTCCATATTTTATCATCTTTTGGTAACAATTTGACAGTGTCTATATTGGGTATTTTCAAAGTCTCCAAACAATATTGATAAAGTCCTGTTGGATGACAAAGAGTATGGTATACAAATTCATCAATATTATCGACCTCTGTAGAGAAACCATTCTCAACCAAATAATCCAGTACTTGAAAATGACCTGCTTGGGCAGATGTCCCTAACAATCCTTTTCCATCCATTCCTTTGTAAAAGAGACGTTCTATAATGTACATATTACCATTTGAACATGCCAATGAAAATACGGTTGCATTGTCAAACAACTTGTGATACTGAGAGTACACAAGATCAAACAACTCCATGTCATTATGATTGCTTTTAATGTACTCTACTATCGATATATCGTCGACATGGAGTTTTCTTTTGTTCTTTAAACGATCCTTTATGATTCCAAAATGCTTGTCCACGATACAATGATACATGTAAATGTAATCATCGTATTTACATCTTTCAGCATATCGAAAGGTATCCATCTTGTAATTAAAAGGTCTTTCTACATTTAACGCCCAATACGATCCAATTTGATTGTATAGTAAATGAGATCTTTGAACAGACTCTGACTTTACTCTTCTACCATGATCATTTACTTTAACATGAAATCTAGTGTTGGCAGTGTCATTTGACAAACTCTTGCAATAATCAAATATTCTTCTTCTTAGGTATGAATGTTTAAATATAGATTGAAATAATAAGGATTCCTTTTCATCCTTCTTTATTGTAGTCATATAAATAAATACAGTCTGTATGAGATAATGAAAAGAAAAAAAAGATAAACAAACTTGAAAAAATAAAAATGTATCTTCATTATTGTTGTTTTAGAAATTTAAAAGAATAATTTATTTATTAATTAATTATTAATGTTTATCGTTTTGTTGTTAATTTTCTTTAACACAAAAGTTATATTCATTGATACCATTGGTGCCACAATAATTTAAAGATTCAAATGGGACAGTCCATGGTTTGTCTGCTGTACCAGAACAATGGAAATCATATGATGGATAACCGTAATCAGACAATGTAGTAGTGTTACAGTCAAATTTGCTAGAACCACTTGACGTGGGTTGACAGGCACCCAAGAGTCTGTATCTAAGTTCAACGACAGAATCCTTCCAATCGTTGCATTGACCACTGGTGTATCCAACCCAAACATAAGAGTTATCTGGAATTGAGTATCCAGTGCCAACGCTGACCATGTAGCCTTGATCTGGCTGTGTTCCACCAACTTCCAAACACTTGTTTAATGAATAAGTATATGGTCTGAACTTGTCACCAGTGCAATCTGCAAATCTATAAGGTTGAGCTACAACCTCTTGTGAACTTTCATCATAATTATACTATTTATGAATAAAGAATTGATCAGAAACACATGTGTCAATCTATCAATCATCATCATCATCATTGATATACATACAATTGAACCACGAACACATTCACCAATAATAGTATAGTGACTATACGATTCACTGCCATTTGTACAGTTGGTTGACATATAAGTAATCTTTACAAATGCTTTATTTGCATTTTGTGATTGTACAGCAACCGTAATAACCAACAACAATGCAACTATTAAAATAAATCTAAACATTTTCTATCCAAATGATATATATATATATATACAAATAATATAATATTATAATATATACTCGTGAATGTAAATGGTTTTTAACAACAAGGCAAGGCCATCCCCAGCGTTGAAGCGAGCTGCTTTGATCAAAGATAATTTAATATTCATGACCAGATATTTTCGACCTTATTTAAGATCTCGCTGGGTCACTTTTACACATGTTTTTTCAAACCTGAAAAATTTGGACAATACCTTTAACTATATACTAAAAAAAGATTGTTTCTCTCTCTCTCTCTCTCTTTAATTAATTAGTAGTAAATAATAAAAAACTATTTACTTTTTAAAGTGAAAAATTTAAAAAATTATATACATATGTATTTCCTTTTTTATCAACCAAGAGTTTTTACAACTTTTATATATAAATTTAAATTTTTTTTGAAATAAAAGTTTTACAAAATCTATTAAAATTAGATCATCATTGGAGTATTTAATTTTACAGAAATTCATTTTACTTTTTCTATTCATTCTTTATTCAACTAATATTAAAGAGATAATTTATAGATAAATACATTAGCTTTTAGACATTAAAAAAAAAATGAGATCATTTTTATTTTCCATCCTTTTGATAATATCAACTACCATTTCAATTGTTTATTGTGATACCAATACTACTACAACTACTGAATCATGTTTAATAGTACCATGTCAAGATATTCAATCCATTTGCATAGTAAAAGGAACAAACAATTTTAATTGTACATTAGATTCGAGTATGGATGAAAAGACCAAATTCTTTGGACATGGACATGGGGCATTTATTAATTAATCTTTTTTTTTCTCTCTAGAAGATATTAGTATAAATATATCAGAACTTCAAAGTTATTTAGATTCTACCAATAATATGAATGTCACTCAATACCAAATCCAAGTATCAAACCATGGACAAGACATATTAAAGAGATTCCAATTGAAACCATTGGTTCCATTAAAGTACTCTACAACCAAAACATTTTGGAATATCGATATCATGCCAAATGGAGACTTGGTACTCCCAAATAACAAATATATCAATCCTGGTCAAACTTTTAATTTTGGGTAACATTTTTAAAGATTCAAACTAAATGTATTTGAGAAAAAAAAAAAAAACTAATATCTTTACGTTTTTTCTTTTTACTTTTTTTTAGTATTATATTAAAAGATAATGGTATTAAACCAAAGTTATCAATTAAATCTTTATCCTATTAAATAATTGTATATAAATAAACTCACAAATCTATATTTTGGAACCCTTAACTTACGAATAATGATTAAAGGTAATATTTACCAAACTTACCATGATTTACTTTTTTTTTATATAAATATAAATAAATAATTGTTTTAGAATAATAATATTAGATAATATAATATTAAAGTAATAATATTAATAGAAATAATAATTAATAATTAATAATAAATAATTATAATAAATAATAATAATAAGTACTAATGATCATATATATATATGATTTATATAATTTAAAAATATATATTTTATGATAATAATAAAGTAATAATAATAGATGAGTAGCTAAAGGGTATATATATAATTATATAATATATAATAAAGTATACTTTTTTTTGTTTGGCCTAATACTTTTTTTTTTTTTTGTTTTGATTATTATTAATTGGAAGGTTATTGTTTTTTGGTTGGTTTTGTTGTTGTTGTTGTTGTTGTTGTTGTTGTTGTTGTTGTTGTTGTTGTTGTTGTTGTTGTTGTTGTTGTTGTTGTTGTTGTTGTGGTTTCTAATTTCGATTAATTAAATCCTATTCGTAAATTTGTTGATTGATTGGTTTGATTGATTTGATTGATGAGTCCTATCTCTTAAAAGATACTTGTAAAATTTTTCCTTCGACAATGGAGCCATTGACAGAGTTGATTGCATTGAGAGAGTCTGTAAGATTAACCATTCTTACGAATCCAAACCCTCTGCATGCCTGAGTGATGGGATCCTTTACGACTTTAACGCTAGCAATAGCGCCAGAAGGACTGAAAAGTCGATAGAGGAGAGCATCATCGGCATCAGTGGGCAGGTTGTAAACATAAAGATTGGTTGGATCCGAACCAGTTGACAATATGGGTGATTGTATGGTTGGTAAACTTGGCTATAATAGAAAATAGATGGGGGAGATTAGATTATGTATGATCAAAAGGGTGGGTGAGTTGGGAAAGGGTTGGCCTCTTTATATTACCATTGCCATTTGCGAGTAATACGCTGCCGGAGAATACAATGATGGAGTGGCATTTGGTGATGGATAGGGAGAATATCTAATTGGTTGTCTCTTTGATGTTGCTTTTTGTCTCTCTAAAATAAATGAATTAAATAAATTATGTTCTTTTCTTTTTCTTTCTATTTCTATTTCTCTTACTTAGGATTTTATCATCTTCAGAATCAGCATATTTAATGATGACAGGTTTATCAGATCCAGGGAATTTATAATTATCAAGTGCTTTGATTGCTTTGGTTGCAGATTCAACCTCAGAGAATCGGACGAGTGCTTGTCCACGACTGGCATTGGTGGCAATGTCGAGCAATACTTTGGACTCCAAAACAATGCCATAGGTGGAGAAAAAGGTATTCAATTGATCCTGTGTAAAAGTAGTTGGTAAACCTTTGATGAATATATTGTTACTTGGTTTGTGATGTTCCAAGTCTGGCAGGTGATGATGTTGATGTGTAATTGGTTGTGATAATGATGATGACGACGAAGAAGATGACGATGATGATGATGATTGAGATTCTGAATTGGCATATCTAACCAATAATGTCTTTTTTTCTATTTTTGCTGCATTCATTGATTGTATGGCATATTGTGCTAAAAATAGAATAGAATAGAATAAATAAATATGAATATTTATATCAAATATATATTTGATAGTGTATATTTTTTTTACCTGAGGCATTATCTTTATATTTAACAAAACCAAAACCTCTACTAAGACCAGATACTAAATCAACCATGACACGACACGATTCAATCTCACCAAATACTGAAAACATAGCATGCAATGTTTCGGTAGTAATAGTATTTGGAAGAAAGTTTACAAATAGATTACCATTATTATTATTATTGTCACCTCCGCCGCCACCGCCACCACCACCATTATGTGTAGAAGTGGTGTTGATATTATTATTGTTGTTGATATTATTATTGGATAGAGCAGGTGCAGATGATGCAACAGAGGCAGATGTAAGTGAGCTGGTGGTGTTGATGATCTTATTATCTTTGGTTGATCCATTGGTTGTATTTATAGGTGACGATGGAGGTTGTTCTTCTTCATCTGTATCACTACCACTTTCACCATTATTATTATTATTATTATTATTATTATTATTATTACTGTTATCTATATGATTATTATTGTTATTGACAGTATCTGCTGTGGTTGGTGTTTCCTTTGTTGTATCAGTGTCAGAGCTATCCATCGTTTTTGTTTGTTTGTTTGTTTTTTATAGATTACTAAAGGTTAGATATTTATCTAATAAGTATATATTTACAAAAAGGTAGAAGTAGAGAGAAAAGGGAGGAAGGAGAGGGATCTACAACAAAAAGATTGATGTGAATGTTGTTATAATGGGTGATAGAAATTATTTCTTTCAGCTGAAAATCCAACAAAAAATTAAAAAAATTAAAATCAATTTAATTAACTTTCACCCAGCACTTTGAAATGGTCATTATCGGCAAACGAGTCGATAAATAGTAGACTATATTCTCGTCTCTCTAAAAATGATTACAAATACTTTAACATCAAGACTATCATTATTATCAACAACCATTGCAAAGAATAGTAGTAGATTGCAATATGTAATCAAACAACAACCAAAACAACAATACTATTCTTCATCTTCTTCATCATCATATATTACATCTTCATCTTTATTGTTTAACAAATGGAATACCAATAAAGTAACATCTACATTCAATAATACATCATCACCACCTACATTATCAAGTTCAATATCCAATTCATACTTTTATAGATACTTTACCAATTCTAAAGTATTATTACAACAAAACAACAACAAGAGTGAAGATGAAGGTTCAAATCAACCAACAACAAATATTGAAACCAATGTTGTTGGTAGAGGTATGGATAAAGAGGTAGCATTCTATGCCGAAGAAGATCCAAATATTCAATCTGTATACAATGACCAAGGTATCAAAGTTGAACCAAGATACTATATCGAATTTACATGCACATACAAAGGTCCTGAAATGAAAGAGGAATGTGGATATAGATCAAAAAAGACATTTTCAAAACATGCCTATCATAAAGGTGTAGTTATTATTAAATGTGAAGGTTGTGAAAAATTACGTATGTATAATAATAATATAACACAAAAAAGGAATATATTATAAATAATATTAATAGGGGTTTTGATTATCATTCATTTATTTAGATTTAATTGCAGATCATCTTGGTTGGAGTGGATATGATGGAGGAAAAACAATTGAAGAATGGATGGAACAAAAAGGTGTTCCCATTCAAAGATATATGATTGAACAAGATAAATCATCAGATGATGTAGATGAACAACCAAAATCATTGGGTGGAACTAATGATAACAACAATAATAATAATAATAGTGGAAACTCAAAACAATAAAATTATAATATAATTTTATTTTTTTTATCTTCATCTAGAAAAAGAAAAGTACTAAAAGAGAGAGAGGGGTACTTTACAAAATAAAGTACTATGTCCCATGATTTTAAATAGACAAATTAGTTGACAATTTAATAATATAGTTTGAGAGTATTGTATGTTGGGGAAAATAAGTGCTATGGGAGCTTGTTACTTTGCTAGATATTAATGATTATGTCCACAGAATATCCATTCTACTGCGTATAAAAAATGATAGTATTGGGATTCATTCCCTAACTATCAGTTTAATCAAGTCCCGCCATCACAATGATCCCTTTTTTTGGTTGGTTATATTTTTAATGATATCATTACAATTATTATGATTGTTGTTGTTGTTATTGTTTATTATAAGAATCTTTTTTTAAATAAATGGAATCCATTTAAATCAAGGTTTGAATTTGATTTTTATATATATATATATATAGTTATATTAATTTGTCGTAGTTGGAACCATATTTTTTTTGTTATTCTCTCTTAACTATCAATCAATCAATCTATTTTTGTGATGATTATTATTATTATTATTATTAATTATTAGTATTATTTGTTGGGTTGATTATTATTATTATTATATATTAACCAATGTTGTGTTCGTTTAGAATGGTAATTCACTACCTGCTTCGGTTTTGTTTAACCATCTGTTGACGGTTGGATGATTAAGAATGTTACCAATTACTGGTAGCTTTCTAAGGATAGCAATTACAATTGGGAATGCATCACTATACGTCATATGAGGAAAAAGATAAAAGTGATTATTAGTAATTAGTAATCACGAGATGATTGATTCTATTTATATCTCAAAAGATCCTATCTTTTTTGACATACCCAAACAAGTTAATGAATCCAAATGCCTCGATAATTAAACCAATAAATGTACGACCCAAGATGACTAAAAAGATACCAAAGAAGAAACAAACGGTTCCCTTTGCCTTCTTCATTTGGAAGAAAAAGTTGAATGTTCTTGTTAGACCCAACCCCAATGCAATACCCGATAAGAATAATAACTAATAACAGAAAGAAAGTAATTAGAATCTCTGTGAATCTTCTTCCTATCTATCTTATCTATCTATATCTATATATATACATTTCCAATGGCAAGTAAACCTCTATCGAAAAACATCATAACACCAAAGAAGGTAAAGAAAAGTCCCATACCAGAGAGCATAACACCGATTTCTAAAAGTTGATCAATATGATCGATTTGATTGGATTGATTGAGTGAGTGAGTGAGTAAAATGCACTATATATATTGATCTATCTATCTCTATTCATGTGATCTACACATTCGTTTGAACCTACTCTGTTGATCTGTTAACACCATTTTATCTGTCTCTTGTTAAATATATATGTATGTATATATAATGCGTAGTAGTAGTAGTAAAGTAGAGAGAGAGTACAGTATACTGAGTCTATGTATGGTCACAAAGTAATTCAACTTAAACAACGGCAGCTCAACAACAAATTTGTTTCGGAGCTCTTGTCTTGCTCAATCGAGTCATAACATTCGGTTTTGAAGTTCGAAGATTTTTTCATACAGTATTTTGTTTGACTCACCATCCAAACCCCCCACCACTAATCGGTAAACTTAGATTTTAACTTTAAATAAATAATAATAATAATAATAATAATAATAATAATAATATGATAGTAGTTGATGGAATGAATGAATCATCATAAAATGTAATTATTACAGTTTTTTGTTTTTTTTTTAATAATTATAAGTTGGAATTAATGATCTTAAAGTGATTGGTCTTCTACATAGAGGACATTCCTCTTTGGTGTTACACCATTCTGCTAGACAATACCAACAAAATAAATGTCCACAAATCGTAGATGTTGTATGTTTTCTATTTTCAAGACAAAGGGTGCATTTTCCACTCGATGATTCTTCATTGTTAATTCCGCTGCCACTGCTACCACTACCACCACTATTCGTTGAAGTCGATGAACTACTAATAGAATAAGGTTAGATAATCATTAAATATTAAAATATTATTATTATTATTATTATTTATGTATTTAAACACTTACTCTAATGATTCAACGTTTAGATCTTCATTCTTTTTAAAGATAAAGAAATTATTTTCCTTTAGATAAATAAATAATGATACAAATAGTTGAATGATAATAAGGAATCCAAGTATATGATATTTCGGTCTTCTTTGATCGACTTTACGATTAAATATATATCTAATATTTGATAGTCTCTTTGAAAATTCATAATAGGATCCACTAAAATAAAATAGCGCCAAGTGGAATCTCTCCAATTTAGGTAGGAACTCCTTGACAGAATAGAGGTTTGGAAATCTTTGGAATAACTTTGGCATAAACTTTTTAATCAAATATGGTGCCAATAATTGATAAAACATTAATCTACATCGATCCTAAAGGAAAGAAAAATAATATCATATTATTAAAAACTGTGTTGTGATTGGTATTTGTTTTTGTTGTTGTTGTTTTCGCCATACAATGATAGAAGGTAAAGAGAAACTATTATTTTTGATTTGTCTTAGATTACAATATTCTTCACCAAGTGTTTGAGAACCAAGTAATGTTGTCAATATGAAATATGATAGATTTGATACTAATTTTGATTCATTTTGTTTGTTCATTATAAATCTTGGTCCTAAAAAAAAAAGAAGAAGGGTATTAGAGTATAAGATCATACAATCATTTGACGTATATATAATCCCCTCTCTTTCTCTTTCATACCTAATAATCTAGTCAATACTTCAAATACTTGATCTTCAAATAGTTTCTTGTAAAACTCATCTTTTTGTGATGCTCTAACAATGTCTGGTTGATCTGCATATGAAGGGTATAGACTTGTATTATTTGATCTAAATGATGTTAATGATTGTGTTTGTTGTTGTTGTTGTTGTTGATTTCTATGATTGATTTCACTCCTACTAGTTGGGCTTCTATTAACTATATTATGTCCTATAGAATGATTATTATTTGCAGGTGTAGTAGGAGTAGTCGTAGTAGGTGTCGATGACAGAGTATTTGTTGTAGTTGTAGTAGTACTCTGACCTACATTACTACTAGTTCTTCTTCTATTTATACCATTATTCATTCTTCTTTATATCTATCTATCTATCTGTACAGGTGAATGAAATGAAAAATATGTATGTTGAGCTCAACAAATTAAATTGACATGTGATGTTGAAGGGATCAGCGATCAGAATTTGCTGTATAACACAATGTTTAATAAATTATAATAATAATAAATATTGTATTTTATTTAATAAATATATAGGTGGTAGGTAGTATTACATTATATTTTATCGTATAGACAAGTGAATTGAATTTCAATAATAATATTATTTAAATTAAATAGGTTTGATAGGAATTGATTTTTGGATGACATGAAACAGTTGAACTAAACTCAACCCACCAATGTCTACGATAAGTAGAGTGTTGAGTAACTCTCATAGTTCCTTTTACACTTGGTTGTTTCTTTTCCTTTTCCTTTTCCTTTTCAAGATCTTGTATTATTTGATTAGATACGATATCTTTAGAATGTTCAAATAGAAATAGGATATGTTTCCAATGAGTGCTTCCATCGCCTGGAGCTGTACTTAGTTCCAAAGTATTTTTAGTTTGTTTAAATGGTAGAGGTGACCTTTTACATTGTTCTTTCTTTTCAACAATCTCTCCATTGATATCTATTCCATATGATACCAATTCATCAGATGAATCATCTCCTTCATTTACAGAAGAAGGCACTTTATAATTATTATCAAGTCCTTCAAACCAAACTGAAAACCATGTACCAAACCCATGGAAATGACCATTTGGTAGATTAAATTCAAAGTTTAATACTGTTTTCTAAATACACAATAAAGTATTAATAAATAAACATAAATACAATATCTTATCTTTTGTTTTGTTTTTGTTTGATATTTACAGACAAATCTTGAATAGTAATAGTTTGAAGATCCAAATATCTAAATATTTGTGGAGTATCTAGAATAGATGATTTTGGATCTTCAATATAATAATCTCTAATTGATTTTGGTAATATTTCTTGTTGTGCAAATGGTCTAAATTTAGTAAAAAGAAAGAAATGATCATCATCATTTGTTAGTTGTTGATACTCATAGAGTATACTCGACTCTATATTTGAGATTTTTACATACATCAAAGGAGACATATCTAAACCAAAAACATTATCCCAACAATGAATCTTTTCATTCATAAAAGAGTCAACTCTAATGGGAGCAAGATATAAACAAGCTTTTGATGGGAATAGTGTACCTCCAGGCTTAAGTAAATGATCTCTAGCATAGATAACAGATTCCAACATACTTTCAAAGATCAAGAAAGCACCCATCCACTCTGACACTATGATATCGACAAACTCGGGGAATGTAGTATGCTCAAGTTTACCCTTTACAATGGTGACAACATCTTGAAGATTGTTTCGATTAACAATCAATTCAGCGTTGAATGCCATATCACTAGCCTCTACAGCATACACTTTTTTAGCTCCTGCTATTGCACAGAAACAACTAAGTATCCCCGTTCCACATCCAATATCCATAACTACCTTGTCTTTAAATAACTCTTTACTACCCATAATTGCATGATAATAAGCTGCTGTTCTTCTTTTATCCATTACCATTTCATTATGAATACTCTTTAAAAGAGAGAAAGAAAGAGACATTAGAATGAATCAGATATAATTTTAAATGATTTGTTCCTCCCCAACCCAACTACTTAACATACTTATTTGAATTTAATACTTACCACTCTGGAATAACTTTTAAAGTACTCTTGATCTTCATAAGAGTCTGTAGGGTTGTGTGGATGATGAAAAGAATAGTACTCTGGTGTTTGACAATCAAATTCATTGGTACTCCAATTATATGATTCTGATTGTTGTTCCACTTGTTCTTCCTCCTCTGGTGATGATTGAACAAGAGGTGGAGGAGGAGGAGAAGGTAAAATAACTTCCTCATCCTCTTCTTTCAATTCAACCATTAGAGGTGGAGGAGGTAGAATCACATCCTCTTCATCCAAAACAACAAAAGAAGAAGGCTCTTTAGCTGAAATCTTTAAATCTTGTATCAACTCTTTTCTTATTTGTTTAATTAATTCACTCTTGTCCATCTTTCAAAAACAAACAACAAAAAAAAAAGTTGAAAGATATTTTTGATGTCTCAGTGAGGGAAACCCAAAAAAAAAAAAAAAGATTAATTAAATATAATATTTATTTATTTATATCGACTTGGAAACAAGGATGTATAACGATCCCCAAATCATGATATAATATGTGCGTACTTGTATTCCATATCCAATTATGGATCATGGTTTAAAAAAAATAGAGGAGGAGGAGGATGGAGGATGGAGGATGGAGGATGGAGGATGATTTCGAAACGATGAATTGGAGCATTATTATTATTTTATATAAATAATGAATGTTAAATACTCCAATTATTATTATTATTATTATTATTATTACTATTATTAATATATTATTATTATTATTTTGTATGGGTTAATACTTTTTTGATTTTATATTGTTTTTGTTTGTTTTGTTTTCGATTGGGGGGGGTGGGAAAAAAAAAAAAAAAAAATAGTATTGATTGATTTTTAGGCCTTTGAAACACTCTTTTTACCAGTTCTTAAAACATCGACTGAATCTGGTAGATGTAAACTAGTTATAGCAAGTGCAACATAGACAATTGAAAGAATTGAAAAGAGTAACCATGGACTTGGACTTGGGAAACTGAGTGATAGTGAAAAGAGTGCTCCAGAGATGGTTGGACCAAAGGAACGCAACAGTGAGTTGAGTGACTGTGCAGTACCCTGTGTCAACCCTTGTAGTTCTGTCCTCGATGCATTGGCAATCATACCCTGTACGATGGGCAGACATTGCATAAAGCCAATTGAATTGATGGGCACGATGATCATGAGCAACACCCATACCATGGCCTTGCCCTGCACAATGTAACCCATAAATGTCAATGGGAAGATAGCCATACCAACAGCCAACAACATGGATCCCAAAAGATACTGTTTCTTGAGACCAATCTTGCGAGACAATTTCTTGAAAAAGGTGATTTGAAAGAGGAATCCAAATAAACCCAATACACTAAATATGATACCATTCTCACTTGGATCCATTCCCAAACCATGTTTATCGGTTGGCAACGATGCATACAATACAATAGATAATAACAAACCACCGTTATTATAACTATTAATACTACCAATGATAAATAATAATACCAATGAATGATCTTGTGCCAATAATTTTAATCCTTCTTTTAATGTATATTGTTTCTTTAAAAAAATAAAAAGACTTTGTTAATAAAATATAATATTGTTTTCTCCATTCCATTCTTTTTTTTTTGTTTACTTACACCTCCTTGTTTGTTAAAATCTTCTTGATTTGCATTAATACCAGGTTTGGCAAATCTAGGATGAGTTTCTGGGTGAAGTATGAATACCAAGACAGAAGAGGTCAAGACAATGGCTCCACCCAACACACAAGGATAAACATATGGATTCTCGGTGTTCTCGGCCAGTTTAACGACGATACCACCCAACGTCGAACTAAGACACCTCGACAATGCAAAAATAGCCCCCAAGTATGCAAAAATGGCTGGGCGATTTCTCTTGTCAACCATATCTGCCAACGTAGCTTGACAAAGTGCTGTAGTATTACTAAATATACCTTCTAAAAATCTTACTCTAAAAAAATTAAATTAAATTAAATAAAATATTAATTAATCTTTATCTTATTCCATTTTCTTTTTTACTTTTCTTTTCAATCAAACTACTTACATCATAGCAAGAACAAGATTTGGCATGAATGAAAAAATGGCAGTTCCTATACCAGTTGAAACGAGTGATAATACGAGAAAAGGTTTACGACCAAAACGATCGGACATGTGACCAAGATAAAACGATGAAAAGAAACGAGCCAGTGAATAGCAACCTATTAAAAGACCGGATGCCCATCCAACCTCTGACTCTTCGAATCCCCACTTTTCCTTTAAAAGTGATGGTAGGAATGGTTGTACCAGTGTAAGTGAAAGACCGTCCGACAAGACAGCCGAATAGATGACCAAAATACGTATCCATTGTTGACGTGAAATGGCTGGTGGCTCTTCGGGTTCCATCATTAACTTTTCGGCATCTGTCTTGTTTCGTTCTGAACTTTCTCTAATAGTAATAGAATCATCTATAGATACTGGTTTAAGTGATTTCATTTCGATACCATTATGATTGTCTTCGTCGTCGTCATCTTCGTCGGAACCACTTTTACTTGTTGGTTTCAACAATGATGATTTTACTTGTTTCTTTTCATCTAGATTAATGTCATCGTCGTCATTATTATTATTATTATTATTACTATTAATATCATTATTATTGTTATTATTACTAGTTGTACTTGTTGTAGATGTTAATATTACACCATCTTCTGTTCCTCCTAACCGAGTCGACTCGTCTTGGTCATCATCTGCTGCTAGATGGTTGACAATACGATCTGAAGATGACCTGACATTTGAATAGTCTTTTGTCATTGTATATTATTAATATTATTATTATTATTACTACTATTTGAGTTGGTTGATATTATGATTATATTGAATGAAATTCTATTGTTGTAGTTAGATTGTTAATCACCACAAACACTGTAATTACTATACATAGAATGAATGATATGTATAAAAGGAATGAAACGTTATTTAATAAATAAAATAAATAGGAGGTAGGAAATGAATGAATATGGATATTTAATAAATAATTTATTGTTGTGTTTGTTTGTGATATCTTGATTGATATAGATATAATATATATAATGTCTGAGAGAGAGTATGAATTATTATAATTAATTATGACGATACTATTATTATTACTACTACTCCTACTATTGCTGCTGCTGTGGGTGATAGTGCTGTTGTGATGGTGGTGATGATAAAAATCGTGTTGTGCAAATAACAGAACCTCTTCTAAGTGACAATTGAGTATTAGAGCACCAATGCATGGAAACACCAACAATAAACAAAAAATGAATTAAATTAATTAAGATTTATCGTATTTCGCAATTCGTTTTTGTTGTTGGTGGAGTGATTCGGAACCTTCTTCTATGTAACTTGTTTTTCGCAATTTAAGACAGAGGTGATCTTTGCTCCACTGCGGTATACTCAGACTTCCCGTCCCTTCAAACGAATCGATTCGACCTTCTTTAGTATTTGATGGTGCATCGATCTGATCTTATACTCGAAAACATAGATTTTTTTTTACTCTTGGTACCCAAGTATTAATAAATAACAGACACCCCTCCTCAGACCAAACAGCACTTTCACCTTGGGTATTTTTATATATATCTATTAATACAAGTAAAGAAAGAAGATTAATTATAAAACTTAAATTAATTAATATTAATACAGATGAAGTGAGAGAAGAAAAAAAATCGTCAAAGCTTTGGTGATCTTTTTTTTTTCTGTTCATCAAACTTATAGATACCTCAATAGATAATTTCTAGAATGAACAAAAGTATGTACAGTTCAGAAGTAGATAGATAGATAGTGTTACAACTTTAATTATTCAGACCAATATTCGACTAACAACAATTCAAATGATCATCATTATTTAGATTCAAATAGTTTCAGTCAGCTGACTTGGTGTTCAAACTATCTATATAGTAATCATTGGAGAACAAATACTCCTACAAAGGTCACCTATTGTGTATGTTATCAAACATGAATATATATATATATCAACAGTATCATTATCATCATCTAAAACTATATTTCTTTTTTGTTTTTAATAGGAGATTGATAATGGATTCCAAATGACAAGAAACTATAACAAAAATGCAACTACTTTGGCTCAACAAATCGTACAATTATGTTTATTTTTAATCTTTGTTTGGATAATGGTTTAAATTTGAACAATAGATATTACACATTCTAATATCGATGTTGGAAATTATAATAACACAATCTATATACCTTAACATACATGGATGAATATATAAATGGCACAATCTATTATTTTGATAACATAATGGTTTAAATCCTACTACTACTACTGCTACTACTATCAAATGGAATGAAAAGAATTCAACACTTTAGTTAGTGATTGAAAGACTAATATATTTTATCTAAAAAAAGAAAAATTAGAATATCATAATGCAAGAAATTATACAATAAATACATTTTCTATTATATTATATTATGGACTAAATAATCCTATAAACCAATGAACCTAAAAAGAAAAAAAAGAATGAGATTTGTTTTTGATTATTATTATAAGTGTATCTAAAATTTTATTAAAAAGGGAGGGAAAAGAAATTGATTAATTGTGATTGTATCAATCATCCTTGTTATACTGCCCATTGAAAGAAATTTAATGGTTGTTTGGTTTGTTCGGATATATCGCTGACTGGTCAGAGAAATAAATATAGTTTTTGATTGGTTTTTTGAATAGAGATTTGGTTTCTAAAATGTGTACCTAAACTAATTAAAATTAGTTTCCTTTTTTGTTTTGTTATTATTATTAAATTATTATTATTATTATGATTTTGATTATTAATTATTATAATTATTATTATTTTGATTGTGTTTTAGATATAAAAATTGGGTATTTACGTAAGAAAAAAAATAAGAGAGAGGGGAAAAATAAAAAGATTTTGATTTTGATAGTTTTTTTTTTTTTTGGTGATGAGAGTATATAAGGGTAAAATTGTTTTCCTAACAGATTAATCCTATTAATATGATAATATAGTAATTTGGAATGGTGGTGTGAATGATATAATGATGAATGATATAAAATTAGTTTTTTTTTTTTTTTTCCTTTTTCTCTCGTCCTTTTTGATATATCTTGTCTTGGTTGCCTGGTTATTTTGATAAAGCTTCTGGGAACTTTTGATAATAGATTGTTTCGGGGATGAATTCAGCCGATAACATTTTACTAGAGAACCATCTTCTATTCAACTTGCTAATGGCAAGAGCGGCCATATCGCTATTGTCATACTTGAGGTAGATGTAACCTTGACTGTATCTATCTAAAAATATATGTTTAATGTTACCAAAGTTGGTGCACTCTTCTTCGACATCCTTTTGAATCTCTTGTGGCCATTCATCGCCAGTTTCCGAGTCTGGATCAAACATGTTTTTGAGTACCATACATGGAGATGGCGCAACGACAGCGACCACCTCTACAACAGCGGGTGACGAGCCAACAGCAGCAGCAGCCGACCCAGTGGGAGTAGTGAGTGATTGTTGTAGCTGTTGTTGGAGCATTTGTTGTTGTTGTTGGAGTTGCTGTTGTTGTTGTTGCAACATGTGTAGTTGTTGTTGCTGGATCGTCATACCGTATGGCATGGCACCCAACAACCCAGTACCAGGTGGAGGTGGAGTGGTGGTTGCGGCGGCTGCAGCAGCCGACCCAGGGACGGGCAGTCCTTGGAGCTTGGCCGTCAACGCGATCTTGGCTTGTGCGCTCAATGGCGCGCTTCCCTCCTCGTCGTCGAGCGAGCCCATTGGCTGATACATCTGTTGTTGTTGGAATTGCATACCAGCCTGTAAAATATGTGGGTTGATAGGGATGAGTGGGTTGACGCCGGCAATACCAATCACGTGTTGTTGCTGTTGCTTACGGACACCCCCGCTGTTGATCTTGTCCTCTGACACAAAGGTGATCTTGAGTGGCTTGCCAAGCAAGTCCTTTCCGTTGAGATCGGCATGGGCTCGAGCAGCAGCTTCCGATGTCCTAAACTGTACAAAGGCATACTTGTAGATGCCTGGCTTGATATGAACATTGATAAAGTCCACCTCACCATATGGAACAAACAATGCCCTGATCTGCTCCTCGGTCATTCCCAAATTCAAAAATCCAACATACAATCTACTATTATGTGCAACCGTTGATGTTGTATTGTTCTTTAATGTTGTTGGATCTGCATTTGTTGCCATCAATGATGTTGCATCCATTGCAGTTGTTGCTCCAATTATTGTTGTTGCTCTAGATAGGTAAAAGTATAAATAGGTTAGTTATATAAATAAGTAAATAGATTTAAATCTTTTGTTTTGTTTTGTTTTGTTTGATTACATACGTTGATTTTTTCTCTGGTTGTACACGATGTACAGCAATGGTATGACCTAAAACTTTTTGACCTGTTAATTTAACTGCTTCGTCAACCATATCTTTTTCTTTAAATTCTACATAACCTACACCTTTTAATTTTCTAGTGATACGATCTACCACTAAACTAACCTAAATAGATTAAAAATAAGAGAGAGAGAGAGAAAAAGAGAAATAAATGTTGAGTAATTGTTGTTGTTTTGAATTTAGAGTTCTTTTGTTATTGTTCTTTCTTACCTTTACAACTTTACCAGCTTGAGCAAAGAAATCATACAAATCACTTTCATGAACCTTTGGTGATAGATTTTGAATAAAAGCAGTACGAAGATCCATTTCTTCTTCTTCTTCTGGTGTCAATTCAGGGAGAACTGGTTCAGGTGGTGGAAGTGGTCTATCACGACGTTCATATGGTCGGTCATAACGACCTCTATTACCACCACCATATGATCTACGATCATCATAATCACGGTCTCTATTATTGTATCCTCCGCCACCGCCACCACCACGACGATCTCTACTATCATAATCTCTGTCTCTATAATCTCTATCTCTGTCTCTATTGTCTCTATAATCTCTTTTATCTCTATAGTCTCTATCTCCTCCTCTGCTGTCTCTATTATCTCTGTAATCGCGATCTCTATTGTCTCTATTGTCTCTATAGTCTCTATCACGATCCCTGTAATCTCTTTTACCTCCATCTCTATCACGAGAGTCTCTCTTTTTCTCCTTTTCTATTGATTGAGCAGATGTAGAACCATTACTGCTTGTCGATCCAGATTCATTTGAATTGGTTGATTTTCCTCCATTCTATATAAAAAAGGAAAGAATAAAAGTAAATGTAAATGTAAGTAACTCCTCTTTTAAAATGATAATAATATATCTGTCTTTTGTCTGCTGTTGTTTGTTCTATAAGTACATACGGCAAAATTACTAAAAGAAGCCTCTAGTAAGGCGTCTACATCAACATCGGTACTCATGATTTATAACTGTATTTATCTATACTGTCTGTCTGTATTTATGTATGTCTTTTAGAAAGTTTCAAACTAACTACTGTCGAAAACTCTCAATCGACTTTATCAGTTTCAAAAAAGTGAAAAATTTTAAAAAAAAAAGATTTAATAAATAAAACTAAAAATAATTATTTATAATATTGGACAACCTGTTGTGGATTTCATTATTGGATGATCGATCCTTTGTGAGTGTTCAGATAATAGATTAACTATGTAAATGGAGGTTCTATGAGGTGGTGGCTGATCGACTCCAACCACTGGTAATTTCATATCGAGATGTTGAAGTACCTCGGTAGTCCATGATTTGCAATTATGGTGGTTCGGCGGTGCATCGAATTGAAATCCATGTGTCACCTCATGACACACAGCCATCACTTGCTGACGAGAAAGTTCTGTCGTAGCAACCAATGTATTGCTTTTATTATTCGTAGAGTTTGGATCGAGATAATAGAATCCGAAATGTGCCTCACCATTGTCTTTATGGAACATGTGCAAACAAGTAGGGTTGTACATTACTGATTCATGATAAAGTATAGCCCAGTGAGAAAGAAGACTTGCTGATGACATATTACTTACTACCTACTGGTTCATGTCGTTCCAGTTGCAGTCGAGGTCGATGAGTCCGTTGATGATTAAAAAGATAGAGATAAATATTGATCATTGAACACATCAAATCTGTGGTTAACAACTTTAAAGTTATAATATAACTTTAAAATACAAAGATCTTCACAACTATTTTATTTATACGAAAAAAATCAAATTAAAACAATTCTTTGGATTTTCTCCAATCCAGCACGCTGGTGATATATACTTTATTATTATACTATACCACTACCTTATAATCTATTCTATTTGTTCTATATTTATATATTTGAAAGAATGTCATCAGAATTTATATCAAAAGAGTTTCAAATTCGAGCAGTCTATAATAAAGAAACGATTAGGGTGTATCAAGCCTATAACAATGAGATTGCAGACTATGCAGTCAAACATCAAACATTTACTGGATGTCCTCATTGGTCGACCGAAAGAACTACATGGATTAAACCTTCATTCTTGTGGATGATGTATCGATCTGGATGGGCACAAAAGGATAAAAACCAAAATAGAATACTTGCCATTGACATACACATCAAAGATTTTGAATATGCAATTCAAAACAATTATAAGTCTTCAACTAAACAAAAGTATCAAATTGAAGGTCAAGAACTACCACCACCATCCAAAGAACATAGTCAACCACCTGTTTCAAAGGTAGATAAATCAAATTATGATATCGTAGTTCAATGGGATCCTGAAAGATCTATAAAATTGGGTAAATTGGGTTCAAACATCAAATCCATACAAATAGGAATTAAAAAGAGAATTGCTGAACAATACTCTTCAAATTGGATCACTCAAATTACAGATATTACAAATCAATGTTTGGAAATTAAACAATTATTGGATAATGGTCACTTGGATCAAGCTCAATCATTATTACCAATTGAAAAGGTATACATACCATCATTTATTAAATAAAACGACAATGTGTATTATATATAATATAAATATATGTATTATTTATTTATTTATTTATTTATTTTTTAGTTAAAAAAAGATAACTATAATTATTGAAAAAAAAAAAATAGGATTTTGATTTAAAGAATTAATTTGTTATAAGTTGTAGTATACAATCTATAAATATCTGGTTTTGATTGAGCAAGGATATTTGGTTCCATCAAGAAACAAACGACTGTGGTAACAACACCAGAATAAATGACCTCCATGACAATCATGATAAAGGAAAAGGAGATACAGAAGATCATCAACCAAGAGATGGCGGGAGCTGATGATACGGCAAGACTGATAATGAAACCAACAATGCCAGCCAAGACGGCACCCAAAAGGATAGAGATGGAGAGTGCAGTGCTGATAAAGTTGTCATTGACGATGAGATCGGCACCACGATTCTTGACGAGGTCCATAGTACTACGTGCAGCATCACAATAACTCTTGCCGTAGATGGCTACCTGAGTATAGGCATAGACGTTGAAAAGTTGGAGAACAGATTCGAATAGTGACAAGATACAGTTGAGGAGACAACCAACCAATTGAACAATACCATTCTTGCTGCTTTGCAATGATTGTGCAATATAACGTAGTGTAGATACAATGGCGAGTAATAAACTACCAAAACAAATACTTCCAAACGATGTTGTAATAGCTCTCTTGAATGACTTTGCGGTTGGACTTGGTGGCATTCCAACACTACCATCAAGGAAATACCATGATGCAAATAATCCACTAATAGTACAATGTACTACATTTTTGATTACTATAAAAAATAATAATAAAGATAGATGGTGGTTGTTAATATTTATCTTTTTCTCTTTTCTTTTAAACTTTATCTTTACCATTAGTCACCCAATAAAAACTAAAGACCATGAAAACAAATAGAATGTTAAATGAAGTATCAGTAAAGGTATATGACATTCTGGTAACTGCCAAACCCCAAAGAATTAACCAAATAAAGTTTACAACCAATGAAGCAAATCCAACTCTATAACATGCTGGGAATCCTATAAAATAATAATTATAAAAAAAAAAAATTGGTTAATAAACTAAACTATTATTAAATATTGTTTTTTTTGATTTCTTACTATCTAATAATTCAATTGAACTTGTTAAAAGAGCAGCAGTAAAATCAATTCTCTTTATCAAAGAGATAAAGAAAATGAAACAAATCAATGCGACAAAGATTAATAATGCACCCATAAACCAATTGCCAGTGACAAAGGCGACGATACAAAGGATAATGGTAATGATAATATTAATGATAAAGGTTGCTTTGATGAGTCCAACTGCATGACGACGAGCAATGTGTAACCAACCAAAGAGATAGATGACTGAAATGAGTGCAGAGATACCGACAAAGGCAAGCAATGGATAGTTTTGTGAATCACCACCAACAAAACTTTCATTAATGACTGGTCTAGACAATGAAACAAAGTAGACCAATACCAATGCAAGTAAATGAATTACAAACAATACAGTGTATAATATGTCTTGATACTTTGGTCCATCTGGGAACTTTTCACATGTTTCGTTATATACATAGGTTTGTGGTGGAATAAAGATTGGTTGAAGTAATGGTTGATTATCATTTTGTTGGTATTGTTGTTGTTGTTGATTTTGTTGATCCCATGGTTGTTGTAATCCATATACTGGGTTTGGTTGTTGTTGTGGTACAACATATGGTTGTTGATTATATTGTTGTTGTTGTTGTTCATGTGGAGCAGGTTGATAATAAGCTGGTTGTTGGTATGGGTTACCTTGGTATCCTTGTTGTGAACCTGCATTATTATTATTATTAGTATAGTTTGGTTGAACATATGGAAGTCCTTGATTATATTGTTGTTGTTGTTGAAGAGGAGGTGTTTGATTGCCACCCTGTTGTAGTTGTGGACTTCTATCTCCTTCTAAACCCATCCTTTTCTATTCTATTTATAGTCAAAATACAAATCAATAGAGTAAAAGTAATTTATGATTATGTTATGTATGTATGTATGATTTATATGTATATGTATATGTATAAATATATACTAGTACGTGTGAGCTTTGAGTTTTGCAAAGAAGAAGAAGAAGAAGTAGAAGATAAATTACTCAAAGTAAAAAAAAATGAAAATTAAATTAATAATAATAAAAAGAGCATCTTGCAAAAACAAGAAAATCGACATTAAAATCTGGTACGCGACTCTGGACATGTCCATTTTGGTGTATGACCTGTCTCTCTTTAAAGACACATTACCCTAGGGTTACAAATAATTTCCATTAACCCCCAAACGAAAGAAATCTTACACTCAAATGAACTTGGTATGATTCTTTAACATGTTGCATTGATCGCGGTTGGTTTATTTATTTTTGGTTTTGGGTTGTTGATTGATTATTTGATTCAAAACAAAATATTGTATTGGTTCATTAATTAATCAGAATATACTAATACAGGTCGATATGGTTCAGTGATATATGGTTTCTTCCATCCCACTCTTTCTTGTGGAGCACTAAATGCATTTTGAACATATCTAACTCCATCAATCTTTACATCATCTAGAGGTTTATAAATAATACATAAATTAATATCATATTAAAAGTTAATAAAGAGTAGAAAATAACTTACAATCAATATGAGTATGACCAAAGATATGAGTATTTGAATTAATGGAACGTAGTTGATCATCCAATTGAAGACATCCAACAACTAATGGAAGATGTTTTCTAATTAGTTTTTCTCGAGGTGGTAATAGTTCACGTCTAGGTACAAAGTGTGAGAATGTAATGACATTCTCGGGATAGTTTGATTTGTGTGTCTCTTTGAATTCTTTAATTCTCTGGTCATTAATGTTTAAGAAGAATTGAGCTGCATCGATCGATTGGAAATTCCATTTACAATATTTAAAATCACCCCATACCTTTGCAAGACCTGCATAGGTTTCCTCCTTTTCAGATACCGACATTAATTCAAATTGTTCATCAAATGATGGATGATACCATCCAACTAATGGTACAATTGCCAACTAAAAATTAAATAAATAAATAATTAATTAATAAATATGTAATATTAAAATCTTTCTTTCAAAATAATAATAGTTATAACATACCTTATTATTAAGTCTAGTTGGAGTAGTATAAACACCAAGTTGTTTACATAATTGTTCAAGTGCATTCCATTTCTCAATTGAATCGTTATACTATATTTAAATATTTAAATAGAAATGTAAATATGAATATGAATATTTGTTTAAAAGAAAGTTTAATAATTTATTAATAATAATAATAACCAACCTTTTTATTATCATCTCTTCCAATCCAAAGTTCATGATTACCAAATGTATAAAAGATATGAGTATACTTTTCCTTTAACATCTTTAGTGTTTTTTCAATGATACTCAGCTGATCACTAATATCACCACTAATAATCAAAACAGAGCCTTCTTCTTGTTTTGGTAATGTTGACATGTATTCATAATTGGTTGGAAAGTCTGTATGAATATCAGATACTGCATATACTTTCATTTTATATAAAATTGATTGTGATAGAGGGTGTATGTTATAAAAGGTAGTAGTTATAATAATGTTTTGTTTGTTTTAAAATATAATACGATATTGTAGTCTTTCCTTTTTATACTCAACTATTAATACTTTTATACAATTGTAATGACAATAAATATATTCAATAGTCGAGAGAGATATTAAAATAGTAATATATATCTCTTGATGACGCAAAGATGGAATTTCAACAATCCCAAAACCACACCCTTCTTGTTTTTTTCGTGACTCAAGCTCATGAAAAGTAAAACTCTTCTTGAAATTTACTTTTACTTTCTATTGATCACCTTTTCTGGAAATGTTATGATGAATGAATATTTAATAAAATATATTTTTACAACGAATAAAAGTTGTATTGGAGAAAATAAATAGAATTGATGGAAAGAAGAAGTGAGAGAGATATTTTGGATAAATTTTAATTTTTGATTTAATTTAATTATTTTTATAATTATGGTCTTGGAGCAACTGGGATTCGGTAATGAGTGACCTCTTGTTCATCCTCATCATCATCATCGTCATCACTATCCTGTTCATCTTGATAGTATTGATCTTTTAGTGTTAAAATAGTTGGGAATTTGTTGGCTAATCTTGGGTCCAAGTCATCATCGTCGTCGTCATCATCACCATTTCCATGTTCCAACATTTCATCTGACGACCATTCTGATGTAGTTGTCTCATCATCGTCGTCATCATCATCATCGTCATCATCATCATCATCATCATCACTATCTTGATTTTGTTTTGTTGCAGGTGAAGGAGAATATACATTTTTGTTGTTGTTGGTAGATGATAGAGATGGAGGTGGAACTGGAGAAAAGGTTGATTTTTTATGTACAGGTAAATCGGATTGATCCGAGTCGTCAGTGACAAGACTACTAGCTTCATCATCTGCCACATCATACTCGCTAACACGTCGTGTTGGAATTGGTGGTATGATTGCAAGTGGTGCTTGTTCACTTGGGAATATTGGTAGTTGTTTTCCATTGGTTTCACTATTTCCTTCTCCTTTTGAACCTGATGGAAGAGGTGGAGCAGGTGGAGGTGTTGGTATTGTTGATAATTTCTTTTCTTTCTTTTTTGTCTTTTCTTCCTCTCTTTTTCTATCCTCTTCTTCATCTTCCTCCTCGGAATCTGTAAAATCATCATCCTTTTTAATCTTTTCCTTTTCTTTTTGAATTTGTTCTTTTTCTTTAACCAATTGTTTTTGTGAACGTTTCTCACGTTTTTCAACTCTCTTCTTTCTTCTTTCATCACGGTCTTGTCTTTTGGCAAGTTTATAGACGATGAGTTGTTTCTCGGCATCCTCTCTCTTTTTCTTGGGGTCTTCTTCGACATCCTCCTCACCTTTGGTAAATGGTTTGGCAGCAGCCTCTTTAATGTCAGTTTTGGCACCACCATAGACACGTGCCGACTCTTGTTTCTCCTCTAATGTGACCGTCTCGGCATCGAGCTGTACCAACCCAGGCAGTTTACTAATAACATATAATCTATAATCTCTGTATTCACGCAACGAGTGTCCATTGAAATAGTTTGGACACGCCACATTCTTCATCATACTCAATGTCTTGAGTGAAGGCATCGTACCCGTCAACTTGTCAATAAACATTGGTAAATTTTCTATATTGTTTCCATTGACCCACAATGTATGCAACTGTGACATCATTGGGAACTTTGTATGTGATGTCAATCTATTATCATCTAATACCAATGTTTGTAATTGTCTAAATCCTTCTAATACCATCAAGTCCCTAAAAAATAATAAATAACTAAATAAATATTACTTATTCTCATCATCCTATCTTTCTATTCTATTCTAAATTACTTTTCTAAAAAGTTACTTGTTAGATCTAAAGATTTAACAGTACCTCCAAACTTTTCTACAATCTTTGGATTGATCTCTGTCATTTCTCGATAGGCAAGATCTAATCTTTCAACACCTAATACATCCTGTTGACTCTTTTGTCTTTGCATTCTCTAAAAAAAAAAACGAAAGACAGTCTAACTCTATTATCTATCTATTTATATATATCTACAACAATGTAAAGTGTTTAAACAATGCAATCATCACACACCCAAAACAAAAAGTGTAGATGTGAATTGATTCTTTTTTTTTTTTTATTAGCCTTCCAAAAGACGCATTCGGCAAACCTCAAGAAAAAGTCCATTGAATAATCGAACCAAATCCAAGTCATTTATAATTATCTTTACACATTTTATTATTATTATTTTATCTATCTCTTTTTCTTTTTTTTTAATTTTAAGCCAATAATCTAGTATGTTCTCTAGGATGAGAATTATGATATTTACGAACCTTGTAAACAATGGCAGTTACAATGGCAAAAGCAACAATAGTTGCACCAATAATGATAAGAGTAAGTTCCCATGTTTTAAGACCTTTATCACCTTTTTTCTCTGGAGAGTCGAGGAAAAGGACGAGTGAAGATGGGGTAGTATCAAAATGAACAACTATCAACTTTGGATCGTATTCAGTTTCGAGTGTAATATTTACTGATGGGTCAATGGTTAAATTGTTGGCGGTTGATTGAAGAATGGTAAAGTTGGTGTTTGGTGCAATATCAAATAAAACGTCAAAAGTGATGGATGAATTGAGTGTAATTAAAATGGTTGGTGCCGATAGGAATGGAGTAGCCATTTGACTATTGTTGACTGAAATAATACTATGCTCTGCAATAAAAGAGCCATTGAGAATAGTAACCGATGACTTGTCAATGTCCAGAGTAGAGTTGAACATTCTAAACGATTGTGTGTTGAAATCGGCAATCGATGGTCTAACCCAAATATAGGAATGGTTGACTGTAAATTGACCAAAGTCAAAGTTGTAATTTTCGCTTGGGAACAATGACAATAGACTGGCTTCAGAGGTAAACGTGTCGGTGGTGATATTAGTTGGACCGGCAAAAAGAATAGTGGAATCGGGACCAACTTGGAGCGTACCAACTGTCAATTCAGACGAATCGATATTAAAGGTGGACGAGTCAAGTCTGAGTGTAAGGTTTGGTGATGTAAAGTTGAGATGAGCACCATAGTTTAGAGCCAATGTACAATTGTAGAGATTTAAATCGTTATAGTACAATAGTGAACTGGTTACTTGGAGTGAACATGTAGTGTTGGGTGTTGTTACAATCTCCATATTCTCCATATCGACAATGCCCAATGAATTGATTTGGTCTTGCAAGATGTAGTATAGCTTGGCCGGTGAAAAGTTTTGGATTGTTCCAATGGTGGTCTGGTTGACTGTTATATTGGTTGATTCCGCGCCATAGACATTGACGAAATTAATGATTACATAGTCAAAACTAACTGTTTGAACATCGGTAAAGTTGTAGGTTGTGAATGTCAAAAGATTGTAAAATGAAACAAAGGTTGCATTGGTCACCGATACATTATTCATCATTGCCAAGTCTATCCCTCTAAGAGAGATGGTATTGACAGAGTCAAAACTATTCAATGCGGTAAAATAACTGTCTTGGTTGGATTGGAATACTGGAATCGAGTTTGCTTGGTAAGTACCACTAAACGACGACAAACTTTGAGTAGTCGAGTTGACAGAGTTGATAATGGTACTATTAGACACAGAGATACTGTTGATATTGACTGCTCCAGAGACTGACGACACTACCAAATTACTGACTTGGATTAAACCGAGGTTGACTTGATCCGATACATTGCTAATCGAGATACTACCAGTTGCAGGGACCGACTCAGTACTGACAATTGATACAATACTAGTAAACGAGTCTAGTGTCAACGCACCATTAATCTCGGCGCTGTCGATCGATATTGATTGAGCAATTGAACCATTCAAAGATAGATAACTACCTTGACCAATTGCGAGTGATTCAAATGACAATGTTGCATAAATCTCTCCAGTGTTTGGAATAATGTTCAATGTAGTTCCTTCACCTTGAAGAGCGAGACTATAGGTGGATGTGGATGATGTACCAATCAAGAGTGAAGAGGTTGACTGTACATTCAAGACAAATGGGCCATCAAGGGTCTTTAATAGAGCTACTTGCATGGTTGTGTTGGCAAGTACCAACTCACTACCAATACTTTGAATAAACGATCCTTGACTATTGATTTGACTGTTGTTAAATGTTACAGTGGCAAGATCAATGGCTATGAATGAACCTTGTGGACCAGTGATGGTGGACGACTCGATATTGGATCCATCACCGAGAATGATACCAGTAGTGTTGGCAAGTACAATCGTGCTGCCAGGTGACGCTACCAACTTTCCGGTAAAGTTGGACTGTACGTCAGAGACAAAGGTAAGACTAGCTAGTCCAACAAGACTGAGTGCGTTGACTTGGAGAAGTTGTGACGTAACGGTTACTTGAGCAGCATCTTGTACAATCATTTCAGCAAATGGTGTGTATGTTGGATTATCAGTGGTGGCAGCAGCGGTCAAGTTATAGTTAAAGGTGAATCTAACATTTGCACCAATAATTTGAACCGATGTAATGTTGCACAGCGTAGATCCCGACGACACATAATAGGTGGTTGCAGGGTCTGCCAACGATCCATTTACAATGATAGAGTCGACACCAGTCAAACAATTTGGTGTAGCTCCTGGTGTAGCTATCCACGGTCCAGTTGTAAATGAACAAGTACTTGTAGCTTGATCATTACATGTTGTTAAATCAAATGTAAAACTTTCTCCTTTACATTGATTTATAATAATTGAAACTATAAATAATATTATAAATAATAATATCTTCATCTCTTTATATCTATCTCTTTTTTTATCTTTATCTATATACTAAATAAAGAAGAGAGCTCTCTACTGATCAATCCACATCATCTTAGTCCAAGCCTTTCATAATCATTCTTTTGTTATTTAAATAAATATCTTTGTTTAAACCTTATTATTTAAAAAAACAAATATCTTCAAGAAGATATTTAAAGTAGTTTCTCAACTATTTTGGTTGTGTTCGATGATGTTGACCTTATTGTGTCTTCCAAACAAACAAACAAGATGAAGATAAAATATAGAGTAGAAAATAAATAAATAATTAAATAATATTTTGACACTCTCAAATTTGAGGAGAGAACACTTCTTTTAAAAGTATTATTAATTTGCGAAGCAATATATTTTAGATATAGTGAGACGAAAACAGACCGAAATTTCGATAGAATTCGAAACTTTTAAAAAAGTTGGTCTCTTCTTTTCCCCACTCTCTGTCATCAAAATTATTTCGTGTGTGAAAGAGAGAGTAAAAAAAAAAGAACGAGTGATAAAATTTATACTTTTAGTTTCATAAAACACAATTAAATAATAGTATATATTTATAACTACGAGATTTAAAAAAAGGTTCATATTAATTCTAACTTACTTCCTCTTCTTTGTTCAACTTCTTGTCGACAAAACCTACTGTCCTTTCAGTTGTGATTTTTTTTTTATATAATATTTTTTTTTCACCTTTCGACTGTTCCAACAACTCACAAAACAAGTTCAGTATTCAAAAAAGTACGGTTCATTCTCTTATTATTTGTAACATTTATTATTATTCTATACCAATACACACACGAGTACAGTCGCATTTATATCCATTAGTCGACTAATCTTCAATATTATTACAACAAAAAAGGAATCACACTCTCTAGTATCATTTTTTCAAATCAAATAATAATACACGCGTAGAAAATGAGTCAAGATAACAAGTTATACGATATGTTGGGTGTCGCCCGTGATGCCTCTGAAACTGAAATCAAGAAGGCTTATCGTAAGGTATGTGTATAGGAAGGAAAGAAAGAGGAAAGAGAAAGAAAAGACAAAGAAAGAAACAAAGATATATTTATAAATACATCTCATTTTTTCTTTGTTTTTTTTTTTTCTCTCCTCTTCCTCTTACCCCCTTTTTTTCGCCTCTTAACAATTGTTCTGACGAAACTAACACGACGATCTATATATAATTATATCTCAATATATATTATATATATTATACTTTTATATTTACTTATATAATTTATAGTTGGCTATTAAATATCATCCAGATAAGAACCAAGAGCCAGGAGCTGTTGATAAATTCAAAGAGATTACAGTAGCTTATGAAGTTCTCTGTAACCAAGAAAAGAGAGATATTTACGACAAATACGGTGAAGAGGGTCTCAAGGAAGGAGGTCCAGGTTTCTCACCAGATGACATTTTCTCACAATTCTTTGGTGGAGGTGGTTTCTTTGGTGGTGGCGGCGGCGGCAGACCAGGTCAAAGAAGAGGTCCAAGAAAGGGTGAATCCCTTCAACATGTTCTCAAGGTTAACCTTGAAGATTTATACAAAGGAAAGGTTTCCAAACTTGCTCTTCAAAAGAATGCCAAGTGTCCAGATTGTGATGGGTAAGCAAAAAGAAAGAAGAAAAGAAGAAAGAGAGTATCAAATGACTTATATATATTTTATTTTTTAGTAAGGGAGCAAAGACAGCTGATGCAGTTAAAAAGTGTGATGAATGTAATGGTGTTGGTATCAAGATTGCATTGAGACAAATTGGCCCAGGTATGGTTCAACAAGTTAAACAACACTGCGGTAGTTGCAAGGGTGAGGGTAAGGTTATCCGTGAAAAGGATCGTTGCGGTAAATGCAAGGGTAACAAGACCATTCTCGAAAAGAAGACATTGGAAGTCAACATTGACAGAGGTATGAAGAACCAACAAAAGATAGTCTTTGCCGAAGAAGGTGACTTTGAGTCATCTGACATTACTCCAGGAGATGTCATTGTCGTTTTGCAACAAAAGGAACACGCCATCTTTACTCGTGAAGGTGATGATCTCTTTATGGAACACAAGATCACCTTGTTTGAAGCCTTGGCCGGTTTCACATTCTACATTACCCATCTCGATGGTCGTGTCCTTACCGTCAGCCAACCAGCCGGCAAGGTCATCACCCCCAACGCCATCAAGTGCATCTATGGCGAGGGTATGCCCATTTACAAGCGTACCACTGAAAAGGGTCGTTTGATTATCAAATTCACCGTAGAGTTCCCAGCTGACGGTACCCTCACCCCAGAGAGTGCCAAGTTGCTCGAAAAGATCCTTCCAAAGCCAAAGGCTCAACCAAAGCCACAAAGCCACGACGGTTACTATGATGACTGTGTCTTGGCCGATTACGAACAATCCTCACGTCACAACCACGGTGGTCACTCTAGAAGTGAAGCCTACATGGACGAAGACGATGATGAAGAAGGTCACGGTCATCCACAAGGTGTTTCATGTCAACAACAATAAACAAGTGAGACTCACCAAAAATCTCTCTAATAAAAAATCAAAAATAAATATAATACATAAATAACAAAAGATATAGAAATGGATAGATCTATTATTTATATATGAGATAGATAGATATTTATTTATTTGTTTGAATGCATTATTTTATAACAGTGTCTAAGACAAACTTCAACAAAATTCTTATCATTTGTTTTGATTGAAATGATTGGTGGTTTGGCTATGAAATTGGCTTTAAATAAAAGTAATCCTTCTCCAGCTATTTGAATAGATTCTGATTCCAAACGACTTGATCCATATACATAGTTTTTATCATCCAGAGTTGGTTGTAATTTACCTAGAGCAAGTCCATTCTCAAATTGACATTGTATATTTGATGTTACATTTTGTAAATTTACTACTTCTCTTTCTTGTGAAAATTCTTCCCATTTTAATTTAAATTGTTCTTTATCAATGTTAATTGGTCTAGAAAAAAGAAAGAAAGAAGAGATTAATAATTTTGAAATATTAATAGTCAATATTGTTTTTGATTTACATACACTAGGAAATCCGAAATATCAATTGGAATTAAAAGATTAGGAATCGTTTTTAATACGGAATTGATTGTGAATTGAATATCTAAATGAATTGATATTGAATGACCAGTTTTTTTTAAATCTACTTCTAAAACTTGTAATACAGTCAACTTTGGATTTAATTCTTGGATTGTTAATTGATTATCTTTAATATCTACAATTGAATCTCCGTCAAATTCAAGCTAATTAAAATATTAATAAATGTAGAAAAATTTAAAATGGAAAAGATTATCTTTCTCTTTCTCTTTCTCTTTCTCTTGACTACATACTTTATATAAATCATTTTTACCAATAGTTGTAACAAGATTGGTCAAAGGATGACTTGATTGATTATTTGAAATTAATAAAAGTAAAATAAAATTTGAATTGTTTGTCTTTGGAATTGATATGGTTGATAATACTATATTACTATCACTATACAATTGATATTGTCTTGGTTTAATTGTTGTTGGTTTTATCTAAAATATGAAAAAAAGTTTTAAAAATAATTCTAAATAATTTAAACATTTTAGAGTTTCTCTATCTTACATAAGAATGGTAGATTGAAGTTAAATTTAAATTATTGAGTAAAAAAGAATTGCCTGGATTAATTTGAGAAGCTAATCGATGATGAGATGTGGTTGGTGATGATGATGGAGGTGATAAGACAATTGCATTTTGATCAGTGCTGTTGAGGTCACCACCATCCAATAAATGATCATAGTTTGGTTTGGGAGCCAATTCCAATTGTAATTCTTTGGTAATATCATTAACTCCTGCCATATGTTGATAAACTGGATTATTTGTTTCCTCTATATCTACAAGTGAAGTATTATTATTATTATTGTTACCAACAATAGGAGGTGATGTAACTGTAGAATCATTGATTGAAAGATTAATTAAGTCCTCGGTATAATTGCCTTGTTGTTTTATAGCAGGTGCGTTGTTGCTGTTGGTGGTGTGAATATTTGGTTTTGGTCTTTGATGATGTATTCTATCAGATACACTCAAAGTATGTGAATCATCTTCCATTTCTCCAAATAATTCTCTTGCCATTTTTTCTTTCTTTTCATCAACTGGTCTTGTTGGAATGTTTCTTTGTTGTGGTTGATTATTATTATTTTGTTGAGGGTTTTGTTGAGGATTAGTTTGTTGTTGATTGTTTGATTGTTGATTGGTTGGTTGAGGATTTTGTTGAATTGGAGCGACAGGTTGAATATTACCAGTATAACCTTGTTTAGTCCAAACAACCTTTTTAGGTTTTGGAACAATTGGTTCATTATGTTCGGGTTGTCTAACAACGGCAACAGCCAATTGATTTTCATTATTGCTGCCGACTGGAACCAATTCTAATGATTTTTGATCACCAGTACTCGTTTGACCTGTTAGAATTGGTACAAGAGGTTGATGAATTGCCAATGCATTATTATTACTGTTATTATTAAAGATTGAAGGAGGAGTAGGATATTCAAAATTTAATTCCTTTTCCTTTGTTGGATTATGTTCAACTCCGATATCAATCAACTGTAAAGAGGAAGATTTTGTTCTATTTTGTTTTGGAATGTAAGGTTTTGAATGACCTGCTTGAACTTGATTTCTTGCGTGTTGTCCAAGTTTTTTGGCAAGTGTAGAAATGTCTACTTCGTTACAGTAGGCATCTCTTGGACAAACATTGTCCAACATTTGTTGGTCGTTGGCCAATTGAATCAATTCGTTTGCCTTTTGTTGGGTCATGAGATAACGTGAACCCAAGTTCTTTTTAGCCACCAAAAGTACTTGTGGCAGTACCTTTCCAATTTGAGCAGACAATTTTGCCAAATTACCCAATAACCACGATTTAGTGTTGCCATCATAATCCAATTCCAAATAATCACAAATAAAATTAATGACACTTTCCAATGACTCTGTTCTCTCTTCTTGTGGTACTTCCAAATAAGAATATTCACTCAAGATCCAACATAATACTCTAACCAATAATTCCGATAAATGACCACCATTAACTTGATTACCATTACTCGTGTTATTTAGATCAGTATATTGATCAAGAATATTCCAAGATAGATTGATTGCATGTTTTTTAATATCGATATCTTGTTGTTCGTTTCCAGTACCATTTGCAATTAATTTGATCAAGTTGTAGGCTGATTGTTCGGGTACTCTTGAACCTTGAACATTTAAAAGTTTTATAATACATTCAATGTACCAATAGTCGTTGGGTGAGTATTTCTCGGCGAGGTCAGATATACGAGTGACTAATTCACCTTTGAGATACTCATCGTCGGTCGAGATGAGATGGTCAATCAACTTTGCACAGATTGGTACTATATTCTTGCTGTTTGTCATTCGATAGAGAAGATCCAAACTCTTTCTCTTGAGAGTTTCATCGTTTGATTCGAGACATTCAATGACATCTAGTTGATGAGCGGTCACTGATTTTGGCGACACCTTTACAATCGATGTAAGGGCTTTAATGCCAAGATAGCGAAGGTTATTGTGACGACCTTTGAGTAGGGTGGGGATGGCTTCTGCAGCCGCTGTCAATATCTCTTGGTGGGGAACAATCGTGGTGATAGTTTTGATTCCCTCGTAGAGAACCGAGAAACCGGCATTGTTTTTCATTCGACGAGCTTGATTCATGACAAACACAATGACTTGGTACATGTGTTCAGAGGCAGACTGGTCATTGGCGCCAAGATTCGACAGCAATTTGAGAAGGGATACTTGTAGCCATGGATGTGGCATTCCATGGTATATGAATTGTGCAGGTAATCTTCCCTCCGATACCTGTTTGAGAATCGATACAAAGCTGGGTACCAAATCTCGAATGTTATTGCGTGTCTCTTCCACCTTTGATGCATCCAAAAACAGAGCAAGTGAAGCTGCCATGACTGTAGGATCACGATCGCACAATGCAATACGTAGTGCATCTTGTAGTTGTGAAAAGATATCTGGTGATTTAGAGTAGAGTCTGTGCAGAGCAGAGACACATTTCTTTCTGACCACTGGTTTTTGTGAACTTGACAGCAGAGCAAGAACACGTGGTAAAAAGGCAGGTGTCGTCTCTTCATCGCCCAACATCGACAAGGCAGTCAATGCCGAGCAAACCTCTACATAATTGGATGATGCCAAACCTTTCAAGATTGAATTAACAGCCATAATCAACATTTCATGCTTCTCTGGTAGACACAGTGACAGTGTGAGATAGCCAGTTCTCTTGTTCAACATACTACTATCCTGTGTCATATTCAATGCTTGAACATGTCCAAATGGTACATCATATCCCAACATATGACAATATATCATACGTACCAAACATTCTCTTTTCTTTGCTTTCTAGAAAGAAAAGAAACAAAAAAAAAGAGATTATTAATTTGTTGTACTCCTCATATTTAGTTGGAGGGGGTTAAACATACTTGTTGATCAGATGAAGAGAATGCATGTTTTAACTTGATGAGTTCAGTTTTAATGATACGTTCCTCTTCTTCTCTTGAAACGGCAGAGCATATGTTTTGGACCAACTCGAAAAAGTCTAGATCCAATATTGTATTTTGAATGGATGTCAGCCATGAAGGTACCTGTATCTTTGCTTGTTCAGTCAACTTTAATAATTTGATTGGATTGAATGACATGATGACAGAAGATTATGATTCTATTCTTTCTACTATAGTAGTAGATAGATAGATTGATGGTTGTTAAAGAATGAGTTGATGGACAAATCTCCTACCACTGCTACTACTACTACTATTATAGTGATGCTGCTTGCTGATGTCACAACTAAGCTAAATGAGTCTTCTCATCAGAACATGACCTTCTCAAGAATAATCTCATGAAATTTAATTTTTTTGTCTCAAACAAAAAATCCCTCCCAACTAGTCGAGTAATATAAATCATTTTAGTTTGTTTTTTTTGAAAGAATATATAAATATAGAATAATAGAATAGAATGGATAAACAAGTAGCTGATGTTATTAACCAATGGTAAGGAGTCATCGAAAGCTTGCTATAATATAGAAAAGAGGTCACAGAAAACTTTGTTTATAAACTAACAACAAACCAATCTATCACTCTACTCTCTTCGTCGTCGTTGTTGTCGTTGTTATAGCTCTCACACCGTTGGTGTTACAGGTTTAGTAGTTGTAGATGATTCTGGTTTATGTTTAAAGGGTATATAAATATATAAAACGATCGATAGATAGATAGATAGATACAAATTCAAAGCTCATTGATTCTTACAATCGTATGATACCTTCTTTCACCAATTATAGCTCATGGATCAGCAAACTCTTCAACAGCTGGTTATTATAAATCACTTGTAGACAAATCTAAAACCTTAAGAAACAGTAACGAAGTACCAAATATTACAATTGAAACTGATTCATCGTATGATCCTACCCCAAAAACTATATAGATAAAGATATCTTTACCGTTAGTATTAATTCTAACACCTCTCCTTTCTTTTAGTAATATTTTTATTCAAGGAAATGATCAAATTACATTGGGTATTCACAAATTACCATAAATCAATCATGGTACAATCTTTTTAGTCAAAATATATATATAAATTTATACTTGTAGTTAAATATTAATATTTAAAAATCAATCAACAACAAAAGAAAGAAAGAAAGAGATATCTCTCTCTCTCTTTCTCATTTTCATTTAAATTATTGCACAATCTAACGTAATAGATTAATTTATTATTATTTTCCCCTCCATTTGTTTTAATTTAATTTAATGTTTTATCCCCTATTATTAATTATATAATTGTAATGATACTATCTATGATTATATATCCAACTGTTGTTTTGTTTGTTGGACATCTCTCTCTCTCTTTAAAGAGTTAAAGCTCCAGTTGTAGTTGAGTTTGGATCAGCAGATGAACCAGTAGTTGTTCCAATAGTTGTCCCAGTTGTAGTAGTAGTAGTCGTAGTAGTTGAATTGGATGGACCAGTTGTTGTTGATGATCCATTATCAGAACTACTACCATCATGACCACCAGAGTTTCTTACAAACTTTAACCAAATAATAAGAATGATTGATACTAAAAGAACTAAAATGATACCAGCCATAATAAACTTGTTTGCTATTTCACGTCTTGACATGGTGGACAATGTTTTACGAGCACGTCCCAATAATGAATCGATAGAATCGAATCTCTTTTCAAAACCAACCAAACGTTCACGTTGTTGTGCCATATTATTGAGAGTGTCTTCTGCCAACTTTTTATCTTGGTTGACTTGATCGTTGGCCATTCTAATCATACTGATACCTTGTTCCAAGGTTTTGTTTGATTTGGCAACCTTTTCACGTTGTGTCATCGATGCACTATTGTTGAAATCACGGTAGGCTGGTGATCCCAGTAGATCAGAGTAGTTCTTTTCACTCTGATACTTGTCCTTTAGTTGTTGATATGTCTTTTTAGCTTGATAGAATTGTGAAAAGTATTGTTGTGTCGATTTACCAGTTCTATTGGATTCCAAATTCAAACTCTCCAATGATCCTTCGATACTGTTTAATATATTTTCAATCTTTTCCAATTCTCCACGTTTTTGTTCTAAATATAAATAGAGTAGAGACAATAGATATAGGATGATCAGAACCATATAGTTTGATGATGATGAGATAATAATAATAATATTGTTGTTGATGCTGATGATTTACCTTGAGCTACATTTTGAAAAGAGTTAATCGATTGATCAAATTGTCTAAAGAATTGTTTAATTTCTTCTTCATATGATTCAAATAAACTCTAATTACACAACAGAGAGAGAGATAGAGATAAAGTAGAGCAAGCAAGCAAGTAAGTAAGTATTATAGAAATATAGTTTTCATCTTGTAATATAATCTTCTCATCACATCAACATCACACTTACCATTCTTATTCTTCTTTTATTATTGTCTTCCTACTGAGATGACCTATATAACCTATCTATCTATCTATCTATCTAGATTCTGTTCTTTATAATCTACCTATAACAATATATTGCTTTAATAGCCGAATATTAATATTAATTACTATCCTTCGCTTCTCTCCCCCTAAATCCTTCAGTTGGGTGAAACTGGGGGGTGGTTCATTTTTTTTTTTAATTTTTTTTTAATCGGGAAAAGTTATGATATTTATTATTGCTGAGAGTTAATATTTGCTTTATTTAAATACATATCAATTTACCCATCTTTTAATTGTCATTGTATGATGAAGACGATGATGCTTAAAAGTGGTTTGAAGCGGATAAAGATAACCAACCAACCAACCAACCAATCAACCTTTCAACCTTTCAACCTTTGACACGACAATTATCTGAAGTTGTTATAACAATAACCAACACGGTGGCGGTCAACCTTTTAAAAGTATTATCATATACTACTACTACTATACAAACAAGTGAAAGATGTACAGTGATCATTTTATTAAGAATTGATCATCCATCTTTTAAAGGGTCCCTTTAACCAACTTGATGGCATCACCAACCTAACTATTACATCTCCTCCATGCTCCTCGTCACATTATATTTTGCTATCATCATCTTCTTCTTTACTACTACTACTACTACCTACTACTACTCCTCGATATCCACCAAATTTAACGACGATCGTATCAAAAGATAATCTTACACCTCGTTTTACACAATCAATGATCATCACATGTGTCGCTCACACCACAAAGTGAGGTCACTGACAACAAGATGATGATCGTTTATCGGTTATGTATAGAGTAGTGTAGATACTACTGCTACTGGCAGTAACAGTACATAGATAGATTCTCTATCTGACGGACAATGTTGTTGATGTTCTCCAATTGAACAAAATCAGGAACATACTATCGGTGTCTACAACTTTTACTTTTTTTGAAACAAAGATGGTTCACATGTTCACATGCGTTTTATGATTCAATCAAAAGAACATTCTGTAAAAGGAAGTGCTCGTAACCAATCATATTATAATCTCTAGTAGGAGGAGGTTTGATTTGATGGATGCGATGTACCTGCCAGTCTGTCTGCATCACACCCTCTTCTGATATTATTGTAACCAACGACGATCATTCACTCATCCATCCATCAATCCATCCAATAATCACTACACTAGCAAAATATGTGATCACGCACGAAAAGAATGAAAGTAGATCTGTTGAAAGGTTAAAATAAAACACATACACATACACACACTTCAAAAAGCGAGAAGTTGCTGTTATTTTCGATATCTGTTGTGATATGTGGAATGGAATTTTGGAAATTGGTTGGTGGGTGAATTGTGTTGTTGTTGTTGTTGATCGAATCAAAACTTCAATTTAAAGTAAGAATGGATTAAACCAATAGTACTATTGGTAACACAATACCCATGGGTAAGATTGAGAAGCATCTCCCTTTGATCATCATATCAGGCATATTCATTGGACAAACAATATTAATATCAGAACCTCACCTCACTTTTCCTCACCTCACCCCCCTCCTCGTCCTCGTCGTATGTCTCGTCCAATTATAAAATTAGCTAAATTTAAGGAGGGGGGGCGAAATGTTGTTATTGTTGGAAGCACATTGTTCTCAGTTTCATAATTAAATACCACCCCCCACCTCGCACCACCCAACACTGTACGAATATTTTGTTAATTAATAAATCGTCGTCGGGGGATGGTGGTGGTGGGTGGGGTGGGGGGTGTATACAGATGATAATACTATCAATCTGTTGTGTTGATGGATCCAAAAACTGTTTAATCGTTGGAGAATTTTCAATTTTCCAAAAGGAGAAACTGGTTGGTGTGTTGTTGTAGGTAATGGAACTCTGTCTGTCTGTCTGTCTTGGATTGATGTGTGACTGGGATCCCAGTACGTTCCTGCATTAGCAGCATCGTATGTTTGTTCTACCTTATCGGTGACCACCATGAAATCAACACACCAATAATATCAAATACCAATAACTTTTTAAAAAGATTATCAATTCGCATGATAGTAAATTTGGTAAAAGAGTTGGTTGGTGGGAGAGAGAGAGAAAGAGTGTTGGGAAAGAGGGTGGGGTGATCTAGATGATGATAGAGTTTCTATATTGCTGCTGCTGCTGCTGCCTGCTGCTCCTATTCTTCGACTACTAGATTTTCGTTTTACCAGCAATCTGTCCTCCTAATCCATTTCTCCTACCGCCTCTGGCGGTGGTTTTTACCAATTGTTGATGTTGTTGTTGGAAAATGGGTGGTGTTGTGATACTTTCCAAAAAAAAAAAATTGGAGCTTTTTTAGAGAGTCGATCATGGAAGGATAGTTTGAAACCAGACCCCCAGTAGTCGATTATAAATACGAGGAGTATTTTAAACCAAAACATATAACAAATCAACAAATAATAATAATAATCAACTCACTACATATAATCTCTTTAATATCCTACAAATTCTTGAAAAAATGTTATTTGGTATGACTTTTCCCAAAAATATTTAAAATTTAATTAAATATTAATTTTAATATTTATTTGTTACTTTTTTATTTCTTTTCTTTAGAAAATTTAAGATCTCTATCGACTGTCAAAAGTTCTTCATTTTCTTTAACCTCTTTTCAAAATGATTCTAATATTTTATCTAGTCAAGGAATTAATCAAATTTCGGCTAGTTTTAGAACTTTAGATCAAAATGGTAGATACCCAAAAAAGTCTAATAGTATGTAATATTTAGTAAATAATATTTTATCAAAATTTCCATTCATTTTCTAATATTTTTTTATAATTAAGAACTAGGTAATTAAAAATATTCTTCCAAAGAAATAATTATTTCTTTTTTTTTGTACATTGTCAAGACTTTTTTCTCGATTTATAATAAGTCATCTCGAATCCTTTTTTGTAATCATAAGATTATAATAATAAAGTAAATCATATATTTGATTAAAAAATAATATTATTAAACCCAATCAAGATGGTTGATTGATTGAGTATATTACATTTTTTATTTTTTAGATTTGAAATTTGATTTCAAATCTTGATGATTAAACTGTACATCTTGGAAAATCGATTTTTGATTCGATTGTTGTTGTTGTAGTGGAGGATATTGATCAACTGATTCAGTAGAATCATAAAATGATTTTGCTGGTGAAAACTTAAATTTGTTGTGGTTATTATTATTATTATTATTATTATTATTTCTCTTTTGATTTTTGTTTCCACCATTATTATTATTATCCAATTGACTTGGTTTTAATAATAATTGATCAAATTGAGATTCCAAATTTTGTTGTTGTTGTTGTTGTTGTTGTGGAGGATGTTGAGATGATTGTTGAGGAACTTTATAATTACTATTTGGAGTATCAAAGAATGAATCCTTTTGTTGTTGATTTCTTTTGTTGTTATTATTTTTCTGTGGTGTTGGAGTTGAAAAGTTTGTATAAAAGGATGATTCTAGATTATTGTTTTGGTGGGCATTGGGACCTGTTCTCCGCGGTGAAGCTGGTGGTGACTCTGGATAAGGTGAATACCCATCGTTTTTGATTTGAGATGCTGCTTGTGGAGTTGTTGCTGGAGTTGTCTGTTGTACTTGTAAAGGTGTTGGTAACTGTACCTGTTGCTGTTTTTTCTTTACACTATTACTACTATTAATACTATTACCATTTTCATTATTATTATTATCTCTATTTCTTTGCATAATAATTTTTGGTGTTGTATCTTGTTGTTGAATATTATTATTATTATTATTATTATTATTATTATTATTATTATTATTATTATTATTATTATTATTATTATTATTATTATGATTTGGTGTTGACTTTGTTGTACTATTTTGGTTTCCATTTTGATTACCATTTTGATTTCCATTAATTCTTTTAGCTTTTCTATTTGCAATCCATTTTTTCAATTTTATAAAAAATGGTATAGATCTAAAAAAGTTCTTTTCCTTTGTAGGACCTACAGGTTTCTTTGAAAACGTTGGTAATTCATCAATTACCATCCATTCAATTTTCTAAAAGTAATAAATATTAAATTTAATAAATTATTCTCCTCGTCCATTTCTTTTTCTATTTCTATTTTTTCTTATTTACACTAATTTCTTTTCTTGTTCTAGGACAAAAATGAGTTTCTTCACTAACACCTTGAATGATAAATAATTTAATTTTCTGTTGTTTCATAAATTCGATTTCAATGTAATGTCTTGGATTGAGATATGGACCAATATCAAAACCAACCTCTTCCAAAACCTCTCTTACTGCGCAGTCAGAGTCTGGTTCATCCTTGTTGACCTTGCCTCTTGGGAAACCCCAACTCGATGAATTATAACCACGTACAAACAATGCCTTTTCCATGGTTGGGTTTAGAATGATGGCACCATACACTGGTACTCTTGTCTTGTACTCTGAGAATCGCTTTAAAATATCTTCAACGTGAGCCTTGTGTGGCGACAAGAGAGGACACTTTGCAAAAAACACCTTTGTAAACTCTGCCAACGAGTATTTTGGTAGGTGTGGATGATCCTCTCGATAGAAATCGTCATAAAACCAATAGGCAGATTCAACTTGAAAGAGCATACGCTCAAACGATTCCAACTCTTCAGCTGGAATATTAATTACAAATCTACTTGCAAGATCTTCAAATATTGCTGATAATGATGGTCTATTTGGGTTTTCTTCACCTCTTGGTGTTATTGGTGTTTCAGAAGGTTGTGATTGATTTGGTGGTTGTTGATTTGATTGTGGTTGAGGTGTTTGTTGTATTGGTTGCTCTAATGTTTGTTGTTGTTGATGTTGTTGAATATCTTGATGCATCATGTGAAGATGTTGCATAAAAGGAGGTGGCATATTATACATGTTCATGTTCATATTCATATTCATAGGATCATGTGACATCATTGGAGGTGGTGGCATTCCAACGCCTCCCATTGGATGATGCATAAATGAATTGGGGTGATGATGATGTGGATGTAGAGGAGGAGGTGCCATAAATGGTGGAGGTGCACCAAACATGTGACCTGAATGACCCATTGTATCTGGCATCCCTGGATGATGCATAAATGGTGGTGGAGGTGTCATATGATGATGAGGATGATGAGGTGGTAAGAATACTGGATGCATTTGTTGCATTTGTTGTTGTTGTAAATGTTGTTGTTGTTGTTGTTGTTGTTGTGAATCATTACTATTGTTGTTATCTGTATTGTTAGAGACTATTGTCCCTTTTACTTCATTTGAAAAGTACATTATCTCTATATCTATATTATTATATGCGTCTTTATTCTATTCTATTTATCTCCCAATCTCACTGTCTCTCTCTTTGTTTGACAAATTACTATATATCTATTTCAAAATAAATAATTTTCAACTAATTTTAGTTTGGTTGTGCTTGTTTGGGTTTGTAAATTTTCATTTTATTTTATTTCTTTGTCCGCAACAAACAGATAAATAGATACATTCATATTCACAAGACCATCATACATATTTACATCATTAGTTATTAATCTAACTTTTAAAAAAAAAAGAGAATGATAATGTAAACCTAGAAGATTTATTAAAAAATAGTGATATCCAATTTGAATGAACAAGGTTTCTACAATAGAGTTTTGGTTGAAGGATCATTGGGATTGGGTGATTTATTATTATTATTATTATTATTATTATTTTCTACCACTTTCTCTTCAAAATTACTATCTTTTAAATCTATTCTTTCTAAATTCAAAAAAATAATCTTCAAACCAAATTAGAGCACGTGTTTTGTGTGTTTTATTACTTTTTTAAACCATTCTTTTTGTTTCACAACAGATAAATAGATCATTATTACTTACACCTTTTTTGTACTAGAATTGGATTAATCAATTATTTTTAGATCTAATCAAAAAAGGGAGATAAGATCCCTTTCTTTCTATTATGTTTTTAAAAATGGAATAACCTTTTGAATTGTTTCTCTCTCTCTCCTTTAAAAAAGAGAGAAATATGGTTCAATTGATTAAAAGAGAATAAGTATTTATTTATTTAATCAACTTTTTAAAAGAATGCAAGAAAAAGATTTGACTGATATTTCAACAAAAAAGAAGAATGTAATAACAACAAATGATTCTGCAACATGGAAAAGAATATTGGTAGATTTATTAAAAAATAGTGATATTCAATTTGATGGACCAAATGATTGGGATATTCAAGTGATGAATGAAGGATTCTACAAGAGAGTTTTGGTTGAAGGATCTTTAGGACTGGGTGAAAGCTATATGGATGGATGGTGGGAATGCAAGAGATTGGATTTATTGTCGTATAGGATTCTAAAAAACAAAATTGAATTGCCAACCAATTGGAGTGACATTTTTAGAATCGCCATTCAATATGTCTACAATTTGGAATCAAAAGCACGTGCATTGATTGTTGGATCAAAGCACTACAACACTGGTAATGATATTTTTGAAGCTACATTGGATCCAATGTACATGCAATACACTTGTGGTTATTGGAAAGATGCCAAAAATCTAGACGAATCACAAGAACATAAACTAAGACTAGTATGTGAAAAGTTGGGTCTTAAACCTGGAATGAAACTGTTGGATATTGGTTGTGGATGGGGTGGACTTGCCTATTATGCTGCCAAAAACTATAAAGTCTCTGTTGTTGGTATTACCATCTCTGTTGAACAATTAAAGTATGCCGAGGAAAAGTGCAAAGGTTTGGATGTAGAGTTTGTCGTTTCAGATTATCGTGACTTGAATGGATATCAATTTGACCGAATGACTAGTATCGGTATGATTGAACATGTTGGACCAAACAACTATCGTAACTTTTTCGAGGTGGCCAGAAGAAATCTAAAAGATGATGGTATCTTTTTACTCCATTGTCTTGGTGGCACCAAACCTACCAAGATTTGTGATGAATGGACCGCGAAATATATCTTTTCAATGGGTGTAAGTCCATCCATATCTGGTATTACATCGGCATCTGAACTACTATTTAATTTAGAAGACCTACACAACTTTGGGGCAGATTATGATCGTACTCTGGTTGCTTGGTATGAAAACTTTAACAAGAATGCATCATCTTTGGATACATCAAAATATGATGATAGATTTAAAAGAATGTGGACATACTATCTTTTAATGTGTGCTGGTGGATTTAAATCTAGATCATTAAATCTTTGGCAATTTGTATTTACTCCTCATGGTTTTGATGGTGGTCTTAGAGTTGCTAGATAATTAAAAACAACAATAGCAACGTTGTATTATTATTTTTAATTTACAAAAAAAATATATATATATAATTTATTTAATACTACCTATTAGCATTGAAACTAAAGTATTGATAAATAAAGTATTATTATTATCATTATTATTTTCTACAAGAGGTACTTTTTCTTCTTTTTCATCTTCACCATCTTCTTTTTTTTCTTTTTTTGTATCTATAGGAGTAGTAAGTGGAGTAGGAGGAGATGGAGATGGAGGAGGAGGAGTAGAAAGTTTGGTCACATGAGGAGTAGAAAGTTTGGTCATATGAGGTGGAGTGGAAAGTTTGGTCATATGAGGATATGGCAATGGTGGTGCGAATTTTGTTCTTTTCTTCTTTGTTGGTGGTAGTCTCATGGATTGTTTAATTTTGTTCCTGTTATAGTTGTAACACTTTTTGCAATGATTTCTTTCATTATAAAACATTGACACTGGAAGTGGAATTAATGGATCGGTTCCACAAACAAATTGATGTGTGGGAAATGTGCAGATCCTTACATCTTCAATGATAATGTCATTCTTTTCTTGTATGGGATCGGTGGTGGTAGTGGTGGGTATTTCAAAATCACAACTATCCTCTATATAGATAAATACCTCTTGAATGAAATCTTTCATTTGCATTTCCATAATTAATTCTTGATCTGGATCTAAAGTAGTAGGAGTAGTTGTGGTTGTAGTACTACTACTACTAGTAGTTTTTAACTTTTTCATAGTTGATTCTATTTTGGTATTATTATTATTATTCTTCTTATTACTATTCGGTTCTATTTTGGTGTTATTATTCTTTTTATTATTAATATTATTCTGACCAACCAATGTTTTACTTTTGATTGATGAATTATTACTTTTAATATTCTTTTTGTTGTTGTTGTTGTTGGCTAAATTTGAACGTGATCTTGTTGTTGTTGTTATTGGTACTCTGCTTCTACTTTGGTAATATCTCTCGCATTGCCTACATCTTGATAATTGACCATTCTTTCGAATGTAGAATTGGTCGGGGTAGGGAAGCTGTGGTTTGGTGCCACATATCTTTTCGTGGTTTGGATTTTTGCATGTAACCAGGAGCGGTGGAGGATGTACATCCTCGGTCTCTGTGTCTTCCATGTCATCGTCTGACGATGATAGATCATCATCACTATCAAATATCCTGTACATCGTTTCAGAGGTGGTAGTAGTGTTGGTGGTGGTGGTTGTCGTCGTATTATTCTCTCCAGTATCCGTAACATCACTCTCTGTTTCATAACAAGAAGGAGTTGTACAAGATGATGAATGATAACTTTCAACGTTATTATCATCGGGTGTAGAAGTGGATGTAGTAGAAGAAGAACTTTTTTTCATGTGACCATCTAAATCCATTTGAATGGCAAAAGAGTATTCATCTGATATAGTGTCACTATCACTATTATCCATCTTTCTCTTTTTTATATTAATGTCCATACTATGATTATTATTATTATTATTTGTTTGTTGTTGTTGTTGATTATCTACAATGATTGGTGGTGGTAGAGGTTGAGGTTGAGGTTTAGGTTGAGGTTTATCTTCTATTTCAACTTCTTCTTCCTCTTCTTCCTCTATTATCTTATTATTATTATAATGATAATTAATAAATAAGGGATGATTATGAGTATTGATATAGGTAACTCTAAAATTATTATTATTTGGAGATAGTTTTTGGACATTCTTTGTAGCCTTGCATTCTTTTTCAAAACAGGTGTAATTCTGACATAGAAATTTACTATTGTTTACAAATTTGATGGTGTTTAGCAGCCAATGGTATTCATCCAAGGTCGGTAGCAGGTCTTCATCTACGACTATTTCATTCTTGTTGTTGTTGTTGTTGTTGTCAAGGTCGTCTTCATCGTCGGACAAGAGAGTACTTGTTTTACTTGTCCTCTGCAGACGACTGCCAACGCTACTACTAATACTAGCCTCTTCTCGTTGCATTCTAATGCAGCCAATACATTCTCTTGAGCATTTCTTTCTATGTGCAATCTGGTCGTGCCCAACCCTGCTAGCATGACACGGAAAGCTTTGAATATACCTTCCCTTATCATCGACTTCATTCCACGAAGATATACATTGATCATGTGTACAAACTAAATCATTATCCTCTAATCCTGTTGATGATGATGATGATGATGATCTAGTTTTCATTCTTTTTCTAAATCTCTCTCTCTCTCTAGAATGACCAATGATCAGTAAACATAAACATTAAACATAATTGACTCGCTTGCTGATGTTAGTTAAACATACTCTTTTATCTATCTATCTGTCTGTCTATCTATCTCTATCTCTAATTAACAATTGATACTAGTAGGACTGATGATGATGATGATGATAGGTGATTGTATTATTGCAGAGATCATCATGTGATGATGATTTATGATAAAGATGTGAAGATGGGTATAAATTATATGTTTGCAAGGGTGGAAAGATTCACAAAAAATTACTTCAAAAAAATGAATTGAATTTTCCCTCCAAAATAAATTAATTTTTTAAATTAAAATGTCAAGTCGTCACTGATAGATAATTCAAAATGTCAATCAGGATTTAGAATGTCAAAGGATACTCCTTTTGGAGTCCACTAATTTTCACTCATAAAACAATATAGAAAAATATTATATTAATTAGAATCAAAAATATTTTTCTTGGCAGTGACTGAAAGTAATTCTTTTCTTGTTCTCTCCTATCGGGAGGGGTGCTCAGAAGGTACAAATGAGGAAATTTTTTTTTTTTTTTTAATAAAATCTTTGACCTCCCCATCACCGCCGAAGTCATATTGTTTATTTTTAAATTATTGATTTAATTATTATTAATTTGGAGTAGTTGTTAGGTAGTGGTTAGTTTTAGTTAGGAAGGAATGCGATAGGGTGAAGCTAGTTTGCACCAAATGAGAGAGAATTTACTAAAGTTTGCGATCAGTTCGAGATTAGTGACCCGACCATCGATCAGGTTGACATTTAGCTAG